AGCTGTCCTGATCTTACTTCTATTTAATTTACTATTACTACATCAATTTAGAATATTCACAAATACTAATATTTAATTTATAATTATTTAATTTATTATTAAGAGATAACAGTTCGTAAAATAATTCAGATAAGAAAACCTGATCCCTCTATTAATAGTCATAGCGAGTATTATTAATTGTCAATAATATTTTTTGCAATACTTTGATTTAATATATTTTAATAACCGTCTGCACTGTATCATCTAATTAGTAACCTGTTAAGTCTAAATAAATATAATAAGTTAATTTTTATGCACGAACTTAAATCAATGCGTAGTGTGTACCATTTACCTAAATAAGGAAAAAGTTAGAATGAAAATATTTCAAAGCTTTTTCAAAGAAAAATAAAAATTTAACATCAAACCAGATAGATATAACACTAACTAAGATCAGATACGTTTATCATAACCAAAGTTCTTAAACCAACAATGTCTACCACAGATAGTACTGAACGCGATTTTCTTAACCACGGCATTCCATATTATGGAGAAGTCTTCAGCGACGAACACTCTAGCGAAAGTGAAGATGAAGTAGTTGAGTCACTTTATGACCAAGCCACTAATCAAACTCTTGAAACCTTGAACTCTAACGGATACATCTGTACTCCAGGAATTCCTTTTGTCTTTATTCCGAAAGCCAATGAATTCAGAAGTATTCCGAACATGCAGCAGTTCAGAAGACTTATCACTGATATTCCTGGATGGGAGGGTAATGTGGCAGCGAAGTATGAGAGTTTGGAACCCTTCTTTTTAGATGAATCTAAATTGCAGAGAGACATTACTACCAACAGATTGTCTACCAATGTCTCTATTCCGGGTGTCCAACCAATTGACATGTACAATTGTAACTTTTGTGACTCTTCGTTTATTGGGTTAAAGTATTTCAATCGGCATGTCAAGAAATATCATCCTGAAGCCAATCATGAAATGCTAGTCCTGCTGCAGCAGCTGGGTTATCCTGTTAGAATCAGTAGCCGTTTATCATCAATTTTAATTGAAGCAACTACAATTGATATCTATGAGAATTTAACTCAGGAAAATATTTTACTGGACTTGAATAAGGATAAATTCTTATCATTACTTTGTGTTGAAAGGGCAATGAGACTTTACAAGGAAGTTCCAGAAGATGAAGCCGGTAAGAAAAAGCTTACCAGTTTAGTAAGAAGCTTTTTTACAAAGGATCACTTGGACAAGCTTAATGAGTTTCAGAAAAACTTGAATACTACCAAAGTGTTCTTAAAGTCACACTATAGTAGAGGGGCGGTTAATGATTATGTTAAAGCCACTGTGACCTTCCTTCAAGTAAGTTTATTCCATTTAGATATTAAGGTAACTTCGAAAGAGGACTTCGACAAGTTCTGCACTATGTTCTTAAAAGATTATCTTTTAAAAGTTAATGTTGAGAGAACAGTTCTAGACCTTTTTGTTCTTAGTTGTATGCTGCAGAATAATAGTCTTGTCTCGAACTCAGTGAGAAGGACTATGTTCTGCAGCGTATTATTCTTCTCCAAATTAATCATTATACATGAAATTACTAAAGAAGAATTTAAAGCATTCAAACAGGAATTAAAGTCTCCCAACATTGAACATAGTGCAGGTTATTTCAGTCTTAAATGGTTGTTCAATCAACATGATTTAGCTAGTCCTCAGACTCCGATGAATTGTCAACAAGTAGGTTCCAGAACAGATGCTTTTAGAATTAACGGTAAGATTGTCTCATTGCAACTATTGAATGATATGAGAAAAGGTTGCATTACTACAATTAAAGATGAGTTGGTTGATATATTTGGTCCTGATCTCTTCAATGGTGTTAAATATTCAGATATAGTTAAGGAGTATAATAAGAAACTCAGTCTCCGAAAAACATTTAAACGCTATAGCAATTCTGAATTTCAACTATTACTCAAAAAAAATAAAGTCAAAAATGTTCATTCTGCTGTTGCTTTGTTCAAGAGAATACTCAAGATTCAAGAATTACTTTACCTACTTATTATTATTGGGTGCGGAGCACCCTATAGGTCTCCAGAGATTCTCACTATGAGAATCGAGGACCACTCCAACTCACCTAGTAATGTAATTCTTGATGAAGAAAATGTAGTATTCAGAACTACCTACTCCAAAAATTTAGACCGTCACAATACTATAGTTGCTATTACTAAATACTTGAATGTGGAAACCGGACAATATCTCATATTATACTTACATTTGACAAGGCATATATTGTTGGAGCTTAGACTCAAGTTTATTGAGGGTACTAGTTATACAAAAGAACGTACTAATAGACATGTTAATTCAGATATAGACCAAGACTTAGTTCAGGAAATCGAAGAAATAGAGAATGAAGAAGAGGATCTAGATGTAGAAGATCCAATAATCAGGGCCGCTAATAATGTTGAATATATTAAAAGAGAGTATTTTACCAAGTTGTTCATATCACTTAATGGTCGAGCTAAGCCGGACCTTGGATTGAGTGCCATTCGAAACATCACAAAGGCATATGGTGTTGGGTTAAATCAAAGAGAAATGCGTCAAGGGTTACATTCATTGGTTCACTCTTTAGTTGTTGACTTTAATAAAGTTGAACAAATAATCAGTGAAATCAATAGAATGAGCAACCATTCCAATACAACGGCCTTGGTCAATTACGGTTATAATCATGAAAGCAGAAGTAATGTCAGTAACAATTTACTCCAAAGGAAAGTTTGCAATAGATGGTATGAGATGTTGACTAATCATGTAACCCCCGAAGTTAATAGTTCAAACATAATATGGCAAGATGTTAGCATTGCGGATGTAAAAGACGCTTATCTTAAGGTTTTGAATTTTCCAGCTAGAGAAATACAAGTGGTTACTACCTTGGAGGTTCTTAGAAATAACTCTATAGCTATATGTTTAAGAACTTCTGAGGGAAAGACAGCAACATATGGGGTTGCCAGCTATTTGGAAAACTATGTGTTTCCAAGTAGCAAAAGGCAAGTCTCAGTAGTTGTAGTACCCTTTATTTCCTTGAGATTAGATATATTAGAACATCTAAAACGTTACGGAGTTGTACCATTAATTTATGAGGGTACTATTAATTACACCACAGCATATGATATGCTAATAGTACAATTAGAACTATTTAGTAATGAATTGATAGAAACCATTGAAGCTTCCAACCATATGTCAGTACGTCGAATTATATTTGAAGAGGCCCACTTTATGTATCATCAATATAGAGAGAGCAAAAATGAAGAAATTGCTAAATGCAAACGATTTCAAATGCTCTTTGTGTCAGCGACATACCCTAAATCATATGAAAGGGAATTGAACAGTTTGATAAATCCCAAAAGGCTAATTAGATTAGAAAGTCCTTCCATTGTTCGTCCAAATATAATACTTAATAAAACCATTGTCAAAAGAGAAGAAGAAGTTGCTGAAATAATTAAATCAAAAGTATTACAAGTTCCTTTTAGTATTGTTATCTTACCCACTATAAGAAAGGTACAAGAGTATCATAAAGAATTCAAAGAGGCTGGTATTAATTGTGAAATGTTCCATTCCAAGTTAAATTTCGCTGATAAAGAGAGTGTTATAGAAAAGGTATACAATAGTGAATTAAGAGTTGTAATTGCTACTACTGGGTTTACTACCGGATTAGACATAACATCACTTAGATATTTAATTATTGGAGACCAATGCTATGACGCCGAAACTCTCATACAAGCCAGTGGTAGGACTGGTAGAGATGGGCAGGCATCGACAGTTGATTTGATTCTTGTAGCCAATAGAAGTAAAGATGAATTTCAAAAGAAACTCATGTCACCTACATGTTTGTCGGAGGTTCAAAATTGGTCCCAAGAATTGGAAATCAAACTGTGCACAGAACTCAAAGTACTGTTGTGCAGTGTCTGCAGAAGCAATGGTCCAACACAACCGATAGTACCAATTGAAGTAGAAACAGATAGACCAATTGAAGGAGAAACACAAGTTGATAGACCAATGGAAGTAGAAACAGATAGACCAATTGAAGTAGAAACACAAGCTGATAATACAATGGATGAGACAGACACTACTGACTGGTTTGATAATTTGCCTGTCGTCAATCAAGTTCCACCTAGTATGATTAATAGATCACTAAATAAACCAGCTAGCAATAGAATTTTATTTAACATACCTTTAGCTCAATCATCAATAAATGAAGTTGCAGGTAGTCTGTCCAATACAACCAACACATATCAGTCACCTTTGTCAACCTTTGATTCAACAAGACCAATATTGAAAAGAAGAGGAGAAACACAGTCATACCAATCTGCCTCCAAACAACAGCGGATATTAAATAACCAATCAGCAGATGAATCATTATATCTTCAAACAGATGAATCGGTCATTTCAGTACTCCAGAAATATAATGATAATATCTATGTAATGATGGATCCACAACGTTTTAAAAAAGCTAAGTTTGAGGATGAATTAAGAATTGATAATGCCTTAATTTATAATTTCCAACACTACTATTACCGTGGTCTTGGGAATCAGGTGATCTGCTATGGATGTGGACTCAATCACGAAACCCACAATATAGAATGTCCCAACTACAGATTTACTATGGGACTCCTTATTCCATATGTCTTGAGTTCCTCCAAAAAGTTACTTAATTATATTAATCAGGATAATATAGAAAGGGCTATAGAACTAAGAAATATAGTAGTTAATTATGTACATCAGGAGCTGTTTAGAGCCAAAATGAAGAGCTGTGTATTACTAAGATTCAACAAACAGTAACTCATCATAATATCCCTTTTCAAGAATTAAGTCAAGATTTGTATAATCTATTGTATACCCCCAAGCCAAATAATAGGCTTGGGGCTGATACAACTAAAAGGAGAAACTTCCTGACAACACTTAAAGTGATTAATGGTTGGAGGGGAGTAAGTAGTAAGGTAGGATGGCTGATGGACAACAATGTCAAAGAGGAAAAAATGAAACAATTAGAAGATAGATTAAGACAGAAACAAACTAAAGGAGCATGCAAAAGATGCCACTTGATGCATCAAGGTGAATGCATGATGGAACAGTTACTAAGTTTCATTCTTTTGACTGGCTATTACAATATAGACTTGTGTTTTATTACCTTATCTAAGATGTTTAGGAATCAAGAAATAATATGGATACTTCACAGCTACGATGATTTTCTTAAAGTTATATTAAGTGAATATCGAGGGACATATGGGTATATGTACTTCATATATATAATGATCCAACAAGTGAAAGAAGAGGAAACCAGCATAATGCATTACCATTTGGATAAGAAGACTAAAATGGTATTAAAGTAAGTATAAAATTATAGTTATATATGTATGTAAAATTCTTTCTAGTATAAATTTTAACATTACAATATATTTCTAACTAACTTGACTTCACTTCTTCCATTTAGAATCATTACTTTCTCTTAATCATTACTTATACAAGTTAAATATATTTTCTACTATACTCAATAAAAGTTATTGCTAGCTTACTGCTACTTCCAATAGTATATTTTATTACTTTCCCAATTAAAGATTACTATCCATTAGACTCTTGTTCTAATTCATATCACTAATAAACACTACTTTTAGTTAGACTTGTAAAATAAGCGCTACTTACTTCTACATTTTTAACTATATCATATACCACTGATACGTCAGCTAATACTATTGAAGTTATTTCTAATTCCAATTGGGTACCTCCAATATCCTTGAATAACACTTATATTTAAAGTATCATTAAGTTACCTTCAGTATAACCTCTAAAACTATACTTATAATATCTAATAGACATTCTATATTACTCTTTAATTACTTAATTACTATTTCCATATGATGATATTTCTAATTAATTTGTTCTACCTTCCATCCTACAGTTCCTTTACTTTAATTAAAGTCACCTTAAATACAACTATTATGTGACAACAATATCTATATTTATTAAATTCTATTAGCTTTCCGATAGTTAGAACAAGATTACTTATGTTACTACTACATTTAACAACACTCATTAATTACTACTATTTAAACCAATTCTATCTTCAGTGCTAACTTAGCTTGACTTGCTATTGTTAAATTTCTAGTAAATTCTACTACTTAATTCTAAATTGTATTAGTTCTATCTAAATAATTTCAAATTAACATCTAAACTACATTATGTTCCAAACTAACTTCTAAAGCGCATTAAGTTCCAAACTAATGTCTAAATTACATTATGTTCCAAACTAATATCTAAACTACATTATGTTCCAAACTTACTTCTAAAGCGCATTAAGTTCCAAACTAATGTCTAAATTACATTATGTTCCAAACTAATATCTAAACTACATTACGTTCCAATGTTACTACTTTAGCAATTGTACATAGTGCCACTTATCTAACTCTAATTACTATACTTTAAAATATAAATTTAATTTTCTGCTCACTAAAAAATTACAGCTAACAATTTCTACGCACGACCAAAAATTCAAATCTACATTAATCATAAATTTATTACAAACTAGAGAAGAGCATAAAATGTGAACCAAATCATTTATTAAAATAATTATACATATATAACTTATCTAATTACATTCTACATCTTTTGAAATAACTTCCAAAGAAAAAGATGATCTTTCTATATTAAATACAACCCTTAATATACAAAAATACCAAATTTACCAACAATCAACACCAGCAAACTATACCATTAAAACTTAGAGTGCTAAACAAGTGCACCGAGTGACCAAACTCAATAGCTACCTAACCTTACCAAAACCAGCTTAAAAGTCATTGAATTGCCTTGACTGGACAATATTATAGTAATTACTTTAAAACTCTTGATTATTATATTACTGATCCACAAATAGTAATAAATCACCTTAAACAAGTGCACCTAGTGACCAAAAGCAATAGCTACCGAACCTTACCAAAACCAGCTTAAAAGTCATTGAATTGCCTTATCTGGATAATATTATACTAATTACTTTATAACTCTTGACCATTAAACTACTGCTCCACAAATAGTAATAAATCACCTTCTGAAACAAGTGTACCTAGTGACCCAAGTCCATACTAAACGAATCTTATCAAAACCAGCTTAAAAGTCATTGAATTGCAATGGCTGTATAACATTATAGTAATTAATATATTAATCATAATGAGAAATACAATGATGTCTAATTAGTGAATCCGTAACAATTGAAAGTCATACTCAAATGGATCGTGGTGAAACTATAACCAAAATAACATATGTACTTTAAAAACCATTAAAATGTTGCATATCAATAATAGTGTAGTTTACTTATGTTGTTAATAAACATTTACATAGCTCACTTCATAAAAATTTCTGGTCAATCTAAATTATACTAGACTATTTTTTTAGTACGGCATATAAACGACTCAACTTGCACCCTTAACTATGGGAAAATCAAAATGCACCCAAGTTCTGTCCTGCGAGGTGAAAATTGATTTTTTACATAGTAAATCTGCTCTCCTGCACACAGGCTAATATCTATACTAGCTGAAAAATTAAATGATCCCCACTATCTAAATTGATTCATTCTTACTATACTTCTACTTTTATCTTCTAATCTCTAACTATTTTATTCTTTATTTTAACTAACTATATCCTATAACTACTTACATTTTACTAATACTTCTTTCATTACTACTCCCACACAATCCATATTTTATTTACTATATTACTCTCTTTTACTAATTCACTATATTACTCTCTTTTACTAATTCAAACTTACTTTCTTACTTATAATTACATATTCACTTAAATTTTTTATTACTTCGTATTATTACACAAACAGCCTTACTTATTACACAATTTAACGTTTAAATATGCGCTACCATTTCTACATATTCTATATCACTCTACTACCCTAACTTGCACGACTTGAATTGCTTTATACCTTATATTATTGATTATCTGCTTATCGTTAATTCATCTTATAACATAAATATTAACATTATATTTGCTTAATCATATTTCTATATACTATATTATCATTGTCTTTTTTTGATTAAATAAATTCGCATGCTAACACTTTTTCAGAATATTCTAACCAAATTCTCATAAATTAAACACACTTAAATTTATTGTAACTTACTTATTACTATCTTATAATCACTTCCACACTTACATATTTACAATTATTACCTATTATCACCTTCAACCATTTACACTTCTAACTAAATGATCCTTTTATTTCAATTTACAATTCAATATTTAACTATTTCTTCATATTTTCTAACTCTGTAATACTAAGTCTAACCTTACTTATTATAATATAACATCTACCGAATTACCTTATATTAATATATTTAATGCCCTTAATTTGATTACCAATCACATACATTAACTTACAATCACCCTTATTACTCTAATAAAATATCTACTATACTTCACATATATTACTACTAACTTACTCTTACCTCCACATAATCTATCTTTTTATTAATTTCTACTTTATCATAAATCCAGTATTACCCTTATACTCCTCTTTACTTTAATATCACTGCTCATTTCTACTTTTACCTCAACTTTATAATCTTGCGTTACCACACTATATACTTGCTTAACTATAACATATATCTAAAGTAATGTTATTTATCTTACTACTAATTTTATTTAAATAGCTCTACTGTCTTTCAATATCACTCGCTGAAATATTATCACCAAATTCATCTCCTATTATAGCCTTCTTTAAACTCTAGTACTAATACTTATAATTTCTACTATCTAGTTCTAACCTGCTGCAACTTCAAATAGTAGACTTATCAAATAGTAGACTTATCATCTTACTGTAGCTAACAGATCACTGACATATATTTAAAAATTAAGTATTCTGAACCCTTTTAATATCCCTTCAATTAGTAATTCTACCAATACTTAGCTGATCGCAAACATTTTTTATCTACTATGTATATTTTCCTTTACTTTAACATTTTTTAATTAAAGTATATCTAACTTAATAGATTCACGGATATACTACTTCCAAACGATCATTATATATACCACATAGCTCTTATGTACTTAAATATACCATTTTATTATTTACTTCTGCAACTACCTTCTTAAGTACCTCTAAATATATTACTGCGAAATCGGCAAATAATATTAGACCCTCCCTAATTTTTTGCTTTTTTAAAGTATTGCGCCTACCCATCCCTCCCTATTTTTTCTCGCTAGCTAAATGCTCCCTAAAGTTTGCGACACTCGATAAATTTTTTGCGACATACCTAAGACGCTACAAGCATATTATACTAAGACTAAGCTAGCATCAACTCCACCACTACTAATATTCAATTTTTCACATCCCAACCATAACTACAATTACAAATCAATCGCACTCTTCACTTTTTCAATACGCTTACAAAAAATACCCAATGACGCCTGTTTTAAATATGCTCTTAACTATGTAAAATTACAATCCAAACACTCTAAATTTAGTGCTAATAAACTCTTCTTCGTACATTATATGTACTATTACCTCAATATACCCCTACCAAAAGATTACGTTCAAACAATTAATAAAAGTGCCACTTGACGCCTGATTTAAGCAATCCTTAACTATGAGAACATTACTTTCGCACATAGTTATGATCATCTCTAAAACACCATTAACTTCACCCACCTTAATGCGAGCACTACCAAATTGTACAATTCACTTAAGCATATCATCTTCTACAATATGCTTCATTTTTAGCTCCATCAAATTAAATTTAAAGTCTACTTCAAACAGCCAGAATTTGCCCATTGAGACCTGCACAGATATTCCAAAATCCTGCACATACCATAAAAGTTTGACTTCAACCTGCTCTAACTAACGTTACAGATCGTTCCAACACTTCTCTATACTAACTAAACCTCCCAGAGCACGTACGAATCCACAGTACCAATTACAGCTCAAAATCCTTAAAAATTGAGCATGACGCCTGTTTTATGAGGTATATTTTATCGCCGACTTTGGCAATTTCATACGAGTGGATATTGAAAATTTAAGTACAATGAATAAAACGAGTATGTTCATTTGAAATTAATATATATATATATATATATATATAAATATGTTTAGTTTAGCTTGCAAATATGCTTTTACTTCCAATTTAGAATTTTTTATAATATATTATAATGCAATTATATCAAATAAGTTATTAGATAAATGTATTAGTAAAGGTTGTACTTTTGATCTTGCTTTCGCTAAATCAATTGGCACTTGTAATATAAAATTAAAATTTAATGAAGAAGTTTACAGATCTATAGCAGCAACATACATAATGAATGATATACTTGATTCTCTTTAGTTAATTATTCTTTCCGTTTTATCGAGAACCAGGTAATTATTTACTTCTATGCATATCAGACAGTTTCTGATCTTTAAAGATTCAATTTACTGTTGACTATTAATGAGAGCACCATTTTGTTTACAATAATTCTTCTGTTGTTCCTTAGTTACTAGTCAGATCATAGTAAGAATCCAAAACTGATTAAAACAAACTGTAGTGGAAATTCTTACAAGAATTGTGTTTCAAGATAAAATATATTGTAGAATAGAAAATTTTGAAGATTATATTTTAGAACGAAAATTATAAAAGTATGAATGAAATTTGAAAAACCATCCAATTTGAAGTCGATTGTACGTCAGGATAAAAGAAAAGTGAGAAAAGGAAAAATATTAACGTTTAAATGAAGAATACACAATTCGTTTATTAGTCAACCCATATGATTACTATATACAAGGCAGCTTTATACATCTAAAGGTCCAAAATACTCCAACTTAACTTTTATTCCCTTCTTTTCTAAGTAGGCTTTAATTGATTTCATATATCCACGAGGGCCCAAGAGGTAAACTTCATCCGATGGTTTAATGAAATCTAAATCTGGAAGCTCCAACTTCCTTTGTATTACTTTGTCAATAGACTCTTCAATTTTGGTACAGTTAGAAAAGTATTCCGTTAAAGTAAACTTATCACCATACAAAGTTTTCTTTTCCTTAAAGAAATCAGCAAATGGTCTTACCGATGAATTTCTATTGGAATTCAACAATACGACTTTACTGCCAGCATCTAATGCCCTATCTATGATTGAAATTAGTGGAGTAATACCAATTCCACCTGCAATCATTACAACTTCGTTGGAACCTTCTGAGTAAACGAAAGAACCACAAGGTGGAGCCACGCTCAAAGTATCTCCAATATTTAAAGTTTCATGAATGAAAGTAGATACTTTACCTCCTTCTAGCTTTCTAACTGAAATTCTATATTCATTGTGGCTAGGATACTCCGATAGAGAGTATTCCCTACTCTTTTCAAATAAATCACCGGGAAGCAACCATCTAATACATACATATTGACCTCTAAGAGGTGCGGATATGTGTCCTTCATCATTAGGTGTAAAATAAACTGACTTAACATCATCAGATTCAGGAACAATCTTTGTTACTTTAAATTCTCGAAAGCCCTGCCATGGACTCTTATCATATTCAGTAGCTTCTGAATCAATTAAAATTTTTGCTAAGTTCCCGTAAGCAATAGCCCATGCATTCAAAAACTCTTCATTTGCCACTTCTGATGGTAATAAATCAACCATAGTCTCAAGAAGACATTTTCCAACAATGGGGTAGTGTTCTGCTTTGACTTGTAATCCCACATGCTTAGATACAATTTGTTTAACAAAGTCACCCAATGGGGTTAAATCTTCAATGTGTTTAGCATAGTTCAACAACGCAAATGCCAATATCTTTGGCTGACGTAACAACTTCTGATCAGTTTCATTAAAAAATGGTTTTACTTCATCGTAGTCAGAAAGCATCTTCTTGTAAAATTTAGCAGTTAAAGTTTCTCCAGCTTGTTCCAAAATAGGAACAGAGTTTAAGATAATCTGGATTTGTTCAGGGGTAAGATCTTGTGATTGATATAATTGAGCCATAATTGGTATCTCTTTATCCTAAGGAGTTCTTAATCCTCTACAATCTATAAAAGATGTAACATTTAACGTATTTTTATACTTTAGTCATTGATAGTTCTCTTCTACCGAAACGGAAATTATAGTAATGTCCGTTATAATTCGGAGATATGTAATTGTGTTGCAAAAAGGACTTCTTTAGTTGAGCTAAATCTTACTTAAATGCCTGTGTGGGCTGATTTTTTCCGGTCAGGAGAAGTGGCCCTCTTCAAGCGCCGTTCAATTTACAAGGGCAAAGTCGGAACTATTTAGTATGGCAGAAGCTACATATTTCCCACCCTCAAGAATGGACTAGTATCATCGCTAACTACAACCTTAATATTACACAGCTTCTTTTGCTAAATCGATACCTGCACATCATCCACCAATTGTACAGTCGACGACGACTAGCGCATAAGGAGGGTAATGTGCTCGATCCATTAACTCTCCCACTTATTAAAAATTGGGTATCATATTTGTCTTCATCCTTATAAATCTATCTACTATATTATCTACCTACTATGTCCAATCAGAATATCTCGCTGAGAGTTTTCACTAGTTTCTAGTTTCTCTCAAAAATTTTGCAAGTATTTATTCACTCTATATATAATTTTATATCGTGTATATTGAGAATACATATTTTGCTACGGAAAAAAAAAAATTGAGTCAGAATTGGGATCGAGGAATTAATAATATATTTTGGACCAATAAGGTAATCTGTATTGCAAATTATAATTTAATTGTACTACACTTGAATCAACGAAGGTTTGTGTAGACTTTATTTGGTTTTAAGTTTTATGAATATGCAACATTAAATCTTGTAGAAAAAAAACTTGGATACTTCGAAAATGTACCTAGATTGTTATTATACATAACATCTCTTTGATAAACAGTTTCGTAAAGCAAACACAGGAGCAAAAATCCAACAAACCTCAATATAGCAAATACCATTACAATAAGTACCCATTGACGACTGTTTAAAATATGCCCTAAACTATGTAAAATTACAAAAATCCAAATACATTAAATTTAATGATTACATGCTCTACTTTGGACAGCGTAAGTATTCTAACCTCTATTTACCATTATCAGAATATCATCCTCATATCATTAAAAAGTGTGACAATTGTCGCTTGTTTTAGACATCCCATAACTATAGTAGTAGAAATTTCGCATATAATTACAAATTCCTCTAAAATACCTGTAACTTCACCCAGCTTAATGTGAGTACTACCAAATTACACAAATCACTTAAGTATATCAACGTCTACAATATACTTCATTTCCAACTCCGATCAGTTAAATATAAAGTCTATTGCAAACAGCGAGAATACACTCATTTGTAAACATCCAACATCCGGAAAATTACAATATCAGTCATATATCTGTACAACTATATGACTTACTTTAACATAGATTAACTTTAGTTCAACTTTCATATATTCTTATTAAGTCTAGCCTAAATTTATCTAAAATACACTAAGACTTTCTTTTGAATTTCTAATTAACTTACCAAACTTCTTTAAAATAATTACGAGTAACTAATTCTCATAACATTAAGTCTCAATTTACTACAACGTCGTATATGTGGTAGTCCATGTAATAGTATATACAGTAAATGGGTCACTTACTGTTGGGAAAAACGAAGACGAGGTGATTACCTCACCATCCTTATTGTGGGTGACAACCACTTTAGCTGAATCGGTGGCTTTAAATCCGTCAGTTAAAGTGGTAGTAAATGTAGTAGTATATACAGTGAATGGATCAGTTGGAGTTGGGAATAGTGAAGTTTTTGTAGTCAATTCACCATCGGTATTGTAGGTAACAACAACTATACCGGAATCAGTAGCCACAAAGCCATCAGCTTCAGTGGTGGTGAATGTAGTCGTATAGGAAGTAAATGGGTTACTCTTAGTTGGGAATAAGGAAGTCTTCGTGGTTACTTCGCCATCGGTATTGTAGGTGACATCAACTACACCAGAATCAGTAGCAACATATCCATCAGTGTCGGTAGTCGTGAAAGTAGTGGTGTAGTGAGTGAATGGATCGGTAGGAGTTGGGAATAGTGACGTCTTTGTAGTTACTTCACCATCGGTATTGTAGGTAACAACAACCACACCGGAATCAGTAGCCACAAAGCCATCAGCTTCAGTGGTGGTGAATGTAGTAGTGTATCGTGTGAATGGATCAGTTGAAGTTGGAAATAAAGATGTTGTAGTGATGTGATTACCGTCTTTATCAGTAGTTGCAAATACTATACCGGAATCGGTAGCGACAAACCCATCCGATTCAGTTGTGGTGAATGTAGTAGTGTATTCATTTGGGAATATGGAAGTGCTCCATCCATCGGTTCCTGTAACTTGGACTAATCCAGATTCGGTTTCTACGGAGCCATCCGAATTTGTGGTTGTCCAGGTTGTCGTGTAATCAGGTTGATCCATAAGGAGATCATATACTAAAGGCACAGCAGTTGGACATGGCAAACATTCGCTTGGTCTACTACCGTCTGGAGGAGGAGCATTATAAAACCAACGAGATCTTCCCCACGCAAGTTTATTTCCTGAATTTCCGTAGGAATATATTACATTAGCAGGATCATACCCCGGACCGACAACAAATTGAAATGTATTCCCATCAGTAGTAACACTTAAAATGCCATCAGTAAAATTCCAAACTGGATTAGTATTGAGCACAGAAATAGTATTATTATTACCCCAACCTTTCACATAGAATTTACTAACTGGTTTTCTGTTATTAGTGATATCTACAACAGATGTATTTGAACTAAGATATATTGTGTGTGGGACGCCATCTTGTGACCACATATCTGCACACTTAATTGAAAGTGTACTTTGATTACCAACATCAAAACAACCATTTCCCGCGATTGGAGAACTTTGATATAACGGGTTATTGTTCCACAAGCAAAGTGAACCATTGTTAATAACAGTAGCGACATCAGTACTACAAGCTGCGGGTGATCCAAAATAAGTACTTGGAGGACCCCCCAAACCCGTATAATATTGCATATAAGAGAGTACACCTTTATTAACAAAAGTTCCGTATGGTTTAATAGTATTTGTAGACCCATCACACAATTGACAGCCTGCCATAATAAATGTTCCTTCATTAATAAAGTAATTACCATGTATAGTATACGTAGGTGGACCACAGGCTGTATTGTTATCATTATAAACAAAAGTACCACGATTAAGGAATCCCCCAACGTTGGTATCTTCATTAAGTTTATAAGTCAGACCGGAGATATGATCCTTTTGAAAATATGGATAAGCACCGATATTTTGACAATAATATATACCATTATTTTCGAAGAAGGTATTATACCCATGTGTATCGTAATTGTAATATATAAAGGCTCCATGTTCATGAATGGTTATATTAGCACGCCATTCACAACCATATTCACCCCCTGTAAAGTAAGTGATATTCCTTACAGTAGTGTTATAGATATCTAAGTTCGTCGTTGTGATTCCAGCAAAAACAGTTTGCAATAGGAATGATGCAAAAGCAATTGCTCCTAAAGTTGAAGACTTCATTTCTGATCTTTAATTCTGTGAAGACTAACATTATAAAATTTTATTCGAATTAGATGATGAACTTTGTTATATATAAAATTGTTCTAACTCATTTGAAAGTATTTTGAATATTGAGAATGGTGCAATAATTTCATAAAAGGCTGCTAAATTTTATTTCTAGCAATGCATAAGAAAATAGACTTTAACAGTCAGATATAGCGGCTTTATAAACTCGAACTAATCAGAACTTTCAGCTCTTTAAACAAGGTTAAAGTTTTTATAGAAAACATATTCTTGGCTTGAATCGTAGCGTGCCATTTAGAGGGATTGTTACCATGCATGTTGTGGTTCGAACTTGATATTTTGTGTTGACCATTTAAAAGAGTTCTACCAAGAAATTTATAATATGAAAATAATGAATTTTAAAGTTTTGCCAGCTTCAAAATATACGAATAAAAACTTCGCTTGCTACCTTACAACATATTTAGCGTTTATAGAAGATTTGAATTGTGGAATTAAGGAACAGTTTAGTTCTTCCTTAAGTTTTTCGGAATGCCAATCATTCTAATAATCTATTAAGCATTGTACTACTTGAACAGTTCATGTTTTATCTTTCAACAAAAAGTATTTCAGTTATTATGTACAGGCTTATGTTAATCGGGTTTTAGGACAAATATTGCACGTTGACGAAAACGCGGTAATAAGATTCATTAAAATATATATCAATACTTGGTAGAATGAGTTTAAATTTAACATTTCATTCTGCATGTAATATCTTCTGCTAGCCTGTTCTTAAGAAAATTTAAACTTTGAATGTACTAGCTAGAAAGAATTTACGAATCTTTCCAGAAATGATTTGATTGGAATCCAGCTTTGACTTTATCATAAAATAAGAAGTAAATGAATTGACTTGGACATTGAAGACCTCAGAATTTGTTTGTACTTCAATATTTAGAAAATCAACTCGTACTACAGTTGGAGCAATACACAGACACGATTAAGTGAGGGTAGCTTTCTTATTTAAAAGATGTAACCTTCACAATGAAAACTTTTGAATAGAATATCATATACTTCCTTTAATGGTTCACCAAACTATACTTTAACAAGTAATTGTATGGATATCATCTAGTGGTTCCATTTGAAATTCTGCTTTGAAATACTATAACATCAAAATTTGTAAAATACAAATAACATCTTGGAAATCGAAAATAGAGTTTAAATGATGCACATTTGAATGTACCATCAACAACAGAGAATGATCAACGTTTATTCAAAGAGAATGTTTCTAATCATGCTGATGTGTTAGTCGCTTATGAACATTTAAACTTTGATAGAAACATCTAATTTATCACAATAGTAACTTTTAACAATATATAGTTGCTTATCTAAGAATTGTTTCATGAAAGCTTAATAAATTTGATAATCTACCCGACAAAATTATGCTGTCATTTGCAGTGTGCTCTATTTCTCAGGACTATTCTATATACAAATAAAAACAAAAATATGAAGACATTGAATAGCTGCCCACAATCTTAGTTACCGGCTTATTATATTGACTATTGGTATTTAGTTACTGCCTACTACATATATTTTGTCTTTACTTGTAGATTCAACTAACAATCCACCACCTGTCATTGTAAAAACATCTTACTTCATCAATAATTTAGATTAGCATATAAGTTACTATTATAAGCTTTCTCTAAAACAGTGGTATACATTATATAGTATACCAGTCAGACTATAATGCGTTAAAAGCTAGAGTGGTGCAATAGTTTCAAAAGGGGATGCATTTTTTTTGCATATAGTCACACAATTTTTGACGTTGTGCAGATCGCAAAAAGTGGTTCGTTATGTTATCACTAAATTTTTCTTAGCTTGCAGCCATCGCTAATGCACGAATTTTGTGTTTTCGTTCTATTGCATAGGTTTGTGCTAGTTATGACTGGGCCGAATGCGGAATATTATATATCATGACTTTTTACAATCAAGTGCGTATGTAATATTAATAGAGTAAATTCAAAACAGTATCGCGAACAACTTTTATGTTTTTGGTGGCTCGCTTGGACTGAGCAGGCTTAGACTGAACCCTCAATATTACAAATCATATGTACATCCTACAGTAGGGATAAAGACCCTATCTATATAAATTGACAGTGATATAAAAAGCATTAAGCTTTGCTATATCGATCCAGTCTATAGTCAAATACAAGTATTTACACGAACTTTTATTAATGTTAATACATTGTATAATTAACTTCTCATAGGTACATAATCGAATAATGACTAGTATTTTCGCTATTTTACTTCGACTTTAATTTTGCTTTTTAAATAATTTATCTAATGAAACAAATTATCTACAGTTATTATTAGGAGCTATATAATATAGGGAATGAATTGACGAAATTTTTAATCATACTAACGGTCGATTAGTTTATGCACGATGAAAAGCATACTATTAATATTACCAAGAAAATCCCATTTTCTTCTCTACATATGCCATTCTATTAGACCATTTTTGCATGTTTGATTTTAATTTTGGCAATTACTTTCAAGAACACTGAGGAAGAAAAAATTCAATTGTTTAAAGTTTCGCCCACCTACAGTTTACGAATATTTTCAAAATAATCTTTGCCTTGAGTCACAAAATGTGTTTCAAACACTAAGTACATATGTAAAATATATATAGAAATAAGTCCGTTTGAAGTCCTATCGCTATTTCACCCTATACAACATGAAAAATGATACACCAACATATCATATTTTGCTATTCACGAAAGTTGAAACTCTATGCGGACTCCAAATAGTACACTGGATCCTAAAGATACGAAAATTATTTTTACAGAATATCGTAACTTATCGATTATGTGCAAGAACATATGTCTTTCTTGGCAATGATGGGATTTTGTTTTTCAAACTTTAATGCAATATAAGAGATTTACCTGCTTGTCCAATAAGGTTGGTAAAGGATGACGTTTTTTTAAAACCTGTTCAGAACACCTATAATGTAGGTTAAAATCTTAAATGCATGAGACAAACCGACAAAGGTAACGGTTAATCCACGACATTAATCCAAATCTAGGTGAATAGGGAATCAATCACGTAACATTTAGTTCTATATACGTAACTATCATTCACTCATCTCTCTCTACAACTCACTTCGCAGTCTGTACTCCTACCTCACAATTATTTATAGTCCCTTCTGACGATCAACCAGGTAATGTAAATGTTCAGTAATACACAATATTAAGAAAAGTCCGGACATTGTTAAGGCTTGCTCATGACAATATATTCTTCATTAAAGGATTCCTTCGAGATTCTATTATAGCTAGGTTGAGTAATTGATTTGGAACTGGCAGATAGTATTTATGAATATCTCATGCTGGACAACTTTACCAGACGAAAGGTAAAAATCATACCACTTTCAAAAATTTTGATCTGTCTGCACTAGACTTATCTAAGCGGAAATCCGCTAAGATCTCACAATAGTTTACTATTTATGTTTCCCCAACATCCATTCTGCCAACACCCACTCTACCAAAACCAAAAAAAACTATCTACATCTGTAAGAGTATATCTCAGTAGAATCATGAAACTTTATCAATTAGAGTAATAAACAATGCCGGATGATACAACAACTGCTACAACTACCAAGTCACCTTTCCCCCATCCTTGGTGGGTTTCTTATTCTTTTAGAGAACCATTACCAAAATGCAAGGATGAGTGGCTTATAAACGATATATCAAATTCAATTCGAGAAAAATTAGAATGGCGATCTAAATACAAAGACCCAATTATTTCTGAAAAATGGAAACAAGAAGTCAACTCCAGCTTAGTAGGTAAGACTAAAATTCCTAATGAAATCATATCTTATGTGTTGGAAGAATTGAAGTGGTATGATAAAATGGCAGTAAATATTGGTGGCGGGTTTGCAGTTGGTTGCGATCCTAAAATTGTATTCTCAGACTCATGTATAGGTGAAGAGACAAATGCTGAGTTGAAGAGGTTAAGTGATTTATTCCAATTGGATTTTGGTGAAGATATTGATTATCATCCCGGATCAAATGATACAGTAATTGATTTGGTGCACCCTTCATTATTCCCTCTTCAATATGGTAAAACGCCCATATATGGTACTTCGGACAAAACAAAATTAGAAATGGTTGAATTTTCAGAAGATATTTACAAAGTTAAAGAAGGAGTCAGCTTTGGTACTTCCAAGCGCTTTCAATGGTTACCGGCATTATTTGAATTAAATCTTGAAAATAAAAATTACGAAATCAAGTCTTATATTAACAATTTAGATCCCATTGAGTATACAAACTTGTATGAAATAATAGCTAAAATATTCAATTTAATAATCCCTGGTTTGAATCATACACTCTCGGCTTATGGTCTGACTGAATATTTAAAAATCGAAATCCCTATTGGGGACGATGCATATGAAGAAAATTTCATGATTGAATTTGATCGGAAGATGGAAGAACTTGATATGCGGCATCCAGAGGCTAGTGATGAAGAATACGAAGCATTAGAAAGAACTAAAGTCAATGGATTGAAGAAGTTTATGCCAAAGTATCCAGCAGAACCGAGGATCGACAAGACAATTGATGTTAAAGATTTTCAACAATTAAAAGTAATTGTAAAAATGGCAAATATTGAATTAACTCCCGATAAACCTAGATATGAAGGAGGCTCGTGGCATGTGGAAGGTACTATCAATGAAGACATAGTTGCTACGGTTCTATATTACTATGATTGTGAAAATATAACCGACTCCTACTTGAAGTTTAGATGTTCATTTGGGGACCCAAATTATCCACAGAATGATGAAATCTATCCAAGAGAGATATATGGTATAGAGAACGAAGATATAATGGTAAGAGAAATTGGACATGTACAAGCATTGACTAACCGAATAGTGGTATTTCCCAATATTTTCCAGCATCAAGTACAACCTTTTGAGTTGCTTGATAAATCTAAACCAGGTCGCCGTAGAATCTTATGCTTCTTTGTGGTTGATCCTTACAACCAAATTGTTAAATCAACTTTGGACGTTCCACCTCAGCAGTTACATTGGTGGGAAAATGAGTCCTTGACTCAAAAATTAGGTCGTTTGAGTGTGGCGGACACAACAAAATTGAATAAACAATCATTGGAAGTGGCTTACGAAATCAGGAAACAATTGATGGAAGAACGAAGTCCGGGCAATGATCCTATGTGTGCTTTTAGTAATGAGTTCAGTCTATGTGAACATTAGATCAGAACTTTTGTAACATTGATCAAAGATTACAAATTAAAACAGCAACATACAATGGTGATAAGGAAAATACCCAATTCATTTATTATTCATATGCTCAAGCCATAATTATTGACATTTACAAGATAACTTTAATTGGACCTCATCTAGGGAAACATGGAGATAGTATATTATTTAAACAATTTGAAATACCGTTGAGGTTGAAGTATTCAAGAGACATTATCAAAAGCAAGAATTTAGATTATTTCCACGAGATCATGAACCACTTTATATATAATAGTCTACAAAGTATGCATTTCAATTTCTTATGAAATATTGGGAAAGAAGAAAGGGTATTTTTTTAATCATATCTTGAGTGGAGTTGTTCAAAATTAATCATAGTTCCTACAATAATATTTTAAATATTTTTATATTTAAGGTGAGAAATCGGAATATATGCACCAGTTTATTAAACTCATAAGTCAACTTAAGGATGGCGATATCTTAATTTAACATCTGACTATCACTCAAATATCAAATCTTTCAATCACTGGAGAGACAAACACTGGCACCACCATACTAGTTTATTCAAGTTATATATATTCGTATTCATCCTACAGTAAACATTTTAGATGACGTGGTAATGAATGGAAGATGCTTATTTCACTTATTTCTTCTTTTACGCTCCTTCTCTTTATTTAGTTTCGATATTTAATTGTTCATGAAAAGTTTATGAGTTAATATTATTACTCTTATTCTAGAGTTAATTATTTATTAACTTTCCTTTTATAATTTTCTGTATAATAGATTTTATCAATTTTAAAACTAGTTGCAATAATTAAAGAGCAACTGAAGAATAATTGCAATCGACATATTTGCTACTATTGATCATGAATTGGGTAACTCTCAATAGACATGTCAATTCCCAGAACTAATTTGATGGTTGTTAATTATTTTGGGAAATTAGCAGGATTTTCAGCGTGCGTCAAATTATATGCAGAACTTTCTTATCTTTGGTATTCAGAATACTTAACTAATGATTAGTTAGGAGAACCAAATATAGCTTGCCTAAATATTGGTCTTCAGCAGCTACTTAATTTCTCCACTATTTCCAATCTGCGCGCCTCATTGTATCAGTAACTAGAATAAAAGATTTCTGTAAAGATATTTTATAGCCTTTTCTATATATATTAAAAATATTGACATGTAACGAATTAAAGGTACCGATCATGATTTCTCATTACTATGATCGATTTCTTTGATTTAGATCACTTCCTTGAATAGGGTTAATTATAATACTTCTACTTTTTTATCATTCTTTGTTCCGAATTATCCTTACCTTGATCGATATAAAGTTTTTATATTATATAAACAAACATAGTAATATTATATGGGGTGTAGGCTAAACAGTTACATCTATAGCTAAAAGAATCCATGTGATTGGCTAAATAAAATAATCCGAACGATGGATTCGTGCTTGTTTTCACGTGATCATAATGATATGCATTGTTCTCGAATAGCTAACCGTTTCCCCTGTTTTTTATTCTTTTTGATTTCTTTTTTTCCGGTTCCGTTAATGGCTTATATTCCTGAAATTATATTTACATTAAAGATTTTAATTCGTTGACTTATCTGCCTAATTTGGCAACAAATAACACGAGCGGGATTTGTTAATTTTTTTTCAGTTCAATTCAATGACTCGCACCTCCTTTTTTTTATTTAATTCATCAAGAAATTTTAAGATGGGAACATGGGGTGTAAAAAACACAAACATGGGGTGTTGGAACGGAGAGAAAAAATAAAGAACACGAAAAAAAACATGGGGTGTAAACTTTTTAGAATAGGTCCATTCAATTTATTTTACGTTCGTAACATGTCCAGGATTAGTGCATAATTTAAATGTCGTTTAGTGGAATTGCCTTGCTATTAGATATATTCTACAATTACATTTACTATAGAAAAAGATAAGACCGGATAGATTGATAAGCAATGTATCCATTGGATACGACTATTAAACCCACATAAATGTACAATCACTATAAGTCATACACACCAAACATAACCTTTACCTGGAAGTATGTCATATAATCTGGCAGATATTTCCCTTTAGTTGAAAAAAAAAAAAAAAAAAATAAAAGAATTCAAATTAAAGAAAAATTAAAATAAAAGAAAAATAAAAGTCTCTCAAAATGTCTACGCATTTCTGGTTCCTTTTTTCTTTCAACGACAAGGTAAAATTAAATTTGAATTACTTGTTAGGAAAAGCCAGACATTAACCAGCTTTAAGGTTACCTGTAGTCAATTAAGTATCGACACCTCAAAACAAGTTAGGAAACTACTATACGACAACTTCGACATTATAGTCAAAGATCATTCATTAGGTACCCCCTCATATCTAGATTTGCATATATATACGGACCATGTCGGTATATGCTTCTAATTCAGCAGCTGTGGCCCAACAGCAACAACAGCAACAGCAACAACAACAAGCTGTAGCCGCTCAACAACAACAAGCAGCTCAGCAAAGACAACAACATCAACAAAGATTGAATGAGTTGTTGGATGCAGTCAAGCAAGAATTTGATTATGCATTAAATGAAGCTTCAAATTTCAAACAAGTTAAAGAAGATTATGACTTGAAGTATAGTCAACAAACAGCAGAAATGCAACAAATTAGACAAACTGTTTATGAGTTAGAAATGGCCCATAGAAAAATCAAAGAAGCTTACGAAGAAGAAATTTTGAGATTAAAGACAGAATTGGAAAATAGAGATAGACAAGTTCAAATCCAGCAACAGCATCAACAACAACAGCAGCAACAACAGCATCAACAACAACAACAACAACAGGCAGCAGTTGCAGCTCAACAAAAGTCTAATGGGTTAAACTATGGTGGCTATCAACAATCTCCGGTTCAACCACCTGCCGTAGCAGCTGCAACACAACCAAGTGCTGTTACAACTCAACCTGCTACTCAACAATTACCACCTCCAGTTCAACAATCTCCTCCTAAACAAGAAGTTAAACCTATTGTTCCTAAGACTGAAGAATCAAATGGTGTATCTTCTACATCTACTGCATTGACAGTAATTGATAAATCTCAATATATTGTTAATCCAACTCAAAGAGCTTTACATGTTAAAGAGATTCCTCCATTTTTATCAGATTTAGATGTTTCTAAAGCTAATCCTGATTTTAAAAAGCAAAAGATGGAATATTATGTCTTGTATAATCCTGCTTTTAGTCGTGATTTAGATGTTGATTTAATTCATTCATTAGATCATTCATCAGTTGTTTGTTGTGTACGTTTTTCAAAAGATGGGAAATATATAGCTACTGGATGTAATAAAACTACTCAAGTTTTCAATGTTGAAACTGGTGAATTAGTTGCTAAATTAATTGATGATAATAATTCAAATGATACCATTACAAATGGTGATGGAAATAAAAATAGTAATGGAAATGGAGTTAATGATTCTACTGATTCTTCAACTGCTGGTGGAGCAGGATCTTCAACTGCTGCTAATGGTGATTTATATATTAGATCAGTATGTTTTTCACCAGATGGAAAATTATTAGCAACTGGTGCAGAAGATAAATTAATTAGAATTTGGGATTTAAGTACAAAAAGAATCATTAAAATTTTAAGAGGTCATGAACAAGATATTTATTCTTTAGATTTCTTCCCTGATGGTGATAGATTAGTTTCTGGATCTGGTGATAGAACTGTTAGAATTTGGGATTTAAGATCATCTCAATGTTCTTTAACTTTATCAATTGAAGATGGAGTTACTACAGTTGCTGTATCACCAGATGGACAATTAATTGCAGCCGGTTCTTTAGATAGAACTGTCAGAGTTTGGGATTCAACTACTGGATTTTTAGTTGAAAGATTAGATTCTGGTAATGAAAGTGGTAATGGACATGAAGATTCGGTTTATTCTGTTGCTTTTACAATTAATGGTAAACAAATTGCTTCTGGTTCATTAGATAGAACTGTTAAAATATGGAATTTAGAAGGTAAACAAGATCCTCAATCTAATAATAAAAAATCGAGTTGTGAAGTTACATATATTGGTCATAAAGATTTTGTTTTATCGGTATGTTCAACTCCAAAGAATGAATATATTCTTTCTGGTTCAAAAGATCGTGGAGTTATCTTCTGGGATCAACTTTCTGGTAATCCATTATTAATGCTTCAAGGTCATCGTAATTCCGTTATTTCTGTGGCTGTATCATTAAATTCTCAAGGTACTGAAGGTATATTTGCTACTGGTAGTGGTGATTGTAAAGCTAGAATATGGAAATGGACTAGAAAATAATTGTAATTGAAGTTGAGTCAACATTCACTAATTAATTAAACAATTAAGTAAAGACCATTATCATATAGATTGCCCAAACAGTGTACCATTACTACTAGTTAATACTAGTTATTTCTAGCTAATGTCGGATCTTATTATTATTATTATTTTTTTTTTAAAAAGACGACATGCGCTACCAGTCGGTCGACAATTGTCTGCATTTATTGTTAATATTATTTTATGTCTGTCTGTCTCTCTCTTATTATTTACTGTTGTTGTATGTTATACTTATTTCTTTCTTTTTATCACCCCCTCCACCTCCTCCCATCATGTACTCTGCCTTTATATATTTCTTTGTATGTATTGTAATAATATAAGTTAGTTATACGAATTGCTATACGACGCGACTAGCACTGGAAAATTTTCAAAGCTCCAACAAAAAAGGCATACAGTAAACCGTAAGCCATAACCACCACCATAACACAACTGCATAACAACACATTGGCCATGACTGTATACACTGCCTCGTGTACTGCACCAGTCAATATAGCTGTAAGTAAAATATAAAGAAAATATATAAATGAATTACCATACTAACTCATGACACATTATAGACTCTTAAGTATTGGGGTAAAAGAGACAAAGCATTGAACTTACCCACCAATTCATCCATCTCGGTAACATTATCGCAAAAGGATCTTAGAACCTTAACCACGGCCTCAGCCAGTAGTGACTATACTAGTGATAAATTATGGCTTAATGGGAAGGAAGAATCCTTAGAGTCTCCAAGATCTAAAGCATGTTTACAAGATTTAAGACAATTAAGAGCTCAAGTTGAAGCTAGTAATAGTGACTTACCTAAATTGTCTCAATATAAATTACATATTGTATCTGAAAATAATTTCCCTACGGCAGCTGGTTTAGCTTCATCAGCTGCTGGATTTGCTGCTTTAGTTAGTTCTATTGCAAAATTATATAAATTACCTCAAGATATGTCTGAATTATCAAAAATTGCTAGAAAGGGTTCAGGTTCTGCTTGTAGATCATTATTTGGAGGGTTTGTGGCTTGGGAAATGGGTGAATCAATTGATGGTGAAGATTCTAAAGCTGTCGAAGTAGCTCCATTATCTCATTGGCCAACATTAAAGGCAGCTATATTAGTTGTTAGTGATGATAAAAAAGATACTCCAAGTACTTCTGGTATGCAATTAACAGTAGCAACTTCTGATTTATTTCAATATCGTATAAAGGATGTAGTTCCTAAAAGATTTGAAGAAATGAAATCTGCAATTCTTGCTAAAGATTTTGAAAAATTCGCTGAATTAACTATGAAAGATTCGAATTCTTTTCATGCTGTATGTCTTGATTCATATCCTCCAATTTTTTATTTAAATGATACTTCTAAAAAGATTATTAAATTAGTTCATAAATTAAATGAATTAGAAGGTAAAATTATTGCTGCTTATACATTTGATGCCGGTCCAAATGCTGTAATTTATTATGATGAAAGTAATGAACAAAAAGTTCTTGGATTACTTAATACTTATTTTGGATCATTAGGTGGATGGGAATCTTATCAAGGTGAAACTTTACCAAAATTAGAAATTGAAGGTACTGATTCAGAAATCTATAAGGGAGTTTCAAGGATTATCTTAACCAGTATTGGTGAAGGTCCGCAAGAAACTGATCAAGTTTTAACTGTATAGAGTTACTAGACTACACATGTAACAAAAATATAAATATAAATACAAGTACCCATAATTATCTTTAATTGCAATATAAATTTCTATATAATATAACTGATAACTGATAACTGAACTAAATAAGAATAAATGGAAAACGGGAAGAATACATAACTTATACTAAAACCTAAATTGAACTTTTCTTTGAAAAATTGAATGAATACAATGTAATAGAATTGGAAAAGAATTGAACTGAATAGAATAAAATAAAATAAAATAGAATAGAATACAATAAAGAGACAGTGTCTTATATACCATCTGTAGTGAGATCGGAGAGTTCTGTATCCACAAGATTCTTCAATTCTTGTAAATTATTGACACCCTTATTGAAATAATCTCGTAAAACTCGGTTGTATTTGTTTAATACCTTTTCATATTTTTGAATTTGAGATTTGGCATCACCCAATTGCAGTTCCATTCTATTTATACTATCTTGTAATTGTAAGTGAGCTTGTTTCTTTCTTTGTCTACATTTTGAAGCAGCTATTCTATTTCTTTCTAATAATCTTTCTCTTTTCCATGCTGCTGTACCGGGTATTGGCCCATTATTAGGATTATAGATAACTTCATTATTGTAGATTAATTGATGATTAGGTGGTGGAACTCCTGCAACATTAGAGACTTCTTTAGAAGGTTCTACTTTTGTTGGCTGTTGAAATTGTTGGTTGAGTTGTTGTGCTTGTTGTGCTTGTTGTTGTTGGACTTGTTGATGGTGAAGTGGAATAATTGGAACAGTAGTGGCTGTTTGAGGTAATATAGGTTGTTGAGGTAATTGATTTGTCATTTGATTGTTATTGTTTGGAACCGTGGTAGGAGGTTGCATTAAATCATCATCATCAAACATTGGATTTGAATAATCTTCATTATAAAATAAAGCTTCGTGATTTATAATTTGACCAATTTGACCATTAGAAATAGAAATTCTCCTTCTTCTTTGTACGCCATCAGACATATAAGGAATCATAGTTGTTGAATCAAATAATGGAGGATTTGTCATTGGATATGAGTTCATTTCAAATGGATTATGGAATTGGAATAAAGAAGATGTTTGTTGAGCGTTTGAAGTAGGATCAGCAGTTGAATTATTAGTATTATTGGCACTATTATTAACTGTACTAGTATTGGTTGTAGCACTAGTGCTTGATACATTTACTGTTGATGAAACGTTATTTGGAGAAAGGATATTAGTACTAGGTGATACACTATTTTCAGGAAATAAATTACTTGTAGTATACAGATGAGGTACTAACTTATTTGATTCTATTGATGGTACTATGGTATTGAAATTAGTATTGGAATTTGAAATAGTATTTGGACTTGAACTATTAGTAACAAGACTTTGAATATTATTACTATCACTTCTATCACTTGAAGTTGCCGATGATGTATTTGACACTGAGGTAGTGGTTGTAGCAGTATTTTCGATTAAAAGATTTTTAAGATCAGTTTCAGAGAATGAATTGGTACGACTTAATCCCGTTAAGGAGCCTTTAGCCTTAACAAAGGCAGAGTCTTGAAAAGACGTAGGATCTGGAAGAAATTGTTGTTGGAGTGCTACTGGTTGTTGATGAGCTTCAAATGGTGGGTTGAGTTGTTGCTGTTGCTGTTGCTGTTGTTGATGCTGCTGTTGCTGTTGTTGTTGAAGTCCTTCAGGACTAGTCAAGAATGACGATACGTAGTTCATATATGAGAACGTAGTTGGACTTGTAATGAAATTTGCTCTTGAATGATCTTGAACAGTTCTCGAGCTCGTTGAATTATATGTATACTGTTGTCGTGATCCGATATGTATATATCGGTGTCCTTAAGTATTGGGGGTTACTCGTAAATTGAAAAATCCCTTGGTAGATGCTTACCAAAAAAAAAAATAAAAAGCAATCTCAAATTGATGAGTTAGCACTCTATATAAATATAACAAGTCTTGACTAAAGATGAGATGGTCTACAGATCTGTGTAATGTGTAATATAGCTTAAGTTAAAGTGGCTTACGATGTGTGAGTCTTTAGCGTGAGTCAAATGCCAAGAGACCATAAATATTAACAATATTAACTAATGTATCGGAAGTATGTAAGAGATCACGAGGGTTATTAAAATTCGATGATTGCATATTTGAAAATCAACAGTTTTTATTTTTTATTTTTTTTTTGCCTTTATTTTAATTGATTTTATTTCATTTCACTGTAATTTCAAAGACAATACTTGATTAACCTCTGAATTATCTATGACGTGGATTAACTTGTTTAGTAATGGCTCAGTTCTTTAATTTCGTAGTTAATCTCGTACTTTTGTTCTTGTTCTTGTTCTTGCTTTAGTTATTGGTTATTGGTTAATGGTTGAGTTTTTCAAGTACGATTGCACTGTCATGAGCATGGTATATTGTTACCTGCCAGACCATATACTTAAAGCCATATCAAAGAGCAAGTGTATCTACATTCTGAATACAACTATTGTTTACCAGCCACATCGAATTGCTCCAAGTGCTCTATGATTTCATTGTTGAAGCTAAATTATCCCCTAATATTTTTGTTTCTTTTCTTTTGTATTATTTCTAGTTCATCTTTTCTTTTATTTTAGTATATGCTATTCCAAACAAAATCGACTTAGAATTCTACAATGTAATAAAATATAACTGCTGCATAGAATATACCCCTAAACCATCACACCATGTCACCGATTGCTTTTCGGTATTTTATCCGTGGTGCATATACCCTTCTATTAGTACACAATAACGAGGCAATGCATTTTGGTCTTCCTGCATATACTCTCCCAATGCAAAAGAATGATCGGTAATAAAAAATTATTTCTGTATCGAATGACGCTTACTGTATCCCTAAAATCGTATTGTTAAATTGTAGATTTCTTAGCATTCTCTTTATGGCCCTGAACATGTATACAATTGACATATTTTTATGATTATTCAGTATATGTACGTATTGAATATCCGCATTTATCCGGATCTCAAGCATACTGCGCCAATACGGAATCGAGTTGAACTTTCCCGTACGTATCGGGTAATACTTATGGTTAATTAAATAATCAAAAACTTATAAACAATCATGACGTAAATGCTGTAATTTCCCACTATTTTGTGAAGAGTTAGCCTATATTTTCGGAAAACTTTGAATGTTTTCCTAGCTTCCTATCTCGATTAATAGTTACTGATGTTAGAAGTAGAATGAGTTACAAAATCAAATCGTAACTAAGGTTATGGGAATATCTAATTCTTGGTTACTAATAAACTTTATTTACTGTACTAATATTCTTAAACTCGTAATTGTAATATTCATACAAATATGAATCCCAAAAACTATAATGAAAATTCTCTTCTCAAATAACCATGACTACAAGATCACTTGGATGTAATCACTCTTTCTTTACTAAGTTTCTCTATCCTTTACTTTGCTTTTGCTTTTGCTCTTGCTCCAGGCTATCCTCGCGAGTAAAGAAAAAAATCACAACCCATAATCTCTAACCGTATAACAAAGCCTTTAGCAGATAGCTAAATACCACAAATTCCTGCAAATGGGATGAACTCCCGCGGTTATGACGCTCGCGATAACCACCTTTATACCAATAATAATTATATAGATGATGATGAAGTATTATCAGTACAATTGATAGAGCAACTTAATATTGAGTTAACATATAGAGCAGATCATGATAACACATACTTTTCAAGTACTTTAAAAATTCTAAATGCTTTCAATTCTCAAATATCCCATACTAATCGTCAATTTGACTTCATAATTGAAAATCAAAGAGGTATGAAATTATTTGGAATACCATTATTTTCTAAGGATTCCCTTATTCCAATCATTGACCCATCTAATTATCAACGTCTTGATGGTAAAGATTTGATTCTAACTAATAATCGATTGGATAACTATTGTTTACCTGATTTAGATTGGGTTTGGTGTTGGGAGAATTGGTATGTTCTTATGTATAATGATGTTGATGATCAAGGTTGGTTATATTCTAATATCTTCTTCTCTAATTCTTTATCTGATAAGAGATGGAAGGGTAAATATTATTTTGGAAATTTTATAAGGAGAAGGATATGGGTCAAACTACGGAAGAAGGTCAATTCTGATTAATGATTAATGAATATAATATACTAAAATTTATAGATCTATATATGTATATAAATATATGCTCTCGCCTAAATTGTTGATTTGATTTTTTACAGCCAATGTTTACATATCATTAACATGAAATCCTACACTCCACCATGTTAAATTATAGTATAGCCTTACCATTAGCGGTTGCTTTGATTCGTCATAAGAATAAGCATCCAAATTCTTCTTCTTTGAACTATGAAGGTATGTATGTATTGTTAATGTGTCTTTTACGCTTAGTACATTTTCTAACCATTTAAAAGATTTAATAAGTAACATCATATATCCTCCACTGATTAAACCAACACCCAGAGGGAAAAGTATAAGTGCATCAATAAAAGAAAGTTATGAAATTGATTATAATGAAATACAAGTTGGTAAACCAATTAGCCATAATTACGATTATTCGAATCTAACTCAATTATTAAAACATTTGAAATATTTACTCAAGTGGAATAATCTGATAAGAAATAATCAATTAATAAGATTATTAGTAAGAAAGATTATTAGAAATCTCGAATGTTATCCAGAGAATGCATCTAAGAATTCAATTCTTAATTTAATTAATGAATGTACTGTTTCTATTATACTTTACGAACATAATTTAAATCCATATATTATATTTAAGTTCAAATATCTTTATTATATTTACATGCGAATACTGAATAAGGCTAGACTACTTTTACTATGTCATTCAAATATCCTTAGTGTTATTTTATTTAAATATTTTAATAATGACCGTACTAACATAAAGTTTCCTTCTAAAACTGTTGAATTGATTATCAATCTGAATATTACTTTGACTAATAATATAAAATTAAATCAAGTTAAACTGATCCAAGTATTGGATTATTATTTATCATTCAATATTCATATGATAATGCATTTAAATAATGGTAAAAGAACTAAATTATTGATTAGTCTTTTGATTCTTGATAACGTATCGGAAAGAATTCTTCCCGAAGATATAAGTTAATCCACTCAAAAGAGTTGTTAAACCAACAATCATTCCCATTCCTTGGAAATATATATCAAGATTCATAGAAAGTAATTGAGTTTCAATAATTGGTTTAAAAACTAATCCTCCTATATAAACCATTTGTAATCCAGTATTAACTTTCCCTAATAAATTTGGATGTACACTTATAGTTGGAATCTGATTAATACTAATAAATTTATCAAAAGTTCTTGGTGGTTGAAGACTATAGTATCTATAATAAAATGACATGAAACTTAATATTACATCTCTTCCAATAATGATTGAAGCTACTGATAAAGGTATTGAATTAACAGTTGCTAGAGATACTGTACATACTGTCATAAGAAACTTATCAGCTAAAGGATCAATAATCGAACCAACTACTGATTTCATATTAAATCTTCTCGCTATATAACCATCAATAAAATCAGTTATGCATGAATATGTGAATAACATAATTGCCAGATCACTATCACCTTTAACTATAAAGTATCCAATGAATGGAGTAGCTATTATTCTTGTATATGTAAGGATATTAGGTATAGTCCATAATGAAGATGATGAATTTTCCTTTTTAACAATCTCAAGTATGCTCTCCTTAGGTGTTGAATTCAATCTTTTCTTATCCGAATATACCCTACTAGTATTTGAAAAATTTCTAGAATTTCTAGAATTTATAATTGGTGATTGATATTTCAATATACAACTACTTATAGTAGGAAATTGTCGAGAAGTGGCATTATATCTTAGTAATGATACTATAGGTAGTCTTAATCTGATAACAGACATCTTATCTTTGTTGCTTATGTTAGATGACCTTTCCTTCCTTCCTTCACTATACGTCCTCACAAATTTTTTTGCGATCTACCATATTGATGCAAAGTGCTTGCGAGATATTACAGTACAATTATCTTTCTTTGGAATATTATTTTTGATAAGCATTCACTCTAATTAATTATAACATATACCTTTCAATTCATCTACTGATTAATGTTGAAAGTTATAGTATTCTATTTATTATAGTTATATTTATCAGGTTGACTAGTTTTACTAGTGTCTGGGTCCTGTATATAGGGAGACGACGACACGATATTAATGATAATGATGATAATGATGATAATGATAGAGTAGATATACTAAAGAAATTTCATACAATTTATAGGTAAGATTTAGTTGACTTCTTCAAGTGACTTATATATCTCAAACTTAGTATAGATTCATATTATAGTTATTGTATTATATCAAATACTAGGTAGCACTGATCATGAGCTTAACTGCAGGAAGGAAGAAAGAAAGCTACGACATTATACATTTAAAAACTAAAACAAATGTCGTACGACTGCACACAGCAGATCGCCATTCCCAAAATGGCAACAAAAGTTTTCGTACACGGTCGAACAACGTAAAAAAAAAATATGTTGAAAGACTTAGTAAGTTAACTATTTAAGTAGTTAAGCAAATCAGTCAGTAAATACAAAGATGTCTCTTAAGCTTCCTCAAGTACCCAACTCCGGGTTATTCAAACAGGGGTATCAATCTATGTCCAATGCCGATGGAGCCATTGTTAGAAATATTGAAGCAGTTCGAGAAATTTCAAGTATTCTTTTAACATCAATGGGACCAAGTGGTAGAAATAAAATTATAGTTAATAAATTAGGGAAAATTTTTATAACTAATGATGCAGCCACTATGTTAAATGAATTAGAAATTGTTCATCCAGTAGTTAAAATTCTTACAATGGCATCAAAACAACAAGAATTTGAAATGGGTGATAATACAAATTTAGTAATAATATTAGCAGGAGAATTTTTAAATATAGCTGAAAAATTAATAAATTTAGGATTAAATGTTACAGAAATTATTCAAGGTTATAATTTAGCTAATAAATTTGTTCTTGAAACTTTGGATAAATTAGTAGTTGATAATGTTGAATCATTACTTGATGCTTCACATTTACAAAAGGCAATTAAACCAGTTATTGCTGCTAAACAATATGGTTATGAAGATTTAATTTCAAAACTTGTATCTGATGGAGTTCAATTAATATTAAATCCTAAAAATCCAAGAGCTTTTAATGTTGATAGTATAAGAGTTGTTAAAATTATGGGATCTTCATTAAGTGAAAGTCAAGTTATAAAAGGTATGGTATTCCCAAGAGAACCAGAAGGTAGTGTAAAGAATGTTAAATCAAAATCAAAAGTTGTAGTTTTTACTTGTCCAATAGATATATCAACTACTGAAACTAAAGGTACTGTATTATTGCATAATGCCCAAGAAATGTTAGATTTTTCAAAGGGTGAAGAACAACAATTAGATCAAATGTGTAAAGAAATTTATGATTCTGGTGTTAAAGTTGTTGTTGCTGGATCAAATGTTGGAGATTTAGCTTTACACTTTTTTAATAAATATAATATTTTATTATTAAAAGTTCCATCTAAATTTGATTTAAGAAGAATTTGTCAAGTTTGTGGAGCTACTCCACTTCCTCGTTTAGGTGCACCAATGCCTGATGAAATGGGTGAAATTGATATTATAGAAACTAAAGAAATTGGTGGTGATAGAGTTACTATATTCAGACAAGATGAATCTATTTCAAGAACTGCCACTATAATTATTAGAGGTGCAACCCAAAATTCTTTAGATGATGTTGAAAGAGCTATAGATGATGGTGTTAATGCAATTAAAGGTTTATTAAAAGATAATAGATTATTACCAGGAGCAGGAGCTGTTGAAATTGAATTAATTAAATTAATTACAAAATATGGTGAAAATACTCCTGGTTTATTACAATTAGCAATTAAACAATTTGCAAAAGCATTTGAAGTTATTCCAAGAGTTTTAGCAGAAACTTCAGGATTTGATTCATCTGAATTATTAAGTAAATTATATGCTGCTCATTCAAATGATGATGGATTAAAATATGGTATTGATATTGATAATGATGATTTAGTTGATGTTTCAATTTCAGGTATTTATGATATTTTAGCAGCCAAGAAATCTGCTATTGATTTAGCAGTTGAAGCTACAAATACTATCTTGTCTATAGATCAAATTATTATGGCTAAAAGAGCTGGTGGACCTCAAATTCCTAAACAAGGTAGACCAGGTAATTGGGACCTGGAAGATTAAGTATATGTATTCTAATAGATTTTAATTTACTCTATATACTTTTACCAATTGTAATAAATTTCTCTACTTTATTAAAATCTTTATTACCATTAATATCTTCAACTCCTCCACTAACATCATAACCAATAACATTATTAATTGTGACAGTATCCTTTAAATTATCCGGAGTTAAACCTCCTGCTAAAATGAAATTTCCAAAGTTTAATTCTTTATTAATTAAATTCCAATCTATAACTTTACCTTCACCTCCAGCATCTGAATCTAATAATGGTATACTAACACTTTTAAAATTAATAATTTGTTCAAAATCATGAGGCATAATATTAATCTGTTGAGGTATAACATATCTCGGTATGACTCCAAACTTATGATTAATTAATTTGATATATTCTACTTTGTTTTCATTACCATGTAATTGTATAAAATCTAATTCAAGTTTACTTGCTGTATCTAATACATCTTCAATACTTTGATTACGGAATACTCCGACTAAAAATGGTCCATTTTCAATAAGTAATTGTGATACAATTTCAAAGTATTCCTTAATCGACTTAATAGGAAGTGTTGATATATGTAATTGTAATTCATTTATACTCTGATATTGTCTGTGTTTACTAATTCTGGCTTGTTTAACTTGTCTCGATATTGCTTGGGCTACTTCATGATCTACTGTACGCTTTCTATTGGGCACAAGGATCATGCCTAACAAATCGGCTCCTGATTCGATGGCCTTGGCTGCCGCATCCTCGGCTTTAATCCCACATATTTTAACTAATTTGGTCATATTACTGGTGTACTACTACTTCTACTTAAGTTACTTAACTATGGGTGAGTCTAATAATTTTTCATTACTAACAAAAATGCTTAACTATGAACTTGGGCTTTTTCCGGTATATAACCACCTAATTAGTCAATGTTATCTTTCCTAAAGAACTTACCAAAATTCTTAAAGTTTTCATTGAATTTACTCACGTGTGTTTCTCCATTAATAGCTAATTCTCGAAGATTCTTTTCAAGATTATTCATCTTTGTTGGTAAAATTTTTGGTGATTTAAATTCGGGAGTTGGAGAATTAATGGTGGATATTGTAGAGCCGTCGCGATCACGTTCTCGATCACGATGATCATCATCTTCATCATCAAGATTTGATAATAAAGTTGAATGACTTATTAATGTACCTCCATCATCGATATTAAGTTGGATCTTAAAGTTGTCTATATATTTCTGTTGAATAACTTTATCAATATCCTTTAAATTTAATACTTTCATAAAATTTCGAATGGATTTATCACCAATTAATTCAAAATAACTTTCAATTAATCCTTCCATTGGTTCTGAAGGAACTAAAAGAACTTTTAATAACGATTCTAATTGATGGAATTGATTGTTTACAAACTTTTGATATGATTTAGATTGATGACTTTTAGTTTCATCTAAGTTTGGATCAGCATAAAGAGGGAAATTCAATGCTAAATCTTTAAGACTTGTAACATCTAAAAGTAATTGTTCAACACTTAATACATTTAGTGGTTTAACATATCTAAGATTATCAGCATATGAATTAAGTAATAATTCAACTAATTTATCATTAAAATTCCGAACATAACTATCTCGAATAATTAATGGTAATATTAATCTTAAATTTTGTTCAACTAAGATTTGTTTTAAATCATTTAAATAACCTGAAACATCATTAATAAATTCTAATGAATTCCAATTAATATTTGAAAATTCTCGCCAACAAAATTTAGAATCATTAGCAATTTTTGTTAATAATCCATTAATTGATTTAGCAATTAAATTATAATATACATCTTTAACATTATCTGCTAAAGGTAATTTATTTTTAAATTCATCCTTTATTAAAGTTTGAAATTTTTCTGTTATATCATCAATATTATTAATCATATAATCTCCAGTATTTAATAACATAGTAAGATACTTTATTGAATCAGTTCCACTACTTCTAGTAAAATCTTCTTCACTCTTTGGGACTAATGGATATAATATTTTATTATGAAATTCATATAAATATTTTACAAATAATTTATTTAAATCCACTAAAATTTCTCCATTACTTAATTTTAATATTTGAGTTAAAATCTTTTGAAAAGTTTTAAATAATTCTGTACAAGATGTAGCAATATTTGGAACATTATTAACTTTTAATACAGTTAATAAATCTGAATTTGTTTGTACATTAAATTCAGTTGGTAATTGAGAAATTGCCATAAATTCCATTAATTTAGAATTTAAGGTGGATTCTTGATCATTAACCCATATAATTAAATAAGGTTCAAATACCAGGGATATTATATGATCAAATTGATCATTTTTAAAAGTTTCATTCATTGATCTTTCAAATTCTAATGTAGTAGTTAAATTATCTAATAAAAGTTTGGAATTAATTCGAGAACTTGCACTTATTAAATTAATTAAATCTTGTTTGGTTAATTTACAAAATAGTTTTGATAATTCTAAATCGATATTCCATTCCTTTGGGAATATATCAAGAAACTTTGATCTGACTATTTTTAAAGTATTGGAAAAATAGATGTATCTTCTATTTAAATTGTCTAAAGATCCTGCTTCATCCAAATTATTAAAGATAGTTTTAAGTTCCTTTAATTGCATATTATAAAACCAATTAAGTAATTTATCCTTATATTTTAAATCTATTAATTCCAAAATTTCACATCCATATACTAATTTTTTACCATCAGGATTAGGAATTTTAGAAAATTCTTCAAAATCTATAAATATATCATCAATTAATTTATTTTGAGTATTAATAACCATAAGATTTAATTGATTAATTTCATCAATAGATTTATAAGGTTTAAAAAATATAAGTAATTCTTTTATTACACTTAAAAGCAGTAAGATTTCCTTATAATCTCTTGTAGGAATAATATTCATTAATGTATTATTAGCATTAATTAACATTTGTAATCGTTTTAATATAGTCATAGATAATACAAGATTCTTTTTATATCGATCAAGATCTTGAATTGATTTAGTCATACCTTCTATTAATGATTTGGTACCTAATGCATTTTCTCGAACTTGTTTCATTAATTGAATTAATTCTACTACATCATCACCAAGTTCTGAAGAACTCGTACTTTTAAATTGTTCAATTTCTTCATCAATCTTGTTACTTAATCCTACCTTATAATTATTTATATAGCCTAATAATTCCGGTAATTCGTTCAATGATTCGGGTGAATTGAATATTCGGTAGAGGTCTTCATTCAGCCCGTAACCCGGAACTGCCATGACGAGTTGGAGGTTGTGTGTATTAGGTATGTCGATGGTGGTTAAAGTCCGTTTAGTATGTCTTTGAAGTTAATTTCGAGTTTGGCCGTGCCTGCATACAGACGACTAAAACTGTTTGATTTACTTTTGTTGCTATTCATTTTGTTAAGTATGTGAGTCACGTGCACGGAATTCTACCAAATTCCTTGAATTGGCTTTTAACTCGACCTAAATCTATTATTGTATATGTTAAACTATGATTCAGAGCGTACGGAGGTATTTCCCTATTTAGATGATCTGAAAAGTTGTATACGATTTACTTATACGGATATGGTGCACGTGATCTTCGGATCGTGACTGCCTATACCTAATAAAATGTGGAGTAATCAATTAGATCTACTTTACTACCTGTACAATCCATAGTATATATGGTACTATGCATGCCAAGTGACCCTTTCCGACCTTCCTAATTGAGTGCATGGACCAATTAAAGTTTTTAGTACAGTTTAAGGGTGACACTTTGCAATCAGCCTAAAGAAGAAGTCAGCTTAATAATAAAGTTATGTGCACTTGATTATAATCCGAAACAACACTAATGTATTAGTCATGTAGTTAATGACCGTGAACTATTCCGGAATTATAAATTGGCCACTTACCGAGTTTCCCCAGATTAAATAATATATAATATATAGTATATAATAAAAAATTAGAAATAAAATAAATTAAATTAAATTAAATTAAATGTAATAATTAACAATCTGGGGTCCCTGACAGTTTATACATATACTGACATTTTACTAATAGGAAAAGACTAATAGACTAACAGACATATGGCGACATTATACATTACACATTATACATTAGTATGTAGTAAGTCCAAATTGGATACATTCCCAATTAGGACAAGTCAAACAACTAATTGATCTAAAGTAGAACCCTACAAATAACTCTATACTGTACAAGGAAGTTGATCGCAAAATGAGAATTGCCTAATTAGGAAGTAGCATACCGAAACCAAAAAAAAAAAGAAAAACAATATTAAATTTCAATAGACGAATAATTCTCGAGGCACGAAACGTCACTGTAACTCCAGCTATTTTCAGACACATTACTGGTGACCATAATATTGTGATATTTTATATATAACTCACACACACTGTCGGACATTCAGCGAATTGGAATTTTTTAAAAAGTTCTATTTTTCACTTAAAGCCTGTTCAAACTATTGATCTACGTCACCAAAGAGTTACCAGTTACCAGTCAGTTAACTACCACTACCAAAATCCAAACCAAACCAAAATACTCGGTACTCAAATTACTCGTCCTCTCATATGGCTCGGTTTAGTTTAAGTCGAAAGAATAAGAATAAAAAGAAGACCGATCCAGATCCCGACTCTCCAATGACAGTTAGCAGTGCTAATACTAATAATACTAATAATATTCATAGTAATATTAATAATATTCATAGCTCAGGCTTAAAGAAAAAGCCTCTGTTTGATACCGTAGGTTCTTCAGCTCAATCATCTACTAGAGATTCGGTACTTTTACCAATAGTTCCTATCATAATGGGTGGACCACATGAAAGTAATATTTCTGCTACAACCCCTTGGAAACGATATAAATTATATGATTCACCATTTCCTCGGTATCGTCATGCTGCCTCATCAATTTCTAGTGAAAAACATGAAATCTTTTTAATGGGAGGTTTAAAAGAAGGATCAGTATTTGGTGATACTTGGAAAATTGTACCTGATGATAGTAGTGGAGAAATTACTTCATATTCTGCTGTTAGTATTGATGTAGTTAATCATAATAATCCTCCAGCAAGAGTTGGACATTCGTCAGTATTATGTGGTAATGCCTTTATTATATTTGGAGGTGATACAGTAGATACTGACTTTAATGGATTTCCTGATAATAACTTTTATTTATTCAATATTAATAATAATAAGTATACAATCCCCAGTCATATCTTGAGTAAACCAAATGGTAGATATGGTCATACTATTGGAGTTGTATCATTAAATAATTCATCTTCAAGACTTTACTTATTTGGAGGTCAATTAGAAAATGATGTATTTAATGATTTATACTTTTTTGAATTGAATACTTTTAAATCTCCCAAGGCTAAATGGGAATTAGTTGAACCATTAAATAATTTTAAACCTCCTCCATTAACTAATCATTCAATGGCAATTTATAAAAATAAATTATATGTATTTGGAGGAGTTTATAATAATGAAAAAGTATCTAATGATCTTTGGAGTTATGATCCTTTACTGAATAAATGGTCTCAAATTCCTACTACGGGCAATATTCCATTACCAGTGAATGAACATTCAAGTTGTGTAGTTAATGATAAACTTTTTGTTTATGGTGGAAATGATTTTAAAGGAGTAATCTATAATAGTTTATATGTATTAGATTTAATTAGTTTAATTTGGTCTAAATTAACTAGTGTGGGAGATATCGATGGACCTGGTTCAAGATGTGGACATTCTATGAGTTTTATACCCAAATATAATAAATTATTAATTATGGGAGGTGATAAAAATGATTATGTTATTGATGATTCTTCAAATTTTGAAACTTATGAAGCTTATAATGGTGAAGAAGTTGGCACAATGATTTATGAACTTGATTTGAATATAGTTGATCATTTCTTGAGTCAAACAGTGGTTGAACCAATTCGTCAAAAGAAACCAGTAGCAATGGCTTCATCAGCTAAAGTTGATGATGGTTTAAAGTCTTATGATAATCATGCTAGAAGCTTTTCTGCTGGACCTGAAGATTTTAGAACTCCTCATGGATCTCCACCACTTGAAAAGCAAGCAGAAATTCAAGGGTCAAGTGGATTTCCAGAACCAGAATATGTTGGTGATAATCTTGTTGATGTTCATATTCCATCGGCTGAAGTCGAACATCCAGAAAGTCCAATTGCCATTCATAATCCTCGCCGTCAATCAGAGCATGGAATTGATCTCTTTGAAGCTGCCATTGCTGTTGGTGGAATAGGAGCTGCTACTGCTGGTGCCACTGCTTCCACAGCTACTTCTACCAAAGACATTGAAACTCCAAGCCTGTACCATAATGGGCATGCCTCACTTCTTGCTTCATACGATTATGGAGAATCTAATGAAAACATTCCCCCCGTGACTGTATTAGATAATCATGGGAAATCACTAGATGAATCCAATGTAAGTAGTACTACTGGTGGTAATACTAGTCAAGAAGATTCAAAGATTAAGAATTTAGTTAAGGAATTAACTAAGGAATTGACGGATTTAAGAACCACCACTAAATTACAAATGCAAAATGCAACAGAAAGGATTCATCGACTCGAACAAGAAAATAATTCCATTAGAGACAATCATTCTAAAGAAGTTTCTAGTTATGAAAAGCGATTAGAAGAAAAGGATGGATTGATTAGTGAACTTAAATCTACAGTTGATCCATCAGTGCTTGCTATTAATGAAGAGGAAGGTAATGGAAGTAGTAATACTAATGTATCTGACTTGACTCGATATAAATTAGAACGATTAGAATTAAATAACAAATTACTTTATTTGGAACAAGAAAATGGCCGATTAAATAGTAAATTTGAAGAATTTGAACCATTTATGAATAATCAAATTGGAGAATTGGCCAAATTCCAAAAGTTAATTAAAGCCCAAGAAGAGAAAATTAGTAAACTTAGTGCTCAAACTAAAGATCAAGAATTATTAACTAAAGAAGTTAATGAATGGAAATCAAAGTATGATAATTTACAATTAGAATATGAAAATTATAAGAATATTCATAGTGAAGAAGAAATAAGTGATGATGAAGAATATAATAATTCTACATTACCTGAATCATCACATTTTGATGAACCATCTAATCGTTCAATAATTAGTAATGCCACATCTACTGGTAGAAGAAGTAAAAAGGATATATCTAATCAATTAGAATCATTAGTTAATTTATGGAATTCTAAACATCAACAAGTTCAAGATAGAGAAAGTACTCCTGATACATCCTTTACACCCGAGAATAATCCAATCATTAATAAACTTCAAGAACAAATTGAAGATTTAATTAAAGTTGGTAAACAAAATGATGAAGATTCTAATCAACAAATTTCCGAATTAAAGGCTCAATTAAATGATAAACTTTCTAGTTTAAAGAGTTTTGAACAGAATTATCGTGATGCTTTACAATCAGTTAATAATACTAGTAAAGCATTAAAATTAACTCAAGAAGAATTAAAGAATCAAAAGGCACTTTTAGAGAAATTGAATAAAGAAAATAATGAATTGAAATTATTTAAAAAGGCTAATAAAAGAATTAGTACGAGAAATCCTTCACCAATTATTAGTGATTTTAAGATTCCTGAAGAAGGAGAAGAAGATGGAGATGGAGATGGAGATGTAGATGAATTTAATAATGCTCATTATAATATGAAGATTAAAGATCTTGAAGCGGATATTTATATTATTAAACAGGAAAGAGATCAATTGAAGGAGAATGTGACTAATTTACAGAAACAGTTGTATTTAGCGCAGAGTGGTGATTCGCCATGAGTTGTATGTATTAATATATTTATAAAGTTTATGTTTGTGTAGTGTAGAAGTGGTGTAGTAGAGTAGTAGAGTATTATGCTATAGTAGTATGTTATAGTAGTATGTTATAGCAGTCTAATTATTTATAATACTATAGTAGTAGTATGCTATAGTATTATGTGATTGCAAAATACTATGATAATAGTGAGCAGTAGTAAGATGATTTTGCAGTATACTACAGTCTACTTAGTATAGTAGTATAGTAGTATAGTAGTATAGTAGTATAGTAGTATAGTAGTATAGTAGTATAGTAGTATAGTAGTATAGTAGTATAGTAGTATAGTAGTATAGTAGTATAGTAGTATAGTAGTATAGCAGTATAGTATTACAGTATGGTATACCATAACACTGTAGTAGTTTACACTGTAATCTACTTTTATAATCTACTGTACTATACTACAATCTACTGTACCATTCTAAAATCTACTGTACCGTTCTATCATCTATTGTACTGTTCTTAATCTACTATGCTCTACTACTAGTCTGTACTCTACTACTATACTGTACTTCACTACTATACTTCACTCTACTTCACTCTACAGTACTCTACAGTAACTAACCTGCTGTATCCGGATCTTGCAGTCCACTCACCTGCATCTTTTTTTTGCAGTAAGTTGCAATTGACGATACCCGCAAAACCGGCCCATTCGTCAGGACGATTTAGGTATACGACCAACCGGAATTCAAACCGTAACCTCACATACACAGTAATTATTAGCGATTGGCAGCCAACTTACAACTTACACCTCATAACAATTAATTCTCATAGTCATCAATTAACTTACTACCACTACATTAACCATTATGAACAGATTAAACGATAAGATAAGTCAATTACGAGAGATCGCCGAATCAAACCAATCGTCCTATTACGAATTACAACAGGTATGGACAGCTAAGACGCATGAAACCACCGAGAGAGAATATACCATTAAGGCGTTACAAACTCAGAATCAATTCTTACAACGGCGATTTGATCAACTTCAGAATACTGCAAATGATGCTAAACAACAATTGGCTCATGATTCTGATAGAATTGATTTGAATGAAGCTCGGATTAGTGAATTAACTAAGAAGATAGAATCTATTGAACAGGAGTATGATGAACTTCAGCTTAAGTATATACAAGTTGAAGAAGAATTAAGAGCCATCCATCAAGTCTTAGATGGAGCCGTTTAGGTGATGATAATAAATTGAATACTTTAAAGTGTGTATGTATATTGGGTACGTACTAACTACTGTATATATAATACTAATATAATTCATCTTGTAGTTTGACTAAATCAATTACGGTTCGCTAGTACCGGTACTAACGTGACTTTGATTATTATTATTATTATTACTACTACTATTGTTCTCCACAATGAGTCGATCATTATTGACTGAATCATAATTGGGTACATAGTCTATATTACTGTATTGATCATCATTAGGTATAGTGGCCGTAGGATCATGATATAAATCATCATTAATAGATCCTGTATCATGAGCCGCGGTGGCGGCAGAAACTACAGCCAGAACTCTTGTATTATTCAAAAGACTCTCATCACTACGAGTCAAAGTGGCTGCCAGATCCTGATATGAAAAGAATTGGAATTGTTGTTGTTCGGGGAATGGAACATTCTCTTCAGTCTGACTTTCACTATGACCAGTCTGAGTGGTTGCTATACCCACAGACGAATTTCCTTCAGTATCAACTCGACTCGTATCATCACCATCTTCTTCAACTTCTTCCTCTTCTAATGGAGGAGCTGATGGTAACAAACTTGATTCATGAGCCCTTATTCTTTCCTTATCAGACATACTCAACTGTTGATTAGCAAATGCACCTGTAGTTTGAGGTAAATCATTATAATTCGGTATAGTATTGAAATTGAAATTAGCATTAGCATTAGCATTAGCATCAGCATCATTTTCGAAATATGGTGGAGATTGAAAGTTATTGATGGCTACTGCTTCAGGAATTGGATTGATATAGTTTGATTGAGATCCAGTCAGAGGTTGAAGTAAGGTGGATGCTGAAGTAGATGTACTTGCACTTGTACTTGTTTGAGTTCCAGGGAACATAGATGATGAACTTCTGGTTGATGGAGCCAATTGAATATTAATATTTTGAGGATATAATGAGTTAGTGTTGGGAGATGGTGATGAACTAGACATGGCAGGTGGAGAACTATTGGAGATTGATGATGATGATCTTCGAGATACACTATTGAATGAATCAATTACATTGGATTCATCAAGAGATGTCAGACGATGAGTTCCAATAACAACTTCAGTAGTTAATTGAAGAAATTTCTTCAGACGTTTAAACTTATCAGTATTTATAAATCCTGACCGTTCTTTATGATGTTGAGATGATAAAGAAGCTGAAGCATGAAAATTAAATTTGAATGATGAATCAGAATTCCCAAGAATACTATGAGGACCTCCTCCTGTACCAGAAGTTCCATTTAATCCTGAAATTGATATAGATGAATTATTATTAACTACATTATTATCACCTCCATTGCCTTCACCAGCTGGTGAATGTCTTTCAGTACCTGCTCCTTCATTCTCTAATGAAAGTGATTTACCTGATAAATTAATTAGTACTTCTATAAAATATTGGAATGACACTAATGGACATCCCACAATACTGGGGAAAGAATCAGCTGGAACTCTAACACTGGTATTAATTTCGGACAGGAAAGTTAATGGATCCACATAGAGAGGGATTATCAGTTGTTGAAGATCTTTTCGGAATGATTCATAGAATCCTTCATCTCCATTATCTAATCGACATACTCTAACAAATGTTATTATGATTCCATTAAGATCTTGTACTTTCTTAAGGTGATTAATTGATAACTTTATCGGTATCAATTCTCCTCGAAGATATCCACGTTGAGGTACTTCTAATGATACTTTAATGGTATCAGGTTTATGAAAGCTGTTTAGTGTATTGATTGTATTTGTAGTGGCCATTCCAGATGGTGAATTACTATTGTTATTATTATTGTTGCTATTATTGTTATTATTGCTGATGCTATTGGTATTGTTAATGCTATTATTGTTATTGTTAATGCTATTGCTATTCTGTAAACCAGTACTGTTACCATTAGTTACCGTCGATTGAGAAGTGGTTGATGAAGATACATTGATATTGTTACTGGCATCATTTGAATCGGAATTGTTGGAAGAAAACGTACTGAATGTATTAATGGTAGATGTAGATGATTGAGTTCGTGATAGTTTCTTAGCACCAATTGATCGAGGATCTCGTAATATTAATCGTTTTGGTTTAGGAGCTGGTAAGGATGTTACATCGAGGGGATTTACGATATTAATGATCTTTTCTGAAGTGTATGTTGGATTATGCAAGATTTTCAAATTCTTTGTTTTGGATATTAGATTATTAGGAGAATTACTGGAATTAGAATTATGATCAGGAGGAGTATTTGATGATGAATTAGGAGTATTTGGATTAGACATTGTCATTGATGGATTAGAACTAATTGAAGTTAATGGAGGAGTTAAGATTTGATTGGAATAATTAGATAAATTACCAATTGAAGTACGTAATACATAAGTTATAGATCCCTTACCGAAATCTATTGAAGTGAATATTCTTTTATTAGGTAATTTTACAATGAATGGGAATACATGTTCACCTTTTGATAAACCATTATTAAAATCAGACGAATTGTCTGAAGGACTTGAAGTATTTCCACCATAAATTCTAATGGTATGATCAAATAATGTATGCTTTATTGGTCTTAATTTAGAATGTGATAAATTTAATTTAACATATCCAACTAATGATAATGTAATGACAATATCTACAAGATTCTTCTTAGATATAAGGATTATTTGTCCAGGAACTTCATCACCTGGTAACCAAGTTTTATGAGGTTGATCTAATTGAATATAAAATTCATCAACAGAATTAAAATCAATCTTTAGATTGGATGAAAAGGATGTAAACGGATTATTGTCGGATGATCCATTACTATTACCATTGCCATTACTATTACTATTACCATTACCATTACCATTACCATTACCATTGCCATTACCATTGCCATTACTATTAGACTGTAGGAATTTAGCAGTAGGTATTATCTTTGATACTGCACGCCTCATGGTGAACCATTAGTAAACTTATATGATACAAAATACAGATACTGAGACAGATCCTGCAAAACAGATTTCAAGAATGGTTGGCCCCTTCAACTTATGGCTCCGTGACTATGGTGATAGGTCGTGATGATAGGTTCGACCTAAGTAACTCTGATAATGGGCCTAAAGTTAAAGCTAAAAGCTTCAGACAGAAACTTGGTGTTAGGCCAAAGGGAAAAAAGACTGACTGACGATTTAACGAGCTGACAGAGATATTAAAATTGTCTACTGACAGTTTTGTCTATATTGAGTAAGTGGTAGTGTACTTAGTTAAGTGTGATGATGGTAAATGACTGATAATTCAGTTATTGATGTTGACTTATCGATGTTTTTGTCAATAATGACAAATCTGTATATTTTTATAAAAGCTCAACCACTAGGCAGGCAGACAGACAAAAAAGCTGTGTGTGCAAAGATGGGTTAAGTGCAGGTTTGTGCCGTAAAGGTAGCTGTCGCAATTAAGAGAGATATTATTAAAAGTAAGCGCAAAGCGAAGTTAAAAAGTAAAATGAGCTGTTGTGCATACAGGCTAATGAATTGTTTTTTTTTTTTTTGGGGACTTTTTTTGGTCGATTGTTCCTATAATTTTGGTAGTAAAATAATAATTTATTTTTGTGCGGGAAGTCAACTATATTTGAATTAGGAAATATCTTGAACCTTAACTAATGTCATCGTTATGGTAATGAAAAGGGTTTTAGACGAGGGGAGTATAGTTAAAAGGCAATTGACAATTGATAATTACTAATTGACAATTGGGAAAATACACGAACAAATTGCATGTTAGTGACAGATGACTATGGAGATATGCTCGCCATAAAGTTCTTATTTCTGTCGGAACTCAAGTAGGTAGCCGCCTCGTTAGGGGATTAACAAAGAGAAAACTGTAACAAATCCTGCAAATCCAGAACGACAACATTAAATATCAATATCAATATCAATATCAAAATCGTCACATTCATTGTCCTTGTATCTAATTATAGAAATATTTGTTTAACCTAACCAAGGGCTTCTGTTCCAGACATATGTTCCACTTCGTCTCGTACATTTATCTTTCATACTACAATGGTTATGGATCGATTGTAATATGATTATAATTTGGAGAGATTCCAGATATATGTATTATAACAATAGAAAGTATAAGGTGATGCAATGCGCGTCTGGAGAAGTCCCCGAATAAATGCAAACGAGAGTTTTACATTAATTACATTCTATTAATTTTAATTTATCGCGACATAGCCACTTGTTTGTGATAAAAATAGCATTATTTGACAATGTTAGTAATTGAAATACCCCAGCTAACACAACAAGAAAAGTTCACTTTTGAAGTGTACGTACAGTTCGTCGTTTGTGTATGTTTGACACATTCGAAAGCGTTGTTAGCCAGATTCTACCGATACCAAGACATATTATTTCTTGTTGATCTTATTCTAATTATTCTCCTGTATATTTTAACCTTAGTTGTTTACTATTTAAAGATCTTTATTGTTAATGTTAATGTCATTCAGGGTTGGTCTAGTATTCTGTCTATCTTCCTTAATTACAATAATGTCTGCTTTTTTCAATTATATAAACTATTTCAGTGCATCATATTTTGAAATATTATAATGCACTCTACTAAATCGGAATTGGTTATATCGGATCGTGCCAAACCGATGTATCCTTTTGCATAGTATTTCAGTTACCGTTTTCGGTAGATGGATACTCCCGGCAAGTGGGCTTGGTAAAAATTTTGAATAAGCCTACTTCAAAATTCAAGTTCGCTTTGTTACTTCTGACATTAATCCCTTATTTTCTCCTCTTCTTAAATGTCTGTAATATCATATGACGTCCATATGATTTTAAAAGTCTATAAGGCCCTTAATTGCATGTTTCATCATATTGTTTTGTCTTTCCTTCTCCTTTACTTCGAGGTTGTAACCTTGTTAGATTAGAGTTAGTTTCCTCAATTAAGGTTTTATTTTTGTACGCTTTTATTATTGGCTTATTTTACATTAGATAATTTAAAATTGTCTGCATAATTCTAGACCAACAAAAAAAATTTAGTACTACGGGCGCGCAAAGTTCATTCCCCGTTGAATATAAGCGCAATATAATATCAAAATAGAAATGAAATTAAAAATTTCAATTTACAAACTCGTTCGAGCACTTACTTTAAACTGAAAAATGTGTATTAATAACGAAAGTATTGTCTTTTTGTTATACCACTACTGTACAATCTATATTAGAATTATTATAGAAAAATTTGGCCCTGGTTGTTTTTTTCGCAGTTGTCTCTTTTAAATAAAAATGAAAAAATATTTGCAACTACTCAACTCAAAGCAATATGTCTGATTAATTGGAATTGTTTTCTCTGTGTCTCCTTTATCAGATCACAGGTATTTACAAATATGCAACGAAAATTATAAAAAGGTTTGATCCCTTATTGTTTAATCAAAAGTCTTTTTGGTACCTTTGAATCCAGTTGATGCAGGAGCTGGTCTTGGAGAGAATGATCTTTCTCTGCCACCTTGGAATCCACCTCTGTTACCACCTTGGAATCCACCTCTGTTACCACCTTGGAAGCCTCCTCTGTTTCCACCTTGGAATCCACCTCTGTTACCACCGGTGTTTTCCTTTGGAGTTGAGAAATCTAATCTACATGGTCTACCATCAATGAGTTCACCATTTAAGGCTTCTAATGCTGCTTTAGCTTCATCAACACTTGAGAATTGAACATAACCGAAACCCTTTGGTTGTTGAGTATCTGGATGAGTTGGAACACGACATGAAATAACACTACCATATTCACCAAAGATTTCAAATAAGCTGTCTCTTTGAGCATTGAAAGATAAGTTACCAATGAATAAAGTATCAGATGGAGCAGATGGAGTATCTCCATATTGTTTAGCTCTATCGTTACTCTTTGATGCATGAGGCTTACCAGTAGATAAATCTAAATTAATTGGTCTACCGTCAATTTCTCTACCTTGATATTCTTGTAATGCCTTTTCAGCAGCAGATTTACTGTCGAAATCAACGTAACCATAACCTCTAGATTTTCCAGTAGCTCTTTCCATCATAACTCTAGCACCAATAACACCTCCTAATGGTTCGAATTCTCTCTTTAACCAATCATCGTCAATGTTCCATGATAATCTACCAACGAATAAAGTAGCTGGTTCTTCATCAGTTCTAGCCTTCTTAACTGGTTCTTCTTCAGCTTCTTCTTCTGCTTTACGCTTATTGGATGTCTTTTCTTCTTTTTCTTCTTCTTCTTCTTCTTCATCAGAGGAAGATTCATCGTCTGAGTCTGAATCGGAATCAGAGCTAGAGTCGGAGTCAGAGTCAGAGCTATCAGCCTTAGTTTCCTTCTTGGTTTCTTTCTTTTCTTCTTCTTCGTCAGAAGAATCAGAATCAGAGTCAGAGTCAGAAGAATCGGAATCAGATCCAGATTCAGAGTCGGATGATTCTTCCTTCTTTTCAACCTTCTTTTCAACCTTCTTTACTTCTTCTTCTTCATCAGATGAAGATTCATCGTCAGATTCGGATTCAGAACTAGAACCAGATTCTGAATCGGAGGATTCTTCCTTCTTTTCTTTCTTCTCTACCTTTTCTTCTTCAGATTCTGAGTCAGAAGAATCATCAGAAGATGAGCTTTCTTCATCTGAAGATGATTCTGATGAGCTGGATTCTTCAGAAGAGGAAGATTCTTCCTTCTTAGCTTCTACTTTCTTGGATTTAGCACTTTCCTTCTTGGTAACCTTCTTGGTCACTTGCTTTGATGATGATTTAGCCATTGTGAATACCTCCTTTCTTTGCTGAATTGATTGCGTTCCTAAAGCTGTATTTGAAATATTTCACTAAATAATTTTTTTTCATTTTTTATCTTAGTCTTGCGATGCAATTCTGTATGTAAGGAATTTTTTTTTTGGTTTCTTTTTGTAACTTTTCTGGAGTAAAAGATCCACACTTCAATACATTAACATTTAATTGCAAAGTCACGGGACTTAAGCCATACTCTGAACCTTTATCTGACTACTAACTAGAAGAAACAAAGACAGCGTCTCTAATAATTTTATTACAAGCCTAATTCACGCCATTTGCAAACTGATACAGTGTAATATAATGTGTATATTGCGAGAAGTTTCACTTCAAGGTTAACAATATTATTTATTGGAAAGAATTTTGCCAAAAAAGAGATGCAATGTTTCGTGAAATAATTATAATTCTTCAAAAAGTGACAATTTCTTTAAATGTCACCTTATTACATAAGTTCTATGGCATTACCTCTAACTTTACAATAAGCATTGTATAATGATTTTGGTTGTAATTCAATTATCTTTTTGAAGTTAATAGTTTAAAGCTGCAAACCGAAATAGGAAGCGGAGTTAAAATCCATCACGTGTGTAGATTTTACAAAATTTCGTCTTTCCCCTCTCAGGTGATTAACTATGACGCAAAAGCAATGACGGTCCTTCACCGGTCCTGCGTAGGATTGACTGATTTGGTGAAATATTTCAACTGCTGAATTTCCAATAATTACTTATATACTGTCATAAAATCTCCATTTGAATATTATTGGATAATAATAGATTAATAGACTTATATCACTATTTTTAACACTAATCATGTTTAAACCTAGTTTTAGAGTTTTCCAGAAGGTGGTTTCTCTGGGTAGAATACCACCTGTCAAGTTAGCATATAAGAATATGTTAAAAGATCCATCCACCAAATACGCTGCATTCAAAGGTGTCAAATTACCAAACAGAGTGTGGCCCAACAAATCGATCGAAAAAGCACCTAGATGGTTGTCTACTGATTTAAGAGATGGTAACCAATCATTACCTGATCCTATGTCTGTTGAAGAGAAGAAAGAATATTTCCATAAGTTGATTGAAATTGGGTTTAAGGAAATTGAAGTTTCTTTCCCATCTGCTTCACAAACAGATTTTGATTTCACTAGATATGCTGTTGAACATGCTCCAGAAGATGTGTCTATTCAAGTTTTAACTCAATCCAGAGAACCATTAATTAGGAGAACCGTAGAATCTGTTAAGGGTGCTAAAAAGGCAACTATCCATACTTACTTAGCCACCTCAGATGTTTTCCGTGATGTCGTATTCAATATGTCTCAAGATGATGCTATAGCTAAAGCTATAGAAACAACTAAATTAGTCAAATCATTAACTAAAGATGATCCATCTATGCAAGAAACTGAATGGACCTTAGAATTCTCACCAGAATGTTTTTCAGACACTCCAACTGAGTTTGCAGTTAAAATCTGTGAAGCTGTTAAGAAAGTTTGGGAACCTACTAAAGAAACTCCTTTGATTTTCAATTTACCTGCTACGGTTGAAGTTGCATCTCCAAATGTATATGCTGATCAAATTGAATACTTCTGTAATCACATTAGTGAACGTGAAAAAGTCTGTGTTTCAGTTCATTGTCATAATGATCGTGGTTGTGGTGTTGCTGCCACTGAATTGGGTTTATTGGCTGGTGCTGATAGAGTTGAAGGGTGTCTTTTTGGAAATGGTGAAAGAACTGGTAATGTTGACTTAGTCACTGTTGCCCTTAATATGTATACAAATGGTGTTTCGCCAGAATTGGATTTCTCAGAAATTGAAAGTATCATTGAAATTAGTGAAAGATGTAATAAGATTCCTGTTCATGACAGAGCTCCATATGGAGGTTCATTGGTTGTATGTGCATTCAGTGGTTCTCATCAAGATGCAATCAAAAAGGGATTTGCTAAGCAAGATGAAAGATTAGCCAAAGGTGACAACATATGGGCCATACCTTATTTGCCTTTAGATCCAAAGGACATTGGTAGATCATATGAAGCTGTTATAAGAGTCAACTCTCAATCCGGTAAGGGTGGTGCTGCTTGGGTGATCTTAAGAAGTCTTGGATTAGATTTACCAAGACAATTACAAGTAGCTTTCTCCAGCACAGTTCAAGATCGTGCTGATTCATTAGGTCGTGAATTGAAATCAGAAGAAATAACCACTTTATTCAAGTCTAAATATTGTATTACTTCACCAATCTCATTAAAAGATTTTGAAGTTACTAAAAACAAAATCAATAATGATCGTGAAATATATGCTGTCTTAAATAATGCTAATGGTGAAACCATAAATATCAAGGGTCAAGGTAATGGTCCAATTTCTTCATTCATTGATGCTATTTCTAAGGAATTTGGTGTTTTATTTGAAGTCATCAACTATACTGAACATAGTTTAGGTAGTGGTACACAAGGTCAAGCTGCAACTTATATAGAGTTAGGTTATGTCAATTCACACGGACAAAATGTCAGAAGATGGGGTTGCGGTATAGATTCAGATGTTTCAGAAGCTTCAATTGAAGCTATTCTTACTGTTGTTAACTCATTGATTGAGGAACAAGAAATCAAATTATAGAATTGTTAAGCATAGGGAATTTAAAAGTAGTTTATGATTGATTTTTATTTAAACATGACTGTATATGTATGAATAAATATGTATACTATAAAAGTAATTTATATTGTAATACCAAGTTTTTTGCAACTGGATGTTATCTTATCGCTATTCATCATTAGGGTTGAAGCCCTAGTCAAATAAACACACGTGCATAAAAGTTTATCTGCAGTATTATGGTTAAATATATAGGTCGTGGTTGGGCCCAAAAAATGAAAAAAGTACAGTCTACAGTTCTCTAGCAGACATTTGTCGCACTAAAATTAATGTATGTACTCATAGTTAAAAAATGTCTCCATAGTAAAAATCATCAAGTTTCTCACACCGTCGCAGGAAAAGGGAAAAATTTCACTACAGTAAAAAAATTGTTTTCAATAAATAAATTTCTTTATACCTTTTTCCTTTTGAGTAGGTAATCAATAACCAAACATATTTCAAGATGTCTACCTTTGAACCAGTTGTTGTCATTGACGGTAAGGGTCATTTATTAGGTCGTTTAGCCTCTATTGTTGCCAAACAATTATTAAATGGTCAAAAAGTTGTTGTTGTCAGAGCTGAAGAATTAAACATCAGTGGAGAATTTTTCAGAAACAAATTAAAGTTCCATGACTACTTAAGAAAATCCACCAGATACAACAAGACTCGTGGTCCATTCCATTTCAGAGCCCCATCTAGAATCTTCTACAAGGCCTTAAGAGGTATGATCCCTCACAAGACTGCCAGAGGTAAGGCTGCTTTAGAAAGACTTAAGGTTTTCGAAGGTGTTCCACCACCATACGACAAAAAGAAGAGAGTTGTCGTTCCTCAAGCTTTAAGAGTCCTCAGATTGAAACAAGGTAGAAAATTCACCACTGTTGGTAAATTATCTTCTGCTGTCGGTTGGAAATACGAATCTGTTGTTGACAAATTAGAAGAAAAGAGAAAATTACAATCTGCTGAATACTACGCCAAGAAGAAGGCTTTAACCAAGAAAGTCAATGCTGCTAAGGCTTCCACTGCTGAATCTGATGCTGCTAAACAATTAGCTTCTTTCGGTTATTAAATTCTCCCATTCTAATCAACCCAACAGATATTTGATAGTGAATTAATTTTTTTTTGAAATCAACTTGAATTGATTTGAATTTATTATTGTTAACATTTTCCTAACCACATCCAATTTCATATATTTGGAAAAAACAACTATTAATCAATTCGGGTCATTACAAACTTTCAGAGAACGTTTATCATCTAAATAAAATCTATCCCATCATAAAGATCTTAAAGATCAATCATTTTGTTATAATATAAGACTAACGAAATACGTCTGCAATCACACAACTTACCCTTCCATTCATAACAACTAACTCATCCAACCCTTTTCATATATATTATTAATCTTTTTTACATATATATAAATAAATTTTAAAATACGATACGGTTATAAATTGTCCTTGTAGTTTTGTATAGAGATGAAGAAAAGTTTTTCTCTTTTGTCGCAAAAAAACAGACAATTTGATTTGTGCGACATAAAATTGCGACAATCGAGAAACATTCAATTGCGGGATCTAAGATACAAAAAAGAAATATCACACGTTATTATTTATTACGTACATAGTATAAACTGGAGTTTTATATGTATGTCTAAAAATATTATGGTACAAGTATGCCATTCGTAATCATTACTCATTAGCTCATTGGTAAACAAGCTAACAAGCCATTTGTTTGAGCTTGCTTATAGATGGAGATCAGTTCATCATTGTCTATGAGAAAAGAATCTCTTGAGTGATCTCCTTAATTTTCCATTGGACGAAACAGAACTATTAGATTTAAGTTTCAGTAAACTTGTAGACTCTTGAGATGAAGTAGTTGATGTAGATGAATTATTTGAATGCATGGTAGTCGTACTAACCCAACCTTTTTGTGATGAACCTGTCTCGCTACTTGATGAATTCATCTTAGTCGCTTCAAGAGAACCAAGAGTCTTCTGGTTGTTACTCAGTCTGGATTTTTTAAGCATATTCAAGAATGACTTTGTAGAATGAGAATGATTGATATTGATGTCCAATGATTCACATAAATAATTATTAATATTGAAATATCTGTAAATACTTGGTGGTGAATCTTTACCCGAAGGAGTAATATTTAGTAAAAAGGTACTAAACTGTGTAATATTTAATTTAGTTATATACACTATGTTGATCTTAGCATGAGCGAACTTGAAACATTTACCAAGGTGAAGTAAAGAAAAATGATTGATGTAAGCGACAGAATCCAATTCAGGAAAAATGGTTCTTTGATTGTAGTATAAATAAATGAGAAGATGATTAATTGTGAGATCGTCAATCGAAGTTAATTGAAAACCATTATGTTGATGCAAGAAAGTGTTAATTAAATTCAAAACTGATGATAATTTGACAGGGATTTGATTTTGTTCATGATATAAGAGGCATATCTCTATATCCTTCTGATGTTGAACTTGTTGTAAATGTTGAGATTGCTGATTTAAGGTATCAGATAATCTTGATTGTAGGAAAGTTTGAATTAACTGTTGATGGAATTGTTGTTGATCATAATAATTATTACTGTTGAGCACTGAAGACAACGTAGTACCATTTTTATAAATGCTATTGGAGTTAGTTGTATTAAAGCTATTAAAGCATGGTGAATTTGGAATATTAAGTGTTACTGCTGAATCGCAGGGAGATAATAGTATGGGTGTATTAGGATCTTGAACAAGTACAGTAGTCATAGCAATAAAAAAAAACGCGATATAAGATTAGGGATCGGATCGATTAACCAGTAATGATCTGAGATTCACGGTGCTGATTTTTATGAGGAACGTTGAATAGTCAAAGGTAAAGAGGAGAAGCAAAAATAGAAGAAGAAGAATAATTACAAAAGGAACTACATTTAATATATATAAGTTAATTGTGTGATATCTGTTCCAAATTGCCTTGGTGGAGATTCTATAATTTTAGTATATTTAGATTCCAGTCGATACATACATAATTACTCCTATTTTCCCGTTCCGTTGTTAAGCTAATTAATCCATAAATTGAGCCGTTCAAAATTTTATTATGTGTGAGATTCCTGTTTTTGTACTACATGTCTTGATTGTTATAATTTGGGGTTGAATGAGGGGTTGCAGGCGGGGCAATTGGCTTATACTATACATATCCTTATTAGAGAGGTCGTGCGTGCGTGAGAAAAAAATAGCACTTCCTAATTAGGCCACTGCGAACTAGACATAGATCTGCATCAATGCTACAAAGTTAGGTGATTTACCGGGTACACTCGCTTATTATTAGTGAATACTCCAGTTGGAGTCATTCATTCAAATCCATTTATTACACTATTTAATGACAAATCAAAGCTTTTAATGGCTCATTTGACCAAATAATACTCCTCGAGAGACAATAATAAACAATAACGATCACGATATAATTTTCGCCTGTTTTCATTCCAAATTTACTAAATTTTACTAAGACAAGCAACAATTTTGCCTTCTGATTAAGCTAACATTTTGCAATACTTAACGAAGTTAAAATAGAGACATCATATTTATTTAGTTATCAATTTCTTTTGTAGCACTTACATGTATGTACACAAATAGTAAAAAAGAAATATGCTATGAACCATCTAATTATAAATGCACCCCTATTATTTTACAAACACCATGGACATTAGGTAACGGTCCTTGTACATATTTATTTTTCTTGTTTTACATTTATTTGCTGCAGATAGATTTCTTTTTAATATACATTTCCACGGCGTAATATGCTAGAATTCCAGTTATGCATCCTGTAGTTCCATATGATCATCATCTACTTTTATCTATTGACATATTTCATTCATTAAGTATACTTATTTGGTTTGGCCGAGATGGCACGAAGTTGCAGCATTTGTATATCGGGAAAATCTATTTTTTGTTTCTGAATCACCCCACAAAGATTGACAAAAGAACATTCGGTAATTAAGATCTTTTTGACACGAAGACGCAACTTTATGTTTCATACTTTAGTAGGAGCAATGAGAGGAATTTCGTAAATCATCAATAAATAAAGAAATCATGTATATTAATATCTAATTTCTCTTCACTGTTTAGCTATAATCTTCAGAGACTCGTAACTACCATTTCTATATAAATTGGGAGCCACTCATTGGAATAACCTTGTAGTTGTCCCAAAATCTATAGTCGTAAAAGGATTCCCTTCCAAATTTACTGCTACTCCTTTAAAATCTGTTTTCTCAGAATTGCCAAGTTTGTTGAATGATAGATCTAACTTTCTTAATTGTAATGGCATTTGAATACCATCCTCTAAAAAATTGATTTGACAATTGTAGAAGGAAAGCTCCTTGAGCTTAGCACAATTTAAAAGTGGAGCATGCTTCGAGAGACTTTTTATAGGATTACGAGTAATCTTGACAATCTTCAAAGAAGTAGGAGCTCTCCATGTATCAATTGAAGTAATACCGGAATGTGTCAAGTGTAACTCCTCAAGCCGAGGGAATCTATCTGAACTAAGGAAATCAATATTACCAATATAAACGATATATAGATTCAAAAGCCTCAACAGATGAGGTAGTTCTAAGTCTGAAAACCTGAGATTTTTACCACTAATTCTCAAATTCTCTACCCCATAGGGAATGACTAATTTGGAAAAATACCCTTGCAAAGTAATTGTTAGATCTTTTAGAGAGCTTGGCAATTTGAAGTCTGAATTTAAATATATTGGTTTGAGACAAGCTAAGTTTAGATATTCAATTGAGTCAGGAAGACCCTGTAGACTTTCAGTGTGTGTCAATTTGTGCCAAGACATTTGTAAATTCAGCAACTTAGAAGGCCAATTCTTAATTAGCTTTAAAAACATTTCGTGATTAATACCGCACCCAGATGCGTCAAGTTCTCTTAGATTAGGCAACCAAGCATTATTATCTATTTCTACTGTTTTTATAGACACGTTGAGTGAAATATCTAACACTTCTAGTGTTTGTGGGAATTTTGATAAAGGAAGTATGGTGAACAAATTGTCATGTAAGGACAATTCCAATAACTTTCTGGGCCATTTAATAGATTGTAGCTTTGTATCACCGAGCCTGCAACTACTTAAGGTCAATTTCGTTAGTGTTTTAGGTAATTTCACATTCTGAAAATTTATATTTGATTCGTAAATGGCGAGACTAGTTAGGGATTGTGGCAACTCAAACATATCTTCCCATTCGGGTGATAAGCTCAAAAATAGATCTTGTAGACTCTGAAGCTCACCAAACATCTTGTGTAAGTAGGCATTGAATTTTGTAATCTTTATGGAAAACCCATTTACGTATAGAGATAATGACTTCATACAAGAGAGCCTTACCATCGGTTCAATATCTAATGGTTCAAGATTTTTGCCAACAAAAGGATCAATCAGTATTTTTATATTAGGCAAGGCATCTAATTTGTCAATTTGCCCCATTAAAATGTTTAGCTCAGCCTTTACAGTATTTTTCATGGATAAACGTATATGCAATTCTTTGGGGCGAAATTCTGGTAGTTGTAGGAGTTGTACCATTGTCACAACAGAAGTTATTAAACGAATTTTCGGCATGCTAAAAAGACCGCCGTTTCCAATAAGGTCTAAAATTACATCATCCTTATTGAAATACCAATCTAGTATCTCACTTCGGATTTCGGGATCTGATATTCTCAATACGTAGTAGTAAATGAATGTGCGTGGTAAGCCATCAAGAATACTCGTATAAATTGAAACCGGCAACTTGAAAAGGTACTTATTTACAAATGACTGCAAATACAATGTGTCCATTGCTAATAGACCAGGAATACTTCTTTTCTAAATGATGTGGTCTAAGGTAACCGTATCAGAAAGTTTTCAAGTAAGATTCGTTGAAATTACTCCGCAAAAACTTCTCGGACTTAGAAAGAGCGAAGATGCAAAAAAATGTATTGATATGAAATGGTAAGTAACCATCCCATCTCATTGATATTAAATAATAAGAAGGCAGAGAATCAAATCGTATCAACTACAACTGTAAATCCATGCACTTCAGTTTTGTATTAGCACTATATACTATATACTTTAAGTTAACTGTCGTTGCATTGTCTTTGTATTGTTATAGTTAATGTATATTTTTGTATTATCTGAAGAAGCTTAACTTTGTAACCTTCCTACTTCTATTATTATAGTTAATTATCTTCAGTTTCAAAAAATATATTACTACTACTAGGGTTTCCACTGATTTCCACATAAACTCCCGTGAACCTTCTGTGCCAGCTACTGAGCTTGTTGTTCGATAAATCCAACATGGCGAGTTTTGGAGGTAATACTACGTCTTCGTCCACATGACTAATTTCACAATTGTCCAAGAAGAGATCTCTTAGGTCGGAACATTTTAAAAGTGGAGCATCTTTCGATAGTCTTTTTATAGGATTATGAGAAATACGTACATCAGTCAATGTGAGGGGTGGTATCCAGGTATCTATTGAAGTTATACCAGAATTTGTCAAGTTCAAATCCTTAAGTTCTGCAAACTTATCCAAATGAAGATTTTCAATATTCCCAACAAAAATCCCTGTAAGATGTAAGGTTTGCAACATTAGGGGAAGCTTCATATTTGCTATATTAAGCCCAGAACCCACAATGTACAAATGTTTTACTCCACAAGGAGTTTCAAATTTCTCAGGGAGTTCTTCCAAGGCAATCGATAGATATTTAAGTGAATTTGGAAATCTTATTTTTGTTGACCTCAGAATCACTGGGATGGATTTATGTTCAATTGAGTTTGTCAAATTGGTTAGAGATAAGGTATTGATCAAGTCATGTTTAGACATTTCCAAGTGCTCTAAACTGGATGGCCAATTATTACTTAATTTAGAAAGCATCTTAAAGTTAGCTGCACAACACCGCATATTAAGTACTCTTAGATTTGGCAACCGAGTGTTATCATCTATATCTATGGTATCTATAAATTGGTTGTAAGAAGCATCTAATCCTTCTAGTGTTTGTGGAAATTTCGATAATGGTAATATGGTTAACTTGTTTCCAGGCAACGACAAATACAGTAACTTGCCAGGCCATTTCAAAAAATTTAATTGTTCATCAGTGACCTCATTGTGACTTATTGTCATTTCCTTGAGTGATTCTGGTAGAATTAAAGTATCAACTGGAATATTAGTATTATGAATGGATAAGAAGGTGAGGCGTTGCGGAAGTTTTATACCATTATTAGTGGAGGTACGCATATTTGCTATGTCCAATTCTGTTAGTGTTTCGGGTAACTTCAACGATTCAATACTTATATTTGAATCATGAATTGTAAGTCCGATTAGGGTCGGAGGTAGTTTAACGTCACCTTCAGTTACAGTGACGCGACTCATATGTAAATGCTGTAAGTTCTTAAGTTCAAAAAACACATTTCTAGATAGAAGACTAAATTCGAAATTGTTCAAGGGCTCTCCTAAGTTAATTAGAGATAAAGATTTCACATTGAAGAATGACAAGAAAAGTTCAATTTGTTGTTGTGTGGGCCCAGGTGAATTAAGATAGTTTATATTTCCAACACGTAGGACTATATCTCGTGGACAATCTAATTTGTAGAGTTGCTCAATCAAAATCTCTAGATCAGCCTTTGCAGTATTTGACATTGATAGCATTATAAGCAATTCCTTAGGTCGAAACTCTGGAATTTGTAAGAGTTGTACCATTGTCACAGCGGAAGTTATGAAATAAATCTTCGACATCCCAGAATAATTGCCATTTCCATCAAGGTCGAAAAACACCTCATTGTTATTGAAATACCAATCTAGTATGTTAAGTCCATCCTCAGGAATTCTTAATACATAGTAGTAAATATATCCTCGAGGTAAGTCATCGAGAATTCTAGTATAAATTGAAATGGGCAACTTGAATAGATACTTTCTTACAAAAAGCTGCAAAAATGAAGAGTCCATTGTTAATATATAGGTTCATATACCAATTAATGTTATTCTACACTATAAGGCAACATATATAGATATATGTACGCTAGCACTGATTGCTAATAGGTAAGCTAAAGCTATGACTAACAACAACTATGACTAACGTGATATATGACTACAGATATTTCCATTTTGTGTTACATTCCCCACAAAATGTTAGTTGCCCTTCCTTTCTGTGCATATAGCTTGGAACTTATTTACCTCTAGGGAAATACGTTTCGTTATGCAATTTATATGGTTGTAATTCTTAATATATCAGAACGCTAAGAAAATACGTTCAGCTCTACATATTAGGACTGGCAGGCAGTACCAGACGAAGACGTCTTTCTCGGCAATGTTCATCTCACAAATGCCTTTGTCACACTAATATTTAACGATCTAACCAAATCATTTAATTGATATTTTATTCAGAGTTCAAATAATTCTAATAGCTTAAACAGAAACTTAAAATTAGCTATATTTGTATATTTTTGGGATTTCGTTATTGGGTTATGTTTTTAAATATATACGTAGTATTTGTAAAATAAAAGGAATCAACGACATGAATCAGTCATATGGTCATTATTAGTTATTAATCTATGATGGGAAAAGCAAATAAAAAAGTTTGAATTGAATTGAACTGAATTGAAAACAAACTTAAACAAAAGATGAAGTAAAAGGACAAGTACAAGTGGATAACAAAAAGTTTGTTTAATCCTTCTTCTTATCAGATTCCAATTTTCTAATCAAAGTAAGTTGCTTTCTCTTATTAACAATATTCTTGACGACATCATTGGAGAATAACCAACCATATCTTCTGTATAATTTAATTTGTTCCGTTAATTCAGCACCTTCTTTATCTTCAATGAACTTAGCAAAATGTGTATCTAATTGACCGAAATATTCATAACTTAAAGTTAATTTAAAGTCATGAAGAATTTCTCCTTCATCTTCATTTTCATCAGTATTAACTTCTTTTAATAAATCATCAAAAGTCACTTCAGTATCAATTGGAGTACTATAACCTTCACCATCTTCTAAAAGACAACCTAAATTCTTTAAACTTTCAAATACACCAGCTTTATGAGCAGCAATCATTCCTCCATGTTCTTTAATCTTATATTCACGATAATACTCTCTATATTCATCAGGAGTAGCTTTTCTTGTACCGGTCCAACCCAATTCAATTAATTCTTCCTTACTAACTTCTAATTTAATATTTCTAGCACCAAGCCTAATCAATTTAATTGGATTAAAAGCACCGGTATATAATAAACCGAATATAACCAAACACTTAATAATATGAATACTGAAAAAGATAACTTGACCAGCAATAGCTACTGGATCATCAATATCTTCAATTAACATTTGAGATAATTTCTTTTGATTAAAATAAAGTGCAACCTTACTTAATAATCTTGTCATTTGATTTGTTAAACAAATACCTGGGGTAGGACTTATAAAATCAGGTAAATCAGTATATAACCATACAAGTAAAAATGTTAAAAATGCATAAAAATTAAAATAGTTAAATTGCCATTCAGGTAATAATAATTGACCTGGCCAAACCTTATCACTAACTTTTTCATTTATATCGGTAACATGTTTACTATGTTTATTAGCATCATAATCAAAAAGGAAATTTCCATCTTCAGTTAAATAACCAGGACTAGTACTAATACTCCAACCAATTGGTTTAGCATCATAGAATACCGAAGGTCTTAATGCAATTGGTAAAGTATCAAAGATCTTATATAAATCTTTAAAAGTTTTAGTAGTCTTGATTTGGAAACAATAATCCTTCTCCATATCATCATTGAATCTGATGTATACTTCAAAGTATTCAAGTTGTTTCGACAACGGAGTACGTTCGGTCTTTTCGGAACTCATGATGATTTATTATAGAACTCAATAAATCAAAAGAAGAATAATTCAAATTAATTCCGTCGGAATATTAACTTGTAGTTATACTCCGTTTAATGAAAGATTTTTCCAACACACCTTACTGGGGACACAAAACATAAATCTGGTGTAACCCACACCACTCACTAAATCTGCTGCATTAAGTCAGCTATAATAAAAAAAATATACCGTCACTCCCCACCTTTGTCGCTTTTTTTTTTCTTGCCACCCCTCCTCCCCACTCTAACATTAATTAACTGGGGAATACTTCTGGGCTTGAATTGGAAACGATTTTGTTTAGAACCATATAGAATATTCCACGGCTGTTAAATTAAATCACTGTTTAGTTGAATTACCGATATTTTTGCAGCAGTAATAATATATACTAGTACTAATATTAGTGATACAAAAATCAGTAGTAATAGCTGCGAATTATACATTGTTTTATGCTAGTAACTTATAATACATATTTATTTCTATTTACAATATCTTATCTCTTTACTTCTTTCTGAACGCTACTTGTTCTGGTAACTCAAATGATACACAGAACATAGGCTTCGTAGGGGCAACTTTTCTAACTAAATGAAAATGGCATTTATCAAATGGTATATCGAAATCAATTAATTTAACAATTCTGGCATGAACTTTGGCATGTAATTCTTCAATGGGTGGTTCTGGTCCTCGAGGATCGAATTTCTCAAAACAATGAACGTTTATAATGGGTAATTTAAAATTTGGATCCTTTCTTACAGTGTTTTCTACTTCAGAGTAGAGCCCTATAAATTCATCTAAGAATGTTAATGCACTATCAGGTAAATTCATGACAAAATGACTGATGTATTTAGGGATTTCAATCTTGATAGTATTTGTTTCTCTAACCAGTCGAGTCTGTTCATTCTCGACAACTTTTCTTCTTTTGACTATGGTTTTATCAATAGTACCTGAATTATCTTCTATCCATTGTAATAACAACTTTGGAGATTGACGAATAATCTCTCTTCCATCTAAATTATATGGCTTTAAGAATTTTTCAACATGATTGAGTTTAATATTCTCTTGTAAATACTTGTATGATTCCGGATTTAAATCATTCCCCAACACAATAACTTCTTTCTTTGCTGCTGGTACAGCAAATGGACCAACTCCTGCAAATACATCAACAACAACTTCATGTGGTGCAAAGCTATTAATTAAACGTTCATGTTCGGTACTTAATCTAGAGTTCCAATAAACTTTTGAAAAATCAAATTTAAACCGACACCCACTCTCACTTTGCTCAACAAGTAAGTCATCTACCCCGGCTAATACATTCATCTTAAATGTACGAAATTTTGTATCGATAGTATCGACTTTATCAACTACAGTTCGTACTTTGGGATTCTTATCTAAAATAACCTCACCAATGAGCTTTCCATAAGGTTTAAACTCATCTCTTAAATTCAAATGAGCAACATGACCAGCCTGAGCAAATCCAGTTGGAATTTCATCCAACAATTCTTCTGGAAGAATAGCTCTTAAAATATCATCGGACTTCCAGTATTCGTAACCCAACTTCAAAGTATATGGACGAATCTCAATTCCGTACTCCTTTATTTTCTCCTTAGTGACATCACTTATTAACAGTTGATAATTATCTAAAGTATAATTTTCTTTAAGAAGCACTGCTTTTGATGATTCGATAGGGACAATATGTTTGATGGATGGTAAGTATAAAACATCATTTTTACATACTTTAACAAAGGTAGATAAATTTACAGGGTTAGGGAAGTAAGCCACTATCAACTGAATATCTTTCTTAAAGAAACTACGATCTAATTCTTTCATAGATCTATTAATGGGTGGTCCGAATTGAGTCATCATAAAATCTCGTCTATCAGTTTTAGATATTCCGTGGTAGTGTCGATAAGATGGAATTAAATATGTAGTGCGAGTAAGACGTGGAAGTACTAGAAGTCTTTTCGCAACACTGCCTAGCATAAATATAAAGGAATTTATTACAAACTAGTTTTGGTCTTATGATCAATTTGGTACATTTGAAATTTTTCACAATTTGCACACAAAAAATTATTGCAACTCAAGATGAGTATATACAACTTTTTCAACAATATATAACCATATAAAGCTATACACATACAAATTATATAATGGAAGTGGCCGAAGTGATCAGTATAACTAAGCCCAGTTCAAGTCGACCATTTGAAGATGTTGATGATGACAATGATTCCGATGTGGAAATGAATAATACCACTAATCAATCTATAGTTACACCAGGAGAATTAATTACTGATGATCCTATTTGGATGAAAGGTCATGGGACTTATTTCATAAATGATAAAACTTATTCAAGTGTTGCAGGAACAGTATCACGAGTCAATAGATTATTAAGTGTAATTCCTATTCGAGGACGTTATCAACCAGAAACAGGTGACCATATTGTTGGAAGAATTACTGAAGTAGGTAATAAACGATGGAAAGTAGATATTGGAGCAAAACAAGATGCAGTTCTTATGCTTGGATCTGTCAATTTACCAGGTGGAATCTTAAGAAGGAAAAGTGAAACTGATGAATTACAAATGAGAAATTTCTTAAAAGAAGGAGATTTATTGAATGCTGAAGTACAAACCATCTTTAACAACGGGATTGCATCTTTACATACAAGATCCTTAAAATATGGGAAATTAAGAAATGGGATATTTTTGAAAGTTCCATCATCTTTAATTATTAAATCTAAGAACCATGCATTTGACTTAACAGGGAATATTAGTTGTGTACTTGGAGTAAATGGATATATTTGGTTATATAAAACCAATGTGAATAATCCTACCAGTAACAATAACAATAATAATAGTAATAACAGTAATAATCCCTCCATAACTAGATTAGAAGAAGAAAGTTCATGGGAGATATATTCTGATAAAAATGATACGACTATTACCAATTCTATTCGATCAAATATTACTAGATACTACAATATTATTAAAGCTCTTAGTTATTGTGAATTAGGAATTACAGAACAAAGAATTTCAATGGGTTATGAAGCTTCTCTTGCATATGTTAACCTTGGAAGTTTGAATGATAAAGATGCCATGGAGACCATATGTCAAGATATTATTAATAATGAAAAGATGAGAGGCATAAATTAGTACGATTAATTATATTATTTAGTATATATGTATAAATATATCGTCCAAAAAGTAGATCAGGTTGACCACAATAAAGGAAATTAAATTAAATAAAATTAAATAAATTAAATTAAATAAAACTAAATTAAATTAAGTGAATTGAATAATCAAACAAAGAAACAAGTTAACTCAATGCTTTTTTTGGATCCCGGACTTTTGATATATATTTATGTATATATATATATGCGCGTGTATTTGTCAAATTACTTGATTATTTATTATTGATGCTGATTGAATGACGATTTATAATGCATTGTTGGAGGTAGAATTGAAGTAATAAAGTGCCGATGTTTGATTAATACAGAAGAACCTTCTTTCTTCTTAAATAGCACTTGAAATAAATGGTTTGAACAATTCCAAAACATATTATACAAGTTATTAAAATGATCGAGTTTTTAGTATAATCGGAGAAGATTTCTTCATTTACATCACGTAATTTAAATTCTTGTTCCATAAGACTTTGAAGAATTATTTCTGAATTATCCAAATTTCCTACAATTGAGTCTAATTCGGTCTTGAGATATTGGATTTCATTTTCAAAATCTTCTTGAGTAAATGGCTTGTCTTTGACTGATTTTGATGATTGGGATTGTGAAGGTTCTTTGGCTCCGTCATCATCAGATCCTTGTTCACGTTTAGATTCTTGTTCTTTAAAACGACGGAAGTATTGAACAAAATTGTTATAATTTGTTTGTTTAATGGTAGTCATGTTTTTAATATCCACAAATAATTCAACATCTCGAGGTTTAGCAACAAATGACCAAGATTTATCAGCATATAAATTATCAAAACATATATAAATAAGGGATTTACCTTGAGAATTATTTATTAATTCATCAGCTTTAGCTCTATCGAAATCTTTATTAAAATTTTCATCACGCTTTTCATTACTGACATGTTCTTCATCTTCATGTCCAAATAAACGATTTGATGAACGTTTTATTTGTTCAATAACTTGATTTGCTGAATCTTGAAATGATAAATGATCTTGATTATCACCACTAAGATCTTGTGATATTTTTATAGGATTATTTAAATTAGTGAACATTAAACTTATATCGTTTGAAATATCAAGTTGAGATCTTAAACGATTATTATCATCATCAAAGATGTTAAGATTTAATTTTTGAGATGCTAATTTATCACCCAGTTTAATTCTAACGAGTAATATATCATCTTTAATGGTTGGATAACTTACACAATTAAATAAATATTGTTTTGAAGAATATTTGGAAACATCACCTTCCTTTATAGGTGGGATTGTAAATCCTAAACCTAATACAGTATTAGGTAGTAATAATAGTAGAGGAAGTAAAAATGATAGTATATTGGAATATAGGTTCGGCATTATTGATATAATGTATAAATATATGGATGTTTTGAAGTGATTTAGATATTGATTAAGGGAATAACGTGCTGAGATGATATGATTTTAATATGAAAAAAAGGGAAACTGTAAGCAAACTTTCTATAGTAAGAATAAAGGTAATGTAAGGTACGGTAAGATTTGGTATATTAAGGAAAATAGTTGAGGATTTGTTATGATAATAACTTTGAATGGCAAACAGTAATGAAAAGAAAAGTGTTCCAAGTTGATGTATAGGAAAGAAGGATAAGCGAATGTATAGGATTGGATAGATGGCAAGTTGAAGATGAGTTTGGCCAAATGATGATAGTGATGAAGTATTTTGAATATTGAAGATACTTTATAGAATAGCTAAGAATCAAACTATAAAAGAGAATTCAAGCTAAAAAGAAAATCATCAATGCAATAAATGTACTTATGATGAGTTCAGATTGTGATGGGTCAAATTGGCTTGCTTAGCTTAGCTGTGCTTAGCTTAAATGGAGAGAAACAATTTAGTGAGCGAGGGACACATAATGAATTAAAAAAAAAAAATAAAAAAAAATTGAAAAAAACTTAAAAAATAAAGAAGAAAAAAAACTAACAAATGAAGGAACTAAAAGAAATAAAACACCAACCAAAGAAAGAAAAAAAAATGAATACTTGTGTTATATTCCGTACTAGCTTGAAATTGTAAGTACTTAGTATGGATCAATATTTTGTACAATCTATATTTTGCATTGTACTTACTTACATTCATTTGTATTGTATTGTCCTACTTTAGACGCCATACTGAATATGTTACATTGCCAATAATCAATGCTAAAAGCTGTCACGTATTAATACGGTCCCATCTCATCAGCTCATATTTGTTCATACCATTCCAGAACCACTTGGTAACTGATGGTGAAAGAATAACCAGGGTGTGTAGTAGAGAATGATTAAAAAAAAGGGAACAAAGGTAAAAAATAAAAAAAAAATAAAAATAAAATAAGTGAAATAATTTGCTGAATGAAGAAAAAAAAAGAAATTAAAGATTATAGTCATGTGATAAGTAGCATGTGACTGACCTTTTCCCCTTAAATTTGGCTTATGTACGCGAATTAACTAAGGCGGATCAATCGTTCTTTAATATACTTTTTTTTTAACTTTTTAATATTTTCTGTTCTTCAGACTTTTTTTTTTTTCATTTTTGACAGTGCCCTCATCAGCTACAGGTTGATAATTGATACAATTCGTGATTTGCAACAATTGTCAGTTCTATGATAATTTCTAAGAACAGTCAGTTTCTGTCTGTCCTTTTAGTGGCAAGTATTTGTGGATCCGTTCCTGGTAAAGTTAAATAGATCAAATAATTGAATGGCTCGTGTTACACAAAACACATATCCAACTGGAACAATAAAGAAAATGTAAAAATCTCCACTCTTTCATTGACTTACACACAACCTAACAACAACCAGCAGTTAAGTTTGTATTGAGTCGCGTCTTTTCTTCAACTAATGTATGAATATGCATCAATAGTCTATAATCATGTTTTTTTGCATCTTAATGCTTTGAATAGCTTGGCATGGACGTTTACTAATTATAGAGCCTATGAACTAAATATAAAAATCGAAGTTCTCTTCGGTAAACTATGCCCCCCAATTATGGCGTTAGTGATTGATGAATCATTATGGCTTAAGATCTTATCAAAGTGTCCGGTCAATGTCCATTTTCGCACTTGTTTTTGTACTTTTGTAACCATATTTACCTTTTTATGAATTAGTTTCAATTTCACTTGAGGTAACTTGGCTTCCTGAACGGGAAATCAAGACAATCCATGTCAAAGAACAAATCAGTTATTCTTTTTATTCTTTTTATTCTTTTATTCATGTATGTTAAACCCTCATTACGTAACTACTATTTCAGTTTTACTATATTCTATTTATCATTAGACGTGTGGTGATAAACGTGTCCTAACATATATTATACTTATATATATATTGCAACAAACCCCTCATTCTATATACACTTTTAATCTATTTCTGGGGTTGTTGTGAGTTGGAGTTGTAAATTAAATCTTGCAACCTTGACTCAAATTCATACTCTTCTAATTTTTCAATGAGTTCACCTAATTTACTACCATTCATACATCCTTGTAAATCATGTATTGAATATCCACATCTATGATCAGTGACTCTATTCTGGGGGTAATTATAAGTTCTAATCTTATCAGATCTATCGGTGGTTGAAACTTGATCAGTTCTCATCTTTCTTTGATCGGCATATTCTTTATCCTTTTCTAATTGAGCTAATCTAGCTCTTAAGATTGAAAAGGCTTTTGCTTTATTCATAGGTTGTGATCTTTCATCTTGTTGAACTACAATGATTCCTGTTGGTATATGAACCAATCTAACGGCAGAATCCGTTGTATTAACATGTTGACCCCCTTTACCTCCTGATCTCATAGTATCTATTCTAATTTCTCCTGGCTGAAATTGTCTTTCATCTTCCTTTAATGATTTCTCATTACCTTCAGACATTTTTGGTAAGACAACAACTGCAGCTGTTGATGTATGAATTCTTCCTTGTTTCTCAGTTGCTGGTATTCTTTGTACTCGATGAACTCCACTTTCAAATCTTAATTCATTATAAGATCCCGGCTCATTAATATTAATGATGATTTCATTAGGAAATCCGTTACTACCTTCATTCTTACTAACCAATTCCCATCTCCATCGCTTTATATTAGCATAATTAATATACATCTGCATCAAATCTTCCGTAAAAAGTCCAGCTTCACCACCTCCTACACCGGGTCTTAATTCAATGATAGTTGGTTTATCACCAAATTTTAATGGAGGAGGCAATCTATTCTGTAATTTTCGAATAGTCTGACCTAATTCTGGTAATAAAGTATCTATTTCATCAAAAGCTTCACTAATGATCTCAGGATCTTGGTTGGGCTCTTCAACCATTTCAAGTAATTCATCTAGCGTTGTAAGTTGTTCCTTGTATCGACTATATATCTCTATAGCAAAACTTAAATTAGAGAACTTTGTGGAAAGTTCTTGATTAAATTCATTACTATTGGAAAGGGTATCACTTAGGGCCTTATGTTCTTGACTGATAATTTCAGCTCGTTCAAGAAGAAGAGGATGAATCCGGGGCATTTCATTAACCTTTTCGTATATTTCTTCACGAGTAGAGTACCATTTCAGCGAGGACACAGTTAACGAAGTCACTAACTGTACCCTCATCGGTATTCTACCCCGGTTCCTACAGAGAACCCTCAACATTTCTTGTTAATAAAGTACTGATTGTAATTGGCGATTATTGCAACTGGTTCCAAAAAATTTTCGGTGTGATGAAAAAAAATAGTGCCATTAAAAATCGCACCCATTGATTTACTCCACGATATACTTGAACAATATAAAGGTTGTATTATTATTATTATTATCGTTATTATTATATTATACGAGCATGTCAGAGACAATTTCATCATCGCAGCAGCCGATAAGTATTACCGAATTTACGCGCGCCATTACGGAATTGCACCAAGATGTATTAGAATCCATCAAGAAGCAATTGGTTACTTCACTAACTAAACTCATTCAAACCAATAATGAACTTCAAGACGAAATCACATCAATCCGTCGGCAGTTAAGCGTGAATGATACTAACGAACTTGAATTGGATGAAGATTTGAAATTGTATGCTGAAACCATTGGCGAGAACAGGGTGGTTATTGAAGAACAGAAGAGTAGAATTAGTGCAGTATTGAATGAATTGGTGACTCGTGGGTTATTAAGTGATGCCAATAGGATAAAAGAAGAAGGCACAATTTTTAACGAATTGAGTGTAAAAGATGCGACAAAAAGTGTAGATATTAAAAAGGATGGAGATGTTTCTGATGATGAGAATACTGTGACAAAGAAAAGTAATGATGATGATAATGAAGCTAATGATGGAGGAATATATCTTTAGTAACCAACAGTAAATACTATACATATCTATGTAATAATACGTACTATTTATTCTAACAACAAATACTATTGTAATACTATTTCTTTGTAATACTATATACATTAAAGTACTATATATTAAAGTACTATATATTAAAGTACTATATATTTGATAGTCTATATACATGGAGCTCACTTTGATTTCTCAATGGGCTTTGGTGGAGCAGAACCAAATAATTTGTTAATGAATGGCTTTTCACTTTGATTGATAGGATCTTCTGGTCGTTTGCATATCAACATATATGTAGTACCAAGATGAACTCTCTTTTCATAAGTAATATCCAAACCTGCAGAATCAACCAAATCCAAAATATCTAAATTCCATCTACAGGCCCATGTTTTCATTCTATGTTCACTTCTAAAGTCCAAGTGATTGTTAATAAAGCCCCAAGTACTTCTTCCATGTTCTAATAACACAATACGTCCACCGGGTTTTAACAACTCTTTCATATTCTTAAGGGCTTTAACAGGATCTTCATGAGCACATAAACCAAAAGTTTCGATAATGGTATCATACTGAATAGACTTATTGTCCTTAACTAAATCCACCAAATCTTCAGCCTTACCTACTGTATAACCGACTTTCTTAAATTTAGGGTAATATGATTGAAACTTTTTAACAGCCAATTCTACCATTTTGGCAGAAGAATCGAGAAATGTTATAGAGTTAATATCTTCAGTATTTAAATAAGGAATATTTCTTCCTGTACCACAGGCAACTTCTAAAACATCACCTTGGATTTGGCTCATAAGCCATGATCTTCTTCTTCCCATCAAAATAGCACGTTCTTCCCATTTAATTTCGTTATCATAAGCTTCAGCCTTCTCTTCGTAGAATGAAGTTGTATCTTCTGCTGGTACAATATTAGCCGTTTTCTTATCACTTTCCTGCTTTGTATCATCCACAACATCTGGCTTATCTATAGGTTGATCTAACACAGGAGTCTTTCTAGACAGAATTCTTGGCTGCTTTTGATACCACTCATCCAATTGTTCTGGAGTAGGCTCAAAAATGGCATCCTTATTCAAAAGATTCTTTCTTCGGAACTCTTTCCTCATCATTTGATAAATCTTCCACTTCTTTTCTTCTTTAGGACGTAATCTTTCATTATTCAACTTTTTCATCATTAAATATTCGTATTCTAATAATGAACTAGGATCAGCTTCATATTTGGCACGAACATGTTTTAACTGAATATCTTCATAGTAACGATCTCTCATATAATAGTATAAACTAATACACATGGCTATAAACCCCCCAATATAATACTTGGTCATACTCTTTTTAAATTTTTCAGACTCAAGATACTTAGCCCACCTTTGGTATCTACTCAATTTAGCATTTTCATGTTTCTCTCGAACATGAGCTGTATCTATGGGGAATGGGTTAGATCTTGAGGGTTCAGGTTTTGACGATTTACTATAGTATCTACATAACAACAGTACACTACCAGCACCAGTCAAAACGGGTCTAGCCACTACTCGTCCGATGCCAATAGGAACTGCAGCTGTAACTCTTCTACTAACAGCTAGCATTGACACTACTTCCCTTCCTCTATACTAATAAATATGATTCGAGATTCATCTTCTCCATACTCCAAGTGAAAAATTATTTTGCATATAGAGTGGGTGGGTCGTGCGCGCGTGTTCAAACCGGCTGGTAAACTCAACGCCAAAACTGGAAACACCGATGGCAAATCACGAACTCCAATTCACTAACACCGACAGGAAACTAATAACCAATAAACATTATACAAATAATAAATAAACCATATCAAAAAAAGGAATAGTAAAATTCAGCATGTCACAACCTTCGGCGTTATTAGAACAAGCCCGTGACGCAGCAGCCCTCGAAGACTACACATTAGCGGAAACCAATTACAAGCAATTGATCTTAAATTATCCAGATCAAACTGTAACTAGTACTAAAAGATTACAGGAACAAGAATCGGCTATAATTGAATTGGGGAAAATATATCAGAAGAATGAAGATGCCGAGAAATTGAGACAACTCATTGAACAATCTAAACTGGTGTTGGGAGACTTTGCCAAATCTAAGACAGCTAAGATTGTTAAGACATTAATTGAAAATTTCGATACTATTAGTAATTCTTTAGATTTACAGATTCAATCGACTAGAGATAGTATACAATGGGCCATTGATAATAAATTACTGTTTTTAAGACAATCATTACAATTGAAATTATCAGAATTATTATATAAGAAGGGATTATTTCAAGACGGGTTAAAGATTATAAATGATTTATTAAGAGAATATAAGAAATTAGATGATAAATCATCATTAGTAGAAGTACAATTATTAGAATCTAAAATTTATCATTCTTTACGTAATATTCCTAAATCTAGAGCTGCATTAACTAGTGCAAGAACTTCAGCAAATTCTATTTATTGTCCAACTTTATTACAAGCAGAATTAGATTGTCAAAGTGGGATTCTTAATGCAGAAGATAAAGATTATAAAACTGCTTTTTCATACTTTTATGAATCATTTGAAGGATTTAATTCTCAAGATGATAGTCGTTCTATTTTAATCTTAAAGTATATGTTATTAACTAAGATTATGTTAAATCTTATTGATGATGTTAATAATATTTTAAATCATAAGAATGTTCAAAAATATCAATCAAAAGATATTGATGCTATGAAAGCCATTGCTACTGCATATTCTAATAGATCTTTAAAAGAATTTGAAAATGCCCTTGTAACTTATTCAACAGAATTAAAATCTGATCCTATTATTAAAAATCATTTCAATGCATTATACGATAACTTGTTAGAACAGAATTTATTAAAGATTATAGAATCTTATAGTTGTGTAGAATTATCTCATATTTCTAAGACTATTGGATTAAATTTACAACAAGTTGAAGGTAAATTATCTCAAATGATCTTGGATAAAGTGTTTTATGGGGTATTAGATCAAGGTAATGGTTGGTTAATCATTTATGATGAACCAAGAAAAGATGCAGCCTATGATGCTTCTATAGATTTGATTAAGAACTTATCCAATGTAGTGGATTTGTTGTATGAAAAGGCATCTTCATTGAATTAGTGTATGTATGTAAGTATGTATTTATGTATTTATATATGTCTATATCACTATTACTATAACTACAATTATAACTATCTAATAGAAGACTCCCTGAATTCCTCTCTCACTAGCCACTACTGATATCTCACCTACCTTAACCAAAAACTCTTGTAATCGTCCACTAGCCTGGAAACATTCTAAGAAATCATTGTCTTCCTCATTAGCTACTTGGTTAATTAACGTAAACACTTGTCTCATATACTTCCAGTCATTCAATCTTGAATTTTGATAGATTTCCAATAATTCAATGATGAGATATGGTACATAGATGGCTCTGTATCGAGTATAGATAGCCTTATCATCAGAATGACTTAACCCTTTGAACCAATCAAAGATTAACTTAGTCAATGTCTTACTAGTCTTCTCTATAGAATTGGATACGGCACTTGACTTCCACTTGCCAGTATCATTAGTGATACTAGCAAAGTTCCTCCAATCATCTATCAATATGAGGGCCTCCAATAACTGAGAATATTCCAATAATTCAAGCTTAGTTTCTTCACTAATATGTCCCTCATCATGTTCCTTGGCAAGTAATTGTACATCGTAATTGTTGATGATACTCTTGAAGCTCTTCCCCTTGGCAAATTGTTTGAGGGCTGAGAGTTTACCACAAAGGAGAAACCTTCTAATGATAGTTACTGTGGCACTAATGGCATCTTCATACATATTGTTCTCATAGAAATACTCGACGGACCGATAGAGTTTATAGTCCATATCATCAATAGTATCTTCAGACTCCTGAACTTCAATGGATGCACTACTCTGTAAATCTCTATAGTAACTTTCTGTCTCACTCAATACTCGTTCAACTGTACGTCTCAATACATTAATCATCTTATCCTGATTGTTGTTATTGCTATTGTTATTGTTGGTGTTGGTGTTGTCGAGCATTACCACATCAGTGCTGTGATCATTGATACGCTTGGATATTTCAATCTGCTTCAACCGTTCATCATAGTCTGTAATAGTGGAAAGGAGTAAGGAGTATGCCTCTCTGGCATCCTTTTCATCGGGTATAAACGATAAATAGATAGGAATCAAATCGGTGAGTTTACTATCAGAAAGTTGAGCTATGTATAAAGTAATAATGGTGGTTAAATCCTCTGGAAGGACAGGGTTATCTCCGCCTATAATGGATTTAAAGATGGCTAAATGGGTAAGTACTCGAGTAAGATGAGGTTGATTCAAAGTAGCGTTATCTTGGGCATGTTTATGGAGTAAATTATGGAGTAATGATGATACCTTGTCTATCATAATACTACCGGAAATTACCCTTAATGGGTGTTGACTTTGCTGCGATACAGTCGTGCCAGATTTCAGTAATGCATTTAAGATATCGTCTAGAGTAGTCAATTGAGGCGGAAGAATCACAATTGAAGGAATATCTTCATCTGAATTTTGATCTTTGTATAGATTTATCATAAACTCTTGTAATTTGTAGGTGTATAGTTGAGAGGTGTATATCAAAAGGGATTCTGCCCAATCATCAGCTGCTTCACTAAGATTGGCACTTACATCACCTCCACTTAAGTATGAATAAATCAATCTTTCATATTTGTTAAGATTAGGTTGTTGTGACAATTTGTATACGGCTTTAGTCCATAAGAGTTTGTGCTTCGTACCAGAAGCAATAGAAGGAAGAATTTCACCATCTTCACCATCTTCACCATCATTGATATCTTTGATATCTTCTTCATCCCGTTTATCAATTATAGGGTCGTAGTACGTCTGGGTATAACCAAGAAGGATCAAGGCTAAGGCGTAGTTGCCAGTATTACGAGCTATCTCCAATGCATCTGTTACTCTATTGGCAAGTACTAGTTTATATATGATGTGGAAATTAGTTGAATCAACAGCTTCATCATGTGGATGAATGGACTTATTCGAACGTAATGGAGAATCTACATCCAAAGTATCCACAAGATTATGAGCAGGAATATTATTGAGGAGAATATCATAGTCTTTGTTTACCACTGCAAGTCTAGTGTTATTCCACTTCATTTGATACAGTTCAACTCCCTCAGTATCCACATTTCGTGTATTAGTTTGAAGCCATTCAATAATTCGATACAACTCTATGATTTGAGGATTCTGACGTAAATAGTTCTCTTGCTTGGTACCAAGCGATGACATCTCATATTCTTTAAGTAACAGTATGTCCCATCTCGATAATCGGAATGATGATAATAACTCCACCAAATGCCACAATTTGGTTTCTAAGTCCCAGTGGTCAAACTCAGCCGAAACTTCCTGACCTTCTAAGGTAGTACCGATAGCAAGTGCTCGTTGGGCACAGAGTGATTTGAATTTGCCGATGATGTCGAATTCTTCAACGTCTGTTTTCAATTGATACTCCTTGAGAATAGTAGCAAATTGTACCTCGATATCCGTCGTCGCCGGCATGTTTCGAGTCCCCGAGGATATCATATCTATGTTATTGGTTGTGGGGTAATGGATTGTTTTCTATATAAATTCACCTATTTTACTAGTGTTTATTTTAATTTTTCAATAAAAGGGTGGTGATCCAGCGACATTATGTTTGCACATGATCGCGCATGTGCATGTCGCATTCACGACATGAGATTTTTCTTTCATGTGCAAGGTCACATGTATGGACTGTACCTCTATGCAGGTGTCCCTCTTACGGGGAATCAGAAATGTCACTCCCCCCTAAGAAACCAGTCTGTAATCCTACGATACATAGCCATTACCGGATCAATAATAAGTAAAACGGATAGAATGGCATCCGACACCGAAGTAAGTATATCCCGGAACACTCCTGAACCACCAACTTTTACAGAAGATGAAGATAATAATCCATTTTCTCATCAGGGAGGTATAAGCGGATTTATAAATCAAGACGAAGAAGGAGGTGAAGAATCATTATTATTGGGTAATTCACGTGCAGTGAATGATACAGTAATAGATGTACCGATTAATGTTGAAAGCCGAGTAACTAAGCTTTTAAAACCGAGTAAAAAGGTAAAGATTGAAATTACTGAGGCTGGTAATTCTAATGAAGGTATGGTTAACTCTCTGAAGAAATATGTGGTATATACGATTAAATTAATTAATTGTGAAGATATTAAGGAAGAAGTATTAACGAGGCGAAGGTATAGTGATTTTGAAAGTTTACGAGATATTCTTACTAAGATATTTCCTCTAATTATTATTCCTCCTATACCTCCAAAGAATTATCTTAATTTAACAGTATTGAATGGTTTAGTTAGTCAAGCTCAATCAATTGATAATGGAAATGGTAATAGTAATAATGGTGATACTAATGGATCTGAACTGCATCATCCTCAATCTCCTTATTCATATATAAATTCAACTCATTTGGCTAAGAATAAACTAATTGAACATCGGAAACGTTTATTGGCAAATTTCCTTAATAATTGTTTAAAGATTCCTCGAATTCGGAATCTTCAATTCTTTGCTAAATTCTTAGATCCTAATGCCAATTGGACTGATGAAACTGTACTTATGTCTAGTCAATTACCTAAATCCATCTATCTTCTGAATCCTGAAAATGGTTTAAAGACTGATCCAATCTATGCCAATCTTCCTAATCCCAGTAATGGACCTACTATGTCATTCTTTAAAGATAATCGAAAGAGAATTACTAAGAAAATCTTGAATGGTGATAGTACAGCTAATGGTACTCTGCTGCATCTTCTGCTGCTGCTGCTGCAGGGTCAAACCAATGGTAATGGTAATGGTAATGGCAATGCAGTCATAGAAAAGACTACTAATTCAAAATATATTATTAATACTTCAGGATTAGATGAAATCAACAAGCGTATAATGGCCAATTATATGGGATTATCAAATGATTATGCTGATTTAGGTACCATATTCAATTCCTTTTCCTTAGCATTATCGGAATCATCTAAAGAAGGTAAGAATTCTAAAGCTAATGTAGTATTTGATAAGGTAGGACAAGCATTTGATAGATCCTATATAACCATCAATGGATTAATTGGAGATTTAGAAACTAAATTTTCTGAACCATTAGGTGAAGCAGTACAATACTCGAGTATACTCCAGTTCATCACCAAGTACCAGAACCGTAAATTACGCCAGAAGGAACTATTGGATCTAGAATTAAAATCCAAGAAAAAGGAGCTTCTGGAATTACTTCATACGGAAGAAGAGTCTGGAAGAATAGAGAATGCAGTAAACTCTGATCCTCAAGCTAAGGATACCAAGTATAACTTGGATGATGCCATAGCAAAAGATAGTAACAATAAGAAAACACCACCAGAACCAACTTCTACCACTATTACAACTACTTCAACTACTTCTACTTCTAGATTTAGATTCCCCAGCCTAAAGAAGATTACTCAATACGTTAGTGAAATCATTGATCAGAATCCTGAACAAACCCGTCGCCAACGTATATCAGTACTTCAAGAAAAGATTAAAATATTTGAGAAATGTCAGAATATAATGCTTGAAGACATATCGTATATAACTGATGAAGTTAATAAAGATTTCCAGGCATTCCATAAAGAACAGTTAAAGATGATTTACGAAATATTATTATGTTACAACCGATTTCTCACTGGTTGGGCTAAAAAGAACATTGAAATTTGGGAAGAGATTAAAGAAGAAGTATATAAACTATAAGCTAGAAGCTATAACTTATTAAACTATATATATATATAATGTATTATTAATTTACAAATACACAACTAACTAGTCAGACGTCTCAAGATATTGTATAACTGGTGGTCCCCATTCTCCGGCTGCTTTGTATCGTCTAATGTCATCGGGGAATCCATTAATGGCTCCGATTAATCGTTCACATACTTCTTTACCATCTTGTTTAAATTCACTCAAGGGAGTTAAATAAGTTCTAATGGTGAAAAGAACAGCTCCTGTCTCAGGTAATCGAGTTAATACTTGTCTCTCACTTCTATAATGAACTTGAGTATCAAAATCCAAATCTTTAATGTCGATGGGTTGTTGAACATAATCCTCGGGTAAGTTATGACCTTTGTTAGCATCATCCACATAAAATTTATTATGGGTCTGTACAGAAAAGTTACTTCTAGTAACAAATTGACCCGGAGATATTCTTTGAAAGAATCGATTCATTGATACTTTCATTTTCTCTTCATATCCGGGAATTCGTTCATGTACTGCCGTGAGCGGTCTATTGAACCGATCTCTTGGATCAAATCCGGCTGCAAATGCAAATACTCCCGCTTTGAAAAAATATTCTGTTCCATTCTCTTCATTTTGTTTAGTAGGATCTGTCAATAAAATAATTATATCTTCTTCTATGGTTTCAGTTAAATATTCAAGACACTTCACCGGTTCAATTCCTGTCAGAGTGGCTGGGATATCCTTTTTGGTAATTAAGTTATGAATTATACCACCATCTTTTTGGAAATACATGGGATATTTGACTACCATATAGTTAACAATAGTATTATAAGTTTCCCTTATAGCAGGTATAGCTTCATCAGTAACAAATACTGTACTAGATCGTAAATCCTTATCAGCAGGATAATCTTCATGCTTATTATGAATGATTTTAGATTTAACCTCAAGACGCAGAAGATAAGTGGGTTCAATTAATAACCAATCCTGAGGATCCAAAGTCTTTATGGCCATAGTTAATTTATAGGCTGCATTCTTAAAAGGGTAAGACTTCAAGGCTGGTTGTTTATCCCATACAAAATCAGAATCTACTGGCTTGATTTCAAGTGGCTTAGAAGGATCCACATCATATAAACCAACTTTCTTACCGGTTGATTTAGTCGATGACTTAGATGACTCGGATGACTCACCATTTATCCATTGTTGAACCTTATAGATAACAACTAATGCAACTAAAATACTAGCTAATACTTGAACATACTCGCCAGAAGTTATGATTCCACTAAGATATTGTGTGATATATGTTACACTTGGCTCACTCATTGATTCCACCACTAACTATGGATCTAAATTGAAAAATTTCCCCAGAAATCAGATGTCTTTATATATGAATGGCCAGATCTAATCAGGATATCCGCTAACCTTAATGGGGAAAAGTTCGCGAGGTCGCACCGCCTCTAGGGATTAAGATGCCGGTAGTGATAAAGCTTAAGCTGTCAGTTAATCAGTCTTCTGCACTTAAATTTTAGTGTTATACCACAACAATGACATTGTGATCGAGATATGCGCTGAGGAACCTATCTCCGCTGGGCATTCTATTCTTCAGCTTATTCGCTATTCAATTCCAAGAATTTTTATCTGGGTCGATTTTATCGGGATCATATCCCGCCGTTTGACGCACAAGAAGAAAGACCAAAAAGACTACAGATTTTCACGTGACCTCCACAGATGCAAAATAATTATTAGAAGAAAAAAAATTTTTAGAGCCTACAGCAGCTTAACGGGTAGCGAAAGCGCAAACTTTACTATCGGGTTTGACCAATTGGGAGAATATGTCTAGCTCTATTTTGGTAGTAGCACAGTATTTGGAAGAGTCCCAAAGACGAGAAGTTGCTCGAATTCTCTCGACGGATTTACAGTCGAATTTGGAAAATATAGAACCATTATGTGGATTATTAGAGACTGTACAACTCGATGAGCATACTGAGTTATATGAAAATATATCTAAATATTGTACAGACAAATTATTTAATATTGAAGATGAAGATTTGGATGGTGTCTTAAAATTAGCACAATGTGTACCTTCTTTACGTCAAGAACTTTTATCAAAAATTGAACAGTACCTTTCGTCATACATCTTGAGTCATAAGAATTACTTTCAACAAGGTATATTTGAACTTATAAGTGTAAAATTTCATGATAGTGGTGATTCAGAGCTTTCGAATGAATTCATATTCAAGTTATTTAAATTCTTGGATATGTTATTTATTCATATTTCGACTCTCGATATTCACAATATCGATTCAATATTATTAGCTTTTATTGCTATATATGATGAAGAGATATCTTCAATAGCTTCTAAACTTTTAAGATGGAGAATTAAACTGATTGCTCAAGAATTCAATGGTTCGGATACTATGTGGAAATTAATATTCTTATTAGAATCTGGTAATAAGAAAAGTCATGCCTTTGTATTTTGGTTACGTTATTTAAGTTGTGAAGATCTCTCATCTAATGCAGAATTTAAAGCAGTAGTAACTACTAATAAGTATTGGTCCATTATTCAAAATGCATTAGTAAGTGATTCCCATGAGCACAGAAAGTATTGTCTTTCTATTTTACAACTTACCGTCAAATCCATAACCTTTGATATTAATAATGATTATATTAAATGGAATAGTCATAATACTGATAAACACTTACAAGAATGGTCTAGATTCCTGACCTTATTTGAAATCTTAGGAATTGATACTTCTTTACATCAAGCAGAAGGAGGAATTAAAGATATAACTGCATTAATTTCAGCAGATTCTCTTATACATCCATCTTGGGGATTCTGTTTACTTTCAACTGGGTTTAAAGCCAGTATGGATTCAGTTAGAAAATTCACTCTTAAGTTACTCTTTTCCATTCCTGATTCCAATTTACATTTATTGAAATATGGGTTGAAATATCTCGAGGAAATCTTCTTGCCTTATATGATGTTAGCATCACATTTTAGTGTTAGAACCGTTAATCATATTGAAGATTGTCATTATGGTCGTAAACTTACATCATTCATTACTCATTTATTAGATACTTTGACTGATGAAGAAACTGACAATGTTGTATACTCATTATTGAAAGTACTTGAGAACTTAAAGGATGCCTTTGATCCTTCTAGAATATACGTTACTTATGGGATTTTAAAGGGATTGGCCAATAAGAAAGTATTGAAGTTTTCTAAACATGATATACCCCTCTTAAAGTTATTTGAAGCCCGAGCTGAAGGAGAAGTATTTGAAAGAACTATCCAAACTATTAATCTTCGATTATTGTTAAACTTTACCACTGACAATAGTATCGCTAATTTCCTTGACTGTGCCACTAAATTCATTAAGTTCAATGGTAAGAGCATATATAATGAGAATGTTCATTTATTCCAAGCAGCCTTTTCAGATATAGATTTATATGAATTCATCGGAACTAATGATGATCATGATATACTCATTTATTCTATAAAAGGAGGTAAGATAGATTCTCACAAGTTGACATCTGAAGTGTTATTGGCTAAAGCTATAGACTTTGGAATTGAGTTAAGTATCGATTGGCAACATATAGTCAACAATGTAGTTAGTAGCTGTAATACTGATTTCCTTAAGAGTTTAGCTGAATCCAAGTTATCTGGCAAGGCAACTCTTGAACCATTATGGAATTCTATTCAAATTGGATTTGCATCAGATGACTATACCGTATTGGAAAACACCTACTATAAGCTTATTATTTTTAACCAATTGTACAATAGCAATGAAGTCAAACCAATCAATTTCTCCAGCTTGATTCTGTTCTATCACACATTACTTAGCAATTCAGAAGAAGTCTCCAAAACAGTTAAGACCTTCTATAAACTTAAGGAAGATATCTATGGAGAATTCTATAATCTTATTAGTATTTGCTATACTAGAGAACCAGTTCAAGTTCCAATATCTACCATCTTAGAACTATTGGATTCTAATTCATCCAGCTTTAAAGCTAATATGTCTATGGTCCAATTTATAGAAGCATTTATTACTAAGGAACATGTAAACGCCATTGAACTTGAAGCAGTAGTGGATTTCTTATGTTCTATGTGGACTAGCTTAGATTCTACTCGACTCCAATTGAATCAGAAGGATCTTCATATCGCATTGATTAGGACAATCTTACACCCTAAGATCTTATCGTTATCATCGACCAATGATTCTGTAGTATCGCAATTATTATCATTCAGTACCTCCATCATTAAGAATGCTGCCGGTAGAAGAAGTTTATTACCTACTTTCACTAAGTCACTTTCTAACTATCAAGTTAGTCATGGATCAGAATTCGAATCACTTAATTGGTTACCACAAGTCATAGTCAATACGTTTATTGTATACCAATTAAACAGTAATGTATTCAAATTAGAAGCTGTCATTGCAGATATATTCGATAAGGAGATAGCCAATGATTCATTTTCTAAGCTCTATTCTCAAGTCTATGGTCCGGAAGAAGTTAGCTCGAAGATTAATCTTATGGCTATCATTAATTCTATCAAATCTCGTCGATTTGCTAATCAATTATTTGATTATATCCATGAAAATCAAAGTAATTACTACTTGTATGAAGTATATAAGAGTACAGATGGATTTGAAGAATGGAGAAGAATTCAGTTATTTTCTATAATATTAGGGGTTATTGATGTGGCTGATTTGGCTCCTTATTTGGATCAATTTAAATCTCTAATTGGTACTGATCCTAGTCCCTTGGCTAGAGCTTATATTGAATGGATAGTGGCATATTTGTTATCGGACAATACCGGTGAGATCGAAGGGTTAATGGATTCATTATTACGGGATACTTTAAAGCCTGCTGTAGTGAATTCGTATTCCAGAATCTTATTCCTCCTGATAAAACAACTTAGCGATAAGCAGTATAAGCAGAAATTATTACTGAAACTTATTACTATAGTTATACCTGGTGCAACATCTAATAAAGTTATCACTAGACATTTCTCATTATCATTAGTTATATCTATTTATGAAGAGATTACTCATCATAATTTAAGTATTGAAGATGATCTTATACGATTAATCACTAACTTATATACGAGTGCATCACAAACCGAATCTTTTGGACAATATAGAAGTGGAGATGCCTTATTATGGGATATTAAACGAGACTTAAATTTAGTTAGTATCTCAGGAGGAGTATTATTAAGAATATCTGATAGAGACACTATTGATTTTATACGATATGAAGACTATTCCAAGTACTTGGATAATCATCAAATACCCCTTTTAAATCATCCTATAGGAGAGAATTTAGAAAACCTTTGGGTTAGAGAACGTAAAGCTCATAATTTATCTCATAGTAAAGCAACCGTCACTACTGAATCTCCACTTCAAACCAAAAGTGGACAATGGGGAGCCATTATGGATGTGGATGAAGAAACCATTCGAGGTAAAGAAGTAGTTCGTAGTGACCTTATTGTTGTATCATCATTAGTAGATAAGCCGCCTAATTTAGGTGGGATCTGTCGGTTATGTGATGTGTTAGGGGCAGGAACCTTGACCCTTAATGATATTCATATAAAGAATCATCCCCAATTTAAGAATGTGGCAGTTACTGCCGATAGTTGGATGCCAATGATTGAAGTTCGAGAAAATGATATTAGAGATTATTTACAAAATAAGAAGAAAGATGGTTATACATTAATTGGATTAGAACAAACTGATAAATCTATTGAATTAAATAGTGAATTGAAATTCCCTGCTAAATCTTTAATCTTATTAGGTAAGGAAAAGGAAGGTATACCCGGACATTTATTAGCAGAATTAGATTTTTGTGTAGAGATTAAACAACTGGGAGTTATTAGATCTATGAATATTCAAACAGCAGCTGCCATTATAGTACATGCCTATTCTATACAACATACATAAATATAATTTAAAAAATATGATTATCAGTATCATCATTTTCATCATCTTGTTCAATTAAAGTATCTAATGCTTTAATTATAGCAGGACAATATTTATTACATAAATTTATACTTTGTATAATTAATTTTTGATTTAACCCTTTAAAATTAGAATTATTAGAATTTGTAGCTAAATTCATATTGATTATTGGCGTTATAACTTTATCCTTATAAAAACTTAATATTAATCCATTTTCTAATACTTGTTCTTCTTCAATTGATGGATCAAATAATAAATTCTCTCCTATTACTCCTAAAGTTATGAAGATAGGAGGTTGAAATGTAGGATGAATATATTTTGCATTATCCCAATCATCAGAAAATGTTGGTTGTTCTTCAATTTCTTCATCATTAACTTCACTAGTTAATAATGGTAATCTAGTAGTTTTTAAAGCTAAATATGATGTTAAAGATATTAAACTTAATGGATATGATGAATGACTTATTACTATGCAATCTATAAATAATTTAAAAGAATATTTAGATGTAAGTCTTAAATATTCAACGGGGAATTTAGTAATGAGGAGATTAGTTAAACTAAATTTAAGATTAGAGACAAAATTCGAATCATCTCGAAATCCAGGTACATCAATATCAACTTCAATCAAGGACAGTTCCCCTCGGGTAACTACTACTTTAGATTTAACACTAATAATACATTCACTACCATCATTTAATCTAATTCTAGCTGATCCATTGGAATTAGGTAAGAAGCCTGTCTTGGCTTCTAATGGTCGGAACTGATGGTCGGATCTTGCTCCTGGTCGTATGGCTGGTTTCTGAACTAGCGACTCGTACAAGTACGCTCTCTCTGCGGGTGATAGTATCATGCTTTGGTGGTATTACTGAGCTTTGCCTTGCTTTGCTTTGCTTGGCTTTACTTTGACTAGTGAAAGTATCAGTATACCCTCGCTAGACACTAGCGGGCCATAATTAATTCGCATTAATTTTTAGTGATGATATTGAAAAATTGTGCTGGGCTGAATGCAGGACCTTTTTTTTTACTGAGAGATGTTCATCACTAGCTATAAACAGTACCGTTCTCACTACTCACTAAAGTGTACCCACTAACTACTCACTAAGTGGACCAGTAATGACCAGTTTGTTCAGTATATCTGGAGGCACTAGTGTCCCCCAGACAGTGGGGTCTACCAGTAGTGGATTTAGTCTTATTCAATCATCACAACAACCAGTACAACAGACTCCACCACCTATAGGAGTACAACAACAACAACCACAACAACAACAACAGCAACAAGCTCAACAACAACAACAACAACAACAACAACCGCAACCAATATGGTTTCAAAATCAAAAGAAACGTATTATACCTAACCACTTAGTTCCTAAGAAAAAGGCCAGTTTCCAAATCGCAGCATCTAAAACTAAGAAAGATGGAAATGGTAATGGTAATGGTAATGGAAATGGTACAGGAAATGGTACAGGAAGTGGTAGTGGAAATGGAAGTAATCGTGAAAAGAAATCCAGTAGTCTCTTATCATCTAATGAATATAATTTATTATCATTTGCAGGTCAACAACTGCTGCAACAACAACGGAAACTCTTGGATAAAGTCGATGATACCAGTGTAGATTTTACTAAATATGATGAAACTTTAAATGAAACTCTCATTAATAATGAAGATTTCTTTACAAATTTTGATGAAGATTTACCACCTACTCGATCAATTCATGATTTAAATGATGAATTTTTAGTTTCTTTAGGTAATAAACCCGTTGAAAAAATTGATTCATTTATAAATAAAGATCCTAAAACTTTTGAGAATGTATTTACTAGAGGAACTAATGAACTGAAAAAGCAAGAAAGTTCTATAACCAAAGAATCTATGAATCCATTAGTTAATAATGAAAGTGCCATTATTGTATTTGGATATCCTGAATCATTAACTAATCAAATCATTCAACATTTTAAAGAATTTGGTGATATTTTAGAAGACTTTGAAAGTAATCATAAATCAACTTATTCTTCATTAAATTCTAGACATAATCAATTATCTAAAAAATTAGTACCTATATTTGTTGGAAAGAATTGGATAAAATTAACTTTTGATAATCCTGCTTCTGCATTAGATGCTATTCAAGAAAATGGGTCAGTATTTAATGGGGTATTATTAGGAGTTATACCTTATACTAAACATGCTATAGAGAAATTACAAAAGAGATCTATTACGTCTAATGAAGATATTGGAGGTAATAATGCTCTTGATTTATCAGTAGTTAAACCAGAAAAATTACTTAATGGTAATAGTAATAGTAACAGTAATGGTAATAGTAATAGTATTAGCAATAGTAATGGTAATGGAATTATAAAGGAATCCACTCCTAGTCAATTAACTAATAAATTCGAAATGAAAGATGGATCTCAATTCTTTTTAAATAATGGAGATCAACAAAAGGAGAAGGATGCTAAACAAGAGAAATTAGGAGTTTTAGGTAACTTAAGTAGATATATATTCGGATTCCACGAATTATGAAATTAACTTAATTGTATAATTTAAATTGAATTTACATAGATGTCCATATAATAATATATTTTGATATTAGATTATTGTTAATTATTAATTATTAATTCTCGAGTTATTTATCGCCATCCAGGATGATGTGTTGGCGATTGAGGTGGCACATTCTTTACATAAGTAGTTCCACCTCTAATAGGTGAAGATGTATAAGATAAATTTGGATTTCTACCTTTAGTAGGTGAAGGAGATCTTATTCTGGTAGGAGATCTTGAAGGAGATCTAAATGATATTGGATCTCTAGTAGGAGATCGAGAAGGTGATCTCGAAAAAGATCTATAGCTTAAGGGTTCCTTTGTAGGTGATAACTTTGTAGGAGATCTTATATACGATAAATTAGGAGGAGGAGGAGGAACTCTATTTTCTTTATTATGAGTATTGAGTGAAGATCTAATAACACTAGATGATCTATTGTAAGTAGGAGTTTGAATAACTCTACTATGACCTGGTTGATAAGGAGTTGAAGAATTATTATACCATCTAACTGTATCATTAGAATCAGCATCTTCATAAAGCAGATGTCTACGAGACAGAACTCTAGACAGAACTCTAGAATATTGAGGATCTCCATAATGTGAAGTAGGTAATTCTTCAATAGAAGTATCAGATTTATTGTCTATTTCATTACCATTTATATCATGAGTTATAAATATTCTCAGTTTTGTATCAGCATATTTAGTTAATACATCATCTCCATAATAAGGACCTCTACAAGCATCAATAACTACATCCTTTTTAACTTTATTAACTTTAGGATTTACAAATTTCGTATTATACTCTTTAAACATGGCTTCATAAAGAATTTGTTTATCTTTAACTAATAATGTAAATTTATTAATCATAATTGAAATTGTAATTGAAACCAATCCAAGTGTACCCACATAATTTAATAAATTACTTTGATTATTAATAAAATGAATTATAAATAAATTAACTGGATTTAAACCAATTAATAAATGTAATTGAAATTTAGATGGATCCCAAATATTTAATTGCCATACTTCTTCATCTTCAATATCAATAGTATCATCTATTAATTGTGATTCATCTTCATCTTCATCAATTTCAGGTTTACCAAATATAGCCAGTAATAAATAATTTATTGATTTAACAATAATCAGATTTGAATGATTTAATGAACCTTTAAATGCTGAAGGACTTGAAGGTTTACTTGAAGCATTTAATAACTTATAATTCTTATAGGAGGTAATGATTTGATATGTATTAAATAATCCAAAAATAACTATTAATGAAGAAATACCATTTAATAACCATAAGATTGATGGAACTATTTGTCCATGACTAGATTGTTGTTGAAGTTGTTCATTATATGATAATGAACGTTTAATTCTTTCATAATTATAATAATCAGTATCAAATAATGCATTATTAGATTTCACATTAATAGAATTATAATAATTATTTAATCCTTGACAAATTATAGTTATTATAGTTAATCCTATACCTAATGGTAAGGCCACCGAGACGGAAAAATCATCCCATTCAATTGATGAATGTAATTCATTTAAATAAAGATATAAATCAAATGGCACACTAGTTAACTTTGTTAATAGTGGAGTATGTCTTATAACCCTCTTAGACATGGTGATATATAATTATTTACTGAGTTGGAATACGAAGAATACCGATGGGGTTATTGTTTACTTTGATTGTTTACAAAAAACGCGTGCGAGTATCACCAACTGAAAAATGGAGTTGAAGAATCATAACGAGAGTTAACCAGAACGATTTTGGTTGGTAGAGGTGTTGTTAGTACTGTATCCAGGAATTTTGCGTACATGTCGGACGAAACCATTCGCGCGTTGAAACTGAGCAATCGAGTATTGCAAGATAAGTTGTACCGATTGTTGCGAGAGGAATCACATACTATTGATGGAGATGATACGAGTCATGATGTAAATGTGGTGGAACAGATTATCTCAAATTCTCATTCAAATGATAATAGGAATATAAATACGAATATGAATAAGAATATGAACGGTTCACGACATTCCAAGTATTATAGTAACGTAAAACATAAAATTGACGAAATCAGGAATACTCGATATGATTTGCCAGATGTTGATTCAGGTATTTTTGAATCTCAACTCAAGTCCAACAATCCAGAGAAAATACGAAACAATAGACAGCATGGAAAAGAGGAGCCAGTAAGTTCACCAGATGAGCTGAATATCTCATTCATCGCTACTAAGGATAGACCCAGTTTGTTGAGAGAACAGTCTCTATTAAATCAAATAGAATCCCAACAGAAGATAATTGATCAATTACAGCAACAATTAACCACATTCAAATTGGAGAAGGATGATCTTATTGAAGAGTTCCAAACAAAACTAGTGAAAGAAAATAGAGCCCTTGAAAGAAGATTGAGATTGGAGTTTAACGAAAAGGAGAAGAATTTACAACATCATTACAATTCAACTATGGAAGATAAAGTTCAAGAAGTCAACTCCGACAAAGAAAACATAAGAAATCACTTTGTTAAGAAGATTATCCAGTTGAAGTATGATTACAATCAATTAAGTTTGAAGAATGCATCTTTAATAGATATTAATCGATACTTATCTCAACAAATTAGTTCTCACGAACCATTAATTCAACCAACATATAATTCAGTTTATCATGAACCAGATTACACAGAATCTAACACAGACCATTTGATATCGAAATACTCTAATGCATATGAGGAACCGGAAAATGTGGAAGACGATAGCACTACAGATCATTTGATAGGCAGCTATCACAAATATTCCATATCTAATGTTAATCATGAAACTCCATTAAAACGTAACCGTCCAAAGTCATTAAGATCGTATATATTTATGGTGCTATTTATAAATAGGCTTCGAAATTTGTCTGAACATAGGAAACAAGTGAAACAGAGACTACATAAATTAGTGAATCTGGAAGATATAAATTTAGCCTATTGAGATGAGTGTTACCTAAAAGCTATTTATTACAGCTGTAATATAAATTAATTGCATAATAATACTAAATGAAGTTTTACTAATACACAACAAGCAGGAAATGTAAATATAGACTATGTTCAGTGTACACTGTAGGCTTCTTAAGTCTAGAGTTTACATATGGGAGGTTGCAATGATGCCGTCAAAAATATCACATCAACGATCTAAAATGAAGGCAAAAGCACTGTCATTTACAAGTTGATTTATAAAATTAATATTGATTAAACATGTATTATATAGTTGTGTACTAAAAGAGTAAAAACCTATAGATTAATAAAACCTTATTCTTGAAATTGAAGTTTGAAAGTCCTAAACATTCTCTTGGTGTTCAAGAACGACTTTGGATGGGGGACTCTTTATGAATCTCAACTGTAAATCAGCATCATCACCAAATGCTTCTGCGACTTCTTCTAAAGTATAACCTGAAGTTTCGATATAAGTGAAGTAAACAACAGTGAACTCCACAGCAAGGATACAACAGTAAACGATATAATATTTCCAACCAATTGCATCCATAGCGATAGCATTAACAAAACCGTTATAAATAACAATCCATGTTTGAACTAAATTATGAATATTAATACCTTTAGCTCTGTGACTGTATGGTAAGATTTCTGTCATGTATAACCATGGCAAACCATTAGCACCGATATCATAAGCAGCATAATACAAGAAAATCATTGCTAAGACACCATTACCTAACGATTTTTGTTCAAAATTTCTTTCTTGGTTAATAGCTGAAAGAGTAGTCCAAATAACATAAAGTATAAGCATCATACCAGTTGAAAACAAAAACAATGTTCTTCTCTTAAATTTACTTACAACACTGGCAGCAGTTCCCGCAACTACTAAATTGTAAATCATTAAGCAACCATTGATTTCCAACTGTCTCTTTTGTCCCGTAATTCCAATGGAATTCAATACTTTACTTAAATAGTATGAAACCAACCCATTACCTGAGAGTTGCATGATAATGGAAGTGAAAACGACAAGGTGCAATCTCATTCTGAATGAAGGAATTGTAAAGAAGTCAGTGTATTTGGCATTTGCATAAAGTTTTTCAAGTTCTAAAGCAGCAGTGATTTCATTGATCTCATATTCAACTAATTTAAGTGCTCTTTCGTCATTAGATCCACCAGTATGATGTTTATGTAAAATAGCACGAGCTTTGTCTACTTTACCCTTAGCAATTAAAAATCTTGGAGATTCAGGAACTAAGAAAAATAATACTAATTGAATAAAAGGTAAAGCTCCTTGTAAATAAGAAGGAACTCTCCAACAATAAGAATTCTTCATATCTCTTGTTGCAAATGTAACCCATGCAGCAATAATTGCACCAAGGTACCAGAAAACATTATATAATGCAGTGGCTGTTGGTCTATGAGTTGGATAACTAATTTCTGAAATTAACGAAGGACTTGAAACAATAGCAATACCAGACCCGAATCCAAGAACCATTCTTGAAAATAAGAAAAATCCATAGTTTGTGGAGACACCTTGTAAAATTGCACCAATAATCATAAGAGTACTACCAAACATAATAGAGTATTTTCTTCCAACTCTGTCAGCAATATAAGAAGCAACAAGAAAAGATAACATCACTCCAAACGTATTTCCATTGTTTAATGCACCTAATACAGGACCTTTAGGTTGGTCCATATCCGATTTCCAACGTGCAAGTGATTGTAAACCATTAAGCATACTACTATCATAACCATTGTTAGTTGATGTTAAAGTCGTTAAAAAAATACAGAAATTCAAGAATCTAAAATGGCTATGCTTCCACCAGGGACCTTCCAAGTAAAGATAATCATTAATATCTTCCTTTTGACTTTGGTTACCAACTAAATCCAATTCTTCAGAAATTGAACCTGCAGAATCTTGATTTTCAATAATGACATGATCTTTAGAAGATGAAGACATAATGTAATAAATTTCTAGCTGTTTGTTAGTTTATGAGCTACGATGAATAATAATTAAAACTCTCACGTAAAGAATTACGGAATTTAATGCGGCTTTATATAGATCTGAATTATTGATTTGTAATTACATTTTACCATTTTTATCCTTATTAGATATCGTTTACCCCATTTTGTTTCCCCATAATTTAAACGTAAATTTAAAGAAAGAAGCCCAAATTTTTTAAACTAATTATTTGAAGTTTTGTTGTGGTTCTATTATTAATTCCTATTATTATTTACTACGTATATCTCAGTTACTCCACTTAGATTTTGCAATCAAACTTTAATCATTTTTCCGCATTGTTCTCCCCCACTAAAATCAGGAACTAAAGTTAAAAGAACAAAAAAGAGGGGCTTTTTTTCGAATTGGGGGCTTATTGTCCTTCTGCGCAACTAAGAATAAGTTATACATCAGATAATCTGGTGGCTTGTTGGCTTTTCGGCATTTGCTGGATCTTTATCCATCCTTGCTTCAATACAATCTAACCTGATGATCTCTTTATCATTCTACCAGTTCTGAATTAGTCTATGGCAAATTAATAAATAGTTCTTCCATATGATATAGCAAAAATAGAGAGCCGTAGCATGATAAAACTACGAGCCAGATATTTCTTGGCCCACTCTTCATTAATAGAGGTTTCATTATTGTCAGTGTTAGTATTTTCCTACTAAATTTCTGTGGTATCCGGAACACATTATCTTTGATAAAATTTAGTGTTTATGAAGGATTGCTTTTCATAAGGTGCTCTAGGTGACAAACTAAAATTCATATAATGAAATAACGCATTGTCTTGTTACATGATCTAAGTAATAATTACTAAATTTGGTTAATATTTAGCTATTAAGAACTCGATTAATTTAATTAACTGTACTATGTAAATAATATTGTAAACATTATAATGGAATTAGAGTCATGGCTATAGTGAATTAAAAAGACACATACTCTTTTTCACTCTCGATGAAGAAATATACACTGGCTGGTAGCCACATACCACCGCAGACTTGTTGGCTACCATCTTAGGGTTGAATATCAAAAGCTATCCTGCTTTTAAAGGTGCGTCATTAAAATAATGTATATTCCAAGAAATTATACTGATTGATATTTATTTTTTCAATTATTCCAGAGGGCATTGTTAGGGTAGATTAAGGTGAAGCATCATTCAACACATGACTTCATTACTACTAGATGGTTTATTTTTCTTGGTTCTGTCCCCCAATATTTTCGCAACCAGAATACGGAACACATGGAGGCTTCCCCACCTCATATGTGTCAAGCCAAGAAGGTATGCTTCAATTCATCTTCGAACTGTTCTAAGATTTTACGTAACTGTTGTTATACGTGCCTTTAAAGTTTCGCCAATGTATGTAAATGGACAAGAAAAATTGATGGGGTGGCTAATCGACTTTTCCAGCTCTTGAAATTCACTAGATATACAAAAGACATTTCATTGAACCCAACATTTTCTAACATTATGACTTGAATGTTCCAGATTGTCATGATAAGAGCAAGTATGTGTTGTGATTGGTTAATTGGCCAATTGTCTAATTCTTTCTTTCCATAATTAGCACAATGTTACCTAATCACATAAATTTATAATTAGCACAATGGTTAGACGTGTCATCATTTGTAAATAAAACGTACAATTAGATTGGCAGATATATCGTCTTGGAAAACTTTCCTTAATCTTACATAACCCCCGGTCAAGTTCTACAACGGAGGTTTGTTAACAATAAGGTTAAGTAGCAGCCACTGTAACTATGGAAAAACTTAAAATCCACGAAAAATGGGGTAATGGAATACTTTCCTAAACCAGGTGCACACGCCGCTTTTTTACACAAAATGCACTAACATCCACTACCTAATTGGGAAGGCTTCCCTTGACAAGTATAGCCAGTTAATATATTTCCCCCACAATTCCTCCAATACTTGATTAATAAGTGGAATACAAAGTCATGAATAAGTAGTGCCATTGGTGGCTTCGTCAAACTGGTTCAGTTTTATTTTCCCATTTTCAAATCATACAAAAGGATATACTTTCCTCTTCGTAGTTCGAATCTAATAAATTTGAATTATGCTAATATTCAATAAAAACATCATGAGTCCAACTGCTACAACAGCAAAACAATTAGATATTGAAAAGTTAATTGAAGAACTTACCATTGAAGAAAAGCTTTCATTACTTGCTGGTAAAGATTTCTGGCATACAGTTCCAATTGAAAGACTTGATATTCCATCCATTAGAGTTTCTGATGGTCCAAACGGTATTAGAGGGACTAAATTTTTCAATAGTGTTCCTTCAAACTGTTTCCCATGTGGAACAGGATTGGCCGCAACTTTCAACAAGGATTTGTTGGTTGAAGTGGGTCAATTAATGGGAAAGGAAGCTAGAATGAAAGGTGCACATGTTATTCTTGGTCCAACTTGTAATATAGTTAGATCTCCATTAGGTGGAAGAGCATTTGAAAGTTATTCTGAAGATCCACTTTTATCTGGTCATGCTGCTTCTCATGTAATTCAAGGTATTCAAAGTCAAAAAATTGTTGCTTGTATCAAACATTTTGTAGCCAATGATCAAGAAGATGAAAGAAAAGCTGTTAATGAAATTATTACTGAACGTGCCTTAAGAGAAATTTATTTGAAACCTTTCCATATTGCAATTAGAGATGCATATCCAAAAGCATTAATGACTGCTTATAATAAAATCAATGGTGTTCATGTTTCTCAATCAAAACAACTTTTACAAGAATTGTTAAGAAAGGAATGGGGTTATGATGGAACTATTATGTCTGATTGGCATGGAGTTTATTCATCCAAAGAATCTTTAGATGCTGGCTTGAATTTAGAAATGCCAGGACCTACTAGATTTAGACAACAAACGGCTACTCTTCATTCAATTCAAACTAATGAAATCCATCGTGATGTTATTGATGATAATGCTCGTTATATTTTGAAATTAGTTAATGAAAGTTTGAAATCTGGAATTCCAAAGGATGTTATTGAATCTCCTAATCCTACTCAAGAAGCTTCAGCATTATTAAGAAAAGCTGGTGATGAATCTATTGTTCTTTTAAAGAATGATAATAATATCTTACCTTTATCAAAAACTGCTAAAGAAAAAATTGCTATCATTGGTCCAAATGCCAAGGCAGCTCAAGATTCTGGTGGTGGTTCAGCTTCATTAAATGCTGCCTATAAAATTACACCTTTTGAAGGAATTGAATCCAAAGTTAAAGAAGGTGGGAATAAAATTACTTTGGATTATTCATTAGGAGCTTTCTTAGACAGAAACTTACCAGACATTGGCCATACTTTAATAAATGAACTTGGGCAAAAGGGGTTATATGCTAGATTCTATAAAGAACCACCTGAATCCAACAACCGTAAAGTATTTGAAGAATTTCCATTATCTACTTCAAGAATCTTTCTTTCTGATTTCAAGAGTAAGAATTTAGCTCCAGGAGAAATATTATTTTATGCTGATTTTACCGGTACATTCATACCTGATGAAACTGGAGATTATGATTTTGGAGTTTCTTGTTTAGGTACTGCTCAACTTTTTGTTGATGATAAATTAATTGTAGATAATAAAACCAAACAAACTAAGGGAGATGCTTTCTTTTTAGGAGTTGGAACTAGAGAAGAAAGAGGAGTCCTTCATTTAGAGAAGGGTAAAGAATATAATATTAGAGTTGAATTTGGATCCTCTCCAACTTTTACTTTGAATAAAGCACCACTTGAAGGTGGAGGAGTTTATTTTGGTATTCGTATTAAAACTACTGGTGAAGAACTTATTAAGAAAGCTGTTGAAGTTGCTAAAGATGCTGATAAAGTAGTATTGGTAGTTGGAATTTCCAAAGAATGGGAATCAGAAGGTTTTGATCGTCCTACTATGGATATTCCAGGTTATACTAATGAACTTGTATCTGCAGTAGTTAAGGCTAATCCAAATGTTATTGTGGTTAATCAATCAGGATCTCCTGTAACTTTACCTTGGATTAAAGATATTCCAGCTTTTGTTCAAGCATGGTATGGAGGTAATGAATTAGGTAATACTATAGCTGATATACTTTTTGGAGATCATAATCCTTCTGGTAAATTATCTATGTCATTCCCAGAAAAAATTGAAGATGTACCATCATTCTTAAACTTTGGATCTACTAATGGTCAAGTCATTTATGGTGAAGATGTCTTTGTAGGATATCGTTACTATGATAAAGTTAAAAGAGCTCCATTATTCCCCTTTGGTTATGGATTATCTTATACAACTTTTGAACTTAAGAATTTAGTATTAAGTTCAACTAATGATAGTATTAATATATCTGTTAAAGTAAAAAATACAGGTAAAGTTGAAGGGGCAGAAGTTGTTCAAGTATATATTGAACCAATTAATCCAAATATTATTAGACCAGTAAAGGAATTGAAAGATTTTGGTAAAGTATTATTAAAACCAGGAGAATCAAAGACTATTAAATTAACTATTTCAATAAAGGAAGCAACTTCTTATTGGAATGGTTATAAGAGTAAATGGCAATCTGATAAGGGTAAGTATAAAGTACTTGTAGGTAACAGTTCAGATAATCTTACTCTTGAAGATGAATTTGAAACTGATCGTACCTTTTCATGGATCGGATTATAATCTTTTTAATGTTTAGTTTATAGTTTATAGTTATAGTTTATAGTTTATAAATTATACTCTCATAGTTATTACACATCTATTACAAATTTGTACTTAATATTATATATGCTCCTAGTTTAATTGGACATAATTACCAGGAAAAACACCAGTTTGTCCATTATATCTACCAGTCCACCATCCATTTGCATCCCCTGTTCTTTGTACAATCTCAATTTGAGCTCCAGCAGGAAATGTCAAATCACCTTGAGTTTGAGCTGTATAATCATACAAGGCTGTACAACTTTCAGCAGTTGCAACTGGGGTTGGATACGCTGGAGCAACTCCTGGTACAGAAGATGCAGGAGATGCAGAGGCTGGAGCAGCAGCTCCATAACCTCCATAGGTAGGAGTTGCTGGTTGTTGAGCTCCATAACCTCCATAAGTTGGAGTTGCTGGTTGTTGAGCTCCATATCCACCATAGGCTGGAGTAGTCGGACTTTGATAACCAGGACCTTCAGGACTCTTATAATCACCAGCACCTTGAGTAGCATATTGACCAGCTGTATATGCAGGTAATTGGTCACTTCCAGGAGCAGCACCACCAGGAGGTGGACTATTCATTAAAGCATGACGTCTCTTGGTTGCTTCTAATCTAGCCTTAGCATGACCAACTTTAAAATGAGTGATAGTAATAGCATCAGTTTGTTCTTCAATATTACCCTTCTTAAAATGATAAGCTTCAACCACATCAGTAGATAAATCAAAGTAAGGAATCTTTAATTCTTCCATTCTATTATATAAAGTATAGAATATGTTTAATTGCATATAATAAAAACTAATAAATAATGGTTTAATGAAATCAGTTTGCATTTGAAATAATATAGGTAATTCAGTCTTTAACATATCATTATAATAATCAAATTCTTGTTGAGCAATTTGAACTTCTGCTTCTGCATTATACATCTTTTCTTCATCTTTAACAGTTCTTTCCTTCTTTTCTTCATATTTCTTATAATTTCTTCTATGACGATCTAAATCAAGTTGTTTATGATCTCTTTTAGTAGCCATTTTACGAATTAATTGAATAACTTTTAATAATTCTTGAGCTGGATTAACAATTCTCTTTTCAATTAATTCTAAATCTGGTTTTAAAGTTTCTTTCAATTCTTTAACAACTTCTCGATATTGTTCTGCTGCTTGTATACCTTCTGGATTATCTTCAGGTATAGTTGAATTAGGATCAGATAATCTACCACTAATTGGTTTATAAATTTCTTCAATGGCTTTAGAGAAATCAATTTGATGATCTAACATTCCATTAACTGCGGCAAAATACCGAGTTGATTCATCACTCAATTTCTTTGTTTCAAGTTCTAATTCTTTAAATCTTCTTTCTGCATCTTGATAAACAGCATCTGAAGTAATATCTCCCATATTCATCTTTTGTCGAAATGTCTGGGGGGCCCTGACAATGGATTTTTTAAGACCTTTGAACGACATTTTCGACTCAATTGGATATAACTCACCGTTAACTACTCACTGTTCTACTTATTAGTTTAGTGTAAATTCAGCTTTAATGCTTAAGAACACCTGTTTAACTCCCTGGGGTGATTATGGTCATTTACCTTTTCTGCTCCCTTTGAATTTCGGGTAGTAAGGTAAGGAAGAGTCGTGTGTGGCACACAGATGCAGCGGCATGGGTGTATCTATATATATATTTGTTCTACTGTAACTAAATTTAAATACTGCGCTATTCTATTGTGTGTTTTTTTTTGCAGCTTTAGCGCTTTGACTATTGGCACCCATTGCCCCCTTATCACTAACTATCATTAGATGCCTCCAAATTATAACAATAGTTTGAATCCAAAGATCAATGTTAAGAAGGGGGAGGAGAAGAAGAAGAAAAATGTGGAAGAAAATAACGGAATTTGTGGCATAGGGATATTTAGGAAAGTTAGCGAGCCTATACTTAAAGTAATTATTGTCCCGTTATTGTTAGTCTACATTATCATTTTGTTGTACTTAGCAATAAATAGAACTATTATTGATATGGTTTATAATTTTCTCATTCATCCAAAATCAGAGTTTTACTATCTATCAATATATTTGGTTGATATTGTACATTTCTTTGGGATAACATTTCACTCCAATGAATGTGGGTATTACCATCGTAAGTGGTATGGAACGGACCAAATTAGGAAGTCAATCAAGAAGTATAATGATAATTGGAAACTGTTGTCAGAGAGGGCTGATTATGTTATTGATAGGTATATTTTTCATGCTCCCATATGCGTCTTTAAGAAGCTCAAGCCAGTCGGATCTAAACAAACTTATATATTCAATGGAATAGCACTAAAAAGAAATTCTGGTTTTAGTCATTACAAATTGTACAAACGGCTTAATGATGGGTCAGATTCATTTCCAAACTCTATTAGTTCTGGAATTCTCAATTTTGATGATTATGACGATACTAATGATACTAATGATTCTAATCTTTATGGTAACTCTAACCATCTAGACGATAGTGAATACTCTAATCATGATGCTCTTCATCTTGATGGTGATCATGTTAATGAAAGCATCCAAGATGAAAATGAACAAATTACTAAGAAAAATACAAGTTTAAATCTAAAATCTAGCGATGGATCAATCCAGGAAAATATTGAAACTATCACTAATCAATCTACTAAGAATATCAATACTTTCAAGAATTCTAGTTGTCCATATTTAGATGTTCTCCATAAAGAAATAAAAGATGATCCCTTGATGCCAAAACAGCTTTTAAAAACAACCCATAAAGTAACAAAACCATCCACTTTTAATCCAAGTAAAAAGTTAATTGTTAAAATTAAACCTAGAAAACAACCAGTGAAGGAGGAAATTGAAGAAAATCATTATAAGGTAATTCGATCTATCCTGTCTAAGGACACAACTTATATAGAAATGGTTCTGCAAGCAATCCGAGATGTATTTCCAAGAAAAGATTATGATGATGGATCATTAGCTCCCATTATTCTTCGATTGTCATGGCATTGTTGTGCAACATTTAACAAGGAAACAAAGAAAGGAGGATCCAATGGTGCTACTATGAGATTTGTTCCCGAAATTACTGATGAAGGTAACACTGGTTTAGACATTGCCAGGGCAGCTTTGGAACCTGTTAAGCATAAGTTCCCTAAGATAACATATTCAGATTTATGGACTTTGGCTGGGAAGGTAGCCATTGAATATATGGATGGTCCTATGATTACTTGGAAACCAGGAAGATTAGATTTTTTAGATGATAAATATGTTCCACCTAATGGTAATTTGCCATTTGCATATAAAGATGCTAATCATATTCGAGAAACTTTCACTCGTATGGGCTTTAATATTCAAGAAATGGTAGCATTATTAGGAGCACATACTTTAGGTAGATGTCATAAAAGATTTAGTGGTTGGGAAGGTAAATGGACTGCTAATCCCACCAAATTTTCCAATGATTTTTTCGTAGTCTTATTACAAGAAGATTGGCAAGTGGGAAATGTTCCAGAGACAGGGAGAGTTCAATATTATAATCAAGATAAATCATTAATGATGTTAAATACAGATTTAGAATTAGTCAGAGATTATGAATTTTTAATATGGGTCAAAATCTATGCGGCAGATGAAACGAGATTTTTCCAAGATTTCAGTAAAGCATTTAGTAAATTGTTAGAGTTAGGAATCATCAGGGATTCCAATGGTGATGTAGTCTTACCAAATAATTTGTCGCTGTAAAAGAATAAATATAAAGTATACATATACATATACATATACATATTCATCAATTTATACGAAGCCCCCAAAAATGTCGTACCGAGAAAAATGTCTTCTACCCGTTTTTGTTTCTTTTTTTCTTTTTTTTCTACATCAGCTCATAAACGAGCCGGTACCACAGTTAGTTGATTATAAATGAAAAATTATAAGTATCCGGGAATCCCACCTATTACGGAGAACTTAACTAACAAGTTATAAGTACTACTATATTAAAAAGTTGAAGTGTTAAAGTTAAGCCTAAACAGTCATTCATTTACATACAACTAACTAACTATCATTATATTAATATTCTTTTAATCACATACTATGGCTGAATTTCCTAATATGGAAGACTTTGATGTCTTTCCTAACACCGGGTTTTTACCAAATGAACTTCCATTAAGTAAACTTCCACAAGATTATTATCAACCATGGGAGAATCTCGTTAATAATTTACCATCATTAATCTTAACCAAAAGAATTCGTAAATTAGTTGAAAAATTACCTGTATTATCAACTGAATACCTTAATTCCGAACCAGAATATAGAAGAGCATATCAAATATTAGGATTCTTAGGTCATGGTTATATATGGGGAACAGATGAACCAATTAATAAATTACCTGAACAATTAGGTAAACCATGGATTGAAGTGGCTGATCATTTAGGTTTACCACCTATTGCTACATATGCTGGATTATGTTTATGGAATTTTAAACAAATTATACCTTCAGATAATATATGGGATTTAGATAATCTTACTACCATAAATACATTTACTGGATCTATTGATGAGAGTTGGTTTTATTTGGTTAGTGTCTATTTTGAATATACTGGTTCTTTTACATTAAAAGTTGGTATGGATGCTCTTAAAGCTGCCTATGAAAATAATGATGCAAAACTTATTGAAAATTTACAAAATTTAGCTGAATCAATTGATCATTTAGGTTCAGTAATGATGAAAATGGAAGAAATGTGTGATCCTCATGTATTTTATTTCAGAATCAGACCTTTCTTGGCTGGTTGGAAAAATATGGCTGATTTAGGTTTAGATAAAGATGGTATAATTTATGGTAATGAAACAAAACCAAGAAATTATTCAGGTGGTTCTAATGCCCAAAGTTCATTGATTCAATTTTTAGATATCTTATTAGATGTAAAACATTATCCTACTGGAGAAAGACCAGCTCCACATCAACCAGTTACTGAAGATAGTAAATCAGAAAGTAGTTTTATGGATATACAAAGGAAATATATGCCAGGACAACATCATGATTTCTTGGATAAATTACAAAAGGCTTCTAGAATTAGAGATTATGTATTGGAACATGGTGAATCCAATCCTGATTTAATTTTAAGTTATGATGCATGTTTAGCTATGTTAAAACTGTTTAGAGATAAACATATTCAAATTGTTACTAGATATATTATACTTCAAGCTAAGAATAAAGTAAAGATGGGATCAACATCAACTATGAGATCCGGATTAGCTAAATTAAAGAAACAAGGACAAGAAGAAAAGGGTACTGGAGGTACATCATTATTACCATTCTTAAAACAATGTAGAGATGAAACTGGAGATCCTGCTGCTGGGAATTGGGGTAAGAGAATTCTTAGTGATGGAGTTATGAGATTAAAATACTCTAAATCAAATGGAATTAATGAAGACTAGTCCTAATTCTACCATCCATTAATTGACGAATGAACGAGCTGGCTTACGTATATAGATTACTATTACATATAAATAGACGCAAAAGTAGTGTGATGAATTTGAACCCTGTAATCTCAGTAATTCTCAGTAATTCTCAAGTCTCACTATTTCTTAGTACTAACAAGTCTCACTAAGTTTCACTGAGTCTCACTAAGTCTCACTAAGTCTTACTCGTTAGATAATTTCGCACGGTTGACTCACTGCGAAAATGGCTGTCGTGAAAAATTTTGATGAGGTGAGTCGCTAGCACCAGCAGATCTCCGACTCACAATTATTGTATGTTCCTGAGATATTCTTCTGGTATACTAAGAAGTCTAATCCGTACAATGTCAACCACTGTCCCTGAAAATGCAGCTGCTTCTGTTGTTGCAACAGCAGCTGCTGCTACTACTGTGCCAAAGGAAAGTTCTCCAGCTCAAGCCAAGCAAGGAAAGAAATCCAAGAAAGCCGAACAACAATTCTTATTGAAAACTCCTAAAGGTACCAAGGACTGGTCCGACAAGGATATGGTAGTTAGAGAAGCCGTATTCAAATCTTTAAGTGATTTATTTAAAAGACATGGTGGAGTAACCATTGATACTCCAGTATTTGAATTAAGAGAAATTTTAACTGGTAAATATGGTGAAGATTCTAAATTAATTTATAATTTAGAAGATCAAGGAGGTGAATTAACATCTTTAAGATATGATTTAACTGTTCCATTTGCAAGATTTGTAGCCAGTAATAGTATTAGTAATATTAAAAGATTTCATATAGCTAAAGTCTATAGAAGAGATCAACCAGCTATGACAAAAGGTAGAATGAGAGAATTTTATCAATGTGATTTTGATGTGGCAGGTAATTATGATACTATGGTACCTGATTCAGAAATCTTAAATATAACTTGTGAAGGTTTAGTAGGTTTAGGAATTACTGATTTTAAAATTAAATTAAATCATAGAAAGATTTTAGATGGGATCTTTGAAGCTTGTGGAGTTAAAGAAGAAGATGTTAGAAAAGTTTCTTCTGCTGTAGATAAATTAGATAAATCTCCATGGGAAGTTGTTAAGAAAGAAATGGTTATTGAAAAGAATCAACCAGAAGAAGTTGCTGATAGAATTGGTGAATTTGTTAAATGGAATGGAACTATTCGTGAAGTATTAGCTCTTATAAAAGGTAGTGAATTATTAATTGCCAATGCATCAATTCAACAAGGGGTTTCTGAAATGGAAATCTTGGCTGATTATGTTGATGCATTTGATATTAATAAATATGCAAGATTTGATTTATCATTAGCTAGAGGTTTAGATTATTATACTGGATTAATTTATGAAGCTGTTACTGAAGCTTCTGCACCTCCAGCTAATGCATCTGAATTAAAGGAAAAGGCTCAAAAGGAAAAGGGTAAATCTGCTGAAGTTGAAGATGCATCTGAATATGTTGGAGTTGGATCAATTGCTGCTGGTGGTCGTTATGATAATTTAGTTGGAATGTTTTCTAATGGTAAATCAATTCCATGTGTAGGTATTTCATTTGGAGTTGAAAGACTTTTCTCAATTATTAAGGCTAGAGCCGCTAAAGATTTAGAAAATCTTAGTGCAAATCATACTGAAGTTTATGTTATGGCATTTGGTGGTGGTGAAGGTTGGAATGGATTCTTAAAGGAAAGAATGACTGTCACTAAAAAATTATGGGATGCTGGAATTAATGCTGAATATTTATATAAAGCTAAAGCCAATATTCGTAAACAATTTGATTCAGCAGAAAAATCAGGAGCTAAATTAGCTGTTATTTTAGGTAAAGAAGAATATCCAGCAGGTAAATTAAGAATTAAAGTCTTAGGTCAAGGACAAGATAGTGATGAAGGTGAACTTATTGATAGTGAAACTCTTGTAGAATCAATTAAGACTAAATTAGATGCTCATAATGTTGATGGATTAGATTACATTACTCGTTTGGTTAGAGGTCTTTAATGTGAATATAAATGTAAATGTAAATATAAATACTAAATACTAAATACGTACAAATTCTTTTTATTTCTAAATAATAACAATCTATTGATTTTGATCTAAATTATTAATATTAGTACCACTTTTTTCATTCCCAACTCTTTTAACTCTATTCCAAAGAGTATTAACATCACAAAACATAAAATCCCAAATAGTTCCACACCATGAAGTTACTTGAGGTAAAGGATCATAAAATTCATGAGCTATTCTACGAAGTTCAGGAAGTTTTGTCCAAGCAATATAAGGAAAATCATGATGTTCATTATGATATCCAACATTCCAAGTAAGTAAATTAAGTGATCCATAATATGAATAAGTTTCAGCAGGAACTAATTCAATAGAAATATTTTCATTATCCTTTAATATACTTCTTGGTTTATTATTTTCATTTAATACATAATGTTCAGCAATAAAATGTCCAGCACATGGATGTAAAGAACCAGCTAAAAATGAACTCATAAGAAAATATATAAATGAATGCCAACCATTTAATTTAATTAAAAAGTAATCAACAACTAATTGAATAATAATATTAAGTAAATGAATATATGTAAAAGTAATTTGAGTTACAAACATTGGTCTTAAAGCATAAAAGAATATTTGAAATATGGCAAAGAATACTTTACCTAATAAATTAGAAAGAAGTATACCTTCAAGATAAGTTGGTAAATCAGCATCTAAATATTGATCACCTAAGAATTTATGATGTAATTGATGATAAGGTTGAAATGATGCTGAATATGGTATACCAATAGGGAGATTTGTAAAAATTGCAAATAATTTATTATGTAAAGGTTTTTTAAATAATAAATTATGAGATAATTCATGAATTGCTAAGAACATTGCTTGATTTGCTGTAGCCCCAAATACATAAGCTAAACCAATAAATTTCCAACTAAAAATAGGAGTATTTCTTAAATACCAAGCAAGATAAAATTGTAATGAAACTATGGCAATTACATACCATTTAGTCTTTGGTTCATATCCGGTTAATTTCGATACTTCAGGATGTTTAGCAAGAATTAATTTTCTTCTACTAAAATGTGGTTCTTTCTCTTTAGTCCAATAAAATTCATTAAGAACTTCTATAGGAGAATCAGATGGAGGAGTTGTAAATGTGAAAGTTTTATTGGCAGCTCTATGAGTTATTGAATCTGTCATTATGTAAAATTAACAATTAATAGTATAAAGACGAATAGTTATAGTTAACGGGTATTACTATAAAGATAAAGAAAGACTAGACTATATAGTCAAATTGAAAATTATTTATATATGACTTGTCTTCAATTATTTAACTATAGAACGACTACCTAATTATAATCACTAGACTTTCACTAATTACAAAGACTGCGATCTGGAATCAGACCATATCAGTAAAGTGAATATTCCGCAATGAATCAAAGCGGTGTGGGAGATTTACCGAGCGGGCGCGGTCGGTGCACAACGTTTAATTACCACAAACGAAAAATTTTCCGTTACAGTACGTACATGTACCTTTTTTCCTATACGAGCAAATTTGCAGTAATCGACAAAATGAGATCTCGAACCATGTTGGCTTACATATGAGGGGTATTTGATTCGTGTAATTAACCTAAGCCTATTTAATCTGTCTTGTAGCGATATGTAGTATATCTATTTAGTTTATATATAGTAATAGTACTAGTACTTAGTAGTAATAGTAATAGTAATAGTACTAGTAATAGTAATGTACTCTACCACTATTGATTGGCATTGGGTCCCATAAACGGTGTATGAGGTGATGGCAGCTTCTGTTGTTGTTGCTGTGGTGGTTGCTGTGGTGGTTGCTGTGGTGGTTGCTGTGGTAGCAATTGGAGTGCCTGATATTGACTGCCTAAATTGAAATTGCCAGGATATCCACTGGGTGCCTGATACATAGGATTGCCAAACATTTGTTGTTGGTATTGAGGATATACATTTTGTGCTGGGTATAATGGTGGTATTTGTGTTTGCGAATGTCCATGTATATATGGTTGGCCGATTTGCTGTGTATTTATCTGTGCTTGATATCCAGGCACCATATGTGGACCTTGAGGAACTTGTGGCACTTGTGGCACTTGTGGACCTTGAGGAGCTTGTGGCACTTGTGGCACTTGTGGCACTTGGGGCACTTGGGGCACTAGCGGAAGATACTGAGCATATGCTTGTGCATACAGTTGATCAATATGTTTATTACCAACTTGTTGGTTATAAGGATATGTTGCAGCGACTGGTGATGTAAAGTTTCCTGTAGATGTAGCTAAGGTATTTGGTAATGAGTTCCCAATACCTTGATTACCTTGATTATATACTAATTGACTATCCTCTGATGTAATATTAGATGGAATTCTAAAATGAATATTGACATCTGGCTGATTAGTACTATTACTCCATATACTTGCGCTTCTTGTTTGAACAGGATGTGAATCTTTATCTGAATCTATAATTATAGGTTCACCACTTTCTTCGGTTGAAGCTTTACTTCCCAATTGCTCATGTAACATATTGGAGTGCTTAAAAATAGTATTTTCAATATCAGTTATCGAATTAGATGTGGGGAACATGGACTTAGGGTTTAATTGTTCATTTCTGGCTGGTTCTATTGCTGTTGTTGTTGCTGTTTCTGTTTCTGTTTCTGTTTCTGCTTGTTGATCATAATCAGATGTACCAATAGTCTTCAACAAACCTCTAGTTGAACTCTCACCAAAATCTCGTCTGAAATCTTTACTGTTATCACCTTTGGTTTTGTTCAATATCTTCTTCTTTTTCTCTTTGTCTTTAATATTTTCCTTCTCCTTCTCTTTTCTATCAACTCCTTTATTTTGTCTAGCCGATTTATTGTTATCAGTCTTTAAAGATTGACTCACAAACGAATCACTTTCAAAATCAAATTTAATTCCACCAAGTTTGGTATCAAAGAGTTTAGTACCCAAAATAAAAATTGCAAAGAATCTTTGACGAATTTCAAGCTTATGAAGTGATTCTTCCCTCACATATGACTCTGGTGGTTCAATGTGAGATGATGCTGACTCATTGGATGATTCATTATAAAAATAATTACTTTCATTATCCTTCCTAAACTCTGTTATAAATTCAGGTACTTTCTCTTCTGTAGTATACTCAGAATAATCTCCACATAATAAATTAATATTATTTATTCTGAATAGTTTTTCATCTTTGAAGTCTTTAAATTGATATTTAATTAAGCTGAAATCTTTAAATAACACATCATCCTCATAATAATATTCTCTTGTTGGTCTTGCTCCGGTACTAATTTTTTCCTTTAATTCAGTAACATCCTTTGGACTAGCACATAAAAGAAAATCTTTATATAAATTATTCAATACTGCTGCTAATGATACAATTGTAGTACCTCTTGAAATAGCATATGTTAGCATATCTTTGTTTTCCTTTAACCAATTAAAAATTAATCTGACACATATCAAAGTTCTCTGTCTTACATCAAGAGTTACATCATTCTTAGCTATTATATCTAATAATTTCTCAATATAACGGAAAGTAAATTTTTGTAAATTTTCAGAATTTTCACCGGTAGTCAAACTATTGAAACCAAATAGACATACTAAATGACGTTGAAAAAAATATTCTCCTTCTCCATCCACATAATATATGAGTGGTTTATATAAATCTTGCATCCATCGGAAGAATTGAGTTTCTATTTTTGAGAACTTAATATCTTTAACTAAATTAGGTCCCTTCTTATATACTTCAGGTAAATAAAAATAACCAATTAAACAAATTAATGTATTATTTAAATCATCAATAGCTGAAAAGTTCTTACTAAGTCCTCCAGTATGTAAATTATCAAAATTTATATCACATAAAACTGTTAAGAACCATTTCTTCTTTACAACTAAATTCAAGTTAGATAACCCAAGATTATAATCTGGAATTCTGGTAAATTGTGATCTAATAAACCAAACACAGGCTATGAACTTTTCATCTATTAAATTATAGATCATACCTATATGATTATAAGGTTCATTTAATGCTGGTAGTAATAGTATACATAATTTATAGAAACTGATTGATTTTTTATAACGACCCTCTAAAGTTAATGATTTTTCTTTATTGGAAAGATTTCTGAATTTGAAAAAATCCTTATTGGAAATACATGGTATAACATAAGTTACTTCAATAAAGGTTCTATGTCTTGAAATATCACCTAAAGATAGCAAACATTTATGAATTAAATAAAGCATATTAGCTTCAACATTTGCATCTTTGATTTCTCTTCCATGATCTGCTACTTCAAGTTTAAAATGATTGAAAAACATGGTTGGTAATAAAGAATTTTTGAAATTAGTTGTAAAATGAGTTAATATATTCATATAGAATTGATAAATCTGTTTAGTAAATTTAACAAAGTTTTCATTAACTTTTCGAATTTCAACTGGTTTAACTTTAAATTTATTTGCTTTACCTTCTGCTTGTAATTTCTTAAAATCCGCTACAGTTTCATTAAAATAAACTGTATGAATCTTTTGAAAATATTTAATTACAGGATAATGAAAATCATTCCAAACGGATTTTAAATAATCAATAGTTTGAAAATATGCCACTGGTTGATTATTCGGTATTTCACTATCAAGTTGAGGTAATGAATTCTCAACATACTCATTAAAATCATTAATTACCCATGATTGAAATTTCGATTGAACAATAGAAGTAAACCCAATAAGTAATGATTGATCAAGGTATTTTCGTCCTAAAAGTTCATCTAACTGAGCTTTATAGACTTTTATTTCTGACTGCGAATTCATATAGTTAAGAATTTAATTTAATTTTTATTATGCTATAATTTGAAGTTATGATCTATGAATGCAAACAATAATTGATTATTTATGATGCCACAAACTTCTATTCTTTATTAATTGAATATATGTTAATGACTATATGCTGAAGTTTTATGAAAAATTGATGATTTTGAAACTGATTGATTGTTACCAGAAGAACATTCTCTCTTTCCTCAAATATTAATGATATGTACAAGAAAATTGGACTATGTAAGAATTAATTGTTTAGTTCCAAGAACTTGGTGATTAATATATTTTGGTGATACTCAGTTTATTCTCCGAGCCTGAAAAATTAATATAGTATAATTTATAATACTACACTGGCTCGCTCTCTATTGAAATTTCTGTAAAAGTTTAAAACAACTAATTCTATTGTAATATGATAATTTGGTTTAGTTTTCTAAATAGTATATCACTACGATATACTTTTACTTTAGTTGCCTGGCGTCTAGCCTTAATTGAAAGATTTTCTATAACCGATACTACCTATTTTTTTACGCTATATAATTTTTTTTCTGCTTATGCGGTCGTGTGGAGAGTCCAATTTTCACTTACTATGGTTTGTTTGTGTCATTTCGAGTGATCTTTGCAATATGATGGCAAAAGATATTAAAATTTATGATTTATATCATAGTGTTTCATTTAATCTATATGTATAGAAACTAAATATAAATAAGTGTCAAGGATGACTTACCCCCATGAGTCTATTAAAGACGCTAATGCAGATACTGTTTCACCATCGGCTCCATCAGAGAAAGTAGATTCACAGATAACACAGGAGAAGTCTCCACAACTACAAAAGCTACCAGTAAAAGAAAATGATGATGATGATGATGAAGTGGAAGAAGAAGAAGAGAGTCATGAAGTGGTAGTTCTAGTATATGACTTATCTCATGGACTTGCTGCCCAATTTGCTCCTCAAATACTAGGAATTAATCTTGATGCTATATATCATACCTCAGTCATGGTATATGGTAAGGAATACTTTATTAATCAAGGTATACAAATTAATCCAAATCCTGGTTTTACTAAATATGGAACCCCAATAGAAGTAATTGAAAAGGGTAATACCTTTATTTCAGAAGATATATTTAATGAATTTTTAGATGATTTAAGAAATCACGATGATGGTAAATATCATGCCCATAAATATGATTTATTTGATAATAATTGTAATCATTTCACTGATGTATTATTAGATTTCTTAGTGGGATCTAATCTTGACAAAAGAATTTTACATTTACCCCAACAAGTATTGAATACACCTAATGGGCAACTATTAAGACAACTAATAGGTAATGGAAATGAATTAATGTAGACAATAATAATAGAGTCAATCATATATACATAGATATATATAATATAAATTAATAATACACATTAGTTGTCGTATGTCTATAAATTTGACGATCTGTTAACTCGTATAATTGCGTTGTAAATTTGTAACGTGTGTGGTAGTCGATCCCTCAATTTAAGGAGATCGGGTTATGACAACCACATTTAACTTTTTCCATTTTATGATCTGATTCTCTTCTTTTCTATCTAAATTTCTTTGATTTGATTATATATTTATAGAGGTAATAGACGTATGATAGAGAGATATGGATAGTTCCAATCTTACAGTATGTTCTAACTTTTTCATTTTATTTAAGTGATACATAGCCATATACTAATTAAGCAATTTTTTGCGGTCTAGTCAAAATTAAATCAGTTGAATTTTATTTCAGAAAGTGGTAATGGTGGAGCAACTACTTCATCTTCATCAACTTCATCTGTTATTACTTTAGGAGGCCATGATAGTCAATCTTTAATGACTGCCAATACTTCATACTTTGAACCATCAGTATCAGGTACTGGGTCGACATCTTCAGGAGATTCAAGTGCGCCCTTACTTTTAAGTTTTTGGCAGTCAAATTCCGACACTGATAATTTAAGTAGTAATAATTCTAATTCAACTACAAATAATACTACAAATAATAATTATTCTACTATTTTACCATCTTCAACTTCAACTATACTTCATAAATCGTATAGTACTTCCACTACTGGTAATAATATTTCTTGTAATGAAATGTTAACTAGGAATAATTCCGAAACTTTAATTGGAACAAAGAAAACTAGAAGTCAATCAATTATGAATATTAATGCTCCAAGTTATTATCCTAGTTATAATTCTTCAACTAGTAGTACTTTAGGAAGTGGGGTGGCAAATCTCAATACTAATATTAATTATTCGAGTTATTCTAATCACGCTGATTTTGAAACCTCTCCACTCTCAAATCCTGCTCTTCCTAATAATTCTAAATATATGTTTGGTAGTACTAACAGTACTACCAATACTCAATCTTCTCAATTGGATTACGGATATTATTCAAATTCCCTTATTCCAAATAGTTCTAGTATTGCAGAAAACTTGTATAATGACAGTCAAACACTGCAACAACAATCATTTCAATTGAATCTTCAACAGCAACATCAACAAATGGCTCAGCAATCTCAATCATCACAATCTCGTCCAAATGTTCAACAACATTATCAAGTTCAAGGCAATCAATCGCAAAACCAGCAATATGGTCTGAGGTCATATGAATCATTGAAAGAAGACTATAAACAACTTAAGGTTGATTTGATCTTAAAAAACCAAATCATTAAGAATTTAACTGATCAATTAAATTTAATTAGTAAATTAAAGACTAAAGCTTTACATGAGATAATGAATAATAACACTAACACTAGTACTAATAATAACAATTCTAATACCGGAAATAACAATAGTAACAATAATGTTTTGAAAGTTTCTAAGAATCATTACCAATTATTCCAAGATTTATCGAGAACATTACAAGAGAAGACTATTGAATTAGAAGAAACTAAAACTAGATTGGAGGCAGTATTAGTTGGCCTAAGTATCAGTAATCAAGAAGGCAGTGGAAATTCCAATATCATTAATCAAGGGAAATATGATCCACAAGAGATTAGTCATAAAATAGTTAATAAATTACAAGTATTAAGTAATGAAAATGATACCTTAATGAAATTAATCAGTTTTGGTAATAAATCAAGTTTATTGATTGAATTAGGTTTATTAAAACGCGAAAACAATTTATTGAAAGAAAAGTTGCAAAAATATGAAAATTGATTTAAAAAGGTTAAAATTCTATTAATAGAAATTTAGCTACAATTATTGTACTACATTATGTTACCATTCTGTTTTCAATCATTTGTTGCTTTTATTGTTATATGCGCAGTTTAAATTCAAATTTAATTGTCTTGACTTCCTGGCTCTTATATTTTGCATTCGATGTATTTTTTTTATCCTCCTATTTATTGTCATTTGCATTCAAATTCTTTATTATATTATTAAATTTTATTTTAGTTTGAGTTTCTTAATACTTAATTTGCTTCTATTTTGCTTCAACACTATTTACTCAAATTTATATATTTATTCTAATCATCAATGGTGTTTTGTGTACTTGGTTGAGTTGTCACAACTCAGTATGTTTGAGATTAACGGTTTCTATAGTTACATAGAGGCTTTGATTCGACTTTTGATTTTGTGAAACCAAGATGATAAGGCTCAAAAGATGATCACTTTATTCTTAGTTGAGATTATTCAATATATTATTAATATTATTTATACAAATACAAATACAAATATATAGGTTATATCATTAATTCGGAATTATACCGAGCGGAATAACTGGAGTGAGTGAGGGGGTACAGTAGATGAACCTCCAATAGGAAAAAACGGCAACCACATGCAGAATATAATGGAAAACAGGTATGGTCCGGCAGGTTAGCAATCTTTTCCCTACCATCATCCACCCACCCACTCGTAGAAGTTTATTTTCGTTAGTGATTGCAATAAATTTGCGGGATGAATTGCCACCTGAAAATACTGTGGACTCGCTTTTACCTTACTGTCCTATTATTATTAATTAGGGAGATTAATGACTAGTTATTACTTACTTTTAGAGATTTAATTTGACCGCCTTAGCAATTTACCAAGCTGGCATTTTCAGGCCGGTCTAGCCTACTAGAAAAGCCAAAGTAGCATATACTTGCCTAGAACAGTTTAACCTAGCTTAACTACCTAGCCCCGCCCAGCCTACATTGGCTTACTGAATTACGCCCAGGAATCGATAATATTTTCTACCACTGTGCGCGTCGCTAAGTTCTAGAATTGGTACTTACTGAGAACTCCAGCGAGCATTAAAAATCTTTCTCTTAACTATGTGGTGATCATAATTAACAATTAACTATAGAAAGTATACTCCAGCAATAAATTGACAACTTAGAGATGTCCTATAAGTTTTAATGAACCCTCAAACTTTGTGACATAATTCTCTTTAGTAAATAGTGTCTATCAGCTTAATTACTTCTCTCAGCTTAAACCAATGAAAAGTGTCTTATGACGTAACAGACAGCTCCTTAAGAAGGTGGTGGGTCGAGTTGTGTTCCTGCACACAGGCCCGTTTCGGACTGATTTCAATATATAACCTTATATAAATATATTTTAAATAATCCGGTAAACGTATCTATATATATAGCAATAATTGTAAATATTGATTAAAAAGTCAAATCTGAAAGTTTTCGGAATATTAAATTCACTAGTATTTTAGAATGCTTAATTAATAAAATAAATATATATATATATATTAGCCATCTATACAATCATGTCCTCATCATCGAATGCTAGTGACTCTTCAAACACTTTTACAAGTCATACCAAACCATTTATTAAAGAATCTATTCTACCTAAGACTGATCCAAGATCACCATTTTATGTTAATTTACCAGCCTATGAAACAAAACCTATTGATGATTTAGTTAATTTCTTTAAATATTGGAAATATTTTATTAGAGCTTTAATATCTTATTTTAAAGAAGTTGCTTTAGTTAAAGAATTCGAAGCAAATATTAATTATCAATTAATAAGTGCTGTACAATTCCCAGGATGTAAAGATTTACCTAATAAGATTTTAAAGGAATTAAATTCTGTTTCAGGACAAGCAGTTACTAGTCCACCTCAAAGTCAATCAAATACTCCTACCAAAGAATTAAAGAAATCTTTATCTGGTTCAAGTTTAAATTCTTTAGCAACAACAAGTACTAATAGTACCAGTTATTCAACCACAAATGGATCTAATAATAATTCAAATCTTACCACAACTTTATCAAATAATGAACTTAAACGTCCTGGATTATTTAAAACAAAATCATCAGGAAATGCAACTTTTATGAAAGCTACTCCATTACATAAGAAAACAAATTCTTTCTCCAGTACATATAAGAGTTCAAATCCTAATATGATACCTTCGAATCCAGGTTCAGTTTCTGGGACTCCTCCAAAACCACCTAACCAATTTACTAATGATGTTCGTATTCCAGAATCATTTTTCCCAGAAGATTCTTTATTTAAAAATTTCCCGGCTGTCTTATTAAGTCATCATCAATCCACATATATCAATAACTCAAAGTTGTATAAAGATTTAAATACAAAATTAATACCTCGTCTTGAAACTTTATTAAGACAAGTTTCTGCTAAAATTAAAGAAATTAGATCATCCTTAAAGAATGAATCCTTTGTTAATCCAGAATTATTAAAGGAAATCAGTATTGTAGGGAAATCATTAAATGAATATATGGTTTCAATAGAAAGATACAATCATACGAAACCAGTCCTTAAGAAAAAAGCAATAATCGATGGAGATAAAGTACCTGAAGATGAAGAGCATGGAGTTCTTGATGATCCTTTCTTATTAAAATTGAAAGTTGATTATCAAATAAAATCAGTATTAATTTATGAAAGTTATATGTTTGCTCTGTATGCAAACTTGCAAAATATTGCTAAAGATTTGTTCACTTATATTTTAAAAGAATTAAAACTTATAATCGATAGATTTGGAAGATTAAATTTCAATAATGAGTTCTTCCAATTCTTGAAGACAAAAGTTTCTGATTCTTCAAATGCTGATTGGGAGTATTTTATTAGTAACAATCCAAGTTTCTTGAATACTTATAAATCTACCCCTGTTCTGTCTAAAAAGCAAGTTAGACAATTTAAAAATATCGCAATCCCCTACGCAAATTCCATCCATAATAAATGTCTTCGTTTTGGAATTCTTTATAAAAAATCAAAATTATTAAAGAGTTATACCCGATACTATTATGTTCTCACATGCAACTATCTTCATGAATTCAAGTTTGAAACTGTTGAAGAAAAGAATTCTCATAAGGGTAACGGAACTAAGTCTACTATTAAAAAGTTTATAAATCAGGATGATGAGCCTATCAAATCATACAACTTGAACGACTATCTCCTTGTCAACAAAGATGAAGCAGGTTTTAAATTTCAGTTAGTTAAAGATTCTCATAAACTGACCAAATATAGTTTCAAATGTCTTAACGCTAATGATTTTAATAAGTGGGTCAGCGACTTGGAAGACTTACTTGAATTCGGTTGTAAACATTTGGAAAGATTTGATCATGTGGCAAGAAGAATTAGAGAGCAAGAACAAGAACAGAACCAGCAAAACCAACAAAACCAACAGGGTCAGAAACATGCTACAATAATTGAGAAAGCCGCTACATTTCCTTCATCAATATCCAATGCAAATAAGACTCAGAAGCATGTTCCTAAACCTCTTAACTTGAAGCATGATAATAATTCAACGGCCTCAAGCTTATTATCACTACCATCATCTAGTAAAAATAGTTATATTGGACTTGATGGAGTCTTTACTCCAAGAATAGGAACTCCTATATTTGAGACTAACCCATTTGAACACACTTTTGGTGATGATATGGGTAATTCTGTAAGAAATTCAAGCAATCAGTCATCGTTATCATCCCCTAATATGTCACCAAATGAATCATTGGTGAATTTGCCGAACCAAAATCCTGGTAATCAGCAATCGAATGTATTAGATTACGATTCATACTTGAAGATTCAACAAGATTATATTCGTCAACAACAAGAAGTACTTAATCTTCGACTTAAAGAATTAGATATACAGCAGCAAGCACAGCAGCATGCCCAATCAGTGTCAATACAAACTATATCACAACCTCAACAAAGTCAATATCAAAATCAATTCCAAACTTTAAATGCAAATGACTCCAATTCTCAATTGAAGTTTCTGCCAAATATGCAACCCACGGCTGGATCTCTCTCGAGTCCCGCATCTACAGAATCTATGAGCTCATATTTTGGTAGTTCCAATCCAGATAATCAACTTCTTTCTTCGAAATTAATCAATTCGAATCAGAACTTGTTAAGGAATATGGAATTTGAAGGTCCAGCTATATTCTCGTTAAATGAAGAAAATGATGAAGAATCTGGTGAAACTGCCAGCACATCTTCGGTGCCAACAGTATTTGTCAGTTCCGATCATTAATCGCTAAACCATCGCTAAACCAATTTTTGTTTTTATGATTTTATTTCATTGTTGTTCGAGTTACATTCAAATGATACACATATATAAATTTATAGATCTATAAACCAAATACAAAGATACCCATTTACACTTCAGTATAATTCGAGACTTTGCAATTAGTCGCAGCAACATCTTCTTCTGTCTTTTTTTTTTTTGCATCCCAACCACACAAAGTTACCCGGAGATGTTATATGCCGGATTTTCTCAATGTCGTAGAGTGCTCGAAATGAGTGAAAAATTTTTAAACCGAAGTCGAAAACCATATAGTAAAGCTAGCTATAATAAGTTTATACTATTTATAACAAATATAATATAATATAACAATAATAAAATGGATACTAAAACTCCAGTCACTTTAGCTAAAGTCATCAAGGTCTTAGGTAGAACCGGATCCAGAGGTGGTGTTACCCAAGTCAGAGTTCAATTCTTAGAAGACTCTACCAGAACTATTGTCAGAAACGTTAAAGGTCCAGTCAGAGAAGATGACGTCTTATGTTTAATGGAATCTGAAAGAGAAGCTAGAAGATTACGTTAAGTTTTGTTTAACTTCATATTTAATAATATCAACTCAAATCAAAGTCCTTTGTACAATAGTCACATAGATTCAGTTTTCAATAATGTATTGCATATAAGAAGGAAAGACACTTCATCATTACTACTATAGCATATTTTATTATTAGGTTTTTAAGTAACTTTTTAATATAAAACAAATATTAAAATTGAATATGTTAATTTATACACTATAAAGCATGTTTTCTATTAAAATAAATTAATATCTCTAATATATCTCTTTTTAATCAAATCATTACTGTCATAACTCTTTTAGTTGGTTACCTCCTTTTCAACTTGATTTAACTTTAGATTTTCTCTTATGAGTTGGCTTAAGCTTAATCTTAAATTTTGATCTCGAGGAGCCTGATGTCGAATCTGCTGTTGTCAAATCATTATAACTAGCTGAAGTTGGTAATTTTGAACTAGGTTTTATTATCTCTGGAGTAGATGTAACTAATTCTGGAGTAGATGCAACTTCTGGTATAGATGTTACTGGTTCAAGAATAGGTACTACTATCTCTGATTTTTCTATTTTTGGAGAAGTTCGTATATCTGTGCCAATTTCATCAGCGATTTCCTGGGCTATCGCTTCAGCTTCTAATTTGATTTCATGAACTGCATCAACGACATCATTATTGATGGATTTTAATTGTAATTCTTCTTCAATTTCAAAAGATTTGGATCCACTAGGATCTCTGAGCATACTTGACGATAAATTATTATCTACTACATAAAACGTATCAAACTTCCATATGTAGTACTGTACTAAACTTTCGAATGCTACTTTATCATGTCTGTATAATGTTGCCAGATCAATATTTAAGGGGGAATCAGGTTCGGGATTATCTAACAACATAAGAATAGCCACTAATAAGTTTTGTAAATTCCATGCTGGTGACCAACTATCTTTTTTTAATATATCTAAACATATTTCTCCGGTAGTTATATTAATATTAGGATGACAAATAGGTGATATGAATTTTATAGTGGGTGGAGCTATTGGATATTCAATTGGTACTTTTATATCTAACGTCCATTGTCCATCATAATAATAGGGGTTATCTACTTTTGTTGGTTTAGATATCACTGCACTCCACTCAAATAAGTTTTCGTCTGATACTGGAGCTAGCGATTTGATCTGATGGTTAGCTGACGATGGAGGATTTCGTTTGTACTGGTTTAACTCTTTGATTAAACGTCTCTCGGCCATCTTTATATTAATGAATTAAAGATATCTATAGAAGAACTGAGTTAAAAGAAAGAATAAGTTATACTGTTAAATTAAAGTATACTCATGTCACGGATTTCTTTTTTCTTATGATATGCCCCAGATTTTTTTGTCATGACCGAGGAAGCTGCCAAGTGCGGATACCCCAATTAGGCAATTGAGTGATGCCAAAGATCTAAACTAATTTGCAGTCACTTAAAGTATGGAACATAACGTATTGAGTAATTACATTTGTATTCTACTAGTGAAATCATCTCTGTTGTTTTAGTTAATTCGTGATACACAGTTACTCCTCACTTATGAGTGAATATCTTACTCCGTTAAAAATAGGTGTCTAAGAGTGGAATCGATGGTCAATTATTCACCACCTTAACTTAGCTTCTTTGACCTAATAGCATGTACATATATTAATCAAATTCTAATTTCTTTCAATCATAAGTTTTCACATTCACAGTTAATTACACATCATCTAACAATCTGCTAATAAACTTATTTGTCTAAGAATAATACATCCAAGAAGATGGATGAAAGAAAATAGCAGAAACTAGATGAAGGTACCAACTATCAACTGGGTCAATACCTACTTATTTTTTATAATCCATAATTGATATTTGTATGATTTATTATGCAAATTGTTCTAATTGCTACCCCATACAAAAAGGGCTTACTTTTTAGAATGATATAATTGGATTAGAAAAAGAGTCACGTGCGACAATTTCCGGTACATAATAATACCTATGTCCCCCGGTACAGGAACATCTTCTCCGCCGCCAGTGAGTCAAACATTTTTTCAGAGCGGACCTTGGAGATCGAAGATTATAATGCAAAAATAATTAATTTTCAGTAGTTAGCTCATAGTTAAGTGTTTAAGTATTACGGTAAAGAATCATGAGTTTACTTTACAAGGCTTCTTCATTGAAGAAGCAAAATGTTAACACATTTCAAAGGTTTTTCTCAATCTCCTCAATCACTTTATCTGAAAAGAAATTGAATAAATATTCTTCAATTGTTACATCTGATCCTTCTCAAGGTGCATCTCAAGCTATGCTTTATGCTACTGGATTTGATGATGCTGATTTCTCTAAGGCTCAAGTTGGTGTAGGATCTGTTTGGTGGTCAGGAAATCCATGTAATATGCATCTTATGGAATTAAATAATAGATGTACTGAATCAGTTAATAAAGCAGGATTAAAAGGTATGCAATTTAATTCTATTGGAGTTTCTGATGGTATTACCAATGGTACTGAAGGTATGAGATATTCATTGCAATCAAGAGAAATTATTGCCGATTCTTTTGAAACTATGACTTTAGGTCAATTATATGATGCTAATATCTCTATTCCATCTTGTGATAAGAATATGCCTGGTGTTTTAATGGCTATGGCAAGACATAATAGACCTTCTATTATGGTTTATGGTGGTACTATTTTACCAGGATCTCCAACTTGTGGTAATCCAACTATTCCTGATAAAATTGATATCATTTCTGCTTTCCAATCTTATGGTCAATATTTATCTAAGTCTATTACAAATGATGAAAGAAAAGATATTGTAAGACATGCTTGTCCAGGTCCTGGTGCTTGTGGTGGTATGTATACTGCCAATACTATGGCCTCAGCCATTGAAGTTTTAGGTATGTCTTTACCATTTTCATCATCTGCTCCAGCAGTCTCTAAGGAAAAGGAAGAAGAATGTGCTAATATTGGTGAAGCCATTAAGAACTTATTAATATTAGATTTGAAACCAAGAGATATCATGACAAAGAAGTCCTTTGAAAATGCTATTACTTATGTTATTGCAACTGGTGGTTCAACTAATGCTGTATTACATATTATTGCTATTGCTTCATCTGCTGGTATTGAAATAACCGTGGATGATTTCCAAAGAATTTCTGATTCTACACCATTGTTGGCTGATTTCAAACCATCTGGTAAATACGTTATGGCTGATTTACAAGGTGTTGGAGGTACTCCAGCTGTATTGAAATACTTAGTATCCGAAGGTTTAATTGATGCATCACAATACACTGTTACTGGTAAGACTATTAAAGAAAACTTAGAAAAGGTATCTGGTTTACCTAAAGGTCAAGACATTGTTAGACCGATTTCAAATCCATTGAAAACAAGTGGTCATTTACAAATCTTGAAAGGTTCTTTAGCTCCTGGTTCTGCTGTTGGTAAGATTACTGGTAAAGAAGGTACCTACTTTAAGGGTAAAGCTAGAGTATTTGATGATGAAGGTGCCTTTATTACTGCTTTAGAAAAAGGTGAAATCAAAAAAGGTGAAAAGACTGTTTGTGTCATTAGATATGAAGGTCCAAAGGGTGGTCCAGGTATGCCAGAAATGTTAAAACCATCATCTGCTTTAATGGGTTACGGTTTAGGTAAAGATGTTGCACTTTTAACTGATGGTAGATTTTCTGGTGGATCTCATGGTTTCTTAATTGGTCATATTGTTCCAGAAGCTGCTGAAGGTGGTCCAATTGCTTTTGTTCAAGATGGTGATGAAATTGTCATTGATGCTGATAAGAATATTATTGATTTATTAGTTGATGAATCTGTATTAGCTGAAAGAAGAAAAGGTTGGACTCCTCCACCACCAAGATATACTAGAGGTACATTAGCTAAATATGCTAAATTAGTTAGTGATGCTTCTAAAGGTTGTGTTACTGATTTAGTATAATCAAATTTTCTCACTATTATTATTATTTACTAATAATATAACTAATGTCAACTGAAAGACAAAGTTATGAATCATTATAATTCAATTCTTTATGATGAGGTAGTAGTATTATATTAACTTTCCAACCTCATCTCCATTTTTATTATCTTCATTATTATTATTCTATATATTATATATACAAAGGCATTCCCAAAATAGTACATAGTATCCTGATGAAAGGATGAACACTTAAATTAAATATATTCATTGTAGATTCTTAATGATAAATTGGAGTAAATATTCCTGATCTTTGGGCAAGTCAGGATACTTATATACATGTAACGTGTTGAAGAAGGGAATGTTTAACTCGCTGAGTAGTTGAATAGATTCAAAGGCCAATTTCTTGGTTTCAAACGCAACTGACTCATCGAATTCAATCAAGGCCGAATCCTTCTCGGAATTGAGTTCATTAATCTTATGCTTAATCACTTCTATTTTAGTATTTGACAATTTCGTATTCTGTGACAGTTCTTCATCTTGTAATTGAGCTTGTTGAATACCTATTTCATGGTTATATTTCGAATCAATGATACTTCTGTCTCGCTCCCATTGATCTTGCGCTGCAAGATGAGCATCGACCACGGCCTTCAATTTTAGCTTTTTGGAGTTGTTCGTAAGTATATTGTTGAGGATATACTGTTCGGCATGATATCTATTTGTAATATATCTTGGATCTATAGCTGTAGGGGTTGAATTTGTCGAACTCGTAGTTGTAGAATTTGTCGTTGGTTCTGTCTCTACTTTCCCAAACGTTGGATGTACATCTATTATGTCTCCATTGATTCTATTTGCATGACTTTCCTCCAACAAACCATTTAAGTACTGTTGGCCTTTCTTATCGTAATAATCACGATTATTTATTAATTCTAAAAACTTTGAACGATTGGCATGAACTATGGATAACAACTTGGGTTCATTTGATTTGACAAGATGAGGGAACTTCGATCTGATATTAGATCGCACTTTATTTCGCGCATCATTCTTCTCAACATATCGGCGAATATTATAGTTTATAAGTTCTTTTTCTTGATTGTTCATTGTTGCCTAACTTTACAGCCTTTGAGCATTGCAAACTTATCGCCAAACTTACACATCTGTCGCACTAAAATTAATTATTTGGCTGTAAAAGTGTATTGCTTTAATATTTACAATACTATATAATTATCTAATACTGCTACTATTATTTCATTCTAATAGTATAATCTTCACCACTTTGAGTAATATATCTAACCCAAGGATAAGATTGATACTGTAATTTTGGTTCAGTGATTCTTAAGTATCTAACTTGAATACCACTGGTTGTAAAGTATGGAATTGAAAATTTAACTTTAATTGGTTTCTTTGATACAAGATTTTCACTATCTACCACTGCTGGTAAACCTAATTCAGCTCTCATATGATATTGTTTACCACCAGCAAATGATTTTAAAGTCCATATTAAACAAGATTTTTCTGGGATCCATTTAACAGAACCATATTCGGGAGTTAATTTTGGGGTATCAGCATCTTCAGGAATTGGAATTATAATTTCAACTTGAGTTGCTGTTGATTTCTTTTTAATTTGTGCTCTAGCTGAACATAAGATTTCAATACGTGAATGTTTATGGACTTTTGTTTTACAATTGACAAGAATAAGAGGTTTCATAAGGAATTGAGTTGATGATAAACGATAAGACATAAGTGTGAATTCACCATCTGGAGGAATAAATGTTATAATTCTTTCATTTTCAAATTTTGATAATCTAACACATTGATGGAATTTTATATCTTCTAATTCGATATTTTTAGCATTTTCTTCTGAACCACTTGATCCATTAGTTGGATTGGAATTATTATTAGATGTAAATATTCCTTTATCATTCAAACCTAATCTTAAATCGGGCATACCACTTAAATGAGATTTAATTTTAACTTCACCCAAAATTTCACTATTTAAAATTTGTCCATTAGCATTAATTAACATATTAATTGATTCAATTACATCTAAAAATGCTTCATTCTTCTTATAGAAGATATTATCTTTTCTCCAACTAATTGAATTAGTTAAAGCATTTGGTGGTTGAACTAAATGATCTTGAGATTTTTTAATTAATTTATAATAATCTTGAGTAATATATTCTTTTAAAATTTTAGTATCAGTAGTTTGAGGGATCCCATAATCCATCATTTCATCTAATAATTCATAAATGATGACAAAATTATCTCTAATTGATTCTTCTTCTAAAGATTTAAAGTATTCAGTTAATACTTGAATTAACTTAGATAAAAAGATAATGATTGCCATTATATTTTCATTCTTTTTAGTTAATGCACAAAGATATAAGTTATTATGTAGTATGAAGATATAGTTTATACCTTGATGATTAATGAATGGTTTATAATCTGAAGAATTCTCATCTTCCAATTCTAATAAAAGTAGAGGGAATTTTTCAATTGTATTACTTGGAATATCTCCTTTATAATCTCTAGATAAAAGAGGTTTACCCTTTATATCTAAAAAGTGAATTTGGGATGCCATATTTCCCAATGAATTATATTAATTTGAAGGTATTACTATTGTCAATATTAAATTATATGGTATAGAATATAAGGATTGATCTGTACTTTAGCTAAAGTGGGTAGTCTATCAAATGGGTTTAAAGTCAATGAATTGAATTTCTCTCAACAGTTCATCCGATATATAAGTATGTATATACCTAATCTTACAGTATATATACTTTGTAAACCGTCGATGCTTTGAGTTTAGGCAAGCTATAGCTTAAGTATTGCCAGAAATATTGAAATTTAATTAATTGACATAACAAAATATCTATGACGAGGCTGTGTGCAGGACGAGTCAATTCAATTTGAAAGTTGTCTATTTAATTTGGAGGAGGAGAGTCGTGTGTGGGCTCATATATACCATTTGGATTTTAGATAAATTTACACGACTTTTATTTGGGATTTCAGCAGCATGGATGTTATAATGTCTGATACAGTATGTATCAACACAAAGACACGCCATGAAACAATAAAATAAAACAATAACAAAAATACTTATTTTACTAATAGCGTGGATTCAGAAAAAAAACCCTTTTACGAATTCACAATGGAACACAAAACATTTTCCCCATCAAAAGTTGTATCACATTCTGTACAGTTTTAGCCTTACCAGAAATGGTGCCAGAGCCACTTGTATAATATCCCCTGACTTTTTTTTTTAATAAGTAAATGAATTATATGTTATCATGATCATATAGTTAGTATATAGGTAATATATAAATAGTAACATATAATAATATACATTTATATAGTATGCCAAGGAAATATAATTAAATAAGAATAATAAGAATATAAAAGGGTATAATCATTAAAATTTTTATAATATGTGCTACTACCAAAGACGAGTCTCAAGCATACATATTTCATGTACATATGTATAAATTAATTAATTAATTATTGTTTTGAGAGTGGGTGTAAACAAAAAGATTTTTCTTAATCTCTAATTTAAGTTTTGAACCATAACATTGTGCAACAGAACAAATCCTATATAACAATACCACTATCCACTTACAGTACTAAATAAGCTAATTAGCCGTAAACCTTTTAAACCTCATTCAAAAACCTCGTTTCCAATCGTTACTTTTCATCATTTCATTTCTTATATCATATTCAAATCCCAACTATTATTCATTCTTTTACTTTTATTATAATATTTCAACTATAGCTATAACTATAATTATTCAAATATGAAATTCACTTCTTGTTTATACCTTTTATCGGTATTAGCTTCAACTACCCTTGCAATCTCAGCTATTTCAATTAAAGGTAATGCATTCTTTGACGAATCAGGTACTAGATTTTATATAAGAGGGGTCGATTATCAACCTGGTGGATCATCTAATTTAGTTGATCCTTTAGCTGATTCTGAATCTTGTGAAAGAGATGTTAAATATTTTACTGAATTAGGTATTAATACTGTTAGAGTTTATTCAGTTGATAATACTGCTAATCATGATGATTGTATGAATCTTTTAGCTAATAATGGTATTTATGTTGTTTTAGATGTAAATATTCCTTATGCTTCTATTGCAAGAAATGATCCTTCTTGTTCTTATAATACTGATTATTTACAAGAAGTTTTAGCTACTGTAGCTAATTTTGCTGTTTATAATAATACTTTAGGTTTCTGGGCTGGTAATGAAGTCATTAATGATGGTCCATCCCTTGCTTCAGCTCCTTATGTTAAAGCTGTTGTTAGAGATATGAAAACTTTCATTAAAAATAGAAATTTTAGACAAATTCCTGTAGGTTATTCTGCTGCTGCTGTTGATGAATATAAACAACCTTCTGCTGATTACTTTAATTGTGGTAGTGATGAATTAGCTAGAGTCGATATGTTTGGTTTTAATGATTATTCTTGGTGTGGAGATGCTACTATTCAAACCTCAGGTTATCAACAAGATTTAGAAGACTTTTCTAATTATTCTATTCCATTATTCTTTTCTGAATTCGGTTGTAATACTGTGTCTCCAAGACCTTTCACTGAAATTGAAGTTATTTATTCAGAATTAATGTCTTCTGTATTTAGTGGTGGTTTAGTTTATGAATATTCTCAAGAAGCTTCTAACTATGGTCTTGTTACCATTAACTCTGATGGTTCAATTACAACAGATCAAGATTTTACAAACTTAAAGAATCAATTTTCTAATACTTCTAATCCATCAGGTGATGGTGGTTATAAATCTAACTTAAATTATTCATCTTGTCCATCTCAAAGTGATGATTGGAATGTTACTAATACTATACCTTCAACTCCAAAGGGTGCATTAGTATTTATTGAAGGTTATGTTGATCCTACTGGTCATGGATTCAATGCTACTACCCAATGGGCCTGTGCTGATCCAGACAATAATGTCGATCTTACTGGTAATTATACTTCTACTTTAGGATCTCCATCAGCTTTTGTTGGATCTTCATCAACTTCTTCAGCTACTTCATCTTCTTCAAAGAAATCAGATGGTCATATTGTTGAACCTCCTTCATTTGTTAATGCAGTAAATTTCATTGCAGTTATTGCTGCTGCAGCTGGGTTTGCTATACTTTAAATATAGTGGTTATTCTTTTTTTTTTATTTACATTTACACTTACATTCTCTTCTTTGTATTTGATATTATACATTATTTTTAATCTTTCTTTGTATCTATATAATTAATATGTTTTTAGCATATTTCTATATAGTTTATGGGAGGTATTTTACACTTTTTGTTTAATACCATACATCATTTCTTCTTTATTTATCAAATGTCCAATGCTATCAACTTCTTCTAATAATTTATCAATATCGTAGCACCATTCATTTAATAATTCATTAATTTCACTATTAGATGATTTATTTGATTTACTTGAAGTTTCTTCTTCTTTCTTAGTAGTTGTAACTTTATTTTTTTCAAATTTAACTATTCCTTGTGGTCTATTAATCTTTGCTGAAATCATTCCTGAATTAACAAGTTCACTAACATATAATTCAGCTTCATCAGAACTTAATTGTAATAAATACAGTAATCTATCTAATTTAATAAATTGATAATATTTATTAATAATTCTTAAATTATGTTCAATTATTCTCTTTTGTAAATTCTTAAAGTTAACTTCTGATTTAAAAATTGATGAAGATTGAAAATCTGGTTTATAAAGTGATTCAATATTTGACCAATGAATTAATTCATTAGTAGTAAAAATTTCTAATAATTTATAAATTTTATTATCGACTTTCTTAGAAAAGATTGGATTTAATTTAATTTTATTAATTAAATCATTTTGATGAGGATCATAAGGTGATAAAATGATATAATAAATAATTGAAATTAAATAATCTTTTAATTGAATTTCATCATCTTTAATTAAAGGAATATCAATTAATAATAAAGAATTTTTAACAATTGAAATATAATCATGTTCAAATACATTAATTTCTATTAAATATTTCAAATAAATTGATTTAAATTTATCAGCTTGATCAAAATTTTTTAATGATTTCAATAGAATTTTACGACTTAAAATTTTAGCTTGATTATAATCTCCCTTCTTTAAAGTTAATTCAATTTGTTGTAAAATATATTCAATTTTATCACTAAATGGCATTAATGAATAAGTTTCAACTTGTAAATCACATAATATTTCAACTGCTTTATCTAAATCATTAAATTTTTCAAGATAAATTTCAGCTAAATTCTTTGATACAATGGCTCTTTCAACTTCTACAAAGATTTTTTTATCAGTAACAGTTCTAATAGTTTCAATTAATTTAATTTTTAAATCTAATTCTCGTTTATGACTTTCATTTAATGCACCTAAATTATCAATTACTGTTTTAACTAATACTTGAATTGAAGATTTTAATTGTCCATGCTTTTTAGATAATAACACAATTAATTCATTTAAATAATCCCAATCTTCACTCTTAACTAATGTTTCAACTATTCTAATAAGTACTCTTTTTGATGAAGCTAAATCTGATGATTGTCGAGTTTGTTTCTCAAGTACTAAATATTTATCAATGGCTGATTTATAGTCGGGCAATTTCTCAATGAGGGGGAATTGTTCATCTAATGTGGCAGAGAAATCTTTCTCGGCTTTAATAGGATCTTCTCTAGACATTCTTATATTGGTATATATTATAGGGATATATTAATATCTGTCTACTATACTAATTCAATAGTTAACATTGGTGGCAATCGATACCTTCACCCAAATCTCGGTCGCACTAATCGATGGTCGTGTGCGCTTACTAAATATTAACTAGTACTTAATACTATATGACTTAACTATATAGTACACACACTTAAAACACCATATATTAATTTTGTATGTATATATAGTTATGGTTATAGTTATGGTTATAGTTATGGTTATAGTTATGGTTATGGTTCCCTCTATATCTATAGTGTCTTTGTTTCTTACAGTTTGCTAAACATATTTATAGTCACCATCTCTCAAAAATTTGCAGCTTTGGGACTGCACACAAGCCCCAATCGAATGCTAATATGTCTAGTACACAAGAAGAGATGGGACATATACCAATGAACTGTTTTTGCAATATTATACTCAGTATACATTTAAAAGTCAAATCTTCGAGGATATGTCAATTAATGGTATAAAGGAAGATCCAGACGCAGTTTTACTACAATTATCTAAACGAGTATTGAAATATTTGGGAGTAGAAGATCTGGACTATACCATTTCTAACTTTATACTATCATTATATAATAAGGCCAATGAAGGAGATAATCATGGAAAGTCTGAAAAATTAACTAGTTTCAAACAAGTGTTGAAAGAAAATGGGGGTGACGAGTTTCCTGGATCGTTTATAACTGAATGTTATGAGGTGATAACTAGTACTACTATTGCTACTAGTAGTACTGATAGTACTAGTAGCACTATTAAACAAGAAGATGCTGTACCGAAGATTAAACAAGAAGATACTGTACCGAAGATTAAACAAGAACATTCAGGATTAAGTCTACCGGATAAAATCATTGATTATGAAGAAGAAGAGGAAGAAGCCATAAAGAAGCAAGATAGTCCTGCCTTATCCATTAAAGAAGAAGAGATTGAAGATGATTCTAAGTTAAAAGTCGGAAGAATATATCGAGGTTATGTAAGTAATGTTACATCTTATGGAGCATTTATTAGATTAAATAATCCTAAATCTTTCCAATCTGGTTTATGTCATGTATCACAAATCTCATTTGATGGAAGAAGTAGAATTCAAAAGCCATCGGATGTTTTAAAAGTAAATCAAGAAGTATTTGTAAAGATTACTAAGATTGATATACCGTCTAATTTAGGACCGAATGCAAGAACAAGAAATAATAATAGAAGAGAAAAGATAGATTTATCAATGAGAGGAATTGATCAAGTTACTGGAATAGATAGAACAGAAGAATTATTATTTGAAGAAGATGAAAGAAGAAGAGGTAGAGAAGAACAAAGAATTATTGAGACTAAATCAAAGAAAAGAAGATTAACTTCACCTGAAAGATGGGAAATTAGACAACTAATAGCTTCAGGAGTTGTTTCAGCCGATGATTATCCTGAATTACAAGGTGATGAAGATCCTAATTCTGCCTTTGAATCTCGTAAGATAACTGAAGAAGACAAAGATAATGAAATAGATATTGAATTGAATAGTTCTGAACCAAAGTTTTTAAAAGGTCAAACTCAAAATTCAGTTCAATATGCTCCAGTTAAAATATTAAAGAATCCTGAAGGTTCATTAAATAGAAGTGCAATGAATGGATCTAAATTTGCTCGAGAATTTAAAGAAGAGAAGCTTAAAGAAAAGAAAGAATCTGAAAAGGTTAATAAATCAAATTCTCATGATCCTCTTAATGAAATTAATAAAGGTTATGATGATAAAACAAATAATGTTATTTTAGATTGGAAAAAGGCTCAAATGTCAAAAAATTCTCTGTATGGTAAACGAACAAGTCTTTCATTAAAGGAACAACGAGAATCTTTACCTGTATATGCTATGAGATCTCAATTGGTTCAAACCGTAAGAGATAATCAATTTGTAGTTATTGTAGGAGAAACAGGTTCAGGTAAAACTACTCAAATAGTTCAATATTTATCAGAAGAAGGATTTAATTTAGATGAAAATGGTAATCATAAAATAATTGGTTGTACACAACCAAGAAGAGTAGCAGCCGTTTCTGTTGCCAAAAGAGTAGCAGAAGAAGTTGGATGTAATTTAGGACAAGAAGTAGGTTATACAATTAGATTTGAAGATGAAACAAGTTCTAAAACTAAAATTAAGTATATGACTGATGGTATGTTACAAAGAGAAGCATTAAATGATCCTTATATGAATAAATATTCAGTAATAATGTTAGATGAAGCTCATGAAAGAACCATTTCAACTGATGTTTTATTTGGATTATTAAAGAATGCTTGTACTAAAAATCCTAACTTAAAAGTTCTAGTAACTTCAGCAACTTTGGATTCAGAAAAGTTCTCCAAGTTTTTTAATGATTGTCCGGTTCTTACAATTCCTGGTCGTACATATCCGGTTGAAATCTTATATACTAGAGAACCAGAATTAGATTATTTGGCAGCTGTATTAGATTCAGTAGTTCAGATCCATATTTCAGAACCTACTGGTGATATCTTGGTATTTTTAACTGGTCAAGAAGAAATTGATACATGTTGTGAAGCATTATATGAACGTATGAAAGTTTTAGGTGATACAGCTGCTGATTTAGTTATACTCCCAGTATATGCTGCTTTACCAGCAGAAATGCAAACTAAGATCTTTGAACCAGCACCACCTGGAGCAAGAAAAGTTGTTATAGCAACCAATATTGCTGAAACTTCTATTACAATTGATGGAATCTATTATGTAGTTGATCCAGGATTTGTTAAAATCAATGCTTATGATGCAAAATTAGGTATGGATTCATTAATTGTTAGCCCGATTTCTCAAGCTCAAGCTAATCAAAGAAGTGGTAGAGCTGGTAGAACAGGACCTGGTAAATGTTATCGATTATATACAGAAACTGCCTATAATAATGAAATGATGGCAAATTCAATACCAGAAATTCAACGACAAAATTTATCTCATACAATTTTAATGTTAAAGGCAATGGGAATAAATGATTTATTAAATTTTGATTTTATGGATCCTCCACCTACCAATACTATGTTACTGGCTTTACAAGATTTATATACTTTATCAGCTTTAGATGAAGAAGGTTATTTAACTAAACTTGGTAGAAAAATGGCAGATTTCCCTATGTCACCACCACTTGCTAAAACTCTTATAACTTCTGTTGAATTTGGTTGTTCAGAAGAAATTCTTAGTATTGTTGCTATGTTATCAGTTCAAACTATATTTTATAGACCTAAGGATAAACAAAATTTAGCTGATCAAAGAAAAGCAAGATTTCATCATTCTTTAGGAGATCATTTAACTTATTTAAATGTTTATCGATCCTGGGTACTTAATAAATATAGTAAAGATTGGTGTCAAGATAATTTTATTCAAGAAAGAAGTATGAGAAGAGCTCATGAAGTTAGACGACAATTATTAACTATTATGAAGAAATATAATCAAAATATAATATCATGTGGTTCTGATCTTGATAAAGTTAGAAGAGCATTATGTTCAGGATTTTTTAAAAATTCTTCTAAACGAGATCCTCAAGAAGGTTATAAGACAGTTTCAGAAGGTACACCAGTTTATCTTCATCCATCATCAGCATTATTTGGTAAAAATCCTCCTTATGTATTATATCATACACTTTTATTAACTACTAAGGAGTATATGCATTGTGCTACTGTAATCAATCCTAAATGGTTAGCTGAACTTGCTCCAACATTTTTTCAAGTAGCTGATCCAGAAAAGGCTAATGAAAGAAAGAAGAATGAAAAGATTGTTCCATTATTTGATAGATATGCAAAGAATCAAGATTCTTGGCGATTGAGTGCTCAGAACTCATCTAAAAGAAGAGCTCTCGGAAATAGATAGTATAGACTGTGTAATATAAAGTGAGTAATGAATAATGATATATATGTAATTTAAAATTTAGCAGCAATTGTTGCGAAATTGCGAATTTTGTACTTTGACGCGCACTCTAAGAGAAGCACTAACTATAACGAAGACTTAAGTAGAAACACACTAACAAGACTCAAGTAGACTACAAATATGAGAAATAACATCTGAAACTATGAGTGACACATATATGTATATTAAGCAAACAGATTATAAGCTCAGAAGAGTAGTTCACATTCATTTCATAAGAGATGGTTACTGTTTCACAGCATTACCACATTTATTACATCCAAGGGAAGAAGGAAGTTTAACAATATATATATATATTAGTAGTAGATCCTTTTGTGGTGTAACAATACAAATGAAATATTGCGCTTTCTGTCATATAAGATAACCGAGCCAGAACCAGGTGAATGTGAAGATAAACATGAGTGTACAAGTGAATGTGAATGTGATTATCATTACTCCGCATTTTGTATGAGACTCAAAAGAAAAAAAGATACGGGTACATGCAGGAATTTTCATATCGACTGATATATTGTAATTGCTATATAACTAATTCATTTAGCACTTTATTTAATTTGAATGGTATAGGATTAATATTTCCTGGTTGGGAAATTAGAGTATTAATTCTTTGAAATTTTTCATTCATTCATTCATTTTTAGTATCATTTAAAATTTCATGAATAGTGCTCGATACGCAAAGGAAGCCATTCAAGATAGAGTGAGCTTATATAAGGCTACTTCAAGTGTTTCATTATCAGGAGTTAAACCTTTAAGAAGAAAATATTCTACTAATACTCCTATACAAGAATGTTCTTTAACAAATAGTTCATCTAATATTTTAGATTGTTGTCCATTAGGAACTGATAATGAAGGTAATTTTATTGAAAGTACTTCGGGTCGGAAAATTATTTTAAAGGGTATAAATATTGATGGAGCTATGAAATTACCAACTTGTCCTAATTTACCATCTTATAAAGGTAATAGTAATGATTCAAATGATATATTTTATGATGGAGATAATGTAACTTTTGTAGGAAGACCATTTCCTATTGAAGAAGCTTATCAACATATTCTTCGAATAAAATCCTGGGGTTATAATACCATTAGATATTTATTAACATGGGAAGCAATAGAGCATAAGGGTCCAGGAATATATGATGATGAATTTATTGATTATACAATAAAGATTTTAAAGATAATTCATGAAGTAGGTGGAGTTTATGTATTTCTTGAATTTCATCAAGATGTATGGTCAAGATTTTCAGGAGGTAGTGGAGCTCCATTATGGACTTTATATGCAGCAGGTTTACAACCAAACCGATTTCCTATAACTGAAGCAGCAGTATTACATAATGAAGAAAGATTTCAGAGAGATGAAGAACCAGAAGAATATCTAAAGATGCTTTGGCCATCAAATTATAAACGTTTAGCAGCAATTACAATGTTCACATTATTCTTTGCTGGTAAGAATTACTTTCCTCATTTAAAAATTAATGGAATCAATATTCAAGATTATTTACAAGATCATTTCTTTAATAGTACAAAATATATTTGGAGTGCCATTAATAAACGATTACCAGAAATGATTAATGATGGAACTATTATTGGATTTGAACTGATGAATGAACCAAATTGTGGATTAATGGGGTTTCCTCATTTAGGTGAATTACCGGCTAATCAACAATTAAGAATAGGTACTGCTCCAACAGTTTATCAATGCTTTAAATTAGGTATGGGATTACCTTGTAAGATTGATGAATATAGAATATCTATAACGGGTCCTCAAGTTTATGGATCTAAAATTATCGATCCAAAGGGAGCTAGAGCATGGCTTTCACCTTCTGAAGCAAATGAAATAGATGCAAAATATGGTTGGAAGAGAGAATTTCCAAATTTGGGTGAATGTATATTTGCTCATAATGGGATATGGAGATGGGAAGAAGATGTTGATATGAATTCTTTAGCTGATTTAACCGAATCAGAAAGAATACTTATTAGTATTAAACAATGTCATTTAGAAAAGCCCAATTATTTCAATCAACCAGCTGCAAAGCATAATCTTAATGGATATCCTAAAACTGTTGATCTTCTGTATTTTAATCATAATAATTTTATTGATTTTTATTTAAGATTTAAATCAGTTATTAGAAGTATATGTTCAAATGCATTTGTATTTATGCAACCTCCAGTATTAGAAATACCTCCTACTATTAAAGATGATATACGAAATATTATTGATTCAAGAACAGTTTATTGTCCTCATTATTATGATGGTATGTCTATAATGTTTAAAACATGGAATACTGCCTTTAATGTTGATACATTAGGAATTATGAGAGGTAAATATCTTAATCCTGTACTTGGAATTGTATTTGGTGAAAATGCCATTAGAAATTGTATAAAGAAACAATTTGAGGAAATTAAACAAGAATGTCATGATCATTTAGGTAAAATCCCTGTACTAATGTCTGAAACAGGTATGCCATTTGATATGGATAATAAAAAGGCTTATAGTAATGGGAAATATTATTCACAAACTGCGGCATTAGATGCATTAAGCTATGCATTAGAAAGTCTGAATATGTCTCATACTTATTGGTGTTATACTAGTATAAATTGTCATCAATTAGGTGATAGATGGAATAATGAAGATTTCTCCTTTTGGTCTCCCGATGATAGAAATTTACAATTTGATGAAGATATAGAAAATTCAAGTCTTTTACTGATATCACAATCTTCATTAAATCTTACACGTGCTACTATAAAGTCCACTATAAAGATGATTAAAGCTAGGAAAAGAGGTTCAGCTTCAAGATTAGAATGTCTCAGAATGGATAATTCTCAATCTACTTCATCACTGAATAGTCAAGATTCAAATGGAAATGGTAAATCTGAAGATGATGAATTATCAGATACAAGATCAATTCTGGTATCTTCAATAATTTCAAGTACTAGTGAAAATGTTCATGCAAAACATAATCGAAAATGTTATCCATCACCAGATGGTGTAAGAGCTGTAAGTGCAGTTATTAGACCATATATTGTTGCTACTATGGGAGAAGTTTTAGTATCTGAATTTACTATTAAAAGTGTTAAATATGCTATATCAATTAATATCAATAAAGCAGAATCAATTAATAATCCTACCATTATTTTTGTCCCTAAATGGCATTTTCCATTTTTAAATTATGGTGATATTTTCTTAACTTCAGGTTATGTCAAATATAATGAAGACCTTGAATATTTAGAATGGTTTCATGAAAATGACCCTTTTGTTGAAATTGATGAAAATGAAGAAACTACGACATTTTTGCAACCAGGTATTTCAAGAGAGACATTAATTATTAAAAATAATAGTGGTACATTAGATGTATCTAAATTAAATGAAGAAGATAATTTCTTCACTAAGAATCAAATAGAATGTCCTGTGACATAATATAGACTGTATAATAGTTTTGGAAAAATTTTTATAATTTATTTATTAATGTACATATATATAGATAACCTAAAACTCGAGTGAATCATCTTCTCTACTTCTCTTTCCACTTAATTCTTCCTTTATTAATTCATTGACGAATTTGGCAAAATAATCAATATAAGGCTTTAAGCTTGTCTTTTCATAATCTGCTAATCTTTTTTCATTTTCATTTTCATTGGAATTCTTTGGTTTTCTATCCCATTCTTCTAATTCACTTTGAATTAATTTCAAGTTAGGTGCAGTTGTTGGATTAAATCCATATTCATCATCTTCAGAATTATTAGATATATTTTTACTAGGATCAAATGGTACACATACATTCCCAGTACCAGGATGAATACAAAATGGAGATTTTAATAAATGAATCATTTGTCTTGAAACTTCTACATCTAATCTTGGATACATATAATAAATAATAATATCCTTTTTAGCTTCATTTAATTGTAATACTTGAATTTGAGTTTTCAATACTCTTTTAGCTACTTCATTAATATCTTCCCATTTAGTTTTAGAAGTTGATAATGAATTTTGATTAATCCATTTATTACGTAATTCTATTTGTAATGATTTTTCAGGTATAAATGATAAAAGTTCTTCAATTTGAGTCCAAGCTTTGGCATCCTTCGGTGTAGTAGATGAAGTTAACCAAGGTTCTTGATCTTCAAGAATTATATCAATAAATTCTTGTTTTAAATAATTAAAAGATCTTTCAACATGAGGATGATAAGGTTTTTTAATCTTTTTCATAAATTTATTATTTCCACGTATACTTGATAAAACATCCATATATTCAACTATTGCTTTACGAGTTAATTCATCTAAATTTCTTGCTCTTGAATCACTAATCCAACAATGTGCTCCTCTTCTACCAGAAAAAACCCATACTAGATGTTTAAATCCAAAATCATCTCGTAAAGCTGATTCAATAATCTTTGATCCAACTCTAATAAATTTCCAACATTTCATACAAATATCAGTTCCTTGACAACAAGTTCTAATATCATCATAATCAGTTAAATCAATATCAAACACAAGTTCTTTTGATATTGGTTTTAATGCATTTTTTGGTAAATTTCTTCTTTCTTTAGGATTAACAGTATATACGGCACCAATTTCAAATCTAGTTGGATTAGCATTAACTACTGATTTTTTAAATTCTTCTTGACTTTCAAATGAATTATAACGTTGATATGCTCCTGATCTATGTTCATATGCAAATTCTCTCATGGTGAAATCTTTAGTTGGTTTAGGTGAATGACTTAACCATTGAAATACATATCGAAATGGTAAGAGTCTTTCATAATAATGTTGCATATCTGCTGATGAAGGTTTCCATTTCTGACCCTGAGGTTGAGTCTGGGACTCATAAGTATTTTGAATAGCTTGACCTTGAGGCTCCTCTAAGTCTTGAGTCATATTAATTGTATGGTATATACTTAGTAATCAGTAATTAGTGATTAGTTCTTTAGTTAGTTAGTAGTGCAGTTCATTATTTAGCGATATCGTTGAGGACGCGTCAGAAATTTATATGTCAGAAATTAAATGGGTGCGAAATTATCAGAGTGCAAATTATTATTTATTTTACCGCTGTCAGTAAATTCAGGACGACTTTTATTTATTAGTAAATGTCTATGTAAAAAAGAAGGGGTTTATTATACAATGATATAGTCAAGTTTTTTCAATACGATTTAGTTATTCAATTCTCAGTTTTAAATACTAATGATACACCTTCATCACCAGCAGTTATAAGTTGTTTGCCATGTTCAAGTATAGCAAAATCTAAAACACCCATATTATGACCAACACCAACAAATAATTCTTCACCAGTTCTAGCATCCCATTTATAAATTTTACCATTCATACTTGAACCAACTAATACAGGAGTTTCTTCAACAAATTCAAGTTTAGTTATAGCATCATCAACTCTAATGGTTCTACGTAATCTCCATTGAGAAGTTTCAAATACTAAAATATCCCCTGAAACTAATCCAATAGCTAATAAATTATTACCAGGAGCTTTACACCAACTTATAGCTTCTATAGATAATTCATTTATATCATCAACATTTTCTAATGTTTTAAGACCATGCACAACTTTTCCAGTATCATTATTTATTATAGCTAATTGTCCATCTCTACCACCAACTGCAACAACATTCTTAAGAACTTTAACTGTAACCCAAGGACTTTCAACTCCTTTAAAATCATCATGAGGTTGTAATTTATAATTAACAGTTCCAGTAAAACAATTCCAATTGACAATAGTTCCATCTTCAGAAATAGTTACTAATGAAAGATCATTTTCATCATTTCCTTCAATGAATACACCTCCATTACATTCTAAAGAATGTGAGAATCCAGACATTATTTGAACTAAACTCTTAGATGATTTATCAATTTGATAAACCCAAACAGATCCATCATTAGCTCCAAATGCAAAATATGGTAATGAAGGATGAACAGTTACAAATAAAACTTCTTCAACTTCTTCTAATTCAGCAAATTTTACCCATTTTTCTCCACCTTTACTAGCCTTATGAACTTGAATAAATCCATTCATATCAGCTGTTATGACAAATTCACCACTTGAAGTGAAACCACCAGCAATTACTGATTCTTTATGACCTTGCAATTCTCCAACAAATTTTGGAGGTTGAGTGTGAGTAGTCCATAAGTAAGCAGTATTATCACCACCACCAGTAACAATCAATGGTAAAATTGGATGTTTAAATATAGTAAAGATACTATCAGTATGTTTATCAAAATAAGTCCAAGAATTATTAGACATATCGATTTCAATAGTTTCTCCATTTTCATCATCCATATCCATATCATCTTCATCGTCATCATCTGGAACTGGTCCATTATCTTCGGGAACTTCTTCTTCAACTTCATTCAAATTTAAATATTCTTCTTGTTCTTCATCTTCTTCAAAGTTTTCAACCACTGGGTCGTTATGGAGTTGATCAGCCATTGTTATTTGTTATTGTTATTCTAAAGTATTTTTTTTACAAATTATAATAGTATTTATACTTGTCCAATGACTATAGATATATATAATACTATCTCTTGCTGCAAATTCAAAATAAATTTAGTGATTATTAATTGACCTCTTCTTCGTAGTGATAGATTTGATGAGTTGAAATAAATTTTTTTGTGTCACTATATGTCTTATGTGCAGACCATTGCATCAATTAGAGTTTTTGCCATCTTTGACTTAACGGTATTGATGACTAATTAAGAATAGGTATATTATGAATATGATGAAATGGATTGTTTATAAAAGCAGCAGCAGCAATAATGATTTATTATTTAAAAAACCTAAAAGTGTTAGAGGTTATAACATAGATGTGTAAGTGAGTCACAGTCATAATGAAGAATGCCTTGTCATCCATAATATGTTCATTCATAGCTCAAGATGAATTGTATTTGACAGATACCTTATTTGCGAGTATTAGAAAAATTTAATCAATTATATCTTGTATATGGTATAGGTGTTGCTGATCCATTCCATATATTGAAGTATCAAAGTATAATCTGTTCTTAGATTATTAGTGCACTGAATCCCTATATCAATTTAAGAAATACTATACTTCGGTAAAACGTTTCTTACTTTTGTTGGATGAATGTGATAGACTAGTAGTTTCAACTTATTGACAACTTTTTGACAACTTTTTGACAACTTAATGACAACTTAATGACAACTTATACAACTATACCATACACATGTTAATGGCTGTGAAAAACCTAACCAAAACTTTTTGGTAGAATCGCCACGACCCGAGGGGCATACAGCAAAATAATGTCACCGTAAAAAGTCTAATTATAACACTGTGGTCATATTGCTCTAGATAACTAACACTAACACATTCTTTCAACAAGAGCAAAGTATATATATAATAACGGCTATATATATTGGCTTTTTTATTTAATCGCTATTTTAAAAAAAAAATTATTGCATTTTCATCAGTTTTTGATATAAAAATAATTCCCAACATTTCAGAAAAGAAATATCAAAATAATCTTTAACATTCATATTAATACGCATTCTCATAGTTATATTTATTTTAATTATCATTCTTATAGTCATACTCATATCTCATTCTAATAATATCATATTAATTCATTCAAAATGTCAGATTGGATTTCAACCTTTCCGGGATATGAACAATTATTAACTACTGCAAAGAAAGTCTTTGGAAAAATAATACTGACAGGTCCAGTACCTAGACATGTTGGTATAATTATGGATGGTAATCGAAGATATGCTAGACAAAATAAAATAGAAATAAAAGAAGGTCATAGTCTTGGATTTGAAACTATGGCTAGTGTATTGGAATTATTATATGAATCAGGAGTTGAATGTGCTACTGTATATGCATTTTCTATAGAAAATTTTAAAAGGCTGAATGCAGAGGTTAAATGGTTAATGGATTTAGCCAAATTAAAATTTCAACAAATTAATCAACACTCAGATTTATGTGAAAAATATGGGGTAAAGATAAAAATCTTGGGTAATAAAAAGTACATGCCACGAGATGTGGCCAAAATATTAAAAGAAACTGAAGAATTAACAAAAAATAATAAACGAGCTACTTTAAATGTTTGTTTCCCATATACAGCTCGAGATGAAATAGTTCAACTGATAAAAGCAGTAGTAGATGAATCTACTAAGAATCATGATCTTATTATTGATGAATCAGCTCTTGATAGACATTTGTATACTTCTGATTCTCCTCCATTGGATTTATTAATAAGGACATCTGGTACTTTTAGATTGTCTGATTTTCTTCTTTGGCAATGTGTATCTCCAGATTGTTCTATAGTAATGGTTGATAAATTATGGCCAGCCTTTAAACCATGGGATATGGCTAAAGTATTATTGCAATGGAGTTTTAATCAATATTGGTATGGTCATGGTAATGGGTATACTACTTCAACAGTAAGTGGTATTCAATTATATCAAAGTAGTTCTTTAATAGATTTAAATGATACAAAATCATCTAGTGGATATCAAAGGCATGCAGAATGGCAAGATGATATATCGGAAGAAGATATTGATGCTGAAGAAGGAGAAGTTGAAGATGGACAAGAAAGCTCGGGTAATAGTAGTGTTATAGACAGAGATGATGAAGTGGACACGGTTACTTCAAGTGAGTCGGATTCTAGTAAGAAATGATATTATAGACTCTGTTATTAGTACATATATTATATATAGTTCTCTGTATAAGACCTTAATTAATTCATTATTTATTATTATTCATAAAAAAACTTTCTAGATTGTACCATCTACCTTTCATATCAGTATTATCCATTTAATAAAGGGTTTGATACCCTATTACTGTACTGTATGCTGACTGTTAATCATCTTTAAACTATAGTAGCAAATCTTAGATCTAGGTCGTGTCCCTCGCTACAAGAAAAGACCAAGTTGACTCATAAAGAAATTTTCATCGCGGCTATTTTTCAATTTAGCTGCACGCACTCGTGCAACGATATGACTCCAGAAATTTTTCACCATAATTTAATAGTGAATAGTATTTGTTAGCTTTTAATATTATAGTCAACTAAAAATAATGGATTTAGTTAACCACTTACCGGACAGATTGTTGTTCGCTGTTCCAAAGAGTATGTATAAGAAAATTTTGTATTGTGAATTCAAAGAGTTCTTCTTGTAAGTTTAAAATACTAATTTAAATATTTCACTATAGAGGGAAGATTATATGAAAAATGTTGTGAATTATTGAGTGGAGCTGATATTCAATTTAGACGTTCAAATAGACTAGATATCGCTTTATCTACTAATTTACCAGTAGCTTTAATTTTCTTACCAGCTGCTGATATTCCAATTTTTGTTGGTGAAGGTAATTGTGATTTAGGTATTACTGGTTTAGATCAAATTAAAGAAGCTGATATGCTTAAAGATATAGAAGATTTATTAGATTTACAATTCGGATCTTGTAAATTACAAATTCAAGTCCCTGCTGAAGGTGATATTACAACTCCAGATCAATTAATTGGTAAGAAAATTGTAAGTTCATTTACTAAATTATCTAGTGATTATTTCCAATCTTTAGAAAATGTATCTACTGCTTCAGAATTAAAAACTAATATTAGATATGTTGGAGGTTCTGTTGAAGCTTCTTGTGCTTTAGGTGTTGCTGATGCTATTGTTGATTTAGTTGAAAGTGGTGAAACTATGAAAGCTGCTGGTTTAAAACCAATTGAAACTGTCTTAACAACATCTGCTCATTTAATCTCTTCAAAAAATCCAAAATTCCCTGAATTAGTTCAAATTATTCATCAAAGATTTGAAGGTATTATGGCTGCTCAAAGATATACCTTATGTGAATATAATGCTCCAAGATCAATATTACCAACTGTATTGAAAATTACTCCAGGTAGAAGAGCTGCTACAATTTCTGCTTTAGAAAAGAGATCTGAAGAAGAAGAAGATTGGGTTGCTGTATCTACAATGGTTGAAAAGAAGAGAACAAGTGATATTATGGATCAATTAAAGAAAGCTGGTGCTACAGATATCCTTTGTTTTGAAATCAAAAACTGTAGAGTTTAATCAAAATATTCACTTTAGACAATCCTATATAGATTATGGATTAATTTATCTTCTTCTTATCTTATGTATATTCTAATAACGTTCAAAACTTACAAAATCCAATCATAGAAAACAAATAGCTAATAGATGAAATTATTTTATTACATTGCTAACGTAATCTAGGAATATATACTCTCTTACTCTTAATATCCCTCTATAGATCTTATACCGTCTTTATCGACTACTTTAACATATACACCTTTAAAATCTATTGGCATTCTTGTTTCTAATTCTTTTAAACATAATTTCAATAAACCTAAACCTTCTTCTATTTTCATATTCTTTCTGTAATGCTTATCCAATAAGGAATTAGCATAAAATGCTGCGTAACCATGAGCTCCATAAGGTAATTCAACTTGAGTACCTAAATAATCTATCCAATTCAAACTAGCTGTATCTGTCTTAGTATCATAACCAGCTATTAAAACATTGACTTGATATGGTTTACGAGATCTGAGTGAAGTTGCCAATTGATTTCTAACAAATGATGCAGTAGCTTTTGGTGATAATTCGATATCATTTTCTCTCATACTATATAATTGAATATTAGCTTGAATAAATTCAGCAAATTGAACAGTATCTCCTGATTCACCAGTATAAGCAATCAAATTACGAGCATTTAATGCTCTAGTTTTATCATCACTATCTTTTAATACTGAAATACCTCTAGTTGCAGCTTTAGAAGTGGCTATAATAGTACCATCTTCAACTTTTATACCTAAAATAATATCCATGATTTCTACTATTTATATTATTATATTTTTAATATATTTAATGATATAAATTAATCAATAATATTCAATTGTTTAATAATAACTAGAATATGTTAAATCTAGAACTTTCAATTGAATCGATCTACTAATTACTATTGATACTCGCTTTTGCCATCCTCTTTAAAGTTCCATATACCTTTTTTGTTCACCATGAAAAGTCGTGCGATATTGACGAAAATTGCAGTCAATGTATTTATTGTAATAGTTGGAGTTATACTATACTTACTATACTATACTCTATACTACTTGGAATTGTCATTGTCGTTATATTCTTCTAAATATATATATTTATATATGATTATGTACATTATTTTTTATTAGAAATCAATTCAGTTATCTTTTTCTCTATCAAAGAAGTAATGAGCTTATTCAAACTGCTATCTTTATTTTCAATTTGACTATTTAAATTAAGTTCAATTTGCTTTTCAATTAATTTACCAGTTAAATCAACTTCTATATTAACATTCTCACCAAGAGTTCTTTGTGGTAAAGTTACTTTACTTTGCGTATAACTTACCATCATAATAGAAAATTCATTAGTATCATAATTTACATTAGTAACTGTTAATGAAGTTCCATCAACAGCTATAAACCCTTTTTCTACAATATAATGAATATATTCTTTTTCTCTTAATTGGAAAGTAAAAGTTATAGCATTTCCATCAGGTTCTCTCTTTGTAATAGAAGCAACAGTATCAACATGACCTTGAACAACATGTCCACCTAATCTAACTTCACTAGTTACAGCTCTTTCTAAGTTAACTTTAGAACCTTTCTTAAGTTCACCAAGATTTGAACGACGTAAAGTTTCTGGAGCAATTCCTACTTTGAATTGAGTCTTAGCTTCATCAAATTCTGTTACTGTTAAACATACTCCATTAGTAGATATCAGATCACCAAGATGAACATCTGATAAAATTGATGAACAATCCCCTATAACGGCTGATACTCCATTACCTCCAGAACTGGTGGTATCTAACTGGGTATATTCCAATACAGTTCCAATGGTTTCAACTAATCCAGTAAACATATCTATCTAATATGAAGAACAAGTAACTAAGTAACTAAGTAACTAAGTAACTAAGTAACTAAGTAACTAAGTAACTAAGTAACTAAGTAACTAAGAATGTCTAAAGATCTCTTCAAAGAAAACCCCAGAATTTTATGACTAAGTCTTACTAACTGATTTTTTCAGACTGTGAGTATAATACTATAGAAGCACTTACAAATTGTGTATCAGTACATGACACTTTATTAAGGTAAGTATCAGTATAGTTGGATCTATATCAGTATATATAATCAGATACCTCACTTGAGATACTATAATATTCAAAATGATGGAGAGAATACATATTTAATGGATAAAGTATTATGGTGCTACTGTTCATGCTGTCATGTACCGCGTCGCTTGGGTAAATAACAGAACTGTTGAACCAGTGAGAAAATCAGAAAATTTATCAAAGACTGAGACTGAGACCACCAGTGCTAACTATCATTAACTATCATTAGTGGTATTTCTACGGGATAAATAGTAAAGAAGATGCCCTTCAGATTCCCATTTAGGTTTGATATTCCAGAGCATTCATATGTGAGTGCCAGAGTTCTTAGAGACCAATTTAAAAGAATACAATATTCTGAACATGAAGTTACTAGAAACGCTTTAAGATATATTGCTAGAAATACTGAACTTCCACCAAGAGCAAGATTAGAAGCGCAATTACAATTAACTGCTATGCCTAAATATACTTCATTCAATCAAATTAGAAATAGATGTGTTGCTTCAGGTAATTCTAAGTCTGTTATTAGTGACTTTAAACTTAATAGAACGGTATTTAGAGATAGAGCTAGAGCTGGTTTGATACCAGGAGTTAAAGTTGCCTCCTGGTGATTTATTTCATTAATATGATCCTTTCAACGTATGTCATGACTCTCTCTATATTTCCAAATTTTCCTTTTCCACTAGTAAATAACTTGTATATAATACACATCATAAAAACGTATATTTATTGCCATTTACTGTAGTACATTTAAAGATCGCTGAAAAAAAAATCTCATCAAAACTTTTATATGATATAGCATATATTAAATTTGCACATACAATTCTAACTGTCAAGACATACATACATATATACATTCATATTAATTATAATGATAGGACTCATACGTACGGTGAATATACCAAAATATACTCAGTTAAGGAGTGTTCAACTTTTATCAAACATTTATGTTTCTAGATCAATATCATTAAAACCAGACTTTTCAAAATTCAAAAAGATTGAACAACCTCCAGGATATATTGTTGGAACAGTTAATGATGCATATATACCTCCACCAGCTAAATTTACAGAAGGTGGTTATCATTGGGCTTATGAAAAAATAGTAACAATTGGAATGATACCTACCTTAACAGTACCATTCATTTTTGGTCCTGAATATCCTATTATAGATAGTTTTTTCTCAGTATTATTATTAATTCATTGTCATTTTGGATTTAAATCATGTATTATTGATTATATACCTGCAAGAGTTTATGGGGTATGGCATAAGATAGCTACAAGATTATTGACTTTTGGATCTTGTCTTTCTATGTATGGTATTTATGTTCTTGAAACATCAGGAAATGGACTTTTTGAATTAATTAGAACTTTATGGTCTGCTTAAATAAAAGGTTTAATTACTAGTTAAGTTAACAGTCTTACTGTGCTCTTATAAGGAATCTTATCATATAGACAGAAAGCACAGCAAAGATTTTTATGTAAATAGTTAACTCTCACTTAATGGTATATAAAGATATAATATAATTAATTTAATGTATACTTATATATATATGTGTGTATACATATTTGTATGGGTGTGTATGTTATATTAATCTCACACTAATTATATACTGTATGTTAACGGTGGATCTCAATAGTGGAGTACCCCCCATAGTAATTTGTGAGACGCAATGATTGAAAAATAAATAATTCAATCTCGAATTTTCAATGCGATGATAACAACACCTTGGCTAAAACAAGAGTACAAAAGAAATTAGTATGAGTGATACAGAAGTACCTGAATACGACGATAAAGAGGAGGAAAGAAGTAAATACATTGAAAAGCCTGAAGAAGACAAAACTGAAGAGAATGAAGTAAAGAAACCAGTTGATCATCAAGGTCTTCAACCATCAGATGGACCCGAACCTCAAGAAGAAGTTGTATATGAAATTAAAGAAGATCCATCATTTCATGTTACTAGAGCTTTATTTATAGCCAATTTAAGAAGACCATTAAATGCCATTCATTTTCAAAATTATTTAAAAGGTTTAGCAAAAGAAGCTGGAGATTATGTAGTTGAAAGAGCATGGTTAAATAGAACCAGAACTCATGGAATTGTACTACTTGATAATGAAGCAGGAGCAGAATATATTAGAAGTAAAATTCTTGGATCAATTTATCCTTCAGCTTCAGATGATGCTAAATTAAGAGAAGAATATGAAACTAGAGAAGAAGAAAGATATGATCAACAACTTAAAGAATATAATGATGCAATTGCTAGTGCAGGATCAGATGATCAAAAAGAAAGTTTAACTCCACCTATAGAACCAAGAAAATATACAGTTGAAAGACTTCCACTTTTTGTTGATTATATTCCTGTTAAAGCTATAAATCAATGGGTATTTGAAGAAGATAGAGGTCCAAGAAATGGTAAATGGAAAATTGAGTATGAATCTAAAGGTGAAGAAGTTATCGCAAGTCATACTTTATTAAATGGAGATTTCATTCCTCGTCGTTATCCTGGTCGTGAACGAGAAAGAAGAGGTGGATATAGAAGAGATTCATATGGTCCTCCTCGTAGAGATTATGGAGGATATCGTGATCGTGATCGTGATTATGGTAGATACAACAGAAGACCATATGATAGACCATATGATAGATCATATGAAAGACCATATGACAGAGATAGACGTCTGAGAGATCATTACATTCCTGGACAATCTAATGATCCAGAAAGAAGACATCGTACTGATTCTTATGAGCCATCAAGACAAAGGGATAGATCTCCAAATTAAGTAAAAGTAAAAGTAAAAGAATAAAATTCAAAAGAAGTAATTAAAAGAAGATAACCCTTTATAACTCCAAGATGTATCATTATCTATTAGAAATAGCAAAAGCAAAATAAATATACAAATAAGTTTTACATTAATGTTCGTCATGAGATTCTGACTGAGCAGACGGTATTACTGGTGATGAAGATATATCCATATTGTCTTCATCAGGTTTAGAATTCTCTGGTTTAAATCTTTTAGTCACGTTTTCATCAGAATTCGTAACTGGTGATGACAGTAATAATTCCTCTTCTTCCTCTTCTCCTCGTCTTCGTCTTACGGGTGATGGTGTTATTTCAGTAATATTCATATTCACTGTCTTTGTAATATTGTTAACCTTTTCTTCTTCAACGGGTGGTGGTGGAGATATTATCATATCATCATTAACGTGAGATTCATGCTCTTCATCAATTGAAATATCTGATGATGGAATTGACTTTTCCTCTTTCTCTTCCTTTTCCTTGAGCCACGGTATTTCTACTAATGGAATATTTATAGATGATTGACTAGTTATAATAGGTTCAACTACTTGTAATTCATCATTAGAAACTGTTGATCCTAAAGAAAAAGTTGTTATGGGGAATTCCAGTACATCTGTTGATACAAATATTAATTTAGCTAAAGAATTAAAATACTTTAAAATATGAACATTATCAATTAAATCATAACCTTCTCGTGATGAATTGACAAGAATTTCTGATAATCGATATATAGTAAAAGGCGGATATTTAGGGAAATTATAATTTAAATGTTGAAGCACTCGATCTTTAATCGATTGAATTCGTTTAATTAAATCGACTCCCTCGGGTCTTTTCCCGAATTGTTCCCCATGATCTCTCGAAACATTAGCTATTGTTTCAAGCCTTTCATTTAGTTTCGGTAGTATCTTAAGCCATTTCTCTTTATCTTCGGTTGTTTCTATAGCATAATACTTTTTGGTTACTATTTCCTGTAACAATTTCTGTAACTCTTGATCTAATTCTGGTATTTCCAAAGTCATTGACTTCCTTTGCAATTAGTACTACTTAATACAGTTTAGTATTGTATTGTTTATTATGGAGAGAGAGAGATGTTTGGGTCTTTCGATGTATGCAGTCCGCTAACAAAAAAAAAGAGGTTCACCAAAAATTTTTCAATGTAGACTGAGGCAAGATTAGTAGCTTTGAACAGTTCATAGATATAAATAGATATATATAAATATATCCAAGATCTAGTATGTCTATGTTAAGAAACCTTTCAGTACAACTAGTACGCTCTGCTCCTAGAGTTATGGCAGTTAGACCAGTTCTTGCTGCCCCTAGCTTCATAAGATTTAAGTCTGATTCGACTATTCCTATTACAACTGAAAAAGATATAAGTTTAACAGCTCAAATATATCCTATAGATAAAGAAACTATAACAGAAGAAGATGTTGATGAATGGTTAGGTTCATTAAAGACATTGAAAAGTGGTAAATCAGTTCCAGAAAGTCCAACTGAAGCATATCTTTCACATTTATCTAATCCAGCTCCATTTTTAAAAGAGAAATTTGAGCCAACTGAAGAACAATTAGCTGAAGTTGAAGCATATTCTAATACTAGTATTCCAATCTTAACTGATCCAACCGTTGAAAATTTAATAAATCTTATAATGAGACATGGGAAAAAAGCTAAAGCTCAAAAGATAGTATCAAGAGCTCTATATATAATACATTTGAAGATTAGAAAGGATCCAGTTGAAATATTAAAAGAAACTTTAGATAAATTAGGACCTTTAGTAACAACCAAGAGTTTTAAAACCGGTACTGCCAAAAGTAGAATTGTACCAATTCCTTTAAATAGACGTCAAAGAAATAGATTAGCCATTACTTGGATTTTAGAAGGTTCTAGTAAAAAGAAATCTAATGATTTAGCCGTTAGATTAGCTGAAGAAATCATTAGTGCTTATGAAGGTAAATCATCCGGTTATGATAAAAAGGCTAATATGCATAAAACTGCCATGCAACAAAGAGCTTATATTCAACTTTAGATATTACCCATATCTATCATATAGTCATTAATTAAAAATCTTGTATATATATAAAAACTCAAACATTTTTGTAGATGTTCCAGCGCACACCAAAGAAAAAACAATGGTGGAATGGGCGCCAAATTTTAGTTGCAATAAATTTGTCTACTGTATAGGTAAAAATTATATGGGTAGATCTTTACGGTTGAATCATTGACGATTATTTACTTGAAGATGAACTTTTTACAGCATGCCATTCATGAGCTACGATATAAAGTAGATTATTACTTTGTGGATTATCGTCAAAGGTATTATAGTACAAATAGAAATCCAAGATTGATTCAAACCAAACTACAAAATCAACAGTTGATTTCACTACGAACATTTCCAAAGGATAAATATTTGTTAAAGCCAGGTCAATTTCTTTCATTAGAGTATCAATATTTTCCACAATCTATGCCCAGTCCAATTTCTAATCTTCCAATTCAATCAATTCCCAAGGATGATGCAATGTCTTTCTTAAGTTTTGATGAAACATTTTCTCATAAGAAAAGCAGAAGAGTTGGTAAAGGAGGTGGTGATAAACGGAACGAATTTATTAGTTCAGGTCCAAGAATTAATAGTGCACCAGACTTGTCAGTTATTGAAATTGGATCAGGACACCATGATTCATGTACTTGTCAATGCCATTCGACTCCAGCTGAATTTCCTCCCAAGATCAAGATTTATAAAAAGAGTCATAAGAGTTCAAATGCAGTACGAAATATATTTAATCAATATTTAAGACCAATTAAATCTGGAGAAAGAAACCAACAGGTAATGTTGGGCCCACCCTTACAGAATTTAAGTAGTGATATCAATATACCTAGTGATTCCGCACCAGATCTTGGTCAATCTAATAAAAGAAAGGATATTGAAGATCTGTCACCTTTGTTGATGATGTTAGATGATTCATCCCCTTTGAAATTGAATATTGAAATAAACAAAGGAAATCCCGATTTATTAAATTCAAATGTCAATGAAATCATGTTGCTTGATAGCAACAACAATAACAACAACAACGATAATCATAGTAATCATAATCCTATTATTAGTCAGGTTAACATTCAGAATAAGAATAGTAAGAACGATTCATCCAAAAGCTCTATGGTTTGGAAAACTGTTTTGAATGATGTATCATTATCGGCTGCAAGAATATCGACTGGTAGCCCGCATTCGCCTAATATGGATGCTCGCCGAATGAGTGCTGATTTTACGGATGCAAAATCCATCCAAAATAAAGAGAATGATAATAATTATTCTGATCTATTTGCAATGAATTTAGCACAAGCTAAAGTCAAATATGGTAATCAATTGGTGAATAAGAAGAAAGAAAAAGGAAGACTTTTCCCTTTTTTACTTCATAGTGGTTCGACCAATAATGGTCAAAAGAGGAATATTAGTAATGTTTCAACCATCACTCCTAGTATAAGTACCGAAAATAGTGTTTCAGGTACTGTAGCTTTGCAAGATTTGTACGGTGACAACGGTATACTATCAATATATGATGGTGATGATGATGATGATGAAGATGATATCTAATAGAGTAATTACAAAAATCTTATATACGTATTCTAGCACATTATATGTGCTACAACATCAGACAGTAGCTATGTCCAATCAATTCTACTTTGATCTATTTTATTTTATCTAAGTCATACTTATTATTTCAAAGCAAATAAAATCTGTGATAGATAGATAGATAGATAAATAGGTATATCAATAGTTAATTAATGGGATGATTCTGCACGTGACTGAAAGTCGTGTGTTCTTGTAACCATACAAAGTATGCGACATAACAATTTGCGAAATTTTCATTGGTTCCAACCGAGAGCGAGAAAACCCATTAGTGAAAAAAAAATGTATGAGGAACAATTTAAAGGTATGTATGTTGATTTAATCAATTAAGACTGAAAAGGGTGTGACTGTAGAAAATTGTTAGACATCTATACATTCACAGACTTGTTGTATACATAACCATCCATTCATCTATCATATTAATAATTGACAATGCTTCGTGGTTCAGGTGTCCGTTCTATTAAGAACTTTACATGTCGTCGTTTACTTTCTAGTGCCAATGGTCCAACTAAATATACTTCATTAAGTAATGGTATTACTATTGCCAGTGAAATTAATCCCAATGCTACTTCTTCAACTGTAGCTGCTTATATTGGTGCTGGTACTAGAGCTGAACATCAATATAATAATGGTATTTCTGCTTTAACTACTAATATTTTAGCTTCTGGTTATGAAAATGGTGTCCTTTTATCTTCTGATAATTCTAAAGAAGCTAATGGTATTATTGCTCAAACTACTAATGATAATGTTGTTGAAGCTGGTAAAACCATTGCTAAAATCCTTTCAAATCCAACTGCTATTTTAGAAAAGGCTGATTATGGAGTTGCTAAGGCTAAATTAATTTCAATTGCTGAAGCTATTGAATCAAATCCTTCAACTAAAGTTTTAGAACATTTAGATGCTTCTGCTTTCCAAGGTTATTCCTTAGGTTTACCAACTTTTGGTACTACTGACTCTATTAAGGATTTACAATTGGAAGATTCTCAAAGATTATTAGAAAAATATTTAGTTGGTTCAAACGTTGTTATTGCTGCTTCTGGTAACTTTGATCATGATGCTTTAGCTGATGCTATTGAATCTTCTTTAAAAGTTCAACAAGCTGCTAAACCAATTGTTAAGACTGCTTCTTTCTTAGGTTCTGAAGTCAGAATGAGAGATGATACTTTACCAAAGGCTTATGTTTCTATTGCTGCTCAAGGTGAAGGTCTTTCATCCCCAGCTTATTACGTTTCTAAAGTTGCTGCTGCAATCTTTGGTGACTTTGATCATCATTCTTCCATTGCTCCTTATACCAGTGCTAAATTAGCTAGTCTTGTTCAAGAATATCATATTGTTGATAAATATACTCACTTTTCAAGATCTTATGCTGATACTGGTTTATGGGGTTTCAATGCTGAAATCTCAAATATCGGAGCTGTTGATGAATTTGTTCACTTCATATTAAAGGACTGGAATAGATTATCTATTTCAATTTCTAATGCTGAAGTTGCCAGAGGTAAAGCTGCTGCTAAGACTGCCTTATTAAGAGAATTAAGCTCTACCAATGCTATTGTTGCCGATATTGGTACCAAGATCTTATTATCAGGATACAGAAACTCTGTTAAGGAAGCCTTAGAAAAGATTGATGCTGTCACTACTGCCGATGTTAAGGCTTGGGGTCAAGCTTCCTTATGGGATAAGGATATCGTCATCTCTGCCACTGGTCAAATCGAAGCATTAATGGATTACGGTAGAAACAGAAATGAAATGGCTATGATGAGATGGTAATCAATTCAGTAATATTCAACCCATTTTTACTTCTTTTGCATCCAATATTATAATCATAATCATTTGAAGTCTTATCTAGATTTCTTTAAATAGACCCAATAGGCTTCAATATATTCACCAAGTACATTAGTTTTTAAATAGTCTTTTATTTATTCCTTATTTAAATAAAAACCCACCTCAATACTTTCCCTACTCCTCACCCCTTCTCGATTATTATTTTTATAATTCCTTCTTATCTATGTTATAGCATTTATTTTCTTAATACAAAATTTATTATATATAATTACTACATTATACCACTCTTTTTTAAATTTTGCAGAACAACCATATCAGTAACTGCAGATAATACAAAATTCATAGATTTTGAATCAGTTGCACAAGTTCTATGAACATAAATTGGTCGATTAGTTCTATTTAATTTTAAAAAATTTGTTTCAAAAAACTTTACTGAATCTTCAAAATCTCCTGGTTTACCATTATAATCAGGGAAATAATCCTTTAAAGGTGATTTTCTTATCTTTTTTTCAAATATATCAATTTTATTTAAAAATAATATGAAGGGGGTATTAGCAAAATATCTTGAATTACATAATGAATCAAATAATACAATGGCTTCATGCATTCTATTAACTCTTTCATCTTCAAATAACATTTGATCATATTCTGATAATGCAAGTACAAATAAGACAGCGGTTATATCTTCAAAACAATGAATCCATTTCTTTCTTTCTGATCTTTGACCTCCAGCATCAAGAACTTTAAATTTAAATGATTTTATATTAAAATTAGTTTCAGTAATCCCGGTTGTCTTAATTCGACCTTTTAAAATATCTAAATCATTACATGAATAAAATGGATCAGCAAATTTATGAACATTATCAAAATAATAATCAGCACTTGATTCAAATTGAAATTCATTTGATCGATCATAACATATTCTAATACCTTTATCATTATTCCATAATTTTGTAATAGCTTCAGCTATTTGTTCACGAATATTATCATTATTATTTGTCTTATTTGGTTCATAAAAATTATTATTATTAGTTTCATTATTTGTTTCATCTTCTATTTCATTATTATTAGAAGGTTCATCATCACCAAAGAAACTAGTTACAACCCCAGTACTATTTAATTTTCTTTTATTCTTATTCTTTTCACTATATTTAATAACATAATCATTTAGAAAATTCGAACCTCCTGCAGCACTTGTATCAATTTGATCTAATGCATTTGCTCTTAAAATTATTTGTTTAAAAGGTATAAGTGGACTATTATATTCATCACATTGTAAGGGAATACCTAATTTTCTAGCTTGAATTATAAGAATCTTCATTGATTGAATTACATCACACCAAATAACTTGACTATATTGATTTCTTTCTTGTTGAGTAAAACCTCCTTTATGTAATAATTTCATTTGTTTTAATACAGTAGATTTACCACTTTCACCAGCTCCAAGTAATAATAATTTCATTTGATTTTTTTCATTTTGTCTATTTAATTGAAGACTCTTTTCAATAGCATCATTAATTCGTTTATCTTGAAGGAATGGATCTTCTTCTGGTTCTGGTACACTAGCTGTACAACCCATATTATTATTATTATGCGCAATTTATTTATCTTAGGTGAGATGACTGCAAAATTTACTACCCCCTAATATGATTTAATTATCAACGACTTTTATATTAAAACAAAAGTCTTTATAAATAACCCTTGTATATTTAAAGTAATTAACTATTATAAATAAATATATCATCTCATTGAAATGATTCTATAGTCTGAAACTAGTTGATATTTAACTATAAAGATGGAATTATTTTTTGAAGTTACAGATGTCCCAATAAGGAAGTTTGCTGTAAGCCGCATTACCACAAATTCTAATAAATATTTTTATTGAATATATACATATATATGCACATTTTATAAAGTTAAGCAAAATAGAAAATAATAAACACTTATTACTAAAATTGCTAAAATAATAGATTGTTTAAAAAAATTTCCTAAATTCCATTTTCTAAAGAATTTAGTGAATTCTGATAATTTGTTACTTATCCATCCTCCACCAACTTTAGTAAGAAATGATGAATTATTAACTGATGAAGTAAAAGTATAATTAGGAATATGTAATAATTTAGATGCTGTAGAAGGTAAACTGAATGAACCAGTTTTTCTATTGTGACTTGTAAGATTATTTTCAAATGAAGTTGAAGACATATCTTCCTCCTCTTCCTCATCCTCCTCCTCATTCTCTCCTTCTTCTTGTTCTCTTAAAAAGTTACGAAGCTTTGTTGAATTAGAATTAGCTAATGGTAAAACAGCACTGTATTGAAATCTTGCAGTACCTGCTTGCTTTAAATTGGAAAATAATACTAATAATCCTGATACAATAGCCAATATTACATAACTAAATATATTCTCATATGGTGTTTGTAAATGACAAACATCTGTACCATATGTTAATGTAGACTCATGACCCTTTTGTGAAATTGACACAGATAATAATTGTACAGCTGGAATTTTAATACCCATTGCCATACTTATTGATTTAACTGTAATTTCTCTTGATGCACCATTAGAATGAATTATATCACAATAATCATGATCATCACCAGCAAAAATTAAGTCTGGTTGAATTTTTGTAAGTATTTCTTCAGTTAAGGCTTCATCTATTGTATTCTTATATTGATATCCACCACCATGAACGTTAAATTTTGGATTTTCTCTTATTGGTCCACAATTTATATTTGGATCACGATATAAAGGTACATGACTTAAAAGAATTCTAGGGACATCCTTTACTGCTCCTCCATTGAAATAATTATCTAAAAAATCACGACTTTCTCTATTTATATTGGAATGAGTCGATGAGAATGATAAAGTATCAAAAGTTATAAAACCAAGTCCATCAAGAACTCGATAATGATTAATAGCACCGAATTCCTTTTCAAATCTTTCTCTTGAATCTAATTTAACTTCATCTCCAAACCCAATATCATGATTTCCTGCTAAATTTACAAAGAAATTCACATTTCTCTTATAGGTTTTTTTAAATCTATTATAGAATATTTTATTAAACCTTGATAATTGAGTATAGAAATATTCATCAGTTGATGATCTTCCATTATCTAAATAGTCTCCTAACCAAAAGATATAATCAGGTTGTAATTCATTAATGAGATAATAATAATTCTTCTTCAAATATACATCAACTGTATGTTGAGATAATTTTAATAAGAGTTGATTACGTCCAGGATAAGTATGATTATCAATTAATTGAGGATCAGCAATGAAAAGAATTTTCATATTTGAAAAAGCAACTTCACCATCTTCATTTGATTGTTTATTGCGTTCATCATCTGAAGTAGTAGATCCTTCATCTTTATTAGTTATTTCATTTCGTAGATCTAATTTTGGACTTACCACTCGATTTGGATTTACTACTTTGGATTCTTTTAAGGGAGGCCAACTACACTTTCTAATAGTACTTCGAGTTAAGTATCTTTCATGAAGTGTGAACGCTATAAGCCACGCTATTAAAATTAATATCGTTAGACTATGCATACTTCTTAGCTTCCCTATATATAGTCTTGCCATATTTGCTTATAAGGTTATGAAGATGAAAATGACAATGACAATGACAATGACTAATGTAAACGTCTCAGGGATTGTTAAATGTAATGTTTTTAAATGATATTTGTTATATGCTTTATGATATATTCTATATACTTATATACCATATACAATATACTATATACTATTAGTATATATTAAACGTGTTATAATTCTACATAGAAAAGGTTAAACATCCATACTGCAGGCCTTGCGAATTTTTTTTCACTATTTCTTGGTATATCTCGTAAGACTTTTTCAGAGGAAATCAATCAATACTCCACTATAGTCTAATTGTATTATAGAAATGACGATAGTGGATCAATTGAATGGTTTATTGATTGGATTAATTGTGGTGTTAGGAACCAATTATGTAATTAAAGCTTATTTTAAATATCATAGAGATGTTCATGAATTATATGTTCAAGATCAATCAGTAGTTGAAACAACGCGATTACCCCATGAATCACCTATTTATAAATCAAATAAATTAGATCATAATTCAGGATTAAGAATTGGATTAGATATTAGATATGATCATTATAAAATTAGACATGGGAATTTAAATGATATTTGGACAATTATTTCTAGTGGTAATAGTACTGAAAATGGAATTACAATAAATAATGAATTTAGAAGTTTTAGTAAATTAAATCATCAAATTAAACTTGTATGTGAATTCTTTAATCAACAAATTAAAAATGTTCATACCATTAGAATTAATCAAAGATTATTCTTAATTAATTTAGAAGTATTGGTATTTATTTTCAGTGCATTTATTAATCAAATAACTGTTGAATTTTATGATTCTTCTAAAGTATTTAATATAAATGATCATGATGAAGGTATTTGGTGGTTAGTGGATGATGAAGAATTATTGAATATAACTTCTACTAATTATATAAACATTCATGATCAAACAATTTATAAACCATTATCAAAAGATGAATTAATTACTCATAAGTATGATTATTCTTCTAGTAAAGATAAAGGTGTAGCAGTTCGTATTATTGGAAGAACACTTTCAGGTAATCCCAATATGACTACAACAGTTGAATTCACTCAATTGAATTTAATTAGTGCTATTGCTTCTTCATTAAAACATTTACCAGAAAGTAAAGCTTTATCATCAAAGGATACAGTAATGATCATTCAAGAAATAGATTCTAGTAAATTTTCATCTTCAACAGGATTAATTAGTGATTTAGTAAGAATCTTAGCATCCTTAACGGCTAAGGCTAGTGTTGAAATTTATAATCATAAAGAACCAACATTGACATGGAAGGAATTGTTTGGATTAGGAGTTACAGTACTTTCTATCAGTACAGCCAATAAACATTTAACTTTAGATACTATTCTTAAAGAAAATTCAATCTTGAATCCTATCTATCGGTTTACAAGATACTTCCGATTACAATCACTTAAAAGTGGAAGATTTCCTGGGAATAATGGATTCCAACTGTTACGATTAATTTATTTACATTCACCAATAACTCAACCTGTCAAATACACACTATATGAATTAAATGAATTCAGAAGTGAAACTTCAAGTAGAATAATTCGAGAATTTTATCATTATAGTTTATCAGGACCAGTTATTCAAAGTGAATTTTATGATTATAGACAATTTCAATTACCAATTGGTTGTAAAGGTTGTGGATGTTTAAGTCAAGCATTAGATATTAAACTTGTAGATATTAATGAAAAGAATAAAATTGGTAATGTTGTGGTTCGTGGTTATACTATTGGTAAAACCACTAATAAATTTATTAATGAAAATAGTTATGATGGTAGTAATAATAATACTAGTATACCAAATAATAATGATGGATTTATGCCCTTAACAAATGTTAAAGGTAAATGGGGTAATGATGGATGTTTGTATATATTTTAGATACAAAAGTTTACACAAGTTTACAAAGTACAAAGTTTATAAAAGTTTTTAATGAGTTTATGTTATATTGCAAAATACATATAAAATATGAAATACTATACATAGAGTTAAGTTAAAATTAAGGTAATTATTATAATCTTACCTTTTTAGGATTAGTGGTTTCATTAAAAATAATTTCATCACCACAACTTCTCTTTCTAGAAATTGTAGGAGTTGAAATACTAGCAAATAATGAAGGAATAGATTCAGATTCTTCTTTTGATTTAACAAAAATCTTTTTATTTAATTGATTTAAATAATAATTATTAAAATTAATCTTAATAAGATTTAAATTAGATGTATTTAAATTCATAAAGAATTTAATCCATTTAGAAAGTTTCATTTTAATAATTGATTGATTTAATTCCCAAATAATTTGATTTTCTTCATCTTCTTCATTATTATTATTTTCATGAGAAATTGAAACTTTATTGTTAGTAATAAATTGATATTTAATGAAATCATAACCAAATATGATTAAAATATTACACCAATTTTCATAAACTAATCCATTAATATATAATTCATAATTTAATAATCCAAGACATTTAACTTCAACTTCTTTTAAAATCTTAACATTTGCTTGTAAATCTTCAACTTTAATACCACAAATTTTTAACCAAGATTTAAATGAATAATTATGATCTTGATTAAATTTAGATGCAATAATAATTAATCCAAGAAATAATTTCTTAGAATCTTTTAAAATTGGATATTGAGTTAAATTAACTTGTTTTTGAATTAATTTAACTAAATAAAAACATGTTAATTGTAATGATTGAATTGAAGTTTTTGATCTTCTAATGATTTCAACAATAAAAAATTTAAAATCTTTTTCATTGACCTCATCTTTGTATAAGATTTTAATTAAATTAGCAGCACAATTAATAAGAATTGAATTAAATTGAGATTTATTAAGATGATTAGTATAATATTGAAAATGATTGGGTGATAATACTTGTTTGGATGTTGAAAGTGGTGAATTGGTTGAGGTTGGTGGTGGAGTTAAGTAGGATGAATCACTTGAAGTTAATTCAAGGTTTGAATTGACTGTCAACTTTGGAGATTGAGGAGTTGCAGCCATTTTAAATAATATAATTTAAGAATTTATATAAGAAAAGTACTTAAATGAATAAGTTCAATGATAAATAAATGGGAGATATAACAGGTGTGACGTAATTGGGTACAGGTGATGACAAATGGAATGATAAACAGGAAACCAGGAGATTATAATAAAAATAAAATAACAATTATAATTTAAAAATAAGTTAAACTATCATAAAACTCCCTTCTAAACAACTAAAGATAAAACCGGATTGGTTAATAATTTAATTAATAATAGCAACCATCTTGAAGTTGGTTACTGACTTATGAAACTAAAAGGAATAAATAAACAAAGGAATAATAATAATAATATTATTATTAATATTAAGAGATTCGCTAGTAATTGGTAATCTCTTTGATGTGATAATGGTTCTATTAAGTATTAAATAAAAGAACCTGCTCTAGTTAATACACTAATAGAATGATTATTGGAAAATATAGTGATACAATGATAAATGATGCCTGCCAGAACTTTTAGTGTTTACCGTTAAACAACAAAACTAAAAGCTGATAATAATAATAATAATAATAATAATAAATTTGATCAGTATAGATCAAATCAATTGAAGAAATTTAAGAATGAAACCAAGTTAATTTGAAGTTGAATACCAGTATGTCGTAGTTAAAAACTTATTAGACAATACTAGATGATTGGAAATGATGATGTGAAGTAAAAGTAAAAGTAAAATTTAACAACCCCTAAAAGATAAACAAGTGGAGAAAAAGATGTAAAAATAACCGTAGAAAAACCAAAGAAAAGGGAAAATGAAAAAGCGTTAAGTGTGAATGCGTTGGAACTTAATTTATTATAACAACTTGAATATTTTAAGTCGATATAAACTGTTAAAGTAGTAAGATTATTACAAACTTTACTTACAAAAAATAGGAGATTATGTCTTATTTAAATAAAGGCTGCTCGCACGGCCCCCACCCCCAACTAAAAAAGAAATTACTCATTGCGCTGCTAATTTATGACTCAATTGTCGGTCACGTGAATGGATATGTCTCAATTTCTTTTATAAATGTCTCTCAAATTGCGACAAACCATACCGGGCCTAAGGTAATGTTAGGTAATTTTTTACGATCACTGACTCATTGGTGACACTTGTGAGATGTCGCTACCAAACTCGTAGAATTTCTATGAGTAACTCTACGTATTGTATGACCCATTCTTCGTACTTATTCTGGTGATGGCAAATGTTTACTTTACTTACTTATAGTCATTCATCCTTTACCGGGCCTATGGCTAATTACTGATAATTCTCCTATTCTATTATTTATTAGCTTAGTATTTTTATTTGTATATACGCTGTATGTCATTTCATATGGGGCCTCAGTTAATCCCCCACATCTCATCGACCCACAGTTTTGTTAGTCATTAATTCTAGTGACTAGTCCTGGTTACTGCAATAGTGAGTAAAACATCCATGCCTCTACTTCTCTTCTGAATTGAGATGCTGCTTCATCTTCTTTGTCCTGCATGTAACGATTACTCTCTCTTTCTAAAATGTAAATAGTCATCTAAGCATCATCGTCTATGATCAATAACTAACTATTACTATTCCTATTCATAGTTACAATTATGAGTGATGATACTCCATTAATTCGAATAAATTCAAATTCAAACATTAGGAAATATTCCGAAGATGAAAGTGAATATTACCTAGATCAAGATGATGATCTATCTCATTATGGTTTATTTACAAAATTTATAGCTTATGTATTATGTATAATATTAGGTTTAGGTACATTATATTTTTTTACAATTTTTTTACCTGATACTTTTATACCTGAATCTACTGATTTAGTAGGGATTCAAAAAATATCTAATATTAATGTCTACTTAAATCCAATCTCACAGGAAAGAGTTTCTGAGTTGCAAATGGGTGTAAAAAACGTGGGCTCTCCTGAACAATATGATGAATATGAAAATGAAAATGAACAAGACTACCAATCAATCACAGATTCTAAACTTAAACCAGTTGAACGTATAATTCTTATTGGAGATATTCATGGTCATTATACACAATTTAGGAAACTTTTGAGTTCTATTAATTACAAAAAGGAAACTGATCATTTAATTGTACTAGGTGATTTTATAACAAAGGGTCCAGATTCATCTAAAGTCTTAGATTACCTTATTGCTAATGATATTGATTGTATTTTGGGAAATCATGAATATTATGTCCTCCAAAATTATGCATTGTTCCATAATTTAGATCAACCATTCTTTGTAATTCCTCAAGAAAATAATGATATTTCATTAGCTGAATCATATGAATTCAAAATTAAAGACAATTTTAACTCTGATCCAGAATATATCTTAGCAAGAAAGCTTCAACCTGAGCATGTAAAATATATTAATCATTGTTCGGTTATAAAACACCTTGGTGATGTACCTGTTGTTAAATCCAAATCAACCAGTTTTGCACCAGGAATCGCAGTACATGCTGGAATTAGATGGGATTTAGAATTAAATGAACAAGATCCTGAGGACAATTTAGAAATGAGGTCTTATCTAGGTCCATACTTTAATGAGACTACCTCAGATCCGAGCGAAGAAGATGCTATTAGTTGGTCTAAAATTTTTAATATGAAACAGAAAGAACGTGCTTCAAATGGTGACAATACTTTGGTCGTTTACTATGGACATGATGCCCACCGTGGTCTTAATATTAAACGATATGCTAAAGGTATAGATAGTGGTTGCGATGCGGGAAAACAATTAACAGCCATGGTCATTTGGAAGGAATCACATATTCTGAAAAAGGGTAAGGAAAATATTTTGTTTAAGGAGAAGTCTTTTCAAGTTCAATGCTAGAATTAGAGTAGAGTAAAAAGTAAAATTAAATGTTGTATTTATGTATTATTAATGTATTTGTTTGGTATACTAATGTTGTAAATTATTTTATTGTCGATTAAGCTGCAAAAATAATACTCAAAAACAAATTCCGATACCGGGAGTCGAACCCGGGTCTGCTCGGTGAAAGCGAACCGTGCTAGCCGTTACACTATATCGGATTATTTCTGAAAATTTTAAGCTTAGGTTCCTGGTAATGAGATATTATCACGTGTATATCACGTGCACTTAAAAAATCACGTGATACTTTTATTATATACAGGAATTAGAATATAAAATGTAAGTTGACAAATATATAACATATTTATAATATTTATATTCCCGTAGTAATTCTTGTATTACTCTAATCTAACTAATTTGATCAATATGACAAGCTAGTGTCTAACATTGTCTTTTGTGGAGTTTTACTGCTAATTTTACATACAATCCGGAGACAGAAAAGAATGATCGCATAGATAAAAAAAAAATATAATCACGATATGTTTTGTATAATTTCACTATATAAATAGAGTAATAGTACAGTTTTAGACTAAATTATGCAATTACTATAATTATTGATTCACAATGTCTAAAAAGGTAGCACTTGCAATTATTGATCTTCAAGAAGATTTTTTACCTACCAATGGGTCATTAGCTATTGCAAATGGTAGAGATGTTATACCATTAATCAACGAATTAATTAGTGATAGGAAATTCAATTGGTCAGCCATTGTAGCCACTCAAGATTGGCATCCTAAAAATCATACCTCATTTGCTTCTCAACATAATGTATCTCCATTTACTGAATTAGAATTCAAACATCCTTTAAATGAAATTGATACACAAACCAATCAAGTCAAAACTATGAAACAATTTGTTTGGCCTGATCATTGTGTACAAGAGTCTGAAGGTGCTTGTTTAGATGCTCTGTTTTTGGGAAATTTCAATCTGATATCACCAAAAATTCCAAAAACTATAGTTAAAAAGGGATATTTAACAGATAGAGAATATTATTCATGTTTTCAAGATTGTTGGGGAATTCATCATACTGAAATAAAAGAGTTTTTATTAAAATATGATATAAAAGATGTTGTATTTGTTGGATTAGCCTACGATTTTTGTGTTTTAAATTCAGCTATTGATTCAGCAAAGAATGGGTTTAATACTTATGTATTAAAGAATTATTGTAAAAGTGTATATCCCGATAAAGAAGCAGAAACAGATGCACTTTATGAAAAGAATGGAGTTAAAATTATAAGTGATGTATCAACTGTCTTTTGAATTATCATTATTCATTCCAAGTTTATTAAGAAGTTCTTGTTTTCTCTTTTCAAGTATGAACTTGGTTACTTGTTCATTGTTAGGTACTTGACTATTAAAATCGTATATAGTTTCTTCAGGACTCTGGTTAGTCTTTTTTCGTTTCAAATTCTTCTCAATTGAAGCACTTTTTGTATTTTCATATTCTATTAATGAATCGGGTTTATTGTATAGTAAATTATCATTGGCTCGTAGTGGTGGAGTTATAGTTTCACCAAGATTATTTGCAACTTTTTCTATTAAATTTATTTCTGATTGACTGAATAAATTTAAATTATTATTAATTTCATCATCAATTCCATAGTATGATATATCAATTCTAGTTAATCTGTCCTTCATAATCTTGGATTCTTCATCTTGACCCTTCTTACCCTTTTCATGTTGTAATTTTTTATGCTGTTCTAATGCTTGTTTAACATCTGGAAGGTCTTTAGCTCTTCCAAAATATCGATAACCTTTGACTTGTAATCCTGTTGAATCTAATACTCCAGCTTTATCAAGATTCTTTCCAAAGTTTATATAATCATTCCCTCCTAATGACTTAATATGATATTCCCATGATCTTTTTTCTTTAAATAATCTATTTAAATCATCATTCAAATCTCGTATTTGATAATCATTTATTGACTGATCCAGAATTCGAGTTAATTTTACTGATATCTCCGATATTATAGTTGTTCTCCATTTTTCAGCTTGAGCAAGTGAAGTAACTGATTGGACATATTTAGGACGTAAATTAGGATTTGATTCTAAAACTCCTGCCTCTCTATTCTTTAATGCTTGGAATCTATTAAGAGCCGATTGCGCTTTCTCTTTATTTCGTGACATGTGGGGTAATTCTATAATAAACAAAGTGAAAACTCTTAATTATACACTATGGTGTTTTTGATATGGCAAAAAAAAAATATTAGGACGCAAAATTGTCGCGAAGACCAAAATGTTATTAATACATTAAAATGCTATATATGACGAGTTTTACTATATATACAAAGGGTATAATATTACATACCTCTGAATTGATTTCTAGAGGCAATTCTACGACCTTCAAATCTTTGTTTGGTTCTACCTTTATTGTTTTCTTTGGTATTATCATCATCATCATTATCTCCATCATCAGATCTAAATTTACCATTTTTCCGTTCCTTTTTCTTAGGAACAAATGTCATTTCTGCTTCACCTCTTGCATGACGATGTAATACTGTATTCTTATCCTTTCTTAAACCTTTATTGGTCTTATTAACCTTTTTAACTTGAGATGCAAATGATTCAGCTGCCCTTTGTTGTGGACCTTCTGATGTCATAACTTTCATTTCATTCATGAATCTTTTAGCTTCTTCTTCTTCCTTCTTTTTACGACGTAATCTTTCCATCTCCTTTTGAACTCTCTTTCTCTTAAGTTCTTTTTCTTGTTCATCTTCTGAATCTTCTTCTGATTCTTCTGATTCACTATCTTCATCTGATAATTCTCCATTATTACCATTTAATCTTTCTTCATCTGATTCTTCAGCAGCTGTCAAACCACGAGATCTTTCAGTACTAGAAATATCTTTAACAGCTTGAACTGGATTAAGTTGTTTATATTCATGAGATTCTTCATCAATAGCAAAATCTGGATTTTCAAACATTTCCTTGAAACGATCATCATTAATAACACCTTCAGCAACATCAGATCCAATTTTATCTTGTAATTTATTAGCCAAATCTTTATTGACTTTAACTTTAGTATTGGTAATAGTACCGGTAGATCTAATTCTTGATTCTCTTTCCTTTTCAATCTTCTTTCTGATTTCTCTTTCTCTTTGATCTCTATAACTATTAGGATTTGCAATCAAATTAACCTTTTCATATAATTCAGTATCAATAAAGAAACCATGCATATAAGAACGTAATACTTTTGAACCAATTAAATGTGATAAATTTAACTTCAAGACATCATCTCTTGTAATAAATCTATAATTAGAATAAACTGAATCTGATGGTTTTTCTTCCAATTCTTCAGTTACATTATCCAAGAATGAACACCATCTTGGAGCCGGTCCGAGATTTGGAATATAATATGTATGCATTGGCATACCTTCATTAGCCATAAAGAACATTCCTGAATTTTTAATATATTCAACATCATTAATATCAACACTTGGTTCCATTGATGCAAATGGTTTACCATCATTTCTATCCCATATTTTAGCAATTCTTTTATCAGATGTAAGAATTTTATTAGAATCAGATTCATTTTCATCTATCCATATTATCTTTTTAATTTCAAATCCATAACCTTGATCTTTTACTATTGATGGAGATGGAGCTCTTAAATCATAAATTAAACTTTTACCACTTGAAGTTCCACATGCAAAATTTAAACCATCATTTCTAAAAGCTGAAGCTGTTATTTGAGTACTTTCATTAATTTGTCCAGCTACATTTAATTTTGCAGCTCTTTGTCTACTTCTTGGATCCCAAAATTCAACAGTACCATCTTCTAATCCAGCAGCTGTTAAACCATGAACTGGATTAATTGTAACTGTATTTACTCCTAAATCAGTTTCTAATTGGAAAGGATTTAAAAATCGTCCTTGATCTAAATTTAATCTATATAATTCATTTCCAGCTGCTCCAATAAGTAAATCACATGATACTGGATTAAATGCAATACTTCTACCAAATTTTGGAATTCTACTTCTATAATGTATACCACCTTTAGTTTGAAATTCAATCGATCTATCATTTTGTAAATGAACTGATTTTGTCCAATCATCAGATAATATAATAAAATCAATATTTTCACAATCAGTATGTCTATCGAATTTTAATGATAAATTTGCAAAATCATATACATGAATTTGAGGTTTATAAGTACCTGTAGCCATAGCAAATTGTCCATCAGGTGTAACTTTTATTTTATTAGATGCTTCACTAAATTCAAAATCTTGAATTAATTCTATTCTATTTTGATATTCTAAATCATTCTTTAATGCCTTCTTTCTTTTCTTGGCTATCCAGTCTGGTAAAGAACGTGAAACATTGGTACCTGATACTTGGTAAATGGATACATTCCCAGCAGTAGTTGATTTCAATACCATATTCCTAAGCTATTATCTGGTTACCCTTCTTATCGTATATAGTCATTTAGCTTTCGCTTTAGCTCTCTTAAATTTTTTTTAATGGAGATGATGAGCTGCGCTTCGGGCTTTTTTGCGTCACGTGCATTTATTTCTACATTGAGTCGCCAATTTAGCAGCCATTCTTTATCGAGAACAACACATAGTAGTACTATATAAACAGTAAATAACAGTAAGAAGTAGCAGTAAGAAGTAGCTAAGAATAATAAGCAAAATAGAAGAATATTATATATATATATGTAATTTAGTAGGAGAAGTTTCACTGTATAGATTAACTATGGCTTCCCAAATTGATCTACATGTATACTCTGCTGTCTAGCAGAGTTGGTAACATAATTCTGTTTTTGAGGTGTCGATGTCATACCTAACTTATCTGACTGAGACATTGACATATCTGAACTGGAATGATCTAAATTATTTGATCTACTCGAAGAATCCGTTTGATACAAGTACTCGTAATCATAAGTAAAAATATCAAAATCTAACTCTTCATTGCTAAACATAGTGATATCTTGTTCTCCATTAATCCATGCCTCATAACTAGAATTTCCTGGTCCAAAAGCAGAATAAAAGAATTGTAATGCACTTTGAACTAAAGGATCTTCAATTTTTTTCTTATTGTGATATGCAAGATACCCTAAAAGCTTATGGAACAAAGGTGCGTATCTAAGATCAGAGTAACAAGTATCGTTGGCAAAATTAATGATCGATACCCAATTCAAAGAATTTTCAAGTCCCTTAACTTCAATATTGACTAATGTCTTAAACAACTCATTAACTAAGTAAAGACAAATAGTATTAATAGGACCACCTTCTGAATTTCTCTCAACAAAAATCAATGTTACAAATAATGAAGGAATTGCAAGTTCTAACAATTGGAAAACAATTTTGTCATGAATTGAATGTGGAGTGTAGATATCAATAAATGCTAGAGACTTTACTTCTTCTTCTAAAATCAGTCTTAATAATTTTAAACAATATATGATACACATTTGTAAATTGTGAACAGAAGTTGAAGCTTCTTCTGTTTTAACTGAAGATATTGATTTGGATTTTGAAACTGGAGGAAGTTGAAATTGTTTGAAATACTCTAAAGCAATTTTAGGAATGCTGATATTATCAAACAAACTACATAAACTGATTGATAAAAGAAAATTTAAATAAATTATAGCCACAGCAAGAGAAATTTTGGAATTCATTTGTTCAAAACATTTATAAGCTTCTAATCTTATTTTTGATTCACAGTTTAATTCACGAAGATATAAATAAAGAATATCAGATTCAATCCTACTATTCCATAATAATTTTTCCTGATTTGTTCCTTGATTGAGAATCTCTAATATATATTCAAAGCTTTTTGTTAACTTTTGTTTTTGATTTAAAGTCGTAATAAAGTTAACAAGATTTTGTTTATCCTTTTCAGTATCATCCTCAACATTAATACTGTAAATATATTTAGGGTATCTTTTTATAATACTGTTAAATAAAATAATTTTAATACTCTTAATCACTTTGATATTTGAATCACTCATCTCTGAGTTCTTGGTAGTCTCTAATGTTTTAAACAATCTTAAAAAGTTATTGTCAGACACTAAAATAGGAACAATGACTTCTTTGTCAAAATCAGTTTCTAACACTTCAAGTACTTCCACCAAGGCATAGAATAAACAATCATTATTAAACGCATCATCCTTCAAGAGATTTTCTAATTCAGTTGAAATTTTATAGAAAAGAAAGTAGTACTTTTCTAATGATTGTAATACCATGCAAGAAATTGAGAATCTATCTTCATGTTCAAGAGCATTGAAGTTACTCATAATTTCTTGTAAAAAACATAAATTTTCTCTTTTAATAGTTTTATCTAATACAGCTAGCTTTTTAGAGATAAAGCTAAGACTAGTTTGTTTGTCTTTAATAATACTACTTGTATCAGCCCATTTTACACCAAGACATTTGAACAATAACTGTGCCAAAAGACACACTAATTTCTGAAAAATAGTTGAATGCAATGAATTAGAACAGCTAACTATTGCATTAATCAAGAATTCTACTAAATCAGAATAATTAAAAAATTCAATTACAGCATGTTCTTGATCTAATAATTCTAAAATTACACCATACACTTGAGTGATAATTTCAATATTGACATCTAATTTTGCTGGATTTTGGTTCAATCTTTCCAATTGGTGACTGAGATTTTGGATAGTTCTGGTATAAATTTCAGACATTTGTGAAAATTTAATAACTAGTTATTCAGTTACCGATAAACTGGAAAAGTTATTAACTCCCTACGTTTGTCTTGGTACCGGTAAGGGGGGGGGGGCTGTCTTACACAAATGTGGTAAAAATGAGCTATCACTAATTGCTGTGAAGCATTTCTTTTTTCCGCAGTCTGTATTTAGCTGCAAAAAGGTTTATTCATAGATAGAGTGCTTATGCTGTAGCCAGCGTTCCTATCAGTAATTCATTACTTAAGTCATTATATTAAAAGTCTAGATAAACTATGTCAAAACTCTAAATGTATGGAAATATGCAAGAAGGAAAATGCCCATTGTAATAGGGGATCATCCCTTTGTCTCGCAGCAGGGAGACGCAGTGGAATGCGGTCTCAAGTAAACCCTATAAGATGGTATCCAGGTCAAAGTTTTAAGGCGGACGATAAGAATAAGGCAATCTAATTGTGGATGTGGTCTTGATTCAGCGAATCATACTTTAGATCAAAGTTAAAATGAGACAAATTTCTTCCTGGTTTTATTTCTATCTCGTCATAGAAGATTATCTACCACCAGAATGATAGACTTTAATTACAACCTTCAAAGAGCATTCGAAAGAACTTATAGAGTTATAGACTCACCACCATCTCCAAATTGTAGTTTTGAAGATGTAGATCCAAAAATTAAATTCAGAATGGAACATGTACTTTTGGAAAATTGTATCACCAGTACTTTTGATTCCAAATTAAGTTTGAACAGAACCTGTTCAACATTTGAGGCCGAACCTTTCATCAATTTAGATGATATTACAGAACATTCAATGAATTCTATTCTAAGTCTAAGTCAAAGTTCAAATATAGCAAATAAAGAAGAATATTACAAGACACTTGCTCATACCCACTTTGATAATGATAAAAGCGATAGATCTTCAAAAGATCTGGGAATATTAGCACCATCAAATAGCTTTGTTCTGCAAAGCTCACCAGCTACTTTAATACAAGAAAGTCAATCATATGAACAAGATTTCTATTCAAATTCAAATTCAAATTCCAGATGTAATGTAGTTTTAAAACTACTAAAGAGTTCTTGGAAAATAATAGAAAACAATTTACGAAGCTGTAAAAATGTAAAGAACGAATACCATTAAATTATTTAAGTCTATTTATTTTATTAGTTATTTAGTTTAATTGACTTTTCAAATTAGCAAGTTGCTTTAATACAGCAGATTTTGCTGTACCACCAGTAGCATCTCTTCTCTCGACACTGGTTTCAAAATTGAAAACGTCCTTAACGTCAGTACCAAATCTAGAATCAATCTTTTGAAATTGTTCTAACGTTAATTTATCAATACCAGATAATTTTAATTCTTCAGCAGTTCTAACACAATCTCCTGAGATGTGATGAGTTTCTCTGAATGGTACACCCTTTCTAACTAAATAATCAGCTAAATCAGTTGCTAACATATCCATAGTTAAAGCACCTTCCATTCTTTCTTTATCGATATTTAAAGTTGAAATTACACCAGTAGCAATTAAAATAGAATGTTCAACTGTAGTTAAAGCATCAAAGAGTGGTTCTTTATCTTCTTGCATATCTTTATTATAAGTTGATGGAATGGATTTAATTGACATTAAGAATCCAGATAAAGAACCATAAACACGACCAGATTTTCCTCTTAATAATTCTAAAGAATCAGGGTTCTTCTTTTGTGGCATTAAAGAAGAACCAGTCGAATAAGCATCAGATAATTTAACAAATCCAAATTCAGCAGTAGAATAAATAATTAAATCTTCGGAGAAACGAGAAATATGATTCATAAATAAAGTTGACCAGAATAAAGTTTCAACAACAAAATCACGATCACTGACAGCAGTAAGAGAGTTACCAATTACTGAATCAAATCCTAAACCTTGAGCTAAGAATTCTCTATCAATACCATAAGGATGACCAGCTAAAGCACCTGCACCTAATGGAGATTTATTAACTCTTTCCAAGACTTGTTTCAATCTATTATAATCTTCAGTGAAATATGTTGCATAAGAAGATAACCAATGAGACCATCTGATTGGTTGAGCTCTTTGCAAGTGAGTATAACCAGGCATTAAGACATCTATTTCACTTTCAGCTCTCTTTAAGATAGTTTCAATAAAAGTAGCTAAGAATTTTAATAATTGAGTTAAATTTTCACGAACATATATTCTCATATCAGTAGCAACTTGATCATTTCTAGATCTACCAGTATGAACTTTTCCAGCAATATGTTTACCAATTATTTCACCTAATCTTCTTTCATTAGCTGTATGAATATCTTCATCACCTTGCTTTTCAACAAAAGTATCCAGTTCCCATTCCTTTTTTATTTCTTCTAAACCTTGATGAATAGCTTTAAGTTCTTCACTAGTAATTAAACCTAATTTATTTAAACCTTCAGTATAAACTTTAGTACCAGTTAAATCTGCTTCATACATTTTCTTATCATATGGTAATGAAGCATTGTATAAATCCATTAAAGGATCAGAAGCTCCGGTAAATCTACCACCCCATAATCTGTTTTCAGCTGGTTTTTCAATTGACATATTTAGTTATTCGTTAATTGTATTTAATAATTCAATTAATTCAAAAAGAATAAAGAAATTTAAAAAACGATGGCATTTATATATTTCAAATTTCCAATTTGGAAAAATGATTCATCACCGCGCTTAATGAAAATTTTTACCCACGATTGCCTAATTGGGACACGACATGTAAAATTAAAAATTGATTTTGAGTCATAAATTATTTATTTGTACAAGAGTATATCTATTGATGAACCATTAACTATTAATCTATTCAAAATAAATACATAAAGATACTTAAAAAATAGTTCATGGCTTACATCTACCGGTGAATCTTGGGTACAATGAACAGTCTCTAACAGTGAATCTATCACATAACCAAGCTAAAATTCTTTCAGTACCAAGACCATAACCACCATGAGGACAAGTACCATACTTTCTTTGATCAGTAAACCAATAGTATGATTCTAAATCTAATTTTTCTCTCTTAATACCAGCAAGTAATTCTTCATAATCCCAAGTTCTCATAGAACCACCAGTAATTTCACCAACATTTGGCATTAATACATCAACAGATTCAGTAACTCTTGGATCATCAGAACATTTTTGCATATAGAATGATTTAATTTCGACTGGGAAACGTATTAATAAAATTGGAACACCAATTGTATCAGTCATTTTACGTTCAGCAGCTTCAGCAATATCATCACCGAATTTGAATTTTTCACCATCTTCATTTGGAATACCATGTTCGTTTAACCAATCTAAAGCGTGAATATATTCCATTCTCTTGAATGGCATTTGAGGTGGTTGGAAATCAGGGTTTAATTGTTTAATTAATGGACCAGCAATTGGATCTTCAAGAACATATTGAACAGTTTTTGTGATAAGACGTTCAAGATGGGATAAAAGATCATCGAATTCTATAAATGCTAATTCACTTTCAATATGTGTGTATTCAGATAAATGTCTTCTAGTATGAGATTTTTCAGCTCTGAAAGATTCTTGAACACAGAAAACATCACCTAATGCTGGTAAACAAGTTTCCAAATATAATTGAGAAGATTGAGTTAAGTATGCTTCTTCACCATAATAATCCATTTTAAATAAAGTAGAACCACCTTCAACTTGAGTTTGAACCATACATGGAGGTGTTACTTCTAAAAGTCCTTCTTCATAAAAGAATCTTCTAATGGCTTTTAATAAAGAAGCACGAACTTTCATTACTGCAGATAAAGTTTCACCTCTTAAAGCTAAATGACGTTGATCTAATAATAATGATGGATCAGCATTTTCTTGAACTTTGTTAGTAAAAGATTCTTCACCAGCTGGTGCTAAACCAACAACTTGATAATAATCAGCTTTTAATTCAACTCCACCAGGAGCAGATTTACCTTCAGGTAATTTATTAATTACACCTTTTATAATTACAGTTGATTCTAAAGTTAATTCTTGAGTTTGTCTTGCCTTAGCTAAATCACCACTTAAAACAGCTTGAATAAATCCTGTACCATCTCTTAAAGTAATAAAAGCAACACCCTTTTGTAATCTTAAACGATGAATCCAACCTTGAACTACAACTCTTGTATCTAAATTTTCTTGAATTGTTCTTAATTTAATCTTTTTAGCTAAAGGTAATGAAGTATCTTCTTCAATTTTTATTAAATCTAATTCAGCTAATTTTGCAGCATTTTCTGCTTCTTTCTTCTTTTGATCTTCTTCTAGTTTAGCTTGCTTTTCAGCTTTTTTCTTAAGTCCATCAGCACCCTTTTTAGCTTTTTTCAAAGCTGAGGCAGAAATTTCGCTATAACCAAATTCTTCAGAATCTTCTAATTGCTTATAAATTAATACTTTTGATTCAGGTTGAATGAAAACTGCATAAGCAGCTGATTGAAATGGTTGTTGTTCAGTACCTGAAACTTCAGGTCCATCTACACCAGTTTGTTCATTGACATATACCAGTGACATTATAACTAAGTATTTATATATATTATATACTATATAGTTTTGTAAAAAAGTGTAACTGGGTTAATGAATTTACTGTTAAGGGCCGTTCCCTATATATAAATTAATTTATTCGTGTCATGAGTCAAAGCCGACCATACATTTCAATTTTTTTTCTGACTCAAATGTACTCAAATGTTCGCAGAATAATGAGAAACTCTAAGTAAACTTTAGTACACGCAATACTTTATGCTTAATGAGTAACGGCAAGGCAAGGCGACAAAAGGGAAAGGGCATCAGAATTAACTGTCTTTTTTCCCATCTAACCTGCAGAACAATTGTCTCGAAAAAAAATTCCTATTTACAGGTTACGACTGTGAAAATTATCGATATCTATGAATCATAAACCCACTGTAGAACTCATATATATATATATATAGACATAACTATATACTAGTAATATGGCTTTACATCAAGCATTAGCTGCCTTATCATTGGCCACTGTGTCTGCTGAAAATGCAGAAGCAACCAAGACTTTAATTTTTAAACCAAAAACTGCAAAGACTGCTACTCCAATCCCAGTTGTAGTACTTGCATTACAATCTACTCAAACTCCTTCTGGAGCTATAGCTAAAGCTGCAGGAGTTAAAGAACCAAGATTAGCCAAAGATGATTTAATTCAAGAATTCTTTAGTACAACTGCTCAAGAAGTTTCCATTGCTCAATTTAATAAGAGTTTAGCCGGAAAGATAAAAATCTTAATTGATGAAAATATCGTTAATGCTAAAGATGATCAAGTATTAGAAATTTCTACTGCTACAGAAAAGGCTACTCTTACTGTTGCTCAAGTTAAGGGATTCTTAAAACAAACTGAAATTGAATTAATTGAGGTTAATTTTGCTAATGAAGCTAATGCATCTACTGCTCCAACTACTAGTGAATCTAAAAAAGATCAATTAAAGAAGGAAAAGGAATCTTCTAAATTAGAAGATGCAAAATTAATTGGTATTACTGTTGATAAGGCTAAAGATTTCTCTTCATGGTACTCTCAAGTTGTTGTTAAGGGTGAATTATTAGATTATTATGATGTATCTGGTTGTTATATCTTAAGACCAAATTCTTACTCAGTTTGGGAACAAATTCAAGATTGGTTCAATATTGAAATTAAGAAATTAGGAGTTCAAAATTCTTATTTCCCAATGTTTGTCTCTTCAAGAGTTTTAGAAAAGGAAAAGGATCATATTGAAGGTTTTGCTCCTGAAGTCGCTTGGGTTACCAGAGCTGGTAGTTCTGAATTAGAAGAACATATTGCTATCAGACCAACTTCTGAAACTGTCATGTATCCATACTATGCCAAATGGATTAGATCTCACAGAGATTTACCATTGAAATTAAATCAATGGAATTCTGTTGTTAGATGGGAATTTAAACATCCTCAACCATTCTTAAGAACTAGAGAATTCTTATGGCAAGAAGGTCATACTGCTCATTTAACTAAAGAAGAAGCTGCTACTGAAGTAAGACAAATCTTAGATTTATATGCTAGAATTTATGAAGAATTATTGGCTGTTCCAGTTGTTAAAGGTAAAAAGACTGAAAATGAAAAATTCGCTGGTGGTGATTATACTACTACTGTTGAAGGTTTTATTGGAGCTACTGGTAGAGGTATTCAAGGTGCTACTTCTCATCATTTAGGTCAAAACTTTTCTAAGATGTTCAATATTTCTGTTGAAAATCCAGAAGGTAATGACAAACCAAGAGTTTTCGCTTATCAAAATTCTTGGGGTTTATCTACTAGAGTTCTTGGTGTTATGGTTATGACTCATTCTGATAATAAAGGTTTAGTCTTACCTCCAAGAGTAGCTCAAACTCAAGCTGTTGTTATCCCAGTTGGTATTACAAAAAATTCTACTGATGAAGATAGAAAAGCTATTAATGATGGTGCATCTGAAATTGAATCTAGATTAAAACAAGTTGGTGTTAGAGCTATAGGTGATTATAGAGATATTTATACTCCAGGTTGGAAATTTGCTGAATGGGAATTAAAGGGTGTTCCATTACGTTTAGAATTTGGTCCAAAGGATTTAGCTCAAGGACAAGTTGTTGCTGTTAGACGTGATGATGGTTCTAAATATGTTGTTAAATTGACTGAATTAGAAACTAGAATTCCAGAAATATTAGAAGAAGAACAAGCTGGATTATTAGAAAAGGCTCGTAAAGACTTTGATACTCATCGTGTAGTTGTTGAAGATTGGAAAGATTTTGTTCCAACTTTGAATGCTAAGAATGTAATTCTTTCACCATGGTGTGGAGTTCCAGAATGTGAAGATGATATTAAGGATTCATCTGCTAAGAAAGATAATGGTGAAGATGAAGAGGTTGATGAAAAGGCTCCATCAATGGGTGCTAAATCCTTATGTATTCCAGATCAACAACCAACTTTAAAACCAGGTCAAAAATGTATTAAATGTGATAGAGATGCTGTTACTTACTGTATGTTTGGTAGATCTTACTGATGTGTACATAGATTATATTATATTTTATTTATATTTTATTTTATTTTATTGTCTAGAACCCTTATCAAACGAATATTTAATGATATTGTTCCCAAAATGTAGATTTATCTAAATGATCTATTGATTCTTTTACTACAATAGTTTTATCATTATCATCAAGATCTAAATGGTATATGAATTCAGCCTTTAAATCATCTCTTAAATAAATCCAAGCTTTATGAAAATTTAATCCAATCTGTTTTAAACCATGAGAATCATCAGAAAGACAGAATTTACCTCCAAGTTTTAATATTTCAGTACCTATATCTTTCTTAGGGTATGGAGTTTTCCAACCTTTCCTAATTGCTGCTGAGTTGACTTCTATTAAACCTCCATAACTATTAATTTCTTGGATATTGTTTATAATCAATGTCCATACTTCAGGCCAATCATCTTTCAATACTATATCTTTTATTTTCTTATTAGTAGTGACATCAATTTCTTCAGGATCTTCAAACAATCTTATCAAATCAAAGTGTCCCACTACCAGAGGTTTAATTCTCGTAATAATCTTATACTGTAACTGGAAATAGTCACGATATAATGCTCGCGTAGTTCCTTCTTTAGTAAAACTTCTCGCTTTCACCCAAGTTTCTCGATCAAAATCAATGGGAATACTATGAACATGATGAACTGATCCTACGCACATATTAATAGCAGAATCATTTTTTATAATACTATTGGCTAAATCAATATGAGCATCATCTATACCTTCGACTTCAAACCCCACTAATAATTTAAGTGCACCATTCCCATTATATTCCTCTTTTAACTTTTTAGCATGTTTTAAGTAATTATGAAAATCCTCATTAAGTTCTATTGGTGAATAACTTTTAGCTAATTCTTCTGGATATAGAAATTGTGAATTAAGTCTCGGCATATGTTCTGTTAAACAGAAAATTGTAAACCCCTTCTGGGATGCCAATTGTACAATTGACTCTAACGAGTCAACAGCATGTGACACATAGTCTCCACTATGGGAATGATGAGAATGCATCTATGGATTGATAACTATTTCTATCAATTGAATGATGGTTATACCCATATACTCTCGATTCGAATCCTGGATCGAGAATTTTTTTTCTCTGGGGAATTATCGCGAAGTGAAAAATCTCGTTTGATGATTCATACTTCAAGTGGAGTCATAATAGATATCTATGCTGATAACAGTTATGAACAGATCAGTATGGACAGGTAGGAGATTTCTATCATCCTTGAATACTCTTAGACCCACCATTCGGGAATTGATAGCGAATCCACCAGCAGTTGAAAGTGAGATTAGTGCTGTTGGACATATTAAATCAATTCGTCAAGGTAAGAATGCTGGATTTATAGATGTTAGTGATGGATCTTCTGCTAATAATTTAGCAGTTGTAATTAAGAATCCTACAGAAGTACTTCAAAATTTAAATTTAAAAATTGGTCAAAGTATTAATGTTAAGGGTCAATGGGTAGAATCTCAAGGAACTCAACCTTATGAGTTAGTATTTAATCCGAATATTGAATCACATGAATTATCTATAATAGGTGATGTACCAGATACTTATCCTATTCAAAAAAAGAATACTACTATCCAAAATTTACGTCATTTACCAACAATAAGACATCGAACATCGACACTTGCATCTATATTGAGATTCCGTAGTTTTATGGAAACTAAATTCATAGAATTCTTTAATAGTCGTCAGTTCATAAAAGTATCACCTCCAATAGTAACTGCATCTGATTGTGAAGGAGCAGGAGAGCAATTTAGAATAGAATCTACCTCCAAATGGAAAAGTGCTCAAAAGGAACCAGAAGATTTCTTCTTTGGTAAAAATGCGTACTTAACAGTATCTACTCAACTTCACTTGGAAGTGCTTGCTTTAAGTTTGAATAGAGTATGGACGTTAACTCCATGTTTCCGAGCCGAAGTTTCCAATACTAATAGACATTTAAGTGAGTTTTGGATGTTAGAAGCCGAAATATGTAATGTTGATAGTCTTCGTCAAGTAACCAAATTTAGTGAAGATATGATTAGATATGTTACTCAAGCAGTAAAAGATTCAGCCACAGCAGAAGTTGGAAATGGTCAAGATTTGATTAGTTCCAGATTTGGGAAAGATGAAATTGATAAATTAAACCAAAGATGGGATAGTGTTCTTACCGAAAATGAATGGCCTACCATAAGTTATAGTGAAGCAATTGAAATTATAAATAGAGTAATGAATAAAGGTAGACTGAAAAATCGACTTCAATGGGGGGATTCTCTTCAAACTGTTCATGAAAAATGGTTAGCTAGTGAACATTTCAAATCACCAGTATTTATAACGGATTATCCAGCATCTCAGAAACCATTTTATATGCCCGAATCTCAAGACTTCAATCCTGATAAACCAACTGTTGCATGTTTTGATTTAATTTTCCCAGAAATAGGTGAATTGATTGGAGGATCATTAAGAGAACATTCTTATGATAAATTAATTCATAGAATGAAAGATCAAGGTATGAATCTTGAAGATATGGAATGGTTCATATCTACTAGACTTAATGGATCCATACCTCATGGAGGGTTTGGTATGGGATTTGAAAGATTAATATCATATCTTTCTGCTATGGAGAACGTTAAGGATGTGATACCCTTTCCTCGAGTATCTCAATCATGCTACTGTTAGACTTGTATGAATATATAATTCACATTTCCACTCTTGTACATAGTTAAGGTCTAATGAATTTTGCAATATTCTTACGTAATCGGAGCGGGCAGTTTTTTTTTTTCTCTCCCCTTCCTGGCCACCCACCGGCAGTGAAAAATGGCAAACGAAGAAGAGCTAGTACTGATTCAGATTGTTATTGCTTCAGTATAAACAAGGGAAGTTTTCCATATATAACTATAGAGTAAACAAGACACGATGGATCAATTAAACGTTAAAGAACAACAAGAATTTCAACAAATCGTTGAACAAAAGCAAATGAAGGATTTCATGAACTTATACTCTAACTTAGTTTCTAGATGTTTTGAAGATTGTGTTAATGACTTCACTTCTGCTAACTTAAGTAGTAAGGAAACCACATGTATTGCCAAGTGTTCAGAAAAGTTCTTAAAACACAGTGAACGTGTGGGTCAAAGATTCCAAGAGCAAAAGTATGTATTATAATTTATTGGTAGTCGTATAGACAAGACAAGACAAGACAAGACAAAAGAATACTAACAATTTTACCTTTCTAGTGCTTTATTGATGCAAAACTTACAAAAACGTTAAGTCGGTTGATTTACTAATGTGGTTTTATAGTATCTACGGTGATACATTCAAATGTAGCTGTTTCACATATATGACTACAGTTTTTACAAGTATTGAGTTATTGCCACCATTATTGATATGACTATAACTAACTCAACTCATTTTCCATGTGAATACAAACTTGCTGTTATTTTCTATATATGTAAATAGTTCAAATCCTACTCAATACAAGTGTTTATTTATTGTATAAGATTTTGTATGTATAGTAAAGATGAATGCTCATGCTCAGAGAAAATGTGGTGAAAAATGTAAATGGTAAATGTAAAATGTAAATAGCCCAAAGTGCAGTTAAGCTCCGCCAACTACTAAGTCAGTGGAACAACCATGTCAGAACCCACTACCATAAGTCAGGAATTATGTCTAGTACTACTTGCATCTACTATAAATAATACTCTAAAGAAGTATAGTGGAGAATTTAATAATTATAAGGCCACATTCAACCTTAATTCATTCATACTGGACTTTTATAAATTACTAGAAATATATCTTAAGAGATATTCTGAAGATACTTCTAACACTACTAATAAAGTTAGTAAAGATACTATTATTAGAATATTACGAGCAGGATATTTCCCGAAATTTGTTGAAGTCAGTAATGAAAATTTAATTATTGAAGCTGTACCTAATACGTACGAAACATTGTTGAAAAATATAGTAGCTACATCGACATTTAACTATTCTAAGCAATTAATTAGAGGAATAAATGAATTACTGACTAGATCTAAGAATATTGCAACAGCAAATAAAGTATCAGAGGATCAAGAAACTCTGAAAGCAAAAGAACTGGAAGTTTCAGAGGATAAAGATAAAGATAAAGATAAAGCCAATGTTATAGAAACCAAGTCTCAGACAGAAAATGTAAGTGAAGAATCTAAACAGGAAGAAGAAGAAGAAAATGACGATGGGTCTGCTCAAGTGGCTGATCAAACCAGTTCTGAAGAAGTTGGGCAAACAAGCAATGAACCTGAAGATGTTGAAATGGACGAAGATAAGCAAGAAGATGAACCTGAAACAGAAGTCAAAGAAGCAGACCAAAACGAAGAAAATATTGTGGAGGATAGTCAAGTAGATATTCTGGTCATAAGCCCAGAAAAAGAAGATGAATCGGAAAATACAGTATCACCTGTAGACACCAAGAATGGAGAAGCAGAAGAAGCAAAGGAAGAGGAAGAAGAAGAGCAAGTTATAGAGGCTGATAAAGATGAGGAGGAGGAAGAAGAGGAAGAAGAGAAAGAAGAAGATGAGGAGGAAGAAGAAGTAGATGAAGAAGAGGAAGAAAAAGAAGAAGCAGAAGAAGCAGAAGAAGCAGAAGAGGTCAAAGAACTTGAGCCAGTAGGTGAACAGACTGAATCAACCGAAGATGCAGAACCTGGAGAAAAAGTCAGTGAGGAAGAGCAAGTTGAAGAAGTCGAAAATAAAGATGAAGATTCCGAACAAGACAAGCAGGTCAGTGAAGAAGCTGTGAGTGAAGCAGAAAACCGATCTGAGACAGAATCACAAGAGCAAGCGAAATCATCAGTTGAAGAAAACAGCAAAGAAAATGACAATAAAGCAAATGCAAATGGACCTAAGGAGTCTGAAGAAGTACAAGAAGAGAAGGAAGATGTGGTTGAAGAAATCAAACAAGATGGTCGTAAAAGATCATATTCTCCAATAGCTGGATCAGCACAACATAAACGTTTTCAACATATTGCTGTTAATCTTATTAGTTCAATTCAAGCCCATCGATTCTCATCACCTTTCTTACAAGCCGTCAATAAGCGAGATGCGCCAGATTATTCTAATGTTATATATAAACCAAGAGATTTAAAGGGAATATTACGAGCTGCTAAACTGAAATCCGATCCTCCTGAATATATTCTGATTAAAGAATTAGAAAGAGATATAATGTTAATGTTTGCCAATTGTGTAATGTACAATAAATCAGATGAAGAATTAGTACGTCTTACTATAATTATGAAGAATGATGTTAGTGATATCTTTAAAATGTTTGAAGAAGCAGAGCTGGATATTAAGTAGATTTAATGTGGTGTAATGGTAATATAATAATATAATGTATATGTATATCTTAAGTATAAGTTGTAGTACTATAAGACGATGATGGCAAAAAGCGCAATAGGCGCAAAATATGTATGTCAGACTTTTTTTTTCCCGGCATTACCAACCGACTGAAAAATTTCCCCATCGAACCCATACCGCTAAGAAGTCAAGAAAGTATGCAAGCAATACTTTTGGTTAAGTAGAGTAAAGTAAAGAAAAGAATTTCTAAGTTAAGTCACGGTGTTTAAGGCAGTGTATTTACCATCTTATAGATCATTTAGAATGGTATCTACATTTGTTAAGCAAACTTCATTTGAAGTTGATTATGCTCCATCGAATATTACTAAATGGAAATCTCAAAGATCAGGTTTACAAATAACTTATATAAATCAACCTTCACCAATTGTTAATGGATATTTTGCTGTTGCAACTGAAATTGAGGATAATTCAGGAAGTCCTCATACTTTAGAACATTTAGTATTTATGGGTTCAAAAAAATATCCTTATAAAGGTTTATTAGATAATTTAGGTAATAGATTATATTCTTCAACTAATGCTTGGACTTCAGTTGATCAAACTGTATATACTTTAACAACTGCTGGTTGGGATGGTTTTAAAGCTTTATTACCTGTTTATTTAGATCATTTATTATTTCCAACATTAACTGATGAAGCATGTCTTACTGAAGTTTATCATATTGATGGAGAAGGAAAGGAAAAAGGGGTTGTATTTAGTGAAATGCAAGGAATTGAAAATCAATCTTGGTTTATTTCTTACTTAACGATGCAACAATTACTTTATTCACCTAAATCAGGTTATTCTTCAGAAACTGGAGGTTTAACTTCTGAATTAAGAAGTTTAACTAATGAAAAGATTAAACAATTTCATTCTTTAATGTATAGACCATCTAATTTATGTGTAATAATTACTGGTTCAGTAGATGAAGAAGAATTATTAAAAATTATGAATGAATTTGATTCTGAATTACCAACTATTGCTGAACAACCTCAAACTAGACCATTTATTGATTCACCTCATGATCCTCCTTTAGAAAATATTCATGTTACTGAAGTAAAATTTCCTGATAATGATGAATCAATGGGAGAATTATTAATATCTTGGATAGGTCCAGTTGCTGATGATTTAGTTGCAAATATGGGTCTTGATATGGTTGGAGCTTATTTAACCAATAGTCCTATTTCTTTATTAAATAAACATTTGGTTGAAATTGAAAATCCTTTAGCTACCGATATTGATTATACTACTGATGATTATTTACGTACAACTATTAATTTTACAGTTAGTGGAGTACCAACTGATAAACTCCATGTTGTAGATGAAAAGATTAAACAATTAATCTTAGATCAAACTAATCCTGATAATGTTGATGTTCAATATTTAAGACAAGTTATTAATCAACAACGATTAAAATATATTTCAAGTACAGAAAAATCTGCTTCAAGATTTTCAAATATTGCCATTCTTGATTTCATTTATGGAAATCCGGATGGATCTGATTTAAGTAAATGGAGTAAAGATTTACATGAATATGATATTTTATTGGAATGGACTGCTGATCAATGGGCAGAATTTATAAAGAAACAATTAGTTAATAATAAATCTGCTACAGTCATAGGTGTACCATCTTCTGAATTAAATAAATCTCTTAAGAAAGAAAAGAAATCCCTTTCAAAATCAATTAAAGATAAATATGGTAAAGATGGTTTATTAGAATTAGGAGAAAAATTAAAAAGAGCACAAGAAAAGAATGATACTCCAATTCCTGATAGTCTTTTAACTCATTTTGAAAAACCTGATCCTTCAAAAATTGCATTTATTGATACAAATTCTTATAAAGCTGGATATTTTGAAAATATTCTCCCTCCAAAGGCTAATAATTATGTTTCAAATGATACTATTAGTAAATTAATTGAACAAGATTTACCAAGTAATGATTTCCCATTATTTATTCATTTTGAAGATTTTAAATCTAAATTTACTACTATTAATTTAGTCCATGCTGCTTCAAGAGTTGAAAGTCGTCTTTTAAGTTATTTATCAATTATTGAAGAACTTTTTTCATTATCAATTCAATTACCAAATGGAAAATATATTCCTTATGATCAAGTTGTATCTGAATTAAATGATGATTTAATTGAATTTAATTTAGATAATGGATTTGAAAATCAATTTTTAGAATTAATTAGTGTTAAAGTTAAATTTGAAACAACTAAATATGTTAAAGCAATTGATTGGCTCTTGAATGTATCTAAATTTTCTAAATTTGAATCATCAAGAGTTAAAATTATAGTTGAAAAATTAATTAATTCTTTACCAGATAGAAAGAGAAATGGTGAACTTATGATGTATTCTTCACAATATCGAAATTTATTTAATGAACGTTCGGTTAGAAAAATGCATGATGCTATTCAATCAGAACAATTTTATCGAGACGTTTTAAATAAAATTAATGAAGGTAACTTTGAAATTATTGAGAATGATTTAAATCAATTACGTGATCAATTATTTCGATTAGATAATACTAAAGTATTTGTAATTGGTAACATTGAAGAATTAACAAAACCAGTATCTTCATGGACTAAATTTGTTGATACATACATTGAAGAAGAATCTAAGAATGGTGAATATAAATTTAATCCTGATTCTTTCTTAGATTTACCTCATTCATATCAATATCAATCTGAATTAGGTGAAAAATGTCAAAAATATGTTAATCTTGTTATTACTCCTGCTGCAGATTCAATTCATTTAATTTCTTCAACTCCAATTCCAACTGATTATTTAGCTGAAGATATATTTAAGATAGCTTTAGCTACTGAATTTTTAACGGCTGTTGAAGGTCCATTCTGGAGAGGAATTAGAGGTACAGGTTTAGCTTATGGTACAAATATTAGAAGAAGTATAGAAACTGGTTATTTGACATTTTGTATATATCGTGGAGCCGACGCCAAACAAGCTTGGACGACGGCAAAATCCATTGTTGACAAATTCACCAGTGGTGAAACTGTGATTGATAGTTTAAGTATAGAAAGTGCAATTGCTAGCATTGTTAATGAATTGGCAAATGGTGAATCCAATAGTTATGATGCTGCTTTCTGTAAAATAAGTGATAATTTATTTAAGAGAAGAGGTCCTAATTATGTTAAACATTTCCTTTCGAAGTTAAGTGGATTTGGAAAGGAAGATATCATTTATGCCTTAAACAAATACTTTAAACCTCTTTTCAGTTCCGATTCTTCTGTTGTATTTGCAAGTGTTCCATCTGGCAAAGTAGAAGAGTTGAGAAGTTTCTTTACTGAAGAAGGATATATTGTTAATACTGAAGAAATCGGAGGTGTCTCCTCAGTTGATAATAATGGAGAAGAAAAAGAACATGAAGATGATGATGATGATGAGGAGGACGATGAAGGAGAGTATGACTCTTTATCTGAAGAGGAAACAGGAAGTGAGTCAGAGTATTCTTCCGAGGATGATAATTAAAAAGTTATAGATCTTAAATAGCAATAATAGACGTAATAACATAATTATTAATTCATAAACAATGGATGCAAAAAAATTTGGTGTAAGAAAGGAATTGCTGGTGTGTATAATGATACCCGCGAGATTCGAACTCGCGCCTCCGAAGAGACCAGGACCTTACCCTGGCGCCTTAGACCAGCTCGGCCAGAGTACCCAATTCCTGCGGCGTAACCTTTTTAGTCATCTCATAGGATCTTTTTATCACGTGATTTTCACGTGAAAATCAGCATTTTATGGTCACGTGTAGTAGTCAATTTACATCAATTTTGGAAGTTTTTGATTTACACTATTTAATTTCCATTCGATTTGACCTGTAATCATTTGGATTGCTTATATAAATATTCAGCTTATCTCTTTAACCCTTTATTGTATGCGTAGCTGAAAGCAACTGAATAGTATCAAAAAAAGGTCAAAATGTACTTAGCCAGACAAGAACTTGATTTAAATTCATCATCAGTTAATAAGAAACAAATCAAAATAGTAACTCAAGACTTTAAATGACCTATCGTCTTTCTCTGGGTAATAGTTCCCCCCCTGAATACTAAGGTGGAAATAAAGATTAGAGCTGATTGGTATTCTATTTTTTTACTATCCGCACGGCGCAATTTTATTTTCTGATATAAATAATGAATAATTGCGCTTTATAAATTGAGTCATTAATTATAATTCCTTACAGTAATTTTCTATAAGAAAGGATGGCATTACTTCATATCCATTTTCATCCAAATTTCAGGTATATTCCTCATTTACAAATTGAGGGATATGATTCGTTAGAAGACGAGATTAATAAAGGTAACATTTATCGTGCTTATCGCAAGAAAGATGGTTCAGAGTTTTTGGCCTTTACAAACTGTTCAGTCTGCAGAGACAATAAGAAATGGTTTGCTTGGATTAGAACCCATGACTAAGAAGTTCTTCATTGCTCTTTACTTCATTGTGTTTTGAGGATAGAATTATCTATCCAAAGTTTATGAAAATGTTACAAAAATGAAAATAATTTGCAATCATAAGACAAAGACAAGCAACAAAAATGTTTTTTTAAATATCATTTCCAAGAATTATTTTCAATTGCCATAGTATGAGTATTATAGTTCTATCTCATTAGAAATAAACTTTATTTACTACGCATCGGAAAAGGTTTTGCCAATATATTTACCAAAAATCATTAAAAGTAAATAGAAGTGTAAATGTATTATATGTAGAATTTGTGTTTTAATAGAATAAATTATTTATTATTTAAGATAATTTAAGGGTTAAATTTCTTTATTAGTAACAATAATATTCAATTGGTGGTATATACACTATTTCTAGTACTGCCTTCTCATTATAGATATACTCGTTAATTTAATCCGAACTTCCAACAATAAGCATGTAACTTGGAGATTAGTCTGATTATATGTTTACCTCAATAATATTCGTGATTCAGTTATTATCTATAGCATTAATTGAACAATAATACTAAATATTCTACCCCAGTAATGACTTGATATAAACCTTCTTGCAAAAAAGAAAAACTGCCGATAGCGCCCTATCCCAATTAGGAAACCTCGGTAAATTCTATGCCCCACAAAACGGCTTGAAAATTCCGGCACAAAGTTCCGTATCATAAAACTGGTGATTTGAATTTTCACAAATTATTTCAAATATATACCACGAATAAGGAAGTAGCAATTTCAGTAATATGCTTAGTACGACATCCAGAGTATTGGGGAAAGTTCCTAAATTATCTACTATAAGTTCACGGTGGGTGCTGACGAAATTGAACGTTGTAAGTTATGACAATGAATCAATATCAATTAAATTTAAAAATGGTAAAGTAACCAAATTCAATAATGTTTTCATTAGAGATTCATGTCGTCATCCTGAATCTGTTGAACCATTTTCCAAGCAAAAGTTATTTACTACGGTAGAAATTGCTAAGAACTTGAAAATTGATAATGTTCCTTATACTAAAGTTAAAGAAAATTCTGAAGTTTTAGTAGTTGAATGGGATCAAAATGGTAAATCTCATACATCAGAAATTTCTGAACAATTTTTAACCCCTTATACTCAAATAGGAGGTCATAGAAAGGAAAAATTCTTTGATAAAGATGTACTTCTTTGGGATCGAGAATTACTTTTAAATAATTTAGATAATATTTGGACAGATTATTCATCATATATTAAAGAAGATAATGAACAATTTTATCATCTGGTACTGAATTTAAATAAATTTGGATTAACATTTATTAAGAATATTCCTCAAGTAGCTAATAGACTGGAAAAAATGACTGAAGAAAATCATTTAAGTTGGCCAATATCTAATTTAGCATCAAAATTTGGATATATTAAAAAGACATTTTATGGATCATTATTTGAAGTTAAGAATGAAAAGGAAAATGCTAAAAATATTGCAAATACTGATACATTTTTACCATTACATATGGATTTATTATATTATGAATCTCCACCAGGATTACAATTACTTCATTTTATTAAGAATTCAACTCTTGGAGGAGAGAATGTATTTTGTGATTCATTTTTAGCAGCTGAACATGTTAGAAATATTGATCCTGATGCTTATTATGCACTTACAAAAGTCCCAGTAACTTATTGGTATGATAATAATAATGAGTATTATTTTTATAAGAGACCAGTAATTATTGAAGATGAAGATTTAAAATTTCCCAATTCTAAGCGTCCTCATATATTAGCAGTAAATTATGCTCCACCATTTCAAGGACCATTTGAATATGGTGTATCCATTTCTGAAGGTCTGGATATTGAACAAGCCGATGATTTAGCTAAAAGTAAATTATTTAAAGATTTCTTAAGAGGTTTTACTATCTTTGAAGAATTCATTAATGATCCTCTTAATCATTTTGAAATTAAAATGCCTGAGAATACTTGTGTAATATTTCAAAATAGAAGAGTATTACATTCCCGAAAATCCTTTTCAGCTGCTAATGGAGGTGATAGATGGTTAATGGGTTGTTATATTGATGGAGATAGTTTCCGATCAAAATTACGAACTTTATCTAGAAAGTTTAAATAGTCAATAATCAAAAAGATGATATATTCATGATACATATTGTATGATAATTATTTATGGTACATATTAAAATTAACTAAGTAAATAAACAATAATAACGATATTAGATTATTATTATTATGATTATGATGATGATTATGATGATGATGATTAATAAGCTCCATAACCTCCATAAGCTCCAACCTGTGGACGACTATTTTGACTTATCGATTTTTGAGCTTCTGATTTATACATTTGTTTAAATCCATTACATAATCTAAGCATATTAGAATAAGGAAATCCCTTTAATGAATAACCTTCAACATCAGTTTTAACATGCCAAGTTATAACAGGAGAATTAGCATTAACTTTAAATAATAATAAGAAAGATCCCGGAGTTTTATGATCATAACAAAATACATAAGCACTATTTTTTGGATTAGCCTTGGTATAAGATTCTAACCATTCATTAACTTCACTTAAAGTACCTTCTCTAAATTTTGGATGACGAGTCATTTCTTCAACTTTTCTAGCTATGGCTTGAATATGTTGAACAATTAATTGATCTAAATCTTCATACTTTTTATTATCAACATAATAAGCTTTATATCTACCATGAGATGAATCTTTAACTAATAAATGTTGAAATAAATTATTAGCCACTTTCCAAGTAATTGTTAAATATTGTGAACCCTTTGATGATGGACGAATTACACAATCTCCAATTCTTTGTGGAGCTAAGAATTCTTCAGCTTGATGATAATTAAAATCATGATATAATTTATGAGTTATACCTCTTGATTTAGCTCTTAAAGCTCGTTCTTTAGCTCGTTCTTTCTTTAAATCTTCTGATTCAGCTTGGAAATCCCATTTCCCTTCTTCTTTTCTAAATTTCCCAGCTGATGCTCGTCTAAAATCTTCTTCTAATAAACTCATAGTTGCACTAAAACTATCATATAAAACTTCTAATACAACTGCTTGAATAATTTGTCCTTGATCAAGATTTAAATCTCGAGGAATTTTATTTTCTTCAATATTAGCTTGAATTAATGAAGTAGTTATAACTTTTGCCCATCTTATAGATGCAACTTGATCTCTTAAATTCTTTCCAACTTTAGTTACAGTAACTGGGACTAAAGCATTCTTACCAAAAGTTTGAGGAGTTTCACCTGTTAACATTTGAAATACTTCTAATTTTTCTAAAATATGGAATGCATGTCTTAATTCTTCATAATTATTAACAAGTTCTTCTTTAATCATTTGTAATGTGGCATATTTTCTTTTACCATATTTAGTTTCTAATTCTTGTCCATAAGCAATTAAATTTAATTCATCAACTTTATTAGCTCCTTCTTGCATTAATTGATAAATTATTCCTCCATTATTATCAATTTCTGGAATATCTTCTTCATCAATATCAAGAGCATCTGATGCCATTTTTTTAGCTAATTCATAATCTTCAGGATGAATTCTTGTAGCATCTAAAAGTTCAATGGCTGGATCTCTGGCAGCATTCAGACTTTCATCAAATGGGATATTTAAAAATGATGCACAATTAATAAATATATTAGCCGTAGATAATTCTGCTTCAATTAATTCACTTCTATTAGTTAAAGTAGATCCTAATTTAGTATTAATATTTCTAATTAATCCACTAGCTTTACGAGGTCCTAAACCAGAAATATATTGAACTAATTGTGCCACATGAGGATCTCTAACTGCTTCATTAATTTCTACTCCCACAGTATTTATAATATCAACAAAGGCAGATTCTAATACTTCTTTAACTAAATCCTTGGGAATTAATTTTTGATATTCATAAAATGTAAGTGATAATACATCATCACCCAATGAAACATATTCTAATAAAGGATTTTGAATATACCGAGCTAATCCAACACAATATTTAATTAATGAAGGTTTATCAGCAAATTCATGAGCTGCCTTTTCAGAATTTTGATATAATCTTGCTGTTTCATCTTGACCCCAAATTACATTAATTAATGGAGGATTAGATACATCAGGTAAATCTTCTACATTCACTGTAATTCTAAATTCTTCAACAAATGTTTCAATAACATCAAATAATCGTTTAGAATTAGCATTATAACCAGAAATAACAATAACATCAGGTTTACTATATTCTAAATTCTTATCAAAGAATTCCTTTAATTGTCCACAGAATAATTCATTATTTTCTCGATCTCTTGTAGGATTATTTTCTGATTTAAAATATTGATCAACTTTACCATTTTCCTTTAATAATACTCCTACAACAGCACTATCAAAATCACCCTTACCAAATGATAATGCTAATACATTTGGTTTAGTACCTTTATCAAATCCATATGGAGTAAATGGTGCTTGATCAATTTTACCTAAGAATCTTTTACGAACTTCTGATGCCACTAATCTTTCACATTCACGACGTAAATCTTCTTTAGCATTAGCTGATACCATTGCATTAAGTTTTTTAAATGCTAAACTAAGAGCATATTCTCGTTCTGTATTCCATAAATCAGAAATTTCTGAAGTTCCATCGGATTTTAAACAATTAAAAATTGATTGAAACCAATTATCATAATCTTTAGTATCGACTTGAATTACAAGTAATCCAGCGGCTTCAGCTTCAAGCATTCTTAATAATATATCTGGTTGATTTACCAAATCAGCTGGTGAACGATTGATAGCATATTTAATATCAGCATATGAACTATGTCTATCAATAGTAATTTTCCCCTTATCAGTTACTGCCACATTAATTGTTGCAAATGATTTATAAGTTTGTCGAACTTCTTGTCTAATCTTTGGATTATGAAAGATTTCTTCAGCAAAGGTTCTACATACGGCATCACGAGCAGTTGTACTATCTTTAAAAAGTGCATCATCATCTTGACAAATAGTTTCAACTAAAACTCCAGGAGCATCTTGAGCATCATCAGTGGCATGAATTCTATATTGAACTAAGAAATGTTTAGAACTTTGATCTTGAACATTTTCACCAAATTCTTTAGCAGAAATTCCAAAGGCTTTAACTGCATCATATAATACATTTGATTTAATTCTTTCAAATAATGAATATTTAGAATGTTTTTTAGTAGTACGAGATTGAATTGTACCATCAGGTAAAGTTTCTTGATTTCTTGAAAGTTCACGAACTTCTCGTGAATAAGTAAATTGAATATAATCAAATATATCTTGAACTCCTACCATTGTTTCAAGAGATTTCATATCTCTAACTAAATCATCATCTAAATTTAATTCTTCAATTAATTTTTCAATATTTAATCTCTTTTCATAAAGTGAATGATATTCAACATCAAGATGAATAATTCTCCATAAATCATCTTCAAATAATAATTTATGAACTCTAGTTTCAACTTTTCCATCTAAAGTTTCAATTTGTTGAGAATATAATAAAAAATCTCGACGATGAGACCATATAAATGGTACTTCATAATTATTCTTTGAAATAAATTCAACTACATTTCCAACAGCTTCTTTAAATGGTTGTTCTAATGGACCAGAGAATTCCGTCAGCTTTTCACTAAATAAAATATTAGCTACCCAAACTTTTTCACGATCTAATTCTTCACCTTCTAAATTAATATAATTTAAATTAGCTCGATATTTTTGAAATCTTTCTGGTATATCAATAATTCGAATTAAATTATCTTCTTCAGTTAACATTCTTTCCTTTAATTCTGAATGTTCAAATACTTCATCTAATGATGTTGGTTCCATGGCTTCACCAGTTCTTTCATCATCATCTTCTTGAGCTGCTAATGCCCAATCATATTCTGATCCATTACCAAATACTTCAAATAATTGTTGTAAACTTTCTCGATCTACACTAGATAATTTAGATGTATCAATTCTTGGTCTTGAAACTCTTGCTCTATCTCTTTGAGATTGTCTTTCTCGTCTTGATTGTTCATCATCTGAAAGTTCATCTTCTTCAATGAAATCTTCAAATTCATCAAGAATATTATTTTGACGACGATCTTCAATTTCTCCTTCTTCTTCTTCTTCTCTACCTTCTTCATCAGAAAATATATCTCTTAAACCTCCAGTTCGCCTTGAACTAATTTCATTATCTGGTTCAACTGATTCTTCTTGTTCTTGTTCTTCATCTTCAACTGCAGCTCTCTTTAATCGTTTAAATTGTCCAGGAACAGCTGCTCTTGGTTTAGCTCCTGAATTTTCCAATAATAATTCTAAATCATCTTCATCTAATGCATCATCATCAGCTCTAACTCTATCTCTCTTTCTTTTCTTATGTTTCTTCTTTCTTTTAGTTTGAATTTCATCATCTTCATCATCATCAACAATGAATCCTTCTCTAACTTTTTGTATGGCTTCTTCATCATCATCATCTTCTTCTTCCGAAGAATCTAAAACATCATCTCCATCTTCAGAACTATTATCATTTTCATTATCTGATACATCGTCTCGAATCTCTCGTTCTTCTTCTTCTCGTGCCATAGTAAATCAAGCAAAATAATTACAATATCCAATCAAAAGAAATCCCAACCGGTTTGTAACTGTTGAGCCGTATACACAAGGAAGAAATGCCTAAACGGGATTGGTCAGCACTGAGGTTAATATGCTTTGAATACGTTAATTAATGGATTCTGTCGGTGTACAATTTCTTTGATATTTTTCACCAGCCAGAGACATACGTCCGGGTAAATCACATTAAAAAAAGAATTTGCCTATACTGAGTCACGTGAATTCTACTATAACTGAGTATAGCTACTACTATATATAACTATTTACAGAGGATTTACTATGTTTATATATATCTATGTCTGTATATGTGTATGTATATGTATATGATATTACTTGCTTGACAATTGCCCATATTGTCGATCAAGTTTCTTATTAAACTCTTTATTCTTATCATTGATGTAACTTGAGGCTCCATCATCACGTTTGTTTCGCCTTTTAGATTGTCTACGATCATTCTCTTCTTCTATATGATTTACTAATGTTTCCACTGCATGTTTAGATGGTTTATGTTGAAGCTGTCGTATAGGATCTGTATTTGATATAGTCTTAACTTCCTTTTGAATTTTATAATCTTCTTTATCAACTTGTAGTGTTTGTATTTCTTTATTGTATGTACTTTCTGCTAAAGTATTCATATTAGCATATCCATGTTGACGTTGATTCTTCTTTAACTGTTTCTGTTTTTTATCCCATTGTTGAGATTCTTCAATAGTATACTCTAATATTCGTTTCCGATTATCAGTTGGTTCATCTTTAGGTTTATAATCGGTAGGATCTTTTGGTGTCTCACTCTGTTGAACACTTACTCTCTTCTTATTCCTGAAATCTTCTACGAGATCCTTCTTTGACTGAGCTAATAATTCTTGTTTCTTATTTTTTAATTGTTGGAGCTTAGATAGCCTGTCCTTCGCGGTAATTCCCGTCATCGTAACGTAAATTACTTATCCTTCTAGAGATGCCATTTGCTCTTGTACTAATTATTTTTCTTCTACACTCACTCACTCACTAACTGACTAACTAACTAACTAAGCCGCTAATTACTACTGTAACACCGATAAGGGATCATTACCGAGATTGCACCTCTAATTTCAATCTACAGGCCAATTAGATCTTTCTCTACATCCTAGAACGTGCCCCTGACAAATATGAAGGAGCCATAATTTTATTGTAGTACGTATACTTCCACAGAAATTTTAAAATTATTACCCCAAAAATTGCCAGGTCGATCCGAATCTCGGTATATAGTCACTCCCCGGATTATTTATAGTTTGCGGTTACTTATTCGTAATATGGCCATATAATTTGTTAATTGATTTTATATTTAATATATATATATAAGTATTACTCTCTGTTTGTATCTATACTTAATTAAACGTTTCTATTTACTAATTAAAACATTTCAATGCCTTCTAAAGAACAAAAGATTCTTGATTACTTATTTAAATTGCCTAATAAGGAACAAATAAGGGGTAACCCTGAAAAAGTATTAGAAGCAATAGATGAATTTATTAGAAAGAATACTCATTATATGAATGTGGGACCTAAGAAGGGAAAGATTGCCATTGATGAAATTAGGAAAATTAAACCCAAACTCATGATTGAGCTTGGTTGTTATTTTGGTTATTCAGCTGTCTTATTTGCAAAGGAATTACCTGAAAACGATCCTAATGCTAAATATTTCAGTTTTGAATTAAATCCAGATTTTGCTAATATCGCCCGACAATTTGTTGACTTTGCTGGTTTACTGCATAAAGTTGAAATTATTGTAGGACCAGCTGCTAAATCATTAGTTAATTTTGAAGCCTCTATTTTAAAAAAGGATCTTCGTTATACTGCAGTAGACTTTGCGTTTATTGATCATTGGAAAGATCGTTATGTTCCTGACTTAAGAGTCTTGGAAAGTTTAAATTTGCTTGCTCCTGGAACTCTTATAATTGCTGATAATATTTACAGACCAGGAGCTCCTGATTATTTAAAGTATGTAACATCATCACCTGAAGAGAGAAGAGAATTTCATTACAAAGTTCCTAATGATAATGGTAAGGAATTCTTGGGTAGATGGAATATTTTATATGATACAAAGACTGTTCGTGTGGATGATGAAGTTGGTTCAGGCTATGATGAATTGGCCATCACTAAGGTTGTTGATTATCTTGATGGTTGATAAAGCTTTTAATAGTTATATAGTTACTACAGTTATTGAAGTAGTTCAGTTGATATGTATATGTGCAATATACTTTACAAGTTTATTTTATAATAATAAAATTCTTTAGTAGGTTCTTTTATAGCCTCTTATATTTTTAAAATAGTGAATGACTTTGTAGTTTATTAAGGTGCAATAGATATGGTCATGGATACATAAATTCTATGGACATTGTACGAATTTGAGAAAGTAAGTCAAGGCAAGTTTGAGTTGATAGATTTAATTCTACTGTATAAACAATGGTTTCTTTCTATATCAATTCCAAGTACAAGAGATGGTCTACAATGATAGAGAGTTGGTACTTCTTAAGTGGGTGCAAAAATGTCACAGTGCGTGTCGCATAATTAGAGAATTATCTATTGATTCAATTGACTGTAAGCTAAGGAACAGCAAACACACTAATTTCTAATTATAAAGTATTTGCTCTTATTTGACTATTATTTATATAAAAGGAGACAAGACGTATATGTAGTACAATTAATTGTCATTATGTATAATTTGTAGGTACAATAGTTCTGGTATTATTTAACTTGCCTTATAGGGTAAGTCTATTTCCAGTAAGAGTTAGCGCACTAAAAATTTCAAAAATGTATACTGTTAATTGATCAGATGTAGATGAGTGTAGTATACCACACGTAACACCACTGAAACCCATTATAATGACGGATTTAACACCATTATTCAATAAGTGTGTTGAGATTGTTGCCAGTGAACTTCCATCCAAATCATTTGATGAGGTATCACCCATAAAAGTATCAACATTTTCTGTTAATGATACGTTTATAAAAGAGTGTATTGAAGTTTATGATTTATTAACTAACTTAAATACTTTTATACAAGAAATGAAATCACAATATTTAGCTATAAATGATGAGCAATCAGGATTCAATCGAACAAATGAATTAACTAGTGCAGATAAAGATAGTATAGATGAAGAATTTAAGTATAAGGTCCGACAATTATATCAAAAGTTGAGTTTCCTAGAGAATTATGAAAGTAAACGTCAATCACTTGATAAATCGGGTCAAAATGGAAAGGGAAAGGGAAAGGGATGGTTTGATAATGTATTTGGAGATAATGAACCAAGTGATCATGAAATATTCCTTTCAACCATTGGACAACATAGAAATCATATACTAAAGTTTTTAATGATTGCATTAAATGCTACTAGTAAGAAGTTTGAAAGTATCCAAAAGAAAAGACAAACTCGAGAAAAGCAGCTTGATCTGTTAAACTTTCAGAATTTTGAAGAAGATGAGTATAATGATTTCAATTTAAATGAACCACCAACATCTACATCTACTACTAAGGTAAATAATACTGATTTCGATGATGAAGGATGGGGGAATGATGATTTTGATGATGGAGAATTTGAAGAAGAAGAGAAACAGAAAAATGATATAGTTAATCAATTATCACAAGAACAAATTCAGGAATTAGAATTGGAGAATAAAGACTTTTTAAACATGAAAACCAATCAATTGAAACAAGTTCAAAAAGTTCAACAATCGATTATTGATATTGTAAATATTCAAAATGAATTATCATTCAAATTACAATCTCAAGAAGAACAAATCAATACTTTAATGGAAAACAATGCTCAGGTTCATGTGGATGTTCACATGGGTAATAAACAATTGAATAAAGCAACTACTCGAAATAAACGAGGAGCTAATATGTTAGTAAGTCTTTGTATAATTTTAGGGATATTAATTTTATTGATAGACTACATATCTTTCTAATTTCAATGGATATATATATTTACAGATTTCTATTACACTAAAATCCAATGACTGTTCCAGCTCCAACAGTTGAACCTTCTCTTCTTATAACTATTCTACCAAGTGTCTTATTATCTTTAAATATAGTTAAAGGTAAGGGATTCCCCTCTATTTCTATTTCAACAATAGCTGTTTGTTTAGATACAAGATGTAATAAATTCTTCTTCTTCTTCTTCTTTTGACTTGAAGTTACTTCAATTAATTTAATAATTCTAGCTGGTACTTGACAATTATTTCTAAATAAAACAAATGGAGTTCCAACTAATAATGGTTTATCTAAATTAAAAAGATGTAATGATATAGTGAATTTTTTTACTGTATGAATAGGACTACCAACATGAGCAATTAAATCTCCAATTCGGAATGGATCTATAGTATCATTAGTTACTTGATTGGCTTTAAAAGTTAATTGAACAACTTCTCCATTAATGGCAAAATCAAATTTATTATTAGCTACAAGTAATGATTGAACTGATAAAGTAATATCACTAGGTAATGAAACAATAGTATCACCAGATTCAATTACTCCACTAATAATTTTACCAGTGACTTTAATTTCTCCTTTATCTTTAAATGAATCACTAACTGTTAAATAAAATTCTTCATCTTGTACTTTCTTTGAATCAATATTTGATGATAATTTAACGGTTTCAAGATATTTACCTAAGGTTGGTCCCTTATACCAATTGAATGATTCAATAGATTCATCACGATTAACTACATTATTACCCGATAATCCTGAAATAGGTATAAAATCCAATTGATCTTCAGTAAATTCAACTTCATCACTAGTTAAATATTCAGTTAATTGTAATTTAATTTGATTAAATCTATCTTGACTCCAATCTTCTTTATCTAATTTATTTATAGCAATGCATAACTTTTCTATACCTAAATTTTTAGCTAAAATTGTATGCTCTTTAGTTTGTCCATCCATAGCAAATCCACTTTCAAATTCTCCTTCAATTGCATCAACTACTAAAAGAGCAAAATCAGCTTGTGAAACTCCTCCAATCATTTGAGGTACAAAGTCTCTATGACCTGGAGCATCAATAGCAGTAAATCTTGTAGTTGAAGTTTCAAAATCAGTAGCACAAATATCAACTGTAACACCATGAGATCTTTCTTCTTCAGTTTGATCAAGAATCCATGCTAATGCAAATGAACCTTTCCCTGCTCGAGTAGATTCTTTAACTAATTTATCTACCGTCTTTGCATCAACAATTCCATAATCTAATAATATTCTACCCATTAATGTAGATTTACCTGCATCCACATGACCTATTACAACAAATGATTTATGAGGTTTTGAATAAGTTTTATTAGATGCTAATTTAGATTCAATATCAAGTTTCTTTTTTGTCTTTGCTGCTGCCGGAGCAGGCGAAGGAGATTTTGGTTTAGAACCTAATTTAAGATTCCCAAAATTATCATTGAATGCACTACTTTGAGCTTGTAAGATTTTATCATCAGGAGATGGTTGATCAAAGCTTTGTTTAATTTTTTCAATTTTTTCTATATTTGTTTCAATGTTAGTAAGTGGATAAAATAATTGTTTATAACCATGACGTCTTTTCTTTACTATCATTTGTGAGTCTTCCAGTGAAGATATTTGTGAATGCAGTCTTGACTTTTTAAATAAGAAATTTGAAATCAGTGACGGTGGATTTATTGATAATATTGATGAGTCTACCAGTAAATTATTTATAGGCTTTTGATATTTAGTAGTTTCCGGTTTGGATTCTGGAATGGTTTCTGAAACTGTTGCTGGTACTGATGCTGATGCTGAAATTTGAGTTGGAATTGTATCTGCTGTTTTGTTGGAAATATTCGTTCTAGAGGCTAAACCTTCACGTCTATTTTTCAATAATTTCGATAATGCTGGGCTGGATCCTGATCCTGATGCTGATGGTAAATTGTTAGACTCATCAGACGTAGTCGTAGTTCTCAATCTATCCAATATAGCCAATGACTTAATTTCGCCACCAGTAGTTGATGGTGTATTGTTTTTAGATCTAGCTCTTGCTAATGCGCTCAATTTCGAGACTGGCTTTTTATCATCATCACTATTTGACGGTAATGGATCAGTATCTTCAATATTAGATTGAAATTTTGCCGATCGTTGTTTAGCTAGTAGTGCTAACTTTGACGGTCCTCTAGTGGAAGATAAATTTGATTGTGTTGACATTATTTGTATGGATATGTTATATTGATATATAGATCATATAGTCGAATTCATCTAGTTATTGTTATTGTTATGGATGAGTATCTTACTACTGCAGTGTACTGTAATATATAATACTGAGTTCTCTCGGTGGCCGAGTCCCCACTGGCTTTCTCGCTAGTGAGAAAGAAAGAAAAAATTACTGAGATATGGTCCCATCACAGTTTAGATAGTCAAGGGCTACAGAAATAAATATTTATACGTACTTTTCTTAAATTTAGACTTCAATTCTTCAATGGAAGGTCCTAACTCATAGTAGTTATAATATAGAGCTTCTTTTAAATCTTGTTGAGGTATTTCATCATTATAATCCTTTAATTTTGCTTTTAATTTAGGTAATAATTCATATAATTTATCATATTCATCATTGGGTAATGAGTCTTCATTAAATTCTCCTTCAACATCTTCTCCATGGGAGTAATAATCTTCATCATCGTAATCCATCGTATTAACTCAATAATAAAATCTACTTGGAAGCTTGTGGGATAATTAGCTGGGGTAATTCTTCTGTAGTAGGTAGATAAATTTTACTGAGTTAATTGATCATAGGCACGACTGAACAATAGTAGCGAGTACAGTATACTAAAAGTTCTACTAATAAGTATAAAAACATTTAATGTTTATTATAAGGGTATATATGTAAAATAAATAACTAAATAATGAACTCCAAAAGTGACCGGTGTGTAATTGCAAGCAATAAACAAATAAAGTAAAGAAAGAACTAAAATCTAATATAATTGAATTGAACTGACTTAGTCTGATGTAATCATCAATATCTAAATCTTAATCAGAGAAGGTAATCGAGCCTGAAAACTTCTTGAGTAACAGGTTGTAGTATTAGAACTTATAGGATAAGTACTAGTATTAGGTTGTTGTGATCTAATGACTAAAGGTATATGCAAATCCTTGATTATAATAACTCCATTATCACCAATTGTAGTATCATTAGCATCAGATAATCCTATTACGGATTGAAATTTGTTTAATTGTTTAGAATCAATGGGTAAACCATGGAATTTCCCCAATGTTTTCCCATATGTTTTATAATAGAAATCAAGATATTGAGCTCTCAATAAAGCTTCTGAGATATTGGTATAGTTAACTTTTGAATTACCATTAATAAGTAAAGATTTCTTAATAAATGATATTAATACTTCAAATGATGTTAATTGTCCTGATTGAATTTTAGATAATAACAGTTGAATTGTACTATTGGTAATATTAAATTCTTTTTCAGACAATAATTTGGAATCATCCAAATAATTCATGGCAATAGAAGTTTTAGATTGACATTGAACCAATTGAGTAGCCCAATTGTTTTGAAAAGCTTGGAGTTGTTCAATTGAGTTCATTTTTATCGAATGTAGTATAATTATAATTATAATTAGAATGTATAGAAAATTAAAGTAGAGTAATTACATTAACAGGGGGAGTAATGGTCTTATATATATACTACATTTTGGCATCTACTAAGAAGAGACTCCACCACACCTGAGCTAAATAATAACCGTTAACTGCCCCCATACAGAGTCTCGTAATCATCATTTCTAATCAGGCTCATTAATAATAAATTATCATTCAGCCATTGTTACCGCGAAAAATAACGGTTGTTCCGCTTAGTCATCGGCTGGTGCAAAAAAGAAATTACGACTTATTAATACATTATTATTTTTTTTAGATTACGGAAGGCTGAGATACCGGTCCAAGTAGTAGTATAGAATGAGATGGATGAGGGAAAGAAGGGCTGAGTTGTGGTAGGCACAAGCCCGATTGGGAAACAGTCCTGAGTGTTCTCCGAGCTTAGTTTAATAAAGGACGTGGGCTTCCCCTTTCAATAGACCTGCACTTATCAAAACCCTATCATTAAAATTGCATTATACTGAGGGATTTATATTACTTACTGCATAGAAATTCTTACAAAGCCCGTACTATCTCACAAATTATTAGACATATATTCTCTTACTATATAATTACTCTTACAATTGTAATAGCATGGTAAACTATGCCGCGAAATTTTTGAGCCGCCAGTGCATAACCGTTACTAAATTTATTGATATTGCTTGAATAAATCAGTACCAAGAATTTCAACAATTGTTTTACCGGCAGCAACAACATCTTCATCAAAGTATCTTCTACCAGAAATTTGAATACCAACTGGTGCACCCTTAAATTTTTCTGGATCATAAATTTCATGTTCTAATTGTTCAGTTTGATTTCTATATTCATAATTCTTTTGACCATCATCCCATTTATCGACAGCTGGATCTTGGTAAATTCCGGTTTGAACTACTAAAGTTGGGAAATCCAAGATATTCCATAATGCAGTATATGACCAATTGTAAACTCCTTCTGATTGTGGGGCAACATTGTTGTAAGTAGGAGAAATGAAAAAGTCAATCTTGTTATCATTTAAGTACTTGGTATATTCATTCTTTAAATCATCCCTAATAATATTCAATTGACGATTTTCTGCAACAGTTAAATCTTTAGATCCTTCACCATAGTTTAAATTCCATTTAGTTAATTTAACTAATGGTTCACCAGATGCACTTAAATGCTTCTTTTGCATATAATTACCATCACAATTATACATCTTATGAATAGTTTGTATAGCTAATTCAATCTTTGGAGGTTTGAATTCAACGACTTTAACTCCAGCAGCTTCCAATTTCTTAACTACTTCTTTTAAAGCTCTTTGTATTGGAGGAGTTGGTTTAACAAATCCATCATCATAAATAACTCCAACAGTTAAATCTTTGGCAGCTGGTTTTGGAACATCTCTCCATAATAATGGTAAAGTTGAAGCATCATTTACCCATGGCTTACCATCATTAATATAATGCTTCATCCATAAATCAATATCTTCAACTGATCTAGCAAATGGTCCAATAACGGCTGGAACAGATTCCTGACCTGAACCTGCACTAACACCTCCAGATAATGAGACTCTTTTGGATGTTGGTCTTAAACCAATACAACCTGAAAAGGCAGCTGGACCTCTAATGGAACCACCGATATCAGATCCTACACCGAGAGCACTACCTCCAAAACCAACAATTGAACCTTCACCAGAAGAAGAACCACCAGATGATAATAATAAATTATGAGGATTTTTACTTAAACCAATAATGTTATTGTTAGAATCCAAATGCATTAAAGTTTGAGGTTGATTGGTACGAACATAAAAGACAGCACCTAAATCTTCTAAGATTTGACTGGTTAAACCATGATCTTTAGCAACATTATCCAAATGGCCAACATAACCAGCATGTGTAATCTTACCTCTATAATTCATATGTTCCTTTAAAGAAATTGGTAAACCATGTAAAGGACCAATAGTTTTACCATTCTTTTTATAGTATTCATCTAAGAATTCGGCTCTCTTTAAACCTTCATCAATGAAAATTTCCAAAGCACAGTTAGTGAATTGATGAGCAATAGTGGCTCTCTTAGCATAAGCTTTAAGTACTTCAGTCGAGGTATATTCACCTTTGGCAATCTTAGCTACTAAATCAGTGGCAGATGAATCAGTAATAGCTAATTCCTTTTCGGTCAAAAGTTTTTCATCATACAAGTACTTCAATGGATTGAATTGTTCTTCAATTAATTCATCAATTGGTTTTGGTAATTCAACAGAATATTCTGGTAAAATACTTTTAGCCAAATTTTCTCTATATTTTTCAATCTTTGGAATCCATTGTTTAAACTTTTCTGGATCTTCGTAACCTTCTAAAGGATCAGATTTCAATAAAGTAGTATAATCTAATTTTGACATTGATACTGAAAAATGCGGGGGAGGGGTAAGAAAAACAATTTATAGATAATGAATAATTAAAAGAATTCAGTATATTAAAACAATATTACAGGGTATTGATCTAAAATAAATAACTTTTCAATATACTCTGAATAAATAAAAATGAATAAACTAGATCAAATCAAATTATGAAAAATTTCAGACCCTTTTATACTGTCGTTGATAAGCATTCTACGTCGGCTTGACAGTCCCAATCGGGAAACCGCGTTAAGAAAATGCTTACAAAGGCGCATTCGCTAATCCCAACTAAAATCCTTTTTCCAACCATTCTCTAATAGGGTGGGGATTCAATTAAATAATCACTTGGGGCTTATGACCGTGAATAGAAATTGTTTAGGTATGATTAAATTAAGGTTTGCACAAAGGCGCTTTGTTAAGATTCATTCATTGTAGTAATAAGTAGGTGAAAGTTGATTAGGGGTAGAGATTAAAGAAATTTTCTTAGTTCTGTTATCTACACCGCACAATCCATGTTCCGGGCAAATGATTTTAGGGAGTGCTATTGTATAGGTTATTTTTGGTTATTTGACTGTGAGATTAGGAATGAACTTCCATACAGGGATACTCCAGCCTAATTGTAAAGACTTCAGTAAATGATGTCTTTAGAGAATGTTCATTAGAATTGCTTCAAAGTCAATTTGATTCTATCATATTACCGGCTGTAAATTTTCGTACTAATTTTCATACTTCGTTTATAGATTCTAAAATTAATTATTTGGATAATTACATTATTATCACCCGAAGTACTTTCGCCCCACCTTCCTAATTAGGAAAAAACATGCGCCTGTTGATGTTTTATTCACTCGCACAATATGCAGGTATTCTTTACTCCACTCTTAGAGCGGTTACCAAATAGGGGCATAAGAAATGTTGCAAAATATTCTCATTGTCTAAAGCCACGAATGATTAGCTTTAAAGCATTTAGTTGCAATTAACATTTTCCAACCCTCCTTTTATATCTTTGTTGCTGGTTATGATTCTACTTGGAGCACAATTAATAAAAATATTGGAATTACTAGTTGGATTCCTAAGTTACAGTTTACCTATTTTTCGTTAAGAGGGGTCCAAAGTCAGTTATGAGCACCTCTTCCTTATTTATTAGTAGTAAAATTTATTAAAAGTAAAGAAATAATTGCTACAACTATAAACTTGAAAAGTAGAAGAAAATTAACAGAACGATTTCATATTGGACCCAACTCTTGGGATCTACCACTAAGAACTCAGTTTGACGGTAGTGGAAATCTGATAATTCAGTTTAAATCATTGCAGGTACCCCATGTGGGGTATTACTATTTGACCGCATACATTTAAAAAGATTCTCTGCCACGAAGCCTGTGAATACAGCAGCACCAATTAGTGAAAGACCAGAAATAAATAATTTTCGGTACTTTCTACAATTCTTAAAAGTATTAGCAATATTCATAATGAAGATTTGGTATTCTTACCTTTCGGATTGTAAAAATAACAAAATGTCTTCTCCAAACTTGATAGTTTACCTCAAATTTAGGGATAAACTAGTTTAATTCAGAGAAGGCTGAAATCACCGTCCCCGTATCTAACGGACTGAATGTTTCTTTTCTTGTAGCATTTTCTTCTAAGTTTGTTGTATCGATTTGAAGGTGAGCTCTAAGAAAAGAAAAGTGGAATGCAATAAACCTAAAAGCCACAGCAAATCATTTCTGTGATTAAAGAAATAGAGACAAATGTTATACACAAAAACAACATATACTGTGTCAATAGGATTTTAGCTCGGTGTCATAATATCCTTCTTGGTAACCATTGACTTGGTTTTAATAATTTAAATGTTTGAAACGTCTTCCTGATTACATAACTAGGTGACTCTATACATTACCGAAATCCTAAAAAGACCCTGGTCGAGACGACTTAACCATAATTTAAATTTTAAGTTAAGACTATAATTTAAGGTTAATTCTTTATTTAAGCATGCTTTAATACCGACCACTAAACCAAGCTAATCTATAATGTTTTACAACTCTTATAGTAGAAGCTTTCGCCGTTAACCGATATCTATACTCATTAAGAGGATTAAATGGCTCCAATAAATGAAGTTGCATGTCACAAACTGAGGATATTTTGATAACCTATAACGAATTTACATCGTATATTTTTTTAAATAATAGAGAGAGAGTATAATATAAGAAACATATAAAACGAAAACAAGGATGTTTCAGATATTGGCAAATAAAATCTATTTTAGGTTAATTTGCTAGAGTAAAATTAAAAATCATATATATAAAAAAAATAAGCTTGAACTTAAGCTAAACTTCGACAGTGTTAGATCTTGAGAACGAAGCATATTTCTGGAACGGATCACTTCTTTCTAATTCGTATTCGGGATTGTTTGCCCTAACACTTCTGAAGTATACTCTTTTGAACCATTTCCATAACTCACAACCAGCAAAGAATGCTACTGTGAAAGCCACCGAAAACCCCCATTCATAAGTAATTGGATCATGTAAGAATACAATCTTATTGATTACAGGAATATAAACAACTGGAAACACGGATAATACTCCTCCAATCACCGACCAAAATAAGAATTGATTATCCCATAAATCAATAGCTAATTGTTTATACCAAATAATTTCAGATTCGGGTCTCATTTTGAAGAAGGAAAGTTTCATATGAATACATTCCCATGATAAAATGATGGCACACCATGTAAAAGCAGCAAAAGCAGCAGATCTACTTTGGAATACAGTAGTACAATTGGAACCACTCAGAGTATTACAACCTGTACCCAAATTCCCATCCTTCATTCCAAATACAAGAGAAATGAAACAACATAAACAACAGATAGCCATCCAAATTCCATAGAAGCACATATCAATTAAGACTTCTTTGGTAAAGATTGTTTTATTAGGTGGTGTATCTAAAATATCATCACTAGCCTTTTCTTGCCCTAAACCCATGGCTGGGAAACATGAAGTAATTACGATAATCCATAATACTTCAACAGGTGATAATGGAAATACTGAGAATCCATCATTATCCATGAATACTAATCCAACCATCAAATAAATGGCCTGTGCAACATTTTCAGCTAACAATTGTAAAACAAACTTTTGAATATTAGATGACATTCTTCTACCTTCTTCTATAGCATTAACAATTGAAGCAAAATTATCATCTGTCAAAAGAATATCAGAAGTATCTTTAGCTACATCAGAACCATTAAGTCCCATAGCTATACCTACATCAGCTTTCTTCAAAGAAGGTGAATCATTGACACCATCACCCGTCATAGCTACGAACTTGCTTCTTCGATGTAAAGCTTCTATCATTCTAACTTTAGTTCGAGGTGCACATCTAGCAATAACTAAGGGTAATACTGGTAATTTATCAATTTCTTCATCACTCAATTTATCAAAATCAGTTGCGGTCATTACCATTACATCAACAACTTCTTTACTATAATGATAAAGATTCAGAGGAATAATTCCAACTTCTTTAGCTATAGCCTTAGCAGTACCAGGATGATCTCCAGTTAACATATGAACATTTATTCCTGCCTTATGACAAATCTTTACTGATGGAGCAGATTCTGGTCTAGGAGGATCATAAATACCTACTAAACCCAAGAAAATCAAATTAGATTCTACTTGTTCTCGATTATTATAATTCTCCTTTTCTAAATTAATATCTCGTTTGGCAAAGGCTAAGACTCTCAAACCTTCTGATGATAACGAAGTCATATTTTCTTCAATTAAAATTTTATCTTGTTCAGTTAAGGGTAACATTTCATCACCTTTATACCAATAATTACAGATTTCTAAAATCCTTTCAACTGCTCCTTTGGTGTATACAGTAGAAGTTTTTGAAGATTTATAAATTGAAGACATTCTCTTAATAGAAGAATCAAAGGGAAATTCAGATATATGTTCCAAACCTTGTTCATTGATCAATTCATCACGATCAAAACCTAATCTAGAAGTGAATACATGAATGGCAATTTCCGTAGCATCACCATGAGCAATCCATTCCATTTCAGAATCAGAATTTGCAATCGGAACTTGCTTAACAGTTGAGATATTGGCTAATGTAGCACATAAAATCCATTTTTGAAATAAATTAGGTAAGGGATCTTGTAAATGAGCAATATAATCAACTTCATCATCAAGATCACAAACTTCTTTTGGACTTAATGAATTAAAAGAAATTTCACCCACAGTAGGATTAAATGGTTCATTTGAATTTGAAACCACATAAACTCCAGTAGTTGGAATCCAAACTTTTCTAACAATCATTTTACCTAAAGTTAATGTACCAGTTTTATCTGAACAAATATCATTTATACCTCCTAAAGCTTCTAATGAATCTAATTTCTTTACAATAACATGTTTTGTAACCATTACTTGAGCTCCAATAGCCATTGTAATTGTTAAGACAACAATTAAAGATGAAGGAATCATTGATAAGGCAACACAAATAGCATAAATTGCTACATTTTTATTGACAATCATCTTTTGTGAAGCCATAACGACTATAGCAAATAAAACCGCAACCCAAAATAAGATAATAGCTAACCAAGATAATCTTCTTTGTAAAGGAGTTCCTACATTTGTACCCAAAACATTCATAATAATATTAGAAGTAGATTTTAATATAGCTTTTAAATGATTATTTTTATCATCAACCTTAACAATTAATTTATCATCACCATTCTTTAATGAATCAGCAATTTGACCAATTTCTGTATTTAAACCAGTAGAAACAGCAATACCTGTACCTCTACCTTTTGCTACAACAGAAGAACTGAAAGCCATATTTAATCTATCACCAACAGGAATATCTTCATAATATATTTGTAAATGATCCTTTACTATTGGTAAAGATTCTCCAGTTAATAAAGCTTCATCCGTTTCTAAATTTGTTGAATCTATTAATCTTAAATCAGCAGGAATTGTATCACCAACAGCAATATAAATTACATCTCCAGGTACAACATCTTCAGCATTAATAGTAATTTTATCACCATTTCTTAATACTGTAGCTGTTGGAGAACTTAAAGATTTTAAAGATCCCATAGTTAATTCAGCCTTATATTCTTGAATAAATCCCACAAATATATTAATAAAAATTACAAATCCAATAACACCACCAGAAATCCAATCCTTAATTGCTAAAGCAATAACCATGGAAATTATTAACACTATAACCATAGCATTAAAAATTTGATGAGCTAAAATCTTCGATATAGAGATTTTATGTTCAGCTCCTAAATTATTAGGACCATATTTAGTTTTATTACTTTGATATTGAGAATCAGTTAAACCAATTGTTAAATCTACTGAATATAGTTCAGCAACTTTTTCAATAGATAATTTATAATTATCATTCAAATCCAACAAGTGGTTGTTATTTAAACTCTTTTCATGATACAAGACAGGCGATTTTTCACGGCCTTCATCTTCATAGCTTTGACTAATTGACGAACCATTGTAATTATTTAATTGATTAACTGAACCGGAAGACTTTATTTTCAAAAACTTAAAAAACACAGACAATGCCTTTGCAGAAAACTGACTTTCGAAGAGTGTTAGCTTAATTCACAGTGAAATGTGTAAGCTTAATTCACAGTAGAATTGATAATTTCACTTAATAGAAGAAGTAGTTGTTCAGCTTAAAGGATGGGAGAAGACATATAAAATTTTTTTTCAACGGCTCGCTCAGATACACAGATAATATAAAACGTGCTTAATTTGGATGTTTGGATGTTTTCTGATAAGAAAACATGTACTAAATCAAAAGTTTACCTAATAGAGGTACAGTATGCATAATAATCGCTCCACTTTTTATAAGATTATCTGCAACTAATAAACTATAAATCTAGAAACTGTAAACCAAGAAACTATAAATGTAAATCTAATCTTCGAAAGAAATCTCTCTTTGCAAATTTCCTTTGCGCTTGCATGATCTGCAAAATAAGTATTTTTAACATAGTGCAGACTCCGGACTCCCGAATTTGTTGGGATAAACATACCTTTGTTTGTTTTTACAATATAAGTGAATGAATTAGATTTAACTGAACTTTCTTCTGATGAATTTCTTAGAATGTTTAATTGGTAAACTAGTGGTTGCCACTATGCAAGTCATGGATTTTGTTCACTATTTTGAATGAAACTATACCTTTAGCTCAAACATGAGCTTAAAATTGTTAATAATCTAAATTCATGTTTGGATCTTTAATGTAATCTTCTAATAAATAAAATCCTTGTAACTTTGATTTACTACCCCAATCACGGAAACCATATTGAAATAAACGTGGCGTTACATTGATCTTATCACAATTAAGTCCACTTTTTAAGAATTCAGCTGGTGAAGTACTCTTTAACTTTATAGAAATAGATACTTCCAAAAGAAAATTGGCTAAGATAAAACCGTAACTACCTAAAAATTAATTTGTAGGCATAATCCCTTCTACTGTAGGTACTTCTACAGTGTTTTACACTTTTAGGATCATTTACTTCCCCTTATTCATTCCAGTTTTGCAAGTAACTACGCTGACTTTAAATGTAGTACTTATCCAGAAGTTCATCTCCATCTTCAATTATATCATCGATATCAAAATCTATTTGTTTGAGTTCTGGAAAATCAAAATTTATGTAACTAATAATTTTATGGACTTCATTTTGTAAAATACTTCTGGGTATTCGTTATGGATATAGGCCCCATTATCAGCTTTGTGATAATTTTAAACTTGGATCAAACTCCAATTACAAAATTTAATTGCCATAGTTTGTATATGCAACCAATCGCTTCCGGTTTTGTTCAAGTACTACCGTAGAATTGAAAGCAGTTGTAGAATCATAAAATTCACGCATTTTAGTTGCCTTATTCGAGACTAATTGTGAATACTGCAAGTAAGCTAATGTAAAAAACTAACACTTAATTTTGGCAACCGTTGGTAATGTTGATGCATGGATGCGAGGTATGGATGCGAGTTGGATTATGTCAAGGATAATTAGATGTAGGATATATAATTAAGAATGAATTATTCAAAGAAAATAGCATTGTGTATGGTCAATGACTTTACATTGGGTAAATAAGGTATACTCTATGAGTTGAGGTGAATATGATGAAAATGATAAAAAGTACATAACTCAATGTATGCATGAGTTGAAGAATATAAGAAAACGTATATTTGGTTGATTTCTGACCAAATCTTTCTTAGTTTTAACTACTTCAAAATTCATTACTAAGTTTACAGCAATAGATATAAAACATATAATAAATATATATATATTATTAGAAACAAGCTATAGTATATAAAATGGTTGCAAAATTATAATTGAATATAAACAAAAGGTAAACAAAAGAGGTTACATACACACCACACGTGCGATTGCTCACATGTGCTGCGCGCAAGCCAAAAGCCAAGCGCGCTCTTTTTCCCCCCAACTTAACAGGGTGTCTCAAACGGGATCCACTCACACTGTGTACAGGATTTTTCACCACTGCTTCGAAGCACTTAATTAATAACAAGTGTTGGATAAATAATTTAATATCGGCCATTGTTATTTCATTAGTCAATCTTACAACTTAATTTCATCTCCATGGCTAGAACAAGGTCGGCTGTAGCTGCGGCTGCCTCTAAAGCAGCCTCTACTCAAAAACATGAAAAGTCTGACTTTCTTAATTTTGATCCTAATGTAGATGTAATTTATGAAAAGGGTTCAGTACGTCCATATTTAATTACAACCAGTACCAAAGAATTAGTTGAAAAACGTCTGAAATTTAATATTAAAGAATATTATATTTTAGCAGCTTTAGTAATATTTTCTTGTTATATAAGATTATATGGTTTAACTTATCCTGATTCTGTTGTATTTGATGAAGTTCATTTTGGTGGGTTTGCAAAGAAATATATTTTAGGTACTTATTTTGTTGATGTTCATCCTCCTTTAGCTAAATTATTAATTGCTGCTTCTGCCGCAATTGGAGGTTTTAAAGGTGATTTTGATTTTAAAACAATTGGTGATAAATATCCTTCAACAACTCCTTACCTTTTAATGAGACAATTACCGGCTTTATTAGGTATTGGTACAATTATTTTAAGTTATTTTACTTTAAGACATTCTGGGGTTAGACCATTTATTGCCTTTGCTACCACATTTTTATTAATTATTGAAAATTCAAATGTAACAATTTCAAGATATATTTTATTAGATTCTCCATTACTTTTCTTTATTGCTGCAACAATTTATGGTTGGAAAAAATTTGAAATTCAAATTCCATTTACTTTAAATTGGTATAAAACTTTATTTTCAACTTCTATTGCTTTAGGTTTAGCATTAAGTTCAAAATGGGTTGGATTATTTACTGTAGCTTGGGTAGGAATTTTATCTGCTTATCAATTATGGTTTTTAATTGGAGATTTATCAATTTCAACTAAAAAAATTTGGGGTCATGCCGTAGCAAGAGGTTCATTTTTATTAGGAATTCCAATTATTTTATATATTATATTTTTTGCAATTCATTTTCAATTATTATATAAAGAAAGTGATGGATCAGCATTTATGTCAAGTGCTTTTAGAGCTGGTTTACAAGGTAATCATGTTCCAACTAATATTGAAGCCAATGTTGGATTAGGATCAATTGTAACCCTTCGTCATGTATCAACTCAAGGAGGTTATTTACATTCTCATGATCATTTTTATCCAACCGGTTCAAAACAACAACAAATTACTTTATATCCTCATTTAGATAGTAATAATAAATGGTTTATTGAACCTTATCAAAATACAACTATTTATAATGAAACTTTTGTACCATTAAAAGATGGATCAAAAGTTAGATTTAGACATGTTAATACTGGTAGAAGATTACATTCTCATGATGAAAAACCTCCAGTTAGTGAAAGAGATTGGCAAAAGGAAGTTTCATGTTATGGATTTGAAGGATTTGGAGGTGATGCTAATGATGATTGGATTGTTGAAATTGTATCACATAAAACTCCAAAAAATTCAAGAACAAATGTTAAAGCTTTAACAACCATTTTTAAATTAAGACATGCCATGTCAGGAAATTATTTATTTTCAACCGAAACTAAATTACCAGAATGGGGATTTAAACAACAAGAAGTTACTGCTGCAGGTCAAGGTAAAAGACATTTACTTGAATGGTATATTGAAACCAATGAAAATCCTTATTTAACTAAAGGTCAACGAGAAATTGTTAATTATAAAAAATTATCATTATTTGAAAAAATTATTCAAGTTCATAAAAGAATGTGGAAAATTAATCAAGGATTAACTGAACATCATAATTGGCAATCAAATCCTCAAGATTGGCCATTTTTATTAAGAGGTATTAATTATTGGGCTAAAGAATCTAAACAAGTTTATCTTCTTGGTAATGCCCCAATTTGGTATGCTACTACTACTGCAATCTTTACCTTTATAATTTATACTATAGTTCAAATTATTAAATGGCATTTAGGTCAAGAAATTGCCAAAGATAAAGATGTTTTTAATTTTAATCATCAAGTATTTACTTATATTTTAGGATGGTTCCTTCATTATTTCCCATTCTTTATTATGGGTAGACAATTGTTTTTACATCATTATTTACCATCATTATATTTTGGAATTTTAGTATTAGGACACTTTTTTGATATTCTTGTGGGATATTTATTATCAAAATCAGTCACTTTACAAAAGACTGGTTATGGATTAGTTACACTTTTCCTTATTGGTAGTAGTTTATTCTATTTAAATTATTCTCCATTAATTTATGGAACTCCATGGACAAAAGGTCAATGTCTTCAATCTAAATTTGGATCTTGGGATTTTGATTGTAATGTATTCCATGGAACTATTGGAGAATATTATTCATCACCAGTAATTGAATCTCCAAAGGAAACTCACGTACCCCTTTTTGAAGAAATTGAAAAAGTTAAAGAAACTCCAATTGTGGTTCATCAAAATGTCGCAGTTAAAGATGAACATCAATCAGAAGTTGCTCCACCTAAACAAGATACTGAACAAGAAATTCATGATGAAGATGAAAAACCTGTAGTTCCACCTCCATTAGCTAATTCTGAAGTTGAAACTCCCAAGGCTAATGGTGGTGTACCAGAAGTAGTACCAGAAGTTGAAGTTGCTGATGAAGAGACTCCTATCGCTGAAGTTAAAGCTGATGGAAAGGAAAAGGTTCAACAACATTATGAGGTTGAAGAGCCAGTTGCACAACAAGAACAAGAACCACAACAAGAGCAAGAGCAAGAGCAAGAGCAAGAAGAACCAGTAGTGGCTGAAGCTGTTTAGGTCTTACAATATATACATTTATATTATCTTTAGTTTTAGTTATCTTTAGTTATCTTTGTTTATGTTATGTACATTTTAATTGTTTCTATCTACTTACTCTTCATCTGATCCTTCAACATTCTCAATGGCTCTACCTCTAACATACTTCTCCTTCTTAACCATTTCATTAATTTCTTTATATAAATTATAACTGCCATGAATGGACTTAAACATTACAAATGTTAAACAAACCACTGGCCAAATATAAATTCTAAATGATGTACTAACCAATTGATCTTTAACTTTAAAATAGGTTAATATAGTAGTTACAGGTAAATGAACCATTGAAAAATTAATTAATACTGTTGTAACTCCACTCTTATTTAATAATTGACCAATATTACCTCGATCTATTGGTTCACCATTTAAATGTGGCATACTAGTTAATACATAATTTAAGAATGGAACTATAGTCCATAAGGAGATTATCATATGAATTGGGATAGATAATCCACTAATAAGATAAGGTAAATGAGTTAATTGGAAATAATATCGAAGGGGATCATCTATACAAAGCTTATGAATAGTAAGGATCCAATAACCCCAAAGGAAAAACATAATAGTAAGGATAATGACGGGAGGGATATCGAGTTGAACTATTAAGTTAACTATATCATTAACAAATGCCACTCTTTGAGGACGGTTTGCTAGGACTGGTGCTGGTTGATCTGGTTGATCTGGTTGATCTGGTTCTACTTGTGCTTGTGCTTGTGCTGCTACTGCTGCTGCTGCTGCTGCTGGTGAAGCATTCTCTCTAGCTAAATACTTATCATAACTAGATAATCCAGCCAAAAGAAGTCTAAGACCTACTCCCAAAGCAGCCAATTCAAATTTCCAATTAGCTGAAGTTGAACTAGTTGAACTACTTGAATTGATTAAGATATCTATTAACCATAAGATTGGTTTTCCCAATACTAAAGCTCCAAACACTATACCAGAAATAAGTAATACAGCAAAGATCCATAACATACAAATTAATCCAAAGCATCGAGCTTTAAATTTAGGAGGTCTATAAACAATGGTATAAGCATTTTCTGTACTAATTTCATCATCTTCTTCAGATGAAGGAGTTTCATAACCTGATCGAATATTATTAGTTTCAATGGCACTTAATAATTTATCATCTTTAGTTACTGGAACAAATAATTTCTTAATAAATTTTCTTGATACACTATCATTATCAGGAGCTCTAACATAATTCCCATTGGGGATAAAACATGCATTAATTTCATTATTTAATTTAAATAATGATAATGCTTGAGAATAAGTTACTGGTTTTGTATAATCTGGTAAAACATTTCCCATAATTCTTTGAATTATATTACGATAAACAATATAACCTCTCTCTTGAGATATTGGTTTACCTAATATAAAATGAGAAAGTCTTAATTTATGACAAGATATTTCAAAAGCTTTAAACCAATACATTTGACAATATTTTGTAAGTAATGGTTGAGATGATATAATTCTTGATATTGAAAATCCAAATATAAGTATGGCTATATAACCGGGTTGTTCAATAGGTAAGAAATAATGATCGTAATTAGAATTCGAATTCGAATTAGAATTAGAATGATTAATTAAAAATCTAAATCCCCAAGTAATACCTCCAATTCCAATTAATATAAATCCCGTATAAACTTTAGCACTTAAATAAATTCTTGAAAGTTGTAATATTAATGGTTTAACCAATGCATCATGAATTAATCTTGCATTTGGATCATCAGGAGATCTTATAAAGAATAAAACTCCTGGACGTAATACAGTACTTCTAACCATCCCAATAAATAATGCAAAGAATAGCATATAAAGTGTACCAGACCCCCAATAAAGTAAGATTCTAAAATAAGAAATTTGTAATGAATCAAAATATGATGTAACTAATATAATAAAAGTAATTGAATTATCATTTAACCGTTTAGTAAATTGAGGTAAAATTAATGGAGCAGCACAAAAATCTAATAACCAACCACAATAAACCGGGAAAAAGAATATTTCAATAGCAAATATTAAAAATACTTTAAGAGTTGAAGTTAATTCAAAAAGTTTCTTATAAACTTTTCGAGGATTCCCCATAATTGGTTTAGTACCAGATGTTAAAGATTTCATAATTTTATATACTGTAAATATAATTAATGAATAACCAATCCCAAGTAGAATGGTTCTTTCAATTAATGAATATTGAATATTTTCACTGGTTTCAAAGAATAATTTATTAATGGTTGAAATTATTGGATTTATTAAATATGATTGAATTGAACTTATACTAAAATCACAAAATTCGACACCAGTTTTATATTGAGAAATATCAAATTTAATTAAACTTAAATCATAAATGAATCGTTTAATAATTATTTGATTAAGAAATTTAATTATGGCTCCAATAATTGATACAAAGATATTTCCTAACATATGAGGAATTAAATAAATGATAAATAAATATGCTGAAATAACAAAATCACATACAAACATTAAGAATATTGGAGTCTTGATGTTTAAAGAAATTCCAAATAATTCTAAGAATTCAGCAATACCTCCGGCTCCAGCATTCATAGCTCCTTGAATAGCAGCAGCTTCTGCTTCATCATCCGCACCTTCATCATCTGATTCATCAGTTTCTTCATCTAATCGATTAGCCAAGAGTTCATCTAATCGATTAGGAATTGGTGCAGGTACTGGTGCAGGCACTGGTACTTGTACTGGTGCTGGGGGTACAGGAACTTCAGCAGGTGCTGGACCTGGAACTTGTCCTGGAACTTGTCCTGGAACTGGATTTCCATTAAGATTTCCATTAGGATTTCCATTGGGATTTCCATTAGGATTCACAAATACAGTTCTTCTATCATTGTCTTCATCTACCTCTCCATCTGATAAATCTTCTTGTGGAGGTTGTGGATGAATTTGATCATTGTTTACTAAATCAGTAAAGGCATTTCCTGCTTCTATAACTCTTCTTAAAGCTTCTTCTCTACCTTGTTGATCTTGATCATTATTATTATCTTGTAAATCAGCAATAGCCGTTGCTATCATTTCTAATCTTCTTAAATTTGCTGCTGCATCAGGATTATTAGCTTGATCATTTCTTATACTTGCTAAAGCTTGTTGTAACATATCAATTAATTTTGTTCTAGGTTCTTTACCGATTTTTTTCATTAATAATTTTGGATAACCTTCATCTCTTACAACCCATTCATGTTCAACAAATAAAGCAATATGAATAATTATTGCAATAATTAAATATCTTAAACCACTAAAATAAGTATAAGATACAAGTTTTCGAAGAGTTAAGAATTCTAAATGGAAAGGATTAAGAATTGTAGGAGATAATGAAGATAATGAAGAAAGAGATGAAGATGAAGATGAAGATGAAGATGAAGTTACAGAAGAATTAAATTGAGATAAAAATGAATTTATATCATATTCTCCAAATAATAAAGCATCTTTAAAGGAAGGATTTTGGATAGGTAATTTCCCATCTAATGCCCAAGTATAAATTCTTCCAGCAAATTTCCAATAAAACGGTACTTGAATAAAAATACATATAACATATAATGATAAAGATAATGAAGTTATTAAAGTATGACTCATAGTTTGAATTAATTTATGCCATACTAAATTCATGGGAATTCTTGATGGCATAGCAGGATCATAAATAATTTTAAAAGTATAAGGAGTATTACAAATATCACATTTTTCAGTTGATTTATTTGCATGTTTAAGCCATTCTAATAAACAATCTTGATGAACATATTTGATAGATCCTCGACATTTACAGGGATGAAGAAGTGGTTGAGTGTCGGTCGCCTCACCTCGACAAATACGACAAGTATGTTCTACATCCATAATGAAATGGGAGGGGTGGGGGGAATGATTTTGATTTTAATTTTATTAACTATGATAAGTCTGGGGATTTATCGGTTAGTGATACTTTTCTTACTATTATGAGTTAATAGTGATGGGTATGAGTTTGATGTTAAGTCGGATTTGACTTTGGATGGAGGATATACGGTGGGACACTCGGTCGGAATGGTTCTCGGATGTGTCTACAAACGATATGTTATACTATAGGAGGTATAACTATGACTTCATCCGACTATGATCCTTCATTGCCTCTGGTGAAAAAAATGTGCCGTGGGTCACGTGCAGATCACTATAGCAACTACAAGTCAGAGATATTTGAAATATTTGAAATATTTGAAATATAGTAGAGGTATAACTAATACAAATAAGTTGTATACTTATTGCTTATATACTATTAGCGTATACTAATGATAGTACTAACTTATAATTATACTAAAGCTTATAATACTACTTACTATACTACTAACTATACTACTAACTAATTATCATCATCATCTTCATTCTTAAACATTACATTCCCAGTAACTTTCCTCTTCTTCTTGGCTTTACTACCCTTATCTGTTCGCTTTGTATACTTTCTCTTTTCCTTTTTAACTGCTCCATTACTACTACCAGATTCTTTATTAGTTTCTTCTTCTCCTTCTCCTATATCTTCATCATTATCTTCATCATCATCTTCATCATCATCTCCTCCCTTATCTTCAAACATTTTCTTAGCTCTTTCAATTCTATAACTTGTTTCCATAATATAATGAAGTCTAGCTAATTTAACAGGATCATCCTTTAATACTACACTTAAATCATTAAGTTTAACTCGAGTCCGATTTTGAGTCTTTGCAAATCCCGCAAGTTTATAACTAATATCAGTTAAATATTCAATTAAAATATCTTCTAATGCTTGAACAGTCATATCAGTACTTGTGGGTCGATCTCCCATAGCATATAATAAATTTTCAATATCTTTAGCAAAGATTCTTTGTTTCTTTCTTCTCTTTTTATTAACATTATTAGTTATAGGTGGTAATTGAGGTCGTATGGTTGGTCTATAACCTCCACTAATAGACATTCCAAATCCTCCTGTTTGTAAGGGAATTCGAGGAATTATACTACCACTATTAGTTTTATCTGATTCTACTCGATCTACACTTTCTTCTACCATAATTAAGTTGGATATATACTATATAGTTATCAATAATAGTAAAAGTAGTAGAGTACTTCTTTGTATGAGCGACTAGTCAAGTAGTGCGCGCGCACAAACAAAACACATAGTTAAAACAAACTAATTACTTGTATTATGACATATTAGATATATAACTAAACAACAGTTGGATCTCTGGATTTCCATTCTAAAATTAAATCATCCTTAGGGAAGATGGTAGCGAAGACTTTGATTTCTTCAGATAAATCAGTTTTATGATGAATTAAATCAGCATTCATAACAAATTTACCTAACATACCAGTAAATAACATTAATACATAATTTTTACCTAAACAAACATGAGGTCCAGTACCAAAGACTAACCAATTTCTTTTATACATATCTCCTGAAGCATTTTCCCATCTTTCAGGAATAAATTCATCGGGTTGAGGATAAACTTCTGGATCATGTAATGCAGGATATAAAGTTGGAATAATCATTGAACCCTTTGGTGCACTATAAGTTTCAGTTACTGGGAATTTTTCTTTAACAACATAAGGAACCATAAGAACTGGTGGTCTATATCTAAGAGATTCTTTAACAACATTATTTGTATAAGTCATTTCATTAATTAATTGTAAATCTAATGGAACTGATGGATCATTATTTCTAACACTTAATTGTTCTTGTCTAATTTTTTCAACAACATCAGGACGATCACTAACAATTTGAAATAACCAACATGCTAAAGATGATGAAGCATCTTGAGATGCAAATAAAAATGTAAAAATTGTTTCACTAATTTCTTTATTAGTAAATTCTCTAATTAATAATTTTGAATCTGGATCACTTTCATCATAATTTTCTCTTGCTTGTTTCATAAGATGAATCCATTCATCCATAACACAAGTTGGTTTACCTGATTTTTCATTAATATGAACTTTTGCCATTGCAGCACAATCTGAAAAAATTTGCATAGTTTCATCAGCAATCTTTTTACCATACCAAGTTTTTGTATAAGGGAAAATAATTGGGAAATTAACTAATTCTAAAGCAGCAGTAATTCTATAATAATTATCAGCAATAAGACTAATTTGATCTTCAGTAATATAATCACCACAAAATGTTCTTAAACTTAATGCACATAATAATTCTCTAAATTCAGGAAAGAATTGTCTTGGACCATCATAATTTATAAATCTTTTTAAATAAATATCCATATACTTTTCTTGAACTGGGATATAAATTTCTAAAGCTTTTTGACTAAATAATCCATTTAATGATCTTCTATAATCAGTATGAGCTTTACCATCTAAAAATACCCAATTGGTTGGTCTAAGAATTTTAATTGCAACATCAACAACACATGGTTTAACATATTTTGGAGATCCTAAAATTTTTCTAGCTAAATCACGAGAAGAAGCAATAACAACAAATTTATGAAAAATTGATACACATGATAAATCTCCACTATCCCATTTAGCTTTATATTCTTCAAATTTTGGATCAAGAGATTCTAAAAATGGTCCAATAATTGGCCATATTTTAAAAGCTGGACCAGCAATTGAACCCTTTCTAAGTTGATACATAAGTTGATCATAAGATAATACAATGACTATAAGACTAGCCACAATCTGCCACCATGATAAACTTTCATAATAAGCTTTAGTAGAATTAACAATAGTTGGAAAATCAACTTGAATTGGTAAAGTTGAATTCATGATTAATACTAAATAAATAAATTAGAAATTATAAATTAAAATTATCTATGAGTCTATTGGAAAATTAATTTGATAAAGTGATGGAATAAGGAATGAATAATATTAATATAGCTGAACACGAATGAGCTACGAGTTGAAAGACCCTTTCCGATAAACAAAGTAGTAAGAATAATATTAACAAAAGTACTGGGCAAGCTTGGCTCCACCAGATGTTACTTATGACTCGGGGATAATTGGTCAGGCTATATATTAACCTTTAAAACGATTGTGGGTTATGTTATGATATGATCGGAATAAATTTTTCGGTATACGGCCGCATAAATAAAATTTATACGATCGTTTAAGGGTACGGTACGGTGCGGTAAGTGCGGTAGGGAACGATGCTCTGATGTGTTATGTGGTGGCATGTGTCGCACTTTTTTAAAGACTAAATCCTTAATCTTTTTTTGCGACAATCTATCATGTCGTGTATGTCATTAAATGTCGCATCTAATGAGATGCCAGTACTTTTTTTTTTTCAGTAGCTATTGCAAATAATTTAATATAGTAATAAATAGACAATTAGTAGAATCTGTTTTAAGAACAAGATGGCTAAAAGGAAAAATAGTGCCAAGGAGATAGAGAAGAGAAAGAAACTCAAGCAGGAACAACAGGACAAATTGTTGTCTGCTGGTGTGTTCAATAAGAAACAATCTCTTGAGACAGATCAAGACGATGAGCATGCTTGGGAAAATGAAGAACAAGACTATGAACTTAGACCTAGAAATGTGGCTAAAGCTGTAGTTGAAGGATTACCCATTAAAACTAGTGATGGGAAAATAGAACGAGTAGTGAGAGAAGTAGTTGCGGAAGTTGAAGAAGAAGAAGAAGTTGAACCTGAAGATGATAAGGCAGAAATCGATTCACAAACTCAAATTGAAGATGAAGAAGAAGACGAAGATTCACATTTAAGTCCTAGAGAAAGATTGAATAAGATTAAAGAAGAGATTGCAGATTTAGCCTCCAAATTAATTGAAGATCCTGAAGAAAATATTGCATGTTTAACTAGATTAAGAAAAATGTCTGAATCAAAAAATGTCATTACTAGTCAATTATCAATAATGTCACTTATACCTGTATTTAAATCATTAGCTCCATCTTATAAGATTAGACCTTTAACAGATACAGAAAAGAGAGAAAAAGTTAGTAAAGATATAATGAAACTTCGTAATTTTGAACAAAGTTTATTATCTAATTATGTTCAATATATTGATAATTTATCTAAACTTGCTAAAGTAAGTTATTCAAATTCTTTAAATAATTCTAAAATAAGTCCTCAGCAAATTAAGCTAGGTTCAATTGCATCCAAAGCCGCATGTGAATTATGTCTATCATCTCTTAGACATTTTAATCATCGTGCTGAATTATTTTCAATAATCATTAGAAGATTAAATAGAAAGCCTAGTCATGAAGATGATTTACAGATATTTACTAAATGTTTAAGAGGGTTAGAAACTCTTTTAAAAGATGATGAAGAAAATGGTGATATTTCATTTGATATAACTAAATTATTAATTCGATCTATTAAAGATAAAAAATTCCGAGTGGATGAATCGGTATTAAATATATTTCTTTCACTTAAAATTTTAGAAGATTATAATCCTTATGAATCAGAAAATCAAGCATCTCAAAAGCCCAAATTGAAAAAGAAAGATCGTGTACATATATCTAAAAAGGAACGTAAGGCAAGAAAGGAACGTAAAGAAATTGAAGAAGAATTACAAAAGGCTCAACATTCTATTACTGTTGAAGAACGAGAAAAGTATCAATCACAAATTTTAAAAGATTTATTAACATTATACCTTGAAATTTTAAAATCAGGTTCTTCAACCACTCCTAATGATGCAACTTTACTTATGGCATCAGTTCTTGAAGGTTTATCAAAATTTGGTCAAATGGCAAATTTTGATTTATTAGGAGATTTTCTTGAAGTATTACGAGAAATTATGACTGATATAATAGATGATCATAGAGAAGAAGGTGGACAATATGATGGGAAACAAATTAGAACTATACTTTTATGTATTGTTACTTCATTTTCACTTGTATTAAATCATCAATCAAATGGTAGATTACCCATGACTATTGATTTATCTAAATTTATTTCTAATTTATACTTAATTCTTGCAGATTTATCACTTGATTGTGATGTTGAATTTAGTCATAAATCTCTTCGATTAATGGATCCATTAAGTAATTCAAATGAAAAGCCTTCAGTTAATGTTTCTACTAAATCAGAACTTTTATTAAGATGTCTTGATTTCATTTTTTTCCGATCTAGAAATGGATCTTCATTCCGAGCTAATTCATTTATAAAGAGACTTTATATGGTATTATTACATACACCAGAAAAGACAAGTTTAGCAGGATTAAAATTTGTGGGTAAATTACTTAGTAGATATGATGAGAATCTTAAATATTTATGGAATACTGATGAATCTATAGTAGAAGGTTCATATATTCTTGGAATTGAACAACCTCATATTGATGTTGAATTAGAAAGATGTAATTCAGGAGCTGCTACACTTTGGGAAAATGTATTATTAGAGAATCATTATTGTCCAGTAGTGAGAGATGGTGCACGATCATTAATGAAGAATAGTAAACCCAACGATAGACGATAAATAGACATACATAGTATATTGTAAATATAGAATCTTAATGCATACATTATTACTATAAACTGTATATTATATATATATATATATTTACTAATAAACTGTATATACATGTATATATAGATGTATATATGTGTATGTTAGCCGTGTGCCACCACCCATTTTTTTCTTTTGCCTATAAATTATTATGGCAAAAAGTGTATTACCAATCTGTAATTACTATCTTAATTATATCATAGAATGTTAAGTACGCCAGTATTCTACTTGAATGTAGAAGAGAATTCCGCGGGATTGCCGCCTTATTCCGATAAGATTATTCTACCTTCATCAGTCTTACAAACCATTGTGGAAATAATACCGGAATCAGATTTACCTCATCCATTGATCTTTAAGATTACCAATGAACATAATGAAAAATTCACTTATGTAGGAGTTAAAGAATTTTCCTCGGAAGAAGGCATAGTTATAATGCCTAGTAAAGTGAAAACTATACTTTCAAAGCCTCAAAGTATAAATTTATCATTACAATCTAATATTCCTAAGGTTACTTCATTAAAGCTTAAACCTACTCAATTATATTCAAATATAACTAATTGGAAGTATTTTTTAGAAAGTGTATTATTGAAATATTATACAGTATTAACTAATAGACAATTGCTTATTATAGAAGATGGTAATTTCCATTATGAAATGAATATAGAAGAAATTAATGAATCTAATGATTCAAATATTGTGGCAAGTATAATTAATACTGATGTTACTTTAGATATAATACCTCTAAATGATGATATGGCCAATCAACAACTATTAGAATTTAATTCTAATCCTCATAATAATATTGTTGAAGTTAAATCTTCAATTATTGTAAATGATATTAAGTCCTTTCTTGGAGGCAAATTTATACCGAAGATATTTAAATTTGATATTACATCATTTACATCACCTAAAATTTATATTAAACTTGAATCTTCAGATTTATTCAATGTAGATCTTATTGGTGGATTTGATAAATTAACTAATCTTGAGAATTTCAAGTATACCACCATGAATCAAGATTCTAATATTGAACAGAATAGTATACCTTATAAGTATATTGAAGTTGATTTAAAAAGTGATGAAATAGTCAATAAAATAAATCGACATGATGAAGATGATGATGAAGATGATGAATATAAATTCATTTATTTTATTCCATTTACATGGGAACAAGATGCCGATATAACATTAAGTGTTAGTACTGAATTGGATTTGGATTCAATTATTAATCAAGAAGAAATAGAAATTAATGAAATCAGTGCATCACAAATACGATGTCAGAATTGTTTAAAAGTGATTGAAAAGGATAAATATTCTCTTCATCAAGCATTCTGTTTAAGAAATAATAAGAGATGTCCACAGTGTAATGAAATTTTCTTAAGAGTTATACCAGAAACTCATTGGCATTGTCCTCAAGATACTTTCTATAGTAATTCGACATTATTAAGATTCAAGCATCAAAAATTATTTCATTTACATCCTTATACATGTAATCAATGTTCTAAAGGAGGTAGTTATGATAATTTTCTTGATTTAGTCATTCATCATAAAGGTTCAGAATGTCCTAGTAAATTAATACAATGTCGCTTTTGTAAATTAATTGTTGCTCAAGAAGAATCTACGTATCAAGATAAGTTTGAGAATTTAACTCATCATGAGAATTGGTGTGGAGGTAGAACTAGTGAATGTTACAAGTGTGGACAAATCTTTCGATTAAGAGATTTTAAAAAGCATTTAAAAGTTCATCAATTACAAACTAAAGAATTCAATCAACTGATTAAAGTCAATTTCAATAAGTGTGCTAATGAGAATTGTATTAATTTAATTCAAAATTATAATAATAATGATTTAAATTTATGTGATATATGTTATGGACCTTTATATATTCAACAATTAGATCCTACTAATATTAAATTACAATCGCGACTTGAGAGGAAATATATAATGCAACTAACTAAAGGATGTGGACAGTCTTGGTGTAATAATAGATATTGTGTTAGTTCAGGGAATGGAGATCCTCAGGTTGTAGGGAAGAGTATTAAAGAAGTATTTCAATTTATTAATGCAGAATTACTACCACAAATCTACTATCCAACTTTGCCTATTAATAGTAAGAATAAGAATAAAACTAAAAATGATGGTGATAAGACCCTTAATAAAGTATGGTTCTGTGTGACAGAATCGTTAGCACACAAGAAACTGTTACTAGAAGTCTTAATAGAAGAGAGAATTTATGAGCCAGAAATGATATACAAGGCAGTCAATGAGAATAGTAATGAACAGAGTATAAGACAATGGTTGAGAGAGCACCAAGTGAAATAGTAGTAGGTTGCAACTTATAAATAGCAATAGATAAAAAAAGCAATTACTCATCTCTACTTTTACCTGATTGGGACAAATGGCGCACAGCGGAAAAATGCTCACTGTGGAGCCAGCCAACCGGCACGCGAACAGCACCCGTACCGTATCATACTATAGAATGTACTACAGTAGTATCATAGTTTATAGTATATATAGTGCTAGTATATTATTGTATTATGTTGTAGTATATGAGAAGTAGTAGTAGTAGTAGATACACTAGTAGTATATAGAACACACCACTGAATACAAAGAAATCACATATATCACAAATACACTATATCTCTACCCTCTCGTAATGCTGCGTCTACCCTCTCCTCGGCCATGTCCCCGAAGCGATGCTCGGCCGACCTGCACACGGCTCTTATCGCCACCACCGCTGGGGTTCCCTCCCTCCTCGGGGAATATATATCATTTAGCATATCTTTCTTCTTTAGGTTAATTATAAATTTCTTTCATAGTTTCTAACTAATAAACATCCACTACAAAACTCCAGTCTTATATCATATCTTGTTGATTAACTGGTTGATTAGTGTTTTGGGTATCTTTTAATTAGAATAAAATTTTAGAATTAATTTGTTAATTTATATTATCTCTCGTGCTTATCTTATTTCCTCCTTATCATGAAGTTATCTACATCGGTTGCCCTTTCTATTTTAGGGGCCTTAAGTGTTCAAGGTTTAGTTATCCCATCTGTTGGTGATATTATTGACGTGTTTGCTCTTGATGTTAAAAAAGTTAATGAACATGATGATCAACAAGTTGCTAAGGTTGATGCTATTCCTGTTAATTCTGCTCCTGCTCCAATTCTCGTGGATAAAGTGGCTGGTACTACTAAAGATGAAGCTCCTTTCTTTACTTTAGCTCAAAATATTATTCCTCATAGATATATTATCGTATTAAAGGAAGGAGTTTCTAAAGATGAATTAGATTTCCATAAAGAATGGGTTGCTTTAACTCATACTAATTCACTTTCTGATTTAAATAAAGATCATGAATTTTTCGTATCTACTAAAGATTTTAAAGCTGAAGGTGGTATTGTTGATAGTTTCCATATTGAAAACTTATTTTCTGGTTATACTGGTTACTTTTTAGAATCAACTATTGAATTAATTCGTAAAAATCCTTTAGTTCAATTTGTTGAACAAGATTCTATTGTTAATGCTTCAGAATTTGAAATTGAAAAGGGCGCACCATGGGGTTTAGCAAGAGTTTCTCATAGACAACCTTTAAGTTTAAATTCATTTAATCAATATCTTTATGATAATGAAGCTGGTAAAGGTGTTACATCTTATGTTATTGATACTGGTATTAATGTTGATCATGTTGAATTTAATGGTAGAGCTAAATGGGGTTCAACTATTCCTTATGGTGATCAAGATATTGATGGTAATGGTCATGGTACTCATTGTGCTGGTACTATTGCTTCTGATGCTTATGGTGTTGCTAAAGGTGCTGAAGTTGTTGCTGTTAAAGTTTTAAGATCTAATGGTTCTGGTTCAATGTCTGATGTTGTTAAAGGTGTTGAATTTGCTGCTCAATCTCATACTGCTGCTGCTAAGGCTAATAAAAAGGGATTTAAAGGTTCAACTGCTAATATGTCATTAGGTGGTGGTAAATCTCCTGCTTTAGATTTAGCTGTTAATGCTGCTGTTAAGGCAGGTATTCATTTTGCTGTTGCTGCTGGTAATGAAAATCAAGATGCATGTAATACCTCTCCAGCTGCTGCTGAAAATGCTATTACTGTTGGTGCTTCAACTATTTCTGATGTTAGAGCTTATTTCTCTAATTATGGTAAGTGTGTTGATATTTTTGCTCCAGGTTTAAATATTTTATCTACTTATATTGGATCTACTACATCAACTGCTACTTTATCAGGTACTTCTATGGCATCTCCTCATATTGCCGGTTTATTATCTTATTTCCTTTCTTTACAACCAGGTGCAGAATCTGAATATTTTGTTGCTTCTAATGGAGTTTCTCCAGAACAATTAAAGAAGAATTTAATTGCTTATGGTTCTAAAGGAGTTTTAGGTGATATTCCAGATGATGGAACTCCAAATATTTTAGCTTTCAATGGTGCTGGACACAATTTAACTGAATTCTGGGCTCCAGGTTCTAAAGCCGAACAGGTCTCAATCAAGAAAGGTAAACATGGTAGAAAACATAAATCTATTGAAAAGAAAATTGCTCACTTATTAGAAGATGTTGATGCTCCAACTGTTCTTGAAGAAGTTAAAGCATTAGTTGATGCTGCTTACAATAAGGTTCACAATTAAGTATTGGATAAATTAATTAATTCATTTACTTAATTACCCATTTCTTTCATTATTCCGGTTTGATTTTCATTTCTTTTTATTCCTGTGCTTTTGGCCGCCTCATTCTCTTTATATAGCTCTATGTAGTTTTTTATTCCTTATGTTTTATCATTTGTTAAATCAGCATTACATCATTTTATAGTAACAATAAATTGAGTTTATGTTATATGTCATATACCATATAATTGTGGTTGTTAGATGCAGGAATCATGCGCGCTACTGCTCGCTCCTACTAACACTTTTTTTTTGGTAGTGGAAATTTTAACAGTAGTGGCGATAACCAACCCTGTTTAAAGATCCCAGGACTTTAAGTACTAGTAGTTTTTTTTTAGAGTTTACCAGGACTTTAGTAATTATTTTTTCATTTAGTGGTGTTCAGTAGTATCACTGTAGAAGAGAATTTATTTGTGTGTTTGTTTGTTTGTGTTGATAGTTTGTATAGATCAGACTTACAATAGTGATAGAGACAGTTAGTAATCAATAAATAGAATCATGTCTACCCCAGCTAAGAGAAGACTTATGCGTGATTTTAAGGTATGTATTTAATGGTGTTTAACTTCATTTTTTTTTGTTGATGAGAAACTTGTAACTAACATTGTATGACATTTATAGCGTATACAGCAAGATGCACCTAGTGGAGTGTCAGCATCTCCATTACCGGATAATGTCATGACATGGAATGCCGTAATAATTGGTCCATCCGATACTCCATTTGAAGATGGTACTTTCCGATTAGTATTACAATTTGATGAACAATATCCTAATAAACCTCCTACGGTTCGATTCATTAGTGAGATGTTTCATCCTAACGTTTATGCAAGTGGTGAATTATGTTTAGATATCTTACAGAATAGATGGTCTCCAACCTATGATGTTTCATCAATTTTAACATCTATTCAATCATTATTGAATGATCCAAATATCAGTTCACCTGCAAACGTTGAAGCCGCAAACTTGTATAAAGACCATAGATCACAGTATGTTAAACGAGTGAGAGAAACTGTTGAAAACAGTTGGAAAGAGGATGATTTTGATGATGATGATGATGATGAAGATGACGACGATGATGAGGATGAAGCTTAGGCCTCACTCCATTTTGCATACATACCAGAACTCCAGCTCCTTCATACCCATGGCATTATTAGAGATATAGTATTATAACAATTTCGGGCTTGTATTTATCAAGCGTATTTATATATATAAGGTGCTTTACTTCTTAATCATACAATATTCCTAATGAATTAACTATATACATTTTTTTTCTATTTCAACCATAAGTAATACCATTTACGTCTCTTTGAATTTTCAAGCTCTAAAGCTGCTTTGACTTGACGATCAATTTCTGCTTTCTTTTCAGCTTCTAATTTCTTCTGTCTTTCTATTTCATGAGGGTCTTCCACTAAGAGTTCTTGAGGTTTACCTTCTTCTCCAATATTCTTATCTCTGTATATGGCAAAAATAGCTATAAATAATGTGACATATATGAAGAATTTGGTTACACCATCAACAGACTTTATATCGAATTGTTTTTCTCGTACTGGAGTTTCAGCTAATATCACTGGTTCTAATTTTTTAATGATAGTAGTTGGACTTGGATTAGTTGATTTGATTTCCGATGGAATTTTAAATGGTAAATCATAAGGTGCCTCATTAGTATTCCAATTATTAAATTCTTCACGACTTCCCCAATTACCATAAGCTATATAATAACCTAATAACTTATCTTGTTTAGTTAATTTAATCCATTTCTTATCAAATTTATCTTGTAATTCTTTTAATACTTGTCCTTGATGTAAAAGACTCAAACTTCCAAATTTAGTTGGATCTTCAAAAATAGGTGCAGTATCTATTGGTTGAGTACTATCATCAGATCCTGATGAGAATAAAGATCCAATATCTTTAACTGATTGAATGGCAAGTTGGGCTGCTTCCTTACGGGCTTCTTCGGGCAGCTTTGAAGTCGAATTATACCTGATCGGTATGTTAAACGCTACTGGCTTAGCCCCTCTTACTATATGGTTTCGTATACTTATCATTGTTGTATATTCTGATTCTGAGTGCTTTCTTTGTTCATCTAACTGCTTTTGAGATCTCCATTGAAAAATTATTCCCGTCTCCATTTGGCGCGCTACCAAGTGGTTTCCAAGAGTAGCTAGAGGTAGAGTAGAATAGAGTAGTTAGTCATGTGCAGTATCAAAGACCCATTTTTTTTGAAAAATCTACCGTACTTTCCTAACTTTCCTTACATAACCATACTATAAAGTCACATTCAAACAACATGTTACTTTCTAGAAGTATATGGACATTGGAGAAGTCATTAGTGTATCGAAATTTACGATTTTTTTCTAAATCTACTATAAATTTCAATACTATAAATACTTTTAAAGTTGCTATTGTGGGGACTGGACCAGGAGGATTCTATACTGCACATCATTTATTAAATAAGTCATCTCCAAATATACGGTTTGAATTAGATTTCTTTGAACGATTACCTGCTCCTCATGGACTCAGTAGATATGGAGTTGCACCAGATCATCCTGAAGTTAAGAATTGTGAAGAATATCTTGATAATATATTTTCAACTCAAGATTCAAGACATAAAGTTAGATTCTTAGGTAATGTTGAAATAGGTAAAGATATAAGTTTAAAAGATTTAGAATCTCATTATAATTCTATTGTTTTATCTTATGGTTGTACAAATTCTGATAATAAATTAGATATACCAGGTTCCGAACTTTCTGGAGTTATAGCTGCTAGACAATTTGTTAATTGGTATAATGGTCATCCTGATTATTATGAAAAGGATAATTTATTTATTCCTCCTCCATTGGATAAAATATCAGATGTGACTATTATTGGAAATGGTAATGTTGCCTTAGATGTAGCTCGAGTATTGTTAGCTGATCCTAAAAGTCATTGGGCTTCAACCGATATATCTGAAGATGCTTTAAAAGTATTGAAAACTAGTACAGTAAAAAATGTTAATATTGTTGCTAGAAGAGGTCTTTTGGAATCAGCTTTTTCTAATAAAGAAATCAGAGAATTATTTGAACTTTCAAGTCATCAGAGTATAAAGTTTTTCCCTATAGAACAAAGTGAATTTGATAATATTGATACTACTAAATTAGGTAGAGTTGATAAAAGGAAATTGAGCATTATTGAAAAATACTCCAAGGCCACCTCAGTTGAAAATCCAGAAAAGACTTGGTCATTACAATATTTAAAGAGTCCAATTGAATTTATACCTAATCCACACAATGAATCTTTACTCTCAGGTACAAAAGTTGTTATTAATCAATTGGATCATGATTCATTAACTCAACAAACAAAAGTTAAACCTACAAGGGCTACGGAAATTATTAAAAATGAACTTGTTATTTTATCTATAGGTTATAAAGGTACATCTATTGAAGAATTTAAAGATATAGGTATCTTATATGACAATGGGAAACTTTATAACAAACAAGGTAGAGTGTTATCAGTGGAATCAAAGGGTAAGGAGGAACATTTGCATGTATATAAGAAAGGATGGTATACTTCAGGTTGGATTAAGAATGGTCCTAAGGGGGTGATAGCTACCACTATGATGGATTCATTTGATACAGCTGATAAATTATTAACTGATTTATCCAATGGAATTTATTTAGATTGTGTTAAAGATAGTGATGTAACTGATTTGTTACAAGACAAACCCATTGTTAAGTGGGAAAATTGGAAACAGTTAGATGAATATGAATTACTCAAAGGTAAGCAAATGGGAAAGTCTCGGTTTAAAGTATGTAATAGAGAAGACATGTTAACTACAGCTTGTAAATAGTATAAATTAGTATAAATTAGTATAAATTAGTATATTAATAATTATCTAGAATGTCTCCTTTTCAGGATTACACCCGGAAATTTTAATAAAATAGTAAGTATGTTCGTATTTACCAAAATATTCAGGCCAAAGTTTAGTATTACCATAACGAAAAGATGTGGCATTTACTGGAGCATTAGGATCATAACTTTCTTCTATATCTTCTACTTCTTCTTCTACTTCTTCTATTTCAGTGTCACTATCAGATTCACTATCCTCTTCCAAATCTCTCTTTTCTAATCCTCTTCTTACCAAATATTGAGGTTTATGTGGTATATCTCTTTTATCAATATAATATTGAAAGCCTGAATGATGAAATGCTTTGGTAGGTGGTAAAGTTGGAACCACATCATTATAATGAACTACTCTTATTAATCCTCGATCAAAATCCTGTTTATTATAAATCTTATCTGAAATTCCTTCAGTATTAAAGATTTTATCAGAAAATTGTGCAAACTTTTTATTGCCAACTTTTGGAGCTCCAAAACTAACAACTAATGGATCATAACCTAATAACAGAAATTCAATACCTGTTAAAGTTGATAATGCAGCTCCCATTGAATGACCGACAATGACTAATTGATAATCAGGATATTTTTTAATTTGTGAAAGAACTCCTTCAATTAATTCTCCACTATTTCTTCTTAAAAAGTTATAAAATCCTCTATGAACTGTACATCCTTTACAAGTAGTATCCTTTACAGTAATCTTTGAAAATTCCTCTGTTGAAGATAAAGGTTTATACTTAACAGGTACAAAATCTAAATTACTTATCCAATCTGTAGTTGAAGCTGTACCTCTAAAAACCATAATTAATCTCTTTGAATTATGATCTATAGCAAAGTATCCAGATCCAACTTCTCCCCAATCATTGTAATTAAATGTTCGTTTAATTTCAATATCTTTATATTGTTTATAATTACATTTTACTAATGGACAATGAGAATTTCGAGCTCCCAATTTTCCTGTTGTTAAACCATGTTGAATACAATAAGCATAAGATGCTAAACCAGCAAAATGAACCAATTTTCTATAATCAGTTGGAAATTCTCCATTCTCATCTCCTACTGCAAATGACTCATGAATTTCACGACTGAGAATAGCAGCTGAATTAACTTCAAGCCCACTAAATAACAACACTAATAACCACAGAAGTTTCATGGACCTGGTTCTGGTTCTGGTTCTATTTCGCTAATTAGCTGACATCTTATCTGATTGATTTTCTCATACCTCATTCTCAGTATTTATACTTGACTATTTATCCTGCTTAAGCTCTTCTTACCTCATTTTGTCTTTACGCACTTGGTATGCATTACCATATCTTTTTTCTTTCCTTTAATTGATGGTATATAATATGCAAAATGCAACCATTTTATTATTATGCTTGCCAAACTATTTACATCTCAGTTCTTGATGGAATTTGTTACATCGTACACTACAATAGAAAAGTCCACATAAATGACATCTTGAATAATTAGAAGTAGAACCACAAATACAACAAAGTCTAACACGCGGTCTATACATACGACCTTCTACTTTCCTTTTCTTTTTCCTTGGAGCTTCTACTTCTGAGAAATCAACAAATTGATAATTTAATCCTAATATAGTATTTATAGACATTAAATTTCTTTCTTCTTCAAAATACAGATTGAGATTACGACGTGCTGATAAAATTTTTTTTGTAGATGGAGTATTACCTAATCTCAATCTTTTATTTTGATCAATTTCATGAGTTGGATTATAACAAAAATTCTTGGGTAATTCAAAATTATTAGATTCTTTACTAAGATCAACAATTCTTTTAGATACAACTCTTTCTAATTGAATTTGTTGGGCCGATTTTAAGGGTCCATCTGAACCTGTCAGTGCTCCATTGATTTGTGTTTGAATATTCATTAATTGGTTAACATTATAATTCACTTTAGCTCTACCCTTTTTATTGGTACTCGACTCTTCATCATCACCATGACCATTCCTATTCATCAGTCTAGCTGATAAATTTATAGTCGATGTGAAATATATAGTAGAGCTTTTAGCATTGGTAGACTTTGGTATCTCTTCAACGAGCATGTTACACTTCGACTTCAATCTTGTAGATCAGATATGTTACAGTTTCCATAAATTATACAAATTGATATAGATATTTATTTGCTAGTGGTGGTGCTTGTGTGCAGGTCCACATTATAAATTTTTACACTTTTAATGATTAGTAGTTACAAGTGGTGATTACATGTTATATAGTAGTTAAAAGATGGATCTCAGTTAAATATGTCATGATCTCATTAATTTGGTAGAGACTGTTAAACCATTCAAGTGTGGGATTGAAAATTAACTACAAATTAAGTTCAAGTTAATAAAGTCCATGAGTTGTCGTAAATTACATTGACTATTCTATACAGTATATACAAGATTCTACTTCATTAAAGATACTTAGTAGTTAGTGTACCTCTTAGTTGGAGTTATGCGATGTGAGATGTGATGTTATTTGGTGGATTGTTTACAGGTATAAGTCTATGATCAAATGGTAAATCATTTCTTCAGAGTTCCTGCACTTTCTCTAATTTCTTCACTAGTAAATGGTTGATCTTCTCTAGCTTTATCTAACATTGGTTTAACAGTTTGTTTAGCTAATGCACTATTCACACATGTTATATAAGTATCCCAAAATTCAGTACATTCATTTTCAAGCGATTTCCCCTTTAAGAACTTCTCAGTATACCATTTATTAAAGCAATCATCATACTGAAGCTTTGCATCTGTGCATTCTGGGGCAAAGGATACAGACATTATATTACCCATCCCTTTTTGGTTTATTGAAATTGTTAATGATACTAGTTAATCACTGTTCGTGGCAATTGGTACCTAACCTGAAAAATGTGCTAGTGATGATCGCAATTTCAATGGCTTTTACAGGTTTTGTGGAGTTAACCTGTAATATGCCCCATAATAAATTATATTATTTATATAATTACCATTATTTGCTAACATATTACTATAAGTAAAAGACTAGACAAGTTTGTATTGGTGTACCAATTATACTAATACACTTTACAAACTCTGAATGAGTTCTGAATAAATCCTGTAGAAGTATTATATGAATCCCACTAGTCTTAAAGCTTAGCTTAAAGCTCCCATCTGATAACTGGGTGCGAGTCGCGAGTAGCACAAAAAAGCCGAAGTAAATAAATAACAAAATAGTAAATAAATTAAAATTAAAATTAACATAACAACGACTACTCACAAAGAATTGCCAGTATATGATGAAGAGGTATTCTATTGCTCCATCATCGTCTAGAAGAAAGTCGACTATAAGGCCAAGTTTTGGAGATGATAGTGGTAATAGTAGTAATTCTAGTGCTCGAGAAGAATTAGAAAGATTAGAACAAGAAACAACTTTAGTACTACAAGAAATTGATAAAAATATTTCTCGAGCTAATGCTATAATAAATGATCGATTAATTCCTATAATTAAAGATTATTCTGAAGAAAGTAAAAAAGTTTGGAATAATGCAGGATTTTGGAAAGTATTCTTTGAACAATCAGCTAATGTAGAATTAAATAGTTATGAAGATCCAATAAATTTAGATGCAGCTGTTAATACTATAAATAATGCAAGAGTTAATCTTTTTAATGATGATGAAATTGATAGTGAAAATGAACCTGATGATGATGATGATCAACAAATCCCTCTAGGTGAGAAAGAAATTGAAGAAAAGAATCATGGTAACGAATTCATTAAACCAATTCTGAAACCATTACAAATCGAAGAAGAAACTCCTACTTGGTCTACTGATCAAGCAAAAGTTCAACAAAAACATATACAATCATCTACTCCACAAACTCATAAACGTCCTTCATCATTAGTACCAAGTTATAATAGATTAGCTAAAAGATATGATTCAAATGATAGTTTAGGTATACAAAATCCTCCTATATTAACAAGTATAGAATCATCAAATTCCCCAATAAATCGATCACCTGGAAAAATTCAAACTATAAGACAATCTCTTGATGCATATCATAGAGTTTCAATATCACCTAAAAAGAATTGGTCGACTCCACGTCCAATCGAATTAGATAATCAAAATAAACGATCTTCACTTATTCAAGAATTATTATCATCTCCAACTTTACCAGAACCTCCTATATTACAATCTGAAATAGGTAATTATCCTTCATCATCATCAGGAAGAGCTAAAAGTCAAGAACCTCTTGATGGTGCAAGATTCTCACCAATTTTAGTTGAATCAGTGTTTTCTCCTGAAAAGAGAGCTAGAAATACAATTTCACCACATAAATCTCAAGAAAATACCATGCAAAGATTTCCAACAACTCCTAAATTTGTAGAAAGATTAAGTGGAGGTAAAGTTGATATAATGAATACTCCATTAGGGGTCAGATTAAGATTTGGTGAAGAAGAAGATAGTGATCTTCAACCTCCTGAATTACAGAATATTGTATTGACAACTAGTGAAAAGGATAAAGATAAAGAAATAGATATAGAAGATATACCGGTTCCTCAATTAGAAACCATTGAAGTAGGATCAAAGAAAAGAAATACATCATCTGATAATACACCTAATAAGAAAGCTAAGCCATTGGAAGTAGGAGATGATAATGAGAATGTCTTTTTAGAAACTAATTCTAATAGGGGTCAATCAGCAGGATCGACTATCTATCATTCATTAATAAATCAGAATGATAATAATAGTCCTTCTATAGAAAATACAAATCATTCCCATCAATCACAGTCCAGATCCATCTCTCAAGTATTTGATGAAGTAATTTCACGAATAGCTAATAGAACTTCAACAACTCCAAAGAAAACAGTGACTACAACTACAACTGCAACTACTAATACAACTACAAATGCTGATTCTGCTTCAGGTTCAGCATCTAATACTGCGGGAGAAGTTACTGACTTATTCAAAGATGTAACCCCCAATGAGGAGAATATTAGTATAGATAATACAGAGAATACTGGTGATTTAGGACCTTTAAGGGAAAGATGGAGAAATCTAAGTAAGAGAGACTGAGAGATAAATACAGTGTAACATTAATTTAATCGTATGTATATTCAAAACAAATGCAGTAATACATAAACATCAAGCATTCTCATGTAGATCTAATAGAAAATGTAGAAGTGGTTATCAATTCTTCTGAATGGTACGGATTTTTCAATGCAAATTTATTGTAGTATCTCTATTAATTCTTATGATATAAATTGTCAGTTTTTCTGGGGCACGATTAATTTTGCATACTCGTATCTAATAAATGAAATCTTTTGCAATTAAATATGACCTTTATCTTTGTTTAAAGTATAATAACAAGACTACCTGTACCTTTATGCGGCAATGGGTTACCTTACGCCACAATATTTATCAGCTGGGAGTTTAAAACTAATTACGTTTTTTGATCATATCATCAAAATCTATCTCTCGTGCGGTATCCTATTTCTGTGTAAACAATTGAGCTTAGCTCGAATATCCAATTTATCCCAACTTTGGTGCCTAGTCCAGTTGGCGCAGTTAAGGACCATTTGATGTCCAATACCATAATAATGCTACAGGTCGACTTTAGCAAGTAATCGTACTTGTCTTTACATTAAGATCTCTGTATATTGCATAATTCTATATAAATCTAAATAAACACATTTCGTAGGATTTACCTCATATTTATACGATATTGTTTAGACCGGAATAAACGCCTACTCGGGGGTTTATTCCCTTATTGATGAAATTGTATTATCGTTGTATTTAACCTTATTCACTTACTTCTATTGCGATTCATAAGTGTTATGATTGACTTTAAGCGTATATCTGACAGATAGGACATTTGCATATCGGCTTTACACTAATTGAACCCGTCCTTGCGACAAATGTCCGATGTGGTAACAGTTTAATTGATTCTTTTTTGTGTGCACAAAAAAATAAATCTGTATTTTATGCCGCAAAAAGATAATTTTTCAATATATGATATATCACTATAAGAACAAAGATTCGGTAAGTTTTAAAAAATAGGCAAAGTTTTGTTTTAGATTTAAGGTCTGAAGCATACTCAAAAAATGGAAGATGATCTACCTTTAGACATCTTACAAGAAAGATTGAAAAAGATAATGATTAGATTCTTTAGCAATCAAACAAATAGGCAAAATTTGCTTAGAACAGCCGCATATTTAGATAGTAGTGAAGGAATTCTTAGATCCAATAACTCACAACTTCAGAATAGCCGTATAAGAGGCATGACAGAAATAGAAGATGCTTTAGTAACAAGACGAAACATTCGAAAAATTGTCTACCAAATTATACATGCTCAATATTTCATTTCTCCACCACCATTTATACAAGTGGAAAGATCATTCGCAAATAATCTAGTATACCCCTTCATTTGTAATCAGGCACGGAAAGAAGCAATAAGGTTGTTAACTTTATTATCAAATGGTAATTTATCATATTACGAAAATGCAATAGGTGTATCAATGCTCTTCAACCTCACATTACCAACACATTTGAATACTACTGGTTTTAATGAAAATACTAATATGGATTCTAGGAAAACAAAAGGGACCGTCTCCCAAACATATTCAAATTCATATCATAGATCAATCCCTAATCAATTTTATCAACCAGGTATGTTCGATAATGAATCATTTCAAGAAAATGAAGCTTTGAATGCTCAACAAATTCCAATCACTTTTGAACAATTAAGAGCTATGCAATCCTTATCATTTGACCTTCTTGAATTGAATGTGACAAATTCTATAGAATTCCACTTACTGACGGATATCCACCTTACTATTTTAAATCCAGTTGCGTCTTTGTTAAACTCGATTTTTAGAAGAAATAGGCTATTTAAAGATGTTACCGTTTTATCCCAAACACCGGTTCATTCTTATATTATTCCGGATTTTATTTTCCGGTTAAGAACTTCCAGAGGTAACTATTATTTACCTATAGAGGTAAAGTTTGGAAATCTAGATAGGGCCTTTGAAGCTGCTAGAAATGGTAATTTAAACGATATAGCTGAGTATGGTGCACAGATATCCAGCCAGGCGTTTAGCTGCTATTCGCCAATGGCATTATTAATTAGCGAAAAATACTTAATTGTATTTAAAATTCCATTTGACCTTGAAAGAGGTAGTTTAAAAAATCAATTCTTTGAAAACGTACTCGAGGATGAACGTACAATTAATGAAGATGACTATAAACTAGGAAATTTTGATGTAACAATAGTTGACCATACAAATGGGCGGAATCCCTTAGCCTTGACAATTCTTAAGCTAGCTTATGATAGATTCGAAAATTATTCTACAATAGAGGTGACGAAAGCTATAAATAAAATTTGGCTGGAACATGCCAAAACACCTGATATCAAAAGAATGAGAGCCAGAGCTCCTTGTTTACCAACCAATACTAGAATCCTATAACTTATTATCAAGATTGACGTAACTCGTTTGAAGTACTGATTGAGATACACAAGAGGGGACATACTTAGGTTTTGTAGTAAATACAGTCAAGGAATTGTGAATCTCGTATAATTATAGCATAGTACTCTAATTACTAATATGGACTGAGAAACCGTCAATTTGCATAAAACATATATACAAATTATATGGGAACAATTCCCTCTTTATATATAATATACAAAGCATTTGGCTATAAACCAAAACGCCGTAATTAGTTACATGTCTGATAGATTATTCGCATCTCTGATTTGGATATGTCGTGTACGAACAAATTGTCGCACCTCTAGCCGAATGAACTTAACCAAATAATCGCTTTGAGAAATATGTGGTAGCTATGCGTATTTTTTTCCTGGGGGTATTTCCTATAAATAGTTATCTAAACAAAGAGTAAAAGTCTCAATAAAGAAAATAGAAAATGTCTATTCTTATTCATTATATTTGAATTCTTTCCTCTAGGAAAATTAGGTTATTCTTGTATCGACGTCTTGAACAGAAGCATAATTAAGTCTCTTTGTAAGTTTACGGAGCGTCATAAGAGGATATGTAGGTTAAGTCAAACACTTCAACACATCAAAAAATCAAAACATCAAAACATCAAAATATCAAAATATCAAACCATCAAACCATCAAACTATCAAACCTGCAGAAGTGTTTCAGATATGTTTCAGATTACCCGCACAAGAATTATATAAAAAAGGTAGAATAATCTCATATATTTTATTAATTTAATATGATCTTTAACTTGTAAAATTGGTGTACTTTAGACTACCTGTATTTTCATGCCGCAGGAGGTTGCCATATGCTAGAATATTCAAATTTTATCAGTCGAATTAAAGAAACTGGGATAAATTAAAAACATATAAACTACATCGTTTGAACGTATTAACAAAATCTACTTATAATAGAAGAACGAACAGATGCGTATTGTTCCTTGGCCCGAAGAACTTAAGTTTAATCAAAGTCTCATTAAAAAATCAATCGAATCTTTGGTAAAACATTACAAAGACCCTACGTTTTTACTCTTAGACGAAAGACGAGACTCTGAGGAAATTAAAAATTGGAAAGTAGAACTTGAAGAGTTAAAGAAAGAGATCTATGCTTGCAAACATGGTAGAGTGTATAAAAATAGAATAAAATTGGTGTTCATAATTTCCTGTTTCCCTTTTATAAGTTTGAAGAATGAGGAATTAACATTGGATCGCTCATATACATCGTCTCCTCAGTTTGTCCAAGACCTAAATGATATCATCTATCGAATTATGGGTCGCCTATATCTTCAATGTCCATCAGAATCTACTAGATTTGTTGAAAAGATATTCTCTTTGACATGTTTTTTTAAATTTCCATTTCCCTCCGAACAACGTATTCCTTACTCAAAATACTTAGAATTTCCTAAACAATTTGGTATTACTGAAAGAGATAAAAAGAATGATGAAGCAAATTGTCCATCTACGGAATTCACAGCCACCTTCAATGAGTTTAATCCCAAACTTCATATTCAAGCAAAAAAACTTGCGGTTCCTGATTTAGAATCGATTATTAAGAACCTTAAAATTGATGTACATACAATAGAAACAACTCGTATATTGCAACTGTACGCTGGAGCCGGGGGGGGCGGGGACATTACTTGTGATTTCTATCCTCAATTTATATTTTTAATTTTCCAACCCATCCAACACCTATTAAGATACTACTATCCAACTTTTAATTATGAACAAACTCATGGAATAGAATTATTTCCTACAGTTCAACCACCTACCTTTATTTTCACAACAAATGACCATATTGTGCCTGTGATTATGAGATACGCAGGCTTACATAAAAGTTTCAATAAAGCTAAAAGACATAAAGATGTATTTTCAGTGTCTGCGGATGTTAGACGACTTGTCAACGAGCTTTTATATCTGATGATATACAGCCGGTCATTAATGGGATTTGTACTTGATGTTGATTCTGTATTAGTCGTAAGACTTTTATCATCCAAAGTAGTTGATACGGTAGTGAACCCTGCTGATGGAACCATTAGCAAGGAATTAGATTACGAAATCTTTTTATTGGATCACAGCCTCCATTATCCAATGGTTGGCCTTATCTTAAGTTCGTTCCTCGATAATTATTTCAAGACTTCTGCTTCCAACTCCGTTGTAATCACAAGAGAGATAAGAAGAAATTTAAGAAGTGAGTCTGAAGAACTCGAAGCTTCCAGACAAAGTAAAATAGAATTTGTTAAAAGACAGTACCTGAAACAATTTGAGGACTTTGATATCGCAAGAAGAGGAGGATATATCAATAGTGAATTCCCACACTTGTTTATCGAAGAAGAGTTCTATGAAAAAATACGAAATCTTCGGACGATAGAAACATTTACTTCCTCGGATTTTGAAATAGCGAAGGATCTGCACTTGACAGACAGCGAGGATATCGTACATGAATTCAAAGGTAAATTAGATGGTAGATGTGGTACTTTATTTGTGTACAAAGTATCGTATTCCAATGATGAAAATGAAGACTTTTATAAGTTGCTTTCTATATCTCTTAATAAATTTTTAAGCCATATGGTGGAATGTGTTTCCAAATTTGGTAAGTATAAGACAACATCATTCCAGTATAAGTACTTGTATACTGTCAATGATAATTTCCGATGTGCTTATTATGAAAGGGGGGATATAAGTGGATTTTCGTTACTACTATTTGACGATGCGCAGGAGCTTGATGAAGCAGATAAAGTTGAGGAATGTTAAGGTGGCCGCCAGTTTCTTTTGACAATCGGATCAAGAAGAAGCGTCAAAGGTTGAAGTGAAGAATTAGTAAGGGTTCATTTCTAGTTTTGGTATATGCTTGCTGTTTTACTTTTATGGAAAGTAATCAGCAATTCTCCGTCTTCATGTACTCTCTCCGTCCCTTACTAGCACAGGTTTATAGATTGCCTTTTATTAAAACTTAATCATATAAATATGTAGGAAAGGGTCTATATAAGTTTTGAAAATAATTATGCATTAATTCTTATGATATAAATTTTACAAATAATAAATATCTTAATTATTCTAAATTTAATAATTGCACTTCAAAAAATTATTTTCAACTAATAAATTAATAGGTATATCATTATAAATCTCTATATCATCAAAACTTTTTTCCACATTTCTTAAAATAAATTTATCATTTTCATTTCTATATAGGAATAAATTACTGTGATCATGTTGCATATTATATTCTAGATCAATAATTTCTTCTTCTTTATTTATTTTTATTATATTCAACCAATCATATTTAGGTAACTCGTCTTCATTTAAAACATATAAATTAATTGATTTTTGTCTGCAGCGAAGCATTCCATCCCAGGAGATAGCTATTCCCATAATAGCTATAGCCTCTAATACAGCTTCGAATATTTCATCTTTGCTACATTTTTCATAATGATTAAATCCAAATTGCTTTCTTCTATAAGTATATTCATCGCCTTTTATCACAACATAATCAGAACAATATCTATATACTAAATCTTTTAAAATTTCATTTTCATTTGTAACATCAATATATTCAATATTCAATTCTGTGCCATCATAAGATTCAAAATAATCATTACTATTTATTCGATATACTGGGATTTTTTCTTCCATTTTTTGCAGTTATTAATAAAAAGTATAGAAAAAAGTGGGCTTAGATGTAATTATATACTATTCGGGTAATAACTTACCTGTATATAATGCATATAGCAGATGGTACTCAAATTACTAATTTGGACCGTCAATTTCTATAAAATAATTACACAAATTACATGGGAACAAGGACATATTTATATAGGATATATGGAGATATACAAAGATTTGGTAATGAACCAGAACGCCGTAACTAATAAATTAGTTACTTCTCTAATAGATTATTTGCATCTCTATTATATGATTTGCATATGTCGTGCATATGGCTGAATACCACTATATACACAACATACGCCTGTATGTTATGTAACAGAGCGAATGACATTTTGCCGCGTTGTGATTGGCTGACGAACGTGATCTTAGTCAGGTGATCGTGGCCTGATGAGCTACTGTTGTATCCTGCATGTAGCGCTTTCCATTGTATATAAACAGATACGAAATCCACAATTAACTTATTTATGTGGGTTTTGAATTTATAGATTATCCACAGTTTTGATTTAAATCTCATCTTAATTTAATATAATATAATAGAAATATATAGTTGCAAAAATGGTTTGTTCTGCTGCTGAATGTGTTTGTGCTAAGAAATCCACTTGTTCTTGTGGTGCTCAACCAGCTTTAAAATGTAACTGTGATAAGGCTAGTGTTGAAAATGTTGTTCCAACTGATTCTGATGCTTGTGCATGTGGTAAGAGATCTAAGGATGCTTGTACTTGTGGAGCTCATGCTGTATGTGATGGTACTAGAGATGGTGAAACAGACTTCACTAACTTGAAGTAAGGAATTCGTACCAGTTTAAATGGTAAATTAATTAAATCATGAGTACAGAATTACTGTACGTGGGAATGAAGGTTGGCATTTACAAGAAAATCTAATATATTATGTTTATTTATTGCTTTTATTGACTATTAACAGTATTCTTAGTCCTTTTTATTTTTTAGTTTTTTATTTTATGTTCATTATGTATAATTTACAACTTATTTATTAATTCTTTATATTCAGTCTAGTGGTACTATTAGAAGTGTGCTGCTCACCTAATTAATATACATACATATATAGAAGTACTGCTTATAGTAGTCATTAGCTAATGGGTGCAAACGAGGTCGGCTTAGAAGACCCAAGACGAATGTCGCGCATCCCCATTCCCATTCTCATTCTCAATTCCCATGTCTGTCTGCGACATCACCGAGGGTGTCGATCGGCACCCCGGAAATGGCAGAGAGCAAACACAGTAAACTACAGTAAACCATAGTAAACCACACTAGTTAAGCAGATAAGATAGAACATTACTGATATGGCACGTCTATCTGGAATGCAACGTGAAGTGCTAAAGCTTTATCGAGGTTGTATAAGAATTATACGTACAAAGCCCATTGAGAATCAAGAGCATTGGAGACAGTTTGTACGAGAAGAGTTCAGGAAGAACCAGCACATATCGAAGAAACAGTTTAATGTCATAGAGCATTTAATCCGAGTAGGTCATAAACGATTTGAACAATATCTGCTGCCACAAATTAAGGATATACATTAACCATTTGATTTACAATTTACAATTTACAATTTACATAGTTAAATAGTCCCTGTACATATATACTTTGCATTATTTATATATTAATATACACTTAGGTAAAATAATCTTCAAATACCTTATCGGAATTACTCAATAATACTTCGGTAGTTTCACTACGATGACCCATATCTAACATTTCACGTTCACCAGTTTGATCACGAGCAATGGTAGGAGCAAACACTACTGATAAATTCTTAAATCCCATACGATTTACTGATGAATATGAACTGACTAAATTTAAATGTTTACATAACAAATATAATGTATGTTTGTTAGCACTAGGTAAACGATTAATAACTCTAATTTTTAATTCATGAATTCTTTTATCAGTATGAGCTATTGGAATTTGAGACGCAACTTTAATGAAATCATCATATAAAGCATATGGAATTAAAGGATCAGGTAATTTTCGGAAATATCTTTTAATAGCTGATGTTACAGCATGAATATCTCCATTCATAGTTTCTTCTAAACGTTGAATTTGTTTTTCATCTTGAATTGAATGAGCTGTTAAATTAGCAAAGGCGTTTTCAATATTTGAAATAGTTGAACTAGCCCCTGAAATCCTATAAATACCTTCAACATCTAATCCTCGAACTTCAACTTCTGCAAGACATTTAGTTACAATTAATGGAACTTGAACTTGTTCATAATCAGCTCGCTTTTGAATAGTTGAAGTAAATAATGGACATCCCACAACAATTGATGTTGTAGATCCCATTGCATTATGTGTACTACCAGAAGATGAACTATCATTACTACTATTAGTATGAAGTCCAGTACCATTAGATGATAAAAATGAATCCAAAATATTAGTTGATCTTGATTTAGGAAATTTCTTCTTATCTGAATTATCTTCACTATGACTTGGAACTCTTATTGATTGAGAAACATAATTTTGACTTAGTTTATTTTGAGAATTTTGTGGTAAAGATGTGGGTTGTGGAGGAGATATTGAAATAGGTTGAGTAGTTGGACCAGTTAATACTAAATGTGGACTATTAGTAGGTAATCCAATCTTTGGTCTTCTCCAAAATTTCAATCTAGTAGCCTTTTGAGTTTCAACATCTTCAATAACTGTTTCATTATAAGAATTATTTAATGTACTAGCAGTTGAATTAAGATCTTCATCAGTATGAGAGTGTCGAGGTTTCCTTTCATGAGTTTGAGTTTGATAACTCATACTTAATTTATCATTAGCTTCAATTAATAATAATTTCTTCTTTTCTAATTCTGTAACTTGTTTAAGTAAAGCATCATATGTTAAAGTTTCAGTAGCTACTTTAGATTGAATCAGTTTTAATTGATCATTTATCTTTAATTTATCACTAATTAACTTTTTAACTTCAGTTTCTAAATTAGTCTTTTGAGTAGATAATTGTCCAATTTCAAACTTTAGACTCTTAACTTCAAAATTATCATAATGAGCAAATTCGCTTGTTATGGTGGCTGTACCATTTGAATTAGTTGTTTCATGATTAAGTTCTAAACTAGTTAAGAATGGAGTATCAGAAGTTGATCTTATATGAAAATTTGGATTATTTGATGTATAACCATTATAAGCAGAAGTTCGAGGTGAAGGTAAAGGAGGAGTTGTAAATGCTGAAGCATTTGATACTGAACCATCTGAAACATGACGTGTATGACCTCTTAATTCTTCTTTAGATGATACTTTAAAGATTCCAAATTTACTACTGGTACTACCTCCTGAGGTAGATCGTTTATGTTTTAAACTAGCTAATCTAGGAGTTTTAATACTTCCCATTCTTGATATAGATGTTTGGCTTTGAGTTTCGGTATGATCGGATTCTTCCAAGTTAGATACAAGCGGTGTATTGATACCAAACCCATTATTATTATTGTTATTGTTGCTTTGAGTTCTTTGTTCAATGACTGGCAGACTGGCTTTCTTATCTTGCATATGCTTGAGATAAGCACGCTGTTCAGCCGCAACCAGTTCATAATCTACCCCTTCTAATCCTAAGCCCTTAGGAGTGGTTTGAATATCATCAAACTTAAACCGTTTCCCAGATTCATTATTAGGATAAGTTAATTTCTTTACTGGAGTCGATGGTAAAGGTAATTTAGGAGGGGGGGAACTCATAATTGAAGAATGAGGGGAGACAGCTATTTTTCTAGGAGTTTGAGTAAGGGTTGATGCACCATCTGATTCATTCTTTTCTTCTTCAATAGGTTCAGTGGCTACTTCATCATTAGTTTCTACTACTCTAGCTTGTCTATTGGCCTTAGCAAATGGTGAAGGACAATTTGATCTAGATTTAGGTTCTTCAATAGATAATGTATGACTTTTAACTGTATTAGTTGAAGATTCAGTAGTATTAACTGTAAGTTGAGATGAAGTTGAAGAATTTACTGGAGATTTAAGAATTGTATTAGTATTAGTATTATGAAATTCATGATCATTAAATTGATTTGGTGATAGTATTAATACATTTTTATTGGGTACTTCCAAGTGCAGTGGTTCAGTTGATTTGGTAGGGGTTACATCAACTGGAGGTTGTAATGTGCTGCCCTTAGGAGTAGCTGGAGTATCGACTAAATCTAAGTAAATGCCTTCATCAATGAAGTTATTGTTATTATTGGTGGTGGTGGTAGAAGGAGGTGGTTGAGGTCGACGTAATGATGAAATAGGAGCTTCTTGCTTACTTCTTAAAGAAGGTCTGGATTCAGTTGATGGAGCAGAATCATCATTATCATCACTATCATTTTGAACTTCTTCAATAGAAAAATCATTATTATCAGCAGATACCACCAGTGGTACTGGAGGAGGTGCAGGTAAAGTTTTATTTCTATGTAAACTAGAAGATGAATGATTGAATTCGGCTGTTAATAATGGTTCAGATTCCGTATTTGATGATGAATTAAGATAAGATTGTAAAAGAGAAGTACTTGAAGAATTCGATCTTTTATAGTCTAATGATGTCTTTGCCGGAGTAGGTTCAGGTTCAGGTATGACTGCAGGTACTGGAGGTTCAGGAGGAGGAGGAGTTTGTTGTTGTTCTTGTTGTTCCTGAAGTTGTTTTAATTTCTTCTTCGCATCATATCTCTTCTTCTTTAACATTAATTTCTCATGACAATCCATACAAAAGAGACCTTTTGACGTTCGAGCATATCTTAAATCTTCAATATTTTGTTTACATGATCGACATTTAAAACAATTTGAACAATAAGCTTGATCACCAGTTAATATAGCTAAATCATCAATCTTTTTCCCACATTGTTTACAATTATATGAACAATTTGAACAAATTAAATTTCCATTCCCCAATACAAGAAAATTGGAATTACAACCTAAAGAACTTGAACATTTTGAACATTTAAAACAATCAATATGCCACCTATCATCACCTAATTCATAAGCATGACCTTCATATATCAATTGATTACATTTTTTACAAGCTTGAAGGGAAAGGGGTGACTTTCGAGGAATAGCAATGTCTTGTGTAGATGACATTACAGTACAGTTGTTGATATTATGATGTGTGTGTGTTTGTTTGTCTGAATATTATAAAATAGTTTTGATTAAACTGTCAGGTTAAAGTGGTTCGAGTGAGTGTCTGATATTTCAGTGACGAGATCAGTGAGTAAGTGAGCGAACAACGAGTAATGAATAATTATTGAAGAATAATAAACGAGTTATGAATAAGTAGAATTAACTCAACACTGACTAGTAGACACTGATAGTCAATGATTATACCAAAGATTATAGACGAGCTAACAGACACGAGTTAGAGTGAGTAGATATCAGTTAAATGTTACTGAATTTGGAATGGACGGAGAGGACAAAAAATAAAATACTTGAAATAAAATAATTTAATTTAATACAGAAAAAAGAATAAATTAAAAAAAAAATAAAATAGAAACAAATACTGAATTAGTCAATAAATACATCTAACGGTAAGTAATTAATCATTGAAGATTTTAGTGGCTAACGTATTAATGAGAAATGTAGATATTACTTACTGTTACTATTACTATTACTGATACTATTATTTATACTGTAACTTTACACTTTACTATTACTTACTATTATCATTAGTAGTATTATTACTATCATTATTACTGTACCTGTGGCTTATGGTTATACTTAAATTTACTCGTACTCTTACTATTACTCTTATTGTCACCCTTACAATTACTATTACTATCACTGACACTTACTGACTGTCACTGTAATCGCATACCATTTGTACTTTATCTGATACAATTATATAGTCGGTAACTCTTGTCTCGCTTCGATCCTTGACGATAAACCCTGACGAGTGGAACAGACACGCACTAAGGCGATTCCGTGCAGCAACAAAATCCATATGTACTATACGAACAGTTCCACCTATATATATTCAATGGGCCCATATCCATTACATACATATTAAACTATACTATATCTATAGTCTATCATAATACTATGTTACACTTTTTACATCTACTTAATTTTAATTCTTTACTAGACCTATTTATCTGACAATAGACGTTTCTCGTCTCTATGTGCACTGCCGATTTGATCAATTGTCTGTTTTACATTTAAATGGAACCCATCTTTTTTTTTGTCCCAGACAAAAATAAAAATAAAAAATTCCTATTTGGGTTAAATTGCATACAGTATGTCAAACCGATCTGCAAACCCTTTACATTTACTAACAGAAATGGTTGTCAACTCATTAGTATGCTGTGCATGTTCATGGAATATGCATATTTCTTAGCACACTATTATAATCAAATGCCGATCCATAACTAAACTTTTTTATTAATGCAAACTATTTATTCTATAGATATTATATTATATTATATTATATTTATATTACTATTTTATTTTATTTTATTTTCCACATACTCTATTATATTATTCCTTATCATATCATAATTCTTCAGCTGTTAAGTCTTTCTTTATCATAAATGGTTTCCCACGCCAATCGATTTCATGCCCAATCATTGCCAATATCCAAATAGGTAAGGCAAGTATTTCTCTTAGTACCCAAATATACCACCAATTTATAAATTTTCTTGATTTTGGTGGTAAATTAATTAACCAATGAGGTAATGATTTATGACCATTAATATTATTAACAAATGTATAATATTGATAATAATCACATCCACACCATATAATTAAATGAATTATAAAATAATACCATGAAAACCATTGATTTAAAAATATATTGGATACTGCAAATGTACCATAAATTCCACAAATTATTGATTCTGTAGTTGGTTCAACTAATGTTGCCATTAAAACCATATATTTTCGAACTCTAAGCCATCTAATTCTACGTTTCATATAATCATTAATAGAATTATCAGCTCCACTTAATGGTTGAATTACAATATCTCCTGATAATCCTGTTTTACCCATACAATTCTCCCAAAGTGCAATCCCAATCATATTATCTTCTCCAATATACCTCGAAAAAAATTTAATAGAATTTCCAGGAATCATTGATTCACTGGTTAAAATTTTACTATCATTAATAACTTTTGAATCTCCAAAAAATTGACTATTAATCGCTGATGACATAAGTGATACAGATTTATCTAAATCAGATTTTCTATAAATATTCGATTTACCATTAACACATGGTGCAACTGAAAGATTATTAAGACTAATATAAAATTTAGAATGTGAAGTCATTAAGAACATCTCATCTAATTTAGCTCCATATTTCTTAAGAAATCTCTTTCTTTTATTTTTAATTATTGGGGTTGGAGATGATGATGAAGTAGATAATAAAGTAGATGTAATCCCAGGTGGTGGTGGTGTAGATCTATAAGATGTAGATGATCCAGTAGTTGATATTGATTCTTTTGATTCTACTGGAGTTAATACATATTCATCTTCATCTTTATTTTCATTACCATTTTGATTACTTCCATTAATACTAATTGCTAATGGGACATGATGAACTAATTTAATTGATCTAGGATGTGAAGCAACTTTTGTACCATTATTTAAATTTTCATTTAATGATTTAACAGAATTTCTAAGAATATTTTCACTAGCCCATACATTGGAATCCATAATCCATAATATATCAAATTTACTAGCAATAAATCCTTTGGATAAATTATTAACTTTGGGATTAGGACCAAAATAATCATCGGAATGACCGGCTAATATATTATAATTCTTACTTATAAGTATCTCTGCATCAGCATTACTATATTTATTAATTAATTTTTGAATAAGTGGTATAGATGGATCAAGAGGATCATCGATGCAAAATAAGATTTGTAGTTTATCAATTGGATAATTTTGTTGAAATGATGATTCTAAACATGACATTAACTCGGGATCTATCCCTTTAATGGGTCGTATAATAGTTACACCTTCCCATATTTCTTCCTCTTCTTGATCAAGTTCTTGATGATTATGTTTCGAACTTGGAGCTAGATCGGGGCTATGTCTGAATCTGGTTATGATAGTATAAAATCCTAATGATGCCACTAAAACAATGACAAGATACCATATAAAAAAGAAGTATGCCAAGAATAATCTTAAAGGTGATATAGATACTATTGATGTTGAAGATAATGCTAATGATGATTTGGATGATGATGCTAAAGCAGTCGATGAAGACGTTTGAATCTCCATCTTGGCTGCAGGAATACGATAAAACAAACGAAACAAATAAGTAATGAATGAATGGGATCAACCACTTGTAAATGGCACTAAGACAGTCCAAAAGAAACACTCACAAAGCTAGTTTAGACGATTCTTCAAGTAATACTTCAATTATTACTATACATGTTATATTACTAAAAACTTTTTCGGTGCTTGCACTACTAGGCCAACGGCTTAAAAGTAGCCGACACAACGCGTATCGGTAACAAAGTCCGGATATCGCTGTCTATGATTTATTAGAACTTATGTACATATTTGTATTAGCTGATCTTGATAGTATTGGTGATATTATTGAGAGGTTTAAGAAGAAGTAGAATGATATATCAAGGGTTATGATTTGTTTTTTTGCTTTTATGCATTTCTTTGGGCATGTAAGAGGCTACAATATAAGAGCATAACTCCTCATGAGAACCAAAAAAGATGGTTATAGTTACATTAATTGAATCAAACAATATATAATAAAGTTTGCAACGAAGTATTGTAACTAAAAATATTTTGTTCTAAGCTCGGACTTTTTTGTGGTCTTCTACGATGATCTCATTTACCACTACTTATAAGGGGACCCTACACTATTATTAGTTACTCTTACCCTAGATTAGATTATATACATAATAATTGATTTACATCCATATAAAAAATAATAATAACCCCAGCCAAATCAAAGATACGATAACTCAACTAGTCCAATCACGTTATAAAAAATTAGCCTATTTGAACAACTACGTAACCCTTTTTAAACTACAATTACCCCGGATTTTAACTAGTTTTTCACTTTGGGATAGTGCACGACCCTGTCCCGGTAAGGTTTATGGTCTGTTTATCAATAAAAGCTCCGATTGGCCAAGACCTATTCCAAAAGAATATACTTAATATCTAAAATAATAAATCTTTTCAATTCGGAAGGAACCCATCAATTAATATTTAATTATTTCTATTAATCAGACCATTAGACCCACATACATATCTGCGGATATGACTTTGTCGTAATTAACTAAATAAATAATTTAAATAATTTATTAATTAAATAAATAAATAAATAAATAAATAAAACAATACAAGTCCGAGATCCCTTATTACTTCAACAATTGCTCGTAAATCAATCCAATTCAATGCTACTAAGCATATACACATCTTAACCGAATTGAAACAAATAGTGAAGTTAACCGTGGTAAATTAGCACACGGCCAGATTTTCCGGTGCGACCCAAGATTCCTCGGTTCAAAGGCATTATGGCCCCCACAAAATTCGATCACCTGGAAATACAAATGGGTATATATAAATTGGAAAATTCCATAAGTAATTAAATTTAGTTTTGCATTTGAAAGCTTTTTTAATTTATAACTTGTAAGTTTTTCAGTAGTCAATTGTATACGATTAGTTAATGTGTTAGAGTTGCCCGAGTATTCATTCTCTTATATCCTAAATTAATAATATGTTCAAATTGAAAACTCCGACAAGATCAATCATTATGCCAATCTTAAAGAAAAATTTGACTTCTTCAGCCATTAAAGGTGATTTATTTAAATATCAATCTCAATTACCAAAATTACCTGTACCTAGTTTACAGGAAACTGGAGCCAAATATCTTAGATCCATAGAACCTTATTTAACCCCAGAACAATTGAAATCAACATCATCAAAAGTAAATAATTTTATTAATGGTGAAGGTCAAGTATTACAATCAAGATTAGTTGATTTTGCTCAATCAAAAGATAATTGGTTAGCAGAATTTTGGGATGATTATGCTTATATGTCATACCGTGATCCTGTTGTTCCATATGTTTCATATTTCTTCAGTCATAAAGATGTTAATAATCAAATTGGTAAAGATCAATTATTGAAAGCTACTTTACTTACTTATTATACAGTTGAATTCCTTGAACAAGTTCAAAATGAAACTTTAGCTCCAGAAATCATTAAGGGTAATCCATTCTGTATGAATGCTTTCCATTATATGTTTAATAACTCAAGAGTTCCAGCTCCTGGTTCAGATATTACCAAACATTATGATGGATCTCAACATCAATATTTTATTGTCATCTACAATAACAATTTCTATAAAGTTCCTCATCATGATGCTAATGGTAACAAATTATCTAAAGCTCAAATTTATTATTTCTTACAAGCTGTTAAGAATTCAAATGCTCCAAAGGGTGAAGGTCTTGGTGCATTAACCTCATTAAATAGAGATGAATGGTTGGCTGCTTATGAAAATTTAAGAAAATCTCCAATTAATGAAGCATCTTTGGAAACCATTTTTGCTTCTTCTTTCGTTATCTGTTTGGATAACAATAATCCAATCACTATTGAAGAAAAATCAAAGAATTGTTGGCATGGTGATGGACAAAATAGATTCTTTGATAAACCATTAGAATTCTTTATTAGTGCTAATGGTAATTCTGGTTTCTTAGGTGAACATTCAAGAATGGATGCTACTCCAACTGTCCAATTAAATAATACGATTTATAAACAAATTACTGAAACTGATCCAAATGCTTTAATTTCCGAAATTACTTCTCAATCTCCAATTCTTTCCGCTACTTATACTCCAGAATTATTAAAATTCGATCTCAATCCAGTTTCAAGATCTAATATCTCTACTGCTATTGAAAAATTCGATAAAACTATTTCTCAACATCATGAAGAAATTTTCCAACATTATGGTTATGGTAAGGGATTAATTAAAAAGTTTAAAGTTTCTCCTGATGCTTATGTTCAATTATTAATGCAATTAGCTTATTATAAATTAACTGGTAAAATTAGACCAACTTATGAAAGTGCCGCTACTAGAAAATTCTTAAAGGGTAGAACTGAAACTGGTAGAACTGTTTCTAATGAATCTAAAAAATTTGTTTTAACTTGGACTGACCCTAATGCAAGTCTTGAAGAAAAAGCTTCTACTTTCCAAGCTGCTGCTAAGCAACATGTTGCATATCTTTCTGAAGCTGCAGATGGTAAAGGTGTAGATCGTCATTTATTCGGTTTGAAACAAATGATTCAACCTAATGAAGCTGTTCCAGATATCTTTACTGATCCTATTTTCTCCTATTCTCAAACTTGGTATATTTCATCTTCTCAAATTCCTTCTGAATATTTCCAAAGTTGGGGTTGGTCTCAAGTTATTGATGATGGTTTTGGTTTGGCTTATTTGATTAATAATGATTGGTTACATGTTCATATCTCTTGTAAGAAAGGTAATGGATTAAGAGCTGACCACTTGAAGTGGTACTTGATTGAATCCGCCAATGAATTAAAGGATAACTTATCAAAGGCCCTCTTAGAACCAAAAGCCAAATTATAATCCTCTTTTTAATCTATAGTATGCTATATTCAGTAGTATAGTAGTATATTATTTTGAAGTTTAATTTTTATATATATTTTATTTATTAAAATCATTACTATTATTTAATTATCTGTACAATAAAGATTAGATTCTTCTATACCAAATTAAATGGCATTGTTAAGCTATCTATCTTGTGGGGGCGACAGTAAATTCAATCTCATTACTAAATATAGATTGTCTTTATCAAACAAAGCCACCACACAATGATATAAACATTTAAAAATCTACAAGTTAACAAATTAATTTATCCGTCCCTCGGGTCAATCAATTCGCAACCGATTACAGTGCTGCATGGAGAAATAGCAATGCAACTTGATCTGTAACAGTTAAAATGAGATAACAATATTTAAATATTGACAAGTCATGGAGCTTATGGTATGATATATCAGCAAAGGGTGACCTCATTCATGATATAATATAAGAATATTAGATAGTATTGCCACAATAAGTCATGTGTCTAAATCGTTTATTCTGAGTTGCAATATCGTCTAATCGTGCGCATAAACCAAGATTGCAATGCATACTTTTGTTTACGTTTCAAAGCTGAGCATTCGTCTAGACGATGGTTCAAACTACACAATGAGTATAACTGCAGCAGAAGAGGAGCATTTCCATGACCAATTGGTAAATAAGTAAATAGAAGAAATTGTAGTTGGAGATAATATAGTGGCATGGAAGAGAATGTTATGACATTAAGTAATACAGCCCTAAATAGATGACTAGATAAAGCATCAAGATGACAGTGAATGCAAGGGCGAAGCATATAGAAGGATTAAGTTTGAATAAAATAGGTTTTGCATCACTTATTACAATTACTAATATAGATTACTGACGATAATGTGTCAGTAAAAATATTAACTACAGGTAACTTTAGCCTATGATAATAGAATATCAATAGTTTATTTTGACATTTCCGAATCTCTTCTGTTGTATATTTTGGTCTTCTAAGGCTTGGTGGGGCGATTACGTAAAGATTTTACTAAGCTCGGGGCCTGGTCCTTTCTTAAATTTTACAATAGATTTAGTTCTGGTTATTGTGGTTCCCCTCTAGTATAGCATTAGTATGTAAGATATATCAATTGTATTTGTTATGACAACTAAGGGAAGGAGCGGTTGAAAAGTTATAAGGAATATACATTATCAAATAATAGATTAGAATAAATAGTAATACACATATCTTTTTCAGTTCTTTGCTCTTTCCCGAAACAAGAATTCTGGATTGTTTATTTTAATTGTATGGATTTGTGGTTCGTGACTTATTTGTTATTTATTTACCGAAGCACTCATTTGTTATTGTTTTACTTTATACAACCTCGAGCTATAAAAGATCTGGCAAGTTTTAAAACATTAATTGACCTGTCAACCAAATAATATAAATTATACATTGTATCACGAAGTATCTATACACGTCTATTTTTGTTCTATGTTTATATTTATTTACGTTTGACTTGATTATTTGAATAGATACAGTAAATTATTATCACTACAAAGTAAATTTACACCCACAAATACTTAGAAAATCTGGTATTTCACTAACATCAATTAATTACCAGTGTATCAAATTTTGGTATCCAACTCATCAATATCCTTTCCCCACTACTGTTTTGATCATTGCACGGCTTGAATCCTTCTCAATCTTAGTTAGTCGCTTGTCATTTTTGTCTAAATTATCAATTTCGCCCCTGACGTAACCAAGTCGAAATTGCAACTTTGTCAAGAAAATAATTTATCGGTAGCATTTTGATTAATTTGGTGATCCCGCAACACTATTACTTAATTAGGCCAGATTAATTACAGCTACAAGTAGGTACCAAAACTTCAATTAGAGTTCATTACAATTAATATCAATTGATCTTTGATTGATTTGACAACCAACAATTCTTTTGCGATAAAACTCGTCATCTGTCAATTACACTTGATATTCTTTGATTATAATTGTTTCAATCCCCGACGTGACGTACATACATACTTGCATAAGATCTAGGGGAAACTGCATACAGAAATTACCTCTAGTGGTATTACCTATTTGATTGATCTATACTATAAACAATATCATACGGAGAGAAACAAGGAAACACTCCAGTTAAAGATTTGAGTCATTCAATTGATTTGTTATCTATCTGTTTCAAATCCCAATTGGTACAACCCACTATTTTGTTGTCAATAGACCTTTATTCAAAAGTATCTTTCATTAGCTTATACCTTCATTGCCCTTGCAATAATCTATCTCTTTGAATCTGCCCTCCAACCCATTACCATTTAATTACATTACGTCGTTACTTAACTTGTTTAAACAATTGTCATTCATTGGAACATTCGGTCATTCATTCATTTATTCATTCCAATTGTTATATACATTCTTCTCCGACATAAATAAGCAGGGAATACTACAATATAAATACCATCCCTAATCCCCATTTACAATTTTGTCACTAAAGATTATTTTTTCCTTACCCACCACACTAAAATTAGGCACAACAATAACTACCCCTAGTCGGATAACAATAATATCTCGCCGTAATTAACGACAATCTTTTCAAATACATCTGTTGTGTCAATTATTTGTGTGTAAGTCCAATTGGCCTGGTCAAAGATTTAACTAACTTATCTCTGTACTCTAAACAAAGCTTAGCTTAATTATATATACCAGACTAGGGTCCTTCTATTATTTAGTTCTCAATTTAGTGCGGAACTTCAACCTAGCCTTGTTACAGGTCTTCACTATTCTTGTGTTACTAAACATAGATATTAAGTGTTGATCTTATTACGTCATCACAGCCTGTCCATTACTTGACATCCATACTTTGAGGCAGTATCTCACCTCACTACAATTCTCATTATCATTATCTCATTATCTAACTCCTCACTATCGTACCTCCACATCATCACTAACTTATTACTATCATTACAATAACTACTTACCCTAACTAGTTGCATAATCCTAACCACTACTTCATTACTATCAATTTACGACATTGCACGATTCTGTCTAACCCTGCTCCACGTCATCCCTTACCGGCACAAACTAACTTTAACTTACTCCTTGGTGCCCCCACAATCATCGTCTAAGAAAAAAACTTTAGGATTCATACTGAGCTGAGCACTCTACGCAGGTTCCTAAATCATAACATCATTTACTTAAGCATTGGTTGATCTAACAGATCATACATATCTTTGTTTTCGCACTTATCAATTGTAAACAATCAATTCCTTAATTCATCCAATCCAATCATAGCCCCCAAAATAACTGTCGTATATTGCTAATTTTAAATGTTTCTCCAAGTGATATGTCAAATCCCAATAAACAACGAACGCATAAGCGACAGAAATCGTCTATACTGACTCCTGGTTATTACTTTTTAGATCCACAACAACTGCCTACACAACAACAACAATCACAGCCCCAGCAACAACAACATTCTCAGAGACATCTTCAACTGCTGCCTCATCATAACTCTCAATCATCACCCACTCATAATACTCAAATATATGATGACCCATACTCATTTAGTTACAATTTCCCTCAGAAACCATCGTCATCTTCAACGAATTATCCTCAAGAACAAGATCAAAGATCAATATTACATACATCTCCACTAAAGAGAGAAGCTTCTAATGATGATCTCCGTGAAGAACAACTGCATCTGCATCAACAGCAATATCAGCAACAACAACAGCAACAACAATCTGCATCTTTTTATCCTTACACATCAACCCAAGTCCATCCAGTCTATGGCAATATCGACGCGTCACAACTTAATAATCCCAACCCAGGACTATTTCAAAGTCCTGTTCATAATTATCAACCCATGTCTAGTACATCTTCATCACCATATGTTAATCAACATCCATCACATTCTAAACAAATTCCATCTCAATCCTATTCAAGTAATTTCGAACAAACTTCATTATATCCTTCACCATCATTTAATTATCCTAAGATTACAGAATATGCTCCACTTTCTTCATCTTCTATACCACAAGGAAGTAGTAGTAAATCACAATTATCGTCAGCTTATAGACAACATCAAAAGAATAATTTATCAATTTCATCTCATTTTAATTTATTCTCATTATCCGAAGATCCCCTGAAGAATCATCCTAGTAACACTCCAAGTAATAATAATAAAATAACTGTAGGAGGATCAGTGGTTAATGATTTATTATCTGAATTAGTTCATGTTGATAGTTCTAATATTAATAATTATTTATTATCTATTTTAAATAAAATTAGTACTACAATTCCCGTGGATGATTTTTATAATTTGCTTTATAATAATGATAGACTTGATTCATTCTTGGCTATAAAAACTGATGAAAAAATTGATAAAACCATTGTACCAATGGCTACAGCCACTAATCCAAATCCTAATATTACTACTAGTATAGGAGCTAATGATGGAGAAAGTATCTCAATTATAATAATTAATGAATTATTAAATATCTTTAAAAATACGAGTCTTTTAGTTGAATATTTTCCTGAATTAGCCAATAAAGAAAATAAATTAAGTCATATTAATTATCATGAATTATTAAGAACATTTCTTGCAATTAAAATATTATTTGATGTTTTAGTTGAATTACCTCTTAGTAATGATGATGATCCATTAAATTATACAATTCCTCGATTATCAATTTATAAAACTTATTATATTGTATGTCAAAAATTAATTTTACAATATCCTAGTTCATCAAATACAACTAATGAACAACAAAAATTAATTCTTGGACAATCTAAATTAGGTAAATTAATTAAATTAGTTTATCCTAATTTATTAATTAAAAGATTAGGTAGTCGAGGTGAATCTAAATATAATTATTTAGGGGTGGTTTGGAATAATAGTATAATTGATGATGAAATTAAAAATTTATCAGATAATAATGATATTGTCGAATTAAATGAAATCTTTAAACGGGATCCAAAAGTTCCAAGATTATCTTTATCAAGTTTTGTACCTAAAAAGCCTCATAGAAGAAGTTCAAGTAAGGGGAAATTTAAACCAGATCTTTCTAAATCATCACCTCTGGAAATATTCATGACACCTCATGATATTGGGTTAGGTCAGTCTACTCAAATATCTCCTCCAAATGTCCTTGAACCTCCACTTCAATCTCATCCCCATTCCCATTCTCATTCTCATTCCCATTCTCATTCTCATTCTCAATCTCAATCTCAAGTTCAACTCGGTCTGTTGGATCCTTCAAATTTATCAACGGCCAATGTCCCAAGGTATCGTGATTCGATTACTGCTCCTAATTTATCATTTATAAAACCATTCTTAAAATATCCACCCGATGATAATTTTACTGTCCTTAATGATGAAGAGAATTGGTTTAGTGAATTAAAATTTAAAATTTATACGACTCAATCGCAAATCCCGAGAAATATTATATATCAAATATTTCTTGATTCAGAAAATTTACAATCTAGTAATAGTATTTTACATAATTTAGTTGAAGCCGTTATAAAACCATTAATTACATCATCTACTGAACAATCACAAAATATTGAAAAACAAATTGATTTGAGTCTTTATTTAATTATTTTAATTGAGATTCTTCCTTATTTATTATTAATTAAATCTTCAACTAATATTTACTTTTTAAAGAATCTTCGATTAAATTTGTTACATTTAATTAATAATTTTAATACTGAAATTAAGAAATTAAATTCACCATTTTTCAAGCTTGATAATTCTACGATATTTTTAATTTTATTAAAGAAAATGATGAATTTAAATGATTTATTAATCACATTTATTAAATTAATAATTAAAGATGATGTTAAATCAATTATGTCTAATGATATTGAGAACTTTTTTAAGTCCTCAGAACAATCTTTATCTCAAGCTGGTCTTGTTCAAACAGGTTCAGGAAGTCATCAACAGCAACAGCAACAACAGCCACAACCTCCTCTTCCTCAAGTACCATCGGATTCTATAAAACTTGAAGATGAGGATGATGATGAAAATTTTTTACTTAATTTGAATTCATTTGGAGAATTGAATTTCAATTTTAAAAATGATATTTTATCAAATGATATGATTTATACCTTAATTGGTTATAATTTTGATCCTGCTATTAGTAAAGAATTAAAATCATCAATATCTATGAATTTTGTAAATGATGAAATTAATTTAATTGATGATTTCTTTAAAAAGGATTTATTGGCATTCTTAAATGATACAAGTTATGAATTTGAGAGTCCTAGTATTTTAGATACTAAATCAATTTCAGGTGAATCAGAAGCTAGTAGTAAAGGTGCTGGTATAAATCCTCTGGGTGAAGATTCACTCCTTAATAATAAAGAATTAATTAAATTACATTCATTAATAAATTTAATTGATCGAAGATTATTATCCATTCATTATAAATCCAAATATCCTATTGTAATTTATAATAATTTCATTAGTTTTATTTTAAATGATATTTTGAAATTTATATTTTTAAAACAACAACAATCTCAAGCTCAGAATTTAAGTTCCAATCATCTGTCTGATGCCAGTCAAAATTCTTTTGGTAATTGGTGGGTATTTAATTCCTGTATTCAGGAATATCTTTCTCTTATGGGAGAGATTGTGGGTCTACATGATTCCATTGAAACCGTGACTTGAGCCATTTATGTCAGCATTTTGCATTCTTCTAATTCTTCCAAGAGTTCATTGTATTTACTATGTTCATCTTTAATTATCTCATTCACATTCATTAAATATTTACTCATGCATTTATACTTAGAGTAACTGACTTTCCTACTACTACTACTATTACTTAATTTTTAATTTCCAATCTTTGCATTTCTTCTTAAAAGTTAATAGTTTACTATCTCTCCATTGGAGCTAATTCTTTAATAATCTTAATATGAATATACATTTGAGTAATTGCCATATATAATCACTTGACTGTTTGACTTTCAACTTGACTGTAATACTTACACCAACCCTTTTAACTATAGTCTCTATTTCTATTACTTGTTCAACATCATCCACTATCAATAATTATAAAAATATCTTCTATACACTCCATAGTTATAGTATGGTACGATTTCTTTAGCTAATTTAGTACCCTTGTTATCACTCTTGAGCCTCTGTTGAGCCACTAAATTTAACTGCAAAATTAATTTTGTTTTTCGGTAGGCGGCTAGTTTGACAGATCCATTTCCCAATTAGGCCATTTGGCGGCAAGCGCATTGGAGTGCCTAATCAGGTAGTAATTACATGCAGGAATATGCCCGACCCTACTGATTCGATAGATATAGATATAAATAGGTGATAGAATATCTGTAAATTATTAATTAGTTAAGTAATATAGTTTGCATATATAACATCCATAACAATGGTAACTCATAAGAAAGTAATTATTATTGGAGGAGGAATTTCGGGTGTAAAAGCAGCCCTTGATTTATATAATGGAGGAGTTGAAGATACCCTAATTCTCGAAGCTAGATCTCGATTAGGTGGAAGATTGCTTTCAATTGATTCTACTAATAAAACAAATCAAGAAGATATTAAATATGATTTGGGGGCTCTGTGGTTTCATGATTCTTTAAATAATCCATTATTTGATAAAGCCATTGAGAAGGGTAATGTTAAGTATTATTTTGATGATGGAAGAAGTATATTCTTTTCAGCTCATAATAATAATATTGAACATTGGAAATATGAAGTAGTAATGGATGAAATATTGGCATTTATTACTTTAACATACGAAAGAAATCCTTATAAACCAGATGTTTCATTAAAAGAAATATGCGATGAATATATTTCAAAACATAAATCTCATTTAACTGAAGATCAAATTAAATATGGATTAGGAGTTGTAAGAATGTGGGCAGAATTATGGCATGGAGAATCTTGGGATAAACTTTCAGCAAAATATTCTTTTGATGGATCATCTCATTTGGGTCGAAATGTATTTGTTAAGAATGGGTATAAAACTGTATTTAACAATGAATTAAATGATTTACCTGAATCATATAGAATTAATAATATAAAACTTAATACTCAAGTTAATTCTATTAATTATACTAATAAGAAACAAATTATTTTAAAAACAAATGATAATACTATATATACATGTGATTATTTAATTGTAACTATTCCTCAAAGTCTTTTAATAATTAATGATCCAAAAGATGAACAATATATAAATTGGCAACCAGTTTTACCTACTCATATTACTGATATATTGCCATCTATACATTATGGATCACTTGGAAAAATAATATTTGAATTTGATACTATCTTTTGGCCAGATAATGTTGATAGATTTTATGCAATAACTGATAATATTCCTGATAATCATGGAAGTAATTATAAATCATGGGATTTCCCAACTATATTTATTAATTATGCAGCTATGGCTAAAACTGCAACTTTAGTAGCTCTTATTCAAGCTCCATTATCATCATATATTGAAAATTTAGATTCATCAATTAAAAATCAAAGAATTTGGAATCTTTTTCAACCTCTTATACAAAGTATTTCTATAATAAGTAATATACCTGCCCCCACTAAGATTTATCATACACCATGGAATTCAGAAAAATATTCTCGAGGTGCATATGCAACTACAAAAGTTGGAACAATTAATCCTGAAAAAATAATTAATGCATTTACTCAAGGTATTGATAATAGAATTAAATTTGCTGGTGCAGAAACGGTCGATGGTAGCGCCAACGGATGTGCTCATGGAGGATGGTTTAGTGGACAAAGAGAAGCGAAATTTATTCTTCAACAAATTGCTCTTGAACAACTTCAGTCGAAGCTTTAAGAAATTAAGTAGTAATAGTAATATATATAGTAAATATAATAGTAATAGAAAAAATATGTAGTAAGTTGTTACTTGTATAATTAAATTCTATTTCCGGATCTAACATGTAAAACAGGACCCCTAGTCGGTGGTCTCAACCTGCAAAAAAATATACAAGTCTTCTCGAATCCAAATTTTTAAATCCATCAAATTACCCCATTAATGAGACCCACGAGTAATAGTCAATAGTAATTATAGATAAATTAAATATGACTAAATCACCTAATAATATTAAATTAATTGGAGGGAATTCTCATCCTCAATTATGTCAACTGGTAGCCACTAAATTAGGAATGCCATTAGCACGAGTTGGAGCATTTCAATATACAAATCTGGAAACAGCCGTAGCAGTTGGAGAATCAGTTAGAGATGAAGATGTTTATATAATTCAAACATGTTGTGATGAAAGTAAAATAAATCAATATTTAATGGAACTTTTAATAACTATAAATGCATGTAAAATTGCTAGTGCTAGAAGAGTTAGTGTAGTAATTCCCAATTATTTTTATGCTAGACAAGATAAGAAAGATAAATCTCGAGCTCCAATAACGGCTAAATTAATTGCAAATTTATTACAAACTGCAGGATGTGATCATGTAATAACCATGGATTTACATGCCTCTCAAATTCAAGGATTCTTTAGAGTTCCAGTTGATAATCTTTATGCTGAACCATCAGTTTTAAGATATATAACTGAACAATTTGAAAGGAAAGATTTAATTATTGTATCACCTGATGCAGGAGGAGCTAAAAGAGTAGCATCAATAGCAGATAAATTAGATGTAAATTTTGCATTAATTCATAAAGAACGTCAAAAGGCAAATGAAATTTCAAGAATGGTATTAGTTGGAGATGTTAGTAATAAAATTTGTGTATTAATTGATGATATGGCCGATACTTGTGGAACTTTATGTAAAGCCGCAGAAATTTTAATTGAAAATGGTGCAAGTAAAGTAGTGGCGATGGTAACTCATGGAGTATTTTCATCTAATGCTATAGAAAAATTAAATAATTCCAAATTAGATCGAGTTATTTGTACAAATTCTTTACCATTAAAGGATAAGGCTGCGGCTTGTCCTAAACTAGAAGTTATAGATATAAGTCCTACTATCGCTGAGGCTATTAGGAGATTACATAATGGTGAGAGTGTTAGTTATTTATTTAATAATGTACCTGAATAGATAATATGCTATATGCTGTATGCAATACTATACTATACTATATAATATACATACTATATGCTGTGTACAATATGCTATATGCAATACTATACATACTATACTATACATACTATATACTATGTATGCACTTCCTTTGCTTCAACCATATACCATATAACCCCCACACTTAATTGGAACGGATTCATTTGTTTATTAGTAGCCGTCTCATTGGTTACTTTATTCTCAGTAATCGTAACTACTCTACCCACCATCCATTCTTTATCTTTAATTGAACTATTATCATCAACTTTTAAAAAATAATGAGGAGCTCCAATATTAAATGCTGCCCATGGTTGTAAATTTTCATCGATTTCAATATCATTATTAATTCTATCAATTCTTGTAGGTAAGAATAATACAAGATCATTTACTTGAAAATTATTCATAGATATTTTAGAATTTAATTTATGAAATAATTTACTAATTTCTTGTTCTTTTAATTTGCCTTCTTTAGTTTGTCTCTTTGCAAATCCTTCAACATCTCTAAATCTTTTTGCAATAGCATTTAAAAAGAATTTACTATTATTAATACTATCTTCTTGCATTAATACATTATCTTTAAATGATATTAAATGCATAAATTCTCTTAATTTAGAATTAGAATTACTAGTCTGTTCTTGTTCTTGTTCTTGTTCTTTTCCTTTAATATTCTCTTCATATAATTTAATAATTTGTCCCGTTTGTTCATCATCAAAATTAGAATCATCTAATTTTAAATTATCAAAATTATGTAACCAATTCATTTTATTTTCAATATCTTCAATTACTTTTGAACTTGGCTTTTCAATAGATATTAACAGAATATCAGTATCATCAATTGAATTATTTTTCTTAGATCTTAAACCTTTAACTCGAGTAATCTTATATATTTGATCATCTTTAATAAGTAATAACCCCATTGATTCAAGTATAAAACAAAATTCTAAAAAGAATTCAAATAATTCTTGAGATAATTTTTTAATATTATCATATAAATCTATAATAATATTATTAAGTTGTTGAATTAATTTCTTATCACCAGAACTAAGTTCAATTAAATTTTCATAATCTTCATGAATTTCATCTAATTTATTTTGTAAATTTTTAATATCTTCATGTAAAGAATTTCTTTCTTTAGTTATTTCAATTTCTTTTGATGATAAATTAGATAATAAATCATTCTTAGTATTGGTAATATCATTTAAATCATTTCTTAATCCTGAAATTATTTGATTTAATTTATTAATTTCTCCTCCAGTATTACTATTTAATTCAGTAATTTTAATTAAATTATTTTGTAAATCGGATATTTGAGTTTCTCGTTGTTCAATTTTATTTCGTAAATTATCAATGGTTTTAGAATCTAATTTATTATTTAATTTAATTTCTTCATCTTGATGAGAAATTCTCTTGGTTAAATTTGAAATTTCTTGTTTTAAATTAGAAATTTCATCATTTTTCAATTCATTATCTTCCATTAACTTTTTATTTTCTTTAGATAATTCATTGTTTCGTGCTATAAGTTCTTCATTTTCTCGTTTAAGTCTTATATTATCTAAATGTTTATCTATACTAGTTGTAGCTGTAGCTGTGGTTGTAGTTGTATTATTAGGGGATGATGATAATACTTTTGAATTGGTAGAATTTCTTCGTTGTAATAGTTGAGTGGGATCTGATTTATTCATAGTAGAAGGATCCATAATTAAACTCATTCTATTATTAGAATTACTTACTGAAATATTATTATTATTATTATTATCATTATCATTTCTTATAACTGGCCAACTAGTTAAATTTTTAAATTGTTGTTGATGTAATAAACTTTCAAGTTTTTTAATTCTAGATTTTAATCCCTTTATAAGATTTAAATCAATATCAATATCCAGTTCTTCAATTTCATCAGAATCTGGTTTCCCATCACTATTTAATAATTTCAGTTTATTTTCACTGGCTAATGAAGTATAATGACCTAAAGAATTAATAATCTTTGTTAACTTTTTCATAGTATTAGTAGATTTAATTAAATCTTTAAAATTCTTATTAAGTAATTCAATAAAATTATTGGAAACATTGGCAGTTTCTAAAATTGAAATATAATTTAATATATCATCTCTATCAATTATAATATCATCTAATATTTTAAATGAAGAGGAAGATGATGAATTATTATGATTCTTACCTACTAATGTAACATCAATATTTGGTAATGTTGATTGAATTAAGTGATGATCATTATTATCATTTTCTAATAATGGTAAAAAGGTACCAAATTTCTTTAACCAAATCTTTCTAAATAACTTTTCATGATCTATAATAATTGATAATTGTTCACTAACATTATTTACAATTCCCTTTGAATAAAAATCATACCATTCATATTGTCTTCTTTTTTCTATAAGAATAAATCCAAATAATAATGGTAAATCTATAGTTATTGCTAAATAATCTTCATAATTTTTAATGGTTTGAATAGTTTGAAATGATGGTTTATTAATATTAGTATTATTAATATTAATATTAATATTATTATTACCAATTTCTGATGGTGATGGATTAGTTAATAATTTAAGATTATTCTTTATATTAACCATACTCATTTGTAAATTAGCAATTTTATTAAATATCTTAATTGACTCATTAATTAATCTTTCTTTAAATCTCTTTAATCCAATATAATGATCATATAATTTATTAACTTTATTAAATAATTGAGGACTTAATTGATTCTTATGATTATTAAATATTTCAAATAATTCTAATTCTAAATCACTAGTAGATAATTTATTATAATCTTTAAAAAGTATATTTGATAATTGTTTTATATTATCAATTACTTCCGACATTTGAAATTCTTTAAATTCAAATATTGATTCATTTCTTAATGATTCAATTTGTTTATCAATTAATAATTTTTCTCCATTAACTTCATTAATTGATTTAGTTAATTTATCAAATTCTTCAATAATTAATGGTAAATTATTATTAATATAATTGGATTTTTCAATTAATTTATTATAATTTAAAAAATCCTTTAGTATAATTAATTTATTCTTTATTTTAATAGTTGGAAATATTAATAATTTTTTATAATGATCTTCCCATGAATTATGTAATGATTTATATTTGATTAATTTAATATAACTTAAATAATTATTAAAATTCTTTTCAGTTTCATTAATAAAATTAGTTGCAAATTGGAAAATTGTATTTAAAGATTTAAATATTATATTAATTTGACTTATTAATTCTTTACAATAATCGGATAATTTTAAACTATTTCGAAGTAATTGATTAGTCCAATCATGATTTAATTTAAGTCGATTAGTAATTTCCTTTATATTATTTGTTTCAAGTGCTGTTGTTAATATTGATAGTTGAGGTGATGAAATAATATTATTACTATTATCTAATTCAGTCTGTTGTAAATAATTATTTAAAATACTTATTTCATAACCATTGGCAAATAATCTTTTATCAAATACATAAATATCATTCAATTCATTAATTAAATTAAAATTTAATCGAATTCCAAATGATGTAAGTAAGAAAATATTATCTACACTTTCAAATAAGAATGATTGCAGTAAAAATCGTTTAAATTCATTTAAATTATGAAATCGAATTGGTTTAGGAATCTTCATACATGCTCCATTATGAGCATTATATATAAGTAAATATGCTAAATCAGTCATAGTGGAAAGTTTCTTCTGAGATGACCTATACTTTTTTATGAAATACGGGGGAGCAGATACAATCAATGAATAATGTATAATGAATTATGAATAAATACCACTAATAATATGCTAGGCTAAGTTCTGCTCTTATATGCTGGACTGTATTAATACCCTCTTACTATCCCACAAGATTCTTAATGGGGATATTGAAAACTCTACTAGTTACCTTAATTGCAACTGTGGTTTGCCATTAGGCTGGCTTGGCTACCCTACCTCTTTTTTTCCCGTGATCGTTATCACTAGTCAGACGACACTATGGTTACGAGGACAAACCAGTTGTTAATTGAATTGTATATAGTGAGAGAGAGAGACAGAGATATACGACGAATGACTCTAGTTCACCTTTCTGATCTTTGAAAGGGAATTGAATCTTTCTTAGAACTCTTAGTTATGGCTAATAGTATAGTAATTTATAGGGATGTAGTACTGCGGTATGGATGTAGATGGTGCTATGCCTGCATATTGTGTGTGAGAAAACTAGACCCCACGCCGCAACGAAAAACTTGAGCAGGAGATAATTCAAAAGTTTCGATAAACTGGAACATGGGGTTATTAAAGGGAGTATATACTAAGTAAGTAATAATAATATAATATGTTGGACGGAGTTTCATTAGAAATAATATCACGATTCAAGCAAGCTGTACTTACAGCCAAATCTATAAGTAATGATAATGCCGAAATAGCTTCGAGTAATAGAGGTAATAAACTTTACCAGCCATCGACTAATTCATTAGAAGCATTAAAATCCAAAATTGTTGAATATGATGGAATTAATCATCTTGTATTAACTAACGAAACTATTGAAAGAAGTAATATTAATAATAAAAGAAAATGGAATGATACTTATGGAGATTCATCAAGTAATATTGATAATCATGTTTATATAGATGATAATGATAAAGATGATCATGATCAAGATCAAGATCAAGATGATATACAAGAAAATGAAGATGATGATGATCATCCTTTAAAGAAAATAAAACTTGGAGAAATCTTGGCTCCTTTAAATCATCCATCAGAAGTTGTATCACATCCATCAATACTGAAAACTTATAAATCAGTTATATTTAATAAATTAGCTAATGAATTAATTGAATTAATAGAAGTTGAACAAACAAATTTAAATTGGTTAAATAAATTATTACAAGTTTTAAATGGTGAAGATTGGTTTTATCTATTAGAAGAAAATCTTGGTTTAAAAGATTATGATCATGGATTAAATGATGATAAATTATCTAATGAAGTAAGAGATAGAAGTCAAAAGAATGGTGAATCTAAAGAAACAGAAGTGAAAACTGAAAAGGAAAAGGAAAAGGATTCTAATGATGAAATAGATCCATTTTTTGCTTTACCACAAACTTTAAAGAGGTATGAAGAACATCAATTAGCAATCAATAGTGAACAACAAAATGATGATCAAGAATATAGTTTGAAACAAGATTTAATAAATTATTTACAAGTTAGTATTCAAAGACAACATGAATATATTAAGAATTTAAGTCAATTACGAAATGGCATAGTTAGAGCTGATAGATTAAAGAAAGATATCTATAAATGGGGTAAAGAAATGCATGATAAGAGAAGTAATTAAATATGTATTATTAGTATTATTAAAAGTTAGCTTTAAAATATATTACGTTTATTAACTATATAAATTGTAAACTACTTATTCGTCTTCATCGAATTTTGGAGCCAAGTAAAATCTTAAATAACCGCCAACATCTAATTTATATTCAAATAAAGCAGGAGTTTTATCAGCTAATTTGATAGTAATAGTACTTGATAAAGAAGTTGCCTTAATAATATCATTAAGATATTTTAAACCAAAAGTTAAATCAACAGGATTATCTAAATGAACATTAACACTTTCATCTGGTTTATCCATATCAGTATAAGGTTTTAAAACAACAGAACCAGAACCAGATTCACCTTCAGAACTAAATTTAACCGCATCTTTTGTAACTATAATATTTAATGATTCACTTAAATTCTTTAAATCTCTAACAATTTTAGAAAATTCACTTGATGGCATTGTTATAACAGTATCATATTCCATATCATCAATTTTAAGAAATTCAGAATCAATATTCATTAATTTTAATGAATATTCACTAACTCTTTCCTTTTTCTTATCTTCAAATATAGTCATAACATTATCTGGACTATCTTCTGCCAATATAGTTAAATAATCTTCATTATTACCACATTTTATAATTTTAGAGAAACTATCTAAATCAATACCTAAAGTAATATCTCTATCACATCGATATTCACTAAATGCAGTTTGTCCAACTAATAATGAAACTAATAAAACTCTTGAATCATCAACGGCTTGAACAGTAATTCCATGTTCAGTACAATTGAAATTACATAATTTAACACAATCTTTAATTGAATCAACAATTTTCTTTAATAACGTGGCTTCATCGAACTTACCTTCGAGCATTTTGAAATATTGGTTTATTTATTGGGTTTATCTATTAATTGTATTACTGTAAATAGTAAAAGTAGTGAAAACTGAAGTAGATAATTAATTTTCACTCACCTCGCTCATTTTTTGGCACGCGTCTATTTGCAGTGTGCTGAAATTACGCGTACATATTTCTAGTGAGTGAGTAGTGAGTGAGTGAGTGTACTTAACTATGGTCTATATAACTTACTAATAGTAGCCATTGACATATAATGGTGAGACACAGAAAGATATAAATCTAGTTTTATCAGTTGAACAGAAATATGTTGCAATTATAAGTAATACCATACTGTATATATGAAATAACTATAATATGTATCTATATATGGATTAGTAATGTAGTGAATAGTGTTTGAGTAGTACTATCTCTAAAGAACTTTTGTTGCAAAATAATGTCAAAAACTAATGAAAATTAAGATTAAATGTAATAGAAGTAAAAGTGCTCATCTATTGATGAAAATGTAAAAATACCAAACAAAAATCAATATATCTATCAATTAAGCTTATAACTGGGAAATACAATAAAAATATGTGTATTCTAGATCCATTTGGCATGTAAACCATAAAACCTTTATGAATAAAAAAGTAGAAAAAAAAAGACTCCGCGACGGGGAATTGAACCCCGGTCTACCACGCGACAAGCGGTAATTCTAGCCACTAAACTATCACGGATGTTTTGTTGACAAGAAGTTTTTGTGGTAAATCATAACAAGTATCCTCAAATCACGTGATTAAATGTGATCACGTTCCGGAGCATGTGACTAAATTAATTTGAATAGGTGGAATTCTCTGCATTTTGGTTGTATAGAAAGTGTAGGTTCTGTACTTTATCTCTTATATTACTATATTGAGAGTTTTCATCTGCTTCAAGGTTCTTGCAGGGCTTTTGGAATTACTTATTCACACTAGATAGTCAAATAATTAAAAGAATTTACACAGAAAAGATTTGGAAAGTTGCAAAAAAAGGCCCCATTCCATAAAAATTATACTTTAATAAACAGAGTATGAAAAGCTCTGTAACAATTCAACCTTCTACATGTTGAACGTTGCAAGTAAGTTTTTTTTAATATCCAATTTACCAACTGTTTGATGAATATTTAAAACCATAATCTTTTATCTTAAATTAAGACAGCCAGGCTTTAGCAGTTGTAACTCAGTTGTAAAGCAGTCTAGACCTGGATGAAGACATATTCACTTATGATTCTTTTCCTTCCCTACTAAGATATGTACCGCATACAATAATAATATGCATTGAAACAATAGAAGAGAAAAATTAAGCAACCAACCTAAGCCGAACTAAAGCAATTAATACTTCTATTTACTTTTCTTAAGTTAGAATTATTTGGGCCCAATTGTATAGATTCATCTGGACTGCGCTCTTTTTCGAATTCCATATAGATTTTATATGTCTGGAATAACAGAACAGGGTGTTTTAAGCCTTCGGATTTTCATAACTCCCTGAATCGTCTTGGGGAATGGTTCTCGCACAGAAACAAATGCAGCATAAAATTAAAATTGACACATATTCTACGACATGTCTAGCGCCTGATTAGATTATTTAAGCAGAAAAGTACCGCCCAATCCAGTTCATCGAGTATCGAAGTTATGTTTTCGTATAATTCTAACATATATTTTTTTTTTTGTTTTATTGAGTATAATCTAATGATAAACTTTAGAGGCGAGAAATACAAGTTAAGTACGAGAAGCCCCGCGGCTTAAAACTTATACTTTATTCCATAAGATTTAATGTACAGAGGATTTTATCTTATGATCTAAAATGGAAAACGACCCAAAATTAATATTAAGGTGGCTGAGATGGCTATTACTAATAGAGTTCCCGCCTTGAACAAACTCAATATTCAACTTTGAATAGTTCGACCTTAATAAAATATTGTATGCACCCGTTGGATTTTACTTTTGTGTTCGTTGGTTATTCCTCGTTTGGAAATTCAGAAATATTTTCCAGTATTTTGTTTCTTTCCTTATAGGCTCGTAAAAATTTTCCCGATTTGCGAAAGTTTTCATAATTATTTTTAAAAAGCTATTTATGCACTAACACATTTTGAATTATCCACTTACTTCTGACAATGCCACAAGGGTTCTTCAAATAAATTCTGATCATAAGCAATCTGCTAGGTAACTTTATAATACTTACTACTTACTGTTAATCAAAATATTTTATGGAAGATTTAATGTAATTATTTCGCTGAACATTACTTTTTCTCGTCCATAAATTGCTGCAAAATATAAAAAATACTTCGATTTTTGGCGCACACTTGTGGAATTATTATGCTATAAAATAATATTTGGTTTACAAAGAATTGCACTATTTGCAAAAAAATATGTCTGTCTGTACTGGAAAATAATTCTACTGATCCGTTCATTGAATATGAGAAAAGCTTTTCTATTTAAACTAAACGATTTCCCTGTGGAATATCATACAAGTTTCATTCTAACATCCAAGTGCAATTATCTCATTCTAACAAAATGCGTTTTCTGAAAGTTCTTAGTTTCATTGCATTTACGTTGTCCCATTCATATGCGTTGTTTCAGCTAGTAATGGTAAACCAAGATAATGATCAGACATTATTAGGAATTACTCAATATACTGATGGAAATTACTACTTAGTGCCTAATCCTAGTTCCACAGATATATTTTCCTACGACGGTGAATCTGTACTCTCTGAAAGTGATTATTATTTAAATGTAAACGGTTATGATGATAGTTTAATATTTGCACCCACCTCAGATGCTAGTAATACATTTGCATTTCAAGATATAAATCTTTTTGAGGAGTTAGTTTCTAATGGTATTTCAATGTACTATCTTGTCACAACAGAATACGGTCCTGTTATCTCAACTGATGACGGTAGCGGTCAATATATTTCAGTGGCCATGATAACAATAGATGAACCTCCCCCAGCTTCTTCTTCACTGAGTTCTCTGTCCAGCTTTTCGTCAGATTCATCGTCCTATTTACCATCATCATCATCATCATCATCATCATCATCATCATCATCATCATCATCATCATCATCATCCTATTCACAATCCTCGAGTTCTCAATATTGTCAATCGACTGACCCTATTTACTACCTTCCTTCATCTGTAACTGGATTTTATTTACAGCTCAACCTAGACAATCTATATGCTTACTACAGCGGATCATCTTTGGTTTATGGATTCACTATTGATTTATCCGTAGGGGAATTACTATATGTACCTAGTATTAACACTGTCGATGGTTCTTCATCTTTACTTAGTTTTGTATACTCTGATGATCTGCAGAATACTGGATTTGCATATTATAAAGATGATTCAGATCAATTAATATTGACCTATTTAGGAAGTGATGTATTCTATTATTGTGACGATGGTGAGATACATACCCTGAATTATGGTGGATGTACAAACGTAAATCTTATTTTGATTGATGGAACTTATGGTGATGAAATTTATCTGGGTCCAACCACTTGCCCACTGCAGCTGTCATCTGACTCATCATCTTCATCCTACTCATCTTCATCCTACTCATCTTCATCCTACTCATCTTCATCCTACTTATCTTCATATTACTCATCTTCATCCTATACATCTTCATATTACTCATCTTCATCTTATTCGTTTTCATCCGAATCGTCATCATCGGCTTATTATTCACCTTCGGGCAATTCATTATCTTCAGTTTACTCTTCCTCAGAATATGTTTCTTCAGTATACTCTTCCCCAGAACACGCTTCTTCAGTATACTCTTCCTCAGAAATCTCATCCTCGTCTTATTCTTCTTCATTACCCGAAGAAGAAAGTGGTTCCTCAGCTTCAGACTCATACTTAAGTTCCTCAACAGTCGACTCATCTACTTCTCCAAGTCTAATTTCTAGTTCAAGTACAGTTCAATCTTCTTCAGAAATTTCTGGAAGTAGTTCACTTCTAATTGCATCGTCTACCACATTATCATCTGGGGAATCAACTGAGAATTCAAGTTCTTTTTCATTATCCTTCTCCTCAAGTTTTAGTACTTTGAGTTTCACATCAGAACCACAATCTCTGGATATTTCATCATCTTACTTTTCATTAAGTTCATCATTTAATTATTATGCCAACTCTACAACATCCTCATCTTCATTTTCAGGCATCCATACCTCTTGGACTTCATCAGATTCATTGATATCTTCCACTACTGGTAGTTCAACCCTTAATACTCTGGGAAGTGATGCCTCCAGCACTTCTGAAAATTCCTCGAATACCTCCACTTCTTCAACAACTCAATCTTCAGAGAGTCTGTCAATTGTTACATCTCCGTCAACTAATTTTACATCAGGTAGCAGTGTCTCCAATGGTGTGAGCTCGTTTGTACTTACTTCCCTATCGCCATCTTCTTCTGAATCAGAATCTCCAACTCAAACTACTTTCACTTTCCAGATCACTGCTGTAGCTAATCCTCCAAATACTTTTCAAGAGGATCTCACGTTGGATAACCACAATATTATCTTAGAAGATACAAACGGTCCATTATTTGAGTTGACACTCCCAGGTGGTTACATCACTATCGCCGGGTTATACTTTGAAGCTGACGAATCTAATGGTATCTACTTGAGTGATTCGCCTTTCGGTGGATGGCTGTTCGTCGGAGATCCTATCTTATCGTTGGAAGGTTTCGGAACCGAGTTCTTCATCTGTCCCGAGCAATCTGTTCCTTTGCAACTCTCCCTGATTGCATCTGACTGTGTTGTTGGTGAGTTACATATATTAGAGGCAGCACCACCATCCACTAGTTCTACCACCAACTCACAGTCGCCCAGTTCGGGTGCTACCAGCACCAGTTCGGGTACTACCAGCACCAGTTCAACTACCAGTAATGCATCCACTGGAATATCTCCCGATACAACTTCTTCTTCCAGCTCTGGATCAACTATAACTACCACCTACACTTCCAATGAAATTGTTACTATAACTCAATGTCCAGCCACTGTCACAAACTGTCCTTTGAATTCAATCAAGACCATTACAATTCCTCATACCATCACTACTACTTACTGTCCTGAGTCAGGTGTTACTCAGCCTACTTTAACTTCTACTTATACCTCCCACGTCACTGAAGTCGAGGGTACAGTGACTAAGGAAGTAGTGCGTACTTTCACCACCACTTACTGTCCTGAGTCGGGTCAACCACAACCTGTTGAGACGACATCTACATCAGTAGAAACTCAAGTTAGTGGTAAACAGACGGTTATTGTTACACATGTGATCACCCAGACTATTGGAAGCTTAATTCCAACATCTTATACATCGTATGAAGCACTCGAAGTCACTGTCGGAAATGGAGGTGCTAAATCTGTAGCCACCATCACTGTTCCAAATGTTGTTAGTACTGCTACTTTTGAAGCTGTTAGCAAAACTCCACTTGTTTCTTATGCAGCCTCAACTGGGCCAAACATTTCAGTATTTAACGGCGCGCACAAGCTTCTTGGATCTTTAAGTTCTTTAATTTTTTCGTTTATATTAGCTTTTCTTTAGTTTAAATTGTTAGTTGTTTTCTCCTTTCATTTCAGCATGATTGGAGTGATTTATTTCTACAACCATTTTCTACAAAAGTTCTTTGACTACAAACATTTTGTGATATTATTTAGATCAATCATGTGGTCTCGTTCCTCGATTATTAAGAAGATCAAGACTTATATCATGTACTACCTTTATAATTCCATTATATCGTTTCCTACTTCTGTATATAATTTGTTGTATTCGTAAAATTTAATTGAATATTTTTTTTTAGGGTTGGTCTCATGCATAAAAAATACGAGATTCATCAAAAAAGGTTACAACTAAACGACCAGTCTGTGGAGGTGAACAATTTATTTGCATAGTGCAATTACTAAATTTACCTACAGGTTCCATTTTTAATTATTTTCTTCTAACGCAATACATGAAACACGCTACAAAGTGAATATATCGCTGAACTCCAACACACTTCAGTAAATATTTGTAACTTTGTTATCCACTCATTATCATTGTATTATTAGCAGATTGTCGAGGTTATGCTAATTTCATAGTCCCTTTAGAACGGGAAAAACTCAGATCATAACAGTTGTAATTTTGAGTCATACGAAACTAGACTGTTTGTTGATGTATCAATCCTTTGATGCTCATAGTCAAAGTTGATCCTAGATAGAATTAATATGCTTATTATATATCGGCAAAACAAGGAAAACATTTGATTACTTTGCAAATACCAGCCAATTAGCACTTGGATAATGCTGAAGGTGAGACTTTTTAGGCTCAGGAGCAAATTACATGTATAGAAAACTACGACGCTGCCCAAAATTTAACATGCACCTTATAACCCCGTCACAACGTATGTCGCCTATTGTTTGTATTGTGGAAAAAATTATCCGAAAGATTTGAAGATAATTGAACAATATGGGAGCATAAAAAATATCTCAAATAATTTAAGTAGAATATCATTTTTAACGCCTAAGAGTATTTACAGAATCCTTATAATTAAGCCTCCAGACAGTAATTTTCTTCGTTAAGCATCAATAAATTTTATGTATATATCTTTAACAACAGTTATAAACTTAAAAAAAACCAAATATTTTAATGAACTCTAAGGGTATGACATGGTTATCCGCAAGCCATGCCATATGAAGACAAGTATTCTACTTTCAAATCTTATAGTTGAAAAGTAATTTAGTTCACTACTGAATGGAAAGTAGTTCTTATCGGCATTAGTTTCACAAATTAGATAATTGAGTCGTGCCCGCATTTTAAGCTTTTGTCGCGCATATTTATATTTTTGTAATAGCTTCCTAATCTGAATTTAAAAATTTTACAAAATATTTATTCACACATTTCAAATTCAACCAATTTTATATTTTGACTATCCAAAAAGGGTTCTTAAGATAGACTTTGCTCCAAATAAACAAGTTCGTATATACAAACATAATTATAGAATCTCTAGAGCCGCTAACATTGAGAAGAAAAATTGCCATGATTTAAGAAAATTTTTTTCCTAGTAATCTAATTGATCGATAAACAGGATGTTAAAAAATATTCTTTTTATTTTGATGCAAACTTCGCATTACAAAATGATGCAAAAATAAACGTCAAAATTGAAAAAATATTGGCGGTATTTAGAAAACAAATTGGCATGAATAATGCTTCCTAAAACTATAAATATGATTATTTACCATTATTTATCTCTGAAATCAGGTTTTGGCTTTGAATTATTAACAAAATGAATTTAGAAATTCTTGGATTTCTTTGGTTTTTGGCCGTTGCTTTGTCTGATGCAAATGTTTACTTTCAGCTTGCGATGGTCGATACGACTACCTATCAACAGACATTATTAGGACTCATGCTATTCCCTGATGGTAGTTACTACCTAGTACCAAATTCTGCCTCTCAAGATACATTTTATTATGATAATCTGAACGGTTACTTATATTCTGAAAGTGGATTAATTTGTGAGTTAGGTGGGGAAGATGGGGATATTACTTTCGTCCAGGACGGGGCTGTCCAATTTGTGTTCACACAAGAAGATGGTTATGATGTTTTGTCTTTTGAAGGACAATACACATTTTATGTTAATAGTAATGAAATATCGCTTGGCGATACTAGTGGTGAGGCAGTTCTTATAGCTCAGGTTCAGCCAAACACTCCTCTGCCAAGCTCATCTTCCTTAAGTTCATCATCGTCTTATTCTGAATCATCGTCTTATTCTGAATCATCGTCTTATTCTGAATCATCGTCTTATTCTGAATCATCGTCTTATTCTGAATCATCGTCTTATTCTGAATCATCGTCTTATTCTGAATCATCATCCTATTCAGCATCATCTAGTGCTGATTACTGTTTATCAACTGATCCTATATATTACATTCCGTCATCTGTGTCAGGCTTTTACTTGCTCGCATCTACTAATAACGAGTATACGTATTTCGAAGCCACGGTTGTGAAAAGAGATGTCCCTCAAATATATGGATTTAGTCTTGATTTATCAACAGGAGATTTATTATTCGTAAATGATATTACTTCTTCTCCTGGAGATACTACCGGTATTCTATTAGACTTTCTTAACTCGGATGATACTTTGAATACCGATTTCGGATATATTAAAGATGATTATAATCAATTGATATTGACATATTCAGGAAGTGATATATTCTATCTTTGTAATTCTGGTGCTACTATAGAAATTGACAATTACGAAGGATGTGCTGCAACAAATCTTGTTTTGATTGATGGAACCTATGGGTCCAATACTTACACTGGACCAACCAATTGTCCTCTGGCACTGTTGTATTCGTCAACATTCTCTTCATCATATCAAGCTTCATCATCCGATGTACCTACATCATCCTACTCAGATTCTTCATCTTATTCGGCATCATCCTATTCACAATCCTCGAATTCTCAATATTGTCAATCGACTGATCCTATTTACTACCTCCCTTCGTCTATAACTGGATTTAATTTAGAAGTGGCCGGCAATCCAGTAATTTTTGGATACGTCGACTTGGCAAATCCGGATTTTCAAGTTATTGCATTCAGTCTTGACTTGTCTGTAGGGGAATTGCTATACGATACTAACATCACGACTTTGAATGCTGCTGGTACTGCTGGAAGTAATTTAGACTTTGCTTCACAAGATGATACACAGAATACTGGATATAGTTACTATAGAGACAATCTGGGTAAGTTAGTGTTAGCAAAAGGAACTCAAGTGTTTCTCGCCTGTAATGGTGGGGACCGTGTAAGCTTTGAATCTGATTCGGGTTGCTCAGGCATTTTAATCTATTTGGTTGGAGGAACTTACGGAGAAGAGATATATACTGGGCCGGAAGTTGAATGCCCACAGCCACTGCTGTATCTGTCGTCAACATACTCTTCATCATATTCAGATTCATCATATTCAGATTCTACATCATCTTTAGATTCTTCATCCGATTCACCTACTTCATCGCACTCAGCTTCATCATCATCCTATTCGGCATCATCCTATTCGGCATCATCTTATTCACCATCATCTTATTCACCATCATCTTATTCACCATCATCTTATTCACCATCATCTTATTCACCTTCTTCTAGTTCTCAATATTGTCAATCAACTGATACAATCTACTATGTTCCATCCTCTATAACTAACTTTTACTTGCAGGTTTCTGCAAATGATGATTATGCCTATTATGACATTGTATTAGCTATGCCTTCTAAAGCAAAAAAGGACAAAATAGAGAAAAGAGATCTGATTATCATCACAGTTTGTGCATTTAGTCTTGACTTATCATCAGGGGAATTGTTATATAATTCTGATATTAATTCCGCTCCTGGAGATGTTGAAGGTTCACTTAATTTCCTTGACTTACAAGATGAACAGAATACTGGATTTGGTTATATCAGAGATAATTCAAATCAATTGCTATTGACATATTCAGGAAGTAGTGTTTTCTATGTCTGTGAAGATGGTGCTAGCATAGAAACACTGGATATTGGTGGCTGTTTACCCACAAATCTTACTTTGATTGATGGTACTAATGGGGATAATGTTTACATTGGACCAACTGATTGTCCCCTCCCTCTGGAATCCTATTCAGCATCCTATTCAGCATCATATTCCGCATCATATTCAGAATCATATTCAGAATCCTATTCAGAATCATATTCAGAATCCTATTCAGAATCATATTCAGAATCCTATTCAGAATCCAGCTCTGCTTACTCCTCTTCTTCCTCAAATCATGAATCCAGCTCAGTCTATTCATCGAGCTTAATTCCAAGTTCTTTAACAAGCTCTTCTGAAAGTGTGTCATCTATACCATATTCGTCAATCAGTACACTTTATAGTTCCAGTTCATATCCTGAATCTTTGGATTTATCAAGTTCTGTTTCAACTTCTGGTGTAGCATATTCATCCTCATCGTATAGTACCTTAAGTGTCACTTCAGAATCTGAGTCTTCCAGGTCTTCCAGTGCCTTTTTATCATCCTTTTACACTTCACCAACTTCAGAATTTCTGTCATCGTTTTATTACTATGCCAATTCTACAAGTTCATCATACAGCACTCATCCAACAACATCAGTTGTATCCTCAGAATTATCGTCTCTGTCATCTACAACAGATACCAATATTTCTTCGTCTTTAACACAAGCAAATGTTTCTTCACTTTTATCACAAACTTCTTCTTCAAATGAATCATCCGAAAACTTTTCAACTGTTGCTTCTCTGTCTACTGGTCTGACATTCGCTAGCGGTGCCTCCAATGGCGTGAGCTCGTTTGTGCCCACTTCCCTGTCGCCATATTCTTCTGAATCGGAATCTCCAACTCAAACTACTTTCACTTTCCAGATCACTGCTGTAGCTAATCCTCCAAACACCTTCAGAGAATTTCTCACGTTGGATAACCACAATATTATCTTAGAAGATACAAACGGTCCATTATTTGAGTTGACACTCCCAGGTGGTTACATCACTATCGCCGGGTTATACTTTGAAGCTGACGAATCTAATGGTATCTACTTGAGTGATTCGCCTTTCGGTGGATGGCTGTTCGTCGGAGATCCTATCTTATCGTTGGAAGGTTTCGGAACCGAGTTCTACATCTGTCCCGAGCAATCTGTTCCTTTGCAACTCTCTCTGATTGCATCTGACTGTGTTGTTGGTGAGTTACACATTTTAGAGGCAGCACCACCATCCACTAGTTCTACCACCAACTCACAGTCGCCCAGTTCGGGTACTACCAGCACCAGTTCGGGTACTACCAGCACCAGTTCGGGTACTACCAGCACCAGTTCAACTACCAGTAATGCATCCACTGGAATATCTCCCGATACAACTTCTTCTTCCAGCTCTGGATCAACTATAACTACCACCTACACTTCCAATGAAATTGTTACTATAACTCAATGTCCAGCCACTGTCACAAACTGTCCTTTGAATTCAATCAAGACCATTACAATTCCTCATACCATCACTACTACTTACTGTCCTGAGTCAGGTGTTACTCAGCCTACTTTAACTTCTACTTATACCTCCCACGTCACTGAAGTCGAGGGTACAGTGACTAAGGAAGTAGTGCGTACTTTCACCACCACTTACTGTCCTGAGTCGGGTCAACCACAACCTGTTGAGACGACATCTACATCAGTAGAAACTCAAGTTAGTGGTAAACAGACGGTTATTGTTACACATGTGATCACCCAGACTATTGGAAGCTTAATTCCAACATCTTATACATCGTATGAAGCACTCGAAGTCACTGTCGGAAAAGCAGGTATCAATAATGTTGCTACAATAACTGTTCCTAATGTTATTACTACTGCTACATTTGAAAGCTTAAATACAACAGCTACTGGTTCTTTGAATGAGGAGTACAACAGTGGAGCACAAAATACAGTTAGCGAATCACCCATTTCTCTATTACACAGCACATTACTAACAGCTAACAGTGGTCACTCAGTACACCGTAAGTTCGGTTATTTGGTGTTTGTTATTCTTTTAGCGCTTTTTTAAATGGAAGCTCAACTGTTAACTTCGGAGTATTTACTCCTCTTTAGTTCACGTTGTATTGGTTCCAAATAACTATTTGAACTTTTATCAGTCATAGTTTTATTATATTAATTTGTTATGTTGCTGTTTCTAAGCAATCTTTTGTAGAATTTACTTATGAATAAAAACTAAAATACTGTAATAAATAAAAAGTCCTACAAAGTTTCAAGTTCTAGGCGCACTTATAATATATGCAGAAATTCTATTTAAAACATAAATAGATTTTGCATTATAGCCTTTGCGTTTAAAGCTTAATACAGAATTAAAATATTCGCATGGCTTCCCCGCAATTCTCTTTCAACCAAAATGTATCACTACGTATATCTACTAATTTGCAATACGATACTCTCTATACAATACACTTATACTCGAACTATAGATCGAACATTTAATATGTCTTACGATAAATAAAAGCCCTCATACTTTGACAGTGTTAAATGTTTCAGCAAAAAATATTTAAGGCACCTGTCTCATCTTTGTGCAGATACCAAACATTCTATTTTGTCTTGGCTAGTTTGTGTGGGGGGTGTAATTTTACTTTGTTTGATGTAAAAGTAGGCAGGATCGTGAAACTGAACAATATATGATTACGTTAGTTGTTTTATTATGAAATAACAACTTTTATCTTAACGAATTAAAGTATCCGATTTATACTTAAATTTGAATTTAGGCGTTAAAAGATAAAGCAGAAAATCTAATAGTCTTATGCTTGATAGCACGACATTAAATATTTAATAAAGAGGAGTATATATTTAAGGTGTCGAAAAGACGATTTCATTTATTTGAGATTAAATTTGAATAGAATACTTCAATATTTTTGATGTTGGGGTTAACTTATATGTTATTTCCAAGAGAAGTTGGAGGAATCCGACTTCCACTATCACCTAAGGATGAAAAGGTGAGTTACATTGGTGACGATTACTTTAACTGGGCGGCAGACAAAACATCGAAAGAAGAAGAAGAAGAAGAGGAGGAGGATGACGATATTTATATTTCAATTGAGGATGTACCACTTGTTGAATTCTCTCTAATTGAAACAGGAATACTTTTCCTAACACTAATATTCACTAAAAGATTTCAAGTATTAGATTTTTTTATCTACAGTTATTTTGAACTATTACTATTATTACCAGCATTTGCACTATCTATTCTATGGTATATAAATCTAACTTATATTTCCAAGTCGGTTTTCACTCAATTCATGTATATTACTACCGGATTAACTTTCCAATATTATCTAATAATTATTTTTAATCGATTCATTATTGATGTTAATCATGGCTTCATAATAATTTGTTTCATTAATTTTGTTTATGCTGTACACGATATAATCCGTTATATATACAAGAAACGATGGATTAAGAAAGGTACTAACAGCAACAAAGCAACAGAGTATTCAAATACATTCTGTTTAGCATTTGTCAGTTGTTATATTGGATGGGAGATTCTTTTGTTTAAATTGGCACACCATATAATATTAACGAATGAAGAATATTTAATGAGTTATTTATTCCCATTAACTATATTATTTGTAATTGAATTACTTGATGAAGAATATGAGGATAATGATTCATTTGAATACTGTAATGAAATAATGCTTGTATAGATGTATAATGAATTAATATAATTACCATAGATTTGGTTAACTTTCTAATTGTGGCAAGAATGCAATTCTGGTAGTTGATTTATCAGAAATTGGTAAGATTAATCTAAATGCATCATGCGTATTTAGATAATATCTATAAAGTCTTTTGGTCTTTAAAAATCCCAAATTTTCATATAATTTAATAGCTCCAATATTAATTACTTCAGTTTCTAACATAATTTCATCTATTTGATCCCAATTTATCATTTTGTCAATAGTTAATTTGACTAAATTCTTTCCAATTCCTAATTTTCTAAAACTTGGATCAATAACTACCATACCAATATAACCTCTCATTCTAACATTTCGGTGAGGTTCTACTTTTGAGATTATCACACCTATAATATTATGATCATTTGGTTTAGGTTGTCGTACTATAAAACAATATTGAGGCCATGTATTAAGGAAATACCAATAAACATATATTGAGTATGGTTCTGATAAGTGTTGACTTACTAGATGAGATATTTGATTAAATTGTTCTTGATTTGAAGCATCAAATTGATGATACTCAAGATTATCTATGACAGTAATAAGAGAAGAATTGTCATCCTTTAAATTATCTGAACTTGACATAATGTCAAATGGAATATATATATTCTTAATGAATTTACTACATATATATATATATATTTGATTCTGATATTAGTGAAAATTATTCGACTGTTAAGTATTGACGCATGGATGTTTATGTTTATATGGGTAGATGTTTGGATGTAGTCAGATCATGAGGAGAATGCAAAAATGTGAAGGTATTTTGTGCGGCATTTATTATAGGTTTGAAACAATCATGTGACAACAATTTTGGTCGTGCACTATCCTATTCGGATGGACGCTGATTTTGCCCGGCGGTTTTAATAGGAATTAACTTAGTTAAGCATATGCTCTGAATTGAGGGAAATGGAAATAGACTTTAAGCTCGGCGGTTTTATCATAGTGTTGTATTATGAAAATTACCCCATACTTATTCAATTAACGAATCAACGGGAATAGGTATGTATAGTAAAGTTCTCAAGGAAGGAAATGGCCGAGCTGCAGGCTGAAAAATTCCCTATTTTTCCTTTAGCGGGTGAGACCAGACCCGGATCAATGTGGTCCCCAGAATTGCGGTAAGTGATTAAGGGTCAGAGACCAGAATAATTAATAGAGTAATATATATTGTAACATTTAGCGTAAATACATTAACAGATTAATATGAAAATTAATAAAGGATAATACGGATAATAATATATAGTATACTAAATAACCGAAACATTAATTTACGGAATCATTATATAGTTAAAAACGATATTCGCTAATTAACAGTAGTCATCTCAGTAGTATGATTCATTATACTGGCAAATAAATAAAATTTAATATTATATTAAAAAAAAAAAAACAATATAGACATCATTTGCGACAATTTACCGATGCATATAACAGCAACTACTCACCTATTATTCTAATTATTCTAATTAACCTATACTAACCATGCTCATGATGAATTTAAAGCAATCGGCCCAGTTACCGTCCCCTAAACCATCAGCCAGGTGCAAAAAAACTCCGATGGACAATAAGGTGACGCACGCCGAATCTCTCACTAAAAAAAAAAAATGAATTTAAATTAAATTGAACCAGGTGAGTGGACGATGTAATCGCATACCAACAAATTTTACTATATATATTTAAGTTGATGCCTCGTTTGGTAATTTGTTAACAATTCGTTTTTTTATTTAATTCTATTAAATCAATTATAGTCAATTAATTAATTTATATATATATAATGTCTCCTCCAGCAGTTCTTTCTAAATCCGGTGTTATTTACGGTGATGATGTTAGAGATTTATTTCTCTATGCTCAAGAAAAGGGATTTGCTATTCCTGCCATTAATGTTACTTCTTCTTCAACTGTTGTTGCTGCTTTAGAAGCTGCAAGAGATAATAAATCTCCAATTATTTTACAAACTTCTCAAGGTGGTGCTGCTTATTTTGCTGGTAAAGGTGTTGCCAATAAGAATCAAGAAGCTTCAATTGCTGGTTCTATTGCTGCTGCTCATTATATTAGATCAATTGCTCCAACTTATGGTATCCCAGTTGTTTTACATACTGATCATTGTGCTAAAAAATTATTAGAATGGTTTGATGGTATGTTAGCTGAAGATGAAAAATTCTTTAAAGAACATGGTACTCCATTATTTTCATCTCATATGTTAGATTTATCTGAAGAATCTGATGATGAAAATATTGCTACTTGTGTTAAATATTTCACTAGAATGGCTAAATTAAACCAATGGTTAGAAATGGAAATTGGTATTACTGGTGGTGAAGAAGATGGTGTTAATAATGAACATGTTCAAAAGGAATCCCTTTATACTTTACCAGAAACTGTTTTTAAAGTTTACGAAGGTTTACACCCAATTTCTCCAAACTTTTCCATTGCTGCTGCTTTCGGTAATGTTCATGGTGTTTATAAACCAGGTAATGTTCAATTAAAACCAGAAATTTTAGGTGATCATCAATCTTATGCTAAGAAACAAATTGGTTCTAAATCTAACCACCCACTTTTCTTAGTTTTCCATGGTGGATCTGGTTCAACTCAAGAAGAATTCGATACTGCTATTAAGAATGGTGTTGTTAAGGTCAATTTAGATACTGATTGTCAATATGCTTATTTGACCGGTATTAGAGATTACGTCTTAAACAAGAAGGATTACATCTTATCTCAAGTTGGTAACCCAGATGGTGATGATAAACCAAACAAGAAATACTTTGATCCAAGAGTTTGGGTTAGAGAAGGTGAAAAGACTATGAGTGCTAGAATTACTGAAGCTTTAGCCATCTTCCACACCAAAAATCAATTATAATTTCAGATTAATTTGTTTCCTATGAATTAGTTATATTTACATACATTCATATATCTATAACTTAAATATAATTAGCTTTCTATCTATGTACATTATAAAACAGTAAATATTATTGTCTCTGTTTTCCTTTTATTTTATTTTCTGTTCTTTTCTTTCTTTCTTTCTTTCTTTGTTTGGCATTAATCATTAATTCTCATCTCTTACATTATCTCTTAGTATAGTTTGAACTTTTTCATAATCGGGCATAACAGTATAAGGATTAAGTCTTTTATTAGTAAATTCATTCCCTATTGCCAAATTAGTCTTAACATATTTAGAAACACATCGATCTATACAACTTTGTTCTCCAGTATTTAAATCTCCTTCACTATAATGATGTTGTAAGCACTTAGTTTGACACAGACTGAGCATTCGATTAAAAGTACTAGCTTGAGCAATGAATTGAACTTCTGCAATTTTGATCTTTTCAGGATCCACAGACGCAGTTCCGTACTGGGAAGTATTCCCTATAAATAATGACATGGATAGAAATGACGTACGTACTGGTAGAGTTACCTGTTGGTTCACTACACCCACTACAGTTTGGGTGAAAGTTAGTGGAAATTTTTTTTTTACTGAGCTTAACTTTCTTCGAGCCTCACCACAAAAAAAAAGTACAGTATCATACACAGGCATCGAAGCTGTGAAAAGTTCACTACCGGGGATTACGAAACAGACAGACAATTATCTGAATATCACTATAGTTTTTATAAGATAGCTTATAAAAAATCTTTACTAGGTACTGATAGTATATATTTATATTCATATCCATATTTATATTCGTATTCGTATTCATATTCACAGTCACATTCATATAATTATTTAATCAGACAATTGTGAAACTATTCATATTCATCCATTACCTCCTAACATGCATGTCCTTCTAACCAATGATGATGGACCTTTGAATGATAAATCATGTCCTTACATCAAATATCTTGTGGATGAAATTAATACTTGTACCAATTGGGATCTTTCCATAGTAGTTCCTAATCAACAACGTTCATGGATTGGGAAAGCTCATTTTGCAGGTAAAACACTTTCAACAAGTTATATTTATACTGAACATAGTACATCAACTAAGAATAATAATATTAATTCATTTATTGGTCCATTTAATCTTCCTGAACCTAAATATCATTTGGATAAATCTAAATATCAAGAATGGTGTCTTATTGATTCAACTCCTGCTGCTTGTACTGATTTAGGAATTCATCATCTTTATACAAAATCAAAGGGTAAACCAATTGATCTTGTAATTAGTGGACCTAATTTTGGAAAGAATTCTTCAAATTTATATATTCTTACTTCTGGAACTGTTGGAGCTGCTATGGAAGCAGTAACTCATGGAGTTAAAGCTATTGCTTTAAGTTATGCTTTTACAACTATAGATCATGATCATGATATTCTTCGTGAAGCTGCTAAAATTAGTGTTAAATTAATTCAAAGATTATATCAAAATTTAGTATTACATCAAGGTGATATTGATTTATTTTCTGTTAATATACCTCTTGTACCATCATTAAAAGCTGGTCATACTAAAATTAAGTATGCCCCAATCTTACAAAATCAATGGAATTCTATTTATGAAGAAGATGAAAATTCAATTAATGAAGTTGGACAATTGAAATTCACATGGAATCCTGATTTTAAAAAAGTATATAAACATGGATTACTGGATTTTAATCATACTGATAGTAGAGTACTTTTAAATGAAGGAATTAGTGTAACTCCATTAAAGGCAACTTTTAAAACTATTGAACCACTTAGTGGAGAAATTATATTAGATGAAGATGAAGATAATGAAGAAAATTTAGAAGAAGATATTATTAAAGATATTGAAGAATTAACTATTAATTCAACATTACCTCAAATAATTTTCTTAATTACTATACCTCATCATTCATATATTTTTAAACCATTAGTTGAATCATTTAATTCATTATCTATTCCAATAACTACTGATCCAACTATACTTTCTAAAATTTCAACTCATTCACATTTGAAAGTTTTCCATTATGGAGAATATGAAGATTTAAATATTGATTTAATTCAATCTCATCCACAACAATATTTTATTCCATCATATATTTACAGAAAAGCACTTATTAGAAAACATTATTTGCATAATACTATTCATCATTTTGTTACTAAAAATCCCAATTCAATTTTAAAAAAATCATTCCCTGATACATATGCATTAGAAGTAGATTATGCGGAATTTTTAGATGATTCATTAGATGATGCTTATGAATTACGGGATGAGATAAATAAAGGTGATAAAGTATGGATTTTAAAACCCAGTATGAGTGATAAGGGACAAGGTATTAGACTATTTAGAACAATCGACCAATTGCAAGAGATATTCAATTCGTTTGAAGAAGAAGAAGAAGAAGATGATGATGAAGATGAGGAAGAAGTTGACCAAGTGGACAAAGATGATAATAATGGTATAATACTTTCTCAATTAAGACATTTTGTGGTTCAAGAATATAAATCATCACCATTATTATTACCAAATTATGAAGAAAAGAAATTTCATTTAAGAATTTATGTTGTTTGTTCAGGTAATTTACAAGTTTACGTATATAAAAATATCTTAACATTATTTGCTTCTAGTTCATATATTGATCCAACTAGTCAAAATTTAAATGATGATGAACCAATTAATTTAGATGGACATTTAACTAATACTTGTTTACAAGAAGATTCTAATGAAGAACCATTAGTAGTACCATTTTGGTCATTATTAGGATTAGACAATATCACCAAACAATCAATATTTCAGAAGATTTGTGATATTACTCGAGATTTATTTAAAGCAGCATCAACTATTGATAAAATTAATTTTCAACCATTACCAAATGCTATTGAAATTTATGGAGTTGATTGTTTGGTTAATTCCGACTTGTCAGTCGACCTCTTAGAAGTTAATTCATATCCCGACTTTAAACAAACCGGGGGTGAGCTTAAGGGACTTATATATGAATTATTTGATAAAGTTATTTCGGAAGTGGTATATCCATTAGTTGACAATAATAAGACTAATCATTCAGATACTAGTTCATTAGTTCAAGTATATCTGACTTAATTATATAGTTAATTATAATTAAAATATATAAATTTATAGTTCCGGTATATGACCGGTGACCGAATTTTAAGAAAGCAGCAGCAGCAGCAGCAGCAACAGCAGCAGCAAACCTCTGAGTGCAGTGACAGAAGTCGTGTCCGAGGCCGCAAAATTCAAGTCAATGTCGTCGAACTGGGTGACTTTTTTTCTGAGCTTTTTTTTTTTAGTATGGCATAGTAAAGAAGCCATAAAAAAAATTTCACCAATACGGTTAACTAAAAGCTATTAACAATTACATCCAATATATATAGACTATATTAGGTTTTTTATTATTATTAAGTATCAGAACATTAATCTGGTGAAGAGAAAGAAAAAAAATATCTTGGATTCATATATAGGGGTTTCTTTTTTGTTTAATTTTTTTTTATCTTATTTTGTCTTAGTCTTTGTTATACTTTCAACTATTTACAAAGTAATTTATCGGTTTAAATATATATTAACCGAAAAATTATTCCAGTGTGGTATAAATAATTATTTAACGACTTATAAGATTATTATAACAAAAGAAGTGATTATTTGATTAGTTGTGTACCATTGTAAAATCAAATATCAAAATATCAAAATATCAAATTTCATCAATTTAATTTATCAATCCAATATTTATTTATTTATTTACTTATTTTTGAATTGAATTGAATTGAATTCTCACATATATATATATATACATCATGTCTACTACACAACAACAACGAAAAACATATAAAAATCACCTGAAAAGGTTTAATAATGGTAATGGATCAGGCATTGCTTCATCTGAATTAACCAGTTTATCAGAAATGTTTCCTGATTGGGAAAGTGACGAATTACATGGATTATTAGTAGAAAATGATAATCAATTAGAAGTAGTCATTGATTTAATCGTTAATGGTAAAGTTAGTAAATGGGAACCAATTAAAAAGGAAAAGCAACATAAGAAAAAGGATCAACAACAAGATGAATCAATACAACAATCAACTTCTGTATCTTCAGCAAATTCTACTCATACCAATAATAATTCTCATCCTACCAATTCTAATAGAGCTGTGAATAATAGAAGTTCCGGTAAATATTCTAAAGATTCAAAGCCTGCAAAGAAACCAGTTAAGAAATCAGCTCCTCCTGCTGCTGCTGCAGTTACTGCTGCAGTATCTACTACTAATCAAGCTGCTCCAACTACATCTACCACTAATGATTCTACTCCAGCAACTTCGCATTCATGGGCTGCTGCTTTATCTAATGACAAACCAAAACCAAAGGCTAAAGCTGTAGAAAAGAAGAAGGAAGAAGAACAACCAGTTGTACAAGTTGAAGAATCTGAAATAGTAAATGAAGAAGTTGTAACATCATCAACTGTTCCAGTAACTGAACCTAAACCAGTCTTAAAGGAAGCTACTGTTCCAGAACCAAAACAAGGATCTTGGGCTTCCGCTATTGCTCCAAAACCAAAACCAAAGCCAAAGCCTGTTGTTGCTCCAGTTTCAACAACCTCATCTGCCCCTGCTCCTACTGAATCTGTTCCAGAAGTTCAACAACCAGTCGTTACTGAAGAACAACAACCAGTTGTTGAAGAATCAGCTCCTGTTGAAATCCCAGTTGCCGTAGAATCTGCTCCTATCGTTCAACAACAACAACCAGTTGCCATTGAAAATATCTCTGTTGTCCCACAAGAAACTATTGCTCCTGCTCAAGTTGTTTTACCAGCTTCTACTCAACAAGTTAATGCCGTTAATGTTTCTTTTGGTTCTTTAGCTATTGGTGATGAAACCGAACAAGTTGCTGAAGAAGCTAAACAAGAAGAAGAAGCTCCAGTTCAACAACAATCTGGACAAAATCAACAACAACAAAGATTTGGCTTATACAACAATAACAATAATAACAATCGTTACAATCAAAATACTTACCAACAACAATCTCAACAATACAATCAAACCAAACAACAACAGCAACAACATTATGATTATTATGCTCAATTCCAACAACAACAATATCCTCAACAAGCTGCTGGTCAACCAGGTGCTCAATTTGGTGGTTACCCAGGTCTTGATTATACTTATAACAATCAAGTTGGAGCTGCTTCTACTGTTGGTGCTGGTTTAGGTAATTTACAATCTCCAGCCACTTCTCATGCTAATACTCAACAAGCTTATCCATATCAACAAACTGGTGCTCAACCAACTACTGCTTCTAGTGATTCACAATCTCCAGTTGTTAACCCAGCTGCTGCCGCTGCTGCTGCTCAACAACAACAATTACCATTTGCTTATCCAAACTATTATAACTATTATTATCCACCATACTATAATCAAACTGGTGCTGCTGGTTTAGGTCAAACTGCTTATAATCAACCTGTTCAACCACAACAAGAAGCTCAACCATCAACTACTGGTAATGCTAGTACTAATGCTACTGCCACTACTGCTGGTCAAAATGGATTTGGAAGTCAACAACAACCTCATCAAGCTGCTATTCAAGCTTTTTACTATAATCAAGCTAATCAATACAGTAGTAGATATCCATCTTCCAACTATGGTTATCCACCACAACAACAAGGTCAACAACAACAAAATGGAGGTGCCACTGGTAGTAATGAAACTAATGAACAACAACAGCAAGGACAACAAGCTCAAGCTCAACAAGCTCAAGGACAACAACAACAACAAGCACAAGCCCAAGTCCAAGGTCAAGGTCAAGGTCAAGGTCAACCAGTTCCTCAACAACAACCAATAATTCCTCAATTTGGTGCTTATCAACAATATTCTCAATATGGATATCAAGATAACTCCTATAATCGTGGTTGGTATTAAGGAATGAGGGTCAATTATAAACAATCTTTTATGGTTATGGTCATTAGTTTTGATCAATTATGTTATTGATGTTATCTTAACTTTACAACTGTTATTATTATTACTTTTATTACCGTTACAGGTGAGGAATCATTCCTCTATTTTCTTTATGTGTAAAAATTCTATTTTTCTATCAAAAAATATAATATATGTATATATTAAAAGTAGATTAAACTGTAGTGATTATATACAAAAGAGGGAATTATACAATTTTAGATATATAATGGAATTGGTAAGTTAAAGAGTTAATTTAGAGAGTCATTAAATGTCGGTATTATCACAGGTACTACTGGAGAATAAAGACCTTTGTTTGAAACTTTGAATTACTCTTTATATTTATTAACACTTTCTCAGATGTTTCATCAACTGGATGAACATTATATACAGCAATTCTAAGTTGCTTTTGTAAGAAGAACTTAATCAGCAAAGAATTACTACATAGGGTAACATAATAAATGATTGATAATAATTGAAATAATAATGTACTATAGGAATCACTTGACTCAATTGAATGGATGGTTAAATTTACCGATAAATATTGTAACAATTTGCAGCTTCAGATACTGTGCTACCTTTCAAGTTAGGGGTAGAGATCGAAACATGGAAACATCAGTTTAGAACAGTTTTTAGTTTTATATAGCAAATAAATCAGTCTAGTTATTACATATAAGAGATTGATGGCTGCAAAACTTATGTTCGCAAAGTCCGTATTACTATATAATATTTTTTTCTATGAATAACACAAACAAATGATAAGCCTATAATCAGATATATACAGAAGGTCACAAACATGCTGTTATTATTCAATTGACCATAGCATTTTAAGAATTCTAATTCTTAAGAATTCTTATATACAATGCGCATGTAATTAAGTTTAATGTAAATATGTTATTTTAAGTTTTATGATTTGTATTGATGCATATTAAGATATCCAATATATCGTTTGTAGTAACAATGAGATCTAGTTTATCAGTTTATAGATAAGTTGACAGTAGATGACAGATCTTAGTTTAAAATTGCTTATTTTAATATTACTCTTTTTATAAATTAAGTAAGAAACAAACTATAAAACTGCCGTAGTTTTCAGTATTTATTTTACGTGATAAACTTACTACATAAACTAGCATAGTTATCAGTATTAATTTTACGAAATAAGCCTATTGTTATCAGTATTCATTTTACTACGTTTAGTAATAGTGGTACTATATTGTCAGATTAAACTGTAGTAAAATGTTATAAGATATAATACTTAAGTTGTAGTAAGAAATATCTACGACTTATTCATATATGATAAGATTTGTATGATAAAAATAATAATCATAGTACTATTTATTATATATGCAATCTGTAAAAATTACTATATAAATAAGTAATATCCTGATTAAGAATTTATATACAAATAGTAAAGATTGTGATTGTGCTGGCTATTATTACTGGCTATAATTACTGTGGACTGTATAGTAAATTAAAACATGTGGTAAATTTAGTGAGGAGTAATTAAAATATATGTACTATTAAATACTCATTTTATTGAGTAAATATCAGCACTAAGGATTACATAATAAATCTTCAATCCGCCTGAGTAAATTTTATCATTAACTGTATACTAATTATTCGCACTCCCTCTTAGTTATAAATAAACTATGGGATTTCCTATAAATTTATTAACTACCAATGCCTTAATATAAGTTTTTTTCCTAGTTGTTTAGTTTGTACTAACTTGTTTATTACTATCTCCCATAGTTAACCAATTTGTATGTATATATAATTAACTATGTACTATGCTCACACTAAGTATAATATAACTCCTTACCCACTTATCTCATACAATCAATTTAATACATCCCTATATAACACTATATACAACTATCATCATTCAATTGACTAATATATCCAATACTTTGAACCAACAAGACTTTATCCATTCCAACCTACTTGATTAATCACTATCAATAATGATTGCGAAAAAAATAGTTTACAAAACACAAACAATCAATTAACCTGCACTAGTATTCTACAACAATCAAATGTATCAACTCAAATTATATCTTATACATCACCATAAATTTGTTCAATTGTCGAATTCAAATAGTTTATGGATTCTGGTGGATATTTCTTAGGAAATTTTAAAATTAGTGGAAATCCAAGTTGACTATGAAGAGGAGTGAGAAAATGTCCGTAAGCAAAAATCAGCAAGCAAAAAAAAAGGAGTGGAGAGACAGTCAGTAATATTAGTGAGTGATTGAGTGAGTGGTGTGGGTTATATACAGGAGCGGCATAGTAAATAAGAACAAAATAAAATCAGAACAAAAACAAATGACAGTGCACGACTGTTTAATAATCTTCTCAAGTCGCGTTTTTGTGGTTATTAGTTTGTTTATATTTCATCTCCCACTTTATGTGGGTGTGATATAAGATAGCTATATATACCATAACACTATGTCTGCGAAGCATTTTGATTGAATTTTGTTATTTTGACTTTTTTTCTTGTTTGAATTGTTATACTAACTAATTATTTAGATAAACTATTACAATGGCTCCAACTGAAAAAAGAAAGGCTTCTAGAAAGAAGAAGGACCCAAATGCTCCAAAGAGATCTTTATCTGCTTACATGTTCTTTGCTAATGAAAACAGAGATATTGTTAGAGCTGAAAACCCAGGTATCTCATTTGGTCAAGTCGGTAAATTATTAGGTGAAAAATGGAAGGCTTTAACTGCTGATGAAAAGACTCCTTATGAAAACAAGGCTGATAATGATAAAAAGAGATATGAGAAGGAAAAAGCTGAATTTGCTAAAAGAAGTGCTTAAATGGATTAATTTAATCTTGATAAATTAGCGAGCTAGTTTATCTTTTAGGTTATAGTTAATTTCACTGTTTAAAATGTTCATTTGTATATTATGTTATCCTTTTTATTTGTTTCACTTATTTCTTATTAGTATTATGATTCATCTTTTAGTTTAATTATATCATTATTATTAAATTGTTATATTATATTGTCTTATCGTTCAAATTCTTTTAACTGTAAATGTAAAAAAATCTATCAATATGCAATTTATGTCTTGATGCAGGATTTTTCTCGATTTATCCGAAAGTGAAAAATCAATGTTATCCACGAGTATTTATCTTATAACCTTAAAATTATTAACGAATCAGCCATGTCATTACCAGAACCATATTATAATGATGACCCTAAGTCATTTGCTTATCCTACCATCCATTCAAGATGGCCTAAGATTATTCAAGGAGCAATTGATGATGTTAAATCGGTCATAAATACTAATGAAAATCTTCAATCTACTGGAACAAATATTGTTATTCAATTACAAGAATTATTAGCATCTTTTAAAAATGATGAAGTTGTTCGTTCATTCACTACTTCAGAAATTAATCTCAGTAAAGAAGATTTAAAATCTTATAATTCTACTTTAATTAAATTAAATGAACATAAAAAAGTTACTTGGCAAACAGGTCCTTGGTTATATTTAGAATGTTACTTATATCAATATATTAATAATTTATTCCTTGCTGAAATTAAACAAAATTCTTTTTGGAGTAAATATGATGTATTCCAAGTCTTGAAGGATAAGACTTTCCAACAATCTGAATTTGGAGTATTAGAACTCTTAAAGAAGTATCACTCCCTTGTAGCTGATACTAAACTTCATGAACAACAACTTACTCAAGATCAAAAATTATTATTATTTAGAGATTTTATTGATATTTCACTTTGGGGTAATGCTACAGATTTATCACTTTTAGCTGGAAATGTAACTCTTGAAGATATTAAATCTTTACAAGGAGCTGAAACAAGAAAGAAGAATGAAGAAAATATTCTTGTCAATGATATTGAAGATGCATGGAAACAATTAATCAACAAGCAAGATACTGATAGAGTTGATATTGTTTTGGATAATTCTGGATTCGAATTATATTCCGATGTTATTTTTGCTCTTTTCTTACTTGATTTTAAAATTGTAAAGCAAGTTAAACTTCATTGTAAAACCATTCCTTGGTTTGTTAGTGATACTAGACCAGTTGATGTTGTTAATTTTACTGAGCAATTAAAATCATCGGATTTCTTTCCGGAAATTCATAGTAAACATAAACAAGATATTGATTTTCTCAATTCTAAGATTGCTACTTATATCGCCGATGATAAACTTACTTATGAAGATAATATTTATTGGACATTAGGTGGAAATTATTGGAATTTAGGTCAACATACCAAGCTTTATGAAGATTTGAAGAAACATTCAAGTTTAATCATCTTTAAGGGAGATTTAAATTATAGAAAATTAACTGGAGATTTACAATGGGATAAAACCACCCCTTTCATAACTGCCATTCAAGATTTGGCTACTTCTCAATTACCTATTTTAAGTCTTAGAACTTGTAAAGCTGATGTTGTTGTTGGGTTAAAACCTGGAGTTAATGAAGAATTAATTGAAAGATATAAAGCTCAAGGTAATGAGATTGGAGAATTTTGGTCATCTTCTGGTAAATGGGCCGTTATTTCCTTCTCAAATGGTAAGAATTAATCCATTACTTTTACAATAATTTTCTTCTAGATATTTCATTTATTTCTCTATCTATATAACAATACAACATAAAAAATTCATTACAAAAGGACTTAATTTCATTAATCTCCCGCTCTTTTAGAGTTACAGGCAACAATTTTAAATTTATCGACATTAATTTCACTATCGATACTATTAGTAACACTTGCACCTTCAGAACTTACATCACTCATTTTAATAATAACATTCTTGATTATTAATGTCCATACATCATCACAAAGATTATAAGATGATAAAACTCCTTTAAAAGTAAGTTTAGATTTAGCAACATTAGCATCTAATTTTAAATTATCAGCTATAATTCTATCAAAATTACTAAGAATTGTATTAGCTAATTGAGGCTGTATCTTTTCATCTGATATAAGTGTATCTAAAGCATCAGCTAAAGTTACTCCCACAGTAGATCTTCTATATAATTCATAATATGCTGAGTTACTCATGATGTTATATGTTATGTGTTTATATTGTTAATTGTATATGATATAAATAAATGATATATATCTTTGGATTTTGATATAATACAATTACGTCGTCTTGCCTTTTCACCTCCACTTGACTTTTCATTGTTCGCCGTTAAAACAAAAGTTTGCATACAAAAAAAAAAAAGATCACCAACTGAGAAGTCAGTAGTACCAGTCATTATTACAAATTTCAAACGTCAAAGAACAAACTTATTTATTAAGTTCACTATATAAATACATAGACAATGGATTTAACCATAGGAGAAAGATATCGACTAGCCATTAATCGATTTAGAAGTCTTAGAAATTTACCAATAAGAAAGGATTCTACTGAATTCCAAACTAAATTACTTTCATTACTTAAAGAATTTCAACTTATAAAATTGATTATTAATCAATTGGCACTCTTTAGTGAAAATGAATCGATTAAAGAAGTAAATACCAATTATATTCCATTCTTTAATGTTGATTTTTATATTGGTAATTTATTCCAAGATAGTTTTGTAAATAATTCTATACCAAATATAATTGATCCATTAGAATATAAAGTTGAAAATTTGAAGTCTGCGAAACAAAGTTTGGTAGATTATTTACAATTACTTGAAAGTTATAAAATATTGAGTAAACATCAAGAATTAAAGTTGGGTGCGTATTCAAATGACAAGAGAGCAAATATTATGGATATACCGTCTTCAAATCCTGTTTCTAAACGTCAAGAAAAGATTGAGAATTTTAAATTAGAACAAGAATTGAAAAAGAAATTAACTATATTAGATGAATATTATGATAAAGCTGATAAAGTAGAAGAAAAAGAAAAACAAGAAGAAGATTCAATATTTGAAAAATTCGATGAAGATATAGTTAAACAAATTTATTTAGATCAAATAACTTTATTTACTATACATGCATTTAATAATCTTGAATCAATAACTATGGAACTTGGTGTTTTACTGAATAGGAAACCTTCATTACCAAAACCTCATAATGAACAACAACAAAAATCGCGATCAGATAAAAATGATGATGATGATGAATTTGGGTTTACTACTAGATTAGAAACAGTACCATTTTCAAAACCTGACATTAATCAACTTATTTCCAAACAGGGGAAAATCCTTCAACCATTTACTATTACATCTAATCGTCAAAAACTTAAGGATAAAGTATTTGGTACGGGTCAAGTCTTACCTTCAATGACCGTAGAAGAATATTTAGATTATGAATTAGCTAATGGGAAAATGATGAAAGAAGAAGTTAAAGATTCTAATAAAAATGATGATGATACCGATAATTCTGATGATGAATTAGAGAAACGAAGATGGGATGATTGGAAAGACGATCACCCGAAGGGGGCAGGAAATATGAAGGCCAATATAGGTTAAATATGTATGTATATATGTATATATATATATATAGTAATAATTTATCTATAAAATTTTAAAATATTATATTACATATTAAAAATTATTAGCTTGTAATTCTAACTCTAATTCCTTTGACCATTCATAGTATTCAATCTTTAATTGATCCAAAGTTTTTATCTCATTGGATTTAGATCCGACTTTAATGATCCATTTATCATCATCTTCTTCAAAACTCTTTAAACTATTGATAATAATCATATATAATTCCAATACTTTTAATTTAAATTGTTTAGTATCTTCACTAAAACTTGACAATTCATGTCTTTTAAATCGAACAATATAAATATATAAAGCTTCAATAGCTCCTCTTTTATCACCTACTTGATTATGTTTTAAACTACTTGATGATCCAAATAATCTCCAGGAATAAACATATTGATATAATTTAAGTGAATTACTTAATGATTTCTCATTATTAGCTAATGAAATTAAAATTTCATCTATAAGTAAATAATTTTTAATATATAATGAATTATCTTCAGGAGGAAATAATTTGGAAATGGCTTGATTAGATACTAATTTAATAATATATCTAGTAAATAATTCTTTATATTTCTGATCATCAATGGATAAATTACTTAAACTCTTTGAACATTCATTATAATTTGAAATAATTAAAGCCAATTCAAATAAATTAATATAATGAGAATTTAATTCATTAAAGAATGAATTGGATTCCTTTAATATATCAATTGAAATCTTTTCAAATTCAATAGCAGTAGTTATGAAATTTGTTTCAGTTGAAGAAAATTTATTCTTTGATGAAACAATAGATTTTGATTCTTGATATTTTGCAACATCAGCTTGAGATTTAGATAATTCAGAAAGGGAATGGAAATAATTAGATTTCTTTAAGATTTCATTGGTTTCAGATGTAAAAATCGTATCTAAGAATAATTTAATATTCTCAATTTGACTTAATGAATTATAAATCTTATCTTTTAATGCTTGATTATTAATATCAAATGCTTCATAAGTCTTAAAAATTTGAAAAAATTCATCAACTTCATTATTTATAAGATAAATTAATCCAATTAAGAATCTATCTATATTTCTAGAAATTTTTAATTCCTTAAAAAATGAATCTTTAATGAATTTTCCTTCATTACGATTTAATAAATCAAGAACAATATTAACAATGATTTCATCACTATTTAATTTAAATAAATTTCCAAAATAATAATCACAAGCTTCATTAAGAGTAGAATTTGAAATTAATGATTTTAATTTAGGTTCTTTTCCAACCACTCCTGACCAAAATAATGAATATTCTACTGAATTTAATTTAGATTTTTCTATTGGTGATACTAAATCAGATGATTTAAAACTTGTATCAAATATAAATTCAATTAAATCATAAGATCTTAATTTAGAAATGATCTTATTTAATAATTCTAATATTTCATTATTTGAATCACATATCACAAATAAAATTAATAATTTTAATAGAATAGATTCATGTTCAAGTTTAATGGTTTTAAAAGTACTAATGGTAAAAAGTCTTTTAGATATAGATAAATTGGTGGAATCTTGATTTGAATTAATATTATTGAAAGATTCTATTGTTTCAAAATCTTCTAATGATCCATCAATTAATAAATTAATTAAATCAAGAACATTTGGTATAGATTCAAGTTCAGTCATTAATCCATGAACTTCATCATCAGATAATTTATTACCTATATAACCATCAAATTCTTCAATTTCTAATTCAGTAATTTTTGATAAATTTTTAATTCTCTTTTGAATTTTTGTAAATGTCTTTATAGAAATTAATGAACTTAATTGATTTAAAATTTTAACTAATTTATTATCTGCTTGAAATGAAAAACTTTCATAATAATGTGAAGGACGGAAAAGTCCTAATCCATTAACTTGTAATACTAAGAAATCATTTGAATTGGAATTGGAATTGGAATTTTTACATAATGTTAATGATAATGCTTCTTCACTTAACTTTTTAAATTCTTCACATAATGATGCTAATTGAAACCAATAAAATTTATCATCTTGAATATTTTTCTTTGCATTTGTAAAAGTTTCATCAATTATTTGTCGAATAGAATTATCCTTATTATATTCAATACTATCCAAACCTAAATGATTTCTAACCAAATTTAATGATGTAGATACTATAAATGAATCATACCTTCCCGAATTTAAGATCATATTAGAATAATAATCATTACTATGAATTGGAGAGAATTCTTGAAATATCTTATAATCTCCATCATTTGACCAATTAATTGATAATACTTCTCCATTATTGAGTCCAATAGTATAGGTAACTAAAACAGATGAAGTATTAGATTTCCATAATATATGATATTTAATAGTATCATGAATAATTTGAGTTTGATAATCTTGAATGAACCAAAGAATATTTTGAAATTTAGATCCAAAAGTTTCAAGAAGTGTATTAGGTAATTCTGGTTGAAATATAATAGCATCAGTATCATTGAGTGATAAATCCAGGTCAGAAATCTTCCATGACTTGAAAGTAAATCGACTTCTTTTATCTGATTCTATTTCTTGATTTGAATTGGTTGTATAATATAGAGTTAATAATAATAAAGTATTATTATTATCATTATCAGTAGTAATAGTTTGAAGATATTTAGCAGGAATTGATGTTAACCATGAAGATAAATCATGAATTTCCGTAATATAAATTGGATCAGAATATAATTGATGAGATTTTAATGACCATAATTTAATTGATTTTGATACAGTTAATGTAACAATAATTGATGATGAATTAATATTTATAACATCAACTATTGAATTAGAAGATATACCTTCAAGAACAATTTCACGTCTTGAATCATTTGGTTTAGTACCAAATAATCCACTAAATAAATTTAATGGTAACATTGAAATAGCTTCATTAAATGTATAAACTTCAAAATCATTTAATATATTTGATCTTTTAAAATGAAGTAATCCACCATCTTTTAAAGATACTATAATATTAAATTCATCAAGAGATTTTAATAAATAAGGATTTGATCTTAATTCAAATGAATATGGTACAGAAATATGACCCCAATTATTAAAATTATTAAGGGAATATTTAATTTTAGTTGAATCTCTAACTATGAAATCTTCGAGGGAGATTTTAATGGTTATAAATAAATAACTTTCATCTATAAGATCAATTACCACATAATTATTATTATTATTATTATTATCATTTTTAGTTAATGATATACTAAGACATTTAAAAGATATTATTGAATGAGGTAATGATATACATATATTTTGAAATGGTAAATTAAAATGATTCAGTTTGGAATTGATAGGACTTAATGTGATGGTTTTAAGATCATTTAAAATATCATAAGATATATAATCAATAACTGAATTTATTGATGAATTATTGTTTAAGTCAATTACATTACCTGAATTAGATAATTTTTTATGAAATTGTTCATTAGGAGTTCCTAGAAGTCCTACTGAATTGGGATATTGAAGCGGCAATTTGATTACCTGAGTAGGTAAATGTTGCTTATATCCCACGACATGGGATACAGAGTATGGACTAGTCATAGTTAGTAGTTTACTGACTCTTTACAGTGTTTCAGTCGACTGGAACTCAATTCGATGTTTACTATATCGCATTTTTTTTCCGGTGAAAAATTGAGAGCCAACAAGAAATTACTGAGTTATAGTTACAGTTACAGTTACAGTAAGAGTAAGAGTTAGCAGTACTTAAGTTACTGAATCCACTAATACTAATATATACCATACTATACCATGTCCTCTGTAGTATACTATAAATTCTTACATCAAAAAAATAAGTCAGTGATTTATTTTGATGGTACAGCCATAAGTGTATTTGATTTAAAGAGAGATATTATATTACAGAATCAATTAGGTAGTGGACAAGACTTTAATTTAAGATTATATCATTCTGAACAACCGGATGTTGAATATGAACTTGATCAAGATGTTATACCGAGATCATCATATGTATTAGCAAAAAGATCTCCTTCAATAACTAAAGGTGGAAGATATGCTAATGCTTCAAGATATATTACTGGTAAACCACGAATTAATCGAAAAGTTATAAATACTACTAATGCTAATTCTGCTTTAGGTAATACTGCTCCAACTACTTTACAACCATTAGATGAAAATGTTTCAGAAGAAGATCGAATTAAAATGATGTTTGAAAATCAATCTAATGCTTGGGCTCATACTCAAGATGAATTAGCTACTCATAAAGTTGTTCATTATAAACCAAGTGCTACTGGAGGTGTAAAACAAGAAGATGCACCTCCACCAGGTTATATATGTTATAGATGTGGTAAAAAGGATCATTGGATTAAAAATTGTCCTACCAATAATGATCCTAATTTTGAAGGTAAAAAGATATTAAGAACTACTGGTATTCCAAGATCTTATTTAAAGACTATATCTAAAGAAGAATTAGAAAAACAAGTAGAATCTAGTCATTTTACAACTAATGATAATGGTGATTTAGTAGATCAAGAAGGTAATGCTATTTTACTTACTGATGAAGGTGATTATGCTGTTGCTTTAGCCGATAGTAAAACTTGGACAACATATCAAGAAAAACAACAAAATGCAGCTATGAAAGCTCAACAAGAATTTGATGCTAAAATAATTGAATCAATTGATAATGATAAAAAATATTTATATCTTAATCCGTTAGGTACTATCAAAAGATATTTAAAGAGTCCTATAGTAATGACTCCTTGTTGTCAAGATGCTAGTAGATTAAGTAAATTGAAAAACTTTAATTATAATCAACCAGAATTAGAAGAAGTATTAATTGATACGGATTTCCATTGTCCAAATTGTGGAACAGAAGATATATATATAGATAATTTAATTCCAAATAAAGAATTGGAACAAGAAATTGAAGAATATATCAATCAAGTTCAAGCTACTTTAGGTCTTGAAAATCCTTTAAAGAGAAGAGCTGATGATTCAGATGTTGAAGATAATGAAGCAAAGAAACAAAAAACAGATATATCTGGTCCAGAACAAATCACAGGTCCAACTGGTATTCCATTACCAACAGGAATGCCTGTACCACCTCCAGGTATGCCATTTATGCCAATGCCACCAATGCCAATACCTATGCCAGGTATGCCTATGTTTATGCCTCCTGTTCCTATGCCTTTCCCTCCTACGAATCCTAATGCAAACAATCCCAACTCAAACCAACAACATTAATAGTAAATATTATATATGTACATTGTAATAATATAATAATATAATTGTAATTGTAATTGTAATTATACTTTCATGTATTTCTTCCTTCTCTCTCTACTAATATACCCTAATGCTGCAAATTGTCCTGGCCAAAGTTACCCGGTCTTCGAGCCCCAAAAAAAATTACTGGCCTAAAAAAATTTTTCGTCTTCACTAAAATGCTGAATTATCACTACTGCTTTCTTTTTATATAGTTAGTTTACTATATGGTTTACTACTGACATATGAAATGGACTTCAATCAGGAGTGTTCGATTTCATTTGAATGAATGAATGAATGTATGAATATATATATATAATTGATTCAAATGTCAAAATGTATGTGTCTATTACAATTTTAAATGGTCTAGTCATATAACTATAAGAACATAGTAAAACGATGAACCAACATAAAATTTCAAACTAGAGTTTGTGACTATTCAGAATGATCACAATTTATAATCTGATAGCTATAGCAGTTGTTTTTTTTACAGTTAATGACTTGAGCATTGCATTAGTGCGAGATGAGGAAAATAGTTTTTTACTAACTTTTACTTTTCAGTGAATTTTTATTGATTGTGGTTTATTATCAGATAAAATGTATGTTTAACGATACTTTTGAGTTAAAAGTTGGATTGATTAAATTTATATGATGATTTAACAAAAACAAAGCTGGAATTACTGGCTGAATCTCTATGATTGATAAAGTTTTTGCACCATACGCTACTGATCTATAATTTATCAATCTAATTTTAAAACTCGCTAATTTACTTTTGCTTGTTTTTAAGGTACAATAATACTAACTTAATTTTAGGTATGTATCAGTATAATTATTATTCTGGTTCGAATTTTAATATGAGGAATTATTGCACTGGGCACTGAATAATTTATGAGTGACAAAGCATTTATGGTGAGCCTCAGAAACTCACCGTGACTGATCTATTATAATATTCAATTAGAATTTATTTTACTATAATGTTAAATAGTACTGATTTACTAACTGTTTATCAAAGTTAAGGAATTATTTTTAAGTTTATTCTATTTTTAAAAGATTTCTAAATCGTATGTATTCATTCAACCACAGTTTAATGAAAGCTATTAATTTATGATGATCTCCTAGATGACGAGTCAGAATTTCGGGATTCCCGTTGATGACAACCTTTATTTTTTACCATTCATGCATTTCTGAATCATAATTACTTTCATTTTAGTGATTTTCTTATATTCATTAAGAGTATACTAACATCTAGAAGAATTAAAAATAGTATCAATTTCTAGTTGAAAGGTTTTAGCGAGTCTTTGATAGTTACTGAGAATAATTATGAAGACCAAAATTAAATTCTAATTAATTATAAAAGATGAAGTTGAAAAAAAAAGACAAGCATATGTCCGAGTTTTCTAAGAAGATAAAGTTTTTCACGTCTGATATAATAATTACCATTTCAATGGATCCATATTATTGACAAGTATATCGAAGATTAGCTGAAACCATTCAAGTTTAATTGTTAAGGGTTTTGAAAGCTTTTTCTTATTTCAATTATGAAAATTTAATATTTCACTACTAGCTAGTGTAAATGTCTTTTAATAAAAGTATTTAAAGTAAAGAATTTGGTTCATTATTTGAAATGAGTTTATGATGATTTACCACATTTTATCACGACGGTCTACTGTGCTTTGGGACTGTTAATCCCTTAGCCATGATGATCTATTCGGCCTTGACCGGCCGTGGTTCCTGATATAACTAATATTTCAATGAATGAATCATTTCTTTATTTTGCTTTGAATCATTAAAAGTAATTTATCTTAGTAGTGGAAGCCTTGTATAGAGGGATCATTGAATTTTCATGATACTATTAATTTGATCAAGATTTCATTTATATCTTAACTAAATAAAAGGTATGTATCCTATATGTATTTTATTTAAATCAATAATATTGATGAATTAGTATATATGATGACCTATATATATATGTTGAGACATTCAATGAAACTTAAACATAAATTCGATTTGCATGTCAGTCTGATATACTTGTATTCATCAACCGTAAGTAGTATTACATGGAGTGTACTAACGAATATGGTAGAATTTCGCAATATATAGAATTTTGCAACTAAATGTTTTTATTATGTGAATACACAGTTTTTTTCATTTCATATAAATGCAGTAGAGTTTCACAAGTGAACTAATATAAACGCCAGCATATGTAATATATATAAATTACTGGAATAGCTCCAGTTTTTTTTCTCTTAATCTCTTTGTATAGTACTAATTGCAAATTGTATCAAGAAACCTGCTAAATCACAATGAATTTATTAACATCAATCAAATACAAAATCAAATTCTATTTGAATTATGCAACGACTAGTGTAGTTAATACTGTAGTTACTACTGTAGTTACTATTGTTTAGACTACTCCTCAACATACCCATAATATCTCCAATTAAGTAGATACCATACACAGTTTGAATAGAGCCATACATGGCCAGATTAGGAAACGGCGCAAAAAATAAAAAGAAATTGGTTTGATGAGCCTGTCAAAATTAAGCACTACGAGGCTTTAACAAATTAATGAAAATTGATTAAGATTGTCAAAGACTTATGGGAGATACACTGTTAAGGTAAGGCTCGTTAAGTATGACAGACCATAGTTTAAACGAAGATAAGAGTGGCAACTCAAAATCAAAATTGTCTGAACAATTTAATGATCCATCAGATAATCCTCCACCATATAGTTCGTTATCAAAGACTTCTTCAACCATAAGTATTAATAATGATAAGACTTTCAAAACCCCCTTTCTTCATACATTGACTCCTCCTAGTACAACTTCATTGACAGAAGAGTATTCACTTGGATCTAGTTCATCATCATTAGGTTCATCTTCAATTAAAGGAAAAAACAGCCCATATAGACCATCTAAAGATCAACAAAAATATATTGATCTTTTATCGGCCAATGGTAATTCTAGACAAGCTTTAAAACCGGTTCAAACAACCACTCAAACAGAATACTTTGATGTTTTACCATCTTTTCAAATGTTTCAATCGATCTTAAGAAGAGATGATAATCAATTTAATGAAAATTTAGCTGTTGAACCTCCAGTTTATGGTGATGTAGATAATTCTTCTCCTACTCCACCAGCATTATCTCCACAACCTACAAATGGCAATGGTAATATAGATCAAGTATTGGATGATGTAGCCGACAGACTTAATGAGTATGAATTAAATGAAGCTCATGATGAAGAAGAAGATGAAGAATATTTGTTTAATGATGAAGGTGACTCTTCTACTAGACAGAATAATTATCTTAGAGATAGCCTGACTGGACGTGGGAATAGTCGGAGCCAAAGTCAGAGTCAGAGTCAGACTCAAAGTCAAAGTCAACATCGTTCACCATCTAGGAATAATCGTATGCCAAGTCCACATCCTCTTCATAATTCAAATAATATCACTTATGATAATCATGCACATTCACCATTAGATAATATTGATAAGTTACCTAAACTAAACAATGCCCCTATTGAAATAGAAATCTTTGTTACTAAGAGAGTTCCTCAACCACATGTTCATAATGAACCTGAAACAAGATTAAAAGAGTATACTAGTGGTGATGTAGTTAATGGATATATTATAATCACTAACAAATCAGAAAAACCTCTCAGTTTTGGATTATTTACAGTATCATTAGAAGGAACTATAAAGGAAGCTGAAAGAAATCTTAATGCTACTAATATTGATTCTCATAAGTTTAATAAGATTGTTATGAAAAAATTCTTAAAAATGTATGATCTTAGTGCATCTTATGGATATACTCATGTTCCAAATAGTGCAGGAATTGAATATAATGAACATACTATCGATTCAAGTGATGGAAGTCTGTTTGGATTACCTGATAATCGAGTTTTACAACCTCATGTTAAGTATAAGAAATTCTTTACTTTCAAATTTCCTCAAAAATTATTAGATAATGCATGTTCTAATTCACTTATTCCTCATATTTTACCACCTCCTTCAATGGGATTTGATCGTACTTGTTTTTATAATAGAGGTGATGAAATTCAATTGAATAAAGCTTTAGGTTATGGATTTTTAAATATAAGAGGTACACCATTAATTACTAAAGATTATAGTTTTGATGATGTTAGTGTTAGTTATAGTATTGAAGCTAAATTTATTGATAAATTAAATTTAAAGGATCAAACTGAACCTTTATCACAAGATGAAATTAATGAAGCTGCTAATTCAGAATCTCAATATATAATTTCTAGAAGTAGTCAATACTTTCTTAGATTTATTCCAGATTTACGAGAACAGTTTCAATATTATAATTTAGGATTTCAAAATTCTGCTGATTCATTTTCAAGTTCAGGAATTGATGGTAAATTATTTTTAGATTACTTACATTTAACAACCTGGAGAAATATTAATCTTCAAAATTATCAGATTGAGCAGGAAATCGATTATAGATTAAGTAAACTTGAGGTAACTGTTGATGATATTAAGCATAAGAATTTAATTCTTGATAATAGTGATTTAACTAAGAAGAGATCTCAAAAAATATCAAAGCAGCATCAAGCTTATCGAGACTTACAAAGAAAATTAGATACAGGGTTAGAAGAAGAAAGATTAGATCAAATAAGATATTATCAAGAACAATATATGATTGGAAATAAAATTCCAATTCCTACTTATGGTAAAAAGAAAAAAATGATTTTATCATCGTTAATTAAAATTGGTGATTCAACATTATATGTTAAAGTTCCTAAAAAAATTGTACCTTATGCATCTCCCAAATTATTACAAAAATTCAATAATGGATCAATGGATGAAGAAAGTAGTAGTCATGGTGGTAGTCATGGTGGGAGTCATGGTGGGAGTCATAGTAATTTAGTTACACCTGTTGTATCTAATAATTTTGATGATAATAGTTTAAGACCTATGAGTTCAACTAGTAGTCATATGACAGATTTATATAATCGTGATGAAGATGATAATCTTGAATCTCTTAATCTTAGTATTATATTTAATGCTGATGAGAATTCTTTTAAACCACCTCAAATTAGTGCAATTGAGATAAATGTTGTCTATTGGTCATATTATACTGAATATCCATTACCATTTGAATTGTACTATGATTTCTTCTATACCAATCCTGAACAAGATGATTCTAAAGTTAGAGATGAAGTAGAAATTACTCGATCTAATGTTCAAGGTTTAAAAGATCAAATTGATAATTACATTGACTTTTTAAGAATTAATCATACCAATGTATCTAAAAGTTCATATCTTTATCTTAAATCCATTAAATCTTTAGGGGTTAAAAAAGATACAATTAAAGAATATTATAAAACTATAACTCCCCATAGTCATCCTGAATTATTAGGATCTGAATCGGGTTGGAAAGGTCAACAATTGGCTAAATCAAAACGATTCCAATGGACAAAAGATGTTAAAATTCCATTAATTACAATTAATAAGAATAATGTTACATTATTACCAACATTTCAAAGTTGTTTGGTTGGTAGACTTTATTGTTTACAAGTGGTGGTCAAATATAAGGATAATCAGGCTGCTACTAATGAACAAGGAGAAGTAATTGATAATACTTTAAAGGTTGATATTCCAATATTAGTTGGTTAATACCTATAACATTTTGATGTTTTTGTGTTTTTAGCCACGACCCCAGAATGGTTCATGGATGAGTCATTCCTAATTAGGTAATTCATTTGAAAATTTTTAAATTAACCGCGATTCGCTATCAGCTAGAAAAATTTTCATCCATATATATTAATATTCGTAGAATAACTTAAATTCAATTCTTATATTCCTTCTTTTCATTTTTTATTAATTAGACTAATTCAATTCTTATAATTTTATAATATGATTCACGCCATTAAAAATCTTGGTGTCAAGAATAATTATATATCAGCTAGATGGTTAGCAACTAGAGCTAAACCATTTACTAATAAGACTTCATCATTAGATAGAGCCACATTAACTATTAAAGATGGACCAGTTTTTAATGGGTACTCCTTTGGTGCCAATAAAAATGTTAGTGGTGAAGCTGTATTTACTACTTCATTAGTTGGATATCCTGAATCTATGACTGATCCATCATATAAGGGACAAATTTTATGTTTTACACAACCATTGATTGGTAATTATGGTGTTCCATCATCTACTCAAAAGGATCAATATAATTTATTAAAATATATGGAAAGTGGTGAAGTTCAATGTATTGGAATTGTTGTGGCTGATGTTGCATTAGAATATAGTCATTGGACAGCTGTTGAATCTTTACAACAATGGTGTCAAAGATCAGGTGTGGCTGCTATTAGTGGTGTTGATACTCGTCAATTAGTTAGTTATTTAAGAGATAAAGGTTCTTCATTAGGTAGAATTACTATTGGTGAAGAATATGATGCTGATGAAGATGCTGCTTTTGAAGATCCAGGTTCAATAAATTTAGTTCATAAAGTTACAACTAAAGCTCCATTCCATATTGCTTGCCCTCCAGAAAATTCAAAAAATATTCATATTGCAGTTCTTGATTGTGGAGCTAAAGAAAATATTTTAAGATGTTTAGTTGAAAGAGGTGCTTCATTAACTGTTTTCCCATATAATTATCCAATTGATAAAATTGCTAATAAATTCGATGGTATTTTCATTTCTAATGGACCAGGTGATCCAACTCATTGTTCAGTAACAACTGAAAATTTAAGAAAAACTATGGATAAATATCATGAATTACCAATCTTTGGTATTTGTTTAGGTCATCAATTATTAGCATTAGCAAGTGGTGCTAAAACTATTAAATTAAAGTATGGTAATAGAGCTCATAATATCCCAGCTTTAGATTTAATTACTGGTAAATGTCATATTACTTCTCAAAATCACGGTTACGCAGTTGATGTTAGTACTTTAGATAGTAATGAATGGGAACCATATTTTACCAACTTAAATGATTTAAGTAATGAAGGAATGATTCATAAACATAAGCCAATATTTTCAACTCAATTTCATCCTGAAGCAAAAGGTGGTCCATTAGATACTGGATTTTTGTTTGACAAATTCTTTGCAAATATTGAGACATACAGATCAAACAATGGATTGAATTTAAGTAATATTGATAATAGTTTATTAGTTGATATTTTACCAAAGGAAAGAGTCGTATAGGGATTTTTGATATAAGAAAAGTAATAAAATAATTTAATTTAATTTAATTAGCCAATGTAAAACTACAGTCATATGTATAATACATTCATATATATAACTATTTGTTAAACTCTACTCGTATACGTAATAAAATAATCAGGTATGATAAAAAATGGTTTGGCTTATCAAACAGGTGACAGCTGTCTCGTGATCCTGATCGTCGTATATCCTTAATATATCATAAACGACAGAGTATGGCTGAGCATAATGTCAAACCAACACCTGAGGAATGTATAAACAAGGCATGTCGTATCCGTCGTATAGTCGGGAAATATATAATGATTTCATATCCCTCCATGGAAAATGGCCTTTGAAAAAGAACACTAAACTGAAAATCACACCATAAAATTTTGCACTTTAAGAATAGTTGCGAAAAGATGTTGGCCTAGGGGACTGAAAATGGTATGAGAATTATACGACGTTAGACGTGTAAGCTGAAATATATAAATATTTATATATATTATATATTTTTGAATTTATATTTTGTAGATTATATTCATCTTCTCTCTCACATTATCAAATACTAACAATATGAGCGTGTTTGATAAAGTATCATCTCTTCAACATCTTCTTCAAGATGCCAATACAACCATACCAGATTCTATTACATATGGAGAAATATTCAATAGCTTACAACATTTATCTCAAACAGATCCAGAATCATTATCATCTAAATTAAATTTGCTTGAGAAATTATGGGCCAGTTGGTATATTTTCATTAATAATGATATTTTAGCAACTGGGCTTTTATTCTTTCTAACACATGAATTTATGTATTTCGGAAGATGTTTACCATGGTTTATAATTGATCAAATTCCTTATTTCAACAGATGGAAATTGCAACCAACTAAGATTCCATCTAATAAAGAACAATGGGAATGTTTTAAGGCTGTGTTAAAATCACATCTCTTAGTTGAAGCTTTACCAATTTGGTTATTCCATCCATTATGTTCCACTTTGAATATTTCAATCGATGTACCCTTCCCAGCATGGCAAACTATGCTTGCCCAAATTTCATTTTTCTTTTTCTGTGAAGATATGTGGCATTATTGGTTTCATAGATTATTTCATTGGGGTTGGTTTTACAAGAATATTCACAAGGTTCATCATAAATATGCTGCTCCATTTGGATTTGCTGCAGAATATGCTCATCCAGCAGAAGTTATGGCTTTAGGAATTGGTACTGTTGGATTCCCAGTCCTTTATGCCTTTTTAGCCACTAAATACAGCTCTTTACCAACTCTTCATTTATTTACCATTACAATTTGGATTTGTTTAAGATTACTTCAAGCTGTTGATTCTCATTCAGGATATGATTTCCCATGGTCATTAAATAAATTTGTTCCATTTTGGGCTGGTGCTGAACACCATGATTTACACCATCACTATTTCATTGGTAATTATGCAAGTTCTTTTAGATGGTTTGATTACTGTTTAGGTACCGAGAGTGGTCCAGCTCATAAAGATAAGAGAGAAAGAGAACAAAGACTCAGAGCAGAAAGAAAGACCCAATAGACCATTCCCAACAGTAGACAGAACTTTCTTAATTTCGTATATATATTACTGTAATTACATACTATTCCACTTATATGATGCTAAATAAATAACGATACCTTTTCAGATAAATATTAATTTAAATATAATAATAATAATAATAATAATAATATTAAGACTATATTAGTGGTATTTACTACGGATTAGATTTCGGGCTTTGATATGCTGCCAAAATAAGCATTAGGGCTGCAACCCCAAATAAATCAAATACACGTGCGGTATATATTTGTATGCAGAATCAATAAGTCAACTTTGCACAAGAACACTACCTTTTTCGCTCTCTCAACCTACGACAAATTTGAAGTGCGACTGTTAACTATGTCCCCATAGTTAAGCGCTAACTATGGTGAGCACACTAGCTGAGAGACTGAGAAGGGCTCACCAAAAGAAAGAAGAAAAAAAATTGAAAATAATTTTCACTATTGTAGTTATATACAATTTGGATATCAACAGTAATAAAGAGTATGTTATAAACCCATAGACTTACAGCAGGTTAGTCAAATACAGTATGATAAAGAATGAAAGATATTGAATGTCAAGATATGTGTTATACATGGTAAGATATGTTTCATTTAGAAACCATACAATCACCAATCAGATGAAAAATTGTGACAGAACTATGAACTGATCAACCACATCCAGAAGTTCACTAAATCATAATCATATTAATTCAAAGATTTAATCATCAGTTAGAATTCAGCATCACATCGTTCATATTGGATTCTTTAGATTAGAATTAAATACCATCTCATGACAATAAGTAATAGAACAATATGGTTAACAATCCAGTTAACAATTTAGAGACACATCCACCACTCAAATAAATACATTAAGACTTCTCGTGACTAATCAAACCATTAATATGCACATTATTCAAGCTATAATATCTTTCAAAGCTCTTAATCATCAAGATACTGAGTAACAAAATACTAACAGTCTTTTATAGAAAATGTCTAGATTAAACGAATATCAAGTCATCGGTCGTCGTTTACCAACCGACTCTGTTCCAGAACCAAAATTATACAGAATGAGAATTTTTGCTCCAAACGTTGTTGTTGCTAAATCTCGTTACTGGTATTTCTTACAAAAATTACACAAGGTCAAGCCAACCTCTGGTGAAATTGTTTCTGTTAATGCCATTGCTGAAGCTCACCCAACCAAGGTTAAGAACTTCGGTATCTGGATTAGATACGAATCTAGATCTGGTATCCACAACATGTACAAAGAATACAGAGATGTTACTAGAGTCAGTGCTGTTGAAACCATGTACCAAGATTTAGCTGCTAGACACAGAGCTAGATTTAGAAACATCCATATCTTAAAGGTTGTTGAATTAGAAAAGACTGATGATGTTAAGAGACAATACGTCAAACAATTCTTATCAAAGGACTTAAAATTCCCATTACCTCACAGAATCCAAAAGCACAAGAACTTATTCCAAGCTCAAGCTCCAACTACTTTCTACTAAGCAAGAAGTTTTTAGTTTGTAATATCTAGCTTTTCTTTCATCCAAACCCCCATCACAAAGGTTTTTTCTAATGTTGAATGTTGAATAATATTTGCAGCTTTTAACTTTGTTCCTATTTTAATAATATATACTTTATAGCATAATGAAGTTGTTTTAAGTGAATAATTATTTATTTATCAGATTTCATAGGAGTAATCTTTAACTACATTAATCAAAAAAATCTTTATATATATATATACTAACTCGGAATATATACTTGTTTATTATAAATATTATTAGTCCGTTCAAATGTAAAATGATGAGAGCGCATAATATAATCCGCACCAGATTGGGAAATTCACGTCGAAGTATCCCCCAATAAATAGTTTGAACAGTCAATAATTAAACAGTAATCTCTTATATTATTCATTGATTTAATTGGACTGCAAGTCAAAGTAGAATATTATGTCATTTGGATCTTCTGCTGCTCAAAGATTAGCTAATAAAACTATTCTTATAACTGGAGCATCAGCTGGGATAGGTAAAGCTACAGCTTATGAATTCGCTGATGCCTCAAATGGAGAAATTAAATTAATTCTTACAGCTAGAAGATTAGATAAATTAAGTGAACTTGCACATGATTTACTTGCTAAATATCCAAAACTTCAACTTCATGTTGTTGATTTAGATGTTAGTAAACTTGAAACCATTCCAAGTTTTATTAGTAATTTACCAAAGGATTTCGCCGATATTGATGTTCTTGTAAATAATGCTGGTTTGGCTTTAGGTAAAGATCCAGTAGGACAAATATTACCTGAAGATATTCAACAAATGTTTCAAACCAATGTATTAGGATTAATAACTTTAACTCAAGCTGTATTACCAATTCTTAAAGCCAAGAATTCTGGTGATATTGTTAATTTGGGTTCTATTGCTGGTAGAGATCCATATCCTGGTGGAGGAATCTATTGTTCAACTAAGGCTGCTGTCAAATCATTCAGTCATGTATTGAGAAAGGAATTGATCAATACAAAGATTAGAGTCATTGAAGTTGATCCTGGTAATGTCGAGACTGATTTCTCAATTACTAGATTCAAGGGTGATGTAACTAAAGCTAAAGATGTATACAAAGGTACTGAACCTTTAATAGGGGAAGATATTGCTGAAATCATTGTATTTGCCGTATCAAGAAGACAGAATACCGTTATTGCTGAAACATTGGTATTTGCTACTAATCAAGCTAGTGCTACACATTTATATAGAAATGAATAGTTAACTGGGCAATAGACACTATTACCATTGTGTTATTTACATATATATTTAGAAACTACATTATTTAATCTTATAAATGCCATTTATACATCTATAATCAAATATAGTCATATAAATCAAATATAGTCATAAATCATTATTAGCAATAACCGTTATCGAATGCGAAAAAAGTTACCTCCACACTTTTCCCGATCCTCCAACGTCAAAAAATTTCACCTAGTCTTAATTATGCTTTCTTTTATAGGAATACCAATTGACTTTAAGTTAGGAAATATAAAAGTTATACTATGTCATTCGGAAAGAAAGCTGCTGAAAGATTAGCCAATAAAATCGTATTAATCACTGGAGCATCCTCAGGAATTGGTGAAGCTACTGCTCGTGAATTTGCTCAAGCTTCTAATGGACAAATTAAATTAATTTTAACTGCTAGAAGACATGAAAGACTAGTTAGTTTAAGTGATTCTTTAATTAAAGAATATCCTCAAATTCAAATTCATGCAGCTAAATTAGATGTTACTGCTAAAGAAACTATTAAACCATTTATTTCAAGTTTACCAGCAGAATTTGCTAATATTGATGTTTTAATTAATAATGCTGGTAAAGCTTTAGGTAAAGCTAATGTTGGAGAAATTGAAGATGAAGATATAGATGGAATGTTTCAAACCAATGTTTTAGGTTTAGTTCATGTTACTCAAGCTGTTTTACCAATTTTTAAAGCTAAAAATTCTGGTGACATTGTTAATATTGGATCTGTTGCTGGTAGAGATCCTTATCCTGGTGGAGCTATTTATTGTGCCACTAAATCAGCAGTTAAATTCTTTTCTCATTCATTAAGAAAAGAATTAATTAATACTAAAATTAGAGTATTAGAAGTTGATCCTGGTGCAGTATTAACTGAATTTTCTTTAGTTAGATTTAAAGGTGATGCTGAAAAGGCTGATGAAGTCTATTCTGGAACTTCACCTCTTGGACCAGAAGATATAGCGGAAGCTATTATTTTTGGTGTTTCAAGAAGACAAAATACTGTTATTGCTGAAACTTTAGTCTTTCCACAACATCAAGCTTCAGCTTCTCATGTTTACAGATCATAAATATTTTAATTAATATTATTATTCTTCTATAATCCCCTAAATAAATTATATTTCTATTTAAAAACTTAATTGTTCTAAAGTCTTTGTTAGTTTAGCTGCACCATCTACAGCTGTATTATTATCAATAGTAACTTTAGCTCTATTCATTTCTAATCCTGCTAATAATACACAGGCTTTACAAATCTTATTTGAAGATAAATAACCACATTTCTCACATCTATTACCATCTTTGAATTCCTGTTTCTTTGATTTTAATGATACTGATCCATCAGGATTAATTTCCATTTCTTCTTGTTGTTGTTCGGTTAATTTCTTTTTATTCTTATATTGAGTTGTAACTTTCTTCTTCTTTGGAGCTAATACTAAATGTTCTCCACTATAAATTATATCCATAATACAAGAAGGTCTAACTGCTTCTAATGATTTTAATAATTCTCTAGCTGTTCCTCTGAATGCTTCTGGTGCATAAGTACATTCAGTTGAAAAATAATCCAATTTCTTATAATGGGCATATAATACAATTTCCTTTTGATAAGTATATTTAAATGGTTTTGATCTTTTAATTGGTGAACCACTTGATTGAGTTACAATAGTAGTAGATTTTTCTAATCTTGCTACATCACCTCTTAATAAATTCATTAATACAGTTTCTGCCATATCATCAGCATTATGACCAGTTACAACATGATTAATTCCAAGTTTAGCTGCTCCTCTATCTAACGCTTGTCTTCTTAATACTCCACAATATGTACATGAAGATCGTATACCTGCACAAGATACAATTTCATCCATAGTCCAATCATATAACTGTTTATATGATATAATTTCTAATGGCATTTTATATTGAATTTGATTTCTCTTTACGGTAGCTAATGAGTCATCTCTATAACCTACAATTCCTTCATCAATAGATAATAATACTAATTCTAATCCATAATTATATCTTTCATTTAATGTTTTTAATACTGAAGCCAATACTGTAGAATCTTTCCCACCAGAAGCTCCAATAGCTACTTTATCACCTGATTGAAATAATTTAGCATTAGTAATTGTATTATGAATCTCAGTTTCAAATACATTATAAAAGCATTCTTTACATAATTTTTGTAAATTTTTAGGTCTTTTCATAACGGCTTTTCGAGCATGACATAACTCACATAATGCCGTCACCTTTATCCTCTTTGGTTTCTCATCTGTCATTGTATTGGTATATATGCCTGCTTATAACCAGTAAATTGATAGCTAATGCAATCGCAAATTTTTTTGGAGATGGTTGCAGAAAATTTCTTTTTGTTTATAATTTTTAATTTTTGTCTACGACTTTTTTGCAGTTGAATTGAGACAGATACTCAGCGGCTAATTAATTAATTAATTATTCATTTATTTATTTACTATGTATACAGAAAATGTTCAAAATGCCATTGTATATTAGAAATGATATGCAAGAATTTAAATATAATTTACAAAATGAAACAAGAAGTAAAGATGTAGGAAGGTGCCATGGTTAGACGGCGGATTGGAATTCGTCATTATTGGAATTGACATTGGCGTATCTGAATCTGTTAGGTTCTTCAGTATCTCTTTGAGATTGTTGAGATTGTTGTTGGGGTTGTTGTCCTTGTCCTTGTCCTTGAGTTTGTGGTTGGCCTTGTTGTTGGCCTTGTTGTTGGCCTTGTTGTTGTTGCTGTTGTTGGCCTTGCTGTTGCTGTTGTTGTTGTTGCTGTTGTGGTTGTTTCTTACCATAACCATTAGAAGCAGTCTTTTCATTCTTTTCAGTCAATAATCCAACCTTTTCATTCATGACAATAGCTAATTCTTGTAATCTTGTTCTATGAGGTTCATTACTAGTGAAATTTATAAATAATTTAGATTCATCAAATGAACCACCAACTTCACCAGATTCAACCATCTTTTCTAAGATTTCATAAATCTTTTCATTTGAAAGGTCGAAAACTTTAGATAATTTTTCAACTGATAATTTAGTAAAGACAGTTTTATAAGTAAATACATAAGTTCTTAAACCTTCAACTTGTAATTGACTCTTTAACATAATTAATAGGTTATCATTATCAGGGAATAATTTCCAAATCTTAATACCAGATAATAATTGATATGATTTAGACCAATCACCCTTTTGTAAGGCAATAGATGCATGAACAATATGATCTTTAATACTTTCTGGTGGTCCAGTAAAGAATTGTCTATCATGGAATTCTAATTTACTCTTAAATGATTTAATATTTGCCTTTCTCTTTGAATCTTTTGTAGAATTAGATGCTTGAGCTAAAGCAGGAATTTCAATTAATAAAGAACTTGTCATATAAACACATTCAAGTAATTCTAAATTAATATGTTGATGGAATGGTAATAACTTTTGTTTTTCAGCAGTTGTAGCTTGATTTGGATATTTAGAATTAAATCCTTGACCTAATAGTTCTTTAGATCTTTGAGAATTAACAATTTCATTTAAAATTTTATGAGATTCTTCAATTGAACCTGATCTAAAAGCACTTAAACCTAATTGAACTATAGCTCTATTATATTGAACTTGTAAACTTGAATCAGAATGATTAATTGATCCATATAATTGAGATGATAAAAATAATTCTCTTGCTTTAGAATAATTATTATTAACAGCATAATAATAAATTGTAAATAATAAACTATGTTTACCATAAATTGAATTTTCATGATTTTTTAAATAAATATTTAATTTTTCAATAGTTTCTGAAGGTGATGAAATAATTTCTGAATTAGATTTAATATCTTTCCAAGCTTCAGATTCATTAGATATAATTAATTGATCTGGTTTATAATAAATATGTTCTAATCTTCTAAGAGTAATTCTTGCCAATTGTTCTGAACTTGGTTTAATTTGTTCTGGAGTAATTAATTCAATATATGATTGACCTCTAACAATTAATTTATAAATACTAATTTCATCCTTTAATCTTTCAACATATTCAATTGAATGAGGATCAGTATTTTGTAAAGATCTAGTAAATTCATCATCTAATCTATCAATTAATGAAGTAATAGATCCAAAAATAACTTTAACTCCATCATCTCTTGGAATTGGTTCAATATCAATATCATCAGTTGCAATACCCAATTCAGAAACTTGATAAGATTTAATATTATTATCTAAAACATCTAATAAAGAGTTTAAATCATTTTCATTCTTTTTCCATAATTCTGTTGACATAAAAGTTTGATTAGCAGCAGCATCAAATCTAATAGATAATAAAGTTTGATAAATTGCAATTAATTCAAAAGTACTACCTTTAGATAAATTATCAGATAATAAAGATTCTAAAGTTTGAATTTGATCAAATTTATCAATATTCTTTTTACCACGAGATTCGACAATTTGTTTTAATGCAGTAAAAATTGGTCCTAAAGTTCTTGTTGAACCAACTGGAGTATAATCTCTTTGATCAATTGAAATATCTCTTGGAATATCTACTGATTCTTCTTGATCAAATAAATCTGGTTGTTCACGATATAAATCATATTGAGATTGATATTCTTTAATTTGTTTCCTTACTCTTTGTCTTGTAGTATTAAAAGCTCTTGCTTCAGCAGCATTTAAAGATTTTTCTGATTTTTCATTTTCATTAGTTTCATTAACATAATCTTCTAAACTTGCTAAACATTTAATATAAAAATTTGGAGTTGTAATACTTTGTTGACTAGCTCTAATTAAAAGTCTTGTTAATTTATCAAATTCATTTAATACAATAGACCAATTATTACTTCTTTTATTAATATTAATTGTTTCAATAGATTCTTCCATATCATCTAATAATTTTTCTTTAGCAGATTTAACAACTTTTCTACCTTCATCAGATTCTGAATCTGAATCATCATCAGCTGAACCTTTTAAAAAGCTTTTCTTTAAGAAATAAGCTGGACCAGTTGGACGAGCATCTGAATCTGAATCACTTGAATCATCAGAATCTGAATCATTAGCAAATTCAGAATCAGTTGATTCATCTCCTGATGATGAAATTAATTCTTCTTCTGATGAACTTAATAAATCTTCTTCTTCAGATGATGAATCTGAATTATATCCAGAAACAAAGAAACGCGACATGACTTGTCTAATATGTTCTTTCTTCTATAATGGTAGTAATTAATTACTATTATAATACAATTACCTAAGATATTTCAAATTTTCCAACGAACGATGCAATTTTTTTTTACTGTGTGTACAGGGACAAAAAAAATTTCACGGGTTTAGTCCTTGAATTACGCTTCTGTACTGACGATTACACGGATTGTTGCAAAATGAGAAGGGTATCTATAAAGTATATATATTATATTTTTATATACATTATATTATATTATTTAATATAATATATATATATATACATTTTTTCTAATTATCTATTCTATAACTTTTAACTCGCAGGAACTTAAATGGCTTTTCATTCTTTAATGAAAATTCAGTCTCTTCTCCTTGTCTATCATCATCTTCTGACATCTTCTTTCTTATAGCATAATATCGACCCCAAGTTAATTTATTATGTTTAAATATTCCTCCTAATGTTTTTATATTAAAATTATAATGAAAGGTATAATATGGTACTGATCCATTATCTATAATTATATGAATTTCTCCATTAGTTGAAATAGTCCATTTACCATGATAAATTCTTTGACTTTCTTTTATTTGTTGAGTATGAGATCTACTAGTTGATGTTTGGCTTTGACTTTGAGTTTGAGTTTGACTTTGTGTTGATGATTCAGTTGTACTTGGATCAGATACAAATCCAACTATACTATTCAGAACATTATATTTCAGTAAATGAGGTACAACTTTACTAGGTTCCATGGCTGATAATACTTTTACACATGAACCATCAGGATAAAATCTAATATATCTATAATAAGTTATTGTACGAACTGGATTTGACCAACTACTAGAAAATTCAGCTTTACCACCTTCTCCATAATAATTAACCACACTTATATAACATCCTAAAAATTTAATAAATGGTCTAGTATGAAACATATATTTCCAAGAATTATTATATTGAGGTAAAATCTTAACAAGATCTTTCGGTACAGGTAATGAATCATCATCATCAAGAGTTTTAACACTTCTTGCATTTAAATATAAAACATTTTCTTCATAAATTTGATTAGAATAAACAAGATAACATAATTTTCTCCATATATTTGATGAACCTAATCCTAAATAGGCATTTCTTTTACAAGTAATTGAAAATTTAAACCAAGATTCTGGTGATGTTAATAAAAGTATTTCCATTATATTATGCCATATTTCATTTGGTAAATGAATTAATGGTGATACTGGTTTAATATCTGCTATAGTTTCAGTTTCTAATCCTAAATTAACTAATTTTATAGTTAAATGATTTGGATCATCTTGATCTGGATTATTAGGATCAATAGCTATTGCTTCTGTATGAATAAAACTTTCAATTAATTCATCAACATTAATTTTCTTTACTTTCTCTTCATCAATTCTTTTTGCTATATTCTTTCCACCTTCTTCTCGTAATTTATTAATGGTATGAGGTACTTTTTGAGTTCTATATAATATATCAACTTGTTCATTAATTCTAAATGCTCGACGATAAAAACTAACGGCATCAGACATCATTCCTAATGCCTCTTTATCAATTGCCTTTTCAAAAAGTCGAATTGCTTCATGATCTTTATCAGAAAGTTTACCATTACTATTACTATCCTCTCCACTTGGAAATTTGGTATTAGTACTTGATGGTTCAATAACACTTGTTGCTCCACTCATATTTACAATCGTACTTTTTATTCTATATCTCTATTAAAGTTCCATACACGCCACCTATAAGTGTTTGTCTACAAAATATTACAACAGTTATAGTAAAGTATACTTGATTATTAATACTTTCATTAATACTATATAGGCAGATGCCAACGCTCATCCACACCAGAAAAAAGATCTCGCTATCAGATCAGTCAGACCGATATCTCACAATAAACTTTTTTGTATATGCAGACAACTCTTTTGTATAGAATTATCCTAGTAGTTCATCTAAGAAATTTATATCTTTATTAGATAATCCCAGTTTAGTTGATTTTATCTTTGTAGTATCTGATTTATTTGACTTTTCGTGTACCGATAAGTCCGCTAGAAACTCATCTATATCTGTAAGACTCGATTGTAATTGTGGTTGCAGTTCTGGTGGTGATCGTAATGAAGATGATGTTACTGTTGGTTTAGAAGTGCCTAAGAGAAAGTTTATATCTTCATCCAAATCAGTATCGGAGATCTTTACTTTCTCTTTGGCTGCACCACTCATTAAACTCGTATTTAATAATGATATTTGTTTAGAATCATTACTATTAAAAGTATTAATTTCTAACACTTTTGATTTTGATACTGGTTTTGAAGTATCAAACCTATTTTTAATATCTTTATAAAATTTCTCTTGTTCCACCAATTCTGATCTTTTCTTATCTTGTTCCGCTTCATCTTTTGAGATATATTGTATATTTCTTTGCTCCTTTTGACGTCTTATATCTCCAATCTCTGCAATAGATTGTTGTCCTACAACAAATCCATCCAAGTCATGTGAAGATATTTCATCAAGATTTCTTTGACCTCTCTTGGAATAATATATATCATTATAATCACTTTTATTTCTATTTAATTCCTCATAACTTGTTAATCCATATTCTTCAAGGAAATTATTCGATAATTTATTACTTAATAATTTTCGGTTCTTTTTACTTCTATTTTGTTCAGCATTAGCCATAAATTCTTTAAGATCAAATTTAGTTTCTGGTGCTTTGGCCATTTCTTTCTGTTTATTATCTTCTGATCCAAGATAAATTCCATCTAATTCCTCTTCCTCTTCCTCTTCTCTTTCGGCTTCATCTTGTTCATTATCTTGTACTTCGCCTTCCATCTCATTTTGGTGCTGAATATCATTAATGATCTGTTGTTTTATCTTAATTTTCTGATCTCTGGTTAATTCAGTTTCTCCCAATTGAGGATAAAAATGTTCTATTAATGCATCATCCACTTCTGAATCATATTCTTCATCGGAATCTTCTAAAGTAATTTTATTCTCATGATTTGCAGCAATACCACTATCACTTTTCCCCGACCATTTCTTAGTAGGTTGATCTACAATTTTATTAGATGGTTTCCTACTTATACCATGTTTTTTCATATATTGATATTTAGCCTTCTTGTCCCATTTTGAATTCTTTAATACCATTTTCTTAACTATTGTTGTTGCTATCCATAAACAACTAAATATTAATTTCGGTAATAACCATCAGTAATGAACCGGCTCATTTTTTGAGTCGCCGAACACACACATGAAAAATTGAGAATAGTTAATAAAATATGCGTTGGAGTTTTCATTGAATTATAATTACAATTATAATTACATAATAGGATTAGGTTAGATTAATATAGTGAGGAAGATGTCTAATGGAGAAGATAAAACTCCTAAAAGGAGTATTGAAGAGTTATTAAAACTTTTAAGTACTGGAGAGAAATTAACTGAAACTGAACAAAAACAGATGAAAGATTATAAATTTTGGAAGACTCAACCAGTTCCAAGTTTAGAAGAGAAAATTGTTACTGAAGGTCCAATAGATACTTCTAAAACTCCTGAAGATATTCCAAATACTCCATTTCCATTACTTAAAGAATTTGAATGGAGTACTATAGATATTGAAAATAAAGATCAATTAGATGAAGTTTATCAACTTTTATATGAACATTATGTAGAAGATCAAGATGGAACTTTTAGATTTAAATATAGTCATGAATTTTTTAATTGGGCTTTAAAACCTCCAGGTTGGACTAAAAATTGGCATGTTGGAGTTAGAGTTAAAGATACAAATAAATTAGTTGCATTTATTTCTGCTATACCAGTTACATTAAAACTTAATAGTTCTCAAAAGGAAATTCCTAGTGTTGAAATTAATTTTTTAGTTATTCATAAGAAATTAAGAAATAAGAGATTAGCTCCTGTTTTAATTAAAGAAATTACAAGAAGAGTTAATAAAGAAAATATTTGGCAAGCTCTTTATACTGCTGGAGTTGTATTACCATCTCCACTTGCAGTATCCCGTTATACTCATCGTCCAATTAATTGGTCAAAACTTCATGATGTTGGATTTTCTCATTTACCTGCTAATCAAACTAAAGCTGGAATGCTTGCATATTATGCTTTACCTAATACAACTAAAACTCCAGGATTAAGAGAATTAGAAGAAAAAGATTTAGATGAAACTTTTAAATTATTTACAGAGTTTCAAAAGAGATTTGAATTAATTCAAGATTTTACTAAAGAAGAATTTAATCATTGGATGTTAGGTGGTAAAAAAGATGGAAGTAAATCAAATGTAATTAAAGTATATGTAGTAGAAAATGAAGATGGAAAGATTACAGATTTCTTTTCTTATTACTTATTACCATTTACTGTTTTAAATAATTCTCAACATGATGAATTAGGGATTGCATATTTATTCTATTATGCATCTGATTCTGCTGGTAAAGATAATTATAAACAAAGATTAAATGGATTAATGACTGATGCATTGATTACTTCTAAACAATTTAATGTAGATGTATTCAATTGTTTATCATCGCAAGATAATAGTTATTTCATAAAAGATGCTAAATTTGGTAGTGGAGATGGATTCTTAAATTATTACTTATTTAATTATAGAACTTTCCCAATGCATGGAGGAATTGATCCTAAAACTAAAGAAGTAGTCGATGATAAAACCAGTGGTCTTGGAGTAGTATTACTTTAATAATCTCCCATTATTTATTCACTGTATAGATTTACAATATCTAATCTCTCTTTAATAATATATATACCATTTATAAATCATTTCTCAGTTTATCTGTATACAGGAATCTGAAAAATTTATTGTGCAGGCTCATCTCTATGGGTCTAAAAAATTTTAGAATACAAAGTTTAAGGTGTAATAGTTGAATTATATAATACTAACTAAGCATTTGAAGATGATTTCCTCTAGTGCCTGGGTTCCTAGAGGCTTTGCTTCTGAGTTTCCCGAAAAGTATGAATTAGATGATGAAGAAATGGAAAGAATTACTGCCATGGCTAATTTAGAATTAAATGATGCTAAAGCCGATTTAGAAGAAGCACAAGCTGAAGAATCTAAAGGAAATTTAAAGGAACAAATTGAAATTGATGATGATTTAAAAGAATATGATTTAGAAAATTATGATAATGATGGAGAAGAAAGTGATGGAGAAGATTTAACTATTTTCCCAGGTTTATCAAATGATGTTAAATATCATACTGATGAAGATGGTAATGATCCATATTTAACTTTACCTAATGAAAATGAATTACAAGAAGATAAAAAGGAATCTCAAATATATCCAACTGATAATTTAGTATTGGCAACTAGAACTGATGATGATATTTCTTATTTAGATGTTTATATTTATGATGATGGAGCTGGAGCTCCAAATGGTGCTGAAGAAGAAGAAGAAGATAAACTTGATGCTGATGTTGCTAAAGGTTTAGTAAGAGAAGCTAATTTATATGTTCATCATGATATTATGTTACCAGCTTTCCCATTATGTGTGGAATGGATAAATTATAAGCCTGGTCAAAATATTCCAGAAAGTGAAAGTAATGTAGGAAATTTTGCTGCTGTTGGAACTTTTGATCCTCAAATTGAAATCTGGAATTTAGATTATATAGATAAAGCATTCCCAGATTTAATTTTAGGTGAACCTGCTGATAATAGTGGATTACCAATTAAAAAATCTAAAAAGAAATCTAAAAAGTCAAAACATGTAACTACTCATCATACTGATGCTATTTTATCATTAGCTCATAATAGAATTCATAGATCTGTATTAGCTTCATCATCTGCTGATCATACTGTTAAATTATGGGATTTAAGTAATGGTACTGCTGTTAGATCCTTAAATACTATTCATGCCAATAAAACAGTTTCATCAACTCAATGGCATTCTCAAGAAGCTTCTATTTTATTAACTGGTGGTTATGATTCAACTGCTGCTATTTCTGATGTAAGAATTTCTGAAGTATCACAAATGTCAAAGAATTATAAAGTAGGTTCTGGTGAAGAAGTTGAAAATGTTTCATGGGGTCATCATTCAACTCCAGAAATCTTTTATGCTGGTACTGATAATGGTAATGTCTATTGTTTTGATATCAGAGTTGTTGATAAGCCATTATGGACTTTACATGCTCATGATGCTGGTATTTCATCATTAACTGCCAATAGTCATATTCCTGGATTATTAAGTACAAGTGCTATGGGAGAAAAAGTTGTTAAACTTTGGAAATGTCCAACAGAAAATAAAGGTGGTCCAACTATGGTATTATCTCGTGACTTTGGTATAGGTAATGTTTTAACATCTTCATTTGCTGGAGATATTGAAGTTGGTGGACATTTAACAATTGGTGGAGTTAGTGGTGCATTAAAAATGTGGGATACATTCTCTAATGCTTCAGTTAGAAATTCATTCCGAGAAGAATTAAAACAATTACAAATATCAGCTAGAAATGAAGCTAAACAAGCTGGTCGTGCATCTAGAATTGCAAGAAAATATCAAGGTAGTAGTTCAGAAGATGTTATGACTGTTGAAGCAGGAGCTTTAGATGATGAATCTGATTCTGATGCCGATGAAAATGACATGGAAGAATAAATTTTTTCTTAGTCTACATGTATATTAGTAACAAACTCTTGTATATTTATATTTATAAGATAAACAATTTCGCATTAATTTCAAAATTAACAATAGTTATATTATTTATAAAATTATAAATTAGCAGCAAAAAGTTCAATTAAATGATCTGGTTCAGAACCACTAGAAATTGAATCATTAATAATACCATTAACACTAACTGTTGGAGTAACATGAGCACCTACACCTCTTAAATATCTTGTAAAATATTTAATATCAACTGTAGCACCATTTCCAATATTACTTTGTTTAGATAATTCAGTTTGAGGTTCAATAGTTAATTGAGATAAGATTTCTTCTTTAGTAAATGGTAATTTAACATCCTTACTAACAATTGAATAAATATAATCATAAATTTCATTACGACCTAAATTAACAGTTGCAGTATCATAAAATTCTTCCTTATGTTTATAAATACTTTCAGAAATATCCCAAAATAATTCATTAGAATTAGAAACTTCCTTCTCTCTTAAAAGTTTAGCAGCGACAACTGAAAATTCATTAAGGAGAACAGAATTTGGATGCCATGGTTGAACAACATTTACATAAACAAATTGAAATTTGTTTGGATATTTTTGTTGTAAAGAAGGAATTACTTTATCCTTTAATTTAAAGAATATTTTACCACTATATGGACAATTATAATCTAAATAAAGATTAATAACATGTGGAGCAACAGGATTAACTGAAGATGCTAAAACTTTAGCAGAATGATAATAATGAGTTAAAGAATATTTTGGAGAGATAGTCATATTAATTAATGATTCAATGATTCAATGATTTAAATCTATAAACTATTAATAGTTTCAAAAGTTATCAATTGATGGAGTATTAATAGTAATTGGCAATTAGTAATTAGTAATGTAATTGACCACAATTATCCAATTACCCCCAACTAAAATTTGTTACCACGGCTCGGGGTTGAGCCGTTCGCGGTTATGCAATATTTTGACACATACATAATTTTACAATTATACATTAATAATACAGAAAAGATAAATTAAATATATGATATGGAGATATCGCTAAGTAACAGTTGTAAGTTTTGGAATATGAAAATATGATGACATATTGGGATCCCAATATACTAGAGTAGATGGCTCTCTATAATCAGCCAATGTAATTGATGTAAGTGTAAAATGTCATAAAGCCACAGTGTACATTGGCTCTTTATTAATCATAAAGATTAATGAGCTCTTGTACTTGTGATATTATCTTCATCACTACTATCAGAATTCATTACTCGTATTGAACTCTTTGTAATTTGAACATTTTTTTTATTTAATTTGTTATGCGGCATTTTCAAAGATTTTGCAACTGCTTTATCATGTACTGTTTTATTCAGTGAAGTTGAATTTCGTATTGGTGAACGTTTACGTTTCCTCGATCTTGAATCATCGTTGACATTTTGATCTGAATCTGCATCCACAAGTGGAACAATCAAATCTCGATCTCGATTTATTGTCTTTGAACTAGGAGGATTTATTTCAGCTTTATCTTCTGCATGACTCTCTGCATGTAATGGCTCGCGGACGAAATGATCATATGAACTAGCGTTATTTTCTAAATTTAGTAAATGCTGCCTTGCTTTCATGACGGTTGGTGTACTGTTCTTAGAATTCATAATTGAAATTAAAATATTTGGATAATTTCGACTAGGAGTATTGGTCTTGGTTAAATTGGATGTAGGACTTCCATATTTTTGATTTATCGTTCTCTCAAGATCATCTAAAGAGGCACCATTTGCATGCATTTGTAATATTTGATTGGCCACTGATGCCTGTTCACTTGAAATACTGAACCCCATTGAATTTTTCAAAGATTCAAAATTAGTTACCTTTGGAACTTCTTCCGGAACAAATAATTGTTCTGATTCAATGTTGTTTGAAGTCGAATTATGACCATCACTACTTGACACGAGGCTCTCATTACTTATGTAATCTTCTGAATCTGAAGGTACTGATTCGGATGACTCTGGGACAAATAATTCAGCTGATTTAACTCTACGACGTGTTGATGAACTATTTTGCAAATCGGAATTTGATTTTGAGCCATCAGATGATTCTTTATTCTTACTTTCAACCACATATCTTGATTTATTTGGAATAAATAAATTACTTTGCTTTAAAGCAACTGGTTTGTGGAGCTGCGTTCTTGACAGTTGACTTGATAGTATAAATCTGTCTGATGGAGATGCATCTCGAGCAATAGGTGATTTATGACTAGGGGATTTGTTCTTTGAATCTTGAATTTCTAATGAAGATGCAGTTTTTATTGGAGACTTTGGAGTTGAAGGATTCGAATAAGGTTTAGTTGTTATTACAGAGTTAACTTTAGAAATCAGCTTTTCAGATTCATTTGAGCTTGGCTTATCTATGGGAGTAACTCCAATTGCTGAGTCTGTTGTAAGAGGTGTAGTTCTTGTGACCGGTTGAGGAGACGTTCTTGCAACCAGTTGAGTAAACGTTCTTGTAAGTGGCTGAGGAGACAGCTGAACAAGTCTGCGCCTAGTCGAAATAAATACACCTTGTGGTTTTGGTTTTGAAGTTGCGACGATATTAGGAGACTGAGATGAAGAGCTCAGTTTTGGAATTATAGATTTTGCAATAGGTTTTTGTGATGATTGTAAACTGAATGTATCTTCTTCGTTTGATGCTACTGGCTCCTTGGAAACCAGAAATCCAGACTCTCTAACAGCAGGTGATTTTTTAACTTTCACCTTTTGAGTTGGGGTTGACAATTCATTTAATTTAAATAGCTCACCTATGTCTGAGCTTATACTTAAACTTGAGCTTGATTCAGATAGAATTATAGCGGGAGCTTTGCGACGAACTGAAGGAGAATTCTCACGTTGAGTTGTACTCAGTGTAACCTCAATAGAATCCAAGACTGTGTCGTTATCTTCATTTTGTGATAATGCATCTGAATGAGAACCAGAATCAGAATCAGATATTAGATCGATTTCAATTCTTTCGGAAGAAAGATTATCTAGTATAGGTGAAGCAGTGAGTCTTGTGTTCAATTTTATGTCTGATTCTACGTCTGGTTCCTGTTCAGATTCATCATCCAGTTCAAGAATTTCCTGTAGTATAGGTACTTGACTAAAAATAACTGAGTTATTATTATTTGCATCTTTTCTTGGAATAAGCTTAACATTGGATTCAACCAGTTGATTAGTATCCTTTGCTTTTTTAGGCAGTACTATTTTCAATGGTGATGATTTAGATTTATTTGGTTTGGTCCTTTGATGTTTTGGATACAATTTCTCTCTGATCTTTAAAGCCGTATCTAAATTATCTATAGTTACATCTTGTAGATTTTGTGATGAATTATCAATAGATGATTCTGAAATCAAGCTATCATGTGACAGACCCCTAGAAGTATATGTATTATCTTCTAAATCTTGTATGTGATTCGATAATTGACTTGCCTTTTTAGTTTGTGGTTTATAGATCTTATTCTTAACCTGATTATCATTACGCAAAGAATTATTTGTATCATTAGCATTTCTCGTGCTAAATCCATTCAAATAATTCCTGGCGCTCAGATATACACGTGAGAATATACCTCTACTTGGTATGTTGTTTTGTTGAGACATATCATTTAAAGTATAGAGCTTTTCGTATTTAATTATGGTTATATAGAAATAGAACAATGTTTTTGTTTTAAGCGCAGAATTTTTTAAAGATAGGCCATTTTAATATTTTTTGCAATTATAAATTTTTGTTATATATTATGTCTATTACTTTACACTACCCACCCAGAGACTATAGTTATTACAAAATTACATATACATATACAAAGTACAATTAGTATGAGATCTATATCAAGGAATTTCAACCTTAAATAGATCAATGGACGTTAAGAATTATCATTAGCATAGTATTTTTTGGGAGGCATGATACTCAAACAAGAATTACTAATTTACATTTATCAAATAATATACCATGAAATTTCTCATCATCATCAACTTCAAATTCTTTTAATTTATCTCTTTGAATTGAATCAAAGTCTTCATTGACAATATTATTTTCATTTATAAAATCATCATAATCATTCTTTAAGAATAATTGGACATCTTGTGGAACAATTCCATTATCATTCTTATCCAAATCCAATCTTTTAAATAATTTAGTTTTTAAATCTTGAAGTCTGAGACTAGTAGGTAATAATAAAACAAAAATATCTTCATCATAATAGAATTTTACTTTTACTTTTGTGATTTGTGCTTTACTATCAGAACTTATGGCTGAAGTATTTGATTGATTGACAACTCCAGGAACATTATTAATTAAATGTGTACTAGATGATCTTGAACGAGTCTCAGACGTTGGAGTAGTTGAATTTCTATGATTATTAGGATAATTGGAATATTGTGATAATCTATCTTGTTGATAGTTGGATTGTTGACTAATTGGCTTCGAAGATCTTCCATTATTATTATTTGAATCGGTAAATTCTTTATCAAATCCATTTTCTAATACATCAAATAATCTTAATACTTCTTCAGACCTTGAAATATGACTTGGCAATGCAATTAAATTCCTTAAATAATAATCCAATTTTTCTCGTCTTAATTTTGATATACTATCATTCACATTAATTAATGGACCAGGAATTGAAGGAATTATACGTTTAGAATTTTCAATTTTACCTGCTTCATAAGGAAATAATTCTAATAATTTCACTTGTAAATCATAAAAATCTTGGTAATAACGATATAATTGTCTTATTTTACCATTAGAAAGTTTTGCAGTAACAAGATATTGATATCTTCCATGATCTAATTGATAAGAATCAACTCCAGCTTCAAGTATGATTGTCCCTGCTGAACTTAAAGATGATCTATTAGAAGTACTTTCACCTTCAAAGAATTGAGTATTTGATGACATTGGAGGAGTTTGAGTATTTGATATTGACCCAAGAGGTATAGTTGATGCTTGATATCTTGCATTTTGCTCTTTCCATTGTTCAACCGAAGGAATTTTAAAATTATCAATTGTACGAGCTATATCCTCACTATTTGAAGCTTCAAGATTTGGATGTTGAGCTGCAAGTGGATTTAATAAATCAATGATTTTAACGTAAGTAACTGGTACTAAACCAGGACCACCTAATCTATTTATTGGTTTTGCTATAAACCATTCGTATTCATGATGAGCACATATGATTAAGTTTTCACCCGGGAAAATATCCAATTCATCTTCACGTTCAGCTTTAAACTCATAAAGAACAACGGCATATAAAGTTTGTGAAGAATTTCTTTGAGTTGAACGAGTAGCTGTACTTGAACCCAGAGTTAATGAAGTTGGAGTGTCCTTAGCTACAGGTCTGGATCTTTTAAATACTTCAAAATAACTTACAGGTACCATACCTTTAGTATGAGTTATAGGATTAGTAGCTTCATACCATGCATTTGAATTATCAGTTAATTCATCAACATCATCATCTTCAGTTAATACATGAAAGAAATCTCCCTTAGAGAATTTCAATTCTCCAGGACCTTGAGGGTTATAATCATATAATGCTTTAATAACTTTTTTAGGAGATTGTAAAGTAGTTATTGAATCAGCATCAACAGAAGTGACTCTTGTTATGGAATGTTTCGGAGATCCTGAAGAATTATTCGACAGTCTCTTACTTCTTCTGAAACTTTTCATCATCTTGGATAAAGAAGTTTATGCAAATACTTATCTTAATTCACTACCCTAATTTTTAATGGGTTTGTATAATTGATTTAATGCAAAAATTAATAGATAATTGGAAAGATTCTTTAGACAATATCAAATCAAATTATCGTATATCGTAAGTTCTTATGTTTATTGATTCAAATGTTTATAACAATACGGCTCAGTACAATGATTCGAATTTTAACATTCTAATTTGGGCCAGGACGTGCAAATGCCCAATTTTAACCCAGCGTAAATCTAAGAAAAAAAAATGTCTGAAATTCGGTAGTGAGAAAATTTCTACAGGGAGGTACTAAAAGGGGGGAGTAGTGGCATGTTGCACAGAAGTATCTTACGGTACGATTAGCTTTAGTGGTATGATATAGTATGAATCTTATTCAATGAGATAATAAGAATTGAATAGAATTGAATTGAATGTATAATGAAAAAGATTCAAACAACTCTTCTAGAATCAATTTGCTAATGTAGGTAATTACAGATCCTAGCGATGATTCGCGCGTTATTAATAGGGGTCTAAATTTAGTTACAAGTTTGTGGCAACCGTTTTTGCACCAAACGATAATTATTTGCGTTAAATATGTGTATGTAAGCTAAGCTGGGGCATACGTGTTAACTGAGCCCTGTAAGCCACTTAATGTAGTGTGATATCTTCGGTACATCTCTTACCTCTTTTACATATTTACCTAATTGTATAATTATCTATTTGTCTATATACCTGAAGGGGGTTAAATCAAATTATCTCTGAGCTCCTTGCGGCCCTCCCTAAAAACTTTTTTTGGCGTTTCGCGTAATTATATCTAAACCTTATTAGTGTACTGGTGGTACGTTGACATGTCATCGTCTTGACTATTTGATCGGCTGGATGATGTCATTAAATATTGATCTAATATGTCGGTTTCCTGACTAACACTATTTTTCAGTCGTATAGCTTTAGATCGGGTCAGACCCAGAAATTCAAAATTGTACATTCCATTAGCCTCTTGCTTGAATTGTTGTGTAGTGACTATCGTACTCTTGGGGGAAATTCCTTCGCTAGATTCACTTTCTGCTGTTGCGTCATCTTCTTGGAATTGTTGTTCTTCGTTCTCTTCGAGTTCTTGCTCTATATCTTCATCCTCTTCTAAATCATACAAGTACTCTTCCTCCTCCTCCACATGATCATCATAATCACCATGCATGAGTCCTTCCTCTTCTTCATCCTCTCCATCCACATGTTGTTTGGGCTTCCGTACCTTCCTCGTACTAGTCACTCTACTTCTTCTTTGTTTTCTCTTTCTAGGTGGTTTCATTAGTGCTTGTTCTTGTTCATATTGTCGATACTTGGCAAGGTATATCTTTAAAGTTTCTGAATAATTCTCAAATCCTAATGTGAACATTGCCCAGAGTATGTCTTCACCATTAAGAGTCTTTCTCTTCTCTAATCCACACTTGTCGATTGCTTGACTTGTTATAAATGATATAAACTCAGATACACATTCTTGAATGCATTCTTTTGAATCCTTTGAGAGTTTTGCATGTTCAGGTAATGCTTTCTTCATAACTCTGGCTACTATATGAAATTAAATTGGTGTTAGAACTAGTGTTTATATTATTTTAAAGAAATTAGTTATTTTTATACTCACCATTAGCAATAGGTAAGAACCTATCTTGTTCTTTAATTTCATAATCACAGTTATGCCAATCTTTATCTACAGTTCCCATACTTTGTAATTCTTCGCTTTAAGAAATATTATTCCTATACCTAGAAATAAAAATATAACCATACGGCTGTTACTATAAATTTTAGTCAAGAATTTATCGGTTTATATAAGAATTATTGCTAAGATAAATTTGAATGCGATATCGGACTTGTTCATTGCCGCGTAGAGATTCATTGCTGCAAAAAAAATAAAAGAAAAATAACTTAGCTGACATAAGTGAAATAAAATAATAATACATTAGACATATACAATAAGATTAAAAATAACGAGAGGTTCTTTTATTTTGGGACTGACATCTATAGCTTTTCTAATAGTTTCTTAATATAATTGTAATATACGACACAGTCCTTTGATTCTTCCATCCAATATCTAAATATGATTAATGAATGTTCATAACCTGTAATAATTGATTCTTTTGAAAGAACTACGTTAACCATATTAATTAAATCTGTTGGAGATGAAATATCGGGTAAACCTGTTGTTAAATGTTTGAATGTTTCATCTGTAATAGCATGTTTAAGCAGTTCAGTAATCTTTTTATACAAGAGAAATTGAAATACATTCCCAATAAATAAATTTCTTAAATAATACCAAGATCCTGGATGTCTATAAGATCCAAGTTTTGGAATATTTAATTTTGGAAGTGATATTAAATTTTGTACAAATATCCTCATAATTCTTACTCTTGCTGAAGAAATATCTTTTAATTTGAAATTTTCCTCAGAATTTTCTTCCAGTTCATCATCTGATTTTGAACCATTCTCCTTTGGAGGATATTCAATAAGGTCAGAGAAATCTTCATCAGGATATTGTTTTTGATAAAACAATGGTGCATTAATTATATTGAAATAATCCATTTCCATTTCAGCATCAGATGGTATAGAAGCTCCAGTTAATGGATTCGAATTAGAACTTAATGAATCGGGTGATTCAACAGAATTTAATGTATTTGCAGATGAATTACTCGTAGAAGTACTTACTACTGATAAGGTAGCCTCTAGTAATTCTATAACAGATATTTTATCTTCTAAAACTAAGTATACCAATGGTCGGAATAATAAAAGCTTTGATAAAACAATTCTTGTTTTAATAAACATTATAGATTCAGATTGAGCACGTAATAGTAAATCATCATCAATTAAAAAATCATCCAAACTATCAAATATATCACTATCAACTGATACTTTTGCTTGTTTCTTTTCATACTTCTTCTTCATTCTTCTATGAATTTGATCAACATTAACTTCTTGTAATACAAAATTCCGGATTTGTGGATTTAATGAATTAATAATACCATTATATTGATTCAAATATTTAATAAATGTACTCCATACTGTTTCATTGGCAAATTGTTCTGTATCCCATGTATTATTGTTTACATTTTCAAAAGAATACATTTCATCACACATTTTATTATCAACTTTTCTAACGGCTATTTCTGTTAAAAAATAATACCATGTTCTTTCATCATCATATTTATTGGCTAACCTTATACAAGCTTCACTATGAGCTTCCTTTATAGATAATGTCATAGGATCTGGGATTTTTGGAAAAGAAGATGGTGGGGTTACTTGAGTTATTCCTGATAAGGGGACGTATGGAGATAATTCTAATCTTAATTCACATTCTAATTTCAAGCACATCCAAAATAATCGTTCAACTATATCTCGTTTATTGGTATCAATAGAAGGTGCATTGAATGTATTGTTAACATTTTTTTGGATTATAAAATACATAACATGTTGACATGCATTTGAAATGTATCTATAAGCTCTTAATGGACACATGATGTATAAATAATATTGACTTAACAATAAATTGAAAGTGGATGCATTCAAGGAACTTGGTGTAATGGCATCTGGAAAAGCTGATTCCAAAAATGTAGCATAGTTAATGAGTAAGAATGCTATTGCTGATCTATCACGAGGAAGATTTGCAGGAACTTTAATAAATGATGAATCATTGGATAAACAACCAGTGGCTATAGAAGATCTTTCTTCAAATGAAGTATTAAATTTAGCTAAGTTATCTAATTGGATACTAGTTGAAATAACTCCCAAAGCACAAATTGCTAGTATTACAGGTACTGATTCACATAAACATCTATAAGCTAGACGACGATAGGGAGTATCTTCAAGATTTGATGCTTTTAAAGCATCATATACAAATTTCGGAATATTATCTGTAGATGGATTACTTGCATCATATGTCTCTAATAAACTCATAAAAGTTAAAGAATTATCATATGCAATCAAACATTTATATAATTCTAAAATCTCAAAGAATTCTAAGGTATCTAGGATAGGAATTTTTGTAAAACAATTAACAAAGAAAGAATTTATAATAGTAGAAAGATTTTCCTTTATTAATGTATCCAAAGCATTAGCAATAACTATTCTTTCAGCTAATGGAGCAGTTTTTATCACTGGTATATCATTAATATTATAATCTTTTACTAATTGATTTGTTATTGCACTAATATTTTCGGCAGTTTCACCAGTAAAATGTTTGAAAGATCTCCACCTAAGAATCGATGTAAGAGACATATCCCAAAAGCAATCATCAAATTTTAATTCAGAAGAAACTCTGGGCCTTTTGCGTTCATTATTAAAGGATTCTTCTTCTTCTTCAGGAGTTGTAATCGGTAGTCCAGCATTTTTCTTTAAATCATTAAGATCTTTTAAAATAGTATCTAGCTTTTTCATAATATTTGTTGAGCCTGAATCTCCATTTGAATTATCTTTCAGTTGATCATCTGTCCTGTAATGACAATTTGTATTACCATTTTTGGTGCAAGAACCGCATCTTGGACGGATGTTATCACATTTTATCTTTTTCAATCTACATGAATCACAGGCGGTTAATGCCCTTTTTCGAGGATAATTGATTAAATTACGTGTGGGAGGGATTGAAGCTGATACAGGTCGCTTTTTACCTTGAGATGGAATATGTTCAACTTCTATAGGAGCTGGGGGGATTACCCCAGGAGGTGGAAGTTGAGGTTGTGCTAATTGAGTCTGTTGATACATTTGAGGATATGGTTGTTGAACTTGTTGTTGTAAAATAGCACCATTAGAATTAGGAGGAGGAGCATACTGATAATGGCCAGGTATACCTGGAGGTGGTGGTGGTGGTGGGTGCATTTGTGGATAATATGCTGTTTGTGCTGGAGGGGCGGCCGGATAATATGCTGGATAGAACTTGTTTGGCTGTGGTTGTGGTTGGGTTTGTTGTTGGGCTTGAGATTGAGGAGGTCCAGGTTGTTGTTGCTGCGGTTGTGGAAGTAATTGATCTTTTTGAGTGGCTGCAATTGGGTAGGGATGTGATCGTTGCAGTGATATGGTCAGTTGTGGGGTCAGATAGTGATGTGACGACAGAGACGAAGCAGAGATTTGTGGTGGACTTCGTGATTGGGATGCTTGATGAACGTTTGGACCAACTTTCTGACTATCATCATATTCATTCTTGACAGGATTCTGCATGACTTGAATTATGATATTTAGTGAATTAAGTGTTTAAGTCTTTCTTGACTACTAGCATGAGTTCTTATGATATTATACACTATGGTGATATAATGTGCGACGAATATTATGAGGATTACTGGTAAAAATTAATAATGCTAGTTAGCTGGTAGCTCGACTTAGTCAATGATTTGTCTGTAAAGTGAACTTGTGAAACTTGGAACTTGGGATGGAATACCAAGTTTGTGTTTTAATATAATATCTTTATATTTTTCCGGTGCAGGCTCTCTGCTGAAAACTTATACAGTCTGAATATAAAATATGAGGTAATAATCAAAATATGACTTACAGTATCAGGTAGTTTCTTTTTGTATGTAAGGCGTATATATATGTAGCGCGATTTCTACCGAGTGCGGTACAGGTTTAAGCAGATGACAATGGATTGGGTCAGATTGGTTTGGTTTGGTTTGGATTGTAATGAACGTACTAAGTTCAATCGTCTAAATCTAAGGGATATGATATAAGTAGTTACAAGTTCAAAACTTTAGCGAATATGTTACAATAAAAGCTTACAGTAGATTTTAATGATAATAAATGTCATTAATTTCATTAGAATTAGTGTTTATTACTACATCATTAATGGGGCATAAGATTTACAATTTATCTAAACTTTAATGTAACGATCATCAAATTGAATCACAAAAAGTCAGCATATTTACGCTAATTATTAAAACTGTAATTAATTATATTACATTTACTTAAACAACCTTTACATGTCATAATAATTGTATTTGTCATTATTATTATTATGACAGACATGGAATGTTCTCTTGAAGTTATGAATTAGTGACATCGTAATTTTTACAATTTGGAATATTTTGTTCCTGATGTCAACGCATGATGTAAGTCGCAGCCTCGGCATGTATCATTTTTATTTTCAATTTTCAATTTTCCAAATGACGCTTAGACTTGTCCAAAATCAGTTTCGTGCTCTACCTATAATTTAGTAATTCACTAAATATAGATTAGATTGTATTGTATCTTGGCGATCTACATCATTGGGTTTTAACCTTTTTTTTTTTTATGGGTCTTGAACTCAAACTATTCAACTCTATTAAGGTTAATGAGAAATTGCTGATCTTAAGAATGCAAAAGCTGAGCTTTGGGTTTTATTAGCTCAAAAGAGCCCAGAAAAAAATAGCTGAAACAGCTGAATTATAGTCATAGAAATTCTACTAGTTCAGCTAGTTATGCACCACTATAATCTGGATTGGCATCTTGATGTCTATTATAAGTCTATACATGTTCAACGCAAATATAACACATGGTACCCAACAATCTTATAGACATTAAACTACACTTATTCTTTCGCCTGCTTCATACTTAATGTTACGTTACTTCGTGCCTTAAATTAGTCTTTTGTGGTTATTATAAAAGCAGCTACCGAATCAGAAAATTTCACTTTCTAGAAATTCTGCGATCTGCATTATAGAAGCGTTTTAAATGATTTAGAGGACAATAAAATGAGTACTCGCCAATGATCATCATTGACTTTTACCTTTTATTCGGTACATATGTGTGCATTGGAGTACATGTATGTTAATATTGGCATCATTATTGAGTGAAGAGGTGATTCCCCTCTGATGATATACTTATAAAGAAGTAAAGAAACCTTAATTCTTTTTCAATGTTAAGGGTCTCGTGCATTATCACGTGATTTAAATCCTTAATGTGCAGGATACAATTAAATGTATCATTGACTACACTTAATAGCTTATTTTCACAATAATTCACAACTTCTAGATATGTTACTGGAATTGACTCGGTAACAACCACAGAGTCAAAAGATATCCAGAGATAGTGTCCATTAAATTATTGAAAGTGCCTAAATTCATAGAAAATAAAAAATTAACTAATCCTTTACCCGCCTGTATAAATCAATTAAGAATGTGTTGACGCTTCGAGAAGTATTTTTTGGATAAGATAAGTAAACTTCACGGCGTTATGAAGATTAGAAGAATTGATTTAACCTATCTTATACGTTATTTTTTTGAGCAAATCGCAAAACCCTTTCAGCGTGAACTTTCCCAAAGGTACTGGAGTAGAAGAATTCCTTGAGTACATTACATTTGATTACAAAATAAGTCTATTTCACAATTACATTATATTCTTTAACGCTTTTCTAAGAAATAGAAGGTTATATAAAGTTACATGGAGTAAAATTGTATTGTACTTTGCTGGTCATGACTCTACCTCGTGGCTTTATAGATTTAAGCAAGCGCATTGTAGTACACCTCATTGGAATATGATTATCCCGCTCTGTTTTCGTATTTGAAGCTCCATTGTAATAAGAATTTTGACAGTTTATGATAACATACAGTGGGATGTTTCCTGTCGCAAAAGATAAGAAAAAAGAGCCGAACGTCAAACTCTGCGTCACTTCCTAATTGGGAGCAAAGATAACGTTTGGCCGGAAAAATCTGGCACAAAAGATCAATTTCACAATCATTTCGAGACCTATCATTATATATATGATTGTTTTAACTTTCCACTCTACAAAGCCCCAAAATCATTTTTGAAAGGCAATTATGAAGATTCGTATCAGTATTTTCAATTGACTTTTCCTATCTATATATTAGGTTTATTTTATTTTTTGGGCCTAAATTGAAAATTAAGGCATCGTAGATAACCGTTTCTTTAATAGACCCCTATATTAATGAAAACTTCTTATATAGTATATAATAACCTTGTATTTACTTTTATTTGAATAGTAGTTAGTGTTACTTTGTGTTCTATATTCTCTTTTTAAAAGGAGTATAGTATAACTTGTAAAATGCCAGAAAAGGAATTAGATTATATAAGATCAAGAGCTGCCGCTGTCGGTGATAGTGACTCTCTTGAAAAGAATGGTGGTATCTATATTGATGCCTTCGACAGAACCGGTCCCGAATTAACAGGATTTGCCAAATTTGTTGATAGCTTCAAGAGGGCAGATGCTGTTGACTTGGGTCTTGATCCAAACTTGACAGATACTCAAAAAATTGCTATTATGACAGCTAACTCTCCACTTTCAAGATCTTTAAAAAGTAGACATTTACAAATGATTGCTATTGGAGGTGCTATTGGTACAGGTTTATTCGTTGGTTCTGGTGCTTGTTTAGGAGAAGCTGGTCCAGCAGGTGTTATTATTGCTTATATCATTATTGGTACTATGATTTATTGTACTGTTCAATCTTTAGGGGAATTATCTGTTACTTTCCCAGTCGCTGGTGCTTTCCTTACTTATAACTCTAGATTTATCGAACCTTCATGGGGTTTTACTATGGCGTGGAATTATGCTATGGGATGGTTAATTGTTTTACCCTTAGAATTGGTGGCTGCTGCAATCACAATTAAATTTTGGGATGAAACTACTAATTCAGCGGCTTTCGTTGTTATTTTCTATGTGCTAATCTGTGCTATTAATTTCTTCGGTGTTAGAGGATATGGTGAAGCTGAATTCTTTTTCTCATTAGTTAAGGTTTTGGCTATCATTGGTTATATCATTTTAGGTATAGTTTTAGCAGCAGGTGGTGGTCCAAGTCATGAATATATCGGTGGTAAATTCTGGACTAACCCAGGGGCATTTGCCAATGGTTTCAAAGGTGTTTGTTCAGTCTTTGTTACTGCAGCTTTCGCATTTGGTGGTACTGAACTTTGTGGATTAGCAGCTGCTGAAAGTGCCAATCCAAGAAAATCTGTTCCAAAAGCTACCAAGCAAGTTTTCTGGAGAATTACATTATTCTATATTGTTTCTTTAACACTTGTTGGTTTATTAGTTCCTTATAATGATCCAAGATTAATTGCTAACTCTTCTGTTGATGCTGCTGCTTCACCTTTTGTTATTTCTATTAAGAATGCTGGTATTTCTGGTTTACCATCTGTCATGAATGTTGTCATTATGATTTCTGTCTTATCTGTTGGTAATTCATCTGTTTTTGCTTCTTCAAGAACATTGGCTGCTTTGGCTGCTTCTGGTCAAGCTCCAAAGTTTTTAGGTTATATTGATAAACAAGGTAGACCATTATTTGCTATTATTGTTCAATGTACTTTTGGTTTATTATGTTTCATTACTGCATCCAATGATTCTGGTACTGTCTTCGATTGGTTATTAGCTTTATCTGGTTTATCATCATTATTTACTTGGATGTCCATTAACATTTGTTTAATTAGATTTAGAAGAGCCTTGAAAGTTCAAGGTAGAGATACTAGTGAATTGACCTATACTTCTCAAGTTGGTGTTTATGGTGCTGCTTATGGTGCTGCTATTAATATTTTGGTTTTAATTGCCCAATTCTGGATTGCTTTATTCCCATTGGGTGGTTCACCAAATGCTTCTGATTTCTTTATGTCATACTTGGGATTCCCAGTTGTATGGTGTTTCTGGATTTTTTACAAAGTTTGGAAGAGAGACTTGAAAATCTTTATTAGAGCCAAGGATATCGATATTGATACTGGTAGAAGAGAATTAGATTTGGATGTCTTGAAACAAGAAATAGCTGAAGAAAAGGCTTTAATGGCTACCAAGCCTTTCTACATCAGAACTTGGCATTTCTGGTGTTAAATATTTTCAGTTTCTTTCATATAGACAAGTGTAGATTACTGTTAAAATATAATATATTAGAAAAATAATTGTATTGTTTTTATAAAATGATTTTGCATTCAAGTTGCGCACATAAATTTGGGGGTAATGTTCTGCTGCATCGTGCGGCACATCTAACGAATCTACTAATTGAAACGGAGTTAAATAAAGTCCTTCGTTGATGCTCGAATATGAGTATGGCATTTATTAAATATTTAGGAATTTTAAACAAAATTATCTTTATCTATAGAGTAAAAAGGACTAAATCTCTTTTTATTTTGAAATATCTTCACTAAAACGAAAAGCCCGATATTCCCTCTAACCTGGTGGTAATTGGGAAGCGTCAACAATGTCAGCAGCCGCAACATCTTCATCTTCTTCAACGACATGGTCTAATGGAGTTCTTGGTAACGCCATCATACCAGATCTAGCAAGTTCTAAAATACCAAATGGATGTAATAATGTTATAAAAGCAGAAACTCTAGATGGTTTAGCACTTAATTCAACAATAACATTTCTGTCACTAATATCAACAATTCTACCACCGAATTTTTCAGTAATAGTATTAACATGATCTAAATGCTTATGTTTTTGTCTTAAAGCTTCAGAAGGTGCTAAATTGTTTGGGTGAAAAGCTGAATCAGCAGCCGTTAAATCCGGAATTGAAGCTCCATCACTAATATGTAATTTATGGGTAGCAATTAATTCTTGGAAATATTCAGGTCCTAATAATGAAACTCTTGCTAATAATAATTCTCTCTTAATAATTTCAGCATTTGTATAATCCAATACAGCATAAACAGGAACTAAATCTTCTATTTGTCTTCTAGCTTGCTCAATAACTGCATCTTGTCCATCCAATACAATAGTCATACGAGATAAATCTTTAACTTCTGTATTACATACGACTAATGAATCAATATTAAATCCTCTGGCAGCTAAAGTACCAGATACACTACTTAAAACACCAGGTTCGTTTTGAACTAAACAGTTTAACACATGTTGCTTTCTAGGAGCTCTGGAAGGAACTGGAGTTTCATATAAGATGGAACTAACAGCTGCATCTGCTGACCAATTTGGAGTATCTAAAGTTGGTAATGGTGGCCTTTTTTGATTACGATGTAAAGTCTTATAAGCCAAAGCTGATGTAGAACTTGCAACGTTCGACTTTGCTCTAACGAACTGTCTTACGAACATGCTCGACGATGAGACTGGTAAATTTTGTTTTAGCATTTTACCAGAGTCTCTCCAAGTTTTTAGATGTATAAATCGAAAATGAAGCAGTTGTTCCAGTTTTTATTTGATTGAATCTAATCCATTTTGCATAAAGCTGGAGTACAGTGAGAAAATTTTGAATGAATCATAACGCGACATTCATTGCGCGGTCCGGCGGAAACTAGACATTTTTCTAGTGTTAAGCTCCGGAATAGGGATGTCGCTCAATCCTGCACAATGTCCTCTACTCAGTTGCTATATCTTTAACATGATAGCTATACGCTTAGAGAACTTTTTTAATATTACAAACTAAATTATAGTGATGTTATTAATTTTGTTACTTAATTTTATAATTGATTGTCCATATAGAAAACGTAAATGAGTTCAAATAAATTAAAGAAGTAAACCTGCAATGATAGCAATTGGACCAGCTACAATAGCACCGGCAGCACCAACTTGAGCACCATCATTTGTTTTGGTAATAGAAGCCGTTTGTGACTTGTGCTTTTTAGAAGAAGAAACTTCAGTGGAACTAGTTTCCTTGGACTTTTTGGTACTAGTGGAGGATGAGGAAACAGCAGTTGTGGTCTTCTTGGCTTTGGTAGTAGTACTACTAGAAGAAACAGCAAATGATGAAGTCTTCTTCAAGATTTGCTCATCATTTTCCTTGAGGTTGATAATTTCGAAACCCTCGAAGTCATTACCAATAACGACAGCATTTTCGTCATTGTAGATTCTGCCTTGTTCAATATAACTGGCAAGAGCTGTGGAAGTAAAGGCTAAGGTAGCGATAGTTTGAAATTTCATTGTAAGTTATTCTAAGTTCTAAGTAAAATAAAACTCATGATTTTATAAAAAGGGGCAAGTGGCAATTTGACCTTTATTTATATAATCCAGAATTATATGCAATAAAATCCTCCCTAAACATAGCAATAATGATTGAAAAAGTTTAACCTAAGTTACACAATTTAAGCATCAGAGCGTGTCAAATGGCTACTTCGCTGACTTGCGCATGAACTCCTGCATACTTAAAAGTGTGAATCCAGGCCTTACTTACCATTTAGGACACAAATTTACGAAAATGGATAATGGAAAGACTTTTTCAATCCATTTCAGTAAAGATTATCGGGTACCTCATCGCGGATTGATTAATTTAGTAGTTTCAATGCCTTTTGTTTTGATTATTTTTGACGATTACATCTAATACTGAGCCTCAGTTAATGGGAGAAAGGAGATTCCACAAAGACTTAAACGACCAAGAATTAGTTATTTTTTATAACAATAATATGGTGAGGCATATTTCAAGAAAATTTAGATTAGTTTCATGTCTTCGTCGTAATTTCATTGTTGCTGATCTTTGATTTCTGTTTTAAGATAACTGTCGTGTGCTTTTAATATTTCTCAGACCCCGGACTATTTTCTTAAGCCTACTTTTTTGCGTCCTTAATTATACTTAATTCTAGTACAAAAGAAAGTAATGTATATAATCTAATCATATATATAATTGTTTAAAATCTTATACTTTTGAAGGTTTGTAAGTGATGAAACCAAGCTCGACCAGGACAACATTTGTCAAAAATGAAATGTTCAACTGAACAGGAGCGTGAATAGAAGCTAATACAATATGTGTAACAACTGAAGAAGGTCCAACAGAGAAAGTGGATTATTGTTATTAAAGAATACTGCTCGGCTTGCAAAGCGGCAAAAATGAAAGGTATTTCGTTACATAAAAGGACTCGTTTACTCCAGAAGCCCTTATTTCACAGAGCCCAATCCATTATGACTTTGCCTGACCAATTTCATTGATTTAGTTGCTTCTTTTAGTTTCCAAAGCAAGAAAAGTTGATCAGCCCAAGAAGAAGTGCCGCTATTATACTTTTTAATTTGAAATAAAGGATACTTCTCTTGCTTTTGATATATTTGGCATTCTGGGATATTAATCTAAGACATTTTACTGTAATGCTTTTCAAGATGCTCTCTCGAGTTAAATTTCACAATGCTTCAGAAGAAGCATCAATCCTATCACATCGAGGTAGAAAGTATTATCAGTTATATAATGTGCAATCGCGAAACAAGAGGTTTTAAATGCTTCAGCTATGACTTCTTGAATTGTGAAGTTATAGAAAAACACTGATTGTTGGTGGTTGTATAAGAACTTTCGAGCTTAAAAAGGAATGAATGAAATTAGTATGTAGACATCTTATACTTCTAAATGAAACTCCTAAAATAAACAAGATCAAACAAGAAGCAAGATAATTTAGTTATAATATATTCAATTCACCCTCGGCATTACCTATAAATCCAACTACCGATTTTTTACCGGAAAATAGTCGGAAGTATGAGCAAAAATATAAAATGTTCGTTAGAATCACAGCCGTATTCATTTAGATTTATGGTAACCTTTTTGACCCCACAAAGATAACTCCGGGAATCAATCCGTGCTTCTAATAGTTGCTTCTCTTATCTTTAATTTTCTACATAAAATTGTTCTAAAAACCTTAAATACACAACGGGTAACTGATTCATTCTAGCGATAAGTTGCCAACAATTAATTGGCGGCTAATAGTTCCAATCTTAAGCCCGTTACATGACCAAAAAACTACCAACATATCGTGCCAAGGTCCAGTGATTAACTCCACTCTCTGCAGATATAATGGTCTCCTGTGGAGAAAATAGGGGTGCATACTAATCGATTCTGTTTAATACCTAGTTTTACGGCACAATTGTTTACATACGGTATGGGGGGGGCCTAAATTTACAGATTACTTAGTAAGAGTTTTTTACTTGATTGAGTCAACAATGGTCCAGTACCATTTTAAATGGTCCAGTACCATTTTACAGAAGTGTTACATTTTCCGCTTTTGACGTTTTATAATATTTTTTTTCCGCTTTAGCGACATGTGAACCCCCATTATTTGCCGCTTCCGCTTTTAGTATCTCTATGCACTTCATAGATAACTCTTATCTATGCATTCATTCTAAACTAGAACACAGAAATAATGTAAATCTTAAACCAATATAAATACTGGCCCATGAATCCTGAAATTTTAGGTTATTGGATATAGACCTAATTTCATTACCTAAACTGAAACGTAGTAGTAGACATGTTGACCGACAATTGGAAGGACCTCGCTGTTATAGCACAAAACATTTATAAGGAGTCATTGGCAAAGACTCTTGAATTATTTCCATTCGATGATAAGGAAACCTATGATATTTATGATTCACTTCCTTCTGCTATTGGAGAAAGTACTACTGATTATGGTAATCCGGCTGAATATCCAATTGAAGTATATCTCGCAAAATTGCCAGCTAAAGTCAAAGAGGTTACCGAGAAGAATCCAATTGAGTTATTAAGTGATTTGAAATCAGGCAAATATACTGCTGTTGAAGTTTTAAAATATTATTTCCACGCAGCAATTTTTGCATCAAAGTTAACTAATTGTGTTCAAGAATTTTTACCAGTTGAAAGTTTAGCCTATGCTAAAAACTTAGATGAAAACTTTGACAAGTTCTCAAAGATTTATCCACTTTTTGGATTACCAATATCACTTAAAGAAATGATTCCATTTACTGGACGTGCAGTTACTCATGGTTCTTTATGTTATTTGGATAGAATTACTGATTACAATGCGGATATTGTTAATATCATGTATAAAAATGGAGGTAATCCATTTGTTAGAACCACAAATCCTCAAGTATTAATGATGCTTGAATGTGAATCATTTGCTCATGGTAGAACAGTAAATCCTTTTAACAGTCGCTTGACTAGTGGTGGTTCTTCTGGTGGTGAAGGTGCTATCAATGGTATACATGCTAGTACTGTTGGGTTCGGAAGTGATATTGGTGGAAGTATCAGATGTCCTTCTGCTTTCAATGGTATTTATGGTATGAGAACTACTGTAGGAAGAATTCCAACGAGTGATTATTTTTCATGTCAAATGGGTTCTGAATCTATTTTATCTGTTACTGGACCATTAACCAGATCATTAGATGTTTTGGAATTAATTGTGAAGACTATTGTCGATGCTAAACCTTGGTTAACGGATCCAAGTTTGGTATCTCTTGAATGGAGACCAGAAACTAAACAGAAATTTAGACTTGGTATTGAATGGTCGGATGAAGTTGTTAACCCTCTTCCACCCATTACAAGAGCGTTAAATATCGTAAAGCAAAAATTATCAGCTTATCACAATATCGAATTAGTAGATTTCAAGCCTTATAATCATAGTCGTACAACTGAGATTTTAGGAAAACTTTATTTTGAAGATGGTGCTAGGGACGTTAAAAAAACTTTAACTTCTACTGGTGAACCAATATGTGAACAAACTGTATGGGCAATTGAAGGTGCTGAAGATTTAGATATTCAAGAACAATGGAAATGGAATTTAGCAAAACAAAAATACAGAAAGGAATACTTAAAACATTGGCAAACTTTCAATAATGAAGAAGGTGAAGTCTTGGATGGGGTAATTGCTCCAGTTTTTCCAAATGTTGCAGCTGAGCATAGAACTGCCAAGTATTGGTCATATACTTCTCAATGGAACTTATTAGATTATCCAGTCTTGGTATTCCCAGTCAGCAAATTAGATGAAACTTTGGATAAGCCAGATCCAGACTACAAACCTTTAAATGAATCAGATAAATATGTTCATGATTTATATGATGATCCTCACAAATTTGCCAATGCTCCTGTTAATTTGGGTGTTGTCGGTTTAAGATACACTGAAGAAAAGTTGATTGCAATTGGTAAGATCCTTAGAGAAGCCTTACAAGCTGAAATCTGATTTGGTTTACTTTTTCCCTTATTTTCAACTGTATGCTCACTATGCCTATCAGCTTTTTATATCTTTCTATTTTAAATTTATTTCTCTTTTGGGTATAGCTACTAGTTATTAAAATGAATGAATGAATGAATGAATTTGTGTAAGTTTTTTGTAGCATATATAGCATAAGAAATAAAACTCCTTAAATCAACAGATATTAAACTTAAGAGGGTTTGTTACTAAGAGTTAAAGTTTACTTATTTTTGCAATCACATTCACCAAAATGGATTTCTGTGTTCCTGTACATAAAAAAAACTTTGGTGATTTTTATGTGGGGTCCGATAAGTTATTATCATATTAACCAACAGTCTATTCAAGTTGTAAAGGAACAATGGTACGAGGAGAGCCTGAATTTATAGAGTTAGTAGATGTAGGAAATGTTTCAGATTCTTCAAAGGTTGGTGATAAAGATACTCGGTGGCATTTAAGTAATTCACAGATCCAATTAGTGTTATTAAGATTAGGAGTAATTAGTGATGAAGAATATGGACATCCATCATTTCTTGAACTGGTTCATATTGGAAAAGATTCTGAATATATGTTAAATGTAATTGATCTGATGAGTATAGGTGATGCCATTTCAATAATTCGAGATGCTTTAGTAGATCATAAGGGAGATGTGAATTATTCACTGGATGATTATAAATTATTAGAAAGACTTATTAAATTAATACCAGATAATAATGAAAGTGATGATTTTGAAATTCCAGACTTTGATTTAGAGGAAAAGGATGAAGAATATTTAATTCATACAAAAAATAAATTATATCTTAGAATAATAGATTGGAACTTACAAATTAGACTAGAAGCTGCTTTAATTCATTATCATTCTCCTTATCCAGAAGTCAGAGCAGTAACTGAACCATTTGATGATCCTTATATACCAGTAGAGACATTTAGAGTATATGTGATAAGTATGGTATGGACAATCATTGGATCAATTATTAATAATTTCTTTGTTCATAGAATGCCAGGTATTTCATTAACTTCTCATACTATGCAAGTCATCTTTCTACCATGTGGAAAATTATGGGAAAAGTACATGCCTAACAAGACAATTAGAGTTTTGGGTTATTCATTTGAACTTAATCCAGGGCCTTGGACTTATAAGGAAATGATGTTGGCAACAATTATATATCTGTGTTCATCAGGAGTTCCCTATCTGATATATAATATATTTGTTATGAAATTAGAAAGGTTTTATAATTTGAAATGGGTCACGTATACTTTTCAAATATTGTTAGCAATTTCCACTCAATTCCTTGGTTTTGGATTTGCCTTATTAATGAAAAAGGTTTGTGTATATCCCAGTAAAGCAATTTGGCCTACCATTTTACCAACAATTGCATTGAATAGAGCCCTTATGAAATCAGAAGTTAACAATCCTATATATGGTTGGAAAATATCTCAATATTCATTTTTCTATGTTGTATGTATTGGAAGTTTCCTTTACAATTGGATCCCTTCTTATTTTTTTACTGCATTATCTCAATTTAATTGGATTACTTGGTTCAATCCAAATCTGCTTCATTTAGCTAACGTCACAGGAAGTTTCACTGGTTTAGGTTTCAACCCATGGCCCACTTTTGATTGGAATGTATTAGATTCAGCTGGCTGTCTTACCGTCCCATTTTATACTTATGCAAATCGATACCTTGGTTCTATACTTGCATTCTTCGTTATTTTATTAGTATATTATACTAATAATAATTGGACAGGTTATTTACCAATTAATTCTAATCGATTATTCAATAATAAAGGTCAGGTCTACAATGTTCATGATATTCTAGATGATAATAACTTATTTGATGATTCAAAATATCAAAAGGTTGGTCCTCCATATTTTTCAGCTGCTAATTTGGTCCTATATGGAGCCCATTTCTGTTTATATCCATTTGCAATTTTATATCATTTTGCAACAGAATGGGATTCAATGAAGACTAGTTTCTATAATGTTGGAATTACTCTTCGAGACGCTTTAACTTCTAAAGACTCGCATGATCAATTTGGGAGATATCTGAGTGATCCACATTGTAAAATGATGGCACGTTATGACGATGTTCCTGATTGGTGGTTCTTATCTATTTTAATAGTAAGTACCACATTTGGAATCATATGCGTTTTGTTATATCCTGTGGAGACTCCAATTTGGGGGATATTTCTTACAATTGGTATTAATTTCATATTTCTTGTCCCTCTTACATCTATTGCATCTGTTACTGGATTTTCATTTGGTTTAAATGTCTTGGTAGAATTAATAGTAGGTTATTCAATTCCAAATTCTGGTATAGCTTTGATTACATTAAAAAGTTTTGGTTACAATATTGATAACCAAGCCAGCAATTATATTACTGATCAAAAGTTGGCTCATTATTCAAAAATTCCTCCTCGGGCTATATTTAGGGGTCAATTAATATCTACATTGTTGAATGTTGTAGTGGCATTATTTGTATCGAATTGGCAAATGGATAATATTCCTGATATTTGTGATAGAATGCAAAAGGATAAATTAGTATGCCCAGGAGCAAATACCTACTTCTATTCCAGTATTCAGTATGGTGAAATAGGACCTGCTAAAGTATTTAGTGGTCTTTATCCTATTTTGAAGTGGTGTTTCTTATTGGGAGTAGTGTTGGTTATACCCTGTGTATGGTTTAAGAGACATGGCCCGCTAACATTGATCCGATTCTTTCAACCTACAATAATTATCGGAGGATTCTTAGATTACGCTCCTTACAATCTTCTGTATTTTACAGGGGGGTTATATGTTTCATATTTATTTATGTATCATATTAAGAATAATTATATTTTATGGTGGGAAAAATATAACTATATATTAACTAGTGGGTTATCTGCTGGTATTGCGTTCAGTGCATTGTTAATCTTTTTTATGATAGAATATGTTACTGATGATCTAGAATGGTGGGGAAATCATATTTCTAGGATGGGAATTGAAGGTGGACATGGATCACGAGCTTGGTTGAATGTAACATCTGCACCTGATGGTTATTTAGGATTAAGAGAAGGTAATTTTCCCTAGCCTTATTTATTTACAAATTAATATAAGTAATGATAGACATGAATCAAAAGATTGTAGGTCGCTAAGGTTGAGTAAGTAGCTGAAGTTGTTAGCCATTGGAAATACATAGAACTACATAATGCGTGGACAACATTTAAACAAAATGTATCGACTTACCTCTAAAGAGTTAAATTATTAGTACAAAATAATTGAATGATGGTTATGATAGCGATTATGGCTAATGTCTAATAGCGTTAGTGACTAATCTACCAATAATTGTTACAATGTGGAGTTACATATCCTCCTTTAGGGGCAAGTTGCAAAAAAGGTGACCTATTTTATTATGTAAAGTAAAAACAGTAACGACGCTTTCCACATCGGCTCGATAAGTAACCGGTATTGTGCCTCTTTGGGTTACTTCCACCGTGCGTTTCGGCCAAATGTGGTAGGTGCGCGTACTTGATTTGCTGATTATATAATAAAATGCAAATTAAAGCTATATTTTCAGTGACTGTTTTGGGCGCAGTTAGGGTCTTCTTAATTTTGTGATTAATTACGAGGAAATATAAAAGGCTAGATAGCTGCATAGTAACTAAGCCCTCAATTATAATTGACAGCTTTGAAATCGCTTAGCATACCTTTATTTTCTTAGCATAGATTATTTTATTTACACATGCATCTATCGAAGTATATTTTTGTTACTTGTTTTATTCTTTTACAATTAGTTAGTTCACAAGTAATATCAATTCAGTTGGAAAGGGCACTACAAGATGATGAAAATGATGCTTTGAGCATTGAAAATTATAACATCGGTAAAGTTGACCAAGTTAACTTAATAGAAGAAGCTTTAAATAGTTTGAATCCACTCACAAAACGAAAAGGTGGTGGTCATGCTTCTAGTGGTGGTCATGCTTCTAGTGGAGGGCATTCTTCTGGTGGTTCTAGTGGTGGTCATTCTTCTAGTGGTTCTTCTGGTGGTTCTTCTGGTGGTTCTTCTGGTGGTTCTTCTGGTGGTTCTTCCTCTGGAAGTAAAGGTGGATCTGGCTCCAGTGGTTCTAGTGATTCGAGTGGTTCAAGTTCAGGGACTAAAGGTTCGCCACCACCGTACTCTCCACAAGATCCAAATCCTCCCCCTGCATATTCACCACCTTCAACAGGAAATACTGGTTCCAGTTCCAATTCTGGTACCAAACCAGGGACCAACTCAGGTTCTAACTCGGGCTCTAACTCGGGTTCCACTTCTGGATCAAACTTAGGAGGAGTTGCAGTTGGTGCTGCTGCTGGTGCTGCTGCTGGTGCTGCTATTGCTGGTCATGGTGGTCATGGTGGCGGTAATTCTAGCACTTCTTCTAAATCAGGTGCTTCAAGTTCAGCACACGTTAATCATTCTGTGCCAGTTCTTGTAGCTCTTTTAGTTGTAGGTTATTTTTCTTAAAATATTATTTTACTAATTGTATAATCATAATAAATCCACTAAAAATATATTCTTCAAAATTCTTTTTCGTAGCAATATATGTATTCTCAATATATACGAAATTATATATAGTGAAGTGAAAACTCTCATTCAAAAATTGCAAAAAATAAACAAAAAAATAAATGACGACAACTGCAGGATTCGAACCTGCGCGGGCAAAGCCCAAAAGATTTCTAATCTTTCTCCTTAACCACTCGGACAAGTTGCCTTTTTTATGACAAAAACTTCTGTATGTAACTCATAGCAATATAATATCACGTGACAATCACGCTTTTCGTCACGTGCGAATCTTTGATGAGTTGATATGGGGAAACCGGTATCCGCATACATATATGGGGGTATTAGCATAATAACAGTTATAGGAGCTAGATAGCTGGGTGATTTCCAGTTGAATATAAAGATATAGTGGTTCTTACATAGAGAGTATTAAAAGGGCACTATTATAATTTATTGCAAAAAATAAATTTGAGTTTTCCTCAGATAATTGCGAAATATCTATTTGTCTTCATCCTTATAAATCTATCTACTTTATTATCTACATAATATGTCCAATAAGAATATCTCGCTGAGAGTCTTCACTAGTTATTAGTTTCTCTCAAAAATTTTGCAAGTATCTATTCCCTCTATATATAATTTTATATCGTGTATAGTGAGAATACATATATTGCTACGGAAAAAAAAAATATTTAAATATTATATATATCCTAACACGATCCAACCTTTCTTAGATCAATCTTGTCCAGCCGATCACTTTTAAATAATCCCCATTCAGTCTCCCATTTATTTTTACCTTCATAAAAAATTTCTTTCCAAGGTTCATCAAAAGCTTCAAAATAATACCATCCATAATTGACATTCTTCATTTTACAAATATAGTCACTTAAGAAGTATTTAAAATTTGGGATGTTAGCAGTAGATTTATGAAAATTTCCTCCATCTGTGGGCCAACCTACTTCTGTAATAATAATTGTCTTATTTTTATAATTCAACGGTTCCATTTGATACTCAAGGAATTCAATTGTCCAATTTGATGCCCCTTCAACTGAATTTCCAGCAAAGAAAGGATGAATATTGGCTCCTAATATATCACATTCTTCGAATAGATCCTTATTCAATAATGAGCCAATTTCTGAAGTACCAACTGGAACCTTTCTGAAACCAATTGACCTTAAATAGCTTTTTGTTTCCCTAATGTAATCCAATAATTCTTCTGTACTTTTATCTTCTCTAAAGAGTACTTCATTTCCAATAAATATACCTTCAAACATTTCCAGTGGATATTTTCGAACAACTTTTTTCATTTCGTCAATTTGATTTCTATTTATTGTATCATTACCTCCTATCCAAATTCCCATAGATAATGTCATATTCAAATTTAAAGTTTGAATTGAATCTAGAATCAAATCACTTTGGTTACATTGCATACCATAATTTCTAATTCTGGTAGTAACGGTACTCAATTTTACAAGATCGAACATAATATCTGTTTTATTAACACCGCAGTTTGGTTCCAAGGCATTTAGTGGAGAGTATGCTAGACCATGAAATATAGGCTCTCCATAGCCTTTCATTAATTCTAAGATTTGAGGATCAGTTCTATATTTTTCATTTAGCCCATCAGGAGTATTAACAATATTTGGATTGAAGTTACTGATATTACCATAATTCTGATTTAAAAAGGGAATTATATTCTTTCTATTCATTTCTAACTTGAGGTAATTTTTAACTGAACTTTCTGTACCATTTGAAAGAATAATAATGGCCGGTACAAAACTTGAAATTAATAAGAAGATTAATAGTATCAAAATACAGTAAATTATTTTATGTTTTTTCCTATTTTTTTTTGAATTATATGGACTATCATAATTGCTAACCTCATCATCATCTGGATTCTTTATTTGATTACCAGTCAAAGCTCCACTTGGAATCTCCTGAAATACTGATCTTTTTGACAAGGAATTATGATTCATTTTCAATTTATTTAAAGCACCCGGACTCAAAACGACATCATTATCATCATCATCTTCTTCTTCTTCAACAACAACAACATTATTTTGTTGTTGAATCTTAATAGAATGTTGCGAACCTATTGAGTTTTCATTTGAGTAGTTGTTGTTGCTCGTTTCTAAATTTTGTCTTTGGAAAGGTTCATGAGACGGAACTGGTATCATCATGGCCAGGCTGCCTTCTTGTGGCAGCTTCAAACTCTCTCCAGTTAATGGAGACACGGCATTAATTTTAAAATCAGCTGTATCTAACAATTGAGGACTTAATTCTTCTTCGAACAGTTTTCTCTTATGTATAATAACAGAGGGAAATCTTTCAGGACTGACTATTGGTGTGGACATCAATGTTTCGTTCAATAAACTATTTGATAATACTGGTGAAGGTCCATCGTTGGAAGAGGAATGTACGTGATTAGTAAAGATCTGTGAATCACCATTTGCAAAATCTCTAAAGTAATTAGCAGACTTAGATCTTGTTATTTTGAATTGTTCAAGAGGTACTAGTTTTGGTTGAGATCCAGAATGATGTGTGGTGACTGACCGCTTAAGTATATTTGTGAAGAAAGAACTTCCACCTTTTTCTTTATCTTTATCATAGATTTCATTTTTCAAATTTCCATCACCTTGGTCGGATGACATATTGGAATATTATCACACTGTCCAATCAGGCATAGATTATTGTTGTTACATAAGGATAATGTTAACCGCTGAAATTGCTGCAAACAAAAATTTTATTACAGTCGAGGTGCGAAACGTTCAAAAATCATTTGCACCAATTAATGTTAACAAAAGTTAGCAAAAACAATAGCTGTTAATTATTGTTCTTAATACAGCTAATAGTTGATATATATGATGTAGTATTTTAATTAGTTGATTCCAAAAGATCTTCACGACTTGCTCATAGTAAACATTTACTATTTGGGAGCCTGTTTCCTCACAGGTCAATTAAAAAAGTCATTTGGGGTCAAATGATACAAAAAATTGAAAATCAATCAAAGGAAATATATTTAAACTCTAAACATCCAATCTGAACCTGACGAATCTTCTTCTGATTATGCAATTAGCTGGGAATACTAGTTGGAAATAATTTTTTAATCATGGACTTTCTAAGAACATGAAAATATAAGAGCTATTGGAACACAATTGTTATAATTGCAATATTTTGTGTTTATTCGGCAGGTTAGTTACTATAATATGTTCCATTATTTCAAACATCCAAACGGCAATATTATGAACTACCAATTTGTTAAATAAATGCATATTACAAGCTAATGAATTCGAGAATGTACGATATAACCATACATACGTTTATTAAAAACCAATAAAATTAATGAATATACAAGTAAATTTGCTGATTTAGAAAGTTCGGTTCATACCAAACCAAATTCCCAAAGTCGTAAAATTTAGAACGAATTAGAAGTTAAATAAATAATAATTGTATTTGATTGAATATTATATTTCAAAATGGGAAATCCATATTCAAGTCATCCGACTCAACTGAAATTTAAATTTAATGAACAATTTTGAAAGGGGGTGATACTAGTGCTGGTACCTTTTAGTGATTATCTTCCAAGTTTTGGATTTATATTTACGCTATTATTAACGTTAGTAGTCACTTTAGCACTTACAACACGCAAATAAAATATTACCACAGAAGGTTGCAGTTGATGTAAGACAACCTTCACCATTAGCAGGACAACATGCATTGAATAAACCGAAACAAGTAAAAAGTTCAATACAAAATTCAGTACATTCATTGGCATGTCTTTCATAACCTGAATGATTATCATCTAATGAAGATGATTCAGAAGAAGCACCTGAATCATCATGATGTTCTTCTTTATTATATGTCATTTCTGTTCTTGGAGGTTCATTATTGACATGAGTTGGACTACCGAATGCTTCTTGGGCAACGGTTGCTTGCATAGCAGGGATTTCTGACATGATTAATTGTAGTATTTAACGATGTTATGAGATAAGGAGTACAATAAAAACAAGTTCAAAGCAGAACTCCCTCTGAACGAATGTCGTAGTTGTTAAAAATAATTAGAGTGATGATGACCTTCAAGATAAAGTATTTCAGGTGAAATTTTACACTGCGAAAATTAGATGAGGAAGTGAATTTTAGTGCACTTTAAGTGATATTGCTATTAAGCTGGAAGATGAATTTTTCCGAGTGGGGTTTATGGACTTATAAAACAGAAGCTCAATGGTAGGAACGTATCCTGTTTACGGTTTAGGTTTCTCAAATCTGTTTAATTGTGACTGTTAATACTAAGAAATGATTTTATATGGACAGGATATGACAATGGGTCTAAAAGGTGAAATGAGAAGAAAGCTATAAGTTCCCGTCCACGATCTAAATAAGAGTTCTCTCTACATACTTGACTCTTACCTATAATAATGAAATCTTGCATTAAGATCAATACTGTGATCTGAGATAGATACAGCAAGACATTGTTCGCCAAGGCTCATGCTGGTTTTGTACACTAAACCTGTATATCTCAGCGATTGAATTTAAAGTCTAAACTTTATAGCATTCCATCGTGACACTCTAGGCTCAGTGAAGTATGAATCTCTATACTTAGATAGAATATAGTGACTCCACATAGTATGATATGAGGGATCTCACATCTCTTGCATATTTAGATGATTTACGCACATCATCCCCAGAGAGTAGCCAACAGCCCCTTTGCAGCCTCGTTTCTGAGAAATATTACTACTCTAACCGAGTCTTGTAGACCGTGCTCGTATCACGATTTTTTTTAACGGCAAAACATAAAATTTTTATTGTGAGACCCAGTGAGTGGCTATGTCGGCTCGAACGATTCTTAAAGTATTCAATAATCTGTAGTTAGTTCATGTGCTGATACAATATCATAACCATTACAGTTAGTATTAATTGCTATCTCATAAGTGGGGAACTATGATAATAATATTATCTTCATTTGTTTGATAAGTATTCCCCCAATAATTAAATGCAATAATGATTATGGTTATATCAGAAGTTCTATCTATAGAGGGTTACGAAATATATGGTAATCTGCACAATTTTTTCACGAAGCTTTAGTTCTCTAGATGTGCAAGCTTAGCATGGCATGGTTGTAGGAATAATAGAAACTACGCTCACAAAGTTTATCATAGTATATACATTAAGTGAGAGATCTATCTACTGTAAATCCCTGAGCTCTTGCAGCTTAGTACCTGCCTAAACTTCTCAAGTCAAGTGTAACTCTCTTAACATATCGGCAATTTCCAACTCTTGCTGAATTTCATATTCTTCTAAGTCATTCTCATAATCTGCAATATAGGCTTCATAGACTTCATTATTATTTTCATTAGCACCGGGAGTGGTATTTCTCACCTCAATCGGTGCAGGTGCAGCACCATCCAAGTTAGTTGTATTCACAGTAATCTCTTCTTCATCCTGCAACAATGTTTCCAAATCAAGGCCCTTAGTTAGTTGCTCAAATTCTTGTTCATAATGACGATGAAGATCGTCACGAAATTGCAATTCATTAAATTTATCTCTTTGAAGTAATATCTTATCTTGCATATATTGATCACGCACCTGTTTCAACTTGTTATGCTTATTTCGCATATTGATTCTATCATTACGCAAGGGAGACGATGAATGAGAAAGCATTTGAAATTGTCGAACTTCCATGGGAGATGAACTAGCAGAAAATGGTTTGTATAGTTGATTTTGACGTCTTCGTTGTATCTGATGAATATCGTCTATAAGATTTGGCGGAGATGAAGATAGATTCATAGAGTATGACTTCGATACACTTGTTTGAGACAGTAAGGGACTGCTCGGTATATCATGTAATTGTATATCTGACTCTGATCTATGGATAGTTGATGAGCGATGAGGAGTTTGATGATAAGAATAATTACTATTCGTGTCATTCATTGAATCTTCGTCATATAAATTTGATGGTTGATTTTCACCGTTACTGCCAATGGAATTATTGTCTAGTGAGTTCATTTGTTTTGTAGTTTAGTCCTTATAGACATGTCTTTAATCCTTTTCTTTGTCGTCTCTTGATGATGACCATTGGTGCTTTGCGTACACGTCTCGGATTAATTTAAAAAATTATTTCTGTATACAGGAAAATAAACCACGTCTTAATCATCACTAAAGTACTATACTTACGACACGGATTCAATTATATAGAGGTATAGATATGTGGAACGAGGATGAGTGGGATGAAGAGGATGAGCATTTAATGGAATATGTTTCCATTCGACTTGACTCGCATATTGAAAGCGTATTTAATCTTCCCAGCGATCAAGTAGTGATGTTCCATAAACCGGTAACTCAAATATCACCTAGCAAACTTCAAAAATTCACAGATTTAGTAGCCCGGAACTTGAACGAGTTATATATCAAGCATCAAGGTAAGAATTGGAAAGTAGAGAAGGTAGAAGAGATGAAAGAAGTAGGACTAGTCTATGTTTGGTACGAGAATAAACTGAACCACGAACTCATTGGTTTCATAAGTTTTAAAGTATGCTTTGATGATGGATTCAAAGTATTATATCTTTATGAAATTCAAATCAATGAGGAGTATCATCATCAACGGTATGGACTGAATTTAATAGAGAATCTTCAAAGTTTAGCAAAACATGTATCCAGATCAATTATTAATGATGACAATGGTTATTTTGATAATGCTCGTGGAATTAGTTTAACGGTTTTTCCTGACAACTTAGAAGCTTTAAATTGGTACTTTAAAATAGGTTACAACTATACATCTCAATCACCACGAGATCGGAAGCTAAGGAATGGGAAGTTGGTAAAGCCCAAATATTACGTACTTCATCGACCTTCAGTATGAAATCGGTTACTGAACGAGTGACATAATTATATACGCGAATTAAGTAGCTCAAGGTTGCATTTTATTAAAAGTTTCCAAATTTGATCCATATGACATTGGCGATCTAAAAATAATCCATTTGGAGAATGTAGAATCCTCATTAGATACTAGACCATATGATACTCTTTTACCAATTACATCATTATTTCATTAATACCATTAATTTCTCTTCCTTCTTTGATGATATTAATAGCTATCAAAGTTCTTTGCGCTATTTATAATTAGGGATGCGCTTTTCTGCTTTTTTAACGATGCATTTACGGATTAATGCGATAATAAAATAAAGCTTGTTAGGGAAGGTCTAGAAGAAAAGACCCTTGGGTTATATTTTTTTGAGATAAAACTAATGAACTTCAACAGTGTAAAATAATATAGTGGAACAATAAGCTCAATTGCCGTGGGAGTGGAGGAGATGTAATTATAATAAAAGTTTTTTGGATTATGAGCGCAATTTTTTCCCAACTTGGTGCAGCCAAGCAAGTGCGCCGTTGATCTCATAGAAAGAACTCATAATGTGAAGAAGCCGTACCACAAAAGTACAGAAAAGCTAATAATATGAAATGGGAATGAGTTCCCGAAAATCTAGCCAAGAAACTAATCCTTAACAGAAAACAAGAGATTCATATCTGTAAAGAAACATGCTGGTAGTTATATGACAACTTAATCTTATAGTTATATAGATTGCTTCTATTAACTTTTTAAAGCGTGCTAAAATAGCGCAAAATAATTACGAAACTAAACTAAGTTGAACAGGTCGTGGCAAACACATCAAAAAAATTATTAAGGGAAAAAAAGAGGTCATGTTCTAAAAATAGATCATCAACTTATAATTTTTTTTTCAATTGTATTAGCATTATCATCACGAGAAAGTTGTAAACACACATTAAACTATATATTTTGAGTTAGTTAAGTGATTAGGTAACCGGTAATTAAAGAAGCATTGCGATTTGGTACATATATCCTGCAATCTGTCGAATAATTGCAAAAAAACACTGGCAATTTTTTTTTTCAATTCCTTTAGGATAGCAGTCCTCTATTGAATCATATCATCATAGCTCCATTCCTTACATTATACTATAACTTCACTATAATTTCACCACCTTATTAAGGTTTACCAATTACTTAAGCCAAGAGAGATCTACAATTTATACCTTTTGATCTCATTGTCTTATTTAATATATACTACTTACCCCCACCAACCCCAATTCATATATCCAGTATTCATCATCAGCTAAGTCAATATAGATACCCCATTCTATAGATAATTGTCTAGGCTTATAATTATATTGGTCTGGATCCATAATAACTTAATAACCAGACCAATTTGAAATATAACGAATAGTTAATTCAAACTTGCATCACACTCCTTTGTTTTTTAATCCAACGCAAACATCATTTTATAATAATTATTCAAAATGGGTAGAAGAAAAATTGATATTGAACCTTTGACTGACGATAGAAATAAAACCGTTACGTTTGTGAAACGTAAAGGTGGTTTATTTAAGAAAGCTTATGAACTAGCTGTATTATGTAATGTTGAAATTGCAGTAATTATCGTTGGTACAAATGATAAAATTCATGAATTTTCTTCTGTAGATTCAAATCAAGTTATCGAAGCTTATAAAAGGAAAGTTAGATTAAGAGAGAAAATTGAATCTAAATCGCTTGCAACATATAATGTCTACAAAAATAAACATCATATTCATGAACCATTGACAAGAATATCTGATGGAAAACAATTCCCAACTCATAATAGTACAGGTATAGATAGTCATCAGGAAGATGACGATGATATAGATGTCGATGATGAAGATGAAGATGATGAAGACAATGAAGAAGAAGATACAGACTATAAATCTAAACCTACAAAGAGACAACGAACTTCTAATGCAAGATCTTCACAACCAATTTCAAATTCCAATTCCAATTCTAATTCTAATTCCAAATCAAATTCTAACCATTCAATACAAGTAACTCAACCATCCACATTCAATAGAAGTAATATCTTTAGTTCCAATTACAGAAATTCAGATGATAAATCATCACCTTCCAGTATTGGATCAGGGAATATGCCTCATGATGGGAAACATCATAAACGTGATGATTCCACCACTAGTCAAAGACCCATTTTAAGAGTTCAAATACCTCATGATTACTCATCTGCTGCATCTAATGATAGTGCTAGAACAATTACAGCATTAGACACTCATTTACAATCCAAGAGTGCTAATGATTCTAATAATTTAACTTCTGATTCAAGTAACAATACTAACAATAATGAAAACATTAACAATAATAATACTCATTCTGGAAATCCTATCCCCAATAATGCTGGTATACTTCATCACAACAGTAATTATGCACATTCCAATTTCTCAAATGGTGTTGGATTGCCAAATATAAATACTGGTTCAAAGTACCCACTTTTTAAATCTCCTGATTCCAAAAGACCAACATTACCATTACCAATCCAATCCAAATCACAAACGTCATCACCAGCTAGTGCAACGGCACCATCTTCATTCCCTATCCCAAGCTCAGGTTCTAGCGGAGCTCCTCAAGGTTCAACGAATAATATAAATAATAACAGTAATACAGCTACACCTTATTCACCTTCGTATACTTTACCCACTCCTACTTTGAATCAAATTCTAAGCCAACAACAATATGCAAATCTTACATCTCAACCACAATCTCAACAGCAGCATATGGATAATACTAAAATGCGTTTACCTATTTATAATAATGGTAATAATGGAAATACACCTGGGATAATAACAGTTCCTAATACTGCTATACTGGGACCCAATGTTAATGGACCACCTACAGCTGGAGGAGCCGGAGAGCAAACTCCAATGTTACCTTCCAGATTTGCTGAGTTTTTAGCTTCACCTACTATACTTTATCCTCATCAAGAATGGCCATCAAATGGTACAGGTTATACTCCTACCAATACAAATATGTCATTTTTTGGTAGTGGTAGTGGATTTAGTGCGGGTGGTAATGGTGTCACCCAATTTCCACTTCCTGTTAATGTTGGTAGAATGAGAATGGATAGTGGTAGTGCTAGTGGTGGTGGAGTTGGAATATTACCATCACCTACTACATTCATGAATGATAATCATGGACCACAATTCCATACCATTAATAATCTAACACTGAATCTACCACAGAGCCAATCCAGTACGAGTCAAACCAGTGCATTAGGATCAATGAACAATAGTAATAGTTCAAGTAATGCCACTAGTGCCAGTGGAAGTTCAAATAATTTAGGTAGAACAGATTCTGTAAATAAAAGTAAAGGCAAGGAAGGTAAAGGTAAGAAGTAGATGTTGTATATTAATTCATACTTTTAAAGTATTGTAACATTATTAGATGGGAATTCAGTTCAATGTATAATTTCTGATGGGTTTATGTTTATTCATGATTATTTATTTCAATATTATTATTATTATATATCTATACATATTTAATTTTGAGAGAACTATGTAGAAACGGTTACTGTAGTGTTTTATACTATTACGTTATATTGGTGTATTACTTTAATGAGCTCAATACTGCTGCATTATCGCTATAATAATATAATAATGTGGTATTATATAACATACATATTACATAATTTATTATAAGTTCTGTGTTTCGTATTATTAGGTTGCAATAAATAGAATTACTTAATTAGGCTAATGTATAAAGGAAGGCATGATTAGGGCACAAGCCCTAGATTAGTTCAAATATCACGTTACCAATAGTAAATTTTCCCATACAGTATACAGGACCGCACACTACTCCAAAAATGTCTACAACCTCTTCGTTAGCCTCACTGTTAACTATGGATGCATTTGTGTAAGAAAATCAAAATTATTAGCATGCGACTTTTTTTTCTGCATCGTTAACTATGGTAAAAGAGACATTTTTTTCATAGTAAAACTTTTTTGCAGGGAAAATTTCGCTCTCACTTCTGATTTTGGTGAAAAAAAATAGTTAACCATTTATATCAAAATTTTATCTTTTCCTTTTACCAACTAATTTGATTAATTCATAAAGGCACCGATAGACAATATGAAGGTATGTTCTATTACCAGAGGGAGCCATCATAGGCTGAGTGTAACTGTTTGAGAACTAGAACTAGAAGTGGGACAATCAATGAGAGTCAAGAGAATAAGACCCAATACAAGTCATAAGTCAAAGAGACATGAACAAAATGTACATAACTGTGGAAATTTGACCATCATACCTAGTAAACCAATAACTGAATGATATCATAAATGAATAGAATACGAAGGGGATCATAATAATAGTAATAATCAGAATAATTTGTTGTGTTTTCAGAGTAATCCATTATCAGTGAAAAGTCATTTCTAACTACTATGAAGATCCATAAATATCTACTACTAATGTAAGTGAACATCAACCATACAAATCAACCACCTCAGTAAAGTCAGTTTCACTCATCAACCACACTATCCATCCTTTATATCACTCATGGAATTGAAATTCCATGTTACTATAGCATAATATATACCCCATAGAAAAAAAATTTCACTACCGCAACCCAAGTTGAAAAATTTCAACATAGCACTAATTAACGTTCTAGATTATCAACAGTTTTCTTTTATATGATTAAAACATTAATACTAACTTTTATTCTTATAGTTAAACATTTCTTATCCAGCCAATGGTACTCAAAAGAGTATCGAAATTGATGATGAACATAAATTAAGAGCCTTCTACGAAAAGAGAATGGGTCAAGAAGTTGAAGGTGACTCTGTCTCCGACGAATTCAAAGGTTACGTCTTCAAGATCACTGGTGGTAACGATAAACAAGGTTTCCCAATGAAACAAGGTGTTATGCACCCAACCAGAGTTAGATTATTATTAGCTAAAGGTCACTCTTGTTACAGACCAAGAAGAACTGGTGAAAGAAAGAGAAAGTCCGTCAGAGGTTGTATTGTCGGTCAAGATTTAGCTGTTTTATCTTTAGCTATTGTTAAACAAGGTGATGCTGATATTGAAGGTTTAACCGATGGAACTACTCCAAAGAGATTAGGACCAAAGAGAGCCAACAACATCAGAAAATTCTTCGGTTTAACCAAGGATGATGATGTTAGACAATTCGTTGTTAGAAGAGAAGTTACCAAGGGTGACAAGAGTTACACCAAGGCTCCAAAGATTCAACGTTTAGTTACTCCTCAAACTTTACAAAGAAAGAGAGCTCTTAAAGCTAAGAAGGTTAAGAACGCTCAACAACAAAGAGATGCTGCTGCTGAATACGCTCACTTATTAGCCAAGAGATTACACGAAAGAAAAGAAGAAAAGCTCGAAATCAGAAAGAAGAGAGCTTCTTCCATCAAATCTAACGCTTAAATTCTTTAAGAATTTTTGTTAGAAAAGGCATAATCATCCACCTCCTCACACAACCATGCAAATATCATCACAACAAACATAACCAACCCCTTTGTTTCATTCATATATATTAAAATCCTGTTTATTAATTTTTTCTTAAATATTTAATAAAAAAAGTATTATCATTATATAAAGTCAATGATGTATTGTTTATTGGTTTATTGTTGTGTAGGTATCTTGTTGATTTGTTAATTAATTCATATAGTACATTAGTTTTATAATTCTTAAATATACTATACATATCGGTTCTATAACTATTAATTATTTACGTGGTCCAATTTGGACTCTTTTCCTTTCATTACTCTCATTATCATTTTCATCATTATCAACTTCAGTTCCTTGACGTTTTTTAACTAATCTCTGAATATTCTCAAATACTTGATCAGTAGTTATATTAGATGCATAAGTAAAATTCTTTCGAACATAATTATCTTGTTCTTGTTTATATCTTGGATCACGTAGTAAAATTCGAAGATGATTATCAAATTTCAGTTCTGGTATTAATTTATTAGTGATTGGACATTTAATAAGTCTTTCAGTTGATGGTGATGATGATTTGATATTAGACCATGATTTTAATCTACTTTCTCCAGCTGCTTTAATCTTCATACCTTTAAATGCTTGAGGTATATTACTAACTTCTTCAGTAACTGGTGTAACTTCAACAATATCTTCTTCTACTTTACTTGATTTAATTACATCGGTATTCTTAGACTCTAACGATCTATAGATTAAATCTTCACGAGTTAAAGGAACTGGTAATTCTGACACTTCATCGATTGCATCAAACTCAATCTTCCCCACTATGGAGAAATCTTGCCAATCTATAGATGCAAATTGAATTTGTAATTGTCGTTCTTTTTCCTTCTTCTCCTTTTCAATAACCTTATGTTGTAGTTCATATTGTGATCTATCAAATGCTATATCTATGATGTTATTTGCATTCTTCAATTGTTGGTTGATATTGGCTACTTGTTCATCATTATCGTTATCATTATTATCCTCATAGAATTTAATGAGTAGTTTATATTGATCAATATACTTTTGATACAAGACATGTAATGAATGCAGTTGATTAAGAAATTCAAATTGGTTCTTATTACCTTGTCCAATTTCATGGTCTTTCAATTTAGTGGCATATTCATCGCCATTTCTAGCTACAAATAATGCTGTGAGTTTTATGACATCTAAATCAACTGGTGATATCATCGGTAGATCTACTAAGAAAGGCAATTCACGAGGAGGCACTAGAACAGTTTCCGGCTCCACTGGATGATGATTATTATTATTATTATTATTATCAGTTGTTAGATGCCCATTCAGTTTCACTTTAACACTCCCATTCTCCAACACCAGCACTTTCCATTTATAGTAAGCGTAGTATTGGTGATGAGCATCGAGAAAGTCAAACTTTCCATCTTTATTGTTGGCTCTCAACCGATCTTCAAAACTAGATCCATTCTTTACTACATACCCTGAAGTTTTATCTATAGTCTCCTTTATATCCGAGTTTGGAATGGATATGTCAGACGGCGGCACGTTTGAGTTCGTAGACGTAGTTGTCATTACCGGTTTAGTATGGTTAATTGTTGAGATGAGCAAATGTTGAGCGTGAGCGTGAGTGTGAGCGCAATTTGGATGTTGTTCAACAATTGCGAGGGATTTAGTATTTTGCTACCTGTCAATACAAAATTTGAAAATTTAACTAATGCTATAGTTTGATGACCGGAGATAAGTTGCAAACCACTAGGACCGATTCGGCTTGTTATAAAGTGTCGTTACTTGTCCTCTGACATTTTTTCTTTTCTTCTATCAGCGCACTCTCAGACAGACTATTTTTCAAACTATACGACAGACATCTATCTACTAACTATTTAGAGACATTATCGTATAGCAAAGAGTTAAAGAAGGATTGATTTTGGTTATAGATAACGTATATTATACACATACAAGAATATTCACATCAGACACTACTACCAACCCAATTAGGCAAGCCCCTCCATCAACCAGACATAACTTTAACAAATTATTAGTTGCAACTAATCCCCCAGAATTATGAGCAATATCGCTAATGATGGCAAAAAGTCGGATCATGAACAGCCCTTAAATCCCCTGCAACCCCACCACCAATTTAAACAGACACAACTGCATCACAATCAACATCATCACAGATCCCGAAAGAGACGTCATAAACACGACACTTCAACTTTGACCGATGAAGACTCAGATGAGGTTGATTCATTGACCGAGGAACTAGATCAGATCGGACGATTGAACATTAATTTGAATTTGAACCTTTCGTCGTTTCTCAATAAGGATTCCTTTACGTTGGCCAGTATGCCCCAGATACCGAACTTAGCTAATTTGCCAAATTTGCCTAATTTGCCTAATTTACCGAACTTGCCCAATTTACCAAATTTACCCAATTTATCAAATCTTCCATCATTTGAACTCCCCCGATTACAGGAATTCTCCAAAGAATTCAGTCAATATGTCAGTAACTATATCACATTGACGAGAAATTATTATTCTAGTGGTGCCAGTAAACCCAGTTCATCTAATGATGTTAGTAATGTTCATGATGAACAACGATTAATTAATTCAGTTAAAACTATTTTAAGTACTAGGATTCAAATGAATAGAGTATTGAATGATTTAAGACTGGGATTAAATATAAGTACTGCCATAGATCGACTTCAACCTCTTACAGATATAATTCATGAAACAATATTCTTACCAGCAGAAGATTTAAGTGAATTTGAAGAAGATTACTATGATTCTAAGGAATTATCAACTACAGATAATCTTATAAATGATGAAGAATTAGAAGTCACAGAACCAGTAGGAGTTGGATTGATAGTAAATAAAGATCAACCACTTATAAATGAAATCATTAAACCTGAAGAGAATGATCATAGAAGAAAACGGTTTATTAATAAGAAAAATAGAAGAAAACAATTATTTGATTCTTATATGTCTACTGGTGAAGATAGTGGAACAGCTACCAGTGATCTAGATAATATTGAAGGATTAAATATTGAACAAGTTAAACAATTAACTGATTTAGATTCAGTAGATGATTTCCTAAAGGAGGATACTTTAAGAAGTCGTATTCAAAAGATTCAAGAATTATCGGATATAACTCAGAAGGCTAAGAATAAGTTAGTTACTAGATTAATGATGGGTAATTATTATAAGTATGTGAATGATAAGTTATCTCCTGATAGGGCTATCCAATTACCATCCAAATTGAGTAAGCAAAGGTTAGTATTGAATATGAGTACTGAACCAGTCTTAGAAGAGGAAGAAGAAGAAGAAGATGAAGATGAAGATGACGATGAAGCAGTAGTTAACCAACCACATATAGAAGATGATGATCAAATCATGAAGGAAGTTGACTCTGAAGATGATGAAGTCATACTTACCGAACAAGATCAAATCCCATCATATCATAATTCACCTTTTAATACCATTTTAGGATGTCAACATTATCAACGTAATTGTAAATTAGAATGTCCTACATGCTATAAATGGTATGTATGTAGGTTTTGTCATGATAATGAAAATAGTAATCATAAATTAGTTCGATCAGAAGTTAAACATATTCTATGTATGAAATGTAATACTCCACAATTACCAGACACTAATTATTGTATTAATTGTGAACAAGAATTAGCCAATTATTTCTGTTCTAAATGTGTTTTATATGATAATGATCCAACAAAGGATATTTATCATTGTGATAAATGTGGAATTTGTCGATTAGGTTTAGGACTTGATAAAGATTATTTCCATTGTGATACATGTAATAATTGTTTATCAATTGATTTAAGAGAGAATCATAAATGTTTAACCAATACCACTCATTGTGATTGTCCAATATGTAATGAATATTTATTTACAAGTGTTCATAAAGTTGTATTTATGAAATGTGGACATTCAATTCATCAACATTGTTATGATGAATTAGTTAAACATAGTTATAAATGTCCAATTTGTAAGAAAACCATTGTTAATGTTGAAACTCAATTCCGATTATTAGATGCAGAAATTAAACAACTGCCATTACCTAGTCCATATAATAATTGGAGATGTATTATCAGTTGTAATGATTGTAAGGGTAAATCCAATTGTACATATCATGTTCTTGGATTAAAATGTAAATATTGTAAGAGTTTCAATACTAATCAATTAAAATTGATTAAGCCTGAAGAGGAAGCTATTGATAGAGAAGTTGATACATTTAGTGGAGATGAAGAGAGTAATTTTGATGTGAATGTTATGAGATTAGTTCATACGAATATCCTGAGTAATTTCCGTATAGATGATCAATATTTAACGGAAGAGCAAAGTGGATATGAAGATGATGAAGAGGAGGAAGATGAAGATGAAGAAGGAGAAGATGCTGATGAAGATGATGAAGGAGGCTCAATCAAAGAAGATGATGAGGAAGACTTTAATAATATGTTCAATTTCCGAAAATTAACCAGTTCTAATAGATCATCGAATATTTCATATATAACATCGATGTTTCAGAATTTTATTAACAATGCTATAAATTCAGAGGAGATGGAGAAGCAGCAGGTTAGTAATACGGTAATTGCAACAGAGTCGACCATAAAGGGTTAGAGTTGAGATGATCACGATATGACGACATGACAGAAAGATAGATAGATAGATAGATAGATAGCAGACAGACAGACAGACAGAAACGGTCAATTAATAGGAGATGTGTATAGGTTTCTAACATTTGTATATAATTAAGCGTATATGATAATTGTTAATGTGTAGCAGACATTGTCTGAGTAATACAGACAGACAGACAGACACAGCGATTCTTGTCTTGCCCCAAAAATTTCTGGAGTAGCTGACACAAAAAAATTGTTGACTTTTGCAATAAGTTGGGGAGCCAGAGCCATAGCATACAGAGGAAGAGACAAATGTAAAGACAAAGATATATAGAAGGAGATAGAAGGAGATAGAGGAAATGTGCTTAGATGTATAGATAAAGTAAAATGTATATAAAGAAGATATGTGTAGTAAAATCAGTAGTAAGTAGTGGGGGAATAGGTACGTAGAGAGGCCATTGTCAAACAAGGTTTAGCTCAAAAATGGCGATATGTCGGCGAATATGCTTTATGCTTTATGCTTTATACTTTCATTAATGAATGATCCTATCACTCCATCTTCAGCGTACCCCTGAGCGTAACTAGAATGAGCCCCAAGTACGATCCGAGGACCTCATCTCACCGGATGGGTGTGAAATTTATTGGTTACTCATGGCACGTTGCGAGTTGTTATGGTAATTTACCGAGCACTCAGTAACCGTTACGTGTGTCTGCTTCATATCAGTAATCTTCAATAGAATGGTAATATAGAGAATATAGTTCAGTATAGGCCAGTATGGAGTCAGTATGGAATCAGTATGGGTCAGTACTGTACGGTATCTAGTGAGTAGCAGAGGTGAATGATCAGAAAGATATTTGATGGGTAATTGGCTATTACCCAATTAGGCAATGGCGTCCCGCTACCGTCGGCCCAACCACGACATTGGGTGGAAAGTCGCACCCCACCGAAAACGTTGCTAGTAATTACATTGCGCTCTAAATGGGGCAGCATCAGTGAGCGACAATAGACAATCACAAGAAAGAAGTAGACTACCTACAACTAGACACTGACCAGTAGTTGTAGAACCTCATACAACCTCATATAACCAGTAGATAATAACCACAAAATACACTACTCTTGAATACTCTTCGCTCTCTCTACTAATGAGTCCCAACGATGACCATCGCTACTTAACTTTTCTTGTCCGCTACTGAGACCTATTTTTGGGTTTGGCTGCGGTGGGTTGTGTTTGCTGGGGGTGATCTTTTTTTTTGGTGGGTCTCGGTAAATAAATAGTGCCAAACTAATAACAGCATCTCGTACCCGTAACATTACCGAGTGGTTTAGACATTACTGTGTGGATACTTTTATTTACTGACTACAATCTTCAACCCACTACTGTATTATATTATATCTGTAGTGTCATAGTACCTTATTGAAAAAGAATAGGTTATATATTACTGGCTAATTAGCCCACAGGGACCCTTTAGCGAATATACTGAGAAGTGATCTACTACTTTCCTCTCCTATTAAAGACTATGAATAATTGCCTATAAACTGTATCAATCACTATCCACACCCTGTCATGAATTCATTGAAAATATTGGTCAATTCTTTGGAATCCATATACCATCCGTCCAAGTCTTCATCGTACGACTTACCACCGTCTAGTCCACTAGAAGTAGAGGATATCATAGACAATGATCAGAAACTTCCACAACAAGTACAACAAGCAACAATAGTATCACAACCACTGAAACTACCACAGAAACAAACAGTATCACCTCCATCATCCAACACTACTTCAGAAGATGAAGAGATAGAACACGACGATTTGGAAATAGACTTGTCTAAACAAAAGACTACTCCACTAAAACACAGGAGATCTTTGGTAAAGACTTTGTTCTCCATTGCATTCCAAGTAGTATTCTTTCTTCCCAATTATCTTCTTATAAAGCCCTTGTTATTAATCTGGTTCATCATTACTTTCCCCTTTGTATACACAGGCCAAATATTGGGACTTTTGAATGATGATGACGATGAAGCACTTATGGTGGCAACTCCTGAATCAGAAACAGAGCCACTGAGTGAGTATTCAAACTCTCGAAGATCATCAAGAAGTAATTCTACGACTCCCAGTATAATGGAAGAAGATGAACCAGAATCTCAACAATCAGAAGATCAGTACAATTACACAAATAATGATCTTCATAACTCCCACCGACATCATACTCATAAATCATCATCTGCTTCTACTTCAGCAGCAGACAATCGATCTTTCATAGACGATAAGACTGAACAAATCAAACAAGAGAATATCTTTTCCAATAAAATCAAATCTCCTACTGCATCATCCAAATATATAATCCCACCTCCACAACGGTTATATCCACTCATTCGGAATCCTCAAAAGAGAAAGAGAAAGACATTAATTTTAGATCTTGATGAAACTCTCATCCATTCCTTATCGAGAGGTTCTCCGCGTTCATTCAGTTCGACAAGCTCTTATGCTCCTAAGATGATTGAAATTAAATTAAATAATATGGCTACTTTGTATTATGTACATAAGCGTCCATATTGTGATTATTTCCTTCAAGAGATATCGAAATGGTTTGAATTACAGATCTTTACAGCCAGTGTCAAAGAATATGCTGATCCAATTATTGATTGGCTTGAAAGTGATATCATAGAGCATCAGAATAAAACTAAAAACAATAATAATAATAATAATAATAATTCCAGTAACACTAATAGTAACAACACCAATAGCAATAACAAAATGAAACAACTTGAGAAATCAGGAGATGATGAGCCTCCCAAAGTGTTTACTAAAAGATATTATAGAAATGACTGTACATTCAGACCTGGAGTAGGATATATTAAAGATCTCTCCAAATATATCCGAGATGAGGAATTGAAAAATGTCATCATCTTGGATAATTCTCCCATCAGTTATGCTCTTCATGAAGATAATGCAGTAATGATTGAAGGGTGGATTAATGACCAAAGTGATCGGGATCTTCTCAATCTTTTACCTATGCTTCACAGTCTCAGTCTTTGTATCGATGTGAGATTCATTCTTGGCTTACGAAATGGTGAGAGATCATTTGAGAGAGAAATCCGAAAAGCTTAGCCCACGACAATTTAATGAAACACCCCCGGTATACAAAAATAAATATAGTAAAAACAGTGCCAGTGCAAAACTACAGTGTCTGCAGTATCTACTTTTAGACAGACAGACATTTATACATTCTTATTTATAATAGAAAAGTTCCATAGTTTGATTTAGTTATATACGTATTCGTAGTTAATGTATTACTTACACTTTACTTAATAATGTTAATAGTGCGCGGGTTTTGAAAAATTTGGCCTAAAAGGGAATGTCCGAAGAAGCACATCAACTAACTACTGATATACCCGAAACGACATTAACCATGAGTGAAAGTGTCGGAGACAGTGTAGATGACATTCTCAATCTATTGAAGAAGGACTATTCAGACGTTTTGTCACTCAAAGCATTGGGAGATCAGTTACGAGATGAGACAGTCCGAGCTAACCCCGTCATTGCCCAATCATTACCATTACTAACGACTATTGTCAGTAATGCCTTTACTAATACTAATAATAGACAAGTCCAGCTAGAAGGGTTGCGTGTACTTATTAACAGTATGGCCTTCAATGATGTCAATCGTAGTGAAGTTATGAAGTCAGACTCCGAAACGTTATCGTTCTGGAAATGTGTTTCCGCAGAGCTCAGTTCGACCGACGAAGAGATCGGGACAAGAATTGTCTTGTTGTTGTCTCAGTTCATATACGACACGGACCATAAGAATGAGTATGTCAAGCAATTGTATCAGTATGGGTTGTACGAATCGACATTGAACTTCTTGAAGTCTATTGACTCTGAGATATCGCAAGATGTCGTTGCGTACGACAAGCATATCGAGTTGTTGCATGAACTTATTGTAGATAATGGTCAGGAGATTGCACAGGACCAGGCGTCCAGTGTATGCAGAGTGATTGAACTATTGCTTAGAGTGATTGAATCAGCAGTGGGTGATGTGTCGGTTGATGCCACTGATGAGGATTATCAGCTGGTGTTGGGTAGACTATTCCAAACTTTGGCGATAGTGACTGGTTATAGTCAGATCCCCAATATTGATGGAATAAGAGATGCGTTTAAGAGATTAGTGTCGCTATTTGTGACTCCGAAGCAATGGATAACTGAATTATCGGTCAGACGATCTTTTGTGCCTTCAGTAACCAACTTCCTATTCATTGAATCATATACCCAGGGAGCTGAAGACTTGTTATTTATCATAGATGTACTTAAGGGGATAAAGAATACTCCTCCTGAATATGAGGTGGATTCATACTTAATATGTGCCTGTGTGGTATATCTTGGAAACTACATCCATAATGAAGCCACTGCTTCACAGGTTAGACAGCTCATCGCTGCCCATATTACTGATGGATTGTCGGGATTTGTGCTGCTAATCTTATCAAGAATCAAACTTACGGATGTTATATTAGTCCAATCTTTACATCCATTAGCCAATCTCATGAATGGTGTGCTTGCTCATACTATACTACAAAGTGAAAGTAACTATAAGTCTTTGTTAACCTATAACAAAATCATTCTAGATAATAAAGACTTTTACCCAGAGATACTTTCGGTATATCTCAAGTTTATCTATAAGTTAATCCGTCATGAATTCTTGTTGTCACAAGACGAAGAAGGGGATCATAAAAGTGGTGTCTTTGAATTTAGCAAGCTATGGAAGTCGATCATTGATTCTACTAATGATCAGTTAATCCAGCTATACCTTATAGAGGCCATCATTACCAATTTCAATGTAGTCAGTCATTATTCCTCTGACAATATTCTACTTATTCGGTCATTGATTACTTCTGCCATGGGTAAGTTAGATTCGTCTCCCCAATTAGAAGTAACTCTACAAAAACTAAAGGCTATAGGAATTTTCAATCATACTCTCTTATCTAAGGAAATAGGATTAGATAAGCTTATTGCTTCCTTATATGATAAAGACTGTTCTATGTTTAGTAGCTTATACTTAAGACCCTACTATGATTTCTTAATCCAATTACAACAATTAAGTACTAACAAACAGGGACATTCCAGTGATGACTTAATACTTAACAATGCAAAGTTTATCGCAGGAACTTCGCTTCCGCTATTCCGCGATCTTCTACAAACTGATGCCACATCACAGACGGATGTTCATATCGTGAAACAGATATGCACCGTATGTACCGACGTTACACAACTATAAATAACATTATAATTGTAAATTACGCAGTGAAATTACCCCGCTCATAACCTTAGTAGTTATCGTTATACAGTTTCATTTCTATACAGTATAGCAATTTACTTAGCAATTATAATTAAAAAGTTTCCTATTCTCTTTCTCTTTCCCTTAGCTGATTTCTGCTCACTGAATGGCCCGATACCGCAGACGGCAATAGACGGTAAAAGTGCGGTGAGGCTGTCGTCAGAAAAAATTTTCCAATTGCCGTAGTTTACCTTTTAGCAACCACAGCGTTAATACCCCAGCCTTATCACTATAAAGTGGAGTTGGATTTCCATCTCGGAGTTGGTTTGGTTTTAGTTGAATTGTGTGTAGATTGTTACTTTTCTTTATTTAATATTATTTACTTAACTTTAATTAGTGCTTCATAATTTATCACGTGCCTATTTATTAACTAATCTTATATTTTGCACCCATGACTGTTACTACTAAGTTTTCCAAATTAGAAAGAGAGGAACCAGACGCTATTGTTCAAATCATGAACAAGTACAGTGAAGATACTGATGATCGTAAAGTGGATGTGACTATCGGAGTTTATAAGTCAGAGTCCGGAGAGTCATATTTATTCCCATCAGTAGCAAAGGCTAAAGAAATATTAAGAGCCAATGATCCTGGTCATAGTTATACTGTTATGTCAGGGATTCCTGAATTTATTGAAGGAGCCAGAAGAGTGGTTTTCGGTAATGATATTCCTCAAGAAGGAAAATTGGCTTCTTTACAAACCATTTCTGGTACAGGAGCCTTACATATGGCTTTTGTATTCTTAAAGGAAGCTGGTTATACTAATTACTATCTTGGAATTCCAAGTTGGTCAAATTATATTGGTATGATTGAACATATAGGGGGAACTGTCACCACTTATAATCATTATGATGAAACTACCAGAGCTGTTGATTTTGATTCGGTAACTGAGAATTTGGAATCTGCTCCTTCTAATTCAGTATTCTTATTTCAAGCTTGTTGTCATAATCCTACTGGAGCTGATTTTACTAAGGATCAATGGATTAAAATTGCTGAAATTGTTAAAACAAGGGGATTGTTCATCTTATTTGATAACGCTTATCAAGGATTTTCTTCTGGAAATACTGAAGACGATGCTTGGGCTATAAGATACTTTTATAGACAACATTTAGAATTCATTGTTTGTGAATCATTTGCCAAGAATTTAGGATTATACGGTGAAAGAGTTGGAGCTTTACATGTTGTAGTACAAGACAAGGATTACGTTGACAATGCTCAAAGTACTCTTACTGCTTTATTCAGACATGAATGTTCATTTGCTCCAGCCTTTGGAGCTAGACTTGGATCTATTATCTTTCAATCTCCGGAATTATGGAAAGTATGGGAAAATGATGTTGCTGAAATTACTGAAAGATTACATCATACTAGAAAACAGATTTATGATAGATTGGTTCAATTAAATACTCCTGGTAAATGGGATCACGTTATTCATCAGAATGGATTGTTTTGGTTTTCAGGTTTAACCCCTGCTCAAAATGAAAGATTAATAACTAAACATCATGTCTATTCTACTAATATTGGTAGAGTTAATGTTGCAGGTATTAATAAGTCGAATGTTGACTACTTTTGTCAAGCCATAGATGAAGTGGTTAGAAATGCTTAGGTTAATTTTATAGATGCTGTTTATTGTCTATATAAATGCAAATGTAATAAAGTTAAATGTACGAGAAACATCATATGTTAAAAGTAGTCCTTTGATGGATTTTCTTGAGATGAGCCTTCAAATTATCCTTTCTATTGAATCGTTTACCACAATTAGGTTCATCACATTGAAAGGGCTTGTCTGTAGAATGACTCTTCAAATGTCTCTTTACATGTTCAGGACGTTGGAATTTAGAATCACATACTGGACACTTATGTTTCTTTTTGGCTTCTTTAGCCAAATCAATTTCTCGTTCAGGCTTTTTAGATTTTGGTTTAACTGCCTTCATAGAATTAGTAGGAATTAATCGATCTAAATTGGAATTGGCAGATAAACCAGATGATGAGTCATTGGGTGACATTGTTGATGCACCGGTCATTACATTCGCAGCCAATGACATTGAATAATTATTATAATATTCCTGTTGGGGGATTGCGGAATAATTAGCTATAGGAGGTAATAATCCACCAACACTATTATTAGTGGTGGTATGAGTTAATGGAGTCATTCCTGAGGAATATATTTGAGAAGATGCAGTTGAAGAAGTTCTAGAGACTCTACTACTTTCAGTCATACCTAGATTATTATTAGTAGTACCTTGATTACCATTACCATTATCATTCATTGGAGATGTAGCAATAGATGCCAAGTCAATTGAAGCAGGATATGACTTGGTGAATGATGAATGATGCAGGTTACTCGAATGCTTTGGATTAATGATATTATCATTCCCACTAGTTATTATTGAAGGCAGTAAAAGATCAATACCTTTACTTGGCTTGAAAATATTTGAATCATATTCATGAGCAGAAGCTGGAGCCGTTGATGATTTAATCGATGCTTGATTAATAGTTAAAGGTTGACCAAACGTTACCAGAGGAGAATTCTGAGAATAGAAGATTCCTGGAGTAGAATTCGATGAATAAAGGGATGCTTCGTCTATTCCTGCTTGTTGTAATTCCTGTTGGGTAGGGATTTGAATATTCAATGATAATTCACTTATATCTGTACCTTCATTCAAGTAATTGTTACCATTATTACCATTACCATTACCATTATTACCACCACTCTTATCCTTTGTAGAAGCTCTTCTACTGGCATAAGATATACTGGAATAAGATTTAGCCTTCTTCAATTGTTTAAGTGCATCATCATCTTGATCCTCTATCTTTATAGAATCAAGAGTATCATGTCTCTTTAGTATAAATGGCAAACCAGTTGAATTTATATGTGTACTAGTAGAATTTGTATTTGTATGGGAATTAATAGGACTAAAATATGTCGAATTATTCTGAGTTGTCATTGAGCTATTGTTTCTTAAATGGTTGGGAGTTAATAGAGGAGTACCAATATCATCCAAATCAATATTATTGTTATGATTATTATGATTAGGATGAGGAGATATATATGATGAAGGGGTATAAAAGGGATTTAAATTATTCAAGTTTTGAATAGACGCAGATCTTGTGGCAAGAGCCAAGTTGGCACTAGCATCTAAGGACATTTTAGATCTTGATCTTGAATGGCCCTTAGCCTTAGAAGAATATGGAGTTTTGCCAACTTTGGATGTTTGAGATGGGTTGGCCAAATTGACAGGCGACATAGCACCAGTAGGGAATCTCATGGGTGTGCTATATAAATTAGTGGTTGAAGATACAGAAAGTGATTTCTTGCGTCCACCTTTTCGGGGGGTAGCCATAATTTGCTGTTTGGCATTATTAAATTGTTGATATGGTTGTTGCAGTTGTTGCAGTTGTTGTTGTTGCTGCTGAGAAACAGGCTGCGGTAACGATGATGGCGAGTCCGATAACGACTGGTTAGAGACCGACGATGAAAGCTGAGGTATGGATTCTACCGAGTATAGCGTATTGGTGGAATTAGACTGAGGAATATGCTGAGAGGGGGGTTCCTGGCTAACTGAAAAGTTTGAAGATATAGATAAATTCTGCTGGTGATTGGAGATCCGAGGCTGTGACTGATACTGGTGGTTGTGAGTATTACTGTGATTATGTTGAAAGCCTGCACCCAAATTCATCTGGGAACCATACCCATCGTCAAGGTATAAATTTCTGGAATTTACAAATTGTTGTTGCAGATACTGTTGAAGATTATGAGTAGCAGCACTAGTGGTTAGTGTTGTATCGTACTGACTTACCGAGTCAAAGTCCGTATCAGCCAAATAGAATGAAGAAGAATTAGCCTGTTTATTACTGGGATTATTTGTAGACACCGGCACCACCAATTCGTCATGATCGAAGTCATGAGAATCTTCGTCCAACGATAGATCATCGGTAGTCTTTAGCGATTGAGCGGAATTGAGTAAATCTGGTGGAAGTAAAACATCGTGACCATCACCAGATTCAAACATATCCACATTGGATAAATGAAGAATGGCACTATTGTCACTATCATGACTAAGACTCGAATTATTATTATGATTACTATGATGTTTGGTACTGGAAGAGCCCGAGCCCACGTCAAATGGTTGCGATAGTTGAGCTGGTGAGCTCATTAAAAACTTGTCCATTAAGCTGGCGAGTCACGGGAGCACTGGTTTACTGGACGCTGAGTTTGTGGAGGTCACTGGACATCCAATTTGTGCTGGAGGTGTTGATAGTTAAGACGAGTTGAAGGTAAAGTGTCTCTCTCTTTTTTTTACAGTATTACTCTTTTTTTATTTTATTTTTTTTTTTCATTTCTTTTCTTTATTTTCTGAATTCTAATTCTAATTTTATTTTTATTTTATTTATTTATTTTTGCTTATTTTTTGTATTTTTTTGTTTAAATTTTTTCTACTTTTATCAATTTCGGGCATTTCTCTATTAATAGATCGTTAGATCCAATTGACTACTCAACGTTGAGTGATTTATTTGGTGATGGTTGATGGGTAAGATAACTGGTACGAGTCCTTGTCATTGTCATTCTTCAGCACAATTCGGTGTTCTGTGGTTGCTGTGTTACCAGAGTATCCTGAAATGTGTAACAACATGAATCAGCTAACCAGTGAATTCCGAGGGTACGTCGAGCGCTTTGCAGATTCCGCAACACGTCGGAATTGACGCGTGTCACAAGAGACAAGAAAACAAAATTGACAATTGACAAAGAAGAAAAAAAATGCGTGTACAAAAGCGGAGCACCAGCTTAATTGGTACACTTAGTGATCGAACTGGGCAATCTTGGTAAATATGGCTCTATAGTTTATTATGTTGTTTTGTACTGCTACTATTTATTGTTATTGTTATTTCAATGATGCAACGAACATTATTCTGCTTTGGTGCTTAAATTGCATGCTGGTAGTTAATTGACAATTATATTACATTTAGGATTTAAGCTTATATCAATCATTTTCTTGTCTCCTTCATATATCGGTGATCAAATAAGGTGATTTCAGGTCGTTTAGCTGTTTACTACTGGATTCATATATGTTATATATCATATTCTAACTCTATGCCCATGGCCCACATACTAGATATTATTGCGGACCATTATGTACTAATTCAGTAAAAAATCCGGAGTAGGTTGAGGCGGTAATGAAGCACTTTTTTTTTTGGGATTGTTTTGCCGAACTTTTCAATTACACTACTATGACTAAGAAGTCATCATATTTATATAAATAAACATAGATCTTAACCCAAGAGATATGCCAAAACCATAACAAATTGATATCATCGGTAAGAGGAGAAATACTGTTGTATAGTTAAATATCACAGTAGATGAGAGCCTTAGATATCGGATGAAACTTAAAATCCACCCGAGAAATATTTTCATATTTCCGGGAATGAAATGAGCAAAGTTCCCAACCTCTCTGGGAATTTATTCCGAAAATAGTGGTGTAATCTTTGGTTTGCATTATTATTACGTAGTATATTATATTAGATGCATTTCAATTAGATTATTAATCTTTTCTTATGGTTCGTAGTTGCTAAGTGGGGCAGATTCACTTAGTGTTTCGCCAAATACAAAAATTTCACACAATTTCCCTTGAGAAGAGTGTTGTCCTCCTCCCAATATATCGCTCAAATCAATTATATTCTATGGAATGACATTTGCTCTAAAGCGTTCGTACGATTTTTAAGATTATTCGGTCTTACCTGCTAACAATATAATTGAATATGTAGAAGTTGTTCTTCTTTCTCCGCCCCATTTATTGTTGCCGACTGTACGCAAAGTATATTATCCGATCGGATTAGAAGTTCCGAGGTCAATTTTTTTTTTCGAGGAATGAGACGCGCTTCATTTTTTTATGGAATGATTTATATTAAACCGGAAAGCAGTAAGCATTGCTGCGGAAATTGAAATTATGATATAGCCAAAACAGGCTTTGAAAGTCATACGGTGATCGGCGATTCTGCTTGACATATTCATTATTATGATAATCAAGTAAATGCAGTCTGCGAACCAATCAAAATGTAATATCAAGGGCAATCTGCCTCTCTCTTTAGCCACTTTAACGTGTTGTTAATCACTGCCTATTGAAAGAATTAGAAGCATCCATACTCTACTAAAGATCTAATAGCTCTACAACCCAATCATGAAATTGACATGTCAGATTTATCGTATCGAGATTTATCGTATCGAATAATGTGAAATGCATACTTGTAAGCTCGTATTTTATATATTGATAAATCATAAGACAACTCCAAGCATTCTCTCGCTGCGGTAACGGTTTAAGTTTTTGAGATTTAAAGTAGTAAGTTCTTCAGCTTTAATTGTTCATTTACTGAATTTGGCAATGAAGTCGCAAAAACTTTTGTCCATTTTTAGAACTTTTTTCATTTTTTTTGTTTTTTTTTTGACATATTTTCGCAACCATCTGCGAGATTTTTTGCGCACACCTCATTGGGAAATAAATGCGAACTCCCAAAGAGGTAGAAAGTGGTCGTGTCTCTCCTCATTCTAATCCGGTCCAAATACACGTGACTCAATTAATACTAGAATTCCCATACTCCCGAAGAAATAGTTATTAGGTTTACAATTTATAAATCTTATATTAAACGTTATATCAAATTAATATTGATAGTTCTGTATATAGATAAATAATGGAATTTTTATTATTCAGATTTAAGGATATCGTTAGCTAGTTTAATTCATATTTATGGGTTTTGCTTAACAAAGTCAACACCCTTTTGGATGTTCTTGATTAAAGTTTCCTTAGCTAATTTAACTAATTCTTCTTCATGGTCAGATAATTCACCTAATGGGTGAATGGTCTTAACACCTTCAACACCTAAAGTGACCTTGGATGAGAAGAAATCAACACCTTCACTCTTGAATAATGGAGAATCAACGAAAGTTGGTTCGATAACATCAACTTCACCGGCTAAACCGTCTAAGACAGCACCAGTAAATCTAGCACCAGCTTGAGCCATGGATAAAGTAGCAGAACCAGCACCATCTTTAGCCTTGACGACTTCATCACCACCGAATTGGATTCTGTTGATTAAAGCATCTCTAGTTTCAACATCTAAACCCTTGTGGTTAGTTTGAGATAATAATGGAACAATGGTAATACCAGAGTGACCACCAACAACAGTAACTTTTTCATTCACTGGGTTGGTACCGGCAATTTCAGAAACAAATCTAGAAGCTCTTAAAACATCTAAAGTGGTAACACCGAATAATTTCTTTGGGTTATAAACACCCTTTTGCTTGAAGACTTCAGCAACAATTGGGACAGTAGAGTTAACTGGGTTAGCAATAACTAAAACAGCAGCATTTGGAGCATGGTCAGCAGCAGCTTTAGCTAAATCTCTAACAATAGAAGCATTGGTATTGAATAAATCATCTCTGGTCATACCTGGTTTTCTTGGAACACCAGCTGGGATAACAATAACATCAGAACCAGTTAAAGCTTGATCTAATTGATCTGGATTGTAACCTTTAACAGTGGAATTGGTTGGAACATGAGAAACATCAGCAGCAACACCTGGAGCACCTCTTAAATCATATAAGGCTAAATCAGTAACTTTATGATTTAATTTTAATAATAAAGATAATGGTTGACCAATACCACCACCGGCACCTAAAACGGTAACCTTATAGGCAGCAGAAGAAGAAGAAGAAAAAGCTCTAGTAGCAACTTTAGATAACATATTGACAATTGACGATATAGTTTAAAAAATAATCTATTACGAGTGGAGAAAGAAAAGTGTCCCTATTTAAAGGGATTTTGGAAATTTTCATTCCACCCACTGGTAAATTTTCGCACATAGTAAAAAGTTACCTGTGGATGTTCCTCCAGATTTGGCTTCGGTAATATGTTGGCCAATGAGAGTGGATTATTTTCATTAGGCTGCGTCACTTTTTTTGAACCGAGCTTTTGTTCTTTGTTCGGTCATGTCATGTGCCTTGCACAATATGGAATATGATCCAAAGTCCATAAACTATAGTCAGGGATTTTAGCAATTAGCGGCATAAATTAGCCGGTATTGGCACCCGGTAATACCTTAACTAGTATCCGTATATATATATTAATCTCCTATATAATTTATTATCATTATTCCCATCACTCCCTTTAACTAGTTTGCTAGTCTACTATTCTACTCTACTCTACTCTACTCTACTGAATGCAAGAATGCTGCTAAAAGTTGCAGCTCGGCACTACTGAGTTCAATGTTAATACCCAAGAGTCTACATGTAGCATCTGCCACCAATTGATCGTAGGGTACTCTCGAGTATTCTCCCAAGATCCTCCATTTCGTGGCCGAAATACTCCCTCTAACCCGTCCCCTAAGCCATATATATGGTCCTCCAATCTTATTCTGACATTGTGCTGCTTTATATTTGCAACCAGGAACTCTCTGTTGAAGTGATCGCTTATCATTACCATCAAATTGACTAGCATAACGAAGTAAAATATGACCCAACACACAAAAAAGCGAGACATTAAGTTCTCCCGACTTAGAGCAAGCCCCTGAAAACTGTCTGGATAAATTACCAACACTATATGGATTAGGTAAATCATTAAATTCCTTACGACCCCCATAAGCACAAGCAATTGCACTTCTTACTAGCAACAACACATTAGATGACAGTTCAAATTGACGTGAGTTGTCATACAAAAATCGAATTAATTTGGTGTATGTTGATTGACTATCTTTCCCAAGATACTGTACACAGAACATCATAGCACTATGTTTAGCACCAAATCTGGATAGTCTGTCTGATTCAGTGTTTTCAACTTTGGACAATGAATTTGAATTCGTAGATATTGAACTTAGTGCCACTTGCACCAGTTCATCCTCAGTCTCTTCGGATTCATCATTAGACGAACTTTCATAACCACGAGTAATAGACATCACTGTATTTCTCTTGATAACGGCTTGGGTAGTGTATTCCGGACCATTATCATCTGAATAGTCACTGTATTCATAAGCTGATGGGGTCTCATCCCCTGATGAAGAACTATATAAAGCCATCCCTTGATTTCTTGATTCTGTGTTAACCAAATGTGGGGAATCTTCCTCTAAGGTTGATAACGTACTCACCGAAGAGGACATACTATTTGAAAACATCGAAAACATACCTGATACTACTAAACTAAAAGACAAATACTATATATATCTAATTTTCTAGCTTAATTTCTTGGAGGGCAATTAAGGTTGTTTTATACCTCCTTATTATAATGCGCATCTTTGTTATCTCCCTGATAAGGCTCCCATACACACACCCTTAGTTGCCAGTGAAACCCTAACATCTCTAGCAGATATACTTATTTTAGGGATATTGCTTATCTTATTGTGTAAACACTACTATACACTGATGCAACTGTTCTTGCATTACTCTACATATATAAACAAAAAAGAATACTTCATAATAATAGTGGCTACTCATCACTAATTGAAGAATTCTTGAATATGGCATATGCATAACTGTTATACTTTACGTCACAATTTGTATCATAAACTGCTTTACTACGGAGCATAGTCAATCTTCAAGTTTTAGGTTAGTCAGTGCTTGTTCTAACTGTGACTTACCGAAGCAGATTGTTGCAGCCATTCCTGATATCTAATCCCTTAATCATAATAGAACTTATCTATCTACATATTTCAAATAACGGGACATAACTCTAGACTTTCGGTGAACATATAAGTCTGTCCAGCATCATAATTATACTATAAATGTGCCTTGTTATACTGGAGATACTATGCTAGATAAGGTGTTTGAGTTTAGTATTGCGGCAAGGATATATTGAAAAAAAGTCTGTGCTAAAGCAAAACAAACAATAAGCAATAAGCAATAAGCAATACTAAAGAGAAGACTAACTTATTGAACAAATAACAGTAGCTGAACAAATGCCCAAGAATGATATAGCCGAGGAGCATTCTATGGATATCCCGCATGTTACGGCCGTGGAATTACCCTTAATAGTGAAAAATGTTGACAAGGCTATACTGATGATTGGTGGTAAACAAAGAATCTCAGAAGTAATCAATTCTCATGATAAAAGTAGTAATCTTACTAGTCACACAACACTAGAGAATACCCTTGAATTACGATTAAGAAATGATCCCTTTCATCATCCAATACAATCCCTGTACAATACTAGTGAAAAGATTTTAGTAAAAGTTTCAGTACCAAAGAAAGGTTTACCCAAGGATTATTATGATGATCCTTCCAGGTATTCTGTTAAAGAATTACTTGAAATTAACGCAGCAACAGAAAACACACCTACTCATCGAACTCAACCGGTTGCAATTATAGATAAAACATATCTGTTTAAGTCAATTGCAGATTTTCAAGTTTCTACCAAGAATAATTCTGTAGTTCAAGATTTCAATAACCTGATCCTTGAATCAAAGAATTTCGAGACATTAAGACAATATTTTGATAATAAAAACCATTTTAATGCTATGGATGATTTCAATGATACTTCCAAAGAATATTTTAAAGATATTGATCATCAATTACCACCACCTCCGATATTAAGTCCAATTAGATTTCCATTCGATTTTAGATATCAAAAAAATCCGTTCACTACAGCTGTAAAAGATGCTGAAAGTGGAGAGATACGAGTAGTTTCAACTAAAAATTCTGTTAAATTATATACTAAAATGATTGATTATAATTTTAATATCGTACCTGATAAACCAGCAGTTGAATTAATTGATAGTCTTAGTCAATTAACTTCAAAGGCATATCCTGTAAATAGTCCTGAGTATTTGTTACTAAAATGTATAAATTGGACAAGAGATATCTTTGATTTGAAACCGATTTGGTTGAGAAAACAATTGGAAGATATTGTACCAGAAGATATCAGACGGTACGTTAAACAAGCATTACCTTATGTAACTTTTATCTATAAAAGTGGACCTTGGAGATTTTGTAATGTTAAATTTGGAGTTGATCCAAAGAGTGATAAATCATTTTGGATATATCAATCAGAATATTTTAGAATACCAGGATTAAGATTTGTAGTTCCTAAAGAAAATACAAGAAGGATGGTACCCAATACTATAATAGAAGCTAATAAAAAGAATAAGACCAATCAAGAAATTGAAGTTTCAGAATATTTGTTCTTTAATGGAGTAACTTTACCATCAACAGTTACATATCAAATTGGTGATATTGTAGATTTAGACATTACTACCATTATTGAAAATCATCGGAAATACTTTGGACGCGACTTTTTACGGGACATCCCTGACTTCCAAGACGGTTGGATTAATCGTCAAACAATGGAAGTTATAAGACGAATAATTCGGTACAAATTGAATCGAATAGTGAGAGAGGAATCTACTGATCAGAATAAAATCTATAAAATAATAAATACAGATTATACTGCCAATGAAGATCAAGTCATGGAGGGCGATGAAGAGAATGGCAAGAATGCCGAACAAACGGTCGGAAAGGATACTGACAATGGCAACGACAATGAAAATGAAAATGAAAATGAAATTGGTGATACCAATGATAACGACAACGAAGAGGAAGCTGAAGATGATGACGATGTAGATGTCGGAGTAGATGAAGAAGCCATCAATCAGGAACCCACTCCTTTAGTCGATGAAGCCAACATAATGCACAAGCTAGATCAAATGAATGAAGATGCTTCCAGCAAGTTGAGTCAATTAGTAGGTTTCATAAAACAGGATATAATCCATGAATAGGTCAGCAGTAGTAATGATATTGTAGTAATAGTAATAGTAATAGTAATAATATACGGAGCACTATATGCAGTCCACAAAGTGTGAAATTTGACACCAGACACGAAAGAAGTAAACACGTAAGTGATGTAAAGACAGACATTAAAATTCAGACAGTTTACTTTACCAACATAATAACCAACGAGTAACCATGACTAAAGCAACTGAAGCCATTTTAACGGTTTTTGCATTATCTGCCATATACTTTGCGTTATATACCGGAGTGATTCCCACCAGTGATAAAATCCATGAAGAAATATTACCATACTTGCCATGGTGGGGTCTAGTGACATTTGGATCGTATGCATTAGGTACTTTAGGATGGGGTGTTCTTACGTTCAAGGATAAGGAAGACAAGTATAAGGAATTATTGGTGCAAATTGATGAAGCTAAGAAATTCTACAAGTCCAAGGGTCTTAATTTGGACGATTAGGGAGTTCTAATAAATATAGTGTAATAAATATATAAAATACATAATTATATTTCTATTGTGAAAAATCAACGGAATGTAGTGTAGTATAATGAATTAATGCAATGCAATTATAGTTGAGCTGTGGTCTGAGTTCGATTAAGTCTTTTGGCTTTCAACCGTTTCTCAGTTTCAGCAAAGACTCGGATAGCAACTGGTACATTAGACCAGTTCTCATCCTCATCAGATTTGGAAGATTTACCTTTGAGATGGCTCCGAATGTCTTCATCCAGTACATTAGCTAAGGATTTAGGGAAATTCTCCTTCTTTAAGTATTTAAGAGGTGCATCAAAGTCCTCTGGCCACCTACCACCTTTGGAAATTAATAAAGTAGCAGCCTGTTTACGTTTGGAATTCCAATCTTTAATATCATCATTAAATAACTCCCATACACAATTAATACATCCACTCATACAACAATTATCTGGTTCACTGGGCTTAGCAGGAACAGTTATTCCAGCAATTACTTTGGATTCACCTCTTAATAATCGACTGGATGATTTTGGACCTTCTCCCTTTATTCTACCTCCAAATATTCTTTCAATCTTCTGTTGTGGTGTGAGGTCTCCCAACGTATAATTTCCTTCAAATGTTGTTTTTGTATGTTTCTTTAAATCCTTTAATTCGTCAGCACTCATTAACAGAGCTTCAATTGGATGTGTAGGATGTGATGGGGTTCGCAATACTAAATCATAAAAGGAATACTTCTTAATATGTTCGGCTGACCTATTCGGTTCGGGCCTGTTAGGTGGTCCCCGCTTCGACACTGGAGTCGATGATGCTAATCTCCTCAGTACTTGAACTACAAATCTGGTTTTATTTAACATGTCTAACGATAACTAATTTACTATGCAAATGAAAACAATCCGAGACCGAATAAGGCCGTCTATATATAGCTATAAATCTGCCCACAATGGGATATTTGATTGCAAATATTGCTGGAAGAGCTTTTCTTTTCATAGGGATTGGAAAAAGAAATTAAAGTCTGGATTGGTCATTTGCTTACTATGACAATGTCGCACGATTAGATAATTATGCGTTTTGTCGAAATGTCAATGTCGTGCACCGCATTTAATTGCTGCAAATAAAAAAAAGTCCTTATCTTAAACGTTTTGAAAATCAATCGACTTTAATGCTTCATCTATACTGAGAAAGAACCCATCACCCATCCCTGATGATGACCAGGATGGGTCAAGATTTGTCGTGTCTTGTCGCTTAGAATTGCATTGATTAACTAGCGATGCAATGCCTGATTTTTTAAATTTTTCTCTCACTTGTCCGTTGGTGGGTACTCTACTGAATGATACAATAATAGAATCATCTTCCACATATCTTCTAACTATTTCATATAATACCTGAGTTGCAGATGAGTCAATATCATTCATACCCTTACAGTCAAAAACCACAAATTTTATGGTTTGATTATTGAATGGTCGTATGGATGGTTGGGATGGATGAACCAATAATGATCCATATCTTTCTATTCTTGTCATTCTTGATTTCAAATCTGATGCATTAGCAAAATTCAATGGTTCTGGTATCTTTATAATTAATACCCCTTCAATTTCTTCAATTTCTGCAATTAAATGCGTTAGTTTGGCTTCAGGCGTACTTACTGGTACTTGAGAGGATGATGTTTGTAACAAATTATCAGAAGATGAATTATGAGAATTCACAGTGGACTCATTTACAAATCCCGCAAAACTTTCTTCTATGAGTGCATCAGCATTTCTGAAAACAGTAGTATTTGGAATTCTTCCCATGATTTGAATTCTGGATCTCGTACTATTTCTAATTACTCGGACAATAGCCACCAAAATACCTAAACCAACTCCTGCTTGAGCACTCCATAATATAGTAGTGACAAAAACAAGTGCAAAGAGTCCTAATTCATCAAACCCTCTAATAGCCCAGAAGAACTGAAGATCATGAGGAATCTCTTGAAGAACCGTTATACCAATGATAGTAGTAGTAAGTGCTAAGACACATTCAGGTAAGAAATATAACATGGGTAACAAATATATAATAGCCAATACAGTACAAGCTGCCATAATAAGAGTTGCCATAGGAGTTGTAGCTCCAGCCAAAATATTAATTGTTGATCTTCCGAAAGCACCAAAAGATGGCAATCCACTGACAAGACTAACTACAAAATTTGAAGACCCTAAAGCAATCAATTCACGATTAGAAGACACATTGTAATTATACTTAGCACCTAAAGCTTTTGTTGCCGTAGTTGAATCAAAATACCCTAATATGGCACAGAGAAATGCCGTGGAGAATGTCTTTTTGTAAAGAGGAAGTTTGGAAATGTCTAAAGGATTTACGAGTTTGAAAGATGCTGATGTTGAATTAATGTTGCCAACTATTTCAACTCCATTTTCATACCATTTGAGCTTTTGACATAAGTATGTGGCTAAAACCACCATTAATAATAAATCAGGGAAATATATAGCCAGTTTCTTCTTGTATTTATTGACTAATAGGCCCTTTACGTATCTGACCACCAAAACAATGGCCAAAGTTATACTAGATATTGTGAATGTAAGAATATGTGCTTTCTTATAGTATCTCACTATGAACAAGAGTTTATCCACGGTAGTTAAATGAGGTTGAGTTTGAGCTAATTCTACCAACCCAAGCTCCGTACTGAATTCATTGATGATCATGATTAAACCCATAGCTGCTATAAATCCCTTTAAGAGAGCTCGACTTAGGACATTATCTAAGAATCCAAACCTTAATAAGCCACCTCCAAGTAAAATTGCGCTCATTGTGAATGAGATAGCCGACAGGATTTCCAATTCTGAAAATGCTTCGAATGATTTCTCATGAATAATTTGTTCTATCATTTGACCAAACATGATTGCCGTGGAAGGTGAAGGACCAACAATGAGAATAGGTACACATCCGAGGATAGAATACATAACAGCTGCCGAGATAATCGAATATATACCTGTAATTGGAGGTAAATGTGCCAAAGATGTCGCTATAGACATGACTAAAGGTATTTGAAAGGAAGCTAAGGATATTCCTGCTAAAAAATCTCCCAATAGACTGTCCCTAATATTATATTTTGGCAACCAGTTCAAAATTGGAAGATAGTATGCCAAATATGCCACTTTATCGAGTTTTGAATTATTAAGCTTATTGAATATATTGAAGTTAAGCACCGACAGACCAACTAAATCATCATCTGAAAGGCCATTTCTCCCATTAGAACCATAGTTTTTATTGATATAGGTATCTACTAGCGGATCATTAATGCTATTTAAACTTTTCATAGATCGGAGTGACTGACTCGACGGTACGGAGAATAATGGTGGTCTTCCTGGAGTGAGTAGACGTGGAACAGTCGGTGTTGGAGATCTTAAAGCTCCTGCAGCAGAACTAACATTGGGCAAAGATTTATTCTTCAATAGCCTGCTATTTTCATCCGTCATTATCTACAAGCAAGATGTTTTGCGATCAATCTATCAGATCTATAATAAGATATAATTAGTAACTTCTCATAACGTCATTTCGGCAAAGGCTGTATGCAGTCCGATTAGAGTCATAACTGAACAAAGTATGGGGTACATAACATTAAGAGGTTATTACAGAGTGCATTGAACCGATAATTGATTCTAGAGATTGGACAGTATGATATAATACTACTACACAGAGTGAAGTTCCTTTACGCAGATATTTGTACGTGTTTAATGTAGCATGGAAATCTCCGTTAACTGAGGCTCAAGAATGCAAAAGACATCAAAAAATTTAATACTACTTCAACTATAACTATTTCTTCTCCACTTTATACAATTTGATCAATATTGCCTCACTGTATACCTTATCTATTTAAAATCTATACTGTTATTGGGCCTGTTAACCTCAAATTCGTTATTCATAGCGTTCCTAATATCAATACTTTACTTTCATTAAAACTATATTTTTGCTAGCACACAAGGTAATCATCGTCAGCCGTCCAAGGTTTGAGCACTTACGTAATATTATATGTCCAGCAATCATTGCTCAACAATCTATTAAAGTTCAGAGTGAGTGGGTCAATAACTAACTTTAAATTACTTTACTTGGGATCTTACCGGCTTTAGAATTGTTTCTTTTTACTACTCAATAATTCTTATTTCTAGTCACGCCTGATACAAATACTACTTCAAAAACCTTAATACCAATTAAAGCTCGCTTAAACAGTAAATTTTTTCAACTATAGATCTGCTATTAGCTATTAACTTGCTAATGAGATGACATGAGATGAGATGAGATCAACGGAATAGAATTAATTGCGCTTTATTAAGGTCATTTAATATACTTGAACAGACTTGGAGGTTTGGATTATGAATTGAGAAATATTTTATACTATAATTATGAAATCTTCCTGTATTGTAAGTTCAAAGTTTACAAATCTGCCTTACAACAGACTGATATAGTTTCCACTATTAATAATAGTGCTAAACGATGCTTTAACCCGAAGTTTTGCAACCCTAAGCGGCACTGGTTTACTTTTTTTTAATAAATGTGTTCCCACGTGCCGATATGCTCAGACTTTTTGAACTTCACTATTTCGGAAATGAAATTATCTTTATATTTTTGGGACTTCTTGGTAGTAGCATTAATGTTGTTAAGTGTTTATTATATCAGTAGTGTGACCTTAAATAACCGTTACGTAGTGATAGTGTTGTATTCATACAACATTGAAAAATCTCATTAATAATGATTAGGTAGCTCATATCTAGTTCTATTCTTGACTTTTTTGCTAAGACAGACAACGTGGGCCCTCCCTTCCTTTTAACTACTTCATTTTCTTCTATAGCATAACACTTGTTAGAGATAGGTAATGCTGTCCGCATCTAAAATTTCTTGTATTTCCTTATTCTTATCCTTAACTATGGCATGACAAGAAATAACTGGCTGTTAAAAATGGTGCTTATCTTGGCATTTTCAATCAAGAAAAAAAATAGTGAGGTAAAAAAAAAAAGAAACAGTGGTCTTTTCGCAACTACCCATTAATTTCGGGATACCACTCAGATGGTAACCATAAGTTATGTGGTTCAGCAGAGCAGTACTTATGGCGACAAACGTCATCATGTCTTTGAATAGAGCTTAACATGAAGAGAAAGGAATATGCATGAGTCTAGCATTTCTGTCGTTTCTTTTGCATTTCGTAAATGTCAATTAGAGGTATCCTACATATCGCTCCAACATTAATTTTTAATGTTACAGGCTAAGAAATTTTTACAAATAGCTAGTATTCACATCTATATTTTTAAAAAGCTAAATCTAAAAGTTTACTTGTTTAGTGCCTTTGCCTCAGCCTACTGCTCCCACGAGTTCAGCCCTTGCACTTTCCTTTTAATTGTAATTAACTGTTTGAAAAGTTCTTAATATATAAATGATCCGTAAATACTTCATTTAATTGTACGACTATTTTTAAATGCTATTTCATCAACATAATCTTTATTGTTTAATTTACTATTAAAATCCAAACGCATAGATAAATAAATTAAAAATGGTTGTTGCATTACATCAATTTGATTATGTTTTTGCAATCGGTATGATCTTTGCATTCTTGGATGCATGGAATATTGGAGCTAATGATGTTGCTAACTCATTTGCTTCTTCCGTGTCTTCAAGATCTTTAAAATATTGGCAAGCTATGATTTTAGCTGCTCTTTGTGAATTCTTAGGTGCTGTTTTAGTTGGTTCAAGAGTTTCTGATACCATAAGAAACAAGATTGTTGATGTTAAAGAATTCAGCGATGAACCTGCCGCTCTTATGTTAACTATGGCTTGTGCTTTAGTTGGTTCATCTCTTTGGTTAAGTTTCGCTACTTCTATTGGTATGCCAGTTTCTACCACCCATTCCATTGTTGGTGCTGTTATTGGTGCTGCTATTGCTGCTAAAGGTGGTAATAATATTATTTGGGGTTGGGCTGGAGTTTCTCAGATTATCGCTTCTTGGTTTATTGCACCACTTTTAGCCGGTATTCTTGCTTCTATCATTTTCTTGTTCTCCAAATATTGTGTTTTAGAAGTCAAGAATCCAAAGACTTCTTTAAGAAATGCTATGCTTTTAGTTCCTTTCTTAGTATTTGTTACTTTCTCAATCTTAACTATGTTAATTGTCTGGAAAGGTTCTCCAAAGTTGAAGTTAAACAAATTATCTGGTCCAACAACTGTTGCTGCTATTCTTGGTACTGGTGCTGTTGCATTTGGTGTTTACATGTTGTTCCTTTACCCATACTACAGAAGAAAGTTAATTCACGGAGATTGGACTTTAAAATGGTATCACATTTTCATTGGACCAATCTACTGGTTCAAATCAACTAGTGATATTCCTCCAATTCCAGAAGATCATAGTATAGTACCAGATTACTATAAAGGTAGAAGATACGAAGAAGAAGGCGGTCATGAATCTTCTGAAGCTGATGAAACCAAACCACATGATACTGAATCTGGATCCTCTATTGAAAAGGGACACGAACAACATTCTAACATTGCCGATGTTGAATCTCAAAAGGCAGTTGTTAAAAAAGAAGAAAAGGTCCCAACTAAGACTCTTTGGTGGAACTTGTTAAAGGCTGGTCCAAAGGAATGGCCACGTTTACTCTGGTTGGTTGTTTCTCACGGTTTTGTTCAAGATGTTATTAGCAACCAAGTCCAACACCAAGATCTTTTATCTGGTGATCTTAAAGGTATGCATCAACGTTCCAAATATTACGATAACAAGCTTGAATTCTTATACTCCTTATTACAAGCCATTACTGCCTCCACCATGTCTTTCGCACATGGTGCAAACGATATTGCTAACGCTACTGGACCTTTAGCTACTATTTACGTTACTTGGAGTACTAATACTGTTGGTTCTAAGAATGATGTTCCAGTTTGGGTCTTAGCTTATGCCGCTGCAGCATTAGTCATTGGTGTCTGGACTTATGGTTATAATATCATGAGAAACTTAGGTAATAAGTTGATCTTACAATCTCCATCCAGAGGTTTCTCTATTGAATTAGGTGCTGCTGTCACTACCGTTATGGCTACCCAATTAGCCATTCCAGTTTCTACTACTCAATCTGCTGTTGGTGCTACTGTATTTGTTGGTTTATGTAACAGAGAACTTAAATCTGTTAACTGGAGAATTGTCGCTTGGTGTTACTTAGGTTGGATTTTCACCTTACCAATGGCTGGTTTGATTGCTGGTTTACTTAATGCCATCATCATTCATGCTCCAAGATTAGGTCAAACTTACTCTTTATCTTCTTAATCGACACTATATAGTATATACACTTTTTATTTCTATTTCTACCCAAGTTTCATATTTTAATTAATTTCTTGTCTTTTAACTTGCTAACACCTTAGTGGTGAAATTATAGAAACTGAATTTTTATAGCGGTTCTCTCTTAAATATTGCGGCGTGGATGTATGTCTCCAATAGAGCACCATTATCAACACTCCCAAATTTTATACCACCACTACCGAATCGTCTATTTAAATACAATTGTAGCCCATTGAACCAACAAACCAGAGATATACTATGACATACGAAGAGAAATTCGATTCAACTTTGGACTTGTTAAGAAGATTAGATCCCAAGTCCATCACTAAGAATCTTAATGATATATGTACTATTATTCAAAATAATGATAGTGATGGGTCAGGAGAAGAATTAGTTCAAGATTTATTATCATCAGTAGATACTCCATTGAAGGTAGGCAAGTGTAAAGATTCAGGAAAAGATTTTTTATGTTGTGATTATAATAGAGATGGAGATTCATATAGATCTCCATGGTCTAATAAGTATTATCCTACACCTCAATCTGATGATGATCAACCTCCACCATTCCCTTCCAATATATTAAGAGAACTTGAAATTAAAGCCAATGATAGTTTTGATATTTATCGTGATTTGTACTATGAAGGTTCAGGAATATCTTCAGTATATTTATGGGATACAGCTGATGATGATGAAAATACTTTACAGGATGGATTTGCTGGAGTAGTATTAATTAAAAAGGAGACTGATGATGGTTCAGGTAAATGGGATTCTATTCATGTATTTGAAATTACTCCTGAAACTTCAACTTCATACTCGTATAAATTAACCACTTCAGTCATACTTGATTTACAGAATCAAAAATTATCGTCATTATCCTTATCAGGAAGTTTAACTAGACAAATTGAGACTACTCAAAGTATTGAAATTGATGGATCTACTAGCTTAGCTACCAACCATTTAATTAATTTAGGTACTTTAGTGGAAAAGTCCGAATTTAACGTTAGAAACTTATTACAAGACGTATACTTTGATAAGCTTAAGGATGTATTATTGAAGGATTTAAGATCAGTAGGAGATGTGGGAGAAAAGAAGCTAGAGGATTTACGACAATCAGAAGTCATTAAGGGCTTACAAACATTATGAAGTATTTGTTTAAATAAATCTTAAAATATAATACATATTAAGAACATCTAACCGACTTATAAATGTATCTAACCGTAACTAAACCAAAACATACCAAAACCGAACCGATTAACCAAAAATAACCAGAACAACATCTAAAGTAACCAAACATCTATTTTTGAGGATTAAACCTCCACCTCGTCATCATCTAATCGTCCATTAAGCGAAATTATAGTGTCATTGCCTGTGGTGTCATTACCTGTGGTGTCATTACCTGTGGTGTCATTACCTATATCTTTATCAAGATCACTACTCTTATCCAAGCTTACAGTTGATCCCGTATCAAGATTATATATAGTTGGAGGTGAAACCGTTGAACCGTTACCTTTATAATCATAATCTTCTTCTCGTAGAGATGCTAAGACATTGGTCTTGACATCATTAACAAACGTCCATATAGATGAAGATACAGTATGAATCATATCTTCAGCATTACTTTTGACTGCAGGTGCACCATATTCTGTATTCAAATACTGATCGATATCTGGATTTGTATTCATAGAAGAAGATTTGGATTTCAAAGGTGATGGCACAGACGAACCATAACTGGAGATAGAATCTTCCGAACGTCGAGGGTTATAAGAATTTGAGGGATTAGTAGCGCTAGTAGTTGGTATCAATGACTTTTCAAACTCATTCAGTAACATTGTATCAATTTGCTGAATGAAATTCAAAGGTTTACTAAGACTACTCCAAATCTTGGAATTAGACTTTATATCTCCATCATCTATGCCTGGCTCAGAGCTGTTCAAGATCCCAGCAATGTTAGGATGAGAATTCGATGAAAGAGTTCTTCTCCTTCTATTTTTTATACTTGCTATAGCTTCATCACGGGGATTACTATTCTGTCTTGGTCTTGATGCTGGGGAATTGGCATCACCTGACTCGGCATTTTTCGTAGCAGAAATAGTTAATTCCTTATATAGTGACCTTTGAATGATTTCTCGTAGTCCATGTAGCTCCTTATCGTGCTTTTCTAGTTTCTTATTGAGATTATTTACTGCATCTTTGATTTCTACTACAGCCATTTCCTTTAGGGCTAGCAACCTTAATTGTTCATCAATATTCATACTTACAAGTTGATCTTGCAGAGGTAATGGTAAATCATATTTCAATTCAGTAGTAATCGAGTTAGGTGTAGGTGACATACTTGGAAATGGTGAAGGATCTTCTGTAACTTGTTGAAGACTATTGGTGGTTATACTACAAGATTTTCTTAATCCTGATGATGTTGGAACTTGTGTTGAAGGTGTGGAACCTGATGGTGATACAGCTAGATTTAAATTAAATCCCTTAGATCTTACAGAACCCGATCGTGATAATCCTCCAAGAGACTTTTTAGTTGATGGTACACTCAGAGTACGAGACAGTGTCAACACCAAGTCCTTGCGAGGGGATGGAGTGCCCACATTTATGGAGATATCATTATGAGAGTCCCCTGGTGGTGGAGTAGTGGACTTAGGCGTCATATTTATGTCCTACTTCTTTGTTAATTATAAGGTTGAATCTTTATAGTAATTATAGTTGATTGTTATCAGTTTGAGATTCAGGATGTCGCGTCTCCAAAAAAAAATTAATGTCGTAATTATCACATTCACTTGAAGATAACAACAGCCGTAACCGACTATAAATAATCAACTAGTGACTTTTACAGGTACTTTTATTAATTAGTGGTGAGTAATACATAGTTAAAAAATATGGAAGATCCAATAGCAATCGCTTGGGGAGATCCTGCCATCAAAAATTGGATCAAATGGGTCGTGATCTTGCTTGCGACTCGTTCCCCAAAGCCGTTTCTATGGTCTAGTTTCTTAAGTTTACACCCAAAAATTCGTCAATTGTTACTTCATAAACGCATTAAGCAGTCATTGGGGAAGTGGAGTGATGGTGTTGATGTAGAAAGAAGACTTAAAAAGACTTCGAATCTTGTCAGTTGTGCCATTCTTTACTTTGCTGCATCCACCAATACCCGACTCCCCAGTGATTACTTACTGATCTACTTATGGATTAATTATTATGGTATATTAAATCCTCCCCTGGCATCTTCAATTATGATATCCCCTCAGTATTCAAAATATTTAAAAATTGAATATTATAAGAATGATAAACTTATGAAACTTTATAATAATAAGGAATATATCATATATCCAATGATCTTTGGTCAAATCTTACTGAACTACTTGACTCCCACGAAGTATAAGTTGAATCAAAGATACCTATCTACATCCATCAAGTCTCGGATTCTAAATCCCATATGGATCAACTATTCATTAGGTGTTAATTCTGAGTATTTGAATTGGGTAGGATTATTAAAGAGTTATACAATTCACCACCTAATGTTAGGTACGGTTGTGGGGTTGTACAATTTCAAAGATCGACTTGTGGATCGATATTATGCCTTGAAGTATAAAATCACTAGACAGGAAACAATTGCAGGGATAATTAAAAACTTTGTGATGTATGTGTTCCACGTTACTAATTCATTAATTAATTTTGCGTATGTACCCAATTTGATAGCCATCTTCTTAATATCGTTAACTGCTCCTATGTTTGCTTATTTGAGTAATGCTAACTTCCCTGTAAAAGGGTTACGAGTTCATTATATGAATCATACCAAACAATATTTTAAGGGGTACACTAGACTAATTGGATTCATAGCTGCCTTTATTACAATTTATCTCAATGATATAAATATCGTGCCTGATGTGGGATACAATCGCAAGAAGCAATTAGTAAATGTCAAGATCGATGATTTGAGTTATATTCAAGAGGAAGAAGAAGTTAAGGAAGAGAATATCCGTAAGATCAGCAAGAGTTTCATCAATGCGCTTAATTTATATTTATTTCGATTAATCTTATTATCGAAATGGCGAATCACTAAAGAGAATCATCCTTCTTTCAGCTCGTTAAAATTGAGTAGTTGGAGAAAGTTAGAGGCGTTATTGGCATGTTACGGAGTCTATAAGGTGATGAACTTGAATGATTTCATCAAGAGCAGTCCCGATCCTCGCCAATACGATCATCTCCGGAAAGAAACATTGATCCGAGTAGTGGATCGAATTATGTAATACTTCCATTAAGTAACTATTTATTGTGTACAGTAGTTGAATAATAAAGAGCTTTTATTTAAGAATACAAACTAACAAACAACTAAACAAATACATCTGGTCAATAACCAGCAGCTCCTGGAACATTGTCCTTACCCTTTAATTTGGTTAACAATTCTTTAAACTTGGACTTATCTCTGGATTCAGAGTCAGGAAGTTCACCAACTTCAGTTACCAACTCATTGACTCTATCCCATAATGTACCTCTTTGTAAGAATTTATCTCTCTTTTCTAAGAATTCTTCTTGTTCTTTTAAGATTTCCTTAGAATGTTGTTCCTTCTTATTATTGTAATTATCATAAAAGTCATCTACAGTCTGTCTGGCAGTAGTCACGATATCGTCTTTCTTTTTAGAATTGGCAGTTTCTCTTTCCTTAATTTCTAAATCACGACGTTCCTTCCATTCCTTCAAATGTACAGACTCTCCTTCGTATTTGTTAGTTTGAGGAGCTGATGATCCAAACCCTTCGAATTCATCATCATCGGCTTCTTCTTGAACTACTGGTGCACTTACACTGTCATCCACTTCAGGAAATTGTTCTTTGAAATCGTTTATATCATTATCGTCATCCTTTAAGAGTTCGTGGTCTTGTTCAGTTTGAAACTCGTCACCCACCAATTCCTTCTCACGAGATAAGAAATCAGTAGCAGAAGTTTCATCTGCACTATCAGGAAGATCGTTTCCGATGGTCTCTATAGCTGGGAATTTATCAGCCATTGTTAAAGTTGGATAATTGACAGCTTTACTGATTAGTAGTGCCTTATTTATAGTAGCTGGAAATTTGTGTCCATTTTAGGAGGCGCGACATGGTTCTGGTGGGGCACACGACATTTGGATGCAATAATGTCGCACCACTTTCATTTAATATTATTCGTATCCTTCTCTATTAATTTATTTATATTTACATCTATACTACTGATTTATCGATACTATAGAGTCGGGTAGAGGTGTCTCTACTTGCCACTGCAAGTAGCAACTTGTTGTCGTGAAATTTGGTGCTGAAACTAAGTTTGGAAATACGGTCAGCAGGGGTAAGACGTTTATCAAAATTTACAATCGGTTCGAATTGTTTGGTTGTTGTGGATAAGTCAAGTTTGAAGATGGTTATGTCACCATTCTCAAGTCCTATGGCGATTACCATGTGGTTGTTAACTAAATCAGTTCCAAAACAAGTGATGGAGGTTATAGGTTCATCGACTTTAATGGTACTGATAGTAGAAATAATATCTGATTCAACTTTCCATAATTTGATGGACTTATCACGAGAAGCAGTGACAAAGAAGTTACCAAATTGGTTAGTAGGTGCCCATGAACAATCCCAGATAATTCTGGTATGAGCTTTAGGGTTTAATTCAATTAGTTCGAATTGAGCTTCTTGTTCATTGGTCACTTTCCATAAACTTAATTGCCTATCTCTGGATACTGCCAATAAGTATTGACCATCGTGTGAGAATTCCAAACTTGTTATAGTTAAGTTATGACCCTCCAATACTTGAGGTGATTGTTGATAGTCTTTATTTGCATTGAAAACTCTTATGACTGCATGTTTAGCAGAATTGGATTTACAAGCAGATGCAATTAAAGCTCCACTTGGAGATGTAGCACAACAGGTAATTTCATACCCATGGCCATATAATTTTTCTAATTCTGGGAAAAGGGTATATCTTTGTAAGTAATCTTCCAAAGGTGGTGTGGTTAAAGTGGAAAGGACATCTTCCTTTACTTGTACAGTTTCAACCTCTTCATCAGCATCTTGCAGTTCTTGAGCTGCTTGTCCTACTTCTTGTTGTTCATTATTGGCCTTATTGGATAATCCTAATACAGGCAAAGATGCTGCTTCTGGTAATGCCTCAACATTCTCTTCTTTTACAATTTCAATATTACAAAGTTTCTTCAATAAACTGTAAATGGAGTTTGTCATTTCAAATACTCTCAATATCTTTTCATCACCACCAGAAACATATTTAGAGCTGGTAATATTATCTAGGCATATCATATCATACCCATGGATCTGTGGTCTGGCGAATTCATGCCATGATTTATAATCTCTATTAGCTACCCAGGGAGCGTAAAGTCGAGCAGTTTGATCGAGTGAAACACTGGTAAAATATTCTCCATCTAAGGACCAAGTCAATCCAGATACTTCCTTAGTTGAACCCGTGACTCCAAGAGTTGATTCAAATGTTTTAGCTTCGGAATCGGTTGACTTATACACTCTGATAGATCCGGTTTTACCATTAGATAAAATATATTGCAGTTGAGTAGTATCATCAATAAACCATAAACATGACCAAAACCCTCCGGAAGCTCCTGTAGCAGTTGAAGCACCCTTAATTGACATTTCTCCAAGCCTATTTACACAAACCCATATTCCTGATTCTTCATCCATTTCCCATACCATTAATGCTGTATCGGCACTGGAAGATAATAACTGTAAACGTCTATCTGATAAGGCACTGCCAAATCTATAACTTGGATGCCACTGTAATCCCGTGACCCAATCATCGTGTCCCATTAATAAAGCTTCAAAACTGAATGCACCTCTTGAATTGGCTCCGATATTAAACTTATATTGCTTGTTGGATAAAAGAATTAATTTCAGTTCATCTTCATCTGAATCATCTATAAGCTCATTCAATTTCAATCTCCACAATCTGATGTATCTATCTTGAGATCCACTAGCTAATATATAATTCTTATACTTAGCATCCGTAACAAACTGTAAACATTTAATCCAATCTTCATGACCACTCAAGACAGCTGATTCGGTAAATCCTTCAACTTGGCCTGAACTATGTAAGTTGAATGTATAAATATAAACATTTGATGTTGTACCTCCTACAGCTAAAAGATAATTACCATTCTCATCAATGTCCTGTAAGGCTAGTGATAATGGTAAGAAACTAGCTTTAACTTGGAATTTATGAGCCAATTTGAAATGTAAATCTATAGCATCATATGTCCATAATATGACATTCCCATCTGCACCTCCTGTAACAAATACACTTTCATTTATTACTGCTAAACATGTAATAGAATGCTCATGACCTTCCAATGTTTGGTACAACTCATACGAATCCTTAGATTTCTGCCACACATTGACTTCATAATCTTCTCCTGAAGATACTAAATAATCACTACCAGGTATAAATCTTACCCCGGTAACTTCTTTATTATGTTTCTTCAATGTAGTGGTAACTCCTCTCAGATCGGATGCTAATGGATTCCACAAGGCAATAGTATTACCTGCTCCGTATGCCACTAATTTTTCACTACCATTATAATCTACCGTAAAGGACTGTCTGTTGGCACCAATGAATACCGCCTCCTGACTCACTATAGCGTCTGACATTTCCCCTAAACTGTCACTGTTCGGTTTCCCCAGCCTTGAGGTGTAGCGATGCTCTTCCCAAATTTTTCATAATTTTCAGTGAGCGGCGGGCTTCGTGTTGTGTGCAGGTACTAACAAAATAAGTCCATAACTCCACTGTTTACTGAACCTTAGTGGACAGAGGTAAAGGACGAAGTTACCCAGAAATTTAAGTCAATTATCAATAGAATGGTATCAGCGTAAGTGATTATGATAGTGGATGATATAAAAGCCAAATTCAGTAAGTTACTAACCAAATTTTAGAGTGCTTTTGGTGCAAAAGGCGACGCCCGACACCATAACGCAGTTTCACGATCAACTCTCCAACGAACTTCCATCGTTAAAGGGTAAGTGGAACTTTAACTTCAAGATTTTTCGTAATAATCCATACTCGTTGGCTCCAGAAGTTGCCGAAACCGCCACTGTTTCTACTGATGCTCAATTCTTGTATACACTATCGCCTTCGTACGTCAATGAGTGTACCATAACTCTCATTAACAAAAAGTCGTTAGGAGTGTTCACGAATTTGATTAGGGAAGAAGCAAGTGAGCTGGCTAAAGAATTGAGTATACCTGATCATCACTTACATAGAGGTGCTACTACAGGACTCAATGATCCATTTGATGTGTTTGTATCGCAAAAACTTGAAAGTTTATGGACTCAGAGACAGTTAATTCGAGGTGACGGAGGTCAGATCTACGAGTTAGAGAATGGTAATCTCATAATAAGAACTTCCAATGTATTTTTGCATGGGAATTTTAGAGGTCTACTTATTCAAATCGAGCTAAACAACAATTTGGTGGCTACTGGTGATCCACAGTCGTTTCTTGGCTCATTTGAAAAAGTTAGACAAAAGTACGGCATACCGGAGGGAGACATCTGTTGTGATGTACTTGACTCAAAGTATCTTGATAAGTATGGGGATTTGTGTCTTCAATATGCTGAAATCTTGAACTTTTAGTTTAATTTTGTATTATTTGTATTTAGTTGTACTAGAATGTAATATATACTGTTATTTATAGGATTTTATATGATTTGATTTATATGTGTAAACACGTGATTACCAATCACCTGAGTACCACATATAATTTACTTTCAGTTCCGGACGCTCGGATATCCCAATTTTTTTTAGAGATGAGAAGAGTTTTTCAGTAAACCCATCTGCAAAAACACCTTTGAACTCCAACAAATCTACAAGTAATAATGGCTAGGAAAAGTGGAGTGAGGAGTAAGTCCACTCAGGCATCCCGAAAGCAGAGCCGTGAAAAGGAGGAAGAAACATTCCGAAAATTACAAGAAAGAATCGAATCATATGATCCATTAGTAGATGAAAAGTCTGTATCACAATTCAGTGATTTACCCATTACTGATAGTACATTAAAGGGATTGAAAGAAGCTAGTTTTGTTTCAATGACCGATATCCAGAAGAAGACTATTCCACTTGCATTAAAGGGAGAAGATCTAATGGGATATGCCAAGACTGGGTCCGGTAAGACCCTTGCATTTCTTATCCCCACCATTGAATGTTTAATAAGAAACAAGATTACTGAATTTGATGGATTAGCTGCATTGATAATTTCACCTACTCGAGAGTTAGCAGTTCAAATCTTTGAAGTGTTAACTAAAATAGGGAAATATAATACATTTTCTGCTGGATTAGTTACTGGAGGTAAAGATGTGAAATATGAAAAGGAAAGAGTATCACGAATGAATGTTTTAGTTGGAACTCCAGGACGTATTTCTCAGCATTTAAATGAAGCTGTAGGTATGGAAACATCCAATTTACAAATGTTGGTGCTTGATGAAGCCGATAGGTGTTTGGATATGGGATTCAAAAAACAAATTGATAGTATTCTTGGACATTTACCACCCACTAGACAAACATTATTATTCTCAGCTACTCAATCTGAAAGTGTTAGAGATTTAGCTAGATTATCATTAACCAATCCTAAACGTATTGGTGTATCTAGTGATCAAGAAATTTCAGCCACTCCTGATACTTTAGAACAATTCTATATCAGAATACCGTTGGATGAAAAGCTTGATGTATTATGGTCGTTCATTAAATCTCATTTAAAGAGTAAGATTCTTGTATTCTTCTCATCTTCTAAACAAGTCCAATATACTTATGAAACATTCCGAACATTACAACCAGGTATTTCATTAATGAAATTATATGGAAGAAATAAGCAAACATCAAGATTAGAGACTACAGTAAAATTTTCTCAAGCTCAATATGCATGTTTATTTGCTACTGATATTGTGGCTAGAGGATTGGATTTCCCAGCTATAGATTGGGTTATTCAAGTAGATTGTCCAGAAGATGCATCTACATATGTTCATCGAGTTGGAAGAGCCGCTAGATTTGGTAGACAGGGGAAATCATTACTCATGTTATTACCTACCGAAGAAGAAGGTATGCTCAAAAGATTACTGGCCAATAAGATTGAACCTAAATTTATGAATATTAAACAAAAGAATAAGAAGACCATTAGACCCCAATTACAGTCTCTTTGCTTTAAGGATCCTCTCATGAAGAATCTTGGACAAAGAGCATTCATATCATACTTTCGAGCCGTATATATTCAAAAGGATAAAGATGTATTTAATGTAGAAGCCTTACCATCCGATAAATATGCAGCATCCCTTGGATTACCAGGAGCTCCTAAAATTAAAATTAAGGGAGGTACGGCTGGTAAAGAAAAGAAGAATGCCTCTAGAAAGTTAGTGGAATTGGCTAAATTGGATGATGATGGTGAACAACAGCAACAACAACAGAAAAATAAAGACGATGGTAAGGTAAGAACCAAATACGATAGGATGTTTGAAAGAAAGAATCAAACTGTGTTATCAGAACAGTATTTGCATATGACCGGTGCAGATGGAGAAGGAACTGATGAAGAAGAAGATTTCATGACTGTCAAGAGACAAGACCATCAGCTTATAGAAGAAGAATTACCTGATCTTAGTGTTCCAGTCAGTAAGAGACAAGCCAAAAAGGCACTTTCTAAAAAGGCATCTATTGCCTCTAAGGGTAATCCATCTAAATTAAAATTTGATGATGATGGAGTAGCCCATGCCATCTATGAATTAGAAGATGAAGAAGACTTTAAGAAAGCCGGAGATGCCCGTGACCAGAAGGCAGCATTTGTATTAAAGGAAAGTGAAGTAATGAATGAAGCAGATGTGGAAGATAAGGCCACAGCCAGAGAGAAGAGACAGGAAAAGAAGAGAAGACGGAAGGAGTTGGAGAGACAAGCGAGAGAGGAAGAGGAAGACTATGAATCTGCTGATGACAATGATAACCAACTCACTGCTGATTTAGACAGAGACTTAGAGTACTCTGAGGATGAACAGCCAGTGGCTAAGAAACCTAAATGGTTTGAAACTCAACCAGTCAGACCAGCAGCTAGAGATAATTTAGTAGAGATAGATGAACCTGAAACGTTGGAAGATTTGGAATCCTTAACTGCCAGATTACTTAATGGTTAGACTAGTGTAAGTGTATATATGCAAATATTATTAGTAATGTATAGAATTAGTATATATATATATATCTAGATCTAAACAAATGATGGAGTGGCAATGATCTTACCGTCCACCTTCCCTAGACGGATGATATTGCCCTTAACTTTTTGGCCTTGTTCGTTAGCCATCTCTACATCAGGATCTGATTGGACCAGCTCAGTTTCGGGGACATTAAGCACTATAAGTTCTTGTAGGAAAGTGGTAGGAGCTCCATTAGTGACATCTAAATTGATATCATTACCGATATTTATAGAGACTTTCCCTGATTGGTGGATGTTGAAGTGACCAATGTGGCCATGGATATGTGGTGATGGTGGAGAATCATTTTGTGTAGGATCTTCTGCCTTAACAGTGGACTTTGGTTGGTACTGGGGTAAGATTTTGGGTAATTGGAATAAGATAAATTCTTCATCTTCCTGGTCATTGTCGGTATTCAATTCCGACATTCGGTCAGCTAGAAGATCCACAATGTGATGATGGTCTGTGAGTAACTTATCGTGCTCTTCATTAGAGGGATACGATTGGGCTGCTGCTGAAGCTGCGGGAACTTCTGGCTGTGGTGTATCAACTGCAACTGCTACTGCTCCATCATCTATCATCTCTTCCTTTACTGGTGTACTCTCTCGTGAAGCTGGTGCACTAACTCCCTGGTCATCCTGTCGCTCTGGTCTGACCGGGAATAGCTGTGTATCCTCTTCATTAAATCGATACTGTTTTGTCATATCGATCTTGGTTATATCATCATCGTCATCGGACTCATCCGCTACATTACCATTACCATTCCCATTCCCACTAATGCCTGGAGATTTACTACTAGTTCCCTCTTTAAGTCTGAGATTCTGGATGAATTCCGGAGTAGAAGATACGGAATTGGTATTATAAGCTCGATCTTTAGTGAACCCTAGTTTAGATCCACTAGCATTACCTAAAGATACTGAACCTGAAGATAATGGTCCGGACAGTACTAAATGAGTTCCGGCATAGTTATTCCGACCTCCTCGACCTCTACCTCGTCCACTACCTCTTCCTCTACCATTTCCAGCAGGTAAACGTCCTGACAGTTCTTCCTTAACTTGTATTGGAGCATCTTTAGCTCTTTCTTCTTTACTCTTTCGAGGTACTACTTTAGGTTTGAATTTAAGAGCCACTTTAGGGGCAGGACTAGGAGCCTTTTTGGAGTTTAGCGACTCCAACCGATTGGACATCTTACTGGGATTGTATTTATGATTCAGTAACTGTGATACTGATTCAGTACCTCCTTATTTTACTGACGCTAACTCTGCTCTCACAGTTACTTAAGCTCGGTAACTTGGAGTACCTCTCACTAAAAATTTTCGAAGTCGCACTAAATTTTTCAAATCCTCGCGAGATGAGATGTACTTAGCGAGGAATCATTACTGATCTTACTGACACTTACTGACACTTTACAGGGACACAGTATGGCCAGAAGGACTCAGAGTAGTAAAAACAGAGAGACTGACGTAGAAGTCGGTGAAGTGGATGCCTTCCATGCCAACAGAGAGAAAATCCTCTTGGATGAAGCCGCGGAGTACGCCAGACAAGCTTCTAGCGACGAAGAGTCTGATGAAGAAGTGATGGGCATTGATGAGAACAGTGAAGACAGTGACGAAGAAGAAGGCAATGAAGAAGGTGATAGTGAGGAAGATGACGACATCTATGGCGAAAATGAAGAGGAAGAAGCTCAGGAAGAGTCAGGTTGGGGAGGTAAGAAGAACTATTATGGTGGAGATGAAGTTAGTGATGAAGAAGATGCTAAGGAAATCACAGAAGAAGCTTTGAAACAACAAAAGAGACATTTACAACAGTTGGCCATGGCGGATTATGTGGATGAAGATATGATGGAGAACTGGAAAAAGGCTGCTGAATCATCGGTAGAGACAAAGTCTACTACCCAATTAAACATCAGTACTGCTGAGTTAGATGATAGTGAAAGACTTGAATTATTACATCAGACATATCCTGAATTTGTTCCTCTTGTTCAGGAGTTACACCTGCTTAAACCGCGACTTGTGGAGCTTCAAAGTAAGAAATCTAATGAACTTTTAACGGTTAAATCCGTAGCATTATCTGCCTATTTGGCTTCAATAACTTCATACTTTGGCATCTTTATAGACAACTTGAAAACTGGTGAGACCTTCACTATGAAGGATAATCCTGTAATGGAGACAATCTTGAGTTCTCGTGAAATTTGGAGACAAGCCAATGAGTTACCAGAAGTTGGTGTAGTCAGAAGATCAGTACAAGCCGAAGAAGAGTATGATGAAGAAATAATACCTGAATTTGAAGATGATTATGATGAAGATGATGAATCTGAGGAATCTGAAAGTATTGACGATGAACAATTTGTGGATGCCAAGGAGTCACAAGACGATTTTGATATTGATATCAATACTTCCAGACACATTAAACGAGCCACTAATAACTCTACCAACAGTAATGACTTTACTGAAACTGCACAACCTGATGATGTAGATAGAGAAGAGAAACAACGTCGGAAGAAGACATTACGATTCTATACTTCGAAGATTGATCAATCATCGACCAAAAACAATGAACGATTCTCTGGAGATTTGGACTTACCATACCGAGAAAGATTATTTGAAAGACAACAACGATTGATTGAAGAAGCCCGAAAGAGAGGGTTGGGACTTGATAAGAACCAATTGGGTGAAGACTTGGATACCAACGATATGGACTTTGATGAAGAACAACTTGCCCAATCCATTAACCATGGACAAGATGATGCATACTATAATTCACTTAAGAATAGTAAACAAGTTAAGAAACAAGTACGTATTCAAGCTCATGAAGCTGCAGTAAAGGCTGCCAAAGATGGGAAATTGGCAGAATTACAAGAACTGGTGGGTGAAGATGGTAAAAGAGCCATTAACTATCAAATTCTTAAGAATAAGGGACTTACCCCTCATAGAAAGAAGGAATACAGAAATTCCAGAGTTAAAAAGAGAAAACAATATGAGACAGCTCAAAAGAAACTCAAGTCAGTTAGACAAGTTTATGATGCTAATAATAGAGGACCATATCAAGGAGAAAAGACTGGTATTAAGAAAGGTATATCCAGATCGGTTAAGTTGGTGTAGGATTTCATTTGTATGTCCAATTGTATATCACTATATTCTCAATATATATATGTATATTATTTGTCAGGGTATAGTCACTATAGATTATATATCATATACGTACTTAACGACTGAATTGAATATCATCAATTCTCAAGATAGATTTAACACATTCAGAAGCTAAAGTAATGGCACTAGTACTTACTAATACTGGTTGTAAAACATGTTCATCATAAGTATTAGAAGCTCCTGATCTTCTAACTGAAATTCCTGCATTCTTTTCACCATTTTCATGTCTATTTCTTAAATCAGTTACTACATTAATTGGATTTAATCCTGCATTTTCTGCTAATGTAGTTGGAATAACTTCTAAAGCTTGAGCGAATTCTTGATATACAAATTGTTCAACTCCAGTTAATTTATGAGATTCTTTCATTAAGATTCGAGAAATTTCAACTTCAGGAGCTCCACCTCCAGCAATTAAAGCTTTTTCTTTAACTAAACATCTTATAACACATAATGCATCATGTATAGATCTTTCAGTTTCATCTAAAACTAATTGATTAGCCCCTCTAACAATTACTGATACAGTTGGTTTAATAGTTTTTGATGTTACTCCAGTAATTTTAACAATTTTAGATCCAGAACTTTCAACTTCTTCAACTAAATCTGCTGATCCTAAACGATCTTCTGTAAAATTATCAATATCAGCAATTGGTTTACAACCAGTTGATTTAGCTAAGAATTCAATTTCATCACGTTCAATATCTTTAATTACTAAGATATTTAATTTTGAAAGAAAATGTAATGCTAAATCATTAACAGCATCTCTTAAAATTGATTTTTGAATTAATAACACATTACATTTGGCCTTTTTAATCTTTTTACAAATATTTAATAAATAAGCTCTTTCCTCCTTTAAAATCTTATCCATTTGTCTATAATCATTAACCACCACATTATTTTCCATATCAGGTTTTGGAGGAGATAATTGAAATTGAATTAAACCAATTTTAGCTTTATCAATTCTAGTTGGACCTCCAGCATTTTTAACTACATTTTGAGTTAAAACTACTCCATTAATTAATTCTGTATCATCAATAGTTCCTCCAACTTTTTTAATTAATCGAATATCATTTAAATCTACATTATTTTCTTCTTCATTTATAACTTTTAATACTGAATCAACAGCAAGTGGAGATAAAAGTGATGAATGTTGACTAACAATTTTTGATGATAATGATGTTGAAGCAGCTCTAATTAATTGTTCACGATCTTCAAGTTTAATTTTATATGACATATCTAAAAGAATTTCACAAGATCTAATGGCTGCTCTTTGAAATGATTCAGCAATTAAAGTTGGATGAATTCCTTTATTTAATAATCTATCAGCGGCTCCTAATAATGATCCAGTTAATATAGCAACTGTTGTTGTACCATCTCCTGCTTCAACATCTTGTGCAGCACTTACATCTACCAACATTCTAGCAGCAGGATGTAATACTGCCATATGCTTTAAGATGGTTGCTCCATCATTAGAAATTATAATTTGTCCATTTTTAGTTCGAATCATTTTATCCATCCCTTTTGGTCCTAATGAAGTTCTAATAGCATCTGATACTGCTCGAGCTGCTAAGATGTTGGCTCTACGTACTTCTTGAGGTTTTTCTTTATCTTTGAAAGTGGCATTGGATGGCGCTACCAGGGCCCGAGGAACTGCTGTAGTCATATCGGTGATAGTAATAGTGATGCCCGTAAGTAATACAAGTAATTAGAAAAGGTTCTTAAGTATGAGCAGGATAATTTTTATGGTGGTGAAATTTTTCGTCGCGTTCGGTTTTTTTTGTTGTCGAGAGCGGCACGTGAAAGGACATGTGACTTTTCACGTGTGCTTCTCATCTTGAAAACTTACTAATAGTCATAAACTATAATTATTGCTATAGTATCAGTTATACTTAGTGGTTAGAGGTTTAGTGAATAGAAAGATGACTAAGGAGGAGTACGTGACATTCGAAACCATCGAGACTTCGAAGCATGAGATACTTTCGTGTTCGTATTCGCAGTGGTATGAGTTATTGAAGAGTCATACTGTAGAATCAAAAATCATCAAGCCATTACCACAGTCGTTTATAGAGTACTTAAATAGTGACAGTATAAAATTGCCTCCAGCTCATAACTACGATCCAGAGCTAGTGATAAACAGTGATAATGAGTACAGTGACTGGGAAGAAGATGAACAGGAACAGGAAGATGAAGAGGCAGGAGATGCAGATGTAGATGCAGATGCAGATGGAAATAAAGACGGAGATGGACATGAACATCAGATTACGGTGTCTGACTTTCAGGATCTACATGATCAGATAATAAGTAATATACACGAGTTAGGAGGAGTAGTAACTCCAAAGTTAAACTGGTCCGCTCCTAAAGATGCCAAGTGGATGATGCCGGATAACACCATCCGATGTGACCATGTCAATGATATATATTTATTATTAAACACATCGGATCATATAGTCGATGATTTGGATTATCCATTTGCTAGTGTTGATTTGGAACAAGATGGTTTGAATTCTAATGATGTGAATGTGGATGTCGAATATGAGCTTGTGCTTCGAAAATGGATGGATATCAACCCCGCCTTAGAGTTTCGAACTTTTATAAAGGATAATAAAATTATTGGCATATCTCAACGCGATTTAAATCATTATATGTATTTAGAAAGTCTTAAAGAAACCATACATGATAAAATTCATAATTTTATCTACGATACAGTTATACCAGTTTTATCTGAAAAATTAAATTTATCAAAGTACATCGTCGATGTATACATACCCAGACCATTCAATAAGGTATACATTGTAGATATTAATCCATTTACTAGGAAATCAAGTCCATTACTATTCACTTGGAATGAGCTTTTGCTCATAGATACTTTGGGCCACGATGAAGATAACTACGAATTCAAGTTGGTCAATGAAACCAATTTGGGTAGATTTGCTAAAAAGGAATATAGTGAAAGTCAGGTACCTTATGATGTAGTAGATGCATCTATGAATTCTGAGGCTATGATAGAGTTAGCGAGAGAGTGGGATAAGTTACAAGTTCAAACAGAGTAGGATAGAAAAATAAGTTTTAAGTGTATGAAGTGTATGTCTTAAGTGTATCTAGTTACGATCTAGTGTAGTTACGATCTAGTGTAGTTACGATCTCGTGTAAATAGTAGTTACGATTTAGTGTAAGTAGTAGTTACGGATATGTGCATAGATCAGCTTGAATGGTAATATCCATTTGTGTATTTAAACATCTGACTCCCCCACCATTTTTGCAGGTGGGACCCCTTCCCAAATAGGAAGTTGATCCACCCTATAATTACGACTTCTTCTTACAAAGCTATACTGAACAGTCAATTCAAATGCTGAAACAAGTCATCGAATGATACAACAGTGACTTCTACAGTACAATTGGACCTCATTACATCACGGGGTATTCTTTTCGCTGACTTAATGGTTAATAGACGAGAAATCTCCCCGTATTTGAGAACTTCCCCCACCCTGTAACCGCAAACGAACCACAAAAATAATTTCCCATAACTTCCAAGCAATGTATTTATAACGGCAGTTTCTCCTTTAGGATGAACGTTGCTGTGACAGAAATTACAGTATCATAACAATAGTTACTTACAAGTACAATTAATAGTATAAGTACAAGTACGACAAATACTTACAAGTATAATTCATAGTTGATAATGGTTACTACCACCAAATTAGATAAACTGAATATCTTTCTTCCCGAATACAGAGGTAGATTAACAGAAGGTATTACCTACGATGGAAGAACCAATAAGTTGTTATGGGTTGATATTATAGTAGGAGAAGTTCATCGTGTAGATTTAGACTCTCCTAGTTCTAGTCATGAGGTGCTTAAATGGGGATCTGAAGAAGAATCTATTGGAGCTATCGCATTAACATCCAACCCAGATATAGTCCTTGTGTGTGGGAAATATGGTGTTGCAAAGGGTGATTTCCAACATAAGCTGATTGAATACTTTTTGAAGTATCCAGTAACCGAATCTGAGTCGAAAAGATTAAGATCCAATGATGGAATTATCGATCCATGGGGTAATCTCTGGATCGGATTAATGAATGATTTCCCTATTACTAAAGCAGAAGGAGTAAAACCAGAAGGATATTTGTATAGAATTAATTATAAAGATCTTACTGTAGATACTATGCTTGATAAGACATTAATTGCCAATGGATTGGCATTTTCTGAAGATGGAAAGACATTATATTGGACTGATTCATTAACATTTACCATCTGGAAATTTGACTATGATTACAAGACAAATTCTTTAACCAATAAAAGAAGTCATGTTAATATTAAAAATGTATTCCCAGAATTCGAAAGTCCTGAACCAGATGGACTAACCATGACTAAAAATGAAGAAATCTTTTCTGCTGTATTCAGTACTAATTCAGTTATTCATGTGAATAATCAAGGTGAATTATTAGAAAAATTTGAAATCCCAGCTGAGAAAATCACCTGTGTTATTAGTGGTGGTAAGAACAATGACGAATTATATGTTACAACAGGACATATAGAATTGTTAGATAGCACAGCAACAATAAGCGCTGAAGATTTACAAGGAGATTTAGGCGGATTTTTATTCAAAATCAAATTACCAAAGTCAATTAATGGCCAAGCAAAGAATATTTGGGGTGGTCAAGTGTGAAATAAAGTTGATGTATAATTAAAAGTAAGAATATATGGAATTGTCATTAATTATTATCGTATACTGTTGCGTTATGCTATTCATGTAGATATTTCTCTGGGGTATTCCCTTTCATTGTACTAAAAAAGAAACTAAAGCCGAACGATACATGTACAAAGAATGTGTCCATAAGTAGCTGCTGTAGGTTGCCCGCTTGTCTAATGCCAAAGCCTCCTGTCCTTATTGTCACAATTTTTGGCAACACTTGACCTTTGTTCTTTTTTTCTTTATAAGGCGTTTTATACTTTTTATGCTTCAGAATGCTAACTGGTTTGCTTTTCACCATGTTACTGAGAATACCTATCAGGAAATCCCCATATATCCGAGGGTATTATAGTCACTTTGAAACTATAATTTTGGCGTATTTATTGATATCTAGTCCAACTTTGACGGCAAAGTAAACTGGAGTATCGTCTGGAAGAATCAATAACATGTAGATTCCGAAGAACAACAACAGCTTAAAATATCTTTTTCAATCTTATATATCTTTGGTTATAGATTGTTATTATATAGAGAACATAATACTTTTTAAATTACATTGACCTTAATAAACAGTCTCTGATAATCTAGCTTCAGCATCTGCCTGATTTGGTAACTTGGTTTACATAGAACGTATAAGCTTAAGTTGCAAAACAGCAATACAGAAAATCGATTCAAACAATTTTTAACTTTTCATTGGGGCTCATTATTTAAGCTTCCTTGGCAACATTAAATTCTTAAGGTTAACAACTTTGTAAGTCCTATTGTCCCGTTGGTACATGTACGGTATCAGTCAAAGTTATGTAATAAGAACCCCTCTCTCCTTTGGTACATTTTGTCTGTATGGAAGCCGATTTAATGTAATCAAAGTTGAAAGTTCCTTTTCTCGAGGCGTAGCATTACTTACTACAACCTGTAATGCAACTAGCACCTGTGCATTACAAAGGAAAATTCCATAAAATTTATAAAGGAGCATGATTTTAGCTAGTCAGTCGCCCTGTCGCTCGGCTGATCAGTAGAATTACAACGTATCCATATCATTCCTGGGTTATCTTGCCTCAATTTTGGCTTCTCAATTTACACTGCCCAGAATTGATCCCTTGGTTTTAACAATTCTATTATGCTTTTAGATTTCTCGTTGTTTATTTTTAAACCTAATCAACCGGAATATATGCGCTGTTCGTAACGCAAGGTTTAGCCAATCAATTTCTCTTCTTGGAACTCCGTCTATGTACACTTGGTTAAACTATGTTCCTTCATAACCTGTAAGAAATCAGAATAGTGTTCTGATTCTTGTTATACAAAGAAGATTAGCTATTCACATCAGTCCACTTTTAACTCGCACTTATCTACATTAACTAAAGATGCGAAACTGCTAAAGCAGAAGTGTTGTACAAACAAACTGTTTGGAGTTAGTAAAATAATCTCCAGTAGCCAAATCAGTAAATAAAAAAATCAAATGTGTGTAACTGCCATCTTGAAGTGCTGGTTCAATTTGTCAACTACAACACTTGAGGCTGGAGAGTGAGCTATTAATTACCCTAGTAGAACTATTAATAGTTTGCAAGTTACTTGTGCTGTCAGAAATTGGTCAGAAATTGATCAGACTGCCTCTAATACCTAAAGCTATATTCTGCCTTGGTGGGGTTCTCTAGGTCTTGGGCAAGTATTAGCGAAGTATAGTAGATCAATGAATACAGCACCCTTACAGTGACTTCGTTATGATTAATTATTTATTTACTCTATATAAAACAATGACATATATGGATAAAGAAAAATAATGAGTATATCGTCAATATTACACTCAAATATTAATAATAACTGACCAGTCTTCTGTACAGTTGATAGCCGGTAAATGTCCTTCTGATACATAGTTTTGCATCATGAACTGCTATCCTGTATAGAATCATACAAGCTCCAAACACAACCCGTTCTAGCTCAAAAGACAAAGTTAGTGTATAACGTCTTAGCAGTTTTTCCAAGCCTTTCGTGCCACCAAGTATCCTTCCAGTTGAGAGCAACCTATTTTAAATTTACGTTTCAAGTGATGTAATGATTCATTGTACTAACTAATGTACCAAGCAACCCTACTAGTTGAATAAATAAATTTACAAATGCATTAAAAGCATACCAAAAGTATATGCATAATATCAATCACTCTATATGTGTAAATGGTCACTTTCTATTATGACATATGATCCAAATGAAACGATTGAAAACTAGTTCGAAATTTTCACCATACTTTACTGCATGTTCATGCACTTTACTGTACTGGATTGCCGATGTAAGTGAGGAGCCAGTTTTTACGTTCTCTAATGTAAGCTTTGGTCAGATATGTCCCAATCCTCCTAAGAGCATTTCAATTTCGGGATTTGTTTTGATAAATTGTTAAAACACGCTGTATAAACTCTTCCACTAACAGATTTTCTTCTATTCCTCCTACTCTTAAATCGTTTAATTTATGATTCATTATCGATAACCTATTGTCGTTATTTGATATTATTTCATTATTTAGCTTCAATTCCTGAGGCGATTTTAGCAATTTTATTAGAGTGAGTAAATGAAACTGTAAAGATTTCTCTTGAAGCATCGCCTGTATTATTGGGTCCTGAAGAACCTCATCAAACTCGCTATTATCTGTTACAATTTCTGGTTCTGTATGTTTTGATTGATTCAACGAGATAGGAATTTCATTCTTCTTATCACTAATTGAATTGCCTTGATTGGTTTGTTTATGATTTGATTGATGACTCTCACTTTTAAAGCATATTAATGAGCAATACGGTATTGAACATTGCGGACATTTGTATTTGGCTGGATTAATGTTGCACACTCCACATGTGGTATTCAAGGCGTTGCTTTTATTGTCCATAATTATTTGCAATTATAGTTCTACAATTTACTCACCAAAACTTAGAGCACAGCGTTACAGTTTATATCATATCGTATGATATCGTATCGTGCAACCTCTCATCTCATCTCCATATTTTCAAGAATGTATGTATCTATAAATGTCGTTTCACATATTTATGTTAAATGTCTCTTGAAAAGTCGCGACATTCTTCATGTGTATTAAGCTTTTTAGAATAAAGCCATCGGCTACTCACTCCACTGCCTTTCATATAAACAAGTGTTCTTAGATAATGCTTAGTAATGAAAAATCTTGTGCAAGTGGAATGACGTAAAAACCTTCAAAATTTCACGGATTATATGCTCCATTTTCTGGCAAAAACGAGAAGGATATCGATTGTTTTGCAAATTATACTAGGCAGTTGCATACCCAATGCTATGCATATTCAGGAGAAAATAGCTTGTTTGAATTGCTATCTCTCTTCAAGGAATTATAAACTTATTTGACTCGTGAATTCAGGAAGTAGTTACCTTCCTTTCTTAGAATTCCTTTTGTTTCATTTATTCGCCGGAATTTTTACGAGGTCTACAATGTGCACAGGAAAACCGCTAGGTCTAATTCGGTCCTACCTTTTTGAGTATTTACTTTTTATATGGTGATATTTTACATGTCCTATACACTTTACACTTTGACTATTTTTATACTAAGAAATACTTTATATCGACCAATTCCGAACAATCAGCAAATACTCCTTTAAAAACTGGCTATAAAAAACTAGGCGCACAAAACTAAAACGGAATTTTAGAAAAAAGTTAAATAGATGGGTCGTTCGCTTACCATAATTTGCAGCAATTTCGCGGAGACAAATTATCGTTACCAAAAGGTTTTCCCAGCTACAATAGAGTATTGATTTTACGCAATCGTTTTTAACGCTATAAATTAAGAATTTATATTCATTTTAATTAAACTCTAGAAAAGCATACCCGCTTAATCTGAAAAACCGTAAACTAAGAAATTGGATGTTTTGAATTGAAAACCATAAAAGAGTGAAGTGACACTGAGTGCATGCATGCAATATTATACTTAATATTAGTAAATTAAAAAGTAGTTGTAAATAAAATTAATTGAATCAAAAAAAAATGCAGTAAGACGTAAAGACATGACAACGTTTACCATTCAAATTGATTTAACGATGGCTGTGAAGGTAAAGAGTAAATTTGTTGCATAAACGAAGCCTGTTGTCCAAGACTTTGAGATGGAAGCTGTGGACGATGAATAGGAAGCTGAAATTGTTGTTGAGGATGTTGTTGAGATTCGTTTTGAAATTGAGGTACAGAACTTGCTAACATAGGAGGACCCTGGGGTTGAATTTGAGGCAACATTGTGAATTGATGGAATAAAGGTTGAATAGGAGCCTTATAATGATGTTTAAATGAATAAGTATAGAGTTGTTGGTGTAAAGGTAATTTTCTTCTCTTAACGTCAGAATATGGAGTTAATGGAGTTAATGGAGTACAACATGTTGACGACAACGGAGACACTGTGACAATTGGAAGAGGGAGGGGGAGTTGGCCCATGGTAGCGGTTGACTTCTTAGATATTGGTGTTGCTAATGGTGTGGCGGATAATGGTGATTTATGAATTTCACTACCTGGAGTTAATAATATTGGCTGTTCATGCAATAATGATTGGGATTTGGCAATAATTGCACTGGCAGGTTCATGCACAGTTAACTCAACGAGAGCCTTAAATTTACTTATTATCGAAGTAGATAATTTAAAAACATGACTACTTGATAGTATATTCCAGAAGTTGTAATCTTTTGATAATTTGATAAAACTTAAACTGTAATTGACAGAACATAAGAAATAACTTTCCAAGGAATTTATTAATTTCAAATCTATTTTAATAATTTTTTTGTTGTGGTTATTATCCAAAGTTGACTTTCCCATGGTATTATTGATAATAATTAACCATGTCTTCAATGTATAACTCTGATCATCAAAACATTTATTTGATAAAATCAAACTGACAATGATTAAATTAATTATTAATGAATAGTCAATAGAAACATTTAATTCTTCAGAATCGGAATCCTTGAAAGGTTGTGAGTTGTGATTCAAAATGCCATTATAATTATAGTACTTATATAAGTAGTACAAACTTATAATCAAATTTGAACGAGTAAGTTGACTATTTTCAATTAACTTCCTTATAAAATTTCCATACTTTCTATTGAATTCTTGAAATTTTTGAATCGTTGCTAAATTACTATTCTTAGATGATATTATAATCCATGCAAATTTTATATAGTTGTTAATGTAAAACAGATGCAGATTGGTACTATCTAAAGTCATCTTTATATTAAGCGGTCTAAAGCTACCCGCTAAATGTTTGGATGATACTTTAGATGGGATAATGAAGGAAATATCCTGTTAAACAGAAAAGAAAAGGATTAAGTGTAGTTTTTAAACTGTAGTATGGTTTTAATTGATTTTATTATTAATATAGGGAAACTGAAATGATTATATATAAGTGTGATATACAAGATAGAAATGAACCCAAAATTAAATAATCAATGGTTGTGAAAATGAGCAGCCTTAATTTACATTTTAGCAAAATCAAAGAAAAAATAAAAAAAACAATTAAAAGGTATGTAGGAAAGCTACATAATTATCAGTTTATTTTCTAAAAATGACTTAAAAAAATTTTTTTATTTGCATTCATACTTCCAACTCTTCTTTGTGTAATCGAATGCATAACCTGTAAACCCCTAACATGCAAAATAATTGTATGTGTTAAAAGTGATCTCTTCGCACTCTAGAAAAAGAAATTACAATTAGTTTTAAGTTTGTAGGAACAAAACAAATAAAAAAGAAATTTTCAAAGTTACGTGAGACGAACACCGTCGGATAGTTCTTAAAGTTTCAAAGCATGAAAATGATAACTTCTGCATATAAAATAAAATCCAAAAAAAAATAAAAAACCATATTTTACAATGCAGCTGTATTACAAAGCTGCTTAATTTTAATATCCATTTACCATGATTTAGAAATTCTGCACTGCAAATTGCTATGATGCATAAGAACTGTACAAATACTTTTGCTGTAATACAGTAATTTATTACTGAGTGGAGGTAATGGAAAAACGGAATTGGCTGCAGAAATTGAATGAGATTTGTTTAATCCTGCAGTATGTCCCCGATCTGCCACCTCTTATGCTGTTTATTGCTTTTAAGTACTGTCCGTAGATAACTTATGTTACTCTGCATTTGACAAACGGTCATTAATATGCTCACTAAATTTCATACAAGTAATATTGCAGAATAAAATGACTGGACTAGAATTCTGCGAACAAAGACGAGGTATCCTCCTTAACTCCTTCATAATATTATTTATTCTTAGATTTATTATTATATGCGTAGGACCATATTGGCTATTGTTTTCAGTGAGTTGTAATTAGATATTATTATTTTTAATCTGTTTCAAGCTATAAGTGGTGATATGTGAAGGGAACAAGTGTGCGGGTCATTTCCTACCATAAAAATTTTTGAAATTTCACCATGCGCTTTTAATTAGAAATGTTATTCAAATTAAAAATTAGTGGTAGAATTTTAAGTATATCGCCTAACAATTTTTTAGCTAGATACAAGAAAAAAACGACCGTATTCCAAGCACTGTATTTCAATAGTTAAAATGAAGTGAGTATTGTACTTAGAAGTAAGGTTCCAGTTGCTTTACCTAAATTTCATTGACTCATATATGACTTACGAGAATTCAGCTCTAAAAGTTAAGGGAGATGGGAGAATACAGGAGAGTTGAAAAAATATAAGCCAAATCTATAATAGCAAGTTTGGATATGTAGAACTAAGCAGATAATCTTCTTACAGTTGCCAGAATAACACAATTACTTAAGGGAGATGAGGTAAGTAATATCCTTTGGTGACAGAGTTTTTTAAGCGATATGAAACCAAAAAAAATTTATAGAGTAATTCTTAAATAGCCAAAAATAATAATTCAGAATACGTACATTAAAATTAATATTCTTGTTAATCCTTAACCACGATTGAAATAGCCAAATTAGAATTCCAAGGGATGGGTGGACCAAGCAAGGCAGTGTTGCGACTAAGCCATTGAATTGAGTGGCAATATGAACATGTTGAAAACTTCTGTTTCGAATAGTTAGAGTATTGTATTTACAGTTAGTCGTCATCACTAACCCAGTATTGTGATCTCACTTCGTCATAGAGTGAAGCACAGTGGGAAACTAGCTTTTAGAAAAGAGCTTAGTGGAAAGATTTGCAAACAACAAACAAAGAAAAAAGAAAAAATATGAGAAAATATGAGAAAATAAAATCAGACTTTCTTCACACCCCATGAAACAGGGGGTGTCTTAGAACTCTCTTCTCTTATTGTTTACTGGTTAGACTTAGTCAACTTAGCAACGGTGATTTTCACCATACAGTACTCTGCAAAACGCAGGCAACATTCTGTTCTATGAAATTTTATTTTATTTTGCTAACCTGCAAATTTATATTACGATTTGATAGATTTACATATTGTTCTCTTCACTCTACTAATTGCGACGTAAGATGGGTGACATTAAACTCATATAAGTGTCTACTACAATATAATAATGCATTACCAATTCTTGAGCTTGTCTTTGGGAAAATGGAGAACCCGGTCCAAGAATTGTCTAATATCAACAAAGGCTTAGCATTATTACAAACGTCTGGACTTCTGTTGGTGTAAATTAATTTTCTCTTGAACAGATGCTTTTGTTTATGTGTTCAATTGTTCCCTGGATGACATAGGTCATAGAAATAAACAAAGGGTAACAGCATAAACTAAATTAAAATTCTACGCTCAGCGCTGTTATGTTTCCGCCTAGGTAAGGTTACGTGTGAAAGTTCCTTAAAGCGTCTAGACAAGTTTAGCTGGGCATTTCCGGTTAGAAAAACATCACCAGCTTAAGGAATATATGCGCGTCTTACGCACTTGAGTACGTAAGCTTTCGGTAAATTTTCTAATTTAAACTCGCTGGCAAGAAAATCAAAAGTAAATTATAGGCTGTCGGTTTGGCTTGACATTTCGGGACTAATCAGCGAAAATTTATTTGAGTAAACTGTAAAACATTCGGAACTAAAAATCAGTTTTAAACATTTGGTCATTCTAATGCATAACCAGCAAAATCAACCCATCCTAAAACAAAGAAATTGCTTAACATGTAAACAATTGCTTATATTGGGGTCAAAATACACGACCCAAGTGAGTTTCATAGGCTTCTACAAATTTCAATTTATTTTATGTACGATCTGTCTCATTTTAGTACAGCGTAGTATCATTTAAGAATCGTAAGCTCTTAAGAGTTACAGTTACTATTATTTTTTCTATGTTTTGCAATCCAGTGCTAAGTATTCCAAAAATGAAACAATTTCGTTTATTTCAAGTCTAGTACGGTCTTGACTTATAGTTCTGTACTTGTATATCTTATTTTTTCTGTAGAGTTCTGGGTGAATCTGTTTCAAGACCCCTTAGACTATAATTCAAATGAATTAGAGACATCTTCGTATTTATTTTTATTTCATATAACCAAATTCAAAAAATATAGCAATCCAAACCTACAAGCCAAGAACGAGGAACAAATCTTCAACGTCGCCTGCGAAGGCATATAATAGCAGTAATTAAAAAATTGATTATTACCGTTTTCTTATAAGTAATTATGTTTTAACGTAATATAAATTTTAATTGACAAGTCCGTCGTACAAAGTTTATTTATTTATTGTTCTGTACTTTACTTTGCTTACGTTGCTTAACTTAATTAATAGCGGGAAGTTCGCTTTTACCCGTTTATAGTAAATTTCCCAAAAAGAAAAGGGCGAATGAAAGATTTACTGGATTTTCATAGTAACATGTAAATTTTTGTTAGTTGTAGAGTGAAAAGCTTTAAACCAAATATTTGGAAGAAAATATTATTTTTTACAATGGCATACACACTGCATATATTTTGTTTTTTCATTATTTTTTTAATTTCGTATATAGAAAGGGGGCGATGGAATAGAAACAAGAGCTGACTTAAGGTAGGTAAAGGTAATAACGGATATTACTATTTCTAGATCATCAACCAATTTTGAGTTTACATGATTTGAGAAGCATTATTAAATTATGCACTTTTAACCATTTTTAAAAGAGGCAGTTCACCTATTGCAAAATCATATGTTGTGTTAGCTGAGCTGAGCTGAGCTGAGCTGAGCTATAAAGCTTTTGTTAAAAGGATACGTACCCGTTTGGGATCTCGTCTCATGTTGAACTAAAGGTTATTCTTAACTATATTTTATTGTAGTCGTTCGATTGTTTATAGGATTAGAATTTACTTTTAAGTATGAGAGCTCTGACTTAAACCAAGAAAATAATTTATCTTTGTTACTGTTCGTCTTCATAAATCGACCATTTTCATACATTATGCTTGATTGCAATCTAGCCAACTATCGGCCACATAATGCTAACAGCAATTCTATAAAATAAGACAAGCAGTCAATCCCGTAGGTGCCTGGCATAGGTCAGGGTCATCTATTCATCCTGTGTTAATCAGCTTTTATTTAGTGTTTACAGTTACGTTATGCTTCTCTTCCTTTGTACTGTGAACAGCTACATACATCTATTAAGGGCGCGGTATTGGTTAAATTAATTCTGGTAGATATAATTTAACAAAAGATTTAAATGACAAGATTTCAATTATACGATATGCTTGTATATCATTTTACTATGCAATAGTTTCAAGTTTATTTTTGAAGTTTTTATTTTATTTTCAAATTAGCAATCAATTTTCCAAAGCCAAAAATATTGCATCAGATATTATTTTTACAGTTTTTCATTAAACAATACGGGATAATAAACTGCCAAATCCCAATAAATAATGATGCAGGCTTTAGTCAATTTTCCTCATTTTAGAGTGATTCATCTTACAAATATAACAACAATGAAGCTGACAATTATCCCCCTGTAAAAATAAACAAACAAATGATTCAAGTGCGTCTAATATTTTATTTTCTCATAATGGATTTTTGGCTGTAATACCGCAAAAGTTCACATTTTAGATTTGCAGTTGAGCATGTCAGTGGAGAAAAGGTTCCGTACTGCCCTTAAAAGGAATTTTCAAAAGCTGGTCTAAATCAAAGCTATATTCTTGTCAAATTGCAATCGTCTCCAACCCTAAAATTAAGCAGATTCTTTTCTGTTTACGTTAATTATTTAATCCACTGCGTACGAGAACTATATATTTTAGCCTGATCACTGTTGTGTGTAGGTAACAACTGGATAAGGCCTATACATTTTTTGGGGCTTGCCATGCTAAATTTCTCGCCATTTTCGCACTTATTTTTCTGATTAACTGTTTTACATGTTAGATGGACAAGTTTATTATTTACAATTTGTTAAAATAATTTAATTCAAGGGAATGAAGCACATATTTCCACGGGAAGCTATCTACAATCATGAGGTACATCTAGAATTGAATACCGAGACGTAAAAGTGCCAAAGACGGAAGACCGCTAACAATTTTTCGATTTGTTACTTGTCTCAAACAATTCGTAGTTCTATACTCATCGGCATGCGGACTAACAAAATTTTTGAAAATATTGCCGAAAATTAAATATTACCGATTTCAGCTAACCTTAAGTACGTTTGGAATATCACGATTGAATGTTTCATTTTTACATCCTATACAATATGCGAGGTTCGTAGTTTGGACGGAACGATAATGTTAAACACATCCACAAACCTAAACTAAGTAAAAGCAGTTAACGCGAACACAAAGCTTCCCACATGTACTTGAAAATTCTGGTGTAATTATTTTCTTAACTATTTTTAATCTTTTGTGGGTGGTATTTTATTATCCATCTTATAAGCCGCCCCAATTGTTATGCATCCTTGTGAAGTTATTTTTTTATAGTAGAAAGCTTGTAAGGGACTCACTGAAGTGGTGGTGAATCGCACTTTTAACCAAACGATAGATTTCTAGATCAACTAATGATAAGTTTTTTTGAGCTTCTTATTTAAAAAAATACTTCGTTGTTAATTAGAATACACGAACAAAGAAGCCATTGTTAATGACCAAGGAATAATCTTCGGACCGTTAAAAAGAATCATTTCAGAAATAACAGTAGTAGTTTGTATAGCCTCTAATTTTTGAAAAAATTCTTAGTTTCATTAAAGTCTGAGTTTGATTGAAGTCTAAGTTTCATTGTGGCCTCTACTATTACACAACTGGTGGTGGAAGAATTCGGTTTTGTATTTTGTATTTTAAAAGATTATGAGTTTACTAGAGTATGTAGGTCAAATTCGCAACTAAAAAAAAATAAGTGAATGATTCTGCCCAGGATTGAACTGGGGACGTTCTGCGTGTTAAGCAGATGCCATAACCAACTAGACCACAGAACCCGTCACGTGTTTGTTTAAGCTGTCACGTGGTTTGTTCCCCACTTTGGATCACGTGAGAAATCACGTGAAAAACTAAAAATTCTTTATTATGTACTGTAATACAGATAAAATTGAAATTTAAACAGATAAATTGAAGAATCACAGTCTCTAGTATATTTAATACTAAGTTGAGCCTAGTAAATGGCTTCATTATAGCTCAAATTTGTATATATAATGTTGCACGTGACCAAGTAAGTGCATCGATCGGATCGGAACCTGACTGCAAAGTCATTTAATATATTGCCGTACCATGGCCTGAGACAAAATTAATTAACTGTCAGTAACTACTGGTAAAATAATGATACATAAGTCAGCATGGAAACTTGACAGTCATACTTATCAACAAATATTGGGGCCATGTTGGATAATAAATGCTTATTTATAGCCTTATTTATTTTTATTCCGTAAAGCGCAATTTGGCGCAGTACGCATTGTTCTGAAATTTCAGCTCATCTTATAAGTACAGCCTATTATCTCTGTTTACAAAGTTTAATATTAGTTTACCTGAATCCGATGAAGGTTGAATTGTATAGGATTTGTGGCACTTGTAGATACTTTCTGGTATTATCCAATAACTTGTGGGTTGTATTTATATAATAAAAAGTTCTTCGTTATCATCACTAGAACTTTTCTCGATATTTGTTACTCAAATTGACATAAAACGGTCAGAAAATGGCGGAGCCAAATAATTCCCAAAAGAAGCCTTTTATTAGGTTTAAGATTATCCATTACTACTTAGTCCCAATTATATGTTTGATAGTATGGTGGGGGATGTTGATTGCTTTATTAGTAGCCTGGTCAATTCAGGGTCACCCCATCTACGCTTTCATGGGACCGGAGCATCAGGATCCCGTATACATTTCTGATATTGGAGCAACTAACTTGCAACCATTATTTATATCATGTGCTGGTTTCCAGGCTATATTTTTTGTAGGAACATTAGCTCTTGATTTATACTTAAGAGAAAAACACAAATTACAACCGTTCATCAAATCACGTCAACATAAGCTTGCTATTATCAGCATAATTTGTGCCGTTATTGGTCAGTTGGGTATATTATTTGTTAGTATTTTCAATACAAAAAATTTCAAATATGTCCATCTATCGATGGTTGCAATATTCATTGCCTTTTCATTTTTTGCATGTTTCTTCAACTTTTTCAATTCTTTTACGTTTGGAAACAATCCCCAATTGCTATCACCTTATCATAAAGAAGATGTTATCTTTGGTTATAAAAAATGGCATAACCTTTATATGGTATCATTTTGGATGAAAGCATTTTGGTTAGTTGCTGCATTTTTCTTTGCTGTATTATTTGGTGCTTTTATGAAATCTGGTCATGACAGTACTAGTGCAATCTTTGAATGGCTAATCTCGTTCTGGTATGGCCTATTATTGGTTATGTGGAGTATTGATTTGTTGCCTTCTTCCTTGAAGCATTTCAGAATTAATCATCCTGAAATTTATGGTCCTAATAGTGAAGAAGGTGTCGATGAAACAAAACCCGAAGATCATAGCGATAGTACTCAGCCATAAGAGCCTATTGTCTATTTAAAATACTTGCTTACTCATTATTTATTACTAATTTCTTTCTGCCTTGTATAATTGTATATCGTTTACCCAAAACTATAGATTATTTTTTATTTATGAATGCTTAAGTTACTAATCAAAATTTCCTATTAGATTCGGACTATGCGACATAAGTATGGCACATATAGCCACATTATCGAAGTAGCGGTTAATAAAGCCACTACGCCGTATTCGGTGTATAGCGACGCTTTTTTAAGGTGATCTTTAAGATAAATCTCGTTCCGACCTCTTTCCGCGGCGGAGATGCAGCGGATTTCTAATCCGTTTTAGTGTGCGGAATTCTAAATTTTTTAAATGAAAAACTACTTAACTAAAGTGATTTCCTTTAAGCTGCAGTTCATTATTTGAAGGCTTATTTGTCGTATAATGAAAATATATTATGGAGAAAACCGACAAGATAATGGACGATGAACTTCCTTCAGTGGTTACTCAACAAGAACTAATAGATGAAGACAAAGGTCCAGAAATCTTCCTCGATGACCCAGATAAATTTCCAGAAGGTGGTAAAGAAGCATATAGAGTATTGCTAGGGTCGTTTTTGGGGTTGACGGGGGTTCTTGCCTTTGTGAACTCTGCTGGTGTACTTGAAAATTACATTCAAGATGAATTATTACCAGATGTGAAGACTTCTACTATTGGTTGGATATTTTCATTGTTCAATTTCCTAGGATTTGGTATGACATTGGTTCTGGGACCCATATTTGATAAAATAGGTTGTAAAATCCCCATAGCTATAGGTACAATACTATTAACGTTGGGATTTATGTTTGCATCATTATCTTCTACTATTTATCAACTTATTTTAAGTTATGGAATACTAGGTGGATGCGGTATAGCGTTGACTTTTGGACCATTTGTTGGTGTATTAAGTCATTATTTCTTAAAGAAAAGAGCTATGGCTATAGGTGGTGCTTATATTGGGGGAGCTATTGGAGGTGTAGTGTTTCCAATAATGTTCAGATCTCTATTCCCTAAATTAGGGTGGGGGTGGACAGTTAGAATAGGTGGGTTTATATGTTTTACACTATTAACTTTGGGACTTATATTAGTAAAAGATAGACATAAAGAATTTCAAGATCCCAACAATACAGACTCTATAACCAAACAAGTATTTAAATCTATCGATTTCAGGATATTCAAAAATAAAGTCTATACCAGTTTAGTACTTGCATTATTCGGCAATGGATTTGCCTTTTTAATTACAATGACTTACTTACCTTCATATGCTGTAGCATTAGGTTCTTCATCATCTACTTCATATTTATTATTGGTTGTATTTAATTCATTATCTATACCAGGTAGAGTTATACCTTCCTATATTGCAGATAAATACGGAAGATTTAATGCAGTATGTATTATTTCCACTATATCTACTTTGGCATTCTTCTTAATCTGGGTTAATAGAAAATCAGGTCATACTATAGGAGGATTGTTTGCATTTGCAGCTGTATTTGGGTTCAGTTCCGGATCTATTTTATCATTAACTCCAGCAACCATAGGTCAAGTCTTTACAGTAGATAAAATAGGGGCTGGTATAGGAACGGCATTCTTTGTATTATCCTTTGGAGATTTAATAGGTATACCAATTGGAGGTGCTATAACCAATCCAAAAACTATTCAGTCTTACGATAATTTGGTGATATTTGTAGCATTATGTTCGTTATGGGGAACAATCGGATCATACTCCGCTAGATATTTATATGCTGGTTTTAAACTAGTTAGAGTTTAAAGAAAATTAATATTCTCTTGAATAAACGATGAATGGTCGGTTAAACCTTCTATAGATACCGCATGTAGTCTTGATCTTGTACCAATCATAAGCATTCTCCATAATGATTTTGTTAATTTAATTTCTATAATATCTCCCTTAACTGCTTTAGCATCATTTAGTTTCCTCTTCTTCATCCCTTCATTATCAGATTCTTGAGTTCCTATTAAATCATGAATCCATGACTTTTTCATTTGCATCCCATTAATTACTGCTTTACAATCAGCAAATCCTGCAATACAAGTAATTGTCGGATTATTAGTATCAATATCTTCAATCAAGAAATCTTCACTATAATCTTGAAATACTGAAATATATTTCTGACACAATTTATTATTTATTTGAATAGTAGTAAAGTTAAGAGTTTTGTTAACAATCAATTTCACTTCACTACAATTCTTACTGAATACATCTCCGTTGGCATCAAGTTGAAATATTAAGTTTCTCTTGGGTTCATTTAGAATATATGGTCGAGCATATTGAATTGGAGTCTCAAGGGTGGTGGGTAACTTTGAAGCATTGAAAACACCCTTTCTTTGTAAATCATTCAAGTTTAAGATAATTTCTTGTTTGTTTTCAGTGAATGGATTATTGATAATTCTATGCTTGAGGATTCGTTGTTCTAATTCTAAAAATCTATAGTATTTACATTCTCTCATTAATAATTGTCTATGTTCATCATTCTTGATGATTAAGTTATTACCTTGTAACAATTCCAACAAATCAGCAAATAAAGCCGGTGATCTATTTGATACAGTTGCTGGTCTTTGAGGTGGAGGTCTTAACATACGTTTCTGTTCAAATACCTTAATGTTATCCGTTAATAAACCATCATAGTTTATTGTAAAATAATTAGGATAATTACCAGAATTAACAAACAATGATCTACTAATCTTAAACGACTGATTTCCAATAGTAGCAAAGATATCTTGTTCTGTTAAAATCTTTTGTAATCGTTTTAATCCAAAATAAAATGCATCAGACCAAAGATGAACAAACTCATAATCACTTTCGACATTAACCATATAACCTTGAAGATGATTATAGATTTTTTCAAAGATAGCAGGAGATCTATCAATAAACAAGACTTTTTCAGCATTTTCTTCTTGACTGAAGTATCTTGTGAAATAAGATGGAGCATCGGAAGATAACGATAATCCACTTAATCTAAATAACTTATACCCAACTTGGATAGAGTAAACCTTTTCGTGAGGTAAGATTACTTCAATCTCGGGATTGAATTCCTGAACGGGCTGAACGTTCAATGGATGCGACATTTATAGTGATGGTGCTTGATATAACTTGCGCTATAATTGCGCCTGTTCATGTCGATTCTCGTATTTACATTCGCAATGGCTGTTTCGGGGAACGGAATGAGCTAAAAAAAAATACTTTAATATTTTTATAAATACTAAGTGGGGTTACGCCAAAACAGTTTAAGCTCTTATCATAGAAACTAGTGCTTTGTCGAATCATAAAATAGCACTGCAAAATTGGAGGGTATCTAAGTCTTTTCACAAGACGTATAATTGTGTATCTAAGATAGACTGAAGTAAGAAAGCAAGTAAGAAAGTAAAAAAGCGGAGGTATTGCAAAATAGTGTAGATGACGAGGAAGAGCCGAACGTTCAATGGATGCTGGACTTGTCGGTCTCGGAAGGTTAAATGTGATCTTGAAAAGCCCCATTGTAATCGATGTAAAAAATCCGGTCTTAATTGTGCTGGGTATAATATAATTCTTGGCTGGTCCAATCCATTAACCATATCTCCAAATGATAATTCACTTATCAGTTTAGATATCGAAGATGAAAAGAATGATTTCCAGAGAAGAAATGTGGATTTAGTTAAGTACCCAGAATCAATGACTTATAGAACGTATAAAGTATTGAATGAAGAGTTAGAAAAATTGGATGAATATGTGTTACAGAATCGTTATAAGATTCGAATAGGTCCATTTAGTGTTTATAAAGTTAAACATAATAATGTGCATGCAATGAAGAGGAAACTAAATCTTCACAATGGCCCGAGATCGAAATCTAGACCATCTCCAAATCATCCCTATCAGCTCACTGAAGTTATCCACCCTACAGAGAAGATTTCAAATATAAGATCAGAGATTACTTTTCTGCCATCCCCCATTAGTGAAAGTCCAGCTAAGAAATATAATATCAATAATGAGTCTATATTCTCCAAGACGAATAATACTTGGGTTCATAATGAATTATTGGACTATGCCAAATTAACTATTTTAGGTATCAAAGGTTCCAGTTACAAGTTTAATGAACAGAGTATGCTTCATATCTTATATCCTAATTTCTTCCCCAATATTGATTCTGATGATTGGACAGTCGATTCAGAATTCATTCGTAATAAGTTATATCATTATAATTCTGATCGGAGCCAATTAACCATCGAATCATTATTCCGGTCGCTATTAAACGGTTTCAATTCGCAAGTGTTCTCTTTCAATCGAGTTCATTGGCCCAATAATTACTTTGATACGTTAATAATTCCATATATCAATAACATCATTTGTCAATTCATATGCTATGATTTTGGAGAATGGGATAAGAATTTCAATCTTCGGTATAATACTGACTATACTGATATTGAATTCAGACAGAATATTAAATTCGCTATAATCAACTTAGTGTTTGGAATACTAGCGATAAAGAAATCTCGAGAACTTAATGAGAATGTAATCAATGATTATGATTCATACTATGTTGATGAGTATTTGAAGCTAAGTATAGAATTGAGAAAGTTAAGTATTGGAATTGTCAATCATCATTTAGACGAATACGACAGTGACAGTAACTCGGATGATTCATTTGAGTATGAGAATTCCTTATTGTTAGCATTAATCTTGCAAGTAGAGCTTGACAATACTTTCAGCATCTACGAGAACTTTGATCTCATCTATGCCATTGGTGATCATATCATTAAGGACAAGTTTAACAAATCTAAATTGTCCAACTTAACGAAATTCCTTGTAATTGCTTTTAAGATCAGCTATATGTTTTATGAAAGCACACAGTCCATTAACGAAGATAACTATTCTATTGCCATGGGGGATGAGATCCTTAACTATCGAGACTTGAACGATACATATGATCTAGTTAAGGAGAAGGGTAATGAAGAAGATGAGGAAGAAGAGGATGATGACGACGACGATGATGATGATGACGATGATGATAAGAAAGATATTCAAATTAAGCCTACTATCCTGAACTTAGTCATTTCCAGTTCGAAGGAATCCGTCAACGATAACATGTCGTCATATACACCTATGTCATTTACTATTAGCTTTAATAAGAGAAACTTAGGAGGGTACGATGAAGCCGAGAGATCCGAATTACCACTTAATGAATCCCTCAAACGGAAGAGAAGTGACTCAATTATACCTATCCCATTCAAGGTCAATTTCACCACTATTGACAATACTTCGATTCATCTCATGTACGGAATCCCTAAATCATTACTAGACATATTTCATGAGATTATTCATTTAACCAATCACAAGAATATATTCAATAAGCAACGAGTATTCCCTCGGAATTTCCCCAAGATCTGTGCAGATATCGAAGATAAGCTTATTACGTGGGATATCAATCGGACATGGGAATTAAATATCGAGGAGAATATAGTTCATAGATGTATCTACTATCATGTATTATCATTCCAACAAGCCATTATCGTTTACTTCTATCGCTTAATAAAGAATAGTCGACATGATCAACTGGTCTTGAAATCTATAGAGTATCTTGACCAATTAATTTTGGTACTTAAGCAATATCCTGAAGTTCAAATTAAGCCACTATTCTGGAGTTTACTAGTTTGTGGCTCGGAACTTAAAGCATCGGATGTAAAGTCACAAGATCAAATTATAAGTCTATGGCAACAAGTAGAAAAACATAATATTGTACAATTTAATTATTGGAGAGGAAAACAGATTTTGTACGAGATCTGGAATCGTAAAGATATGGGAGAAGAACTCTCATTTATGGATATGGTTCGGGAATGGGATATTAAGTTGTGTTTAGGTTGAAACTAGGAACGTTGAGATTGAGGGAGTATTTCCGGAATGGGAATCCGCTCCTCGACTTCCTAAAATTTAACTTAGTTCAATTCTCAATTTAGCCAATTTCAAGTTCCAAATACTGGAACATCTAATCATAGGTCATGCTAGATTGTGTGCACCCCACTTTTAAACCGTTTACGATATTCGGTTGTAGAAGAAGTATGGGGTGGACTTTCCCACTCCAAAATGTTCCTTTCATGGGAGTGTTTCCGGAATAGGTGTTAAAGGTAGAGACGATACAAATGTTATTAGTTCACTTGGCATTACTTCGTATTCTATTAGATAGTACTAAGTGTAGTAGTGGTAATAGGCCAATAGCATAATAGTTAGTAATATATTTATCCAAAAGTAGAAGTGTTAGCGGTGGACCGATCGGAAAAAATCATATGGAAGATCAATAAATATGAAAAAGTCTGCATTGTTACAGTCAATGGAATGCTGAACTGGCTTAAATTTTAAAGGTTGTGGGCAAATAAAAATTTTTCCAGCGAGTGGGGAGGAGAGAAAGTGTCTGCATAATTCGTAAAGTGGGTGAACAATTCGGATTATCGGAATTTCTCTGGAGTGCGGGACGGTGAGGGGCTGTTAAATAAAGAGTAGCCGTACGGAGAGAAGACAAGAAGATCTGGCAGCGTTAAGGGAGTTAGTTATGTTTAAGACCGTATATAGTAATAAATAGTAGATAATATATAGTTGATAATATAGAGTCATTAGCCAATAGGTGGAATTATTCAGTATGCAGCTTCCCATTATATGGAGATTATGCAGTAGTTAGTAGTAAATCTTCCATATTCAATAGTCTATAGTCAGTGGTCATAACAATAATTAGTATAATTACAGTTATATAACCAGCCAACAACTAACTTTACGGCGATATAATACACTTTACAGTATTATGCAACCATCTTGCTGTAGCTCATAATCAATTATTCCTGGTTATTCTGGAGAAATTGTCTGTCTGACCCCCGGAATAATCCTGTTTGTGCACAAATGCAGTCGCACTCCACTTCAGCAGCCCATTAATTACGTGAGTGTGGAGTTTCGGTCATTCAAAATAGAGTTTTTCCGAAGAAAGTCCACTACAAATACTACTGCTTCCAGTATAATACAAGTATACAATGGTACGGTATCAGAGTAGTACTAAGAAGCTAGTAGTGATAATAAAAAAATAGTATAATAATAGTAGGACAAGAATACAGTAATTTCTAGTAGTAATAGTAACCGTAATTGTACAGTCAGTAGAAATAGTAGTTGTCCAATCAGTGTTAAGACAACAGAACTATTACCGATACTACTACATTAGCTTTAACATACATTAACAATCACACTACTCAGTCACGACTACTAACTCATCATCACTCCATTCGCTACTTCTCATAACCCAAGTTCATTTTCAAATCTTCCGGGTCGTGTCCTCCCCACCCCCATACTAATAATTTCCGGGGTGCAGGACAGAAACTCCTCCTATTTTACTGGCTAACTCCTCCTTTACCATCAATTAATTACACTATCATCGTTACAAAATCTGAACAATCAACTTACTAACACCACCACCACTACAATAACCACTAACAACTAACAGTTAGTTTATTACTTGATACTTTTCAGTAATTCCACACCCATACGTCTCTAAACTGACACTAACACCTCCGCTCAAAATCAGTCAGACAGACAAAAACAACTCCCAAATTAAAAAAAAAAAATTAAAAAATTAATTTCCAACCGGATTTTCAAAATTTGTCACCACTTCAACATCACCAACATCAACTTTCCAGACATATAACCACTACTTTCACCACTCGTGTGTCTGAATTATCCGTCGGTAATCCAACCACTGTCTCTTCGGATCAATTTCCAGCTTTTCCCGTAACCATATCTTAATTAGTTGTGGGTTGAGTGAATGGTTCACCATGACGACTGCCCTTCACGACCACCCAGCTACGTTAGACGCTGTCAGTTCCGCCAGTAGCTCCTCCAGCAGCTCTAGTAACGGTACGGATACCACTACATTTACCGGTAATGGTATCTCCAGTAATGGTACTAGTACCAATAATAATACTCCCATTAATGGTACAATAACTTCAAATAATGGTATCAACAATAGTTCTTCACTTTCAGGTCCTATAACTACAGCTTCACTACTCAATCATCCAAGTCCTCCTTCATCTCCTTCAGACTCGGCTCCTACCATCGTCGTATCAGACACTTCAGTCCTCCTTGATAATCCAAATAATCCTCCCCGCAAAAGATCAAAAGTCTCACGAGCTTGTGATGCTTGTCGTCGTAAGAAAGTAAGATGTAATGCTGAGTACAGTTCAACTCTACAGAAAGTCACTAAGATCTGTAACAATTGTATTAAGAATTCCGAAAACTGTACGTTTTCTCGAGTGCCTCTTAAACGAGGACCATCAAAGGGCTACATTAGAGATTTAGAAGAGAAATTAGACAAGTCGGCTCAGTCCCCAGCCACCATCCAAATCCAAAACACAGTAATTCCTATCACATCGGCCACCATGCATCATCAACCGCTTCCGTTTCCTCAGGGCCATTGGAAACCGGCACCTCCATCTGATCTTCAAACTACGGTTCCAGTTACTACCTCTACCAACAACAATAATAACTCTACCACTAACTCGGCTAACACCAACTCACCTATAATTCTACCACCACTCCTCAATTATCAGGCCAAGATTCTTCCTTCTGTGAAAGTAGCATCTGGTACCACTAATAATAATATCAGTAATAATAATAATAATAATATCAATAACACTTCCACTAACAGTAACCCTTCGAGCCCTCGAAGTCACTCCATTACGGGCTTACTCAATTCTTCATCCACTCCAGATATTGCAGCCTTGAAGAATTCTAGTCCTCCCATCCAGGGCCCCTTCTGGAAAGTGCCGTATGAGATGCCTCATTCGCGTAGTAGGCGATCTTCAGTAGCACTCAACGATGATACAAGTTCGACAGAGGGACTGGAACCTCACCACCATCGTCGTCGTTCTTCTATTGACTCCATATCATCGACGTCTACTACCGGCTCTCGCCTACCTTCACTAAAGCCATCGATTTCTGTCTCCAGTGATGTCATGTCTGATACTGATACTGATGATTTTTATTCTATAAAGTCGGTAGGTCATAATCGGTCAGCTTCAGCCACAAGATCTCGTCGGAACTCTCTCCTGCTTTCTCCTCGAAACTCAGTCAGTTCCCTCTCCAGTCTTAGTGGTAGAATGAATAAGACTTTACATATTCATAGTAATAATTCTTCAACTCCCACAAGTTTAATTCCTTCTCCAGTAGTAGCACCTTCATTAGCTCCCCCTCAAAGTTATCCATTCCCTCTCTTTGCTCAACCACAACCTCAACAACAACCTCCACATCCTTTCACATTTCCTCCTGTCTATCAACCAACCCTAGGTCCACCACCTCCTCCTCCTAAAATCCCTGTCAACAATATCGAAACCAATTTGGCAGTGTACTACAATCACTTCCATGCTAGTTTCCCCATACTCCCATTTAATCAAAAACATATGGTGATGGCCCTTGAACAACTTGATGATCCAGCCACAAAATCCTTGGTAGACTTATTCAATCATGCCCTTAATAATTTGAATAACTTTAAACAATTAACTCTTAATGATAATATTTCCATCTTAACTCGAGTATTAGCATTGTATCCATTAAATAATGTGGGAATTGCCGTATCAGATAGTGTACTTGTACTCCTATTCTCAGCTTTACTTATTCTTAACTATACCATACTACTTAATGGAGATATTTATTCACTTGGATTATCATTAACTGCCACCATCTTTAATGATTTTAAAGTTCTTGAGAACTTTGTGGAATATAGTGATAATGAAGTCCTGACTCCAAATTATGATACACCTCAATTATACCTTCCTAAACTTTACTATGCCCTCAATATCATTGATAACTTATACTCACTCAGTTTTGGAATCTCCAAATCCATTAACAATAATGATTTGGTATCTTACTTACAATCTCACGCTCATTACTTGTATCCTCCACCTCCTCCTGATTCCGCTATTCGTTCGGGTTTACTTATGTTTCATAATTCTCCTATGCTTACTGATTTAGTGGAGATTAGAAATAAGTATATACTCAATAGAAATCGTCATTCAGATTCCATAATTCCTACTTTTTGGGCTACTACCAATTCCACCACCAATACCAATAACAACAATACTAATACAACCACTAGTACTAATTCTACTACTACCGACTTCTCCACTTACTTCATTGGTCTTATTAATGATAAATTTGAATTGATTGTATATCTTCTAGAGATCAATAATCATCTCCCCTCTACACATTCTCATCATGATTCAGAAGATGTCTATGATACTGTCATTGATTATAACTTGAAATTGATCAGACTTGTTAAGAAGCTCGCCAGTTCGATCGTATCGTTCGCCAATTTCATGTCTTCATCTCCTCATAATGATCCACCATCTCCCAACCATCATCATCAATCTCAATCACTTCATCCCATTAATCCCTTACTAAACATTACTATTGGCCAATTATTCAAATTAATTAAATTGAATAAATTAATTATCGATAGTCTTATAGTACTTATACAACTGGCAAGTCTGACTCCATCACGTCCAGCAGCTGCTGATATAATTAATCGATGTATAAAGATTAATAATGATTTATCAATTCTGTTTAATCTACTTTCTTTAAACCTTGCCAATTTACAATTAGGTTCAATTGCTATTAATCTTATCCGTAATAAGATGGCTGCTTATAAACTTAATTTTAATCTTCTGACAGTATTGAATACTTCATCAAGTGATTTAAAGCTGGCCGTCGATAATTGGTCAAGTGAGTTATCTTCAACTATCTTACCCTTTATCGAGCGAGAGAATATTGAAGGTTGGTATTAGTAGAATTAGTACTAGTAATAGTATTAGAACTAGTATGACTAAAATATGTTAGGATGTGTATATACTATATAGATGAGTAAGTAAATGAATGAATAATAATAATAATAATATACTAATAAGAATAAGAATAATATTAACAATTACTAATCAATCTTAATTTGAGAATAAATCTTTCTGACAAAGAATAAAGTACTAACGAATCCAATGGATCCACAACAGAGAAATACAACTAATGAAATTACAATCGAATAACCAACATAAATCAGGAATGATGCAACTCCTCCTAATCTTTCACCACCAGTTAAGAATAATGAATGTAAAAATACATAAACTGCACATCCTCCACCAACAAACCATGATTTCCATTGCCATTTATAATTTTCTGAACATAAAGTATAGTAAATAGTTAATACTGAAATTAATGAAGTTGTTAAAATCATTAATAAGAAACAAAAGAATAAAAATCCAAACATGTAGAAAATTCGATTAAACCAAATTGATGAATAAATAAAGTACATTTCAACAGCAATTGATCCAAATGGGAAAATTCCGGAAATTAACATAATTGGAATTGTACGTAAATACCATGGTTGTTGAGGAATTTGACGAGGAATTTGATTAGTACGAACTGGAACACTAATTAATGGACGTTTAGCTGAAAGAATTGAACCGGCTATAGCTAAAGGAATTGATACCACAAACCAAATAACAACTATAGCAACTAAAGTACCCATTGGAATTGCACCAGAAGATCCAACTGAAATTAAAAAGAAGTTTAATAATATAAAAATTCCAAATAATGTTCCTGGAACAAGTAATGTGGTTAAAGCTAAATTTAATTTCCAATTATCACCTCCAAAGAATCGATAAACATATGATGAAACATATGATGAAACAAAACTAAAGAATATGAATAAAATAAACATAAATGTAGTTAATGAACCTCTATTAGATGGAGATAATAATCCAAATAATGCAAATCCAATAGTAACTAATCCCATAAGTAAAATTTGAATACCACTACCAACTAATACAGATAATAAAAGTCTTTGCTTTGGAGGTCTAAAAATATCACCATGAACTAATTTCCAACCACTTTCATCAGAAATATCATCATCTAAATTAACTTCGTTATATTTAACAATATCATTCTTTAATGTTCTAACTAAAATATGAGCAATAATAATTCCAAGAATAAGTACAACTAATGAAAAATTAATTAATGAAAACCATTGAATTTTTGGATCATAAACATGTAAATATTTATCCCATCTTGTTGCCCAAGCAGTATCTGATTCTTGAAATGTAACTGAATAAGTAAATAATACATTAGTTTCCTTTTCTCTTGATAAAGTAATTGGATTAAGATCTCCTCCACAAATTTGTTCCTTTCCAGCATCTTTACTAACAGCACTTCTATCTAATGAGCTTGGTTTAACAGTAACTCCAACTACTCTAAATTCTTCATTTGCAATTGGATGATATTCAATATTAATATCAAAATGATTAAATAAATGAGCATTATTTTCTGAATCAACTTCTCCAATATGAAATCCTGATCCATAAAAATCAGTTTTAGTTCTTTCATCAAATACATGATTTGCTGCTGGTAATCCATCAACAATCCAATTATGATTATAACTAGCTCTAATATTTCTATTAACAAATACTGAATCAGTTTTTGTATAAGTTGTACTACATAACAGAATACATGATTTATCTTCTTTCATTTTAATATCAAATGGTGAATTAAAAATTCTATCACCAAAGATAATTGCTCCTAAAGATTCCAGTTGCTTTACTGGTCCACCTTCTGGTTGACAAAAATGAAATTTTGGATAATAATAATCATATGAATAAACATAAGTATCTGATTTAAATTTACTATTAGTTGTTGATAAATGATGTAAAGATGGTGTTAAATGATTAACAAGTAATGGAATACTATCTCCCGCTTTATAATTGGTAGGAGCAACTCCTGGTAAATAGAACCCTTGAGCTATGCCAATGACATAGGTCAATGTAACCAATAATACACTATATAATCGAAGCATGGCCATAGATCTATTAACTTAGTTATTCAAAGTTGATGATTTGTTTTCTTTTGTTTTTAGTGAGAATCTGGAACTGGAAATTTCGTCGAGCAAAAAATTTTGTGATCTTTATCATTATCATTATCATTATCTCGATTATGATTAAGTTTCCCGTCTTCTTTTAAAGTTAATACGTTTTTGAAGATTAGTTACATCTCTAATTTCCTTTAACTTGGCTGCTTGTAGTATAGGATCAGTCATATAATGAGGTCTTACGGATGAGTAATCACAAGTTAAATGTAATCTTATACATTGACCACAAATTGGTCTATTCTCAGGACATGCTTTATGACGAACTCTACAAGTCCAACATCCACTTTTTGATCTTGGTCCCAATCTTCTTTTCTTTTCAGGAGCATATGATTCTTCTTTAATTCTTAATTTAATTCGTTTACTACGAGTTTGTCTGGTACCTGGCCTATACTCTTCCTCTTCCTCTTCTTCATCTTCATCATCGGTTTCAAAAGTTTCTATTTCTTCTTTTGGTTCACTAGATGATGATTGTGTCTTAACAAATTTAACTTTAAGGGTTACAAACAATTGAGGAGTTGGTGTTGGATCAGATTCAATTGATGGTTTAGGTTTCTTCTTTCTACCTCTTCGTTTTGTACTTGTTTTAATTGGTTCATCAATCTTTATTGGTGTATTATCACTTGAACTTATTTCTTCAGTTGAATGTTGATCATCTTGAGCTGCCACCAATAATTTAGTTAATGTACTCTTACCTCTATTTACGATTATACTAGTACTAAAATCTTCAACAGTTGAAGAATCAGATAGTCCAGAATTATCTGAACTTGGTCTTCTTAAACACTGAGGCCAATAACTGAAACCTGACAGAAATTTAATACTACTACTTAATTGCAGACTTGATCTTGATCTATTCGATTGATTGGGAGTTATATTAATACTACTATCATTAGGACTAATCCCTAAAACATTTCGATACACGGTTCTAACTCTTGTGAATTCTTCATTATCAACAATATCATTATCGGAAGTTAAGAAGGCATTATCAATCTCTATACTTGATTGACTTTTAATAATTATTGGAGAACTAACTAATGGTGAACATCTTGTAGTTACTGTAAAACTATCACCAGTATTAGTTCTAGTAAATAATCCCCGTTTCTTTAATAGTGATTCTGAACCTTGAGAATTAGAATTATTTGTAGGAGGATAAAAGACCCCTACTTCCAGAATTGATTGATGATTTGATGGAGGTCTGGATGATATTAATGGTAATCTACAAGGAAATATATCATTTTCAAGTCTTGCTAAATTAAGAGCAGTAACAGAATCATGAAATGGATTAACTAATTTACTTACTAAACTATCGGTTGACGATGATGATGGAGTGGAACGATTTACTGCCAGTTTAACATATCGACTTTGATTAGCGCCAATTAATGATTCTAATGATGCTAATGAAGTCAGACCTGGCAGACTCATATTTGCTATGGGTCGATTCATGATTGATTGAATTAAGAAGAGAGATTAACTAATTGGCTGTAAAACCATAATTTGCAACACTTTTTTTCCTATTTGGGACAGATTACAGAAAAACCTCCATACCTCTATTACTAACTATAACTATATAACTAAATAACTAAATAACTAAATTGGTTCATGAACACTAGCATAACTTAAGATCCATTTAAGATCTATAAGAAGAAATTTACAACTATGAGTCCATTCTCCATTAGTTGTAACTCTAATACTTTTATTACCAATTGAATCTCGATGGGATGATATGGCGTATGGAAGTACAAGCTCGTGATCAATATTATTTAATTTACTTTCAACTTGAGCTACTATATCTAATAATGCAATCATTGAAACATCAAGTTTACTATAATTAAATAATTTCCCAAGCGAAAATTCATCTGATGAATATAAATTAAGTACTGTTTTAGTTCTTTCTGTAGGAGTCTCAGTATATTTTACAATATATGATCTTGAACCTAATGGTACTAACTTATAATTAATTAATTTAATTTGTAATCGTTTAATTAAAAATGTTAATAAAATAGCTATTTGTCCTAATGCTGCATTAACTTCAGGCCAAACGACTTTATATCCAAGTCGGAATCCATTAATCATACCATATTTATCATCTTCATCAACGGTTATATTGAATAACGTACTATAAATATTCATATTTCGAAGTTTATCAAGATGATTTAAATGCATTCGATATGCTGCTTTTGATTGTTCAAGTTTATTATTTTGCCTATCAAGATCCATCTTAAGTTTATTCTTTAAATTTAAAATTTCACTAAGATTGTTTTTATATAGACCATCAAGTTCTGATTTTAATTGATTTAATTCTTCATCCAATTGTGATTTTTGACCTTCTAATTCCTTGAGATTGTTCAAATAATTAATTTCTTCTGTTGCTAATCGTTTATATTCATCAAGTGAATGTTCTATTTTAGTATCCAACTCTTCAACTTTTTCAATCAGATCAACATCTTCAGGATGTCTATCCTTTAACTTCTTAAGAAATGCTAAATAACTATCTTTCTCCTTTTGAGTCTGATCAAACTTGAGTTTATAGTTTTCAATTAGTTGTGAAGCACATTCTTCCGATAATGGATGATCCACTTCCAGTCGATTGGCTAGTATATCAAATATCTTAGTTAATGCTTGTAAGTGTGAAGATAATTTGAAATCTGTATCATCATCAGTTGTACCATTTGTTACTACATTAGTCTCATTTAGGGATGGAACTACAGTTGATTCATCGCCATCATCCACAACGATATACGAAAACGAATTGATGGTTTCTGTCACCGATTCTATATCGTTATCATTATCGTTATCATTATTATTATCATTATCATTATCTTCGTTATCGTAATGCTTCTCATTAATGGTATCAAAGTAATTCAGGACTTTTCCAGGTTCATGGCCTCGTGATTGGGCTCCATTAAACCGATTCAATCGCTCTTCTTCAATATAGGTAGATGGCTCTAATGACCGTATATATTCCTTCTCGTTATGATCTTCTTGCTTAGTAGGGAGATTATTGACTAGTAACTCCACTTGAGGTCGACTGAGATTACGTAAAGTCTTATCCACTCTAATTGGTGAGTCAGAACTTCGACAGTAAAGGAGATTATCCACTACTGGTGGAGAACTCTTCTTATCGGGCATGGTTACTTAAGAAATATTCACTAGTTACTCTTATCTAGTGGTAACCACCTTACAGTTTCTTCCCCACCCAAAGCCCGCACTAATCACTTACCCTAATTTGTTAGTACCACTACGCTTAGTTAGGGTACTATCCATGCACTAAGTTAGTGAATGATCAATTCTTAAGTAAATACAAGGTTATAATACTATCTACAGTACTCTATACTAGTTAGAAATATGTTTGCTATTGTCTAATTATATAATTCTTCATTACTTCATTAGGTGCCCTAGCCAAGTAGAAGCTTGACCTCTACAGTTACCCGGCGCATCCTCTGCTATATCTCCGAAAATTTTTCAGACAGGTACCCTAATTTTACTGATAACTATCAATTTACTGATAATTTATCAATAACGACAATAGCCAGGCTTATTAGGGCCATGATGGTTAAGGTATGTGACATTATGGAGAATAAATAAACACATTGTCAACTCTTAAGTGATGATATTTTGAACTGTGACTTTAGGTTTAACGGCCCATGTAAGCACATGATTTCTCAATAGACTACAACGGTATCTGAAATAGAATCTTGACAAGTGGGTATTGTTTCAATAATTATTATTTATGTGGAACTCCTACTAACAGACTATAGAACGTATAATGGGGAAATTCCACAGAAAACAGTTGAATAAGATTTATGCTTATCCGCTTCCTGTAACTATTACCAGTGAGGCATATTCTATTTCATTACCTGAAGTATATCCTCATAATCCCTTATCATGGTTATATTTCACATTGAAATATTGGCAGTATACTTTGACGTATGAAGTACCTCAGTTATCAATTCCTTTGATTAATGTTGAATACATTAATGGAACTTTTGCCGTATATGATGATAATGATATGACTCGTCTATGGACAAGAGGATTCTTTGGTAAAGGTATCTTATCTAGATCAGAACCTACATGGAAAGATCGTACCATTAATCGTCTAAATCTTTCTACATCTTCCACTACTTCATTGGCAATGGAAGATGTTACCGTTAAGAGGCGAGAGGGACGTCAGAAGTTTAAAGATGAACGATCTAAGTTACAAGCATTAGAATTACTTCAAAGAAAGGGAGAAATATCACCCGATGACTTGAAAACTTTAGAGGAACTAAGAGATAATTTGAATGTATTAAAGAATGCATCTATTAATCGACAAGTAGACTCAGAAGTACGTGATGAAGATGAAGAATTAATTGATGACTCTAACCAATTGATCAATAATTTGGAATTCTTACAGCTACAACCCATAGAAGCATTCTTCTTGAAGTTTGCTTTAAATGTCATTCTGGTTTCTAACAACAACTTGGACCTATCCTTAAGGGAAATGTTTCAAATATGTTGTGAGTCGTATGGCACTACTATTCTGTTACCCAATCATCGATTCTTGATCGAATACGCGGTATATCATCACTATCGCTCCTTAGGATGGTGTGTCAGATCTGGAATAAAGTTTGGGTGTGATATGTTATTATATAAACGAGGTCCACCATTTACTCATGCGGAACATGCAGTAATGATTATCCCAAATGATCCAGAAACTCAATATGATTGGTTTGATATGGCATCCAGAGCTAGAGTAATAGGAACAGTAAAGAAAAATTTTGTCATTGCCTTTGTAGATTATCCACAGGATATTACAGATATCAATTTGATATGGAATCAACCGGGAAGTGACAAGGAAATTTTATCTAGATTTTTTGAATCGTTTAAAGTAACAGAAATCCTCTATAAAAGATGGACTCCCAGTAGAACTCGGGATTAGATTTATAGAATAATTACGTATTTAGCAGGCTAAGTAAGTAAGTAAGTAAGTATTATAATTAATATTAGCTATAATAATTAGATTTTGCAAAAATAGCGCTAAATATAAGTTATATCTATCCCGTATCATGGATAATGATGGGTCCTAGGGTTATTTAACTTTTATATTTATGAATAATGCTACAAAGAAAAATAGCATAAGAGCTAAAAGATACGTCTTCCTCGATTCTTGTTTGAAATGTTAAGAAACTGGAAAGGTGAATTCTTTTCAAATTCTTCAATCAGGGTTTCATGTTTGCTTTTTGAATCTCTCCTCGGAGATATTTTTTCATTCGATGACAGTGGTATAAATATTGATTAATAAGATTTTTGAAATTGGGAATACTCCAACTTGTTCAATATTTATAGTAACTCATAGGATACATTCGGAGTAGACGACTTAATGATTATAAAACTTCAATGTAGTTTAGAGCCCTGTGGAAATCTACTCTCGCCAAGAGTCTTCATTCCGCCATACGGTCCATAGTTAAGAAAGCACGAGGTTGTCTAAAAGGGTCGTCATTGGATGGTCCACCTGAGTGTTACATAGAGAACATTAATGACCCTTTTAGGAAATTACATACACTTATTTGAAACCACTTATTTGAAGTAATCACGTATTGCAATCTAAAAAAAGTGTGAGGGTTTTGGGTGCGAAAAAATTAAGGTTGGTTAGCTGTGTTTCTCAAACGAATGGCATAAAAAACAATTACATCCTCTAAAGAACTGAAATAAAAAGTACATGCTTTATAAAGGATTTCAGCAGATGGTGCGATTGTGTTCTTAACTATGGGTTAACAAAGATGAAAGCTACCTCTTGATTGTGAGTGTTGGGGCTTATGCTTATGTGAAGTGAGCGAGCAGATCTACGGGTTTGAGGCTATACCATTAACAGCGCTTGCGCCTTTTGCTTGAGACATACTGTAAGTAGACAGGGAATTAAAATATCTCTGCATCTAGATATTGAAATTGAAAAAGCGCAATTTTTTATAATTGGAATTATAAAAATGTGAGGCACCACAAGCAATTGTAGTAGAATTCGAGTTAATAGTATACCTAAATATTTTATGCTCTTTAATATACACTAAAAATTATACTAGTGAATCTCGTTTGTAATTGTACTATAACTCCTGTGATAGCCAGGATCGGTTATAGGCGGTCCACTTCATTGTATTATACATATTTTGCCGTTGTGATGATAGGCTTGAAACTCCGCACGCACTCAAAACCCTTTTTGAAATGTCCCCACAATACAGATTTCTCCTCTCAACTCTGATAACTTCCCTTCAACAAAGTCAAGGCACAAAGTTGTAATTGTCTGTTTGTTGGATATGCTTCTTAGACCCCACTTTGTAAAATAAGTAAGAAAGGTGTACTGTAGTATCTCTCCTTTGTTAACGATACTTTGACAATTAGGAAAAGCAGTAGACTCTGTACAAAAGGCTGCACATCATTCTTGTGATAGGTGACTGAAAATACGTCATGCAGGCAATATTGCCGTATCTGGTAACCGCGATCCCCCTACTTGTGGACACAAAGAACATAGAGATGTCATGGTACGAAAGAAAGGAATCCATGTAGATTAATATTTAACTGCTTTGAAAAGTTCTATGACTTGAGTCAACCGGTATCGGGGCCATAACCAAAGAAAGTTGTGCTGCAAATCCATGGGCACACCTAAATAAACTCCGCAAAAATGTTCCAAAAGAGTACAATTCCGCGACCATGGTGCAACTTGTATAGCAAAAGTTGGAACTAAATTTAAGGTTAAGTGAGCAGAGACTGAACAGAGGTTCCATATTCCCAATCAAGCGGTGGGGACTTGTTACATATATAATATAATTGTGCACTAAACTTTGGTCTAAGGCAATTATTTTAAAGCATCCGTGCATTTTGTGGGGTAATGTTGCAGACCATATTTGAATCTTCTCCACTGCTGCTCCACACATGACTGATATGGAATAATTATTAAAGAGACAAGAAAGTTTTATAATCGGAAATCTTGACAGAAAACTACATAAGACATCGAATAATCCTGATTTACATGGGATTTGAGAAAAGTTAACTAACAAAAATTCTAGCCCAAATATGTCTCAATCTCTTTTTGACAGGTCCATTCTGAAAAGCGATGCTTTAAAAAAATTACCATTAGATTTCAATGTTTATGATAGCGTTATTATTAATCCTAATGAAACATCAACAGAACATTCGAGAACTTTTAGAAATAAAACTACTCCTGGCTGCTTAAGAAATAATATTCATCCAGACTTGGATACCTATCCTAAATTATTCAACAATTCAGTCGAACTATTCGGCGATAAACCTTGTCTCGGTAGTAGACCGTATAATTATACTACCCATACAAATCAAAACTATTTTAAATTTTATACTTATAATGAAGTTAATGAAAGAAAGAAGAACTTGGGTTCAGGAATTATTAGGTCCTTATTGGCTAATCCATTTATAAACCCTTCTTTACCGCTGCACCGTAAAGTAATTAATCATTTAAAGGATTGGAAATCTTATGGGATTCCAGTAACTGGGAAGGCAAATAAGAATTATGATATTGAAGACAATGCATCTTTTATATTATCGATTTTCTCTGCTAATAGATTAGAATGGATTTTAACAGATTTAGCTTGCTCAGCATTTTCGATTACAAATACCGCCTTATATGATACATTAGGTCCTGAAGTGACAAGATATATCCTAGGTTTAACAGAATCTCCAATAATTGTTTGTTCCCTTGATAAATTGGATGTAATCCTAAGCTTGAAGGAAAAATTCCCCGAAGAATTAGGTAATGTTATTCAAATTGTATCAATGGATCCTATTGAATTTATTGATATACTGTTAGTTGAAAGAGCAGAACGTCTCAAGATAGTAGTCACTGATATCTTTGCTCTAGAATCTATTGGTACAACAGACAGAATCGAAGAATTAACAGCTTCAAAGGATGCATTGTTCACCATTTCCTTCACATCAGGAACCACAGGTTCAAAACCAAAAGGAGCCATGTTATCACATGGTGGTTTTGCAGCTGCCGTATCGTTTTTAGCAACCACAGAGGCACATGCTCGAGGTCATGGTAAGGCATATATATTTTTACCTTTAACTCACCTTTATGAACGACAAACCAGCAGTTTTGCTTTGACTACAGGTTATTACCTTGGATTACCACAATTATCGATGTATAATAAACAGAAAGACGTACTTAACTTATTGATTGAGGATTTACGTATCTTCAAGCCAACATATTTTTCCATTGTACCAAGAATTCTAACCAAATTTGAAGCAATAATAAAAACTCTTGTAAATGAAATGGATGATAAAGAGTATCATGAAGTTCGAACTATTATTGAATATAATATACGTCAACAAGCTTTGGCAGATGGCTCAACAGGATTTATTGGTGCAAGTGATGAATTTCCAGCTTATAAATCTTTGAAGGAATTCTTCGGGCTTACTAATCTTTTATGGTTGCAAACGGCTAGTGCCCCAATTTCTTCTTCTACTTTAAGATATTTGAAGGCAAGTTTAGGTGTTGGATTAAGTCAACTGTACGGTTTAACAGAATCATCTGGAGTCATCACAAATACAAGTATTTTTGAACAGAATCCTGGTTCTTGCGGTAGTATTTCAGTGACAGGTGAACTTCGCTTAAGTAATACTAGTGAAATGGGATATGATATTAAAGAACTCAAGGGCGAAGTGACACTTCGTGGTCCTCAAGTATTCAAAGGTTATTATAAGGACATCAAAGAAACAAATAACGTATTTGACGACGAAGGTTGGTTTCATACCGGTGATATTGCAAGACTTGACCCTACTACTGGTCGTGTTACTATCATTGATCGTGTAAAGAATTTCTTCAAATTACAACAAGGTGAATACATTTCTCCCGAAAAGATTGAAAATAGATACTTATCTTCTAATCCATTAATTACCCAGTTATATGTTCATGGGGATTCAGCAAAACATTATTTAGTTGGCATTGTTGGTACAGATTTTGAAAGAGGGATGAAGTTCTTGAATGAATTCTGCGGATATAATAAGTTAGACTTTACTGATGATGAACTATTAGTAGAAATGAATAAGGTCGATATCAAAAAGAAGTTTTTAAAGCACTTGAATGAAAATGTTGGTGATGAATTAAATGGATATGAAAAGCTTCACAATATTCATATAGAGTTTAATCCATTGACCGTTGAAAGAGAGGTCGTAACTCCTACTTTTAAGATTAGAAGACCAGTAGCTTCGAGATTTTTTGGCACAGTCTTCCATAAATTATATGAAATTGAACAATCCCTATTGGATGATCTCAATTATTTGAAATCTAGATTTTAATTACCTATTGTACATCACTAGGTGCCTTGTTGAAAACAGGTAAATGATCTTCTGTTTCATTCTGGTGCTATCAATGTAAAGTGGATGTTACATTAGCTCAAATAAACTTGTTGTGGAACATATTGAGGGGATAATAAAACATAGTGCATATACGCGATGAAAACAGAAGATTCTCCCCATTTGATCGGCGTGTTCTGTTCTAATTAGAGAATCGTGAACGTTTATTTTAATTACTTATTAGCTCGTTTATAATTAACTATTAGCCATTAATATGCTGCTCTGATTATTAGAATAAACGTCAAAAGTACTTTTCAGAAGGTAACTTTAATTAAGACCCTCTTTGAATAAGCCCCACCTGAGAAGTATGTATAAATAAGGTTGCCTCTCTTATTCCCCATTTTTGTAGTTATAGATTCTTAAAGCCTCTATCTTAGAACAGTTATGGCACAGAGAGGAAAATTATTTGTCTTTGTCGCGTTTGTTTACATGAAGTTGGGGAAGCGAATATATTTTCCGGACCAAGATAAGATTAAGAAGAAAAATTACTGCATCTGTCGATTGTTTTCAGAATTACGATATGCGAGGACTGCATGCAGATGGTGTTTGAAAAAGCTCATAATTATTTTCAAGTAATTTATTAATTAACACATTACAATCCTGTCAATAATCACGTCAAAAACATGTTCCAAGAAACTTAAACAGTGGCTAAATGGAAAGAATGAAATGTCATGATAATTATTAGTGATGCAACTTTCGGAAGTATCAACTAGTCGATTGTACCAGTAAATGGGTCAATTCAAACAAGTTCCCATAGCATTTAATCCTTCTCAATTAGATCTTATAGATATGCATGGCAGATTTTAAAGAATATTTTTTACAATTTTGACACAAACGTAATAAAATAAAGAAAATTGCTAATTTCTACTGGTCTAAAATGAATTGCGAATTTCGTAAAATATGTTTATCTGCATTTGAATAAATTCGTACTTGGAGTGCCAAGTGTTGACATTTAAGATGGCATATTTTTATATAAATACAATGATATTGTTAGAATAATTAATTATTAATTTTAATATCAAAGCTTAGTGATATAATACTAACGAAATGGGGTTTGAAATATTATTGTTATTTTACTTATTTGTATTTGCTTTATCCGGCGGCAGTCCTGCTTTTCAGCTTGCTATGGTTAATAATGAAAATGAGCAAACATTGTTAGGTGTTTTGGATATGGATGGCGCATGCTACTTAATACCTCAGGAAGATTCTCAAATGACATTTTACTATGATGAAAATGAACTAAATATTTATACTCCAATGGGCATGTATCTTGATTCAGATGGAAGTGATGATAGTTTTATTTTTGAATTCGTACCACAGGACCCTGGAAACTTTTTCTTGGTTGATGAAGGCGATACCACCTATTTGGCTTATGTAGAAGTTGATGTTTATTACCTTGTCACAGTAGACGGTCAAACTGTAATATCAAGTGATGATAGTAGTGGAACACCAGTTCAAATAATTCAAGTTCCACTTGCTGGTCCTCTGTCAAGTTCTTTGCCCAGTTCATCTTCTTCGGAATCAACATCCTACTCAGAATCATCATCCTACTCAGAATCATCATCCTACTCAGAATCATCATCCTACTCAGAATCATCATCCTACTCAGAATCATCATCCTACTCAGGATCATCATCCTATTCTGACTTGCCCTCGTCGTCTAGTTCTTTAGATTGTCAGTCTTCTGACTCTTCTTACTATGTTCCTTCCTCAATTACGTTCTTTTTGGAATCGACTTCAATTGGTCAGTATGCATACTATAATTTAATGTCCACAGAAGTAATTTCTATTGTTAAGTTTACTCTTGACTTAACAACAGGAACATTGTACTATGTTAATGATGGGAGTACTGCCCCTGGAGCAGATACTATAATGCCTGAATTTTTTAGACAAGATGATCTGCAAAATACTGGATTTTCGTATTTTAATACAGGAAGTGAATTGCTTTTAGAATATTCTAATAGTGTTTTATTCTACATTTGTAATTCAGAAACTACAGTTGAGTTGACTAATATTGGATCATGTCTTGCTACAAATCTTATAATGGTTGATCCGGTTTATGCATATTCCTATGATGGGCCAGATACCTGCTCACTGTCATCATCATTTTCTTCATTTGATTCCACTTCTTCTTCAGAGTATTCTTCATCTAGTTCTCCTTTATCTTCATACTTGGGAACAACTTCTACTTATTTATCTTCATCATCCTATACAAGTTCATCATCCTATACGAGTTCATCATCCTATACAAGTTCATTATACTCGAATCTGTCTTCTGCTTATTCGTCATCAGAATATTCATCACCCTCATCTTTAGAGAGTGATACATTAATCTCGTCCAACTCATTTTCCAGTTCATTTGTAACTTCTTCTGTATTTACATCTTCTCCTGAGTATTCATCAAGCTCAACCGATACTTCTGGCTCGTCATATTCATCATCTGAGTTATTGACAAGCAGTACCCCCATTGTTACAACATCTACAACGAATTCACAAGAGTATTTAAGTTCTTATACGTCTTCATCTTATGACATTTTGAGTATCAGCACGAACTCTCAGCTATCATCTAGTTACACTCCAGCCTCATCATCTTCAACGATTCACTACTATGGTAATTCTACAAGTTCATCCTTCTCTAGTACACAGACAACCACTTCAATTTCATCAACTACGTTGCCATCGTTATCTACGTCAGGAACAACTGGTGAGCCTCTGACTACGGGGTCAACTACCTCTGAGTTATCATCATACCTTTCAACTTCCTTCTCAAGTGGTTCAACTCTTAACTCCCACGAATCTTCCTCGGCCCATTCCTATGAAAGTTCAGCATCTCCATCAAGTATTTTATCATACAGTGGAATTACCCTGAATGTTACTTCTTTGATTCCTACCTCGACTATTCCATCTGCAACTGTCTCTGAAGCACCAAGTCAAACTTCTTTCGCTTTCCAAATCACCGCGGTTGCCAACCCGCCTATCAACTTTAGAGAATATGTGTCGTGGACTGGCGGTGAAATTACCTTACAAGACTCCGATGGTCCATTATTTGAATTGGCACTTCCAGAAGGTTATATCACAATATCTGGCCTATTCCTTCAAGCTGATGATACCGGTCTCTTCCTAAGCGAGAATCCAGAAGGAGGATGGCTGATTGTTGGTGATCCTATTTTATCGTTAGAAGGCTTTGGTACCGAATTCTACATCTGTCCACTTCAAGCGGTTCCTTTACGACTCAGTCTGATTGCATCTGATTGTTTCGTTGGAGAGTTACAAATTTTGGAGGCATCTCCGGCTACATCTTCAAGTACAACTTCTGATGGTGGTAGCTCTTATACAATCACGTCTGATACTATTTCTACTCCTTCAATCTCAACTGGGTCCACTTTTGGATCTTCATCAAGTACTGGATATACAATAACTACTACTTACATCTCGGATGAAGTAATTACTATCACTGAATGTCCAGTAACTGTCACCAACTGCCCATTAAATTACGTTGTAACCATAACAATTCCTCATACCATCACAACTACATACTGTCCAGAATCTGATGTAGCACAACCAACATACACATCGACCTATGTCTCAGCTGTAACTGAAATTCAGGGAACACTAACTAAGGAAGTGGTTCGTACTTTTACAACTACATATTGTCCAGAATCTGGCCAACCGGTCGAATCTAAGAGCACTTCATTGGAGACTCAGATCAGTGGCGAAGAGACTATTTTTATTACACATGTGATCACAAAAACTATCGGAACTGTAGTTCCAATTTCTTCCACGTCCCATGAAGTAGTTGAAGTTGCAATTACAGAGGGTGGTATCCATTCAGTTGCTACTATTACTGTACCTCATGTAGTTACCATTGTAGCTTTTGAAAGTCAGTCTACTACCTCAATTTTGCATTCTACATCTACTAATGCTGGTGAAGAGACTACCACCTTCAGCTCGGTGGGAACCGTGATTACAACTATTCAAAACAGTGCTCAAAAGTTAATTGGGTCGTTTACGTCGTTAATTATTTCAGTTGTTTTATTTTTCTTTTAGTTCTTCAAATTGTATGTTTTTGTTTAGGTATTCAAACCTAGACAAACTTTAAATACATCTATTGTTTATTTTGTTGTTCTTCTTGTTCGATATAATAAGTGTACTTTATTGTTTTATACCAAATACAAGTCATCGTTGACTGTACTGGATGATGTGTAGAATCTATTAAGTAATAGAATCTGGGAAATATTAATTGTGTAGTTAAAAATAATGGTGATCCATATTTGAGGTAGGGAGATAAGCAGCTTTTGCCTTACAATTTGACTAATTGAACGATAAAGATAATGTAATTAAGAATATAATTACTAGATTTTTGCAACCATAGTGCTAAAATCTGGAAAAAAGAGAAATAAGAAAAAAAGTACTACCATTGTTCTCATCTTCCCACTGAACATTACAATTCAAATGATATACATGTAGTACATGTAATGGCTCTTTAATTGATCATTTTAATGGCCATACTTAGGGTTTACGCTGCAATTGTTAGACGTTTTTTTCCCGTAATATATGTATTTATTAGTAAACCAGCTTCCCTATGGTAAGTCGTTAAACTCTCTCGATCGGTTATAGCCATTGACACTTTGCAGCCAACAAAACCACAAATAATAACGACATGAACCTACACATCGGGTCTCGTTAGTGTATTTTTTTATTTCCATGACAATATATATAGAGTGAATAAATAATTGCAAAACAGAGAAACCGTACGATTTATTCTTTTATTTTCTCAAGGCACACTATATACTATAAAATTATAAATAGAGTGAATAAATAATTTTATTTGATAGTAAATAGTGAAATCTCTCACCGAGGTAACATTATTAGACATACAATGTAGAGTTTAAAATAGATGGATTTATAAGGATGAAGACAAATATGATACCCAATTTTTAATAAGTGGGAGAGTTAATGCATCGAGCACATTACCACCTTATGCGCTGTGTATATTATGAGATAAAATTTTATATGCAGGAAAATTCATTTTTCAGGCTTGACGTGTTCAATTCCAGTTTAATTTAACCATTTTAAAGTGGAAGCCTTTATGGCCAAGTTGGTAAGGCACCTCACTAGTAATGAGGAGATCGTCAGTTCGAATCTGGCTGAAGGCACCATTTTTTTGGTAGTGTTGTCGTTTAAATGGACATAGTTAAGCCCGTCATTGTTATGGTGATAAATTGTGGTTGTTGTGGTGATGGGGTGCAAAACTACATAGATTGAAGTGATTTTGTTCTAAATAGCGAGCTATTTGATTGGTCTAGCATCTGAAAAGGTAAAACAGCATGAATGGCAATACTATACAGATTATGATGGAATAGAGACTCTATTATACTAATTATTTGTGGCTAATTGATACTATCAGTCATATATGGTAGCGTTTAATCATTATTACTCCTTAACTATGGGTGTGTGGGTCTTTGATGATTGGACAAATGGCTCATGGCCCAATTAGGAAATACATCGTGTACGGCCCAATTATATTCACATGATGAATAATAGAAACAACTACGAATTAAAGTAAACTAAGACTAAACTGAATTGTATTGTCAGCATGTTATCTGTTCACGTGTCTCCCGAAGTACCAAACAGGTATCCAAAATCAACAACTTACTAACTACTTTACAGGCAATGTTAAAAGGCCTACGACTGTTAACAGATTTGTTTACTTAATAAATTGTGTAGTCGCACGACTCTTCTCGTGTTGACCTGAAAAGGGGCAAAAAAAATTTATTTAAATAGAATTCGAAATTCCCACTTGTCAATTGAGAATTCGAAAAACGGTTGTCAAATTCTTAAATTTTATTTTAGTAGTGTCGCGATTTTCTAATATTCCAGACAAACTTACGTAAGAATACGACGCACCATGTCGAATCTAGATCAACTTATAAATAAGGAAGATGATTACAGTTATGTATATCAACCACCTGCATCAACTAATGGAATAGATGACAAAGGTGATACTAGTGCAGTGACTAGTTCCAATAACAACAACAATAATAGCAATGAAGTTAGTCAAGAAACAATACTAACTAGCTTTGAAAAGATAAAGACACATTTCCCAGCTGCTAGAATTAAAAAGATTATGCAAAGTGATGATGAAATAGGTAAAGTTGCACAAGCCACTCCAGTTATTGTAGGAAGAGCTTTAGAAATCTTTATGGCTAATTTAGTTGAAGTTTCCATGGTAGAAGCTAAAAGACAAGGGGTTAAAAGAATAACGGCATCTCATATAAGATCAGCCATTGAAAATACTGAACAATTTGATTTCTTAGTGGAAGCTGTTGAAAAGTATCCACCATTAAAAAATTAGACTAATAATTTTAATAATTTTAATGACTTTATGATAAGATAAAAGTAATCCATTTCTTCTCTCTTGTTTATTTCATATTTCTGGGTTTATAGACAACGAAATAGGACAAAAGTATAAAAGGTAATATAAGCTTGTATATATAAGAAAATATATATATAACCCCACCAAAATACCCCACTATAGATAACATAATAAACGAACAAAAGCTTAACAAATACTTAACAGACACTTTGGCAGACACTTGACAGACACTCGAGTTCAGCCGGTACTAAAAATATCTCGGAATAACACTACAACGAGTTAAGCCTACAATACACTTCGGAGAAACAATACTCAATCCTTCCTCGCCTATACATCGACTCCCATTCGTCACCCTACCACCTACCACAAGAACCCGCCTTAGGTAACATTATTCTACCGCGACACGTCAACAACTGCTACACCTCATCGGACAATTAATCTATCGCCTAAACGCTCAATCTTATTAATCTCGCAATACTCAACATTAACCACCGGCTTAAACTTCCACCCCAAATTTGCAGTATTCCCGAGATTTGTTCCTTCCTGCACAAAATATTGCGCTCCCCGGTTTTTCAACGAGATATCCAGACCTCCGATTTGAAATTGCTTTGGGCCATAAATTACTAACAGTTTCTTTTGCTTGAGAACTTATAAAGAGTTTATAGTCAGTGGGTGGATAGCTTGAATACTACTAAATCAATTGACAAAGTTTTTCACCGAACGTACTTGCCATAATGGTCACAATTCCACAACATACATCGCATACTAGTCTTGCTAACCGAAGATCTTCTTCATTCTTTAATACACCTGTTGCTCCACCGCAACCAGATGTTTATTATGTCGGTGTAGATGTTGGTACAGGTTCTGCTCGTGCTTGTCTTATAGACACTAATGGAATAATCCTTGGATTAGCAGAAAGACCCATTACCAGACATGAATTGAAACCTAACCATATCACTCAATCGTCAACTGAAATTTGGAATGCTATTTGTTATTGTGTCAATACTTGTATTCGTGATTCAGGAGTTGACCCTCTGGAAGTATTTGGAATTGGGTTTGATGCAACCTGTTCTTTGGTCGCAATTTCTGAATCAACTGATGAACCTGTAGCTGTTGGTCCAGACTTTACTGACCATAAAGAAAATATTATATTATGGATGGACCATCGAGCTGTTGATGAAACTAATGCCATTAATGCTACAGGTGACAAATCTTTGAAGTATGTCGGTGGTCAAATGTCCATAGAAATGGAATTACCCAAAATTAAATGGTTAAAGCATAATTTACCCGGTGGTATTTCAGATTGTAAGTTTTATGACTTAGGAGATTATTTAACCCATAAGGCAACTGGTTCAGAAGCCAGAAGTTTCTGTTCAGCTGTATGCAAACAAGGTTTTGTTTCACCTGGTGTTGAAGGTTCCGAGACTGGTTGGTCAGAAGAACTTTTATTGTCCGTTGATTTACCAGAGTTAGTGGAAGATAATTTCAGAAGATTAGGAGGAATCCCAGGTAAAAATGGGGTTTTCTTAAGTGCTGGAGATATTGTTGGTAAATTGACAGCCGATGCAGCTGCTCAATTAGGTTTAACAACAGAATGTATAGTTGGATCTGCAGTTATTGATGCTTATGCTGGTTGGATTGGTACAGTTGCTGCCAAGGCTGATATTGCTGGTTTACAAAATCAGGATTCAGACTCAAACATTGAAGCTGCTTGTGGTAGATTGGCTGCTGTTGCTGGTACTTCAACATGTCATATTGCTATGACTAAGGAGCCATGTTTCGTTAAGGGTGTTTGGGGTCCATATAAAGATGTTATGGCTCCTGGATATTGGTTGGCTGAAGGTGGTCAATCTATGACTGGAGCTTTATTAGCCCATGTATTAGCCATTCATCCTGCCAGTCAAGAATTAGCTCGATTAGCTGAAGCATCAAATGTTTCAAAATTCGATTATTTAAATTTAACATTAGAAAATTTGGTTACTGATAGAAATGTTAGATCGGTAGTCAGTTTAGCTAAGCATATGTTTTTCTATGGTGATTTCCATGGAAATAGATCTCCTATAGCCGATCCAAATATGAAGGCTAATATTATAGGACAATCAATGGATTCATCAGTTAATGATTTAGCTATTCAATATTTTGGAGCTTGTGAATTCATTGCTCAACAAACTAGACAAATTGTTGAAGAAATGGAAAAATCAGGCCATGAAATAGGTTATATTTATATGAGTGGAGGGCAATGTCGTAATGGATTACTCATGAGATTGTTAGCTGATTGTACTGGTAAACCAATTATTATTCCTAGATATATTGATGCTGCAGTTGTATTTGGATCTGCGATTTTAGGAGCTGTGGCAGCTGAGGATTCAGTATCTGAACATATTTCAACTAGAGGAAGATCCAGAAGGTCATCAATTTTACAATCACAAAGATCAGGAACTAATTTAAGTCTTGGAGGTCTGCAACCACCAGCTCGTGATTCTTCAACTAGTGTTCCTCCAGCACATTCTCCTTATACTGCTCCTAGTGCCACTGCCAGTAGCTCTAATGTTGTCAGTTTAGCATATGCCAGTTCAGGTAGTGGATCACATCATCATATTCCTGCTATGACTCCTATGGAAGAAGAACAAGTTGATTATTTCAATCAACCAACAGCTCCTGCTAATTTACCAACATCAGATATTAGAAAATCAGTTATTTCATCCGACGATGATGATTCTGGCGATGAATTATCATTTGGATCTAAACTGAAGGTTCAACAAGATTTACAACAAAAGTTCCATAAATTGGGTCTCAAACCATTATCAACTATCCGTAAAGTTAGTAGTAATAATCCAGTTCAAAAGGTATCACCTGAAGATAAATTATGGAAAGTAATGGAAAAGATGACTGGACCAGGTAGAGTTATTCCTCCTAGTGATAAGAATGACCCAGACAGAAGATTATTAGCTGCCAAATATGAAATCTTCCTTGAACAATGCTTCCAACAGCGTAGATATAGAGACATTGTTGATCAAGTTGAAGTTGAGAATATTAAGGCTACTGGTTCTACGACAGTCGTTTAAGTAATGAGATGAGTTCATATGTTACGTTTCTTTTTCTTTTTCTTTTTCTATTTCTTTCGCTTATAGGTTTGCTTTTTTTGACAGTTTCGTTAGACAACCATTTTATATTAGTTTCAATATAGTCATCTCCGGATTAAACTCTGCATGCATCAAGTAGAAATTTTACGAGTTTGATATAACGATTTCTTTTTCAATTTGCAGCAAAAAAAGAAATCCCCGATGTAGTAGCGGATGAAGTATCCGACAGAAGTCAAAAACATATACAGATTGGAATAGTGAAACGGCGAGATTATGCACCAGGCCGAAACAACAAAGAGCTTATGCGGCTAAGATCAGCACTTTAAATTAGGTCTCCACAATTCGTTTATAGTATTTTATTACCTGTAATATACTAGTATTATTATTGGTATTGCTATTGTTGTTATGTGTAAATATTTATATTTATATTATTATTATTATTTTACTATTATATTATTATTAGCCCTAGTGTTCTATTGTCAGGTAGATGCAGCCAGTAGACCGTTTCGTAAACGGCAACAGTGAGGAGAAGCATTAGGGGGCTAGAGATGAGCACATACTATAGTCATACACTTCTATACTAATCACTAATCCAATCTCTAAACAATAATCTAATAACTAATCGCTACTAACATTACAAGTTACTATTATTACCCTCAACGGTCCAACGTGGCTTTCTGACAAATTACGGTTGACTTACCGTTGACTAAGCGATGGATAACAGTTGGCTTACAAAATACGCCTTGCCATCACAAGGAGATGAATGCAGAACAGAAATGTTCCACAAAATAAATCGGACTTATTCTCGTCACGTGCACACTCGCGATAGAAATATGAAAAATTTTAAATTACAACCTTACACGTGACAAGACCTCACTTTAATGTCCCTATTGTTAAGGTAAGGGCAACATAACACAGGTAATGTATCAATATATGGGATAGTTAAAGTTTATAGGAGAGGCGGAACACGCAGGCAACTTACTGTTTCAATTTGAGTAGCCAAGAAATCGTACCACTTCTTGTAACGTTTCAGCAATGTCATCTCTGCAGCTCTAATTACTGGCTGCAAATTAAAGAAAAAGAAAGAAGAAAAAAAAGACTTAGTTAAAGTATATATCACGTGACATACACTAATTGTGGATACTTCAATCTTTGCTGCAACATCCACAGTTATAAATATTATACCCTTAGCCTTTTATAAGACCAAGAGTAATTAATAAACCCAACTGGCATATTATTAATTTAAATTGGATCCAATTTCAGTACGGCAGCGAATCAGCAAGCGTAACAATTGTGGAGGTCTTATCGTCAATCAAATCTTCCCTACTACTCATTACGAGCTGGAACAGAATTTTATACGGCTTCTAATCATTATAGATCTGAAAATTTAGTACAACTATAGCTATTTCTACAACTGCTACCAAGACTATTGCAACTAGTACTATTTATATTGCTACTACTGCTACTACAACCAGTATTAAATCACTACTACCACTACAACAAATAAAAAGACTTGTAGTTCATTTGATAAACCCCAAGGCAATATCCTTAATTTATCTTTTGACATCTCCAATAAATAACTTATTTTTATTTTTTTACAGTTGCATTACATATTCCAGTATTGCTTTTTAATTGTTCCTGTTCAGGATTTAATATTTTTCATCCTTGTTTTTGCTACCATTTGCTCCAGTATTTAATCGGGACGTTTTCTCCATTTTATTATAAGGTTAAGTGTTTACTATAATAAGAATATTATTAGATAATAATAATGGCTATTGAATCTCAAGTACCTCACTTACTCGAACACGAGGATTTGAGATCTTTTATTTCTAAGAAGTCTCATGAATTCGAAGAACCTCAATATGAATCTTTCCCTCAAGGTGATGGAACTTTAGTTCCAGAATATAATGAAGTTGAACCAACTGCTCTTGAATGGGTTAAAGAAGTTATTGGTGATCCATTATTAAAAATTAGAAATTATTTATTTTCTCTTTTCCCTATTTTAAAATGGATCTTACATTATAATGTACAATGGCTTTATGGTGATTTAGTCGCTGGTATTACTGTTGGTATTGTATTGGTTCCTCAATCTATGTCTTATGCTCAAGTTGCCACTTTAAGTGCTCAATATGGTTTATATTCTTCCTTTGTTGGTGTGTTTATTTATTCATTTTTTGCAACTTCAAAAGATGTCTCTATTGGTCCTGTTGCTGTTATGTCTCTTCAAGTTTCTAAAGTTATTGCTCATGTTCAAAAGAAAGTCGGTGACAAATATGAACCTCAAGATATTGCTACTTTCTTAAACTTAATTTGTGGTGGTATCGCTCTTGGTATTGGTATCTTAAGATTAGGTTTCATTTTAGAATTTATTTCAATTCCTGCTGTTATGGGTTTCATGTCTGGTTCTGCCATTAACATTATTGCTGGTCAAGTTCCTGGTTTAATGGGTTACAACTCTTTAGTTAACACTAGAGCTGCTACTTATTTGGTTATTGTCGATTCTCTTAAGAACTTGAAATATTCAACCGTTGATGCTGCATTTGGTTTAGTTCCATTAGCTATCTTAATCTTCTGGAAATGGTTTACTGATTTCGGTCAAAAGAGATGGCCAAAATATAAATGGTACTTTTTCTACACTCAACAATTAAGAAGTGCTATTGTTATTATTGTTGCTACTGCTATTTCTTGGGGTATTGTTCATCCAAAGAGAAAAGCTTTTAAAGGTAAACCTTCTAAATTTAAACCACCTTTTTCAACCATTGGTGTTGTTCCATCTGGTTTAAGAGAAGTTGGTCTTTACCATCCACCAGCAGGTATTGTTGATGCTTTATCTTCAGAAATTCCAATTTCCACTGTTATCTTATTATTAGAACATATTGCTATTTCTAAATCTTTTGGTAGAGTTAATGATTATAAGGTTATTCCAGATCAAGAAGTTATTGCTATTGGTGTTACTAACTTGATTGGTACTTTATTCCATGCTTATCCTGCTACTGGTTCTTTCTCTAGATCTGCTTTAAAAGCTAAGTGTGGTGTTAGAACTCCAATTGCTGGTCTTTTCACTGGTGCTGTTGTTTTATTAGCTTTATACTGTTTAACTTCTTCTTTCTACTATATTCCAAAGGCTACTATTAGTGCTATCATTATTCATGCTGTTCAAGATTTAGTTGCTAACTATAAAGTTACTTGGGGATTCTGGAATATTGCTCCAATTGATTGTGGTATCTTTGTTATTAATATCATCATTACTGTGTTTGCTTCTATTGAAGAAGGTTGTTACTTTGCCATGGCTGCTTCTGCTGCTGTCTTATTATTCAGAGTTGCTAAACCACAAGGTCATTTCTTAGGTAGAGTTCAAGTTGCTGAAGTTATTAACCCAACCATTACTAGATTAGAAAGTGATTCATACTCTAACGATGATTCTAATGAATCATCTGAAGATGTTGAAATTCATCAAGTCTTAGATAACTCCGAAGGTAAAGAAGTTTCCAAGTCTGGTAAGGGATCATTAATCACTACAAATGCTCAAGAATTAGTTAGAACTAATCCAAGAGTTAAATTCCACACTAGATGGGTTCCATTAACTAAAGAAAATCTTAATAGTCATGTTCGTGTTCAACCTCCTCCACCAGGGGTGATTGTTTTTAAACCAATTGAATCATTTACTTATCCAAATTCATCTCGTCAAATTGATATTGTTGCTGATGAAGTTAAACGTTTAACTAGAAGAGGTAAACCTTATGATACATTAAACGTTGGTAATAGACCATGGAATGATCCTGGTCCATTAAGATGGAAGCTTCCATTCTTAAATAATGAAACCATTCATGATGTTAAAGATGTAGTAGAAACCAGACCTTTATTAAGATTAGTTCATTTTGATTTTTCTGCTGCTCCAAGTATTGATGTTACATCTGTTCAAGCATTAGTTGATTTAAGAAATCAACTTAATCGTTATGCTGATCGTGAAGTTGAATTCCATTTCTCCGGTATCTTAAGTCCATGGATTAGAAGAGGTTTAATTCAAGCAGGTTTTGGTACTTATGGTGAAAATGGGTTAGTTAGTGATAAGACTTATGTTAACATTGCTGCTGATAATGATTTAGAACTTCAATACTATCCACCAGTTGGAACCAACACTCCTTTCTTCCATTTTGATATTCCTGAATATTCCTGAATATTAAATATTCCTGAATATTAGTACAATCAACTAATTCTTATTATATTTACTATTAATTTGCATTTATATCGCACTATCGTTTATTCTAATTCATTTCATTATTAAAGTGTGTTGTACTATACATTTTCTTTAGCTATTGGGTTTGCTTCTAATTCTTTCCTTCCTTCCTTTATTCTAATTTCTAATTTTTTACTAGTTAGTAATACAAGCTTATAACGTCTTTTATTTGAAGTAATTTAGTAGAGTAGTTAAATAATTAGGTGGTTAACTATTGTCGCTGTACATTGCCAATACTGGAGGAGTCGCTATGAGCAATGCGCAATGCGTAATGCACATTTGCAACCACACCCAAAAACGCGGGTAGTACTGTACCAAACACATGAAAATTATAAACAACGCGTAGTAGAAATTTTTCACAAATGTTACCGAACCAAAGCGTTAACACTACACAGTAACACAAGGCTATAATGAGTGAAGCTGAAGATACAGTAGTGGCAAGGATGCAATCACCAGCATCAACACCATCCACCAAAGAAACAATTGTTATCCTGGACGAAGAGTCAACGCCCATCAAGAGAAAACAAGAAGAAAATGAAGAACAAGATGGAAGTAAAAGAATTAAAATAAGTGATGATTCGGAAACTGAAGCAGGAGGAGGATTGGCTACACCAGATTTGACTCTGACTACGCCTGTTCCAGAAGCTCCGCCAGTAAAGAAACCCACCAAGAAAGAATTGCAAAAGATTGAGAATCAGAAGAAACGAGAATTGGAGAAATTGGAACGAGACAAGAAGAAAGAAGAGGAAAGACTTGCCAAGGAGGAAAGTAAAAGGTTACGAGAGGAAGAAAGATTAAAGAAACTAGCTGAAAAAGAAGCCGAGAAAGAGCAAAAGAGAAAGAAGCTTGAAGAAGAAAAGCTTCAGCGAGAAAAGAAGAAGGAAGAGGAAAGACTTCAAAAACAAGCTGAAAAGGATGAGAAAGAAAGGTTAAGACGAGAAAAGAAACAGAAGGAGGAAGAGGAGAAATTACTCAAGGAAGCTGAGAAGAAGAAGCTAGAAGAAGAGAAGCGTAAACAGGAGGAATTGAAAGAAAGGAGTCAAGCCAAAATCTCCAATTTCTTCAAAGTTTCTTCCAAACCATCTCAAGCGGCTTCTCCTACAAAATCAGCATCTACTTCTACTTTTGGTAATGACCAGAGTTCACAAACTACCCAGAAAGTGTCTGATTACGAGTCTGACTTTTTGCCATTTTTCATTCAGAAGAATGTAATTTTAGCTGATAATGGTCAGTTATCTAAAGAGGATCTTAAATCTCAAGTAGAAGAATTTGATAATGAATTAAAAAATTCATGTCCTTCAGAAAAATCAGACTTAAAGTCTTATTTTGCCTCATTCAGTTCACACAACAGTATACCACAACTGACTACTATAACACCTGATGATATCGTTAATGAACTTAACTCTTCTACCAGCTCCGAATCCATCATATACGAATTAATCCAGAAATTACCTCCTATTAAATATATTCACTTCTATGAAAATAGTAAACCTCCATATGTGGGAACTTGGTGTTCTTCAAAGCATCAAAGTATTCTTATCCCAGTGTCAAATCCAATAGATACTCAATTGACAGGATTTGACTATGAGTATGACTCTGATTTGGAATGGAACGACAAAGATGATGAAGAAGAAGGTGAAGATCTTGATGAAGATGAAGAAGAAGATGACGAATTAATGAATGCGGAAGATGATGATATGAATGATTTTGTAGAAGACAACTACCAGGACAGTTTAAACAGTAAAAAGAAGTTTCATTCGTTGATAATTATCAACAAGTGGAATGATGGTACAAATGATGATGTGTTTAGCAAATTGATTACTGTACCTTTAGTAACTGAAGTGACTATCGAACCTATAGATCCAAATAAAGATTACTGGAGCATAACACAGACTAGTGAAACTATAAAGTGTGTGACAGATACAGTAAAGGATTCAGGATCATCAGCAGCATCAGCATCTTCTTCTCTGGCAGGCACAGGGCAAGACACAAGCTCACCCAATATCCTCATTCCACAAAAGAAAACTATTCAAGACACAACCATTCTTTCTGAACTAATAGTTTTCATCGAGAAAAACAATGACTTCAGTATCCAAACCTTGGTAGAATTATCGAAGAAACAGTTCAAGGACTTTACCAAGGCTCTCCTTAAGAATACCATCCAGGATATAGCCGTATATAATAAGAAAACATCGAACTGGGATGTCAAGCCGGAGGTAAAAGCCCGGTACATACAGCAAACATAATCGTATATATCATATATATCGTATATACCTTTTATAGTAGTTTATAACTGATTATAGCAATTAATGATTAGCGCAAATTGCAGCAATTCGATTTTGCGGCTGTCGCTAAACGAGCCGCGCGCATCGACCGAAAGTAAGACGCGATATAAACATCTCCGGTAATATCAATATTCACATACACTTATGAACCCCGACAGCTCAGCGTACAATAAAGGTATGAGTAAGCTGCCACTTGAAGAGGATGCAGTGTATGGGCAGAGAGTGCTGGCGAGAGATGAGCTCGGTAGCGTTGTTGGTGCGCCAGAAGAGGACGATAGTATCCAGTTTCTCCAGACGCAGATGCAATCCATCCACGAAGAGACAGTAGCAAAAGAACAGCATGAGACCAAGTTGAGTAGTCAACTAGGTCAGTTGCGACAGTTCAGTAATTGTAGTGACGACACTAATGTTCAGGTGAGTATAAATACCATTAAACCTAAACCCAAATCACGAACTACAAGACTGCTCAAAAAGCCCAAGTCTAAGAAGCAATCAATGAACTCGATGGTACGAGATCAGTTTGAAAGCGATAAGTTGTCATACTTCACAGGAGACCAGAAAAAGATTGATCGGTTTATCAAGGCAATCAAGAATGAAGAAGAGTTGGATAAAGTCATTCCTATCGGATCTACATCACAGTTAATTACTAAAACTGATTGGGCTTACTTTCTACGATCTATAAAGTTGAAGTTCCCTAATTTGCGTACTTCCAGGAAGCGAAGCTTAAAGCTAATAACGCGGAATATGGCATTATTGGAGCGATCTGAGTCAGATGGGTTATGGTCTCAAGCAAGTACCATGCCCGAGACAGAGCTTTCAAATGAGGAAATCAAATGGCTATATGACTTGCACGATGACGAAATAGAAAGTACAAGCAGCTTTATTGAAGATGATGTCAATGATAACGTGTTTGTGCTAACCCTCTCTCAGAATATGGACTCTCAAAGACAGCCTCCAGAAATACTGGACTCTGAGCAATTCTTTCATTCGGCAAAAAGTACAGCTTCAAATCTGCAATCTTTAGAGATATTCAGCGAAGAAGTTAATAATGGGGCCGATATAGTGGTGATTCTGGACTCTGAATCTGAAGCAGAACAACTCACCATCTCCGACTCGAAGTCTGCTACGTGCTCTCAGTCACAAGTTCAATCTGGTCAAGCATTTATTCAAGTCCAAGAAAGTATATACAAACCAGACATTGATTTGCATTCACACCAGAAGGAGCTTGATCCTCTCATATCTTTTCAAAGCTTTCCATTTGCTGATAGTAAGCGAAGAACGTTTATGAGTCAGGATACTCCTAATCCGATTCAAGTTATATCATCATCCACTGGTAAGTCTCCTTCGGTACCGTCATCTCCTCCTCAGCACAAACGTAAAATTATTGAAGTATCACCTTTTAAGACTCCAACCAAGAGAGCCAAACTATTGAATAATGCTATGTCACCAAATGTATCGCCCATTAAAATGATACCCATTTCATCAGAGACAACTCCTGAACATACTTTACCCAATAATGCCGATGAAGAAATCATAATTTCTGATGTAGAGTCTATCTATTCTTCAGCACGATCCACTATATATTCTAATCAACTACAAGAACAAGCATCACCTTTAAAACGGCGGCATTACAGAGATACACTGAAGAAACAATTACATACAACACGACATGAAGTAAAACATCAGATACCCATCAGAGACTTTGAAGACAAAGATAATCACATTTGGTTAAAGAAGGTAGGCGTGAAAGAAAATCAAGTAATCGATATAGAAGAGATTATTCCCGATTCAGAAGATGATGAAGAGCCTCAAGAAGTAAGTATAATTGAAATCACCAAAGCTGTAGATGAACCTGATAGAAGTAACGCGTCTATTTTACAAGTGCCTTCAAGTCCTTCTGGTGAATTGTTTTCTTCACAAGAGATTCGGAAATTCTTAGCTGATCAAGAAGATGAAGCTGTTGACTTCAATACGTTTACGACTTCACAACTAATGGAACAACTCAAAGATTGGGGAATGAAGCCGATTAGAGGTCGTGATCAAATGATCCAGATTCTTACAGAAGCAAATAAATTGACCATTAATTCGCAGACTACAGCTGAAACTACTACATCTACAAGAATGCCCTCGATTAAAATTTCACCCACCCAACAAATTATGTATGAGAATTTATCAGGAATAATTAAACTGAATGAATATTGGTACGAGAAGATTATAAGTTTTGAACCTTTAATATTACCAGAAATGAAAGATTGGTTAGAGTCAATAGGCTATAAGCTAGAATTTGATTTTTTACAAAAATATTGTGATGAAAATGGCATATGCTGCACCAACCAACGATACACCAATTAGTACACTTAGTACACTAAGTATATATATATATGTATATGTATATTTACAATCTCTATGACTTAACGACTAATCATATATACTTTTTATAATCCGCTTCGATTTTATCAGTTAACAACTTCGTGTTGATGGCACCAATTAATTTAAGACTCAATCCCACATTAGCTACCAAAGTTCCTGGGCCATAAATTAAATTGTTTAAAATATTTCCATAGGGTTTATAGATCATTACTTTCAATGCCCATATGCCATGATAAATCCATGCCACTAATGCTAACAAAGTTAAGATGGTGAGGATTAACGAGTTAGCAAATCGACTCTTGGATATTCTGTCTTCCGGTTTAACGGATCTTCTGGGTACTGCCATTATACTTTGTCTACCATAGTATAGAAGGATGTTGCCACTGGTGAATAAATGTGTACGCACAAAATCAATGAGAAGAGACAAAACATAATAGACATTTGAGAGAGACATTACTTCTTAGACATTACTCCTTATAGACATTACTGCCAAAAAGTATATTACTTCTTATAGACATTTGTACAGTTGACCTCTTCTATATACATGCAGTAATAGATATGTAGTGAGTCATAGATTATAATGAGTTTTATTGTATAGTCACGTAGAGTATAGAGACAGGATATATATACAGTATGGAGACATGTAGTACAACAGCAAGAGTTAGTGAAGATACATCACCATAGTCACATAAAACCCATTAGTATGTAATATCTCACATATACTAATTCTCACTTACTGAATAAGCAATTCACATATACACTCTACATATACACTGCTAGCAATGGCTGCCAATGGCTGCCTAATAGATTTAGTGGGGGATGGCATCCTTGCCGCAGTACATAGACCTCTGAAAATAGAAAAGTGGTCCGAGTATGGAGATGAATCTATAGAATAAACTGCTAAAGGTATCCATAGTGAACAGGACTTAATGGATTCCATATATGGAAACGACTCCGACATGTCTAACGTATCGCCGGCCTACTATTCCGGTGGAGTTCCTGTGTTCACCCCTTCAATGGAAGAGTTTGAAGACTTCTATAAGTACAACAAAGCAATTAACAAGTATGGAATGCAAACCGGTATAGTTAAAGTAATACCTCCAAAGAAATGGTTGGATAAGGTCAGAAAAGGGTATACGACAAAGAATTTATCCAAAATAGTCATTAAGAATCCTATTGTTCAACAAATTAATCATAATGGACCAGGTATATTCTCTCAGCAGAATATTGAAAGACTTCGAACTTATAACATATTCCAATGGAAGGAATTATCTGAAAAGCCCAATTATCAACCACCGGCAATTCGAAAGAAATCTGAAGGTTCATCTGATGGAGAATCTGAGTCTAAACACAAATTACGATCCCATCGTTATGATTCATCATACAATATAGATGCATCAGAATATACACCTGAACGATGTGAAGAATTAGAAAAGAATTATTGGAGAACTCTAACGTATGCCGAACCAATGTATGGTGCTGATATGCTTGGATCAATATTTGAAACCTCAGTCAAAAGTTGGAATGTTAACCATTTACCGAACATTTTAGACTTGATGGATGTCAAATTACCGGGAGTAAATGATGCTTATCTCTATGCTGGATTATGGAAAGCTACTTTTGCATGGCACTTGGAAGATCAGGATTTATATTCTATCAATTATCTTCATTTTGGAGCTCCCAAGCAATGGTATGCCATCCCTCAAGCTGAAAGAGAGAAATTCTTTAATATAATGAAAGATTTATTTAATGATGAATATAAGAATTGTTCTGAATTCTTACGTCACAAAACATTCTTAGTATCACCATCATTCTTAGCTAAACATAATATCACAGTTAATCATATAATTCATAATGAAGGAGAATTTATGATTACTTATCCCTATGGTTATCATGCGGGATTTAATTATGGATATAATTTGGCTGAATCAGTAAATTTTGCCTTGGATGATTGGTTCTCAATTGGGAAAGAGACCAAGAAGTGTGAGTGTATCAGTGATGCAGTTAATATCAATATTGAACAACTTATTTGTAAATTCAAGGGTTTACCATACTCTCCACCAGCTTCAGACACTGACGAACAAGAGGAAGTTCATACTCAATCAGATTCAAGCGACGGATTTGAAGTTGTTAAGATAATCGATGATATGTCAGAGAAAAAGAAACTGAGATCAGTAAGTTCATCGCCCATCAAAAGAAGGCGGCAGCCGATTAAGAAAAAACCAGTCGCTACTAAAAGACAATCAATAGTAAAGAGACAGATTGTTTCTTCCAAAAGAAAAGTAGAAACGGTAGAAACTCCATCTCATCACTATGAATGTTACTTATGCCCCAATAATCTTTCGCAAATTCCGTTTGTTAATACAAGTCCCATGTTTCAATTGGTTGATTCTGATGTAGTGAATCCACAAACTCAAAGTCAATTTAAAATCCACAGGATCTGTGCTAATATGTTTCAAAAGCAATTGAAATACATATGCAAAGACAATGCTGTCACGGGACTATTGGATATAACAAAGGCTCAGAAGAAGTTACAATGTAAATTATGTCAGAAATCATTTCTTGGAGCCTGTTTCCAATGTAGTGAACCCAAATGTACTCGATCATATCATGGAACTTGTGGAATTGCTGATGGAATGTTATACGATTTTGACCATGAGATTTTTAAGTGTCGGTATCACAGACCCAAGAAGTATACAGTTAATGTATGGAACAAACTATCCAATATAGTTGCTCAGAATCATCCTTATTCTTGGGTGCAATTCACATTCAATGGAAAGTTCTATTTTGGTATGATTCTTGCAAACAATACCAGCGAAGGTTCATTGAATTTATTAGTATACCCATATGCTACTGATGTTTTGGAAGTTCCTTATGAGAACATATTGGTCGGAATGGATCCGGACCATCTAGATAACTTTGTATTTATATCGCCTCAGGACTCTCTCTACTTGAAGAGAGTGGAAGAGCAAATCCCCTTAGTAGAAGTGACTACAGAAAGTGTATGATAAATTCACTACTTGTCAGCTCACAGAGGTTAGCCCCTTATGAAAGTAATGAACTAAATGTAATGTAATGTATGTAATTATAGTAAGACTTGTAATTTATGTGTATTGGTAGGTCGCATCTGTGCCAGAAAAATACATCAACCTAGTTATTGGTGAAGCACTAATGTTAATGCATACCTCTAAGGAATGAGAAGAGGTCGTAACAAGAGGGCAGTGATAACAATCGATAGCGATGGGACCGATGCCGACGAAGAATCGGAAGACGACTTGATAGAAGACATAGAGGATGATGAGGAAGAGATCAGTGGTATCGTCAAACGACAGCCAGAGTTAGTGCAGCCAGAAGTAAAGCGAGCCAAACGACCAGCATCAATTAAGACAAAGACAGAAAAAGAGAGAAAGATAAAGAAAGAGACAGGGACAGAGACAGAAACAGAAACAGGGAATCAACAATGGAGTGACCAATATGCTCCCAAGTCAATAGATGATATATGTATCAATCCTCAGAAGTTAAAACAAGTAAAGGAAGTGTTATATGATATGATTTACCACCCGGACGCGTTAACAAGTCCACGAATATTGATTCTTAGTGGACCAGCGGGCAGTTCCAAATCCACCACAGTGAAGTTACTTGCTAATGATCTCATCAGAAGCAGCCAGGATAATTTTGGTAGTTACAATAATGACAAATGGATAGAATATATGGATATTGCCAGTAGTGATGGATTCAATCAAAGCAACCAATTTGATGAATTCATGAACGATGTTAAATATAGAGTGGGAAGTAACTTAACTGTGGTGGTTTTGGAAGAATTGCCAAATATATTTCATTACGAGACATTAATTAAGTTTCGAAACAAATTACGGGAATGGCTATATATGGATACTCGACTTCCACCATTAGTGATATGCTTAACGGAAGTTGAGTATAACAATAATGATTTGGGAGTCACACCGAGTTATTCATATAATATTGAGAACAATCTTACGGTGGACACGTTATTGGGAAAAGAATTGGCCAGTAATCCCAAAGTCAAAATTGTCAAGTTCAATTCTATTGCTAATCGGTATGTGAGGAAGACAATTAATAACATCATGAAATACGAAAGGAAAGTGTTTAGTCAGATTCCTGTGCATACCTTAAATGGATTCCTTGATGAATTGGTCAAGCTCGGAGATATCCGATCCATCTTGTTTAATCTCCAGTTATGGGCTCGTAATTACGTTCAACGAAAGGAACGTGGTGTGGATGATGAGACATACTTAGAGACCAGTTTTATTCGAGAGAACCAAATTAATTTGTTTCATGCCATTGGTAAGATAATCTATTCAAGTTCAGAGTTTGCAAACTTGGCTGATGATAAGAAAGATTTCTATTCAATAGAGCAAGTACTTAATAGTTTCAACAATTCGGCCCTATTGAACTTATCTATTTTGGAGAATTATGGGATATATCAAAATGGTAATTACGAAATTTCTATTGCCAGTGAAATTGTTGATGATCTAAGTTTAAATGATTTAATGATTGATGGAGAAGCCAGTAAGGATTTTGGGATAAGATCTACAAGGAATAAACTCCGATCAATTGAAGTTAGGTCATCACTGGGATACACTAATAAATTAAAGATTAAGTTTCCTCGACACTTCAAGATGATACGACAGTACAATAAGACCATGTACCAAATTAAGGCTTATCAGAGATATGTCCATCGCTTACGTAACACCTGGCAAGAGTTGAATATGATCGATGGGTACTATCTTCCACTCATCTATAACAAAAAGAAGCAATCACGATACTTATATAATCGACTAGGAGGTAAATTTCAAGAGATATATGCTGATGAGGAGCTAGGAGTTAGTGATCTACATGGTAATGACGGACACAACGGACGTGGATTTGATCGAGATCAGTTTGAAGTAGATATCGAACAAGCCATAGCAGAGTTGAATAATGAGGAGGGCAGTGATGATGAAGAAGGTTTAAGTGATCCTATCGACGACAGCATAGATGAGCTAGACGAAAACGAAGACGAAGACGGAGAAAGGTTTCTGTCGGATTCTGAATTGGAGGGATTGATCTCACAGGGTATGATATAGAGAATTAGGTTTATTAAGTATACACCGATATATAGATACAAATAAATTAAACCGCTTGAAGAGCCTTTTCAAAGAATTGGTCATCTTCTTCGATACTTTCCTTTACAATATCCAAACCACCTTGGAATTCTCCATTAACATATAATTGTGGGAAGGTTGGCCAATCACTAAATTTCTTTAATCCCTGTCTAACAGAGTCATCCTTTAAGATATCAAAGAATCCGAATCTGACTTGATGTTCTCTTAAGATAGCCACTAATTGACGAGAAAATCCACATTGAGGAGATGAAGGAGATCCTTTCATGAATAACATGATTGGAGCCGCGGTAGTAAGTTTCTTTAATCTTTCTTGAAGAGCTTCTTCTGATTCTTCTTCTTGAACTGGTGCTGCACCATTTGTTTTCTGTATTCCGTTAGAAGCTACTGGAGGTATAGCTGTTGGATTTGTAGATGTAGCTGAAGATGAAGATGAAAATTGATTTAATGAGTTTATAAATTCCTTTGGATCAGCACCCGACAATTCTTTAAGTATGACCGAGTTACGAATAAGAATGATATATGGAACAGCACTGACTTCAAATAATTCACTAATTTCTGATAATTCATCAGCATTAATACTGAGGAAAGAGATAGAAGTGTCTGAAGCCTTAGAGTCTGCCACTGTCTTAAAGATTTGATTCATTGTTTGACATGGTTGAGCCCAGGATGTATGGAAATAGAGGACTATTAACTTGGATGCATCAGCCTTGGTTAGTTCGGTGAACTGAGCTTCAGACTCGATTTCAGTTACTGGCATTTTTGGTAGTGGTGATTGTGGTTTTAGTAATAGTAATTGTGATGATGGTAGCTGATTAATCAGATAAAAGTGTGTTATAATTTTTTCATTATTTCATTTCACGTGATTGTGCATGTGATGTGTTATCACGTGATATTAAGAGAGTCAATTAAGAGTCAGAAGACTCCGGGAGAGTCACAGAAATGGTAAGTATACTTTGAAATATGATTGTAAGTATGCTTAGAAGTATGATTATGACTATGAGTAAAGTGTTCCTTCGAGCATAAGTCGAGAATCGAATATTAATAGGAGTTGATGATGACAAGACTAAGTCAACGGGCGTAACGTCACATTTGATCTTAGTGGGGCAGTTTGAGTAATGGAGAGAATATTAAGTTCAACAGTTTGGTTGACAGCAAATGAGAGGCAGCAAGCTACAGAATGGAATAGGAGAAGTACGGAGTCCTACAGAGTCGTATATAGTCGTATATAGTCGTATAGAGCATGAAGCCACATGTAATTAGTCTTAGCGTAGTCATCCGTAAGTCATCATGTAAGATATTGTAGTCCGAGAGATCGTCGGGGTCTGAGAATAATAGCAAAGATTTGAACCGTTCGGAGTTTGTCTCCGGATACAAGCAATTGTAATTAGTCAGGCTTTTTGGTTTGGTTTGGTTATTTTGCTTATGACAGGCCAAGATAAGTCAAAAGGTACCGTGTGTGAGTGGGCCAGGCCTGATTACGGTTACTTTCGGTGAGAAAAAGGGTGTGAAAAAAGGTGGGGTAATGCACACACAAGACAGAAATGTCTGTCTGCACTCGGAGTTGGGCAAATTGTTGGTCACTTACCCCACAAAAACTACAAAAAAGAACAATGGGAGAGGCACTGGCAGTGAGTAAGGGTGCCCTTACAGTAAATACAATAAATAAAGTGCCCTGAATACAGTCAATACAATTAATACAGTACATTTAATAAGTACAGTAAGTAATATTAGAGTAGTCATAGTATATAGAGACTAAGAGCTATTGAATACAATAGTATAGATTAAGAATACTGTAGAGGGACGATAGCGGGACTAGTGTGTAGTCTATAACAGACACAATAATGACTCAGTGTCTGGCTATCCGCGCGAAAACTCTTGTCGTATAGAATGAAGTCCGCCATTGGTCCGCCAAGGTTAGGATAGAATAAGGTAATATATCATAGTATAGTTTTAGTATAGCATGCAGCGTGTACAGTCCAGTGTAGTGTACGGTTCAGTGATTGTGCTTTACCGACGGTGTACCGACATGACTGCCTCCACCGTCTCCGTAATTCTGGTCCCGATATTTGTGTCTGTACGACGCAGACAAAACCAACTCAATTCCCAACTCAAATCCACAAAAACTTCAGACTTTTGTCGCTTGTTTTTTTTTCTTCCACTAATTAATTCTCACTAACCATTAACACCAACTGGCCCATGGCCGCTCCCTAATGATCTCACACATAAAGCTCCAGTCGACGTTCCCCATGGATTATACGCCCAGCCAGCCCAGCCCGCCAGAGACTCCAAGAATGAGTTCCCTGTCCCTGACACTGACACTGACCCAGTCACAATCTCGCCAACAACAGTCACTGTCTCACTCACTGGCCCTGGCCCACTCCCCTAAACCGAAAAAGAACATCCCGCTAGAATTAACAGCCTACGGAACCACTCCGTCAGGGAAACCTCGACTCTTTGTATGTCAGGTATGTACCAGAGCCTTTGCCCGTCTAGAACATCTTCGTCGTCATGAGCGGTCGCACACTAAAGAGAAACCTTTCAGTTGCGGAGTGTGTCAGCGTAAGTTCTCCCGACGAGACTTATTGCTAAGGCACGCTCAGAAACTCCACGCTGGATGCTCGGATGCCATCACCAGACTCCGTCGCAAGTCCATGAAGCGTTCGGCCAATAATGACGACGATGACGACGATGATGAAGATGAAGAAGATGATAATAATGACACCGACATGAATGACACTACAAAAGATACCGGTACCACTTCCGGTAAAGATATTATCATTACTAATGATTCTTCTAATGCTAATTCCACTAAGGATGTTGAATTCAATCTCAATTTGTTCAGTACTAAGAAGCCAAGGCGTGCTCCTGCTAAAGTATCAAAACCTAAAGCCATGGCTACTGTAATGGCTACAGCTATGGCCGCCTCTTCTTCGAGTCCATCATCAACAGGATCCACCCGGAAATCTTCTGTATCTGGTACTTCCGGTAATTATCTTCAACGTCAAGTGCTTGATAATAACCGTAAAAAGATACTTGGTAGAGCTCGTAGAGGTGCATCATTTTCGGCCCAATCCGGGGCCAATTATGCCGTCAGTATTCCGGAATTCGATGATTTGTATCCTAATACCGATAATGTCGAATTCTCCACTCCTCAATTGTTACCTTCGTCCATGAATGATGAGATGAGTTGGCTCAATAATCTTTCTACAATTCCGGGGTTATCACAAACTCCCATGGCTCGGAATAATTCCATAACGGTCGATTTGCAGCATCCCGGTCCACCTCTTAATGTATCACATCATGGATCATTTTCTTTACCATCTAGTACAGGTGCAGTAGCCCACAAATTATCCACTACCGAGAGTCTCAATAGCATTAATAGTCTAGATAATCTAAGCTATATGATGCCTACAGCCACCATCACTAATCAGGAATTACAGAATGGAGTAGCGGCTCAGGTAGCTGCTGCTGCTGCTCAACAGACTCAATCCAATAAATCAAATTCGACTCAGAACAATCACAACCACAGCCACAACCAAAACCAAAATCAAAATCAGAGCCAACCCCATTCAGATCCCATAGACGATGCTCCTAATGACTTTGGTTATTCATTCTACGATATACCGGAAACCATTTTATCGGGTAAAATGTTTGATAATCTCAATTCCGACTTGGGTACTCAACATCATCATGATCATCAACAATTCACTCAACAACAATTAATGGGACTTGGACCTCATCAACAACAACAACAAATGCATCATATGTTTAAAGCCCTTACCCCCATTAAACAAGAATTGGAAGATGAACTTATGCAAGATGAATCATATTCGGGCATGCCACCACCCCCGGTATCGGGTAACCCCTCGGGTCTGCGGTCAGCTAAACCCTCGACTTCTACATCCACCAACTTTGATCTTAACTTTTTAAATGATATTGATGAATTGACTCATGAATTTGACGTTAATGCTAAGTTCATGCCCAATGGATACTCGTTCTATGGTGACAATCCCCTGGCATCTTCATCTGGAATTGAAACAACCTCTCCTCCGCAAATGAGTCCGGAATTGTACACTCATCCCTCGACTCATGCGGAATCACTTATGGATATCACCTTGGATCATGCACAACTCTTAAACATTGAGAGTTCAATAGATCAACAATCTGGTCATAGTTATAATCAACAGGCATTCAATCAATTTGCTCAACCCCTCGTACCCCCACCTCAATCCAGTTGGAAAGCCAAGTATAAGCTCGGTAATTTCAGTCGGAATAAGTTATTCACCAATAATATGAGGCATATGATCAATAAGTCACTTTCTAAGTATCCCATCAGTGGAATTATGACTCCGACTATCCCCACCAATGAGAAGTTGGAGTTTTACTTGGCTACATTTATCCGAAGTTTCTTATCTCACTTCCCATTCATTCATATTTCCAAATTAAATGAATATGAAATTATGAATATGACTGCTAATGAAGATATTAATAATGAAAGTTCTCGAGTATGTTTACCCCTTTTGATCGCCACCATTGGAGCATTATTCTCCAACAATAAGAATGATAGTGAACATCTTTATGAAGCATCTCGTAGAACCATTCATATTTATCTTGAGAGTCGAAAGAATTCTGTTACTTCGGATGGGGATGGTAAGAAAGATAAGGAAAGGGATAAAGATAAGGATAAGGATAATAATCTGACCATTAATCCATTATGGTTAATTCAATCATTAACCTTATCAGTGATCTATGGACTCTTTTCAGATAATGAGAATAATGTTTATATTGTAATTCGACAATTGAATGCGTTAAACTCATTGGTGAAGACATCCATTAAGAGCAATAGAGTCATATTATTCTCTATTAATGGTGAAGATGAAGAGATCTTTAATCAATTGAATCTGTCAATCCATGCCACGAGTCCTCCTTCTAAGACCAGTAATACTATGAATAATCACCATAACAATAACTCCAACAATATCAATAGTAACAGTAATAACAAGAGTAATAGTAATTCATTATTCCCCAACACTTTTGATGATGAATTGAAGTTTAAGAACAATATCAACATCCAATCACAGATTAGAATTGTATTTATGATCTATCGACTCACGAATTTCTTGCTTATGATGTATAATGTTCCGTTAACATTAAGTATTAATGATTTGAATAACTTACTAATCCCTAACCAAGTGCATGAGACATTATGGGGGTTAAAGAATTATCAAGAATTCCAAGAGTTTAGTCATAAACAATTAGGATCTAGTTCGATTGATACATATATTGGTAGTGGAGATAAGATTATCTATAAGAATTTACTTTTAAAATTAACGAAATCAGGAGGGTTTAGTAATGAGACAGTAGGACAATTGAATCAATTAAGTAAATATGGATTTATTTGTATTATTCATGGATTGTTTGAAATTAAACAATATCAAGAAATGAAGAATATCAATATCTTGACGATATTAGATTATTTAACTCAATTTTTACCTACCAATAATACTACCAAGACTCATCCACAAGATTTTGAAAAGTTGGATTATGCATTATTAGTAAATTTTATTAAAATCAGTACTTTGGTAGATTTTAAATTGGTTAAAGAACAAAGTTGGTTACGTAATTTCGATGAATTAACGAAGAACTTTAATAAGTTTTTAGTTGAAAATAATCCGAATAATGTTAATGATAATGATTATTTAAAGATTATTGATTGTTGTTTAATGATCATTAAATTAGTATTGTTTAAATCAGAAGATATTACGGATGATAACAATAATAATAATAATATTAATGATCATGATAATATTCAACATTCCATGTTTAGTACGGATTTTGGGTTTTTAAATAATAATGGAGGCAGTTTAATGGGTGATCATCATAATCTTCAACATCTCCAACAGGCATCTCCTGATAATAATCATGAGTTTAATAGTCTTTTAATTGAAGATAAGTCGAATGTAATTAGTGAACGAGAGAATAGTTTAGTGAGATTCGAGAAATTCATTCATCTCCGAATTTATGAAGAGTTTGATAATAGTACCAATTCTATCTTATCACAAATGTTATTTCATGTATTTACCATTTTGTCGGTATTTTCTATCTACATTTTAAAGAAAAACAATACATCGGCTGGTAATACAGTTATAAATACCATGGATGGAGATTCATCGCCTGATTTGTTATTTGAACTCAACCATCGATTCAGTACCACCTTGAAATTGCTCGATAAGATTGAGAATTTCTTGAAGTTGAAGTATCATGGTGCTGGTAATAATGGGTCTAATATCAAATTGGAGCATGACTTTACCAACTTGTATTTATTCAATGGTCAACAACAACAACAACAACAACAACAACAACAACAACAACAACAACAACAACAACAACAACAACAGCAACAGCACCATCTCAACCAGCATCAACAATCACAACCACAGGATGCAGGCAACGCCCAGAGTTTGGAAAAGACCCTCTACATATTACGAATTGGAGAAATGCTCATGAACTACTTGTACGACTCTAACATTAAGGTGTCTATCTTTAAGAAATTAAGTGGAAGTTTAGCCCACATACGTAAGTCATTGGCCGAAAACGAATCGCGCATCATTTCTTAGAGATTTGACTTTATAAAGTATTTATTGATATTATATTATATATTATTTATTATTCATATATTGTTATTGTAGTTTAGGGGTGGTTGAATAGGGGGGTGCGCCCTACCCCTGTGCAGGCTACCCCGTATTTGTCAGCAACCCTCAATCACTTTACCCATACCCCTTGATTGGTATTAGCTTACACCAATTATCACCGAGGCGAGTTAATTGAGCTGAGTCACCGAATATGATTGTGTTTAAGTAAGTGGTACTTAAGCGCTGGCTGAGTTTGCTGTAAAATTTTGCGTCCAATACGCAACTGTTGCAACAATTTTCGTATTCGGCGACTGTGGCTCTGAGCAAACGAGTTCGAGGATATAAATTTGGCCACATTTCCCATTTCCCATTTCTAACCTGATTAGGAGGTTCTCTTCCCTAACTAAGTTAATATCCGTCAATTGAATTGTAAGTATGACTGCTCCATTAAAATTATATACTGCTGCTACTCCTAATGGATTTAAGATTAGTATCTTTTTAGAATTCTTAGGGTTAAAATATGATGTACAAAAGATTAATCTTCGTACCAATGAACAAAAGGAAGATTGGTTTGTTAAATTGAATCCTAATGGAAGAATTCCAACATTAACAGATTCTAATACTGGAGTTACAATTAGTCAAACGGCAGCTATTTTACAATATCTTGCCGATACTTATGATAAAGATCATAAATTCTCGTATAAATTTGGATCTGTTGAATATTATAAGCAATTGGAATATTTAATTTATTCTGTAGCTGAACAAGGACCAATTACTGGTCAATTATCTCATTTTACAAGAGCTGCTCCAGAAAAGATTCCTTATGCATTAGAACGTTATGGTACTGATGTTAAAAGAATTTTAGGAGTATTGGATGAAATTATTAACAGAAATAAAGATAATGGTTTATACTTTGTTGGAACTCATTACTCGATTGTTGACTTTTCCGTATTTGGCTGGGCCAGATCAGCTGGTAATTTAGGTATTGATCTTGATCAATGGACTTACTTGGGTAAATGGTTTAAGGAATTGTCTGAAGCTCCTGAAGTTAAAAAGGGAATTGAAATTTTACAATAACTAAATAATGTAGTTAGTCATTTATGAGCGATGTTACATTATTTATTATTATTAACCATTTATAGGTACCCAAAACAATAGATATTAAATTAGTCTATGTAGAAATAAAATGAAATATATAAATATATTAAATGCAATGCTTAGCGAGGTTCTGTATCGGTATTATTGGCTAAGCTGGTTTGTTGTTGATCATTGGATTGTTCCTGATCATTAACTACTTTCTCTTGTTCTTGTTCGCCTTTTTCCAGTTCATCATCATCTAGATCTGCTCCTTTACTCTTTTTAGGTACTCTCTGATTACTCTGGAATAATGAAAAGATTACACATAAAGCACCTATTCCAGCAGCTAAATGATAAACATTTCTAATGGCTTTCATTACTTGATCCTTAATAAATGCTTGTGTTACAGGATTTAATGTTTTAATAAGTGAAGTATTAACCATAAGTTCACTTAAATTAACTTTACTTAAATCATATAAGATTTGAGGATTGGTTTCATTGGATATAGCCTTTCTTAAAATAGCTTTAAGTGATTCATTATAAGTTAATGTAGCTAAATCTGCTCCTGTAGCACCTCCCATTGATCTACCAAAATTAAAGAAAGTAGTTCCCATAATCGTACTACCTTCTGACTTTGGTACACTTAATTGCATAAGCATAACTGTAGATTGCATTTGTAATCCAGTAGATAACCCAGGTAAAATTAAAAGTCCAATGATTTGTCCTAATGTTGAATCAACCTTTAATAATAATAAAATAGTATTACCTACAAGTCCAAAGATTGCAGCAAGAATAGAAAATGGTTTAACAATTCTAACTTTACGAAGAGTAACTCCTCCAATAATTGATGCAATAACTGAAGAAATAATCATAGGTAAAAGATGTATACCTGAATGCCAACCATCATATCCTAAAATAACTTGAAAGTAAATTGATAAATATAATTGATTCATAATAAGGTATGAATATGTGGTTGTTATAACCAATACTGAAGCATCACAAGCTAATGACTGAACCAAGTCTAAACTAATTAAAGGATACTTGGAATATTTAAAGTTCCAAACACAGAACGCTATTGACATAATTCCACCAATTACAAAACAACATATAACTTGGGCTGAATCCCATGAGAATTGACTTGAAGATCCAAAACTTAATCCTAATAGAACCAAAACACATGCAGCACAAAGTAATGTTGCACCCAAGTAATCAATAGTTTTTAACTTCTTTAAAATATTCCCCTTAGGACGAGGAGGATTAAAAGCCCATTGTAAGAATAATAATGCAACACCTCCAATAGGTAAATTAATATAAAAACACCATCTCCAACTAATTTTCGAAAGAAGACCTCCAATTAAAGGTCCAATAACTGAAGCAGTTGAAAAATTGACTGATAATAAAATCATTCCAAAATTTCTATATTCAATTGGGATAATTTCACTAATAACAATAAATACTAAAGATTGAACACCACCTCCACCTATACCAGCTACAACTCTTCCTACAATTAACATATTCATACTGGTTGATAATGCACATATTAAAGATCCAATCTCAAAAAGAACAATGGCAATACTTAAAGCAATCTTTCTTCCAATAATAATTGAAAATTTCCCCCAAACAGTTGTGAAAACTGCAACGGATAATAAGAAACCCGAACTTAACCAATTAATTTTATCAAATCCATTAAAAGCATCACCAATTTCAGAAAGAATGGTCACCACAATAGTTTGATCTATTGCAGTAATAAATATCGTAAGCAATAATGAAATTACGGTAATTACAAGTTTATACCCTTTAACATATTGATCTTCTCTTCTAGTACCATCTCCAGCATTACTTTCTATAAATACTTCATCGTTATGAGATTTTTGCAGTATTTCACTGCTTGAGTCCTCAGGCTGTAGAGCTTGTGGGATTTGTTCATTATCTTGAACTGAAAGACTGGGTATAGTACCTAGACTATTTCGATTTTCTTCCTTTGACTTCTGTGAGATATTAGACATCTTAGCGATATGGTTTAACAATATGATACACGAATAATCTTGGCATGCATTTATACTAAGGTCTTGTCAAAAGTTAATATGCCGTATATTAAACATTTAGGAATTATTGTTATTTATAATTTAAAACCTATTCTATTATAAGCATCACTATTGAAGAGGCTTTCGATTTCTATGTCCGGGTATATGCGTTCAAAGCCGCGCAAATCCAACCCATTCCCGATTATAAGCGGTGGGTGTTAAACGGAATCACTATTTTTTTTGACTGCAAAAAATAGTGTGACGACGGAATTAGGGTCACAGAAGCAGCCGTTCAAAAGCCGCCCGTACTCGACGGAACTAAGTATTAAAGTGGTTAATAAGCGGATTATAACTTTAAAGTAGTCATATATTATTTAATTAACTAACGCATCTATGCCTATAATTAGAAGGACCAAAACTATAAAGAGTCTTACGACCGAAAAGATTATATCACTGGTTTGCGCTATTTTTTCTACTTGTGCGAGTTCATATTCAAGAGGTTCATAAGAGTATAATTTGTGACTATTGCCGGGGAACTTAACCATGTAATAATTAAAGAACTGGCTATTTTCGACGGCAAGATATCGTCTAAGATTTAAATACAGTTGGGGAGGGGTCGAAATTGGAGGTTGAGGAATTGATATTATCGGACTTGCATATTGAGGTTGATTCTGTTGTGATAACAATAATTGGTTCAATTGGGATTTGTACTTGATTGCTGTTGGAACAGGATTACTGATAGGTTTATCTTGATAGGTTGTTGAAGTATAGTAATCATAGGGTGGTAGTATTGATTCTTCATTCTCTAATATGGGAGAATTCACTGGTTCAGGTGGACATGTAACCGATAACTCAGGTGATGGTGAAGTTAATGGAGTTGAATATTTCGATGCTTCAAAATTCAAGTTTGAATCAACTTCTGTATCCACAATCGAATACAGTGGCTTGGAACCCATAGTTGGTACTTGTAACAAAGTAGTATTCTTTATATCTAAATTCTCCACAAAAGTAACTATATCGGCATAATAGTCAAACTCTGCATCAGAAGTTGAAACTTTAGTGGATCCGGCCCGTTTAAGTTTTTTATGCCCTAAGGCAACTTCTTGTTTGAATTTAGTAATGAACTTTTGTTTATTATGTTGAAGCTTTAACATCTTTGTTTTAACATAATTTACTAGTTGAACTTTACTTAGCTTTCTATGATGTTGGTGTCTATTATCTCTAACCTGATGATATACTGTTGATTTGGTTTGAGATTTGGAATATTTAGGCAATTCTGAATATACATTGGTCTTGCTAGATTGTTCAACTATGGATGAAACCGATGATGATAAATATTGAGGGCTGGTATGCTTCAATGCAGTTGTTGGAGACATTAATTGAATCATTATAGATAAGATGTAATAGTACTGAAGGCAAAAATGGGGATTGTACAAATAAATAAATAGTTAACAAGTAATAAATATCTCAATAAATAAAGTTAACAAATGAATAATAGAACAAATGATAAATAATAAATAGGGAATAATGAATAATAAATAAATAAATAATAAATAATAAATATTAATGACCGTACCGTTGACACAACCTATGAAATAAACATAATCCAGTTAATGTAATAAAATGTGAAATAAAGGCAGATAAAGGAATATTAAGGATTGTAATTAAGATAATACCGATTTTAGAAATGAAACCGGAAATACAATACAATATAGTACAGTGATGCTATAATACAAATCAAGCAATATAACTCGAACTGTTGCTTCAATAATTATAAAAGTTCATGTACTCATTTATTAGGCAGTATATTTGCGTAAAAATGTCGTTAGATGTTACGACAACTTAAGTGATCGGAGGGTTCTAACTTTGCTACGCCTTAAATATGTGTTTACGGTTGGTACTTAAATGCAAAGGTACCTCTCTTCTCTACCTCTTTCTCAGAATGAAGCAAACTAAATTATAAATAAACAAATAAATAAATAAAAAAAAAACTGAATAAATAAATTAGATTGCTGATTTCAAATTATAAATACGCACACATATTTTTTCCGTTATCAGAGATGCACTTTTTTCATTGTTTGTTCCATCTGACCACTCCTATTTCATTCTTCGGCAATGGTTATTTGCGAGCATATTTCGTGGAGGTTTCCTCGGCAATCCGTAATAGAGTTTAGTTTTCTTACTTATGTGTGCCTGAAACGGAAACTCTTTGAATGCATTAATGGTTGTGAAGTTGATTGAACTACTGTGGCAGCATTATGGGACTGGTTTTCCTTATCGTGATGGTCACTCTCACTCCTGAAAAACCACTTCCATTGTCCGCACTTGCTTACAAGCTGTGGTCATGAAAGGGAATATACGCTCCTTTCAAAATATGGCTTATAGGTTCTCTCCTCTTCTACTTCGTAGCTTCTCATAGCCCATTTAATATCTCTCCACTTTCACAATGAACAAACTTTTTACGATGGACCCCATCCCGCCTCGTCCCATTACCGCTGTCCCCTCGTTGGTTCATTTTCTACATAATAAATTTAAAAAATATAAAGGTTCCAGTGACGTATTGTCATGTCAAATCAAAGCAGTTTAATCGAATTACTATAAATGAAATTGATCTTATGTACTGTATAATTTCATGAATCATTCCCGTAAAAGGAAAAAGAAATTCTCATCCCGCAAAACTTAATGCGCTTTCTTAATTAGGTAATGAAATTACATCATCTCCTATTCTTTGCTTGAGGAATGTCTAGATTATGTTATGACTGAGTAATTCGAAAAACTTAAAATTATTTCTCTTTATCGGACTAAGATAACTCTTTTATAAATGTAGTCTACCATAATTATTGAAAATGATATATATTAATATATATGAAAAACAATGTAATAAGAAATAATTATCTATGTTATAAACCCTGTTAAAAGATTAAAACGAGAAACCGAAAGGGAAAGACAGAAAATGGCTCCGATACTTTGGAAGCTAATACGAGTAGTCAAATACTAGAAGAAATATATATATGTACCTGGGGAAGTCTTGCAAATAGATTAAAACAAGAAAACTAAGATAGACACGAAAATAGCTCCGAAACTATGGAGAACAGTGTTAGCGTTGTTGGAAACACTAGAAGGAATTGATACTGCAGGAGCGATTGAACTTGTCTGTTCAGAAGTGCCTGCAGCACTGGAACTGCTTTGAGCAATGACACCAGCTGTAGTACCAGTAGCTTCAATAGCACCTGCCGCATTTGGACCTGTAGTTTCACTACCACCAGCTATGGCTCCTGTAGCAGCAGCGGCTTCATTTGCAGCTGGACCTGCAGCATTTGGAGTAGTAACAGTAATCAAATGTGTGACTGTAGTAGTCTCGATAGAATTGGCTGTAGTGATCGTCAATGTTTCATAAGATGTGAAAATACCAGCTTCTGTTCCTCCAAGTGGAGTTAACGTAGGTGCAATGGTACCTTCTTCCTCTGGACAGTATGTTGTGGTGACAGTATGAGGAATAGTCACAGTCTTAATAGAATTAAGTGGACAGTTCGTAACAGTCTTTGGACACTGAGTAATGGTAATTATTTTATTAGAAATGAATGTGGCGGTAGTAGTCAGACCACCAGTAGCTTGCGCTGCAGTTTCTGGACAGTAAGTAGTGGTGATAGTGTGAAGGATAGTAGTAGTCTTGATTGACCTAGCTGGACAGTCAGTAACTGTGCTAGCACATTGTGTTATCGTGATAATTTCACTAGAGGTATAGACTGTAGTGATAGTAGATCCAGTGGAACTTCCTCCAGTTGGATTAGCTGTTGCAGCACCAGTACCAGTACCAGCGCCAGTAGTAGTGCCAGTAGTAGTGCCAGTGGTTGTGCCAGTGGTTGTGCCAGTGGTTGTGCCAGTGGTTGTACTAGTGGTTGTGCCAGTGGTTGTACTAGTGGTTGTGCCAGTGGTTGTACCAGTGGTTGTGCCAGTGGCTGAAGTAGCACTTTCGAGAACTATACTAAATTGACCAAGGAAACAGTCACTTGCAATTGATGATAATTGTAAAGGAGCAGCTTCATCTGGACAGATGTAGAAATCACTTTGTCCGTTCAATTCCAATACTGGATCTCCGATAAACAGCCATCCTCCAATTGCTGAATCGGTAAGATGGAATCCATTGCTATCGCCTACAAAATATAAGTCATTGACTGTAATATATCCTTCTGGAAGTTGTAATTCAAAGTGGCTTCCTTCGTCCCTATTCAATATAATATTATCTCCGGAATAGTTGACCAATTCACTGAATTCAACTGGTGGTGCGGCCACAGCAGTTATAAGGAATCCATAAGTAGTGGTTTCTGTTTGAGAACTCAGGGAACTCAGGGAAACTACTGAAGATGGACTAGAAGTCACGCTTTCGCTTTCTGAACCAGAAGCAACTGATGATGCCACAGAAACCTCTGAACTGGTTCCTGAAGTTTGTGATCCGGTTTCAGAGCCAGAAGCAGATGTAGATGGTAACCCGGAACTCTCTTCACTGTTACTAGAACTGGATTCTGATGAACTTGAAGTTTCAGATGAGGCTCCAGTAGTTGGAGTACCGGTAGTTGGAATAGTACCAGTAGTTGGAGTAGTGCCAGTAGTTGGATTAGTACCTGAAGTTTCGGATGATTCACCAGTAGTTGGAGTAGTGCCTGAAGCTTCAGATGATACACCAGTAGTTGGAGTAGTACCAGTAGTTGGAGTAGTACCAGTAGTTGGAGTAGTGCCTGAAGCTTCAGATGATACACCAGTAGTTGGAGTAGTACCAGTAGTTGGAGTAGTACCTGAGGAGCCTGATTCACTTGAATCTTCAGATGAAGTGCCTGTAGTTGGAGAAGTCTCTGGTGAACTTGAACCTTCAGACGAAGTGCTTGTGGTTTCAGAAGTTGAGGATTCACTTGTTGGTGAGCCCGATGTTCCGACATCAGTTTCTGATCCAGATGGATAAGTTATTGTTGGACTGAAGTAGGAACCAGATGGAAGTGGACCTACTATAGGATTCAAGGACACATCTAATGAAGAACAACCTCCTGAGTTAATATTCTTGATAATATATGAGTCATTACCATATGAACAACTGTAGAATAATGAGCTGTTATCATAGACTAATGATCCAGTCGTACTATAACCCCAACCTGGAACAGGATCTGGTCCAAGTACAAGATCTCCATCGGCATCTGGAGCTTGAACATACAAACCATTAGAAGCTGAAAGAACTCCTGTTGTTTGATTCAAACTAAAAAGCACGGCATCTCCACCAAGATTTACACCCAAGATATAACCTCCTGCTCTCTTTTGCAATGTTAAAGCAGCTAAATCTGCGACATATAAGGCTTCAATTTGTTCTTCTAATCCTTCTAATTCAACTGAAAGTTCAAATAATTCTGCTACAGATGAAGGTAACGAGAATATTGCAGTTGTTGTAGTAATAACTGTAGTAAATCCTGTTTGGAATGTTGAAGTCGTTGAAGTAGTTGAAGTAGTTGAAGAAGTAGTTGAAGTAGTTGAAGAAGTAGTTGAAGTAGTTGAAGAAGTAGTTGAAGTAGTTGAAGTAGTTGAAGAAGTAGTTGAAGAAGTAGTTGAAGAAGTAGTTGAAGAAGTAGTTGAAGAAGTAGAAACTGTTGAACTAGAAGTGGTTGAAGTGGAAGATTCTGAGGAAGATGATACTGCAATACTCGATGTTGATGGAGGGGGTGGACAGAATTCAACGTTGGATAAGTAGACTCCAACTGGTATACATGAAGAATTTAAGTCTTCATCGTCACCAATAATGTAAGTTTCCGTACCTTCAGCATAACAAGCATATAATCCGGATCCTACAGCGTAAGTTAATTCATATAATCCTTCTACATAATATTCAACACCCCAAGAGTAAACAGGATTGGCTCCTACATGAAAAGCGTTGTTGGCAGGATTCTGAAGATATGGTCCTTCAGGGAAGGAATCCAGTTGGCCTTGTGGGATGTCTCCTAAGATTGTAATATACCCTACTCTTAACTCAGTGTCATAAGTAAAGTTAAAGCTTGATGCAGGAGCACCAACTGTAAGACCAACGATTCCGTCAATTAACTCTAAACCTAATGAAGTATCATAAATTCCAGTACCAAATGCATACAAGCTGAAGGAACAAATATCCAGAGTGACAGGTATATAAGTACTTACAGGAATAGTTTCTGTTGCAGTTTGTTCGGAACTTGATGATAATGAAGGTGTCAATGTACTAGTAGATGCAATATTAGTAGGAGCAATTGAGGTGGAAGATTCTGAGGAAGATGATACTGCAATACTCGATGTTGATGGAGGGGGTGGACAGAATTCAACGTTGGATAAGTAGACTCCAACTGGTATACATGAAGAATTTAAGTCTTCATCGTCACCAATAATGTAAGTTTCCGTACCTTCAGCATAACAAGCATATAATCCGGATCCTACAGCGTAAGTTAATTCATATAATCCTTCTACATAATATTCAACACCCCAAGAGTAAACAGGATTGGCTCCTACATGAAAAGCGTTGTTGGCAGGATTCTGAAGATATGGTCCTTCAGGGAAGGAATCCAGTTGGCCTTGTGGGATGTCTCCTAAGATTGTAATATACCCTACTCTTAACTCAGTGTCATAAGTAAAGTTAAAGCTTGATGCAGGAGCACCAACTGTAAGACCAACGATTCCGTCAATTAACTCTAAACCTAATGAAGTATCATAAATTCCAGTACCCAATGCATACAAGCTGAAGGAACAAATATCCAGAGTGACAGGTACATAAGTACTTACAGGAATAGTTTCTGTTGCAGTTTGTTCGGAACTTGATGATAATGAAGGTGTTAATGATGTTGCTACAGAACTGCTGTTTAACCAAGGACCCCATGAACTTAAAATTATTGCAGGACTTGTCGGAGTCGATGAGGACAAAAGTGTGAATGATGATGGGAGTTCACTTGATATACTCCCAATGATTGTTGTATTGCTTAAAGTGCTACTTTGTAGAAAAGAACTACATAGAGCTAACGTCGCAAAAAACACAATTTGGAGAGGAACTAGAAAACCCATATCCACTACTGTATACCTTAAATATTTGTAGGGTTTAAATTCTAAAAAAACAAACTAGGTTGTTGAACATATTTATAGAATTGGGGATCACGGTGCAGGGTCTCCATACACATGTTCAAGGATAGTTTCGTCGTGAAGAAATCAAATTAAGCATATTTCCAGGTTTGTAACCATTTAAGCAACGCGCCTGCGTACTGCAAGAAAATATCGAAGTTAGTAATAGTTCTTTAATTTATTATTTCCATTGTTTAATATGTAGGCGCTTCCTTTTCTTCGCAAAAACTATCTAAAAACGAGATCAATTTGACACAATAAAATTAAAATCCTCATACATAAAAAATAATTCTACAAAAGATTTACGAGCCATAGTTTCTGGCCCAAAAAATCAAATTAGTGCAATTCTAAACAGTATTCGGAAAAAGGAGTTTGTTTACCATTTACGATCTACCTTCACATTAATCTATTTAGTTATATTATAAATAACAATAGACTAAATTACTGGGGATTTAATGCAAGTGATATAATATGATATTATAAATATTTACGAAAGCATAATTGAAACAGTTAATATTTTAATCTTTGAGGATTACTATAAAGTCATCAATGAATCTAATGGTACTTAATTAAGTTTATTATTAAGCATTATTGCATCCTAATAGATATTATTGAAAACATTATTTAAACATTATTCATAAACGTGAATATGTTGTACTTGTTGTGAATTTTTCTATGAATAGTGTAAACCGTTTATAAAGATATAACAAAATTAGGAAAAACATAAGCTGGTTTAGGTTATCAAAACCAATCGAGGCGTTCCTCTACAACTTTAAGCAATATTATATTCATTTTTGTGCAGGTGCCAATTGTGAAGTATTTTTTTTAGAATTATTTTGTAGATCGCACAATATGCACGACATAAATAAACGAGCTATTCTTTGCTGCGAAGCAAATCCTCCTTGTCTGTCCATTTACTTTTTTATTATAATACAATTCATAATAATAATTATAATTAAATTAAACAAAGACTTTGGTATAGATTCTATCTAAAAACCTATGTATTATATAACTGATATATAATTCTCTTGATCGATTAACATTTAATGTAAGAGAACGAAAAATAGCATGAATATAGCTCCTAAACTATATGATACTGTGCCAGCATTATTGGAACTGGGAGGTATTGAAATTATTGGTGCCATTGTGCTTTGTTGTTCTGAGGTATCTACATCATTAGTTGATGTTGGTATAGCTTTAGAGATTGTACTATAAACTTCACTACTAATTTTAGCTATACCTGTATTAGATGTTTTAGCTTCATTGGTACCAACTTCTTTTGGACCTGTAGTTTCACTACCACCAGCTATGGCTCCTGTAGCAGCAGCGGCTTCATTTGCAGCTGGACCTGCAGCATTTGGAGTAGTAACAGTAATCAAATGTGTGACTGTAGTAGTCTCGATAGAATTGGCTGTAGTGATCGTCAATGTTTCATAAGATGTGAAAATACCAGCTTCTGTTCCTCCAAGTGGAGTTAACGTAGGTGCAATGGTACCTTCTTCCTCTGGACAGTATGTTGTGGTGACAGTATGAGGAATAGTCACAGTCTTAATAGAATTAAGTGGACAGTTCGTAACAGTCTTTGGACACTGAGTAATGGTAATTATTTTATTAGAAATGAATGTGGCGGTAGTAGTCAGACCACCAGTAGCTTGCGCTGCAGTTTCTGGACAGTAAGTAGTGGTGATAGTGTGAAGGATAGTAGTAGTCTTGATTGACCTAGCTGGACAGTCAGTAACTGTGCTAGCACATTGTGTTATCGTGATAATTTCACTAGAGGTATAGACTGTAGTGATAGTAGATCCAGTGGAACTTCCTCCAGTTGGATTAGCTGTTGCAGCACCAGTACCAGTACCAGTACCAGTGCCAGTACCAGTAGTATTGCCAGTAATAGTGCCAGTAGTAGTGCCCGTAGTAGTGCCAGTATTAGTGCCAGTATTAGTGCCAGTGGTTGTGCCAGTGGCTGAAGTAGCACTTTCGAGAACTATACTAAATTGACCAAGGAAACAGTCACTTGCAATTGATGATAATTGTAAAGGAGCAGCTTCATCTGGACAGATGTAGAAATCACTTTGTCCGTTCAATTCCAATACTGGATCTCCGATAAACAGCCATCCTCCAATTGCTGAATCGGTAAGATGGAATCCATTGCTATCGCCTACAAAATATAAGTCATTGACTGTAATATATCCTTCTGGAAGTTGTAATTCAAAGTGGCTTCCTTCGTCCCTATTCAATATAATATTATCTCCGGAATAGTTGACCAATTCACTGAATTCAACTGGTGGTGCGGCCACAGCAGTTATAAGGAATCCATAAGTAGTGGTTTCTGTTTGAGAACTCAGGGAACTCAGGGAAACTACTGAAGATGGACTAGAAGTCACGCTTTCGCTTTCTGAACCAGAAGCAACTGATGATGCCACAGAAACCTCTGAACTGGTTCCTGAAGTTTGTGATCCGGTTTCAGAGCCAGAAGCAGATGTAGATGGTAACCCGGAACTCTCTTCACTGTTACTAGAACTGGATTCTGATGAACTTGAAGTTTCAGATGAGGCTCCAGTAGTTGGAGTACCGGTAGTTGGAATAGTACCAGTAGTTGGAGTAGTGCCAGTAGTTGGTTTTGTACCTGAAGTTTCGGATGATTCACCACTAGTTGGAGTAGTACCTGCAGCTTCGGATGATTCACCACTAGTTGGAGTAGTACCTGAAGCTTCGGATGATTCACCACTAGTTGGAGTAGTACCTGAAGCTTCGGATGATATACCACTAGTTGGAGTAGTACCTGTGGGAGTAATACCTGTGATTGGAGTAGTACCTGTAGTTGGAGTAGTACCGGTAGTTGTAGTCGTAGGTGTATTAGTGTCTGGTGAATTTGTTGTTCTTGAACCTTCGGATGAAGTATTTGTGATTTCAGAAGATTCCAATGAACTAGTTTCGCTTGAACCTTTGCAGGAACTAGAAGAATTTGAAAAGTTCTCAGACAACGAAGTACCTATCGAAGACGAATTCGAAGTACTTGAGCTTTCACTTGAAGTGCTTCCATCTGAGTACTCCAATGACGAATCAGCCGAATTTGATGATACTGAAAAAGATCCCGATTGAAACAAACTTGTAATGGAAGAATTTAATGTCGAAAGTGAAGGAGTAGACTCAGAGGTAGAGGATTCACTGGTCTCCGAACTTGATGTTTCACTAGCACCTCCAGACTCAAACAGAGATGAAGCTGTTGAACTAATGTAGGAGCTCAGTGAATAGTTAATTACTGGACTCACTGCCATATTCAAGGAATCACAACCTCCTGAATTTATGGTCTTGATAACATATGAATCGTTACCACTACCATATGAACAACTATAGAATAATGGGCTATTATCATATGTTAGATCCAGGCTGGAATCATAACCCCAACCTGGAACAGGATCTGGTCCAAGTACAAGATCTCCATCGGCATCTGGAGCTTGAACATACAAACCATTAGAAGCTGAAAGAACTCCTGTGGTTTGATTCAAACTAAATAGTACGGCATCTCCACCAAGATTCACACCCAAGATATAACCTCCTGCTCTCTTTTGCAATGTTAAAGCAGCTAAATCTGCGACATATAAAGCTTCTATATTTTCTAGTAATCCCTCTAATCTAACAACTATATCAAATAAATCGGCTAGAATGGTTGGAGTTGAAATTGGTAAAGTTTTTGTACCTTCAGAAGTAGTAGATGTCGAAATCAATTGTGTCATTGTTGAGCCATTATCTGATGTTGTTTGTACAGAATGTGTCACCAGTGAAGGAGTCAGAGAGGAGGCATCATCCTCACAAGCTGAGTCTTCAACATAAAGATTTATTTCAGAACAATCACCTTCCGGTAATGCTTCTAGAGCGATTACATTGGTGAAATGATAGTCATCAGAGCAAACGTAAAAATCTGTGCTTCCCATCCAACCCATCAAGTAAGTTCCATTCGAACTAACTATTGACCAGCCTGCAACACCAATATCACTTTGTGTAAAAATCTTTACAGTTGGTGGATAAGCCCCTCCATACCCCACTGGCACTGGCACAAGATATGAACCATCAACAGTGACGAACAGGGTAGTTGGATCAAAACTGTAATAATCAACAATGCCAGTTGTAAGATTAGGATTATTATTGTTATCTAATCCCACCGCTATTTCAGGTGAATCGGCCCCAGCATAAATCAGAAAATTAGAAAAGCATTGAGATGATGATTGAGGTTGGCCTGATGAAGTACTTATTGAAGAACTGACTGAAGTACTAGCCGTATTACTTGCTGAAAAACTCACTGATGAATAAGTGGAAGTAACACAATCTGCAACATTAGAATCATCAATATAAAGACTTATGAGAGAACATTCTGATGAGTCCATGAAATCCTCAGTTGAAATTACACCGGGATACGTTTCGTTAAAACAATTATAAAAATCTGTACTGCCTTGCCAACCGATTAAATAAGTGCCATTTGAACTTACCACTGACCAGCCTTCTTGGCCACTATCATCTATTGAAAACAATCCATCGTAATCGGCCGAAACAACGTATGAACCATTAACACTAAGAAACAGTGTGGTTGGATCAAAACTAAAGTAGTCATAAAAGGCAAGACCTAAGAACACTTTGTCAACCATACCTACCTCATAATTACCGCCGCTGACATAAATCGTAAAATTGGAATAGCATTGGGATGAAGGTTTAGTTTGACCTAATGCATTTTCTATGCACAAAGCTAACAAAGTCAAAAAAACAAATTGAAAATTAATTAAAGCCATTTCTTCTGTTTGAGCCTCTAAATTGCATATATAGGATAAAGCTTAGGCAATTATCAGTCTAGAACGTCAGAATATATATGAAGAAAAATTGACATTATTCAATTATCCAAATGTTAACTTGGCTTTATCAGTATTTGCAACGTATTCATAATTGTAACCATACTCACTCATGCCCAATTTGAGGTCAATGATTTTCATTACGCTCGTTGTTATGTATCCGCTGTTCAATTTCTGTAGCGATTATCACCAATAAATATTTGCAACGTATCCACATGTATTAACATCTTCGACTTTATTTTTTGACTTGAAGCAATAAATCCTTGAAATATTATTCTAGTTGTCATTTTTATGCGAGTTTTTTGACACACTTGCAAAAAATATACTCGCATAAAAAAATAAATTTACGAGAAAGGAAGATGAGAAGGAGACAATTTAAATGAGCAAAAGGATTGGAGGAAATATTATGTTTGCGATAGAGATGTTGTCAATATATTATTTTTTTAGATTGGCACGTGTAAGAATATTGGTTTTGATAAAATAGGTCGAGTTTTTCTGAAGAATAATTATATACTAAATGGGTTCCAGGTTTGATATTGTCTAAATAAAGAATCTGACTGTAGAGAATACATTTAATAAGAAGAGAAAATTTCGGAATAAGGAAAAGCTTTTCTAAGAAGGATCCGAATTGGCCAATTTAGAAAATCTCTAATAATAAAAGGCGCTAGATCAGTAGTAGGAAACTATAGCTAATATGAATTCAACAGATAAGAGCAAAGGCAACATAGTCAACTAAATAAACAAACACTGCAATAAACAATCTAAGAGGAATCTTCCACTATAAAGTTTGATAAAGGTATATTATTACTACACTGTGTAAAAAGACTTGGACTACCGTAGGCTCACTTAAAATAATTTCTGTCCAATAATGCTTTCAGTGCTTCGTTCCCTATTTCAGCTAAGCGTTCAACTTCAGAAAACTCCCTCAGCTCATTTTATGCTGTATTTTATTTTGTAATAAATTATTTTCTTATAATGGAGAAGCCTTCAAAATAAACGAAGAATCGCGACAGCACAACATTTACTTATAAATCTACAAAAATTTCTTTAATAATTAATATGCATTATCGGAAAGGTTGTGGTATAACGATTTGTTACTAACTTAACTAAATTTTAGCCGCGGTTCTAAAATTATATACTTTTGAAACATGGAATTATTACTTAGTCGCAGTGAGCTTTATTTTATTAAGTATAGGGACTTTACTTATAAGTATTTGTCAGTTTGAAGATCATAGCCCAAGAAAATGAAAATATTTGTTTATCTGGATTTAACAATTGAAGCACCAGTGCTTGAACATGTTAAACCGTTGCTCTATTATAGATTACACTTGAATTGAGATTTCTCTATTCCAAGACATCACATTGGCATAATCTCACTTTCAAACCCAAGCAGGCAAGCAAAACTATTTAAGCCTATCACACATAAACCGACACTCATGTTAAGTGAAAAGAATATGAAGACACATAAAAAGAATGTAAGAAAGTATTTCATAAATAGTCTCCAAATTAGCGGTGGACTAACGCAATATATAGTAGAAGTTATAGCAGCTGGAATTATTGGAGCATCGAGGATCATCTTGGTTCTTTGAATTGATTTCTATTTCAGAGTTTATGTTAAAAGAAATATCAATCATGCTAAACGATTCTGGGACTTCGTACAGCTATATATAAGTAGTTAGACAGAAGAAGTCCAAACCTTAATGAAAGGTGTTCTTTACAAGTTAACAAGATTTTGCAGCATGCGGAGAGAAGGGATTAGAGGACCCCCTGTCCTGAATCAATGTGTATACTATATGCATAAAATGGTTTATACCAATTATCTCCAAATGGACTAAAAACTTAATGTATGTAATTAAGATCTGTTATCATCTGAAAAAAAGTTTACCTATCGCTACATAAAAAATATTTTCTTTAATTAAACTCACACATTTAATGTTTAATTAACACGTAGGGTGTAAAAGATGGGGATTGCGACTAATAGGTTTGGTGGCAGACCGCTTTTACGTGTGAGGCGATCTATCTAATCGCCGTAATCACTAAGCTTGAGGCGTTGGAACACTTCTGTCAACTAGACTGTTCGTAAAAATATGTGAAGTAATTTCCTAAATTTGCATTGTCTCCGCTTCTTAATTACTTACATTGTCGCAAGACTCTTGGCACAGTGTTATCACCATACGATCATTTGCTTTATCTTATATTAGCTTAGTTAAGAAATCTTACATTTCGACATATTAGCCGTAGATTTAAATAATGGTCGAACAAGCACTCGTAAAATCCTTATAATTGCTCCACAAAAGTTAAATAGATCCTATGCGAAGTCATGTAAACTTTAAATTAAAATGCACAATTTGAAAGAAAAGGGTTAGGGTAATTAGTGATATGAAACTAGAAGTCTGTCTAATGCTACTTTAAGACACGTATGTTAAATCAAATAGAATCGGTGTTCAAATAACGGGATTTTGTAAATCTAATGCATAAACGACACATCCTTTTCGAATTACAGGAATGCCATAATTGACACTTTTATGCAAATAATATGCTAAATTAAGGTTCAAAAATAGTGTAAAATTAGAAAATGGACAAAAAAATTCGTAAATTAAAAAAATTAAAAATGATAGGTATCCCTATTCACAAAATTTTGATCACTTGCACGATTTACTGGATCACGTGACCCATATCATGCAAAAATCATGTGATGTGAATGAATGTCTTTTAAAAGCTGTTTCAAAAAAATTTCCATAATATTGCCCCTTTAGCTTAGTGGTAGAGCGTTGCACTTGTAATGCAAAGGTCGCTAGTTCAATTCTGGCAGGGGGCATTTAATATTTTTTTTTGAATTTTTTTATAAATGACTATATTAATGTAATTGATAACAATCGGTAATTCATTCATCATTAATATTTTGATTGCAGTACTAATTCTTGTGGTGGTCAATTTTTTTGTATGGGCAGATCGCCACTAAAAAACCGGCTAACAATAAAAAAAATATCACGAAATCAAGTATCTATAACAAGTGAAGAACTATCTACTAAAGAAAAAAAGGTGTCCGGATCATTATACTGATAATGCAAACGCGAACAATCATGCGGCCGGGAATATGGGCTTCTAGGATAGGAGCCGCACTCCCTGTGAGACCATATAGTATAATGAGTTCAATGATACGGGGCAGAGGTGGATCAACTATATCGAGTAATCCCTTATTATCACGTGTACCCCGATACCATCATCAATTAACTCGTTCTAATGAGTTATTATTTCGTAGAAATATTGGATTTGTGAAAACTGCCATTAAGATTACTAAGCTCCCAGCCTATTTGGGAGGAGCTTTAGCAGCTGGTGGATCATATGTGGCCTATAAAGTAGAGCAAGCATCAAGTTATACTCAGGAGAAGTTATCGTCAGTATCAGACTTTTTGGATAAAACAGGTGATTTTTTTTCTGGAGTCTTTAGTGGTTCATCTCAAGGTGGTCCTGATCCTTCTGCTAATGGTGGAGGAGGTAACAATGGAGATACAGCTACTGCTGTTGGAGCCACTGCTGCTGCTGTGGGATTAAGTAAAGATGAAGAAGATCAATCACAGGAAGAAGAAGACAATGAAGAAGAAGAAGATGAAACGCTTATACCTGAAGAAGACGACGAAGAAATTGACGTAGAAAATGATGAAACTAATGATGAAATGTTGAATTTGACAAGACAAATGATTGAAATAAGAAATTTATTATCATCCATTGATCATGATGGGTTAAGATTACCTTCCATTGTTGTAATTGGATCTCAATCATCCGGTAAATCTTCAGTATTGGAAAGTATTGTAGGTCATGAATTTTTGCCAAAGGGTTCTAATATGGTGACAAGAAGGCCAATTGAATTAACATTAATCAATAGTCCTGAATCGGCTGCTGATGTAGCCGAATTTCCTGCCTTAAAGATGTTTAATTTAACTGATTTCGAACAAGTTCAAAAGATTTTATTCGATTTAAACATGGCAGTACCAGAAACTGAATGTATTTCCAATGATCCAATTCAAATAACAATTAAATCTCCCAGAGTTCCTGATTTATCCCTCGTAGATCTTCCTGGTTATATTCAAGTTGAAGCTGCTGATCAACCACTTGAGTTAAAACAGAAAATTAGAAGATTATGTGATAGATATTTAGAAGCTCCAAATATTATCTTGGCTATTTCTGCTGCAGATGTAGATTTAGCTAATTCTTCTGCATTAAGAGCTTCTAGACTTGCCGACCCAAGAGGTGAAAGAACCATTGGTGTTGTCACTAAAATTGATTTGGTTGATCCAATCCAAGCTACCAAAATCTTAACTAATAGAAAATACCCTTTAAAAATGGGTTATGTAGGAGTTATAACCAAAGCTCCTAAGACTGTTAAACCAGGAAGTGGGTTATTTTCTAGAAAGGCAATTACAGGTTATCAAGCTTATGTAGCTCAGCAAAACTTTGAACATACTTACTTTAAAGAAAATAGAGAAGAATTTGTAGGAACTACAACTGGAACTAGAAATCTTCGAAGAAAATTAATGAAAGTCTTGGAAAAGTCTATGGCAGCATCATTAAGACCAACGCATTTTACAATTCAACAAGAATTAGAAGAGACTTCTTATCAATTCAAAGTACAATTTAATGATCGACCATTAACTCCTGAGATGTATTTAGCAAATAATATTGATATGTTAAAGTTAGCTACCAAAGAATTAAGTCACAACTTTTCAAGAAGAGAGTTGAGATCGTTATTAAAGAATGAATTAGATCAAAAGGTTCTTGATTTATTAGCAGAAAGATATTGGAATAAACCATTCCAATTAGGTAAATCCAATACAATTATTGAACCTGATTTAAAGGAATTATCTCAAATTTCCAATATTGAAGATGATATATATTGGCACAAGAAATTGGATTTAACTACTAGTTCATTAACTAAATTGGGTGTTGGTAGATTATCTACCAATTTAGTAACCAATGCATTAATTACAGAGGTTGAAAATTTAGTAAATAATACTCAATTAAGAAATCATCCAATGGCCAAGAATGCTGTTAAGGATGCTGCTAAATCAGTATTAGGGGGAAAGTTCTTCTCTACTGCTGATCAAGTAGAAAATTGTATAAAGCCTTACAAATATGAGATTGAACTCGAAGACAGAGAATGGCAGACTAGTAAAGACAATGCTGTATCACTCTTGAAAGAAGAAATAAGACAATGTGATGAAGTATATAATAGTTTAAAGAAACAAGTAGGAGGTAGAAAGTTACTGCAAGTAACCACCTACCTTGAGAAATTGAAACAACAACAAAATCAAGAACAAAATGTTGATTTTAACTCTCAAGAAACTTTGGGATTTTCACCCACTTTAATTAAATGTGGTGAAGAAGCTATATTCTTAAAGGATAGATTATCACTTCTTAAGATGAGATATCAGTTCATTAAGAACTCCAAAAAGTGTAAGAAGAAGGAAAACAAATACCAATGTCCTGAAATCTTCTTGGATGCCGTAGCATCTAAAGTAACATCCACTTCAATTCTTTTCCTTAACGTTGAATTGTTGAGTGACTTCTACTATAACTTTCCTCGTGAATTGGATTTGAAATTCTTTAATAATTTATCCAAAGAAGAGATTGAAAACTTTGCCAAGGAAGACCCCAAAATTAAAAAGCATATTGAGTTACAAGAACGGAAAGATTTATTAGAGAATGCCTTAAGTAAGATCGAGAGTGTTTTAGCCATTCAAAGAACCAAATTAGGTGGGGTTGGTGATAGCAAAGATAAGAAGAGTGCTTCAATATTTAATTGGGGTAGTTAATGAGATAATACATGTACATACACGAGAAGAATCTATTAGTGATTTGTAATTACTATATATATAATATACAAGACAAGACCTATTTACTTAAGTATCTTGGTTATGCGTTCAAAGATGGAATCCACAGTTAATCCTTCAATATTTTCAAATATTGGCTGGAATGTGTGTACATCTATAACTCTATTGAAATCCATATTATCATCAGGAGTTTGAGTTTGAGTTTGATTTTGAGTCTTCTGAGAGTTTCTGTTAATCGATACACTTCTATCATTAATAATATCAGCAGTAGCTTGAGCACTTATTAACATATTATTAATATCAGTAGATAAACTATCAGAATTATCGACATCATCTTCTTCACCTTGACTATAAGGAGAAGCCGTAGTAGGTTGAACAATTCCTACTCTTGTATCCAAATCGACAAATATGAATGATGAATTAATACAACGAACAGCTGCAATCCCTTGATTATGATACTGAGAATAAATTGGTTTTAATTGATCAGGCTTGAAGATTAAGACCTTGGAATTAATGGTAAAGTCAGAAGATTCATCATTGTAATAGTTAACAGCCAAACATATTAAATTGTTTCTAGGATCGACTGTGATCAAATTTTTACCACCAATGGTAGTATTAACTTTAGCTACTAATTCTGTTAATTGTCCTGAAAGTAAATTAAATGAGGATATTCTGGTTTTGGATAAGATAATTAAATTATTGTCTACTATGGACAAGGCTCGAACTCTTGAACCAGATAATGAAGGAATATTAAATACATCCAGAGGGATATCTTCAAAAGTTTGTGTATCAATAGGGGTTATAGTAAATTCATGAGCAAGTACTATTATAGAACTATCATCAGACCAACATACATCTACAGCATCAGAAGATACAGCACCTGCAGCTCTAGATTTTCTTAATGTCCAAGCTGTTTGTTGTTGTCTAGTACTACCATTCTTAACTGTCAGATAGATTTCTTTTGGAATTCTTGGTCTCCATACTCTTACTCCACCTTTGTTATCTGCTGTTATAAATGCTAAACCATTATAGTATGAACTTGGAGAAGGTTTAATGGATAAGATTGCATTGGAATTCCCATGAGGATCAATGATCTTGGTGGATAATTCCCAATATCCTGACTTACTTGTAGTTGCATTAGGTTCATTCTTAGTACCAGATTCTATAAATTTCCAGAACTTAAGAGCATATTGTTTATCATTTTTCGATAATAAATTGTCCACTTCTGAATTAGAAACACTATCAAAAGTACACATCCATTCACCATCTTGAGTGAAAGAAATTAATGATACATTAGGGTCTAACAATTTGACTTCTGATCTAACTTTACCTGTAGTTAAAACAGGTGCAGCATTCTGAACAAAAGCTTGTTCATTCTTCACAATATCATAGGCTTGGATAACAGCCTCATTAGGAAAATAGAGGTTCTTAGTCTTAGGATGTACTTCAAATACAGTAGAATAATCGTGTCTTAACTTGGTCTTATCAAAGGGAGATTTGGAATATTTCTTCTTCGATTTGGCTAAAGTAGTCTTAACATTATTAGCAAACTTTGGTCTGATAGTATTGACAGATAATCTTGATACTAAATCAACTGATGAAAGTACTAATACCTCATAGTTATCTTCTTCATTGGAGTTTTCATCATTAAGCTTAGTCGAAGATACATTGAGCAATAAGGAATAGTATTCACTCTTATTTTGTTCAAGAGAAATCTTCTCGACGGTTCCATTTAATCGAGGTAAGAATTGAGTATTGTCAGTTTCTAATTGCCAGAATACCAATACTTTCTCTAAACCTCCTGATAATAAGTATGAATTGTCAGGAGTGAATTGTAGAGCTTTGACTTGATCAATATGCCATTTAAGTAAACGTTGAGGCTTTTCAGTAGCCAACCCTCCATATATAATTTGTATAGCACCTGATGAGGTACCCAATGCAATAGTAGAATCATTAGATACTGCTAATGATGTTATAGGTGATTTAAATGGGAATGCGATATTCTCTACTGAGACAAATTGAGTCAAATCCTCTTCAAATTCAGCCTGTTTGGATTTTTTATATACATCTGTCAAGTTAACTAATATCACATCATGACTGTTAGTTATAAACACGATTTTGGTATAGTCAAGTGATGTAGTATACTTAATGATATTATTGAATTCAGTCAAGGTAGTGATCTGAGATGGATCATGACGATTTACTACTTGAATGTATCTAGTATGTGGAGAACCTGTGATCTTCTTATCCTTTTTACCTGTTATTATATAGTAGGAATCTTCTCTTATAGAAACTACTGATAATAAAGAAAATGCTAAATCCAATTGGATAGTTGATACAATGGGTTGAGAATTCTTATCCTTCCAGTTAACAGTTAAAATTTCTCCATTACTCTTAAATAAAAGAACATGACTAGGATTAGAACTATCTAACCTTAAATCTACCACATCACCAAGTTCAATATCAATAGTCCTTATACATTGACGAGTGGATATAAAGTATACTCTTATTTGATGAGTTAATACAACAATATTGAACCTTCCGTCACCAGAAAAAATCGACGATGACAACGTCGAGTTACCAAGATATACTGGCTTCCCGCCCGTGGCCATGGACGACGACCAATCACTAGAAGAGTTCGTCATTAATTTACTTAGTTGTAATTAATCTACCTTTACCCTACTAAAATCGAAAATCTTTTAATTTTTCACTTCGATGAGTATTGGTCGTGCACGTGATCAGCCATCTCAATTTTTTTTCACCAGATAAATTTATCTCACTACACAACGACGAGTCACTAATCAACAGTAACCGTTAGTAATCCATCAAAACACAACAAGATGATCATTCCTATTCGTTGTTTTTCCTGTGGTAAGGTTGTTGGAGACAAGTGGGAAACATACTTGGAGTATTTGCAGGATGAATCCATGACTGAAGGTAATGCATTAGACAAGTTGGAGTTAAAGAGATACTGTTGTCGTAGAATGGTGTTGACACATGTAGACTTAATTGAAAAGTTCTTAAGATATAATCCTTTAGAAAAGAAAGAGATCAGCTGATATGTGTTAGCTATTAGTTGCTGAATGTTACCCCCTGTATTTTAGTTTTCACAGTATATCATATATGTATTATGTGTAATATATAAGCAATATACACAATATAAAAAGTTTTTAAGTTAACTAGTCTAATTATCTGATTCAGAAGTATCAATATTCTGAATATATTCGTAGAAAAATGCTATCAACTGTAAGTGAGCATCTACCCGTAATCTCTCATCCACACTGTGGATATGACTGTCCTTAATTAAATCGACGGAAAAGAAAGGAGAGTACCGATAGATATTTCTGGTTAAATTCCAGTAATGTCTCGTATCGGTATTAGCCGGCATGACTACTGGAGCAACAATGATGGGATAAGTCAAATTGGTGAATACCGCATCTTCAAATACATGTCTAGTGGTGGCAGCAAGATATTTCCATACAGTATCATTGGATGGAGATACGGGTGCTGACTCTAAGGACTGAGATGAGGATACTACAAAGACACCAGATTTACCATCACCTGCAAACACCTTCTTACCAAAACTGACTACTCCCAACCCATGACGCTTAGCCACTTCAATAACTCTACTAGTGAAATGATCATGGATCTCATCCAGCGAAGTTTCTACACTTATTCTATGATTGACAGTCAACTTCACGTTTTCAGGCAAAGCATTAGCCTTCTCACCACCTTTGACTATGTCTATAGCCTGAGATGTTCGAATTAAATATTTAGTCTCAGCTCTTCGAGAAATCACTTCCACAACCTTCCCATTGGCAAACTTATCAAAACCTGCTCTTAAAATTGCCTTTTTAGTAAGAGTGGGAACCTTGTCACTATTCACAGCAAGACATTGTAAATACTTCAATAAAGGATTTTGATCTGTAAAGATAGGGCTGTATGGATCTCTCTCAATAATATAGGCTAATTCAGACATGATTCCAATCGATGTATGATCTGGAGGGACGGATGAATGACCACCAGGTGTAGTTAATTCAACAATAACATCAGTGTATCCCTTTTCTCCAGTAGCTGCTGCTGCAATGATTTGTCCTGTCACAGGATCCTTCTGTAACCCAGGACCTTCATCAAGTATAGCATATATGGAATCTTTACCCCACTTTTTCTCTAAATGTTTACCAATATTATAAGCTCCTCTTCTTCCACTAGATTCTTCATCAAATCCAAATGCAGCAATCACAGTACGTGAAGGAGTATAACCTTTCAGAATTAATAGCTCAATAGATTCTAAAATACCAACTAATACATTCTTACAATCACTAGAGCCTCTACCATAAATAAACTTACCATCATAATGACCTTCAAATGGAGGATAAGTCCAATCATCAAGAGTATCCTTTTGAACAGGTACAACATCTTGATGAGCAGTCAACAACAAAGGCTTTAAAGCAGTATTCAGCCCCTTCCAGGTATAAACCAATCCATAAGTATTAACATACTCTACTTCCAAGTTTTCGTAAATGACAGGGAACGTATCTTCCAAATATTTATGGAAATCCTGAAATTGTATCCATAACTCAGGAGCATCATCAACATCAGGCTGATCATCACCAATTTGTGTATCAACTTGTATTGCTTTAGCTAACTTCTGAACTGATTGTAACCTGAATTTCTCATCGTTCAAGATGGTAAACAAAGTGGAATTGTCCTTCAAATACGACTCGGGAGCCAATGGCTCATACAATGGACATAATTCAGGCTTATTGGTCGACTGGGTTATGATGTTGAAGTAGTTGACCAAGTCAGTGGTGAAAAATACCACTGCAAGGATTAAAACTGCTCCGATAATGGCTGCAAGCTTCTTCTTTTCAACCAATTGCTTCTTGGCATACTGAACGTCTTCCTCGTCCGGTAATCTTATCATTATAACGAATGAATGACAATAGTACTTCGATATAAAGGTGATTGATAAAGTCAATTAAAGTTGCTTCGCTTGTTTCATTGCTTTTCGAATTGGGCTTTTCGGATTGGGCTTTTCGGATTGGGCTTATCGTTTTATTGCCGATCGGCTATAAACCCCTAAAAAAAAAAATACGAGATTACCATTCCTGCAGTATTCCGCGCCCAAAGCGGAATGTAATTGCGTTCTTTCAATTATATGTTTAATTCTACTATGTTTAATAAAGATAGATTTTATTTAGTCTAGACTAGTCTATTTAATTATTAGCCGATTCAGTATCGACAGCTTGAATGTATTCATAGAAGAATGCAGTCAATTGTAAGTGACCAGCAAATGGTAATTTTTCATCAACACTATGGACATTACTACTACCGAGGAAACTGACATCAAAGAATGGAGAATATCTAAAGATATTTCTGGTTAAATTCCAGTAATGTCTTGTATCAGTATTACCAGTCATAATAGATGGTGAAGTGATAATTGGATAGTCCAAATCAGGGTACACCAAATCTTCAAACACATGTCTGGTTACACCAGCTAAATGTTTCCAGACATTATCATTTAATGGAGTAGTTGGAGCAGTTTCTAAAGGACTAGAGAAAACATTAACTTCAAATACTCCAGAATTGTCCTTTGTATCAAGAACTAATTCGCCATATGCTTTGACAGATAAATTGTGTCTCTTTGCAACTTGAATTACTCTTTCAACAAAATGTTGTTTTACAGAATCAACGTTAGATTCAATAGCAACTCTATGGTTAACTAATAATCTGACATGTTCAGGTAAAGCATTTGCCTTTTCACCACCTCCAATAATATCAATAGCTTGAGAAGTTTGAACTAAGTATTTAGTAAATCTATTCTTTTGAACTAATTGAATTACTTTAGAGTTAGCAAACTTATCATAACCGGCTCTTAAAATTGATTTCTTAGTAAAACTTGGAATCTTATTCTTTGAATCGTGAGATGCTAAACATTGATAATAACTCAAAGTTGGGTTTTTCGTTGTTAAGATTGGAGAGTAAGGATCCTTTTCAATGATATAAGCTAATTCAGATAAGATACCAATTGAAGTATGATCAGGTGGGATAGATGAATGTCCACCAGGAGTTGTTAATTGAACTTCAATATCTACGTAACCTTTTTCACCTGTACCTGGAGTAGCCACAATGGTACCAGTTAAATCATCAATGGCTAAACCTGGACCTTCATCAATAATAGCATAAAGTGAGTCCTTACCATAAGTTTCTTCCAAGTATTTACCAATGGCAGAAGCACCAACAACACCAGAGGCTTCTTCATCAAATCCAAAGGCTAAGAGAAGAGATCTTTGTGGATGATAATTTTGATTTAATAAAAGTTCAACAGTTTCTAAAATAGCAATCAATACATTCTTACAATCTGAAGCACCTCTACCATAAATAAACTTACCATCATAATGACCTTCAAATGGAGGATAAGTCCAATCATCAAGAGTATCCTTTTGAACAGGTACAACATCTTGATGGGCAGTCAATAATAATGGTTTTAAATCTTCATTGGAACCCTTCCAGAGGTAAACTAAACCGTAAGTATTAACCTTAGTTACTTCAAGATTAGAATAAATAATTGGGAAAGTTTCTTCCAAATATTTATGGAAATTTTTAAATTTAGCCCAAACTTCAGGAGCATCAGGAACATTAGGTTGATTATCAAAGATTTGAGTATCAACTTGAATAGCACCAGATAATTTTTTAATTGAGCCTTGCTTATAATCTTCATCATGAAGAATAGTTAAAACAGTAGAATTATCTTTGAGATAAGATACAGGAGCAATTGGTTCAAATAATGGACATAAAGCTTCTGAACTTGACAGAGAACTTAATTCGATTCTAAGAATATTGAATAAGTTAGTTCCAAATAAAATAGTCAATAATATGACAATTGAAACCACAAAATGTGGAACTCTTCTTGAGGTAATCTTTTCATCCAATGGTAAACCAATCATGATGACTATACTTGGAAGCACACAAGTAACTTTCAAAGATTACAAAGCAGAATTGTCCCCGGTTTTATAGTCCCAAGACTGAAAAATCTTATCAGGGCTTTCGGAGCCACACGTCCCAATTGGGACATAGTTCCGCTCGCGCTTTTGAGTATTGCCGATACTGATAGGCCGCTAGTCGGATTAGTCAACATTAGTGGGGGCAGAATCAGATAACAATTGCGCTACAAGAGTCAATCAGAGTCAGATTGAGCTATTTATACTAGTTGCAAATTCGAAGATAAGATCTTCATTCCTGTAAGTGTTTTAACTGCTACTGATTATGTCTAATTTGTCTAGAATTACAAATGCTCCCACTTGAAAACAAGTAATATCCAGCGGAAATAATATCTCAGCGGTCACTGCTATTCTTATTATGTTTTCATGAGGTCGTAGCTTAGTTTATCTAAATATACATCAATAAAAGACGTAATGTAATATAAGATAATATTTGCAAACAATCTATGAAAAAGTACTATATATGCACTTCAATGATTATCTTACAGAGGGCATTGGTCCCTAAACGATACTACTTGTTAAACAGCTATTTTTAATTGTTAAATAGATATTTTTATTTGTTAAATAGATTTTGTTATTTGTTAAATCCGGATGTCGTCTTAATATACGTGTAGAGGAGGTTTATATACCTTAGTCTGAAAAGTCTGTCTTATCTAGAGTGAGAAACACGCATTTGCGACACAATGCTGTTTACCTTTTTTGGTACTATAATGAAAAAATATACAGTAGCTATTTTTCACATCAATACTAACAAACGAAAATTGTGATTCTATGGATTCGACAAGAAGTACGATGTCTAATCCCGAAGTGATTGACCTCTCGGACGAAGAGTTTTATGAGACTAATATAGTTCCAACAACTGTTATAGAAATGTGAGTATGAAATTGAAATATATAGCGAGACGCGCATCGTACTAACCTTAAAACTACTTTAGTGATTCTGATGATGAACCACCTGTATCTATATCTAGTCAAGTTCGAAGGTCTAGAATAGTATCAGGTACAGGTACAGATACAATTAAGTCAACTATGCCTCTGTCTCCAATTGCGAGAGCCCCAGAAAATGATAGTATAGTTGATTCAACATTTTCATTTCCAAGTCAACCTAAAAATACATATAATGCACACAATACATCTATATTAGATGTTCATCATTGGATATCCAGTGATAGTGATAGTGATGGAGGGTTTGGAGATCATACTGATAATCAACCAGTTCTAGCTAAGAGATCATCTACATTTCCAGTGACATCGCAGAGTAATATACCTAAACCCAAACCAAAACCATCATCCATTAACTATGATGAAGTGATAGAGGTCAGTAGTTATTTATCATCATCCCAGCCAAATATGGTTAACAGAATCAGTCTGCAAACAGAAGTTCCTCCCACTACTGCTGGATCTAATTTAACTCCAATAAAGTCCCCTGAATTGTTTGTACCACTGAGTATAGAAGTTCAATGTTCTACTCCTTCTCGTAAATCTAAAGCTATACCGATACGACCTGATCCTAAACCTCAAACAACCACTAAGCCTAAGGGGGATGATCGTGAATATAAGGCTGCTCTAGCAAAGGCAAACAGAGTGACTCGAACAAAGGATGAATTACTTTCTGAAATGACCATATATTTATCAAAGAATCATTTCCGCCATTTCAATAAAGATGAGTTTGAATCAATATTGGCACCCACAAATTTAGTATTTTATGAAGATGATGATCTTCCCCTAATATATTGGAAAAGACTTGTGTCAGCTAAGTATGATAAAGCTCAAGATATATTTATACCATGTCAGACAACCTATATAACTGAAAAGAATATAGTCATCTATTATACAGCTGAGAATTTCTTTGATAAGATTCAAAATAATTTATTGAAAAATGATATATCCAGAGTTAAAAGGAAGAATCTTCCTTCCAATAATGAGATTCCTGTAATTACAATTGTTATAGAGGGACTTGAACTTTTTATTAATAAAATCAAGCAAAAAGAGAATAGAAAATATAAAGAAGCTGTTATACAACGTATGAATCCAAATGATGATAATCAACAGAAATCCAAGAAACGGAAATCAGATGAAGTTGAAGATATTAATCTACTGTCCAAAGAGATTGAATTCATACTTCAAAAGACTGAATTTGAGTATAATGTTGTATTATTCCCAGTTAGAAATGCTAAAGAAGCAATGATATGGCTTCAATCATTTACCTATACAATAGCATATGCTTTATATGATAAATTTGAAAGAAATTCAAGTCTATCCAATATTGGAACCATAAGATCTGGTAAGGATATTAAATCAACATTTTTGCAAACAATTCAACAGTTCAAGTTGATGACTGAATCAAAAGCTGAGAGATTATATATGTTTTATCCTAATGTTCAAGCCCTTCATAAACGATTAATTGAACATGGAACTTTGGGCCAAGATGAATCAGGAAGGAATATAGTACCTCCATCATCCGATATTGCTATGAGGAAATTCTTTACTGCTACAGATCCTCATTCAGCAATTAATGAATCATAATGATAATAAATTAATTATAATGTACATATTAATGAAAAATAAAATAAATATATATATATTTACAAGGAATGATAAGATAATTAACCAATGATTTTTTTTGCAGCATCATAATCATCTGTCGATAAAGTTTCCTTTAAATGTTGAACATTTTCTAAACCTTGAGCCAAATCAGCTATTTCATTGGCAGTAAATTGATATCCTTCACCTGATAACTGAGATACAATATTTAAAGCTTTATCTATACAACCTGAATGACCATCTTTATCTAATATTGATACTAAATAATCAATTAATTTATGTTCATGTAATTGAACTTGCTTTTCAGCTGATAAACCGGTAGATAAAACAGATGATATAACTGATAATACTCTTAATTTAACTTTATGATCTTGTAAATTTTCATTTTTTATAGCAGTTATAATTTTCCAACCATCTAATTCATTAAATTTTCTATAACCAGGTTCATAATTTCTTATTAAAGATGATAAAGCTAATAAAACTTTTAATAATAAATCTTTTGAAGTTTCATCATCTGATGCAATATTAATTAATTTTTCTAATCCATCTGTTTTATTAAAGGCTTCTTGAGCATTTGGATTATTTTGAACAGCTATTGCAATAACTGAAGCTGCATATAATCTTAATGATGGAGCAATATTTGAAGATAATTGCAGTATTATTGATGGCCATAATTTCATATTTTCTATATTATTGGCATTATCTAAATTTTCTATAAGCATTTCAAAATTATCAAAGGCAATTTCTTTATTTTCAAGTGTTGCTGCATCAGCATTAATTATCATAATTGCTTGTTTCATTAAAGTTGGTTCATCAGGTCCACCAAATAATTGTTCAAGCATTTTAGGGTCTAAATCACCCACTCTCTTAATGGCTTCTTCATCACCTGATTGATGGGCAAGAGACCAATTTAATATTTTATCCATAACTACAGAAATATGTATTTAATATTGGTTAAATTAATAATATAGCTTAGGATCAGTTACTGGCTTTATAGTATTAAGAGAAGAGATGTAGGTAAAATGTCGTTAATATTCTAGAATGTTCCAGAAAATAGTGGGACATAAATGCGACATCCAGTGTCATAAATACATTCCTTTGTTTTTTGACAATTTACGATTTGTGACAAATCACTCAATAAGGGACAAAAGGATTTTTTTATAGTATAGATAGATTTGACGGCAACTTAATCAAATAGCCATTTTTAGTATAATCATAACCTCGTGATTATAAGTAATTAACCTGATTTTGCAACTTGATATTAATAAACAAAAGTACTATAATATGTAGTATAACCATACAAGTAGAAAATAGAACATTCTAATCACCTGATTACTACAAACAAAATCAGAATTACATCAGATCCTCTCGCTCGTGCTCCTAGCGGAAGGTTGGTATCCGCCGGGCATTTTTTTGTAATGTTTAACCATTATGCAGTCCGCCATTGGTAACGTTGCGCGCTGTCACCCTCACCCAACTCCCTCAGGCACTAACACTTCTGGTGCGACTCGGTGGGAACTGGGGCTGGAGTGGGAGCTAGTGATGAAATATAAATTATCACCACTTTTCCCAATAATTCAATGAAATAAATTTTTATATGAAAATTACTTCAATTGGTAATTATTTTTATTTAATTAACAATTATAATTATAATAATTTATTAATCATGTCATTATCTAAAAAATTATCTGTCAAAGATTTAGATGTTACTGGAAAGAGAGTCTTTATTAGAGTCGATTTTAATGTTCCATTAGATGGTAAAACTATAACTAATAATCAAAGAATTGTTGCTGCTTTACCAACTATTCAATATGTTTTAGAACATAAACCAAAGGCTGTTATCTTAGCTTCTCATTTAGGTAGACCAAATGGTGAACCAAATGAAAAATATTCTTTAGCACCAGTTGCTGCTGAATTAGAAAAATTATTAGGTAAAAAAGTTCACTTTTTATCTGATTCTGTAGGTCCAGAAGTTGAAAAAGCTGTTAATGCTGGAACTGATGGTGAAGTTTTCTTATTAGAAAATTTAAGATTCCATATTGAAGAAGAAGGTTCTAAAAAAGTTGATGGACAAAAAATTAAAGCATCTGCTGAAGATGTTAAGAAATTTAGAAGTCAATTAACTTCATTAGCTGATGTTTATGTTAATGATGCTTTTGGTACTGCCCACAGAGCTCATTCATCAATGGTTGGTTTTGATTTACCAAAGAGAGCTTCTGGTTTCTTAATGGCTAAAGAATTAGAATATTTTGCTAAAGCTTTAGAAAACCCAGTTAGACCATTCTTGGCTATTTTAGGTGGTGCTAAAGTTTCTGATAAGATTCAATTAATTGATAACTTATTAGATAAAGTTGATATTTTAATTGTTGGTGGTGGTATGGCTTTTACTTTTAAGAAAGTTTTAGATAAAATGCCAATTGGTGATTCTTTATTCGATGAAGCTGGTGCTCAACAAGTTGAACATTTAGTTGCTAAGGCTAAAAAGAATGGTGTTGAATTAGTTTTACCAGTTGATTTTGTTACTGCTGATAAATTCGATAAAGATGCTGAAACTGGTGTTGCTACTCAAGAACAAGGTATTCCAGATAACTGGATGGGATTAGATGCTGGTCCAAAATCTAGAGAATTATTTGCTGCTGCTGTTGCTAAGGCTAAGACTATTGTTTGGAATGGTCCACCAGGTGTATTTGAATTTGAAAAATTCGCTGCTGGTACTAAATCTTTATTAGATGCTGCTGTTAAATCTGCTGAAGAAGGTAACACTGTTATTATTGGTGGTGGTGATACTGCTACTGTTGCTAAGAAATATGGTGTTGTTGACAAATTATCTCATGTTTCTACTGGTGGTGGTGCCTCCTTAGAATTATTGGAAGGTAAAGAATTACCTGGTGTTGTTGCTATTTCTGAAAAATAATTCTAGTGTATTAACATGATAATTGTTTTGATTAATAAACATTAAAATAATCATAATATACGTACAATCTTTATTAAATATTTATCAGTGTAGGAAAATGTCGTTTTATTACAAATCAATGTGTATAATAATAAATAATGTATATAAAGAAAAGACATGGAATATGACGTAATTTAATGTAATGTAATTTAATTTAATTTAGTTTAATTTAATTTAATTTAATTTAATTTTTATAAAACGTAAAGAGAAAAGAATTGAATGTTAAGTTAATAAAGGTAAAATAATATATATAGTCCATTTCTAAAATTTCTAATTCTACAATTTAGCATTACCATTAAGAATACTACTCCATGCTTCTTCAGTTAATTCTTCATATTTATCACCATTTAACCAATAAATAAGTTCAGTTCCTGAAGCTCCCTTTGGTAATTTTTGATGTTTAAATTGATTCTTTGGAACTTTATGATTATGACTTGCTTCAATTTCTCTACTAATTTTAATAAATTGTGGTACAGCATATTTTGGTAATGAATGATTTACATGTTCATAAACCTTCTTTAAAATTTCTTCATGTTTAGATTGATCAAGATATTCATCTAATGGATCAAGAACAGCAAAACATGCTCTACCTTCATGCTTTGGAACTTGAACTCCAACAACAACAGTTTGTTTAATGGTTTTAGAACCCATTAATTCATTTTCAACTTCAGTGGCTGATACATTTTCAGATTTCCAACGGAAAGTATCACCTAATCTATCAACAAAATATAATAATCCATCTTGATCCATTTTAAGTAAATCTCCTGATCTAAACCATGCATCTCCCTTTCTAAATACATCAAAAAGAATCTTCTTAGTTGAAGCTTGTTTATTACCATAATAACCTTGGAAAGTTTCTTCTGGCTTTTCAGCATTTAAAATTTTCATTAATAATTCTCCAGGTTCATTATATTGAGCTGTTGTACAGAATCCAGTCTTTGGATCTCTATATACTTCACCTTCATCTTCAGGATCCATTTTAACAATGACTTGAGTAAATGATAAGAAAAGATTAATTAAAGATCCATATTTACGAACAGCTCCAACACCAAATTCACCATATTGTAAATTAGTTGTAGCAATTGGAGATTCAGTAGATGCATAGAATTCTCCAATAGCATCAATATGAAATCTCTTTTTAAATCCTGACCAAATATCACGACGTAAACCATTACCATAAGCTATACGAACTTGATGAGCATCTTGATCTGGATGATAAGGTGCATTAGATAAATAACGACATACTTCTCCAACATATTGCATATGAGTAGCACCAGATAATTTAGCTTGAGTCCAGAAAGATGTAGCTGAAAATTTTTGAGAAACAGAAACACATCCACCAGTTAATAATGTAGGACAAACACCCAACATTGCAGCTGTTGAATGATATAATGGCATGGCAGTTAAAACATTAGAATTTTCTTTAATCTTAACAATATGTCCAAACATTGATCCAGCCATAAATGCTTTTCTCCAAGACATAATACCTGCCTTAGGTAATCCAGTAGTACCAGAAGTATAAATTAATGTACAACAATCATAATTTTGATCTTGTGGTCTTCTAGTATTATCTGGAGCTCTATGTTTTGGCCTAGATTTATCACTTATAACTTTCAATAATTCTGGTTCATTAATATAATGTAATTTAACATTAGGTAATTCTTCATTAATTAAAGGTTCAGTTTCTTTTATTGGACCAGAACAATCTGGATCAATAAATACTTGAGTTACATTGGCAATCTTAATACAATGAACTAATGGTTTATCCTTAGTATTGAAATTTAAAAATGCAGGTACTGCACCAATATTCCATAATGCTAACCAAAGGAAAATAAATAATGGTTTATTCATACAATCAACACCAATAGTTTGTTCTGCAGTTACACCATATTCAAACTTTAAAATATATGATAATCTTAAAACAATATCATATAATTCTTTATAAGTAAAAGTTTCCAAAGTAAATTGATCATCATAAATTTTATAACCTTTGGAATCTGTCTTTATAGGAGGAGCATCCTTTCTAGGTCTTGGAAAAACTATAGCTTTATTATTTGGTTTACTAAGTGCAGTACTTTCAAAATAATACCAATAACTAGCTTTACCTCGTGCTGAATTATATAAGAAAGGTATAGCACTTCTTATAACATGTTGAGCAAGTAAGAAATCTTCAGCTATATGAGTTTTAGCTTCTAACAATTGAGCACCCAATAATCCAGCCACTGCTAATTCAACACCAGACATAACAAAATTATTAATTCTTTGTTATTTTCTAATTATATTGTAATTTTATGATTAATAAGAAGTCTTGTAAAAACTTAACTCTAGTCTATAAGATATATATAAATTGCGCTAAATAACGATTTTTCTCCGATACCGAGGTGTGATGAGACTGCGCAATACGTCACCGTACAATTAAAGATGGTTTATACAAACTTTTTATATATGTAAGATAACTTTATCAACAAGAGAGTTAAAGAATCTAGTAATTACAATTTGGAAGATCAACTAGTATATATATCAATGTTAAATGACGACGCATATTTCGGTTCTTAGGAAACTCTCCGCAACCCAAAAAAAAAGAATTAAAGTACTACTTCATGTGCAATTTTGAATTTTGCAGATAATAAATTCTTATGTTTAGCGATAATTACCAGATTAGGCAATGAACACCCATTTAATTGCTGAAATTTATATTAATATTGGATTCAATATTAACTTTATAATGACGACGTTCATTTACAAAGGTAGTACCTTAACTAAAATCTCATAATATAGAACTAAAATTAATTATCATATTTATGGTAAATTTATCAACCGAAATATTTATGCTCGGTTCAAAATCATTTTCAGATGTCTTCGGCTTGCATACAACGCTTCACATGAAATCTTATTTCTTTTTTGCATTGGAGGAGGGGGAGTTCTTATGCCTGCATTCATGCCAGATTGTTATCTAATGAGCCAGTTCATTATTGCTGCTATTTTGGTGAATGCGTTGAGATTGTATTCTATGATGTTGAAACGTAGCATTTCTTAACGATGGAATAACTATAGGAGAGCCACTATTAGCAGTAGCATTAGCAATAGCATTATTTGCAGCAATATTACCTTCACTATTTGAGCCTCGTTTAGAAGGTTCTATATTCCAAGAACCTGGAGTAACGGGTCTTGGAGCGCGGGCTGTATAAAAAGCAGCACTATCTATTGGTTCCGGCATTTCAAGTTGTAATGGTGCTGATGGAACATAAATTTGACCATCACCAACTTCTTTTCTCCACAGTCGAACTTGACTATATCCATTATCTAGTAATATTTGATATATTTCTCTTGTCTTTCGACTAACCTTGTTTTGATGCTTATTCCAAAACCCATGTTGTAAAATAGCCTTTAAGTCAATATCATTTTGTTGCAAATAATCATCCATGCAACATTTAACATGCTTTGACACCAATAATTTCAATAGTTCGTAGAATAAATATTTTATATCGGACAATTGTGTAACATCAACAGCCTGTGCAAACATAGGTACCATCGAGATATACTCGTTGCATAAGGAACCTTTGACAGCTTCTCTTAGGAGTACGAATGTTTTAAGCTCATCTTCCATTCGAACACTTGTAGGAATGTAGTCAATGATACTTAAACCCAATAAAACATTGCATAGAAAACGAAAAATATTATACCTTGGTTGAATAACAGGTTCCTGTAACTTCCATGCTTGGAATTGAATCTTTATTGATGAATTATTGGACTTTTTAAAGTTATAATGGGACCAACAATATATAAGAATCATTTCTATCAATAAACTTTGACTATTTGAATTCAAGTCCTTTAATAATTCAAATACCGCATTGGTATCAATGATATCAGTAATAAAATCATTAAAAATGGGAATGAAATAATTAGGATTATCAAATAAGTTATATGAGACACCAATTGAAAGAAGCTTTAGAATTTCAATAGACTTTGTTGTATTGTCTAAATTTTCTGAATTAGTTCCAAGTAAGTTGGTTCTAATTTCTCCAATAACTCTATCGGCAAAATAAACACTAGTGAAGCTGGTTTTAGGAATTGGTAAGGAGTATCTAAGTACAGAAGTCATTCTAATACAATGACTCTCTTTCTCTTCTGATGTCAACGTAGAAAATATACTAGAAATTACCGTATCTCTTATTTCATTCAATTGTTTATAATTATACTTGTTACCTTTCTTATACTGTTTCAAACCCTCAACTTCTTTAAATTCAGATTGCAAGAACTTTGTTATGGAATGTTCACTGAATTCTGGGGAATTAACATTATCATCGTGAAACACTTTTATAGTTTTCACTACTTGTACATCTAATGAATCATTGGTTAATAAACCACCTTCTGTGGAATTAGTAACGGTGACTGGATTCTCCTTATATTGCGAATACTCTGAAACTGGAAGCTGCTGGTTTTCTGATAATTGACTAACTATTCCACTTGAAATTCTGCTTCTCTCTTCATTTATTGAAATTTCATTCCATTCTTCGTCATTACTTATTTTATCAGTTACTTTCTTCATTTGGTATTGACTATGTGATGAGAATTCCTGATCTTTGTGATCTTTCTGATCTTTCGCTATCTTTGAACTAACTATGGCATTATTCCAATTACTTTTACGAACCTTATCACTAGTGGCTGAATTTGGTTTATATCGTATGGATAAATAATATTCCCTTATACCAAATAATAGAGCGCCTAACACAACAGTTGAAAACACTAATAGAAGAAATATATATACCGCGTTAGATACAAGCTCTTCTTCTGAATAATCTCTAGCAAGCGCCATGTTGTTAACAGTCATTCCTTGTATTGAAAAATCTTCTCCAAGCAGTAAATCAGCTCCAAATGGAATATCATCATTCTTTATAAATTCAAGGTCTCTCTTGTATACATTAACAGTGAAAGTATTTGGAATATCCTCACTAACTGAAATTGGTATCTCCTCTTCTAATTCCTGCAACCCGCTAACCATTCCCTTGCCTCTATTCTAATTATAATTGAAGTATAATATTGAAAATTAAACTTGTAAAATGTGTTCATGAGTTATCACTAATACTCCATAATAAAAGTCGCTTTATCTAGTTGCTAAAAAATTGGCTACACAAAAGTTTTGGGGCCAATAATTGTCTAGTGAGTGTCGCTTACTTTTTGGAGGCATGGAGGTTATCGGACCAGTTGCGCAATATGCCGGAGACTCTGCAAATCATTCCACTACAACTTTTCACTTATAATAGTAAAAGGAAACTTATCGAACAGATCAGTAAAGCTTTACCATTTGCATTTAGCGATGCTTTCAAAGACAAGATTTTTCTTTACTAAGAATTCCATTGTATTAAATATTCTTACCCAAAGTAAAGGGTGTAGATTATCAATACCATCGAGATTATCTAAACCGGGATTTGGATTTAACAAATATGTTTCGAAATTTAATTCAAGACATTATTCTACATTACAAACTACTGTTAATAATTCAATAAAAGATTCACCAATTATAAATGCTGGTAAATCTAGTTTTAGAAACAATGGTTCTAATACTATTTCTAATAAATCAGTAGGTTATTGGTTAATTGGTACTTCTTCTTTAGTATTTGGTATTGTAGTTCTTGGAGGTTTAACAAGATTAACTGAATCAGGATTATCAATTACTGAATGGAAACCAGTTACTGGCGCTCTTCCTCCTTTAACTCAAGAAGATTGGGAACTTGAATTTACCAAGTATAAGGATTCACCAGAATTTAAACAATTAAATTCTCATATTAATTTAGAAGAATTTAAATTTATTTATAGTATGGAATGGGGTCACAGATTAGTTGGAAGAGGAATTGGGTTATTCTTTATTCTTCCAGCCATTTATTTCTGGAAAAGAGGTAGATTCTCTACTCATATTACAAGAAGAGTTGTTGGTTTAACTGGTTTATTAGGTTTACAAGGATTCATAGGTTGGTGGATGGTTAAATCAGGATTAGATGAAGAACAATTGGTAAATAGAAATTCTAAACCAACTGTATCTCAATATCGTTTAACTACTCATCTTGGAGCTGCCTTTTTAATGTATTTAGGAGTTTTATGGACTGCTTTTGAAATCTTGAATGAAAATAAATTATTGAAATTATCCAAAATATCTCCAGAAAAGTTTGAATCAGCAATCAGTATATTGACAAGTCCAAAAATTAGAAATATAAGATTAATGGGTACTGGTTTATTAGTTCTTACTTTTATAACTGCTATGACAGGTGGTATGGTGGCTGGTCTTGATGCAGGTTTAATCTATAATACATTCCCTCATATGGGTGATGATATAGTTCCTGCTTATGGAGAACTTATGTCACCTGTTTTTGCTAGAAAGGAAGATAAATCTGATTTATGGTGGAGAAATTTATTAGAGAATCCAACCACAGTTCAATTAGTTCATCGTATTTTTGCAACCACAGCTTTCTTTGCCATTTTAGGTGCTCACCATATTGTAAATAAAAATAAAGCCATAATTCCTAAACTGGCTGTAAAGCTGATGCATACAGTAATGGGATTTGCTACACTTCAAGTAGCCCTTGGTATTTCTACATTAATTTATTTGGTTCCTATTCCACTTGCTGCTGCTCATCAAGCAGGTGCATTGGCTTTACTTACAACCTGTTTATTATTTTCGGCAAGATTAAAAGCTCCTAGACCAGAAGCAATTGGTTATATTAACAAGTTAATGAAAAACCAATTATTAAAGGTCAAATATTAAATTTGTAAATAAATATTTCTTGTATATAGCTATTATATAAATAAAGATAATCTATAATTCTATAGTTACCATATTCTTTTACTTGACATTTCATATCGTAACACTTTATTTAAACTATGAACTTCATCCTCTTCGATATTATTAGAATTTCTATGTTTGTTTAAGATCTTTTTATTTCTAGTCTCCTCTAAAGTAGGAGGAATCTCTTCATCTGAATCGTATAGGAAATTTCTTGTATTAGGATTAATAGAAGATGCTTCTGTATTGGGTATTCCCGGGAAAAATGACAGATCTATTATAGATATAGAATTATCCGAAGGTGATTCTGGTTTAACTGCACTATTTGGTGATTCTTCTTTAACTATATATTCCGGTTCAGGAGTAGATTGTGCAACTATATCTTGATCATCTGATAAATCATTATTCTTAACCTTAGATGAATGAGAATTAGTAGGGAATATTTTTGAACTCCTTTGAGAAATTGAATTTCGTATATGATTATTTCTTATGACATTAGCAATTTTTAAAATAACCATTCCTAAGATTAATCGTACTAATAAAAGTGTTATAAAAGTAACAAAGATCAATAATGATGAACTTAATATGGCATATGTAGCTGAAGATACAATAGGAAATATAAATACTTGTCTTAAATCAGGGAGTGTCATTCTTAAGAAACAAACTGCTGATGAAAGTAATGGTAAACCAATTCTTCTAGTTAAGAAAATATAATCAGTGAGTTCATGTTGATCAGGATTTGAATTAAATACTTCTAAAAAGTCCAAACTAAAAACATATAAGAATTTTTCATATACTCGAGGTCGTATCTTATTAAATTTCGAAATATAACAATGTTTTAACCAATCAACAAATATTTCACTACCTATTACTACAATTCCAGGACCAAAAGTTGCTCCAAACCATGTATTCCAACTATTCCAACTATTTGGAATTAAACCCAGTTGAGTACTATTAAGTTGTAAAAGATTTCGTATAGCAATAATACCTAACATGAACAGTAATTGAAATCTTTCAGTTAAATCTGCCATAGCAACTTGAAAGAGTCCCTCTCTTTCAAATTTTTTAAATACTGCACTTTTTAATTCTGAAAATTGATTTGAAAGGAGTAAAGCCATTAATGCATTAGAATAAGAATTAGCTGCAACATTTAATGAAACTGTTTGATAAATTAAAATATAAGTATGAAATGAAACATAAAATATAGCCAATGAAAAAAATATAAAGAATTTTAAATAATTTTTCGAATTCTCTTGCTTAAATATTGGTATATTATAAAGAATATTCATAATATCTTGACCTAATGATGAACAAAGTTTTTCTGCTACTTCTAATACACCAAATATAACATATAATTTTATATGAGCTTCACCTCTAACTTCATGATACATTCTTGAAATATCTAATCTTATTGATAAAATTAATAAAGAAATTAAAATAATTATTAATGTTACTACATCTTTTTTAACCCAAGAGAAACTTCTTAACCATAATTTATAACTAATTGAATGATTAATTTTAATATGAATTAATTCATTTTTTATAGCAATTATAAATGAAATAATTATTTTTAATGGTGCTAAAGTAAATAATGTTAAAAATGAATTAAAACATATCATTAATCCAAAAATCATAAATTGTTCAAGATGATATGGTACTTTAATCATATTTATAACTTCTTGTAATGGAATATTAAGATTATTTACCAGTTCATCTAATATATTATCTGTATTATTAGGTAAATTTAATTCTATTAAAAGTAAATTATATAAACTAAGTAATCTTTCTTTACCCTTTATATTAAACAATTGTTTAGCTCTATTCCCCACAATTGATATTAATTTTCGATCTTTATTACTATGAGATATACTTGACCCTCGAGATCGAGATATTGATCTTGAATCTTCCAGTCTTCTACCATGACTTTGACTTTGACTTTGACTTTGACTCTGACTCTTAGAATTGACTTTGGTAGGTCCACTACTTAGTCTGTGACGACCCATATTAAAGCTGAGCTATATCAATTGTAAAGGTTTGTAAAAAATTAAAAAAAAAAAAAAAACTATACTAAAGTGAAATATTTATTGGCTTATAACCACAAAAACTCATTAGCCATTTGGAGCGCACACGAAATGTTTTAATGATGGATGGAATTCCTATTTAGTATCGTATAGTTATACCTATAGTAAAATAAAGATTAATTCAATTAAAAACTTCAATAATTATATTAGTATATATACTCTATAGCTAGACCCTATGGAACTTATTAGCTTAGAAAATTATATACAACTCTTAGAGCAATTTGCTAATAGAGAGTTGTTAACTCCACAAGAAGCGTCCAAAATTCAACTTATTACAACCGAATTATTAGTTGATCATTATGTTGATTATAGATTATTAAAATTTTTAAGTAGATTTTTAACAGATAGAGCTTATGATGATATTGTTGAAGAAAGAAATATAGAACATTTATGTGGTTATATAATTTGTGATAAAACTCCAAAACAACTGGTTCGTCGCTTATCTACTAATAGTAATGGTACTATACCGGCTTCATTAAAAGATCCTGGGGTATCAACAAAATTTCAAATTTATAATAGGAAACCATCAATTATACTTCCAAATACTTATTTGTCTCAATATTGTTGTAAAGAACATTATCAAGCATCTATATTTTATAGAAATCAATTATCAAGTGAAGCAGTATTTGCAAGAAATGATATAATGATTGTACCGCCGTTTTCAAAAGATGCTCCTTCAACATGGTATGAAAATGGAATTACTTGTCTAGAAGAAGTATTAGCAAAACATCGAGAACTTAAAGATCAAGGTAAAAGTTTATCTGATGTAATTGCAATGATGAGTGGATTATCAGTATCAGATTATGATTCTCAAAAGGATGCTAATCATTTAATAAAATTAATTCAAGATTTTGAAATAGTAGAGAAAGAAGGTAATTTAATTGGAGATGCTGATGAAGAAAATGAATTTGATGAAAATAGTAAAGAAGAATTATCTAGTGCTGTTGAAGGTTATATAACTAGTAATAAGAGTTTTGGAGGTTATGTCGTATAAATGGGTTATTATTTTTGTACATTATAATGAATTTTATGAATATATACATATATTATAATTATAATATTATTTATACTTATACTTATACTATTTACAAGTTAGAATTTAAATCTATTATAGAACTTTTCTCCCCAGATATACTTGGAATATTTAGCTTCTGCTAAATAATCTCCAAGTGTTTTACCTAATCCAACTCTTTCATATTGTGATATACCATCTTCTAAATTATTTGATTTTGATCGATTACTAAATTTTTCAAAATATGTTTCGGAAACTCTATCACCTAAATTGACTATTTCTGAATGTTTAAATACTTGATTTAGTTTTAATTTTCTAACCAATTGTCGATATTCCTCTGTTTCCTTTTCAAAAACTTTATCTACTTTTTTTTGAATTTCTGCAATAACCTCAGGAGAATGAGTTTCAGCATAATATTGCTCCAATCTGTTCTTGTCATCATTTAAATTCGATTCAAGAACTTGAGTCGTTTCTTGCAAAGGATTTGTCCAGGACTTTATTATAAAATCCTTTTTACGAAGTAATTGTTTATCCAATATAAAGTTTGGATGAATTTCTAATTCTAATAAAAATTCCCAAAGTCCTTCACTTTCTGCAAGTTCTTCATAATAATATCGAGGATACATGTATTCCCTTTCACCAAATCCTTTACTACCTTTAATTGCAAATGATCCATCTTTTTCTATATCCTCACCTGTTTCTGTATTTCCTTCCTCCATATTCCATACGTTACTGACTCTAATTAATGTATTCAGCTTTAAAATATCAAAGGCTAATTTTTTATCGTCATTTCTTTGTTTATATGGTAACGAAAGTTTACTTAAATGAAACGGACCTGCAGTGATTACCCTCTTTACAACTTTGGCTGGACCTCTTTCAGTTATTTTCCATTTAAATTTATTAAAATATTGATATTTATTAATATCATATTCTAAACTTGGAATTATAATTGATTCAACATATTCTTGATCATATGCCAGTTTAAAATCTTGAGATCGAAAAGATTCATAGAAACTTTTACCTCTAAGATTTTCTTCTACTTTCTTGAATTCCGATGTATTTAATAATTTCAGGGGATATGGTAATTTTTCTCTCCTTAATTGAAGTCTAAGGTATCTTCCCAATACATTTTCATTATATGATTTACACAATTTATGAGTTTCCTTTATAATAGAATGCTTTTTAGAATCATTAAAGTTATTGAATCTAAAAGGTTCATGTTTCTTTTTAAGCTTTAATAATTTATTTCTTTTAGAAGAAGCTCTGTTATCCTGATTCTTCAAATTCTTTTGCCTATATTTATCGATAATTTCTACTAAAGAATCTATATTATTTCCATTATTATTTAATATTTCATCTAATATTTGAATTAGTTGTACTCCAAAAAGATATGAACTAGATAATTTATCTAAATACAGTCGATTTCTTCTGAATTGTTCATTAATATAAATCTTTAATTCATATGAAATATTCTTATAATTATCTGATAATTTAGGATTAGATTTTATTTGAAACGTTCCAGGGAGTTTATAAAGTTTACTATTACGTCGTATAATCTCTCTATATAAGGATCTTACAGCGGCCGAATGTAAACTCTTCGAAATTAAATTTGTGGTAGACATTAATAAATCATTTCTATGATCTTATATAGTTAAGTTAAATAATTAGTGAAATTTTTTTATCCATCTATATATTTTTTCTCACTAGCAAAACGCGATTGTTAACTATGTCTATGTAACAGCTAAATACAATACTAATACTTAATACTTAATACTAATACTAATACTAATACTTAATACTAATAGTCAATCCCGTGATTATCCAGTACAACTACAAACTTATAATGGTAAGTATAAATATGAGAGTATCACATGATCATCTTATACTAACAATAATTAAATTATAGCCTCCTAAATCTAAACCCATAATAGCTCTGATAACTATATTGAAATTTAAACGAGGACGGGCAACATATGTATTTCCTATAGATTTACAACAATCAAAAGCTCAAACACTTGAAAATTTTAAAAGTTTATTAAGTAAAGCTATAAATGCTTCAGGAGGTTTATCAATTGTTGATGATGAACCTATACCAGTAGATGAAGATGAAGATGATGAAGAAGCTAATATACCTATACCAATACCTAAACCTGAATATATGGAAGATATTGATATTGATACTGATGATAATTCAAATTCAAATCCAAATATTATAAAGAAAGTTGAAAGTTCTCAATTAAGACTTGCAATTCCTAAGGATAAATCATCACCTTATGAAAATGAATGGATAGAATTACTTGATGATACAACTTTATCAAGTATAATATTTAATGATTATGATATATTAGCATTTGCTTATGGAAATGATGATCCATTTGATGTTATTGAAGCTGCTTTTGAAGAATGAAAATAGAATTATAGAGTATATAGTACATTATTTACTTCAATTAATATAGTTCTATATGCGTTTCTTCGTATTATATATATAAAAGTACAGAATCATATTGATTGATTAATTAATTTATTTATTTATTTTCTACCACTAGATCCACTTGTTTTACGTATACCAGCCGAAAGAACTCGAGTTCCATTATAACTTGGACTTTTAGATTGAATCATAGAATTACCTCTTGAAGTTGATCTAGATTTAGGATATTTAATTCCAATTCCTGGTGATTGAGGATTTGGTGATGAGGATAATGTCGTACTGACTGTTCTTGTTGTTGTAGTAGTGGTTGTCTTTGTAAGTTGTATTGGTTGATTATTTGGTCCAGAAGATATTGATCTTAATACTCTCCATTCATTAGAATCATCTCTATTAGGTGATATTGACATTGAATCACCATCTATCATATCATTTTCATCTCGATTATGATTTGTAGTTATAATAGTTTCAATATTTTCTTCATCAGAATTATTTATTAATTCAGGAGTACCTGAACCTTCATCTGCTTCATTATATTTTCTTGGTTGACCAGGAGATTCCATAGGTACAGCAGTTTGAATTTTAGCTGCTAATGCTCCACTTATTTTTCTTCTTCTAATAGGAGTTTGGAATGATGAATCCATACCACTAAATGGAGAACTTTGTTGAGCAGCTTGTAATTTTCTTTGTTTAGCTTCTTGTTTCATTCTACTCTTAAATTCATCATATTGACATAATGGATATAATCCTCCTATAAATGTATCAGGTCTATTATCTAATACCATAGTATGTCTCCAATCACGGAAATCATTTTGATGCAAATAAAGCCAATGTTGTTGAGGTCCAACCACCATACCAGGACGAATCATTCTCATATATGCAATACATTCATTAGCAGTAAATCCATGAGTATAAATAAGATGAGCTCCAATAAGACAACCTGTTCTACCTAAACCTGCTTTACAATGTACAGCAATTTTTCCACCTTTATTTATAATACATTCAGCAGCTCCAACAAATTTTTGAACATATTCCATTGTTGGACATGTACCATCATCAAATATCATATCAATATGTTTCATTTTTCTTTTAGTAAATTCACTTGCATCATAAAGATGAGAATTTAATCTTACAACTAATTGAACATTTGATGCCATAAAATAATTTAAAACTTTTTTAAATGGTTCATTTAATCCACCTTTTTTACTTTGTTGAGGTGATGCAAATGCAATAAAGTCTTTCGAAATTACATTAAAATCTCCTTGATCAACTCTTTCATATTGTTCATATTCTTCTAAATTAAATGTTGTTAAATCTATCATACCTCTTTCTTTTGCTCTCCACATTGCATATACAATATCTTGAATTGTAATTTCATAATCAGCATTTGAATAACCTGCATCTCTAAATCCTTGAAATGGAGGATCTATTTGAGCAATTGGTTGTAATACTTGATGAGGAGCCCATGATTGAACTAATACCATATAACAAGCTAATAAACATGCAGCATTGGCTCTTTCCTTTGGTGAAGTAGAACTATAAAATACTATTGCTTTACCTTGATTTGATTCTTCATTTAAAATATTATGTAAAACAACAGCAAATCGATATAAATTTCCTATATGTAAAGGACCAAAATCTAAATGAAATGCATTATAAGGTAAAGCATCTTCAACTGTAAAATGAACTAAATCATTTGTATCTTGAGGTGTATAATCATAAGCACCTAAATAAATTCTATCTATTTAAAATTAAGTTAGTAAAATCATAGGTTTTAAAACTAATGAGGTGTGGATGTTTCCAATTTTGCAACTATACTTACTCTTTAAGAATTCCACCAAGGGGATATTTACTCGAGATTTTGCCATTAGATTATGATAAATTATAATGGATGATTAATTAAAACTCTTCCTTAAAGTTCTTTATTTAAAGGGAATATATAGTGATGATTATTTTTTTTAATACTAGCTGATATGATAGCTTTTACCGTAAAAGTACACAAACAAAACTAGTAAACTAAATTAAACAATTTCAATATATTTACACAACAAATCAATTCCGATTCCTTACTGGTGTGATTCCAATGGTATGTATACAACGAACGATCTATGATAAATTGGTCTACCAATGTTTGTATATATAAGAAAAGTTGAATCTTATATGAAACTCATCAATTACTTCTAAACATTCTTCGAACAATAGTACATATTTCCTTTTTAGTTTAGATGTTGTGATTTTTTCTGTTATTGAAATGTGCGGCGCACGACCGGACTTACATGTCTGATTTAGGAAATGCGGATAAGGAATAAATTTGATCGAGTTAATGGAGTTGAAGTTGGTATAGTTTAAAGAGTAGAGAATCATTATTATAGTATTAGTATTAGTGATAGTATTTAATTATGGTATGTGGAATTTATTGATGATGACTCTATGAGGTCAAGATCAATTGTTGAACTAAATTACTAACATTAATAAGGTGTCATTATATACTTTTTCGCAAGAGACTTTATCAGCTCTTCGGAAATTTCGATTTGGAAGTGCTAGAGCTACTTCTATGGAAGCAATTATATGTATGTATAATGAAAATTTCAAATTTATAGAATTAATATGAAATGGCATGAAATATTAACAAAAGAAAAATATTAAAAATAGATATCATTGATAAAGAATCTTATGAAATTAAAGCAGAAGATAATCAAATTATAGATAGTATAGAGTCATTGATTGAGGAATTACCTGATAATTCTCCAAGATATATTTTACTTTCATATCCAATGAAATTACCTGATGGAAGATTAAAGAGTCCATTTGTTTTACTCTATTGGATTCCACCTACAAGTGGTCAAGAAAGTAGAATGTTATATGCTGGAGCTGTTGAAGAGTTCCGTGAAAAAGCAGGAGTTTCAAAGTATGTATAGTCATAAACACACTAAATTTTCAATTTATTAATACTAACCTTATCCATTTATAGGCTAATTAAGTTGGAAGATGAGGAAGAAATTGAAAATATTGAGGAAGAATTATAATCTTCACATTAATCTGTTATAGATCTACATATACAGTGTTTTAATTTTTATTTCAACTTGTATCATTGACCGTAATTATTAATACTGGACATAAAAACTTTTCATACTAATTTAAATAAGTTCATAATACTTCATAGTATGTTGAACATAGATTATCAATACTGAATCTCTCGGACAATTAAGCGAGCATCAACATTCTATCAAGTAAGAAATCTATGAATATTAAGAGATGTAATATGCTATGTTTGACTCTAAATAATAATTTATATTGCTGTTGTAAGGGATAATTGATCAAATACTTCATAAAATATAAATACATAAATTTTATTGAGCATTTAAGGTATATTGTGACTATCAAGAGTAAATTGAAGAAAAATCCCATCTCACAATTGATTATCATTTATTTCAATCCATTGATATGGTTCTACTGTTCTGTATATTATAAACAGATAATCGTAAAACGCAAGATACTGTAACTTTGGAAATTTAGTGATATTGTCTTTTATCCAGTTCACTAATTCATTAGTTGGTCCTTGGATCTCTGTCCAGTCTCGATTGTCTATTCTAATCTTACATCTGTAAAAAATTTCAATGTTTAATATATATGAGCAACGTTGTATGACCTTAACAAGTTCAAGAGTTGAAACGCAGTAAATGAGCAAAGTCATAACGGGATACACGAACAGCACTTAATTCCCTACTTCCAATATCAAGGCAAAACTTTTCAATCTTTCTTGATGAAATTCACGACCAACACTCAAATACAAACAATTGACTTGAGTACATAATTCTTGTAATTGATTAATAAATTGAACCGGAAAGTTTCCCAAACTCAACCGCAATTGCTTGAATAAACAAATTGTATTTGCAAATCGTTTTATTCCTTTGACAGAAGTATGATTTAACCATAGCATTATCTCTTTATAATTTCCTTATCAAACAAGGGGCTCTTAATATGTTCCATTGTTATATAATAATCATTAGGGGATATTTTTCAGAAGCCAGAGGCGATTCTTGAACCATATGGAGAAATTTCCTCTTGAGGGAATGGTTAGATAATATTTCATTAACAATCGTGAATTGTGCATGGGTATATATATATTCAATTTTGGATGGAAAGTGCACATGTTTCCAGTATTATTAATCAGAGTTGATCTGAATAATTTATTCATACATAAAGAGTAAATCCTGGAGTTTACAAGACATAGATTTAGTACAGCAAGTTGATTCAATTAGAATTTCATCTGGCAAAGAACTCAAACTAGCAGGTGGTAGTGATAACACTAAACTTTTTGTATTGAATTCACAAGGTTCATCCATCCAACACTTCCAAACCAATATTTTAGTTATGCTTGATTGGTATTTAATCAAATTCTTACTCAATGATCTAATATTATTTATAGAGAAAATGGTTGCCTTCGTTGCCTATGTTTTTTGCAGCTACTCTTACATTTCGTTCTCAAAATTACGCTTATTTCCATACGTGCGGGTAACCTTTGTAGTAGAAAAAATTGAAAAATATTTTTCACATTGGGGTCGTGTGCGCAACCAAAGCTCACCTTTTTTCTTCCTTGAAGATATAAAAATTTTTCACTTTTAATGAGATGTTTCACTTAGATTATACTTCTTTCTTTTCCTTCTTCAGTAAATAATCAAATAATAATCCGTCAAAATGGGTCGTATGCATTCATCTGTATGTGTCATGTTACTATAACAGTACAGTAAATCCATCGATTGCATTATTAATAAACTGTGTCTTAAAGGATCGATTTGGTGGTATAAGAGGTAGTCTAAAGTTAAGGTCTTGCCATAAGTAAACGTTTCGCTAATAAAAGGAACCCCCTTTTAAGATTCGTTATTATACGCTTATGGTATTTGATGCTGGAACTTGCTCTTATACATTTTCGCTGATCGATACCACTTTTTATTGAAAGTGTAAGCTCACGCAGGGGAAATGCTGCTCGATTAACCTAAAACTTTTGAAAAGAAGTTAGGTTATTTAAGTAAAGTGTTAACTAACCTGCGATGAGGTCGAGGAATCCTGGTATTGTCATTTTTCTTTTTCTAAGTTTGTAATACTAACAATATTCTGAATTTTAGGGTAAAGGTATCTCCTCCTCCGCTCTTCCATACTCAAGAAACGCTCCATCTTGGTTTAAATTATCTTCTGACGAAGTTGTTGAACAAGTCATCAAGTACGCCAGAAAGGGTTTAACTCCATCTCAAATCGGTGTTATTTTAAGAGATGCTCATGGTGTTTCTCAAACCAAGGTTGTTTCCGGTAACAAGATTTTAAGAATCTTAAAATCTAACGGTTTAGCTCCAGAAATCCCAGAAGATTTATACTACTTAATCAAGAAGGCTGTCTCTGTTAGAAAGCATTTAGAAAGAAACAGAAAAGATAAGGACTCTAAATTCAGATTAATTTTAATCGAATCCAGAATCCACAGATTAGCTAGATACTACAGAACCGTTTCCGTCTTACCACCAAACTGGAAATACGAATCTGCTACTGCTTCTGCTTTAGTCAACTAATTTTTTTGGTTTACAAATATTTCCTTCTTCTTACTTACTTGTATAGTTGAAACATCTGTAATTCATATTTTTATTAGTTTTATTAATGTCATACCACTGTAATAATAGAATGTAAACTATCGAATATATTATTACTATGTAGAGCAATGTAAAAATTTATTACGCACTATATAACCAAAAAAAAAATAGTGCTGAAATATCTGGAATCTCTAACATTAGTGACAAACTTACAAACAGTATATACATCAATGGATGCTATAAGTGATAGTGCCTTTAGAGAAGAGATTTATCAAGAAGGATCGAATGATGATCCTTCATTATTAACTGTTATATTGGATTTATCACCTAGTGGATGGTATAATATTAGAGATCGTATTACTATTAATGAACTTGTTAAAGCAGTTCTTGTATTCTTAAATGCCCATTTATCATTAAATAATTCTAATCAAGTTGCATTTATAGCGAGTTCATTAAATGGATCTAAATTTTTATATCCTAATCCTGAAAGAGATTATGATAAGACACAAATTTCTTCTAATGTTGAAGATGTTGATAGTAATACAGATTCCGAACCAAGTTTTGTAAATAAAGGAATGTATCGTCAATTTAGATTAGTTGATGAAGCTGTAGCAGAGGAATTAAATAAATATATTCATGATATATCTTCTAACATAGATTTAAAGAAACAAAATGCTACATTATCTGGAGCTTTAAGTATGGCATTATGTTATACAAATAGAATGTTAACTTTAGATCAATCAATTACAACTACAACAGCTTCAGCTATAAATTCAACAACCAATGCAACTATGGCTGATTCCAATAATTCGTCTACAACAACTACATCTACTTCAATAACTTCTATGAAATCACGTATATTAATTATTTCTGCAAGTGATGAAGATGATGTAAAATATATACCAATTATGAATTCAATCTTTGCAGCTCAAAAGATGAAATTATCAATTGATATAGTGAAACTTGGTCATCAAGACTCTTCATATTTACAACAAGCATCTGATGCTACAAATGGGATATATTTACATATTATTGATCCAAGAGGTATTATTCAATTTTTAACAACTGCGTTTTTCATAGAACCTTCAATTAGACAATATATCATCTTACCCACAAATTCAAATGTCAATTATAGAGCCAGTTGTTTTATAACTGGTAAATCAGTAGATTTGGGTTATGTATGTTCTGTTTGTCTATGTATTATGAGTATCATTCCTGAAACTAAAATGTGTCCTGCTTGTCGATCAGAATTTGATCCAAGAATACTTGCTCAACTAACTCAAACCCCTGAAGTAATATCTAAAAAGAAAAGAAAATTGGATGCAAAGGGTATTGAAAATGGGAATGGAAATGGAACCGGAAATACAAATGGGAATGGAAACTTTGTTACTGACAGAAGTGTAAGTACTTGATCTATAGACCTCTATTTATAACATCAAATCTAAATTCCTTGGGATAATTATGTTTCTCAATCATATGTAGTCTTCTTGTCTTTGGTGTCCTACACACTTTTGAGCATTCACTTTCTATACAACGAAAGACTTTATCACCTCTTTCTTGTTTGATCTTAAGAAATGGATTATGATTTTCATCTATATGTAAAGTTAAAATTGAATTAGATGGGAATCGTCGATGACATTGTTGACATATAAATGTATGATTAGTAGTTATATGACTCTCATAAGCTAGATAGTCTTTAAATAAAATTGGATTTAAATGACATGGTGGTATGTTACACACACAACCATCATCTTCTACTTTCCGCTGTGAATCGATATGCGATACTTCATCTTCTCTTTTCCTTTTGTTCATACTTGGAGAATGTGAGTATCTCGTAAGGCGTATTTTAGCAGAAAAACTTCATAAAATACGTTGGCTTAATTGAGCTTTGTGAGCTATATTCAAGATTGTAAAAATACATGCATTATATACGAACATATACAACTTATTAGTACATTAAAGGTATTTAAATTATATTTAAGCAGTAGCAGCCAAATTTGATTTGATACTATTATTTTTTGTATTCGAAACTTTTAAAATTAGATTTTCCAAACCTATTCCCCAATATCCTCATACCAATCTTGTGGTCTTTCATCTATAAATTTCTTCATTAAATCAATACATTCTTGATTATTTAAATTGACAACTTCAACTCCAGATGATTTTAATAACTCTTCAGCACCTACAAAATTCTTATTTTCCCCTAATACGACCCTCTTTATACCATACATTAAACAAGCACCAGAACACATATGACATGGTGATAATGTAGTATACATAGTACAGTTCTTATATACACTTCCCTTTAACCTACCAGCATTCTCTAAAGTTGATATTTCACCATGTAAGGTTGCTGAATCCTTTTGAAATCTCATATTATGTCCTCTACCTAATACAGTACCATCTTCTGCTATGAGAGCTCCTCCAATAGGAACCCCTCCTTCTTCATATCCCTTCCTAGCCTCTTCCAAGGCTATTTGCATTCCTTTCACGTCATTAAATGGCATATCGTTGTAAATGATGTATAACTTATGGGTATTAAATTAGATGGTCTGATAAAATATCAGTATACACTTCTTTTTTTGGTCCATCGTAGATTTTATTAAGCGACTTATCAAATGGCTCATTCAGAATATTGTAAATAGACATTATAGTACTCTACAAGAGATTATTTAAACTATACAGGAATATATAATACAGAAGCATATTTAACAATTATGGTAGAAAAATTGGAAACTATTATCGAGCCATCTGTTGTACACTGTAGTGTAAGATTCAAGACAATCATTCTCATTACTTAAATCTTTATCACTAAGCAAATAGAGCTTTTTCCTAATCCATATGTAGCAGTAACAAGATCCGTCTTATTTAATTGATAGATGGAATATGTACGTAAACCACGGCCAGCCTTTGCAAAGTAATTCAACAACTTAGCAGCTTTTTAAATTAAGACTATCGAATAAAAATCTTGATGTTTTAATGAACTCTTTAGTGAGAAATCCCTTAAGGATTGCCAATAGTTCATTTCTTTCTTCAGAAAATGATATTTTCAGAAATTTGCATGAACCTTTTTACTCCAATAGAAAAATGTGTGATGTGATATAAAAGATAAGAGTATCTTTATTAGCTTGATCGATATCTTTTATGAATACAAATACTGGTAATATTGAATCAAACTCAACGCATAGTTGATTTTAAGAAACTGTCCTTATTAACATCTCATATGCTCATATGCTTTGGGATCTTATTAACTTTAGAGTCTTACTAACTTTAGGATATATATATAATTAATACACATATCTATAAGTATTCATCAATGAGAGATAGGATGGTTTCTTCCATCAATGTAAACTATCCTAAAATATCAACATTAGTTACTTTAATAAATATATATTACATATCTAAATTGATTAAATCAATATATGTAGCAGAATTGACTTCTTCATCAATATCAGAATCATTGTTGTCAGTCGCATTGGTTTCTAAGGGCGTGGAGAGACTACTGTTAAGGTTATCATAGATATAAAAGAAGCTGGTATCATTCATATTGATAATACTTGAGCTTTGACGAGATATAATGATCCTTTATCCTCCTGAAGAATTGTAATTTGGCTGCAAATAAAGTGCCCTGAACTCCTCATTTTTTCCCACTTTTTTTGAAATTTTTCTCCTGTCTGCTATACGAAACATCAAGTATAACCATTTAGACTTATACGAGGTAACTATAGATACAAGCCATTACCATGATTATTAGATTATGTGATTAGGGTCATTCGAATTTCTCGGGTTGCATAAAAATATTAACCCCTTAATTTATTATTAGAAGTGGATATCCCTCTTTTAATATTATTTATGCATCTATATTATATATTCCTATATATTATAAATAATACTCTCTTGTTGTAGAGTACTGTAATGTCTATTTATATACATTTATTGTACCAATTCGATCAACAGAAATTATCATTTCAAATGGGATACTAACAATCTCTGCTCCAGTAATCATATCTTGATGATTAGATATACTATCTAATTGTAAAGAAGTAATTGATTTTAAATTATAACCATGAGATTTATCAGTTAAATTTTTAATAGAAGTTTTACCTCGATAAACTTCACTTACCATTGATGAATTAAGGACAAATAAAGTTTCAGTATTTTTACCAATAGCTTGTGATTCAATTATATTATTAAGATTCCAAATAATAATTCTTTTATCCCAAGTAGTAGATAAGAAACAATTCTCAGATGGATAATATTTTAAAGATGTAGTACTTAAATCACCAATATAACTTTTATCATCAATATAAACATCATCTAAATTTAATGATACATCCTTTAAAATATAATCAATATTATAATCTTTTAAAGAATTACTAACTTCTTTAAGACTATACTTTTGACCAAAAGCTCGATTTTCTGGATATGAAGTTCGAAGAATTTGTTTACATTCAAATTCAGGTATACTCCAAATTGAAATATCTGGAGATTCACTACCTCCAATCATTATAACTGCATCTTTTATAATATTTCCTGTTGGTAATTTATAATCTCCTGGAAATATCATTAATTTCTTAATAGCAGCTGTAGGACTATTATCTAATAAAACTTTCCAACTTTTTATTAAAAGTCTAAATCTTAAATCCCAAAGGCATAAAATACCAGTATTTGTACCTAATAATGCCCAACTCATTTTATCTCCGATTATAAATGTATTAATACCACCATGAATTTGAGGATTTTGAAGTTCAAATAATACTGACATTTTAATAATATCCATAGCAATGATTTTAGAATTTGAAGTAGTAATAAATAAAGTATTTTGTTTATCTGAAATATAAAATTGAAGACTTGTTGCAAACACAAGATGTTCTAATTCATATTTTCTAATAACAACAATATCTAAATATCTCGTAATTTTCTTATTATTTCGAAGAACATTTATTCTAAAGATTCTAATTAAACCATCAATTGTTGAAGCAGCAAATACAAATCTATCAGGAATAAAATCAATTGAAGTAATACTAGAATTTAAATTTAAATTTAAGCTAGGACTCTTTTTAAGAGACATCATATCCTTTAATTTAGAACTATCCCAAACTCTTAAATTACCCTTTTCTGATCCAGTTATAATGAATTCTCCTGTTGGACTAGATATAACACAAGTTATTCCATCATCTTCTTCTTGAGTAATATGTGAAAGTAAAACTCCCGTTGGTTTAAAATAAGATTCTTTCTCTTTAATTGTAGTCATGGTACTTTTAGAACTTTTAACAAAACTACCAAATTCAGGAAAATCATTTAAAGCAGGATCTAAATCAACATCACTTAAATAACTTAAAATAAATGGATTATCACCCCTATAATCATGACTAAAATTAGCCGTAACAATTTTAGAATTATTACTAGCAAATACTTTATGAGTTGATAAATGATTACTAGATTGTCTTTTAGGGATTGTTCGGAATGAATCATGATTAACACCATCATAACTAAATTCTAATTCACCTAATACATTTGCTTCAATAGTTTGTACTGAAGCTTTTACTTTATTAAGATTAGGAAGTATAAGAGAATTAGAACCTCTTCTCGATTCAAAATCTTTTAAAGATACACTATCTCCTGGTAAAGAAGATGCATCAACATTAGATTGAATAATTTTTGAACCGGAAATTAATGGTTCTGATTCATAACTTATTTGAAAAAATATATTTCGAGGTTTTAAAGATACTTCATCTTGTAATTGATAAAATAATTGATCATTATTTTTACTTGGTTCATCAATTAATAATTTAGGAGTTCTACTAATATGAGATATATAATCTCGTAGAATAAATAATTTTAAAAGATCTTTATCATCTAAACCAATTGATTTTAATTTAATAACCCATTGTTTATCATCAGCTGATAATGGTAATGAAGGTTTTTCACCATTTGTTAATGTAGTATTAAATCCATTATTTAATTTAGGTAAATAAACTGATTTACCCATATTTTTTGAAAATGAAATTAATTTCTTCTTAGGAGAATTTATTCCAACATTAATAGCAGAGAAATTCTTCAGTTTCCAAAATAATGACATTTTAGATTGATTTAATGACCATTTTATTGCAAGTTCATAAATTTGTCTTGATAATGGTTTAGTTAAACATACATAAAGTGTTTCCCAACTAACATCTGGTGGATCATAAGATAAGAATTCCTTTATAACTGGATAAAGAAAACAATAACGATCAGCATCAGTTAAATTTTCTCCAATTGAAACAATTAATGTTAAAACTCCTTGTCTTATCCATTCATTAGGTAATAAAAGTAAATTAGTACAATTTGTTAATAATTCTTTATAAATTGCCAGAACATTAAATTCTTTATTAGGATTAATTAATTTATTCTTAACAAATTCATTAAAAATTTCTAATACTTTCATTACAACAAATGGTTCAGGATCTCCTAAAGTTTGAATAAGTAATGGTAAAATATATTGTTCAAATGATAATACTCCAACAAATGGAGCAATTTTTAATACTGATGATAAAAATGATAATCTAATTCTATAATTTGAATCATTTAAATAACTAATTAAATGAGGTAATATTATATCATTAGTTTTATCAACACCAAAATATTGACAAAGTGGTAAAATATTATTAATTAAACTAATTCTTACTTCAGGATTTTTATCAATTAAAATTTTTAAAGTTAAATCTTTAAATCGAAGATCTAATTCATCCTTTGGTACATTAAATGAATTTAAATCAGGATTATAATCAGAAGTTAATGAAATTGATCCTAATTTACTTGAAATTCCTTTAAATGTATCACTTTTAAATGTCTTTGACATCATTAAAAACTTTTTAGATATTCGAGCTAAATATGGTAAATTTCTAGCAATACTAATTTTTATAAGATCACTTTCTGTCAGGGATAAACTTATAGAATATAATGATGTTAATCGAGGTAATAAATATTCTTGAAACATTAAAACATTAATAGGTGTAATATATAAACATGAATTTAATAAAGTTGTAATACCACTTAAAACTTTATTAATAACTGGACCAGAAACAATATTTTCAGAATATCTTGAATTATTTTGCCAATTTGATCTTTCACCTACAACATCTAATAATGACATTAAATAAGGTAATGATCGATCTAATTTTTCTTCATCATTAATCCTTTCTGAAAGTGCCACTATCAATTCACATGCTTTTAATTTAGATGATACTCTTTTAACTGATCTTAATAATGAAAAAACTATATCTAACATTATTAATGCAGCTTGATCTGTTAAATGACCTATTTTAGGTTTTATATTATAATTAAGAGGCATTCCAGGTAAATTTAAATTTAATGAAATTGTTGAATCAGAATTAATAGTTCCAGTACTATTATTAATATAATAAAAACCAAATGCATCAGATAATTTAGCATAACTATTATAAATATGATCAATTTTAAAATCACTAGCTGAAAAATTATGAGTATTTAATGTAGGATCATTATTATTTAATTCACCAAGGAAATCATATAAAAAATCGTAAAAATATGATGGGAAACATTTATCTTTATAAGATATTAAAATTTCTTTAGCCAGAGGTCGTTTATTAGGATCAATTTGTATAAGTTGTTGAACCAATTGTTTAATATTTTCATCTTGAATAGATGATAAATCTGGAGTAAATTCATTTTTCATAAATTTATATAATTGTGATAAAGTAAACGTTGGTTCACCATCTGAATAAACTTCAGCTATTACACAACCCAAACTAAATAAATCCATTTCAGGAGTTAATTTTTCTCCATTATATTGACCATCATCATCAACATTTTGTATGATTTTATTTGAATCTTGTGATAAATAAAATCTTTCTGGAGCTATATAACATACTCTTCTACCAGAAGTATCATAATAAAATGAAAATTGATTTGGATTATCTTCTTGAATATATGTTGGTTTAATATAATTAGCAAAATCTACTAACATTAACCAATTCCATGAAGTTACTAAGAAATTTTCTAATTTTATATCTCCATGATAAATATTAAGTGAATGAATTTCTGCAACTATTTTAAGCATTTGAAATATTAAAAAGGATTTTTCAATGGGTAATAAGAAAGGTCGAAGTGAAAGTCGATCATATAAATTTGTCTTTAAATGTTGTCGTATTAAATATCCTGCTCTATCAGTTTCAATAATTTTATGCCATGGTAATACATTATTAAATTGTGATAATAATGATGATTGTTTAGCTTCTAATCCAATAATATCATCAAGTTTTAAATTATAACCATCAGTAGGTTTAATTAATAATTTAATTATAACATAATTCCCCGTACTGGTATCAATTGCCTTTATAGTCTTTAAGAATCTTGAATTACTTAATAACTCCACAAATCGAAATTTATCTAATACATCAACATATGATGAGATGGCTACAGTCTGAGCTGATGGTGCTAATAAGGATAATTTCGCTCCCATCTTAAATTTCAGATCAGTAACACTTAATGACCACTATTATAAATATAGTGTAGTGTAGTGTAGTATAGTATAGTTTAGTATAGTATTTAATCAGTAAAGCGTACTAAGGTAAGTGCAATGTCGCATATCGTACTAACTTTTTGTTTGTGCGGCCAGCCTTGTTTGATAAGGAACGAATTCAACAAGATCGTCTAACTATACCAACCTTTGTGAATTGAATGGTTGGAATACGAAATGATAGAGAATGGCAATCTATGAGTGATGAACATAAGTCTGTAGATCCTTTGTTTGGTCAATATCGTGCATTTCCTACTAGTGTGGGAGAAGATGATACTGAAGGTGATAGTGAGGGAGTTCTGTCTTACTTAAGATCAGTTAGAAGACAAGCCGAAGAAGAAGATATAGTATACTTTGCACATAGAGATACAGATAGAAACAGAGATAATACCGAAATACATGAAGTTATTATTAATGAAGATAATAATTCCAAAAATATTGATCATATAATCAATCCCCAATGGAGCGAAGACTTGATAAAGAAATTTACTAGTATTAAACAACAAATAAACTTAGTTAACACATCTGTAGTTCAGAATAATATCCAACCGAATATAATTCCAGAAACTGCAGCTGAATGTCGAAAGTACATGCTTGAACATGATCCTCCATCCATTGACTACTTTTATCAAGAGATTGATCGAGCTACTATATTCAAACATTTAATTTATTATACAAAATGGCTTAGTAAGAATACTAATGAATACCTCACTAAATGGATATGGATATCATTTCTACGAATTGATGATGTGTTAGAAGCCAATGAATGTTCTATAGTACGAGATTTAGCTAAGAAGGCTTTAAAAATCATTAGTAAAGTACCACAACATGAATTGGATGCCAATACTAGTTTTACTATTGATATGATATTGGCACTAGTTAGTCAGTACTATGGACAAAAAGATTTATTAACTTAGAGATATATATAGTAAGTAACAGTATATTAACAATCTAGTATTAATTGTATTTACAGTATAGTATTCAATAGTATTAACAGTAGTAACAGTATTGTATCAATAGTATGGCACATACGCAGTCGTAAAATTTTACGGCGTCGAAAATCAAATCTGAAAAATTAAAATTACTGGGGTTCAACGAAGCACTTGTTCAGTATCAGTTACTCTAATAAATTATAAACCACACCATCTATAAATTTTAAAATGGCTCCTAAAGTTAGAGAAGATTTGGTTGTCCCATACAGACATGTTCCAGCCGGTGTACGTGCTGAAGCTTCAAGTGTTGTTTCACAATCTTTACCTATGGCCGCTATGTTTATGAGAAATAAAATGTTATCATGGGCAGCAGTTTTCTTAGCCGTTCAATCTTATTTAAATGAACCAATAAATGCTCCAAAGAAAGATTCTGATTCAGCCCAACCTCCATTATTAAGAATTGGTTTTGCTTTCATTTCTTTAGTTACTTGTTATATTGATCTTATATTCCCAGCTGCTAATCCTGCTATTAAAAAGGCTGCTGATGTAACTGCTGCTGTTACTTCATCTATTGCTAGTGCTTCAAGTACTGCCTAAGAATAATAATAATAGAAATAGTAATGATGATGCTGGTCATTTTTTAAATATTAATAATAAGTATACGTTTATTTTGTAATGATACATAAGAATTAATAAAAGTTATAATAATACAAAGTAGAGAAATATAATGTATGATTCTTAATATAACCATTCAAGAATTACACTAGTAATTCCAACATAAGATACAGAAATATTATGAGAATTTGTATCCCATTTTATATCACAAATTCCTGTATTATGTTCTGTAGTTGAATCTTGTTCAATATTGGGTAATTGAATATCAAAAATTCCTAAACATTTTAAAAATTTTTGTTTCTTTGATTGTTTAATTGAATCTTGTGATACATCCCATATAGTTACTTTACCATAATCATCACCAATGGCTAAATATTTAAGATTAGGAGATAAAGCACAAGCAAATACTAAAGAATCTTCATTAATTTGTATATGAGATTCTTCATTTAATTTAAAATTATCATGATTTTTAAATAATTCAGTACTTACTAAATTATCTCTTGTTATAGCATTCCAAATATTTAAAGTTCCATCTATTGATACTGATAATAAAATACTTTCATCATTAATATTTTCTAACCATTCTAAACTTATAAGAGGAGAATTATGAGATTTTATTCCATCACCAGAAATATTAAGATCAATACCTTCTTGTGATGCACCTCTACTCCAAACTTTAATTTGATAATCATAATCAGAAGCTGAAGCTAATAATTTTGAAATTTCATTTAATTTTAATATTGATATTACATTTTCATGACCATGAAGAAATCCCACTGTTTGAACATCTGCTGATTGTTGTTCAATATAAACTGAATAAATTTTAATTGAAAATTTAGATGTTGATATAGCAAATTTATCATTACTTAACCAACATGCAGCTATTACTGATTCTGAATTTTCTGAATTATGAGGAGGATTTATTTGTTTTAATAATGTTAAAGTATTTCCATCCCAAAGACTTACTTGACCATGAGTATCTATACATAAAAGTAAATGACCAGTTTGACTCCAAATTAAATCAGTTATAGTAGGAGAATTATTATTTCTTTCTTCTGGTATTTCATCATTAAATAAATGAGCAATATTTCTTAATTTCCCATCGGGTGACCATGCTCGTAATTCTCCATCAGTTCCTCCTGTTATAATTACATTTCCTTGAGGTGACCATGATACAATATTAATTTCATTATTTGAATTTAAAACATTAGGATGAAGTAAATTAACTGATTCAGCAATAGATCCATCCTTTATTGCATTTATTATAGCTGTTGAATTTTGTTTTCCATAAGCAAATACTTCAGTGCTTGGATGCCACAGAGATACTAAACTTTCATCGAATATAATTTTAGAACTCAATACTTTTGTAGAAAATTCTTCATTTACAATTACACTATTAGTATTGGAATTAGTAGATTCAATATCTCCTGAATCTATTTCCATACTATTTTCATCAGGTTTATTCCCATTTAATTTGGCTTCTGATTTTAATAAGAATCGACTCGTTTCTTCATCTCCATTCAAATCTCCTTCATCCTTTGACTTCCCATTCTCTATTTCTTCTCGTAATAATGCTCCAAATAAATTCAAACTATTTTTAAATGATGATGAAGATGGATCTATTGCTTCATCTTCAGCTACAGAATATAATATCCCCTTTTGAACTAAATTAACTAAACATCCTGGTTGTATTTTAGATATTATCGTCTCATTATCTTCTCGTTCATATTCCAGACAATGAGCATGTTTCTCAAGTGCAAACGCCGCTAAATCAAACCCGGACTCCTGGAGATATCTCCACACTAGATAGTTGAGCTCATTACTACTCAACGACATGGTAATATTGTCTGATATTCGCTAAACTTGACTTGTTTTGTATTACGTACCAGTAAAATTAATTCTCACTCACTAAATTTTTTTTTCCCAGTAAATGGTACTGTACCGGACGGAAAATTACGCCAAAAATAGCATAGGCTATAACGATTTAGGCAGCCTATTTACTATGATAATTACTTAACTTACTTAACTCAAATCAACTCAAATCAAATCAAATCAATTCAGTTCAGTTCAATTAACGATGGATTTTGAAACTAAAGTGAATCATAGAAAGAGTCGAGCAGCATGGCAGGGAGCTGGACCTTCTGGTGGAGCCAGTAAAGTTAATGCCAATCCTTATGCTATGACGAATCCTTCAGTAATTAAACCTGATAATGCTACTATAATATCAACTTCAACTGAAAGAAATCCTTATGGAACTAATTCCAATAGGAAACATAATCGTAGAATGAGTATTCATGCATCTGCTGCAGCTCATGCTCATGGGAAATCATTTAATCAAGCTGTACCATTTGATTTAAGTGCATTACCTCCAGTCCCCACATTAGAAATGGCATTAAGTCAAGCAACTGAAATTGATAATGCTAAAGATAATTATGATATTGAAAGTAAACTTTATTCTGATTTATCTAATGGATCTGCTACTGAAATTTATGATTATTTTCAAGTATTATCAAAGCAAAAGGAAACTATTGAACGAGATATAAAGAAGAATATTAATGAAAATCAAAAGAATATTTTACAATTAACTAATGAACTTAAATCAACTCAAGATGAATTACTTCAATTGAGATCAGCCAAAAAGGATTTAGAAGATGTATTTACTTATTTTCAAGATACAGCTCAAAGAAGAATGGAATTAGAACAAGAACTAGGAGATGGAGAATCTCTACAATCAAATAGAAATATTACTAATACCACCACTAACATCACCACAATTCTGAATAAAAGAAAGGATAGATCATCAGTAATTGCCTTAGAAAAAATATGGGCATCAGAATTACAATCATTATTTAAACATGTAGAAGGAGCATCTAAATTTATTCAACCATTACCTGGAAGACATGTATTAGCAGAAAGTGGTAGATGGAATGAAATTAATGTAGGATCTTGGAAACCAACTAATTTAAGTCATTTATTTATATTAAATGATACTTTATTAATTGCTACTAAAAAATCTAATCAAGATGGAGGAATTAATAATAAATCAAGATTACAAGCAGTTCAAAGTTGGCCATTAAATCATGTTGAACTTTTCCAAATTGAGCCTCCTTCATCATTAAATAAACCAGGAGAAGTTAAATATTGTATAAATATTAAATCTAAATCACTTAGTTTTGTTTATCAAACTGATAGATATGATCATTTTCTTAAAATAATGGAAGCTTATTCTAAAGGTAAAAATGAATTATTACAAAAGGAAAGATTTATGATTGCTGGAAGACCTTCAACTTCTGATCTTAATGATATTAAAGAAGAAAAGAAACAATTACGAGATTCTTTAAGAAATTCTGGAGTTTTTGAAGGAATTGATGATTCAAGTAAAAGATTAAGTGGATCTCATAGAAATAGTGCTGATATGGTATTACAAGATATTTCTGCAAAAGTTCATTCTAGAAATCGGTCTCATGATTTTGCAACTACTATGACAGGAAATTTTCAAAGAAATAATAGTATAAAGGATAAAGGACAATTTTTTAATAATATTCGAACATTAGAAAGTAAATTAGATGATGTTGATGTTGAAATAGCTCATAATCAATATTCTCAATCAGTTGGACTTATTGGACATATTGAAAAAAATTTAAAAATTATTGAAACAGATTTAGTTATAAATAATAAAGATGGGAAAGATATTAGTGATGAACTTTTATTAGTTGATGTTACAAAATTAAAATTACAAAATCGAAAAGAAATTGTTCAAAAAGCTCTTATATTTGATTTACAACATAATATTTCTAAATTAAGTGATACAAAGATTGAAGATATTATATCATATTTTGAAAAATTTAATCAATTAGATAAAGGCGTTGAAAGTTATTTAAATTCAATGTCAAATTATTTATTAACTACTGTATCTCGATTAATTGTTGGAATTCAAGGTTCTACTAAAATTGATATTGTAAATTATTTATCAAATTTAGTAGTGGTTTATATTTCAATAATTAAACGAGCTATATTAGTTTATAATCGAAAAATAAGTATATTTTTAAAGAAGAATCAAAATGGTAATGTTGATTCAAGTGGATTAATTAATTGGTGTGTTGATGAAATTAATAATTTAAGTATTCAAATTAAAAAACATTTATATGGTACATTATTAATTTCAACTGGTATAAGTGATATTGATAAAAGAATTTATAAAGTTAAAGATTCTCGATTATTTCAAGATTTTTTAGCGGTATTAATTCCTCAATTAAATGAATTAAAATCGGTAGGAGTTAATGTTGATTTTATCTTTCAAGATATATTATTTATACAGGAATGAATAGTTAATAATTATTTAATAGTTAATTATTAGTTAATATATATATTAATTATTATTTAAAGTTTATCATATAAAGTACCTAATTGATAATTCTCTCTAAAATATGGACCTTTCCTCTTTAATATTAATAAAGATATTGAAGCAATTGACATAATTCCCATAAGTATTGTAAAAAGTATTCCTGGACCAATAGCTCTTAATAATGGTTCAACAATAAATGTCGCAGTGGCTGCTAAAATTTGACGAATTAAATTATTTAATGCTACTCCAGTAGCACCCTTACCTGGTAAAGTATCAACTAAATAAGTTACAGTTGCTCCAATTACTAACATAGATGCAAATCCAAATATTGCAGTACCAATTAATGGAACTAACCAAAATACTCCATATTTTAATGACCAACCAAATATTAAACATGCAGGAGGATATAATATAATAGCAGTAACTAAATTCCAACTTATTCTTGATTCAGGAGCTAATTCTCCATTATGAGATTTAGCATATTTTGCTAATAAATGATCATTCCATTTACCTCCAATAATTGATGCTATAATATAAGTAATTGAATTTGGAATATAAAGAAGTCCAATAATTATACTCTTAAAATTATATGGATCATGAGCATAAGAATAAGAAATTGTCATATTGAAAAAGTAAACTACAGCAAAACAACATGATGAATAAGCAATTACTAAGGCAACTGGTGGATGTTTTAATAGTACTACTGAATGCATTGGTCTTATAAGAATTTCATAAGCATTATGTTTAAAATTTGCCCATTTATTAATTTCAATTGGATCTTGTTCAATATGAGTTAAAGATTTTCTTAATTCTTCATCAATCATTTCTTGAGCAACTTTACGAGAATAAATTGATTTATTAGTTGCAACTTTTGATATAGAAGGCATTATTGGATCAACTATTGGTCCTTCAACTTCTTCTTGATTTAATATTATTGAACTTCTTGAACTTAATCGAGTTAAATTAGTAGCAATTCTTTCTAATACTTCATCTGGTATATTATCATAATTTGTTACAGGTTGAGAATTAGTTTCATTATCCTTTTCATTACTTTCTGAAGATTCATCAGCTTCATTAGCTGCTAACATGGCTCTAATAGCTGCTAAATTATCACTTTTTCTTAATGTTTCTGGTAATACAAATACAATTAATAAACAATTACATCCACTAAAAATTACTAATAACCATTGAGTAGCTCTCCAACCCCAAACTTGGGATACAACCCCACCAAGAATTGGGGCAAAAAATGGTCCACATAAGGGACCAAGATAATAATAACCCATAGCATTACCTCTTGTTTGAGGAGTAAATAAATCAGCTATAGTTCCTGCTCCAACTGCTTGAACTGATGCTGAACATCCACCTTGAAGAACTCTTAATATAATTAATGAAGCTATATTAGGAGCTAATGATGTACCAATAGAAAAGGCAAAAAACATTAAGAAAGATATTAAATAAACATTTCTTCTCCCAAATCTTTCACTAAATGCAGACCACCATAATGGGAAAATACCAAGTGATAAAAGATATATACCAACTGATACATTAACTGTTGATACATTTGTATTTAAACTTTTAACAATATCATCAATAGCAGGCAACATAATAGAAGTCCCCATAGGACCAGTTATAGCAGCAAATGCTATGACGAATACAATAGTATATTTAATTGATATTGAATAATCTCGTGCATCTTCATATTCTGGTATAAGAACAATAGATGCTAATAAACCTCTTCTATTTCTTAATGGAACTCGATTTGATTTTATAGATGATTGACGAGATTTTGTTTTGGAGGTAATGAAATCTTGAGGATTTACATCGGGTGGACCATTATGTATTGGATTTACTTGATGTTCAGAATCATCATCACTATGCTGAGAAAGTGATGAAGCTAGTGAGATGACATCTGATGCTTGATCGGTATTATTCACCATTTGTGTATGTGTATGTCTATCGCTGTCTATTGAGTTTACAGTTGATGGGAAGTATATACCATCGGTATTTTAATAATATGTTTGATTTGTATAACGTAAGTATAATGAATCAGGAAATCTATAATTGTGAATCGGTCTTTTATTTCATAGTCCCGATGACTAAGCCGATGAATTTATATTGAGTATTTGTAATAGACAAATTAGTTTAAACAATAAGTAGTTCAAGAGTGACTTATCCCGGTCGTTTGAAAATGTCAAAAGAAGATAAGGTTAAGAGGAAATATAAATTTTTTCAGGATATAGGAATGGGCCCCGGTATAAATTAATAATTACATATGTATATCGGCATTAAAGCCAAACTTAAAATTTAACAAGGCCGTTATCCTAATTGGGATATTTAGCCGCTATTATGGAGGTTCGGCTGTTAATTAGTAGTGCGGCCCAAGACAGAATCAGTTTAGCCGTGTCTATGGCGAGTTGGGTAAAATTATAACTTTAGAGTTTATACTTAATAGTGTTGGTAATAAAGTTTGTGCGGGTGGTGATGGTGTTAACCTATAAAAGATTGAATACCACATACATAGTTGGTTAGATGGTTTTAGTAGGTATTTACTAGGAGTAAAAGAACTTCGGGACCGGAGACAAACTCGGGAACAAATTGTGGATGACGCAAAATCACAGTAGTAGTTATTTTGCACGTGAAGTACAACGTAAGTAAGAATTATGCTATTAATGTATTGCAAATACACAATTACCTCTATAGTATTACTATAATATTGCTACCACAATACTACTACCTACTACTGATATAATACTAGATTCTGAACATCATTGTGTTACACGCTTAAATGCTAGAAATTACTGCAAACACACTATAGACGGATCGGACTCGCGGTATTCGCATATCCGGCAAGTGGGTCATAGTAACAATGTCTAAACTTGCACAATTAAATCCAAATGCTTTAACTGCTAAGTAATTGATCGTAACTGCACAGTTGTAGTAGTAACATGACCCTTCTCTATCTATATAAATACTTTTTGACATGTAACTAAAGATTTGCCTTCCTCATCGCTCGGCAACCTAATGGAGTTTAAGCGGAGTTGAAGGCAAAAATGCGCTTGTGTCACTAATTTAACATCCTTCAGCCCAACTTACTCCCACCTCTTGCACCGCTTTATCATTGGTGATTATGATATAGTACCGTAACTTGTATAACATATTGTTCAGCTTGAATTCCGGAGCTTCCATTACTCATTTTTCAAATTAGAAATTGTAATTGTTTATTGTGTACAATCAAACGGAGTTTTAACTCATTTGAAAATTATAGAGTAAAGCCCTTTGTTAACAAGTTAAAGTAAATTATGTCAAAGATTCCTAAGACTGCGGTTCAATCATTACCGAAATCAATTATTAAAGCTTCCATATTCTTTCCTCTGTTCCTTTTAGGATGTCTTTCAATTGTGGCTACTCAATTAGTTGGAGTATTCTTATTTGCATCTGATCCATCAACTGTACAAAACTTTATATGTTTATCAAAACTTCATTTTATTAGATTAATTACTTTTGCTACATCATTTAGTTCTTCAGCAGATATATCAATCACTTATGATACGGCACTTTTACCATCATCTAATACATTTACAGTAGATAATCAAGGAAATATTCATTCTAATTTTAGTCCTAATTCGGTATTTATTTCAAATCATCAAATTTATACTGATTGGATGTTCCTTTGGTTTTTAAATTATACATCTAAATTAGGTCAATATGTATTTATAGTTCTTAAAGATCAATTATCTAAACTTCCTGTTTTAGGATATGGAATGAAAAATTATAATTTCTTATTCTTATCTAGAAAATGGGAACAAGATAAAGTTGTTATTGCAAAACAATTAAAAATGATTGATGCTGATGCTCAAGGAGTTGGACCATCTAATGGAGTTAAAAATAAAAATGATAGACCAATAAATAATACTGTTTTTCCTTATCAATTAATTTTATATCCTGAAGGTACTGTTCCTTCTGATAGAACTACAAAGAAATCATTAGAATATACTCAATTTAAAAAATTACCTCCTTTAAAGCATGTATTATTACCAAGAACAAGAGGTTTATTTCTTGTATTAAGAAATTTAAAGGATACCGTTGAAGTTCTTTATGATATAACCACTGGTTATTCTGATTTACGAACTGATGAATATGGTGAAGATAAATTTACTCTTAAAAATCATTATATATGGGGTCAGGGACCTCCAAAAATAAATTATCATATTAAATCTTATAGAATACTGGAAATTCCCCTCGGAGATTTATCAGTTGATATAGATGATGTTAAAGAAGTAGAATTACAAGCTTTTGAAGATTGGTTATTAAAAGTATGGTATGAAAAGGATGCTAGAATGGAAGCATTCTTTAGAAATGGTTCATTTACTGATCCAATTAATCCAATTACAACAGAAAAAACTGTAGAAGGTAAATTACAATTACGTAATACTTTTGAAGTTTTAACTATATTTACAACTGTTGGTGTCGTATTCTCATTATTATTTGTTTTGCTTTATGTTTTGAAATTGTTCTTGTTTTAGATATATTAATCTAATTCTTTTCTATATATATCTGAAACTAATATGCTACATGTCTGTTTTGAACCTGTTTCAAAACTTTTTATAAATAATTATATAAAGATTGTAGAGTATCATGTGAATTAAGAAGAAAGAAAGTGGTCATAACTCTATCAAACTATTCTATATATTATATTATATCATGTTCGGAATCTCAATAAGAAATCTTCCTAAATTATTACTGGTAATCATATTATTTATTAGTATTGTTCTTCTTGGATTTCTCTTAATTGGATGCTTGGATACTACTAGTCAATATCTGAAAGTATATTTAGCTCAATTCCAATTTAATCAAACATCTATTGATAATTTATCTTCAACTAATGTTACAACTCCTATTGAATCATTATCTATAAAGATTAATTATTTAGGAGTATGTTTTGATATGAGTAATAATATTACTTGTTCTACATTTACCAAAATGGCCAATATGACAGAAATAAATGGTATACCATTAAATTCTTCTCCTAATAATCAACCAAATATTGTAACAATTGCTAAAACATTTAGTAATATATGTCATCCTCGAATTTTAATTGCTACATTATTACTTAATTTAATACTTTTATTAACAATATGTTATAGTCATCTTCCTATTGAACCAGGAAAATTATATGTTAAGAAATTTAATTGTATTATGTCATTGATTATAAGTTTATTATGGGGATTAGGAGCTATGCTTCAACAAGAAGCGGTTGATGTTACTACACAAATGGTTAGAGAAGCATCTATGTATTATCTTAGTGTTCTGGCCGGAACTCGAGCACAAGCCATGACATGGACTATTTTTGCCTTTAGTTTAATAGTTACTATAGGTTCGATATTTGCATGTTTCAAATATGAAACAAGGCTGCAACTGCAACTGCAACCGCAACCGCAACCGCAACAATTACCATATTTGGCAAAAGTTTAGCGCAAAGTACACTATGTAGATGAATAAATAAATAAGTAAATAAGTAAATAAGTGAGTAAATATATGAATATAAAAGTATTATATAATCCTAAAGTAGTAGATACGATGACGTAAGTTCCATAGTAAGTAAGTTATACAAACTAACTAGTAATAAGTAATAAGTAACTACTAAATGTTGGACGTGTGCATACCATCAATTTTGCAACTCTCACAAAGATAGTTACAAAAGACAACGTGACTTTCACATGACATGCGCGTGACTTTCTCGAAGTTTACCAGAATCGATTCCCACTTTTGAGATTTTTTTTCAACACTTAACTATGTAAACCCATACCTTAAGCACCAACCCCTCCAGTAAACTTCATCATGTCGTATACGGGACAGCTTGACGCGTTTGTGTCGAGACTCAATGATAGCGACGATTATCGAACGGCACATTCGATCTTATCGGAGCTCTTAGATATGATAGAAACGTTTAATGGAGCAGCAGAATATGAATACTTTTTAAAGAATTTAGTACCAATATTTATAAAGAACTTTAATGAAGTTCCAATATCATTCAGTAGTACATCAGCCGAACATAAATTAAGAAATTGTATATTAGAAATTATTCATCGATCAATTATGAATGAAACTTTTGAACCATTTGCTGAAGAAATTTTAGATGCCTTAACTAAAATATTAGTTGATGAAAATGAAGATAATGGAGTATTATGTATGAAAGTAATTACCAGTTTACATAAATCTTATAAATCCAAATTGAGTGATAAAGTTCAACCATTTGTTGAAATTATTAGTCAAATATATGAAAATATGCCCAAGACAGTTCAAGAAATATTTAATAATGAAATTAATTTACCAATAAATCAAGAATCAGATAAAGAAATGTCACCATTAATTGAAGATACTTCAAGTAAAACATTAAATAAAGCCATGTTTTCATTTAAAACTTTAGCTGAATGTCCAATTACTATGGTATCATTATATTCATCTTATAAATCTTTAGTTCAAAGTTCTTTACCGGAATTTTTACCTAAAATTATTAATATTTTAATATTAGAAGTTGAAGAACAACGATTATTTAGAGAAGAAGCTTCAAAGAAAGGTCAAATTACGGCATCAATATCTCCCAATATAAAAAATAGACAAGCTTATAGTGATTTTATTTTAGGACAAGTTAAAGCAGCATCATTTTTAGCTTATGTATTTATTAGAGGTTATGCAAATCAACATCTTTCCAATGAAAAATCAAAAGTTGTTCCTGATGTTATACTTCGATTATTACAAGATTGTCCTGCCGAATTATCCGTGGCAAGAAAGGAATTATTACATGCAACAAGACATATACTTTCAACACCATTTAGAAGTCAATTTATTTCAAAAATCGAACTTTTATTTGATGAAAAGATCTTAATTGGTGAAGGTTTAACATCATTTGAAACTTTAAGACCTTTGGCTTATTCTACTGTAGCTGATTTTATTCATAATGTAAGAAATGAATTAACTCCTAAACAAATATGGTCAACGGTTAAAATATATTGTGATTTATTAAAGGATGATTCATTAGCATTAACGGTACAAATTATGAGTGCCAAATTATTACTTAATTTAGTGGAAAGAATTATGAAATTACCTAATAAATTGGAAGGAAGACAATTATTTATGTTAATTATTGATTCATATGCTAAACGATTTGAAAGTTTAAATCGGAAATATAATTATATTATTAATAAATATAATGAATTTGAAAGTAATCGAGGTAAGAAAGAAGCAGAATCTAAGAAAGCCATTGAAAGGTATACATCTAAGAAACTTGTAGATCATGAACCTGATCATAAGGAAGATATAGAAATGATTCCTCTTGATGAGGAAGATTCTTCTAAACCAGAAGATATGGACATTGATCAAGAATCACCCCCTGCAAAAGAAGAAGAACCACCCAAAGAAAAGGATGAAGTGGAAGTGTTTATAGATTTATTCAATATCGAACTGTTTTCTCCTATAGCCACCTCAATCACTTCGAATAATTCTGATCTTTTAAAGGATGCTAGATACTTATTCCGAACCTTAATGACATTTCTTAAGTCGATGATATTTGGTCTTAAGAATTGTAATCCACCGATTCCTCCTCAACCCACCCAAACCGATCCGAAAAATCCTGGTCAACCAGTAAATTATGATAAATGGAATGATTCAGCTAAATTAATATCTTATGAAGAAGTTAATGTGTTACGAGCTTTATTCCGAGGAGGTATTAGTTGTTTACGATTCTTTTCTGTTCTGAAATCCAAACCAACCATTACTCCGGCCAAGGCATTTGATTTCTCGACGGGAGGACCTAATTTACCCATAACTTCATCAAAGGAAGAAAAAGATTTAATGGAAATCTTTGCCACTATCTTTATTCATGTTGATCCTGCATCATTTAATGAAATTGTAAGTTCTGAATTACCGTTTATGTTTGATTCCATGTTAGATAATGCCGCCTTACTTCATTTACCGCAATTCTTTTTAGCCAGTGAAGTGACTTCAGCCAATTTCTCCTCGATATTAATTATATTCTTAAAGAATAATTTAGATCAATTAGGTAAAGTTGAATTAATTAAATCCAATATTTTAATTCGATTATTTAAATTATGTTTTATGTCTGTTCACTTATTTCCTACCGCCAATGAAGGTGTCATCTTACCTCATTTAAATCATTTAATATTGGAATCTTTAACGTATGCTACTAAAGCAGAAGAACCTATAGTCTATTCGTATTTAGTAAGGATCTTATTTCGAAGTATTAGTGGGGGGAGATTCGAGAATCTTTATAAGGAGATTATTCCTATCCTTCCGGTATTATTAGAGAATCTTAATAAACTAATTGCTAATGCCAGAAGACCCTATGAACGAGATATCTATGTGGAATTATGTTTGACAGTCCCTGTAAGATTGTCGGTATTAGTTCCTCATCTTAATTACTTAACTCGTCCTTTAGTGTATGCTCTTAATGGATCCCAAGAATTGATTACGCAAGGATTAAGAACATTTGAATTATGTGTGGATAACTTAACGGCCGAATATTTCGATCCTATGATTGAACCGGTAATTGATGAAATAATGGCGGCTCTTTGGAAACATCTCGAGCCAGTCCCTTATCATCATCAACATTCTCATACGGCTATAAGAATCTTAGGGAAATTAGGGGGTAGAAATCATAAACATTTCAAGCCATGTAATGATTTAGTCAGTCAATCTGAATTAGATCAAGAGATTAATGCCTTGTTTTCTGTATATGGATTAAATGGGAAAGTTCCCATCTCTATAACTCCTGGAGTAGAATCGGCTATAAAGTTATTAGAAGATCCTCGATTAAAAGTTCATTATCGTATAAGTGCATTTAAATATTTAACTAGTATATTAAAGTTATTTATTGATACAAGTCCTATACCTCAGGGGTACTCTACTTTTATAAATCAAAGTGTTGAAGTATTGAAAAGCGATAAGATTGTGGAATTTGTGGATTTGGATCATACGGCCATTACAGATGTGGCTAAACTCGATAGACAACAAAAGTTATTTACTCGATTACTTGAAATGTTATTCTTTTCGATTTCTATACCTGAACTTAAACAAGAAGCAGATGAATTAATTGATGGATTAACTATCCATTTCACTTTATTATATCTTGGGACATCTATTACGGATAAGATTAAGAAAGAACGGCCATTTTCAGTTAATGATAATGAAGGTAAAGCATATATAAGTGAAACATCATTCTTATCTGCTTTGAATTATGCTTTAAGCTTTTGGGATAAAGATGTAAGAACTAAAGGTATTGATGCTATCAAGAAAATCTATAGTACAACGGTTACATTATTTGGATCCGAAGAAGATGCCCTTTATTCGCCCGTATTCCGATCAATGTTTTATAAATTCACTCATTGCTGTTATAATGAATATTACTATTCGAAATTAGGAGGTATTCTTGGACTTAAGACCATGTTTGAAGATCTTGGAATCCCCTCCAAATGGTTCTTTAAACGCCAATTTGAATTGGTTCGATCCATCTGTTTTATATTACGAGATACTCCTGAAACGGCTCCATTTGAAGTCCGGGATTCCGCCAAGAATTTGATTCTTAAATTACTTAAAGAGTGTAATTCGGGTCTTAGTAAAGATGAAGTATTGGAGAAACCATTTCAAACGGTAGTGGGTGCATTAGTCTATGATTTAGCCAGTTCAAATCCATTGGTTCGTCAAGTATCTCAAGCTTCATTAAAGGTCTTATCCGAAACTACAGGGGTACCAATAGCCATCATTATGGGACCATGTAAACATTTATTATTAACGCCTATCTTTGGTAAACCCTTACGTGCCTTACCATTCCCTATGCAAATAGGAAATATCGATGCTATAACATTCTGTCTTGAGATTCCCGATTCATTCTTAACGTTTAATGAAGAACTTAATCGATTACTATTAGAAGCCTTAGCCTTGGTGGATGCCGAAGATGAATCATTAGCCAATGTGCATCGATTACATGAATACCGAACTTCTAAACAACTCATTGAACTTCGAGTGGTATGTATAAAATTACTATCACTTGCCCTTCTGAAACCGGATTTCTCCTTGAGTCAATTGGCCGAATATAGAATAAGAATCTTGGGAGTATTCTTTAAAGCCCTCTGTAATAAATCTACGGAAATCATTAATTCTGCTCATTTAGGACTTCAATCAAGTCTTCAAGAAAATGCTAAACTTCCCAAGGAATTACTTCAAAATGGTCTTCGACCCATGTTAATGAATCTTTCGGATCATAAGAAATTAACGGTGTCGGGCCTTGAAGCATTGGCTCGGTTATTGGAATTATTAATCTCGTATTTCCGGGTCGAGATTGGTCGGAAGTTGTTGGATCATTTAATGGCATGGGCCCAAATTAATACTTTAAGACGTATAGCCGGTATGGATTTAGAGAATAATCATACGGTACAAATCGTCATGGCCATCTTAAATATCTTTCATTTATTACCTCCTAAAGCTTATACATTTATGGAAGAAATCATTAATACTTTACAGTATCTTGAAGGACATTTAGATCGTCATCAGAATTCTCCCTTCCGAGTCCCCGTCGCCAAATTCTTGAATAGATTTGCTGAGAATTGTATGGAATACTATATCACCAACTTTAAGAATCGGAAACTTGGTAATATGCTTGCCTCTATTGCAGGAATGGATGGGTCTAATAAGATTAGAGATATGGCCAAGGATAAGATGAGTATAATCTTGGATGATTTAACTAATGAATCCAGTGAAGGCATTAAAGTCATTAAGTTTGCCAATCTTGTAGATTTACTTGAAGCCATCACCAAGTATGATTATGAATGGTTTGATACTCAACGAGAAGTTCTTAGTAAAGTGTCTGAGATAGTCGAACAAATTGCCGAGATCAAGAATACTGTGCCATTAGTATCACCAGCACTTTTCCAAGCTGATCAAGCCATTGAGAAAATGGTGGTGATTTTAATTAACTACTTGACTCGTAACCCCCATGAGATTGATTTATTGTTTGTCATTGTCGAACGTCATTTACAGTTGAAATTAAAGATCCCTAACCAATTGGAAGATTATATCTTTAATAAGATTGTTAGTAGTTCAGATACAGCTTATCGTCAAGAGTATTTGAACAAATGTATTGAATTCATTAGTGATGAATCACACTCACAAGCCAATTTCAAAGCCAAGATCTTCTTTATTAAGAAAGTATTCAATTCTATATTAATCTGGGAAAATGAAAAATCAGGTAATGTCAATGTATTCTTTGAGACAAGTCCTCCCTGGTTGGATAAGATTTGTAACAATATTTGGAAATCTACTCAAGATATCATTACTGGTCATACCTCGGGAACTTTGGATAGTTATAGATATGCTTTATTAGAACTTACAGCTTTACTATTAAAGATTGCTCCGACATTTATTGGAGATTTACGAAAGGATATCATTAAATTCAGTTGGAATTATATTAAATTAGAAGATAATATTACCAAACAAGTGGCCTATGTTACTACGTCATATTTCATTTCTGCCTATGAGATTCCGGCCAAACTTGCCACTCGAGTGTTTGTAGCATTACTTCGAACTCATCAAGCGGATTCTCGACATTTAGTTAAACAGGCTCTTGATATACTTGCTCCCGTAATGTCGGAAAGAATGGTGGATGTCGAGTCTCCTGATAGTTGGTTGAAATGGCCTCGAAGAATCATTTCAGAGGATGGATTTAATGTGACTCAAGTCCTTAATGTTTATCAATTCATTGTACAACATCCCGACTTATTCTTTGTGGCTCGCGAACATTTCATTTCTAATATCATTACTGCCATGGGGAAACTCACGATTTTGGCTAATCCCGTCCTTGAGAATCAGGTGTTGGCTATTGAACTTGCGGATTTGATCTTGAAGTGGGAGAATAAACAGAAGCAGCAACAGAAACTACTTGAAGAGAGTGAAGAAGTCCATAAGTCTGATGACTTTACTACGTCGCCTAATTATAGTATCCCCTTTGGACAACGAGAAGCCTGTGTAACCTTCTTAATTCGATATGTGTGTATCAGTCCTCAACGAGCATCTGAAAGTGAATTGGGCCAAAAGGCCTTGGGCATCTTGTATGATTTATTAAGTCCCGATCATTGGTCAGAAGTGTCGGTTAAGCTAACCTTCTTTGAGAAGTTTGTCCTTTCCAATGATTTGAATTCTTCTAATTTATTAGGCTACTGTTTGAATGCTTTAGAAGTGTTAGGAGTTGTATTAGAATGGAAGAAATCGGAATGGATTGTGTCTAATTTGGGATATTTACATAAATTATTAGAGAAGTGTATTAAATCCGATAATCATGATATTCAAGAAGTTCTTCAACGAGTTATTACTATAATTCTTGAAGCAATTAATGATCAAAAGGATACTGAAGATGAAGAAGATGAAGATGAAGATGTTAAAGAATTTATATCCTTATTATCATCTACCGTAGCTGAAGATCTTGGAGATATGCCATCAGTAGCAGCCGGTGTAACATTATCATGGACATTAGCTAATTATAGACCGGCTATATTAGATCCTTTATTACCTCTGATTATGAGAACTTTTAGTAAATTATGTAAAGATCATATAACCATCACTCATCAAGGATCTCAATCTTCATCAAAGGATAGTGTTAATTCCGAATATGAAGCTCGGATGACTACTAAATTATTAGAAAAGATTCTCAATCTTTCATCGATGAGAATTTCGAATTTGGCAGATCAAAGACGAATCTTTTTATCATTATTAGCTCAATTAATTGAGAGATCATTGGATAAAGATACTCTTGAAAAGATTATTAAAATCGTCAAGACTTGGGTATTTTCTCGGACGGATTTGTTTCCAACCACTAAGGAGAAGGCAGCTATATTGGCGAAAATGATGGTATTTGAAATTAGAGGTGAACCTACTTTATCTAAAGAATTCTATCAAATCATTGTGGATATCTTTGAAGATGATACTTTCAGTTGTACTGAACTTACCGTAAGAATGGAACAACCATTCTTAGTGGGGACTCGATCAGCTGATGTGGCCATTAGACGGAAATTAATGTCCATCCTAAACAATAGTCTTGAAAAAGATATTAGTAAGAGACTCTACTATATTGTTCGAGAACAGAATTGGGAGCATTTGGCTGATTATCCGTGGTTAAATCAAGCCCTACAATTACTCTATGGATCATTTGATTTATCGAGTACTGTACATTTAATCGATTCGGAACATAAGTTGCCGGGGCTCCGGATTACGTCCTTACCGAAACCGGAATCACAAGACCCGGAATCCGCCATGGAAATCGATAATCAAAATCAAACTTCCATTGAAGAAATCTTAAGTAACCATAATGAATTCCTTATTAAAGTAGGAGAGTTACGAGCCAGTGATATCCTTGAACCACTCATTGATTTATTCTATCAAAGCAGTGAAGCCATCCATAAGGCATGGTCAACATTATTCCCCATTGCGTTTAAATCCATTCCTCGACTGGAATATCTTGATTTCACCCGATACTTGGTGATTTTACTTTCTAAGGATTATCATACTCGACAGGTGGATAGTAGACCTAATGTAATTGTATCATTGTTAGAAGGTATAGCTCGATGTGATGGATTACAATTACCCCCATTTGCTGTAGAATGCTTAGCATCCAACTTTAATGGATGGTCGCAAGGAATAAATATCTTGGAGAATATTGAAGAACAATCGGTTAGTGGTAGTTCAGAAGTTCGAGAAGTTACTCAAGATGCTTTAAGTAAATTATATGCCACCTTAAAGGAAGATGATATGTTTTATGGATTATGGAGAAGAAGAGCCAAATATTCAGAAACCATTAGTGCATTATCTTATGAACAAATTGGATTATGGGATAAAGCTCAACAACTTTATGAAGCAGCCCAAATTAAAGCTCGTAGTGGAGCATTACCTTATGGAGAATCGGAATATGCCTTATGGGAAGATCATTGGATCTTATGTGCAGAGAAATTACAACATTGGGATATCTTGACTGATTTAGCTCGTCATGAAGGATTCTCTGATTTATTATTAGAATGTGGTTGGAGAGTGGCGGATTGGTTTAATGATCGAGAAACCATTGATCAAACCGTCAAGAATGTTATGGATGTCCCCACTCCAAGACGGCAAGTGTTTGAAACGTTTCTTTGTTTACAAGGATTTGGAAAGGAAAAGGAAACTCTTCAAGATCTTTCACGATTATGTGATGAAGGAATTCAATTGGCATTAAGAAAATGGCATGGATTACCGCAACGATTCAATAATGCTCATATACCTTTATTACATACATTCCAACAATATGTTGAATTCATGGAAGCCAGTCAAGTGTATGCCAGTCTTGTGACTACTAATGCCCAGAATTTAGATGTGAAATCTCAAGAATTAAAGAGAGTGTTACAAGTATGGCGAGAAAGATTGCCTAACATTTGGGATGATATAAATCTTTGGAATGATTTGGTGGTATGGAGACAACATGCCTTCCAAGTAATTAATAATGTATATATTCCATTAATTCCCGTGTTACAACAATCCAATTCTGGAGGCAATGCTAATTCTTATGCGTATAGAGGATACCATGAAATTGCGTGGGTAATTAATCGATTTGCTCATGTAGCCAGAAAACATAATATGCCCGATGTTTGTATTAAAGAACTTACGAGAATCTATCAATTGCCCAATATAGAAATCCAAGAAGCGTTTTTGAAATTAAAGGAACAAGTCAAATGTCATTATCAAAATCCTAATGAATTAAATACGGGACTTGATGTTATTAGTAGTACTAATTTAGTATATTTTGCCACCCAACAAAAGGCGGAATTCTTTACTTTAAAGGGAATGTTTTTAAATAAATTAAATCAAAAGGATGAAGCCAATAAAGCATTTGCAACTTCAGTTCAAATTGATCTTAATTTATCTAAAGCTTGGGCAGAATGGGGGATGTTTAATGATCGAAGATTTAAAGAGAATCCTAATGATATGGTCTATGCCAACAATGCTGTTACATGTTATTTACTGGCTGCTGGATTATATAAGAATGGTAAGACTCGCAAATTATTAGCCAGAATCCTTTGGCTTATTAGTTTAGATGATACTTCAGGTACTTTGGCTCAAGCATTTGAAAACTTTAGAGGCGAAGTTCCAGTATGGTATTGGATTACATTTATACCTCAATTATTAACTTCATTATCTCATAAAGAAGCTAAACTTGCCAGACAAGTATTGGTTCGTATAGCCAAGAGTTATCCTCAAGCTTTACACTTTCAACTTCGTACTACTAAGGAAGATTTTGCGGCTAAACAACGTCAAGCCATGGAGATTACTCGTCAACAAGCGGCTGCTACTCAAACTAATCAAAGTAAATCTGATTCAACTAATGATACAATTGATACTAAAGAAGATAAGGATACTTCTAAGGAGAGTAATGGCGAATCCAATGATTCAGAACAGAAATCTGCTGATGCTCAACCCCTGTCTTCTCCAACTACTGAAGCACCTGTATCAGCTCCTGGTTCAACTTCAACATCAACTGCTGGACCAGCTCCAAGTCAATCTCCAACTCAACCTTCTGGTACACCATCTAGTAGTACTAATGGAAATGGTAATGGAAATGGTACTACTACTAGTGGAAATGGTGCTAATAATGTCCCTATAGCCATTCGTCAAGCCTTGGAACATGTAGAAGAAATCATGGGCATCTTAAAAACAGCCTATCCCTTATTAGCGTTATCATTAGAATCATTAGTTGATCAAATTAATCAACGATTTAAATGTACAGCTGATGAAGATGCTTATAGACTTGGAGTGGCACTCTTAAATGATGGAGTTCAATATTTAAATCGACTTGGAAATCCTCGAGATGATGCGAAATTACCTCCCGTAACTGAAGCAAATATTATTAGATTTGCAGAAACAGTATTACCCAAACAAATCCGAGCTGAATTTGAAAAGGATCTTGTGATTGGCAAACCTAATTTAGAAACTTATATTATCAAATTAAGAAAATGGAGAGATCGTCTTGAAGATAAACTCGATAGAAGATTTTCTCAAGTTAATCTTGAGAATTTATGTCCACATCTTAGTGAATTTCATCATCAAAAATTTGAAGAAATTGAAGTTCCTGGTCAATATTTATTAAAGAAAGATACTAATACTCATTTTATTAAAATTGAAAGATTTTTACCAACCATTGATTTAGCTAGAGGTACTAATGCTTGTTATAAACGGTTAAGAATTAGAGGTCATGATGGTAGTTTACATACATTTGCTGTACAATTCCCTGCTGCTCGTCATTGTCGTAGAGAAGAAAGTCTTTTCCAATTATTTAGAATCTTTAATGATACTATCTCAAGAAAAGTTGAAACTCGTCGTAGAAATATTCAATTTACTGTACCAATTGCTGTACCATTATCTCCTCATATTAGAATTATTAATGATGATCCTCGAGATGTTACTATGCAAAAAGTTTATGAAGATTATTGTCGTAGAAATGGTAAGAGTCGTGATGAACCATTTATTTATACAATTGAAAAATTAAGAGCAGCATTTGATCCTCGATTACCCAAACCAGATATTATGAGTATAAGAGTAGAAATTTTAAGTGCCATTCAATCATTATTAGTTCCATCAACCGTAATGAAGAATTATTTTATTGAATTATATCCTCAATTTGAAGATTTTTGGTTATTCCGTAAACAATTTACATCACAATATGCTTCATTTATATTTTCAACTTATATGATGTGTGTTAATGCAAGACAACCACAAAAGATTCATATTAATAAAGGTTCAGGTAATGTTTGGACTTCAGATATGTTACCATGTAAAATTGCTAGTAAAAGTGCATTAATGATTGATAATCAACAAGGTAGACCAGCCCCATTATTCTATAATGCAGAAATGGTCCCATTTAGATTAACTCCTAATATTCAAAAATTAATTGGAGAAACAAGTTTAGAAGGTATTTTAGTAGTATACATTTTATGTATTGCTCGAGCTTTGGCTGAACCAGAATCAGATTTAGAACAATTCTTAACATTATTTGTTAGAGATGAAGTAATTTCTTGGTGTGCTCAACAAGAACCTCCAAGACCAATACCTCAAGATAAACAATTACGAGAAATTGTTAGAATTAATGTGGAATTTATTATTAAGAAAGTTATATCAATTGGTAGGATATCTTCAGGATCGAATGTGGCTACTCAGAATGTTCTTGAATTAATATCTCAAGCTGTTAATCCTCGTAATTTGGCTGCTGCTGATACGTTATGGATGGCTTACTTCTAATTGTGTGTAAGTATATCATATAAGTATATTATTTTATATTTTGTATTATTTTAATTAATTATTTTATCATATATATATGTATCAGCTTTTTCTTCTCCACACATTCTTATCTCTTCTATCAGTCCTATTAATTAAGTTTCTTAATGATTGAGCTGCCATATAAGAACTGAAAACTAATACCATAAATGTTAGACAATTTAATACTAAACAAGTTATAGTAATGATTTGAATATAAGTTGTAACATCAGTCTTTTCTGTCATCTTAGTTTGACTATCATATTCGTACAGATACATTTTATCAACATTAAGTACTAATGGGACACAAGATACATGGAATGCTACTCCTATGAATTCCAAAAGAGTGGAAAACAATAAGCTTCTGAAGGAGAATAACGAAGGGATTGTTGAAGAACATGTGGGTAATAAACATGCATTAACGGAGAACTATATAGTTAGTTAGTTGTTAGTTAATTAATTTGTTTTAGTGGTTTTAGTGGTTCTAATACTAATAGGTACAATATAACTTACCATTATCAATACATAAAGACCAGTAATAACACATAAGGGAGGTCTTCCTTCAATATCATCAAAGGGAACTGTAGCATATACCGATACATATTGACATAATAGGAGTCCCATATAGATTTGAAAGAGTGCCTTGAATGTCTTGGCGCTATAGATACTTTCAATATTCTCAACAAGTACATCACCACCAACGGCAATGGGTTGATCTATTGGAAGGGGACTATCGAACAATACGTTATGATGTCTACCTTCTGCCATGGTGTGTATCTTCTATGGGTGTGACTACTTAGTAAGTATATGTAAAAGACATATAGCAGTTTGCAGCTATGATAACTTGTGTTGTTGCGAAAAATCCACGAAGTGCGCACTCAATTTGATTATGTTAACTATGGGCATTTAAGTACTTATATATTTAAAGATTACTAGTCACTCCTCACTCCTTAGAAGGAGTAGGAGTAGGAGCAACAAAGGCATTATCGGGCCTACTAGATACAAGAGTATCATATACACGTCTTTCCATAGCAGGAAATATCTTAGGAGATAATTCTACTCCTTCACTTAACCATAACCCCCACGAGCCCATCATATTAGCCATTAAAATATCAGTAAAGAGTCTATCACCAATAATTAAAATTTCATTACTGTTTATATTAAATTGTTTAAAATAATCATTAATTTCATTAAAACATCCGGGCTTTTTTGTAGCATGTCTTAATACTGTAACTCCAGTATCGTTCTCTAACTTTTGAGCTTGTACATGATCTTTATCATCATTTGTACCAGCAGAATTACTGACAATCAACAAGTGTTCCTTAGGATATGATTTCTTAAGTAACTCCCAAGTTTCCTACAATAGAATATTATGTTAGTATTATAGAATAAAATAATCAATCAATCTGTCATACATACTTCATAGGCTGGCCATACTTTATCATCATGATCCTTGGCAAAACAATTATCCTTATCCAATACAACGCCTCGGATCTGTACATCCGGATGGTCGGGTATCTTAAACGGAATCGTTATCTGATCAAATGATTTAACAGTCATATGCGGTATACATAGACTGGGATTGTACAACAATCTCGAAACATTCAATGTAGCACTGATATTAAACATTATAATAACTACTACAAGTGCTCACAACTGCTTGTCTTCTATGGTTACAACCAATAACTAATAACTAATAACTAATTACTAAGAATTGTATACTCATCCTTATCCTCAACGCTGCTCCGGATTTGCTCTCTGCTCGCTCGTTGCTCGCTAACTATCGGTGGAAAAAAATTGTTCATGTTCAACTTTGTTGGCTGGGGGACTATGTTCCAGTTGCAAATTACTCTTACAGACCATTCCAGTCAGTTTATATATGTCTAATTTAAATTCAGTAAGTACCTCATCAACTTCAGGTGGAAATATTCCTCGGAAATCTCGGGTAAGTCGAGGGGGTAAATCTAATAGTGGAAGTAATTATCGTGGTCGAGGTGGGTTTAAAAGAAGGAATATTGAAAGTGGAACAAATCAAGAAGAAGAAGAAGAAGAATTTGGAGAAGGTGAACAATGTATAATTTGTGCTAATAAGATTCAATATGCAGCCATTACTTCATGTAATCATTTAACCTGTCATAAATGTACATTTAGACAACGAAGTTTATATGAAAAAACTGTATGTTTAATATGTCGTAGTGAAAATGAATGGATAATTATAACTGAAAATATTCATAGTGGATATGATGATTATGATATAAATTCATTAAAGATATCCGATGAGAAATATAATATTAAATTTACTCAAGAATATGTTAAATCAGATACTTTAAAATTATTAAGTAATGATTGTTCATTATGTGATCAAGTAGATTTTAAATCATTTAAAGATTTAATGGATCATGTTAAGGAAGATCATGGAAAATATTATTGTTTAATATGTTCTAAATATAAAAAGGCATTTTTACTGGAATTAAAACTTTATACTTATAAACAATTACATAGACATCAAAGTGAAGGTGATGAAACTGGATTTAAAGGTCATCCTGAATGTAAACATTGTTTAGGTAAGAGATTTTATTCAGAAGATGAATTAAATATTCATATTAGAGATAAACATGAAAGATGTCATATATGTGATCAATATAATCCCAAGACTGCTGATTATTATCGAAATTATGATACTTTATATCAACATTTTAAACGAGATCATTATGTTTGTAATATTCAATCTTGTGTTGAAAAAAGGTTTGTTGTTTTCAGAGAAGATTTGGATTTAACGGCTCATATGTTAAAGGAACATGGAGGTTTAGCTAATAATACTAAAGTTATAATTGGATCAACTAGTACAAGAAGTTATCAATCTCAATTAAGTACATTTCCAAGAAGATTGGAACAACAACATGGTGAAGAAGAAGAAGATTATCAATCACTTGATATTAAGAAAAAGAGATTTGAAGAAAGAGCAAGACATTATTTAAATTATAATCAACAAGAGTTTAATAAATTTGAACAATTTAATAATTCATTTAGACATAGAAAGATAAATGCTAAAGAATTATTACAATTTTATAAAGAAGAAATATTTATTCATCAATCTAATGAAGAATTATCATTATTAGTTAAGGAATTTCTGGAATTCTTCAAAAACCAAAAGGAATTATATGAAAGTTTAGTTACTATTGAAAATGAATTAAACTTCAAACAACCAGAACGTGAACAATTCCCTGTATTAGGTGGTACACCAGGTTCTGTATTTAATGCAAATTCTTGGGTTAATGGATCTAATGGAGGCAATAGTCGTTCACAATCACCTGGAATTGCATCATCTGGGAAAGAAGCCTTTCCAGCATTAAGTAAACCTCAACGTAAACCAGTAGTTAATCCATCTAATCAACCAATTAGGTATACTACTGTAATAAAAAAGACACCAGTATTGGCACCTAAAGTTAAATCTTCAACTAATATTAATTACATACCTAATTATTTAAATAATACCACATCATCAGGTTCATCTGGAGTTGGTTCTTCATCAGCACCAGTATCAGAATCATCATCAAATCTCCTGTCAAGTTCAAGAAATGGATCAAAGGCAAAATTACATGATGATAGCAAATTCCCTACTCTAGAAAAGAAGACCACAAAGAAAATAATTCCACGAGTTAATCCAGTTCAAATTGCTGATCCTTCAAATTGGGGAAAACCTCCATCAGCTTCATCATCAACTACATCACTTAATTCTGATGATTCATTAGATTTTGGTGTTGGAATTGTAATTACCGATAAAAGAAAACAAAAATTAAAGAAGAAACAGGACAAATTACTCTTTAACATATAAAAATAATTGCAATCTACAAGTTTTTTGATACAAATATAGATATATAGAAAATAACAATATATGTAAAGGAAGTAGATGCAAAAAAATACGGAATTGTAAAATTTAAATTTTAATCTTTTTAGGCGGCCGTTACATTAGCTAACCTCAATTTAACCAAACATTTTAGTCTGACCATTTTTGATTGCTGTTTGCATGTTAGCTTATTTTTACTGTAAATACAGCACATGCTTTGTAGATGGTTCATCTGCAATGTAAAAACCACACGACATTTTCTCTACTTGCGCTATTTTTCTCCCTACTTTTTCATCCGATCTTTCAAATGCCGGTCAATTTTATTGGAGTCAGCTCTGGCCTAGAAACTAGTTGTGGCCTTTAACAAAAAGTTACTGAAAATACAGTTCTCATTTACTCCACACTTACCCACATTGATTATACCAGTTTTGTTGGATATTCTACACTTAATTACTATAATTACGATAATTACTTTAATTACAACTTCATCTTATTGTTTGTTATTATCGGCCGAAAGAAATTCTCGTACCGCACGACTTCTTGTCTGAGATTTTGCGTCCATGATAGAATTTTGCAGTTATAAACTTGATGTACCCCATATATCTGTAAAGCACTTAATTAAGAAATATCCCAGTCTTCAAGGGAATTGTATAAAAACTCCAGTACGCCGGCATCAGGAAAATGATCGTCATATAAGATTACAGTTGGAATATGAATATACTTATGATTATACTAAATCCAAAAATCAATATGATATAACTGAAATTATAGTCAAAGAGTACTTTAATGTAGACAACTATCAATTGTTGAGGGATAGACTATGTCCACGAATTAATAATCGAATGGCGTATATTTTAATTCTTGAGTCTTTATTGATAGAGCCAGACAGAATTTTGAATCCTCAACAGGATGAAAAGGAGTGTATTATAGATATTGGTACTGGATCTTCATTAATTTATCCTATTATTGCTAATAAGTTAAGTTATAAAAATTCGTTAATCATTGGTACTGAAATCAACGAGGTATCTCTTAATAATGCTCTGACTATTTTAAATAATAATTTCCATTTAAAACAAAATATCTCGCTAATAAGAGGAAGTAAGGACAAGTTAATCCCTTCTGTGGATTCTGATATCAAAGTGAAATATCTCATTTGTAATCCACCATTTTATTCTAGCAAAGAAGAGCTTTTGCTGAAAGAGTCTTCAAAATCAATAAATAAACCAAATGAACTAATAATAAATGAAGACGAGTTGTTATATGAAGATAATGGTGAATTAGGGTTTGTTAAGAAGTTGATTGATGAAAGCATTGATTTACTGACCCAATATAAATTTAAAAGATGCTGGTTCACAAGCCAAGTAGGAATTCATAAACATGTAGAGGAGTTAAATTCATACTTGGACCAGAAAGGTATTCCATATAAGTTCAATGAAACTATAAAGTTTAATACTTCTCGTTGGATAGTAGGATGGAGATTTGAACCTTTTATATTTCGTATTCAGAAGTATATTTCACCATTAATATTGTGTGATAATAAAATTATAAAAAAGTTAGACCATCTTCTTCTTAACCTAGATGAATACTTTTCTAAACTCCGAAAGAAATCTCACGATAGATTTGAATATAGAATATCGAGAGTTTATCATAATAAAAATATATGTTACATCCGGACCAATGAATACGTCTGGTTACGAAGAATACGTCGATTGATTGAAAGAGGCGGCGAAGAACTTGAAAAGCAAAATCTTTTTAATAAAGACGTTTTAATACGTGTATATTTGTTCAATGATAAAGTTGACATAAATGTACTTACTACAGATATAGCGGATAAGGATGTTACCATTCATTCTAATAGTATGAATTCATTGTTTAAATCTTTTGATGAGAATTAATGTAACATATTATTATAATCATTAATCTAGAAAATCTTTGCTTTGACGGTTAGGCTGACGGAAGGAACGGCTGGGAAGCAGCATCCGTAGGGAGCAAGAGAAGAACAAGAAAATTGCGCACGACATTTATTTTGTTTTTAGTAAGAAATTACATAATAATAAAAATATTAATAAGTAAAATAATAAAATGCGACAGTAGCTTTGGGGAGGGAAGGTAAAGAAGACTGATGTGTTCAAGCTGAGGAAGACACATTTCCATGATTTGAAATTCATTACTTTAAGTTACTAGTGAATGATTGGGTTAAGTGAGAGAATTTAGGAAAGTTTAGCCTGAAGCAAACAAAGTAAAGCAAACATACACATCATCGGGATGTGGCTAGAAACCTAGAATGGTAATGGGTCAATCAGAAATGTCGCGGCAGTGGGTTATTTTTGTACTACATTTTTTCCTTGTTTTGTAAGACGGCTTACTCTTATTAGTTATCATACTCATTGCATGGCATATTGTCATCTCTTAATGATGCTTACACCGGGTACCACCAACTGCAATTATAAATAGCATTATATAATCCGTATATCTATCTCTAACTTTTGTTTCTCACTTTTTTTAAAGCTTCTAGTTGCAATTATAATTAAAGTCAACTTCTTAGTATATTTTTGCATCTTCTTTATAGCTCCATATTGGGAAGTATCATCAACCTTATAATTACTAATTATCTACAATATGCTCCTTTCAACTAAAATTTTTAAGAAGGCTCAAAAATTATACTACGCATACATTTACAATTCTCCTATACCTGTATTATCATCAGGAGAAGTCTATGTATTTAATATTTGCAACTTAATATTATTACTTATTGGTTTGTACTACTTAGTTTTCATATTTCCACCAATACTTATTCATTCATTAGAATCATTATATTACTATTTAACTGGTAATTTCATTCAATTAAATATATTCATATCTTCATTCGTTGTATTCAATTATTCATCTAAATGGAATTTATTCAAAACCATTTTCAATTCTACTCCTAAGTCACACCCATCTACTGATCATACTTCCGCAGTTGCCGTCCAGAGTCATGTTTCCAATGCAACCAACTTTGGTACTACCTTGGCAGTCTCCGCTTTAGCTGCTGGCGGAATCGTTATGTTAGCCTCTAATGCTCCCAGAAATTAGTTATTCTTTGGCTCATAAATACTATTCTTAAGAGTAGCCTCAATTACTGGCAAGTTCAATTTTCCCCTCCGCTAAATTTTATGGAGAAGCTTTTTTTTTTTTTTGCATTATGGTATTAAATGTTTGGTATTATTTTATTTCGCTTTTTCACCCTTTATTAATGATTAGTTTGGTTTATTTAATGATCTTTCTTCTGTGTATAGTTTCCCTTCTTATCGTCATTATATTTCTTTGGTTTTATTTAACCATAAATTAATATTATATTATTACTACAAACTATATACTTACCTACCTCTTAAGCTTTTTTTTCTTCTCAGTAATTAGTTTAATGTGGGAGAATATAAGCATTATTAGAGTCCTATGTGTACTAGAGTTCAATTATGACCAAATAAGGACCAGTCTTTAACTTTAAAGTTCACACTAATCTGCCTAAACCACTCATAATTATATTTCAATCCCGTTACAATTTCATTATTTGAGTGATGATTTATTTTAATACTACTAAGTAAATCTTCAAGATCTACTTCAGTTTCAATTGGGATATCTAATGTAATTAATACATCAGTCTCTACTTTAGGTAAACGAATTAAACTAATGAAAGTGACATATTTCAAAGGTGAACCTTCTTCTTTAGCATCTCTACGTTTATTGTCATATTCAATAACACTTAAATAAATATCATTATCCAACTCATCCTTAATTTGCTCAATATAATGGTTAGTTATTTTCTCATGATCTTCTTCAATTAAGTCTTCAATATGTGTAGCAATTGCCTTATTATACGATTCTTCTGGAACAATCTGGAGTAAGGCAATTATTAAAGATCTATCGTACTTAGAAGATTTCGAAGGAGTAGGAATTATAAATACTTCTTGTGAATCAGGTACTTGTCTAAATTTTGATGCATCAAGTGCTGAATAGGCTATCTCTTCCGATAATTTAATTTGAATTGCTCCTCCATATATTGATGATGAAACTAATGACATATTGATTTTCCCGATTCAATTACCTTACAAGTCTCTTACTTACTTGATAATTTCCTAAATAGATATAGATCCACTTCATCTTTAAAGGATTCTCCTGATGCTTAAATAAAAATCCCTATGCAGTACATTGAATCTAGGATCCGGCATATAATCGAGGTCAACAAAAAAATAAATTTCAGTGTATATTTCTGAGTTGATCGAACCAACATAGAATCAGTTAGAGGGTCAAGATCCATTTGCATACTAACAGTTTATATCCATAGCAGATCTCGATTGAGTAACCTCGATTGAGTAAGTGATAAATATTTGTTAGTACTGCCATACTTTTTTTTTTGGCTGTTACACGTACACTTCTTTCTTTCTGCTCAAATTCGAGGGATAATACTAAGTCTGTACTTGATCAGTAAAGTATTGGTAGAACATATACTTCACTGTTTGGATTTAATTCACTCATAAATCATATTTGCATCTGACTAGTTAGTTTTGTTTAATCTTTCTTGGTCCTATTTTTGTTTCGATCATTATTATCTCCATTCATACTCCTTTCCAGTCATATTTATCTTGTACATTTATCTTCAATTCAGATTAATATCATTTTCAGTTTCATAGAGTATTTCAAAAGTAATATACCTCAGTCATAATTTTACAATGGTAAATTATTTTGCAAATAGAAAGAGACCGATAATCATAACGGTGATTATAATTGTACTTATTATTGTCGGTACGAAGATATCAACATCAAAGAATAGTGGAAAAAATTTCCAAGAAGTATTACAAAATATTCCCAATGACAATATATTAGGGTTATCAAAACTAATTTATAATGAAAATGAAAAAAATCAGGATGAATTATTCAATAGATTAGAAAAAATGAATAGAAAAATGTTACAGAATCAAGAACAGTTGTTATTAAAACTAGCAAAGCAAAATGAACAACTTTTACAAGAAATTAAATCATTAAAGAAACCACCAGTTCAAGCATCTATTAGAGAAAAATTGGTGTACATCTATCCTTATGATCCAGATGTGAAATTTCCAGCTTATATTTGGCAGTCATGGAAACATGGCTTAAATGACGAAAGATTCGAGGAAAATTATAGAGAAGGTGAAAGACAATGGGCTTGGAAAAATCCAGGATTTGTACATGAATTATTTAATGATGATACTGCCCACACAATGATAAAATATTTGTTTCGTGAAATACCAGAAGTTATCGAAACTTATGAAGCCTTACCTGAAGTAATTTTAAAAATGGACTTTTTCAGATATTGTATTCTTTTCGCAAAAGGTGGTGTTTATGCTGATATAGACACACTTCCAATTCAACCTATTCCTAATTGGATTCCTGAAAATGTTAGTCCTGAGGAATTAGGTATGATCATTGCCATTGAAATTGATTCATCATCCCCTGATTGGAGAACTGATTCAGTAAGAAGATTACAATTCGGACAATTCGTCATTCAAGCTAAACCAGGACATCCAGTTCTCAGAGAAATGATTGCAAATATTATAGAATCAACCCATCATAAACAATTATTATTAAATGACAACGAGCATTTGAAATTACAAGGATCTTCAAACAAAAAGATTTTGGAGATTTCAGCATGGACTGGTAGTGCAGCTTGGACAGATACCGTTCTCAGATATTTTAATGATTATTTACAAAGTTCAATTTATCAGAAAATGACTTGGAAAGATTTCCATCAATTAAAGATTCCAAAATTAGTAAGTGATATTTTAGTATTACCAATAAATTCATTTGCCTCTGAAGCAGAAATTTCAAATGATGGTAAAACTGATGATCCATTAGCATTTGTCAAGCATTATGCTGCCAAGATTTGGAAAACTACTTGAGGTACTTTTGTTTTGTATATTTTCTTCATTATAATTATAATTATAAATATTTGTATATTCTATATCAAAATTGCGTTCCCCTTTTAAGCGAGGAAAAGCATTTTGCAACCTCAATTGGCGGCTAAAAAATCTCACCTTTTAAATTTATACGTTTTCCTCTTTTATTAGTCCTATTGCTACCATACTATCGTCTATCATTAATAAGCATTATTATAATATATTGTGATTTGAAAGAATTCCATTACTAGAATTTTCATTGCATATTGCTACCAATTCCTAAATAAATCATTTGCTTAATAAATGAGCTATCAAAGGCATCCACCACAACAACCAAGATCAACAGCCTATAGAATCCCAAAGCCAACACATGCTACTGAGACGATAGATCAGAATAATAATTATAGTGCACGATATGTTACAACAAATAATTATAACTATCCATCTCAGGTAAACACTTCCTCTAGGGATCATCATGATCTGGACGAAGAAGTATATCAGTGGATTAGCTCCACAACCTCAGATATAATCAATGACCCTCCTGTTGAAGAAAATTTTGTGAATCAAAGTCATATTGATACTCCTCTTTCAGCCAACTTATCTCAGTATGAATCACCAAGTGCATCTAGCTCAACCAGGAGTTACCACAACTATCAAAATGTGGTGAATACTCGGAGTAATGATAATATGATGAATACAGTATATCAATCTACAGGTTCACAACAACAATTTCTGCAAGCACCTATTCCTACTAATCAATATAATTATTATCATTCACAATACCCCAATAATAATGTTGTAGAGGATAATTCATTGCTTTCTCCAGTTGGGCCAGTGTCAGGCTACTATGACATTCCTTCAGTAACTCAATATTCCCAACCTGTTTCAAATGTCCGATATGATATTCCTTCAGCAACTCAACATCACCAACCAATTTCAGATGTTATGCAATTAGGTAGTACTAGGAATAATTTTGCAGCATATGGTAACAATTCCCAATTTGAAAGCGCGCACAATAATTTCCCTAGAGTGCACAATAATTCGCAGCCATCTGAATTAAGTTACGCTTCTTGGAATTCCAATACGACATTTAGGGAAGTAAATACAAGGTATGGTAGTCCTAAGGATGAAAATACTAAGCAGGGAAAACTACAAGAATTATATTCAGCTTATAAACTGGTACAAGAGTCGATTGAGAGTTTTATAAATTCTGACACTATTTCTAATATAAACCAAGTTTTAATAAAATCCTTAAATAAAGAATTGATTAGTTCTACAAATACTTTATTGAAAGCTATTAATAGTGAAGAACCATTTGTGATATTTAAAAACGAAATTCTCAATCGTATAGACTTTGGTAATTTGATTGTAGAAGAAACTATGTCTTTGCTAGAAAGAATCAGAAGAACCAACAGTATGCCAACTATTAAGCCACGCATATATTCATCTGATGAAGTTGACAATATTCACTTATTTAGTGAACCACATTCAAGAAACACTTCTGCTCAAGCTAGTAGTCTGTTAGTTTCTCAAGTTAGAGTCGGGCCTGATCCAGTTCCTTCTATAGTGAATTCAGTTCCTCAAATTAGAATCGAGACTTCTAGAGAGAATCATCCAGTTCCTCCTGTTGTTAATTCCGTTCATCTTGTTCCAAATTCCGTTCACACTGTTTCAACCTCTTCTGATTCAAGACTTCCAAATTATGGTAGTTTACTTCAAACAGGTAATAATTCTCATGAAGGTCATCGTGCCAAGGTAAGTAATGAGGATCAACAAGCTACTCAAACAGTTGTTGATGAAGAACCAAATGACAGCGAATTAAATACCAAATCAGATATTGTTGATGAAGATGGGTTCACATTATATGTTCCTCGCAAACACAGGAACAATAAGAATTATCCTCCTAGAGTTGAATTTATGGGGAGATTGGCCAATCAGTCTACTGAAAGAAACGGCAGTGTAACTGATGATCTTATTTCTGAAGTACAACTGATCACAACAGAAGGAATATCAAGGTCTGAGGAAAGAGTAACCGGGTCAACTGTGCCAGTATCAGAAGATCAAGAAAGTAATAATAAAACAATCAAGATGTTGATAAAGAAGAAGAAGATCCTGATGCAGTAGATTCAGCTACTGAAAGAAAGAGATTCAGAAATAGAAAGAAGAAGTTAAATAGAAGGAAAAGAAATGCAGAAGCCAAAGCTGCTGAAGAGGCAGCCTAAGCAAAAGTCATAGCAAGAGCAAAAATGAATTCAGTTTTTCTTAAATCTTCACGGATTTCGTTTTCTTTTCCTTTCTTGCCTATGCTTTCTATCGAATTTTTTTCCTTTAATTTATCTTCCTTTAATTTAATTATATACATATGTTATAACAAAATTCTCTATATAGAATTAAAAATATGTTAACTATCTAAATCTATAAAACTTTAAAATTCTTAAGTAGAGACCTTGCTAATTTCCTTTGGAAAGATTGTGCTTTCCTTTTCCTTATCAAACTTCTTATCTTCGCCATAATTGTTCCAAGTATTGTATCCCCAATTATCAAAATTATAGAAAGTAGCTCTTTCATATGGAGTTAACTCTAAACCATCTCTTAATCTTTTAACAAGATCTGGGTTGGAAATGTAATATCTTGAAAATCCTACCAAGGTACGATCATCATCAATATCCTTTAATAAAGTCTCAAACTCTGGAGCATCATATGTATAACTACCAGCACGAATGAATGTTCCCTTCCAGATGTATGAAGCAAATGAATTATCTCCAACTTGTTTGTCCTTAGCCACATCATGACTAGCTTGAACACGAGGTTCTACAAGAGAGACGTAAGCTAATTTATTACCTGCATCAGCTCTCTTTTGTAATTCATGTAAAACATAACTAAAAGTAGTAATAGGATGAACAGTATCTTCTTCAGCCAACATATTTTGGAACTTAGCCCATGGTGAAAGTCTAATTGCCAATCTATCAGCTCCAACAATTGGAATTAACTCATCAATAATTTCTAATACGATTCTTGCTCTATTTTCAACGGATCCACCATATTTATCACTTCTTTGATTGGTTGATGGTTGAAGGAATTGATCTAACATATATCCATGAGCAGAATGAACTTCAACATAATCAAATCCAGCAGCAAGAGCATTTCTAGCTGCTTTGGGATATTGTACATGAATTATATCATAAATTTCTTCTTCAGTTAAAGCACGTAATGGATTTCCTGATTCCTTAGCTGCTTGTTTGGATTCTTCAGTATAATAAACTGGTGATGGAGCCACATAATCTAACCCTTCTTGTTTAAGAATCTTAGGGTCAGCAACTCTTCCTTGATACCATAATTGAATTGCTGAGAAAGATTTATTAGCATGGATCTTATCATTAATCTTTTTCCATCCTTCAACATGTTTTTCAGTAAAAATACCTGGAACATTTGCTTCACCACCTGCTTGAGCTGAAGTAAAAGTTGCTTCAGTAGTTATTAAAGATCCAGGATATTGTGATCTATCACCATAATATTGATATTCTAAATCAGATGGTGTGTGATCATCTTGAGCTCTATATCTTGTGGTTGGTGCGAATACGATTCTATGATCTAATTCGTATTTACCCACTTTAATAGGTTTGAATAATTTAGTATCTTTTAAAGGCTTTGGAACTGTCATTATAATTTTTTGTTATACTACTTTCTACTTTTTACTTAAACAAATTCTACAACAACTACAGCCTATTTATAAGATATTTAACTACAATGTCTTTGACTTTGACTCTGTTGTTCGATTACTAATACAATATTTAACATGTGGATTTTGCGTTCACAATGGGCTGACTGCGACAAATTTGCACATTTTGGCAGATACACCGTTGAGGTTCAAAGCCCTGGAGTAATTGCGCTTAACCATGCGGACCACTTACTAATATATAATATATATAGTTTAATTAGTTTTTAATTATAGTATACTATATTAAAGTCGTTCTATTAATGACTGAATAATATATACTCTAAAATGCATTAATGATCTATTCATTCTTTCTAGTAGCAGTTACTTTTGGAGCTCTAAAAATAACCCTAAAGAGTTGGAATAAAATAATTCCAACTCCAAATAATACAGTAAGAATAGATATTGTACTTATTCTGTCTATGGAATCATTGGCATTAGGAATATTAACAACGATAGACGAATTAGATGTATGGTCTATATGATAAAACACAGTATCACCAGTGAAATATGTTTCGTAGTTTCCTCCAATGCTCAATTTTGTATCAAATGGTGATTTATCTAAGAGATAATCATCACGTACATTACATGCGTAGAACAATTGTGGTAATGAATTATGAATAACTGTGGAATTGGTAATATTACTGGGCAATTGATATCTAGAATGAACTGTAAATTCTATATTATTGGTGGTAATATTATCAAATTCAAAAAGTATTTCATTTCCCCATTCACTTATCTTATATTCTGGTAATTCAAGATTTGATACACCATTATTGACTATTAAATTAGCTCCAACTGGTATTGATTGATATTTATCAAAAATCAATGACTTGTTAAGGTTAATGTAATAGTATAACTTACACTCAATGACATCACTATCTTGCTTCTCTTCAAATGAATTAAAGGTAGACTTAATAATAGGGTGTAAACCATTTTCGACAATTCTGCTGTCCGATAAACCATCAACGATTCTGTGTCTTGGTTTAATATGAAATAATGTTTTAAAAATATACTCTTCATCCAGTTCTGCTTCTTCCTTATTTAGAATTGCTCTTATGCCTGATAAAACAATATCATCTGGAGAGCTAATCACTTTATCAATGATGAATAAACCTATCTCTTTACGTATATTATCTTTCAATTTAATTGTATAATCGGTGGAATATGGTAAATGGGCAAGTTGTTTAAGGACAATTGATGCATTTCCTTCACTGTCATCGTTATTGAAGAAAATATCATAAGTGTGACTGTCTACTAAGTCATCAACTTGACTAAACCAATCAAGACTCAAGGTTCTAGGAGACTCATCATGATAGTAAAGTGAATTGGTGATTCTTATCCAATTTTCACTCTTAACATCTATATTTAATAAATGTTGCAAGAGATCATTGACTTGTTCATAGAATTGAGCTTGCTGTTCTTGATTATGAACATTCTTTGGAAGTATATAGATGTTAGTTCCATGATTGAATTTATAAGTAAACACAACATCATCAGTTACAGATTCATCAGATGTTTGAATTCTAACTTGCTTAATTAAATTATATTGAGATATAAGAGTTTGATCTAATGGTACAGTTATCTTGTTCTCCACAATAAATGGAGTCGTACTGTTATCAGCCGATCCAGTCTTGAAAACAACTTGATTTCTTTCGATACTTGACACTACATCATCATTACTTTCATTGGGATTGAATATAGTAGTTCGTTGTTTTATCATTTGTGAATGTGTTTCTGTATTAAATTCACCAATAATTATAATTAGTTTAATTACAGTAACTGTTAGTTGTATAGTATATAATATAGTATACTATAATATTTCAGATTATCTTGAGAAATGTCGGCTTATATAAGCGGACCGACATCCGACAATAGACCGCCGTTTGCATTATTTCTTTCTTTTTTTTGTTATTTACAATTATTTAAAGTTTTTAAACTAAAACTTAATAAGTCAGCAGCAGTTCTTGGCGACCAACAATGAAGGGTGTCAAATTGGTTGCAACTTGTTTGTTTGCCTCATTGGGATATTGCGCTAGCATTGGAAATGACTTTTTAATATTTGGTAAACGAGAAGATGCAATCGGTTGTAATGCTGCTTGTATGGAAGCCACTAATACCATCAATAGTAACTGTGAACAATATCAAGATGATTCTAATTATCTTTCATGTATATGTAATATTAGTGATGAAGGATTTTGGAATAATGTTGGAAGTTGCGCTTGTCAAGGAGATCCTAGCGAATCTCTTAGTGCAGAAAGTGCTCTGATGAATTATTGTATGGATGTGGGACTTTATGAATCTTATTATACTTATGAAGGTGGAGATTCAGATTATACTGGATTTGGAAATTATGATGATATAACTTTTGAACCTTCTCAATCTTATTATGGTGCTTCATTCTTTGGAGAATCTTTTGTTGAAGCTTCTGCTTATGCAACTGATTATTATCCTGCTGTAACAGATTTATCTATCGATGAAACTGATTCGGAAATTGATTCACCAATCGAAACTGGTATTGGTTATCCTGGTTATACCAGAACTTTAATTGCTTCTCAAGCTCCTGAACCTTTGGTATATGATCATGGTAATACTGGTTATGGTACTGGTTATGGTACTGCTTCTGCCTTTGTTTCTCAGGCCGTTCAAGACGAGGCTCAATCAGGGGCTTATACATCTAGTGGCACCCAAGGAAATTCAGTCAGTTCTGTAGTTACTTCCCGTACTATTTCTAGTAGTGCTAGCTCAAGTTCTTCTGAAAGGAGTAGTACAAGCAGCAGAGAAACTTCAAGTACTTCTAAAACCCAATCATCAACTTCTGCATCGACTTCTGCATCAACTTCAACTTCAACAACTGCAAATTTTGCTCATTCAGTCTCTGTTGGTGGACTGATCTTCATTATCTTATTGGGATTCTTATAAACTCAATAAGTAGTGTCTGTTTGATTTAGTATCTGCATTCAATCAAAAGTTAATAAAAATTGGAACTGTATTATATACAATTTAAATTAATGCATTAATAACTATAACTACATGTATATATGTCAAAAATAGTATGATTCTTCTAATCTCTATAATTCATCCCTAACAGGATTATTCTTATTATACTCAGCTATAATATCTGCGCCAGGAATAACTACCTTATATTCAATAAATAAATCACCATATTCTTCACCAGTACCATCATGATCATGATCTTCATAAACAGGCATACCTTTTCCTTTTATTACTTCTATCTCACCATGGGTAACTACTTGTCCCTCTTTTCTAGAAAGTTTAATAGTATCTTCAGTATCATCAAAGAATTTCAAAAGTCTCAGCCATCCTCCTGTTATAGATTCATTTAAGGTTAATACTTCTGTTCTGTATAAATTATTGTTAATTCTTCTATATCCCCAACCTTTGGAGAATTCTTCTCTTAAATTTATAATAAGATCACCTGGAACTAAATCAGGATGTTTATCACCTTCTCCATGAAGTACAATATTAGAATCTCTAGGTTGACCAGGTTTTACATAAACTTCATAATGCCTTTGACCATTCTTGACTCCATGACCATGACATGAATTACATTTATTGGTAATAATTTTACCCTTTCCACCACATTCATCACAACCGGTTCTGACTTGTTGAAACATTCCTGGAGCCAATTGATGTCTTATAGTCATGTAACCAGACCCATCACATTTCCTACAAGTATGAGTCTTTTTATCTTTTGAACCGGTACCATCACATACATCACAAATATTTCTCATTTGAAGATCGAATTCCAATAACTTACCATTATAAAAATCCTTTAATTCAACATTCATATTAACTTGAGTACTATCACCTCTTCTTTGACCCGGTTGACCACCTTGACCTCCAAAGAAATGACCAAACATATCACCAAAATCAAATTGCTGTGGTTGAGGTCTACCATTTGGATCACCAAATTGATCATAATTAGATCTCTTTTCTGAATTTCCCAATACTTCATAAGCTTCACCAACTTCTAGAAACTTTTCATGAGCTTCTTCATTACCAGGATTTTTATCCGGATGATATTTTAAACTTAATTGCTTATATGCTGATTTGATCTGTTTCTCATTAGCATTCTTATCAACACCAAGAATCAGATAATAATCTTTATTTGCCATGGCAAATGTTATTATAAACAAACTAATGCATAGTATTATTGAAAGGACTCTCATTATAGATCTTACTTAAGATCACCAGCTAATTCTAATGGAATAACAGAGTATATTTAATTAATTAGTTACACACCCATGTCTCGAAATTTTTCATTACACGTCAACATTTCGCTTGGTGATTATTGCGGTGAGGATGTGAATCCATTTGTGTGCGTGCTTGTGCACGTGACTTAATCGGATTTATCAATTCTTATATATAACATTCCAACCCACTTAAAACTTTAAATTACTTAACTAAAGTTATAAGTTAATTCAAGTGGTTAACTATAATACTAATTAACAGAACTACAGGACCTAACAAGATTAACCATTCAAAACAAAGCTTGTCCAGGTGAAAGAAGATCCACCGAATGGAAGCTTCTGATTTTGTGATGCTCCATTGTTGAGATTGAGCTGAACCGGACTTGGTCCCCACCCACTTTAAACATCGGATGTAGTAGCTGGTAACTGGTGACTTGTTTTTAATTCGTAGTCGGTGATAAAGTGCCGAAGGCCATAGTGTCGTTTTGTAGTGAGTAGAATTTCGTCGCATTTCAATTTCAACTATCACGAATTTCCAGGGTTACAGTATAGTGACTTTGACCATACGCATCTCTCACCGAGACCCCACATTTTTACGAGATCTTTCTTATTTATCGATTGTGAAATTTGTCGTATCATCCATATACACCTTTAAGATATTGGACTTCAAAATGTCGCTACACTGGTTATATTTACCAGTCTCTATTCGACTCATATCTAAAGATGAGACTCATGCTGTATCTGGTATACATCTTATATTGAGACTCAATAATAGTGTTAAATGTGATTTTGTACTTACTATTAATTATATACCGAATGTCGAATCTTATAAGATATTAATAAGTGATGGACCTGATATTGATAATGACCATTCTAATACTAAGGATATAGTATCATGGTATCCTGGTAAAGTGGATGAACATATTGGACTTTGTCATTCCCAGAATCAACTTCGGAAATATCTTAGTTACTTCAAAAGAAATGGATTTAATTTGATACCGTATGATATTGCTAATGGGAATCGAACTAGAAATTTTGAAAATTTGGAACTTGTGAAGATTAATATTTTAGATGGGGATTTTAAGTTAAAGTTAATTAATCAACTGTCTCTTTATAAATCTATTTCATTTGATAATAAAGTGTATAAGGGTTTACCAATTACAATTACTTCAAGTCCATTTAATTTTACTAATTCAATGATATTCGCTAACTTTTTATCTAATGGATCAATTAATTATATATTTAAAGATCAAATAGGTTATCTATCCGATATTAAATATTTAGAGAATATGTTAGGTGGAGTAGTTCATAATTCAGAAAATAATATGTCAATTGGACTTGTAATGGGGAGTATTAAGAAATTAAATGGAGATGGAGATTTAACATTTATATTATCTTGGGATATTATATGGAATAGTTTAATAACTTATGATAAACGGATATGTCATTATTCTCCAGTATTATTAAAGCTTAATAGATTATCATCTATTGCATCTATAGAATCTACTTCAACAATTATAAATCCTTCAGTATTTCCTATAACTATTAGAAATACAAGATCTTCATCTTGGGGGTCTTGTATATATTATAATGATACTACAATTATAACCAATTTCCATGTATTACAACCATTCATTGGTAAAGAAAATATTCGATGTGAAATATATCTTTCTAGTTCATTAATATTAACTATTACTAATGATGATGAGATTATAACTCCATTTGATGGTATTGATTTATCATTTATAAAGTTATGTCCCAGTAATATATTCATTCTTCATTCCAAAAGTTCATTAAAACCAGTAACTAAATCAGAATCTTATTCAATAGGTCAAAGGGTTTGTAGTAGAGGATTTGGATTATTTAATAATTTAACTCATATAAGTCCATTACAATCGGAAGGAATAATTAATTCCAAAATTTTATTACCTCTCACTAAGAAATCTCCTAAAACTTCATGTATGATAATTACTTCTTCATCATGTTGGAATGGATCTTCAGGTGGTGGACTATTCTTAAAGAAATCTAATGATTTTATTGGATTAATATGTTCCAATGCTCAAATTAAAATCCCTAACTTATTAGATGAGAATTATGATCCTAAAGCCAGAATTAAATATCCTGATGGTAAAGATGATGATTTAATTGAAAAATTATCTAAATTCTCTTTAGTATTACCTATTGAAGTAATTGATTATTGTTATAATCATACTATTTTCAAACTGCCTCAATCTACTATATTAATTCCAGAAATTGATTCTAGAATTAAAGATATTTGGCAATTAAAGGGTTTTCATCAAGATATAGTTATATCATCTACAAAGTTATAGTATTTATAAGTTACCAGTATATATTTGTTATTAATATATTAATACATATAATCATAGAGTCCTGGATATATTACAAACGTTAATGTAGATATAATAGTTCGTTAATAAGTTTCATAAGAGCATAAGTTTTATTTGTGGTTGTGGTTGTAGTTATTTCCTCATAACATTAGGTATCAAAGTTTTAAGAGACCTTGCATCTTCTCCCAATTCATTAGACCCTGTAGCTCCACTAAGAGATTCACTCAGTTTAACTCCTTTAGGTAGAATAGGAGGTAATAAGAAATCACTAGTACTTGTACTAGTACCAATAATAGTTGCGTTGGACGGAGCCATTATATCATTTGCACTATTCGAATTACTATTGTTTAATGATAAAGAAGATGATGATAAGATTGGAGGAGGAGGAGGATAAGTTGCATAGGAATTATAATAGCTAAACTTTCCATTAGAATTATTACCATTATTATTATTAATGCCTGTGGTAGTGTTATTATTGTTGATGTTATTATTATTAATATTATTATTAATATTATTAATATTATTACTACTAGGAGTAGGAGTAAGATTAGTAGTAGTATATACTGCATTAGGACCGGAAATTATTGGAGAATTTTGTACTTCAATACCTGAATGACCATGAGAATTGGCAAGAACTCCAATAGTAATTGAATTAGATCTTCTATAACCTCCAATATTACTATTATAATCATTATAATTGTAAGTATTGTTTTCCATTTGTCCAAGATAACTTGAACCACTTGAATTAGAAATTTGATTAATACTATGAGAATGATCTTCTTTATTAAGTTTAGAAAATTCATCTTGAACCATTTCATTAGTTAATTTATATAAATTCATCTTTAATACTGCCAAATTATTAATCATTTGAGTTCCTACATTATTTATAGTAGTATTTGTACTAATAGCCATACAATTTGCTTGAATTGCTTCAGTGATAAAATCCAGCCAACCATCAAATATTGTATTAAGTTTATTATTTAACATCATAAACCATTTACTATTAAATACAAATTCATCTTGTAAATTAGAATTTGAATTAGAATTTGAATTAGAATTAGTTTGTCCAGTCAGAGGACTTAATGATGGAGAATTACTTGAAGTATTTGAATTATTAATGGAAATATTTGAAGATGAATAAGTATCAATATTTAATTTTTTATTTAAACTTGATTTATTATCCAATAATAAATAAACTAAATTTTGTAAAATATAATTAGTATTAAATGATTCATTATTATTCCAAATTATAAATAATACTTTTGCCATAATTAAATACCATTCATAAATAAATACTGCAATACTATTAATTTGAATAAGATTTAATTTTTTAAGATTTATTATTCCTAAATTTAAATAATCTGCAAAAAATATTATGGGGAAACTAATAATACTTAAATTATTATTTATATCAATTGGATTTGCTTTATAATTTAAATAATTTTTAATATTATTATCAATTAATATATGACGATTAATTAAAAAATCTCTTAATGTATGATTTATAGGAAAATTTAAATTAATCTCTTGAAGAGTTAAATTTAAAAGATCCCAATTAAAATAACTTTGAGGTATAAATAAATAATTATTTAATAATTCATGAAATTTTGTTGGTGAACTAACAATAATATTTTTTTTAAATAATTCAAATAATTTAAGATCTGATGAATTTATTTGAATTAAATTTCTATTAACATGATGAATATTAATAGATTTATTTATAAGAATAACAGAATTATGTAAACAATTCTTTGAATTAAATACGAGAAAATTCTCTCCACTATTGTAATTTTTTAATTCATTAGATAATGTAGAAATTATAATCATCTTTAGAAAATCCAGTTCTTGTTCTAAATTTATAAAATTCTTAGAAAATCTACTCATTAATGTTAATAAAGTTTCACTTCCTTTAACTTGTTTATTTAAAAAGAATGAATAGAATTTTGGAGGAGTTGATTTTAAATAATTGGAAATTAATATATATATATTCCAAAATAAATTAACATTTAAATCAATTAAATTTTCATTGGCACTAGTTAAATCTTTTAAATTTGATATTATTATAAAACTTATATCATTAAGATAATTTAATATTATATCATTATTTATAAATGTATCATCTTCTTCCATTGATGTTGAAAGATTGGTAAATGATTCAAGATTATATTCAAGATAAATAAATGATAATAAATATAAATTATTAAGGATTTCAATTTGATCTAATAAATTATTATTATTATTATAACTAGGAATCAATTTTTTAATTAGTAAATTCCATGATTTTTTAAAGAATAGTATAGATTTTGTATAATTCTTATTGATTACATAACCCATGGAGATAATGGAGTAGATTATACCAATTTTGAAATGACTCGGATGATTCAACTGTTGTTGTTGTTGTTGTTGTTGCAGATTATGGGAATGACTTGTTTGCATACCATTGGACTGAGGAGAAGAAGAATTCTTGAAACTATTATTTGACTTACCATTACCATTTGAAAAGCTATTCAAATTGAAAATTAAATCCTTCAAAATCTTATCAAATACAAGGTAATTAGATGAAGATTCTAGTAAATGAATATATCCAATGAGGAAATTATCATTAAGCGAATGAATTTCATTAGATCTATCGAATTTATTTAATATTGTTTCCAATTTTTTTGTTATAGAAAGTAAATGTATTAGATCATGATTTATTATATCCTTATTAGATGTGGTAGTAGTAGATGTAGTTGTTATTGAAGAAGAATTTGAATTGGTTGAAAATGATGAGAATTGATGATTAGTTGGACTAAGAGTTTGTTTATGATGATCTCCATGATCTGAAACTGATCTCTTTCTCTTTTTGGAATGATTATTATTATTATTACTCATACTTCTTGGTTCTATTGAGCTAGTATATTCATCAAGGCCTATATTGGTTGTACTAGGATTCGTATTTATATTATCGGTAGGTGATAAAGGTTCATTTGATTCATTCATAATATTATGATTTTCTTCAATAACGGAGCTAGAAGATGATGAAGACGTTAAAGTGGTGGGACCTGCCGCACCATTCTTATTGTTGGTATTATTATTAGTAGTGCTAGTGGTGGTAATAGTAGTAGAATCATTCAAGATAGTTGAACTAGTAGTTGAACTAGTAGGATTATTTAGGGATTTATTGGTTGGTAAACTATTAGGGTTTAATTGACTATTATGAACAGTTCTACAATGTCTTTGTAATAAATCTCTTCTTACAAATGATGAAGTACAATGTAGGCAATGGAAAGGTTTCTCATTAGTATGAGACCGTTCATGACGTTGTTTGTGTTCAGATCTGGTGAATGCTCTGGCACAAAAGGCACATATATACTTCTTTTGAGTTGCCATTTTAAATTATATGGGGTTAACTTCGCTAGTCTAGTTTATGCTAAATCCAGGGAATGAAAATAAACGAAATATTTCTTAAACTATATGGAGTGCAGCCAGTAAAGATATTACCTAGCACTTATAAATTCTTGCACCTTCCTATCAGTAGAAATTTTAAATCGGTGAGTGGTGGGATGTGTCAATGGAAATGGATGAGATGCGTTGCAAAGTATAGGAGATCTATAACCTGATAGTCACCTAAATTTACTATATAAAACCGTCAGGTTCAAAATTAAACAGAAGTTCGGTACGTGCTACAAATTACTAGTTAATTAGGAATTTTAAATATATATATAGATAATTCAACAACAGTTGTGAATTAAATTTTATGGCTAAATGGAAATTAGAAGACACGGCAAAAAAAAAAAATTAAAAATTAATGAAAAGTGGAGGGGGTGCCAAAATAAAGTAAGTGGAGTAATTATGCAGGAAATCAGATTCTTAATGGAAAAAGAAAAATACCCCGCAAAGTCAGACATAAAAAATACCTTAAAAAACAAAAATAAAAATAAAAATTTAAAGACATTTTACTGAGAGCTATATACGACATACTAATACTTAATCGTTTTCATCATGTTCCATTGTTCTCATACTCTGGATATAAGTACTTACCAATTAGGGGCATTGGTCCTTCATTATTAGACTCTATTGGTCAGTCTTTTCACAAAAGAGATTGTTCCAGAGTCTAGAAGAAAACCCGAAAAACATCCGCAGAAGCGAATATATTCCCCATGCTTGCTGTAGGGTTTGGGCTTCGCGGGTCGCAAATTGCGGCAAAAAAATTTTACTGAGCTCTAGTTATTCTCCAAAATCATGATACAACTGTTTGATAATTTGGATAGGAACTGCTGCTACTTTGACTTAATTATGAAATTTGTATATTACAGGTATTGTAGATATATGTTTACATTTCATTGAAGAAATCAGATGTGTATTATATTCCTAAATAATCACATTGTCATCAACAAGCCGCTCGCTAGCTCGCAAACCACTTCCCTCACTAAAATCTCGGTAGATCGTAAATCAGGAAAAAAAAAATTAATAAATTCAGATAATTCCCCTCCTAGCCCCTATAAGTATATAATCAACTACGCATTTATTCAGGTTTTAGTACTGCGAAACATTTTTAAATACACAAATTACAGCACGTCAATTTAACTTTTGTTTTATCACAATCAAAGTAACCTAGAGTATCCCGTGCTAATTTTACTACCCTCCTGCAAGACTCATGTTAGGTCGGCTTTCTTCTCCTAGGATGGTTAGGTAGTGGAAAAAGCATACTACCATTTGTACTCCAATTTAATACAAAGCTTCAGAAACCGGGTTCTTACTACAAAAGCAGAAATCAGTTCATGCACGTCTATCTCCTAAGCAACTTTGTAGTCCCAAAACAGCAAGAATTGCGCACATCTCATAGAATGCAACTTCTGCGTTTCCCTCTTATGCAAGCTCTCATTTCATGTTTACTCCTCTTTTTTTTAAAAGTCCAATGACTTATAGCTAAAACACTAATTCTTTGGGATGGAGGATTATTATATGTCATAACTCAATTGAGAATTTCCCAAAAGGAACTGAGTAAGTCAACCTGGTGACAGAGAATCAGTTTAGCTTTTTTCTTAGCATACTCCGATTAATTTTCAGCCTCTTACCCCTCCCTCATCGACTTTAAAGATTATCTTTAGCGTACATGCTGTAGTTGTTTAGATACCGCCACAACTCCGTCAATAAAAGTAGCAACTCTTGTTGATAACTATGCAGCCTATAAAAAGATATTGCTTGTGTCATTAGTTGCCAGTGAGAGAATTTTCTTTGCCTTGACAGAAGCATTTGATTAAGCAGCGAAAGCTCCTAATTACACAGCGCAAAAAGCTATAACGCAAACACACTTGTGTACCTTCTTAAACAATCTACCTTTTCTAAATAATGCTTATTGTAAGAGAAGCTGCTCAATCTTGCTTGGTTACAGAACGTTTCTTTTTCTTCTTACGGAGTACCCCACGACATGAAATACTGAAAATATTTTATTTTCCAAACTTAGTATGTATATAGTCAAATGACATTGTGAGCTTCTCTTAAATCCCCACTTGACAATAATGATTTATCCCCTCTATAAGTCATGAGCATGATGTCTATGCCGTACTTTGAAATACAGTACTTATTTGTATAACCCCTCCATGCATTCAATCATCTCCGTGATCTCCAGTGCGAAATGATGTATCATCGCAGGAACTACCTACCCTGCCTATTTGCGGTTCACTGATTCCCTTACCTTATCATATTGTATTGCAATTGAGCATCGAACCATATTGGGTGATTAAGCTCATTATTATTAGCGCAATTGCAGAGTATTATTCAAGCATCTATGACACAAGAAGTATGTACAAAGAAAGTTAAAAATATGAAGCACCCCATAATTACATTTGCATGGCTGTAATTCAAATCTTGGCCCTCGTTACATGGTGATATTGTCTATATTTTGAATAATTTTCTATCATTGTTTGTTGTTTTGTTCTTCCGATGTAACATCCCCAAGATAAACCATGCGGCTAGATGAATCTATTATTTTCTCCCCTTTTCTACTACTCCATTTTTCGCGCTGCTTATCTGAAGCTAAATTATATCAGAGTCTTGATTCAGTAACAGATCAACCACAAAGCCTTGCCCATTTTAACCATAGCCTTGCCCATTTTAACCATATGTTTTGGTTGTAAAATTTCCAGAATTGTTGGAAGCTATCATTATTGAGATCAACATTTTAGATTACTGATTTGTTCTATCGTGTGAATAGTTATCTCCATATTTAATAAATTCACTTGCATAAAAAAGTTAAAATATAGTTAAAGGAGCCGGAGTTTGAGATAGAAAGAGTCAATCCATCTTTGTGTTATTTGACTTCCAATATTAAGATAAAAATATTATCTCTTAGCGCTTACCCGTATGCCTCAGAGTGGGGCAATTATGAATTTCATTCTCAGTGATGAGTTTGTGACTTAATGTTTTGTAATTATATACATTTATCCGAAAATTATAATACAACAAAAGTTAACGAGTAATTATTAATTTTTAGTGGATTAGATGATAAGTTATCCTTCAGAATTATAATTAGCAATCTAATGTAGTTGAATATTTAAAAGATCTATCACATTCTTAATAAGCTAGCCTTACCCCACTCCTTTCTTAATAAAGAATGTTTCGGAATCACTAACTTGTTATTTTTCGAGTCAAGCTTTCCCCCGCTAGAAATGGAAATCCACTAGAGCCCAACTCGGTAATGTTTCCTTTCTTCCCTCTAGGTCGCCCCACTGCGATTCTGTGTCTCCAAATAATTTATTTTTGGGGTGCGGGTCCTCGCTCATCGTCGCACAAACTTCTTTTAATCCCCCGCAGGACTATTCATTATTGCGCTTTTTTGCGAACTTAAACAGTCGTGTGCTGACGATGATTCAACTCCTATTCATCATGTGGGTTTAGGAAGACCAACAATAATTCGCCCAACCAAAAGATTGAAAAGTTGGAGAAGTTGGAGAAGTTGGAGATTAGAAGTACATATACTCGTGTAGGTAGCGGAAGCCAAATGATTAAATTAGAGTAGACTCATACATGGTCGGTAAAAGCTTACACATACAATGATTTGCAACCAAAAACTTCTATTAAGTAACATAGTTATTATTCCTTATTTGCTATATACGTAGGCTTATTGTTACTTTTAAATTTTCTATACTCTTGTTCTCTAAGAACTAGAAGAATACTGCATAATTTCAATCCTTCCTCACTGATATCATCATTCTGATAATCAAATAATCTGAAAGTCCCATTCTTTAAAAAACTCTTCTTTAATTTGACATTTCCCTCATCTAAGTACTGACACATAGGAGTGTTGACTAATGGCTTATGCTCTTCAATTGAATTTAAAATTGCACGTCTATCTTGACTCTCTATCAACTTGAAAAATGTATTCGAGGTAGGTGAATTTTGTTTGAGGTTCTTGATTTGGTCTTTCTCATTAAATTCTAAATCATTACTTAATAACTCTGCATCTTTTCTCATTACAAAAGCCTTAATTAAACTGTTAGTACCAAACGTAGATGAAGTCCCTGTAACACCTATAATTCGGAAATTAGTATCATAGAGGTTGAAATCAACTGTTGGCGTGTGACTATTATTGTTCAATAAATGGACTGTGCTTGTAATTTCACCCTTCTCGTTGAAAAATTTCAAGATATAATAATTAACGTATGTCGTAACCACCTTAAAATACACTTTAACAAATTCATACTTCTCATTACATGTTTTGAATCGATATATCGATAAGATCGGCGAGTTAATCTTTAATAAGCCTAATTTAGATGAAAATGTTTGTAAAATTGGATGCTCCGTCAATGACCCAGTAGATTCATTAACGGTGTCTAAATATTTATCAAATGAATTGATTGATTTGAACATCATGGTTCCAGAATGAAAGAATGTTGATATTAATGGTAATTGTTTAACAGCATTATATTGTGGTAATGTACGCCCCATGATTTCTATCGGCTCATTATAAAGGGTGGTGGCATCAGAATAGAGTGATTCCATATCATTACTTGAATCAAGAGCCTGGTATGGACTATCAGTTCGAATTATACTAGCATTGTTCAATGGTGAATGTTGATCTTGATCAGTAACTAAAGTTGTTAGAGTCTCTTGACTATTTGATCTCACTAATACTGTAGATCGTCCAACTATATGATTATCATTACTACGAACATTGTTCACAGGAGATCTAATGGGCGTTCTACTCAGACTTCCGTTGACGTGACCATGGCTATTTCTCCGTAAGATATTATTGAACATTCGATAATAACTGATAGCTGCATGGTCCGATTAGCAGAGATTTCAAAAATAAAAATTATTCGCTTATAGTTAGGTCGTGTGCATGAACAACTGCACACTAAATTGTTACTAGTAACATAGTAGACTGCAACGGTCAGCTTTAAGTTGTAGATAATTTACTGCCGACAATAACAATGCGGCTGTATATAATAAAGCTAGCATGAGAAGCGGTTTAGTTTATAAATTTCATAATACGTCTCTGTTCTACATTTCTCACAATCCACTTCAATTAGCTAAAGAAGTGTAAGCAGATTTCACAATTTAGATATTTAGAAAGCCGATAGCGGTATTTACTCAATTTCAAATTAATTATAAGTTTAGTATAATAAATATACACATTATCCTATTTGTGTGGTAAGATATCTTTCGGAGTTGTCGTGGTGAATCCATGTGACACAAGATTAAGTATTGCAACGCATCCACTGATGTCTCGATTTCCAGCAGTTCTTGTTCCATATTCTATAATAACAGAGATATACGAGACTATTGTCTGTGTAGTTAAAGATAAACTAGAAAATATAAATCTGATTTCTTAACGGTTGCAACTACTTGTGCGTCGTACCCATTATGTGGCTCGCTAGAATTAAATTAACTTTGTGGATGACAATGAAAAAAGAATTAGGCCAAATTACGTAATTCTAACGATACTGCTAAAAGTGTCATTTATGACATTTAGCTCACGACTTTTCACTTTAGCTCATGTTAAATCCAAATGGCTTATGAATTACTGAATCACTCACTACAAAACATCTGCGGCGATATACTGATCCAACAATATACATTAACCAATAGTCTGTTTCAGCCCTTCGGTACACAATCTTCGGTGATTTTGACGTTATCGCAAAAGGTACCGAGAGAAAAAAAAGAAAAACATAAAGATCACCGGCTCGACACGGTCCCTAAATTTTTTTTTAAGCTGAGCCCTTTAAATAAATTGGCCATACTACAAATCTGCTATAACCAGTTCAGTTCAAAGCTAAATTAGGTAGAAAGTATCTTACAAAGTTTCATTATCATGTCAGGTGAAAAGCTAACATTCAAACAGCAGTTTCATGACTTCCCTGTCCGCCAAATGCTTATCATCTGTATCATTAGATTTAGTGAACCCTTAGCATTCACGTCTTTATTTCCATATTTATATTTTATGATACGTGATTTTAAAATAGCTGAAAGAGAAGAAGATATTTCCAAGTATAGTGGATATTTGGCTTCATGTTTTGCCTTCTGCCAATTCTTATTTGCAGTTAGATGGGGTAAATTAAGTGATAAGATTGGGAGAAAATTCATTCTCTTAATTGGATTATTTGGTACCGCATCTTCCTTATTATTATTTGGATTCAGTCAAAATTATTGGCAAGCATTAGCAGCCAGATCTATTGCAGGGATCTTAAATGGTAATGTTGCCGTTTTAAGAACTGTTATAGGAGAAATAGCCACTGAAAGAAGACATCAAGCCATAGCATTTTCAACTTTACCTTTATTATTCAATTTCGGATCTATTATTGGTCCAGCAATTGGTGGGTCCAAATATTTAACCCATCCTAAGAAGGAAAGTCCTTATGATACCCAAACCCAAGAGGTTTCTGATGGTTTATATTCATTTTATGAAAAATTTATTAGAAAATATCCATATGCATTATCTAATATTGTTGTAGCAGCATTTTTATTATTCAGTTTAGTATGTGGATTCCTATTCCTTGAAGAAACCCATGATGTTTATAAATATAGAACCGATTATGGGGTTGAATTAGGTGATTGGTTATTATCCAAAATTGGTATTGCACCACCTGAAAGACCATGGCATAGAAGACAATTACATGAAGGACATAACTATTATCGTGTTGAAGATTCTGTTACTCCACCACCTGCAGCATCTACTCCAACTATATCTCCTACAGAAAATTCACCATTGTTAACCAATAATAATGCCAATTCTGGAGCAGCATTAATTGATGATGTAGCTTCTATTCAATCGGAAGCCTTAGATTCATCAGATGATGCAGAAATTCAAAGTATAAGACCATACATCTCACGTCGTATGTCTCAGGCCATTGTTAAAACATATTCTATGGAAGGACAAAGGGAAATTGAAGAATATAAGCCAACATATACTAATGCTTTTACACCAGCAGTCATAACTGTTATTACTGGTAATTTCATTATTTCGTTACATAATGTTACATACAATGAATTCTTACCTGTTTTCCTTGCCGCTAGATTCCAGAAGGAGAAATTACAATTTCCCTTTAAAATCGAAGGTGGGTTTGGATTAGATACCAACTATATTGGTACTTTATTTTCTTCAACCGGTATGATGGGAATGTTAATTATTATGGTTATCTTCCCATGGTTAGATAGAAAGTTAGGTACTATAAATGGTTATAGATTATCCGTTTCCATTTTCCCTATAGTGTATTTCATGGTGCCATTTGCCATTTTTACTTTAACTAAGTATAACCCCAATATTCCAGAATGGGTAACACCAGTATTCTTATATACTTTAACATCATTGAAAACATTAGCTAGTGCTACCGGTATGCCACAAGTCATGTTATTAAATCACCGTGCTGCAGCTAAAGAACATCGTGCTTATGTAAATAGTGCAACCATGAGTATCATTGCATTGGCTAGATTTACTGGACCAATTGTGTTTGGATATTTAATGTCCCTTAGTGATAAATTAGCAATAGGTGAATTGACATGGTGGGTTATGTCCTTAATGGCTGGAGTTGGAATGATTCAATCGTATTGGATGGAAGATTATGATGATGAAGATGAGAAACTCCATCAGACAGAAGAAGAACAAGGTGAACAAGAAGAACAAGATACAAATCCTGATCTTTCTCAACAATTGCAAAGAGATTTTACTGCGATAGAAGTGGAGGATGAAACGCAAACTAGTATCCGTTAGATAAGGCTTCTAGGATATTTCATCAGAGACAGTTAGATAGACAGATAGATAGATAGAGCCGCACGGAGGTATGACGCAAAGGCGTAATAGTTCCGAACAATTTTCGATTTGGTAGATAGTCGATTTAACTCATATGAAATTGATAATGTATCATCTACCCAATGTCATATAGCAATGATAGCAATTTTATAGAGTAATATATTTATCTACGCTTGCGAATATGGTTGTAGTAATTCACACCATAGTATATGAACAATGTTAGCAGCAATTTAGTAGCCACTAACAACGAAAAATAACTCCGTATAGTGTATGCTCAAATCGCATAATATGCCATTCCCGTTTACTGGATTAGTCAGAAATATCTGTCATTCGGGCACGAGCTACCGGTGCGAATCTGTGCGGCCCCCTTCCGCAAACGTTTACTTCGATTGCAGCTAACTGAATAAGGGAGTGTACCCCCTCCCCCAACAAAAGAAATGAATGTTTTTTCAGAAAAAAAGAAATTTCCTAGGATCTCTTTCAGGAAAAGTAATTAGATACATGTTTAGAGGTATTAAAACGAACGAATAGGAAAAGCCATAACTGAGTCATAATGCGGTAGTGTATGAAAGGTTAGACGCAATGGAATGCTTTAATCTTCACCTCAAAATTGTTCATTGGTATGTATTTAGTCATTATGATTGTAATATGCATCTATGGAGTGAATTATTAGTAATACAAAACGCTTTAGTGAAATAATAATTAAGTGAGTGAAAAATATTGGGGGGTTTGCAAAATCAAAAATCTGTGTGGCTACACTATAAAGACTACATACATAAACTTTAATCATATACTTAACTATCCAATGGAGTAACAGTAGTTGTAGTTGTAGACCAAGATAATCTCAAAATATGAATATTACTTGTCAATGGCGTGTTATACTTTTCTCCAACAGTAGTGGAGTACTCGTCCTACCCATTGCTTAATTGAGTATTTTTGGCGACAGTAAGCGGTAGTATGTAAATCTGCCCCCTATTAGGTAGTACATTATATAGTTTTTCATTCATTATTATTCATAAATTATTATGCGTCTACTCTGCGGCTTGCTCTAAAGATGTTATTTGTTGCTTGTGCCGTTTAGTTTAAACCTCCTTTCTGATTTCATTTTCTCATCTTATCCAGGCTTAAATCTAGTCTCTTCTCTCATATATATAGACAATTCCGTACATCCACAATTTATATATACATTAAACTTTTTCATCTTTAATTTATATTTGCTTTCTAATAGCAATATATATATTTATATTGTCTTTTATAAAGATCTTGCTACGCAGTTACGCAATCTTCATCTATTGTATTAGATCTAATACATAATATTATAGTGAACTAGAAAGTTTTAACATACAAAATTTTTTAAAACTTCCATTAGATCAGCAACTTATTATTATACTCTTTGGAGGGAAGGATAATGTGTGATATACTATCTCATTCTTATTCAACGCTTTAATCTTTTAAGTTTCATTACTACAATTTAATTTTATACATAACACTTTTTTGCAAGCATAACATAATAATCATTAATAATGCCAGCTTTCACAATAAAGGAACAGTTAGTGGATTTTCCCATTGCTCAAATGGCTTTCATCAGTATCATCAGAATTGCTGAACCTATTGCTTTCACATCGATGTTTCCTTATATTTATTTCATGATCAAGCATTTCGGAATAACTGATAATGATGCCGATATTGCTCGATTTAGTGGATATTTAGCTTCAGCATTTTCCTTTTGTCAATTTTTAAGTTCAGTTCCATGGGGTAAAGCCAGTGATAAGTTTGGTCGTAAACCTGTTTTACTTGTGGGTTTAAGTGGAACTGCCATATCTATGGTTATTTTTGGTTTTAGTACTAATTTTTATCTGGCATTAATGGCAAGAATGCTTATGGGTTTACTTAATGGTAATGTCAGTGTCATCAGAACAGTTATTGGTGAAATTGCTGTCGAACCAAGACATCAGCCTCTTGCGTTCAGTTCCTTAACATTATTATGGAGTGCAGGATCTATAATGGGAAATTGGTTAGGTGGAGTCTTAACAGATACAAAAAATTTACCAGAGGTGCTAAATGAAGATTATAGTTCCAAAAAAAGAAGTGGATTTATTACCCATTTATTTAAAAGAATAAGTGGTTCTACAGAAACTAATACTTCAGATGAATTAGCTTTATTTGAAAAATATCCTTTTGTGTTATCCAACGTTGTCGTTGCATGCATCTTATGTTGTAGTATAATAGCAGGATGGTTATTCTTCGAAGAAACTCATGAAATAAAAAAATATAAACGAGATATTGGATTAGAGGTCGGTGATTATTTACGTCATAAGCTTGGATTTCAAGCACCTATAAGACCATGGCAAAAGTATCATCGTATGTCCGATAATAGAGTTATTGATGACTTATTTTATGAAGATAGCAGTGTAGATGATCATAACGATGATGAAATTTCTAAGAAACCTAAAATTAATGAAGATATTGAATTGCAATTATATGCTACTATGGATCCAGATTCTGAAATGGCAACAAATACAGCAGCAGGTGCAAGTGAAGAAGATAAACAAGAAGCATTCACTCCTCCAGTTGTGAACTCTATGATTTCTAATTTCATTTTATCATTTCATAACTTGGTTTATGGTGAGTTCTTACCTGTATTCTTAGCTGCAAAAGTTCAAGTTGCTGCATTAAAGTTCCCACTTCATATTAAGGGTGGTTTTGGATTCACATCAGATGCAATTGGAATTTTACTTTCATTAACAGGTGTTGTGGGTATTGGTGTTGTTCTTTTTATCTTCCCTATAATTAACACTTACTTCAGTACCATTAACGGATATAGGGTTGGATTATCTGTCTTCCCTATTATTTATGTTATACTTCCATTATTGATTTTCACGTTACCAGAATACAGTCTTATGTTTAAATCAAAAACATTTACAGGTATAGTCTTATATGCTATGACAGGGTTAAACACATTTGCAGGTTCAACTGCTTTCTCACAAATCATTATTTTAATCCATAGAGCATCTCCACGTCAACATCGTGCTTTAATTAATGGATCCACTATGAGTATTACTGCATTAGCCAGATGTGTGGCACCTTTAATCTGGGGTTGGTTAATGTCGAAATTTGATACCATGGGTTATAGTGGATTATCTTGGTGGACATTGGCTGTAATTTCCTTAGGTGGGTTATTACATTCCTTTGTCCTTGAAGAATATGAAGAATAGAAAGTTACACTTCTTTTTCGATTCTCATGCTTGTATTTTAATTCGTTTGATTTTTATCAACTGTTTTATTTATTATTTCCTACGTTATTGCTAACTATGCTATTTAGTTCATCTGTGTTTCCCACCCATTTTCCACTTTCTGTTTATGAATAGATTCATAGAAATATTGTTGTGACATTTTTGTCAATTACAATATTACATACATATAGTTTCATACTTATAATCTATATAACCAATTATTATTATTATTATTATTATTATTATTATTAATAATTCATTTTGTAGGTTTCCTAATTTGTCTTATCTATATTAAAATAATTTTTACACCCATTTTGAAAAATAAGGGTCGTGGCCGATCCACCGAAAATATTTTGACCGAATTGCTCATCTTTGTTTCGCTCAGCTCGTCGTTCGGGTCATATGGACGGTTACTCTGAAATATTTCAAGTTTGTGCTTAGTTTAATAAATCTGATTTGAATAATGTTAGTGTTTTGTAGCCGTTTGTAACCATTTTTAAAGCATGCTCAAACTCAATTTCAGAAATTTAATGCCGATGACCAATTTCGTAGTCTCTACAAACATATACAGAACGTAATTTTTGGCTAAACTATTGCTAGTTTGTATTTTATATTAATATTAGAAACAATAATAATAATAATAGGTATAAAGGTAAAATAATTAGTTATAAACAGAAAAGTATGCCCTAAAGTAACTGTTGAAAATTTATAGTTTCTCATTAATCTTCGTAGAATAATAAAATGATAACGAATGAACGATAAAAAATGTAGATAATAGTGATTTAAATATAAAAGACCAACTAAATAAATGAAAACTCTAAATATCCATGATCTTAAATAGTAAATAATCATTCCCCAATGATTATCACTAATTCATAGATATTTACAAAGCTAACAATTAAAAAAGAAGGCTTTCTTGATTTTTGACTTTATATTTTGAATAATTTGGATTTATGTGTAAATGATCGAAATTTTATGAATATTGATAATGATTAAGAAATTCCCCAATTTCCAAAAAAATCATCATCAATATCCTTTTCAATCAAATTCACTTAGATAAAAAAATGCATTATAAAGACATTTTAAACATGAATTGAAATAATGGAATGGATTGGTTGACTACCCCTAGTCGTTAATAAAATATAAAAAAATGATATAATAATAGATAATAGATAATAACATTTAAAGGTTGAAGATATCAATATTATAGTAGTGATAAAAACAATTAATAATTAAATAAATCGATAATGAAATTCTTCGAAAATGAACCATAATAAGAAAAATAATAAAACAAGGATTAAGAATTACGTATTATAGGAATCATCGACGAAACCCAGTCAAGATTGAATAAACTAAAACATGGATTTTTCGACTCACTTAAAAGATTTAGAATCTTTGGTTAGATTTCTTAGCCTTTAATTTCTTTTGGACAAAGACACCGGTAACAGCGACGAAAGCTAAAAAGATTAAGACGAAAACTAAAATAACACCAGCTGGTAACATTTTGAAATGATTATTGAATGGTAATTGATACTAATAAGTTCAAAACTAAAGAAAGTATCAAAAGACTAATTCAACGGAAAGAGGAAAAGAATCAGTAATGAGTTTAAAAATTCAACTGGAAGTTAAATTATATTTATATGGATAACTATCAGGTCTTACGCAAGTCGATGATGAAAGGGAAATGTCCTGCACCTACTGCATGAGACATTTTTATGTTTGACAGACCAGCGACCCGAAAGTCTCGGAAATCCAGCCTTCCGAGGGCAGATGTCCATATGTGGGTATAATTCCCTCAATAATAAATGTCGTCGTTGTGTTCTGGTTACCGGTGAGAAGTAACTTACTGAGGTGACCTCACAAAATTATTTACCTCTACTAAAAGAAAATCAATCTACTATACTGTAATAGTACTTAGCTCAAGTCATCGCATATCATATGTGGTTTGATTTTGGGGATATATTCATAACCAACCGCAATTAATATTTAATTAAAATCTTTTTGACTATACGACCACATATGTCGCATCACCTAATAATATGAATGTGGATACTTTTGTATTTAAAATTCCGAATTACAAGGCTGTCAATATTAGTTAGACAATAGATATGGGCATGCTAGTAATATCTCTTAATAATAATACTAGTTATTAATAAATACATTAATTTCGCAAGAGATGGCGGCTTTAATGGAACATTCTCATAGGTTGAGTTGAAAAAAATTGTTTATGCGAGCGACCGACATTTCTTTTTATTTTGACCGGAACTGGAAGCCTCTTAAACTCTATTTATCTTACAGTACTATGTCTTACACTTTCCTGGCTTTACTACTTTATACTTACATACTGCATCGGTTTACATCGGTACGCAATTGCTACTTTTGAAAAATTGTAAGCCGTAGATCTTTGATTTGAACTTGAATCCTAAAAAGGTACGAGTAATAATGCAGTTTCTTATAGCCGTATAGTTAGATTTAAGTTAATAAATATATTTGATATTACGTTATTCTAATATTATATAGATTAAAATATAATTTAACAGCTTTAGGTATTATAACCGACCAATGTACCGAAAGTTCCTGAAACCTCTACATTAGTGAAAAATCTTTAAGTAACGCTAAACAATGATTCGCAACTATCTGCACAATTAGACCAATAGTTCTTTCTTTTTTTTATAGCGGTAAAATCGGTTATAATCATTATGATTTTGCGTTGTTAAATAATTTTTCAAGTCGTGCACCCGGTGACGAAAAATGCTCCGTTTTTCGTTTCTTTGCTCTTCGGCCCTATGCAGTAAACTAATAGAATAGAGGGGTAACAGTGTGACGAACTGCACACAATAACCTTCCTTTTTTCGGGGATCTTTCATCTGTTTTCGGGTTTGCTGTTCTTCTTTCCCAATCAGGCAACAGGCTTTCCTGTTAAGGACGGAGACCCAGGACTTCCCTAATTGGGTTCCAAATTTTGCCATTATTTATTATTTATTATTAAAAGTAAGGGCCTAAAATTGTTTATATCTTGCTTGATTTGATAGATAAATAAAATCATTCTATACCCACCGATCTGTCGAATCTCAGGTTATTCCGACCATTTAGCTGGTTCAATGGCCCCTCTTCGGTCTCCACCCGATTTAGCGACATTAATAATTTTGCAACTTGTACTACATAATATTTTAATATAATAGACCCAATTCATTAATCACTAAATAGTATATACAGTAAATAATATAATAATACAAAAAGATGTTATAAACAGAGATAAATAAAATAGTAAAATAGAACTGAATAGAATAGAATAGAATAGAAGAATAATTTAATAGTAGTCGACGTTCTTCAACAAACCAAAGAAATGCTATAAAGCATAAGCATAGAGTGCAACAATCATATGTTAAATTGAGCTGGAATAGTGTGGATAATGTCGTATTCTTATAAAAAAAAGCAGCAAGTAGTAAATTAATGATTTTAAAATAATCTTAGGGCACTAGAAAGATTCAACTGACATGGCTGAATAGTAAGAAAAGAAGAAAACATATCAATGATGATAATTATAGTAATTATAATAATTACAATGTAAAGACTCTGGACGAGTCGCCCTTATTAAAATCAATTATAAATTGCTAGCTTATTAAGAATAATAGCCCAAATGGTAAATATAGTTGATGTTGGTAACAAAACGTAATGAAACGGAAATATCGGTAAAACAGAACAGTCAATGGAATAAAGCAGGTATAAGAAAAGCAACAAAAGTAGTTCTTTCATTTTGATGATAATGATGATGATTAGTGAATGATATGGAGGGATAGTAATTAACAAACGATGGTTTAATAATATTAGCTATACCTTCTAATTTGTAATAGTTAGAATAATTTTCATTTCTCATAGCTTAAAATACATTAACCGCTCGTTGTTGTCGTCGAAAGAAATTAGACGAATTCATTTCATTCCTATTTACATGGGATTTCTGCCTAGTTGGCAGTGGACTCCCAAGTTGTGGTCGACCTTTATTCAACATTACTCCCAAATTCAGAGGAACCTTTACATTGAATTTGTGATTGCTATGGCTATGGCTATTACTGGTACCACTTCGTCGAACTGATTCCGGAGATAGTCGATGTTGTGGTTGTGGTTCCTTCTCTTTGGGGTAAGTAGTCGAAGCATTGGTGGTGGTAATTCCTGAAGATTTCTCTATGGGAATACCACTGGTAGATCCAGCCTTAACCTTTAGTTTTCCGGCTGGTTTTTTACTCTGCTTTTTAGCGGTCGACTCTTTATGATTTGAACTTTTATCATCAATCAATACTGTACTTGACTCTTGATTTTCTTTAGTGTTGCTTTTACCAGAAGTCTTTGACACTAGTTTCCGTTTGGGTAATGTAATTACTGATCCTTCATTACTGAACCGTTTCACTTTGACTGGAGATTCACTACTTATGGTATCGATACCAAACTCCTTGGTGGTCTTTCTTCTTTTGGTTATTGTTGTTGTTGATGCAGATTCATCGGTAGACTTAGACTTTGTAGATCTCTTCTTTGGCTTTGGCTTTGGCTTTGGTTCTGAACCCTTAACAATATTGGATTCAATCTCCATTAACCGTTTTCTTGAACTTCTCACTTGAGTAAACGCTTCTGAGATATACGATTCTCGTTTAATTCGTTTAAATTCAGCAATGTTTGCTGACCATTCCTGTTTATTGGCCGATACTTGGACTTTCACTTTGGCGATTTTAGTCGGCATATTAAGATCATTATCGAGTTGAGTAATGAATGGTTCACGGTATACATAATTTATACTGTGAGATGATAAATTACCATTACCATTACCATCTGTGGTACTACTACTTAATACATTTCCATGGCCTGTTTTGTCTAACAACTTTAATATGGTAAGTGATTCCCCCGGAGGAATAGCTACAGGATTAGAAGGAGTTACACAATCCATTCCTACTTCTTTTCTTAATACATGATCAATATCAACTTCTGAGAAAAACGCTGCTGATTGAGGAACTTCTTTAATACCCAATTGTTCACAGAACATGGCTCTTGTCCAGACATTACTGATTTGTAATAATAATGCTGCTTTATATTTATCCTCTTCCCTTACCAAATATCTTAATTCATCATGAACTGTTAGCGCTAATCGAGCATTGACTTTATACTTCTTTACAAGATAAGACATTGAAACAATTAACAAGTGTAAATAATCTACCCCCGAACTTTGAATTGTCCAATTGGTTCGAGACGTTAAATAAGAATTCTTATTAAGATTCTTAGCTGTTAATGCATCCGTAATAGAGGCTCCTAAGACGGGAGTTTTGGGATTAGATTGATAGGCAATGGCTTCTAAAGCATTAAACATAATTGATTCAGAACCTCCATAATATATTTTACCCTTTAAAGCAGCAGAATGAGATATTTGACCTTTAGTTCGAGCATATAATTCTCGAGCAATTTCACCGGATTCATCATCAGACAATTTGGGATTAAATTGTTTAAGTAATTGAGTTGCAAATTTAACTCCGGCTCCATAAATTCTTCCATAATTAAATACTTTGGCATCACCTCGAGAGATTCCTAAAATTTCCGAAGTTTTAGAATGTAAATCCGTCTTTTCATTCTTATCTCCTTCTAAGGTCATCCATCCTAATGCTGTACCTCCATGAATTTTAAACATGGAATCTCCAACTAATGAAGCAATCCATAATTCTTCAGAATCTACATCGGCTCCTACAAAGCAATAACCTTGAGGAGCCTTGATTAGAGATTTTAATTCAGAACCAATCCGATTTTTCTTAGCATTAGATGCAGTTAACCAAGTATTTTCAGTAGCTCTTCTAGTAACGGTACCCATAGGACATAATTTAGGTAATATAATTCCCATATCTTTATGTTGATTAGCCAATTGTTTATTCTCAAAGAATTGATTGGCTTCTAAATCAGGATCATTAAATACTACAAATTGATCCATGATTCTCTTTCGATTACCCATCCAATAAGATGCTTCTGAATTTAATGACAAGATCTGAGAAGCATAATTATATTCGGAAGTTAAAGTCCCATCACTGAAATATCGTGAATAACTCTTAGACATAATTATAGTACATCTTTTCCCAGCTCCATCAGGATGAGGAACTTTAAATAATACGTCGGATTTTAAAATATCTTCATAATCAAGTAAATCTCCTCGAGGTAATTCTATATAATTCTTACTCTTTAATTGATCAATGACTCGTTCATTAAATGGAACTTGAAAACACCAACCATGAATATCTGTCCAAAATAATGGATAACCTTCCCATTTTAATCGTAATAATATGGGAGTTAATCTTGATCTAATAGTTAAATTCATCTTCTTTTCTCCCTTTATGGCTACTCGAAATAAATCTCGATACCATTCAGGATATCCAATCATATATGGTTGATTGGCTACTGGTTGACCATCTTGCTTTAATCGAGGTTGTTTAATAGTCCAATTTAATTGACATAACCATGGATCTTCCTGATAATTAGGGATTAATGAATCATCTTTCTCTTCAATATATCGAATTAATTCAATGGCTCTTTCTTCAAGATTCTTTATAACTTGACTACGGTTTTCTTGATAAATACTTTCAGCCGTTTCAATATATTTATTCCAATCCTTTGTAGTAGGTAATACTAAAGTCCCTAAATGTTTTAAAGCCGCAAAGGATACCGGATGGGGAATCTTTTCTCGAAATTCCGGAAATAATTTCTTGGTTAATGTAAAAGTTGATGCTACATCTCCAGCACAATAAGTCATTAATTCTTGAAATTTATTTATAATCTCCATAGGATCCTCTGAACTAAAATATTCTCGATCCGATTTATCTAATTTCTCTCCACAATGGAATTCATAGACATTAGCTAATGAATTAGCAGCTCCTTTATTTAACCAAGGATCATCGGAAAGTTCCGATTCAAGTTCTTTAACTAAACTATCACGATCTTGATCATCTAGAGTTGCACCTGGAGAATTTTCTTCATCAATTTCATTATCAGTACTTTCTTTCATCTTTTTATATTTCATCCATTTAGGACGTTGTTGAGAACAAATCCCACTAATAGAAACATGAAGAGCCATAGCATCTAAATAAAATGCCTTTGATTGATTTATATTATATTCTTCAAGAATTCTGGCTCGATCATAACTTACATTATAACCAACTATAAGTTTAGGAGTGTCCATACAATTCATAGGAATTAAATGATTCCAATTATTATATGATTGATCTTGAGAATAATTTATAAGAAATGGTGATACCCAACCATACCAAGCATCAACAGATGCACAAGTGGCAAGGACTGAATATTGTGATTTTTTATATAAAACTTCCACATCGAATACTAATTCATCTTCTAATGGATAAGGAACTGATTCCGGTTTTTTACCTCGTTTATATCGAGTCCAACCGGCTTGGAATAACCATTGTTTGGGTATAGGAGGTAATTTAGATTTAGGTTTAGTAAAATTATTACTCATTGAAAGATATGGTTCAGCATCTTCCATGCCTATTTTAAAGAAATGTTCATCAAGAGTATTTTTACCGACCAAATCAGGGAAATTGTCGATATTAATGGGATTAGTGATGACTGTTTTCTTATTCAATAATTGATTTTGTTCAAGATGATATTTGGCAAGTCTGAGGAGGGCAGGATATTGGGGATGTAAATAGTCGGTGGTGGAGGTGGAAGTGAATACTTTTTTATGGAGTGCTTCTGATAAGTACTGGATACCCAATTGGTTGATTCGGGGGGGTTCTGGTGGTGGTGGTTGTAGTTGTTGGAGTTTAGGGGTATTTCGACTAAAATGTCTGATATGATTCGATGAGGATCGTAGAGCCGACTTGGAAGGTCGTACTATCATCGTTGTGTCTGAGTGTGTGTATGTGTATGTGTCTGTTAGACTATATGGGTAACATAAGATTTGTATAAGATTTAGTGAGATCAGTCAGTGATGTATCACTTTCACTTTCACTATCACTAACTGTATGTATGTACGTATGTCTGTATGTCAATGTCTTAGTCACTGTAAAAGTGAGTAATGTAAGAGAAATACAAAATGTCAGAACTGCAACCGCAATTACCCAAAATAGTAATTGATGTGGGTGACTGTTTTGAATTATAACTAATGCAGTTAGCTAATGAACATTTGATAAAATTTGTCTGTCCTTCTATAAAGGGGAATGGCAAAACAACAAAAAATTTTAAGGTATCATACAGGACTTGCCTAATTAAGGCCAAACCATAACATGGTGGGGTACACGACCGGTCTTCTCACCACTTGGTAGCATCTATAGTAGAGAATAAGCGCAGCCATGCACTAAACATCAGAACATCAAACAAAATCCATTAAATCAAAACAAATGCAAATTGTCAATTGTCGTGATTGTTTATTTAACAAATCCAATTTATATATCGAGTCAATTGACTGAGCATCCGACTATTTTATAATAATAATAATAATAATAATTAATAATTAATAATTAATTAATTTTATAAAAGTCTGACAAATACCCAATTAACTTAGTGTCTTTTCTTGTCTGTCTGTCTGTAGATATTGTTGTTTGTTTTCATAAATTTATTCAACTAACGCTATAACCAACCAAACCAAACCAAACCAAACCAAACCAAAGCAAAATGTCATCCATCTACCAAAAACATACAAAGGCTGATTTACTCAGTGTCCTCAATAAACTTGAAATTAAAACCGCTTCAAAATCAACTAAAAAGATCCTTATTGAAAAACTCGACGGTTATATTACTGACCATCCTGAAGATGGCTTATTAACTGTTCAATCATTACTCGAAGAAATCGATGATGCCAATGAAGAAGATGATGATGATGAAACAACTTTACATGAAGAAATCATTGAATCATCAACTACTGGAGGAGCAGAAGAAGATTTAGGTGATAAAGATTATGATGCTCCAGCACCACTTGATTTAAAACAATGGATTATTGATCCAATAATTGAACAATATGAAGTAATTATTCAAAAAATTTATGAATTTACTGATAATGTAGGAATTACTTATGTTGATTATACTGATGAATTAAGAGAACAATTATCTAAATCGGTTAGTTTAAATTATTTGGAAATTATTATTGAATTTTCTTATTTTATTTATACATTCTTACCATTTGTTGAATTAAAAGAAAATGCTTTAAATCATGACCTTTTAAAGGATAATATACCATTTTTTGCTTCAAGTACTATTCCAACTCCTGAAATTACAGCATTATTTGAATGTAGTATTATTTCAACTTTCCTTTCTTGGGTTATCTTTTCAATTATTTTACCATTAATTGCTTCTTATTTTGTTAATTTTTCAAGAAGAGTATTAGTTTTTGATGATAGTGAAGGTATTGTGGCAAGAATTTATGATTATGATCCTTTTGTATTTGCTTTAAGTAAAGTGGTTATCTTTTATCTTATTGGTAGAAATGCTTCATCAGTATTTAATTTTGGAATTAATTGGGATTTCTTTACTTATCATTTAAGTCCTTATGAAAGATTCTCTCATTCTTTAGGTACTTTCCCGGTGGTTATTGGTGCAACTAATGTTCTTCTTGCCCTTTATTCTCAATTTGAAGAATATTAGAAACAATTTGAATGACGGTTATTTAACCACTATTCACTACTACCATTGTTGCTTTTACTTTCCTTACCTTGTGTTATTAAAAATTATCATTCTTGCTATATAACTCTGACAATCTATTCTCTGTTTTCTTTTGTTTTCTTTTGTTTTCTCTTTGTTTACTATTCTATTACTTAGTCTCCCTTTGTTTTACTATAATCTTTATTTACTTTACTTTACTTTACTTTATTAGTCTGTCTTTTTATCTATTTACTTACATATTTTACTATATAATCATTTGACTTATAATTCATTAATCACTAATTATTCTTTGACCATTTAGATTTAATTCGTAACATTTCAAAATCAACATCAAGCTCTTCATCTCGAAGTGATTGAGGACCAATAAACTGTTTCATGATTTTCGCCAATAATGTCGCTTCAGAATATCGATTATCTGGTCCATCACCTTTAATTCTATCATAAGCATATCCCGATCCGGGAGCAATAGGTTGATCTTTAGTACTTCTTCTACCTCTTCTTTTAGGTCCATTAGGTCCACCAGTACTTGTTTGACTATCAGATGCTCCAACATTAGTATCGGACCCCGAGGTAACTCGTTCATAAAGTGAATTCTGAAAGATTTGATGTTTAATATTCGAATCTTTAGAATTCCCTCCTGATAATTTAATTTTGGCAGGTAAATCTCCGGTAATAATATCAAATTCTGCAGGAGTAATTAATGGCATAAAATCATGAACAAGTACTGTATCAGTAGTTGAAGTAGGAGTAGAATTATTAATATTATTAAATGATGATGATGATGATGATGATGATAAACCTGAATTATTACTTAATATACTACTCAAGGGAGATGGAGTAGTTAAATCCAGATATAATAATTTCGATTGACTAAGAGTTTGTAATTGATATTCTTTAACATCATTAACAATCGAATCTCGAATTATTTGTTTAACTTCTTGACTAAAATCTCGTTGAGATATTCCCCGAAATAATTTATTGGAATCTTTACTTTTAATATCAAATATATCAAGATTATCATTCTTAAGATATTTTGAAAATAAATCTCGTTGGAATTCAAAGAAATTCTTTAATTTCTCTAATTTATTAATCATTACGGCATTTAAATGTTTATAAACTCGATTAGAATCTTGATAAAATATTAATGAACTCTTTAATAATTCATAATTTTCAAATAATTTTAATCGAACTAATTCTTCATCTCTTTCAATATCTAAATTTTCTTTAAAAGTATTTAATTCTTCATCTTTTATATCACAATGGGTAAAACTTATACGGGATTCTTGTAAATTCTTTAATTTATTAAGTAATTCTTGTTTCCGTTGTAGATATACTTTCTCTCGTTCTGTTTCAGAAAATGTTTGTAATTCACTTAATGAATGAACTAAATCAAGTCTTCTCTTTTCTCGTCCATTCCCATTAGCATTTATAAGATCTTTACCGGGATTAGTTAGAATTCGTCTAGTATTAAATTTAGGATCTAAAGTCTTACCATTCATAGTAAATGCAGAATCATTTAATGAGTCATCTTCACTTAATTCTTCACTTAATTCTTCAGTTTTTGTCTTTGTTCGTACTGTATCACTCAAATTTGGTGATACTTTCTCATAAGAATAAGATCGAGGATTAAGTATAAAAGTATTGGAATTCTTGGAAGCTTGAGCTTCTCGAAAATCATAATAATTGGTATCAATATTTCTTACATATTGCATATAATCATGATATCCATTATCGATATCTAAATCCTTTTGAATATTATCTTCTATTCCTCCTCTAGAATTTCTTGAATTATCATTATTAATTAAATTCTTAATATAATTGTATTGATATATAGATTTCTTAGATGGTCTACCTCTTTTCCTTTTAATTATAACTTCTTGTTTGGGTTGATTACCATAAATATCACTATCATCGTCAAATTCATCTCCCTGTTGATCATCATCTTCTTCATTGTCATCCTCATCATATTCACCATCATCATCTTCTTCTTCATCATCTTCATCGTCTTCATCGTCATCTGAAGTTCCTTGTCGTCTACTTCTCTTTAACCTTTGACGCTGAGAATTTATTCTTTCACTTCTACCTCGTTCAAAACTTTGGATAGTAAATCCTTCTTCTGCCGCCAGACTTCTCATTTCAAATAATGATCCGGCAGCACTGGCTACTACCATATCTGTTCTAGGTAATTCTTCATGAGCTTCTATAAATGTTTGAAATACATCCCCTGGAGTTAAGGACGAGTATGCGGCTGATAAAGGATATGGCATATAATTCACAGGAGGGAATGGTAATGGAGGTACTTGTAAATATACTGGTTCATGTAAGCTATCATTTTTAGTTTTTTGATATTCAATGTATGATGCTAAGATTTCTTTAGAATCTTCTGGAGGATTGGAAGTGCTCTGTTTACGATTGGTGGTGGTGGTGGTGGTGGTGGTGGTGTTAGTAGCCTGAGTATTACTATTAGTAGTGGTGGTATTACTATTACTATTGGTATTACTATTACCATTAGTATTGGTACTGTCAGTGTCTGACGTCTTATTGGCTCTGTCAAACCGAATCTTATACTGAGCCACCGAATACGGTAATGCATCAATATCTACAATTGGTGGTGGAGGATATATAAATGGTACCATTATTCCTCCATATGGACCATCCTGATGTCTGACTTCTGGACTTATAAATGGAGGTATCGGTGGAGGAAACTTATCAATTATACTGGAGATTTGATGAGATAATCTATAGTCGGTTAAATCGGTTTTAACATCGGTAAAGAAATCGGCAATTTGAGCTGGTTCATGAATTATTGGAATTATATTTGATGGTATTGAATTTAGAACGGGGTTTGAATTGGTGGAATTTGTTATAAATGGAGTGGGGATATTAATATTCCCATCATTTATATTAGGAATTGGTAAATTAATTTTAATGTCATCTTCTTTAGGATTAAAAGTGTCATAATTTAAATTATTTGCATCATTTTCGAATTCCTTCTCGGTTTCGGTTCTGGGACTAGATGACAATTTTCGTTTCTTAATAGGGACATTTAATAACCTGGCCAATGTTTTAGGACTGGGGAGATCCAATGCGCGTTTTCGTGGCTTGATATGCCAACCTGTTTCATACATGTTTAGTGTCGGCAGGTAATGATTAGAATATTATTTAAAATTTGATAAAGAAATAATATATAACCAGACAGGGAACACTTTTGTCTTTTTGGGTTGTAAAAAACTACTTGAGAAAAAAAATGACTTTGGCTTTCCGAAGAAAAAAAAATATATATATAAATTTTGGCAAATGCACACCGAAATCATGTAGCAGCCAAGCAGAATTACAGCATTTACTAGTTTAGTATACGGAGGTAATGAGGCAAATATAGTTAGATAAGCTTTGGTAGTGTATGCTCATATTAATTTGAGTGGGAATATTGTCAATATTTAGGATATGTACTTGACTCATATCCATCTCAGTAACATAGGTCATGGTGCAGCCATATATTAATAGTTTAAAGTGTTTGAATCAGTGTATCTATAGCGTAACTAACTCTATTGATGTGCCACATTATTTACAGCGTATAGTGATTAGTCTACGAATAAAACAGGGCTCAGCGATAGTTTGAAATAATTTTGGGGATGGCTGTACCTTACCACAGCAAACAATGCAAAGTATAGTACTATGGTCTATACTAACTCATATATATTGCAGCTTAAGATAATTACTATGCTATCAATATGTCTTGAAGACATTCAGCACATGAGCTAATCCACTTTGGAAAGGGGGGGAGGGGGGGGTCCCGGCAAACAGAACGAACTGCCAGGCTGACGAGGGTTTGATTACGAAAGCAGAAAGCTGCGAACAAATTTAATTTAATTTAATTTATTCAATTTATTTTTTATTATTTTTATCTCTACTGGACTTTTGTGTGACTGTCTATGTGCAGGCGGTGCCTATCTTCAATTTTTAGCAGTCAATTTCGCAGTTACCGTATTGCTTGTTATATGGGGTTTGAGAATGGGAAAGTATACTACGCTTATTAAGTGTCTAATGTAAGTACTCTGTTGCAATTTTCATACACAGTTACACTCAGTAGCAGAGTTAGAGGTCTTTTAAGACCTTATCATTTTTTAACATTTTTGGAATTATAATTGCCAATAATTTCTAATTAACAGATTACCATAATTATTTGAAACACAATGAAATGAAATATGTATAACTATTAATAGAGTTCCATATAACATGAAATATACTCTTACGCACACACCATATATGTCCATTACCATATGTTACTTTCATTTGCACTTTAGAGTCACACTTAGTTTGCTGTGAAATTTTATGCCGTGCATATAACACCCACCCACCCACTACTCCTATTTTGGAATGTCGCACAATGAAATTGTCAAAGTAATGTAAGAGACTCACAATAAGAAAGATACGATGAGAAGAACACTACACCACTTACCTAAAGAGTAAGGACACTGTATAGCCCACTAAACTGTCCACTAAGACTCTGGTGTCGTATGTCATAGACAGCAACTGCTTCAAAAATCAGATACAACCCATCTAAGACAAGGGCGCAATTGACTACTACAATTGGCATAAAAGTGAGTGTACTGGGTAAGTGAGTGAGAGAGTGAGTGATTGCTCGGAAAAAAGGCCAAAACCAGACAGACAAAAACACACTTTGTGGACGATCAGCCTGCCACCGCTCAGCGCAGTGCTCATTTGCGGGAACAAACAAAACAATCCACTCTAACTATCCAATCCTCCATCAGAAGTCAGTCCAGTAAATCTGCTTACACACTGTGCTCAGTCACTGCTTAGTACTTTTGAAAGAAGAAAGGAATTGTCGTTAATCTACTGCAAATATTTACCGACACGTTTGATATTTATTTCAGTAAATATATTATTATTATTTCTTGACTTCCACTTTAGACTGCCCCTCGGTCCTTTGAGCTTCGAGCCATTCCATAACTCGAGTCATTCCATTATTATACCTAAGAATTATTCATTCAGACAATACACTTGTCTATCAATATAGATCAGCCCGACACTATTACCTACTACCTTTTTAATCGGTAGTTTGTTCAGACATTTTCTGATATCCAACAACTGATCTAAGCTTATCTGACAATCATTAACAATCATAAACCTTCAATCACAACTTATAATCAACCAAAACTCATATAATAATCACTAGAATGCCTCCGAAATCAGCTTCACCTCCCAAAAAGAGATCCATTCCCGACAAACAGTTGGTATTTGCCAAAATGGCTGGTTTTAGACCATGGCCAGCATTTATCGTTCCTCCAGACTTGATTCCTAAGAATGTTCTTCGAGCTAAAAAGGCAAAGAAAGCAGAATATTGTGTTATATTTGTGCCTGAAGGGAATTATAATTGGATTGGTGAAGATAAAATTAAAATCTTATCACCCAAGTTATTAGATGAAGAATTAAAGAAGATTAAACCGGAGATTCTAAAGGAGGATAATTTAAGTAAATGGAGATCTCAACCAAGTATCGAAGAATCTATGGCAGCTGCTAAAGGTTTGACCTTTGAGAAGTTTGTGAGATTCCTAGAAAATGGTGGAGAATTAGGAGATGACGACGAAGATGAAGAAGACGAAGAAGAGGAGGAAGAAGAAGAGGAAGAAGAGGAAGAAGAGAAAACTATAACACCTAAACAGACAAAGCGAGGTAGAGGTGCAGTGAAAGAAGAAGAAAATGACGCGGATGCAGAAGAAGAAGACTACGATGAAGAGGATCAAGTCGAAGAAGAAGAGATTGTTGAAGAAAAGGGAACAACAAAGAGGAAATCAAGTATATCAACCAAATCCAAGAAGAATGGAAAATCTGTTAGTGAAACACCTTCTACAACCACAGCAACAGGTCGTACTACTAAACGGTCAAGACGATTGTTGAAACAGGAAGATGATGAAGAAGTAGAGGAGGAGGAAGAAAAAGAATTACCAGTTAAGAAGCAGAAATCCACCAAGTCTAATGGTAAAGCTACGACACCTATTAATACCAAACCCCATAAGAGTGATAGCCCAAAACCAATCACCGAAGAAGAGAAACAACATCAATTATGGTTATGTCGAATTAAACTTCAAAGAACATTAATTCAAAGAAATCAACCATGTACTCCTAAAGATACTAGTAATTTACAACCTTTAACAGCAGATGAATTACTGATTGCTAGACTTATTCTATATAGACTTCTTGATTTCCCAATTAGTGTTGATTTATTAAGGAAAACCAAGATTCATAAAGTATTAAAATGTATTATAAAAGATGAAGGATTAAGTTTCCCTGATAGTTTTAGATTACATGAAAGATGTCAAGAAGTATTAAACAAATGGGATTCTGCCATTCAAACTTTAAAATTAGAGAAACTGGCTCGAGAAATAAATAAGAGTCCAACAAATGGATCAAGTGGGGTAGGTGATGAAAGTAATAATTCTACTAGTAATAAATTTAAATTAAAGATTAAAGATGCTGGACAACAAGATGATTCTGAAATTTCTGGAATAGATCATTCTATTACTGATAAGAAAGATTTTGGAGATGAAGAAAGTAATAGTAATGATGAAGAAACTAAATTAAAGGGATTACTTAAATCAGAAGTTAATGAAGAACAAGCAACTACATCTAATAATATAGAGAATGATTTACTGGCTACAGCTTCAATTAAGGGTTAATTAGACATACCTGATCCAATTGATACAATTACAGGAATACTTATAGATCCGATAAAGAATTGAAGAATTACTGTATAACATCACCATCACATGATCATTTCAACCATTATCTCTAATCTACAATTCTATATTCTGTATTCTTTTGTTTATATTACTACAATTATTCTTTCCTCTTTCTCTGTACAATAACTGCCATAATTATCCAGTAGTCCTAAACTACTGTTAGCTATATATACTTTTGTATAATCTATATTAATATTAGTCAACGTGTTTTATTGGGTACTTAAAGGGTTTATAGTTTATAGGCCTCTTCGCGGTTAGTTGCTATATATTGAAAGTTGAAAATTGAAAATGTCGCGTGGAGTTATGGATTAAAATCCCGGGATTTTAATACCGACATATGTTATGTTATTGAGGTGTGTCCGGGTAACCGCAAATCATTCTCAAATTTACTATGACCCATCAACTAGTTTACGCAGACATTTAAATGGTGAGAAGACATTTAAGCAAATTACAGGTTGGAAGTTAGTAATATGTAAAATATTTAAGGAGGAACGAAAAAAGATTTGAAAAATGAGAGACGACTTTTCAGTTTTTTAAGTGAGAGGTACTGCACATTTGCCAAAAAAAAATTCACCAAAGGTCTTCCATTTTTTTTTTTAAATCCTCATTTCCTGCTACTTCTTCTTCCTCTCTTCTTCCCTCCTTTTCCAATAACCACGTTAATTAGATATCAAAAATGGCTGACGAAGACGTAAGTGTCATTACCTTAACTGTAGCAAATGAATTATCAAGGGGAAACTGATATATCTTAACTTATTGATTGATTATAATCCTTTAAATGGGGCCCAGTATTCATCCATTTACCCAAATAATTTGGTAGGGACAAGTTTTGATCATCCCGCCCATAATCAACTTTAAAATTTTATACAACTAATCAAATCATATTCAATCCAAATCACATAAAATCTTTATATAATTATATTTACTATATACAATGATTGGTGATATCATTATACAACTACGATGACAAGTTTATTTCCAGCGGCTGAATTTTGTCGACGTTGACGCCCGTGAGATCAAAATTTTTTTTCTTGTGATGGATGTTAATAAGACCATAAATCAAAATTCATAATCAAACACTACATTAATATGATTGGCCAATCAATAGTATACATTAATTGCATCGATTGATTGACTTTATTGGTTTTGCGCTTGTCATCATTTATGGAAAATTTGATTATTGAATGGACAGAAGATTTTTTTTTGGTCAAGGCAGAAAAAAATATAAATCTCAAAATAATCAGTTTCCCACAAAATTTTTCAGTTTGCAACTAAATGATAAAAATACAATTAAATATACTAACAAATAATATATAGCACACCTTTGAAACCGCTGATGCCGGTGCCGCTTTAACCTTCCCAATGCAATGTTCTGCTTTAAGAAAGAACGGTCATGTTGTCATTAAGGGTAGACCATGTAAGATTGTTGATATGTCTACCTCTAAGACTGGTAAGCACGGTCACGCTAAAGTCCATTTAGTTGCCATTGATATTTTCACTGGTAAGAAATTAGAAGATTTATCTCCATCTACCCACAATATGGAAGTTCCAAATGTTTCTAGAACTGAATTCCAATTATTAGATATTGATGATGGTTTCTTATCTTTAATGACCCAAGATGGTGACACCAAAGATGATGTCAAAGTCCCAGAAGGTGAATTAGGTGAAAAATTACAATCTGAATTCGATGAAGGTAAAGATTTATTAGTCACTATCATCTCTGCCATGGGTGAAGAAGCTGCTATTTCTTACAAGGAAGCTCCAAAGGCTTAAGTTTAATCTTTACTTAATTTTTGACATATACATATATCATATAATATTTCTTTGTTATTATTATTCTAATTAATTATTCGAGAACAAAGGGGAAAAGAAGAAAAAACTTATGTTATTATATTATTATTTATATAAATGATAAATTTCCAATGATGGTAATGATGAAATAAATGATAATTAAAAAGAACTTAAATTAAATTTGTATTTAAAAAAGGTCGATCCATTTGGATTTTAAATGGTTGCTAAATTTATATCTTATTATTATTGTTATTATTGTTATTGTTTTTGTTATTTATGTTATGTTATTTTCTTTGCTATTACTTTTTTTTATTAGTACTGATTAATTAATTTGATAAAATAAAAAGAATAAATCGTTAAGTTATTATTATTATAATAATTATTACTCCTATTATGTATTCGTAGTGCCGTCAATATTCTGTTAGTTATTGAATATAAGCATTAGAAATGAAAAAATTTAAACTACGTAAGTAAGAGATCGAGATCGAGATCAAAATATTGTTACTAATAGTGGTAAACTGGGCTTATGAGACAGACACCAAAACTCAAAAGCTGAAGTAAAGTAAAGTTACACTACAGTTACTGTGGGCGTTTCAGTTACAGGTTCTATAATTAAATTAACGTCGACTTGTTGCAAAGATATGCGCTGACATAAGCATCGCTGTGCGTAATTAAGAAACACATAAGCCTTGTCTTAGATTCAGCCTAGGCCTGGGCCAGCCTATCACCAGAAGACCCTGGTGATATGTAAGCATCATCTATAATGCGTTGAGCATATACTCTATCTATCAATTAATAATAGTTTATTAATAGCATTCTTTGGATAGGTTTTTTGCATACCTCCGACCATTCCACCCCGGTTAATAATTTTCAAACCGGTTACTCCACCGAGGGTGGATTTATCCACAAATAATCAGAAGAGTAGTTTGAAAATTTTATAGAATAATTGAAGTTTGGTATTTCTTAATTCATGTTGCAGTTGATATTTGTAGCCAAAATCTCGCCAGTTCCTGTAGATTAGCTTTGAAATTAATATTCTTGGCAGACGGTAATTGCCATAGTTATCCAAATTTTTTTAAGAGATTTTCAGTAGTGCATAAATACTTCTTGGTAGTATGGTTTCTTGGAGGAAAGAATCAACCTTGGTTTGGAATAAGAAGAATACGTCATTGAGCATCCTAGTTCTTAGAACTGGCTATATTAGTTTATATTGCCATTTAGAAGTTAATAAATCTAGTAATTATGATTTAAAGGAATAAAAGCATGGCTATACAAGAGTTTCCATATTTCTTGTTTGATTCTTCGTCTACTAAATCTTATTTTCTCAATCACACTGAAGTATAAACGGTAATAATTAGAGACACTAAAATGGAAAATCCCCACTTCTGAAAGAAACCTCAAACCTTGTTATTGTTGACCTAACAACTCCTGTTGGACTTACTGCATGCATATAGTAAACTACGAGCTTCTGAGGCAAGCGTGATTCATAATGTGGGGTCCAGACATTGATCTGTTGTATATTAATCTGTTGTATATATCGTCTGGATGGTTGAAACATCTTTGAATGTCAAATTATAACAACATGCCCAAATAGTACTTGGATCTCTGAATCCAACAATATAAATTATCCTCTATTCCTTATAATTAGATATATGACTGGACTTGTGTAAATTGTGTGAAATTTTCATTATCACAACTGCAAATCGAGACTGATGAGCTAAGTTCTATCACTTCAAGAATTCTTCTGAGAAGCTAGTAATTTCTTACCATATGATGAGTTAATCCACATGATGTGAGGTTCCTCCTTTGGTTTATAGCCAGTATCATCGAATCCAACAAAATTCTTGTTTCTTGTTGCCAACTCTTTTAAAGGATGCAACGGTTTGTAGGCAAAAACTCCTCCAATTTTGCACCCAACGGAAAAATAGATGTAACAATTCTACAAGTACCAAAGCAAGTCATTTCAATTCATTTATCAAGAATATGATGAAAGAAGCAGGGAACTTTGCCAAACTCAAAGATTCATAACTCAATGCTACAATACATACATGTCATGAGCTGTTTTGATCGTATTGGAGCTTGTATACTTTCCATCATATGCCCTTGCACTAAACGCTATTTAGAAACTCTGGCAGTTTGAAAACCTAAACTAAAATGTTCGAACTTAACTAGTAAATAACAACAGACATACAAAGCAGGTGATGTCATAAGTAAGTTCACCTATTTTCAAATAATTGGTTGAATATCGTGATTTCCTGGTATGAATAAATGCACCCTCGATCTAGGAAAAAAAATCTGACCGGTTTGGAACATTTTACCGGTCATTGCTACAAATTCTTGTCCGGTAGCATAAGAATTTCCGGTCCGAAAATAAAATCAGTAATTATTAATTAATTCACTTCTCAACCACCACATTTCCTTGTTTGATTGACAAATTTACCTTTTAACCATCTTCAACATTTCAGTTATAATCAACAGTACATCACACCTTTCAAGGTTTGGTAAATCATCATACTTAACTATTTAAGAATAAAGGATCTTTCCCCTTTCGGATCCCTTACCCCCACCACACCCCCCACTTTTTCGAAGTAAAGTGAGAGGTAAGGATATTAATTACAACGTGATTACAACCATCTCCATATATCTACTATAGTGATAACAAGTTGTAATCCAAAACACATTCCATAGTTAAATAATAAATACGATTCGCTAGAAAAGGTCAGATCGAAATTAATATCGAAGATCTAACTAGATCTAATACGATCAAAAATAGATCTAAATTCAAAGTATCACCAACTTTTCATTTATTTCATATATTCCTTTATCCAGAGACCTTAAGGTTCAGGATCGTAGAAATAAATGACTAAAAATTGCTCAGGTGCGAAATAATTGTCAGTATAATTAAATGGAAAATTAATAATTGATAATTAATAATTTAATGCACAATATGGGGTTCGATTTAGATTTAGATTTAGATTTTGAAAATCTAGCTAACTACAAAAGAGATGATCTGACTCCTACAACTACTTCATTACCACTGCCATATGTATCAACTCAATACTATCCATTTTCCACCCTGACTGGTGGTCCTAGTAGTCCAGGTGGTAATAATAGTACTGGAAGTGGAGGTGGATCAGATTATACTGGATTTGTAGGTAATACACCATCAACAGTTCTTTTCTTCTTAGCTTTGGCTGTGGGTGTATTCATAGCCTTAATGTTTGTATTTTTTACCATAAGATATTTTGTCAGATCAAAATATGGATTACATGTATATCCATTATCCAGAAGACAATTAATGATGGGTTCATTCTTGCCACCTGCTCCCCCAGATAATGGTCCTAGTACTACAGATCAAGGAAATTCAACGAATAATGCTAATGAAGCTAACGGACAAGGATCTTCTACAAATGGTGTGGATACACCAACAAGATTAGCGGATGCTTCCGATAATCTTATTCGTGAGCAATTGGAAAGAATCCGACAAAATTACGGTTTCGATCATTATATCATTGAAGAACTTGGACGAAGTAGACGAAGAATGTATGCTAGTACTAGAGGTGCAGGATATCGATTTGGGGTTGGTGTTGGCGTTGTTGGCCCAGGAAGTGTCCCATATATAACTCAACATACCAGAAGAAGAAGAGGTAGATTTGCTAAGATGAAGAAACTAACTGAAGAACAATGTGAAATTTTATTTCCTAAGAAAACTTATCATGAATGGTTAAATGGTGGGAAAGAAGATGACGCTGAAAATAGAGCAGGTAATCTAATGGAAGAAAAAGAGGATCAAGATGATGATGAAGATAGTGATATAATTCAAACCATTTCAGCCACTAATAGAATAGCAACAGATGAAGATGAAAATGCTGATAATGATAATACTTCACTACAGCCAGCTAATTCTAGAAATCAGAATAGTATTAATCCTATTGCATATTATAAATCTGAAAAAGGAGAAGAGGGTACATCTATTGAGATGAAAGAATTAGTTATTCATGCTGAAGAATCCACATCTACAATGATTAATGAAGAAACTAAAGTCAAAGATTCAGTAGAGACACCAGCCACCACTAATGCTAATACTACAATTTCAACCAACAATGGTGAGTCTACGACAACAACAACAACAACAACACCACCACCACAATTGCTTAACCCAATAGATTTACATTTTGATTCTGGATCTTGTGCTATTTGTTTAGAGGTGTTGGAAGAAGAAGATACCGTTAGAGGATTAATATGTGGTCATGTATATCATGCAGATTGTGTTGATCCTTGGTTAACTAAGAGAAGAGCATGTTGTCCTATGTGTAAACGAGATTATTTATTCAAGAGAGATAGTGTAGCCATTCAAAACGCTAGAAATGGCAGTGCTGGAGACACACAAGTTCCGGCTGAAGATGTAGAAGACGAAGAAGACGACGATGAAGATGATGTGATTAGTCTCGATTTAAATGAGTTCAGAAACGATCCTGAATTAAGAGCTATCCTTCATGAATTAATTCCAATTGGTGAGAGAGTAGCAATAATTTTAAGTGAAGAACTGTTAAATCATTTAAATTTTGAGCAAAGAGCTCAACAAATTGCTAAGGAGAAATACGGTCACATTTTTAAAATCATATTTTGGAGATTAATGGGCATTAAAAAGAAAGATTTATTCAATTGGGCTGTCATCGAGTTGTATCGTGAATATAGAAGATCACAACTTCAGCCAAGTGATGAGAATGATACCGAGAATGGTAACGAGAATGAAAATGAAAATGAAAATGAAAATGAAAATGAAGCTGAAAATGAAAACCAAGCTGAAGGAAGCCCCTCCGCCGAAGCTAGTGATGAGTCAGTTGAAAATAATGACGATTCCCCAACTGCAGATGTGACTGACACTGAAATTGATCTTGGTCACAATGCAAACACTCCTACTCCATTAACGCATACGAGATCTATATCTCCTACAAATACTAATGCTCTTGATCCAATTGTCTCGCCTGAAACAGCAAGAGACGTAGTAGATCAGAGAGTATAATGGACTTATGTATTGATACTTTCCCTGTTCTATTCGATTCGATTCGATTCTATTCTATTATTACTTTCTTCTTTACAGACATCATTTACTTCAATTTCTTCTACTGTTTATATCCCCTCCTGTTCTTTTCCTTTTGTTTTAGTTCAACTCTATTCATTTCCGTTTCTTAACCAATTCCAATTTCAATTCCGATTTCTACTCATTGTTACTTTACTATTCTTTCATTTCTTATATGTCTGTACTATATAATTTTAATATTAAGTATCAGGTTTTACAACTAATTTCGCAGCACTACAGTACTGCAGCACATCCTTTTCGTCTCCCTAAATTATTCACTCACTAAAAATTTTAGCGTGTAGACCCCAAAAATTTACCAGGTGCCTTAGAAAAATTTTTCAGACCACTAGCGTAGCATTAGTTGTAGGGATTGCGATTAAATCAAATAGTGGAGTCCTAAGTTATATAACAAGGACATACCTAATTCAATAATTTTAAGTTGGAATTAGTTTTATTGTTAAAACTAAAGTAGATAATTAAAGTCAATTACGTAAACCAATATGGCACCTCCTAAAAAAAGTATTAAGATGGACTTAGGTTCATTCTTAGCTGATGATAGTCTTGGAGGATCATGGGCTGATGAAGAAGTTGATTTAAGTTCTATTGGAGTTACTGTTAGTTCAACTGCTGCACCAGTTGGAGGTAACTTTGGAGGTTCTGGATCAAATGAATCATCTTATGGTCGTGGTTCATCATCATCTTATGGACAAAATCGTGAAGGATTTGAAGAAAGAAGAGAAAGAAAAGAATTTCCAATTCCTGATCATCCACCTTATAGAGCTAAAGCAAGTAACTTATCATGGGAAGTTAGTGAAGAACAAATTAAAAGACATTTTGAAAGTAGAATGCAATTAAATGATATAATTACTGATGTTGTATTACCATTAGATAGAGATAATGGTAGAGTTAAAGGTTATGCATTTCTTACATTTACTGAAAGAGAATATTTAGAAGAAGCTTTAAATTTAAATTTAAGTGAATTCATGAATAGACAAATGTATGTTCAAGTTGCTGCTCCTCCAAGAAATGAAGATGGTGATTGGAGATCTGGTAGATCTGGTCCATTAGGTAGAGGTCAAAGAGAAGAACCTGATTTAGATTGGGGTGCTGCTAGATCAACTACAGCAACTTTACCTCCAAGAGAAAGAAGTAACAGAGGTGAAGGTAGACCAAACTTTGAAAGAGCTCCAAGAAGAGATGAACCTGATTTAGATTGGGGATCAGCTAGAAATACAACTGGTACTTTACCACCAAGAGAAAGATCAGAAAGATCAGAAAGACCAGATAGACCACCAAGAGAAAGAAAACCAGAACCAGAATTTGACTGGGATACTGCCAGACATTCTACTGCCACCTTACCACCAAGAGAAAGATCTAACAGAACCGAAAGATCCGATAGACCACCAAGAGAAAGAAAACAAGAACCTGAATTCGATTGGGGTTCTGCTAGAAACAGTACCGCCACCTTACCACCAAGAGAAAGATCAAATAGAACCAATACTGAAAGAACCATAAGAACCCCAAAGAAAGAAGAAGCCCAATTTGATTGGAAAAGAGGTCAAGCTTTACCACCACGTGCTAAATCCAATAGAAGTTCTTCCAATACCACTCCAAAGAAGCAACAACACGAAGAAAAGAAGGAAGAACAAGTTAAACCACAAAAGTCTTCTTTTAGTGTATTAGCTGTTGAAGGTGATTCCGATGAAGAAGAAGAAGAACAAGCAGAACAAAAAGAAGAAGTAGAACAAAAGGAAGAACCAAGCTTAGAAGCTGCTACTGAAAAATTAACTCTTGATAACACCAAGGAAGATGGATGGGAAGTGGTTGGAAAATAATCAGTTGTAAATTAAAATAAATAAGTAATCCCATTTCATCAAAACATACTAGCATAATCATATCTTTAAAACTCTTGTCATTTTGAGACTAACCTAACGCATCATGGCTCGAAGATAGTCTGATATCTTCCGGACAGTAATCTGTAATTTGTAATCTGTTCCATAGAATACCTTTTCAATCATTCCCTTTGTATAGATATTTCTACCTTCTTTTACTCTTCTCTTCTTTTATATGTTTAATTTATAATTTTTGATTTGTACTGATATATGGTGGTGCACGTGATCGCGCATATCGTGACCTACAAAAACTAAATGTGAGACTATCACCAAAATTTAGAAACTTGACCAGCCTTTATCACTATCCATAATAATACACTAGGCTGGCTGCAAGCGGATCATGTCACAAATTGATCATAATGGGAATGGGAATGGGAACCGAAATGACAGCTCTGCGGAATTATACTTGATAAATACAAATCGTAAGTGAAGTTTGTCGATAAGACAAGAATACCAATATAGATGACCATACTAACCATATAAATTATAGAAGTGTATAAACGAACTCATCCATCACCATTAGATAATTTATTATCAATGTATGGATTGGAACCAATAGCGAAATCATTGGCGCGCTCAAACCCCGATGGATCCAAGGGAGTAAAGTTGAGAAAATCATATAAAAATCATATACTGGATTTACCAGGTAAACATCAAATAGCGCCTGGGAAACAAATTCCTGGTAGTATATTAGATCCAACAATATCACAAGCTCCAGATATAATACGAGAGTTGGATCCTGAACTTTTAAGTCGAGCTTTAAAGTTTGAAAAAACTTCAATAAATGGTATTGCTGGTTTCAATACGGCGGATTTAGCTATCAATGATCAAAATAATTTAATGAGAGGTGATGATATGTCTGAAAATGATGAATATGGTTCTAAAAAGGGCAAGAGAAAGAAGAAGGTGCAAGCCAATGGTGGTGATATAAAGAGGCCCCATATATAATACGCATGAACATAAACATGAACATAGTTATTAATAAAATCTATAGGAATTACCCATACATAGAGCCTATAGGCTGTAATATATTATACGATAATTAATAATACAATTATTAGAGAATTAGAATATAACTCTATACTTAATACTTGTTACTAAATCAAATCAATTCCGATACTTTAGTATATTTCACATACTTCTTAATGGGACTTAATGGCTGCAGCATAAACTCTTTGGATTGTTGACGTTTAGCACTTAATTTGTTTTTAATAACTCTACCTCCATGATTAATTAATGTCTTTACTACTCTCTTTTCAATTAATTTGCTAAGATCTAACATAGAAAGAACTTCTTCTTCCACAATGAATTCAGGTAAATCAATCAATAAATTTTGAACATTAAATAATCGTTTATAACCTTTACTTAATTTAATTGATATCAGTACCGATATTGGATGAACTTTTAATGATATAATTGAAAGATATTTCTTAGATCTATCAATCATTTCTTTAACTTGATCCTGATATTCAGAATCACTAGAATCAGTAGCCAATGATCCATTATTCTTTTCCGATAATCTAGTCATATGTCTATTCATTGATCTTCTAGCTCCACTACCTGAACTACCTTCAAAAGTTCGATCATCAAATGATACTCCTTTATTAACTCCTTCCAATTCTTCAACAAATCCAAATGGTGCTGAATCTTCATCTGAATTCTCATCTAATTTACTTCTTTTATCAGTACTAAAATTTGTAAATTCTGAATGTTCAGGTTCTTCAGAATCTGGTGATACAATGAAATTCATCAATTTCTCGCCAGTTTGTTCATCAATCTTGACTGTTAACGGCTGCGATGATATTTCAATATTTTCAATCACTTTTATACCTCCAACGGATCGATTTAATGTCCAATCAACGGTAATTAAATTCTTACTATCATCAAATTCTTGACCCTTAGGAAGGTATGGTTCAATTAATTGAGGATATCGAGCATTTTGAATTAAATTAAATCCTTGAAGTACTCCAATTTCAATTCTATTAATATTAGAACCATTTTCAATTACAGTTCTTTTAAATTTCCCCTTAGCTAATGCAAAATCTAATATTGGAGTTCTATCATCTTCTAAGAAATGACATATAATTTCATCAGCTCGAATAAACCAAAATTCATTAGCTCGAACTGATGAATCTTGAGAGATATCTCCAGTTAATAAAGTTTGTAATAATAAAAAGATTTCCGTAACAATCTCCCCCTTTTCTAAATTAAGTTGAAGATGATCATTTAAATCTTCATTAGTTAATTTTCCCTGTCGGAATGAATAATTTCGTGAAACAAGTTTCATTTTACTATAGTATTCATGTAAATTAACCAATCGTAAATATAAAGCATGTAAATCTTGAAAATCAATTGAAAATTTCAATTCTGCAAGTTTAGTACTAATTCTTTTACTCATTGGTTCTGAATAAAATATCAAACTCAATAGTATCACATATAATGTAGTATATTGGCCAGAAGTTGAAGTTAGGATAAGTTTGGGAATATCAACATTTAATCTACTAACGGCTCCTTCGACTCTTTGTAGAGAGTCTTCCATTACATGGGTATCCTTTTCAATAGTTAATTTCGATTCATTTTCCTTTTCGTTCTCATTTCCATTCTCATTCTCATTCTCATTCTCATCATTAACTCTCCAATTCCTACCACTAGTCTTAATATCATCATAAGTAATCATTATTGAGGACTTTTCAATTAATAATTTCCGTTTATCAGCAAATAATCCACTCTTACAGATTTCAATGGCAAGCCATGGAGGCCAATTGGTGGTAGAACCATAAGTGGTTCTATCAAGTAAAAGTTTATCAGATTTTAATTCTGATTTATCTAATACAAATATCAGAGCATCCTTTAATAATGTACCATATCTTGCTTCTAATTCATCAGGTTTTATAAGTAATTGATTGGAAGATTTCTCCACAACAGATACAACTTTCATATCAATACTTGGAGCGGCAATTATAACTACTGCATCCGGTTTTTCTTCACTTTGAAGTTGAATCTGAGGAGAGATTATCTCCACTAAATAATCTTCCATGATAGTTTCATTATTCTTATTATGACGTCTTAAGATTTGATCGAATTTTTCCATTCTATCTGCAGCATTAACTTGAGGTAATTTAGGTAATGAATCAGTTGCACTTTTACTTTTATTAATTGGTTCTGACTCTGTTTCCGATACAATCGACATATCTTCCCGATTAAATTTGGAATTAACTTCATTAATTAATTTCTCTAATGATTGAATAGCATCATAAGATAAATACTTCTTTAAACTAGCCTTTAATTTAACAAAATGAATATACTTTAATACATTATTTCTACTATCAAAATTCCATTTAAGTAACATACCTACAAATGAAAATTTATTATGAAAATTATCTCGTTGTTCGGAATTTAATGACGCTATAGACATGGATCTTTTAAAGTGTCCCCATTTCCGTTTGGTATGAGAGATTTCTTCATTTAAAAATTTAATTCTTTTCGTTAATTGTTCAATTAATTTCTCTTTATACTTATACTTTTTCATTTGTGCCTCTAAATAACTAATTCTTCTTTTGAGTATATCAATTTGAGGTTCAAAGATATTTTTAGAATTCAATTGACACGGATGTATTTGTTCATTACCAAAGATTTCCACATTTTCAATATTCAGTAAATCATAATGAGTATCTCTTGAGTAAGTAAATAGATTGGCATACATTAGGGGATAAATATGAATTTCTCGTTCAGTCCTTTCAAGACTCGGTAACGTAACTTCTTGAAAATCGTGGATATCAAACCATTGATGATCTTCATCATGGATCTTATATTTATTCTTTGTGGGATCATATTCATTGGTTGTGGTGGTGGTGGGTTTATATAATTCTTGTTTAAATGATGCTCGAATAACTCTTAAATCTATACCACTTAGACTAACCTCTCCAATATTAAAATTCATCTTCATAATCTTTTTATTTCGAGATAATCCTTCATTGATTTCAAATCGTGGCTCCTTTCGTTGATGTAAATCCACTGAAAAACTATCAACTCGAGCTCTTACTCCTATACATTCCACTCTATCTTCATCATGATCAATGGTTTCATCTCGATAAATATGAGATATAAATAAAGATTTCAAATTAAACATGAATTTATTAGTAAATAAATGTTGAGAAAATTTAGCTGAAGCCTTTAATTCTCCAAATAATGAACCTCTTCGAACGGGTAATATCATATTACTGGAAAATAAATGCCACCAATCAAAGAAATGTTTAAATACTCCGGGAGTTAAATGTATTGAATTATAACTTTCATCTTTATTGGCATATAATGAGATGGCCATATGAATATATTCACTTCTAAATCCTTCATAAGAATCATGTCCTACTTTAGTATATTGAGGATTAAATAATTTTATATCATAATGAGGTCGAGATTGTTCAGTTCTTTTCCCTCCATTATGTTTATCCTTTCGTTGTAATAAGAATCCTACTTTAAAGTTGACTCCTCCACTTAAACTTACTACATTCTTTTCAAATACATCGGTAGTTCCCTTTCTGATATTCCCCTTAGTTCCATCATCTAAATAATAACTATAAGTAGATGTAATGAATTGATCTGAATCTGCTAATGACACAGCCTTAGAACTTTCTCGAGTCCATGATATTAATGGAGCTCCCATATAATTGGGAATATACCATGAAACTTTTTCAGAATTAATATCAAAGAATTGTGTTGAATCATCATTAGCATTAACTTTCCATACAACATTCTTTCTAAATGCTAATACAAATCCTGAAGCAGTATCTATTAAATCATAAGGATCTCTTGACCCTTTGAATCCCACTTCTATACTCTTTCTTGATTTAATTTGAAATCTTCCATGCATTAAAAGTCGAAGCTTATCCCAAAATCCAAGCTTTAATGATGGATCAATGGGAGGTTTAGAGAATTGATCAAAGTTTAACATGAATTGTTGAATTCCAAATTGATATGACTGGCCCCAGATGAATCGGGATGGTAGATCGGATTCAAAATTACATCCCATATCGACGTATAGCTTGATAGACGATAAGGATCTTTCGATGGTAAGTGATTCGAATTTGGTTTTGTTTGTATTTGTTTCAGTCAATGGTACTATCACTCGTCTCAGATTCTCAACATTGGTTACTAATTCTTCAGTAATTATTAGATTCCCTTCTAAATTCAAACTGGGGATATCCTTATTGTTATGGCGAGGAACATGTAATAAAGCTAACGGATAATCTCGTAAGTGCATTCTTAATTCCGCAAGTTTCAACTGTAAAAACATCGGTAACATCAAAGAATATTTACTATCGAGCGGAACTCCTTGACCCATTTGATTAATGAATTTCGATAAATCTTTAACATTGAAATTGGGTTGCTTTATACTTAAATCCAATCTTTCCATAATGATTAATAGTAAGGGAGCATGAATAGAATATGGTAATACATCATTGTTAAGAGTTCGTTCAAGATTGGGTTCATTCCCAAATAAGAATTTCTTATTAGTGACTAATTCATTTCGAAGTTTGGCCTTATAACTCGTCACTTTTCTAATCCATGAATTGGATATATTCTCTTGTAAATGTTTGAATTTGGTGTAAATATCTCCCTTATTAAGTTTGGGTTGATCCGTTTGAACTCTAACTTCAAATAATGAATACTGTTCCAATCGCTTGCGTTGTTCAACTAATCCCAATTGATAAATCATGCCCAATTCCGATTCAAATGGATCATCTTCCATCCAAAACGTTAATCGTTTAGATTTAATATTGATTCGAGGTAATAAGATCTTGGATTCATTGGGAGTAATGATTCCTGTTTTCTTAATGGACGCATCCTTAAGGTATTTAATTAAATATCGTGCTGTCTTAATTGTTACGGATATACTATCAATTAACTTATAGATAATGAATTTATGAGGTTGGACCAATCGAATGCCATCGGATTGAATTTCTATATTGAAATCTCGTGACTTATCTCCCATTAGTATGGTTATACTATCAATACTTAATAATCGACTCCAGTAATTATCGATTAATGGTGATGCAGATAATACTCGTGCAAGTTCATTGTTGATTTGGAGTATCCCTCGATTAAACTGTATGACTCCATTGGTCTGTTGGATCTTGATCTTCATATCTTTATTCAATTGAAACATCATATCGACAGTCTTAATGTTGATGTCTAATTGCAATACTTGTCGAAGTGTTTTAGTATCTCGATCTCGATCTCGATCTCTTTTGGCATATGACTGTTTCTTGATCTTCACTTTGGATCGGGCTAACTTAGCTGGATCAATAATGAATTCTCGTATGGCAAATAGTGATCCTACACATATGAATAGCTTGGAAGTATTATAAGTTCCCAAGACATCATCAATGTCTATATCGATTTTTAAACTATGATCCTTATTATGTTCCTGAATGGCCAACATGTTAATATCGATTTTAGGAATACTAATAAACCCTTCTTGCTTATTACTGGAGGGATTGTTAAGGGTAGATATTTTAAATTTGGATAATTTCGACACTGCTCGCCAGTATGGTTTGGCCGATTTAGATTTGGCTTTGGGTCTGTTATCACTTTCATCAAAGTTTGCTAAAGTTTCCAGAGAAGCTGAAGCAGAAGCTGAAGCTGAAGCTGAAGCTGAGGCAGATCCAGTAAAGGCTGTTGATAAGAAATCCGGAATCGTTGGCTGATGATTCATATCATTGGACGACTTATGATTATGACTATTCATCAAATCAAACGAAAACTTATCAAAGTTAATTACTAAACTTCTCAATTGATAATTGACATCATCAAAGTCCGTCTCGAAATTGTCTCCTAAAATCCGGGAAATATGGTCCTTTGAAATTAATACTGATCTGGCTCCAAGTGAGATGTGACTCGAATTAATACAAGTTTTAATTTCTAATAACCAATTAGGTAATTCTTTAAATAATTTGGATTCTAATGGGACTTTACTTTCGAAATTTGTACTAGTAGTTCTTCTAATTAAATCCTTTTTAAGTCGTAATATGGCTACATTAAGATATGAATTAACTAATCCCACATTTAAATCATTTTCGGTTAATACTGTAACATCCTTTAATAGAGTATTGATTCCAATTAATACATCAAGTTTGGATAAATCGATATAGAATTCATCAAGATCCAAATGACATTTGATTTTTAAACTCTTTAGAATATCTAAATGTAGAGCCATTGTCTTTAGTCTAATTACTTCGTGAATGTGATGAGTTTTCGTTGGAGAGTTAGAATCATTATTCTCAACCTTTTCATGATAAATTACGGCTGGATGTAGGATATTACAAATTGTATCATAATCTCTCGAAGCAGTAGTAACTAAATGAAAATCTAATAATGAATAAGTAAAGTTTAATAATTGCATTTTTTTATTAATTACATCGGAATGTCTTAATACTAATCGAGGTTGTTCAACAATTAATTTACAATCCAACGTGGGGAGGTATGCATTAAGTAAGTTGATTAATCTATCACGAATATTAGTAGTAGAATTATCATCTTTGGTGGTTGTATTGGTTTGTATATCTATTTTAGTGGTATCTTCATCGGATTCTTCATATTCATAATCATATTCATTTTCATTTTCATTGTCTTCCATATATTCTTGAGCATTTTGAATATCTATGGATTGAGATAATTTAAGAACCTTCAACTTCCGAAGCTTCTTATACTTATTCAAAAGCACAAAGTTATATATAACTTCACTTAATTGGCTTGTATCTAGATCCAATATAGGATTACTAGTCGAAGAATAAAATTCCATTATACAATCTTTAAATCCTTTACCCTTTGATAACTGATGAAGTATATTGGTTTTATAAGTAATGGATATGATTGGAATATTAAGGATTTCATCGGCTTGTTTGATATTATGTATGGAATTGGAATTGGAATTGGAATTGATATAAGTTGTATAATTCAATTGTAATAACTGTAATGAACTAGTTAAATGAAATGGGTAATCATCATGAGGATTAAACAATACTTCAAACCCAGCAGCATGATCAACAAGCTTTATGAAATTGAATGAAATATTCTTAATAGATAAATCCAATGTAGTTGATGGATGACACAGTTTAAAATATTCCTTTACAGTTCGGGTTTCTCCAATAGTTGCAAACGGTATTTCACTTACTGTTAGATTTTCTAATTGGACTGAAAATTCCGAAAGTGCCATATGAATATGATTATAAATATATAACAATTTAGTAAATTTGGCCCGTTTCTTCTTCTGCTTATCAATATTGTTAGTATCGGGTACTGTCACCAGCAGTTTATTGGTGGGATACTCATCTTGAAAGTAGGAATGTTGTTCAAGATAGAACTTTATAAGAGTAAATATCACAAGTCTTAAATCATTGAAATGTGATGATATCTTTATATTTTCTAATAGACCATCGTCTAAATGGATCAGAAAATCAATATTCAATTTAACTGTATTATCATATACTGCATGTTTAGGAGTCCCCATTATTACATAGTTAATATCATTACTCATTAAATTTAATGAGTAATCTATATGATTAGTTAATTTCTCACTATAGTTTGATTCTAATTGGAACCGAACATATTCAATGTTTATTGTTTGAACTGGAGTTAACTTAATAGTCGAATGTCTAACTTCAATGTCTATATTTGGTACATGTTGAACTAAGAATCGAGCGATGAGCTTTAGTATGAAATTTGATGGGAATATGAGGATTTTGTAATCAGTATCATTGGGACTTTTAGTGAATGGGTTATCTATCGATTCATTTGAATTTGTAGTGGTGGTGGTAGTGGTAGTAGATGGTTTTCTGTGATGATAGTCTATTGTTACATTGTCTATAACTATCATTCGAGTATTACCCCATAGTCGAAAGCGTAATGACCTTATAGATAGATGATACTTCTTATTAACCACAGTAATTCCATTAAACAGAATTCCATTATTAATGGTTATAGATTGTAAATGAATTCCACTAATAATATATATAATATACCATACTATTATCCATAATGTAATAATTATAATAATATAGTATACCACAGTATCTCGCCGAGGAATATATTCAAACAATCCACTTATCATTATTAGCTATTTTGTTTGGGAATTTTTACAAAAATTTGTCTTCAATTAACTACAAGTTACAATAATATCTGTTCTATATATAATTATATTTTTTCATAATCTTAGTATTAATTGGAAACTGTTTAATTCACACTATGTCACTTGCTTGCGATATCTCAGCTGGTATAGATAATTATTTATGGTGTGGTGCGGCTTCTATCTGTAAGCCAAAATTGGCAGCTATCAAAACAATTTTCCTGCAGGCAGTGTAGGGTCCCGCTTATGTAATCGCAACTTTAATTTATTTAATTTAGCCAGCGATGACAGAAGCTTTTGCTTTTCGGGGCGCATAACGCAACAGAAACAGAAACAGTTGTTACAGTGGGTTTTACTTTTTATTCATACCTCGGACCGGAATTGCTCATACTACCGGGTTTTAGATTTTCTTACTAGTGATACCACAATTTTTATTTTCATAGAAATTAGATCACAGTTCATCGTTATTAAGTCTTAAAGCCCACATACCGCTACTGTATGAAGTCAGGACCTGTTGGATCAAATTGACCGAAATTAGTGAGCAAAGAAAATGCTCAATGTGATTGAGACTTACATACATATAACATTATTTACCGTTTTTCAAATACTCTACAATCGAATATAACCTCGAGTCGGGAATTTCAAGCCTATATATACATTTTTTATCAATATAGTGTATATATTTTAGCATATTGTTTCCCATACAATGTGAAAGGAGTTTTAGGTTATCTATTTCCTCTTGAATAATTCTTGTTGGGCGCACATGTTATCCTCTTAAAATAGCTTTTACATGTGAGACTATTTTCACTCACGTATCACTCAGTTTTTAAACTTCCTTGACGAGCATAATTACTGGTGTTAGACTAACGAATTCTAAACTAAATTGAGAAATCATTATAGACTTTTTCAAATTGATATTTTAAATTTAGTATGACCTGATTGTTCTGATTAGGGATTGTCTGTAAATGTATTTTTCACATTCTCCTAGTTTCAAATTATATTTCTCATTATCAATACATCCAATCTAAAAACTCATATCAGAGATCATTCAGACTTTACAGGTTTCCAGATGCCCAATAGCCGGATATGTTGAAGCATTTTCTGGTGAATAAGGATTGTTATATTTGAGGAGGTCAAAAATTGCAAAATTGCAAAATTGCAAAATTGCAAAATTTCTTGGCTCATTATATCTGATGCCCTGATGCCAAACGCCAGTATTTCAAACTTTACATATAAGTTTTGATTATTCCACGCAATAATAAAAAGAACTCAAGGATAACAGGTGAATCAAATGACAACCATCCAATATCAAACTGTTGGATGCAACAGCGATGAGTTACAGCCTTCCATAAGTTACGTGGTACCTGATAGTGGTATCAACATCTGCCTTAGTGGAACAATTTATATTCCTGCACCAATAGCAGGTAAGCTGAATGATGCTTCTTCAAAGGGCTCGTTGAAGCCAATCACGTTATTTTTGGTTGCTTCCTTGTTGATCATGTTCACTGGTGTTAATACATTATAATTTGTTCGAGTATTAGTAACTAGCTTTGTACTATGTGATTAACTCTTGTCAAAGAAACAGAAGATTAAGAAGAAGAGTTAGCCAATGAATATATGGACATAGGTTCGACTTCCTGACCACGTCACCTTTAAGAGTTGTTTTAGTTACAGTGATTTTAAAGGAACAAACGGGTTTCCTGATATGGAAGTTGATCAACTCTCTGCAGATGAGCAGATGAGATAGAAATCGATACAATTTCTGAGTATCTGTGTAATAATAATGAATGAAGACCCTAAAAGTATTACTCTGAGAAAGTAAAAGAGAGATTTTGGTGCTTGGTTATTGAAGAAGGCTGCTCAGCATATAAAGCTGCGAAAATCAACGATATTAGTTTGCAAACAGCTTATACGTGGAAAAGAAATTTAATAAAGAAGTAGTTAAGAATTTGAATCGTATTTACGAAACTCCAAAGAAACGTGGACGTAAGCGCTTAGTTTCAGATGAGTATAAAGAACACTTGAAGAAGCTAAAAAAAGATGATGTAGCTGTAACGTTAGACTTCATGGTAGCCTCAAGAGTTCCTTCAGTAATGTAAAGGCTAGTATCTCTGCAATATACAAATTTATAACCAAAGTATGTAAGTTAAGTCTTCAGCGTATTTCGAATTGGTCTCAGAGAAGGAGTTGGAAGAACTACACCACATGATTCCCCACAATTTCCAAAATTGATCCGGTATCCCTAGATTTAGAGACCGATATTATAACTCGAATACAAGAAGTATTAATCTTCGATTGTGGTAGACTAATTACAAATAATTATGGTATGAATGAATTGTCTCCATAGTTTGAATAGTAATTTTATACCTCGGAAGTAAGAAAAACTAAAATGACCGGAATGAAGATTATTCTCCTAGTTCTTCTTCAATCAAAAAGTCGGAAGTATGTTTTGTGTTGTTTATCACGTGCATGTGTTTAGGGTTACAGACCTCGTAGTGTAGTATCCTGTATACATATGTGCGACTAATAATCACTTCTAAGCTCCATACCTCAATACTCCCAACACAACCAACTATGTCTCTCATTGTAACATCCAAACATCAATACAATACTTAGTCGCACTAATAAATTAACCTTAACTATGGCAACTCTGACCACTCATTTCTTTACTATGGAGCGCAGTACTATCACGGAAAAAAAACTAAGTGAAAAAATTTTAAATAGTTAATTATTAGTATTGAACTCTTTTCACTTCCTTTAGAATTAGTAACAACATTAGATCAAAGAGTATGTTTGAATATAATACCTAATGGAATGCGTTTGAATAGTTGAATAGTACTAGCATGACTTATCAGTCGTGGTTATTGAAGACCATTAACCAATAATGTATTGAGAAGATCCGAAGAGATGCAGTAGTTTATCAGAGTGAATAAGAATCACAGTAGAAACATATCATTGACAAAGTTAACAGAATAATGAGGAATGAAACAATAACATCTACAACCAAGTGTTAAGTATTGAATCAATCTACCGAAGAAATCAGTAATCATTATCAACTACAACTACAACTACTACAACATATCAATAATCTACTACTTTATAAGAATATATCATCCATCAATAACGAAGTAACATAATCTCAACTCACAACCAAAAATACTTTCATGTTGAAAGAAAACTCTGTAAGAAATCACATCACTATTCATGCTGTAACTTACTATTCACCATTCATGATATTACTATGTAATATCAATAAATTTTATAATAATTATAACATTATACTAACTTTTAATTTTTTAGTGGCTGCTTCTGTTCCACACCCAAAGATCGTCAAGAAATACACCAAGAAGTTTAAGAGACATCACTCTGACAGATACCACAGAGTTGCTGAAAACTGGAGAAAGCAAAAGGGTATTGATTCATGTGTCAGAAGAAGATTCAGAGGTACTATTCCTCAACCAAACATTGGTTATGGTTCTAACAAGAGAACTAGAGGTTTAACTCCATCTGGTCACAAAGTTTTCCTCGTTAAGAACGTTAAGGATTTAGATGTCTTATTATTACACACCAAAACTTATGCTGCTGAAATTGCTCACAACATTTCTTCAAAGAACAGAGTTGATATCATTGCTAAGGCTAAGAAAATCGGTGTTAAGGTTACTAATCCAAAGGGTAGATTAGCTTTAGAAGCTTAAATCAAGTATATTAATTAAGTCGTAATATCATTATTAATCAATCAATTATCATTATATCGTCATATCTTAATTACTTACTTTATTAAGTATTCTAAATTAATTAATTTAGTCTTCTTCTTTATGTACAAAATATAAAATTTCACATCTTATAATAATCAAAAAAAATTTTAACTGTAAATTAATAAATATGGTCATATATAAAATGTATATAGTTAAGAACAAATCACAAGACTAAAATTAAAACTAAAGCTAAAACCAAAACCAAAACTAAAACTAATATAACGAAATAAAACTAAGCTCGTATCATTGACATTATCTTCTTCTCAGTATTGAACTACTCATAGCAACTGTACTAACTTCTAAATGATGATGTTTCTTAATGCAGTATCCTAATTCACACATTCCATCCTTATCTAATTTCAATTGAGATGTTGAATGTAAAGTTCTTCTCAAATCAGGTAAAGATTGTTTAATATGTGGTGGTTGATGTGTATTAATACTATTAGTATTAGTATTAGTATTGTTATTAGTAGTAGTATTAATATTACTATCATCATTCTCATACCCTAATGGAGGGTTTGCTAAACTAAGATATGATTCATTAGCATGAAGATCACTCTTTTCTGAACTAGCAGCTTCAATCTCTTGAGCAACAATATTAATATTCTCATTAGTATCTTCATTAGTATCTTCATTAGTATCTTCATTAGTATCTTCATTAGTATCTTCATTATTGTCTTCATTATTGTCTTCAGTACTATTATCAATAATGTCTTCAGCGAGAGGTTCTTCTTGATCTTTTGATACAATGTCATCAGTATGCTCTTCAGGATGATGTTCTTGAACAGCAGGTAATGTTGGAGTTGAAGGTGGTTCCTTTATAGAATTATTAGAAGTATTTGAAGAATCTGAAAAATCCAACATAGATTTAACTTTATTGGTAAAACTAGAATTATTACCATCACTAATAGAATGATTAGATGAAGAACTTGGATGTACCGCATCGGATGATAATTTAAATTCACTTGATGAACTCTTAGTAGATTCATTATCACTTCTAGTTGATCTAGCACTATCTTTTCTTTTAGGCGTCGTAGATGGTGGTATACCTAAACCATGAGATTTATCATTAGAATTTGTATTTGAATTGGAATTATCAATTCCAGCTAAATCTAACATACTTCGGAATGGAGTATGTAAATTATCATCTCCACTAGTATCTCCATCATCAACACCACCTTTATGATGATGATTTCCATGATTATAAGTTCCTCTTCTCGAGGGAACAGCAGATGAACCAGCCGATCCTGTACCATTACTATTTGATGGATACCCACTACTATTATGATTATAATTTCCAGTATCTGTACCAGTTCCAGGTAATACAAATGGATTAACATCTTGATCAGGATGTTCATAAATACACATTTCTAAAGCTTGAAACCAAGGATCAGAGAATAAATTTTCTATACTATATCTGGTATCAACATTTGGATCACATAATTTCCAAGCCACTCTTGAAGCTCCAGTTGATTGAAATTGTGCTGCCCATTTAAATTCTGTTCCTGGACCTTTATGAAATTCATTATTCTTTTGAAAATTTGGATTATCAGTAAAATAACGATGATGACTAAATCTATAGTCACGATAACCCTGATCAGTAGGAATTGCTTGTTGAAACGGTACTCCACCAAATATAAGACAAAATAATAACATTCCTAAAGCCCAATGATCCATTTTAAATGGATCATAAGTAAAATTCTTTGCTTCAGAATGAGATTTTTCTTTAAGAATCATTACTTCGGGTGATGTATAAGGTGGTGAACCAACATAACTTGATGAACGTTTTACTGGAGATGTTAAATCAAACGGTATAACATGACCAAAATCAGATACTCCAAAATCACAAAGTTTAGCTACCCCATTTGATGTTAAAAGAACATTTTCAGGTTTAAGATCTCTATGAACAATATCATTTTCATGTAAAAATTTAACACCATAAGCAATTTGTTTAAATAAACAATATTTTTCATTAATTGGTGATCTTTTCCAACCTGGTTTAATAATAGTAGAGAAAAGATCTCCACCACCACAATATTCAAGAACAATTCCCCAACCTCTTGAAAGATTAGTTTGACTTTGAATTCTTACAATGGCTAAAGTATCAACCACATGACGAGAAAGTGCTGCCTTTTTAGAAATTATAAATTCTTTTGTAACTCGTTTATAAAAATCTTCATCAGTTTCCTTTAAAAGCATAGTAAATTTCTTTAAAGCATATACATTCTTTTTATGATTAATTGAATTAATAATTCTTACATCTGAAGATCCTCCATCACCTAATTTTTTATTAGAAATATCAATTTCATAATCTTCAAGAAGATTTACATGTTCTTGTTGTAAATCTGGTGGAAGATAATCATTAGGATTATGAACTGGATTTGCAAGAATTCTTTCACCATCATTTCCACCAGATAAATAAAATGATGGATTCTTTGGTAATTCTTGGGTAGGACTCTTTTTTAATCCATATGGATTATAAACAATCTTTTCACTACCTTGATGAGCTAAAGAATGTGCAGAACTATGAGTTCCTTGAATTGGATTACTTGAAAATGGACTTGTACTTATATTATTACCTTCTACTCCCATACGTTGTTGATTTTTAAGAGAATTCTTTTGATTTAAAGATTGAATATGGGCTAAAGTTTGAGCTTTAGATAATAATTTCTTACCTTGAACGGGAGGTGGATGATGATGATGAAGTAAACTATCATGAGTATTACTTCTTGCTCTTGTGAATATATTATTTGATGGTGAAACAGGAGAGCTATTTGCAGAAATATTAATATTATTATTATTATTATGATTATTGGTTGAACTGGATGAAGAAATATTGGTAGAACTTACTGATTGAGAATTATGACGTCTAAGTGAAAATCCTCTGGTAATTGGAATTGATGAATCTTTATTACTTAAATTAGGAGGTCCACCAGAGGTTACCACATCTTTTTCCTTATCTTTTTCCTTATCTGACTCTTTAGTTTCCCTAGTTTTCTTTAATTCTTGTTCATGATGAAATAATTTACTTAAGCCAAGTTGTGAACTTGAAGCTGAAGGAGATGCAGATAACGGGACTGAAGATGAAGAATCTGACGTGGGTGTCCGATCTTTCTTAAACAAGTGTTTCAACGAGTGCAGCTTGTGGTCTGAGGAGGAAGTTAACGGCATTGTCGTTGGTTCGTACGTTCTATATTTGATGGACTGGGAGTGAGAGTGAGAGTGAAGTTATGAACATATATGTGAAAACTTAACACTATAAGGAAAATCAAAGGATGATAGAATAATTGGAATTAGTGATAGTATAAATTTAAGTGACTTAATTGTAACTTATAATAATAAGTCAATTATATATATTATAATATAATTCAATTTTATCAGTAATTTTACTTTACTCCCAATTGAAATTTAAACTTTTATATGTAACAGGTTTCGTAATTTTTTTTTCTCCTATACTAAAATAGTGGTGGGGGAATATTCAGCTTAAATTGGTAGTTTGGTGAATTTTTGGTGGATTTTTGATTAATTTTTGGTGGAGGGTTGGTAGTTGTTATTAATAATATTAAATATATATAATTATCAATTAGAATGCGATGATATAGAAATTGATTTAATATTTGATTTGATTTTTATTGTTCCCAGTTATTTTATAAAGGGGGTTCAGTAAGAGGATTATGTTTGTTTCTGTCTCTGGTGATGAGATCTCACTATTATTTTACTGAGAGATTAGTGAGGGATTAGTGAGGAAAATTAATTAGTGGCCTGTAATCGGATGTAGCCTGCCTGCCTGCCTGGGGTTTAACTTTTAATTTTAGTTTGGTTCTAATTGGTTGAAATTAGGTTTGCCTTAGTTTAGTTTAAGCACTCACTAAGTTAACGTACCACACTATTTGCTGTTTAAATTACAGTTACGTTTATATTATATATTTATGGGTTGTATTAGCAGCAGAGTTCAGTGTAGTTACGTAATTCTGTTACGGTGTTACTGCCGAATTTCTTTTTTTTTTTACTACGATTCTCCATTTTTTTTTGTTGTGCACTTCGGTAATAAACTAGTTATTATTCCCTACATCTCCCTAAATTACCGACATATTTAGCTTTTTTTCTCATTTTTCTCCAACTGTTCTAGTGACTTGTTGGTGTCAACTGACTGACTGACTCAGTAGTTTTACTGACTTATTGTTAACGAGATAACGTCAATTTTTTTTCCCTTCTATAACACACGTTTATTATACATATTATATTATACACATTATATTATACACATTATACGTTATATATTATACATTATTCCAGTGCTTCATATACTGCATGAATATAACAAAATTCTATTGATTTAATACGTCAATCACAAGTAAACTTAAATTAATTAATCAAACGTTGGAATGGAGGGGTACATTGGCCGACCCGACTTTCCGCCAGGTACAAAACCATTAATGAATAATTATAGCCTGATCACCGAAAATAAAATTGCTATTATGCGAATTACTACCATGCAGCTTTTCTGTTCTTCAACTGCAAAGATTGCGATGCGATTGCGCTTTGTTATCCCCAATTTAATCTATTATCTAGTTTAGAAATCTAATCCCCAAATATGTTATTATATTCTATTTCTTAGCCATGCATCTTATATAATCTTAACTCACCATTCCTACCCTTAATTATACATTTAAGGCACCCCCCTCTCTACTTTTTTTCTTGGGTAACCCGTGTGGATTAATTCATTTGTTTATCCCTTTAAATTAAAATGTAAACCTTTTAAAATATTAATTAAACCATTTGTTATATGACAAACCGTATTTCTATTTGCGGTCCGAGAAAAGTTTGATTATCATTAGCCCCTCCGTATAAGGCTTAGTGTAGAATTTCGCTACTCAATTTTACTCCTCAGATTGTAAGCGTTTTAATTTTTATTATTTCTCACTTTCAAGCGAATTTCTATATTTCTATACAGTTTGTGCGAAAATGCAAATTAATTACACTTTGCAACCTTTTTATCGTTTACTATATATAAATACATTATACTAAATGAGAGTTCTAAGAGGTAATCCTATCGCGTCTTGACTTTTACTGTCATACGCATTGATTATAGTATTCATATCTTCAAAATCATTAGCTTGCTTTTCGAATGAAACCATGAAATCTGGAATATTGAACAGGACAACCAATACTGCTGCAAGATTCATCATTCCCGAATCTAAAACATATAACAATCCTTGGTCTCTAGCAATTGAACCATCAAAACCCTGAATAAACTCAAGAGTACGATATATTGATCTGATCAAAATTAAAATTGATACCAAGAAAAGCATCCCACTATATGTTCTCCAGTTTCTTAACTTTGACGGTAATTGACGAGTTACTGTACTGATATTATTAGGATGCTTCTCTACTCTATAGTAGAATACAATTTCAACAATACAAAATAAGACAAAGAAGACTATTTGTACAAATAGACCAGCCAAAATAAGTATTCTACCAGTAGATGAAGATCCCGAAGCATATAAGCCACCGCCCGAGCCTTGAAGGAGGAAAGATAATACATCACCAGTAACAAAAGTCTTTGTAAGATATTTAGGCTTAATGAGTGACTTTTCATCAACCCTAAGTGTTTTAACTAATTCACCAAAACTCATATATATAGTGGCAGCAAACAAAGTAGGAGCAAGTAATATACAAGTTGATTGCATAATATATGCGGAAAGATTGTTAACATCATGAGATGATAATAATCTTCCAACAAAACCAACAGTTTCAAATAAGCATCCAACACAAAATGGGATCATCATACAAAGGTAACGAGTCATTTGCTTCTTAGTTACAAAAGCTTTTTTCTTTTTAGAACAAGCGATTGTAATGATTTGATAGTTAAGTATAATTAAATGAAGAGTGAAAAATACTATAAAGTTATAAGAAACACCTTTCAGAGGTGCTCCTCCATAATAATATTGGAAACCATTGGAGGTTGATGTACTTTCCTTAACTGAAGTTAACATACTGTGGTCAATTGATATGTTTATTGTTATACAATTGTGAAATCGTCTTCTTTTCTAGATCTTGAACTTTATTTATAATTATTTAATTGGGCAGTGCAGGGCTGAGTGTCATGGCGCGATAATACTAAAATATCATATTTTGCATTTATTTTACGAAGGACTCAAGAGAGGAATTAGGAATTGGCATGGACATTATCATTATCATTATCATTACACAGCTTCTTGCTAGTTTAACTTGAGGTAGAATTGTTATGTTTATAACTGATTTACTTAGATTTATTTTATCTCTAATAATATTGAGTCTACAATTCACTATCATTAAACAATAATCCCTATAATTAAGAAATAATCACTAGTAGCCTCATACTGTAAACTACATATGAGATTGAACCCTACCAGAAGTAAATAGACCTGACATCCTTAAGTGTTTGGATTATTGAATTGATCTCCTATTTATCATAAACAAATAATTATAATAATGCCCTTATCCGTGGGGAAAACATCATTGCCGCAGTACCAGCATCTCATCAACACATATTGCGTTTATCTATTGTCTTTCTGCATTGACACAATCGAAGATTAAGATAAATCGAATTAGGTCAATTACACTGTACAATATAAATCTAATATTATATATTTACATATATTTTAAATATAAGGTAATACGTAAGATAAAAGTAATAATAAGTAATAATAACAACAGTAAAAATTAAAAGTTAAGAAGAAAGTGTTTGGTATGAATTATGAATTATGAATTATGAATTATGAATTAAAGTCTCATTAAAGACATTCAATGACTTGGACATTTATTTTTATTTAAAATAATAAAACATAATAAACTGGCTGTAGGTTGGTAAAAGACAATTGAATAAACGAAAAATTAATTATGGTAACGACTTAGAATAGAAAAAATTTAAGGGAGCATAGTATGGTAGTAGTTTGGAAATGATATGTATGATACGAGTAGGGATTGAAAATTGAGCGATTTAAGGTTATGATGGTGATTTATTGATGAATTGTTTAAACACTTTCTTCATCTGAAGTCTTGTGGTTTCTCTTAATCTTAAAGAATCTAATACCACCAGAATTGTCTTCTTCCTTTGGAACATCATGATCAGCAGTGGCTCTAGTAAAAGAAGATTCATCACCTAATGGACCACCTGGAGGTGGTAAAATACCAGCTTCAGCATCCTTAGCATTCTTAACATTAGTAATATGCTTTCTGTAAGAGTTAGCAATATTAGAAGAGAAAGTGTTAAGCCAAACAAGAATTAATGCGGCAACAGCAGCCCAAAGAATAGCCATTGATTTAAGACCAATATGAGCATCTAATCCGGCATTATGGAAAGCATTTCTAGCTAAAACTACAGCAGCAGTTTGGAAAGCAGCAAAGGCGAAAAGGAAGAAAAGACCAACAGTGACTAAAAAGATAACGACTTTATCGACAACAAGGAAACAAAGACCTAAAATATCGATAATGAAGGCTAAACCAGAGAAACATAAGGCAACAATAGTAAATGCAAATGAAAATCTGGTTAAATAGTAGTAAACATCTCTGTTGCTAATGAAACTTTGAGGAACATTTTCTTGAGTGTTGAAGTTATCAACTGGAGAAATTGGATAAGCTGGACCTAAAGTACATTGAGTGTAATCATCTTTTTCACAAACACCCCAGAAAGTCCAAGCAGCTTCTTGTGGAGCATTAGGAATATGTTGAGTATCAGCTGCTAACCAATAAAATCTATCTAATGGGTAGCTAGAGGAAGAACCAGCTAAGACAGTAAAGATTAATAATAAAATGGCACCTGCTAAGAAGAACAAGTTCAAAATGGTATGACTGACTCTCATTATTAGTATATTATATTATCTTTATTATATATTATTATAGAATTGAAATTGAAATTGAAATTCAAATTAGTAGATGAGTTAAAAAACTATATCAATTAATTAATTATGTGAAGCCAATTGTATAGGATTGAAGATAGGATTAACTAAGTAGTAACTAGTTCAATGAGTATAAAGACTAGCTCCAACAAATAAGATATAAACTTTGAAGTATGAAAATAAAGGTAAAAGGAAACGAAATAAAATGATGATGATAATGATGAAATTTTATATATATAAGCTTCCCTCGAAGATGTAATGTCAGTTTTGTCTTTGTCTCTTTGTTTATTATTTTTTGTTTCTTTTTAGGTAGGGAGACTTTTTTTTTTAATTTATTTATTTAATTTATTATTTTAACTATGGGTACTTTTTTTTTACTGAGAGGATTACCGATACAATCTTGAGTTGAATAGCGAGCGATTTCAGAAATTAGTGAGAGTGAGAGTAGTTTTAGTGAATGATGACCTAAACTGGGCTAAATAATAAATTATAGTAAGATTTTCACAAGAGAAATTCCACATTTACTTTACTTCCATTATGTTATTGGTGGTTATTTTATTATGCGTTAGTATTACTATAAACTGTTCCTTCCCTTTCACATTATTATAATATTGTAATGTGGTAAGTATAATTAATTATAGGGGGCAATTGAGGGTTAATGTAGAAAAAAAAAATAAGGGAGGAGGGAGAAGGTGCAAAAAAGGGGGATGCCAGAAATAAAGGACACTTCACAGAGACCAGAATTATTGTTATGAGAAAAGATGAGCAGATAGACAACGTCAGTAGAAAACGAAAAACAAACAATGGCAATGACTCTGACTTAACTATCAATTCCAAAACTATGCGGCTGCGTCAATTTCTTGGACGGACAGCATAATTGACCAACCAACAGTAATTGCGATGGTAGTGAAGTCAAGTGGCTGGTGTTACACCAAAGCTACCTGAAATTTTATGAGATATATGAAATATATGAAATTCTGTTTAAATACTCTTATATAATTATTTATTTATCTCTTGTTAATTTGTGTCACTCACTATAATACTTAGTAGTGATACTTCCTATTATTCTCACAGTACAACTAATTCTCTCATTACTAGTTCCTAACTCTATTGGCCACTGCTGCTTTACTAGCTAACTGAGGGAGTGATGAGCTTGACGAGGCGTGCCCATGCACCAATTTGTAAACATGGTGGTCCCAATTAGGCAACCATCATTCATTTTCGTCATCCCAAGCGGCTGGCACTCCCCATAGAATGGAGAAGAGGTTTGTGCAGGACACGTGTTTATAATATCTACCAATTCATACCTCATCACAGGAATTGAGCTTCCTCACACGACCATGAGAATTTCACCCCAAGTTTCTGTGACCATTATCATTATGTCTACTATAATGGGCAATAATGTCACCAATTGCGACATTTTAAATCAACCTCGGCAACTTACTGCAAAAACATAATGCATGTAATATGTATATAACACAATATAAATAATGATATAAAAACCTAACCAACTTATTTAAGTAAACAACCAATGAACTAAAACTATATAAACCCTAAACTGTAAGATATGTATGAAACTGAAGGTATGAAAATATGGTGAATAATTATACATCATCATCAAGATCTTCATCATCATCGCCCCATTTTAAGCACCACCCATACCAAGTCCTTTCTAAACACTTTTGAGGTGTTCCTGTGGGTTCGGCAGTAGATGTACCACTAGAAGATGAAGTTACTGTTGATGTTGTACTTGTAGTTTTACTCTTAGAGTTACTGAGGGTAGTTGTAGATGAACTAATGCTGCCTTGTCTTGTTTTATCTAATTCTTTATTTTTAGATGAAGATGAGGAAGAAGAAGATGACGATGATGAATGTGATTTAGGTGGCTTGGGACGTAATGGATTAGGCATAGAAGGTTCATCACCTTCATTATCATCATGACTCACAAATCTCCAATTAAAACAATCCCTACATGGTGGTTGTTCAACACATGGAGCTGTTTCATTATAATCTAAAATTATATCATCAATAACAGTATGAATCCGATGATTTAATACATTTACTCTCCAACCTTTATCACCTACAACATCATAAACACATTGAAATCCTGTATGACAAGCTGTTTCCATAGCATATCCAGCAACATTACATGTAGATGATGCTCCATTACAAACTCCCATATAAATAGGATCTGCAGTATTACCAATATGCCAAATATGTTCTAAATGTTTGGGTATACCTGGTGGCAGAGGTAAATGTAATCTTCTTGTGGCTAACATTTCTCCTGGTGCTTCAAATGCTACTACTGGTAATCCAAAAGTTCTACCTAATAATGATCCCATGGCTCCTCCTAATGAATGTCCAGTAACCCATATATTAACTTCATTTGGATCATATAATGAAGTCACATTACGATATAAATCTAATGCTGCTTGATAATATTTATCTTCCTTTAGTAATTCTTTTTCTAAACAATCTTGATTACATGTATATGTCTTTTCATAACAATCACATACTGTAGTCCACATATATCCAACTCTTGCGCAACAACAACTAAATAAAAGATTATCATTAACTTTATCATTCCCACTAGTTTCATCACTACCTCCACCTGGTAAACCAGCTCCTGAAGTTCCTTTAATACCTATAACAACAGTTTTATTATCATTACTAACAAATATATGACCTCTTAATCCAAGATCATCCCAACCAAAATTAATATCTCCATCATCTAAATCAGGATTATAATCTCCTACATCAATCCAATCCAGTTGATTCTTTTCATTATCATCTTTAGGGAATCGAACATATGCATTTGATGAAATAGTTGCAAGTGAAACAAGAGTATTACGATCTCTAATATCAGGAGCATCAATTTCAATTCCATTTTCCCATTCAAGATTTATCCGATTAAGAATTTGTGGATTCCCCTTAACTTCATATGCATAATTCAAATACGAATCAATAAAATTAGGAGTATGTCTTTCCTTTAATCTGGTAACATTAGACTTTTTAGTTGATTTCTTTATTGGTAATTCAATAGTGAATGGATTTTTCCCCTTATGTATTTTGGGCCAATCCAATTGTTGATATACTTGTTCAAGATCAAGTGATTTATCATCTTCAGCTAATATATGAGTATTTAAATCATTTGACTCATCACTTAAAGTCAGAACAAGATTAGTAAAGTATTGTGAATGTTTAGCTAAATATTGTGGGGTAATGTCTAGTCTACGATGAATCTTATGACTTTTAGGTCCAGTTCCATGATGATATATATGTCTTAATGTAAAAGTTTGACTATCTCTAAGTATAGTTTTTGGATCTATAGTAATATCATGATTTTGATTAAGTATTGGTAATTCTGGTAATTTAGGTAATGGTAATGTTGGAGATGCAGTTGTAAATGATCCCCATGTTTGAGTGGGTAAGAGTAGTCTACCCACCAATATATAACCTACTACAGAAATTATACCTATTAAACCAATTATCATATATGATCTTTGCTTCTGATGAGTCGTATGAAGATGAATGAATGGATGATGATTCACATTAACATTACTAGTTGCAGTCTTGATCTTGTCCTTATGTTTCATGATGTTAAGTTATGTAGTTACTGATGAAAGTATTCGGTGACTGTCCCCTCTAAACAGTCTAAATTGTATATTATCTATTCTACTGTATGGGTATATCGCTATTGCTTGTAGTTTATGATGGGTAATCCTTATCTCCGTTCCCAACGCATTTTAGTTTTTAATGACTGGCTTCTGTGGCGATAACACAAATGATTGAGTGCGTGAAGGAGGTCGTGCGCATGGGTCACTTGCACTATTAATGGTTGCAATAATCTATACATATATTATAATTTGTTATCTATTATCTATTTAGTATTTATTATCTATTTATTATCTATCTATTATGTATTACGCGGTTATACAGTATGGTGGATGTGTACTAGAGATAGGCCACTTTGGCTATAAGTGGATCATGGGTTTTATCCTGTAACAAGTAATGTCTCAGGGATATAATTCTAATATCTTTAACTACTTTAATAATGTCTTGTCCCGTTACTTGTTGTTCTTGTTCATAACTATGTTGTAAGATTAAATTCAATTTGACTACTACTTCTCCTAAAGCCACTGGATTTAATTTACATCCATTCTCATAAAATGAATTAGCCAATAAGGCAGTAAATAAATCTCCACAGCCATTGAAGTTACATGAGATTTGATCAATTGGGAAATAAAATACAGTGGCCTTATCTTCTGGATTAGGACGTGAGTATCCTACCGAATACATTTTATCTTCCACTATTACAGATGAAATAACGACATTAGGAACTCTATATAATTTGTAAAAATTCTCTAATCCTTGTTTAACTGAATTCCAATCAGATATTTTAGTATCACTAAGAATTTCAAATTCAAATTGATTGGGTGAAGTTAAGCCCACATACCCTGATGAAAAGATCTTTTTATAAACAGGAATTACCTTTTCCAGTACATATAATCGGCCATTATCTCCCAATACTGGATCTACTATCCAAATTGGTTTCTTTTTACTTGATGTTAAACTATCACTGTCATTATCTTTATCAGATTTAAATATAGATAAGACTTGTTCATAAATAACTTCCAATACTTGATCTCCTGGTGTATACCCAGTTAAGATCATATCGTAATTATCATGTAAATCAAGAATATCTTTTAAACCTTGGAAAATATCTCCTACCAATTCGGCTGTACTGGGTTTCCCCTCAAAGGTTCCATAACCTGGATGATTTGAAAAATTGGTAGTATTGACAGCATCAACATCCCAACCATAATATTGTAAGGGAAATACAGTGGCTCTATTACCTACGTATCCATGTACTACATGTGACAGTATTGATAAGATATTCTTAGCCATTGTTATGACTTTAACTTATATATGTTAACTATCAGTTATGCACTCCACTATCGATAATGAGTAATCTAAATCTAAATCTACTGTCGAGACATGCCAAAAATGTCGGAGAAAGACTTTAAAGAATTAAGAGTTAAGAGTTAAGAATTAACGACATCGGCAAAATTAATGTTTACAATTTAAAGCAAAAATGTCGCCGCACTCCACCACCACTGGCCCCGACACTTTAGCGAGGCAACGGTAACTTTTCACCGTTAAGAGAACAGCTAACCCAATATTGATCTGACAGTTTATACAGTATAATTATAAGGAAAATGTCTCTTAAAGAATCTGCCACTATTGATATTGGTTTCCCTATTTTAGGAGCCAAATTTATCAACAATAAAACCATTCTTATAACTGGAGGAGGTGGAGAAGGTAATAATGGTATACCAAATAAGATTACAGCAATTAAATGTACGTTTAAAATTAAAGATCCGAAAAGAAGATTACAAAGATTTAGAGAAATTACTTTACCATCAAATGAAGATTCTCCTCAATGTTTAGATACTGCTAGAATTTTAGATGATGATGAAGATAAATTTTCAGTATTTGTTGGATGTAATCAATCATCTCAATTAATTAAATCTATGAGTATTAATAATAATTTAAGAAAGTATGTATATACTAAAGAAGAACATTTAAGATTTGTAGATGCTGCTCAATTAGAAGAAGAAATTAATGGAGATGCTGATGATTATCCAAAAATTATTAGATTATCTCAAAATAGTACTATTGGAGCCTTTATGACTTCAACTATTCCATCTTCAATTTATATATTTAATCCTGAAACTTTAGAATTAAATCATAAATTCAAACCTACCAAAGATATTGAAATCAAAGATTTTCAATTGACTCCTGAAGATGATGGTAAAACTCTTTGTTATATTACTTCAAGTTCAATTGAAACAATTTCAACTTTTAATGGTAATATCATTACTTCATCAACTACTAATCAATCTCTTGATAAAGAATTAAAAAAATATATTCTTTCAAAAATTCATTTTATTGATAATTCAAATTTAATTATTGCTGCAAGTCTTCGTGGTGGGAAAGGTGCTGTTTTATTACAATATTCTCTTAATAGTCAAAAGATTCTTAAACAAAGAGTTATTTCAAAAGCTTTTAATAATATAGTTGCATTAGATATTTCAGTTAGTCAGGGTTTAATAGCTATTGCTGCTAATGATTATTCATTAACTTTAATTAAACTTGGAAATTTCCAACTTATAAAGTCATTTAAAAAATTACATCCATTTGCAATTACTAGTGTTTCATTTGCTCCAAATGGTTCAAAATTAGCTACTGGAAGTGCAGCAAATATTCTTCATATATTTAGAATTCCTCCAAATTATAGTAAGGGTAAATCAACTATTGGAACTATTTTCCAATACTTATTTACTATAATTTTAGTGGCTATATTGGGAGTTGTATTACAACAAGCTCATGAATCAGGTAAATTAGATGAATATATTGATCTTGGAAAAGAATTTACTTTAAAGAGTAAAGATTTATCTTCTAAATATGGCCAATTAGGTTATGAATATGGTCAATTAGGTTATGAATATGCTCAAGTATATGGTAAAATAGGTTATGATAAAGCTCAAGAATATGGTAAAATAGGTTATTCCAAGGCTCAAGAATATGGAGAATCAGGTTATCAATTTATAAAGCAAAAGTTTAATGGTGATAATGCTGAAGGTGATGATTCTACTAAACATTACTTCACTATGGATGAATGGAAAGAAGCTTCATCATCAGAAATCTTTGGTGATGATGATGTCTATATTTCTAATGAACCTATTCCTGGAACTGAGACAGAGACTACTTCAACATCTGATTTTATCACTCTTGCTTCTGTTTCTGTTGAAACTAAAGAATCTGAATATTCAAAACCTCAAAGTACTACTCAAGATGAAATTCAAATTAAGGAAGTAACAAAAGATATTAAAGAAGTGACATCTGCCAATCCTAATCTTGATACTGAATCATTTTTGGGTGATGAAAGTAATTATATTGAGACTTCAACTGAAACTAGTGCTAGTTCAGCCTCAGTGGAATCTTCAATTGCTGATACTCCGGAAATTAAACTAGAAACATCATCAAGTACAAGTGAGATAGCTGAAACTACTAGTTCATTAGTTATATCAAAGGAAGAAGTTACTACTGTCTCTGAAAGTATAATAGAGTCTTCTGTAGTAATTGAAGAACCTAAAGTAGAATCAGTTGAAGATAAGTTAGAATCTTCCATAGAAGTCGAAAGACCAGAAGAAGTAACTCAAGTGAGCGAGCCTGTTGCATCTGTATCAGAAGAGATCAGTTCTGTTAGTTCTGTTTCAATTGAAACTCCGGTTGTTGAGCCAGTAGCTCAATCATCTGCCGAGCCAGTAGCTCAATCATCTGCCGAGCCAGTAACTCAATCATCTGCCGAGCCAGTAACTCAATCATCTGCCGAGCCAGTAACTCAATCATCTGCCGAGCCAGTAACTCAATCATCTGCCGAGCCAGTAACTCAATCATCTGCCGAGCCAGTAACTCAATCATCTGCCGAGCCAGTAACCCAACCATCTACCGAGCCAGTAATTGAACAACCAGTCGTTGAAGCACCAGTTGTCGAAGCACCAGTTGTCGAAGCACCAGTTGTCGAAGCACCAGTTGTCGAAGCACCAGTTGTCGAAGCACCAGTTGTCGAAGCACCAGTTGTCGAAGCACCAGTTGTCGAAGCACCAGTTGTCGAAGCACCAGTCGTTGAATCACCAGTTTCTGAGCCGGTTTCTGTTTCCGAACCAGCAGTCGAATCACCAATTGAAGCTGTCATCGATTCCGCTAAACCAATCGTCGAATCATCTGCTGAACCAGTAGTTGAGCCAGTCAAGGAATCGGTTGCTCAGCCAATTGTTGAATCATCTGCTGAACCAATCCAAGCTAAACCTCCTGTTGAGGAACCAAAGATAGAAGCACCAGTACAAGAACCAAAAATTAACTCAGCTGTAAGTTCCCAGATCCAATATACAACTACAGAGAGTAGCGAAACTTCAACAGTTATAGAATCCAGTGAAACCAAAGCAGTTTCTAGCGAAACCAAAGCAGTTTCCAGCGAAACTAAGGCAGTTTCCAGCGAAACCAAAACAGTTTCCAGCGAAAGTGAAGCTAAGGCAGTTTCCAGCGAAACCTCTGAGATTTCTTCACAAGACCCTTCATCTTCAGAACCACAAGCTCCCATCTCATCATCAACTCAAAAGCCTGTTGCTTCTGAAACTACACAAACTCAACCAATAGAGCATGATGAGTTATAATAAAAAGTTGTAACCAAAAGTTATAATCAAAAGTTATAATCAAAAGTCTCCCCTCTCTACATACATAGTGTCGCTAGCCTACTTCATACATACCATATATAGTGAAATAGATAATGGATTTTGCATATTCCTCAGTAAATTACTATTACTGTGCACGCGAGAAAAACTACATACTACGCGTAAAAATTTAGTGATACTCTCAGTAAATAGTGAGAGTTAGTGAGAGTTAGTGAAATTGACTCTAGTGACAAATAGTGAGAGTTAGTGAGAAATAAGCTAACCGACATTAGTTTAGCGAGAACTTTAGTCTAGTGAGTAATAGTACACTAATGACTAATGAGTAGTCCATTCCATAAACTAATAGGAGACGTCTCCGATCCATCGGACTGGAAGCAAACTAAACTACCAGTATTATCAGAATTAGATACGCTAGAGAGATGTTATATATGTAAGGAATTCTTTAAGGCTCCAGTAATTACTAGTTGTAATCATACCTTCTGTTCACAATGTATACGAGAATATTTAATCACTAATAATCTATGTCCCTTATGTAAAGTGGAAGTGTTTGAGAGTAATTTAAAACGAGATATCCTTTTAGAAGAGATAGTATCATGTTATACGCGAATACGGCCTTATCTATTTAAACTACTAGAGAAGATGGATGATAAGGAGAATCATAATGATAATAGTGAAAATAGTAGTATTGTTAATATTGATAGTGATAGTGCTGGTGATAGTGCTGGTGCTGGTGCTGATAATGGTGATAGATCAAAACGTCTGGCTGATGACAGTGATGATGTTATAGAAATTCTTTCAGAAGAAGTTAAATCGCCCCTGTCCGGCAGTTCCCCTGATCCAGAAGTGAAATTAAAACGGATAAAATTAAGTCCCAGAGATACCACAAATGATATGGAAAATATGGCTCAATGTCCGGTATGTTCCAATTCAATGCCCATAGATTTTCTACAAGATAATCATATAGAGGCTTGCTTAAATGGTAAAGTTGCGCCTCTTCCAAAACCAAAGTCCGCATTCCCTATGCAACTACTATCATCATCTAAGAAAAAGCCTTCTTCAAAGGGAGGTATAGCGTCATTTTTTCGTAAGCAGGGCCTGAGTGTGGATCGAGATCTGCTAACCCCGGTACTGAATTCATCTAATTTAATTAATGTAGATGAACCATTAGGTCATAGTGATTTTTATTTTAAAGAGATTTCTAAGCATTCAAGCGACACTAAAAAACTCCCGAAATTAGATTTCCCATCACTTACAACTCCACGATTAAAGGAGAAATTAGTAGCGGCCGAAATCCCTACTACCGGGACAAGAACTCAACTTGAATTAAGATACAATCAATACTACGTACTATACAATTCTAATCTCGATAGTAATCATCCTGTATCAGTCAAGATTCTCAAACAAAGATTACATCAATGGGAATTATCACATCTGGCTTTTAAATCATCATCGGGGGACTTATTTAGTAGCCGAAATTCTCTCAGTAATAAGTCTATCTCGTCTAAGACATTTCTGGGTAAACAATGGGCTACAGCTTATCAAAGTGAGTTTAGAGAATTAATCAAGAAAGCAAGAGAGACGAAGAAAGAGCCCAAGATTGAGACACCAGTGGAGGAACAATAACATACACAAAAGTACATATTAATGGTATATAGAACGGTATATAGAATAGTTACAGAATAGTATACAATGTACAGTATTAATAGATATTTGTCACATGTTTGTTGACTCTCAGTCATACTCCTTAACGAAGACCGGCTGTAGCCACACGGACTTTGGATCGTAAATCAACCACAAGCAGATCTTTCGTTAGGTGTTAGCCCTGCGATCTTACACCCAATTAGGCTTCAAGTTCCCGTCAAAACATTTTTCCGCGCTATTTCTCCGAAGGTCTGCGCCAAAAAAAAAACAATGCGCGGAAATTGCATCATATTTGTAGGACCATCTCACTGCGATGGTTCGGTTTTACTGGAGAAGGCAGGGCATTAGAACTTGAGAATTTTCATACACTTTATAGTAGTAAGGCTAAGAATTTTCATATAATTTCTTACTAAGAAAGGTTAAAATTGTTTCGATTTTTTAATTTTGTATGGGTTATCAGTAACTTAGGTCAGTAGCTTACGATTCATAGTATCACACATATACATTATGGTGGATGAATCGTTATACTTGACCACCCATGAAACGGCTTTAGCCGTAGTGGCCACGGCGATGAAAAAGTCACGTCTACGGCTCGATACTTTATTTCTAAATTCATTTATTGGAGGGATATTATTTACTTCAGGAGGAATGTTATATGTAATGATTCATTCATATTGTCCACAATTAGTAGCTCAAAATCCAGGTGTTGTGAATTTACTTCAAGGTTTAATGTATCCAATAGGTCTCTTTTATGTTGTTATTATGGGGGTAGATTTATTTAATTCCAATGTATTATTTTTTAGTACTGCTTTAGCAAGAAATGCTGTATCAATACTTGATGTATTCATTAGTTGGATGGTGAGTTATTGGGGGAATTTAGTAGGGACCATATTTGTATGTTATGTTATATGTAATTATTCGGGTATAAGTAAAGAACAAGATTTTATTGAAGGATCCGTATCTATTATTATGACAAAATGTAGCTTTACATTTGTTGAAAATCTTATAAAAGGTATAGCGGGGAATTTCTTTGTATGTTTAGCTATTTATTTACAATTAATGGCTAAACCTTTACATGTTAAATTGATTGTTATGGGATTACCAATATTTACATTTGTAAGTATGGGGTTCACTCATTGTATTGCTGATATGTATATGCTTGTTATTGGATTAATTAATAGAGCTCCAGTCTCGGTAGGTGTAGTAGCATGGAAAGTAATGTTACCAGGTGCAATAGGTAATATTATTGGAGGATCCTTTTTTGGAGTAGTCATCACCTGGTACTTACATCTTGTAGTAGTTGAAAGAGATCAAAGAGAATTGAACTTACCAAGATATGAAGTTAGAGATGAACAACCTGAATTGAATATTGATTCTAGAGTGGTTAGACAACCAATTCCTGAAGCAGAAGAAGAAGCAGAGATTCTTAATGAAAAGGAAGAATTAGAAAATGAGATGCTTGACTATTCTACTCATTCTCATACTCCAAATAGTGCCGAACTTAATCCAAGAGCATTGTATGGTGATGAAGCAATCAGAATTCTGAATGAATTGGATAGAGCCATATCAAGATTATCTACTGCGTCAAGGGTTAGTGTGAGGACATTGAATCGACATAAGAGTAAATCACCCAAAAATGTATTCCCTGTCTATGGAATGGGACCTCCTTCAAGAAGAGAAAGTAAAATTGCTTCTGGAATTGATGATGATGAAGAAGATATTGATGAAGTGATGGAACGTGATAATATATCGTTGGATTCAAACTCAATAGTCATGGATAGAACACCTTCTGCAACATATATTGGAGATCAACTAAAGAAAGTTTTATCAAGAAAGAAACTGAATGCAAAAGTCAAAGATTTAGAAAACCAATATGCACGTAATCGTAAGATGTCTTTGAGACGTCTATCAACAAGTTCAGTTAGGAGTCGTTTCAGAAGTCGGAATTCTGTAGCTGAATGGAATAGTCGACTTGAACGTGCTAATATCTCACCTCGTGCAGCAGCAGCAGCAGATAATGTTGCAGGAGTTGACCATTTTGCCCCACATTATAGATCAGCCTCATACCGACCCGATTATAATCCTAGAGGTATGAATCGTACTATTTCTACTAACAGTGATATAGGAGTATCACCAAGAGATATGAGAAATACAGGAACAGATACCCCTCTTGATAGTGAATTCAATGTGGAATCTTTTGATCCAGAAACAGACTTGGGAGTTCCAGATGATGATAAAACCGTTAATAATGATGAAAAGAAAAGTCCACGGTCATGACTTAAAAGAGACACACATAACTAACTAATTATCTTAATATCCTAATAATCTAATTTCCTTATTTATTTATTTATTTATTTATTTATTTATTTATTTTATTTTCCTAATTTATTTTTTGTATATTACCATACTAGTTTTGCATATTTTATAGAGGTTTATATAACTATTAATACAATTATTCATTTAATTCATTGGCTGCTAAAAAGGGGTGATGGCGCATAAGTACTAGCGCAACGCAACCCACCTAAAAGTAAAAGACGCCGCATTCCCAAACCAGTAATGAGCGCAGCCCATAGAAAAAAAATCTCAAGCTCATCTTAAATATATTTAATGAGCCATTACCATTTTAGCACTAACACCAAGTAAGAGTAACTATAACGATGTCTACCACTACTGCTGCTTCACAAGCATATTTGGATGATAGTCAAACATGGGATGCATTTAATTTGGACCCACGATTAGTTCAAGCCATAGATCATCTTGGATTTGAAAATCCTACATTAATTCAATCAAGTGCTATACCGTTAGCCTTAGAAGAGAAGAGAGATATTATAGCCAAAGCATCTACTGGATCAGGTAAAACTGGGGCTTATGCCATTCCTATTGTTCATAATTTACTTGTAGAATACTCACAACATCAGAAATCAGCAATTACTCATCTGATTAAGAGTATAATCTTAGTTCCTACCCGAGAATTATCAAATCAAGTTCATCAATTCATTGAAAAATTATTAATATATAGTACTAATAGTAAGATAAATATTCTTAATTTATCATCAAACTTGAGTGATCAAGTATTAAATTCATATTTGAATAATAAACCAGAAATTATTATTTCTACTCCTGCAAAATTAATACAAACTTTAGAAAAGAATGTTAATACAAATTTAATAGATTTATCTACGGTTAAAAATTTAACTATTGATGAAGTGGATTTAATTTTATCATTTGGTTATTTAGAAGATTTACAAAAATTGGAAAGCTTTTTACCTATTAAAAAGAATTTACAAACTTTCTTAATGTCTGCAACTGTTAATGATGATTTAAATGATTTAAAGACAAGATTCTGTACTAAACCAGCTATTTTGAAATTAAATGATGAAAACATAAATCAAAATAATTTAATTCAATATTATGCAAAAGTAACTGAGTTTGATAAATTTTTATTTTCTTATGTTATATTTAAATTAAATTTAATTAAGGGTAAGACTATTATTTTTGTTAATAATATTGATAGAGGTTATAGATTAAAATTATTCTTTGAACAATTTGGAATCAGAAGTTGTATTTTGAATAGTGAACTTCCTGTAAACTCAAGATTACATATTGTGGAAGAATTTAATAAGAATGTTTACCATTTACTTATAGCCACCGATGAAACTAATGAATTTACTTTAGAAAAGGATGAAGATGACGATGAAGAAGAAGCTGGTGAACAACAAGAACAAGAACAAGGACAAGAAGATAAAGAAGGTGAATCGAAAGATGATACCAAAAAGTCGAAGAAGTCCAAGAAGTCTAAGAAAGATAAAGAATACGGTGTATCAAGAGGAGTGGATTTCCGTAATGTTGCATGTGTATTAAATTTTGATTTACCTACCACCTCAAAAGCTTATATTCATAGAATTGGTAGAACTGCTAGAGCAGGAAAATCAGGTATGGCATTATCATTTGTTTTACCAATTAAAGAATTTGGTAAACATAAAACTGCCTCATTGAGTACATCTAAAAAGGATGAAAAGATTTTACGTAGAATTATTAAACAACAATCTAAGAATGGATTTGAAATAAAGCCATATCAATTTGATATGAATCAAGTTGAAGGTTTCAGATATAGAGCTGAAGATGCTTTCAGAGCCGTTACACAAACTGCTATTAGAGAAGCAAGAATTAAGGAATTAAAGAATGAATTAATGAATAGTGACAAATTAAAGAGATTTTTTGAAGAAAATCCTCAAGACTTGGCATCTTTAAGACATGATAAAGAATCTCATCCAGCTCGTGTACAAAGTCATTTAAAGAGAGTTCCTGAATATTTATTACCAGAAAGTGCTAGACAAGATCCTAAGAAACTTGGATTTGTACCATTCCATAAGAACAAGGTTCATAAGAATAGAAAGAGAAAACCATCTGGTAGAAAGTCCGATCCATTAAAGTCATTTAAAAAGAAATAGATCATATATATTATATATAAAATGCAAACGTGATCTATCACCAATTAACTATATAACAAATAACGTAAAACCGTTTGTAGAAATGAAAATGTATTAATGAATAAATGCGTTGATAATATCAAATTGATTAAGTTAATTGATTCAAGCTAATTTACTTAAAATAATATTCCATAGTAAATTTGCCAAACAATTTGCAGGAAATAACATTGATTTAGGAATGAATACAAACAGACAAATTGAGAAGAATGGCCAAAAGCAATAACTGTACTTCAAAGATTTTATGAAGGCAGTTCTAGTGCTTGCAGACAATTCACCATTATCCCATAAGGCATTTAAAACATTAAATATCAATTGAAAAAATGGAGCTCCTACAAATTGATCTATTATAACCCTAGAAGAAAGACTATCAACTCTTAATAAAAGAATATCTATCCATAATACTGTAAAATATCCATTTAATAATCCCCACACTAAGAATTTTAAAATCTTATTTAAACTATATTTCTTTTTAATGAATTGATTTATTGATTGAGCTAATGCAGCAGTTGAAGAACCTAATAATGTTGGTCCAAGGAAATAATGGAATGATGATAAATTATCATAGTTATAGTATATAATTAATGACACTACTGATTCAATAACTAGATTAAGTATTAATCGACGATATAAGTATTTATCATTAGGATTGAAATGAAGATCAATACTGGATGCATTGGAATCTATTGTAGTTAGAGGTGTTGATTTTTCCAAGTTTAAAAAATGATTATTGTTTGATAAGGACTTCTCCTTGGGATATGTATGTAAGGGGATTTCAGACGACAATGTGGACATTATTATTTCAATCGAGTTATACGTGTGTATGTCACCAATACTTTAAAGAAGATCAGGAATGCTACAGCAGTGTTGCGTCTTGTGGACAGCCAAAGTTTGAGATTTTTGTTTTTCTTCAATCGCATTTTCGATCGCGTGTCTCAATTTGCAAGGCGCAATGCGAGGCCTAAATATCAATACTTAATCATAATTATGTCGTTCTCGGTTTTGCATTGTGCTTTATTAATTGAACCGATTCTACGAGTGTTTAAATTATGTAGATTTTAGGATAAAATTATCCAATTGGTGGGCTAGAATTATATAGTAATATTTCCATCATTTCAGTACTCTACTATAAATTTGCTTTAGGATTACAAGAATAACTTTATGATGGTAGTCTCCAATTTTAAGTCATGGCATTTTGAGTGACCCTTCACAAATGCTGGATAAAAATATCCAGCCACTTCAAAGAACCTATTTGACACCTTATATTTGTGGGTTGGCTAGTTTAACTTTCTTCTTTTGTGTCCTTGAACATTAATATGGCTGTTGGATTTTACTTTTTGGACATCTGGCTTAAAATTTAAGACCTTAAGGCCAAATCCAAAACATAAATAATCGTAAAGTGAGTGCCTTTCTTCAGTGTTTACTGGTTTACTTTTGTAATCATAAAGTATTTCGGATAATCTGTCGATAGCAAAAGCACGAGTGGCGTCTCGTAAGAGCTTTAATTCAGTAACACTTAGATCAGCTATTATGATATAGCTATGCAAAAATTTGAAAAGCAATATCATCATTTCCTTAAAATTTCCTTTGTATTTCTTTAATATGAATTCCACTAGATATTTAATCCTTTTTGGTACTTCAGTAGAATCATCAATCTTAGTTGTATTCAACAAGTCAGTAAACTCTTGAAGATCATTTTGATAAGCTTCCCATAACTGTTTATTGGAGGTGTAGTCAAGAAATATCGGTTTTCCTTCCTCAAATAATCTGGCAGCCTGCTTGATGCTAAGCAATTGGGAAATTCTTTCCATTAAATTAATTAGTTTAAGTGTTGAGTGTGGATATGATTAGGTTTTGAGTGTGGATATGATTTAGGTTTTGAATGTGGAAATGATTTAGGTACTGAGCGTAAAAGACGTAGAGTTTTGTGGTGGTATGTTTTAGGGAAGGAATAGCGGTACTTGATCACTACAAGATTATTCACTCCTTACTATGTTTAAGTAATGGAATTAATATGAATTCTGGGATTTTAAAACTTTCAGCCATCAAATTTTATTTTCTATATAGTTTATTGAGTAGTTAAATATTGATTTATTGCTGCAAAAATGGTTATACTAAGTATGGGCCGTATAGAGTAATTTTATGTGCAGTACTTATTTAATTTAGATTCATTGGGATTTAGTAATACTACTTAGTTACTCTTAATCAGTAATCGGTGTCGAGCTTTTAAAGTATAGCTAATAGATTTTTCTACGTGAATGTCAATTGATAATACCAAGACCACGAATAATAGATGATCCATTGTGACACAAAATGATAGTTCTACCTACTTATTTCAAAATTAATCATTAATTCAATTGACTGGTCAGGTTCTTTGATAATAATTTTTGATTTAAAGGCATCATAGCCAAAAACAATAAATCAAGATTACCAAAAATAATATCAAAACATTGAAAGGAGATAACATTATTGGTAGATCAAATTCAATGGTATTTACGTTAAATAATAAGAATCATTTCAATAGTGATCTTTAAGATGTCTGGGATACTTTGACTATAGAGATGTCAGTAAATAAAACACACTATATATTAAATATACAAAAATTATAGGGAGAAGATTATTTCTATTTCAATTGAAGAAAAATGATATTTGAAGAAAAGACCTAATTCACCGATTTATCATAGACTAAAAAATGACTCAAAAAAAATCAACACACTATTTTGCATCTACAAATGAAAAATTATTCACTTTGATTTCACGCTCCACCGAACTTCTATGTGTTCTATGCTGTTTGTTGTACTATCGGATTAACTATAGTTCGGTAAACTGATAGTCATATCTGTACGTGCATACTTCCATTGACCGTTTTTATTACTAAATGGAGTTATGCAGACCGGACTTTATACTAATCAAGACATTACATAATCGAAGTACATATAACACTGCCGTGTAGTCCATAAAATTTGATACTCCATTATACCCCGGGCACAGTTTACAAGGTAATAATTGCAATTACAAAAGTAAATCAGAAAATTATACTCGTATATACGAACCGGCTATTTATTCTCACGGATATGTCCTAAATAAGTAATTCCTTCGGTTGCACAAACCCTGACAATTTTTTTTACACTTTGCGGGCAAGTGTGCTATGGTTCCGGCCGACAAATTCTATATACCAAGAAAGCGCATATATTCTTTTAGTTTGGGGTACTTTTGGCATTTCTCGGAGATGCGATCCGTTAGCCTCGCAGACAAAAAAAGAAAAAAATAATGTTAGCATATATGTACCAAAGCTTAACGAGTAGGCTGACAAAAAGAGGAGAGTCAGTTTACTTGCAGCTTTGTATATATTGTAACATTATTCCTTTCTGTATATAAATATGTTTGTATCTTCTCACTAATCCTTCAAAAGTTATAGAGTTAACTCACAACCAAAATAAATCAGTCAAAATGTCTAACACATCTACTGATTCAACTACAAATAATTATTTAATGGAAAGCAATTTAACCGAACTGGATGAACCAGAACAATTTAGTCATGAAAAAGTAGAAAAGGAAAAGGAAAAGGAAAAGGAAAATGAAAATGAAAATGAAGATGAAGCTAGTAATGATAGACCTGAAGATATAGGAGAAGAATTAGCCACCATAACATCTAAAAATCTTGGTGATGCATATTTAGTTACCTTTGATGGGGGTGATGATGATAGAGAAGATGCTTCAAGGTTATCAAAATTTCATAAATGGATGATTGTTGGAATTATTTCAACTGGTTCTTTATGTGTTACATGTATTTCATCATCTTGGTCTTTAGTTTCTGAAGAAGTTATGGCACATTTTCATATTAGTCGAGAAGTTAGTACTTTAGGTATTTCATTATATATTTGGGGGTTAGGAACTGGGGGGATGTTCTTATCTCCAATAAGTGAATTTCATGGTAGAAAAATGGTTTATATTATGGGTATTTCTTTAACTTTAGCATTTGAATTTTTAACAGCTTTTAGTTCTAATATTGGTGGTGTCTTATTTGGTAGATTTGTTAGTGGATTTGCTGGTCTGAGTTTTATGTCGGTTGCTTCTGGTTCATTTTCTGATTTATTTAAAGCTAGAAAAGGTTCTAAAGGTGATGCAAATAAAGAATTGGCTCTTGCTTTAGTACTTTATTCTGTTTCTCCCTTTGTTGGTCCAGGTATTGGTCCATTAATTTCTGGGTTTGTTTCAGAACATATTTATTATAAATGGACATTTTATATATTAATTATTTGGTCAGGAGTTTTATTGATAATGGTTATTTTATTTGTTCCTGAAACTTATGAACCAGTATTATTGGTCAAGAAAGCTAAAAGATTAAGAAAAGAAACTGGTGATGATAGATATTATGCACCTTTAGAAAAAACTAAAATCACATTATATGAGAGTGTTGTCGTTTCTTCTAGAAGACCATTCTTATTGATTTTCAGAGATAATATGACAATGGCTCTTTGTTTTTATACTGGGTTTACTTTAGCAATTGTTTATATGTTCTTTGTGGCTTTCCCATATATCTTCAGCACAGTTTATCATTTTTCACTTCAAGCTCAAGGGATGTCATTCTTAGGTTTAATTGCTGGTATGCTTTTAACTTCATTATTAACTCCTCCATTAATTGCTAGAAATTATAATCGTTTATTAGCAAGACATGGTGGAGTTTCTAAGCCAGAATTCAGATTTGTTCCTTTAATGGCAGGAGTATTTATTGTTCCTATTGGATTATTTATTATAGCTTGGACTTCTTATCCTCATGTTCATTGGATTGGTCCAATTATGGGTTCAGCTGTTTATGGTGTAGGAACTATTTTAGTATTCAATGGTATTTTTGCATATACGGTTGAAGCTTATAGATTATATGCAGCTTCAGCTATGGCTACTAATTCATTTGTTAGATCAGTTATGGCGGGTATATTCCCATTATTTGGAGTTCAAATGTATGAAGGAATGGGAATTCAATGGGCTACTTCCTTATTAGCCTTTTTCGCATGTGCCTTAATTCCTATCCCATTTGTTTTCTACAAGTATGGTGAATCATTAAGGGCTAAAAGTCCATATGCATGGTCAGATTAGTTGGGAATGAGTATGCATGGAGGGTAGAGCTTACGGTACATTTAATTATAGATAGAATCTTTATAGACACTAATACTTATACTAATACTAATACTGTACTAATTTGGCGCGCATTTCGGTGATGGAACTTCTGCGAAATTCTTTGAAAAATTCATATATAAGCACCGGTGATAACTCACCAAACCAACTTACGGACACCTTCGGAGTCATACATAGTCGCAGCAATGGTAGTTCATAATCCTAACAATTGGTAAGTATAAGTTTTACTTAAATTGGCGTTGACGTTAGCGTAGTTTTGAGTATGAGTTCATTACTAACTATGAGTACAGGCACTGGATAGATAAGAATTGTCTTCCATGGACTAAAGAATATCTTGATAGAGAAATAAAGGATACAGTTATTGAAAATGAAGGATATAAATTCACAGTTATATCTATAGATTCTGTTACTGGAGATTGTGATGTAACTCAAAGAAAGGGTAAGGTCTTGTGTATATATGATTTAGCCTTACAATTTGGTATAACAATACAAGATTCTGAACAAGAAACTTTTAATGGAACTATCTCACTTCCTGAATTTGTTCATGATCAAGATGATGATGAATACATATTTGAAGTGACTTCTGATAATAAAGCTTCGGAAATTAAAAAATTCTTCCTTCCGGAATTGAAGGTCAAGTTACAAAAGTTTCAAGGTGATTTAATTGATGCTCATGCTAAGGACGTTCAGCATGCATCAAATTAGCATATAGTTATTTAGTGTTATATTTATAGTTATAATTATAATTATATACATACATTAGCTATAGTACAATTTCGTAAATCTATCTATCCTTCAAACCCTTGAGGAACTCCCTTTGCATGCTTAACACTACCATCTCTTGATCCTAAATATATCTCAACTACTCCGGTATCATTCATATCTTCTGTTAGACTATACCAAGGAATTTGTCCCAGTTCTATTAATTTCACTAATCTATAAGTTTCAACTGAACTATATGGAATACCAGTAGATGGATCGAAATATTTAACTTCAGTACCGGAAATTAAGCAATTCTTCTTATTACCATTAGGTAAATAAAGTCCTGTAGGTGCTTCAGTATTAATTACTATGGCAGTATCTTCTGTCTTTACTACATCTTCAACTGTTTCAATCACATCTTGCTTAACACCTAATCTAGGTAATCTTCGAAGTTCATCAAAAATTGCATCATCAGCTGTTAACTTAGATACTGGTTCAAATACTGAATTATCTTCACTCTTGCCTGTAGTTTCATATGGATTCCCTGTATCTCCTATTTTCAAAATTGTCTTAACATCTTTAAATCTTCGAGATGCTGGAAGGAGTGATTCAGCACCAAAAAGAATGGATTTAATGTTATTAACACTTAGTCTCATATCTCTGTTGTCCTCTTCAAAGTCAAGTAAATAAATGGTATTTCGAGCTACTCTTTGCGGTGGACCTTCAAAGATATCTTTTACTTCTTGTTCAGGTACTGGTGTTTCGATATCAGTAGCAGGAGTTTCCTCTTTTTCAATAACTGACGTTTCTTCTTTATCAACAGAAGCGGTTTCTTCTTTATCAACAGAAGCGGTTTCTTCTTTAACATCTTCAGGTAAGTCAGCAAACTTGACTTTCTTTTCTGGACTTCCTTCTTGAGCAGAAGTATCTGTGCCATTTGCTTGCGTAACTTCTTCTGTCTTATCCTCTGTGATTTCTCCATTTTCCTGAAGAGATGCGTGTCCATTGGCACTGGTATTGACATCTGCTTCTTCTAATGGAGGTGAAACTTCCTGAGTATCCTCCTTTATTGGAGTTTCAGACTTAGCTTCTCCATTTTGTATTTGGTCAGAATTCTCGCTTTCAATTGTTTCATGAGCTTCTCCATTTTGCAGTGATTTAGCTGTCTCTCCTTCATCCTCTGTTACAGCAAGAGTTTCATTGATGATGGTATCATCTTCAGTGACATCCTTTGGAATACTGCTGGAGCCATTTGCATCAATATCCATTGAGCTATCAGCTGAAACAAGATCCACAGTTTCAATATCTTCAATTTTATTCTCAGTCTTGATTTGTTCTGGTACAGCTTCGTTACTATGGTCTTCTTTCTCTTCTTTCTCTTCTTTCCGTTCTTCTTCATTCTGTTCTTCTTCATTCTGTTCCTTAACAACTTCCTTCTTATCTTCAATTACTTGTTCCTCTTCCTTCTTATCCTCCTTCTTATCCTCCTCCTCCTTCTCCTCCTCCTTCTCCCCCTCTACTTTCTGATCTTCGGTTATCTGATCTTCGGTTATCTGATCTTCGGTTATCTGATCTTCGGTTTTCTCTTCCACTATATCCTCTTTCTGCTCCTCTTTAATCTTCAACTCCTTCTCCTCTTGCTCCTTCCTTTCCTGTTCAAGTCGTTCATTCTCCAACCGTTGCTGTTCCAATTCCTGTTTCACCAATGGCAAGTCCATATCGACTTCCCCATATAGCATTGTATACGGTTCAGGTTCATCACCTTGAGTCTTCTTTTTTCTACCGGTACGTCTCCTCTTGTTTTGCTCATACATCTTTTTGTAATACTCTATTTCTTCAACAGGTGTGATGTATGTTTCTTGACTGACTAATCTTACTACATTTCTTAACTTTCGTCTTTTCAGAAGAAACATTTGTTTCTGCTTTTCTTTCTTAAATATTTCTTGTTCTCGGAATCTATGAAGGGATTCTACATTAACTCGTTCTGTTTCAACCGCTTCTGCTAATCTTTCTTCTTGAGTTTTCTCTACTACTTTAACTCTTACTACTGGTGCCATTTGTGAACGTCGTTGTTCACTTTGTTTTAACTTTTCCACTAAAGCATGTTTACTCTCTAATGCAGCAGATCTAGATGAAGATCTTCTTTCTGATAATAGAAGTGAATCGGAAGTTACTAAATGAGTCTTTTTAGATGGTTTAGGTATAGTCTTTTTCGTAGTTATCGTAGCTTTCTTAATAGTCGGTATTATAACCTTCTTTCTCTTTTTCTTTAATCGTTCTTGTTTCTGAAGTTCCTTCTCGCCTTCACTCTCATCTTCATCAGACATAGATAAGTCTGAATCAGATAATACATCATCGGAATTTACAACTGGACCATCATCTTCTTCATCGTTATCTTCTTCTTCGTCTTCCTCTCCTTCTCCTTCTCCCTCATTATCACTTCTAGACCGTTTTCGAGATTCTTTTTTTTCTCCGCTCTCACCATTTGGTTGTTCTTCCTCATCCTCATCCTCGAGATCTTCATCATCAAGTTCTTCATCTATGAATTCCTCATCATTGGCAGTTTCCTGAAATAATAGATTAACATTTTCATCGTCTTCAGTTACAAATTGCAGTAAATGTTCGGTAGATTGAGCCTCCAATTCGATCAACTGCTTCATCCGAGATCCGGCATTGGCCCTTCTGGATCTCGTGACCGCCAAACTATCCTCATCGTCCGACATTTCATAAGTTACACTTTGTTTGTGGAGTAGTGACTACAAATCGTATACAAAATAAATAAAATAAAGTAAAATAAAATAAATAATCTACGGTCCATTTTTGTACAGTACATGCGACTGAAAAAAAAGATTGTCTCGTTCGCCCAATTAGGAAACTTAATTATAGTGAGCTTTTAACATCTTTCCATCACTCTTTGTCCACTATAATTGCTAAATAACTGCCTTTAAGTAATTGGATATGATGCGAATTAGGAGTGTCGGAGTGTCGGGTCGGATCAGTACCATTAGTTACCGTTCTGTCCGATTTCATTCATCTCATAATCCAAAAGCTACATCATTATCAGCTGATGAAATGGCCCATTTTAATGCTTTAGCTTCAAGTTGGTGGGATGTTAATGGACCTCAAAGAATATTACATAAGATGAATTTATTAAGAATGGATTTCATTCATAGTACAATTCGAAATCATATTAAATTGAATGGACCAGAAGTCCCCGTAGATGAACAAATTTATATTCCACCATTTAATGTGGATTTATTACCTAAACCTATAAGAAATACTATAATTAAAGAACAAGATGATAAACGAGATTCAATATTAAATCAAGTTAAATGGAAGGTTTTAGATATTGGTTGTGGAGGTGGGATTCTTAGTGAATCATTGGCTCGTTTAAGCTTTATTGATAATGTTAAGGGAATTGATTTATCTAAAGATGTATTAGAAGCTGCAAAGCTTCATAAATTGAAGGATCCTTTACTTAATGATAATAAACTTAATTATGAATTGATGGCAATTGAGGATGTACCAGCTTCTGAAAAGTATGATATAGTAACGATGTTTGAAATGTTGGAACATGTAGATCACCCATCGAAAGTATTGGTTGAAGCACTTAAAAGAGTTGAAAGGGGTGGTTGGGTATTTATATCTACAATCAATAGAGACTTTATAAGTTGGTTTACAACTATCTTTATGGGTGAACATATATTAAAGATTGTGCCTGTAGGTACTCATACATTAGAGAAGTATATTAATCAATCAGAAATTAGACAATGGTTTGATGAGAGGAAAGATTCATTTAAGGTAGTAGATGCTAAGGGTTGTATCTATTTACCAGCTTACGGATGGAAATTCACTTCTTCACCAGATGTGGGCAATTACTTTATGGCAATTCAAAGAATTAAATAAATGAATTAGTACTTACCTGTAAATATAACACTTCAAAAATAGACATAATTAGTATAAATGTATATATAATAATATTTATTCAGCAATCTTAGATGCTGATTCTTCATTAGGCTGCTCATCAATGAATGTGGGTAAATTATCAGTGCCCACTTGATCCAAATAACTGGGAACTCCTGCTCCACTTTCAGCCAATTCACTCTCAAAATCCATTTCTTCTCCTAAAGCATCTAATTCAGCATCAAGTTCACTTTCACTTATATCATCAGGTACATCATAAGATGTCAGTAATGCTTCTTGTAAATCATTAGATTTTTCGATTAAATCTAACATTTCATCTTGTAAATCTTCAATCTTATCAATATCTATCTTACCATATGTCTTTTTTAATGCTTTATTTGTTGTCTTCATAGCATCTATTGTTATCATGGTATTTTGTAAATTATCAGTAGTCATTTGAGCTTGGGTCATATTCCATGATTGATTTTCTAATTGATCCTTTTGGGCCTCAATCTGTTTCCTTTGTCTCAATAACTTCAAAGCTTTTTGTTTCAAAGCATTCTTTCCAGGTCCATCTCTTATTCTGCTTATCTTCTGTTGATAAGTCGATAGTTCGGCATTTATCTTCGTTAGCTTAACATCTAAGGCTCCTACTCTTTCATCTAAGTTTTTAACAGCATCATTCAATGATGGTTTAGGCACTGTGCTCTTCGATCCAAACAATCTATTCATCTATTATTAATGGTGTCTATTGCTTAGATGTTGTAGTTAGTTAGTTAGTTAGTCAGTTCCCTTAATTAATTACATTAACGCATTTGCCATCTCCGTTTTAAGCCAACTGGTGCGAAAACTGAAAATTACAAATTGGATTACTGCAACTTTACTTTTCCAGATATCCCAATAGCCATCTTTATTCAATTAGACAGAATTGCAGGGAGTGCGAGTATCGTAGTTATACTTCTTCTTGTAGGGATATTGTACTGCGTTGGTTATTCAGAGTTTGAGCAAGGATACATGCCTGAAGTAGCTGAAGTAAGTACTTTCTATCATAGCTTGATAGCACGCGTTACACGTACAAGTATCTATACTAACTGTCTATATATTATAGGTTGCACATGTATGTGCCTTATTGAGAAGAAATATATTGGGATTTAGAATATCTCGAGCCAATTTACAAAATGACCCCTTGTTGTTTCCTGCTTTAAAAGCTTCTAGTGATCCGAATGCAGAATTAGCTAAATTATCAAATAGTTTAACTAATTCTGTAATCGATTCAGTAGGACGACATGGAAAATACTTCTGGTTAAGATTAAAATTAGCTAATAATACAGAAGGCACGACTGGAGTATTTCTCATGCATTTTGGTATGACAGGAATGATTAAAATCAAAAATGTTAAATCCCATTTAATATTTATGGAAAATGGAGGTGACAAAAAGGTGCTTGCAAAGCTTAAGGAGGAAGCTACCGAGTCAAAATACTTTAAAAAAGAAGAGGTCATTATAGAGAAAGAAGAAATCAATGAAGATGAGGATGTAGAATGGCCTCCGAGGTTCACAAAGATGGAATTACAATTAGAATATCAAGATAGAAAGCTTGATTTTGCTTTCGTTGACGCCCGAAGATTAGGTAGAGTTCGACTTCTAATTGGAGACGAATACCAAACTGATGAGAGTTTATTGAATCAGCCTCCGTTAAATGCATTGGGGCCGGACTATTCTAAACCTGTCAAACTTGATAAAAACTATAAATTTACATTCGGAGATCCTGATCCAGATAACCATGGACGTCCAATTCTTTCAATAGAGGACTTCAATCAATTAATACTTAAGAAAAAGGCACCTATAAAGAGCTTATTGTTAGATCAGGCATATTTTGCTGGTGTTGGGAATTGGGTAGGTGATGAAATATGTTATCGTGCTAGAATCCATCCTACAGAAATAATATCTAATAAAGTTTCCAACCTAAATAATAATATTGATCCAGTAGTGAAGAAATTATATGAATCTCTTATTTATGTGTGCCAGGAGAGTGTTAGGGTTGAAGGAGAAGTATCACAATTTCCCAAAGATTGGTTGATGATATATCGATGGGGTAAATCCAGAAAGAAGGGACCAAAGCCAACTACCTATGAGGGATATGCCCTTGACCACGTAACAGTTGGGGGTCGTACAAGTTGCTTTGTTCCTGCATTACAAAAACCTCTAAAGAAGAGAACTATAGGAGAAGAAACTGGCGGTGAAAGCGGAGAAGCGGCCCCTAAGAAAAGAGCTAAGAAAGGAGTAAAAATAGAGTGAGAACTTTACAAATGTGTAGCACTTAAACGTGGATTCTTCTTTTTTTTTAGGTTCGGGCTAGATTTAGATATTGTATTACAAAGTCCGTCTGCCCTATTTGTCAAATCTTTGCTTTGTTCTACCCCCACATTTTTTTTATCTCTTCTCCACAAAACGTCACCTAAATTTTTGCGTGCACATAACGGTTGGTACGCCAAAGCCTAAGGCTTTGTAGTCATTTATATATGTGCTTATGATTAAATATATATCTAAACATTAGCATTGTCTGTGTCCTTAAGGGACTTCTTATTAATACAAATATCCAAAGTATCTTTAGCTATCACCTCTTGCTAATTCTTGGTTATATCGTGACTCTTGCTATCTTGAGTTATACGAGATTCAATTTTGCAACTAATATATACAGCTCTATAATGATATCATTCACATTATTAGAATTGGGTATTATCATATTCCTTATAATAATTATTCATGAACTTGTCATTATTGCCTATTCACATAGAAAAATAACAGATGATTCAAATTACTTATTGGCGCTTAATCAGCCTCATGGTTTAGGAAAAGCTCAAACAACTGAAGAGGAGATCGAAGTTATTGATGATAATGTATTGTTGCTGCAGAAATATAAAATAACTTTAGATACTTTACCACGTGAACTAGTAATGGAAATAATCAATAATTTAAATCAGTTTGATGTGTTGAACCTTGCTTTGGTAAATTCGAAACTTTATTGGCCATGTGTGGAGAAGCTCTTCAAAAAAATATTGGTGTATAACAAGCAAGATATGAACCATATAATCACTAATCCAGAGTTGGATACTATTTTTTATAAGAATTTCACAGTTACTAATAACTATAATATGATTAAGGGCCTACATGAATGGAAGCATCCTCATTCAATGTTTGTTAAAAATATTACAATTCAAAATTTCAAATTATCCCCGGAAATAGAGTCCACTATGGGTGAAACATTTCCTTTCGTTCAGATTCAACATTACATGGAAAGTATTGAAAGCTTATCCATAAAGGTTGATGAATTGGGTCTTGTGCTCAACTCTTATAAAGATATTCCCTTGCATTCGCTTAAAAAGTTGAGTATTACTTTCCACTCAGAGACTGAACCAAATAGTGTTGTGATTAACAGACTAAGAGGTGTCTTTCCCCAATTAATTAGTCTAAAATTGATTCACTTAAATGCTCAAGTTCTAGATAATTTTGTACTGTTACAAGTTCAATTTGGAAATGTTAAATCACTAAGTTTACAATTCAAACCTCTTGAAGATATTAATGTCGACCTAATTACTTCATTGTTCTCTTTGGAGTCAATTACACAATTGGAATTGACCTTAGAACCTTCACATTCAAAGCCATTGCAAATGTCTATTATAAACCATTTAGTAGAATCTTTACCCAACTTAAGGACGTTTGTTTTAATCCATCATCGCTCTGACTTTGGTATATTTGACATATTCAGACATATTTCAAGTGCCCAATTATCTAAGGTCTCTATCCACTGCAAAGTTGCAAACCATTCAGGGTTGCTGTATATTCACTTAACTTCTGAGATTATGAGATTATTTCCTTTTTCACTAGAAATCATTAAAATTAGTAGTTCGATTCATACCAAATTAAAATATGACTTGGATTCAATTGATAAGTTTTTTGCATCCCAAGATGATTCTATTAAAACTGCTCCAGAAGACATTGAAGTTATCCAAAACACAATTGATTTAATAAACCAAAGACTGAATTTGTTTAGTCGGTTAAAATATATTACATATGATGATCATCAGTTTGTAATTAAGAGAAAAATGGGGTTTGCCCAAGCTCTCCCGATAAATTAGTGCAACCTTTTTGATAAATCGATATATGAGGTTGTTTTTCTTAAAATGCATTACAAAAACTACTTGAAAAATTGATTGTTAGTGAAAACAGCCATTGGAGAGATATGGATTTAAGAGAATTTGCAGCTGTCCAAAAAGGACATATGAACAATAACTACGCCTAATTAACGTTTCCTTCTGTAAACGATTGCAAAATTTTAGCACGTCATTTTAGTAACCATCAGATCATTTACAAAGGTAGCCCGATTGCGGCATTCTAAATATAACGTGGTCGTGTGCGAATCCGGGCTATAAATTGTTTCCGTATTTTTCCGCTAATGTCAGTTTGCAGCCGACAATAATCAATGAAAGGCGCTATCTTTGTACTGTTGTGTTAGTCTTGGTATTGTTTTGGTGCTGTCTTAGTGTTGTTGAGAGATTTCAGGATTAAGAACAATCATCTAAATGAGAAATACGTTAAGGATCTCAACTCATAATTTACTTATATCTATAGGTATGACCTATTTTAGTTAATAAATAAATATGTAAGGATAAATATTCTAACGGCCTTGTTGTCGTCTGATGTCAACCTGGCAAGTTCTAGCTGCTGATGCCTTTCCGTTATTGCATACTGCGGCTTTATAGTGAAAGTATTGTTTAACCCCTCTTTTGCTCTGACAGCTAATGGTTTTATGCACACACTATTTATCCACTCCGAAACTAAATAGGAAACTAATAGTGGCGGGTATGCAAAAGACGCGAAGAAAATAGGGACGAGGCAGACGAGAAATTTTTTTGTTGGACCTCCACCCCTCCTTTACTGGGTAAAATCGGAGTGGAAATGTTACGCCAAGTTGGGCAATTGCGCGCACAAAGACACGAGGGTAACCGTTATTGGTTTAATGGTCGGAATGAAACCGTAATTGAGATTTATAAATAAGTAAGTCTCACGTGATGTGTCAAACCATTCAAAAGTTATGTTTGAGTTTTATACTTACTACTCGTTCAATTTCTGTAGATTTTGTTAAAGGCCTCCATACTAATGGGTATCCAACTAAAGAACAACTCCAAGACAAGGCTCTAGTTACGGCTCTATACGACAAACATTAGAAATGTTGGTATTTCTTTTTTGTCGCAAATTGCAAATGAAAGTTGCCCGTTAGTCCATGAAATAACTAAAAAAAATAATAATTAAAAAGAAATTCAATATAGAGGACAAATTCAATGAACTAAAAATTGATAGATTATTACGATTTGCACGTTTCGCCTTGATTACAGACTCGCCTCGCGATGAGAGAAGAAGAAGAAGAAGATCCTGTTAAAGTGCACATTGATACTGTTGTAGAAAGGGCCCTAAACACCACGTAGAATGACCGAAATTAATACCTAGTGACCGGTAACCATTAACGACAAATATGTACACCGATAACTTGCACAGGTTAAAATCGGAACAACCAATTTGTTTGTGTTAGATTTTTCTTCTCTGCATTCTCATTTCTCATTAAAGTTGTCAATGTGTAAAATTGTTTGTGGTTAAATCAGGAACTACCAGCAGTAGTAGAATAAACCTCCTCATTTTAGTGGAGTACTAGTGATAGTGAAGGCTAATGCTGCATTGATCCGGAATGCCTTACCGATGGATATTACAAGCAATTTTTCTTATAACATGTTATTATATATAGATCGAAATAATCTATTTTAGTAATTATATAATGTATATAATGTAATGAGCATCCCCTTTAAAATCTCCTCTTTAATATTTTTGTATAAAATATATATTGTCATTTTTTAATTTTTCAATTTTTGGAATTTCAATTACTTCTTCTTGTGATCCACAGTATTATAACTAACTACTAATTAGTAAATTTGAGGGTAGAAAACTATTCGAGTCATAATGTTGAAAGTTATATCCAGATCAAATACACAAAGCATAAATTGCAGACTGGCTTTACTTCTGATTAGTCGTAGTAATGCTACTGCTGCTACTCCTATTTCAAGTGATAAGAAGAAAACCACTACTTCAATTCATACTCATACTATTAAAACTCCAGTTGGGATTAAAGCTGCCATTGCATCTTTAAAACCTAAAACTACAAGATTATCTATTGAAGGTCCAATTGAATGTGATTTAGAAGCATTTCAAATTTTAAATTCTCCAATTTTTAATAAAGGTTCTGCCTTTACAAAGGAAGAAAGAAAAGCATTTGGTTTAACTGGTCTTTTACCATCTCAAACAAATACTTTAGATGAACAAGTTGAAAGAGCTTATCGTCAATTTAGTTATTTAAAGACTCCTTTAGCTAAGAATGATTTCTGTACTTCAATGAGAATTCAAAATAAAGTTCTTTATTATGAATTAGTTAGACGTCATATTAGAGAAATGTTACCTATTATTTATACTCCAACTGAAGGTGATGCAATTGCTGCTTATTCTCATAGATTCAGAAAACCAGAAGGTTGTTTCTTAGATATCACTGATCCTGATTCAATTGATGAAAGATTGGCTGTCTATGGTGAAGATAAAGATATTGATTATATTGTCGTATCAGATGGTGAAGGTATTCTTGGTATTGGAGATCAAGGTGTTGGTGGTATTAGAATTGCCATTGCAAAATTAGGTTTAATGACCCTTTGTGGTGGTATTCATCCAGGAAGAGTTTTACCTATTGTACTTGATGTAGGTACTAATAATGAAAAATTAGTTAATGATGATCTTTATATGGGTAATAAATTCCCAAGAGTCAGAGGAGAACAATACTGGGATTTCATTGATAAATTTATTAATGCTTTAAAGAATAGATTCCCAAATGCTGTTTTGCATTATGAAGATTTTGGTGTTTCTACCGGTAGAGATATGTTATATAAATATAGAGAAGTTATTCCTTCTTTTAATGATGATATTCAAGGTACTGGTGCCGTTGTTATGGCATCCATCACTGCTGCTTTGAAATTTACCAATAGAAAATTATTGGAATCTAGAATTTTAATCTATGGTGCTGGTTCTGCTGGTATGGGTATTGCCGATCAAGTTGTTAACCATATGGTTAGTCATGGTGCTACTCCTGAACAAGCAAGAGCTTCTATTCATGCAATGGATCGTCGTGGTTTAATTTTGAAATCATATGAAGATACTAGTGAAACTCAAAAGAAATATGCTGATGATGATGCCGAATGGGAAGGAGTAGATACCACATCATTGGTTGAAGTTATTAAAAAGGTTAAACCAACAGTATTGGTTGGATGTTCTACTCAAGCAGGTGCATTTAATGAACAAGTCATTAAAGAAATGTATAAACACAATCCTCAACCAATTATCTTCCCATTATCTAACCCAACTAGATTGCATGAAGCTTTCCCAGTTGATATTATGAAATACACCGATAACAATGCATTAATTGCAACTGGTTCACCTTTCGAACCGGTTGATGGATACTATATCTCTGAAAACAATAATTGTTTCACTTTCCCAGGTATTGGTTTAGGTGCTGTATTATCTAGATGTACTACAATTTCTGATACCATGGTAAGTGCAGCAGTTGATCAATTAGCTTCATTATCTCCAAAGATGGAAAATCCTAAGAATGGTTTATTACCAAGATTAGAAGAAATTGATGAAGTTAGTGCCTATGTTGCAACTGCTGTAATTTTACAATCATTGAAAGAAGGTACTGCTAGAATCGAAAGCGAAGAAAGACCACAAGGTGGATTCGTTGAAGTTCCAAGAGATTTTGACAAGTGTCTTAAATGGGTTCAATCACAAATGTGGAAGCCAATTTACCGTCCATTAGTTAAGGTTCAACATGTTCCAGAAATCCATACTTTCCAACATTAGTCATTTATTCAACCATTAAATTATTCATCAATTCAATTATTCATTAATTCAGTCACACATGCTTTGAGCAACCCTACTTTTTAATATGTATTTTAGTCATTCTTCTAATAATCCTATTTGTCTCTAATTGTTCATTCATTTCTACAAATTCTCTTTGCATATTTTGACAATTTTTTTTTTCTATCTTAAAGCATGCTTCTTTTAGTCTTAGTCTATTCAAGCCTTTTATAATTCGAGTTTATCGAATTAAATTATAGAGTCTGGATCCTTATATATTAAATTAAACTATTCAATATAAATTAATAATCTGGAGTATTTGATTTTTTTGTAGGTTTTTTGCAACAATTTCTCAAAAAAGCTTTTGACAGTTCGATAAGAGTTCCGCTAAGTTACATGTCACTAAAACTGAAGGTATACAAACTAAAGGTTACAGATACTATGAGACTTTTACTATACATATCAGTAATTACATAATATTTCTTATTATTATTATATAATCTAATTAACATTTAACCTACAATTACTACTCAAATACTTAACTCCCTAAAGTCTATACCACCAATTGGGTACGACATAATTCCTCAACAAAATTTTGTTTTACTGAGTTTCGGATTTTGGCATGGGGTAGCGGGTGGTAGAAAATTTAAATTTTTGTTAGGTGCGGCCGGGATTTTTTCGTTCAGTGGTGAAGAAAAAAATGTCTGAAAAAATCGAGGTCCAATTGGGGGCCGAACTAATCTTAAATCTTTACCGAAGGTTGATTTATTGAAGTTACTATAAGTTGTCAATTGTACATAAAAACTGTCATAATGTCTATTGAAGATTTAAAATCCACCATTGCCAAATTGCAAGAAAGAATCCAATATTTGGAACAACAAGCTGGAATTGTTCCAAAAGTTCCAAAATCCATTAGAATGGTCTTAATCGGACCTCCAGGTGCTGGTAAGGGAACTCAAGCTCCAAATTTAAAAGAAAAATTCTGTGCTTGTCATTTAGCTACTGGTGATATGTTAAGAGCTCAAGTTGCTGCTAAGACTGAATTAGGTCAACAAGCTAAAAAGATTATGGATCAAGGTGGTTTAGTCTCTGATGAAATTATGGTTAACATGATTAAATCTGAATTAGAAAACAATAAAGAATGTGCTAATGGATTCATTTTAGATGGTTTCCCAAGAACCATTCCTCAAGCTGAAAAATTAGATAGTATGTTAACTGAACGTAAAACTCCATTAGAAAAGGCTGTTGAATTAAAGATTGATGATGAATTATTAGTTGCTAGAATTACTGGTAGATTAGTTCATCCAGCTTCTGGTAGATCTTATCATAAATTATTTAACCCACCAAAGAAAGATATGATTGATGATATTACTGGTGAACCATTAGTTCAAAGATCTGATGATAACGAAGGTGCCTTAAAGAAGAGATTAGTTACTTATCACAAACAAACTGAACCAATTGTTGACTACTATAGAAAAACTGGTATCTGGAGTGGTATTGATGCTTCTCAAAAGCCAACTAAAGTTTGGTCTGATATCTTAAAATGTTTAGGCCAATAGATTTAGCATTTGGAGATTGGTACAACTAAAAGAGTACAAATATATTATTGATAATATCAAAGTATATAGTATTTATGTATGTATATAATTATAATCATGATCCTAGAATAAATCAAAAATTACTATTTATTATTAATTTAATTTACTTTCATTAATTCGTAAACTCTATAAACAGTACAAAAATTAGTACATTATACAGATAATTAACTTTATTCCCTTTAGACTCTTTCACGTTTGGGTCTTGAATGTAAGCTTGTATCGGCACTTCTCTTTTTATTTGTTTCATTAAAACAACTGACATGAACAATCTTACGACTATTCTTACCTTCACCAGGAACTTTAATACATCCTGGCCATACCCATTCTCCTATATCATCTTTATAGATAGCTTTAACAGTCTCACGACAAATATTACATCTATTATTCATATTACTTGAAGTAGATGGTACAACAACATATTGATTATTAGTAACAAAATCTATAAGATCTTTAACATCATTATTTCCAGAACCATTACCATTACCATTACTATCTGAAGTAGTTGAAAATTCTAATAAAGCATCATCTCTAAATTTAACCCAGTCATAATCATCCAAGTACCAATTCCTTGATTGAACATTAGAAGCATTAGTTGCAACTTTTTTATTAATTCTAAAATGCCAATCTAAATGCAACCTTTTTCTATTTGATCCTTCACCATCAGTGGTAAATCTTTTACCACAAATTGAACATTTAGATGGTTTAGCTTCATATAATAAATTTATTTCAACTCCAGTTGGTTTATTGGTATTAATAAATCCTTGAAGACCTCCATTAGCTATTTGTTTTGAAACTGTAACCAAGCCTTCAAACTTTACTTTTTCATATTCGGTGGTATGCAAACTAGTATGAAGATTGGCATTTAATATATCTTGTAAAGTACTTGATGTTGAAATATCTTTTGATGGTGGAATATATTTAATTTTAGGAAATTGTAATGTATATACGGGTGTTGAACCTGGAATAGGATCACGGTCTACTTTAACCAAACCTGATTCAATTAAATTCAGAAATATTCCATCTACTATTGAAATTGGTTGTGGAGTGGAATTATTACTGATTTGACTTGACATTTCATTTAATGTAGCTTGAATACGAGGGAATTCAGCAGGTTGAACACTACCACTTAAAAGTAAAGCTTTCAAATTAAAAAGTGCACTACGTCTTTCCTTTGTTTTAATATCGGGATTTTCTTGTAATTTAATATCAAGTACTAGTATTAATTTATCTATTTCGTCTACCATCTTATTTTGATTTCCTGGTAATTTATTTTGTATAGATGATACTGAAACAGGAGTTGAAGATTGGAATCCTGTCTTTTTCAAATAATTATCAATCTTATTTAAACATATTTTACTGAATAATGGTGAGGTGGTACCCTTTGCTTTTGCTGTCTTCCATGTTTGAAGAACACTTACTAATTTTGTTCTAGTAGCATCATCATTACTTTGAAATACTGCACTAAATAATCCTGGTAAACTATCTTCAAGTAATACATTATATGGACTTCCTACATTCTTACATATGGAATCTAATAAATATAATGCAAATAATCTTTGTTCTGGAGTTGCCGATCGAATTCTTTTAGATATAACATTAATAATTCCATCGGCTTGATTAGCATTCTCTTTGGCAATAGTAGTCAAATTATCAATGATTACACGTGAATTGAATGTCAAATCATTCAAACTTTGTGCATAATCTTCAATCAATGCACCTGATTCCATCTCCGATATTTTTTAATTGAGATTAGTTAATATTATTAGTATAAGTTTGCGATTTCTTACCTTTATGTTACTGATTAGTTCTTTAAAAATTTCATAGTCAGTAGTGAATGGGGGTTATGTACAGGATTCTTTTAAGAATTAGTAAATCACGTGCCGCCTTCCTAATCAAGTAATTCATTGAGTAATAAAAAAATTTAAGCGCGGTGTGAGTCAAAATTTTTCACCTGAAAGGACAGAAAAAGAAAATTGTGGAAGAAAATTACCCTTATGATTTGATTGTTAAATTGTAATCTTTAAAGTTAGTGCTAGCCTTAACAACATAAAAAAAGTGTGCAATGTCTCCTCCTTCATCATCAGATAAAAAGCAATCTGGTCTTGCCAGAGTTTTAGGTTCAGCATCTGCTGGTATTTGTGAAATTGCAGTTTTCCATCCAGTTGATACTATTTCTAAAAGATTAATGTCTAATCATGGTAAAGTTACTAATTTAACTCAATTGAATAGTGTTATCTTTAGAGAACATGCTTCCAAGGCTTTAAGTAATCGTTTATTTACTTTATTCCCTGGTTTAGGTTATGCTGCTGTTTATAAGATTTTACAAAGAGTTTATAAATATGGTGGTCAACCATTTGCTAATGAATTTTTAACTTCAAATTTTAAGGATACTTATTATTCATGGTTTGGAGCTAAGACTGGTAAAGCTTTATTATCTGCCACTGCTGGTTCATTAATTGGTATTGGTGAAGTTGTCTTATTACCTTTAGATGTTTTAAAGATTAAACGTCAAACAAACCCAGAAGCCTTTAGAGGTAGAGGTTTCCTTAAAATTATTGCTGATGAAGGTTTTGGTTTATATAGAGGTTGGGGTTGGACTGCTGCTAGAAATGCTCCTGGTTCTTTCGCTTTATTTGGTGGTAACTCTTTTGCTAAGGAATATATTTTTGGTTTAACTGATTATTCTTCTGCCACTTGGAGTCAAAATTTTGTCACTTCAATTGTTGGTGCTTCCGCTTCTTTGATTGTTTCTGCTCCATTAGATGTTATTAAGACTAGAATCCAAAATAGAAACTTTGACAATCCAGAATCCGGTTTTACTATTTTAAAGAATATGGCTGCAAAAGAAGGTCTTACATCATTTTTCAAAGGTTTAACACCAAAATTATTAACTACTGGACCTAAATTAGTATTCTCCTTTGCTTTAGCTCAATCATTAATCCCAGCTTTCGATAAATATATCAAGTAATTGCTCAATTTAGATACACTATAGATCTATTTATTTTTAGTTCTTGATTATTGATTATTAATTTTCTTAATTTCCGATGTGTCTCATATATTAGTTTTAGTTCAATGTACATAGATTACAAATATAATACGTTTTATATATATTATTTATCCAAACCCCATAGTAGTACTGTCATACAGAAAGGGAAAAAAAAATCATACCCCGTTGTAGTTAACTAATAAACAGTCCTGCATACACAGCAATAAATCTCACTCTATAATTGATCTAAGAAATAACAAAATGATCATTACATTTAAACGTGGGATTATTCCGAACTGAAGGCCTACAATATAAATAAGGATCTTAAAGTGTATAATATATATGTTAGGCAGGAGTCAAAAACACTAACAAATAACACTTAATACAATTTAATTTATTATAACTTGTTTGAACAATCTCAGTGTTCTTTTCTTATATTTGTGCAAGATCGCAACTGAAACGGCAAATTTGATATAAGATAAATAGTTACAATGAAGTTTATACTAATGTTCATATACATGTTGAAAATCAACATACTTCAGATTATAGTTCACGGATCAAGAAATCCGTCGATATCTTTACAATATATCGATAGTGCAATATTTGAAGCTTCTAAATGTACTTCAAATGAATATGCAGATCAAGTATATGTTAACAATAACATTAATATTACAGACATTCCTATTTTATAGATATGAATTTAGGAACATTTAATTAAAAATGGTTGGTTTACGACAAAGTCGTCAAAGGTTTATATGGTTACGGTATTATTATATTTTATTACATTATTTTCATTTCTAACAAAATGACTGGTTTAGCACAGTCTATATTTACATCACAATTATATAGCTATTCATAAAAAATGTACGTTTATTTATTCAATTTTAAAAATCTGTAGGTTGTTCTATATTTAATATACCAAATGATTCAAAGTATCCCAATTTTATCAAGCTTGGTAATTCATTGATCCATTTCTTCCTTCCTAAAATAGTATCCAATTCCTGAATACTGGTTTTACCTTCTAAAACACATAGCCTTAAAACAGAATCTACTTTCTTCTTTTCTCTTTGCATCTTTTCTGCTATCCGTTCACGTAACCCTCCTGGCGTGTTAGCAAGATTCATTGCATTCTTAAGCATCGTCTTGGAGTTATTGAGTAATACTTGTTGATTCTGTTGCGCAGGTTCATAATCGATAATTTGACACCTTTGTAGATCAATATCAGATCTTGCAATCATAACTTCACTAATTTGGGCTATTAATGCACCTAACCCTAAATCCACACCTGAAGGAATCTTTCTCTTTTCACTAAGTTGAGCATTTAATATATCCTGAGCTTTCTTTAGATTATTATTCATCTGAGTCAAAGCTTTCCAAAACAGCACTTTGATATCTTGGTTCGATTGTGGGCCATTCACAAATGTTAGATTTATATCATTTCTATCCAAAAATGTTTGAATATTATCGGCTGTCAGCATATATCTTTCAGAGGTTTCAGGTAAATCCGATTCACTCCATAATTGGATTAATTGATCAAGCTCTGAAGTAGTCAATCCAATTATATATGTTTTAATAACTTTATATTCATTTATTTGGTCAATGGTCAAACTGGCGACCATATCATTTTTCACAGTTGCAAAATCACTAAAATTATTGATTAAATCATGAGCGATAGAATCACTCTTGGTCAATAATGGAGTGATTAGATCAGTAATTCTTGGAACCTGATTATTGAAATCTGTCACATTCTCCAATATCGATTGGCCTAATTTATAACTAGCTAAGATAGTATCAAAGATATCATTGGGTTGAACTATTTCTTCCGCAGTATATTCCTCTTGTGATTTCTTTTCTTCATCTTGTCCTTCTAGTTCATGATCCAGACTTGACAATTCTTGTGGCACATTATTATTATCTAATTCTTTCAATTCATCTAAGAATTTACGTAACTCATTAACTTGAGTATCTAATAGATTCAGTAAAATTATTTGAGCTTTATATGTCACCTCTAATAATTGATTAAAGTCACTATCTGAATTATCCTGTTCAGTATCTAAAATTTCTGTATAAGCTGTAGCAGTATTGAATAGTAGGTCCAGAGGTATGGGAGACAGAGATTGCCTAGCAATATTGATAGCTCTTTCATGAGCTAAGACAATACTTCCAATGTTATGAATCACAGAGCTATCATCTTGTCGTAATGAATCTTCAACGTTTGTTAAATCATAGAGATTCACTCCATCAGTCTTCAAATATTGATAGTAAACTTGAAACAATAATCGAGATGAATTATAATAACTATCTAAATTTTCAAACCCTGACAGTAAATGAATAGACTTTATGTAACTTGTATATGCTTTCTGATAAAATCTTAAACTCTTAGATAAGTCCGATCCTAACCACCTATCTCCAGATTCTTCATCAATTGATCCTTGTTCCAAATAATCCTCTGCTGTAGTTGGCTCTTTATTGGATCCATCATATTCATCATTAGCTCTGCTCAAAGCTGCTAAAGCTCTTTTACCTAACCTTGGTTCTAAAATAATTAGTTAATAAATGTATTATACATCATATTTTTCATCGGACCTATACATACTCTTCATAATATTACAATTAATCCGGGCTGCAAAATATAAAATAATAAGAAGACAGACAATTTTGACCTGAAGACCTCTATAATAAGGATGACATTATGCAGATGCAGGAAAATATTCCAGTTAATCCAGCCGCGAAAAATATAATTTAGGGTTTGTTTACCAATCTGATCTTGATCTATCTGATACATATAGATCATCAATAAACACTAACAATGGACCAACCGAAGAATATTCAGGAGGTCGGAGAAATAATACTAAATGGTAGAAAAGTGGATAACATTATATCATTACCAGTTTACGTTTTAGGCGTTGTTTGTCAACCAATTTATCGTAAATATTATCGATATTTAGTTGTAACAGATTTTACCCTGGCAGAAAAATGTAGTAGAACTCTATATAAGGGGAAGTATCATGGTAGACAATCGAGAATTCCAAGTGGTCAGTATCTCTATTGTTATTTAGCTGAATCACGTTATAATAAAATAAAAAATATTATTGATGAAATGTGCCCAAATAGTGTATTTCTGAAAGAGGAAGGGGTTGAAACTAATTTGGAAAGCTTTGGGTATTGTGCTACCATAGGTATTGAAATCGATAATTGGAAAGCTGGACCAGTAGTCAAGTGTTCCAATTTTGAAATGGGTCTAAAGGAAAATTTCAGTTATCCAAATTATGGAACTTATGTACCTATGAGAAGAGAAATTATAGAAGAGTTTAAAAAGAGACTTAATGTTGAAGTTTCAAAATATAAAGTCCCTGCAATAAACCCTGAACTTGATGATTTATATTCAATAACCTATAAGAGGAAATCTGATCAGGTTGAATCAGAATGGACTAATGGACAGAAACGTCAAAACATAAATGGAGCCAACTTGGTTTTTGGCAACTATGGATCTGAGGAAGAAACTCAACCAACTGGCAATGCCCATTCCCATTCCCATTCACTTAACTCAGGATATGCTATAAATTTAGGATATGGGTTTCCTCAAGAACTGGCCAATAATGTCGGAGAAGATCCCAGCATAATACGTCTTGACCCGCATTTTGCTGGAGGAGGAGCTATGCAAATAATCAACTCAACGGTTTATGAAGATCATTCGGAAGACAATAGTGAACATACGCATCTGTTTATTAATTCAGGAGACTTAATTAGTACCACCGTTACTATTGAACAAATAGAATCAACCAATTTGCTTTATGAGCAACAACTGGCTGAAAAATACTATGAATTAAATGTTTCAATCAAGGGGATATTTCCACTACAACCATTTATCATTCGACCTTACAAGCGTACACTTAAGTTGGCCAATTTGACTTTATTGGTTCTGGACCTTTCAAACAATACTTTAAAAATTGAATTCAATCTGACAGATGAAGTCTGTAAATTCTTAGATATTGAAGAACCAGAAGAAATACTTAACAAATGGGAAAAGATAGGCGAACAAATGGGGAAACTTTTAGAGTTTGAAAAGAAGCAGTTAACCACTATCAAAATTAAAAGATCTACAAGAAAACTTGCCAATGGGTTTATCTATCCATATTGGACTAGTGCCACCATACTAGATAAATTAGTTAGTATATAATTAATGATAACTCTAATAACTAATGAACAACTTAAGAGGAACTACTACAAGTAAATTTAAATTTTTATCAAGTTTTTAATTTATTATGATGTTTTGAAGAGCGTAAGAATTATGTATATAAAGAAATTATTTCCCATTTTAAACTCCACGAAACAATAATGGTAACATCGATGAATATTACTCATTTGTCGTATGTATAAATGAATTCGCAAAAGAGTTATAACATCATACAACCACTATGGAAATATAAGGAGTTTAATATTTTATAATAAAATACAAATAAAAATGTGACTAATGATGAAATATAATTTAAATATAACCAATTCTGTTGGCAACATCTAAAGCATCGTGGTCAGCAGTTAATCTGATGTAAGCCTTCTTGGTACCGTTTGGTCTGATTAAAGTGTTAACGTATTCGACATCAACTTCGTATAATTCCTTAACGGCAGATTTGATTTGGTGCTTGTTGGCCTTTAAGTCAACTTGGAAAACTAAAATGTTACCATCTTCAACCTTCTTGATAGCGGTTTCAGAAGCAATTGGAGCAACGATAACCTTGTAGGCATCTAATCTGTTGTAGTGTGGAACGGATTTTCTGGCGTATTTTGGAGCTCTGGTTAATTTTAAGGTCTTTGGTAATCTGAAGGAGGTAGAAGTTCTAACCTTTAAAGCCTTCTTGGAGTTAGTACCTTTTAAAGCGGCCTTCTTAGCAGCAGAAGCTTTAGTAGTAGCTATAAATATTTTGTTAGTATAAAGTTTTTTCATTAAAATTTATTTTTAATGGGTCATTAATAGATGTATAACAAGTAGAATGAATTTGAATGTAGTACTGAAATGGTGTCTAATGATTTGAATGATCTTTTATTATATCATTTTTAATAGTGATTCTTGGATTCAGTCACAATGATAATTCAACTACAGATGTTTATCACCGATGGAATTGACGATAATTAATACTGGATCTTCAATAATGAATATATGAATATATGAATAAATGAAAAATCTACATCTCTGAAGTTATGGGTACTGAGTAGTTGTGAATATTCAATATATCTTGATCCTAATGATATTGATAAAATTTCATGTCTTTATTCATATTGATCCTTTGAATTTATAATTTACACTATGATGGGTATTTCTATTTAAAATTAACACAACCGGATAGTCGAAACAATCAAATTACTTCTTCACACTGTTTACACATCCCTTGTTTGACCTGAGCATATTAAACTTACTTGGAGCCATTATTAATTAATACTTGGTTAGTCCTTAAAACCAAAAAGATGAAAATTATAGATGTATTTTTTTCTTTAAACAGAGGAAAAAAATTTCAAACACTGTCTGGTTCCTCACTGAGGTGCGTAATTTGTATGGGGAGATGAATGTTAAGTATTGAAGTAAGGATGTTTTGTTCTTGGTTTAGTGCGACTCACTTATATTTAAGTATGGGAAAGAGTTATTAAGTATGCGAAAGAAACATGTGCAGGACTGCTTGTGTCACGTGTAACAATTAGAGTCTAGGGCTAGAGACCTAAATGATAATAATACAATAGGATTGCAAATTTAAAGAAATTATGTACATACATATATAATATAATATCAACTAAGTGAAATAATTACGTTAATGCAAAAAAGGCTTCTATTAACTATTTACAGTTAGATTTCTACACTCTATTCCCATTGAATTTCCAATTGAAATCGAGTAATAAAATATTTAAATACAATACAAGATGAGTACATAAGTGATCATAAACGACGAAGTTTCTTAGAACGGGTACCACCGAATTTAAGTTTTGTATTATCGGTCAATCTTACAATGTTTGATCTTATATTTTGACCTTCTTTACCCATTAAAGCAGCTTGGAATGCCTCTCTACCTTTACCAAAATCTTTAAAAATTAATTCTATTTTATCATTAGGACCAATCAAATTCTTTTCTTCAATGGTTTTAAATAATTTGGTTGCTACTTGAAATCCTGCTTCATATTCTGCCCTTTGAGCTTTTCTAAAACCTAATTGACCGGCTGAAACATGTAATCTAGTATGATGAGGTAATTGTAAGTAATATAATACTTTGTCATTATAAGATAAATTCTTATTTTTATCAATAAAATCCAAATCTTCAACTACTGCAACTAATGAAGCTAATGTATTATGACGATGGAAAATAGCATACATTTTCCATAATACCACTCGTTCATTCTTTCTAGTTTCAATATTGACTTTTGTAGATCTGAATTTAAAATCTCTAACTCTAGATAAATCTATGTTATTGATATTAGATGAGTTTGATGTCTCACTGGTAACATTTTTAAGAATACTACTGGTTGATAAATATGCTATGGATGATGATGGTAAAGATGTTGAACGTAAAGATGTTGAGATATTGTTTATTATTGGGAATCCCGCTCCACGAGTGGCCATTATTCCACTTCTCAACCCAAGAAACGACATTCTAGGTCTTTATAATATTGACTACTAAGGTTTATTGATGATTATCTACAATAGTAGCTTTAATTAGTGACTATTGTAACGGTATGATTTGACCATTAACGAAAAATCTTGATGGGCGAAAAGACACGACTAGTGCGACTCTTACATAAGCACAACCCACTTTTTTATATGGGAATGTAACAAAATGCTTAATCAACCATAATAGGAAGTTGCTAAAAAAGACTATACGGACGACAGAGTGATAAAGGTAAATTTTATAAAGTTAAAAGTCAATTAGTATGGATATAGTGGAGAAGAATAATAATAAAGCCCAACATAAAATATTCGTGATACTTATAATGAGCAATTAAGACTATACTAGGCTGAACAGAAACTTAAATGCTCATATATTATATATTCTACTAGACAACAACAAATCAACTGAATACCCCAAATTAACTTAGCCTTACTACCATCTACTAATCCAGTAAATACAAATCAAATTCGAAATTATTACTCATACCCTATTCATAATCATAACCAATAGTTAACAATAAATAAATTAACAACTAGAGTGGGGCTCCTCCTGCACACAGCCTGGATCCACACCACAACCAAAACCAAAAAAAGACAGACACCTAAAAAACAATAAACAACGCACCGGAAGTTGAGTCAGTAGACACAGTGAAACAGCTTAACAGTTGGAGGTATTGAAACCATCGCAATCAATTGCATCTATACACTCACCGTTTGGTACCAACCTAGCCAGCCCGAACTAGTTCCGGATAAATCGTTCGAGCCGTGCGTGCGTTTAATCATCTATTCCGGTCTCAATTAATTCATCCCCATTGTAATCAATTAGGAGGAGTTTGTCGTATCAATTACTAAGACTACGTGTGATTCACCGATAAGCTTTTATAGAATAGATAATCGCTTATTCATACGAATCAATTATAAGTTTATCGATTCTGTATTTGTATCTATTGAAATTTATAATTTGAAATATAATTAATATCATTACTATATCGTGCTATCTTTAGATACCCTTCCATTCAGATATTGACATCAATATCATTATAGATCATATTGAATCATTCTATACTTTTGTTAGAAAGATCTACATACAGTTTATACTAATTTAAGAGTTGCCAAGTGTCATTACTTAACTTAGATAACAACACTAGTTCACATCACAACCCCTATCAGATCAATTATCAATCACCATATTAGATACCGATCACATTTTTTCACTTCATCTTATTCATTTCTATCTACCTTAACTACTTATCAGACAAATCCAAGTAGTTCATAACTTACTATACCTTAGTCATTATATTTAACTTTTACTTTATTCTGGTGAATAACCAAAACTTTGTTAGCCTTATAGAGATTTTTTTTAGATTATCACCATCTAATATCCAATAATAATAATAATTTTAAATCATCATATATCATCATGTCACAAGGTACATCATCAAATGAATATGTCATAGGGCATGTTACTGATAATCTATCAGATAAAGCTAGTGAAATGACAGTAGTAGAATATAAAAAAATTGGTGAAGGAGCCTTTGGAACAGTTGTTGAAGCCAAATTAAAATTTAATGATGGTAGACATAATAATCATTGGTTAGGACCATTTGCTATAAAGAGAGTACCTGCACAAACTGAATATAAATCAAGAGAATTAGAAATATTAAGAGTTGTAAATCATCCAAATATTGTTAGTTTAAGATTCTTTTTTGATAAAGAAAGTTCAAATCCTAAAGATAAAACATTATATCAAAATTTAGTTATGGAATGTCTTCCATCTAATTTACAAAATGAAATTAAGTATTATAAATTATCTAAATTTACTATACCCTATCCTCATATGAAAGCATATTCATTTCAATTAGCAAGAGCTATGCTTTATTTACATGGATTTGGAATTGCTCATAGAGATATAAAACCTTCAAATATTTTAGTTGATCCATCAACTGTTACTTTAAAGATTTGTGATTTTGGTAGTGCTAAAAAATTAGAATCTAATCAAGATTCTGTTAGTTATATTTGTTCAAGATATTATAGAGCTCCTGAATTAATTATTGGATGTACAAGATATACAACTCAAATTGATATTTGGGGTTTAGGATGTGTTATTGCTGAAATGTTTTTAGGTAAACCAATTTTTCAAGGTCAAGAACCTGATTTACAATTAAAGGAAATTACTAAATTATTAGGTCCACCATCAAAGAGTTTCTTTTTCCATAATAATGAAAATTATAGAGGGAATATGTATTCAGCTAAAACTTTTACATGTACAATTGAACAACGATTTAAACAAATCTTTGCCAATTGTCCACCTGATGCAATTGATTTATTAATGAAAATATTAGTATATAGTCCATCAGAAAGAGCAAGTCCAAGACGAGTATTAATTCATCCATTCTTTCAAGAATTGAAAAAGAATGATTTTTATGTTTATCCTCGAGGATCAGATAAACCAATAAGGCTTAATTTATTTAATTTTAGTGAATATGAATTAGGACTTTTAGGATCTCTTAAGGATGAACTATTACCTACAACAACTTAGATTTGCGAATGTATTTGTCTTATATTATATTATAATTCTTCTTCCTCTTATATATATTATATTTATATTTATATTTATATATTAATGCATGTTTCACGGTGGATTCGCCATAGATTACTACATTATTATAATGCTAAATTGTAACTGTATTCATCTTCAATATTCTGTGATAACCATAATACAATACAACTAAGCATTACACAAGCATTACTAACAATATTTGAAACTCCCATTCCAAGGGTTGGGAAAGTATATTGTTTTAATAAGAATTTTAATATAAATACCATAAATGAACCTGCTAAACCTCCAGCCAATAAAGCAAATCCAAGAAATAATATAATTCTAGCTGCCCATGCATTACCATTACTACCTCCAGCAAATGAAGTATTTGAATCAACAAATAAATTGGATTTTTCAATGGAATTAACAATAAGCATTCCTAATGTAGAACAAATAAATGGAATCCAATCGACAAATGTTACATGAACAATCGAGGCATTAACAGTTTTAGAATAAATAGCAGCATCTATTATTGACCAAAATCCTACAGCATATAACCCACCAGCCAAATATACTCCGAAAGATCTGAGTTTGGCTGATTTAGGCAATCTAAGCATAGAGAGATTGAATCTGAATAAATGACTGTTATTATCCATACTTGTTTTGGTTGTATTATTATCAATTGATTAATTAGTGTGTATTAGTACTTTATTATTAGTACTTGCTTACTCCTGGTTATGCGGGTGTCGCTTTTAATTACTGGTGATAGGAGCGTGACTGCATGCAGTGCCCCCTCCTTTCCCTCTTTATCGGGGCCCCATACTAAACTACTAGTACTACTATATATTACTCTATAACTACTAATATTTATATAGCATCTATATGGTATCATGTGGTGTAAATGGTGTATCATCTCTGTAGATCACGTCATGTGTTATTCCCAAGAATTTGGGATTCAATTCAAGCACATTAATTATCCCATCTTTACTACAACTAACCAATATCTTACCTTCTTCATATATATCGACTTCAAATACTGGTTCTTGAGAATCTTGTAATTGATATACAACTTTTTTTGATTGTAGATCCCATATGAGTAATCCTAAGGATTCTGAACCTGAAACAATTAATGGATTTGAAGTTCTAGTAATAAATCTAGTACCACAATTAAATTTTTCACTAATAGGTCGATTATCTATTCCACGATAAGTCTTTAAAACTTTATTATCCATATAATCCCATAATCGAATAAGTCCATCTAAACTTGAACTAAGAATATATTTCCCATTAGGTGACATTTCTACATTAGATATTGGGAAATTAAGTACATCATTTGTTGAAGCAGTTGCAGTTCCATGACTAGTACTATTATATGTTAAAGTTTTTAAACATTGACCAGATTCCAAATCAAATAATCTCATTAATCCATCATATGAAGAACTTACGATAATAGAACTATCTGGAGTTAAACTTAATGACAGTACTGGATCAGAATGAGCTGCTAAAGTTTTTAAAGTTTTACCAGATGTTATATCCCATATAGTTATGGTTTCATCGGCAGATCCACTAATTAATATATTACCCTTAGATGTAAATTTAATTGTAGTTATATGATATGTATGTTTTTTAAGGATTTTTATACAAGTTTTCTTTGATATTGACCATAATCGAATAGTTAAATCATCTGAACATGATGCTATAATATCTGAATTAATAGGAGAATATACAATATCTGAAATTCCCTTGGTATGACCCTTTAATGATGCTATTTTCTGTCCCAGTACTAAATCATATACTCTTATAATATTATCTGATGAACAACATGTAAATGTTTTACCATTAGGAGATATCTTAATAGATGTAAGAGTGGAATCCACACGTATTTTATGTTTTACAGTATACAAATCACTCAAGACTTCCTTTGTCTCATTATGACTATGACTAATACCATTATTACTCACTGGCACTACCATACTGTTTAGTGTTTGTGTTTAATGTCTATTGTTTATTGCAGTACTGAATGTCAATAGTAACTTTACTGAAAAATTGGTGTATACTACAAACAAAAACAAAAACAGAAGCACAACCCGATCGCGATCTCATGCTCCATTGGGAATTACTGCGAAAAGTACCATACTCATTAATTACATTCATTAAATTATATACTGCTATTCCTCATTAACTACGAATGAGTCCATCTCTCTTTGGTCTTATTTATCCAGGCATCAAAGAGGCTTCTTTCTATTTCATCGAATTTCCCAACTCGTACGGATTCCTGATCAGGAGGATTGATAGGACTACTATCTACTGAAATTGATGGTTTAGAGAGTGATGATGGTAATACTAATTTCCGAAGAATCAGTTTGGCACTATCTGTATCACTTTCTTTACAAAGTTCCTTTAAAATATATTTCAAATATTGAAATACTAAGATTTTCTGACTTTCATTACTACTGCTGAAGATCATAAGGTTATCAATTTCTTCATTTAATTTAACCAATTGATCATATTGTTTAGTGGTGAGATTGTTTTTAGATTCAAGTTTATGAAAGGATTTATTGAGAATTCTATTGAATTCAGGCTTTAATATTTTAATTAGGACTTCTTGTTTCAGATCTATAGATTCACTTGAATCTACTGACAAAGTCTTTGATCCTCCACCATGTTCATATTCACTGGTTGATTTTTTTGATGAACTAGGACTACTGGGAATCGGTGGAGGTGTATCATATTCAATCAGACTAATATCAAACTCAATTCTATTTTCCTTTTGTTCTCCATCACTATCTCCATTCCATTTTCTTTGATTCTTAGCAATTTCGGTCGGTACATAAAAGTTCTGATTCTTAAGAATATGATTATCTAGATCATTTAAATTCTTATTGGTAATCAATTTCTTCATATGCTTAGCTTTGTCAGGTATTTTACTATATTGAGTAATGAATTTATGGTTTAATAACTTAGATGCTGATGATCTCTCTCTCGGATTAACTACAAAACATTTAATAAGAAAGTCTTCAAAAGTAGTAGAAATCCCTAATTCCTCTAATCCTATGAGATTAATAAAATCTATATCTCTTCGACATGAAGATATACGATGTAATGCTTTCATAGGGGGAAACCTATTTTGTAAAGGAGGTTTACCAGTTAATATCTCATAAGCACAACATCCAAGAGACCAAATATCTGCTTTAAAACTATGACCATCAGAATTATTTATTACTTCTGGTGCCATCCAATATGGAGTTCCTACCGTAGTATTTCTTCTTGAGAAACTTGAAGATAATTGAGCTGATACTCCAAAATCAGTTAATTTGACTTCTCCTTGTTTACTTAAAAGGATATTCTGAGATTTCAAATCTCGATGAATCTTTCCCTGATGATGTAGATAATCCAAAGCTATTAAGATTTCCTTTAATATTATCAGAATTACTCCTTCATCTTTGATGGGGCCCGGTCTTAACATTTCAAACAATGACCCTCCATCAACAAACTCCATTATCACCCATAATTGATAACTCTTTACAAAACATCCCAAATACCGAGTTATCTGCGGTAATTGACATTCAGATATAATTTGAATCTCCTTATTAATTTCAAAGATATCTGTTTGCTCATTTTCAAGATCAATTTGTTTAATTGCAACTTCTTGGCCCGTGGCCTTAACAAGTCCTCTATACACCACTCCAAAGGCTCCACGTCCTACTTCTTCACATACCTCCAATTCCTCGGCTCCAGTTATACGTACCAGCAGATCTGTCATAGTGTGGGTGGTGGTGTTGGTGGTGAAGGTGAAGGTATACTGAGCTGGTTCGCAGTCAACTTCTTGAAATGTAAACATTGACCTCTTCGCTAAGCGCACTTACCGCATTGGGAACTGTAATTAAATTTTCACTACTACACTACAACTACTATAGTAGAACAGCAACTACTACTACTACTACTGCTACTACTACTGCTACTACTACATAGTAAAGAATGTATATGGTTAAGCTAAGTCATATAGTGGCATCACGTGCGTGCCATAGTATATGGCCCAGAACTGGAGGAATAGGAATACTATCCCTTTCAAAGAGTATATCACTGTCTACTATTAGTGGAGCCGAAGTATTCCATCCTCGATCTCGAGTACCAGACAATGAATTCGTAAGATGTACAGTATTTAATAAAGCAGGAGATATTATTCAACATGGTAGAGATATCAAGAAACTGAAATTCTTAAAATTATATAATTTAGCACCTCGAGATTTTCGAAAGATCTCAAGACATCATAATCAAAATAATAGTTCTACTAGTAATATTAATGTTGATATAGTTCCATCAATAGTTACCAGACATGATGGAATATTATTAAATTTATTGAATATTAAAGCGCTTATAAAATATGATACAGTGGCAGTATTTGATAGTGTAAGATCTTCATCAGGAGGTTCTAGATTTAATGAATCTCATTCTCATAGTATATTCTTAAAGGATCTTGGTGATAGATTAAAGGCTCATGATGAAAGTTTACCTTATGAATTCCGAGCTCTTGAATCAGTATTGGTTCATGTAATGTCGAATTTATCTACTGAAATGAGAGTTCATAAGACTGTCTTACAAAATATTCTTCTGGGTTTAGAAGATTCAATTGAAAGAGTTAAATTAAGATATCTTTTAATTCAATCTAAGAAAATAGCTCAATTTCATCAAAAGGCTTCATTAATTCGTGATCTTTTAGATGACTTATTGGATCAAGATGAAGAATTAAATGCATTATATTTCACTGATAGTCATAAGGGTATAGAACGAGAAGGTAATAATCACACCGAAGTTGAAATTCTCTTGGAATCTTATTATAAAATGAGTGATGAAATAGTTCAAACGGTTGAAAATCTTCGATCACAAATTAGAACAACTGAAGAAATCATTAATATCATTTTAGATTCGAATCGAAATGAGTTAATGCTTTTAGGATTAAAATTCTCTACCGGATTATTATCTTTAGGTATTGCCTTATATATTGGAGCATTATATGGAATGAATTTAGAAAATTTTATTGAAGAATCAGATGGAGGATTTGAAGTGGTAGTAACATTATCTACTATGGCTTTACTATTTTTATTATATATTAGTATGAAGAAATTGCATAAAGTTGAACGAGTTACTATGACAGGCAGTAAAGAGGAAAAGTTACGGAAGATGTTAAGGAAAATGTGACATGTATATAATGAATATAATTAACAATATAAATAAATAATGACTATGACTATGACTTACTTATCTGTCTCTTCCTTAAGTACATCTATAAATGTTGTACTTATAGAACCAGTAGATCGATGCACTGGAGATGCTCGAGGTGAAGGATTGGGTGTATTACCTGTTCTAAAAGGTCGAGGAGTAAATATTTCACCCACTCGCAATGGAGCTGGACTTAGCGGTATTGGTTTATTAGTAGGATCATTTTTCAGAGGAGTTCGAGGAGTTCGAGGAGCTTCACCAGAAGGACCAATAATTTCTATCTTTGGGATAGGTTGAATGCGTTCGGATTCCTTCTTCTGATTATTGACTTTCTCCTTATCCACCAATACTTCAAAGAGTCTCTTTCGGGTACTAATTAGTAATAAATCCTGTAAGATGTGTTGGTAAATATCGAGCTTAGGTTTAAATCCCTTAGATGATTTGGATGTAGGAGGTCTAAAGATTAAATGAATAAATGGTATAGAACCAATAGCATCCATAGAATTCAAATCAAGCGCAATGGTTCGAATCTTATCCGTATCATCCACACTATGTAAATCTTCAAAAGTATCCGAAAGTTCATAGTTCAGAATAGCCGTTAAATCATAAACTCCTGCTATATGTTCTAGAACAAATAGTAATGAGGCCAAGTTACTTCGAGCCGTTGAACCCAAATACTTTAGTAGATCTGATTGCTTAGAATTCTCATCGGTATTTGAATATAATCCCACCAATGAATCATAGATCAGACACGGAATTATACTATCTGAGATCTCCAAGAGCCATGATTTAAGAAAGTTAACTAATTTATCGACATCAGTTCCAAGACTAGGCACTATAGCAGTAACCAATTCACTATGGATACTGGATTCGGTAGGTATTACATCTTTCAAGTTACTGGAATATTCATTAATGAATTTAATGGCATTCTCCTTACATGACCAATAAGTGTGATGATCAATTGGTTTACTCCAACTTTCAGTCAATGAAACACTTTGAATATCGGCCTGAACCTCAATTAATTTAACAAGTTCATATAAAAATAATGGAATAGATTTGATACTTAATAAATGGAGTCCACTGTCATCATCATCATGATTACTTTGACTAACTAACACTTGTAAGGGAATATCTATATATAAGTTAAACTTTAACTTTATATCTTGATATACAATATTAGCACTAGCACTCTTGGTAGTAGATTCAGGAGCTCTTCCAGATATATAGATCCCCAGACTAAAGGTATTAATTAAGTGTTCGAGTTCTTTATCTATCTTTGTTGTTGGATCAATCTCAGCATAATGAGTTGCAAATGTATGTAATCTGGTAGTAGAAGATAATGAAAAGTTATAGATTATTCTCAGTAATGAAGTCAAACTATCATACACCAATTTAATTCTTGATTTTTCAAACGTTTCTAATTCTTGAGCTTTTGTAGTGATCTGTTGTTCAAGTCGAGCTTTAAGTTCTTGTAATTGTAAATAAGCTGATTCATACAATTGCTGAATTTCAACAAGATCTTCATAATGATCACCTCTATTGATCGAAGACTTGACTGTCTTAAATAATTTAGATGTGTTACTGACTACATTACTTACGAAAGCTGACGCAGATTCTTCAATCATCGATGTTTCTGCTTCCTCTAGTTCATCATTGACTCCAGTATCATCCGATCCAAGAATATAATCAGTAAACAGAGACCATTCAAACCACATCCCTTCACTCTTAAATACTCTTGACCCCCAAAGTCCACTACCTACCATATACTTTTGATCTATTAAAGCTTGACCAAATCGTTCAGTAATTGATCGAGTAACTACTTTACCTAATACACCTGTTGTTCTTAAATATTCATTAAGATTATCACTTTTGAAGATCTCATTCTTAGATCCAGGAATAGGAATCTTTCTCTTTATAGTGGGGATATGAGATTTCATATCGGCCAATAATGTTCGTAATTCCAGTAAATCATTTATAACTTTCGTACCGATTGTTATAGGGAAAGAAAAGTCTGGCAGAGGAGATTCTTCTGAATGCGATGTAGTTGAAAGACTCTGAGGATCAGATTTAGTATTGGTATCAGTTTCAGACTCATTAACTCTCATGTCACTCACTTTATCGCGTAGACTTTCATTCTCAACATACTCATCATAATCATCTCGAAGTTTAGCTACTCTAGCATAAGTTTCAGTATATTCAGTATATAATTGATTTAAATCCGTTACAGATTGACGTACCACAGACTCATGATACTTTATAAAGTTATTAATGTTTTCTAGAACTTGCCGTTCAATGGCAATGGATAAATTAGCTAGTAAATTAGATTCTGATGTTATATCATTCATGAATCGAGCAAATGATTCTTCAACCAGAATTTCCAGAGTATCTCCAACAGTAGTCAATGGTTTAAATCCCGAACTTTGAGGGTGTAAATCAATCCCCACTCTATTTAAATGTTCACTATTGGCATAGTAATAATTCATATAACTAAATACTAATTTCTGAAGATCATGTATTTGAGTTATTGATCTTTGACTTTGTTGTCCAAGTTGTTGTATACCACTGATAATGTCACCTGACCAGTAGACATTAGCAAATTGTTGATACATTGTTAGTAATTATGTTGATTATGTTAATTATACTAATTTAGTCTCGTAAATATATAATAATTATACGATATTACCCCATTAGGTAACGGACCAATTTAATATACGGATATTTTTATGTATGATATGTTGAGACTGAAAAATTAAATATTAAAAAATTGTTTGTTTACATTTTGGGAAATTACCCTGTATCACGATAAAATGATACTGGAAGATATTGTAACGGATTTACAACATCTTGAGAATGATATTCAATTACTTGAGAATGAGATCCGTGAACTTGCGGACGAAAAGGCTTTCTTATTGACAGAGTTACAGCAGTATGAAATGGACTTGGGTCCTCGACCCCACCATACTACTGAATCTCCCAGTATACCACCAATTCTTACTCATAATCACTTTGATAGTAGTATATCCAAGTTCTTTGAAGGGCCTGTGCCGTCAGTGACTCAGAGTAGCAATTTAATAAATGGTGGAACTGATCGTATAGAAGTACAAGACAATGTTATGTATGAGAGTATATTTCGGATGGGAGGTGTAACTGCCTTCCCATTGAATTCGTATATATTAGGTGATGGCGACAGATACCTTGGGATTCGATTTGATCTCTATTCCTCGGTCACTCGAAGCTTTGACACTCCTCATTATGCTATATTGAAGAGAGTTACTGTGTCTAGTAAAGGTGGAGATACTACTGCTACTGATACAGGTAGTGAGACTGCTACTGAGACTGCTACTGAGACTGCTACTGCTACTGCTACTGCTACTGCTACTCAGACGACTGATGCTTGGTCACTCTACAGACACACCTTACCGAAATTCTTCAATGTTGAACAGTATATCCCATACCTCACCGACGTAGATCTGGGACCAGGCCGATTTGCCTTTGCTATACGACGATTATTTACTCAACTACAGTACAAAGCAGATAAACTTAAACAACTCCAACGATTTACTATGCAGCACTTTGGAGGTACATCGTCAAAGCCCATAGTGACCATAGTCAATGACTTACAATGGCATAGAGTCAAGTTACAATTGGGTGGTGGTACCACTACAACCACCACCACTACAACTATGGAGCTCATATGTTCGGATGAGTATATCCAGTCTGTTACAGTAACCTCTCGCCATCCGCAAGCGTCAGCTTACTGTCTGAGTATACTAACCAACAGTAAATTCGAAGATATAACTAAGAACTTCCGTACTGTGCTCGAGTATCTACTCCAGCATCAGGTGATATAGAACAGTATCTTTTATAAAACAAATAAACAAAATATAACAAAATATAACAAAATATAACATAAACAAAATATAACAAAAATATAACAAAGCATAAACAAATAGTAATAGTAAAAGTATAATATAAAGTGTAGATTCTCCTCTAACTAGAATGAGTTACCAAATCCAGTGCCAGTAGGTTGATATCCAAGTCCATTAACAGCTATAGGACCATTGGTAATCATTAATGGTTGTCCAAGTGGTTTATCTTCTTCATCCTTTTCTGCCTCTTGTCTCTTCTTTAAATCAGTATAAACTTCATTGATTCTCTTTTGATTTTCAGAAGCAATAGATATCTCATAAGGTTTAATAAAATTACCTAAATTATGTAACCAAGATACTTCCAATACATAATCATATTGAATGTATTCATAACAAGTATATAATAAAGCTACAAAACATTCATGATTACCTGTTTCAACAAAATAATCTAAAATTTCATGAGCAATCTTATTAGATTTGGAAATAGCCACTGTTCTAATTAAATCACTCCATAATTTATCATTCTTTAAGATTGAAATAGCTTTATTATACTTCTTTTCTTTAGTATATAAAGTAGCAGATATTTGTCTGAAAAAGATTAGGTCATGATTTTCTAATCGTTCAGCTAAATCTAATTTATTAAATCGATTATTACTTTCATTTTCAATTGAAGATTTAAGTGATTTATAATCTTCTTCTTCAATTAATAAATCATGATAAGCTCCATTAACTACTGAATTATTCTTTTCTAATACGGAAATTAAAAATGGTTTAATTAATGGTAAATTATCAGATTTAACAAAGATTCTTACAACTCGAGGTAAATCTAATCTTGGAGTTAATACTGATAATAAATCCACTAATAATGAAGGATTTTCATTAATATAAAATTGAATGGCTTTATAATAAATTTCTAAATTAGTAGCTTTAACAATAATTTCTTTAAATGAAGTATGATCAAAGGCCACTTCTGATTTTTCAATCATAGTTAATGCAGCATTATCCCATTCTTCATAATGACAATAAAGAAAGATTAATTCCGGATATAAATGCGCTTCTTCACAGGCACTCAAGACTTTAGGAATATTAAGTCTTGACCAAAATAATTTCAAATGTTCCATAACTTTTTCTGGAGAATATTTAGCATATAATATAGCCAATTCTGTAAACATTCCCATATGAGCTCTTTCTAATCCTAAACCACTTTCAAAAAGTGCAATTAATTCTTGGAAATATCCATTATATTCATAAGTTAATACCAATTCTGGTAATTCTTCTGCATCCACAATTAAATTCAATCCACAAATTTGTGCTAAACGGAATTCTTTATTTTCAATACATGCATTATTAACTTGTTTCCATACATTAATATTGGAAGCTTTACGAGCACAATCAACGGCTCCTTGATAATCTTCTAAATAAACTAATGTAGTAGCTAATTTAGAATATTTAGATACATTAGAATATAATATTTTGGCTCCCTTATAATTCTTAGCTTCAAATAATTTATCTCCAATAGTTTCTAAATCAGCTACATTTGGACCTCCCACAAACTTTTCAATTTCATTTAATTTATCTAATGAAGCATAAGCATTAATTAAGGCTCCATCAATTAATGGTTCTCGTAATGATTCACGAGCCATATCTAAAAAGCTAATTAATTCTTCTTCTTTACCGGCATGTTCAGCAATTTCAATCACTTGTTCATAATTAGTTGGATTTCTTGATTTTACATATGAATCAATGGCTTCTGGAATTCTTAATCCATTCAATTGGGCCGTACCTAATTGATACCAAAGATCAGAAGTATCATGTTTTTCAGCATATTGTTCTCCTCTATCTAAAGACATAATATCTTCTACCAATACTTTCATTGCATCAGTTCTTAATTCAAATTTATCATATACTTCAAAGGCTTCTTCATATAATTGATTATCAATACATAATGGAGCAATTTCTTCGGGATCATACTTATCTAAATTCTCAACATATCGACTTACTCGACTTGGATCAGCCTTAATGGCAGTTAAAATTAATAATCCTTGTAATGATGTATTATCATTAAATGGAGAAGGTTCTAAAATGATTTTTTCTAATAATTCAATCAATTCTTGAGGTAAATCATTCTCCATAAATGCCTTAACTGTAACAGAAATTGGTTCTGGATCATTCAATTCAGGTATACCAGTAGAAATCACTTGATCAATTAATTGTCTTCTATGAATATCATCATTAGCCAATACTTTATTCCATAAATTAAAATCGGATTTTTGTAACAAGTATCGAGCTTGATATTTATACATTTTATTTTCATTTGTAATTTGAATTAATTCATCATCATTACCTCCTTTAGAATAAGCAATATATGCTAAATAAGGATCTCTCTTTTCACAATATTTACCCACTACTAATGTATCATAAATATCATTTTCTTGTAAGAATTTCTCCGGAGAATTATTGGAATCAATATAAATTTTAGCTAATGTATTATAAACTTCTTGATCATTCGATCCTCCTTCTAAAGTTTTTTCTAAAAATGGTAATAAAATCTTTAATCTATTTCTCTTTTCAACTTCGGCTACTAATTCCTTAATTGGAACTCTTCCAAGAACTGAAAGTAATAAATTCTTAATGATATTTTCATCACAATCTACATCTAATAATCCAGCAATTACATGAGGGGTATTACCAGGATTAACTGATTGAACATAAACTTCAATAAATTTAAAATATTGATTCTTATACAAGTATAAGATTAAATCATGAACAAAATTAAATCGATCACATACAATAATTAATGGTAATTGATCATCTAATTTGAATTCCTTTAAGAAATTCTTAACTTTTTCTCCATTATAAACATTATTATCTCTAACCACTCGTTCAATTTCTTTAGTTTGATTCATCTTAGCGGCGGCTTGAATGTATTTAAATACCACATCGGCATCTTGAGTTAAATTAACAATCGATGATAAATAATAATATTCACCTTCAGTACATTTATAATCTTCAAAGATTTTAATTAAGGTTAAGGGTCCAATTAAATCGGAATATTTAGTAGCTACTTGAATAATAACTTGTAAATTCTGGGCCATATTATTGGCTAATAATTCTTTAATACAAGCAACTGATTGTTGCACATTTAATTGACCAAAATAAGCAACTAACCAATCATTAGGTAATACATTGGTATGAACAATGACTCGTTTAATATCCTTTAAATCATCATAATGTTCAAGAGCTCGTTGAAATAATCCGGATTTCTCACAAAGTTTCCCAATGGTTGGTTTATCATAATGACTAAACATACGATTACCCAAGATGGCATCAGCCACTTGAGGGGCATGTAAAAGATTAATTTCTAATACTTTAGTTTGTAAATGACCCTCAGCTGGTGAATCATTCTTTAAGGCATCTAAAAGGAAGGCAGTCCCCTGTTGAATATAATTCTGAGAAAAGAATAAATCGGCAACATTTTCAATATTTAAATTATTATCTTGTCTAGCCAATAATGAAGTAGCAAATTCACTGGCTTTATCAGGATTAACTCGAACAAGATTTTGAATTAAATTAGTAAAATCAGGATTATAACCAACTTTTTCACAATAAGGAATAATCTTATCAAATTGTCCTAATTCAGCTAAACTAGATACAACTTTAATATTAACATTAGCACGAATATAAACGGCTAAAGCTAAGGTAGTATCATTATAAGATTTTACAATATCACCTAATTCTTCTGAACTAGTTAATTTATCTTCCTTTAACCATTTTTCAAATAATGGTTTACGATCTTGTTGTAATACTGGTTTAGCTAATTCAATTGATTCAAATTTGTTAAGAGTTCCTCTATCTAATAAGATTGAAAAATATTCTAAAATTGGAGATATTTGTCCTGGTTGAGGAGTTATATGTTTTAATTTATTAATTGTATCAGGAGTTCTTAATTGTTCTGAAGATGCTGCCACTTTAGCAGCATTTGAATAATCTCCTTGATTTAAAAAGTTTTGAAATTGTTGTTGAAATAAATTCTCAGCTCCAGGAAATCCTCCTCGAGATGATAACGCAAGTGCTAATGGAACATTAGCTAATTTTTCTAATACATAAGGAATAATTTTATCTCTTGAAACTTCAACACTTAATACTTGACCTGATTTATTAATAGTAATTAATCCTCTACCTTCATTAAATGATGAAGCAGTGAATACATTTTCAGCCGTAATTCTATTAACAAATAAATTAGCTCCTGTTTCAATATCATAAAGATGAATAAATCCATATTTAGTTAAAACATAAATAATTCCATATTCATCGGAAGCTTGTAAACTAATTGGAAAATCATTAGCAGCATCATGAGGAAAGAAAATATCCACCGTTTTCTTTTGAAATTGAGGATTACCTTCAATATGATCAATTTCAATAATATGTAAATTCCCCTGTCCTTGAGCATTCTTATTACCTACACAAAAGACTTTGGTTGGAGCAGATGAACCATTTAAACGAATTGAAGCAAATTTAGATACATGACCTTCAATAGCTTGAGAAACATTTCTTGATTTAGAATATAATTGAATATGACCCGCTATACGACCATCTTCTTGAGCAATTCCATTAATTGCAAACCAATTTAAATCAGGTTCAGCAACAAAATTAATAATTTGAGAATTATTTAAACTATGATGTCTTTCAGATAATCTAATTGGTCCATCACCAGTACCATCAAATACATTCCAATAATAAATTGCACTACCAGTAACTAAACCTAAATGAGTATCATTAATCCATTTCCAAAATACTACTGGTTCATCAAGAGTAAAAGCTTTTAATCTTTGTTTAGAACCTAAATTAAAGATTTGTAAAGTAGTACCATTAGCTCTTAAAGAAATAACAAATTGATTTGGATGCATAATTGCATTATCAGCAGACATAGTCTTTCTCGTAATTTCATTATTATTCTTTAAATCAATAATAGCTACAGTATTACCATTTGAACCATTTTCTCTAATACAAACATAATGATCTGATTCTAAAGTAGTTGATTTGAAATCCAATGAATTGGCCGAAATCCCCAATTGGGTTAACTGAGTTAATTCAGTAAACTCAATAGGTATATCACTAGACATTACCTTTCCCCTATTAATTGATTAAGTATTGTATTAGTTAGTTAAGGAAAAAAAAAAGATTTACTAGTGAATAAATTAGTTGAAAGTACTACTAAATGATTCAGATATCACTAGTTAACTATTCCAATTCTGAAATTATAAAGAAATACAATTGACTAATACAATTGAGTGGAGTATAGTAGTCGGTGGTAGTGGTAGTGGTAGTGGAGGTTGATCATTTTTCACTCCTCGAGTGTCCACGCTGGTTGGTGCCTCCCCAGATTATGTAAGCCGAGCCACCCAGTGCGGGATTGTTAGCGGAGTAACGTAGTGTAGTGAAGCAGTGTAGAGAGAGTAGAGAGATTACAGTAGAGTAGAGATTAGAGAGTAGAGTAGAGCAGAGTAGTAGAGTAGAGTAGAGAGTAGAGAGTAGAGTAGAGCAGAGATTAGAGAGTAGAGTAGAGCAGAGTAGTAGAGTATTACTGTATTTTACAAGTTAGTGTGTAGTCTATTTAGTGTACCGTTCTGTAGTGTGACTAGGCAGTACTGCGACTCCTTAGACTGCGACTCCTTAGTGACAGTGAGACTACTGAGCACTTCTGATTGACTACTGAGCAACAATACAGTACATTCGTATGTTCACAATCTATACCATACATACACTATTGTATACCATACATACACTGTATACTGTACATACACTGTATACTGTACACTACATACACTGTTGTACTGTAAGTATTAGTTGTACTCTGCATTGTAACACCGATATGTTACTCTCCAGTACAGTATAAGTACTGTATACATTACACTATTGCTGACTACTGTATTACTGTATACTAACTAGCTGTAACTAATACTATACTCCTGTATATATACTATACCCATCTCATATAGGTGGCCTCACACTCTTTAACGCATCCTCAACTATAACATTACTATACCCCGTAGGCGTACTATCATCTCTCAATGATTCACTCTTATCTAAATACTTCGTAACATACTTATAATCACTACCATACCAATAAGCCGTCATCATACTAATCTCCATTCTCCGTCTATAATCTTTCTCGTCCTGTTCTTCATCATTATCATTATCATCATCATTATCATTAACATTACTAAATAATTTATTATATTCCCAATCAATAAGCCAATACCCAATTTTCCTCATTGCAACTTTAACGAAATCAGGTGTAACATATAATGAATCAGTTAGATTTTGATTATTGAATTTTTGCCATAATACCATAACTCGAGCTAAATCTTCAATATCATCAATACTTCGAGTCAGTAATCGAGTTTGTCTAGGAGCTAATGAACAAAGTCGATGATTTCGACTATGAACTACAAGTGAATATATATATCTCTTTATATCTGGTTTAATATATACATTAGGAATCAATTGTCTCAAATAAGCAATATTATCATGATAACTAAAATCATTCATGGGTAATGTTAATCGATCAGGTTTTGATGATGATTTATCAATCACATAATTATTAGAAAACCAAAATTTGGATTTAAGATATTGATCAATTTTTAAGTAATACAGTCTATGATCAAGTAAAGCAATTATTATAAATAAATCTGGTTTCCTTATACTATACCCATCTATAATACATGGTCTAGGATTATTACGAGATTCCTTTGTATCATATAAATCAATCTTAGTAATTAATTCATAAAGGTATCTCTGTAATTGTCCATCAACTTTAGCGAGATTCTTCCATATTATATATGGTTTAAATTCATATTCATTATCTTCTTCATTACCAATGGGAATAGTACATTGATTTATTAAATTTCGTTCAGTAGTGAACTCAAGTAAATCAATTACTTGAATCTGATCTGGAGTTACCAGACACAGATTTTCAAGTATTATACGAATAAAATCCTGTTGGAGAGTTTCCACATTGTTAGTAGTAATGACAAACCGTTTATTGTAGATCAACGATAACGACAAAGCCGTTAGGAGGTTTTGCATTAGTGGTAGTACTTAGTGATAGTACTTAGTGAAAGTGGTACGTACTTAGTGAAAGTAATACTAATAATTTTATTAGATCGGTAGATTGAATCACTAGTGCGTAACTCTAAGCACAGTACCCTAACAAATAACTTTCAAGCCACTAATAATCTACTAGTGGGTGTCGTGCCCCCGCCTGTAACGCGTCCGGCAAACGTAAACAACACTGAGGATATTCCCTGCAGGAAACAACAACAATAACGGTCCACTGCCGATTACACGAAATTTTTCCACCTTCGGTAATAACCCAATAAACTACGTAACCCTCATACTACCCATTAAAACCTATCAATTACTGAGGAATATCACTATGCAATCATTTCCTCAGTTCTTGCGAAGTCAACCTTCACCAAAAGTTCAGGATTCGGCCTTTCCTCCCTTTAAAATCGAGCATAGATATCGAGGAGTCTATGAAAGAGCCGGCTTTGATATTAACCGAGATGTCAAAGTGAAGAAGTCTGCTAATGATACCAAATCGGTTAGATCTCGTACTAATAGTCAGTCAAGTGGTCAAACAAATAGTCATCCCAATCATCCCAATCATTCGGTTGCAAATGCCCCATCTCCTTTGGACTCTCTGTCTTCGTCATCGTCTCGAGACTCATCAAAATCTTCATCTACTGAACATAGTAATAAACCTCATTTCAGAAATCCTTATGGTAATCCTTCATCTTCCAAATCAGCTACTTTCCCATCTCATTATCCTATATCACCTCCTATGTCTTCCACTACTCGATCACATTCGGAATCCAAACCAATCACTAATAATAAGGTAGAGTTACCATATCAAAGATCATTCAGTGAATCTAAAGTAAATATCAGTACTGGAGGCTTAACGCCTCTAAATGAATCTTTTAAAGATATACCTCAACCTCCGAGTCAGAATAAGAACTATAAAAACCTTCGACTCGATTTGGAACAGCAGCAACTGCACCAGAAATCTCGTCTCATTAAATCGGATGAACTGCTTTCCGATAGTGAGAATGAAATGGGGTCCGGTAAGAATGATACCTTCGATGAAACGAGAAACACATCGCTCGATAAGAATGAGTACGATGAGCTTAATGTGAGAAATGTGGTTAAGCCAATGGAGGCGGAACAGTCAGTGTATAAACCAGTACAACCAGTACAACCAGTACAACCAGTACAACCAGTACAACAGCCAGTGTATAAACCGATGGTTCTGCCAATGCACCTGCCAATGCACCTGCCAATGCACCTGCCAATGCACCAGCCAATGCACCTGCCAATGCACCAGCAACCACAACAGGCTTACCCAGCTTACCAGCAAGGCTATCCACAACCAGGACAAGCTTATCAACCCCAGTTTACTCCACTGCCAACTAATTATAAACCTCCCTATCCAGCACCTCACCAACCTCCATATCCATTGCGGGTTAATATCCCCAACCAATACCCACAACAGAACAGTCCTATTTATTCGCAGAGCCCTCAGGCATATCAGCAACCAACACAGCAACAACAACCACCACCACAACAGCAACAACAACAGCAACAACAACCACCACCACAACAGCAACAGCAACAACCACCAATTCGTCCAGCAGACACTTTAAGTGCAAGAGACAGTTACTCTAATTCCCGACTCTCTCATGCCTTGGATGATTTCAAAAAAGATATCCAAGCCCATAAGGAATATGTTCCAAGATCTCCATCTATACCTGGAAATACTCCACCTCAATTACCTTCATCTTCACCTAGTGAGTTAGGATTAGGACGCTTTGAATATCCTGTAAGTAATCCTAAATATGGTACAGACTCAACGTCAACCTCGACTACTCAACCTCCTTATCCAGTAGCAGAATTAATGGTAAGTTCTAGATCTAAAGAGACAAGATTAAGTCAATTATCGATGGTTAGTTCTGTGATTTCTCATGATGATGACAATGACAATGACAATGAAGATGATGAAGTAGAAGAGGAATTGAAGAGACAATTGGAAATGTTAAAGCAGAATGGGAATAGTACGGATTATCATATGGACACATCCACCTCTATGGCAGTACCACAAATCACCATTAATGAGGAAGAACCTGAACCAGAACCAGTACCAGAACCAGAACAACAACCAGAACCACAACCAGAGTATGAAAGCAATTCATCACATGATTCGGATTTGGATGACATGTCCTCGACGGCATCTTTCGATCTGGTTAAACCGTTATCGGTTCGTCATTCAGCCAATATCTCCTTCAATGCCATTGAATTACCTCCTTCGCCCATTAAATTCAGAAAGGAAGTTAAGTTTAATGAGACTGATAGTTTTGTATCACCAGTAACTCATAACTTCCCTAATAGCGATACTACATCACCCAGTACCTTTGAAGAAGTTAAGCCTTTAAGTCCTAAGAATCATGAAGTTGAAAAGGAATTACAAGGGATGAACTTTGAGATCCAGCCGGCTACTCAATCGCCATCACAATTTGAAATGATGGAACAGGAACAAGAAGTAGAACAAGAAGTAGAACAGGAAGTAGAACAACAATATTCTCCCTTACTGCCCTCCGGTAGTGGACCATGTCGTGGATGTCATCAAAGTATTGATCCATTAGCTAAGGGACCTCGAAAGGCAATTTATTCTAAAACAGGAGAATTAACTGGTCAATGGCATAGAAGTTGTTTTACATGTACTTATGACCATTGTCAAATTACTTTTAATAAGAATGTTCAATGTTACGCATTTGAAGATTATCCATATTGTTTTAATCATTATCATCAATTAAATAATACTCAATGTATATCATGTGGTATAGGAATTGAAGGAGATTGTATTGAGAATGAACTTGAACAAAAGTATCATTTACATTGTTTAACTTGTGGACAATGTAATCAACCAATTGATTCTGATTATTTTCTTATTAATGGGATTATTTATTGTGAAGCTGATGCTCATATTAAGATTATTAATAATAATTCTAGGGGATTATCAAGTAATGATAAGATTGAAAAGAGAAGAACAAGATTATTATTTCTTGATTAGGACTATTATGTATATGTATTATAGAATTGTAATATAGAATCTAATAGTCTCTGGCCTTGGTGGAGGTTTGTAGTTCTTGTTGAATGATGATATCATCGTCTATAAAGTCCATTGCTTCTGGTGGTGATATTAACGGTCTCTCTTCTGCTTCATCATCTATTATGAAATTATCATCATCAAAGTCAGCCGAATTCAACTCAATCTCACTGCCTCCAAGTTCTAAATCATCTTCGAAATTTCCAAAGATTATTCGATCAGGATATCCATTTTGATTCTCATGATAACTAGTTAATTTCTGTTGCATTTTACCATAGATTATATATGTAGTGATAGTAGTAGCTAACCCAGTAAGTAATATACTTATAAAATCAACTATTTTTGCTGAAGTTGTCTTAGTATCATCACCAAGATTCTTTAATTTATAACCAACAAATATATGAATTAATAATTTAGGAGAAGTTATAATTGATGATAATAAGAATCTTAATATGGGTAAATCTGGGACTACTGCAAAGGCACAATTACTTAATGAATAAGGTAATGGACATAATCGAATTAATATAAGTAACATTAATGATTTATCTTCTCTTAAAATTTCTGAAAAGGCTCTAAAAGTTTCTTGTTTATTAACTAATTTAACGGCATAATCATGAAAGATTAATCGATTAATTAAAAATGAACATAATGATCCTAAAATAGATGCACTAGCTAATAATGGCCAACCTCCAGGAAATCCATATATCATTCCCGTTAATATTGATAAAGTTGAAAATCCAATTAATGGAGGGAATCCTACAATAAATATTAATGAAAATAGTAATGGACCTCCATAACTGAAATTATGCCATTGATCAGATATATATACTAATGCATTTATAAGATATTTATGAAATATTACTACTGTAATTCCAGCACTAATTCCAATAATTCCTACTATACCGAGTAATACTTTTATTAGTGAGGTTTGATCTCGGTACCAATTTACGCTACGTTGAGCTACTAAATTGGCATCTCGCACTAACTCATTAAACCCTGCCGTGGCTCCGGCGGTATCTATGGGTAAGCTGGGCATTTAGGAGGTGTTAGGGAGTGTTAGTATGAAGTTGGCGTTAGTAATTGGCATAGCGTATACTACTTTACTTAGTAGTTAGTAGTTACTTAGGCGACTTAGTGGATGAGGGCCATGTGCAGGTCGGACTCTTCGGTAAACTTAGTGATTGCTTTCCGAAGGGTAACCAGCACTAATTAGTATTAGTGTAAATAAGGAGTGAGTATATAAGTAAAGTGTATATTTATATTTTACGATTGTAGAGGACATGGTCAAGGCTTGTTTATTGGGATGGTGTAATATTTGAGGCAGTACAGTAGCTCAGTAACTACCACTAGTTAGTAGCCTAGGGTAGGCTGAGTACTTATGGGATGGATTAGTATCCTTGTAGTATGATAGTAGAGTATATACTTTATGTTGTTATTGTTACTATTACTGTTACTGTTACCTTAGTATTCTTTATACTGTTGGTATCACTGTTACTCTTACACTCATAGAACATAGTGACACTGCTTTATCGGTATCTCTGTATTACTCTGATTTTTCGCAGCAATTGTCTCCAATCGCACTATATTCTACTATAAATTTCTAATATTAAGCTTGTATTTCTATTAAGTACCTCCAAAGCTTGCTTTGAAAATGAAGACAGATTTCAAATTAAGAATAAAAAGAAAACATCAGGAGTTAGAAGACAGGTAGAACTAATATACACTAAGATAGATATAATATATATATATCATCTTTAAATTTAATTATGATGAGATAATAAAGCTGGGAAATCTTCAACACTTGCACCTTCATAAATAACTTTATAAGTAGCTTCAAATAATGGGAATTCATGTTGCAAATTAAAGTTGTGTAATAATTTATGAACTTCATTAGCAGTTAAAATACCTTGAGAACTTTGACCATTTAATAAAACTTTTTCAGCTTCAAATGCTCCAACATTATGTTTAATCATATATCTAGCAACTTTAGCATTTCTACCTCCTGCACAAGTAGTAATTAAATCGGCAACACCAGCACTTTCTTCAGTAAATGTTGAATGTCTTGGTGGAGGACCTTTAATACCAAATTTTTCATAATATGAAGCAAAATGAATAGTTTCTTTAATACCAATTCTCATAATAGCGGCTTGAGAATTTGAACCCCAACCAGCTCCATCAACAAATCCAACGGCACATGCAACAACATTTTTTAAAGCACCAGCAATAGATGCACCAATAACATCTTTAATAACAGCAACATGAAAGTAAGGTCTATGGAAAGCTTGTCTTAAAATAAAACTATCAATATCATTACCTTCACCTCTAAAATCATCAGGTTTTAAATAAGCAATTGAAGTTTCAGACCATCTTTCTCTTGCAACTTCATCAGCAATATTAGCACCAGATAAAACTCCACAATAAATTCCTAAAGTATCAGTAATAGATTGAGATAATAATTTACAACCTTCAGGTCCAACATGTAAACCTTTAAGACAAGAAATAGCTCTTGTAGTTTGAGGAACATGACCAACTAATTGTTTACAAATATTTGGTAAGAATTGATGAGGAACATTAAAAACAATTAAATCAGCCCCCTTAACAGTAGCAACTAAATCAGGATTTGCTACTAAATTATCAGGTAATTTAACTCCATTTAAATATTTAACATTTTCATGTTCAGTATTTATAATATCAGTTAACATTCTATCTTCAATCTTTTCATCAAATACCCACATTTGAACTTCTCTTTGAAATATTTCTGGCTTTTCTCTAGTATTTTCGGCCATGATTTTGGCAATACAAGTCCCCCAATTACCAGAACCAATAATGGCCATTTTAAAGGGCTTTTCAATTTTATAAGGAAGGGTACCACTAGTCATTTTTTTAATTAATTAACAAAGGATCTATAGTGTTAATGTTTAATATGAATGAATATATAAATTAAAAAAGTTAAATTAGAAATTAGAAGAAAAGAATAAAATAATCAGAATTAATCCAAAATAGGTAGAAAGTCTCGAGTATATATATTTCCAATTATTTTTCTATATTGTTAATATCAATTGGTGATCCTTCGCTATAAATTTATCAATCAACTCCGTAATGGTATTTGTGTTCCTTCATACAAAAAAAAAAAATAACTAGGGAGGTTTTGGGTGGGCGTATTTCTTTTTGGGCCCCTATGTGCAGGAGATGAGAAATAATAAAGAGATGGGCATCGTTGAGAGTGACTTATAACTGGTATGATAGTTAATTTCTTTTTGAATTTTGTACTATTTTATTAAAAGGTAAATAATTGTATCTTGTAACATAGATAATTATTATTGTTATGTTTCATCTGACATTCTATACACACTAGGCTTGTAAGTAGTGTTTCTGTAGAATGATGTAGGTACTAGTACAAAGTGAAGAGAAAGGGGCCCGATTCGATTTGGGTGTGTGCACGCCCAACAAAAAATCATTTTTACTACAACTACTAACTCGTATTACAAAGTACTACGATATTACTTTTACAATCTGTACAAAACTCTAATTAAGGTCAGTAATAAATATATCATGAGCAGCAATAGTCACCTTGTCTGTGCCTAAGAATCTCGCACTTTAATTTTAAGCTCGTTTTAGTTAGTCCTAGCAGTCACCCTACCCTCTTACCAAACTGGGCATTTCCCGGGTGCTAAAAAAAAGAAACCAAGCGAAAAGAAATTTGCAAATACCGAACTGTATGTCACCCAATACAATAACACAAAGCTTCATTACATAGCTATGACGTAGTGTTATTTAAAGCGCATTAGTTAAGTATGGTTTTAGTATACTAATCTATCATATTCTAGTCTATTCGGATCTATTGTTCAACGTTCCAGGTTTATCCGATATCAGATCCACGGCCGCCCCTCTATCTATTGTGTATAATATCCAAAATCTCGTTGGCTTTTGTGCTAAAGCTTAGTGACGTTGTAACAGGTTAGTGTCAATGTCAAACGAGCATTCTCGTTTATTTCGAGTCAACTTGACTCATCTACTCAACTCCGAATGACAATGAGCCATTCGCCGCCTGGCGTCTTAGCAGTCCACATTTAAGGGGTTTTCGTGATGGACTACCGTCACCTCACTAGGTAAAGAAAATAAAGTGCCATCTCGCTATCCAAAGCAAATAGCTATCAATTTTCTTTTTTTTTTTACTGAACTAGAAAATATGTACCGGAAAATTTAAGTGGCTTGTTGCCAACGCATTATGCATTCAGTGGGCTGCAGTTTCTATTACTGATACTGAAATAAATGCCTTATCGAACTCGTTTGGAGTAAAAAAAATTTTACAGTAACAACAACCGAAAATGTGTGTAACTATGCGTTATTCGTATTTACTTTATTACTTACTAGTGAGAAATCAAAAAACCGTTAATTAAATTCGTACATAAAACTGTACCTTTACCTAAAATACCTAATTAAGTTGATTGGTCCAGCACTTGACAAATGATTACTAAGACCTCTAACTTTGTACCTTTATAGTGGTTCATGTAATCTAAAATATAAGCAATCTGTTCTCTTACTAATATTTCGATTAATGAAAATCATCATCATGTCTATAATCATCATACACTTCTTGTTGATGTTTATCTGTCATAATGCTGTGAGGCTTTTGTTGTCTTGGAGCATTATGACGTGAACCAGTAAATGAATTCCCAAACATCATATCATCATCTCCATCTTCAAGATCTTCTGTCCAATCACCTAAATTTACTTGACCTCCAGTAATAACTCTAGCTGCTGTAAATGGATCCATAATATCTCCTAAATCTCCATCCTTGATATGAGCTAATGGATCAGGTAAATGATTAACATCCGGTCTCATATTTTGCTGATGTTGTATAGATTCTCCAGCTACCGATTGTTGAGGAAATGCAGGTACTCCATGTTGTATGGCATGATAATTAATCTCTTCATTAAAACCATGAGTTTGTTCACGTCTACCATCTTCACCACGCACATCTTGTAAGGGATCACTTAAATATTGACGAATATCTTCTCCATTGGTAGTCTTAACTAATTTATCTCCCGATAATTCTACTTGCCTCGTCGATATGGAACTCATTAATTTCAAGAAATCAGAGTTTTGAAATTTCGATTTAGTCTCTTGAGAAGATTTGGCATTTTGCATAGAAGTTTCAACTTTTCTAGCAGTCTCGGCAAATCTCTCCTTATCTGAATCATCGACCAAACCAGTTTGATCGGCAACTTGTTCGTCTTGTTGTAGTTCTTGATCTTGTAACTCTTTCTCTATCATATCAAACTGATTTTCAAAATGCTTATGCTCTTGCTCCATTTTATGAACCTCTTGATGCTCAGTAGCTTGTCCCTGTAAGGGTTGTTGTAATTGTTGATGCTGACTAAATATCGGACCATTTGTCATGGCCATTCCCATTCCCATTCCCATTCCCTGAGCATAATTAGGAACAAATTGAGGTTGTTGCTGTTGCTGTTGAGAACTAGGTATTTGCATTTGATTGTTACTCTGCTGCATGAACTGTTGGTGCCAATCTGATCTTCCTTGAAGATTATTTGCTTGTGACTGTTGTACCGGTTGTGGTTGCTGACTTATAGATAAGTTAGAAAAGTCCAGTACCCAAGCTGGATTATTAACTTGCATCGGATTAACTGGTTGTTGCCTATGTTGCACCGGCTGGAACTGAGTCATGAAACTATTTGCAAAATCATTTCCACCATTAAACTGTTGAAATTCTTGATTTAATCTGTGATCAACACCGTTATTAGTCTTGAAATTGCCTGGATGGTTTCGAGATTGTTGGTTATTTCTTAAGGCAAATTCATTTTGTAAAGAGTTGTCTCGTTGTGTATGTTTGGACAAGTTGGTTAAGGCGTTTGAAGGCCCACAACTAACATCCATTTTGGTATAAGTAGCTAAAAGGGATATAGTAGTTTAAAGATATCTAATCAGTCACTGATTTAAATTATGGGGAAAAATGGAAAGGTGAAAAAAAGATTTTGTCCTCGGTCAAGAAAATGTCGTATGTGATTGTGCGCATATATCCGAAATAGGCAAAGATATGCCTAACTGTACATTTTTTTTTTACTTTCACTATATAATTCTCATAATAAACCTCCCAAAAACTTTTGCACCCAATTTACAATTTTAAATACGTATCGTTATCGAAAAAGTCACTATACGTTTCACCTAAGAACTCATGAATATTAGATGTTTGCATAGATCGTTTATACTTTTTAAATGCCTTTCTAGCTGCTACTCGAACTATGGCACATGCTGTATAACATGCCAATAAATTAGCTTCTTCCTTAGATAATTTTTCTTTATCCTTACTATCAATATTCCACAAATTAGCATTATAATTATTAGACCAATTAATTAATGTTGCCAAGGCTCCTGTTAAAGTATCACCTTGACCTCCAACTCTTTTATCTGATCCTTCTGTTTCATTTATAAGATAATCTTCTTTCTTAACAATGATTTCTTTTCCACCTTTTCTAATTATTGTTACATTACCTAATTTCTTTGACATCTTAGTTGTAACATCAATAATTTTTTGTAAATCTGATTCATTGAAATTTGATTCAATCTTTAAACTTTTAGCAATTCTATCAAATTCTACAACATTAGGAGTTAAATATGCATTTGGATAATTCTTAATTAATCCTGGATTAACTGATATTAAGAATAATGCATCTGCATCTAAAATTAGTGGTTTATTCAATACTTTAATTTCTTCAATGATTCGAATTAAAGATTTTAACATTAATGGATCACGACCAAAACCTGGTCCCACTACCACTAAATCAGTTCTTTCAAGTAATTTTTGAATTTTAGGTAATACTTTCTTATCAATTATACTAGTTAATTTTGGTTGATTTGAATCAATTAATTTTTCAATGGGGATTTTTAAAATATCATCTACTTCATCAGTAGTTAATTGAATTTCAGGATTATTTAAATCAAATAAATAAGGATGAATCATTAAATCAGGAGAATACAGTTTAATAATTGGAGCTGCTACTTTCTCACAAATTACATGAGATAAATCAGCACCAATTAATGCTGATGAATGACTTGAAAAGAATGGAGCTCCAGTATAATCTTCACATCCTCCTATAACTAATATTCTACCAGCCTGACCTTTATGAAAAGTAGGTAATAATGGTTGAATTAATTGTTTAGATAATTGTAATAATTCCTTCTGAGTTCTATTTCTTAACATGATTGTAATTATAAATTATTATAAATTATAATTATTAATTATTCTAATTATTGTAATTCTCAATTTCCACAGTATTTATTAGTTATCTAATCAATTCCTTCTAGTTTAGTTACACATATATTAAGTTATATAATTTAGCCCACCCCCCTTATACAACCGGCTGTTCTTTTTTTTTGCTACTAGGCTCACTCATAAAGTGTGGCAAACAAAAATCCCCAAACTCCGGCCCCCTATGCAGGCCCACAACTTTCCCAGGCCGACGCTAACTTTGGAGGTCTTTTTTTTTTCAGCTAACCAATCACCAATTCCCCCCGGAAATTACTAAATAAACCTGAAATATTTAGTAATCGACTTCGAGGTTTAAATTTATAGTGGCTTCATTTCTTTATAAGATTTCTAAGATAACTATTTAAAACATTAAAGTGTCAATTAACTAGTCGAACTAATTAAATTTCATTATGTCCTTTGTCAGTAGATTATCTAAGATTGCTACTAATCCTAAATTATTTGTTCCAATTTTAGCATCCGCAGCTTCAATTGGTTTAGCTATGAGTTTTTCTTCTCAAACAATTGCCAATGAAGGTGGCAAAACTTTTAAAGGTGGTGATGAATGGATTGATTTAAAATTAATTAAATCTGTTGATTTATCTCATGATACTAAACATTTATATTTTGCTTTACCAAATAAAGATGATGTATCTGGATTAATTACTGCATCTTTATTATTAACTAAATTTGTTACTCCAAAAGGTAGTAATGTAATTAGACCATATACTCCAGTTTCTGATAATGATCAAACTGGAGTTATTGAATTCATTGTTAAAAAGTATGATAATGGTAAAGCTTCAACTCATATTCATGAATTAAAACCAAATGATACTTTATCATTCAAAGGTCCAATTGTTAAATGGAAATGGGAACCAAATCAATTTAAAAATATTTCATTAATTGGTGGTGGTACTGGTATTACTCCATTCTATCAATTAATTCATGAAGTTACCAAGAACCCAGCTGACAAGACTAAGATTGATTTATTCTATGGTTCTATTTCCGAATCTGACATTTTGTTAAGAAAGGAATTAGATGAACTTGCTGCTAAGCACAAGGATCAATTAAAAATTCATTACTTCCTTGACAAGGCTCCAACCAACTGGAACGGTCAAACTGGTTTCATCAATAAGGAATACCTTTCCAAACATTTACCAGCTCCAGGTAAGGATAACAAGATTTATGTTTGTGGTCCACCAGGTTTATACAAGGCTATTTCTGGTCCAAAAGTTTCACCAACTGATCAAGGTGATTTAAGTGGTGCTTTAGCTGAATTAGGTTACTCTAAGGAAGAAGTTTTCAAATTTTAATTGATACTTTTATACTAGAATAAAAAATCAGAAATTATTTAGAGTATATAATGAAAAAAATTATTATATCTGCTATGGATTATATAGATCTTTACAAATAAAACATATTTTTTGTTTGCAATCGTAGCGATTTGTCGCAGCAATTCGTAGTGCAGCCCAGCTCAGCTAAACCATAAATCGAAAAAAATTAGCGGCATCAGTATTAATACAGAGAAGTGAATGTGAATTATTCATTAGAACATTGGAATATGTATGTGACAAATGTGTAGTACAGTAGTGGGAAAGAATATAGTGACAGTTGCAGTTCAAGGCTGCTGTCATGGAGAATTAAATAGTATATATAAATCACTCAATAAACATGTTGATATTCTTATTATATGTGGAGATTTCCAAGCTCTAAGAAATACGAGAGATTTGGAAACCATTAGTGTTCCTCAAAAGTATAAGAGAATGGTTGATTTTCATGAATATTATAAAGGTAAAAGACAAGCGCCTGTTTTAACTATTTTTATTGGTGGAAATCATGAAGCATCATCATATTTAAAAGAACTTAAGTATGGAGGATGGGTAGCTCCTAACATATATTATTTGGGAGAATTTGGGAGTGTTTGGTATAAGGGCTTACAAATTGGAGGGTTAAGTGGAATATTTAATAGAAATACTTTTTATAATAATGATATAGAAGATGAAATACTACCTTATGATGTAAGTGCTATACGAAGTGTATATCACATCAAATTGAAGAATTTCTTGAAAATGTACCTTATGAATCATACTATGGATATCTGTTTAAGTCATGATTGGCCAGCTTATATATTTGAACATGGTGATGTACATAAGTTGATCAAACAGAAGAAGCATTTTAAATCAGATATAGAGAATGGATCTATAGGAAGTCCTTTGAATAAGTTCTTACTAAATTATTTACGTCCGAGATATTGGTTCTCATCTCATATGCATACAAGATTTGAAGCAATTGTCAATTATGATAATGAGAAAAGTTCATGGAAACAGAATGTCGATGAGATTGAATTAGATATGGATGATGATGAAGTAGAAGAAGTCAGCAATAGTAATACATCAGTTGGATTTGAAAGTCAATTACATATAGATGAAAATGATGGATCCAGAAAATCTAACAATAACCAATCAGGTGAAGAATTGACATCGGTAAGATTGAAGTTCCCCCAAGATCCTCTTCAAACTAGATTCTTAGCTTTAGATAAATGCTTACCTAAGAGAAAGCATATAGAATTCATTGATATTGAGGTTAATCCTAATCATTTAGATCATCCATCAGTTAAAGATAAACTGGGCTTTTATTATAGTAAGAGAGCTGTAGCAATAAATAAAGTGGTTGAAGAATATATTATTAACAATAGAAAATCATTTGAAGGAATTGATTGCGGAAGAATACTTAGAAACCCAAGAACATTTGGATTAGTGAATATATTAGCCAAATTAGTTGACGAGGAGCTAAAAAAGTTAGAAGCATTACCAAATGATACATTCAAAATAGATCCTGATACTTTCAAGATTATAGCTCCGCCAACAGGAGTAAACGATGTTCCCTTGAAGTATTGGGAGAATAATCAAACTATAGAGTACTGTAAGAAATTTGGAGTAAAGTATACTGGTTTGAAAACTACAAGCACAACAAGTACGGCGCATAGTTCAAGTGCCCGAGGAACTTCAGGTACTACATATACTACAGATACAGCAAGTACTACAAATATAACAAATGCTACAAGTGCTGCAAGTACTACAGGTTCTACAGATACAAGTACTCAATAATTTCACCCTCTATAAGTAACTAATGCACATAATTTTTAACTAATTTAATTTTGCGCACTCGACAGATAAGACAATGAGGGGACGCTAATTGCCAATCCTTGATGAGGCGTGGCTTGCACTTATATAATCATCTACTGAACAGAAAACATAGCCATAATGTGGCACTGAAGTAATTGACAACAGATATGATCGTCGATGAAAATGGTACATATAACTAATAACATTTGCACAGCCAGCTCTTAAGCGATGAATATGCAGAAGCAAGCCGCATGCATCGGGTGCCCTGACCAGCAATCGTCAAGTACTGTATCAGACGGGAAGAATATATGGCCAAAATAAGAGCATGGTCATCAATATTACTGGCATATTATATAGTTAGTTACTAAGCCTCATGGGGTACACTGCTACAATATAATAGAAATATATAAATTGCTAACTATAGAATGAAGGCTAATAATAGCAATTGATAAACGGACCGGACCCTATAGAATATTTTTAATTAAGCTTAATACATATTGCTACAGTCAAACGTGTTCATTACGATAATTATACTGTAATATAGTTCAATAACAATAACAATAATACTAATATTAATATTAAATATTAATACTACTGTGTGTTCAATAATAATAATAACACTATTTTTTTTTAATATAGTTCGATGTACCCCAGTATTATAACCCTCATAAACCCCAGTCCAGTGACTATAAACAGTATTATAACCAGGATAAATCAATATGTATGGATGGATTTATATATTACATAACTGAAATTTTACAGAACTCCTCTTCTCCTCTATTCCTTATAACCACAGCCAAAGTTACATCAGCTTGGCAAATTTCACAATTCCACTCTAACAATTACTATAGTAAGTAGTGTGCTGTAGGCAGAAAAATCGAGACAGTTAGCCAGAAAACCGCACTGCACCTCACCTTTGAAACAGGTGACTCGTCCATCGAATTTGACCTTTGCCGAGATTAATCTGGAGATAACTACAAAGTTTTGAAATAATTACATAATTACATAATTATCATAATTATCGTTATAACATTTTTCATAGTAGTATAGCTACTCTACTACCATCATAGTCATATATTCTAATCAATTCAATTTCCGTCATTTTACTAAAGGATATCATAGAAATTTAATAATTTATCAGTATTATCCCTATAAAGTATATTAATTAAAAAAGCCGTACTAATGGTGTACGATATTCATAATCCATTGGCAGTTTCTTTGCCTCATATGTTTACTAATCCAAATGATTATCCTACAGAAGCTATGGCTAATCGATTTCAAGCTTGGAGATCTATTGTAAAAGATTTAGTTAATTATCTTAAAGAATATGCCAGTGTTCAAGAAGAAATCTTAAGACAACAAGTACGATTACAACATGCTGTTGGAATATCTGCAAAAACTCCTACAGCAATAAGTCAAACTAATTCAAATTCAAATTCTCATCATAATACAAGTAGTAGTGCAAGTATATTAAATGATTCAACTACAAGAGATGATTTAATTGCAATTAATAAATTCTTTTTACCAATTGGTAATGGATCAATTCAAGATTTACCAACAATTTTAACTAAATATCATCAATTAAATGTAACTAATGCAACTAAAACTTTAAAAGATATAACACATATTATAATACCAAAATTAGAAGAATTAAGAAAAGATTTATTAGTAAAGATTAAAGAAATTAAAAATTTACAAAATGATTTTAAAACTTCTTTAGGTAAAGAAATTCAAGAATCAAGAAGTTTATTAAATCAATATAATCAAGCTATTGAATTATCTAATAAATTAGACCATAGTAGTTCAAGTTTAACTAGTCATCATCATACTAATGATGGTAGAGATGGTTCAATTGATCATAGTAATGGTGGTAGATATGATCCTTATCTTATTAAATTAAAATTAGAACGTCAATTAAAGAAACAATTGGGTGAAGAAAGTTATCTTTATGAAGCTTATCTGAATTTACAAAATTCAGGAGGTAAATTAGAATCAATTATTGTTTTAGAAATTCAAAATTATTTACAAATGTTTTTAAATTTAGTTGGTACTGAAAATTCATCATTTTCAACAGTTTTATTTCCAAATTTATCTAATGGATTTTTATCAAAGGAAGCAACTTTTGAATGGGAAGCATTTATTTCAAGAAATTTACCTTCAACTTCTTCATCTGCTGTTTCTGCTGTTGGTAATTCATCTTCAAGTATTAAAAATGGTACATTTATTGATCTTTCAATTCCTCAAAGAAAATTTTCTGATTTACATATTGGACATTTTGATTCAGCTTTAAATATTTCTGTAAGAGAAGGTTATTTAGAAAGAAGATCTAAATATTTAAAGAGTTATTCAAGTGGTTGGTATGTTTTAACTTGTAATTATATTCATGAATTTAAAACTCCTGATAGAAAGAAAGATCAACAACCAGTTATGTCATTAGCTTTAGATTCTTGTAGTGTATCTGATCATTCAAAAGATGATGGAAAAAATGGTGGAGCTTATAAATTTATTTTAAGTTCTAAACAACCAAATGGTTTAATTCATAGAAGTCATAATTTAGTATTTAGAGCTGATACTTATCAAACAATGATTGGTTGGTATAATGATATTAAAAATTTAACTTCTTTACCAACTCCTTCAGCAAGAGCAAGATTTATTGCTAAAAGAAATAAATTAATTGGTACTGATGAAAATAAACCTAATACAAGTAATAGAACAAGTACTGATAAATTAATTGCTACTACTAGTGCTGGATCTAAAATTCTTTCATCAGCTTCAAGTGTTTATTCAGGTAATTCAATTAATACAGGAGCTTCACCAATTAAAGGTAGTGGTAGTGTAACATCTACTAGACAACGTCCATTATCTCAAGCTACATCTATATTAAATGCTAATAGATTATCTTCAACCTTTTCACAAAAGAATAGTCAATCTCCAAGATTAACTAATATGATTAATAGTGATGGAACAATCATTACCCCTGTTGATACTTATGATAGATCTCATGAACAGAATGGTAATATTGATCTTAATCATAATCATTCAACTAATAATCTTGTACCTGAAGGTATTAAGATTGAACCAAGTACTCCTCGTCAAGGTGGCTATCAAATCGAGCATGCACACCTTGAACCTGAAACTCAACATCAACTTGCTGCAAAACATCAACAACAACAGCAACCACAACCACAACCATCGAATACTCAATATTTCCCTCCAGCTTCAGCTATTCCTGTGGGACAACAACAACAACCATTCTTAACTCCATCAGGATATCAATACTACATTCCTCAACCAGGACAACAACTTCAGCAATTTTATGACCCAATCCAACAACAATACTTTACATTAACTCCAACAGTCCCTGCTCAAGCTTCAACCAATCATCCACAACCTCAATTCTTCCCATCTTCCCCCACTTCTAGTAATCCTCCTCAATTCCCTCAACAACAGCAACTGCAACAGCAACTGCAACAATCTCAACAAGCTCAACAATCTCAACAACAAGGTCAAGGACAACCCCTTGGAACTCCAACTTATTCCATTAATACAGCTAAATATTTCCCAGTATATGCACCTCAACCTCAACCAGGTCAAGGATTTGGTGAAGCATTACCATATCCTGCAGGTTTACATCCTGTAGAAACTTATGGATCTGTAACTCAAAGTCGTACGCAATCTTTACAAAGTGGAGGAGGACAACCTCAACAAATTAATGAATCTAAAGTTAATAATGGAGGAGTTAATGATGATATATCTACTTTACAAAGTGGATTAGCCAATGCCACTATAAGTCAAGATATCGAAAATAATGGTGATAGTAATGGTAATGGAGAAGCTCATCAAGTTAGTAATGAAACTAATGGTGAAAAACAAGATTAGTATATAATGTTTATTATTTATTTGAATATATATTAATATTATGCATATAATTTACAAATGAGGATAGATAGAGTAAAGAATTGTAAAATAAAGATAATGTGTGTATTATATTATATTATGTTATATGATATTATATGGAACAGTTCATAAACTATGACATTGTCTTAAACAACAACACCAGAGTTTGAAGCAATACGTGGCCATAAATCAGCACATTCTTTAGCAACTGGACCAGTAATGGCAGAACCTTTCATTTCACCCTTTGGATTAACAATGACACCGGCGTTATCTTCGAAATATAAGTAAACACCATCCTTTCTTCTCCATGGTCTAGATTGTCTAACAACAATAGCTGGCATGACTTTCTTTCTTAATTCTGGCTTACCTTTCTTAACGGTAGCCATAACCATATCACCAGCAGAAGCAGCTGGTAATCTGTTTAATCTAGCACCAACACCTTTAACGGCTAAGATGTATAAATTTCTAGCACCAGAGTTATCAGCACAGTTAATAACGGCACCGACTGGTAAACCTAACTATAATAAAAGTTTGTTAGTATATTTGTTTTATATAGGGTTTAGTCAAATAATATGAGTTGTGTACGAGTCATAGGGATGGAAATGACTTTAATTAGTGTTGATCGTTATAATGTTATATATCATTCATTATGTAGTTGGGGATGACATGTATCGTATTCTATATTTTAAATTCTTACTTGATGGATCTTATGAATAGGATCGCTACTCTTTCATTACATCTTTCATTTCATTTCGAATTTGCATTACTCATTTCTCATTACTCATTTCTCTCTTAATCCTCTCAAACTTGCTCGATTTAATAGTCACTGTTAACTCATTGATAACTACTCATTATTTGACACTAGTAAATTAAATAAAAGGAGGAACACATACAGACATACGGAATTTGTTACCGGAAGCACCTGAACCAGACATGTTGTATTATTTAGTTAGTTTGCTAATAAGTAACTACTATTGAAAGAAACTCTATCAAGTAATTTTATGAAAACTTACGCACATTTGGTGATACTGGTCTGAAAAATTTTTATGAGAAGAGCGACATAATTTGTTAGGCATGCGCATAGTTTAGAGAGTTTATGTCGTGAGACATTTTTTTAAGTGCGATTCTAGGGCCTAACCCTAATGATTGGTGTTTTGCACGTGACGTGATATCGCCTAAGATTATCTTAAATGTTATTAATTCTGTACAAGATTCAAAACTCAATATCTGAATGCAATAATAAAATGAGTTCAATATTTGATAAACTAGGGTGATAGAGATATTTACGTCAATCATCTAGGATACCCATACGCTTTGTTGGCAATTAAACTTTAAACATAAAGTGGGAATTACTTCTACCCCCTTTCAATCTCTTTGTTATAAGTGGTTATGATATGAAGTTCAAAGTCACTTGCATATTCATAAGAAAGGAGAGCGATACCCGATTGCCGATTTCGGTGATAATTATCCACTTTAGATTTTAATAATTGATTATATCACTGATAGTCTGTGGTGATTGGCTCTAAAGATTAGATAACAAAGCGGAATCGGATAATCTGTGCGATAAGAAATCCAACATAGCCCAATTAGGGGAAAAAATACATATCCTTCCTCGCCATAATAAACATGCTCAAAAAAACGCTTACATTTCTGGGTTCTGTCCCTGTGACCTGAAGTGATTTGTATCAATATTTATAGTTTTTCGACCTCAATTACTGATAGTTGTGAAAAACCGCACCGTAACTGCAAAATAGCTTGACACTAAATGCAGGCTTACTGATAAGAAATTACACCCCATCTGAATTAGGAATTGCGCGGTCCAGTCCCCGATAATTCCCCAGATCCGAACCTTAAAAACCGGATTTGAATTGAACTATAGTCTTCAAGATTCTACTTTAAATATTTCAAATCATTATAAATGCAAGCTATAATTCAGAGGTAGTGTGATTATCTGCACTATTATCAATTGTATCATTATTATACTTGATATTATATACACTACTGACATTTACAATGACTGTTCCTAAACATAGCTACAAAGATATTGCTGCTAAGAAAGTTAAACTTAGAAATGCTAAATTCAATGCAAAATGGTTGGTCCCTGAAGATCAACTTCCACTGCCCGATACTAAAGATGTTTTAAACTGGATTGAACTGTCAGGAAATTTAACTGATAAAGAACTTAAAATTACTGGATCTATAGCTGAAACTATCCTTGATAATATCAAGACTAAAGAATGGACGGCTTATGATGTGGCTTCAGCCTTCTGCCATCGTGCTTCAATTGCACACCAATTGACCAATTGTTTAACTGAGGTATTTTTTGATGAAGCATTAGAAAGAGCTACAGAGTTAGACAAGTATTATGAAGATACTGGTAAGCTTGTTGGTCCATTACATGGATTACCAATCTCATTGAAAGATAATTTCAATATTAAGGGTAAAGCCACTACTGTTGGTATTGTTAACTTTTGTTTCAATCCTGAATATTTCGAAGAAGATGCTGTCTTAGTAAAACTTTTGAGAGAACAGGGAGCAGTTTTTTACGTTAAAACAAATGTTCCAGTAGCAATGATGATGCCAGAATCAATTAATCATATCTGGGGAAATACTACAAATCCAATGAATAGATTACTTAGTTCTGGTGGATCTTCAGGTGGAGAAGCGGCTTTGATTAAATTGAAAGGTTCTGTTATTGGTGTTGGACTGGATATAGGAGGTTCTATTAGAATTCCTGCTTCATTTCAAAATTTGTATGCAATTAGACCCACTTTTGGTAGATTCCCTACCTATGGTGCTAGATCAGGTTTACCAGGTCTTGAATCTGTTAATAGTGTTAATGGACCCTTGACAAATACGTTAGAGGATTTGGAGCTTTATTGTAAATCAGTTTTAGCTTGTGAACCTTGGTTACATGATGGGAAATGTATTGAAATTCCTTGGAGAAAAGTTCAAATCCCCGAGAAATTGAACATTGCGATTTGTGGTGATGATCTTATTACAAGACCAACGCCTCCAGTTAGAAGAGGTATCTCAATTATCAAAGAAGCTTTAATTAAAGATGGACATGATGTTATTGATTGGGAACCAATTGACCATTTAAGATTGGCACAAATTTGTACTTCATTCTTCCTTAGTGATGGAGGAGTTCATATCACCAAGGAAACAGATGCTACTGGTGAGACTTTGTTTCCTTATATGACCAATTATGGTACTAGTCCAGAATTGAAAGTTTCAGAATTATGGAAATTACATGCTGAAAGAACTACATTAATTAAGAAATATCTTGATAGATGGTTAGCCAGTGGAAGTTTAACTAAAAATGGTAAACCTATTGATGCTATTATTATGCCTACCACTCCATTTGCTGGTAATCCAAATGGAAAGTACCATGATAGTGTTGCTTATACTTCACCATTTAATTTATTAGATTATTCGGTAGGTATTTTCCCAGTAACAAGAGCTAATAAAGATTTGGATCCAGTTGATGATTCTAGCTCCAATTACACACCTACTGATACTAAGATTTGGAGAGATTATAACCCTGAAGAGAGTCATGGAGGTGCTGTTGCTCTACAAATTATTGGAAGAAAGTTCCAGGAAGAGAAGGTTATTGAGATGTTGAAAGTTATTACGAAACTTATTAATTATTCTGATTAATTGGTTATTTTTAGTCTAAACTTAAACTACTAGTATTTAGTAAATACATGAGATCTAACCAAAAGTATTCTTGAAACATAATTGTAAAAAGAGTAATTATACTGAATGTAATTATATGATAAGGAATTAAATTGCTGTATTTTCAATAATTGAATGTTACCATCAAGCCATTCAATCTCGGAATCATTTCAAGGATTGCTAAGTATCACTATCAACTTCGGTTGTCGTTATCCCTAAGACTATTTGGTCTGTTATCTTAGTTATAAACAGATAGTGGTAACGACAGACAAGGGATAAGGATAACTGCAAAATTTCGAACATGGGGTGTAAAGACGGAATTACACTTTTTTTGCTCGGAACTTCAATTAAGAGTGAATATTTTTTGGGCGGGAAACGAGGTACGAAAACCGCAAAATTTTAGTATGTAGCAAAATAAGTAATTGTTACATAGTAATTAATTACTTTGTAATTACAGGACTAGTTTTGAAATTTTGGAGATAAGGATCAAGGACTATTGTTAGTTCATGTAACACACTAACAGTAGTAAAATATTGATAAGCTTAGATTCAGCTTTTATTATTATAGATCCTATGAATATGGTTGTGTTAATTGCTCGTATTTGCGGACTTTGAATAAATCATACATCTATACGACCAATTAATATAAATACCAATCAAAAGTTATACACTAATTTTTATTTAACAACCAATGTTATACACTATTCAGATTAAATTTTACAATTGATAATTATAATAAAATCTTGAATAAATAGAATATCTGAACCATGAAGTTTCTTACGAAATTAAAGATTAGTATCTGGGGTAAAACTCCAGAAGATCCAAAAGAAGCTAGGTTACTTTTCAAATTAGATTGGTTTATTTTAAGTTACTGTTGTTTGGTCTATTGGATCAATTATTTGGATAGAACTAACTTATCCAATGCTTATGTATCTGGTATGATGCAAGATTTGAATATGAAAGGTGATGAATTTAATATTATGAATACTTGTTTTACTGTTGGTTATGTTGTTGCCTTGGTTCCTCACAATTTAATACTTTTAAAGGTAAGACCAAGATATTGGATGACATTCTGTGCCTTTGCTTGGGGCGTAATGACATTATCGATTTATAAAGTTACGGCAGTTTATCAAGTCTATATCATTAGATTCTTTACAGCTGTTTTTGAAGCTGTAACATTTACCGGTGTTCATCTTATACTTGGTTCATTTTATGAGGATCATTTATTACCATTTAGAACTGCAATTTTTACCAGTTCGGGTTTAGTTGGGTCCATTTTCTCTGGATTCTTGCAATCGGCAATCTACTCAAGTATGGACAATTACCGAGGCATTGCTGGTTGGAGATGGTTATTCATTATTGATTTCTTAATCACGGTTCCTATTGTTATCTATGGATTTATTTTCTTTCCTGATCCACCTCAGATTAGCCGAGCATTCTATTTTACTGAAGAAGAACATCAGATCTTACTTGCAAAGATAAATAAACCAAAGCATGATAAATTGGATTGGACAGTTTTAAAAAGAGTTTTTGCCAACTGGCATTTTTACTTATTCTCTTTCTTATTTGCAATTGGTGGTGAAGATGAATCATTTCCAATTAATTCCTTGTTCGCCTTATGGTTGCAATATTATGATTATTCTGTTCCCGACAGAAATCATTTCCCAATGGGTGTATTTGGAACTGGGGTATTTTTTACTCTAGCATCAGCAGTATATATCAATGTGACAGGTGGTAATAAACATTGGCATATTGGGATTTATATTATGATTATAATGATTATTTCATCTATTTTATTATTAGCTGGTCACAGTAATACTGTTGCTGTATTCATTGCCCATTATCTTAGTGGAGCTGCTTATGCAGGACAAACAGCATATTTTGCATGGGCTAATGTTGTATGTGCTAATGATTTGCAAGAAAGATCTATTGTATTAGCTTCTATGAATATGTTCAGTAATGCTGTTAATGCTTGGTGGTCAATTGTATTTTATGGAGCCGATACAGCTCCTAGATTCACCAAAGGGATGATTGCTATGATATTTACAGCAGCTACTACAGGTATAACATCTACTGCAATTATGTTTTTACAAAAGAGAGATGAAAGATTGGAAGCTTTAGAAGGTATTATGGAAGATGAAAAGTCGATTGAATCAATTTCCGGTGGTAGTGCCTCTAATTCTAATGAGAAATCCAATAATGTTGTGGTACAGGTTGCCTCTGGTAATTCTACTGATTGAGGCTGGAATTTCTTATATTGTGTTGTTATAGGTATCTAGATAAATATATATTCTTTATAGATGATTTAATTAATTTTACTTATAGTAGACTGTCTTAAAGCCGGTGTTTGTACCTGTATATTATTAAGGTACCTTCTCAGCCCAGCTCATATGAAGTCGCACAATTGACTTTTTGGGAAGGTTGCTACAATAACAAGATATTCCTCAACATCACTGTGCAACATATCATTACTTAGTGTACGCGTCACAAAGGCTTTGCTGCAAGACAATAACAAAAACAAACAAACAATTTGCCGTTGATTAAGTCAATGAAATTATAAACAAAACATAAACATATTCAGAAATTAAATTCAGGTCATGTTCGGTTGTTTTGTCGTGACACATACAGTACATACGCGAATAAGTTGTCTTGATTGGGCCTTAATTGCACAGAACTGTCACATTCCCAGTGGTACTAACAAGTAATTCTCTCGGCAATGGGACCATACAGATTGATTTTTCTTGATCACACAGCCTAAATGTTCGATTTCAGATGCGAAATTTCGCCTTATGTAATGGAATAGACTCGACGAGACTTATAATAACTTGAAATGATTACGAACTATACAGAAAGAGACACGACATTTTGAAAAGTTTTGTTATTGTATTCCACAATGCAAACGAAGTTTATATTAAAATAATTATAGGGAAGTAACTATGGTTACTTCAACCTAGCAGTATATAGATTACACATTATTGTTAAAACAATAGCACTGATAGCAACAGTGAGTAATATTAAGAAATTTCAAATCTTTTTTGTCATGTCGTGTGGATAACTTGGAACAGACTAAACTAAAATAAAAAAAAGGACGTAGAACTAAAAATCGTGTATTGCTAATCTTAGTATGATAAGATTGAATGATACGTTATGATATGATGCGAGTAACAGAATTCCTGAAAAGTGTCAGATTTTCGTTATGTGTGGGTATGTAGAATATTTTTTGATGATAATTAGTAGTTATTAAGTAACGAATGTATGCATAAATGTATAATTGACCCAACCCTTTCGATTCCTCACTTGAAATTGAATTTGAAATATGAAATGATAATAAATAAAATAAAAAATTAAACGTGAACGACATGATTGTCAAAAATCAAGCAATTAAAAGAAGCTAACAAGTTTATAGTAGGCTATAAATTCAGATTAATTATTAACAACCTTTAAAGAGCCCGGTTGTCTTGCAATCATATCAGGTAATGAACCATTACTTAATCTTCTTCTTCCAAATTCTGGTTGTTGAAATGCAGTGGCAGGATTTCCATTTCCATTACTGAAATCAAACTCTTGACCAACCATGGAATTGAAAGATGGATCATTACTATGATTAATGACTCTTGAACCTGATCTACTATGACCGTTGGAACCATTTGCATTGGCTCCACCACCTAGTATTGTAAATCCTTGTGATGATTCTCTATCAGATTGAGTACCTGATGATGTAGAATAATGCTTATTATCTCCTTGTGCTTGTGGTTGTTGTTGTGATGTATCGAAATGATTATATCCTGCTGAAAGAAGGAATGGATTTGGTCCAACCATTGGTGGTGGTGGAGGCTCAAATCCTCCAATGGCTGCTTTTTCATCAAGAGCATGAGGACTCATTGAGTAATCATCTTCTTCATAATCGTCATCACTATTACGTCTCTTTCTCCAAAGGAAAAATACTATGGCACCAATAATTAATCCGAGACCAGCGAGACCACCTATCACAACTCCAGCAATTCCACCAGCTGATAATTTAGAATGTGACTTAGAGTGTGATGATTTAGAAGAATCTGACGAATCTGAGCCAGAAGGTGTAGATGATGATGAAGTTGGAGAAGCTGATGATGATTGAGATGCACTATCAGTTGGGGAAGGATCAGCAATGACTGTTTTATAGATGATTGATTCAATTGCTGAACCAGAAGGGTCTGTGGTGAGAGTTGATACTATAGTTATTTTATTTTGAGATGTTGAGGATGATGAACTAGTAGTTGATGAAGTTGATGTAGGAGAATTTGTTGATGTTGCTGGTGTAGAAGATTGTGGATTCGTGGTTGAAGTAGACGAGGTAGCACTAGAAGTACCAGTAGATGATGATGTAGTACCAGTTGTTGTACCTTGAGCTGATGATGATTCCAGGTCTTGAACTTGAGCATTAACATAGACCATATAATAACCATTACCACCACAATTTTCATAAGGATAACCTTGACAAGCTACATTACAATTTGTCAGTGAAACTTGATTAGATGAAGATGGAGATTCATCACCGCAATAACAATATTTCCCGTTTATTAGAGCTGCAACTCTTGAATTTGCACATTGTTGTTCACAATATCCTGAAGATTGAAAAGTATATGCATTATTATAAGTTAAAGCTTGAACATCTGAAGAAGCATAACAACCTGATAATGAAAATTGAGCAGATTGAACAAATTGAGAATTTAATAATAAAATGAGGGATAATGATGACTGTAGGAATTTTCTTTTTTTATTATTAATATTAATCATCTTGAATTGAATTATTAAGTCAATTGAGCAGTCAGTTAATATACTGCAAGTTCAATTGGTCCTTCTAGTTGTTAAAATGCAATGGTAAGGAAATATCCTTAATTAATAAAATGTATAATTCAATTAGTAGATTTGAGAAAATTAGGGTGTAAAAATAGAAGTCAGTTTTTTTTTACTGTCTGTTTTGTTCCTTTTTCTTTTGTTTTGGTTAAACCTGCCAAAAAAAAAATTATTATTAATTTGGGGGTTGAGAATGTATTACTTAAACGAGGGAGACCAATAGGAGTTATAAAAATTTAGAGTGTAGTATTCTTTAAATTAGTAATGGTAGGCAGTAGTTATTGAGATCTTTTAATATATGATGGATGATCTGGGATATATAGTAATTAATTATGGAATCAAGATTTCAAATAATTAACTAATAATTAACATATAATTAACAAGTTGCAAGGAGGTTTTAACTCTGAATATTAAACAAAAACAAAATAAAAACAAAAAACTTATGATAGAAGTGGTTTTGTGATGATGATGAATAACCTCTATATGGATATATGGTATAAATTCGTATTAAATGGTTCTTAAGAGTAATATTTCAACCAACCTTTTAAATCAAATCAAAAGAAGTAAATCACAAGTAAAATTTCTAAATTTTCAAAACAAGCGGAATCTAATTTCTACTTATATCAATTCATTAATTCATCATCATATACCCTGCATTCATTCTCATATTTCCAGTAACTGATGATGTATGATTCTTTGTGTCTGATGAGAAATTTGAAATTTGTCTGAGAAAAGAAAAAAGAAATTTGTGATTAATATTATTTTTTTACTTTTTTGTTAATTCTTTGACTTTGTGTCGCTGCATACTGAAAGGGGAAATCCATTTAACAAATCTGGGTATCCTATATAGTACATAGAAGCAATATCAACACATTTTCAAGCTAAACAGACCCACATTAGTGTTGAATTAATATTATTATTTAATATTCTCCACATTATAGAAGGAATTGATCAGAGAATAAACGAACAGACAGGACATTTTCAATAAATGTGTTCACATTGATTTGATATTATTATTAAGTCTCTTCTGATCTGTCACTCAAATGAGCTTAATTAAAAATACACACAATTAATCTCTAATAGTAATATTTCAAAATACTTGGAGTAACTAGAGAACAAGTTCTTCTTAGCAACCCTAAAACTTTCCATGAAATAGTTAACATTTTAAGAGTTTCTGCATAGATCTTATCTAGTTTGTTTTGATTGGCAATTTTATTATAGATCTCCTTTGTGCTAATTGCCCTCCTTCTCATCAGGCAACATTCTGCTTTTTTAATTCTACAATATTTTATAATATGTTTACTTTACAGTACAACACTTTATAGAAGTATTACAAGGTCAATAGATCTCATAGCATTTGATCGCACTACCTTGATCTAGAAAATTATACTGGTTTAGGGTGTATATGATCTACTTTGAGTTTTACTAAAGAGTGAACTGCATACAGGTGTGTTCACTTGCATATGTGCGATTTGATTGTATACAGGTTGTTTTTATTAAAATGGGTGCCTTTAAGGTTTTATACTATGAAACAGAATTCATGATTAACTATAACCTCTGATCCTGATCTGATCTGGCCCAAGTAGGTTAATGCGAGTATATTATTTCTTATAGTGGGGGGATGTGCACTAATTTTAAGGTCCCCATTTTTTTACATTAGATGGGAGTAAGGTACTATTACATATTAATGTGGTTACTAAACCAATAACATATTTAACTCTCTATTTTACATGTCAGACATATTAAATCTATTAAATTTTCTGTTTTTATATGTACTAATATTTATAAGAGTTAGTCTAACATTCTGCAATTTTACGGAAATTGTTTTGCACGATTCGAATGAATGTAATTATATTTTTGAACAGCAAAATTGTAAATATCTTGCCAAATAATAATAAAATTCTTAACCTCTTTTTATAACAATAAGATACATATATCATTATACTATCAGAGGTGATACGTAAACATAAATAATTTATTTATTTTACAACATTAATGAATCAAACACTTTTATTTTAGATATAATTTCTGGAAATAACCCTATAAGAATTGTCAACCTGCAAAATTTGAAAAGGTAACCTGTAACAATACTTTTTCTTTTCTTCTCATTATAAAAATTGGAAAACTTTTCAGTAAAAACACTAAATGTTAAGCTTCTTTCTTCTTTATGTCAATGAGGATATAAAGGGAAGACTTATAACGTGCTTATGTCATAAATGAAGATTCTTCATAATGAAAGATTTAAGTCAATCGGTAGTTTGTACCTTAATCCTTAGAATGAGGACCGCCTTTTTCGCTAACCACGATCATTTGTACACTGTACAATAAATATCCGTAGATCGTTGTTTGATAGTAGTTGGGCTTACATATATTACTGATCTCTTGTAAACTATAACTGATTAAATTATTCTTTCTATAACAATTACTAATTAACCATTAACCATTACCTATTACCCATTACCCATTACTGCATACTAAGTAATCGTAGTTGTCATTAGAGCGTATCCTGTAGAGTACTGTAAGCTGAAAAATTGAGAGCCAAAAAAAATAGAGTATGCTAAAGTACTTAACACCATTGCTCTATAACATCTATAACATCTATACCACCAAATATGGCAGTTCCCACTATAAAAACAATCGAGTTCAATTTGAGTCAGTATTCAACTCAATTAGAAGCTCTTAAAATACCCAGTCTTGAATCATACACATCTAATTCATCAATTCGTCTGTCTGGGTCACCATATTTATTAAGATTTAAATTAAATCAATTAAGTTCAAATATCACTAACTTATACAAAAGCTTTCAACAGGGGAATTTTAAGAATCACAAACATTATGCAGAATTACAAACTAAATTTAATCATCTTGTTCATGATGTGATTGATGAGAATAAATATGTAGTAGATTCATTAATTAGTGACTTTGATAAACTGAACACGCCAACAACTGATACTATTGATGAAATTAATGAAATTAATGAAATACTGTCAACATCAACTATTATACCGACAACAACTGAACAAAAAGATGCCCGTCATGAAGATTTGAATTCACTTCGTCAACGTCTTTTAACATCTAAATCATCTCAATTAGATGAATCAAATAAAACTAATACATCACATCTTAATGATTATCATGAATCAATTCAATCAGATATAATTAATGAATTAACTGAATTAACTGCTTCATTAAAAAATTCAGCCTATACTTTAAGTTCAAAGATTTTAAATGATGATTTATTAATTCTTAATGAAACTCAAGAAACTTTAGTAAAGAATTCGAATTTATTTAAAGTAATTGATAAAGATTTAAATAATTATATTCTTAATAAGACTGGAGGTAAAATAAGTTTTTGGTTTTTATTAAAAATGTCTGTTATTATAAGTATAGTATTCTTATTTGTAATAATCTTTATTAAGATAATCCCCAAGATTTAAGTTAGGTACAGTTAATTTAAAGTAATAATATATTAGTAGTAATAAAGTAACTAAGTGAACTATGAACAGAAAAGAATGAATCATACTAAATATCAATCAAAGCAAATTAGAAAGATTTCATAAGTATATAGTTATCGAGAGATATGTATGATGTAATGATATAAAAGTATGACATGAGATAAGGTAATTTAAAATTATACTATGATTGCTTATTACTAACAAAGTAATATATGCAATATGAATGAAATGTATCTTGCTAAAGACAAAAAAAAAAAACCAACAAACGACAATAACCTGAAATTAAATAATAATAATCTGTATAAGCAAATGAATAATGATGATAACTAAACCATAAGTTATGGTAAAAAATGTAATTAAAAATGAAGATAATAATAATAATAATAGTAGTAATAATAGTAGTAAAAATAATAGTAATAATAATAATAAATGAATGAATGAAAACTAAACTTTATCATAATCATCATTAGGCATAAATTCAAACAGATAAAAAATTAGAAACGAAAGTGGTAACAAGAGGAATTAATGAATTAATTAAGGAATTAATTAGTTAATTAATGAATTAATTGATTTCATCAATTGGTTGATTATTTGAATCATCACCAATAAATTCATTATCAGAAAATGATTTATTTGATCCATTATCTAATCCATTCATTAAAGGTTGTTGATTTTGATTTTGATTTTGATTTTGAAATTGTCTTGGTAAATTCCCACATCTATCTTTACCAAAATTAATCTTTAAATTTCTATAATCATCAAATGATTTAATACCATCAATGGCTTTAATTGCATTACCAATATTAACAAAATTAATAAATGCACAATTTTTTTCTTCTAAATAATTAATTTGTTCAATATCACCAAATTTTGAAAAATCATCTCGTAATTTTTGAGGATTATAATAATCAAAATCAGTTATATTTCCAATATAAATATTTCTTGAAGCTCCATTAGAAACTGCCAAGGATAAAGCATTTGATAATGGTCCTGAATGTTTACCCCAACCAACTTTAATTCTTCTATTATGAATAGTTAAACCATGTAATTGACACATAGCAAAGAATTGAGCAGCTGCAATTGGATCAATAAATGTAATAAAACAAACATGTCTTTCCTTTAAAAATCGAATACTTTGTAATAATCCACCTCTAACAACATTACAAATTTCTTCAACTGAAGAATCTTGATGTAAATTACCCAAATAAACTGTTCTATTACCTAAATTATTTGCTCCCCCAGCTTGAGTAGCAATTTGAGCAGCTGCAGCTGATTGTTGAACTAATGCTGATGAAATAAATTCTCGATCAGCTGCAGTTACAATATGTTCCATACCAGGAGCTAAACCTAAATATTGAGCAGCATTATGTTGTTGAGTTTTAGTAATAAATGCACATCGATCTTTACCATAAAAGCATTTTTTATCTAAATATTTTTCCTTTAATGGTAAATTAGCTACACATCTAATAGCACTTAAAATTGATAAGAAATGAATAAATGCAATTCCCTTTTCTGGAATAATTTTAATACAATCAATAATACCATAACAAGATAAATCTTCTCTTAATTCTTGTTCAGTAATAACTTCTCCAGTAACTGGATTATTTAAATTTCCAAGATAAACATTTCTTGTAGCTCCATCTCTTTGAATTGATTCTAATACTGCTGGTAAAATTGAAGTATTTTTACCCCAACCAATTCTAATATCATGACCTTTGATATTTAATTTTTTTAAAATACAATCAGAATGAAATAATAAAGCTGATTGATGATCAATAAATGAAATAAATGCACAATTCTTAGCTGGTAATATTTTAACACTTTCTAATATACCTGATCTAACATAATCTAATAATTCATTTGGTTGAATATCATTAGGAATATTACCTAAATAAACAGTTCTAGAAGGTGCAGCAGAAACAGAACCAGATTGTGATCCAGTGGTTGAACCATTATTTCCAGATCCGATATTATTATTACCTTGACCATAAATTAAATCTCCATGTAATCCACCTGAATTACCAGAAGATGAAAGAAGAGGAGTATTATTATTAAATTGATATTGATTAATATCACCTCCATTAAATTGACCATTTGATAATGAATTTACTAAATTTGAATTAATACCTGAATTTCCATTAATGAAAACACCATCTTCATTATAAAATTCATTACCGGTAACACCGGGATTATGAGCTTCAAATCCAAATCCATTATTAATATCACCAAGAGGAATACCAGGATTATTACCACCAAGATTAGAAGGAGCATTAACATATTGAGGATAACCTTGATGTTCAAAAGATGAAGGTCTTGAATCAATAGAAGAAGTTTGAACTGATCCAGTTAAATTTCCAAGTAATTGATCATCTTGATTTTGTCCTTGTTGAATTTGTCCTCCTTGTTGTTGACCTTGTTGTTGACCTTGTTGTTGATAATATTGAGGATAATATGGTTGACCCATATATTGTTGAGACATACCTTGATAAGGATCGTAATATGACATGATTAATTAAATAAAAGTTTTAAAATGTTTAAAATTTTTAAAATTTTTCAAGTTATAGTGAATTTTTATAAACAAATTTTTAATAGCACCTAAACCCAGAATGAAATGGAAATGGAAATAGAATAAATATAATAATATTAATTAATTAATTAATTAGTTGATTTAAATATTATTATTAATGATAATGAATAAAATTTTATATCACTCTAGTCTTTAAAAGTTTTTGAAAAATATGTACAAAGGGAGAATCGACTAAATGATTAAAACAAGTTAAGTTAAATTAAATTAAATTAAATTAAATTAAATGATAAATTTAAAGGGTGTTTTGGAAATGAACAAATAATAATAAATTCTAATAAAAGTATTATATTGAAAAATCAAATTGAAATGAATATAAAAGTCAACTTTGATAATGAAATGATAATGATAATGATAATGATAATGATATGACACTGGCTTTTTTAAATTTTTGAATAATTTTTATTGTTTAATTAAACCCCCAGAAACTGAAACTAGTAGTTAATATTATAAATGAAAAGAACACACACGAAGTAAAGGAAAATGTCAAAAAGCAAAGAAAGTAATAAAAATTTTGGATAGGATTAGTAGGTCCCTTTGAAAAATTTATATATCAACTTTATATGAGATCACTGAAAAAATTAATATGGCTATACGAGTAGGAAGTAATGATATTAATACTAATAATACTAATAATACTAATATTTATGAGTGTTATATGATTATTTCAAAATTAATGTATACAACTAATAACTAAAGCAAATCAAAAGCTAGAAATACTTAACCTAATAAGCACTTCCAACAACCGGTTGTTTAATATTACTAAAAAGAATAGTAGTAGTAGAAATGAAATAATTAGTGAAATATGGTAAAAACTTTTTTCTTCCTTTCTTTCCTTCTTTCCTTCAGGTTCTGTTGGTTTCTGGCGGCGCATTATTTATAGAAAGGAAAGAAAAAAATTTGCGGGCATTTTGTGGGTTTTCAGGAAGGGGCCTACAATGAATACGCACCCTGAGGCTGGGTAGGGTCAGTTGGAGTAGTGTGAGTGAGAGTTAGTGAGAGTGAGAATTAGTGAGAGTGAGCGAGTGAGTTCGTGAGAGTTAGTGACAGTTAGTGAGTGAGTGAGTGAGTGAGATTCATCAGACAGCGAATGATGTCATTATTGTAATTATAATATTAATCAATTGTTTAATAGTGAGTGTGATAATTGTAGTTTATTGTAGTGTACTATATAGTTTTACCGGGTCTTATTGCAATCGGTTACAATTCTTATATATTCACCTACTCTACAATTATTCATCCTATTTATAATTGATCGCAATGTCAAGATCCATTCCTTCATCCCTCCCATTGTTCCTATATTTTGTGATACTTAATCCCCGGAACTATAGTCGGTCTCTACTTCATTCTGACTAACAGGTGGTTGAATGGCCATAGAACTAGCTTCTTTCTTTTGATCACCTCCAACTTCTTCCTCATCCGATGATCCATAGTCGGTATTATCATTACCTCCTAAACTATCTTCAATTATTTCATTATTATTCTCATCTGGTCCTGGATCTCCAGTTTCTTCCTCTCCACTACCATTGTAAGAAGATTCTTGTTCATCTTCCTCTTGTTGCTTCTCTACATCTTCATCATCGTCTCCTTCCGTTTCCACAGCATTATCTACAATTTGTCTATCTTCAAGACCTAAACTGGAGGCACTTTTCTCGGCCCGACTTGCCAGATCATCTTCTATATAAGTGTCATCATCTCTGAGCTCTAATGAGTTAGGCTCTTCTTTTACTTTGACTGATGAAGTAGATGACTGTCGTAATCGTTTACTGGGAGGTAAATCATCTTCCAGTTTGTCTTCATGTTCCAGCCTTTCATCCTCATACTCTTCTTCTTCGTCACTTTCACTAATATTTGACTTTCTTCCTTTGGCCCTTTTACTAGTTGGCTTTCTACCAGCTCTACGCTTTACTGGTGAAGTCTCAATATCAGGTTTACTTTTCTTTCTCTTTGTAGGACTTAAATATTTATCATCAATTTTATCGGCTATTTTGCTCCTATCAATAGCTTTCAATTTATTAGCATCCGACACAAACTTTGCATTTAGTCCTGGTAATGATTCATTTGAAATATTTCCCTTTCGATCTTTTAGGAGTTCCCAAATCCTATCCTTTTTGGCATTTAGTACTTGATAGAACTTTGTTTCCAAATCCGTTACTATGTCTTTCTGCTCTCGCTTAGCGAAATCGTAATCATTGCGTAATTTATAATTATCATCCTTCAATTTCTCAAGTTCATTGGCCATTTCCTTCAATTGAGTCTTGGCATTCATATTCTGGCGCAAAACCAAGTCTAACCAGTTAAATAATATACCTTCATCTTTTAAATCATCTTCGTCAAAGCTCACTGGTTCTAAATTTATAGAGCCAATTAAAACAGGTATTTTTGAATTGGTACGTATACTTATAGTAATAGGCAGTTGATTTGGATCATTCTCTTCTTCTATCAAATCCTTTGTTTCAGAATCATAATAATTACCAGATGTTATAAGTCTAACTTCCAAATTTAAATTATTATTTTCATCTTGATCATCATAATTCAATTCCCCATCTATAGGGAATAAATCATTAATTACTTTAATCTGTTCATTAAGATCACTCTTTCTTTCAGTAAATATACTCTTCAATGAACTATCGGTTATATGGGCTTGAAAACTTCCATCTTCATAAACTCCAATTAATGTAATATTACTAAATTTAGGAGTTTCACTCTTAATTAATTCATATTTCTTAATATGAACATACAAAGTTGTTTTCTTAATTAAACTTCCATCCTTTTCATTAACTATACTAAATGGAATTGCAATTACATTCCCATTAAGGGCAATCTCATTATCTACTGGTTCTTTTCTTCCTACTACCATAATCTACACTATATACGATTAATCAGATCATGTCAATGGCCCCAAATTATCTGTGTCTGATATTGAAATATATTTTTCGCTTAGGCAGGCGCACACTACTGCTGCAAATTGCCAACCACATAAAGCGTATATACATTATATATATTATATATATATGGCTATTTATATGGCTGTTTATACATATACACTATACAGGACGGCTAATAGAATGGACACCAACCAAAATATATTAGAGCCAAATTATGAGGATCTTTAGCCTCATGAATTAACTCTCTAACCGTAGCTTCTATACTTAAACCTCCAGCCATAAGTTTCTCTTGTACTCCAAAAACTGCACGACCAGCTTCAGTACCTTCTTCTTGAGGTTCAATTCTTTTAATACCTCCTCCCATAACATTCGCATTAGCATCACCTTCTACTTGTACTTGTAATTTTCTTAATTTCATAGGAGATAATGACCATGAATATAATGGATCCCATCGAAGTACATCTAATATAGATAATATATGATCTTTATTTTGATTTAATACTCTAAAAGTATGTTCACAAGATTTTCTAAATATTCCTTCAATTCCACTAACTCCAAACCCATCAATTATATCTCGAGTTAATCTAAATGGTACAGTTTCTGGGATAGGTAATCTTGTACCTTGATCAAATGATACTCCTAAATCAATATGAATTGGTTCTCCTGTAGTTTTATCAATTAAAATATTATTACAATGTCTATCACCCAATCCTAATATATAACCAACAATTGATGTAGTAGCAACTCCTCGAGTATAACTAACCTTACTATTAAACCATAATTCAGGTGTTAAAAATGTATCAAGAAAAAAATGTCGTAATACGGGATTTATCTTTTTAGTAATCTTTTCATAAGCTTTTAATCTACTAGTGGCATCTTCTCCTTGACATTCTTTCATAATTTCTCGAGCTTTTTCTAATTGAATTTTATCATATTTATTATGATAAGGTTTTATAATATCTATAAATGAAAGTGAATTAGGTACAAATTCAATTAATCCTGATTGTGGACCTAATGGAACTGCCTTATAAGTTCTAATATTTAAACTCCTCTTTTTAGTATCTAAATCCTTAGCAAATATAATATTAACTTTTTCAAATACTTGTTGCATAATTAAATCTTGTCTTAAATCATCAGTACCATATTTTAATAATATACTATGATTAGATCCATTACTTAAAGTAAATTTAACAATTTTTGGTAAACTTAATCCTGAAGCAGCTATAGTAATTTTATTTTCAACTTTAATAAGAATTGGAATATTTAAATATTTACCAGTATGATCTATTGATAAAGATTTTGTTGGAGGAGGTATTGAAGGTAAATTCAGATTCCAACAAGTATTTTCTTTATCTAAATATAAACATCTTCCTCGTGAAACTTTAACTTGAGATAATCTTATTGATTCAGAAAAGAATTGTTCAATAGGTAATATAATATTTTCATTGAATTTTCGACTTTTTGTTCTAAGAATATTTAATATAGTTTCTGCTGCTAAACATTTTGAATTTAATATAATATTATCTCGTTCTTTAGCATAAACTGAATGTTCCTTTAATGATAATAATGAATATAAAGTATGATGAGGATGATCAAAGCATACTTTAACAATTAGTTTTTGTAAAACTTTTTGAAATTCAGAATTATCATTAGATAATCGAGAAATTAATTGAGTTGTCCACACAACTATACAATAACTTGGTAATTTTAATATTTCATTACCAAGATTAATATTAATTTCATCATTTTCAGAATGTTCTAACCATATTTCAATAAATTTATCTAAATCAATTGCAGGATCAGCTAATGAACTTTGAAGATAAAATTCAACAGCTTTACTTGAAAATTCATTCTTATTTCGAATTAATTCTTCAAGATCAGTACTTTCAGATTTCATCATACTCTTTAATTTAGAATAATACTTTTGTACAGCCTTTTTCTCTTCTACTGGTACAGCCGTTTTACCATAATAACTTTTCATTTCTTCTATTTCATTTTGTTTATCTAATACTCTCTTTTTCAATTTATCTATTTGATCAATTAATGATTTGGATTTATATTGTTTTTCACAAAATTTACCAAATGTCAGATATATTACCACTAATTCTTTTGATTCCAGTAATACATTAAGAATATTAGCCGTAGGTAAAACATAATGTTGCATAATGGTTGAAGCAGTTTCTTGTCTTGAATCAATTAACCATTTTACTAATAGAGAATTAATTAAACTTGAAGAAACTCTTAAATTCTTTATAGGTAATTTAATACTCCCTAATTCTTTAATTTGATTTAAAATCATTATTGGAGTAGTGGTTTCACCTTGAGACCAAAATGTACAAGCTGCTTCAAATTGTGATCGACTTATAAGATTTTGTTTTAATGATATAGATGATGAATTATTAAATTTTTGTTTAACAATTTCATCAATTAATACTGAACCACTAGTCAGTTTTTGAATTTCAAAGGTTAATCGAGATATTTGATTATATCTTGATAATTCATTAATTATTCCTATCCAAATGGTTTCATTAGATACTTTACTATTAGGACTTTCTGTCATTAATTGTAAGAAGATTTGTCTTGATTTAAGAATACTTTCTGAATGAACAAGACCAGTATTTTCAAACCAATTAGTTTGTTCATTGAATTCTTCAATTGATTTAAGAAATAACCCATCATCATCATCATTATGATTTAATTGGAAACTATCTAATCCTTTAAGAATTGCCATTGATTTATACCAAGTTATTACATTCCTATGGAATTGTTTAGGTTCAAGATTCTTATCACATAATATACTTCGATTATTAAATACTTCTAACATCATATTGTCGAATTTCAATTGACATTGGTGTGGATAATCATGAATCAGTTTTAATACTTTATAAGTAACTTCATTTTCGGTAATGGCATTACCACACACAGGGATTTCCCAATGATTTAATTTCCATGCCCAATCAAAGGCAGAATCTGAATTATGATTAGAATTAATTCCTAAATCGACTAATCGAGATATCCCACTTAATCCATTACTTACCATTGAATCAAGAATACGACTATTTTTGAAATTATTATCACTATGGAGAATTAATGATGCATCATATTTAGCACTTTCATACCGTAATTTACTATTGATATCACGTTTTCTATCATCTAATAAATGTAGATCAATAGACGTGTTTTCAGGTATACCAAACATTAAATCTTCTTCATCTATTCTCAGATAAATATCGGCAAGATGTTCAAATGCTGGTGGTGATTGTGATGATTGTTGAATAATAAAATCATCAAGAAATTCTCGAGATTCTTCAAATATCATTAATGAAGTTTGTGGTCGTTTACATTTAACTGCCAATTTAGAAAGTCCCACTAGATCCATAGATTGCCAAATCTTAATAAAATCCTTATGATGACATTTAGCTCCCATTCTAATTAGAAGGAAGATTTCAAGAAATACTAAATTCAATTTCTCATCTTCTTGGATTTGTATTTGTATTTGTTTTTGTATATCCATAAAATTTGTTAATAATGATATTACTTTAGTTATGGCCGTTGTACTTTTACTATTATTAATATAAAAACATACTAAAAATGGTAATACTCCCATAGAAAATCGAGGCTCTTTAATTATAAATGTAGCAAGTAATGGAGCTATACTTGTTATAGAAGCCAATTCATTTAATATAGCCAATAATATTCGAGTTATACAAGTTTGACAATCATTATTTTCTTTAATGAATATTAAGAAATTCTCACAAATAAATTCTAATGAACTATCTAAGAATTCTAAATTTTCATCATCATTTAGTATAACATGACTATGAAAATCTAATGGTAATATAGTATTGAATATGGTTGAAAATTCATTAAAATCAATTACTTTTAATACTTCTCTTTTGGAATTCTCATACTTATAAAGTATTACTCCTAAAGTACTTTCAACACACAGGATATCTTTACATTTATCACTTTCCATATACTTAATTAACATGTGAATTACTTTATTTAATGATTTAATTTCATTAATAAATTCTGTTCCTGATAAATTATCATTATCATATTCTTTATAAGTAAACATATCATTTATTCCATCATTCAATAATCCTCCACTTAAGTAAAAATTCCCTAAATATTTACCTGACCATACTTTAAATGTCAGTGATAATTCTGTATCACTTCCTCCTCCATTCAGTAATAATTTAACTACAGGGACAAGTTGACCTTCTTCATCAAACGTAGTAACATAAGGAAACAATAATGAAACAAATTTCATACATATGGACTTATCCTGAGCTGATTTATAAGTGGATTCAACAAATTCAAGAAATTGTTCAACCACTAATGATCGAACATGAACTTGATTATGTCTTAAGATTTGAATGGCAAGAAATATTAATTCACATCCACTGGAATCTCGTTTTAAAGTCTTTCTATATTGATCCAATTGATCAAGTAATTGTTCATAATCTATACCCGATTTCAATGGTAATAGACCTATTAATATGGTAATTATCAATAGGATATTCAGACTCAGACTCAGACTCAGACTCAGACTCAGATCATTATCATATCTATGAAAGGTCTGAATTTTAAAAGTAGTAAGTATTCGAAGTATATCACCCGACAATTCCAACTGATTAATGAATGGAGTCAATTCTCGAATTATAAGACTTACTAAATCATAATTATAAATATTAGAACTTCCAAGAATTAGGATTAATTTAATCTTTCGAACGATTTGTAAATGATTCTCATTACTCACAGTCTTCATTAATATTAATAATCTCCTAATAAGAAAGTACATTTCTTTAGGTTTCCAAAAGCTTAAACTCAGTTGATAATACTTTCTTATTAATTGTTTTAATAATTCAAGACTCGAAGATAATGATACTTTTAAATGTAAACTATGACTAACTTTACTCCCAGTTTGAGTCTCAGTTCCAGTTCCAGTTTCACCATCAATTAATGAATACGTTACAGGATCATTCTTAAAGATATCTAATAAGGATTTCTCATCAGAAACATCAATAAACTTAAATAATTCCAATACAATTATCATTAACTTATCCTGAAATTCTCGTTTAAAATTAACTCCCGTGAAATATGTACCAAGTACTTCAAAGATTTGATTTCTAATTCCATCTCGACAATATGATAATGGAATTAAATAATGTAAACTTTCACTAATTAAACTTTGTTGATCTTCATTCCGTATACTTTCAAGTTCTTGAATTAATCCTTCCTTATCATTAATATTATTGGATATACTTAAGGCTACAAGTTCTTTACAATAGTATGTTAAGAATTGTCGGTAGGATTCAAATCCAAAGAGAAAGTATGGGAAATTACCAATGGTATCATACTTCCACCAACATTGAAATAGTTCGAATTTTAATGAATTCAATAAATGTCGATGATTGGCCAATCCATAGCATTGACAGAATTCATCAATGGATGTTTCAATATACGGAATAAAGAATGGGAATCGAGAACATTCCAATAAATTAAATAATGAAGATACCAATAATTGTTGACTAACTTGGGAGATATTACTTATAAATAATGTATAAGTAGCAGTAATCTCAATCTTCTCTTCAACTCCCTTAAATTCTTCAACAAGACTAGTATAAAATTCTGTTTGTAAACGAGCATCCATCTTTGTCATAGAGGTAATTAATTTATCAATTAATTGAACTTTACCATTATTAGTTTGTTGACTGAATCCCTGTTTAAATAGACATTTTAATTGCACAGTATCATAGGGAATCAGAATCAGAATCACATCTCCATTAATTATTAAATCCAATAGAAATGTACAATAACTAATTAATGACTTTTCACTATTAATTAACTTCTTCTTACCACATTCAACAATCCACAAGACAATATCATTCATATCTTTCTTTACACTATCATTAACTTCTTCATTGTCTCTTAACATATATACCATTTGTCCCATAAGAGTACATACGGCAAACACCGTCAGTTCACATCTTTCTAATTCATGATTAGGAAGAATTCTTTCTCCAAGTAATCGAATTAATCTCTTTAACAGTAATTCATTAACTTGGGAAAAGTCTACGGTATGTTCCCTTATATAGTGGGCAAGAGTACAGAAATAATTGAGTAATTGATAATCCTCCAGTGATTCAAGAAGAGTGATAATTGTAGTTAAAGTGGTTTCAAAACGAGACTGTCTTAATTTCTCACATTGAATTAGTGACATTAATACTCGACTAGACGAAGTATAAGTAGTAGCAGCACCACTTTTAATAATCCTTTCAAAGGGGAAGTTCTTCCTTAAGATAACCTGTGTTTGATCATCGAGGGTCCCCATATATTCAAACGTGTCCTCTATGGAACTTATGATACTTGATTCATTACTGGTATATAAACCATCTAATGTTTGTACTAAGTAATCATCGATTGAAGCTGTAACTTCAGTAAATGATGGCATGTTACGTAAACATGTACCGATTTGTTGTAACACTAAAGCCCATTTAAAGCTACTGAATGGATCAATAACTCGATTCTTTTGACATGTTTCTAGAATACAATTCAATAGTAATCGAAATTTCTTATTGTCTCCCAATCCATCTATAGTATACACGGCTTGATTGATTTCTATATGTCGTTTGTTAACTAGATATCTCTGCAATTTACTATACTGCACTTGTAAACGAACTATATCAGTAAATGCACTATCTCCAGTATCTCCACCACCACCACCACCATAAGGCATCAGTAATTGAATGGAATTCCCCGCTAACCAAGTAACAAATTGAGGTAATATGTCATAATAAGTAGCCACAGACTTCCAATGAATCTGATCCCAATGGGCCAAGAGCCAATCCTGAATTCGACATGATAATTGACTCTTTCCTGATAAATTAAGACCTTTAAATACCATGGCAATAGAATACCAAAATTGGAAACTTTCAAAACAAATATCTTTAGGACCATTGATTTCAGATAAATCAACGATATTTTGTAATTGAGTAATGATTGAACTATCAATTAATTTATTAAGACTGGTGTTTGACATATCCACAATTATAAGATATATTAAATTACACGGGATATAGGACCAAGCCATAGTAATATAATTTAAATTTACTTTTAATAATTGTTGAAGATACTTTAAATTGAGTTTCTTATCGGTAAATATGGCCTCAAGGTAATAATTATCCGCAAGTAAACATTTAGTAGCTAAGGAACTCCAAAAAGATAGTGAAGGATTTGGAAAAGTTGATAAAATACTCCAAATTAAGGTATTTCTATCGAATAGGATAAGATTGGGATTTGTATCTGAATTGGAAGGAATATCAAAAGTCGTATTCTCTGCAAAGGTGGTTTCACTAGCAGTATCTGAAGAGTTACTGATTCTACTAGTTGAAGAGGAGGAGGAGGAGGACTCCTTAGTTAAGCAATAGTTATCTCTTTCCAAATAGAATACTAATAGTTGTAAGCCTGTTGCTTTGAGAAATTCATCATCTTCATTAATGAGTCGATTATAAAAATCCAATGAACTATATGATTTTTGAAGAGCTCTATGCAAATCAGGAGTTCTTTGACGTTTCAGACGATTCTCATGAACATGCGAATGTGATACCAATACCTTTTGTTTATTTATAAAGTATGAATCAACCAATTTGGCAATCCCTAGTCGTAGCATCCAGGCAAGATGATTATTTGATTTGAGATAGATCGACTTTAATTTAAACCAAGACGATTCATTGTGGTTGAGGTTGGATGTATGGACCAGTCCAATATCGGGACTATCTAATCGGAAATCAATTGATTTGGTTCTTTCAAATAGTAATTGAATTAGATTTCCTATAGTATGTAAAAAATGTTTATCATCAGTATTAGTATTATTAGTTGATTCATCATCATCATCATCACGAGACATTATAGATATATCCGGATTGATTTCACTATCATTTAAAATTGATACTGAATGACTATGACTATCAAGTTCAAATAGTTTCAGTTTATTAAGTACTAAGAAATCATGAGTAGTATTTAAATTAATAAAGATTAGAAATTCATTTCTTAACTTATCCCATTGACTATTACAACTTGAAATAGTTAATTTTATACCTAAACGAATTAATTTATTAGTAAAATTTATATCTTCTGTTGCCATAGTAATGATTAATTTATTAATGATTTTAAATAAAGTAATAGTTAATAGACTGTCCTTTTTAGTCACGGAGATTGTATGATGTAATATATCATCTAATTTTAAGTAGTTACAATTGTTATAAATATGAGTATAAGTTGTAGATACATTATTTTCACATTGTAATAGATTCTTTAGGGCTAGGAAAGTATCGGATAGAATTTTTTGATGATTATTATTATGACTATGACTATTATTATGGCTATGACTATGATTATTATGACTATGACTATGACTATGACTATGACTATGATCTATAAGCTGATTCATATCAATTTGATGTAAAGTAGTCTTAATAACTCTTAGAAGAAACACATATATCTGAATCCAATCTTCATATATAAGATGTTGTTTAAATACTTCTTTATTGAATATATATATTAATACCCATAAATAATCCATAAAGCAAGGAATAAAATATTCATCTTCCTCATTATTAGGGACAAAGAATTTCTCAATTATCTTATAAGTTATATCCAATAATGATTTATACTTTATTAGAATTTTACATGATTCTATTGAATCAAATAATGATCTGATAAGTGAAGAAGCCTTTCGTAATCTTAATTCAGCAGTGGTTGAAGGATTATGTAAATATATTTTAGTTTCAATATCTATTAAATTGAATAAAGATTTTACTAGGAGATTGAATATCTTGGGAGTTTGACTTAATTTATGAATAGATATTTGTTCTAAGGCTGTTAATGATTGGTTTCTTAGAGAGATTTTCGAGGATGTTAAGGATTCTACTAACTTAATTACATCTATAGACCCCAGGATCATCGAGTCGGATGACATAGTCATCTGTTTCATACCATTTAATGCCTGTTGATGGTCCTTTACAGTGCTATCAGCCATTTTAGTATGTGATATCGCACCGCGTAACTTTTCAGGGCTGCCTAGCGGATTACCATGTTAGGGTTTCTTATTTATTTCTTATGTTTCTCAAGTAATAACTCCAGTAAAACTTCCTTTGTTAGTAGTTATGGGCGTATATAAACTCTAGCTAGTATAGATAACTCTTAACATATGAGTTATGTAACTAATTTGTTTTAAAGTGCAACATTCTTGTCATTGCCATGTCCCAAATAGGCAATGCAATGGCCACGATAAAACAAAGTCGCAAACCCTAAATGGGTATAGATCGCTAAATGGCTGCAACATAGTCAATTATAAAAGACAGCCAATGGTGGGACATGCAAGAAATTTAACTTTAATTGAATCAACTAATCAAGCCATGTCTCTTATCAAATTAAGCTCAAGTGTACGCCAATTAGAGTCTGATGTGGAATATGATTCAGATACAGATTCTTATATGGAAACTGAATGCAAATGTGCATCCTGTGAATATATTTCACATAATAATACAAGAGCTATTAGATTATTGAAATGGGGGTTAATATGTCCTTTGATTTGGTTATGGGCACTTTACATTATGTTATTGGGCTTATATTTTAAAGATCATCTGGTAATATCATCAAATCTGTATATTCAAGTTTTCAAGTTAAGAATCTTCCAGATAGAGTCAGAAAGAGATGAATCTGAAGGATTTGAATCTCATACAAAGGAACTAGAATACCATACAAGGTTAAGAGGTAAATTCATTACATTAATTGGATATACTTTAGTTGCTATTGCTATCTATTCTATTATCATAGTATTACTAGTATTTGCAATCATACTTTTACCTTACCATAATAAGTATTCAGAAGTAATTCAATAGTTAAACAGTAGACTGTTACGAAAGAGTTACTATTTAGCGAAAGAAGTCAATTCTCCTGGTTTTGTCTTCACCTCCAGAAAAACGAGTCAAACAGCAACTCCAGAAAATGTTCGGTGCGGAGTCAAATCTGATCTTTTGTATGGCATTTGGCATCTGATTAAATAAATATAACTTAATTTTCCAAATTTTTCAATTGTAGTGGTTATAATTTCTCTATTCTTCTTCTACTATTACCATAAGCTTGTTCCTTAATCATGTTTAGAAATACTATTTCCAAGAGATACTACTCTTCAGCTGAAAAATTACTTAAAACTCCATTAACTGAAGCTCATATTGAGTTAGGTGGTAAAATGGTTCCATATGCTGGATTTGAAATGCCAGTTTTATATAAAGATCAATCTCATATAGATAGTCATAATTGGGTTAGATCTAAAGTTGGTTTATTTGATGTTAGTCATATGTTACAACATACTATAGTTGGTAAAGATTCGGCTAACTTATTACAAAAGATAACTCCAATTGATTTATCTACCTTGCAACCATTCCAATTCTCTTTATCTGTATTATTAAATGAACAAGGTGGTGTTATTGATGATTGTATAATCACTAAACATGATGATCAACATTATTATGTTGTAACCAATGCTGGTTGTAGAGAAAAGGATATTAAATTCATTAAAGAAGAAGCAAGTCAATTTAGTGATATTTTACATCAAACTTTTGAAAGTACTTTATTAGCTATTCAAGGTCCAAAATCACAAGAAATTTTACAAAAATTCACCAATGAAGATTTATCTAAGATTTATTTTGGTAATGCTAGATTTGTTCAATTAAATAATGGTCAATTAATTCATTTAGCCAGATCTGGTTATACTGGTGAAGATGGATTTGAATTATCTATTCCATCATCAACTCCAGAAGATATTAAAAAATCTGTTGATTTCTTTAAGACTTTAATTCATGAATATCCCGATGTTGTTAAACCAATTGGTTTAGCTGCTAGAGATTCATTAAGATTAGAAGCAGGTATGTGTTTATATGGTCATGAATTAAATGAAGAAATTACTCCTATTGAAGCTTCATTAGCTTGGTTAATTCCAAAATCTAGAAGAGAAATTGGTGGATTCAATGGTTCATCTAAGATTTTAGGACAATTAAAGGATAAATCTAGTGTAACAACTAGAAGAATTGGTGTTACATCTAAGGGTCCATCACCAAGAGATAATAATAAAATCTTTAATGAAGATGGTACAATTGAAATTGGATATATTACTTCAGGATCTCCATCTCCAACTTTAGGTGGAAATGTTGCTCAAGCATTTATTGATAAGAAATATAAAATTGGATCTAATATTAAGATTGAAATTCGTGGTAAAAAGAGAGATGGTGTTATTGCTAAATTACCTTTTGTTCCAAGTAACCTTTACAAGCCATAAAATTATTTAATTACTATTTATTAATATACAATTTCCAATTTCCATTTATGTTCCTTACAAAGGATAATTTCGCAATAATGAATTTACGCGACCATTCGCGAGATGTTAATAACGAGCTATCAATAATGAGAAATGGCGACTTATGAGTGTCACACCGTATAAATATCCACATAATTTGCTAAGCGATGAGAAAAGTCGTCTAATATCATTAATGCACAGTACCGTGAAAATGTCCTAATTCGTAATGTAGACAAAGGCTTATATACCGGTAGCTCAACCCCCATAACGCGTTTGCGCTCTCCTGTTTACTCTAACCGGCCGCAAAATTACAACACTCACAAACCCGAATAAAGTATGGAGAAAATAAACAAAGCTCCTTTCAAATTTTTCTGTTTCCGGATGCCTGCAAAAATCGTGATTGTGTCAGTAGGGCATCTTATAAGAAGTAGTATCTTTTTATGTATATATATATATAAATAGGTATATTCTTGGAAGAAATATTTGGGGTCCAACAGTAAAATAGTATCATTACCATTATCGTAGTATCTGTAATGTCTTCCTCAAACACTTCATCTCCAACCAAGAGATCGGTATTATCTCCTAGACCATCTAATATCTTATTATCTCCTAGCAAGAGATCTCCATTCAAACATCAATATATAGGAAATTATAATAAGTTATCTCCTTTGAAGGGAGTCGTATCAACACCATCATCTTCTGGTTCACCTATTATAAAACGTCCGAAATTAAACTTTACCATTTTTGAAGATAAACCAGATACAACAAAACAACAACAAAACAAGGATGAAGAATTTGATATTAGCAATAAGTTAAACCATAATGATCAAGAAAATATTTTACAACCTTCTAAACAAATTAAATCTAGATCTACACCAAAGAATATCAATTCAAACTATAGAAAACCATTATCTAATTTGAATATTAATGAATTCCCTGGTTATATAAGGTACGCAAATGATGGTAATAGAGATACACAATTAACAGATTTATACCAACCTATTAATTTTGATAACGAGTTTAAGTCTTTGCATAAATTTCAATCCATTCCTAGCTTTTTAACTCCTCTGAGGAGACAAGCATACAAATACTTGTACTTTTCCAAGAGTAAAATCTTTGAAGAACAAGTACCTGAAGAAGAAGTTGATGATGAAGTAGATGTGGATGATGTAGAAGCTCATCTCCTTACAAAACGTAAAAGATCATTCTCGGTTGGAAGTAATGATTCAAAGTTAGGCTTAATCAGAAAGAATAATTTTACCATAATGTCAAATTAATGAAATTAAATTTGATTTAGCCTCTTTTTTTATACATAGTTTAGCTTTGCATTACATATGAAACACTTTGCTACGTTGCTCTAATGATACCCCGTTTCTATGTTTACTGACTTTAATAAAACGAATGAATGACTACAATATAGTTTTGTATAAACCTTACCCAAAAATTTTCGCACCCAAACTAACCTTAGTGGTTATAACGTTTATAGTGGTTATAAAGAATGGGGGGTAGTTACTTATAAATACATGTAACTTTGGCAGATTTTTTTTATTTAATATAATATGAGCTATATTCATTTCAAGTCTATACACAATAAGGAAACTATTTTAAACTAAATTCAAAGTAATTTAAGCAAAGGCTTTATCGAAATCAGTAAAGACAAATCTGTATCTAACATCACCTTTGTCACATCTAGTTAAAGCTTCATTACAACCAGCTTCACTGATTGGGATTTCTTCAACTAATGGTTTAATACCCTTTTCAGCAGAAATTTTCAACATTTCAAGAGCTTCCTTCTTAGAACCTAATAAAGAAGATCCAAAAGCTGAACCGTGATGTAAGAATGAGAATGGAGAGATTTCAAAAGTATCTTTAACTGGTGGTAAACCAACAGAAACAAACTTTTGTTGAACTTTCAAAGTACTTAAGTAATCAGATAAGTTAATACCATCAATACCAGAAGCACAGTTTAAGATGAAATCAAAAGTATCAGCATATTTTGAAGTCCAATCTTTATCTTCACCAGTAGCAATGAATTCATGGGCACCTAATTTAAGAGCTTGTTCCTTCTTTGAAGAAGATCTAGAGAAGGCAACAACTTTAGCACCTAAGGCATTGGCATATTGTAAAGCCAAGTGACCTAAACCACCAATACCAATAATACCAACAGTTTTACCTTCAGCATTATAACCAATATTTCTAACTAATGGAGAGAAAACAGTTAAACCAGCACACATTAATGGAGCAGCATCACTTGAACTTAAAGCTTCTGGAATTGGGAAAACAAATTGTTCATGAGCAATGGAGTGAGAAGAGTAACCACCTTGAGTTTTGTAACCATCAGCTTTTGGATCAACACCATTATAAGTACCAACACCTTGAGTACAATATTGTTCATTATCACTCTTACATCTTGAACAATCAGAACAAGATGAAGAGTAAGCACCAATTCCGACTCTGTCACCAATCTTATATTCAGTGACTTCTTCACCAACAGCAATGACATGACCAATAATTTCATGACCAACAACTTGATCATTTCTACCGAATTCACCCCAAGAAGATTTTAAAGTTAAAATATCAGAACCACATAAACCACAACAGATGTTCTTAATAACAACATCCTTTGGATTGATTTTCTTTCTTTGGTATTCAACTAACTTTGGTTTGTTCCAGTTTTCTGGAACATCAACTCCGAATCCTTTAAAAGTTTCTGGAACAGCTTCAACAGTCATTATTTATAATAAAAGTAAATATAATTTGGTTAACGAATTGGAAAAATAATTAAGATTTTATACAAAAATTAACTATAGATATAAAACTATATTAAAGTTCAGGGATCCCCTGCCTAATTTATACAAATGGTCAAATTATGAATCGGCCATCGTTGCTGCTTCCTCTGAAAAATCGTTCCGAGATATTAATCAAACACATTTACACAAAACGACCAACGTTTTTTTTCTCTGTCATTGTAACTGGTGCTTAAAAGCTTAGAAAGCTTAGAAATACCGGTAAATGTAAATTAAATGCCCCCCATTGTTAGTGGGGGATCTAAGTAAAAAGAATTTTATACTGTAATTATACTTTACCCCCCTCTATTTTTTGAGTTAGGTAGGGCATTAAACTTTATACACACAAGCCTTTTAGTAAGCAAAGCATCGAAAGAAGTTCTTTCCTGAAAAGGATTATATATTCTCCGCCTTTCGAATTATTATTTAATAGAATCTTTGCGAAATTCTTTGACGATAAGGCTGATTAGTTATGCTCATTACTCATTAATGACTAGCAACCAATTCTATCCCTTCTTAGTGACATTCCTGTGTATTGTCGTGTTCTATCTTTGTCACAAGAAATAAATGTCAATCAATATGTTGGGATACCTTTTGTGCGTATTATTTCCTATTCCGGCAGTACATCCCGCCCCGCCTCATCAACCTTTCCGATCCATAGATAAGACAAGTACTGTACCTGATTGGGCTTTATATATATATAATATCGGTCCTTATATATATTGCAGACATTTATAGCTTACAGAATCAGAACTTTTAGCAGCCATTATCTTTTTAAGGTATGAAAATACTATAAATTTTACAACCTGACGAAAGTCTCGGTAAACTTTTAATTTTACCGTCACTGTTACCGTCGTTACTGGGGTTACAGATAATTTAACAATACAACAGAGTAAAAGAAAATCGTTAAATATTTAATGATTACAAAGTATTATGTATTAATTAATAATGTTACTGGTCTATTTCTTACCTTTCTTTTTCTTCTTATTCTTTCCGCTTGAAGATCCACTATTTCCACTACTCTTGGCTGGAGCATTAGATGTTGAAGCAGAAGTAGGTGCTGGTGTAGATGCAGCACTACTGGTTGGACTTTCAATGGCTCCTTGATGACTACCCTTTTTCTTTTCCTTTTTACTTGGTTTATAATATGATCTTAATTTCATAGGTAACCATCTTTCATCATCAAGAGCTAAATCACTACCTTCAGGCTTAAGAATCTTGTTAGGACCAAATTTAGCCTTTTTAGTTTTCTTTGGTTTAACTACTTTACCTATCTTCTTAGTAACACCTTTATTACTTCCAACAGATGGTAATAAATCTTCAATATTACTAACAGCTAATAAATCATCAATTGGTTGAACATTAGAAGTTAATTCTTCAATTGATAATAATGAATCAACACTATTTGAAAGAATTGATGACACTAATTTATCATTTTCATAAATATCATTCAAATGTTTGAATAATTTTAATGATTCTTCTTGTAAAGTTGGATGACTTAATGATTTAAATGCAATTACCTTAATGAAATTAAAATAATTCAAATCTTGACGAATTATATTGGCATCAGTAGCAAATAAAGAGTCAATTAATTCATTTAAATAATCACCCAATTTCTTGGTATATCTAAAATTTTCTAGAATTTGAATATAAGCTCCGTGAATTGCTGGAGTTAATTTCTCATTGCTTCTTGTTGAAATTTCATTGGATGTATATTCTTCTAACAATGGCAAAGATTGATCAAAATTATTAGATTTTTCATTGATAAATACTAATAATAATAATCCAAGTTTCAATTCAGGTTTTGATTTGTCTTCGATTGATTTAATAAATTTAAATAATTTTCTACCTATGGTTTTCAATTTAGTTGAATCTGATAAATCTTTGTACGATATTTCCAAATCAAGTAATATTTTATAAACTAATGGTAAATAATCACCAGGGAAATCTTGAATGTATTGAGTTATGAAATTGGTAGTTAAACGAGATTTACTTAATGTTCCACTTAAGTATCTTAATAAAAGATCATTTTTGTAAAGGACTTGGTATTGAAATTTAGTTAATTTAGCATTTAACTGTTGTAAATTTTTTTGATAATTAATTTCACTATCAATAACATTTGCATTAATTTGTTCATTATCTAATGCATATAAATTATTCTTAATAATTAATTTTATCATGGAATCATTAATCGTACTATCAACATTATTATATTCATGTAAAATAGTTAAACTTTTGGCTTCATCTCCTTGTAATTGATAAATATATGCAATGGTTAATTTTATTGGTAATAATTCAATTAATAAGTCAGAATTTGACCATTGAGCATTTTGAGTTAAACATAATTCTTGAGCTCTTTCAAGATATTCTAAAGATACAGATAAATTAGAATTAGCTAATTCAATTAATGCTTCATTAAAATATAAATCATAATTATCTTCTCTTGAAAATTCAGATGTTAATCTTAATTGTTGATTAAAATTTAATTGGGAGATAACGGCTCGTTCATTAATTATTAAATCAGATTTATTATCATATTTATTATTTTCAATTAATTCATGATATAATTTCAATGCTTTATTATAATCACCTACTTTATAATAATTTTGAGCTAATATATGATTTAATCCAAGTCTTACACCTTCATTATCAATATTTTTATTTTGAATATTATATAATTCATTTAAAGCATTAGACTTTCCTAATTTATAATAAACATATGCCACCTCTAAAATAGCATCACTAATCAATTCATGATCAGTAATCTTTTTAATAATTTCAAATGCTTTATAATATTTATCTAAATTAATAAGTGCTACTAAACATGTCTTAAATGATCTAGCATCATTAAAGTTCTTAACTCGGGATAAATATTCATAAGATACTGAATAAATATTCTCATGATCAGATGGTTCCGAACTTGACGAAACATTTAACTTCTTAAATGCTTCAGCTATGGAATTACTCATCTTGTCGTATATGCTGGGGGTGATGTTACAGGGACTAATCTAATGCCAGTATAGCCACTACTATTTTCCTTCAAAGATTGTTCGTAGTGATTTAGTCGTGTGGTGCTTGAAAAATTTTTTTGTGTTGTCCATTCTTTTGAAAAAATGTACTGTTAGTGCGCACTTCTATATGTATAGTAAGTATACATATAGAAGTACATATACTAATATTAATTATATCAAGGGATTATCCCATTTTATGTATTTACAGGTATAAATAATTTTATATAATGCTTCTATGTATAACCAGTAGTAGTCTGTAATTTACTCATCTAAGGATAATACACTCCTTTGTGATGGTAAATCATTATCTTGAAATTCCTTTTTGGCCTTTTCAATTAATTCTTGTTCTTGACTCTTTGTTAATGGTTTAACATTTTTATTTGGTGGAACAAATTTAAATTTACCAAATCCAAATTCTCTATCAGTCATTTTACTTAACACGTATAATTGAGATCTAACATAAACCAATAAAGCTTCAATATGTCTAATATCAACATTTGGATTACCATTAAATAAATTTCTCCATAAAGCAGATGCTAAAGTAATATCATCACTTGCTAAACCTTCATCATAACTTAATACAGATCCTAATAATTGAGTATGATATTCTTTTAAATATCCTTCAATGATTCTATTAGAACTAATATTTAATTCTTGAGCCATTCTTAATTCCATATCTTTAAAAAGTCTATCAACTAATTTTTGTTGATAATTCTTACCATATTTAAAAGGTAAAGCTCTCATCCTTACTGATAACATCCAATAATGTAAAACACTTATTTGAAATTGTTGACTAAATGATTGAGGTAAATGTAAAGTCTCATAGAAAAACTTGGCAGTATCACTAAGTGGTTCATCTGGATAATATAATCCTTGTCTCTTACATTCACCAAAATAAATGGATCCAGCAACAGGACCAGCTCTTGATTTATCCATATCAATTTGGAAAAGTTTAATAAATTGTTGACCTATGGCTTGTTTCCAAGCGGACATTTCATAATCTGGATTTTCAATCAGATGGTCGGATAAAAATGGACTCTTCAGAGTAGGTAAACGAGGTTTAGTCTTTAAATTTTGTTCTATAATTGGTAAACTAGAATCTTCAGCTAATTGACTTGGAGATTCAATTTCTTCAGGCTTTTTATATTTCTCGAGTATGCTATTTTTAGTTTCAAATGTCACTACTTTAGAAGTAACAAGCCTTCTGCTAAGTCGCGGGATACCCCTTGACACTTGACGAGTACTAATATTTAACATTCTTGAATAGTAAAGCAGTTATAATTAAATGAGATGCTCGTGCCATAGCTCATTGATATTTGGTGCTCATTTTTTTCACCGGTGTATGAACTCAAAATCTAACGGTGTTAACACATCCATACCGCAATATTTAAGTGAAGAATCAAATTATTTAATCAAAGCTTACAGTTGTAATTATGGTAAAGTGCTACATTTTAATAGTGTAGAATGACATGAAAATGTTTAAATATTAAATAAATTATAAACTATAAACTATAAACTATAAATTATATATTATGAATTTAAAAAAAATTATAACTTACCTTGAGTAAGATATGTGTTTTGGTCTTTTGTCCAATCATGACTTCTTGGACCCCTAATCATTACATTCATTATAGCATAATGTTCACCTTCAATTGCATCTTTACTATTATTATCTCCTAATACAATATCTTCATAAACATTAAACCCAAATCTTTGATAAATTGGTATATTATCAGGTGATGAACTTTCCAAATATGCAATATTATTATCAGTAGCATCAATATGATTTTTGAACATATATTCAAACATTTTTCTAGCATTACCTTTACCTCTTGCCTTTATAGTTGAACCTAAATAAACCAAAGTCCAAACTCCTTTATGCCTAAATCTGGAATCATTATTAAGTATTCTTTCACATGAATCATGTAATAATGGTAACATTCCGTAAAATACCTTTTCACGACCTTCTTCACCAAACATATTCCAAACTTTATCATAACCTGATTGCATTAAAGTACCAAAAGAATCTAGACCTCTTTCTACTGATGTTGGAGTTGACCAAATAGCTACAGTTTCAAATCCATCTTCTGATTCATTTATACCTAAACATAATCCTTTAGAAATATGTTGATGAAGATATGCTTCATATAATGCTAATTCACACTTATCTTTTTCTTCTTGATTAGGAAGGTGACAAACTAATAATTTAGCTAATGAATCATTCTTAAATGATTCAAGTAAAGTTATAGCTGCTTTACGAGTATCATTATGATTTAAAACTCGAAGGCTATTTGATGTAACTGTAGTAACTATTCTTGTTTCTGATATAGTTGCATTTGAATTATGAGATTTGGTTATCAGTATAGTTTGAGCAGACATCTTAATCTTAGAATATAATCTTTTTATAGTAAATTTAGTTTGATTTATTTTTAGTATTCAAAGGGATTTGATTGGGATCTTAGATATCTATTTTAAGAACTAGCTAGAGTCGAAGAATATGATAATGAAATTTAATGGTAATTCTTTGTAAAGATTAAATAAATATTAATCAATAAATTATAACGTATATTTGTGCTTATATATGAAATTGTTCTATATAAATATTTAAATATTTGGATATGCCTGTAGGACATCCTTCTCCTTTATAACCTTTATTTCTAAACAGGTAGTTACTGGAATGAGTGCAAATTCAGCGGTTAATCAATTAGAAACGCATCAGATATTCCCAATTAGGAATCGGTGATACTAGTGTAGTAAAAGCGGAAGTTTGTCTTTCCGTATTGGGCTGAGAAGGCGCAACTTCTCCACTTTTTTTTCTATTGTCTATTACGTATTATTCTGATGCGTAAACCTTCGATGATTATTATAAAAGGCATTGGTTTGTGTTTGATTCGGTTAATTAAATAGATATAAGTATACGTGCAAGGGGTGTAAATTGAATTTATTGCTATAGCTTCCTTGGATTAGGATTAAAGGAAGGAATTCATTAAGAAGCGGTAAAGAAATATAAATTAGTAGTAAAATAATTTATCAAAATGAGCATTGAGATGTAAGATCACAAGTAAAAATCTGTTTAATATCCCTCATCGTGAGGAGATTTGGAGTAACTTAGCGGGATTGAAGTTTTGAGTTATCGATATTGGAGCTCTGAAACATGAACTTCGGACTTTAAGTGCTTGATTACTCTTTGATACTGCAGTGATGTTTATGAGAATGTACAATGTGACTACTGATACCAATTAGGTTAAAATAAAATAATTGAGACCTAACCTTTGCATCTATTGTTTAAGTAAAGAGTTATGAGTTAAGAGTTTTGTATTTGATTTTTATTTACGTTGTAGATCATTTGGAAATGATTTTGAATGGTTTTCCCAGCAATACTTAAATAAACACTAGTTTGATTAACACTCTTTGCTATATTAATTAACCATGAAACAATAAATATTAATATTCTTTTCTGTTATGAAATATGAACCTAGTAGCGACTCTTACTTGTGTTTAGTTCATATCAATACATGTGGTGCTTATCGAGTTCCTCAATAATTGCATGAACACCATGAAAAAGAATGAACATTTTAAAGTAAACCATAACAATAAAGACATGATATAAATTCCTTTGACTAATTAGAAGTCAAGAATAATCGATTTTAGTTAATCTAAAAGGAAGTTTTACAAGTAGCTTAATTGTTCTTAACTATTGCAGCCATTATCTTTCAGAATTTTGATTTGTGTACACGACTCACTATATAAGACACACAAAATTGAGCCATCACCAATAGTGATTTAACTATGGTAAATGTATTAGACCCATAGAATAAGAGCTAATGTATCAGTATTAAAATGTTTAGTTCACTCTTACCACTACCTAAGCATTCCGAATATGCGACCGAATCAAGTAAAATAAAGGTGGCTGTACCGAAAGCAGATAAATTATCTCAAAAAGTACTTAGTATACCGATGCAAGTTAGTTCAGAGAAGACTTCAATTATTAAATCCGATAATGAAGTAAATAATGGGACAATTTCGAAATTAATTGTTAATAAAGATGGATCAGTCAATTATAGTCAAACCATTGCTATTTCCAACAATAAAGATAATAGAAGTGTTCAAACATCATATGAAGATACGATTCCATTAAAGAAACGATATCCCAATTTAAAGCATCACTTTCCTCGATTTAATCTACGAGATTGTCCTGATAATTCATTACAAACTTGTGTAGATGATACTCGTAATGTGATTAATAAAATTTTGAATGCTAAATTAGGTATATCAGCCGAAACTAATTCAAGTGCAAGTTCAAGTGCAAATTCAAATTCAGATGTTAATATTATTAAATATACTTCTAATTCACTTATTCAAGATGAAGAAGAATCAAGAGGAAGAGAAAGAATTATTCAAGTACGACAATATGTAGAAGATCCCATGTTACCACCTAAATTTAAACTTCGAAAGAATAGACATAAGACTCCCTCACCTCCACCACCAATTTTAAAGAATGTTAATGAATTAGAATCAAAATTAACTAAAGAAGATCGTGAGAAATGGAAAATCCCTGCAGCCATATCAAATTGGAAGAATAATCAAGGATTTACTATTTCTTTAGATAAACGAATTTTAGCAGCTAATGGAGGATCTGTACCAGGAGAATCTCAATTAGAAACTAATTTAAATATTGAGAAATTTGGTAATTTATCAACGGCATTAGAAGATGCTGATAGAAAAGCAAGAGAAGAAATAAGAGTTAAAAATGAAGCAGCTAAATTACAAGCCATTAAAGATAAACAAGAAAAGGAACTTCAATTAAAACGATTGGCTGATTTATCACGAAATCAAAGGAAACGTCATTATGATACTTATGAGGGAGATATAAAACGTCGACCATTAAATAGATAAACAGATAAAAATTAATATATTAATATTTAATATTATTATTATTACAATATATGTATTATATATATATATATATTACATTAAGTATAGTACATGGTATAGAAATCAAAGCATTGATTAAATATTAATAATGCTTTGATTTCTTACTTTTAGATTTAAATTTATCTCCACCATCATAAAGTGATTTATCAAATAATTCTAAAGCTTTAGAATTAACCCATTCTAAAACTCGAGATAAATCTCGTTCTTCCTTCTTTTCCTTTAATTGATTTTGTAATTTCTGTTTAAAACTTTTTAAATCATCAATATTACCAAATTCAATGACATCACCAACAGTCTGAAGTTTTTGTTTCTTTCGAGGAGTAAATTTTCTTCTTAAATTCCGTTTAGGACCAGGAGATTCATCTTCATCATCTTCAATTTCTTCACCTTCATCATTGTTACTGTTATTGTTACTATTTTGATTTTGAATTTTATAAATCTTTTCATTAATTTTAGTAATATCCTTTTCAATGGCAATTTCTTCATCAGGAATTTTATCTAAATAAAGGGCTTTTCTTCTAGCTTCCATTGAAAGAATAATTGCATCTTTAACTGCTGCTAATTCTTTCTTTAATTGAGATTCTCTTTTACCCCATGGATTTAACCAAGTTATTAATTTAGTAATTTGTTCAGGTTTATCATAATATCTCCAATTAGATCCATTAACTAATGGATCAGAATATTCTTCAATGGTTTTTCTTTCAACTGGACTTAATTCTTGCAGTTTTTCATATGATGTTAATGCCCCTTCATGATCAATAATTAAATCTTCATGTTTATAAATTTCATTCTTAGTAAAATTAACATCATATAATTTAGATACAGTCTTAAGGAATGGAGGAGGTAATTTAGAAAAATCCATTTCTCTAATATGAGTCTTTTTAGATGAAGTATTGGTGGTATCATTAGATTCATCTGGTTTAATGTCAACTTGTTGCTTTATATCATGATCTTTATCTTCATCAATTTTAGAATTCAACTTCAATTGATAATCTAAGAATTCATACTGACTATATTCTTCATTAAATTTATTAGCTTCTTCATAATTGGTTTTAAAATAAATTCTTAAATCATCATCAGATGGTCCTTGAACCCATAATTTACCCATTAAATAGGTTTCTTCCAAGACTTCTTCTTTATCATCATCATTATCATCATGAGTTCCTTCATCTTCTTTATCCTTTTTATCATTAGATTCATCATCATTTTCATCATCATCTCCTGATCCTCCATGTAATGTTGGTAATCCATTATTTTCAAACCACCAATATCGATTAAATAATCGATCTTTACCTAACAATTTAACTCGTTGACAATCTAATTCAGTTAATTTCTTTTCAATTTCTCGTTTTTCACTCTTTAATTGATTCAATTTTAATAAATATTCTTTTCTTTCATGCCATAAATCTTTAAAAGTGGAATTTTCTTTGGCAAATGATGCTTCATTTTCCGTCATTTCAAACGCCTGATAATTTAATCGAGGTCTTCTATAAGTTGTAGTGGTTGGAGTTCCATTGGATTCTTCCTTTTCCTTTTCTTTTTCTTTCTCCTTTTCTTTCTCCTTCTCCTTATCTTCATCAGTCTTTTGATGTTCATTCAACATTTCAACCATAGTTGCATTCACTCGTTGAGCATTTTCTAAATTAATCTTATAATCTCTAATATTATCTAATCTATTTCTTCTTAATACAGTCGATGCATCTAAACAACTATCAATATAATTCCGAACCACTGTTCCACTAATTAAAAGATCAACCAAAACTTTCAAGACTTGGAATTTTAAATTAATATCCATATGATCATAAAATTGATCTAATACAGTAGTTGGAGTTGCCGGTAAATCTCTAGGAGCTAATACATGATAAATTTCTTCAATGAGTGATTTATATGATGGAACATATTCAACAAGAGAAAGAATTCCTAATAAAATACATTGCCAATTTCCATCCTTAAAGTTTCTTTTCCGAAGTTTATCATCCCATGATGAATTTCTATAATTCATAACATTATAAGCATTATGATCAACATCATCTTCACTTTCTTCTTCTTCGTCATTTTCTTCTTCTTCTTCTCCATCTTCTTCTTTTTTATCTTCTTCTTCTTCATCTTCTTCTTCTGCTTCTTCTCCTTCCTGATCTTCATCTTCATCATCAGCTTCATTACCATCCTTTTGATTAACAGTACCATTTTTAGCTTTAGATTTCAGTCGGGTATTGATTTTCTTATCATCTTCATCATCCTCTTCTTCTTCTTCATCCTCATCCTCATCTTCATCATCTTCACTCTTCAAGGTTTTCTCTTCATGTTCACTTTCAGACCCTCTTTCATCATCATCATTCCCATCTTGAGCTTCTTTCTTAATAGGATTTATATATGATGTCTTAGGAGGTAATTGAATTTGTAATCCAAATATAATCTCCTTTTCTCGAGCAGCTGATAATTCTTTACCAGTAGGTAATTGATTGGATACAAAAGCACTAAGAATTGAACACCATATTTCATCTAATAATTCACATCTTCCTAATTCATTAAATTGATCACCATTCCATCCCATAGCATAAACAAAATCATCAAATGTCATAGTATCTAAATTTAAAGCAGAATGATATACATTAATAAAAATCCATGATTGAAGAGCTTCTTGAACGGCATGAATCTTTCGAGAACTTAATTTCTTAATTTGTTTAACAATCTCAGGAGAATATGAAATTCCTCCAACCAATTGTACTTCATTAGTATCATCTTCAGATTTAATTAACTTTTCATCAACTGGTTCATTCTTAACGGTTTTACTTGATTCTTCAGAATCAACCATAACAACATCCTTATCTTCTTCTTCTTCTTCATCTTCTTCATCTTCTTCATCTTCTTCTTTACTGCTATTGCCTTTACCCTTAATGATTTCTTCAATTAAATGTTCATTCCAAGTCTTAGAATTGACAGGTAACACCAAAGCATCAGGCATAGGTTTGGGATTTTGAATATCAAATTTGATTTCTAAATCATTAGTTATATGTTTCTTAGTAGGTTGAAGAGAACTTGAATTAATAACATTATTATTGGTAGAACCATTTAATGCCGGAGTCGACCGTTCCGAAGCAAATAATTCATCATCTAATTCAAGACTTTCTGGTAAATAATGAGCGGGGAATTTCTTTTTAAGTAAGATTTGTTGTTGTTGTTGTTGCTGTTGTTGAAGTAATAAAGCATCCTTTTTAGATTGTTCTTTAGCATGTTGTTCTGCCAACCTTTCAGCCAATTCTCGTTTAGCACTTGGATTCTTTCTACTACCAGCTTTTGGACCAGGCTTCTTTCGAACTTTTTTAACTTCTTCTCCTCCTTGTTGTTCTTGTTGAAATACAAATTGATGACCTCCAGAAATATCACCATCTCCTTCAATATCAGTTGAATCTGATTTTTGCAGTTTACCTCTTGTACCTGATTTTTGTGCACCAGATCTACCTCGTTGTCTTGAATTTTGCCCTTGAGATTGCAGTCTTTTTGATTTTGATTTAATCATATTTTCACCAGTTGGAGTTGAATCAGCAAATTGAATTAAATCTTCAGGATATTTTTGAGGAATTCTATATTTCTTTGCATATTTATCTTTTACAACCCAAGGGGCATTAACTTTATGAGATCTCGCTACTGTTAATTTTATAAAAGTTTTAATTAACCATTTAGTAAAATGATTTCTATCTCTAGCAATTTTATCAGGAGTTACAATTGATTGTTGCATATCATTTAATCGAACGACAAGATATTTTGTTGTAATTGCATCACCTAAACGTTGTTGAACTTTTTCTCTAATGGTTCCTCTTTGTTTAATTAATGGTTGATTTTCATCATTTGTTTCTTCTGAATTATCAATATTATTATTATTATTATTGTTATTATGATTATGATTATGATTATTAATCTTTTTAATACTAATATCATTATTTAATTCTTTAGCTGGTTTAAGAGAATTATAATCAGTTAAAGTTCCCTTTATAAAGATTGTTTCACCAGGAAAGAAATCATTTTTAAATACCAGATAAACTTTATCAACTAATTGATCAAGACGAGTAATTCTATTAAATTGAAGAAATCTTAAAATATGTTCCCTTAAGGCTTCAGGAAAATTTCTTTCAACTCCTTCAATTTCTTTTGCTTCTGATTGTAAAGCTTCAAAAAATGTTAAACATGAATTCCCAGTAATTTCACAAACAAATTTTTTACGTTTATAATAATCCATTCTGGAAAGGTAATCTTCATAATTTGGAAACCATTCTTTTGTTTGAGGAATATAATATACTTGAATATTTAAATCCGATGGTATTGGAGGTGGAGGTATAAAATTCACTTGTTTTCTTTTATATAACACCATTATATGATTTCCTTATTGTTAATATTATTAATATTTATGTGGTGGGAGGCAATAAAATCAAAGTGAATAATTTTTGACTTGTAGATGCAAAATAGTGTGTTGATTCTATTTTTTTTTTTTTGGGTCTTTTGCTTTTTTACAGTCTATGATAAATAACGATTGAATGGAATATGAATATATGTATAAGTATAATATAAATGAATTATAATTTTAAGTCCGCAAGGGTTGGTGTGCAATTATTGGAAAATCAGTAAAATCAGTAAAAATAAATTTAATGTAAATAAAAATTATTTTGGTAGGTTGGTATCGATCGGAATTAAAATTAAAATTGAAATTGAAATTTTATTTGTGGATCGTCAATAGTTGAAGTACTTACCAATAATTAGTACTAGTAATTATTAACTAAGTAATATAATAACAGTTACCAAAGAATTAGTTAAATTTATATAAATAAATAGGAGAAAGAAAAAAAAAAGGAATATGGAAATGGGAAATGGGAAATGGCAAGGGAAGGGAAAAAATAACAAATATGAATAAATGTCTGGGAAGTGATATAGCTTATAGTGAATTAGAATTAGTATAGTTTAGCTATTTTGATAGTGAGCGAGCGAGCGTGAGGCAGGCTGCACTGCATATAGTGCCGCAGCTCACAGTAAAAAAATCATGGATGAGAAAGGCAATTTTGAATTTGATTGAATTAATTTGAATTAATTTGAATTAATTTGCCTTTTTGCGCGTATACACATAATCGGTGAATTACGGTGTTTTCTTCAAATATCATTTTTCTTCAGATATCATTGAAATTGGAATAATCTTTTCCCTATAATTTTTGTATATTTAATATATAGTGTATTTTATTATCTGACATCTCTATAGTCGAAGTATCTCAGACATCTTAACGATGATTATTGAAATGATTCTTATTATTTAATGTAAATACCGTTGAATGAAATCTACCAATAATGTTATCTTCTTTCAACGTATTGATATTATTTTTGGTAATCTATTGTTTGTGATTATGCTGCCTTTACATCAATCATTATTATCTAAGAACCTGACCAGTCAATTGAATCAATGATTAATTTAGTAGATAGAAGTATCATTTTGTGTCATATTAGATCATTTATTATTCATGGTTTTATCAATCGACATTCACGTAGAAAAATCTATTAGCTGTACTCTAAAAGCTTTACCGATTACTGAATATGATTAAGAATAACTAAGTAGTATTACTTAATCCTAATGAAATTAAATAAGTACTGCACATACAATTACACTAAAAGACCTATATCTGTTTAACCCTTTTTGCAGCTATTTTACTACTCGATAAACTATATAGAAAATAAAATTTGATGGCTGTTTAATAATCCCAGAATTCATATTAGTTTCATTACTTAAACATAGCAACTAGTGAATAATCTTGTAGTGATAGACCGCTATTCATTCCCTAAAAAATATTAGCATCTACCACAAAACTCTACGCTTTTCATTAATTACGATCAGTACCTAAATTATATCCACACTCAACACTTCAATCATTTAGTTCAATGGAAAGAATTTCCCAATTGCTTAGCACCAATCAGGCTGCCAGATTATTGGAGGAATGAACATCAATATACTGCCCATCCAAGTACGACGCGCAAGTCACGTGCATCATACATAATTGAAAAGGATATAAACAGAAAGCCTTATTTCTAATAATTCTAATTTCACAGAAAATATCGTCATGTGCATTCTAACATAGAGATGCGTTATTTTAATACTTTTATAAATTTATAATATATAAATCATAATAATGTCAATATACAACCTCTATACACTACCTCTATGCATTATCATGTACTACGTAGTACTAATCTTAATTAAGAAAATTGCATCCAAGACTGCAAAAACCGTTGTAACAGGAGGCTATCGGCATTAGTACACGACCGATGAATGCCTCATACAGTACTTCATATCTTGTCCTGCATCTAAACTAAACACGCTAAAAATATTAATCTATAACAAACACTATATAGAGTCAAGTAATTAAAAATGCAATCAAGCAAGACCGTAATGTTGTAAAGTAGCAAATATCCAAATAAATATCTTACTTGGCTTTTGTTGAACAACATAATTTTCATCAACAATTGATTTAAATGTCTCTTCATAATTTATTTCTGTAGTTGGTTTACTTCCAAATGAAGTTAAAGTAGTGAAAAACCAATTAGCAAATCTTTGTTTAAAAGTTAATTTAATTGATAAATCACCATTATCATTATAGAATTCTTGATTAATACCTGCTTTACTCTCTAAATCATCATCACCACTTGAATTAATTTGATCAGTTGATGAAGATGATTGATCTTCATGAGATAATTTATGTTGATACATTTCATCAGGTAAATCACTAATAACCCCATATTCTCTTAATTTTGCAGCTTTACCAACTGTCAGAACATAATCAAATTGTTCAGTAGTATTTATTGTCCAACTATAAAATTTTAAATTTTGTAATCTTAATAATGGAACAAATTTAGTAAGAAAATCTGGAGACCATGTCAGAAAGTGTAATAAAGAAATTCCAGTAATTTTAAATTTAAATCTAGAATCATCCTTTAAATTATCTAAATAAAAATTATAATTAATATATTGAATTGAATGTCTCCAACTTCCACTAATATTAATAATATCAAAATGATTATAACCAAATTGATTTCCTAATTCCTTTCCATAAAATAATTGTTGAAAATATTCATCTTGATTGAAAAATTTTATAAAATTTAAATCCCAAATTCCAAATTGAACTTTATTTAACCACCAACCTAAATCATTACGTACGGCTAAAAGATCTTTAATAATAAATCTAAGGATTTTTACAGCATTTAATCTTTTAATATCTAACATAATCTTATAATCTTCTTGTCCATTAGGTTGACTATCCAGATAACCAACAAACCAAGTTAATAATTGTTGAAATGTCATTAAAGGATAATTCCCTTCAACAGTTTTTAAATCTTTTAATTCATCATAATTATGTTGAGGAATAATAAAATCTGTTTCATTCCCATCTTTATCAACAAATATTCTTTTAGTACTTACATCATGACTTATAATAAGAATTTGATCTTTAGTTAACCAAGTATCAGTTTCAATAATAGTTCCACCATTTTGAAAACATTTTTCAAATCCAACTATAGTATTTTCTGGATATTTGGCTTTAAATCCTCTATGTCCAACTATAACTGGTGAAGTATATACCATTTCTTATTTTGTTATTTGTTTATCTATTCTATAATAAATGAATGAAAAAAAAAATTAATAATTAGGGATTATATATATTTTTATTTTATAATGATAAACTATCTCCTTAATTCTTTAATCATCAACTGTACGACAACTTACGCCATTAAGATAATAATATCGATTAACTATGGAGAATTCTATTACTTGCCTATAAAATTTGCGTACCGTGCCTCAAAAACGTGGAGTTAATAAATGTAAAGAAAATTATTTCCGTTTCCGATCGATTTTATTTCCTTTTGCCATTCCTTTTGACGCAATACTTCCGCGCCTCCTTACCGCAGTATATTAATCGCTAATATGCTTAATATCGTCTACTGTATTACACTAAAGTCATTAGTGTAAGTATGTATTACGTCAGAGAATTGCTCAAGAGAAGTACATGAAATAATAGTATCATTATTATATAAAGGTTTTGTGTGTCAGTTAAACATACCTAAATGTAACAATTGCTTTACATAATAATTAATTTTGAGCGCACATGGTAGCGCACCATAGTTAATATATCTTAAGTCTTGAATATATGTTGATACATTTACTTATAGAATGTTATTAAAATAGTGTTTATAACTTATTGTCCTTTAACTTATGTTTATCTGCTGCTTGATCAATAATCATTTTAATTAATTGAAATGCAACTGATTCAGGCATAGGAATCAAGATCATATCCGGATTGTAATCTTCAATATTTTCATCGGCTGCTTCTTCAGGATATACAAGTTTTCTAATAAATGAGATATCAAACCATTTAGCATCTTCCAACTCTTTATCATGACCTAAATGAATGATTTCATTTTCTCCATTAAATTGAACCACGGCTAAACATCCAATCATAAGATTACCAGGGAATGGCCAAGGTTGTGTCATAACCAATTCAATTGAATTACATCTAACTCCAGTTTCTTCCCAAATTTCTCGTTTAAGGGCAACTTCAACTGTTTCAGATGGTTCCATAAATCCTGCTGTACATGCATACATTCTAGTAGCTGCATGTCTTTTACCTAATGATAATAAAATTTTAGTTCTTTCTTCATTAGTAATTGCAGTAATTACCACTGCATCAGTACGAGGGAAAGTTACATTCGAAACATGAGCTCTTTTAACTGGACAATTACTTTTTATTTTACCTTCATTATCACTAAAAGTTTCTTGATTTGTACAATGTAATTTACCACCAGCATGAATTGGAATTACTTTATGACCACAACCAGGACAAAATCTATTTCTATTAATCCAATCAAAATACATTTTACCATGAGAATATAAAGCAGCTTCAACATTTGTAAAAGTTAAATAATGTTTTCTAGATTTTGTATAAAAAATTCCATTATCATCAGGAGTTTTTTCTGGAGTATTTGATACAAGATTAATTCTATCATTAACAAATGATATAATTAATTTTGATAATTCAGGACTATCAGTTAAATCTACTGCATAATATGGTATACCTTGATATCTACCTTGATAATCTAAATATCTTTCATCTTGACTACCTTCTTCATCTATAGAAATATCTTCCATTTTTAATTTTAATAAATCTAATCCAACACTTTGATCAAATAATCCAAGAAATAAAAAACTTGGTTTTTCATCTCTTAAACTTGGATGTTTTTCTTTATTATCATGTTGAAATTGATTTAAAATTTCTAACCAATTTAAATCAGAAATATTTAATAATCCTTTACTAAATTCTTTAGAATTTGTATCATAATTATCATTATTTCTTAATTGATTTGAACCATTTGTTAATACAATTAATTTTTTTTCTAAATATTTACTAACTAATGGATCACTATCAAGATAAAATATAAATCTTGTTGATGGATGAAGTAAACTTTTACTTACAAATTCACTATCTTCTCGAAGAAATGACACTCTATTAACCACTTCGGCTCCAAAATAAATATTATTCTTTTGTTCTTCAAGTGTTGTATAACTTTGATATGATGTTGATGTCATGGTATTAAATTGTCTTAGATTATAATTAGGTAATGCCGAGGATAAATGGCGATGTTTCGTAATTGATTTACAATTCCTTATTTTACTAGAACTATGGATTAATACTTGTAAACCTCTATGGACCATTCAACGATTCTCTTGAATCAATTACTTTGGTCTGGGTGGGGTTGGGTTTTCTATATATGTATAATGCTGAGTTATCAAATTTTTGGGGGATCAGTATATTGCCGGCGATAGTGTCTCTTTTCTGCCGAGACATCTCCACTAAAAGTGTGAACGACTACTCGGAAATACTGTGCGAAATATAATATATGATACAGTACATAATACATAATATATATATATACTTATTGTATATTTACATGAATGTGTGCTTAACCCCGTATTTACAAGCTATAACTTTAACTATATGTCTATAATCGTTTCCTCGATTAACCTAGAATTATTATTATGTTAGTAAACAATTGTTTGTTATAAATTAATTGACTCATAGTCATAAATTTTTTAACTATACGGTTTAAATCAGATATCTGAGACGTTCTCTTCAATTGTATTTCAGAAGTCTAACGTCTAAAAAAATCTTTTGAATCATCATGAAAACCATAGTTAATATTTATGACTTATAAGTTAATAATATTTTGAACTTACCTTTTATACATGACATTGTCTGAATGATAATTTTAAATTTAACCTATTGGTACACCTTTAAGAGCCGCTTTTGGAACTCCAACTAACTTTTTTATATCTTTTGAATTATCAAGAATCATAAGTACTCTTCCTGATTGACCCATTCTTCCTGTTCTTCCTATTCTATGAATCATATCAAGTGAACTATTTGGCATTTCTAACATGATAACATTTTTAATACTATAAAAATTAATTCCTCTTCCTAATAAATCAGTAGTTATTAATACTTTTATTCTAGGACCATCTTCTGTTAATTTTTCTGCTGGTTGTATAAATGGTTGAATTAATTCTTGTCGTTCTTCTGCTTCTGTATTACCTTGAATTGTAATAATATCTTCTTCTTTATATTTATATTTTACAACAAGCGAGTTCTTAACCGCACTAACTTGTTCTTTCTTATTAACAAATACAACAATTCTTTTTACAAGTCCATCTTCAGTTCCATCATTCCTAATAGCATATAATGCTTGAGCAAGACATCTTATAATGGATCCATTAAATGGTGGCTTTTGAGCATCAATAATACTAATCTTAATATTTCTGGATATTTTATGTAAAGATGGAGTAGCAATTTCAATAATTGAATCTTCTCCTGGAAATTCACTAATTAATGTCTTTTTAAATTCATTAGGAATAGTAGCAGAACAGAAAACTAAATCTTTTAATCTTCGGAAACGCCTTATAGTTTGAATTGTATCACCAATCCAACTAACATCAAATAAAGTATCTGCTTCATCAATTACACAATATTTAACACCTCTAAATATTCTAAATGGATCTGAATCATTTCGAAGTTTTTGTAATCCAATAATTTTACCAGGGGTAGTAACCAAAACATCTATATTTCCATGTCTAAGATATTCATATACACTAGTATGAGGAACACTTCTTAACCATTGAAATATTCTAAGACGTAATTTAGGTGATTCACCTTCCTGAGTTGTTTCTTCAACAAATTCTCTATATTGTTTGGGTATATCTTCAATATCTAAATCAAAACTAGTAGCTCTTCTTAAGACATCAGTTACTTGATGAACTAATTCATAAGTTGGAACAAGAATCACAGCACGAATAATTTTATTATTTTGAGATTCATGATATTTCTTAGGATTCTTCATATATAATTCCCAATCATCTTCCTTTAATTTACTTAATATTGAGGCTAAATATGCCCATGTTTTACCTGAACCAGTTTCAGATGCTAATGCAAAGATTTTTAATTTATTTAATTCATTTTCTTTTCTGAATTCAAGTTGAATTTGCTCTTCAGGTTTAAGATCTTCACTTGGCTTTTCTAGAAATCGTTCACTTAATCTTGGAATATTAATTTTTCTAATTGTTGCAATTTGACAAGGAGTTGGTTTAATATCTAATTCTTCCCTTGATTTAATCAACAGATCTTTTAAATTATATTGATCTTTAATTTCTTTAATCATAGCTTGACGAACAGTAGGAAAAATTCTTAATTCATTAAATGAATTAATTGTTTCAAGACCAACAGATGAAGTTTCAAATACTTTCTTTGATGGATAATCAAGTTTTGAGAATTTTCCTTGTGTTTTAAAACTTGGATTATGACCTGTTGGTATAGAAGAAGATTTAGTTGATTTAGTAAATTTATTTGATTTAGTTGATTTACTAGATTTATTAAATTTGGATTGTTTGGCTTTACTATTTGAATTAGTTCGTTTATATCGTACAGTTTGGATCGTACTAGATCGTACTCCTATAACACTAGGACGCACGGATATTAAGGAATTGCACACATTATTCAACCCTCTGGCTATAAAAGACATACCTACTTATAGACCATAAATCACTACGTTTTTGTCGTTACTGATAATACCGTTATAGTTAATTCTTTAAGCACTTCTCATACTAATTAACTATGTAAGACACACTGTAAAATTTTTTTTTCAACTAACTTTTTCAAGCAGGTCGTGTGCACCCGTCTGAAAAAAATCATATAGTCGAATAATTGACTCGAAAAATTTTGTTAAGTATGGGTAAAATAATCTAACTAAATAAATATAAATTTATTACATTTGGTTGTAGTATACAAACAGCAATAATGTTGAAGGCCGCTGGTGGTAATTTACCAAAGAATGTGACAATGACAATGTCCATGAGATCATTGTCTATGTCATCGCCAACTTTATATGCCAAACCTGTAGGTACACCTGGAGGTAAAAAGAAGATGCTTTTCAATCCTAAAACAATGAAGAATGCTCTACCAGGTCAAAGTGAAACTAAAGTTAAGAAAGCAGGGATGACTCATTTAGATTTTGATGATGCTATTAGAAGTATGAAATTCTATAAAAATGGAACTGATTTAAAACCTTTAGGATTATCAACATTAAATCCTAATAATTTATCTGAATCAAAATCAACTGTTGTTAAATATACTAGTAAATGTCAAAGAACATTAGGTTATTTAGGTGGAATTAAAAAATTTCAAAATAATGAATTATATAGACATCCAGTTACTTTAGTAACAGAAAATACCACTAGAATTAATGAAGAATTTATTTCTAAATTAGATAATTCATCATCTAAAGAAAATAGATTAGCCTTAATTGGTTCAAGAGGTGTTGGAAAATCAACCGTATTAGCTCAAGCACATGCATTAGCATTAGAAAAATTCGAAAAAGATGTTATTATATTACATATAAATCTTGGTGAACAGATTGTTAATGGTACTAATGATTATGTTTTTAATCCAAAACTTAATAAATATCATCAACCAATGTTTACTAAGAGATTGATACATAAATTACGTCTTTCCAATGAAGAAATCTTCCGTAAATTGAAATTATCAAAGGATTATACATTCAGTAATAGAAGACAAGAATTTAATTTAAAGAAGGGAGAAAATACCTTATATGATTTCCTTAAAAACAATAAAGATTTCGGTAAATTCGGTCCAAATGATGCATTTCAAACGTTTTTAGAAGAATTACTTATACAATCTGAAACTGTACCAGTTATATTCTCAATAGATAATGTTAATGCAATTTTAGATTTCCCAATCACCAAATATAGAAAACCGGATTTTTCACCAATTAGAATTGAAGAACTTGAAATAGGTAGTTTTATACTTGATTTTTTAAGTGGAGAAAAATCATTTAATAAAGGTGGTATTCTTATAGCAAAAACTGGAATCATTGGTACTGCTGAAAAAACCTTGGATGTTGCATTAGGAATTGAAGAAAATGATCCTTATGCTAAAAGTGAAATATTTGATTATGATATTTGTGTTAAATTAAGAGAAAATGGAGGTATAAAACCATTTAAAATAGAAAATTTTACTAAAGATGAAACTAAACAATTAATGAATTTCTGGAGAATTATTGGATCTTTACCAGTTAAACAATTTTATACTAAAGAAGTTGATAAAACTTCTGAAGAATTATCAGCAGAAGGAGGAAATGAACAATTTGATCTAGAAATTCAATTTGAAAGAATGGTAAATAATAATTATACCATTTCATCGGGTAATCCTCATTATTTGTTTAAGACATCTATGTTGTCATATTGATAATATATTTGTCATTCTGTACATAGAAATTAATTTATATTAAAAAGAATAATATACACAAGAAATTATTAATATGCTAAAAAAGGGGTCATAACTTAATCTAAGTAAATAAAGTATCTTCTTCTCTTAAATATTCTCCAATATCACCTTGTCTAAATGCAACTATAGCAGTTGGTTGTAAATTTCTTGCTTCATTAGTTGATTTTGCACTAACACCAAATCCTAAAGGTATATCATTCATACTATATATTATAACACCAGCATGTTCAGGAATATCATCAGACATTTTACCTATATGAGCTTTTAATACATGATTACCATATAAGAAAGGCATTTCACCATTAGTTTTAATCCAAATTTTATATTTAGCATATTGACTTAAATATGTTAATGCAGTTATATGTAATCTAAATTTCCCAGTTTTTGTAAATTTACCAAAACAAATCCCAACTGACATTAATTGTGATCTACTTACTGATGTAGCAAATTTAGCAATTTTTTCACTTATATAATAAACTCTATCCTTTTGTAATCTAAATACATGAGGATCATTAGCATTATCAATTAAAAATGCAATATTTCTACCTATATAGTTGGCTAATTTTTCAAACACAACTTTGGTCTCTTCTTCTGTTAACGATCTCATTGTGAACGTGTCTATATATATGAGTCTATGAGTTCCTTTTTCCAGAAAGTTTTACAATACTAGTAGTTCTTTATATCCATCACCTAAACATTAAATTTTCTTTTAATAAATTTAAATTTTTCATTAGAAGGTCACATGACACATAGTTAATTTTTAGGATGAGATGAGACAGCTTATATAATGGGAGATGGAGATAACTTCATATTCTGTAATACTCTTGAAGAAATTAGTCGATGTAGCTACTGTATAGAATTGTAACAATTGACCATAATAATCTACTCTAAATTATTATTATTAATAAACCCATTACAATCATATAATTTAATATTCTCTAGCCGCATCGTAAGGCCGATGAGAGAGACCGAGACAGAAAAAGTATCGGAAATTTTTCACTAGCTACTTTAGTCGTAATTCAGCTATATAAAAGGTGATCATACATAGAATAATAATTAGTAAATAATATTCTAAAACTTGAATTACCTTCTACTCATGTCTGAGCCAATCAATAAAGAAAAGGAATTTAACAGTTCCAGTTCCAGTTCCAGTTCCCATACTTCTGAATCAAATACCAATACTGAACTCCAATATGATGATCAAGTCGATGATTCAGTGTACAAGAGAGATCAAAAGAGTAAATGGACCAGAGCTCGTCTGGCTGATAAGAAAGATGGCAACGTCAACGGAAATAAACGTACTAGACCAAACCCCAATTCGGAAGAGAAAAGACAAAGAAAAACTTATGATCAGACGTAGGTATGTTTCAAACCTCTTTGAAATATTTAGAGGTAAACTCTGATAATACAAGAATTATTAAATACTAACATATATAAAAATTATAGAGAATTCAAACCAATGTTAGATGATGAAGGTAATCCTATTCCTAAATCAGAAAGAAAGCCAAAGAAAAAAGTTGCTGTTATGATTGGTTATTGTGGTACTGGTTATAATGGAATGCAATTACAAAATGATCCAAAGATTCCAACTATTGAAAGAGATATTTATGAAGCAATGGCTCGTGCTGGAGCCATTAGTCCAGAAAATGCCGTAGATATTAAAAAATCTTCATTTATGAGAGCCGCTAGAACTGATAAAGGAGTTCATGCTGCAGGAAATGTAATTTCATTAAAGATGATTATTGAAGATCCTGAAATTATTAATAAATTAAATCAAGAACTTCCTGATCAAATAAGAGTTTGGGGTGTTCAAAGAGTTACTAAATCATTTGATTGTAGAAAAATGTGTTCTTCAAGAGTATATGAATATTTATTACCAACTTATTCATTATTACCTCCAAAACCTAAGAGTACATTACTGGAATTATTATCAACTAAAAGATCTACTACTCCAGGAATTCTTAAAGAAGATGAAGAAGGTATTCAATGGTGGAAAGATACTCGAGAATTTATTCTTAAAGAAGGAGAATTAACTCCTCAACAATTAGATGAAGAAATCCCTGCTTTATTAATTGACGATAGTGTTAAAATTTATAATGAAGCTGGTGAAGTTACTGAACAAGGTAAATTTATTCGTAAAGTTAAGGGACTTGAAAATAAAGCTAGAAGAAATTATAAAGCTTCACCTGAAAGATTAGAATTATTTCGTAATGCTATGAAACAATATGAAGGTACTCATAATTTTCATAATTTTACAGTTGGGAAATTTTTTAAAGATCCTTCAGCTAAGAGATATATAATTTCTACTAAAGTATCAGATCCATTTGATATAGAAGGTACTCAATGGGTATCAATTAAAATTCATGGACAATCATTTATGCTTCATCAAATTAGAAAAATGATTGCCATGGCAACTCTTGTTGTTCGTACTGGTTGTCCAACTGAAATAATTCCTCAATGTTTTACTTCAACTAAAATTAATATTCCAAAAGCTCCTGCCCTTGGTTTATTACTTGAAAATCCTGTTTATGAAGCATATAATCAAACATTATCTAAATTAGAATATGATGCAATTGATTTTACCAAATTTGATAAAGAAATGGAAGAATTTAAGATGAAATATATTTATGATAAAATTTATGCTGAAGAAAATAAAGAAAATGTATTTTATGGATTCTTTGCATTTATTGACACTTTTAAACTTAAAGATGAAGATAATAGAGCTGATGGAACTCATGTATTTGATTTCCTTAATTCTATTACTGATGAATTACCAGAAAAGGTAATTGAAGAATCAAATACTACTGGTCCAATTACATCTTCTGATAATGTTGATTAATTAATTACGATAAATTTAAATTTTTTAGATAAATGTAGATACTTTTCCCATTATATATTATACGCCTATGTAAAGTAAAGAATTAATGTATAAATATTATGGTGAAAATTTTAAGTTAATTTAATTTAATTTAATTTAAGTTAATTTAATTTAATTTAATTCAAGTGAAGATGCAAAATAAAAACGAAATGACGATATAGCCCAGAAAATATACTAGTAAAATAAAATGAAATAAGATAGCAAATAAAATTCAATTCAAGTTAAACTTGAAACGAAATATTAGAGATTGATATAAGAAAATATATCAAATCCTAAATCAGAAACGATGTAAAATATTGAATAATGGAATACTATAAGATTGAATAGAATATAATTGAGAATGTTATATCCAAGTGGCTTGTTGTGATGGTTGCGTTGATTGTTGATGTGATTGTTGTTGTTGTTGCTGTGTTGGTGGTACTTGACCTGAAGTTTGATAATTTTTATGCTGATATTGTGTGGTTGGGACTGCTGTTTGTGTAATTGGTTGTGGTAACCTATTTTCATAATATTTTGGATATTGTGTTGGTTCATCATTATATTGTGGAATTGGATGTGTTTGAGATTGTTGTACAGGTTGAGGAATTGGTGATTGTTGATGATTAGTTTGATTTGGTACTGTTTGATTAGAAATTTCATTGGTTTGATTATTAATGGTATTATCATTAATTTGATTATTTTCACCATTTTCAATCTTACCTTGTTGTCTTTGCTTTTCTTGTTGAAATTTATATAAAGTCCAATCAAAAACATAATCATAACGATAATTTTCTCGTTTAAATAAATCTCTAAATAATTTTCTTAAATAAGGATAATCAGGTTTATCATCAAATCTTAAAGTTTTAATATAATTCATATATTGTAAGAATTCAGATGGTAAACCTTTTGTTAATACATTATTTGGAGTTGTCATTTTCTTTTCCATAATTCTATCATATTTTTGTCTTTTAGTAGCAGCTTTTAAACCTTGCCAAGGTAATGAACCACGACAGAAATAAATAAGAACATAACCTAAACTTTCTAAATCATCTCTTCTTGATTGTTCAATACCTAAATGAGTATTAACACTAGCATATCTTGCAGTACCAGTTAAATTTTTATTTTCACGATAAGGAATATGTAAATGAGTTCTTGGATCTCTATATTTTTTAGCTAAACCAAAATCAATAACATTAACTTGAGAACCTCTTCTACCAATACCCATTAAGAAATTATCAGGTTTAATATCTCTATGAATAAAACATCTTGCATGAATATATTCAATACGACAAATTAATTGATCAGCTAAAAGTAAAACTGTTTTATAACTAAATTTTCGATTACAATAATTAAATAAATCTTCTAATGATGGACCTAATAAATCAATTACCATAGCATTATAATCACATTCTGTACCATACCATCTTACAAATGGTATACCAACTCCTCCACTTAATGCTTTATAAACTTTTGCTTCATATTCTAATTGAGGATGTTTAGCTTTAATATTTTCTAATTTAATAGCAACTTCTTCTCCACTAATAATATTAGTACCTAAATAAATATCACCAAATGATCCTGAACCAATCTTACGTCCAATGCGATATTTCTTACCAACTCTTAAATCCATTTTATCAAATTATATATATATATATATATTATTCTGTTTAAGGATTTTAATTGAATGATTAATGATGATGTTATTTTATATATATATATGATATATTACTATGCATATATTATTTTTCAGTTAGTATTAAGTTGAATCAATAGAAATAATCAACTTGTGTTAATTTATTTGATTTATCTTTACAAAGTGTTGATAAGCGGCAAGCTGGGGGAGGTTGATTTGTTTTTAGTAAAAATTCCCTTCTCTTCCTCAAATCTGGCCAAAGTTTTTTCGTGAGCTCCTTGGGCCTTTCTTTTTTTTGTTGTTGTTAGGTCGGTAATAGATGCTGGTAATAGAGATTAAGTTACTAGTGAGATAGCTGAGGTCGACACCCTAAGCTTTGTAGACTATAGAGTTAGTTGTCTATTATATTGGTGAAGTTTTACCGATGAGATCGTCAGGTCAATACTATTAAAATAGTCTGCTGTTCTCTCTATATATAAAGTAGAGGCATTGTTTAGCGTAAACCTCATCATAATGAATCACACAAAAAAGCCTATATAAATATAGAAAAAAAGCAATTTGTTTTGGGTGGTGCACGTCTCTCCCTCACTCCCTCACTCACTCCACACACAGTGTCTGTTGTCTCATGCTAATAGCAATTGTTACAATCGTTTCAGATTTGTTAGATCTTGGCTCTCAACTTATAACGCTACGCTGGTAGTGTGACCAATTAACAACCATGTTAGTTTTGATACAATGTTGAGGTTCTAGAGCGAGTGGGGTCCTCATTAATGTAGTTTATTATTTTTATTAAACATTATTCTTAACCTAATCTAGTTTAGATGTTAGACTAGAAGTAAAGAGTAAGGAGTAGAGTAGAGTAAAAGAGATCACATGACTGTAGCACTATAAATTATGTATCTTGTGCTGATTCTTTTTTTTTAATCTATGGATGTAAGGATGTTAATATATCTTGAACATCGCCTCGTTAGTATTTTAATTTTAATGAATCGTCAGTTTTACATTGTTTTACACCCCATTCTCACATATAAGTTTCACCCCTGCGCTCACTCATTATTTTTAAACTTTTAGTATAGAGGAAATAGAAAAACAACATCCCTTTCAACTGCCAATTGCATGGTAGCACCCATAAATAATAATAAAACTAAACTTCCACAATTTATTTATATTGTGGCTCTGTTGTATAAGTAAATAAATTATTTATCTACATTTCAATTATTCAATTTATTGAGTGTTATATTAATTATTAAGTAAAATTATTAAAAAAGATGGAATCCAAGAAAGTAGCAATATAGAAAAGTAAATAAATAAAGTAAAACCAATAATTGGTAAATATGTAGCAATTAATTCGAAAAATATTAATGTAATAAGTAAAACACTAAATATTAATTCAATTGACTAGCAATTGATTAAATAATCTAATTCTTAGTGGCAGTAGCAGAAGTTGGTTTCTTAAATTTAGAAACTAATCTCTTAAAGAAATCATTCTTTTTAGCCTTTTCAACTTTATTAGAAACATCTTTAACTTCATCTTTAGCCTTTTCAACTAATTTATCAACTTCAGATTCATCTTTAACTTCTTCAGTCTTAGCTTCACCTTCAGTAGCTTCAGTAGCTTCTGCAGTTTCAGTTTCAGCAGCAGCTTCAGTTTCTTCTTCCTTTGGAGCTTCTTCCTTTGGAGCTTCTTCAACTTCAGCAGCATCAGCTTCAGCAGTTTCTTCTACTTTTGGAGCTTCACCTTCAACTGCATCTTCAGTCTTAGTAGCATCAGCTTCAGTAGTTTCTTCAGTCTTAGTTGCTTGAATCTTAGCAGCTTCGTCAGAACTGAAAATCTTGGAAACTCTTTTAACTCTATCTTTAATACCCATGATGATTTTTATATGTAATAATTGAAACTAATTCTTTATAGATTTATAAAGGAAAAGGAAATAAAATTATAAATAGAAATAAACTGTAAAAGGAAAATATAATACAATTCTACAATTTTTAAAGGGAATTGACTTGTTATTTATATGGCTAACATGAGACTGTTTATGGGTCATTAGAAATTGCACCAAAGGTACAACAACAAAAAGTCTACAAAGAGATAACTATAACAATAGTAGAGAAGTATAAGTATTTTTTTTTTTTAATTTTTTTTTTTCCTTTTGTGAATAATACTTTCCTAACTAGTATTATATAAAAAATATTTGAATTAATTAAATTTAAATGACTGAATTGGTCGTCGTTTGGTTTACCAAAAACGGAACAGTTGATTTGTATACTGGAAAGTTCATTCTTGTATGGGAAAGCAGTGTGGAATTATTTCTTAGATGAAGGAACTATAATTAGAAAGCATATGATCGGGATGCACTTTTCTTAATCAGTCTACAATTTAGATTTCAAATATCTAATTGAACAAAGGCTGTCACTATGTAGTAAAAGTTATTACGCTTGGTGACTGTTTGTTAGTTTTCCGAAATGGGGGTGTAATATTTTCGCCATTATTGTTAATTTTGATATTCCCAATTAAGAAAAATTCGATTAAATTCAAATCTACTACTATTTAATGGATATACCTATCAAATAATATCATTATAAATTCTGGCGTTTGGTTTGTTATTGTTACGGAAGGAAATTATTTACTATGGTTAATTTCAAAAATTAACCGAACAGTCAATGAGACGAGTGATCGCAAATGCAAACAAACCGTCAGACAGACAGAAATCGGCTGTGAAACCGTGAACTTTCTTCACGTAGGGCGGCGTCTTAATTGTTGTTCCGGTTAATCTAGATTTGGTCAATACTTGTTCTACACTTCCAATAAGCCTTTTATTCTTTTGTGATTTTAGTTTTAACATTGCTAACTTTTGTGATTTCTATTAAAGCAATAGTCTATGAGGCTGGCTTGATATGTCATCTGTCGCACCCCCCAAATTCTGTGTCTTAACAAATATTTTTGAATCAATTGACGAGCTGCGCTTATATTTATTTTAAGATTTCCTGTACTTACCAATGACTATTTTGCCATCCATCGTGTGTTACCTGTAGTTTTAATGAGAGGGAATGCTATTGTTACTCAATGAAGACTTACATCTTTCTCATCGAATATTAATTAGTATGTCTGGATGACACAAAAACGCATCAATTATTTATGTATTTACTTTTTGTTTTATTCTTTACGCCGTGTGTCCTCTTTTTTTTTTTATTATTATTTTTTTCTGTTCTACTTATTTTTTTTTTATTTTTAGTTGGTCTCAATACATTTTTACAAAATCACATCATACTAACATATATGTAAATATATAAATATATCATTTAAACTATTAATTAAACCAAGGGAATTATTTCGGGAGTTAGGTACATGATACATGATGATTTATGATGATTTATGATGATATTTGATAGTTGATAGCGTGTCAGGTGAAATTCATTAAATCTCACTTAACAACAATCATTAGTGTATACTACTATAATAAATTTATTTTTATTTTTCCTCAATTAATGGTGGTTGTGATGAACAACCAGATTATACTATTTCGATCACTATATCATCTGAAAATAGTTCTGTTAACTTGCATTTGTGATTAATCTAAAGTTATAATAATAAATTTTGTAGCTGGTATTTCCATTTCCCCTCTATTGTCTTTCAGCCTTGGCTTCAAACTCAGCCCATGACTAGTTGTCAGAATTCTGATCAGCCGTATCATCCGTCTGAGGATATTCTCTCTTCCTGCACGAACAATCTTGTAAAAAATCTTGTAACTAGGTACACGACTGAAGTATCATGATTGGTCGTGTAAAACTGCTCAAAACGTAAATAAAACAAAACCTATGTAAACATATAGAAGAAGAACTAGTAAAGAATAAATCAAGATAGAAGATAGATTGCGATAGATAGACAAACAACTAAGGCGTATCAGCATGTCTCCAACCAATAATGAAGCATCTGTGCGACTGACAGGCTCAGTCACTCTGGAATTGAGTCCATTATCAATGATGGGATCTACTCCATCTTCATCATATCAATTAAAGAAGATAGAATCAAGGCTTGAACTATTATCACAAACATTATCTAAATCGTCTATGCGATTAGTGTCTGAAAAATCAAATTCATCAGCGACAATAATAACTGGATTGAGTCGTAAACCATTATCTCGAATTCATTTATCTAATGTCGATACAAATAATAGCCGAGTATCAAAACCCATATCAAAGTCATCATCATCTAATACTATTAATATTACAAGTACAAGTACAAATATAAATCCAAATCCAAATCCAAATCCAAATCCAAATCAATCAAGGAAAAGTAAAGATATTCATTTATCTCCAATATCTGTTTCATCCACATCATCTGCAGTAACTCCTTCATCAACAATGTTATTACGTAAATCAATCACTAATACAGCATCAACAACTCCAGCAACTACTACTAATTCATTACCTTCACTGTCGACTAATTGTAAATATTCTCTACAAGATTTTGAATTAGGTAGGATATTAGGTAAAGGTAAACTTGGTAAAGTTTATTGTGCTAAACATTTACAATCAGGATATATTGTAGCACTTAAAGTTATGACAAAACAAGATTTAATAGATTTAAAATTAGAAAAGAATCTTAGACGAGAAATTGAAATTCAATCTCAATTAATTCATCCTAATATATCACGATTATATGGATATTTTTATGATCATAAAAATGTTTATCTAATACTTGAATATAGTATTGGAGGTGAATTATATAATCATCTTAAACTGGTAAAGAAATTTGATAATATTAAAAGTTCTTATTATATTCAACAAGTCACGCAGGCGTTGATTTATCTTCATTCTAAAAATATTATTCATAGAGATATTAAACCTGAAAATATTCTTGTATCAGATAATAATATAATTAAATTATCTGATTTTGGATGGTCTGTATCTAGTCAAACTAATCCATCAAAGAAAAGACTTACAATATGTGGTACTCTTGATTATTTACCACCAGAAATGATTGAATCTCAACTTCATGATCAACAAGTCGATATATGGTCATTAGGTATTCTTTGTTATGAATTACTTGTAGGGAAACCTCCATTTGAAGAAATTGATAAGAATCGAACTTATAAACGTATAGTTAAAATCGATTTAAATTTTCCTCATTATATAGATTATGAAGCAAGAGATTTAATTACAAAGTTACTTCAAAAGAATCCAAGATTAAGATTACCTTTAAATAAAGTATTAGAACATCCTTGGATTTTAAAATATAAACCATTTTGGCCAATCTAATAGATTTATAGAATACATACATTATTATTAATACAAAATAATTGAAACTTATGGAACCATAATATAAAAATTAAGAAGGTACAGGTCCTCCTGTACGTTGACCAGATTGAGCTTGAACAGGTTGTCCTTGACTCTGTTGTTGGACTTGAGGTTGACCTTGAGCTTGTTGTTGCCTTTGTCTCATTAATAACATTTGTTGTTGCTTTTGTTGTAATTGATATAATTGCTTCTGGAATACTTCTTGTTGACGAATATTATATTGAGCAGTAGTTGCAATAGCTCTCAGTGGAGCTCTAACTTGATAAATTTCTCCCGGTATTGAACTAAAAGTTTGACTTGGAGAATCATAATTAGTAATTGGTGCTGCATCAACATTAATTAATGCACATCTACCTTGTAAACCTCCAATTGATCCAGAAATAGCTTGAGTGGCTAATGTTTGTTGTTCATTTGCACTTCCTGGACCATTACTTCCATTAGAAGATGTGGCACTTCCATTAGAATTCCCACTACTATTAGCATGTTGAGCTTGATTAGGTTGTAATTTTATTAATGAATTAGCATAAAATTCTCTTCCAACTAAAAATCTATGACGATATCTAACAGGTAATATAATTTTTCTTTCTAATGGTATTGGATTATTCTTTGATAATCCTTCTAATACTAAATGAGTTTCTTCATCAGGATCAAGGATTTTATTATAATTCAAATTACCATCACCATTAATATCTTGTCCACCATGAAATACTGCATTTTCTCTTCTTTGAGCTGCCAAAGCATTGTTTGCAGCAATTTTGGCTTGATTTCTCTTTTGATATTGTTGTAATAAAACATCATAAGGAGCACTTCTACCTGGAACAGCACGTTTAGCTCCCATAGGATGAGTTTTACAAGTTAATGAACGTGCACAAAATCCTCCTGATGCTAAAGGTACCCCACATTGTTTCTCAACATCAACTGGACCCTTAGGTTTTGCAACTGCCCTTGGTTTAGGTTGTTTCTTTTTCTTCTTCTCAGAACCAGCTGGTGAATCAGAATTACTAGTACCACCATTAGCAGCAGCAGCGGCAGCTGCAGCTGCTGCTGCTGCATTAGCGGCTTCTTTCTCCTTCTGAGTTTGTGATTTCTTATATTTCTTCTTAGGCTTAACAGGTGCAGCTGAAGAACCATTATTTGCTCCATTCAATGGAGTATTTGGAACAGGAGTAGAATTTCTTGATGAATCAACTGATGAAGTTTCAATTTCTAAAAATTGTTTACCTCTTTTTCTCTTATTAATCATATTTGAATTATTATTACTACTATTAAGAGTACTATTATTGGAACTATCACGAATTTCAGCTAAGGCTTCTTGTTGTCTCTTTTGTTTTAATTCAAAACACTTGGTATAATGATTTGATAAACTTGTTTCTCCAATGGGTCTATTACAAGACTTACAAATTTTATATTTGATATTAGTTGATAAAAATGAAGTATCAGGAATTGAATTAAGGGTATAATTTGATATAAGGGAATGAGAATCTAAATATTGAGATGATCTCTTAATTTCTATCTTCTTATCCAAGAAAGCTCCCAAATCTTTCCAGATAATAGGCTTTTTATTTGTAGCTGTTGTAGTTGTAGTTGTTGATGTTGATGAAGAATCAGTTAATGGTGAATTAATATCCGATAAATTATTAAGTGAACGCAATGAATCTAATGTGATTATTTGTTGTGCTCTCGAAGTCTTGGACATAATCTATTTAGGGTGATGTTGGGAATATGTTGATGATAATGTGTGAAGGTTGATGTGTAGGAGAAGGGGGGGGTCAAGAGATGAAAGGTCTTATAAGTAAATTATCAATGCCAAATAGATATGCGACCACTATAATGAAAACAAAATAGTGAGTCTCACAATAAATATACTTAATTAAAAGGCACGACAATTATGTAAGAATAGATAAGTTATACTGGGTACCAACTCCGTTTGTGGAAGTCTAACCTCAGCATTAAAAAAACCCTCCCCCCAGCAAAAGGTGAGGCTCGGTGTACTATGTCTTTTTTCCAGTCTTAACATAACTCATTTACGATCTACAATTAAAGATTTATAGAGCCTCAGTATATATAGTATATAGGCAATAAAGATGTTAAGAAGGCCCGCTACATCAATAAAGCTAACTCCTGAGGATGTTTTGGAATACGATGATTATTTATCTTTACAGCAGCAACATATGAATGAAAGAATTCAGCAACAACAACAAATACAACAACAACATCAACAACATCTTGCTAATTCTTCAAATTTACAAGAACAACATGATAATTCAGGTATAGATATAGGTGTGAATTTCAAATCTACTGCAGATGTGCGGAATTCACGAATTGGAGTTAAAAGAGAGAATTGAATATATTATATATATATAATTATAATTATTAAATACAAGTGAAATTATATAGTGTCTAATAAGTAAGATTCTTGGATAAGTTTAAGTGTTGATGAGAATAAAGATAATTGTTAATCATATCATGATCAATTTTATCTTCTTGGGTATTATTTAACCATGAGATACAGGGTTGATCTTGACAACTAAAATCTTCACTACGTTGATTAATCTTTCTACCTCTTTTTCTAAGAGGAGCATATTGATCAACAATACGACTGGTATCACTAGCATCATTAGCATGAACCTGTTTGAAGTGTCTATAATATTTAAGAAGTGGATTGGATTTGGTACTCCAACAATTAGCTTCACTGAGTGCACCACATAAAGGACAAGCAATAGCAGATTTATCTTTAGTATTAGAATTGTATTTAACTTTCTTTTGATTTGAACAATTAGAACTTTGAATATCATTCTGAGTATATATTCCATAATTAAGACCTTCAGGTACTAAATAACTTGAAGCAAATACACCATGTTCTAAAGTTAAATGTGATAAATAGCTGGAATTCTTATATGGTAAAAACTTAACTTCTTTACAGTAAGGACATAATCCAGAATTTGATTCATGAATACGAGCACCTTTTTCATTAAGTTCAACTCTAACGTATTGTGGTTCGTATGGATTTTTTGAACCAAAATCAGCATTAGGAATATATATGATATTTGTTATAGCATTTTTGATTGCTTCAATAGTTCTATAATATCTTATTCTGCTGTGTGCACATGATACATTAGCAATTTCTCTTCTAGATTGAATTAATCTTTGAGGAGTCTTGAATTTAATATTGTCAGAAGCTTTAGTTGAATTGATAAGATATCTTGGATCAGTACATTTCTTATAGATATGTCCTGTATAATTATTGTACTCAATCTTTTGACAACTAAGACAAGCAACTTGTTCATCTGGCTTATCATTGAATGATACAAAAGTGGAGTCAACAATAGTAAAGTGTCCACAAGTTTGAGTCTTTTGGATTTCTTTTTGAGATTTACTTTTAGTTTCAAAAGTGTGTTCTTCTTTAATAATATCAGGTTCGTTTTGTTTTAAATTCGTTGAAGAATCTATTGCAGATGAAATTAAATCATTTGTCTCTAATATTTTGAATTCATTATTAAAGTCATCATCAAAAAGTACCTGTTGGTCCAATCCAATTTCTGTACTTAGAAGGATGTCCATGTCTGTTGGATATGTTACTTTATTTTCAATAATATTAAAAATATCGTCATTACTAAATATATCTTGAGGATTAAATATGTTATGTTTAGCATTAGCAGAATAGATATCTACTTTTTCCTTCTGCTTATCGATATTACAAATCTCATCTACGAGAGCTTCAGCAATAGTATGTATTGCATCTGTCAGTTGGAAGTTGTTTCCATAGGAAGTTTTAATAAAGTTTGAAGGAGCAATACACTTCAATTGATCAATAGTTTGAGTTTCTTGATTTTGCTGTGAATTTTGATTCATGTATTCAGTAAAATCATTTGCAAAAGAGTTATATTTATTATCAATTAACTTATGTTCAGATAATTCTGGAAAATGAATTTCTTTAAAGTTTTCAAAGGAATCATCAGAAGAATTGAAGTTTACTAAGTCTGGACTAGAAGGATTTATCCACTCTGACATTTCAAAATCTTCAAGAGAATTGTCCATGGTTGGTAGATTACTTTTTGTCTCTATGAGGTAGCTTTCAATTGATGAAATATTGGTAGTAGTATTGGTAGCCATTGTTAGATAAGGAAGAAGATGATATATGAGAGAGGAAAAATGAAGAGGAAAGTTAATCGATGGTATTTATGGGGAATTGGAATCTTCTGGGGTAACCCAATACTATGAGGCTCCATATCTTATCGTTTCCTAATTTTGAATTTTTTTTGCAGCAACTTCTGCAACCGCCTCTGATTTCCCAATTAAATTATTTTTGCAGCAAAGTGAATGACGTTATATAAAAGTTCTAGACTTCTCTATAGCGCAGTATTTAAGTACCTAAACTAATTAAAAGACCTTTGCTAACATGTTACATCAAGAGTATTTTTTGCAACCTAGTCTTTGCGAGACGTAGCGGGAAACTAGAAATAGTACTATAATAATTGCAATTCTATAGTTACCCTAATCAATTGCCATGACCGTACCAAGCACGCAACTATATACATGATTTAAGAAGAGTTCAAGTAATACTATATTTGCAACCGTTATAGTTGGTTGTGTTACTTAATTAGGAATATATAAAAATTTGTAATGTATTATGTAATTAGGTTCCTGTATGGAAGCAACATCGCAGCCATTATATTTTTTTTGGGGAATTTTTTTTTTCACAAATAGTAGAGCTCCATAAGTAAGCAAAGTTGTTGATAGTAAAGGGATAACCAGCAATGATAGGAGGTGTAATATTCATAGTTTGCAGTTTATTCTACTTACTTTCAGGAGGCCGTTGGTCTGTAATTTTTGCAGCTACTGTTTTTGCCGGTATATATAAGTATGAGCAAAGTTCCAATATTTCAGATACTAAAACTACTCAAGAAACCAAATCAACTTCGGAAGTAGAGTCACCAATTTATGCTATAGATTTCACATCTTCATATACCCCTGTGAAAAGTTCTAATATACCTCAACCGATCAGAACAAGAGCAAAAAGATCACCTAAAGTTATAAAGGCTTCTAAACCAATTATTACAAATAATAAGGAAGCATCATTAACTAAATCAGTAGTTAATTTACTTGAATCACAAATTTATATTTTCTATACTACCTTAACTGGATCTTCTCAAAGAGTAGCTAAAAGTTTACAAGAAAAACTTTTGAGTTTAGAAGGATTACTGAATGAACCAAAATTATTAAGTTTAGATGATGATGTTGATGATCTTGAAGAATATTTCTTGAAGACTCCAGATAATGGAAGTACTAAGAATATTTATTTATTAGTTTTACCATCTTATGAAACAGATTCACCAATCGATTATTTCCTTGAACATCTTAAAGAAACCTATAATGATTTCAGAGTTGATAAATATTCTATGAAATCCTTATTAGGTTTTGCAGTATTAGGTTTAGGAGATTCAGAATCTTGGAAAGGTGAAAAATTTTGTTATCAAGCTAAATTAGCTGATAGATGGATGGGTAAATTAGGTGGAAGAAGATTATTCCCAGTAGGTGAAGTTTGTATGAAATATGAGGGAGAACCTAAAGCTCAAGAGTGGATTCAAAATTTTGCTCAATTACTAAGCGATGATGAACCATTCTATATTGATGAAAATGATGATGTTGATGATAGTGATAAAGAAGAAGATGAAGAAGTCACTGATGATGGTGATACTTTAGTTGATGTTGAAGATATGGGAGATATAATAAGAAAGTCAGGTACTAGAGGCTTATTAGGTAAAGAAGAAGTAAAACAAATGGTAGCCAAAGATTCTCCTACTTATAAATCATTAACTAAACAAGGGTATACTATAGTTGGATCACATTCAGGGGTTAAAATTTGTAGATGGACTAAAAGTGCTTTAAGAGGTAGAGGTTCATGTTATAAATTTGCATTTTATGGTATTAAATCCCATTTATGTATGGAAACTACTCCATCATTAGCTTGTTCTAATAAATGTGTTTTCTGTTGGCGTCATGGTACAAATCCAGTTGCAAAACTGAATTGGAGATGGGAAGTTGATCCTCCTGAAAAAGTATTTGAAGGAGCCTTGGCAGGACATTATCAAAAAATTAAACAAATGAGAGGAGTTCCTGGTATTCAAATGGATAGATTTCAAGAAGCTTTTCAAGTTAAACATTGTGCATTATCACTTGTAGGAGAACCAATTTTTTATCCTCATATTAATGAATTTGTTGGAATGTTACATAAACAACATATTTCATCATTTTTAGTTTGTAATGCTCAACATCCAGATCATTTAGCCAAATTAAATAGAGTAACACAATTATATGTTAGTATTGATGCACCAACAAGACAAGATTTAAAGAAAGTTGATCGTCCTTTAAATAGTGATTTCTGGGAAAGATTAATGTCATGTCTTGATATTTTAAGAACAACTCAAAAGCATCAACGTACAGTTTTCCGTTTAACATTAGTTAAAGGATTTAATATGTCAGATATTGAAAGTTATGCAGATATGGTTGCAAGAGCTTTACCATCACAAATTGAAATTAAAGGAGCTACATTTTGTGGTTCATCTAATGCTAATGGTAATCCATTAACAATGCAAAATATTCCATTTTATGAAGAATGTAAAGAATTTGTTATAAGTTTATCAAAGGAATTACAATCAAGAGGTCTTAATTATGATATTGCAGCTGAACATGCTCATTCATGTTGTATTTTAATGGCTGATACTAAATTTAAAATTAATAATAAATGGCATACTCATATAGATTATACCAAATTCTTTGAATTATTAGAAAGTGGTAAAGATTTTGTTGATTTAGATTATGTAACTGAAACTCCAGATTGGGCAGTTTGGGGATCGGAAGAAGCTGGATTTAATCCAATAGATACAAAATTTGATAGAAAAGCTGAGAAATTAAAGAAGAAACTCGATAGAGAAGAACAGTCTCGTAAACTTTTAGAACTGCAAAAATCTCATTAAGTATTAGTAACTATGTAAAATATATTTATGTATATGATAAATTCACTTAGCAGTAAATTAATCAGTAGACGCAAAATTTTGCGATACTTGGCCCGCAGCGACATTTGCATTTTTTAACTAAAACCACGAGGAACTGGAACAAGAACAAGTACAAGAAGCAGTACAAGAACAAGAACAAGTGCATAAGTAAACCTAGTATAATATGACCGATTCGGAATTGAAGAAGACTAAGAAAATTGCATTCATTCATCCTGATCTTGGAATAGGAGGAGCAGAAAGATTAGTGGTAGATGCAGCAGTTGGACTTCAAGATCTCGGTAATGAAATTATAATCTTTACATCACATTGTGATAAAACTCATTGTTTTGAAGAAGTTAGTAGTGGACAATTAGCAGTTGAAGTATATGGAGATTTTTTACCAACTAATATATTTAAAAAGTTACATATTTTCTTTGCAATTTTAAGACAATTTTATTTAACTATTCGATTAATTATTTCAGGTAAGATTAAAGAATATGATTATTTTATAGTTGATCAATTATCATTTTGTATACCATTATTAAGTCATTTTAGTGAAGATAAATGTCAAGTATTATTTTATTGTCATTTTCCTGATCAATTATTATCTAAAAGAGGTGGTTTATTAAAGACATTGTATAGAGTTCCATTTGATACAATTGAAGAATGGACCACCGGATTTAGTGATAGAATTGTTGTAAATTCAAATTTTACAAAGGGAATATTTCATAAAACTTTTAAAAATTTAAATTATATAGAACCAGGAGTAATTTATCCATGTGTTGATACAGAAATAATTGAAGATGAAATTTCTGATAAAGAAGTAAAGACATTTTTTAATGGTAATAAATACTTTTTATCAATTAATAGATTTGAAAGGAAAAAGAATATTGAATTAGCCATTAAATCATTTGCAAAATCAAGTAAATTACTTCGAGGACTTACTAAACCAAGATTAGTAATTGCTGGAGGTTATGATTCAAGAATTGCAGAAAATGTTGAATATCTTAATGAATTAACAAATTTATGTGAAAATTTAAAATTAACTAGTTTTACAATTAGAGGTAAATTAATTATTATGCCACCAGCTACAGATGTATTATTTTTACCATCAATTAAATCTTCATTAAAATCTTCATTAATTAAACAAGCTGAACTTTTATTATATACTCCATCATTTGAACATTTTGGAATTGTTCCAGTTGAAAGTATGCTTTTTAAAACTCCTGTATTATGTGTAAATAATGGAGGACCAATAGAATCAGTTGTTAATTATAATGAAAATATTAATAATGAAAATGAAGCAACTGGTTATACTGAAGAACCAGATTATGAAAAATGGGCTAAAATTATGATTAGATATTATAATGAAATTGATCCTAAAATTAAAATTAAATTAGGACAAAATGGTTATACAAGAGTTTTAAGTAAATTTTCTAGACAAGAAACAAGTAAATCATTTTGGAAAAATCTTGAAGAAACAACATCAAATAATTCTTATAAGAAAGGATTAATTTATCAAATTTTAAAGAATTGGCAATTAGATTTACTTGTATTAGTAATTGGTTTAATTGTATTTAGAATTTTATTTATATAATCATTAATAGCATTAAATATAGAAAATATCAATTAATAATAAGATTTAAAATTATTTAAATATATCTTTAATTGCTTTCCATATATGAAGTTTATTATCAACATTAGATTTATTTACAAGTAATGGAGTTGAAATTAATGATGAAGAAGTTCCATAAGTGGAATCTTCACCAAATAAATTTAATAATCCAATTGATGAAGATTTCTTTTTAATCATTGTTATAGATTGAGGACCTTTATTTCTATCAAACCAAATTTGAATATTCTCAGGAAATTTCTTAAGACTTCTCTTATATGAATCCTTTAATTCTTGTGATTCAATTAATTTAAATTTATGTAAATGAGATGAAGGACTTTGTAAATTATAATTTCTAATAGATACATTTATAAGTCGAAGTTTTTCATTTAAAAAATTTAAATCTGAACTTGTTAAATTTGTTCGATTAAATATTAATTCTGGTAATTTAAAATTAAAAGCATTTATAATGGTTTCAAGATTAATTGATCGATCTATTGTTGAAGCAATAGGTGATTTATTTATAATCCATTTAAACCAAAGTTCATCAATTTGTTCTCGAAATTGTTTAATACTATTGTTTATTGTTTGTTGTGATTCAATCCATGGAGGTAATACTTCTTGTTTATTTAATACTTGATTCATAAAATAATTTGAATCAGTACAATTTTTTAAATGTTGAATATCTAATGGTTTACCTCTTACATGAATCATTTCTGGTGAATCAAATTGTCCTGTAGCTTGATTTATAGCAGCATTAATTTTATTACTGGCTAAATTATTAACTAAATCAATTGTTGTACTTGGACTATTAGTATTAATTAACATAGATGGTCCTAATAATCTTTCCTTATATAATTCTCTAAAATTATCAGATTCAGGTATACCATTCTTTTCTTGTTCTTTTTTTAATTTATAATCCATTGAAGATTCTTTTGCATTAATTACTTTATCTTTAAATGATACTGGAGGAGTCATTATTCTATTTTGATTACCCTTTTGAGGTAAAGATTTAGCTCGTGGTTTCAGATCAACTATCATTCTTAAATTAGCATCATGAGTATTTTCAGTTCCTTTCCATGGTACAGATTCATATATATCCCTGGCATGTTTATTTAATTTAAGTAATGGTTCACTCTTTATATATGATTTTGCAATACTAATACTAGGAGTATCTTTCTCATAACTATACTTTTGATATAATTCCTTTAATTTAGGATCTGAATCCATCATGGATTTATTATTAGTAAATGAATCTGAAGCTATTTTTTGTTCAAGTATTTGAGTAAATCGTTCTACCAAAGCTGAATTATTATTGGGGTCATTATTGTCATTGTCATTGTCATTATTTTCATTAATCTTATTATTATCGGACTTGGACTTATCAGAGTTAGGAAACTTCTTAGTCCCATTCGAACTTAATCTTTTGGACACTAGAACCAAATACTTACCCTTGTGGGCTTTTAGTAATGTCCGTGCTAATAGCATGGCGGTGGAGAGGATCCCCTTAAAATATTTAGTAGAGATAATTTTTGTTAGTAATCTCACATATTTTCTAATACAAAATCTACTGCGATAAAATCAAACTACTACAAGCCATAATGTATATAGGACTCTATATAACATCTACAAATACTGGGAACCTAACAAAAGGAGTCTATCAATCAATGTATCTACTAAAAATGAAAACAAAGGAAATAAAATAAAATATAATATAATATAATATAATAAAATAAAACAACCAACCACTACCATACTACCGTATCCATATCATAATTATAAGTTTATAGAGCATAAAAGATTAATACTGCAGATCCTATAACAATCAATGTTAAGAAAAGAAGTTTAAGTATAAATCCCATTAAATATTCTCTTTTACCTCCTGCACTTATAATTAATTGCTTTTCAATATCAATATCATCAATAAGTTTGACTTTACCATACTTATTATATATTGAAGGACGGAAATGTTTATAATAAGGATTTGCATCTTGTTTAATGATATTGTTTAATGTGACGGAATTAGTTGATTCTACAGATGCTATTGAATTAATAGAATTAGAATGATTTCTAGATGTATCTGGTATATTCGATAATTCCATATCATTTTGTGGTTGATTTTGAGCTGATATAGATGGAAATAGTGATGATGATACTGATCTGGTTCTGTTTACTGATGGTTTAATAGTGACTGGAATGACTGATGATACTACAGATGGGTGTAATGATAATGTAGTATTCCTCCTTCCATGAGGGTGTTGATTAATTCCAGGACCATTTAAAATTATATTTGATGTAGATATATTTTTATGGATGGTAGGAAACGTACTTAGTCCTATATTAGGATTATTATTATTATTAGAATGATTTATGTTATTATTGGTATGATTATCTAGGATCGTGGGGATCTCATCATTTGGCCCTATACTATCATTAGAATTTGAGTTATTATTCGTATTATCTTGCATAGTGAAGATTTATATAATGTTTGTTGTTATTATTGTTATTATTGTTATTTGACTATAATTTAATTAAGTGCGTATGTAAACGATATTTATTTATGAAATGTAACAGTTACGAATATAAAGAAATACCGAAGTATCAAATATCTGAAAAGAAAACCGTTGTCAAAGGAATTAAACTATAAATTTTTATATAAACTAATGGTACATTATTTCTATTTATATTTAAGTGACTAGTTAATTAATGTGCCAGTGGGGTGTTAGGGAGCAAGTGGGGAGAGATTAGACAAAAAAAAGTTTATCTGAAATTAAGCTTAATTATGGTAATTAAGAGGTTCGCTTAAAATTTTTGTTGGTTAGTAGATACACATCCTTACAGGCGTACGGATGTGGGAGTAAATTGTAAATATGTTCCCAAATAGCTTTACTTAGGCAGCTTGAAACGGACTTATTTTCCAAATTAATGGTAAAGAATGAGGTGTTAGCCTTCCCATGCTTGTAATTTATATTGTAAGATTTTGTGTGCCGTGAGGCGTATTCCATGATTATTAATTTTAATTTATTAATTACTTGTCTATCTCATGACACCGAGTTTCAAATTACTTAAATGTAGACAGATACATAGTGACATATCACCAGGTGTAATCATTTGGTTTATTGACATATATTCATCGGTTTCAGCTTCACATGAACTGCTAAGGCATTTTTCTGCTTATTTGGGGGATCTCAAACAAATGGAAAACTGTTCTGAAATCTCGGATGCAAAATTTTACACTATAATTCATATACTATTTATTTTACTACTCTTATAGAAGCTACAGCCCATTAAAAGTTATCTTACTCTAGTGCTTGTATATTTTACTTTAGAAGCATTCCAAATAGTTTGAGTTTTGCATCCATCTGGCATATTCGTATAAATGATGGCTAATAAATAACCAAATGAGCCTAATTATTATAGCAAACTCTACCAGGAACATCTTCAAATTCTGGAGTATTATATGTCTAGCATTAAATATCTATTGAATGTTTTAAGCAATATTAGCAAAATTTGACATTGTCTTTCCAAAAAAGTATGGCAAACACTCTATAATGATACAATACCCAACAAATGTTTGAAACTCTTTCTACAATCAACTAATTTCGTTATAATAGCCTATTATACTTCTATACAATTACATAAATAATTTGTCCAATAGTTCTATATTTATACGAACATAAAGGGAACTCTTCCAATAATTGGAACCCTTCCTGCACAAGATGGTTGGTGAGCCCACTCAGTCGAAAATTTCAATGTTCAGGGTGCGTGTCAAACCCAAACTTAGGAGCACTTTGGAGATATCTTTCATACAGCGAATCAATGAAAAACCGAAGCCAACCTTGATAAGCATCATCTCAGGATTGATCTTATTATTCATTGTCATTTCATTTACTCGTGACTAAAACTTAGCTATGTGGATTATTGATTGGTGTAAGTATTATTTAATCATGATATATTTTATATTAAGTTTTGAATGTGAATTTTGTTCATCGTATAGGCTGAAATCCTTTACGGTACAATACAGCACACAATTAGATATAACTGGATATAAAATATAATTTTGATAATTTAATGAAGATTATCTTTTTACTAACAAAATATTACTATTTTAGTCCAAGATGTTTTATCATCTTTAGGATTATGGAATAAACATGCCAAATTGTTATTCTTAGGTTTAGATAATGCCGGTAAGACCACTCTTTTACATATGTTAAAAAATGATAGATTAGCCACTTTACAACCAACTTTACATCCAACATCTGAAGAATTAGCTATAGGATCTGTTAGATTTACAACTTTTGATTTAGGTGGACATCAACAAGCTCGTCGTTTATGGAAAGATTATTTTCCTGAAGTTAATGGTATTGTATTCTTAGTTGATGCTGCTGATCCAGAAAGATTTGCTGAATCAAAGGCTGAATTAGAATCCTTATTTAAAATTGAAGAATTAAGTCATGTTCCATTTTTAATCTTAGGTAATAAGATTGATGTTCCTACTGCTGTTGGAGAAATGGAATTAAAATCTGCTTTAGGTTTATATAATACTACTGGTAAAGATACTGGAAAATTAACTGAAGGTACTAGACCAATTGAAGTTTATATGGTTTCAGTGGTCATGAGATCTGGTTATAGTGAAGGTTTTAAATGGTTATCTCAATACATTTAGTTACTTAAAATGGTTAAACATAGACTGCTTTTACCATGACATATGTAATTTCCCTCTCTCTTTCACTTAATATTTGTTAGATTAATGATGTATTTAATTACGTCATTCTTTATATAAGACCGACTGTTCATAATAACATATTTTAATTATATATTTTTTGTCCAATTAGTACTAATAGTCTAATTAGTACTAGTAGTCTAATTAGTACTAGTTAATATTAATTATTGTATTAATCTTGTAGATTTTGGTTAGATAAAGTCATGTGCGGAGTCACGCGACAATATCGAATATTTTTTTTTCTTTAGAGGCATCGGTAGTTTTTTATTTAATAATGCTTAATAAGACAAGAAGGATATTTACTGCTTAACTTTTGATAATTTACTATAAATAACATATATAAAGTATCATGAGTGGTGAGAATAAGGGAGCTCTTCACCCTGAGCAAAAGAAATGGAAGGCTCCAAAAGGACCAAAACCTGTTCACCATAAAAATAAGAATCTTATAGGATTAGGTAGATCGATTGCAAATCAAAGAAGAATGGAAAATCAAATTGAATTTTTACCAGATGGAGAAATGAGATTTACTACTGATAAAAAGGAAGCTAACTGGGTTAAACTTAGATCAGTTACTCAAGAAAATTCTTTAGATGAATTTTTAAATACTGCTCAATTAGCAGATACTGATTTTACAGCTGAAAAATCTCAACAAGTTAAAATTATTAAAGTAGGTAATACATCTATTGTAAATCAAAATGGATTATTAACTGCAGATGAAATGATTGAAATGCGTAAGAAACATCAATTATTTGAAAATAGATTAACAATTCCTAGAAGACCAAAATGGAGTAAAGAACAATCAAAACTTCAAATTGAAAGACAAGAAAATTTATCATTCTTAGATTGGAGAAGAGATTTAGCTGCTTTAACTGAAAGTAATGATTTATTATTAACACCTTTTGAAAGAAATTTAGAAGTTTGGAGACAATTATGGAGAGTTGTAGAAAGATGTGATCTTGTTGTACAAATTGTTGATGCAAGAAATCCATTATTCTTTCGTTCAGTTGATTTAGAAAAATATGTAAATGATTTAAGTGATCCAGAATCGGGTCATACTAAAAAGAATTTATTATTAGTGAATAAATCTGATTTATTAAATAGAAATCAAAGACTTGCATGGGCCGAATATTTTAAATTAAGAAATATTAACTATGTATTCTTTTCAGCTGCAAAAGCCAATGAATTATTAGAAAAGGAAAAGGAAGAGTTAGAGTATGGAGTGAGTTCTGAACAAGTTGAAGAAGATGAAGATGAAGAAGAAGAAGAAGAAGATGATGATGAAACTAATGAATCTATAAGAATCTTAAAAATTGAAGAATTAGAAGAATTATTCTTAACAGAAGCACCTGAATTTGAACAAAATCCAGATTATCCAGATAGAAAATTACAAATAGGTTTAGTAGGTTATCCAAATGTTGGTAAATCATCAACAATTAATGCATTAGTAGGATCTAAGAAAGTTTCTGTATCAGCAACACCAGGTAAAACAAAACATTTTCAAACTATTAATTTATCTCAAGATGTTGTATTATGTGATTGTCCTGGTTTAGTATTTCCAAATTTTGCTTATACAAATGGTGAATTAGTTTGTAATGGTGTTTTACCAATTGATCAATTAAGAGAACATATTCCACCTGTTGCATTAGTATGTCAAAGAATTCCAAAATATTATCTTGAAGCAGTTTATGGTATACATATTCCAATTCAAAAAATAGAAGATGGTGGTAATGGTGAATATCCAACTGCTCGAGAATTATTAAATGCATATGCAAGAGCCAGAGGTTATATGACTCAAGGGTTTGGATCTGCTGATGAACCTCGTGCTGCAAGATATATTTTAAAGGATTATGTTAATGGTAAATTATTATTTATTAATCCTCCACCTATTGCAATTGATGAAGAAGAATGGGATTTACCAAATTTACAAGACAGTAGAGAATTTAATAAAGATATTTATGGTTTACATAGTTTACCAGAAACTAGACAAAAACAAATATTACAAGCTCTTCATGATAAATCTATACCGATTGATGAATTTGATTTAGCTAATGATTTATCTAAATTAAATTTTTCAATGCATATTGGTGGAATTGAAACTAAAACAGATGATGGAAAGATTGAAGGTGGAGCCAAGACATTATTTTACGGAGGTAAACAAGCTGCATTAGAAAGTGCCGGTGATGATTTAGATCGAGAATTCTTTAAAATGAATGTTGTTGAAGGTAAATTTAATACACCATTTCATAAGAAATCTGCTGAAAGTGGTAATAAGAAGCATAATAAAAAGAATAAGAAACAAGAGAAAAAGATAAGGGTTGTTGGTTATTAGTTCATGTTCATTTATATATATAGCATTCATATAAAATTATAAATTATAAATTACTTAAATCTACAATCGTAATGATATTATTTTCTTTTTAAATCAGAAATTTAATAATATATTAATATTCTAACCTATTAACCTACTAAAATTACAAGAGTAAATTGCTTAGTAAATTCTGAATGATGGACCCATAGTTGATTTAATAACTAAGGAACCAACATTTTGCCAGTTCTTCTTTAATAAAGAAACTAAAAAGTTAGCAGACATCATAATTTGGTTAACTAAGATATCTTCTTCCATTTCAACGTTACCAACAGCGACAGCTAAACATAAAACTTTCTTTAATTGGAACTTAATGGTAGATTTAACATCTTGAACTTTACCATATAAATCATCATTGTGAGAAACTGGAGTTGGGAACTTACCAGCCTTAGATAAAGTTGGACCTAACAATCTTGGGATTTGTTTAATTAAGACTTCAGAAGCAACGAAAGCATTATATTTCTTAGCTAATTTCTTAATTAATTTCTTATTCTTGTTTAATTTTTTCAAGTCATCAACGGACATGGCTTCAGCACCAATAGATTTAGCTCTATCAACATCAAAAGCATCACCAAAAATACAAATGGTCATGTTTGGTCTTGGAACTTGAGGTAATTTTAAAGAACCAGAGAAACGTTTATCTCTTTGAGGATCATAGTTCTTTAAACCGACTTGTAATTCAACGGTTTCTAAGAAGTTTCTCTTTTTGGTTTCGGTAGAGAATTCCAATAATTTCTTAACGTTTTCACGAACGTGGGAACTGGTGATTTTAGACATTACTGCTAATTAAGATCGTCTCCCAAAGGTATTTGGTAAATTAAATTGATTCGACGAGGATAAAGATCAAAAAAGTATATATCAATATAAATAAATTATATTATATTAGAAAAAAAATTTAGTACTGGGCAGAGCTCTGGCAAATGCGCACCGTAAAAAAAAATTTATGAAACTTTTCAGTCACGCGCAAACATTAGGGGGTTAGGGATGGAGCCCTAGAACATAAAACAAAGACATAAACATAAACAAAGACACAAAAATAGATAATGTCTCATTTTAAACTATGAGATGTCGCCCACCATATCTATACGACATTATGCTCGCGTAAATATCATCAATATCATAATCAATATGGGGTGGTTGCAATACGTGTATCAATATATATATATATATATATAATTAAGCTAAGCTCAGGTAGCAAAACATTAAGCTTTTATTTAAGATGTACATATCTAAAGTACTAAGGTATGGGCTTATACTACCTCGAAATCTAGTCCGAAACTTTTCGGGATCTGCTTCATTAGCAGCCAGTAGTGGAATTGTTGAAGATATAAATGATCCACATTACTCCAAACGACAGCAAATACTTGATAATCTGAATTATTGGACTCTTACTGATATTTCTCGTATAGATAAACAGTTTAATATATTTAATAGGAGTGTTCGAAAAGTTCTTGATTTAGGATTTATGCCCGGGAATTGGACAGATTATGCTAAAAAACGACTACTTCAATTTCATGATTTAGATGAAGAACATTTTCATAATAAATGTCATATAGTTGGATTTGATTTATTATATGGAACTCCACCTCCTGGTATATCATCAATTCAAGGTAATATATATTCAAAATTATCTCATGAAAATATTTTAAATCATTTTAAAGAGATTGCCTTACGAGATATTCTTAAAACTGGAATAGTTCGAGAAGATTCTGAGAATTCATATTATTATAAAGAATTAAATGAATCATTACTAGAACATGAAGTTCAATTAATTAATTCATCATTAAATAGAATAAATACTACTTGGGATGATCAAAGTTTAACTAAGAAGAAACAAATTGCTAATAAATTATTAAAAACAATTGATTATAGACCTGATGTTATATTATCTGATTTAGGTAAACCATTTATTCAAGCTGGTGGATTTTATAGTCATACTATTACTAGACCCCATCAAAGAATTGCATCTAATGCTCCAATAAATCGTATATCTGATAAATATAATAAATCAGGAATTGATCTTGCTGATGCTTCATTAATGGTGGTATGTAATACATTAAAACCTCATTCAAAATTCGTTGTAAAAATTAATGGAATTAATATTAATGATCCAGAACTTAATTCTTATAAGAAGAAACTTTATAAAGTTTTTAATGAAGTTAATATGTGGACTCCTAATGAAAGTGCTGAAATATTATACTTTGTAGGTTCTGATAAGAAACATGATAGTAGATACGATGTTAACGAAATATTTTAATTGTACATAGAGACCTCTTTTACTATAGGTAACTTATTTTAAATTGATGTATATGAGAAATAAACTATAAAAATGATTTTTGGAATGAAGGACTCTACTCATCTTTAGAGTCTTCTTCAACAGGTTCTTCTTCTTCTTCAACAGGTTCTTCTTCTTCTTCTTCAACTCCATTCGCCACTGGCTCTTCAGATTCTTCAAGATCAATTAATGGACCATTACCATTCGATTCAATTTGTAAATTAGAAAAATTATCTATCAATCTATCACTTACTGTTTGCTTATTATTGGTAATTAATTTCTTCTTCCATAATTCAACAGTTTCCTGAACTTTTTCATCATTAACAGAATAATTAGCTCCAAAGAATGCAGCTTCAGTATATCTTTCACTTTTAACTAATAATTCTAAAGTTTTTTCTTTATTACCAGTTAACCACCATGCTTGAAATGCTAAATTATATTTCCCCTTTATTTCACATTCTTGAGCTAATTTTTCAAGTTGTTTTTGATTATTTGATGATGATAATAATAATAATAATGATGAATAATCATTAGCTAACCAAAAACAATCTTGTGCAAGTTTTATATTCCATGAAGATAATGCTAAATCTCCAAGTTTTTTCCATTTACTTGAATTACCTAATGAAGTTGAAGGATTTTCAATTTGACTTTTAGAAAGTAAATCATATGCTTGATTTAAATTACCAGTAGTAAGAGAAATTTGAAATTTCGAATCAAAATCTTGTGATAAAGCATATGATAATGTTAAATAACCTAATTTTTCAAAAAATCTTGATAATTGATTTAATTCAGTCTTACTAAAAGTTGAAATTAAATTGGAATATTCTTCAGAAATATTTTCAATTGATACTGATGATAAATCAGGAATTTCTTCTCCTAATTCTTGATCAATAATTTGTTTTGTTGCATATTGTTCAAGATCACCTCTCATAACTAAAGTTTGTAATTCTAATACTTCTGAATTAACATACCATGAAATTACATTAAATGATTTATCAATTAAATATAATTTCCCATCTTGAGCTTTATAACCAATTATATAATATTTATGATCAAAATGTCCTAAATTTATAACTTCACCTCCAACAAAATAATTTAATCTATTAGTTGATGCAGTTGTATAAATAAATACATCTCCAATAAATTTTCCTGATAAAATTGGTTCTGAAGTTGGTAAAGTATATAAAACTTCAAATGATGATTCTGCTCCTTCTTCGGCATCAATTTCTCCTTTATTATAAGATTCTTCAAATAATTCATGATTATAATTTAAAAGATAAGTTTCATCAGTCTTTTTGGATCCTGATGATCCTTCACCTAAACTTGATGAAGTTATAATTGAAACTAATTCTCCATTATCTGACCAAATAACATCTTGAATTTCATCTTCCAAATCAACTCTTCTAACTAATACTCCATGTTCCCAATCATAAAATGATATACAACCTTCCAGTTTAATACCTAATAAAGCTCCAGCAAATAATTTATCAGCTTGATAAATAAGATCAATTGTTAAATATTCTTGAAAATTTTTAAAAATTTTAACCGATAATTGTGATTCTCTAATTGCATAAGATGAATTATTTGATAAATCAGATGTATTCCAGACAAAATCTAATGATTTACCATAAGTTTTTGATCTCCAAGCTAATGATGTATAAATAATATATTCACCATCACCACAAACTGTTGCATATCTACCATTTGGTGAATGAGTTAAAGATTGAGGATATATTTCAATATTACCTAATTCTCTTTGTTGTAAAGATAATTGTTCACCATCTTTTAAACCTTCAGTTGAAGTTGGTTTAATAATTGATTGATAAACTTCAGAATTTTTGGCATAAATAAGTTTATTATTTGAATCCATTGAAAATAATGGTTCTTCATTACCTAATTTAATTATAACAAAACCTGAATCAAATCCACAAGAAATTAAATTTGATTTTGGTAATAAACTTACACACCATACTCTTTCTAAACTATAATTAATTGATTTTTCTAATTTAAAAGTATTTGAATTCCAAAATCTTATAGTTCCATCTTCAGAACCAGAAATAATTAATGGTAATTCTGGATGAAATACTGCAAATGAAACATTAGCTAAATGACCTTCTAATGTTGCTACACAAGATTTTGTTTGATAATCCCAAATTTTTATTGTTTTATCATCAGAACTAGTAATTAAATAAGGTTTATCAGCTTGAGGATAATAATCAACATAATTTACCCCTTTTGCATCATGAGTTACTAAAGTAAAATTTGGTACTGAAGAACCTAAAGACCAAATTTTAACTGTTCTATCTAAACAAGCAGATGCAAAAGTATTAGGATCTTTTGGATTAAAATTAACACTCATAACATAATGTTGATGACCTTCAAATACTTGTTCAACTTTCCAATTATTATCCCAATTCCATAATTTAATTGTTAAATCATCAGAAGATGTTAAAATATAAGGTTTTGTTGGATGAACTGCAACACTTCTAATATAATCAGGATGAGCTTCAAATTGAGTAATCTTTTCTCCAGTATTATAATTATAAACTCTAATTTGATAATCATCAGCTCCAACAACAATCCAATTTTTTCTAGCAATAAATTTCCCAGTTCTAACGGGTAATTCAGTTACTTGAATTGATTTAACTAATGTATTTGTTGCATAAGACCAAATTTCAATTTTCCCATTATATAAAGTAGTTAAAATCCATGGCTCAGTTGGATGAAAATCAATTCCTTTAACTCGATCGGATCGAGTTGAGAATTGTTTAACTACGTCCAATTTCATAATTTAATTTTGTAATTGTTTGGTTATATTTAATGGTACCAAATTGACACGGTTCACAAATCTCAACTGGAGAGATCAATCGTTGTTTTTCTTTGGTGGGATTGAAAAGTGTCGGGGTGTCTTTGAGGAAGCGCACGACTCATTGTTAGATGCTGCAAATTGCAAGAAAAGAGGTACAGTTAACATAGTAATAGTAATAGTTAAGACAGTTAATTCAGTTAATACACAACCATATATAATATCACTTAACTATATAATATCACTTAACTATATAATACCTATACAATATACTATATACACTCAAATCAAAATACCATCCCTACCTTATCTCGTCTATGCTCTCGATACGACTTTTCAAGTCCTTCTAAATTATTAAGGTACTGTATCCATTGAGTATCAAATGTATGATTAGAAAACTTATTCTTAACTAATTCTATCCCATTAGATCGAAGAATTTCAAGATTTGTGTCTGAAATTAATTGAGGTTGATTAACAAATAATTCACTAAATAGTTGACTTAATGAAGGATAACTAATTAATATCGATGAATCATTCCGATCTTGAAATGTTAAATACTCGGTATCTTCCTTGGATTGAATACTAGGTTCAAAATCAGGATCATCATATGATTTAAAAAAGAATCCTGTATTATTACGCCATGCTTCTTCTTTATTCTCATCATTCCATCCAGTAACAATATCTAAATATGGTCCAGCAGATGCATGAACAAGAGGAATAACTCCTCTAGCTAAATATTCAACAACTCCAATACCAAAATGTTCATTCCACATGGCATTAAGACCAAATTTACTAATACTAAGCCAATGTATAACTTCACTATACGGTTGATCAACAACAAATTCAACAAAATTACTTAATTGTAATTGTTCAACTTCAGATTTTAATAATGTTAAAGTACTTGTATCATCTGGTGTACGACAAGATCCAAGGAATACAATAGTGGGAATACTTGAATTAGGCTGAGAAACATTAGGAAAGTTCTTCTTCAAGAATTGACTATACTCCTTTAAAATTAATGAATGACGCTTTTCAGGACGGAATTGTGCAACATATAATAATTTATTTAATCTTGATTGAGGTGGATTAGATTCAGATTCCGATTCAGAACTCAAACTTTCAGTTCCACAAGGAGGATATAATATTTCTAATTGATTTCCAAATGCTCGATTAAATACCCAAATAGATTCTAAATGATTATGAGTCCATGTACCATTAGCTAAAGTTATATCAACTCTTGAACCTAAAAATGCATAGAACCAATATAAAAGTGACCAATAAATTAATTTTCCTAATGCAATATAATCTCGAGGATTTAACCAAGAAAATTGAGTAAATTCCGATAATTTTAATGATTTAAATTTTAACTTATTAAACATTTCTGGTTGAATTATAGGATAATGAACATAAGCTAAAATTGGAATTTTAAGAATAAGACTTACTGGTAAGTAACTACCAGGTAATCCCATAGTATCAATCCATACATCTGGAGATAATTCTTGCATAGCTTCTAAAGCTAAAAGAATTGATCCAATTAATTGTCCAATAAGGGAGAAGTGTTTCCAATAAGCTCCATCAATTAAATTATTAAATCGCCTTAAATATATAAATAAAATTCTTTTGGAATCTAAATTATTAATTTGAAATTTCTTACTAACATTCTCTAATATATTTAATGGTTCAACATCAGTATTTGTAGTATAAATTATAGCAATATTTCTATCATCAGCTAATAAAGTTGCCTTAACAGATTCCCATAATACTCTTTCACCTCCACCACCATTATTAGCATAAGGATGAAAAAATCCATAAAGTAATTTTCGATTAGTATCATTAATATCACGTTTAGACATTTGATTTATAAATTGATTATTTTCATTTTTAGAATCTTCAGGTTGAATCTTTAATTTATTATTAATAAAATTAGTATAAAATGATGGTTGAACACTGGCAAGTACAAGCCTTCTTCTAAAACTTGAACGTTTAGATCCAACTTTAAGATAAATAGGAGTTGGATGATTTAAAACTTTTAATATCTTATCTTTCCAATGTTGAGATGGAATTAAGAAATGATGTGGTAATGCTGTCGTTATGACAAGATATACCAAGTATACAAGTACTAGAACCACTAAAATTAAGTACATTGTTGATTTATTAAAAAACGACTTTTCTAAAGACTCTAGTGGATATATACCTATTTATATATAAGTCTCTAATAAAGTACAATTTCTAAATTAATAGTTAATTGATATCAGTTATTGGTATAGATTACGGAGCTTTCCGTAATTTTTCACTTTGGATAATATACAGGAAAGAGGCCCTACCATACAGGACGAGACCAAAATAGCTAGACATAATAACGACTTAACCCTCTGGTACCATAATTAATGGTAAAAGTATTATTAGTTGTTAAAGGTACTGTTACTAATCAGTTAACTACACTATCTGCCATGAATATCTTTAACGTAAATCTCTTTACTTGTATGTAGTATTAATGAAAGTCATTATGTTCCTTATAGATAAAGTAATCACTCACTAGTAGATATTCAATTGAATACCATTAACAAAACCATTTTCATTTACAACTGTATGATAAACAATAACAATCTAACTTAAACGATCAAATCATTCAATCAGCTAATCAACACGCATAACATCACCATCATTATTAAGTGTTCCTTAATACTCTTTCAGGTGTTGCTTAATACCTGCACAGATGACATATGAATGTAATTAGAATTCCCAATCAGGAAAAATTACCATTTTCATCGAGACAGAAAAAAAATACGCGTGTAATTTATTTAATTAGGAAAAAAATCAATTCAAGTCGAAGACTTTTTACTATAAACCATTTATAGTTAACATCTGACAGTTGTTGAGAGATTTAATTACTGTCACGATATAATTAAGTAATTATAGTTCCAATTAATTATTGGTACATTTATATAAATATACTTGTATCAGTTAGTACTAAATGAATACTTTAAGGGAAAACAATACTTTATCATCATCTCCAGCATCTATGAAAGAAGAAGAAATTAGTGGAACCAATAGTAATAGTAATAATAATAGTAATAATAATAATAATATTCATAATAATAATACTAGTACTATTAATATGTCTACTGCTGCTACAGCTACGTCCAAACCAATTAAACCAAAGACTCCTTTGAAAAAGGAAGAATTAGAAAAGATAGCTCTTGAACTTCGAAAGAAATTATCAAGAGCTTCAATAACTGCTAAAAAATCTTTATCACCTGGGGATATAAGAGATAACTCAAATTCAAATTTAAATTCAAATTCAAATTCAATTTCAAATTCAAATGGTAATCATGATATTTCATCAAATTCTATTATTTCAAATAATAATACTAGTAGTAATAATATAGCTAAATCAAGTCCATTAAAGACCTATATATTAAGAAAACAATTAGCATCATCTCCAATTAACAATAGTGTTACAACGGGATTTTTATCATCTTCACCTAATAATTTATATTCACCATCAGGAAAATCACCAACTCATATTAAAACTCCAGCTGCAATTTATTTATCATCATCTCCATTAAAAAATGTAGCTAATATTTCTAATGAAGAAGATTCTCCAACTAAAAGAAGAAAACATTCACCTTCAAGATCAGGTAATAGATCTCCTCAAATGATTTTGGAAGAGATATCAAGACCAAATACTCCTTCTAGTATTAATAGACCATACCCTGCTGTTTTAAAACCATCACTTGATTTAACCAGTAATAATAATAATAATCATGATGATAATCAAATGAGATTAAAACAACAACAAACTACTCCTACATTACAAAAGAAAGATTTGGCCTTTGTTAACACTCCAAATATTTTATTACAAACTCCAAAACAATCAAGACCATCAACAGTTACTAATGGAAATTATAATGATGATGAAGGGGCCGATCTTTTAATGTATTTGGCTACATCACCATCACCAGCCAAGCCTCATTATTCAAATACTCCACGTACATCTGCTTTATTACAACAACATACACAATTTCAAAATGCTGGGGCTGGTCCTTCATCATCTTTAACTTCAACTTCAACTTCGACTTCTTCAGGTATAATGAAAGTACCTCCACCATCATCAGTATCTTTCATAGTTCCACCTCCACCTGTAACACCCAAGAGACTTCCAAATTCTTTAGGTCATAATTTAGCCAATACTAAGACTCCTCAAAATAGATTAACTCCTTCAGTAAATTTATTTAATGCATCAGCTGGTGGAGCTGGTGGATTACCATCTCAAGGATTAACATTAACCCCTAATGGATTTAATATGAATGATTATGTAAATTTCTTTACTCCATCACCTAATTCTGCTAATTTAGGTAATGCTAATGCTAATGCTGTTAGTAAGAATTTATTAAGAACTCCTGATTTTAATAATTTATTAAATGGTGCTACTCCTCATATAACAGTTGATGGTAGATCAAAAGTTGATGGTAAATTATTAAATTTTAATAAAGTATTATTTAATAATAATGCCTCTAGTCCTCCATCATCCTCGGGTTCCAATACTGCTACGGCTGGTTTACATACAGATGGGTCATCTAAGGATTAATTCCTTCCCAAATCAAAACATTTCTATTTCTTTCAATTTCAATTTCAATTTCAATCATATGATTTCTATTCTACACTAAAAGTAAGGTTGACATTTTGGTACTTGTATGATTTTCCATTCTATTTAGTATTGTATTATTGCATTCTTTTATACTTTATATATCCATAATTCCAGTATGCCTGTTTATACTTCTATTGCATCTTGTTTCCAATATACATTTATATATAGTAATCGCATAACTATGGGTAGATACTATAAATCGGTCTGGTATATATGATAGCCGCATACTCAGTGTCGCACTAACTTTTTTTTTTTCGATGGGTATGAAATGGAAATGTATTACTGGATTACTTTTCAATTATTACTGACAATTACCCAAAGTATCGTAGACTGTATACATATTCGATATGCCTGAAAGTGTCGAGACTAAACTTGACGAGAAAGTCAATGCGCTAAACCTCAAGGAAATTGTTTCTGAGAAGAAACCCGAACCTACTAAGACCGATGTGGTAGGAGGAGAAGATGATGAAGAAGATGAAGATGGAGAAGATGTAGGAGCCAGTGGAACTAGTGATAAGAAAAAGAAGAAGAAGAAGAAGAGTAAAAAGAAGAAGAAGATTACTAGTATTGATTCACTGTATCCAGATGGGATTTTTCCCGAAGGTGAATGGCAAGAATATCCATTAGAAATTAATAGTTATCGTACTACATCAGAAGAATTAAGATATTTAGATAGACAACAAAATAATAAATGGGAAGAATTTAGAAAGGGAGCTGAAATTCATAGAAGAGTTCGTAATAAAGCTCAATCTTCAATTAAACCAGGAATGACAATGACAGAAATTGCTAATTTAATTGAAGATTCAGTTAGAACTTATGCAGCTGCTGATCATACTTTAAAAGCAGGAATTGGATTTCCAACTGGTTTATCATTAAATCATGTAGCTGCTCATTATACTCCAAATAGTGGTGATAAACTTATATTAGGTAAAGATGATTTAATGAAAGTTGATATTGGAGTTCATGTAAATGGTAGAATTTGTGATTCTGCATTTACTATGACTTTTAATGAAGATGGTAAATATGATGCTATAATGAAAGCTGTTAAAGAAGCTACTAATACTGGGATTAAAGAAGCTGGTATAGATGTTAGATTAAATGATATTGGAGCATCAATTCAAGAAGTTATGGAATCTTATGAAATGGAATTAAATGGTAAGACTTATCCAATTAAATGTATTAGGAATTTAAATGGTCATAATATTGGTGATTATATTATTCATTCAGGTAAAACTGTACCTATTGTTCCTAATGGTGATATGACTAAAATGGAAGAAGGTGAAACTTTTGCTATTGAAACTTTTGGATCTACTGGTAATGGATATGTTTTACCTGAAGGTGAATGTTCTCATTATGCAAGAAATGTTGATACTGAACATATTAATCCACCATCTAAAAGTGCAAAAGAATTATTAGACAGAATTAATAGTAATTTTGGTACTTTACCATGGTGTCGTAGATATTTAGAAAGAACAGGTGAAGAGAAATATTTATTTGCATTAAATCAATTGGTTAGAGCAGGAATTGTTGAAGAATATCCACCAATTGTCGATATTAAGGGAAGTTATACTGCTCAATATGAACATACCATTTTATTACATCCTCATAAGAAAGAGGTTGTTACTCGTGGTGATGATTATTAGTTTTTGATTTTTTTGTTTTTGATTTTAGTTGGTTATATCGGTTATGTAAATAAATATACAAATGGAACTATGTATCTTATCAGTAGTAAAATTTAGTTTGTAATTATAGTTTAAACTACTTGCCTAATTTGGGTATGTCGCAGAATAGGTAATTACTGCGTTTGGCAATTTATGTGATTGCGGCCAACAAATGAGCCCTGACCGAGCTTGAATGGGTTTAGTGTTACTGATTGTGTATGATAAGTGAGAGTGATAATTACAGAATGAGTATGGAGTCTATTAAGTCTATTGAGTTAACTGAGTTAACTTTGTACTAATTAATCGAGGGTTAAGTAGAGAGATGTAGACGTATAAAGATGTAGGGAATGCAGCACTGTTAGGCAATGTAGATGTAGCACAGATACAGTAGCGCACACATTCACTGCATTTAGAAGCGAACGGTTAAGTTAAGTTAAGTTAAGCTAAGTTTTAGTTACGATACAATACAATACAATTATACTGATAATGAGGGGAGGTTATTTGTCACATTCTAGCTTATGATAAATCACATTCGTCTCCACTAATTTACTCCTCCACACCGAGTAACTTTTCATAGACTCTAACAATTAGTGACGTTTTCCCCTGGCGCGCTTGTGCCCACTGAAAATTTTAATGAGAATTTCACCATAAAGGGGCTCTGAAATTATATATAGTGAGGGAACGAACGAATATTAAACGAGATTCCTCGCTATTGATAAACTATTACAGGTACAACAATCCTTCAACCACAAGTCAAATTCTAATTTTAGTATTTTCCAATTGTATTATTGATCCACGATCATCAATTGAATTACTAATTCGTTTATATAATAATATTGTTGATAGATCGGTTACGTTTTATTTATCTACAATCTCATCATTCTTCAGTTCTCAAAATCAACTAACCAATCAATAGTTTAATCATGGAAGTATCTCCTGGCGTGTTGGAATTTACCGGCACATTCACTAAACAAACTACTGAATATTTATCATTAAGTAATTCTACTGCCACTCCATTAGCTTTTAAAGTTAAAACAACTGCTCCAAAATTATACTGTGTTAGACCAAATGCTAGTATAATTAATCCTGGTGATAGTCTTAAAATTGCCATTATTTTACAAGGATTTTCTCAACCTTTACCAAAGGATTATAAATGTAAAGATAAATTTTTATTAGTTTCTTTACCATGTCCTCAATTAACTGATGCATCAAAAGTTGGAGAATCTTGGGCATCATTAGAATCAGAATTTAAATCAGAAGTTGTATCTAAGAAATTAAGAGTTGTATATAATGTCACTGATCAAGATGTACCAGAACCATCATCTAATGGTGTTGAAGAAACTCATGAACCAGCTTCTGTAGTTTCTCAACGTAGACCAGTTGAAGAACCAGTTAAGGTTACTCCTAATCATGGAACTAGTAGTGGAGTTGAAGCAGCTGGTGCTGCTGTTGCAGCTGCTGGAATTGCCGCAGCCACTCAATCTCATAAATCACCAGCTCAAGAAGATATTCAAAAGGAATTGAATGATTCAAGAGCTCCAGTTCATAACTTGAATGAAAAATTAGATTCTAATGAAAAATTTGGATCTCAACCTCCACCTCAACCTCAAGGTCAAGGTCAAGGTCAATCTCCAGGTTATGGATATCCACCTCAATCTCCAGGTTATGGATATCCTCCACCATCTCCAGGTTATGGATATCCTCCAGCTCCAGGTTATGGATATCCTCCAGCTCCTGGATATGGATATCCTCCACCAGTTCATCAACAACCACCTCCACCACCCGATGCATATGTTAGAAGATCAAGTTCAGTAACTTCAATTCCGGGTGGAGAAGTTAAGGCCATTAATGCAGAACCAGTTAATGGAATTTCTTTACCAATGGCTGCACTTTTAATGCTTGTAGCTTTCCTTATAGGATGGTTAGTATTTTAAAAATATAATATCTTAAAATAAATTTTTATATAACTATATAGGATTGCTTCTCTTTATTACATAGTATTATTATCTATAACATTACTGTACATTAAAAATTACTACCAGTAAATACTACTAATCTAACTAATCCAACTACTAATACTCCAATTACTCTAAGAGTATCAACTACTCCAATTACTCTAAGTGTATCAACTACTCCAATTACTCTAAGTGTATCAACTACTCTAATTACTCTAAGAGTAGTTAGTATACACTAATTTACTCTAACTAGCAGTCACTAACTTTTCCCCCTTAAGTCGCACTAATTTTTGATTTTTGATCCTTATCACGACTGAGAAAAAGTAAACCTAAAAATTGTAAGCAAACGGAGTTGAAGATGTTTATCAGCAATCAGTAAAAAATCAGCAAACGCAACCAGCAGATGCCCTACAGAATATACTGAATATCTGAGTAAGTAAAAAAATAAAAAGAGATATATTTGTATTTGTTAACATTTTGTAAAGATGGGACGAGCTACTATTAAATCAGGTACCATTAATTTATTAAATACTATTATAGGAGCCGGAATCTTAGCCATGCCCTTTGGATTAAAGAGTAATGGAATAGTATTTGGATGTTTTTTAATTATATGGTCAGCTTTAACATCATCATTTGGATTATATTTACAAAATAAAGTTGCAAAATATACTCAACAACAAGGAGCAGTATCATATTTTAGTCTTGCCCAATTAACTTATCCACAATTATCAATTGTATTTGATTCAGCCATTTCAATTAAATGTTTTGGAGTTGGAGTAAGTTATCTTGTAGTTATTGGAGATTTAATGCCTAAAATAATGGAAAGTATAAATATTCCCCTGGAATCTTGGTTTATGGAAAGAAATTTATGGATAACTATTTTTATGATTGTCCTTGTAATTCCATTATCTTATTTAAAGAAATTAGATTCTTTAAAATATACTTCAGTAGTGGCATTATTTTCAATTCTTTATTTAATTTGTCTTGTAATTGAACATTATATTGTTAATGATATTCCAATTGAAAATAAACATATTGATATAATTGGTCCTGTATCAATAAAAGATACTTTAAAATCTTTTCCCATATTTGTATTTGCTTATACTTGTCATCAAAATATGTTTGCAATAATTAATGAATTAAAACCAAGTGATACTGATGGTTCTCAAACAAGACAATCAAATTTAATTATTAGAAATGCTTTATCAACAGCATGTTTTTCTTATTTATTAGTAGGAATTATTGGTTATTTAAGTTTTGGAACTACAGTTAATGGGAATATTATTACAATGTATCCAAAGAATTCAATTCTGTCATTAATTGGTCGACTTTGTATTGTTGTAATGGTGGCATTTTCATTCCCATTACAATGTCATCCATGTCGTGGATCAATTAATCATGTAATTCATTTTATTACTGTAGGAATTAATACTTCAAAAGTTAGACATCCAAATCAAAGAGATGGTTATTCTTCTTTACAATCAGATATTGAATCATTAAATTCAATATCAACAGAATCAGTTCAAGATGAATCATTTATTTCAACAACTCCAATGGAAGGAGCTCAAGATACTGATGGTCATGATCCAATTATTGTACCATTAACTTCAAAAAGATTCTATATAATTACAACATTTATTGTTGTACTTTCTTATTTAGTTGCAATTACTGTAAAATCTTTAGAACATGTTTTGGCCTTTGTTGGATCAACTGGTTCAACATCAATTTCTTTTATATTACCTGGTTTATTTGGTTATTTATTAATTAAACCACTTAATGGTGCAACTAAATTAACTAAAATTGAATTATTTAGTAAATATGGTGGATTGGTCTTATCTATATGGGGGGTTATAGTAATGGTTGTATGTTTAAGTGCTACATTATTTTTAGGTGCCACTCATTAACAAAAACAATAACAATATAGAAAATTATATATATATTATACTGCTATATGTAAACTTAATAATGAACTAGTAGAGAATAAAATATTATTACCTAGACTATTATTAACTTCTTTTCTAATTAATGTTTCATCAATATCACTAATCAGTCGTTGTAATTTAGCATTAACCATTAATTTGTCACTATAATTAAGTAAATCTTTGAGGGCAATTTGACAAGTAATAATTAATTTAAAATCATTATTAAAACTATAGAATCGAATTTCAAATTTAATAATATTATTATTATTATTATTATCATTATCTTTATCAGATTCTATATATTTAATAGGAAATTTTAGCGATATCTTTTGTACTTGAGATTCAAAATTTCGAAGTGTTTCCCAGTACTTTAAGAATTGTTGAAATTTTTCAATTATTGTATTACCGGGAATTAAATTAACAATTCTTAAAGCATTTGAATTAATTTGTAATAAACTTTGATCATGTACATTCTCTTTCAAAGAGAATTTTATATTTTTAGTATCATTAATATCATTAAAATTAATTTGACAAAGTATACATTGATTAATTTCATATTGAATTAAATTTTGGTTAATTTCACAATATCTTACATTAGTAAAATATTGAATAAAATTAAATTTTTGTTTTAATATATCAATTTCTGATACAGCATATTTTCGATTCTTTCTAATAATTCTTTCATTATGAGATATATTCATTTTAATTTGACGAATTTGTTTATCTAATTCAATTATATTATGATTCATTTGAGTCATTTCTAATTGTTTAGATTCTATATTAATTCTTAATTCCTCTAATTGATTTTTACAAGTTATTAAATCATGTTTAAGATTATTAATTTCCTGTTGAGGCCAGGCTAATAATTGCTGTTTAAGAATCTTTAATGATTGGAATTTCTTTTCAACTATTGAAGATATTTCAATTACTGTTTGAAATAATACATGGGATTGTTTAATATCTTCATCAAGTTTTTCTTTATCATCAATTAATTTTTGTTTCTTATTATCTAATTCAGTAATTAAATTCTTAGTTAATTGAGTTCTCCAATCATACCAAGTCTTTTTAGATTGAAATCTGGTATAATCTTTAATTAATTGAAGTCTAACATTCATTAGTAATCTTTCATTATTATTAGATGCATAATATTCTTTAAATAATATAGGATTATTAATTTCAATTGTTTTAGAATATTCACTATACATATTTCTTCCATCTCTTATATTATTACTTAATTCATCACAACTAAATTGATATAAAGCAAGTAATTCTAATTTTGGTAGACCATTAATATAATCAATTAATTTATTACTATCTTCTCCAAATTCTGTAGTAGTGGTTATACTTAATCTATCTATAGCTTCAACATCTATATCTAAATCATCATAAAATTTAACTCCAATATCATCAAGAAATGTTGTAAGGGTTACATCTGTATAATTTTCATCAATTGGACTTGGTTCTCTAATAGAAGTATCAGCTAATGGAACTTTAGTTGTACTTATAAGTTTTTCAGATATACTTGCAACTGATGAATTTGGATCATCATTAGAAGTAGAAGTAGAAGTAGAAGTAGAAGTAGAAGTAGAAGTTATTGTAGTTGAAACTTGAGTCATTTCCATGGGTTGACTTTGTTGAATATCTTCATCATTGACAGTGTCAATCTCATTAATTTTACTTGAAACTTGAGTTAATTCCATAGGTTGAGTATTATCCACTTCATCTATAATCTTTGCTACTACTTGAGTTACATCCATAGTGATTTCTTCTTCTTCAATAGTTTGAGAATTGGAAGAAATTGTACTGGATTGAGATGCTTCCAGTTCTTCTATTCGCGTAATATTACCAGCTATTAAACTTGCATCACTAGGTTCTTGTGAGCTTTCAATACTAGCTTCTCGAATTATTTCTAATGAAGGAACAGGTATTGATTTAACTACTACCAGAGTTACATCCATAGTCATTTCCATAGTATGTTCTTCTTCAATTTCTTGAGAAGTTCGGGTTCTTATTGGTACTTGAATTTGAGGTCCAGTCAATTCCATATCGATATTTTCTGATTTATCATTATCATTATCTTCATCAGAGTCTGTATCTAGATCTCCAGAAACAGGCATTACTTGTATGTTGTTGGTTACTATTTGTCCTGTCAATTCCATCGTTTGTTCCTCTTCTTCTTCTTCCTCTTCCTCTTCTTCTTGTCTTTGTTCTTCTCCAGCACTATCCAACAGAGAATCATCAGAACTATCTTCAAGTACTTCTAACCCATTCATATCAATTTCTTCAGAAATCACCTTAACAGGACTCTCTAATTCCTGAGAATGAGGTATAGACCCAGAAATAGTCTTTCTTCTTTTACTACTACCATTATTTGAAGTAGGTATAAAATCAAATTTATGTAAGGTAACTTCTGGAGCAAACAGTACACGACGCTTATCATTTAAAATCGGTAAAGTATTATCTCTTAGTATACTTTTAGATGGGTTCTTCAATGTGGGAGAGAATGGTCCCATATTTTCCTTATTAGGGCTGTCCATTAGTTGTGGTGGTGGTGTGTTAGTGACTAGTGTAGTGTATAGTTTATAACTTTGAAATTGTAAACAAACAATGTCGCGTAGATGAGGTGGGGAAGCCGCACCATATTAAGACATAACTCATACATAACATACAACATACTCTACCTGTCATGCACACGACCTATTTGCCTATATGTTGCAAATATGTAACAGATATGTTCTAATAACATATCAACTACGGCATTTTAGCAGCCCTTATCCTTATCTCTGAGTTGCCTACAACATTATCACTTCCTAAATTACTATATATTTATACATTTCCTCTACTTTTATGCTTGCATCTCCTATTGTTTTCTTAGATGCTAGTTTTATCTGACTACATAAACTATACTTAGTACTTATACACTACCATATTAGATAATCGAGCTAGATATCATGAATCAAATTTACATGGATTAATTCATCAACCACCTACTTATGATGTACCATTTATATTTCAAAATCAAGGAGGTATGCCTGAATTTGAAGATGTAGCTGATGGATTAATTTCAGGAGTATCGGAAAGTCCTGGTACTGGTACTGGTACTAGTACTAGTACTAGTACTGGTACTGAAACTCCAGCTTATTCCTTAATGACTCCTTCTGAATCTTTAAGTACAAGTAATGGATCTTCAACTACTTTAACTGGTAATCAAAGAGTTTTAAGTCCTGAAAATTTGGCAGGTTCAGTATCTCCACCTCAACCGAAAGAATCATCTTCACTTTCACTTTCACCTTCACCTTCTATAAATCCAAAATTCTTAATTCCACCTAATGTTATTGATAGAATCAACAATCAAGTGAAAGTATCATCTCCATTAGCAGGAACAACGACTTCTACTACTACAACAATATCTCCAGAAGTAGCAACTTCCACTGTTATCACTAGAAGGAAGGCTCATGGTTTAAGAGAAAATATATTCAATAATCATTACAAGAAAGATCCCGTTTATTCTCCATTCCCAACTGCTATTCATCACGATAATGATAAAGAGCAATTGGTTAAGGCTACCACTCAGAAACAGAATGAAAATAGACCCACCTTCTATAGATCGAATTCGATCACAGTGGGGTTATTACAACATCAAAGAACTGATACGGGAGAAGCAGAATAGTATGTAAGATTTATATTTATATTTCTATTTATATTTCTATTACTATTTCTATTTCTATGGTGCTGATGGTTCCAATTGGGACCAGTAGTTAGTAAATAAAATTAAATTACCTTTACCATGAAGTAAAGAAGTAATCAAGTAAAGAAGTAATCAAGTGCGATTTGTGTATTTTACATACTAATAGATTTTATTGAGAGGGACAGGCAGAATATAAGACAAAGTATCTAATTTTATATAAGCAGAATGTCTATTACTTTGATATAAACTGAGGAATATGTTTGAGCGTCAAAGGCTGCAAATTTTATTTTTTCTTTGCAACTTCCTGGATTTTCTTGCAGTTATATACCTCTCTTAAACTGTGCACGCATTATGCTACACACCTCTGACATCCATGTACAATCCGGATTATAAGGGTATATAAATGTGGGTTTTATCTCCCTACTTATACTTATACCCCTAGTTTTACATCCATCAGTTCAAATTATCCCTATTGATTCATTAAAACATCAATTATGAAGCTATCTAGTATAATCAACTTCAAAGATGCAAAGGCTGTCTTATTAAATCTAAAGGATGGAGCAATGATAAAACCCTTCCAGATCAGTCGACAATGTATGCCTCAGTATCAACAACTTCGACAGGAATTGAATACTTACTTGGAGAATCCAAATCAAGAAGAGATTAATCAGATGTTCAAGCTGTGGAATCTTATTGATATTGTTCAGGATCGTCATCTTGACCAGTCAAATGTCTTGATTCTTCTCTTACGTCTCTATAACTTTCACTTGATGCTGCCATTCGAAATCGAAGTTGATCCAAACTTGTATAAAGTAATTGAGAAATTTAACATTAATTTTATTTCTAGAATTTGGGTAAAGGATTCAGATTCAGATCTAAAAAATTTCTTATCTGATTATTTTAGATTCACTACAATTTTGAACGTACGAGTAGTTAAACCAGAACCAGAAGTCCTAAATAATAGTTCTAAAGCACATGCTCCTTCTTCAAATTCAACTACAAGAACAAACGAAAGTCGTAATCATTCACTTAAGAATATCATGGGTTGTTTGTATCCATCAACCAATAAACCTGAAAAGTTTAAGATGTCAGAATCGATTTTTAGATTCACTAAGAAACAAATATCAAGTACCGGAAGTTTATTCACCCCTCAATTTAGTCTGATTGCTGATTCTGAAGCTGACATTGAACGAGCATTCGACAAGAATGTTTTAATTCCAGTCTCCAACTTGCTATCAGCTATATATGGCGAAAGAGTCTCTGTAAATCCAAAAATAAGATTTGAGAAACAAATCAACTCCGTACCAGTTCATGTAATACCAGACTTCGCCGTCACTTTCCAACAACTTAATATACCTATTGAGATAAAAAAAAAGGAAGTACTTCTGAACCTTGAAGAATTTAATGCTCGGGATATTATGCAACCAAAAAATTCTAACCTAATTGAGATGTTCTCTCAATTAATACGAGAATCAATCCTAGCTGGGTGTCCATTTGTGTTGTTATCTGATTATCATTGTACACTTTTCATTGATTTAGAACAATGCAAAGTTGGAAAGTATGTTGGTCTTAACTTTTGTAAAATTCTACGTGAAGTTAATTGCAGAATCATATCATTGAATGATGATGATGATGGGAATGGTGGTTATACTTTAAATACGAAAGTTATAATGTTCATGATGCATGCATGGGCTAAAAGAAATAAATGGAAACCTATAATGAAGAAGTTTGAAAAAAAGTTGTTAATTCAACCGAATATTCGTTCTTCTCTCATGGCCCTGTTTTATGCATCAATCAACGAATGCAACGACTTCTTGAGGAAGAAGATGAATAAAGGTGAAGATGATCCTGCCCATACTGACTCATCCTTCCTATCTGACACATCAATAATAGAAAATCCTGATCTTCAAGCAGATGATCAGGTATTTCTGCAGTATTATATAAGATGTTTAAACAATTTATATAAAAAACGGAAATACAATGGTAAAAGAAAGACGACCAAATGGAAGAACTTCACTTTACATAATTTTCAAAAAGAATACAAATTGCTAGAAATAGTTTCAGGTGACAGAATAAATAGCCGTGTTAGTATTACATTTATTGTTGAAAGAAATAAGGATAAAAGGAAATTCTTCCTTAAATTATTGGATCCCATTCGGTCCTCAATATTTACTACCAAATCAAGTGTTTTAGAGGGTTCTTATAAGAGAACCTTCGATATCTTTGTAAATGAGGTGAGCTCATATTTAAGATTGAAGAATCTTAAAAACGGCATTCCTCAGTTGCATTATTTCGGTTTTTTTAATAACTCGGGAAGTGTTAATTTCACAGAATTTTTAACACTTAAAGATAGGAAAACTTTAAATCCTAATATTAATTTAGCCGGATTTTTCTTACTCACAGAGTACATTATTGGTGTTGCAGTTAATCAAATTTCACAACCAGAAAGAGAGAAGATTTATCCAAAAGCCAAAAATATTCTTAATGAAATCAATAAATATGGAGTATTTCATCTCGATATTCATGAAGAGAATATAATAATTACGAAAAAGAAAGGTTCAAAAGAAATGGTTCCTGTATTTGTAGATTTCGGAAAGACAAAATTGGCTGAAGAAAGAAAAAGGTGGAAGGAGAGCGACAGTAAAATGTCAACAATTGCAGAAGATGAAGATGAAGATGAAGATTATGAAGAAGAAGAACATAAAGATTATGAAGGTGATGAAGGTGAAGATTATGAAGAAGGTGATATTGATAAAGATAAAAAATATAAAATGGAGACTCATAAAGCTTTAAGACGTACTTTTGGTGTAGGATTCAATTATCCAAAAGTGAATGAATTGAAATCTAAACTAATGCATTCAGAATTTGATGATTTTGGCAGAAATAAAAAACGAAAATTATAGGATGAGTATTTTATAAGAATTTTGCTAACATATTGCTAATAAAAATACAATTGGTATTACTTTCACATTGGGCCGGGCATATTACAATAGTCTGCAACTCGTGGCTGTGGTACCTCAAGCAGTGTTGCAGGAATTAAAGCAAATGGCTCAATCGCCTTCATCAGAAGTGCTTAAGAAGTCAGCTGAATCCCATAACCATAGTCTTATTGATACTAACCAATTGGAACTGTTGAAGGAACCGCTTGAACAGAGAGCTTCAAAGGAAGGGAAGGTTATCGTTGATGGTTCTGAGTATCAAGCCATTACTGAACGAGCTGCTAACCCGTCTAAAGAACATTTACAACTGAAGGCTCAAGCCTTAGGTCTTGCCTTAATTGGAGCATCTGAATTGAAGGAGCTTAGTCAACCCTTGGAAGCTAAAGCTACTAAGGAGAATAAAATATTGATTACTCATGATGATCATAAGGCCCTTGTGAATCCAAGCATTGAACGGATCAGTGAATTGGCGTCGGAACACCATAAAGTAGTCGTTGATCAATCGAGTTATAGTGAATTGTTAGAGTCTAGTAAAGTACCACTTGAAGAAAGAGCAGCTAAAGATAATAAGATCTTGATGGATGTTGAAGAAGTACAACTATTAAGACAACCTACGATTGAAACGTTAGAGGCACATGCTGGTCAATTGAATCATGTGATTATACCCAAGGATACTTTGAAAGAATTAAACAGTAAAGCTGAAGAATCTCTTGAAGTAAGAGCCGAACAAGCCGGAGTTAAATTATTGAGTGATAAACAATATGATGAATTACTCATTAAGGCCAATAAGCCCAGTCTTGAAGAAATCAAACAACGAGCTAAAAGTGCTGACCATGTGGTAGTACCACTTGAAGAATATAATGAACTTCAAGTATCGCTTGAAGAAAGAGCTCGACAACAGGGGAAAGTAGTTGTAGAAGAATCAGAATTCCAACATCTTAAAGATATAGAAACTATACAACAACGATATGAGAATCTGGAAGAATTTACCTTTGCAGATGCTGAAGATTCATTTGTTTTGGATTACATGATCAATTGGTATGTAATGAAAGTATAAGAGATATATTAAGAGATGAAGATGGAGAACATGACTACTATATTAAATACGCTACTATATTACATACACTATCTTTCACATAACTCTATCTACTTAATTAATTAACTCTATACTTAACCTATTTCTTCTCATATTAAGTAAATCATCTCTCTCACTATCTCCATAATCTTCTAAATCAAATTCATCTACATTGATTATTTCATTAAGTTCAGTTTCAAGACTCAGAAATTGCGAATCAATCATTTCAGCTATAATAAATCTATCAATAAATCCACACATAACTTGAGGATTATTACTATCCATTATTACTGAATAATTTGTATGAAGTTTTTCAAATGTTTCCATTAATAATATTGATGTAGTTAATTCATTAAATATAATTATCGATTTTTCAACTTCTAATTCAATTTGAATCATAGTTGAAGATATTGATCTTTCATAATGTAATTGTTGTGATAATGCTATAGTTGGTAAATCATTAATTTGAAAACTAATATAAGCATTAATATCTTCAATTGTTGATAATTTATTATATAATTCAGGTTTATTAACATAACCTAAATAAACTGGATATCCATAACTAAGAATTACTGGATATCCTTCATGAACATCACTATTAGCAAATTCATATAAAGAATTTACTGTATAATAATCTTCAGGAATTAAACAAATACATTTGGTTTTTTGAATAGGTATCATAAATGATTTAATTGAAACATCAGGTAATTTATTTTTAACAAAAGTTGTTAATCCACTAAAATTAACTAATCCTGGTCCTTTACCTTCATTTGGGGGTAATTTACCTCCTTCATTAGAATTATATTCTTTATTAATGGTAAGTTTCATTAATGAATCATAAATATTATCATTAGTTAACCAATCATTAATAAATTTCAGTACCATAACTGCTAACATTATTGGTAATACATAACTTACAGCTCCAGTTAATTCAAAAATTATTACTACAACACTCATAGTAAATTTAGTTATACCTGACATAAATGCTGCTGCTCCAATAACAGCATATGAAGATGGTGAAACTATACATGATTTTTCTGTACAAGTAGCTAATGAATCCCAATTAAATTTATTTTGTAATGCTTGAGATATTATACCTAATAATCTACCAGTAGTTGCTCCTAATACTAATGAAGGAGTTAAAATACCTCCTGGTAATTCTGTACCAAAGGTATAACAAGATAAAATAAATCCCAGAATTAATATATAAGTTAATTTCCCAATAGTTACTAAATTTGATGTTTGACATAAGAAATTATTTGATGAAGAATCAGTTTGACAAGCAGTAAATAACAGTTTTAAATAAGCATTAAGAGGTAATTTAGTTAATTCAAATGGGAAACTTAATATACTAGTAATAATTACTATCATTAAAATTTCTAAATATGGACCTCTTAAAGGATTAATTCCAAATAAATGACATAAACCAAATTGAAATTTTTTTCTAAATGAACTGGTAATAAATTTAGCATTTAAATTTGTAAATAAATATCCATAAACACCTCCAAGTACTCCTAAGAATAAAAATGGAGGGATTTCCATAAATAACCAACTAAAATTTCCAAATTCAACGGGGAATAAATCTTGTTCAACAAAATTAGTTCCTTCAGTAAATATTTTAAAACCAGTTACAACAATAACTGCAATTGTTGCATTAACAAATGAATTCCACATTATTTTTGTTGGCATAAAAAATGATGGCATACTTTCTAAAACAAATAATACTCCACCAATTGGAGCATTAAATGCTACTGATACACCTGTTGCAGTAGCAGCAGTTAATAATTCTCTTCTAACTGCTTCATTTTCATATTGATTTCTAAATGCAAATCCAAATAATATATTTAAAACACAACATGATACATGAATTAATGGACCTTCTTTACCTAACCATAAACCTGAACTTACAACTAATATTAATCCGAAAGTTTTATAAATTAAAGTTCTTAACCCTAAATAATTATCAATATTAAAATTAAATCCTGATATAATTAATTTTATTTCAGGAATTCCTGATTGTTTAATTAATGGAGCTTTAACAATTGTTATATAAGCAGCAATAAATGACCAAATTAATGCAAATATAATATAAATTGGGAAATTTATAAATATATTGGTAATTGAATTAGTTGAATTAAATAATATTCTAGACCAATTATACCAATCATCAATTGGACAAGTTCTATAAGGATTTAATAAAGACCATTTATCAATTTTACTAAAACAAAGACCTTTCTTTAAATCATTTAACCAAACTGATGAAAGATCAATTAATGTTGCAAGATAACCTATAAGTATAGCCAGTACAGTTACAACTATCCATTTTTTAGATAAAAAACTTGAATTATTCGGTATTAATAAAGTTTCTCGACTCCAATCTATATAAGTATTATTTTCATAATGTTTTCTAATATTTAAATTATGATTATTTGTCTTTAAATTAGATGTATTTGTATTTAATGATTTATAAATTAATTTAGGTATATCATCTTCTACAGTATATATAACTTTTGAACCTTGAGATGAATTAAACAGTTCCATTCCAACTATAGTTATTCACTATAAAGTAATTAAAAATATTTCTAATTGAAATGCAATCTATATTAGTTTTCTTACTATGTAATTATACTTTACTATACATAGCCGATATTGGAATTTATTTTACAGCTTATACCTTCGAAGATTATTTGCAGATTGGAGTTTATCTACTATTAGTTATTTTACAGGTTAGCTTCCACAAAACTTTTACAAGTTAACTCGGTAAGGTCAAATTTTTGTTTAGGATCAAAGAAGCTCAGTACTGAGTAGTAGTTAGTAAATAACATACTTTTAGAACCAGTAGAATTGAACAGGAATCCGTATTTTTGGCATTGTACACGGAGGGAAATTGTTGTATATAAAAAATAAATAAATAAAAAATTTTGAAATAGAATTACAACTATAAAAACAATGTCATTTTTATCAAATACATCATCAGCAGCTACTACTTCAAGTGCATCAACTGGTAAAGAACTTATTAATGATATAACTATTAATAATGGACCAGAAGATTCTATAAGTGATTTATCATTTTCTACAAAACATGATTTATTAGCAGTAGCAAGTTGGGATAAAAAAGTTCGAATTTATGAAATAGATCCAAATTCAGGTAATAATCAAGGACGAGCAATATTTGAACATGAAGCACCAGTATTTTCTGCAAGATGGTCAACTGATGGTACAAAAGTTGTTAGTGGAGGAGCTGACAAACAAGTTAAAATATTTGATTTACAAACTCAACAATCTCAACAAATTGGAATTCATGAAGCTCCTGTAAAAGCTGTTAGATATGTTGAATGTGGTCCAAGTAATACTCAAGCTGTTGCATCTGGTTCATGGGATAAAACTTTAAAATATTGGGATATGAGATCTCCTCAACCAATAGCAACTATTCAATTACCTGAAAGAGTTTATGCAATGGATTCAAGTCAAAAATTATTAGTAATTGGATGTGCTGAAAAACATATAACTGTTATTGATTTAAATAATCCTCAACAAATATTTAAAAATAGTCAATCACCATTAAAATGGCAAACAAGAACTATAGCATGTTATCCTCAAGGAAATGGATTTGCAATTGGATCTATAGAAGGTAGATGTGGAATTCAATATGTTAATGATAGTGAACAAACTAAATTTGGATTTGCATTTAAATGTCATAGAATTGGAGGTACAACAACAAGTTCTGCATTAAGATCAAGTGCTAGTACAACATCACAAGCATATCCTGTAAATTCAATATCATTTCATCCAACTTATGGAACTTTTAGTACAGCTGGTTCTGATGGAACTTTTAGTTTTTGGGATAAAGATGCAAGACAAAAATTAAAGGCATTTCCAAATTTAAATTGTACAGTATCTGCCACAGCATTTAATGCTACTGGAAGTATATTTGCTTATGCTATGAGTTATGATTGGTCTCAAGGATATATGGCTAATAGACCTGATTATCCTCATATAGTAAAATTACATGCTACAAAAGATGAAGAGATTAAACAGAAGAAGAAACGATAGATAGACTTTGTAGTATAAAATAAGTATACCATACTATATACTAAGTATTGTATATATACTATATATAGTTTAGTATAGTAGTATAGTAGTATAGTAGCATAGTAAACAGATGTATAGTAGATAAAGTATGTACTTACCAAATCGGGTAGTGTCTAACTGTCAAATGAAAAAGTGACAAATGCCATGGAAAAAAAAAAGAAAGAAAAAAAGAAACAAATATGGTGTGGGACCCTTTTCAACAGGACCTTAAATACTAGTATAGCCCAAATAATTATAGCTAGCAATAGTGGGATAGAAGTTTACATAGCTAGGAGTTGTCAGCTGTGTGTAACATTAAAATTTATTTATTCATTTTTCATTATTTTTCATTTCTCGGGATTATTGTAGCATTTAGGGGAGAGTTTTTCAGGTGTTTAAAAGCAAAGTAGTTAAAATTCATATAACTAGTTTTCATTTCTTTTAGTCATGTCCGATAATAATATTAATATTATTCCTTTAAGGAAAATCATTAGTGAACCATTTGTTAACCAAATGGATTTAATTAATAAAGCAACAGTTGAAGCTCGTAATCAACCTTCTTCTCCATATATTAATAATAATATGTATGGAAAAAATAAGAGAAGAGGTCAACAAGGTCAACAAGGTGGTATTATTGCAACTAATTTTCTTCAACAATATCAACAATATTATAATATGAAGAATGAATCCATGTATGGTCAACAATATCAACAACCGCAAATGAAATCTCAAGTAACTGTTCCAGTTTCTACTTATTCATCACCTGCTATGCCAATTAGTTCTTATTCAGATTTAGATTTCACTCCAAGAAAGGAATCGATTTCAACATCAACTACAACTACAGTTACAACAACAAGAACACCATCGATTCCTTCTATATTTGGTCCAGAATCTTCAACTACGGCATCTACATACAAATCTTCTTCATGGAATTCTGGTTTATTCGATCCTTTCGAACCAGTTGAACTTAAAACTTCAACTATCAACAATAGCATTTTAGGATCTACTTCTAATTCAACAACACCCAATACTGCTACAGTCAGTAATATTTGGGGTCCTGAACCATCAGGTTCTAGGATATTCAACAATACGGTTTGGGCTTAGATGGTTAATGGAGCTTTTTTATTCGTATGTTATCATTTATTTATTCATTTAATTAAGTTGCGTTTATTTGTTTTATATTTTAATTTTAATTTTAATTTTGGTGGGTTCAATAACAAGTTGGTCATATGATTAATCTTTATGAAGTTTAATCAGGGAGTCAATAAATTGAGATGGTGTCAGTTTAATGGTTATGGCTTTAGAGAAATGTTAATGTTTAGTCTTATAATACTCTAAGTGAGAGGTATTTTGTCATATTATGGAAGTAAAAAGAAAAGAAAAGAAAAGAAAAGAAAATGGTAACAGTTACTGTGATTTTAAAAGTATTAATTTAGTTTCAATGCTATTCTATTTGTAAGTTTAATTTCTAATTGTTTTAATTTATGTTTGAGACTTTAAGTTCTATACAGCGAGTAAATGTACCAAAGAATATTTTAATTATATTACTATTATTCTGCTAAATTAAATTTATTTCTCTAAGATTTTTGCAAAATTGCACTAAAATTAGAAAACATTTAGAAAATTACAGTTAAAATTACAATCATTATTTGTTGGTAATTTACTCTTTTCTCTAACACTGTAGTTACTTACCAGTACATGCAATACCAGTAACAACAACTCAAGTTGATCACCGTAAGTAGTAGCAACTTATACGTAGTAATTGGGTTTAAATCATTTGCCAACCTCCATGCCGCAAATCATTTTTGTGTTAACTTATGAGATAAGGATAACTTTGAAATAGTGTTTAGGAGACGGACAGAAAGTCACAAACGGATAATATAGGAGCGTATCATAACCTACGAAATAGGAAATAGGAAATGGGAAATGGGACGTAGTATTGTAAGAGGAGAAAACTGATAAAGATTACAATTAAATAGTAAACAACCACCCCCTCTTTCCTTTACATAGTAGCAAATAAATGGAATTGATGGTAATAGTAAGCGATACAATTGATTTTAGTTATATTAACATTAATTAGTACTAGTTATACAATTAATTTAATACTAATAAAATTAATTGGAGTTAAAATGTGATACAAATTACAATTAGTTATAGGCTTAAAAAATGAGCATGGAACATTAAATAGTGAGCATTAAACAGTAAGCATTAAGCATAAATTAATTATAGAGATGAGAAAATTATCAATTAGTATACACAATTACACAATGGTGAATATACATATAATTTAGTAAACGGTTAAGTCATCGCTTAACATTAGTTGAGTTACGCGTGGGAGTAAAAGAGATTGTGGTTGTTAAGTATGGGATAGGTGTAAAGAAATTCGATGATATAAAAAATGCGAACAAAAACGCCGTAGAATTTTGGTAATAAGCGAAATCAGGTAATAATAATAATAATATATTTACTGACAATTAAATGTAATAGTGAAGATCTGTAGAAGACAATTATTGAATTAGGGGGGTTATAAGAAATAGATTAATCCCCACTAGTAACAGAATTTATGTTTAGTTACGATTAACTGATTAAACACGAGACTTAGTGAGACAATAGAAAACATTTGTCACCCCTCAGTGACTTTCCGTAACTGTAAATAGTATCAACGGAAGATTTTATCAGAATTAGGTTAATGACCAATTTGTTGTATAGAATACTATGATTTATTCTGTGATAGGTAGTGTTACTATTGCTACTAATACTTTTACTAAATAGTCAATAATGTATTACTCTTCACTCTCCCTATCCATAGACACATTATTTTTTGCACACTACAATTTCAAAGATCCACTAATTTCACGTTATTTCATACACTCTACTTTATTATCTCATCGATACCAACTAAAACTAACTAACTAACTAACTAACTAACTAATTTACTAATTTACTAATTAACTAATTAACTCCAATAAATATTACTTACATCATTGTCATCATTATTATAGTGACATTAATAAAAATACTTAGACATTAAACATTTAACTAATTAATTTCAATTCACTACATCCAACTACTTAATCCAGACAATTTGTCACTGTCTGATTAAATCCCCTAACTAAACTACCAGTAAATTGTCGGAGTCTCTCACTCTCTCACTCTCTCACTCCCCCCACATGCAGGACTGTCTCTCTCTCTAGAGGCAAAAATTTCTTTTATCATTTTTTCCCTATATCGAAATTAACTAAGCCAAACTCAAACCACCAACGAAAACATCCACTTAACCCTCTATAATTACTATTCCAATAGTTTTATATACTGTTAGTGGTAATTAAGACAATTCATATCCCATTCGATAAATCACTCAAACTTTTAATTAAATTTTTTTGTCATTTTATACCGATATTTATCATTATTTATCAATTTTTTTTATAGTTTATCACTCATAGTTTGATAGTCCCTCGAATAACTGTTACCACACAAATAATTTTTCATATAATTCTAATTCTTCACTACCAAATATTATATATATGGCTATAAGTCTTACTAGCTATTTATAATGAGTCACCATAGTACTCCTCATTTATATAATAAAAGAACTCCTGGTTCAGGAACTTTAGGTAATGAAGTATCAGGGTCAGGGTCAGGGTCAGGGCCAGGTTCAAATTCTGGTGTTAAGGGTTCAAATTCAAATATAAATATAACTAATAATAATAATATTAATAATTCATCCAATCCAAATTCTTCTAATCCAACCTTATCTAATCCAAATTCATCTAATCCCAATAATTTAACCCTTAATTTTAATAATTCTAAAATGGATTCTACAAGAACAGTCACTGATTCTCAAGCTATTAATGCTAAACAATTATTAAATGCATATGTATATGATTTTCTTATTAAAAGTAGATTACCTCAAACTGCTAGAATCTTTGTTAATGAAGCAGAATTACCTTCAGTATCAAATTCAAATAAGAATTCACCTCAATTAAATAATAAAAATAATCCTAATAATAATCCTAATAATAACAATAATCCCAATAGTAATCATACAACTCCACCAAAGGATTCAATAGAAACTCCTCAATTTCAAAAGGAAAACAATTTACCCAATTTAGCCATAGCTCTAGATGCTCCTCAGGGATTTCTTTATGAATGGTGGCAGATATTTTGGGATGTATTTCAAGCAAAGAATAATAAATTTCCAGGATCTCAACCTCCTGGAGTTCCAACTCATCCTCATTTAATTCCAGGATTACAACAACAACAACAACAACAACAACCAGGTCAACCATTTACTCCTGGTCAAGGTCAGAATTTCGCCTTACAATATTATCAATTACAGTTATTGAAACAAAGACAACAACAACAATTACAACAATTACAGCATCAACAGGATTTACAAGCACAAGCACAAGCTCATGCCCAAGTTCAAGCGCAAGGATTCCCCCAACATTTACAACAACAGGCTCAACAACCACAACCAGGTCAGCAACTGAACCAACCTCCATTCCCACCTCAACAACAACATGTACTTCAACAACAACAACAACAACAACAACAAGGCCAACCAGGAACTCATCCAGGTATGCCACCACAAATGATAGCCCCTCAACAACAAATTCCTCAAGCTGGTCAACAACAGTTGGATTCTCAACAACAACAAAGAGTCATTATGATGATGATGAAACAACAACAAGCACAACAAGCGCAAGCCCAAGCGCAAGCACACGCACAAGCACAAGTACAACAGCAGACAGGTGTTGCTGGTCAACAAGAGCCTCCTCATGCACCAATAGATCCTCAACAACAACAACAACAATTACTAGCTGGTAATGCCAATTGGTCTGGAATACAACAACAAGTATTCATGGCTCAACAACAACAACAATCTCAAAACAGAATGCAACAACTTGCACAAACTCAAATGAATAATTTAAGGCAGCAAGCGGCCGCTGCTCAGCAGCAGCAACAACAGCAACAACAACAACAAAATGATGGTTCAAGTCGAAGTTCACCTGCCAACAGATTAAATCAAATGAGTCCACTTCAAGGTCAACAATCATTACCTGGTCAACAACAACAATTTGCATCTCAACAACAACAAGCACCATTTAATCCTCAATTATCTGGAGTTCCACCTCAACAACAAGGTCCGCCACCGGGATTAACTATAGCCAATGGTAAGACTATGCAAAAGAGTCCGAATCTTACTAATGGAGCTAATAATTCTAACTTAACTAATGGTAATTATGTAACCACAACCAATGCTAATGCCAATAATAAATTAAATGGAGCAACCACAATTAATTTAGCAGGTGCAACCACTATTGGAGTCAATGGAGGTCCTAATTCAAATAATCGAAATCTGAATGCTTTACAAGATTATCAAAAACAATTATTAATGCTAGAGAAACAAAATAAAAAGAGATTAGATATTGCAAGAAATGGTACTAATGATCAAGCAATGATTGCTGGTCAAGCTCAATCACCCGGAAATCAAAGTACTCAAATTAAAAATCAATTTAGTCAAAAACCTTCTCCAATAACGGCAAGTAATTCTCCTGTAATTAATAATAAACCTTCACCAACATTAGGTAAAAAGAAGAAAGAACCTGCTGGAAAGAGAGGTAGAAAACCTAGTACTGCTTCTAATTCCAGTAATTCCAATTCTAGTACTTCCAATTCCAATTCTAATTCAAATTCAAATTCAAATTCTCAAACCAATGGTTCATCTAATACTAGTAATAATAATCCAAATACTACTCCATCATTATTAAAGAAAGAATATTCAACTCCTTTGACTCCTGCTTCTGAAAATGATAGTAAGAGAAAGAGGAAAAATACTTCTGTATCGGAATCTCCCAAGAAACAAGCTGCTGTTGGTCCTATATCAATTACTGGATCTAATTCATTAAATAGTAAGAATACTAAGAAAGAAAAATCCATTAAAGAGGATGAAACTGATGAAGATAGCAAGAAAGCAATAACGGCAACAGCAACTGCAACTGCAACCACCACCACCACCACCACAACAGCAGCAGTTAATTCAGACGATCTTAATATGCCACCACCGGCTCCTACTACTGCCACATTTGGATCTCTTGAACCTAATGATACAATGTTTGATGTTGAATTATTACATAATGGATCCAATGATAGTAACTCATTTTATCAATCAGGTACTAATGGTAATGCAGCCAATGGAGTTATAGATGATATTGGATTTGATTTCGATCAATTCTTAAATGGTAATGGGGATGGAAGTTTAAATGATAGTATGAATACTTTCAATTGGGGGAATGTTGATGCCATAGAAAATGGTGGAGAATAAATTTAACAAATTTGTTTTCTGTTTCTGTTTCTACTAGTTAATATTTATTTTAATTATTTATAATTCTGACTGTTTTATTTACTTATTTACTTAATTACTTTGTTATAATTTTCAAACTTTCTTTCTTCTTTCTTCAAACTTTCTTTCTGTTTTGTACTTTAGTTTTTTAGTTTATTACTATAAATGTACTATGTATCTATCTTTATTGAATACCAAAATTTTTCATTTCTCCATACTGCAATTAAAATTAATGAAAGAATTGTTACTAATAATCCTGAACTTAAAGCATGAGCAGGATAAACATTCCAACACCATTCATGAGCTGACCAAATTATAAAACTTATTATAAAATTCCATCCAGTAGCATATAATAAGAAAGGTAATTGCCAACAATACCATGATAAAAATTGATAATGTAATGATCGTGAGAATAATACTCCAATAACATTTGAAGTAGATAAAGTTAATAATATTAATCTTGGACCAATATTTGCATCTATAAATAAATTAGTTTTATTAATTATAGTTGAATTTGGTTTAAAAGCATCAATAATTAATTGAGAAATAGATTTACCAGTAACTTTAATATTAATATACCTTGTTAAAGTAAATGCCACTAAAATTGTTAAATGTCCAATTAATAATGTTGTAGCAAATGAATCACTCAAAAAGGTTTCTTCTGATATAAATTTCCAATTAACTGTCCATTTATAAAGAAATTTCCGTTTAAAATCAAATGCTTGATTTATATAATTCCATCTAATAATTTTAGCTTCTTCATCATTATATAATGGTAATAAGAAATTCCAACCTGTTATTAATTGAATTAATGGAATTATTACTAATATTATAAGAAATTTAAATATATTTTCTTCAACAAGAAAATATGAAACAATTAAAAATCCGGGAACATAAAGTAATGCATTCATCTTTATTGATATAGCAATACTTAATAAATCACTACCAAGTGCAACTAATAAAAAACTTATTAATTTACTTGATTTATGCCAATAAGATGCTTGTTGTAAAAATATAGTTACTCCAACCATACAAATAGTTGTAAAACAATCATTAAATAATCTTAATACATAAATTGAAATTAATCTTCTACTAAGTAATAAAAAATATAATGGCCATGGTGGAATATTGGTAAATGAAAATGCTACTAATACTAATAAATTTGTTAAAGTTAATAAATATCCAAATATTGATTGACCAGTTTTAATATCTGTACCATTATTTGTTAAATAATTTATCCATTGATAAATTTGTACATAACCAGCTGGATAAACTATTGGACCTGTATCACCAAATATTTTATTATAATCTAATTCTCCATCATTTATAAGATGAATTTGTTGCATATAAGTTATAAAATCTATTTCTGTATATGGAACAAATCTTATAATAAATTTGGCTATAATTGATGTAAGACTTACAAGGATTGGTATAACAATTTTATTAGTTTCTGGATTATATAATAATGCATAAATACCATCTCGTATATCACCTAAAACATTCCGGAAAGTGAATTCAGGTAATTCGGCTTTAGGTTTCTGCCCAATACTTTGTGCTTGAACCTTCTCCTGATCTACTGCCTCCGTCATTGTACGATTAGTGCCCATGATGATGTCTAGGAGATGGTTAATTAATTGATGTGTTTCTTTTTTTTTACGAGACACATAGTAAACATCCATGCATCAGACGGTTCCCATAATAATTATTCACACATAATAATTATACACACATTATAATTATACACACATTATAATTATACTCAACTCTTATACTAATTATTAATTGATATAATGTGATATACAGGCAATTTCTCTATTCGGTAACAATATCATATAGCATATAACTTATCATTATTGAATACTCATATCTTTAGTAGAATATTTATATTTATGAATGTATGTACCTGCATATAACAATGATACAATGGCTGCGTCGGACTTTTCCAAATTTTGCAGTCTCTTATAGACCATTAAATCAGTACGGAATATGTTTCATACACTAAAGTCTATTATTAAATTTTATGTAGTTATTCGTAGCTTGTTCCATAATCTTGAACAACCACAAAATGATATATTTCAAGCTCATGGACAAGGAGTGGAGGACTATCAAAAGCTCAGCATGAATTAGAAAGATATACTCAAATCCCTATGAAATAAAACAATCACTGGCAGAAATCGAAATTTACAAAGATTACAAAGAGGTATTAGTGTTTTTATTAAGATTACATAAGTTGAAATTGCTAAATTCCAGGATACAAAGTGATTCGTGATTGTTACCTAACAACCGTAATCAGCATTATGCCCCTGAGTATTAACAAAGTTAACAAGAGCTTATCCATCTACCTATCAACTATATGCCTACCTTTTTGGATTTCTTTCGAAATACCCGAAGAACATCTCTTCTACGTCTTTTACATTCTCGTGATAACTCTCCTCTCATATTCCAGAACCATTTCTCGTATGCGGATTCTTCTCCGTCCTGGTTATTTTCGTGTCCAACGTTATCTCCATTGATATTGATTACTTCAGTTAAATTTTCTCCTGGCAACTTAATGTGATCATTTGCATTTCCAATCTTACTTAATTGTGATTGTGATTGTAAAAATGGAGATTCAAAATGACCCCAAAATAATCCAACAGTTCTGGACGATTGCTGAATTTGTTGTTGTAATTGCTCTTCCTGTTTAGCTTTGATCTGTTCTAACAACTCTTGTTGAGATGTAGTATCAATAGCTTTAGTTTCATCTATATCATCATCATCTACAGAAAGTGCCAACTTAAATCCATTGGAATTTTCATCTTCATTAGATACTTCGATCTTATCAGATGTAGATGGATTGAAAAGCGATCTTAATGTTTCTGTATCATTTACTTTGGTGGGCTTTGATCCGAATGTAGGTATGAATTCATCTTCTGATGATTCTTCTTCTTCTTTTTGTTCATGCTGTTCTTCTTGTTCTTCTTCTTCTTCTTCTTGTTGTTGTTGTTGTTGTTGTTGTTGTTGTTGTTCTTCTGACGGTTGATCTTCCAAAACATGCTCATCATTATACTTCTGATTAATAGCCTCGGTAGTATACTGTTGTCCTAACATATCCAAATCAAGATCATTACCTTCATCATCTTCAGAGTAATACACTTCTTGTTGAGGCATTTCATGATTGGCAGTATAGCTTTGGATAATATCATCTACATTAGATACATCAAAATTATAATCTGATTCTGATTCATTATCATCATTATCACCCCCTTCCAATTCATAATCATATCTTCTAACTTTTCTCCTACCTTTACTATCATATAAGATATCTTCTTTATCGATTCCAAGAGTATCTTCTTCTACTTCAACGGGTTTTTCAAAATCAAAATGATCAAACAATGATGCCAATACCGATTTGTTCTTCAAATTTTCTTGAGTTATATCAATTTCATTACCATCATTATTAACAATATCTTCATTATTATCATCACCTAATTTCCCATAATTCATAGCTTCAACTCCTGATATACCACAAGGAGGAGGTTTTAATTTTTCAAGAATATGTTCATCACCACTTTTCCAATATCCATTACTAAATTTCCAGGTAAGATCATTTAAAGTTTTGGATTTTTCTATACCCCATAATTTTGTCTTATAACTTTTTATTTGTTTTAATTCTCCATTAATTAATAATCTCATAGTTTGTAATTTCTTAAGAAATACTGTATGAGGTCTTTTAGTTATTCTATGTCTACCTTTAATAATTTCTGCATTTCCGGAGATATTAGAATATCTTGAATAAAGAGTTTTAGAAGGGGTTGACCATGATGAATATGAATTTTGTCCAACTAATGAATGAGATGGAGGTTTATTTTTTGTATTTGCAGATGCATTATTATAAGTATGAGCCGATTTCATATAACCTGATGATGATGATATTGATGAAGAATTTTGAACAAAAGTATTGGTAATAGGATTTATAGAATAAGGTGTATGAGATTCTAAAATTCTAATTTGTCGTGCTCTATATATATTAGCTTGCTTTAATCTATCTTCCTTCTTAGTATCTGGTCTATTAACATCTTTCTTCCATTCATCTTGAAATGATGATTTCTTAGCTTCTTCTATAGAAAGTTTTAATCCCATGAATTGAATCCCATTTAATGAACGTTTTAATGCATCCCAATTCTTATTAGTTATCTCTAAACTCATAAATCCAAAGTAATGACTAGTTATTGGTTTAGTATGTAATTCTAATGGGATAGTTATCTTACCGAATTTTTCAAATCTTGAGGTTAAAGATTCGGGTTTTTCCGCCAACTTAGGAGATATGTTCCCCACATGGATCCGCTTCAATGATACTTGATCACTTTTAGATCCCATAGTGTACTGTAGAAATGGTTATTAGTATATTTAATAGATTTGTTAGAGAAAGATGGTGTAGATGAGCTCCATAATTTTTTTTTTCCATCTGCGAAAAATTACCCATTTGAGATTTGTTAGTGTTAATTTACCAGAGCATTTTTGTTGAACAGTGTTTGTGTGTGTGAGTTTGATAATTAATATCATAATGAGTAATATAGCGAAATTAAATAGTAATATTTGGAGAGTGTTTGAGTCATCTAAGAAACTACATGAGGATGTAAGGCAGGGTAAATCTATAGATACTAATGATGAAGTTAATACTATTGAGAGTAATGATGAATTGAATGATGAACCAGTAATACTTGTAAGTGACGAAGAGATACCGCAGTTGAGTCAACTAATACGAGATTCAACTAATACTGAGCAATTGGAATTGGAATTGAAAGCTATGTTGATGAAGGTGTACTGGAATGGATTCTACAAGGGATTTGAAAATGGATATGCGGGTGATCAAGAGTAGTAACGAGTAGTAACGAGTAGTAATGAATAGAATTAATGAATCATGATGAATTTATAAATAATAATAAATAATATATTAACTAGTACTATGTAAGGTATATAAGTATATTTGTTCTAAGATATAATTTTACACTAAGGAGTCAGCTCCCATAAGTCCTTTAAACCCATAACTGAAGTAATAATACCAGCTAATCCAATATCACCTTCAGTAAAGTGTAAGATATCTAATGTATTAAGACAAATAAATGAATCCAAAAGGTGCCAGACCAATTTTCTCTTGGCTTTATAAAGTTTACTTTCAATAGCCTTTGTATCAACTTTTTCATCTTCATCTTTAGTAGATGATTTTTGAGAAGTTAATGAAGTAATTATATGTAATGAATTTACAATTCCTGCTAATAAAGCAAGTAACCAGAATCTTGAAGCCCATTTAGAAACAGTTGGGAATTTCTTAGTATCAATAATTCCTAACATTTTAAACCATGTAATAGAATCTAATGTTAAATAACCAGCATAACCTAAATTACTAATAATTGAAGTTGATTGTAATACTGGATCTAATAATTTATTATCATAAAATTTAGAAGCAGCTTGTAAATGATTCAAAGGCTTTAAAAATCTTAAACCTTTTCTGATAAATGTGAAATGTTGCTTTAAATTAGCAAATAATTTAATTGTTTCAAGTGAATAACCCTTTCTTTCAGCATAGAAAGCTAAGAATCTTGACAAATATGCTAATAATCTAAATGATTTTTCTCTTTTAGGAGTACTATCTATAAAAGTAATTAACTTAGTAACTGTTGGATGATAAACAAGTGTATCGGCAACCATTTTTGTATATCTAATGAATAAGTTATTGCAATAATTGTCGTAAATTAACTAGATCAAATTAATAATTATAATACTAATATAAACAAATCCGAATTGTTATGGGTTTTATATAAATTATAGTTAATTTAATATGTTTTTATTGGGGTAATCGGCGCGTTGAGTGCAGTCCATTACGGATAAAAGGACCGAGGACCAATTTTTTGTTTTCATATGAATTAGTGGTTCTTTTTATATTTCAGCAAATCAAGCTTGGATAAATTGATAAATGATTCGGATGAATTAATTATTTACATCAGTTATGTCATGTATCTATTCATTTTAAATTATATTCACTTTACTATTACTTTTTTGCAAGTTATGGTGAATAAAGTATAATCTAGTATGGGGTCACTAACTTTTGTTCACCTCATGTATTCTTAACTCCTGTTGCTCTTACCTCCTCTCTAATTAAATAATGCACTATTTAACTCATGTAAAAAGTATCTGTCAAAGCTGAACATTTTGAAACTTAATTTGTGTTAGTTTGTGCCTTTATCTTGTTTACTTTTGTCTGTTCTGTTCTCTTCTGCCCTGTTTATCCTGTAACTCCCCTGTGACTCTTTTTCCATTTTGCAACCACAATAGTCCCGGAACTACAAATTTACTAATTTACGTAACTTCCGCCGAATAATTAGATTAATGCTTTCTTTCCCCGATCTACCTTATTTTTCCGTCACTCTTAAGTTAATATGATTTACTCTATTGGTTAGGTAACTGACTCCAGCCAGTAGATTCTTTATCGTAATCTCTACCAAGCGAAAAATACCCCAGAGCCGGCATAACAATATGTGATAACTTCCGAAGTTAGTGATTTAATACATACATATATACATACTTACTTACACACACACCAGTATAATGCCTTCATTATTTATACTGTTGGATACTAAATTTTCTCAAGTCACTGTAAGTCTCAATGGTCATAATGTTAGAATTCCCCCAGAGACACTTTGTGGTAAATTAGATGTTCCACCGGATTATCATTTAATAGGGGTAAAAGATGATGATCATAACTATGGATGGATTGTAGATTGTACATTTACAGAATATGAATATTATACACTCACTAAGATAGATAATGAATATCAGTTAACAACACTGAGTATAATCAAATCTGATACTGAATTAAATTGTAATTTCCCAAGTATTATAGATACCAATATTGATTTTGAAGAATTTCAGAAGGTAACGGATTTGAAAGTTTCAAATAATATTATACCAATTCATGATAAACATATTATAGATACTATATCTGTAAAAGTTATAGATACTCCAAAATTTGAATATCCACTTCATTATTATGTTACATTATTAGAATTTACGTATATACTGTTTGTTGTACTAAATATTTCTCAGTTTCAAGAGTATTGGTTAAATACAATTCATCAACTTGGACTTATTCCATTAAAATCTTATCAACTTCATAAATCTAATACTATCAATATATTAACTAAATTAATTGATCAAATTAGACAATTACATACAATAACTAATCAAGGTGATGATATAATTAGAATTCCTCCAAATACAAGAGAAATATTAGATAATAGATTTCGATCAGAAGTATGGAATATTCAAGATGATTGTTGTGGAAAATTAAAGTTAAATGGAGTAATAACAAATAAATGGAAACTTTTGAAATCATATATTTCATAATTTATCTTCTATATACAAGTATTATTAATAAATAAATTATAAATTTTCTTATATTTTTACATTAACATTAGGATCAGTATCAACATCAACTATAGTAGTATCAGCTTGACTTTTAGCTTCAGCTCGGTTTTCAGCTTCAGCTTTTGCTTTTGCTCTTTCTTTTGCTCTTCTTTTGGCATCTTCACGACGTTGATTTTGTTTCAACTTAACTTCTCGATCTACTACCTTACCATGCAATATTTCCTTACCTGATTCCAATAATTTAATATATTCATTACGGTAATAATCTTTCTCTTCCAAACTAATTTTTTTCCATGCTTCAGCAATTTCCAATTTAACTTTTTTATACTCTCCACCTCTTCTAGTATATTCTAATGAAACGTAATAATTCCAAGCATGAATAAAACCAATCTTTTTTGTTGTCTTTTTTGAACTACCATCATCGGAATTTGAAGATTTATCATTTACGTCAACTTCTATAGTTCGATCTCCTATTAATTGTGACATGTAAAGTTCTTCATTTTTTTGATGAGCTATTTCTTTTGGAGTCAACTTTTTAACCTTAATAATATTAGATAAATCAGCTTCTGGTACCCATTTTTCATTAATTAAATTTTGTAATTGAGGAATATTTGAAGTATCTATAGAATCTTGAGGTTGAGATTCAATAAATGATTCAATATTTGCAATTGTCCATTTAGATCCGTAATGAGTAGACGGTATGGCAAACCAACCATATTTTGTTAATATAGTAGAATATTTATTAGGATCTTCATATAATCCTTTTACTACTTTATTTATAGGAGTAGTTGGTTTTGTTAGTTTAGGCTTAACAGTGTAAAATCGATTCGAAAACTTCAAATAATTCGTCCCCTTTACTATTGATCGTATACCAACATAACTAGAAATTAGTCTAGTTGTTAACATTATATTATATATTCATATGATACTTGAACTAACTAAAATCTAGAACAAATATATATATACATATATAACTAATAATAACTAATAATAACTAATAACTAGTAACTCATTACTATAGCCAAGTATTGAAAAATTTCTTTTTCTATCGGCATATCCCAATTGAGGTTTGTGGCATTGAGATGAAGTAAAGTGAGTGAGTTATTTTCCGTGCGTGTATGTGCAGGTTTAGGGGACTAGGGGAATTTATCCAGGATACCTATGGACAAGGCAGGGTATTTATTAGTTAAATAAATAATAAATTATAGTTAAAGATTATTAAGATTAATTAACTGTTATATATTATTATAGATTAATAAGTGTTGGAGTTTGGTGGTAGTTAATTTAAAAAATCTATCTATCCCATTATTTCCATTTTCTAGCTTATCTACACCGAGTTCGCAATCGCACCTACTCATCATCGACTTTATCAGATCCCGAGGTATTTGTATTTAATAGTTAATTTTTAATTTGATCTAATAGGCAAGTATATTGTGTTAATTAGTAAATTGTATAAAAATTATATTTCAGTCATTTTCATTATCATTTTCATAAATTATTTGTGGTTGTGTTGTTGTTAATGTTTACTTCAGCCGTAACCAAACTATAATAAGAATATCAATAATTTTCAAATATTTCATTAATTTTTAATAATTTTTAATAATTTTCATATATTTTCATATATTTTTCTAAATTTCATCATTTATAGATATGCAGACACCTAATTCACCGTTATTTCCTCCTCAACAATTAACCTTATCACCATCAGGAGCTACATTTTCATCAGTTCAACTACCTAATTCATCTCAAGTTCCGGATGATATACCTACATACCTTCCTCAACTTCCTGATAAACCTTTAGCACTGACGGGAGGAATTCAAGTATATATTATTCCTGCTGAAAAGAATCTTTATGTTCAAGGATTTGAAGCTCATGAATATGCTGAAAGACCTCCAACTATTTTAAGAGGTTGTTTATATTTAAGAATTACAAAATCTAGTAAAATTAAATCTATTACTTTAACTTTTAAAGGTACTCAAAGAACTGATTGGCCAGAAGGTATTCCACCAAAAAAGACTCAATTTGCTGAATCAACCGATATAATAAATCATACTTGGCCATTTTTACAACCAGGATCAATATTTCCAAATAATGGAGCTGATGTATTTCAAGAATTATCAAATAATTCTATTGATCATGATATAAGTCATTTATCACTTGGAGAATCTCGTTCAAGAGGTTTATCACCGGCTCCAACCATGTCAGATTTAACAGTAGTACCAACAAATGGTACAAATCCTGGAGGAAATTTTTTAACTCGAAGTTTATCACCAGCAACTAATTTTATGAGAAGAGCTACTTCACCATCAGTTTCTTCAATGGATGGTCCACCTGATTTATCATCAATAATATCTCCCTCTAATAATTCTGAAGATTCAACAAAACCAGCAACTTTTCAACCTGGTGATTATATTTATAATTTTGAACAACCATTACAAGCATCAATACCTGAAACTTGTAGTGTAACTTTTGGTACCGTAAGTTATCATTTAGAAGCTTCAATAGTTAGACCAGGGACTTTTAAATCAAATTTAATTGCTAGAATGCCAATTCAAATTATTAGAACTCCTGCTGAACAAAATTTAGAAGAACATGAATCAATTGTTATAACCAGAGATTGGGAAGATCAATTAAAATATGATATTGTTATTGGATCTAAATCCATTGTATTAGATTCTTATTTACCATTAGCTTTCAGATTTGTACCATTATTTGGTAAAGTATCATTACATCGTATAAGAGTTTATTTAACTGAAAATTTAGAATATTTTTGTAAAAATAAAAAAGTTCATCGACTTGAACCAGTTCGAAAATATCTTTTATTAGAACATAAAGCAGAAAAGGGGAAATCTTTATTAAATGATAATTCAGATAAGGGAGAAGATGAATTTATTGATATGTTACCAAAAGAATTAGAATTTCAAGTTTATGTACCAAAAATTGTTAATGATAGAACTAATAATGAAATTCATCCTGATACATCTTATGAAAATATTCAATCTCATCATTGGATTAAAATTTGTTTAAGAATTTCTCGATTAGATCCTGAAAATCCTGATAAAAGAAAACATTATGAAATTTCAATTGATTCTCCTTTACATGTTTTAAGTCCATTAGCTGCTCATGGTAATACATCTTTACCAGCTTATGATGATTTTATTGCCAGAAATAAAGATAATACAATTAATTATAATTTATCACCTCCAACATCTCCTGGAGTAATTCCAATTGATAATACTTCAAATGCTTTTAGAAATGCTTCATTAAATAATTCAAATAATTTCTTAACAGTATTAAATCAAAGTCCATCAAATAATGGTGGAAATTCTCTTGATGAAATTATGGAACGTCGTCCAAGATCAGCTCTGGCTCTGCCAGCTCCATTTACAAGATTAAATAATCATTCTTATGATGAATCTCCTATTGTTGATGAAGCAGATATGCATTTAGAAGCAAACCTTTATAAACCTAAAGTAATTAATCAACTTCATTCTCCTCAAGCATTTCCTCATCCAGGAACTTTTACATCTCCACTTAATTCACCAGTTCAACGTCCTATACATATTATTAGACGTCCATCAATTAATCCTCCACCATTTGATGCTGATATTGCTCCTCCACCAGCAGAAGAAATTATGCCTCCACCAGCTTATGAAGCAGAAGATCCTGCCCTTTCTTTATCTCCATTAAGAATTGATGAACCAAGTACAAATTCGAATTCAAATTCAAGTTCAAATTCAAATTCAGAAATGCAAAGAAATCAAAGTAATCAAAGTAATAATTCAAGTATTCCAGCTGTATCAATGATTGTTCCAACTATTGGATCTCTGGAAACTCCAGTTAAAAGTTTATTACAACAACAATTAAGAAATAGTCGTCCATCATTAGATAGTAGACATTCAGGAAGTAGTAAATCTATTTCCAGTAAAAAACTGATGGATCTGGCTCTGAGTCATAAATCAAATTCAACAGCTAATACAACTTCAAATAGTAATTTACTTGTAGTTGCTGATGATGATGAAGAACAAGATATAGTTGATTATCCTAGTTCACCTATTATTCCTCCAAGAACTTTAAGTCCAAGACGAGTATTTCATCTGGAAGAAGTTGATGAAGAATTTGAGAATAATGAAAATCCATCGATTGTTGCTCTTAATCAATCGAATAGTATTAATAATCAACTTCCTACATCTCGTCGTACATCAGTTTCTTCTTATACATCAGTTAGTACTGATATTATTCCAGTAGAACAAACTATACCTTTATTAAGTTTATCAAATGCATCTATGATTTCTAATTTAACTCATTCTGAAGGTAATAATGGAATTAGAAATCAATCAGTATCTTCCTTATTAAATGATGCTAATTTTGTTCGTCGAGGAAGTCAAATTACAGGATTATTATCAACCAGAATTAATGAATTTCTTGAAGGAGGAGATTTAGGAGAAGAAATGAATAAAATAAATGGAAGTTTATTAAATTTAAGAAATCCTCGAATTAAGAAACATTATCAAGATGATAGTAGTTCAACCAATCAAACCTTATCTGAAGGTATTGAATCTGAAGAAGTTACTTTAAGAGATGTTGAATCAGATGCTACATCAGTTAGTGTAGGTACTGAACCTCGAGAAAGACAAAAAAGTTTTGGAGTTATTCATACTCCTGTTGGTCATACAAGTGAAGGTGAAGAACAAGATGATGATGATGATGATGATGAATTAGATGCATTTGTTCATACTCATGCTCATAATCCTAATGAATCTCAAAGTAGTGCTATAGTTCATGAATTACCTCCAGTAACAAATACTAATAAACCTACACGAGATGATGGAGTTCCTGGATTTAAGTACAGTTATGTAATATAGATATATCCATATAAATTATTATTTATATATAAATTTTAATAAAATTTTGCATTATGAATTAATAAATGATTAATTATTTATTTATGTCTAACTTCAACAATGTTACCATCTTTATCCTTTTCTAATTCACCTAACCATTCAAATAAAACTGCTAAATCTCTATTGGCTAAATCATCTCTTTCACATGCTTTATCATACCAATGTTTACTAACATCTCCCAAGTATAAGAATCTTTTAGCATAATCAGCACATGATGTAGCTAATACTAAATCTTTTCTAGTTAATTTTGTAACAAATCCTCCTTGATAACCAACATCAGCTGGAAGACTATTTTCAGGATAAACTTCAGGAATTGGACAATTATCAACTGCTGCCCAACATTTACCAGTAGAAACAGAAACTAATTTAGCATAATCTTTTAAATTTAAACCAAAAGATTTAGCTAATTGAAATGAATCTGCAACAGCTAAATTAGTTACAGCTAATAAATAATTATTAGATAATTTTGCAGCTAATCCAGTACCATGTTTAGCACCACATGGGAAAATATTAGCACCCATTTTTTTAATAAGAGTAGCTAATTCAGGAGAAACTGATTCATGATCTGGTCTGGAAAGCATAAATGATAAAGTTGCCTTTCTAGCTCCTGCAACTCCACCAGAAACTGGTGCATCTATGAAATCAAAATTTGGCACTTCTTTTTTAACATATTCATGAACCTCGGTTGAAGTTGGAATATCAATTGTCGATGAATCAACAAAAGTTACTTTAGAAATTGTATCTTTACCGGAATTTTTATATTCTTGAACTAATTCTTCAACAACTGCTTTAACATGTTTACCTTCGGGAACCATTGTTACAATGAAATCTAATGGTTCATGAACATCACTAACAAAACTTTTAAGAGTTGGTAAAGTATGTAATTGATGAGCATTAGCAGGGTTTATTGAAGTTACATTATCAACAAATCCTTTAATACTAGCAGGTAAAGTATCATTAACATATAAAGTATCTTCAGGAGCTAATTTATTATAAATATGTCTAGCCATATGTTGACCCATTTGTCCCAACCCGACAAATCCATAATTTATTGATCTTACTTGACTTGTAGATAAATGACGATAACTAATTCTTGTAATTGCCAGTTGCATTTTATAAAAAAAATAGCTTTATGATTTACTATGAAAATGATAATTTAATTATACCTATTAAATAATACTGGTTTGTTGGTGTTTTAAACAATATCCGAAAAATTTATCATAGGAAATAACTTGCCTTATATACTATAGTGAGCAAAGACAAATAATAACTTTAATTACTTTTCGCAAGTACCTACTGAGTTAGTGCAGTACGGAACTTTCAATTATACAGAGGAGTTTCCAAGGTTAATCTAAACTAGTTACAGGTTTCGGCTAATGCTCCTTATAGTTTAACTAGTGTAAATGTCTTAATATTGTTGGCCGTACCCGCAATAGTTAACTATGTATTCGGTAAGCCCAAATTATATTCAATCCCCACAGGATATCCATTGCCGATACTTTTTACTTGTAAAATGGCTAGTATGTAGGTCATATAATCAACCCCATCTACCCCAGACAAAACTTCCATGGGTATTTCATCTAAATTGTCTTGTGGAACCCCTCCTCCGCACCACTTACCTCTTTAGGAAGTTTGGGTGAGAAAATGGATTTTGGATTTTTGGATTTTGGATTTTAAGACATGGACTTTTGAGTTATGTCGTCAAAGCGCGAAACGCCTAATTGAGAATCAGATCAGTACGACATTATCTCTCGGGATTTTTCACCCTACTTACCGATACAGGCCATTATTAGACTATTGAATTATTGAATTATAATTGAAAAATTTCAATTCATTATCAATCTTTTAATTCATTAATCTAAGATAAGGCACATTTATTAGATATTATATAAAAATAAATATAAAAGAAATAAAAATGCCCGAAAGTTCAGTCGACGATTCAGCCGCATCTTCACAAACCCCAGTTAAAACAACTTATAACTTATCTAAACCAAGAGCAGCTTATTATCCTCATCCTGGATCAAAGATTTATGCCGATAAACAATTGTATAATAAAATCGCCAACGCACCTAAATCATTAGTTGAATCACACTTATGCCAACCAAGATCAGGAATTGCAGTTAAAATTCCTGCTAAATCTGTATTTAGATTAACTACCCCAGAAGGTCCTCAAGTTTGTGATTTGAATATTTGGAATTTACATAATCCAAGAGAACGATTTTGGGCCGCTAGAAGCAGACAATTACATTCTGCTCATGTATCAACCTTTGACAGATTATGGTCAAACTTACCTTATTTAAGACCCCTTGTAACTATCACGGCTGATACATTACTGGCAAGACATGATGAATGGGGTGGAAGGGTTCATGATACTTTGGGTACAAGATGTGACCCATATGTTGATAAACTTATAAGTGGTGAAGATAATGATTTCCACTGCCATTCAAATTTAACAAGGGCAGTTTTACCACATGGTTTAACTGAATTCGATGTCCATGACGTTTTAAATGTCTTTCAAGTTACTGGCTTGAATGAATATGATCAATATTTCATGGAGGCTTGTCCTGCTTCCAAGAGTGATTACTTTGAAATGTTTGCTGAACAAGATCTCTTAGTCGCAATTAGTGCATGTCCTGGAGGAGATTTATCTCAATGGGGTTGGGGTGAAGATAGTGAAAATTTAGATGACCTGAAGATGTTGGACTGTTGTAGACCATTGGGTATAGAAATTTACAAATTAGACGATGAAGAAGATGTATTAAAGGAATGGAAAGCTCCTGAATTCGTCAATTACAGAGGAAATCATGGTTTGAAAGGTCCATAATATATATACTTGTAATTAGAAAGTAGATATACTGTATATACATGTTATTGTTAATATTTACAAGAGTTAATTTTATATCGTTCCATCTATCGATTGACCTACCCAGTCGCTTATAATATCGTTAGTTATAAACCCAGCCACATCACTACCAGTGTATTTCAACTTGTTGTTCTTTATATGCATGTCGAGAAATGCAAAACTTTCATTGATCTTTTCGATTGAAAGCAATCTATTTTCTGTTTCAATAAAGTCCAATTCAAAAGTTTCTAAATGACCATGTTTATCTATGTGGAATTTTATTTTAAATCCAAACTTTTCATTATTTAGTTCATGAGTGAACTTCGGGGTTGATCCAAATCTCCAGCTCCATTTTTTCAATTCTTTAGCTGTTTCAAAAACTTGTAGAGGAAGTTTAGTAGTTTCATCAACTGTAACAATTTTTGAAATTCTATTAATTGTGTTAGCTTGAACAAAATCTTTTAATCCAAACAATTCATCCTGATCATATTCATCATTATCAGAAACTTTCTGTGTCTCTTCAGTGGATAACTCAGTACCATATAAATCACTAAACTTATCTGATACATATTGAATAAATTGTTCTTGAGTGAGTTCTAAGTTAGTAACTTTAGATTTAACAGAATCAATAGAATTCGATGCATCAACAATTCCTAATTTCGATTCATCTCTATGTAACAATTTACCTAATATGTCTAATCTCAGATTTAGAAGCATGGTTCCATGATGATAAGATTTTCCTTTGGATAATTTATATGCTGATCCACTAACTTTATAATTAATACCATCTTGTGAAGATTTGGTAGTTATATCACCTCTTTCATTAACTTCTATAGAGTACTTTGAACCTGGAATAGAATTCACAGCATTTGTAACCAAATTAGCAAATGTAAATCTATCAAATTTTTCCTTAGTAGTCATAAAGGAATAATTAACATTACCCAAATCATGAACCACTGTACCTCCACCAGACCTTCTACGTACAAGTGGTATACTAAGAGAGTTCAACAATGGTAAATTGACTTCCTTCCAGGGATTTTGATTCTTCCCTATAACTACACATGGACTATTAACATAAAACATTAATCTATTATAATTAACATTTATATCTTCAGGTTTGGGCATTTTATGATATATGTAGTCCTCAATGGCAAGATTTATATATGGATTAGATAACTTAGATACAAATACAACTGGTTCCTTTAATGATACTACTGTCTCTAAATCTATTCTGACTTCATCATTGGTGACACTATTAACATTAACAATTTTCTCTTGACTCTTTTGACTCTCTCCTATAAATTCTAATTTCTTAGTTATTACATCCGGTGATTCTTTATAATGTTGAAAATCTCCAAGGTTCAAATCGTCATTTTCCATTCCAGATAAATCATCTTGAAATGGAACCTGTATGTTCGAAAAACGTCTAGTGAGCTTAACTCTGTTCCACGCAATACTTGTCGATATACGACCGCGCACTCCCCATCGAGTTAATACACTCATTATTACTCTGATAACATAAAAAGTACAATCTATATAGACTTTGGAATACTGAAAAATTGCGAAGAGAAGTATCAAATAATTTTTTTGAAATCTTTATACATCTTTGCACATCTTTTATATAAATGATACAGTAAATAGAATGAACAGAACTAATGCTTTGGAGAGACATCTTCTCACCAGATGTTATGACTCTCAAGATAGAATTGAAGAACTTTTAACTACTAGATATTCTTTAACTGGAGATCAGAAACCAGTTATACATTTTACTCAGTACAAGCAAACAGATAAAGTCAAATCTTTATTACATTCTGAAAAATCTTCATCTAATAATGAGATCTCATCAACAAGAAGAGTTAATACCAGAAGAGATTTACAAGCATATATAAAGACTACCCTTAATAATCAAAAGAAAGTTATTAAGAAAATTCAAGCTTATAACAGAAAGAAATCTTCTCAATCACGTCAATTTCCTTTAGATAAAATGATTAAAACATTTAATATACCTCAATATGATGAATTTATTGGATTAAATAACTTATGGCAGAACTATATGCAAGAATTATTATTTGTTAATAAGAATAAAACTATAGAAAGTATTCCTAGTTTAACTACAATATTACCAAAATTATCGACAGCTGATTTTAATGGTTGTTTATTAACAGTTATCCAATCTAAAAATACAAATTTTGTAGGGTTAAGAGGTATAGTTGTATGGGATGCTCAACATTCATTTTTAATATGTGTTCCTAGCAAGAATGATTCCAAAGAATGGAATGAATCTAAAGATAAATTTAGTCCTTCTGAAATGGTAGGTGGATTTAGATTAGTACCTAAACATAAAAGTTTATTTGCTTTTGATGTAATTATACCTAATGATGAAAGTGAAACTGAATGTATTGGATTCACTATGATAGGTAGTAGATTTGAATTCCGATCTGTAGATAGATCAGGGAAGAAATTCAAAGGTCATGCAGTAGATGGGATCTTATAAATAGAAGTAATGAATAATGACATATATTTTTTAAAGGAATTTCTGTTTTAATGAATTCAATTGTAGTATGAGTAGTTCATCTTTATTTGTCAGTAATTTTTCAAGTATAGTTTGAATTGAATCCAAAAGTTTCGACTTATTCTCTTGACTAATTTGGGTTTTATCACCATTCAATATAAAATTAAGTTCCTTTATAAGGCCAGTAATATCAACATTGTCAGGAAATTCTTGCTTTTCATAATTATCCGGTATTACATTAATACTAGCAGTTGAATCAGATTGACTGAGTTCTGCTTGAAGATTCTTTACTACATCTTCAAATGATCCATCAAACTTCTTAGCATCATTATTTATAAAATCCGAGAATTCCGTTAATACTGAATTGAGATAATCTTCAGTATTATCTATTGATTTCTCATTATTATCATTAGATGTAGAAAATATCCCTAATCCATCCACATTATTGTTTTCTTGTTTACTAGGAGTTGCATTAGATATATCATGTAATGTTTGACTTAATCTAATTAATTCATAATAATTCTCATAGATAATAGTTTTCTTCTCTACAGCATGAGAATTCAATTTATTGGTTAATGAATTCCGTAATTTTAATATATCTTCTATATTACTTGTCTTTATAAAATTAGTGACATCTTCATTATTTTCAAGATTTAAATTTGTAGAATTGGTTCTTGTCCTTTTAGGTTGTTTTTCTTTAATTTCTTCATGATTTGGATCTTTGGATGGTGAACCCTCATTAATGTTAGAAATATCTGATTCATCTTCATTATGTGATATATTATAGAATTCTTGTAATGCTTTCCTCCTCGACAGGATCTTTCTCGTTCCTGCGGTTGGTGTCAGTGGTGAAGAATTATTACTTGAACCGATCAAAGGAGTAGAAGTCTGCGACGGTACTCTACTCAGATTCAATGATGGTTTCTTATAGGATAATACAGGACTATCTGACATTGCAATGCTAAAGTGTATTTCCTTACTGGTGATAATCGGGGAAACCGTTTACATTGAACTTTTTCGCACTGATATCTAAACACTTTATATACGACAAGTTATTAGATTCATTACTGATTTACTACATTATTATAATAAATTCTTATCTATGAGTCTATAGTATGTAAGTACATTACCATAAACTATATACATGTTGATTATACATAAATATTATCACTATATAAATATATATATATATGTGCGTGTGTGACCTGTTATTGTTGGAACCAAGAATCCAAATATGTTGTATCAGCTTCTTCAGCATCAGGAAGAACTTTATAATGTTCAAAGATTGAAAATGATTTAGGTTGTATAACTTGTCTAAATTTATCATTTATAACTATTTTATTTTCTTCTTCTTCATATGATCTTCCATAACCTGCTTCTAATACACTTTGCCAAGTAGCTCTATAAGTATCAGTTGTTTGATTAATTAATTCTAATTTATCATCAAATACAAGTACATCACATAAAGATCTAATATCATTAAGTACTAAATCTATATTAGTAATTTTATTGGAAGTAATAAATTCCATTATAGTATCTAAATTAACAAAACCTGTATGATTAGATGGATATGATGATTGAACAGGATTTGAATCTTCTGTAGGAGCTTGAAATGCAGTAGGATATGTTTTTGAAGCAGCGAATCTCCATATAACAGTTAATAAAGAATCAATAAATTCGGTATCTAATTCTGAATCTGTAAACCATGGACCACCAGTAACTTCAATAGATGGTTGTAAATTATATAACATATAAATCTTTCTGGTTGGATGTTTAACTGATTTAATTGATTTAATATATCTTTGATTTTCTAAAGATTTTAAACATCTTACAACAACATGTTGATGTAAATTAGTTTTAGCTTTAATTGTCTTTGTCCAAATCCCTTCTCTTCCCCATGCTTCAATATATGAATAAATCATAGCTTCATCATCAGTCATTTGGGTAATTTTATTGGCTTCTATAATAGAAACTGCTTGAAATCTTAATTCATCTCCTTGTTTAATTAATTTAACAAGTTTTCTATTAATTAACTCTTGTGCCAAACTTAATAATTCAACTGGTTTAGATATATGAAGTAAATCTTGTAATTCTTGTTGATTGAATAATGTCCCTGAAGGAGACTCTAGCATCTTATTATGAAGCACTTGAGCTCGTTCTGAACTTTCTGCCATGATTCTTTCTTCTTCTTATTTGTTACTATTATTATAAATACTATTCAATTTCACAGAAGAAATGTCTATGGGTCTTCACTTAAGATGATCTGAATATTTTTTTTTTTGTACTATGAATTTTTTTGTTTGTTTGTGCACTAGTTTACCTTTAAGCACCAAATATATAATAATGAATACATATGAAGAATTATCATAAATGACAGATAAGTTAGGTATACTCGATGAATTGGACGATTCTATCGAAACAGTCATACCGAAATTTAAAAAGAAAACTCCTAAAGTTAAGAGTGTAAATGTTCATAGATTGACATTTCGTGATGATGATCAAGATGAAGAAGACAATAATTTAATAATACCGTCTAAACAATCCGGAGGATTTAAAAGTAGAAACCCATTTAAAACAGTTCAATCTAGTAGTTTTCGTAATAATAAATTTAAAACTAATGTAAAGAATGACTCAGATGAAATACTTGAATTAGATGATGATCCAGAAAATGATCCTGTCATTGAAAATATCCATGATTTGGGTGAAGACTTTAAATTACGACCTCATGAAGAAAGTATAAGTTCACCATCACCAATTATACCAGAAAAGAAATATGTACCAATAGAAACAAATAAGTTTTCTATTAAAATATCAAAACAGGAATTACAAAATGAGTATAGAGATGAACATTCTCTAGATTTTAATGAAGAAGATGAACCAAAAGGTCAAGTTTATGATGATAGTGATACTGAGATGGCACAAGCACAATTTATTGATGATGCTCCATTAAAAATTAAAAAGGCTGAGGTTTCAGAGAAATATCAACAAATATCAGATCGATATGATGTAGAAATAAAATCAGATCTGGATTATGATGAAGATGATAATAATAATAATGAAGACTCACCGTTAACTAGTGGTCCTAAGGGCTCAATAAAAGTTAAAGAGATTTTACCTATTGATGAGCAAATAGATGCTTTAAGGCAACGTATAACTGACTTACAAATTAAAAAGACAAATGCCGAAACTAACTTAAACTTATTAACTAAAAGTCTTGCACAAACTAAACAAGAAAAAGAAAACTTGCAGCATAAACTTGATGCTTATGAATTGTAACTATAGTAAATTATTTAAATGCCGTATAATATATGATTTTATTAATGCTAGTAATTACTGCATGTAAGCGTAAATTTGAGAATCCCTAACAAAGCGGCGATCTTCAACCGCGCTTAGCCATTTTCAATTTCCTAATTCGTCATGAGTCATGGACAGTTAATTTAGATTGGATGAAAATTTTCACTTATAACTTTAATATAAAAAGCTTAAGATTCTTCTATATTTATTGAAGACATATAATAATAGATTCCTCTCTCTATAATGATGGCTGTTAAAACAATTACTTCAAAAAGATTCATTTCAGGTACTACCGCATTAAAATCGGCTCCTCGCCATTTAGTGAGTATTTCTCATTTAACTAATGATGAATTTGGATCATTAGTTTCAAAAGCTGAAAAGTTTAAAAAAATAGTTAAATCAGGTGAAACTTCTATTGAAAATCATCAAAAATTATTAGGAAAATTAGTAGCATTATTATTTACTAAACGTTCAACTAGAACTAGAATTAGTTCTGAAGGTGCAGCAGCATTTTTTGGTGCACAACCAATGTTCTTAGGTAAAGATGATATTCAATTAGGAGTTAATGAATCTGTATATGATACCACTAGAGTTATAAGTTCTATGACATCTTGTATTTTTGCAAGAGTTGATAAACATCAAGATATTTTGGATTTAGCTAAAGATTCTTCAGTACCTATTATAAATTCATTATGTGATAAATATCATCCATTACAATCTATTGCTGATCTTTTAACTATAAAGGAAACTTTTGGATCTACTCAAGGTTTAAAATTAACTTGGATAGGTGATGCTAATAATGTTATTAATGATTTAGCTATTGCTTCTTTAAGATCAGGAATAAATGTTTCAATTGCTATACCAAAAGGTATTGAATTTGATTCTGATGTTAAAATTTTAGCTGAAAAATTAGCTAAAGATTCTAATTTAACTTTTGAAATTGTCAATGATCCTGTACAAGCTTTACCAAATGCCAATATAATTGTTACTGATACATGGATATCAATGGGTGAAGAATCTCAAAAAGTTGCTAAATTAAAACAATTTGCTGGTTATCAAATAACTCAAGATTTACTTAAAGCTGGTAAAGTTGCTTCCAATTGGAAATTTATGCATTGTTTACCAAGACATCAAGAAGAAGTTGCTGATGATGTATTTTATAGTGAAAATTCTGTAGTATTTGAAGAAGCTGAAAATCGGTTATATGCAGCTATGGCAGCTCTTGAAGGATTTGTCATTAACAAGGGTGATTTGTTAAAGAATTAATGAAATGTTAAATTAAATAATATCTATATACACTATTATAATGTTCAATATAAGTGAATGAAAGCTAAATCATAAATTTTGCAGTATTCCCGCTAAGCTAAGCTTCCATTCCCAAATGGGTAATATGCGAACCACCACACTAAACTTTTTGTTCGCTGAGTATGTCTCACTATTCCCCCAACAAACCGCCGCCACAATCATTGCGGGCCGAGCCTCGCGGAGGGAGAAATTGATTTAAATGGCTGGAGAAATGTCTAGACAATTGAAATTTTATTAGAATTTCTTATTTATATTTCAATTGGCTTATAGTATATACTTTAATTGAATTTAATATGACTGCTACTACTGTATTTGTTTCAGGAGCCACTGGTTTCATTGCTCAACATGTTGTTAAATCTTTACTTGGTAAAGGTTATAAAGTTGTTGGATCGGTTAGATCTGCCTCTAAGGGAGATCATTTAAAGGGTTTACTTAATTCAAATGATTTTTCATATGAAATTGTTGAAGATGTTGAAAAAGTTGGTGCTTTTGATAAAGCCTTAGAAGCTCATCCTGAAGTATCTGTATTTTTACATACTGCTTCACCATTTCATTTTAAGACATCTAATCCAGAAAAGGATTTATTAAATCCAGCTATCAATGGTACTAAGAATGCCTTAAATGCAATTCAAGCTCATGGTAAAAATGTTAAGAGAGTAGTTATTACTTCATCTTATGCAGCAATTGCAACTTCAACTAAAGAAATTGATAACACTCATACTTTCACTGAAAAGTCATGGAATGAAGTTACTTGGGAACAAGCCACTAAGGATCCAGTAGCAGGTTATAGAGGCTCTAAGACTTTTGCTGAAAAGGCTGCTTGGGAATTTTTGGAATTACAAAAGCCTGACTTCGAGCTTGCCGTTGTTAATCCAAGTTTTGTATTTGGCCCACAAGCATTTGATAGTGAAGTTAAAGATTCTTTAAATACTTCTTCTGAAATCATTAATGCTATTTTAAAGAATGGTCCTGATGCAGATGTACCTGCAAGCAAAGGTGGATTTGTTGATGTTAGAGATGTTGCAGCTGCTCATATTGTTGCCTTTGAAAAGAAAGAAGCTGTAAACCAAAGATTAATTCTTAATGCTGGTAGATTTGCTGGACAAGATATTCTTGATATCTTAAATGAATCATTCCCAGAATTAAAGGGTAAAATTCCTGTAGGTAAACCAGGAATTGGACCATCAATTACTTCTACTTTAGCTAAAGTTGATAACTCTAAGACTATAGAAATTTTAGGATTCGATCTTATCGGTTTAAAGAAGACCGTAGTTGATTCTGTCAAGCAAATTTTGGATTCTAAAAAATAAAGATATTAGCTAGTTGAGTATATACGTTTAAAATATATATAGTTAGGATTTAACCAAATCCGGAATTAACCTATATATGTAGGATTCATTTGATAATGATAATGATTTTGATTAGTTATAAGTGATAATGATATTTCCCCATTAGGAAAGTCCGAGAAGGCCGACGGCTTTTGTGGCAGTCATGGAAATAGTGAATCAACAGTTCCATACAAAATTGTGATGCTTAGAAATCAGCCGTATCGATAGATCCGTAAATTGCCATTCGTATATTATATATATATATTTATATGTATATGATTCGTTTGAAATTGGATTTAAAGTTGTGAGGGTATACTTTATTCATAATTTTAACATTAATACTAAATAATAGACATAGTTATGATTATTACTAAACCATTGACACCAGGGTCAACTGGAAGTTCACTGAAGGAAGGAGATGAAGAAGAGGTACTTTATAGAGGTAGGAAGGTCCCAAGAAGTGTGAGATTACAACAAATGAGAGAATCACAAAAGATGCTACGAGAACAAAGAAAACATAAGGTTCAAATCTTAGAGAAAGAAAATTATTTCTTAAGACAAGAATTAGAAATGTTACGTAAAGGTATAAGATATTTAAAACCTAGAAATGTTAGTGCTGAATCATTTTATCCTCCTTCCGAATTAGATAAACTCTATACTTTTGAAAGAGTTACTACTGATGGTTTACAAAAATTTGCCCAACATAATATACCGTATGAAATATATTCTCGATTCTTTATTGATGGTGTTTGTATTGTTGCTAAAGTTTTAGAAGCAATTACTTTGTGTATAGCAACTGAACCTGCTCCTGAATGTTCAGAACGATTACAAGAAATGTTATTCAAATATACTCCTACTGAAGATTTAAGAAAATTATTTATTGAACAATTGAATCATTATGTAATGTATAAGACTATACCTGATTATTGGAAAAATGCTGATCCACATTTACCTCAGGGAGTTATGAGTTCACTTCTGGTCGTTGAATTTATTGTTAAACATTGTGAATATGAAGCTATTAGTATGGATGCATTAAAGGGATTTTTAGCTAGGTGTACATTTGCTACTTATTGGGGACCCGCTATTTATGTTAATGACGTAATAATTTCTGTTGCTGCAGCATCAGATCCAGATTATGATGGAGATTTAATTGAAGGTAAGTTAGACGATAAGCTTTGTAATACACTGTCATTAACAGTTGATAGTAATCTATCAATTTAAGTATTAAGTGCTAAAATTAGATTGCTTTAGTTGCGACTTGGGATGGGTACAGCCTCATTTCATATACAGCCTCATTTCATATACAGCCTCATTTCATATACAGCCTCATTTCATATTTAAAATAGGGGCACAATAGGGGCACTGACCGAAACTTTTACGCGGCTGTAAATTAGATCTATCGTTCCTTCTTTTGTACATTCTGATATGTACTCATTAAATCGTTGTAATTTTAAAGGTTGTCGGCATTGTGTTAAACATTGCTACGCTATTTCGCAAAGTCCTTTCCATATAAAGCATTATGAGCTTGCTGCTAATAGGTAAAAAAATTGACGAGAAATTTAGAAATTTAGAAATCTAGTAAATTATAGAGAATTTTTTACTAATTAGCCATTTCCAACTTTTATCATGTTATCAACTACCTATCAAAAAATGTATACGACTATAGCATTAAGTTACATATCAGCGCAGAGTTCGGTTCGCAGATGCATAACAGACCTAGTAAGTCTTGGAATGATATTCCTATTGATGAGTTACTAATACATCACTAAATAGAACTTCGTCCATATACTAAACTCGCATACATACAGTAATTTATGAATATATGAATATATGAATATATGAATTTTAGCACTTTATACTAAATTTACGATTTACCTATGGACATACCTTTAATAAGGAAGTCGTGTATAACAACGAAAAATTTAATTTAGCTGCTAATTAGCAACCATATAAAGCTTAAACTTCTTTATCTTATTACAATGGCTGAGTTTATAGATAAAGTACAGTTAACTAAAATAATTAGGTTCTTAATAGTTAACTATGAACAAGACAACTTGAATATATTTAATTCAATAATAATCGATGAACATGATCCCGCTCTCCTAGAACTCAACCAAAATAATAAGTAGATTTCGAGAAAAGGAAGCTAGGATTCATGATGTCTAACTTTGTTGCCTTTTGTGGATGGTCAAATCATCACATGATACATTTAAGTGAAAATTATCTATCTATGGACCAATATATCTTGGATTTCTGATCTCTACACGATATAGTCCTCAAAATGCTTGAGGAAGTATTATTTGAAAGTAATTCACATATTCCATATAATTATGTTAATTCTTGTTTCAATATTTCAGTAATATTTTTCACTTCATTGGCACTTTCTCAGTCGGAAGATGGTCAATTAAGAATATAAGAGTCAGTTACAGCGGTTCCCGGAGATACTTTGAAAATTATCTGCAAGCATTTCCGACATCAATAGGCTTGCCGGGTGATAATGATATGGAAAATAAATTAATGAGCTTACCATTAAATGTTGGTATGTTAAAGAATTCTTTCTTTCAAACTACTAGGATCCTTAGAAAAGTCGATAGTGAAGCAACTTCAAATTCAATTCGAATTTTCATTTCTACCTGGTATCTTAGAATTTCTATCATACAAATTTGATTCTGCAGACGTAATTCCTGATGATGATAGTAGTGGTGTAGTTCGTCCTGATTTAGGAATATGGGTGACTAAGGTAACCAATATTATGTGCCTATCGAGCTTAAAGTGAGCGGACTAAGAGGAGCTGTCGATTCAATAGCAAATCATAACTTGCCATTTATGGGACCGACCGCATTTAGAGAGCATTTCAATCTGAGTGTATTTCAAATGCTTACATATCACTCGGAGATAGGATTCCTCATTGATAGATCTTCGATTATTATTATAAGAATTAAGCTGTCAAAAATCGTCAATCAATTAGTGAATCGAGCTGACAGTTCACTTATAAAAGTCTTAGATTGTGCAGTACTTTGTTTAGAACACAGCACTAATGGTAATAATTTAGGGTCAATATTAATTAGTTATTTGGCAGATTATTTCCAAAATATAACTTTGCAACGTACTACGGCAATTGAAGAGTTATTTAGAAGTTTTCAGCTAAGTGCAGATCAAAAACATTTGATGATGGTTAGTAGGGTAAATTTTGTTAGAGAAGAATGGCTCAAATCGTTCTCAAATTATCGGTTGGTTGACAATTGTTTCGTTCATGATTCCCATCCTGATATTCTGATTCCTCGGGAAATCTTTGAACTCAAAGATTTAATTGAGGATTGGAAAGAAAGAAATGAGAATGAATTTGAAATTGTTCGGAATTTGAGGGATGGTGAACCTATCAATGGTTATTTCTCTAAAGTGTTCTTGAGTAGATTTCGTGGTACCAATCGTGATATTGTACTTAAAGTTTATGACCCTATGTCTACCCCAGTTCTCGATAGAGAAATTGGGTTAGCGGACAGAGAATTCTACAGCGTATTCAGTTATATACTAGAAATGTTTTTCTCAGAAGTTAGAGCCTATCTTACGATCAGAGGTGTTCCAAATGGTACCGATAATTCTCCGCCTGATAGTGGCAGTGGAAACAAATCATTGAATAGTTTAATAAATATTAATTATACTCCTTTTCTTTATGATTTCGGCTATTTTAGTGGCTCGATGGGACTGGGATTTTACTTAGTTGAGGAGTTTATTATAGATCAAGAATTAAATTGTGAAACTGAGCATTTCAATACTTTGGCTCGGGAAGCCCTCACTAAAGTCCATCAAATAGGATTGATCCATGGAGATATACATGCTGGTAATTTAATTTATGAAAGGCGTAGAGATTGAGTTTTTCTAATAGATTTTGGAAAATCTACCTTTACCAACTTTGTTGGTAATGAAAACAATATAGAAACTGACTGGGTAAATTTAGAAAGAACTTTAGTTAAAATTGAAAATATGAGATTTCGTTTAATTCATTAAATGTATGTGTAATTTTGCTAATATTAATTGGTTAAGAGTATAACTACTTATAACAAGAGAAGAGAGTATTTATGTTAATATATGAATTTCTGTTATCAATACTTTCCAGTAATAAAGTTTATGAATACGAATAGCGCTTATATAAAAGATATATTTTTTCAAAATTGAAATCGCAGTCAAAGGTTGAAAAAAAATTTTGGTAGGACATCTCTACCAGTATCCAACAAGTCATTGCAGCCAATAAACGTCAGTTAGTACAAGGCCATGACGTCAGAAGTTGGGTTCAATCCAGTGTCCTCTATTAATGAAGAAGAATTTCATGCCTTAAAGCATTATGGTCCTGTAACTTCATTAAAAATTCATGAAAATTATATTTTAGCTGGTAATGGATCTATATTAAAAGTATTTAAAATTGAAAAAAATGAAAAGACTCGAGTTGTATATAGTGAAAGGGTTCTTAAAAGAAATAAAATCCATTCTATTGTAATTAGTTCTGAGGGGAAAGTATGTATTAGTGGAGGTAGATCATTTGCTATGATTAATTTTGCAGACCTCATCTCAAATAAACAATTTGCAGTAATTGAAAGAGCCATTAATGAATGGATTATTACAACTGAATTTTTAAATGAAAATACTTTATTAATTTTAAATTCTCATAATACTATTTATAAAATTGATATTATTAATAATTTTAAATTAATTGATAAAATTCATTGTAATGAAAAATCTATTTTATATAGTGGATCAATTAGAAAAATTAATGAAAATAAAATTATTATTGCAGCTGGTACTGTTATGAATGGATGTATAATATGGGAATTAAATTCTCGTACTATGTTACATAATTTAACAGATCATGAAGGATCAATTTTTGGTGTAAAAATTGATAATAAGGGACAATATATAATATCATGTTCTGATGATAGATCAATTAAATTATATGATTTCCAATCAGGAAATTTATTAGCATCAGGTTGGGGTCATGGATCTCGGATTTGGAATCTTGAATTCTTTCAAGATACTTCAAATGGATTTAAAATCATGAGTGCTGGAGAAGATTGTACTATGAGAATATGGCAATATTTACCTAATCAAGATATTTTACAACAATTACAATTATGGGAAGATTGTCATAGAGGTAAACATATTTGGTCAGCAGATATTGATGATATAAATTTAAAATTATGTGTATCAGGAGGTGCTGATGGTAAAATAAGATTACATGATTTATCAAATCGAGGTAAATTAAATAATTATACTTTAAATTATTTATCTCAACAAGCTAATATTTCATTTAAAAAGAATGAAATAATTAAAAGTTTTGTTGAATTACAAAGTTTAGGTTTATTAATTATTATTACTTCAGGTGGTCATATAATTTTATTTGATCAAGAATCTCATCAATTCAAATCACTTGAATTATCATCAGATGAAAGTAATAAATTTGAAGGATTTGGGTTAATGCAATCATTTAATGATATTAATGTTGTAGCCGTTAGTAGTATTCATGGAGAAATTTTAATATTAGAATTTACAAGTTTTAATATTCCACCTAAGAAAACTTGGATTAATAATGATATTTTAGGTAAAAATAAAGTAACAAATTTCATGGCTCAATGTATTGGTGATACATATTATCTTTTTATTGATTGTCCAAATTCCAAAATTCCATTTATATTAAAGACATTTAAATATAATTCTCAAGGTTTCCAATTAGAAAATACTCTACTTCTTGAACAACCTCAACAAACAAGTTTTACCACTACAGATATGTCTATAGATTTGAAAAATAATTGGTTAATTGTGGCTTCTAGATATGTTTCATTAGCCATTTATGATTTAAATTCTACTGAAAGACTTATACCTTTACTGAAATTACATAAAAAGATTTCAGCAGGAGATTCAATTACTTCAATTTCAATTATTGAATCATCAATTCCACAAGAAATCATCTTATTAACTATTGTTAGAGATGGAATTTATATGTATATTAGAATTAATGAAACTTTTGATATAAATATTATTCATAAAAATAATATTTCTAGAGGATTTATTGAAGGGGGATATATTGATAATAATAATGAATTAATACTTTATGGATTTAAATCTTCATCATTCTATATTTGGAATGAAACGAAACAAATTGAATTAACTAATGTTTTATGTGGAGGAGCCAATAGACTTTGGAAAGTAATTAAGTATAATGAAGATCAACACCAAATGATTGATTATAAATTCTTATTCATTAATAAATCTGAACTTAATATATTTACATTTCAAGGTAGATTTATAAAAGATAATTATGGATTAATTAATGAAGGAACTCATGGAAGAGAAATTAGAGATGTAACAATTAGTCCTGAATTATTATCAGATAATTCGAGACTTATTATGACAGCTTCAGAAGATACTACATTAAATCTTAGTAAACTTTTATGTGATGGATCAATTAAGAATATTTGGAATTTAAATCGTCATGTATCAGGATTACAAAAGATTAAATTTTTTAATAATAAGTATATTGGTAGTTCAGCTGCTAATGAAGAATTTTTTATTTGGAAGATTGAAATGATTAATAATAATCCTGTTATACGAGAATATTCTCGATTACAACCATCAAATGATAATCCTGATGTTCGTATAATGGATTTTGATTCAATTCCATATTATAATGGACTTTTAATAGCTACAGCTTATTCCAATTCTGATATAAAAGTTTGGTATTTTGATATAAATAATGCTAAATTTCAATTAATTTGTCAAGGAACTTATTCGACATTTTGTATTTTAAATATTACAATGTTACAAATAGATAATCATTATTTTATTCAAATTGGTAGTACGGATGGTTACCTTACTATTTATGATATTTCTCAATCAATTGGTTTATCAAGTCCAGTAAGGACAATTTCTCAAATGATTATTAAACAAAAACTTCATCAGAATGCTCTTAAAGCCATTTATATTAAACCAATAAATTCTTATACATTTAAAGTATTTACTGGAGGTGATGATAATGCATTAATTCTTGGGGAATTAGTATATAATCAATCTAATGAATCATTACAATTTAATATCTTAAGCTTTATTGAAGATGCAGCTTCATCAACTATAACTTCCATATCTAATTATGATGATAATACAATTATTGTTACTTCGGTTGATCAAATTATTCGGAAATGGATTCATACAAATAATGAATTACAATGTTTAGCTGCTACTTATACTACGGTAGCAGATACAGGATGTTGTGATACAACTACTTTCAATGATCAACTGATAACAGTTATTGGTGGAGCAGGTTTAAGTACTTGGAAATAGTTAGTTATTGTATATATATATATATTATATTAATCCTAAATACATAGATGGATAGATAGATAGATAAATAAAAACAAAAGTAAAGTAATCAGTAAACAAAAATATAAATATCTAAAGCTTTAATAATCTCAAGTTAAAGATTGTATCATTAATTGATTGTTCTTCATCAATAATAACATTTGCATTATCATCAGAGAATTCAGTAACTGGCCTCTTAGTTGCTTTAAGTAAGATTTCTTCATCAAGTAATTCTTTAAAATTAATTGTATCTTTAACAAGTTTATATTCTACTTTAATTTCATCAGTAGTATTTAATCCTGCCTTTTTACGTAATCTTTGAATACGATTAATTAATTCTCTAGCTAAACCTTCATTAGCTAATTCAGGATATAAATTAACATCTAAAAGAATTAATACATCTTGTTGAGATCTTGATTCAAATCCTCCAGCCGTTTTATCAGCTGGAAGACCTCTTTGAACTTGTAAATCTTCAGTAATTAAATCAATACCATCAACAGTTAATTTACCAGTTTCAGCAAATTTTTGTACATCACTTGATGAAACATTTGGTAAAGCAGCCTTAACTCTTTTAGCATCTTTCTTTAATTTCTTACCTAATACTGGCCAATCAGCTACGGCAGTATATTCAACCCCATATTTTGCTTCATCAGATGTAATAATAATATTTTTAACATTTAATTCTTCAGTAATATAATCTTTTAATGATTCAACATCTTTTAAATAACTTTCATCAGAATGTAAAATAACTAATTCCTTTAATGGTTGTTTAAATGAAATTGTCTTCTTTTCTCTAATATTACGACCTAAATCAATAACTTTTTGCATTCTTGATACGGCAAGTTCAATAGCTTCATCAAAATATTCTTGTCTAACTTCAGGATAAGTTAAGAAATGAATTGATCTTGTATCTTTAACTTGTTTATTAAGAGCAAATTTTTCTAAATCAGAAGGATGGAAATATTCTCTTAATCTTTGATAAATACCTTCAGCTAAAAATGGAGTAAATGGAGCCATAGCTCTTGAAATTGTTAATAAAGCTTCAGCTAAAGTATCAAGAGCCTTTTTAGTATCTTGAGATCCATTTTCTGTAAAACCTTTAAGTCTTCTTCTATTAAAACGAATATACCAATTAGTTAAATCATCAATAAATGCTAATAATTTTGGTACAACAGTATATAATCTATAACCTTTCATTTCTTGATGAATAAATTGAATTAATGATTGAATTGATGCTAATAACCATCTATCCATAACATTAGTTGAAATTTCTTTTGAATCATATTTAAATTCAATACCATTATCCTTTAAATAAAGTTCAGCAGCATCTTTTAAAAATTTATAAGAATTATACCATGGAGATAAAACTGATGAAACAACTTCTCTAACTCCTTCTTCTTGAAATTTTAAAGTTTCAGCTCTTAAAACTGGTGAATTAATTAAATATAATCTTAAAGCATCAGCTCCATATTTTTCTAAAACAATTCCTGGATCAGGATAATTCTTTAAACGTTTTGACATCTTTTTACCATCAGCTGCTAATACAATACCTGTAACAATAACATTTTGATAAGGAGCAGTTTTAAATAAATGAGTACCTAAAACAGTTAAAGTATAAAACCAACCTCTTGTTTGATCTAAACCTTCAGAAATAAAATTAGCTGGGAAAGCATCTAAAAATTTATCTTTATTTTCAAAAGGATAATGTTTTGAAGCATAAGGCATTGAACCAGATTCAAACCAACAATCAAAAACTTCTTCAATTCTCTTTAATTGACCTTTACCTTGTTTTGAAGGAATTGTAATTGAATCAATACTTTCACGATGAAGATCAGTAATATCTTGAACACCAGATAATTCTTTTAATTCATCAATTGATCCAACACAAACAATTTCTTCATAATCATCAGATACCCATAAAGGTAATGGAGTACCCCAATAACGATTTCTTGAAATATTCCAATCTCTTGCATTAGCAATCCAATTAGAAAATCTTTTATCTTTAATATTTGAAGGAACCCAATTAGTCTTTTCAACATTTTCTAACATTTCAGGAATAATTTCTTCAATACGAACAAACCAAGCAGGTACAGTCTTATACATTAATGGAGTATCAGATCTCCAACAAAATGGATAAGAATGTTTTGCTTGAGAATTAACTAACATTCTACCTTTAGCAATAATATTTTTAATAATAACTTTATCAGCATCTTTAAAATAAAGACCTTTAAGATCAGGAACTTTATTATTCATTTTACCAGTATCATCAACCACTTCAGGAGGAGTTCTTAATTCAGTAATTAATCCATGCTTTTTAGCAACATTAAAATCTTCTTCACCATAAGATGGAGCTTGATGAACAATACCAGTACCTGAATCATTTGTAACATAATCAGCTGTAACAACTTTAAATGCAACATCTTTAAATTCTTCATAAAAATAATCAAATATTGGAACATATTTTAAACCTTCTAAATCTTTACCTAAAATTCTTTCAACAACTTTATATTTAACAGCTGATGGTTTTTTATATAAAGTTGAAATTAAACCTTCTAATAAAATATAATATTTCTTCTTTTCTTCATCATAAATTTTAACATATTCAAAATTTGGATGAACTGCTAAAGCAATATTTGCTGGTAAAGTCCAAGGAGTTGTTGTCCAAGCAACTAAAATTGTATTTTCATCATCAACTAATGGGAAAGCAATAGTTACTGCTGGATCATTAACATCTTTATAATTTTGTTGAGCTTCAAAATTAGATAAAGGAGTTGTACAAGCAGTTGAATAAGGCATAACTCTTAAACCACGATAAACAGAATTTTTATTATATAATTGTTTAAAAGCCCACCAAACTGATTCCATAAATTCTGGATATAAAGTTTTATAATCATTATCCATATCAATCCATCTACCAAGTCTTGTAATGGTTCTACGCCATTCATCAGCATATCTCATAACAATGGACCTACATTCATTATTATAATTTTCAATACCCATTGCATAAACATCTTCCTTTGAAGTAATACCTAATTTTTTATCAATTTCATGTTCAACTGGTAAACCATGAGTATCCCAACCAAATCTTCTTTCAACATGATGACCATTCATAGTGGCATATCTTGGAATAATATCTTTAACAGTTGAAGCTAAAATATGTCCATAATGTGGTGTACCAGTTGCAAATGGTGGACCATCAAAGAATGCAAATGGTGGTAAATCTTTAGTTAATTCTAATGTTGTATTAAAGGCATCATACTCTTTCCATTTTTCAAGTACTGCCAATTCTTCTTTAGCAAAGCTAAACGCTTGGTAGCCTGATTCCTCACTCATAGTAACAATAACAATCTACTATAGTTTACTATACTTAACTGGTTACTATACTTAAGTGGTTACTAATCCAATTGACTTAGTGGGTGGGTAGTGAAAAATAAAAAAAAATTTCGATCAATCGTTATGTTGGGCGGTGTGTGCAGGTCCGACAAAAATGGTAATGGGAAAATGAGAATCATTTAGTGGGTGCTTACCAGTTTTTATATATACGATCGCGATGAGTCACAAGACTCAGGCGACTCAGACATAGTCATAGTCATAATCATAGTTATACAAATGATATGATTAGTCATGAAGTGTTTAAGGACACATTGTTAAAGTGTTGGAAAGGTAATATTCCCAAACGGGTAGTAGTGGCTCTTTCAGGAGGTGTAGATTCAGTATGTTTAACCTATTTATTAAGTGAATATCGTAATAAGTATAATCCTCAATTAGATATTAATGCAATAACTATTGATCATAAATATCGAATAAATTCTGATCATGAAGCTGTTAAAGTAGGAGAATTAGTTCGAAAATGGGGGGTTAATCATATAATTAAGGGGTTAAGTTATGAACAAAATATTCATAATTTATCAAGTTTTGAAGAAGTGGCAAGAATGAAAAGATATAAAGTATTTGAAGATATTTGTCTTGAATTAAATTCTGATTTATTAGTAGCCCATAATCTTAATGATCAGATTGAAACTTTTGTTCAACGATTACAGGGGAATCTGTCATTATTTGGTCTTTGTGGATTAAAATTACGTTCAGTATTACCAGTTCAACAACAAATTCCTTATAAACATCAAATATTAGTATTAAGACCATTATTATCATTTGATAAACAACAACTTATTGAAACATGTCAAAATTCAAATATTAAATGGTTTGAAGATATCACTAATAAGGATATAACTTTAACCAGAAGAAATTATCTTCGACATCTTATTAATGATATTATACCGAATAATGACAAGTATAATAGTATTTCAAAACAAAATCTAATCGAAACTCATCAACAAGTTGTCGATTTACTGAATTGTTTACTTAAAAAAGTAAAGTATATTCATGAGTATATGATTGATAATGATTGTATTAAAGTAGATGAGAAAAATGCAAAGCTTAGATTAATATTTCCTAAAAGTTTACTTACTACCGATAGTATATTACCGTTTAGTCGGTATCTATACTTTACATTATTCCCATTTTCTTCAGTCAAACATTATCATTGGGTATATGCTAAATTAGAGCGACAATTAGTACCTAGATTTGTTAATTATTTACAAACCAACAATAAGTCTCGAGGTAAATTCATATACCTTAATCTTGTATTTGAAATGACTAGTTATGCTGATCGTATTTTACTTGAAGTTGTACGACAACCTATTCAACGAACTGATTTATCACAAATTGAAACTTCAGTACTGATAACTAATGAATGGTCATCATGGGTAATGTTCGATAGAAGGTTCTGGCTTCGATTTAAACTGAATCTGTCTCTGAATCATCCAACATCCCTTACCATAGTCCCTTACAATCATAAACTTCATCGAAAATTATTACATCCCAATATTGCCCAAAGTGATATATTCTCTCCTTCCATCAATACTATACCGGCAATAATTAATAATGATAATATGATAGTTGGACTCCCTACACATGATTTGTATATAGACAATTCCATTTCAGGAGAATGGACATTAAAACCAAATGTATATAGTAAAGATCTTATGGATTAAAGTAATAGACAAAAGTAAACAAGTAATTAGTAGCGGACACTATTATGGCCTATCTGCAGGAACTCTGTCCTGGTAAATATAAAGTGAAAGATTTATATACTACAAAAGCTAAACTTTTACTCAATAAGACATAATCAGAATGCCTTCAACATCATATGTTGATTTGACACAAATCTCAATGACTCCCCGAACAGGAGGAGGTCCTAATGGACAAACTCCGAGATCATATCGACCATCTACCAATAAGAATGGACGACTTCCAAATAATTATGGACTGAGTAGACCATTTAAGATTGGACATCAAAGAGTTAATGTTGATATAGATTTATCAAATAATAGTATAGAAGGATTTACTGAGATAACTGTATTACCATTTATTGATAGTTTAAGAAGTATAAAATTAGATTGTCGAGAAATTTCTATTAAAGATATTTATATAAATAATTCAAGAAATATTAATTATATTTATAATGATAAATTATTTATTAATGATGAAAAGAATTTTGATAATTCAATAACTAAAGGTATTTGGAATATATTTGATATTTATTCTGATGATATAACTATTCATCAACATCATATGATTCGTCAACGATTAAATTATATATTTCGAGAATTTAATTATGATAGTAGAAATACTCCTGGTACTGAAGAATTAATAATTATATTTCCTGATAATTTAAGATTAGAATTAACTGATTTAACTTCAATTACAACTCCAGGAAGTTTACCTGGTACAACTACTCCATTACATTTAAAATCAAAATCAACATTAAATGAAATATTTACTCCAATAAATATTAAAATTGAATATGAATTAATAAATCCAAATAATGGAATTAATTTCTTTACAAATAGTGATAATAAAAATTTATGGCATGCTTATACAACTAATTCAGATTATAATATTTCAACATCTTCTTGGGTACCATGTCTTGATAATTTATGGGATAGATGTACTTGGTCAATTGAAGTAAATGTTCCAAGAACTGTTAAAGATATTGGTAATCCTCGAATAATTGGTAGTAAAGCAGCTAAATTAAAAGTATATAATAATAATAATAATAACAATAATAATGATAATGATAATGAAGATAATCAAGGTTCCGATATTGAAGATGAAGATGTTGATTTATCAGTTTGTTCAGGAGATTTTAATAATGTAAAGGAAACTCCTCATCCAATTGATTTATCAAAAAAAGTTGTATCATGGGCAATATTTAATCCAGTATGTTCTCATCATGTTGGATGGGCAGTTGGATGTTTTGAAAGTTTTATTATATCAGATATATCTCAACCTTCAGAATTAGATGAAGACACAACATCTGATGAAGTTGATAAAGAAATTGTAAGTTCTCCAATTACAATTTATTGTTTATTAGAACATTTAGAAATGGCAAAAAATACTTGTGCAATAGTTGGTAAAGCTGTAGATTATTATCTGAAAGAATTTGGTTCATTCCCATTTAGTTCTTATTCAATTGTATTTATAAAAGATAGTATAATTCCTGTATCAAATTTTGCTGGTTTATCAATATTTAGTGATGAAATTTTATATCCACCAAATTTAATTGAACCAATGTTTTCAAGTACAGAAATAATTCTGGAAAGTATTTCATCTCAATGGTCAAATATTAATATAATTCCTCAAACTTTTAATGATATTTGGTGTACAATTGGAATTTCAAGATTTATGTCATTTCAATTTCTTCGAAGTTTAATGGGGAATAATCAATATCGTTATAAAATTAAACAAATGATTGATCAAATTGTTGAACAAGATATTGGTAAAGAACCAATTGGTTTACAAAATTTTAAATTTCCAGTATCTCAATTAGATCTCTCATTTATAAAATTAAAGGCACCAATTGTATTATTTATATTAGATAAAAGAATGACAAAAACTGATAAATCATTTGGATTATCTCGAGTTTTACCAAAATTATTTTTACAAGCTATGTCAGGAGATTTACCAAATGGAACTCTTTCAACTCTGCATTTTCAATATACTTGTGAAAAGGTTAATCGAAATAAATTAGAAAATTTCTTTAAAGAATGGGTATTTGGATCAGGAACTCCAACTTTTAATGTATCTCAAAAATTTAATAAGAAAAGAAATGTTATTGAAATGAGTATTAGACAAGTTCAACATATTGAATCAAAAAGTTTACCTCCAAATCCTAATACATTTATTAAAGAATCTATATCATTTTTAGAAGATGAACCATATTATCCAATTCAAACTGTATTTACTGGACCCATGACAATAAGAGTTCATGAAGCTGATGGAACTCCCTATGAACATATTGTTGATTTAAAAGAAAATCATTCTAAATTAGATATTCATTATAATTCTAAAACTAGAAAAAAGAAAAAGGATGATACAATTGAACCAGGATCTAATTTTAGTAAATTAGGTAATGTATTACAAACTAAAAGGGATATGGAAGAATGGAATTTTGCTGAATGGGAAAAAAGAGAAGAAGATACTGATGCATTTGAATGGATTAGAGTTGATGTAGATTTTGAATGGATTGGGAAATTTATTATTAAACAACCTGATTATATGTATGGAGCTCAATTACAATATGATCGAGATGTTGAAGCACAAATTGAAGCCACTAGATATTTTGCAAGATTAGAAAAACCTCAATTAGTTCATGCAACAGTTTTAACTAGAACAGTTATGGATTCAAGATATTTTTATGGAGTAAGAATTGCAGCTGCTAAAGCATTAGCTAATTTTTCAAATGAAAGAAATAATTATTTTGGATTATATTATTTAATTCAAATATTTCAAGCCTTATTTTGTTTCCCATCAAGTACAATTCCATTAAGTAATGATTTTAATGATTTTAATAAATTATTTTTACAAACTGAAATCGTTACTATATTAAGTACAATTCGAGATGAAAATGGTCAAGTTCCAATGATAATTAAAGATTTATTATTAAATTTATTAAAATATAATGATAATTCTAATAATGTATTTCGAGATGATTATTATGTGGCTAATCTTTTAATTTCTTTAACTGATAGTTTAATTGGTGATATACCAATATCTTTTGATACTTATCATATAAATAAAGCATCATCAGTTGATGAAATTGCTATAAAGGAATTAGAAAGAATTCAAAAATTAGATGAATGGATTCCATCATATCAACAAATAATTTCAATTACAACTATAAGACAAAAGATAAAACTTGCAATTCATAGTAAATTAATTATAAGTTTTGAAAATTTAATTTATTATACAACTCCTAAATTTTCTTATAATATTAGATTAGAAGCATTTAAAGGATTATTAATTCTTGGAGGTTTAAAGAATAAAAGTATATTGAATTACTTTTTAACTACATGTTTAGTTGATATATCATCGAGTAAATTTCGATCTAATTTAATTACAATACTTATTGAATCAATAAGTATTGTAGCTCTTCAAGGTTCACCAATTTCATTAGATGATCCTGAATTTAATTCATTTGAAAAATTAAGTGGATTGGTTAGAGGTCAAGGTAGTAATATGATTATTATTGATAATGATTCTTCACAAATGGATAGTAGAAGAGATGCTCTTGCTCGAGCTACAATAGATGGAGCTATAGTAATTTTAAGAAGAGATTATTCTATTGGGAATGGATTAAAGAATATATTATGGGAATTAATTCATTCTTCATTAATTAGTCTTCATGATAAAAGAAATATCTTTTTAATATGTGATATTTTATATGAAGAAATTGATCAATTTAATGTAAGAATTCCAATACCAAGTTTACCAATAACTGAATTTAATAAAAAAATTATTGCTAAAAATATTGGTAATGGTAAAGTAATATTTAAGAGAGAAGGTAGATTTAAATTACAATTAGCATCAAGAAAGATTAGTGTAGCAGAATCCAAACCTAAACCTAAGATTCCAGAAATTATTGATATTAAGAAAGAACCTAAATTAAAATTGAATATTTCTTTAAAGCCAACTGAAGTTAAGAAGAAATCTTTAGTAATTCCACCTAAACCTATAGTTTCTATTGATAGAAGTCATGGATTACTGGTAAAGGTTAAGTTTGTTACAAAACAATTATCAAAACTTGCCCCACTCAGATCAATAAAAGCAGTAAAATCTCATAAATCTTCAGTGGCTTCTGTACCACCACCATCAATACCACCACCAATACCATCACCAGTAGTACCATCACGCCAGAGTATTGTTCTGATAAATGATTCATCCATTACATTCAAGTTTAAAGGTAACTCAGTAGAAAGGTATGAACTGTACCTCCATAATGTGAAACCCTTACGATATATTAAAATTCATTTAAACAATAACAAAGTAGAGGTATCTCGAACCCCATTTGAACAGAAACAGATACAAGACACTCCATCACAAGACACTCAAACAAAAACAGTAGAAAAGGTAAAGCTGGAACCACCCACAACTATCTCATCTTCACGCTCAGTAAGTCCATTTACCAATCCTACATCTACAACTACACCTATCGCTAAACCTAAAGCTAAACCTAAAGCTAATGCCTATATTCACCAACCTGCTACTACCAGTACTAAGTCCACTACACCTGTTGACTCAGAAAAGAAACCTATCCTCAAACTCAAGCTCAGCTTGAAAAAGTAAATTCGCCTGTATTATATATACCTACATATAAACGTTCTGTACTATACAAAATTATACCTGCGCATTGTAACGTATCGTAAACTGAGCTGGCTGGTTATTATTATTATTGTTATAACCTAATTGTTTGCGATTTGTTTGGTCCGGCATACACATACACCTTTCGGCAAACCCTTTAAAATTAATTTCTTACTATCACGACTTTTGTTTGTTACGGTAAACTTAATAGTTAATAGTTAATAATTAGGGGATATTTAATATTAAGGGATATAGTAAAGAAGTCATGTCTTTTAATAGTCCCTTGGGGTTTAGTATATCCAAATCAACTCCTACTACTTCCACTACTAATACTAATGGTACATCTACTACTCCATCATCTCATGAATCTACTACAACACCTAAATCACCATTCTTTCAGAATATTTTAGCTAAAACATCTCCCTCCATTGAAACATCTCCTAAAGTACTTCCTACAACTTTTGTAGACTCTACTACTACTCCAGTATTAATTCGAGGAGGAGGAGATGATGGTAATTTATCTACCACTACTACCATCAATAATATTAGTCATAGTCATAATAATAATACTAATAATAATACTGTTAATACTAATAATATTAATAATAAAGTATCTTCAAATTCAATTAACTCATCAATTAATAATATCCCTAATAAATCTGATTTAATTGGCCTATTTGATAAGTTTGATATTGGAGTAAAACCAGCAGATTCTTCAGAACCTGATAAGCAAGTTCATGAAGATGGAGAAGAAAATAAAGAAGAAAAGAAAGAAGATGAAATAGATCAAGAACAAGAACAGGAACAAGAACAAGATTCAACTACCAATGAGAAAGTCACAGTTGAAGTCAATAAAACATCATTAATGACCATTCAACCATATAATCCTGAATTGACTCTGACAGAAATTGTTCAAGAAGCATCATCTTCTAGTGTAGAAGAATCAGTTCATGAACAAGATTTAAATGAGAAAGAGCAACAAGATGATAATAAAGACTTGACTGATATCACTGGTGATGTAGAAGGTCTTGAAAGTTCTGAAATTGAAGAATATGAATTAAAGAATGATGAAACAAGTAAACGTCGACCAACAATTTCAAGTATACATTCTGAATCTAAAATTTCAAGAATTGCTCAACCTCAAGTTAATCCTGAAGAACAATATCAACAATCTCATAAACCATTTTATTTTCAAAATTTCTTAAATCAATTAAAGAAGAAATCTGCTGATCCTATTGTTAGATATATACGATCATTCTTAGTATCATTTTTAAGACAAGGTCATACATTTACAGCTGAACAAAGAATTAAAATAATTCAAGATTTTAAAAACTTTATGAATGAAAAATTTACTTTATATGAACCATTTTCATCAATGGATGAAATTGATTTAGAAAATTCTCGAGAAGGATTAGAAAAACTTATTATGAATAGATTATATATTCATTGTTTCCCACCAGAAGTTATTAAAGAAAATCCCAATTATATACCTCCATCATTTGAAGATAATTTAAAAGATGATAAAGAATTTTCTAAACAAGTTGAAAAATTTAGTTGGATTAATGGTATTCATCTTGATATTAATATAAATCAATTATCTGAATCTATTAAAGATAATGAACGAGATTTTTTACAATATTCAATAACTGAAATGAATAAAATAAATGGTTATAGAGCTCCAAGAGATAAAATTATTTGTATTTTAAATGCATGTAAAATTATTTTCAGTTATTTAAAAGTTAGTAAACAAGAAACTAATGCTGATGAATTTATACCATTATTAATTCTTGTATTAATTAAAGCAAAAACTAATAATTTAATAAGTAATATTAATTATATTGAAAATTTCCGAGGTCAAGAATGGCTTATTCATGGAGAAACAAGTTATTATTTATCATCTATTCAAGGAGCCATTGGATTTATTCAAAATTTAAATGTTAAAGATTTAACGGTTGAACAAGATGAATATAATGCCCATTTAGAAGCTTGGGAAGCGGAAGAAAAACAGAAACAAGCTCAACAAGCATTAATTCTGCCTCAACCAGTTCATATACCTCAATCATCTAATAATAATAATACAACATTACCTCCAAGTCAAGGTTTATCACCTTCAAGTGTATTAATAACTAGTGCAGAAATGTTTACAAAATCAATTTCTAATTTTTTATCACCTTCACCACAACAAGATGAGGATCATCAACATCAACATCAACATCAACATCAACCAGAAGAATCTGAAACTCATGATATTGAATTAGAAAAGTCCACATTTAATAATTTACAAGAAATTTTTCCAACTTTAGATATTCCTATCTTAAAGGATATTGTATATATGAATAAGGGAGATATTGACATTTGTATAGATACATGCTTAAAGCTTGTGAATGATATTTAGATTAGTTAACAATTAAAATATTTATTCAAATTAACTATCACAATAATGTAGAGTAAATTATAGTAACCGCTAATTAGATAACTTTATGAATCGGTCACTAAACAGGAACTAAACAGGAACTATTTACAGTGAAAAATAGCGGGTAGTAGTTGTTATCTCTCGGGACAGCATTGCCTAATGCGGTAATGACTTACGGACAAGCTGCGAAAATTATATGGACCCAGTGGTGAACGACTACAGAGAAGAATGGTATAAATATGCATTGAATTCATGAAATAAATGAATAAATATCTAATTATTATCAATTACTAAATTACTACTGCTATTACTAGTATCACTACAAAAACACTCACTCAAAATGCCTATGTTATATAAACCATCAGTTGAAGGTAAAGAAGTTAAACCACCTCAAATTCCATCTCCAGGTAATAATTCATTCTTAGGAGATATTTTCACTTCTGATGCTCCAAAAGAAGAACAAATTTCTTGTGGATTCTATAAACAAGAAAAGGGTGAAGCACTTGTGTATACTTATACTTATGATGAAATGAAGATTATTTTAGAAGTTGAAGGAGAATATTCAATTAGTGATGAAACTGGTTATAAAGTATCTGCTAAGCCAGGGGATGTTTTCTATTTCAAAAAGGGTACTACTATTACTTTTGAAACCACTGGTTATGGTTATGCTTTCTTTACTGGTTTAAGACCAAATGGTACTGCTTAAGTGTATAGTTGAATATAGTATATAATTATTACAAGTACTTTTAGAGATTTATTGTTAATTATATTGTAACTCAATTGTATGTTATGTAAACAATTGGCTATTTTGTTTACTCTGTAACTGTAATGTACTGTACTGTACTGTACTGTACTATAACTGTACTATAACTGTACTCTTAGTTAATTATTCTAATTATATACTATAGATTTCCTGTACATAGCACAGGACCCCCATTACATATTTTTCACCTCCACTATATCACTCGACGAATATCTCTAATACACTAACTAAGATGCCTATTGATTACTCCAAGTGGGATAAGATTGAACTCTCGGATGATTCCGACATTGAAGTCCATCCCAATGTGGACAAGAAATCATTTATTAAATGGAAACAAAGAGATATTCATGAAAAGCGTCAACAAAGAAATATCGAAATCAAAACTATTTTAATTCAATTAACTATGTATTCAAAATTAAATGAAAGAGTTGATTATATTTTAAATAATTTACCTAAACCAGTATTATTATCTAATCATGAAGTCTTAACATTTCTTAATCAAAAATTTGATAAAAATGAAAAATTTGATTATAATAAGTTAATTTCTGAAAAGGGTGATAATTTAAGAAAGGGGTTAAAGGATTTAGTATTTGAACCTGAAGAAGTTCAAAATACTCCTCCATATAATGAAATGGTAGAAGATTTACTTATTCAAATTAAAGATGATCATCCTGATCATAAGGAAGATGCTGAAAAGATTATTGAATATTTAAAGGAACATCGAGCTAAAATTGATGATGTATTATCTAAACAAACTATTAAACTTGATGAATTATTATATCAAAAATCTTTATTAATTAGTAGTGATGATTATCATACGGGATTTGATCGTTCATTCTTAAATAAAGATAAGAGTGAAGAAGAAGTAGCACCATCTAAATCCACTTCCACCTCCACCACTAAAAAGGTAACAACCACTACTATAGAAACTATTAATGAACCATCATCAGCAACAACAACTCCTCAACAAGTTCAAAAATCAGATAAAGATATTTTAGATGAATTAGAACTTTTACCGGAAACTTCAGAATTTGCAAATATTAAATCTCTTGATGATTGTGCAAGTTATTTATTAAAGCATACTCATATTTGTAGTGAACAACAAAAGGATGCATTAATTATGACAGCATTTGATTTACAATTAGAAGGTAAATCAAATCAAGCCAAACAAGTAATTCATCAATCATTACTTTTACAATATATTTCACAATTAGCAGGACCTCATCCAAATCGAGATCAAATTATAAAAGCAATTAAATTATTTATATCTAAATTAGAAGAAACAAGATCCCCAGCTCAATTGGCATTTTTACAAGATGTTGATAATACATTTAATCATATTAAAACTCGATGTGAAGTAATTAAATCTGAATATAATTCTAATAATGAAAATGGAGAATTGGGTGATGGAGATGGAGATGAAGAAGCATTAATTCAATTAAAAGCATTAGATGATAATACTCAATTACTGGTAAATATTCCTCAACCAGGTACTTCAGAATATGAAATCTTTACTACTAAATTATCATTAGAAATGCAACAAGCAGTTGAAACTAAATCTTTAGATGAAGTTAATAAAGTATTTGCAAAATTAAAAGTTGAAGATGCTGAACAAGTTCTTGAAATCTTTAATGAATGTGGAGTTATTGGGATTACTGGTTATTTAGAGAATGAAGATGAATTCAAGGAATTACAGAAGCAATACAATGAAGCTGAAACTGAAACTGAAACTCCACAAGTTAATGAATTATCCATTGAGGATACTGTAGATTGAATTATATAGGCGTTTGTTTATTAAATGTATGCACAAGATTAATTCATAGAGATGATTTATGATTTATGTTTACTTTACTTCTTGGTCAATTTGGCTAATGTATCTAAAAGTGCTTGACTACTATATGGAGTTTGTTGAGATTGTTGTTGAGAAGATGGACGTTGTTGAGATTGTTGTTGAGGTGGAGGTTGAGAGTATCCTGAATTATTCGATTGAATTCTTGATAAAAGTGATTCAACTTGTCCACTTGGACTTTGTTGAGGTCCTCCATATGGTGATTGTTGTTGTCCATAACCTCCACCATAATTATTTCTTGGTGGTGCACCTCCATAACCTTGAGATTGTTGGAATGGTGATATTTGTTGTTGAGGTGGTGAATGTTGTTGTTGTTGTTGTAATGTACTAACCAACTGTTGAAGTTCTGCGGGATTCATTCCTTGTAATTGTTGCATAATTGCATTAGGATCAGGATTCTGATTTGGATTGACATTTGGTTGTGTATTAGGATTAGGACTTTGACTGTATTGGTTATATGGTGGTTGTTGTTGTTGACCATATTGGGAATTAGGTTGGTTATAGTATTGACCTTGTCCTTGTCCTTGTCCTTGTCCACCATGTCCACCATATGGATATTGTTGTTGTTGACCATAAGTTGATGGAGGAGGAGCTTGTTGATGATTAGACCAATTTTGATTTGGATTGGCATATGATGGACCACCTCTATCTCTACCACTTCTTGAATTACCTCTACCACCTCTACTATGACCACCACCATAACTTCCACCACTTCTTTGATTACTTGATTCATCATTATATGAACGTTTTCTACTATAAGGATTATCATAAGGATTAGGACCACGAGATGATCCTTGACCTTGATAACCATAAGGTTGAGATTGAGATTGAGATGAAGATTGAGATCTTAATGAATTATCATTATATGAAGTATCTTGAGGATAATAAGTTGGCATATTATTACCATATTTTTTAACTTTAGCTTTTGAAAGTATATCAGCTGCAACTTCAGGATCAACATCAGCATATTCATCAAATTTAACTCCTCCATCAGGGGTACTTTCAAAAGTTTGAACATCAACTTTTAATTCTTTAACTACACAAGTTCCTAATACTCCTGAATAAGCTGCTTCACTAATTACATCATTTATATCTCTATGAGTTACATCTTCAGTATCAACTGTAATTTGTGAAGAAGCAAATGCCTTTTTAACTTTTCTAATATAATAAACTGATGATTTACCAGTAATATAAATTTGACAATCAGGTAAAATTTTTCTCTTCTTTTTATTATTACCTTCTTCACTAAATCTTTCTCGTCCTGATGATGAAAGATTTGGATTATTAATATCAGGTCTACCTGCTCTTCTTGATTTTTGAGGTTTTGATGCATCTAATCTCATGATTTTATTATGTAATGGTACATTAGTTTCACCTTTAATACATTCATAACATGCTTCTGCTGTTCTAAATTGTGCAAATCCATAACCTGCCTTTATAGCAATTTGTATAACATCACCATATTGAGAAAAAATTCTAAATAAATCTTGTTTGGAAATTGTATTTGCTGGTAAATTTCCAATAAATAATCTCAGTTTATCAGGAAATTCATCCCAATTTTGTAAATCCATATAATAAGATTCTGTTTTTATAAATTCATCATATTGTTCTTCTTCTTCAGGAGTCATTGGAGCAGTAATATTTGGTCTACGACAATATTCATTGATTGGAATTAATGGAATTGGATCTTTTAAATTTTTGAATGGCTTATTATAGGAATAAACTTGGTCATAATTAATTCTTGAACTATTTAATTGAATATCTTTTTTGGTCAATTCATTAACAATTAATTTCATTTGTTCTGCTTGCAGGAGATTTACAAAACCTGGGTTATTAACTAGATCACTTTGCATTATTTGAGAATAAGCATCTCTCAATTCTTGTTGAGCATCACCTGTAATTGCCATTGGAGTTAAAGTAGGAGATGCTGCTACTTTAGCAATAACAGGAGGTTTAGGTGGTAAACCAGCTGGAGGAGTTTTACCTTTCAAAATAGAAGATACTACTGGAGGAGATTCATGAGAAATAGGATTAGTAGTAGTAGCAGTTGAAACAACTACTCCTTCGGGATCATAATCAAAATCATCCTCCTCAGTTTCTTGTTTGGGTTGAGGTTCATGATCATCTTCTTTGAATGCGGCAGTAGGATCATAATCATCATCTTCTTCTTCATTTTGGGCTTCAGGCTGAGATTGAGATTGAGCTTGAGATTGAGATGGAGATGCAAGCTCCGGTTGAGGCTCAGCTTGAAGTTCGGGTTCATAGTTATCTTCGGCTTCAGAACCGTTCTCTTTATCGTTATCGTTTTGATTATCATTATCTTTACTTACGGCAGGCTCATCATCTGATTCAACTCCTTCAAAGAATTCAGTTACTTCATCTTTAGCAGAGGCCACGGCAACTTGTTCGAGAGCTTGAGGTTCTGATGTTCTTTGTTCCTGTTCTTGGTCTTGTTGCTTTTCCTGGTCATTGTCATTGTCAGGTTGTTCTTCAGACTTATGTCTGATAGTCACGGGATTCACTTCCATTGTACGGTCAATAATGAATAAGTATATTCAGCTAAGTGGTACTTTGAAGTTTGACCATTTTTAATTTTTCTCGAGGATATTCGTCGTGCCGAAAGTGGAAATGATTTAGTAATGCACGGGCTGTGTGCACGTGAGGAAATAGACAGATAATAAAAATAGAGCAAAAAAGAGCAATTACAGTGAGACCGGAATTACACAAACTACCGAAATGAGTTAATTATACTCATACCTTATTCAATTTCATTGTACTAAGAAAGTAGATTTATTGCAATTGATTAAGCTCAGCTTATGGTTATCTTTATCGTTATCATAAATGCTTAAATGCTCTTTTGTTATATTATATAATTTGGATTATAATCTACAAAAAGTTAGTGTGCATAATGGTTAGGTGATTCTTAACTAAAGATAACTATTTTTTGCTAAGCTGCAAAATGAATTTTTAATGCAAATTCCTGCGAAATGTATGCGATTGGATTTCAGATTCAAGTTTCCAATATTTACTGCCTGGGGATATTACTGTGTTGGGTAAAATAATGAAAATGAGGTTAAAAGAAGGGTCTGATTTTATAAAGAATAACTATGAATTTGTTACAATTTTATCAGGGGAAAGTTTTGGAGAGACTTATGGTTGTGATATAAAAATTAAAGAAAAGGCCAGTGGGAAGTTCTTTTTATTAAAGATATATGATATATTACGTTCGCGTGCTTATAAAGCCAGCCATATGGATGCAAATGCATCTTTCAGTTTTGTTACACGGCTCTTTAACAAGGAAGTGGCTAGTTCAACCAGATTAGAGAAACTAAATAACTTTCCACAAGTCTTTTATTATGGCTACTTCAATGGGAAAACAAACGTTTATCAAGAAGAGCTCGATGACTCCAGCTTAGCTGACATGCCTTTTATAGGGTATTTTATTATTGAAGAATTTTTTTGAGGGTATTCCTTTTAAACAAATAAATAAAACTAGGAGAAAGGAACTTCGCAACCAATTGAAAACGATTTTGAGGAGGGCCAATAATCATGGTGTCTATCATGATGGGTGGAATATTTTAGTATCTACTACAAATGAAATTAGAATTACTGAATTAGGTCTTTCTATTCTAGATTATCAGCCAAATCAATTTGGATATGAATATGGTGAAGAGCTATACAATGATCCAGACGTTCGGTGTGAATTTTATGAGAACATTGTTCAAGATTTTGATAGTAGTGATAATGATACTACTGGTATCCTGGATGAAACAGATGTTGATGATAACATAAATACTGATGAATCACTTACAGGTCAAAAAGACACTGCTAATTCAGTGGAAGGGAATAAGCGCAAAGTTGGCAAGAAGCGGAAAGGGGGAGTAAATAGGAGAGGAAATAATTGGTCAAAGAAAAGAAAGTAAAGATATTATCAAGAAGGATTCTATTTGTCCATGATAGTTTATTCTTTTCTGAAAGTAATTTTTGAATTAATTTGGATCTTGGAACTATACCACCTATATTACACATGTATCATAATAATCTATTGTTTAAGAGTTTATTTCCTGTTTTTTGCAGTTATCTTTATATTGAACCAGTCTCTTTTATATTAATACTGAAATATATAAGTAGTTTTCTTTTTGAGACTAAACGTCAGCTATTCATAATAGTAGATGGTTGCAAACAGTGTATCACACATATAAAAATTGGCTCTTATTCTCGTAAGCTCTAAATGTTTTGCAGACTGTCTTTGATTGTACTTCCGACTTTTTCTTCAGACTAACCCGGTTGAGTTTTTTCGGGGGTGTACAAATAATGACGAAATTTCACTATAAAGTTCTTCGACTATAACAAAAAATATCTTTAAATCTGTACAATGGTTTATATTAAAGCATTCTTGGAAAAGAATTATCTGGTAAGAAAACATCATTTACACCTATTATTAAAGTTACTAGAAGTTCATTTCCGGAGGAAGGGCATTTCCGGTCAGAGTTATAAAACAAAAAAAAACTTATATACAGTTCTGTTGCATGTCGCCGCACCTGCCCCATTCGGAAATACCCCAACAAGCTGAAATCATAACATATCAAATCATCATCATCAGTTATACTAAAGGTTTACAATTCCTTTCCTTTTTACAAGTCTAAACTGTACAGTATAAACTCAGTTAGTTAGTCATATCATAAATAAATCATGACATTGTTTCAGAATTTCAATACACATTCATTAAGATCTACAAGAGGATTTAAATTAAAACAATCATCACCAATTTCTAGTCCTCAGCCCGTATCTAATTCTACATTCTTACCTTCAACACCTTATCAACAACCAGTATATCAAACAGTTAATTTAAATGGTGGAGTTCCTGCTCAATCTGTATCATCTCATAAAGATATAAGAAATTATGCTGAACAAACTTTAGGATCAGATAATGCATTAATTCAAGCGGTTAAATTACCTCAAGATGAAGATATAAATGAATGGTTAGCAATTCATGTAGTTGATTTTTATAATCAAATTAATATGTTATATGGAGCTATAACTGAATTTTGTTCTCCATTAACTTGTCCAAAAATGATGGCAACTGATGAATATGAATATTTATGGCAAGAAACTTCAACTATTAGTAATGGATCAAATTCAATACCTCCTAAAAAGCCAGTATCTTTACCAGCTTGTGATTATATTGAAAATTTAATGAATTGGGTACAATCATTTCTTGATAATGATAATATATTTCCTTCAAAAATTGGAGCTCCATTCCCTCAACAATTTCCAAATTTAGTTAAAACAATATTTAAAAGATTATTTAGAATTTATGCTCATATTTATTGTCATCATTTTCATGAAGTAACTGAATTAGGTTTACAAAGTCATCTTAATACTAGTTTAAAACATTATGTTTTATTTGCTAATGAATTTCAATTAATAAGTCGAAAAGATTATGGACCTCTTGAAGATTTAGTGGATACAATGTTAAAGAATTGATTTCAATTATATTATATAGACAAAAAAAAATAATATATACTGTTAAACTAATTCAATTTCTGCCATCAAACATAAATGATCGGATGGATATTGATTTAATCTAGGTTGTCCATTTGGTTCTTTACCCATTTCAACAGGTAATGGAAGTCTTAATAATCGAGTTAATTTTATTTCTTGATGCTCAACTAAATCTTCCACTGAATCTATATTATTGAAATAATTCTTATCCTTATTAATTTCCCAATTAGAAATAACAAAGATATAATCAAGAAGTCCCTGCCAATGATTTGCCCAATTAGAAAATATTGGTTCACCTCGATCATTATCTAAGCCTGAATTTTCAGGATGTACAAGTTTGTAACCTACTGAATATAAAGATATAGCTCGCATATTAAGAGAATTATGAGTATCTTGTAGTTGTTGAATGCTTCGTAATTGATCTTCAGTAGCATCAAATGTATCTGGAGATGGATCTTTTGATTCTTCATCTCGTTCTTCTCCTCCTTCATCTTCCTCTTCCTCTTCCTTTTCCTCTGCTTCCTCTTCTTTTAAAGATTCTGCCTTTTGAAAATGATCTAGTGAACAGGCAAGAACCGTAGTATGTCTTCCATGATAATTAATAGGTTTAGCAACTATCGAGAGATATGGTGAATCAAATGGTTGACTATTAAAGTCTCCGCACATAAATGTATAAAACCCTTTAGAATTCTCCAAAACTGCATTTAACGAAAGTAAGAATTCTTTATATCTGTGTAATAAAATATATGTTTGTCTTGTTCTTTCAAATGAACCAAATGGTTTCCAATAAAGATGAGTTGAACCAATTACTACTCCATTCCTTTTGGACAAATGAGGATATTTCTTAAGAATAGTACTTGTGAATTGTAGATATACCAAAAGTCCAATATTTTGAGTTATAGCAGTTGCTGAAGGTAAAGTTTCTGATACAATATCAGTATCATAATTTATAAAACATAAGTGTCTACATTCAAATATTGATGATCGATAAACAATTGCTACTCCATGGTTTTTAGATTTAGATCTATAGAATTTGGTAGTATATCCCAAATTGGAGAATTCCTTCAACCAAAATGAATTATATTGAATATAATCAACTTCTTGAAGACATAAAATATCAGCATCATAATGTTTGAATTCTTCAAGTAATGCCTTTGATCTCCAAGACCATTTTAATGCATCACCATTAGTTGGAAATAAACTTCTTCTAATTAAAGTTTGAGCCAACACATTATATGACATTACTTTTATGAAGAATCCATCAGGATTACTATTTATATTAGGAATTTCAAGAAATGGTCTCTTTATAAATTTACTCTTTACTACTTGTGGAGGTTGAACTTTCTTCTTATTAGCTTTACGCAAATTTCTTAAACGTCTCTGTTCTTCGATATAAGCCGGAGTCAATGCGGCAGGATCCATTGGTTTCTTAGTCTTTTCCTTTTCCTTTTCCTTTTCCTTTTCCTTTGAACTCATATCGCAATAGTTTATTGTCTCGCTTTCTATATACCCAATATTGCTGCAAACTTCAAGATCACCATTTAATATCGACTGAAAAATTTCGGCCTTGTGTGAGAAATTTGTTAACACCTAAAATATCTTAACGAACAACTGGCTAAATTCATTTAATACAATTAAACATAATTAATTAATGATGGATGAATATTACAATAAATTAGATCAGTTGACTGTGAATGTATATGAAAACTTTAATCATTTATTAGCTCTCAATCAGGATGAAGATGTGGTAGAACCGAAGTTAGAACTGAATAAAATCATACGAAAGATTAATGGATTACTTCTAAATTATAAGGATTATTTACATATTGTTAAGAATAAATATAATACACATGATAAGAATGAAGTATTGAAATATGAAAGTTATGTATCTAAATTAAATACTTTAAAGAATAAGTCAAAGAGTTTCCATTTATATTCCAATAGTCTTCATGATGAATTAATTCACAAACAAAGAATAAAAGAATATGCATTACAAGAAGAAGATAATCTGAATAAAGATTCAATTAATGAAGAAGATTATGAATCAGCTAGAAGTAAATTATTTTCAGGTAAATCAAAAGCTATTAAGAATGTAACTGAAGAATCAATTGGACAACAAGTCCTTAGTCATAATAAACAAATCACTTCATCATTACAAACTTCAAAACAATTACTTACAGCAACTGTACTACAAAGTGAATTAAATATTGAATCATTGGATCAACAAACAAAGGATTTACTGACATTGAATGAAGATTTTCTTCGATTCAATGATTTATTAAATAGATCAAAACAAATTGTAAGATTTATTGAAAAGCAAGATAAAGCTGATAGACGTCGAATTTATATGAGTGTTGGATTTTTTATCTTATGTATTACATGGGTTGTATATAGAAGAGTATTAAGAACTCCAATTCGTTTACTTTTTTGGTCCTTCTTTAAGATCTTTAGAATCTTTAATTGGTTATTGGTAAGTCCTAATGATAAAATATTGGAAGAAGGTTTGATTTCCTTAAGTGGAACTGGTTCCGAAATTATGAGCCAAACAACTAGTCTGATAATTGAACAAGTTACAAATATAATTAGTTCAATTGATATTGAAGTGGAGGAAATTCAATTATCAACTACAGTTTTATCAACTACAGTTACAGAAATTTTACGGGATGAACTATAACACTAATTATTAGTATATGTATTTAATAATAATTTTTAATGAAAAGAGTTTTCGTAAACATAGACTATCGTAATTTTAATTTATTTATGGGGTTTCAACTTTAACAGATGAACCATTATTCTTTGAACTTTCTAAAGCAGCAACTACAATAGCAAAATGATGGAAAGCCTTTCTTGGAGGAACATTAAGAACTGATTTATCTTTAGCAACAACAGAAGCAGCAATGTTTTTAAATTCTTCTTCAATAGTAGCATTTTCTTCAATTTGAATAACAGTCTTGGCAGAAATATCAGCATTTGAGGTACCAGTTTGATAAGTAACAGTTGGATTAGCTAATGATGGAGAGAAATCATAATCAATTGAACCTTCAGTACCATAAATTGTTAATACAGAAGTTTTATCAGTAGCTCCAAAAGCTGAACCATAAGTAAAAGTACCAATAACACCACTCTTTAATTTAAAAGTTGAGAATAAAATATCATCAGCTCCACTTTGTTCTCTAACTTGTTTAGTTAATGCACTTACAGATTCAACTTGACCTAAAATTTCAGTTAAAACTGCCAATTGATGAACTCCACCATCAGATAAGTAACCACCAACATGTTCTGGATTTAATCTCCAAGGAGTAGCAATGTACTTATTAGAAGCATTAAATGGTCCAGTATATCTATAAGTGAATGAAAGAACTTCACCAATCTTTGGAAGTAATTCTTTAATAATATTAAGTGCCTTTAAGTAAGTGAAATTTTCTAAAACTAAAATTGGGACATCAGTAGATTCAGATAATTTAACAATTTCTTTAGCTTGAGTTAAATTAGCAGCAATTGGTTTTTCAAAAGCAATTGGTTTCTTATGTTTAATAGCTAATTTAACAACATCTAAATTATATTGAACAGGTAATAAAGCATCAACAAAATCAATTGATTTATCTTCAAAGACATCTTCTAAATTATCATAAACTTTAGAAATTTTAGCCTTTTTAGCAAATACTTCAGCTTTAGATTTAGTTCTATTAAAAGCAGCAGTAACATTTAATTCAGGGATATTTTTAATGGCAGGTAAATGAGCATCAGTAGCAAAAATACCAGTACCAACAACAGCAATATTTAATGGAGACATTATTAATTTATTTCTATAAGGATATAATATATATAATTATATAAATTTATAATTTATAATTACTATAAAATTTAATACAATTGTGGGGATAGTAAACAGTTTAAATAGAATTTTTAGTCGGAGATCTTTGAAAAATATATATTCCGAGAAACGCTTCGATCTAAATAATTGTGGTACATCATTCAAGCCACTACCATGCCACTAAGTTACTTATGTGTAAATAAACTATATAAATAGTGTGGAATCACCTTCCGGTACTAGCATACATGAAAGTGGGGGGATTTTATTTGACTATGTAAGCCTTCCCCCTATGTTTTAAAGGTGTGTTCCCCCAATATTAGTCGGTGTTTAAATTGGGGGTGCCACAGAATTTTTCAAAAGTTTTCACTTTTTTTCAATTGCCGTTGCTGCAATAATTATTAACTATAATAACCTTAAGTCATGTTTATTTATTATTAATTTCAATTAATGCCAAGGAATAAGGAAAATTTTTAACAGCCATTGTGTCACTAGTTTTTCCTTTATTAATCCGTAATACTCTAGACCTATAATTAGATTGATCTGATTCCTTTAATACATTAATGATATTAAATTCAGTTAAAATTCGAGCTTGCACCTTCATTAAATTATGAATTAATGCTTGATGTAATATATAAGATTCACATTGTGTTTCATTAATTTGATCATTCTTAAGTTCATAAAGAACTCTTTTGATGTTACTATAGTTTAAATTAAAGAATTGCCGTCCATAAACTGAAAATATTAATGGGAAAATGTATTCTAAATTAATAAGCAAACTTGTAATCACATAGTTTACATCTTTTAAATACTCTTTAAGCAATAAACTAGTCATCTCAGTTTGATATTCAATAATTATATGGATTTCTCGAAGTACATCAATATTTTCATCAAAAATTGTAGTAATTTTACCGGAATTATTTAAATCAAGAAACTCATTAATAATGTTATTAAATATATTGCAATGTATTACAATCCTAAAACTAAATTCATCATCTACTATTGTATCAACTTTAAAATTCAACTTTTTCCAATATTCAGATTGAGATATCTCATTACTGATTGTATCAACTAGAGAGTCATAGTTTTGATCATAAAGTTGATTACCATTAATCTTTAAATCAAAATTTAACTAGAAAGTAATTAGTATTGGTTGCTTTTGTTGCAAATGTTTTGCGAAATTATGTATATAAATTACTTACAGTTATACTTGTAAATGGGATGAACATGATTTGATCATTTCGTTCAAGACACTTTTCAGTTCTACAATTATATTTAAGATAGACGTCATTTACACCTCTTCTTAAGTTTAATTCATTTGCTGCCATTTTGGTGAAATTTGTATAGGTTTAAATCAGAATTGGTTGTAAAAAAAAAGAGACATCGAGCGAAAAATTGTCAAACAAAATAATTTACAAAAGATATATTATCCCCTTATATAGTTAAGGGGACAATCATGATACGGCAAGGTATTCCCAAGCTTACTATGAGTGGTAAGAATATTTTTCTTCAATCTCCCACAGTACATCCTGAGTTTGCACAAAGAATTCAATCATTACCAGATTTTAGAAGTAAATTGTTAGCCAGTTACAAGCAGTTGTATCGATTAAGAAATTTGATTGATAGAGGTATGGATCGTAATAAATACGGTTACATACAATTAATAAGAAGAAATTTCGAACGTATATCCTTCCAGAATAGACGTAATATAGTACTATCTCATATAAATGGAGGATCATTACCAGTAGAATTAACCGAAGAAGAGATTATTCAACGTTTAATTAATACAATTGCATTTGTATTTAATTCCACTGTTAAAAAAGAAACTGAATTTACAGAAAAGGATATTCAATATTTCAAAGACTTAAAGAAGGTTTTTCCTGAAAGTATGGAACTACAAATAGTTCGAACCATTATAAGAATGGATAAACAAAAGCCAGATAGAATTAAATATGATTTCAAATACAATTGGTTATCCAACTATAATGATAGCATGATCGAAGCTCGAAAATATTACGATAAATATCCCACTGCCAGAAAATTACCTGACGATTTAAATTTCGATCTTAGTTATATTGGTTTCAGAAATCATGAACTTTTGGTTATGGGACTTAATGAAAGTATGAAATTATGTTTATAGTGTATAAAGGTTATATGCAGATAGCAATGTTGCGCAACTAAAAAGTATTTAAATAGAATTCTTTAATGAATATGTATATATTAATTTAACAAATATAATATCTATAATTATGTTTCTGATTTTTGGAACTTCTAAGAAGTCAGACCTGTCTGATTCTTCATTACCTAATACACAATTTCAACAAAGATCTCATTCTCATGAAATAAGTGCAATTGCTTCTGGTCCAGATCTTTCGACTACATTAAGTCAATTATCAGAAAATCATACAGCACCTTTAAGGATTATTGATGTAAGTGATGGAACTAAGCTGCTTGATGCATCAGTAACTGAATTTGTTAAAACTCATGAAAATCCTTTACAAACAGCTGTATTTGTTATTGATGGTGAAAAGGATTCTAAGGAAAGTATTATATGTACTACCAATGATAGAGATGGAGGCAAGACATGTTTAAAATTTCAAGATTATTCAATTGAATTGTTTAAGACAATGCAAAGATTAGAATATTTCTGTTCATTACCAGATGATATTGATGCTACATATTTTGAATGTAGAAAGATTAAATAATGTAATAAATAATGTATATAGGGGTTAGTTACAAAAATTTTCGTCAAGGATAAATATCATGAATTTTCATTAAATAATTGTGTATATGCTATAATCTATGCTAAAAATGCATTCTATATTCTTCATTAAATATGTAGGGGGGTCATTACAAGATCATCGATTAATTTAAGTATCATACCATAAACGATTCACCACATCCACAAGTTCCTTTGGAATTTGGATTTTTAAAAATAAATCTTGATGATAATTTATCGTCCAACCAGTCCATTTCTGACCCTACAATAGAAAATAATGCCTTTGAATCAATTAAGACTTTGACTCCATCTTGTTCAATTGTTTCATCAAATTTACCTGGTTCATCAACATATTCTAAATGATAAGTTAATCCAGAGCAACCTCTATTTCTTACTCCAATACGAATTAATTTCGGATTTGGTTGATTTAATAATGCAGTCAAATGTTCAGTAGCACTTGGGGTTAAAGTGATTAAAGCTTTTCTTGGTCGTAAGGTTCTTCTCTTCTTAGGTGGGGTGGTGGTTGTAGTTGTGGTAATAGTTGGAATAGCTGCAGCAGATGTATCGGTATTAACTGGTTGTGAAATTGGCGCAGACATAGCTTTAGGAGATTCAATTTCAATGACTCCATTATCGATTTCATTCGTAGTCAATGTCTTTGCCGCAAACCTTGAGTTTCTAGATCTTCTCAATGGAGGCTGTGTAGTTGAAGTCTTTTCTTCTACAGGAAATGTTAACTTATGAGACGACCATTTAGATAATATATTTGATCCTGCTTCACTAGTAGACTTTTCTCCTGTACCTATTAATCCGGAATAAAATCCATTATTCAAACTTTTACCACTACCTGTTATAGGGATAGTTTGCATGAATCTTTTAGCACCTTTCTTACTTGATTCATTACTAATATATCTCTTTGTGGTTATAAAAACGTTGGGGATTATTTCTCTCCTCCTAATCATGTTTATGTCTATGCAATCTATAGTATATGTCAAGTGTTATAAAATTGTAGCTATAATGATATAGCTAACAGTATAAAATTAAATGGTATTAGCTATAAATAGTAAATTAAACTAAATATACTTTTTACTATTATATATGATTCAATGCCTTAGTAATTGAAGTCAAAAATTATAATTTTGCTTTTATAGTTTAAAAGTTTTTTGGGCATTCCGACACGACTCTCACCACCTTTAATTTATATATCCCCATATAAATAAGGGAGTAAGCAGGTTCAGATGATATTTGATTGGCTGGAAGTATATGCAGTCCCAACACCGATTTTCGGAAACGTCATTGTAAAGGTTGCAAATTGCAGTCAACAATGAATGATCATCAAAATTTATTCATAAATTCGATTGATTTGGTCTCACATGCATATCAAACCATCTAGTAATACCATGTCTAGGATTTATCTTTAAAGTATGACCATTACATTCAAATATACAATCATTAATTCTCATATAATCAATATTTCGATTACATTGGAGATAAAATAATGCTACATGTTGAACTTTAAACCATTCATCATAAATTGTAGGATGAATCATTCCTAATCCAAGATTAGGTGAACCTCCTGCTTTACTTCCAAAAATATCTAGTTTCTTTAAATGTTTGAGTTGTTTAATTAAATTTAATAAATCATCCACATTATCTCCGGGATTTATTCTTAAACTATTTAATTTTTTTAATCTGATTAATCCTGAATAAAAATTAACTCTAGATGGTATACTAACAAGTATATTTAAGTTATTACTATCGTTGTAATTATCTATCTCTTGTCTTAATTCCAATGATAATTTAGTTAAACTATTATTGAATCGAAGAATAGCCTCTTGATATTCAAGGTAGAATGTAGATTCTTTTTCTTGAGTATTTAATGGCTTTGTATGATTAAGTCTAACAAGTAAATCCAAAGATTTAAGAGAATTTGGTGGTAATGATTGTAAAAACTTAGGTACAGAATCAATATAAGTCTGACGATAATCTAATGATAAGTGTTGAAGGCCAGTTAAATATTGACCAATTTGTTCTAGAAATCCTGGTTGAAAGTATTCCTGTAATCGATCTATATCTCGAATTCCATATGCTTCATGAGGTAATATTTGATATTCAGATACTCCTCTTAAGATTAGAGAATTTAAAGTAGATAAATTTACTGATTCAATAAATAGTTTACCATCTTCAGAAGTTACTAAGAAATTATCTAACGATAAAATACGAATATTGGCAAGATATTTCAACTTACTAAATTTAAATAATGAAGAAATAGTCTTTAAATCAATATCATGTAAAGTTGAATGAACAATATTTTCAATGGTAGTAGAATTATTAATATTATTAATATTATTAATATTATTAATATTATTTCTTGGAGAAGAGAATCCAATTAGATCTCGACAATTAGGTAAAAGAATATTATTATCATGATTTTTATGATATTTAGATAAAACAAGTGTGTGTAAATTTGTACTTATTTGTTGAGGATCATGACTATTTATTAATAAATTATTAATTATCTTCATCAATTTCCGACTATTATGAAATGGTTGAATTTGAAAATTAACAATATTGGAGAAATTCAATTGAGAAAAATCATCTAATTCATTATCATGATTTAATTCATTTAAATAATTACTAAATTTTATATTTAATACTAAAGTTCGAATTAAGTGTTTATTTCTTAAATTATAAAGAAATTCAAGTCGGAAATTATCATTCAACCAGATTAATTCTTGTAGACATACTAAATGGTTAAAGAATTGAATTAATTCATGATTAAATTCATATTCATATACATTTAAAGAATCAGGAATATTTATACATTCGAATCGTCTAATATGAGGGAAGTTTTCATCAATTTGATTATGTTGACCTTCTTTAGTAAATTTGGAATTATAAGTTTTAATGAATCTTTTAAAATTATACGAACTATTTATAAATGTACATGAAAATTCTTTATGATAAGTATGATTATTATCTGTTTCATAATGTTTATAATTATATTCTTTTTCATTATTAAAACTATTAAAATCTTGATTTATAACAATATATTGATATAATCGAGGGATAGTAGATGCATAGATGGCTTTATTAACTCGAAGTAACTTTATACAATCAAATTGAGATAATTCATTAGCTATTTGAAATCTTATTTCATAGGGTAATTTATCAAATGTTAATGTATGAGGAGGAGTTTGATTTAATGATAATGTTTTATTTAGATTGATAAGATTATTGATATCTTCATTATTATTCTTATTATTTGAAATGGGAGTACTAGTACTGGAACGACTTGAACGATTTGAATGATCTTCATTAGAAGATTGTTGTTCATACAATAAAGGATTCTTAGAATAACCTATAGGAGAATTGAGCAGACTTATAGGAAATTGATTCTTATCTATTAGATTAGCCATAACTGATGGACAATTAGTTTTAGCTTTACTTTTAGTTTTAATTTCAGTTGCTATTGCTATTTTTTCTTCACTCTAATATGGTAGCACTCACTAGTAAATTTCTCATTAGTTATATACACTGTTAAATCCAGTTTACTTAATATTATAAGTATAGTATGATATAAATATACTAGTACTAATTACATAATCATATCTGATCCACAACTTTGGGGTTCTTCCTAATTAGGAAAAGTAATGTGCGTCTATATACACTACCGCACCTAAAATCCCAAGTCGTCTCGAAAAATTATTTATGGAGATTATTCCGCTTCTGGATCTCGAGTCCGTTAATCATTACTACTACAATCACTAAATTTAACTATAGTGACGGAGGGGAACTATGGCTGAAATAATTAATGAACTGCCGGGGAATGATATCCATGACGTAGTGGATCTGTATAATGATAATGATAATGAGGAAGGTGAAAGTGACCATGCGGTGTTATCTTCACCAGTCGTAATTGTATCAGGTAAGCAATCATCAACTCCTATTCCAATTGCAAGTGCAAGTCCTGTTCCAACTTCTGTTCCAAGTACTCATCGTGAAGAGAATTTAGATGAACGATTAACTGAAGAAGTTACGTATTTATCAACTCAATTGATGACAGCCATGTCTAAACAAGCCGAAATGGAAGAAGCCATAGTTAGTCTAAGAAGAGAGAATAACCAATTAAAGTCTCAAGTTAAAACTTTAACTATAGATAGTGAGAATTATAATTTATTAATTCCTCAACATCAAAAGCTTCAAGAAGATTTAAGTGCGAGTCAATTATCAAAACAGGAAGCAGAGACACAATTTCAACAACAATTGGCATTAAATCAAGTTGAAGTAGAAACTCAAACAGCACAATTTCAAAAGGAATTAGAAGAAAGTAAAGCTAAACAATTAGAAGCAGAAACTGAAATTGCCAAATTAAGAGTTGAAGTTGAAGATCTTACTGCATCATTATTTGATGAAGCCAATAAAATGGTTAGTGATTCACGAGAGGAGACTGATAGATTTAAAATTAAGAATGGGAAATTATATGAAGAAATTGCTGAGAAAGAAACAATTATAGAAGATTTAAAAGCTCAATTAGCATCTTTAAAAGAACTCATTGTTCAATTAGATGAAAAGGAAAGACTTAATTCAACCAATGGTACTCCATTAATTGAACAAAGTGGATTTCAACTTAATGATTCTTCAACCATTACTAGTTCTACCAATCCAACCACCACCACCAATAATTTCAATAATAATATAAATGGAAGACATAGTTCAATAGGTTTAAGTTTATCACCCGAAGATACTTATCAAGATCAACAACTTCGCTCAATTATATTTTCTCCTAATGTTAATTCTATACGATTTGATTTAAACAATTATCGTCGTGATTTTAAACAATTTGCATATACATTAATTAAACCTGATTTTGTATTTGATTTAGCAAATTTAAGAAATCTTAAATATTTTAAAAAGATATGGACAGAAGAATTAGAAGTTTCAATAACTTACGTTCCAAATTTATCAATAAATTCATTAATTAATAGATGGCAAAAGAATAAACATTTTTGGAATGCAATAGTTGAAGGTAGAGCTATAATTGAACCAGTTAAAGGAATTAATGAGGTATTTAAATTAGCGTATCGAGGTAGTTTTACTGGATCACCTAATAATAATAATAATAATAATAATAATAATAATAATAATAATAATAATAATTCTAATTCTAAGAATATAGCTCCAGTGGCAATTAAAGATGCTTGTTCATTTTGTGGAGAATCAAGATCTGATATATTAGAACATTCACGATTATATTATCTAAAATTATTACAAGATCCTAATTTATCATCATCAAATACTTCAGATAATGATGAATTAATTGGAAGTTATCCATTATGTAATTATTGTTTAATTAAATTAAGAAATCTTTGTGATTTCTTTGCAAAACTTAGACAAATTCATGCCAATGTTTATAATTTAACTCCTAATGCATCATTTGAAGATCATAGTCATCATTTAAATAATAGTCCTACACCAACAGGAGGATTTAGTCAATTTAAACGTACAAATTCTACTTCTACATCATTAACAACTCCAAGTGAATCTGAATCAACATTAATGAATAGTCAAGTTTCAATGATAGATGTTAATAAACTGGAAGAATCTAAATTAATTAAAATATATATTATGTTAACATTAATTAGGAATAAGATATTTTGGAGTAAGATTGGATTTTGGGATAATAATGAGAATATTAGAGAAATTAATTTAAATAATATTAGATATGAAACATTTGGAAGTTTAGTGGGGTATATTCCTGATAATGCTATAGAAGAGCCTGAACCAGTTACAACTCCAATAGATAATAAACTTTCAAATGTTACACTTGATCCTGCAGCAACTGACGAAGTATCTGATAGTGATGATGCAGCAGCATTTGCTGATTCATATCAACAATTTGATGCCAAGGAAGCAGATGCAGAAGCAGAGCCCGAAGAAAATAAACAGGAACCAGAAGCAGTACCAGAAGCAGAAGCAGCAGCAGCAGCAGCAGAACAAGACAATTCCCAAGAAAACGCGGAATCGGATTTAACTAGAAAACCATCTAAATCCAAACAATTCAGTCAGAAAATAAACAATGGACTTGATGAAACGTTGGAGATGTTAAAAGAGAGTATTGAACATGCGTAATTATTAGTTAGATAATAAACATATATATAAGATGCATAAAAAAATATCAGTAAAATAATCGGCTGTATGTAGGCGAATAATATAATTTGAGTTCGAGTTCGGGTTATTAATAGAAACTCCGTCCTAAATAAGCAATGGTAATGCCATAATGAGAAATTAACATGATTGCGATAGAGGTCACAAAACGCGTCTAATTTTGCTTTAGTGGCTGCTCTACTCACTAGCGGTGCTGGTAAGATCGCGAGACTGCCTGCAAGCAGTAGTGAGAGTAATATATAGGACAGTAGTTAGATTAAGATTCAGTCAGTACAGTCAGTACAGTCAGTACAGTCAGTAAGAGTACACTACACTAAACTACACTATACTAACACTCAGTAACAGTCACCAGTTACTGACACTCACAACACTCACAACACTCACTAATTTATGACCCAGTAGCGACACCCACAAAAACTGCCGGCACTCTCACTAAATTACGAGCACAAATAGGCAGAAAAATTTGACACAGTGCATAACTTAAAACCCATACCGAGCCAGCCTGTAACACCTTCGTAAATCCCATCCACCACATACCCCAAAGATATCAAAACTTCACTACCCTCACTCCACTACCACTGTTATATATAACAATAATCCATCACTAAAAGAGGGTTAATTAGTGGTAACTTTGTGTAGTTCAGTAAACTTTGAAGGATCTCCCACTACCCACTATCCACTACCCACTACCCACTACCCACTATGAGGAGAAGAGATCCTACGGGAACTCCTAATAATCTTAATGCTCAGATTAATGATGAACTAAACAACTCTCGGGCTTACAGTTCATATCTTGACAACGGGAATGGTAATGGTAATGGTAATGATCCGCCATCTCATACCTTGACTAATTCTTCATCCATCAATAGTCAGTCCAAAGCATCATTCTTACAAATGAAGAAGTTCAAACCCCGGGCCTCGATGAATCATTCACTTCATAATATCAATAATAATGAAAATCTAAGTGATAATTCTTCAACTGATTCAGCGAGTATCATTAGTGGAGGTACCGTAAATACTAATGGAACAAGTAGACGACAAAGTTTAGGTAATGCTATTAGTAAAACATTTACCAATCGATCTTCCAGTACCACCTCAATAATCCCTGGACCTCAAGTCACTAATTCGAATCATAATCGAAATGCTTCCACTTATAGTATATCGACTATTCAACATTCAATCAATAATAATATTAGTAATCCCTATGATATGCCGACGAGTCTAACACCGATTCCTACCACGACTTCCACCAACAATAACACCACCACCAATAACAATAACAATAACACCACCAAAAGATTAACACCGATAAGTCGGAATTCAACCTCAATATCTTCTATGATGTCTCCTGCAGCCACCATAATATCCAAACCCACCGTAAGTTCAGAATCCATCGTAGCGCAACATTCAACGAATGGATTCAATTTAGAAAAACCCGATCTGATCTATGAAATCGATCGGATGTTTCGAGAGTTAATGGATAAACGAGATTTCCGGTCACTACCTCAAAATGCCAAGAATGAAATGATAAATTATAGTCCCGATAAGAAATGGATGTTAATTTATCAAGATGCATTAACGGAATATAAACGTCAAGAAAGAAGTTTTAAGAATAAAGAAAGTTCATCACCGGATTTCTATAGTCGGAAATTAATGTCTAAAACCATTACTGCATTACAATTAAAGAATTTATGGGTTTCATTAAGAACTGAACCATTAGATTGGGTAAGAGAATTTATATATGATTATCAAGGAGATGCATTATTATCAGCATATTTAACTAAGATTCAAGATTTAATTAATCAACATGAATTATTAGATATTCATGATGAAATCTTTGATAAAGAATTTAATACTTTAAAGGCATTAAAGACTATGATGAATCAAAGATTAGGAGCTGAAAGAGTTAAAACTGATATAACTTTATATGTTAATGCCGTATCTGGATCATTATTATCACCTCGAATTCTTACCCGAAAGATTGCTGCCGAATCTTTAACATTTATGATTGCTTATTATAATCATTCAACTAATGGAAATGATCAATATAATAAAATTTTAAAGGCATTAGATTCTATACCTTCCAAACCATATTTTGAATTTGAACTGGATTCAATTATATCTTCACCAACAAAGAAACATGGTAGATTAATTCGAAGATTAATTCAATCTAATAATCTTAAACGATTTGAATTATGGTTAAAAGTGGTTAGTAAAACTTTAGATGGTAAGGGGAAATATCTTAATTCATTAGTTGGAGCTAGTGATGAATTAAAGTATGCTCAATCTACTTCCAATGGATCACTTGAAAATCAATTATCAGAATATTGTTTAAGTAATATGTTATTAATTAATACATTAATTGATTTTGCTATGGATGTTCGAATTAGAATCCATTTACGAGCTCAATTCACAACGGCAGGAATTCATAAATTATTACAACAATTTAATGAATTAAATTATGAGAATTTAAATCAACAAGTATCTAAATATATTGAATATTCATCACAAGATGAAATCGAATTAAAGACTCGAGATCAAATTGATGAAGATTTGGATTTTAATAATCCGGTTGAAATTATTCAATCATTATGGAATCAAGTTAAGAGTAGTGAATCAGAAGGATACTTTTTAAGTGCCATGCAACATCTTTATCTTAATCAAACTGAGAAAAGAGATAATAGTGAAGAATTAAGTCGAAGTGTAAGACTTTTAGATGGATTAATTCAAAATATTTCTATGAATACTGTCTCGGATGATGATACAAATATAAGAGTTGGAATTAGTAAAGTCTTATCAAGTTTAGCTACTGATGAATTATATCATAAAGCTCAAGAAGAAGTTAAAATGTATAAAAAGATTGCTGAAGAAGCCGTGGCTGAACGGGATGATATTTCTCGACAATTATCAATGGGAGCCGATGGATTAATTACTAATTTAACTAATGAAATAAGAGAACAAGAAACCATATTAATTCGAACTAAGAAATTGAATGAAGAATTATCGGAAGATTTAGAAGAATTAAAGCGTAAACATTTACGAGAGAAACAACAACAAGAATTAGAAATGAGAGAATTATTGATTATGTTAAATAATCAAGCCAAGATTGAAACCAAACGAAGTAATAATAAAACAACCGTATCTGTTCAAACGACTAATGCCGAATTAATTGAGAAATTACAGAAACAAATCAGTCGAAGAAAAGCAGAATATAAATCAGATAATCGACAATATGGAGCTGTTGAACCCAGTTCCAGATTACGAGAATTACGAGATAAAATGGCGGATATTGAGAATATGGCCCGAGAATTAGAAATGACGGAATTCGAAACTTATGTTGAACCAATTAGTAATAATAATAATATTATTATTATTAATAAGAGTCCTTCTGAACCAGAAATTGAAGATACTTTATCAGATACTTCAGAAGAAGAAGATGAGGTGGAAGTGGAAGTGGCAGTAGTTGAAACTCTACTGGAACCAGGACCTATTCGACCCGTAAGAAGTGATGATTTAGTGAAATTAGATAATTTAAGAAAGAAATTGGCTTCATTACAAAATGAATCGAATGATATAATGAAATTTAATAATAGTGCTATGTTTAGTAAACAGAAATTCTTAGCCATGGAAAGATTACGGGAATTAGAGAATAACTTTAAGGATTTCAATATTGACTTTAACTTTGAAGAAGATCATCACCATCCCGATCTCGATCCCGATGTGTATGAAACTCCCGAAGATGTTGATCCCTCAATTAAGTCGAAGATTCAAGAAGAATTACTTGAAGTTCAGAAACTTAAGGCTGAATTGAAATTGAAATTAGCCAGTATAGATGCATCATCCCCCAAGAAGAAGAGATTGTCTAAACAATCTTATTCTAAACTGACTCTAGATAAGTTAGAGGCTCGGTATGAACAGGGAAAGATTAAGCCTGAAGGAATAGATATCGTTAAGGGATCCAATGGTCCAACCCGAGATTATCGAGATCATCGTAAAACGACAATTGGAGGTATGGAGCCGAAGTTTTTAGAAGAATTGAAATCGAAAGTAGCAGTGGTTGAGGGAATAGATAGTGAAGGAGTAGACAAGGGAGTAGACAAGGGAGTAGACAAGGGAGTAGATACACCAATTGCTCCACCTCCTGTATCATCATCTACTCCTGTTTCATCTACACCATCTGGATCTACTCCTGCTCCTCCTCCTCCTCCTCCTCCATTACCTCCTATACTTGGTGGTGTATCTGGTGTTCTGACTGCTGCCCCACCTCCTCCACCTCCACCTCCTCCTCCACCTCCTCCACCACCGCCATTACCAAAATCATTAGCTGGATCTAGTGGTTTAGTTCCTCCCCCTCCTCCACCCCCTCCTCCATTCCCAACCACCACCACCAAACTTAAATCCACCACTATCACCACCACCACCACGACTCCATCACCATTCTCCAATTTCCCTCGACCCAAGAAGAAGTTGAAACAATTACATTGGGATAAATTCGATAATGATACGTCGAATTCATTCTGGCAAGGCACCCAAACTAGTACTATTGCCAGTGAACTTAAATCTAAGGGAGTGTTTGATGAAATTGAATTAATCTTTGCTGCTAAAGAGATTAAGAAATTGGCCACTAAGAAGAAAGAAGAAGTGGATAAGATATCATTTTTATCACGAGATGTTGCTCAACAATTCAGTATTAATTTACATACTTTTAGTAGTTTAAATGATGAAGAATTAGTATCCAAGATCTTAAGATGTGATAAAGATGTTATCACCAATCAAGCCATACTTGAATTTCTTGGAAAGGATGAAATTGTTGAAATATCTAATTCATTAGCTCGAAATCTTGAACCATATTCAACGGATTATAAAGTAGAAAATCCTGTTAGTTCAGAAAAGGATAAGACGGAACTTCAACGTCCGGATCGGATTTATTTGGAATTAATTTATAATTTACAACATTATTGGAAATCCAGAATTCGTGCCTTAACAGTAATGGCCAATTATGAAAAGGATTATGAAGATTTAGTGGTTAAATTACGAGCCATAGATGAAGTTGTAACATCAATAAAGGAATCTAAACAATTAAAGAATGTATTTGAAATCATCTTAACGGTGGGGAATTATATGAATGATTCAACTAAACAAGCACAGGGATTTAAATTAAGTTCACTTCAACGATTAAGTTTTATGAAGGATGATAAGAATAGTATGACTTTCATTCATTATGTTGAAACTATCGTGAGAAGTCAATATCCAGAAGTTATGAAATTTGTTGAAGAATTAGCTAAATGTAATGAAGTAGCTAAATATTCTATTGAAGGAATTGAAAATGATTGTAAAGAATATTCTCAATCGATTAAGAATGTTCAAAGTTCAATCGATGTGGGGAATTTAAGTGATTCATCTAAATTCCATCCTCAAGATCGAGTGCTTAAAGTGATTTTACCAACTTTAGTAAGAGCTAAGAAGAAGAGTGAATTATTAGGTAGTCAAGTATCATATACTATGAAAGAATTTGATAAATTAATGAGATATTTTGGAGAAGATCCAACAGATTCATTCATTAGAAATAGTTTTATTTCTAAATTCGCTAATTTCATCAAGGAATTCAAACGAGTCCAAGTTGAGAATATTCGTCGAGAAGAAGAGATACGAATCTATGAACAAAGAAAGAGATTATTAGATACTCCTAAAGTTAATAATCTGAATAGTAATAATAATAGTAATAGTGAAAGGACGGAAGGGACTGCAGATGAAGGTGATGATTCGAATATTATGGATAGTTTACTTGAAAAGTTAAAGGCAGCAGGACCTCCGAAGGGAGAATCTCTGTCGGCTCGGAAACGGGCTCTCTTAAGAAAACAATTAATGGAGAGTCCTCATAAATCCAATTCTAATTCTAATCATGAGAGTCATAATGGATCACCTGAACGACCTGTGATAGAAGAGATAGTTGAAAGTGAAGGTACTGCCACCCCCACCACCAATGAATTGGATTCAGATACCGATGTAAATATTCGAGCTCGAAGTTTACTAAAGGAACTTCGAGGCGTAGAAGAAGGAGATGCCTCTGACAAACTAACAGCAGCTCAGAAGTTTCGAATGGAAAGACTTCGAAAGAAAGCTTCTACACTTGAGTTTGATGATTCATCACCTGATGATGTATAGGAATGTATGTGTGTGTATGTATATAACCGAATTACTAACTAAATACAGAATTCAATTGTACATTTGGTACTGATCTCTTGTAGATCATAATCAATAAACTTGCCACTATTGCCCTTATAATCAAAGGCCGGTTTGTTTAGAGAGAGTAGTCCAGTTCCACTGAGTTTGTTAAAGAATGGTCTGTCTAATTTCTTGATCTCTTCTTCAATGGAGGTGGTGATGCCTAACTTATTCTTTAGAGTAGTGTACTGAAGGCCATTTCTATTCAATAGACTGAGATAGCCGATTTCTCCATTGACTCCAATGATTAGAATAGTGTTGTTATTGTTGGTGGTAGTGGTGGTGGTGGTGGTGGTAGGCATCCATACACACCTAAACGATGCTTCGTATACTCGAGGAAGACTGGGCACTTTGAACGATACTCTCGATGAATACATATCATTCTCATAATCTATAATGGATAAGGAGGAATGCAATTGATCACCGGCCACTATCTTCCCCCCCATTTGAGCTTGATTTATGAAATTGTTGGGGTATGGATCATTGGATATATACTTTAAAGTGACCTTATTTCCATCACCAATATAGAGTAATTTATATACTGAATCGAATTTAGTGGTTATAAACAATTGATCTTTAGGTTTATAATCCATGGAGATAATCTCACTGGCCAAAGTAGCCAAGATAGTTACTGGTTTTAGACGTTTTTCTTCTAAATCATAACTGGTATAACAAATATGATTCTTACTACTAAAATGGATATCATTATTAATTTGAATAATGTTGGTGATGGGATTATCGAATGGAAATGAGATGAGTTCAGTGACCTTTACTGAGATCGATTCCAGTTCATTGGATATGCGTTTGGAGATATCAAGTACTTTAAATGAGCCAGAGCCAGAGCCAGTGGTACCACCACCACCACCACCATCCAGTTCAACTGAACATCCAATCAATACCTTCTTCGTATAATGACCATTCCTCAATATAGACCATATACAACAAGAAATAGGATACTCATTCTTACTAAATATACTAATTTCTCGACTCCCATGTCTACCACTAACCTCTTGATGATTTAATAGTTTCATAGATTTCCTATCAAAGAATTTCAAACGATTCTTGGGATTCTTCGATTTACAAAGGATCATAAATATCGATAAATAATCCAAATATCGAATTCGTTTAACTGGTTCAGGAATACTTATTTGTTTAACACACGGTCCTATAAAGGTGGAGACTGCACAAAGCAGCAACCCATCTTCTCGAATGGCTGCAAAATATATTTGCAGATCCTCTGCAACCTTATTTTTCGGAATAGGCATAACGGCAAATATACTTCTTTCATAAGTTTCATCAAAGTATACTCTCATAGGATATTGAGATTCATATAAATTTAACATCCATAATCCTTTACATACAATAAAGGTAATATTTAAATCGAGATTTATACAAAAAGTTATGGGATTAGTACCTATTTTAAGGAAATAATCACATACCAATTCTTCCTTATCATTTATATGGAATTTAAGGGTATGGCCCTGACTTGATCCAATTAATAGGTAGTTATTAATTTCAACTATATCATGAGCTATAACCATCTCTTCGCCAATAAAATCATCTTTAGCGTATTGGTTATAGTGTTCAAGCCATATGGTCCGATGATAATTGAGTAAGGGACCTTCATAAAGTTCTAAGTTCCCATCAAATGTGCCCACAGCTATGAATAAGTTATGGGGATTATTTAGGGTTAGTAGCTTAACGGTTGATGGCTGACTCAGGAGTGGATGTCTAGCAATTAATTCAACTATACCTCCATCCTCCTCCTCCTCATCATCTGACTTAAATTTATATAACTCAAGTACTGTCTCCCCGTCTCTCTCGCCCTCACTGATGAGTACAACCCATTTCTGATATACATCACAATACAAAATCTTATTAGTAAATACTTGACGATTAAGTTCTTCATAAAAATCAGATAATAACATTTCATTACTACTGACTTGAAATAAGACTTCTTCTTCTTTATCATTTATTATACTACCAGCATAGATAGTGGCACCTGGAAGGATTTTAGCATCGGATACTTCAGTTAATATCCATTCATTCTTATATTTTAATACTACTGATTGATAGGGGAATGTACAAACAAGATAAAATTCTCCATCTAATGAGACTTCGAATAATTTATGAGCTTTTCTTAATACTTCATAAGTATCACTCTTTCTTTGAGCACTATATCCATATTTGAAATGACTTATTTTACATCGTTTACCTAATCCAGAGATACCCCATAATTCTTGATTAGATATATAATTAAATTTGGTGGGACGGAATGAATTAAGAATTTCTATATCTAATAATGGTGACCAATTCTTATAGTCTTTTATTAATCGAGGTTCAGAAAATTTAATGGTTCCATCACTTGTTGATAGACTTGACAAGTGCTTTATTAATAGACTCTTATTACCTCCACTATCACTCCCATAGATAAAGTTGAACCCCTTAGGACATAATTCTAGAGAGAATATAGATATAGGATCAGCTACTCTTATGATAGCACTTGACAGAATGATTCGATTATTAGATATCATGATTTTATACACTATCCCTGCATCAGTAGATATGTATACTTGATCAGATTTAGAATCTGAAACAGTTTCAGATTCAGTTTCAGATATTGATGCCGATTTATAATAATTAGTAGGAAATTCCGATGGTGACCAGGGACTTTCACAAGTAGCAAAACTATAATCAGCAGATAGAATATTTTGGATACTAACTATTATTAAATTAGATTGATTAATAAATAGAAAACTATTATTATTACCTAAGGATATTACTAATATAGGGATTTCAAAATTATTAGGTAAAGGTAATGAAGTCTTTTTAAAACTTTGAGTTATGGCTTCTACTGTAGACCATGAACAAAGTTCAATTACCAATCTTCGGAAATCTGTAAAGACTAAACTCAAAAATGTTACATGATCAATATCCTGAGTATTAGTAGTATTAGTATTAGTATTAGTATTAGTATTATTAGTATTAGTATTGTTACTATTAGTAATACTATTACTATTACTATTTGTAAATGGATTAGCAAAACATGAATGTAATATAATTCCATTAATTTTAACATTAAAATGCTTTTTCAATATGATTCCGGAATTCCCTACTTGAACATTATATATTCTAAATGCTCTTGAAGCAGATGTACTTACTACCGAAAGTCCACTTTTATCCGAATGTAATGTACAACCACTGGGTAATAAATAATCATTAATTGACATATTCATATTCCACCATTGAACTACAAATGGTTTAAATATAGAATTGCCCGTATGAATCACAGGAGAATTGGTTTGATGAATATAATCTGAATCCATATATTGACGAGGTATATAATATAATCTAATCAATAATATGAATCCTGATTTTAAACTTATTAGTAAGGAATCTTCACCTCCATGAGTTTGGATTCCCGGTATAACACATGAAGATCGGATTTCTGATTTGGTAGTGAATTCAATTCCATTAATTAATAGTGATCTTAGTTTCACTAAGATTTGTACTGATCTTATCTTGGTACTAGTAGTGGTACTAGTAGTACTGGTAGTAGTAGTAGCACTAGTGCTAGGGGTTTGATTCTGATTCTGATTTTGGGGAAATATCTCATTATCCAGTTCATCATCACTAAATGCATCCAATTGCGAATCCATTTCATTGGGTATTAATACTTGATAATCATCATCATTGAATGAAGCACTCGATACACCTTTGAAAGGTTTTCTGATATTGACTCTAAACTCCGGTATAATATTCTCTATAATTGGTGAACTGGCTAATGTCCGCTTAGCAAAGGTTATATCCTCATTCTCGTTAACTCCTTGTTCTCCTGTTTTAATTCCTATCAGGGAATATAGTGTACTACTATCATCCATTGCTATAGTTGTCCCGATAACTAAGGGTTAATTCATATTGCGCTCACTAATTCGCATTTGGTTAATTATATTTTTTTTAAGCTTTTGTTTTGTATTTTTCAAAATGGCTGCTAACTGTTCCGCATCCTAATCGGGGCATAGGCGGCAAAATCATATCGTATAAAATTCATATAATCAAAAGTAATACAAATAGATACTACTCCTTAATCTTCATCACTAAATGGCAAAATGGCAGGAACTTCAAAGACTTATAATGTATATGGAATCACGGCGATTGTGGCGGTGTCGGGATTCTTATTGGGGTTAGAGTCTACTTCATTGGCTAATGTCTTGAATTCTAAGGCATTCGAAGATTTCTTTACTCCTCCAACTACGGGGGAAAAGATAATGATAGAGGCTGGTAATTCTATAGGAGCTGTTTGTAAGTATTTATTCTTAATGTTGGAAAAATAATTTTGCAATTGTACTAACAAATAACAAACTTTATAACTAGTTGGTTGTGTTTTAGGTGGTGCATTATACGATAGTTTAGGGTGTATACATATTTTCCGGTTTGCTGGATGTTTATGGATTTTAGGAACAGCAGTTATGGTATTTCTGCCATATATTCTTTTACTTGTATTGGGGAGATGCTTAAAGGGTTGTGCTCTTGGATTTATTTCTACTGCTGTACCGGTTTATATTGCTGAAACCATACCTACTAAGAAGAAAGGTATATCAATATCAATAGTTTTATTATGTCTGGCAATTGGAAGCTTAGCAATGTATTTATGTTCTCATTTCTCACAAACAATATTTGATGAAGATATATTCTTTCGATACGTCTGGGGTTTAGAATGTGCTCCATCTATTTTACTTTTGTTATTATGCTTCTTCCTACCAGAATCCCCCAAATGGCTTGCATCTCATTCTAAATGGCAAGAAGCTACAAAAAGTTTACGAAAGATTAGAAACTATAATCATTTGGATATGAATCTGCCTGTCTTTTATACTAGTGAACGAGATTATGTTCTTAGAGCTTATACTGCCGGTTCAGAAATTAAAACTTGTACTTATGGTCATATATTTGGAAAGAGATATTGGAAACATACACTATTGGGAATAGCAGCTCAATCTTTTGTTCAATTAACAGCAATGGGTATTTTCACTAACTCATTTATAAGTATATGTGAAGCTTGTGGAATTCCAGATGAAGATTTATGGATATTCATGTTTTCACAATATTTCTTGACGGTTATCTTTACTTCCTTTCCAATTTTCTTATTAGATAATTGTCGAAGAAAAGATTCTTTAACTTTTGGGTTCTTCATTCTAGGATTAACTCATGTTTCACTCTGTGTCATAACTTTAGTATTTGGAGAAGAAATTGATGAATCATTTGCCGGTTCCTTATTTAATTTTGATATATTTGAATTAGCTGCATCGGCTGTAGTGGCACTATTTTTCTTTTTACATGCTGTTTATGCTTCTACTCTTATTTCAGCAAGTTGGTTATATATTGGAGAAATATTTCCCAGTCCTGCTAGAGCCAAGGGATCAGCTGTATGTATGTGTGTTTCATGGATGATAAATGCAAATTTAACACTTTTATTTCCTTTATTAATAGAATACATAGGGGTTTGGATCTTTTTGGTAGTAGCAGTGTTTTGCTTTATAAGTACCTTCCTCTGTTCTATGTTCCCAGAAACAAGAGATTTAAATGAGATTGAGATTGAAGCACTATTTGATCCTATAATTAATAACAAAGGCCAGTCATTACCAATTGAATATTTTGCTCCTAAATCATTAGAAGATAATATCCCGATTGAAGAAACACAATTGCAAAATAATAAAATGTCTAATCCTGATAAGAACTCCCAATTTCCTCTATATGAAATGTATAAGCCTAAAATGTATCAACAGGAAGAAGAAATAGCATATGAGATGGATAATTTGAAGCCTAAAGATGATAATGAAATGGTTATCCCAACCCAATCGCCTGAACTCGAGGAAGAAGAAGAAAAATTACCCACAGTTGATAAGATATTACTTAGTTTCAGTGATTCCTCCAATTCATTTTTTAATAACAAAGATAATGTATCACAGGATTCAAAGAATGCTTCTGTTGATTTAGCTGATCAAGATATAGTTGATGCAGTTGGTTCATCATCTAAGGGCTCTGTATATGTTTCCAATAATAATAAATATGGAAGTGTCAATGATATAATAGAGGAATATGAAGCTCCAGTTCACCCTAACTCATCAGCTGATGAATCATATTATTCAAGTGATTGGTTTGATCATGTTGCACCCAAAAATGCAAAGAAGAAATTGAAGCCGAAAAGATCTCACATTAATTCGGGAACACTGTTTTTCCATGGGAATAGAGAAGGATCTCCCAAAAAGGCTGGGTTGACTTATGAGCCAACCACTTTTTTAAATTATGATAGTCTTAAACTTGGTCATAAACCTCTGTTTAAAGAAGATTGATTATATAGTAATTATTGTATATTATAATTTGTATGTGTATGGTAGCGCGCACACGTGACGCAAAATTACTCAAAACTCATAGTCTACTCATACTAAATAAGACACAACGGAGTCTAAATATATACTTGGCATATATCACAACCTACAAACATTAAACATGTCCTATTCACAAACCAATGGGGCAGAGGTATGTTACATTATATGATTTTCTTACAGTAGTAGTATGGACTAATACTAACGGGTATAAATAGCCCTCTTTAATTGACGGATTCAACGAGATCCAATCGGATGGTATGTATAATAACATAAAGTTAAGTTAAAGTTAAGTATGAATACTAACAGAAATCATATAGAAATCGATTCACAGCCATACAATGCACCACCCACTTATTCCGAATATTCAGTACCATTGAATCCTACAGTTCAATCAACAGTACCTCCACCAGTAGATGGTAAATCGCATATGTTTCAAATTAATTTCTATCGAGCATATTTTAATTTAGATACAGATACATTTTTCCTTAAGATTCAGAAAGCATTAAATCCATTATCATCTATATCAGCTCCAACTGATGAAGATGATAATCAAGCCACGGAACTTTATGGATTTATATGGATTACTGGAACTTTAATATTTCTTATGTTTGTTAGTTCAACAGGGGCAAATATTTTATCTAATTGGTTACATCCAACTAATGAAACTACAAAATATGAATATAGTTTTGAATTACTTACATTATCAATGTCATTATTCTACGGTTATAACTTTTTAATTCCTCTTATATTATATTTATGGACTTCATTTGTCTTACATTTCCCTCAAAGAATATCATTAACAAAATTAATTTCAATTTATGGTTATACTAATGTATTATGGTTCCCAATTACGGCAATTAATTTTTTAATTGTAATTTTAGTTAATAATAAGAATCATCATTTAATTCTTAATTTATTAGAATGGATAATTGTAGCAGTTAGTGGTCTTGTTACTGGATTAAGTAATCTTTCAAAGATTGGGCCTATTATTAATAAAAATGCTTTACTTTTATATGATGGTAATTCTCAAGCAGCCAATAGACTTTATTTAATTGCTATGGGTGCTTTGGCATTTAGTCATATTATCTTTACTGTCTTAGTTAAGATCAGTTTCTTTGGCATTAAAGTATAGTATAGTATAGTATAGTATAGTATAGTATTAGTACTAGTACTAAATTAGTTTATGTATAGTAACTTTTTGCAGAGCCCTAAAAGGGAATTGAAAGTAAAGGGGTCGTGTCTTTCTGCCCAGAACCCTCAAGTATAAAAATTTTCAGTGTTGGAGATTTTTCACTGCGTTCGTACTTGTAACTCTTCTTATTAACGAACTAATGGCATAAGAGGCCTTTAGTTGTATAGTGAATATACTAACTGATATGAATTAAAAGTATGTTTGAGATTTTCAATCTTTAGATTATGATAAAGGATTTCCTCATGTATTTCTGGCGGTGATTATTTGCTATTTACCAATTGTTCCAACTGAATGTTCCGGGTTGACAACAGCACTTCGTTAAGTTTCAGCCTTGTATGAGCCTTTTTAGGAAATACTATGAGAGAAATTCCATATCATAACCTAGATTTTAAGTTTCAGGTTTGCTAACATTAGTCAAATTATAGACGTATGTACTATTACTATTAGTAGAATTTTCACAATCCCCAAAACAGAAGAATTTAAATGAGGATACTTGTCGACCGGGCGGACATAATACTCTGTTTGTCCCTCTCTTGTACAATTAGGAGAGGAGCTGTGTTTCAGTGTACAAATTTCGAAATGCTGACGAACAGGAGTTGATGAAAGGTCGTTAACTGATTCATTATTTTGTAGAAGAGAATATTGTGGAATTTAAAATTCTCAATGAATTTCAATGAATTTCAAATACTAACTATAATATCTAGTGAATAATAATAATTTTATCGTTTGGTATAATTTCTATACGACTACAGACCTTTATAATCAACAGGAAAGATATCACATGTTGTAAGTAATATATTATGATGATTCCAACATATTCACACTGTACGAGGGGTTTTACAACCTCCCTGACTACAAAACCAAAAAACTGATTTAATGACTCTGATCTATATTACTTTTTACGACATGGATATGTTTTCCTTTTATAGCCACTTCTCTTCCATAGTTAATATAAAAGGTTTCTCATAACTTGAAGTAAATTAAATGTAGAATAAATAAGTATACACACGTAAAGTATAGGTAAAGTATACGTAAAGTATACGTAAAGTATACTAATTGAGTGCGATGTTCCTGCACACAGACCTGTCCGCTATGATGCCAGTAAGATTTTTCAATCGTACTACTATAGCTAGTACTAAATATAGTTAATGTTAATTATTTAATGATAGTTTGATTTGATACTTGAGGGGCTACCTAAGCTAAGAATTCGCCTGTGAAGTAGAGAAGAAGAAGTTAGACAGTCAAATCCCATGCTAAGATTACATCGATGTGTAGTTAGCAGCACATCTAGACGAATTATCAATCGAATACAGTATTCAGTAATAAGTAGAGTACTAACAAATCCTAGTATAAATAATAATGATATTCCTAGATCTAATCATATATTTGTGAGATCAATATCTCAATATAAAATAGCTGTAAAACAAGGAATACTAGAAGATGAGCTTCCTGTCGATGCCTTTGAAACTGATATTGAAAAATTAAAACCTATACGATTATTTCCTGAATTTTCATCGGTAGATCAATTAATAAATTCTAAAACTATACGGCTGGAATATTTCAAAGCTATTGAAATATCTTCAGAAATTAGTGAAGATGAAATAAAATCAATTGTTGAAATGTTTTCTAATGCTTTAGATTTAGCTTATGGATTTCATGAACAACAAATTCAAAATTTTGCATGTTCATTATGGCAAACTGTATTTAGTATTGAGTCTACTCATGAATCAATATCACAGCTTCAAGATCAAATGATGGAACAAAAGCATAAATTAATTAATATGCTTATATTAAGTCAAAGATATCAATATTATATTGATAAGATAGTACCATTATATGATATCCCTAAGTATAAAGATTTACAAAATAGTTGGCATGATACTTTAATTTCTACATTTGAATTACAAATAACTAAAGATGGTCCTAGTTTTAATAAAGAAAAAATTGCAAATTATCTTTCTGATACAACTAAAAGTATTCGTGATAGAAGAAATCTTCTATCAACATTTGCTGAATCTGGAATAACGAGTAATTCATCATATGAACGTAAAGACCAATTTATTATAGCCTTTTTCCAATTTTTACATTCTATAGGTGATGAACATGTTGATTTTCAAAATCCAGAATTCAAACCTTATATTAAAGTCATACAATTATTAGCTATACCCAATCGAAATACTTCTACTAAAGGTCATATCGAAAAACTTGTAAAAATTTGTGATTCATGTCATATTGATTATTCAGAATTAATTACTACTATAATGTATTCTATTCCATTTAATGAAAATGTTTCATTAAGTTATTTTAATTATAAATCAAGAGTATTGGATTATAAATTAAATTATAAAGATTTAAAGTATGCTATGGCAGCACTTCTTAATCTTCGAAATTTTCTGAAAGTAGTAGATATTTATGAAACATTTCCTAAATTAAGACATGAAGATCAATTAGAAGTATTATTATTAGTTAGTGAACGTATGAAAGATTGGAAAGCTATGCAAAAGAGATTTGAAGATATGTATGGTAGAGGAGAATTACCATTTGTAGTTCATTATGCCATTGTTATGAGTGCTTTAGCATCGATTGGGAAAAGGAAAGAAGTTGATTTATTATATGAACAATTAAAGGGTAGAAACTTAATTGCAACTCATTATATTCATCGTGCATTAATAAGAAGTAGAATTGTTGATGATGATATTGAAGGAGCCATTGAATGTTTTAATAATTTTATGAATGACGTTAGTAATAAAAAAGTTGAAACTAATGAAAAAGGTATAAGTCTGACATTTTTACTTGTTTTAAATTCATATATTGAATTAGGAGATTTAGATGGAGCATTAACTAGATTATCTAAAACTCTCGAAGATAAAACTCTTAAACCATATAAGATTGTTGATGGTAAAACTTTAGCTGGATTAATTAGTTTAGCAGCTAAACATTCAAGAATTGGAGATATTGTTAAAATACAAGAAATTGCCAATCAATTAGGTGAAAATAATGAAGATGTAAGTATAGCCATTGCATCAGCCTATGGAAAATTTGATCAATATGAACTTGCTGATAAATTCCTTTATAAAGCTCATAAACAATCAGTTATACCTTTTACAAATTCAGAAATTTATGCATTTCAAATTCGAAATTATAGATGGTGGCATTCAATTGAAACCAATTCAGTTAAAAAGGCTTATTGTAAACTGAGATTAAAATATATTGTTAATTCAATTCTTTCCAATAAATTTAAAATGTTAAGTTTTAAAAATAGAGGATTACTTTATCGACAAATTATAGCATATTTAATAAGTCAAAAGAATTTAAGTATGGCACATTCATGTTTAAAACATTTAAGAATTGCTCAAATAATTGAAGAAGATCATTATTTACCATTTTTAAAATTTTATTCAAGTATTGATAGTTTCAAAATGAAATCCCATGTTTTAGATCTTTATAAAAGAATGGTTGAAGATCGAGTTGAATTATCAGTAAGAACTCATGTTTATATTTTAAAGACTATGTTATTCCTTGATAAACATAATAAAACAAATTTTCAAAATTCTCATAGATTATTAGAATCTGTACTTGATATGAATGGATTATCATTAGTTGATTCAGTTCCAATTCCTAAACGATTGAATCCTTTATTAAGAAAGAATGCTCAAGATTTATGTCAATTAATTTCTGATTATGTTAAAGTAGTAAAAGATGAAGATAATTCAAACATTCTTTTCCGATTCTTTAATCAAATGAGAGATGCATTAGGAACCAATATGTCAATTGAATTTAAATCAACAGTATGTATACTGATGAGTCAAATTTATTTTCAAAAGCATGAATATCCATTGGCCTTAAGATTAGTTGAATCTGGTATAAATGATATAATTAGTCAAATTAATCAATTAAAATCAGATTATCCTTCTGATATACAATTTAGAGTTCCTCGTAATTTCCAAAATATTTATCGACAATTAATATCATTTAAATTACAATATGATCAACCTGATCTTATAAAATTATTACAACAAACAATAGATAGTAATATACCACTTGGAGGTATGCAATATAATAAAATCTTTCAAAAATTATTTGATGATGATATGACAAATGATAATTTAGATGTAATATTAAAGATTTGTGAAAATTCTTTAGTATCAACTAATTATTTAGAACTTTTCATAACTTCAACTATGAGAAGATGGTATAAAATTCTGATTTATTTATTAGCGGCAACTAATAGTAATAGTAATACTAATATTGATAGTAATCCTGATACTAATACTGATACTAATACTGATACTGATACTAATACTGATACTGATACTAATACTGATACTAATACTAATCAAATATTTAATAAATATAATATTTTAAATAAATATTATAATGTTGAAAGTTTTGAACAATTACAACAAGAGTTTGGTGATATTGAACAAACTAAATTAATGTTTAATAGTGAACTTCAAGCTAAGTCCAATTTAATTCTTCATGCAAATTGGGTTGAAAGAAGAGTTTTAAATAATATCCCAAGTATATTTGTTCCTGGTAAACGTATTAATAGTGAAAATAAGATATTTCTTATAACTAGTTATGAATTATGGAAATATATTTCTTTAATTGGTGAAGAACAAATTAGTATATTACAAGAGAAATATCCCAGGACTTTGAATTTCTTAAGAATCAATGGATTTGCTAGATCAAGGATGTTACAGTTTGAAACAGAAATTGATAAAGTTAAACCTCCACCATTTGATTCAGAAGAGATTCTTTATGATAAGAGACGTAGATGGATTGATGCTTTAAAGAGTATGGGTTTATGATCTATTACTACATTAACATTAACTGCATTAGCTTGTATGATAGTAAGTTTTCTTTTTCTTTTTCTTTTACTTTATTTAAAAGAACTTGTATATATGTACATAGCACATTATAATAAATATTATTATAAAACATAAATCTAGCAAATATATTATTACTCTCCCTCAATTAAGGAGATTTTGATTTAGGAGATTGAACTTTAGCAAATGTAAAATTTGTTGAAGATAAAGTTTCTCCAAATATTAAAGGACCAAGATATGGTTGAATATTCCATTCAAGTTTAAGAATTGCATCTCTTTCTCTAAATGAACCTTCAATATCCCAAACCGAATATTTTGATTTTTGATTAATTAAATGAATTTTTGCATCTTCTTTATTAATTATAATTTTATCCCAATAAGTAATTTTATTTGAAGATCCATCAGTTTTACCAGGATATTCGGCTGTAACATAAGCAAATACTTGTTTAGTATTCCAATTAAATAATGAAGATAAATCAGCATCTAAATCAAATATAACTTTAGAATTTTCTTTAGGTTTACGATTTGATGATCCATAATTATAAGAATATTTTATTGATGCCAGAGGTTTAATATTACTAATTGAACTTGAGCTTATGTGCCAGACATCATCTTGATATAATTGAATAAATGTTATTATAATGATTACCGCTGATATCACAATTGATGTGGTCAATGTCTGATTAGCAGCGTTCTGGAATCGAGTGGAAAGATTGAACATTATGACTATGACTATGAATGGTTTAGTCCAGGATGGGATTCAAACTCACGCTTGGTAGTTGGTTTGACTTGTACTTATAGTAATTGGTGAGTCTCACGCATTGTTTCAGATCGTGTCCACAATGCTCAAAATGGATTGGAAAATTGTGCGGCTGCGTATACCTCACTCACCCATTATATGTACTAGTATATTGAATGATATTTTACAACAAAGTGCCAATTGTTATATCTGTTTCAAAAATATGTTACATAGTGGATTAACGCTCACATTGTGTATACTCTTTTAAGGCTTCTGAAACTACTTATATATTGTGTATTAACTAAATATATTGTGCCTGGCTCAATAGAAAGATGATTGCAAAAAAGAAATAAACCTTCAAAAAATTGGGTTATCTGTATTTACCTAGATTGATATTTTATAATAATGAAATTTACCAATTGGCTATAAATACATCCTATTCTCGCCTAAGCATGTTTGTTATAGGACTTTGTTTCTTTGTCTATTTGTTTATGATCCCTAGAAGTAGGGCTCTAACTGAATAATGCTTCAGCAATGAAAGAATACTGACCTCACAATCTAACTCTCTCGTCACCGTACCGTATTCTATCGTAGGATTGGGCTTCTTTTAGTTTTACAAAAATCAAATCATTGTAGTCTTTTATAAATCCGAAAGGGGTTTCAAAATCTAATAATTGAACTACCAATTGAGTAAAACTATGAACACCACCCATATACTTTGCCTCATCATTCTCTTCTTCAAGCATACTCCAAAAATATTCAGCTGCCTTGAAAGATTTCACTACAATTGGAATTGAATGCTAAAGGAAACCTTGTCCCATTTAGCTTTCACAATTATATCAGGATATTCCTTCGACTTTCTATGATATAAATAATTTCGCAGCAATCAAGATCTATTTGAAAATGAAATGTGATATCAATGTATTTAGTTAGTGTAAAGAATTGAAGAATGCTCTGCTCACCAAAAGTTTCCGGCTGCATATGTCCAGTCACGGTAGACTGTATTTTAGAGTTATAGAGTAACACATGTACTACAATGCATTATTAAAATAATTGCTTTTTATTACTTGTATGTATATTTTTGATCGATCTATAAATTAGATTACTGAGCAGTTAACTTCAAATACTCTTGATAGAGCTTCTGTTGCTGCTGATGTTGTTTGGTCAATTTCTTGGTCATGCTTTTACTGATCTCTTCTCCATTTATATCTTTAGTAGGTAATCCTGATTCATCCCATTCGGAATATAAGCTCTTATCTTTAAACATATCTGCGGGATTTATCTTCATCTTTTCTAAACGTTCGGCTTCCTTTTTGGCATTAGCAGCAGCTTGCTCCTTCTTCTTTCTTTCCTTTTCTTCTGCAGCCTTAATTTTAGCTTCTTGTTGTTGAATAAGATCTTCCTTTTCTTGAGCATTAAGAAATTTAACTAAGGCAATTCCATTAGGTCTATCATCTAATGATACATTTAATTTAATTAAATCTGATCTAATAGTATCACAAGCTTGTAAGATAGTATTAGATTCTGATTTGTTAATAGCAAGATTACGAACAACATCTCTGAATTGACTTAAAGCTTTAACATATGGAAGAGCAATATCTTCAACAGATCCACCATCTTCACCAGATGATGAAGAAGTATCATTCCAACCTAATTTATCACTTCTTACTTCAAATCCTAAAATATTTAAAATCTTTACTATCCATGAAGTTACTTCTAATATGACTTCTATTCTTAATTCATGAGATCCTGCAGCTGCTTGTTGAATATAACTATTTGATTTACCAATTAATTCTTGAATTGATCTTATTGCTTGACCACTGGATAAATTATCATTAAAGGCTATATCAACTTCAATTTGAGCTTTAGTTAAATCATCATATAATTGTTTTTCTACAGTACTAACTTTTTTAGATACAAATCCTCCTTCAGCTATTTTATGTTTATAATCATTATTTAAAGCACGTACAGTGGTAAAGAATTTTGAAAAAGTAGATTCAACTGATTTAACTTCACTAATTAATGAATCTTTAAAATCTAATGGTTTATCCCAAGGACTTAAAGCAAATACTAATCTTAATTGTCTACTTGTATAATCATTTAATGCTTCTTCTATTGTAATAAAATTCTTTAAAGATTTTGACATTTTTTGACCTTGAATATGTAAATGACCATTATGCATGAAATAATTAACCCATTGTTTATTATCAAAATAAGCTTCTGATTGAGCTAATTCATTATCATGATGAGGGAAACATAAATCAATCCCACCACTATGAATATCCATAACTTCACCAGTAATATCTGAAGCCATAACTGAACATTCAATATGCCATCCTGGTCTACCTTCACCCCATTTAGAACTCCATGATGGTTCACCAGGTTTTGAAGCCTTCCATAATGCAAAATCTGATGGACTCTTCTTTGAATCTCCTACAGTTAAAGAACCTTCACCATCATTAATTAATGATAAATCACCTTTATTCCATGGTTGTAATTTAGCATAATCATGATTTGGATCATTTTCAAATTTAACAGTATCAAAATAAACTGATCCATCTGATGTTTGATAAGCAAATCCATTTTGAATAATTTTATCAACAAATGCAATAATTTCAGGTATATATTCTGAAACTCTAGTAGTAACTGATGGTGGAAGTACATTTAATCTTCCCATATCAATATTAAATTTATTTTCCCAAAAATAAGGTAATTTTCTAAAGATTGATGGATCAGTTACTGTTGAACCAAATTCTTTATCTAAATGAGGTTTGGCAACATCTTGAATCTTTTCTAAGAAATCTTCTATGGACAATGATGATGAACTATTATAAATAGCTTCATACGCTACTTTTGCAGCCTTTAAATACATGGGGAATTTAGGATTTTCCTTTGAAATTTCAGATACATTTGGAATTGAATTTGTCCAAGTCAAGAATTCTGATTCAATATTTTCACTAGTAAATTGTGGTAAATTTTTAGATATATAAGTCAGTAAATATTCTTTAGAAACTTGTAATAATTGAGGATTAATTTCTTTATATTGATTAATTATCTTTTGTTCAAATAAATATTGTTGACGAGCAGCAATAATGATTTTATCATCAATATCCGTAACATTTTGAACAAATTTTACATTATAACCAAAATAATCTTGTAAAATTCTTCTATTAATATCAGTACTAACATAATTTCTAGCATGACCCATATGAGAATGATCATAAACCGTTGGTCCACAACAATACCAAGTTATATGACCAGGTTTAATAGGAATAAATTCATTTTTAGTACGAGTTAAGGAATTATAGATCTTAAGAATTGACTTTCCTTCAGTCTTATCCTGAGGTTTATGCCATTGTGGTTGTTGAACCGTTGGTTTCTTAATGGTGGATGAAGACATTACAAAGTTTCTTTTAGTTATAGACCGAAACCAAATAGGAAATTTCATAAACGAACAGAACCTTTCCTGATATGGTCTATGATATTATTATTTACAATTAGTCTAACTTCTGTAAAGTGAGCTGGGTTAACTAGTATACTAGTGGTTCGAGAAACTTTTAGTGTTTGGTAAATACAATACGAAAATTATTGTAGGTCTTTACACGTGACTCATAAAGAGTCAAGAGTCATGATGGATCTAATGTTAAAACTACAAATAGGTCATTACAATATAGTAACGATAATTATGGTATTATGGTGAATTAATCATTGAGTATATATTCATAAATTATTTACAAACTAATTGGAATTATTACAACCTAATTATTGTTAGTAATCGTAGTTTTATAGATAAATCTCATTCACCTTAAACAAAAATAAGTTAACAGTCATTCTATACAAGCCATTGTATAGTATTTTTGGATCAGTAATTATGTTGGTCGCATGATGTGAAGTATCCTTAATGAAACTAGGCGTGTTTCAGATCCTTCACTCTAGAACGCAAATTATAAGTCATCATAAAAGGGGCATTTGGATAGAATGATGTTAACTTTAAGGTAACTGAACTCAACTCAAATGAGCTGAACTGAATTGAATTGAATTGATCTGATTAAGACTATTTCTCTATCAGATTCAGAATCTGTTCACTAATTAAACATACCTCTGTCATTATGTAATACTCTCATTATTACACACATAATTGTGTGGTGTTAATTCATTATATAGTTTTGAAAATTAGGTTTTTCAATTTTATACACTAATTTACTGAATTATTTGGTCCTAGGGCTGTAAACCCTACCGTTTCACAGTTTCACGTGAGCCATTTCTATCATGCAGGATGAGCCCTTTTAACATTCTCAACTTGGGCGTGTACTTTAACCCAAATGATATATTTTCCTCATAATTTCTTAACTACTATAATATTAAATATAGTGAGAGAGGGTTATCTGCAGGACAAGCGCACTATAGAATTCTTCTAGTGCGAGAAAGCAGCGTAGTGAGGATAGTGAAAAAAATTCAAAGGTTTAAAAATCTTTTAACCATAATCTACTTAGTTAGTAATAGATTAACCTCATTAACTATACCATATAAGATGTCTTCTACCGTTAAAGCTTCTAACTGGAGAAACGTTGAATTAGGACGTGTTGTCTTAGTCAACAACAAGGAATTAGCTACCATTGTTGAAATCATTGATAACAAGAGAGTATGTAAATATAGACAATTGAATGGAATCAAATCCATATCAATATCCGTCAATAATAATTATAATAATAATAATAATCTAGTCAGCAAACCAAACAAGAGGAGTACTACGAAGTGGAATCGAGTCTGTGTGTTGTAGTCCACTTGGTGTTGGAATAAGTGTAAATGAAACGAAATCACTAAATCGAAGTATATCAGTCAACTACAGTCTAAACATAACCAACAACAATAAAGAACCACTAAAATTCAAATATCATTACCAGATTCATAATGCAGTATCATATCGTAACTACCACATACATAAATGACATCCACCAATATAACTACTTAAAATTACACGAGAAAGAAGTAATCCTCTCCAATACTCGCTACTACTAAAATTCATTACATAATTACCTCATTAACTTCAAACATGTTCCAACACTTTATTGTAATTCTCTTTGTTTCTGTTTCTTAAGATTATTATTATTATCATTTAATAAGAATTATTTTACTAACAAATTTTTTTAGGTCTTAATCGATGGTCCAAAGATCCAAAGACAATCTATTGCTTTAGCCAAGGTTGTCTTAACCCCACTCGTTTTAGCCAAATTACCAAGAGGTTCTAGAACCGGTGTTGTTCACAAGAAATGGGCTGCTGCTGAAATTGACTCCAAATGGGCTGCTACCTCATGGGCTAAGAAATTAGCTGCTAAGGAAAGAAGATCTCAATTATCTGACTTTGAAAGATTCCAAGTTTTAGTCTTAAAGAAACAAAGAAGATTTGCTGTCAAGAAAGCTTTGGCTAAGGCTTAAATGTTTTAAAGAAGTACTATTCCAACAACATAAAATATCTATATCATCATTTACTCCAAATTTCTTTCATTATGTATTCTTAGTTTTAAATCAGTTTGAGGGTATCAATATAGTTAGGTCTTCTTTTTAATGTTTATGATTCAAAAGTCAAATTTCAACCCATCTCCCCATCCATCCATCATATATACATTTCATATCAATAAATATATATAAAATATTAATATTTTCGTAAAATATTTTACTTTATTGTAGTAACCAGGTACTATTATTGTACAAGTGTCATATATATCTATATAATATTAAATAGTGTATTTACAGGATCACCAACAAAATACAAAAGAATGGAACAGATAAAAAAAAAGAGCACAACTACTTCTTAGCAGCTTGTGCCTTTTGGTATTGTGCAATTAATTCTTTTTGTAAATGTGGTGAGGTTTGTGAATATTTACAGAACTCTAATGAAAATTCACCTTTACCTTGAGTACAAGCTCTTAAAGAGGTGGAGAATCCAAACAAAGTATTTAATGAACATTCAGCAAAACAAGTGAATTCATCTTGACCATTTTCAGTTTCTAAAATCATACCTCCTAATTTATTAAGTAATCCAACAACTGAACCTTGGAATTCATTTGGTGCAGTAACTTCTACACTCATAATTGGTTCTAAAATTACAGGATTAGCATTTAAGAAAGCTTGTTTGAAAGCTCCATGAGTAGCAGTTCTAAATGATAATTCAGAAGAATCAACAATATGGGTTTGACCATCATTAATATGCATATGAACACCCAATACTTTATGTCCAATTAATGGACCCTTCTCTAATGAATCATCAAATCCCTTAGAACAAGCAAATAAGAATTTTTCAGGAATCTTACCTCCAACGATATGTTCAGTGAATTTATTTTCACCTTCAATTGGACTAAATTCTCCCATAACTCTACCATATTGACCAGAACCTCCAGATTGTTTCTTATGAGTATAATCAAAAGTAGTTGGTGAAGTAATAGATTCACGATAAGAAACTTGAGGTTTACCAGTAATACATTCAACTCCATATTCTCTCTTAATTCTTTCAACATAAATTTCTAAATGTAATTCTCCCATACCAGAAATAATAGTTTCCTTTGATTCAGGATCAAATTTAACTCTAAAAGTTGGATCTTCCTTTTGAAATCTATTCATAGCTTTAGAAAATGCACCATTTTCTTTTGATTTTGGAGCAATCGATAAAGAAATAACGGCTTCAGGAACAAACATAGAACTCATAGCTATTTGCTGTTCAGCACTTGGACTAACAAATGTATCTCCAGAAGCACAATCAATACCAAAAGTAGCACAAATTTCACCGGCTCCAACTTCATTAACATCTTCCATATCATTGGAATGCATTCTAACTAATCTGGCAACTTTAACTTTCTTACCACTCTTAAGATGGGTCATGTACAGACCTTTCTTTAATTTACCTTGATAAACTCTGATATAAGTTAATTGACCATATTGACCTTCTTCTAATTTAAAGGCTAAACCAACGAATGGAGCAGAACTAGAAGGAATTAAACTGACTGGTTTTTCAACTCCATCAGAAACATCTAAACCAGTGTTCAAGACTTCATTTGGTTGAGGTAAGTAATCAACAACAGCATCTAAAACTGGTTGAACACCTTTATTAGCTAAAGCAGAACCCATTAAAACTGGAGTAAATTTTCTAGCAATTGTAGCTCTTCTAATAGCTCCTTTAATTTGTTCAACAGTTGGTTCTTCACCTTCTAAGAAAATATCAGCCATTTCATCATCAACATCAGCTAAAGTTTCAATTAATAAAGCTCTCTTTTCTTCAACTAAATCCTTTAAATCTTCTGGAATATCAGCTTTACGAATAACTTCACCTTGATCACCTTCATTAAAAAGAGCAACACGATCAATAATGTTTACAACCCCTTTCAAATTTTCTTCAGCTCCAATTGGGACTTGAATGGCAGCAGCAGGTGTCTTTAATTTCAAATTAATTTGTTCAATGGCTTTAAATGGATTAGCACCCATTCTATCCATCTTATTAATAAAGGTAACTCTTGGAACATTATAACGACGCATTTGACGATCAACAGTAACAGTTTGAGATTGAACACCAGAAACAGCACATACAACTAAGACTGCACCATCTAAAACTCTTAAAGCTCTTTCAACTTCAATAGTAAAATCAATATGACCTGGAGTATCAATTAAATTAAAATGATACTTATTTGAATCTTTATCCCAAGAACAATAAGTAGCAGCCGATTGAATAGTAATACCTTTTTCTCTTTCTAAATCCATATGATCCATCTTTGCACCAACAGCATCACGACCTCTAACTTCATGAATGGCTTTAATTCTACCAGTATAATATAAAACACGTTCAGTAAAAGTAGTCTTACCAGAATCAATATGAGCAGAAATCCCAATATTTCTCATTCTTAAAGAAGAGGCTAAATCTTCTTCGGGTAATTCTCTATTAATCTCATCTATAATGACTTTTTCTTCTTCATAAGTTTGAGGTACTTCCTTTAATTCATTATCAGCCAATAAAAGTTTCGAGTTACTGAAAAATCGACTACTACTAATATGATTTGAAACAGGGGCCAACCTAGCTCCAACAATAGGAATTCTTGATTTCAATAAGGAACTCGAGGCTCCAGCCATATTCCTAAGAAATCTAGACATGGTTTTCTATCTATACCTTTGCAGTACTGGGTTGATCTACAAGTATTCTAGAGTTGTATAGTTAGGCCATGTGAGCTGAGTGAAAAATTTCCCAATGCTCGAAAGATATTTTTTCGTCCGATTCGAGAAGTGCGACAATGCAAATGATTGCAAAAATTAAATATATGAACTATATGAAATATATGAATATATGAAACTATATATAAGAGTTATAATAATAGAAGTATGTGCAAGAATATTCTAAGTCTAAGGGGGAGTCTAAATATAAATATAAATATAAATATGCTTATGTATAAACAATAACAATAACAATGCACATTAAACATAAGCCAAGAAACCAAAATCAAGCCATCTAATCCAATATAAATCCCTTAACGAAATATAAAACAGAAATTAAACAAAAATTAAACAATAATAGTATCTAGTGTATTTAAAAATTTAACTGATAGTAATACATCTAATCCTTTGGTTTGACACCAATTCCGTTAATGTTTCTAAACATTAAGACACCCTTGGCATCTTCCTTATCGTCATCAACGAATTGACACAGTCTAATAACTTTCCATAATGAAACCCACATGTTTTCACCATCATATCTGTAATGTACACCCATAACCTTTCTGATGGCATCAGTAGCTTCTCTAGCATTGTAGAAAGGAATTCTAGAAACGTAATGATGTAAAACATGAGTTTCAATAATATCATGGAAAATATGTTGACCAACAAATCCAAAGTTACGGTCAATAGTAGCAGCAGCTCCACGAGCAAAAGTCCATTCTGAATCACGGTAATGAGGCATAGTTGGGTCAGTATGTTGTAAGAAAGTAACAAAAACTAACCAGTGATTAACCCAACACCATGGCATAAACCAGTTAACAAACATATTGAACATACCAAAGTTCTTATACCATTGATAAACAACAGTAATGGTGGTAAGAATACCAATATCAGATAAAATAATATACCAATATTGATGTTTATCAAAAACTGGAGAACTTGGAGCATAATGAGACTTAGCAAACTTTGAATAACCTGGATAAACTTGACCAGTAGCATTAGTAGCTAAGTATAATTGTAAACCACCTAATTGTTGAAAGATTAAAGTACCTAAACTCCAAATTGGAGATTCTTCCATAATTTCAGAAACAACAGATACACCATGAGCTTCAACATATTCTTCCTTAGTATAAGGAATGAAAACCATATCTTTAGTTAAATGACCAGTAGCTTTATGATGTTTAGCATGAGAATATTTCCAAGAAAAATATGGAACCATCAAATAAGAATGTATAATCCAACCAATAATATCATTAATATTTTGATAATCAGAAAATGCACCATGACCACATTCATGGGCTAAAATCCACAATCCAAATCCAAATAAACCAATAAGATAAGAATAGAAACACCAAAGACCACCTCTGACGACTTGTGATAAGGTTTCTTTACCTTCAAACCCAACCTGTGGGATTAATCTTTGTCCAATATAACCTATAACAATCATCATAGTGATGTCACGTGCCACGTAACCTAAAGATCTAATTAAAGATCTTTCATAACAATGTTTTGGAATAGCTGATAAGATATCTTTGATAGAATAATCAGGAACTTTAAATTCATTACCTAAAGTATCGATAGTAACTAAATTTGAAGTAATACGCTTTTCTTCAACAAATGTTGAAATGTTTCCTGATTTAGATACTGCCTTAGTACGACGAGAAGCCGCAGTCGTTTGACCTTGATCGGCGGCAGTAGATGACACAACTGACATTATCTAACTATAAATGGAGTGGAATAGATTGTTATGAATAACTGACAGTAGTAGTGCTATTTACACAAATCAAATCTTCCCAACTTATCCAAAAATCAATTGTTATGATGTATTTATCAATTTAACAATCGAGCCCATCTAAGAAATTTTTCAGCAATTTTTTTTCCGCCGTTTTTGTCCTGCAGTCGTCAGACGATTTTGGGTATCAAAATCAAAGCCCGTGTCATTATCTATGGATCGAGTCTTATTGGTCGGATTTGAGATATTCTTAAGTATTCATATGAATGAGTTCCTTGATAGTTATAAAGATTCGTAGTACTCTTGATTATAATTTGAGATTCTTAACTGCCACAGTCCGTGGCAGTTACTCCTCTTTCTATACAAAGTTAAAAATATGGTAAATCTTCAGCCGCACGGGGTAATGGAAGTTTAGTTTTGCCATACCATAATTTAATAGTGAACCCTAAAAGGTAGAGTAGATACGTATATGAATTCTTAATGAAGTAATTGTTAGGGATAACATATATTACATTGTATATGTGGATATGTTATAATTGCGTGTTTAAAATATTTTCGTAAGAAATTTACATAAATTTACTTCTTAGATGTATATTTTTAAGAGATTCTTAAAACATGAGGCTAATGCATATCTAGAAAGCATTAGAAAAGAGAAGAGATGGCAAAAGCCATAACTGACAGAACAAAGAAGGTAAAAAATAACCGCTGGCTCCATTGTAAGTTAAAACATTGACCTAGTTAAGACTGATTTTGATAGCAACTTTAGAGCCATTGCTTAACCGAGACAATCAAAGTTCCATTAGAATGAAACTAAACAATATAAAGAACAAAACTACTCCTAACAATTATATTTATGTAATATTAGAAATTCCCATCATATTCCCAATTAAGTAATAAGTACAGAGGGTTTCTATTGATTCCATATAACTAGTAAGATTACTTTGTACAAAATCGCCTCGGATAGCGCATGAAAAAGGAATCTCCTGGTATTACCACACACAGTTAAATTGTGGAGAACATATAGTTGAGGCTCTCTGAGGTAATAAGAAATGAAATTATCTTAATGAAGATCGTTCTCCGGTTATGTTCTATGATTTACGAATAGAGTTGACATACTCCTGCTTATGATTTTATCTTAAATTGCATGTAACTTGAAATATAAATGCAATTACCAGCCCAAGAGATTGAACTTCCTTTTTACCTTCAGCTTAATGTAGAAAAAAGTAAAAGTTCATTTCTGATTCAGATATTCTTAAAAAGGTAAAACCATACAAGAATTTAATTAGGGCAATTGTAAACTTTCCTTTAAGAACTTAACCGTTGCTTAAAGACAATCTTTTTACTACAAATAAACGCCTCAACTCATAGAGCAAATTACTACTTGTCCGAATTCGCTTTATCATGCTAAGTGTTGTTAATATGCTTTTCCTCTTTAACGTACTATAGAGCTAACACAAAAAAGTAGACGAAACTTCGAGAGAACCTTAATAGATTTATTCTCTAAATAAAGAATCACGCTAGCAACATCTTTTTCCTACTTGGGACCATCTTTTAGTAATTTCTTGTCATTTCCTACTTTCTTTCACACTTCTTGAGTTTGCTTGCATAGAGAATTTGAGCGCAAAAAAAATTGGTGGCCGCGAAAAAAATAATTTCCGTATTCGGTAATTCCTTTCACAACCAATTTAAAAGGTTCCATTGCCTAATGCGGTAATTCTTAACTACTTATTCTTAGTAAGTAGACACTTAAAATATATTTGTATGAGGAGAAATTATAGTATACCTTCCTAACTGAGTTAAAGATTGTAGTGATTCAAAGCTTTAAAAATTCACTTTAATGTGGTGACCGTCGAAAGTATGCTGTGATCAAATTATAAATATGTTAGGGTATTCCTCAAGTGAATTCTCAATCAATTTCGTTTAATTCTTCTTTTCATTATCAAACCCATCCATTACAACAACAATTTAATAGTAACATCTATATCACAATAATAATATAATGAAGTTAACTAACGCTGCTATCCTTACTATCTTGGCTTCAAGCACTTTCGTTTCTGCCGCTCCTGCTATTGTCACTTCTGAGCAATCACTTGTTAAAAGAGCAGATGTCAATGAAGTTTTAGAAATCTTAGAAGAATTAAAGACTTTAAAAGTAAAGAGAGAACTTCTCGAAGGTGAAGAATTAGCTGCCCTTGAAAAGAGAGCTGACAGTGTTATTGGTAACTTAATTTCTGCTTTACTTAACTCTGGTATCATTAGTGATGTATGGTCCACCTTAACTACTAATCCTGCAGTTTCTGCCGAGATTAAAACTATTATTGAATCTGCCATCAAAGGTGCCATTGTTGAAGGTCCCGCTTTAATTTCAGCCATCTGGAATTCCGGTTTACTTTCTAAACTTTTTAATGACTTTGTTAATGATCCAGATTTAAAGAGTGCTTTCCTTGGTGTTGCTAAAGCCATTTTCACTACTGGTCTTAACTTGATTAAATCTTGGTTAGGATTAAATTCTTCTTCCGCTTCAACCACAACTGCCGCTGCTGCTCCTGCTGCTTCTGGTGCTGCCAAGAGAGATTTAGTCTTAAATGGTGACTCTGAATTCATAGATAAGAGGGATGTTGCATCCATTGTCTCATGGGTTGTTAGTGAAATCTCCAGTAGTGGTATTGTTTCATCTTTAGTTAACAAAGTCTTAGCTAACCCACAAGCTTCAATTGATTTCTTGGCTTCTGCTTTCAAGACTGGTCTTGTTGTTGTAGAAGATGTATATGGATGGGCTAAGGGCAATGGTTTATTACAAGATGGTTTGAACTATCTTGCTGCCCATGGTGGTACTTTTGGTTCTGCTATTGCCTCATTCTTGGGTGATCAAATTGCCTCTGGTAACGTTTCCGCTTCTGATATTGACAGTGCTCCACTTCCATCAAAATCTGCTGCTACTTCTATTGCTTCTACTGCTGCTGTTGCCCCTCTAGCCGCACCATTAGCTGTCAATGGTGCTGCTACAACTGCTGCTCAAACCACTGCTGCTCCAGCCACTACTGCTGCTCCTGTTCCTACTCCAGCTGCAAGTGACGATAATGCTGTCCTTAATTCTTTAATTAATGCATACGGTACTCCAGCCACTACAACTGCTGCTCCAAACTTGGGAGGAATTTCAGGTGACATTAACACTCTTGTTGGTGCTGCCAATCAAATTGCTGGTTCTTTAAAGAAGAGAAGAATTGCTTATTAAATTAATTAATTATTATTATAACTATTTATTCAACTGGCATTTAGAAACGACAATTTGGGAATTGATTAAGAATCAAATCATTTTCAAAATATCCAAGGGCAAGAAACTTCTAAATTGTATAATACTTGGCCCGCATCACCATTCAATTTAAAAGTCGCTGAAGTTTTTATGTTTACTACCTATCCCGTTACTTCAATTTTTTTCCTATTCTACTAGTTACTGCTTATACTGAATCATTCAGTTGAGAATTTCGGTACATCTCCATGGGGGTTGCTAATACCATTTAGTCTTTTTTTTATTCAATTCTTCTTATATATTACCTATTGCAAATAAAAACATAAAATATCTAAAAAACTTTAAAATCTTTGTAATGTAGGGCAACTATAACAGAAGTTAATTAGCCGAAGCCTGAAATCAATTGTTCTATTTATAAGTGCAATGCTGCCTGCAAAAAAATGTTCAGATCGCAAAATGCAAGGTTGCACCCAAAATGTCGAAGCATGAAATTACAGCATCATAGACATCCTGAACTACGTGGAATTAGTGTTGGGTGATGTTCTACTTGGTGATGTATTGTAGTTGTAGTGTTACATTTAATCGAACATTCCGTTACATTCCAGTAATATATTACTCCAATTATAGTAAAGTTGCTATATATATATATATATATAATGGAATCACCAGCGACAATATACCAAAATATTAGACTCAATGACTCCAAGGATTCGGATGTTATGTTGTTTGCCTTAGCTACTCCTGGATCTGCTTTTAAGCCATCGATAAAGAAAATTGATATTTCATGGCGATTAGAAAAGTTTAAGAGGTTATATTCAAATAAAGGAGGTAAGAACTCCCCTGAGCCTATATCTGCAGCGTATATCAATACTTCAGAGTTAGATTTCTTTGACTTTTAAGTAATAAATAATTAATGATAGTAAACCCAATGTATATATATTGATTTAGTAATAAAAATGTTTTGATAGTTATATATAAATAATGAAGGTAAATGCAGTAAAAACTATATGAGTAATTTTATATATGTACGAATGTTAACTAACGAGTTGATCCTGAACCTTCAGAATATTCCTCTTCTCCAATAATTTCTGGATTTGATGGATCCCAAGTTGCTCTAGGAACTTCTAAACCATTATTTTCTTGACTTCTTCTATCTCTTTCATATTCTCTCCAACGTTTCATAGTAATACTTGAATAATCGAATTTACCAGCAGAATCACTATGATCACCTTTATCACCTCCAGCCACTGTTCTTGTTTCACCCCAACTAAAATCATCAAATTTCCAATACGCATAACTTGGTAATACAAGATTCCAAATTGGTAAAGCAAAAAGGTAAATAACAAAATAAATAAGATAAACGGCATTTGAAACAGTTATGACAATTAAACAACCCGGTAATCCAAAAATAATAGCTAAAAGTACTAAAGTTAAAATTGGAGTTGGTTTTGAAATAATGGCAATAATAATAACATAAACAGTAAAACAAATAGCAGCTGGTAAAACCAAAGTACCAACTAATTCAATAAAAATACAAAATTGCATTGAAAAACAGAAAGTACCACATAAATCATTTACTAAAACTAATTCCATTAAATTATGAACAGTTGAATTAATCCAACGACGACGTTGAGATAATAAAACTTTAAATTTATCAGGAACTGTTGTTTTACAAGCAGCCTTTGGTATAAAGATTTGTTTTCTTTTTGGGAAAGTTCTTAACATTAAAGATGAAAGATATCTATCTTCACCTAATAATAATAAATTCTTTTTATGTAAAGTATCGACTACATTATCAGAATATCTTTCAACAATATCAGGATTTGCTAAAATAGGAACCCAATAACCATCAGAACCTTTTGGAGCTTTAATTCTATACATACAAAAACATCCAGGTAAACATGTAACTCCACCAAATACTGATTCAAAAGCTTTAGCTTGATGATGAGAAATATAATATTCAAAAACTTGAATTGCAGTAACCCAACTTTGCTTTTTATTGGCAATTTTTGTTTCTCCACATAATCCCATAACTGAAGGATCTTTAACCATTTCAGCTATCATATGAGTTAAACTATCAGGAAATACTTTTGTATCAGCATCTACCATTAAAACTATTTCATATAATTCAGGCATTAACCCAGTAATTCTCCAAATACTATTAAATATTTCATATTCTAAATTAGTCATTCTTTCATCAAACATAACTCTTTGTAAGAAAGACATTAAAATAATTTGAGAATCACGTTTACCTCTATTACCAGGTTTTGGAGTTGAAGCTTCACTTGGTGTACCACATTTAACAATAGTAATTACTGGAACTCTTTGTTGCTTTTCTGGTGGAACAGTATTATCATCATATTTATAAAATCCAGCATAAACTTTAGCCATATTATGACGTTTACTACCTTGAGCTACAGCAACATAAGAATTTAATTCGACATTTTCTCGAGGAATTGTAAAATCAGACATCATGTCTAAAACAATATCAGGGGTAGTTTTTGAATTACCTGAACCTTTAATAAGTCCATCACATATAATAAAGATTAATTTATGAGAATTTGGATAATCAGTTGTTGCTACTGAATCTAAAGTTGTTCTTATAGCATCTTGATCTTCAGAATAACAAGTAACTAAACATAAAGTATGAGCTAAAGGATAACTAAATGGTTGATATTCTACTGGAGGTTGAGGAACTACATCAGGATGAATAATATCAGGAGATAAAGAAGGCATAGAATCTTCCATACTTTCAAAAGGATTATATCTTGATATTGGTCTATTTAATAAATCAGTTGAAGAACCTTGATCACTTAAATATAAAGTAGATTGACGAGTTCCCATTGATTTTAATCCTGATTTTCTATTATTAGTTGCATTATTACCTAATAAAGCCATTTGAGTTGTCATGGTAGTATATTTAAAAGTTTTTGATAAAGCAGCATCTGCATTATCATAATATTGATTTAATTCATTATTAGCAGCTAATGATAAACGATTATTTGATTTAAAAATACACTTTGTCTATTAGTTTTAGCCGATTTATAACCAGCTCTATTTTTAATAGGAACAGTCTTAAGTAATTTAGATTGATTATTATTTTCAACCCAATTATCAATTTGTTGACTTCTTATAGCCATAGTTTTATTATCAATTTCCGTTGCTCCTTGTTTTCTTGAAATAACCCATTTAAAATAACATGCCATAATAAATTTAGTTACAACTACTGATAAAATAAATGTTAATGAAACGGTTAATACAACTTTAGATGCAATACATCCAATAGTATCAGAATCAATAGTTCCAACTTTAATAATTTCAGTAAGACATCTTGCAGCTTGACGTTCTTCAGCTTGAGTTAATACTAAAGAAATATCATGACCTCTATAAGTTGAATCTTGACGTAATTTATCAAATAATCCTGGATAAGTTACATCATCAGTTTGAATCCAATTAAGTAAATCAAGATCAAGAACATTACCTGAATATACTACTAAGTTTCTTGAACTATTTTTAATATCATTCCAAGTAAAATATACATCACCATCAACTTTTAAACCATAATAAGCTTCTCTAGCTGTACTACTGGTATGACAAGCCCAACCATTATAATAAACTTGAGTATTATTTGGTTTAGATGATCCATCTTGATTAAATGTTCTACAAGGCATATACCAAGCTAATTCATTACCATTAGTTGGAATTGTACAATTATCTCTTGGAATAATTAAATTTTTACAATTCCCATTAACATTTTGAAATAAAAATGATGCATCCATACCTCCAGCATTTACAGGAGGATATAAAATATTTGAACCAGCAGGAATTCCTGCAGCTCCTGGATGTTTTGATGATGTTAAATCAAATGATCTACCATTAATAATTAAATGACCAGAATTAACATGATTAATTTGGGTTCTAACTTGTTTATTTGAACAAACTGTTTTAGTAAATCCAAAAGTTAAATAAGCAACTAAAGTTGCTACATAAAGAATACAAGATAATAAAGCAATTTTTTCTCTCCAAGCAAATTGACGATCTTTACTTTTTAAACCAAATAATTTTAATAAAGGAGATGGAGCCCAAAATGTTATAATATAACAATAAATTTTCCAAAGATAAATATTATTATTAGAAGATTTTGATTGTTCAAGATAAGGATTTCTTACTTTAGCAATAACTCTTTGTTTTCTAGAATTTTTTCTACCAATATCTTTATAATCATCTTCATCAATTTCATCATTTAATCCAAAAATTTCTCTACCTTGATTTTTTTGAGGAGATTGATTAGCAATATCCATAAGTGGTATACCTTCATCACCTTGATTTTGATTTGAAGCATTAATAGTTTGTCTTAAAGGTGATCTACCATGAGATCTTGCAGGACTTAAATGATCGGGATTTGAATTGGTATTGGAATTTTGAGGATCTAATCCAGTAGAACTTGGTAAAACACGTAAATGATCAGATTCTTGATTTGTTACTTGAGTATAATGATATCTTGGATTTGTAGGATCCATCCTTGACCTTTCTCTTCTAACCAATGATTTCTTTCTTGAAACATCACCAGATTCTGGATCGAATTCTTGATATTTACTTGGACTTACACTATTCCTAAATGTAGACATTGGTAATGAATTCTATAAATAAATGCTGAAAAAAGGTATAATGAATAATGAGAATAAGTAATGAATAATAATAATAATAATAAATAATAAACAAGAAATGAATGAACGAATGAAGTGACTATTGGTTACTAATTAATGAAGCTAATACAGACACACAACTTCCTTAATTAACTAATAAAGGTAATTATTAATTATTAAATATAAATTTTAATTTAACTAAGGTCCAACAAAATTTTCTTCTTGATGCAGTGTTGGAGGTATTCGTTTTGTGGTTTGATCTGTATATTTCAATATTTTTGTCACTAAGGGGTAAGAATTAATTAATGGTTATGAATTTAAGCTGAAACCACACGAGAATTGGAAATAAGTTTAAACTGATAATTCTTAAGTTATTTAACCGTTTACTTACTTAATACAGTGAAAAATTAATGATGATGACGGTGGAATGGAAACAGGTTACAATGCTTTGAATTCTGTTTGTATACATTTTTTCTGTTTTTGTCTGAGATCCTTTTGCAGTTTCATGTTTTTCGCAGGCTTTTGTGTTTAAACTGTAAAGTGGCCCAAACAGGAAAAATACCCTTCAATTCTCAGGTGTCAACGGAAAAACAAATTAGATTGAAGGGGTCAGACAAACAAAGTGGGCAGTGAGCAATGGGCAACGATTTAAAGCGAATACTTTCAGAGTAAGATAGAATATGATATACGTATAAAAATATCTGTGACTAGAGCTAATTAGTTGTAATCGTAATCGTAATCGTAATTGGCATATGGTTGTAGTTGTATTTGTAGATAATTGTAATTAGTTGTATTTGTAGTCAGTTGCAGTTATAGTTGTAGCTGTAGTTGCAATAAGTCCAGATATTTTCTCACTATTATTATTAGCAGCCATTGTACCGATGAGGATTGGATATAAAATATTATTATTATTTGTTAGCGATGGATGTCAAAGTTTACGAGAGAAGAACGAATTCTGACGTGGCTAAGTTAGATTTATAACAAAGTCTTACTATTAGTATAAACAGACAGACAGTATATAATCAAGTAGATGTTTCTAAATTTAGTTTTTCGCATAATTAATTTGCCTTAATTACGTACTTTGAGCCCTGACATAGACCCGATAACGCCGGTGACACTTTTTTTTTTTCACGGATCTTGCCAAGATTTGTCTGGATATGTTTGTGTAAAGTTTCCCTTAGAATCTTTATTTCGGTTGTTAACTGCTATATTTAGCTTGGTTTAGTATATACCTCTTGGCTGTAAATATGAGTGGGCTCATTATCAGACACTTTTCTTATCAAGTTAAGCTTAAGCTTAAGCTACTTTACTATGTACATTACTCTAATTAGTTCTATTTTTTGTTGTTGTTTAAATACGACTATTAATATATCAGAATCTTTGTAAGATAATTTCTAATATCTCATCAAGTTCTGGTATTCTGTGAGCAAATGTAACTAATTTAATAACTAATCGTTGTAATTTTTGGAAATCAACCTTATTGTCTTGTTCAATATTCTTAATATCAACAATACCTCGTAAAATTATAAGTAATTCTTCTTGTTGAATCTTAGAAATTGGACATTTATAGAGTAATCTTTGATCACTAATAAATCTTCTTATACTAAACCCAGCTCTTAAAATGAAAAAGCTTTGACTGGTTAATCTCAAAGTTAAATCAGAATTACTGAATTTAACCAATTCCTTTAAACAGTTAAATCTTGTAGCTCGATTAGCAAACTTACTAACTGGTTTAGTAGTACCAAAAGTTTCATTAAAATCAAATAAACTTATTGCATCAATAATTTCATTACGTTTACCATCTTTATTATGAGAAATTATTAATGATTCTTGTTCATCAAATTCATATAAAAATGAATTATCATATATGGCTTGAATAAGATCATTTAATATACTATTATTTTCTGGAGATTCAACTAATGTAGGTAAGATAATTTTAATTAATTTATGAAATTGTTCAATATTAATTAATTCATCTTTACTTGTACCATTTGGATCATCTTTAAAACTTATTTTAATACTTTCTACTAATAATTTCCATAATTCTTCATCGATTATCTTTTTACTATCGATTAATTTCTTAATAATACTCTCAACAATTTCATTACATTCAATCCATAATGGTGTTTTACTATTAGCTACCCCAATTGATCTTGTTTTAACTACCTCTAATAAAGATTTTAAAATTTTATTTACTCCTTTATCTTCCAATAATACTGTAAATTCACTAAGTGATTGTAATTTCTCTTTGAGTAATTGTAATGATAAATGACTAATTGCTATGAATGTTGGTAATTTAATTTTCAGACCATTTATTACTTTATTATTAGTTAATTTCTGTTCAATTCTTAATCGAGTTCCAAAAGGATAAACAATTATATTACTTAATTGTTGAATTACTTGAGATTGAATACTTGAATCTTTCAAATCAATAATACTTAAATTATTTAAAACTGCCTTTTGTAAATTCGATGGCCTAGATTCATCACCTTGATTATTAGGTAAAATAGGATATCTAGCACATTTATTTAATAAATTCAAGATAATAGTAATTTCTTCATTACTAACTGGTTTTGAAATAATTATAGGATATAATGGAGGGAAACAAGTCATTAAAGAAGTGACAGATTCTTGATATAATGGATTTATAAAATCATATTCTATAGGTACATTAACCCAAAATTTGAATAATAAATCTCTTATCTTAATAAAATCTGCTACTTTATCATTTGTAAAAGGAGTTAATAAATCTTGAAATGATTTAAACACCTTTAAATTCAAATCAACCCATTTAAAATCTAATAAGTTTTGGAAATAATTTATTAAAATTTCCCATTTTTCAAGAATTAATGGTACATCATTAAAATTAATCATGAAATTATTGTAAATTAAATTGAAACCAGTTAAAATCAAATGTAAACTTTCAATCCATTCTTTTCTACTAAAAGTTGGATCTTCTAAACTTAATTTAATATTAAATAAAGTAGGTAATACAATTGTATAAATTAAATCCCAACTTTTAGAAGTAGTTAATAAATTTCCATGAGTTTCTACAATTTGGAAAAATGTTTGAATTGATCCATCTCTTACTTGAGCTCTTGGATCTAAAGATAATTTGACTAATTTAGATAATAAGTATACAATGATTAGTATATGGAAAATATGATCATCATCTGTATTATTAATCTTTGTAATTAATTCTTGTTCATTTAATACAGCATAATCAACTACTTTCAATTCTTGAGAATCAATAACTCTGGATTTCAATGAATCACTAATTAACCAAAAATAACTTACTGAACTAAAGGAAATATTCAAATCAAATGATTGAGAACAAAAATTGTATAATGTATCAATTAATAATATTAATTGATTTGAAGGTATAGAAGTTAAGAATTCATCTAAAATTAATTTTAAAGTATCAAAAGATTTTTCAATTAATAATCTAATACGTTCTCTTAAATTAACTTCTTCTTTACTAAATGATTTTTCTGTTACTTTAAATGGAGTATTTAATATAGTAAATACTGTATTCCAAGAATCTTTATAATAAGAATCATATTGATCTATTAATTGATGTAATATAGTTAATGTTGATAAATGAATTTCAGTTTCACAATTTAATACTAATAATTCTTGTGGTATACCTAAATTAAATAATTCTACAAGGTATCGATTTAATCCATCTAAAGATTTAAATGAAGTTTTCTGATTAACTTCTTCTGAATCAACTCGGAATCCTTCATCACTTATAGATTTAATAATTTGATTATAAGCTTGAACAATGTATAATCTTAATGAATAAGAAATATTTCTCTTGTTTCCAAAAGTAATAAAGTAGTCGGTTATTAAACTCCATGACTTATCTGATAATACAAGAAACTTATTTGATTCGATCTGGGAAAGATCTAATAATCTATCAATAAAGTATGTTTTATTGTAAGGACATATATCTAATTGGAGACCAGAATATACTTTTTCTTTTTCTGTATCTTTTTCCTTTTCACTATGGCTATGGCCATTGGTTGGTGCAGCAATTGGTTTCTTCTCATCAAACTGTTGTTCTTCTTCCTCATCTTCTTCATCTCCAGATACAGATTTGTCCCCATTTGTTGCACTTTGTTCGAAAACTCTCTTGGATAAATCAATCACAGCACCAACTAACTCATCGAATGATTCAACTGGATACTCTCTAAAGTTATCCATTAATTTCTTTCTAGAAATTTCAATGTTATTTAAATCTTGAGGTGTTAAATGTGGCCACATGGATTCTGTAAATGATTTATAGCCCTTATGGTTATAATATCCACTATATTCATCTGGACCATTAACAAAATAATCACACCATTGGAATGTAATCCAAATTATTGTCCAAGATCCTTGTAAAGTTGAACCTAAGGATACAGCCAAATTAGCTAAAGCTCTTAAGATAGTTATATGTCTTGAATTAATATATCTAGAACGGATAATTGGTGGTTGATTTCTTGGTTGATGTTGTTGAGGTTTTGGAGATCCTAATGTTGAACTAAAACTTTCTACTAAAGATTCTCCAAATGCTAATAATTGTTTACCTTGACTTTGTAAACCAGATCCACTAGTTGATAAGACTTTATTATCATCTTTAGAAACATTATTAGTTATTGCATTAGATAATATAATTAATAATCCATCTCGAATAGTTCCTAATCCCAATAATCCTGTTGAATGAGCAAATCTTTGGAATGATCTAATTAATAAATGGAAACTTTCATCATCCATAGCTGAATAAATAAATCTTTCAAAAAGAATTGAGATATCATTATAGTTGGATTCTATGAAAGCATTAGTAAATTCTACATCTGATTCAAGATTAGCTGGATCAGAATCATTTGATAATGATTGAACAAAGGCTGCCACTCCATCAGCATATGACAATAAAATATTGAAAACAAGATAGACGGGATAAGTCTTAGGTAATTGAGATGGAGGTTCTGATTTATCAAAATGATCAATAAGTGGAGCCTTTAAATTGGATGTACTCTTAGATAAATATACTGGAGTTTGTTCAGGATGTTTTGATGGAGAAAGAGGAGTAACCAGATTATTCAGATTTGAAGTTGAAGTTAAAGATGAAGTTGAAGTTGAAGATGGTTGATTAATAATTGAAGGACGTTTAACAACATTACTAAATAAATAAGAATTTGACAGAAGGAAAGTATTTAAAATTGATGTTAATTCTTGAAGGACATTTTTCTTTCTTGGATTATTATCATACTTTACAAATATTGATTTTATAAAATTAAAATCACCAAATAATCCCTTATAAGTTTCTAATACTAAAATCTTTTCCCATGGTAAACTTTCTGTATCATTATTTACTAATATATGATTTAAGAAAGATAAAACAATCTCTGATTCTATTTCTAAATTATCTAATTGAGATGCTAATAAAACATGTAAAACTCTCATAGTTCTAGTTACATAGGGGAAATTTCTATGACTAGAATTTAAAATTCTTAATAATGAAGGAATAATTTTAATTCTTAATAAATATGCTAATTCTTGATGAGATTGAAATGTGGATTTATGATTAGAAATAATATTTTCAATAATTTCAAGTACTGATAAAACTTTTATATGAATTGCATTAGTAAAATAAGTTGGAGTTTCACCTTCAATTAATTTACACAAATCTTGAAAGATATTAAAGCATTCTAATGAATCTCCATCTACTTTAATTATTTCATCATTATCGATGGTTAAACTATGAACTTTTTCTGATTCTTGAACTTTATCAAGTGGAGTTAAATCAAATATATTACTGAATAATTGTTGTAAAGTAGCTGAAGCTGTATTAATAACCACCGTAGATTTATTATTAGCAGTAAGATTTGAACATACCGTTAATAATTTGATAAGTAATGGACCAGTAAAAAATTCATGATAATTCTGCATTAATGCTGGTAAACATTGTAAAATTCTTAATTGAATATCAATGGCTAAATGACTAGCTTCTTGAAGTCCATTAACCAAATCACTTAATGATTCGGGCGGTATTATTTCGGCCATTACAAGTTTATGAATGACAGGAATGGATAATGTAATTAATTTGGCAGTTCCTGACTTACAGGCTCCTATGAATGGTTTAATAAGACTATCATCATTAATCTTAATATCATGAATTGGAATGGTTTGATCATAATGCTTCAATTGTCCTATAGCATGATCACAAGCCTGTCTGATCTCAGGAAATCTCCGCTTGGACTCCAAAGAGAGCGTCGTGAGATCGCCAATGAGTTGCTGAACTGATCCCATAGCTTTTTTTTCTGTCTACTGGTCTACGCAATACAATTGGCCCTAGTGGTGCTGTACAAAGTGAACAGATATATCAGACCAGACTGTTTTTTCTGACGTGTACCGAGCACTATCAACAAATGTTTTACGTCATTATTCGCAGGCTGGTTAATAACCTCTTTACCATATACAGAAGTTAGAGATCGAGTTCGTTAATATGACATTATATTGTTACAGTATTAGATACATAAATAAATAAATAAATAAATAAATAGAATAATTAGTTAGTTAATTAATTATTTAATTAATTAATAGTATACAATGTTGGATTAACACCAGAAATTGACGAATTTCATATAGAACGGTAATTGACGTTTTCTCTCCTTTTCCTCTTCAATTTCTTGAAGCATTAATTCAGTATCTATAATGGTTCTACCAGTAGTTATATCCATATCTTTAGCCTTTATGTATAATTTCCAATTCTTAGTATATATTTTATGACCAAGATAGAAACAAATAACAATGGGTGCGGCTAAATACGCTTGAAAAAATGTCGAAGCATTTAAATAAGGTCCACCAACTGGATATAATGCAATATAGAATTGAGCAATAAGCACAAGTATATTTACTATTATTGAAAAATAAGCTCCGAATTCTCCACCAATAGCAGTAAATGGTTTTTGTTCTTTAGGTATACCTTGAACTTTCATGGCATGATTAACTCTTAAATGAGCCAATGAAATTGAAAACCAGATAAAAATTGTAGATAATCCACTCAAGGCGAGAAGCCAATTGAATACTTGGGTTTGAGCTTTTGATGCACATACGAAACCAATTAAACCAAACGCTAAAGCAATTAATAAAGAATAGATAGGTCTACCTTTATTATCAATATAACCCAAGAATTTTGGACCATGACCAGCTTCAGCAAGTGCAACTAATGGTTTATATGAAGCAAAAACACTAGCATTGGCAACTGAAAGTACTGCTAAAAGGATAATAACATTAAATATTGATGGTAATACTTTGATCCCACCATTGGTAATTGCAATAACAAATGGAGATGCTGATGATCCTGAATTACCCATAAGTTTAGGATCATTATATGGAACCAAGAAACAAATAAGAATTATTGATAGCATATAAAATATAGAAATTCTCCAGAAGATACTTTTAATTGCTTTCTTTAAGGTTCTCCTAGGATGTTTTGAAGAACCAGCAGCCAATCCCACAAGCTCGGTACCCAGGTATGAAAATGCTGCATTAACAAGAGTATTCAAAACTCCGTGGAACCCATTAGCAAAAGAGCCAGGATTATGCCAATAACGAGCTCCGATATATCCATTTGGTCCAACACCACCGGTAATTAAAATAATGGCAAGGATACAGAATCCGATAATTCCAGTAACTTTAATAATTGAGAAGAATGATTCACCATACCCATAACCTCTTACACCGAAAATATTAATGGCACAGATAATAACATAAAAAATCGCTACCCAGACAGCAGTACTAATGCTAGAATTCCAGTAATCAATAGTCATGGATGCACTAACAAGTGATAAGGGCAATGTAACGACCCATTGTAAACAGTAATTCCAGTTCATAGCAAATCCCCAAGATTCATCAATAAAACGAGAATTGTATTTAAGAAAGTTTCCAGAAACCGGGAAAGAAGAAGTCAATTCTCCCAAAGATTGAACGATGAAGAATACCAATACTGCAATAATGATATAACCTATAAGACATCCAGCTGGACCTGCAGTAGCAATTGCATCAGCACTACTAATGAATAAACCAGACCCAATACAAGAACTTAAGGCAATAAGTTTAACTTGATATTCGGGAAGACCATCTTCCATAGTAACAATGTTTGCAGCTATATCATCCTCATTTTCACCCTTCTCTAGTTTAGAAGCAATTTTGAAGGATGATATGAAATTATTCAACGGTCCACCATTTGTTTTGGGTGAAGCCTTTTCGCTTTCGCTATATTTTGTACCTAGGGAAGATTCCTTTGTAGTAGCCTGTAGTGGTAAACTGCTGAGCGAAATGCTATCATCCTTCTTAGAAGTCAGTTTACTGATTTCAGACATTAGTTATAATTTTGTGAATTAATCTTAGAATAGTTATTAATTTGAACCAAGAAAAGTAAAGTTGTGAGTTGCCTTTAGAGGAATAAAAAGTAGTCAAAAAAAGTTCATCTATATTGCATTTATACGGTTATGCTTACTTCTCTTGAAAAGAATCTTCACAAGCGTAACAAATCTGCTTACGGAAGGTAACATTGACAGAAAAATTTTCTGCCTAAATTACTCACATTAGCAAGTAGCGTAAGAAAAGCCCTACAACTCCAAGATGACCATATGGTAGTATGAAAACTATTTAAAAAAAATAGAGTAGACATACCCACTGTAAGGCATTGCAACAAATTTGGTTGTACAAAGTACGCATTGAAATGGCAAAATTTTTGTTCAAATGCCGCTTATATGCAACCGAAGAAAACTTTTTAGTGACAGCCTTAAACTTTGTACACTGTCTAGGGAATAATGGTCACGAAGGTGAGGCGTTCAATCCTGTTGAGTAGACGGCCAAATGTACTGTTACTATGTACATGCCTTGCCATAGATGCCTTTGACAGATTATGTAATTAAACTAAGTACTAATTGGAGTTGCAACCGTTCGCTAAGAGGATTGCAAAAATTGCCTTTTACTACGCGAAGGCTTTTCACTCGGACTTACATATCCAGAAAAAAAGAAAAGTATGACGCCTTTTCTTGTTTGAGAAAAAAAGTCATCAAATTTTCTGTTGTAAGTGCAGTTATGCATAGAAAAATTCTGTCTACAACAGATCTGATAATCTCCTTACATTTTGTATCGAGCAACTTAAACGTTGGCATTGTAGGAATAGTGTGATCCGGGATTATATTTGTTGAGTTTTGAGCCATTGGCCAATGATGAGATATTTCGTCTAAATCAATGCTCACTAGTTCGGATTGCTGTCAAGTAATTATTGGTGGAGATTACGAGCGTAATATGAGCGCATAATGAGCGTATAATGAGCGTATAACAAATAACGGCAATATTGTTGTTATGAGTATTTAGTCGTTACCGTTTTGAGTCAGATTTGTGACTACGAATATTAGAGCCAAGACACGTTAATAGATTCCAAGTCTACACTTACATTTACGAAAAGAATTTACTGTAGTGCCATAAATTGACAGCACTATCAAAGAGTGCATCCATAACCAAATTGTTGAGATACCACGAGCACATTAATGTATTGCATTAAAAGCATTCAATGCCCTTGGGTCAATTCGGAGATTGATAAATCGGCCAAAACCGTCCGGATTGCGTTCCTATTCGGACGATTCAGGGACTCCCGAAATTAACTATCGTAAAGTCTTCTAACAGATTAGCATTCTCTCTAAAATGGGACCACTAAAAAATTTAAAATTATTAGGTTTTAAATTCAGTCATTTTTTTGGTTATGTGAACCTGCAGTATTTCGGAAAAACTTTGTTTTTGATGCAAAATCTGCTTAAGAGCATAGAAGGCAAGAGTGATCGTGCCTTTCAGACGTATCTCGGACTGTTAAACAGTTTAATTAAATTATTTTAAAAGCCGTTGGCATTACTTGAGTTACAATTATATTAAAAAAAATCTAATAAAATAACTGTTTAAAATTAGCCGAAATAAACATAAAACTTATTTGACTAGTCACTCATATTCGGACTTTAAGACTTGAAATTTGAAACCAGAATAATAAATAATGTACATTAAAAAAAAAAGAATAAGACGTGTTGAGCTTCTCTAAACTAACAACAGCGTATAATCATAAATAACGACTTGGAAAAGAAACTATGAGACAATAGAACGTAAGAATTAAAGAGGAAATAAATAGTCATAAATATGATAGTAAACTTTAGTATAAAAAGTATTCTATAACGGAGAAAATAGAAAAAACCTGAACCAATGAAAATATTATGTATAAGAAATTTAGTAAATATGGGTAGAATAAATAAGATGAAATCAATTCAATCGAATCTAGAAGCGTCTCCACCAAGTCTGACAACTTCTGACTTTAAAAGTTGGTTTTGAGAAATTATCTTCTTTTCATTCTTTTGTAAGTAAAGAATGTAATCAATAGCTTTCTCTAAAATAATAGATTTATTCAAACGAGCACAATTTGAATTCATTTCTTCGTCGTTATCTTGTTGACCGGTTTCAAAAGCAGTCTTTTCATAAGCAACCCAAGGAATAATTTGCTGTAAACCAGCAATCTTAGCATTGATATTTATTCTGTATTTTTTTTCAATTTTATTGTGAGCTTGCTTTTGACTATCGGTCAATCTCTTTCTTGGTGCTCTCCTCTTTTTCTTTGGAGCTGGAGTAGCAACTTGATTATCGATTTCAGAATTATTGGATGTAACTTTAGTAGATGAATTGTTTGAAAAGTTTGAATCGATTGTCTTTCTTCTGGATAATAACGTATTAGAATTGTTATTTTCGTCCTTCAAGATATCTTTGGTATCAAATATTGATTCTAAATTTTTGGAAGTGAAGTCATTTAAAGTTTGGAATTTGCTTAATTTCAATTCCGGTATTACTTCATCATCAATGTTTTCAGTCTTTATAACAACGGGTGATGTTTGAAGAGAATCAGAAGCAGCAGTTCCTGAAGTGGAAGATGATAAATAAGCAGCATCGCCGTCAACTGCATTAGGGGAATCGTCATTATCAAGCATACCATCACTGTCAATTTCATCATCGAAATACTTTGTGAAGTCCAAAGTAGCTCCTAACTGTGAAAGTTGCTGTTGTTGTAATTGCTTCAATTGTTGATCTTGAACACCAGAAGGAGTAGATAATTCGGTGAAACTATTTGTTGTTGTAATAGGTGCAGACTTAGTTAATAAGTCGTCTAACCACTGATCGTTGGCTTGGTTCGATCCATTCATGGATGGAGACAAGCCCATATTTTGGATCATTGGGTGGGATTGAGAATGGTGTATAATCCTTTGCGCTTGTTGTTGTTGCGGTTGGTTAGGTAATTGTAAATTTGAATAATATTGATTGAGTTGGAATTGAGTTTGTTGTAATTGCTGCAAATGATTTAATTGTTGTTGAAATTGTTGTTGTTGGCTGAACATTTTAATTTTAATTAGTGATTAGAGTAAGCAAAAAATGGATATTAATATTAATTAGATGCTTATCAGTCTTATATTGACATTCTATGATGGATGATAAATGAAATAAAAGAAATCTTAAAAAGATATAAGATAACAAATTATTTGAGTTGAAAAGCTAAGAAATATTCAAGGATATTTATATCTATCGTCGATGATGCAAATGGTTCTTAATACCTTTTAATGATAAAATGCAGGTATAGAAAATATTAATTAATTGTTTTTCAACTCTATGTAGCATGCAAGGAAATGTTACCTTAAAAGGATGAGGAGCAGCGGCACTGCAGCGGTAGCAGCCCAGCAGCGCAGCGACGGAAACAGAAACAGCTCAGCGTCAAGAAAACAATAGGCACTATTCACTAAAAAAGATAAAAAAAACATCAGTTCCGTCTGCAAAAATAATAAAAAATTCAATATTTTTTAATTCCTTAATGAGCTGATCAAAAAAAAAACAAAAGGAAATAGAAAAAATAAGTAGAGTTACGTACGAACAAGAAATATAGAAAAATAAATAATCTAATTTTCCGATCCATTTTTTTTAGGCGCTTAGGCAGTAGCAACGAAAATTTTCAGCTAATAAAAAACACACCACTTTAAGTAGACAGTGTAGTAAAATCTTCTCATTAAGCTAAGATGGTCGAACTTACTTTTTGGCTTTAAACAATACGTCGGATAAATTTATGCAAGTATGATAGCATCCCATACGGACTACGGACGGGATAGGTAGTTTTCAAAACCCATGGCTTGCTTCTCTTATCATATTTTTATCTTTACTTTGAATAATTATAGGATATATCTATGAGGTAATTTGAAAATTAATATTAACAATTCTACTGAGACTCTATTGTTCGGCTTCTTTCATTTCCAATTTGATCTGCAATTTACACTTTCTATCACTTTAGGAGTTGCTGAATTGCTACTGTTTGCAATTGGAATTTTAGTATTAGCATCATCTTAGAGTGTTTATGCTACATCTAGTTCAAAATAGACTTTTGTGCCTGTTAAGCTAAGTTGAAATGGTCTTAATAATAATTTTTAATAATACATTTATTTTATTCTATTTTAGTTCTAGTGTATTGTCCTGCTATAGAAAAGAAATAAAGAACTTAGAACAATATAATTTAAAGAGTGGTACCCCTCGACAGAATCCCCTATAGAAGGTATATAAAGATCTGTGGGGGGTTGTAAGAAGAAGATAGATATGTGAGCATTTCAAAGAAAATAATACTCTATGTTCTTGGGGGCTATATTTTGGAGAAAATATTTGTTCATTCAGTTCAATAATTTGAAGAGTTTTGCCTAAGTATTATAATCGCATTATGACTGCTATATTCCAGTAAGAAAATCTTTATTTAGCTTATGACAAGATGTTCCTGACTAAAATTTCCCACTGGTTTGCAGCACTGTAACAGCTAATTGTTCGTTCATCATCTTAAATTGTTCTCTGAGAAATACCCCGATATTCGCAAATCGCAAAACGTTTAGAGCATTTTAAATACATTTTCCCATGTGGGGTTCCATAAACAATTCAAAAATCTACTAAGATATGTTGCTTCTTGATATGCTTAATCCTCAATTCATGACTTGAGATTATATTATTCATTTAATGGCACTCTTGTCCGAACGGCCGAGGGAGAGAACGAGGGACTCGGATATTATATAAGGCTATTAATCTAATAAACTTTAAACAATGAAATAGTATGTTGAAATTAACCATACATCTCATTTCCCGAATCTGGTATACTAAATGTCTTAAAATTAAAATGCAATTTTTTCCTAAACAGTATAAGCTTTGCCTCTTTAGTCTTATGTTTGCAATATCATAAACCCTATTCTTATTTTTTTGCAATTCGGAATTAACTAAAATTGGATCTAGACAAGCTCAGCATATATCTATCTTACTTTCTTCTTACGTTTGATCCATTACCCCTCTTACCAATTCATATTATTTATACTTGCTGTGCCTTTAATAATATTATTTTTGACAATAGCATCTAGTGAATTATAATATTCAGAGTCCACATAATAATATATAAAGTTTCAAAATAAGGTAAGTGAAAACTAGAGTGTCAGAACTTGATATTCTTAGAAAGCGACAATGTTCTAGCCTTGGATAAGTTATGATGTCGTATTTGAGACAAGGGTTTACAGCAATATTAACTTCTTCATGATATTCTATTAATTACTTGTCTATTGTTTAAAACAATAACTATGAATCTTTTCGAAGATTTGCTTGCAATCTTGTCTTTATATTTCAGTCCTTTTTCTTTTTCATTTTATTGAAAACAATATGTGGTAAATCGCTGGTTATGCGTAGTTTTGTGATAGGTTTGATTCTATTCGCTGCAATATTTCAAAGAAATTGCGCACGCATTAGAATAACACCCCTCATCCCCTAAACTATTAAATTACCCCCTTCCCTAACTAGGAAATCTGAGTGAGCTACATAAAAAAATTAAAGTTTGCGCAGCCAATGAATGAAAATCATTTGCGCGCGATCTCAGTAGATCTGCTTCTGCATAGGACTTAGTTTCAAATATCTTTTCCTGCGAACACATGAGTTTAATTAATTCATCTTTTGATCCCAAATTTAGTAATTTCGTTTCAAATTTTGCAAGTGCCACGCCCGAGGCAGGCTTCAGCATATCGGGCGTTTAAACGATTCTTTCCTTATGGTGAAATGATTTTAAGGTAGGAATCATTACACCATATAATTCATTGGACTTTCCTTTGTTAAATGCATTGTTATCATAATGGTGAAATTGTATTATTTTAAGGCGTTACACAATGGATGATGAAGAAAAGCTACATAAAATAATAAATGTTAGGAACGAACTCTACATACGATGATTCCTTAATTTGAATTTTATTCTTCTGCTGCTATTATCTATTTAAGTATCTCGTTAAGTAAATGTACAAAATAACATTTAAAATATATATATTTTTAATATCTTTTATTCGTATGTATATAAGTGTAAATAAGAAAATATCTGATTTGTGTGGTTTAACCAAGCTTTGCCTATAACATACAGATACGTCGGTAACCAATCTCATTACTACAAGAAAATCGTATTTTCAGAAATCCATTAAACATAGACGAGATATGGCTTCCCTTATTTTTTATATTGCATACCGTGGTAGAATTTGTTGTTAGAAATTCATTGCGCATATTTCCGTAGTTTTTATTCCTACACACTGTGACAAGATTATATCAATTACAATGTATTTTATCATGTACGCTGCCGATACTGTGGTTAAAAGTGCCTCACCTCATCTTACGTCAAATAGATAAGGATTAATGAAATCGTATTTCTATCCTTAATATTTTGTGCCTCACAATGAATTCCTAAACAATGAATGAGCTTAACTCCTTTCTTCTTACAATAAAGAGAGAGAAGTTATATAATGTTCGGAAGTTTCATCAAAGCCTATTTGAAGATTAACCATTCTCATTTAAGACCAAGTAATTAAATTACATGCATCCATGTAAAAGTACTTTAAATTGATGTACCTTTTACATCTGCATGTCAAGGACTCCGCCGTTCCAGATCCATCCAGTACAAATGTGGACTACATAAACAAAGCGTTCAAATTCCTAGCAAATCCCGCTCCGATATCCTTTAAAGATAAATCTGCTCATGTCGGGGACATGCAAAGTATCATGTAATACGTAACAATACATCTATAAAAGATTTAAAAAGAAAAGGCTGGAAAATATATTATTACATCCATGCCTCATAGTTAAGCGATGTTCTGCGGACCTTCTCCACGTCGGCCTCATCTCAAAAAAATATTCTAAGACTATCGACTTGTTGAATATGATAAACAAACCATAATGTCATCGAAAGCAATAAGTCGGAAGAAGCCTTCTTCGCCAGTAGACTTTATCAAGTCTTATATTACTCCTAAATTTTTGAAGGATGTCAAATTTGGGCTTTGTGGGTTTGTTTATATGTGTATAATTCTCTTCCATTATGCATGGATTATGAGAAGGTGGTTATTAGACCCTTACATGGAATTAGCTAAGATAGGTATCTATTTTGCGTTCTTCTTTGTTCATGTCATTGCTTGGGGTTTTGTTTTTTATCATGTGTTCTATAAGTCAATTTATGCTGAAGAAATTGCAGCAGACAGAGCTCAATTGGAGGAATTAAAAAAGAGATGATTTTTAATGATAGTTATGATATGTACATACAGTATTTATTCTTAAACAAAGAGTTTTGATTTTATTTTTAACCTATTTACAACAAATGGACACTGTTTAGAGTTTGATCTTTCTAGAAATAGTCCAACCGTAGACACCTAAAGCAACGATAGAGATGGTATTAACCAAAGTAGAAATACCATGATATTTACCGAATTGACTACTTAATTCTTTAAATTCTTCAGTAAGTTCACCAGTGGCTGTCTTATCTAATTTATCGGCAACTAACTTATTTCTCTTTTCCTTTATGTCACGACAAACTGGTAATAACCAAAAATAATTGAGTAAACCACCAACGGTACTTAAAGCCAATAATCCTGAAGTAAATGGACAGAATTTGTAAGGACTAATGAGAGCAAGAAGAACAGGACCAATTGATTGACCAATGAAATAGGTTGGAAATACTTGATTCTGTAAGTTACTGAACTCCTCTCTTGGTAACTTTTTGAAAACAAGAGGTGAAACAATATATGAATAGTATAAAGATCCTCCAAAAAGTACAGAATAAGTTAAAAGGTGGCCACTGACCAAATATCCTTGATTAATTCCTAATCTAGCAAGCATGATTTTGTATTATAATAATTGATTACGAGTAACTTATATGACTGGAAATTCAAGATAGTATTAAAATTATCTAGACTTAAAGAAAGTGACTTATATGAGTTCCTTAAATATGACTTCAATTGACTATAAAGTTGGGAAATGGTGCCATTCTCGCTCTTTTCGGCATTTTTGTTAAGTCGGGGAAAAGAGGAGGTAGTGCGGAGTACACAAAAATACTCCGATGATGCATTTTTGCTTTTTTGCAATCGTTTTTTTTTATTTTCTATATATTCATTCAATACAACATATACAGTACTGGATCATAACGTATCAATTAATTTGAATACGTTATGTAATGCATGTTGTTTTACATCCTCATCATAAGTAAAAATATCTTGACTTAATTGAGAATATTTATCTTTATTGACAAACCAACTAAAATCACTTTGAAGTCCTAATCCCAAAAGTTCATCTGTCATTAATTTACGATCTTTAATTTTTGAAGTTTGTTCATATTCCTTGGCAGCTATTTCAGCATTGTCTACTATACTTTCTGCAATACCACACATCGAAGCAACATTCATACCAAATGATCCTGGTGCAGTACCTTCTTCTAATTTATATAAAAATGTGATATTTCTTGATGTATTATCAACTATAATTCCCATTCTTAAAGGTTTTATTTGAGGATGATTCTTGAATGCTAATCCTAATGATCTATAATGAGTAGCAAAAAATCCTAAACTTTGAACATGAGTTGCTAAGTGATATAATACACTCTCGGCAATAGCATAACCATCACTTGATGAACCTCCTCTACCTAATTCATCTAAAATAACCAATGAAAATGGTGTTGCATTACTTAAGATCTTCTTGGTTTCACTTAATTCAACAAAGAATGTTGATTTTCCTTGAAGAATATTATCCTGAGCTCCTAATCTAGTCATAATCTTATCGATAGGAGTTAATTTTGCTGATTCACAAGGAACATAACAACCAATTTGACTTAATATAACAGCCAATGAAGTTGTTCTCATAATTGTGGATTTACCTGCTGCATTGGCTCCTGTCAATAAACCAAATTTAGAAGCATCTTTACCACCTAATTTAATATCATTAGGAATGAATTCTTTAGTACCCAAGAAACATGGATTTCTTAATTCTTTAAATTCAATTTCACCTTGACCATTGGTAGAATCAAGTAATTGTGGTCTACAAGATGGGAATCCAATTGTTTCAGATGCTTTGGTTAAGGCTAATAAACAATCAATAACTCCAATGGTTCGAATAATCTTAATCCAATCATCATAATTAGTAATGAATTTATTATACATTCTTTCCTTTAAACTTTCACATACTTGCTTATGCAATTCTCTTTGCTCCATTAATTCACGAGCTAATTGTTTTACTTCAGGTGACCAATATCTTTTAACTTTAGCAGTAGATCCCATTGTCTGCCAATCATTAGGAATTTGTTTAATAATTTTATTAGGAACTTCAATTAAATAAATTTCTTTACCACTATCACGATAACATATTTCTTGAGACTTATAAAGTTTCTTATATTGTCTTAAATGTTGATTTAATTGACTTTCTAAGTCGTTTAATTTAACTTGAGAATCATCAAATTCTTCATCAAATCCTGAATTTGGAACAATAATATCATTTTTAGCTTCTTCTCTATTAAATGCATCTTCCCATTCTTGAATTATTTCATTCAAATTGGAAGGAAATTGCTTTAAATATCTCTTTAATGAACCTTCAGTTTCAAAATTAGAAATCTTTTTAATTAATTTATTTATAGTTTCAAATGCTTCAATTACTCTTAAGAAATCTCTAAACTTCAAACCTTTACTATGAATTCGAGATAATAATCTTTCTAAATCAGGTAATCCAAGTAATCCATTCTCCAAAATAGATCGAAGTTCATAAGTATTCATTAAATAATCAATAGAATCAAATCTATCATTAATATCTTCTAGTCTAACTAAAGGATGGAGAATCCAATTTTTCAATTGACGTTTACCAAATGAAGTTATAGATTTATTAATTAATTTAAATAATGTTCCCTTATCTCCTCCATCAAATGAATTATTCAAAATTTCTAAATTATTTAAAGTAATACCATCTAATAACATAGTAGTATTCTTCTGTTTCGATATTTCATATTCTTTAACATTACCTAAAGATATTATATTATCATCTAATTTTAATGATTTCAAATAGAATAATAATCCTCCAAATGCATTAAATGATACTTTATGATTCTCTTTATAATCAATTAATACACTAGGATATTGAGAAAAATCATCTAAATCTTCTCCTTTAAAATATTTAGATTCAACTAATTTTTCAACGGTAGTATCATAATCCCAAAATTCAGTTATTGGATTTAAATTATTCCAAATTTGTTGCTTTTGTCCATTAAATTTTAACATTTTAATGGCAATTGCACTTAAATTTAATTTTTCACATATAATTTCTTTAGGTCTTAATTGAGTTATTAAAGTATCTAATTTAGTACATTCCGAATCATCATTAAATTCTAATAAATTTAATTCTGAAGTTGAAGTATCAACTATGGCTACTCCAAATATATTTGATCCATCATCAAGTACTTCTTGTTTTAAACTAATACAATAAATAGCCATATCATCACCTATCATATCTAAATCAGTTAAAGTACCTCCAGTTAATACGCTACTTAATTCACGTTTAATAATCTTTTCTTCTTTAGTAGTACCACCTCTCATTTCTTTAGCTAATAAAGTTTCAACTTGATCGACTTTGGCAACTTTATAACCATGACTTATAAATTCTTTAGCCCAATATTCAAATGACATTTCAGGAATACCCGCTAATTTCATATTAGCTCTTCCACCTCCAGCAATTTTCAAATCAAATTCACTATTGGCAATTACTGCATCATTTTCGTATAATTCATAAAATTTCCCCTTTTTGAAAAACACCACCGTACTCCACATTTGTGATTTGATTTCCCAATATTGTTTTTCAAAAGCTGTGAATTTTGACCAAGCCGATTGAGGAATATAAAGAGTTCTTGAATCATAATCGGGATGGTCAACTGGTCTCTTTTCTGCGTCTCTCATATTAACCAACCATTGATATCTTTCTTCATTCTCTTTGGCAAAGTTTTTCTTTGGAGCTGGCGAAATAGGCTTGGAAATAGTCTTCTTGACAGATGGACTGCTCTTATAAGAAGAATCCGATTTGAATTTACTTCCTAGTAAATTGGACACGGGTGATGATGTGATAGTAGATTCCCTTTTCACAGAAGGAGATTTGGATTTAGATTTAGATTTAGTCTTAGCTTTATTCAGTTTCTTAGGTATATCGAAATCCTTTTCATCATCTTCATTATCCTCCTCTGCTTCACTTTCATCTTTATCATCATCTACTATAAAATCACTCATATCGTCATCATCTTCATCTTCACTGGCAGGAGGTTTAAAGTCTTCCTCTTCTTCATCATCATCACTTTCAACTATCTTTCTTCTCTTCTTTCTTGCGAGTACTTCATTATCTTCATCATCTGATTCTGCATAACTCACATTAGCAGCAGCTCTACGTCTGGATACAGGACTCGAGGCAAGATTAGTTGAATTGGATTCATTCAATGGTTTCCTAATCTCTTTGTTCCTTATTGGAGGTGAAGAAGGAAGTCTAACCGATTTAAGTGGAATATCTTCAGTTTCTGAAGATAAAGGAGTATCTGTCATCTTATGACTTGCCATAGTAATATCTGCCTCTTCTTCTTCTTCTTCATCGTCGATAACACTCGTATTATTTTCTTTATCGCTATCTTTAAAAGTATTCGATTTAGAACTTGTGTTAGATTTCGATTTAAGTGGTGAAGATGAGGTTGGCCCTGGCCCACTTGCTTGCTCGGACTTGGGCTTGCCTGAAGACATAGGCTTGAAAAATGACATTAATGACAGTTGTTTCATTTTGGCACTGGATGATCCGCCGGAAGTGACCTTACTGGACTTCAGCGGCGTTGATGGTTTTACTCTCAGTGACATTCTGGTTATACTAGTAGTAATGTACGAGAATAAGTAATTGCTAAGTATCAAATTCCATTAAACTCGACCCCCATATATTTCACTTTGACGCGGTATATTTTATTTTATTTTATTTTTTTTATCTTTTTATTTTATACTTATTTTTATTCTTATTTTTAATTTTATTTTTATTTTTGTTTGTATTTGCGCGCGCGTTTTGTGCGTTTAATTATTTAAGCACCCATCTTTTGCAGACCAAATAGCTATTTGCAGCTTGTCTAGAATTGAGTATTGATTATTGGAATTGATTAGTGGTACTTCTCAAAAGTTACATTAGTGAAGGAGAAGGCTTTTTATTAGGGGCAATTATGGTAAGGGTTTCTTTTTTACTCATTATATTATGGTGTAGTCATATTTTCCCCATAGCCGCTGTGACTATCAAACCAATTCATCTAAGAGATCCACCGATTCTTAAGGTTACTACTAAAACACACGATAGAAAATTAATCTATGATAAACTTCAACAATGTTACCAAAATCAATTTGGACTAAACCAAAAGCATCATGCACTTATACATTTGAGTGATAGTGATAGTGTCAATAACGAAAGAGCTTGTTTGGAGAATTCAAGTTTAAACTACTACTTAAAAAGTGTTAAATTAATAACTCACGATTTTGAAGCTTCTGAATGTCGAACAAACCTTAATAATCAGTATCAGTCTTTATTAAAGCCTACATTTAATATTCATCAATTTATTCATTTCTCTTCATCAGATCAAATCTCCAATCAATTACAATCGAGCCTTATTAAAGAGTTTTCCAACCATGAGAAGTTGAATCAATTTGAATTTTTCCAATTCGATCATTTGAATTACGACTTAGAGTGTTTGGTTAATTATAATGAATTAATGCAAGTTATTTTACGTGAAAATTTAATGGAAGTTAATTTAGAATTAGTAGTTGAGGTTGCTGACATCTGTGGTTTTAGAAAGATTAATGATGCTTTTGATGGTTCTATAATAGAAAGTTTTAAGATTAATCTTCCTTTAAATGGTACATTCTATTGTCACCTGGGAAGATCAGCTACTTGCAAGCGAACTAATGCAGAATACAAAAATTCAAGATATAAATTACTTCCCTAACGTATAATTATTTATATATATATATATATATTCGTTTATTGTATGCATATATAAAGAAGACAAAACAACAGTTGTAAAAGCAATCATAATTTTTAATATTTTACATAATAACTTCGTACTTAATATCAGATTTAATCTCTTTATGAGGTAAAACAACAGAACTCTTAATGAAAACTTGATTACTAACGAAACTCCCTTTGATAAAATAACAATATTATTTTCCAATTTCAAATTACTATTAGTCTTAGTATCAATATCATTAAGAACAGATTGTTTACTGGCTTCTCCCTCAATTCTACACCATTTACCAATTTTAACTCCTTCAGAAATAATAGAATTAACAATATAAGAATTATCTCCAATAGTAACATTATCAGAAATAATTGAATTCTTTATTCTGACTCCATTACCTATACTGACATTCTTTCCAAAAGATACATAAGGACCAATTTTATAGCCACCTCTTAATCCTAAACTTGAATCCAGTACTTGAACTGGTGGTATGATACTTTCAACTCCTTTTAATGATTCCTTATCAACTGTTTGTTCCAAGAAATATCTGTTAGCTAATAATGCTGACATAGGAGTCTTTAATAGATACCAGAAACTAGTAGAGTTAAAACTGTAAAACTTCAGTTCAGAACTTTGAGGTAAAATCTTCAATACATCCAATTCTAAACTAAGAGAATTTGGATCAACTGAATCAGATTCTAAATCGTCATACAAAAATATCTTTGAAGCTCTTCTTTTACCCAATTGAGCTCTTTCTAAATACTTAAATATATCTTTATTAAAGATATATATACCTCCATTAATTAAAACATTATGTGTTGTATCCAAAGTAAATTGAGTAGTTGGTTTTTCAACATAATGAATGACCTCATTTGTCTTCTTATCGGAAACAATTATACCAAATTTGTTGAATATTTTCTGTCTTGCTTCAGGTTCCAAACTAGTTAATCCAATCAAATTATTATTTAATAACTGTGTTGGATCAACACCATAAATTACTGAGCTCTGATTATGGCTATTATAAAAATCAAGTAATTGTTTAAAGGGATAATCACATATAACATCACCATTAATATAAAACAACTTATCATTATTTGAATCCAAGATTTCATCTCTGAAATAGTATAATCCACCACCAGTACCCAAAGTACCTGGTTCAGCTTTATATACTATTTTCACCCATGGATGTTTACCTGAAATTTCCTTAATGTATTGTTGCAACAGTGAAACATCCTTATGAAATCCAATAAGTAAGATTTCTAAAGGTTCAATTCCATCTAATTGACTAATAAAGTTCTCAATTATATGAGAAATAAATGGTTTACCAACAATTGGAAATAATACCTTGGGTTGTTCCATAGACAAAGGTCTAAATCTTGTTCCCGTCTTTTCACCCCCTACTAAAATTACAGCTTTGATAGTCATTGTTAATTATTAGCTTATATGATTTGATAATATTAGAGACTGTTATGTAAAATATATAGATATATAGTATTCAATTCCAATATTGGTAATAAATTAAATCTTAATATGTGTTCATAAAATAGAATAAAGATTGACGTAACCACTTCGGAATTGGTAAACTAAGTACAAAATACCCCTAAATATCTCATCCCTAAATCTTGGCTAGGGTGAAAAATCTCCTCATAAAATTTATGGGGAAAGGGAGTGCGGCTGCAAATGCAACAACTGATGGTCGAGGCTCACTCGAACAAAATTTTGTGTATGTTAACTAGTACAGTACTAAATAGTACAGCACTAAATCTATTTATTTACTTATTTACTTATTTACTTATTTATGGTGCGGATTCTGCTTCTTGAAATCTAAATGTACAAAATACTTTACTATATCTATTGCAGCTAAAGAATCTTCTCCACTATCATGCTCTCCAATTTGAATATTTCGACTCAAATATTTAAATGCAAGATCTTTTAAACTATATTTGAATCGTTTTGTATTGGAGTGTCTTGGATAAAGTATGGCTGTATCTATAACTTTATTATGAATAAGTCTTAATGCATTCATATCATTTTCTAATCCATGACCTATTAAAATTGTATCTTTATCCATTATTTCTCCTAATTTTATGAGCATATCATTAAAATCTAATGCATCTGGTGGTATAGCTTCAACTCCTGACCATTTTGTATTAAGATCAATAACTTCACCATCCACTTGTGTTAATATATCTAAAACTTCTTCACCTGTGAAAAAGTCAAGAGCAGTAACACGAAGTAATTCAAACCCTTTAGTAGTATATCCCATTTCACAATCTATACCCAATGCAAAACTCTTTTTATGTGTTTCATCACTAGGAAATAATTCAGTAGTCCTTTTAAATGGTCTTGCCCAATTCATTTCTTCTGGATTATTCCAATAAAATACATGATGATTACTCTTAGAACATGGTTCAGATTCTGCATCATCTGCTATTTTCATACAACAATCATAGTATTTGATAAATCTATCCTTCTTTCGTATTTTTCCAGAATGATAAATGCATTGTGTAGGTTCGAGCATTTCTGTTCTATTAAATTCAGCTTGACACCTGTGACACTTCCGTCTAACACTAGGATTAGTATCTTCAGGAATTTCCATGACATATCCATGATCTTTAAGTTTATCTTCTGAAATAATTGTCTTGTTAAGTGCATTTTTGAAATCTTCTTGAGTAATTTCTACTGGTTTCTTTACCTTTTCAGGATGCATATATTTAAAAATTACTTTCTTGATGGAAGTATCATATGTTGAAGTTGATGTGGTTGATGCTACTTTATATTCTTCTTCTATGGCTGTCAATATTGGAATATGAATCTCGGGGTTATTTTTCTTTATAACATCTACAAGTTTTTGAATAAATAACTTTCGAGTAGCTATTGAAGCTGGAGCATTCAATTTAATTTCTTGAGGTAATATGAATTTTGGATCTTTTAATTGCAGTGAAGAATCAACAAATTTATTTATCTTATGCTGATATTCTTCTATAGATTTACTTGTTTCTAAGAATCGTAATTCTCGTTCATTTATATGAGTAGATTGATTATAATCATTATTCTTCTCCATAAATTTCTTTAATTTCTCAATATTGGCAGTTCTAGTCTCAATATCAATGTTTAAATGATTTGATAGTATAGGTGAAAGGTCAGCTTCCCTATTCTCTACTTTCTGTTTTTTGGAATCTCCTTCATATTGGGATAATGACTTACGTTTACCATTATTAACATTATTACCATTACCATTACCATTAGTAGATCCAATATGATTTTGATGATTAAATATGCAATTAATAATCTTACAATGTCCAAACTTTCGGAACTCGGGACATTCTATCTTACTGAAATAGCCATTATCTCTTTTAAACATTTCATATCCTGATAAAGGTATATAAGTTTAATAATTCACTTATGATTTACTTAGTATATGATCCCAAATTGGTATATCGCAACCCCAAATTAAATCTAAGGTGAAGTTACCCGGTCTTTGGTCGATGTGCAGGAAGAAAAAAAATTTTTGGGACTAACCGCACAAGATGAGAAGTATAAATATGAGAGCAAATCCAAATTAGAAAAGTTTTTAAAGTCCCTTCTTTTCCTTTTCTTTGTCGACGTACTTCATAGGATCATTTCTATAGGTCACGTCCCTCTTTGACTCTTCAAAAGAGCCACTGAATCCAACTTGGTTGATGAGTGAGATACCCTTGTACCCTCAAAGTGAGAACTACATTTTGCTTGTCTGTGATTCTTTGTTAATCCAGTCATCTATTCAATATTGTTTGCCTTTTACATTCATATGATAATTCACCTAGTGAATATTTCATTGTTAAAAAGGAGCGATGATCTTTACCCTTTTCTTTATGCCTTTTCGGAGGACTTAGTCTTGGGTGGGTACAAGTGGCTGTCTGACAAGTTACTATTCAAATGATTTTGATTTGAAATTTATGATTTTATCTTGATATTATTATGATTTCCAATTAATTTCTATTGATAGTGACTATAGTTAATCTCTGTTGTTTTCGTCGACCACTACATATGTTGTTTTTTATGATTTTTTTTTTACATAGACAAAGAAAAGGAATATAAGCTTAGTTATGTTCAATTATATTTTAACTGTAGAATTTAGTTAACTGATGGTTTTCTGATAGTATACGCCTCTATTTTAATTCGCTTTTATTTAAACTACACTATTAAGTTCTAAATTATTATTTATACTCTGCTATACTAAACTATTTGACTAGCAGATTTTGCAGGATACTCATATAACTTATAGTAATCGACAACTTGCCCATTCAAGTTATTCTCACCTTCGATTGGCAAGTAAAACACATTTCTGAAAGTTACATCTCCCAAAACCCAGAAATCTAACCAATTTTGTTTCAATCCATAGTCGGTTGGAACGTTGATTTGGTTGATGGTAGATAAATCTGAAGATGTGCCACTTTGACGATTGAATATTGAACTGATAGTCAACTTTATTGTTAATAAAAATTGTTCCAAACCAAGTAAGTTTAAACAAGTCCGAAGAGGATCTTCTGATCGACTATTATTACCAGTATCAAATGCTCCATTTGATGATCCACCATTAGGTGCTACTGAACTAGAAGAATCATCATTTAAATCTCTTGGAACTGTAGAGTGATTGAATCTGCTCGATTGAATTTTATTACCTAAAGTTGAGAATTCCCAAGTAGTTAACCCCTTTGAGATTTGGAAAGTTTGAGCAATACATAAGAATACAATCCATACGTATTGTATTAAACACCATATAATTAAATTGAAATGGAAATGATGTTGTCTGTATCCATAACATAAGTCATCGGAGAGAAAATAACATACACCATTATCTTCATCATCCGAATCATAGTTAGTTCCAGGTTCATGATCTTTCATGTAATCGAAATATTTGCATGATAAATAAGTGAATAGTAAGATAGATAAATTTAATGCGTAAACAAAAGACATGAATAACTTATGATTTCTAACTCCAATCTCATTATATACCCATGGACAATAATGATCGAATCTAGCAATCAATTTCTTGTTATATCTTGAATACCTTGATCTCAAAGGTTTTCTAATGAATGTATTAACGCAAAAGTGATCAGTATCAAATTTCCCAATACTAATCAAATCTTTAACTTGACTAAGTATAATTGAATGATCTGTTGGAGTAGGTACAAATCCTGGATTAATGAACATAGCCTTAAAAAATGACCAAACAAATAATGAAATTAATGCAGATAACAATAAATTGAAAATGAATTGTTTAAAGAAGATTTTAGGAAAAATATTAAGTAGAAATATAACAATAGCCCAAAATGCAGTTCCTGAGAAGATACCAGCTAAAAATGGAGATTTTGGTAATGCTTTGTCATCAATTAAATAAGTAGGAATTAAGAATTTGGAAACTGTGTATATGGTAACGAATGCAATTAAGATAGAAAATACAAATTTTGGAATGATAAATCCTGAACTGAATGAACAAATCTTAAATCCAATTGGTAAGATTATGTAAGGAATTAAGAATGTTATAACCTTCCCAGTTTTTGGACTAATCCAATGTTTATTCTTAGTCCAATTAGATTTCTCATTTAAATCACATTCATGCAAAACCTTTAACCAAGTATTCGTACAATTCATATCCTTTGCGACTCCGAAACAATCCTTACCTTGATCATTTTTAGCATGAATATCCGAACCAGCCTCGACTAAAGCTTTCAAAACACTCTTGTAACCCTTCATGAATGCCCAATGAATTGGGACAAATAAACTATTATCAACTTTTGATACATCAGCTCCAAATCTTAATAAAGCATTAATAGTTAATATATCTCCTTGATAAGCTGCCCAATGTAAACAGGTTCTATTAAAACTATCTGGCTCATCAATATAAATCCTTTTGGTATCAACACATGTCAATAATAAATAAATTATTAAAGTAATATTGGAACTATGAACGGCTAGATGCAAGGCATTATAACTTTGATCATCAGTTAACGTTGGATCAGCATTAGTATTTGAAATTAAATAATCGACAATATAAACTAATCCATTTCTACATGCCCAATGTAATGGTGAAGCCTTTAAATCACCACCTAAGAAATTAGGGTCTGCATTATTATTAACAAGATATTTAACAATTGTTAATCGATTATTTATACAAGCCCAATGCAACGCTGTAATACTATCACTAAAAGTATCATTAACTTTTACCTTTTCACTAGATAATAATTCTTTAACAATAGTGATATTACCTTCTTGACAAGCAGTCATAAATCGATCTAAATCAGGATTTAACTCTCTTTCAGTAGGTGTCTCTAATTTGGCACTATTGATTGAAATAGTATTTAAATCATCGTTATTGGTTTCAAGAATGGCATCTGTAGACTTTATGGATGCAGAATCAACATTTGTCAGTTCTTCTTCTGGTTCATCTTCTACTGCTAATTCTAGATCTAACTTTTCTATAGCTTCGGATCCGTTAGAACCATTCAATTCGACTTCGGTAATTCCAGTCAATTGATCCTTGGGATTATTACTATTATTATTACTTTTATTTATATCCTCCTCATCCGCCATTTGGATATCTATCTATTCTATAGCTTCTGTACTCTATGGGATTCACCTTTTACAAATTATTCAATTACATACAAATATTCATAGTAGTTAATTTTCGGGTCATATTTGCCTGTACACAGCCTATAAAAACAAAACTGCAAGCCAGAACCTTTTTACTGGTTTTTCATTTTAAACATGTAAAATTCAAAATTCTAAATTGTAAACTGAAAACTGAAAACTGAAAGTTATTTACTTTACTATAACTTTAACTAAAAGTGGGTTATGGATAAAATTAAACAATCTCTAAGTGTTGATTGAGGGCTGTGCATAGTCTAAATTGAATATTTGCTGGTTCTCTCACTAAGTTTCTAGATTTTTAAATTACCCATTTCTCTATATCCGTGCGGCGTGAAATGATCTTGTATTTATTTTGCAATTCAGTTCATGATCTTCTGTATACATAAGTTCAAAGATTCACTTACAGTCTTAATTATTCTATTATTAGTGTCACATGCCAAATCCTTGCATGTGATGCATTTTTTGACATAGCTTAATTGTATTTTTTTCACAACCAAAAAAAAAATTGTTGTGTTCTAAATTGCCAAATAAAGTATAGATCTCTACTATATACCGGAACCGGGAATTGACTCTGGTGTATATGGGGGGAATTCTTTTTATTTTCATAACCCTCTTGACTAATCCTTTTGGAGATTAAAGGGATAATTTGATTATTATACTTGGACAGACTTCATTACAGGGACAGGGATACTTGTTACGAATTAGTAGCTGAAATGGTGGTCAGATATATTCTACGATCAGTAGTGAATCGAATTCCGGGGTCTAGTTATCTTCCAAATGTAGTAACTTCGGTACTACTGGAAGAGGAAGGTAATAGAATTCTAGAAGAGGAAGATGAAGATCTTTATAATGACGATTATTCTGATAATTCATCTGTCCTACCTGTATCCCCAAAGGAAAGAATACATTCTAGAATCATGAATAATCGGATCAATGAATTGGGTGTAGTTGATGAAGTTGATGAAATTGAATATGAATTAAGTCAATTACGACAACAGGAAGAACAAGGTCAAGAAGTTAAAGATGATATTTCTGGTGATGATATAGGTACAAACTATCTCAATTATGTTGATACTTGTGATACTATTCCCGCACATAACCACTTTGGTATAAATAAATTGAATCATAATCCATTAGTTGTGAACAATAATAAATCCAGAAAGATTAGTAATAATAGGTACTTACAACCTAAGCAGACTAAACTTTTACAACCCCTCACTGCAATTGGTGCTGAAGCAAGTTCTACACTTGTAGACTCTGGAGCTTCTTCAACAGTTTCGGACAATAAAAGTAATGCTAATAATAATAATAGCACTAACCAACAATCCATTGAAGAACGGAATTTAAGAGTTAAGCGATACTTGAATGAACAAAATTCCAAATTTGATGAGTTAATAATCAATAATCTTGATATTGTATTTAAGGAGTATGGTAATGATATTAATCATTCAGATGAATTAGAAAGTATGCTGAGTCCAATCCAAATTGATGATGTCGATGTACAGCTGCGTCAACAGGAGCATCAGTATAGCTTGATACATTATATTTTTCTTAATGCTACAAACAAATTCTTATCCAATGTACCATTCGGTTCTTTATTGATGAAAAAGAAACCTCCTATTAAGAAAGACATTCTTAAAACTAATAACATTTCACCTTCAAAATACAAGACTAATAACAATCCATCGCCTTCCATTGAAGACAGTCTGTATACTTATGCTTCGGGATCTTTACGTCAGCCTGAACCAAGTACCCCAATCCAAAGACCGGCTACTAATTTTGAAGTTGGGGAAGAGAGTCACACCGAAAGAAATGAACAAAGTGAACGTATTACTAAATCAAATTCGCAACTCGTAGATGGGAATCGTCCGGATATGGAACTATTCCTTGATACATTGGACCCTTCAACTCGTTTGAGTCTTTATAAGTTCTTAAGAGAGGAATTCTCTGACAATACCAATGCCATTGATATATCATATAATGAGAATGACTTATTTTTAGATAAATTGCAGACATTTTTATTGATTTCGGTCAAGTTATTTATTACTAGTTTAAAACTAGCTGTTCCTGTTAGTCAATATATTTATTATAAGTTCAAGAATGATCAAATTTTTCTACTTAATCATCACAATTTGATTAAGTTATTCAATCGTGTGTTAAAACTAATGAACTACGTTGATTACAAGTTGAACTCTAATGAAGAATTAATTGAGAAAATTTATAATCAGGAATACATGGATAAGAATTTAAAGATTCGAACTAGAATTGAAAATGATGAAGAGAAATTTGATGAATTATATCAAGAATTATCGATAAATTTTTCAAAATTCATGAGTGATCAAATTGTTGATAATATCATTAATAATGAAAGTTTACAGGTGTTCACAGATGATAAGAATCTTGATTCAGTGTTCCGAAAGTCACTTATGGAATATCTAATGGCTAAATATGTTAATGAACCGGTTAAGCGTGCTCAACTGCGTCAACAACAACGTCGAATATACCAAAAAGATCCGAATTTTGCCAAATACTTCTCACCTCATAAGGATGTTTCCCTCGACTTTAATGACGGTCGTAATGATTGGACTAATCCACAAGGTAGTTCATCCAGAGTTTCTCCGCAAAATGAATCATCGCCATCACCTGAATCCTTAAATACTAGTTTCAAAACACCTTTGTCAAATAGCTCATCTACAACTTCAAGTTCTGATAATTTACAGGATATGAGTGTCTTTGGTATCGCTCAGAAATTTGCTGATAGATTAGCTTAATTTCATATATAATTTCAATTCTAATTAACGTACAATTTTGGGAACTTTGGGCTGGACTCTTTTTCCATATAATTTATTTAATTTTTTAGTATTTATTTCAGTTGTTCATATTTTGAGTATGTAAATTCTAATGTATTTCGCAAGAAAGCTGCAAAATTCTATTGCAACTAAAAATGTATGTAAGATTCTCGATTTAAGCTAATATAGTTACACTACCAAGCCAACAATGTCGCCAAGTACAACTATCAACTGACTACAGAATATAAGTTTCTTGTATTGGCTTGGTGTATTAGCTAACAGAGTAATATGAGGTAATCCTGCTTTTTATTGATAAGAGTGTAAGAAATATTCGATGCATGGATTACGTATTCCCCTACATTGTTACTACAGAAATGGTAGAAAAACTATCCTAATAGAAAAGAGGTTGAAAAATACTGCGCAACTTCACGTAAAGTCTAAATCAATTTGTCAGATGTAGATTTTTATTTTCAAAAGTGAAATGTGGTAAACTTTATGATAAGGCCCCACTTCATGGTTCTGAACTGTCCAACGGTCAACATTGAAGTAATCTATGCATTGAATACAATAATCAATTGTTCTCTACAGTAGATTAATAGAAACGTGAAAAGTTACTGGCAATGAATTTGTCCTTATTAGGAAGATTTTGAGCAAAGTACACGAAGACACTAATAATACCTCTCCTAATAAAAATAAATCCCATTGTTAGGAAACCTCTAGAACCTTGGAAAAATAGATAAAAATAAATTTGGAAAAATAACAATAAAAAAAGATTGCTGAAATAGGAATAGGGGAGTCCGGGTAACTACATGTTACCCGCCCCATAGTCGCATAGTAATTTATACTTCCAGCCAATAAAAAGTGCGTATGCTCATTTCCGCTCGTGCTCATTCCTCGCCCCTTTTTTTTACAATACTATGTAAATTAGCGCATCTCTTCCAACTTAAATTCTTGGACCGAATATATATCTCCCCTCGTCTCAGTCATTCATTTTTTTTTTCTGCCAGTCTTTTTGCACTATTCATAGCAAACATCCAAACATCTACACCTTTTATTTTCAGGACAAAAAGTGTTGTAGAAAAGCAAAAATTAAAATCATTCTTTTTTTTTAACACCTCCTTTTTCCTGTTTTTTGCTGACTTCTTCTTTTTTGTTAGGTTTTTTTTGTCGTTTTCTTCTCAACGCTACACTCACAACTGTGTTTCAAAGACACAAACAAAACAAACAAACCAAACCTACACATTTATAACAAGCTACTTACAGTCTTAACAACTGAACATAGTCTACACCATCAGGTTCTTTCTATAGTCCAGTTTCCTAGTTTGTTTGACAGTATAGTTACAGCAGGTTTTTAGCAAGGAGAAAATTTTTGCTCATCTGCTATTTGTCATCCCACTCATTTTCGAAATCCTCGTCTGTGATTGGTTGGCCCAGTTTTTTTAAAAAAGAGATTTGCTGGTCACATCCTTACCTCAATACATAAAGTTTCTGACACCTTGATTGGTTGATTTCAGAATTTTAGTAAATACACGCCACTGTCTAATTTTAGTTGGTTGTCCCACGACACTTTTTCTGTGCAGGTTCAATTTTATAATTTATACAAGATGGCTTTATGCTCTCAAGCATTTAATAATTCAACCAAGAGAAGTTGTCATTTCAGCAATAGTCATAATAACCATAATAATAACAAAAGGTTATGCTTTGGTGTTGGTGATGGTTCCACTGGTAATGGTAGTACTTTCCCAATATTGACTCGTAAAAAGTCTGTTTGCATTTATTCCTCATCTGATGAAGAAAATGATTCTACTGATGAACAAGGTTCTTATAATGCTGATCAAATTAGAGCCAAGAGAAGGGCTTCGTCTAGAATTTCATTCTCTATGAACTCTGAATTGTCAAGAGCCATGTCTAAATATAGTGATGATGAAAGTGATGATGAGGTTGATAATCATAGTAATTATAATACTAGTATTAGCCACAGTAGAAGCAATAGTAGCACTACTAATGTCAGTGCTGCAGCAGTTGCAGCAGCAGTTGCCGCTTCTCACAGTCGTCGTAACTCTAACAATTTGCATGATTTCAGTAATGTTGATTCTGATGAAGAAGATAATGTTTTTGACAATTTAGACTGTAAATTATCAAGCAGTCCAGTTTCAAGTCACCTTAATTTAAATATTACAAACAATAATCATAAAGGTGGATTCATTCAAATTTCTGATAGTTCAAAGAATTCTACATTCAAATCTGTACCTGATACTGATAAGAATGCTAGATCTCGTTGCTTTGATTATTTAGTTGGAGCCATTGATGAAGCCTGGGCTAGATATTGTGATGCCACTACTCATGTCGAAGATGAAGCCTATGGTTATGTGACACCAAATTCAGTTGCCACTGATGATGAAGATTATCTTGATAATACAACTGATTTTACTGATTATGAAGATTCTGATTTTGAATTTTCCAATCACCATAAACAAGCACAAGAAGCTCAAAAGCTTCAACAATCACAACAACAAATGCGTCCATCTATGAAGCCATCAATGTCCAATTGCAGCATTTCTTCCAAGCAAGATCCAGCTTCTTCACAATTGCAAGCATTGAAGGATCGTTTAACCAAGGCCAAATATTATTTACAAGACTTGGTTGATTCTGAAGATTCAAGTGAAGTTAATTCTTTCTGGAAGCGTTGGGATATGGTCAAGTATGCAACCATTGAATTGGTTGAAGATGATGACGATGATGAAGTTGTTGAAACAACCATTGAAGAGTTGGAAAATGGCCGTTTATTTGTTAATTAAACAAGCTATTAATAAGATGCGCGAGCAGACAAGACAGGATTTTTTCATACTGTTCTTGGGTCGATGCATTTTTTTGCAACTCGAGGAAGTTAAAGCTATAAGCATACATTAACTTTCATGAAGAAACATAAAAACACAGAAACAGAAAAACATAAAAACAAAAAACAAAAAACATATATAACAGAGAAACAAAAGATAGAGATTCTCATCATACCATCACCATTCATATCATCATATTATTATTATTATCTACTGCCTTCATTAAACAAACAGCAGTGATACACAGGTTTAAATTTCATTTTATTATTATTATTATTATTATTATTATTTACATTTTTCAAATTTGGGTCCAATTGATTTTTGAAATTTTTGTTCTTATGTCGAATGACTAATGAAGCGATGAAGACACTCTGACTATTATTTTGCTTCTGTCTTCATCTATTATGGGTATGAAATTTATTAGTTCAATAAAGAAGTTTTGTATATTATTATCATCTTTTTATTCTTAGTTATTATTATTTAGGTTAATTTTATATACTTGTATCATAGTTGAATATTTGTTGAGTTGTAGATTTGTAGTAGTAGTTTTGTCGCGAAAAGATTGTGTGCCGTAGAAGGGAAAAATGAAAAATAGCCACCGAAGAATATATATATGCGTTGTCTTCATTGATTAATAACTGAGCTTATATATTTAAGACACTAGTATATTTGCCTTTTTAAACATGAAGTTATCATCAATTGTTGCTGTGGCATTGGCCCAAATGATTAGTTCAGTCTATGCTCTTCCAGAAGGATTAGTTGTTGGTAAGTATTTGAATTCATTGTGGCCCATATTAGTTAATTGTAGCTAATTGGACATAGTTAAATAAATTGCCAATGTCTCATACTAACAATTTAACTATAGAAACTTTAGTTCCAGTTGCTCCAGAAGACTGTTATGCTAAGGTGGAAGTAGGTGATACAATTAGTGTCCATTATGTTGGATCTCTTGAAGATGGTTATGTCTTTGATTCTTCAATTGATAGAGGTCAACCAATCACCTTTCCAATTGGTGTAGGAAGAGTTATTCCAGGTTGGGATCAGGGTTTAATTGGTTTATGTGTAGGTGAAAAGGTTAAATTAACTATTCCACCTGAATTAGCCTATGGTGAACAAGGAGTTGGACCAATTCCTCCACTGGCTACTTTAACTTTCGAATCTCAAATAGTTGGAATTGAAGGTAAGAAACCTCCAGCACCTGAAGCTGAAGTTGAAGAAGAAGAAGAAGCAGAAGAAGGTGTCAATGAAGAAGAAGATGAAGAAGAAGTTCACGATGAATTATAGTCAAACTTTATAGTCTACTTCTCTCATATGTAAATCATAAGTGTATTCTTCTACCAGCGAATACTAATATACGACACATATTATTGTGAATTTTTTTTATTATTATTATTATTATTATTACTACTATTATTAAGAGAATTCAGATGTCAATCAAGTATATCCCATCTGATAAACAATATCAGTCATACTTTCAATTTGCAGTAATTGCTATTTTTGTGGGATGCTTTTTCGGCTTGGGTTGCCTCACTCACACCATCACCCCCATATTTTTCTCAAAGATCCTCAGTCATCTAACTATAAGCTGTATGAAGAGATCGAAGATTTGTTTATATATATTATATATAGATATATTACTTACTTTAAACATTCATATTATATTATTAGGTGATTTTTATCTCAATTGATACTGTATTAACTAAACTCAATTAATTATTATACATCATAATGTCTACAACTAGAAGATTTTATAAACCCTTACAAGATTTCATCAACTCCACAGCTGATTTTAGGATAATTTATACTATAGCCAAACATCCTGACAATGGTAATGTTGTGACAAGTATATCACATCCAAATGCCAATTCTGATCATGTTCTTTCTCCTAATACAAGAAGAATATGTGTACTTGATTCTTCATTCAATCCTCCTCATTTAGGACATTACACTCTTATTAAAGAATCTCTTAATCCCCATCATTATTTTCAAGATACAACTCCAAATCCTAATGAACATGAATTTGTCGATAAAGAAGATGATAAGGCAATTATACTTCTACTTTCAGTTAAAAATGCCGATAAAATTAAACCAGTACCAGAATCTTTTGAAAATAGATTAGAAATGATGTATTTAATGGCTAATGATTTATCAGTAAAGTTTCCTAATTCTAAGTCAATTAGCATTGGTTTAACAAAACATGCAAAGTTTGTAGATAAATCAATTTCAATATTGAATTATTTACATTCTGATGATTTTAATTGCAACTACCTTTCTCCACATATAAAATTAACCTTTTTAGTAGGCTTCGATACGTTATTAAGAATTTTCAATCCAAAATATTACTTACCTGATAAATTATCTACTTCTTTGGAAGAATTTATGACTTCAACGGATTTGTTCTGTTTAACTAGAAATAATGACGAAGTGGCTGATTTAGAACAATCTAAATATGTAGAAGATATAAAGCAAGGTAAGCATATTGATATTCCAACCCATTGGTCAAACAATATCTTCTTAATTAATAATGGAGAAAAAATTAGTCTTATTAGTTCTTCTAATATAAGAGCAAGTGTGAAGAGTGGTTCAGATGATTGGCATAATAAGGTTAGCTCTGAAATTAAAGATTTTATAATCAAAGAAAAATTATATCGTTAGTCATTTAAATACTACTTAATGAAATTAAAATAAACATTACTACAACAGAGATATTTGCAACACCGATAGTAGAAGTTCCAGAATTATATGATATTCCGTATGGAAGTGGTTCTCTCATAGTTTTTCCATTGGAATCATTAACATTATTATAATCATTTGAATTATTGATATCAGTGCTTTTACCGTTAGAATAATTATCTGTTGATCCATACTCAGTAGGAGTATTTGAAACAATTTTCTCATTATTTGAATTAATACACTCAATTTTACCCCCTCTGATAACTGTACTTATCTCTCCTCTTGACCATTTATTACAATCAAACGTAGAAGAAAGAGATTTAACATTAGCACTACCTTTAACCAATTTCAATTGTTTAAGATTGGTATCTTTAATTGGTCCAACTAATTGAAGAGCTCCACCAATGACATGTAATTTAGGAAAGAAATTAATTTTATCTATATTAGTATTATTAACTATCATCAATCCTCCTCCAATTTCATTTAAAATTGGAAATTCAGGGTGTGTTAAGTGATCATTTTTTAATAAACTTAAGGTTCCACCAACTGATTTTAATTTTGGTAACTTAATATGAGTGAAACGGTTATTAACCATACTAACTGATCCTTCTACAACTTCTAAAGCATTTAATTCAATTTGAGAGACATCATGAATACTCATATTATAGGCTGATTTTAATTTTGGTAATTTAACCACCACATCAGCAGCATTTGCAGCTATATGTAACAGACCCTCAATAATTTCCACATTACAAGTAATAGAATCAAGAAATCTATTGTTATTAATATCCAAATTTTCTAACTTATCAGCTGAAAAAATCGAAAAGCCAGTTAAAGAAGTATCTGAAACTGTAATACTTTCAATAGATTTTATTTCATTACTGAAATGAACGTTACTTAAAATTGGTAATACTCTCCAATCTAATGCTTTGACGGATGTGAGTGATGGGAAAGAAACCAAGGACAATGAAGTTAATTCTCTTAAAATGAAAGATTTCTGAATGGAACTAAGATTTGGAGCTTCAATTCTAACCAATTCTGGTGATTTCTTTATAGTTATACTTCCAAGAATAGTGCCGATACTACCAAGTGAAAGCAAGGGGTGCTTGTATTCATAAATTTCTAAATCACCACCAACAACTTCACAATCGGAAATATGCTGGATATCAGATGGATTCTTCAACACAAACTTAGCATGGTTACACTTTTCAGGTATTGGTAACCCAGGAGTAAACTTTACTTTTGTATCATCCGCTGGAATTTCGGCTTGAATTTGTTCTGTAGGAAGTGGTTGAAATGACTCCGAATTAGATAAGGGTGATCCTACACTATCTAGTTGAGAGTTAATATCATTTGAATCAATAGTTCGGGAGCGGACTAGAGACTCCTGCAAGACGTGTACTCCTATAATCACTTGTTAGTATATCTCTATAGACAAATAAATTAGACTCAATCTATACTTGCTTTGACCATTATTTTGGGAGGGAGCAGCTACCACATAAGCATTTAACTCAGCAAAAGCTAAGGCAAGAATAATTGTTAGTGTCAAATGCATTGAATTGATTCCGAAGATGCTCTAACTGAAGTTATCTGAAGCATATAAAGATAAATGTGAATAGAAAATAAGCGCTCTCAAAAACATGCTGCGAAAAGATTTATTTTTAGCAATCAAAGAACATTTACTCACTATATATGTGCACCTAAATATATCAATTACCCATTATGTGTTTTTCTCATCACCTGAAGATTCATCATCTCTGTTTATATGTTCAACGTGTTGTTCATTTTGCTTTTCGAGATCATCAAGTCCTCTAGTTTGAATAGATTGTGTGATTCTGTTAAGAGCAGAATGATCAGGGCACAATTGAGCACCTTTTCTTCCAATCAAGTACCATGGCAAATTAAAAACTTCTTCCATTGACTCCAAAGATCTTCCTGAGACTTCTGGAACAAAGAACCAAGCCCAAAATAATGAAATCAAACAAATTCCAGAGAAAAAGTAGAAAGTACCATATCTGTTCATACCTAAAAGCATCAGTGGAACTGCTTTAGAGTTACCATATTGATTAGCAAAATGTAAAACCATAATAAGAGATTGACAAAAAGAACGATGTCTAAGAGGGAAAATCTCAGAACCTAATAAATATTGAATTGAATTAAATCCCATAGTCCAACCAACCCCAGATAAATAGATTGCTGCCATAGCTGCTTTACCAGCATTTTCTTGAGAGGAAGTCAATTGAGCTCCTTTATCAACAGCATGAGGATCAACTGTTAAGAATATAGCAAAATATAAAATAGTAATAAATTGAAGTGAAATACCAATATAAAGGGCTTTTCTTCTCCCCAAGAAGTCAATAATAAAGAAAGCACTGAAATAAGCCGAAACAAACTTAACCACTCCTAAAATCATGGTCATTTTCATAACTTCAAGTCCTTCAAGTCCAATAAAAGAGAATAAATCACCAGCATAAATAGTAATGGAGTTAGCACCTGACCATTGACCAAGAAGTTGGGCACAAGCACCAATCATGAAAAAACGATATCTAATGGATTTAATACTGAAGACTTCTTTAAATTTTGCAAATATCGATACTCCTCTAGTAGCAGCATCTTCCGCTGCTACTTGTTCACTAATATCTGATATTTCACTTAAAATATATGGATGGTCTGGAGGTAAGTGTCTGAGCTGAGACAACTTTTCAATAGCTTTTTGATCATGTCCATGTTTAACTAACCATCTAGGACTTTCAACACAGAACCAAGATCCACAAAAAGCCAAGCCAGCACATATTACTTTCAAGGAAATTGGAATAATCCATTGCTTATTGGTTTCTCCCGAAATATGTTTGGCAGTACCGTAGTTGGCAGCATACGATAAAAGAATTCCTAAGTAAACAGCACCACTGAAAATACAACCGAAGAGACCCCTTCTAAGTGGAGGTGCAACTTCAACCATATAAGCAGGTCCAATTGTAGTAGATTGACCAATAGCTAAACCTTCAATAAATCTACCGACATATAGCTGACCAAGATTCTTGGAAGTCATTTGGATAATAGCTCCAATAGCCCAAATAATACTGAATTCTTGTAAAGCACGAATTCTACCAAGTTTATCCACTGTATACATGGCAATCATAGAACCGGCAATAGACCCAAGTTGCACCATGGCAGCAATATTTGACTTCAAATCAGCAACTTCATGTGGAGTTTTATTTGGATCGTTTAATCCAAATAAGTTTCTAAACGATGGTTGATATAAATTAATGGATTGACCTTCATCAAGACCTCTAGATAAACCACCAAAAACACCAAAGATAACTACAGAGAAATAAAGAGTCAAGTTATAGATCTCCTTAGGTGAATGATCATCAACAACTCTCCACCTGAATTTAGATTTTGGAGGCTTTGCATCCTTTGGAGTTTCTTCAAATGAATTTGAAGCACTTTTAAGAGTAACTATATTGTTATCTTTATTTGTTTGAGACATATCGTTTATTATCTTTGTTATATAATTTAACTAGCGATTGTTTGATATTTTGTTCTTAACAAGTCTATTTATAATGCTTTGGCTGAGGATATTTTACACCCATCACACAACCCCCAAATTAGCTCGGACTTTCTATGACCCCACCAAGAAAGTGGGTCACATAACACATCACATTAATCTGCACAAATACGACCAATAGCTTTCTCTCCTAACCGGGAAAAGCCTTATCATCATGCTGAAATGTAATAAAAACATGGTTGATGGCAAAATAATTGGTTGCGATTCTTTTTTTGCTTTGGTGTGGGGTATGCAGCCAAGCAAAAATTGGATAGGGAATTCATCAAAACATAGAAAGGGCATTTTGTCTAAACCATCTCTTTTGGAATAAATTCAAGTATCTAATTTACATTTTGCAAATAAGGTAAAATTGGGAAAATAAGAAATAAGGAATTAGAGATACTCGGGTGTTTCTGATTAAGTTATAGAACTTTTTAAAGTATTTTGCAACTAAACTAAGTTTAGGACCAGATGAGGTAATTGGCAAATTCCAAAGCCACTCAACACACAAGGCTATGCAAATTAAATATACAATTAGCTGAGAAGAATGGAATCTAAGTGCAAGCGAAGAGAGGGGAGCTTATTTGACAGAGCGCAATAAAATCGCAAATAGCCCGGAAGGCTAAGAATTTTTTTTGCATGCATAACTTCGTTCATTTTGGAGCAAAAAGTCTTAGTATGCCATTGTCAATTGTCAATTGTCAATTCACATTATTAATTTACTTATTTGAAGTCCGAATAAAATAAATCGAATTTCAATTATGTTAATTTTCCCGGCAAATCTGTCTCCACAGAACTACTTGAAAAGGTAATTGGAGTCGATATGGTAAAAATAAGACACATACATTGATTTAGTATTGTTTTCAGCCAGTTTTTCAGCTTTGACAAGGAGGAATGTACAATCGGGTGGTATACCCCACTATGCTTTTATTTAATTAGTTATTTAATAAGTTCATTGTTAATTCGTTACATAAGTTGTCTTTGGTAACGACATAAGCCGAGGGATCACCCCTCAGAGGTATGTTTTTATCCCTAAATAGTTGCTCTACATATATTAACAGTAATAGCGAATGAATAATAGAAATAACCTTTTAGAGAACTCAACCCAACTACAACGACAACGACAACAACAACGCTATAGGGATCTCCGCCTCATAAGATGAGCAAGTAACGTTAAATATATTGATCCATGTTTCAATCCAACAAAAATTTCCCGGACAATGACTCCACTTGAGGAGTAATAGGGGATCAATCAGATGTTAACTATACCCATACATATTATTTCGTAGAGTAGGTTCACGATTACAATTACTGGTACATTACATCAACTGATCTGTAGAGATAACTCTATAGAGCCTGAGACCAAAAAAAAAAACTGCAAATTGATAGTTCTCCCTGACTCCAACCTGCAAATACTCAGTCGCAGCTTACATAAGCGAAATTCCCAGTTAATTAAAGGAAATGAACAAGAAGATGTTGACCGGACCCAGGCCGAAGAGATAGCTAAAATTGGAATTAACATTGATACATAATTGGAATATGGCAGTAACTGGATCACTTGTGGCATTGTCATTATTGACAGTTGGTGGTTATATGTTATTCACCGGAGCCGGTGAATCATTTAATGTTGGAGAATTCTTAGAAACTACTTCACCATATTTATGGGCCAGTTTAGGAATTGGTGCATGTATAAGTTTTTCAGTTATTGGAGCAGCATGGGGGATATTTATAACTGGTTCATCAATTATAGGAGCAGGTGTTAAAGCTCCAAGAATTACTACCAAGAATTTAATTTCAATTATCTTTTGTGAAGTTGTAGCTATTTATGGATTAATTATGTCGATTGTATTTTCATCAAAACTTGTTAGTATTCCTGAAGCTCAATTATTTACTAAAGAAAATTTATATACGGGATTTTCATTATTTTGGGCTGGTATTACAGTAGGAATTTCAAATTTAATTTGTGGTGTTGCTGTTGGTATAACTGGTTCAACAGCTGCTATAAGTGATGCAGCTGATTCTTCACTTTTTGTTAAAATTTTAGTAGTTGAAATCTTTGGATCAGTTTTAGGATTGTTTGGATTAATTGTTGGATTATTAATGGCTGGTAAAGCTCAAGAATTTCAATAAATCTTTCAATTAATATTACTTGCATTCACTTAAAAACACTCTATTTTTTAATTCATTAAACTAAGCCTTATGCTTATGTTATTCCCATTTATGTCGTATAACTTTAATATAGATAACCTTTTTTATATTATATATATATTATATTATATTATATATATATTATATTATATTATATTATATTTATAAATTCTTTATAAGCTATAAATTATGTATTCTACGAATCAACTTCCATACTTTCAGGATTTTTCTTTAAAATAACAATCCCTTCTAATGATCCACTTAAAGATATCCATTCATCACTATTTTCCAATTCTGCTCTTTCACCATAGTTTAATAATACAGGAGTAGATTGAGTAACCCATCCAGTAATTGTTTTAGGTTTACCAGCTTGTCCAACTACATCAACTGCTTGACCAACTCTAACATTAACTTTTATTGGTTTTAATTCTTCATCAACTGTTACTAACATTCGAGGTTTAACTGCTGGAACCAAATAATATAAGATTTGATGAGTTGTTTCATAAGATGAATCACTTAAAATAAATGCTTTAGGATCTAATAAAGCAACTGATATAGTTAATAATGCAGCCAATGAAACTTTAGATGATATAGTTCTTTCAATATTAAATGGAGTTAAAGTTAATGTACCTTTACCTAAATGTAATAAACCTTGAGCTATTCTTACCATAAATAATGAATCTGCTGATTTTACATAATATGAAGCTAATTGTCTTAATAATTGAGCTAATCTTGCATTATTAGTACCAGCCCCAACTAATCCCATAGAATATATAGCATTTTGAGCTACTTCTAAATCAGGATCATGTGAATATCTTGATAATGTATCAAATACTTTCATTTGAGGATTTGAAGTAGATACTAATCCCATAGCTAATGGAACAGCTCGTTTTATAATAGAATTACCATAATGCATTAAATGTGAAAAATGTCTTAATGCCATATCAGCTCCAATATCTTCTCCCATTGCAATAAGTGCAACTCCAAGAACTGCTATACCTTGATATAATTCTTCATCTTCATTAATTTCATCTTCAGTTTCACCTTCAACTTCTTCATCTTCCTTTTCCTTTTCCTTTTCCTTTTCTTTATCCTTCTTTTCATCTTTAACTTCAGATTCAGATCCATCAATAACAGTATCTTCCATTTCAACATCATCTAATGCATCTTTTATTTCTGATTTAAGTTCTTCTTCCTTTAATTGATCTTCACTAAGTTCAAGTTTCTTTTCTTCTTCTGATAAATCTTTTGGTTTAGCAGTACACATTTGTAATAATGATTGAATTTGTAAAACATTCCCAGTTCCAGCATAAGCACAAATATTAACTAAAACTTTTAAAGTTTTACTAATTGGATGACTAATTGCATCAATGGTTTCTAAAACATCTTCAACTTGTTCAGTTTTCCCCATATATAATAAACCTAAACCTAAAGACATAAATTTAATATATTTATTATTTAAATCACTTGTATTTGATTCTAAAAATCTTTGAAAAATTGTTGAAGTAATATCTCCATGACATGTTCCAACAAATATATGACCTAAAGCTAAAGCTGCTAAACAACTAACTTCAAGTCTAACTTCAAGATCAGATACAAGTGGTAATAATAAATTTAATACTTTTTCATTAGCTGAACCAGCAAAGGCAATTCCTAATCCATTAATTGAAGCTTCTTGATAAAGTTTATTTTCATCATTAACATAATCTTCTAATAATGCTAATGCTGAAATATTTTCATCATGAACATTTGATGATACAATTCCTGTACCTAATAATGCACCAGCTTTAACTTCTTCTTCTGATGAATAAGTATATTTATCTAAAGCTTGTAAACCATCATTAATATTCCATTGATATAATGCTCCTAATGATGCAGTAGTTGAAAGCATACCTAAACCTTTAGTTTTATAAATCCAAGTTTTACGATCTTCTTCAGTTTGAACTAATTTATCAGTTCCATAACCTAAATTAATAAACATATTAACAAATGCAGCTGCTAAATTTTGTTTAGCAGAATCAACTGATCCAGTTCCTACACCAAATTTAGCATTTTCAAGATGAGATTTATAAATATCTTCTGGAACTTTAGGATCTAATAAATTTAATTCTTTAACTAAATATGCATAATATTCATGTAATTTAACATTAGAAATTGTTTCTTGAACTTCTTCATTTTCTCCTGGATATTTAAATCCATTATTTTGTGATGATAATATAAATCCCAATTGTTTATGAGTTAATTCATCATCAGTTGATTGAAATACTTGTTTAATTAAATTTTCATCATCTAATTTTATAGCTAAAGTTAATGCTTGAGTTAATTGATTATGAGATAAATAAATAGCATAAGCAGTATGTAAAAATGATGAATCATCAGGTGGAGCTAATAATGGTACACAACTAACCATATAAAGACAAACTCTTGCATAAGTACTATCATCAACATATTCAGATAATTTATCAATTGATTCTATTTCTAATAATAAATCAACTGCATCAGCTTCAGCATTATGTTTTAAAAAGAATGGAACAATTTTTAAAGCTAAATCAATTAATCTTTCAACTGAACCATCTTCATTACCTAAACTTTCTTGATATGATTCACCAATTTCAAGAGCTAAATGACGCATATATTCATGACCCCAATCGGCTATACTATCTTCAGAAGATAATAATCTATATTTTAATGAATCCTTTTTACCATCATCAGAATAAGTCATAGCTAATACTGATAATATATCAGCTAAATTAATAATAATTTCTTGATTATTAGATGATTTTTCATTTACCCAAGTATCATATAATGAAGTTAATGAAGGATAATGAGGTCTTAAAAACTTTAATGGTTTTGGAACAGCTGTCATTGAAGTAGTTGAATCCTTAATAAATGTCTTTAAAGTTGATAAATTAGCTTGATATAATTCTGGTGATTGATCAGCTTCAATTAATCGTTCTACTAATAATTCCAATTCTTCTTTTAAATGTTGATCTTCTTCAGATAATTCTTCTTCTTTAATTGGTGTCTTTTTTGTATTACTATTATTCCCAATAGTATTTACTTCTGGTTCCTTACCTCCACTAGGGAGATCTTTGCTATCTTTAGCTGGGGCCATTTCAGTAATTTACGATAATTCTTTGATTCAACACAATAGTAAATTCTATACCGTAATAACTCAATGATAATACAATAATCCAATAAACAAATTAACTTCTCAAACCTCTACAAATTTAATGCTAATTGTATATTTTCAACTCACTTGGTGTTATCTATGTCTCATACATTTGTCAATTTTCCACTTGAGCTTCGGGGTTTTTTTTTGGATGGCAAATTGGCGAGCATGGACTGCACACAGTCTTGTTTGGTTCAGTCTCGCGTCGTGTGCTATACCGATTGTTAAAAGTATCACCGCTTACTTACTGCAAAGTCTGCCTGCTACAGGGCTACAATTGTACCAGTAATGGTTAGAGAATTTTTACTTTTAGCATTCCCATTATTTTTGATTTGGTGTGTGTTTGATTTTGGTTTAGTTTAGTTTAGTTTAGTTTTAGTGTGACTCTTACTTATCATTGATATTATTATTAGTATCATTAACATTTGTAGTTGTAGTGGGATTGAGAAATTGCGCGTGTGTGTGTGTGTTTGGATGGAATGTGTTTGGTGTTGCTAGAGAATTCTGGGTTTATGAGGTGGTTGTACATGATGTGTGCAATTAGGTAGATATGCATTTAAAGTAGATGTAAATCATGTGTATAAATGTAAACGCACCAACATTATGCACTGAACAAGTATGCGTTAAAGATATATGTGTAAATTATGTCTTATGACAAAAGTAAATCTCACCCTACTAGATGTTTGACAATTACCGGCCATCCCCATGTTTAAGTTCTTCCTCAATTCGTTCACAAAGAGATCTTTTTTCACTACGACGCGGTGTAAATAAGCTCATAAAATTTTCTGTGTACAGTCCAAGTCCTACCGGAAGGTGAAGGGTCAAGTTAAGTTTAGAGTTCACTATAGTTAAGAATATATAGATATTTCACTAAGTATCATTTTCATATTTACGAGTTTTTATGGTACTCATATATGGGTTGTTTTCTTTACTTCGCATATACAAATAGATAAGCAAACAGACAAACAAATACATACATAAACAAATACATAAACAAACACATAAAATAGTAAACAGAACTCATGGAAAGAATATTCTACAATTCAGACGTAGTAGATATAGGTACCAAACTACCAGTATATATATTTGATACATCATATTTACCATCTACTGATGTCATAGATTATGATGAATTTATTCCAACCCTAATGTCATTTGTACCTCAACATCCATACGTATTAATTATGTTCAATTGTGGATTGAATAAGATTAGTTGGATTTGGGGTATAAAATTTTTAAAATCATTCTTAGCTGATAATCAAGTTAATTTACAAAATTTACGGAAAATAATTACCGTTCATGATAGTTGGTTTATAAAATCAATAACTCAAATATTATCTACTACTAAAGTAAATTTACTGAACTTTAGTAAATTTATTGATTATTTTACTCTTGAATCAGATTCAATTGATATTGAAAATTTAGGTCAAAATAGTTTTATGATTCACAGTAAAACTTTATCTCAATTAAGTCATTATATCGATATAACTCAATTAAAAATTTCATTAAATATTTATAAACATGATCTTCAAGTTGAATCTGAAATTCAATTATCTAAACGATATATACCATTATTAAATCCCTTAACAAATTTTAATTATTCCAAGAATCCTATATTTTATCAACATTTTTATCAAATATTTAATATAATAAATTTATATTCAACTAAAACTGAATTAATATTTCATAAACCTGGTAATAAATTAAATACTGATGTATTATTTAATTGTATTAATAGAAATCAATTAATTTGGATTAATGATTGGGATTTATATGGTATTGCAACTACTTTTAAAAAAATACTAATGGAATTACCTCATCCAATAATACCAACTAATCTTATACCATTACCTATGAAAGATGATTATAATTATACAAGTCAAACATTTAATAATCTTTTAAAATATCATTCATCAAATCAATTAACTGAAAATTATTCATTAGTATTAATTCAATTATGTGAATTATGTCTTCATTTAATTTCTAATAATGAAACAACTCATCATACTTCATTAACTTTATCTAAAAGTCTTAGTCATTGTTTGAGTCATGAATTAATTTCTTCTCAAAATAAAGATAATATTTTAATAATAAATCGATTTTTAAAGAATTTATTAGATAATTGGTCTAAATTAAGAATCAATTATGTTAATGATTCTTTATACTATACGGTTGAAGATTGTATATTAGGTAAGCCTGAATTGGTTAATAACAAAAACAAAACCAAAATTCAAAATTTAACTCAATCAAATTTACCTGATACTTCATATGATCTTAGTTATGAAATCACAGTAGAAGAGAATACTCTAGAAGCAGATGATGATAATGAAGTAAGAGTTTCTGTAAATACAACAACCATATTAAATCATAATCTGAAATTATCTAAAGTAATACCATTAACCAATAATATGACTCCAATAAAGAATCTTAATCGTGAAATACTTTCACCTTTAATTAATTTAAATTTATCACCTAATAAATTTATTAATACAACAACTACAAAAGTTAATAAAGCACTTTCAGATGTATCTAATGTATCACTACAATATCCACCTCAAAAGTATAAATTTTCAGATACTACTTCTAGGAAACCATCACCACCAAGTATGATTTCAGCAGATATGTCAACTAACAATACGAATACAAATACGAATATTAGTAAAAGACCAGTTATTAGAGGTAGAAAAGTTAGTGAATTAGCTAAATTATATGAAGAAAGAGCAAAAGGTTTGGAACTCTTAAAGGGTTTATAGGGAAGCATTGATAAAAACACATTATATTGGGAATTTTTTTTTAAATCTTATTTATAGAACAACTAATATACACTTAAACTATTGGAAACAAATTACTTTACTCACCAACTAATCTACTATCGATATTTTCCATCGATAAATCACCTTCACTATGATGGAATCCATGACGAGAAGCATTAACTGCAGCAATGGCAGCAGCAGCAGTACTTTCATCATGATCTTGTAAATGTTGTTGATAATGTTGATATTGAGAATCATCAATTTGATGATGACTTACATGATGTTGTTGTTGAGCAACAGCAGCAGCCACAAATTGACGTTGAAATTCTTCTTGTTGTTGCAGCAGATATTGTAATACTTGAGGATCAGATGAACCTTGAGAATCATCAACAACATCACCAGCACTTAAAAGTGCATTAGTAGCAGCTGCAACAGCATCATCATTAGCATTTACATCATTTGGACCAGTATTTGGACCACTACTAGTATGATTACCAGTAATTCCAGCTGCTTGTAATGCAGCAATTTTTCTTTTAGTATGACTAAGTCTAGATCCAAATCCATATCTAGCATTTTGTTTCTTTAATTTTCTCTTATAACCTCTTATTTCATTATAAATATCTTCACGTTTAATAATAACATCAGGATATTGTTCTTTAATTTTAGATTCAATATGTGAAGGTTTTGTACCAACCTTATATAAATCTAAAATTAATAAATTTAATTCATCTGATCTCTTTCTAAGCATTGGATGATTAGCTAATGGATCTAATTGTGGATGATTATGTTCATTACAAGTAGTTCTTAAAGTCCAAACTCCAGTAGACTTTTTAAAACTTGCTGTCATCGCAAATGGACATCTTAATTTTTTGGTTTTAGTACTTGGATCCAATAAATAACCTCCACCAACATCAACTTGTCTTGAAGTATCTTCAATAACTCCACCTTTTTTAGATTTTTTATGTCTGTAACGACCTCCAAGTTCACAAGTATAATAAATTGCTTTCTTATTTGAATGAGAAATTACAACTCCAAATCCATTATCGCGAGCAAAATCTTGAATAAAATCATTTAAATCATCACGATTATGAAAAGCTTGTTCTGGATAAGTTCTTGTAATTAAATTTCCATCAGCTGTAATAGTATTTTCAGAAACTGGATAAATTTTCAGTTTAGAGTCTACTATTGGATCAGGGATTTGAATATTATATTCTGAATCCAAATCATCTGGTTGACCATAATGTCCATGTAATTCAGCTTGTTGTTGATGTTGTTGATGTAATTGACGTTGTTGTTCATGTTGTTGTTGTTGTTGCTGTAATTGTTGATATTGTCTTTGTGCTCCAGCAATTTGTCGGGCAGTAACAACAGCTTGTCGATTGAATTGTTGTTGTTGTTGCAGAAGTTGTTGTTGTTGCAGTTGCACTTGTGAAGTTTGTTGTTGCAGGATTTCTTGATCATCTTGTTGCGAATCTTTAACTTTTGATGTTGATGTTGTTGCAGCTAAATGTTCTAATTTAACTTGGTTAGAATTATGATCAATATTATCTTGTTTAACTGCACTAATTAATTGATCATCAATATTGCTAGCATAATCATCTTCTTCTGGATTAGACGACATTTTGCGGGTGTCAAGATACTGTTAATAATTTAGTCTTTAATATCTTATTGGCTTACCTAACTAATGGTTGCAACCGTGTCGTGGATTAAACAAATCTGAATAGGCCTGGTAGGAATTTTTTGTTTATAACACACCCCCTGGTCGTGTTATTTGGTTTATATTTTTGTTGAAGGAGGAGTAGTGCCCATCACCAGAATAAAAAGAATTTGAACGACGGTGGGGACACGACCAATCTACATAAAATATCACAAAAATATTAGACTAAATTTGGATGTACACGACAAGACAAAAGATAAAAAAAAAATATTTAATGGTCGTAAGACTCTTAAGTATAACTGATAGTTAATATATTATTTGCATTAAAGAACAACCCCTAACCTAAAAGACATAACATTACATAACCTTAAAAAATCAGTCCAAAAAATATTAATAACATTAATTTGACTGATAGTTTAATTTTTTTTTAATTAATTTTTCTAATTTTTCAATTCATTTTGAGCCCACATTGGTAATACAAATGAAGATTCATGAACTTTACTATTATAATATTTGAATAATTCTGCTTCTAAACTTGGTTTAAATTTTCTTAAGGGAGACATTAATTGTTTAGATTCATCATTAGTAGCAATCACTAAACCAAGAGATCCACTAGTATAACTTGGCATATAACATTGACTATATTTAACATTTTTAAAGATTGTTTTGGCTTTCTTTAATAAATTCTTTAAATATGATAAATTTAACCAAATATTTTCACTACTTTGCATTATAACAATTCCTTGAGAATGTAAAGCATTAAACAATAATTTAAAATAACTTATTTGAAAGAATTCTTCAGCTGGACCTTCAGGATCAGATGAATCAGTTATTATAATATCGAATTTTTCAGTCGTAGTTTTAAGAAATTTAAATCCATCATCAATTATAAGATTTACCTTTGGATGATTATGAAATTTTGCCATTTCAGGTAAAAATTTTGTTGATAATTTAATTACCATATCATCAATTTCTACCATTGTTATAGATTCTACTGTACCAATTTCAACATGTTTAATTAATTCTCTTATAACTCCACAATCACCTCCACCAATAACTAATACTTTTTTAGGATTTGGATGAGACATAATAGGTAAATGAGTAATTAATTCTTGATATGCAAATTCATCCTTTTCAGTACATTGAATTATACCATTAAGAACAAGAACATTTCCAAAATTTAATGATTCAAATATTAAAATATCTTGAAAAGGAGATTTTGTATGATAAAGGATTTGAACTATTTGTAATCCAAAGGCTTGACCAGGAAATGAATCATCTGATTTTTCAAAAAACCAGTATTTATTATTTTGTTTAAATATTGATTCATGTTGAAAAGTTTCTAAATCAATAGAAGGAATATTATTTAAATCGATAGATGACATTATGAGATAAGATGAGATGAGATGAGATTATTGGAAAAATTCTTAGATTTGATTTAACAAATATATATTATACTATGATACTATGATATTATACCAATATTATGTTCATATCAATATTAATAGATATAAAAGAATACATAAAGATAAATAAGTGAATCAGTATTTTTGATAAGAATTCTTTATTAAAGTTTTTCAGACTACCGCTAAAAAAATTTTCTTAGTGATGTAATGGCTAGCGGATACGCTAAACAGGCGAATATGAGTGCGAGCGTAACAGCGAGAACGGGACTTAAGTATCTTTACCGATCTTTTTAAGTTTAAGAAGTAGGGGTATGATGTAAATGTAAAGTGTAATTGATATGGAAGTTGAAGTTAAAATTCAGTTTACAAGTTTGTAGGATTAAAGATTTGTAAGAATATTAAGGGCCCATTTACGACTACAGGGATAAATAGGGTCTTTCGTAAACTTATCTCCAGGGACAGACATATATTACAGTAACGTCACAATCACTACCGGAGTAATAATACCAAAGTAATAAATCTACTACAGTAATAATAATAATAATAATAATAATAATAATAATAATAATATTACAGAAATAATATATAATTATATAATACTTCAATACTGTGGATAGCGTAGTAGTCTCGTTACTCAAAATAACCCCATAATTATAACTAAAACTCATATAGATAAACCGTACCACTCTCCTCTATTGCTCGCTATGGATTGACTCTTAAGCAAAAAAAAGCAATTCAAACCTGTAATTAATATTTACACTTTAGACTTTAGTATAGGGGGTAATTAAGGATTTTATATATCGGTCGTGTCCGAGATCTTTATTTTCTACCTAAAATGCGACATTTAACTTCTCAACAGACAAATAACACCAGACAGACAGACAGACAGGGAAAGAAACAAAAAAAAAAAAAAAGGGAAGGAAAAAACTTAACCCAGTAGAGAAAATTTCTAAGACAGCAAATTGGCCAATGGTCGTCAAACCACAACTTAACCATCAACAACAGTAATAAATCACCATTAAAAAGTATATTAAGACATAAATTCTATCAGACAGAATTCAAGCTTATTTATATACATCATTAGAATTCAAATTTTATCCCGATTTATCCCACTATTAACCGTCAAAAAAACATAATCCCTCCAATCCATTACAATTTTTGACTGTCATAATTTGTGGGTTTAACTCAATATCAATATTATCATAATAGATCATAATCATAATAGATCATAATCATCAATAGATCAGAATAGTTTCTAATAGATTGTAAGAGTTTGTTTTAGATTGTTTGGGATGTCTACTACTGATATGACTAATGGGAATTTACCCATACCTAAAAAATCATCATCAGCAGTAAACTCAACTACAACAACAAGATCTTCCAATACTTTTATTGATGCTGCTATTATATCGATTGTAGTAAGACTTTTACAAGTTGGTATATCATTTATTTTAAGTTTAATAGTTCCATTTCCTGAATCATTATCAATTCCATCCGATTCAGACTTTTATCGAGCCATTAATAATCAATCAACTACCACCTCCACCACCACCACCACCGCAAGAACAACAAAATCAAATAAATCAAATAAAAGAAAGAAACAAAATTTAAATTTATTTCCTTCAATTCAAAATCAAGAAGTTAAACAACTTGAACAATTTGTAGAAGAAGAATTTAGTGATGAAGAAATTACTATACCTCAACCATGTTCAACTGGATTAACCACAAGATTATTACCTTTTAAAAATGAAAAGGGAGAAATTGAATGGGCATTTACTGAAGATGTAGTACCAGGAAATGAATTAGAAGCTTTTAAAATTAATAATTTTAATAAGCAAACTAAACAACAATTACCGGAAGAAATTAAAATTAAAAAAGATGAAGAAGAAGTAAATTTATCACCAACTGTATCAAATTCTTCAAATAATGAATCAATTTTATCTAATTCTAAAAAGGATAATCAATTAAATTCAGTTTCAACTCCATTAACTTCTCATCATTCTTCACCTTTTACTCCCGATAAAAAATTATTATCTCATTCATCATCTTCAGAAAATCTTGCTGATGAAGATTCAGAAGAATTAGATGATGAAGCTGAAGGTCAAGTTGATGGAGATGATGAAAATAAAACTCATCAATGTCCTCATTGTGAAGCAGTATTTAAAATTAGAGGTTATTTAACTCGTCATTTAAAGAAACATGCTATTAAAAAGGCTTATTCATGTCCTTTTCATAGTTTTAGTATTTATATTGATGAAAATAATATTACTCATAAATGTCATCCAAATGGAGGATTTTCAAGAAGAGATACTTATAAAACTCATTTAAAATCAAGACACTTTAAATATCCAAAAGGAGTTAAAACAAAGGATAGATCAAGTTCTGGAGGAAGTTGTTCAATGTGTGGAGAATATTTTCCTAATGCAGAAATTTGGTGTGAATTACACGTTGAAGGAGGTGAATGTAGTTATTTACCAGCTGGATTTAAAGGTAAATCAAGAATTAAAAATAAATTAAAGAAGAGATTATCTAAAAAGCAACAAAAGGAATTAGATGCATCTAATTTAACTAATCAAGTATTACATTCAACTTATATTGCCGGAAGTATTGATCCAACAACAAATACAATTATTGGAAATCCAACTTTACCTGAAGTTGTATCAACTCCATTTGTTGATACTCCTCATTCTTCATCAGGAACTCCAGGTGGTCCATCTAATTTACCTTATGAATATCATAGTCAAAGATCTCAATCACCAGTTCCTTCATTAACATCATCAATAAGTAATTATCATAGTTCAGGAAATTTAACTGCAACTAATTCAATAATTAATGGTAATACTCCAGTATCAACTAAATCTCCTATAAATTATTCACAAATATTACAAGCACAAGTTCAAAATCAACAATATCCAAGAATTTCAAATACTCCAATATTTGAACAATTTGAACGTCCTATAAGACCTAATCAAAAGAAAGTTGAAGATTATGATGATGAATATTGTTTAGATATTGATCAATTAAATAATGCCACATTTAATAATTATAATGAAATTCTTCATTATTTTAAGAACTCTCAACCACAACCACAATCACAATCGCAACCATCTCAAGAAAGTTATTCACATTCTTATAATCCTCAAGTATCACATTTTAAACATCATCCTCATCAACAACATCAACAACAAATGTTCTTCAATAATGGATTTTCTCAATAATGAATGAATGGGTCATGTAATTGTAATATTTAGGGTAATTTATGGTAGGTATCGGTGCTATTTTTATATAAAATAATTAATTCTTTTTTATATGGGTTTATAAAGGTCATTAACTTTTAGAAATTGTAGAAATTGTAGAATTAGAAACCTCCAAAGATATCATCAATAGCTTTCTTACTTGACTTTTTCTTTTTAGCTTTAGTTTTGGGTTTGGATATGGATTTAGTAGTCTGTGTTTGTGGATCAGGGAGCGTAGGTTGAAGTGGTTCATAAGTGATTTCTTCACCTAAATCATCAGCAGTAGCAGTAGCAGTAGCAGTAGAAACCGTAGTAGAAACCGTAGTAGAAGCTATAGGTATTAGTTTACTGTTTGTACCAGCAATATCTGATAATATAGCTGATAATTTACATACTAATGCCACTAATGTAAACCCTAAACTGATGAATTGTCCTAAAGAGATTATGGTATTAAATTCATAATACGCTTTAGGGAATACTTTAGTGAGATGATGAATGAGATGAATGATTTGGGAGTATTTTTGAGTCTGTTTCTGTTTCAGTGTCAGTTTGATTCGTCGTATATCTATGGCTAATTTGATTATGGTTCTGACTTTACGATGAATGATGTCTAAGTACTTCCACCATACTGATTGATGATGTTGATTTTTACTGCGGTAGTAGAGAAGATGGAGGATGTAGAACTCGTTGGTGAGGGAGTCCAGTTGTTGCTGTGTTATCATGGGGTAGTGGTGGTGGTGGTGGTGTCACTAGTATTAGTGGTAGTGTCACTAGTATTACTGTATTAGTGATAGTGTCAGTAGTATTACTGTATTAGTGACAGTGTCAGTAGCGGACTATTTTTTTCAAAAGACTGCAAAACATTTTAGTGCCTCAGTCAAAGAGATGTAGTGGGCTAAGTGTGTTACAGAGACTGCGTAGTAGTCACAGTAAAGTGTAGTTAGTGTAGTTGTGTAGTTAGTGTAGTACAGAGTAACACAGCGTAGCAGTTAGTGTAGTACAGTGTTGTTGGAGAAGTTACTATAGTGTACTACATTATATGACTTAGTGACTAGTTTTGCACTGAGTTCTCACTAACTTTACCCTACACTCTCTACTCTCTATACTGATTACTGTGTACTGTCTACTGTCTACTGATTACTGTCTACTGTCTACTGTGTACTGTCTACTGTCTACTGTCTCTATCTTCTGTCTACTGTCTCTATCGTCTGTCTACCCTCTACTCTCTACTGTCTACATTGCGTATGCTGAGATAAGTCCCTAACTACGACTTAGTGATAGTTACTGAGTAGTGAGTAGTGAGTAGTGAGTATACTTTTTTTTCACGATGAGCTACTCCACTAACCACCACAACCACAACCACCACAACCACCACAACCACTACAATGTCTACTCCCATTGAAACTCTAGTGGCAAGAGCTCGAGCTCTCTTACAATCATCCCAATCTGAAAAGGCATTGGAAATCCTCACACCAGACTTTGAAACATATAATGCAGATGTTAATTACTTACAAATATTCGGGGAAACTTTATTAGAGAATAATGATTTAGAGAATGCTTATGAAGTATTGGTTAAAGCATGTGAATTGGATCCCACGGCTGAGAATGGAGTAGAGAAATTCTTTTATTTAGGACAAATTATCGGAGGACACGATGGAATTGATTCATTAAATGTAGGATTACAGAAATTACAGAATCAATTAGAGATAATTAACAGTAACACCACAGATAAACTATTAATTGAATTATCAACACTTTATAAAACCAAAGAATCTCTCATAAGTTATTTAATTAAAAAATTAAATCAAGGAATCTTTGCCAAAATTGAAATTTGGATGACTGATTTATGTATGGAAGATGAAGCAGAAACTCAATGTAATGAACTAATTAATTATTCATTACAATTAGATAATCAAAACCCTGAAGCCTTATCATTATTATCATCCATCAGAATCTCTCAACAACGCAATGAAGAAGCCAAACAAGCATTATTAAAATCATGGGAATTGTTTCAAATAAAGAAATCTCAATTAGAAGAAGCAGCCAATAAACACCAACAAGAAGATATTGATTCATTTGAAGTTGGATTAGAATATGTAGATTTAATTCAACCCTTACTTACATTAGCCAAGTTTGCCATTGAATTAGAATTATATGATATAACCATAACAATAGTATCGAATGTTCAAGATATTAATGAAAATATCTTAGATACTTATTATTATGAAGCCTTGGCTAATTTATTCTCGGCTAAACAATTATTGAATAGTCAAACTCCACACGAAGAAGATTATCGTGAAATCGATACAGAATTATTAGTTAAATCTACCATACCTGAAATTCAATCATTACTTAAAGATATAAAGAGTTCATTAACTCAAGGTTATAAAATTATAAATAGTGATAATTTAGTAGCGGATTTAGATCCTGGATTAATTGAACAAGTGGAATTATTATTAAAGCAAGTTGGAGGTCCAGTGATGAGTGAATTACTTCCAACTCGAGCCAATGAAGATGAAGAAGGATGGGAAGATGAAATAGAAAGTGAAGAAGAAAATATCCATTAGACTATATATATGTATACACTTAATATACAAAGTAAAATTATTTTAATAGATTAATTACATTTGGAACATCCTTAAAGAAATCATTATTGAAAATATCTATTTGCATAGATTCAAAATATTGATCATATTGATTAGCATCTCCTGAGCTCATACTATTTGGACTGAATGATGAGTCACTACCAAACAATGGCTTATTAGTGCCATTATTAAATCCTTCACCAGGACTAGCACCTCCTGGTATAAATCCATTTGACATATTAGTCATATTAATATTAGTATTATTATTCATAGTATTAGGAATACTATTACCCATACTAATATTAGGATTAATATTGGGATTGCCATTGCCATTGCCATTAGAATTAGTATTAGTATTAGTACTATTATTATTACCCAACATATTATTAGCATTTAATAAATGGGATGTTAATTCAGGTGGAGTTTGTATAGTAGGCTGTAACATATTCTTAATAGAAGGAATTGAATCAGGTTTAGGAATTGGAGATGCAATTGGGAAGGGTGAATGATTCTTCATGACCGGAGATGGAATTGATTTCTTTAACCAAATTGGATCTTCAAATACATTGGCATTGGCATTAGTATTATCATTAAGACTACTACGATTACTAGTAGATGCACTATTAGTTGTACTATTAGAAATATCCATTTTTGATCTCTTTCGAGAATTCGAATTTGAATTTGAATTAGATGTTGTACCTCCATTCATAGAAGTTGATAAACTTACTGAAGATGATTTACCAGAAGATTTCCGCTTTTTATTCTTAACTTTGGTATTAAGAGTCTCAATAAAATCATAAGTTAATCGATATATTTCATCAACAATCCACCAAGTAGATGAGAATTTACCTAATTCAATAAAATAATCTTCAAATTCAAAATTATCTTCAAATCCTGTATCAATATCTGATCCATTACTTAATTGAGAAATACTTATACCAGTAGTTGGATTATTAAATTTAAGAGATAATTTAGCTTTCTTCTTTAATGCTACGGCCATGGCTAATGACATACACCATGGACTCATTGGAATATTAAATTTTAAATCATCTTGCATTTGAATCATATACCATAAAACATTTGAAGCCGCTCTTTGACTAATTAAATCAGGAATATTATTAGGAATTTGTGGATTATCATATTTAGCCTTTTGTGATGCAAGTATAATAACATTATTAACAATTCTAGTTAAAAAATGTATAGTATTGGTTGTATATTCATTCTTAATTGATGAATAAAATTTCCCCAGTTGATTAGTTATTGGTCTAGATCTTTCCTTTTCACAAGTTTCAAATTCAATTTTTTGAAATTCATCCGAATTAAACATTTTATATCTTATCATATTATTATTTCCAATAACATTATTATTATTAAATGGTTGAAAAATTGCAAAAAACATATTTTCTAATGATCTAGCTAATTGAACCATTTTAAGTAAATTAATATTATTATAAGGTAAATCAATATTAAAATCTTCTTGACGAATAAATACTGGTCTGGCATTGGTTAATCCATTAAATCTATCAAATATATAACAACACCACCAAAGATTATTTGAATATTCTATTTTAAAATTTTCAATATTCTTTTGACTTGATAACCTTTTCATATGAATTCCAATGGCACTACCAAGATTTATGGCAGCACTTAAATCATGAGATGATTGTTCTGATCCATATCTATCATAAGCAAAATGTAATGAAAGTACTAAATGAATTACAATTCTTGAAAATTTATCAGAATCTCCTAATTGAGGTAAAATTAACATTAATTGTCGAATTTTATAATGTAAATCAGTCATAAATGAAATTAATTCTTGTTGAAATTGAATTTCATTTAATTCATAACCTAAACCTCTCAGAAATATTTGTTTAAGTATTGGTTCTGCCATTTTATCTCGAGATATAACAAGAATTATTGAATATAATAATACATTTTGGGCTTTATTATTTTTAAAATCATCCCAAAATCCTTGTTCATGAACTAATGGGAATACTGAATTAATTTTAAAGAAATATAATTCAATTAATTGTTTAGTTTCTGAATGGGTTATAGGATAATTACTTGATGATAAAGTAAATGCATCAATAGATTTTAAAAATTGATAAGTCTTGGGATTCTTAATATAAAATTCTTTATCTTTACCATTCCCAAAGTTTTTAATTTTATATGATTTTTTAAATTCACTTTGAGTTAATGTATTTACAGTATTTGAATTAGATGAGGATGGTTTAGTATTAGTATTCGTAGTATTAGTGTTAGTATTATTAGTATTACCATTACCATTACCATTACCATTACCTGAGGATGGCTCTTCTTCTTCTGATGGATTCTTAACATACACTCCTGATTCATGCCAAATAGATTGATCATCAGACATAGAGATAATCACTTTAGGATGACCATGGAAAAGGTATTGATAAGTTGAATCTGAATCTTGGCCGGATATATTGAAATTGAATTTAGCCTTTAAGTATTGAGGAGTTACTCGTTTCATAGGATCATGAGTTGATTCTTGGGCCGGTACAGGCGGAGCCGGCACAGGATGATGTTGTTGATGTTGTTGATGTTGTTGATGTTGTTGATGTTGTTGATGCTGCTGTTGATGCTGCTGTTGATGTTGTTGTGGTGGCGGTGGTTGTTGCTGCTGTGGTGCTGGAGGTGGCTGTTGGTAAGCGTACTCTTGCTTGACATAGAAACTCGAAGGTGACGAAGATGTCGTATTTACAGTGGTCACCGACAAGCTACTTGGAGTATTCAGATTAAAAGTCGAAATAGACTGATTTGATGGAGTAGTGGTAGTGGTTGATATTGAAGAAGGTACGGGTTCATGAGATTCATGATGTTGTTTCTTAATTAATGAACATTGCCAACCATGTTTAGAACAATTTAAGCACCCTACTGATTCATAATCACGAGAAGTGATTTCACATTTAACACGTTTATTACGACAAGTTTGACAACATTTAAAAGTCCTCTTTCGAGTCTTATAGTTTGAGTCAAAGGCCGGGAATACGAACATGACTTGACTTAGCTTACTGATACAGTATAGTTCAGTTGTAGTAGTGAATTTAAGATTTCAAATTTTAACTCAACAAATATTCTGGGTTTAGTATTGATGCACTGATGTTCTATATATATAATATAATATAATATAATATAATTTTAACAAATATAAATATAAATATAATTTAACAAATATAATATAATTTAATTTAATCCACAATTAGTCTGACGAAGTGTACGTAAAAGACTCGTCCAGTTTATTAGTCCACAAGATGCAAATTTTTTTTAATGATTCAGATAATCTTCGATATCACTACTTAGTGATATTTAGTTTCGATTGTAACTATTAGTGATGTGACTCCGTGTTATTGTTATCGGACTCTTGCAAACCTTGTTGAATTACTGCTAAAAGTGGAGAGTTGGGTAAGTTGAATTTAAGTTGAGATCTCGAATGGGTTAACCTTCCTAAATAGGTAGTAGTTCCATCTCCCCACTTTCTCCATATTTTAAGGGAAAAACAATTAGAAAATAAAAAATATTGGAGAAAATGGTGTGATGTCGATCACGTGTTGTGTCACTTAATGAAGTGATACTTAATTAAAGATACTGAAGATCTACAATATATCATACTATGGATCATACACAATAGATGTAATATTTTATAGGATCACAGCTTGTTTATTATTTTATTCTAATACTTTTTTTAATTAGTGACTGATAGTTAACTATTAGTTAACTATTGGTGTGTCTATTCTGAGGTGTGTCGCATTTTTTATCAATTTTATCATTTGTCATTTTTTTCATCCATTTTCATGTCGCATCGCTAAAAATGACAAATAATAAATTAGGCCCATATGGCCTCCATCTCTAACAACAACTAACTAATAACTACTAATAACTACTAATAACCATGACTACCAATCATAGACCTACCTTAGAAAGTAAGCGAGGGAAACAACAACCCATTACGTCATCCATAACCTATTCACAAACTTATGGAACCACCAAATCGCTTAAATTGAGACCGGATATTACATCGAATGCCATAACGGATTTAAAACAAGAATTGTTAGAGAATGAACAACAACAATCCCAAACAAATTTAGCTAAACATGACTCGGATATCGATTTAGGCGGAGACTTTAAACGAGCCACAATTCGAAGAAAGTCCATTCATAAACTTGAAGAACCCAATGATGATGATTTCTTAATAGTAAGATCTACGGTAGTTAGTGATGACGATAACTCAGATGATTCCGATAGTGAAGCCATTGACGATGACGATGACGATGATGATGATGATGATGACACACCTCAAGGACGAACTGAAAGAACGAGAAGCTCATCGACCAAAATAGGAGTCAGAATCCTGAGAATAACTTCAGGTGATCCACAACAACTGACACTGCAACTGCACTCAACTGAAAGTTCAGATGCCGAAGACGATGAAGAGACTCAGGCATTACTTGAGGAATTGAACCAACTACGCAAACTCAAATCTCAGCAATCTCAATCTCAATCTCAACCACAGTCTCCCCTGTCACCACAATCTCAATCTCCCATACTTAAGCCTACAACTTCTACTAAGAAGTCATGGAGACTGTCTCCATTCTCTAGACGATCTACTTCAACTTCTACTAATTCCAATTCTAATACTTCTTCTTCAGATACTAATCAAAAATTCTTATCCAAATATGTTAGATAATATGTATTCTAACTAATATACATTCTAATTTTAGTAATTATACTCTACTGCTATACTATACTACTATACTACTACTATACTACTACTATACTACTATACTACCACTCTATTGATGTTGATTAATACGGGCATCAAGTTGTTCAATATCTTCTTTAAGACTAGCTTCTTCAACAGTCTTAACTAATTCTTTAGTACATTTAGCAATATCAAATGAAATCCCGGCTAATCTTTGTTTAAAATTTTTATCAGCAAATTTATGTTCATCATCAGCCATTTCTTTGGGCTTTTTACATAAGATATCCATACGATGATAACAATCTTCTAAACTTTTAACTACCCAACTACCATGTTCCTTTAATTGAGCATTTCTAGTTTGATTCATTGATGTATTTGTTGCTTCTGTCATTTGAGAAATTACAATGGTTATAGCCTTAGATTTTTCTCGTAAATCTCCTCTAGTAGCACTTGGCTTTTTAATAGCAGCAAGTAATGATTGAATAGTGGAAATTACTTGAACAGTTTGATGTTCTAAATATAATAACACTTGAGTTAACGTATTATCTGGATCATCAATATCAAATAAATCAATATTGAATGTAGCTGCAGCCATAGATTTACGATATTCTTGTCTTTGTCTAGCTTCAACTTGTTCTTGACTTTCTTCTTCTTCGGAATCCTCTTCTTGTTCTTCTTCTTGTTCTTCATCATCATATTTACTGGTTTCTGATCCTCTCTTAGTATCGGCCAGATAAGTTACAGTTTTAACTTGACGTGGAGCTCCAATATCTTTGGGAGGTGCATTAAGATCTTCTTCTTCTTCTTCTTCAGCTCCAGTTCCAACGGCTCCAGTTCCAACGGCTCCAGCTCCAGCTCCAGCTCCAGCTCCAGCTCCAGCTCCAGCTCCAGCTCCAGCTCCAGCTCCAGCTCCAACAGCTCCAGAAGTAATTATAGCTGCTTCAGCAAGTTTATCATCATTTCTATTATTAATATTATTACCCTTTCCATTACTAAGATTATTAACTAAATTTGGATCTTCAAGTGGTATACTTCCTGTAGAAATATCAGAATCTCCACCATTATATTTATTATGATTAGGACTTTTTGTAAATGGTGAAGTCGTTGAAGAAGTTGAAGATTTAGAATCATTTGAACTCTCAAATTGTCGAACTTTATCTAAAATATTAAGCTTTCTAGGAGTATTACTACGATTAGAATTAGTTTCTATTCCTCTTGGTGGTGAAGATTCTGGAGAATTTAATTTATTTGTAAGATAACTTATTCCAGGCCCTTTACCATTAATATTTCTAGGAGAATTAGAAGTGGAATTAGAACCATCCTTATCCTTATGAGACAATTCGTCTTCACTTAATTTACTTTCAAATTTAGAACTTAATGCACTAATATTCTTACTTCTTGGACTAACTCTAATATTAGAAGTAGTACCATTATTACCATTATTACCATTATTAATTGGTGAATTAGGTTGAGGATGCTCATCTACTGAATTAGACTTGGAATGTTGTTGAGCTTCTCTTAATTTATCAGCCATTCTTAAAGGTCTAACTCCAAAATCTTCAGCTACAGTCTTAGAAATATTCTTATTTTCAATGGAAGGAATTGAGGAAATAACTTGTTTAGAATTTGTTGAATTTTCTTTTAATTTAACAGAAGAAATTAAATCACATAATGCAAAACTGATTTCTCCTACGGCTCTTTCTACTACAATTCTGGGAATTATAGTAGCATTATAAACGGCAAAATATCGAGTAGCAGTTAAAGCATGACTAATTGATTCTCTTAAATATAAGGCAAATTCATTACTATTTAAAATATGATTTTCACCTTGAGAAGCAATTTCATTAGCAATTACGGCTAATTTTGAAATTTTTTCAAATAAAATATCAGAATCAAATTCACTATTCAAATAAATTATAAATGATTCAAGATTTGATGATAAATCAGATACTAATTTAATTGAAATTAATCCATCACCAGTAATTAACAGTTTTAAATTCTCATTATTAAGAGTTTTATTAACAATATCATTAGAAATACTTTTGGATCGAGCTTCTTCATATTTTCTTTGTACTTTTAAAATCTCCTTTTTAGATTCTAATTCATTAGATTTAATTGATTTTGAATCTAAATTATTTAATTTTTCAAAGAATGAATGTAAATCTTTATTAGTAGAATTAGAATTGGAATTAGAATTAATCGAGTTAGGAGAATTTCCTAAATTATTAAGATTAGTTACCGAATCAATTGATCTATGAGCATTTGATGATGCAGCCAGATTAGAATTCTTTAATGATTGATTCTCAAGTCTTAAAGTGGCAATAGTGGTTTTTAAATTAGATAATTCAGTTGAATCTCTTGATCTGGATTTATTTAATAAAGTGGATTTTTCTCTACTTAAATTTTCAATTTCATTACTTAAAGATTTATTTTGATTGGATAAATTATTATAATCATTTTGAAGCATATTATATTTTTGATCTAATGAAGTATTTTCTGATTCAAGAGTTGATATTTTTGATTTTAATTGTTGAATTTCTTCTTGTAATTCATATGAATTTTCATTGCTTAATGGTAAAGATACAGGTACAGGTAAGGAATTAGGAATTCCATCTTTCTTTACATTCAAACCTTTATCATCATCTTTTTCTACAAAACTATGAGCATCATCATCATCATGATCATGATCTTGTTCATGATCTTTTTCATCTTCATCTTCTGGATCACCTTCTTCATCACTTGACCAAGTTAAATTAGCTTTAGTAGGAACAACCGTTTTTGATTGTATACCAATGCCATTATGAGGATGACTTTGACTTTGACTTTGACTATGACTATGATTATGAGAATAACTTTGACTTTGACTTTGACTATGAGAATGACTATGAGAATGAGAATGACTATGATTACTTTGATTATGACTACTGATTAAATGGTTAACCGGAGATAACTGATCTGAATCATTAGTTAAATCATCTGATCTTGAGACAGATTCCTTTCGAGCTTGTCCAGGATAAGAACCATTACCATTAGTAGGAGATACAAGCTTCACACCATTATTATTATTGTTGTTGTTGTTGTTGTTGTTATTACTAAACGACGGTAATTCAACATGTAAGTTTCTCCTTTCCATCTCATAAGAGATATCAGATACTAAATCTTTAAATCTTGGCTGTGGTAAAGATGATAATTTTTGTCTGGCTTGATTTCGTTTGGGATGAAATGATGATTTAGGTAATAAATAATCCGGTTCTCCACGAGATTCATCGATTCTACGCTTTAATTCATCATATACATCTGTACTTAATTCTTTAAATTGGGCAGAACTAAGTTTAAGAAGTTTCTCTCTGGCTCGTGCCGCTCTTGAAGAACTTGTCTTACCTCGAGAATTCAGATCGTCCGAGATATCAAGAAATTGTTTTAATTCTCGATAACGAGATACTAAATCCTTATCACTCATAGTTGGTACTGGAATAGTTAACTAAAGAGTGGATTGGATATACTTAAACTTACCGCTGAGTTCTGGTTTTTGACTGGCGGATATTTGTCGTTTTGTTTCTGTTTCTGTTTCCGGTTGGTTGTTTTGAGACAGCCGGAAAATTTTACTTTTACTAGGACGCGTAGCTGACAGACAAATTTGAAATTTTGTATGAGTGACTGCGACAAATTGTCCGAGGCTGTTACTGTTACTGTTATTTATACAATTATGTAACATCAATAAAAATTGATTTCACCTATTGGTTATATTATTATTATTATTATTATTACTATGTTATTGTTATCTATGTACAAAATGAATTAATAGTTATAGTTATGATAATGATAATGTTAATGATAATGATAATGAATTTAATTTCATTTCATCTATGGCTTTAAATTTATATCATTTACTCAGCTCTTTGTTGATTCTTACTCTTTTTTCTTGCAGTAGCTGATTCAACTACAACTTGAGCTATGGTTTCTAATTTATTAGAATTAGTATCATTACCATTACCTTGTAATATCTTTTCTTCAATAAATTGTTCAGCAACTCTTTTACCATAACTAAATGTTATAGCTCCAACTAATGCATACATTACTTGTGCACTAATTGTTAATTCTCCACTACTAGCAAATCCTATATTTTTGGTATTAGGTTTCCAAAACATAACAGAATTTAATTGATTATTCTTTGCAAATACTCCCATACTAGTTTTACCACAAAGTTCTCTAGCAATTGGTGAACCTAAAACATCTAAATTTTTCCCATTTATTACTAATTCATTTGAACTTGGTTTATTAACAACATATTTAGCAAAAAATAAATTTAATAACTTTGCACCCATAGCACTTAATTTTTCATTATATGGTTTTATCCCATTACCAAATGATTTATGAGTTAAAACTTGTAAAATTAATTCATCAGAAATACGATATTTATCTTGTAAAAATCCCTTTATATACTTTAAATTATCTTCAGAAATTCCATATTTATACCCTTTATTACTTAAAAACACTTCTTCAGGATCTCTTTTAAGTCCGGCAACTCTTGATCCCTTATGCAAATATATGGTTCTCATTGGTACATATGTCATACCACTACCATTTCTTAATCCACTCATATTAAATGCCTTCTCCGGCCTGGCTAATTGTCGTATACTTCCACTCATCCTGTCTATAATGGTTATGACAAACTATTATTATAAATCAGAATTACACTATTTATTAAATCAATCAATCAATCAACTAATCTACTAACTTTACCATCAATCCATGAAAATTTTCCAGTGCAAAAGAAAAAAAGTGTGAGGTTTAAAAAAATGGTAAATTGGCTTATGCTTATGTAAGTTCTTATTAATCATCACTAACATTTAACCAATTTGCATCTCAGTCTTATAAATTTTTTTTTTTTTTATTTAGGAAACGGTTCCATCTCATTGCAAAATTATATGATATTTATATAGTTAACCAATAATAAATTATGGATATCTTTAGAATTCTTTCAAGAGGAGCATCTCTTAAAAAGAAGAAAGAAGTTACTACTGATTATGCATTACCATCAGCTTCTCAAGTATCGGCTGAAAAGGGGAAAGAAGAATTATTAAAGCATCAAGTTGATAAAGAAACTGATTTCTTTCATACTAAAAAGCATACTGATATTTCAAATTATGAAACTAAACAACAAAAATCTCAAGTAGTTGAAATTGAAAATGATAATGATCATGAAATACCGCCTCCAAAGATTTCTAATGTTGAAGATGCAAAAAAATTAAGAAAAATTAATAAAGTTAATGTAACAGGTGAAGATTTACCATTACCAATTGGATCATTTGAAGATTTAATATCAAGATTTCATCTTGATAAAAGATTATTAAATAATTTAATTGAAGCTGAATTTATAGAACCAACTCCTATTCAATGTGAAGCTATTCCAATAACTTTAAATAATCGTGATCTTATAGCTTGTGCTCCAACAGGTTCAGGTAAATCTTTAGCATTTTTAGTACCTTTAGTTCAACAAATTTTAGCATCAAATAAAAAGAATCATGGAATTCGTGGTTTAATAATATCTCCAACTAATGAATTAGCAGTACAAATTTTTCAAGAATTAGAAAAATTAGTTAAAGGAAAGAAATTAACAATTGCAACATTATCAAAACAACTTGCAAATAAATTAAATAATAAAATAATAAATGGATCAAAATATGATATTTTAGTTACAACTCCATTAAGATTAATTGATGTGGTTAAAAAGGAAAATCTTGATTTATCTAAAGTTGAACAATTAATTATTGATGAAGCTGATAAATTATTTGATCAAGGATTTGTTGAACAAACTGATGATATATTATCTAATTGTAATAATCCAAAATTAAGAAAATCCATGTATTCTGCTACAATTCCTTCTGGAGTTGAAGAAATGGCTCAAACTATAATGAAAGATCCTATTAGAATTATTGTTGGACATAAAGAAGCTGCATCATCAACAATTGAACAAAAAATAGTATTTACAGGTGATGAACAAGGAAAATTAATTGCTATTAGAGAAATGATTTTAAAAGGAGAATTTAAACCTCCAATTATTATATTTTTACAATCTATTACTAGAGCAAAAGCTTTATTTCATGAATTATTATATGATAAATTAAATGTTGATGTAATTCATGCTGAAAGAACTCCAAAACAAAGAGAAGAAGTAATTAAAAGATTTAAAAATGGAGATATTTGGGTATTAATAACAACTGATGTTATTTCAAGAGGGGTTGATTTTAAAGGAGTTAATTTAGTTATTAATTATGATGTACCTCAAAGTGCTCAAGCATATGTTCATAGAATTGGTAGAACTGGTAGAGGTGGTAAATCTGGTAAAGCAGTTACATTTTTTACAAAAGCTGATGATTTAGCAATAAAACCAATTTTAAATGTAATGAAACAATCAGGAAGTAAATTAGATCAATCATGGATGAATGATTTAACTAAAATTTCTAAAAATGAAAAGAAAAGAATTAAACAACATGAAATTAAAAGAAAACAAATTAGTACTGTTCCAAAAGTTGTTAAACAAAAGAGAAAACAAAAACAAGAAATGATTGAAGCATCTAAAAAGAGGAAATTACTTGAACAAAATAATGATTCAAATTTAAGTGATTAAGTAATTAATTTTATAGATAATTTACCTAATGATATTTGTTAATGGATGTGTTTATTTAAAAATAAATGAATAAATAAATAAATAATTTTGAGATTTTTAATCCCTATACAACAAACAATGTATCTATTAAAATTTTTGTATATGAATAATTTTAGTATGGATCATTTTCGTGAATTTGAACCTTATCTACCTTATCTAAAGAGTACCTGTACATTTCCACGTATTATACAATGCTAATATATGTAAAATATAACTATAAATATAAATAATAAATAATATTATATTTATATTTATAATTATAAATATTCACATCTAGTGATGGTGAGCTCCAACAGCTGGATAACCAAATACATTTCTTCTACCAATTATTTCACCAACTGAAAAGAAAGCTAATAATTGAGTACCATAAACACCAGCTTTAACAGCACATTCTTTACCGGGTCTAAATTTAATGGCTTTTTGAAGGAAAGCCTTTTGTTGTTCTGGAGATTGAATAAATTTAAAAGCTGATTGATAAAATTGTTGAAATTGAACAGTTGATGGTGGAGCTAATCCTTCACTCTTGTATACAACTTTTCCAACTTCAGCAGTAACTTTACCCCAATAAACAGCCCCATTGGTAAGTTGAGTGGATTTGGCAATTATACCGTTAACAAATGAAGTGGCTTTAGTGACAATAGCAGACATTATTAATTATGCGATGAGTCTCTACTTTAACTTAATAGAAACTTTGTTCAATGTCTGTCTGCTCATAATTTACAATTGAAAAAATTCATTTTTTTTCAGACCCCTAGCCAATTATATTTGTGCGAACCTAGACTGCCTAATTGGGTAATGTGCGTCACAAGAGCGTTTTTATTTCATCCATGCATACATACACATACTTATCTAAAATATAATTTAAATTAATTTAATAATTACAATTGAACACCAAATCGATCAGGCATTACTACGGGAGCAACTAAACTCCATCCATATAATAAGTAACATACCCATGAACTTATAATTTTAACCCAACTCATAAAGTATGTTCTTCCTACTGGAACAAAATCTCCTAAATCATCTTGTTTTACATTAATTGTTAATAATGTTGCAACATATTGAGTTGCTAAAAAGAATATAATATGGAAAAGTGCATAATTATATTGAACTTTTTGTCTTTCTTCATCTCCTTGATTTTCAATATCATCTTCATATAAATCTGCTTGAGTAAGAGCACTTTCAGGTAACAGACCTTCATCAACAGCTTGTTTAATAGCTTGATATCTCATTTCATTTCTTACTGCTGGTTGAGTATTAATATATGGATCAGTCAGTTCTGAACTAAATGCAGAATTTGCTGCTGCTCTTGTTGTTGTATAAGCAACAGCTATAAATGTAAAAAATGCTCCTAATACAACACTTGCAGTTCTTGTACCTCTAGATCTTACTAATGGATTACAATATTTATCATCTGGTTCAGAAGCTACTGCACTCATTACTAAATATGAACAATAAAATACTACCATTGAAGCTTGAGCTAATCCCGCCTGGGGATTATATTCTTGAATAGTTTGATTTACTGATATAAAAGATATTATAATTGAAAAAATTAAATTTAATGTAATGGCAGTTTTATTCATATTACATGAATCACCAGCAAAAAACCAATACATTATAATAGTAAGAATTATACTGGCAATATACATTGATAAAGTTCCACCAACAAGTAATTTTTTCCAAAATCCAGCATCACCTTCACCAGTTAATTCTTCCATTTCAATTTTTTCAAGACATTTTTCAGCCCAAGCATGAGCAAAATCAACTAATAATATAAGACCAATTCCAAGAAATATTGTTGAAAATATTATAGCAATATTATTACCATAAAATATAAAAAAACTATCAGGTATAAAAAGGAAATTTATAATAATTAATGCTAACCATGAAAATACTTTAATTTTCCAACAACCATTTTGAATAACTGCTCTTGGATTTGCTGTAGATTTAACATCAATTAATAAACCTGCTAAAATTAAATGTAATAAACCAAGAGCAAAATTAATTCTATGAACTGATGTAAAACTTATACATTCACTTCCATCAGGTCCACATTTACTATTAATAAATCCAAAAGTTGCCTTTTCTAATTTATGAACTATAAATGGTGAAAGGACTATCCATGATAATAATGAATTAATTAAAAGTAATATGGCATAAGTAATTCTAGTTAATATTGATGATTTAAAAGTGCCCCCAATTGATGAACAAATGGCAGAACATGCAGCGGCTCCACAACATGAAGCAATAGATGATGTCATTGCCGTCACCGGCATTAATGGGATAGACAATGCTGCACCCATCTTTTATAAGTTTATAATTATTATCCAAACCTTTATTATCTTTATATTATACTTATATTATACTTATAACATAATAGAATTTATTACGGTGTCTCTATTGTTACTCCGATTATTATTATCAGTTAAATTCTGTGCCTTGGGACACTACCACCAAAAATAAAATATAATTTTTAAACCTCATCTAAGTAATTTTGAAAAATCCATATTAAACTGCAAAATTTAATATTTAATAGATAAGACAGTATCATGTCGTTTCGTAAAAGGAGTGAAATAATAGGAGGAGGTCCAGCCCCTGCAAGAGGGTTGCCAGGTACTAGACCAATTTCTCAAATTCCTGGAAGATCACTGGTTGGTCCTAATCCTCTTCGTGGAGGACCAAATGTTAGATCAATACCAGGAAGAGATGGTATACGTTCACCTCAACCTCAACCTCAACCTCAACCTCAATCCAAAAAAGAAGAATTTGAACCTATAATCAAGAACATTTCAATTCGTCCATCATTAATAACATCACAACCAACTATATCAACAGGAGTATCTGATTTAGATAAAATATTATTACATCAAGGTTTACCATTAGGAAATTCTTTACTTGTAGAAGAATCTAGTACAACTGATTTTTCTTCAGTCATTTTAAGAGCATTCACATCTCAAGGTATAATTCATAATAGAATTAATAAAGATGAACTTTATTCTCATGTTATAGTTGTAGGAGTTCCAAGTCAATGGGCAAATGATTTACCAGGATTATATAAGGGTTCATCAAAGGAACAAAAGAAAGCAAAAATTGTTGAAAATGAATCTAAAATAAGTGTATCTAATTTATCTACTCGTCAATCATCAACTAGAAATGAAAATGATTTAAAAATTGCTTGGAGATATGGTTTAAATTCAAAACTGCCAGAATCTGAAGATTCAAAAGATATAACTTCTTATGAAAATTATAATCATCAATTTGATATTACTCAAAAATTATCACCTGGTCCTAATGGTAATGAAATATCATTTATACCTATTTCAAATAATTTTATGGTAGTAATTTCTCAAATTGAAGGAATTATTAAGAATCAATTAAAATCAAATCCATCTAAAATTATACGATTAGTTATACCTTCACTTTTAAATCCTACCATCTACAATCCTATACTTAGTACACCTACTTTTATTATACCATTTATACATTCATTAAGAGCTCAATTACGTAAATATGAAAAGAATTTATCATTAATAGCATCAATAAGTTTAGAACTTTATCCTCGAGATTCATCTTTAACTTCAACATTAGAAAATTTATTTGATTCAGTAATTCATTTACAACCATTTAATCAAGCTATGAGTCAATTAATTGAAAGAGCATATAAAAATGAGCCATCAAAGATTCAACAAGGTTTGGTTAATATAATTAAATTACCTGTATTATCTGAAAAGGGATTAATGATGATTCATGAAGGAGAATATGCTTTCAAAAATGGAAGAAAGAAATTTGAAATTGAAGATTGGGGAATTCCTGTTGAAGATGTTGGAAAGGAAGAAGAACAACAAACAACAAAAAAGATTGATTTTTAGGAATTGACATAAGTAAAGTTTGTATTTATATAGAAAAAAAAATACATTTCAAGGTAATTTATTCTCTAATCTATCAAGTTTTGCTATTATTTGTAATTGAGTATTTTGAATCTCATTTATTCTTCTTAAGAGATACATAAATTGATCTCCAGAAATCCCACCTTTAATTTGTTTTTCACCTGCTGTAATTGACGAAGTACTTGAAGATGCCACAAATAGTCGAGATTCTTCATTATCATTATTATTCTTATTCTTATTATTATCATTATTATTATAGTGAGTTTCTTCTGAAAATGTAACTGACTTTGGTTTAGTGGTATCAAGTGCAGAAATCTCATTATTCCTTGCCTCTTGTTCAATATCATTTATATGTTGACGGCGTATGGGGGATCCACTTCTCTTGATGGGAGAAAATTTAGATAATGTTATTGTATTGCCTAGAGTCTTATTTGTATTTGTATTTGTATTTGTATTTGTATTTGTAGTTATACTTTCAGATACTGCAACTCTTCTCTTTGGCAGAACACTATGAGATAATTTACTTCGTGATGGTTCAACAGCGAAAACTTCATATTTTTTAGAATTATCACGCAGATGATCAAATGATGGAATCCTCTTCACTGGAGAGTACCTTTCCTTCAATTTTTGTGGTTCAGGATACTTTGGCATGATTAAGGTTGATGTGGTATGGGTATCTGTGGATGTAAATAAACGCGAACTAAAAATTTGGTGCAAATTTCTGGTGGTGCAAATTGCCAAATCTGTAGAGCGGGAAGGGTCAATTTGAGATTTATGCTTAGTTATATTATCAAAGTATATAGAGACTGTTAATTACCAGAATAGATGTGGATGCAGGATTGTAATGGTTTAGAAGAAACTAAAATGTAAATGTGAGTGTGAGTCTCAGTTACCGTACATAGTGCAATGGAGAACCATCTCTTATGAGGATTTACATAATCACACTTATAGTAATGGACTCTAATTATACAGACAAACCACTGTTAATATGTCTCTCTTTATTCTATGTCGTAGACTTTGCAAAAGCTCAAATGTGAAATGTGAAATGTGAAATGTCTCTGTAGCCGAATACCATGCATATAAAATAACAATTAATCCCAATTAGGAAATGTAATAGTACGCGTCGGATTAAAATTTTCAAAATTTATAAAGAATATACTTTATCCAACCCCATAACCATTCAATTAACTCTTTTATAAACAGTATAGTATTATTGTAAAAGTCCAGTGCTTAAGATGTCATCTCCACCACCGGCTTCCAATTCCAATTCCAATTCCAATTCCAATGCTAATCCTGAAGATACCTCTCATTTGAGAGAGTCTGAATCTTTATCTCAATCTCAACCAGCAGTACCATCTTCACCATTATTCTTTGCTACTTCCTCAAATCCTCCATCCGAGATTGGCCATTCCCAATCACAAATAAGAGATGTATCATCTCCATTACATTATACTTCATCGGCACATCCTACCTCTGAAATTGGTTCAGGAAGAACCAGATCTGATCGATTAACTAGTGAAGTTGATAGAATTATTCGAAGAAATCAAAGAAGTGATTTACATGATGCTACATCATCACCTATGAGAAGAAGAATATTCACTGAATCTACAAATCAAACAAGAGAACCAAATTTATCTTCATCATCAAGAATTGATACTGATCCAACTGAAAATGATGAACCTGTTAGAGTTATTTGGGGTACCAATGTTTCAATTCAAGATTGTCTGAATGCATTTAGAGATTTCTTATTATCTTTTAAATATAAATATAGAAAATTAATGGAAGATAAAGAAGTTGATCCTGAAGATAATGAATTACATTATGTATATCAATTAAATAATTTAAAAGATCTTGGATTAACTAATCTTAATATTGATGCTAAAAATTTATTAGCTTATCCACCTACAAGAAAATTATATCATCAATTAATTAATTATCCTCAAGAAGTAATTCCAATTATGGATCAAACTATAAAGGATTGTTTAATTCAAATAGTTAATGATTCAAATGAATTTGCTAATGATATTCAATCAACTCTTGATATAATTGATACAAATGTTTATACTATTCGTCCTTTTAATATCAATTTTGCTGAAAAGGGTTTAAGAGAATTAAATCCCAATGATATTGATAAATTAGTTAGTGTTAAAGGTTTAGTTATTAGAGCAACTTCAATTATACCTGATATGAAAGTTGCATTTTTTAAATGTAATGCTTGTGATCATACAGTTGCAGTTGAAATTGATAGAGGAGTAATTTCTGAACCAATCAAATGTCCAAGAGAAGTTTGTGGACAAACTAATTCAATGCAATTAGTTCATAATCGTTCTTCATTTGCTGATAAACAAGTTATTAAATTACAAGAAACTCCTGATTTAGTTCCTGATGGTCAAACTCCTCATTCAATTAATTTATGTGTTTATGATGAATTAGTTGATAGTTGTAGAGCTGGTGATAGAATTGAAGTTTGTGGTATTTTTAGATCTTTACCAGTTAGAGCTAATCCAAGACAAAGAGCCATTAAAAGTTTATATAAAACTTATTTGGATGTTGTTCATATTAAAAAAATTGATAAAAAAAGATTAGCAGCTGATTCATCAACTTTAGAACATGAAATTAATGATAAAGAACAAGAAGTTGATCAAATTAGAAAACTTACACCTGAAGAAATTGAAAGAGTTGAATCAATTTCTCAACGTGATGATTTATATGAAGTTCTTGCAAGATCTTTAGCTCCATCAGTTTATGAAATGGATGATGTTAAAAAGGGTATTTTATTACAATTATTTGGAGGTACTAATAAAACATTTAAAAAGGGTGGAAGATATAGAGGTGATATAAATATTTTATTATGTGGAGATCCATCAACTTCTAAATCTCAAATTCTTCAATATGTTCATAAAATTGCTCCAAGAGGAGTTTATACTTCTGGTAAAGGTTCATCTGCTGTTGGTCTTACTGCTTATATTACAAGAGATATTGATACTAAACAATTAGTTTTAGAAAGTGGTGCATTAGTTTTATCTGATGGTGGAGTTTGTTGTATTGATGAATTTGATAAAATGAGTGATTCTACAAGATCAGTTTTACATGAAGTTATGGAACAACAAACTATATCTATTGCAAAAGCTGGTATTATTACTACATTAAATGCAAGAACTTCTATTTTAGCTTCTGCTAATCCAATTAATTCAAGATATGATCCAAATTTACCAGTTACTGCTAATATTGATTTACCACCTCCTTTACTTTCAAGATTTGATTTAGTTTATTTAATTTTAGATAAAGTAGATGAAAATATTGATAGACAATTGGCAAGACATTTAACTGATATGTATTTAGAAGATGCACCTGATACAGTTACTAATAATTATATTATACCTGTGGATTTATTAACCCTTTATATTCAATATGCTAAAGAAAATTTTCAACCAATTATGACAAGTGAAGGTAAAAATGAATTAGTTAGAGCTTATGTTGAAATGAGAAAAATGGGTGAAGATGCTAGATCTTCTGAGAAGAGAGTTACTGCAACTACTAGACAATTAGAATCAATGATTAGATTATCTGAAGCTCATGCTAAAATGAGATTATCTAGAACAGTAGAATTAATTGATGTTAAAGAAGCAGTAAGATTAATTAAATCTGCTATTAAAGATTATGCCACTGATCCAATAACTGGTAAAATTGATATGGATATGATTCAAACTGGTACATCTACAGCTCAAAGAAGAGTTCAAGAAGATTTAACTTCAGAAATCTTAAAAATTATTGAAGAGAATAATAATTTAATTCGATTTAATGATTTAACTATTAAAATTAATGAAAGATCATCTATTAGAGTTGAAAATCATGAAATAAATGAAGGATTAAAAAGATTACAACAAGAGGGTAAGATTATAGAAACTGGTGATGCTCATAGAAGAACCATCAGAAAGATTGCCATTGTATGAATTGTTGGGTGATTTGGATTTATATAACTTTACTTCTTGTGTGTATTAACAATATAATATATGTATAAATAAATTATTAAACTATGTATCATATGAACTTATATGAACTTATAAGAACTAAGAACTTATATGACTTATAAGAACTTACTTGATTCGACTCTTATTGGTTGTGCAGGTATAGAATCTGTCTTTACATCTGTCTTTACATCTGTCTTTACATCTGATTCACTTGTAGCTGTAGTTGTAGTTGTATTTGAACTATTGGATAATTTCTCAACGAATTCATCTGATTCTAATTGAGAATCGGCCATCTTTAAGAATTTTTCAAGTTCTTCATCTACTTCTATATCAGTAACTGTACCATATCTATTCTTTGTAAGAGTATTAGCAATTTTTAATTCTCTTGCTACATCTACTTTATCACCATTCTTTAAATTATTAATTAAATCTTGTAAAACAGTAAATTTTGATTCATGAGTTCGTACTAATAATTCATAATCTTTCTTAGTCTTAATATAATCTACAACCACTGTACCAAGTACTATAGTTAAAAAGAATGATTTAAATATTGGAGCTCGAATAAGATCTCGAACTTTTGGTCGAGATCTAATAAATTGTTTAGTAGTTGTACCATTAAACCGCACTCCCTGCCATCTTGTTAAATTCCTTCTAAACATTTGGTAATGCGAACGTTTGTTTGTTCTGTTGTGCAGTGCAGTGCAGTGCAGAGTTGTATTATAAAGTTACAAACTAATTACAGAGACAGTTTTTCTTTTCTATGATATCACCAAAGGCATCATTTTTTCTTAGTGTGTTCAAAGGAATCGCAACTTAGTTAAATCATTAATTCTTAACTATTAACTAAAATTAATTAACTAAATTAATTAACTAAATTCACATTCATTACCTAATGAAAGTCCCTAAAGTTACCAGTATACTTTTAGTAGTTCTTGTATCTTTAACATTTCTTAATTTTGTACTAAAATATTATACATATTTTGTATTAATTGTATCATCATCAAAACAAAAGGCTGATGAAGTTAATGCAATAGCTCAAGAAACTGGTGAAGTACCTCATCCTCATGAATTATATGTACCATTATTAACATTTATTCCAACCAAATCTTCAGTATTATTACGACCTTGGGTTATAATTACTAGTAGCTTTATAGAAGAAAATTTTATTGGACTTACAACAAGTTTCTTATTATTATTTTATCTTGGTAAATATCTTGAAAATTTATGGGGACCAGAAGAATTTAGTAAATTTATATTTACAAATATTATTGCATCTAATATTATAATATATTTATATTATAATTTAAAATCAATAATATTATTTAATTCAGAAATTGAAGTACCACCAGTTGTTTTATCAGCTATGGCAATTAATATGGGATTATTTGTAGCAATTAAACAAAGAATTTCAAATCATTATTTTATATTCTTTAAGGGAAATTTAAGAATTAAAGTTACATTCTTACCATTTATATTATTGGTTATATGTTTTATATTACAATTATTAAGTGAAGAATTTTATATATCATTTATTTTAAGTAATTTGGGATTTATAATAAGTTGGATTTATTTAAGATTTTTTAAATCAGGAACTAATGATAGACAATCATATATTTTACCATTTGCACTTAATAGAAGAAGGAGTAAAATGGTTAAACCACAATTTAATGAAGTTCTTATAATTCATAATGGAAATTCTTTACATAATGAATCTCAATCTCAATCATCACATTCACAATCTCAATCTCAATCTCATTCTCAATCTCATTCTCAATCTCATTCTCATTCTCAACCACCAATTCAATTAGAAAGTGGATTAATTAAAGGTGATAGATCAGAACAATTTTCTTTATATACATTTTTCCCATCCCCAATTTCAATATTTATTAAATTTATGAGTAATTTAGTATTTACTACATTGGTTAATCATCAATTAATTGATGCTAATAATTTTATTAATTATGATGAAGAAGATGATAATGAATTAATGTTTGAAGATGTGGATAATTTACAAACTGGTTTATTTGATTTATCTCCATTAAAGGGAGCAGGAAATGTATCAGCCATTCCCAATGCAAGTTCAACTATAAATAAAATTTGGGATTGGGCATGGACTAAACAAGTAACTACAAAACCTTTCAGCATTAAAACTAGCATGGATAAAAGGCGAAAATTAGCTTTACGAGAATTGGAATAAATCTTTTCTATATGTATATAAACAATAATAATAAATAATCAATAATCAATAATCAATAATAATCAAATAAACCAGTTAAGCAGTGGATGTAGTGGTGGTTTCATACTCATTAATATATCTCTTAACAAATCCTAATAATAAATCATTTCTATCATACCAATTAATATTATTAATATTATTAATATTATCAAGACTATCAATATTATAAATTAATCGAATATTCCCAAGTAAATATTGAATTTGTTTAATTCGTTTTAAATCAATCCATTGTTTAATAGATAGTAAATACCAAATAGATGATTTTCTAAATCGTGTTAATCCTGTAACTGAAGTACTGGTAGTAGGATTCAATTTATAAGGATTATGATAATAACCTTCTTCATTTTCTGGTTCATCCTTTTCTGATTTTGGTAATTTTTCTTGATTAAATTTATCTATATTTAAATAATGAAGATTGACTTCACTAATATAAGTACATTTACCTAATGTATAACCTAATCTTTCAAAAAGTACTGCCCGAATTGCTTGAGGTGTTGAAGATGATAAATGATTATCAAATTCATCAATTAATTTCCGTAAATATCTTTCCACTAAATCATTAAAAAACCATGATACATTAAATGCTGTTGATATACATAATAATAATTCAATTATAATTATTATAGTTCTTAAACTATAAGTTTTAATATTTAATCGAGATTTAAATGTATAAGATAAATTATCAATATATGGTTCAATTATATCATGACGAATTCTTCTTAAAGTATTTTTATCAATTGTATTAATATTACCTTCTTGAGTTTGGGCAAGTAATAATGATACAATACACATTTCTTGAATTGATGCAACATAAACCCATGCTCGATCATTTGTATAATCCTTTTTAATTAAATCATAAGTTGAATAAGCATATTTAAAATCTTTTAAAATTAATGACCAATCAGCTAATTTCCTAATGATTTGTTCAGAACTTGATTTATGATAATAATGTTCATTATAATTAAAAGATCCTGAATTTATATTAGAGTTTGATGAATTATTTAAGTTTGAATCACTGTTATTATTATTATTATTGTTACTATTATTATTGTTATTAAATAATTTTCTTGATACAGAAAAGATTCTTCCAGTAATTGATTTCTTTGGTTGTAATCTTTGATCATCCCATAATCTAATCTTTGTTTGCATATGAGGTATTAAATATTTATTTATAAATTCAAATAATTTATTTCGAATTATTGAATCAATAGATTTAGGAATTTGAATATAATTAGTTGAAGGAATTGAATTTGATGATTGTTCTTGTAAGGCAATTCTTTGAAGATCTTCCTCAATAGTTGAATTTTCAATTATTGATAATTTAACCAATGAATCATTTGATAAAGGTTGAATTATTGGAATTATTGAAGAATTTATATTTAAAGTTGATCTAATTTGATTTTGAAAATTAAATAAATCATTAGTCAGAAATTTATTTGAATCATATAATATAAAAGTATGAATAAGTAAATCATCAATTTGAAAGAATTTTGGAAATGAAAAATTTCGAAATTCTACAATCATTTTTCGAAGACTTTCAATTGAATCATTTTCAAAATCCACTATAAATATTTGAGCAATTGGATGATTAAAAGTTTCAAATGGTACTATTTTATTTGATGTAATAATTTTATTATAAAATGCAAGATATAATTCTTTATCATGAGATGTAAGGGATAAATGTTTTAATAAGACTTCTAAAGAACTTATACTAAATAATTGATTTAATGGTTGACCACCTGATGGAGTTGTTGAATTATTAATATTGGTGGTTGTGCTGGTGCTGGTAGTGGTAGTAGTTGAAGAATTAGATTGAGATATTGAACTTGAACTTGTATTATATACCGATAATAATTCAGGTAATGAAGGTTCAAATCGGACAGGGAAACTAGGATAAGATTTTGTAATTAATTGACTATTGGTAATCTTAAACAGTTGATTCGGTATACTATATCTTGCATTATTACCATAAGGTTTAAAGATTTGTAAAGTTGAAATATCATTATTATTTAAAATTGATTGAAATAATATATCGGAATTAAGTGATGATTGAATTGATATTAATGGAGAATAAGTATGATGTAATAGATGTTGTCTGGCCGTATATGGATCTAGACCCTTAGGGTAGTCCATTATAAGTTAATAAATTGATATTAATTAATAATTAATGATTATATGAGTTAGGGTTAATGTTAGTACAGTCAAATTGTAAACTGTAAATTATAAATTTATAAATGGTAAACCATTAAACCTGTAATTCGAAGCGTAACCAGTAAATCAAAGGAACTAATATGTAATGTGTCTGAAACATACCTAATTAGGATCGGATGTCAACAGATCAAGAAAATATCAATAAACAATAATTCTCAGCTGCAACAAATACGAAAGCGAGAACAAGGCACAACATCCATACCACAATAAGTATCCATCATACTATAAAACACGGTACAGAGAATGAATAAGAATACGAGTCACGAGTACGAGTTTGAAGTAGAAATTAAAGGCTTAATGGTAAGGGTATTGAATAAAGAAAGAAAGACCAATAGTAACCAATAATAATTAAATAATTATAAAATAAATAAATATATAAATAAATAAATAAAATTAATTAATTACTCTATTAGAAACAACTAACTATATAGAGTCAACTAACTACATGATAGATGTAAACCATGCATAATACCCACCGTAAACTCCTTTATTACGCATAAGCATATCATACTCTCACATTACTATCACTATCTGTAATTCTCACTATTTTCGCCTGCTGTCTCACTCTTTCCTCGCTGTCTCTGTACTCTGTCTCTGTCTCTTTCTTACCGTCTCTCGTTCCTTCCTATACAGACACTCTCTCGTCAAGCCAATAAAAAAAAAAAAAAAACTTAAAATAAATTTATCAACATAACAGACCATCTTCTTCACCGTCTTATACTGTCAGTGAGTGGTCCAACCAGTAGATCACAGCGTAGATAGTTGTTTTCCATTCATAGTCTTTCATTAATACTTTCTACTTATACTTATACTTCTTTTATCAGTCATTCGTTACTTTCGTTAATTCAAATTTATTTCATTTTATCTTTTATTAATTTTCAACTAATTCAAAAAATACTAATTACTATAGCATATTCATAGCATGTTGACTATAATACAACGGCATGTTCAACTGATTCTTATAGTTTTACTTTGTTATAATACTTTGGTAACTGCCCAATTCCAATCAGTACTACTACCACAACTACAGTATGATCAATTTGGAGGTTTATTAGGCTTATTTGGTTCATTCAATTCCTTATCCCTTTATTCATACTTGAATGCTTCATCATTTTTACAATCAGACACATCCACCACCACCACCACCACCACCACCAACAACAATAACAACTTATTCTTAAGAGATACTACCAATAACTTTAATACACAAATTGCCAGTGTAAATGGAATTATTTCTCAAATATTACCATTAACAAATGATTCAATTATAATTAATGGAAATTTTACTACGTTTAATAATCAAACAGTCATAAGTCCAATAATATTTAATATAACATCAAATGAAATAGAATCTATAGTTGCATCTTCTTCATCTTCTCGTAAAAGAGATAGTGTTCCAACTTTTACAAATGGTACAGTAAATACTATGTATGTTGATAATGATATAATTTATTTGGGAGGAGATTTTGAATTTAATGGAACTTATGGTGCCGCCATTTATAACCAAACTTCAAAACAATTATCTTCAACTCCATTTCTTGGATTTGGACCTAATTCAGTAGTTAATGCAATTGCTAAAGTATTTGAAGATGATAAAGATGAAGTTAATCAAGGTTCAATAATATTTGGAGGGAAATTTAATACTTTAGGACTTCTGAATCTTCTTTTACATAATACAACTAGTAATTCATCTAAAATTTCATTAAATGAAACTTCTAATGGTTCAATAATAACTGCAGAACAATTAATTTCTTTAAGACATGGAATATTTACTAATGTAAATGGAGTTCCTAATCAAGATGAATCTTCAATAATTTGTCCATCTAATGGTAATACATTTTCTATTGATCCAAATCAAGGGGGTGAATGGTTAGTTGAATTACCCGATGAAATGAAAGGTATAACTCCTACCAAGGCAAGATTATATATTCCTCCTGGTGATAATGGTATAAAACTTTTTAGAATTTATTCTTATCCTAATAATGGGATTATGAATCTTTCATATATTGATCCTTCAACTAATGAAATTACATTTTGTGATGCTTGGTGTCCTTTACTTACTGCAACAGATTTAGAAAATTTTGCTAATTATAATAAGCAAAATCTTAATACAACCAATAAAACAAATTCAATTTTTATTGATGATAATGGTTCATTAAGTATGTATTATGATCCATCAACTAAAACTAAAACTCTTGGTTATGGAGCAGGATTTCAAGAATTTGCCTTTGTAAATGATGTAGGAATTGATCAAATTGGGGTAACTATAATTGATTGGTATGGAAGTAATGGAGTTCTTGGAGGGTTTGAATTATATCAAAATGCCATATATGTTTATGGTAATGATACATTAAATCAACCAAATTGTGATAAAGATGAAAGTACAAGAAGTTTATCAATAATTAATTCAGGAAATTTCGAATCAATTCAATCATTAGATTCATCAGTTACAATTACTGATTATTTAGTTTCACAAGGTATTGATTCCAAAATAACTCTTTATCCAAATATATCATATTCAGGAAATTATTCAATTATAATGACAACTCCTGGTTGTACTTATGATAATTCATGTTCACAAAGATCAATTGTAAATGTTTCAGTTATTGATTTTAATGATAATATTTTAACTACTAATTTAATATTTCAAAATAATAATAATAATAAATTTGATTATTTATTTTATGGACATTTAAATGGTACATCTGATTCAAATGGAGGACAAAATAGAATTGAAATATCATTTTATAATACTATTATTCCTAATACTAATAATCCTTGGATTGTAGTAGATAAAATAATTGCTGATATTGTTACCTTGGATAAATATTATGATATGAATTTAAATAATTCATCTCATAAAAATTCTTCATTATCTTATGATTTAACTCAAATTAATTTAAATGGATTATTTGAATATTCTTTAGCAAATTTTACAAATTTTGATGAAAGTTTAGTATCATATATTGATAAAAATAATAATCAAACAATAATTCCTTTAACTAATACATTTGTGGGGAATTCTTCAATTAATATTTTAAGTTCTCAATTATCAGAAAATTCTATAATTAATCAAATTACATTGACAAATAATACGTCTAATGCAGTTGGTAATTTAATTTTATTAGGAGATTTTCAATCTAATTCTAAAAATTTAACTTTAACAAATTCAAATATTATTAATTTATCGCTTGATAATTATAATTCAACGGCTAATGAATCAGATATAAATTTAATTAATAAAAAATTTATTAAAAGAGCTACTGATTCTCAAACTATATTTGGAGGAGAATTTAATAATTCAATTTCAAGTATAATTAATTATAATAATGGATTTATATTATTAGGTCAATTTAATATTGCTGGGAATAATTTCCGTAATTTATCTAATAATAATAGTAGTATAAATTCAATTAATAATTTTGCCTTATATTCTCAAAATCAATTATATGGATTTGGTAATTCATTTATTGATAAAAATTTTGATCAATTTTCAAATTTAACAATTAATAATCATGAATATTTTATATTTTCTTCATCTCAAGATTCATCATTATTTAAAACTTGGGATAATACAATTCAATCTTGGATTACTAATGGTAATTATCAATTAAATATTTCTCAAGCAACTAATGTTGGATCTCAACAACAAATTATTGGAGGTCAATCATTTAATATTATGGATTGGTATAGTAATGATCAAGCTTATATTAATAGTTCATCAAGTTTTAATTCATTTAATTTTCAAGTTGATTCAACTAGTTCTAATTCAAGTGAAATTAATAATTCTTATTATGTTAATAATACTTTAAGTATTATTGGAGGTAAATTTCAAACTTCTAATATTCAAAATATTGCATTTATTTATAATTCTACAAATAATGGAAGTGTAACTGATTTAGATAATATAACTTGGGGTCAAAATACTACTATTGAAACATTATATGTTGATAGTACTGGTGAATATTTATTTATTGGTACAAATGGACCTGTTGAAGTTAATAATAATAATATTACTGGGGTGGTTATTTATGATTTAATGAATAATACATTTACAAGTTTCCAACCAGCAGAATTATCAAATCAAGATGGTTCAATAATTGAAGTTAATTCTATTGTTTTATATGATTCTGGAAGTAAACTTTTAGTTGGAGGTAAATTTTCTCAAGCTGGTTCATTAGATTGTTCAGGATTATGTGTTTATGATCTTGTGAATACTAGATGGATTAATCCTCAAAATGATAATAGTAATGGAACTGTTAGTGGTACTGTTACAGATATTAAATTTTATCTGTCAAATAATGTATTAATTAGTGGTAATTTAACAGTTAATAATAATCCAGTTAATTTCATAACTTATGATTTTACCAATGAAATTTTTAATATTAAATCATCTTTAAATTTATTAGGTTCAGGAAAAGTTGTTCAAAAATTTATTTTAAATGATTTTAATAATGTAAATTTAAATGGTAGATTAGTTGCTTATGGTGATGATTTTATTTATGGATTTGATGGTTCTAATTGGTATGAAATTGATGAAGAAATTGAATATGATAATTCAACATCATTTAATGATATTAAATTATTAACCCTTGCTAAAGATTCAAATTATAATCAAACTTTATTTGATAAAGATATGATTGTTGCTCTTGCTGGTACATTTTCTTTAACAAATTATGGGCTTGTAAATCTTGCCTTATATAATGGAACTAATTGGGTACCTTATATTTTTACATCTAATTCATCTAATCAAATTGGATCAATTAAATCTTTATTAATTGAAGATTCTTATAGATTCCAATCTTCTGATGATATTTCTGGTCCAAAACATTTATCAACTGGTAAAGTGGTTGGTATTTCAATGGCTTGTGCCTTAGGTTCAACAACCCTTATGGGACTTCTTTATATAATTCCTTATTTTGCATTATTTAGAAAGAGGGATAATGAAGGTACAGAAAGAATTCATGAAAATGAGATGATTGATGCAGTAAATCCAGAAGATTTATTACATGAAATTGATATTCAAAGAAATAACTAGTGCATTTTAATTCTCTTGTTCGTATTGTTTTAATTATATTTTATATTTTGTTTGCTTTTAAATACATTTAATCCCGTTTATTTCTAGTGTTTTGCATCCATCAAATGGCTGCAACATTTTTGGTAATGGCGCGCTTTTTCCTACTGCAAAAAATATTACCTCTTGTAGCAATCTTTGTACATCACTTGTACTTTCTGACAATATATTTACTGCAGCCAGGCAAAGCTTCATAGCTTTGAAAACAAGTTAACCAATACCCAATATGGATAAGAAAGGTCTAGGATTATCACCATCTGCAAAATCAAAAAAAGTATCTAAGAATAATAATAATGCAAATGTCCCTAGCGCCAAGTCATTCATGGCTTCCTTTGATGAAAGTGATATCCGTCATATTCCATTAACAAAGGCTCACTTCTTTGATGCTTATTCAAAAGTTTGTATTATACTTCCATTAATTTGTTAGGTAGCATTATCGATTATGATTATGATTATTAACCAATAACATATTTAGGGTAAATGGAATCTTTCTCAAGTCCCATGTCCACCTTGTTTAGAAAATGATGGATTTATGCAAGCACCTCAATGTTATAATGAATCATCTCGTACCAAGCCAGTAGAGAAATATAAGAAATTAGATCATTGGAATGAAAAATGGTTATTTAAAAAATTAATAATGAGATTACGAAAGACATTTGAAGTTTCTGGTGTGTCTATTTCTTTAATTGAACATAAAAAGACTTTGGTTAAGATTGAAACGTTACTTGAATTAACTGAGATACCTCGAGAAATTTCCCTTGATTCTCATGCTATCCTTTCTCAAGGTTATTTTTTATTACTTGATGCTACTAAGGATTGGAGAACTTCTAGGAATCCACTTGTTAGTGGGATACCTTATATTAAATTTTATTGTGGAGTACCTTTAATAACTGCAAAAAATGAAATTATTGGAGTTTTATCTATTTTTGATTCATCTCCCAAGATTGAATTCCTGGATGAAAATCGTAAGAAACTTCAAAGTTTTGTTAAAGAAATTATGACTTTATTAGATTCTCCATTAGATCAATTAAGAGCAATCCAAAGAAAATCTAAAGATAGTATATCTCAACTTACAAGTGAATTAAATGATTTAAGTTTAAAATTAGGAAGAGCAACATCAACAAAATCACAATTAATGACAGTTTTTGAAAAGGATGGTTCCGGTAGTCCTTATTCTCAAAATCATAATTTCAGATTCATGAAGATTTCAAAAAGAGATAAGAACAATGATGATGGTAAGTTTGATGAAAAGAAATTATGGGATAAATTAGTAAAGACGGGATCATTAAAGAGTGCAGCTTCAACTTTAGCAGTAACATTATCTAATCAGTTCAAAAAGTCATTTGTTTATGTATTGGAAATTAGGATTGCTGAACCATATCAAATTCCATCTGAATTCTTTCCAAATAGTGAAAATAAGATTGAGGCAGAGAATTATAGATATGCTAATAAACTAATAAAACAAGCTAAATCTGAAAATGAATTTATGACAAGAATAATTGGCTTTCATGGTTCTTCAAATAATACCTTAAGTTTAGAAAATAGTTTTCTTTATGAAGCTTTTACATCCGAATTCGGTATAAATTATACAAATCCTAAAGGAAATACCATGTTTAATAGTGGGATAATAATGCCCTTTTATAGACATAATTCAAAACTTGTTAGAAAGACTAAAGATAAAGATAAGAAATTGATAGATGTTTATTTACGTAGTGGAGGGTACTTGATTTTAATGCTTAGTGAATCAATTGATTCTACGCTCACAAATGAAGACTTATCAAGTATATTTATGCATACTGCTATATTAAGAAAAATTTATATAACTAGTTAGGGTTTAATTTTACATACCATGTTCTCTCATTAACTCCATTTGATAGTCTTCATCTTCTTCAAACTCTTGTTCATCTATTGATGGGACATTACCAGCTTGACTACTTACATTTATCAGTAGATATTCTTCGTCATTATCAGAAAAGATATCTTCTTCATTTTTATCGGTATTTGAAGGTACTGGATCTGAAGTTGGATTTTGTGACGGAGTATGGTATAAATCGTCATCATCATCAACGAAAAGACCATTTGAAGTGTGATTAATGCTGTTATCATTGTTATTATCATTATTATTATTATTACTATTACTATTATTATTATTATTATTATTATTATTATTATTATTATTATTATTATTATTATTATTAGAATCATTTGTATTCATAAATTCCCATTCGTCATCTACATTTGATGTCGTTGTAGATGTTGCAGTTGGACTACCATCTTCATTTTGTCTAGCACCAATCTCAGTGTTAGAATATGGTTCATCATCTATTATTCCCTTCTCTATCTGTAACTTTTTAATCTCAGTTTCTATTAATTGCCTTCTATAAAGTCTTAATTGAGGAGACTTTGCACCTAATTTTCTCAATAAATGTGTACAATCCTTAAAATTTGCCTTTGGGAATAATCCATGACACCATAATTGATAAAATTGTAATACTGCTGAAAGATTATTATATTCATGCTCTAATCTTACTGAATGAGGTATTCTGGAATTATTAGGGAATTTCTTTTGTAAATTTGAATCGGCTTTCTTAATTGACTTTATTAGTTGTCCTTGATTCTTTATAATATACTTTAACCCTGTCTTATCATTAAATATTCTCAGATTATCTAATCGAGCAACTTTGACTCTCTTAGTTAATTTAATGTCTGAATCAAGACCCAATACGTCATCATTCTGATTTTGATTCTGATCTTTTCTTTGACTTGACACATTATCTCTTGAGTCTAATTGACTTAATTGTAAATCTTCCATTCTTAATCCTTTTGGTGGTACTGCTACTTTACCTGAACTCTTCTGTAAATCTTCAATTTATCAATAGCTTCGAAATATTTATATTTACGTAAACAAACGCGTACAATTTTTTTTGCACCTTTCTACACATGAACTTTTCTATGGGCACCAATAGTAACTCTCTTGTTCAATTAATTCCTTAATTAGTATAACAACTATAACATAACCTATTGGTACCAGAATGGTACTGAGCGTATTTGTACATACATATAGTATAACGAGAGTGTAGTTTATGTTAAAATTGTCAGTAATTAATGGGGACAGACTCCAGGCATTAACGGAAGTCATCAGAAAAGTGAAAAATTTCCCCCACTAATTTAACCAATTATAATTATTAAAGTTATTAAGCTAACAAATTTCTGACCATTCAATGTATGTAGCTGAGAATTTGACTCGATTGAATAAAATCTCTGTAGTTACAGAATATGATGGTCAAACGGTTGAATCGATTGGACGATTTAGTATGTCAGGACAAGATATAGAAATAGAGAATAAGAATTCAAAGTATATTACAAAGATACATTTACCAATAATAATACAAGAACAAGAACAACCACGAATATCAGGACTTCTGATACCTACAGGAGGTATATTAAGCTTTTCATTAAATCTCTCATCAAATCCAAATGATTCTCATGACCATGGAGAATCATTTATGACTCAAACTAATCAATTGTGGTCTTGTAAAGATCTTAAATTAAAGACTCCAAAAATAGATACATACAATCAATTCAATTTTAATTGTCTATCATGTAATAATATCTTAATAGATTCAAAGAATTATAAGTTTCTTGATATGCCATCTGAATTTTGGTATGAATTAATGGATTTTTGGCATTGTCATAAACCAGATAATCATGATGAACATGATAAAAATTATAATGCATCTCTTAGACCTCCTGATGATAAGAGTATTATAATTGGTAGTAATTATTTATTAATTAATAAGTGTGAAAAAATAGAAATTTTAAATGCAAAAGTGATATGTCATCAATGTAAATCTTTAATTGGAGAGATATACGAGAATACAGCTAGAATATTTAAATGGAAAATATATTTACTGTATGAAAAATCAGGTAAGATAAAGGAGACATTTTCATCTTATTTCTTTGTCTATGATTTATTTATTAATAGAATTAATTCAACGGCTTCGAGAAAATTTAAATTTATTATTGATAATGTTGCTTACTATTTTTGGGTTTTAGGAGTTGGAATTAATGTATCTGTTGAAGAAGAAGTACTTGGAAATGCTTTAAAATTAGTTTTCCGTAGTAATGATCAAGTTGATCAACTTGATCAAGATGATGATGATGAATATGAATACTTAGCTATACCGTATAATGATATTTTCAAAGACTTTTACAACTACATTATGAGAATTAATAGTAAAATTCCCGGATCAAATAAATATGTCTATCTAGATTCTACAAAATATTTAGTTAGTTATCTTTCTCAAGAATCTCTTTAACTATAGGAACAACCTGTTTTCTTGAAGCTTTAATATTCACTTGATTGTAGATTTGTAAAACTCCTCCCAATGATTGAACATTCTCAAGTCTCTTTTCTAACTTATCTATTTTATAAATTTCTTGATTTAATTGAAGTGGTTCCCTGGCCAATTCATTTAAATTATCAAACTTGGTGTTTCCCTTTCCTTCATAGTAATAACAGAATTCTCTTGTATATTTGTCATTTTCCTTTTGAGTATAAGAAGATGTAATAATCAAAAGGTCTAAATTAAATGTTTTAAGGAATGTACTTAAGGTTTTATGAATATCTTCTGCTGTATATGTCTTAAATACCCAATGAAGTGATTTACCTATGGAAGAAAATCCCACATTTTCATTGCTAGTAAATTTAAATTGCTTATAATCTTTACGAAGTATATCTTCAAATTTAAATCCTGATAAGTCCTTCTTGGCAGTTTTTAATGATTTGTAAAATTCATTAAATAATTGTTCATTTGATGTGAAAGTTTCTGACTTTGTAGTAAATTGTTCAACATCAAGAGTAAGAAGTTCTTTATATAATGTAAAGGCAAATACATCACCTTCTTCTACTTTTTGAGTCATATTGGATGTATCAATTAATAATGGACCAAGTAAAAGTTGTAAAATTTCTGAATGATGTTTAAATAAAGATTTATTTTCATTAAGCCTTTGATACCAATATTTAAATACCAACGATGAACAAGATCCATTTGAATGAATAATTCGAGGATTAGCATCTAAAAACACTTTTTCATCATCATGATGATCAATAATACTAGTAATTTTCAATTTACCTTGATTAAGAAATTTTGTTAATATATCACCTTGAATATTACAATGATCAACTAAAATTACATGGGTAATTTCTTTAGTATTAACTAATTGTTCAAAATCTTCAATAAAATATAATAAATCTTCATCTATAGAATGAGTTTTTAATAACAATTCAATATCTCTTCTAAGTTTAAGATCTGTCTTTGGGATATTAATTAATGGTATAATATATGATGTATTATTTTCAACATTACTTAAATAAGAATATGAAACTGCACTAATTACTGAATCTAAATCAGCTGATTGATTCCCAGTAACAAATTGATAAGGTAATTTCAAACTGTTTGATTCAAGTTGACTTTTCAAACTTTTTAAAAATGTCCTTACTGACATTATGTGTGTTACTGTTACTGTTACTGTTAAATGTTTAATGGTTAATTATTGGTTTACTATGGCTAATATCTATTTTTCCATGGCCGGTACGTACTCGAGCGCTAGCAGTTAAACTAAGCTAAACACTTTTATGCGACTTTAATTACTTTATATACTGTATGTACTTTATTTAAAACTATACAAAATCAATCTGCGAGGGGGGTGCATTCGTTTGGCTCATTACTCATTATTTGGCGTAATGTAACTTAATATCAAACCATTGTCTGGCCTTGACTTCTTCAACAGTTAAGGAAACATCACCATAAGTTAATGGTCTGAAATAAAAGAAAAACCAAATTATACCACTTGATAAAAGGGCAACAACAATGGAAATCTTAATTTTTCTAACTCCCTTTGGTGAGCCATCATTAATTCTTGTATTATTTGAACAAATAAATTCAATTAATGCACCTGAAAATAATGCAGCAATTAAATGTGCTGGTAAATAATGATGAACGAATTTTTGACGATTCATTAAAAAGAATGGGAAATAATGTGAACCCCAACCAATAAATAAAAATCCTAATGTATTATATAATCTTGATCTTGCTGGATCACTTAAAATTAAAATATCACGTCTACGAGTAATTTGATCAGCTAATAATAATCCAACATAAATTGCAAGACATGCAACTTCTATCCAATAACCAATAATATTACCAGTAAAGAAAATTTGTTTTCTACCTTCATTATCATTATAAAATGAAACACCTGATAATGCTAATGGCCATGAATTTGGTTGAGAAGCAAATGGATGTTCAGATGATAAAATATTATTATGATGAAACATTAATCCTTGTAATTCCCACCATTTTTTAAGAAATGGCATAGTTTTAACCTTTTTTGGAATAAATTTATTTCTTTTATCACTAGCTGGTAATCCAACAATTTCATCAATTACCCAAACATTATCTCTATCAGGAATCTTTTTATTACCACTAACTTCTTGATGTCCAAATCCCCAACCTGGTAATAATTCATCATTATGAGTCCACATTGCTACAACTGTATCAACATGAAGAATTCTTAATGGTGAAGCCTTTGTTTTAATTAATTTTCTTTTATTTTTATTTTTAGTTGATCCACCTTCTGCATCTCTTAATCTAAATAATGTTTGATTATAATGTTTAATAATATCATCACCATGAATAACAATAAATTCTTCATTTGTTGGTTTTAAAGGTGATGCAACATCATGAGCTAATAAATAACCATTTGTTCCAACATGTTTAAGTCTTACAATATCATTTGTAAAAATATCAATACCCTTTTTACCATTTGGATCAGTTGGTTCAATAATCCATTGATTATTAACATCTGATCCTATATCATCATTCACATCAAGAACACAAGTAACTTGTTGTTTGGCAGAAGAAACTCTACCATCTTCATAACGTAATGGATAATTAAATTCATGAGAATGTAAGAAAGCTTCAGTATCTTTATGTTTAATTGTAATTGTATCATAAAATTGAATTGGTTTGGAAAATTTAGCTAATGGAGATTCAAGTAAAGTTTCTTGAAATGCTACTGACATAAATCCATCACCTGGACCTGATCTAGTAAGAATTGCAAAATGTAAATAAAACCAAAATAAATAAATTGTAAATGGTAAAATAATTAATGCAAAGAATCTACTAAAGAAATGTTTTGAAAATTCCCCTAATGTTAAACCCTTTTTAATATCAAATAAAATCCATAATTCATGAATTACAGCAATTCCAACGGTTACAAAAGTAAATACACCAACATATTTAGTTGAAATAACACAAGAAAGTGAAACACCAGTAGCAATTAACCAAATCCACCAATTTTTTGAAAATGGAGCTTTTCTATAAGTTGAAAATTTTGTATAAGAAAATACACTTAATGCAACACTTAAATTTAATGTTGCATCTAATAAAATTAATCTACTATCAGCAACTTGAGCATTATCAAAACATACAATAATTGCTCCAAATATACAAGCAGGTATTGAAAATCCTAAATTTTTTAAAGTTAAAAAATTAATTGGTACAATAGCAGTACCTTGAATTGCAGAAAGTGATCTATAAGCAATATATGGTACACTATATTCAATATATGAATCACCAATATTATCAAATTTAAATTTCCCATTATAACCAATTAACCAACCAACAAATGCAATTAACATTTTTGCAAATGGAGGATGTAAATCAAAAAAATATGTTCTTTCTAAATAATATGAAGCAAATTTACCAAAATGAACTTCATCAAATACAACTTTATCAGGTACACTAATTTTATTAAATCTTGTATAAATTGCTAAAATTGTTACAATAATTAAAGCAATAAAATATTTAGTTTCTGAATCAACTTGACTAATAATTGATTTCTTTTCAATTTCATCTTCCTCTTGGTGAGTCACACCAGAAGAAGTCTTTTTATTTACTCCACGTCTCTTAACAGTAGACATGTTTCTGTTTCTGTTTCTGTTTCTGTTTCTGTTTTGTCTGGTTACCAATTGGTGATTGTATGTATTATTGTTTGTTAATTAATTACTGGTATAAATTTACATCAACTACTGCGAAACTTTTCACGACACGTAACCAGAAAAAAACTCCATGCGCACTGTCGTGCAGAACCATCTGAATTATTTGTGGCATAATGTACATGTACATATTATGTGTGTATTATGTACATATTAGTATATTATATGTGTATTATGTATTATATCGTATATTATATGTGTATTATGTATTATATCGTATATCGTATATTATATATATATGTGTATTATGTATATTATGTGTGTGTATATTATATATATATATATATTATATATGTATGTATACCACTTACATAATCTTCTTAGATCTCTTTTGTAGTCCTCCTCTACCTCTAATTATAGGTTGTTGCAGTTGTTGTTGTAATTGTGATTGAAGTTGTTGTTGTTGTTGTGATGCTGGTGGCTGCGTTTGTCCCAAGAGATTCAGTGAATTGGCTCTCATAACAATAGGTTGTTGAATTGGTACAGCGGGTTGACCATAATGATTATGAGGATAATTACCAAACATAGGCAGCTGTAAGATATGAGGATTTGGAGTAGATGGTGGTGGTGAAACCAGATCAAGTGATGAATTAGATCTACCCTTTTCTGTTTCAAGTCCTTCATTAAATTCTCCTGTAGAAGTTCGAGATACTCTCATTGGGATTCTATTATCCATTACTCTACCATAACCTAAACCTGAACTTGAACCTGAACCTGAAATAGGAATTGAAATTGGTTTAGATGATGATAATTGTAATATCTTAGAATTTTTATCTTCTAATAATGCTTCATATTTTAAAATTGTAGTAGATAATTCTTGAATCTTTTTATCATAATGTGATGTAAATACATTCAAATTTTCATTAAGATCCATCTTAGAAGATGCAAGTTTATATTCATAATTTTTTTGCATAGTTTGATATGCTTCATGAGCTCGATTTAATTCTTGACCAATTTTAGAATTTTTATTTTGTAATTGAAGAATCTCTTCTTTTAATGTATAAAGTTTCTTATCAACTTCTGATGTATCAGATTGAGAATTAATGGAATTGTCTATAATTTCAATCGGTTGTTGATATTTATCACTAACTTCAATTTCTTTAAGTTTTATTCTCAAATTTTCTATTTCAATTTCCTTTCGAGGTAATATAGATTCCATGAGTTGATTTATTTCAATTTTAATTGATTTATTTTCATCAGTAACTTCTTCATACAGATACTTTAATCTTTCATTGGTTTCTTGTAAACTCTTTAATTGATTAGTTAAATCAATTCTTTCCTTTTCAAATTCAATCTTTTTATCATTAAATTCAATTTGAAGCTTCTCTAAAGCTTCAAGTAAATCTTGTAAATTATTATTTAATTCTTGAATTTGTACCATATTATTCTTATGAGCAATGGATTGGAAATGTAAATTAGCTTCTCTTAATAATTTATTCATCTTTAATTTAAGTTTTATATAATAAAACTTATTTAAATGTTTCATATAACTTGAAAATTCAAGAGCATTTTTCATCAATAATAATTCTCTTTGATAATAATCCAAGGCAGATCCATTACCATTTGAGATATTATTATTACTATTACTATTACTATTTAATGTAGATATTCCTGAACTACTACCAATAGATCCTTTATGTATGGCAGCAGTAGTGGTTTCAACAGATGTAGTAGGTGAAGATATTGGTTTCTGTATTCTAACTTCAGATTTTAAAATAGATGGTTTTCTAGCTAAATCAGTAGAACTTAATTTTGATTGTGGACCAAAAAGTTTTTCATGAGTTGATAATAGATCAGATATTGGTTCTTCCAGTTTTTCAAATGGATGAAATTCAATATTACTAGTATCAATATCCGGTTTAGTTTCATTAAATTTTACATCTTTAAATAAAACACTTCCTCCTGAATCCTTTTGATCAATCACAAGATTAGTAGGTACTACTGACATTTTTCTTTGAATATTTTGAAGAGAATTAAGACCTAATGCAGAACTAACTCCTCCAAGACTTAAGGGACTACCTAATGAAGACTTTCTAGAGACCTGCTTTGAAGCTTCAGGAGTATTTAAAGGTGGTTGAGAATCAGGTAATAATGTTACTGAATCATTAAGATTCACTAATATATCAGGATTTAAACTTAAACATGAAGTAGAAACTTCTTCTGAACCTATTGAATCTCCATTATTTGCATCTAATATCCATTGAACAGGATTCTTTAATTCATCTTCCATAGAATTTTTATCAAAGTCAATAAATTTTGGATGTACCAATAAACTTTGATATAATATTCTGGTTTTAGTTTTAGTAGTATAATCTATTCTATCATTAGTATGACCTTTAAATTTAATTTCTTTCCCTAAATCAGAAATATATTTAGTATCAATAAATTGTGGTTTTCTTTTAAAAATATATCCAAGTGGAGCTTGACAAAATTTACTGAAATTAAATGGAAATAATCCATAAAGTAAAGTACCTAAATGATAAATATCAAATTCCATTTGAGTTGTTATAGAACTAAAATTTGCATATTCTGATAATTCATCAAAATTTGCAATTTTCCATGGAATATTTTTATCATCAATATATTTTTGTAAAACTTCAAATCTATTATGAATATATTTATTAAATTCTTCCCAATTTGAAATTCTAACGTATATGAGAAGAATATCTGATAAATAACTTGCAACTTTATTACAAATTTGAGGAATTAACATAATTAAAGTAGATAACAGAGAAAGTAAAATACTTTCACTAAAATCATACAGTAAACTTCTTAAAATATTAGGAAATAAATCCATATTTGTAATATGAAGAATTTGAGATGTATTTGAAGAAACTAATGAAGATAATATAGTTAATACTGATAATCTTTGATTAGGAATAATAAAAAATTCATTAATTAATTTCAAACAATCTTCAGTACATTTTAATCCATAATCTTGTAACATACTATGACAATTTTGTTTTATAAATCTTAATCTTTCTTCATAAGCTTGAGTATCTTTTTCAATATTTGTGGGACGAAGTCTAATTATTTCATAAACTGAATCATCATTTCCAATATAAATTTTCATAATAATTTTCATTACTTCATAAGCAATTTCTTCTCTTCCCTTTCTTAAATCAGGATCTTCAGTTGAAAATAATTCAATAGTTACTCTTTTTATAAAATCTCTGGATCTTTCAACAAATTGAAGATCATAACCGGCACTATCTATTGCTGGTTTACAATAAGTATTTAACCATAATAAAACTTCTCGTTTATTCAATACAGGCAGTAATTGATAAAGAAGTTTAAGAAACATAATTTCTTTTGGTAAATTAGAAGATGGTTGAATATAAGTATTATAAATTCGAAATAATTCATCATTAATACTCGTAGACTGTCGTATTATTTGTAAAGTATTATGTTTATCAAGAAATTGAGCTATAATAGTTAATAATTCGGAAATAACTTCATCTTTGTTTTCTTCATCATCCCATGAACTAAATAAGGAATCTAATGTCCTTATTAATAATCTTGAGGATCCCAGCAGCATCCTTTATAGGATCTTGTACTTTATGTGCATCGTAAAAGTTTACTTTGCGCAGATTTTATTTTTTTATATGTATAGTTTTGACATACTATTTTTCACTGCAAGTAATTTAACCAGAATAGTAATATTTTTACTTTAATTATACATTCAATTGACTATTTAAGAATATGACTAATTCTTTACTTGATGTTATAGATAAAGTAGATTCATATTCTTATGAACCAGATCATAGTAACTATACTTTATATGCTCATGATGGTCTTACTGCAATTGGACTTATCCGAGTAGATATCGCCCAACATTTTGGTAACTCCTCCGGGTTTTCAATTAATCATGAAACCAAATCTGTTTCAATTGATTCTCAATATGATACAATTTCTAAAAGAGATGAATTATTTGCATCAATTGCATCCCAATGGAGAAAATATCCTGAATTCGAACAATTACTTGATCATGGTTGGAGAAATGAATTATATACAGTTTATAATCCAAGTAGTGTTCCTTATTTACATTTAGAAAGAGCATTTTCAGTTTTAACAGGTTGTATTACTTATGGAACTCATTTATGTGGTTATGTTCCTGCTAATAAATCATCCAATGGGAAATTAAAGATTTGGATTCCAAGACGTTCTAAAACAAAATCAACATTCCCCGGTTTATTAGATAATACAGTCGCTGGTGGTCTTGGTTATCCTTATGGAATTTGGGAAACTGTTGTAAAGGAATCATATGAAGAAGCAGGATTAAGTGGTTCATTTATTGAATCTCATACTAAAGCTGCAGGAGTACTCCTGTATATGTATCTTACAGAAGATAATAGAGTACAACCAGAAGTAGAATTTTTATATGACATCGAATTTGACGATGAGCACACAGTAGTCCCAATCCCAGTTGACGGTGAAGCAGAAGATTTTCAACTTTTAGAAGTCGAAGATATATTAGTTAAAATTAAAAATAATGAATTTAAACCTAATAGTGCATTAGTCGTTATAGATTTCTTAATTAGGCATGGAATTATTACTCCAGAATCAGAAAAGTTTTATGGGCAAATTGTAAGTAGAAGTCATAGAAGATTACCATTTCCCACTCTCTAAATGGTTATAATCTAAATCCTTATAAAATAGAAAGAAATAAAAGTACTTTATTATCATGATATAAACTCCGAAATCATAACCTGTTCACAAGACTGCTTAGAAAAAGTTCTAATTGAATGACCCGGTGAATATTTTGTTCCCCACATTGGCTTATTTTAACTTAACCGAGAGAGAACGGCGCTAGCATACTTTTCAAACGTAGAGGGGGGGTTACAAATATGGCCAAATTTACCGCCAGTATTTTGCCTATTTGGGAAAGGCTAAGAACATTTTCGCATTTTAAGATAAAGGTGCAAAATTTATGAGCCCAGGGATTTACCATTAATTACAATGACTTGTTATCTTTTATAAAAGACGGTTTCTGTGGGGAATTAGCCAAAACAGGATGTCGGTGCCGCTGATGATCTATTGAGAAATTTCGTTGGTGATTTAAAGATAAAGATAAGTTATAAATAAATTGACAATTTCCATGGCTTCCATTCAAATTATGGCTAATTTCAATACACACTGTCTTAAATATTTACTATGATTGAAGCTGTTGGTGAAGAAAATTCTACAAAAAAGGATTACACAAATGTACCAGGAACTATCCATTTGGTAGACTTAGAGGGTACCTTAAATGTCAAAAAGGGGGAGGATGGAGAAATTATTCTTTTACCTCAACCTTCATCTAACCCTAATGATCCTTTGAGATGGTCCCATTCTAAGAAATTATTGCAATTTACTCTACTTTGGATATGGTCCTTCCTTTTAGCTCTTGCTGTTAATTTTGCTGGTCCCTTATGGGAAATATGGAGTGAATCCTTTCATACTACCTTTTTCCAATTAAATGTTTCAAAAGCAATGTGCTTTCTTGGACTTGCTGTAGGAATCCCGATTTTGCAACCAACTGCTTTGAAATTTGGTAAAAGATTTGTATATTTAATTGGTACAGTTATTGTCTTGGCAGCAAGTATTATTGGAAGTCAAGCAAAGACAGTTGGATCCATAGATGTTTATATGCTTCTAGGAGGAATTGCTGCTGCACCTGTTGACACTTTAGTTGAAATTTCTTCTACAGATATTTTCTTTCAACATGAAAGAGCTTCGGCTATTTCATGGTTGATTTTTGCTTTATATAGTGGAAGTTTCCTTGGACCAGTTGCTGCAGGATATATTACTACTTCTATGGGCTGGAAATGGTGCTTCTATTTTGAAATTATTATTTTTGCTGTCCTTTTGATTATTCAGCTCTTCTATATGGAAGATACTACTTTCCGTAGAGATTTTAACGAAGAAGAACTTGAAGAAAATATTCTTAAACAGATTCATTTGAGAGACAAGACTCCTATTGATACAAAAAGTAAAGATGGAGCCGCTGATGAAGTTAAGGAAGTAAATAGTACTTCCATTGCTGAAGAAGATATTGCTTCAATTGATGAATCAATTCCAAAGAGAGGATATTGGCTGAGAATGAGATTAATGGAATTTGAATACGGAGATTTAAGATCATGGTTAACTATATTTATTAGACCCGTATATTTAATTACATTTCCTGCTGTAATTTGGGGAGGGATTATATATGGTGCCCAAATGATGTATTTATCTGTCATTGGTACTTCTCAAGCTCAGATCTTCTCTGCAGCTCCATATCATTTTCAGGCAAATACAATTGGTTTAACCAATATATCTGTGTGTGTTGGAAATGTAATTGGGATGTACTATGGTGGATCATTTGTTGATTGGTCAACAGTATGGTTGGCTAAAAGAAATGATGGAGTCTTAGAACCAGAATTTAGATTATATTCTATGTTAATTCCAACTGTAGTCAATGCAGCTGGTTTGCTTGCTTATGGTCTAGGTGCACATTATGGTGCACATTGGGCTGTCCCTGTAATTATTGGTCAAGGATTGTTAGGTGTTGCAATGACATCATCCGGTGCAATTTGTATTGCTTATGCTATTGATTCTTATCAGATGCTTGCTTCTGAAGCTCTCGTGGTTATGCTTGTACTTAGAAACTGTATCGGGATGTCTTTCACGTTTGGATTTCAGCCATGGTTAGAAGCTAGTGGTTTGAAATTACTTACCTGGCTTGTATTCATGTTATCGATATTTATCAACGGTAGTTATATTCTTATGATCAAGTATGGAAAGAAGTTAAGAAAATGGACTCAGAAAAGATATGAGAAATATTCTGATCCAAATTTCGGAGAATCATTTTTAAAGAAAAACGTTAAAGAAAGTACACCCTAATCACTCTTATATCCGTTATAATGTCTTTAATATTTCTCTATGTCTTTGTTTTATTTTTGCTTTTCAGGTGGATACAATCGATATAAATAAAAATATATATTCTAAATGTTCTCGGATTTGAATAATTGGTTATTATAAAAATGTAGTCTGTTATAGAACCTGTTAACAAAAATGTTTCTTAATGACTTATCTGTCATACTTTTATTTTCAAACTTTTTCACAATCAGACCATGTAAAGGTTGTGTAGATATACAATCTATTAAGAACATGAAGAATTTAGTGTAAAACGAGTATGGATCATTACAGGAATCTTCAAAGAATAATATTCGGCATTTGAGTCCTCTAGTTAGATATCCGTAACCATCATCTTCAAAGTCATCAGTGATATCATTATTCAACAAATCAATCAAAATGAATGAATCATAATCTGTTAATATTACATAAGGAGCCAACTTCAAAAGCTTGTTTCACACATTGTGAGAAAATCTTTATAAATGGGAGAGAAGTTTCACTGATATTTGAACTCGAATTGGTAAATTTCTTTGCTTGAATCTTTCCATAATACCAGTAAGGTATATTTAAAATTAATGATGCTTTTCAATTTCATACTTAACTAATTCTAACAATAACAAATGTAGATCGTTAATAATGGAATTGGAGTGTACTTAAGATATTCGTCTTTACAACACTTTTGTAGTATATATAATTTGTTCTGCAAAATGGATGCAAAAGGGTGAACTATCATGCATGCTCTTAAGAAAAAAGAATCATCTGGGGTCAAAATTTTGATACTGCAGAGAAATTGCAGGAAAACTAAAGGCAACTGTAAATTGACTTAGCTCTTATTAGCAATACTCTTCTATCAATTATCATCATATAAGTAAGTCAGTAATGAGTAGGTCTGGATTTGAGGCGATTACATATTCCAGTCCAGATGTTGAATCTGAAATTGAATTGAATCTTTTGTTGGTGTCAATAAGAAGTTATCTTGATCAAGTAATAAGAAAGAATCAATTGAAACCCAAAGAGAAGTATACAAATCATGATCTTAAGATAAGGATAAGAGATTTAGAAGAATATTTCAGTGAAGTTAAAGCATTGTTATGTAAATTCCCTGTTGAAAATCATCATTACTTATGGGTAGAATCGTTATCATCCTTAGTTAATGATCTTATTAATTATAATCAAGCTTTTTGTAATAAATATAGTACTATTTCATCATTTGAAACTGAAGTGTTTATGAAAATAGCAGAAGAAATCACTCCAAAAATTAACCAATTAATTGCTGATTTTGCTTCATTGCTAGGAAGATTCTTAAAAAGTTCAAATTTTAATTGGGAGAAGTTTATAATTCCAGAAGTATTTAATTCTTTTGAAAATTTATTATATGAATCACTTGAATTATTAATTATGGATAAAATTGATAATTTAGATAATCAAAATATTACGGAATTTATTCTAGTAGATATACAGCAAGTTGTTTTAAAGATTTTTAAAGAGCCAGGGTTAGCAGAGAGTGGATTTTCCATTATAACTCAATTCTTGAAAGTAACCTATATGACAGGAGAATCATTATTGATTGTTCCTCTTTTCAGTTTACCAATAATAGATCCCGAATATCCTATGAAAGTGATTCAAACTATTGAAACTAATTTAAAGTATGTATTGTATTACTACAAATACGTTGCATTAAACTTTCTAGCTATATCAATTTTGAATAATTCATCATTCTACAATAAAATTGCAGATATATATTTTAAAGTTTTATTACATTTCCCCAATCTTCAATTGAATCTATATTTCTTTGGTGATAATAAGCCAATTTCTGGAAGAGTGAATGAATCATTAATTAGTTTATTGGAGAGACAAGAAATTTCGTTGATGTTTGTAATCAATAGTTTATTGAAACTATCGGATATACAACTGTATTGCGAAATGAGTAAATTGTACAATACTGAATTTGAGTTTTTATATGCTTCATTATCTACAGTATTGGCTGGAGATCTTGATAGATCTGCTTCAAGACCTGGAAGTGCACATTCAAGTGCTATTTCAGTGCCTAAAATTTATCAACTTGAATTACAGAAAGATTCAGAATTCAGAAAAAATCAAAAAAGGAATGCAATTCTCCTAAGGTCTTTTAGTTATCTTATATTGTATGGCTCTTATAAGGAAAAGATCAATTTAATTATTGAATTTCTCAATGATGTCAGTTTTGGAAAAGCTGAAGGATTCTTAAACCCCTTTTATAAAGGAGAGAAACTAGAAGATTATAAATTGATTAGATCAGATGGACTGGGTAAAGAAGTATTCATATATGCAACTAATAAGATTCGTCAGCATATTCGATCACTCGCAACATCATTCTTATGTGATAATGCGGGTCTCAAATCTTCAGAAAATCAATTTGATATCTCTTTACCTACAAGCCTTGATGTAAATGAAACCGAATATGCTTTGAAATTGTTCCCTGAAATATTAATTCCCGAGGCTCCATCATCCCAGATCAAGTTTTCTCTATTAACTCGTAAATTGTATGAAACTACTAAAAGACTACAATGAAAATATGTTTATTGGTGAATTTATATACAAGTAATTCTACAGTTTTAGTGCGAAAATCTTTTTGCAGACAAATATATAATTGAATATTCTCTATTTTTTTTTTCCGTAGCAAAATATGTATTCTCAATATATTTTTTTTCCGTAGCAAAATATGTATTCTCAATATATACGATATAAAATTATATATAGAGTGAATAAATACTTGCAAAATTTTTGAGAGAAACTAGAAACTAGTGAAAACTCTCAGCGAGATATTCTGATTGGACATAGTATGTAGATAATATAATAGATAGATTTATAAGGATGAAGACAAATATGATACCCAATTTTTAATAAGTGGGAGAGTTAATGGATCGAGCACATTACCCTCAATATACACGATATAAAATTATATATAGAGTGAATAAATACTTGCAAAATTTTTGAGAGAAACTAGAAACTAGTGAAAACTCTCAGCGAGATATTCTGATTGGACATAGTATGTAGATAATATAGTAGATAGATTTATAAGGATGAAGACAAATATGTCTCTATTCCAAAATGTATTACGTATTCCTTCAAATACAAAATATACACTATTTATAAGGAAGAATTGAATGGTAATAAGGGAAGAGAGAAATATTGTTGTAAAAAGGATTTATTTAGTACTTCTACATACAATCTCTACTTATATAAGACAAATATTCTAATCATACTATTGAAATAATCTAAATAAAAGTTAGCAAATTGATAAAATCACTGACTATATGAAATATAGTTACTATAACTTACTATTATTAGTATAATATATAATTTTAAAAAGATTTAGAAGGTTGGAAGTAAAAATTAATAGGGTACAACTGGTAGCGCCAACAAGTCACGTGATAAAAACGTGACATTGCGATTTTGGCAGGAAACTGTGGATTTTTCTTCACAAGAAATAGCTTCACTAGCTCAGTCGGTAGAGCGTCAGTCTCATAGTTAATTACGATTGTGAAATCTGAAGGTCGACAGTTCGAACCTGCCGTGGAGCATTTCTTTTTTTGCAACTTTTTTAAACTTTATTACCAATTTATTTCACTATTACTTATCTTTTAACTTAATGTAACATGCTTCTATGTAGAGCTTTTGATGTAGAGAAATATATTAATATGTGTTCTTTGATCAATGGCTCCTTTGTTATGCTTATGTATTGAAGTGGAGGACATTATAAAAGTAAAAAAAAATTGAACTGTGGAGTAAGTGAAGTAATACTCTTTATCATTAAGAATGCAATTAACCAAATTATTTAATAAAGACTTCATATATTTCTTGTTGTCATATTCACAATCTGTCCATATTCCAGAGTTGGAGCCATCTTCTTATGATATTGATCAACACACTCCTCAGAATGTTCTATCAAATACCAGTCCTAGACCAGTGGTCTTGTGGCATGGTTTGGGTGACAACTTCAATTCCAGTTTTATTCATAGAGCATCCCAAATACTTGATGTACACTACCCTGGAATATATGTATTTCCAATAAGCTTAGGTGAAACACCATCTGATGATCAACATAAATCCTTCTTTGGTGATGCCAATATTGAATTAGAAGATGTATGCGAACAATTAAGGAATAATACTATTTTACAAGATGGATTTGATGCAGTTGGTTTCTCTCAAGGAGGCTTGTTCTTACGAGCATTAGTAGAGAGATGTTCTGGATTAAAAGTTCATAACTTGATAACATTTGGATCCCCACACAATGGAGTTCTGGAACTTCCGTTATGCGAAGACCCTTCTGATTGGGTTTGTAAGACAAGAAATTCTCTTTTAAAGAAACAAGTATGGTATGATACAGTTCAAAAGCGAGTTATTCCTGCTCAATACTTTAGAGATCCATATGTGTATGAAACTTATTTGAAACATTCAAATTTCTTAGCTGATGTTAATAATGAAAAAGAGATTGTTAATCAAACTTATAAGGAAAACTTCCAAAATCTTAACAAATTGATTTTAATAGACTTTACCCAGGATACTACCTTGGTTCCAAAAGATAGTGCTTGGTTTTATGATTCAGAGGCTGAAACAGGTGAAACTTTAGAATTTACAGAAACTAGAATCTATAAAGAAGTTCTTATTGGTCTTCAGAAATTATATAAAGAGAATAGGATTGATTTTTTAAGTATAGAGGAAGATCATATGCGGATAACTGATGAATACTTTAACAAGATAGCTATTGAGTATTTAGGTAAATAAACATTTTATGGATTGCAGTAATTTTTCTGCTGAAAAATAGAGAGCGAGACTAAATATAAAACGAGAAGAGTTGAGTTTAGAACTGTAGTTATCATAAAAGGGAAATAAATAATGGATGAACAGGAAGAGGATAGAAAGTCGCGATTAGCGGCATTGAGGAAGAATAGAAATAAAAATAAAAATAAGTCAAGTGAAGAAAGTGTATTCAGTAGAACACTTGAAGCTCAACAAGTCGAACAACTCCTAACAGCAGAAGTTCCAGAATCATCAGATTCTACAACATTGGAATCTCAGGAGACTACGAATCAGGTGCAGGACCAACATTCCAGTTTAAAGGATGATACAATTCCAAGTTTGAGTATAAGCAATGAAGAAGGTCAAGAAGATACAGTAGAGGCCATATCTGCAAAACTTCAGGATGAGATATTTAACAAAGCTCATAAAGAAGCAATTGATACATCATTTGATATAGTACGAGAAGAAACTATATCCAAAAAGAAATATACTGAAGATTTAGAGTCTGACATTGCTGTCAACTTAAATAAAGCAAAGTTCTACACTAATAAGGCTATAAACCGATTACTACAACAAAGATATACAGAATCAGTTACAGAGTAGAACAGATAATAAAGTAAGTATTGTAGCAATTATTTATAGATAATGATTATATAGAGATGATGACAGTAAATAGATAATGATAATATATAGTTAATGAGAATACATAGATAACGATAATGAACATTTTAATAACTAATCTAATATTCAGTATAAAAAATTACACTATGCTCGGCTCGCGAACAACTAGTTACCCAAAAGGGAAGTCGAGCATCTTCCAATCAAATTGATTCTACCACCAAAAAATCCATGTTCGCATTCAGTGAGGTAGAAAGAAATTTTCAATAAAAACGTCAAGCTTAAAGTCATACTGTTATAGATTGTTAAGTCAGGTCGTCCATAATGTCTATGATGAATAGATTAGCTTTAAGATCAAGCCGTCCAATTGCTGGATTGGCTGTCCGTCCATCTTCGTAAGTATTCATTTGAAGCAGAATTCAGCAACTAATAATAATATCAATATCAATTATCAATTATCAATTATGATATAATATAATATATTTATTATTGAATCAATATGAATTATTACTAACTATTTTTTATATAGAATTGGTTTACGTTACCTTTCAACTCCAACCCCAACTCCAGTTGAACCAAAGCAAAAGGCTACTTCAATCATTGATGCATTACCAGGTAATAATTATTTATCAAAAACTGGTGTATTAGCTACAAGTGCAGCAGCTGCCATTTATGGTATTTCAAATGAGTTAATTGTTTTACATGATGAAACCATCTTAGTTTTAACTTTTGGAGCATTTGTTACTTTAGCTGCTAAATTTGTTGCTCCATTATATACTGAATGGGCTGATGGAGAAATTAAAAAAGTTAATGATATATTAAATGAATCTAGAACTAAACATGTTACAGCTGTTAAAGATAGAATTGAATCTGTTTCTCAATTAAAAGATGTTGTAACTGTTACCAAGCAATTATTTTCAATTTCAAAAGAAACTGCTGAATTAGAAGCTAAATCATTTGAATTAAAGCAACAACTTGCTGTAGCTCATGAAGCTAAATCTACCTTAGATTCATGGGTTAGATTTGAACAACAACAAAGACAATTAGAACAAGAACAATTAATTAAATCTGTCTTAGATAAAGTTAACAAAGAACTTGAAAATCCAAAATTCCAAGAAAGAGTTTTAGCTGAATCTGTTTCTGAAGTCGAAAAGTTATTCACTAAGAATTAACTTTCAAATGTCATTTCATGAATTTTATAAATCTTCACTATATTATTTAAATATTAATTTATTTACATTAGAAAATACAAAAAATTATTATTATAATTTTATTTATTAATTATGATACTTATTGGTTATTAAATGTGTAGGTTTCCAAATATGTAAAGAATTATCATCTGCTACACTTGCAATTAACCAATCATCATGATATGACCAATCAAAATCATTAACCCCTAACATATGACCAGCATGTAAAAATATAAGACCTTGATTTGAATTAATATTTGAATTACTTATATCAAATAATCTTACCAGACCATCAGTTGATGAAGATCCAAGAATATTATGATATTTTGGATGCCATTTAACTTGAGTTATTGAATCAGTATGTTGATTATTAATTTGAATTAGACTTGAATTAATTTGATTTTGATTATGATTATTATTTTTAAAATTTCTTATATCCCAAATATTAATTTGACCTCTACTATTACCAGTAGCAATGACCATATTATTACCAGGATTAACATTTAAACTATTTACTCCTATAGTTGAATCTTTAAAACTTAAAGTATTTGAATTTAATGATTGTAATCTAGTATCAAAAATTCGAATAAATCCATCTTCTTGAACTGTACCAAATATACTATTATGATTTGGGAACCATTTAATATCATTTATTCCAATATCACCTTGATTTAATACTTGATAAGACCAATGGGCAAAAACATTATCATCTTTACATGAATAATTATTTCGAATATCATATAAATTAATTCTACCATTCATATCTCCTGATATTATTGTACCTTCAATTTGTTTACTCCAATCAATAGCAAATATTCCATTATTTTCCAGACAAGAAGAAATTTCTGGATTTGAAAGATGAATTTGAACTTTATTTAATTCAGTATCATCAATTATAGAATTTTTAAAACTTTTATGTTTAGTTCTTTCATAAATTGATATATTACCAAAATTATTACTAGCTGCAATTATATTAGGATTTTGAGGCATATAAATTGTTTTATTAACATCACCAAAATGATTAATTTTTTGAACAACTTTAAGTTTATTATTAGATGACATTTTTAATTCAAATTCTTGTTTATCTTGATTATAATCAAGTTTATTAATATTTAAATTTTTATTTAAATCTTTATATTGAGGTAATTGAAGTACTGAAATACTATCAACAGATTGTCCTAAAGTAAAAGTTCCAAGTAATAATCTTTGATAATATACTTCATTATCCTTTGATGAATTATTTCCTAAACTTTTATTACTAGCATGATCAGGAAAGAATTGTATACTTAATGATGGCCATAATAAAGAATTAGTTGATAAATAATCATATAAGAATGGAGAATTCTTCTTCCAAATCCGATAATTCCGTTGAGTATCTTCTCCAATGGAAGTTTCTTCTTGAATCTCAACTTCTGGTGTCAGTTCCAGTTCCAGTTCCAGTTCCAGTTTCATACTGATTCCACTAACTTCTATAGTCATTATACGTATACTTATTACTTCTACTCAATAGATATATTTGATGTTTGGTCGTGCCAGACGCGTTTTTTCATTATCGTTGCAGCCTGAGCTTAATGGATGAAGCGAAAAAAAGTTGCTGTGAAAAATTAAGTGTGCGATGAACTTGGGGTAACCATATTAACCAGTGATACCATAATACATAATAACTATAGTATGACGGAGGAGATAAGATTGAATTCGTCTAAGCTTGGGACAAAGGAATAGTATGTGTTAATTTAATTATTTTTTTTTTCTTTTTTATATTATTAAGTTAAGTACTTTTACTAATAGTATATATAGCTGGAATCAATTCTATCAAGTAGAAAAGAAGAACTTTGAAACTAATGAAGATGACACAGGAGAATGTTGGTTTGATGATTCTGATGCTGAATCAAAAATGATATCTTTTATAATAGATAAGTTAAATGATCAAGAATTCCCCTTTCATGATGAACAAATTAAATTTCTTGATCTTGGAACAGGTAATGGACATTTATTATTTCAATTAAATGAAGATCTCGAAGAAGAATATGATGGAAGTGAAAAATTTATATTTACAGGTATTGATTATTCACCTGATTCAGTAGAATTTGCAGCAAATATTGCTAAAAGAAAATATGAAGATATTGAATTTAAATTTGAACAACTGGATTTATTAAAATCTAATGATCCATTTATTATAAAGGGAATTAAATATAATATTTTACTTGATAAGGGGACATTAGATGCTATAGCATTAAATCAAGATCCTATAGAAGAATTTAATGGGAAAATTGGTATGGAAGTTTATGCATCCCAAATTGAAAGATTAATGAATAAAGATTCTGTATTACTTATTACTTCATGTAATTTTACTGAATCAGAATTAATAACTATTATTGAAAACAATTCTAATTTAAAAGTATGGGATAAAATAAATTATCCAAGTTTTGAATTCGGAGGAATTAAGGGGTCTACAGTTTGTAGTATTGCATTTACAATCCAATAATTATATATTATTATGAATGTACGAACCAACTAAATAGATTGATACTTATTATTATTATAATTATTATTATTATAAATCTTTCTTCAATTCTTCTGCTTTATCTATTAAACCGTCTCTAACATTTTGATTGGAGAATTTAAGTAAATATTGAACAGGTGTACCTTCTTCTTTTATTCCATTTAATCTAAGAAATTTTCCTGGAGTTAAACTGGCTTCTAATCCTTTAAAAAATTCAGTATCTGATTTTATACCATGATTTAATACAACTCTTAATAATCCTTGAGATCTCATAACTAATCTGATTTTAGATTTATCAGCTTTAGATTGATTTAAATGTAATGGACCTAAACCTCTTTCTTTCCAACCTTCAGAAATATTTGTTAAATCTAATTCAAATAATTTAGCAGTAGCTGAAAAATGTGATATTTCATCTTCTTCTCCTGTAGTTACATTTTTAATTGGTTCTAAATCAACTTGTTTAAATTGTTGAATTGATGGTGCTTTAGATGAAAGTTCATTTCCTTCATTATTAATACCACTTCCATTTGAATTATTTTCATTATTTGAATCTTTACCATCAGTATCAAGAAATGATTTCTTTGTAAGTGAATTTTGAAATGCATTAGTGAATTTACTATTTGAACCAAATGATGATGATATACTAGTTTGAGATTTTTCATCTAATAAATTATTAGAATTATTAGTAGAATGTGAATTAGTTGGTGAATCAAATACATTTGGTTTATTCTTAAGATTATCCATTATTGATCTACCAAATGAAGTAGTAGATCCAAAGACAGGTTTTGAAGTTGAAACTTTAGGAGTAATTTCTTGAGTACTTGGAGTCGTTACAGGGTCATTGAATGAATTAGTAGGAGTTGTAAAATTAGAATCTTTAACTTGAATCAGACTTGATCCAAATGTTGCTCGAGGTGGAAGTGCAGGTGGAATCTTTTGAGTTGAAGGTATTGTAACATTATCGTCCTTTTTATTCGATTCATCGTCTGATGCTAACCACTGTATACCGGTAGCAATAGGTTTAGTAGTAGTTGGGGTAGTAGTTGCAGTAGTTGCAGTAGTTGCAGTATTATTACTATTTTTCCTTAAAGCTGCAATTTCTTGTTTCAACCCATGAATTTCATTTTCTAAAGCTGTAAACTTTAATTCAAATCCACGACTGATCTCTTGAGTTATACTTGATTTTAAAAACTTCAAATCATCATAGATAGTTCCATTTCCTTCCCCTTCTGAATCACTTTCAGTTTTGGATCTCTTCTTAAAATCCTCATGATTAACTTCTTCTTCTTCTTCTAATCTACGCTTATGAACCATATTTTCTTCAGACATACTTAAAAATGTCAGGTGTAAATGACTAATGATATTACAATAAGGTTACTATAAATAAATCTTTACTCAATTAAATGGTATCTGTCACAATGGAATTTATGTATCGGTCTGGTTTGTTAGCTCCGAATTATTTTTGTCTCAATTGTCTGTCATTGAGAATTGACATAGATATTTTTTTTGTGTCAATACATGGGGACACTAATGCTAATGGTAATGGTAATGCCAATGCACATGGATTTTATTACTATATATCTATATATATTACTATACATTTCATCCACGTCTGATACTTCTGATTGATCGGTTGTCTCGAGGTTTATACGCTGTAGTGGTTGTAGTTGTAGTTGTAGTTGTAGACGATGATGCAGTGGCGTATTTCGCATACCTATCCTTGACAGATGCGGACTCTTGTTTTATTTGATCGGCCGGGGTCTGAGATGGCTGGGTAGATTTACGCATTGGTGGCCCATATCCTCCATATTTCGAAGCAAGTGGTGCAGCAGACACACCTGTTGTTGTAGTAGCTGATGGTGTTGTTATTGTTGTTGTTGTTGGTGGTGTTGTTACTGTTGAATTATATGACTGTATAGGCCTATGATGATTAGAACTTTGATATGAGGATTTATTTACAGATGATACACTAGAACTGGAATAGGAATTAACCGACGGCCTGGATACACTACTATTACTATTAATATTACCATTACCATTTCTTGGAATATACGAAGACCCAGAATGTTGGGAACGAGGATGTGAAGGAACAGAAGATAATGATGAAGGAGGTATACTATCATGACCATTCTGAATATTAAGTCTTCTACCACTAGCAGCTGCAGAAGCATTAGGATTTAATCTAGATAAGGCATTAATTTGAGTATAATGTCTACCGCCTAATCCACCACCCAATCTTCTTGGTTTCCAATTTCTTACTATTCTTCCTCGTTCAATATCTACCAACATAGTACGATTGGTCAGATCTAATTTTAAACCAGTTCTGGCTAATTCTTCAACACATCTAGATGCATCTACATCTCTATCAAATACAACAAATGCATATCCCTTTGATTTTTCAGTAACATTATCTCTAACCACACGAATGGATTCAATAGGTCCATATTTCTTGAATTCTTTATTAAGATCATTCTCAGTTAATTTATAATCTATACGAGATACAAATACAGTACGAAATGGATCTCTCATTTGATGTTGTTGCTCATGATATGCCAAGGCACTAGGATCATCCCATTCTTGAAGTTGGCGATGAATACTTTCTTGTTTCACCCGTTGCTTCTTAGCCGATAACTTTTTCAACTCTTCTAAAGTAATAGTATTAGGCTTTTTCCGTTTCAGATGTAATTGATCTTGTTCAAGCTTCTGAGATTTTTCAATTTGGGGTAATTCTTCAGTTATATATTTATCTATTTTATTTTTCAAACTAGTTATGGATGTGATAGTATGCGACTTTCTCTTTTCAGGAGCATAATCATTAGGTGGTATATGTATTAATGGAGGTTTAGGAGTGAATAGTTTTTGAATATTGATAGGATATTTTTCAGTATTATTATCAGTCTAGACATTATATGTTAGTAAAAAATTCATATGAAATAAAATATAAAATAAAATAAAATTAGAGTAGATTAGTACTTACCATTATGAGCGTATTGCTATATCATTTGGGATACTTTTATATCAATCCAACAGGTGTAGAGTTAACTTATATACTATAGGTAGAGGCTTATATAAGAGAGAGACTTTAGTTCATTTAACAAAATTTTATTAGTATAAGAGACATGACATCCATGCCCCAATATTTAAGCGGAAGACCCACAGAAAAAAAGCGAGCCAAGGTATAAAAGGCAGCAATTAAAGTTGGAGGAGTTTATTAACTAAACGAGTAGAAATTGAAGAGAATTATCAATTGACTATAATTATAGTTAGTTACTAATCGATTGAATATAATTTATTAATTATATTAATTATATTAATTGAATATGTCCGGAGAAAATTCAGAAGGGACAGATTTTGAAACGTATAATGATAATATTGATATTAAATCATTACCTATATTAACTCGATCTCAATTGAGTTTATATAATGGAGAAGATAAATCACAAATTTATGTTGCTATTAGAGGATATGCTTATGATGTTAGTGAGAATACCAAAAGTTATGGACCAGGTAGATCATATCATAAATTAGTTGGGAAAGATGTTAGTCGATTATTAGGATTAAATAGATTAACTATAACAGGAAGTATTAATAATAGTGATAATAGTGATAATAATAATAGTAATGGTAATGGTAATGGTAACGGTGAAGGAAGTGAGAGTAATTTAAAGGAAACTACTTGGTATACTGATGATTTTACAGATAAAGAGAATGAGATTGTTGATAGATGGGTATTATTCTTTAGAAAGAGGTATAAGATTGTTGGAGTAGTTGTTGATCATGATACTGGGACTAGTTCAATTGTATGAAGAAGTAAGTAAGTACAGTGTAGTATTTATGGTGGGGTAAGTATTGTGTGCAGTCACTTAGTTAATAAATGTAAATGTAGTACATACATTAAAGTACATAGAATAAGTTAGTGTATCAGGGTTTAACAGTCCAGACCCAAACGGTATGTAGGACTACGCCAAGGTTGCTATGGAGATCTGATGAAATTGAGGTTATGAAACGAGAACGCGTAGATGTGAAACTGATTAGTTTGAGCGAGAGTGAGTGAGTGAGAGTGAGTGCGTATTAGAATTAGAATTAGAATTAGAATTAGTATGAGAATGAGAATGAGTAAACAAATCGAGTAAACAAATCGAGTAAACAAAGTATACACAGTACTATACGAGACATGAAAAATTTATACAAATATATATAACAGATCTAGTATACATAATATAGACTAATCATAGTATACCGTACACCATCTATTGTATGTTCTGTTCTTAAACTGTAGATCCAGATGAAATTGAAATTGAAATTGAAATTGAAATTGAAATTGTTAGAGCATCTGAAGAATTGCACCCATTACCCATTACCCATTAAGCTCTAGCCGGGATCTTACGGCAATAGTACTTAAACTACTACTACTTGAACTAATATTGTTAGTAACTATCTAACTATCAAGTTAAGTAATCTCGGTAATCCACTACTTAATCTCTAACAACTCGTACTACTCACCCTCACTCTCACTGCATCCCACACTAATCCTCATTTTCTGTAATACACACCCTCCCTCTTTCACAGTACTCGGTACTCGGTGCTCAGTGCTCATTCCCTCCCTACGCGATACTCCATAAAATCCTCAGCCATCAAAAAAATTTGTACCTCGTTCACTACGGTTCATCAATAATTAATGATTCATAGTCTTTCGTTCCTATTCACTCATTAAGTGTTAATCTGACCATATACATTCACTCAAAATGGACGCTGCCATGGCCACCACTCAAAAGGCAAGGTTGAGACAACAACTCCTTAATGGAGAGCAAGATATTAATGCATTAAATCAATCTCAACCTCAAGCTCAAGCTCAAGCTCAATATTCAAATTATGATATAATGACTCCAGTAAATGCTCCAAATCAAAATGGGTCATATTCTTTCACAAGTAATTCAAGAAAGGCTTCATCTATAACTTCTTCAACTTCAACGATGAATAGATTCTTTCGTCGTAGTGGTAATAATCGTAATGAATTAGCCGGATTCGATGAGGATTTTGGTGCTGATATAGGTGAATTAACTTCGGGTTCAAATTTATCATTTGATGATTTATCTCATATCCGAAATAGAGGTCCTTATGGAGGTTTAAAGGGGGCTGCTTCTACATTAGATACCACTCCATTTATTCCGACTATTGGAGGAAATCCAGCATCAAGTACAAAACATATAAATAATTTAAGTTATAGAAAACAAATGAATCAACAAAAGAAATTAGCTTTAGTAAATGGTGCAAGAGCCATGTCCTTAGCTAGTGGACAAAATCCTATGAATCCTCCTCCTCAAAATTATCAACAACAACCTTATATGGATCCAAGAACAATGTCCTTAGGTGGACCTCGAACTATGTCACTTCAATCAAATCCTCTTCCTCCTCCAAATGGTCCTCGTGCTATGTCTTTAAATGCAAATCGAATGCTTGGTGGACCTCCACCTCCTCAACAACAATATTATCCTCAATATCCTCCAGGCAATGCACCTCGAGCAATGTCAATGAGACCCATGGGACCTCCTCAACAACAACCTTATCATCCATCTTATGGTCCTCCACCTCCTCAAGGTCCAGGAGCTCCTCGTACAATGTCATTAAATTCACAGCCTGGTTATGGAATGCCTCAGCAACAGTATTTACCTCCGCCTCCTAATAATGCTTATTATTATCAACAACAACAACAACAAGCACCTCGAACTATGTCGTTAAACGGTAATGGTATACCGTCTCATTCTCAGATTCAACCACCTCCACCACAACTACAACAGCTACCACCACAGCAACAATTTCCACCAGTTCAACAAGCACAGCCAGTTCAACCAATACAACAAGCTCAACAGGTACAACCTCCACCACCAGTTCATAATGTGTATGGACATAATTCTAATGATTCCTTAATGAATGTAGCTGAAGAAGATGAAGATACTATTGATGCACCAATTGAAGAATCCACTCGTATTGTTCAACAACCATCAGGCCGTAAACCTCCACCATCTCATGTAGAAGAAGATAGTACCTTTAAATCAGGATATGAAAGTTCATTACCATTAATTTCATCATCTCCTAGAAGTGGAGAAAGTAATTATAGTAATGAAGATAATGAAGATAATGAAGATGATGCCATATATAAATTTGAACCTGAAGATGAAGCTCAATCATTATCAAGAAAATCGACTTTAAAGAAATCTAATTCAATGAGATTAAGAAAGATTAATTTATTTAGTAATACGCCTCCTAATACTGATTCATCCAGTACTCCTACAGAAGAAAAGGATAAGAATAAAGCCTTTATATCACCATCATTTAATCTTACTAAAAAGATTAATGATGAAGATGAAGGAGTTCGAGAATCAATGGTTTATGATGAACAAGAAGATTGGAATAATAAGAATCAACAAAATCATCGAGAACAATTGAGTAAATTAGGTGCCAGTGCTATAGGAGATAATTATACTACAAAAGATGTATTTGTAACTGCCTCTGATTTATCCCCTGAAAAGGGTAAAAATGAAAAACAATTACCTAAATTACCTGATGAAGATAGTTCAAATTCTACTATTATTAATAATGATAATTTATCTCATGACCATCAACAAAATGATCAATTACATGATCAAGAAACTTCTATCCTTAAACAACGAGGATCTCCTTCATCATCTAGAAATAATTTATCAATGTCATCTCAGACTTCAACTCCATCATTAACTGAGAAATCATGGTTAAAATCGGTACCTCATAAATCATTAATTGCCAATACAGCATTTAGTAATTTTAGATCTCCATCGAGTGATTCGAGTTATAAATTTGATAATCCCGTTCCACCTGCTGTTGAACATCCTGTTGAAGAATTACGAGATCCTGTTATTGAAGAGCCAGAGAAAGAACCAGAACCAGAACCAGAAAAAGAATCAGAACCAGAAGAACCAGAACCAGAAGTAGAGCAGTCAGAACCAGAACCACAACCACAACCAATAACAGAACCAGCACAAGAAGCACAACCAGAACCAGAACCAGAACCAGAAGTACAGCCAGAACAAGAAGCAGAGATACAACACTCTGAACCAGAACCACAACCAGAACTTGAACCAAAACCAATGGCAGATGAAACAGATATACACGACTTACCTGAACCTCAAGTATCACCTCAACGTGACGAGTTCTCATTCAAGCCACAAGCATCTCTCAATGATCCAGCATATGTTGATAAGGCAGCACCTTATCCAGCTGACGAAAGATCAGAGAGACTTGAAAGACCTGAGAGATTAGAGAGATCTGCATACAGAACAGAACCACTTGAAACTCCTGCAAATAATAACCATTGGAATAATGTAACAGCTCCTGTTACCCCTCAGCAAATGCCTTATCAAGAATCGAACAATAGTAATGTTCCAAGTTCTACTACTGGTGCAGTTGGTGCTGCAGTTGGTGCTGCAGTTGGTGCAGTTGGTGCTGGTGCAGTTGGTGCTGGTGCTGCATTTGTAGCCCCTAACCTTTCTCATAATAAAATCAGAAACAATACTGATCAATTAATGACATCACCCATTAAAGAACCAATACATCAAAGTCCAATGAATTCAAGTATTGGTAGTTCTACCAGTAGATCTAATTCAAAAGATAAGAGATCATCTAGAACGTTTTCATTAAGTGGATCTAAGAATATCTTTAAGAGACTTTCGTTATCGAAGAAATCGGGTGATGATGAATTAAATAATTTGAATGGATCAGTTTCTGGATTATCTAAACGGAATTCAATTAATTCTACTAATGGAAATGGAAATGGAAATGGAACTCCAAGACAATCTTCAAGAAGAGTATCTTCAGCTTCATCAAATTATCAACCATCACCTCAACAAGCTCAACAAGCTCAAGTATCATCATCACGTCCTAAAGTTTCATTTACTAAAGAAGAATTAGGAATTATGAATTGTAATAATGAATTATTATATGAATTAGAATTAGTTACTACGGAATTAGCTTCATCAATTAAACGAGAATTAGCATTAGAAAATAAATTAAAGAATAATGGTTCATCACCAGTTCAAGAAGATTATTTACATTCAGAATTAATGAGTAAACTGAAATCAATAGTTGAACTTCAAGAAAAGTTAAATAAAGAACGTAGACTAAGATTTGTTAGTGAAGAGCATGCCCTTTTATTAGAGCATGGACAAAATCCAAGTCCATTAAAATTAAATTATGAAAAGACTGAATTGTATAAACAATTATTAATTAAAAATGATTTAGTTAATCAATTGGAAGATAAATTACAAGAAGAATATGCCAAGAATCAACAACAAGAACCTAATTTATTGGAGAAGTATAATGAATTATTGAATGAAAATACTGAATTACGATTTAAGGTTATACCTGAACTTGAAAAGAGTGTGCAACATTATCAACAAGAAGTTGCCAATGTACTGTTTAATAGTAATGGTAATGGAAATGGTAATGGTAATGGTGACAGTTATGGAAATGGTAATGGTAATGCAAATGGACGCTATATCAATCTAATTGATGATCAAAGTCAGACTGTAATAGACGAAGATTCACAAGATCAAATTGTTAACTTAAGAAATCAACGAGAAGAATTAAGAGACACTGTAACTAAAATGACAGTTAATCATACCTATGAATTAAAACTTTATCAAGATAAGATTCGAGCATTAGAATCTCAATTGAAAAATACAAAGTTTATTAATGATAAACTCAGTAATCGAAGTACTAGTTCTCAACCTCAATTATCTCCAACTCAATCTAAACTGCCACCGCCTAGTTCTAAATTCAGATTAACTTCTGAAAGTAGAGGTAAATTAGCAGGTTTCACTATAGTTACACCTACCAAGAAGTTTGTAGATTAGTTTAGTTTAGTTACATTTATATATATATATATATATTAAAAAAAAGTATTTACTTATGTATAGTTAAGAAATTATTAATGACTTTAGCCAATAATTGTCCTTGATTATTTAAATTGTTAGTATTATAAGTATACTTATCTAATTCATAATCAGTAATTATCCCGTTATTTCTATCAGAAATAAGTAAATCAAGAGCAAGAGGAGTTGTAAATTCAGGATGACCTTGAAAAGTTAATAATTTAAGTGGTCCATCAGCTGTTAATAAACCTTGAACAGTACATTTAGATGTTGAACCTAAAGTTATAAATCTAGTTGTTTGAGTTATAGGTACATTATGTACTATATCTTGATGAGATTCTACAATATTTATATGACCAATTTCTTTATTTAATGGTCCTACAAATGGTGAATTAGGTATATTATAAATATCAGAATTTATTTCTACTGTTGTTATACCTAATTCCCAACCAATATCACCATTTCTTCCAACTTTTGCACCTAAATTTTTGGCTAAAATTTGATGTCCAAAACAAATCCCTACAATAGGGAAATTACAAAGATTATTTAATACTTGTTGAATAAATGTATCAAGTAAATTAATCCATAATATATCATTTGCAAAACAATCAGCTCTTGATCCTGTTAATATAATTCCTTTAATATATCCAAACACGATTCCTGCACGTAAGCGATCATAAGTAGATTTTAATTCATTAATTATTTCTTGACTTGGATTAATATCACTTGTTGCTATATCATAACGTTGAGTTATATATGGTAAAGGATAATCATTAATTGCCGTTAATAAATCCTTTACATTATCTCCAAAATCTCCATACTTAGAACTGATTCCTTCAATAGGAGTATCACACACCAAGATGGCGATATGGTCAACGTTATGATCAATAGTCATGTAATATCTAATAAGTAATAAGTAGTAATGGATGTATTAATCAATTTATCTAAAGGAGGGGGTGGGGGTGGGGGTAAGTAAAGTGAGAGATTACTTAGTTACTTAGCAGTCAGAACATCCATACCGCCACATCCACCAAACGAAAATTACTTTTCATTGAAACGAGAAAAGAAAATTAATCACCACTGACTCAGTTCCCCACTACACAGTCAAACATTAGTGATAGATAGGCTCATTAAATAGATTAGAAAACAAGTCTTCTCCATACTTGTATTTCATAACTTTACTTATATCGAAACTTTCACATACTTACGTTGTACCGCTAGAAAGTACCGGACCCACAGTGTACTAATTTAACTAAAAAAATTACACAGTTAGGCATGTCCATCAATTCGGGTTCGAATCCCCATCTTGCATCACAATCAATAAATGATATTAATAACAGCATAAATAATCATCACAATAGCATAAACAATAATAATAGTAATAATAGTAATAATAATAATAATAACAATAATAATAATAATAATGATAATAATCCAAATCCCAATAATACTCAAACAATTTCTCGATTATCAGCAGGATTAAAGTCAGTAACCCTTAATGATCAACAACAGAATGAAGTCAATTTAAATTTATTACAACAACAATTACAGAATGAAGCTACTACCAGTCAACAACAATCAAGAATTACTAATTTCTTTCAAAATCAACCTTCTGAAGGTTATACATTATTCTCTCATCGATCAGCTCCAAATGGATTTAAAGTAGCAATAATATTATCAGAATTAAATTTACCATTTAATACAATCTTTTTAGATTTTAATAATGGAGAACAAAGAGCTCCTGAATTTGTTACAATAAATCCAAATGCTAGAGTTCCTGCATTAATTGATCATTATAATGATAATACTTCAATATGGGAATCAGGGGCAATTATTCTTTATTTAGTATCAAAATATCTTAAAGAAAATGGTGAATGTGCATTATGGACTGATAATTTAATTGAACAATCTCAAATTTCATCTTGGTTATTTTTTCAAACTTCCGGTCATGCTCCAATGATTGGTCAAGCTTTACATTTTAGATATTTCCATTCATGCCCTGTACCAAGTGCAGTTGAAAGATATACTGATGAAGTTAGAAGAGTTTATGGAGTTATTGAAATGGCATTAGCAGAAAGAAGAGAAGCTTTAATTATGGATTTAGATGTAGAAAATGCAGCAGCTTATAGTGCTGGTACAACTCCATTATCTCAATCAAGATATTTCGATTATCCGGTTTGGTTAGTAGGTGATAGAGCAACAGTAGCTGATTTATCATTTGTACCTTGGAATAATGTTGTGGATAGAATTGGAATTAATTTAAAAGTTGAATTCCCAGAAGTCTACAAATGGACAAAATATATGATGAGAAGACCAGCAGTAATTCGTGCCTTAAGAGGTGATTAATCTTCACTTTTAAACTTTTAGTGTATAGATTTATTAATGAATTATTCGAATGTTTATTAGGGCACGCACGCCCATCGTAAATTTTTTTTTTTGCAGTAGTGAAAAATTTCTAGCTTAGCTACACAGTAATCATTAACTATCCAACTATAGGCTAATGTCGTCATTTATACTAGGTGACAAATCATATGCTCAGGGGAAGAAATCCCTTAAGGCCCTTAAAAATCAATTTTCTAATCCTACTACAATATACTTACTGATAAATATAAAGATAACAATAGTTCGTACTAAGGACTATACACCTAGAATAATACCCATCACTCATAAACTTGATAAAGTTGAAAACAAATCAGTACTTCTAATCACCAAGGATCCTTCAACTCCCTATAGAGATGCTCTTACTGCCAAGGATTCACCAACAGAAGATGTTTTCAATCAAATCTTTACTTTAACTAAGCTTAAATCCATAGCGAGAGATCCTAAAAAAGTATACAAATTATTTAAAGAATATGATATTGTAGTAGCGGATAATCGAGTTCATAAATTCTTACCGACTATATTAGGTGGTCAATTCTATATAAAAAATAAAAAAGTTCCATATATGATTCAAATGGCTAAACCATCAGCAGAATCTCAAGCTCAATTAGTGAGAGGAAAGAAGTCAACTAAATTAAAGGATGATAGATGTGAACCTAAGTATGTTAAACAACAAATGAAGGCTATAGTTGGTAATACTAGTTATATACCAAGTTCTTCAGGGAATTGTCTTTTTATTCGGGTAGGATCTACTGAATGGCCTATTGAGCATATACTTCATAATATTAATGATGTCTTACAATATTTAATAGATACTAAATATGGTCCTGTAGGAGGAGTATTAAAGAGTATAGATAATTTAGGTAATATTCATATAAAGACTAGTGAAAGTATAAGTTTACCATTATATACCCCTACTGAAATCACTAATGATGATGAAGATGATGATAATAGTGATTATGACTTTTAATTATATACTATGTATAATAAATGTACTATATATGCGCAGTATAACTTAAAATTGTCTTTGACGTATTGGACCTTATAATTATATAGATGAAAAAGATAATTTCGCACTAAAAATATTAGCGTTTTGTAGGCGGACTAAAAATCCGTGATTGATTCAGGAACCATCGCAATTATCGCAATACAGCCTCAAGAGTAAAGTAATAGTTAAGAAATAAAAAATAGAAACAAATAGGAGAAGTATGGTTATTGAAACTTCAACTACTAGTGGTTCTAGTAGTGGTTTTATTGGTAGTTCAAGTTCTACTCATGATGAACCACCTCCATCCTATGCTTCGCACGTTTTTGAAGATCTTGGTCAAGCCCCAATTAAAATATTGAATGCACTTTTAGATGATGGAAATGACGATGATAATATAGAACATGTAGAACATTTCAAATATAAACAAGTTCTTGAAAGAAAATTAACGGTAACTTCTATTATAGGATTAGGATTTTCATTAATGGGAGTACCGTTTGGTTTATCGTCAACTTTATGGATATCATTAATGGATGGTGGGAATGTAACTATTCTTTATGGTTGGTTAGTTGTAGCATTTTTTTCATTATGTGTTGTATTAAGTTTAAGTGAAATCATTTCAAAATATCCAACAGCTGGTGGAGTTTATCATTTTAGTGCATTATTAAGTAATGAAAAATATTCTTTAATATCTTCATGGTTAACTGGTTGGTTCTTATTAATTGGAAATTGGACATATTCTGTATCAATTATGTTTGCTGGATCTCAATTTATTTTATCAATTTTTGGTTTAAGAGATGCAAATTATAAAGAAGATATATTTTTAGTTCTTGGAGTTTACTTAATTATATTATCATTATGTGGATTTATTAATTTTAGATTTTCAAAACATTTAGAAAAAATCAATAAAGGGTGTATTTATTGGACAATTTATACAGTTTTAGCTATGGATGTTTTATTAATTTTCTTTGCAAGAAAGACAAATTCTATTAAAGATATTTTAACAAGTTTTGATAATTCAAGATCAGGTTGGCCAGATCCATTAGCGTTTATGGTTGGTTTACAAGCTTCTTCATTTACTTTAACTGGTTATGGAATGTTATTCTCAATGACTGATGAAGTTAAAAATCCCGAAAGAAATATGGCTAAAGGTGCTATAAGTGCTATATTAATTTCAACAGTTACTGGACTTATTTTTATTATACCTCTTTTAACAATTTTACCAGAATTATCTTTATTATTAGATAAAACTCCAGAAATTATGCCTATTGATCTTGTATTTAAATTATCTACTGAATCATATATAGTATCATTCTTATTGGTTCTATTATTAACTGGAACTGTTATTTTCCAATCAATTGGTTCATTTACAACTGCTTCAAGAACTACTTATGCTTTTGCTCGTGATGGTGGTTTACCATTTAAAGATTATTGGGTAACAGTTGATTCTGTTGATGAATCAACTATTCCAAAAAATGCTTTATTTTTATCTATGTTTGTTTGTGGTTCACTTTCTTTATTATCTTTAATTTCACCTTCAGCTTTTAATGCTTTTATGGGAGCTTGTGTTATTTCATTAACTTTAGCTAATGGTATTCCAATTCTTTGTCTTATGTTAAATAAGAGAAGAAAAATTAGAGGAGCTGCATTTAAATTGAAAAGAGTTGGATGGATTTTAAATGGTCTTTCAGTATTCTGGGTCATTTTTCTGTCTGCCATATTATGTCTTCCTCCAGTTATAAAACATATGACTTGGAGTACAATGAATTATGCCTCAGCTGTAGTTGTATTATTTGTAGCATTTGCAATGGTTGGTTATCGGTTATGGGGGGTTGCAAGTTTTGAAGGCCCTCAAATTGATACAGATTACTTTGAACTTCATAATTTAGAAGCTGCAAATAATAAGGGACCTACAATTAATGGAGATGAATCATTTGCTGAGACATCTGGTGAACTCAATATAGTTGAAAATGATTCAACCACTGAGCCTTTAAATATTCAAGCACATGAATCAGAGTTTCAAATAGAAGAAGATGATGAAGAGGAAGAGGAAGTAGAGGAGGACGAAGAAGAAGAAGAGGAGGAGGACGGAGGAGAAGAAGAGGAATATGATGAAGGGAATTATGCCGCAACGGGTATGATTAATAACGATAATAATAATGATTCTCAGGATATATTTATAGAAACGGACGGTTATTCATCAAAGACAACTTCTGATTTGACTCTCCTTCGAGGATCACAAGAAACAGCTTCGAGTGTTGATGAAACAGAAGTCTTATTTGATGCTTCAAAAGAATATAACAATAATTAATGATTGCATATATATACTTTATAAATACTTAGAAGTAATTAACGATTTTTATAAACTATTCATTAGTAATTTTAACAGGAACTTGTACTTTATTCTGGGGATCATAGTACCCCAGAGGATCTTGAGCTGGTGAAAATGAATTACTCAGAGTATAGATAACATAGGAAGGAGGTTGAGTGATTGTATATTCAACTGTTGGTAATTCTTGTTTCCCTTTAACATAACCTCCAATTTTAGTATAAATTGGAAAAGATTTTATTGTTGTACGTGAAGGAGCTGTCCATCTATTTGTATTTGGAGTTTGAGGAGGAACTGTTTGCATTGGAGCATATTTCACCAGACCAGTTTGTAACAAGTTAGGTATACCATACGATGCAGTATTAATACTTTGAACAGTTGAACTATCGGCATTGAAAAACATTGTCAAGGGAGGAGGTGAAGCTTGAGAAAGTTCATCATAGTTAATATCTCCAATACTAAGAAAGAATCTATTAGTGTAATGAATAGTAAAAAATTCAGAACTCAGAGCCAATACTTGAATAAAATAAGATCCAGGATTTACCAGTGTTATATTAGCAATATATGAATAAGATTTATCATTATAATTAATATTTCCACTACTAGTTGCAACCGTTAAATTTACAACTGGATTAATATTATTCACTGTCCCATTACAAAGAACCAACGTATAATTTGATACTTGAGATAATAATGGTGTAGCATTTGATTCTAACCATTTTACATCAACTTCAAAAGTAGGATTATCTGATGAGTTACTAGTAAATACTTGCATAGCACCTGGTTCATAAAGGGCAACATCAGCCAAAGCGCACGATAAGAATAGCTGCAAAATTATCGTTATGATTCTTACCAAATTCATAGTTGTCAACATTATCTATAATATAAAAAGTAATTAATAAATCAATGACTATCAAATATACATTTAAAATTTATATATATTAAAAAGTTGTAAAGTTTTAATGGAAAGTAGGATTATGCAAGTTGCAACTTTATGCTGCTTATGATGGAAATTGTTCCTTTTTCTTTGATTACATAAGCTGCGTGTAATGTCCAGTGTGGAAAATTTTCGATCGAAAAAAAAATTATGAGTAAAAACCGAAAAGCAATTCATTGCCATTGATCTTTAAAATTTTAAGGTTAGTATAGCTACTATTATAGTTAAGAAGAAGAATAATAATTAATAATTAATAATGTCAGCTGATCATACCAGAGATCCATGTCCTATAGTTATTTTAAATGATTTTGGTGGTGCCTTTGCCATGGGTGCTATTGGTGGTACTGTATGGCATGGAATTAAAGGATTTAGAAATTCTCCATATGGTGAAAGATTTGTAGGAGCAAGTGCTGCTATAAGGACTAGAGCTCCAGTTGTTGGAGGTAATTTTGGTGTTTGGGGTGGTTTATTTTCTACTTTTGATTGTACTGTTAAAGCTGTTAGAAAGAGAGAAGATGCTTGGAATGCTGTTATTGCAGGATTTTTCACTGGTGGTGCTTTAGCTATTAGAGGAGGCTGGAAACATACTAGAAATTCTGCTATTACTTGTGCCTGTTTATTAGGTGTATTTGAAGGGGTTGGTATGATGATGCAAAGAGTATTTGCTCAACCAGCTGTTGCTCCTGTATACCCTGATGAACCACAAAGATTAGCTGCTTAGACTACTAAATTATTGCATTCTTCATTAAATAATTTAAACTATCCCAATCTACATACATAAAGGGGTTTTAGTTTAAATTCTTGTATATATCTTGCACATAATGATTAATTCATTTCAACTCTTCTTCTTACGATTAATTTTTGTTCCATAGATTTCTTAATGTACATTATAATTATTATTATTATTATGATTATTATTAATAAACTAATAAACTAATAAACCAATTAACTAGTTAATTTACTAATTTACTAATTTACTAATCAGTTAATTTTCCCTATCTTTATCACCAGAATTGTAGATGTAAAATAATTTTTTTGATGGTGAATTCCGGTCTCCGTAATTTGAGGTGCATCGGACCCGGATCTCGATTTGAGGAGAAGGTTACTTAACCCATTTAAATCAACACTGATTACGAATGGGTAATAAGTAATATTCAACGCATGAACTGTAATACAAATTTATTGCTATTGTATTGAGTAGATTGTAAAGATATACAATGGCATACAATTATAATTTTAATAGGCATAACTCAATTGGTGGTAGCTGGCATTTACCACCTCCGCAAGGATATAGTGGTACCACTTCTAATAATCATGACCAACAGAATCAAGATATATTTCAGAAGCAACAAGTACAACCACAACCTCCACAACAGCAACAACATCATATGCAAGGGTTTAGAAACCCTTGGTATACTCAAAATCAACAACTTTCACCAGGTGGAACTAATTCTTCAGCCATTTCAGAATCTCCTACTAAGGGTATTCCATTACTTCAACAACAACAATCTTCAAAAAGATTATCATTTGCTAATAATTTACCAACAACTTATGAATATGATGATCAACGTCAACAAGTAACTCCATTTATTCAACCTCCTACCAGAGCTGATAATCCATTTAATCAATATTATACTAATCAAGAAGTAACTCTTGGAGATAGAAGAATGTCAGCAGCTCCTGCAATTCATAATGGTTATTATAATTCATTTCTTCCTCAAAATGATAATTATCAAACTCAATATTTACAAAATTCACCTAGTATGAATAGAAGATCATCAGTTGGAGTTACACCTAATTATCAACATCAAAGTGGACCTTATGTAATTCCTAATAGAGTTAAAAGATCTCATCTGATAATTCAATATCAACAATATCAACAAGCTTTACAAAATCTGAGAATGAGTTTAAAAAGAAGACCACCACCAAAGGCTTTAAAAGTTTATAATAAATATGAATTAAGACCAAAAATTCATTCTAAACCAAAATATCGTCGATGTTCAGTAAATTCTATTCATATATCACCAGTAAATGCATTATCAGTTTATTTAACAGAATCTTATGGAATTTGTCAACCAAAGAAATTTCAATATTCAAAATCAAGTAATCCTAAGAGAGTATTAACTAAACCTCTGGAACCTAAATTTAATAATGGTTATGATAATGAAGATAGTGATTATATACTTTATGTTAATGATATATTAGGAACTGAAGAAGGTAGAAGATATATTGTTTTAGATCTTCTTGGATCAGGAACTTTTGGACAAGTTGTTAAATGTCAAAATTTATCAAATCAAAGTGTTTGTGCAGTTAAAGTTATTAAATCAAAACCAGCATATATGAATCAATCATTAACCGAAGTTAAATTATTAGAATTTTTAAGAACTAATAGTGATGGTAAAAATTTTATTCGATTATTAGATACATTTATGCATAAAGAACATTTATGTTTAGTATTTGAATTATTAGCATCAAATCTTTATGAATTAATTAAACAAAATCAATTTCAAGGATTAAATATGAAACTTGTTAAATTACTTACAAAACAATTATTAGAAGCTATGGCTCAATTAAAGGGATTTCAAATGATTCATTGTGATTTAAAACCTGAAAATATTCTACTATGTCAACCTGATAAACCTGATATAAAAGTTATAGATTTTGGTTCGGCATGTTTTACTCGTCAAACTATTTATACTTATATACAATCAAGATTTTATCGATCACCAGAAGTTATATTAGGTTTACCATATACTGAATCAATTGATATGTGGTCATTAGGATGTATTGTAGGAGAATTATTTTTAGGTTTGCCAATGTTTCCTGGTACATCAGAATATAATCAAATGTGGAAAATTGTTGATATGTTAGGTCCACCACCACGACATATGATTGAAGTTGGTAGAAATTCAATGAATTTTTTTAAGAAAGTTCCAAATATTGATTCTGAATCAAAAGTTAGTTATATTATAAAGACATTTGATGAATATCTTCATTTTTTAGAAACTTCTAAATCAAAAGATGATCATAATAAGAAAAAGGAACAACCAAATAAGAATTATTTTAAACAAAGATTATTAAAAGATATTATATTAAATTATAAATTACCATCGAAGAAAATGACTAATTCAATGATTGAAAAGGAATGTCAAGAAAGATTATTACTTATTGACTTTTTAACTAAAGTACTTAATTTAAATCCATTGGAACGATTAACACCTCAAGAAGCTCTTAAACATCCATTTGTTAATGATATACGAGCAGACTCTGCTGGATCAGCTGGACTGCCAGTACATATTAAAGATGGATCAAGATAATTCTAATTTCTACATAGTTAACAATAACTCTATAAATATAATAAAGTATAGTTAACTTATAGTTGTAAAACTTAGCCTATCCTAATTAGGAAGCGGGTCGTGCGTGGGCGCATTCGCTGAAAAAAAAAATGTATCGAAGTGAAAATCGTAATAGAAACCCACAAGTTATACTGTTTATGAATTAGTTCAAGGTAGTGTAGAATAATATATAGAGGGAGACACTATATTGTTCTTTTCATATTTTACTTATTTTCATTGCGAGTGTTGCATTTTAGTTAATTCAGCATTAATAATTCGCATTTCATAGCATTTAATCTATTTAATATATAATTAATTAATTAAAAAAAACTAAATAAAAGATGAATGTTAGTACAAGTACCTTAGGGGTAAGAAGAAGAAAAGCTAATAATCAAAATATAGATGATGAAGAAAATGCAGCTTTATTAAAACTTGGACCTGAATTTCAATTAACTCAAATAACTAATGCCGGAGAAGAAGAACAATTAATTGCATTAAATTTATCAGAATCAAGATTACTTATAAGAGCAGCTTTAAAGGAAAGAAAAAGAAGTAAAGGTGATAGAAAATATGATAATGATGATGATGATGAAAATGAAAAGGAAGATGAAATATCGAATATGGAATTAGCCGGACCTAATTCTAGTGAAATTATGAGGAAAACATTAAATTATTTAACTAATTTTGCTCGATTTAAAAATCAATCTTCGGCTGATACTGTTGAAAAATTATTAACTGATTTTAGTCTTCAAGCATCTGAACCTTTGCATCCATTTGAAATTGCTCAATTAGGTACTTTAGAATGTGAAGATGCAGAAGAAGCAAAATCTTTAATTCCTCTGCTTGTTAATAAAGTATCTGATGTACAATTACAATCATTACTCACAGAATTAAGAAAGTATCAAACCTTATCATGAACAACAAAGTAAAGTTTGTCGTAAAAAAAAAATGTAATATAGTATTAGAATCCAATTTCTTTATATAAATCCTAATATATTTTGTACTATAGTGTTACTAATATTGTTTAGTGTAGTAGTAGTTAAATGTCGCAATATCAAATATCGATGGCCATCTAAAATTTCACAACTTTCTCAATCTTAACCTGTAACTATACAAATATCACCACCAATTATGGATGAAGACGACTTATATGATGAGTTTGGGAATCTCATTGGAGGCTCTGACATTTCCGATGACGAGTCATCGCATTCCAATTTGTTTGATAGTGAAGATGAACTGGATTTAGAGCAATCACAATCACATCGAGAACCAGTACCAGTAGCACCACCAGTAGATTCTACTAGTTTAATCAAAAGACAAGACCAAACTTTAGATAATGTGACTCAGATAGTGGTTGAACCCTCTGATGAAACAGATGAAGTACCAGTAATTCAAAGATCTATTGAAAAGAAAATTCGATATGATTATACTTATAGTGAAAGTCCTCATGATGAAGATTTTAAAGCATTACCAGAAATTATATATTCACGAACATTTATGATAGATACTATGAAAAGATTACCTGAAAGAATACGAACTATTGCTATAATAGGGAATTTCCATTCAGGAAAGACAAGTTTACTTGATGCATTAGTTTTACAAACTCATTCTCCATCAATAACTATAAAGAAAACTCTTAAGAGTTTTAAACCATTAAGATTCTTAGATAATCATAAAATTGAAATAGATAGAGGAATTTCAATTAAAAGTAGTCCAATTACATTAATATTACCTGATTTAAAGGATAAATCATTTATATTTAATTTTATTGATTGTCCTGGTCATCCTAACTTTTTAGATGAATCTTTAGCATCATTTAATGCAATTGATGGAGTTTTAATTATATTAGATGTTGTTGAAGGTTTATCATCAAGAGATAAAGATTTAATAACTCATGTATTACAATATAATTTACCTATTACTTTAATGATAAATAAAATTGATAGACTTATATTAGAATTAAAATTACCACCTCAAGATGCTTATTATAAAATTCAACTTATTATTGATGAATTTAATGGGTTTATTAATAATAATCCCTTTATATCTACTTATACTCATACTCAAAATTTTAATCCAATTAATAATAATATAATCTTTGCTTCAGCAACTTATGAATTCACATTTACATTATTAAGTTTTGCAAAATTATATCTTGATAAAAATCCAAATTCTTTAGTTAATATTGAAGAATTTAGTCAAAGACTTTGGGGAGATTATTATTTTAATCCTAATATAAATACATTTACTACTGATTCTCAAAATGGTAAATTATCTCGAACATTTATTTCATTTATTCTTGAACCAATATATAAATTATTTACATATACTTTAGTATCTGGTTCAGGAGATAATAAACTTGCTCATGTATTATGGAATAATTTTGGGATAACTTTACCTAAAGATGTATACAAACAAGATGTACAAATACTTCTTAAAGATGTATTTAAGAGTATATTATCAGGTAATAAAGGTTTAACATCATCATTAATAAATTCAATACCTATACCTAATTTAATAAATTCTTCAACTTCAACTTCAATTTCACCATTTGAAGGTAGAATTATAAAATTAATAGAAACTTCTGATGCTAAACTGTTTTATACACTATTAAAAGTTAATTCTGGAACTATAAAAGTAGGAACTAGAATAAAAATTATTGGAGAAAATTTTCAAGAAGATGAAGAAGATTATTCAATTGAAGAAATTGAAGAAATATATTTACCAGGAGGTAGATATAGAGTTCCAATTCAAGAAGCATCTAAAGGATTTCTTGTACTTATTAAAGGTATTGATAATAATATAATTAAAGGAGGTAATTATGTCTATGAAGAAGATAGTAATATTGAATTAATTCCTAAATATAAATCATGGGGAAATAAATCAATATTTAAAGTAGCAATTGAACCTGCTTCACCATCTAATTTACCTAAATTATTAGAAGGATTAAGAAAATTAAATAAATCATATTTAGATTGTATTATAAATGTTGAAGAAAGTGGTGAACATATTATATTAAGTCCAGGAGAATTATATATGGATTGTATGTTACATGATTTAAGAAATTTCTTTACTGATAATTTAGAAATTAAAGTAAGTGATCCAATGACAAAATTTGGTGAAACATGTATAGAAATATCTTCAACAAAGATTACTACAAAAACTTCATCAGGTCATAATCAAATATCAATTATTGCTGAACCATTAAATGATTTAAAACTTAGTAAATCAATTGAAATGGATAAAATTAATCTTAGACAACCAATAAAGACTATATCAAAAATATTAAGAAATGATTTTGGATGGGATTCATTAGCGGCAAGATCATTATGGTATTTTGGACCAAATGATTTACAATCTCCAAGTATATTATTAGATGATAGTTTAGAAGAAGAAACTAATAAAGATTTATTAAATTCAGTTAAAGATTCAATTAGATTAGGATTTAAATGGGGTATAAGTGAAGGACCATTATGTGATGAACCTATAAGAAATGTTAAATTTAAAATACTTGATGCAGTAATTAATGGATCTGAAATTCAAAGAAGTAGTACTCAAATAATTCCTATGACAAGAAGAGCTTGTTATACGGGATTTTTAACAGCAACTCCTCGATTATTAGAACCTTATTATAAAGTTGATATTATTTGTGGAGAATTATCTATTAAAGTTGTTAATAAAATTTTAGATAATAGAAGAGGTTATTTAATTAATCAAGTAGCAATTGCTGCAACTAATTTATTTGAATTAGAAGGAGTTATCCCAGTAATTGAATCTATTGGATTTGAAACTGATTTAAGAATTCAAACTCAAGGTCAAGCAATGGGTTATCTTCTGTTTAAACAATGGGATATAGTTCCAGGAGATCCATTAGATTCTCAAGCATTTTTACCATCATTAAAACCAGTTCCTAATAAATCATTAGCTCGAGATTTTGTAATGAAAACTAGAAAGAGGAAAGGTTTATCAGGAGATCCAAGTTTACAAAAATTTATTGAACCTGAATTATATAGTAAATTAAAGGATAAGGGATTTATTAATTAAATTATGTTGTATATTACAATAAATATATACGTTAATCATTAGATAATCTTGGCCTCTTTAAAGGATTAGAATTCGAATTAGAATTTTTAGGTGAATTTTTAGATGAATTATTTAATTTATCTTCAAATATTTTATCAAATCCTTTCCCTTCATCAGCTAAACCATTAAGATATTTAAATTTACTTGCAAAATTAGTTATACTAGTAATTATTAAAGTAATTCTTTCTGGTATTTCGAGTGATTTCATAGAATTTGATCGTAATTTTGCAAATAATATAAGTAAATCTTGTAATCTTATTTCTTCAGCATTAATATCAGTTTCAGTAATTTTTAAATTATTAAATTCAGGTATATTAAGTACAAGTGATTGAGTATCATTAAATTGAGTAATTTCTTGTAAATCATCATTATTTCTTATATAAAATAAAAATTCTTTAATTGTATATAATAGTATTTGACTATCATCATATAATGATACAAATACTGAACAATCTAATTGACAATATGATTGATCTATAGGATATAATAAGAATTCTGTATCTTCAATTCTTAATATTACTGGTATACTTGATTTATCAATTAATGATAATGATGAATCTCCCAGTTCATCATTAGTTGTAGTATTATTTATTTGATTAATCCCCACTCCCATTCCCATCCCCATCCCCATCCCCATTCCCATTCCCATTCCAATTCCAAATTCTAATTCAGAATCAGCTGGAGTTTCAATTATTGGTAATGGTAATTGTTTTTTATCTTGAATATCCCCTTGACTATTTCTATCTAATTCAGGTTCTGGTTCTGATTCTGGTGCAGATTCTGGTGCAGATTCTGGTTCTCCACCTCCTGGTATACTTTCAATTTGATTCATAGTTGAATAGATAGATATATTCTCATCTTGTTCATCATCTTCTGATACATCAATTAAATCTTCTCCACGATAAGGTATACGTCTAGTTTCTGATCCTGTACCTATTGATGATGAAGGACTGGTAACTTCAATGGGGATATGTTTAATACTATCATTTCTATTATCTTCTACAAACCCCACTAATCGTGCTATCTTTTGATCTTCCATTGAACTGTAGTATGTATAGGATGATTATGTTAATCAATCTTTTTTACCCTGATAACCTTAATCCTCACTCTGCTCCATAGTCTAAACTTTAAGTATACCCTATAGTATACATAGAGTATATGTATACTTTATGTACACTCTTAGTACACTCACACTCTTAGTATACTCTCACTCTTAGTATGCTCTTTATACACACTGTATATTGTACACTCTTTACACACACTGTATATTGTACGCTCTGATCTACACTCTGATCTAGACGCTTTACTCACTCAATCTTCTGTACTCCTTACTCTTTCTCACCCTACACTCTAATCTTAATCTTATCTACCCCTTTACACACCTACACTCATATCTAAAACTAATCTTAATGTACTCTTAATTACTATCCAATACTCTACATACTATACATAGATTATGGAATCCAAAGCTTAAATGTATCTGGTTTCCTTAATGATGGAGGTCTTAAATCATCATTTGATAAATTAACTGGAGCAATATTAACTGATGATGTATTACTTAATTTAGTTTCAGTTTCTTTAATAATTTCACTTTCACTAATAGTTGAATTTAATTTATTAGATACGGGTTTAAATAATAAACTTTTAGCTTCATTCAAAAGTTTATGAATTTTATTATTACCATCTTTATTACCTTCACTTTCAAGTAAATTTATAATATTATCTAATTTCTTTGTTATACTAATAGTAGATTTTGCTAAGGCTAATCTATCAATAAATATAGCTTGTTGTTGTTTAGATAATTCTTTCCGTTCTCGTTCATAAATCTTTTCTAATTCAGCTACTTTAGTTAATTTAACATCAATTTTTGATAATTGATTATTAACTATAGTATTACTTAACTTATGCATTTCTCGTTCTTCATAACTAGCAAATAAATGACTTTTACCTCCCACAATTCCAAATGTCGTAGCATTAATATTATGTATAGTATCTTTTGATGATTTAATTACTTCAGATTCAGAATCTTTAACTTCTTCTTTTTTATCTTCTTCTTTATGCTCATTTTCTTTATTAATCAAAGATTCTTCAACTTGTTCAGTTTCTTTATCTTCTTCCTTTAAACTTTCACTGGTAATTTCAACACTACCATTTTTTTCCAACTTTTCCAACTTTTTCTCATCCTTTTCTTGTTCCTTCTCCTTTTCAGTCATGGCTGTTGAAGATGGATTATAAACTTCTTCAACTTTGTCAACAATTAATTGATCAATGGCCTTTGATGCAGCTTCACTAGCAGCTTTAGCCACATCACTATCAACCAATTTAGCAATAAATGATAAATTACTTAAAAATGGATTTTCAAAACTATTAATAGGATTATTACTAGCAAATTTTAATAATTCAAGACTTGAACTATCTTTATCCTTAACAGGATTAAATTTATCTTCAATAGGGAATTTTAAAAATTTATAAATACATTCTTCAATAGATTTGGTTTCAACATGACTAGCAATTGCATACCAATCATTTTTAAATTTTTTAATTCCTTCAATTAATTTACTTTCTTGTTCAAGTGTCCAACCATCATTTAATTTTTTTAATGGTGGTTCTGAAATATTTTCATCTTCTTCATTTAATGAATGTTTTTTATCATTATGACCATTTTCAGAATTTGTAGTTGAAATTGAAGAATTAATGGTTGAATTATCTGAATTTGAATTAATTAATATTTCTTTTAATTTCCCAATATCAGCTCGTTCAGGATTTACTTTAAATGTATCAAATGGGAATAAACCTCGAGGAGTATCATATTTAATATGAAAATCTCCTGTATAAGGTAAACCAACCAGATGTCCATTAGGTAATTTTTCAATTGCATAACCAGGTTTAAATTGGGGACGAACTTGATAATTAATTAATCCCCATTTAGATAAAAATCTATGAACTCTCATAATAGTTCCCACATCACCAACTAAATTACGACGACATGAAGTTATAGTAAGAAATTCATTAGGATTTAATCGATAAGAATTAATCATAAAATTACGATAATTAACATAAATCTTAGGAGATTTTGATGGATGATTGGTATTAAAGAATTCTGGTAATGATTCCTTTTCAATTTGATGAATCTTCTTCATATTAAACCATGAAGCATAAGACGGTACAATAATTATATGAGTTTGTTTAATAAATGGTATTTTTTCATTATCTTCATCTTCATCAACTTCATCTTGTACAGCTTCTGCTTCATCATCTTCTTGATCTCCTTCTTGTTTGGGTTTTACTTCGGGTTTTTCCGTAGTGGTTGTCGTGGGTTTTATAGTTTCTTCAATTCTAGTTTCATTGGTACTTGATACAACGGTTGAATCATCTACATTAGCTTTCTCTGATGATTCTTGATTTCCATTAACAATTGTAGTGGATGTTGATGTTGAACTTAAAGATGATGAAGATGATATTTGCGTTGATCCTTCTTCTTTCAAATTATCTATTTTAGTTTCAGGTTCATCATTGGCATTTTCCATATCAATATCTTCACTTTGTTCTGGTTCAGGTATAGATGGTATATCCAATTCATCATTATTAACATTTTCTGAATTAGTACCTGTTTCTTGAAGTAATTCGTCAATGTTAATATCTCCTTCATTATTATTATCTGTGTCTTGTTCCTGTACTTGTACTTCTACTTCTACTTGTTCTGGTTCTGGTTCTGGTTCCTGCTGTTGTTCCTGTACTGGCTCTTGTACTGGTTCCTGTTCTTGGTCTTCTTGGTTTGAGACAGGCTGTTCTGCTGCTAATTCTTCTTGTTCAGTTTCAGCTTCTTCATCTTCATCTTCATCCTCATCTATACCCTGATCTTGATCTTGATCCTCATCATCATCCTCATCTTCTTGTCGGAACGAATCAATAAAATCTTGATCATCTTCTTCATTATTATTGACATTTAAGATATCCAGATCATCAGCATCTTCTACTGGTTCATCAGTAATACCTGTTTCTTGTTCTTCTGGAATGATTTCTCCATTTATCAGAACTTCGGCATCGTATTTTTCTTCATCCTGAGATTTAGATTCTGGTTGAATATCTTCTTGTGCTTCTTCTACATTATCATTTACTGATGGTTGAATAGAACCCTCAATATCTGATTGGAATTCTGAAGGTGTTGGTTCGACTGTATTTTCATCTATGACATCTTCTTGATTTTGATTTTGATTTTGATTTTGATTTTGAATTGGTATTGGTTCAGATTCTTCTTCCTCTTGTTGTATATCTGATGGTTGGGCAGTCTCGAATTCAGGTTGTGGTTGAGGTTGAGCTTGAGGTTGAGGTTGAGGTTCAAGTTCAGGTTGATATTCAGGCTCTGGAACAGGTTCAGGTTCATTTGGTATTACTTGCTCACCTATTGGCAGTTCTTCTTCTTGATCAAGAGAATCACCTTCTTCTTCTTCTTCCTGCTCCTCTTCGTCTTCCTGTTCTTGATCCTGCAACTCATGCAATTCATCTTCAGCTTCTTCGTTCTCAATTTGTGATTCTACATCACCTACCGAAACGTCATCTTCAGAAGATACTAAACTCATATTGGTAGATGCAGCTATAATACAAAAATAATAATAGGAATAATAATAATACAATAAATGTAATTGTCAACAATCAATCTATGAATGGACAATGAATATCAACGTGAACGTGAACGTGAAGGTGAATGTGAACGTGATTCAATGGATTGATACTTTTGAAGTGAATTGAAGTGAATTGAACCGAATTGAACTAAATTAAATTAAATGTATACAATGTATGGTGTCTTGTCTCGACCAACAACAATCACCTCAATGCAATTGACTACTACAAATTATTAATAGTGGTAGTACTTACTTTACAACTAATAAACTAAGATTATTTAAAATCTATCACCAGTCACCTGATTAATGAATTCTAGATTGAAATCTAACTAATTTGCAACACTCTACTTTGCTGGTTGTAAGCACCTTGAGGTTAGTTGGGGGGCAGGTGAGCCATTTTTTTTTTTGGCTAATTTGAGAGAGATTTGAAATTTTTCGGCACGACTGCGCACGACCTTGTTGGACGCGACCTATGTGTTGCGGTATGGGTGTCTCTATGACCTTGGCTAATGCTGGATATATCCCTATTGGGTAATATAGTACTACTAAGTCTAGTAATTGTAATTATAATAGTAGTAGTTATAGTAGTAATTGTAGAATCCTGATAATATAGTATACTATAACATACTGATAATATAGGTACTATGCGGAGATAAGACACTATACTAAAAAGTAGCTTTATCTTGTCTTCCCGTCTGTCTGTATCTCACCATTGTCTTGGCCCGTATTCCCAATTAGGTAATACCTTCTTCCACTAATGATTTAGGAGTTATTTCCTGCTCATGTGACATGCTGTAATGTGACTAGATTCTCTTCTCTTCTCTTCTCTTTTCATATTAACCACCTGAATTTATAACCCTTATTAATCATAGTTACTGTATATCTTGCCTTAAGTCAAAATAACATTTAATACCTATTATCAATCACTATGATAATGACTATCTTTATTAACAAAGTGTTGAACCATTATTTGCCATTTTTAGTGGGGAGGCAAGAACGGCTAAAAAAAAATAATCACCTCTGTGTAGGTCGGTAAATCTTAAAATCTGACATAGTTATCATGAAAGGATGAGTTTAACATTACTTTGACCAAATGAGCTATAACATATATTGAAACATATGATTATCAAATAATCTAATAGTAGAAGAAAACAAATTGTAAAACAAAATTCAAATAAAAGTTAGCACCACATGAATTAAATTATAAATAACTGGATGAACTGGAAAAGGGGGATTTCGGTTAATATAAATAATCATCATTTATCCTAGTATTTAATTCATCTGTTTATGTATATATCAGTTACTTAATTCATTGTATGCCTAATCATTCAATTTTTCTTTACTTTTTGTTTAATTGTACTATTCTAATTTTATGTCATTCTAACTTCTTTCTTGTTTATTCTTTTATCTAAGCCTAATATGGTTTGTTAATTCTTGCTTTTACCTTTAATTACTTATTGGTTTTATTAATTTACTTTATTCGCTTTTACATTTTACTATTATTACTTGCTTAATTTAGAGCCGTCAAGCTTATAACTGCATTTTATAAATTTTTGTTTCATGGATCATCCTTACTATTTGATTTTCTTCCTCAACTTCCTTTATGCCCATTTTAGATTTTACATCATCGTTATATTATTATTCTAGTATTATTATTATTATTATTATTATTAGTATCATCATTATATTTTTATTATTATTACTTTTACTTTTACTATTACTCTTTCTATACTTAGTTGGTAATTAAATTTTCCTTAATTCCATTCTATTCTATTCTTGTCTTTTGTTTATTATTGTTATGCTAATAATACTATAGTACAACATGAATTATTTAATGCTTCTCATTGCCATTTATACTCTCCAATTCCTTCTCTATTGACTGATTAATGGCTCAATGAATAATAAATAAACCATAGATCTTGTGCATATTTTCTTTTCATTTCTTTTTTGGGAACTATTTATTTATTTTAGCTTAAGATTTACGTTTGTGTTTGCAAATTAGGATAAAGTTCTTGTTAACAAAATAACGGACTAATACGAGAAGGAGAAATAAAAAAGTAACAGTAAAACTAAGAGAAAGCAAAAGATACAAAAGAGACAATGCATTGAAATCACGGATCCGGAGATATAAAATTCCAACAATTTATAATAAATTTAATTCTGAATGTCATCAAGCAAATCAATAATTGAAAGTCCTCAGTGAAACGAAAGAAAGGGCACAAGCCAATGACAGGTAATCAATCGTACATACAGTCCACACAGTGCATACATACATTCAAAAGCCTAAGCACAGACAGATAAATTAATAAAATATTTAATTTAATATTTAATATTTAACATTTAATATTTATAATAACAAACGAAAATAATGCCATGCACAAAGTAGACTTACAACTTAACCTATTTATTATGAACAGTATAGCTTTAATAGGGATATTAATGTTAATAGTTATATTGTAATTGTAATTAAAACTATATATTGACCGATGGTTGAGTGGCCTGGCCAGGCTGTGTCTGTGTTTGCTACCTCCCTTATAACTTTATGTATCATAACATTTCTTAAGCCATAAATTTAGAAATTCCAAAACGGTGCATTTTCAACTTGTTCTGGGTATGTATAAATTTAGTTTATTATTTGAAATTTACACGTAAGGAAATGTAACACGTCAGTATTACAACATAAGAAGCTAATCTTAACATAATCTCTATAGATAATATAATTCTATTCAATTATCTAATGCTAATATAGCAATCTCCCTTCTAAAATATAAAAAGCTCCCGTTAACCGCTCTTCATGCAACAACGCAACCAATTTCTAACAGAGAAAAAAGAAAGAAAAATAAAACCCAAGAACCGAACCTAAACGAATATGGAAATTACATCTGTTCCACATACCCACAATTAAAGAGATGCATTTAAATTTGTTGAACTGACTAAAAGGTTTATAATAATCTTACGTTCGAGAAGTGGGGGCATTGATAAAGTGTGTAGTTTTACATTGTAGCGTAACGAACTGGGGCTCAAACTGGTGATTAGTTCGTCCCGTATTTTGTGGTTGAGGGGCAATGAGCATCTTTTACCTCAATCTATTTTTTGTTTTGTAAATTCACGTTTGTCTGTATCTATTGCTTATTAAGAATGCCCGCCTTATAGTTATCTATAACGATAATACACTTATCATATATTTATATTCCCTTGTATCTCTACTCTCTCATATATATACCTTATATGTAAGGTTGTTATTTGTAATTTCTACACGGAGAATACTTTACATTATTTAAGTTGGTAGATAGTAATTGTATAAGCTGTATTCTCTACCATACTACATTGACAATTTGGTTTACTATATACCAGACTTAATATAACACTCTAGTGCTTGAAATAATAATAATACACATCAGAATAACGCAGATTGCTGTTTCAGAGATTTATTATTATTCTACATAGTTACTTTATTTACAGTAATGATTGACAAACAATAGCCTAATTTTACACACTATAGATAAATCCTTATCTAATATGCGACTCAGTATTTATAAAATTTAAGATATATAGAATATGTTCAAATATTGGACTATGACTACAGGTCATTATGTTAATGAGTTCTAGTGTAGCATATAATAATTGATTGAGATAAACTAATATTCACTACCCTGTACTTGTTGCAAAACTATAGTTAAATTAATTAATACTCATATCATGTGACATTGGTTAGGGCTACATCCCTAGCCACACATGCAGGCCCATAATAATGTGCGCAGAGCGACATCGGATACTACTCTCATACTAAAAAATGTCTAGCTTCATAGTTTAATAAAAATGTCGCATCATTAACTATGCGCAGCCAAAGAACCAAACTATCGAAAAAAAATTCTTTCCTAAATTTTCAAAATCTATTATAACTTGAATAATACCTTTTTCATATTTCCACTTGAATTAGTCCATTCAATAAATCAACAAGAAGAAGAAATGGTTCGTTACGCTGCTACCTCCACCAACCCAGCTAAGTCCGCTTCTGCTCGTGGTTCTTACTTAAGAGTTTCTTTCAAGAACACCAGAGAAACTGCTCAAGCTATCAACGGATGGAAATTAGACAGAGCTCAAAAATACTTAGACCAAGTCTTAGATCACCAAAGAGCTATTCCATTCAGAAGATACAACTCCTCCATTGGTAGAACCGCTCAAGGTAAAGAATTCGGTGTCACCAAGGCTAGATGGCCTGCTAAATCTGTCAAGTTTGTTCAAGATTTATTACAAAACGCTCAAGCTAACGCTGAAGTATGTAAAATTCAATCATAATGAAATATCATAAACTGAATCCAATTTAAGAATATAAACTTAAAGTAATGAAGTAATTTAATTTAATTTAATTTAACTGATCCATGTATAATTATCAATCATTGAAAATTTTTAGAAACCATCAGTATCCACAATTAAAAATGAATATTAACACTACCATCACTTACTAACTACAACAATATTCAATATTTAACCACCTTTAGTTAATCAAATCTAATTAGATGGACTTGTCCATATTAAAAAATCCAGTTAAATCAGTTAAAATTATTTCCCTTTATTACATTTATATTTATATTTTTAAATTTGATTTCATAACCCATTTAACATTAAAAACAAAAGTACTAACATTAATTAACTTATAGGCTAAAGGTTTAGATGTCTCTAAATTAAAGATCTCTCACATTCAAGTCAACCATGCTCCAAAACAAAGAAGAAGAACTTACAGAGCTCACGGTAGAATTAACGCTTACCAATCTACTCCATCTCACATTGAATTAACTTTAACTGAAGAAGATGAAGCCGTTGAAAAGGCTGTTGAAACCAAGAAAGTCAGATTAAACTCTAGACAAAAAGGTAGATTAGCCACTCAACAAAGATTGACTGCTGCTTAAACATTGGGTTAAACAAAAATGTTACTATTATTATTATTTCTTAAATATATATTATTATTCTACTTGTTTAATCTTTTTAGCATCAAATAGTCAAAACCACAACACCCCCCAACTTTCACACGTTCATAAATTAATACACGATTGAGTTCAAAACTTGTTTAGTATTTGTTGTAGCATTACTTTGTAATTTGTTAAAATCTTTGAAATATTACTATCTGGTGACCAATATAATTACCTCTACTAAACTGTATATCTATATGAACTTTTATATATATAATATATATGCTCTTTAACCATATTTGCATAGATTAAGACAATTACAGGTTTGATGAGCTTAACTAACAAAATATGAAAAATTCTTAACTATGGTGAGCATACCTGCACACAGTTCCACCAATAACTGCGAAGAAAATTAGAATTGTTAAACAGTGGGAAAAAATTCTAACTCACAACTAAACATAGTTAAGCTGATATTGTTTAGTTTAGTTTAGTTACTACCATAAGAATATAATAACAACTAGAAACAATGGCTGGAGCAGGACCAAAGACTTATATGGGATGGTGGGGTAACATGGGATCCACCAAACAAAAATATGTTACATCATATTCCGTTTCCCCATATGCTACTAAACCATTTAAAGGTGCTTTATATAATGCATTCTTCAATACTTTTAGAAGAACTAAGAATCAATTCCTTTATGTTGCCATTCCAGCTGTTATTGTTTGGAATGTCTGGACTAATGCCAGAGATTACAATGAATACTTGTATACCAAGGAAGGTAGAGAAGAATTAGAAAGAGTTAATGTTTAATCGATCTATTTTCAACTTGTCATGACTTATAGCATATAAATCCATATATCTCACATAACATTTATTTCATATTCGAGGTAATTGATTGATTCCTTGACTTTTATATATAAACACATATTCGTTTAATACAAATTCATATATTTTGAAATATTGAAATTGATTCTTTAATTGATCAATTAATTAATTAATTAATTATTATTAGTATTATTTTTATTATTAATGCTATATATTGTAAATTCTAATTCTATTAAACTAATGATTGATATCTTTACTTAGAACGCTTGTAAACTTTGCCTAAGAAAGCAGTTAAGACTTCTTTCTTTAAACCCCTTGATTCATCAACTTGTTCAATTTGTTCTCTTAATTTAGCAACAATTGATTCTTCATATTCTTCATAAGTTTTTTGAATTCCTAATTCATTAAATAATTTTTTAACTCTAGCTTCTGATTCATCATCTTTTTTACCATAATTATTATCTAATAATTGACGTTGTTCTTTATTAACTTTTAATAAAGCTTGATTAACAACCCATGAACATTTATTATCTTTAATATCAGTACCAATCTTACCAATTTGTTCAGGGGTTCCAAAACAATCTAAATAATCATCTTGAATTTGAAAGTATTCACCTAATGGAATTAAAATATCACGAACTTGTTTTAAATCTTTTTCATCATTAATTCCACTCATAAACATAGCTAAAGCAACTGGTAAATAGAATGAATAATAAGCAGTCTTAAAAATAACAATAAATGAATGCTTTTCTAAAGAAAATTTATCTAAATCAACAATATTTTCATCAGCAGTTACTAAATCTAATAATTGACCTAATTCAGTTTGGAAAGTAACTTCATGGAATAAATCAAGAAGATCAACATAATAAGAATCATTTCTAAAATGTTTCTTTAAAAGAATATAAATAGCACCTTCCAACATAAATGAATCATTAATAGCAATATTATTAACTCCTTCAACTAAATACCAACATGGATGACCTCTTCTAGTTTTAGATTGATCCATCATATCATCTGCAACTAAGAAATAAGCTTGTAATAATTCAATTGCCCAACCTAAAATGGCAACTTTTTTATATTCTGCATCACTTAAATCTTCAATAGTCTTATTATTTAAAATAAGATATGTATCAACAACAGATAATCCACGATTTAATTTTCCTCCTGGAGTATTATAATCTAAATTCTTTACAAACCAATCAATTGCAGTTTGAGGCATCTTATAACTAATTAAAATCTCTTTCAATTCTTCAACCATTTGGTCGAAAACTCCAATGAATTTTTCTCTAGCAGCTAATTTACTACTCATATTAACTATTTACTCTTTAATGATCTTGTTAAGTCTAGGACTATGACTTCTTAGTATAGATTGATGCTTAAGTATTAAACTACGCAAACTCAAATCGCGTTGTGTTGAAAAAAAAATTATACGACCGTTTATATTTTGAGGTGGTGCGGCTCGCGCTTAAATTCTTTTTTGTCTAGTAGCACTACTGGATGCAAAATATATGTATATACGTATATATAAAAATTAGATCTAATTTACAGTACAGAAACAATTATTTAATGTCTTCTACTACGTTTACTCTTACCTGGTCTACTAGATTTACCACCTTTACCTTTCATTCTACTAGCAGAAAATCCACTAACATCAGCTGATGAAGATGCATCATTTTCTCTACTACCTCTCTTTTTACCTCCAAATCCATATTTAGAATCTTTTGCTAATCTTTTAGAATTTGGTTTTCTTCTTTTATTTTCACGATTATCATTTTCACGAGTGGCTTCTTCTAAAGCAATTTGGAAATCATCATCATTACTTATTTCATTAGCACTTCTCTTTTTCTTTAATGATTTAATCTTATCTAAAGTATCTCTCTTTTGTTTAGCTCTTTCTTGTAAAGTTGCATGTTGGACTTGTTTACCAAATTTCTTTAATTGTCTTTGTCTCTTGGCATCTTCGGAAGCTTTCTTATCAGCAGCTTCACTTAATAATTTATTCTTTAATTTATCCATATGTTCATCACTTTTAATCATTTCTGCAAAATAATCCAATGGTCTTGAAAATGGAACCTTTAATTTTAATAAAGTTGCTTTGGCTTGTTGAACAGCGTCTAACCCTTGTTTATAAAATGCTAATTCTCTTTCAGTATCATCATAGATATCTTTAATTGAGCTTTCTGTTGGTTCAGCACTTATTACACTTTGATGTTCAATAAAGGAATGTTTAGCCCATGGTAATTCAATACGAGCTAATGAATCTCTTAATGCAGATGTATTATTTATAGTTAATTTGGTATGAGGAACAATATCTGAGTCGGAGTCAACTTCAACGTCTGATAATGGAACATCTTCTTGTTCCTCTTCATCGTTTTCTTCTTCATCATCTTCTTCTTCTTCGTCATCTTCATCTTCATCATCTTCTTCTTCATCATTGAGATCACTTTCACTGTCACTGGCAGCTAATCTTTCCAAATCGAGTTCTTCTTCTTCCTCATCATCATCTTCTTCTTCCTCTTCTTCTTCCTCTTCTTGTTGTTCTTCAGCTTCTGCTTGTTCGATCTGAGCATTCAATTTCTTTAATTGTCTTAATTCCTTCTTCGATAATGCATCGCTTACGTAGTCACCATTGGTTTTACTCTTTTTTTCTTTCTTTGGTTTAACTTCCTTAATCTCAACTGGTTGTTCTTCGATTTCTTCTTCTTCTTCTAAAGCTTGTTCTACAGTCTTCTTCACAACAGGTTTAGACCTGGACTTATCAACCAAGTCAACGGCTTGTTTATGCTTCAACTGTTGTTTTAATCCACCTCTAGCCATGGTATTTGCTTTATATGTCTATATAGTAAATCTATTAACTACTACTAAGTTAAATTTCTACTGAAAAAAAAATTGCGATGCCTACTGAAAAATTAGTATGCATCTAAAAATGTATTGCGTCATGGATGTCCTATAGCCATATAGTATATTATTACTATTATTATTGTTACTATATTGAATTATTATAATCTATATCATTAAGAAATGATTTACCAGCTCCATATTTCCACCATCGACTTAAACAACTGTGAATATTAACATCTACAGGCTTGGTAATTTTATCACCATCATATCCATAAGCCTTACATACACATCTCTTTGAAGCTATTACATCTCTTGATGTTGGACATGCTAAATATGGTGCATGATAATATCCAATATCTTCGAAATGATGGATCAGATTCTTATCAGCTAATATATTCAATCCAATTGAATGTACTGGAGCATCACCCCATCTTTCATAATAAAATCCCCCTGATTTATCTAAGAAATCAAAATACTTACCATAAGCTTCACTTCTGAAAAAATTTAAATTACCTATTTCAAAGTTAGACCAAAAATGACATAAATTATATTTTGAAGATGATGGTACTAATGGTTGCCAATGATTTAAGGATGTGTCATTGCTTGTAATAAAATCTAATGAATTATTAGCATGAATTAATTCAGGATTTTCTTCCATGAATTGTTCTACAGTTTGCCATAATGTTGGAATTGTATTTTCATATTCTGGAATGGCAATTACAAATCCATATATTTTATTATTAATTCTTAAAAGTTCAAATGGATCATATTGGAAATCACACATATACTCTACATCAGGTTCGACTCGAAAGTACCAATCATAATTTAATAATCTCTTTTGACGATAAAAATAACCGGAATTAAAATGACACATATTTCTGTATGATTTGGCTCCACCATAAATAACTCCATCTAAAATTGATCTAGAAATTGATGCTTCAAATTTCTCATCATCAATGAAAGATGGCTTATCCCAATCCTCAGCAGGGATTAATTCGTAGAATGTTTGACTACTAGTCATTAATGTAGTTTCTTCTATAAATTCTTGATCAAATGGTTCATCATTTAAAAATATCCATGGATATCGATAATGTCTATTAAATCTATCTTCTAATGATCTTATAGATTGTAATGCACCAGATAATTCTTTATTACGTACTAACATAACCAAAGTAGCATTCTCTTTACCCAATTGAGTTCTGTCTCGGAAGGGAGTATGAGGATCTAGATATGAATTGGATGCTAGCTTTGGTTGGTATCTCTTAAGAGGATCATATTGATATGTAGATGATGATGAGGTAACTTTTGAATAATCCTGTGAGTAGTAGAAATATAAAAGTATTCCTATCAACGGTACTGCGAAAGTCCAAATCCTGGACATAACGAATTGGGTTTAGAGATGTACTTACACATATATATTTATATACATATATATAGTTTTATAGATAATGCTCAGTGATATGAGCATAAGTTTTGTTTGCTCAGATATTCCGCAAAAAAAGGCTATAACTCTTTATTAGGTAATAACTAGACAACTACAGTCTATGCCACCAATTAGATAATGAATATTTCTGAAATTAGCATAATTGAATACCATGAATACTTAAGTCATGCCATATACAGTACCACACTTTCAGTAGCTATTACTTATACTAATGATATACTACAAGTTTATAATACGTAGATATATTGCAACTGGTTGCACCGAGCTAGTAATATTTTTATTTTTGGTTTACATGCAGGCGCAGACCCGATTCAGTATGAAAAATTTAGTATAGTAATAGATGAGGTCTACTAAAGGATTAATAGTATAAGCATAATTCCTCTCACTAACATTAACAGGATGATTTCTCAAAGGAAAAGATTATCCAGTGGACTCAGTGTAACATCCAAAGTATTTGTGAGGTCACGGAATGGGAAAGCCCTTAAAATTGTTCGAGAACATTATTTAAGAAATGATATTCCATGTTATAGTGAAGCATGTAATAAATGTCATGAAATTATTAAACCTGATGCAAATGGTGAATTACCAAAATTTATTTTATCAAAAGATCCAAATAAGTTAAAGGATGGGTCTAAACATTATATTATTCTTGATACAAATATTATATTACATACTATAGATTTATTAGAAAATATTCAATGTTTTTATGATGTAATAATTCCTCAAACTGTATTAGAAGAAGTTAAAAATAGATCAATTCCAATTTATCAAAGATTAAGAGGACTTGTTAAATCAGAAGATAAACGATTTGTAGTATTTCATAATGAATTTAATGAATCTACTTATATTAATAGATTAAAAAATGAATCAATTAATGATAGAAATGATCGTGCAATTAGAAAAGTTGCTAGTTGGTATAATACTCATTTAAATGATAATAATAATTCTCATGAAAATATTAAAATAATACTTTTATGTAATGATAAAGATAATAGACTCAAGGCTAATTCAGAAGGTATTAATGCTTTATCTTTATTAGAATATATTGATCTTTTACCAAATGGTGAAGATTTAAGAGATTTAATTCCAGCTGATTCAAATACTTTTAATGATTTTAATAAAGATAATGAAACTTCATTTCCTGAATATTATTCTGATGCCAGAATTATGGCAGGAATTAAAAATGGAACTTTATATCAAGGTATTTTAAATATATCTCAATATAATTTCTTACAAGGTACAGTTCAAGTACCGGCATTTAAAAAGCCTTTATTAATTATAGGTAGTAAGAATTTAAATAGAGCATTTAATTCTGATTCAGTTATTGTTGAATTATTACCTAAGGATAAATGGAGAGAACCTTCATATACAATTATTGAAGAAACATCATTAGGAGCTGATGATAATGCTGAAGATGCTGATTCAATAGGTGATGATGATATATCTGGAACTAATGGAGTTGTATCTGATAAAGAACGACTTTTATTAGCTCAAGAAGCAATAAATGCTACTAATGCACAATCTGAAGAACGTAGATTACAACCAACAGCTAAAATTGTTGGTATTACAAGAAGATCTTGGAGATATTATGTTGGACAAATTGCTCCTACTTCAGTTATTGGTGAAGATAGTGGTAATTCATCAAAGAGTTGTTTTGTTATTTTAATGGATAAATTATTACCAAAAATTAGAATAAGAACTAGAAAATCTAAAGAATATTTAGGTCAAAGAATAGTTATATCAGTTGATTCATGGCCATCAAATTCTCGATATCCTAATGGACATTTTGTTCGATCATTAGGAGAAATTGAAAGTGCAGAAGCAGAAACTGAAGCTTTATTATTAGAACATGATGTTGAATATCGTCCATTTGCTAAGAATGTATTAGATTGTTTACCAATTGAAGGTGATAATTGGGTTGTACCTGATTTAAAACAAACTGATGATCCTCAACTTAAAAAGAGAATTGATTTAAGAGATAAATTAGTTTGTTCAATAGATCCTCCAAATTGTGTAGATATTGATGATGCATTACATGCAAAAAGATTATCTAATGGAAATTATGAAGTTGGAGTTCATATTGCTGATGTTACTCATTTTGTTAAACCTAATACTGCATTAGATCAAGAAGGAGCATCAAGAGGTACATCAGTATATCTTGTTGATAAAAGAATTGATATGTTACCTATGTTATTAGGAACAAATTTATGTTCATTAAAACCTTATGTTGATAGATTTGCATTTTCAGTAATTTGGGAATTAGATGAAGATGCAAATATTATTAATGTTAATTTTATGAAATCAGTTATAAAATCAAGAGAAGCATTTTCTTATGAAAGAGCTCAATTAAGAATTGATGATAAATCTCAAACTGATGAATTAACTGATTCAATGAGAGTTTTATTAAAACTTTCTAAAAAATTAAAACAACAAAGATTAGATGCTGGTGCATTAAATTTAGCATCACCAGAAGTTAAAGTTCATATGGATAGTGAAACAAGTGATCCAAATGAAGTTGAAATTAAGAAATTATTAGAAACTAATTCATTAGTTGAAGAATTTATGTTATTAGCTAATATTTCTGTAGCTCGTAAAATTTATGATGCTTATCCTCAAACTGCAATGTTAAGAAGACATGCTCCACCTCCAGCCACAAATTTTGAATTATTAAATGAAATGTTAAATGCTAGAAAACCAGGTATGTCTATATCATTAGAAAGTTCTAAAGCATTAGCAGATTCATTAGATAGATGTGAAGATCCAAATGATAGTTATTTTAATACTTTATTACGTATTATGTCTACAAGATGTATGATGGCAGCTGAATATTTCCCATCTGGATCGTTTGGATATCCTGAATTTAAACATTATGGATTAGCGGTTGATATTTATACACATTTTACATCACCAATTAGAAGATATTGTGATGTTGTAGCTCATAGACAATTAGCTGGAGCAATAGGTTATGAAAATTTAGATTTAAGTCATCGAGATAAAAATAAAATGGAACTTATTGTTAAAAATATTAATAGACGTCATAGAAATGCTCAATTTGCTGGTAGAGCAAGTATTGAATATTATGTTGGACAAGTTATGAGAAATAATGAATCAGTTCATGAAGGTTATGTTATAAAATGTTTTAATAATGGTATAGTTGTTTTAGTACCTAAATTTGGTATTGAAGGACTTATTAAATTAGAATTACTTGGTGATGTTAATACTGCTGATTATAATGAAGATAAATTTGAACTTAAATTTACTGATTTAAATGGTAATAAAAGAATTGTTGGAGTATTTGATAAAGTATTAGTTGATGTTAAATCAGTAAAAGATGAAATTAGTGGAAAGAGAAAAGCTCAATTATTATTGAAGTAGAATATGAAAATGCAAATGTATATTAGAAATAAATAATTGAATTATTAAACTATTAAATTATTAAATTATTAACATTTTAATGTGCTATAGTACAGAATGTGAATGAATTTATTTATATAAGAATGATTAAGAAATATATTCAACTAATTGTTTAATATTAATAATCTTAATATTATGAGTCTTACCGAATTTTATACAATCATCTAATCTCATCATTAAACCATCTTCATCTCTTACTAATTCACAAATAACTGCAGCTGGTTGTAAATTTGTTAATTCACATAATTGAACAGCAGCTTCAGTATGACCTCTTCTTTTCTTTAATAATCCTGGTACAGCTCTTAAAGGTAAAACATGACCTGGTCTAATAAAATCAGTTGGTTTAACTGTTGGATCAGCTAATTTTCTTGTTGTTAAAGCTCTATCATGAGCAGAAATTCCTGTAGTAGTACCTTCACCAAAATCACAAGTAACAGTATAAGCTGTACCATGTCTATCAGTTCTATCTTTTAACATTGGAGGTAAATCTAAAGCATCTGCTCTTTCTGTGGATAATGGAGCACATACATAACCAGAAGAATATCTAACTAAAAATGCCATTTTCTCTTGAGTCATTAATTCAGCTGATATAATTAAATCTCCTTCATTTTCTCGATCTTCATCGTCCATTACTACAAGAAATTCTCCATTCTTGAATGCTTCAAGAGCTTCTGGTATTGGGGTAAATGTTGAAGACATGATATATTTACTTATTTTACTTAAATCTATATCTATAGTACCTTTAAATAAAATTATCGGGTTTCTTTCTTTAACTATATATATTATATATTAGTAAATTTTTCACTTTCTCTTTACCGAGTTACTGTGGGGCCATCCGAACAATAACTTAGCGGTGACCAAAATGGGTTGCGCGCAGGAACTTTTCACTATTTAGTAAGCATTACTTAAATTTTACGTAGAATGAAAATCTCACTAATCACTAATCACTAAATAAAATCCTGTTAACTGCGAAAGTTAGTAGTGGTATGATGAGTATTTGTCTCTATTATTTACTAACAGTTACTATACAAATATTAACTATTACCAGTAATGTTTATATTAACAAATTAAGTTATTGGGTTAGCACAGTTTCAGACCATCTTTAGTTGAACCTAAAATTCGGATAATATCCGATGCAATGTCCAATTTTGCAATCGAAAACTAGCGCCATTCTCATACTCTCCCTCCCCTATATATGGTTATTGCCCTAAACGGCCACATCCATCTAATTCGGGAGTAAGTTCCGTCCGATTTACTATTTTCTTGAGACCGTCATCATTACCTGCCTATTTCAGTATTATGATCTATTGTTCCCTATTTCGGTATTATCTAATTATATAAATATATGTGCTTGTATTTGTGTAGTGTGTCCGGCTGATTGTAGAGGCCGCCCTGCACACAGCCCAACAGAATTAACTATGATGAAAAGTAGTGTTAAGTGTAGTCTTACTCTATTGTAAATAGTAACCATCACGAAACATGAGTCTGGATAACAATTCCGAACTTAAATCTACAGGTGAAATACTTACAGATCCTACGGGATTCACTAAATCATTCGTAACTCATTACAAAGAAGATACTAACACTGAAATACTATTTCATAAATTAGAACTTGGAGATCAAATTATTATTAATATTCAATTTAATGGAATAATGGATACTACATTTGAACTTCCATTATCATCTAAATCAACTGTCAACTTTTTAAGCTCTATACCGAATAGTTTAGATGATCCTGGTGTTGAACCTGTACTATTAGTTGGAAATCATTCTAATTTAAAGATTCTGATTATTGCATCTCAAATAGGTAAACTTATTACAACATCTAATCATCCTAAACCAGCAATATTATCAATTGGATCTAAATGGTTTGGGAAATTCGATGAAACTACTGATGATGATTTTGATAAATTAATGTTCATTCTTGAAAATATTAAAAAGTTACTCTAGAACTTGTATATATCTATGTACTTTATAATGATTATATATATAATATATATAATATATATCAACTAATTTTTTTTGAACTATTTTTTAACTTTCTTTTCTCTGATCTTTATTGGAACTAATCTTTCCTTTTGACCATAAACTAATTTATGAGGTTTCATAAATTTATTTATAACTTCATCATCAATTTTACTTCTTCTATCTTGATAAGCAGCTACAAATTCTTGTAATACAGTAATACATTCTTGTTTCATTTCTCCTGATAAAACTTCACCCTTTCTATAACCATCAGCCAATTTTTCTATTTTTTCATCATCAAAACTAAAGAATGATAAATATTGATAAGCAACATCAATATCTGGATCTCCTCCATATTTTTTATGATCTTCAAGGGTTGCTTTACCACCTGAGAATGCATATTTATTAATCTTTTTCTTAATTTCCTTTTGAGAATCTCCCATAAAGATAGAAGTAGTAGTATCAGAAGCAGACATTTTAGTTGATGCACCTTGTAAAGCAGGAAAGAATTTTGCATGAATTAATGATGGTTTAGTAAATTTTAATTTATCGGCAACATCACGACATACTCTAAAGTAAGGATCTTGATCAATAGCACAAGGAATTAAACATGGAGTCTTTGGTGGTAAACCTAAAACATCTGGAAATGATGATGGAAATGCAGTAGCAATTTGAATACTTGCAAAATGAATTTTACCAATACAATCAGAATCTTGAAATCCAAATACTGCTTTAGCAGTTGATGTAGTAATTTGTCTTGAAGTTCTAACTACATTTTCATAGAAAGCACCTCCCATATATTGTAAATCAGAAAATATAAATGTATTTTCAGGATTAAAACCAACGGCAATAATATCTTTTGCATTATCTCTTGAAAATTGTTTAACATCGTCAATAGTTAATTTTGGTTTAAATAAGAATTTTTCATCATCAGTTAATTCAATAACTAATGGTGCATCAAATACATCTTGTAACCATTTAGTAAATGTAAATGGAACCATATGACCTAAATGCATAGAATCTGATGATGGACCTCTACCAGTATAAAGGAAAAATGGTTCACCATGTTCATATAAATCTAAAATTCTTTCAAGATCTCTTTCTGAAAAGAAAACTCCTCTTTTTAAAAATGGATGAGGTTCTTGACCAGTTATAGCTTTAAATCTAGTTAAAGTTTCTGAAGTAATGGCTTTAGTACCAAATTGTTTAATTAATTTATCATAATCAATTCCTTGTGCTTTACCATCAACAACTGCACCTTCAACTTCCCATGGGGTAACAATTTGTTCAACTTCGTCCTTAATAGACAATTTTTCAACTTTCTCTTCTACAGACATTATCCAACTTCTTTATACTTTATTTTTTTGACTTAATCTGTATTAATTAAATTACTTCATCTTTCAAAGAGATAATGGATCTGTCTACTTTTTTTTTTATTTTAGAGTCATAGGACTGTATGCAGTATTTTTTCAAATATTTCAAGTATTTTTCAAAATATACGACAAAGAGAACGATTTGATTTTACTACTCCTTACAAAGTTGCAAAAGGTATTAACAAATCTACAAATTTAAGAAAATTAGATCATTAATTTATTGTTTATTTTATACCCATGCAAGAAGAAAAAACAACTTAGTTTTCAAATTTTTTTATATTATAGGTTTAAAAGTAGTAGAAGGAAAGGAAATCACAAACATCACACACACTCTTTAACCCACAATTATACAAGATGATTTATAAAAGATTTTAGAATGCGTATATATATACAACTTGAACTAAGAAAAGTGGTAGATGATAGCTCTGTAATGATAAATGTAGGTTACAAACCACAAAGGAAAGGTATGACGAGGTTTAGGTTTTTAAAATCCAACAAAAACTTTTAAAAGTGTAATTTTTGGAAGAACCACTTGTTCTTACCAGCTTGATGTTTTTCTTCTAAAGCCTTCTTAACGACTTTCTTGGCTTCTTCTCTTTGGGATGGTTCATCTAAAGCTTCTAAAGTGACAGCAGATTTGAAAGATTCAACATCTAAAGAGTATCTGGTTGGCATTAAATGGTTGTAGTTAACTAATTTAACAAATGGCTTAACCTTAGTTCTCTTGGCAGTCTTCTTAGCACCTAAGTTCTTGGTGACCTTTAATGGAGCTCTTTCGATACCAGCAACAATGGCATGTGGGAATGGGTGAGACTTGGTACCGTCATCATGTGGTTTAACAATGACAACTTTCTTACCAGCGAAACGACCTCTGACGACAATAGCTAGAATATATTAGTTAGTATATTGAATTTTCACCTTATAAAAGTGATCACTTGATAGTGTGACATTTACTAGTTCAATGAAAAATCTGAATTAATTAATTAATTAATGACAAATTATAATAATAAATGAATATATTGATTGGATAATATAAATTTTTCATAGTTGTGGTGGATCGTTACATATATATGTGGCTTGACTAGTCGATGAGCAAAATTTCATCTAGTGATTTATTGGTGAATGAATAATTTACGTTATAAGATCAAATTACTATCAAGAATAGTCTCTGAATAGAATGGCTTCTATTTAGAACATTTACTATGGCAATTATATGATTGTTGATAAATTTTATATCTATTCAGTTATGAGATGGAGGTGGAATTATATGAGATGAATAGTATTGATTTGAGATAGGATAATACTTGATAAATTTCAACAACTAGTGGCATTTCACACATTACAAGTATCACAGGTTGTTTTCTAGGACTTTATACATACCAACTTTACCTGCTTTAATGAATTTAGCCATTTTATATGATGTTTAGTATACTCTTCAAAAGCTTGTTTAAAAACTACTATGTTTGAAAAATTTTATTGATACTTCTTTTTTTTTTCCTGGTCTACTGACAATTGGCAGATTGAGGAGACATACACTATGAAAAAAGGTGTGTACTTTGGTAAATAATTTAGGGGAGACAGAGACATTTTTCACTTAGTTAAGCTTATAGGATAGGGATGAAAAGTGCGACATTTAACTCCATAACAAAAATGCTTAATTTTATATACACTACCTTACACAAACATTATAGCGGGTAAATTGAAAGGCTTCGATCACGTGAGCCTGTGACTGCTTTTTCCCCTTCACAAATTACAATCAGTAAAGTAACTTTTGCAGCCATTTTATAAAGACAAATCTCATTTTATTTATTTATATATAACTATAAGTAAAATCTTTTTATGGATAAACTCATTTCTTTCTTTGACTTCGAGCTAAAAGCTTCGAATTCATCGAAGTAATAATTTGTTTCTGAGCTCCAGTTCTTGTAGTTCTAATTATCAGTTGCGTTGGAGATGCTGTTCTATGTATATCATCTTTAGTAAAGCTAGACCGTCTATTATTTGTAATTGGATTATTGGCATTGTTTGATACTGCCAATTGAGCTGCATGTAAAGTCCCATTCTCTGTTTCTGATGATGGAAGTCCAGTATGCATATTAACTCCATTTAATGGACTTGTTGGAGGTGGAGGTCTTCTCTTTGGAGTTTTAAGTTTAATCTTAGAATTCATGAAATTTGTACCTTGAGATTTAGAATCTGATACGGCTCGAATTGTTGGTGAAGTAGGAGTACTAGGTCTTTTAATATTATTAGCAATAGGTTGAGTTAATCCATCAATTCTTCTTTTATCATCAGATTTTTTAGAAATATTATTAGTATTTCCCGTACCAATAAATGATGGAGAATCTTGAAGTTTTGGTGATGAATTTGAATTTGAATTTGAATTTATATTATTATTAGTATTATTAGTATTAGTACTAGTACTAGAAGATTTTGTTAATTCAATAGCTTCTCTTTCTCTTTCAAGTTGATTATATTTAGATCGAGCTAATGATTCTGTCCAAGGAACAACATCATATTTTTCAACTTCAAATATTAAACAAGTATTAATTGACATAATTACAAATATACCTGTACTAGGAAGTAATTTTTGAAATTTACTTGAAGAAGTTAATAATTCTTTAAAATGAATGAATGGGAATTTTAATTTAATTTCACAAATTAATCTATAATTAGATTCTTTATCATCTCTAAAAAATATTAAGGCTCTACCATGAGTAGTAATAACCATTGTACAAGTACGAGTCTTTTCTAATGCATGTTGACGAGTTGATGTACCAGACACAGAACTCGAATCGGATAAATTATCTTTATTTTTATCATTATGACCACCACTAAATCCAAGTCTTTTTAAAAGTGATGCACCTCGATGTTTATTAAGTGAATTACTATTATTATTGGAATTACCTCGACTAATTGAAGAAGTTAAACTATCAGTTTTACCATTACCTTCTGATTTATTATTATTATTATTATTAGTAGTAGTAGTATTGTCATTTTCATGAACTTCTTCAACTTCAAAATAATCAATTATTGCATCACTTTCAGTAGCTGATTGATAAATATTATCATCAGAATTAATTGATTCATTATTTCTTAATCCACCAGTTGAACCTTTAACAACTTGACTTAATAAACTTGTTCCTCGAGATGGAGCCATTGATGGTTGAATTTTATTACTAAATCCTAATGGAGAATCAGCCAATAAACCTTTATTTTTCCTTTCAAATGGTTCAGTTTGTTCTTTATGAACTAATACTGGACCTAATTTAAGAATTCTTTCATCAGGATGTTTAAGATATTGACTCCAAGCTGATTCTAATGAACTTAATGGAGGTACATCCATAACTTTTGATCTTGGTTTAATACTTGAATTACTACTACTAGTACTACTAGATTTTCTTTGAGCTAAAGATCTAGTATAATTTGATCTAGTATTAATTGTAGGTCTTAAAATATTAGTTCCAGGAATATAATCAGGAGTACTTCTAGTATTTATTGAATTCAGACTAGAAGATCTTGGAGCATGAATTTCTTCATTCAGACTATCATTATTAGTGGTATCTTCACTGGTTGAATTAGGTTCATTATCTCGTTTATTTAATACAAATGCTGCAACACTTGCAGGATTTACCAGTTTAATATCATTAATAGATGATTTTTTATTTCCTGGTATAATATCTGAATTTGAACCATTATTATTCTTTTTATAAATCTTTTTCGATAATGGAACTTGAACTTGAGATGAAGATTTAGATAATTCAGGAATTTTCATCATTGATTTTGCTGTCATTTTATAAGGTCCTAATTCAGGAGGTTCTTTATACCAAATCAGATTAAAATCATTAAAATTTATATCTTGAAAGAAGAAATGATTTTGAATTTGTTGAATGGTTGCTCTTTTAGATGGTTGTAATACTAAAATTTGTTTAATTAAATCTCTTACAACATTAGGAAATCCAGCACTAAAGGCAAATTGTAATTTTGTAATTTTTTGAAAAGTTAAATATTCATTTGTAGCTTTAAATGGTGGTTTACCAGCAATCATTTGATAAATTATACATCCAAATGCCCAAACATCTCCAGGTTTACCACAATATTTATTTTCTAATAATTCTGGTGAAACATATTCTGCTGTACCAACAAATGATTTTGCTCTTACATCTACTGGATATTCTTCACTTTCATCATTTTTCTTTTCTAATAATCTGGCTGTACCAAAATCAGTAATTTGAATTCTTAATTTATCATCTAATAATATATTTTCTGGTTTAATATCTCTATGAATAACTCCATTATCATGCATATATTTTATTGCATCAAGAATTTGAGCTCCAAAATGTTTTGTACAATCTTCACTTAATGTTCCATATTTTTTAATTAATGATAATAATTCTCCATTAGATGCATAATCTAATACAAAATATAATGAACTTTTATCTTGAAATGTAAAATATAATGAAATAACTCCCATTCTATTACTTAAACGATTTAATGCATGCTTTTCGATATTAACATATTTAACTTTCTTTTCTTTAATAATATGTCTTTTATCAAGAATTTTAATGGCATATTGTTTAGATGTATGTTTATCAGTTCCAAGTATTACTGTAGAATATGATCCTTCACCTAATTGTTTACCAAATTGAAAATCCAGTACTCCACGTTTTATAATAACTGAATCCTTTAGTTCTCTTACTGCAGCTCCTTTTTCATTCCAATTCTCATTGTCATTATCTTTATCATTAGAGGGATTAGGTATATTATCTCCATTTCCATTATTATTATTATCTTGTTCTTCTTCTTCTTCATCATCATCATCATCATCTATAGCAGATTCAAGGGGAGATCCAAATAACTTTTTAAATTCTGTCTCTGAAGTTGGAGTATCTAATAATACATTTAATGAAGAATTTGTTAAAGCATGAGGAGCATGATTTCTAGGATTAAAATCAAATTCCGATGAATTGGGAGTTTCAGGTGCACTTCTTACAACATTTTCATCATCTTGTAAATGTATTGAGGATAATCTTGATGAGATATGCAATTGTTGATTAATAGATTGTAAAAATTTTGAATTTGAATTTGAATTTGAATTTGAATTAACTCGATCTTTATCTGAATCAAGAGTATCAATACTATCATGATTAGATTTCAGAGTATAAGTATTATAAATACTATCAATTTCATTATTTAAATCTTGAAATCCAGATACTGGACGACGATTATCAGTTTGCAGATACGGATCCATAATATTCAGTACCTTTCTATAAAATTTAATTTAAAATGGGTTTTAAATAGGGCAATTATACATAGTAATTTTATATATAACCATAAAAGATCGAGTAACGAGCAATAATTAATGGTTCTAATAAAAAATGGTAGTAGTTAACAATATTTAATGTTAAATTGATTTATCACTAATTGTTATGAATATTGCCTCGGTAATTCTTTGTTAACTTTAAAAATATTGCCAATTCAACGGGTGTTAATTGTGTTCTTAAGCATATTGCCAACTCCAAATCCAGCTTGGTCAAAGTGAATGAAATTGTGTGCGTCACGTGCCGCGCGCTCGTGCTCAGGGGATTACCAAATTAGGTTATCTATGACGTAGTCGGAGGACTAATAGTAACTATGATAAAGTATAAGTATAAGTATAAGTATCTGTATATATCCAAATATCTATATATCTATATATCCATATATCCATATATCCATATATCCATATATACATGTATAAAGAATTTACTAGATAACTATATCTACACAAAGAAATTGTACTTGTATAAATCTACTTAGTAGCAAGAAGTGTTCTCTTATGTAACCCACTACATCTATTTAGGGGTACGTATTGCGGCATGGATGGACCCAATCGGGATAAGTTCGGTTATGTATAGGTGCCAGCCATTATCTGCAGGAATATGTAACCCTATAGTTATAGCCATATATACAAATATACCAATAACCAACAGTAACTAACAATAAATATTACTATAAAATTAACAATTTTAAACTATAATGGCATTCCCATTTGATAATACACGACTATTAGCTCATCTACGAGCATCTTATTTAGCTTCAAATGATCAAGATAATTTTACTCATAGAATTATTAAACCTATAATAATTAATAATGATCAACATGGTATACCATATCCTACAATTCCTCAAAGTGAATCACCTCCAATAACTTTCCCAATTGCTAGACATGTACAAAAATCAGTTAATAATGGAGAGTCTCATAATTCAAATTCTCATAGACATCATAAGAGGAAACTGAGAACGGTTCATAGAAAGAATATTCATCATCATAATAAATCAATTTTGTCTAATGGTAAATCTCTCGAAGTACCAGTACCTGAAATTTTAACTCCTGAACCTGAAGATTCTCAATCACAATCACAATTACAATCCCCACCAGAATCAGAAATTCAATCAGAATCTCAACCAGATTTAAATACTGTTCTTGAACTGATAGAAAAGGGAGAAAATGATGATCGAGATACTGATTCAAAATCATCTAAATCAGTTTTAAAATCCAATATTCCTTCAGAAATAGTTCGATTCTTTCAAGCAGGAAATCTGAAGGAGAAAATTAAACAAAATATTGAAGACAATGATAGTAGTCTGTCAATCAATACTCAAATAAATCCTAATGTAGAAGAAGTTGAAGTAGTGAGTTTTGATAATACATCTGATTTAATTAAACAGAAATCAAATGGTAGAAGAGATAGAAGAAAATCAGATGATAAATCAGATGCAATAACTATAGATTCTGATTTCGGAGTACCGGTAGATTCAGATGGGAAAGTTATTCATAATTATAGTGATGAGAAGGTAGAAAATGATGAAGAAGAAGATGAAGAAGATGATGGGGAAGATGAGGAAGATGAGGAAGATGAGGAAGATGAGGAAGATGAGGAAGATGAGGAAGATGAAGATGAAGATTATAGTGATGAATTTGAAGATTTTGATGATGATGAAGATGATGAAACTTCATCTACTGATTCAGCATTTACAGACATTGAAACAGATTCAATTTTAGATTCATCTATGTTACTTGATACATATGTTGCCAATCCCAATAGTTTTTCATTTACAACCCAAACCAATTCTAAACGAGAAAGGAAAACTAAAAGAGGTACATCATTTGATAATCCTAGTTTATCTAAAACAGGTAATTTTAGACAAAATTCTATTGCAAATTCTTCAAAAGTTTCTACTATAAAATCAACTAATTCATTAAATAAAGAAAAGAAACCTTCAGTAGTATTTGAAAAAATTGATCGAGAAATTTCTAAACCAATTATAAAATCTTCTAATTTAAGTTCATTAATTCAAGCTCGATTTAAATCTCCAAATGTAAATCCATTAAAATATTTTACATTTGTTGAAAGTGATGTAACTAATATAACCAAAGCATCAGTTGATATTTTTTTACCTCCTAATAGAATTCCTATATTACGAGATTTAAAAATTAATGATAATGTATCAATATCTGATTGTATTGGATTTATATTATTAAATTTACATCAAATACCAGAATTTACTAAAAATGTATCTGATCCAATAATTTTAAATCCAATATATTGGAGACTTGAATTAGTTGATGAAGATGGAGAAAATTATGGATCTTTTGGAGTATTAGAAAGAAATCGGAATCTTAAATCATATAATTATCCTAAAGAATTAGCATTATGTAAAGTTAATGATCAAAAGGAAATTGCCAAGAATGAAAGTCAATTCCCTCTTGCTATGGAATTTAAACAAAATTTACTTAAACATCGACAAAATAAAGATGAAATAATTAATGAAGATCAAATTCCTAATGGTAAGATTCAATTAAAAATTTCTATGCCTTTAGTAATTTCTAGTACTTCAACAAGTTATTTATATTATGCAAATAGTGATGATTCTTCAGGTTATATATTACGAGAATTTTGTACAGAACATGGATTACCCATGTCTAAATTTCAATTCAAGATATCTTCTAAAAAGTCTAATAATACTACTACTACTACTACTACTAATAATAATAATAATAATATTAAAAGTACAAGAAAGGTTCATAGTTCTAATTCTATGCTTGAAGAATCTCTGATATCAAGGATTGTTCGAGATGATGAAAAGGCAGGAGATTTAGTAGGTTATACACTTGAATTAGCTCCTATTGGTAATAGACTTAGTTTTATTGGAACTAGTTCAATTGATAATCTGTTATTAAATAATACTATAACTCCATCAGAAGGTACATTCACTATGAATATTACTCCTGATAAGAAACAATTGGAAGAAAAGTTCCATGCACTTCCTATGGAACAACCTGAATCATCAACAATTTCCAGAAGAGTTACTTCAACATTAAGAAGAAAAGAACCGCCACCACCTAGTGTAAAAGAGATCAAAGCCGCTATTAATTCTAATAAATATCTTGATGATATTATTACGGGGAAGAATCCTCTGTTACCTACTAATTTAAATTCAATTTATTTTAAATGGAAAGTATGGAGAAAGAAAACGACTATTTTAAATAAAATGGAACGTTCATTGGTTATTGATGGTGATTATATTCATTTAACTCCATCTGAAGATGTGGTGTTCAAATTAAATCCTGGTGATAATCCATTTGGACAAAGTGAAATGAATCAAAATCAAAACCAGAATCAAAATCAAAATCAAACGCAAAATCAAAATCATCATCATCATCATTATTATAATTATAACAATTATTATAAAGAACTGTTAAAGAAGACTAGTTCATTTCATATTACACAAATTGTTAAATTAAAACAGTATAAAGATTCTAAGAATCCTAATCATTTTAAGATTGTTATTCAAAAACCAGTAGATAGTGCTACAAGTGGTAAAGATAATGCACCTATTAAAAAGAAGTATGATTTAGAGGCTAGAAGTGTGAGTGAATGTCAAGAGATTATAGATAAGATTCGGTGGGTACTTCAAGTGTACAATGCCTCGAACTTTTAGGACAATATAGAATATAGATAGTAAGAGACAATACAAGTAATGCATTGTAAAGTAAGTTATAGGCAATGTAATGATGTGTATTAAGCTATTATATTCAAATCAATCTGTAATTATATTTATCAAAAGTTGTTGTATCTCTTTCATAGTTATTGTATTTTAATTTCTTTTCAATCTTGCCTATTCATTAATAATCTTATATAATCATATACTTTATAATCATACACTTTATAATCATTCTTTATAATCATTCTATATAATCTTACATCTTAAAATAATTTGATTTATCTTTTCGCAGCCATTGCAGAGTCGTGTGTTTGTGTCAAGACTCTGCCCTAAAAAAATATATAGGGCATCGAGAAATTACTTAACCATAATACTAAACATATAACAATACATAATAATACAGAATAATGGCCCTTTCAGAGAACTGGAAGAAGCTCAGTTTAAGAGTAGAGAAGAATGGTAAAGGCAAGGGCCAAGGCAAAGATGCAGGAAAAGGCAAAGTAGTCAAAGTTCGGAAATTCAAGAAAGTAGTCAAGGTAGATGAGCATAATCATAATCATAAAGTCATTGAAAAGGTTAATGTAATACCGACTAAATCCACCATTGAAAGTATATTAGCAACCGATAAAGAAATCACTTCGCAAGATCTTTTAAATGCTAAAGAATCTGAGAGTCACAAGTTAATACCGAAAGGTAGTGACTCACGTAAAATTGAGCCGGGGAAATATTTATCAATGGATTGTGAATTTGTTGGAGTAGGACCTGAAGGAGCTGAGTCAGCTCTTGCTCGAGTTTCAATAGTTAATTTCTATGGTCATGTAATACTCGATGAGTTTGTGAAACCTCGAGAAAAAGTTACCGATTGGAGAACTTGGGTTAGTGGAGTTACTCCAAAACATATGCATAATGCTATAACATTTACTGAAGCCCAACAGAAAACTAGTGATTTATTAAAGGGAAGAATCTTAGTAGGACATGCCATTCATCATGATTTAGATGCCTTATTCTTATCTCATCCCAAAGTGATGATTAGAGATACAACTCAATATGTTCCATTTAGAAAGATTGCTAGTGGTAGAACTCCATCATTAAAGAAGTTAACTCTGCATTTTTTACAAATCGATATTCAAGGGGCTGCGCATTCTTCAGTAGAAGATGCCCGAGCCACTATGTTATTATTCAGGTTACATAAGAGAGACTTTGAAAGACAGTTGAGACAGAAGAGTAAGGTGTAGATATGTGTATATATGTATTAATAAACCATAGTCTAATCTAATTAAATAATAATTCTTAATTCTTAATTCTTAATTCTTAATTCTTAATTATCAATCCTCTAATCGTGAGCCTTCCACAAATAAACATGCACTTCTATAGAGCATCATTTGTAATTTCTTTAAATCAGAAGATATGGTATTTTCAAATGCATGAGTGGCATGAAGACCTTCAGGACTTCTCATTTTCCTATTCTCTTTAACTATCAGTACTTTATGAGCTTGAAGAACTTCATCAACTTTCCCCTTATAAATAGCCGGTGAATAAGTATCTGAAGAAAATACAGAAATCATAATCTTTGAAATAGTTTCAACAAGATCGGTTGAATTGGAAGTTAAAAATGATTGTTCTAATGCTGGTTTAACTATATGATATACTAATAAACCAAGTTCAGGAACTCTTCTAAATATATAATCATAAAGTTGTAAGAATTTTGTTTTAAATACTGAATCAATTGATTTAGATTCAACAAAATAAGCAGCATGAATAAGAGATATTTGAGAAACATAATTATTTCTAGTAAGAAATTCAACAATAATTCTTGGAAGTTTACCATTAGTAATACTAACATAATCAGTTTGTAAACCAAGTTGTTTAATAAATCCATCAAATTCATTTTCATCAGTACTTAAAAAGATGAATAAAAGATAAGCAAGGGCATTATTTGAAGCATATATTCCTTCAGCTTCACTTCGATTTCTATATTTATATCTAAAAGTAAAATATTGTTTTAAACAAGTAATTGATGTATGTTTAAAATGACTAACTCTTAATCCTTGAGTTAATACAAAGAATATATGAATTCCAAAATTTTCTTGAGTAATTTCAAATTTATAAGATTTCTCAAATTCAGAAATATATGGTTCAAGAAATAATCGTTGTTCAAATGATTTATCAATATAATCTTGTCCAACTTCAAAGATTTTTTCAAGACAATTAACTAAACATTGAATTGATGGTTGATATAATACTGAATAATTCATTAATCCAAAACAAAATTGAGGCCATATTAATACGGGAGGTAATATAGATGTCTTGGGTAATCCTTGAATAACTCTAGCCGTAGCAATAGTTATACTAGTAGTATATTCTAAAGTACTTACATCACCATTAGCAATTAATTTTAATCCTCGACAAGCGGTTGAATCATTAATTCCACTTTTGGCAAGAATTCCATATACTAATATACCTCGACTTTGAAATAATGAATCCTTAGAAAATGCTACATCAATAGCATTAGAACACCAACGAGCTCGCCAAAGTTTTGTATCATCAGTTGACCCAATAGCCATAATAAAATCATTTAGGTAATCACAAAGAATTTCAAAATTAGTGGCTCGATTATAGATTTGTCCAATATCCATTGATGAACTAGTAATATCTCTTGTCATACCAAATAACATCTTAGCTCGTTGACTACTAAAATAAGTAATGGTATCATCCACGACAATTTCTTGTTGATTGGTTAATTCGGGTTTATGTAAAAATGATTGAATGATATTTATCACTAATTTCTGTAAATCAGCTCCAAATTCCAAATAAATATTATCAATGAATAAAGTACAAAAGAAAAAGATATCGGCCACATAAAGTCGAGCTAAAGTATAAGAATTAAAGAATAATGAAGAACATATCTTTACAAGTACTTTAATTTCAAATAATCGACTTTGAGATGCAATTGATGATTCATGTTTTTTAGCTTTATTAACACAATTAATTAATCGAGATACCACTTCTCCACTAACTTCAATTGATGGACTTATAGTGGCAATAATAAATGACCAATCAGTATCATTTTTATTATCAACAGCAAAGGCCACGACTTCATCAACCAATACAGAAATTAATCGAGTTTCACTAAAGAGTCGTTTCCAAATATAATCATTAAGAAATGCAATATGATCTTTATTAAGAGCCAGAATTCGACAAAATTGTCGAACAAGTTCAGCTAATCTTCCGGCTCCATTCTCTTCACTAGCAAGATAAATATAATCATAAATATTTCTAATCCAGGGAGAAATATATATGATAGAACTTAATTTATTTTCTTCGGGTAATTTATCATAATTATCAAAAAATGCTTTAAAGAATCTATATGATAATGTTGGTAAATTATTTGATAAATGAGTTGATACAGATACGACAAATTGAGTTGAATTGGCAGGAAAGGCAATGGATTTTGCATGATGACAATCTATACCAAAATCAATATCAAAATAAGTTGATAAAGCTCCAAATAATAAAGAAGAAGAAAGTCTTACTTCATCATCATTACATAATAATCCTTGGAATACAATATTATATAATCTACCAAACCAATGCATATTATGTTCAATTTCCATTCCTCCCAGAGATCTTTCATCGGCACTTTTAATTTCTTTAGTTAATCGAGATGTTGTAAAATAAACAAATCGTAAAATTTCCAGTCGTTCATGAGATCTCATGGTGATCTTATGACCAAAACTTAAATTGACGGTAAATTCATCAGCATGACCAGTATAATTTGATATTTCACATTTATTAACTTCCAGTAATCGATAAATTTCTACTGGAACAAAACTATCCGTTACACATGCTGGACCTTTAAATGAAATTTCTTCTTCTGAACATAATTGTAACCATCTTCTACCAATTCGAAGATTTATTGGTGAATAAGTTTGAGTACTTTCATCATATACTTTCACATGATTAAAGATAACTTTTGTATCTCTTAATATCGATATAGTTTCTGCATCTAAACATAAACTATGAATAATTTCGGGTGGATCTACTTGAGAATAAGTATATATCTTTGTCCCAAATTCAGCACCAATTTGTCGTAATTTCCTCATAGCATTGGTTAATCCAATATATCCTGAACGAGGAATATTATAATAATAAATTCTTGCACAATTCTTAAATAATTGTTCGGGAGCATATGTACTTATAAGATTAATATATAATGAATCATAACCTTCTGGGAGTACTAATTCTGTAAAATTTAATACCACATAAAACTTATTATCCCATACTTGAGAGGCAGTTTCAAAATATTTATAAACCATTAAATGTAAATCATTATTAAGTTGACGATGTAATTGTTTAAAGTGCATAAGTACTACGGGAGTTCCATCAGAAAAGATGGAATTTTCAATGGCGGTAGTTTCAATGGATTTCTCATTATACTCTAAGGACATCTTAGTCATAAAATCATTATACTGATTATTAGCCACATTATTTGGATCGATTGTTCTGGTACCATTAATTTGTAATTGTACTGAAGGTTTAGCATACCCTAATTCATGAGCAATTTCATCAAATAATTTAAATGTTTGAATTCTTTCATGAAGTGGGGTAGTATTATTGGTCGATGTTAAGTATTGAATCTTAATATTAACAAAATAAGTATAAATGAATTTATGTAAATACCGTAATTCTGCCACGGGTTTCTTAGGAATACTTTCAAATGGATATCCATGAGATGGTTGAGTGGCTACTTGTTTCATAAAGGCAAATACTTTAATATTAGCAAGATTAATTTCTTCAACTTTAGATGCTAACCCAGGTAATTTTAATGAACTTAAAGATCCATTGGCGATATTTTGTAAGACTTTAGTTAATTGAATTAATGTTTTTCTTACTTTGGGATTAGTAATGGTTACATCAAGAAATACTTCAGGACTAACTATAGCCGGACATATGAATCTTAAAAATAAGAATGAACCCACGGCAATTAAAGCAGAATCAGTAAATTTCTTCTCCACACAAATATATATTTCTGAACAAATGAATTTAAATGAATCAGGAATATTATCTATAGATTCTGTAATTATATCTACTAATTGATTAAAATATTTCATAAATAATTCTGTATCAGTCGTGGTAGTTTCAACTTTTTCAACTTGACATATAATATCATTATCAATTAATTCTTGTACAAATGGTTTAAGAGTTGTAACAAGATATTCTGTACCATAATCCTTAACGAAATTCGAAAGTAATCTCGTTAAAGTTGAATTACTTCTAAACATATCGGAAGATCGAGTAACATTATTAAATTCTTCATTTAAGAGAATTCTAAAGAGTCCATCTAATTTCTTAGTATACCCAAAGATTCCAAATAATGATGAAGAAAATAAACTATGTTCCGTCAGAGATGCTACTTCTGCCACTGCTCCATAAATATCAATAATTTCCAGTAATTTTTCAATTATATGTTCAGGATATTCATCTTTAGATTTCTTACTCTTTCGAGACGCTAACATATATGAGAATACACTTAAAAAGATTGATCGTATCTTCTTATTTGGATGATATCCCATGGGTAATACAAATTGCATGCCTATATCTGTATCGAATTTTAAAATATTCAGAACACTCTTAAGAATATTCTCAATAATTTGATTAATCTTATGTCTTGATTTAGTGGTGGGAATACTAATTACTGAATACTTTTGAATAATCTTATAAAAGATTGAGAAATAATTGCCAAAGGCTAAATCTTTATACTTTCTAATTTCTGTATCTTTAGTTCCTTCTGGAACTTCAAGGACAATTTCTTCTAATTGTAACAGTAAACATTTGGATGATAAGACTGCTAAATCCATTAGATAAAGTTCTGATTCATTAGTGGCGGATTTAATTGAATGTCCTGAACTATTAATAGTTCCAGTTCCATCATCATCGCGAGGATCTTCAAAGAATACTGCTTGTTCTAACCATTCAGCTGATGCCTTAGCATAAAGATTTCGAAGTTTAAATGCTCCTTTTAATCCTACACGTTCTCGTTCTCCTTCTAAAGTTATCCCTAATCGACAAAATTTTAATTTAAGTCGAAGCATATCCTTTACATCATCCAAAAGATTAATAAATTTTAAAAAGAATTGACAAATATTGGGTAATAAAGATACTAAAAGAAAGGCTCCATCATTCTTAATGGTTATCATATTAGTTATTATTACTAATGCTTGTTCAATATAAAGTACTGATTCATCATTAATGATTTTCTTTTCTGCATAAACATTACCTACCGTCATTAATTTAGTCGAAATTAAATGATATACATCAGAATGAGATTCATTAGATAAGGCATCAGTAACCACTAATCGAATTCCTAAATCAGGAAATGTAAGTAATCCAATACATTTATCAAAGAAATCACTAATATAATTAAAAGATTTCTCCTTTTGAATAGGATCATTATTTGAAAAATTAGTCGATAAGAAACATCCGGAAGTAGAGACTAAGAATCCTGTATAATGTTTAAATACAAGGGATTCATCTTTAATCTCTAATAATTCTAACCATCGATTATATATAACTAACCATACTTGATATAAAGATTTAGTTGGTTTAGCATCTCTAAGAATATTTCTAAATCGTTTATGAAGTGATACAAATCCTGTAAATACTGAATCATCACTAACAATCTTTTCAAACGTATCAATTAAATTCTCATCAATCTCTTGTCCATTATTCTTATATAATTGAGATTGAGTATTAATTTCATTACAATACCATCTCATAGTAATCTTGGCAATATTATAAAATTGAATATCATGAGTACATAATGAAAGTAACAAGATCTTTTCAATGGAATGAATCACTCCTCCACCTACTTCGAAATATTTCCCAGTTTCTTTATCAGTTATAATCTTATTAGATAATATAATGGGTCCAAATACATCACGACGTTGTAAGAAATCATTAATGAATAAGAAACATGCTTTAAATTTCGAATCTGTTAATGATAACAGTAAACTGGATTCACAAATCGATTGAATTATATAATTGGAAATTGTATAATTGGCAAAGGTTGATAAAGTTGTATAATTCTTAGCAATTCTCGTATCTTCATCGACTAATTTCATCGCCAATGAACATGCTGCATCAAATAATCGAGGATCTTCAACTTTAGATTTAAATGCCATTTTAAATGGGATACATGCTTCTTGACAGAATAGTAAGATCTTATGAATTAATTCATCATATGAACCATTTTGTAAATTAAAATCATTCATTAATTCAGAATCATTAAAGTATAAATCAGGGGCAGCTGTGAATACAAGAAATGCATCACTTAAGATTTCTTGAGTCGTATTAACGAGTTTTAATCGATGTTTAGATAAGGAATTATGTCCCGTAGTAGTGGTAGTAGAAGAAGAAGAATGAGATCCATGATGAGGATGAAGAAGATGAGTATTATGGGGAGAAGCCGTAACTGAATTGTGTTGTTTGGTGGTGTTTGTGGTGGTGTTTGTGGTGGACTCTTCTAATTGAGCATCTAAATTATGATTATTGGTATTACTGAGTGATGTACTAGAAGGAGAAATATCCTGAAGATAATGATCTAAACTGGTCTTCTTGGTGAGAGGGAATTCTGAAGGGAAATTGAATAATTGACCACTTTCTACACTTAAGATATCAGAATATAATGAAGCAGCAGATGACAGTGATGAAAGTACAGATTGACGTTCATAATCATATTGTCTTAAGATCTTTATAGAACCAAAGATCATTGATTTTAATGCAGTAGATAATTTAATCATTAAATCTTTAAAGATATTTCGAGCTCGATCTAATTCAGAAAACCCCTTAAGAATCTTAACTAAAATCTTAACTTCTCGAATATTATCTTTATAATTCATATAATTTTGGATAACTATATTATTATACTTTTCTGGTTTTAACATACATGCCGCAATATAAAAGTTAACCACTAAATAATCATATTTAATAAATAATGATTCATCATTTGCCAAAGTTGTGGCATGATGTTGACCATATTTCAGTAAATTTATATGAGTAGTATCAAGATATTTTAATCCAAATTTATATATAGGATGATCAATATAATTTGCTGATTTTAATCGAGCTGCTAAATGAAACATATTAATTAATGAATCAAAACTTTCTAAATTAGTTAATAATGATGAATCCTTTAAAATGGTTACTAAGAATTTTAATCTTTTATTAAATGAGATTTTTAATTTGTTTAATGGTTTACCAGAATCTAATTCAACATAATCTTCAATACATAATATAACTAACCAAGTTAATGTAAATGTTGAACATGGTAATGCAGTAAAATTATCATCAAATACTGAAGATGCATGATCGAAAAGGTTTTGATCCACTTTTAAAAATTCGGGATTATCAAATGTTATAATTGAATTATAATCTTGAGTTCTTGAAAATGTTTGATCTTTAACACTAGTAGCCAAAAATACATAAAATACTTGTTTCCAACTAATTGATTTCATTAATGGTAATGCTTTAATTATATCGGCTGCAATCTTTTCACTATTAGCATGAGAAAAGAACATAAATTTAATCATGGGAGAATATTTTTGAAGGATTGGGATAGGAATTAATTCATCATTATTTGAATAAGTAAATAATTTTGATTGAATAAAATCATAATAATTATCGGGATTAGCGGACGCTATATATCGTAAAATGATTTCAATATTATTATCGATTTCATTAATATAATTATTAAGAATTTCCATTTCTTGTGATGAACTTGAATTTAATTGTTGTTGTAAACTACTGTTAGTTGTTGTTGTACCACTACTATTTGAATCAATTATGGGATTATTTTCATAATCTAATTCTGGTTTAACTACTGATAATACTCGTTTAAGTACTCCAGAAGATAATAAATTCATAAATGTACTTAATAAATGATTAATTACTGAAGAATCTATTGGATTTGGACGTTCATAATAATAATATCGAGAATAATTCGATACAACATCATTAATATCATAATTATAAATTGTCTTTTGTCGATTCCAATTATACTTTAAAATATCAGATAATAATTTAACAATTATTAATGTAGAAGAAAGAGATTTTTCATCTCGATCTTTTAATTTAATACCATTGGCTTCATCATTAATAGCAATTAAATGATGACAAAGTGATACAAGAATAAATGTAATTATTGAAGGATGTTTATTATGATTATCAATCAAAATCTTTTTGGCAATTAAGAATTGAGGATTTAATTCAACTTCCGCAAGGGGATGTCCAGTTCTATTAGGTAAAAGTGATTGAACTCGAATTATGATGGTATCTATGAAAGCCCTTCGATTTTCGATATTAGTATCTTTATCCATGGTAATTGTAATGGAATTGGAATGGAATGGAATGGAATTGAATTGGAATGGAATTGAAATTGTACTGTTCTAATATAGTGTTATTATTATTATAATTATTATGGATGTCTTCTTGTGTTTCTTGTCTTTCTTGTCTCTTCTCTTCGGTATTTCTTTATCTCTATGGTTTCTTGGAGGTTATTCCCCAAGTTTTCTATAACGATTCGTTCAATTGATATATATGGCGATGGAAATTATAACTACGTAGTGGACAACACGTCTGTATAAACAATAATGTGGTTATATAGACAGTTTCCAGATAATTTAGAATATAACCATTGAATTTTAATGTTACTAAGGTTTAAGTTTAGGGAGCCTAATGTTAATTAACGACTATGAGCGTTGGAATCCAGCGACTTAGACTGGAAATTACGCTGATGTTAGGGAGTCTAGTCTCAAATTTACTGAATCTTTCAATAAAAATGTACCTACATTTGATGGTACGGTCGTGCGTATATGTCCAAGAAAAAAGAAATTTTTATATCCTGGTGGTAGTCTCCCTTAACAAAACGTTGAGGTAACCCAAAGAGGAGAACCGTTAGAAAAAAAGAAATTTATTTAAACAATTACGGGGGAGGAGGGGGGCTATAGTTAATCAGCGAATAATGGAGAACCAATAGAACCAATAAGCCATAAGTAATTATGCAATTATAGTATATACCATAATATATAAATTTAGTAGTGTATATTTCATAACCATAACCATAACCATAATCATAATCATAATCATAATCATAATCATAATCATAATCATAATCATTATTATTATTATTATTAATTATATGCTACATGACGACAATTACTATTACCGAATATTGGTAAAATATTGTTATTCTGATTATTCTTATCGTTATCTCCAAAAATAATCTTAAATGAATAAAACCGTTAAATCCCCTGGCTTTAAAATTTAAATCAAACTATTTGGATTTGAATTTAATTTTGATGATCATTTTCCCCCACCTGACAAGATATACTTTTCCAATGAGTTTTCATATTCATTTTCATTTTCATTTCCTACATTTACCATCTTTTGGTTCCCCTCTAAACCATTGTTTATTGTATTTATTCCCCATTTACTTAATTTTTTCTCTACTTAACTTTTACTTTCCTTAGTTTGACATTAATTCTTAACTAAAACGATTATGCTAAACCTAATCAGGAATTGATTCCTCATCAATTAATTCTCCACTTCATCTTCATCGCTCATCTCAACTAATCTTCCCCACAAAACCTTTCCCCTCCTTCTACAAACTTCTACTAAGATTGCTTTTCTTTATTCTCTTGTTCCATAAATATTCGATTTAAAATGTAACATCGCTTCAAACCATTTTGATCTATATAATATTATTTCTTATAATTTTCCTAAAATATTCGTAAATACGGTCTCTTAGTTAATTAATTATTTAAAAATTTCACAAGAAGTCTACACCAAATTATATTTTTTTTGCACCCTATGTATTTTTATTGGCGCTAAATTTAAATTTATTCTATTGTAGTTCACTTTGTAACTGTCATTCATTAACTACTTACTAATGATGTTAAAGTATCTGATCTCTCAATTAATCAGTTGGAAACATAGTGATAAATTAGATATCCATCTCCAAGATCTACAACTAACAAAAGGCAATGGAAATCGAAATAGAAAAGTTACCGCTAATAATTCCTCATCTACTCCAATTCCTAGTTTAAATTCTAATAATTATGGTAATTCTAATACAAGGAAGAATTATACATCTAATTCATCTGGTCCATGGAATAAGAATGGTTTAAATCATTATCCTCAAGTAATTCATAATCATAAAGTTAGAAATCGTTCTCTGTCTACTAAGGATCAAAATAGAGTATTTTCCACTAATGAATATAGATCAGGATCAGGACCTGAATATGATACTTATATCCAGAGAAGTTTTTCATCCAATCATTACAACTACAATAATAAGAGAAGGAATAAAAGTATTAATAGGTCCAACAGTTATAATCAAAGCAATTATAGAAAGGATCCTTTAAAAGATGATATTACGACTACAACTACCACTACGAAATTAACTAAAGAAATTTCAAATGGTACTTTTATTTATGTCCCTGTTGATACTAAATATACTTTAGTACATATTCCTCCAGACGTGCCAATTCCTTCATCAGCAATTCCCTTAGGTATACTTCCAAAATATGTATCATCGTATAATCATCTCAATCCTACTAATAAAGAAAATAAACAATTATCAGCCATGGATCAAGTTCGTAAAGAGTTTAAGCAAAAATTGATTGAAAGTGCAAAGGTATTAATTCATAATAAAGATGAAACTGATCATAAATCTAAATCGGTTAAATTTGTTTATAATCCCAAAAAGCCAGCTAATAAGGAAAATCCCTATTCAACTACTGGCTTCTTCCCTTTATCAGTACTTAGAAATAGATCAGATTTGTCAACAACTACATTATCTTTATCGGGTGAGGGAAATGACTTATCAGAAACTGAATCTTATAGTCAGTCTACTATTGGATCATCTTCATATGATATTCAAATTCAGTTACCTAATAATTAGCAGCCATTTTAGTATAGAGGAGAGAAGAGAAAAAATTAATAAATATGAGAGATTAAAAAAAATATTTTGTATATAATTTTTGTAGTATAGTATAGTAGACCACCATCGTGCCAATGACTACATCCGTGGTACGACAAGTTGTTAAGGATCATGATTGGAATTATATAGTAGTGGGATTGTATGTATAAATTTAATGTTACAAATTCGATAGTAGATGTAGATTTTTACTAACATAATTATATTAGGAGTCCCGATCCCAATAGTCATCATCATGAAGAATTAATGAAAGAATTTAATCGAATAACAATTGATCTTATTGTATGGAAGACCATTATTCAAACGGCTTTAGGTCGAATGTATGGACTTATAGGTGAATCATTACAATTTGATTTAATTATGTCGCATGATCATCAAGTTGTTTTAAGAGTATATAAACTTGATATAGATAAATTTATTACTAGTTTAATGGGATATGTCATTAATATTGGAAAATATTATGATTTAGAAAATCAACGAGAACTTCATTGTGGATTACAAGTTATACGTTATGGAGATTATTTAGGGTTAGTAGTTAATCACAATATAGATTAGATGGGTATATATATAATATATATATATGAATGATTATACTAGTAAGTAATTAGTAGTAGTAATGAATATTGGCATTCACACGACCATCTCGGTAACACTATCCAGCAATGCGCGCCGAATAGACACCAGTACCGATTAGGGGCAGTTGCGCCTAAGGGAGAGATAACTCGAAATCCGAGCCTCACTAGTAATTGAAAAGTATTAAAATTAACTTTATTTCACTAACAGTTCAATTAAATCTTGTAATAAATATATAACTAGAATATTGTGATACTCAATGGGTAATCAACGAATTTTCTCCGGAAATTTATGGAGATATTTCATAATATTTTGGTGGATAATTGGAACTATTATAGCAGCAGGTGATGAAGAATTTCATCCAAAGATTACAGTAATTACTGAACAAAAAGTTGCTTCAGAAATTAAATACTTTGATGATTCATCAAATATTCTTGTAATTCGAAATTCTCAACTTTTAATATCATTAGATGATGGAATTAATTATTCATTAATTGAAGAAACTAAAAATGAAGATATAGTTCATATTGAATTAGATAAATTCTTTAAAGAAAGAGCTTTTGCCTTTACATCAAATCAAAATCAATTTATTACTAATGATAAAGGTAAAACTTGGCAAAAGTTTGAAATTATTCATGATAAATCTGAAAAACTTGATTTACTTTCAATTCCTTATATTACTTTAAATGCTGCTTCAAAAGATTTTGCTTTATTTGATTATTTTGATTGTCCTCAAAAGATATTTAATGCAAATTGTAAAAGAATTTATTATTATACAACTGATGGATTTAAAACTAATCCAAAAAAGTTAAATATTGATCTGACAGTTTGTAGATTTGCTAGATCAAGTTTAGATTTTGATGGAGTTGATAATTCAACATTATATTGTAATAAAGATACTTTAAATTCTTTTGGTCATGTGGTTCAATCAGATTTATTAATTACAACTGATTTCTTTAAAAATTCTGAAAGAGTTAATCATCATCATGCCAATAATGGGAAAATTATTGATATAAGAATTGAACTGAATTTTTTAATTCTTGTTGTTCAAAATGATAAATTTAATGAAAATTCTCGAGTTTCAATATTAGTATCTAAAAATGGTAGTCATTTTCATAGAACTGATTTAAGAATTAGTTCATCTTATGGTTTAATGACATTTTTAGAAGCTTCTAAACTGTCATTTTTTATATCAGTATTAGAATATAAAGGTATTACAAGTGCGGCAACATTTTATGGATCTGATTCTGATGGTTCAAGATTAACAAAACTTTTAGGTAATATTCAAGATAATGCCGTTAAAAAAGTTCAAAATATTGATGGAGCTTGGTTAGCAAATACAGGAAATATTTCTGATGAAAATGATTCTAATTTATTAGATTTATTAATTGGTGGAGGAACTATAAAAGATATTGTAAGTCAATATTCATTTAATGATGGTAAAGATTGGAATCCTTTAGCTATTAATAATGATAAAGATTGTAAAGTATCAAATGGTTGTTCATTACATTTATTAAACCCAACTGAAAGAGATGGTGAAGGGAATTTTGTTACAGGACCAACACCAGGAATTTTAATGGCAATTGGTAGTAAAGGTAAAAAACTTGATAAAGATCTTAATAATATGCAAACATGGATTTCAAGAGATGGTGGAGCATCATGGGATCATGCCCTTGATGATGCATGTTTATTTACCTTTGGTGATCAAGGTAATGTTATAATAGCTGTACCATTTTATGGTAATGAACAACAAAGTGTTGATAAATTTTATTATTCATTAGATCAAGGTAAATCATTTCAAACTCAACTGATTGATCATCCATTTTTCCCATTAACTTTAACTACCACAGTTGATGGAACTTCAAGAAAATTCATTATGTCTGGATTAGTTGATAATACTCCTGATAATCATCATGATATGGATTTTTCAGAAGTACTTTATTCAATTGATTTTACTGATGCATTTAATGGGAAAATTTGTCAAGATGATGATTTTGAACAAGTATTTGCTCGAGTAACTCCAAATCAAGAACCAATTTGTATTTATGGACATCAAGAAAAATTTAATCGTAGAAAACAATCATCTCAATGTTTTGTTAATAAATTATTTGAAGATGTTAAAGTTTATGAAGATCCATGTCAATGTACTGAAGCTGATTTTGAATGTGCTAATGGATTTGAACCTGATGATGATGGAAACTGTCAACCATTACATCGAGTTATTGCTCATAGATGTATGATGGATAAAGTTAAAGAATTAAGTATTCCAATTAAAGTATTACTGGATGGTAATCAATGTAATTTAGGTAAGAAAAAATTAAGTGATTTTATAACCAATCAATTATTTAAATGTTCTGATTTTATTGATGATCATGAAGGTAATAATGGAGGTGGAGAAACCGGTACTAAACATGATATTGTGGTTGAAATTAATGAATTTCCAGGAGCTCTTAGACAATATACATATATTGAAGGTAATAGTTCAATATCATTTGAAAATGTTGTGGTTAATACTATTGATAATAAAGTATTTATATCTAATGATGGAGGAGTTGGATTTAATAAAGTACCAATTGATGATAAAATTGTTAGTTTTTATGAAGGTTATGCTATTGGTCATGTTATATTAATTACTGAATCTAAAAGTATTTATATATCTAATGATGGTGGTGCAACATTTGTTAAACGTGAGGCTCCTAATTTACCTATACCTAAACGTCGAGCCATTGCCTTTGATAAACTTAATCCTTTAAGATTTATTTGGTTTGGTAATGATCAATGTATTTCAGGAGATTGTCCTGCTATTGCATATTTAACTAATGATGGAGGTATTAATTTTCAATTATTAATTGAAGATGTATTTACTTGTGATTTAGTAGGGACTTATTTTGAACAATCAAATAATCCTGATCTTGATATTATTTATTGTTCAGTTATTGATAGACAAACTAGAAGACTTAAATTAGAAGCTTCTGATAATGGATTTCAAAAATCAGATACAATATTTGATTATATTGTTGGTTATGCAATTACTGGAGATTATGTTGTAATTGCCACTGTTGATGCTGGAGAAAAATCTTTACATGCAAAAGTTACGGTTGATGGTTCAACATTTGCTGATGCAGATTTCCCTCCTGATTTCCATGTAGAATCTCAACAAGCTTATACTATATTAGATTCTGAATCTAAGGCAATATTCATGCATGTTACAACTAATAATGAATTAGGTAAAGAATATGGATCAATATTAAAATCAAATTCTAATGGTACTTCATATGTATTATCATTACTGAAAGTTAATAGAAATAAAGTTGGTTATGTTGATTATGATAGAATTGATAGTCTTGAAGGAGTTATTATATCAAATATAGTGGCAGGTTATGATTCAAAAGGTAATAAAGAATTATCAACTCAAATAACTCATAATGATGGAGGTGAATGGGCTCCATTAATTCCTCCAGTATTAAATTCTAATGGTGAAAAATTTGCTTGTATTGGACAACCATTAGATAGATGTTCATTACATTTACATGGATTTACTGAAAGAGATGATTATAGAGATACTTTTTCATCATCTTCAGCTACTGGACTTTTAATTGGTGTTGGAAGTGTTGGAAAATCTTTAGATAGTTATGAAAGATCTTCAACATTTCTTAGTAATGATGGAGGTATTACTTGGAAAGAAATTAAACGAGGAGTTTATATGTGGGAATATGGTGATAGAGGAACTATACTTGTATTAGTTCCTGCTAGAAATGAAACTGATACTTTATCTTATTCATTAGATGATGGAAATACTTGGCATGATTATAAATTTTCTGATATACCAATTAATGTATTAGATTTAGCCACTGTACCATCAGATACTTCAAGAAAATTTCTTATATTTGGTTATAAATCTGGAGCTAAGGATATAACAATTGCTTATTCAATTGATTTTTCAGGAATTCATAAAAGACAATGTCAATTAGATTTAGATAATCCTGATAATGATGATTTCGTATATTGGTCACCATCTCATCCTAAATTACCTGATAATTGTTTATTTGGTCATGAAGTTAAATATTTACGTAGAGCTGAAGGTCATAATGATTGTTTTATTGGTAGTGCACCATTAAGTGAAGGATTTAAAGTTTTAAGAAATTGTTCATGTACAAGAAGAGATTTTGAATGTGATTATAATTATTATAGAGATAATGATAATACTTGTAAATTAGTTACAGGATTATCTCCAAGTGATCGTGAAAATGAATATTGTAGTAAAGAAGGAGCATTTGAATATTTTGAACCTACTGGTTATAGAAAAATTCCATTATCAACATGTGTTGGAGGTCAAGAATTTGATAGTTGGAAAGCTAAACCATGTCATGGAATGGAAAAGGAATTTAATAAACATTATGGAAAAGAAGTTACTGGTGGGAAATTATTTATATTATTATTTGTTCCATTATTTGTATTTATTTTTGCAACTTGGTTTGTTTATGATAGAGGTATTAGAAGAAATGGAGGATTTAAACGTCTTGGACAAATTAGATTAGATCTTGATGATGATGATTTCCATCCAATAGAAGATAATCAAGTAGACGTTGTGGTTAATAGAATTGTTAGAGGAGGAATATTTGTAATGGCTGCAACTTTTGCAACTTTTAAAACAATTCAAAAAATTGATAGATTACTTTTAGATAAAGTAACTTCAGTAATCTTTAGACGTACACCTGGAAGAAGAAATTATGTTCAAGTACCTGAATTAGATGAAGAAGATGAATTATTTGGTGATTTCCGAGATGATGATGAAGAAATTAATGATGGTAGAGTTAGTTTAAGTCAAGAATTTACTGATGATAATGATCATGATGATGATATATCTCATGTTGAAACTAATGAATCTCCAGAAAATGTTGATTCAAGACTCTTTGGTATTGATGATCATTCAGATGAAGAATCTCATCTTGTAACTGAATGATTAAACCATTTATATATATATATTTATATATATTAAATTAAATATCGATTGAAATTTAAATAAAAAATTTATTAGGTTTATTTGTGAGAGATTTATCGTAATTTCTAATTGGTTATACGGTAATTTCAGTAACGTACCATATCAAAATATGTTGTTAAATTATTGGTTGTTCATAAACTTTTTGCAACTTTCCTTGGTGAATCTGTAAAATGAACTAGGAAAATTTACTGGTTTACATAAGCATTTACAGGTTGCGCCAAATTTTGCAGTTTTCTGTCACGTGAATCGCGAGAACGTGACCGATCGAAGCATTGAAAACCTTCGAGGATGATGCGGTGGCTCAATGGTAGAGCTTTCGACTCCAGATCGAAGGGTTGCAGGTTCAATTCCTGTCCGTGTCAATTCCTTTATTTTTTATTTTTTTTAATTCGTATGTATTAAGCTATAAACGCAAAGGAGAAAATCCTATGATAAGAATAAACTCATCATAAGGCAAAACCTATATAAGAAAAATATAGAAAAATTATAGATAAGTAAAAAGAATGAATCAGATATAAGAACTCATTAAGAAGTTCTCAAATATAGAGTAGAATTACAGTAAAAATTAGAGGATCGTCGTGAAAGAAAGTCTGATTACCACATCTAACTGAGAGGCAGAAAGAGGCAGAACCTCTTGCCTAGCCGCTCGACGATGGGAATAAAGACGATGAATCACGACTAAATAACGATCTAATGAGAGTAGAAAAGTATCGGTTACCCGATTATTAAGAAGATAAGAGGAAATAACACTCGATGTACCTGCAGAAATAATTTTTTGCCAAATATGTTGAAAATTTGAATCTTGTTGTAAGCAAAACAAACAAGTCCTTAAATGCCTATTGGGATGTAAAGGGTCTGGTTGATTCCGAAGATGGAATTTGTGATTATAATAGCCCAAATGAAATAAATGAACATGTTCCAATTTGCCAGGATATTGATTCTTTTTAGTTTGTAAGAAGGACCAATATGATGACCATTGTTTACGAGTTAGGAAAAACGTATCATTAAAGAATGAACTCATACGTAAATTAGTACGACTGAGTCTGAGTCGACGACTAACACTTTTAAACGAAGATGGTGATAAAGGCTTGTGATCAATTCCTTGTAAATACCGATCTATGTCAGATCTAAAGGCAGGGAGACTGAGAAGGTTTATAAAAGCTTGTGATGAATAATGAGTTAGATGAGCTTGTGACCGATCATGAAGACTGAATGTTAAATCATAAAAAGCCTCCAATTGAGCTTTCTCGCTGTAGTCAAACATTGGTGAATTCAATATGAGTCCCCAAAATTGTCGATAATCAGGATGTGGCATTTTAAGATCAAATAACATCTCATACCATGGGATGAAGTGAAGAGTATGTGTAGCGGTTGGAGCTGATGCTGCAGGAATTACAGTATTAAGAAAATGTTGTATTTTGGATCTCCAGATAATGATGTTTAATGATGGTCTTGATTGAGTCAAGACCTTGTATACTTCATGTGCTCGACGACCTAATAAGTGATCGTAAAGATCAATCATACCATATACCCCTAAATGTTTGGGAGTAGTTAAAGTGGTATAGGATATGCCAGGAAATCTGGATGAGATGAGATGACGAAGATCCTTGCCTTCCGATTTGGAAAAGGGTTGATGAAGATCTCTGAAATAAAGTTTCAGGAGAACAAACATATTGATGGTTTGAACTTGATAGGATAGTGGTAAGTGGTAACAGACGTCGAACATTTTCATAAATTAGAAAACTGAGTAAAGATCTAGTAGTAGTCCATGGAATTGGATGATTAGGGATTCCAAGATATTTAAAGTCATCCAGGTGAAAATTGATAGTTCTACAACTGAGTAAAGTTTTATTGTAATTAACATTACTATTGCTAATAATCAGAAACAATTCAAGTTGCAGTTTTAATTTAGATTGATCATTAATATCATTTAAGAAAATAGTGATATCGTCCGCATATGCAAGATATTTGATAGGATGATTGATTTGGAGTGGTAGTTGTAGATTAAAGCCGGTGATTTATTTGCTATTCGAATGATATCTACATATGTTATACAACATATAATTAAGAACATATAATTAACACGAATGAAACATAAGAATAAAAACTTAAAAAAATAGAAAAGGGGAATTACAAAGACTTCTTCTTCGAGCCAAGTTTTATCGAGCCAAGTTTTATCGAGCCAAGTCTTTCATTGCTTTTAGATTTTTGCACCCTGCCTGGTTTTGATTTTGATTTTGATTTTTTCTGTTTCGGTGCATCAAGCATTTTATCATTCAACTTAGATTTATTAAGATTATTTTCAGGAAACGAATAATTAGATTTTTGAATCTCTTTAGTAGGATCCAAATAATTAAATTTTTCTAAAACTTCTTGCAAATCATGGTCATCTTTTTGTTTTTCCTTTAAATCATTTTTTTGAATTTTAGATTTAGTCCTATCCCAAAACTGACGTTTTTGACTTGTTTTAGATCTACCAAAATCAACAAAATAAGGGATATCTTTATAAATCAATATATTCTGGGAATGAATATCAAGATGAACGCAACCGAGTTGGTGGATTTTAAGAAGAGTTTCTTGAGCTTTTTTCCCTACTTCGATTTTATTCCCAGAATATTTATTCAAAGGAAGACCTGGAATATATTCCAATAATATATAAAAACCAGCAACTTCTGGTGGAGTTTTGGATAATTTGAGGATTTCATGGTATTCATGTATATTATTATTTTTAAGAAATCCAAACAGTTCCAACTTGGCTATGCCACTTTTCATTTTTCCTAGACGTTTATATGAAACGATTTCTTGGAAGAAATCCTTAAATGTGGAATTATACGAGGCCTGAAATACACTATTTTTCTCCACATAGGTAGCATTTCTGATAGGGTCTAAGACTTTCAAAAAGAACTTTTTAGGGTTCTTTTTGGCTTTAGTACTAACGACAAAAGTTGTACTGTTTCGGGAACTAAATTCACTACCAGAAATTATTGAAATAAATTTATATTTTCTTGCAAAGTCACTCATATTATAACTCTGCCATGATTTATACCTACTCATTTGAATAACAGCATCAATATAAAATTTCAGGAATTCATAATTAGCTTTCAATGTAATGGAATATTTACTAATATCGGTTGACACATCAATTTCATTACTCAAAACCGAATTATTAAAATTATACTTATTTTCTCTATCATATGCTAATGTTTCCAATTGTATGTTATTGATATGATGATAAAATTTTTCAATTAGAACATCTCTTAAGGATTTATGAATGACTGAGTTTTTCATAAATCTCTCCATGATTTCTTTATGAGATGATTGAGATGATTGACATTCTATTAAAAACATGAATAATTTAGTGTAAAATGAGTACGAATTTTCAGTTGAACCTTCAGGTGTATCTTCAAAAGAAAACATTCGACATTGAAGTTCTCTAGTTAAAAAACAGAAATTGTCCCCTTCAAAATCTGGATTGAGATGAAAATCCATTAAATCAAAAGCAACAAAGGTACTATAATCTGTTAATATTATGAATGGAGTACCAACTGCTATTGCTTCGCGTACTAATTGAGAAAAAATTTGAATTAATCCAAGTGATGCCTTAGTTATTGATTTAGATTCGTAATATTTTTGGATTTTATCATTTAAATTTGCTTTCTTTACTTCACATGGAATTTTAGTATTTAAGAATTTTAGTTCAAAGTCAGGTTTCACTGTGAAATCTGAACTATTTATTGATATTACTTCCCTTATTTCTGGTAATACGTAAGCTTTATCAAAAAGGGATGATATAAGTTTAGTTACTGATCTAAAATAGTTGAAACAGACAGCTTGCTGAATAAGACTTTCGTCGGAAGACGTTAATTCAAAGATAAAATCAGTATAAATATCTCCTATATTCGATAATCTTGATTTTGAAACCTTAAAATTGTTTGCGTTTTTGATTTCATATATTTGATGCCAATTATCGACTTTGGGATGAAACAATCCAATTTGTTTTGTAAATTCATTGTTTCTTCTTTCACTATTGGTAATCAGTGCACCTGCTGTTTCATTCGTGGTACTTCCCAAAGAAGAAATGGAGATGTTTGTGACAGTTGTATTTTCCACATTGGCGTCACTTGAACTTATGACTTTATTAAGCGCTGGTGGCTGCAAACTCAAAGATGTAGTGAATTTAAAGTACTTCAATGACAAACTTTTTAAAGAATAATTGGTTATCATAAGGTTTTCTCGAAATGTATCCGAAAAGTTTTGAAGTATTTTAACAATTGTAGAATTAGTTTGAAAATGAAATTTCTCTAATAGATGAAAATTATGAAGACGTAAGAGAACTTCTAATGCTTCACTTTCCAGAATTTCACCCTCCTGAAACATTTGCCAAACGTCACATTTTTGGAAAAGTTGTTGTATCTCACTTTGATTAGGCTCCTGAAGATAGGTATTCAATTTGTGTTTCATAGAATTATACTTTTGTATACCATTAGTACTAATTACGAATGGGCAGATGTCGTCACATGATTCATTCCGTAGTGCCAGTAAGGCATCATCAAAATTAATGATGCTTTTCAATTCCATAGTTAATTAATTGGGACAATGAATATCAGCACTTAATTATTGACTAATGGTTAAGTGGTTGTCAAAAATTTGCAGCTTGTGCGAAAAAAAAAGTATTTGTACACATACTTATATAGAGATGTAATTTGGTCCGTTTATGCAAATTGATGCAAAGGGATAAATTCATATCATTAGAGCTATCGCTATTTCGATTTTCAGGTATATACAATTGATATAAATAAATATATATTCTAACTGTTGTCGGATTTGAATAATTGGCTATTACAAATATGTAGTCTGTTATAGTACCTGTTAACAAGAATGTTTCTTAATGACTTATTTGTCATACTTTTATTGTCAAACCTTTTCATAATCAGATCATGTAAAGGTTGTGTAGATACACTATCTATCAAGAACATGAAGAATTTAGCGTAAAACGAGTATGGATCATTACAGGAATCTTCAAAGAATAATATTCGGCATTTGAGTCCTCTAGTTAGATAGCCAAAACTATCATCTTCAAAGTCATCACTGATATCATTATCCAACAAATCAATCAAAATTAATGAATCATAATCTGTTAATATTACATAAGGAGTCCCAACTACAAAAGCTTGTTTCACACATTGTGAGAAAATCTTTATAAATGGGAAAGAAGTTTCACTGATATTTGAACTCGAATTGGTAAATTCTTTGATTAATCTACTAACGTTCTTGCTTTCTACATCTATAGGTATCTTCATATCATTTAACATAATTTCCATCTTAGCAGTCACTGAAACTTTCTCATCAGCCATCAATTTTACTTCTCTAATTTTAGGTAATACGCAAGCTTTATCAAAAAGGGATGAAATAAGTTTAGTTACTGGTCTAAAATAGTTGAAACAGACAGCTTGCTGAATAAGACTTTCGTCGGAATACGTTAATTCAAAGATAAAGTCAGTATAAATATCGTCTATACTCAATAATCTTGATTTTGAAACCTTAAAATTGTTTATGTTTTTGATTTTAAACAATTGATGCCAATCATCGGGCTTGGGATAAAACAATCCATTTTTCTTTTTCAAACCATTGTTACTTATTTCCCTATTTATAACCTGTCCGCTTTCACTTATGGCTCTATTAAGTACTGGTGGTTGCAAACTCAAAGATGTAGTGAATTTAAAGTACTTCAATGACAAACTTTCTAAAGAATAATTGGTTACCATAAGGTTTCGTAGAAATGTATTCAAAAACTTGTGAAGTATTCTAACAATTGTAGGATTAGTTTGAAAATGAAATTTCTCTAATAGATGAAAATTATGAAGACGTAAGAGAACTTCTAATGCTTCCCTTTCCAGAATTTCACCCTCTTGAAACATTTGCCAAACGTCACATTTCTGAAAAAGTTGTTGTATCTCACTTTGATTAGGCTCCTGAAGATAGGTACTCAATTTGTGTTTCATAGAATTATACTTTTGTATACCATTAGTACTAATTATGAATGGGTAGATGTCTTCACATAATTCATTGCGTAGTGCCAATAAGGCATCATCAAAATTAATGATACTTTTCAATTCCATAGTTGTTAATTGGGATAAATATCACTAATAATGGATACTGACTAACGTTTTATGATTAAATAGTTGCCAAAATTTGCAGCTTATGTGCGAGAAAAAGCATCGAAAAGATACATATTTATATATAGGAGTAGTTTGGTCCGTTTATGCAAATTGATGCAAAGGATGTATTACAATTGAGTTATCGTATCATGTATATTGAAGAAATATAAAGAATCTATTCCATATTTACATCATTATTGTTAGAGCTATCATTATTTGCTTCATCTTCTTTCCCTTCGTCTATCTTTTCTAATTCATTTGATGGTATAGTAGTTGAACCATCTTGTTTAGCCTTTTCTGCTGCTTCACGATCTTGTCTTGCCTTTTCTTCTTCTAAAGAAAGCCTTAAAGCTAATGCTAAATCTGGATCCATATTAGCATCCATAAATCCATCACCACCAGCACCACCAAATCCGCCAACTCCAAAATCTCCATAATCACCTCCACCAACTTCACCATTTTCTACTAAAATAGGTGAAGAAGCTATAACTTCATATAATAATCTTGGACCAGGAGGAACTGTTACAAGATGAGAATTATCATGATTATTTATAGTATTATTAAATTTTTCTAATTTTGTAGTATTTATTGATTCTTCTCCAAAATTTATGATATCTATAGCCACATTATTCTTTTTCATCTTTTTCGCCAATTTTTCCAATTCCTTTTCTGATTCTTGAATTGGACTTCCAACAAATACAACAATTCTTTGTTGTTGAACTTTATTTTGACGATGTTTCAAAGCTAAAGCTGCTACTTGAATTCCACTTGAAAAATGATTACCACCAGAAATTTTTACATCATGAACTCCTGATAATAATTTCCCAAAATCATTAGTTAATGTTGATAAAACTTGAGGTCCACTACCACCATATGCAAGTAATCCAACAGTATTTTCAGGATTTGATGATGTTTTACTTTGAAAGATAAATTCAGTAGCAGTTAATTGAGCATCAAATCTAGTAGTTAAATAATCACCATTTCTCATATATTCTGAGTTATCAATGGCTATCATAGTAGCCTCGAGAACCATTTTCAATTACTATATATATATATAAAAGTTGGGGATACAATTAATTTTGATTTAATATATAATATATTTACTTCAAGTGTTTTTATACTTCCACACCCTCGAACGTGAACGTATAATTAATTCAATGCTTGCCACCATTTTGTTTCCAAATCAAGAACCATCTTGTGCAGGAATTTTTTTTTTAGTGTATGTTATCTATGTAAACAATTAGTTTGTAGTAAAGGGTTGAGAACAGTATCACGAGTGTGCGAGTAATGGGTCTCAGCAAACAGAATAAAGAGAAATTAATACGGCATTTAAGGTCGGAGATGCAGGCTGCGGAAGTTGAACTTGAAAAAAAGACTGAACAACGAGCAGCTGAAGTTGAACAGAAAGTACGAAGAAGGTTAAATACTGTGAGTGTTACTCTATGGAATGTTAAGATAAAGGATATTTTAAATGTTGAAAGACATCATAGAACTTCGGTTAAAGAGTTATTATATGATGTAGATAAATTAAGACGAAGTTCAGGTCATAAATCTACAATTGATGATGTAAGACCCAATCATAGTGTTCGACCAATTAATACTGATAGTGAGACTAGTTCTAATAGAGATACTCCTGGTAGAGTAACCAAACCATATCATAGATAAAGGTATGTAATTAAGTAATTAAGTAATTAAGTAACTAATAATGACTAATGTTTATTTTTATACAGATTTAATATTATGCAAGAACTATAACTAATAAATATTTATCGTACAATCATTTAAGCATCTTCAGGTATATCATCATGGAAATATTTACCTTCAGTTGTTGGTTTAATAACTCCCACTCTAATACAGAAATCACCAAAATGTTCTCCATCATACCTTTCTAAACTCCATCTCTTAAATAATGGTTTTAAAATATCAAGAATTTCATCTTCCTTAATAGAATATCTATAAATTTTATTTAATCTTTGACCATGATGACCTCCACCAAGTAATAAATTATAAGCTCCATAAGCTTTACCAACTAATGCAACTTCAGCTAACCATGGTCTAGCACAACCATTAGGACATCCAGTCATTCTCATAACCACAGAATCATGTCTTAAACCATATTCTTCTAATGAAGTTTCTAATTTACTAATTAATTCTGGTAAATAACGTTCAGATTCTGCCATTGCTAAACCACAAGTTGGGAATGCAACACAAGCAGCTGAAGATAATCGAAGGGATGAAAAATCAGTATTACTTAATTTATATTGTGATAAAAGTGATTTAATTTCATCTAAATCATTATCTTCAATATTAGAAATAAGTAAATGTTGATTACCAGTTAATCTAAATTCTCCTGATCTACCACCATTTAAATATTGTGCAATCTTTTTTAATCCAGTCTTTTGAGGTAATTCAACTGTATCTTCAATTCTACCATTTTCAATAAATGCAGTAAAATGATTATAACCTAATTCATCTTTTGTCCATCCAAAATAATCAACATTTGATTTTATTTCAAATTCTTTTGCTTCTTCAAATTTAAAATCTAATAAATCTTCAACTTTTTGTTTAAATACTTCAACTCCTAAATCATCAATGGTATATTTTAATCTTGCATGCTTTCTATTAGTTCTATCACCAAAATCTCTTTGAACTAACATAATCTTTTCACAAGCAATATGAACTTTATCTTTCGGTACATAACCAAACATTGATCCAGTTCTTGGATATGTTTTTTTATTATTATGAGTAGATCCCATACCTCCACCAGCTAAAAGATTAAATCCAATTACTTCATTATCTTCAACAATAGCAATTAAACCAATATCATGAGCATAAACATCAACATCATTATATGGTGGAACAGTAATAACAATTTTAAATTTTCTTGGTAAATAAGTTGGACCATAAAGTGGTTCATAATCTACTAATGCATTACCAGAAACTAAAGTTTTCTTCTTCTTTGGTCCAACTTTTCTAGTTTCCCAAGCTTCACGATCACCTGGTTTATCACCTTCATCTTCACCTTCTAACCAAATTTCATGATAAGCAGTTGTTTGAGGTAATAAATGTTCAGAAATTAATGTACCAATTTTAGAAATTTGGGAATGAACTTTAGCATTATTTGGTAAAGCAGAAATCATAACATTTCTATTAACATCTCCACAAGCTGCTAAAGTATCTAATAAAGCAGAATTCATACCTCTAATAGCTGGTTTTAAATCATGTTTAACAACTCCATGTAATTGGAAAGTTGCTCTAGTAGTAAGTTTAATAGTACCATTACCTCTTTCATCAGATAATTCATCCATTTTTAAATATTGAGCTGGAGTGGCTTTACCACCAGGTAATCTTAAACGAACCATAAAGGCATAAGCCGGTTCTAATCCTTGAGATTTACGTTCATCTCTAATATCTCTATCATCTTGCATATAAATACCATGGAATTTAGTTAATTGTTGATCAACGGCACTAATGGCTCCAGTAGATTGATCTTGTAAACCTTCAGCAATAGTACCTCTTAAGAAATTAGAACCAATTTTCATATCTTCATTAGTAATTGGTTTTGGTTCTTCAATTCCTTCAATATTATCAACTCCAAGAGCAATCCAAATTTTTGATATCCATTCATTAAATCCAGTATTAAATCCATCAGCATCTTGATCATCACCTAATCCAATTTCAGCTAATTCAATACCTCCATAAAGTTTTAATTTTGAATCTAAATCTTTGGCTGGTTTATTATAATAATGTTTATCTTCCTTTCTTGGCCAATATTGAGAATCTCCTAAACCAAATACAGAATATTTAACTGAAGCTAAATCTAAATCAGTTGAATTTTTAATTCCATCCCAAAATTGTTTACCATTAGTTGGAAATTCTCCTTGACCTGAAGTTGAAGTTATAAATACAATATTTGTTTCAGTTGATAAATCTTCAATAGATAAATCATCCATGGCTAAAATTATTGATTTTAATCCTCTTCCTAATGCTTGTCTATTAACCTTTTTAGCTAAAGCTTCAGCATTACCACCATCAGATGCAAATGTAACAGTTAATGGTGGACCAGATAATCCTTGTAATAATTGAGCAAATGATTCATCAGCAATTTTCTTTTGTTTATTTCTAATTTCACTATTAGCTGAAGCAATTAAATTTCTTGAAAGTGAAGGATCTTTTGCAGCCAATAAAGTTAATTTATTATCACGATCTAAAAAGTCTTGTAATTGTTTTCTTAAATTTGAAGAATCTAATTTAAATGATTGAGTTTCATCTTCAATACTTGGATCATATCTATATAATGGCCAATAACCAGTATCAACTGCTCGTTTAGTTTCTTGTAAGATTGATAAAGCAGAATCTAATTCAGTTTTATATGGTAAATAAGCTAAAATTATTGATGGACCATTAAATTTTTCTGCTTCAATAAAAGCTTGTAAAACTTGAGTATAAGATGAATAAATTGCTACAGATGCCACATAAACTCCTCCATAATTCATGGCATATAACCCAATATCTTTTTTACGAAGTCCATTTATAGTTTTACTCTTTTCATTATAAGGTTCTGAATCAATAATTAACATATTGATATTCTTTCCTGAAGAAATTAAATTATGAACTCCCGAAGATCCAAGATCATAAGCCCAACTATCAGAACCAATTAACCAATTACTATCAACATAAAAATACTGAGATAATTTCAAGATATCTCTTGTTGAAGATGATTGTTCATCAGTATTTAATAAAGAAATAATTTCATTAGTTAATGATTTATCTATTTTAATTCCTTCTCTAACTAAAACTAACCATTTAGTTAAAAGATCAATTAAATTAGCATTATCAATAGATTGAAATAAATTTTCTTGAATAGAATTATATACCAAATTAATTAATTCTTGTTGCTTTTCTTGATTAAATAAGAAAGATCCATAACCAAATTCTGGATTTGATTCAAGACCAATATTTTCTGAATCAATTTCATTTAAAATAGTTAAATTTTCTGGATTAATTTGATTTAAAAGTTTTAAATAAGCTTGTTCTTTAGAATGAGCATTATTAATTGATTTAATATGTTCATCATATTTTTGTTTATAAGATTTAGTAGTTAATTCAGTATTAACTTTACCAAAAGATAAATGTTGAATAGGATTATTTGATCTTGAATTGGTTAATAAATTCGAAATTGTTGAATCAAATTTATCATTGGAAACAAATCCAAGATTTGCAGCCACGACTTTTGTAAAATTCTTTAATGATTGATATTTAGAATAACTTTGGAAAAAATCTAATAATAAAGGAGAAAATGAATTTGATGAACTAGTAGATTGTTCAAGTAAAGTTAAAGTTTCAACACTTGATGGAATAATAGATAATAAACTTGATAATTCAAATGGTTGATATACTTTAATTGAAATTAATAAAGTATTTTCCTTTGTGATGGCATCAATTAATTCTTTATTTAATTGACCTAAATATAATATAGAATCTTTAGCATTATTAACTGAATTAATAATTTCAAAAAATGGTACATTAAGTTCACCATAAACATTTTCAATTTCAATATTTTCAAGATCTTTTAAAATTACTGAATTTGTTAATTCTAATAATTTAAATTTTTCATCAGTTTTAAATGATGATGGAGCAAAAAAATGAAATACTGATGTATTTAATTTAGTTGCTAAATTATAAGCTAATACTGAATAAGTTTGAGCTTCCTTTGGAGTTTGAGAAATTATAACAGGATAATTTAAATCTCTTAAACTTGCAACTATTGAAAAATCAAATGAATCAAGTTCAACATGGGATACAACTTTTCTATTTGAAAAAATATTTGAAGATAAAAATGGTAAATTCTTAAATATAGTTGATCCACTAGTAGTAACTGTAGTAAATTCATCAATAGAATTTGTTTCTAAACCAGTTTGAATAGCAAAATATGCATCATTAGCATCAATTAAAATATTTGCATTAGGAAAGTAACTGGTAAATGATGATTCAACAGACTTGGCTGGTTGTGTCACATATACAGTACCTCCAACAAGATTAGCGATATGGGCAACTAAATAACATTTAAGTTAGTAAAACAAAATTTTTTTATATATGGTTGCAATCCTCTTATCAATAGAGTGGGGGAACCAACAAAAAAGATTGAACAATTCCCAACTCCAATAACTTCATAAACTCAAATATACATACTAGCCTCTGGCTGAGAAAAAGTCATTCTTCGACTTAAACACAACACAACAGATCTATAAGAAACGGTTCAACAATCAAATTAAAACTGAATCATTAAGGTTAAAAGATTTGGAAACGAAATGGTTATTATAGTTGAAAAATTCAGCTGGGGCTGTGTGCAGGACACGCAGATCGCAGTCAATGGGATATTACTTCATCAGATCATAGCACGTGACATTTGATAATGTAAGCGATTACTTCAAAGTCGTGATTGGCTCAAATTGGCGGCGTTTGTTTTTGCATCCTTTTCAAAGTCCATATGATATCTTTGCAATCAAACCCCACTTAAATATATAAACTAACTAACTAATTAACTAATTAACTAATTATCAATAATATGGTGATTACTTTGAAGTTGTGGCTACAAGTTTTCAGGTATAGAATGAGAGTATATATTAGTTATTAAGTATTAATTATAAATTATTAAGGTATAAATTACAAGTTACAAGTTATTAAGGTATAAGTTACAAGTTACAAGTTATTAGTCTATTCGCTATCACTATAATATTGGTCATAACAAGTACTAAGCTTAATTCTCTTGTTGGTTGATTTACCACTTCTAGTCCATGCATTAGGTTGTCTCATAGTAATCTTTCCAAAACATGAGTTTCTTGGAGTATAATCCCAGTAATGAAATGGTTTAGTAGGATCTCCTGGTTGTTTCATATTTTTAAGAGGAGTTTTGCAATTAGTGAAAGCTTTAAAAACTGTACTGGGTACCCATTCAAATTTCTTCTCTTTAACTTTTTTCAATCCACTCATTTTACCTCGAAGAATTTTATCATGAACTGCAAATTCATCTCTAACAGATTCTATTACTCTATCACTAACTTCTTTTGAATTTTCCAAGTATTTTCTATCGATTATAATATTTTCATAACATGCATCCGGGTTTTCATCATCATCTTCTGGCCATACATATAATCGTCCAATAACTTTTCTTGTTTCTTTATCATAATATTTACATTCAGGATAAATTGATCCAGATTTTGGTGATTGTGATTGTGAACCAATTTGTGAAGAAGTAGAAGTAGAAGTTGCAGTGACAGGAGTTGCAGTGAAAGAAGTTGTCGATGTCAGATACCTTATTGGTTCTGGAGGATAATCAATGGGTGCAAAATGATTATTATTATAATGTCCCATAAATACATCATTCTTGGTAATCAGTACATTATTATTATTATAATAAATTGGTACCAGATTAACTTCTGACCTTATATTAAAATTATGTAGTGAAGAATCTGTCTGTGGTAAGTTATGATGAGTAAGAGAATAATCCACTATATTTTCATATAATTCTGAACTGTTGAGATGATTTTGTGAAGTAGTTAATTGGTGAGGAGTTTCTAGTAAGTTTGTGACATCATTTGAGTGGCTGCAATAAGTAGATTGAATATGTCTATGAATAGTTCCATTATTATGATCCAACAAATGATTAGGTAATGATTGAGGAAGGATTTCATTAGTTAAAGTTCCTAAGTTAACAAGAGCATCTTGGAATTCAAGTTCACTATAATGATTGTGAGTTTCTCCCGCTGAAGCACATAATGAAGACATAAATGATTCAAAATCTTCATCTTCGTCAGGTTTAGTGTTGAGCAGAGTCATTATAGCAATTATATCAATAGATTTAAGAATGTACAAGGTCTGCAAATATTCCAATTACTCCAAGTGGTGTCTTATTTATGGTAACTGTGAATGTTCTTTAGCATACATTTATTTCTTATCATATTTGGGCAATTGGTATCGCACAAAAAAATTGCACCCAAACTTCTGTTTGAGGTTGTCTTTAGAGCCGAATTATCAGGTGTTTCTGCTGAAGGTATGTTTTATTAAGCGTAACAATCTGTATAGTTTATAATATGGAATGTTCTATTTAATATGGAATGTCCTATTTAATATGGAATGTTCTATTTAGCAATAAATATAAATAAATATCAGTAAATATCAGTAAATATCAGTAAATATCAATAATATCAATAATATCAATACATATTAAGAGTTAAAGATACTGGAACAAGTCAACTGTTTCTTTTTTGTGTAGTGTTTGAAAATTACCAATAATTGAAGAATCAAGATTCTTATATTTCTAATAAATATATCCAGTTCTAATAAATATACTCATTTCTTATCCTAGTAAGTATTTCTACATATGGTTTCCGACTGGTAGCGCCCACATCCGTTGTGACTCACCGGTATCGCAAATAATTTGCGAGATGAAAAATCACCGAATAGTGAAAAATTTCAATCATCTGATTCACATATCGTACTAAAAGGCCCCCACTATACATTAATGAGTGCTACCATAAGTTTGGTAGGAAAGGTTAGACCGACCTTAGTTAGGGTTAAACCCTTTGCGCCATTGAAAACAAGTTTTATTAGATATAATTCTAGTAATAGTAGTAAATGGCCTGAATTGCAACCAACGGATTTTACTCCTCAAGGTGAACCAGATTATATTAAATTAATTTTAACTTCGAGAGTTTATGATGTTGTGGATGAAGCAGGAACTCCTCTTAATAAAGCCATTAATTTATCTACCAGACTTGGTACTAATGTTTATTTAAAACGTGAAGATTTACTTCCAGTATTTTCATTTAAATTAAGAGGAGCTCATAATATGATAGCTAATTTACATTCCAATTCAAAAACTCCTTTAAATGGGGTTGTGGCATGTTCTGCAGGTAATCATGCTCAAGGAGTAGCATATTCTGCTAGTAGATTAAATATTCCTGCTACTATAGTTATGCCAACAGCAACTCCATCAATTAAATATTCTAATGTTGCAAGATTAGGTTCAAAAGTTGTATTATATGGAGACGATTTTGATTCATCTAAACAAGAATGTGAAAGATTAAGTAAATTAGAAAATCTTACTAATATTCCACCATTTAATCATCCATATGTTGTGGCCGGTCAAGGAACTATTGCATTAGAAATTACAAGACAATTAAGATTAGATAAATTATCGGCTTTATTTGTGCCAGTTGGTGGAGGAGGATTAATTGCTGGTGTTGCCGTATATTTAAAAAAAATTGCTCCTCATGTTAAAATTATTGGAGTTGAAACTTATGATGCTGATGCTTTATATCAATCATTAAAAGCTAAAAAATCAATTGAATTAGATCTGGTTGGAGTATTTGCTGATGGTACTGCTGTTAAAGTATTAGGTGATGAAACTTGGAGACTTTGTAAAGATTTAGTTGATGATGTTGTTCGAGTATCTACTGATGAATTATGTGCAGCCATAAAGGATATTTTTGAAGATACAAGACTGATAACTGAACCATCAGGAGCTTTATCAGTTGCTGGATTAAAGAAATATATTGAAGAACATCCAGAAATTAATCATTCAGATAAAACTTATGTTCCAGTAGTTAGTGGAGCCAATATGAATTTTGATAGATTAAGATTTGTTAGTGAAAGAGCAGTTTTAGGTGAAGGTAAAGAAGCATCATTTGTTGTAACAATTCCTGAACAACCTGGTGAATTTGCTAAATTACAAAGTATTATAAATCCAAGAGCTATAACTGAATTTTGTTATAGATATAGTGGACCAGGACCAGCTAATGTATTAGTAAGTTTTAATATTGCTGGAGGTGAAAAAGATGATATATTAAATGAAATGATTGGATCAAAATTTGGTTATGATGTTATTGATATTTCAGATAATGAATTAGCTAAAACTCATGGACGTTATTTAGTTGGAGGTAAATCATCACATTCAAAGACTTCAAAGGAAAAGATGTATAGTTTTGAATTTCCTGAAAAACCAGGAGCATTATTTAATTTCTTACAAACTTTAAAGAATGATTGGGATATAACATTATTTCATTATAGAAATCATGGTCATGATGTTGGAAAAGTACTTTGTGGATTTGTACTTCCTCAAGGTACTGCTGAAGAAGATTTCCAACAAGTTTTAAAGAAAATTGGCTACAAATTTTATGATGAATCAGATAATGTCGTTTATAAAAAGTTTTTAACTTCTTAACGAATTTATGAAAGTGATTGTATGTACAGATATTATGTATAGTAATAATACTAATGTTATTATTTTTAATCATTACGACGTAGAAATGATTGATAGGCTTCTTGATTTATATGAACTCTTCCACTAGCTTTCATTTGCTTCTTTCCTTGCTTTTGTCTTTCTAAAAGTTTCTTATATCTTGATATATCAGCCGCATGTAATTTTTGAGTTACATCTTTCCTCTTAGCTTTAATGGTTTCTCTGGCTATAACTCTACTACCAATTTTTGCTTGAATTGCTACTTCAAATAATTGAAATCTTAAATATTCTTTAAATCTTGTAACATATTCTTTCCCTCTTGATTGGGCTTGAGATTTATGTAATATAGTTGTTAATGCATCTTGAGATTCTCCATTTACACATAATTCCATTTTAACTAAATCAGATTTTTTATATCCTGCATCATCATAATCTAATGATGCATAACCTTTAGTACAACCTTTTAATTTTCCAAAGAAATCTTCAACTAATTGAGCTAATGGAATATCAAATCTTAATAATACTTGTCCAGTACTTAAATATTCCATTTCCTTTTGAATTCCTCTATTATTTAAACATAATGTCATAACAGTTCCAATATATTCTTCTGGAACTGTCATTATAGCTTCAACAAAAGGTTCCATAAAACAATCAACTCTTGAATGGAATGAACTATCAGGAAATTTATCAGGACTTGTAATAATAACTTCTTTACCATCATTATAAACTACTTTATATGGTACAGTTGGAGCCGTAAGAATAATTCTAGCTCCATATTCCTTTTCTAATCTTTCTTTAAATACTGATGCATGTAAAGATCCTAAAAATCCTAATCTCCATCCAAGACCTAAAGCATTTGATGTTTCCTTTTCTAAAGTAACTGATCTATCATTTAAAACAAGATTTTGCATTTGATCATCCATAGCATTAAAATCAGTTCCTTCAGCTGGAAATGCTCCAACAAATACCATTGGTTTTGGTTCTTCAAATCCTGGTAATGGTTCAAGATTTTCATGATTTCCATATTGAAAAAATGTATCTCCAACTATAGCATCTCTTGGATTTTTTAATCCTGGTATAATATATCCTACTTGACCAGCAGTAATAGTATCCATAGGCATCATATCAGGATAATTTATTCCAACTTCTTTAACATCATATACTTTATCAGTATGAGCTGATAAAAGTTTCATACCTTTTTTAATTTTCCCATCAACAACATGAATAAGCATTACCACTCCTAAATATGAATCATGCCATGAATCAACTAATAATGCCTTCAAAGGGGCTGAAACATTACCAGTTGGTGCCGGAATATTTTTAACAATCAGGGGAAGAATTTTATGTACATTTAAACCAGTTTTTGCACTAACTGGTATACAATCTTCTCTTGAAAGTTCAAAAGTTTCTTCGACTTGATTCATTGCTGCTGGTATATCTGATTGATCTAAATCAATTTTATTAATAATAGGTATAAGTTTTAAACCCATACTATAAGCTAAATAAAAATTAGCTACAGTTTGAGCTTGAACTCCTTGAGATGCATCAACAATTAATAAAGCTCCTCCACATGATGCATAAGATCGAGATACTTCTGCTCGGAAATCAACATGACCAGGAGTATCTACTAAATGTAATAAGAAATCTTCACCTGTTTCTTTATCTGTATAAATCATAGATACAGTTTGAGCCTTTATTGTAATACCTCTTTCACGTTCAACTTCTAATTTATCTAAAACTTGTTTATTTGATCCCGGTTGAATGACTCCGGTGATTTCTAAAAGTCGATCTGAAAGAGTCGATTTCCCATGATCGACATGTGCTACTATACTAAAGTTTCTATAGTTTTCTATAGGAATTTTAGCTATTCTTTCTTGAATTTGTTTTCGATATAATTCTTTATTTAAGAACATCTTCTTTTGATCTGGACTTTGAATTGTTTGATGAGTTGTGGTAGATGTTAGTCGTCTCGGTATTCGTGATAGACATGACACACGTGCCGGCCCGAACAAACATCTTGGCATTAAGATATTCCTTATAGCCATTTGAATTAGTTTAGTTATTAAGTATGGTAAGTCTGGAGTCCATTCAATTTGCATCTTTTTTTCACTCCACTATAATTTTTTCAGCCTGTATAATTTTTGATAGGCACACTATACTGTAGATACAAGGTGTATATAGTGTATATGAAGAATGTATATATAGTGTATATGAAGAATGTATATATAGTGTATAGGAAGAGTGTATATATAGTGTATATATAGTGTAAATAGAGTGTATATAGAGTGTAGATATATAGTGTAGATACACTGCATATATAGAGTTTACACCTCAGATGGGGTTTAATTTAACTATGAGCTCTTATACAGTTACATCTAATTAACTATAAATAGACTTATATTTTATTTGTTAACTAATTAATAAACTATCATTAAATCAATTGTTATTAAGCATTATTAGTAGCGAATTCATTAACAAATTCCACCAATTTCTTAACACTATCAAGACTTACAGCATTATAAATAGAAGCACGCATACCTCCTACTGATCTATGACCCTTTAATCCAATAAGATTTTTTTCTGTTGATTCCTTAATAAATTTATCTTCTAATTCTTTTGGTAAAGTAAATACTACATTCATATTTGAACGATATTTTGGATTAGTTACTGGTAAATGATAAAATGTAGGATATTTACTTAAGGCTTCATATAATATTTTAGATTTTTCTTCATCAATAGCTTGAATTTGTTTAATTCCACCATTCTCTAAAAGTTTTGCAGTAACTAATTTTAAAATATGACAAGCAAATATTGGAATTGTATTATAAGCAGAATTATTAGCAATCACAGTTGGGAAATGGAATGCAATTGGAACTAATGGAATTCCATAAGATTTTAATTCATCATCAGTTGGTTGTTCAATTAAAGACTTTTTAATAATATATATAGTTAAACCAGCTATACCAATATTTTTTTGAGCACCGGCAAATATAACCCCATATTTACTAACATCAACCTTTTTTGATAAAATATTAGATGACATATCTGCTACAAGTTCAACTCCTTCAGGAAGATAATCTGAAGTTGGAATATCTTTATATTCAATTCCATGAACAGTTTCATTATCACATACATAAAGATAAGCAGTATCTTTTGAAATTGATTTCCATTGAGAATAAGGTGGAATATCTCCATATTTTAAATCCTTTGTATCAACAACAATATCAACATTAAATCCTAATCTTTGAGCTTCTTGAGCAGATTTTTTTGACCAACTACCAGTAATTGCATAAGCTGCTTTACCAATTTTTCCATTATTTCTTTTAGCATAATTACCAATTAAATTATATACAATTGAAGAAAATCCGGTTGTACCTCCACCTTGCATAAAGAAAACTTCATGAGTATCAGGAATATCTAATAATTTAATTAAATTTGATTTAGTATCATCAATTACTTTAATAGCTGGTTTTGAACGATGAGAAATTTCTCCAATTCCAACTGTCAGCTGTTCATATTTAATTAAATCATAAGCTGCTTCTTGTAATACTGAAGTTGGTAATAATGCTGGTCCAGCACCAAAATAATTAGGTTCTTCACGATCTAATGATTTAATTGAACTCATATTTGAACTAATTGTTTAAATAATTGTTTAACGAATTAACTATCACTTTAACAATTGAAATTATCAATCTATAATTAAAATATATTGAATTAATTTAACCTAATTTATATGGAGATGAGAAATGACTCTTACTCATTTTTCACTTGTGGTCCTTCTTCGAGGTTTTGTGTCATACATTTTTTTCCACAATGTTTATGTTAGTGGTAATGTTTACATTTTATGGAGATGATTAATTGTTTATTTACTGATTAAATTTAATACCAAACTACTACTAAATTATAGTAAATTCAATATGGCTGAAACAATCACATATTTAGATACTGAACCTATTCGGAATGCATCTGATTTAATAAATTCAATGTTATTATCAAGAGCATATATTGATGATAAACTTAAATTTCTTACAATTGATCATCAAGATTTATTAAAGAATAATTTAATAATATCATCATCATCAGAATTTCAAGTAAGTGAAATAATATATGAGAATGATAGATCAGTTATAAATATAATTCATTCACTTTTAGTTGCATTAGATAGAACTAGAAATCAACAAAAGATTTCCAATCAAACTATTCTACAAAAGGAAATGCAAATTAAGAAATTAACTGCTAAGAATGATCAATTAGAAAAAGAATTAATTAAGAATGAAAAGGATTTAAACAAATTAGTTCAATTTGAACAAAATGATTTAAATAAACAAATCGATTCTTTACATAAAATTAATAAATTACAATCAAATGATTTAATTAAATTAAAGCATTGGTCAGGAGGTTTACAAAAGAAATATAAAATAGAATTAAAGAAACAACAATTGGAAATAGATGAATTAAAGAATAAACTTCTAGATAAACGGAATTTATCTTCCACTATAAAGTATGGTATACCGATAAATTCTGATGAATCAACTTCACAATCAACTTCAACAACAACAACAACAACTTCAATTTCAATCAATAATATTAATTCAACTATAAATTCAAATATAATATATAATAATTTACCAATTATTGATAATATTAAACCTATACTTATAAATCCCAGTGAATCAATATTAAATCAAGAATTTAATGAACTTTCATCAAATCTTACATCTATTATTGAATCAATAGCTACAGAAAATTATAAATTTACAAGATTTATTGAATTAATTAATGAATATTATAATCAATTCAATATTAGTTTGACAGATTTTACAAGAGATAAATCAACTATTTCATTACCAAATCCTTCTGATATAATAGATTTACAATCTCTAGAAAACATAGATCATGATACCATTCAAAAATATTTTAATGAACTTCGATCATTCGAATTGATATCCAAACCAATTTTAAATAATATTTATAAAATATATCATAATATATCAGGAGTATTATTTTTGCATTCACAAATTGAAGGTAATGAAACTAGAATTGAAAGTGAGTCTTCAAAATTAAAGCAAATTGAAAAAGAATTAGAAATCATGACTCAGAATTGGAAAGATGCATTAAAGACAGCTGAAAATTGGAAAAATATTCATCAAAAGTATGTAGAGAACCATTGAAAATTAATAGCAAAGATTAGGTAGTTTAGGATTATTAATAATGATTATAAGGAACAAGATTCATCATCATCATCAATAGATATGGTAGTATCATTCATACTTCGTAAAACTGTAGTCTCTAAAGAAACTACTTCCAATGGGAAATCCTTCAAGTATTCAAAGTCAGAATTATTCACTGTATCTTTAAATCTAAGAGATAAATCACTTGTATCATAATTATATTCTAAACAAGTACTAAGAGCAATTCCAGTACAATGAATGTTTTTATAATTAGAATCTGACCTATCAATATATACTTCATTATTAGTATTATCATTATCATTATCTTTTATTTTATATCCATCTATAGTTTTTACATCTTCATTATCTAAAATCTCTTGTTTCCCCTCTCTATCTGAAGTAAGTTGTAATTTATCAGATACTATACGTAAAGGTTTGATTTCTAAATCTTCTTCTTCTTTAATAAAAAATTTTACAATTCTTAAAAGATCACCTGGTTGTAAACTAGAAAATTCATATTCTTTAGTTCCTCTAAATGGTTTTATAACCACTACAATTCCTCCTACCACTATTAAATTTTCCAGAAATGGATCTTTTACTTTCATAATAGTTTGAGAATCATCATTTACTGATTTTTCAATTAAATTTTGAAGCATGATTGTTCTAGAGAAACTATCATATTGATCAGCAAGATATGATTGCTTTTGTTCATTAGGAATTGCAATTAAAGTTTTAACAGTATTATTAATTTCATTTCTTTGATAATGAAGAGATGAAATTCTTCTAGTAAGATTTGAAGATTCAGGAGATTGTTTAGAAAAATACAGTTGATCATCAATTAATCCATTAGTTTCAGAATTAAAACTTTCTATTGCACTACGATAATCCAGTTTACTAGTTGGAATAATAATATTATCTCTAATTTCATTTTCTCTTGATAAAGTTACAATTATTTCTCCATCATCCAGAACTCGAGGACTTTTATCTTGATTTGGTATCAGAAATGGTAAACTTTTAAGAGCAATAGTTGAACAAGCATAATTTGATTGATATTGCTTTTCTAAATCAATTTGTGGTTTGGAACGTGTAAAGAGATTTTGAAATATACTAGGTCTTGTAATTTCAATATTTTGATGTTTATCATATACTGTAATTCTAGAGGTAACACAGAGAATTACTAAAATTATTATGGTACATACTATAATCAAGACAAACAATGCAATTATACAACCAATGATGGCAGTATTACTGATAGACATTGTCAATAGTTAAGGATTTAATAGTTGGTTGACAGAAGGAAGGCAAATTCGGCTGCAAATAAAAAAAAGAGTTATACGCAAAAAAGAATTTAAGGAGACTATGCTGTCATTATATATACATCACTATAAGAACCTATAAGAACTATTTACAAATTCATGATTATTTATCATTATCATTATTGTTATTGTTATCGTTACTTTCATCTTTCTCTACTTCTATCTCTTTTTCTTTACTGTACTGTTTCAAAAATAACTCAAACTCTTCTTCTGGTGATAATTCAGATTGATCTGAATTTTCATTTTCTACAAGTTGATTATTCTTTTCTTCTTGTAAATTTCTATACTTTCTATTGGCTTTCTTTGTTTTACTTTGTTTCAATTTAGTTTTCCTTTCATTTACAATGGATGTACGACTTTTCTCACCATTTTGTTGTTCATCTAATCGTAATGCTAAAATTTCTCTTGCTCGTTTCCTATTCAGTTCTTGAGATCGAGAATATTGACATGTAACTACAATCCCCGTGGGAAGATGGGTTAATTGAACTTTACTATTTGATTTATTAATCTTTTGACCTCCTGGTCCTCGTCCACCTTTAATAAATTTTTCATCTATCTCTTCTTCTTTAATTAACCATTTTGGTCTTGGAGGTAACTTATTCTTCTTTGGAATTGAATTAATGCTGGCAGTAGTTGAAAAATAAAATTTTTGATGAAGATTACTTAATGACTGAATTAGTCGCTGTGAGGCTCGATGATATGCTAACATTATGTATATTTCCCTTTTAAGCCTAAAGATCTTCTTAATTATGTGATTCCTTATAGATCTCTGGAATCATCCTTTAAAGTTTAAAACTTTTTACAGGTTTCGTTATTACAGTTTACAAGTTAAACAAAATTAAAGAATTATTTTACAGTTTATAATTAACGCGTTTGACTTTTAATTTGTCCCAATTAGGAAATGCCACTTATATGACTTGCATCACCAAAATTTTTCAAATCCACGTCTAATACCATATATACATTTATACAATTCCTCTTTTTAAAAGTATTAAACCATTTATATAATAACTATACTCAATTGATAATGTCTTACGAAAGAGGTGAAGTATATGGTACACAAGTTTTACCAGGAGAAGATCCTGAAGATAGTTCATTTAATGAAGTTACTAAAGCATTTCGATCATTTATACTAGAATTTAGATTAGATACCAGATTTATTTATAGAGATCAATTAAGAGAAAATTTATTAGTAAAGAATTACTTTCTTAAGGTTAATTCCGAACATCTTATTGGATTTAATGAAGAATTAAATAAAAAATTATCAGATGATCCTGCTGAAATGATTCCATTATTTGAAAATGCTATAACTGATATTGCAAAGAGAATTGCTTATTTATCAAATAATGAAGTTCCAAATGATTTTCCTCATTGTCAATTAATTTTATTATCAAATACTGGTAAAACTTCTATAAGACATTTAGATTCTGAACATATTGCAAAAATTGTTAGAGTTAGTGGAATTATAATTTCTGCTTCAGTTTTATCTTCAAGAGCAACTCAAGTACAATTAATTTGTCGTTCTTGTAAACATACTCTTAGATTACCAATTAAATCTGGGTTTGGTCAAGTTAATTTACCAAATAAATGTCAAAAAGATGATAATGGTACAACTCAAGAAAAATGTCCTTTAGATCCTTATGTTATTGTTCATGATAAATCAACATTTGTTGATCAACAAGTTTTAAAATTACAAGAATCTCCAGATATGGTACCAGTTGGAGAAATGCCAAGACATATACTTTTACAAGCTGATAGATATTTATCAAATCAAGTTGTTCCTGGTACAAGAGTTACAATAATTGGAATATATTCAATTTATCAATCAAAACAACGAAATTCTGGACCTGGAAGTGGGAATGTAGCAATTCGTAATCCATATTTAAAAGTATTAGGTATTCAATCTGATGTTGATATTGGTATTAATGGTCAAGGTACAGTATTTACTGAAGAAGAAGAAGAAGAATTTTTAAAATTATCAAGATTATCAAATATTTATGAAGTATTTTCAAATTCAATTGCTCCATCAATTTATGGTAATGAAGATATTAAAAAGGCTATTTCATGTTTATTAGTTGGTGGATCTAAAAAAGTCTTACCTGATGGAATGAGATTAAGAGGTGATATAAATGTTTTATTATTAGGTGATCCAGGTACTGCTAAATCTCAATTATTAAAATTTGTTGAAAAGATTGCTCCAATTTCAGTTTATACTTCAGGTAAGGGTTCATCAGCAGCAGGTTTAACTGCTTCAGTTCAAAGAGATACTCAAACTGGAGATTTTTATCTTGAAGGTGGTGCAATGGTATTAGCAGATGGAGGTGTTGTATGTATTGATGAATTTGATAAAATGAGAGATGAAGATAGAGTTGCTATTCATGAAGCAATGGAACAACAAACTATTTCAATTGCAAAAGCAGGTATTACGACTATATTAAATTCAAGAACTTCAGTATTAGCCGCTGCCAATCCAGTATTTGGAAGATATGATGATTCAAAATCTCCAGGAGAAAATATTGATTTTCAAAGTACAATTTTATCAAGATTTGATATGATTTTTATTGTTAAAGATGATCATAATGAAGCAAGAGATATTTCAATTGCTCAACATGTTATGAATGTTCATACAGGAGGTAAAACTCAAGAACAACTTCAAGAAGGTGAAATTCCAATTGAAACTATGAGAAGATATATTCAATATGTTAAACAAAGATGTGCACCAAGATTAAGTCCAGAAGCAGCCGAAAGATTATCATCACATTTTGTTTCAATTAGAAGAAAATTACAAATTAATGAAAATGATATGAATGAAAGATCTTCAATTCCAATTACTGTAAGACAATTAGAAGCTATTGTTCGTATTACTGAATCATTAGCTAAAATAAGATTATCACCCGTTGCTAATGAAGAACATGTAGAAGAAGCTATTAGATTATTTACTGCATCAACCATGGATGCTGTTGATCAAGGAATTGCTGGTGATGGATCAGGTAACCCCCAATTTACAGCAGAAATTAGAAAAGTTGAACAAGAATTAAAGAGACGTTTACCATTAGGATTTTCAACAGCTTATAGTACATTAAGAAGAGAATTTGTTGATAGTGGCAGAACCAGTTCAGCAGCATTAAATAAAGCTTTAGATATTCTTCAAAAGCATGAATCAATAAGGTTTAGACATCAAGGTAAAAATATTTTACGTGTGGGGGTTTAAATCATTGGATTATAGATTAAACCATCTTTTTTCTTTCGTTCTTTTTTCAATTCTATTTCTGTACTATTAAATAATTATTTTTAAGTATTATTTGAAAATGCCCTTATATTAATATAATTTCTATCTAAGTAATAATACACCCATAACTATATATATCATTAATTATAATTATGCCTTTAAAATTATAACTATTGAATCTCCTCGTAAGAAAAGTTTCGATATAAATCTTTCTCTTGATATAGATTTAATCTTTTTACCCTTATTATTTTTAACAGTTTCTGTCCATAATTCTTTAACATTTTCTAATACTAAATTACAATGTCTATCAAATGCTTTAACTTTCGCTATAAGTTTATGATTATTTCTGCATGATATAACTACTGGACTTTGATTATTTATAGCATTTTGAATTAATGACATAGGTCCATGAGTAAATTCAAATTCTTCAAGTTTCAGTAATTCTAATTCTGTTAATTCAGAACGAGGACGATCTATATATTCACTATAATTCATTTGGTTAGTATATGTATATGGTATTAATTGTAAAGTAATTTGTGCACTACTTACCTCATAAGGTATGGTTCTTGTTATTGTTATTTATACTGTTATAGCTATTATTTTACTGTCAGTACTGTTTACTGTTTTTATTATGATGATGTTATGGTCTTCTCCACTGTGCTGTGTTAGTTCAGTTTTACAGGTTACTGCATTTTTTTTTTGATACTATGGGAAATGTGATTGTACACGACAAAATTAAAACGGATGCAAATTATTACGAGCACAAGCACTTAATGTTACAGTTATTATATTACAATTATATTGACTCTATATAATGTTACTGTAAAGGGGAATTATATACTATTATCTTATCATAGACTTTACATCTATGTACATATGTATTTTTGCTTATTTAGACAGTCTTTTGATATTGACTTAATGGTGCAGCTAATGAACAACCTCTCTTAATAATGTTTTCAATTCTATCTCTTAATACTTTAGAAGCACATTCAACACTAAGACTCAAATAATCAATTTTTGCTTCATTTTTTCCAAACTTAATTATTGCCTTGTTTTCTCCTTGTGATTGTAAGGATTCACCGAATTGAGCTTCTAATAATGAAGAAATTCGATGTATACGACTTGTAATTTCTGAATTAGCATGTGCTGGTTTATCTAAAAGTGAAATTTCACCATTACCATTCTCAACTTTAACATGAGAATGAGAATGATTATGAGAATTAGAAGATAATTTAACTGAAGCTGGTGATGAATCTATAGAATAAAGAATAGCAACTATACTATCAGCTAAAGAATCTGCCATTAAATTATCATTTATCCATTCCACAGTTATATACAAAGCATCGAGCTTTTTTCTATCTACAAATATATCAACAATATCCATTACAACGCATTCCCATTCTTCTTCATCATCATTAATAATATTAATATATCCAAACATTTGTTCTAAATGCCATTTCATTAATGATATATCAGCATTAATTTTAAGATTAATTTTAGATTTTACAATAGAAGTAGATAATTGAGTATATTCATGTAAATCTTGTAATTGAAGAAGATTTAAATCAAAATCTTTTGCAACTAAAACTCCTGATAATAATTGTCCTGTCTTGATTGGTCCTGCATTTTCTTTTACTTCTTCCTTTGATTTATCAATATCCATTTCTTCTATTTCTTCTATTTTAGGATTAGTTTCAGGAATTGTCTTTTCAATTACCTTTTTAAGTTCAATTAATTGTTCTTCAGCTAATGATCCTAATACTTTAGCTATTTTTATTCCCTTTATACCTATTTTTAATTCTTCACAATTCTTTGGATTATAAACTCTTACTTCTTGATCTGTACCTTTTCTTGAAGAATATTTACTTAATAATGCAGATTTTAATCTACCCATCGGTACAGAATCTCCATGAACTAAAATAATTTTCAGAGGATTAACCTTTTCAATAAAAGATGTATTTTGTTGAAAATCTACATGAGCAGCAAATGATATATCTTGAACATTAATTCTTCTAGGAATTGTTAATTCAGGATTTACAAATGATTGAATTGTATGAGGTTCCTTTAATAATTCTTTTGCCATTGTACCTTCAACAGAAAATCCTGTCATTACAACCAAATTTTTTGGATCAGGAGACCATCTTTCAAGTAATTGTCTTGAAATTCCACCTTGTAACATACCTGGAGATGCTACAACAACTGAAGGTCCAAAATCTTGAAATTTAGATACATCCTTTATTGATTTAATAAATTTAAAATCAAATGGACTTGATTTTTGACCAGAATTTGCTGATGAAAGACGAATATTATCATTCATAACACTTGTATAAGTTTGATAAACTGCCATACATTTTTTAGCTAAACTTGATGCATAATATATATTAATATTTTGTAAATCTTCATGTTGAGACCAATATTCATCAAGAATTAATAATAATTCTTGAGCATTACCTAAAGCAAATACTGGCATTAAAACTCTACCACCTTTTGTAAGGGTTGCATGAATATTTTGAGTTAATCTTTTTTCTAATTCAGGTAATGGTTCTAAAGTACCAGTACCAAAAGTTGATTCAGAAATAAGTATATCAGGTCTTGTTGGAGGTATTTCTGCTGCATGTAAATGTCTATTTTCTTCTCTTGAAAAATCTCCTGTAAATAATACTTTTAAACCTCCAATTTCTATAAAATACATACATGCACCAAGTACATGTCCAGCATGAAATGCAGTAAATCTTATACCATCAAATTCAATAGTTGAATGATAATCTATTGTTTCTATTCTATCAAATGAATTCATAATATCATCATCAGTATATAAATTACTTGAACCATCAGTTGATCCTCCACCACCTTCTGATCTATTTTCACCTCCAATTGATGTAACTCTTACAAAATCTTGTAATAACCATCTATAAACTGCTTTTGTTGCATGGGTCATAAATACTTTCCCCTTAAAATTTGTATGTTGCATTACATATGGTAAAGATCCCGCATGATCTAAATGAAAATGACTAATTAATAAAATATCAACTTTTGATAAATCATATTCATCATAAAATGGAAATGATGCATGACCTGAAAGTGCAGGATGAATCCCAGCATCAAGCATTATTACTTTATTCTTATATTCAATTATATGACATGATCTACCAACTTCATTACATCCTCCAAGTCCAAAAAAATTAAACGCTTCTGATTCATCTACTCCTTGAATATCAACCGTCATTTTAAATTATCAAATAATGGGTTTACTAAGGAGTTTAATATGGTTTATTATTGGAAAACTTTGACCTAAGTGCTTTATTTAGGTTGAGTTGAGTGAAAATTAATAGACAGTGGATGGGCGTTATATGCAGACCGATTCGAATCTTGTCTTGTCTTGTCTTCGAAACAATTGCAAATTTATTATGTAAGACTCATATAAAAGCGTGGAGAATAGATAATTAAGAATTAGTAATTGTGGTTGAATTGTATTGGTAGGAGTAGTGTATGAAGAGGATAATTTTATTGTGTTGTAATGAAATTGAAATTACAAACCAATAATACAGAAGCATTAAAGACGGCTTTATCGTTGATAAGCTCATTACGAAAATATATTCTATTACGATTTACACCGGAGATTCTTTATGTAATTCTGGTTAATGGACAACTGATAACTCAAGAACCTCAAGTATGGTGTAAATTACAAATGAGATCTATTTTTAATCAAATAGAAATTCAAAGTCTACGAGATAATACAATTCTGTTAGAGATAAGTGTAGAATTATTTTTACAAACATTAAGAAATTTTGATAAAGCTAATAGTGAATCATTAAGTATACGACTTCAAAGGAAAGAATCAAGTGGAGCTCAAAGTACTAATTCAACTAATAGTCGAACTGCATCATTAGCATTATATTATTCTAATGTTAATATTCATTCTAATGCAATTAATCATACATTTAGAATACCCGTTAAAATACTTAAAAATACTCAAGATTTATTACTTTTAAAAGAACCAGAATTACATGATATTGATTTAATTATGAAATTACCTTCAGAATTTGTATCTACCTATAAAAGACTTGATAAATTTAAGAAATCTTCTAATAATGATACTATATTAATTAAAGCTAGTAGACGTAGAGGTGGATTTTTAGGATTTGTAATGGAAGAAGAAGGTAAATATCGAGTTACAATTAGTTGGAATGAAAAATTAGAAGTATTAAAACCAGTACATAATAATCTTGATGATGCTCGAGGTGAAATACTTCAACCAATTACAGAAGTAGATAAAGATAATATTGATGAAGATGATGATTCAGAAGATAAAGAAATTATTGTAAGATTACGAGATTGGCAATCAGCTTCAAAAATCGTAGCTACTTGTAAGACTGTTATATTATTATTAACAGCTAAAGAATGTGTTTTACATTGTTTACTTCAAGATTCCGATGAAGTAGAGATAATATATTATATTAGTGGGATTAGGATTAGAAGTAGTATAGATTAAAGCGTAATTTTTGTATTTTTTGGTAAAAAATATATAATGTAAATAAGGATCAAAACATCAACAAGAATTGTAAATGAATTAATTATATAATAGAAGACATGAAGATGTATTTTCATTAGTTATCAACATAAGGGGGGGGGAGATGGTAGATAAATTGGGATGGTAATGCAGCAATATTCTAATTATGAGTATATAATCTAGTGGTGTTCATCTTCTTCTTCGAAAACGAACCAGTCTTCTTCAGCTCCGACAGATGAACCAGAAGCAGAAACAGTTTCAGTTTCAACTTCACTAGATTCATATTCAGCAACGGCTTCAGTTGGTAATTCAGAAGCTGGAATAGTAGCCTTTGGAGGTAATTGGAAAGCTTTAACAGCAGTTTCTAATTCCTTTGGAGAAATGGCAGTTGGTTTGAATGCTTTGATTTGGGAAATGTATAACTCTGAAACTAAGTTGTTTCTAGCTGGAGTCATAGAGAATAATCTCTTGGAAACTACTGAACGCTATAAAATTATGGTTAGTATATAATTTAGTATATTAGTGGTAAATGAAGTTATTGAGTAAATTTCCTGAATTAATTGACAAATTCAATCTCAACCAATTAGTCATCTAATTCACTTTTTCACTTTAACATTATGATTTTCTAATATATCTTTAATATGATATATTCATTCAAATACCTTAAAGTACTTCATAACACTGGTATTTGTCAATCACTAATTGTCATGTCTCAATTTTTTGATCTATTAATTTCACAACTACTCAATTCACTTCTCTTCTGCCACATTTCCATATCGCCTACTTACAATAACAGGTCTGAACATCTCTGGTGAATCTATTATGCTATTATTGATCGTTCAGGTCTGGTTTAAGTGTATTCGTTTTTTCATTGATTTTTTCATTAGCGATTCTCGGGGTCGTGCGCCTTGGGTCAGAGATTTTTGATAGTGTCTCACTTTAAATTGTTTTATTGGTCAGTTGAAGAAAGTCTGAGTGGTCGATGTGGCATGTGCTTTCAGTCATGTGATGTGTCATACCAAAAAGGGTAATGACTAGTTTAATTAGTTAATTATATTGCATTAGAGCTCATATAACATATAGAAGTAAAATAATAATATAATTAATTCATTAAAGAATAAGTATGCCAAAGTATTACTGTGATTATTGTAAGTCATACTTGACACATGACACCATGAGTGTACGAAAGTCTCATTTAATAGGAAAGAACCATATAAAATTCTATTGTAATTATTATGAGTCTAAGGCTAAGCAAACAGGAGTTTGGAAACATGTTAATAATGATGATATATCAATGAAGTATGAAATAACGTTAGATTATTTAAATAAGAATGCTCCAGGTCAAAAACATCGTGGAGAGGATCAGACGAATAATGATATCCAAATCGATATACGAGATGAATCATCGCAGAACAAGAAGACTAATGATAGTCAAATAAATGATGAAGAAGATGTTAGTAAATTTTTACCACCACCTCCTAATTTAGTGGCATTTCCTAATCCACCACCATCTATATTTCATATGAACTATCAACCATCATTACAAGAACATACCAAACAGATTAAGCCAACTCATTTCATATAGATAAGTTCGTAGCAATGTAATATAGATATGTAAATTAGAATTATTGTAAAATTTTATAATTATGTTTATAATAGATATATATTATTCAAAGCTATATAAATGACGACTGTAAGGATAATAGTTTATAAGTTAGAGATTGATGATTACAATGATGATTATAGTGTATATATTTGATTTATTGTTTATTCAAATTAAATTTATAAATCAGCATCATCTTCATCAGGTAATGGTAAAGCAGTTGCTTGTTCCATTTCTTGTTGATATTTTTGCATTAAATCAGCATCAACTTGAACTTCTGGTGGAGCTAAAGCTGGAGAAGCTACGAATTCTAATTGAGGGTTACCAACTAATTTTCTTGCTAACCAAAGGAAAGGTTTTTCAAAATTGTAATTTGATTTAGCAGAGATATCATAATATTGTAAATTCTTCTTTCTATGGAAAGTAATAGTTTTAGCTTTAACTTTACGTTCTTTAACATCAACCTTGTTACCACATAAAACAATTGGAATATTTTCACATACTCTAACTAAATCTCTGTGCCAATTTGGGACATTTTTATAAGTAATTCTTGAAGTAACATCGAACATAATGATACCACATTTACCATTAATATAATAACCATCTCTTAAACCACCAAATTTTTCTTGACCAGCAGTATCCCAAACATCGAATTTTAATTCACCAAAATTAGTATGGAAACCTAATGGATGAACTTCAACACCTAAAGTAGCAATATATTTCTTTTCAAATTCACCGGTTAAATGTCTCTTAACAAAGGTGGTTTTACCGGTACCACCATCACCAACTAAAACTAATTTAAAGGTTGGAACTTCTTGAGTAGCCATGTTTGATATGACGATTGATTGATTGATTGATTGATAGATTGGATTTTCAAATACCAAATGATCAATTTACTAATACTCTGATAAAGCGCTAAGGATCATAACAACAACAATTTTTTCATGAAATTTTTGCTGATGAGAAAAAATTTGTTTTTCTGATTGGGCACGTGCTAAGTATCGTGATAATATAATCGTGATTTGTTGCGTGATATACGCCTGACCAAATGATGCGTGCCGCGTGTCATGTGACGTACTCCATATTTATATATATATATAATTGATTTTTACGATCATTTAAATTCTTAAATGCTTATTTACATATCCTATACGTATTGCAGTACATATTAATTGAAATATTCATATCTTACATCTAATTCAACTTCACCTTTTGGGCCCGACTCCGACCATTCTAGCCACATTATAACAGTATTTTATGTATGCAGACGATTGTTTCTGGTGAAAGTTTCATGTGAGATTCAAAAAAAAATAATAAAAAAAATAAATACCAACATTTTACAATGGTAACTCGAAGCTAAACTGTAAAAATGACAAAAAGACCAGTCCGTCTGGGAATACTTTCCAGTTCATTTGACGAAGTTTTGTGAAACCAACCGATTCGCAACCACTGGGAATGGACTATATATTAAATTAAACTATTAAGTTCATCGAGTAGTAACAATTATTCTAATAAAGCAATTATTACATCTGATCTGTTTATTACTTATTACAAGATTATACTTAATTCAATTACTTATTACTTAGTACAATTACTCTTAGTTGAATTTATTTACTGTAATACACAGCAACCTTTTGATATAAATTAAGTTGTGACTCCGAATTCGGGGCAGACTTTCCTTTATTTGGATTACAATTAATTATATTAAGTTATACGACATTTAACACACCATGGGCGATTATTACTGCATTAGGAAACGCAACGGTTATATGCAGTCGCAAGGGGTGATAAAAAAATTCTGTGAATGTAATAGAACTAAAACACTGTGTGTAGAACAAGAAAAAAGTAAGCCAGAATTAGGATTAAGAATTCCAAAAATAGACAAAGGAGACGGTGGAGGATAAGTGCAGCAAGTTTGTATTTACTTAATAGATACTGGTTAGTATTTGTGTTAGAGAGTAGTTAGTAATGATTTATTAGTGTGAGTGAGTATGTGTAGGGATTTATTAATATGAGTGATAAATAAAATGTGTTAGTGTGTTAGTTAAAATGTGTTAGTGACGTTGTGTAGCTGTGAAATGTAATGTAGTATATAATTGAGATTTTGTTCCTAAGGATAGATATTGCATGTTACGGTTATAAAGTTCGAGAAGTCGGCTTTATAAAAATAATTGCGAATTAATAATAACGAATTAAAGCCAGGTTTAGTGATGTCATTTAAGACGAGCAGGGTTATGAAAAAGGAGAGTAAATAAGATATAGAAACATTTATACCGATCAAGACAATGAGCATAAGGATGAGAGAAGTTGGTCGTATTGTATGGTGTAGTGAGATGACGCCTTACGAGAATTTCATATAGATTGTGAAATTCGAACCGATGAATAAATTGAAAAGTATAGAATATAATATTACAGTATAAGAATAGATTAGTTATAATAAAGAGTGAGTACTATAAACTAACTAACTTATTAATTAATGATGGAAATATGCCCAAAAGTTTCAGATGAATAAGATTCATCCAAGTATCTGGGCTGATATTAGAGGGTCCATTTGCGTTCTTGACTAGATTGTACATTCGATATTTTACTCTATGCAAAAGAGTTCTCTTGCAGATTGGTTTATTTTTTTAGACAAATAAATTATCGAGCGAGCAGAATTGTAGTTGAATGTCGTATAGAATTAGTTAATATGTGTGGCTAGATTACTTAGTTGTATGTAATTATTATGATAATATTAAGTTTATCAATTTATTCTACTGTCAATATTGTTTTTAGTAAGTATTCTCTATAAAATTGTAGTATGTGTCCTCTTAACACAGTTTATTGAGATCTCATTTTCAAAATTCTATTTTCTTAACACGCTTTTGGGACAGAAAATAAAAGATCTCAGTAGCGTGTTTAATGTGTAAACTAATTTAAAATTGCTGGTTAGACCCTCTATAATATTACATACTTCACTGACACTATTATGATGAGAATGTTGGTGAAGGGTAACGTTTAGTTGGGGTAACGGGTAAAGGTAGTACAAGAGTAAGAGGACGAATAATAAGTCGTTGTACGAGTAAGGGTATAGTTGCACAAGCATTCAATCAGTATGTTGGGAGACGAGCAGTTGGAGTGTTTATGCTAAATAGAGCCTTAGTGTGACAGTGAATTAAGGTTGTACTTGGCGAGAAGTTAGCTAGTAGAAATTTGGTGGATTGTGTCACGGAGCGTGAGGCAATGTATGCATAATATAAGTGTCCTATCACCACCAGTAATATTAATACTAATCATGCTATATACATATTAATTAATAGTCTAAGACAATTTGTCTACGTACATCATATTAATTACTAACACCACTAACTTTCTCATCAAGTATTAATCTCCATACACGTAACCTGTAATATTTCACTCTGTTATTGTTCTGTTAATAATTCTTATTATTTTTCTTTTTTTTTTTTTTCTTTACTTTATTATTATTTTAATTTAATTTTATTTCATTTCTTTTTTTTTTTACTTCTTTATTTATTTCTTTATTTCCAGTGCGTGTCCTTCGCTTTTTTCACCAGACCGATTCACCACTACCACCACTAAAACTATCACCACTTACCAATACTGACTAAAATTCACTAACTACAACTACAACTTCACTAAAAAGTAAATCTGTACCGTAAGCGTGCCCCCTCCCCTCGCTACCACTCGTTATCTTTCGCTACGGTCCATCCACTATCGACCCACGACCCATTAGTCCCCCCATGAACCACTAGCCACTCTCGCTAAATAATGTATCCTATATACTATTCTGCTCAGCAGCCTCTCCACCATCAAAACCAAAATCAAAATAATCATCACCATCAAAATTATATTATAGCTGCTGCTCCAAATCAAATGCCCCCAACTCCGTTGACTCCTGTTGACTTGAATTATTCTCATTCTATGATTCCTTCTAATTTGTTGATTGGTTCACCGTACTTTGCTGCGTCTCCTAATCCTAACTCCAATCATCATAATCAGTATATTTATCCTCCACCTCCAGTTCCTGTATCAGTTCAATCACCCTTACGATCAGTTCATTCTCCCTTACGATCTCGAGCTGGTTCTAGTACGAGTTTAGCATCATCTTATCGTAATAAGAATACCACCAATTATCATAACAATAACAATAACAATAATTATAATTATAATCAAAATCATTCATCACCATTCTTAACTCATTTAAATAATTCTAATACATCATCATGGTCAAATTCATCATATTCACAAAATCTCGATAATTTAAATTTATCTCGAACAGTAATATTAAAAAATATATCTGAAGATGTATCATTACATGATTTACTAGATCAAATTGATTATGGACCTATTGAATATTGTAAATTATTTTCCAAACAAACTCCTGATCAATTACTTGCTCGAGATCCTTCATTATCTCGTACAGTTAAAGTATGTTATATATCATTTATTAATTCTCATATATCTATTTTATTTCATTTAAAGTATAAGAATGGTGCTAATATGAGAGCTCTTAAGGCGGCACTTAAGAATTCTACTCATCTTAAGATTCATTTGAATGAAAATAATAACAATAATAATGCCAATAATATTAATAATAATAATAATAATAATAGTACTACTAATATTCCTGATAATGTTTCTGCTACCTCCAGTTCCTCATCTAATCAAGACTATATCAAGCTCAAGACTTTGAATTATATTTTGGAATTCAATGCTACGCGAAGTCTTCTGATTCGGTTCTCTGTGAAAACGACTCACGAACAAGTGGCCAGTAAATCGATTGCTGAAAGGTTAAGTGATCTTCGATTATTTATTCGTAATCAGTGTGAGAAATTTGGAGATGTTGAAGAGTTTAAGATTCTGTTGGCTCGTGAGAGTGATAAGAGAGAATTAGAAGATGTTCGAGAGGAAGAAGAAGAAGAGAAGGAAGAGAAGGAAGTAGAAGAAGAGAAGGAAGTAGAAGTAGAAGTAGAAACAGAACCAGTGACTGAACAAGTTAGTGAACAAGTTAGTGAAGAGATCAGTGATGATGTTCCTCTCGAACTTGTAAGTACCACTACTGATAAAGATCGTGTTAGTGGACAAGTCATTGTTCATTTCACCAGTATAGATTCAGCCATAAAGACGTATGAAAGTTATTTAAGACGTATTCAACATGATATTCAAAGATTAATTAATAATAAAGAAGGTACGACCAAGAAACGTCCATCGAAGGACGTTAATGAAGTGAATACTAAATATGATATTAAATTTAGTCAAGTGACATTCCAAAAGGATCGATGTGATCGAACTAAATTAGATAGTAGTTCAGTAAAGAAACTGACACTGAATTTGAATTTAAATCTGAATTTGAATCTGAATCTGAATCTGAATTTAAATCTGAATCTGAATCTGAATCTGAATATAAATTTGAATAATCAACACTTTGATGGTACCTTACCATTAACTCAAAAGCATATTCAAGAATTTAATCATAATCAAATTGATGAAGTTAGTACTGAAGTTACTGAACGTACAACTAATGCTACTGCCACAGAAGAAGAAGAAGAAGCTGCTAAAGCTGCTAGTTTAGTTGAAGATTTAAATTTAATTGATGATCATCAAATTCTTAAGGATGAACATTTAGAATTATCACCATCTTTAACTCCTCCTCCAGTAGTTAGTAGTAGTCCATTACCACCTGATCATGATGCTAATGATACAAATTCATTTGAAAGTACTTCAACTACAGGATTCCCCTCCGCAAGAGTAGGGTATCCATATATTCAATCCAATATAATAGTTAATCATTCTCAAGCTGTAGCAGCTCAAGTTCATGCACAAGCTCATGCACAAGCCGTACAAGCAGTTCAAGCCGCTCAAGCTCATGCTATGGCCATTCAATCCCAACTTATGGCTAATCATCCAACCATTAATCCTGATCCAATGAATGTGGGTAATAGAACCATTTATTTAGGTAATTTACATCATAAATCTACCATTGAAGAAATTGCTAATAATGTAAGAGCTGGAGGATTAGTTGAATGTATTAATTATCATCCAGAAAAGAAGGTTTGTTTTATAACATTTGTTGATTATAAAGTGGCACTTAAATTCTATTTAAATCATCAAGTTCTTCATCAATTAATTATTCATGGATCTGATATTACCGTAGGTTGGGCTAAACAACATAGTGGACCATTAAATCGAGAAATTGCTCTTGCTGTAACGGCCGGAGCTTCCCGGAATGTATATATTGGTATTAAAGTAATTAAACCGGAAGATGAAGATTATGAAAGTTTAAAATCAGATAAATCTAATAAAATTAGACTCCCGAATGAAATCATACTTCGAGAAGATTTTTCCCTTTTTGGAGAACTTGAACAAATTAATTTTTATCATAATAAAGATTGTGGATTCTTAAATTTTTTAAATATTGCTGATGCTATACGATTAGTAGAAACATTTGAAATTTCAGATTCGGAATTGGCTATAGATCGTTTAACTCAATTATTTAAACATATCCCAATTCAAGATCTTGAGAAATTCTACTATAAATATAAACCATTTAAGATTAGTTTTGCTAAGGATAGATGTGGTAATCAACCGAAATTTAGTTTTAAAAAGAAGTTTGGTCATGAATTAAATGGTGGATCAACTTATCAACTTTATCAACAAGAACAACAATTTAGAAGAGGATATCGTAATGGAAGAGATAAACATTTTGATACTGATACTGAAGAAGAAGTTGAAGTTAAAGATGAAGAGCCACAACCACAAGCATCTAAAAAGGTAATTGAAGAATCAGTAATTGATGAAACCATTAGTCCTGAAGCGGCTATGGTATTTGGAATCAGTACTGAATCTCAATCAGAAGCTGGGGCTGAACAATCACCAAAATCAGAATCAGTTACTCAACCAAATTCAACTGCAGAAGAGACAGATAGTAAGAAAACTGAAGCTGTAGATGAAGATGATGATGAAGATGATGATGAGGACGATGAAGACGATGAAGACGATGTTTCCATAATCATTGGATCAGATGATACTACATCCACTACGGCTCATAATAGTAATGACTCTAAGAAAGTTCCTAAGAATTCTCGGAAATCATCTAATTCTCATCATAATCGTTATGAGAAAATATATCATTCATCCACCAACTTACGTAGCTCTAGAAACTCATCGACTGTTTCACTCAATTCTCATTATGGTAAACTTCATCATCTCCAGAAATATCCCTCGGCTACAACTCCTTATGTTCAACCTCAACCCATGTTCTTCTATCCTGTAAGTGCACATCCATCCCTCTCTCGAGTTAATAGTTCAGGATCTATCAGACAACCATATATGTTACCTACTCCAACGTATGCAGTTCCACCTCCACAAGGTTATTTCCCACCCCAATATGTTCTGTATGGTCAACCACAACCACCACTTCATCATATGTCACTGTTACCACTGTCTACTCGACTGTCGGTTAAGAACATGTCATCGGGATCTCAAGTGATGGCGCAATATTTGGCTAAATCTCATAATGATGGAATGCTCTATTCGTTAGCTACTGAAGATTATGATCATAGTTTTGACTCTTATTATAGTCAGTAAAAAAAAATGTGTTATGTACGTAAATAAAGAAAGATATAATGTATATTATTATGGGTATAATTGTATTATAGTAGTAGACTATATATTAATATCAAGAGTAATGGCCGCATAAGTCCCCATTATTGAACTGGATATCCCGATTAGTATACCCACCATAAATAACAATCGTTGTAAAGTAGTTAATTCATAATAAAATAATTTTAAATAAAACATTAATGGTAATGTCATACATATTGTAAAACAAATAGCAGCTCCTAAAAATGATACAACTTTTCCAAATGTTGAGAATGCTAATGATACCACAAGTAATCCAATACAAAATATAATTCTACTAAAGATTCGAGATATTCGACGAAACATAATAATACTTGCATTAGATCTAGTGACATGTGACGGTATACCAGTAATTAATTCACCATCGGATTGTTTAATTAATAATAAATCATCATTAATTCCTAATAAATTCTCATATACAGTAATAATTGGTTTAGCAACAAGTGGTAATTTTGATAATGAAAGAAATCCCATTAAAAAACTTAAAGTAGGATTTATCCATTTAGGATATTGATTATTTAACATAAGATTCTTTATAATAGAATCTTGACATTGACTTCCATACATTATAAGTCCAATTATACTAAGACCTAATTCAAGTAAGAATGAAGTTGTAAATGAAATATTTGTAGATTTATTATACTTTATTGGATGTCTCATATCTCGATATAATTCAGGAAATACAGGATGTCCACCCCATGGAGCCATAAATAATCCTAAACTTAATATTAAATAATCATATCTTAATGGCCATAAACTAGTTGGTACAGGATCCCAAAGTGATCCTGGACTTTGAGTTATTGATAATCCACAAATTATTACAATTATTATAACTGTTAATGTACATGTTATACCAAGTAGACTTAACATTGATAAAATTGAAAGTGGGAATAATGATAATATAAATAATACCAGTACTACTATTGCTTTAAGAGCTGATTTACTTATTTGAGGTAATAAAATACTGAATGAATCAGTAAATAATAATATTAATGATAACATGGCTCCAATCATATCAATTAAAAAAATTATAGTTACAACTACTGCAACTGATTTACCTCCAAATATAAAGGCAATATCTCCATAAGTATTTAATTCAGGATGTTTAGCAAGAATTTTTCCAAGAAGTTTTGCTGTTTTATTAGTTATAATTGCACTAATTAAAAAGATTATTGATCCCAAGATCCAGCCTGAAACTTTAAATGCATATGGTAATGATAACATAGCAATACCCATAAGAGTATTAACAGAATTAAATACAGTTTGTGGTACAGTTGAATTCCCACTAATTAATGTAGCTTCTCCTGATTTAATTGAAATTGCTAATGAAGATCGACGTCTTATTAATGGTGATACTTCACTAGGAGGAATTTCTTGTTCAGGAAAATGAAATGTTCGAATATGATTATATCCTTGAGGTATTGGTTGATTATCATCAAGTCGATAATCAATAGTAATTTCTCCTTCATCCTGTCCTTCCAAGTATGGTGAAGTATTGGGAGAAACATCATCTGAAACTAATAAACTAGGACTTTGTTCTAATAAAGTTGACCCTATATATGATTGAGCTCGAGTATATGAATTTGCAAAATTATTTAAGGAATTTGGACCTCCTATATCGAGAAATGACGTACGTCTCGACTTCGGTGACCCAGGATTAAAACTCATTTTAGTCAATAATTGTCCAAATTGAATTCTAAAAATTGGATTATGATTTTAGTATGAAATTGAATATATCTAACTACTAAAAATTTAATTTTTATGAGGTTTAACTTGTTAATTATCAATACTCCACAGTCATCTCGTGTTAATTTATTAATTAATCTCATTGCAAATTTTTTGTTGCGTAGCGCATTCCCATTTGGTGAGGTCACGTGGAAAATCATATAACCGAATATAACCTTAATTTTTAAATTGGTAAACAGTATGGAAAAGATTTACGAATTACGTCAAATAGTTTACGAAATTGTCCAACTACAGGTTAATTATAGGGTAATAAAGGAATTACAATTAAACACTTTGAAAGTACCAATTTAGTTGACCAGAGCGCAGAGTAATGAAGTCAGTTTTATAGTTATACCAGTTATAAGAAAATCTCTAATAGAAGGTTGACTATCCCATAAACTGTAAATAAATGATAGTTTAAATAATTTAGTTTAACTGTCTTGGCGGATATATATTTACGAAATGATTACTTCTGGAAGATAAAGTAAGTGAATGTGAAATTGCTCCTAAGCAGGTAAATGTATACTCAATGTTAGTCAACTCTCGAGATTCAGATACAGACACATGGTCCTTAACTATTTCCACCTCGGGGATACATTTCATTCAGGGATAATTCAAATTCATTTCACTTTCATTTTGCTCTTACTCAATTCATTCAATTCATTCAATTCATTCAATTCATTCAATTCATTCAATTCATTCAATTCATTCAATTCATTCAATTCATTCAATTCATTCAATTCATTCAATTCATTCAATTCATTCAATTCATTCAATTCATTCAATTCATTCAATTCATTCAATTCATTCAATTCATTCAATTCATTCAATTCATTCAATTCATTCAATTCATTCAATTCATTCAATTCATTCTTTCTTTTTCAATCACAGGGATGATCAACATAATCTAATGCACCTGAAAGATTCCTAAACATTTCATTTATTATTTCCTTACTAATTTATTAGAATCCACCCCTCTTCTATCTTCATTAATTATCAATTGTTACCTTGTATGGTGCTTGTTGTCCAGTAGTGCCCAGCAAACATCTATTGTTGCAAGCCTTTGCAGCAACACAAAGCGACCCTCTGCAAACCCACCTTGACCCTAGACAACCGAGTAGTACAAAACACCTATACAACAACTGTCAACCCCAATGGTCCCTTCCAATATGTTGTTACGCTACTCAACGACTCGATCAATAACGACTTCATGCTAACGGTATTCGTATTAAGTCCTATGCTTAACAGTTGCAGTACTGGTGCTCTTCTAGAATGGGCCTGCATACAATATTGCTGCGAAATTTATTAACCCCAAATTTGCGCCTTCCCAATTCAACTTAAACTATCATTTAAAGTTTTATTCTATGACAGCCATAGTAAAAATTCGGATTAGTTCAGCTAGTTAAGAAACTTGAGTTAAAAATTGGTTGAGGGTTTCTATCACATATCGTCACGCGCAGTCCCCTAGTACGCTTTGTTTCCAAGTGATGTAGAGCGTGTAGAACCTCAGGCATTAGACATAATCTTGCAGCAAGATACGTCTGACCCACGAAATCCCACCGGATTATTTTCTGAATCACCCTTCCTATTTCAGCTAGTGGATTAAGACCTAGAATTTTGAATCCAATCAGGAAATTCAATAAGGGTTAGCTTTAGTTGTTCTATACTAAGCCATTTCAATTCCCTTCCTTACCTTAACTTAACTTAAATAACAATAACAATGACAATAGTAATAATAACAATAACCACATAAAATGAAATTCATTTAATTAACTCTTAAATTAAATTAATTTAGTAGTAAAAGGGTTTTTAGCGATTAATGTTACTTCTAACTAAAAAAGTTCCTGCTTATGCTAAGGAAGAACTTGATAATGTAAATCTGGGTTTAAAATACGAACTTCCGATATTATCACATCCCCTCTTATGACTTGCATTAGTAACTTTCAATTATTATGTCATTATTCACCTTGAAACTTTTTTTTCATTTATCTTGTGTTGTTTGTGTTGTTTGTGGCGATCCTAGGATGAACCAATGTAAACGACTGATTCTTCAGGCGACTTCATCCGTCGACTGCCTTAGCAATTATTCGTACTTAAATTATTTTTTATTTAAATTTATATAAATCAAGTTCCTTTTTTGGTTTATTTCTACATCTGTTATCAAGGTTTGAATTACATCTCTTTAATCAGTTGAAACTTTCATTATCCGACCCTTCTATTGTTGATATAATTCACGGAACTGGAATAGTCAGTTTATATTTAATCCTGAAAGAGGCCTAATATTATATTATATTCCATTTCTCTTGGATTTTACTACTTTAAGAGGATTTACTTATTGAACCTATACCTTCCTGTTTGAGAAATTTTTAATTCCCAGTAAAGATTCAACGCTTTTTAAAAGTGCTAAGCTTTCCTATATTCAAACGCTCTAAATTTTTCAAAAAAAAATACTAGGTTAAATGATTGATATTATGTCAACTCCAGGCCAGCAGCCAAACTGCCTTGAGTTTGGTGGAAGCTCTAATGAACAAGGGGGCAATTCAAATCAAAGCTCTTCTGATTCATCTCATTTAACTTCAGGAGTCCCACCTCATTTAGAAATTCACGCCTTACAAGGTTATCATCATTTACCACTTCAACAAGCAAGATCAAAACAATTTATGTTTGGTGAAAATCATTATTCATTTCACCAACCACCATATCCAATGACAAATGAATTTAATTTGGGACCAAATGATCCAAATGCCAATCAATCTTCAATAAGTCCTTCCCTTCCAATCAATTCAATTATTCCAATGGATCCTACTCAATTGAATCATTCACAAGAATTTCAGCAACATTTGAACCAATCTGTATCACAGCATCACCCCTTATTTCAACAAATGGGTCAACAGCACTTCACGCCAACTCATCACTATGCTAATCCTGCAGTTTTGTTTCAACAACAGCAACAGCAACAACAACAGCAACAACAACAGCAACATTTACAACCTATTGCGCAATACCCGCCAACACAACCTGGTGTATTCACTACGTCATTGTCAACCCTTTCTAGTGTACCTGATCATTTAAGTTCTTCTAGAAGAGTTAGATTACACCAACATTCTACTTCAACTGGATCTAAATCTTCACGCTCGAGCCATTCTAGGACATCTTCTTCCACTACAATTCATGAATATCCTGAAGTCATCAAACCAAAGGTGGCTACCACATTTTGGGAAGATGCTAAAACAATCTGTTATCAAGTTAGAGCTAGGGGTATTTTGGTATCACGAAGAGAAGACAATGACTACATTAATGGAACAAAACTATTAAATGTGATTGGAATGACTAGAGGTAAAAGAGATGGAATTTTAAAAACAGAAAAGACAAGAACGGTAGTTAAAGTTGGTTCAATGAATCTTAAGGGTGTATGGATACCTTTTGAAAGAGCCTTTGAGATTGCAAGAAATGAAGGGGTTGAAGAAATTTTGTATCCACTATTTGTTAAAGACTTGAAAACATATTATGAAACTAAGGGACATTTGTTAAAGAGTATAGATTCAGAAGAAGGTTCTTCTGTAAGTGAAGAAAAAGATGCTGATGCTGATGGAGATACACCTGTGGTGGGGAGCTCAACCATGATAGAAGAAAAATCTGGTCAACAAATACTCACTTCATCAACTGCTGGTTATAGCAGATCTACTAGTGATGATAGAATTTATCTAGATTCCCTAGGGCCATCCTCTGTAAAGGAAGAGCAAATGTCTTATTACTCAAGTAATCAAACTCCTAATCCCGATTACAAAGGTTGAATTAACAATGTAAATTGTTAATTAATTAAATTTCCTTCAAATTGGCAAAATTTAGATTGACTTTTATGTTTTATATTATGTGCCTGTATTTTCTTTTTTACTTGTATTGTTATTATTATATGTTATTTTCTACTTATTCATTTTCTCTGTCATGATTATACAGCCATTGCTATGATTCTAAATTTCTTTATATAACTACAAATAATTATATTGTATTACAGAAATGTAGTTGCAAAATCACCAATAAGAAAATGCAACGTTGTAATTTATATTATGTTAGAAAAATAAAACTAAACTATTCAACCATGGGGACTAAAGTACCTCTTATTCTTTGCTGTTCTTCTATGGTTTCAAATAATCCCTTAAATGTTCCTTTACCAAATCCATTATGATGGTGTCTTTGAATTATTTCGATAAATAATGTAGGACGATCGTGCAATGGTTTAGTAAATATTTGTAAAATATAATTACAGTGCTTAGATTTATTATTTCTAGTTTTTGGATCATAATCAACCAAAATGTTCAAAGATTTTAAAACTTGGAAATCTTCCTTTAATTTGATATCATCCTTTATTAATCTGGCTTCTAAAGTCTCATAATACTTCAAAGATGTAGTATTAAATTCAATACCTCTTTTCTTTAAGGAACTAACTGTGGAAATGATATCATAAGTTCTTAAAGCAATATGCTGAACTCCGGGACCTCCATTAAAATCATTAAATTCTTCAATTTGACCTCTCATTTTACTCTTAGCTGGTTCATTGATTGGCATTTTAATTTTCCCGTTACTTGAAGCCATAACTATTGATCTTAAAGCAGTTTCTCCAGTAAACACATCTTGCTCATCAACTGACCAAAACTTATGGAACCCGAAAATTTTGGCATAGAATTTAGCCTGATTCATCATTTGGTTCCAAGAATAGTTTTCAACGCAATGATCTACACAAGTTAATTCAACTCGGGGTAATAACAGATCTATCTCAGAAGTAGTTTCAATTATGCTTGAAGAATAATGTGGTAAGAAATTACCCTTATAATCAATATTTTCAATTAAAGTATGTTGAATATCCGTCTTTGGAATTGTTATAGTGGCCAATTTAACCGAGCCATGCTTGTCTTGAATAATTCTAGGAAGTCTTATAATTCCAGCACCAGCCTTTATTGATTTTTCAAATGCTTGGTCCACATTTTCTACTAAAAAAGATATATCCATTACACCTTCACAATGAGATTTTAAAAACTTTTGAATTAAAGAACACTCCATAATATCATTGTAAATTATTTCTGAATTATTGATTGTATTTATAATAAAATTATTGTAGTCATCAATAGATTTTCTGAAACTTCTTGAATTCACAATTTTATTATAAATCTTTTTACCTAATCTAAAGTTATGTCCATCGGAATTAGCCGATACCATTGAAGAAGAAAGTTTATTTGAAAAGCTTTCTATTCTATTGTTAACAAAATCAAATACCAAATCATCGATTGTGATCTTCAAATCATTCAAATAATCCAAATTATTAACCTCTTTAAATTTCTTTAAATCCCTTTGGAAATATGGTAATTTTAACATATTATCATCTTCAACCGTTTCCAAGGTATTGACTATTTCTAATACAACCTTTCCATTTGATATAACATGAGAAGCTACCAATCTCGAATCATTTTCTAAACCTTTATAAGCAATCTCTCTAAATCCCATGCATAAAATCAAATATTTGGACATTTGTTTGGCGTTTGAAGAACATAATTTTAAATGATGAAAATCAACAAATCCATCAGTACTCAACTTAGTTGTGGGGAATCCATTCAATAATAATTCATCAGGCGAGAAATCAACAATTGGATCTTTATTGTTATGAGGATAAAAAGGTAACTCATTTCTAAATAAAAATTCCGCCGATTCCGATTCCGATTCTGATTCTGATACTGGCAGAGGTATTGGTGGTGGATTTGTTGCAACTTGAGATAATTCTGAAGAGTTTGTGGATTCTGTGGTTGCAGTAGATGGTGCTGCGGAGGATTTGTTAAATAATGAATTTGAGCTGGATTCATTCCTGTTATAGTAAAAACTATGAGGTCCAATTTCCACTGGCAACACCATTATAAGTTAAATGATAGCAAGAATTGATAATTGGTTAAAGAAGATAAGAGCGAATAAGAGCCAAAATTAATTTGGCGCCAAAATATACATTTATAATATTTTTCGCAGTAATTTCGTCTATTTATTATACACAACAAAATATATAAACTTTCAAAAAATCAATGAAAGGTCAAAAATTAATGTTACTATCTAGAGTCTGAATCAGACTTCGCATGTTGGTAAGATTCAATACCAGTATCTGAAACCTTCTCTTGGGAGGAATGGATGTTACCAGTTTCGCTGTAATATTGTTGTTCTTTATCTTCTTGAACAAGATTAGCTTCTTCCTCTTCTGTTTCTTCTTCTTCATCCTTATTTTTCTTAATAGTAGCTAATTTTACAACATTCTTTCTACCTAAGATATGAACAGGATGGAATGGAATAAAGATTAACCCAGCAATAGCAATCATTAAAGCATCCAAAACCATTAGATATATCTCATGACCAATCAAATACCCATTCCATCCTTGAGCCAATTCTACAACTCTATAAACACAACGAATATAAATCACGACAACAGCAATACTTACAGCCAATGGGGCGTAGTAAAATATAGGTTTTTCTCTAATTGCTTTAAATTTTTGATTATAATGACTTTCCAAAACCTCAACACGATTTCTTCTTATAGACTTACTATTAAATAAAAATCTAAAGAAATTTTTGAATGAAGGTTTAATAAACTTTGGATCTTCAGGATTTTCTCTAGCATGTTTAAAGAAAATTCTATTCAAGAATTCAAACCAAAAACCAAGAAAGATAGTCATAGCAACTACTTGGAAAACTATACCTACAATCATAATATCACGACCAACTTTTGTGCTTCTATGTTGTTTTGAAGCTATAGATGCTTGACCCCCACCGGCAGCTTGAATTAAAAGAGAAAGGACATCACTAGCAATAAAGAAATATGAATACCACATTGGCTTTAATACTGAATATTTCCGACCATGAATAACTACCAATTGGGCAAACAAGAAATAAATCCCACCCATAATAAAAGCTGGTGCAATAGTTAATGTGACATATTGCAATAAGTAAAAGTTCATATTAGTATTATCTTGGAAAGATAAGACTCTACCTACGAATCCAGCAAATTCTAAACCAAAACCACTAAAAAAACAAATATTATACCAATGATATCTTGATATCGATAACATACCCACAATATAAAAGAAAATAATGGAAAATATAGTTAAATAAATGATATTAGCAGGACGACTTAAATGATAACCATATAAATTCTCATCATCTGCTAAAGCCTTTAAATTTAAAGTATTTATAAAAATAGCTTGAGTAGCTTGAGCTAAAACAGAAGATTCAGTAGCAGTAGCCAATACTTCTTGAGCACTGACAATGTCTAAGGATGCTCTAGCTCCCCTGAATGCTTGTGATATAGATATTAATGAATAATAATTTGTTTCCGTGGCCACGGCTTTAAAAACCAGAGATATAGTAGCTTCAAGGCCTGATAAATGAGTAGCATCAATGGATGAATAAGTAGGTGTGGCAGGTATTGAACTAGGAGTCCATTCAGCTGTGGCATATGCCACTAAGGATTCGAATAAAGACATCTACCGAACAACACTTCATAAGCTATGAATAATTAATTCATTTAAAATAAGATAATTTCTAGTACTTATGTACTCTCCACCCCGAAAAAATGGACCAAGAAAAAAATAAAAATAAAAGAAATACTTCCCTTACATCAGCACTATATGTTCAATATCAGGAGGTGAAATTTTTTGCTTAACTGTAAGGTCTATACTACAATTCGTGAAACACAGCCCACACAATGAGAGGAACTTATAACTTACATTTAGGGCAGTCTATAACGTATTCTGTAAGTATGATATTTGATTTTAGCTTAATAAAGCCATAGTGCAGTACGGATCGGAACAGGGCTGAGCTCAAAAAAAATAAGAATAGAGCCGTGAAGATTCTCTGTTATCTGATCCACATAATAATCGAATGTATCAGTTTCATGTGAAGTATAAAAGAAGAAAGATGGACGGTATGGTTGAAAGAGTACTGCGTGTATTGATATAACCTGCTTAGGACTATAATTTATGGATACAGAGCCACGATGGTGTTGTATATCAGTTTATTTCCTAATGCCGAACAACTCCGTGTTTTGTTTTTGTTTTTAATAGAACTATCTAATTATTATCAGCTCTGCGTAATATACTATCAGTATTAGTGTTACTATTATTAGTTCACTCTTACTCTTAATATCAGTCTTAGTCTTACTATTAGTCTTAGGTTTACTATTACTATTAGTTCTATTACTATTATTTTTATTATTATTATTATTATTATTATTATTTCTATTTCTATTTCTATTTATTATTGCTAATCCTATTATTGCAACTACTACTATTATTATTATTAGTATTACCTTTATATTATGGTTATTTGTGTTAGTCTATACAGACAACACAATTCCCCTAACGCACATTCACAATACAACAAAACCGGTATTCCTACTTACAATGTCTAGAGTCAGCGCTCATATATTGTTCGCTCATTGTTACAAAATATGCTTTTCGTTTGTCTGAGCCTCCCCGCCTGTCATATTTTTAACTTTACGAGAGAAAAAAATATTTTGATAAGACACAACGCGATGGCTGCAACCATGCCGGGAATAACTGTTGCAACACCGAGTGTTCAGCCTTACCCCAGTAAATCTACCAGGGGTTCTCTATCAGGTGATCTCAAACCAATACCATAGTCTATCACCCGATTTTCTGGTATTAATAATAATTAATAAACTACAGTAGATCAAAAGTTAAGTTCTATCCCATTCTATTCCGTATATAAAAGGTTCGATAACTAAAAAGTAAGGCAAAAGTAAACATCGCACAAGATAACTAAATATGTAAATATACCATATAAATGACACCTTAGCAAAGTGTAAGTTAGAATTAAAATCAAGCTCTAAAAGATTGTTTAGTAATACTGTTCTAGTAATACTTATGTTATGATATTTTATCTATTTCTCCAAGACATCTGCTGCTTGAACTTGAATATCAACAGTCTCGCTGCTACTCCCTTGTAAATCATCCAATTCTTCACCAGTATATTCTTTTGATTCTCCTTCAATAGGAGCATCCCCCTCCTCCTCTTCGTCTTCTCCATGGTGCAGAGTATCACTTCTATTCTTGATATCTTGTAAACTGATTTGTGAGGCATCTCCAAGAACAAGTTGTGGATGGAAAGGTACAAAGATTAAGGCAGCAATAGCAACCATAAATGCATCCAATACCATAAGATATACTTCATGAGTAATTAAATATCCATCAAATCCTTCGGCCAATTCGACAACTCTGTAAACACATCTGATATATATACAGAGAACAGCAATACTGATGGCCAATGGATAAAAGTTATAAATCTTTCTAATTCTCATTTCATGGAACTTAGCATTATAAAATTGATCAAGATGATTAACCTTATAGTTAGCAGCTGTTTTACCATTAAACAATAATCTAAAAAAGTTTAAGAATGAAGCTTTTTTGTAGGTAATATCATAGACACGATCACCAGTATTTTCAAGATCCTGGGATTTACCATTTTTGAAATATATTTTAACTAAGAAAGAATACCAAAATATCAGGAATACTGACATAGAAACAACTTGAAAGGCAATACCAGCAATCATAGTATCAGTTCCTGGCTTAGCATTTTCGAAATTGTTTGAAGCAATAGAAGCTTGAGCACCACCGGCAGCTTGAATCACTAAACTTAATACATCACATCCAATAAACATATAAGAGTACCAAAGTGGTTTCAATATTGAATATTGTCTACCATGAATAACCACTAATTGTGCGAATAAGAAATAAATTCCTCCCATAAGGAATGCTGGGGCTAAAGTTAAACAAATCAATTGTATCAAGAAATAATTACTATTAGTCATATCTCCAATAGATAAAACTCTACCAATAAATCCAATTAACTCACATACCAATCCTAAAGACCAAGCAACGTTATACCAATGAAATCTTGATTTATAAAGCATACCCATAGTATAAGCAAAAGTTAATGCAAAAATAACTAGATAAATATAATTTGGAGCTGGAACTAATGACCATACATTATATGGAATTTCATTCCAACGTAAATCCACAATATTCAAAGTTGCATCATATATAGCTTCTGATGCTTGAGCTATAACTTCTGAATCTGTAGCAGTAGCAAGAATATCTTCAGCTTGTATAATAGTCATGGAAGCTTCGGCTCCTCTTAATATTCTTGAATAACTGACAAAATTTTGTCTATTTACACCAGAAGTTAAGTGAAGTGCTGCTGCTGAAGCTACAGATTGAAGATCTGAAAGCTTAGTTGGATCTACACTTGATAATGCAGTTCTTGACACAAATGTCGTAGTTGGAGACCAAGTCGATGCCATATTTTTTTATATCCTTATTTCTATAAAATTCCTTTTAATTATACAATTGAGTTGATAGTATAATACAGTAGAATATATCTATTCATAAATTCGATTAATAAGAAGGGACATGTCTCGATATTTATGTAAAAGAAATTTTCCGAAATTATATCCTAAATCTGGCCGGTGATAAGCGGATTATTGTTCTAAAGCCGCCTAACTACCTCCACGTTATAGAGAAATCCTCATGAGGCCGAATGTCACAGCCCTGTTTTTGTTGACAACTTCTTCTGACCGAATTACTTACCTTATTTGGTAGGTATTGTCAATACACGATGGTGCGGATTGGCTATGCCTTTGTTCTACCATTAACTCCTGTTTCCGATTCCGTTAATTGAATGGGCTTATTTATTGCGATTATGTAAGCGCAACTTCATCGATTAATCAAAAAATACGTTAGATAATAATCCTACAATAGAGTATAATACGTTAGAATGGGTCATTATAGGTAGTACCACATATAATATTATCCTTGCGATAATTATATTTACTGGACCATGTTGTGGGAATTGCTTCTGTACCCAATGAGGTAATGATCGCAATAAAAAATATCATGAAAAATACGTAATTGAAGTCCGCCGCACGATCTCATTACCCATTTAAGCACTAAATGAGCACGAAGTATATCCATACAAGATAAGAGGACGGCTGTTGAGTTTCCGAGTAATGGAAGATGGTGCACCATCTGGTAGTTAATCAACTGGCGCAATTCCGATTTTAGTCCACCTACATGTACCCCGGTACTTCCCCTTAAATGAACAAAGAATTAGAAAGTATTATACTTGAACTTCAGACATGGATAATTGTATTATTTTCTAGACTCATATCCGTTATATGTGTCAATATCCATTCTTTGAAGATACTCCGAACCTTGGGTATTAGGAATACATCCACTCCGTTGATCATTTAAACTATTGACTTAAATTTGCAGTTGAAATTACAGTCTTTGAATACGCAAAGGCTGAAGGTTGTTCAAGCTAAAGCTATGCAATAGCTTTGAACATAGCCACGCCTTAAACATTTCAAATACGTCAAAGTCCGCTCACCTTCTCCGGTATTGGGCGCAAAATAAGTCCGCACAAGGCCGCAGGTTTTCCGGAGAGCTATCCGCACAAAACTAAAAATAAATTGGCTTACAATTATATTAACTTTTTCTTCGTGACTATCTTTACGTACAATGTTAAAAATAAAAAGCTTAGACCATCTTGTACTCACAGTAGTATCAATTCCTAGAACTCTTGAGTTTTATGAAAGAGTTCTTGGAATGGAACCTTTGCAATTCGTGTCACCCATTGATCCTACTACGACGAGGCATGCGCTAAAGTTCGGCCGCACGAAAATTAATTTGCATTCGGCTGACAAGCCGTTTAAACCGCATGCTTTGAATCCATTAAGTGGAACTGCTGACCTTTGTTTCTTACTTGATGATTCTAATTCTGGAGTTTCGGATATTGAAGGAGTTTTACAACATTTTAAAGAATTGAATGTACCAATTGAATTGGGACCAGTAAAAAGAACTGGAGCAAACGGAACAATTGATAGTGTTTACATAAGAGATCCTGATGAGAATCTAATCGAGATATCAAAATATTTATAGTATTAGTTATATAATGCAGACGTTGTATATTCTTTTGAATGCTGGTGTACACTTATATACATATTAAAATAATGAAATATTGTTAATTATATGGCAATATTTGTTTGAAGTTGATCTGGTTCTTCTTCGTATTCAATTTCAACTCTAGCTCTTCTCTTCTTCTTGTTCTTATCATCTGAAGTAGAAGTTGATTTACGTTTCTTACCTGAATCTTCATCATCACTTTCATCGTCATCTTCTTCATCATCGTCATCAGCTTGTTCACCATCAGATGAATCATCTAACCATCTTTCTAAATCTTCTAAATCAACTAATTCATCATCACCATCATCTTCTACATATTCGACTTCACCAACATCAGATTCATCTTCTGCTTCATCTCCACTTTCTAATTCGAAATCATCTTCTTCATCAAATTCTTCTTCTTGTTCAACTTCATCAACCTTACCCAATACTTTCTTCCAAATATTTTCATCAACATTCAAAGGTTTATCACCATATGCACCACTCTTTAATCTATCTAACAATTCCTTCTCTATGGCCTTTTCGATCTTTGCTGCAGCCAAAGCTTTACGTTCTCTATTTTCTTCTCTTCTCTTTACTTTATGTTTAACACCAACATAGTGTCTTTCTTCATCTTGCATAGCTAATCTTCTTTCTGTAATGGCTACTTGAGTTAATCTCGTTAATCTCTGTTTACATTTATGAATTAAAAACTTTTGCCAATATTGTAAATGACTATCAATTTGTGAAAGGGCCTTATTATAGTTCTTTGATAATTTTATTCTTTCCCATAATCTTGAAGGCATATGAGCACGTTCAGCAGTCTTCATATAGAGGTAAAGTTTTCCTCCCACATTCTTTACTGTAGCGTATCTTGCATTTGCTAATGGACATGACTGTCTGGTACATAACCCACTAACATTATATTCATTTCGACAGAAATTTTGATCTTTGTCAGTTCGTAATTTGAATGCACAGAATTGGTGATTTATCACTTGCCAGATAACTTCGTCAGACATAATATAATTGAATTTAATATAATATAGTTTCTTATAATGATGCTTATGATATAATTTAATCAGTTAATGATATTATTAACTTACTTACTCAGCAAGTAATTAGGTTATGCAATTTAATTGAATGGATGATATGTACTGATTCAAAAAAGATATAATGAATCAAAATGACTAATATAATTCCAATCACAACAAAAATAGTTCAAATGACTCCTCTATACTTTTTATAAGTCAGCTCACTTCACACTTACTGACTTAAACTATTGTGTTTGGTAATAGCTTTAATGATTTTAACAATATTATACTCCAAACTAGCAGCCTTTAGTGAAAAAAAATTTAAGATGTTCCTCATCTCCAAATAAATTTTTTTGGGCTTACATAATCAGGCAGCTTATGTATGCCAAAGTTAGCTTTACAATTATATCTTATCATAAAATTTTCTTAAATCGTTATAGACCTAGAGAGAAAGTAAATGTGATTATTGGAGAGAAACTACTTCAAAGTGACCAAAGTACTTCAAAGTCTAATATATCTTTTTATTGTGAAACTCATACATAGATATCCCTTTAGAACTTAGACTTGTAAATGCGCACTACCATTTTGTAGTTGCAATTTTTATTGCAAAAAATGTATTCCGCATAACTATCAGATAATACTATGGAAGATCTACAGCATAAAATCATTCATTCAACTTATTGAAATAGATATCACAATCTTGCAATAATCGATTGTAAAATCATGAAGTTGGAAGATATTATTAACTTTGACGGAGTTGAAACCTGCTTGGTACCTAAATTAAACAATACCGAAGTAGATATATTTGAAATCCACAAAGAGGGTATCTCTGCATTTCATCAGAAGAAAATTCAGCTTGAACAATATTTAAGTAACCAAAATAGTGAACAGGTTAAAGATTTTTTAAAAGGATTCAATGCTGATATAATTAAGCTTCATCCAGATGATTGTTTAAGAGCGATTTTTAGATTCTACAATTTCCATGTTCTCCAACCATATGACTTCGATGTCAGCTTAAATTTGGTTAAGAATTGGGTTCAATTCCAAATGACCAGCTACTTTCATTCAAATTTTGAGGTTGCAATTCCATTAATTCAATATTTCAATATTACTATCCCTTTATCAATGTTGAAACCTCGTTTATATAGGGGATTGGATCCAGGCGAATCACAAAGTTTTCTACCAAACAATTCATCTTCAATCCAAGTTCGCAAACACCAACTTAATGGCATTATTGGTTACTTTTATCCAACAAAGGAGCATCTCAACGAAAATAAAACTTCTGGAGCATTAATGGTCTCCAAACTTTTGACTACTGTGTCCACACCTGAGCCTAAGCAGTATGCGAGTGATGGATCTGAAGCTATTATTCAGAGTTTAATTCAAACCAATATTTTAGAGCCTGTTATAGCAGCTATTAAATGTAATAGAAATATTATGTTACTTAATGGGCGTATAATTTCCAAAAGGATAATGGATGGTACTAAAGTTAGAGTTCAACCCGATTTGGGATTAGAAACTTCTAAATTATATGTCCCAATTGAAGTCAAAAAATCTGGATTGCGTGACAGTTTCAACAATTTTTTTGATTCTAATAGCTCAGGAAGTGCTAAAGCTTTAGATTTTCTAGAAATTTTCTCTCAATTGATAAGAGAATTATATTTGACAAATTCGCCAATAGGAATCTTATCTGATTATGATTTTATTGTTATGGTAGATGTATCATATTATAAGATTGGAAAAGTAGAAGGGCTTGATGATGGTAAATTGATGAGATCTATCAGTTGTAACTTTACTGTGATTGAAGATACTGAATTCTTTAGCTCCATCACAACTTTATTTTCAATGCTTAATGCTGATAGAGACCCAATGCATATGAATTTAGATTTAAGTATCCCTGATTTAGACTATATCAACAAGATCTTTACAAATAAGATAGTTCAGTGGAATAAGGATATATATTCCTACTGCCAAGAAAACAGGATATCAGAAAATCATAAAGTAGAGGATAATACTTCCAACCCTCCTAGTGCAGATGCTTCCATTACCCTACTTTGTGGTAAAACAGGACTAGATCTTCGTGAAAGTAATTTAATTACCCTTCGAAAGACTAGTTTGACTCCCGTTTTGTCTTCTAAATTTATTTATATTAAAACTATTAGTGGCAGTAAATTTGGTGAAAGAAATAGTGCCGTTTTTGTTGTGGCATTAGTCGTTAATCCCCAAAAGTTGTACATACTTAAGTGTTATGATCCATTTCGGACAAGTCAGTTTTATACAAATGGTTTTGATATAAAAAAAAGTTATATTGAATCATTAAGAACATTTACTAAGGAGATTTCTGCATATTCTATTCTTGATGGTCTTGAAGTCATACCAAAACTTTATATGTGTGGATTCATAAATTCATCTCTGGATAATTTTGTCGATGATATTTCAACTAGTACAGTTCCTGAAATATCCGGTTTCTTTATGTTGTTAGAATATTTAGAAGGAAAGCCTTTATCTGAGATTGAACTTTCACAGAGACGTCTTTACAAAGATGCTTGTCTCAAATCCATAAATCAAATTCATTTGAGGAAATTAGCCCACAACGACTTACATAGTGGGAATATAATTGTAAGTGAATCAGTAAATTCCGATGGTTCAAGGAAATTCGAAGCTAAAATAATTGATTTTGGTTACAGGTATTTGGCTAAAGAAAGACTTTGTTGGAACGAATCTCGTAAAACCTTCAGTAACGGTCGACCAAGTCCTGATTTAGAGTTGGAGGAAAGGCTTCAAGAAGATCTCATTGATATTGATTATAGTTTAGGAGCTGACCAAAATTCAAAGAATTATAACAGATTCAAGTTTGTAAAATCTAAATCTTATCTTAACTGATTATTTGTCAAATTTATATAGAATTAATGTACACAATTATATGTGTTGAAAAGTAGTATGTGGAGACAAATACTAGAATCCTCATGGAATTAGGAGGTACGTTCATATCCAACGATATAGCAGGTATATTAAATTAATAAACATATATTAATTGATCATGATAAAGATTTGTCCTACTTTCTATCATCAATGTTCCTGACAATAATACTATTTGTTTCAGATTACTCTAATTCTTTACTTGTTTTTTTGATTAAGATCGTAATGCAAAAGGTTTGACTGGAACTTGAGGTTTTATCTTGACAGGCTTTGGACCCACTACGTACTTAAAGATTGTAGGATCTATATCATTAACTAAACGAGAAAATGCCATAAGGGTAATAATGATTTGATAAGGATCCTTATTTTCATATAAATCTACAGTTTGAAATATTTCATCATGTTTAAGTTTAATAATTTGACATAATGATAGGAAGAAGGAAATATTTTCCATTTGTATAAATGCAATCTTTGAATTTTTAAATTTCAGACATGGATTGGGAGTTACTGATGATGATAATAATAATCCTAATTTACATAACACTTCTCCATCTTTGAGAATATCCATTAGATCATAATTTTGCCAATCTTTACCAAATTTATTTATCAATAGTGTTGTATAATGTGGAGTAAGTATATCATCAAGATATTTCTTAATCTCATTCTGACGTTCATGATATTTAACAATTCGAGAATTATTGACATCTTGATCTAAATTCGTAGAAGCATTTTGTTCTAACTTAGTGGGTTGACCATAACGATCATAATTCATGTAATTACTCATAATGTTAATTAGTGTAATCAGTTAGTTAGTTAGTTACACTTTAATCTACTATTCCTATGTCTTTTTTGTTTGTTCAATAACTGCCAAATGCGGAAGTCAACTAATATTGCCGAACAAACAAAAGTTTACAATAAATTCCGTAGTTTACTCTATTATATTTTATATATTAATACTCACAAACTTTATAAATAATTAGCGAGACAAATTATGTAATGTACAGAACGGGATAAATTTCCCTTATTGTCTTAGAAAAGCTAGCTAAAACTAAATTTAGTTATGTAATCTCTTTTCATAAGAGTGTAAACCATGAACACCACCTTCGAATTGAGCAGAAGCAGTTCTAAATTCAAATCTAACTTCTTCATTATCAACCTTGGATCTTAATTCAGCACTAGATTTAATACCAATGTCTTGTAATGAATGTTGTAAACCATTATAAAGATATGGAACAAATTTAGTAATGGAACCTTTATCAACAACTGAACCAGAAACACCTTGAGCAACTAAAACTTTATCAGATTCAGAAAAGTATCTAGAAGTAGAAGCATTGGCATTAGTGTTGGTTTGTTGCATAGCATCAATAGATCCCATACCTCTATATGTTTTTAATCTCTTACCATCTCTGTAAAAGTAATCACCTGGAGTTTCTGAAGTACCAGCTAATAAACCACCCATCATAACAGTTGAAGCACCTAAAGCTAAAGCTTTAGTAATATGACCAATGTTACCAATACCACCATCAGCAATACATGGAACACCAAATCTGTTGGCAAATTCAGTAACATTATAAACAGCAGTACCTTGAGGTCTACCACAAGCCATAACTTCTTGAGTAATACAAATAGATCCTGAACCCATACCAATTCTTAAAGCATCGGCACCAGCTTCAATTAATAAAGCAGCTTGTTCTCTAGTAACAACATTACCAGCAATAACTTCTAATTGTGGATAAGTTTCTTTAATAAATTTAATCATATTTAATTGGAAAATAGATGAACCATTAGAAGAATCTAAAACAACAACATCTAAACCAGCTTCAACTAATTTAGCTAATCTTTCTTTATCAGCTTCAATAGTACCAATAGCAGCACCACATAATAATTGTTTAGAGTGGAAAGATTTAGAAGCATTTGGATAATTTTGATTCTTTTGTAAATCAGTTCTAGAGATTAAAGAAATTAAATTGTAATCAGCATCAACAATTGGTAATTTACCTTTTTTAGAAGTTCTTAATAATTCATTACCTTCAGTTAAAGTAATACCTTCTTTACCAACGATTAATTCAGTAGTCATAACTTCAGAAACTGGAGATTCATTTTCTTCATGAAATTGAACATCTCTTGAAGTAATGATACCAACTAATTTTCCACCAACTTTACCATTTTCTAAATAAATTTTGTTAGTATAACCACTAATAATTAATTAATTTAAAATATTAATTATTTAAAAATTATTCTTTTCACTTTAATATCAGAATTAAAATTATCCTCAACATCGTTTGATGTAATATTCGGTAGAACGAAAGTTAATAATTTGGTTTAATCATCAGAGTAAAAATAGAGGAATCAAGTGAAAAGAAATATAATTTTTGAATAAAAATAAGAATTTTGAACATACCAGTAACTGGGAAAGAAGTAAAACCTAAAGTTTCCTTCATTTTTTTAACTTGACCAACAGTAACGGATGGAGATACAACAATAGGATCACTAATGAAACCATTTTCATACTTTTTAACTTTTCTAACCATTTCAGCTTGTTCTTCAGCAGTACAATTATGATGAATTATACCAATACCACCTAAAAGAGCCATATGAATAGCCATATTTTCTTCAGTAACAGTATCCATAGGAGATGAAACAAATGGAGCATTAAGAGTAATTCTTTTAGTTAATTTAGCTTCTAAATTAACATCACTAGAAGGAAAATTAATTAAACCTGGTAAAACAAGAAAATCATTATAAGTTAAACCACCAAAATTTGCAGAATCGATCAATTGTTTAACGGATAATCCATCTTTTCTTGGATAGTCTTTTAAAAAACTAGTGGCAATAGAAGCGTCGAGAACCATGATGATTTAATAATTAATGAAGAGGTATACAGATAAAAGGGGCAAGCTTTGCCAAAAAGAAGAAAAGGAGAAATCAATAACCTAACCAAAATTTTAGTATGAGATATTGCAGTATTTATATGTATTAGTAAAAATTACAGAGTCAAAAAAATTTTTACGATGAGAGAAGAGAGACAGTGAAAAAAAAAAAAAAAAAAAAATAAAATATATAGACGGACCTTAATGTGAGTCTCATAGCTAAGAATTACTAATTATACTTAAAGTTAATCAGTAGTGTCACCCAGTTCTAACGGTCCGTAGTTTAGTTATAGTTGAATTAATATTATCCATTAATAATATGACACAACATATTACACTACACTACAGGAGATATAAAAGTTCAAGTGACAATTGAGAGAATTACGTTGCACTAACTATAATATGGGCTGTTCCTTCGGACACTCCGCGGGTGTCTCCGTAAGCTTAGTATACATTTATAAATACAAACTTTGTAAACTCTATACTTAATGTTAGTAAAATTGTATATAACAAATTGCATCAAGTGCTTATCATAAATCTAGTAATCTTCTTTCTCCTAATGGAGCATGTATTCAATCAGAGTAGCGGTTCTAATATTGCTTTCATGGAACTTCTCGAAAGAAGTGGGTCAACAATGTGCAATAAGAAATCATCACGAATATGCTACTGATTACGATTCAGTTCATCACAACTAACATACCAGTATATCAATTATTAATAAATAATCATAATGATATTATTAATTAATTATTGAATAGCATGAAAGTATTTAGTGAAAAGTTTTTCTAATGAAGGGAATGAAAAATTTAGCAGTCTGAGGTCGTGCTCGAGACAAAACAGTTTCCCCAGATACAGTATTTAGTATTTGTCCTAGTTTAGTACAACGGCTGCAAATATTTTTAAGGTATATGAATGAAATAGTTTCTATTACTTAACCAATGATGAATACCTTTCTTAACTGGAACATTCTCTAACCAGATCATGAGAGTATAAATCTACATTGTTTACAATCTACTTTTATAATTGGGACTTCTTTGAAGTATGAGAAAGAGTTACTTATGAATCAATAATTTATCAGTGTTATCATGATTATTCAGAACTATAAATCTCTACATACTAACTCATCTTAAGTGATCACTCGCTGCAATCACTTTAAGTATTTAAAGTCCATCTTCTGATCTTGTAAATCTGTTTTATAATATTTATATACTGCCTTCCTTATACATAGCAGTTTATTATACACAGAGCTAGTAACTAAGGTTTGTTTAAAATGTAAAATGTTTTATAAAAATGGGGAATAAACGAAAGGAATACGAAATGAATCGAAAATAAACAAAAATTTAAATTGGAATATGGAAATTAAATTTCATATCATACTAAAGCTCTTATTTCCTCGTCTTAATGGAGTCAGAGACAGTGACTGTGTCAGAGTTTGTGATTGAGAATTTTGAAGTCTTTGAGTTTTAACTGCATTAACATATTCTTCAATTCTTTTCCAACCTTCTTTTCTAGCCGCTTCTCGTTGTTTTTGTTCTTCTAATGATTGATGATATAATATGGTACAATGATCATATAAAATTGGACTATGATCCATAAATACTTTTAATGCTCCATAAGCAAGTGAATGAATACTTCTATTCCAATTAGATGTAGCTGAATTATGTTGTAAAACTCCATTATTATCATCATATCCATTATAATCATCACCAATACTTCCACCTCCTTGATGAGGTCCTAAATTACCTTGTTGAAGTGAAGATAATGAATCATAATATTCATCATCTGTCATTTCATTACCATTTAAATCAAGATGAGAATGTATAGCATTATGAGATCCACCATCAAGGTCACCATCTCCATTATTATTGCCATTAAGATTATTATGATTATTTATTGAATTATGCACTTGTAATAAATTATAATGAGGATGATTCATATCATTTGCACTAGGAATTCCATGACTTACTTGTAAAATTAATCCACTATCAATTAAATTACCATTGGCATCAGTGGTTGCACCAGGATTATCAGCTAATTTTTTTTGCATTATACCATTTTCTATACCTGGTTGAGTTGAATTTGTTAATTCATATAATGAAGCAAATATTATTGGTAAAACTACTTCAGCATTTTCAGTAATTAAAGTTAAAAAGTATTCATTTGACCAATAACATAATACTTTTTCACTAACTTGAAAATGAGGTGATGATATACATTTTGATAATTGAGCAAATAAAGGAATTTGAATTTTTAAAAATTCATTTGGTTCCATTACTTCAAATATATCTTCAATTTCATTAAGAAACATAACTTCTTTTGGACTATTAATTTTTGGCCAATATCTTAATAATCCCATAATAACTTCTTCAGTTAATGATCCATCTTTTTCTAAAAATTGAACTATACAATAAGCTAATTGAGGATGATATAATGATAAACTTTTTACTTTATGTAATGGCATTAAAACTCTAATTAAAAAAGTTTTATGTTCTTCTTTTAAAGGTAATGCAAATCCATTAATAATTGAGCCTAAAATTTCTAATAATTCTCCAATACCATTAAATCTTTCAGTTTCATAAACAAATTGTAAAAATACATTATTAATTGATTTTCTAATATAACTTCTTAAACTTAAAAATTTTCCATAAATTCGATGTAAAGTTGTTTTTAAACAATCACGTTCTCGAGGATCTTCACTATCAAATAATTCTAATACTCTTAAAATAAAATCATGATCAATATATTGTTTAGCAATTTGATGTTGAAAATCAGGCAGTTCTATAAATCTTAAGAAAAATTCATAAATTGCTTGCATATGAGGCCAAGCTAATTCACTAACTGGTTCATCTTCATCAGGATCATAAATATCTCCAATTGGATTAACTGGAGGAGGAATTGGACGAAATAAATTCTTTTTAAACATTCCTACTACATGTTTATACATTTCATCAGTATAAGTGAATCTATTATTAGAAATAAAAGAAATTAATTCTTGTAATGTAAGACGTTTAATTTCTTTACCTCTAATATCAAAAGTTGGATCACTAAAATCAAACATAACATTACATTGATCAATTTTTTGAATAAATAATTGAATTTGATCTTCTGGTAAAACTTCATCAAAATTTGGTAATCTAATAATTTCTTGATATTTATCAGAAGTTGTTGGTTCAAATCTTGAAGATGAATGTCTCTTTGGAGTAACTATTAAATCAATATCAATTGGTTCTTTATTTGGAGAAGTAATATTTGGATTTAATTGATAAGGATGAAATTGTGCTGCTTGTTGACTATGAAAAGCTTTACCACTTTCAAATTGAGAATTTGCAATATTATGATTAATATTATTATTAACATTCGGATTAGAATTAGAATGAGTAATAGTTATGCCAGGAGATGTTGGAGTTGGAGTAATTGGAGTTGTGGTAACTGTAGTTGTAGTAACTCCAGGAATATTTGCTCCAAGTTGATGATGAGTTTGATTAATAAAATTTGGATTCAATATAGAAGTACCAGTACTTGTAAAAGAATTCATATCATAATCAACATTTGTTAAAGGATTAGTATTACCAAAATTAGAATTTGAATTAACATTTGAAACATTAGAATTATTTATTAGATTCTTATTAATTTCATGATGAGATTGTTTTGGAGATTGATGAGGAGATGAAGAATTAATTTGTAAATTATTAAGAGGATTTACATTTGAATTTGATGTTGAAGGTGAATTAGTTGATTTTACTGAATTACTCGAATTATTTCTTGAAGGACTTGGAGAATTTGATTTCAATGAAGATGAAGATGAAGAAGTTCCTAATGATTTACCAGTTCCTTGTTGAGGTGGAGATTGAGATTTTAAACCACCTGAATTTGAAGTTGATGATGAAATTGATGATGATGGAGATGTTGCCCCACCTGGAGATAATTTATCCTTTTCTTTATCAGACTTCTTTTCAGGTTTCTTACTAGATGGTTGACTCTTATTTCTAGTTAGTCTATTTTTAAACCCTTTCATCATCTTGATTGATGGAAATTATAGAAAAATGCTAGTAAAGGACTATTAACAAGGATTGGTGACTAAACAAAACTAATTGACAAGACTTGATTAACGAGTCAATAGCCAAGTTGAGGTCACTGAGGGGAACAATTGACGAAACTGATTTAAAAATTTCAGGTTAAGTTGCTGAAGATATTATCTGCGCTATAATCTTAATTTATCGTATTTGTTATTACAATTATACACAATTGGACACACACACAACTGTTTAACTAGTAGGTACCGCCTGGATTTTTGATTTTGATTGGGCTTTTTGTTTGGGGCTTTTTGGTTATTGGTAAAAGTCGTGTCTGGGCTCACGTTCCTGGTGGACACAGCACAGACACTTTGGACATTTGGCTTTTTTTGTCTGATCCTTTTATCACGTGAAGAACTTTTCTCTATTACGTACTATGTATTACTATATGTAGAGGATGTTACTAATACATGTTATATAATGATAATGATTATAAAATAAATATATGTAATATATTATATGATATATAGTTAATATATATAATGTATATCTAATATATCTAATATAATATATATGTTATATATTAAATTTGTAAAAATAGTGTAAAGTCTTGTGACCTAAAAGATCATATTACCCCCATCGGGTTTCGGATCTGGTACTATATCAATATGTAGTTGAGTTCCGATATCTTTCCTATTTAATACATAACTTAAATAACAATTCCATCCAATACTAAATGAATTAACGGCTAATAAGCGATAATGAACTGGTAATAAATAAAAATTAAATAATTGGAAAATGGGCCATACTAACCAATTAGTAGCCAAAGTATTCCACCAATTAAGTGATAATTTATTACTTATAGTATCCAATATTGGTGTTTCCATTTCGAATAATGTCATTACCGTATAATATAGTGGAATACCTATAAATGGAGCAAACACTAACTGATCAACGGTCACTCGAAGTATAGTATCCTTAATCGATGGTTTTGGTGATGAAACATGTAGAACAGGCTCTAATTTAACTTTAGCAGTACTATTAATTCTTTTCGATGGGAATTTGATTTTATTCAATAATTTATACCATTTATCCCCAATAGGAGCAAATATAATGGAGCCATAAACAACAGCTCTCAACAATCTTGCTAAATCAAACGAAGAACTATTGTTTTCATTCGGTCCTTTAAATAACGTTTGAGCAAGTATATCTCCACTACCAAACAACATCCCCGTAGTTATCATGTTAGTGATAAGAGGTTTCTTTTGGATGAGCTTGTTATACCTTGCAAAATAACTTTTGAATGTCATCCTGATCTATCCTGATATGTGTAACTACAACTTACTGTCTGACAAGTTTCATTTACTGATTTTAAATTGTTCTGCGATAAGCTCCGAAGAGCAACAAAAAAAAATTAATATGAATGCAAAAAATCGTGGGGAAAAGGTATTAAAGTTTATTAGTCTATAAGCAAGTATATATGCCAATCAATATACACTAGAAAGAATTAATAAGAATAAAAATAATGATAACGATAATAATAATAATAATAATATAAGGAAATGAATAATGCAAAATCTAAACTGTACTCAACTAATCATACACCATAGTAACCTCTTGGAGATCATCTTCAATATCAACAATCTCTTCGAACAACTTCCCACTACCCTTACCATGACCTGCTGTATTATGAACAAAACTTAAAAATCCATTCCATCCAATCGACCAAATATTGGAAGCTACGATTCTAAAATGGACTGGAATAAAATAAAGATTAAATAACTGAAATCCTGGCCAAACTGTCCAACTGGCTTTCAAAACATTCCACCAATTCTTTTGTAATTTTTCATATGCAAGTTGGAGGGGATTTTCATGCATGGCCAAAGTTATCATGACTGTATTATAGAGTGGGATCCATATTAATGCAGGAACAAATAATTGATCAATGGTGAGTCGGAATAAAGTATCATACATATGTAAACGAGATCTAGTCTTAGTACCAGTTTCTCCCATGGCTCTTGCTCGGAAGACAGCACTAACAAATGGGTTCTTTATTCTTGGTAATGTCTTTGTATGCCAGAATACACTAATAGGTGCAAAGAAGATAGAACCATAAATCATTGCTCGTAATGTTCTAGCATAATTATAAGATGCAACTTCAATATCTTCTTTAATTCCTTTCTCGTTTATAATAGTAAGAGTCTCTTTATGAGGGAAAAGCATTTGAGCACTACAATCTCCTAATCCGAAAAAGACTCCGGTTGTTATCATATTTGTACGAAATGGATATTTCTGAAGTAATCGATTGTACTTGTGGAATAAACTAGGCATGTCTGATGTTCGAAATTTTAGTACTGAATAATTCTAGGGATAAGGATAATGTTGGATCTATGTATAATTAGAGAGGATATATTGAACAGTCGAATATGTTAATAAAACTAGCTAAGCTTTATAATCTTTATCAAAAATTTTTCACTATTTACAATTTACTAATTTTTTTTAGTCACAGGACGTGAGGACATTTATGACCGAAAAGAGAAGCTGTCAGCAGCAGTTCTTCACATTTCTCATAACGGATAAATTTAGCGAGATGGCTGAGAAAGAAAAATATTGTAAGGGTCAGAAGACCTTTAAAGGTGTGGTTGTTCAGTGATGAATACTAGAGAAGAGTTGAATCTATGTATAAACCCAACATACATAAAATTATCGATATAGATATTGGAGATGAACAATTTTTAACCTATTTGATAAGATCATCCATGTATGGAAGTCTTTCTATCGTAATTGTTCATTATAATTACGGTATCCATAGTGATAACCACCGATTATGTAATCAACAAAAGAAATACATTTGCACGTGACCATTTATTAGAAAATCGAATGTCTACATTATCGACATTGCAATCGTTATGATCACTATAAGCATGAACTTCAATTGTATATCGTCTATCAATTGATGTTGTTTTGGTTGAAATCGTCTTAATGCGTTCCTATTTGTGCTGCATATATATTTGATTTGGAACAATTCCGATCATATAATATTGGAACCAAATTTCATTAAGACTTGGTTCGTAAGATCTTAATACTAATGGTTCTTCTGAGAATATTTAGATTATGTTGAAATAGTAATATTATATAAACTATAACGATCACCTAGACGTAGTTGTAACTATGAACATAAGTCTGCTTGGATTGAAATTTCAACAAAAACTTAGCTATACTTGTTAATGACAATAATAAAATAATTGTTAAGAACTTAAGAACTTCAGAAATTAATAAAATTAATAATTTAAGCAGGTTGATAAAATATAAAAGTCTGAATGTACTATGACCAAAAGTTGGAACTATAAAAAATGAATTTTTCAATAATAATACATGGCTGGTTATATGGTTGAGAATTTCATTTACCCAATTAGGTAAGAGCCAGTTAAGGCCGAAAAAGAACAACATGCTTATCTACCCTCGGAATTGATGAGGATAGCCCATGCGTCTGCTTTACTCCCTTTACGGCTCAGCAGAATTGAATGAACGTAAAGAGTTTTTCGAGATAAGGCTGCAACAAATGGTTTAAAGAGAATAAGGATTAAGTGTTTAATGCTATAGTTTAATCACAATTTTAATATATTATTGATTATTGCTCAATACTCTCCTGATAGATAATTTTTGCTTCTACGAGCAGCACAAAAGTTTATTAATAAAATGATGAGATGGTCGGTCGAGCGAGGGGGGGCGGAGGAATCCCCCTACATAAATAGAGGACAAAGTATAAAAATACCACCAATTGCGTAAGGTGAAGTGGGGTGAGGTGAGGTTAGCGAGATGATCCGGGTCGAGAAGTAAGGTAATTACATTGTTATGTAGTAGAGAAATGGCAAGTATAAGTTAAATTGGAATGACCTAATCTCGAATAAGCGATAAAATGAAAAGATAGATAGACAGACGATGCCATTTTTTATTCATAAGGCTTTAGTTTTGAAATTTATGGTCCATATCCGACTGGTGGGCGAGGGCAAAATATTGACCGGAAGTTGTCAACACTTTTATAGAAAAAGGAGACATTTACCCCCTTTTTTCATTCTTAACTAGTGGTCCATGTGTGGTGTCTAATTTTTCTCATTATTTTATATGGTTCGGTTCTCCAAATCCGGCCACATTATTTGTGAACAAAATTCCACATACTGACCTTTCATCAAAACTGTTCCGTCCCCTTTAATTGAGTTTGAATTTCCATTGAACAATTTCCAGAATTTTAAATTTCATATAACCTTTCTTTTGCTGTTCTTTTCTTTTTAATTCATTATTCTTGATTTTATTCTGTTCAATTGGAAATTATATTATAACTAATATCTAGTATTGATATAATAATTATAAATAAGTTTGAATAGTATTCATTTTAGATTATCTTAACCCCTATTTCAATAATCAATTACAATGCACAGAACTTACTCCTTAAGATCTCAAAGAGCTCCAACTGCTTCTCAATTGCAATCTCCTCCACCTCCTCCATCATCTACTAAGTCTAGATTCTTTGGTAAGGGTTCAATTTCTCACTCTTTCCGTAAATCTGCTGCTGGTGCTTTAGGTCCTGAATTATCTAGAAAATTGGCTCAATTGATTAAGATGGAAAAGAATTTAATGAGATCTATTGAAATTACTGCTAGAGAACGTAAAGATGTTGCTAAACAATTATCTTTATGGGGTGAAGGTAATGATGATGATATTTCTGATATTACTGATAAACTTGGTGTATTAATCTATGAAGTTGGTGAATTAGAAGATCAATTTATTGATAGATATGATCAATACAGAATTACTTTAAAATCTATTAGAGATATTGAAGGGTCTGTTCAACCATCAAGAGAAAGAAAACAAAAAATTACTGATCAAATTGCTTATCTTAAATATAAGGATCCTCAATCTCCAAAAATTAATGTTTTAGAACAAGAATTGGTTAGAGCTGAAGCTGAATCATTAGTTGCTGAAGCTCAATTATCTAATATTACTAGAGAAAAATTAAAGACTGCTTTTAACTATCAATTTGATTCTATTAGAGAACATTCTGAAAAGATTGCTTTAATTGCTGGTTATGGTAAGGCTCTCTTAGAATTATTAGATGAATCTCCAGTTACTCCAGGTGAAACTAGACCAGCTTATGATGGTTATGAAGCTTCTAAACAAATCATTGTTGATGCTGAAAATGCCTTAGGTTCTTGGACTTTTGATTCTGCTGCCGTTAGACCAACTCTTTCAATTGCTGCTCATGAAGATTATGATGCTGATGATTTAGCTGATGAAGCTCAACACTTGGAAGTTACTGAAAAGCAATGGGCTGAAGAAGGTAAAGTTGAAGCTTAATTTAGTTGACTGGTCAGCATAACTTTCATTAACAAAATTATTTACTGCTATTAATAATAATAATATTAATATTAATTTAAAAAAAGTTTGTTCAATAATCATAATAAATGTCCTAAAATGCAAAAATGTCTTATTAATGTCTCGTATTAGTATTAGTATTAATATTAATATTAATATTAATATTTAGTTAAATCATTATTATTGTTATTATTATTATTATTATTATTACCATATATTGTTGCTATATCTGTATCTGTATTTGTATATCAATCTTATTACTGGTTTTGTTTGTCTTTACTATCTACATTGTTTTATTCTAATTTTAATTCTTGTATTATTGAATCAGTCAATTTATGCTATACTATACATTCTACTATTTTATATTATATTGTATTAAATTTAATTAAATTAAATTAAATTATTCTATTCTATTCTGTTGCCTCTATTAATTTTAATTCTAATTCTAATTCAGATGTTGCAGTAAATGCTAATGGAATAGAAGGTCGTGCAATATGTCATAAATTTCATTTCATTTCTCATCTCCATTCCGTTTCACACTGGCTGACTCAGTTGATGCCAAATTGCTGTTTCACAAAGACGCGCTTTTTTTTAATCCATCCTCTAGACAACATGCAGGACCCATGTTTATGGCTGATTCGACCACATACACACGACCCGTATGACCCACTACCACAGAATCATAACAAGACTTGAAATGTATTAACTAAATTACTGTAATCTTACTAAAGCAGGGTGTATCAGCTTAAAACTAATAGGCAGAAACTACAAACTATTCCCAATACTATTAAACGTATTGTCCTTAAGTTTTGAAGTAGTATAGTAGTACAGTAAACCTGTTAGTATCAATTACCAATTAGTTACTTAGTACACTCCCCCCTCCCTCCCCACCATGTCAAACGATTTCTTGACATCTTCACCTTCACGAGAGGTTATAGATCCTTTGATATATACTTCATTACCTGGTACAGAACCTCCTCGTAAAGGCAAGTCTTCGAATAATCATGAAAAACGCAAGAATAACAAGTCATCTAAGAAAAAGTCACAACCCCAAACTTCAGTACCTCCCTCAGCTTCCAAGTATAATAACAATAATAACAATAATAATAATAATAATAATAATAATATTAATATGTCAACAGGCTGGACTCCACTAATATCTAAGACTTATTTCAATGATCAAATTCTTTCATTCAATTCCACTCCCAATCGATACTTGTTGACCAACCTATCTAATTCAAATAGCATTAATAATAATAATAATAACACGACCAATAATAACAATAACAATATAAATCAGGATTACTTAGATTTCACTCAAGGTCTAAACTTAACACCATTCCTTAATCATAATAATCTTAATATCCTTCAACAAACCACCTCTTCAGCATCAGGCATGAATAATCATCAATTATTATTAAATAATATTACTCCATTCAATGAAAAGACTTTGCATTTAACAGATTTCTTTATGGATTCTCCAATTCGACAAACCCCTTTAAAAGATTTGGCTACTATAACTCCTTCAAGATTTAAATTAAATTTTAGTGATAAAAAGCCATCAACATCTCAAAGAATGGATCCAAAGAGTGCTCAAAAGAGATCAATAACTCAACTTGATACACCACCTCGTCAACCTCATAAATTATCAATATCAACTAAAGCTAGTGATACTAATAAAGAAAATATTGATCCAGATGATGATAATGATAATAATAAAAATAATAATAATAAAACAAATACAACTGATGAAGAAGATGTTGAAAATGATGAAGATTATGATGAAGACCAAGATGAATTACTTCAAAAGACAAAATACTTTCTTCAAACTCCTTCGAAAAAGGTCTTGTCTAATATAAGTAATCAACAATCTCAATTTCCTAGAACAACACCAATTAAGTTATCAGTTAGTGATCTTGAAATGATAAATAGATTTCAAACTCCTGCTAAACAAGTCCCTGAATCTCCTTCATCACCATCAACAGTAATTATGTCTAGTGCAATTAAGAAACCAGAGACAAAAGTCATAAAAGGTACTAATATAACTAATACTATTACTAATATTAATGATGAAGATAATAATAATGATGATCGTAATGATGTTGATGATGGAAATGAAACCACTGAAGAAGATGAATTTAATGATAAAAATAATGATAATGAAAACCAAATACCAGCACCACCAAGTCCAACCCCAATTAAAGATCTTTCTTTACCTGTTGCTGCTGCTCCACCTGTAATGGGAGTATTTTCAGAAAAGAAAACTAAACCAATTCCAACCAATAAAGCAGCATTAACTGGTAAGGGTAGATTTGATTCTGATGATAATATAAGATCAAAACAAAATATAATTGGGAATGGAGATAGCTCAACTAATGGTGCTAGAGCTTCTAAAGGGAAAATGCAAGCTGGAATGAATAAATTTCAAATCATATTTACAGACGTTCATACATTGATGAATAATAGAAAGAAGAAAAGTAATACAAAGGATCAACTGACTTCTAATTCATCAAATAAAAATCAATCTTCAGATAAATCAAGATCTTCTGGTCCATCTTTACATCGTAAACATGAGACTAATCAGGATGCTCATCATCTTTTACCTGATTTCACCTCTCAACCACATTTCCAACTGCAACAGCTGCAACAGCCGCAACAACTGCATCTTCTAAATGTTCATCAACCTCTGCTGTCGGATCATAATATCAGTATGAATTCTAGTAAGGAAATTTCCATCATATCGGGAGGTGCCAATACGAGTCATTTGAATTTAACTTCAGGTACGGAATCTTCTATAGAATTAGGAGGGATTTCAACGACTCCTAATGGTAAATTCTTCTTGGATAAGGTGTTTGAAAAGAATTCACCACAAACTCAGAACTTGTTAAATAGTACATACTATATGCTTCAGCAACATCAACAGCAGCAACAGCAGCAACAGCAGCAACAACAGCAGCAACATCTTCATCATCAGCATCAACAATCTCAACCATCAATGCCACCTCCACCATCATCTAAACAACAATTCCAACCTCAATTGATTCAGCATACACCACAATATCAACCTCAACAAAATCATATGATGATGATGAGTACTCCTCAACATCAAAATGTTGTAAATTATCCAGGAAATACTCCTCAATTTTATGGACAAGACAATATGTCACCAGATGATGAAGCTAATGGTACGTTTATGAGTCAACCAGGTGGATCATATTATGGACAATCAATGATTATGCCTACTATGATGAATATGAAAGAAAATAGTAAGCATTGATATTAATACTTTTCACTTTTCACTAGAACGTTTATTATGGACTCTATACTTTTAACTAACTATATAATCATTAATGTATTAATTAATTAATTTACTTTACTCTTTACACTATTTACATTTATACATTAGGAGGTAATAATAAAGCTCCTATAACATTTGGTCTTTCAGTAGCTAATAAATCAAATATATTAGCAGCATTACTTGAATCTCCAACTTCTAATTGAATCCCTAATCGTGATAAAAATTTCTTATTTGATTCACTTAACATTCGAGATTTGCTCCCTAATCCTACCACTAAAATTTCTGGTTTAGGGTGAACTTTCGCGAACACATTTAAAATTTCTTCACTAAAATTTATTATGAATCCATTAATTAATTGATAACCATTATTACTTAAATTTATTTCAAAAGTTTCACTTTGAATTAATAATGTTCCAATAATATTCCCCAATTTATCAGGAGATGTAATTAATAAATTATTGGCAAGATGAAATCCATTTTCTTTAACACTCTCTATATAATTGATAGGTTTATCTGAAAACATTAATATATCATTCTTTTTAAATAAATCGGCTGGATTGGCTGTACTCTCTCCCTTTCCTGATGGAGGTTCTAATTTGATTTGATTTATGGATTTTGATCCTCCAAAGAGATTTTGTATGGTATGTGTAGTGGAGAATACTCTAACACTTTTAATTAGTGGTTTTCCCCGTGCACGTGCTAGATGTCTCAACATATTATGTTATTATAATTGTATGATGTATAGTTAGTGATAGCAACTTTGGTGATACTTTGCTTTTTCTTTTATACTTGTGAGGTGCGCACACAAATACATAAACATATACATATACAAATACAAATACATATACATATATATATATATACATACATATATATATTGTACTATGTATGTATCTATCTATATATATATACTATTTAATTATAAACTAAGTTTAATTCGTTCTCTATTTAACTTATCTTGTATAGCCTGCCTGCATTTATCATAAATGTCTAATCTTAATTCCATAGTGGTTTTATTACTAGTATATTCATCAGAAACCGTAGATACTGTGCCTGCACTTATATCCGATTTCATCGATGAATTTTCAAGAAATGGATTATGAGAATTTATATGAGGTGTTACTTCATCAGAAGCACGGATTCTAGAAATCGATGGTTTCGTTCTTAATTGTTTTTGAGGCAGTTTTGTAGGTGATGATTGTCTTAATTCTGCAATAGATGGTCGTTTACTTAATGACTTAGTAGGAGAAGTATTTAAAGAAATATTCACAAGAGGTTTAGCTGTTGTGATTGGTTTTCTTAATGTACGTGTTGGACTCGATATTGGACTAGAATTTGTGGTAATGGTGGTAGTTGTATTTGTTGGTTGTGGTTTGGCTATAGGAAATTGTTTCAAGTATTCATCATAAATACGATTCAATTGTATGTTAAATGATATAGAATGAATATAATTCTCTATAATAGATGCCTTTTCATCTTCAGTAATATTTATTGATTTAATTTTATTTATAAATCTATCATCATCTATTACTTTATGAATAGCATCAATTGCATATTGATATCGTTTATTAAAATCAAGAAATGAATTAAAATGTTCATAATAAATATCTGACATTGATAAGGTATTAGCAATAAATTCAATAGAAATATCATTAATAGGTAATAATATAAATCTAAATCCTTTAACTTTTTTATCTGATCCATCTCTAAATGAAGGATAATCATCATCTTCAATATTATTAGTAGATATTCCATTATAATTAATTCCACTTTTAACTGGAGAACTTGGACGAGATAAATTAGGGCTTGGTAAATCTGAAACAATACAATAACTTCGAAATTTATTCTTAATATAATCTACCATAACTCTATATTCATCATTTAAAAGTATTAATTTAAAATGTTCTATATTATACATTTGATCTAATTTTTGATAATATGCTTCATTTTCTTCTTCAAATTCTTCACTAATATTATGATTATCTTCATGCATTTCATCTACAGTTTGTAAATTAATTTCATCATTATATCGTAAAGTATTCTCTTTAGATAAGAATGTATTAAGTTTATGAATCTTTAATCTTTTAAAGATATATAGTAATGATTTGATTTGAAGATCTATAGAATCATGACCTTCGCCCTGTTTGTACTGTGGGATGGATGCAGCAGAGTTCAATGATGAACTAAATAGTTTAAAGAAGCTCATACTACTTTTAAAGACTGTACTATAGTATAATTCATCATTAATATTTAAAAATGTAAACAAATATGATTCGGGGCGTGTGCCACACAATTCCATTCACTACTACTATTTACTGAATTAGGTATAATTATGAAGTATAGTTATAGTAAGATTACTTGGTTAGTGTTTAGTACTAACAAGAGATATGTTAAAAAAGCCTGGAATTGATTTAAGCTAGTTTGAATTAGTTTATTTTATACTTTATATAGTTTAAGCTACGGTGATGGGTATGTATATGGTAGCGCAGACCCTCCACTAGGGGCACCTCAAAAGGGGAAAGTATCGAGAATTGATACTGAACCAGCACTAAGTCAAACAGTTCGTAACTCAATTGACTTACAACTAATATGTCAACGCAATCAGGAATTACTGCCTCGGCAGAGTTATTGGAAGCCTTCAAATCATTACAGTCTTCTGCTAATCCAACCCCTTTAGTAGTAAAGATTTCAAGTGATAATACTCAATTAATCCCTGATTCAAATTATTCATTATCAACATCTACAACTTTGGCAGAACGTTTCCAAAGTTTAAATGATCATATTAGTAAAGAATTTCCTCAACCAAGTTATATTGTAGTACCTAATATCGATACTAATTTTATATTTATAAGTTTTATCCCTGATACTGCCCCAATTAGACAAAAGATGCTTTATGCTTCAACTAAGAATACATTAATTAATGCACTTGGATCAAATAATTTCGGTAAAACAAATACATTTTCATGGACTGAATTAGAAGAATTAAGTTATGAACATTATCAAAGTTCAATTGCTTCTCAATTTACTAGTAAAGAATCTTTATTAAGTGAAGATGAAAAAATCTTAAATCAAATAAATTCTTTACAAGATTTATCATTAAATATTCAAGCTAAACCATTAGCTTCAATAAATCATCATAATAATGATGGAACAAATAAGGATAAATTATTATATAATTTTGATGATAAATTAAATTCTGAGTTTAATAATTTATCTTCAAATACTAATAATTCTAAATTAATAACATTTAATATTGATTCAAAAACTGAACAAATTAAATTAACTTCATCATTTGAAAATATTTCTATTGATTCGTTAATTTCAACTCTTGAATCTCAAACTTCTACTGATTTAATTCAACCTCAATTTAGTATCTACAATTATTATCATAATAAATTTGCCTTTATATATTCTTGTCCTTCTGGTTCAAAAGTTAAAGATAGAATGGTATATGCATCATCTAAATTGGGTTTAATTAATTATTTAAATCAAATATTATCTAAAGATAATTTATCAATTAATAAATCATTAGAAGTAGGAGATTTAAAAGAGTTGGAATTGAGTGAATTGGAAATAGAAAGTGAAATCTCAACTCCAAGTTCAATAAATTCAGGATCATCAAACTTTAGTAATCCAAATTCAAATCGATTAAAATTTACAAAACCAAAGGGACCTCGTAGAAGATGATCATTATCTAATTATCTATTTACTTCTATGTATATGAAAATGAAAATGAAAATAAAAATAAAAATAAAAATATTTTACCCCTATAACTTTGATATTTCATGTTGTACGAATTTATCAATAAGACTCATTAACTTATTAGGATCTGAACTATTGAAATATGATTCTATAATATTAGAATTAATTTCTTCAAGTTCAGTATCTGATCCATAATCACTTATAATTATTCTTCTTGATTCATTAATTATATGACTATAAATTTTTCTCGAGATTGTTTTATTAATTGTAATATAATGATTCTCATTTTTAATTTTTGAATTCTCTTGTAAAGGATTATATAAGGGACGTAAATTATTTCGAATATACTTTTGAATTACAAGCTTTTGATCTAAAGTTAATTCGAATTTTGGTTTAGATATAATGGGTTGTCGTGATAATACTTTATAATCACTTTCATATTGAGTATCACTATCATTAATTTCCATAGGGCTATTAGACATTGGAGATATTGAACTTGGAGATTCTGATATAGGAATTATAGGAGAATTTTGTAGTTGATTATTGGGTGGAGGTGATGAATATACATAAGCAGGTTTAGGGAATCTCGATGATGAAGCTTGCTTTATAGTTGAAGATGTAGTTTTTAATTGACTTAATAAATTAGATATACGACTAGGATGTTGAGGTTGATGTATTATTGAAGAATTATTAGTTAATTCATTATTATTAGTAGTAGTAGTAGTAGTATCCATCTCAACTTTCCTCTTTCTTCTCTTTCTTTTCTTATCAGTTGAATCATTCGATTGATCATCCTTATCAGGAGTGATTTCTTGACCATTATCATCATCATTATTACGAACTTGTTCAAATAAATCCCAAGATTGTTGTTCTTCTTTAGTTAAATTTTGTTTAGCTCGTAATTCTTTTCTTAAAAGTACTCCTCCATTTATTATAGGAGGATTATAATAGTAATTGTCTTGTGAATTCAGTGAAGAATTTGTATTATCATTAATATCATTATTATACTCATCATCAAACATTACTCCTTCAAAATTAGTGTCATTATCTCGTATAATATCATTAAAATCATCATCAATTTCACTCATACTATCATTATAATCATAAATATCATCAATAATAGTACAATTATTATTGCTGGTACTATTAATATTATTATTACTTCGTCTTGGTTTTCGAGTTATCCTTTTAGTAGTAACACTTTTATTACCACTACGCTTTAGAAGTCTAGTAGTTCTTCTATAATAAGGAACAAGAGATTCTTGATCACTATCACAGATAGGACAACACCATTGGAAATAGTCATCTTCTGTCTCAACTACTTGATTGGTTCGACTAAGTATATCACCAATTTGAGTAATTGTACCATCAATATTACTACCATTACTTCTACTACTACTACTACCACCACCAGTTATACTATGAGAATGATTAAGTCTAGATTGGTTCAAACAGGAATAATGAAAATTAGAATTACAACTGGTACAATTAATTAGACCCGATCTAAAATTATAATTGGATGATGAACAAATTATACATACTCCATTCATTATAGGTTCTGGAGTTGATCTCATAGTAGATGAAGATGTTAGAGATCTTATTCTAGGGGCCATAGTTGATGATACTGAAGTTATTCCTGATATGGAAGAATCGGGGAAATTATTAGAATTTATAATGAATTCAGCAGGTATATTATTAATAGCATCATTAATTAATAACTTATCCTTAACATTAAATGATTGAATTAATCTTAATGATGTATGAATCTTATTATAAATATTAATTTTATAAAATCGTTTCCGACATTTAGGACAACTATTGGAATTAGATGACCATTTTAAAATACATTTATCATGATAATTTTGATTCAGAATCTTACAATCACAAGAATCTATAATACCAATTCTATCATGGTGATTAATAGTTTCTAAGCAAATTGCACATTCTTCATCTAATGTATGGGTAATTTTATGATGATGATTTAAAGTTACGGTGGAATCACCACTCGGGTCATGCACATTATTGTCACTAACAGATGACATGTTACAACTGTTAGTGGATATGTTACTTATTAATTTAGTTACAGTATACTATTATCTCTACCACTAAATCGAGACTAACTAACTTCGCAGCCCAGGGGAAAAAATTCCGGCTCGGGGAAGATGAGCATAGTTAACAATAGTTAACAATAGTTAACCGGTACAAGTTAATACTTAGTTAAAAGGTACTAGTTAGAATCTACAAGTATATTATATATAGTATCACAATGTCACGACATCAGTATGATTTAATCCAATGTATGAAACAACCAGGTCCAAAAGTTGGTCAAGTATGTAGTCAATGTGAAGGTAAATGTCCAATGTGTGATTCATTAGTAAAACCTACAAGTAAAGTATATATATGTGGAGAATGTTCTAATCAAAATAATAATCAAGCTAAATGTATACTATGTAATAATAATTTAGGAGGTGAATTTAGTGAAGGGGTTGATGCTTATTATTGTCTAGAATGTGTTAGACTAGAGAAACATCGCGAAGGTTGTCCTAGAATTATAAATATAGGTAGTCTAAGAAGTGATTATATCTCCAATAAGAAGAATGGTAATACTAATACAAATAGATTACTAACTTAAATGACATGTAATAACATAAACAAAATGAAACCTATATACCAATAAATATGTATATACGTATATACATATATATATATATATATAACTATATATATTGATAGAATAAAATAATTTAATAAAGTATCCCTGTACCCATGATTTGAACTGAATTGAATAAACTAATATATGTAGAAGTAAATTATAAGTTATAAATTATAAATTTATAAATTCTCTTCTAATCTTGAACCTTCAACCCCTAATTCAACAACATTTTTAATGCCATCTTTCCATTTATCATGCAAATAGTTATCGATTTGTTTATAATCAACCAGTTGCTTTTTACGAATTTGATTAATATCATCAATTTTAACTCGTTTAGAATTAACATTAATAACATAATCTTGTTGTAAACTTTGTAATTGTTCCAATTGTTGTTGATTTAAATGTGATAAATCTTGATAATTATTTAATAACATTTGAAGATTTCTTTCTTGAAGTTGACCGTATGATAATGAAGTATATAATTGATCAGTAGTTTGAGGATTAGAATATCTTGATGAATCTATTCCATTTTTAATTATATGGAATTCATTTTCTTCTTCAAGATCTTCATCTAAATCTTCATCTTGCATTTCTTGTTCATAACGTTCAATTTCTTGATTAATTAATGGACTTGGACTTAATCTATTAATATTAGTTGAAAGGGGTAATAATTGATCAACTAATGGATGTAATGCTTGAGATTCATGAAGAGGAGAAATTATATCATTATTAACAATACTACCTCCAATAGCAGGTGTTACTTGAGATTCATCCAGATGATTATTTATTTCATTATTATTAGTAGTTGATGGAACAATTGCTATTGTTGGAGTACTAGTAAGATTATCATGATTCGTTATAATATTGGTATCTGATGCAATAGGTACAATGGCTACTGGTGTTGAATCTCGATGTATAACACTAGAACCTGTTATTGTATTATTAACACCATTTGGTAATTGAGTCGCCACAGATGGTTGTTGAGGATGAAAGTTAATATTATTAAGATTTTGATTGGCAAATTGATTAGCTAATTCTATTCTAATAAGTTGCTCAACATGAGCTCTTTCTTCTGGACTTATACTTTCATCAAGATAAGGTAAATGTTCTAGAGGCTCATAATTAATAGTAACCATTAGTGAGTTTTAATTTATTATATTAACAGATGTGACTTAAAGATGTTAAGGGCTATTAACCAATAAATACTCTAATAAAGTGATATAGATAAATTTAACTAGACTTTTTTTTAATTATTGACCTATATATATATAAAAGCCTTAAAAAATCTTGTACTAGCCTTATATCTCTGAAAACTATCACTATAAAGAGTTATTGTATAATTCCATTTTTATTATAATTATCTCCCCTTCTTGTATTCTATTGGTCCAATGCCGGTGACATCCATACCGCAGTACTTGGTGAGACACAGAAAAAAATTCGAGGCGCCGTAACAGGAAAGGGCAAATCTTTAGTTTTTACTAGTGAAAGATCGGATTGATTATCCACTTAATCTTGTACTACAAATGTTGCAGCAATTAGAATCTATTGTGCTTTGTGAAATTCTAATTTATTTATAATTGGTTGATATAACTGTGGATTTTACTAATGCCCCAGGGGCCTGTTATTTGAAAGGCAACTACATAATTATACTATAAAGGACATCTATCCGCAGAATGTTTTCATCAATACTTTTAATGTCATGTCGCATCATGTCTAAGTACAAACTGTTAATTTTAAACTATCTTTGTATATGTTTATAATGTTCAACAAAACTGAACGTTTTCGTTTCACTATGTGAAAAGTAACTCTAAAATTTTTTTTACTTCCATTATTTGCCTAAATTCATCCAGTTTGCAGCCGTATCTTGTATGGTCGAACGGCGTTTTGTACCTTTTAATTGACTCGCCTTTATTTTCCAATTCTTTCGTAACATTTCATTAGATATTCCATAGATTTTCTATACTACATAGATCGTGCATATATAACACTGTTGCACTTCATGTATACACTGTCTACAGATAGTTTATCGTTTTTTATTATGATATATGTGATATTATTGTATACAGGAGATATATAGAGAGACTATAAAGTATTACATTTATTTGTTTAAAACATCAGCATCATATCTTTGCTTGAACCATTGGATAGTGTCTTCCTTGTTAGTTTTGTGGGAGTTACCAATAGTGGCTCTAGTTCTCTTTCTTCTGGCAATTCTGGCACCGGCTCTACCCATGACAACGTAGAAATCCATACCGTAAATACCAATACCTGGATCATACTTGATACCTAAATCAATATGTTCATCAATACCGAAACCAAAGTTACCGGTTTCAGAGAAGTTCTTGGTTCTTAATTGATATTCCTTGACCTTTAAACCTCTTTCTAAGATTTCTTCAGCCTTTGGACCTCTGATAGTAACATGGACAGCAATCTTTTCGTTTCTTCTGATACCGAAAGTTCTGACAGTGTATCTAGCCTTAGATTGAACTGGAGTTTGACCAGATAATTGTTCTAAAACCTTGGAGGCTCTGGTTAATCTATCACCGGATTCACCAACACAAATGTTTAAAACTAACTTTTCAATGCGTAATTCACGCATAACATTTTGAGATTTGTCAGACTATAAAAAGATGTTAGTATAATTGTTATTTTTTACTTATTGTTATCGTTTGGATAACTTGTCATAGAACTTGAGATATCCAGGCATATTCAATCGAAATTTACTTGAATTGAATGGTGATAGGTTTTTCATACTGAATAGTGATTAAATGGGATATATGAAGTGATTGAACTATTGAATACGGATACTTTATGGTTGTTTCGATATTATAATTTAATTAATGAATAATACTGATATTCTTTCGAATCTTTATAGTTGGATAATATAGTCTTACATTATTATACTGATAATGCACTCTCTTTCTCTCTTTATTTTGAGATGATTGGTAATCATATTACATTGGATACTTCTGTATGATTCTTTCATTTCTTATGAATACATATTTGATGGACTACTTCTTCTTCAATGATTCAACAGATCACCAATCCCAAATAGTAATAACAAACTACGGATTCATGGATGACTCTTTCTTATTGATATTCTCTTAATGTTCTATGACAGTATTATGCTGTTCAAACATACCATTTTTACTATGTTTCTGTTCTACTATCAGAAGAGAAGAAACTCAATTCACTATTGAAAAATTTATTATACTGTTTTTCTCAGTTACCGTAATGAGGTTTGACAGTGCGATCGTTAACTGTGAGAGAAAGAAAAAAAATATATATAATGTAATATGTAGTGTGTGCAGGTTGTTTGTGTCACGTGTAACAAGAGGTTGTTTAGGGTTGAAGCCCTCGCTGATTTTGGATAATTAATTAATCCCCAAATTATACTGCAAAACTAATTTATCAATATTTGAATTATACTGTACATTATATATTTATATTATGAATTTATGAGAATTACTTGAATACAAGAATCTAATCTAACCATCAACATTATTGAATGACTTTTCTTGTTCCTTAATATCCCAAAAGATATCACCAACATTATGATTACCATGATAAATCCAACCTTTTTCAGTTACATGGTATAAATTAATAGAACCACCAGAATAAGCATCTCTATGGGTAGCAGCCAATATACTTCTTTTACCTAAATATAATGCTTCTTCATCAGTTAATTCCCATTTATATTCTGAATCTAATACCCCATAAGCAAATGTTTGACCAGAACCAACACAGAATAAATCACCTTTTAATCTTGTACCATCTGAATCAACATAATAAATTGTTGGACCTTCTTTTTTGGTATAACCACAAACCATTGTACCCATTGATAATCCCATACCTTTATATTGATAAACTAAATTACCTAATATTTTAGAAGCAGCAGCTACAGATATACGTTCTTTTTCTCTTAATTCATGTAATCTACATTGAGTACCTAACCAAGTTTCCCAATATTGACAATCAGCTGCTCCACCAGCCATTGTTCCTAATAAAAATGGATTAATTCTAATAACTTTATTAACAGTTTGAGATGCAATCCAATTACCAGCTGTAGCTCTTGAATCAACAGCTACAATAATACCACCTTGATATCTAAATGCTAAAGTGGTAGTACCATGAGCAATTTTAATTTTACAATCAGGATTAGTTTCATCATCAGTATGAGCTCTTAAGAAATCTGTTGGTTGTGAAATTGGTGGAAGAGTTATACTTGGAACTAAATTCAAACTATTTTGTTGAGCAAATTCATGAGTAACTGAATTTATTTCATTACGTATAATATTATTATTATTATTAGTAAATTGTGAAGCAATTGAATTCATAATGTGATTGTATATCTATAACTTTTGTTTAGTGATTAATGATTGAGTATGAGTATGATAATTATAATGATAATGAGTATATATATGAATATGAGAAATTGACTAATAAATATTCAATTGACGTATACTAATGGACTTGATTAACAATTAATACCTGATTACTATAATAGACCAGTGTTGATACTTACTACTGCGAATGTATAGTGTGTTCCATACAAATACCCTTTAAATTTCGATCGCCACCGTACATTTCCAATTTGACCATTTGTGTCGCACAGACAAAACAAAAATTGCCGTCGTAGAAAATTTACTGTGCGACATTTGATAGCGGATAAAGAGTAACGAAACAATAAACTATAGTAATAAGAATAATACATTAATTATACAAGATAAGTTCTAGTCTAGAATTCTGTTTTGATGATCTTTTTGGCATTTTCATTAGTGCTCTTATCATTTTCATCAAGGTCATGTTTAAGTGTAGCAGATGTAGCAGATGTAGTTGTGGTTGTGGTTGTAGTTGTAGTTGTAGTTGTATTTGATGTAGCTTCTCTTAAACCAGGCTTGTTTGATAAAAATGTTGGTGGTCTCGATAATCCACTACCTCCTACTCCTGGCTTAGAAAAACCTCCGGGCTTTGATAATGATGGTGGACTTGAGAAATTTGGTGGACGACCTAAAGAATCGGATTTATAACTTGGAGGTTTAGATAATCCTAAGGGTCTATTAGGCATTGTAGTAGAAATAGTTGGAGGAGATGTTTGCAACTTTTCTGTGATATTAGGAGATGATATAGTAGGTTTAGTACTAGTTATTGGTGCCACTGGATTTGAAATTATTGGAGTAGAATTAGTTGATGAATGTGGAGGTAATTCAGCCTTTGGAGTTGTAGTTGTATTAGATTTAATTATTGAACTCAGTGTAGAAGTTACTTGAGGAATTGGTTGATGGACAGATATTGGTGAAGGATTTTTAATCACTGGAGTTGAAACATTAATTGGTTTAGGAGGTTGTTCTTGTTTCACAGGAGTAGGAGGTACTGAAGGTGTTGATGGACCAGGTGTACCAGGTCTACTTGTTGGTCTAGAAGATATTATACCTTGTTTCTCCTTTATAGATTTAGTTAAGGCGATATCTAAAATCTTACTTACTTGTTGAGGAGCCTTTTCAACTAAGAAACTTAAAGCATTATCACCACAACCAGCTTTAGCACCAATAACATTAACTTGAGCAATTGTTGTTGCTAAAGCCTTAGTAATAATTTCAGTAGTAGTTGCTGTATTATATGATAAGTTTCTTGCCTTATATAATGTAAATAATTCCTTTTGTAAATAAGCCAAAGATTTCTTCATATCTTGATTCATAATTCCAGATTGTGGAGTTTGAGAATTAGTACTGGAAGATGGAGGTGTAGGAGATTGAGAATTTGATGGTGATCTATTAGCTGCTAATTGAGCTTTAATAGTATTATTATTACCTGAATTAATTGATTGAACAACTGGAAGATTTGTTTGAGGTTTAAAATACATTGGAGCCTTTGATGTTCCACTACCATCTCTTCTAATTTCACTAGCTAATTCAGCAATTGTCTTAGGTTTTTGACCATTATTATTATTACTTCCTGGAATTTGTGCTTTATATGAATTAGGAGGTAAATAAGAATTTGGTGCTCCTGGTCTTATACCTGTGGTAAGAGGTAATCCATAAGGTGGACTATAACTTCTTCCTACAAGACTTTGAGGATTTGGTATTGAAGCTGCGGCTGCTGCTGCTGCTTGTTGAGCCTCAAGTCTTTGCTTTTGTTTTAATTCTTCTGCCTTTATAGTTGCTTCTTTAGCCTTGGCTGTAGCAATCTCTTGTTGTTTCTTCTTTGCCTTTTCTCTTTCTCCAATATATAATTCATCCATAGTATAAATCCATTCATCAGCTCGTTTAATTGTCCTTTTAAACGTCTTATTTAATTTTACACTATGGGCTATAGAGAATTGCCAACCATCAGCACAATAATTATAATAAGGATATTGTTCCTTTATAGCATCATAAATTTCATTAAGAGTTAAACCATTTGTATGATTTGGAGCTCTTAATACTAATGTAATTAATGATTGATAAGAAAGTGATGGTTTTGATCGATAAGGTTCAGGAATTTCATCTAAATTATAAACTTTCTTAGGAGGCTTTTTAGTTATATCTTTTCTTCTTTTTGGTTTTGGATATTTTGATGGTTCATCTAAAGTTTTAGGAACAATGAAATTATTTAAATTAGGTTCAAAACCCTTAACAGTTATTGCACGTAATGGAGGTCTTGATCTTATAGTTGTAGGTTCTGAAGTTATTTCTAATACTGGTACTTCTAATTTAGGAGGTTCTGGTTTAGGAGTTGGAGAAGGTAATTGAGGTAATGGAGTTGATAAATTACTACTTTTATTAAATGTTAAACCTTTTAAAGATGATTGATTTCCTGAACCACTTAAATTTGATGATGAAATTATAGTTGTATTTGATCCAGTATCAGTACTTGTAATACCATTAACTGTTCTAGTAAATAATCTTGAAGCTAAAGGTTGAATAGATGCTAATTTACCCATTCTAGGAGTATTTGCTGGTTTCCCCATTAATGGAGTTGTTCGAAGTGATTGTTGATTATTAGTTCCAACTTTATCACCATCATTTTTTATTGACAGAATTAATGATTTCTTCTTTTTATCTAATTTATTATCAATAAATCCTTCATTATGAGCATTAATTAATGGAGCTAATGTAGCAATTTCTTGATCTAAAACTGATAAATCCATTTCATTTTGACTATGATTATGAGAATCATTATCAAGATCTACTCCTTGTTGAAGATTATGTTGTTTAACTAATTTATCAATTTCATCTTCTTCTTCTTCAATGGCTGATTCACTATATCGAGATAATTTAGTTAATTGATTATCAAGTTCAAGATTATCTACTCCTGCTTCATCTAATAAACTTTGTAATTGAGCATCAAATGCATCTGCATCTTCTTCATTAATTGCTCCAATAGATGTTACACCTAATTCCTTTAATATATCATTTATTTCATCATTAGCAGAACTAGCTAATGATTTTCTTCTTGCATTAGATAATCTTCTAATTTTTAATATTGAATTTCTTCTACTAGTTGATGAATCCTTTGATTTCTTTATTAATGATGAACTTGAAGATGATTTATCTTCTACTAAAATTTCCGGAATTTTTGGTGATATTTCTTGTTTAATTTTATCCTTTTTAGTAGAAGTTTTTACCTTTGGAGTCGATGGAATTGAAGAATTCATTAAATTACTTCTTAAATTAATAGCATCAGTTGGATTAAATTGTTTTTGACCATTTAAATTTAAATCTTCTTCATCATTTGGTTCAATAGATGGTAAAACAAATTGAAATGAAATATCACCAATTTGAATTTTAGTTCCATCATGTAATGGCATAGTGATTCCCTTTTCAACAAATTGATCATCAATAAATGCTCCATTTCTTCCTAAAATTGAAATTTCAAATTGTTGAGTTCCAAAATTATAAAATATTTTTGCATGTCTTCTTGAAATTGCCTTTTTTGATGATAAATGAACATCTACAGCATGATGACTACTTTGTAATAAATCATCATTTGATTTTCTACCTAATACAACTTGTAAAGTTTGGACAAAAAATGTAAAATTTTCAAAATCTAATCTTGCATAAGCTGAAATCTTTGAAGCTTCATCATTTTCATCATTATTTGGAATTTGTTGTTTCAGTGATCCTCTATCTAAAGGAGCTTCTGAAGTAATAGGTACTAATGAAGAATTTCGCCTTATTTCTTCTTGACTTGATTTAGGAATCTTTGGTAATGGAGTATGAGGTGGAGGTGAATTACTTACAGTTCTATTATTTATATCTTCATCTTCAATATCTCCAACAACTTTACTTAATGCTGAATTATGTAACGGTAGTCCCAAATCATGTAAATGATTTAAATCTAAATCATTACTGGTTCCGGTACCAGTTTGATTTACATTTATATTTACATTTACATTTACATTATTATTGTCATTGTCATTATCATCCTCATTATCATCCTCATTATTATCCTTATTGTTATTATCATTGTCATTCCCATTTGATAACGAATCCTGTCGTATATTATTAGGTGAAGAATGGGTTGGATGATTTATATCATCAAGGTGAGCATTATTATTATCATTTAGTATACTATCAAAATCATCATTAAGACTTAATTCATGAATATTAGGAGATTGATGATGATGATGATGATGATGTTCATCGCTTTGAACAGTATTAATATTTAATGCTTCTTTGGACTCAGAACCATCCTTGCCAAGGAATTCATCGTCAAGGTTACTCATGGTGGAGGATGGAATCGGAGTCACGAATAGGAGTTATAGTTAATTAGACTAGTTTAAATTTTTATTAGTATTGGTTGATGTTTTGACTATTTTTGAATAATCTCACAAAATCGAGCTGGTAGTGTCGATTGGTGAAATTATGAATATATAATATAGTATATATAATAGGGAATAAGAACCACAGTGACTAATTGGGTATTGTTATATATATTTGTCTAGTAAGACTTTATAAGTTTTTCGTGAGTATAATCAATTGTTAATGATGGAGTTTAAGTAGAACGCTAACAGTTACCAAGATGGGTTTGGTTCTCAATTTTTTTCTCTCTGCGCAGAGGAGTGCACGGTTCTGGCGCTACCACATGATATGCTGCAACCCTTTTTTTATGATAGGCGCTGAATTATCTATACGATACTCTTAGTACTGAACAATTATTGATTTAAGTTTAAGTTTATATTTTCTGTTACTTTCCATTAAATTCGTTACATTACATTGACATTGGCATAATTTATCTCATATTGAATTATAAAGTTGCCGCTGATGAAGGGTTCTTTTTTATCATTATTGGCAATATTTGCAGCAGTAAATTTAGCAACTTGTCAATTACAATCAGAATTAGATTACATGCGAACCCGCAAGAAATTTATTCATCCTATAGCTCCTATGTATGTTAATAATAGTAATGGTAATAGCAATGGGGATAAATCAAATAATCAAGAAGGAGATTCATCATCTAAAACTACTAAAATTTCATTGGATAAAATATATGGTGTTAGTCTTGGAGGTTGGTTAGTGGCTGAACCTTGGATTACTCCAAGCTTATTTGATAATATTTATAAACAATATGGTATTCAACCAGTAGATGAACATACTTTGGCTACTATATTAGGAAAAGAAATGACTCAACAATATATGGAAAATCATTGGAAAACTTTTTATACTGAACAAGATTTTATTGAAATTAAATCTTTGGGTTTAAACCTTGTAAGAATTCCAATAGGTTATTGGGCTTTTGGTTTATTACCTGGTGATCCTTATGTTCAAGGTCAAGAAAAATATCTAATTAATGCTCTTAATTGGTGTGAGAAATATGGTTTACAAGTTCTTCTAGATATTCATGGTATGCCCGGTTCTCAAAATGGTTTTGATAATTCAGGGTTAAGGACTAATAATCCCGCTTGGTTAAAAGTTCCAGAAAATTTACAATTAAGTTATCAAATACTTGATTATATATTTAAAACTTATGGTGGTCCACAATATAGCTCAGTTATAAATAGTATTGAAGTAGTTAATGAACCTTTTGCTCCTATAATTGATCCAGCAAAAGTAGCTGATTTTTATACTCAAACTTATAATAAAGCTGCTTCAAGTAATGTTATTCCTGATATCATATATCATGATGGATTTATGGGTTTTGGTTATTGGAATTGGTTTATGTCTAATTCTCCTAAAGGTTCAGTTATTATTGATCATCATTTATATGAAATCTTTTCACCTAATCAAATATCAATGAATATTGATGAACATTTATCTAATGTTATGACTCAAGGAAATCAAATGGCTCAAGAATTACATCCACGAATTGTTGGAGAATTTTCTGGCGCACTTACTGATTGTACAAGATATATTAATGGAGTAGGTAATGGTGCTAGATATAATGGAACATTTCAAACTAATTTTGTTACTGGTAGTTGTGCTAATCATACTGATTTTAATAAATGGTCACCTGAATTAATTGAAAATACAAAGAAATTCCTTGTAGCACAATTTTATACTTATGAAACTCATAGTAATGGATGGATATTTTGGTGCTTTAAAACTGAAGATGCTATTGAATGGGATTTTAAGAGATTAGCTTCTCTTAATATGTTACCTCAGCCATTATTTCGGCCTCGGCCGCAAAATCAACAATATGACTTAAATATCAATAATAGTGATATTTCAACCAATTATCAGATTAATTTTGCTAAGAAAACTGTTGAAGAAGATGTATTAACACTCTTTAATGATTCTATGTTCTTTCAAGGGATTTATGTAATATTTATATCAGCACTTTTATTTCTAATAAATTTACTTTAATATATTGGCAATTATAGTTGAGTTGTTCCCAATACGGTAATACATTTGCACGTTAAGTCGCAGAAAATTTTACAGATTCGACTCCTCATCTCTATACATTTTTTTATTGCAAAGAAATAAGACCTAATCACATATATATGAAGATTAAATAGGTTTAATAGATATTGTAATAAACCATCAAAATGGTATGTATCAGCTGTGTATTAGTGATATTATGAAGATTTATGATTACTAACAGAATTTGATTATGTTTAGGCCGGTATTAAGAAGAAGACATCGTTAAGAGATAAGTCAAGTAAAAGAACATTATCAAGTAAAATATCAGCATTTAAACAAGAAGTAGGTAATGAAGGAGGAGAAGAATATCATGAAAATCCTATGTTAAAATTGCTGAAGATTTCTAAGAAGGAGAAACAACAAACCAAATCAAGTAATTTTGTTGAAAGATTACTGAATAAAGTTACATTTAATACATCTAATAGTATAAGTAAATCAGCATTAAGAAGAAGAAAGAGAAAGAGTAAAGAAGAATTAAAACCCAAGATGAATGAATTATTAAGTAGTTTACCAGAGACTACATTAATCACATCATTAAAATTGAAGAGTAAAAGTAAACATGATCAAAATGAAAGTAATATAGGATTTATTTCTAAACAAACTTCTAATGCTCCTAATGCTAATAAGAGAAGCGGGCATAAAAAAATCTTAATTGAAGAAAATAAGAACTTTAATAATGTATTGAAGAACCCTGAATTTAAAGCTTCACCATTTAGTGCATTAAAGAATGCTATTCAACAAAATTTACAGCATTAAGTATTAGTTAATAGATATATAGAGATAATGAATAATAATGATTATTAAATGAATATTAACTATTGTAGATATAACTAATAGCTAATAGCTAATAACTAATAACTAATAACTAATAATTAATTACTAACTAATAATTAGTTACTCTCACTAAATTTGTATGAGAGAGAAAAAGTAAATTAAGGACGCCTTTGTAAAAGTGTGGAAAATTGCAAACATTTAGCGAGGGGGTCTTGGATTAACATTCACGATAGCCTATCTTAACATAGAGAATATTCTATACATAATTGGTTGAATATACTATACTACCACCAATCCATTATTGTCTATTTGATTAATTTACTATTACTAAACTGTTGCTAAGGCATATCATTCTCCACCTCGTAATACAATACGAAAAGTCACTAGACGACAATAAGCCCATACAATTGAGACGCGAGAAATTGAATTTCTAATTTGCCATATTATTTTTCTTTTGTTTTGGTCCACCACAAAAGTAAACAAAAAATGTAAACAAAAAAATCCGGATTTAAACTAGAAAATCTTAGCGCAGGCAGGAAGGCAGCCAGGCAGCCAGGGTCAGTACGGGTACGGTGTGGCCTGGATGAATTTAACTAGAGAATTAATTATTTTACTATAATTCTTACTATTATTATTATTATTATTATTATTACTATTACTATTACTATTAGTTTATAGAACGAACTTATATAGGACAAGTGGTCTTTGTCTAACATACTTAGCATTATACCAATGGTACAGCCGGAGGCCAACATCATTGATGTTGGGTTACCAGATGATCATGAACATGATCATGATCAAGATTTAAATACTTATTTACCAGATATAATGCCCGAAATGGTATCGGCCATTCATTATAATAGTAATCCAACATCTCCATTAAAGCAAGGATATCAAGAAGATAATGATAATGATAATGATAAAGAACAATTAATTATATCAATAATTAATCCTGATTTTATTTATAATAAACATAATGAATCAATATTTGATGATGAAAGATTATTTCCAAGTTTACAAAATACATGTTTAGTTAAATTCGATGATAATAATTCAGAATTAATTAATAATGCCACATTAAAGGCATTAATTGTACAATTAACATCACCAGAAGTTATAGATTATAATTTAATTTGTGATTTCTTCTTAACCTATAGAATCTTTGTTAATAGTGAAAAAATCATGAATCTTTTACTTACAAGATTAATTTGGTCATTACAATATATTAATTCTGATCAAGAATCAAATATTAAAGTTGGAAAACTTGTATTATTAAGAACTTTTGTGGTAATTAGACATTGGATTATAAATTATTTTATTGATGATTTTGATTCCAATTCTAATTTATGTGATTTATTTTCTTCAACTATTAATAGTATTACTAATGAATCTAATTTAATAAGGAAATCTAAAACAACCAATAATAATAATAATAATAATAATAATAATAATAATAATAATAATAATAATAATAATGAATTAGAAGATGATCCAAATTTTATGATGTTTGAAAAGAAAATCTTTACTGATTTAAAGATTCATTGGTTAAATTTATTAATTGAATTTTGGCAATTAAATATTGATATAGAAAATTTAATTGGTAATAAATTAGTTTTAAATTATCCTTTACCATTAACTAATGAAGCCGGGAATTTTAAAAAATTATCTAAATCAGCTACTGATATGTCAATTCATACTAATGCTTCTTATAGAAGATCAGCTATGCTTTCATTATATGATCATCAAAAGACTCATCATAAAATGCTTATATTTGATAATGAAAATTCGGTAAGTAATAATGATGAAAATCCTCAATATTCAATTAATAATTTATTATTACAACATCATTCATCAAGAGTATCAATAAATAATAAACTTCAAGAATTTCTTAATAATGGAACTAGTAATCCTCATTCAATTCGATCTGCTATAACATCTCCAATTACTAATAATTTTGCACCCACTGCAACCAAGATGAAATATTCTACAAGTCAACAAAAGACTTGTAATTCTACTAATACTACTAATCTGAATCAAAGTCAATCACAATCACATCCACAACCACAATCACAACCACAAAACAATAAAGATATACATACACCTCTTAAACGACATCATAATCATTTGAATCTTAAAGATTCTTCTCTATCATTAAAGAAAACTACCATAACTGAAATTGAAAATAAAGAGAATTTAAATATTCCATCAACTCCATCTAAACAAAAATTAATTTCCAATAATTCCCCATTAGCAAATACAGGATTTTCAACTAGTGGGAATATAAAACTTCCAACATCTAAAGTTGGAAATATATTACCTCCAACCCCTGTAAAACGAATGGAATGTATAATTAAACTTGATCATTCAATATCTTCTAATAATTTAAATGTTTCACCAACAAAAAAGCCTAATTTCTTTGCTAGACCTCAAACAACTTATGTTGAAGAACATGAAGAATTTGGTAGGAAAAGGTCAATTAAGAAATTTGTTGATGGATGGAAGAAATCCATAACTAATTCCAAATCTCAATCAGATTCTTTACTGATACCTACTAATCAAGATAATAATGATGATAAGAATGAAGAATTAAATCAAAATCAATTGAATGATAATGTAATTAATAATGTAATTAATAATGTAGATAATGGTGATAATGGAAATGGAAATGGAAATGGAAATGGAAATGGAAATGGAAATAAAGAAATTCAATCAGGTATTGGTCCAAGAGTTGATATCTTAAGTGCTCGAATTATTGATGAATTAGAATTCTTAATTCGATATTATCTTCATATTGATTCCGGTACTGATACTATAGTTGAACATAGTTCTGATTCTAATCTTTATAATCATAGTAATAATAATTCTATTCATGATAAATTTGTTGATGTTGATTTAGATGATTTAGATTTACATGATCAAGATTCTCCTGCTAAAAGACCTAAAATTATTAGTCATGGACAAGGTGAAAGTCATGAACAAGTTGAAGAAATTCTTGATGATAATAGTGATATGGATATTAATGATTTATCAGAATTAAATATTATTAAGATTGATAATCTTATTAATGTTAATGAACCAGAAGTATCTAAATTGTCTAGTAAAAGAATTTCAACAGATAATTTACTTGTAGGTATATCACAAGAATCATCATTTCAAAGACCTGTAAGTCTTAATTGGAATGATGAAGGTAATCTTGATCTTGATAATTCTGAAGATAATGAAATTTTTCAAGATAGTGTTTCTCATCGTAGTACATTTGGAGGTGAAGTTCAATTAAAGAATTCTGAAATGGAAATTGATGATGATTTTGTTTTCCAACAAGATAATGAAGTAAATAAAGCAAAAACTAATAGTACTTATGGTTCATCTATTTCAACTCCTAGTAATATGACACAATATGGAGAAGAAATTGCTGATTTAGGAATTGCTATGAGTCCTCAACTGATGCAACAAAAGATAAGAAGAATAAGTTTTAGTGAAAGTATTAAATCTAGAAGTAGAAAAAGAACTTCAACATCAACTGGTTCAATGTTTAAACGAGATTCAGTTAAATCTTATCTTAGTTATGATTCTGCTTTCTCAATGTCTAATGGATCTCATAATAATTCATTTAAGAATGATGATAATTTTGATTTTGGGTTACGTAAGAAGAATGGGTTCAATAATTTACGAACTCTTGTTAAAGATGAGGATGAGGAGGAAGATGAAGTAGAACATGAAGCTGATAATGAGGATGAAGCTGAAAATAAAAATGGTATTGTTACAAACAATATAATTCCATCGAGATCTTCTTCGGTAAATAAATCCCTTGATTTACCTGTCAGAGTTAAATCAACATCAAGAACTTCATCACTTCATAGAAGTGTTAGATTTAGTACCTTATGTGCATTAACAGAATTACCATTTAGTGAATTTCCTAGAACTTCTATGAGTGCCAGTGAAATGTTAATTTCAGCAATTCAAAGAACTTCAAAACTGTCTATTGATGGTGGTAATGATTCATCAATCTTTTCTGTAGCTCTTAAAAGTAAAAAGAATTCCATTAAGACCAATAATGATAGTAATAATTCATCAGCTAATTCTGTGGCAATTCCAGGTATAAGTAATTATGTATTAAAAGAATTAGCTGCTATACCAGATGAATCATTTCAATCAACTAATCCAGTTGATTTTGCTTTATTTAAATTAGAAGGTAAACAAAGTTCTGATAAAGTAATAAATTCTAAAACAAATGTAAATGAAGAAGAAACTGAAAATCAAGCTAATAATACTCAAGAAATTCTTCGGGAAATTCAAAATGCCAATACTTTAGATGCTATAGATTATACTCAAATTGATGTTACAATGGAAGTACCTGTAACTCCAATCAAATTACCTAATAATAATCGTTTACCTATAGAAGAAGGTGCATCTACATCAACTCCTAATCATCAAGAAAATGTTATTATTATTAATAATTCTAATTCTAATTCTAATTCTAATTCTAATGGTAATAGTAGATCTACAAGTCCTGGTATAAAGTCTCCTGATAAAATTTTAGAAAATTATGTTATGTCATCAGATAATTTAACTATTGAAAGAGTTATTGAAAATAATTTACATATCTCATTTGTATTAAGTTATGATTCAAAATCATTAGCTGAACATTTTACAGTTATTGAAAAGGATATGTTACAAGAAATTGATTGGAAAGAATTAATTGAACTTAAATGGAATAAAGATTTACGACCTGTTAATAGTTGGTTAGAAATTATTGTTAATGATAATTTCTATAGTAAGAATAAAGGAGTTAATTTAGTTATAGCTAGATTTAATTTAATGGTTAATTGGATTATTTCAGAAATTCTTTTAACAAAAGATAGACAAGAAAGAATTCATATAATTTCTAGATTTATTCATATTGCTCAAAATTGTTATTCACTTCAAAATTATTCAACTTTAATGCAAATTATATTGGCATTAACTTCAGAAAAGGTTCAAAAATTAAAGGAAACTTGGAAAAATTTACCTCCTGGTGATATATTACTTCTTAAAAATTTAGAAGAATTATCTTCACCTTTAAAAAATTTCATTAATATTAGAATATCTATTAATCAAATGAAACCATCTAAAGGTTGTGTACCATTTGTGGGATTATATTTATCTGATTTAATCTTTAATGCAGAAAGACCAACATTTATTAAGAAAAAACTTAATCCAAAGGATGAAAATAATACATCTAATAATGATATAAGTAGTACCACATTAAATTCTGAAAATGAAGATGATTTAATTAATTTTTCAAAATTCCGTACTGCAGTACATATAGTTAAATCTTTATCACAATGTATAGAATGGTCATCTAATTATGAAATTCTGATCAATTCTGAATTATTGTCAAAGTGCTTATATGTTAAATCATTAGATGAAGATGAAATGAATTATTGTCTAGACGTTCTTGTTGAAAAATGAAAAAATGACCTTAATGGTTGCAAAATTTTTTTTTTTTGGATAAATAATAATTATAATATGTAATATAAACAATTTTGTAAAAATTAAAGCTGTATGTAATGGGAAACCCCCAAGTTTATTTTCTCTTAAAATTTTCAATTGTGGAGAAAGTCCCTTTATCTCGATAAAATTGTTATCTAATATATGTATATATTATGATGACAATAGTTTCACTCAAATGTTAACATTCGGAAATAGTCTCCTCGAATTATGGGGAACACATCGGTCCGAAACCATTTCCGCTGAATGCCACCCTTATTGTTAGATATATTCTGTGGCTATAATTCTCCTCCAACTCATTCAAATTATGTGTGAGACAGTAAAGTGATGGGTAGATAAAAAGATTCGATTCGGATTAAAAGTCGGGGAACAATAGGACGGAAAAAGATTTGAGTTCACCGCAAAAATAAAAATACCCCATAAAAATATATCATAGTGTAATTCGGAACTTTCTTCGGCATACTTAGATATGCTTGAGATTAAAATTAATAGAATGGGTATAAATATATCGAGTAATCTCAATAACCTCCATGTTATGTATTATAAAGTATTCTTAATTAAAATTAAAAGATATTGAATAAAATGTCTTATGCATCTTTAAAAAATCAAATAGCAGTAGTTACTGGTGGACTTTCAGGTATTGGATTAGAAGCCACTATTAAATTACTTAAAAATGGAGCTAAAGTACTCGTTGGTGATATTACTGCTGAAGAAAAAGTTGAATCGGTATTAGATACTATTAAGAAAAGATCTGGTAGTAATAATGTTAGGTTTGTTAGAACTGATGTATCAGATTATGCTGCTAACAAGAATTTAGTTGATCAAGCAGTAAAACAATTTGGTGATTTGAATTTAGTATTTGCAAACGCAGGAATTGGTCAAGTTGCTCCCGCTCATGAAATCCCTTATGAACAATTAGAGAGAATTGTTAATGTTAATTTAAATGGTGTTTTCTCATTAAACAAAGAGGCTATAACTTATTGGATTAACAATGGTAAGACAGGAAATATTGTTAATACTGGTTCCTTTTTATCATTTGTGGGTGATTATGGTTTATCACATTACTGTGCTTCAAAAGCAGGTGTTAAATTATTAACTCAAACTTTGGCCATTGAATATGCTGCTAAAGGTATTAGAGTTAATTCCGTTAATCCTGGATATACTGACACACCCATTTTAAAAGATGTACCAAAGGAAACTAGAGAACTTTTAATCTCTAGACATCCTATTGGAAGATTGGGTACTCCACAAGAAATTGCAAACGCAGTTATATTCTTATTATCCGATCAAGCTACTTTTATCAATGGTACTTCTCTTTTGGTAGATGGAGGTTATACAGCTCAATGATTATTCAGAAAAGTTTCAGTAGCAGTAGCAGCTGATACTTATTTATAAATATATAGAAAAGTTTGATTTTCTAATTTACTTAAAATGATGTGTTTATGTTCTTATCTTCTGTTATTAATTAAAGCGAATATTTTCGGTTGCAAAAGCTTCTGTAAGTAGTTTATTCCGCACTTATAATTAAACTTTCGCTAAAATCGCTTTATATTTCCTAATCCATATAATTTAGTATAATTTATAAGTTAATCTAATAAGTTTTACTTTGATTGAGTGGGGTATTTCTTCAAGTAACTCTTCATTTTCAAATTTACCTTTATTCTAGTAATATCTTTAACTTCAGAACCAATACTTCAGAACCAATACTTCAGAACCAATATGTAAAGATAGCTTGCATTTCTATAATTAAGAGAAATCCAGTGTGAAAGTTCTGAATTCTTCAGGATTAATCTAGAAATATGAAAATAACAAAGCCTTATCAATACTCCAGTGATCATTTCATAGATTAAATTTAAAATCCAACTTACATTTGATGTATGGGAAAAGTTCTAGACTAGATTGATAATAATGAAGTAGGAAATATTCCCATACTGTTTCAATGTCAAATTTAATTTGCCCTTGTTGCTAAGCTTCTCAAGCTTTGTCTATAGAATATGCAAGAAAATTTATGTATTGAACCCCATAACCCCATTTGAACTGAACGATCATTAGTTCAACAAAAATATTCACAATAAAGAGAATTACTAATTATTAGACCCCTCTCGGAAGGGATGCAGAACCGGAAGAAATTGCTAAATGTCCTAATATATAAACAGATGAGACATCCTTTATCACTGGTTCACTTTACTTGTGGATGATGGTAGATATACTGCTCAATGAGAGAAAGCTTGAAGGTGGTCTCCGAGTTTATATAACCTGCAAAAGACAATAGCTAACCATGCAAGTTTCCAAATATATAACAGAAGTTTTAAAATTACTAACCGAAGATTTAAATGTGGTGGAAGTTTCTGTCATTGTAAAAGAAAGAAGTATGCTTTTCTTTAAGCAATAGGTGGATATCAGGTTTCGGGTCGGTAGTGTAATGGAGTTCGTTAATAGTTCTTTCAAAACTTCCGGACAATTGTGTAGCAGGAAGTTCCAATATTATTATACAAAGTAATAATATAATATCTTCTGATTATTTCTGATTATTTTAATACAGAAATATAAATACAAGTCCGAAGAGAACAAATTTTAGAAAATGTGGAGGATACTTTACGTACCCTATAATTTGCAGAAATCAGAAAAATGTCCTACAGTTCTTTAGTAAACAAAGTAGCCGTTGTAACAGGGGGGCTTTCAGGGATCGGTTTAGCCACCTCTATTAAATTGCTTCAGAACGGAGTAAAAGTTATTATAGGAGATATAACTGCTGAAGAACAAGCTAAAGAGATTTTAAGCCAAATTAAGGAGAAGTCAGGAAGTCAGAATGTTAAATTCTACAGAACAGATGTTTCCAATTATGAAGATAATAAGAAATTAATCGATTATGCTGTTGAACAGTATAAGGATCTAAACTTGGTCTTTGCTAATGCAGGAATTCTCCGCATGCACCCAGGAGCAGAAATTCCTTATGAAGAGTGGGAAAAGGTTTTGAGAGTTAATTTAAATGGAGTTTTCTCATTGGATAAAGAAGCTATCAACTATTGGCTTAAGAACAATAAAAAGGGTAACATAGTTAATACGGGCTCAGTTGCTTCTTACGTTACGGGAGGAGATGGTTTGGCACATTATTCTGCATCAAAAGGAGGGGTAAAGCTATTGACCCAGACTTTAGCAGTTGAATATGCATCTAAAGGTATCAGGATCAATTCGGTTAATCCAGGAGCTATTGAAACTGCAATAATGGCTGGAGTTCCTGAGAATTTCAAAGCTGATCTGATTGCCAAACATCCCATTGGAAGACTTGGTAAACCTGAAGAAATTGCTAATGTTGTTGCTTTCTTGTTGTCCGATGAAGCTTCATTCGTCGTTGGTGCTTCTTATATAGTCGATGGTGGCTATACTGCTCAATAAAGAAAAATTATAAAAATTATGCTTTGATTTCAAACATATTGGAAAAGCGTTTCATATTGTTTAGTATTCGGTCCGGTAATAAACATTTACCCCCTACGTAATATATTCCGTAATTTTTTTTTTTTCGATATTGAATTCTGTATGCACCCTAAAGAGGCTGCAATATGGGTGTAAAAAATAATATTCTCATTAATTGGCTCACTCCCCCATATTTTCAAATTTCGAGCTCCTTAATTGCGTGATGTAATTAGGGTTCGGCCAAGATTAATCAACAGTAAATCATGGCACTTATTGAAATTCTTCCGTGGTAGTTCTCCTAACCAGAAGAATTATTATTTGTAGTGGGGTCACCAAATGGCGAAAAAGTGTTCATGAAGCCGATCCAGTACTACCGATTTTATGGGGTAATAAGAAACACTATATATACACTTAAAAGTGAAAGTTTTATAAATTTTAAATTACGTAAATTATATTGATTTTATAACTCAATTGAGCATCAATTGTTAAGCAAATATGTCGTACAATTCTTTAATAAATCAAGTTGCAGTAGTTACTGGTGGTCTCTCGGGAATTGGATTAGCTACTACAGTTAAATTACTTCAAAATGGAGTAAAAGTCATTGTTGGAGATATTACTCCTGAAGAGAAGGTTGGTTCTATCTTGAACAGTCTTAAACAAAAATCAGGAAACGAAAATGTTAAATTCTTAAGGACTGATGTGACAAATTTTGAGGATAACAAGAATTTAGTTGATTATGCTGTTGAACAATTCAAAGATTTGAATTTAGTATTGGCTAACGCTGGGATTGGAATTGCATCCCCTGCTCATTTAATTACTTACAAAGATTGGCAAAAGGTTATTGATGTTAATTTAAATGGTGTTTTCTCCTTAGATAAGGAGGCTATCACTTATTGGATCAACAACAATAAACAGGGTAATATTGTTAATACTGGTTCCATATTAGGATTAGTTGGTTTTGGAGGTGTTGCAAGTTATGCAGCTGCTAAAGGAGGTGTGAAATTGTTGACGCAAACATTAGCTATTGAATATGCATCTAAGGGAATTAGAGTTAATTCGATAAATCCTGGGTATATTAAAACCCCCATATTAGATGCACTTCCACAATCTGTTTATGAAGAATTAATATCGAAGCATCCAATTGGTAGAATTGGTCAACCTGAAGAAATTGCGAATGTGATTGCATTTTTATTTTCAGATCAAGCCACTTTTATTAATGGAGCTTCCATCGTAGCAGATGGTGCCTACACCGCACAATAAACGCTCAATTTAGAAGTTTATAGTATTTTTTAAAATAAATGAATATATTGTGAACATTAAAAAAGGTACCTGTAATAATAATAATAATAATAATAATAAATTAAATACATGAAAAATTAAATTTAGATTTTAGTTTTGCAACAAGATTCGACAGCTTTATCACCAGTGTAAAGAGAACTCTTGTTGAAAGCTTGGTTAGATTGTGGCAAATCTAAAGCTGGGTTTTTGTCGAAGAAATTGAATGGAACCAAGTGGATGTTATGAGTTTCAACAGGCATGACTGGGAAATCTTCAACTCTTGGAATATGGGTGAAACCTAAAGTAGCCCAAACAACAAGATCTTCATTTCTGACTGGATCAACACCATTGGCCCATTCACCTAAACCAGTATCCTTTTGAGATTGATTAGTAAATTCACCAGCAGCGAAAAGTTGATGATCATTATATTTAGTAACCCAAACTTGTTGAGTTGAGAATTTAGCTCTTCTATTATTGAAAGAGTCGGCATCGGCCAATGACATTTGTCTAGCTGGCATAGCAATCTTATAACCAACTGGGTTCTTAGAAACTGGGTTAATGACATTTTCATTGATGATCTTATAAGTTCTATTGGTGAATGGAGATTGATCGACATAACCAGCCTTTTCAACATATTTACGATCAGTAACAAAACCAATACCATATTTGTTGAAATCATCTCTTGGTAATTTAACAGCATCATCATAAACAACAGTATTCTTATGACCATCAATAGCTGGATCAATTCTGAAAGATAAGATATGTTGATGGTAAGCGGCCATAACGTTTGGTCCAACAATAGTACCCCATGGAACTTTGACATTTTCATCAATTGGCATGGTAGATAAAATACCGGTAGCTCTGACTTCAATATCAATTGAACCATCATTAACAAATTTCAAGTTAACAATATATTCATAATTGGCAACAGTTGCAATGGTTTGAACAACAAATTCTCTCTTTCTTGCAACAACAGCATTATTGGTTCTGTAATTAACATGCTTATATAAGATACCGTTATCTTGTTCATGCATACAAATAGTATTTGGAATGACAAAAGGTTCACCATTGGCATGAATACCATGACCATCTAAGTATTTAATAACACCTAAACAATCACAACCTAAGTTTAAGTGATTACCATTAGTACCGAAACCACAATCACCTAAATCAAAGGCTTGTTTTCTGTGGTATGGAGCTCTTGGATCACCGTATGGAACAGTCATTTCAGATAAAGAAATTCTGTAAAATACTTGTCTACCCTTAAAGTAAGCATCGTAAATGGCAAAACCTTCTCTAGAAGAAGTAGCAACTCTGAATTCCCAACCTTGCCATTTAACTTTTGAACCTTCAACTGAGAAAGATGGACCTTCTGGTTGTGAGATAAGTAATGGTTTAACATCTCTCATACTGGTTTCACCGTTTAAATCTGGATGATATTCAACGGCTGGGACTTCTTGCCATGGTAAAGTTGGGGTAACAGTAGCATCAAAACCACCAGCTAAGTAATCGATTCTAACGAATTTCTTTGAGAAACATTCGAAAACTGGGGAGAATTTTAATGGTAAAGAATAATGGTTAGATTCAGAATGACCATTACCAGCTAAAACATACATGAAAAATTGAACTAAAGGTCTCTTTTCATTTGGATCATCAGTAGCATAAATCCATGGGTCATTTCTGACAGAGTATCCAGGTGGTAATTTTAATTTTTCAATTTCAGCCTTAACTAATGGATGGTTATTACAGTGTTCTTCCCATTCCATAACATCATCTGGTAATAATGGACCTACAACACCCTTTGGTTGTTTAACTTTGGTAATAATATGACCAACAGTAACATTTACTAAAGCCTTATTAAAGTCAAAAGTATCAGTATAATAATAAGCATATAAGACTCTTGGAATTTGAGGTTTAACACCACCATATCTTTCAGCTTCTAAATATTTAATCATATCTTTCTTTGGTGGATCAACTTTATCAATTTGGACAAAGTGAACATTAGCGGAAGCAGGATAAGAATCCTTAACTAACTTTGATGCTAATCTAACTTCATAATCCCTTACGGAATCGAATGGATGAATTGGAGGAGCCATCTTATTACTTTATAATTATACAAAATCTATATGATAATAAGATTATAAAAAGAGTGAATTCTTAAAATTTAAAAAAGTAAAGATGCGAGGCAGATCTACAACTATATATACCGAAGTATTACAATATCGAGACTATTACCAATTTACATAACTAATTATAGAGTTCCTATCTCAATCAATCAGTAGCCACCAAAATTATTCAATTATTGTACACAAAAAGGTTAAAGAAACCGCTATCTACGAGAAGAGTAATGGAGCGGAATAAGGAGGGGTGCGGTGCGAATGGTGAATGGAGGTTTAGTTTCTGTTCGAATTTCCTATTTAGGAAAGCGCTAAAATCTTCCAAATTAGGCAGGTTAATTCGGTGAACCATGTTTTCTTAGTAGTTGAACTGAATCAACTGGTCCCTATATCGCTTCAATTACTAGATCTAGTAGACGAACGCTAAATTCTCACAATTAATCTTGTCATACAGATATTTGTTATGTGAATAATCATTGTTAGGCCAAAAATAGTTATAATTACCAGCATACGTTATGCAATTTTTTGCTTACTACATTTGATAATCAAGTATCTACAGTAAATAATAATAATAATAATAATAAAGATAAAAATAATTAATGAGAGAGTTGAGATGATCATCCTTCAATTATTCACTTTATTGCACCGCAGTACTTCAAATGAATTTCACATTCATAACTACACATAAAAAGCCGTTACTAGGCATTATTTCTTGCAGTTAACACAAACCTTATAGGGCATTCAACGTCCCGCTTATATGGTTGGTTCGATTTCTATGAAAAATCTGGAGGAGAATATGATGCGCACAGTTCAAATATAGATCTTTCCTAATTCAGTAAATCTACATGCGTGTTTGGCTTAATGGTCTGAGTTTCCAATTAGTAGGAAATACGGCAGTATGTGAGAAGACTGGCTGTGTCGGCTTTTATTCTATTTTGTGCAATATTAGGTTAGAGAATCGTACGTTGAGATGAGAATAAAGAAAGTCTATTGGTGTAAGGATGCCTTCATATAGAAGGGAAGATGGAGAAAACACAAACCCGCCTAAATCAAATAGTAATAAGATATTTAGTGTAAAATAATGGACATAGATTTAAAGGAGTAGAGGATTCTAACCCCAACTCTCTAGATCAACGTAAATAAACAATAAATGTCATCTTTTATCAGATTGTATTCTGTAACCATCATTTCCCCTTACTTTCTTGTCTCTAAATCCTCTAAATCAACAATATGTGGGGATACGATCGATTAGATTTTGTTGGGTTGAGTTTCGCTCGAGGGTAGACCTCGAAACTTGTTTCGGATTATGGAGTTGGTCACGTGTTTTGCAACCTCGGTTGGATGTTGGATTTTCTGGGGTTATATATATATATAAAACTAAATAATCTTCTAACCATCGATTTAACTATTAAGGAGAAGGCAGTCAAAGCATGAGTTTATTCAAGAAAAATGGTAGAAATCCCAAGCTATTTGCTACTGCGTTGGTAGCTACCGGACTAATTACAATTTCATACAAGATCTACTCGACATATTTTGGTAATAGCAAACATAATGACGAAGTTAAAGACGAAATAACAGACAGTATAACAGATAATAACATAACTAATATAAGTGATAGGGACATACGGAATGAAAACTCTTTTAAGATACGAAAACAATATCTGAATCAATCTATTGCTCTTACCCTTAGTTCATCAATCCTATCATCCAAACTTCCATTAGATGACATTCTTGTCAAAGGTGGTGAAAATATCATATTTATCCTTCCGCCTAACTTATCGGAGGATGATTTGGATTATAATTTGAAGTCAACTCCAGCAACAAACTTCAAGTTATTGAAGTGCAGTAATATTCAAGGTTATTTATCGATGTTGAAGAATTTAAAGCCTGATCTTTTGTTTGTATGTAGTGATGATTTAGGTGTAAGTTTTGGTAATGTCTCAAAGGATTTGAATAACTTCATAAAGACTATAATTAATTTAGATCAAAATAGTGATGATATTTATTTGAAAATACGGCCAATGTTTAATTAGGGTTAGTTAATTAATTACTTAATATAAATTATTTATTCGTTAAATATTGTAAAGATTGAATAAAAATTTCAGACCTCAACAAGCCAAACGACAATTACAACTTCAACTTCAACTACAACTACAACTTACAATTAATTTTTTTAGACCATTACTATTTTAATAAATATAAAAAGGGAGGAGGAGGAATAAAAAAAGTACTTGACAGATATAAAAATATATAAAAAAAAAGGGAGGGGGATCATCATTAACTAATCATATAACATTAAAAAAGGGGGAACTTATAAGCAGATAACAAAGTTAACTTCGAGGAGGTTAAGTTAAGCAAAGTTAGACAACTTATTTTCTTCTGTCTTGCAAATCTGGCAAGTGAATAGCCTTGACAGTGATGTAAGAATTTTGTTCGTTAGCAATACCTGCATAAGCATTATACCAAGCAAAGAAAGCAGTGATTAAACCGAAAACACCAGCAGCTTTTTGAACAGCTACTTTACCAGTAAAGTTTGCAATTGCTAATAACAAGAAAGTAATGGAAAGGAAGAAGAAAATACCGAAGAAAGCAACTGTAGATTTCAAAGTCATCAACATGAGGAAGAAAGTGAAGATGAACCAAGCAACACAGTAAAGACCAACGGCATAAGGTAAGTCCTTTCCAGTAGATTCAGCATAGGCATCAAGAATACCGAAGGATGGAGTATAAATGGCAGCCCAAGAACCCCAGAAACCACCATAAGAAGATAAAGCGACACCACCAAAAGTGTTACCAACAGCGATTTCAAACATACCAGCGATTAATTGAGCAAAGCCACCATAGAAATAAGCTAAACCAACAACAACATTTGGAATAGTAACACCTCTTGCTTCACAGTTAATTAAACTTAATACAAAAGTAGTTAAAGCAAAAGCAGATAAACCAAGAGGACCTGGATTACCCATGTTATGCTTTGGTGGTGGAGATAAACCTGGGTTAAAAGAACCACCAAAGGCTTCGACTAATTCAGATCTCAAGTATTTTTCATTACCAAAGGTGACATAATCTCCTTCAGTAACAACTTTAGTTACTGGATGATCAGGATGGTTTGGGTCAAGTCCCGATGATGTACCTTCATCTTTGTTTTCAACCAAAAGAGTGTGGTCTTGAGGAACTTGGTTTTCTAAGTCTGAGGACATTTTGTTAATTAGAAATTATAATTTGTATGTAAAATAAGTGAATACGAGAATTAAAGACCTCCTTTTTAATAGTATATAAAATTGAATTAATGAATGATAGAGAAAGGAAAAAGAATATAAAAAAAATTAAAATTAAAACTGGAAAAATTTATAAATATATATATATATCAAGTTAAAGTGAAATGGATTTAGATAACCTAGTTTACTCAGACAGACATTTCGACCTTGTTTGAATTTTTCTGCAGCTAATAACTCAACAATAATTGAAATTTTTACTTCGTGCGTGGTTTTTTTGTGGTTTTTTGTCTGACCGATTCTGGAAAATTTTAAACACCGACAAAGTCAACTCATTTTTACTCCACTTTTCATAAATACTACAATTGTATTATAGGAATTTTCGGAGATTTATTATATTATGTAGGGAGTTATACCCATTGAAGGATACAAGGAAATAACGATAAAAACAATTGCAAAATAAAATAAAATATAAATAAAATATAAATTTTTAATATCCTAGTAATAAAACAGCCAATTATAACTTTACCGCTGCGATCATTTCCGATCTCGTTGGTTACACAGATTATAAAATGACACTTAACCTTTCAAGGTACTACGAAACGAATATATTCATGTAACCTTAACTGTTACTAGTCATTTATATATTGATGGTTTATAATTTTGTTATTAAACTGCCAAGTATGTAACTGTACAGTACCACTGTAGATTGAAACTTATTGTCTGCTGATCAAGAAAATATGCCTTAGTGTATTCGTGTACGTTGGCTAAAAAGTAACCTTATTAAAAAGTCATTCACCTAATCTTAAAACCGTGACTGCTTCCCCATTCGCACTTTTTTAAATAGAGAACTCGGAGAGGAGACACACACAGGAGAAAGTCCGAGACGGCCATTCCGACCCCAGAAAACACCCCACAAGGTCCTTCTTTCTAGACGAACACTCTCGTCACTTTACCGCAAACATTTATGATAGTAACTCTCAACAACTTTAACCATAGACCCTTTGAGTATTGTATTCGAAGTTCCAATCATTACTTATCTAATATCATCGCTTTAACTCTATATGAGAGTGGCAGAAACTCAAGTTTGAAAATTCTATCTTAATTAATATATATTAAGCTTTTCGCTTTCCATGTCAACCATATCATCTCTTGCTTCTTATTAATCATCGTAACATGACCACTTATGTGTTGACAACCCACTTTCGTATCATCTGTTCTTTAGTTGTGATAAATCTTACAGCCCTTGTGACTTACATTTCTCATAATCGAGCATTGGTTATGAGAATGAACCATCAGAAGAGGAGCACACCACAAGTGAACTACCACAACCCGGAGGGTTCATTCCGAGCACTAGATTGAAGCTTTTCTGTTTACGACTCTAATACATAATTACCTTTTAAACGAGTGATCGATTCTTCTGCACCAAAATATGTTTTGCAACAAGATGTTTCAACGATAGATCGGACCGGAATTATTCATGCCCCCGGATAAAAATACTTGACCGGTTTCAGCGCTACAATTTTCGCAACTAAAATAAATGTATACCTATCAATTTTATCTTCACCGATCTATAATAGCATATCGATCTTAGAAGTAGCATCATTGCTGGCTCTTATAGTTGAATAAAGCCTCCAATCCATTGGATGAATGGTCAGAAAGGATGAATAGACGGAAACAGTGAGCATAAAAAAGTCTCCATAACTAATGTCAAAGAAAATTCTCAGGCTCTAGGTGAGAACTGGGTTATTATATTTCCTTATCTTGAAGTGGTAAATCAGATTAATGGGAACATTCTTTGTTTCAATACCGTTGGTTACACAATCTACAAAAGATCATAACTTTTAAAAAACGCAAGCAATTACGAATGATACGAATTCATTATATTTATTCGTTTTAATATGGTCTGAAAAAATACACCTTGACCGGTTCAAACTATCTACCGGTCGGTGAGAAAAAAAGCCGGAGCTATGAACAAAAAGTTTCAAGCCAGTCTTTGAATGAAGTCCATTTTCAGCCTTTATTCCATACATCTAATTAATGATTTGGCTCCAACTAATTGTCTTTGTTCTACTAGGCTTCAAAGAGTGAAAGCCTGAACGACTCGTTGAATCCGGCTTAGATAGATGATTCAGCCAAGGGTGGAGTATACCATGGTGTATCAATATTCTTACTCCACATTAAGCTTTATGGTCTAACAATTATCTTTCAAAATGATATAACTGTACATATTACATCAGAACGTATATTTGCCAGTAATTTTGGAGCAATTTGAAAAGGTCAAAAGGAGGTTTTTGTGGGGTCAATGTACACACATCGCATAAAAAAACAGCAACGGACCCCCACTGAAATTAAAAAAGAAATTGCCAATCAGACAATTTTTGAATGTCAGACAATTTTTAAGTTAGACTATGTTTTAGCCCCACAATGAAAAAATTGAATTTTAGATTAACCAATATTCACTATTTTCACATAAAGAGTATTAGATATGAAAGTGTAAGTCTGATTCGCACATTTAGACAGACTCAGCTGTTAACATAGCTATTAGACTCTGAAGAAAGAAAAGTCACCTGATTCATTTGAAAATCCGTAAAAAGTTTAGATCTTTCTGTTAATCAATCTTTACTTACTCTTACTACTCTAGAAATATACATACTCTTCCTACTCATCTCACCTCATCTCAACTCATCTGTCGCATCGGAATTGAATGGTTAAATTTGTGTGAACTAATATAAAGCGCTGATCAAACTCGAAAATATTTTGTAAAGAAGTAGTACACGCAAAATAGGTTGCAAAATGTCAAACTTATATATTCCTAACTATTCATATTAATATTCATAATAGACAATGTATGGATTTATACCCGCATACATACTTCTACAGTAATACTTATAGTACATAATGCTGAATGCATTGTTCTTCCCTTGTTTTACTTATTTCGGTGATGTAAGTAATTCTCTGGTTTATATTGCAAATTTCCTAATTGGGAACAAACATAAACATTTCTAATAAAATTTTGGTATATCAAAATTTCATCCTAAATCAGGTGAATACCATATCAATGTGTGATTTATTCATTCATTCATTTATAGATCTGCCATCTTCCGTGTTCTATAATTTGTATGTCCATTCAGTGAACTCATCCCATCTGCCGTCCAGTTCCAAAATTCCATTTCATGGATCATTTAAAAGTATTAACTTTTCCATATTTAGTTTGAATTAATCAATTACATTCTTCCCGCCAAGATAAGCCAAAACAAATATGTCATTCTTCAATAGATCTCCAAAGCATTCAACCATTAAGGATATTGCTGATATATCTCAATCGATGGAAAATATCTCTATTAGTTCTAATAATGGTATGGATATTGATACATCATTTAAATCATCATCTTTTATTAATAAAGAAAATATAACTCCCTATAGTTCACCTACAAAGTCTATCTTACATCAAACTCCTTCTCCTTCAAAACAATATCAACAACAATTTCTTCCTAATTCTCAACAATATCAACCACCATCTCAACAACAACATCAATTATTTCAAAATATTAATCAATTACAACAACATTCTCAATATCTGACTCCTACTAAATCTTCAAATCGTCCTCAAAGATATAAATTAACTCCTGATGAATTTCATAAAAAGGCAAATGATCCAAAAACTAAACGTTTAGCATCTGTCGCTCAATTATACTTTCTTGATTATTATTGTGATATGTTTGATTATGTTATTAGTAGAAGAGAAAGAAGTAAATTAGTTGAACATAAATTATTAACTGATTCATCAATAAATTCAAATCCACAACGTCAACAATTAGAATGGAAGAATTATGTTGGAAGAGAGAGAGCTCTTTTAAGAAAAAGAAGATTAAAACCAAAACATAAAGATTTCGAAATGATAACTCAAGTTGGTCAAGGTGGTTATGGACAAGTCTTCTTAGCTAGAAAGAAAGATACAAGAGAAATTTGTGCTCTTAAGATTTTGAATAAAAATTTATTAATGAAATTAGATGAAACAAGACATGTATTAACTGAAAGAGATATTTTAACCAATACAAGATCTGAATGGTTAGTAAAGTTATTATATGCATTTCAAGATCCTGAAAAGGTTTATTTAGCCATGGAATTTGTACCAGGTGGAGATTTTAGAACTTTACTTAACAATACTGGTTATCTTATACCTCCTCATGCAAGATTTTATATTACAGAAATGTTTTTAGCTGTCAATTCATTACATGATTTAGGATATATTCATCGTGATTTAAAGCCAGAAAACTTTCTTATTGATTCAAAAGGTCATATAAAATTAACTGATTTTGGTTTAGCAGCTGGTTCAATTTCAAATGAAAGAATTGAAAGTATGAGAGTTAAATTAAATAATTTACAAGATTTAACTGGTGATAATTATAAGATTCCTTCAAAATTAATGAATGAAAGACAAAGGATTTTTAAACAAAGTCAAGTTGCTTATAATAAGAACTTTGCTAATTCTATTGTTGGATCTCCTGATTATATGGCCTTGGATGTTTTACAAGGTAAAAATTATAATTTTACTATTGATTATTGGTCTTTAGGATGTATGTTATTTGAAAGTCTTTGTGGTTATCCACCATTTTCTGGTTCAAAGCAAGATGAAACTTATTATAATTTAAAAAATTGGAAAACTTGTTTAAGAAGACCTCAAACTAAAGATGGAAGATTTGTATTCAGTGATAGAACTTGGCAATTAATTGTAAAATTAATTGCTGATCCTCAAGATAGATTATCTAATTTTAAACAAGTCCAACAAATGTCATACTTCAATGATATTAGTGATTGGTCAAAATTAAGAGATAAAACCCCACCTTTCACTCCTCAATTAGATAATGAAGAAGATGCTGGATATTTCGATGATTTTGAAGATGAAGAAATGATGTTGAAATATAAAGATGTATTTGCCAGACAAGAACATAATGAACTGTTATTAGAAAAGTCAACTAATACAAATAATGCTGGAAATCAAAATAAGAAAAAATCTAGTCAATTACAACAGAATTTTATTGGTTTTACGTTTAAACACAAGTCAAATCCTAATAATAAATTTACCAATGGAGAAGTTAATTTGCTAAACTTTAATTCAAATTCTGGTACAATTGGTAGAAGTAATAGGTTAGATCCATTGGCAACATTATATTAGTATGGTATTGACTTCTGGTTCTGAGTTTGTTTATTGGTTCGGTTTTATTTCGTTTCATTGGGTATGATTTATAAATGTTAGACTGTACAATATTTTTCTATATATATATATATTATATTATTATTATTATTATATCATTATTATTACTATTATACAATTACATATATCATTTATTATGCGTATATGATATGCTAAATTGGGATGTTTCATGACTTCCAAATATAGTCATTATGGATCTTATCAGATATATATTTCCGTTGATAATTTTCATGTAATAATTCAGTTTGTTCAACTCCTTTGCTAATGACAGTAAATAATTCTTCTTCAGTAAATTCACCAAGACTATCAATAAGTAATAATTTGGTAGCTTTTTTATCTTCTATACTAAAACATATTATATGATGACTAGAACTATTATTTAATTGATCTAATGTTGGTTGAATTATATATTCCTGATTATCATTAATCTCATGTGGTTTGGTTATTGAAATACATGTTGAAGCAAATGAACTGTATAATGCTATGCCGGCATCAACCAATGCAAAATAACAACCATTTATAGCCGCATTTAATTCAACATTGGAATATTCCACTTCATCACGATGATTTGAATATGCACCACCTTGATGTTTGGATAATGGAGTGGCTTGAATTTGAACTATTATTTGAATTAATTGTCGAGGATATAAATGTCTCACTATGACTGCTTGTAACATACCACGAAGTTTATCTTCAAGTACCTTTTCTCTTGTGGTACTTAAACCTACTGCTGGTCTAACTACAATTTCTAGACTAGCGACATTGGGGAGTTCTTGACGTGGTTTAGGTTCAATAGGTCCTGTTATAGATACAATTAATTTAACATCCGAAGTAGTTAGTTCGGCTGACCCATCGGAGTTGTCAAGTACAGACGTCCTTACTTTAAACGTCATACTATGTGTATAATATTGCTTAAAATAGTAAATAAATGGGTTTAAATACTTTTATTACTATACAAATTGGATCTGTGATATTGCCTATATTTCATTTTTTTCAAGCAGAGATGCGCGACATGCACTTAAATTTATGTCGTAGGCGACATCAATAAATGCAAAATGATATTTACCATTTAGAGATGAAGAGGATATTTCATATACAACAACAACCATACAAAGTTAAACCAAAATGGAAGATTATGAGAAGGAATTGCTAGACGATTTTGGAAGTGATTCAGATGAGCATGAACAAATTGAAGAAAAACCAGAATTAGAAGTAGAAACCGAACATGAAGAGAAAAGTGAGGTTCCATTTGAAGAAAGACTCGAAGAATTATTACGAAACTATACCTTAAGTAACTCATACCATGCCATACTAAATGAGTCAAATATTGAAAATATTGATAATTTAACTAAATTCTCAAAAATACTACCATTGCTTGCGGAAATAAAATCTAAAATTGAAGAGTACTCATCACATAATGATCAAGATGAAGATTATTGGGAATTAATAAATTCTATAACGAGTGATTCTGAACCTCAATCTCAAGAATATCGATTTATATTATCAATAAATGAATTATCTACCATAATAAATCAAGAGATAACGACTTTCTATTCGTTAGTGAAACTTCAATATAAAGTAGTATTTCCTGAATTGGAATCAATAGTTATAAATCCCATAGATTATGTTAAAATAGTATGTATAATTAAGCAAGATTTGAAAGGTATTAGGACATATGAATCCGAATTAAAACCTTTCATAACAAATGAAAAGATCTTGGTTATAATTATGGCTGCATTACAACAAGTCACTAATCAATTTATATTGAATGATCAAGATTTACATAAATTATTAAGTTGTTGTCGATTGGTATTAGAATTAGATGATTTATTACATGATTTATCACTGTTTATATCTCAAAAGTTATCAAAGATTGCTCCTAATGTTAATGCAATCATTGGATCAATTACAACCTCTCAATTATTAATTGCAACAGGTTCTTTAAAGCAATTAGCTTTAACTCAAGCATGTAATCTACCTGCTATTGGAGTAAGAGATCTTTCTTCTCAAACTAAAAATGTTTCAAAAGTCATTAGACAAACAGGTTATCTATATCATTCAGATATAGTTAAATATTTACCAGATGATATTCAACGTTCAGTAATGAGAATTATTAGTGGGAAAGTTATTCTAGCAGCTAGAATTGATTTATCAAGATCAAGTCCTAATGGAGAGTTTGGTCAGAAATATCTTGATGAGATTAAATTAAAGATTGAGAAATTATTAGAACCTCCAGAAAATCAACCTGATAAAGCTCTTCCATTACCAGTTGAAATTAAATCTAAAAAGAGAGGAGGTCGTAGATTTAGGAAAATGAAAGAAAGATTTCAAATGTCAGAATTGCGTAAAGCCCAAAATAAAATGGAATTTGGTAAACAAGAAGATTCAATTATGGATAGTTATGGAGAAGAAATTGGATTAGGTATGAGTCGTTCGAGTGGTTCTAATGGTAGGATTGGTGCTATTAAGATCAATACCAATACTAATGCTAAAATGTCAAAAGCAATGACTAATAGGTTGCAACAACTGAATAAAAAAGCAAATACTCAACGAAATAGTATATATGATGATGACTTTGATAGTATAATTCTTGCGAATCCTGCTTCGAACAAGTCCAATGAAAATGGTTCCAATTCTAAAGTATCTAAACTAGGTGGTAGAACTCCTAATTCTTGGTTAAGTGGTATTACCAAAACAGATGATAATGAGAATCCCCTTAAGAGAAAGAAAATAGATTAAGCCATTCTACTGTGAATATAATCTACTCTACTATACTATACTATACTCTAATCTACTCTAACTTCTACATATATACCATAGACAACTTGTCTCTTGACAATAATACACGCACCCCCTTATTTCCTCACAAATATCTCCCTATCTCATACTCATAATAATTTGCATCCAACTATGTCGTGTCACACTATGACATTTTTCAAAATGACTAATTTTTTTTTTTCAGCCCGTCCGATGAAAAAAAAATTAAAATAAAATTATTTTGTATGGTCCTTGACCCTTTTGATAGTGTATGCTAATTAACAGGCTACTCATAAGAAGAACAGTTCATAGTAACTTTCATCCACTTGCGAGAAGGCCCATTGTAATTACAAGACTTTATTCGTCTAAGTTTACTATGAGTGAAGAAAGTTCAAATTCAATTCAAACTCCTCCAACCACCACCACTACCAATGGTGAAGCTTCAAATTCTATTTCTGCTCCAACTGTAGGTGAAGGTGAAGGTAAACCAAAAACTGCTAAAGAATTAGAAAAAGAGCGTAAAAAGGCTGAAAAATTAGCAAAATTTGAAGCTAAGAAGGCTAAACAAGCAGGAGCTAAACCAAAGGGTGATGAACAACCAAAGAAAGCTAAAGCTAAAAAAGAAAAGGCACCAGCTGCTCCAATTCCAGAATTTATTGATAAAACAATTCCTGGTGAAAAGAAAATCTTAGTATCTTTAGATGATCCTGCATTTTCTGCTTATAATCCAAAGAATGTTGAAAGTTCATGGTATTCTTGGTGGGATAAACAAGGATTATTTCAACCAGAATTTACTGAAACTGGTGATATTAAACCAGAAGGTGCGTTTACTATTCCTGCTCCTCCACCAAATGTTACTGGTGCTTTACATATTGGACATGCTTTAACTGTTTCTATTCAAGATACTTTAATTAGATATAATAGAATGAAAGGTAAAACAACACTTTTCATTCCTGGTTTTGATCATGCTGGTATTGCAACTCAATCAGTTGTTGAAAAACAAATTTGGGCTAATGAAAAGAAAACTAGACATGATTATGGACGTGAAAAATTCATTGATAAAGTTTGGGAATGGAAAGATGAATATCATAAAAGAATTAGTAGTCAAGTTAAAAAATTAGGAGCATCTTATGATTGGACAAGAGAAGCTTTTACTTTAAATCCTGAATATAACAAGGCAGTTATTGAAAACTTTGTTAAATTACATGAAGATGGTACTATTTATAGAGCCAATAGATTAGTTAATTGGGATGTTAAATTAAATACTGCTATTTCAAATTTAGAAGTTGATAATAAAACTATTACTGGTAGAACTTTATTATCAGTACCAGATTATGATAATAAAATTGAATTTGGTGTTATTACATCATTTTCTTATCAAGTTGAAGGATCAGATGAAAAAGTTACTGTTGCAACTACTAGACCTGAAACAATGTTTGGTGATACTGCAGTTGCTGTTCATCCAAAAGATCCAAGATATACTCATTTACATGGTAAATATTTATTACATCCATTTATTGATCGTAGAATACCAATTATTACTGATTCAGAAGCAGTTGAAATGGAATTCGGTACTGGTGCCGTTAAAATTACTCCAGCTCATGATCAAAATGATTATGATACTGGTAAAAGAAATAATTTAGAATTCATTAATATTTTTACTGATGATGGTTTATTAAATGATAATTGTGGTCCTGAATGGGTTGGTACTAAGAGATTTGATGCTAGATCTAAAGTTATTGAAGCTTTAAAAGAAAAGGGATTATTTGTTGAATCTAAAGATAATGAAATGACTATTCCAACAAGTTCAAGATCTGGTGATATTATTGAACCTTTATTAAAACCTCAATGGTATGTTAATCAAAAGGAAATGGCCAAGGCAGCCATTGCTGCTGTTAAAAATGGTGAAATTACTATTACTCCAAAATCATCAGAAGCTGAATATTTCTATTATTTAGAAAATATTCAAGATTGGTGTATTTCTCGTCAATTATGGTGGGGTCATAGATGTCCAGTTTATTTTGTTAATATTGAAGGTCAAGAAAATGAAAGATTAGATGATGCTTATTGGGTTTCTGGTAGAACTAAAGAAGAAGCTTTAGAAAAGGCTAATGCTAAATTTAAAGATGTTAAATTTACTTTAGAACAAGATGAAGATGTTTTAGATACTTGGTTTTCATCTGGTTTATGGCCAATTGCTACTTTAGGTTGGCCAAATGTTAATTCTGAAGATTATAAAAAATTTGCTCCATTATCAATGTTAGAAACTGGTTGGGATATTTTATTCTTTTGGGTTACTAGAATGATTTTATTATCATTAAAATTAACTGGAAAAATTCCATTTAAGGAAGTTTTCTGTCATTCATTAGTTCGTGATGCTCAAGGTCGTAAAATGTCTAAATCTTTAGGTAATGTTGTTGATCCATTAGATGTTATTGGAGGTATTACATTACAAGCATTACATGATAAATTAAGAGTTGGTAATTTAGATCCAAGAGAATTAACTAAGGCTGAAGAAGGTCAAAAGGCTTCTTATCCAAATGGTATTCCTGAATGTGGTACTGATGCTTTAAGATTTGCTCTTTGTGCTTATAGTACTGGTGGTAGAGATATTAATTTAGATATCTTAAGAGTTGAAGGTTATAGAAAATTCTGTAACAAGATTTATCAAGCCACTAAATTTGTTTTAGGTAGATTAGGTGAAGATTATGTTCCACCAAAATCTTCTGGTTTAACAGGTAAAGAATCATTAGTTGAAAAATGGATATTACATAAATTATCAGAAGCTTCTAAAAATACTAATTCTGCTTTAGAAAGACGTGATTTTGGTGAATCTACTAATCATATTTATAATTTCTGGTATGAATTATGTGATGTTTATATTGAAAATTCCAAATCTTTAATTCAAGATGGTACTCCAGAACAAAAGAAATCTGCTCAAGATACTTTATATACTTGTATTGATTCAGCTTTAAGATTAATTCATCCATATATGCCATTTATTTCTGAAGAAATGTGGCAAAGATTACCTCGTCGTGAAGGTGATAAAACAATTTCAATTGTTGTTGCCAAATATCCAGAATATATTAGTGAATATGATGATATTAAATCATTAGAAGCTTATGATTCTGTTTTAGATATTACTAAAGGTGCTAGATCATTATTATCTCAATATAATATATTGAAAAATGGTCAAGTATATGTTGAATCATCTAATGAAGAATTATTTAATATTGCTAGTCAACAACAAGATTCTATTGTTTCATTAATTAAGGGGGTTGAAAAGATTTCTGTTGTTAAGAGTAATGAAGAAGTTCCAAGTGGTTGTGCATTACAAGCCATTGGACCTCAATTAACTGTTCATGTATTAGTTAAGGGACAAATTGATTTAGATGCAGAAATTGCTAAAGTTCAAAAGAAATTAGATACTGCTAATGAATTTACTAAGAAACAAAATGAAGCTATTAGTAAATTCTCCGAAAAGACTAAGCAAGAAGCTAAAGATGCAGCTTATAAGAGATTAGAAAAGCTTGGTGCAGAAGTTGAGGGTTATGAACAAACCATTGCCATTTTAGAAAATTTGAAACTTTAGATATAATTATATTTTGTAAATATTTTATCAATATATTGATGTACACTTTGAGATAGTGCGGGTTAGATGCATTTACAGGTTATGAGTCCTCCCCATTGTTTAATGCGTCAACGAACAAAAATTCAATGAGCTAAATTAGGGGGGAGGTGTTAGTATACGGCGTGTATGTGTCAATTGAATAATTAAGTAATTGATGTAATTTTGATTGTATTGGTTCAATTCGACGTTATACAATTCTTTAGTAGTGAGACAATTGATTTCTGTAGCGATTTTGTGAAGGAAGGTTTAAATCGATAACTAAATGTTGTGTTATTCAGATCATCGCGCCTAATCTCGATGACATGGGCCTATTGATATTTTGACATATCCTGAACACAAAATGCACCTTATGGCCACCGACAACAAAAGAGTAAAACTATGGCATATATACTAATCTATAAATTTACTACTTAAGCCGTTCGGCTATGAATCAATTGTGGATATAAACTGTTAAAGTGTGTCCTGTCCGCGTGCCCCCTCTCTATGTAACCTCTAATTGCACCTAAATAAAACATATGAAATATCAAACCTGACTTTCAGTTTCACCACCTATTTCAGACAAATAGGAATTGGAATTGTAGTCTATTTTCTATGCACGAAATTTCTTTTTTCTTTTTTTGTGGATTTCCTATCTAGTGGAAATGGATTTTGCCCCTAAATGACAATGCAATTCAGTACAAAAGCTTACCAGCTATCACTACCAAATGGAAATATTCCATATAATTTATATTATGATGTAGTTGTGCGATTAAACTTGTCGCGCCACGACGCTTCTAATGACATTTGTATATAAATATACGTCGACTTTTCCATTCGGTTATTATTTTAAATTAACTTTCTTCTTTTTGGTCTTTTCTTTTCCATAGAATCTTATTTCTACATACAAACAAATAATAATCAATAATTAATAATGAGTGGTTTTGGTAATATCGGTAACTTAGTTCAAGAAGGTGAACAATTAGAACAATTAACTGGTGGTCAAGGTGGTCAAGGTGGTTTAGGTAACCTTGTTCAAGAAGGTGAAAAATTAGCTGGTGGTTCTTCTGGTTCCGGTTCTTCTGGTTCTGGTTCTGGTCCAAACTATGGTGAATTAGCTACTGATGCTAAGAAATTATACAGTGACTATTCTCAAGGTAACCAATCTGGTCAACAAAACTACTCTGAATTAGGTAATGATGCCAAGAAACTCTACTCTGACTACTCTGGTCAAGGTGGTCAACAACAAAACTAAATGGGTTTAATGTTTTGAAAGGCTACTGGTTGAACCAGGGATAGCCAATTGAGTCAATTCTATTAATTTACATTTCTTTACTAAATCTATTTGCTAGTATTTATTTCGTCAAACAAAATATATTTGCAATTATACGAAAACTTCATAACAAGCTCAATTGTTAAATGCACTAGTTCTTTGTCAATTGAGCTTATGTAGATCAGTAGACGTGTTGGTTGCATCTTTAAGTTGCCCGTGTAACGATTTTGTGTTAAAGTTTGAAATTCATCCTTTCGTCATACAATTTCATCATCAAAAATAAAAAGAAAAAATAAATAAATTAATATTTTCTCCCCCAGCTTTTTCGCATCATATGGTCCAGACATTTGCAGGCAATCTTTTTCTAACCTTAATCTTACAAATCAGTAATGACTTTTAAATAATATTGTTCATTAAAAATTCTATACACAAGTTTAACATTATCAAAGATAATTTATTAATCCTTATATTCTTGTAAAACGGATTTTAAGATTTCAGGATACCATCTATTAGCAACATCTTGATGGGATTTAATTCTGTTTCTAAACACAGCGTAACCTACTGGATGTTTACTAATATCTGGTTGATATTGGAATCCAACATCAACTCCCCATTTCTCAATTCTTTTATCTCTCTTATTCTTTAAATCAATAACATCCTTTGGTATACCTTCTACAATAGATTTATGACTATCGAGATCAATGGTTTGGAAAAATGGAATGGAAATTCTAGTTCCAGTTCCAGGTTGAGGAATGAGAACACGATGAATAGTAGCTTTACAAACACCTTGCGTGATGGCTTCCAATGTCTGACCAACATTAACAACTAATGTTTGGGGAATATTTGGAACTGTTATCCAATCTCCTTGGAAATTCTGAACTTGTAATGAATCTTGATGATCTGTAACTTGATAAATATAAGTAAGAATGTCAGAGTCACGATGTGGACCAACACCTTGTTGAGTCTGTGGAGTATCACTTAATGCAACTGACTTGACGTTATTATTGGTTAATTCAGTTGAATCTGGGTAAGCAACTAATTTCATTTTACATTGTTGATTTGGTTTAAAATATATATCCAATGCATGCTTGTCTAAGCCAATAGCTTCTACAACCAAATATCTAAATTGTTTACTTAATTCACTCATCTTAGAAATGAAACTTGTAACGGTGGGCTTGAAATTAGGGATAGCTTCTTCCTTTGGCCATAAATTTGGACCTTCAATATTTCTATAAAGTGGTTCATCTTTACCTGGGGCTGGTAATTCAGTAGCCAAATCAATTTGTTCTCTCCAATCAGTATGACTAGCTGTGATCTCATTAGCTAATCTTGAATAACCTAAGAAATGAGGAGAATTAATCATTTCACATCCTAATTTAATTTCATTTGGTAAATCAAAAAATTTATATGTTTCACCTTTAATTTGTTCTAGGTCTTCTTGTTCAGGTCCATATATTTCATAATTTTTCAAAAGTAAAAATCCAACTTCAATAATAGCATGTCTCAAGTCCTGTAAGAACTTAGGTTTGGTTGCTGGATCTGTTGCAAGTTTTAAATCGATTATTGGAATCTCTTGGAATGACATTTCTGTTTCGTCTGACATTTTAAGATGATTTAATTGAAAATTTGGAAAAGAAAGTGTAGTATAAATATATATGAAAAATATGAAAAATAAAAGTATATTCAAATTTGAATGGTTCGATCTCTTTAAGTTGCAAATCAGGCAATATATAATTGCCGAAATACTCTAAATTGCTTTGTCTTGTCCTACCTCAGCTAGTTGAATGCACATTTTATTATTAATCTTTTTGAGACTTATTAGGATTCAAGAGTAGACGCCACAGTTTTTTTACCATATTAATAATTTATTTTTCTTTAGCGGAGAAAAAGAAGCGAAGAAAAAATTTTGTTAGCGGTTAACTTCTCCCAATTCGACTATGTCACACTCGTTAGCGACTTCACTAGATTCAAGAAAAATCCAGCTTGCTGCTAAATAATGTAAGTTAACAGTAAAGCTCATCATATATTCAATAATCTTTTGTAAAATTATTTATTCCATAACTTAGTTCCTGTATTAAGCATTTAATGCATCTGTCTAAATGGCATCTGCTAGATCGAAAAATTGCCCTGAATTATAACTGTGGAATAATAATTAATGCCTAGGCATCTGAGATGCAGATAATAATTCCTTTTGAATGCCTACTCATGTCGGTTAACAACGGTAATTAAAAAGATTACTAACCAAGTGAAAATTTTCGCAGCAAATTTGGAAAATAATCCACAATATCAGTAAAAGCCGTATAAAGAATAAGCACTATCTCAATACTAACACTTTAAATTATAAAATCCTCAATAACATTATTTTAAATTGCTATAATCATTGAATGAGAAATTACAAGTAGAACTTAATCAAGTATTGTTTAGTATGGATCTATTATTATACATTAAGTCCTAGAACTGGTAGCCCAAATTCATTAAAATAAAAGCACGTGACCATTTTTTTTTTTTTCAATACAACATTTATTAAGTTCTATGTAAATAGAGAGTCATAAATGGTAAAAAATTTAGAGAAACTATGTAGATAGTAAAAAACTCTTGTTGGTTAAGGACATTGATAAAGATTGTAGTCTTGTTGAAAAGAAAGAGGTACTGGAGTTATCCAGTTAGCGTCTTGGCTCTATTTATTCAGCCAAGGTGAAGTATGATACCCATCGATAAAGAACTTTGTCGGTTAGTTTGTCACTAACCGGCTCAGTTCGTCGTTTCTTCCGGAGGGAATCAATAGCTTGTAGGTATCTGTTGATGCGTGTAGCATTTGTGATTGAAAGATTTGGATTTGCAACTAAAGCAGTGAAGTTAAGCGGAAGTGGAGGTCCGAGTTTTTCCCAGAGTTTGACAGCTACTGTACAAGACAAGTAGATGTGGCTAGCTAGTTCGGAGTTTGATACCGTAGTTTTGCATATATCACAGGTATTGTCTGCGATGGGATTGTAGTGGCGTCTGTAGCCTAAATTGTAGCGATGTAGTTCATCGAAATTGTTAGGAGCATTAAATTTTAGATGATTCAATCTTGTCCAGAATTTGATCCATTGAGCTTGTGATATACTCAAGTCAACTGACCAACCATTTGGTTCAAGGCATACTCTTTGCTTGGTCTGTTTAGCCTTGCTTCTGCTTTTGAAAGAACTCGGTGTGAGCTCATACATGTCGTTAGCCCATTGGAAATTACGGGGCGTTTGGAGGATGAGTTGTTGTATTTCTTCTTCTGAATAATTTTGAGGTAGTTCAAACCGATAAGGATTTTTACTCTCAGCTATATCAAACCATGCTGAGAAATAGCTTTGTTCAGCATTAGTAAAAAAATTGGCGACACACATGGAATCTTTAAGAAAGACAGAAGGGTCAGTCTTATGCCTGATGGGGGTACCCGCAAGGAGACGAAACCAAGGATATGTTAAACGTTTATTTGGTTGGAGTGGGATTTCTGGAGGAACATAAGCATTATCATTGATATACTGTTGAATTTTATCTCGAAGCAATATCTGATGAGATTGTTCGTCGTTGATTAAGATATTGTGTATAAATCTGGCTCGACGTCCTTTGACTTGTTCTTCTAGATCAAGAAGACCAAATCCTCCTTGGGCCTTAAGAGCATAAAGATTAGTTACACCAATGTGAGAAGGAAAGAAGTTTTTGATCATATCATTTATTTGTTTGATGTCTGATGACAGCATAGGATGATGTAAGTCTCTGAAATAAAGTTTGGAAAAAACCAAGGAGTTGATTCCTTCAGCTTTTTGATGGATTGATAGAGTTCGAACCGTTGTTGTAACTAGTCCTACTCTGAGGCTTTCAATATATGTGGGCCACAGAAAATTATTTATACTGATTCCTAAATATTTGAAGTTTTGATCTCGAATGGGAGATTGTGGAAAAGGGAGGACTTCTTCCATTGGTTCATCCGTGAAATGGTAGATCTTGGATTTCTTTTGGTTGATTAGTGAACCTGAAGCTTGTTCAAAAAGTGCTATTTCCGATTGTATCGTAAGCAAATCTTGTCTGCTACCAGTGAAGAGTGTTACGTCATCGGCAAAGGCTAAATACTTTTGCTCAATTGTCTGGCCACACCTAAGTGGAAGTTCAATTCCTGATAATTTGTTTTCTAGCCTAGTCAAGAAAGGCTCCAAAGCTATGTTGAATAATAATGGAGATATTGCAGATCCTTGACGGGTTCCGGTACCCAAAGAGAAGGGGGGACTGAGGAAATCATTGACTATGACTTTAGCTTCTTGTTGTTGTGTAAGTAGCATGATTATATTGGTGAACTTTAGTCCACAGTTGATGTGGAGGAGTAATTCTCTCAAATAGTCATGATGGAATCTGTCGAACGCTTTAGTAAAATCAAGAAGTATAACCGATTGATATTCTTGTGGTTGTTGTTTGAGTATATGGTTAACTAATGCTCTGAAACGCATTATTTGTTGATCCATTTGTCTTTCTGGCATAAACCCAGTTTGGTTTTTACCGATGATAGTGTCGATATGTGTAAGTAATCGGCGATTTAATACCGAGGCAATTAGTCTAGTAGTTGTATTGATTAATGATATTGGTCTGAAATCCTCCACTTGTATGGATTTTTCCCGTTTGGGAATGATTTTGATAATGACTTCTTTTAAGATTGTAGGTAAGGATGATGAGGTAAAAAGGTTGTTGGCGGCAGAGACCACTAATGGACCTGTTTTATCCCATGTCTTTTTCAAAAATCTGAAAGTAAGACCATCAGGTCCTGGTGCACTTTGATTGCTTGTATTCTTTAAGGCCAATGTAAACTCATCTAAGTCAAAGGTTTGATTGAGTTGACGTTGTTGATCAGTCGAGAATTTCTTATTGAAGCTCTGAATATATTGATTCATAGCCGTTGGATAAGTATCTCTTGGAGTGAACATACTTTTATAGTATTGGGAGATGGCATTAAGTATGTCTGGAGTGGTGGAGAATTTTTGTGACCCTGAACGAATCACAGTGATTAAGTTATTTGAGTAGTTACTACCATTAAAAGCTTCTTTTAAGTCTTTAAAATATGAAGCAGTATATGGCGTAGTTATGTTATTATTTTGGGTTTCAAATACATTTACCCCTCTGATCTGGGTGAGTTGACGATATTTGTTGGTAATTGGTTGAATTAGGTTGACCATATCCGCCAAAGAATGGAAGGGTTGGTCTTTGATTAAGTTTATGAAGTCATCGTCATCTAAGTATTTCTCGGGAACTATAAAACGTTTTCTTCCCGCCGTGATACGTAGATTCTCAGTTACTAATAGATGAAAACCTATAGCTAAGTGAGTGGTTGATATTTGGGATGGTTTTTGCATGAAAAATTTTAAGATTTTTTCATTTTCAGGATTGGAGATGTAAAACCGGTCGATTCTACGTGATGCTTTATGGTTTCGGTTGGTAGGAGCTATAGTGTTAGGACGGAGGTATTTGAACGTATCTATTAGACTGTTTTTGTTAATAAGTCTGATAAGATATTGAGTGGCCTGAATATCTCGGGGCTTGGATGATTCGTCTGAGTGAGGTATTACATTATTAAAATCCCCACCAATTACAATGATGAGATTGTGGTAGTGGTTAGCTTTAATAGTTGAGATAGCTTTGTCTATTTGGTAAAATAGATATTTTTGTAATTTGAATTTTTTTCCTGTGGGCGCGTATATGGATACTATTAAGTAGTGACGATTATTTTCTAATGATTGGATAATAATGTCTGCTACATATGGTTGGTATTGTTGTTCTAGTTGATTTGATAGAAGCGAAGTTGATATTATTTTGAATTTTTGGGAATTGTTTTGAAAAGCAATTCCCGTTCTTGAGGATGGTCTGGTGTAGGCTAAAGTACTACTATTTTTGGAAAGGGTTGTCGATAAGTTATCTGCATCACCCGCCTTGATCTCTGTTAAGAGACTTAGGTCATGGCGTTTAAGATACTTGAAAACGTTTTGATGATTTTGGGTTTGTTGTATATTTATTGTTGTGAATTTGAGTTCTTGACGAGATTGTGGTCGTAATCTTATTTTTCGGTTACGAAATGATAGTATGTCATTTGATTTATTCATAACTGATTGTTATTTAAGCTGGAAGGGAGATTGTCATCAAAAGACTCTGTAGCAAGCAGAGTGTTTGAATGTTGGCTGTCAGATAACTGCTCCTCCATACGGTTGGATGCTTTCATGACAGCGTTTAATTTTCGTTGATGTAGAATTCGCTCTTTTGGCAAGTCTCCTTTTGGTTTACTTGGAGAGCGGAGTTTGCCAATCAGTGGCCTGAGAAGACCCTGATTTAGCGAAGGAAGTCGTCTCGTAGTGGAACTTGGCGACTTCGTGGGGGTTGAGTTGGTGGAACTAAATGGATGATTTGGTTCCTCTGCCATAGTTAAATCGGTATCAATTTGAGTTGGTTCTAACGATGGCTCGTCAGAACGGCTCAAATCAATATCAATTTGTGTGTCTATGAAACTATTGGCAGGGGTAATAGTTTCTGAATAAAGGTTTTCAGAAGTTTCTGATTCAGTGATATTTTTTGCAGCAATTGCTGGTTGGGTTTCTTGATTATCATTTTTTTTGGAGTTTTTGGATTTTTCAGTATTTTTTTCGGAGGTTTTTTCAGAAGTTTTTTTATTTTTTTTTTGTTTTTGATTTTGGTGTAATAAAGCAGTAACAGTTGAAGTGGAGTCGGAATCGGAGGAGGAGAGTTCTTCTTCATCTTCCTCGTCAGAAAGGACCATAAATGGGTTGCTGGTTTGAATAGCAGAAACAGCAGGGTTTGGAATTGAAGATTTTTTAACCGTTTTGGTTGGGGTGGTAAAACTACCATTTTTAGTTTTTTTGGTTGATGGTTTGACCATTGATACGTCATTCTTAGGAGGTTCGTCATAGTCAGTGGTGCGAGGACGTTTGTTTCCTTCGGCCTTTTCTCTAGCAGCCTTATGGCCTGGTCCATTATGTTCACGTGAGTCACATCTAAGACAAGGAGCATTTGTACATCCCCATCTAGTGTGGGCTTTAGTGTGACAGTAGGAGCAGAATTTAAGGTGTGATTTGATGGAGACTTTATGATTTTCAAGTATTTTCCTTGTGCCCGTGGGAATTGTGTCCGTAGTAAGGTCTACGAGAAAATAAAGGGTAACCATTCTTTTCTTGTCTTGAATTTTAGAAAATTTAGGTTCAGTACTTTTGATAAGTTTAAAGTATTGTTCCGGTTCTGAATCCAGAGTGGTAAGGACCTTTTGAATGTGGGCTGGAGGTGAGCCTGAATAAAGGGATTGCATTCGATTATCAAATGTCTTGGATTTAGTTTTGGGCTCAGGGCCGAAGAAATCTCTAAGTTTGGTGCTGGCCTGTAAGGCGTCATCTTCTGGTAACTCATACTCAAGAAGGGCAAGAGAGTTGGAGATCTTGTGATTCAAGGTAAAGTAGAAGTCAGTACCATTAATGTGAAGTGGTCCTGTTGATGAAGAGGAGAGAACCTCTTTAACAATGGATTGGATATCAAAGTGATGGCTTTCTGGGTATGTCTTAGGATCATACTTATTCAACAAATGGTTTAGTTGGTGGAAAGTGATTGAATAAATGTCACTAAAATACATTTCGGTACAGTAGTCTCCATTTATGAGCAATCTAAAATGATTCTTGAGACTGAGGTCTCTACAGGTTCTCAACGTTTCCACCAAAACTTCTTGTGTTTCGGAGTTGAGATCTTGTATACTTAATTCTAAGTCTAAAAGGTTGAAAGACGAGGCAAAATCCTGATCTTTAAGTTTAGAACTTTCAAGGAGTTTTTTGAGCTCCTCGTATTGGTTGACATGCAACCTAGCTCTAGCGAAGACCCCTTCGAGATTGTGGATCTTCTGTTCAACATCGTTTTCCAATTTTGTAAAGAATTGGTTGAAATGTTGGTCTAAAAGGGTAAACATTGTTGGAGTGTCAATGGGAGGTTGTTGGGTAAAATCAATACTAAGATTGTTTGTGGTGAAGATATTTTTACCAGATTCTTCAATGTATAATTCTTGAAAGTCTTCTGGAACTTCCTTTAACCGATCTTTCAAAAGTGTATAGGCACTAACCCCCAAGTTGTGATGAACTTGGCGGGTATAGTAGAACTTAGCGTATTTAACACGTTCTTCATCGTTTAATAAAAGATCTTTCTCAAGTTTTTCAACAATAAGTTCGTATTCCTGTAATTGTACCGGGTTTAAAGGATTATCGATAGGAGGAAGTGTAGACTTTTCCTTAGTTCTAGTTCTAGTTGCAGCCGGTTTAGCAGCTTCAGCATACGTGAGCGGAGTCACGTGACTGGTTGAAAAATTTTCGACCGTTAAATCGGAAATGGGTTTTTGGCTGGTAGGGGCCGAATTCAGGGAATTACGGACGCTTGACAGCTGGTCTAAAGAGTTTGAAGACAGAGATGAGTCCAGGACATATTCCGGAACATCGACGTCGATCAGATCAGGTTCTAAAGCCCCTTGTAAGGGGTTGTTTGAGTGGACACCTGGGGATTCACTCGCAGTTTCATAAGTCGACAGGGCCGACGGGACTAGCGTCCTATCAGGTGGAATCGGCTCGGGAGGAGTTGGGGGAGGTAATGACTCGTTAAGAGATGCGCTGGGAGTACTGTTTGAGGCCGTTAGACCTATATTAACAGAGTAGTCAGACATTTTTTTTTTGTTTTTAACGTGACCAAAATCCTGCATGCAAGTAAATGATATTTCGTGTTCTACCTAGCCTTAAGGTTTTTCAGAAATCGGTTCTGTGGTCTAGTTGGTTATGGCATCTGCTTAACACGCAGAACGTCCCCAGTTCGATCCTGGGCAGAATCATTTCTAATTGGTTGCGCAAATGGTTTAGTGGTAAAATCCAACGTTGCCATCGTTGGGCCCCCGGTTCGATTCCGGGTTTGCGCATTTCTTTTTTAATCATCATAATTATAATGTACTTAGTTAAATTATATTTTGGAGATGGCTTCTTTTTAATAAAAGTGAGTGCTTCTTCGTATCTCATTTTAGTTGATGTACGACGGCTCGTTTATTTTTTTTGAGTAAAAAAAAAGGCCCTTATCGCGACCCTAAGAAACTTTTTTACAGCCAAAATGCAAAAGCTATATAAGCAGCTCAATTTTCCTATGAATAAAGTGCTGCCTAATTCTTTTAAATCTTTCTTGCTTTCTCTTTCTCTCTTTCTTTCTTTTTGCTCATTTCAATCAATCAATCAATCAATCAATTCAATTGCTTGAATTGTCCAATTGTTATCTTTAGAATCTAATAAATGTCGGAGCTTATTAGTTTGACCGTCAGGGTTTGTGAATTTGTGTTAGCAGTGATTGCTTTGGGCCTCTCTGCATCTTTTATTCATATTATTGGTTATGGATATGGTAGAATTATTTATGTTCTCGTTATATCTATCCTCACAATATTGTATCTTATTCCAGTTACCTTATTGTGCATTTTGAGATTGATTCCATTTTTGGTTATTTATCTTTCTGAACTTGTTTTCTTTATTTTATGGTTGATTGCTTTTGCTCTTGTAGCAAATGATTTCGGTAACTTTGGAAGTTGTACAACTGATGGTAATACCTTAGAATGGTGTAGAGAAGGTAAAGCATTAATTGCATTCACTTTGTTACTTTGGTTAAAATTTGCTTTTTCTTTGGTGTTAACTCTGGCATTCAGTCTTATCCCTCTTTTGTCACTGTCGGATAGTATATTTTCTGTAGTTACTTTAACTTCAAACAATTTCGTTAGGGGTGGAATTTTTCTTAAGGGTGACTGTCAAAGGAAAGATCTGAAGAAAGATCTAGAAGCTGCACCTTCAGAAGAAAAAGAGATTGATGTCTCTAACGAAGATATTAATCATACTGCTCTCGAAGAAGTTTTACATATCCAAGAAGAAGAAGGAGGATCTTCAGATATTAACCATGATATTTCAAGTTCAAGAGAGATAATTATTTCTTGAGCAGTATCTTTAAATGGCGATCATATAATCATATTTATTCTGAATATTCATCATGTTGTATATTTAAACATCTGGTATAAAAAGCTATCTAATTTCACTATTTTATTTCTATCTTTATATTAAATACTAATAGATTCAGAATTGTCTTACTCTTTAATATCTTTCTTAAAGAAAACGTCCAATGAACCCTCATATAGATGTGGAAGTTTAGCAGCTCCAGACTTAGTGTACCACTTTCTCTCTGACCATATACTTTCACTAATTGGGGCACCACTTGCCTGAAGTTTTTTGGCAATAACTTCATTTTCTTTCCAAACTCTCAAAATATTTCCACCCATCAAACCTCTTATTTGTTCATCAGTTGCTCCTCTTTCTATAGCCTTTATTAATAGATCAGGATATTTAGATACATCTTCTAAACCTTCTGGAGCACTATCAATACCATCGAAATCACTGCCCAAACCTACAGCATCCCAACCAGCAACTTCAGCAATATGAAAAATATGATCTAAAGCATCTTCAATAGTTACCTTTTCGGTATTCTTTTCAGGATTTTTTAAGAATGCTGGATAAAAGTTAACTTGTACAACTCCTTTGTTCTCTTTGACTTTTAACAAGACATCATCTGGTACATTTCTGAGATGAGGACACTTTGCATACGCAGATGAATGAGAAAAGATTACTGGAGATTTTGTAACTTCTAAAGTATCAATCATTGTTTGATAAGATACATGAGATAAATCAACCAACATCCCAATTCTGTTCATTTCTGCAATACATTCTTTACCTAACTCTGTTAAACCCTTATCTTCTAAGCCTGCACTAACTGAACTTGCAGCTGTTGCAAAGGGATTATCACAATTATGAGTTAATGTGATATATCTTACTCCTAAATCAAAGTATTTCCTAACCATGGCAATTGAAGCATCACATTGATGTAAACCTTCGACTCCAATAGTTACTGCCAATTTCTTTTCTTTACGATAAATCTCTAAAGCTTGATCAGAATTCCAAGCAAATTTCAAATCATTATCATACTTTTCAATTAATCTTTCAATAACATCAATTTGTTCAATAGTATCTCTTACAATAGGGGTTCTATAATTGAAATCTTGAGATAAACTATCAGGATAACGACATCCAATATAAGCAGAAAAGAATTGAACTCCAAGTCTTCCCTTCTTTATTTTAGGTAAAGATGTATGATTCAATAATTTATCATCATTGAAATCAAAATTAGGATCACTATTTAATATATTATGTAATTGGATCCGTAAGAGATACGGAAAATCATTATGTGTATCCACAATTGGAGTATCCTTTAATAAATTTTCTAATCTTTCCAGGGGATTGGATTGATTCAGAGATCCTTTCCATAAAAAGCTCATAATAATCTTAATTTACAATTATACACTAATGAATAGTATGTTCAAAATGAATTCACTTAAAGTGTGGATTAAATATATCAAGTAATCTGTGGTTCCCCTCTGTCGCTTATTTTTTCTACAATCGGCTTATCACAATCCCTCGCCGAAGCATAGAGATTCTACACATTTAAACCTTTTAGACAAATCATAACCCGATCTTGATATCCCGAATCAAAATTATATGATACTTTGTTATAGGAATTCTAAATACTTTCCACTCCTATTGGTTCAAAATTTAAATAAGATAGATAGTCAAACAAGAAAGCTTAGATTTCAAACTAGACTTCAAAACTTATGTCCTAAAAAAGCCAACTGTACAATAGATTATTGTTAGTAATTATTTCTTAAAATTATATTGTAAACAAGATAGAAATTAATCGAAACACTTCATAAGGTGTTAGTTGATTTCAATTTTAACCCGAAGACATTGTAAATGGGTTAAATCATGACGATAACGCATGTAAATTCTAATCATTTTGTGATAGACGATTAATTCAAACTTCTTATACTTGTTAATAGTAATATTAAACATACCATTTGATATGTGAAGAATCTTGAGTTTGATCTACACAATTTTATAGTAATAGAAAAAGAGAAGAATAGGTTAAAAGTTCCAAAAAAGTTTTCATTGAAATTTTTCAAGTCGATGACATTTCTGGCAAAAAAGTGCGATTAGCTACGACAGTTTTTTTTTGCAGTTTTATTTAGTTAACCCTAAAAGACAATATACTATTTTACACTAATGGGCAGTAATCTTCTCATGATGTTTCTTTAACTCATTACACAAACCAGCAAGTATATCCGCCTTGGTAAGTATATCATCGTCATCATCATCATCAGCTTTCTCATGCTCATGAGCATCTGAACCAACTGTAGAATTAAGAATTCCTGCTCTTGTATTCAAGGCAGCCATATCATTATCATTATTATTATTTTCCTCAACTTTAGCAACAGATATACTTTTATTTTCTGACCTTAATTTAGAAAGTAAACTTGTTTCAGACTTGACAATATTTGGAATAGATGAATACATATAAGTGTACCAGATTTCAATTACTTCAGTAACGTTCAATTGCGGATAATCTGATAGATTCAAAAATTCAGAGGCAAAATCTCCTTCATTCAGTTCTGAAACCTTATCAATTTCCATACCATCACTTTCATTGCTTGATTGTTTGAAATCTTTTAATGTAAAGTCAAACTTGAGAAGATAGAGAGCCTTCAAATTAGCATATATATCTTTGGTTTGAATAAAAGGAGTAAATAACTTCTTCCTTACTCCAACCCATTCTATAAAATTATCCTCAAAATCAACTCTCATATCTCCAAACTTACCATCATTCATAAGCTTCAATAACAAATCTTCCAATTCTTCAATATTTATACGTAGCTTTCTCGTTAAATACTCAAATCTAATTGTTTTGTAGGCTTGGACGTACTTTAAGATGAGTTTTTGTTTCAAATTAACTGATATCTGAAATAATGCGTGTTTAAATACTTCATCATCACTCAATGGATCATTTTCAGTATTAATTTTATCAGTAGTTTGATCGAACTTTTCAATATTCAATTCATCATAAGCTTTAATCAATAGTAATAAATTGGAATATTCTGCAAGCTTTGCATAAGTTCGTGTCTCCTGAGACTCAAACGGATTAAACTCACTTTCTGTTAATAATGAACATAAAGCAACATACTTTAATATTCTATTTTTCTTTGGCAAACCTGCAACATCATAATTCTTAAAACTATCGTAGAATTCTAATCTTGCTTTCTCATAATTTCCCCTAAAGAACTGTACTTTTGCACCACATTCTTTAATAGTAGCCAAAATTCTAGGATGTGTGACAGCCGTAGTTATGTCTAAACTTCGGCGATACAATCGACTCAAGGTATTGAAATTTCCAATTTCTTTGTGTGATTCATATTCAATTTCAGCAGCAATAACTTCTAAAGAGTATGAGTTTTTGGTATTTTCATTAACTTTATTCAATTTTTCATTTATAGACTTTAACAAATCTGGACATTGGTCGAACAATCCACTATCGAGAAGAGAATTAAGTCTATTTATATTTATCTTGAGCCATAATCTATCAGTACTGATAGATGATACTTCTGAGTTTTGTAAATAATTCAATATGACTTCATATACGGAAAGAACAAACTTTGTATTCTTTGAGGCAGAATAATTATTAATCATTTTATTCAAGGAATCTTCAGCGTAATCTCTTTTTACTAACCCTAGTACAGGTATGACATTTTGTAGATATTGTAGTGATTCTTCATAGTTTCCTAAATTGTAATTGATTTTAATGAGTTGCTTATATGACTTAAATACCCAGTCAATATTTTCAGTATTTTGTTCTACACCATCGATTAATGATTTCAATTCTTTAATTGCTCCTAAAGGATTTTCATCTTTCAAGTTCTTGGCGGAATAGTACTTATTTTGCTAAATATTATGTTAGTATTCAATTGCATTTAGACATGTCTAATGATATATACATACCAATGCGATATCCTCATCTTCTTCTATTACGTCATTGTCTTCGTTGGCATCCTCGTTTTCATCATCTTCAAATTCAAATTCAAATGACTCTTCATCAGAGTAGAAATCTCCGTCCTCTATTTCTTCGTCATCCATGTTACTGTATACTGACTGGTTTGATAAGCTTGTACTTGTGCTTAAATGGTATCAAATTTAAACTTCCTCTCTCGCTGCGGCAATATGCAGAACTCCCAAAAATGGGGAAGGCAATTCGGAGCAAGCGCCCACAAGTCACAGGGTAAGAGATGGTAATTCTAAATTTACAAGTCATTGTGGCCATTTGGTTAATGGGGTATTTTGGTAGTATCTGTTCAGCACAATCCTGGATGTGTGTAAGTACATGCCTTGATAGGTATTAAATCAAAAGAGAACACTTCGGAATAAGCATATAACTACGAAGATCAATTGGAGAGGTAGCACGACTGCGAACAAAATCCATATATGATGAGTTTGTATATAATTACCTAATTGATAGATATATAATAGCAAATAATAAGTTAACTGCATTTCTTAGCATCACTGCAGTACTTAATTCCTTATTAGGAACACAGCGACATTTTCAGGCTCACTTTTTTTCAAGTAGCTGCAAATTTCGTTCCATCCCTTTTTTCTCAGGGATTCCTGATTCCTTACAGCCTGAGTCGAATGCCCACACATTTGATACATGCTTAAAGTACGTTTGGAGTTTGCTTATAAAGTTGTTTTTTAACAAAATATTTCATTCAAGAATTAGAATATTAAATTATACTAAACAGTAAGAGAATAACTATATAAAGGGACATTTATAAGGAAGTGTACCCTAGAAGAACATGAAATAACTTATCAATCATTTTAATCATTTTCTTTTTTTTGGATATCATTAATCATGAATATATTAAGATCAGTAACTCATTTCGTCCACTGCTAAAGAGACAGTCCAGCTTATTCGCTAGCAGTAGGAGTTCCTTCATGGTAGGAAACATCTGGCTTAGATTTTTCAGTTTCAGAGAATCCTGAATCTTCATCAAGTAAGTCAAGTAAACCAACTTCCTTAAGAATTCTGTTATGGATTTCTGCTTCAGTTCTAGAAGTACCAGAAGTATCACCGAAAAGTTCATCAATTTCATCTAAAGTTCTACCTTTAGTTTCTGGAACGAAGAATTGGATGTAAATGGCACCAAAGATACACATAAGACCTAAGAAGATGTAAGCACCGTATTTAGCACTGGCAACAAAATCTGGAGTAGACATGGCGACAGCAAAATTGTTTAACCAATTAGAAGAAGCACCAATGGAAATACCCTTAGCTCTCATACCTAATGGGAAAACTTCGGCAACAATAATCCAAGCACATGGACCCCAAGAGTAACCGAAACCGATGGCAAAGATCCAAACGAAAACAACAGCGGCCCAACCAGCACCAGAGTGAGTAGTAAAATCAGAAACTGAACCTAAAATACCGGCAACAATGAAATGACAAACACCCATAACAATAGCACCAGAGACTAAGACAGGCTTTCTACCTAATTGATCGACCCAAAGAACAGCTGGAATAGTGGCAAGGAACATGACAATACCGACAACACCAGAAGCTAAAAGGGAAGTAGTAGTACCTGATAATCCTAAGGAGTCAAAGATGAATGGAGCGTAGTATAAAATGAAGTTAACACCAGTCCATTGTTGGAAAGTCATAACTAAACAAGCAACGGCAACTCTCTTGAAACTTGGGTAATGGGTGATCAAAGACTTATATTGTTCGAAACCAATCTTAAAGTTAGAAGATGCAGAACCATCTAATAAATGTGGGTACTTTCTTTCAATTAATTCTTTTTCAAATAATCTTTGAGCTTTCATTTCAAGGAATTCCATTTGAACTAATTGATCGTTCTTATCCAAGTTTCTTAAGTTAGCAAGAACATCTAAAGACTTATCTTCTAAACCTTCATTCATTAACCATCTTGGAGATTCTGGCATGAAAGTAATACCAATGGCTAAAATGATAGCTGGAACAACTTGAATTGAGATTGGAACTAAGTATGAAGCCTTACTTTGACCATCACCAGTACCACCAATAAAATTGGTACCGTAAGTAATCCAATATGAAATCATAATACCGAAAGTAATGGCTAATTGTTGTAAAGCAACTAAAGAACCACGAACTTCTGGTGGAGATAATTCAGCATTATATAATGGAACAACCATAGAAAGGATACCCACACCAATACCGACGATAAATCTACCACCTAAAATATAGGAATAGTGACCACCACGAACACAGGCTTGAACAATTACACCAAGAATGAAGAACACAACACCAGAAACAACAGAAAGTTTTCTACCAACTTTATCAGCAATAATACCATTCATAAGGACACCAACCCAAGCACCTAATTCTAAAATAGAAGTCAATAAACCTTGTAAAGTTGGATTGTCTTGAATCTTACCAACACCAGCAGCAATAGAGAAGGAATGCATACCAGAAATTTGACCAAACATACCTTGATTATAACCGTAGACTAAACCACCAAGAGATGCAAAGACTGCAATTAAGAATGAACGCTTGTTATGGATTAAACCGGCGACACCAGATTTACCGGCGATTTGTAAACGCCTTTGAGCAATAATTGCTTGAACATCACCACCGTCAGCTACGTGCATTTTGTATTATATTATATATCAATGAATAAACGTACTAATTAAAGTATTGAATAAAAAAGAAAAGTAAAAAAGAATTTATAAGCTATTTACAAAAAACAAAGAGAAGAAGATTAGATCTGGGTTTTATATAAAATGGGAATATATAGAGAAATTATGTGGTATAGTGAAATGAAAGAAGTAAAATTAATTTGACTTAATAAGAACAATAGAATATCTGCGTGTGTATGAAGTTTACAGATATTCCCACCCCTCCTCCGCATCTTCTGTATGCTTAATTTTTGTCCTTATGCAGATGATGTCGCTGTTGTATGTCAGTATGTGTCATTTGGTAGTATTAGCCGTAGGCAAAGTCCATGCAAAACAATATTGGATCCCCCTCAACCCCACACAATTTCTAGCTGTACAGGAATAATATCATTGAAAAAATAATTATAACTAACACTAGGAATGTCGTAAAGTAAAGTATGCGTAAACCAAATAATAATGATAATAATAAAATGTATACATTAATACTAAAATACCTAGCCAGCTAATAGAAAAGATTCAGGAAGGTTAATCCATGAAAAGGATAATGAATAATAATGCGGGACAAGACAAAATGTCTGAGATTTTTCCGAAGGTTAATCCTGACTTAGTGATTGCGGGGCAGTTACACAAAATAGATTTATACCGATAGATACACTTTCGTATTAAATTATTAGTAAAATGAGAGACATTTGGCGTGGCTGGATCAAAAAATATTTTTTGAAGCCTGTCCTACGTATTTTTGATTAGTCGGTATGGGGTAAAGGGAGGGGGGATTGACCTTCTTGTCATAATTCTTCCATTTTATTGAAGCTTTTTTTTAACACTGCCTATTTTATTTGAATTTTGTATTTAATATTTTTTGAAATGATAGTGTTGAATAGCTGTTTTGATTATTCAATGAATAATTATTCGGATCAACCCCACAAACTTTTGTTCCTTCCCTGAATTGGTTGGGCTACTGACACCTGCTTAAGGATCTTGGTTAATTAAAGTTGGTGGGTCTGTTCGGAATTTGCACTAAACTTTTTAAGTTTATGTATATGTTGCTCTACGACTGGGGTACAGGAATTTTTAAGTGGCTTTTTTTCTTTAGTTTTCTTTGCTCTGCTATGTAAAGAAACTCGTTCCCTAATTAATTCCGTTTATTTATGTAATTCAGACGCGCGACTCGGTAGAGTTAGCTCTTTATGTTACCATTAATTTACATTTTGTATTTACTAAACAGCAAGGATAAGAGACAGTTAGAATATGATTACAAATGTTTTGGTGGCTTTAGTTTTATCAACTCTTTGTTATTGCTTACTTTTGAATACAAGTCTAGTCTTTGACCCACACCATATAACTTTTCGGATCAATAATTTTATTCTATGCGTGCATAGATTATGGAATAATATTTTACCTTTCATCAACAAGCGCCACTTTCGTATCAATTTCAATTACCATAGTAATCAACCGCATGCTGGATAGTTTCATGTCGAATACCACAATCTGATTTCAATTGTCGTAATCACTTTTCAAATAATATGCAACTCAAGAGTATCTGCAATATCTTATAAACCGTACGGAAAATCTTTTCTGTGCATCATGATGATTTTATACAATCTAACATTTTATTTTTTTTGCCCTTACAATTTATTTTATTTTATTTATTCCTTTGAGGTGGGGTACAGAAAGCGGGGCTGTATTGGATCGTACCCCACATAATCATTATCCTTAAATACAAAATGAGAAGTACAGCAAAACAAAATTATTACAATGACCATTTGAGGGCAATAAATTAAGAAATAGTTGACATCAATTCAATCATAAAATCGAGAACAAAAAATAAAACAAATCCCCTAGATCTGGTCACAGAAGCAAAAACGAGAATTTTATTAAATAAGTTCCAGTTTAGGATGGAATTCCCCAAAATCTTATCACAGATTAATTCTGCTAAAGCGTACATATGTCATTCAAAAATCTTTAAAACAAAGAGTCGGATTTGGGGTAACTTCAACCTAAAAAAATAGGATGGGTACAATAGAATAGCTTTTTTTCGTAAAATGAAACAAACGTAAATGTTAATTGTTGCATTGTGGTATAGAAAAAAAGTTAAGCTATAATAGCGGGTTGTGAGCTCGTTGGGTTGTCCCCTACTCATCTCAATTTGTTATCTGAAATAAACGAAGCCCTTGAATGAACCAGTGACAACTCAACACCCGACCATGCAACTAATTGTTATTGTTACATCAAGCGAATAGCATACTCAAGATTAAAAACCTACTACGGTTATGAATTGCTCAATTGTTTTTGAACTACATTTACTTAAGCGATTTGACGCTTCGTCAATTCTAGCAAAGACTTTTGCATATGGGAAATAGCTTCTTTAATTAATTGACAGTGCGAAAACTACATAAATTTTCTCGACTGGTCAACAGGAGATTCTGCCTTCATCGGGTAATTCCCTTGATAATGTCATTTAATATTTATCAAAATTATATATATAAATTATATAATTTGATTAAGTAGATTTATTATTTTCTTACAGTAACTGGACACAGATTTATTAATAAGAAAAGAACTCTGTCAATTGATAGAAATTAGACGGTAATAATGATAATGAAAGACATATGCTCTAGACTCTCGCTAGCCCAAGGATAAAATTAATTAAGTGTATGATCAATTTTGATTATGATTCAATCTGATTCCTTCTATTGTATCTCTTGGTAGTAGAGAGGTTTATTACGATTTCAGGACAATTACAATTTGCGGAGTGCAGGCCAAATACCGATCTGTCGGACGCAGAATATGTCTGTCGTACCGTGCATGATTTCACCTTCCTCTTTTTTTTATTTCTAAACTTACGAGAAGTGGATTTTTTCCGCTTCAGTAAATGATTTATAGTATAGATTAATTTTTTCACTAGTGGTGTTATTGCATTCTCTTCATTAAAAATCGTATGAAAATGTATCGGACGACTTCAATCTTAGCATAGGCTACTATTGCGGAGAAAAGGAACTTGGAACTGTTGAAATTTTTTTTTAAAAAAATGTCGTTTTTTTCGTACGATTTTTCGTAATAAAAAATAAAATATTTAACCTAGGAAAGAAAAATTGTGTCATCCGCTAGGGTTGGCCCCTTACTATTTTTCCTAGTTGCGGGATTTGCGGCCACGAAAATGCTAGACTGGAAGGACTCACAAACAGAGCAAACAAAATTCACAGCTTACAAAGGAAGAACACTATGTGATAAAATTATTACGTTTTACCCTTTGTCTTTATAGTATATAAGAATAAAAACGATTTTCAAAGCTATTCGAGGACTTATATTTTAGAAGGTTGTTACCTCATAATTAAATGTAGTGCTTTAGTTAAAATATTTTTACAAATTGGGTTAAAATGAAAGATTATTTTCCGATTCTCCCCCATATTGCATTTGATATATCTATTACCAGTTTCCGTTTGATGATATGCTTTAATAATCAATATACACTAGATATAAAATAATTGTTTCTTTAAAAAAGAGGGGCGTGTATAAGAATTCATAGGTAAGTAAAATTTAGAAATGTTTATAACTCAAATTTGTCTATACCTTTGCGACCAATTTGCAACGAAATTTTCTTTTTCTTGAACGATTTGAGAGAAACTTTAGAAAATCTCAATTTATATATAACAGATGTAATAAACATTAAAAAAAAATGAGTAGAATTATGAAGAGGAAGTCGAGAGCTAATAGAGAATCTAATCCTTCTTGTGCACCAGTCGTTGTAGACCACAATTAATGGCTCTGCTATAGTTTTCACCTGTTCCAGGTTTCTCTCAAACGTATTCACAATTTACATTATCAAATTATATATATGAATGAAAACTTTATAGTATTGATTGTAGAATTGTAAGCCTTGCTCAAGGGAGGATGATGAAGAAGAGCTTATTCCATGTTATAGATGATCTTGAGCTTTCGAGGACACCAATGTCTCTAGGTAAAATGGTTGCCATTTTCTTCTAGAGAGAGTGTATAATAACAAGTTCTACCAATTATGAATCTTAACTCTTCCAAACGAGAAGGATATTGGTGGTTTTGGCTACAAATAAAATGTACTGGCATGGTAGCATCACGTCACATGATATAAAACAACGTGATTCATTGATCACGTGACCAATCACGTGAGTTAACTGATTATAATTGATTCAGTTTAAAACTTTCCGCTAAAAAGGCAACTTGTCCGAGCGGTTAAGGAGAAAGACTTGAAATCTTTTGGGCTATGCCCGCGCAGGTTCGAGTCCTGCAGTTGTCGTTATTTTTTTAATTTTTTAAACTTAATTCATTTATATTGAAATTGTCTACTTATTAACTTTTAATAACTAAATCAACAGCTTTACTACTCATTCCAAGCCCGCAAAGATACCCGGAACCACTGGCACCATAATTATGAACGATCGTGCCGGTATTAGTGACTTCTTTTTCAATACGAACACCACCTTCTCTCCCTGGTCTAGCTCCAGCAACTACACGAAGAATTTGTAAATCTTTAATTGTATTACCAGTTTCATTGTCTTCCAAAAGCTTAGGAAACAATTGAGTGGTTCTTCTCAAAATATCTTCGGTTTCAAATCCATAAGTGTTAGCATCAAAATTTCCTGCTTGATAAAATCCTCCAAGAATGACTTCATGATTAATTGAGTCTGGCCTTTTAATTATATAGGTTGAAGCATCATCCCATAATGAAACACATTCTTTTATATGTGGAGCTCTTATAACAACAACTTGTCCCCTAGTTGGGAAACTTTTCGGATCTTCAACACCTCCTAAAGTCATTGATCCAGTTCCAGAACAGTTAAATACAAGATCTGCATCGTTTTCTTTGAATGCGTCATTGATGTGATTAATCTTTTTTCTTTCAACTGTAACGCCAATAGATTTCAAATATTCAAGAAGATTACTGATAAGTAAAGGACTATTGAAAACAAATGCCTTATATCTAACCCCAACTTTTGCAGTCTTCAAATAGGCTGGTGGTTCTACCAATTCATAATCTTCGACAAAATCTTTTATCTTTGCAAGATATGAATCATCTGGAATTTCATCCAAATATTCTGTAGAATAAACATTTCCGATACCTGGAGTTGGACCAAGTTTAGCTTTTAATTTGTCTAAATTCTCGTAAGTATATCTACTGTAAGGGAGATGTTCTTCATCAATACATGCTGAAAAGTAAGCACCTGCATATGGAGAAGCGTACTTAATGGATTGATCTCCAGGTAAAAATTCAGCAACTATTTTGATATTCTTACCCTCAATACCTCGTTCAGTTAATAAATATGTTGTATACAATCCAATGATTCCTGCTCTAGAGGAAGTATTAGTAAACTTGATTTATCTGTTAATTGGAAAAGAATACTTACCCTATGACAGTAACTTTAGACATAATGATATTGGTTACCTTTGGGATATGATTAGGTCTGTTAAGATGTACAAGTACAACTAGAAGTAGTGGTTAAGAATATTGAATGTCGTACTTCCTTACTGGTCAAAACTTAGATAGTCGTAATCTGTCGAAGTTTGTTCACTATCGCCAATTACCTAATCGGGATTTTTTTGCGACACGGCTGCGTACCGCATTTAACGGCAAAATTCCGAATTTCAAAATGCTTTGTTTATTAAATCTATGATACTATACTATACTATACTATACTAATGACAATGCTAAATTAATCCACTTAAGGTGAGTTTTTCTAAAAATGGGGGTAAATCATTTTTTCTTATTTCTATGACTGAACTATCAAAACTATCAATTCTTATCTTTGCTCCTGATGTATTTGCTAATTGTTGGAAAGCTACACTAAATGTATTTAATCTAGTAGTAACTGTAGTATCATTGGTATTGTTAGTAGATGCTAATCTTGAACGAGTTGATTGGTCCATACCACGAGGATATTTTGGTGCTAGACCAATTACCAAATATGTATCACTAGCAACATCTAAACTAGCAATTACTAATGGTTTTAATGATGATTTACTATTATCCATAATATATAATTCAGTAATATTTTCCATTAACCATGATCCAAGCTTATTCAACATCAAGGGATTGTTAAAAATATCTAAATCAGGAATTGATCCATCATCAAGAACACATAATCGGTATAATCTTAAGTTAGTCACCAATTTTCTATCAAGTACTGAAGTACCCGTTCTAAAAATAATTTGTTGAATTACTTTGGCATGATCTAAACCTTGTAGTAACAAATCAAACCCTTTTGAACGCTTGAAATTTGAACTGATGGTTTTATTAGTGTTCATGGTAGTGGTTTGAGTATTTAAAGCATCCCAAGACAACCAGAAATTCTTTACCCATGATTTCTCTCTACGTTCAATCTTTTCTTGAATTCTAGCTCTTTCATCTTCATCATCAGATACATCACCATTTCTATCATTTTCTGAGTCATCATTATCATCTCCCAATAACCTCTTGTCTACTTCAAATAACGCAGTCAATGATTCCACACATTCCATTGCAGACAATTGACCAGAATAACCAAATGTTCTGATGAATCCTTCTCTCACTATACTTTCTAACCCATACTTTGGTAAGTATCTACTGAAGATAAATGGTAATTGCTTTTTAACTCTGACATCCATATAGAGCCACTTTTGTTGAGCCATAGCCAAGGAAACTCCCATAGTTGCAAACATCTTATGCAACTTCTTCTTTCCTTCTTCAGTCCAGAGATTTAGCTTAGCATTAACTTGTGATGAATAGAAAAAGGAATCATATAGCGTCCAGTGACGTAACAAAAATAAGTGATAATCTAACTCAATAGTGAGTGAAGTAGAATCAGCTGTCTTTTCACCATTATTATTACTTACTGAATTACTAGAGGGTTTCAATCTTAGCACTTCATCTTTCAATAAAGGTTGAAGTTTATCATAAATATCCGGATAATCATTATCTAAAGAACTAGTACCGATGATAGCTAGCCATAAATATTCAATACTGGTTTCTCCAATTGCTGCCAATAATGCATATATAGTAGTGGAATTGGCAGTAATTATTGTTGTACCTTGATTATAATAATTTTGTACTGTATTTTCATGTTTTGATTTTTCATGCTTTGCTTGTTTTCTTCGCTTTTTAATTCGATTCTCATATCTTTTACGTTTACGATTAGTAGTATTTTCTGAATCCTGTGAATTGAATATTATATCCTCTTCATCATCGTCATCGTCATCTTCTGTTTCAGCATCTAGTTCATTGTCATCTTCATTTTCTTCATCATCATCTTCTTCTTCTTCTGATGAAGATTCATCATCTTCTTCATCTTCCATATCAGCAAATTTCTCTACCAATGTGATATAGGATGATTTTTCTTCTTGTAAATTAGCATCTACAAATCCATCGTCAAAACATACTACAACTGAAGATCCAAATAAATTATCCAAGCTCCAAGGACGATGTCCATCTATTATATATATCTTTCTCTTCAGTTTAATTTTAGCATGTTTCGATGCATCTCTTTTCAAATCTTCATTTACATCAAGTTCATCATCAGTTTCGTTGATATTATTATTATTGTTATTATTATTATTGTTATTATTATTATTATTATTATTATTATTATTGGTAGTATTGGTATTATCTTGTAGAAGATCTTCAACATTCAATTCAAAGAAAGCTTCCAAATCCAACATAGCACCACAACCAATTAAAATCACATTAGTGACATCATCATCCAATTTCAGATAATGTCTCTTCAAATCAGAATATCCAACCACTGGTATCATCTGATATTGAATCAACTCTTTTCTTAATAATACACTTAAGATCTTGGCTGAACATAATGCATCTATATTTAAACAAGATACAAACAAGATCAATTTACATGTTGAATGTGATACTGAACTTCGCCTTATTTCCTGGAAGGTAGCTGAATATTGATTCGGTGTAATATACATATATGTTTAAGTTGTTTTTTGATATTCTATGTTCTATTTTCTATGTTCTATGTTCAATTATGAATATGTATATGTATATGTTATGGTGTACTAATTCTATTGTGATGCAGTCATACGTATAATGTAAAGTGGGGAATGTGAAATATTAATTGTGAAATGGTTACCTTGTGATAGTATGCACAAAACTACTTGTTACCGATGCACAAATTCTTAATGTACAGAGTAGAATGTTGACTATTTGTAGTAGTTGATGTTTGTATGGAGTTTGATATTTAGTATGGAGGTTTGATATTTTCAGTAAGCATCTTTCAACGCGTACAAAAACTTTCCTGTACTGAAGCCATCAACGCGTCGGGGTGTGCAAATTTCACAGCCATTGATTTTTGTTGCAGCTACAGAGATCAAATCGTTCTTCATCACTAAATAGAGTCATCAGAGTATATGAGATGGTGTGAAGTAATAGTGTGAAGTAATAGAGGTCACATAGAAAATATTATAAACCTCACAGGATATGAACAGTCAATGTCAACAGTACCAGTCTCATATGCCTAAGAATGGAAGTTCTACAGATTCATTGTTTGTTAGTAGTTTATGTTATTTATTTTGAATTTCTATTGGGAAATCTTTCAATACAATGATATATAATTGTGAAAGATTGGAATAGGAACGTCTTACTATATTGATGAAGTGTCTGAATTTAAGGAATTACTTTGAAATTTCCTGTCTTTATCAATGACAACGTATTTAATTCACTATATAGAACACACATAGAAGAATAAAAGATTGCAAATGCATGTTGAAGAATCTTTAGAACAATTGAAAACTCTCAATTCAGCAAATGATAGAGCATATAGAGATTACGAATGCTTTTATATATGGTAAATTCTTTGCACGTGACCAAAATCGTGATTTTCACGTGATAATATGACCAAGAGATTTGTTGAGCCGAAATAAAAATCAATAATAAGGGCGTGTGGCGTAGTTGGTAGCGCGCTTGCCTTGCAAGCAAGAGGTCACTGGTTCGATTCCTGTCTCGTCCATTTATTTTTTTGAATTTTTTATAAATAGCTTATAGTGTTTAAAGACAATTGTGAACTCCTACATTGATTATAATATTCAGATTTATCAATGTAATATTACGAATGGGACAATATTATTGCTAACACAGCTCTTACGATAGAACAACTCATTTCTGTAAAATGGTTAGAGCACCTAGACATGGGAAACACAACTTGTCTCCACTTACCGTTTGTATCAATCTGGAGAGTTTTTCCCTTTGGCATAATTCTTGTCCAGAGATCTCTTCCTATCTAATCTGTTATATACTCTATATAAGTAATAAGTAGTGTCTACCCTATAAGTAGTAGGGTGATATATCAAGCCTGGTAAAAGTTGCACTGGATACTCGCAGACCAAAATCTGATCTCGGAGTACAGAACAAAGGCCGACTAAAAAAACGACATTTCAGATCCTCTGCCCCACGTTAGACCAACTGTTATATTCGTCATATTTATTATATTACACTAACTTAAACCTATAGCTGACATTTCTATACTGCTTCAGCCCTTCCACTAATCTGCGAATTTAATACGGAGTTAAGATTGCAGATTTACCAAGTTGCTCTAGAAGCAACGCTAGGGAAGAAGTTCGGAAAATGGGTTCTAAGGAAACTGGATGTATCTCTTCGAATACAGACGATGATAATGTGCCCTCCAGTTCTAAACAAAACATTTCGTCAAACTCAGAACCTTGGCTTATGATGTTAAAACGGTCATTTGCCAATAAATACATGAAAAAAGATGAAGAACGATATACTCCTGATGAAGTATATAATCGACGAATTTATCTTACTGCTCTTGCAGCATCTATGGCTGCTATAATTATAGGTTATGATGGAAGTTTTATAGGCAGTACTGTTACATTACCTTCGTTTCAAAATACATTCAATCTTGTTAATAATCCTAATGCATCAAATATAATTTCTAATGTTATATCAGTTTTTCATATTGGTTGCTTCTTTGGAGCTCTTGCATCATATCCATGTTCATATTATTTTGGGCGAAGGTTACCCCTAATTTTTGTATCAATAATAAACATTATAGGTTGTGGAATTATGTTATTAGCATCTTCAAGACATGGGTTAACTCCTTTATATGCTGGTCGTGTATTATCAGGTATAGCAGTAGGATTTTCAACTAATCTAACAGTAATTTATATTTCTGAAATATCTCCTCCTTCAATTCGTGGCCAATTAATTAGTTTCTATGAAATAGGTTGGAGAGTTGGTGATTCTGTTGGATTTTGGATTTCATTTGGTGTAGAACAACATATTCCATCTACATCCCGTAAACAGTGGCTAATTCCATTTGCTATACAATTGATACCGAGTGGTCTTTTTCTCTTAGGAAGTTGCATTATGAAGGAGTCACCTAGATGGTTGTTTCAAGTAAACAGACATGAAGCAGCTATTAGGAATTTGGTTTGGTTGAGAAAGTTACCTGAAAATAATGAATATATTGTATATGAGGTCAATCAAATTAAAGAATCTATAGAATACCAAAGAGTCAAAGTTGGTTTAGGACTTTGGGATCCATTTAAACAAGTATTTGTTCATGATACAAAATTATTAGGTCGACTTCTATTGTCATGTTCGTTATTCTTATTTCAAAACTTCTTAGGTATTCAATCAATTAATTATTATTCTCCACTTATCTTTGCTGGTTTAGGGGTTAATGGAGTCAGTAATACTTTGTTCACCACTGGTATGTTTGGAATTGTTAAGCTTGTCTGTACTTTCACATATATTCTATTTATTGTGGATACTGTTGGAAGAAGGAAAGCATTTATGGGTTCATCTGCTATTTGCTCTATATGTTTTTGGTATATTGGAGCATATCTAAAGGTAAAAGAATCATCACATACGATACATAATGAAACTCTGGCTGGTCCAGGAGGTACATTAGCAATTGTACTTATGTATATATGGATAGCGTCATTTATTCTTGCATGGTCTGGGGGTCCATTTGTTGTTGGTGGTGAAATTTTCGATCAAAACATTCGAGCTTTCATTCAAGCCATCAATGCTGCAGTATCGTGGATTCCTATATTTTTGATGTCAAGATTTACAACTCAAATGATGGATGCCATGAGGTATGGGACTTACTTCTTTTTTGCTAGTTTAGCATTAATTTCGATCCCATTCGTTTATTACTTTCTTCCCGAAACTAAAGGAATAGTTTTAGAAGATATGGATAAACTATTTGCATCTAATTTAAAAGCAAAGGATGCTCATAAAGTTGTACTTAAGGAAGCTAGAGATCAATCAAAACGGACATTACAAGATAAAGGGTTATTTAAAATGGATACTAATAAATCCAACAGCATAGAAATTATAGAAAAGGTGAGTACACCTCAAAGTCAATAAGAAGAGCTTCTTGACCTACTACTTTTACAACCATCCATTACAAATCCAATACAATAACTCCTAAACTAGTAAAGTAGAATGATAATATTAGCATATGGCGAAATCATGAGTAAGCAATTGTTATGAGTAAGCAATCATGGCTGATAATAGATGCGAACATTTAAAAGTGTGGTATAGAAATTGATATGTTTGTTGACTAATCATACTAAAAGGATTTTGGCTTTTTGGCTCATTTGCACCGCCTTACGATTATTAGAGCTACAATTAAAGTGTTTAAAATGCAATTTAGGAGATTTAGTGTAACTATATATTATTTAGGAGATTTAGTTGTTTAACCAATAGACACTTAGAATGATGAGTCATCTAATTCAACTGGTGGGGACTAGAGTGCATAATACGAACCTTTACATTGTATAGTACTGTTATAGTGCGTGACCGCCGTATTAGTGAGCTAGATTACACAAAAATTTAATATAAAGACAAATTGCAAAAAACGGGTTTAGGAAATACGAAAGGGGATATATGTTGTGCACTTTTTTCTTTGCTTAATTTGAGTGGTTCATAATCATAGTTATTAAGTAGGGAGGATTACTCATCATTAAAATCAATTGAATATGCGATACTCGCGTAATGATAAAAAGATCTGTACCACATTTTGAAAGTACATAAATAGACACGTATTTCTCTAAGTTGCAACGTCTATTATGCGTTAGCAATTATACAATATTAAGACTATAGAAAGTAATTAATAGTTAATTATGTCGCATAACGATTTAAAGAAGATAGATTCAGCTTCTGAATCAGTGATTTCCGTTCAATCAACTTTGGCCTCTATAAAGAATAAGACTAAAAGTTTATTCAGCCGTTCTTCAAGGAAAAGTATACCTGATTCTAGAAGATCTAGTGAAACTAGTACTAATAGTACTGATACTAATAATTCGACATTGAATTCTACGAATTCAGTTCCTAATGATAGACACACAAGATTAAAGACAACTACAATTTATTTGTCTTTAAAGTCTTAGAGCAATGGTTATAAGGTTAATAAAAAAAAAAGGTTTAGAATATAATTAGTTTGATACAATTATATTTTGGGATTTGTTTCAATTCGATATGGTATGATACTAATGGATGTCTGATCTCCATATATTTTCTATCTATTCTAATAATACAATTTTTAAATTTATAATTTTTAAATTTTTTTTCATTCAATTGATATTTGTGTGTATAGAAATGTATATGTATCGATGTATGTTTATCGTTCTTCAATATAATATTAATTCTAGAGATGGCATGGCTGTAATTCGTAATTGTACCTCTGCATCCGCCGTATACTAAGTAATCTAAGCCTTCCTTCACATAGTGCGCACAGTCGTAAATCGCACAGATTTCGATTTCGGTCCTGGGGGGCCACCGGCGAGAGACGGCAATAAACTGGAAAAAAATCATGCATATAAGCCGGCCTAATTGGGATTTTAATTTGGGGCAACTCCTTGAAAGCAATAAATTTTGATTTACTACATATATGGCAAGTGGATAATTGCTTGAGTTGTATAGTGGATGATTCTATGATAACCCCTTGTTCAAGCTATTTTTCAATCATATCGTAGTATCAAGTAACAAACCAACAAATAGTACTGGAATTGATTTTGTACCCATATTTTTACGCTTGCTTTAATAAACTTTATCCTTTTACAATAATTGAAAAAAAAATTTGATTAATTGAATGCCTGACGCTCCACAATCTCCTGTGAATCTTCAGCATGGTGTTGATCTTCAAAATTCCACTAATGAGTTAAAAAAATTACAACTCGGTGATAATCCAGCGGATCCGGCGGAACTCCTGCCAAGGACTAAAGTTACCGATGGGGATGAGCCTATTGAAGATATCTTTCAATTGAATCTTGATAACAATCATTACTCGGAGCCCAATAGTAAACATGATGAAAATGATATAGGAAATGGAAATGATAATGATGATAATAATGACTCTGATAATGACGAATATGATGAAGAATCTCCTTTAGGTTATACTGGAGAAGAAGAGATAATACAACAAGGAGATGAGCTAGAAAATGCTACTTTTGATCTTCACCTGTTACACAGAAAATTAACTAAAGATGATGCTGAATCTATAGTTGGTGGTGAATCATATAATGAACTTTCAAGTGCAACGGGACTCTCCAGTCAACAATCTACATTAATTACTGGTGCATCTAGCAGGTCTAGTACCACTACTTCCGCTAAGACTGATTATTCCTTATCATCTCTCTCTGGAAGATTTAACTTTCTTAATAATTCTCAAAAGGTGTTTTCATTTTCATTACCCTTTGGAGGATCTATTGAAAGACTTTACAAGCAAATTCATACTCATATACCGTTGATTAGGGTAGGTAGTGAAGATAGTACAAATAATACCAATGTTGAGATGAAAACTACATTGGAACGTCACCAATCATTAAGTACATTGGATGAAGACAAGTTATTTGAAGGTTACAAGGGGAGGGGTGATGAGAGTAGAATGAAGGCAATAAAACAGACAATCACTTCATCATTACTTCCAGATATCATCAACAATTCTGTTTTAAATTCATCTCCTTTAGGTCTGAACTATGAAACCATTTATAATCGTATAGAAGGAAATATAGTCATTTTGGGAGGCTACAGAGGATCGATTTTAAGAGATTCCAAAACTCATAAAAGAGTTTGGATACCTATCAAAGCAGGATTCAATCTTAGAAAGATTAATTTATTATTGGGTCCTACCAAAGAAGATGAGATAAATGCTGTGGACTATATGTATCCTGATGGGATTTTGAAAAACATTGGTCCAATTGATATTTGTAAGAAATTGATAAAACGATTATCCAGTAATCCCAAAGTCAATGTTCAAGAGTTTGGATATGATTGGAGATTAGGAGGAGAATTGATTGCAATACAAATGGTAAAGTTCTTACAGAAGATATATGATGAAACTGGGAAACCATCTATAGTTATTGCTCATTCAATGGGAGGATTAATGGCCACTTCAGCAATGCAGAAAAACCCATCATTATTCCGAGGTCTTATTTATGTTGGAAGTCCCTCAGAGTGTTTGAATATTCTCGGTCCAATTAGATTTGGAGATTCGGTTCTTCTCTCAGATAAGATACTTACTTTTGAAAGTAATTTCATGATGAGATCAAGCTTCAATTTCTTACCATTATCTGGTAAAGTATTTTATGATAAATTTACTAATGAACCAATTATACTTGATTTGTTTGATCCTGATACATGGGTGGAATATAATTTAAATCCATTAGTGTCTAAAAAGAGAAAACTTGCTGATGAAACTAGTCATACTATTTTGTCTGCCGTGCCTATGGATAATGGTGGGGGCAGTTCAATTCAACCTGTTTTAAGTAATGAATCATCCCTTCAATTTCCTACTATCTCCAGTATTGGTAATAAGATTAGAACCATTTCTACGTCATCTTTCAAGAGGAAGCATACCGATGACTCACTTAATTCTCCTCCCCAGAGTCAACTTCAAAGAGGAAGAGATATATTATCATCATATATGTCATCAAAGCGATCTTCCAGTGCTTCTTCTCGTAATAGTGATACTGATAATGCTCTTACAAAAACAGAATCTACTGATCTTTATATTGAAGAAAACATTTCATATCATTTCACATTTAAGGAAGCATATAACTACCTTAAAGAAACTTTGATTCTGACAAAAGAATTCATTTTATCATTAGATTTCAATCCTGAATTGGAAGATAAGTACCCTCCAATGGCTGTAGTTTATGGAAATAAAGTTCCCTCTGTTAGAGGTTCTAAAGTTAATGGAATTCAAGATATTAAAGATGGAAATTATTATAATTTCTTCTATGGTTATGGTGATGGAGTAGTTCATCAGAAGTGGTTGATGCCTCAAGGTAAAGGATATGACTTTTATAACCCTAATACCGGCAAGGGTCAAATTGTTGGTAAATATCCTAGCGATTGTGGTCATGTCAGTTTAATGACTGATTTCAAAGCTATGGGTCAAGCTTTGAATGCTATTCACGAAGCTGATAAAGTTTGGAAATATCGAAAGATGATTAAGCATAAGGAGAAATCTGCATAGTTTATAGTTTGTGTTACGTTTTTTTTTTGCATACATATATAAGTAGATATAATGTAATATATATGTCCTATTATTTAATACATGTTACTAAGATTAGTTACTTTTAAACCAATACAAGTAATCTTACAAGCTATAAAATCTCAAAATAAATAAATCATATTTTACTATAAGCTACTATCAGCATCTGGTATTGTACCAACAGAGTGATATATTTCTGGGTCAATAGATCCAATATAAGCTCTATCACCAAATCCTCCTATTAAATAAATATCTTCAACCTTAAATTTAACCCAATGGGATTTATGAGGACTTACGATTGAATTAGGTAACCAATATCTAGCATCAGGATGTCTTCTTAAGAAGGCTGTCTCTAACTTTATTAAATCTATATCCAAAGGATTTTTATATGTCTTATTAACTAATTTCCCCGTCAATTGAACTCTCGGAGATCCAGCAGGTGAATTTTCAATACCTCCAGGATATTCTTCATTTACATCATCATTAGTAGGATGATCTCCGACTCTAATTGTTAAAGAAAATTCTGAACCTTTAATTATATTTTGATTAGTTGATCCAATATCTACTAATAATAAGTATGGATCACCATCTTCATCTACATCCACATAATATTCTACTGAAGATACTGGAATTGATTTATGAATTCCATTACTAATTATCTTTTTAATTGTATTTATATTAGTTAATGATTCACGAAATACTAAAGTTCTGGCTATAGATGCTGCTTCAATCTCACTAGGGATTCTATTGCTAATTATTGTTTGCTCTTCATCAAATCTAATTGGAGTCGCACCTGCACAAACGCAAGCTATCAAAATGTATAATAAATTAATAATTAATATCATTAATATGTTAGTAGTGTTGTAAACTACAGAATAACTTAAAAGTAGACTATCCAATTAATTATTCAGAGATATCGCTTCTTTATTCTTAAGGGGTTAAACACTACGGGGCATGCGCATTTAAAAATTATTTTTTTGGGACAATAAGTTATATATTTTTCTGTACATATGCAAGGAAGCGAATTGACTCTATTGCAACTAGAAAACTATAAATATAATTACACCGGTATGTAAAAATAAAGCTTAACTACTATTAGGTAGTCATAAAGTCCAAAAAAATGCGCAAACCCGGAATCGAACCGGGGGCCCAACGATGGCAACGTTGGATTTTACCACTAAACCATTTGCGCAAACTCCGCGACGGGGAATTGAACCCCGGTCTACCACGCGACAAGCGGTAATTCTAGCCACTAAACTATCACGGACTTTTTGTTGAAGAATAATTTTTCTTAGGTTTCGAGAGTTGTGCGGATCACGTGAAAATCACGTGAGTTTTCTTAAAAATTCTCTTAAAAGTCGGTTAATTCTATTAATGAAGGTAAAACTTATCCAGAAAGTAACCTTATCACATCTAGAACATACTCTATTCCTTTTGCGGTAATTTAAGACAATTTATGCTAAAGGGAGATCGGTTAAAGAGAAATTGACATTGAATCCTCAGTCAGTTTTTATAGGGTTATTCAATATCTACTCCGTTCGTTATGAGTTTTCCCCAGACTATTATATACCCACTTATGTCTTCTAGTATCTAGATCAGGCTAAAAAAAGCCTTAATTGATTGACTTCAACGACTTCCAACCAGCACTATCCTATTTTAGCAGTCCAAAAATGTCGTTAGTCACGTGATTAAATTTTCTTCTCATATAATGATAAGCTGCAAAAAGGGCTCCAGACATTGAACTCTCGAATTTCACGTTTATCGAGATACTTCTATCGAAATATTTGGAACAACTACTTAGTTATATAGCTCTACCACTGAATACTCCACAACTGAAACTTATTAGTACTGTATGGTCAAGAATAGCATTTTTCCAACTACTTTCATAGTCACTGTAACATAGTTATGACTTGGCTTGTAGATATAAAATAGTTCAGAAAAGCTTTAATTCCCTGTCTAGACCATTGTGGTCGACTATTTGACTATTCCGTTTATTTTAACCGACATTTTACTAATTAAGAAAATCTGTCTGTTATTACAAATATTTAGTATTTTATAGAGTATATTTGACAAATTTTACTAAAATAATATAAAAGTATAAATGCAGGGTTTAGAGGTAGCAAGTAAAGCAAGATCAACGGTTTGTGAAATATTCTAATCCAAATAGAACATATCGACTTCAACTGCCACCATAGTCGAATTAAGTAATTTATTGGGCCAACGCTCATAATATATATAATAAAAAAAATCTTGTTTTCATAAAGTTGTGCTCGATAATTATGGAGTTCCGAAAAGTTTAACCTTAAATAATTCGCTTATGGTAATGAGAATAGTATTTTGGAAAAATGTCACTTTGATGGTTAAATTTCACTTTCGTGAAATAAATTGTCCGATTTATAGAGGCTTTGGTGAAATCTTCAAACCATATAATTTTGTAACTCTAATCCAATAGCAACTAGGCAAACTTAATTTAAGCTAATATGCGCACAAATTAAATATTAAGGATACAGTTAGTAGTCATAGTTGCTCCGCTAATTTTGCCTTGTGCATATTGGTTCTTGGTAGTACTAAAAATTTAATGTGAGGAATATTCTATGCATGCTTATTAACACCCATAAGTTGCATGAGCATCAGCAGCATCAGCAGCATCAGCATAAGCAACACAATACACTACAGTACATGACACGACCGTATCGTGCTTTGACTACAAAGATCTCAATATTTTACTTATTTTACTTTGGTAAATTAGTATAGTATAGTATAGTATAATATTGTATAATAAAAAGACTTATAAAGATATCTAATAAAAGTACACTCACAAGATTATTGTGATTAGCTGACTGCTGTTTAGTTAAAACAATAGCAATAATAGAAAGACAAGCAAGGGGTAGAACAAAGAGTAGCAAGCAAACAAAACAAACTTACCGACTTTGCCAAAACTTAACAAATTGGAGAAAACAAAAATGAACTGATAATATCATGAGTAAAAATAATAAAATCTTCGTAATATAATACTGGGGAAAAGAATGGAATGGAAAAATGGAATGAGTAGAAGAAGATGACAATGAAGATGACAATTACTAGCAAAAATATCGTGGAAGTATGAGACAAAATTCTAGGAAATTATTAAACGTATAGACACTCTAATAACTAATTCATTGATCTTCATCAAGGCCTTTTTGGCCCTATTTTTAAAAACCATACAAAAAATCCTCTAAATGAGATCATTTCTAATTGTAATAAATATCTATTAATTGGCACAAAAAGTAATTAAATACTTCTCTATATTCTATTATGATTGGATTTTTAAAGATTGGCTTATTTTTCTTCCTTCTTTACAGAATCTTCTGAGCCATTTGCTGCAGAGGAAACGTTTTGGTCATTAGATGCAGTTGGAACTACATGAGTTTGAGATTGGGTTGAACTATGAGTTGGAGTTTGTTGTTGCAGTTGTTGAGGTTGAGCTTGCGCTTGTTGCAGTTGTTGAGCTACTTGATGTTGTTGTTGCTGTTGTTGTATTTGTTGAGGATGACTTTGTGGTGGCAATTGTTGATATCCATAAGCTGAATAGACAGGTTGCTGACTACCATATGAAGAATAATTATAAGGATAATATTGGTTTGGAACAGTTGCAGCAGCAGTGGTGGTAGCACCATAATATGGTTGTTGATATCCATATGCTTGCTGTTGAGCAATGGCTTGCTGATATTGTAATTGTTGATAATTTTCAGCAGAAGCAGCGGTAGATGGAACAGCAGATTGCTGTTGAGGAGATTTAGAAGCTGCAAGAGCAGATGCAGTACCAGCAGCAGTAGCTGGAGTTGAATTTCCATTTAATTGAGTAGCATATTGTTGAGCATACTGTTGACCATATTGTTGTTGATAGTAACTATTCACATTGGTTGGAACAGGATTTGTACTTGGAGTGGTAGATGCTTTGGCAGCAGCAGGATTTGAATTAACAGCAGCAGCAGCAGCAGGATTATTTGAAGCTGTTGATGGAGTTGCACCAGTTTGAATGACACGTTTTATATCACGTACAAATAAAGGATAAAGTAAATCTACAATTCCTTCTCTTTGAGCCATAGCTAAAGCTCTTTCAAAAGGAATCCAAACCCCCTTCAAATGCATAGATCCAATTTTAACAACATGTCTTACCTTTTCTGATTTCAATATACCATCACGACGTCCTCTAGTCATTTGAGCAACATTTAACAATTTTGTACCATTAATCATATTATTGTCAGCTCTTCTTACAACTGAGACATTATTAGCATCAACTTGATAACATAAGGTCTTTTCATCTTCCCACATAGTAGTGGTAACTCTTGGTCTTATGTCAGGAGGTTGAAATTGTCCTATAGTTGAAGTAGAAGCTGGATTAAGAGTATCTGGAATAGGAGTTGATTGAGCATTACTGGTTGCAGAAGGATTTGGTGGAACACTTGAAGCTGTACCATATACACCTGTAGCTGCACCAGTATTAGAACTTATTTGATTATAATGTTGAGGCTGAGGTTGAGATAATTGATTTGGAATGGTTTGTTGGTACAAGGAATAATTTTGAGGTCCAGTACCAGCAGCACCGGCAGTAGCATAACCAGTTTGATATCTTGCATATCCATATCCTTGATCTGCTACTGCATTATTTGATTGTTGGTATTGTTGTTGTTGAGGTTGTTGCAGAGGTTGCAGTTGTTGATTAGCAGCTGCTGAGGCTTGTAATGGAGGTTGTTGATTATACATATAATATGAAGTATATGCTTGATTTGGGTACAGTTGTTGAGAAGCAGTAGCACTTACTGCTGGTTGTTGTTGTAATGATGAATTATAATTTCCATTCATTGTATGAGTATTATTATTGTTATTATTATTAATGTTATTACTCTTGATAGTACTTGGACCTTTAAATGATGATATCAGAGAATCGGCGTAATGCAATTGATTATTAGAATTTAACAGGGAAGGATACGTCGTTTTAAAATCTGAAAGCATTCGATAATGAACTGATCTAAGATACAAACAAGGTAAATTGACCGGCGAATGAAATTATCAAATTACAAACAATGTCAATTTTCCAAATTTGACAAGATTTATAATTTACTATCTATAAGATTTTCAATGAATATAGGTGATTACTTAACTGTTTAGATGAGTAATCGTGGGCCAATTAATGGAAAATTTTCAAAATTTGGGAGGACAATGAAAAATTTTGTAAACGAATGGAAAATGATTTTAAATTATATATAAGACCAGGTTGATGGTTGGGATGAAATTTATACTGATCAACTAGCGAGTTAAAATTACTTGCTTAGTTATGAGTGAAATTTCTGAAAAGTTTCCAAAGTTGTATGTAAACAATGCAGTTGTTGACAGTGAAATCAAGTCAAATTTTAAAATTTCGATATGGATGCACCAACTGAGTGAACTTTGGTTAGAGTATGTTTTCGTCTAGAATGACTATGGTGTTGACAGTGTTCTTACACAGATGATACACCTGAATATTTCAACGATTTTTAATATCTCTATAGATATTTTATATTTCAATTGATAAAGTAGATGCCTAGGCTGTATACTGAAACTGTTAATGGTAACAGTCTACTATCCAATGAAGTAACAACCAAACTACTTAAACGAATAAAGCTATTTAAGGACAAAAGAATTGTTTTAAGTAAACTAAAAGTCAGATTTAATAAAAATATGTCTTCCTTTACATATATATATGTAAAATAAACTTAGCAGTTCAATCAAGAAAAACAAAAAATTAAGAAAAACAAATGCACATTAAAAAAAAATCGATGAAACTCAAAAAAAAAAAAAGATTTTTTATAAAATTTTATGTACAAGATACAAGTTGTTAAGCAAAACATTAGTGATTAAAAAAATAAATTATCACTTTTTCATGCATCCTGCACGTTGTTAAGTGCTATGCATAAATAATAATGTATTTGAGAAATAAAAATAAAGCGAATAAATTATAGAACAAGTAGAAGAACATTTTAAAGTTCAAGACATTTCTTTTATTTCATATTTTTTTTCAGACAAAAATCGTGTGTTTATATGGACAGTCAATGATGTAGATATTTTCAGCCTATGATGTAGATATTTTCAGCCTATGATGCTATCTCTTCTGACACATTATTTTGTTTGTTTACCTTAATATTTTAACTCTTCCTTAGCCGTTGGATCAAGTGACATTGCATTTACAAAGGTTATTGCAAATGCGGGCCGTTTCTTAATGATTGGTTTGTGTTTCGTATCGCTCTTTGCCTGACGTTCTCATTTTCGTTTCTTCTCGTTTAAAGTTTCGCCCTCGTTCGTACTTAGTCTTAGACTAAGATTTAGACATCAAAATTGACATTTTTATAATGAGTATTTAGAAATATTAACAGCATAACAAAAAGATTTCGGCTATTTGTATGTTCCGAAAGATACTCTCCGACCCTAAACAAATTAGTTGACAAAATTTGTAATATTTGGTATGTATTTTTTTTGTCACTCATAATCAATACTTGTGAAACATAGTTAAATTTATTTTATGGAGTTTAGGGTGCCAAACAAAAATAAATAAAAAAAAAAGAAAAAAAAAGAACTTCTCGCTCATAAAGTCGGACATTTTGTCAGCATGGCTTATATTTTCTTTCTCCTAATAAAAGTTTTGTTTAAGATTTGAGATGTTCGTAGAAAATCTACATTTTTTTTATTACTATGCCAGACAAAATTGCTTAGTAAAGAAACAGGCAATATTTGTGATTAACATAATTGTTAGCTGATGAGATACCTTCTGAACAACCTATTGAACAATGAGGTAATCCAACCAAGGGGTCCAAACATACCCAAAAGCAAGACCAAATTTTCAACAATTACCAAATGCCGAACTAGTGTGTGACACCGAATCACACTTGAGCGATGACAATCACGTCACCTACGCACAACGGTAACAATCAAAAATAGAATAAGCAGAAAAAAAATATTTATGACTCGATGAATCTCCTCGTCACCGGTATCTACTTCAGTAGTTGCGTAATAGGCCGGATATCCGACCAACAAGGATTAGTTAAAGAATAAAACCAACGTCATTGGATTAACCGTAATTCATAACTAATACTACCAGCCGTATTCAATTGTGCATTGGAATGGCTTAAATGGACTTGAATCTCATTCTATGAACCTTAAAAACCCTCTTATCAAACTATGCTGCAATCTGCATTATCGTTTTACCTTGCGAAATGTAGGGCTGCTTCCCAAGTAAATTTAAAGTTTATTCTGACGGGTAAACCTACCGAACGTAAAAAAATGGTGAGGCACGTAATGGAGAAGAATAAAGGACATTAATGATGTTCTTTCTGGTGGCTTCCCCACGTCAGAAAGACATACATCAACTGCTGGCAAACAATTACATCGATTAGCCTGTACATATCCAATAGGAAGCAAATGTGTGGAAATTTTTATTTTACAGATATCTTTTACAGCAAAATACGTATTTGACGTTCGATGCACTTAGCTGTACCTCTCATTACTTCGGGCTCTCATTATTTTTGGGTTTACAGCTCATACCTACTGCACATGACAGCATAGAAAATCCCAAATAAAAAGCTAATAAGATAGAGATTTATGTTCTAATGTAGCTTATCACCGAATAGAAGCTTCATAACATTTCATAATGAAACTGAAGTATTGAATTGCAAACATGTCATAACTTTAGATTATAGGTCAGTTACATATTTTTCTACGCATTAAATCGTAAGCTTGCAGTACTTTCGTTGATAAATTAATACATTAATCATTAACCATTAACCATTAATTTGTTAATTAGATGTAGTTCTCCAACTAAATTTAATTTAATGAATTTTTATTCGGTGTGCTGCTTTTAAACTGCGCAGAAAAACTTAATGCCTTGTACCCCTTTGGCGCATGCCAATTCTCTGTCAACGATGGTGTATATAACCTAAAAATTCAGAGTAGACGACGCCTTATCTGGAAATATGGCTTACCAATGTTTTTATTTGTTACGTGGGTAAAAGCAAATGAAGATGTTCGTTCTAACGAGGATATCATCAATAGCATGGTTAAGAGATTTGTACCCATACTTTTCACGATTTTACCGAGTCAGTCATCGCTTGTACCAAATGCACTTCTTACAAATATTTTTTTTGATTATGAGAATAAAACAATGAGAAAAGATTGGCACTAATATGTTTTAGCATACGACAGACAAAATAAAAGGTCATAAAGTAGAGCAGCAGTAACGAAAAGTACCTTACCTAAGAATAGGTGGCCCTATTCCATCAAATTATTTAACAGACAAATATTGGAAATAAACCCACCAAAAAATAATTGTATAGTATGACATTGTTTCCCATTCTCATTAAAGATTATGGAAATATATTGGTCGGAAGTGTACACTTTGAGCCTTTTCTTAGGTTTTGAGTTCAATTTTCGACCAAAAAGTCAAAATTGGCAAAAAAATAAATAATCAAAAAATAATAGGCAGATACTTAAAGTCATGCATTTTATTTTCTTTGTGTAACGCAAATCCGTAAAAGGTAAAATTCGTGATGTTATAAAACGAGCAACTACGACAGAGTCAGTAAAAATGAAATCAAATGCCGATCCAATCAACAAACAGCGAAAATAGCTATGCACATGATGTGACTAAATATTCAATGTTATAAGGGTTGTATTGAGAGATTACTTGAGAAGCTTCTTACATCTCGAAGGCACATCACTAAGTTTTCACAATGCTACAATACGAGAAATCAGTTAAAGGCTGTTCCAACCTTTTGTCATAATTGTCATATTTACTTTTTTTTGTTTACTTCTCAACAATTTTTATTTTTTGATTCCTCGACATAACTATACGCATGACATATCTGCAGTAACATGCACAACCATAATAATATTCTTGTTTTCGGTTTTGGTCGATTTTGCTGTTAAAATCGTTAGCCAATGGACCATTACCGACAATGCTATTCTTAACATTGCCCAATATTCATGTCATACGTAAGTTATATTTCTAGATAACATTCTAATTTTAGGTGTACTTCTATATTTAACGTGAATAGTTTAGCCATTGGAGCTTAAAGAAAAAGGAAATTGTTTGGAGCCATTGACGAATAGAATGATACCTGCTCTCTAAATTACGAAGCGGATTTCTCAAATGATTTGTTTCGCTATCATCTTAAGTTTTCAAATTTGAACAGAACAAATGATTCGGAAAGCTATATTTCGAATTGTTCAAAGAATCAAGGGTTTCTCTATAGGGTTCTGATATATACAGGACCACATAATATTAAAGAAATCAGTACAGCTTAGATGACCATAGCTTACTTCAAATAATTAACTGTAGAGATCAAGTTCACTCAATGCAACTATTGCTTTAGCGGCCAATCACCACTTCCCAAGTGTGCATTTTAAAAATAATTCAAAATATTTAAAAATAATTCCTCTAAAAATATATTTATTTTCCACATGCTTGCTTAACAAACCAACAGAAAAGTAGGAAAAAAATCGGAAATATTAATGCCTATTCTCGAAGTGATGAATAGGCGTGGAAAACATTATTATGTAGAGGACTGATTATGACAGGCATTGATTCACAATAAGAAGGCAAGTGAAGCAGTAGAAAACGGTTTTAATGTAGGGGTCAAAAATACACTTACGAAGCGTCAGAAAAATAAAAAAGAAAACTTAGGGGTTAAATGAATAGCAAGATAACAATACATCTTAGAGTAAAGAAATTAGTAAGAGGTTACGAACCAGGAGAGCAAGAAGGAGGAAAGAAGAAGAGAAAGAAAGTATTAAATGGCCGATTTTTCTTCCGATTTAGTCCAACAAAGATAAATAGTATTTTTCTAGTTAACAATTATAAGAAAATAAAATATATCCGCAAATCTTTTTTTTTACTCTTTAATTCCCCAAAACACAAGAAAACTTTATTATTCAAACAATTAACTATTGGTGTTTGAATCGGCAAATACGCATTCGTCTGGATTGAGGAGTCGAACCAAGCTTCTAATTCCACCATTTCTCTTTAATTAAAGTGAACTAAGTAAAAAATTCAATAAATCGTGAAATAATTTGTCGTGAAAAATAAACCTGACAAATAATAAAGAGTACAAGACTACTAACCATCCATCGTATGGATTTACTTTCTGTGCTCATCGCTCGATCTTTAATAAAGTTTCTCTTAGAATGAAAAATTTCAAATAGATTTAAATATGCTTTGATCTTATCTAGTAACAAAAGTTTTAAAGATAAGTGGAAAAAATATTACGCTTCATTCGACAAACGAAACCTTTGAGCTTTTACATTACATAGCATGACATCTCAGTGGGTGATCTTCTTAACGGCCTCGTATACGTGAATTGATTTTTTTTATCATAGAGAACAATAATAAATGACGGCTTTTAGATAAATGCATTACAATCATTTTAAATACGAAGCCAAAGTTCAATAGGAAGGCTGATTGAGAGATAATAGCAAACGCATCAGCATTTGAGGGCCATAGTTAGTAAAAAAATTCGGGAATCAAATGTTCATTCATCTTTGAATTTCGATTTTGCGAATCTAAGAAGTTGGGACAAGTCAGGCTTTTTCAATTTTTGCGAGTTACTTCAAATGTTGTAAGGGGTCAAAATATTTCTTTGAGAAATATATTCAATATTTTGTAACAAAAGCGTTATTGTCTACAATTTTGTATGCATTATGCGACTGATATGTAAGACTCCTATTTAATTGTTTGGTTTGGATTGTTCTTTATCTGTTTTTCTACGCAACGGGCTAGGTGATGGGGACACAATATTTGAATACCTTAAGACAGATAAACCTACATGAAAGTAGTATTCTTCGCTTAGAGTTAAATGTCCACCCGCTTTCTCAATACTGTTGTAAAGCACTTGATTTTTGTATTTCTGTTTGTAAGGCAGAAAAATCTAGCTCAAAGCGATATTCGAAATCTAAAAGTTTTTCTTTTACATATTTTGTCTTGCTGCGGACTCCTTACGTCAAAGAACAAACTCGTGAAAGATTTTTTTAATGTGCCCAAATCCAGCTTTTAATTGACAGATCATAAGCGGAGGTTGATCAAATCTCAATTGGGTTATCCTCATACATATAGCTTAATTATTACTATGCACAAACATTTATGCGTAGTGGCCATTCAACGTCTTTAACAATGATCTGTACATTTATTTTTTTCAGAAAATTGGTAATATTTTTTTTTCGTCACTGTATATTTATTTTTTGTATGAAAATAAATACATAGTTGGTAGGTTACACTTGCCGTTCGAAACAGTTTTGACCATCCGAGTAATGTCGTCATAGAACCGTGTTTCAATGAACATGCTATATTAAAGTAATTAATAATAATCTTTGCATTAGCAACGTTCCATTATTGTACTTGACTAAATCTAAATAAACGTTGAAAGGATCTAAATATTCAGAATATTTGGTGAGCCGTTTTGTCCCACCATTTATTTACAGCATTAACTTAGTGCTTGCCGGAGATAGACACACAGCGTAGACCACAATTAGCGTGTTTGTGTATTAATATTTTATAAATTTTCCCTTTTAAGTCATTCAATATACTGTCGTAAGTACTTGCTACTCACTCAGTATTCCGCCTGGGACCTTACTTTGATGAGACCCGATAGGCATCTTCTGCATACTTACTTCTGGTCTTTATTCAAGCATTGAATATGTAACTATAAACCGCTATTCATATTCAATGAATATTGGACAGCGTGAGCATTTTCGTCGAAGTTTAACTGATTAAAAGTACTAAAATTGTTAGTCTATGTAATGCCGAAAGGACCTTCCTCTCGAAGAAGATGCAAGAAACTTTACGATGCTTGGTCTAGCTATAATTTCAGAATGAATGTTTAGTAAATAAATAATTTCAGAATATCATCCACAAAATTTCAATTATAATTCACGAATCTTCGCAACAGCTTCAAAACAAGATTGTTCATTATATTCATTTACAGGCGTATTTCTTCCATTTCACTATACTAGGATTTGCTAAGATGAACGTTTTGAAGCCTGTTAATAGATATTAAATTCTATTTTACAGTTTATAGACAGAAATTTTTGGCAAAAAAGTCAATTTCTTAAAGTCAAATTTCAAGTCGACAAAAAATTCGCTTCTTTTTTTGTCTGATTTGCTTTGTCCCCTTTTTTTCCTTTGAGTTAGCCACCTTTTGTAGCCGACGAAAGGTAAAGTTGAAAACCGAAAACCTAGTAACAAAGTAGGAATTACCCTTATTATGCTACATTTTCTTGTAGTTTACCCCTCTGTTGTAGTTTTCTGCTGCAGATTATCATTTTTAATCAATTGTTATTTTTGCAACTGGCAAAGTCTGATTACTCTCCACTTGGTCTCAAGAATTATTTTGTTAAGCACCTGCTATGTATGTTCTTTTAGTGTATTGAGCAAGTATGTACCTCTAGCTGTACATTGTACATGAATTTCAAAGTTTGTTTACGCCAAACTTTTTTTTATTTGGGGCTCTGGTTTTTGTTGCCAAATAAAAAGAAATTCAGGAATTACGAAGTACACTGTTATCAGGTTTTTCGCAAATTCTCAACTATTGAGCAACCTTTTTAAATATATTTGAAGGTTTAGGAACCATAAACTGCTTAATAAAGGTTTGTTAATATCGATTATAAACAGCCTTCATATTAAATATAATTCGAAAATTCTGTGATGGTAAGATTTAGCGACTTTAGTGAGATATGGATTTGACTACGTGATTTGTAAGGTATTTCTGAAGGATTACTTAGTCATAGAATTAAATCAGATATTCTGACAATTGAGCCAAAACCAAATTCTCATATACTCAATTTGCTGGATTTGGTACTTGATAGGTTTAAATGGATATTTCTCTATTGCTTGTTCCACTTTTATGATGTTTTCATCTTACAGCCGCCTAACAAGTATCTACATTTTATTTTCTTCCACTTGGTGATAATACTAAAAATCCCACAATCAAACAGAATAGGGTATTTATATCGATGGAATGATCTCAGAACTGAATCATTGGATAACTAATAAATGTTTGGAGCAAATCTGTTGAATTAAAACAAGCTGTGGCGAGTGATTACTGAAATAAAAGGTCCTGGTTAAACAGAATATCGAGAAATTACACACAACTTTTAGATCATAATAAAGAATATTGAAAATTATTAATATTACTTAAATTATTTTCTTAATTAAAAATAGCAATGGAAAATTTTAGATGAAAGCAGTATACGTATACCATTATACCCAAAAAGCAAAAGATGACATTGAGCAGTATGGCTCCATAAATAGAATTACTGAAGTTGATCACAATTAAGTAATTTGATTTAATAGTCGAACAACTTGTCAATAAATTTCATCTCAATTAGGACCTTTATAAATTGAATAGAAATATAATTTATCCAAAGCTGAGGAGTTTGCTGATCCTCTTGGTATGCTAATGATATTGTCGAACTCATAGTTTACTTGTGGTTCTTTACAAGTCTTTAAGCAGGAATTTAAACAAAGAAAATAATCGAAAGAGATCAATGATTAATTAGCTATTTTTGTTTGTTTTGACAACGTTTAAGAGAATTACTTAGACAACCTTAGAAATTATTGAGAAATTAATTAAACAGACAATATTAGTACTAGCTTATCATTAGAGATTTTATTAAGTCAATCAAGTCTAAAAGTCATGATTTACTAAATATACAATTTTTTCAAAGAAGTGGAAGTCAAACTTTTTTTATTAGGATTAATGGCATTAATGCTTGATTATCATGTTTCTTTATTGCCTATTGCGGATTTGCAACAATTGATTCAATGTTGCTTAACATTTGATGTCCATAAGAAAAAGATTAGATATAACCCAGTAAAAGGAACAAATTCAAGTACACTGTCTATTTGTACCTACAAGACATGGTTCCATGGTGAGATAATTTTTATTTCAACTAAAACTTTCTAATTAATAGATTACTTATTGCTTGACTTAGATAGCTCTGAAGATTTAGGAATATAATTGAAACCAATGTAATGCTTGCAAAAATTTAATGTTCACACGAAACTGCTTGAATTCACATCCTATTAGTTAGTGCAAGCAGTAGTATATGAATTTTAAAATTTATTATTGAAATAATGAAATTATTTTGAATTATTTTCAATATCTAACGACAAGATTACACACATCAGGTAGAAGTAAGAATTATTAAAAGAAAAGATTTTTACTCCATGTATTGAAAACGAAGAATTTTTATTTGTTTGAATTATATTTGTCTTGTTGCATTTTTGTCTACAAGATGCAGCATAACTACGGCATCCTTACAGCATAACAACAACGTTCTTACAGCAACAGTATCATAAAGCTGTTACCGTGGCAGGTATCTCAAGTAATTTTTGTTGATACTGCGCAAAACTACAAAGATGATTCAAAATCTTTACAATCCAACTAATGTAACCGCTTAAGTTGGCAATAGTATAAAAATATTCGCTACAACTGAAATTAAGATATCTATAACATGAACTTCAATATGATGTAACCAGTCAAAAGTTATTTATAAACTTAGAAAAGTCAGAGAGGTGCTACTTTATTTATTGCCTTTATAGGATTCATGCATATGTAGTCCTTGACAAAAATTGAGTGTGTCTGCATGGAAACCCTGCAAAGCCGATAATTATAAGGCAGGTCAGTCGCAGATGCGTCATTGACAATCACAAGCCATGCATTTCACATACACATCTCATAACTCCAAACATTTCAAATAATTCCCTCATAACTGTGCCCCAATCTGACGATCAAGAAAATGGGGCAATGTTCATATCAGCTAGTCAACTGGAGTCAGTGAAATTCACTGAATATCATGATGCATTAAATCGAATACTTGATACGTCACCCGCACTTACCAGGTAAGATAACCCTCTTGAAATTCATATATAAACAGAGAAATTTGAACTAACTACTCTTATAATCGCCGCATCCTCTAATGACATAATTATGCTTCGTTTAGTAAACTCTACGTGATACATGCTGAATGCAATCATGCACCCAACAAGCAATACTTTACAGTGCGTGAATAATTATCGTTAAATATGCGCACATTTCCAGAATTGTAAATGTTATCAGACAAAACTAGTTATGTTAGCAGCAACTTCAAAAACTAATTATCAGATCTAACAACCAATTAGATCTGTAGATTACAACGAAATGATGTACTGTACTTCTTAAATAATTAAAAAAAAAGAAGAATGCGCAAACCCGGAATCGAACCGGGGGCCCAACGATGGCAACGTTGGATTTTACCACTAAACCATTTGCGCCTATCTTATAAAGACCTATGTCATTCAAAATCTGTCTAGATATGTATATCACGTGATATACGCGTGATTTAAATCACGTGGTAATAAAATGTCGGAAATGCTCGCTGAGAGTTTTCACTAGTTTCTAATCTTATATCGTGTATATTGAGAATACATATTTGGCTACGGAAAAAAAAAAAGTCGCAAATTTGACTGCAAAATTACAATTCTAATTGTGTTCGATTCATTTATAACCTAAGAATCTATATAACTAAAGCTAACTAAGTTTCATCCATAGAAATATCGTATTCAACATTCTCCTCTTCATCGAGAAGTTTATCTATTTCATCCAAATCTTTATTTATTTCGTTGTTTTCTTCATCTTCCTTCCCGGTACTACTGTGTTCAACAATTCCATTACCTTCTTTGTCTTCTTCTATTACGTCACCCTTGTCTCCATCTTCTTTGTCATCCATTCCATTTTCGGGATCTTCTTCTATTCTGTCACTGTTGTTTAATTTTGCATCCTCTTTGTCATCGTCATCTAAATCTAGATCTGCCAATATTGAATTAGATCTAGTATTTCTTCCCAAGAGTTCCGACTCCGACTCTTCGCGTGCTTGAGCTTTGTTGTATACTTCTTCTACTAATTTTTCAAACGCTTCAAAATTTTTAAAAGTTAATTTATCAAAGTTAAACTCAGGATCCTTTTCAATCTCAATTTTGGTAGAGATAACTTCTGAAGTACCTCTAACTGCATTTAATAATCCCAATAGAATCTTTGATTCTACTTCTTCAGTAATATAGAATCTTGACAAATTATTAATGATTACTCTTTTAACATTTTTAGAAGTATCTTGTTCCAACGCTTGTAAGAAATAAACTGATTGCCAAATATGAGAAGTTTGTTTTTTAATACTAGTATGACTTAAATTTACCAAATTATTGGGATCACACCAATAAATCAATTGTTGAATAATTTGAGTAGGATTTAATTTACCTTGAAGATGAGAAAAATCATCAAGTTGAGTATTAAACATTCGATAAATACAATCACCACTAACTGAGGCAAGTCTAAATTGATGTTGAGGATGACTAAAAGAATATACTGGTATACAAAAAGCAAGAATTTGTCTTAATTCTGCATTAGTCGATGTAAGAGGATGGAAATAACTTAACACCAATGCCTCAAATAATTGCTTTTCACTTTCATATTCATCAATTATTTCTTGAGTCTCAGTAGAATCATTAGCAGGAGTTTTAGCATTAAAAATATCTGCTAAAAATAATTTACATAACCCTTCCGCCACAACACATTGTAATTTTGGCATCTTAAATGAAGTTAATGATTTATAAAAAAGTCTAGCATACATGAATAAAATATTCCCCGTAAGAATAGAAGTACCAAAAGTAGATAAAATATCCGCTACGGCTTTAATACCAATAATTCTAGTTTCTTCATCAGAAATTCGAATTTCATGATAAAATGTTGCAATAGCATCTTTAGCAATAGATTGATCAATTAAAGAAAATAATCCCAAACATTTTAAGCCTAGTAAATGAAGGGAATACTTTTCTTTTGAATTAATTGCATAATTAACTAACCCAGAATAAATCGATCCTAACGCTAAATTATTCTCCAATGATTCTTCAATTAATTCCAATACATGTTGAGTTATAATTAAACAGGTCGTGACAATATTATCAGGTGGAAATTTGGGTTCTACCCTTCTTTTTTTGGCAGAATTATCATTATCATTATCGTCGTCTTCTTCTTCTTCTTCATCATCATCTTCTTCTTCTTCATTATCAAACCCTTCTATAGCAGAATGAAAGGTTTCATTTTCTTCTTCATACGAATCTCTTATATCCGTAATAATTTCGCTGGACATAGCAATGAAATCCTTTTCATTAATAGATAACTTTCTTAATACATTCAAAGCAACAGAAATCAAATCATTAGTTAATTTATGACTAGTGAGACTATTTCTAATGATTTGAAGCATTTTTCTTCGGCCCATTTCATCACTAAAGTCAAATTCTTTAGAGATAAGTAGTAATTGTTGCAAAATAAATTCTAAATCTTTTATTTCACTTTCATATTCTCCATCATTTTCAAATTGTTCATTAATATCATCAATTTCTCCTCTAATTGATTCATAAGTTTCTAAAAGTTTCTTATGTTTTACTTCGGCATTTAATGATAAATCTAATAATTTGGAATGTTCATTATTTAAATTGATTATAGAATCTTTAAGATCATCAAGCTTAGACTTTAATTCTTCAAGAGTTAAACCAGAAACTTCATTTAAAATTTGTTCATCTATTTCATCAATAATTAAATCTTCAATGGATTCATCATGTTTATTTAATTTCTTAATTCTTTTCCTTATAAGTTCAATAGCCTTTTCATAATAATGACTATTTTCTCGATTAGAATTAATATTTTTCTTAGAAGATTCTATTTCAACATTCAATCTAATAAGTTGATTTTCACTATAGTTTAATTCATCTGTCTTTGAAGTTATTAATTCATTAAATCTTTCATAACTCTTATAAGTAGCATTATCTTCAATAAAACTATTCAATCTTAATTGTAAATATTTTTCTAAAATATTAGCTAATTCAATAGATTCTGGGAAATTTGGTTCAATTAAATCATAGAGATTATTCTTACTGCAATGATCATAAAATACTCTCATTAAGAATGCTTTATCGATAGTTAATTGTTTCCAATAATTATCATCAAATTTAAAGGTATCGAGGATTTCTGGTTTAACTTGAAAGAATGTTTCTAATGCTAAATCAGCAACTTTACTATCAGATACTCTTAATAATGAGATTAAAGAAAGTAAATCTTCATTAACCGATTCAAACCATGTTTGAGTTAACATTTTAATGGCAGCTTGTTTAACCGATTCATCTCGATCATTGAGACCCCATTTTAATAAGAATTCTCGTTCTTCATAACTTAGATTGTTTACACTTCCAAGTTCTTTCAGAATCCTAGAATAGATCAATCTTCTATTAATTCCATTTGTATCTCTAACTCTTTCAAGGATAGGTTGATTATTATTTTCCTTTATAATATTCAATAAAGCAGCTCTTCTAACTTCTGCACTTTCATCAGATTTTAAGGTATCAATTACTGTATCTCTAACATGTTGATTACTGATATTAGTATATGTATAATCATAACCATCCAAATCAAATTCTTGAAATTTAGATACGGCAACTACTGCTTGAATTCTTACAATTGATTCTTTATCACCTAAACGTTTCATTAATGAAGTATATAAGGCTTCAAAAGAATCACGATCAATTTCTCCAATATAATGAACCAAATATGCTAGAAGTTGAACGACTCTAAATCTTACAGATTTATCTTTGGCTTCTATACCTCGAAGTAGATGATGAATTAAATATTTGATAAATATACTTGTATAAGTTTCCTCTTCTGTATCATCATCTTCATTTGCACTTTCACGTTTTCTAGTAATTTCATCATAAGTTAAACTAGCTACAAATGATGAACAGAATTTAGCAATTCTATCTCCCGATTTTTCTCCCTTCTTCAAAGGTAAGATCCTATTAATTAATTTAGTGAAATATAGATTGAAATGATCCTCTTTCTCTAAAGCTATGGCCTTTCCAAAGATGTTCTTCAATATCAAAACTAACTTCCGATGTCCTGCTAATGATAATTGAGCATCTTGAAAAACTTGAGCCATAGCATGTTTTAACTCATCTATACTGGTTATTTTTTGTATAGATTTTATATCTAGTTTACTGTTGGATTTCATGATCTCCACGTATGTCTAATTGGTAGTTACACTCGACTTTTAAGTGTGGGTTACTTGTAACTGGTGCCAGATCAGGGTGGTGAAGAATTTCCAGTAGTGATTTTTTGGAATTGTAAACAACGCGTGCGCAGCTCAAATCAATGAAATTATCACCACCTCCCCATTAATTACTACCAATGCCTGTTTGTAATCTGTATTGTATTGTATTGTATTTTATTGTATTGTATTGTTTGCTATTTACAAGATGTAAAACTAAATATATACAAACTAACTAGTAATATTTCCAAATGTCGACGTTTTTTATATATATACAATCTAAGTAGAAGTAGTGGTAACGATAGTATGATTTAGTATTTAATTAAATCACACATCACCTCTGTATAAATCTTGAATGATATTTCCATTCAACATTGTTTCTTTAACTATACCTTGAACTTTCTCAGGAAATACTCTTCCGTACCAAATACCATGGTTTTGTTGTGTATCCTTAGGGAAATAAATTACATTACCAGCATAAGCATGACCCCCTATATGAGATATAAGTCCTAATTCTGTTTCCTTATCAAGGTTTTCATTTTCAAGTACTCTAGAAAATTCGTCTTGTAATAATGGTGCTAGTTTCCCACATCTTACATCTCGTTGTGTATGTCCACATATTAAAACAAGATTCTTTTTCAAAGGATACTCAGTAAAGGCATTCGTATCATCTTCTGTAGATACTGGTTTAGAAGCAATTGAGGACGCAGCTTGTTTCAATACTTTGAAAGGATTATAAACTGCTTCCAATTGATGATCTGGTGGGGTTAAGTACTTAGTAATGAACTGGACAGTTTTGCTAATATCAAACTTGAGGACCTTATTGTCAGGATAAAGATAAACTAACTGCTCATTTTTATCTGTACCATCAACACCAAATGCTTTCATAATTTGTTCATGAGATTGGAGTAAAATATTAGATACTAATATAGGATGATGAGCACTTACTCTTCCATTTTTTAAATGGTTAATATTTGAACTAAGAGATTCAGGTATCAACTCTATCTTAGCAGGCATAGTATTAAAATCTTTTATACCATGACTTAATATAAGGACATGCTTCCAAGGTGCAGTTTTGGTAGATGCTAAATTTCGATCCATATCGATTTGCTTATCGGCTGGGAATTCCGGTAATCTGCAAAAGGTACATCCAGTATCGTATTCTGGCTTGGGGCATGTCGGAACAAATCTTGCCTTCGAATGAAGTCTTCTGATCAATGTGCTAGTCATGGCCTCTCTAACTAGACTATCATACTCGAATACACTGCTTTTGAAGGTGAAACGTTTTCTATCAATCCGGAACATTTTATGTCAACTCGGAACTTTATCCGGTATTCTGTATACAGCGTAGTGTCACAAATGTCGTGTCCCACCAATAATGTCTACTAAATTAGCTGCAAATATACATTGATGCACCAATTGATTAGACGTATATGTACCTAACTACTCTATTAATTTATGAACTCTTGCTTAAGAGTCCAGCCCTTATTTAAACTATCCCAAATCGCCACTTCTCTTAACATTGACCTTATTTTTATCATATCATCTGAATCCTTCATGTCAATCTGTGCATTGGTCAAGATGTCGCTTGACTTACTAAAGTGACCTTCTTGATCCTTCAAGTAATTTACAAGCTTAGCAATAACTTCTTGTTTACTGTCAATCACATCATTGGCCTTCTTAGTAAATAATGTAGCTTTCTCTTTCTTTAAATTCCCCAAGATGGATGCTGAAGAAAGAACTTTCGTCTTCTTATCTTTCATATCATTTCTCTTGGGTCCAAATTTACCGGCTAATCCAAATTTACCTGTCCATGTAGGTGTTCCTAGAGTATTCTTTCTAGCGAGTTTTCGAGATTCCCTTAATGCTTCTGCTGCTGCTTTGGCTACTCTGTTAGCCTCTTTTTCTTCTAAAGATATCTCCTTTTCTCCAGAATTGATAATATCATCATGTTGTAATGCACTGTGAACTCCACTATTGGCAAATATACCTTCCATAAGTCCAGAATCATCACTTGGTTTAGTCAGATCCTCTTCTTCTTTATCACCAACAAATTCATCTAATTTCGATACTCCAGCTATATTGGCAACTTCATAAAAATCATCATCATTGTTATGTTTCTTCTTCATTAATGTGGCAGGCTTTCTACTTTTAGTACCACTAAAATTCTTTTCAGCTCCATTAAACATATCACCAGTTTCAGTCCCAACTTCATTTTGGTCTCCCAAAGTAAATAAATCATGTAAATCATTAACTTTAAAGAATCTTCTTTGCTTAGGATCTTTCAAAATCTTATTAGTCAAGAAAGTCTTAAAGATTTGTCGATGGTATATTTTTTCTTCAATAGAACCTGAAGTCATTAATCGATATATTGTTATATCCTTCTTTTGTCCCAATCTCCAAGCTCTTTCTCTGGCTTGCATATCTGTAGATGGGTTCCAATCTGGATCATAAATAATTACTCTATCAGCTCCCGTGAGATTAACCCCTAATCCTCCAACCTTAGTAGTCAATAGGAATACATCCAAGTTTGGATCTTCATTAAATTTATCTACCAAAGCTTGACGTTTGGCAATAGGGGTAGATCCATCCATACGTAAGTATGTGAAGTATTCATTATCTTCTTCATTGTTTTCAACTTTCAACTTGTTAAGATTAGCTACAAACTTTTCCAATATATCTAGCATTTGCTTCGTTTGACAAAACAATAAAGTTTTATGTTTCTGACTTTGCCATAATTGTAAAAGATTCTTTAACACTTGCATCTTCCCTGATTTGGAGGGATTACCATAGTTATACCCTTTCTTACGAAGTAACATTTCACGATCTACCAAGTCAGGATGATTACATACCTTTCTTAGAATATCAACCCCAAGTAAGACATTTCTTTTACCTTTCAAGATAGCTCCCATATCTTCACTCAGTAAAAATCTTTCATATAGATCTTGTTGTTCTTTTGTTAATCTTACAAATAAAACCATTTCATTCTTCTTGGGTAAATCCTTGGCAACATCACTCTTTAATCGTCTCAATAAATAAGGCGAAATCAAATCTCTTAATACCACTGCACATTTATAACCTGTTTGAACTTGAACATTCGAGGCATTAGCATACCCTCCCATATTTATTGGTATAGAGAATTGTTGTTGAAATACTGGTAAAGTACCTAATCGGCCAGGAAATACAAAATCAAATAATGACCATAATTCAATAAGATTATTTTGAATAGGAGTCCCCGATAAGATAATTCTATTATGAGTCTTAATTTGTTTACAAGTCAAGGATATATCCAGATCAGGATTTCTAATCTTATGACCTTCATCTAGAACACAATAACCCCATTTATGTTTTAAAATATACTTTGAATAGATTCTCAATCCCACATAAGTTGTCACCAATACATGACCATTTTGCATAACTCTGTCTATTATTTCCTTAGCATTGATCTGAGTATTTATACCCTTTAAAGATTTTTGGGACATGGATGGATCACTAGATTCAAGAAACGCTTCTAATCTTTCCTCCGACGTGATACTCTTATTCATTCCTGATCCAATACTGTGAAGAATTATGCATCTTAAGGGAGGCCACCATCTATGGAATTCATTAACCCATTGATTCAATACTGTAGCTGGAACAACAACCAATACAGGCTTAGTAAGTAGTCCTGAATAATGTAATCCCGCAATAAAAGATATAATTTGAATAGTCTTTCCAAGACCCATCTCATCTCCTATGATACCTCCTGTCTTTTGTGAGTAAAGCTCCCAGAGCCATTGGACACAAGTCTTTTGATAATCAAACAATGATGGATATATATCTCCAGGCAATCTAAATTGATCATTTAATTTAGCATCGGATATCGTAGGATGTGGTTTAAACCATTCTTCTTTACCTTTATCTGCCTCAGATTCTCCCGTACGGCGAGATGACCTTCTTTTCACCCAGTCCTTTAATCTTGCCTGATATACAGTTTCGTCTCCATCATCGATATTCCGCTGCTCGGCCTTTGCTTCCGCAGTCTCCTCGACTTCTTCCTCATCTTCATCTATTATTTGCTCCTCTAACTCTTCGTCTGCCAGTGCATCATCAGATACGTCTTCATAGTCATCATCATCCTTGAGCTTTCTTTTCTTCGTTAGTGGTGCTTCTTCATCCTCATCCTCATCCTCATCTTCGTCTTCTTCTTCTTCTTCTTCTTCTTCCAACTTAACTTCCGGTTCGGAAACCTTTTCTTGAGCGAAGTCACGAACCTCCGGTGTGGATTCGAACCCAGGAGCCCTCAAGAAGACGTGACTCTTGCTTTCATTATCATTGGCTTCCTCAGTGTTATCTTGATGGAATAAATTTTCATTCCCAAACGCGGTTATCTTACCGGTTCTTATTAAGAACTCCTTTTCACTCTCATCCGGTAACCTCTCTACTGCTGTAGATGTTGATTTAGATGAAGTTCCATTATTTGAACCTGATTTAAGGGATTGATTTAATTGCTCTTTATTTTCTTGTAATCGCTTAGTGATATCATCGACATCTTGTTGTCTCTGTTTCAACTCATTCTCTTCATACCACTGGATTTCATCCTTAATAGACTTTCTCTGACTGAGCTTCGTTCTCGGATTGTTTAACCGATTAGTGAGCGCTCTTATCCGCACCACTGTACTGTTCAAATCCTTACTAGCCTTTTCTAATCGTTTTTGATCTACTTCACTATCCTTGGCGATAAGAGCTTCATTGGCTTTCTTGGTGATAGAACTTTCAAGTTGGTCTTGATCTACGAGCTGCACCCCTAATGATTCCAATTCTTCATGGCTCATTATATGTGCACCCCGTCTTCTCGTAATTATATGTCAAAATAATTCGGCTTGATGCTCCGATTGCTGCACCACTCTTCGCTTGATTTTTTTATTTTTGCCGCACTATTTTGCAGTACTTTTTTAAATACTAATTATATTTTATTATGTGTACAATATTATTTTTAATTTACTATACTATACTTAACTATGGACTTGTTTTTGTAACTCATGCAAGCAGGTTTCGTAAATGGCTTCATCATCGGCTGATACGATATCCTTTGAATCGATTTCAACATCTTCAATCGGATGATCTCTTCCGATATCATTCATCAATTTATTAAACCACTTTGTTTCTCCCTTACCAAATAACAAGTTATAACCATTACCATCTTGTTGAGCACGCGCAGTTCTACCTACTCTATGAACATACTCTCTAGATGAATTAGGTAAGTCATAGTTTATCACATCAGAAATAGATAATATATCTATACCTCTAGCAATTAAATCAGTAGCAATTAATATATGAATCTTTTGCTGACTGAATTCTTTAAGAACTTTAGTTCTTATCAAAGTCTTATTATTAGTTGAGTTTATATAGGCAATTTCAATCTTTGATGATAAGACAAGTTTATCGAATAATAGTTGTAATAATTTAGCCAATCTTAAGGATGAATCATTAGACTTGGTAAAGATTAATACATTGGCTAACTTTCCTTGTTGGATCAAATATTTCGATAATATCAAAGGTTTTAACGAAGATTTGGCTGATCCAAACTTTAATGTGAATTCTTTTAAAGTTGGAGGAACAGTATATAACTCATTGACCAACTTCTCTTCATCATTAACAATTACCAATCTTGGACTTTGAAATTTTAATGGAGCTAATTTCCCAGCATCTGTTGTTAAAGTAGCAGAAAAGATTAATTTCTTAACTCTTAATTTCCATGTTTTGGAAATATCTATACTATTATCAATCTTTTCCATTAAGATATCACACCAATTTTGAAAGGATTGGTTCAATAATCTATCGGCTTCATCAATTACTAAGTATTGTAAAGCCAGTAAATTAATTGAGTTATTGGTTATATGTTCAACTAATCTACCTGGAGTTGAGATTATTATATCAGGAACAGCAGTCAATAATTTATTGGATTCTTCCTGAATAGAGATATCATTTTTTAAACTAGTTATTAATAAATTAGTTCCCTTGGATAATTGATTTAAAGTTGTTCTTACTTGATTAATTAATGGTTTAGTAGGTACTAATATTATAGCCCTAACTCTCGGTACAATTCTTGAATGTAAATCTTGAATTATTGGAATCAGATAGGCCAAAGTTTTACCAGACCCCGTCGATGCATTGACTAATATGTCTCCTTTAAAATCAGGTTGAACTTTGTTTTGTTTAATATCTTTCAATAATAAGTTTAATACAGCAATTTGTACCAGAAATGCTTGGGTAAAGTTTAAATTTACCAAGTTTCGATGCATGAATGGTGAAAGGTCAAAGTCTTGAAATGATTTAGTATCCAGTGGTGACACATATATGGGGGTTGCCAACCAATTTAAGTTACTAAGGTTATTGGTATTAGAGACTAATCTTCTATCTCTAGGTAATGCTGGTTGGGGTAAAGGTGCCAAGTCTTGAACTTCGGGTATTTCTTCTTCATCTTCTATGCTTATATCGTCAGTCTTTGGAAGTTGCTTCAGGAGAGACTTTTCAAACTTTTTGAAAATGGCCAGATGTTTGGAGAGGTAGTCTGGATCGGGGGTGTCTACCTCCATGTCTTGGGTGAGATCTTCCTGATCTTCCTCGACAACTTCTCTGTCACTCTCACTTTCACTATCACTCTCACTCTCACTATCACTATCACTATCACTTCCACTCTCACTGTCACTCAGATCTTCTTCACTCAGATCTTCTTCACTCACTTCTTCTTCACTAGACTCTTTCTCTATATCTTCTTCATCCTCACTGGTATTACTCAACCTTCTTTTTCGTATAAGTATGGGCTCTTTCTTACCATTCACAGGTCCCTCGTCAAACGACGTAGGATCAAATCTAGCCCCAAACATACGCTACTGTACTGTACTTTACTTTACTTTATTCCAGACACTTGTAGTGTAGCGATGCTCTTCGCTACTCAGTAATTTTTTTTATAGTACTGATCCACGCCAGAGGTACACTTTTACTGAGCTACAAGTTCACTAACGAAGCGAAATTAGTGAGAAATACTTTATACATTCTGTAGTGACAGTAACTACCTCAATATACCATACTTAAGTAATTTACAGTCTATTCAGTATTGATTAATAAGGTGGTTTATAGTAATTCAAGAAACTCACGTGTGCTATCACGTGCATAACAAACCCTCAGAAATTTTTCATTTTCACTGTCTTGAAAAATTAACTAACCACCAAACTATCAGTAACTACCTAACTTACCCAAAGCAGTAATAATACCCACCCATTATGAAAGCTTCGTTGACACTTTTAAAGAGGTCAGTCTGGAAGGGCCCTCACGTGGTACCCTTGCCAATAGCCGATGCCATCAAAAATAAAACAGCCATAAGAACTAATGCCAGAAGTTGTACAATCTTACCACAATTTGTGGGCGTAAGATTCCAAATACATAATGGGAAGGAGTACGTTGAAGTGGAAATAACAGATAATATGGTAGGATCCAAGTTGGGAGAGTATGCACAAACCAGAAAGAGATTTATGTATAAATACTCGAAGAATTAGGGTGGTGTATCATATCATTAATATGGGTCTAGTACCCTAGCCTAGCCTAGCTTATCCTAGCCTAGCCTAGCTTATCCTAGCCTAGCCTAGCTTATCCTAGCCTAGCCTTAGCCTAGTTTTTTCAGCTTTTAGCTTAAACTTTTAGCCTTAGCCTTAGCCTAGCCTATGGCTCTTGTACATATAATTTACTTATAATAAATATACATTTATTCCATGAGAGGTCTCTATGAATGCAGTGTAGTAATTAGTAAAACAAATAACAATAACAACAATAATAATAATAAATAATGTGGGACTACCCACTTCTATTTCGTGGATTATAATCATCCATACGAGACTGTCTTAATTCTCCTGTTCTGTCACTTACAGGCCATTTCCCCCAGCCATTCAACCGTATCACCAAACATGTGGCATTGTCATCTCCTCCAATATATTCTACAAACTTGATAACTTCTTCAGCACAGAGTTGAGGATTAGCCACTTGATGTCCTTTCATATTGAAATTGACCATGATTATATCGGCGATTTCTTGATCCGTAAGAAAATTTGTTATACCATCAGTACATAACACTAAAAAGCTTTCATCTCCTCCTAATCCATTAATTGTATAATCCTTAATTTCTTCTGCTGTTAACATCTTATTGACCGTACCGATATCTCCTATAATTAATTGGATAATATCAGGTTCTGAACTAACTCCAATCTCCTTATAATTGATATCACCAAACGATCTAGTATTGGCTAAAGAAATGAATCGTTCTTCACCAAAGGAATCCGTCATGAACATATTAGCAGCATACTTTCTTAATCTTGAAGCTTCCATAGGATTCGATGGATGGTGTTCAAAGGTTAAGGCATTGGCCAATCCATCCTTATCAACCAATATAGCCTTAGTGTCTCCTACATGTGCTATAGTAAGTTTTGATATAGTCTTTCTATTGAAATAGTAATTCTCAAATACTGGTTTGGGTTCTCCACCTGGTTCAGTATAAAGTGTTTCAATAACTGCACTAGTACAAGTAGATCCAGATTGGTTATCATCTTGTTGAAAGAACTCATAATCAGTATTCAAGAATGTTAAGGGTAATCGAATTCGTAAATCATCCTTATCATTGTCTTCATCAATGATTTTAGATAATTTAATGTTTTGATCTTTATTCATCATAGCAGCAAAGTTATCTTCACGATGTTTAAACCATCGCTTCCAATAACCTCCGATATTCCGTTCATACTTCTGCATCAATTTCGTTCGTGCTTCGACATTATCAATTAACTCTTGACCCTCTTCAATCTGCTTCGACAATTCCTGACTTAAGAAAGTCAGACATTGTTCTCCTCCATGACCATCGAAAATGTTGAAATTGAATAATGTTCTACTACCAATATTTAACACATTGGCACTATACTTATCTTCATTATACATTCTATTCATTCGACTCGTATAGTGTCCAAGATGGGATGGACTCTTTAGAAGTGGTACTCTTAACCTAGCGTGGATATTTGGTCTAGTAAATCTCATGGGTATAGAAGCTGACCGATCGATAGGGGTGAAAGTTATGGTGGAAGATACATTACGCATACTCCCTGTAGTTGTACCACCACTTCCTTTAGCTCTACTACCTATAGCTGTACCTCTAGCTATAGCTGGGCTGGTTACGCATAGTATATTCCTCGTTATTATCATATATGATTATCTATGCAATTGTCAATTCTCTGGATTGGTTCCCCCTAAAAAAGTAGCCAGCTACGTACAGCTCGCCTGGTGGTATAAATTGGTCGGGCTGTTTTCGCTGAAACCTTTGGGTCTATGTGCTACTGGTGCTACTGAGGACTTATGGTACGCAGCGTAGGCAGGGTGTCTGTGAAAAAGTTCCCCGGAATAATGAGCCGTCCCGTAGAAAAAATCGAAATCGGTGGGGGGTGCATCGTAGCGGGTGCGATAGTCGGTAAGCGTAGTGGACTTAGTGGGACACAGCCAACGGCTTAGCGACTTATAGGTACATAGTAGTGGATACAGTCTACAGTCTACAGTTGTGTACTACACTAAGTCACTACCGACTAGTCTATACTATACGGTAACTACAGTCTTTAGTTAGCCATTACAGTCCCCAGTCTAGTCACTCAGGAGATATAACATTCCCCCGGCTATTAATTACCGATCGCATAAGCTGCAAAATTATATTAACTTATACACAAATAAATAAACTAGACACCCCCATCAGAGAGCCAAATTCTCATCGGCATCTTCATCATAGTTGAAATTATCAAGGGGCTCATCGTGATACTCAACTCGGGATGATTGTTCAGTAAGTCTATCACCAATGGTATTTCTAAATCCTGTAAATAATCCATTAAATCTTCCCCATAATGAAGGTGATGGAGTTTGATTGTCTTGGTTTCCAAATAAGAAGGGTTCCTGATCATCACCATGAAGTGATTGGTCTATTCTATTATTTATGCTATCACTATTATTGATTAATGAATCATGGAATGTTCTTAAATTGGATTGATAATTTAAATCAGCATTACCATTAATTGTATTAATATTATCTACACTACCAGTGGCAGATAAATTAAATGGTCTTAAATTATGCACATGTTCTCTTCTTTGAATTTCTCGATTAATAATTCGTTTGGCTTCTACTATAATTAAATCTTTTCTCTTATTATTTATATTACTTCCACTACCAGAATTCTCTAAATCATTTCCATGTTCATTAACACTATCATCATCATCAAATAGTACCCAATTATCATAAATATCTCCAAGTCCTATTTTTTTCTTTAATTTATCATATATATTAAATGCAGTTAATAATACCGGAATTAATAATAATCGAGGTAACCAATTATTCATTAAATTGAATAAACCAGTTAAATGAATTGATTGACCAAACCAATTCTCAAATTGAGAAGTTCTAGATAAAAATAATGTAAGGAAATTATATGATAAAGGTATAGTTAATCTAGCAATATAAGTTGTATAAAAACAAGCTGATACTGGATCAGAATTATGAGGTACTAAATGATACATATTAAATATCTTTAATTGAGTTAAAGAATTTAATGAAGCAAATAACATATAACTGAAAAAGATTGAAGTAAATGTGAATTGTAATACAGGGAATCTTAATGATTGATAAATAAAATTTACTAATGATAATCGAGTTGAATGAAAGAATTCGGATTGTAATATAATAAATGACATGGCAAAATAAAACAATGATAAGATTCGAGAAGATATGGGTCTAATATAATACCAATATAAGAAATTAAATCGAGGCAGTAATAAAACTCGATAATTATTAACTCTAAAGATTAATTGTTTAGAATTATTAGTTTTAGCTTCTAGTATATCTTCTAAATGAGTTAATTTTATAAATAATGATTCAAATTCTGATTCATAAGCTTGGAATTTCCGAAGATTGGAATTGAAACTTGCGGTTAATCGTTTCATAAATGATAACGTTAATTGATCTCGAGTAATTGAATTTGAATTGGTGGTTTCATGAAAATATTGTCGTTTAACTAAATCTCTTAAATCATTAGGAATTGATCCATTCAATTGAAGAATCCAATCTCTGAATTGGAAATCTTGAGGATTATTAATGGAAGTAAAATTTTCCGTTAAAATTAATACTTTTAAGATATCTTCTTTAAATTCAATCTTTACATCTTCTAAACTATCAATTAATTTAGGTAACTTTATATAATGATGATTTAAATTATTTATAACATTCCCTTCTATCCATTTATTTCTAGGAATAGTAATTAAACCATGACTCATTAACCAAAGAGCTAATATTAAAGAATAAATATGAGCTAAAGCAATAATCATTAATTTTAAATGATTAGGTGTTAATCCTACTTCAAGTATAAGATATATAATTCCTAATAAAGAAATTCCAAGTAATATTAATTGAAATTTCAAATTTTGTTTAAATGAATCATACATCTTTGCCTTAAATGTGAAATAACCAGATTTATAAAATTCTTGTAATTGTGGTAAAAGTAACCAAGTCAATAAGAAAGTTGTCCAATAATTAGATTTCCATAAGATTAGAATTACATTATCTTGTAACCAATTTAATGGTGACACTGATGTATCGGAAGAACTAATATAATTAGATTGAACATAATCTATTGGTAATAAGAATATAATTGATAAGGGAATCAATACGGCTAATGTTATAGGAATCAGGAAATAAAGTGGATATCTTAGTAAGTTTATATGGAATTGGATCCCAAATATGGAAATAATTAGCGTGACAGTGTAGCACACGAGGGGTATGACCCACATGATGGATTTGAAGGTTGATTTATATGTTTATGGATGATTTAGTAGTGATAATATTAGTGTTGCCATTATAATTTAGTGGTGGATTTAGTATTATTTATTTAGGGGTGACACGTGTCATGTGCTCCGAGTCATGTGTAGGTAACAGCACACGACTAAAAATCGGTTAAAAAAACAAATTAGTGCGCATCTATTGTCTTGTACATCCCCACAGATGCACCGAACATGACAAAAGATAAAAAATGAAATTTTGTCTGAGCCAGCTAGTTAACAGCAAAGTGTCAGCGGTAAAATTTATTGCTTTATTTGATAGACAATAATTAAAGTTAAATAATTAAGTTATTTACAATATTTTTTACTTATTTATTTAATTAATTAATTAATTAAAAGTGTCTGTAATCTACAATTGCATGTAAGTCATCCAATGTCGTTACCGGAACCAACCGAGGAGATGCCTCCTATTGAACAAGACATAGTCAACTTAGACATTAATGATGATAAGACAGAATCAAAACCCAAAAAGGCCAAGAAGAAGTCGGTTGGTTTTGCTCCCTTACCAGAAGAAGACTTAAAGGAACATCATGAAGTAATTCACAAGAAGGAAGTGGAAAGAATGAAGTCTAACCCATTCCATCGCATCCCTAACGAATTGAAGTATTTGGAAAAAAAGAACTCTCCCAATCCCAAACCCATTCCATCATCGTTGCCGGTCAGAAAAGTTGTATCACCTACATCTCCCACATCCCCAACCATCAATGCTGCTACTACTACAGGTCTTGGGAAATTGCGCCATTTGCCCATTAAGGACTTTTCCGTTCAGAACAAGCAGACTGAGTTGAATTTCGATTATCCTTCTATAGACTTACCGATCCCTGCGACTTCGTTACTTGTCAAAATTTTATACACTTCATTAAACTCTTATGATTTGCATAAGATAAATAAGTACCTCTTAAATGTGAGTAACGTAAAAATTGGACTTGGTTATGAATATGTAGGAGAAGTTAGAGAAGTAGGTACTAGCTTTAAGACCAATGATGCAGCCTTTAAGATTGGTGACAAAGTATACGGAATGATTGATCCGTTAAGTAAGAAGGGAACACTTTCTACTAGTTTATTGATTAATCCAAATCGAGATGTAGTTATAAAAGTAACGGATCCACTACTTGCCAAGTTACAAGACATTGATATTGAGATCTCATTTGCTCATGAAAGTGAAGCTCGTACAAGGGATAATAATGAAAACTTTGACATCGATTCTTCTTCTTCTTCAGAAATTGAGGAATCAAGTACCGAGATTTCGCCTAATAATACCCTAACTAATGAAGAAGGTATACCATCACTTTCTAAACTAAGCACGTTCTCGGTACTCTACAGTAAAGCAAAACAGATCCTTTCACATCTGAACTTTAGTGCAACAAGTCCCAAAGCTACTGTGTTAATTAATGGTGCAGATACAAATCTCGGATACACACTTGTTCAAATATTACTTTCTAGTCTTTACGATTTCCAGGATAGACTTTCTTTAATACTTGTGATTAAAAGAGAAAATGAAAAATTATTTGGAAATTTTATAGCTAATTTGCGTCGCCGATATTACGATCCTCTGAAACAATTGAATATTTCAATTGTTACATTTGATCAATTCAATGATGATCTTATCTTGAAGGGGGAGAAAGTTCCTATAAAATTCAAACCACTCGACACATTTCTCAATGAAGTGGCAGATACCTTATTACTTGAAGGAGTGAATGAAGAAAATATCAATGATTATAAAGTGGACTTATTTGTTGATATAATAGGATCAAGGCGGATGTTCCAGGTTGATGGAGGTGAATATAAATTGAAGAATCCTTATTTTATAAATACCAGCTCCAAAATCTCTTATTTGCAAGCAATACTTCGACCAAAATCGACTGGCTCATGCTATGTTTCTTGCTGTAATTTCAATCTTTATGAACCTAGTTATGAAATCGAGAAGTTACTTACTTCAGGCGGCGAGTCGGAATCTAGTTCAACTGCCACATCAAGTGTATGGTCATCTAAATGGTCTGCTAATTTATTCAATAAGTGGACTGCTTACAATTATTATGAAGAATTTGAACTTAAGTTATCCAAAAAATGGATATTAGAAGCAATTGAGCTAGTCCTACTTGATCAACTTAAGTTTAAAATCGATGATGTTATTGATTGGAGAGTTGGGCTTAAGAATTATATCAAAAGATTAAGGCAAGAGGATAAGAAGTTTATTTTCAGCATTGAAGAATTCAGTTAAATTATTTTAATTTTCAGTTAAGCTCTCTTTGACACACTGCTTCGCTCTTTTACGTTTATATGGAATGAAATTTGCATTTTCGGGTTTTAATATAACTGTAGGTATTGGATGTTGCGGGGGGTCATGAATCTCTGTCGCAATTCGTCTAATCTTTCCGAACTCCACTCTGATAATTTAGATAACTTTATTGAACAGCAATCCAGAAAGTTGGGGCCGTAGCCGACATCGAGCAATTATACCTTCAAGCAATAACGGTCATTCGGTTATGTGTCTTGCACCCTTTTGATTACAAATTGCATATGGTTTTGCATGTCGGGACAGATAGGAGGTTATGAGGTTATAACAGAATGTGTCTAGATTTTCACAAGAAATGCTAAACTAAAGCTTATTATCTGTTTAGCAAGAGCCTATAAAAGAGAGGGGAGGCACTCAATAGTTCTTTTGCTTAGCAAACCTGTTTAGCAAGAGCCTATAAAAGAGAGGGGAGGCACTCAATAGTTCTTTTGCTTAGCAAACATGTGATGGCTGCCAAAAAAAAGAAAGAACAAAAATGTCAGTCTGGAGTGTTCGGGATACAGCACATATTGCATGGTTTTATTTGTCTTGCATATCGAAGACAAATAGGGGACATTTCTAAAGAATAATGGTATGTAATTGAAAAGTAAATTGGCCAGAAGTCCCGAAGGACGAAAGGTAATAATGTTTATTTTGTATTTGTACAGAATCAATGGCATTTGGGCTTATTGCCTTAAGCTCCGAGAATGGCCAGTTTTTCTTCCCTAAACGATTGACAATGCTCAAGACAATTAAGATTATTATTTTGTAGTGAGTTACCTCGGGTAAGCTTAGATGCGGATTCTCGATGAGGCTTTTACAACAAAAAGTAATTATCAATTCATTTACTAATCAGGAATAACCGCGTAGCCAAACACCGCTTAACCACCGCTTACACAAACCCCGTATAGCATGACAGACCAATGAATAAACATTAGTCGTAACTGTATATATTCATCATTCATTAAAAACATACAAGCTAATATACAAGAATAAGCCACGAGTGGTGTTAACCTATTTACCTACTAAATCTATTATCTAAATTTGGATGTCAGTGAATTTTACATCTCATCTGTGCCACAGCACTAATTAACGAGAACATTCGATATCTCTGAAAAAAGTGGTATCGTCAATGTAAGCCCATCATAAGATCCATTGAAATTTAGATAAATCGGAGTGTTGAATTTTTTATTGAGAAGGTAATTCAAAGATGCTAGACTGTTGTTATCCTCAGTAGCCAGCAGTTTTTGAGAGTTGAGCGATGTCAGGTATGATTGGATAGTGTATATGTATTGACCCATAGATTGATTACCTGATTCATTAATATAAACAGTAATAGGGGGATTTGGTCCATATTTCGAAGTTTCAGCCTTACCATTTCCATCTGAATTAATTTTATTTTGAGTGGATGACAGGTGAGTAACCACCATAACGTAATCTACTCCGTTAATGCTTATCTCCTTGATTATCTGCTTCATTGTTATTCTAATTATTTTAATCAATTATTATTTTATATATTCTTTTGGTACCGAAATTGTATTTGTCACTCTAATAATGTTTTTTATAAACTTCGAAGTCGGTTATAGAAGCAATTAGTAGTCAAGCAATTAGTAGTCAAGCAGTTCTTCAATAATTAAATTACTTGATCGAAAAAATAAAAAAGAGTTTTCCCACGGTTCTATTGAGAGTAGGTTCCTGCATCTTCAAGTATCTGGAAAGACAAAAGAATTTATCGCCGCAAGAGCTTCCTGTTCTAAAGGATGCAAACCTGCCCGCCCTATGCTGCACCTGGTATAAAATACTAAATCAGACTTAACTTTATTTATTTTGTCGATGATCTTTCTATTTAATTTTTGTAGATTAATATGTACTAACTAATTATTGCTATTTCTAAATAAATAGTCATCAACATTTGTAATGATCAATGATCATTGACTACAGTATCTGTCTTATTACTCCTATAATGCCTTATCTTTCTTTGATATGAAATGTCTCTCTTAAAGAATTTTTTGTCAGCTATATTTTTGTTTGTTCCCTTTTGTAGTATTTTTTTTAAGCAAAGGGAAAACAGAGAAATTGTTGCATAAGAAACTGGGCAGTTTGCCCAGGGCGAGAGAGCGCTAATTTCGGTCAATTTTTCAGTTTGTTAAATTTTAAGGGACTGCCGGTTAATAAACAATTTTTGTGAGTGACTTCCAGTCATCACCGCAGGACTAATTTTTTTTTCTTCACTTTCTTTGATGCCACAAGAGACAAAATAACATAACCTAAAATAACAGCTGAAGTACATACTAAAGAAAAGAAAAGAAAAGAATAGCGCAGAATATACACAATTGAGTCAATTAATTGTATAGAATTAAATAGAATAAAATAAGCCTTATGACCCAGTACCCATTGTATTTCGTTCATCATGCAGCTAATATTTGCAAGCATTTTGGTCCAGTCTTAGCGGGCTCTGCTTTTATTGAAATAATAATGACAGAATTGTTATTACTATTATTATATATAATGACCAACTAATCTTTCAACCTTCTTTTAATTAAATAATAATATTATTATTGGGTTTATATCACCATTATTATTCTGAAGAATAAGTCCAAGAAGCTCACTACATCGGCGTTTACAGCCTTTTAATTATCTCCTGTCTTACATCCGTCAGTTCTATTTTATTTCTTGAACTCTAAATTAGTTTAGTCAAACTTCCATCGACATCGGTAGAGAATTGTTCGGTACTACTAGATTTAAAATTATTTTACATTCTGATCTATCGTTTTAATAAAAAATAACCCTTTTAGATTAATTCAATTCCTCGGCAGTTGCATTGTTTAATAAATCTAATCTTTGTATAATTTTAATTGTTTATTCAATCACACACACATACTGAAGTGCTACTACAGGTTACATAGAAATATATAAGACAGAATATTTCCCAGTGTAACATAACTCAGATTTCCTTCCTTCCAAAATTTATAATCATTTCCTTATTAAATCCTTTAAACTCCTGAACTTTTTTTCATCTAGAGAGTTAACTAAAAAAAATTGTTTAATAAATTGTCGGGATTATTTTTTTTGACTTGCGCCGAACCAAAATCAAAAAAAAAGAACTTTAAAAAATAAAATATAATTCTAATAAACAAACGACTTAACAAATCAAGTCAATTATTATTTATAATTTTGGTTGAAAATCTACAGACACACCAAAAAAGTGAAAAATTCCTCGGAGTGGCTTTTATTACCTATATAAGTATCCGAAGATCCTGGCTCACTCATTTGTTTGGCTGATATTTCTCTTAAATTTAGAGATATTATTTTAAAGGTCATCTTAAATCTTACAAGAAGTCACGTCTATAAATCAGACTGTCTACTTATATATACTAGACAGCTGGACCCCCTAGTAACAGAAAAAGGCACAAAGTCTCGCTCGGCTTCTTTTTTTGTCTAATTTATTATTTGTTGCTCAAAGCTTCTTTTTTATTTTTATTTTTATTTTTTTTAGTGAATTACCACTTTGAATGGCAAAATTCATTCTCAGTATCTAATTGCACTAGCATTCATACTATCTTTTCATCGTTTCCATCCAACGAGGACGTTCAATTCAAGTTGGGTTTAGTCATTTTAAACCACATTCCTTTTTTACCAGTCTGTTCTTGTCTATTTTTTTTGCAATATCACGCCCTTTCTCATAAATGAGTTCAAACCATAATCACAGACAAAATCTCAACCAGCCAGTACCGACAATTGAAAAAGAACAAGATCAATTGCAAGTGGAGTCTGGTTCAAAATCTGACCGAGAAATTAGAGAATTGTCTCAAGTACAACAATTGCCAGAACAACATCACGAGGAATATCCTTCTGCTGAGATTCAAAGAGATCCTCAAGGTAAAAATATACTTGAGATCCTAAAACGAAATTTGTTTATAGATGAAAATTCAGCTATAATAGAAACAGGTAAGAAAGATGATAATATTTCAGAAAGCCCTGAAGATTATTTACTCAATTCCTTTCCTATAATTGTAACTATTACTACTGACGACTTGAGTATTATATCTCCAGATTTAGTACCATATTTCAGTGTACAAGAAGTGTCATCAGACAAAACTTCGGAATTTGAAGGAAAGCATATCCAACAGACTTCTTTCATTCCTACTTCATTGAAACCACAACTTGACTCTTTGATCCGTGATCTCTATGATTCTAATATCAATTATACACTTAACTATGATAAATTTGTTTCTCATCCAGGGGTTCTATTTATTAAAAACGTAAGTCCAAACTTAATAATTTCTCCTGAAGATCCAGTAGAGGAAATTGACAGTGTTAATGATTCAATTACGATTAAAAATCCCCAAAATAAGTTTATAACTTTCTTAAAAGATCATACGTTATTTAAGTCTTTCAATAATTTAAAATTATTCAACCTGAATAAAACACCCGAAAAGGAATCAAATGATTCATCAGGCTACGCCTATGTGATTGTTAAATTTGATAATCATCTTGATGTAGAGGATTTAATAATCAGTCTCAATCAATATCTGGGTCCTAATGAGTTTAATGATAAAACTTCAATTCCATTATTTTTGAATAGATACGTTAATAAAAGAGAGAGAAATAAACTGCATCCAAATAGACGTCATCATCATAGTCACAATCAACTGCAGAAACAGTACCAAAAAGCTACTCTCTCCAGTTCAGATAATAATAATAACGATAATTCATTTAATTTAATCATCCTTGAAAATTTAAGTAAATTTTTCCCAGGTCATCTAAAGGTTTCCAAATGTGAATTTTCAATATTCATTAATGTGTTTAAACAATTTGGTAATGAAATTGAATTTATCCATTTCCCAATTGCTCATCAAGAAATATCAGATTCGGATAAAGAGGATAATAATGATCTTATGTTCCATTTACTACATTCTTTTGCATACATTAAATTCCATCCTTCGGTAAACATGGTTGAGAACACCTTGAAGATACTCTATTATTTAAATGATCTTACTTGGGAAGAGTTTATTGGTTTTAAATTTGACGGCTCATCAGCCAATTGGCAGCATGCTTTATTAAATCATACCCCAAATTTAGAGTCTGTTGAAAATGGGATAAAAATCAGTATTGCTCAACATAAGCATAACCACTTACTTACTGAACAAACGGATTATGAGTCTATCAGTTTCACTTTAGGGGTTAGAAATGATGGATTAATTACAGTTAATACTTACAACTTTAATTTCCTTGCTCCAACCCTTTTAAGATATGTTAATTATCAAGATACTAACATTTATGTCAATAATTTGGCTACTCTTTTTAAAAATAATGATGAATTATGGAGAGAGTTTTGGGAACAGTTTGGTCTAATCAAATCAGCGACTATTATTAAACCGAATTTTTACCATAACAATGAAGATTCGTCTGATTCTTCCTCCTCCTTTTCTCAAGCGGAAAGGTTTGGAAAAATTGGATTTGTATTTTATGAACATTTTAAGATGTCTATCAAAGCGATATTGCTAACAAATAATAAATCCATTTCTAGTTTGTTAGAGTCAGCTACGAAGAAGAACGCACTGAGTATTATTCAATCATCATTTGCTATCCAGAAACCGAATTTGAAGTACTCTGTCTCGAATCAACAACAATTTTCCAGTATTCCTTTGACTCAAAGCATAAGCTCAACTACAAATCTTCAACAATATCACTTCCAACTCCAACAGCAACATAATTCGCAACTGCATCAACAGCGTAGACGTCTGTATAATCCACGCCCTTCTGCGCCACCTTTAGTCACTTCTTCTTCTGGATCTTCTACATCAACATCCCAATCTTCCATATTATCTCAGAATCACCCTCAATTAATGATACCTCGCCAATCACATCCACATGCACCTCCAGCTTCATTGCCTCAGGTATACCCATATATGTATATCCCTCAATTTGCTCCGCCTCCACCTCCACCTCCACCTCCAGGAGCTCCAACTCATCGTTATTCTCCTTACTATTATCCTCCTATTGCATCATCACCTACATCATATACTCATACTCCAACGAATCCTGCATCCCATTCTCCACCTTATGCATTTTACGCACACTACGATTTTGATTATTTCTATCAACAAGAGCAACCACATCATCAACCATATTCTCAGAATGCTCATATTCTAATTGAAAATGATGCTGGTGTTGAATCAGAAGAAGATTAGAGTTTTCATTCTACATTGCTTCTACCTCAGTAAATCAATCATTATCTACTTATAGATCCCAAAAAAATGTCACATCTACAATCTACTCACTTAATACAGCTCAAGATTGTTCAGTACACTGTACATAGCCACCCTGCATTATAAAGTCTAGTTATTTCTTCCAGACTGTGATTTAACTAGATTACAATTATTTTATGGTACGCGCTCAAAAGGACCTGATGAGGGAATTATTATATTTTTTTAAAATTAATTTCTTTTTTTTTGTCATTATTTTTTGTTTTTTTATTTTATTGTTTTATTTTTCCTATCCTACATTTCCCTCCTGCCCCTACCTTTCCTGCCATTATGAAAGACTTCTATTTGGAGTCCCGAATGACTTGTACAATTACTGCTTTTATGAATTTTATATCTGGAACTTGTATTCACAATATTTATTATGTTCGTTTGCCTTTTGTTCCCATCATTACATATTTATTTTTGACTTTCCTCACTTTTTAATTTTGTTCGGTTGTTTTGTCTTGCTTTACGTTTCTTTCAATCATGTTTTATGATAATGAATTATATTGACATCACCTCTAAAATATTAATTTCTTGTTTATAGTACCTTTTTATAAAACATTGCAAATATTTTAGAATTCTTGTCGTAATTACTTATTTACCTCTCCTACACCCCCTTAAGTTACTGTCTTAAATTGCCCCTTAATATTTCGCACCCAACGGACCAAAAAAAGCTTGCGACAAAAAAATGCGACACTAATGACGAAAGTAGAAAAAAGGTTAATTCTAAAAAAGAGCTGCAATTACAATGTCGGATAATCTATGACGAAACAGGCAATAACTTTAATCTAAAATTCCATAAACAAGCGAGGAACTTAATTTGGATCTCAAAAGTATTATGCTATGGTATTCATGTGTTTAATGATAAAAACTGTGTCTGATGGTTATGTCATGAGATATACATTTTTATTCTTTTAAAATCAATTATAGATGTGAGAAGGACGAACTGTTCAGACACTGATTTACAATTTTACTATTCTCATATGGCTCTTGAAAAAGTGATAAGCTTCGTGCTGCTAAATTAAATGCAGTATCGACGTAATGATAAATTAAATCATGCAAATCAAAGTACAGGGTATCTAAAACCCATTTCATAACCTTTAGGGGTTCTGGTGACTTTATATACACTCCGGTAATAATAATCGTAATCGTAATCGTAATCGTAATCGTAATCGTTATGTATTGAGCTGAATAAATGAAAGAAATCTATAAACACCTAGCGTCGACTATTTACAAGTTTGGAGGAACAGAAGAAGATTCTTCGTCCCTGGTACGAGGAGATAAGTTTGCTGATTCAAACTGAACTTCAGGTTGCTCAGCTTCCATTTCTTCGATAGGTTCAACTGCTTGAACTTCTTCGATATAATATTTTAACATACTTTCAATCCCATTCTTTAAAGTTACTGAACTGGAGTCACATGATCTACATGCTCCCATTAATTTTAAAAATACTGTCCCATCAGACTCTCTAAACTTAACAAATTCAATATCTCCTCCATCATCTTGAATGGCAGGTCTGATTCTGGTAAAGATCAATTCTTTGATCATCGATACAACTTCATCATCCTCTTCATTGATCAATACATCATTAGCAAGTTTACTATCTTCAATCAAAATAGGAGATCCATTTGTCAAATACTCCGTCAAAATAGAAAATATTTCTGGTTTAAGTAATGACCAATCTAACTCCTGATTACCAACTTTTTCAACAGTAATGAAATTGGTTCCCAACATAATGGACTTAACTCCATCTATACTGAATAATTTGACTACTAACGGAGAACACGCAGCTTCTCGTCCACTTAAAAACTCTCGAGTTTCATTCTCATTACTCAAAATACGAGTGGATGGTAAGAACTTTAACGCATTCTCATTGGGGGTCTCCACAGTTTGAATAAATAAGTTCCTTATAGATCTAATAGATCCCACTATATTTGTCCTTAATAACAGTGACTGACTCAGGATTGGTCCCACATGTACAGCCGGTCTCAGTAATACACGTGACAACGACTTTCTAGCTATAAACATTGTGGGTTGAGCACTGGTATGGTAATTCTGTATGAGTTGCGATTATGTCTGGCTCATTATAAATCAATTTGGAAAACTCCCGGAACAAAAGATGAGAAAATTGCCATTACGTAAGCAAGAGAGGAAGAAGAAAAAAAAAAATAGAGGTGTGACTTGCATCACGTGTGCGGACGTATACCTCCGGCTATATTACATACATTACAGAGTCTATAAGCTACCTATTGAAACAATACACTTTCAAACAATGATGCAGTCTTTTCTTCAAGCTTGGAGTCACCATTGCTTTCGTTACTAATTGTCTCATCCAATTGTAATTTGTTTTCGGCCAATTGTAAGATATTCTCTTCAATAGTTTTATTGACAATAAGCTTATAAACGGTTACTTCTTTGGTTTGTCCCACTCTATGAGCACGATCTTCTGCTTGTTTATCATCATGAGGATTAAATGATTGATCGAAAATAATAACATTATTGGCTGCCACCAAATTAATTCCAAATCCTCCAGCTTTAGTAGATAATAAGAATATAGGAATAGTTTCATCATCATAGAATTGATCAATAATATCTTGACGAGTTTCCACACTAGTGGCTCCATCTAATCTGACGAATTTATAATTGAATAATGTGAATGTTCTTTCTAAGATATCTAACATTTGTGTAAAAAGGGAAAAGATTAATACTTTCTCTCCCTTACTTACAATATTCTTTAAGAGTTTATTTAATTGAATGACTTTACCACTGTTTAAGAATTTGTCATCTTCAAGTCTAAATTTACTTAAAGAATGGGGGAACTTCTCACAGAGATTATTTAATTCAAAATCATTCATAACTTGCATATCTTCAAAAATATATGTCTCATTAGCTTCGACATATTCTGGTTCTCCCATTATAGCTTTAGCCATTTTTCTTAATTTAGAATCATCATATTCAAGTCTGAATAATAATGGATGTAATGATATTTTTCTTAATGACATTAATGTATTGGTTGATGATTCAATTGGTTTAGTTCTTGATAATTCCAATTGTTCTTTGGAACTTAATAACTTTCTTCTTTCTCGTTCTTCTTTAGTATTTCTGGCCTTACTTAAATATTCATGATATACTTTTTCTTGAGTTGACGATAAATTACATTTAATAATCTCATGACATTTAGCAGGTAAATGTTGTAATACTTGATTCTTTCTTCTTCTTAATACAAACGGTGTCATCATAGTCTTAGCTTTACTAATCGCTTGAACTGATAAAAGGGGATTGTAACTATTAGGAGTTGAAGCAGTCGAAGTAGGAGTGGCTGAACCTGTTCTAGTACCTGTTCCAGTACCTGTACCTGTAGATGTGACAGTGGTATTCAATTTCTGACTGAATAATCCCTGTAAGTCATCCTTCTTCTCATTAAACAATTTAGGTAACATAAATGCCAATAATGATACTAATTCTCGTAAATTATTTTGTAATGGAGTCCCAGTCAATAATAATCTAAATTTCCCCTTTAATCTCATTAATCGATTATATCTTTCAGTACTAGAATTCTTTAAAAGATGTCCTTCATCATATACTATAATATTAAAATCTTGACTCTTTAAAAATTTAAAATCAATTGATGAACCAGTGGCTAAGGCATAAGTTGTAACTAAAACATCAAATTCAACATCTCGTAAATCATATCTTAAATCTTCTCGTTCTCGAACTGATCCATAATACGCTTGAACTTTTATATCAGGACAAAATTTATTAAATTCTCTTAACCAATTTTCTATAGTTGAAGCAGGAACAATGACTAAATGGGGACCTTTACTTGATTCTGTTTCTTTAAGATGGGCCATAAATGATATAACTTGACAAGTCTTACCTAACCCCATTTCATCTGCAAGGATACATGATAAGTTATTTTGATATAATAGATTTAACCAATTGATACCTACTTGTTGATAGTTATTTAAAGTGATATCATCCGGTAATAAGCTTGGCTTATGTTTGATATACCTGAGTCCCTTCTTACGGTGATGAGTTATGACTATATCGTCGTTATCTTCTTCTCCATCTTCATCATGATCATGATCATGCTCGTCGTCCTCATCCTCATCCTCCTCCTCTTCATCTACATTATATACCTTCTTACTACTCTTACTGCTCTTCTCCTTCTCCTTCTCCTTCTCCTCTAAATCAATAACTTCAGTAACCTCTCCTTCATTGATAGGGTCTATCTCAACAAGATCCAATTCTCCCTCGCCTGTGACAGTGACTCCCCAAGATTTAATCTGCTTGGAAATAGACTCTCCATACTGCGAACATGTCTTGATTAAGGAGTCTACTGCCTTATACCCCTTCAAACTATGTTCAGTATTCTCAACAATTCTTAAACCAATGGTTTTCTTTCTTCTATTATTCTTCTTATTGCTACTGGTTTGATTGGTTTCATCCGGTAATAAGAATTCATTCTCGGAGATTTCATAGATATTACTAAACGGACGTTGACTAGCAACAAGTTCAGCAATAGGAGGTTCTATTATACAAATTTCCATCAAATCTTGAACACTGGCATTGTTAATGAATTCCAAGATTTGTGAGTCAATACTGGTAAGACCTCCACTATAATTGGCCTCATCGTCTTCTTCCGACATATCATCACTTGCATCATCTTCTTCTAATTCTTCATCACTAATAACAGATACAACTTCATTCCTTTTATTTCTGGCAGCTTTCTTATTCTCTTTGATTTTTTCTTCTAATCGATCAAGATCATCATCGGAAACAATCATATTATTAATATCTTCATCTTTAGAATATTCTTCTCGATCCACTCTTTTCTTAGTGGTTTTATACCGGTCATCTTCGTAGGCATATGTGGCAGTTAATCTTGGAATAATTATTGGAGAATTGCTTTTGGTGGTAATAGGACTGGGTGAAATAGATGATGCTCCATTACTATCAAGAGCTGAACCGCGAACTAACTTTCTCTTTTTAGGAATCGGTTCACTTCCACTACCAAAACTATCTAAAGTAGCTTGAGCTTTGGGCTTAAACTTATACTTATCAAGAATAGATATCTTGGGTTTATTGGTAGTAACTTTGGTGGAGATTATGGGTGCTGAATCTTGTGATCGAATAGGCGATGGTTCATTCTTAACAACGGCTCTACCTCTAAATTTAATCTTAACCGGTGACTTATCTTCATCATCGGCAGATTTAATACCTTCTCCTTCTCCTTCGCCTTCGCCTTCTCCTTCTCCTTCATCTTCATCCTCACTAATGTTGTTCTTCTCATCATCATCAAGATCCAGCGTAAAGGACTCATTTATTAACTTCTGTTGTCTAATTCTTTCTTGTCGTTCTTCATATTCTCGCTTCATCTTTTCTGCTAATGAGTTCTGTTTAATTCGTTCTTCTTCTTCCGTCCGTTTCTTCCGCTCATTTTCTTCATGCTGCAAAATATCATGCTCATTATAATTATCACTCAACCATTGAGTGATATCTCTTAAATTCCCCTTCCCCTTAACAAATCCTTTAAATATATCACTTTCCTTTAAATAAAAGAATCGTTTCCGTATAATAGGAAAATCCTTATGTTGCCTTATAGCTTGTCTTTTGGCTTCTAATTGTCTCTCCTTAGCTTCATCTATAGAAGTCGAACTCTTCTTTCCGGTAATACTAGAAGGAATCATTGATGGCAGTTGAGTAGGCGATGACTTAATAGCAATTGGAGATGACGATGGAACTTGGATATAACTTTCCTTTTTCGGAGTACTCACGGGATTTGAAGAACTCAAAGTTTCCTTACTAACTTCAGGATTGTTCTTCTTATACCAGCTCATCTACCACCAAATCACTTTAATTGACTGGGTGTCTGAATACTGAATACTTAATTCTTGGTCGTACTGGGAAATCGACCCCGAGGTGAATTTTTCAATTTTCTTTCTTTGATCTTTCCCAGCGCGTTATACACTACCTGAGCGGCGCGTTTTCATTTGGGTGCAAACTTTTTGGAACATTCATTCATTTACTGCATATATATATATATATATAAAGAGGATTTATCTCCTAATTGACAGGTACTTTTCAGCTAAATAGTTAGGATCATTCAAATGTTTTACATCTTCAACAGGTCTTTCACCTTGAGGACTAATTCTAAAGGCATGTCTAAGTGAAGGAGTATCCCAATCAATGACAGCAGAATGAACAGTACTTCTGTTATCCCATAATACTACGGTATTTGGTTCCCATTTGGCTCTTAATTGAAGATCATGAGCTTGTTCCACATGGGTGAATAAAAATTCTAAAAGAGCATCTGATTCTTCTTCCTTTAATTCAACAATTTTTCTACCAAACTCTCTATTTAAGAATAAATGTTTTTCTTTAGTAACTGGATGTTGTCTAACTAATGGATGAATATTTGATACTGGACTTCTTCTAACAATTCCTCCGGCAGCGGCATTAATATCTGCTTGATCTTCTGCAGTATGTAAAACATGTAATCCTTCTAATCTTGCTTGTAATGCAGGACTCAATCTCTTATATGCTTCAACTGTATTAGCAAATATAGTATCTCCACCTGCCTCTGGACCTTCTAAAACAGAAAAAAATGTAATTTGAGGAGGATTTAATTCATAAGAAACATCGGAGTGCCAAGCAATATTGTTTGTTCTAGATTCAAATGCACTCTCTAATTCCTTCTTAGAAGCACCTCTAAAAGTAATATGTAATTGGGGGAATCCCTCAGGAGATCCAGAAGTTGGATGAATATGAAGTGGACCAAAATAGCTTCCATAATTAACAGCAAATTCAGGACCATATGAACTAAAATCTTGATCTCTAAAAATGACTACACCTCTTTGAGCCACAAATAATGCTAAATCATTCTTTGCTTCATCACTTAATTGCGATAATTGAACACCTTTAACTTCAGATCCAAGTTTCGGAGTCACACTCTTGACTTGATGATTTCCATTTTTAGGAAATAAGTTAGATAAGTTAGCATCTGCTAATAATCCCTTATCGTGAAATTCAAAGAATTCTAATGGTGGGAACTTTTGGTTAGGATTCCATGTAGGTAAAAATTCAGGATACTTAGCTTGTTGTCTATTTTCTTTGCTGATAGTAAATGCTCCACTTTCAGTCTTGGAGTTATGTTCAGGATTGAATTGAGAAGGGTCATATCTGGTTGCAGCGGGTACAGGACTCATATTGGTTATGATTAATTATTATTATTATTATTATTATTACTTGTTACTTAAATAATATTAAACTTATACGTGAATCTACAAGGCGATGTTAGCAGCTACTTATACACTTGAATTCTACAATCTTTTCCGCTTGTTCATTTATGGAATGGTCCGATTCCGATCCAAACGGTTGGCCCAGTTTGTTGTTGTACTGTGTCCGCCACAGTTTTGCAGTAAATCGTGATTTTGTCAAAGAGAGCCATTCGTGGAGAAGGTGGACTGTATATAGAAAATCAGATAAGTAAGGGCCGCCCTTGCTTATAATAGAGAAATATATGGGGCAGAGTTTGTGTTGCAACATTTGTCGATACATTCCCATAGAAAGACTGGGCATAATACATAATGGCACATGTTTTATTGTCAACAGACTAAAGAATATTTAAGAAGGACAAGTTATTAATAAAATTTATTTCAATGGACTCATAAAGTATCGTATGATCACCAGCTATTAGTAGTAGTATAGACATATACTACTTCTGTATCTTGTCTTAAACCAATTATGGTACTACTATTATTATTTCGATACAATCTAATACTAAGTGAGTAGCATCAACTGGTGTCAGTTTACTTGTGTCCACCTAAAGCAGCATGCGACTGCTAAAAATATAAAGTGCAGGATCATTTTGTCTCAACTGGCTGACTACATAATTGCCTGATCGGGGAAACATGTTTAGTGGAAGTATTCAATTCTATATGAAACGTACACCTTTAAAGAAGATATGACTTATACAGTGTTAGCGTGTGGGTCCAATGGTAATTTCCAATTGGGAATTGATAACAATGAGGACCAAAGTGTATTGAAACCAGTTTTATTTGAAATTAACGGAGAGTTAACTTCACAGTTGCATGTTAAACCCATAAAGATTTCCAGTGGAGGAAATCATACTCTTATATTATTAGAGAATGGAGAAGTTTATTCTAGTGGTGATAATACCCATGGTCAATGTGGACATGCTATAAGTTCAACTAATTTCCCTGTATTTTCTCAAATTATCGAGTCGAATTGGAAAGATATATCTTGTGGATGGGAATTTTCAATCTTAGTCAATGAAGATAATGAAATATATATATGCGGTAGAGGACTTAAAGGGGAATTGGGTTTAGGGAAGAATGTCACTGAATCGGAATTTACACTTCTTCCTGTAGATATTGAAGAAGAATATCAAATCATTGAAGTTCAAAGCTCACTTGATTCGACAGTAGTAAGATTAGATAAGAATCGTTTATTGGGCTGGGGAAATGCTAGAAAAGGACAATTAGGTAAACAAGAATTACTTTTAAACAATAAATTGGAAGCTAGCTTATGGCATCCTCGACTTCTTAATTTTGATGTTCCATCTGGAGCAGAATTTACCTACTCATTAGGAAGGGACTATTCGGTATTTTATGTGAATAGTGAAACAAATACTCGGGATATTAAGGTATTTGGGAAACAAATAGCAGGCCAATTAAAGGAAAGTACTAGTCAAATTGTTAATGTTAAGTCAATGTGGTCATCTGTCCATGAAATAGTCAAGTCCATTGATAACCAATATACAATAGAATCATATGGAAATAATAGTCATGGACAACTATATCAAACCATTGAAAATCACCCCAACATTTTGGCTATTGAATTTGCCATTGGGAGTGAACATGGATTACTACTTAGTCCTAATAATGAAGTATATGCTTGGGGTTGGGGTGAGCATGGAAATTGTGGAGTTCAAAAGAAACAAAAGATAGAATCAGAGACGGTTACATTTGATTACTTAAACCTTTTATATAATGGTCAATCTAAAGTGATTCTAATACATGGAGGATGTGCTACTAGTTGGGTAGTAGTTGAATAACGTTTATATATATATATAAAAAAATTAATTACGAGTTTATACGATTTACAAAAAAATGTCACGAATTATCTTTCCCATATTCATCTATTGCACGAGATGAAGTTCATCAATGCTCAAAGATGGAAAATATGTCAGACGTAGTTATTATAGGATGATTGTATCGATAATCAATACATTTGTTTATACAAAGGATCTCATCAATTCCAATACTCTCAAGGATTCCGTAAAGAATCCCCAAAAAAAGAACCATACGAAGAGACCAAAAACTTTTATCAACTACCTTCTTTGATCACCCATAATAGATATATCATAAACTATCAAGACTTTGTTAGATCACAATATATCTTTGTTTGTTTGCAGCAAAAAGAAGGTTCTAGTAAATTCCAAATAAATTTTTTTGTCTTTGATGGATTTATTTTTCTAGGCGGGTAACTAGAATAGTAAACGAGATCATTTAAGGCAGCCAAACAGTTCGCATCAGGGCTGAACCTCCACATACAGAGAATCATAGATTACCTAGACAGACATACACTGGTTACTACTCCAAGTATAATATATTGTAATAGTAACGAATAAGGAACTATGTTTGGAGTGGTTTGTTCTGGAAGACCAATTGAATTGGCCAATCAAGTTGAAGCCACCAAGTATGTGGTAACCATACCCAATGCATCAAATATATCATTTGTTACAGTATTCTTACTACCTAATTCTAATTTTACTGATACAAATTATACAGCTTTAGTATATTTTCAATTACCTAACTCTCAAGAATTTAAGTTATTAGGTGGATTGAATCCATTAAAACCATCAGCCATTTATAAAGTTAATAATTCACTTAAAAAATCTGGTAATGGAGAAGATACAGATATGAGTATTGATGATAATTCAATTAATGTTAATGATTCAGCTATTATAAATATTGGAATATCAATTGAACCAACTCAACAAGCCGAATTATTATTGAGACAAGAAGCTGAAAAGAATAAAAATGGATCTAATAATACTGATAGTAATGCTTTAGTAAGTACTAGACAAACCAATAAAGCGCTTGCTCCATCTGATACAGCCGTATTAGCAAATAAAATCGTAGGTCATGCATACAACTTCCTTGCTAGTTTTATTGATAATTCAGGGAAAGTGCCAATTAAAGCCTTTGATAATTGGTGGGATAAGTTTAAAGCTAAATTAGCTAATAACCCTAACTTTCTAGATGATTTACAACAATAATAGAATTATTTCATGAGTAAATGTAAAGTTAGAGGTAGAATAAAAAAGTAAGTTAAATAAAAAAATAATGATATAATGAAAAAGAATTATTGAAATTTGCAACCAACTGTATTTAATGCCCTCTCAAAGAATAATAAAGTTACAACATAACGACTACTACAGTAACTCATTTATCTCTATACACACTATTAAATAATGATGGTATAAATCATTATAAAAATCCTGGGCTGATATCAGTAGTCAGGCTTTGATTGACACGGGTTATATCGCAATCAGATAAATCAGCTAACAATTCTTAATTGAGTATGAGGGGAATAGGCAATCCTTCCCCCTTGTACTTGATCTTGCTTAGCTAACATCATGATGTTCCTTAAACTATGACATATCATGACCCATCATTAGAATTGCCATCATTATCATACATAATCGTCATTATTAATCAACTTGCTAAATATCACGGTACCACAATCTAAAGACATGATCAATTGTAGATGACACAAATGGAGTTTAAACGAGAGTGGGCTTTAATGTATAAACCTAACGGCGCTCGGACTTTAATATCCATGCACGTGACTCTCCCTTTACCAAAACAGAGCATAAATAAGATTTTACAAAAGGGGAAGAAAAAAAAGAAATTTCCGATGACAAACGCCACAGTAGCTATATGTAGGAAATAGCTACAGTCTCACGTAAGCACATAAAAATTTTTTTGTGTGGTTTACCTTTAAGATGTTAAAGCTAAGTACAGTATATAATCAAGATTTTATCCAGAATTGTTAGAAATTCGTTTATTTAATTCCTTAAGTCGGTTTTCGTAACAACAGTAGCCCTTCCCTTAGTATAGAAAAGTCCAACCTTTTTCAAATACTATTTTCTTCATTTTTATCCTGTATCTATAAATTAGACGATAATCCAACTTATCTGACACCACTGTTTATAAAATTTAAAATTTTTTAAACCTGACATAATGACTATTGAAAATACTCCAAAATTCGGTTTCGGTACTAGAGCTATTCATGCTGGTGCTCCAATTGATCCAAGTACTGGTGCTGTTATTGAAGCAATTTCATTATCAACTACTTTTGCTCAATCTGAACCATCTAAACCTCTTGGTATCTATGAATATTCTAGATCTTCTAATCCAAACAGAGATAATTTTGAACAAGCTGTTGCTTCATTAGAAAGTGCTAAATATGCTATTGCTTTAGGTTCCGGTTCTGCTACAACTGCTTTAGTCATTCAATCATTACCAATCAATTCTCATATTATTTCTGGTGGTGATGTCTATGGTGGTACTTATAGATACTTCACTAAGGTTGCTAACACTCATGGTGTTAGTGCCACTTTTGTTGGTAATTTGGCTGACGATTTGGAAGCTAACATTAAACCAAACACTAAATTAGTATGGTTAGAAACTCCATCTAACCCAACCTTATCAGTTACTGATATAGCTAAGGTTGCTCAAATCTTGAAATCTCATGAAGAAAAAACAGGTTCCAAGATTTTATTAGTGGTTGATAATACTTTCTTATCTCCATACATCTCAAATCCATTAACTTTAGGTGCTGATGTTGTTGTTCATTCTGTTACTAAATATATTAATGGACATTCTGATGTTGTTATGGGTGTTTTAGCTACTAATAACTCTGAATTACATGAACAATTCAGATTCTTACAAAATGCTATTGGTTCAATTCCATCACCATTTGATTCTTGGTTAGCTCACAGAGGTTTAAAAACTTTACATTTAAGAGTTAGACAAGCTGCTACTTCTGCTCAAAAGATTGCTGAATTTTTAGTTCAACATCCTGCTGTTCAAAAAGTTAACTATCCAGGTTTAAAATCTCATCTTAACCATGATGTTGTTGTTAGACAACATAGAGATGGCTTAGGAGGTGGTATGATCTCTTTTAGAATTGTTGGTGGTGCTAAAGGTGCTTCAGTATTCACTTCTTCTACTAAAATTTTTACTTTAGCAGAATCTTTAGGTGGTATTGAATCATTAGTTGAAGTTCCAGCTGTCATGACTCATGGTGGTATTCCAAAGGTTGAAAGAGAAGCCAATGGTGTTTATGATGATTTGGTCAGAGTCTCCGTCGGTATCGAAGACACTGAAGATTTAATTAATGATATTCAACAAGCCTTAGAAAAGGTTGTTGCTACTACTTCTAATTAAGTACTATTTTAGAATTTTGTATTATTAGAAAAGCATATATAAAGCATATTTATATATGGTGTCTTTGCATAACATAGATTAGTTTTAGTTTAGGAAACTTCAGTTGGGTGAAGTCTTTATTTTGGTTTTATTTAGACTTATTAAACAATTTTAAATCGAATTATCATTCGCATGTAATATTTCTTTTGCTGCTAAAAGTTGCAGCCTTTACTATTGTTTCTGTGCGCACATTTCGGCACGTGCAATATCGCGTGCGCTGATACGTGTGACTTGTGACGTGGCTAACCCCCCAGATAATTACTGAGATATATAACTTAATCTATAGTTAAATACTGCACTATTTTAATAATAAACCAGTTATAATTATACCGATGAAATTAACAAACATATTTAAAGTTGGATTGTTATTGGTTGTAGTAGCTGGACAAATTGTAGACACCGACGAAGAATTAATTTGCAGTCCATCTAATCCAAAAGATTGTTATCCTAAATTATTTAAACCAACCTCAAAGTGGCAACAGATTCGTGAAGGCCAAGATATTCCTGCAGGTCTACACGTTAGATTGAATATAGATACGTTACATAAGGAAGCCAAACTAATGGAACCATCTGAAGATGATCAAGTATCACAAAATGATATCGTGGTAGTAGCTGAAGATCCAAGTAAAGATAGTAAAGCTGATAAACTTGTTAAACAAAAAGTTTCAAACATTGTTCATGGTCATGATGGTGAAGGGCATGGACAAACCCGAGGGAAATTAAATTATCATGAATTAAATGATTTTGATGGTGCAGTATATCAAATAGATATCTATAGTGATGGAACTAGTAAAGATATTAATAAAGTTTCTCAAGCTTTAGATACTTTAAGTGATTTAAGTCATGATATCAAATTTGGAGTTAAATTAACTGCCGATAAAAATGTATTTGATAACCTTGCTAAATTAGCTACTAATGCAAAAGACCCTAAAATAACGGAGACAATTTATAGAATTATGGGCTCATCATTAAGGAATAATCCTGAAGCTATTAGTAATGTATTAAAGAATTCAGATGAAGGTTTCATCAATAATCTTTTCACGAGCTTGAATTTCGAATCAGATATTATTCAAAAGAGAATCCTTGGTATTATTCAAGGATTAACTCAAAGTGATCATTTCAATTCTCAATATTTTAGTTCTTCAAATAATAAAGGAATTAATAATTTAATATCTGTATTTCCAAGTCTTGGAGAAGAATCGAAGCAAAGATTTGTTAATATATTTGAAGATTTGAATTTAATTGCTATATCAGCCAATAATGAAAAGAGACAATATGATTTATCTAATCCTGATCATACAGTATCAGATTATTTACAAAATTCGCTTATTAATAATCAATTAGCAAATGATTCACAATTTGAACTTTTCTTTAAAAAATTAGTTGATATTCATAAGTTAAATGATTCATTAAGACCTTCAAAGGAATTTTTAAATTGGTTAAGTAAAGAAGTAGAAGTTAGGAAAGAAAATAGGAAAAGAGATGAGAATTACACAACTTCGAAGAGAGAATTTGATGAATCCTTGATCCATGCTAGACATGTAGTGTTTGGCAATCCTCATGGATTAAGAAAAGCACTCGCTGACGATTTATGATTAATAAACAATAATGATCGATTATTTATTGTAGGTTTTTCTTGTTTTCTATTTATTATTATACAACAAAAAGTATTAAAGAAGTTTCATTTTTAATGTAAACTAATGCGAAATAAAAGGAAACCCTATAATATTGTCAAATATATATATGATGAAGTGGATGATGATTAGAAATGGAAATTATTTGATAGAGTTAAATCTAATCGAATAAACCGAATCCCATGTCGTCATCGGATTCTTCCTTTTCTTCTTCAGCAGCTTCTTCAGCAGCTTCTTCAGTGGCAGCAGCACCGGAAGCAGAAGCAGCTGGAGCAGCAGCACCACCAGTTGGGACGGAAGATAATTTTTCGTTACCTTCAGCAATTAATTCTTCGGCATTCTTACCTTCGACTTCTTCTAATAATTTAGAGATTTTGTCTTCTTCAACTTCAATTTCAACTGATTCTAAAACAGCCTTGATATCAGCAGCAGATGGGGTGGTGTTACCGGCGTTGACCAATAATAAGTAAGCAGCTAAGTATTTCACTAAAAATCGTAAGTTAGTATTTCATATCTTCAAACATGGTCTACAATAGAAACAATCTGAATGGTAATGAGAGTTCTCTAATTTCAAATATAGGTCTTTGGTTTAAACTTGATATCTTCCTGAATTATTCTGCATCACTCAGACTATTTTAAATCACTATACATTCTTGTAGTTTATGTATACATCCTTCTCACTAATATTGAAATTACTTGACTTTGACATCTGGAGATATTGACTTCACGTTTGGCTTATACTCTGGGTAATGGATCTTAATTACATAAAACGGCTCTCCCATACTCTGAGCAAGTCATCTGTATTGCAGTTGGTCCTTGATACTGATAATTAAAATTTCAATATTAACTTCAAACGATGGGATCACAACTTATTCAAGGTCCTTAAACCGCTTCACACTCTCCCAAAAAGCTCTTAATTTCAAAATTGATTACTCTCGTTCTCATTCATTCGTTCATTAGCACATTCACATACTTTTTATCTATATTATGTATGATTTAACAGTGCTTTCCTATAGTTAATTCATGTATTTTTCAATTTTTAATGATCGTTAGCCTCACTCGGTGCTGAAAGAAAAAATTGTTGATACTGCAGGTAGCTTTTAGGGTTGGTGCCCTTTAAGTCACGTGTGTTGTTATATTATATGGGGATTCATTTGCAACCAAATTTGTCTTATAATTCCGGAGTTGCTACTAACAAAGAGATAGAAGATATAGATATAAAAGTTTGGAATGTTTTCACTGATTTGAGGTGTTTAATCAAATTAAGGTAACACCAACGATGTAAACATATACTTTAAAATTCTGCTTGATGTATACAACTTAGAAATCAAACTATTTTGAATAAAACCTTTATGTGAATTAACTAATTAATTCTATTATAACAAAGACACTATTGCTTTTTTGCATGTCTCAGAAATCAATAAAGTTTACTCAGACAATACCTTATATTACCTCATTGTACCACACAATTTTTTTACCATAATGGTAGCGCATTGCATTATGACCACTAAAATTATTGAAGAATAATAAACTATATAATACTGAACATTGTTCCTATCCTTTAATAATATTGTATTGTATATAATGCCCTTAAAATCGAAGATTGCAACTGCTAGATTACCCCTTATAATGTTTCCGTAAGTTGTTCGAAGTACCAATGAGTTCCCTCTAAACGTCTGTTTTATGTGGAACTAAACATCATAAATTGAAAGGCTTTACTTATACCACAGTATATTTAGATAAAATATTTCAGTCCTTTGGTTAAGGTGTGATTCTGCTTTAGCATATTCTGAGCAAATAATAATTTGCATCTAAATTTGTAAATGAAATAAAGATTGATAGCTTACTAAGCTGACATAAGCAGCCGCGGTATGGCTCAAATATTAGGTAATACTGTTGGTGGCATCGATAAGCTATACATATATAGATAAATAATTTATACCTTTTAATTTGAATTCAAAGTTTCTATATATCAACTATAAGCATGGCACCAAAGGAATTTCCTGAATTGGGTGAAACTCAATTGAATGAATTAAAAGAGGCATTATCTCAATGGAGTTTGGCCAATGGATTAATCATGTATCCACCTAATTTCGAACAATATAATGCCAATGTTGCACCAATAACTTTATACCCAACTCCATTACCAAAGAGTAGTTTTAAGAATGCACAAGATGTTCAAAAAATCTTTAATGAGTTATATATAAATTTAGTTACCAAACAAAAATCTTGGTTACTACCATTATTACAAGACTTATCAACCTTTGATAAAGATTTCACTGGTAAATTATTTGAAACTTATCAAAAAGCTATCGAACAAAGTCCAAATAAGAAGCTCGTTCAACCATTATCTTTAGGTTTATTTAGGTCAGACTATATGATTCATCAAGATACTAATGAAATAAAACAAATTGAATTTAATACTGTTAGTGTCTCATTTGGAGGTTTATCATCAAAAGTTGGTCAATTGCATAATTATTTAAATAAAGTAGGTTATTATGATAATAATTATTCTTATAAATATTATGAAGATGAAGAAATCCCCATTTCAAAATCTTCAACTGAATTAGCTCAAGGATTAGCTGAAGCTAATACTCATTATGGTGTAAATAATTCAGTTATTTTATTCATTGTACAACCAGGAGAAAGAAATTGTTTTGATCAAAGACATATTGAATATGCTTTAATTAATGATCATAATATTAAATCGTATCGTTTAACTCTTGAAGAAGTATCTTCACAAACTACTATTAAAGATAATAAGTTGTATCTTAAATCAACTATGGATGAAGTATCAGTTGTATACTATCGTTCTGGTTATGCTCCAACAGATTATGAAGTAAATCCAGAAAAGACTTGGGAAGCAAGATTATTATTAGAAAAATCAAGCGCTATTAAATCTCCTTCTATTTTAACACAACTTGCAGGAGCTAAAAAAGTTCAACAGATTTTAACTAATGCTGATGCCATAAAACAAGCATTACCTGATATTACTGAGAGTGATTTATCCTTATTATTATCTACATTTGTTTCGATTTATCCATTGGACGATACTGAACAAGGTAAATTGGCTAAGAAATTGGCATTTGAGCAGCCAGAAAATTTTGTATTAAAACCTCAAAGAGAAGGTGGTGGTAATAATATTTATAAAGAAAATATTCCATCATTCTTGAAATCAATTGATGAGAAGGAATGGGGTGCTTATATTTTAATGGAAATTATTAATCCCCCTACGTATCGTAATAAAATTATTAGAAATAATGAAATTTATCATGAAGATATCATATCTGAATTAGGTATATTTGGAACTATTTTATTTAATGAAGAAACTGGTGACATTATCAGTAATAAAAATGCCGGATTCTTATTAAGATCTAAATTTAGTACTAGTAATGAAGGTGGTGTTGCTGCTGGTTTCGGTTGTGTGGATAACATTTACTTATACGAATAAACATAGAAAGTATTAGACAAAGTTAATAGCATAGATCCGTTAAAATTATAAATTAATGTACTACAGTAGAAGAATTAAATTCTTGCTCTTGATCGTGGCCTAATTTAGTATCTTTGGGAGAATTATCAGTAGAATCCCTAAATATTGAAGCTTGCCTCTTTCCTGCTTGTTCGATAGTCACTGCCCATAATGCAGCTCCAAGAGTATCAGTGAACATAAACAACAATCCAATAAAAGGTATATGTTCCAATACTACTGCAACAATTCCGAAACCTAAGTAGGCACCTCTATTTGATTTATAAATAGCATGAATTTGCCTTTTATCAAAACCTTTCAAAGCAAAATATCTTGAGTGAGCTTGAAGGCCCTTAGATGGTGCCTGTAAAAGAATTGATAAGATAATATTAACAAATGGAATGGGAATATGTTGAATCAGTAATATCACTATAACTTTTCCTATCAAATAAGGTAAAACAAATAAATAAGGAATAATCCAAAATATCCTACCACATTTAACTATAAAGGGGACTTTGGCAATTCTTCTGAGTTTTCCAAGTAAAACAACATCATCAGAAAATTCTCTACTCATCACTGCATCAAATGCAACTCTTTGAACTTCTGCTAATAAAAGATATGTAACTATAAATATTGATACTGTAGTAGAAACATTCAAAACAGAATACCATGCACTGAAAAATCCTAATGGCCCTTGAAATATTGAGTTATAAAACAGCATCCAAGGATAAAATAATATAAACATCACAAGATAAATCAACAATGTTAGCGTTAATTGAGGGATGAAGACTGTTAAATAGAATGCCCAAAGCTCAGGGTATATAGAGAAATAGTACATCCCCTTCAGTAACTTGTTAGTCCATCAGTTTTGAAAATTTACATATCATTAACTAGTAAAACTTACATAAAGTGGATACCAATAAGTTCCTGAATCAACAATATCCCAAGGAAGGGTGGACCAGTTGGAGACTTTTAGGTTTATATTCTTTGAAACTGAGTCAGCTAGTAATGACATGGTGCTGGCGTGTTAGAATAAATTGGCAGCCAAAATTATGTTGCTTTTCTTCCAAACAGGATTTGTTCTACATTTTATAGCGCTGCAATAAACAAAATCACAGGTGCGTTTAATTTATAATGTCTTCTTTCAATGCTAGACTATTGAATTCAATAGTAGTAGCTTTTGAGAGAATGGGAGATCTGGAACAATACTGAAACTTACCATATTCTTAACATAAGCAAAGAGATCTCAAAATAAGATTATTCTTTCTTTTGACTTACTTTGAGAGAGTAAATTCTACTATTGTTAAGATTTTAGTTTGAAACTTTTTGACAATTTTTGCAAAAACTAGCAAAATATATTATTTGAGGAAATTTGCATTAACGCTTAATAAATAAACTTGGTCTGCCATATATAGATAAAATTGACTTTTAGATACTTATAACATGTAAATGGTCTATACTTTAGTAGTTTAAGTTGGTTGCAAAATGTGTCTTCGTTTCAAAAAGGCTAAAATTTGGAAAACTTTGGGCATTTGGTCACGTTTTTTGAGATCACGTGATTGATCATGTGACTTGCGCGCTTTTCAAAATGCAGAAAAATTTCTCACTCATGAAAAGGTCCCTTGGCCCAGTTGGTTAAGGCGTGGTGCTAATAACGCCAAGATCAGCAGTTCGATCCTGCTAGGGACCATTTCTTCTAAAATTTCATAGGGCGTGTGGCGTAGTTGGTAGCGTGTTCGCTTAGCATGCGAAAGGTCTCCGGTTCGACTCCGGACTCGTCCATTTTTTTAATTTTTTGATAATGCTTATAACTATCAGTTGTTTGGCAATAAATTTAAGCAATTTTGAAGCAAATTGGATTAATTTTGGTTGAGTTATAAGGTTTTTTTTGAGTAGCTAATAAGGCTGAAAATTCTCGTTTAATTTAATCTTTTTTGAGCGAAAGCTGCTATTACTCTGAGCTATTTTCTTAAGATACGATATTATATGATTCATAGTTCGAAAACTTTAAGAGGAATATATTACTAGCAATTGAGCCATGTTGCAAAGGCACGCATACAGATCTAATGTCATTAATATTTATTCGTTTAAACTAAAGTTAGCTCTATATACAAGAAAGACATAGTTCTAATGGTCTCGCCTTTGAACTAAGAATAACATCCAAAGAGAATTGGAAAACTTAATATGCACTGATTTTGTTGAGGCTGAATCTATGATACAATGTGAACGGAAATGTTAGCAATAGAAGTAACTCTTAAATACGGAATCTTTCGAGCTTGTTCAACTTCTTGGCAGTATGAGCATTATTTCTAGTATTTTGACCATGTACTGGTAAACCAAGAGTATGTCTAGTACCAGCATAAGAACCAATATCTCTTTTCAATTTAATATCATTATTAACTTTTTGTTTTAATTGTCCTTCAACAAGCATTTGAGAAAGTTCTCTATTTAAATCCATAATTTGTGGTTCTTTTAATTGGTTCATTCTCATTTGAGGATATATACCAACTTTAGCACATAACATTTCTGCTTGTTTATATCCAAGCCCAAAGATAACTTTAGCTAATCCTATCTATAAAATGATGTTAGTATTAATTTCATCATCTATTAAAAATTCATAAATTAAATAAGTTATCAACCAACAAAATATATACATACACGAACAAGCGAATTATGCTTTACTGATTTACCAAAGACGTGAACACCCATGGTTATATAATTTAATGAATATTACGTTGATTGGTTATTTAACAACTATTTATTGGTAATTGAAATTTTTTTGATCGAAATTTTCTATGTCAGATATTTTACATGTTACCTCAAATTAACCTGTAATATCCTTAACCCTTGCAAAGTTGAAAAATGACTTCTATGATAGTGAGATCATCGTTGACATATACTGAATATATATATATATATATTAATAAATAGGTATAGATAGAATGAGTTTATTTATGCCTCATGGGTCTAACCCACAATCAGCACAATTTACATGTAATACTTGCGGGATAAGATTTGCATCGGCTGAATTACAAAGGCAACATATGAAGACAGAATGGCATAGATATAATTTAAAAAGAAGAGTAGCTGAATTACCTTCTATTTCTTCTGAAGTATTTGCTGAAAAAATTTTAAATCTGAAGCAAAACGAAGATGGTTATAATGAAAGTGAAGAAGATGAGTATGGATTTTATGTTCATAGAAGGAAAGTTAAACAATTATCTGACAATGCTCAGATTACTAAGAAATTATTAAAGCATCATGAAAAAGTTAGAGGTAGAAAGCACGAACAAATAATCCTTGGTAATTCTATTGCAAGAGCTGAAAGTCCAGCTGCTTCTTTAACTTCTGAATTTTCTCTGTTTTCATTAGGAGATCCAATTCATCATGAAATCGAATCTCTCGCAGAAACAGGTTCAGAAATTGTTTATACTACCGAGTCAGATGGTTACTATGATTCTGAAATTGAAGATGATGATAATGAATTAGAAACAGCTAGTTCTGATTCTGATGATGAATTAGAAGCTCTTCCTATTGATCATTGTTTTTTTTGTGGACAAAATAATGGAGAAATTGAAAATAATGTTAAGCATATGTTTAATAGGCATGGGTTATATATACCGGAAAGATCTTTTCTTACTAATATAGAAGGATTATTGACTTACATAAGTGAAGTAATTACTATTGATAATGAATGTTTGGTATGCGGTTTTGTGGGAAAGAATATGGAAAGTATAAGACAACATGTATATTCAAAAGGACATTGTAGAATACCATATGAAACTAAGCAAGAAAAATTAAGTATTGCTGAATTTTATACTTTTTATGATAATGATGATGATATTCAAATTAATAATTCTAAAAAAAGATCAAAATCCACAAAAGCTGTATCATTTGCAGCCGAATCAGAAGATATAGAAGATATAGAAGATGCTAGAGATGAAGAACTGGACGTAGAACTTGAAATTAACGATGAGGAAGAAGATAGCATAGATGACGATGATGATGACGATATAAATAATGGAGTTAATGATAATTATTCCTTAGTTCGATTAGATAGATCTGGAGTAGAATTAACTTTACCCACTGGATCTAAAATAGGTCATCGTTCGATGGCCAGATATTATCGTCAAAATATTATTTTAGCCCCTGAACTTAAAGAATCTCAAAAGACAGTGGCTATTGTAGATAGAAGATTCGCATCAGGCTTATCATACCATCAAATTACTAAAGAAGAAAGACAAATACGTAAATTAGAACAAAGAGTTAAAAACAATTACGAGAGGAAAGTCAAAGGAAGTCATATCAATCATCAAAAACACTTTAGAGATGAACTCTTAGGCCCTATGTAAGTATAATTAATTAATTAGTTAGTTAGTTAGTTAGTTAGTTAGTTTGGCCCCAAATATGAGGAGTGAGTCCGTCTGTCTTTTTTTTGCAATTTATTTGTGTGTCGCACGTCCTGTAATCAGGCATAGAAACTTATCGAAAATTCTTTGCAATAGATGAAAGGACCATATCTATTAAAAGATTAATAATCTGATATTATTGCTATAACTTACTAAATATTTCTACAGTCACTATAAATAAATATTCCTGGACGTTTGTAGATCAGATAAACATACAAAGCCAAATTTGAAGTTTTAAAGTTGTCTTTTAAGTGAAATTATCATTAAGATCGCAACATAAACACTATTAGTTGTTAATAATATAATAATAATACTATAAATATCATATGAATTCTCAAAGGTTATGGCTATAGAAACACACCTTTATGATATATTACAGGTGTATCCTTCGGCTACATTAGAAGAAATATCTAAATCCTATAAGAAATTAGCATTAAAATGTCATCCTGATAAGACTAATCGTGATCCTCAATTAACTGAACAATTTAAAGAATTAACTAGAGCTTATGAAGTACTTCGAGATGATAATTCAAGAAAATTATATGATGATTATGGAGAAGCAGGATTAGATAGTTCATTTCAACCACCTATTCCAACTCAAAATGTACAGTTTAGAAGAAATGTTCCAAATCCTCGAGCTCCATTTCCTAACCCCACAGATATATTCTCACAAGTATTTAATGATATTAATAGTATGTTTTCACAACAACCAGTATTTGATTTTGGACAATCATTTATGCAAGATACAAATAATGTAAATATGAAAAAAGTGGTACAACCAGCTGGATCTGCTTTGGACCAACAAGTATTCATATCAGGACAAGATATTCATCATACTTGTAATGTTGAATTAGGAGACTTATATTATGGGAAAACAATAAAATTAAGATTACCCAAAACTTGTAAATGTGAAAATTGTGATGGTTATGGAGGATTTAATCCTCGTACATGTAGAGTTTGTCAAGGTTCAGGAAGAGTAACTATAACTCATTATAATCAATTTTCTAGATTTAGAAGAACAGGATCATGTGAACCTTGTAATGGTACAGGAACATTTGTATCACCTAATGATAGATGTCAAGTATGTAATGGTCAAGGTTATATGAAAGATTCAAAGATTTTAAAAATTGAAGTTTTACCAGGAACTAAAGATGGTGATATTATAATATTAAAAGGTGAAGCAGATGAAGGAAGAAATATTATTCCTGGAGATGTTATTATTCATGTTAAAGAAGTTACACACCCATATTTGGTACGGAAATTTAATGATTTATATATGGAGCATACAATTGATTTACGAACTGCATTATTAGGAGGGGAAATATTTATACCAAATTTCTTAGAACCAAATCAAACTTTAAGAGTTTTTATTAATGTTCATGGATATAAGGATATAAATAATTCAATTCATCTGTCATTAAAATATGGTGAAGTTGTTGGAACCATAAATTCTGGTGATCCAAAGATTGTTAAAGGTTTAGGAATGCCAATTAATCATTTTATTAATCGTAATTCATATGTTCAAAATCCTATGGAAGATGATGTAGTTCGAAAAAAGAAATTAGATATTGATACATATAGAAAGGGTAATTTATTTATCAATTTTAAAGTGACATTACCTTCTATAAATGAGTTTGTAAATGGAGAACAAGATTTGGCAGCTTTAAATAATATTTTACCCATGTCTAGTTTATCAGAAACGTCTAATGCAAATTTAATTGGTGTAAAGGATTCTTATTTGGCTAACATATCATTCTCAAGTCCAAATAAGACAAATTCAGATATGGAAACCAATACTACGAATAACAGTAACATATATAATAATGAAAATTATGATCAGACTAATATTAATAATCCTGATTTGGAACCAAGAGGTAAGAAGAGAAGACCTAATGATTCTATGAATACAAATAATAGTTTCGCAGCAACAGGAGGAGGAGGAGGAGGAGGAGGAGGAGGAGGTCCAGAAATCTTGATTTAAGATATAAAACAAACTTTATGAATGATGCCCCATACTATAGCCAACAATTATGTATTATATCTAAGTATATAGTAACTAAATATTATACTTTATAGATGTTGATTGTACAAATTATACTAAAAATTATTACGTCCTACTAGCACCGTAGAAAAAATTAGGATTAAGGTGCGCCCCTCGTTTCGAGTAGATCAGGATGCACCAAAAACCTTGCCGGGAACTACAGTATATAAATACAAACAAACACGTAAAAAAGTCAAAAATTATCTATATTATTAGGAATTGATAAGACTAATATGAGTAGTCAAGATCATATATTGGATGCATCCATTATTAAGGATTTATCTAATCAAATTTATGAGAAACGTAAAGCTACAGCATTTCAAATTGAAAGTTTAATTAAACCAGCAGTTGCAAACATTGATAGTCAAACAATATATAAAATTATATTAGAATTAACTGAACTTACTAAAGATGGAACTACCAATACTAAAATGGGAGCCATTACTGCATTAGGAAGTGTTTCAATTGCATTAGGTACTCATTTTATAGCTTATTTTTTAGATGCAATTATAAAACCAATATTTTCAACTTTTAGAGATACTGATGGAAGAGTAAGATATTATGCTTGTGAATCTCTTTATAATATTGCAAAAATTGCTAGAGGAGAAATTTTATTATATTTTAATGAAGTATTTGATATATTATGTATATTAGTCACTGATACAGAATCAGCTGTTAAAAATGCAGCTGATATTCTTGATAGATTAGTTAAAGATATTGTAAGTTCAAAATCTACTGAATATGTATCAATATTACATCAAAGAGATAATTTAAGTGATATTAGATCTCATTTAGTTGATGCTGATGGAGTAGCTATTCAATTAAATCAAGTTCAAGATTCTGAAAAGGCATTTTCTTTACCAAAATTTTTACCAACTTTATTAGAAAGAATGTATACAATTGATCCATTTGCTAAAAAATTCTTAATTAGTTGGTTAGAATTATTTGATGCAATTCCTTCCTTGGAATTAATTACATTCTTACCAAATTTTTTAGAACCTTTAATTAAATTTATAAGAAATTCACCATCTGATGTAAGATTAGATACTGAAAATATATTAAATATATTCTTAAAGGAAATAAAGACAATTCATAAGGTTAAATTTATAGTTAAAAGAAATCAATTAATTAAGGAAAGAAAAAGAAAATCAACTTTAAAAACAGTACAAGAAGAAACTACTCCTAATAATGATCATGAAAAAGCAGAAATAACTGGATCAAATGAAGTGGATGATGATGAATCTATCAGATCAGAAAGTACAACTATAATTCATAAAGCTACCGAAGAAAGTGATGGAAAAACAGAAATTAATCGGGATGAAGAGAAACAAGAAGAAGAAGAAGAAGAAGAAGAGTATCTTAGTGGACAAGATATTTTTATTGATCACCAAAAATTAATTGATATTTTATTATCATTTTTAAGAACTTCAGATCGTAAAACTCATAATTATAAATGGAATGATTTATCAGGTGATTCTCATGATGTATATTTAGAAATTCAATTTATTGCTTTGAAATGGTTAGGTGAAATTTTAGAGATTTCACCTACTAGCTTTTTAAAATTCTTACCCGATTGTATAGCAATTAATTTGGAAAGTATAGCAATTGCTGATGAAAATAAGGATATAGATTTAAGAAATTCATTTCTTAATTTCAATTTATCATTGCAAGGATTTTTAATAAAATTAAATGGTGGTACAAATATAAATTCTGAAGATTTAACTACGGAAATTGATGAGAATTTAATTTATGGAATAAATAAAGATGTTTATGATGAATTTGTTGAAGCTCAATTACCTTCAATATTAGAATCAATTACTAATGAATTTTCAACCTCTCGCAATGAATTAGCTAGAATAACTTCATTAGAATGGTTAATATTTTTATATTCTAATTATGAGGATGGATTTTTCAACTTTATGGAAAATGGAGTTCATAAATTTGATTTAACTGATTTATTAAAATCATCAAAGGAAAATAGTAATGAAGTCATTTATAAAGTATTGCAATTGGCATCTAGAATTTCAGAATCTAATCAAGATTTATTCCGAGATTTTGTTATTAAATTAGTTGCATTTTTTGAACTGGAATCAAAGGATAGAGGAAGTACTCTGTCAGTATCTCGATCAAAAATTGAATTCATTATTAGGAAATTATGTTTAACATTGAATTCTGAAAAGATATTTAAAGCAATTTCAGAAGTTTTAATATCTGTTGATGATATTGAATTTTTGAATGGAATGATTGTTACTTTAAATAATATTTTATTAACTGCCCAAGAACTTGCAGCATTTAGAAAGAAATTAAAGAGTTTAGATTCTTATAAACCTGAAGATTGGTCACTTTTTTCAACATTATTCCAAAGTTGGTGTCATAATGCTCCAAGTGCATTATCATTATGTTTATTAATATCAAATTATGAATTATCTTACTTAATAATTAAAAATATATCTGAATTAGAAGTTACATTCCAATTATTAACTCAATTAGATGTTCTAGTTCAATTACTTGAATCACCAATATTTATGAAATTAAGATTACAATTATTAGAACCAGAAAGATACCCTTACTTGTATAAAACATTGTATGGTTTGTTAATGATTTTACCTCAATCTTCAACTTTTAATACACTTAAAAATAGATTAGGATCAGTAGCTCAAGTTAATAATACTAATATTTTAAGTCAACCTTTAGGTACAGCAATTTCACAATCAGTAGTTGCAACACCAAGTGGTACTAGTTCAGGAACTGGAGGAGCAGTTACTAATCAATTATCAATGAGAAAGAAAAAAATTTATGAAATGCTTGAAAAATTCACCAAAGTTCAAGATATTCATGAAGAAGTTATTATTGAAAAACGATTGCGAGAAACATCATATTTTAGAGAAACATCAAATGAAAATAGTAGTATTCATACAAATGCAACTAATAGTATAGCCTATAACAAGAATAATACTATTGGTGCTGGTAGTGGAGGGGTCAGTACTGGTATTGGTACCGGAAATGCTCCAACCGGAACTAATACTAATACTGGTACTTCTACTGGTGCTAGCACCAGTACTTCTACAAATAATAATACTACAAATGATCGTATAACTAGCCAAAGTTCATCATTTCCTCCAGAAAATTCTAATGGTAACTCCAAAAAGGATTATTTCTCGAACAATGATGATAATAAAATAATTAGTAAACGATCAAGTAATAGTAGAATAGGAATTAATAGGTAAATAGATTTTAATCCCCTCCCCTTCCCATAATAAAATTTCCTTTCTTTATCTATTTACAGTTTTTTATTGCGTAACCAACAAAAAGTTTTTTGATAGTTTAAAGTGTAAAATTTATCCAACCCTGTTTTAAAGAAATTTGTTTACGTTTTATGGAATCAATCGATTTTTACAAGTTAGATCGAAATCTGATTATCATAAATTAAATTCACATTAGCACCCAATGTCTACTAGTGATAGTATGAGGAAGTCTATTCAGGCTCAGGTGGACAAGCAACGTGCAGCTGAAGCATTGAGGATTGCCACTCATGGTAACCAGCATTTACATCACCAACAGCATCTCCATAGTCAAGGCACCGAAGATCATCATCACCATCACCATCAGCAATTGCTCTTACAGCAGCAGCAACAACAACAACAACAACAACAACAACAACATCCTCAACAACAACAACATCCTCAACAACATCCTCAACAACAACAACAACAACTGCAGCAACATCCTCAACAACAACATCCTCAACAGCAGCAACAGCTGCAACCGCAACAACATCCTCAACCAGATCAATATTTGGGTCACCAGTTAAAACAAGGTGCATATGATTTAACTGAGTTTGATTTGAAGTCCAGAGATTCAAAGTATCGTCGATGGACACCAAAAATGGATCAATTTTTAATCAAATTACTTTCTGATGTTGTTCATAGTTATCCTAAAGGTGCAGAGGCTGAAATGACTAAAAAAGCTTGGGCTTATGTATGTGGACAATTAAGAAATGCTAATCCTGAGACGGTTTATTCTACTTATACAAAATATTCTGTCCAACAACATTTATCCAATGTTAATCATCATAGATATAAAATTTGGTTTGTATTAATGCTTCATCAAAAAAATAATCCTAATACTTCTGGATATTCTTATAGATGGAATCCTGATTTGGGAAGATTTCAAATTCTTGATAATTCAACTGGTTCATTAATACTTGAGGATCGTCAAGTAAAATCATTATTATACAGTGAATCATTATCATTACCATCATTATCGGCCTTTAATAAAGGTAATTTAATAATTAATGATTTCTTCTTAAGTGATAATCTTAAATATATGTCTGTTTATCATAATGAAGTTCTACCTTTATTAATAAGATTAGACAGTCGATATGCTGAAGGTTTAGGAGATATATATAATGAAATTCCTCGATTTGATTATCATGAAGCAAATCATGAATATTTTAAACCATTATTATCAAGTGGTCGTAGATTTAAATATCAACATCAAGATCCATCACCAAAACAAAAAAAGAGATCACATTCTGATACAGCAAACTCAGACATTTCATTACCATTTTCAAAAGGATTATCATCTATAGGTACAGATGTAACTGATGGTGAAGTTGGACCATCAGGTCCGGGAGGTCCAGAAGATGAATCAGTTGATCCAGCTCTTAAGAGAAATAGAACTCTTCAAGAAGCTGCTGGTACAGGACTCGATTTTGAACATGAATTAGAACGTGCTGCTATTGCTGCTATAAATTCTCCTGCAGTTACTAATGGACGTGATCAAACTCCTTTCTATATAAAAGATCGTAAATGGTTTAATAAACTTATAAATCTACATGATTCTGGTCATATAGGATCTGAAGAAGTATTATCAGTTTGTGAAGGGGTTAGAGATGGTAAAATACCCTTATTTATGTTAAATGTTTTGGATCAAAATTATTATCCAACGAGAAGTAATAATAGCATAACCGAAGATCTATCGGATGAAGAAATTGCAAAGAGGATAAGAGTATTTTTATTACCAATGGTATTCAATACTTAATTAATTGATAGTCTTGGTTGTCATCTCCTGTGTTATATGTTACTTTTCAACTGTTTTATTTGTAATTTTACTGTGCTTTTAGTTCTTACATCTATTATTATTATTATTATTATTATTATTATTATTATTATTATTATTATTTTCATTAACATTATTATTACTTTACAGTATTGTTCTTGTTTTCTATAGTTTGTAATTATATTCATCGATAAAATGGTCGGTATGTAATTCTAGATACTACCCTAATCTATAATGGCACTACTATTTATGAATACGTTTATCTATAGGATGATTCCTAGTTGATAATGTAGGATTGTTTAATTCTTTAGCATGAGAACTTGAACCAGAAGAACTTATCATTGATCTTGTTGAATTACTATCATTTCGTCCTATGACTATAGTAGGAACCTTTCCAGGAGAACTTTTACCATAAGATGATGAAAGACCATTTTCATTAATTGTATCCAATTCACTTTCAGGTTTAATTGAATGAGCATAATCAGTAGGTGATACTTCTGATATTGATCCATGTAAAGATTTAATATCATAAACTGCCAATGAATTCTGTAAAGTATGAGCAGAAGTAGAAATTTGTGGTCCAGGAGTAATTTTTATTTGATGTTGTTGACGAGTAGTAGAGGTAGTACCAGAATTGTCAATCCCAGAAATGATAATTGGTAAAATGGTTTCAGTTTTGACTCTCTTTGAAGATTCTTGTTTATCATCGTCTTGAATTATTGAGGATAATTCACTTGATAAGTCCTCTAGATGTTGGAATACAGAAGTATTACTTGTAGAGTAAGATTTTCTTTTTGATGATGATTGAGCTTCTTTTGTTGAAGATGAAGATTTATCACTTGGAGTGTCTTGTTGTTCTTGTATTTGTTGGGTCTTTTCAGTCTTTTGTGGTGGTTGAGATGGTTTTAATGATGGATGATTATCTTCACCAGAAGAAAAAGTGGTAACTGATCTATTGATTGGCCTTAATTGATATACTTTTGAATTAAATAAAGTATTCTCTAATTCGTTCTTCAACTTTGTATTATACTTTTGTTGATAGGATTTATTAAAATCATTAATATATAATGATTCAACTGAAGCTTTCTTTGTAATCTTAGGTGAGGTTTCCAGATGAAATTTATAAGGATCTAAAGTACTTGAATTACCTGTTTTTATACTCTTATGATCATAAGAAGTTTCATTATTTATTCCTGCTGATCTTAAAGGTGATTCAAAATCAATACTTCCAAATAAATCAGAAGCATAACTAATTTGTGGTGATGGAAGTAATCCCGAAATCAAAGATGCATTTTGTTGCATTAATTCATCAGTATTAATAGATTCTCGTGAATGAGTTCCATTAGAACTATTATCATCTTCTAAACCGGGATCTCTATTAATATCTCTACCTGAACCTTGACCATATCCATTACTACTTGATGAATATGAAAAACTAGAACTATATCTAGAAGATGTCGTCTCATCATCAATTAAATCGTGGAACCCTGCATTATTAAGTCTATATTGAATTTTTGCAGCCACTGTTCTTCGCATTAAAATCTCAAATAGTATTTTAACATTGATTTGTTTAATTTCCTTTTCATTCAACAAATTTATATCATTAGGAAACATTTCTTCAAACTTAGGGACTCTTCTAAGTTTATTGGCAAATACAGCATCTTTATATTTTTGATAGACGATTTCTTTGAATTTAATATTACTATAATTCCGACTATGACTAATTACATTAGGAGACTTTAATGGTTGTGAAATAGTCTTTGAAGAAACTTTAATTGGTTGGAAATTGTTATTTTGATCTATATCGAATATTTCGTGCACCGAGTTTAATTTAGGATGAACTCTAATAACATTATGATAATTATATAATTGCATTCTTTTGGGTATTAATTCTCTTACTATTTCATTAGCATTACAACTAATGAGGAATTTTTGTAATTGTGCATTAGTTTGGAAATCTGGAGTGGATTTTTGACGTCCATTAGGTATTGAAGTATATTTTAAAGATGTCTTCCTTTTAACTGGGAAAATAAATCTTAAAGCAGAATCTTTCTTCTTTCTTTTTTGATTTTCAATTGATTCATTTTCTTCTTCTACATCTTTATTCAATACGGTCTTTAGTCTACTCTTTATTCGATTTCTATTTCTTAAACTTGCAGATCTTGAAACCACAGAGTTAGATCTTTTCAATGCAGAATCATCAACTATAGTTACTACTGGAGGAGTTTGTAACCTTACTCCTCTACTTGGTGCAATTATCCTACCTTTCTGAAAATTTCTTTCAATTTCAAAATATGAAGAACTATGCATTTTTGATTCTCCAAATATATCTTCACTTGATCTTCTTTCACCGCTAGTTCTTTCAGCACTATTATTTTGGGAACTTCTGGAACTACCGTAGATAACTCCGAAGGGGTTGGCTTGTCTATTTAATCTAGAATCATTTGGTGGTACAAGAAAATTATTTGAATTACTCTCGGGGTAGGGTTGCCTAGGTATACGCTGATTAGGCTGATTAGGTTGAAGATTTTGATGATTCTGAATATACTGAGGATTTTGAGGATTCTGTATATTCTGAATATATTGACTATGCTGAGGATTCCGAGGGTTCTGAAGATCTTGAATATTCTGAGTATTCAGAGGATTAATATACTGAGGATTTTGTGGATTCTGAATATGCTGAGGTATAGGCTGATGGGATAATCGAGGTTGAAGGGAGGGAGTACCAAGTGGACTAGGGATATTTGGATTATGAAGCTGTTGTGGCTGATGATATTGATGCTGAGTTTGGCTAGGAGGAGCTTGATTTGGAATTTGACTATACTGCTGTCGTTGTTGTATCTGTTGTATTGATGGTTGGTTATATGTATATTCATTCAGTCCTGCAGTACTGTTAGATCTAACTGGAACTATATTATATGGATAAGTTGGTATCAATGAATGACTAGAAGATGAAAATTCATTCTGTGCTGTTGTATAAGATGTAGTTGCTTCAGGTGATATATCAACTAGAGCAGACATCTTGGTGTCTCTAGATGTCTAGTGACTTTAATAAATGAGTAAAGAACCACTCTGACTATTTTTAAATATAATTGGAGACTTGATTTAGTCTTCTAATAAAAGAATATTGATTAAGATATTGAAGAGGGCTAATGATAGTTATATTAATAATATGAATTAAAAGTAATTTATAAATAGGCGATAAATAAAGATTCCTCAAATATAAAATCTCTTTAAGTGAAAATTATTATATTGTAATGAAATTACTCAAATTAATACTATATAATTTGATTTAAAGTTTTAATTCCAGGTGTACTAACAGCTCCATGCAGCCGAGCTTGAGTAGATCAAGGAGAGATAATTAGCGAAATCATAGGAGAGTGTAGGCTATAGATTACAGTTAGAATGTAGATGGCTGGCTAATTGGCTGAGAAAAACAATGTATATCATTGTTCCTAATCGGGTAATGTTATTTTGTGTTTAGATGCAAAAATAGAAAGCTTACCTGCAGTTCGATTTGATTTGATTAGTATGGATATTCTATAGTTACCCATACAATTTTGATGTTAAGATGTTAATTAACACGCAAAGAATATATCAGATTAAGTTTGATTGAATTAAGATTTGAATTAATTTTTAATGATATAAAGGGACTCCTATGAGCCCAAATGAAATTATTGGAACTCAAATGAATGAATTAAAGTTAAAGGGCGATTATAAGCATAATTGCAAGCACAATTTTTGAGGTGAGTTATATTGAGTTGATGCGAATTACTGTACAACGAGTTATACTCACAAAACTGTTTAAAATATATTATCGGTATTATCAACCTGTCATATTATCTATTTCAATAATTTAATTAATCTTTATAAACATAAGACCAATCCTGCACACAGCCTCTAATTTTGACGATTTTCCAATACATTTTTTTTTATTTATATTTTATTTTTGTTTAGGACTGAGGGAGTGGGATCAACAAAACTAAATATTTACAACACGTACTTCTTCTTTACAACCAATTCGAACCAATTGGAACCGATTTTCTACAACATCGACATCAATCATGGATAAGCTTAAGGAAGTATGTATAGATATCTTATAAGTCATTCCCAATGTGAATGGGTTGATAAAATTCAATTGATATATTGGATCCCTTATATTTTGATTGTTTGGCCGTCAGTGAGGCTGTATGGGCCCTATTGGTCACCCTAAAAATTTCGCCCCTGTCGGAAGTATTAATTCTATCAAAAGATATACATAAATTAAGTAAAGAAACAATTGAATAGATTTAATTAATCCAATTGATCGATTGATCATTATATCACATTAATTAATTGACAAGATATACTAACAAATTAATTAATTTAGAAAATTAACAACTTGAAGTTGGATGCTGAAAAATGGCAAGAAAAGTCTGATGATTTAGCTACTAAGATTAAAGAATTAGAACAAGAAAACTTAGATAAAGATCATCAAATTCAAGCTTTAACTAGAAAGAATCAAGTTTTAGAAGAACAAGTTGAAAAATTAGAAACTGATTTAGGTACTGTAAAGCAAACTGCCGATGAATCTCATTCTTTAAAGACTACCAATGAAAATTACTCTAAAAAGAATCAAGTCTTAGAAGAAGAATTAGAAGAAGCTGATAAGAATTTAAAGGAAACTACTGCTAAATTAAGAGAAACTGATATTAAGGCTGAACAATTAGAAAGAAAAGTCACTTCATTAGAGGCCGAAAAGGATGACTGGGAAAAGAAATTCGAAGAATTAAGTGCCAAGTATGATTCTGCTAAGGCTGAATTAGATGAAATCAGTCAACAATTAGAAGCTATCTAAGTTTAATTAACTATTTAGTTTTGTCAACCCTGGGTTTGTGAGTTGGGAAAGAAAAAGAGTAATTAATACAATGAATTAAAGATTAATGAATCAAATCGTATTTTATCGCCCTATTACGATTATATACGTATTTATCTATAAATAATTTTATACCTAACTATTTAGAAGTATAGCAAAAGTTGTTTATTTTCTTTATTTAAACTACTTTTATACTTTAACTAAATATAATAATTTATATATATAATATCTTATCAGTTATTTTACATCTCTCATTCTATGATGAAAATATTTAAAAGCAACTATATATAGAACAAAAGATAAGCAACAGATAGCACTTCCATCTAAGGTAATTGCTAATGACGGTTATGGTACTTTTTTTTTTATTTTATGTGGTAGTACATTGTCTTTACTTGACTTTTTTGCCTTTGTCTGTATAGGGGCTTGATTTTGTGTAGTGTGTAGTAAGCTATTTTTTTTCTGGTCCATCTATAAAAATTTATACTTTAGGCATATTAACTCAATTATAATAATAACACATGGAATAGTATAAATATACGTGTGTGTTTCGTGATAATTTCAATAATTACGAGACATATTCAGTTAATATTAAAACCAACTTGGCAGGAATGGCATTATTGGAATCGTTTAGAAAACGATTTACCAATAATCTCGAATCTCATCAAATTGATGATGATTATACCTTGCCAAGCCGTCATAATGCATCTAGTACTTCAATAAGTTTAAATGGTAGTAGTAATGGAACCAATGGTACTCATAGAAACAATAACAATGATGGTACTAATGATATTTCATATAATGGTCGAGGACAATTTGATCCTGATGAAACAGTTCCATCTTATGAAACTTCACAATATTTACACCAACATCAATATGGACTGCATCATCTTCATCAACAACCTCATTCAATTCCTCCCTCCACTCATATATCAAGGAATTCTTCATTAGTATCAACTGATATAGTCTTTGGAGATGCTCATTATTCAGCAATTCCATTACCTCCATCTTTAACAGCATCACTACCATTATCTTCACCACCATCTATTCCACCACCTCCACCACCTCCAGCACAACATTTAGCACCTCCTATACCGACAAGTTCATCAGCCATTGTGGCAAATTCAAGAAAAAATGAATATAAAAAATCTTCATTAAAACAATTAGGATTAAAATTTCTTAATGCAAGACAACATTTTGCTCTTGCTTTATCAAGAGATGTATCATTATTACCTCCATTAATTGGTTTAGTTCAATCATGGAAAAGATTATTTGATAATAAACCACCAGTTATAGATGAGAATCAAGAATTAGTTAAATCATTAACTAGTGCTAGAGTAAGTGAACATTTCTTAACTGGATTATGGTGTATTGTTGCAGCATATTTATCATATTCTGTATTAGATGGATTAATTATTCGATGGATTGTTATTTATCTGACTCCAGCTGCCATTGTAAGGGTATTATCTATGTCTGCTATAATCATGACAGCTGAACAATATCTAGTATCTTCATTTTCAGCAAATGGTTATAAATATGGCCTTCATATTTGGATCTTAATAAGTTGTTGCTTAACCCTCGCTTACATTGTTCAGAATTTTGTCACTTCAAATATAGAATTGAAAAAATCAAATTCTTCATCAACATCACAATCTCATTTATCAAATTCTGGTTCGATACCTCAAGATTCTAATACAATTCCTTCTCAAACAGGTTCAAGCTCGACCTCAACATCTTCATCTACATCAGCAACAGTATCATATACTAATGGTTCAGTAGATTACAAGGCAAGAGCTCGTTTCTTTGATTTCTATAACATTGTAGTATTTGCTGTTGTTCCTGTTGGATTAGCAAGTTTTATAACTATGATTGGATTATTGAGATCATTATTAATTTTACGGATCGATATAGACGAGAGTTTCTCAGGTCATCTCTGAGTTAATGATTCTCATTGATCTTGTTCATACCAAATTTTATTTCTATTTACTCTTCGGATCCGAGGATCCTCTTTTGTTGTAATTCTAAATAGTTTTACACACTAATTAATTTTAATATTTGGGTTGATTGTTTTATAGGAATAGACATCTTTGCATTATTTTTGAATTTCGCAGCCCTTTAAAAAGTAAGCAAATACAAAGAATTTTAACATGAGCTAAAAAATTTTACTATTAAGATTAGACAGTCACAGTAGACAATGGCCTACTAGTTGTACCCGAATCATTATTTAAACTTTCACTTCTAATATCCATTTATGAATGTACTTTCATTGGAATTTTAATATGCTAATATAGTACATCCGGGTAAAAATTCCTGTAGGCAGGCTCTCGGTTTGCAGCAGTATAAAAAAAGGGAAGTTTTGAAAAGTTTTAACAAATTCCACCTGCTTTCCTTTTTCCTTTCCTTAATCAAAAAGTATTAAATTTTAGGGAATATTTGCCACGACGAGATAATGTAAATTGTCAAGTTATACTCGTTGCCATTTAAAATATAATTTTGAACATTCCCGAGATTGAGCTTATCTCCCTGTTAGGAAGTTTGATTTCCGTTTTGGGTCTCTTCAGTGAGGCGATGGATTTTGAATGTCGATATTATGGGATACATATTGTAGAATTTGTAGTTAGTTTATAATTGAACTGTTATTATTATTATTATTATTATTATTATTATTATTATTATTATCATTGATCTGTTTGTCCGTCTCATCGGAACATATTGAGCTATCTGTAATGAGCTAGGTCTAGTAATATCTGCGGAATGACGCTTTGTGGTATTACTTCCCAAAGATCAAGGTAAATAAAAAGTTGCATTTCAATAACTTGATTACTACTATTACTAGAGACTATTCTCAGAGAATTCAGGACAATAACTATTAAATTTTACAAATTCAAATACATAGTTTTAAAATATATATTAAGTCATATAAAATAACTTAGATTTTGGATGTAATTATTTATACCACGATGAAAAAGGATTATATATATGAAAATGATGTATATTCACAATCTCTTATGATTATTTATAAATGAATTTTATAAAGCTGTGTTATTTTTCTTTTGATTTATGGTAACCATTAATTAATATTAAAATACAATTTATTGCTTGAAATAATTATATTACAATCTTCTTAACGGAACTTGTTGAAACCAATGTCAGCAGCTTTTTCTCTGAAACATTGACGACATAAGTCAATACCGTACTTTCTGATTAAACCAGAGTGGGAAGAACAAAGACGACATTGTCTTGAACCTTTACCGAACTTTCTTGGGTGGGAGAACCAAACACTTTCGTGAGCCATATTGCTAAAAAGAATTAAAGTTAGTAATTTGTTTCGGATTAACATCAAGAGAATGTATCCAGTTGGATTTGTGAACGTAGAATAGTGTCATTTGCTATTAAGGTTGAAAGTTCAAAATTTATAGAATTTCATTGATCCTTATTTATCGCATACAACAAACATGATAAACGTTGAATATTTCAAATTAACATATGCATTATGAACTATAACTATATTTGTAATAAATGGTGGTTGGTTAATGGAACTTTTTTTTAATCGGAGGAACATGTTGATTAGTTTTCTCTTATTTCATTTTGATCCCAAAACTTTCTTGTTCAATATATATAATCATATTGATTAATTAACAAAATGTTTAATTCATTCTTTCATCGATCTCAATACAGTGATAATTATTGTTATATATTAAATCTCTTATTCGTGATGAATGATGTCTATGTTTCACTTATTCTTGATTATCATAGTTAAACTTCAATTTAGAACTTCCTAATAACTATCCAACACTATATGACACTTATTCCAACAATCATACTCTCTATATGAACATATTATTACATACAATTATCTATAACTTCGTTTAATGTATGCTAACAAAAGGATTACAATACAACTTAACAGTTTGATATTTTTGTATTTGGTAGAATTTTTTTCAGACCTCCCTCTGTCGCTCCCTTGAGCATACTCACAGTCTGCATGGAGTTAACTATGTGTGTTTGGATGTTTCGCACCATTTTTGCTTAGTTAATTAATAGTATCCTGCACTTCATTTTCAATGCTTAGGTCAAAAACCCTAAGAGAATACACGTGTTAATACCACTCAATAAGGATGATCACAGGCACGTGAGAAACAAAAATAAATTTTAGCAATATCTCATCTCATTGAAATATTATGATTTTATATAGTTAATGATTAAATATTCAAATTAATTAAATATATTATAGAATTAACCATGGCAAAAGGTGGTCATTCACATAGATCGACCTTGAAAAACGACCATAAGCCATTTAAATCAAAACATGCTACCAAAGGTCAATTAAAAAATTTATATAAAGGTAAAGTTGAAAAATCCAATGGATCATCTACTAATGCTACTAAATCATTAAATAAGTTAGAAAGAAAGAATTTGGCAAAACAATTAAAGGAAAATAAGATCTTAGAATCCAAATTAGCTAGAAAATTATTTGAAGGATCTCTGGGAATAGAAAAAGTCGTAACTATTATTGCCTTAACCAATGATATATCACCAGTTGATATTGCCAATAAATTATTTAATTCAATAAATGAAGTAGAGGGTATTGAAGATAAAAAGAATATTATTGATTTCCAATATCCATCTGTTAATAATGTTAATGTGGGAAGATTCAAATCAAACATTAAAGTCATTATTCCTGATCAAGATAATTATCTTAAAGTATTAGATGCTGCAAAAGTATCTGATTTTATAGTATTTGGAATTTCTGCAGCTAAAGAAGTTGAAAAAGAATATGGTGAACAATTATTAAGAAGTTTAATTGCACAAGGTATCTCATCTGTTATTGGTGTTTTACCTAATGTCGTAAGTTCTTATCCAAAGAGAAACTTACAATTGGACATTAGACAATCTTTACAATCATTCTTTACTCATTTCTTCCCCAATGATGAAAAATTATTTGCATTAGAAGCAGAATCAGAAAACTTGAATTGTTTAAGAACTATATGCCAAAAGTTTCCTAAATCTATAACATGGAGAGATTCAAGAGGTTGGTTAATCGCAGATCATGCAACTTGGGTAGAATCTGAATCTGAACCAGGAAATGGTGAATTAATTGTAGAAGGTACTGCAAGAGGAACTGGTTTTAATGCTAACAGATTAGTTCATATTCCAGGTTATGGTGATTTCCAAATTAATAAAATTGAACAATTACCAAAATCAAGTCGTCGTGGCGTTGATATTGATATCGATATAAAAAGTTATGTTCCTGATGAATCTCAAGAATCATTAGAAGAATTGAATCCTGAAGAAATTGAAATGGAGGAAGATAACGAAGATATTTATAATGATTATGATAATGATGACGATTTCGGTATTAGAATGGATGGAAAAACTTATTTTGATGATGAAGGTTCAAAAAAACCATTAAAAACCAAAAGATTACCAAGAGGTACTTCTGAATATCAAGGAAGATGGTTTGTTGATGATGTACTCGAAAATGCTTCTGATTTAGAAAGTGAAGAAGAAGAAGAAGATATTCAAATTGAAGATGAAGATAACAATGGTGTTAGATTTGCAGAAACTAATACTGAATATGCTCCTACTGAATTTGGTGAAGATTCAGAAATGCATGTTGATTTACCACCTGAAGAAGAAGAGAAACAATTACGTAAGTTCCGTGAATTGGCTAAGGCTGACTTAGAATTCCCTGATGAAATTGAAATTCACCCTCATGAATCCGCCAAGGAAAGATTAAGTTCTTTCAGAGGTATTAAATCCTTAGCAAATTGTGATTGGGATTATGATGAAGAACATATAGAACGTCCATCTATTTGGAACAGATTATTAAGAATTTCCAATTATAAAGCTACCAGAAATAGAATCAATAAAGAACATATTAAAAATACCCAAATCACCCTTGGGAACAAAATCAGAATACATATTAAATGTCCTAATTTAATATTAGAAAAATTTAATCCTCAAAGAGAACCTTTCCCAATTTATGAATTATTACAACATGAACATCAATTATCTGTATGTAACTTTTCATTTGAAAATTGGGAAGATTATGAAGAACCAATTCAATCAAGAGATACAATGATTGTTCAATATGGTCCAAGACGTCAAGTCATTAGACCAACATTTAATCAAAATAGTAATAATCCAAATAATGTTCACAAGTTTGAAAATTTTACCCATCCAGGTTTATCAACAATTGCTACTGCCATTGCACCAGTTTTATTCAACAATGCTCCAGTAATTTATTTTAAACCTAGTGAAACTGAAGGTGCCTTAGAATTTATTGGTCAAGGAACATTCTTGAACTGTGATCATACTAGAGTTATGGCTCAAAGAAGTGTATTAACTGGTCATCCAGTTAAGATTCATAAAAGAGTTGTTACTGTTCGTTACATGTTCTTTAATGCGGAAGATATTAATTGGTTCAAAGCTGTTCCTTTATTTACTAAATCTGGTAGAACTGGGTTCATTAAAGAAAGTCTTGGTACACATGGTTATTTCAAGGCTAATTTCGATGGTAAATTGACATCTCAAGATACTGTTGCCATGAGTCTTTACAAGAGAGTCTGGCCAGAAATTTCAAACTCATGGACTGATTAAGTAAAATTTTCGAAGAAAAGCCACCACCACAATTATTGCATTATAATACAACACATAGCATCTATAGCATTAAATATACTTTTTTAGATAGCGATAATCATATTCGATTATAAAATTTGGGAGTTTAAAACTTTAATATATATTAATAATTAAGAAAACACGATATAATGATAAAGTTACAGGAGATATTTTGTAAAACTCACAGAAATGGAACTTTTTCCTTTTTTGAAATAGCTATGTACTATTAAGAAAATAAAGATAAAAAACGACATTAACAAAATAAAAGATGAATTAGAAAAATGCAAAACGTAAACGAATAAAATGCTGAAATTGGGATACAAATAGGAACTTAAAACAATTAAAGTAATAAACCAGCAGCTAAGGCGGCAAGACCGGCAAAGGAACCTTGAGCAATGGCACCAGCGGCAGCAGCACCTGAAGAAATAGTAGCAATACTAGTAGTTGTTTCCTTAGCAGAAGTAGATGTTTCAAGAGTAGTTGAGTTAGTGTAGAAAGTTTCAACAGATGAAGATGCAGTAGTACTTGGAGCGGCACTAGTTGATGAAGAACCACCAATAACAGCAGTAAGAGAAATTGGAATGGCACCTTCTGGGGAAGCAGAAAGGTTTCTAACAACAGCTAAACTTTGCTTAGAGTAGTTGTATGGATCGGAGATGTTACCTAATGCATAGAAACCACCAGTAGAACCATCTAAAGCTAAGAAACCATTTTCAAAAGTAACACCAGTACCATTAACAATAACAGATACTTGTACAACACCGAAGTCTTGGTTTTCAGAATAAATGTTTTCGTAAACACCAAAGAATTGGTTAAATGCTGGTTGAACTTCCCAGAATAAAGTACCGGAAGTGGTATTGTAAACGAATGGGATGGTTGGGGTAGTTCCTAAGTAGCCACCATCGGTACCAACGAAAACATAATTGATACCGGCACCTTCATGAGGAGCAGAAATACCTGAGCCATTAATAGATTGGTCATCAGAAACGACATATAAACTAACGTTTTGTAATTCAGCAACGGCTTTAGAGGCTAATAAAGCGAGGGAAGTAATAGCAGTGAAGGCTTTCATTGTAGAAGGTTTAAATGACTAAAGCGAAAGAATTGTTTTTATGAACTAGGATATTATTGGATGATTAATATTAGAGAAATACAAGTAAAATTAAAATCAAGAGACTGATAGCACCGTATTTATATTAAATGGGTCAGGGTACAATTTCCTTTAAAGCATCCAATTTTGCAGTGGAGATAATTTTTATTGTGCCTGACGGTATAATTACATTACGACATGTGCCATTCGGGTCGTAAATAATATTGTTAATAATATTTTCTTAAAAGCAAGTTATAATCGATACCACCACAACTAATATGCCGCTTTTTTAATTGATGCGAAAGAGGTAAACATGCCATTTGTGGAGTTATGCAAAATATTCTATATTTAGCAACTTAATTTGGAAATTTTGCGTAAAATTTCGGTAACAGAAGCAAAAAGTGCGAGGACGCATGTCATTTCAATTACTAATAATTACTTATTTTTTAAAATGGTTCATTATTGAGCTCGTTTTAGTAAATCCCTCTATATTTAGCTGCATATAATTAATGTTTTGGGAAAAAGAAAATATGGAAAGGTTGGACAAAGAGGAGAATTCACCTTTTAAGGAATAATGCTATGCATAAGATCTAAAGTGCGTAAAAATGCCTTTATAAAGGGGTAAAAACATAATGATGTAATCCGTTTCTTACTTTTTTTCTTGTCTCCCCGGAATTTGTAATTAAATCCGTTCCGATAATTCATTAATATTGACCAATTATACAGATATGAATATAAGAAGTTGATTAGAAGAAAGATTATTTAAGGAAACAAGAGAAAAGCATTTGAATCGCCCTGAAATGCTATTCAGAAAAATATGTATTAGTTTTCAAAAATGGTCTTCTTGACAAGGCATAAAAATGTTAATCTTAAGGGTAATTATGCTTCTGAGAACATTATAAAATCGACCCACGCTTAACCTAATTTAAAAATAACTGGAGGTGAGAATGAAAATAAGAAACAAGAAAGCCTATCTTCATTCTTAAGTTGCAGAATAGTATAAGCCAACGGTGAATATTTTTTGATTGGGCTTAGGTCTTTGTTTCGCAGCCGCTCAGTAGTTTTATGGAAACCACGGCTTCGCTATATCCATTATCAGTTTATATAGTTTAATGTCTTTAGTTCAGTACTTCATATATAGTTAACTCACTCACATAAGCTAACTTCATGACGATTTTGAATTTATTTGTCACACATTCGAGCGAATTTTCACATGAACTAAATTTAATTGGTGACATATAATATTTAAAATATGATTTTCTGTATCAATATGGATCCGAGGCGCATAAAGCATTACTATGGAAATGTACCACATATTTCAAGTTGCTTATGCTCTAATTATACTTAAAGACAGTTCAAAACAATAAGCCATTGTTCGTTAGAGGTAACTACTCCCACAGTACTTTTGATTTGCTACAATACATGTATTAAAGTTGTCAGATCAATCTAAAGGCTTTAAAGTGACAACCTAAAAATTTGCTCCATTATAAAGAACCTGTTGTAAATTTCTTCTCAAAAATGACAAGCAATTACGTATTTTCAAATTTTTACAATGGCGAACGTAACGTTGTAACCCGAATATACGAAGGTCACAAAAAAATATTGATGCGCATACCTTTTTGGGAAAAACAAAGCGAATGTTTACATTAAAAGCCAGCTGCAAAAATTTCTATTAATAATTTACATTGCTTTGTACATTTGTTTTTATTTTTAATTAATGCGTTAAATTAACTAAAATTAATATATTAAAATGTTGACATGGTATCTCATCGATTGATGTCTAAATAACTATTCTATTTTAGAGATTATGCAGAGTTTTCAGAGATATTTTTGGAAGTAAATTCCCCTTGATAACGTTAAATATTTTATTCGCTAGCCTTGTATTGAATAAATCTTCCAAGATTCATCAATGTCTCATTTCCTTTGACTTTTAATGTAGGATACTTATTTTTATCTACCTTTTTAGTGAATTCTCTGAATTTCTGTTCGATAATTTTCAATCTTGCAAGATAATTCTTTTGAACAAAAATTTCATTATCGTAATCATAATCTTTATCTCCAAATATATCAAAAATTAAATTAATACTTTCATTGACAATGTCAATAATTATACCTTGATTGGTAGCACTCTTATATTCTCCGCCTATGAATAATTCTGTACTACCCAATAAGAATTCAGAAATTTTAAATGTTTTCTCAGAATTGCCAATTACTGGAGCCAAATTACCAAGTAGACCAACAGTTGCTAGTAAAAATTCCCAATCTTCATTAGTACTTTCATCTTTCTTTGTTATTATTAATTCTCCTTTTGTTAATAATTCATCAATCATACCGTCTTGAATTTTAGTTTGCACTTGTGGTCCAAGTGCCTTACTTACACTCCAAAATACATTTAAACAATTCTTTTGTAAGTTGACATCAGAAGCTTTAGAACTAACTGCACTAGCAATGTCCCATAATTGTAAACTCTTTTCATACCATTCAACCGGTAATTCTTCATTACTAAGCATTAACCATGATAAATTATTGAGACTAACTAATAATTTCTCAATAAATGATAAAATAAAATCATTAGTTAATTCAAATTTAATTAATTCTATTATACTTGGATATATTTTATCAAGTAATATTTCAATTAAACCATGAGATAAATGAATTTGTTCTTCAATATTTTCTTCATTAATTGATAAATATTCAATAATAGATGTTACTAAATCAAGAGATACTTCTAATGATGATAAGTCTACTTTTAATTGTTTTTTCAAATCTTGATCTTTACTTAAATCAGTTTCTATAATATTACCATCACCCTTTTGGATTGGTTGAGAATTATCTGGTTCTTGAATTGTTTTTAATTTTGTTTTTAAATCTTCAATGTCTATACCAACAATCAAATTAAATATAGTAGATAATAATTCTTGACTTAATTCATGTTTTTTATTAGTTGGTTGACCAATAACTTCAAGTAAATTAAATTTGATACCAATTAAATATACTTTTGTTAATCTATTAAATGAACCATTCTTTTCAAGGAATTGAGAAATTGAATCCAAATTAAATTCTGGAATATTATTAATTTGTTGAATAAAATCTATAGATTCAGTTGATAAGTCATATATGAATTCCAATAAAGCATTATACATTGCAATTGAAAACTTGAATTGAGTTTGAGTTAATAATTTAATAACTAATTTAGAAACAGGATCGATTTTTTCAAATACAGCTTCCGATAAATCTTCTGAACCATCACTTAAAGCTACAATTAAAGATAATATATTTTCAGTAAAGTCATATAATAATTGAATCTTTGATTTATCATGATGCTTTTTATTAGCTGCATTATGAGGGTTCTCAATTAAATATTCAAATGATTTTTCAATTTTTCCTAAAGAAGCTTCAATACTTGTCCATATTCCTGATCTCCAATAATATTTAAGAACATCATAACCTTCTTCAATTCCTAAATTTCTTAATAATCCAAATGATTCAACCACTATTTCATCATTTGAATCATTTAAACATTGTTCCATAATTATACTAATTAATTTTTCTTTTAATAATAATTTTCTCATACGTTCATCTTCACATAAAATAGTGATTGCTCCTAAAGCCATAGTTCTATCATTAGGAATTGTTGACTGCAATTTATTTAATAAAGGTAAGATCTTAGATTGTCTAGTGGATTCATCCTTTTTAGAATCATCTCCAGTGCTCTTACCAGCTTTTGGTTTCGAGCCAATGGGATTTAATCTCGATCTATTATTCTTCTTACTTCTCTTAAGTTTTCCCATATCTACTTACTATGTTTAATTAGTAGGGTTGAAATTTTTTTGTAGTATTATATAATTTTTTTTTTGGTTATATGCCTGGAGATGGACATCACTGCCGCAGTAGTTAGTGCTCTAGGAGGATAACTTGACAACCATCGAAACTACATACTGGGGACTACCCTTCAAAATAAAGTCAATAAATTTATTGATATAGACTATGTACATGAATTATATATTCTATTAGATGATAGATTGTGAATTATTAACTCCATTATTCTTCAGAGTCAGTACTGATTCCTTTTTCTTTTCGTATTTTTGCCCATGCTACACTATTTTTCATTTCTTGCTGTTTGGCAGCTTCATCCTCGAGATTTAATGCTATTCTAATTTGATTCTTAACATCTTGAATACTTTCAGGTATATTATCATCGACATTAGGTATATCAATATCTTGTCTTAAAGCACCATTTTCTCGCAATTTTTCACTAATTATTAGTTAGTATGATTAAATCTTCAACAAATCTTTCACAATAATAATACAACTTACATAATAAGTGGTTTCCAGAAATTCTGTCCACAATACCAACTTACACCACAAGCCAAAATGACCGTGAATGCATTAAAAGTCTTAGACAGCATCGTATAGTGTTGTTAGACTGTCATGAATAATGTTGAGAGTTACTCTACTCGGTTTGGGGAAATATATTCCCTACCCTTTTAGACAGGGCTGTGTGCAGGAGAAATATACTACTACAGTCGTCTCTACATAACCTCTACCCTCTACATCCAAGCATACACTAAGCATACACTAAGCATATACTCATAGTCAATTAACTTATAACGAATTGAATTTAAATTTAAAACTATCACTAAATAACGTAATTCAACTAAAATAGAACTAAACTAAACTAAACTAAACGAACTGAAATCATCCTTTACATTAATCTTCCCAATAACCCATACTAGCTAGGCACATTTTATACTTTTTATTTTTGTTGTTTAATCAATTTCTGGTGGTAAGGCACCATCGAGATCATCAAAGTCACTCTCATATTCACTGATTTCATTATCATCTTCTTCATAATCCTCACCTTCTACTTCATCTTCTTCATCTTCTTCATCATCTTCTTCATCACTAGTAGCTTCATCATCTACCGGATCATCAGTATTTGCAGTCTTTTCATCACTACTACATCCAACCACTCCCCATTTAATATCAGTAACTTGTTCTAATCTTTCTAATATTTCACACATTGGAGTAAATAATCCAAATTGTTTAAATTCTCCATCATATGAATGTAACATACCAACCACTCCTAAACCTTTAGAATATTTACTAGTCTCAACATCTTCTAATTTAGTTAAAATCCAAGATCCACTATCACCACCAGAAGCAAATGCACTATTAGTTTCAATTGCATTAACAATAAATTCAGATGAATGAATAGCACCATCTAACCAATAAACTAATTTAACTCCATTTAAATTTCCCTTAGTAAATTTAGTGGTTGAACCATATTTAAATACTGGTAATCCACTATAATTAGTTGAATTACTTGAATTAGATGATATATCAGAATCAACTTCATCTATTATCATATCAAGTCCTTTAGGAGAATATCTTCTTAAATCAATAACTTCTCTAACATATAAATTATCAAACATTAATGCTGGATCAAATTCATTAAATGATATATCATCACCTAAATAATTTTGATCACATACTAAATTCTTATTAACTTTAATAATTGCAATATCTGAAAGTCGTTTTTCATTAGATGAAGTTAATTTTGAATCTTTTTCTTTATCATCTTTATTAAGTCCAATTAATGTTCTTTCACCCCAAATGATTTGTCCAAATCTATTCTTAGGTAAATTTCTTGTTTCATATCTTTCTAATTTAGTTTTTGGATCAATAACTTTTACTCTCTTTAATGGGAACATTTCTTCTAATTGATTTAAAACTGCTCCATAAGCAACTTTAGATTCCACAATAAAATCATCAGTATTATCAATTTTATGATATTGTTCTAATAAAGCTTGTTTATATAAAGAAATTAAAACTGATGAAGGAGCTGAAACATGAGGATATTCAGCTGCTGTTGAATTAGTATTATCAAGACATACATGACCACAAGAAATTGCAAATTTAGAATTCGCATATGATTGTAAATGTTTTTGCTTTTTAATATCAATTATTGGATAAATATAACCACCAACAGTACCTGAAGTACGAGAAGAATTTTCAATAGATAATGATAAAGATATTGGAGGTTTTGAAATATCAGTGGGGATTCTAAATGGTAATTTAAATTTTTGAACTAATGGATGATGAATTAATGGTTGTTGTTGTAATCTTTCATAAGCATTCATACGTTGAGATTGAGATTGAATTTCAACTTTCCCACTAGCTAATTCAATTCTATTTTTCATAACAAGAATATGAATATCATCATATAATTCATGTAAACTTCTAGTTAATTTATGATGATAATCTGTTGGTTCAGGATATCCAAAATATAAACAAAGAATATTTAAATCTTTACTAATTCCTCGAGTTATTGGAGCAATAAATGAACCATTTTGTTCTTTAATTGATATAGAAGTTTTTGAAATTTTATCAATAATTCTTAATAAAACATCTTCATTAGGTAAAGATGATCCAGTATTAATTCCAATTGGATAATTTTGAGGTTTAATAATAGTTTGAGGAGTTTGATGATTATTACTTGAATTTAAAGTTTGAGCAAAATCATTAAAATTTTTAACTAATAATAATTTTAATTTAATATAAACATCTTCAACTAATAAATTATCATAAAAATTAAGATAAATTTTTAAAATTTTTCTTAAATAAGTATTATTATAAGTTGTAAATTTCCATCCTAAATTATTACTATCATTTATCTTATCAATAAACATTATGAATTTTTTAAAACAATCTATTGAATTAATAACTGCAGTGGTTAAATTAAATAATGAATTATTATATTGATTCATAATTGAACCTAAATCTTCACTTAAATGTCGAAGTTTTTCAGTAATTAATTCATATGGAGTTTTAGAACTTTCAGTACTTTCTTCAGGAATATCTAAAATTTGTAAAGCTTGACCAAATGAGAATGATGAATCCTTTTTATTACCACCATTATTATTATTACTATTATTACTTTTATATGATGATTGTTTGGTTGAATAAGAATTTCTACTATGAGAAAATATTGATTTATCTATATATTCTGAATCCTTAGTAAATACTGATGAAGATTTAGTATTCAGAATCGATGGATTTAAATTTAAACTAAGATCATTATTAAAATTAAATGTTATGGCTTTCTTTTCTCGTGCACTACCACTACCACTACCACTATTATTATTATTATCAAACATTGGTTGAAGATCTTTAACTGAGTCATGAGATTCATTAGTACTATTACTCCTAGCAGGTGCTAAATTAGTTAACAGTCCAGTTCCACTACCACTACCTGCACCGGAATTGTCCTTCTCGGTCTCCAGCTTACGCGACCTATTTAAAAATCTCTTCATAGACATACTGTTTAATTCTTAACTATAGTCCTATCTTATCATAACATATACTGAAAAAGGTTTTTTACTAAAAGTATAAGTATACATTTTTTCGTATCGTATATTGTGAGGAATGTCGCAATATATGGAAATGGAATATTCCGGACGACATGCACTTCCGTCACACGACATTTCCCCATAATCTCACCCAAAAAAAGTAAATTAATGAACTGTACAAAAAGAGAATACTGGACAATAAAATAATTATACCACTATTAAAGGTTATCATTGGACAAGATCGAATATACCTATAAAACTAATTAAGTTATTGGTTAGTTATAATTACATAATCATTTGAAATATATAGAGAGATTATATTTATTATATATATTATATATAACTAAGACTTTAGTGGTTGTATAGTGTTGTCTTAAACCTCTTGTCTAATAATTGTTCCTCACAAATTATCTCCTCATCCCCAGATAACAAGTACTTAACTAATTCCAATTATAAGGAATTTTTTTTTTTTAAATTAATAATACTTTACTATATCCATATAGAGTCGTATATTATTTGAAATCATTTATATCAAATTATGCCAGTTTACTCAATTTCTCATGTTGAGAATGTTCGAGTTTGCGTTGTTATGGTAGGATTACCAGCAAGAGGGAAATCATTAATTGCTCAAAAAATTGTAAGATATTTATCATGGTTATCTATTAAATCAAAATGTTTTAATGTAGGAAATTATCGTCGAGAAATTGCTGGTGTTGAAGATATTAATGCAGAATTTTTTGATCCAAATAATAAAGAAGGATTAAAATTTAGACGAGAAGCAATTAATTTAGCAATACAAGATATGATGAATTGGTTTCTGAATGAAAATGGTGTAGTAGGAATTCTTGATGCAACAAATTCAACTCGTGAAAGAAGGGATAGAATTTTAAAATTATGTCGAGAAAATTTAATTGAACCAATGTTTTTAGAAAGTTATTGTGATGATCAAGATTTAATATTACAAAATATTTTAGATGTTAAAACAACATCTCCAGATTATGTTGATAAAGATATTGATTTTGCAACCAGTGACTTTTTAAAAAGAATTAATTATTATGAACAAACTTATGAAACTATGGATCAAAAGACTGATTCAGAATTAACATTTATAAAACTTGTAAATGTTAATACTCAAATAATATTGAATAGAATTGAAAGTTATTTGGAAAGTAGAATTGTATATTATGTTATGAATTTACATATTAAACCAAGATGTATTTGGTTATCAAGACATGGAGAATCAGCTTATAATTTGACAGGTCAAATTGGTGGAGATTCAGATTTATCAGATCGAGGTATGAGATATGCAAAAAAATTACCTGAATTAGTATTAAAATCTTTAGGTGAAGAAAATAAACATACAAATTTAACTATATGGACTTCAACATTAAAGAGAACTCAACAAACAGCTTCATTTTTACCTTATAAAAAGAAATTACAATGGAAAGCTTTAGATGAATTAGATGCAGGTGAATGTGATGGAATGACTTATGAAGAAATTGAAAAGGAATTTCCTGAAGATTTTAAAGCAAGAGATGATGATAAATATGAATATAGGTATAAAGGTGGAGAATCTTATCGTGATATTGTAATTAGATTAGAACCAATTATTATGGAATTAGAACGTCAAGAAAATATCTTGATTATAACTCATCAAGCTGTACTAAGATGTCTTTATGCATATTTTATGAATGTCCCACAAGAAGAAAGTCCTTGGATGTCAATTCCTTTACATACATTAATTAAATTAGAACCAAGAGCATATCTGACAATAGTAAGTAGAATTAAAGCAGATATTCCTGCTGTTAGTACTTATAAAGAAAAGGGTACATCTCAATTAGGAGAATCAATTACAGGTAAAAATATATCGAAGAGTAGAGATCTTATTAAAGATAGTGATGTTGTTTAAACTCTCTATTAAAGTCAATTGAAATTTATTTATTTATATATATACATATACATATATATATATATATATATATATATATACAAATATGTATTTACTTATTTAGTTAGTCATTAACATATATAAAAAAAAGATCTCATTTACCAAAGCTTTATAGCTCTGTTATATATTACACAACATACATATATACATCCATCTAACAGAGGCATATATATATATATATAATTAGAATATTATTCTTATTCTATAATCAATAGTTTATCGAAAATCAATAATTGACTCAGCTGCCAGCCACTAAATCATTTCCGTTGATTAGCCTTAGCTTAGCTTAGCTTAATTTAGTTTAGCTTAGTTTAGCCTATCCATATATATATATATATATATATATACAAATATGTATTTACTTATTTAGTTAGTCATTAACATATATAAAAAAAAGATCTCATTTACCAAAGCTTTATAGCTCTGTTATATATTACACAACATACATATATACATCCATCTAACAGAGGCATATATATATATATATAATTAGAATATTATTCTTATTCTATAATCAATAGTTTATCGAAAATCAATAATTGACTCAGCTGCCAGCCACTAAATCATTTCCGTTGATTAGCCTTAGCTTAGCTTAGCTTAATTTAGTTTAGCTTAGTTTAGCCTATCCATTGTCCCCATTTAATTATGATCAGCACTAGCATACTTCTTAGCTTGTTCTTTAACTTTCTTTTCATAAAGTGATCTATCTTTACTAAATGCTTTCCATGCAGGTTCTTGTGCGGGAGATTCAGGATTTGGTGAATCTAATAATTCTTGAACTCCTAAAACAATTTGTTTTAAAGTTATAGCGGGTCTCCAATCTTGTTCTTCATTTAAAATTGAAAGACAAATTGTTCCACTTGGATAAACATTTGGATGATAAAATCCAGCCGGGAATTTTACTTTAGGAGGTTTTGAAGGATATTCATCAGGGAAGTTTATAGTTACAGGATATACTGCATCTTGCCATATTGTTGTTGATTTTCCTGGTATACCTGCATTCCATACTTTTAAATTAAGTGATCCATCAGTATCCTTTACAGGTTTAGCAAAGAATCCAAACGGATGATCTTTTCTCCATTGTTTTCTTTCTTCTTGTAATCTTGTTTTACAAAGCGACATCTCCTCACTCTTATCACTTAATTAATTTTATACTTGTACGAATAATTTTTTTTTCTTTCTTTACTTGTACTTAAAAATAAACTATCAGTAACACAAGTTTATGAGGAGTTTATTATCGTAGAACGCAAAAAGTTTTGATGAGAATTATGATAAATTGGGGTGAAGCACACGACCGGAATTTTTCAACCACCTCCACTAATATATACCCTAATAATCTATATCTACACCTATTATCTAATAAATCTAATTCACCATTAAGTTAATTGATTTATAAATTATATAGTTAACTATGGTAGATACCAGTACCACTAATAATGAAGATATACTTAAACTTATACTCAAATCCAATTCAGAAAGTAGTAATAATGAAGAAACAAGTCAATCACTTATTGAAGAATTACTCGAACCATCATCGGAATTATCATGGGATTTATTAGATATTGTACAACAAGTTCCTGAAATAGATAAATTAAAACTTTATGAGGGACTTTTAAATTATCCTGAAAGATTAAGTCGAACATCTTTCCGATTTAAACGTTCAGGAATTGATGGTCATGTAACAAAATATGAAGAAGAACTTCAATTAAGTGAAATTGCTAATGCAAATTCAACTAATTCTTTATCTATAAATAGAAAGTATACAGCCAAAAGTGAAACTTTACGAGGAAAATCAACTTTTTTACCATTTCAACCGGGTGGAATAGTAAATCTGACATCCAATAAGAAAGATGCTAGTGAATATTTACATCGTAATGAAGTAGGATTATTTGATTGGCCTCAAGGACTTACAAGAGGGTTATATCTTGAAAATAGTAAAGGTTCAATTGATTTTAATGTTGAAGTAGGAGCCAATAAGGGAGATATTGAAGAAAATAAGAAATCATTTGCATTAATATCTGAACGTCAAATAAATTCAAATTCAAATTTAAATTCAAATAATGGTGATGAACAAATTATTTCTAATTCATCATTACCATTCAATTCATCTGAAATAGATGGATTAGTACCAGTAGATTATAATACTATAGAAGGCACCATTGATAATAAAGATAAATCAAGTAAAAGAACTTGGGCTCATGTAGTTGAATTAGATCATAAGATTGAAAATTTTCATGAATTAGTACCTAATATGGCAAGAGAATGGCCATTTGAACTTGATACATTTCAAAAGGAAGCAGTATTTCATCTTGAACAAGGAGATTCTGTATTTGTTGCTGCTCATACATCAGCTGGTAAAACAGTTGTAGCTGAATATGCCATTGCTATGGCTAATAGAAATATGACAAAAACTATTTATACATCACCAATTAAAGCATTATCAAATCAAAAATTTAGAGATTTTAAAGAAACTTTTAAAGAAGCTGATGTTGGATTAATTACTGGGGATGTTCAAATAAATCCTGAAGCAAATTGTCTTATTATGACAACAGAAATTCTTAGATCAATGTTATATAGAGGAGCTGATCTTATAAGAGATGTTGAATTTGTTATATTTGATGAAGTTCATTATGTTAATGATATTGATAGAGGAGTTGTTTGGGAAGAAGTTATTATTATGTTACCTGATCATGTTAAATTCATTTTATTATCAGCCACGGTACCTAATACTTTTGAATTTGCAAATTGGATTGGTAGAACAAAAAGAAAAGATATTTATGTTATATCAACTTATAAACGTCCTGTACCTTTAGAAATCTTTATAAGTGCAAAAAATGAATTATTTAAAGTGGTTGATGCTCAACGGAATTTTGTTGAATCGGAATTTAAAAAGCATCGAGATCTTTTAGAAAAGAAAAAGGAAGGTCCACCATCAGCAGTTATGGGGTCAGGTAGTCGTGGAGGTCCTGGAGGTAGTGCAAGAGGAGGAAATAGAGGAGGAAATAGAGGAGGTAATAGAGGTGGAGGTGGAGGAAGTGGAAATAGAGGAGGACAAGTAGCTAATCGAGGAAGAGGAAATTTACAAGCTCGATCAGGACGATTTAATCAAGATGGTCCTAATAAAAATACTTGGGTATCATTAGTTCAATATCTTAAGAAAATGAATTTATTACCAGCAGTTGTATTTGTTTTCTCTAAGAAGAAATGTGAAGAATATGCCGATTCATTAAGAGGAGTTGATTTTTGTACCAATAAAGAGAAATCAGAAATTCATATGTTTATTGATAGAGCCGTTTCTCGATTAAAGAAAGAAGATAGAGAACTTCCACAAATTGTAAAAATTAGAGAAATGTTAAGTCGAGGTATTGCTGTTCATCATGGAGGTTTATTACCCATTGTTAAAGAATGTATTGAAATTTTATTTTCCAAAACTTTAGTTAAAGTATTATTTGCCACTGAAACATTTGCTATGGGATTAAATTTACCTACTAGAACCGTAGTATTTAGTTCAACTAGAAAACATGATGGTAGAGGATTTAGAAATCTTTTACCAGGAGAATTTACTCAAATGTCTGGTAGAGCAGGTAGAAGAGGTTTAGATCCAACCGGGACAGTAATTGTTATGGCATATAATGATCCAATATCTCCAACTGATTTTAAAGAAGTTGTATTAGGAACTCCCACAAAATTACAATCACAATTTAGATTAACATATAATATGATATTAAATTTATTAAGAATTGAAGCACTTCGAGTTGAAGAAATGATTAAACATTCATTTAGTGAAAATTCTACTCAAGTATTATTACCAGAAAATAAAAAGAAAGTTGATGAATTATCTAAACAATTAATTGAAATAATTGATCCTATTTGTGATAATTGTAAATTAATTGAAATGAAACAAACTTATGAATTAATAAGTAAATATCAAGAATTATATGGAGAATGTATAGTAGAAATTCATAAACTGCAAACTTCCAAGACTCAAATATTAAAAATTGGTAGAGCAGTAATATTTAAGGATAAATTAAATTCCACAAAACTTGGATTTGTAGTTAGATCAGATTCAGCCACAAATTCAATTTTACTTCTTACATTTAATCATGGATTAGAATATGAACAAGATACTCAAAATTATCAACAACCATTTTTACCATTTAAATCATATTTAAAGAATAATTTTAAAAAGATTAAATATGATGGGAATTTAAGAGTTGAATCAGTACCATATAATAAAGTAGGATTTATTTGTAGATATGGATTAAAAAGTTCAATTACGGGGATTTTACAAAATGATGAAACAATTATTAATGAAGCCATTGATCAAATAAAATTATTACTTAAATTTCAAACTAAATGGGAAGAACTTGAACTTGGAAAGAGTGCTCAAATTAATTTACATAATGCAGTTGTAGAAAAGAATGGAATATTTAAAAAACTTGAAAGTCTTGAAAGTTTTTCATGTCCTCAATTTAAATTCCACTATAAAATTCTTCATAAACAAGATACAATTCAACGAGAAATATCACATTTAGAGAGATTAATTTCTGATGAAAATTTAGATTTATTACCGGATTATGAACAACGATTACAAGTATTAGAAGAAGTGGGATTTATTGATAATCAACATAATGTTGTACTTAAAGGGCGAGTTGCTTGTGAAATTAATTCAGGATGGGAATTAGTTTTAACTGAATTAGTATTAGATAATTTCTTAGGAGATTTTGAAGCAGAAGAAATTGTGGCACTTCTTTCATGTTTTGTTTATGAAGGTAGAACTAATGAAGATGAACCTCCATGTATTACTCCAAGATTAGAAAAGGGTAAAGCTAAAATTCTTGAAATTACTAAGAAAATGTTAGAAGTATATACTAGAAAACAAGTAATTCTTACATCAGAAGAAGAAGAATTTCTTGAACGGAAAAGATTTGCATTAATGAATGTTGTATATGAATGGGCAAGAGGACTTTCATTTAATGAAATTATGGAAATGAGTGTAGAAGCTGAAGGTACTATTGTTCGAGTTATAACTAGATTAGATGAAGTATGTCGAGAAGTTAAGAATGCAGCATTAATAGTAGGTGATTCAACTTTACATGCCAAAATGAGTGAAGCTCAAGAACGAATTAAGAGAGATATTGTATTCTGTGCATCATTATATTTATAGTGATTTGTTATACATCTTCTATATTCTATATACATGTGGAAGTATTTGTTATATACATTAAATAAATAAATAAATAAATAAATCCATCCATCCATCATTGTGATTTCTTCTGATCATAAAACTCTACTGCCAATTGAATTAATCCTAATCTCCCATTAATAATCTTACTACTAATTAATCTATTCATAATTATTTCCTTACCAAACTTTTGTACTAATATTCCTACCATAGTATAAAAACTTCCAATACTAGTTGCATCTATAAATTTATTTCTATATTCTTCAATTACTTCTGGTTCAACACGTCCATCAAATAAAGTTGTAGCTCCTTTAAATGGTATAATTGGTGAATATAATTGATTTCTTTTCATGAATTCAATTATAATTTTATCTGTATTACTGAATAATGCTAAATCTTGAGATAAATCAGGTAAGGAAGATGAAAGATATAATTCATTAACAAATACCGTTTCAAGTCTCATTGTTAATGATATTAATGATTTACCATAAACTCTTAATTTATCAGTTTCATATAATATTTTTAAATTAGGTGGAACTTCATTAGATTTAGAAGTAGAAGTAGGATTATCAACTAATTCTATATTAAAATTAGATAATCCACACATAATACTTAATCTTTCCATAAACAGTAATGGGAATTGATTTCCAATAAATGTTTGTATTGGTTGAGATCTTTCAAGTATAACTTTTTCAAATTGTGAGTCTTCCTTTAAAAGTTGAAGTATATGTTTACTATTACCTAAACCTTGTCTATCAGTAAATTGAGAATCAAATGATACAGTAGATCGACTATAAAATGATGGTTCAAATCCATCATGACTAACTCTTTTATGAGAATTAACTTTTGTATTACTAGCATAAAGATCTGCCAGCAGAATTTCTGCTAGTATACTGGATACAGAATAGAAATGTTTACCTGTAAAACGTCGTAGTGACCTTGTACAAGGTCTTACATACATGAGTATTTATAGTAGTAATTACAAGTGGTGTATAGTATAGTATAGTATAGTATAGTATAGTTAGTTAATGTACAAGTGAATTTTTCACTAGTCCAGAATTTTTTTAGTGTACATCGCAGCCATCTCCATTTCCATTTCCATTTCCATCACTACTTCTATCTCCCTCACTATTTATTATTACTATTACTATTAGTTGCATATTTTAAAGTTAGTCAACGTATAAGAATTTCAATTTACTATATGTCATCAAAGAGTAGTAGTGGGTCAAAGAAAAAGTCAGGAACTCCTATCCCTACTGATGGGACAAATCCTAAAAAGATTAAAATTCCTAAATCATTTATTGTACGACCATCTCATAAAAATGGTGTTAAGAATATAACCAAAGTATATATACAGTCTGAAATTCTTCAAGGTTTAGAGATCGCACTGGGAAGTTTTGTATATATTGCGAAATTTGATAGTGGTAATCCTGGTATAATTGCGACTATTGCTAGTGATGATGATATTTTAGATAAAAATGTTATTACTATATCATCAAATCTAAGAAATCTTGCTGGAATTCTATTGGGTGATCGAGTAGAGATTATAAAATATAATAAACAACCAGAGTATGTTAAAACTATTAATGTGAATATTGGTCATGATATTTCAAATGATCAAATGAAGGTAATTGATAAAGCCTTAGATGATGTAGGTATAATTTCTCCAGGTTTGAAATTATCTGTTCAAGTACCTTCACAAGATGATGAATATCTTGATATTATAATAATTGATATTAATGAAGATGATTATAATTCAGTAGAAAAATCATTTCTGAATCTTTCAATTAATGGGAATGATAGTAGTAATAATGATATAACAACAATTACTGAAACAGTATCACCAACTTATCTTTATATAAAATCCAAAGTTACTATAATATCTAGTAATTTATTATTACCATCTAAGAAAAAGTATCCTCAATTACCAAATCTTGCTAATTATTCTGAAGTTGGAGGTCTTAATAAACAAATTTCTTTATTAAAATCAAGTATTGATTTACCTTTACATAATCCCAATTTATTTTCAGAATTTGGTATATCTCCTCCTCGAGGAATTTTATTACATGGTCCACCAGGTACAGGTAAAACTATGTTATTAAGATGTGTAGCAAATGAATCAAATGCTCATGTACTTACAGTTAATGGACCATCTATTGTATCTAAATATTTAGGTGAAACAGAAAATGCTATTAGAGATATTTTTATTGAAGCTAGAAAATTTCAACCATCAATTATATTTATGGATGAAATTGATTCTTTAGTTCCAAGTAGAAATTCTGATGATAGTGGAGAAACTGAATCTCGAGTAGTAGCTACTTTATTAACTATGATGGATGGTTTAGGAGATTCTGGAAGAATTGTTGTTGTAGGAGCTACAAATAGACCAAATTCAATAGATGCAGCTTTAAGAAGACCAGGTAGATTTGATCAAGAAGTTGAAATTGGTATACCTGATGTTGATGCTAGATTAGAAATTTTACTTAAATTATTTACTAAAATGAATGAATCAAAATGTACATTAACAAAAGAAGATATTACTGTGGCAGCATCAAAAACTCATGGATATGTTGGAGCTGATTTAACAGCTTTATGTCGAGAAGCAGTTATGAAAGCTATTAATAGAGGATTAAAATTAAATATTCCTCAACAAGAAATTAAAGTTACAATTAATGATGTATTAGAAGCACTTCCAGAAATTAGACCTTCAGCAATGAGAGAAATCTTTTTAGAAATGCCTAAAGTTTATTGGGATGATATTGGAGGACAAGAAGAATTAAAACAAAAACTTATTGAAGTAGTACAGTTACCACTTGAAGCATCTGAATCTTTTAAGAATTTAGGAATTCTGGCTCCAAAGGGAGTATTACTTTATGGACCACCAGGATGTTCAAAAACTTTAACTGCTAAAGCATTAGCTACTGAATCAGGATTAAATTTCTTAGCTGTTAAAGGTCCAGAAATATTTAATAAATATGTTGGAGAATCAGAAAGAACTATTCGAGAAATATTTAGAAAAGCAAGAACAGCATCTCCTTCAATTATATTTTTTGATGAAATTGATGCTATATCAGGAGATAGAGATTCTGGTACTACTGCATCTCAAAATGTATTAACTTCATTATTAAATGAAATTGATGGAGTTGAAGAATTAAAGGGAGTAGTAATTGTTGCTGCAACTAATAAACCTACAGAAATCGATCCAGCTTTATTAAGACCTGGAAGATTAGATCGTCATATTTATGTTGCTCCACCTGATTATGAAGCTCGTCTACAAATTTTAACTAAAGGTTGTAATAAATTTAATTTAAATGAAAATGAAGTTGATCTTAAATTATATGCTGAATTAACTGATGGATGCTCTGGTGCTGAAGTGGCATTATTATGTCAAGAAGCTGGTTTAGCAGCTATTACAGAAAATAAACAAGCTAATCAAGTATTAAAGAAACATTTTGATTATGCTTTAAAGGGAATTTCTAAAGGTATTACTCCAGAAATGTTACAATATTATCAAGAATTTTCTAATAGAAGTGGTTTAAATATGTAGAATTAATAAATAAATATATATGTATAATATATATATAAATATATACATAAATGAATCATTGCTGTTTACATCCTTCTTCTAATTCCTTTTCAAAATTTGGTGGTAAATCTTTAGTATTAAAATCAAGTGCATCATTATCAGTTTTACCTAAATTTCCTAAACCTGGGAAATCATTTGAATCTCCAACTAATTCAGTTGGAGGTTGACCTAATTCTTGTAAAGACTCTAATAAAGTATTAACTTTTTCTCTTTGATCTTTATTATTATCATCATAAGTTGGAGAATCAAATACTGATAATATTTCATTAGTTATATCATATTGTTTGTTATATTTAGTATAATCAAATTCAGATAATTTCTCTTTATTTTCCTTTAAATAATCTGGGAATTTAGTATTAAGATCTTTAATTGGTTCATATAAAACTTCTTTAGATGATAATTGTTCTAACATATCTACTAATAATTTTGACATATCAAAATTACCATCACCACCTGGTCCTGCTCCTGGTCCTGAACCTCCAAGTCCAGCTAATAATTGTGATAACATATCTTCAGGATTAGCACTTGATGCATCATTATTAATTTTTTCATCAACTGTTTCTCCTGATTTCTTTAATCTTTCCATAGTTTCTTTCATAACATATTCAAAATTTCCTGGTTTCTTTTCTTCAGCTTCAATTTCTTCTCGATGATTTAATTCAAATTGTTTAACTAAATCTTCAAATTGATCTTTAGTGTCACTATCTTCTATATTTAAATCTTTCATTAATTCAGCAATTCCATTTTGAAATTCTGCATCTTCAATATTTGCATTTCCACCAGTACTTTTCTTATCTTCACCACTTCCAACTGGTCCTGTTCCTGTTTCTAATGCTGATCCTGGAGGTTTACTTAATACATCATCGGCAAAATCATCCAATAAATCATCCAAATCATCCAAATCATCTTCATTAGATGTAATAATTGTTTTGGTAGTAGTAGTAGTAGTTGAACTTGTAGTAGTAATTTTAGATTCTGGATCAGTTTCGGATATGGTGTCTTGAACCTTTTCAACTACTGTTCCAGTTATATCTTCTGATTTTATGTCACTCATACTTTTTAAATACTAACACTATATACACTGTATATTGTATAAGTCTATCAAATTCAGTAATTCGTTGATTTAATCAATAATTGCCGACTTAAATTTAAAGTCTACTCACAATTACCGATGGTCTAGTCGAAGCTCGGTTCATTTTTTTTTTCCCAGTGTGGGGCAAACCTTCCGCGCGTACTGGTTAGGCACTATGAATTATACAGTAGTAGAGAAAGTATAAAACCTGAATAATTATTTATTAGGCATGTATGTAGTTATATAGTATAATATATATATATATATATATATATATATATGATGTAGTTATATACTGTACATATACTGTATATAGATTGGGATCTTCATAACTTTGGCTTGGCAGCATCAATACCTCCAGCAGTCGCATCAGCATTGATTTCTAATTTACCTTGCTCATTTTCTCCATTTTGACCCTCACCAAAGAATACAACTGTTACAGTTAAATCATCTCTATAACGTCTAGAAACTGGATTAGGAATTGAAATTAACATCGTTGTTTGTTCACGTGACCCTCCATTAGATAATGCATTTCTAATTAAATGAGTTGAAACATTTTTATCTTCTAATAAAAATGCCCCTGATGATGGTCTTGTTTTACGAATTGGCTTTTTAGATGATTTATCATTTGTTACATCAGAAACTTCAGGTAATTTATTTTCCGTTGATCCAAATATATTCCAAAATGATGTTTGAGGTTTAATTAATTTTTCCTTTTCCATCCATTTAACAACTAATCCAACAATTTCTTCATTAGTTAACATTTCATATAATCCATCTGATGCCATAACTAAGAAATCATTATTTTCGGGATTAATTTTTGTTGTAGTAATTACTGGTTCAGCTGTAACATAAGGTGGTGATTGTAAATGATTTGGTAATCTTTTACCAAAGAATTGTTTATAAATACGTTCTTGAATTGCGGCTGGTAATTTATAACGACAATCTCCAAATGCTCTAGTTGGTTCTAAACTACCTAAAACTCTACCATTTCTAATAACTTTTGGTTCATCAGGATGTTCACTAATAATTCGTGCAACTTCAGTTGGATTTGAACCAGTTTGATCAATACTTAATTGTCTAACTGTCCATTGATTATCTTTAAATGATCCTAAAATAGCTCGAGAATCTCCTGTAACAGCTACTTTTAATAATTTTGAATTTGTATCATAAAATGAAAGTAAAGCACATGAACCTGATAATGCCGGCATTAATAATTCAGCAGCTTTGGCTTTATTATTATCATTTAATAATTTTTCAATATTTTTATTAACAAGTTCATGATCTAATTTTAAAAATCCATTTTTAATTGCTTGATCAATAGTTGCACTATTTGGTACAAATCTTAAATTATCTTCATTAGCAGGTTTAAAAATTGTCCCTAATTCTTGAATAATATAACTAATTAATTGATCTCTTAATTTACTACTAGTAGTCCAACCTCCATGTCCATCAAAAATTCCAAAAAACATCCAATCAGTTGAAGTTCTAATATTATTATCTTGTAAAATTGGAACTTGAACAATTTCTTCTGCTCTATCATCTTCAATAGGTGAATTAGATGGTACTTGACAAATATCATATCTTGTAACTCCTTTACCTCTATTTACAAAATAACTTTCCTCAAATTGTCTTAATTTAGTACTTACTTGTTCTTCATTTAATAAAAATACTCCTTCTTTATGTTGTTGATGACTAATTCCATCTTTTTGATGTAATGAAGAAGTTGATGTTGAGAAATATTTTGCATCTGATACTGTTGTAGATGATGGAATTAATCTTGAATTTGAATTAAATGGTCCATTTCCTGGTCCTGAAGGTAAAGTATCTAAATTATAATAATTTGATTGATTAAAAGTAATATATGAACCAACAATTATGATGCCAGAGATTAATGCAGCATTTTTCTTTCTAAATAGTTTATTTGTTTGTTGCTCTTGCTGTTTCAGTTGATTATTTTGTCCAGTTGTTGAATTAGTGGTTAATGACCTTGATGATGGTGATAATGAAGTTCCTCCATTACGTCTAGCTTTTGAATTAATTATATTGGTATTTTTACTACCTTTTAATAACCTTGATGATGGATTCGATACCGATGTTACCAATCGTCTATTTATAGACTGTAATTGCTTACTACTTACGTATAGAAGTCGAGATCTGACTGCAAATACATAGACCATAATGAGCTGAGGGATGGAGGGGGTAATATTACAATATAAAAGATTCACAACTCACACAAATGATGATCTTATTAAACAAAATAAAACTATACAAAAATTAATGACTCAACCCCTACTAAATGTTGACGATAATTAATAAATCCTACTTATATGCCAATTGGTTTATTAAATAAAGAACTCTATTATCGGTTATAGGATTGGTTCATCGCTCCTCGAGATTGGGAATTTCTGGAGTAGGAAAAAAGGGTCGTGTACAGCCCCCCACAAATATATTTAGCGGAATTACAAAATATAATAAGGAAATGTTATTATTGCATTTGCAGCAATTATAATAATGATCATCATTATGGTTGATATAATTTTATAACAAAGATTTACTAGCAAGTTTATAATTCAAAAGTAATAAAATTGAAATTAATATATATGAAAGAAGTAACTATACATGAGTTAAGTAGCATATTGCTATATACTACAAAATTTATTATTCATTAATTCAACCAGTATTTCAAAAAAAATTTTATATAATTATAAGTTAACTTGAATGATTTTATTATACCAAAACCTGATAGCTAACACCTTCAACGTCTGCACATTAACTAAAATGTACGGCACGCCTAGAGCCTTTGGATATAATGTCTCCAGATTCTAAAAATAAATAAACCATCAATATAAATAAAGACTAGTTCTATTGTTACACCTCTGCTGACTTCATACTTAAACGCTTGTGCACCTCTAATCAATCAACTTAACAAAATAATAAATGATTTAATGAAAAACAAATATAATAAAAATGGAATAAAAAAATATGGTAATATAAAAAGCAATATAGTATTTAACAACTACCATCTACTTTTTCGGAATGTTTATGATAATCGAAACAATCAACATGCTTAAGCAGCAATGGTGACTTCGACATCCACACCTGGTTCGATAGTGATTTGAGTAATTTTCTTAACGGTAGCAGCTGGGGCTTGTAAGTCAATAACTCTCTTGTGGATTCTCATTTCAAAAGTATCCCAGGTCTTAGAACCTTCACCATTTGGAGTCTTTCTGGTGGTAATCTTTAAGACTTTAGTTGGCATTCTAACTGGACCCTTCTTGACAATGTCATTTTGCTTAGCATTCTTGATGATGTTGGCAGAAACATTTTCTAATTGCTTAACCTTGGTAGAGGTTAAAGTAATTCTAATCTTGTGGATTTGTTCTTGTTCTTGTTCAACTTTTTCCTTGTTAATTGGAGCGGACATCTTGAGTGTACTGTTATGGGATTTGACGTTGTTAAATCTTTAAAACACTTGATAGTAAAGAACTGATCAATTAAAATTTTGAAAAATTGGTTGCAGGGTTTCGCGATACTACAAGATTTTTTTGTTCCTTACACGCTAAAATTTATATATGCGACTCACGTGAAAGTATTAGAGTATAAGGGCTGTAACCCTAAACGGTATAAGCACGTGATCTAATTTGTATTCTTAACGAATATAAACATTTATATTCTACATAAAAGATAGATTACATTTAATTAATAAATTGAATTAATATTGCTTAGAATAACCTGTAAGGAGTTAGTATAATGAATTCAATAGAATTGTAAATGGCAAAATTATAATCTCTTAAACTTGATTATATCAGAAATCAATTATATGTGGTTTTCTCCATGGGTTTTGTTTTTGGATTAAAGTCAGAGAGATTCCCAATTGAAAAGTTCATCATTATCAAGTATAAGGTTGATTAGCCAATGTGTATTAGTTAAACATACGATTTATAGTGACATAATGTCAAATATACTATATATAGTTATTTGTATACATAGTATTAGTTGTAGTGTAAAAAGAATTGACTAGCAATGCTGAAAAATGTAATGTATGAGAATCCATCTCTCAAGCAAGAAGCGAGGAAATGCGGGTAACAAAATATGGATTCAAAATAATAGTTGCAAATTATCATACATTCATATATACAAGGTAATTAATTAGGGTGTAACTATATAATCAAGCACTAGTTTCAGATGAAACTTCTTCTATATTGTTTACTTGAGATTGGTCTAATTCTTGTTCTAATTTAGAAATACATTTATTTAAAAATGCTAATTCTTCTGGATTGGCATTACCACTAGTACACCATCTAATTTTACCATCTTGATCAACCACATATATATATCCTGTAGTTGAGATTTCAAATACTAATTGTTGACGTACAGAATATGGAAATTCCAGTAAAGGAAGAATGAAATACTTATCTTTTCTTTCTATTGGTAATTTCTTCAAAATAGATCCACTAGCTTTCTTTAAGAAATAACCTTCATACCATCTATTTGGTAAAGTTATATCTATTATTTGTGATTTTGAATGTTGTGATAAAAATTCACTATATTTATCAGTAGCCAAATCTCCTTTATTAGTTTCAAAATATGTCTTTACACAATCAAATGCTGATTGTTTTGAAAACATTCTTACAATACTCACTTTCCCCTTTAATGATTGATAAAATTCAGTCTCAGGACCAATTAATGGATGAGCAATAAAATTTGGAAAGTATTTTGCCTTTTCCTTTTTAAAATAAGAAATAGGTGGGGTAAAGATTTTACCCTTAGTATTAGTAAATGATTTAGCTTCATAAAATAAAGAATGTTTAAGATCATAATCTACCAGTTCTCTTCTTCTTTCTTTTGCTTCAGATCCAAATAATTCTTTAAATATCCCACTTATTTGAAACAGATTATGTTTACTATTGATAATTGTTGGTCTTTCTAATCCTATAGGTCTTGTAATGGCTATAGATTGTCTTAATGGTGATTTAGTTGCATTACTTATAGTTTTAAGAAAGGCTGGAGTATATTGTTTCTTTTCAGCATTAAGTAATTTTTGACTAGTACATAATGATCGTATCACTACTCTACTACTACTTGAACTATTCATCCTATTCATCTTCTTATAAACTTATACTTAACTATTATAAATCTATAATAAATCTATAATAAATGTATAATTAATATGTCTTGGAAATTAATTCTATGGTGCACATAAACCAACAGTTACCCGCACAAAACCACAAAGCAAAATTGACCCGAACCCAAAAGCTTCACAAGGCCAAGGCCAAGGTTCATAAATCATAATAAACATTAATTATAAAGTATTAATTATATAGTATTACAAATCACATATTATAACATTAACATGTCTATACAGTTGCGAGACGGATTAGCAACACCGTCGCTTGATCATATACTTGAAGATTTGTTAGTTCGATTCCTTGTTAATGTTCCTGATGAAGATTTATCATCAATTGAAAGAGTATTCTTTCAAGTTGAAGAAGCTCAATGGTTTTATACTGATTTTATTCGTCAATTGAATCCTCTGTTTCCATCAATGAAAATGAAATCATTTTGTTCAGTATTTTTAAGTAAATGTCCATTAATTTGGAAATGGGGAGATCCATCAGAAGCAATTTCAAGATTTGGTAAATATAAATCAATTATTCCAGTTAGAGGAATTGCATTATTTAATAAAGATTTATCAAAAGTTATATTAGTAAAAGGATCTGAATCAAATACTTGGTCATTTCCTCGAGGGAAAATTTCAAAAGATGAATCAGATATTGATTGTGCAATTCGTGAAGTTAAAGAAGAAACAAGTTTTGATGCAACTGATTATATTAATGAAAATGATGTAATTGAAAGAACAATTTCTGGAAAGAATTTTAAAATTTATTTAGCAGAAGATGTACCAGAAGATTTTGATTTTCAACCTTTAGTAAGAAATGAAATTAAAGAAATTAAATGGCATGATGTTCAATCATTATCTAAAAAGATTAAAGCAAAACCAAATCAATATTTTGTTGTTAGTTCTATTATTAAACCTTTAACTAAATGGATTAATAAAAGTAAAGGTTTTACTAATGAACGTGAATTAATGTTAAAGGCTGAAATAGGTTTAAAAGAATTATTAGGTATAACTGAACCTCCATCAAATGCTGATTTAGGTAGAGAATTATTAAATATACTTCAACAAGTTAAACCAAAGGATGATCAAGATCAAAATGATGTAATTCCAATTCCAGGAGGAATTCCTCAACAACAAGCTAATTTTGTTCAATTTGCTCTTCCTCAACATGTTCAAAATCAAATTCCATTCTTTTATCCTCCTCCTAATTATCCAACTTATAATCCTGTTCCTGTTCCTGTTCCTGTTCCAATTATTCCTCCTCCACAAGGTATGTTTGCTCCTCAACATCCTTCTTTCCGTCCAATTTTAACTCCAGTTCCTCATCAATCTCAACTTCATAATAATATTCCAATTTCAAGTCCAATTGATCATCAACCTCCAAATCCAAGTACATTTCAAAAGCCTAGAGTTGCTGGTACATCTAATTTGGCTGATCCAAAGGAACTTTTATCTATACTTAATTCTAAATCTTCAATTAAATCATCTGATAAAGTTGAATCTAATTCTTCTGGAAAAGAAATTATGAATGTTCTTTTTAAGAAAGATTCATCAGATTCAAAACCAGAATCTAATAGTCGTTCTTTACTTGATGTTTTAAATAAAAGGAACGATAATAATAATAATAATAATAATAATAATAATAATAATAGTAATAGTATTAATAATAATAATAATTCTATTTCAAATAATACTACTTTGGGCTCATATATACCCCTGAATGAACTTGAACAATCTTTAGAATCTTCTGGAGAATTAAATTCAAGTACAACTGGGGGAAGAAAAATTAAAATCTTAAAAAGAGCACCTAACCAACAACTGGTATCAAAAAACCATTTGTTGAGTTTAATAGGAAATCCTCAGCCAAAGAAATCAGATTCACTAGCTGAATTGGAAATTCCTAAACCGGGACCACGTTCATCATCTAAGGATGAAACGGTACCTAAAGTTTCAAATAATCTTCTTGATTTATTGAAACCTAAACAACAGACTTTACCTTCTGTTGAATCTTCATTACCACCAAAGGATCCAATACCTGTATCTGTGGATGCTTCAAAAGATTTACTTAATATTTTACATAAATCTCCACAACCAGTGGCTCCAACCGTGGTTTCACAACAAATTCCTGTGTCTTCGGTTCCATCGTCAAAGGCACATGGTAATGATTTGTTGGCCCTTTTGAATAAAAATAAAACTCCTAATGTAAGAGAAGAAATTAAATCACAATCTCCAAATGAATTTCTTGATTTGCTTTCTCAAAATAAAGATTCAATCAATCATTCAAAGGAGTCTACAAAATCTCCAAGTAAACATTCAACTGAATTATTGGGTCTTCTTAATGTAAAGAAGAATTCTATAACATCATCATCAATTCCAGATAATAAAGCTATTCCACAACCATCAGAAGAATTTGAAGATTTCGAAGATTTTGAAGATTTTGATGATTTTGATGCTTTAAATAAGGACATTTTAGGTAAATCATTCCGTAACTTTGATATTGCAAGTGATGAAGAAGATGTCGATCATTTGATTGATCCATATGTACCTGAAAATGGTATATCACAAGAATCTGGTTATACAAAACCTAGAGATTTTTTTAGTGACAATCAACCATCTAAACCAGAAGGTCCAAAATCTGGAAAGATTAGACTTTTAAAGCCCGGTGAATCATTAGCTGGACTTTTCAGTTCTCCGGAGAAGAGTGAAGCTTCAACGGTTGGAACAAAATCTAATTCTCAAGGTCAAAATTTATTAGCTCTTTTGAATAATGGGAATGGGAATGGTTCTGCTCCATTAGGGAATCGGAATCAAACTTCAATTAATGATGGTAAGCCTTTAAATACAGGATTCCAATCGATTTATTCATCGAATGGAAATACTCCATCACCTATTTCTCTTGGAAAGCAACTCAGTAATCAAGAGGGTAATCAAATCTTAAAGGATTTGCTCTGGAAGAGAGATACTTAATTTACATCCATTTAATTAGCTTAGCTTAACTTATTTGTTATGTATTTTATGATTAATAAACTTGCATTTTTTATGTACATTAGTAAAATTAAAATTATTATATAATTATCATATAGAAAAGAACGATTTAGCATCAGCCTTCATCATTGATTTTGCTTTTTTCTTATTGGGTATAACATTGGTTACAATTTTCTGATCATAATCTATACCTAGTTGATCGATAGTAGATTCTCGTTTCTTATTTCTCTCAATAATAGTATTCGGCATATTACTATCATGAATATATACATGACGACTTAATGGTTTGGTAAGCGTCCTTCTTTTCCAACCATTTTCAGCCGTTAAGGAGTTGGTTTCAATAGAACCAGGAACATAATTTTCACTTTGAACAACAAAATCTAATACCAATGAATTATATAACATTGTTGATAGTTTTAAATCCATTTGAAAAGAATTTTGAGGATTCTTAAAATCTGATTTCTTATGATCAAATTTAGAAAATGATTTCAAACCTAAAGATAATTTACTGTATGAAATTAAAGCTGAATCTCGTTTCCATTTATATTTGATGCACGACATTTCATCTATTTTATAATCACTTTCTATGTATGTCAATATACAATTAAGATCTGTATTTCTTCTGACTGCCAATAATAGATTCAAGCCAGCTTGGGTAATTCTTGGACAATTATTTATAAGCAATGAACTTAATTTAGGAAGTTTTGAATATTTAATAGCATTACATAGACTATTAAGGAAACTATCATCAATAATATCATTATTAGAAAGATCAAGTCCTCGTAGATTGGGTATATTAAAAATCATAAAATAATCATCATAATTAAAATGTTTTGGATTCATATATGATAGATCAAGCAATATACTTGTTGGGAATTGACACTTGGTGATTTGTTTGACAAACTCATCTAAACTTACATTGGCAAATAAATTTTCCAGTCTATAAAACTTCCCTCTAATAGGACGATTCATTATTATTGCATTATTCCTAGCAATTCCTAGACTTTCATTATATGATGGTGGATTCTCAAAGAACTCTTGTGATGTAAATAATTTATTTTCTACATTAAAGAGTTTATTAGTAAAAATCATGTATAATCCAAATGAATCATTGTGATGAAACAAGATTTTCTTCCATATATCTAAACATAGTCTTGAAGGTATATCCTCTAGTAAAGATGGATTAATATGATCAGCTTCTTGAGCAATCTTGTTCACACATAATTCCTTCAATGAACATAACTTGACCAGTCTTGTCAAGTCACTAGTCCTGTTAAAGTTCATCAAAGGAAATATGCGATCCCAAGAGTATGAAGTAGTTACAGATTTATCTGAATAGAACAAATCTTTGCGTAACCCCATGATTTGTAATTCTTTACTAACATCTTTATCATTGACGTGTTTCGACTGAGTCTGAGACTTAGACTTTGCAGCCTTAAACGAATTTCTTGGTCTTAAACTTTTTTGACGTCGTCCTCGTCGTTTCCTCTGTATCCTCCTTGTTTTAAACATGTTGCTTGACTCATAACCATTTGCCAATAATGACTATTATCGTCATATATTTACTATATAAACACGGCTATTGAAAATGTTTGTTGATATTTTTCGCAATTGATTTTCACACACTTGAAAAATTTCATATCCATGCAGGTTGCTGCAAAAAATAGCATAATACTACACTGCTACACTAACTAATACACCAAGCATACAAGCATGTTAAAATTTAGATGCTATATTAACCATCAATTATCTACAACTTTATAAAATATTGAGAATAGAAGTCAAGCAAAATGCAGAATCAAAATTATATGTCAGAGTATATCAGACAGGAGTTGATAGATTTATCAATAGACTTTTTTATGAATCAAGCTGACCCAAATTATAACTATTTTGACAACAAGAATGAAAAGGAGGCATTATTACCAACATGGGAAAACGTACGAGTACTAATCCAAAATACCAATATATTGGATCCCCATGAAAAAATGCTATATGTGAATCGAATGAAGCTTGGGGTATCATTATCTTTATTTCATTATATACCATTCAAACCAGACATGGAATTCATTTTAGATCAAACATATATTTCCTCGCGTCAATATATTAAAGACTTGAATAATATTAATTCATGTTTTCATCGAATTTTTGGAATAAATTCTTCACGGCTGCTTGGAAATCTTTTGGATTTATCAATTTTGTTCAAGATTCAGTTTCCTCTGTACACGAGTGAGCCAGTACCTCAAGATAAACGACTGAAATTGAAATTTGTTAGCCTGAAAAAAATAATCCCACCATATTGTGGATTTCATCCTGATGTGAAAATAATGGATATAGAAAATATAATATCATCTGGAGACATCTCCATAACAAAGCATTTCCTTAACCTTGACATTCATCAGATGTTAGCGCTGTTACATCAATTAGCCCATGTTTCAGAAAGAAATATTCATTATATATTACCAATCCTTTTTCATCCAGCTTTACGTGGCATTAAAATGACAACAGCTCGACTGTATTATGAAAAATATTTTCCTGAATATATTATTCATGATGCTGAAGACATGTATAGATACAGATTTCCATTAGCAATCAAGGAAAATGGTATCGAATTTGCTTACTGTAATAGATTAAACCAAAATTCAGATGTATTCTTGGAATTAATGAATCAATGCTTATTCAAAATGATGAATATAAATTCAAAGTATGGAATCGCTATTGACCAAACCCACGTGTTATTTATTATAATCAAAAGTAGTCTGAGTTCAAAATCTTTTTCAATTCACCATAATGGTGCAGTAGTACAGGTCAAATGCAAAGTAGCCTGTATTCCATATCTGGCTGGACAGTACAATTTATGTTCTTTGATCGCGGGTTTTGCTTTTAATCACTTTAAGGAAGCTGGTAAGGAAAGTAACTTTTCTATTAAAGATTTGAAAGTGATATCAAAACTTTCCGCATCTGATTTCAAAAGGGAAGCTGAATGGAGGTATAAAATGATGAAGGATATATGTATATTTAAATTGAAAAATTTCACTAAAATTGGAGACTGGTACTTTTTTGAGAAAACATTATTCAAAGTTCACCAAAAATACATGACTGAAGCACTAAAGTTAGATTTGGATTTTAAGTTTCTCCCTAGAAACAAAATTGGGAAAATGGAATTAATAAGTAGTGATAGAATTTTAAAAAGGTTCCGAGTTGAAGTCCTAGATCATAAAATTTCTAACCATAGAAAAGGGATGTTTTTGAAAGTTTTCAACGCCGTATCTGCGCCTCAGCAATTTAAGCGTACCAGATCTCTCCAATTCTTTGGGACATTAAGTTTTGTATTTAACAATTTCCTTAGGGATATTGTTTTATTAAGAGATAAATACCCTTGTGGTTTTTCTGAAGAGGAATCTCTGTCTGATAATAGAATGAACTTTGATCCATGCATATTTAGCTGTGGGTTCGTTGATTGGGAAAAGAAGAGAATAAAGGGGTTTTATATTCTCACTGAATTCATTGAGACCGAATATTTTAGGGCTAAAAAGGGAAAGCTAAAGCGAAAGAGGATTTTGAATGAAGTAGACTTTGGAATCATTCATGGAGATATCCATCCCAATAATTTACTTCTCGATAAAGATAAGTTAACACTTGTTTCCCCCGATTTTGGACTTTCAAATGTCTATGCAATTGAAAAAGATAAGCGAGCCAATTTACAGAACAATGATTTTTGGAAAAGCACAACGAATGATTCTTGAATTAATTATATATACTATTCTGTTTTATAAATAAAATGATAAAAGTGTGACTATAATTAAAAATTGTAAAGACATCGTTCTTAAAGAATTTGTTTAATCTAGAAAATAATTCTATCAATTATACCAATGAACTAAGTATTCAAAAATTTTCATTTGAATCATTAATTGACTATTACTTTCATAATATGACAGTAAACAAAATTCTGAATATGACCTAGTATATATAATAAATAAAATATTATTGCAACCATTCAAAAATTTATTCCTACTATCATTTCCTAATTAGGCCAACTGCGAACATCAGTGTGGAAAAAAAAAATAGCAAAGAGAGAAGAGCATCTTAAAAACTATTTGATATTGTAAAGATCGTATAGTTAAATAAAATATAAACTAATTATAATGAAGTTAGATACGTCACATATGAGGTACTTAACCTCTGATGATTTTCGAGTTCTTCAAGCCATAGAACAAGGATCTAGAAATCATGAATTAGTTCCTACTACTATGATTCATAACCTTGGAGGTTTAAAATCTCCAACTGGTACTAATAGATCAATAGGTGATCTTGCTAAATTAAAATTAGTTTCAAGATTAAGAAATGCCAAATATGATGGGTTTAGACTTACATATTCAGGATATGATTATCTTGCCTTAAAATCAATGTTAAATAAAGAAACTTTATATTCTGTGGGGACAACTATTGGAGTTGGTAAAGAATCTGATATTTATTCAGTTAGTGATACACAAGGAATTCAAAAAGTAATGAAAATTCATAGATTAGGTAGAACTTCATTTAAGACTGTTAAAAATAATCGAGATTATTTAAAAAATAGACATACATCAAATTGGATGTATTTATCAAGATTAGCAGCTCAAAAGGAATTTGAATTTATGACAATTTTATATCAAAATAATTTTACAGTTCCCCAACCTTTTGATTATTCAAGACATTGTGTATTAATGGAATGGATTAAAGGAATACCTATGAAACATTTACGTAAACATAATAATTATAAAAAATTATATTCTGATTTAATGAATTTCATTGTTAAATTAGCTAATCATGGACTTATTCATTGTGATTTTAATGAATTTAATATTATAATAAGAGATAAAGATGAAATAAAAGATCATGAATTTGATTTTGTAGTTATTGATTTCCCTCAATGTGTTTCTATAGAACATGTTGATGCTAAACAATATTTTGATAGAGATGTTGAAGGTATTAAAGCATTCTTTGAAAAAAAATTTAGATATGCTCCAACTCATGATCCAACTATGTTTGATACTGATGGATATGGTGAAGGTTATAAATATGCTTATCCAAATTTCAAACGTGATGTTACTAGAATAAAAAGTTTGGATGTTGAAGTTCAAGCTTCAGGTTATGCTAAAAAGAAAACTGGTAATAGAGAAGAAAAAGATTTAGAACAAGCTGTACAAAGTATGAGAGATAATACTGGTGAAGATGATGAAGATTATAGTGAAGTAGAAGATTATGAAGAAGAAGAAAATGAAGAAGATGAAGAAGATGAAGATGAAGAAGATGAAGAAGAATATGAAGATGAAGAGTTTGAAAGCGAATCTGATCATGACTTAGATGAAGAGAATGAAAAGATAATCGAAGCATTACAAACGGGAGTAAAAAAATTAAAAATGGACAAATTGGGTAATTATATAATTGATGATGAATAATTCATCTTCAACTTGTCTATAGTATGTAAAATATACACTAACTACACTAATATTTGAAATGATAATTTAAATAAATTATCGATAATGATGTATTCATGAAGCCCGAGAAATAAAAAAGATGAAGAAATATGTGATAGATATAAAAAATGAAAATATACAGAAGATTAATTAATTTTAGTCAATTACAATTCTTTTTATCCTTTTTCCATATTTTAACGGGTAGCCATACCTTTAGTAACAGCTCTCTTTAAAGCTAATTCAGCCTTTCTGTAATCATCAGCAGAAGAATCTTCAATTTCTAAAGTTTGTAAAGCATCAGATAAAGCAGTTTCAATCTTATCCTTAGCAGATTTCTTTAATTTAGCAGATAAGACTGGGTCAGTGACAGTAGATTCAACAGAAGCAACATAAGCTTCTAATTTTTGTTTTTGTTCATGTCTCTTGGCAAAAGCATCATCAGAAGATTTGAATTTTTCAGCATCAGAGATCATCTTTTCAATTTCATCAGATGATAATCTACCAATAGAGTTGGAGATAGTAATGTTAGCAGATCTACCAGTGGATTTTTCAACAGCAGTAACCTTTAAGATACCATTAGCATCAACTTCAAAGATAGCTTCTAAGACTGGTTCACCAGCTGGCATTGGTGGAATGTTCTTTAAATCGAATTCACCTAATAAAGTGTTTTCAGTACAGTTAACACGTTCACCTTGGTAAACTGGGAATTGAACAGTAGTTTGATGATCAGCAACAGTAGTGAAAGTTCTTCTCTTAATAGTTGGAACAGTAGTGTTTCTTGGAACAACTGGAGCGAAAACATTACCTTGCATGGCAACACCTAAAGATAATGGAATAACATCTAATAATAATAAATCTTTAGTATCTTCAGAAGTAGATTGACCAGTTAAGATAGCACCTTGAACAGCAGCACCATAAGCAACAGCTTCATCTGGGTTAATAGATTTTTCTAATTGTTTACCATCAAAGAAATCAGATAATAATTTTTGAACCTTTGGAATTCTAGTAGAACCACCAACTAAGACAACTTCATCAACTTGAGTCTTAGAGATTTTAGCATCCTTTAAGACTTGTTCAACTGGTTCTAAAGTAGATTTGAATAAAGCAGAGTTAATATCTTCAAATCTAGCTCTGGTAATGTTAGCATTGAAATCTTCACCATCGAATAAAGAGTCAATTTCAACAGTAGTTTGAGTACCAGAAGATAAAGATCTCTTAGCACGTTCACAAGAAGTTCTTAATCTTCTTAAAGCTCTGGCATCTTCAGAAATATCTAAACCAGTCTTCTTTTGGAATTCTTTCTTGAAATGTTCTAACAAGTTAGTATCGAAATCTTGACCACCTAAATGAGTGTCACCAGCAGTAGCCTTAACGGTGAAAACACCACCGGTAATGTTTAATAAGGAAACATCAAAAGTACCACCACCTAAATCGAAAATTAAGACATGTCTTTCCTTTTCGGATTTACCAGCACCTAAACCATAAGCAATGGCAGCAGCAGTTGGTTCGTTAATGATTCTTAAAACGTTTAAACCAGCAATGGCACCAGCATCTTTGGTGGCTTGTCTTTGAGCATCATTGAAATAAGCTGGAACAGTAATAACAGCTTTTTCAACTTTCTTACCAATTTTAGCTTCAGCAATTTCCTTCATTTTAGTTAAAACCATAGAAGAAATTTCTTGAGGGGAGAAAGTTTTAGATTCACCTAAGTATTCAACTTCAATTTGTGGGTTACCATTGGAGTCAACAACTTTAAATGGCCAAGATTTAATATCCTTTTGAACGGATTCATCATCATAAGCACGACCGATTAAACGTTTAGCATCAAAAACGGTGTTCTTTGGGTTTAAAGCTGCTTGATTCTTAGCAGCATCACCAATTAATCTTTCTTCACTAGTAAAAGCGACGAAAGAAGGAGTAACTCTGTTACCTTGTTCATTGGCAATAATTTCAACAGCAGAGTCGAATGTAGCAACACATGAGTAAGTAGTACCTAAATCGATACCGATAGCACCTTGAAAAACACCGTCAGCCATGTTTAATTCAAATCTTTTCAGATAATTTTAAAAGGAATTAGAAAACTTTTCAAAAAGGAAGAAGAGATATTTTTAAAATTATAAAAAAATTGAAAATTCGTCCTACCACTGTAAAGGAAAGTTCAAAATGAAAAAAAAATTTTTCACTCTATATGGGGATGTATATTAAGTATTGTAGTTTGGATGTTTACCCCATCGGTCTCAAATTTTCTCTAGCAGTTTAATTTTTACTTAGATGATGCCAATTATTTACCCGGAATCGCGTCAATTTTGCAATCAAATAAATTTAGAATCACTATGACGATATTCAATTATGATTGTTTCAATTGATTTAAGAACAAATTTAACATCAGATTCATTACCTACAACAAGAACATTTTGTGGAGTATCTTTTCTTGCCAACCCTTTTGTAATTGAAACAGAACTTGTAAGTGTAGTTGATAAATTATTATCAAGGGGTAATACTTTTATAATACAATTTGATTCTTGTCGCAATGAATTAAGTCTTGTACCTTGTTTACCTATTAAGCAACTAACTTCTCTTTGAGTAAGAGTTATACATGACCTGATTCTTTTTGGTTGAGAAAATTGAATACAATTAGTATTATAATTAACATTGTAGTTATTGTTATTATTATCATCATTTTCTAAGGGTACTATTTGATACTTATCCTTATTATTTAGTAATAGTTCAGAATCAATTGAATCTTCAATGGAATTTATGTTGAGTAGACTTTGAACATTATCTAATGAATTGATATTATATACATATGTTTTATATGATGTGAAATATGTATAATGTGACTTAATATTACTATATTGTTCAATAACAGATAAATAATCGATATTAGTATTTGTCAACCCCAATTCAAATAAATGTTTTGAATTACATTCAAAAGTAATTGATTTATTAATGAATAAATCTATCAATGGAACTAAGATAGATTTTAAAGAATATTCCATTCCTAAAACATCAATTCTCCATGTTTGATAATTTATAAGTTTTTCACATAAAATGTACACAAATGTTGTATCCGTGGGTTTTGCTATTGAAGTAATTGATGATTCTATAATATTAATTTTATAATTGGATCGGATAGTTTCAATCATTTGAATTAAAGATTTAGTACTTAATCTTAATTTCAAATCATGATGAATATCATCTCGTACTTGACTCTCTAAATCTAAAGCCAAATCCAGTACATATTGAACCCCGGAGACTTTCATTATGAAATAATCTTGTAATAAAATAGTAGAAACTATATCATCACAAGCCATCTTGTCATTACTCATTTCCGTTATATATTATTATATGATGGATCAATTGCCGAATTGATGGAGTCTAAGTGGCGTTGACAATTCCTTACTATCAGGTCCTCTCTCCCTCAATCTCTTTTTTTTTTTGCAACACTCACATTTGAGACTCTTACGATAAGATACTTAGAGTAAGACATTAGAAATTAATATATTAAGTAAAAGACCATTTATAGTCAGATATAAGAATGAAAGAGGTATCAACGTATATAATTTATATGAATAAGTATAGAAATGTTAAGATTCAAGAATCCTGGATCTGACGAAACATACCTATGGCAGTATTATAAAGAAATCGATATTGATGGAAAGTTTGAACCATCATCATTCTGTAAGTTCGTAAAGTAAAAACTGTTTGGTATATAGGATCCCTTTTAGGATCATAATGCAGAGTCAAATTGGTTTCAGAAAAGAATACATCTGGATTTCTGAATATATAATCTAATACAATAAAAGTTCCTGATCTACCTACCCCTGCCGAACAATGAATTATTGGAATTATTGGTTTATTAGTTTCCAAATCATATTTATGAATATCTTCAGATAAGTTATGTAAGGATTTAGCTGATGGTGGAACTCTTGCATCAGCCCATTTATAATAATAGTAATGATATACTTTTTTTGTTTTAGTAGTGGTTTTCAATTCTAACTCAGTTAATAAATAATCTCCATCTTCATTATAAATCTTATTAACAAATCGAACTTTCAAATTATTAATATCAATCAGATCTTCCTTTAATTGAGAATAAAATTTCATTTCTTGAGTACTTTCATCAAGATCATTAGGCCAATATTGAATACATTTAAATACGCCATCTTCAACGAGAGATGTTAACATAACTATGACAATAGTATCTTGATTATTAGCTTCACTTTCATTAAAACACATACTCCAAAAATGATGTATGGTTGATTCAGTTGGACCTTGAGTTACTATATACTTATTTTCATCATCTATTTGAACTCTTGAAGCATTAATATAATCACTTTTAGATTTACATGGTAATCTTACACGATTATAATTGAATGGGAAAATATTTGAATAACGATTTCGACGTCTTGGTGCTTTAATTCTACCATCACTTACAGACCATTTCGATTTACTATCAGTTATACCTTCTTTAATATTTTTAGCTTCTATTTCATTTAGAAGATCAAAATTATCATGTAGCTGATCTGAATCGATAGTGAGATATGAAGGTAATAATTCAATTCCATTTGTCATTGAAGAATTTGATGATGTAGTAGTAGTACTAAAAAATGATGAAGTAGTAGAAGATAACTTCCTTAGAATTGAAAAGAAACTGGCAACTTTATTAAACGAAAGATTTAATTGGTAAACAATATATTTCTGATTCATATTTGAGTTTAGTGGAGTTTTCTAAAAAAAAATGTAAAGATCTATGCACACACACACAAAATATATGAAAAATGGGGTTTGGGGGCAGAACAATATAGGATTACTAACAATTATCCAATAAACGATACTTGAATCTTTATTGATAACAAAATACTTAACGATCCTTATTGAATGAACAAATTCCCCTGTTCCCTATCTAAAGAGAATACGAGTATTTTGAATTGAAAATTAATTTACTTGATTAAAATATTAAATATTAAATATTATTACTTACTTCAGAATGCATAACCCATTAAAATCCGAAACTAAAAATCGCATCATTCAATTTTTTATTTTATGTGAGTAGCCATATAAAAAGAAAAAAATTTACTATGAATGCAATTATAGAGACTGTAAAATGGTTATGTGGCTAATCGTCAACTCGCAACAAGAGAGCCCGAACTTGACTTGTAGTTAATATAATTATAATTGAACAGTAGTTGTCGATTCCGATTAAGGATATTGAGGATGCTAGAATTCAAATCTAGCAGAATTACCTATTCTGGATTAATAATGAGCCAATGGTACGGCTGTAGAGAAGTCAGGCATAATTCTAGATTGCAAATTTCAGTTCCGCGAGTTCCACGGAAGCTATGATCTATTGTCATGTCAAAAAGTTGTATAAGAAATTGCGACAAAAGTCACATGATTAGGAGTGTCCTTACCAAAGCGGTTTTCCGCAATACTTTCTCAAACTGGCAGTGCAAGTCACCCCTAATTGTGTAGCGAATATCATTAGATAAAACTGATTAAAGAAAAGTCACGGCAATCTAAAACTGTTTAACCAGTTATTATAAATCTCAATCATTTAAGTATTAAATCTTTTGTTGATATAGTATTGTTATTACTGGCTTTATTACTATTCAATTAGCATCTAATTATATACTAGTTAGTTGCTTTACTGTATAATATTTATCTTATTTCCATTCACTAATAATAAATCATAAAAGCTTAAAAGTATCATAATGAGCTTTCCTAATCCTGCTACATCAGTTAAGTTAGTTCTACTTGGTGAGGCTGCTGTTGGAAAATCATCATTAGTATTGAGATTTGTTAGTAATGATTTTCAAGAAAATAAAGAACCAACTATTGGAGCCGCCTTTTTAACTCAAAAATGTACTATTGGTTCAAAAGTCATAAAATATGAGATTTGGGATACTGCTGGTCAAGAAAGATTTGCTTCATTGGCTCCAATGTATTACAGAAATGCTCAAGCAGCCATTGTAGTCTACGATGTTACAAAGCCTGCTTCATTTATCAGAGCAAGACATTGGGTTAAAGAATTACACGAACAAGCATCTAAAGATATAACAATTGCATTGGTTGGGAATAAATATGATTTGGTTGAACAAGATTCTCCTGAAGATGAAGAAAATAATATGAGAAAAGTTAGTGTTGAAGAAGGTCAGAATTTAGCTGATGAAGAAGGTATATTATTCTTTGAATCTAGTGCTAAATCAGGTTATAATGTTAATGATATATTTATTGGTATAGGAAGCAAAATCCCTGAATCCAAAGTTGCATCATCTGCTCCAGGTGGTCAAGGATCTTCTAATACTGAAGGTAGAATAGATTTAACTTCAAATGCTGCCAATAATAATAGAAGTGGAGGTGGCGAATGTGCTTGTTAGAAGTTAATAACAATTGCATTATTTTTATCGTGTATTTTATTATTGAAATAATCACGCTTATTCTTTTTATACTGTTCTTCTTGGCATAGTTTATCTACTTCTTGTTTAATATTATTAATGTGGTTCATACAGACATGACTCTTCTTCACTTAATCAAGTCTCACATTCTCCAACTTAATTTTTATTTGTTTCTTCTATATTAGTTTGTTCATTGGGAAGTTTTATTAGTTAAATTTTTAGTTTATCCATCTACTATTGCGATGAAGAATCCTTTAGAAACTCTCTATCCATTACTTAAATATCATTTTAATAGTCATTTGATTTAATATTAATAAATTCAATCTAAATTTCATATTGTAAAAGTTGCAAGAGTTGCAGCTTATTCCCGATCACCGAGCGCAAAAAAAAACGGAAATGGGGGACCACAATTTTTCAATTTCCAATTTTCAAGTTTGACTTACAAATCAATCATTAATCGGTTAGTATAGTCAATCTCTTATAATTATTGTTAACTATGTCAAACGAAATTACTACCTTAAAGGTGGCCTATATCCCTGAACATTTCTCCACTCCTTTATTCTTTGCTGAACAACAAGGATATTATGAATCTCAAAATTTAAAAATTGAATTCGTTAAAGTTCTTGAAGGTACTGGAAGATTAGTCAAACTTTTAAATGATGGAGAAGTTGATATTGCTATTGGATTAACTGAAGGATTCATTGCTGATTTGGCTAAGGGAAATGATTCATATAAGTTAATTGATACTTATGTTAATTCTCCATTATTATGGGCTGTATCTACCGGTTCAAACCGTAATGAATTAACAAAAGTTGATCAATTAGATGGTAAATCAATTGGTGTTTCTAGAATTGGTAGTGGATCATATATTATGAGTTTTGTTCTTGCTCATGATTTGAAATTCTCTAAAGAATTTTCAAATTTCCCTATCTTATCTACATTTAAAAATTTAAGAGATTCAGTTAATCATAAATTAGAAGATAAAGAATTAAATAGTGATGCATTTATGTGGGAATATTTTACATCCAAAAAATATTACGATAATGGAGAAATTAAACAAATTGGTCAAATTTATACTCCATGGCCTTCTTGGGTTATAACTGCCAATGCTAAGACATTAGAATCAAAAAATGAAGCTATTAAAGCATTTGTGAGTAGTGTAAATAAAGGTATTAATTATTTCAATGTCAATAAAGATAAAGCCATTGAATATATTGGTGAAAACTTAGATTATTCTAAAGAAGATGCTGGAGAATGGATTAAAACTGTTAATTTTAATAGTAAAGTTGGACAAGATGAATTAAATTGGGAAGCAGTTGTCGGAAAAACTAGTGAAATTTTAAAAATAGCTGGAGTATTAACTGATAGCGACGAAGTTATAAGTTCCAGATTAGAATCAACAGTTCTTAAAAAGTTATAGATGACTCTTAATTATATACGCAAGGCTAATTTACTTTGTAATGTACATACAAAATTTACATAGTTAAATGAAATAGTCGGACCAAGGGAACTTTTTTTATAGATACTGTATATTAATGTGCTAAAATCGTTCGTACCGTACAGCTTTGAAATGAACTGATAAAATTATTATTATTTGTGAACAATCTCGCATCGGACTCGGAGTTGCTTAACTCGGACTTTGGAAATTTTAGCTTTAAAGTTCAAAGTTCTTGACTTCTTTCCCACTTTTGACCCCTCCAAATGCCAGCTAAAAACCATAAAGATTGTCAAAGGGCATTGTCAGGTTAACATGTTAATGGTGCACATGGTACGTTTCGCTCAAGTCCGTAATGTGATGTTATCAGCCACGAAATAGCCGTTAAGCCAAATTCAATCGCGGCAGTGGGCCGCAAAATGTACAAAAAAAATTGACTCCGGTGAGGTGGAAAGTTCCGTGGCTAAAATAGGTATAAGCTGATTTGTGGTTTGATAAGCTTACATCACTAGATAAACAGTCAAAATATTTGGTTTGGGCTGGGCATGGCATTTTATGACATAGTGCCATTTTTTTTTTAGTCATCGGAGTCAGAATCCGGGGTTTTTGCGTTTCTACTATTTCTTTTACGTATACATAAATACTTTGATTCGAATCCCCCAATCCGATAAGGATTGAATCATTAATTATTTAATTATAAATACCTCGCAATTTCTCTCAGGTAGCCAAGTTCAAGTTCGTCGTGGTTATCATTTTATTTAGATTTATATAGAAATTAACCATTTAATATGACTATTACCAATAAACCTATTTATTCTTCACTCGATGGGGTTGAAATATTAGCACCCATTAAGTCTACTCCAGATTATTTACCAGCTACTACTACTCAAGCTGATATACTTACTAAATCTTCATTATCATTTGTTGTATTATTACATCGTACTTTCAACAAAACTAGATTGCAATTGTTGCAAAATAGACTTGATGTCCAAGCTAAATTAGATTCTGGTCTCTCACTTGAATTCTTAAAGGATGATTTATCAGTTAAACTTCAACAAGACCCTGTATGGCAAGGTGCTGTACCTGGTTTAGGTTTAACTGATAGAAGAACTGAAATTACTGGTCCACCAGATCGTAAAATGGTTGTTAATGCCTTAAATACTCCTGTTAAGACTTATATGAGTGATTTCGAAGATTCTAACTCTCCTACTTGGTCTAATATTTTAAATGGTCAAGTTAATTTATATGATGCTATTAGACACCAAATTGATTTTGTTAATGAAGATAATGGTAAACATTATAAGGTTAATTTTGATGACGAAACTAGAACTATTCCAACTCTTATTGTAAGACCAAGAGGTTGGCATATGGTTGATAAGCATATTTTAATTGACGGTGAACCAGTTAGTGCTTCAATTCTTGATTTTGGTCTTTACTTTTATCATAATGCAATTGCTTTAATTAAACAAGGTTATGCTCCTTACTTTTACTTACCAAAAATGGAACATCATTTAGAAGCTAAATTATGGAATGATATATTTAATGTTGCTCAAGATATACTTTCAATTAAAAGAGGTACCATTAGGGCTACTGTACTTATTGAAACTTTACCAGCTGCTTATCAAATGGAAGAAATCATTTATCAATTAAGAAATCATTCAGCAGGATTGAATTGTGGTAGATGGGATTATATCTTTTCTACCATTAAAAGATTAAGAAATGATCCAACTAAGATATTACCAAATCGTGATCAAGTCACTATGACTGTACCATTCATGAGTTCATATTGTAAAAGATTAATTCATATATGTCATAAACGTCAAGTTCATGCTATGGGTGGTATGGCAGCTCAAATACCAATAAAGAATAATGAGCAAGCAAATACTTTAGCTATGGAAAAGGTTTCTAATGATAAATTAAGAGAAGCCAATATGGGTTATGATGGTACTTGGGTTGCCCATCCAGCTTTGGCTCCAATTGCTAATGATATTTTTAATAAATATATGCCAACTCCTAATCAAATGCATAAATCAAATCCAGATCCAAAGATTTCAGAATTTGATTTATCTAATACAGCAATTGAAGGTGGTATTATTACAACTGATGGTATTAGACAAAACTTGTACATTGCCTTATGTTATATTGAATCCTGGATTAGAGGTATTGGTTGTGTACCAATTAATAATCTTATGGAAGATGCAGCTACTGCTGAAGTTTCAAGATTAATGTTATATTCATGGTGTAAACATCAAGTTGAATTATATGACACTAAAGAAAAAGTTTCACCATCATTAGTGGAAAATTTATTAAATGAAGAAGTTTCTAAATTAACACAGAAATTCCCAGCTTCAAAGAATTATAAATTTGAAATTGCTGCAAATTATTTAAGACCTGAAGTTACCGGAAAATCATTATCTGAATTCTTAACCACTTTAATTTATGATGAAGTAGTTGAAACTGGTGAACCAATTAATTTAAATACTCTTAAGTGATTTATATCTATTATATCTATGTATATCAATTAATATATTCTATTTATTCATATTTTTTTACAAACCCAGTATTCACAATCATACATAAAAGATCCAAGAGATTTCTGATCACCACAATAAGTAGTCTTTATATTTGATTCATGCTTTTCAAATTTAAACCCCATTTTCTTTATTAATTCAATTAAATCATCTCTAGATAATTCTAATCCTTGCATTACAGTGGGAACTTTTTCACCATCTCTATCTATATATTGCATACTAGCATCATCTTCAAAATGCCATAATAATGGACCAAAATTTATCCATATTCCATCTTTCTTAAGGCAATAGTAAATAGTTTTTAAATAATCAATAATATTACTTGCAGTATCAATAAAGAAACAAGTTACTAATACATCAAAATTCTCTTTATTTGTAGAACGAAATTCATTAGCTAATGCATCTTCTGTATAAGTATCTGATACTTGTAAATTATCTGGACCATATAAATCAGTAAATGATCCTGCAGTCATTGACATTAATTCATCATAAGGAATTTTTGGATTTTTCTGTAATAATTCATGAATTATTGTTGGATTTGTATCTGGGAAATATGAAGGACGTAATTGAAAATTCCTTTTTACTAAATGTGATGATTTATGCAAATATGGGAAAATAGAATAGTGGTTAATAAATGAACAACGATTAAGTATAAAATTGGAAGTTAATAACATATGATAACTGAATTCATTTCCCTGAGTCCAAAATCCTAATTTAACTAATTCCATAACTAATCTACCTAATCCACAACCAGGATTTAAAATCTTAATATTTTGTCTTTCAATTTCAATAGGGTATAATTGAACTAACTCGTCAATTATCTTTTGATACGTTATTTGTCTTTCTAATTTACCTTCATCTGTCCATTCCTTTGAAATTTGTAATAAAGTTGATTTAACTTTATCAAATTCTTTATCAGTAGCTTGAGCCCATAATTCAGGATTTGTAGGTGCACCCCATTCTTCTGCTACACTTAATGCTAATTGTTGAGTTACTTGTTTATTAAGTCCAATTACTGCTTCTAAATCCAGTAAATATCCGGGGAACCATTCAAGTAATTCCCTTTCAGATTTGGATAATGAATTATATTTAATAGTTTTAGGCTTTAATACTTGAGATGTTTGATAACTATGAAAATTATAGAATGCCAGTAAAGTAGCACTCAATGCTCGATATTCTTCATCATCACTCATTATAATTGGGAATTCTTTAAGTATTGGTATTTATTATAATTATAGTTGAAATTTTAAAAAGTTATCGTTATCCATATATTAAAACTTGTAAACCTAAGAGAAAAATTACAGGTTAGAATTTCAAATCCCGTTAAAGGTGTGTCTATCTAAATTTGTTTTTTTGCTGCGAAATAAATATATTTGCATTTCTATATAGTTATGCGGCTTTTAATGTATATAGATTATAGATTATAAATTATTCTCAGCTTTAAATGTTTCCCATTGTTTGTTAAGATGAATGAAGACTCCATTACATAATAATTGTGTCTTAATATCATCTTTACATTGAACATAAGTTTTATCAGGATGAATCATGGCTATTGTCTTTAAATATTGAATCTTTACCCTTTTATTTAATAATACATCACCTTTTTCAACAGCTTTAACATTAATTTTACTAGGAATTATATCTTTAATAGATACTAAAAGTTCTCGGAAATTCTTACCTTTCAACCAATCTTGAATTTGAAGATCAATGTTTTCTTTTAATATTGGATCAATATCATCTTTATCAGCTGTTTGTTTTCGTGGTGGTACTGGAGATACTTGTTTAGTTGGAATAGACTTTTGTTGTACAACAGGTTTACTAGGTACAGTAGATGATGGTCTTGATATATAATTTTGAGGATTAACAATTTTATCAATTCTATTCTTAGAATCTAAAACTTTTTTATCATTAACATTTAATGTTAATAATTCTTGATAGGTAGTTAAACTATCTGGATATTTCTCTAATAATTCTAATGTTTCGGCTTTTGTTATAAGTAATTTCACATACCAATATCTTATTGGTTTAGATTCAATTTCCAAATCCTTATTCGAAATTTCATCTTTACCAATTAATTTAAGACCTTCATCAATACTTTCTATACTCTTCTTTAAAGATCCTACCAATTTATAAACATTTGCCAAATTTGAAAAGATAATTACTCTCTTTTCATGCTTTTCGGGTAATGCACCTATACACTTTTTATAATTCTCTAATGCTTTGTCATAATCTCCTGATCTGAATGCTTCTGATGCAGTTGTTTTAGAAGTATTGTAATCAACCAGTTGAAATTGGTTTAATGGGGTGGCGGCCCTCAATGAAGAGGAAACAGTAGACGAACCAGAAATTCCAATTAAATCTATCTCTGGTACTGGAGCAGGCTTTGGAGTTGGCACTGGAGTAGGGTTTGGAGTAGGGTTTGGGGTTGGTTTACTTTCACGACGGAGACTTTGCAGAGCTGTAGATGTGGAAGGAGTCCCTATCTGGCCGTTTGATCTTGATGGAGCTAATCTTTCACTAGCTGATCTTTCTGATTGTGAGGTTCTAGCAGATATACGAGGTGTTGAAATTGGAGAACTTCTGGATGATGGGGGAGATTGTCTAGTTGGCCTTGGGGGTAACTTAGGTTCAGGATATAATTCAGAACTTGGAGAACCTTCTTTAGATCCAGTTACTTTATTATACACTTTTTCAAGTCTGGCTTTATTTCTTTCTCTTTCCTTCTCCTTCTGAAGTCTCATAAATCTTTGAATATCTTCTTGATTAATATTTTCTTCATCAGATCCATAATCTTCTGAACCTTCAAATTTCTTTTCCACAGCATCTGCCTTATATTTATCTTGATCTCTCATCCATTGGGGTAATGAACTGTTACTATCACCTTTACCATATGATCCACCTTGCATTTGTTTCTCAATGTTTTTCAACACAGTCTTCTTTGATTTGTTAATAAATTTATTAGCTTTATTATACCAATCTTGACCAATATCACCTATATTAATACCGCCATAATCTTCAGCATATTGTTGTCTTGATGGTAATGCAGGAGCTGAATTAACCGCATTTGGCTTGGTTGGCTTGGGAGTATTAGGTTTGGAATTCTTATTCATGATATAATTCACACATAATTGTAATTCTGGACCCATTTCTCGTATTGATTCATTGGCATCATCTATACTAAAACCAATATCAATTAGTTCAGCTAATACTTCATCTTTCTTAGAAGTGCTTGATGGTCTTTCGGGAATTGGATTAACAGGTGGTGGTGGAGGAGTTGCTTTTACTGGTGGTTTATATTCAAAGGCATCTGTGAAATCATCATCAAGTAATGAAATGCCATTAAAATCATTCGCTATATTAGTGGTTGGTTTATTCCCATTTCCATTCCCATTTACAATTTTTGATTGTGCAGTCGTAGTCGTATCCTTTTTAAGAAAAATATCAAAGGGATCATTATCAATCGACAGGGGGGGTACTTGTTGGGATAATCTTGGTGTATTGGATGCTAATGAAGAATTTGAAGTCGCAACAGAGATTGGAGTATTTGTTTGAGATATATTAATTCGAGGACTCATAGTAGGAATTGGTCTTGGATTTGGAGTTAATGATGGAGAAGGAGATGCTATTCTTGATGAAGAACCTGATAAAATATCTAAATTTGAATATGAATTATTAGAAGGTCCATTACCTCCCGATTGTTGTAACTTCAGCCTTTCTAACATTGATAAATTATTGAGCTTAGTGCCACTATTATTCGAACTAGTGGCAGACTGAAATAAATCAGCAAATGCATCTTTCTTAGGTGGTACCATTATGAGTTTATACTAAGACAATTTTTCGGAGAGACTCCTCTAAATAATTGCTGCAAACTCAACTTATGAGATATTACTAAATATTTATATCACTATTCGATCTGCTTAAGTAGCCAACACATACTTAATCTTTGTTCAATGGGGGGAGCTATGTGCAGGAATTCTATATCTATTACTTTATCAAAGCTTAACTTTATAGGCTACTTATCCACTACTGTAACTTTTCACTTAACTGAGGCTTAAAAACTATAAGGTCATAATTACACACACAATCTCTCCCTATATATAATTCAATTCTCTGAAAGTGTGATACCTTTATTGCACTACTATAAAATGATCTTGAATCAGATCCATTGTTAGCGTAGAGACAGAGACAGAAACAAGTCGTGTGAACCCGCACAAATTTTCCTGGCCCATCTCCAGCTCAAAAAAATTTCCAAATATCAAGCGACTTAACTGTACATTATAAGTTATTAATTCTTTTAAGTTTCACATATAAATCATTCTATTCAGCTAAGATGCATTTGATGTACACTACTGGCCCAGACGGCAAGAGAATTTATACCTTAAAAAAGACTACTGAAGAAGGTGAAATCACTAAATCTGCTCATCCAGCTAGATTTTCACCAGATGATAAGTACTCCAGACAAAGAGTCACTTTGAAAAAGAGATTTGGTTTATTACCAACTCAAAACTAAATATGTTGATCCATTATATTTACTTGAATTAGTGGACTGATTAGTAAAAGCTAGAAATAAATTGCCATATACTTAGGTGATTCCCCAGAATTTGATAATTACTATATTACATCTATATGCTAATGTATCAATAGTTTTATATTATTTTCACCATTTATCACACATTTTACATCCAATTAAAGATTTCAAAATGCTGTTACTATCATGCTGATTTTTTTACAGATATATTTCATCATCATTATATTTTTTTGTTTATTCTTCTTCATACGAAGAATTCATGTGTACCATATATATATATTTACCATCCGTATACAATGTACGACAGTTTAACCTTAGGAATAATTGGTTGTTGTTTTGTAGTAGGATTAATTGTCCTAGTAATTTTTAAGAAACTCTCGATTAGTGCATGTAATTACTTTTCGAGAATACAACGGTTCTTACCAATCATACATATGTACTTAATCATAATATTCATGCTACGTTTCTGAACATTGTTATTTTAAAACACTCACTGACTTGCTCTTAAATTAAGAGTCAAATTACTACTTAATTATAATGGTTCTTTCTTTTGACCTGTAGCTTCTAAATTAAATTCAGCATTTCTCAAATAACTCTCCCACATTTGAGACAAAATCTCTGTATCAAGATTACTTCTATTAACTTCTTGAAGACACTTATTTATTGTCACCACAGATTCATTAAGATTCTCCTATAATAAATTAGTTAGTTCCTTTAGCTCTATCTCAATCTCAATCTTGAAGTAATTGTATTACACATACCATATTATTAATTATTCTTGACAACAAAGCATTCTGTGCCTGCTCATGAGGATTCTCCATGCTTGATACAATAAATTACTTTTGTTCAACTTCGAGTCTTCCAACAGTAGATATAGAACATATAAATGTTTGTTTACATTAGATGTATATTTTATTAATATTAGCTAATATCAGAAGCTGCATCCACGCCGCAATAAATAGTTGACATCGACCCATAGAAAAAAGGTCCATAGTGGTCAATGAAAAAGAACGGGGATTAAATAAAGGGAAAGGGAAAGAATAAAGCAAAGGTCACTCTCTTTCACTAAAAGAATTTAGTTAGAGTACAAGTTAAACATGGATATTGTACAAAAAATTTTACTAACTCTACTTGGAGGGTTTGTTATAATTCTTATAGTTTTCTATCTTCAAAATAATAGTCCAAAATCAACATTAAATAAATCACCATATAATCAACCAACATTTCTTATTTTAGGAGCTAATAATAGTGGAAAAACTTCAGTATTTTATAAATTGCTTGACGCTTCAAATAATAGATATGAAGATGAACCTATTACAAATACATCAATTACACCTACAGTATCAAGTTTAGAAATGAATGTTAAAATTATTGAATTACCATTTTCAAATACAGCCATTACCAAGAAATATCAATTAATTGATTATCCTGGTCATAGAAAGTATCACCAATTATTATATAAATTAATAACTAATGATATCACTTTACAAAAGATTCGAGGAATTGTTTATGTCATTGATACTTCAAGTATTTCTTTAGGTAATAGTGAAACAATCGAAGGAATTGGTAAATTTCTTTATGAAATCTTATCTTTTACTGAAAGGATGCATAATGGAATTGATTTCTTATTTGCATTAAACAAGAGTGATTTATTTGATAGTGTTCCATTACATAAAGTTCGTACTATGTTAGAGGCTGAATTAAATAAATTAATTGCCAATGAATTAAGTTCAATTAATAAGACATCTGGAATTGATAAACAAGACGATGAAAATCAAGAAGATGAAGACAACTCAATTCGTGGTAATCAAGAATCTTTACGTGAATTCTGGTTAAGTGTCATTGGATCATCAGAAAATAATTTCTCATTCGATAAGTTAGAAGGAAATATGGACTTTATTTCAGGATCTGTTGTTAAAAATAAAGTTGAAGGTTGGGAGAATTGGTTTGACGAGAAAGCAGTTAATAATTAATCATTCAGTTAAATATTGTAAATAGTATAAACATTAGTTAATTTTAATTATTAATTACATCTCATCCTATAGAATTGGATGGTGCAGTAGGAAAAAATGAAGGATCCAGTTGAATTCGTTGACTTCTAGCTCTTGCAGCTAATACTTTATTATAATTTATAATTCTGGATCGATATATATCCTGATTTAACTTATAAGTTTTAAATTTGAAATTGGATATTTGTTCATTGGTTTCAACTAATTTTGTTGTGGATTCTTGAATTTGAGTCTGGAAAGCATTATATTTTTCATCATTAGTTTTTGGAATTTTCACTTCTTTATCTTTATCATTACCATCCTTATCTTTCTTCCCGAATCCTGGTAAATAATCTGTCATTAACTTATTGATCATATATGGTTTGACAAGTTCAGCCTGTTCCTTTAAAGTTTCAATCTTTTTATCCAATCCATTCTTAACTTCAATTAATTTATCATATTCTTGATTAGGTAGATGTACTGCGAAATTATCATCTTTTAGATGTGAAGCACAAATATATAAAAAATCAAGTTTATTATCATTTAGTAATACTGTTGGTGTTGGCTTATAGCAAATTGTACAAGCTTTAGAATCATTTGCTGCAACTAGTTTCACTGTATAATGATTTGGAAATGGTGGAGCACCTGGTTTACTCATATTTTTTTTGGAATATAAACTATCTATTTTTAAATTATTCAGTTGACCTAATACTGTCTTCATCGTTTTACGCTGTAAGATAGAATTAATAGGGACAATTTAAACCCAATTAGGAATTTTATTGGTCACGTGCGTGATCCTGCTTTGTGGAATTATTCTTAATTAGAAGATTTTGCAACTTGTTTCATAGCATTGTAGATGAATTTAAATGATTTAAATCTTTATTTATTCAACGGGTCGGGAATCTTCACAACCCATGGCTATTACTTGTAGAATCATTTGCCTCAAATTTAGAAAAACGTTCACCAAATTCATGGAAGTTTGGTAGCTGCTTTCTCGTTGAATTTATAGTTCTATCGAGAATTTTGTTCCAATATTAAAGAAGTAACGATACTTAATAATCTGATAGTGGTATTTAATGCATATTATATTGGGCCAAGAGGCCATGTAGTGGTTGAAACCACGTAGATTTCGGTGATTGGAGACAGAAAGTATCACGTGAAATTTTCTAACACTTTGTGTATTTATTATTACAGAATGCTTAGCCGAGTGACGGGTCAATTACACAATGGTGGATGTAAATCGGTCATAATCGTAAAAGGTAAATAACAGTTCGATGATTGCACTTAAAAAGTCTAGATCTGTCAATAAGTGTGAGAAACTGTAAATTTTCTTGGTAAAGGATTGATGAGATCCGATACTTGGGGTAATTAGAAACCTGAGTGTGTTTAATTATATTATATCACAACACAAATTTTTCATATAAATATAATTACGTTGAGAATATGAAATTTAATGAGTCAATTGAGTCGCCCCATTAAGAGATCCGAGTAATACCGTAATTAATTATGCCTATATGGGATGGATGGGAATAGGTCGTGCATATTGTACCAAAACATGCCTAAAACGGCAAAATGGTACAGGTGACATACACTCAACAATTAATCATCTAAATTATACGACTCAATGACTGAACTATAGTTTTAATTCAATAATTAACTATATACTAAACAATGCAATTATATTATATATAATTGAATCATTTTAAGTAAACCATTCTACTATTCTACAAGTCTATAAAATCAAATCGTCAGACGACTACAAATAATAAATACAACATAATATAAGCCGCAACTCTAATCTCATTACACGTCTTTTATGTCATTTCGGTAAACGCACGACGAACAAGTGTAATTTTCAGGACAAATTTTAAATTTTTTTCTCCCTCTTCCAATTGAAACCACCTCCTCTTTTTTGTTGAACCCAAGACACTCCTCATCCTAACTGACTCCATTATATAAGAGAGATAGTGGATTTTGAATCATCCTCATCATATAAAACATTTCAATACATTCCCTCATCTAAATCATACTCGTCACGCCTTCTATCATATAAAGTTGTTGACCCGTACTCTCCCATAGTCCTCAAAATCGAATTTCTCCTTGATTAATTTTCGGCTGTTGTTTTTTTGAATCTTTTGCCACTCGCACTACTGCTTTTAAATTAAAGTACCTCACCGTCATCCTCGTAGGGAAAAAAGTTAGATCGCTCGAAGTGAACAACAAATCCTTGCTCTAACTCACTCAATATAGCATTAGTAACCTTGATACATTTGATTACCTACGAGATTCATATTTTGTAAGTATATTTAAGTGAAGAATTAAACTAATAGCATCAATTTTCAATCATCAATTCTCATACAGTGCAATATTAGCAATTAGCAATAATTAATTATTATTATTAATTATCAATTATCAATCAGCAATTATTAATTAACAATTCTGTTTTGAATCACATTATTCCCATATAACACCATATACATAAACACACACATACAACAATAAAATGTCTACAGTCGAGCATCAAGAAGCCGACATTGATTCCATAGTCGATAGATTATTGGAAGTTAGAGGTTCAAGACCTGGTAAACAAGTCACCCTCTTAGAACATGAAATCAGATATTTATGTACAAGAGCAAGAGAAATCTTTATCCGACAACCAATTTTATTGGAATTGGAAGCTCCAATCAAAATTTGTGGAGATATTCATGGTCAATATTATGATTTATTAAGATTATTCGAATATGGTGGATTTCCTCCAGAAGCAAATTATTTGTTTTTAGGAGATTATGTCGATAGAGGTAAACAATCATTAGAAACAATTTGCCTTTTGTTGGCCTATAAAATTAAATATCCTGAAAATTTCTTTATTCTTAGAGGTAATCATGAATGTGCTTCTATTAATAGAATTTATGGATTTTATGATGAATGTAAAAGAAGATATAATATTAAATTATGGAAAACTTTCACAGATTGTTTTAACTGTTTACCAATTGCAGCTATAATTGATGAAAAAATATTCACAATGCATGGTGGGCTTTCTCCAGATTTAAATTCAATGGAACAAATTAGAAGAGTTATGAGACCTACTGATATTCCAGATGTTGGATTATTATGTGATTTATTATGGTCTGATCCTGATAAAGATATTAGTGGATGGTCAGAAAATGATAGAGGGGTATCCTTTACTTTCGGTCCTGATGTGGTTTCAAGATTTTTACAAAAGCATGATATGGATTTAATTTGTCGTGCTCATCAAGTCGTTGAAGATGGTTATGAATTCTTTTCAAAGAGACAATTAGTTACCTTATTCTCTGCTCCAAATTATTGTGGTGAATTCGATAATGCCGGAGCAATGATGAGTGTTGATGAATCCTTATTATGTTCTTTCCAAATTTTAAAACCTGCTGAAAAGAAACCAAGGTATCCACCTCCAAATGCTGCAATGAATAGAACTGGAGCCACTCCAAGAAAGCCTAAAAAGGGTACTAAATAGATTTAACCTATTCAAAACTCATCCTCATCATCCATTCGTTCTAGATCATCTACATCCATCTAATCTATTTATATTTGTGTGATTCAAATTATTCATTCATTGCGTTATTCTCCAACCATACGTACATGCATCCTCACCCATCCATCCACCATCCATCATTGTCATTTTTCATTCATCTGTTCAATAGTTTATTTGTCCCATTTTGATTTTCACCACACCCATTCTATCACAACCAATCTGTATATTAGTATTATTATTATCTTATTATATTTTACCATCATCATTACTATTATTGTCATTTATCATTTATATTATTTTACCTTTTTTGATTCATCTTATTCATTCCCTTTGAAAGGAAACTTTGTGTTTAAGAAGAATTTGAAAATCAAAAGATAGTCAAGTAAACTGAACAACAACCAATAATCAATCAACCATCTAAGAAAATGAAAACAGTCCAACATTTCCATTATATACTTCCTATATATCGTATATAACTCTATTTTTGTAGACCTCTCCTTTTTCGTAACGTCATAACTTCTCCAGCATAGCATAGTCCTCCTCATTTCATACCTTATACATATAGAAAAGGCTTCTTATAACTTCTTTTCTAATCTTTTCATTTCTCATATATAGATACATGATAATAGTAATGATAAAAATGCGTATAAAGTATATTTATATTCTTAAAGATTGTTCTTTGAGAAATGATTTATGAGTTTGGTCATTTGGGAGGGACTTTGCTTTGGAGTTTTTAGTTTGACATAATTATTATTATTATTATTATTGCCATTATTATTTCATGATTCTTATTATTATTATGATTCTTATTTTTATACGGCTTGATATTCGCTATAATTTTAGTTTTATTATTTTAGTTTAGATTATTTTAGTATTACTCTAAAGTCAAGGTAAAATTTCCATATATATATTGTTATGTTATAGTTGTGATGTTACTTGGAGGAAGGGATATGACATGGGGGTGCAACCAATGCGTATGCCTTTTTTATATTGTTATTTTTATATTGTTATTTTTATAGTTTTTCTTATAATATCTACTATTGTTTAGTTTTTTATATAGTTTTTACAAATTATTTAATTATTGTTTATCTATGTTCGGTGTGACTAAGAGAATGAATGGTTAGATGATACCATTTGATCATTCTTCTAGTCAAGCTGGTTGTTAACAAATTCATAGATGTATTATTTATCAGATTTCATTATTGTTGCACATTAAGGGACAAACTCCGTGATTCTATATTATATTGTTTCTTTCATTTCTTCTTACCCTTAATGTTATTTAAATATATATTATTATTATATTATATTATATTATTTTATATTACATTATATTATTTTGCATCCATTATAGAGTCCACGTGATGAATCAATAATGCACGTGCAAGCCCTAACAAACCCTAATGCTCGTTCCGGTACATAGATCCAATCAATAAAAAAAGTTTTCTCGACTTAAGGTCTACTTAACTATGCATGTTTGGATGTTTGCCTTGTATGGAAATGGTAAGGATGAAAAAAATTAATAAACTAGTTAAAGAAAAAATTGATTAATTTCGTATAACCTTTGAATACAATACATTAGAACATACTAGAGTACTGACAAAATGGTATGTAATTATATGAATAACACGAACATGTTGAAGAGATTGTAGTCATATAAGTGGAAATGATGTTAAAAAGAAAAGAACGATACATTCGAATAGACAATCCATAATATATTTGTAATACCACAACGAAGATGAAAGATAAAATATCAAATTGAAAAAGTTGAAGGATTCAGAGGATCAAATAATTAGAAATATAATTTAATCATTGTAAGAGTATTATATCATGTAAATAAATTGGGGGTATTAATCCCATTTATTCAATAGTCTAGAATTATGAAATATAACTACGGTAGAATGTCAACTATAGTAGTAGTTAATCTACAGACATCTCCTAAACTGTTCAACCATTAAATAAATTATCAACAATATACTAACATTAAAATTCTTATAGGTTTTAGTTCAAGATTTATTAAACCCAAATCCAGCTTCTGAAGCTCAAAAACATAAATTAAAGACTTTAGTTCAAGGTCCAAGATCATTCTTCATGGATGTTAAATGTCAAGGTTGTTTAACTATCACCACCGTTTTCTCCCATGCCCAAACTGCTGTCACCTGTGACTCTTGTTCAACCGTTTTATGTACTCCAACTGGTGGTAAGGCTAAGTTGACTGAAGGTTGTTCTTTCAGAAGAAAGTAAATGTATTTTGAATAAGTTAAATTTTGCATATATCATTTCACATTTCACATTTCATTCAATACCTTCAAACTTAATACATATATATAATATGATAATGATCTAAATTTTTCATCATATCGTTAAGATCATATCTCCACCTTCATTTAATTTTAAATTAATTGATTCCCACCAAAAATCACATCAAATATAGTTTCCATAATAGAAACATGTATTTATATAATATAATTAAAAGTATTCCTACTTTATCTTTTTCTAATTCATTTAGGTTATAAATTACTTTTATGAAATATACAAAAATCAATATCGTTTAAAGTAAAAATGTAGTCATTATATTAAAACATAAGATTTAGCAAAGAGAAAAGGAAACATAAAAACATAAAAATATAAAAATCTTTACAAAGTAACTAATTTTATTATTTTGTCTATAATTTAGGTTTGGAATAAAATCTAACAACTTCATCAATTGCCTTAGCTACTTTTTCAACATTATTATCGTTTAATCCAGCAACACTAGCTCTACCACTACTAACCAAGTAGATAGCATGAACCTTTTCTAATCTACCTACCATATCTGGAGTTAAACCTGTAAATGAAAACATACCAGTTTGATTGGTAATATGATCCCAATTTCCAGGAGTTTGTAATTCACCACTAAGTAAATCACGTAATTTATATCTCATTTTAATAATTCTTGAACTCATAGTAACTAAATCATCTTCCCATTGTTTACGAAGAGTTGGATCATTTAAAATAGTTGAAACAATCTTTGAACCATAAGCTGGAGGATTAGAAATTTCTGATCTAATAATTTTATTTAATTGAGATTTAATAGCTTTATTTAATGATTCATTTGGTTCCACACCTGGAATAATATGAATTGCACCTACTCTTTCACCATACATACCACAATTTTTAGCAAATGATTGACAAATAACAATAGGAGTTTTAATAATTGATTGATCTATAGCATATCTAATTGAAAATGCATCTTTTTCTAAATTTCCACTAGCAAATCCTTGATAAGCACTATCAAAAATGACAACATGTTTCTTAATATCTAATTCATGTAATAATTGTTTCCATTCATCTTGAGTTGGATCTAAACCTGTTGGATTGTGAGCACAAGCATGAAGTAAAAAGATTGAACCAGTTGGAGCAGACTTAATAGTATCTAAAAATCCTTTCAAATCAAGAGATTTTGTATCATTATTCCAATATGGATAATTGGCAACTTCTAAGCCAAGGTTCTCAAAAATTTGTTTATGATTAGCCCAAGTTGGTTTAGATAAGTAAATAGTCTTTTGACCATTATAAAATTCCTTTAAGAATACACCAGCTACATGAAGAGCTCCTGTTCCTGATAAAGATTGTTGACTAACAACACGATTTTCTGAAAGAGCTTTAGAATTATCTCCTAAGATAACTTTAGCTGCTTGTTTTAAAAATGGTTCAAATCCACTAATTGATAAATATTCATGATTATAATCAGCACTACCAATTAATTTAGCTTCTGCTTGTTTAACAGCTGGTAAAATCCATGGTTTTCCTGAATTATCACGATATGCTCCAATACCTAAATCCACTTTTTCGGTTCTAGGATCTGCATTATATCTAGCTTTTAATCCGAATAATGGATCAGGTGGTAATTCTTTGATAGTTGGGAAATATGACATGTTTTTGTTGAAGTTTACTATCTATTAAATAATTTTTCAACTACAACTCTATAATCAAATACTTATATAAATATATTTATATATATATATGAGTTCCTATCAATCCCGTTCATTTCGCCTCTTCAGTGTTTTTGTCTTATGATGTTTGTACCTTCCTTTAATGCGACGATAATTTTAGAAAGGAGGGGTAAATCACGTGAGGGGTCTAATAGCCATTTTTTTTGAATTCACGGACATTAACAACTATGTTTTCGCTCTATATGTTTGCCAATGTAATTTGTTATGCCGTAAGGTTTTTTGAATTTGCGCTTATAGAGCTTTTTTCTTTGATTTTAAATTATACCGAGTTACTTACCGATTTTTAATGCCATTCAACCGTTTTTTGCCATATATGTTCCTAAATCCATAAGTATTAATTGATTTTCGAGCCCTTACTTTCTTTTGTTCTTTTTCTGGGGTATATCCGCTTTTATCTACATAATAATCATGAGTTCGAATTTAAGTAATATATATTAGTGATTGATTCATAATTACTATATTTTTTATTTATAAGATGATGAGAGTATACTATACATTTTTATGCAAAAGATTTTTCAGCTATTAAAGTAAAATTAAAATCGCTGAATTTAAACGACTGATTTAACTTCAAAGAATCTCTTTAAATAATAAATTTGGAAAATAGAATTAGCAGCTACAACAATTATTTGGAAAACAGACCACCATTTAACTCTTGAATTTGTAGATTCAGCAGTATTTCTATGAGTTCTTTCTCTAATAACCAAATAACCTTGTTCTGCTTTAACATCATTGGTTAATTGACTTAATCTTTGAATGGCATAATCTAAAGTATCTGACTTTGGATCATTAATATCAACATAAATAACTCCATGAATATTGAATGAAACATCAACATCAACTCTATTACTTCTTTCATTAGAAAAACAATAAACATATTTCCCATTAGTTGGAGCTTTTACACTTTCATCACCATGATCAAGTTCTTGTTTCTTTAATAAGACTTGACCTGAAGGTGAAAGAATATGAAAATCAATATTATATTGTTCGGAATTATGAGGGTCTCTACTTCCAACTTGGAAACTAATGGCTAATTCATCATTCTTTTTCAAATTTTCAAAGAAACATTGTTTACCATATGGTGCCAATAATACATTATGAGCAGAAACACATTGAATAAAGGCTAATAAAAGGATAGTACTTATCCCAACAAATGAAATAGATTTCATCTTCCTTATTGACAATCCAAACAATCCAAAGTTAACAATTCAATATACTGATGAGATTGCTTCTATGCTTACTCAACAAATTATTGATACTAACTCAAAGTATATGGTGATTAATGATAAAGTCTTTGATCCCCTGGTGGTTGTATTAGGTGTTCAGTTTTTTTTCAGTGATCTCAGGGCTACGCGTCGTAAAATTGAGCATATTCGCACGACTTTCTTTTCTAGTATAATATACGTACATATTTAAAGATATTATATTTACAATTAATCTAATCATCTGAGACAAGAGCAGAAACTGATTCTCTTGCCTTTTGAAGTAAGAATTGATCAACTAATACTAAAGCAGCCATAGCTTCAACAATTGGAACTGCTCTTGGTGTTACACTTGGATCATGTCTACCTCTTGCTGCTAAAACTCCATCTTTACCATCATAAGTAGCAGTTTCTTGTTCTTGACTAATAGTTGCAGCTGATTTAAAAGCAACTGAAAAGTAAATATCTTCACCATTTGAAATACCACCTTGAATACCACCACTATTATTAGTTCTTGTTCTTAATCTTGAAGTTTCTTCATCATAATAAAATGCATCATTATGTTTTGAACCCGGAATTTGAGTACCTAAAAATCCAGAACCAAATTCAAAACCTTTAGTAGCTGGTAATGATAACATAGCATGAGCTAATTTTGCTTCTAATTTATCAAAACATGGTTCACCAATTCCAATAGGACAATTTCTAATTACACAAGTTACTATACCACCAATAGAATCTTTAGAATCTCTATAATGTTCAATTTCTTTTACCATAAGTTCTCTAACTTTAGGATCAGGACATCTTACTGGTCCTGCAGCATCTACTTCTTCTCTTGTAATGGTTTTTAATGTTTGAATAAAATCTTCATCTAATGGATTACGATTCATTGAAATAGCTCCAATTGATGAAACAAAGGCAACAATTTCAACTTTATTTGATTTAAATAAAATCTTTTCTGCAATAGCACCTGCTGCAACTCTACCAATAGTTTCACGAGCTGATGATCTACCACCTCCACTTGAACTTTTAGTACCATATTTTTGTATATAAGTCCAATCAGCATGACTTGGTCTTGGATAAAGATCAGTTTCACTATAATCATTTGGTCTATGATCTTCATTCTTAACCATCATAGCAATAGGTGATCCTAAAGTGACACCATTTTCAGTACCACTTTGAATTTCAACTCTATCTTTTTCATTTCTTGGTGTTGATAATTTACTTTGTCCAGGTCTTCTTCTAGTTAATTGAGGTTGAATATCATCTTCTGTTAATTTTAACCCTGGTGGAACTCCATCCACTATACATCCAACAGATTTACAATGTGATTCACCATATGTGGTAACACGAAAGACAGTTCCGAAAGTTGACATTTTTCAATATCTACTATCTATTAACTATCTAATAAGAAATAAAACTTTACTAAGGTGGTTGATATCATTATGGAATTTTTCAGCTAATTTCGCTAACAGAAAATTTCGTGAGCTGAGAAACTCAGGGCCGGAATTTTTTAATGAGTAATAGTTTAAAGTGTGATGAAAAACGTGACATTGTGCTCACGTGAGTTTCTATAATTCTATAATCCTATTATTTATATGGTTGTAATACATTAAGCATATAATCAGGATATAAATTAAATATACAATATCTATATATTAAATAAGATGTAATCTAGAGCTTGTTGAGTTTCTTTTTTGACTCATATTCAACTATACCTTCACGAGCTAATTTAGATAAATATGGATATAAAGATGCATATCCACTAGCATTACCACTACTGGCATTACCTTGTTTAACTCTCATTGCTATACCTTGAGTAATTATTGAAAGTCTTAATAAACCAAATGTAAATCCAATAAGCCAAAGATCAGTAGCATTGTTGGATAAATCCTTTGGATCCCAAGTGACTTTTTCATTATATTTCGCTAATTGTTTATAAATAAAATCAATTGATCCATTATTTTCTCGTCCTATATCAGTCTTTTGAGGTTTATATAATAAAAGATTTAATTTATTAGGTACTTGGAAAGCTTGTAAGAAATTAGATAAATCAAATAATGGATGTCCAATAGTACATAATTCCCAATCCAATATACCTTTAACTTTTTTAGTTTCTGGATCAAATAAAATATTATCTATTTTTAAATCACCATGAATTAAAGTTAATTTAGCAGGATCCTTAGGTGCCAAACGTAAAATATCCTTACATAAATCATCGAAATCTGGAATTCTATCAACATATTCAGATTGTTTAGTTTCAATTGCCTTAAGAGTTTTAATTTGTCTTTGGAAATATGATGAACCCTTTAATTTATCAATATTTTGAAATTGAGGGAAATGATGAGATGGTAAATAACTAATTAACTTTTCAGCATCTAATAAATGAATAGAACTAATAGTATTAACAATAGAATTCCAATATTTATGTTGATCATCAATTGGAATTCCTGGCATATCAGGATTTTTTATTTGAATTCCCTTAATATATTCCATTACATAAAATACATATCCAATTACACTTTCATCTTCACATAAAGCATATACATCTGGAATAGGAACCTTTTTATCTTCATCATTTTGATCTAAATTTAAAATATTTATACCTCTTAATATAAAGAATTCTCGTTCTATAGCATGAGCTGAACGAGAAATTAATTTTGAATTTGGTGATGGTTTTTTTCTTAATACAAATACTTTACCAGTATTCAAATCTGTAATATGATAAGTAGGATTAGATTGACCAAAAGTAAATTGTTTTATATCTAATTTAGAAATATTTTTTAAATATTCAGGATAATGAGGTCCAAGAGTTGTATTCTTTGATTGTGAAGAAATAGTGGTTAAATATTTAACAAGTTTATCATGATCAATAGGATGTCTAACTTCAGTATATTCAGGAATTTCTTTATGTGACATGATAGTATTGTTAATGTTATTATTAATGTATTAATGTACTTATGTTATTATTATAATGTGTTTATTATACTAATGGTTAGTTATCATTTCAAACTGTATCTCATTGAAACTCCGCTACTATTTATATGGGGTAAGTGAGCAAGCGATCGGTGGGGTAAACCTTCGCACAAAAGTAGGTTTGCTCTGTCCCTCGGGATCTCTACACAGACGGATTTATTTCTTGGTTCGTAAATTCGTTACTACTTATTTAAGTAATCTATTTCTATACAATTTTTAGATGGATTTTTAATGTAAATTTATTGTAAAATTTATTGTAAAATTTTATTGTATTTCTTTGTTTCATTTTATTTCATTATTTCTTCTAATTTCACTTAATATTCAATGAATAATAATTATAAATTCCTCTTTGACTGAATTCTACTGGCCAAACTTCCTCTTCATAAGTCTTTGATCTATACTTATTAAGATTAAAATAACCAATTGAACAATTAACCTTTCTTGAAGCATATTTTAAAAAATCGGGCTTTTTAATCATGGTAGTAATTTTATTACCTGTTTCTAAATCATAATAAACAAGATTTGACATATTTGGAACTGATCTCTTTCTTGAACCTTTACCTCTAATAATTGATTTAAATTCTGGATCCTTTTCATTTAATTTATATATCCAAGATCTTCTACCTTCATTATCATAAAATTTCCAAACTTGTGGTTGTTTAGCTTCTTCAATAAATGATGTTTGAATTGGTGATACTTTAACATGTTCTCCATTACCGGCTAATTCATATAAAATTTTATAATCAAATTCAATAGCTTCAAGTTGCAGATTAAAATTTTTTTGTAAAATTGTCATTAAATTCCATTTATTTAATGATTTAACTCCAGTTAAATCAAGAAATTTAATATTATTATGTTCACCTTTAAAAAAATCATGTAAATCATTTAAATCAATATTTGAATGACTTAAACTTAAACTTTCTAATTGAGTAAATCTTGATTTAATTGTTAATAAAATTCGATTATTAATTGGTAATCCTCCAAGATTAAGATAACGTAAATCAGGAGCTTGTAAATGTTTTAAAGTAAATAATAAATAAACATCACTTAATGGAGTTACAACATTTGAATCAACTTGAATATTTAACCATTTAAGAGAATTTTGTGATACAGATGGATGATGAGTAAGAAAATTAATTAAATCTTTAGTAGTTAATTTTGAACATCTTGCTAATGATAAATGAGTTAATCTTGCACTAGTTGGAAGATATTGTAATAAAGATGTTGATGTAATTGATGTATGATTTAAATCTAATCTTTCTAAATTTATTAAATGAGGTAAAATCTTTTCAAATACATTATTACTTAAATTTGAACAATCATGAAATGATAATTTAGTTAAATTTGATAAATTTTTATTGGGTTTTGTATAAATTGATCTAATAGTTGAATTATCATCAATAATCATTTTATCTTCTTCTGCCATTGAATAATCTTCACTTTCTCCTTCTGATTTATTACCATCTTCAATAACTAATTCTTCAAATGCTCGAGCAAAACTTTCACTACTTGCACCACAAAAATCTAAAGCTTTAATTTTATTTAAACAATTAAATAAATAATTTAATACATTAACATCTAAATCATCTTGAATATTTTCACTTGCTAAGAATTCAAGAAGATTTGGAGTAAGACTTAAAGCTTTTGAAATTGTTTTTGAAGTAACCATTTGAATTTCTTGATTCATTCTACCAGTTCTACCTAATCCAATAGATGTAAATTGTTGAAAATCCATAAATTCAACAAATGTTCCAATTTGATTATTCTTTTTAAGATTGGTTAAGAATTTATCAAATGAATGAGGTCTATTAAAAATAGCATATTTATAAAGAAAACATAATGATAATTGATGAAATTTTTTTGATAATAATGGTACTGTATTTGAAAAATTCTCTAAATTTGAATTAATAGAATTATAATTATGATTATCATAATATGCAATTTCGACAATTCTATATAAAATTTCTAATGGAAGTGATAATAATGGACTAACATTTGTTTCTTGTAATTGTTGATCATCAATTTCAGATTCTGTTAATTTATCTTCTACTGGTCGTTGATGTTGATCTGCTATAATGATTGATGAAGCAGGAGATGAAGGTACTTGCTCTAATTGAGGAGGTTTTTCATCAATAAGAATATCATCATAACTTACTTGAGTATAAGTTGAATCATGGGAAGTTATTGGAGATAAAAAGAATGTTGCTGGATAAAGATGTTTATTGTCATCATTGTCTGGAGGAGAAGTTATTGGATAAAGGGAAGTAAATCCATTTCCAGATGAATGTGGTAATGCTAAGGAATCATGGAATTGTGATGGAATTTGTTGATCTGATTCTGAAGAACTTGTCGGAGTTAATTGAGATTGATCATCATTATTATTGATTTGAGTATCGGGACTTATTGATATTTCTGGACTTTTAAGTTCATCTATTTCTTTATTTCGATTTGAAAAAAATGGATTCTTTCCATATTTTCTTCTGAATTTTACTGTATTAGCAACATAACTATCATGACTAATAGAATGTTCTGGTTTAGGAGATTGTGACCTAGAGAGATGCAGAGAATTTTGACCCATTAAATCAGTATATGATGATGAAAATGTACTTTTAATTAAGTTATGTTGATGAGAATCGTCTTGCTCGGAGTTATTATGATAATAATCGTTTTCAATAAAATTTGTTGTATGAGTAAATTGATCAGTAATGTAAAGAGACTCCCTTGAAGATGAAGATTCAGATTCAGATTCGCTAGATGAATTCGAGGATGCTTCTAGCGATAAATAATGGGGATTTTCAGTTGAAACCTCAAAGATATAATGGTTGTTATGAGAATTGATTATATGATTATTATTACTAGTATAATTAGGTAAATTACTAGTAGTATATGAAGCTTTATTAGCTAATGTTCCTGTACCATCATTGCGACTCATAAAATTTCTGATCATCTAATAAATTTATTTATTACGCGGAGAGAACTTTTTGGGGAGCTAAGCCGGAGGGAAACAATTGTTAGTGAAATCTGGGGAGGGAGATCAACAGTATATGTACAAGACCAAATAAATATATAAACCAAATAAGTTAGGTATGTAATAGTAAGAGTTAAAGAGATTAGGTCAAATATATATTCAGTAAAAGTGGAGCAATTCCAAATTCCATAATTATAAGGCACTAACGATGAATAAATCAAAATAACAAAACTAACAAAATTATAAACCCCAGTAAACTTAACTAACATTATAGTGTAATTTAGTGTAAATTGTGTATTATACGGCATCGGTAGAAGTTCCTCATTATGGCGAACTAATTTTTAAATTCTCCAGTGAATGGCAGTAGAAACTTAGTGACCATGCCGCAAAATCATCCACAAAAATTAGCAAGTGCCCTCCGAATATCGGCTCACGGTGTCATTTCACAAACTTTCACTTTTTTATTTTACTCAAGTGTTTACATATTATTTATATAAATTAGCTATTTAATAATTGCTAGATCTTATCTTGTGCATTTTTCCATCTCCTGTATCGCTACCCAATGATGATTATGTACATACCGTAATATGTTTTATTTCATTTATTTCTTCTGATTCGTATAAACTGAAACTGAAACCGAAACCAAAACCGAAACCAAAACTCAATCTGAATCTGATAAATCATTAACACCACAACAAATCTTGTCGTCTCATTCTACTACGTATAGGGGCTGTTTATTTTAATACCCTTCTTCCCCGTGCACTCGAACGGGCTAATGCCGCCAATATTCGCAGCTTTTTTGCCTAGCCAACTTTATAAACTGTAATTAATTTCTATTAATTTCTGGTTAACGTGTAGAATGTGTGAGACTAATCTGTAAATACACCTAAAATATACCATACAATGATTTACTGGTTACCATAATACAAATTGCCGTTAGGTCTTCTTCCCCCCACAGTTTCACAGTTTCACAGTTTTTCTCTTTTTAACTTTTACTTAAAAACTTTTACCTTCTTAATGCTGGTTATTGGTCATCTGTCGTAACTAGCCAAGATCCATTACACTGAATTTAAATACGACCTAGATTTTGTAAACTTAAACGTAAATGGAAATCATTCCAATACCATTTAGTTTACCTATCTAAGAAAAGAATAAGGCACATATTTCCATGCATTTAAGTAAACACTCTAGATTTTTGAAATTTACCTATAATACAATATTATATAGCGAACTTGATTCATTATATTATGAAAGTAATTATATAATCTGACCTGTCAAAGCCTACTAATGATCTAATTATATCTAGACCATATGTTTTGGAGAGCACACGCCCATCGGTTCGAACCGCTTGTCCGACCCCAGAAAAACTCCGGTACTAAGGGTTTAGATGAAATATGAAATTTCAATTTATAGATATTAATTGAAGATATCCTTTAGTGAATTGAAACCAATACAGAGTGAAAAGAAACAATAAATTACCAGAAATGTCTCAACCACCTCAAAGTCCCTATGACCAAGAATCAGAGGATGAATTTGAAAGATTGGAATCTACGTTACCTCCATCGCTTCAACGATCAGCTTCATCATTATTTGAAACTTTACAAAGTAATAGTCCTGTTCATGGATCTGGATCAAATATTCTTAATTCTCCTGCTCCAACTAGAGAAAATCACTTCCATTCAATTTATTTGAATAATCCTGCTTCAAGAACTCCTAAACCTCCTACTAATAATAAACAATTTAGAAGTGCTCTTATTTCAAAATTATCAAAACCTGATAATGGAAGAGAAGCTTCACCACTTCCTATCCCAAGGCCAAAATTCGATGAAGAATTTTTTAAACCTGCTATGAATACCAAGCAATCTTCAACTGGTGTTTTATGGGTAACTGAAAGAGCAACTGAATATGGTTATGATAGTGAGCACGTTGGTGAATGGGCTAATTTAGGTCAAGGAGCTCCGGAACATGGTGATACTATTCCAGGATCATTTCCAAGACCAAAATCAATCCCTGTTCCTGATAATTCTAAAGAATATGCTCCAACTGCTGGTATTAAACCATTAAGAGAAGCAGTTGCTAATTATTATAATGAAACTTATCGTAAAAATAAATCTTCAAAATATACTTGGAAAAATGTTTGTATTGTTCCAGGAGGTAGAGCAGGTTTAACTAGAATTGCTTCAATTATTAGTGATTGTTATTTAAGTTTTTTCTTACCTGATTATACTGCTTATGCAGAAATGTTATCATTATTTAAGAATTTTTCTCCTATTCCAGTTCCTTTAAGTGAAAGTGATAATTATGAAGTTCATTTAGATATGATTAAGAATGAATTAATAAGAGGTGTAAGTGCTCTATTAACTTCAAATCCAAGAAATCCAACTGGTAGATGTATGAATCCTGCTCAATTAAAACAATTACATGATTTATGTCGTGAAAAATGTTTATTAATTATGGATGAATTTTATTCTCATTATTATTATGATGATAATTGTACTGGATCTTCAATTTCTTCAGCTGAATATGTTGAAGATGTTAATCATGATCCTGTTTTAATCTTAAATGGATTAACTAAAGCTTTTAGATTACCAGGTTGGAGAATTTGTTGGATCTTAGGACCAGAAGAATATATAAATTCATTAAGTAGTGCTGGATCATTTTTAGATGGTGGATCTAATGCTCCATTTCAATTTGCAGCCATTGATTTCTTAGAACCTTTAAAAGTTAAAGAAGAAATGAAGGCTTTACAATTACATTTTAAAATGAAACGTGATTATATTATTGGAAGATTATCCAAAATGGGATTTACTTTTAATGAACATAATACTCCAAATTCGACCTTTTATTTATGGTTAAATTTATCTCATTTACCAGGAAAATTAAGTAATTGTTTAGGTTTCTTTCATGAATGTTTACATGAAAAGGTTATTGTTGTACCAGGATTCTTTTTCTTAATTAATCCTCAAAATTTATCAAGATTAGAAGATGTTATTTGGTATAATTATGTAAGAATTAGTTATGGACCAGAATTACATCATTTAGAAAATGGAATGGATGGTATTGAAAATATTTTATCACGTTTTGGATGTCTTCCATATGAGAGGACTTCTGATCAGTAGTTTGAATTATCACTTTATTTATTGGTTAATTAGTCAATTAGTTAGTTATATTTATTTATATATTTATTTTTATTTATATTTTATATTATTTTTATTTTAGCAGCCATGTTTAAATGTGTAATGTAATTCGGCATTTCCCAAACTGGTAATCCGGCATTAGCGTGCGGCTTGTAATAAATGCGGGACCCCACGAAGTCAGATATCACCGACCTTGCTACTGAAATATTCGTTGACTGTACGATATACCACTTGTCTTAAAAGCAATTAGGTAATCCCGTGATCTCATGAAAGTATTTATATTTATAATAGTACAATAGTAATTTATCATTAGTATAACTGAACGTGGAACCACTTAGTACGACATTATCCATTCACCCATTCACCCATTCACCCATCAATGACTAAGACATCAATATTATCGCATACTGTTTCTACAATATCTCAAGTAAGTAGTCAACCTTCGGTAGTTTCTAATTTACTACCATCAGCTCGAGATTCTTCATCAGTATCATTTTTAAGTGCATTCATATGGTTTTGGCTGTGGTTATTTTTCAAAACCATGAACCTCGTGGTTCTTTCTATTCCCAATAAGATATTAACACTTTTATCTAAAGATTTTGAAATTACTTTAAATTTATCTACATTACTTATCTCACTTATTATAATTGGAGGTATTGGATTTTTACTTGTACGATATAAATATTTAACAGGATATTCAGAAGATATAAAAGCTGAAAGAAATAAACTTAAAAATGCTGCTATATCTAATGCCAATTCAAAATCAAATATTGATTTATATGATAATCAAAAGAAATCTAGTAGAAAATCTACTTCTAATTATTTAGATGAATTTTTAAGTGCTACTAAAGTATTTGGATATTTAGAAAAATCAGTATTTCATGAATTAACTAAGAATATGACAACTCAAAGATTATCTCATGATGAAATCTTATATTTAGATGAAAAATTAGGATTTTCTATTGTGGTTGAAGGAGTAATGCAAGTATTTACAAGAATTACTAATGAAAATTCTAAAATTCCTGATTTTGAAGATGAACTGACTCAAGATCGTTCAGATATATTAATTATAGGAAATCAAAGATATCAATTATTAAATGAAGTAAAAAGTGGAGCACCATTAAGCTCTCTTATAAGTACTTTGGATTTATTTAATCCAACTTATTTTGAGGATGATATGACTAATAATTTGAGTAATTTTAATCTTTCAAATGATTCTATATCACCTACAAATCCTTCAAATGGTCCTGGTATATCTCCATTTGATAATATCTTATCTAATGATTCAACCACAGCAGCAGATTCTCCAAGGTTAGTTAGTCATGCTCCTATTCCAGAGTATCCTGAAATAGTTGCCAGACCAAAACCTAATAATCATCATCACAGGGTAAATAAGCATCGACTGCAACTGCAACTGCAGCTGCAACTGAAACTGCAACACCACCACCACCATCACCATCACCATCATACAGGTGAACAAGATCCTCAAAGTGCTACTATAGCAATTATCCCATATCTGGCATTCCAAAGGGTTCAATCAAAATATCCAAAGGCTACTTCGCATATAGTTACTATGGTACTTACAAGATTATATAAAGTTACTATGAATACTATTCATAATTATTTAGGTTTAACTAAAGAATTAATGGAAAGTGAAATCCAATTAAATGACATGGATCCAAGTCCAACGGCAAATCTTCCTCGGTATCTCTATGATGGATTACTTGAAAAAGTTTATAATGAAGAAAACCATAATGAAGAAAACAATCAGCCAGCTGCAATGCCTGAATTATCATCACATTCTTCAACCACAAATTCAAATAATTTAAGTAAACTGCATTATTCTAATGGTTCATCTAGATATGTTGTACTTGATTCAAATTTAAAATCAACTCATCCTGGAGATCTTTTATCTTCCGTACCATTATCTCGTAAATCAGAATATTATCAAACTCATAGTGATCAATTACCTCCAACATTTTCTCCTTCAGCAAGTAGAAAGAATATTAGACTTGCTTCATCGACTATATCTCCTGATACTACATTAAAGAGTAATCCATCTAATTTAAAATTCTCTATGTTTTCTGATGATACAGAAGAAAGTGAAGATAAATCTGTTCGAGTCGCTATAATTGAAAATATATTTAAATTATTAGGAATTAATGAAAGATCAGCTTTATTATTTTCTAAATTATCAAATTTACATTCAGGTCAATCCTCAAGATCTTCTTCAATTGTTGGATTACCTGGACTTATGCGATATAGTGGTAGTAATCAAATTAATCCCTTTGGTAATGGGATTTCTAATATTAATAATAATAATAATAATGGAAATTTCGATCCATTAACTGGTAGATTTAAATTTGATACATTATCTACTGTATCTTCAACTCCTATAAGTCGAAGTTCAACTCCTATAAAAGTTTATAATACCTTAAATCAAGCACAATTAATGAAATTAGGTAATAATAGTTCAACTGAATTAAGTGTTAATTTTATTAAAAAATCTGGTAGTACAGGATCTCAACCAGATATTAATTTAGATGCTGTAAGAAATGAATTTTCAAAAGTATTACATATTAAATATTATGGTCCAAATAGTATTATTGTTGAACAAGGTACTTTTAATTCAGGATTATTTTATGTAATAGATGGTTCATTAGATATTTTACATTTACCTCAAACAACTTCTGATTTTGGTCCATCTAATACTCATTCATCTCCTAAAAGACTTTATACTATTAGACCAGGAGGTTTAGCAGGTTATCTTACTTCTATTGTAGGATTTAGATCTTTAGTCTCAATAAAGACATCTTCAAAGGGAGCAATTGTTGCTCATATCTCCAAATCAGATTTTTCAAAATTAATTGATAAATATTATTTCTTACAATTACCAGTAGCTACTAAATTAAAGACTTTATTATCAAAACAAATACTTACTATTGATTATTCATTAGAATGGTGTCATATTCCTGCTGGTAATGTACTTTGTTCACAAGGAGATTTAGCTAATGGATTTCATATAGTCTTAAGTGGTAGATTTAGAGCTGTAAGATCAAATAAAGTAATATCAAATAATGAAGAAGAATTTGATGATCTTAGTGATGATTTTGGTGATGAAAATTTTATTGATGAATCAACTGATCATAGATCAACAAATGAAGATATTGAAGTATTAGGTGAATATGGTCATGGAGAAGCTATAGGAGAAGTTGAAGTTTTAACTGCATCTAGAAGAACTAATTCACTTATTGCTGTAAGAGATTCAGAAACTGCTAGAATCCCAAGAACTTTATTTGAATTACTTTCTTTACAAGATCCATCAGTTATGATTAAAGTATCTAGAATTGTCGCTAGTAAGGCATTAACCAAAGTTAATGCTCTTAATCAATATGCTTCATTTAATTCTGGTTCAATATCATCATCTACTGTTCCACATATTTCAAATGAGTATAAGACTATAACTATTTTACCAACCGTTCTGGGATTACCAGTAAGAGAATTTGCTGATAAATTAGTAGCGGCTCTTAAAGCAATTGGTAGAAATGTTATTTCTTTAGATCAGGCATCTACTTTAACTCATTTAGGAAGACATGCCTTTGATGAAAGATTGGCTCAATTGAAATTATCAGGTTATTTTGCATATTTAGAAGAAGAATATGAAACTATTGTATATGTATGTGATACTCCATTAAAATCAAATTGGACTTCAACTTGTATTTCTCAAGGTGATTGTATTTTATTACTTGCCGATGCTGAAGATGATGAAGTAGCAACTGGTGTAGGTGATTATGAAAGATTATTAATGAAATTTAAGACTACAGCTAGAACAGATTTATGTTTAATGCATCCTGAAAAATATGTGGTACCTGGTTCAACTAGTATTTGGTTAAAGAATAGATTATGGGTTCAAGGTCATCATCATATTCAAATGTCAATTCCTAAACAATCACTGAAACAAACTGATTCTAAACGTCCTAATATCATTAGTGATTTGGCTGCAAAAATTAGTAGTAAAACTAATCCAAGTATTAAATTAAGTTTTGAGAATGTTAAAACTCGAGCTATATCATCTCTTGTCAAATTAAATGCCTTTTCAAGACATGATGAAAAAGTTGTTCAAAATCATAAAAATGATTTCTTAAGATTAGCAAGAATCTTATCTAATGAAGGCGTAGGTTTAGTATTAGGAGGTGGTGGTTCACGAGGGATTTCTCATGTTGGAGTTGTTACTGCATTAGAAAGACATGGTATTCCAATTGATATTATAGGTGGTACATCAATTGGATCATTTGTTGGTGGTCTTTATGCTAAAGAATATAATATTGTATCAATCTATGGTTGGTCAAAGAAATTTTGTAAAAGAGTTGCATCACTTTGGAGATCACTTTTTGATTTAACTTATCCTGTAACATCTTATATTACTGGTTATGAATTTAATAGAGGGATTTGGAAAGTATTTGGATTTACAGAAATTGAAGATTTTTGGATTAAATATTTTTGTAATTCCACTAACTTAACCAATTCAACTATGGATATTCATGAGACAGGATATCTGTGGAGATTTATTCGAGCATCTATGTCTTTAGCAGGACTTTTACCTCCTATTGCATATAAAGGATGTATGTTAATGGATGGTGGATATCTTGATAATCTACCAGTTCTGGAAATGAAGAAGAAAGGTGCAAAATATATTTTTGCAGTGGATGTAGGATCAGTAGATGATAAATCTCCTATGGATTATGGAGATACATTATCAGGATTATGGGTTATCTTTAATAGATGGAATCCATTCTCCAAACATCCTAATGTTCCAACCATGACAGATATTCAATTAAGATTAGCATATGTAGCTAGTGTTAATGCTTTAGAACTTGCTAAGAAAACTCCTGGTGTCATTTATTTAAGACCTCCTATTGATGGATATGCTACTTTAGATTTTGGTAAATTCGATGAGATTTATCATGTTGGACTTTCTTATGCTGATAAACTCATTACTTCTTGGGAACAATCAGGTAAAATGCCTCCTATAGCAGGTATGGTTGATACTGATGATACTGATAATAATGATCATAAACGAGTTAGATACAGACGGAATTCTATATAAAAGATTTTATATGTAAGTTATTTATTTCTTCTGTTGCAGCAATTTTTTTGCACCCTGAAAAATAAAAATAAAAATTAACAAGATAGAAAAAAAATAATAATTAAAAAATAAAAATGAAAAATTCAATTAGTTAACTCCATCGGGAAATCAGCCAAGTCTGATACCATAAATGTATATAGTATGATCAATATACGACAGGCACGATGGTGGAATGTCGTAGGGCGAATAAGTCATCCTTATTCGTCAACCAGAATATGGTCACGACGTTATCTATCCAATTCCAGTTCAGTTAATAAAACTACTAGCTTGAATTATGATCCATCATTGAAAGGAGATTTCATTAACTTTGGAATATTACCATTTTTACAAGGAAACTTAAATAGAGTATTGTTACCGGACTTTGAAGCTAAGGCTTTTCGACCGGAATATAATGCGGGACCTAGTGATGAACAGATGAAGATGTTAGCTGTACTTAATTCCAATATAAGTCTTATATTAAAGGGTAATTATCAAACTGGTAAATCCTTAGGATTATTAACTTATGTTATAAATAGAGCATTAATTAGAGTTCCTAATTATGCCGCATTAAAATCAAAACAAGGTATTGAATCTATAATAATATTACCGTCAGATGAATTAATTGAAGAATATCGTCAGAATGCTTTATTATTATTAGATGGAAGTCCGGAAGATTGTGCACCCAATGAACTTATACCAGAAAATGTAAATGCTAATAAAATTGAATATAATATTACCAGGAGACCCCTTAATATTAAATTTGTTTATTCTTCTCATGACGATAATCTTAATTTTAAAAGTGTTCAAACCGGTTCTGTTGATAAATCTATGGCTCCACAAATTCTTGTAACTAAATTTGATTATTTATATAAGATGATTAAGAATGATGAAACTAATGATTTGAAAACAGTAGAATTTATTGGTGTTGATGAATTTGATTATTACTTAAAAGTTACAGATTTAGGAAATGATACTATTATTGACAAAGTAGGAGTTAAAGAAAGATGTAGAAATCTACTCGAATTTACAGTTAAAAAGATTCAAGCACTTTCATTAGAAAATTTCAAGCATACTTTAAATCAAAACGAATCCAACTTAAGAAGATCCCGTTCTTCTGACAAGCGCAAGGATCATAATGTGGTGTATAAACCATTACAATTTTGTTTTTTAAGTCATGCTGAACATCCCCATAAATTAATGCTCAATATGAAAGATGCTACAAAGTTCAATAAGGAATCCGCTGATATTGAAGATGCTAATACCAACGAGCAACTATTGGATTCGTTAGATATTCAGAAAGCATTTATTGAGAAAATGATTCGATTCAACAATGAACAAAGATTAACAAGAGAGAAAGAAAGATCTTTGGTGTTTATTGAAGAAGGGTTCCTGTACCCAAAGAACAACCGTATAACTGAAGAAGAAGTAGTAGTAGAAGCAGAAGAAGAAGAAAGTATAGATAAAAAGAAACATAAAATTAAAGATGGAAAAATAGAAGCTTACTTCATTTCCTTAGAACCTCAATATCAAAAGGGGAATAAACATGCCCGTTGTCATATCATTAGAGATATAGATGTTGAGAAAAATAAACCTATCAATCGACAAATACTTAAACTCATGGATGATCATATAGAAGTTGCACAGAATGCCTCTAAGAAACTTAAGGTATTTGAAAGAGACTTATTGAAATTCATGATGATAGACAATGATCAAACTTCAGCTATGACTGAATGGATAAGAGATTTTGTTTATTTATATCGTTTGAAATATGGTAAAGAGCGTAACTTAGTTATAGTTTTACCATCTAATACAAAGGTTCAAGCAATGATAAAAGAGCTTAATGAGAAGAAAGACGTTGAAAATTCATTTAGTGAGCTTTTTGAAATGGATCTGGTAAGTCCAATAAATTTAATGAGAGGGAAAGTTGGTACTAATTATATAGCTACTGCTCCTCAATTATTGGGTATTAATATTCATGGAATGTCTGATATTGCAATCATGGATTTTAAGTCACTCATACCTCAAACTGCCTTTATGGGATTATCGGAAAATATAGAAACTATTAATGGTATTACTGATCCGTATGGTGATTTACTATCATTTTATTTAAGTAGATTATTAATATCACCTTCGTCTAAGAAAAAGAGAATCTTTTTCAATGTGGGATCTAAACCAGGTTTAGGTTTAAATGATCAAGAGTATCAATTTAATCTTACCCGTTTAGGATTAATGCTTGCCTATAATAATATGTGGAATCTTATTGAAATTAAAAAGTTTAATGATCCATCAAGATCAATACCAAATGAAAAGAAGAATTTGAAAAAGATACCTAAACGATTTAGAGATTATCTTAGTGCAACCAATCCTCCTGAAGATTCTTTACTGTATAATATGACTGAAGATCAATTTAGTAAAATTCGAGGAGCTGTAATACGAGCAATAAGAGATAAATCTAAGAAAGGAATTCTAAATAATTCTAAATGATTCTAAATGATTCTAAATGATTCTAAATGATTCTAAATGATTCTAAATGATTCTAAATAATTTAAATTAATGAAACAAAAATTTGTACATAGTTATAGAAATATGTTTATTGATATATATACAAGAAATATATTATTCATTCATTCATTGTCTGATAAGATCGTGATGATGGAGCTAATATATCAGTACTACTATAAAATTTATCAAGTTTAGATTGACCACCAGATTTAATTACTGTCAAACTATCATAAAATCTAATCACTCGAGGATGGGCAATAATTTTTGATCTATCATAATTAAGAACTTGAAGTCCCTCTCTTGATACTGCTCTTGATAATGCTACATAAGCTTGACCCTTTTCAAATACTCTTTTTAAATCTACTTTAACTTTCGGTAAAGTTTGACCTTGAGATTTATGAATTGATAATGACCAAGCTAATATTAAAGGTATTTGAACTCTTGAAGCTAATACTACATCTTTATCATCTTCAACTTTCCATTCTTCAGGATCTACTACTACAGTACGTGTATCAATACCATTAGCTAATAAGAATTTAACTAATGGAAGCTTTTTCCCATTCGCATCACTATCTTCAAGAGCTTTAGCAGCAAATTGTCTCTCAATTTCTTGTTTTCTTTCTCGATTTAGTATATCTTCTGTTGATAAATTAGAAATATCTGATGAACTTAAATGATCGAATATATAATCAGATTCTCCTTGCTCATTTTCAGGATTACCATTTTTATATTTTAAATAAGTATCTCGATCCACAAAATCTATAACTTGTCCTAAAGAACCATTTACAATATCTGAATCAAGATTTTTAATACACATAACTTGAGCATTCTTTTTAAGTCTTAATTCTTCAGGAGCTAAAAAATTTTGTAATAAAGATTGTCGTATTCTAGGTTCTGCCAGACCTCCATCTGTTGAATTAAATTTTAATGTTTCACCAGGAAGTTTATTTAGACGAAAATCATTAGCATTATCAACTTCTCTTCTAGTAGCAAAGATTTCTGCTGGAACTATTCCAGCAGGACATATAAGTTCTCGATTTAATTTTCGAAATTCTTTACTAGTATCTTCAGAAACTTTCCCATCTCTTAATTCATTTAACATTTCTATAAATTTTTGATCTCCCTTTTGTCTATAGACTTCTGTTAATACAATTGTTTCTTCAATACTCGATTGCCAAGCATAAGAATCAAAGGCAAAAGAAATTTCTTTCCTTTCAATTAATCTATTATTTTCATCTCTTTGTTGTTTAACAACAGGAGGTAATTGATAAAAATCTCCACAAACAACAAGTTGTATACCACCAAATGGTTTATTATTATCTCTTACTTTCCGAGCAATTGAATCTAATTTATCAAAAAATTCTCCATCAACCATTGAAATTTCATCTATAATAAGTACTTTAGCAGATCTCCATTTATACATGGCAGTTTTATTCTTTCTTACTCGATCTATTAATTTTGATACTGGAGAATCTCCTAATCCAACTCCAGCAAAACTATGTAGAGTTGTTCCACCTATATTACAAGCAGCTAAACCGGTTGAAGCAGTAACATAAACTCCTTCAGAAAATTTATTTTTTAATTCTTTTATAATAACTCTTAATAAAACAGATTTACCTGTACCTGCTGAACCAGTATAAAATAATGGGATTCCTTCAAGAACTTTATTTAATATATATTCTTGTTCTGATGAAAGAATCATTGGTTTAACTGTCTTTATAATCAGCAGAGAATCATCTTCTTGATATACGGTTGGTCTTTGAGTAGAAAATAGTATTTTATGATTTGGTATAGATTTAGGTTTTGAATTTAGTGGTTTAGTATTAGTGGAATTGGAATTGGAATTGGTTAAAGTAGAAAAGGTTCTCATTTGATGAGCAACTTTTGATTTTATTGGACTACTTGTTCGACTACCCATTTGATCAAATGGAACTATCCTTACGGGACTCGAACCGTTGAAGTCAGTTAGTGAAGGTGGTAATATAGTATCATCATTATTTTCAACCTTTGCATGTTTCCATCCTGTATGTATATCAGAACTTGGTTGACGCTTTAATAATTTATTGATATTTTTTATATTAGTTTGATTTGGTTTTTTCATCATTAATTGATCAGCAGCTCTTAAAATTTCTACATCATCATCATCATCACCAAAATCAAATGAATCTAATTTTTGAGATAATTTAACATCTTGTCGCCTAATTGAATTATGTTTAATATCTATAATTTCCAGTTCTGATTCAAAATCAGAATCAAAATCAATTATATCTAAGATAGGATCTCGTGATTGTCTGGATTGTACTTTAGTACTTCCATCTTCATGAGACAAAGTCATGAAAATTTTATGATATTTATGATTCTTTTTTGAGTTATTGATATTAATATTGAATGTTGTGAAACTTTTTGTAGTTGTAAATTTAAAAGTATATGTATTAATCCAATTTGGGGGTACTTGACGGATGCCCAAATATTTAATAGTATGCATGCAATATGGTTATGTATAGTGAGTTTGAAACTCTAACGGGAAATTTTTGGAAATTTTGGCTTAATTTTGCCTAATAGGTCGTGTTCAAGATGTTTTTCAGTCAAATCTCTAAAGGTTTCTTCGCACTAGTATTGTTTGTTTATCAATATTTGGTGATATATCTGTGGTGACTTGGGATGCTTTGACGCGACTGGTACAGAATTAATTTTCTCACTTAGACTACCGTATTCAGCCTAACTCCGTAGATACTAAATTAGTAGTGTAATTGCTATATTATAATTAGTATTGATAGTATACATTATAATTAGTATTGATAGTATATATTATACTATGCAATACTATACTATACTGTACTATGTTACAATATGTTATACTATACTATACCACACTATACTATAGTCTACTACTTCTTCACTTATTACTATACTATATAGTATACTACTATACATACCACACTATAGTATACTACTATACTATACTACTATAATATACTGTACTATGTTACACTATACTATGTTATACTACTCTATACTATACTACTATACTACTATACTACTATACTATTCTTATACTATCGCGCAGGATGGTTGGCTCCAATAGCCCAACCTAATCCTGAAACAAAAAGATTAGACAATTTTTCACTGGCTTGATTAGTCGTTGTAGTAGCATCCGTAATAATTTCATTAGCAAGTGATCCAATATTTTCTTTAACATCATTTAAACTACGTAAATGATTAGTAGATTGAAATGTCTTTAATTCAGCCACTCTATTATCATCAAAATATTCTTGTAATTGTTCATTAATTCTTTCCCATTGATTAATAATAACTTTACTATTATCAGCCATTGTATCTAAATGACAAGTAAATTCAAGAGTACGTGAAAGTATTTGTCTTTGTTTAAGCCAAATTTCAATTTTTTCTCCTTGTTTCTTTTCATTAAGTTCATCTTCATACCAATTTGGTGAAATATATTTACCTACTTGATAAAATGTTAACCAAATATCATTTAAATTACTATTATTTTCTTGATAATGATTTAATAATTCAATACATTGATTATAAGCAAATTGAAAATTATTATCAATTAATGCTGATTCAATACAAGCAGATTTTAATTTATTAAAATAATATGTCGAATTTTCATTATCATTATTAATATCAAAATATAATAATAAATCATTTAAAATTCGATATAATTTTTCAAATGCTAAATATGATTTTGGATTTTGTTCAAGAATTATATTAATTAATTTAATAGGAGTTAATCCATCATTATCTGTTGAATTATTATTAGATCCTCCAAAATTATGAATTAATTGATAAGGTGTAAATGGTAAATTTTTTTCAACAGAAATCTTAAAATTCTTCATATTATTCATGGCTCTAAATAAATGTTTAAATCGAATAATTAATTTTTGATTAATTTCATTTAATTGAGACAGTTTTGAAATATTATCAAATAATTCAAGACATTTAGCTGCATCATGAAGTTTACCAATTTTATCATTAATATTTGATGCATTATTAATTGAATCCCAAAATTTTTCTAATACTAAATTAAAATAGGTATTAGAATCAATTTCTTTTGCAAATGTTGATTCAACAATATCAAAAAAATTAGAGAATAATAATCTTCCAATAATTATATTCTTAATTTTTATTATATCTTGAGGTTCAGTAACAAAATTTATCATAAATAAATTAACTGATTTTAATAATTGAGGTAAATTTATAGAATTAATACCACTAAATATAAGAAGAATTTCTTTCTCCTTAATAGATATTGGTTGAATTGAATATTTAAAATGTAAATATTTCGAAATAGTTAATTTATTTATAGGATATAATTCTTGACATGTAATTAAAATTTGTTTTAAAAATGCTATTGAACTTCCATCTGCTTCAATAAATAAATTTCTTATAGGATTTTCAGGAGATTTAATAAATTCTCCAAATGAATCAAAATGAGGTAATTCTGTAAAATTGAATTGTATATCAATAGGTGATTTTTCGGTTGTTATTAATTGTAATGTATTAGATATATCATCATATATTTTTGTTTGTTCAATTGATGATACTTTCCTTTCATCATCTTCATAATATAGAGCATAATAATAACATGAAGCTAAGTAATATTCAATTATTTGTTTAATACCATCAATATCTGTATGAGGAAGCAGAATTATTGCATGAATAGCATGCTTCCAGATACTATACTTTTTAGATGGTGGACCTTGAGTTATTAATTGTGGATTGAAAAATAACCATACAAGTAATGGATCATAATCATTATTATGATAAGTAATTAATGGTAATATTACATGAGTTAACCAATTTTCTATAGATATTTTATCATTTACAAATGAATGTTGAGATAAAGGAGCTATTAAATGATTAAATTGATCAGCTAAATTATCAATCTTAAGGAATTCTTGTAATAATATGATATTAGAATCATTAGATATTGAAGCATAATTATCCCAATAATATGAATACAGTTGAATTAATCCATTATACCATAATTTAAATGGTTGAAAGTCATATAATGATCTAAATAAACTTTGAAAATTTGAAATATCATTATATAAACTAGATAATTTTAATACTTTGGCCTTAACAAATGTAAATAAGATTTCTTCAGGTGAATCAATTTTTGGATTTATTGTAAAGAAATATTGATTTATTTGTGCAGAAGTATCTAATAAAGTATCTGAAGCAGTCTTAAGGATTGAATTATTATTTTGAGGTATTGTAATGGACTCTTTATTAGATATCCAATTAACTAACTCTTCAAGATCATTAAATTTATCAGATGAATCATGATCATGATCATGATCCTTTTCCTTTTCTTCAATTACTAATGTTTGAACAAATTTAACTACTGAATCTAATGAATAAGTAGTTGGATCAGCATAAATAAGAATTAAATCAAGTATATGATTTATAGTTGTATATTGTAATGATAATGATGATTCTCCATATAAATGGATTCGAAGATTATTAAGAATTTCAATGACTTCTTCTGCTGAAATTCCTGAACTTAATACCAGAACTATACATACATATGTGGTAGCATCCACTATCTCATAATTAGTTGCTATATCACTCATATTGTCATTTAATTGTATTGTTTAATGAATATTTTGCTATACTTGTCATAGTTAATAATATAATGCTTAAAGTGCGTCGTGGATTTTTTTTCAACCATCACTATTACCACAAATAGTTTTTATTAGTGAGTTACATACTTAAGTTGCACTATCAACAATAAATATAAATATAAATATAAATATAAATAGTATGGCTACTTACGTGAATACTAAACAACAACGTTTAATTGATGAGTTCACATCTCATCATGTTAAGTTTCATGATAAAATTACTCAGGAATATCTGAAACTTAGACAACAAATATTTCAATTAACTAGTAATATAGTAAAAGAATTAAAGGAGACTCAAATTATAAGTAATACTAATATAATTAAATATCATGAAGTTAAATTTGAATTGGATAGAACTCTTGAAGCATATAAAAGTCATATAAATGATTTAAATCAAATCTTATCTATAAATTTACATGTTAAAAGTCCATATCAAGAAGAAATAGATCAAGAGAATCAACAATTAATTGAACGTAAACTTATTTTACAAAAGGAAATTAAAGATATTCAACAGGTTCAGGAACCTCGATTGAATAAGATGAAATTATTAGTTAAGAGTTTTGATTTAAATTCTAAATCTTCAACTTCTAAAGCATTTATACCATTAAGAAAAGATATTGAAGAAACAGAAAGTACAGCAATAGATCCAAATAGTTTAAAATTTACTAGACAAGATATTCAAGGTATATTTAAAGATGTATTTGCAGAATTTACTATATTAAAAGATGAAAATCCTCAATTTGAAGATTTTGATTTGAATTATCATATTGATGAACAATTAAAGAATAGTAGAATATTTCGTAAATCTGATAATAAAGATGATCCTGAAAATCCTTACCATTATTATAATTTACATAGATCTTCATTACAACAATTGGATATTAATACTACCATTGAAGAATATGATAAATTAATTAAAAGTACAGTCAATAGTATTGAACAGCTCGTTAAACAAGGAGTCGAAACCAAAGATAATTGGTATAAGAATGCTCAAAAACTTGAAATTGTTAGAGAAACATTACAAGCACTTGAAGATGAAGATATTCATATGGAAGAATAAAACTAAACCGTAAGTATAAATATATATATTATTAATATACATAAGAAGTAAACGATGTGTATACACTATAGTACAATGATGAATTATGATTTATGAATTTTGAATAATGACTCTATACATGAAATTAACTGGTTTGGTTAATCTATTCAGTAGATGGACTCACCAATATAACAGAATCACCTCTAACAAATACCATTTCTGTCTTTTTGACTATTGGTTCAACATCCTTCTCTGAAAATATAAATTCTTGTGCTTCACTTAATACCATATTACAATGGGAATCATACCCTTGAAGTCTACCTTTCATTTCTCTAGCTCCTCTTAATTTAACCAACACAAACTCATCTAATTGGAAACGAATTAAGTCAAGTGGTTCCTGCAGTTGTTGTTCTGTTCTTAAAGTCGACATTTCTCTATGATATTTATTATCTTAACCTTTTTACTTTGATAATAATCTCTTGCAATAGTTAAAGTATTCACCACTGTGAAAATGTTCTGGAGGATGTCGCCAAACTCACTCAAAAGAAAATGTCGGTGACGATTATGTCGCATTTCGAAATTTTTTTTGGTCGTACAATTTTTTTTTCATATTCTTCAATATTTACTAAGATTAAACTTAACTACACAACTGAAAGTTTTACTAGTCACAAGAATGAGTATACGTACGAGTTCAAGACTCTTTCTGAGTACTATTAGCAGATCCAAACCTGTTTCTATAGTAAATGGTAAATCAAAACCATTGAAGTTTACCGACTTAAAGACCATTAAATTAAGAGAACCAATTATACCAACAAAAAAGAATTTTGATGTTTCTTCAGAACATCCTTTATGGCAATTTTTTGCAAATGGAAGTAATACTACTGAATCTACACGTTCCTTTAATGATATGTCTCATGGACGTGAATGGAGTTTAGCTGAATTACGTCGGAAATCATTTGAAGATTTACATAAATTATGGTATATAGTCTTGAAAGAACGTAATGTTTTAGCAAGAGAAGCAGTAGCTGTTAATGGACCATATGAAAGATCAAGAAATGCACAATTTGATGCAGTTGATCAAAAGCTTCTTAATACTCATAAGAGAATAAAAGAAGTCTTATTAGAAAGACAAGTAGCATATGAAAGAGTTCAAACTTTAGGTGATAAACAACAAGAATATCTTAATGATTTTGCTGAAAGATATATAAATTCTAGTAATGATGATATATCATTATTTAATGAAAAATTGGTCAGACTTCAATATGCATTCTTTGGTATTCAACCTAGTCTAGATGATTATGATTTAAAGGAAGATATTAATGTTAAATTTGTTGAAGGTATAAATTATATTGCCAATTTAAAGATTTCTAGATACTTCAAACAAAATCCAGAAGCAAAAGAATCATTTGGTGAATTAAATGGAGTTAAAGAAGAATTACCTTTCTTATTATATGATATTGATACAGCTATTCAACAAGTTAAAGACTTAAGAGCTTCTAATGAATCAATTAAATTAGATAAGATCGATGTCTTACCATACCTTAAATCAACCATTAGTACTTTCATTGAAAATGAACAACAATGATGTAATCTCTTTCTGCATATAGACACAACCTTTCCATACTGTACATATATAAATATTATAAATATTATCTATATTATCTATAAATTGATAGTAAAGTTGTAATCTTTATAGAAAGGTTAAACAATTGCGACATTTCCAATTTTTTTTTCACAGTTATGGCACGACACGCGACATCTCCTCCAGTAACAATTTTTACCAATCATAATTTGCGGACTTAATATCAACGTCCTTCAATACAAATTAACAATAAATATAATTATAAAGATGGGAGGTAGAATACATGGATTTTTAGGAGGAGTTCTTCTAACCTCGGCATTTGCTTATTACACAGGAGAATATTTCAAGAAGAATTCTACATTTATATCGCATCAACTTCAAATTAGTGATAATGTTATAAACAATAGAATATTAACTAATAAAGATTTATTAAAGGAACTTGAACCAAAAAGTTCACATATTAGTACTACTGATCGTGTGAATTTTTCAGAAACTTCCAAACATATTTGGAATGATGAAATCATTACTATGGTTAATTGGGTATATTCAATAAATTGGTATCAATGGGGTCTTACTGTAGATAAGAAATTCAATCAATTACTTGATAAAGTTGCCTTTAGTGGAGTTGAAAAGAAATAGAGGATCATCACTGTATATTATTAGGACTTATTTAAGTAGCATTTATTATTATAAAACTTTGCATACAAAACTATACTATACTGTAGTGTATATTGTACTTTAATTATAATGTAAGATTCTAATCAACTTTATGAGCTTCAGATTCATTATCTCTCTTTTTAAAAAAAGTAATTATGTCACGATATACTACCCAATTGGCAATAGGAGCTATAATCAGAAAGAAGAAACTAATAATGATTTGAAAAAATGACCAATTACGAGGTAATACTCCTAAAACAGAACATCCTAATACCCAACCAACAAAATCAGTTGTAACTGTATCATAACCTTTACTTAATTGATCAATTATTAAGTCAGCACATTCTTCTCCTGGAATTGCTACACTTGAACCTTCAATTGTTTTAGTAATTTCTGGTTTAGTCTTTTGTTCTTCTTCATAACCTTCACTTAAGAAATTACCAGGGAATATACATGAAATTCTAAAATTGTATGGACCTAATTCTTGACGAAGTATTATAGATAAAGATTGAATAGCCGCTTTTAATGGAGCATATTGAGCATAACCAATGAATGGATAAAAACTTACTACTGAAGAAAATAATATAATATGTCTTGACTTAAATTGATCACGAGATATTTCAGAATTAGAAGCTAAAATTTGTTTAAATCCAGTATGAATTGAATTAACTGCAGTATTATAATTAATTAAAATTCCATTCTCAATATCTTTACCAGTTAAATCATTAAATAATTTAGGAATTGATGAACCAGCACAAGTAAAAATAAAATCAGGATCAAGTTTTCTATTAATTATAATTTCTTCCCATAATTTAATTGCTTCATCATATTTAGAAACATCACTTGATACATAAGAAATATGACAAGCTTCAGATTCTCCAACAGTTTTTTTAATTCTTTCAACTTGTGCTTGTAATTTACTTGTAGTTCTAGCTACTAATACAACCGAACAATTACGATGATATAATTTAAGCGCTAAATCTGCACCCACACCTTGTGAAGCTCCGATAATTACGGCCACTTTACCTTCTGGTTTGAAATGACTCTTTGAGAAATACATAACTCCGAAATTATATAGACTAATATAGTTTAAGTTGTATTATTAGATGTTTACCTATTGGAGATATCTGAAAATTGTCAATAGTGCACGCCAATTTTTATTTGCACCTACCTTTCTACACATTTGTTTAAAGTACTATGTTACTATGTGATATTAATGCTATGTACAGTAGAGGACATATCTACAAGACCTTTATGAATGACTAACTGACTATTTGGAGTCAGCTAAAAATGGTGAAGGTGGAAGTTCAATTTCCTTTTTAAATCTTGGTTTAGTTGGATGCTTCTTTGATACCAATACTTTTCCAACGAGATCACCACCATAATATTCAAGATTAGTTGGAATATTCTTTATTTGTTCTTCTATTTCTGGATCGAGAAATTCCTTCAGTTCAGTATCATATTTAAAGAATTCACGTTTACAAGTTTCAACTGCATTTCTAAATTCTTCTTCACCATTTTCTCTTTCTTTAGTTAATTTCTTAACATTATGACTAGTAAGATCATCTAATGGTAAATTTTGTAATTCTAATCTTGCTACGACTTTAGCTTGATACCAGAACTTAAATTCAATTGGAGAATCCACTAATTCAATTAAAGCCATTGGAGCTTTATCATCTCCTAATCTTCTTTCAAGTTTTATTATACGAGTAAATCCAGTTTTTCTATTAGGATATCTTTTTGATAATTCATTTATAATTTTACTTCCAACTTCTTCTTTATCGGGAGGTTGTAAATATCTAAAGGCTTTATTAATTGCTAATCTATCTTTTATATCAAGTGGTTTCTCTTTAGCATTAAATGCTCTTTCATTTTCTAAAGCTTCATGTAAAAACTTTTCGATCTTGGCTTGAGCTTTCATAGCCTTAGATTTGGTAGTTATTATAGCTTCATTACGAATCAAATTTGCACACAAATTTTTCATCATCAGTTTATTATGACGAGCCACTTGTGCGTGGAACTTTTGTAATGAAGGCATTATGTATTATATTACTGTATCAGCTCTTAGTCTTCTAACTATGGTTAATTATTGTTCAAAAGGCTCTTAAGATTTTCTTTGATATTTCTGAAAATTTTTAGCGACATTTTAATTACAGATTTACTTTGTACTGTGTCGCAAAAAAAACATCAAATCCGCGACATCACCATATAAATTTTTATAATGTACACTTGTATGTATTATTTGTATGATTATGAATATACAAAGAGTAAAGAAGATAATTTTAGATTAAAAGTCAAGACATTCGAAATCTAGATTATTTTTTAGGTTGACTTAAAAGTTAATAGTTTTATCAAAAGTACCTAAAGCAGCTTCTTTGAAAGCTTCAGATAAGGTTGGATGAGCATGACAAGTTCTGGCGATATCTTCAGTTGAAGCACCATATTCTAAAGCTAAACCAGCTTCAGCAATCATTTCACCAGCATTTGGACCAATGATATGAACCCCTAAAACTCTTTGAGTTTCAGCATCAGCAATAAATTTAACAAATCCATCAGTATCTAAATTAGTTTTGGCTCTTGAATTAGCAATGAATGGGAATTTACCAACCTTATATTTAATACCTTGTTCCTTTAATTGTTCTTCATTAAGACCAACCCAAGCAACTTCTGGATGAGTATACATGACAGATGGAATATTTCCATAATTAACATGTCCATGACCATGTTTAATATATTCAGCAGCAGCAATACCTTCTTCTTCAGCTTTATGAGCCAACATTGGTCCAAAAGTAACATCACCAATGACTCTGATATGTTCATGTTTAGTTCTATATTGATCATCAATAATTAATCTACCTCTGTTATCAACTTCTAAACCAGCAGCTTCTAAGTTTAAACCTTCAGTATATGGTCTTCTACCAATAGCAACTAATAATACATCAGCTTCTAATTCTTCCTTTTTACCTGATTTAACATTTTCAACTTCAATTTTAACAACTTCACCATCTCTTACACCAGAAGTAACTTTAGTACCTAATTTAAAGTTTAAACCTTGTTTAGCTAATAATTTTTGAGATTGTTTAGCAACTTCAGCATCCATACCAGCACCAATAGCTGGAGAAAATTCAATGACAGTAACTTCAGTACCTAATCTAGAATAGACAGAAGCCATTTCTAAACCAATAATACCACCACCAATAATTGATAATCTCTTTGGAATTTCTTTTAAAGATAAAATACCAGTTGAAGTAACAATTCTTTCTTCATCTATTTCAATTCCTGGGAATGGAGTTGGTTCAGAACCAGTGGCAACAATGAAATGATCAGCTTCAATATCTTGTTCTTCACCACCATCAATTGGTTTAACTTTAAGATTCTTTTCATCAACAAATGAACCTTCACCTTTAATATAAGTAACTTTATTTTTTTTAAATAATAATTCAATACCACCAGTTAAAGTTTTAACAGCTTTATCTTTGGCTTCAATTAATTTTGGGAAATCAACAGAAACTTCACCATTTATAGCAATACCTCTATGAGCTGAATCATGTTTAATTTGATGATATAAATGAGAATTATTTAAAAGAGATTTAGATGGAATACATCCAACATTAAGACATGTACCACCTAAAGCACCTCTCTTTTCAACACAAGCAGTATTAAAACCTAATTGAGCAGCTTTAATAGCAGCAACATAACCACCTGGTCCACCACCAATAACAACGACATCATATTTAGTTGATGCAAATCTAACAAATTGAGAAAATTTGTTAGAGTTAAGTTTATGAGATACTGAGCTTCTTAACATTTTTAATTCCAGATCAAATCCAACTATCAATTATCTATAATCTTTAAATGATCTTGATCTAATCTTGACAATTGATAATTCAACAATTGAACAATTAGTGGTTTCTTAAGGAACAATTTTTCTCAGTCCCGGCCAATAAAAAAATCGCAATGCTTCACTCTTGTCCGGTTTGAGCGTGGGCAATGTACAGGTTCGCACAATAAATTCCGAGACTAACGAGATTAGCACTTATTTATATAGTGCTTTATATTTGGTTTTGCTACTGTATATATATATGTATATATTTATATAATAAATGGGGTGATATATGGGGTCATGTATATCAGTAGAGTCGATAAGATAGATTATGTAAGAAAGACTGAATAGAAGCAAATAGAGTCAAATGGATTTGTATAGATATCCATGGCAAATAGTCAGTGTATGACTAGTAACATTAATAAGCCAGTCAGCTGCAAAATATTAGTACCAGTTAAGAGCATATCAGTTCCTGAATCCTACGGGGTTTGGTCATTCTGATTCCATGTATGTTTATTCTTTACTGTACTTGCTGATTTCTGGAGTCTTATAAGCGAAAATGGTACTAACTCCGCCATAGTATAGAATCCTCTTTCGATTATAATTTTATTAGTGCTTACGTTACCTCCGGTGTCACAGTGAATTTTCCAGTACTCATTCCACGAATAGGACTATATCATATATCCACATCTCCCTTCTGCTGTATTCCCTTATAGAATCTATGATGGTACATAGTATCACTGTATAACTGTACTGTATATGTGCTGGTTGCTCGCTCCGGATGCAAAACACTTTTATTAGCGGCATTCTTTTGTCGACTTACCACCCCGGAGTGAATTTGTCAGTTTGCAACCATACAAAAGAGACGAAAACAGAAATAAATGGATGAGTCAAAAAAACGTAAAATATAGAAAATGATTGTTTCCATGCAGATTAAAGTAGTCTGGTATTGCTCATAATAATGCCTGGTTACTGGTTTCTGTATTCGGAGTCAAAAATGAACTCCGAGATACATACTAAAAGTGTGAGACTAGCGCAACAATTTAGATAGCCTCACATGACAATCTTTATATAATGGTTTATTGGTGGCTATTCGAGCTGGTAGACAACAATGCACAATTGAATATTCCTCTAGAGAAGCCACCTACTAAGCATTTATAGCAATAATAAGCACCCGACTGGTCCAGTTGCGAAACGCGCGGCTCATCACGCCGACAACGCAAATTGCAACCGAACCTCATCAGTTGGCTCTAACACATGATAGAATGTCCAAATTAATAGTATATAACTAGTATAGATAGTATATATTATATAACCGTCTATTCAACTAACATATCCACTCAATTCTATAACGTTAGATCTGTCACCTTCAAATAAATAATTACTAATGAAATCATCACGTGCCTCGATGACCTGGACCTCCAAAAGCAACCTCATCGTCGCACCGCCAACCTGCAAACTCCGGGGAGGGCGGGCGCACCAGTAGCCAATTAAATAACAGAATTATGTCATAGAAGCTACGCCGAACACCACCAATAATCTTCATATCTTATAATTGAACCTCATAATAAAGCCCCATATACCCGTAATTCAATTTAAACTCTAATTATACCATCTCTAAATGACACCACCGAAAAACTCCCGGCCAAGTCCCCCGCCCATAAATTGCAAGCATTCCCTGTCCTGTACATAACCTCGGAGAGACATTTTGTCGTTTTTTTCCAACGAGTACAGTTGGTGGATTTCGGGCAGTCTGTTAAATGGATGGAGGCCAGCTAAAATTTGAAAAAAAAGTTCAACGCAACCGATTTCTTTCACCAATTGTTTGTTAATTAGTTAGTTGTTGATTTATTCACAGAACTCGTATTAGTTTAACCGTTTTAGATTATTGTGTTGGTCTTTTGTTTTACCTATTCCCGGACTTATTCGTTTATATTGCGCATTTTCCATATTCAATATTCATAACTAATCATAAATCATGTTGTCATCAAGTCTTAGATCTTCAGTAAAACGTGTTCCAAGAGCTACGTCTACTATTGCCAAATGTATCAGAACTTCAGCTGTGCTTTCTAGATCAATACATTCCACTTCTACTAATGCATCATTATTCTCCTCCACCTCATCATTAACTTCAACCTCATCTACATCCATGATCTCTTTTAAGAGAATGGCTTCTCAATCTGTTAAAGTACCAGATATGGCTGAATCTATTACTGAAGGTACTTTATCCGCTTGGGTTAAGAATGTCGGTGATTATGTTAATGTTGATGAAACTATTGCAACTATTGAAACTGATAAAATTGATGTTGAAGTCAATTCTCCAGTTTCAGGTACTATTACTGAACTTTTAGTAGAGGCTGATACTACCGTTGAAGTTGGTCAAGAAATTGCTAAAATTGAAGAAGGTGCAGCTCCAGAAGGTTCTGCTGCTCCAGCCAAGGAAGAACCAAAGGCTGCTGAACCAAAAGCTGCTGAACCAAAAGCTGAATCTACTCCTGCTCCAGCTGCTAAGGCTCCTACTCCAGCTGCCCCAGCTGCCCCAGCTGCTCCAAAGAAGGCTGAACCAGCTAAGGAAGCTCCAAAATCTGAATCTGCCACTTTCACCAACTTCTCTAGACATGAAGAAAGAGTCAAAATGAACAGAATGAGATTAAGAATTGCCGAACGTCTTAAGGAATCACAAAACACTGCTGCATCATTAACTACCTTCAATGAAGTCGATATGACCAATTTAATGGAAATGAGAAAGTTATACAAGGATGAATTCTTAGAAAAGACCGGTATAAAATTAGGTTTCATGGGTGCTTTTGCCAAGGCTTCTTGTTTAGCTGCTAAAGATATTCCAGCTGTAAATGCCTCTATTGAAAACAATGATACTTTGGTCTTTAGAGATTACACTGATATTTCTATTGCTGTTGCTACTCCAAAGGGTTTAGTCACTCCAGTCATTAGAAATGCTGAATCCTTATCCATTTTAGGAGTTGAAAAGGAAATTTCTGCATTAGGTAAGAAAGCCAGAGATGGTAAATTAACCTTAGAAGATATGACTGGTGGTACTTTCACTATTTCTAATGGTGGAGTTTTCGGTTCTCTTTACGGTACTCCAATCATTAACTTACCACAAACTGCCGTTTTAGGTTTACATGGTGTTAAGCAAAGACCTGTTACTGTTAATGGTCAAATCGTATCTAGACCAATGATGTACTTAGCATTAACTTATGATCACAGAGTCTTAGATGGTAGAGAAGCCGTCACTTTCTTGAAAACCATTAAAGAATTAATTGAAGATCCAAGAAAGATGTTATTATTGGAATAGATTATTTCACCAATAGAATGAACATAAAATTTAGTTTAACTAACTATTTTAATATATCTTATTATCGTTTTATACTATTTTTCATCATATATATCGCTTTCATTTTTATAAATGTATATTTTAACAACTCTGTTTATTAACGGTCTTTCAAATTCACGTATTGGATTATTTATTCAAAATGAGTTCTTTTTTAAATGTATTGTATTGTGTTGTACTTGCAACATAAGAGTTGCAGGGAGACGATGATGCACGAGTGGGTTAATGGGATACACTGGGTGGCTATGATGACGATATGGTCTACTGGTCAATATTGCGATACTTCAGCGAATATTGATTTGATTACAAGTCAATTCAAGTAATGCACAGCTAAAGCAAGGGACCTTAACTTGATAGGTTATTGTCGTAGAATGGATCACTCAAGCACTTGGCACGCAAACATCAGAGTATGCCTTAATGGTATAAGCGGCTGTACTTGGTCGATCCATGTTCATATCAAATAGCAATAGAAAATATGAAAAGATATTAGAAAATAAAATATAAAATAAAAAAAATACATTAAAATAAATAAATGAAGCCTTTAATTGTTAAAAGTTTCTCTCAATTGCTTTTTGCAATTATATAAACACTATATGTATATAATTTTATAGTACATATAATTGCAAAAAAAAATTTAAAGTAATTAAAATAACATAATTAAAAATTAAAACAATAATAAAAGAAGAGGAAAGAAACGAAGAAACGAAACAAAACAAAACTAAATGAAATGAAAAAGAAAGAAGGAAGGAAGGAAGGAAATAGAATTAATATTGAGTTAAAAAGTATAATAAAGAGGAAGAAGAGGAAAAGGAGAGAGAAAGAAGATAAAAAGGGAGTGTAAAGGATCTCCGGTTTATAGTCAGTAATGGCTTAGATAGAGTAATAATAGAGATAGATGTAATACAATTTTACTAAGTTGTATAGCGTTTATTAAACATCAGGCAATAAGAGTATACAACATAATATAGGGATCAATTAGTGGTTAATACGGAAATGATAAACTAACTAAATCGGTGCACAGTACGTAATGACGTAAGCGATTCCAACGGGAGCAGTACAAGTACCGATAACTATCCTAATAATCCAGTTCATCTGCCGGAGCGACGTGCGTCTCAACTAAGGTGTTTCCTTGATAGGTAAATAATGTAGTAAATGTGAAATACTATTAGAGAACACTGATCGGCTAGGCAAATAATTAGGGAATAGTTATAATCCACATCGCTCGAAAAAGAAAAAGAACCCGCCTAGACCTGAGGCAGCTCCTTGATTCACTACACGAGGTCAATGAGATTATAATTTAGACTGCATCATAAGGAAATTACTTAGGTGCGGATATGTCTTATCTAAATGTAAAAAATTTGAGATGTGCTGTAAGCCTACCATAAGCACGATGTGCGTATAACTAATGATGTATGTTGCGCTAGTAATTTCTGCAAATCATTTTTCCACAATATATATGGGTGTAAATTTACGAGAGAAAGGCTTTCATGATGTTCAAAAATAAAAAATAATCGTACGCTTCCTGTCAAAAATTAAATTTTGCGATTATTTTTAATGTAAATGAATTTTTTCTTTGATTTTCAGTAGAGCAAACGTGTAAATTTTTACATCAACAATATTTCTTTAGAGATGAGATCATATTAGGATATTATCAATCCAATTCAGTAATCTATTAGTTCAAAAATTAATTTTATAAAATAATTATTAGTGTGATTAAGTAAATCTTAAACTAAGTTGATTTAATTCTCCATATATTAATAAATAATAAAACAGAAAATAATTTAATGTGCTTCTATATATCTTGTGGATAATATAAGTACAACTAAAGACGTGACACCTGGTGAGACCAAATTTAGAACAATATAAGTACGGAAATCAATCTTACTTGTCGTATAACTTCTTTGCCTTAATTTCCCCAAATCTTGGTATTGTTATTGTCTTTTCCTTAATTGAACAGGAAATAAGTGAGAACGGTCAAATTTATCATTCGACCACCAAAAGTAGTAAGTTAATTCAACAATTGACGTATTTTTAACCGATATCTCGATAAATTGAGTTTGTAACATTCAATCAACTTTCCTATTTAGGCCGAATCATAAATTGCTTTCCTGTACATAGTCTCGACGCAGAAGAAAATTAGATTTGTTTATATCTTACCTAATCAGGAAATATGTAAAAAATATCGAAAATTTTTCGCATTCAAACTAATTCCACTTTGGCTACTGTTTCCCCCTAAGATATAGTGGGAAACTCAATTAGATTAGCGATTGAGTGTGGGAATCATTCTTGATTTTGGTCCCATCCTGGGGCCGTCTGTAAATCATTGTAATTGTATAGTTTATAACTTTTCTTTTAGTAATTTCTTCTCTTTATTATCACCATCTTTTTATCGTAATAACTAATACATTCCTTTATATATTCAAAACATTTAATTTCGTCTACTCAATTCTCCTCACAGCCATTCCAAGTAGATCAAAGAACAATAACCAATTAATTTCAAACTGGTCAAGACACAAATTCCAAATCGTTTAATTTCATTCCATTTGTTTTGATTTAAATTGAATTGACAGCCTGGTTTTGTTTTGATCCTCCGTTCAATTCAGTTTATATATACTTGTTTCAGCTCTGATTAACTTCCTTCAACTGTCTATACTGGTCTCAACTTTATCATGGATAACTTTGATAATTGGAATGACGTAGCAACTTCGTCAAAACCAGTGGCAATGAATCCTGAAGGTCTTGATCAATATTTATCAGGTTATGATGAAATTGATAATTTATTCAATGAAACATTAAATGGTTTACAAGATTTGGATGTTCCTTCTGGTTTCGTCACCAATTCTGTACTTAATTCTTCTGTTAATATGCAATTCAGTCACTCTGCTTCTCATTCTATAAATCATACTGCTAAACATAGCAGGAAGATTTCGGGTACAGCAATTTTTGGATTTAATGATCATAATCGTGAATTATCTATATCTGGATTAACAAGTGATTTATATAAATCAATAAAGCCATCTATGGATTTAGGTAAATCTATTTCTCCTGGAGAATTATTAAAATCTTTAGGAGTCAACAATGATACAATCAATCAACATGAAATCATGTATAATAATGATAGTGTTCAACAACAATTAGATGTAGGTAATCAATTTCTTATTAATGAAGAAGATGAGTATGAAGAACATAATAAACCACAACAGCAACAGACTAAAAAGAATGACTATATTGTTACTAATAATAATCCTACATCCTACAAATTCCCACCATCTGCTCCATCGTCTCCTCCACAACAACCACAAGCACAATACAACACAAGAATGGGTCAAAGTAATAGCAATACCACTAACAATAATAACAATAACAATAATGGCCAATATCAATGGGTTAATAATTACTCAGCCAAATATCTCCAAGACATCAATAATTCAGGTATAAGGCAACAGCAAATGAACTATGTTGATGATATAGAGCCTTTGTTAGATAATAATAATGCCAATAATAATTTGAGAACTCCATCTCCTCCTCAACTGTCATCAACTCCATCTCATTCCAATAAGTCTTCTCCTAACAAGCCTGCAATGAAATATGTTCCTATTCCTATCCAACAACCTGTTGTTTATCGTAGACAACCATCTCCCCAGAGACTTCCACAACACATGCAACAACAACAACAGATACTGCCCCAGCATCAACAGGTTAGAATGCTGCCAATGTCTAGGCAACCCATACGTCAACAGCATCAGCAGCATCAGCAGCAGCAGCAGCAGCAGCAACAACAACAACAACAACCAATAAGCATAAATCATAACAACGCTTTCTTACCTCCACCATCACCACCTACTCTTTCACATGGATCTCCAGAATGGCAATCGTCTCCTGAACCTCGATCTCCATCTCCATCACCAAACAGATCCATCCGTAGTTATGATAGTAACAAATTCTCATCTCCTATTCATCAACAACTAAGAAATGCCAATGTCAACTTCCATACTCCTCAATTCTTCTCGGAAGGAGGTTATGTGGATCCACAACAGCAACAGCATCAACATCATCAACATCAACAGCAACAACTACAACAACAACAACAACAAATCCACCAAGCATCTTCACATTTCCAACTTCAGTCATCACCAATATATGTACAACATCCTCAACAAATGAATAGCTCACCTCTTAGAGCTTCACCTATTAAATACTACAGTTCACCAATAAGAAATCAAACTTATGCTACAGCAGATGATACCATTGAAGATTCTAATGCTACCATTACTCAATTAACTCCCTTAAAACATAATTTACCACCCCAAACACCAAGTAATAATAGTAAAACTTCTACATTAGAATGGAGTCCAATCATTCTGCCTGGAGCTAGTGTAAGTTCATTAGATTTAAAGAAACAAATTCAACAATCTTCACCACGTAAAAGAATAAAGAAAACATCACTTTTACCACCTGGAGAATTAGATCAATATTGGATAGGACCTGATGAAAATAAAGTATTTACATGTACTTATAAGAATTGTGGAAAGAAATTTACTAGAAGATATAATGTAAGATCACATATTCAAACTCATTTAAGTGATAGACCATTTTCATGTTCTTATTGTCCTAAACGATTTGTTAGACAACATGATTTAAATAGGCATGTTAAGGGACATTTAGAAGCTAGACATTGTCAATGTCCATGTGGTAAAGAATTTGCTAGATTAGATGCTTTAAAGAAGCATAGAGAAAGAAATATATGTGTTGGAGGAATAGTTGGTTGTGTAAGTAAACCAACTAAAAGGCTTATGAAACCAGTCAATATTAATCCTAGTACTAGTCAAGATGATCATGATAAGGAAGAAGAAGAAGAACAAGAACAAGATCATGATCATGATCAAGAAGATGAAGAAGAAGATGATGACTTCTTAGCTGATACTGACGATATTCTCTTACCCATAGATATGGACACTAGTCACAGTGAAGTCATGTCGTGACAGGCACAACACACGCACCACAAATACTGAGACATTTCATTCACTTCATAATCATTAATTAATTTCAGTTCTACTACCTCACTCCCATTTTCGGTTTATTATTATTACTTTTTAATCACTATTATTATTATTATTATTATTATTATTATTATTATTATTATTATTATTTTTACTACTACTATTATTTTTACTACTACCACTCTCATTTTCACTACTATTATTATCATTCTTATTCTGTTTTTATTATTCTTTTTATATTCTTAAAAGTTGCTTAGTTAGTGCTTTCAATAGATAACTGTTATATTAACATATGCTATATATATATATATACTATTCCATAAGTACATCTTCACCTTCACCAATTGCCATCTCTCGAGCATTAGCTTCTTCTTCTTTATGAATTTTTAAATGTTGATTAAGATTATCGGATCTACTAAATTTTTTATGACATATTTCACATACATAAGGTTTTTCAAATGTATGTAATGATCGGAAATGTCTCTTTAAATGTTCTTGTCGTTTAAATCTTCTGGAACAATAATTACATAAGAAAATTTTCGATTGATCATTAATATCTGCTTCTTTATTTTCTTTACGACCTCTAGTTCTATTTTTTGAATTAATTATACTAGTTGGGAATATTTGTGTGTTTGCAGGTAAATCTAATGATTTTAAATCTACTTCAACTTCTACCCCCTTTTGAATCATTGTAGCTACTATAGGATTACTATTTGTAGTAGTAATTGAACTATTTTCATCATTATCAAATTGATCATCTCGAAGTAATGAACTAACTGTTTCATCTCTATCATTAGATGATGTACTAATTCTCGTAGTTGAATTAGTATTACTATGAGTATTATTAAGTTGATTATTATTATTGTTGTTATTGTTATTGTTATTGTTATTATATTCCATAGTCTTCCTCTTTAATAATTTAGCTCCAAGAATTCGTTTGGATGCATTGGCAAGTGAAGAAGTTGTAGTTGACACATCAGCTTCTTGTTCAGAATTTTGAGTATAATTATAATTATAATTCCCATGAAATGAAGAACCATTAGATGATGATAAACTAATATTATTCCCACTAGCATTATCACTTTTAATATTACAACTATTATTAGAATTAGCATTAGAATTTAATTTAATATTAAATATAGATGATTTTTCAGTACTTGGATTAGATCCATCATTTCCCAGAGGATTTTCAGATTTAATCTTAGTTTTAGTACTATTACTACTACCAAGATTAAAACTTAATAAATTCGATTTCTCTTCTTCTGATTTAATTTTAACTTTCTTAGTGGTCTTGGATTTCTTTTTACCAACATTTTCAAATAATGCTGCATAATCTGGTTCTTGAGTTGCTAAAAATTGAGTTTGAGATTGTGATAATGATTGAATTTGAGATTGTTGTTGATGAGAATTATTCAGTGATGTATATTCTAAAGCATTATTAGCTGTTGAAGTGGTTCTACTACTAACCGTAGAAGATTCAACTGCTCCATTATTTAAATTAACTCCATTATTTTCTAAACTTTCTCGTTCTTCCATTAAAAGTTTTGATTCAAAATCATCAATTGCAATTGGAACATTTCTTTGTTCTTGTTGTTTACTTGGAGTTTTAAATCTAGTAAATAAACTCATTTTAGATCTTTTGGCCGTTTTCTTAACATCGGATCCATTAATTGGATCATAATCTACATCTTCTTTACCAGGACTTAACATAAAATAATCATCATTATTGGAGTTGATTGTGGCATCAAATGCATCTGATTCAAGATATTCTAGACCTCCTCCATTCACTTGGAAAGTATTGTTGTTATTGTTATTGTTATTGTTATTGTTATTATTGTTATTGAGATTATTGAGATTGGTAGAATTGATATTGAAAGTGCCATTGTTGGTGGTGGTGGTGGTGGGAGGAGGTGAACCAGCATTAAATTGAATTGGATTATTTGATTTAGTAGTTGAACTTGAACTTTTGAATATACTTCGTATTAAATGTCTTGAAGTTGGTGGAGGTGATGATATATAAGAATGAGGTTGAGTTAAAGGAGGTGATGAATTATCCATTGGAGGTGATCTTTGATTATTTCTATCACTCATAAATGGTAAAATATTTGTAATTGAATTAGTAAAACTACTATATCTTGTACCTGAACTTGGATTGCGTCTTCCATTAGCAGATACAGATGAAGGACTTTGATTTTCTACAAGTTTATTATTGAATAAATCAAATGATGGTCGATGAGGATTCCCCGTAGGAGGTTGTTCTAAAGAATTTCTTGATAAATATTGATGAGCAGAAAAAAATGATGGTTGAGTTGAATGGACTGAATTTACTGAAGGAGTTAATGATGTGGTTGTAGTTAATGGTGATAAATCATTAAGAAATTTATTAGGATTATTATTATTATTATTATTATTGTTGTTGTTATTGTTGGATACACTCAAATGGGAATACTGTTGAGATGGTAAAGTTATAGTTCCATTAGCAGTTCCAGTAGGAGTATGCACAGCTAAATTATTGGAATAATAACTATCAATAGAATCCTTTCTAATTCTATTAATTTCTTGATGAATTTCATCGAATATAATACTTTCAGAATTAGCATTTAAAGTAGTACTTGGATTAATATGGGCCGATGGAAAACTTGCTAAGGTAGGGACATTACTATTCATAAAGATGGCATTTCCATTAGGGAATTGATTAATGTTTTGAACTGATGAGACTCGCGAATTATTATCAAGAGGACTTGTTGATGAAGTCTCTTTAGATGCTGGAGGAGTTCTATTGGAAACAGTTGATGGTGGAACAGTTAAAAGATTTGATTTAGGATTGGATATAGAATTTCTAGTAATATTATTGTTAGCAGTATTACTATTATTAATACTCTTAAATAAAGATTCAGCATCCTGACTTTGAAAATTCTGATCATAATATGTATTGGAGTCCAGCTCTATTGTAAATTGAGGAGATTCATCAAGATCCATATAATCAGTAATACTTGTACGGAATGCTCCTGGCATATTCAATATTTTATTGGCTGTTTGAGGCAGATCCATCATATCATTTGTAAAGTATTGATTTAAACCTGTTGAATAATAATCTTGATTATTATTATTATCATTATTATTAGTCATATTGGTGGTATTATTATTATTATTATTATTATTGGTAGTATTGGAGACTATATTAAATTGATCAGGAGATTCGAGATTAGTTAATAAGTTATTAGGTTTAAATATGACATTAGTATCACCTGAACTAAAAGTATTAGGAATTCCAAAGAGTAATCCAGTATAATCATCATTTGAAGTTTTATTTGAATTTGAAAATGGAGCAGTACCATTGACAATACCTCGGGTGGTAATTGTCGACATATCATCTTGAAGACTTGGCTGTAGTGATAATTGAATAGGACTATCACTATGACTTCCCATTGGTCCTAGATACTCATTAGTACCAGATTCAAACTGGTCTAGATCCCCATCGTTCTCCATGGTTAGTGGTCGGATTTGAAAACAGATTAGTATGGAAGAATCGGAATCAACTCTACACTCGGTCAACCAAGTTTTCAAATAATTATTAGTGATGTATAAGCAGCTAGAGGTCTAATAGTTATTAAGTGGTGGTATGACCAGTGCTGGTAGTTAAGTAATTAACAGTTTCCACGTCTGGTAGGGACACACTTTGCTGTGTTGTGCTGCGGTCACCTGATGGCAATATACAGGAAACAATCTCTCTCCTCCCCCCCACTAATTGTTAATGATTGTATTATTAGTTGTTAATAAAATATACTTAATGATAATATATAGTGGTATATACTATGAGTATCACAGTCTACAGTATTGGTAGAGCAATAGCTCTGTCTACACGGAAACAACCAATATTGGTATAGGTATATTAAATTTTAAATAGTTGTTCTAGAAATGCACAGTCTATATAATTTATAAATAGTAAGTTAATACTTTATCCGTATGGATCCTGGCTAGCCGATCTCCACTAATTATTTCAAACATCCGTTACTGAGTCTGCCCTATGACCTTTCTCAGCCTCTCCAACTGGCTTGTACACTGTGTTGCTCACTCTTGTCTGCACACCTCCGGCGGAGCTAGGAGGTAGGCGCTACGAGGAGGAGAACCGCAGCCCCAGATCGACTCGCCTACGGAGAAAAAAGGTGACACCGCCCTTTTCCCAGCCCAGAGGGTCCCCAGTTACTTTATTAATTGATTGATTAGATGGAAATATTTATTGATATGGCTAGATTCTCCTGGACTTTTTAAGTATATTTAGTATGAACATCTTGAACAGGTACTTAACGAATTTTGTTCAAAATTTGCGTGTTAAACAGTCTTGGGCTACGGTTTCTCTCGCGCTAGAAAAAAGGGTGGTTAAATTAACTAGCCACTACTAATTCTACTGGCCACTAATTTTACTAGCCACTAATCCCAGGGCAAACTTATGTTAGTAAATACTCAATTTGGATTATTGATGAAAAAGAGCTATATGTTAGTATTGTTTTGAGTTCAGAACGGCGAATGAAGCATAATAGTTTGGTTTTCTTTTCATTTCATCTCTCAATGGGATACTAATTCATCACTTTATACAATATAAAACACAGCTGTTAATCAATTATCTCTTTTGATATATTTGTCTTCATTTGTAGGCACATACTCTCTTACTATACTAGAAACTAATCATAATCTTCTATTTCTTGGTTAGGTAATATATATGAGTCTTTGAAGTGGCTAGTCTTCCTCTATTTATATGCTACAAAATATAATTCCTGTCATAAAAGTCCTCACCTATACCGAAAATACTCTATTTGAAACCATATACATGTATGGCCTCTGTATTTCAGTATGTTGCTACTGTTAAGGTCTGTTCTAATAATAATTATGAGTCATAATTTTTATTTCGCAGCCAAATTAACTTTTATAGTGTTTTGCCAAGAAAGTGGCGCTACGACCCCTCTTTTTAACTTAACTTTAATCTATATTATTACATACTACTACATATATATGCTTTAAAGCTTCTAGTTATTACGGGAATTGTCTTGATCTTCATTGTCTGATTGACTTCCACCAGATGGTACTCTCTGTCTCATTTCGACATTACTATCAGTAAAAGGATTGGTAAGTTGAGACTGTATATCAGTAGCAATATCTTCTTCTTCTTCATTCTGCCCCTCATATTCAATGCCTTCGGGTATAGAATATTCATTATGACTCATAACATCAGGATTGGCAACCCTTAATATAGATCTTCTTTTGGAACTAACCAATACTTGTACATCCATTTTATTATATGCAGAAGCATCCGATTCATGACTAGTAATTGATCGAGAATCTTGAATATATTGCTGTTTTTGTTGTTTGTAATATTCTTCTTCTTCTGGAACTTCAGATAAATCTACTTCGTCCATTTCATCTGTTATTTCATATGATGGTATTAATTGCTCCGAACTTGTCAATCTTAAAGACATTAATTTAGGATTACTTCTCTTTTTCTTTAATCTCATATATTCTCCACTACCAGTATTATTTCTACTTATAAGAACAGGCATTGAAGGAGCTTTTTCAAGTGTGGTGGAAGAAGAATTATTATTATAATTACTGAAGGATAATGATTTCCTTAATTTTGAAACAGTTGATTTTGTCAAACTATTAGTATGTGGTTGATTTAAAGTATTGTTATTATAGATTATTGGTACTGGATTATTTGGTTGAACGTGAATCTCATCATTAGAACCATTAATATCAGGATTTAAAGTCTCATTTGATGCAAGATAACTATTTCTAACATTTTGATAATGTTGTTGATGATTATTTGGATATTGACCCTGGGAAAGATGTTGTCTATCAAACTCTTCTCTTTTCTTCATCCATGAATCAAAAGAAGCAGCATCTAAGGTGGAGTTAGAGTCAATTGATGATTTTCTTCTAGCTTTCTCATTCATTAACATTGATTCATGATCAGTACCACTGCCAAAGAATGGAGCTGGAATGCTATAATTCAATGTATTCATATCATCCTCATCTTGTTGTTGTTTTCTTTTTCTTAAAATATAGAATGTAACACAAGCAGCGATTAAAAGGGCAATTATAGGGACAAGTATTCCAATGACAATCTTTGTAGTCTTTCCTGACGTCGAACTTGATGATTTACTTGATGTTCCAGAGCTACTGGTTCCAGAATTTACATTTGTCTTAAGGTTATTGATAGGAGCAAAGGATGAAGCATCATATAAACTAATAGTATATTGATCAGAATCATCTCTTTTACCAGAAGAAGTGGTGGAAGTAGTAGTAGAATTAATAACAACCAATGTGTTAAAAATGGTTGCAGCTCCTAAAATTTCATCATAATTCAAAGTAACATTTATAGTTGTATTCCAAACCCAATCATTTGAGCTAGTTATTAATTTTGCAAAAATGGGAGTTGAATCAGATTCAAGTAATTGCCCACCCACAAGTAAAATTTCATTAACTTGGAAATCATTTTCAAAGGTATTTGCTGAATCATTATTTAATTGATTAAAAATTGGTAATGCCAAAGCAAACTTTCTTGAATTAACTAATGTTCCACTTCCATCATTACTGATTTGCTGAAATGACCAACCAGAATTAAAATTCCATGTAGCTAATTGATACATGTTTAACCAACCTTGACTATTTTGACCTCCAATAACTAATTGTGTTTGAGGATTAGGAGCAATTAAATTTGTGGCTCCATAGAATGGTTGTGGTTTGGTAGATGTGGTTATATTTGATACAGTTTCTTGATCAAAATCAAACGATATTAATCTTGATGAGACTTGATCATTTTCTGAACAAATACCTCCATAAATATAGATAGTTGAATTTTCAAGTGGAGAATTTAAAATAGTTGGATATTCATAAAATGAACCATCATTAACACCATTGAACTCGATGTTTTCTATCACATCTATCCATTGACCATTATCAAACTTTATAAATTTAATTAGTCCATTTCCACATTTATCTATATTAGAACCTATGGAAGAAATATTAGAAGTTAATCCATATAATTGTTCATTAAATATGAATAATGTTGAATTAAGAGGTGGTGAAGCTAAAGTATCAATTGGTTGATTATTTAATAGATTTATATCAGAAGGACTTTGCTTATCGAATCCACTGATTGAAAAGTTCAAACTAACTAAATCATTATTTTTAAGATGTAAGTATATTTTACCATCTGTAAATGAATATAAAGTATTCCAATTTGGATTCAAATCTGTAGCCCATACCAATGATGGTAGGAATACATATAACAATAGTATATTATATAATAACTTCATATTTGTCTTTTCTTTAATAGTTATGAAAAGAATTAGATATTTATTAATAAGATATTATAAGTTTAATAAATTTAATAAATTAACCCCTATGAAACTTCCCATCTCTCACTACTTAAGACACCTGGCTCCAACCATTCCATGTTACGTAAGATATTAAGTTCACTAAATTCAATGACTGGCTTAATTGACCTCATTTAGGATATATTGAATATGTTTACAAATATGCCCAAACGGGAAATTCGTGGTCATAATCATAACAGCCACAAAAGATGAAGAGATCTGACTCCCAATGCTGCATTTGACTGCTGAGTGCATTAGCTAGCATTATTTTCTCAACCCAACCTTATCGTAGTTAGACTAACTATAAGGCTTATTATTCCCAATAAATGATTGACCATTACCTCATTAATGTCTGCGATGTTTTGCAGACGGTTGTGAAAAAAAAATTACTGTCGCTGCATCCTGACAGAAAATTCGCAGTGGGGAATCTCACTACCCAAAAAGAGCCAACCAGCTAAAAGCCTCTACCAGTAAAAGCTTGTAGGTTTAGAAGCACGACATCGCGAAATGTCGAGGTATATATATGAAGATGTCCAGACACATGGAGACACGGAGACAAATAAGACACAGACCATATTAAGATGTCCGTTTAAGGGATGTAATACGCGATTGATCAAACTATCCAATGGAAATCCGCAAGTCAAATTATCATCTGAATCATCATCATCCAATGTCAAAATGATTATATTGCAAGAAATAGATAGGGATCCAGTTGATGCTAAATTTTCTTCAGAATTTTATCAAGTTAATGATGTTTGGGATTTTGATAATGTAGGAGTATCCAGGCCGTCTGATGAATTACAACGTGAATTAATTCATATTAATGATGATCCATCGATTCAATTTAAAATTGAACGTGTATTGATTTGTAGTGAATGTGATAAGGGTCCTATTGGATTAGCAGGATTTGAAGCAAATGATCCTAATAAAGATGTCAAGAACTTGAAGTACTTTTTAAGTTGTAGAAGTGTTTTACACGAAGTCAAAGATATATGAAATGTATATAATTTGTATATTTATACACAACAAAATAACATAATATATAACAAAAACTATATCATTTTAAGAGTAAGAGATTCATAAATGGGACGTTAAATAATAATAATTAAAAAAAATGTTTAATAAACGTAATCTAAAGCTTTGCCTTTGGTTGTAATGATTTAGCAATTTGTAAACCAATGTATCTAGACATAGCCATAGTTGAAATCATTGGATTTGCACCACTAGCAGTTGGCATTACACTAGAATCAGCTACAAAAACATTATTGCATTCATATAATCTTCCTTGTAAATCAAGAGCTCCATCACGAGGTCCCTTACCAGAAATACGACATGAACTCATTTGATGAGCTGATCCATATGTACATCCAAAATAATCTAATGGAATCTTTTCGGCAGCTTTCCTCCAATCAACATATTCTTTATCAGTAATAGATCTTTCATGTTTTGGTTTATCAGATTTAAATTTAGGCATCCAAGCTTGAGGGAATATGATTTCTTTGGCACCTTCAATGTATAATAAATCACTGGCAGTTAAGAAGGATTTTTGAAGAGCATTACGATCATATTTATTAATTTCATAATCAATTTCAATAGCTTCAGGTCTTCTTGGATCAACACTTACACTACCACTACTTTTATCTCTAGTAATAAGTAATATAAGTACTCTATGATTATATCTTAATAAATCTTTTCTCATTTCATCACTAGATATCCAAGGTGTAAAAGTAGCTTGCAAAAATGGAGTATTAAGAAGGGTTTCAATTTTTGCTCCATGAGCTTCACCATCAAGATCATCAACTTCAGTACATACACTAGTCATAATTGGATGAGCAAATGAATTGACTTTTTCATCAAAATCTCCAATTACTCCTGTAACTGGATGTAATTTCAAATTCTTTCCAATATTTCTATTTCTGAAACCTGATTGTTTTAAAACCAAAGGAGTATTTAAGGCTCCAGCACTAACAACTATCTTTTTAGGACCTGTAATTTTAAATGTTACTCCAGTACTAATATCTTCACAAAGTACTCCAGTAGCTTTACCATTACTATGTAAGATCTGTAAAACTCTAACTTCATCCATAAATTTACTACCTTTAGAAGAAGCTTCTCTAAACCAACAATTTACTGACCCTTGTTTGGCTCCAAATTTACAACCTGTATGACAAAATCCACATTTATGACTTTCATGGAGTCCAGTATTTTGAGGAATCTCTTTAGAAGCATATCCCAATTTCTTACCACCTTCTAAAAGAACTTTATTACTTAAAGAATGATCAATATTATTGGCATTGCATCCCATTTTTTGTAAAACATAGTCTTGACATTTATCATAGTCTTCTGAAGCAGCCCATTCCAATTTATGGTTATCATACCATTCTTTTCTAACTTTGAAAGGAGTCTTAAGTGAAGCTGACCAATTAATAGTAGATCCTCCACCAAAAGTTGAACCTGCTAGAATAAACATTTGTTGATTCGAAGTTGCCAAGACTCCACGATTTTGAAATAAGTTATCATATCCATCTAAATCATTAAAGTTTAATTCTTCATTAGTATAATATTTACCCTTTTCTAATACTAAAGATTTAAATCCTTGTTCAGCTAATGTTTGAACAACAACTCCTGCACCAGATCCCGATCCAATAACAATAGCATCAATGTCGGGCAAGTATAACTCATGTCCAACTTGTTTGGGTTTTTCCAACATGGTATACTTAAAATCATCAATTACTTGAGTATCATATAATTTCTCTTTTAGTTCAATTGAAGGATAATCTGTAAATTCATTATGCAAGTCAGAAGCTAATTTAACAAAACTACTAATCGAAAATGCTTCAATTACTTTAAATAATCGTCTTTTTTGAGCAATAGGAGAATCTCTCCAACTCTTAAGTAAATTTTCTCGTTCCTCTATAGACATATCACGAACTAAAGTCAAAGAGTTTGTTAAAGCTGGAGCAACTATTCTCGAATCTAAAGCTTTAGTTAACATAACAAACAGTTGAGTAGCAGGAATAGGATTACTATTTATGGTTCTCTTTGCAAGTTCAAAAAATTTAGGAAATTGAGATGGTCTACCATAAGTTTTAATATATTGTTCAAGTTTTGCATCAGAAATATGATTTGGTACATAAGGTCTAATAATTTCTGGTGATGTTTCGTGAATCACAGCATCTGCCAAAGCTACAAGAATCTCGATATTTTCATCTTGAGCTTCTACATCGATAAGTGGAATCATCATGATGATGGTTTTGAATCTATAGTGTTGAATCTATAGGGTGAATCTATAGAGTGGTATGAGATTTTTGTGGGGTAATTTTCTTTTTTAGCCTTTTGCACTATGGGCTTCCTCGCTTAGCTCAAAGAAAGGAACTATGACAATATTTATATAATTCTAATTATTCAAAAGATTCTGAAGAAGAAATAGTTACTTTAATTAAATAAATAATCGTTTGATTATTTTGAGAACCGAATGATTTTTTAACGATCCCTTTCAATAATTATAATCATATGTAAGTCCGTCTACTCCTATCTTCAATAACCCCACTGTAGTTAAATTTTCACAGGGAATTGGTACCTAAATAATCTTTCGAGTAAGTTTTTTTCTGGTGTGTTCTAAAAGCCATCTTTTGTGCCCCTGTGATAATATATGACACAATTAGCAAAAGTGTAAGACTCCGATATAACCATTACCTAAATTGGTAATGTTGAGTTGCCTATGGAGATAAAACCCTGTGAGTAGTTTTCATTGTTCTTTTTATAGATTTATTACGAATTCGATTTTTCTTGTGGAACTGTATAGTTCCCTTCTATTTCTAATTAAGTAATTAAATCCAACTACATCATTAAATAGCAAATAGTCGCCCACTATGGGGAATATCACAACGGTCTTTTGATAGCGATTAATTATGTAACGTAAAATAGTTCAAAATTATGCGTTCGAATTTATTGACATTTCTTAAAGCTCCTTTCAATCCATCTAACCAACCATCAAAGGCTATATTTTCTCCAAACTTGTAACCAGGTGTTTTTGTTCTAATATTAATTAGTAAGAACATAACTAATGGTATAAGAGACACTTTCTGGTAAGATAATTTTGTTGTTGTTGGTTTGAGCTTTTAGTTGTAAAAGTTGCAAAATGCCTTTTTTAGGTGTGGAAAAAGCAAAAAGCTTTGTGGATTAAAAAACTCGAAAAATTTTTTTTGAGTGATAGAAGTATACATTCCAAAAGCTCTGTATGGATCATTTAATACAATATTCCAGTGATACATCAGACGAAGAGGAAGAACAGTTTGATTGTCATATAGTTGAGCTGCTGCACAAGAGGAAAGAAGAAGGCAACCAACAAAATAAATCTGAAGATCTCATTACTAAAGACCACCAAGAGCTTATCAATACATTAGTACCATATCTGCAAAACTATTCACAACATAAAATGAAGAAAGTAGGTGGATACTTATATATACCATGGAGACCACAATTGGTGACAATTTCTCAAATTAACCGAATGGCATTGAAAACTATTAAACAGATGCCATACTTGCGGGAAAACATGAAATTCAAAAGTACTAATGTATTATCAACAATAGGTTATCATATGAGTGCTCTGAATAATTTTTTAATTGATGCACTGAAAATAGATAACTTTCGAAATGACATACGATCATGCATCAGAGATATAGAGCTCGACGAACGATTACTTGGTTTTAATGTCCAAGAAGCTTTTGCTCAACAAAAGCTTCATTCCTTATTCTTTGATGATTCTCAGGTTCCTTCTCCTGCAAAATATATAAATTTGAAGTTTGAAAACAGATTCAAGTTGTATTTCAGTGATAGAACAAGTAAGCTCTTTATAGGATCAGAAATTGACAGTAAACATTATAATTCTGATTCATTGACACATACGATGAAAGAGTCACTTGAGACAATTATTAAACATTATGATGAAGATTATAAACCAAGAGAAAATTTGGAACTACATGTATCTTTTCAAGTTGGAGACCATTTAACTAGAGATATTAATAATCTTAGAGAAGAAGGAAAGTTTGATAAAGTCGAAAAGTTAATGAAAGAAACCCCTGTTCTTTTAGATGATATTATAGTTAATGTCAATGAACTAGTATTATTAATAGATAATGAAGAGTCAGAAGTATTCAAATTTAGTATATAGTTTAAATTTACTCATGTATATAAAGTAATTTACATAAAATTTCAAATTATAATAATTTAGATACGTCAACGGCATTAATAATCTAACATCTTATGAGGGTATGAATAATGAGCTAAGAGACAAGAAGAAATGTACAAAACATAAGTCAATGATCAATATACGATATCTAATATCTTATTTAGAGTTAGTATGAAACCCTCGTATAACACAAGAATCTTCATTATTATATACTTTAAACAACTACGCGCCTAAATTGAACTTTCCCCCTCCTTTGATCACACAAAATGCGACAAAAGATTTTGCCAATAGACCCGAAAAATCGCAAATTGTATAGAAATTGTTCGACCACATTCTCGTAACCAAAGCCAAACGTTTATTTAACTAAGCACAAAATATAAGTGATTAATTGAAGAATATTTCCTCTAGTTGAACCTAATCAAATGTCACTCAGAAAAAAGCAAAAGGATACAGAGAGACAATTGATTGATATTGTCAATTCTCGAGGTAATGATAATAAATGTGGAGAATGTGGTAGCCTTTATCCAACTTGGGCTAGTGTTAATTTAGGTATATTACTTTGTGGTAGATGTAGTTCAATTCATAAACGAATTTTAACTCCTAAAAATTTGAGTACTGTAAAATCATTAACTTTAGATTCATGGTCTCATGAACAAATTGATAATTTAAGAAGAATAGGTAATAAAAAGGCAAAAAGAAAATGGAATTCTAAAAAGATTCCATTTCCATATGATGGTGATAATGATGTTTCAGCTGTTGAACAATATATTAGAGAAAAATATGTTTTAGGAAAATTTAGAGATGATAATATTGAACATTCAGATTATGATGATAGAGCTAGTAGATATAGTAATGATAGTATTGAAGATAATGGACGTCGTTCATCTCGTACTAATCGAAGTCGTAGTGGAACTACAACTAGTGGGAGACTGAGATCTAATTCAAATGTAATACCCAGATTAAGTCATAGAAAGTTAACTTCTTTTGAATCTGGTCAATATGCTTCACAAGCTTCTAAAATATTAAGTTTTGGATATTCTAATAGAGATTTGATTGTTGAAAGTTTGATTTTAAGTAATGGTAGTATTGACGCTGCTTTAGACATTCTTGAACAAGATGCAAAAGTTAATCCTAATGAAGAAGAAAATCCTCCTGCTTTACCAAGAAGACCCTCATCAAATATTACTCCTACCTCTACAGCTCCTGCTGGGAATGCATCTGGTGTACCAACAGCCAGTAGTGGTACTGATGAATGGTGGAATGGAAATAATAACAGTGTCAATGGTGTTGTAGGTGCTAATGGAGGTCAACCTCAAATTTATCAATATACTGATCCTGTTACGGGACAAGTTAGTTATATTGATTCAAATGGACAACAATATCTCGATCCTACTAATCCTCAACATCAGCAACAAATACTATTCCAACAAAACCCACAATTAGTAGCTCAACAGACAAATAAAAATCAAATATTATCCTTATACAATCAACCCAATCAATTCACTACACCTGTGGCAGTACCGGTTCAGCCAGGTCAGCCAACACAACAACAGCAACAGCAGCCTCAGCAAGCTCAACAACCTCAGCAACAGCAAAACCAGCAGCAACCATTCCAACAACAACCAACACAACTTCCGGGTTATGCTCAAAATACGGGGTATTACCAATATGGTCAACCACAAGTTGGGATAGGTGCTGGTGCGGGTGCTGGAGTTGCTGTTCCACAATTCACCGGGTTTGCTCAGCCTCAACAACAGCAACAACAACAACAATTCAATCCATATGGTCAACCTCAAGCACCACCAAATCAACAATTTGGATGGCGGTAGAGATATTTTACATGCAGAGATCATAGTGGGGACATTAATTAGGTGTTTCTTGGGTAATGGATAAATGTTAAGTAATTTACAAGTAGATCACATAAACATAAACATTTCTTTAGCGTTCATCATTACTATTAAAATTTATAATGAAATCATAAAAATACACAAGATATATGCTAAACTCTTTAGACCATCGAATCAATTAATGATACGAGATATGATATTGCAATATTGAGTATCGCTCCGAGTAGATTGCCGATTTAAACACAAAAGTAAAACTTTTCTGGGGTAGCTAAGTAACCGAAAATTATTCTAAGCTCGCATTTAAACTGTATACATTCCCATACATACTAAGGGTAAATTATTTATGTTTCGGTGCTAAAATTATTATCCGCTCATGGTGGGGGAGTTTTTACAAGAATCTTTTTCCGTGACAAGCATTTTTAATATGTCAAGATTAAAGACTAGGACAATGATTAGGATTTTGACTGATTTGGAGCTTGAATAGATCAATAAAGAATTGAGAAATGAGAAGTGAGAAATGTTTTAATACTTTTACTCGTATACTAATGCGCAATATTGTTAATTTAATTAGAGGAACTTTTATTGTGTTGCATAGTTTGTTGGTATTTTCTATGTTGACCATAACATAAAATAGGGAATACCTCCGAACGGAATTTATACAGAAGGGGGAAGAGGACACATTGGATTAGAAAAATAGGAAAAATACGCGAAATCAGTTACGGAAAATGAATGATGGTAGTATAGTTCTGATGCGTATTTATCTGTAGGTGTAGATAAGGATGAAATCCATCCCTATTGTCTACAAATATGTGTAGTAGGGAGATAAGTTGACGAGACATAGGCATTACACACTCTAATGTGAAACTTATCTTTATTCGTGAAACGCATGACCTATCCGATTCTAGTATCTCTTTCATACAGTTCGTATCCAGGGAATACACATCCGCAAGCGTGGTATCTTTTCTTACATAACTCACACTGCGTGTACTTAATATTCTACGAGATTACTTAATTGTTTCGAAACATTTATCCTAATAGATTAAAAATATGAATGAAAAAAAAAGTGGAGACCATCATTAACAAACTAAAATAATCACTATTAATAGTATTTGACCGACAAAGAGGTCAGATGCAACTACGACAATACTAAAAAGTAATGTAATAGTTTTAGTTATCGCTAAGACTATCGCCGCTCTCTCTTACTTAATTCCTTCCATAATGCACCCTCCCCCACTTTTTCTGTTAATTACATCACATTACACAAACCCCTTTTATAATTATGAAAAGATTTATCTTAAATAATTGTCCGAAATCAAACTATTAACAAATATCAACAAAATTTTATGACTGATTTTATGAAGGGATCCGTCTTTTAACTGTAGAGATTTAGTAAATTTAGTAGAATTTTTTTATTTATTTCATTTGTTAATTGTATATATTCTTTACTAATATATTGACTTTGTGGTGATACAATAAGGTAATATTGCTTAACATTCTAATTTTGATAGAATTTATCCTCATATTAAATCAAGTTTAACAGATTCGCTTTATTTTTCATTTGTGTTTTTACCCCTCTACTCCACCTAGAAACTTTATTCATTCCTTTATTGGTTTTCATTTAGCCTTTTCGTTATCAATCGAATAAGTTACTGACAGTTAATCCCAACGATTTTTTTGCATCTTGAAAAAGTAATTATAAAAATAATATATAAACATAATTATTAAATCAAAATATAAAAATTTTAAAGAAATATAAATATATCATCAATTCACAGTTATCGTATCAATAATTTATATTTTCTTTAATTAATAATATTTTATCTTCATTCCTTGTTGTATTATTAAATTAACGATACCATGACTTTTTTATCAAAATTTAATTTGACAGATACTTCTCAAGAAGAAAAACATCAACAATATTATGTTACTACAGAAAATGATGAAGAAATAGAAGTAGCCATTCCAAATGAAATTTATAATTGGAGAATGGTTCTTGTTGCTATAACAGCTGCTTTTGCTGCAGTAATTATCGGGTATGATGCGGGTTTCATTGGTGGAACTGTTGCTCTTGCTTCCTTTCAAGAAGAATTTGGAATTGATAAAATGACTGCTGAAAAGGCATCTCTTATTTCTGCTAATATTGTATCTGTATTTCAAGCAGGTGCATTTTGGGGAGCAATTTTCTTTTATCCTGTTGGTGAATTAATAGGTAGAAAAGTAGGTTTAATTATTTCCGGATTTTTCTTAGTATTGGGGGCAGGTATCTCCTTAGAATCTAGTTCTTCTCATCATTTAGCATCCATCTATGCTGGTAGAGTCTTAACTGGTATTGGAGTGGGTGGTTGTTCTGGTCTTGCTCCAATTTATATTTCCGAGAGTTCTCCAACATTGATTAGAGGAAAATTGGTTGGAATGTGGGAAATTTCATGGCAAGTTGGTGGAGTTGTTGGTTATTGGATTAATTATGGAGTTTTACAACATATCCCTTCAACAAGAGCTAAACAATGGTTGATTCCATTTGCAATTCAATTGGTTCCTTCTGGTTTATTCTTTTTTGGTACTTTCTTCATTCCTGAATCCCCTCGTTATCTTGTATTCAGAAATAAATTAGATAAAGCAAAGACTAATTTATCATTTTTGAGAAATTTACCAGAAGATGACCCTTATCTTAATCATGAATTTGGTAATATTGTTAGAGATATTGAAGTTCATAAAGCAAAACTTGGATCTGATTCATTCTTTGCACCATTTAGAAAAGTGTTTTTCCAAAAGAAAATTGTTGTTCGTTTACTTTTATCGACTTCATTATTCGTAATGCAGAATGGTAGTGGTATCAATGCTATTACTTATTATTCTCCAACTGTTTTTAAATCTTTTGGTCTTGATGGTACAAATGCAGGTTTACAATCTACTGGTATTTTTGGTTTATTGAAAGCTTTTGCGTCCTTGGTTTGGTTATTTTACATTGTTGAAAGGTTTGGCCGTAAAACAGCTTTGGTTTGGTGTTCACTTCCATGTTCTATCTGTATGTGGTACATTGGTGCTTACATTAAAATTGATAATCCGGCTGCAAGAGTTGCTGCAGGTGATATAAAACAAAACGCTGGTGGTAGAGCTGCTCAAGCAATGCTTTATATTTGGACAATCTTTTACGGTATTAGTTGGAATGGTACTCCATGGGTCATTAATTCAGAAATATTCAGCCAAGAAATAAGGACTTTAACTCAAGCAATTAATGCTTGTTCCAATTGGTTCTGGGCTTTCGTAATGGGAAGATGGTCTGGTCAAGCTCTTAATGCCATTGGTTACAAGTTCTATTTTATTTTTGCTACTTGTATGGTGGTTTTCCCTGTAATTGTTTTCTTTTTGTATCCTGAAACTAAGGGAGTCCCATTAGAAGCTATTGATCACTTATTCTTTAAGGTTCCTGCTTGGAAATCAAGAGAATATGCTTTGGAACAATATAGAATTGAATATGAATCAAAATTGGCTGATTCAGCTGCTGCTCTTTTATCTGGTAAAGAAATTGATAACGAAAAGTATACTATCAGTGAAGAATCAGATGTAGGAGTAGTTGATAAAGGTCAATAGATTCTGTCGGTGTTTGAAGCGCTGCCAAATATTTGTGCCTATTGTCCACTAATTTATTTCTCTTTTTTAACTCTTAGTTTCTAATTATATATTATTAGTTTTAGTTATGCTGAATGATCCTTTTAGTTACAATTTTATTGTTGTATTGTATTGAGATTAACATTCTTCCATTCTCTGGGAAATCGGTGTTTGCACTCCTATTATTACAGGCTTTTATATTCTAAATTTTGCAACTTCATCCCAGTAATTAAATTTTTGAAGCTCAAAAAAATACATCCAGAAAAAAAATGCCTTCAGCCAGATTCGAACTGACGATCTCCTCATTACTAGTGAGGTGCCTTACCAACTTGGCCATAAAGGCTTAATTATTGAAAATTTTGTGTCTGGTCAAAACTTCCTAATTGGGAAATAAAAAAGTGTATCACGTGATTTGAAAAATCTCGTGATAAAAAATGTCTGACTACTCTGTTAATATAGGTCTAACGGCCTCAAACAGTACTCCCAGCGCATCTCTTAACGAGTCATTACCTCCCCCAACTCCTCCCGAGCCGATTCCACCTGATAGGACGCTAGTCCCGTCGGCCCTGTCGACTTATGAAACTGCGAGTGAATCCCCAGGTGTCCACTCAAACAACCCCTTACAAGGGGCTTTAGAACCTGATCTGATCGACGTCGATGTTCCGGAATATGTCCTGGACTCATCTCTGTCTTCAAACTCTTTAGACCAGCTGTCAAGCGTCCGTAATTCCCTGAATTCGGCTCCTACCAGCCAAAAACCCATTTCCGATTTAACGGTCGAAAATTTTTCAACCAGTCACGTGACTCCGCTCACGTATGCTGAAGCTGCTAAACCGGCTGCAACTAGAACTAGAACTAAGGAAAAGTCTACACTTCCTCCTATCGATAATCCTTTAAACCCGGTACAATTACAGGAATACGAACTTATTGTTGAAAAACTTGAGAAAGATCTTTTATTAAACGATGAAGAACGTGTTAAATACGCTAAGTTCTACTATACCCGCCAAGTTCATCACAACTTGGGGGTTAGTGCCTATACACTTTTGAAAGATCGGTTAAAGGAAGTTCCAGAAGACTTTCAAGAATTATACATTGAAGAATCTGGTAAAAATATCTTCACCACAAACAATCTTAGTATTGATTTTACCCAACAACCTCCCATTGACACTCCAACAATGTTTACCCTTTTAGACCAACATTTCAACCAATTCTTTACAAAATTGGAAAACGATGTTGAACAGAAGATCCACAATCTCGAAGGGGTCTTCGCTAGAGCTAGGTTGCATGTCAACCAATACGAGGAGCTCAAAAAACTCCTTGAAAGTTCTAAACTTAAAGATCAGGATTTTGCCTCGTCTTTCAACCTTTTAGACTTAGAATTAAGTATACAAGATCTCAACTCCGAAACACAAGAAGTTTTGGTGGAAACGTTGAGAACCTGTAGAGACCTCAGTCTCAAGAATCATTTTAGATTGCTCATAAATGGAGACTACTGTACCGAAATGTATTTTAGTGACATTTATTCAATCACTTTCCACCAACTAAACCATTTGTTGAATAAGTATGATCCTAAGACATACCCAGAAAGCCATCACTTTGATATCCAATCCATTGTTAAAGAGGTTCTCTCCTCTTCATCAACAGGACCACTTCACATTAATGGTACTGACTTCTACTTTACCTTGAATCACAAGATCTCCAACTCTCTTGCCCTTCTTGAGTATGAGTTACCAGAAGATGACGCCTTACAGGCCAGCACCAAACTTAGAGATTTCTTCGGCCCTGAGCCCAAAACTAAATCCAAGACATTTGATAATCGAATGCAATCCCTTTATTCGGGCTCACCTCCAGCCCACATTCAAAAGGTCCTTACCACTCTGGATTCAGAACCGGAACAATACTTTAAACTTATCAAAAGTACTGAACCTAAATTTTCTAAAATTCAAGACAAGAAAAGAATGGTTACCCTTTATTTTCTCGTAGACCTTACTACGGACACAATTCCCACGGGCACAAGGAAAATACTTGAAAATCATAAAGTCTCCATCAAATCACACCTTAAATTCTGCTCCTACTGTCACACTAAAGCCCACACTAGATGGGGATGTACAAATGCTCCTTGTCTTAGATGTGACTCACGTGAACATAATGGACCAGGCCATAAGGCTGCTAGAGAAAAGGCCGAAGGAAACAAACGTCCTCGCACCACTGACTATGACGAACCTCCTAAGAATGACGTATCAATGGTCAAACCATCAACCAAAAAAACTAAAAATGGTAGTTTTACCACCCCAACCAAAACGGTTAAAAAATCTTCAATTCCAAACCCTGCTGTTTCTGCTATTCAAACCAGCAACCCATTTATGGTCCTTTCTGACGAGGAAGATGAAGAAGAACTCTCCTCCTCCGATTCCGACTCCACTTCAACTGTTACTGCTTTATTACACCAAAATCAAAAACAAAAAAAAAATAAAAAAACTTCTGAAAAAACCTCCGAAAAAAATACTGAAAAATCCAAAAACTCCAAAAAAAATGATAATCAAGAAACCCAACCAGCAATTGCTGCAAAAAATATCACTGAATCAGAAACTTCTGAAAACCTTTATTCAGAAACTATTACCCCTGCCAATAGTTTCATAGACACACAAATTGATATTGATTTGAGCCGTTCTGACGAGCCATCGTTAGAACCAACTCAAATTGATACCGATTTAACTATGGCAGAGGAACCAAATCATCCATTTAGTTCCACCAACTCAACCCCCACGAAGTCGCCAAGTTCCACTACGAGACGACTTCCTTCGCTAAATCAGGGTCTTCTCAGGCCACTGATTGGCAAACTCCGCTCTCCAAGTAAACCAAAAGGAGACTTGCCAAAAGAGCGAATTCTACATCAACGAAAATTAAACGCTGTCATGAAAGCATCCAACCGTATGGAGGAGCAGTTATCTGACAGCCAACATTCAAACACTCTGCTTGCTACAGAGTCTTTTGATGACAATCTCCCTTCCAGCTTAAATAACAATCAGTTATGAATAAATCAAATGACATACTATCATTTCGTAACCGAAAAATAAGATTACGACCACAATCTCGTCAAGAACTCAAATTCACAACAATAAATATACAACAAACCCAAAATCATCAAAACGTTTTCAAGTATCTTAAACGCCATGACCTAAGTCTCTTAACAGAGATCAAGGCGGGTGATGCAGATAACTTATCGACAACCCTTTCCAAAAATAGTAGTACTTTAGCCTACACCAGACCATCCTCAAGAACGGGAATTGCTTTTCAAAACAATTCCCAAAAATTCAAAATAATATCAACTTCGCTTCTATCAAATCAACTAGAACAACAATACCAACCATATGTAGCAGACATTATTATCCAATCATTAGAAAATAATCGTCACTACTTAATAGTATCCATATACGCGCCCACAGGAAAAAAATTCAAATTACAAAAATATCTATTTTACCAAATAGACAAAGCTATCTCAACTATTAAAGCTAACCACTACCACAATCTCATCATTGTAATTGGTGGGGATTTTAATAATGTAATACCTCACTCAGACGAATCATCCAAGCCCCGAGATATTCAGGCCACTCAATATCTTATCAGACTTATTAACAAAAACAGTCTAATAGATACGTTCAAATACCTCCGTCCTAACACTATAGCTCCTACCAACCGAAACCATAAAGCATCACGTAGAATCGACCGGTTTTACATCTCCAATCCTGAAAATGAAAAAATCTTAAAATTTTTCATGCAAAAACCATCCCAAATATCAACCACTCACTTAGCTATAGGTTTTCATCTATTAGTAACTGAGAATCTACGTATCACGGCGGGAAGAAAACGTTTTATAGTTCCCGAGAAATACTTAGATGACGATGACTTCATAAACTTAATCAAAGACCAACCCTTCCATTCTTTGGCGGATATGGTCAACCTAATTCAACCAATTACCAACAAATATCGTCAACTCACCCAGATCAGAGGGGTAAATGTATTTGAAACCCAAAATAATAACATAACTACGCCATATACTGCTTCATATTTTAAAGACTTAAAAGAAGCTTTTAATGGTAGTAACTACTCAAATAACTTAATCACTGTGATTCGTTCAGGGTCACAAAAATTCTCCACCACTCCAGACATACTTAATGCCATCTCCCAATACTATAAAAGTATGTTCACTCCAAGAGATACTTATCCAACGGCTATGAATCAATATATTCAGAGCTTCAATAAGAAATTCTCGACTGATCAACAACGTCAACTCAATCAAACCTTTGACTTAGATGAGTTTACATTGGCCTTAAAGAATACAAGCAATCAAAGTGCACCAGGACCTGATGGTCTTACTTTCAGATTTTTGAAAAAGACATGGGATAAAACAGGTCCATTAGTGGTCTCTGCCGCCAACAACCTTTTTACCTCATCATCCTTACCTACAATCTTAAAAGAAGTCATTATCAAAATCATTCCCAAACGGGAAAAATCCATACAAGTGGAGGATTTCAGACCAATATCATTAATCAATACAACTACTAGACTAATTGCCTCGGTATTAAATCGCCGATTACTTACACATATCGACACTATCATCGGTAAAAACCAAACTGGGTTTATGCCAGAAAGACAAATGGATCAACAAATAATGCGTTTCAGAGCATTAGTTAACCATATACTCAAACAACAACCACAAGAATATCAATCGGTTATACTTCTTGATTTTACTAAAGCGTTCGACAGATTCCATCATGACTATTTGAGAGAATTACTCCTCCACATCAACTGTGGACTAAAGTTCACCAATATAATCATGCTACTTACACAACAACAAGAAGCTAAAGTCATAGTCAATGATTTCCTCAGTCCCCCCTTCTCTTTGGGTACCGGAACCCGTCAAGGATCTGCAATATCTCCATTATTATTCAACATAGCTTTGGAGCCTTTCTTGACTAGGCTAGAAAACAAATTATCAGGAATTGAACTTCCACTTAGGTGTGGCCAGACAATTGAGCAAAAGTATTTAGCCTTTGCCGATGACGTAACACTCTTCACTGGTAGCAGACAAGATTTGCTTACGATACAATCGGAAATAGCACTTTTTGAACAAGCTTCAGGTTCACTAATCAACCAAAAGAAATCCAAGATCTACCATTTCACGGATGAACCAATGGAAGAAGTCCTCCCTTTTCCACAATCTCCCATTCGAGATCAAAACTTCAAATATTTAGGAATCAGTATAAATAATTTTCTGTGGCCCACATATATTGAAAGCCTCAGAGTAGGACTAGTTACAACAACGGTTCGAACTCTATCAATCCATCAAAAAGCTGAAGGAATCAACTCCTTGGTTTTTTCCAAACTTTATTTCAGAGACTTACATCATCCTATGCTGTCATCAGACATCAAACAAATAAATGATATGATCAAAAACTTCTTTCCTTCTCACATTGGTGTAACTAATCTTTATGCTCTTAAGGCCCAAGGAGGATTTGGTCTTCTTGATCTAGAAGAACAAGTCAAAGGACGTCGAGCCAGATTTATACACAATATCTTAATCAACGACGAACAATCTCATCAGATATTGCTTCGAGATAAAATTCAACAGTATATCAATGATAATGCTTATGTTCCTCCAGAAATCCCACTCCAACCAAATAAACGTTTAACATATCCTTGGTTTCGTCTCCTTGCGGGTACCCCCATCAGGCATAAGACTGACCCTTCTGTCTTTCTTAAAGATTCCATGTGTGTCGCCAATTTTTTTACTAATGCTGAACAAAGCTATTTCTCAGCATGGTTTGATATAGCTGAGAGTAAAAATCCTTATCGGTTTGAACTACCTCAAAATTATTCAGAAGAAGAAATACAACAACTCATCCTCCAAACGCCCCGTAATTTCCAATGGGCTAACGACATGTATGAGCTCACACCGAGTTCTTTCAAAAGCAGAAGCAAGGCTAAACAGACCAAGCAAAGAGTATGCCTTGAACCAAATGGTTGGTCAGTTGACTTGAGTATATCACAAGCTCAATGGATCAAATTCTGGACAAGATTGAATCATCTAAAATTTAATGCTCCTAACAATTTCGATGAACTACATCGCTACAATTTAGGCTACAGACGCCACTACAATCCCATCGCAGACAATACCTGTGATATATGCAAAACTACGGTATCAAACTCCGAACTAGCTAGCCACATCTACTTGTCTTGTACAGTAGCTGTCAAACTCTGGGAAAAACTCGGACCTCCACTTCCGCTTAACTTCACTGCTTTAGTTGCAAATCCAAATCTTTCAATCACAAATGCTACACGCATCAACAGATACCTACAAGCTATTGATTCCCTCCGGAAGAAACGACGAACTGAGCCGGTTAGTGACAAACTAACCGACAAAGTTCTTTATCGATGGGTATCATACTTCACCTTGGCTGAATAAATAGAGCCAAGACGCTAACTGGATAACTCCAGTACCTCTTTCTTTTCAACAAGACTACAATCTTTATCAATGTCCTTAACCAACAAGAGTTTTTTACTATCTACATAGTTTCTCTAAATTTTTTACCATTTATGACTCTCTATTTACATAGAACTTAATAAATGTTGTATTGAAAAAAAAAAAAAAAGTCGTTTAAATGTCGTCAATGTCGTCGATTTTTAAAGAAAATGTTAATAAAATGGCAACAAATACTACTACGAATAGCCGTATTCATTGAATTTATAATGATTTGGTTGTAACTTCCAAGGAATAGGTTGATCGTGATACCTAGATATTTGCATTTTCATCTCATGATTGGTTGAATTAATTGATCTGACTTATTAGAACTTCTAGGCATCTACCAACTTATAGGACATTTATGAAAGGAACAATCAGTTTGTAATAAATTTATAATTAATGTAAATGTGGAGAGTTCTTGTCTTGTTGGAAAAAAGATTTGAATCTGGTGATTTACCTTTTAACACTTGGAAATACATAGTTTTCTATATAGCTGGCAATTCCATACGTCGCTTTGCCAAGTTCAAGATTTTGGTTTATACATCTGGACTTATAGTCGTTTACTAACTCATAGGGACTTATAGGAATCTACTAACTTATAGAATGTTTTATAATAGTTAAATGATTTGGACCATTCTTTTGCTGTTCGTCAATGACTATGTGTTGAATAGGCATGCCGGATATCTTAGATGTAGTGGATAATGCATTGTTGAATCTAAATGATCTCAAATACCAAGCAATTATTCCACAATTATAGAGTAATTTAAGATAATTATTTTTAAGAGTATATTGTAGTCTAGTAAAGTAGCACTTTGAATATTAGTCAATTCATTCTCTAATACTTGTCTATTTTTATAAAGAAAAGTAACTTATATTAGATTGATAATTTAATAAATACTGAAATGTAAGTAGCTGAGTTTTACTCAATGAGTTTTTGAAGAACAATCCCATTGGCTCTTGCTTTTCTTCTTTCATCTCTTTTATAGAAATATAAGACTACAAACGTCCAAATTATACAAGCTCCTGAAGATACAGCTGTAAAAGCATATCCTCTAATATATCTAGGAGCTTCAACGGTGGGCCATACTAATAAGGGTATCCAAGCTAATGTCTTATGTGCAATAAGATTCATGATTGTCAAAGAAACTTCTCTTGATCTTATATCATCACGACAAATATCACCTTGCCAAGCATACAAGATTGGACTCAGTGACCATCCCCAATATTGTAAACAAAATCCAACCCATTTGAGTTTGAGTGGAACGTACCAAACAGCTAATATTGTATTACCTAGAATATTTATAGCTTGAGAAAATACCATGGCAAACCATCGACTTTTAAAGTAATCTGCTAGAAAGCAAGTTATCGTTAGCCAGATCAATCCTAGAGCTGGGGTTAAAGCTGTTAGATCTTGTAACTTACCTTGTTGATACTTCTGATTTCCATTTTCATCTTTTAATGATTTTAGCCAAAGAGCATAGGCCCCCGATGTACCATTATTACTATTCCAACAGAACATATTCCAAAGTATTAAATTATATATTTTCCAACTAGTTAGGATAGATTTCCAAGTTTCCCAATCAAAGTAATTTCTAAATGCATTCTTTGTTGGTTTATGATGTTTTTGATCTTTAAGCATTCTAGCTCTTGCTAGTCTTATTTCATCATCAGTTAAAAATAAACTATAGCAATCGGTTGGAGTACCAGGTAAGATAAAGAATCCTGCAAGTCCTACTATTAAGGATACTATTCCATCAATAATAAAAATCCATTGCCAAGCTGCCAAACCTCTATACCCAGGTAAAGTTCTTTCAATTGCACCAGAAATCAAACCTGAAGACATACTACCTAAGAATTGGCCCAAATAAAAACATGATGCTCTTCTTATTGCTTCATTATTACTTGACTTATACCAAGATGCAAACAAACTATGATACGAAATATAAGTACCAGCTTCGAAACTTCCAACGAAAAATCTCATAACTTTAAATTGTTCAAAGTTGTGAACTTTATATGTAAATAAAGTAAAAAATGACCAGCATACATCCATCGCAGGAAGAATATAATTCAAGGGAAGACCATAAAGAATATAAATAAAAGGTAATTGAAAGACTGCATTACCTATTGAATAATAAGTTTGAGCAAGAACTAAATTATTTCCTTTCATTCCAATACCTTCCTTAAGTCCACCTACATAAGCACTATTAATATTTGCTTGATCAAGATATTTTACCCAATAAACTATAAGTGAATAGAATGTAAGAAGAAGATCTAACTTAACAATAAGTCTTCTCTCTTCAGGAGTATCTTCTTCATTGAAGTATTTATACCATTTAACTTTAGATTTAGCTTTTGATGTTATTCTATATTCATATTCATCAAAAAACTTCCAAAATTTTCTTCCCTTTTCATTTCGATATTCAATTTCAGTTTCAGTTTCAATATTGGACTTCAGTTTCTCAATTTTAACATCAAAATCATCAAATTCTTTTATGATTGTATTATCCACTATAATTTCTTTGTGTATCAAATTACCATACTCATCTTCATCTACAACTCTTCTCTTCGGGATTATCCCCCATTTCATCCTCGAACGTATAGTAGCTAAAGATGGCATTATGTAAATTGTTTTGTTTAGGGGGTTTTTTAGCTGAAAAATAAATTAAAATAATGACAATCTGAAAAGTATTTATATAACTTTTTCAGTTGTTGGTTCCAAAATAACTTGGCGAATTAGAAGCCATGAAACGTTGAAGCCTTCCATTGTCGGCTTTTTGATCTGATAAAATCCATCTGATAAAAATTTTGATGGTAATGGGGCTTTTGAATTTTACAACTATTTTGTGACATCATACATGGTAGCGCGTGACAAAAAATTTCAGTTTCGGAACGAGAAATCGGTGATTTGTATGGGCATTGCGCTTCCGATTTTACAATTGAGGGGCTTTAACATGATTTTTTTGTAATAATTTATAATTACATAAGAAATAATTTTAGTATTTATAGAAACATATTAGTATTCGGACAATGTAAGAAATGGCATCTATTGGTCGAAACGATGATATTGTGAGAGTAGTTGTCGGCTATTAATTTCTCCAGATAATTGATGGATGGCTTAATTAGCGATGTAAAAGATAACTTATTTTTATCTGATAAACTGATTATAAAGTGGTTGGACAAAGGTAATAATAAGAGCTATTTAATGTTATTAGGATGACAAATCTTAATATATCAAGCTGAATTAATTTAAAATAATCAATTATATCAATTACTTTAAATATATTAAATTTCATTGATTATTGACAAGGATACAGTAGAAAAAAAAGATACTATAGATTCCTTTCATAACTTCTTTTTTCTACTATTGTTATGTATTCTTTTTAAACAGATTACTCTATTTAAAAATAGAGAAGTATATAGCCAGTTGTGTGTTGGGATACAGAGATACAGAAATATTACAAGTAGGAATATTAACTATTCCTACATAAATATATTAACATCACCAATAATAATGAATGAAATATTAAAATCCTAGAACTGCGTAACTCACACAAATTTAAACTTGACCTTAACCTTAATCTTAATCATCATATGTACCCATAAGCTTTATTGTAATTATTATGGATAGTAGCAGAGATTTATTTTTCCAGTTTTTCCCAAAGTATACCCAGTAGTTAGTGGAGTGATTATGGAGTTCCATTTTTTCGCAATCATTCCTTTTCGTTCTAGAATTTTCTAGCATTATCTGGTGAGTTCTATGCACTCCAGCATCAGGCATGACTATCATCGAATGGAAGTATTATATAAAAGGGCATACCATTCCGAATTAAAAACATTTAGAAATAATTAATAAATTGTATTTGTTGAAAGTAGATCGATATAATTAAAAATGGATGAAACTCAATTCACAGATAACGCATTAAAAATTATTACTAATGCCAGTCAATTGGCAAAAGATAATGCTCATTCTCAATTATTACCATTACATTTTCTTGCTGCTATGGTACCAACTGATGATGAAAATTCTGTACCATATTTAAAGACATTAATTCAAAAGGCAAGATTTGAATGGCCTAATTTTGAAAGAGCTGTTAATAAACATTTAGTAAGATTACCATCACAAAATCCTCCTCCTGATGATGTTAGACCAAGTTATGCTGCTGGTCAAGTATTACAAAAGGCAACAAAAATTAAAGCTCAACAAAAGGATAATTATGTAGCTCAAGATCATATATTATTGGCATTATTAGAAGATTCAAGTATTAAAGATATATTTAAAGAAGCTGGTATAAATACAGAAACTATAAAAAATCAAGCTATTGAATTAAGAGGTAGTCAAAGAATTGATTCAAGACAAGCTGATTCTTCATCTTCATATGAATTTTTAAATAAATATTGTGAAGATTTAACTGAAAAGGCTAGAGAAGGTAGAATAGATCCTGTTATTGGTAGAGAAGAAGAAATAAGAAGAGTAATTAGAGTTTTAGCAAGAAGAACTAAATCAAATTCTGTACTTATTGGTGATGCAGGTGTTGGTAAAACTTCAATTGTTGAAGGTGTAGCACAAAGAATTATTGATGGTGATGTTCCAAATGTTTTATCTAATTCAAGATTATTTGCTTTGGATTTAGGAGCTTTAACTGCTGGTGCTAAATATAAAGGTGAATTTGAAGAAAGAATAAAGGGAGTTTTAAATGAAATTGAAAAATCAAAAGAATTCATTATTTTATTTATTGATGAAATTCATATGTTAATGGGTGATGGTAAATCAGATGCTGCTAATTTATTAAAACCAATGTTAGCTAGAGGTACATTACATTGTATTGGTGCCACTACATTTGCAGAATATAGAAAATTCATAGCTAAAGATGGAGCATTTGAAAGAAGATTTCAAAAGATTGATGTTCCAGCTGCTACTGTTAATGAAACCATTGCTATTTTAAGAGGTTTACAACCAAAATATGAAATTCATCATGGAGTAAGAATTTTAGATAGTGCATTAGTAACTGCTGCTCAATTAGCTTCAAGATATTTAACTTATAGAAGTTTACCAGATTCAGCTGTTGATTTAATTGATGAAACTGCTGCAGCAGTGGCTGTTGCTAGAGATTCAAAGCCAGAAGAATTGGATAATTTGGAAAGGCAATTACATTTAATTGAAGTTGAAATTAATGCATTAGAAAGAGATGTTGAAGCAGATGCAAATTCTAAGGATAGATTAGAATTAGCTAAAAGAAAACAAGCTGATTTAGAAGAAAAATTGGCTCCATTAAGAGAAAGATTTAGTCAAGAAAAAGCTTCTCATGATTTATTAATTGCTGCTAAAAGAAAATTAGATGAATTAGAAATTAAAGCTCAAGATGCTGAAAGAAGACATGATACTGGTACTGCAGCTGATTTAAGATATTTTGCAATTCCAGATGTTGAAAAACAAATTGAACAATTAGAACTTAAAGTTGCTGAAGAAGAAGCATCAGGTGGACCAGATTTATTATTAAAGAATGCTGTTGGATCTGAACAAGTTGCAGAAACTGCAGCTAGATTAACTGGAATACCTGTTACTAAATTAACTCAAGCAGAAAATACTAAATTAATTAATATGGAAAAGGAATTAGCTTCAGGAGTTGTTGGACAAACAGAAGCTATTAAAGCAGTTTCAAATGCTGTAAGATTAAGTAGATCAGGTTTAGCTAATCCAAATCAACCAGCTTCATTCTTATTCTTAGGTTTATCTGGTTCTGGTAAAACTGAATTAGCAAAGAAAGTTGCTGGATTCTTATTTGCTGATGAAAGAGCCATGATAAGAATTGATTGTTCTGAATTAGGAGATAAATGGTCAGCATCTAAATTATTAGGAGCTGCCCCAGGTTATGTTGGTTATGAAGAAGGTGGTATTTTAACTGAACCATTATTAAGAAGACCATATTCAGTTTTATTATTTGATGAAGTTGAAAAAGCTGCTCCTGAAGTTTTAACAGTATTATTACAAATTTTAGATGATGGTAGAGTTACTTCTTCACAAGGTAAAGTTGTTAATTGTTCTAATGCAATTATAATTATGACATCTAATTTAGGAGCTGAATATATTAATGCAGCAAAGGGATCTAAAATATCTTCAGAAACTAAACAATTAGTAATGGGATCAGTTAGAGCTCATTTCAGACCAGAATTTTTAAACAGAATTTCTTCAACTGTTGTATTTAATAGATTATCCAGAAAGGCTATTGCTAAGATTGTTAAGATTAGATTAAATGAAATTGAAAAGAGATTTGCTGCCAATAGTAAATCACTTAGTTTGGATGTTGATGATGCTGCTATTGAATATTTATGTAAGAATGGTTATTCACCTGATTTAGGTGCTAGACCATTAAACAGACTTATTCAACAAGAACTTTTAAATCGTCTTGCAGTATTATTATTAAAGGGACAAATTAAAGATAAAGAAACTGCTAAAGTTACTGTTGGTGAAAAAGGTTTGGAAGTTTTACCAAACCATGAAGCTGATGATGAGGATATGGATGTAGATGTTGAAGATTGGAAAGATACTGATGATGATGATGATGAAGCAGGAGATGACTTTGATGAATTAAGTACTCCAGGACTTGATTAAATTTAAGTTTGACATTTATTAAAAAAAAAATTTTTAATTTTATATCTTTAATTATATAGGAAAGTTGTACATATTTAATAATTATAGGGATTTTTATGAGGTTTAAATGCTCATTTTTTCTTTTTGTAGATATCTAATCGGTATAGTAGTTTACACGTGACTGAAAAATTGGTAAGACAGTGTAGCTATATGCAGTACGCTGAAAAATTTATTACTCATCTCTAAAAAAAAGTGCCAGTAATAAATGGCAATTTGATAATTGTATGTATTGAAAAGTTAATATAAGTTAAGTATAACTAAGTAAAACATTATGGCTAGTAGAACACAATTTGAAAATTCCAATGAAGTTGGTGTTTTTGCCAAATTAACCAACTCATACAGTTTAGTTGCAGTTGGAGGATCTGAAAACTTTTATTCAGCTTTTGAAGCTGAATTAGGTGATGTTATTCCTATTGTTCATACAACTATTGCTGGAACTAGAATAGTAGGTAGAATGTCTGCTGGTAATAGACGTGGATTATTAGTTCCAACTCAAACTACAGATCAAGAATTAATGCATTTAAGAAATTCCTTACCTGATGCTGTTAAAATTCAAAGAGTTGAAGAAAGATTATCTGCTTTAGGTAATGTTATATGTTGTAATGATTATGTTGCATTAGTTCATCCCGATATTGAAAGAGAAACAGAAGAATTAATTGCTGATGTTTTAGGAGTTGAAGTTTTCCGTCAAACTATTGCTGGTAATGTTTTAGTTGGATCATATTGTTCATTATCAAATCAAGGTGGTATAGTTCATCCTCAAACTTCTATTCAAGATCAAGAAGAATTATCATCATTATTACAAGTTCCTTTAGTGGCTGGTACTGTCAATAGAGGTTCAGCTGTTGTTGGTGCTGGTATGGTAGTTAATGATTGGTTAGCTGTTGCTGGTTTAGATACAACTGCACCTGAATTATCAGTTATTGAATCTATTTTCAGATTACAAGATGCTCAACCTGATGCTATTTCAGGTAATTTAAGAGATACTTTAATTGAAACTTACTCATAGAAAAATAAATGATTATCGTTAGCATGGAATAAAATATTAACAGATTAATTTAGTGAGAAAGGATAATTTTTCAATATTTCAAATAATTTCTATTCTATTCTAAATCTATATTTTGAAACGGTTTTCTTTTATTTTGTACTTTTTATGATGGTAAAATGTTTTCAATTCGTTGTATATTCTTGGTGTTTTATAAGTCATCTTTGCATCCAAACGTACATTCATTCAATTATTTATTTTAAATTATATTAATTATATTAATTATATTAATTTATAATTAGTAAATGAATAGATTTGTACTTTTGTACATTAGCTGTATAGACCAATCTGTGGTTTATTGCATGATAATCTGTATAACTAGATTTGTATCGTATTTTTTTAATTTTTTAGGAATAAAGGCATTCATCCTATAGTGTAAATTGTAAGTGTAATATGTAAATGTAAATGTAAATGTAAATGTAAATGTAAATGTAATAAGTATTTACTGGTTAGTTATTTAGTTACTAATCTGTAGAATTCCTAAAACAGCTATTTTATTAATTTTGATTGTTATCTTCCTTGTTGCATGTGACCTTGGCAAATGGCTTGAACAGCCAAATTGCCTAATTAGGTAAACTTGAAAAATTTCACCGTCCCCTCCACATGTGCAGGAAATAGGGACCGAGTATCGTTAAAACACCTAATGCTTAACTACTAACTAATTAATTAGTATTAAAGGTATTGATAGCATAAGATTCTATAGTAAGTTAGAGATACTAAATTGTTCATAATTCATTAGAGAATAATTCACTAGAGAATAATTCAGTAAATATACTATGGATTTTGCTGGAATTCCTCGAGGCTCTATTCGAGCTGAATCATTAAAGAAATTAGCTAAATTATCAGTTCAAGTTGAAAGTAATAATGATAATAAATTACCAATTGATGAATCTAATGAAGATTTTAATAATATCTTATTATTGGCTCATAAAGAAGATGATACTGTTGATAAAGATTTAGCAGTAGGATCAATTTCTGTTAAAGAATATGAAGTATTACTTGCATTATGTGAATCAACTAATCAATTAAAATATGCTAATCATGGTAAATTATTAATTAAAAAATTTAGAGCTTATCTTTTAGATTTACAACATCAAAAATTTAGTTATTCAATTGCAATTAGATCAACTTCAATATCTCCATGGGAAAATCTTGCCGAACATTTAACAAGTGGTTTATGTAATATTGCTAAGAAATTTAATAGATATTTTCAAGATGATGTAATTGAAGTATTTAGAGAATTTACTGAGAAATTCTTTAGTAAACCATTTGATGAAAGAGAATTAACTGATTTTTTTACAATCTTAGGATATATTGAAGGATTAATTAAACATTCAGAAATTTTAATTCAATCTTCAAATGCATTTAAATTATTTACATCATTAGATAGTTGTATTGAAAATGTTGAATTTTTAAATGATATTGAATATTATTCAAATGCAATTCATAAAGAAGATAATGATTATATGGATCTTTTGGATAATAAATATATGATTAATTTTTCTCCAATTCATTATGTTGAAAGAGTTAGTCATTTAATGGCATCAATTTTAAATTCAATTATTGGTAATAAAGATAAACCTTTATTAAATTATATTTTAGATAAAGTTTCTACTAAATATCAAGAAAGTGATACTGAAGTTCCTGATGATATTACTTTAACAAAAGAAAATTTAGATATATCTCCAAATCATATGGAATTTATTAAAATTTTAGCAAATAATGCTATTACAAAAATGGAATTTTTAGATAGAGGAGAAACTTATATTGTTTATTCAAGTTATGAAAGATTAAGATATGGTTATTTATCCAAATCTCATTGTATTCAAGTATTAAGTTGTGGAATGTTTACTGATGTGGTTGATATTAATATTGCAAAAAAATTCTTTAAAAGTTGTTTACAAATAAAGCAAATTATGTTAGATCCTGAATTAGGATTAAGTGTACTTCAATTAGGTTCATTATTAGTATTTAAAGATGATAAAGTTGGTCCATCATTAACTAGAGGTTTTACTTCATTAATTGCCAATCCAAGAGTTAAATCAGATTATAGTATTGAAGCATCAAAATGTGTTGGATTAGCTTCAAAAGTATTATCTCAAGATTCAATTGTTACAACCATTTATGCTTTAACAAATTTAGTATTTGTTGGTAATGATGGTTTACAATTACAATCAAGAAATTCTATTAGAAAACTTGGACCTCCATTACAATTAAAAAATGGTAATACTAATGGTAATACTAATGGTAATGGTAATGGTAATGATTATTTATCAGTTTCTAGAAGAACTTCAATTTCTTCATTTGCAATAAATGGTAGTAAATCAAATCTTTCTATAAGAAGTGTGGCAGGAGAATATGATGAAAATGATTATAATAAAGTTTGTCAAAATGCTATTTCTGCAGTTATTGAAATTGCTCAAGCATGTAATGATGAAACTATTCCAACTTTAGCAGTAACTATATTATCCCAAAAGATTACTAAAGTTGATTCACCCATTGGAGATCTTTTATTAAAGGGATTAATTTCTTGTGCACCATTTTTACCCGAACGAGAATTTATTATTTTACTGAGATTATTAGATAGATTATCATTAGAAGCTTTAGAAAAGAAGAATAATCATTTATTAACTAATTTAACTCAAGCTCGAGTTTCTTTATCTCGGAAATTAACTTCTGAAAACCCCTTATTTAAAGTATATTTACATGATATTTTACAAGCCATTATATCTCGAGGTGATGTTCAAGTATTAGATCATCATAGATCTCATAATGAAATTAGTGAAATTGGTGATCAAATTGCTATATATTTAAAACCATTAGCAGAATTATTACCAGATGTAAATAAATCTCAAAAACCTTTAGAAATTCTTGATACAGAAACCATTAATTTATTTAGAAATATTTGGTTTAATATGGTTGTTCATGGATATTCAATGAATTCTTCAACTTCTAAACTTTATATGAAAGAATTAGAAAGAATTGCTTATAATTCTCCTCCATTAGCATCGGAATTATCATGGGATAGAACTGAAACAACTTTAGAATTAAATACTGTATTAAGAAGAGGTTCATCTAATAGTAATGTTAAAGATCATCGACATATTATTGGAGATATTTTTGAAGTTCATAGAACTATGTCTTATCAAAAATTAATGTTTTTAGCAGCCACCGTATTTGTTGAATCACTTCGAGTTAAATCTGGTGATAGTTCAACTATTTTATATTATTATTCTGATCCATCAATTAAAACGAGTGGAATTGAAAAATATATTGGATATATTGCATTTAAAATTGTTCGAGATTATATATTTTTAATTAATAATGGTGCTAATAAACAATTTAGTGCCGATAATATATCGGAACAATTAACTAAAATGTTAGCATTATGTTGTCATAGATTAGAAGATCTTCAAGATGCAGCCATTCAATGTTGTGATTTATTAATTAATAAAGTTCCATCATCTTTATGTCATGGGAAAAGTTTATTTGCATTATTTGATTTATTAACTTTATTATTTGATAGTGTAGTTGATGCCGAAACTAATCAATATGAACCAACAACTTCATATCGAGCCGTTAAAACTGGTATTAAATTATTATTAAGTGATTCATATACTTGGAGAGATGAAACATTTAAAAGATTTAGTGAAAAATCAAGACATTGGGTTAGATTAATTTTATTTAAAAGTAATGTTGATACTAAAAGTTTAATTCAAACTTATGTAACTGATTTAGATGGAAATCAATCAATTAGAAAAGTGAATTATGGAGTTTCATTTGCTTTAGAAATGGCAGGAACAGTATTAAGTAATGAACGAGAATTATCAACCCTTTCTCGAGTTCCAATTAAAACCATTAGTACTTTACCATCATTTGTTTATCAATTAAGTTGGAGAAGTACATTTGTAAGTGATTTAAGAGATAAATCAAATGAAACTACCAATAATTTATCATCAATTAGAGATCGAGTTAAACAATTTAAATTAAATTTATTAGATAAAACTTATCATGCAAATCCTGAAGATTATACAAAATTATTAACTGATATTGCGGGATTTACTTTACTTCATGAAGATAGTGTTGCCGAAACTTTAAGATATTTAGTTGAAATTCCATTTATAATTTTTGATAGTAGTATTATGAAATTTGCTACTGGAATTTGGTTTACTGTTACTAAAGATAGACCTAATTTATCAGTATTATTATTAAGTGAAATTGCTAAACGATGGGAAACTTCAATTGAATTGAAAAAGGGAGTATTTTCAACTATTCATGATATTGAAAATCCCGAATTTTCTAAAATGGAATATTCTCCCAGTGATAGAAAAACCGTTAATAAATTATCTCAAGTTACTGAAAAATCCTTTGAAATTCATTATCATTTAATTAAATTATTTGCATCTAATTTTGAAGCCACTATGAATCAAAGTGATCATTTATTAAAGATGTTTACTAGATTTATTGAAGTGGGATTAATTAATTTAAAGACTGCTAGTTTACATCCATATTCTCGATTTATTAGATTTGAATTAATTAAATTCTCCTTTGATGTATTAAGTTATCATAATAAATTAGGATCTAGAAGTAAACTTTACTTAACGGAATTAATCTTTGATGGTTCATTAAGTTGGTTTAGAGCTCGAGCCAATTATCCTTATGGAGCTAATTTATTAAAGATTAAAGGAGATTTTGGTTTATTAAAGGATGTAGCAAAATTAGTTAGTCAAGCTCCAACTTATAAATCAGATGTTTTATCTTATAAAAAGAGTATATTATTATACTTTTTAGATGATGAAATTTCCAAGATTTCTGTTTGGTTAGATCCATTAAATCCCAATGAAAGTAAAGGATCATTTATTGGAAGTCAATCACAAATTTCTTCAAATATTTTAACTAAAAGTTATAATATTGATCCAATTTTAGCCGTAAATTTAGCACTTCGATATAAAATTAAAAATTTAGATGATACTTTACAAACTTTAATTGCTAATAATACTTTACCAGCAGTTTATTATCCAGATGCTGTTCAATATTATATTGGAATTAATGCTGAATCAAATTTACAACCTCATTATCATTTATTATTTTGGGAACCCTTAGCACCAATTGATTGTATTACATTATTTTTACCACCATTTGGTAATAATCCTTATGTTTTACAATATACTATGAGATCTTTAGAAAGTCATGATGTTAATTTAACATTTTTTTATGTACCACAAATTGTTCAAGGTTTAAGATATGATGCTAAAGGTTATGTTGAAAGATTTATTTTAGCAACTGCTAAAGTTTCTCAATTATTTGCTCATCAAATTATTTGGAATATGTTAGCTAATAGTTATAAAGATGATGAAAGTCAAGAACCTGATTCAATTAAACCAATCTTAGATAGAGTTCAACAAGAAATTACTTCTGGATTTAATGAAAGAGATCTTAAATTTTATGAACGAGAATTTGAATTCTTTTCTGAAGTTACATCAATTTCTGGTAAATTAAAACCATATATTAAGAAATCTAAAGCAGAAAAGAAGGAAAAGATTGATGAAGAAATGTTTAAAATTAAAGTTAAACCAGGAGTTTATTTACCTAGTAATCCTGATGGAATTGTTATTGATATTAATAGAAAATCTGGTAAACCATTACAATCTCATGCTAAAGCTCCATTTATGGCAACATTTAAAATTAAAAAGGAAATTTATGATATTGATGAATTTGGAGAAAAAACAGTTATACCAATTGAAAAATGGCAAAGTGCAATTTTTAAAGTTGGAGATGATTGTCGTCAAGATGTTTTAGCATTACAATTAATTTCAGTATTTAGAACTATTTGGACAAATGCTGGAATTGATCTTTATGTATATCCTAATCGAGTTACTGCCACTGCCCCAGGATGTGGAGTTATTGATGTATTACCAAATTCAACCAGTAGAGATATGTTAGGTAGAGAAGCAGTTAATGGATTATATGAATATTTTACATCTAAATTTGGACCAGAAAATTCTATTGAATTTCAACAAGCTAGAAATAATTTAATTAAATCTTTAGCAGCTTATTCAATTATTTCATATATTTTACAATTTAAAGATCGTCATAATGGGAATATTATGTATGATGATCAAGGACATATTTTACATATTGATTTTGGATTTTGTTTTGATATTGTACCAGGAGGAGTTAAATTTGAAGTTGCACCATTTAAATTAACTCATGAAATGATTATGGTACTTGGAGGTAGAGATGATACTCAAGCATTTAAATGGTTTGAAGAATTATGTGTTAAAGGTTATTTAGCTTGTCGTCCATATATGGAAACCATTGTTAGATGTGTTAATCCAATGTTAGATAGTGGATTACCATGTTTTAAAGATAGTACCATTAAAAAATTAAGACAAAGATTTGTTCCTAGTAAGAGTGATAAAGATGCTTGTATATTTTTCCGAGGATTAATTAAGAAATCTATGGAAAGTTTCTATACTAAGGGATATGATGAATTTCAAAGACTTACTAATGGTATTCCATATTGAGACTTACATTTACATTTACATTTACATTTACAACTAACAATTACAATTATGTATTGTTGTTATTATTAGAAAGATGTTATTATTAGAAAATATATATGTTATTACTGTTAATTAGCAGAGTATACTTTAGTAGTATGTGTTACTTATTACTCAGTAGTTTTTGTAGAGACTCGGTTAGCATCCGATTAGCGTAAGCCCAGTTAGAGTTAGCATTAGGCGATAGAGTTAGTGTGTCAGTGTTACGTCATAAATGTACGAGAAGATCTCCTGCACACAGGACAGGACAGGACAGGGCAGGGCACCCGATTCTATTTTTATCCAAACAAACAAAATACGAATTAGAGTTAAGGGTGTACCACACGCACCGTAGCGAATGTGTAACTTATTAGTAGTAAAGTAGACAGTAGAGTGTAGATACATAGTGTATAGTATAGACATAGTATATATAGTATAGGGATAGTGTATAGAGTGTCGTAGTAGTAGTAGTAGAAGTATAGTAGTAATATCATACCACTACATAGACAGTATCATTAGTACTAAGCACAGCCTAGCCAAGTGTTTAACAACTAAATTTCTTTTGGTGTCGTGTCGTATGCCCAAATCAAAAACATCGTTTTTACTTTTTTTTATTTCTATATATTTCACTACTCGTACCCATCCAAATTGAAATTAGAAATTAGAAATTGGAAATTGGAAATCTCCGCTATCTCCTTATCTACTTAACTATACTCAGGTTATCTTAAAGTGAGTTCTCGTTCTTACGTTCATCACACTCTCGTACATATTCATTCCCACGACCAATTCATTCGTTTCCGTCCCATCTCCAGTACGAATCAAGCTTTTTTCTACCCCCTGCGTTGAGTAACAACGTACACATTTACAAAGCACTACTACCACTATCCACTAACAGTACTACTGTACAACACACTATTAAAGTACTATTATAACTGCATAACTACTAAATAACTAAAAGTACTACTCCACTACTCCACTACTCCACTACCACTATGAGGTCAATAATATTCTCAGCTGCATTGATCTATCTCATACAGCAGGTATCAGCCTTATCTTACCTTAAATCATCATCTTTATTAACTTGTATGGATAATTCTTCATTTACAGCTTCATATTTTGATGTTGAATTTTATCCTCATAATAATACAGTTTATTTTGATGTAACTGCTTTATCAAATATTAATGCTGATGTTGGAGCTTATGTTCAATTAATTGCTTATGGTATTAATGCTTTACAAAGAAATATTTCCTTTTGTGATATTGGTTATAATGAAGTATGTCCAATGACTTCGGGTCATTTAGATTTACAATCTCAATATACTGTATCTGATTCTATTGCTAGTAATATTCCTGGAGTTGCTTATAATATTCCAAATTTAGATGCCACAGTAAGAGTTCAAATTTATGATTTAACTTCGGGTGAAGTTTATGCTTGTGTTGAAGCTTCAGTTACTAATGGTAAAACAGTTCAAACTAAATATGCTGCTTGGCCAATTGCTGCTATTGCTGGTTTAGGGGTTATAACTTCTGGTGTAATTTCAGTTATTGGTCATTCTAATACAGCTGCTCATATTGCTTCAAATTCATTATCTTTATTTATTTATTTCCAATCTCTAGCTATTACTGCTATGATGGCGGTAGCAAAAGTTCCTCCAATTGCTGCTGCTTGGGCTCAAAATTTTATGTGGTCAGTTGGTATTGTTAAAGTTGGATTTATTCAAGATATTGCTAATTGGTATATTCAATCAACTGGTGGTACTCCAACTGATATTTTACAATCAACTTATTTATCAGTATCTGTTCAAAAGAAAGTTAAAAGAGCTATGGATTTTTTACAAGATATTTATACTTCAGAATTAGAAAGAGCTTATTATCCTAGTGATCATTTATCAAAACGTGCTAGTATAAGTCTTGATTCTCAAGATTTTGGTTATACTGATAGTTTAGATCCAACTTTATATACAACTGATGAAAAGGGAGATATTGGAAATAGAATTTTAATTCTTCGTGGTATTCAAAGAGTTGCTTATTTAACCGGAATTGAAATTACTGATTTCTTTATGACTTCAATTATTTTCTTATTATTTTTTGCCTTTGTAATGGTGGTTTGTTTAGGTATATTTAAAGCCGTTATTGAAATTTTAGTAAGAGCTAAATTTATGAATGAAGGTAAATTTGGTGAATATAGAAAACAATGGTCTTTAATTATTAAAGGTTCATTATACAGATTATTGGTTATTGCTTTTCCTCAAATTGGTATAATGTGTATTTGGCAATTATATACTAGAGATTCAGCTGGAGCTGTTGTTGTGGCAGTTTTCTTATTAATTTTTGCCCTTGTAGTATTATTTCAAGCAGCTGCAAGAGTTGTTATTTTTGGTAGAAGATCAGTACAAAATTTCCATAATCCAGCTTATCTTTTATTTGGAGATTCTAAATTTTTAAATAAATTTGGTTTCCTTTATGTTCAATTTAGAGCTGATCGTTATTATTTCATTATTTTAAGTTTGATTTATATCTTATTAAAATCATTATTTGTGGCTGTTTTACAAACTCATGGTACAATTCAATCAGTCATTGTTTTTGTTATTGAATTAATTTATTGTATTATTGTTTGTGTTATTAGACCATTTATGGATAAAAGAACAAATGTATTTAATATTGCTGTTTCAGTCATTAATACTATTAATGCTTTATTCTTTATGTTCTTTTCTTATATCTTTAAACAACCTCATATTGTTGGATCTGTTATGGGAGTTGTATATTTTGTTTTAAATGCTGTATTTGCATTATTCTTATTAATCTTTACCATTGTTACATGTATATTGGCCTTAGTTTATAAGAATCCAGATACAAGATATAAACCAATGAAAGATGATAGAGTTTCATTTTTACCAAGATCAGAAAATAAAGCTGGTGAAGGTACTGGTAATGATGAAGATTTAGAATTAATGGCTCTTGGTGCTACAGCAATGAAAGGTCATGAACAAGGTGGTGTATTAGATGATCATATTGCTGGTAAACCTTATGAAGAAGAATCAACTTATGATGATGAAGAAGATAGATATAGAAGACCAAATATTTTTGGTGATGATTCTCAATCAAATACTACCAATTCAAAATCAAATTCAAACTTTAATTTTGCCGGATCAAATGGTAATTCTCATAATAATAATGAATCTGATTCTGCTAGAAATTCATATTATTTTGATAATGCCGAACCAACTCAACCAAATTCAACTATAGCTGGTGGTAGCTCTTTACCCACCGGATTTAACGCGGCTTATAATCCAAGACATTATACTCCATCTAATCCTTATGGAGGTTCAACTTCCTACAGTAACACTCAAAGTTATGAAGGTCATAATGATAGTCGTGTAAATTTCATATGATTTGGATTAAACCATAATGGTTTTAAATAAAAAATTCAGTTCATTATTTCTGCTTTTTATTCAATATGTTTTATTATACTTATTTTTATTACTGATTTTACAAATTCTTTATTATTATTATTATTATTATTATTATTGCTATTTCTATTATATATCACTGATTATTTAAAGATTCATATATATTTAAAATTAAATGCATATAAATAAGCAACGTTACAGTATTTGTTTTTACTTTTAGTTTTATTGATTATGACAGAATTTGGGCTTTCCAAATATACTATAATGGAAAATATTATACCAGGTAATCTTTTGACAATCTTCATCATCACTATAGATTGAATCTCTTTTATCAAATGTCCTCTTTAAACTTGAACCTTGTGTTGCATTTACTTTAGTATCATTAATTGGATCATCTTGAATATCAAATATTACTTGACTAAATCTTTTACTTCTTGGTGAGGTTATAATTCTCTCCTGAAGTCTAATTAATGATAATGGTAATACAAATCCTCCTTCAATATGCTTATGTTTTAAATTATCTTGTTCAATTTGGAAAAAGGTACTTCTTTTACTGATATATTCATTATTAGGATCATTAGCATATTTATGAAGTTCTTCATGTTCATGTTCAATTTCTTGTTCTTCTTCTGGTACAGAGTTCTCTTCTTCATCATTAATGGATTGTTCTTCATAATAATCATTGTCTTGATCAGAATATCCAGTGTCACTATCTTGTTGTTGAATCTTCTCAAACAAATGAGGTTTAAACTTATACTTATTAAACTTATCAGTAACTTTTTGCTTTATCTTATTTTCCAAATTACTCTTCTTTTCACCTAATACCATTTTTGTTAAATCTAATTCATCCTTTAGATTATCCTTTTTTGATTCTAATTTCCCCTTAAGCAAATTCTTTTTATCTTTTAACTTATATGGAATCTCATCAATCTTATCAACGGCTAAGTCTAACTTATTATCAATCCTTTCATCAAGTCGTTCAAATACTGGCTTAGGATCATTTGATAATTCATAAGTAACATCATTCACATGATGAGCAACATTTGATAACCTATTATGTATTTGTCTAATAGCTTGACTTTCAACTTCAGTATTCAGACCTTCTGTAGTTTCAACTTCTCTCTTCTTAAGAGCTTCAGAACCTGAAAGTTTCTTTAAATGTTTAGATGCTTTATCACTGATGAATTTACTAATATCATAAAAGGCTGGAAATACATGCAAAGTTTTATTGTCTTTAATCTTTAAACAGTAACTTTCATCCAATGACTCAACATTAGTAGTACAGAATACAGATTTAATCAAACTTTCATAGTTTACTGCTGTTATCCATTCTCGAGCAAAAGTATCAAAAAATGTTGAAAAACTAGTCAACTGACCATTTATTGGTAAATAATTCCTAATATTCATAATAGTGTTTAATCCTTCATTACTAGCGGCACCATTAAACATAAAAACCAATAATGGTTTTCCTTCATTAATACACTTTCTAAAGAGAGGCAATTTCTCCGTTTCAATCTTTAATATAGTTTTGGAATATATGGAATTGAAATCTAATTGATTGTAGTCATCTAAATGCTTTTCAAGGTAAGACTTTGGAATAACTAAATAATAATCAATTAAACTTAAATAAGAAGGTAAACTAAATGGTGGTGATTTATCAATAAAATTGGCAAAATTATTCTTTAGCTTTTTGGGAATACTTAAGGGATCACTGGTATTGAAAAGGAACAAATTCTTACTTTCTTTTGGAATTAATAAATTATTATGAATCAAATCTTTTCCAATTGAAAAATTGTAGAAATAACCATCGTCAACCAACTTTTGAAACCCGATTTTTTGGAAGATTTTGGAGTTGAGTAAATCTTTGGCAAGAATAAGTAATTCATCTTGATTTTGTGATAGTGGATGTTGTTTTTCATTTGACCCGCCTTCAACTCCCTCTTCGTTTTGTTGATCTTCTTGGGAATCAATTATAGATTCAGCATTCTTATTTTCAATATCAACTTGTTCGTTTTCAGTTGAAGGTTCAATTGGTAATTCAATATCCTGTTCTTCTACTGGTGACTCAATGATACTTCTCTCATTTTTCAAAGGATCCATTAATAATTTGAGCTCAGACTCTAATCGACGTTTAGTATCCCTTAATCCCTGAATAGTCAATTTTAACGCTGCTCCCGTAAGCTCGAATTGGGATTGCTTTATAACAAGACTATTAACCCCCAAAGTTAAACATGTTATTAATATTATATTCTTTAAAAGCATTATTAGTGGTTAGTTGTTAGATATACTACGACTTTAAATAATAGCTGAAAGAGAAGTTAGTGGATGGAGCATAATGTATTTTATATTTGTTTACCGCCTGGGTAGTGCATCAATAAAATATTTTGCACCCAAAAAATGAAGTATGCAAATCTAGAACGTATATACCAAAATCTTGTTTTTACTTTTATGCTGTTCTCTTTCTTCTTCTGATTGGAGTTCATACATTTCACCCTTTTCATTAAGATAATATTCCTTTAGTTGTTCTTTTTCTTGTTCTTCTTCTTTCTTATTTTCTTGGATTAATGTTTCTTGGGAATTTCTTTTATTGTATTCTCTACTTATACCTTTATTACTGAAATCAAAATTAATATCATCAAGTAAATTTAGACGAGAAATGTATAAAGTAGTAAAAAATACTATCAAGTTTATTAACCATGAGAATGTAGAAGTTATTATGAAGGCAGAACATGCTTGTCTCAAGTTGCAAATATATTGGAATTCACAGTTTTTCTTTGGTATGATATAGGATATAATCATTATGAATGAAACTAATTTTAATAGGAATGCAACCAGGCAATAAAAACTTCCATTTCTCTTTTCAAAATTAATGATATTAGCCATGAACATAAAACAAACAATTATTGATAATATTCCATCAGCTATAAAGTATCTATAAATCCCTGCGGATACACGATGATCTAAATTTGATAATACTGAAGCTAAAACTATAACCACAATCTCAAAGATCATTTCAAGGAGGTATAATAATGCATTTGCCGTTATAGAAACATCTTCATGTTGATATTTCGGTATTCCGAGCTCGCTCCCAGGGAAGGTATATAAAGGATGATTCATTACTCTATGAACTAAATCCTCTCCTAGTTGTTTTCTCTTGGTATCTATACTTCGAATATCATCTACTTCAGTAGACTGTATTAACTCATCTCTATCTGTGGTTGCTCTTCTGGATAAGTTCATGAAATCTTTAGGTTCGACTTCTGGTGGTAAATCATTTGCATAATTTGCTCTTTCATATGGAACACTCATAAAAACTGAAGGAGGATAAGGTACAAAAGATTTGGTTGATTTGGATCTTTGCATTAGTCTGTCATCCTTTGGAGGTAGAGATGGTCTTGTCCGGGGATTATTTATGTCAGGATATTCTTCAGCTATCTCCAAAAGTGTCCTTTGAGGTGCTACTTGTGATTGGGGTGGATAATATGCTCGTTTAGTAGATCCTGGTCTATCATAATAATTCATTATTGAGTCTAAAGTAATATCACTCTCTTTATCTTCTTCTAAGGATGTTGGGGTAGTATTCCTTGACCTATTCCTAGTAACTTGTTCAAAATCAAAACGTGATAAGTCACTAACTATTCTAGTATCATCTTCACCATAGGGTCGAAAACTCAGCATATTATACCAGATAAAAATAATTAAATTTAGATTATAGAAGATTAAGGCTAGTACTGAAGTAAGATGGCTGGTTGATGGGCCTTTCTGGCTCATAAATCTCTTGCCAAATCCTAATGCAAATGATATAAAAAGATGTGTGCTATCATTTCCTAATTAGGCAAAATGTAAATAAACTTTGCTAAGAAAATATGTCAGTGCGCAACCAGTTGCGAAATTTATAAAACGAGTTATATAACTTAACTCATATTATGCTGGTGAAGTAGGCTTATGAAAGCTATTAATTAAGGTGAGTCTGTATTCAAGAGTATTTGTAATTTAAAGGCATTAACTGAGGTATGGTCTAAATTTAAATTTTTTGTAGTTGTTCAGTATTAGAGGTAACGTGGGGCTACTAATAATGTATTTCTATCTAGGAGTATTTAGTTATCGTGCTTATTAACTTTATTTCAGCTTATTCAAATAAAGAAGTGATACTATATGAGCAATTGAAGTACCAAAAGATACTTCTGATATTCTTAATAATTTAAACATTCTACTAATCTTCAGAGTCATTATGATAAACATATTTCTAAAATATTTTCCAATTTTGTAGAATATTGCCTTATAAATATTTGAAAACAAAATAAGTCTACAACACATAATTAACTTTCATAATAGTAGATTAAACCAAATATTAACCATTGAATCTTCTAAATAGGAATATTAGCCAATGATTCACCAATTATTGTAATAATTTATAATTTTGGTCATTGGGCACGACTAAAAACGTGATATAGCACGTGATATTTATTCTCTGCCAGAAAACTAGGCATTTTTTTGGCAAAAATTAGCCTGGCTAGCTCAATGGCTAGAGCGTTTGACTTTTAAGATGAAGGTAAACTTCTATACTTAAGGTATCAAAAGGTTGCGGGTTCGACCCCCGCGTCGGGCTTATTTCTTTTTTTTTCAACTCTTGCTATAACAAATTTTTAAATAATTAATATATTGTATCATGAATATATATTGGATGCAGATAAACTATATCATAAAAAAATTAATTGTTAATAATAATGAATTTAAAGAATATAAATAATAAACATCAATTAAATTAAATAAGAGAGTGAGTGATTAATAGAAAGTATAATTAAATATTTTAACTTACTTACTTTCAGCAGCAACGGCGGCCATCTTGTTTAAAGCAGAACCGTATTTGAACCATTCAATTTGTTCACTGTTGTAAGTGTGAGATAATTCAGTTTCCCAAACTTCACCATTCTTTGGGTGAACTCTTAAAGTAACATTCTTACCTGGAGCTAAAGTAGTTAAACCGAGTAAATCAACTTCATCTTCTGGGTTAATCTTATCATAATCAGCAACATTAACAAAGTTTAATGGTAATAAACCTTGTTTCTTTAAGTTAGTTTCATGAATACGAGCAAATGATTTAGTAATGATAGCAAAACCACCTAAGAATCTTGGTTCTAAAGCAGCATGTTCTCTGGAAGAACCTTCACCAAAGTTTTCATCACCAATGACAACCCATTTGTAACCAGCATCTCTGTAAGCAGCAGCAGTGTTTGGAACACCATCATATTTACCAGTGTAAAGATTCTTAACATTGTTAGCTTCACCATTTTCAGCATTGATAGCACCAATCATATAGTTATTAGAAATGTTTTCTAAATGACCACGGTATTTTAACCATGGACCAGCCATTGAAATATGATCAGTAGTGGTCTTACCAACAGCTTTAATTAAGATTGGTAATTTTTCAGCATCTTTACCATCCCATGGTTTGAATGGAGTTAATTTTTGTAATCTATCAGAGGTTGGTTCAATGACAACTTCAACACTAGCTCTATCAACTGGTGGAGCTTGGTAAGTGTTTTCACCAGCATCATAACCATTTGGTGGTAAACCAACACCGACTGGTTCACTTAATTTAAATTCTTTACCATTAACATCCTTTAAGGTATCAGTGATTGGGTTGAAAGCTAAAGTACCAGCAATGGCATAAGCAGTGGTCATTTCTGGAGAAGCAACAAAAGCATGAGTAGCTGGGTTACCATCATTTCTAGAAGTGAAATTTCTGTTGAAAGATGAAACAATGGTGTTCTTGTCACCCTTTTTAATATCTTGTCTATCCCATTGACCGATACATGGACCACAAGCATTAGCCATGACAATACCACCGAAATCTTCGAAAGTCTTTAATTGACCATCTCTTTCAATAGTGGCTCTAACTTGTTCAGAACCTGGAGAAACAGTATAAATGGATTTAGCCTTTAAACCATGAGCAGCAGCATCCTTAATAATAGAAGCAGCTCTGGTCATATCTTCATAAGAAGAGTTGGTACAAGAACCAATTAAACCAACCTTAACTTCTAATGGCCAATCATTAGCAATGGCAGTTTCTTTCATTTTAGAAACTGGAGTAGCTAAATCTGGAGTGAATGGACCATTAATGTGAGGTTCTAAAGTATTTAAATCAATTTCAATAACTTGATCGTATTCAGCACCTTCATCAGCAGATAAGAAATCCTTTTTATACAAGTTAGCAAATTCACCAATTTGAGATCTACCAGTGGCATTTAAGTAATCAACCATAGAGTTATTGAAAGGGAAAACAGAAGTAGTAGCACCAATTTCAGCACCCATATTACAAATAGTACCCATACCAGTACAAGAGAAAGTTTCAACACCAGGACCGAAATATTCAACAATGGCACCAGTACCACCTTTAACAGTTGTAATACCAGCTAATTTCAAGATAATATCCTTTGGAGAAGTCCAACCAGACATTTTACCAGTTAATTTAACCCCAATAATCTTTGGAGCTTTTAATTCCCAAGGTAAACCAGCCATAACATCAACAGCATCAGCACCACCGACACCAATGGCTAATTGACCTAAACCACCAGCATTTGGAGTATGAGAATCAGTACCAATCAATAAAGCACCTGGGAAAGCGTAATTTTCTAAAACAATTTGATGAATAATACCTGAACCTGGTTTCCAGAAACCTAAATTATATTTAGCACAAGCAGAAGCTAAGAAATCATAAACTTCTTTATTTAAATCAATGGCTCTAGCTAAATCCTTTTTACCACCAACTTGAGCTTGAATTAAATGATCACAATGAACAGTTGAAGGAGTTTGAACTTGATCAATACCAGCAGACATAAATTGTAAAATAGCCATTTGAGCAGTAGCATCTTGACAAGCAACTCTATCAGGTCTTAATTTTAAATAAGAGACACCTCTTTCAATATCTTGACCATGAGGATCATTTAAATGACCATATAATAACTTTTCAGCATAAGTTAAAGGTCTATTTAATCTTGATTTAACAATTTCAACATTTTCTAAATGTTTTTTATAGTTAATAAAAGAATGAGTTTCTAATAAATTTTGATTAACTTGAGAATCTCTGGTTAAAGCAGCAGTAGCTAAACCACGAATAGATTTTGGAGCTCTAAGAGCAGTTCTAGATGCTGATAACATTGCCAACAATACAATTGCAATTGAATCTACAATCTAAAAGAATAAAATTAAGAATAAGAATAAGAGATCAAAATTCTTTTCACCCAATAGTATTCCAACGAAAAAACAGCAAACGACACTCCTTAAATCAAGCAAGTCTCACTGTGACAATCGATGGCTGAGAGGAAAAAAAATGTCGATGAGAGAAGCTCGGGAGTGTGCGACATTTCGGGGAGTGTATACAACTTAGCCAATGGTATCGGTCATAGATGTAATAAGTTTTAGAGGGCCCCCGCTAAAGTTTGTTTTTTATAGAGGGTTTTAAGAGAATTATTATTTAATAAAATAAGGAATGATATTATGGGGATAAGTAGAAATATTGGTTATAGTATGAGTGAAAAATTTTGTAAGGTTATTAGTACAATTATTCATTATTGTTAACTAATCATTATCATTGATCTAGTGTGTTGATATGGTTCAAGCGGTCTGTCAAATTGTTGTCGGGTCTATTGTGCAGGAGGAGACATTGGCCGACATTTCTTGGCCTGCACACTGGTCCGCGGTTTCTCCAGGTTTTTTCAACTCCGAAGTTTTTCCATGATTTTATTAAGTGCTTTACGTCGCATTTTATTGGTTCCCGCGCTTCGGATCCGGTGTGCGGCATAATCATTTCACAAAGTAATAACCATTGATCGGCTACTGAAATTTTATTATGTAACTATAGTAGTCACTATCGTCGTGTCATAGTAAAGTAATAGTAATGGTGCCATGAAAAGTAATGGTGTCATGGTAGTTTATGATGTTTATGATGTTTATGTTTATAATTATCATCGTAATACTATTATACTATTGTAGAACTATTAATACTATTATAGTATTTTTGTTAGCCCCCCTCTTTTTAATTCCGTTCTTATGTTAAAATCAACACATACATTTACATTAACCGAATGAAAAATTTTTCATTCTAATAGGTATTGTGTCGTTGTTGTTACCGAGCGATCATTTTGCATCCATTTCATAGTTAACCAGTTCTTGCCGGGACTCATGTGTATTCGGTTCCTGTTTATAATGTAGTACAGTACTTTTCCGCCACTAGGCAAAATACTCTGATATTTATATTATTCATTAAAAATACTTTCAACTCAATGTTTACAAATGCACTAAAATTAGTCAATTATTATTATATATGTATATTCAGTTGACATGGCTTATATTAAAGTCAATTGACGTAACATATCATTAACCTCCTATTCTCATTTGATGGATATTACTGTATTTATATAAATTGACCAAAGCCTTGTTCAATTTCATCTACTACGAATTACGTCTACGGGAAACACTTCCCATAACTCATTATACAATAACTCGAATGCCTTGAGTCGTGTACTATGAATAGGAATTATCAGATTACTGGATATTGTGAGTCAGGGCTGAGCTTATCTTCTCTTTGGTCTTCTCACTGTACGGCACGAGCTAGTAAAGCCTGTATCTAATAACCCTTAGAAAAAGCCAAATATTTACAGCCAAAGAACTAATTGGAAATGAATAATTGAATATTTATATAACTTGTAGTTATACCAGTAGTCTTTACTTAATGAATTAATTAATCAAACAATTAATCAATTATATCAAGTAATTGAAAATTATTAGAAGAGTTTATTTCTTGATCGCCTAATGCCTTTGCAACGATAATATTAATTAATCAATATCTATCATGCCAGCTTATCCAGAACTTATATGTGGTGCAAGTGCAATCTTTCACCCTTTGGCACCAAATTATGAAAATGCCTTTAATCCTTGTTTCTTAACTTGGATATTTACTGCCTTTTCACTTGTTAGTATTTTAATTGGTTCAATAGCTTTAATTAATACAGTTAATCATAATATTCGTTATGGTTCATTTTCTCCTAAATTTACAGGATTAAATCATTACATACGAGTCAATTCAGTAGCTTTACATGGATTATTATTTATTGTACTTTCTTCGTATGTAAGTATTCATGAAAGATTGGCTGATACAAAGATTTTGGCCTTTAGTTTATTATCAATTGCTTTGCTTGGAATTGTATTACCTTTACATTTCATAGAAACAAGTTATAGACCAATTCCTTTTGATTTCCTTTTATTATTCTGGCCAATCTTCTTGGTTCTTCAAGCATTATTATTCTTTCAAGATAATTTCACTGCATGGAAACTTGTTAAACTGGTTGAACATTCTTCAACAATTTTTGCCATTGAAACATTCCTTCTTTTCAATACAGTTTCAATTTTCCTCATGGAAAATTCACAAGAATTTTGGAAACCAAATAAAGAATTATTATTCCAATTTACTAAGGAAGGTAAGTTTAAGGAATTAGCTAAACATAATGTCATTGAAAAAATTACTTTCACTTGGATGAATCCTTTAATCATGAGTACTTATGAAAAACAATACTTAGATGAAACTGAATTACCAGATATTCCAGCTAATGTATCAACGGTTGCAAATACAGAAAATCTCAGTAAATATTGGAATCCGTATGATAATTCAAGTTTACCTAAGGCTATATTTAAAGCATTTGGCCTCCCTTGTTTTATTGCAATTTGCTATGAATTTATGGGAAAATTATTAAACTTTGTAAGTCCCCAATTGCTTAGACTTTTCATTAAATTTTTTGATGATAAGCAAGCTCCTCTATTACAAGGAGTTTTAATTTCCATCGCAATGTTTTTTGTCACTGCTTTACAAACATCATTATCAAACGAATACTTATTAAGAGCTTTGGTTGTTGGTTTAGGTTGTAGATCTTCACTTACGTCATTAATTTATCAAAAATCTTTGAAATTATCAGCAGAATCAAAATTGAAAACTAGTTCAGGTGATATAATAAATTTAATGTCTGTTGATGTTAATAGAATTCAAAATGTTACTCAAAATTTAAGTATCATATTTTTGGCTCCACTTGATATCATTTTATGTATTGCTTCATTATGGCCATTATTAGGAAAATCAGTTATTTCAGGAATTGTTATCATGTTCTTATTAGTACCTTTCAATTCAATAATTGTTAGATACCTGAGAAAATTAAATAAGCATCAAATGAAATTAAAAGATAATCGTTCAAGAATCGTTAATGAAATTTTATCATCCATTAAATCAATTAAATTATATGCTTGGGAAAAACCAATGTTAGCAAAATTAAGTGCTTCTAGAAACGGTAAAGAATTAAAAAATTTAGCTAAAATTAGAACTGTTGGTCAATTTGGTGTCTTTATTTGGAATTTAATTCCATTTTTAGTAGCATTTTCATCATTCGCAACTTTTGCTTTAACAAGTAAGGTTCCTTTGACTTCAGATATAGTGTTTCCAGCTTTAGCTTTAATTAACCTTTTATCAGGCCCATTATTAGAATTGCCAATGATTATCACTTCTATGATTGAGGCATCTGTGGCACTTGGTAGAATTTCAACGTATTTAAGGTGTTCAGAAGTTGATAATACTTTTATAAATCATAATGTAAATGGTGGTGACGCTGAGGATAATAATGCCATAACAATCAATAATAGTTCCTTTTTGTGGTCAAAACCCAAATACAACGATAATGAAGAAGAAGCTGTCGAGTCCTTTAATTATTCCCTTAAGAATATCAATTATTCTGTTGAGAAAGGTACATTATCAAGTGTTGTAGGAAGAGTTGGAAGTGGAAAATCATCATTTCTTTATGGATTATTAGGTCAATTGGTTGTGACAAAAGGAAATGGAGAGTCTGATCCTTTTGTTAATATCAATGGTAATATCGCTTATTGTGCTCAATCACCCTGGATCATGAATTCTTCGTTTAAGGAGAACATTATTTTTGGCCATAAATACGATGAAGACTTTTATCAAAAGACCATTGAAGCTTGTCAATTATTGCCTGATTTGAAGGTATTACCGGATGGAGATGATACTCAAGTTGGAGAGAAAGGTATCTCTTTATCAGGGGGTCAAAAGGCTAGATTAGCTTTAGCAAGAGCCGTATATGCTAGAGCCGATATTTATCTATTAGATGATGTATTAAGTGCTGTGGATTCTCACGTTGGTAAGAAGCTTTTAACACAAGTTCTCAGCAGAGAGACTGGATTATTGGCTAGTAAAACTATTATACTTAGTACGAATTCTATTTCTGCCTTAAATTATTCTGATAAAATTACCTTGATAGCTAAGGGTGAAATAATTGAAGAAAGTACCTTTGATGATATTAATTTACAACATCATCCAAAATTATTTGAGTTGATTTCTGAATTCGGTAGGAGTGATGTATCTAAAACTCCTTCAGTTAGAGAAGAAGTTGCTAGTACAATCATAACAATAGATCAACCAGAAGTAAATTCCATAATTGATCCTGCAGTACTTGAAGAGGATAACGTTCAAGATTTGACTCCTGAGGTAACCAATACATACAAGACATTAAGAAGAGCAAGTATAGCAACTTTATCTTACGATCCACTGAAAAAATTAGTGGCTGATTTGAGAAGTGGCCAAATAAGAGAAACCAGTGAGAAGGGTAAAGTCAAATGGTCGGTGTACATTGAGTATGCCAAAGCATGTTCTTTACTTGGTGTATCTATTTGGTTCACATTATTGATTTTAGCATCTTGTGTGTCTATTGGTGGTAATTACTGGTTAAAGCATTGGACTGAACAGAACAGCACTGACCCTGCCAAAGCAAATGTTTGGAAATTCATAACTGTTTATGCTCTTCTTGGATTTGGTGCTAGTTTTACAAGCATCATTCGAGGAATGGTAATGATGCTTTGGCTAGGATTGAATGCTTCACGAAAAATTCATGATAAGATGGCTGCGAGAGTCTTAAGAGCACCAATGGTCTTCTTTGATAGAACTCCAGTTGGGAGAATCATGAATAGATTTACTAATGATATTAACCTGATAGATGATTCTATTCCAGGGTCGTTGCAAGGTTTTGTTGCTCAAATGATGAATACTCTTATTACTTTTGGAGTAGTTGGTTACATTATGCCATTCTTTATTTTGGTTATATGTTTGTTATCCACCATTTATTGGTATTATGAATTATTTTATGTTTCATTATCAAGAGAATTAAAAAGATTAATTTCTATTTCTAGATCACCAATTTATGGCCATTTAGGTGAAACTTTAAATGGTATTGATACAATCCGTGCCTACAAGCAATTCGATAGATTTGATCATATAAATAATGCTAACGTTGATTTCAACCTTAGATCTGCCTATTTATTGAGATCTATTCATAGATGGTTAATGTCGAGACTACAAGTAATTGGTTCAATCGGGTCTTTTTGTGCATCATTATTGGCTATTTATACAGTCACGACTGCCTCACCATTGACTTCATCAATGGCAGGATTTGTTATGACTTATGCTTTACAAGTCACTAATTCTTTGAGATTAGTAGTCAGAATGTCAGCCGAAGTTGAAACCAATGTAGTTTCTGTTGAAAGATGCTTAGAGTACACTGCCTTACCAGTCGAAAAAGGTGAAGATGATGATTTTGACGAGAGCACATTTGTCAAGCCACCTTTACACTGGCCCGCTGATGGAGAAATAATCTTTGATAACTATTCTACTAGATATCGTGAAAACCTTGATTTGGTATTAAAGAATATTTCTTTACGTATCAAATCAGGTGAACATATAGGTGCGGTAGGTAGAACTGGTGCAGGGAAAAGTTCATTAGCATTATCGGTATTTAGAATTATCGAGCCTGCAGATGGACATATTGAAATTGATGGTATTAACACTAGTAGTTTGAAATTGTATGACTTAAGACATAATTTGAGTATCATTCCACAAGATTCACAATTGTTGGAAGGTACCATTAGACAGAATTTAGATCCATTCAACTACTACACTGATGGCGAAGTTTGGAGAGCATTAGAATTAGCACACTTGAAAGATCACATTGAGAACTTAGAAGATAAGAACAACGAGATGGAAGAAGGAGCATCTAAATTAGAATACAAAGTTCACGAAGGAGGATTAAATTTCTCGTCGGGACAAAGACAATTGATGTCGTTAGCCAGAGTATTATTGAAAATGAACGAATCACAAGTATTGGTATTAGACGAAGCTACTGCAGCTGTGGATGTTCAGACTGATAAGATCATTCAAGAAACGATTAGATCCGAGTTCAAGAACAAGACCATCATTACTATTGCACACAGATTAGACACTGTGATGGATAGTGATAAGATTATTAGTTTAGATCATGGAGAAGTTAAGGAATTTGATTCACCTCAAAACTTACTCAATAAGCAAGATGGTATATTTTATAGTTTATGTAAACAAGGTGGATACATTTAGGACTCCTTGAATCTGAATACACAGTCTAAGTTAAATTTATTTGTGTAAAATATTCTGTGATGTAATTCATAGCTCTCTTAACTGAAGAATAACCAGTTAGACATTTAATTCTCTTGGATCATTCGTTACTCAAACTAAGTTACCCTAATTATGCATATAGCATTACAGCCTAGTTAGTAGTTGTCTAAATACTTTGGATGTAGTAAATATCGAAAAAGGAATGAGAGATTTCGAAGGTTTCTCATTGGATAACTAGCCTGATCTTATTTATAGAAATATATAAGTTTGATTTATTTTAATTTATGAAGGGAAATACTGCATTGGAAGGTTTGATCTGTCTAAATAAAATCAGTTCTTATCAAATCAATAGAGAAACCTTGGAAATCCCAACCAAGAGAATTCAATAAATATTAACATATATTATCTACCATCATTAGATTAATAGGTAAAGGAAGGTAAAAACAGACTATATTACATATCTATTATTTCTTGAAGTTTTGTTTGCGCGGTTTTTACATTCGAAAAGTGATAGATCTTTTTTTCCCCGTAGCAGTATATGTATTCTCACTAGATATAAAATTATAGAGGAATAAATACTTGCAAAATTTTTGAGAGAAACTAGTAACTAGTGAAAACTCTCATTGAGATACTCTTATTGGACATAGTATGTAGATAATAAAGTAGATAGATTTATAAGGATGAAGACAAATATGATACCCAATTTTTAATAAGTGGAAGAGTTAATGGATCGAGCACATTACCCTCCTTATGCGCTAGCGATCGTGGACTGTACAATTGGTGGATGATGTGTAGGTATCGATTTAGCAAGAGAAGCTGTGTAATATTAAGGTTGTAGTTAGCGATGATAGTAATCCATTCTTGAGGGAGGGAAATATGTAGCTTCTGCCATACTACTTTGCTAATGGAGCAATGAAGGTAGAGATGGTCATGATATTCGGTGGAGTCAACCAGTGTGAGACAAAGATGACATCATCAGTTGGAGGTAGTGGAGTGCGAACCATTTTGACAACATCGGACTAGGCACAAAAATCTTGACGTGCGGCACACTTCCCGATTGGACGCAAGTCCGCATTATCTCTCCGATCCACAATTTTGTTGAAAAGTTTTCAGGCTATGCAAATTAAATTAAAATAATATAAAATCCATCTGCTTGCCAATTGTAGTGGGTAACTCATGATCGAATTGGAAGTAAATTGTTAGTTGACGTACTTATCGAAATGACCATGAACATTACTGACCATTCAAATTTAATTGGTGGTATAGGTGCTATACTTCATCCATTAGCACCAAATAATGATAATGCTTTTAATCCATATTTTTTAACGGCCGTAATATCTACATTTAGTATAGTTAATATCATTCAAGGTGGTATTAACTTAACTACCAATTTGCATCAAAAGACTCGGTATGGACAGTTCTCCACTAAATATACTGGATTAAACCATTATCTTAGATTAACATTAGTTTTAATTCATGGATTACTATTTTTATACCTTTGCTCATATATAAACATTCAAAAAAAATTAGGACAATCCAAAATATTCAGTCTTGGTTTGTTAGTGATAAGCATTCTAGGTATAGTACTCCCATTGCATTTTATTGAAACAAGTTACAGACCAATACCTTTCGATTTCCTTTTAATATTTTGGCCAAGTTTGCTTATCTTAGAGATAGCTTTATTCTTTCAGGATAATTATACTACTTGGCCATTGATTCATCCCCATGTATCCAATCCATCTTTAGTCCTATGGATCGAAGTATTTCTTCTTATCAATACTGGGCTTATCTTTTACCTTGAGAATTCAAAGACTTATTGGAAACCCAATAAAGAATTAACATTTCAATTTATTAAAAATGGACAAAGAAAAGAACTCGATGCTCACAATTTAGTGGAAAGAATCACCTTAAACTGGATTAATCCGCTAATTGTTAGTACTTATAACAAACAATACTTAGATGAATCAGAATTACCAGATATTCCTCATAGAATAACTACTGTAGGAAACGCAGAAAAGCTTTTAAAGCATTGGAACAATGATGGTTCAAAATCATTATTATCTAGTCTTATTGGAGCATATGGGTTTGAACTCACAATTGCTATTCTCATTGAATTCATGGGTCGTTTATTAAATTTCGTCAATCCTCAATTATTAAAACTCTTTATTAGATTCTTTGACAATAAGGATGCACCATTATTAGAAGGAATTTTGATTGGGTTAGGTATATTTGCTGTTACTGTTGTTCACACATCATTAACTAATGAATATATTTTAAGAACTTTAGAAGTTGGATTAGGATGTAGATCTGCCCTAACTTCTATAATCTATCAAAAATCATTGAAATTATCACCAGAAGCTAAATTAAAAACTTCATCTGGTGATATTATAAATTTAATAGCTGTTGATCTTACTAGACTTCAAACTGTTATTCAAGGTTTAAGTACGTTATTTATTGGACCATCAGATATTTTATTATGTATTATATCCTTATGGCCATTATTAGGTAAAGCCACTTTATCAGGAATCTTCGTAATGGTTTTATTAATTCCAATTAATACTATTTTAGTAAGATACCTGAAGAATTTAAGTAAGTCACAAATGAAATTAAAGGATAATAGATCAAGAATTATTAATGAAATATTAAATTCTGTGAAATCAATTAAATTATATGCATGGGAAAATCCTATGCTAAAGAAATTATCTGAATCTCGTAATGATAAAGAATTGAAGAATTTAGCTACTATAAGATTAGTTAACCAAGTGGGTGACTTTGTTTGGAATTTAATTCCATTCTTATTTTCATTCACATCATTTGCAACTTATGCTTTGACCAGTTCAACTCCATTGACTTCTGATATTGTATTTCCAGCATTAGCATTAATTAATCTTTTATCAGGACCATTATTAGAATTCCCAACTCTTATTACTTCAATGATTGAAGCTTATGTTGCATTAGAAAGAATTACAAAATACTTAACTAGTAGTGAAGTTGAAAATACTTTTATTACACGTACCAATAATCCAACAGACCCCAATTCTATTGATATTGTCAATTCCTCATTCTTATGGTCCAAACCAAAATATTCAGATAATGAAAATGATATTCAATCGTATAATTATGCTTTAAAGAATGTAAATTACACGGTAAAGAAGGGATCATTATCTTGTATTGTAGGACGAGTTGGAAGTGGTAAATCATCATTTCTTTATGGATTATTGGGCCAATTAGTAGTGGTCAAAGGGTCTAATGATTCTATAAATCCTTCTGTTAATATTAATGGTAATATTGCTTACTGTCCTCAATTACCTTGGATTATGAACGCTTCATTTAAGGAGAATATTATTTTTGGACATAGATATGATGAAGAGTTTTATCAGAAGACCATTAAAGCTTGTCAGTTGTTAACTGACTTAAAAGTATTACCGGATGGAGATGATACTCAAGTTGGAGAGAAAGGTATCTCTTTATCAGGGGGTCAAAAGGCTAGATTATCGTTAGCAAGAGCCGTATATGCTAGAGCCGATATTTATCTATTAGATGATGTATTAAGTGCTGTGGATTCTCATGTTGGTAAGAATTTACTAACTAATGTGTTTAGTCGTCAAACAGGTATATTGGCTTCCAGGACAATTATTTTAAGTACCAATTCAATTAATGCATTGGATTTTGCCGATGACATAAACTTGATTGCAGGTGGAACTATTGAAGAAAGGAGTAGTTTTCAAGGAATCAATATTCAGGACCATCCAAAACTATTTGAATTACTTAAAGAGCATGGTAAAACTGATATTTCCAAGACACCATCTGTTGTAGATACCAGTGCACTTATTACCACTGAAGAAGATGTATCCTTATCACAAGAAGATGATTCTATTTACGATTTTAGTCCTCAAGTTAATACTAATAAAATTTTAAGAAGAGCTAGTTTAGCTAGTTTGAGGTATGACCCTCTGAAAATAGTACTTAAAAACTTAAGGAGTAGTCAAATTAAAGAAGTTAGTGAAAGGGGTAAAGTTAAATGGTCAGTATACATTGAGTATGCTAAAGCATGTTCTATTATTGGTGTGAGTATTTGGTTTATTCTCTTAGCATTTTCATCACTATTATCTATTGGTGGGAATTATTGGTTAAAGACATGGACAGAACAAAATAGTCATTCAGGAACTAATCCTCATGTCTGGAGATTTATTGCTGTGTATGCTCTTCTTGGATTTGGAGGTAGTTTTGCTATTATTATTCGAGGTATGGTAATGATGCTTTGGTTGGGATTAAATGCTTCACGAAGGATTCATGATAAAATGGCCACCAGAGTATTAAAAGCTCCTATGGCATTTTTTGATAGAACACCCGTTGGTAGAATCATGAATAGATTCACTACTGATATTAATCAAATTGATGATATTGTTCCAAGGATATTGCAAGATTTTATGGGTCAAGTATTTAGTACGCTCATTACATTTATTACTGTGGGGTTGATTATGCCATTCTTTGTGTTGGTAATTTTTATGTTATCGAGTCTTTATATTTATTATCAAATATTTTATGTTGCTATTTCTCGAGATTTGAAAAGATTAATTTCTATATCTACTTCACCAATTTTTGGTCATTTAGGGGAGACATTAAGTGGTATAGATACTATTAGAGCCTATGATCAATATAATAGATTTGATCATATTAACAGTTCTAATGTGGATTTCAATCTCAGATCCGCCTATCTAATGAGATCTGTCCAGAGATGGTTAATTTCTAGATTACGTATCGTTGGATCAATCGCTACATTATGTGCCTCATTATTAGCAATATTTACTGTAACAACTAGTCATCCATTATCTTCATCAATGGCAGGGTTTGTAATGGCATGTGTATTACAAGTAACAAACTCTTTAAGAATGGCTGTTAGAATGTCTGCTGAAGTTGAGAATAGTGTCGTTTCCGTAGAAAGATGCTTAGAATATACTTCCATACCTGTTGAAAAAGGCGAAGATGATGATGTCGACGAGAGTAAATTTGTTAAACCCCCTTTACAATGGCCCGCTGATGGAGAAATAATCTTTGATAACTATTCTACTAGATATCGTGAAAACCTTGATTTGGTATTAAAGAATATTTCTTTGCATATTAAGCCTGGAGAACATATAGGTGCGGTAGGTAGAACTGGTGCAGGGAAAAGTTCATTAGCATTATCGGTATTTAGAATTATCGAGCCTGCAGATGGACACATTGAAATTGACGGTATTAATACCAGTAGTTTGAAATTGTATGACTTAAGACATAATTTGAGTATCATTCCACAAGATTCACAATTGTTGGAAGGTACCATTAGACAGAATTTAGATCCATTCAACTACTACACTGATGGCGAAGTTTGGAGAGCATTAGAATTAGCACACTTGAAAGATCACATTGAGAACTTAGAAGATAAGAACAACGAGATGGAAGAAGGAGCATCTAAATTGGAATACAAAGTTCGCGAAGGAGGATTAAATTTCTCGTCGGGACAAAGACAATTGATGTCGTTAGCCAGAGTATTATTGAAAATGAACGAATCACAAGTATTGGTATTAGACGAAGCTACTGCAGCTGTGGATGTTCAGACTGATAAGATCATTCAAGAAACGATTAGATCCGAGTTCAAGAACAAGACCATCATTACTATTGCACACAGATTAGACACTGTGATGGATAGTGATAAGATTATTAGTTTAGATCATGGAGAAGTTAAGGAATTTGATTCACCTCAAAACTTACTCAATAAGCAAGATGGTATATTTTATAGTTTATGTAAACAAGGTGGATACATTTAGTTGTTACTTTAGTTAATACATAATTTTGCAGCAATTAACACAATCATTTCAGTGCGCACTAAAAATTTAGTGATTGTAGTGAGCGGTTACTGGTTAGCAGGACAAAGTTTGTGTAAGTTAAGCTCCCTTATTCCAGAAATTTGCTGTTTCCTAATTAGCTTGATAGAAATTTGTTATTTGCTAGGGTCAATTTAAATCTGACAAAAGCTTACCAAATATAATTTACTGAGTTATTCTATGTAAAGAAAAATGACTGAAGTTGACAAAGCTCTCACTCCTAGCAGTAAGAATGGATTATTAAATAGCGGAACAATTAAACCAAGTGCTATTAAGATTCTAAAAAAGGAATATAATCAAATTTACATGCATCCATTAGAGAAAATAACTGTTGGGATAGATGAACTGAATTTACAAGTTTTTTATTTCTTAATTAATGGTTGCAAAGATACTCCATTTGAAGGAGGTTTGTATATGGGCTTAATTATATTTCCCGTAGATTATCCCAATTCTGCCCCTGAATTTCAAATGATTAGTCCAAGTGGGAGATTTAAGTTAAGAAGTTCAATTTGTATGACAATTTCTGCGTATCATCAAGAATCATGGAGTCCTGCTTGGTCATTGGAAACGATTTTGTATGGGTTTGTTTCTTTTATGAATAGCAACGATGAAAAAGGGATAGCATCTATGTCCCTGTCTGACTCTTCAAGAAGATCTTTGGCTAAGGAGTCCAAGAAATGGTTATACTCCAACTGTAGGATCTTTAAGAAGATTTTTCCTAGTGAATACGAGCTCCTTCATACAATTTATACCACTCCAAGTTTTGACAAGATGGAAAAGTATATTCTTAACGATCCTATTCAGACTGAAGATGTATGTGATATGATGGTGAAAAGATTACTGAGTATGAATTCAAATCAATCAAAGTGGAAATCGGTTAAAGAAAATGAAGAAATTTTGGTTTCATTGTTTAGTTCACTAACACCTAAAAGAGAGGCGGATAAGATATTAGGTATAAAACCGGCAAAAATCCCTGTAATTGAATTTGAAAATGAATTTGAAGATCTGCTGAGTGATAATGATTCAAAGATATACTCTTCAGAAGATCTTCCAGAACTTTATGAATCTGAAGAGGAAGAGGAGGAAGAGGATGAATCGGATATTTTTGAATTTTCGCAGTAAAGAATCATAAATGATAAACGATAAACGATAAACATTTAATAAGTAGATATAACTAAAGTAATTTAAATATTTGAGATATAATTTTCAGGAGAGATAAAGCGTTTAATAAATATTTAAATAACAAATCAAATGATTGATATCCAGTAAAAGTAGATTGGTTGCAATTTGCAGCAGATAGTAGTGTCGTGTACCCTACTCAAAAGCAATTAAGGACGGGACTGCTCCTTGTACAGGACCAACAAAAATATCCGTCAAAAAACCAAATGAGGAGAATTCGGATCGGGGTCCATTTCTAATCCGCAACATTACACTATTTGTAGAGATTCAGTAAGTTTACCATATTGATATTTAATTCGGTGTTGTTTGATACATATTTATCACTCAATTGTATAAAGACAAGTATAATAAATCTTTAAAAAAAACCCTTCAAAATGGCAACTGCTGCTCAACATACTTCTAAATTTGCTAGATTCTTAAATTCCGAGACTGGTCCAAAGACTGTACATTTTTGGGCACCAGTATTGAAATGGTCATTAGTTATTGCTGGATTTAATGATTTACAAAGACCAGTTGAAAAATTAAGTGGTACTCAACAATTGGCATTATTTGCTACTGGAGCTATATGGACTAGATGGGCCGGATTTGTAATTAAACCTAGAAATCCTTTATTAGCTAGTGTAAATTTCTTCTTAGGAGGTGTTGCAGGTTATCAAATATTTAGAATTGTAAGTTTTAGAAAGGAAAAAGGTGATAATAATCTTCAAGTATTTAATTATTTATTACATGGTGAAGAGGATTTAGCTGCTAATCCTCCTAGACTTGAACCTGTATCGGAACAATAGATGTATGAATTATTTATTAGTTAATATATATTACACGTTATAATTCTATTGTAGATTTAATTCTCAACTTAAATCATCAGGGTCTGAATCCATTTCTTGTTTAACTGCAAGTTCTTCTATTTCTTCAGTTGTCTGTCGCGTTAAATTATTGTCATGATGAGTTCCATCATCAAGTTCTTCATCGTCTCTATCAGCTCCAACTTCTGGTTCATCATCATCATCATCTTCTACTTCATGACCTTCTTCATCATCATCTTCTTCTTCATCATCATCTTCATCGAAATCTTGTTCAATAATCTCATCTTCATCATCGTCATTATCTTCTTCTTCACCACCTCTAACCGATTTAGATTCCAGAACTTTAATACTATCAATTTCTGCGAATATTTTAGGAAGAGTCTTATTAATAAAATCCTTCAAAGTATTATCACGATTATTCCATCTATTATTATTAACATAAATTTGATTCTTTAGAAGTAATAAGATTTCATATTTAATTCTCTTGGATACTCTTAATCTATATTCAATATCTATAAGATTTTGAAATACTTTATAATCAGGAAATGGTAAATCTGATTTTGGATCAAGTGAAAAGATTTCATTAATATTAATTTGTCTATTAAATTCTCCATTATTATTTTTAGATAATTTAGAAAGTATTATTTCATCATTATATTTTAATAATGTCTCTATCGAGAAATTAAAATCTGGTAAACTAACTTTATTTCGAAGATTTTCATATGATGATGATAAGTTATTAATTTCTTCATAAATTCTATAATTATCAGCTACTACTTTATTATAATTAAATATTTCATTATCCATAAATGATTTAATAGTTTTTTGATTCCAGATTTTAAATTCCTTAACGGCATTATTTACATGGAATGAATCCAATAAAAATTGTTTCTTTATTAATTGAATTCGTTCAGTTAATTGTTCATCTATAGTTGGCTTGTCTTTAATTAATGTTTCATTAATTTCAAGTAAATCATGTGCTGACTTATAACTATCTATTGAATTCGATAAAGTACTCTGAAGACTTTCGATCTGATCTCTAATCTCTGCACTTACCATACTTACAATGTGGTGTATTGTTCTGCTAAAGGGATAAAAGCTTTGGTGATATTAGTTATTAGTTATTAGTTATTAGTTCTTAGTTATTAGCGACCCAAAGATCCACACCGCAGTACGTTACTCGCGTTGTTTACCTAATATTCATCTAACTTTAACTAAACCACTATTAAGTATCCATAAGTTATTCAGATCCACTATAATACAATGAGAGATAGTGATATTGAACAGATCAGAGGTGACTTGTACAGGTCATATCAGATTCTTAACAATCTAAATCTTTTCCAAGCGGGGAAATGGTGTGCTGAAGCATTTAATGGATTAGTAGAACCCAATAGATCATCAACATCATCATCAATTCCAACTTATCCAATAGTAGAGAAAAGTGCCAATGAATGGTTAGATGAGGGGAAATTCATGCTTGCCAAATCATATTTCAATTGTCGAGAATTTGATAGAGCAGCTCATGTATTAAAGGATTGTAAGAGTGGTAATGCATTATTTCTTAGATTATATTCTATCTTACTATCAGTTGATAAATCAGCTACAGAAGAAACAGATGGGTCTATAAATGTTGGATCATTTAGTAGCGATACAAATGATCATCAAAATGGTAATGGTAGTAATGGTAATAATGGTAATGGTAATGGGAATTCAGGAGGAGGAGGAGGAATCTCAGGGAATGGAATTGATATACCTCATGGAGGAGCCATTGGAGCCAATAATGATAATCTGAATTCTGATGGGAATAATAATTCTAAAGAATTACTTAATAATTTAAATTCTCGATTGAATAAAATCATTCAAGAATCAGAAGCATTTCTTGCTAGAGAAGAAAATGCATTTCTTTATTATTTGAATGGGATAATATATAATAAGAAGAAGAAATATAATTTAGCACAAATTAATCTTTATAATTCTTTAAGATTATTTCCTTATAATTGGTCATGTTGGCAAGAACTTATATGGTCATTTACAACATTAAATGAAGCATTAACATTATTAAATAAGATAAAAAGTGATAAATCAGGTATAGTTTCAAATAATATAATGTTTCAATTTTTTGAAGTGGTTGTATTACAAGAATTTTATCAACAATCATCAACATTATTTGATAATTTAAATAATTTAATTACAATATTTCCTAAATTTACATTTTTAAAGATTCAACAATTTTTAATTTATTATCATAATCTTGAATATTATCAAGCTGAATCAATTTTTGATCAAATTTTAGTTGATGATCCATTAAGATTAGAAGATTTAGATACTTTTTCAAATATGCTTTATGTTATGGAAAAGAAATCAAAATTATCATTTTTAGCTCAATTTGCTTCTCGTATAGATAAATTTAGACCAGAAACTTGTTGTATTATAGCAAATTATCATTCAATGAAATGTGAACATGAAAAGGCTATAATGTATTATAAACGAGCATTAATTCTTAATAAAAATTGTTTAAGTGCATGGACCCTTATGGGACATGAATTTGTTGAATTAAAGAATAGTCATGCAGCAATTGAATCTTATAGACGAGCAGTTGATATTAATTCAAAAGATTTTCGAGCTTGGTATGGATTAGGTCAAGCTTATGAAGTATTAGATATGAATCTTTATGCATTATATTATTATCAAAAGGCAACTATATTACAACCATTAGATAAAAGAATGTGGCAAGCTATTGGGAATTGTTATGAAAAGAGTGATAAATATGAAGAAGCAATAAAATCATTTGAAAAGGCTTTAACAATAGATACATTAACTAATGAAGATACTGGAGAATCAATTCAAACTTTTGATCCTCATATATGTTATAGATTAGCATTAATTAATGATAAATTAATTAAAACTGAAGATACTTTTAAGTATATGAAATTATGTGCAGATCAAGAATTTGAATGGGGGGCAAGTGATGAATCATCAAAGGCTAAACTTTGGTTAGCAAGATATGCATTAGATAATAATCGACCTGATGAAGCTCATGAATTATGTAAAGATTTAAATTATTATGGACCTGATCTTGAAGAGGCGAGGTCGATAGTTCGAGAAGCACGAAGTAGAATGCTGAAGAAACAACTACATTGAATATATTAATTAGTAGTATAATAATAATAATAAACTAAAAATAATAATAGTGAAAGCTTTTGATTAAAGAGGAAGGAGGGCTATGAATATTATAATTAAGTAATTAAGTAATTAAGCTTTAATTGAGTTAAAAAGAATGATATGATATGATATGCCATGAATGAAGTCTAAGTAAAAGTAGAATAAATAGTATGAGGAAATTGGAAATTGGAAATTGGAAATTGACGAGATCTAATAATTAAGAATCTCATTAGTTAATTCAAAAAGATCATTTTCTGTATTAATTGATTGTAATACTTTATTAATTGCAATATCAAAGATATCAATTAATTTTTGATATTCATTAATAGATACTCCATTATTAATATGAATTAATAAATGAGGATTAATTAATGGTAAATTTTCATGTTCAATTTGATTCTTTGATCTTGTTATTAAGATATTAGTATTTTGTAAAATAAAATCAATAATCTTTTGTAATAAAAATGATTCAAAATTATAATAATCATCAAATGGATTAACATATTTTGCTGGTTTACCTCTAATTAAAATTTCAGAATTACCATATAATTGAGGTAAATTTAATGAATCTCTATAATTATTTGTTAAACTTATATGAATAATTGGAGAATTTCTATCCGAAATAATTTCAACATATTTTGAATTAGATAATTTCTTTAATAAATTATCATAAACAAAATATGATTTTTCATGTAATGAATTAATTAAAATTGATTCACCATTGGAATTAATATTTTCAGTAATTTCCTTTATAGCTTCAGAAGCAACTTTTGCCGAATATGGTGGTAAAGATGCACTGAAAACATAAGCATTTGATTGAATTCTTTGATGATGAACCATTGGATTAACTCCAACACAAAATGCTCCTGATGATGCAAATGCATTAGCTAATGAACCAATACTTATAGAAATTTCAGTTCTTGGAATATTAAAATGTTCAACTAATCCTCTACCAGTTTTACCTAATGTACCAATTGATAATGATTCATCTAAAAATAATCTATATTTATATTTATTTTTTAATTCCACAATTGATTTTAAATTAGCTAAATCTCCTGTATTAGCAAATAAAGCTTCAGTAACAATAAATCTTCTTTTAATTGGTTTTTGTTTATCTAATACTGGTTTAATTTCTGATAAAATTTGTTCTAAATGAATTATATCATTATGATCATACCATTCAATATCACAACGACTAATAATTAAAGCCTTTTGAATAGCTAAATTAACTCCACTATCAACTACACAAAGATCACCTCTTTTTAAAAAGGCAGGAATAACTGAACCAGCTGTAACATAATCTTGACCATAAAGAATTGATTGTTCACCATCTAAATATTTTGCTAAATCTTCTTCTAATCTAACATGAACATCTTGAGTACCATAAAAATTTGGTGGACCACATGCCCCAACACCAGAATTATTAATTACTTGATTTGCGGCTAATTTAATTGATTTACTTTCATTTAAATTAAGAAAATCATTGGAAGCTAAATTAATAACTTCTTGTCTACCATCAATATTAATATGAGAACCATTATGACCTTTAACTTCTGGTATAGCATCTAATTGCCATTTTTCATAAGGATTAATTTCATCAATTAATGGTTCAGGTACCCATTCTTCACATAATTCATCAATTTCTCGTTTAGAAAACTTGACAAAATCTGATTTGTTTTCTCGCTTTTTTGATGAAAGGAAATAATGAATGGCAAATATAAATAATGCTAATTCAAATAATGATCTTATTGGATCATCTTGATATGAACTTTTAATATATCTTAAAATGATTTGTCCACCAGGTAATTTATCTAAACTATTTAAATAATATACAAAATTATCGGCTAATTTTTGTGATACTAAATCCCAAGTTGGAGGTACAGTTGTTGTAGTGGTTGTAGTTGTTGTTGTAGTGGTTGTAGTAGTGGCTGTGTATATAACTTCTACTGCTGAAGTCATATTGAATAAGTCAAAATACAAAAGAAAGGAATAGAATACAAAAGAATGGTAAAGAAAAGAAAAGAATGTATACAACTCTGAGTCTATTCGTGTGTTGTGTGTTGTGTGTCGTGTGTCGTTCTGACTGTGGTCGCTCTACTCAACCTCCCCTCACTAGACCTTCGGATTGGTGTTGTTGGAGTTGTGGATGTTCATAACAGAGAGGGCTAATTTTTTCATCGTAAGACTGGCGAAAATAAATAGGGGACGTGTGTAGGAGAAAGGGAAGCTGCTGTGAGCATGCATGGTAGCGCTCAATACATTACAATAGTAAAAGTATTATATAGTACTGCATATAACCCTCTCGCTTACATAATACCTGACATAATATATTAAATTAATACTTTACTACTTACTAGGGTATAAATACCTTAGATACTCCCTCTACTTGTCTACGACAACATACACATCCCTCTATACCTTTACTCACTAAACTGAGACGACATGATTCACAAATAGCAAAACATTTACAGGGCCAGGTAATGATTTCTCGCGTGTTGGTTTGGCATATGACACAGTCGAGGCGCGACGCTAATTCCGAGGCCCGATCATCATAAAAGGTGTCGGGATTAATATGGGCTCGTTTGGCTATTATGAGTTCCAAGAGCTTGAGCGATTCGTCATTGCCTAATTGGTTAGTGTTGTTATTGTTATTGTTATTGATATTTTGATGCTTATGGTTGTGGTTGTGGTTGTATCTTGATCTGGTTACAATTCCACCCTCGGAATTGCTCATGTGGAACTGCATAATACTGACCTGCTCGGAATTGGCCATTATCTCATTAAATTCTTCACTCGTAAATAGTTCTTGAATAGGGGTTAAAGTATCGGAATGAGTGGGAACTATTCTATTTCGAAGAATAGACATATGAGTATCGATTTGTTCAATTTCCAGCTCACTATCTTCAATTTCAACTTCCAGTTCACTGTATACCTCATCTATCGGAACATAATCCGGTGAACTATCCAATTCCGGCAAATACTCTTGTTGCAAAATATTCCCATATTCATTTTCGAGCTTTTCCTCACTATATAATTCTAATGATATAGGATCAACTTGCTTATCACGTCTCTTAACTAAACTTCTTAAAAAGGAAGGAACTTTATGTTTTCTTCTTTCATATTCTAATTCTGATTCTCTCACATTAAGATCAGGAGTTTTTATAGGTCTTTTCAATATATATTTCTTAAATGCTGTAGGAATTAATTCCCTTAAGATTCGATTTATAATAACTCCCCATAATACTTCAAAAGTATGACTTATCATTTGATTTACATAATGATATCTCTTTCTGAATACACTTTTAGATTTTTTATTATCATCTTGTTCATTATTACCATCATCATAACCTCCTTTAATTAATTTTTGTGATGGCAGTGTTATTAAATTATCATACGCCTTTTTTTGTAATAATGAACGTAAATCAGGATTAGATGATGAATGTCTATTGAAATTATATTTAACTTTTTCCCAAATACTTCTTTCAATCCATGTTTGATCATCTAAAGTTACAAGACTTAATTCTGTTATATAACTTGATTTACCAGCCAGAGTTATAGCTAACATTCCAATATTTAATAAAGCAGTATAAAAGTCATCATATAAATGAACATTAAAATTTCTAGATGCAAAATCTGGTTCATCTTCATTTGTTTCATGAATAAAGAAACTTGCATAATTTAAATCTTGTAAACTAAAACCATTAGTTATAACTGCAGCTATAAAAATAATTGTACTTATAGCTATAATAATTAATATTAATACTTGAGGTATAAATGTTAAAATTAAAATGGTTGGGAATCCAATAATTTTCCAATTAAATAAAGTTGAGATGAAATAAGTTAAGAAAGTTATTCCAATAATTGACAGAGGAATTAATCTATACTTATTATCATTTAATAATGCTCCGACATGAATATTTAAATGATTAAATATCAGAAATAATGTGGCCAATAAAACTTGTTCAGTTGGACGTTTTAAAAATTTAGAATTACCAAAGAAGAATGCTCCACTTGAACTAAATTCTTGAAATGCTAATGAATGTTCAAATATTGTAATTCCACTTTCTGTATAAGGTTTCCTACCTTGAATCAGGGATATAAAAGTTTCAGTAAAACTCAGTAAACAAAAATTTAAAAAGATTGGCCAATACATATCACTAGTTGGACCAATCATTACTTGAGTTGTAGGAGTTTTCATATACTTATTAGTTGCAAAATATGTTACATCATAACTAAATAATTTATCAGGTAATAATTTATAAAACCATGGAAGTGGATCATCCAGTAATCCAATATGAGATAATAAATTAAGAGTTACTAATACATTATAAGCATTATAAAGTAATAAACCAATAACTCCAATCCTAAAACTTAATATACTTAATTTTTTTAAAATTTCTGCCAGTTTTGGTATACTTGCTATACCTCTATTCCTATTTATAGCCATTTGTTGAGTATGATGAGAATTAGTTGATGCCATTACTAATGTACGATTTAAGATAAGGGCCATTACTAAACATGATAATCCATAGATGGAACAACAATAAGTAGTAATACCTCCAAATCTATTCCACAGATAATTATTATTAGAAGTATTCTTCTGTTCCCATATGGCTTCTAAAAAGGCCGACACGAATCGGATTAAGAACCAGTCCTCATCGGGGTCGGTTTCTACAAACGCCCGGTTTACCGTATCGGTGAGGTTTGTCGTAGTATTGAAAGTAGACATAGACTTAACCCCGAATTAGTAAAATGTACTATAAGTAGTATTAGTTATAGTTAAAAGGAATAGAACTTGTCGGTCAGTCGTAATATGACGTTATATCCGTTTAAGATCTGTCGCAGGATGTCGCAGTGTCACAGACTCCACAAATCCCACGACATTACGCGTCACATCTCGGCCAACACGACATCCTACGACACATATTTTTTCACTATCAAGATGACCCATCAACCTCTTCCAACTTCATTATAACTCCACAAATTATAAGTGTATACATAGGCAATGGGACGTAAATTACCTCCGCCACCTCCGCCTAGTGGGCTGCCAACAAATGGCTCGAAACAGGGCACTTCAGGCTCAAGACCACCTCCCCCACCGCCTCCATCTCGAAGACCTCCTCCTCCTCCACCACCACGAACTGGTCTTCCTCCACCACCACCACGACCACCAGCAAATGGATTACCACCTTCGAATTCTCCACCCCCACCACCACCTCCATCAACCACTCGTAAACGACCAGCTCCGGAATCGTCAGATTTGGAAAACAGAAAGAATCGATGGCTCATTGCTCAGAAGGCTCGGTATGCTACTAGCACCAGTTCCACCACTAGAACCACCAAAGGAGGAGTGGTAATACCGAGAAAACCAGTCATGCCTCCCGAACATCTTCGTAAGATCATGCTTGATCACGGAGACCTTTCGTCTCGGAAAGTTGCGGGAGATAAGAGAGCTTATTTAGGTGCTTTAAAGTATATGCCTCACGCCATACTTAAGTTACTTGAGAATATGCCTCAACCTTGGGAATCAACCAAAGAAGTTAAGGTGTTATATCATATAGGAGGGGCAATTACGTTTGTAGATGAAGTTCCCAGAGTCATAGAACCCGTGTATATAGCACAATGGGCTGCTACATGGACTCAAATGAGACGTGAGAAACGAGATAGAAGACACTTTAAGAGAATGCAATTTCCTCCATTTGATGATGAAGAGCCACCGGTGAATTGGTTAGAGAATATTGAGGATATAGAAGCTCCCGATAGTATTCAATTAGACTTGAGTAATCATCCATCTATAGAAGAATGGATCTATGATGATAAACCATTAATTGATGATAATCAATATACCAATGGAGATTCTTATAAGAAATGGCATTTGGATTTACAACAAATGGCTAGTCTATATCGGATAGCTCAACCATTAATGCCTGAAGTTACTGATCCTAATTATTATTATCTATTTGATAAGAATGCTTTATTCACAGCTAAAGCTTTAAACATTGCTGTACCTGGAGGTCCTAAGTTTGAACCTCTCTATAAGGATAAAATCAATAATGCAGAAGTCGAGGACTATACGGAGTTCAATTCTATTGATCGAATCATCTTTAGAAGACCTATAAGGTCGGAGTATAAAGTGGCATTCCCATACTTGTACAATTCATTTGTACAACTGGTTAAGTTATCATCGTATCATGAACCACTTCGATGTTTAGGTGAAGATAGTGAGTCAGGGTTTGGGTTTGTGTTCAGCTCCGACTTTAATCCTATATTACCTCACCAACTGGCAGTTAAGTCTATTGATGATAGTAGTGACTTAGTCCTTGATGGACTCCGACCATTTATGAATCAAGAAGTAATTGAACCAGAAGGAACATCGTCTGCCCTCACCCTTTTCCATGCTCCGTACCCGTTCAACCGTCGTCAGGGTCATATGATCCGAGCTCAGGATGCTGCGTTAGTTAAGGCATGGTACCAGCAACATGCTCCTCCCAATACTAAGATCAAGAATCGGATCTCGTACCAGAAACTCTTGAAGAACAGTATATTGAATGAGTTACATACCACTAAGACCAGTACTAAAACCAAAACCAAAACCAAACTTCTCAAGAGTCTCAAGGCCACCAAATACTTCCAACAAACATCCATAGATTGGGTAGAAGCTGGAGTTCAAGTGTGTCAACAAGGGTTCAATATGTTGAACTTGTTGATTCATCGAAAGGGTCTCACCTACCTCCATCTTGATTATAACTTTAATTTGAAACCCACCAAGACTCTCACCACTAAAGAGAGAAAGAAATCTCGATTTGGGCATGCCTTCCACTTAATCAGAGAGATCTTAAGAGTCATAAAGATTATGGTAGATTCTCATGTTCAGTATCGATTAGGTCAAGTGGATGCATTTCAATTGGCCGATGGGCTTCATTATATTCTTAATCATTTAGGTCAATTGACGGGGATTTATCGATATAAGTATAAAGTAATGCATCAAATTAGACAATGTAAAGATTTAAAACATGTGGTATATGAAAGATTTAATCAAATTATTGGGAAGGGACCAGGGTGTGGATTCTGGCAACCATCATGGACCGTTTGGATTTCATTTCTTAGAGGTATAGTTCCATTATTAGAGAGATGGTTAGGTAACCTTTTAGCCAGACAATTTGAAGGTAGAAGAGCTAATGATGTAGCCAAGACCATTACTAAACAACGAGTAGATTCCTATTATGATTTGGAACTTCGAGCTCAAGTGATGCATGATATTCTTGATATGATTCCGGAAGGTTTAAAGCAATCGAAATCGAAAACCATCCTCCAACATTTGAGTGAAGCATGGAGATGTTGGAAAGCCAATATCCCTTGGAAAGTTCCTGGATTACCCGAACCAATAGAACGCATTATAGAACGATACATTGAGGCTAAAGCTGACAATTGGATTAGTGTTGCCCATTATAATCGAGATAGAATTCGGAAAGGTACTACGGTTGAAAAGACAGTAGCCAAGAAGAATTTAGGAAGACTCAGTCGACTCTGGCTTAAGAATGAACAACAGAGACAGGTTGAATTTGGGAAGGATGGACCATACGTACAGCCTGATGAAGCGGTAACTATCTTTCAAACTATGGTCGAATGGTTAGAGAGTCGGAAGTTTAGTCCTATCCCATTTCCTCCCTTACTGTATAAGCATGATACTAAACTTTTAGTGTTGGCATTAGAGAATCTTAAGGAAAGTTATAGTGCCGATGCTCGATTAAATTCAGCTCAACGGGAAGAATTAGCTCTTATTGAACAGGCTTATGATAATCCTCATGAATGTTTGGCTCGAGTTAAGAAATTCTTACTTACTCAAAGAATCTTTAAGGAAGCAGGTATTGAGATGATGGATTATTATACTCATTTAGTGCCTACATATACTATTGATCCATTAGAAAAGATTACTGATGCCTACTTGGATCAGTACATGTGGTATGAGGCCGATAAGAGACATCTCTTCCCCAATTGGGTCAAGCCTAGTGATGATGAAATCCCTCCATTATTGGTCTATAAATGGTGTCAAGGGATCAATAATTTGGATAAGGTATGGGACTATGAGTCTGGTCAATGTACAGTAATGGTTGAGACTTCCCTTAGTAAGCTAGCTGAAAAAGTCGACTTTACTTTATTGAATAGACTCTTACGATTGGTTGTAGATACTAATATAGCCGACTATATTACGGCTAAGAATAATATTAGTATCACTTATAAGGATATGAATCATGTTAATCAATATGGACTCATTAGAGGGTTACAATTCTCATCATTTGTATATCAATACTATGGATTAGTCATGGATTTATTGATCTTAGGAGTCGATAGAGCGGGTCAATTAGCTGGACCAGTGCATCTGCCAAATGCCTTCTTACAGTTTAAAGATACGGCCACTCAAACTGCCCATCCCATAAGGCTCTACTCTCGATATTTGGATAAGATTCATATCTTATTCCAGTTCGATAGTGATGAAGCAGATCTGTTAATTCAGGATTACTTGGTAGATAATCCCGATCCCAACTTTGAGAATGTAGTAGGCTATAACAATCATAAATGTTGGCCTCGAGATAGTAGAATGAGACTCATGAGACATGATGTCAATTTGGGGAGAGCTGTACATTGGGAAGTGGCAGGAAGAATTCCTCTGTCACTTGGCAGTATTCTGTGGGATGATACTTATGCTTCAGTATACTCTCGAGATAATCCTAACTTGTTGTTTTCTATGTGTGGGTTTGAAGTAAGAATCTTACCCAAGAGTCGAGCCACTAGTCAAGGGCTGCTGACTGAAGGGGTATGGGATCTTATAGATCATACTACTAAAGAACGTACTGCTCGAGCATACCTTCGAGTGAGTCAAGAAGCCATTGATGCATTCCATAGTCGAATTAGACAGATCCTCATGTCTTCAGGTTCGACTACCTTCACCAAAGTGGCATCTAAATGGAATACTGCCCTTATAGCCCTCTTTACCTATTATCGAGAAGCCATAGTAGCCACGGAACCCTTGTTGGATCTTCTTGTCAAGTGTGAAACCAAGATCCAGAACAGAGTTAAGATGGGTCTCAACTCTAAGATGCCCACTCGATTCCCTCCGGCTGTATTCTATACTCCTAAGGAATTAGGAGGGTTAGGAATGCTTAGTGCTTCTCATATTCTTATTCCGGCCTCTGACTTACGGTGGTCTCAGCAAACAGATACGGGGATCACCCATTTCCGAGCCGGGATGACTCATAAGGATGAAAAGACCATTCCTACATTGTTTAGATACATCACTACATGGGAGAATGAATTTATAGATTCTCAACGTGTATGGGCAGAATATGCCATCAAAAGACAAGAAGCTCAAGAACAAAATAGACGATTAACATTTGAAGATATGGAACTGAGTTGGGATAGAGGGATCCCTCGAATCAGTACACTTTTCCAAAAGGATAGACATACTTTAGCGTATGATAAAGGTCATCGTATAAGACGACAATTTAAGCAGTATAGTCTTGCCCGATTTAATCCATTTTGGTGGACTAATAATCATCATGATGGGAAACTCTGGAATTTGAATGCATATAGAACTGATGTAATTCAAGCTTTAGGGGGTATAGAAACTATTCTTGAACATACACTCTTCCGAGGTACTGGGTTCGATTCCTGGGAGGGACTCTTCTGGGAAAAGGCTCTGGGATTTGAAGATTCTTTAAAGTTTAAGAAATTGACTAATGCTCAACGTTCAGGGTTAAGTCAAATCCCTAATCGTCGATTTACTTTATGGTGGTCACCCACTATCAATAGAGCCAATGTATATGTTGGATTCTTAGTGCAACTTGACTTAACGGGGATCTTTCTTCATGGAAAGATTCCTACACTTAAGATCTCTCTTATCCAACTCTTCCGAGCTCATCTTTGGCAAAAGATTCATGAGAGTGTGGTTCAGGATATGTGTCAAGTGTTAGATAAAGAATTGGAAGTATTGGGAATTGATAGTGTTGAGAAACAAGCTATTCATCCCCGAAAATCGTATAAGATGAACTCATCTACTGCTGATATAGTTGTGACTAGTAGTTATAAATGGCAAGTAAGTCGTCCTTCACTTTTGAATGATAAAGGTGATACTTTCACTATTAGTTCTAATAAGTTCTGGATCGATGTACAATTAAGATATGGAGATTATGATTCTCATGATATCTCTCGATATGCTCGTGCCAAGTATTTGGATTATACAACTGATAGTACCAGTAATTATCCATGTGCTACGGGGATTGTGGTGGCTATAGATTTGGCTTATAACATGTATGATGTATATGGGAATTGGATTCCTGGTCTTAAAGCTCTTGTTCATAATGCTATGAAGGAAATCATGAAGGCAAATCCCGCCTTGTATGTACTTCGAGAACGGATCCGTAAGGGACTTCAGCTCTACCAGGCCCAGCCGCAAGAAGCGTATTTGAATTCTTCCAATTATGCTGAGTTATTCAATAATGAACTGCAACTCTTTATTGATGATACAAATGTCTATAGAGTTACTGTTCATAAGACTTTTGAAGGTAACTTAACTACCAAACCCATCAATGGACTAATCTTTATGTTGAACCCTAAATCTGGTCAACTCTTCTTAAAGATCATCCATACATCGGTATGGGCAGGTCAGAAACGTCTTGGACAATTAGCCAAATGGAAAACTGCAGAAGAAGTAGCATCACTTATTCGATCCTTACCTCGAGAAGAACAACCCAAACAGTTGATCTTAACCAGAAAGGGAATGATGGATCCATTGGAAGTTCATATGTTGGATTTCCCCAATATTTCTATTCGACCATCTGAATTACACTTACCATTTGCTTCTGCTATGAAGATAGATAAACTTGCTGATATTGTGCTTAGAGCCAATGAACCTCAAATGGTATTATTCAACTTGTATGATGATTGGCTTCGAGAGATCTCGGCCTATACGGCCTTCTCTAGAGTTATTCTTCTCTTACGAGCCCTTGGAATTAATCAAGAACTCACTAATCTGATCTTAAAGCCTGATTCAAGTGTAGTGACTCAGGCTCATCATATTTGGCCTACATTCACTACTGATCAATGGATCGATGTGGAATCTCAATTGAGAGATATGATTCTTAGTGATTATTCCAAACGTCACAATGTCAATATCCAATCATTAACTCAATCGGAAATTAGAGATTTGATATTGGGACAGGATATACGAGCTCCATCGGTTAAACGACAAGAACTCAGTGAGATTGATAATGGTACTGCTGAAGTAGATAATAAGCAATTGACCGCTATTAAATCTACTACCACTAATGTTCATGGAGAACAGATCGTTACAGTTACCACTACCAACTATGAACAACTGACGTTTTCATCTAAGAATGAATGGAGACAACGAGCTTTGGCAGCTTCTAACTTACACTTACGGGCAAAGAATGTTTATGTATCATCAGAAGACTTTATCGATGATGCAGCTTCATTCACTTATATTTTACCTCAGAACTTGCTTAAGAAATTAGTGGAAATCTCTGATTTACGAGTGCAAGTGGCTGCTCTTCTCTATGGTAATTCACCTGCTGATAATCATGAAGTTAAGGAGATTAAATGTGTGGTATTGGTGCCTCAATTAGGTAATACCAATTATGTACAATTACCTCAAACTCTCCCTCAAAGTGATGACTTACAGGGTCTTGAATTGCTTGGATGGATCCATACCCAATCAGGGTCAGGCCAGGATCCAGACCTGGAACTGTCCCACTTATCTCCTATTGATATCAGTGTTCAGTCCAAAACATTATTATCTGAATTCAAGCCTAACTTCATTACTTTGGTGGCTACATTTGCTCCAGGGTCTGTATCTCTAGGAGCATTTGAGTTGTTACAAACTGGTTATGAATGGGGGAAATCCAATGTAGATTATATGTCACCTTCTCCTGCTGGATTCTCACCTCAATTCAGTAAGAAATCACAACTTCTCTTGTCCGACAGAATTGTGGGAACGTTCATGGTACCAGATGATGAGATATGGAATTACTTCTTTATGGGATCACTCTGGAATGAGAGAACAGATTATGCTGTTAAGTATGATGTGCCCAAGCGGTTTTATGATGAAGCACATCGTCCAACACATTTCAGTACGTTTACTGAAGTTGAAGTAGCGGAAGTAGAAGATAGTGTATTTAGTTAGGTGTGTAATAGTATAATAGTATAATAGTATAATAGTATAATATAGTAGTGTAAGTATAGTAGAATAAGTATTGCAGTATAATATATTAGCATATACAGGTGTATAATGAAGTATTATCGTGTGTAGAATAAAAGTACATTGAGGATGTTTCACAATTAGAATGTAACAGTGTAAGTAAACAGACTACTACGTATTCTATAGAGAGGATTTGTAACAAACTAAATAGTGTACTACGTATAGTGTATATGTTATGTAGATTGTATGTTATGTAAATTGTATGTTACACTGTACTTATATCCTTGTATCAAATATATACAGTACTGTAGATGTATATATTAAAGAGATGTTGCGAATGGGTGTATACTGTACAGTAGAGTGTGTAACTAAAAGAAAAGTAAGGAGTGTGTATGATGGTGTATATTATGAGTATACGGTGTACTTACAAGAGTGCAGTACTTAGTGAGAATATCTTAGAGTGAATCTTAACTATATACATTCTATCGGCAGCTATTATTATAATATTATACTACACTATGCTACTGGACCTATACCTACCAATGCCTAACGGAGATTATATGATCCTCTATGGCAAAGAGTAACTTACGCAACTCAGCCCGTGAAATATTCTCCTTAAGCAACAACAACTCAAGGGGGCTCTTACCATTCATATACTTAACAAGTTTATAAAAGATCTTAATCAATTCTGGTGACAATTGACACTCATCATGAACAATTTTATTAATCCATCTTCTTTCAAGTGTAGTAGCTCTACCAGGATCAAGAATGATAGTATCATCTTCATCCTCTAAGATCACTTTAGGTCCCCCTAAATAACTAGATTGGAGTCTTTCCTTAATTATATCAATTTCCTTAGATGATGTATCTGTAGTTTTAGTGATATCATTAGTAATTCCCTTACTAGGATCACTTTTGGAATTATCAGGATTAGTATTAGTCTTGGAAGTATTATCCGTACCACTAATCACATTCCCATTTCCATTCCCACTCTTAGTGGCCTTCAAACTGGATATACTTGAACGTTTCTTATCAGAACTCTCATTCTCTAAATCTTCATCTACTTTGATCTTTATCTTACGAGAGATCTTGAGCCAAATAAACGTTTGAAGCTGTGTCACATATCCGTATCGTACCAACCAGCCTAGAGCTTCTAAGTAGATATCACGATGATCCTTAGATGGGATTATGGCAGCAAATTGAGTGGGCTTTTTAGATTGAGGACTTAATAATTGAAGGAATTGAGGTAAAGCTGGTAATGTGGGGAAGAGCTTCTTAAATTTAGCAATATCTTCAAATAAATTAATGGTTATAGGTGCCATAGGACTAACTATATAGGCAGCTCTTGTACTAAGTGGTTGAATGACTCGAGCTCGACGCCAATAGATTAAATGGAATGCAAATGATTTGATCTGAAGGATATCCAACGAATTGGAATTCCGAAGGGATAACTTTATGAGTGATTCTGTTGGATTTATCATCCGTATGAAATTGGCTAATGGACTCTGAGGTTCTGTTTTAATATCTCTTATTATAGATTCAGGGTCATCTAATAAGATTAAGGCAAAATAGATTACATCTTCACTAGCATCTGTTTCATCATCTTCCTCTTGTTGAGGTTGCAGTTGCAGTTGTTGTTGCAGACTGGGATTGGCTTGATTATTAAAACTATTATACTGACTCCCATACCTTGTAGTTTCTCCTATACTGATAAGTCCTGTATTACCAAGTAAATTGACAGTTGATGAGAGATGTGAGCCTGGAATAAATGGTACTGAAGATTCCGGTAACGAATGGAATTCTGTCTTAATGGGGATCTGGAATGATCGCAACTTATTGTTGATAGATAAGTTGGCAATCTTCGATTGAGAGATGGCATCATAGCAATCATGGATCATTCTACAGAGAGATGATTTAGATAACAATTGACTGGATAGAGTCTCACTACTCATATCCTTATACTGTTCCTTAATGTTTAAGATAGATCGTATCTCAGACGAAATGAACTCTGACTTCAGCTGTTCGTAACGGAGCACCAATGTCAATTTAGAAATGACAAAATGGAACATCTCATCAATTCTGTAGTTGTGTTCGATGATGGGTGGATTCATAATGAATACCAAGTGGAACATATTCATATTGAGCTTCGACTTGGGCATGTCTTGATCTCCATTGGTATCATTCTCGTTCTGATCGTTATCAATGTCCTTGTCCTTGTCCTTCTTATTCCGATGTTTCTTCGGATGAGACTCCTTCATCCGCCACTTTCCATTATCATACCGATGAATTGGTAGTCCAAGAAACAATTTGTTATCTATCATAACTTCGAATCGAGTGTTGCACATACTCTTGGGAGGTGCCAACATCTCACAAATATAGCTAGGTTCAATTCCAAAGATAGAATTGGTATTACCACCAGCTGCTAATGAAGTATTGGCAGTAGATGGAATACTAGGAACATTGGATTCCGTCTTGGTCAATGCCTGCTGGGCTCGAACTTTGGGATTGACTGCGGCTTTAGTTGGCGTCTGGCTCTTCTTAAACTTTTCATCTCGCTTCTGTTCCAATTCATCGAGAAACGTAAGAATATCCTTTGTATTATGCATATGAAAATTCAAGTTATCGGCATCCCATTGATAGTAGAGGTAATTGCCGGATTTGTACTCGGATCCGAGATTATCAGCATTCGGATCATTGAAGTAGATGGCCGAATTATCTGATTGCTGTTGTTGTGGGAGTTGTTGATGGTGTAAAGCTGGTAAACTTCCATGAGTATTACCATGAGTATATTCTGACTCATCTCCTTCAGCATCCACTACGACTGAGTCATCGTAGTCTGCCAATTCCTCATCGGAGCTATTATCGATATCGTTGGTGGTGTTAGTGTTCTTGTCGTCCTTGGATAAATTCTCGGGATACTGATAAATTAATTGGGGTCCACTATGAGTAGATATGATAAGAAGTATACCTACTAAGCTAGGGTTCGGTAGATTGAAACTCATGGTGGTAGAGTCGTCTCTGTTAGTATGGTTATCAGATACTGGAGGTTTTGTGCGGCCGAAGCATTTATTATAGTGCGGCCGAGCATACCATATATATTTTACTATATTTTACTATATTTTACTATATTTTACTATCAGAGACTACTAGATGTATCTCTAATATAAGTATTTAACAATAGATGTATCTAACATATTATAACTATCTAACTATAACCCTCACAATTTGTGCTTAATCTCCTTCTGACTGATTTGTACAAAACGAGATTGAGGAACTCCCTCAAGCCACTTGTAGAATCCTCGACTGACTTCTCTTGAGTTGGCCGATGTGATCCATTGATCTCTTTGTGCCTTCAACAATTGCTTGTTTTGGAAAATAGAGTCTTCGTGTAAGTTTTCAAAGTAGCCTACTAATTCGTCATAAACAGCTTGGTTAAACTCTTCCGTTGAAGAAAACTTACCATTGTATGATTTATTGATAAATCCTAATCTTTCCAATTCTTCTCCAGGAATTGGTTTGGCCAACAATAAGGCTTCTGAAGCTTTAGACCATCCTAATCTATGGAATAATGTAGCTGAGGAAGCTCCTTCAGCCACTAAACCTAAATTAGCAAATGGAGCCAACAAGTACACTTTAGAAGTATCAATAGCATATATTAAATCACATAAAGCTAATAATCCAGTACTTAAACCAATTACTGGACCATTAACAGCAGCAGCCAAAATCTTCTTATGATTATGGAATAATTCTGTTAACCAAACATTTCTAGCAACAAAAGTACTTAACCAATATTCATGAGAGAAAAGTACCTTTGGATCAATATTGGACATTTTCTTATCAGCAACATTGGCTCCAGCACTGAAATATCTTCCAGTAGCTTGAAGTAAAGTTAATACTGTATCTTCTTCATTATCGGCTCTTTCCACTAATTTTCCTAATAAAGTATATTGATCTTGATTCAACGCGTTTAATTTTTTAGGAAGATTTAATGTGATAATGGCAACTTTGCCTCTAACTTCGTATAAGATATCTTGACCTTCCATAATGAACACTATCTAATTCACTTACTATCTACTTACTGAGTATGTTTTACAAGTACGTACTAATTATTAATAAAGTAATCAGTAATTAGTAATCAGTAACTTGTAATTTGAAACTAGACTAGTCAATGGTCAATGTTGAAATTTTACAAAACGAGATTATTGGACATTTATATCCTGGCTATCTCCATACATAAGCATCAAAAGTGTGGGGAGAAACAATTTGGTTTCCTCGGTTGAGGTGCGCGACAATTTCACTACTGATGATGGACGGTCTTCACATCCCAAGATCTAAACTAAACTGGCTCCACATATGCAGTATAGAGGTTATTGACTATTCGGTAGTAGACATACTGGGACGTATTGGTTAGCAGTGAGTTGTAGTGGTAATTGTACTTGGATTATCCTTGTATTGTAGTAACTATGTTTGAGTGTGTAGCACTTAGTGCATTCTCTACATTTGTTTTTCCGATTGCAAAATCTTGCCGATGGATATAACAAAGCTATAGCTTATAGTCAGTACTGTGGTGAGTGAGAGTGTGAATGAGAAAGAAAGAGGAGGTAGAGTACAATGCGCAAGGGTACTGCCGTATGGAGGTTTATGAAGAGTGGAGTACCGAGACAACGGTCACATTAACGCCAAAAGAGAAAGTAACGGTAACTCCGAGACCGATTATCTGTCTTAAATCCTTTAGTATATACAGAAGCTTTGCCGGTTGATTTGTGATTGCTATCAGTTTCATCAATGTATGTATGTATTGTAGTACAGTATCGGATAGTACATAGTACATAGTACATAGTACATAGTACAGTACTGTAGTGTGACAACTTCACATGGGAATTAGACATGGAACGCATCCTGTCGCAATGTACCACCCACAATACAAACACAGTAATGTGTACCGGAACAGATTCAGAACATTATAGAGCATACATACGAAGAGATGTATATAATAACAACTTTATCTGAAACATTAACATTAACCTATGCACCTGTATCTAATATGTACTTATAGCTTTAATTTAAGAGGATGTAGGGGGATATTTTATCTAACATCTATGCCGCAATATAAGGTGGCAGTGTCACATCTCTGCCGCAGCATATAGCTAATATTTTTCAGTAGAGATCACCCCTTTTCCAATTTCCAACTCTGTAACGAGATGAACATGATGTACAATATTAATTTAAACAGTAATTTATTATTAAGTTTAGATATATAATTTACGTACTTACTGGAGGTATGGAGTAGTCAGTTGATTCAGTACATGAGACCGATAGTTGTACAATTGATATTGGAGTAAATAATTGAAATAATTGAAATAATTGAAATAATGAAAATTGAATGAAATAATGAAATATGAAATATGGAGTAAACTCCTTTTATCTAGACTAAGAGAACGGGATAGAATAGTAATAGTAAATAATAATAGTAATAATAGTAATAATAGTAGTAATAAATTAGTTAGGATGAAACAATGGGTAGTGTAACATAGTATAGGATTTCAGTAAAACTGGTACTAGGATTGTACTGGGCTAGCTAGTACAGAAGTAGTCCTAGTAGTACTAATACTATTTCATTATTTATTGCTTCTTCAAGTTAGTAGATAACCATTCCAATCCTTCATATAACCCATCACCAGTAGTAGCACAAGTAGCTTGAATATACCATGGTCTTTGTCTGATAGAATGTAATCCCAACTTTTCAGTAATTTCAGCAGCATTCATAGCATTGGGTAAATCTTGCTTATTGGCAAATACCAATAATAATGCATCTCTTAATTCATCTTCATTCAACATTTGTTGTAATTCTTCTCTGGCTTCACTGATTCTATCTCTATCATTTGAATCAACTACAAATATAATCCCTTGAGTATTTTGAAAGTAGTATCTCCATAACGGTCTGATTTTATCTTGTCCACCCACATCCCATACGGTAAAACTGATATTCTTATATTCTACTGTTTCTACATTAAATCCAATGGTAGGAATAGTAGTGACAATCTCTCCTAATTTTAATTTATACAAGATAGTCGTTTTCCCGGCAGCATCTAATCCTACCATTAAGATTCTCATTTCTTTACGACCGAATAGGCCCGACAATAACTTAGAAATTGATAATCCCATTGTTACTCAATTGTAGTATTAATTATGTATTAACTATGTGTTAACTATGAATTAACTGGCTTAACTATGGGCTAAATTAGTGAGTGGTTTGTGATTTGTGTTCGTTCGCTTTCTCCTTCTGGTCGATTTGGCCACTCCGCACGACCCCCACCCAACTCCAACTCCAACTCCAACTCCAACTTGGACGTGTGCAACCCACAAAATTGGAATTCTTCACTATCACTATCTCTCAAAACAACTGTAAACACAACCAATAACTGTCCAAACCACTAACTATGAGTGTAAGAATTCACGTGCAGTATCCGGCAGTACCTTTGACGGTTTCTGCCAGTTCTTCCACTTCAGTTTCCCTTCAAATTGGTCCGTATGAGGGTGTTAGCCCATTAACTCTGGAAGTCATAGCTTCAGTGGGTGTACCTGTATTTACGTTAGATGATGAAGTATACGTATTGATAAAGCATTTGGCGGCAGTATGGAGCTTCCCCTCATCGTACCAATTGATCGGGAAGTTATTGAAACAATCCGGTATACCCAAACTGGACCTTGTGTATGTATCTACTCCTGCTTTGAACACTCAATTCGTTGAGTACAAGCTTATCGACCCCGCTGAAGCCAAATTCAACTTGTTCTATACCAAATTGGCCACGGTGTACTCGCTTATTCAAAACAAGGAAGTTTTTACCAATTCGAATCCTCAATCGGTCTCTCAAGAGTCGGCTGTAGTACCTGTGCTGGCTATACAGAACCAGAACCAGAACCGTATTGAAAAGGATCAGGATGATGATGACGATGATGAAGATGATGAAGACGACGATGACGATGAAGATGACGAAGATGACGATGACGATGATGAAGAAGATGACGATGACGATGATGATGATGAGATTGTAGTTAAGAAGAGAAAGTTAACACCTTCTGTGTCTACCTCTGATGAAAAGTCTAATACAACTAGCAACAAATATCATCATCTTCATAGACATCATCACCACAACAATGGATATGAAAAAATCACTGTGAGTCAGGCATTTCCTCAGTATGGACTTGTTAGTTCTACCATACAACTTAATCCATCTGCGTTCAATTCCTTAAATCCTATAACAAAACTAAACTACTACAGACTATTGTCTTCACCATATAAGTTTCTTCCTAATTCCAAATTATCATTTGCAGAACGAGAATTGGTATTTAGAGATCATAATTTTTCCGATATCTTTGGTGAAGGTAGTAGTACAAATAAATCTGAACTTAAGGGTCAAGAAGGTGAAAAGAAACGATTTAGAAAACCTATTGGGAAATCAAAAAAGCATAATATTAATATAGATCCTAATACTATTGATTTATCTGAATCAGTAATTCCTGGTCAAGGGTATATACCTGAATTTAATATTAATCATTTATGTAAAGTACCCAATTATTATGTAACATCAAATCAACAATATATTAGTGCAGCTGCTGCTTCAACTCAATCATTATTTAATCTTAATCGAATTAATGCAACATCCAATTCATCATTTCTTTTTAATGAAAGTTATAAGATGTCTAAAAAGGTTAAACAATTAATATTTAATGGAGATAATGATTATCATCATACAAAATATTATTATACTAAAAGTTATCGAGGTCCAGGATCTGGTAATTATAAAGATGCTGCTTTAATGAATCGTATTAATAAGATTCATGTGATTAGTAATAATAATATTAAACATCCTCATAAGAAGTCTACTTATAAGAAACATGAAAAGAGATTTAATCAAAGTTTAAAGGGGTTACTCTTTGAAAAATATAATCGTGAATATGTAGATTCAGTATTATCAAAACAAAGAAAGTATACTGAAGATTATGTGAATTTAGAGATGTTACATAATAATTTACAATTCAATTTATTAATTAATAGTTATCGAGAAATTAGTGAAGAAACATGGGAAAATTACTATAAATTTAAGTTAACAGACTTTGAACAATTAAAGGCACTTCAAGAGGAAAAGAAAGAAATAGAAATTAAAAAGGAAGAGTTTGAAAATCGAAAGAAATGGCAAGAAAATGAAGCTAAACGTCAAGAAGATGTAAGGAAATTAATTGAACAATATAACTATGATCGAGAACAACTTCGAAATGAAAAGATTCAAAGACAGAAGGATTATGAGGAAAAGAAAAGACAGAATGAATTAGAATCTACATTTAATGATCCATTTGGTGATGGATCATCAACTTCTATTGATCCTCCAACCTTTGAAGATATAATTAAACGAGAAATTGAATTAACTAAGAAGTTTGAAACTGATCAAGAAAGTTTGAAACCTGTACCTCCACCTATGCCTGTAGAAACTCCTCAACTTGATGTAATTTCTCGATTCACATCACCTTTATTCCATCCTGAAATCGTATCTAATTTACCATTGGAGTTAAGATCTAATGTTCAAACTGATCAAGACGATATACCACCAATTAAGAAACCTATACGGTATGTTAGTACTTATCCCGATAAGAATAATCCAGAATTATTGAATCGAGTAGAGATTGTAAAGATCCCTAATCCTAATAGTATTGGCTGGGACAATTTGAAGAAGTATAAGCGTGATTAGAACATAACATGTAGTATTAAAAAGTAGATATACTATGTATATAATATATATATGTAACATATAATTGGACTAATTAAAGTCATCCTTATTCTCCTTATCGTCATTGTAGATCTCAAAGTCAAGAACATTCTTGGGCTTAGCATTGAATAACCCATTCAAGTTCTTACTAATATACTTGGAACTAATGTCCGGATTAAGTGGATTACTTTTCGATAGTAAAGAACTGGCATATGGTGGGATATGGAATGGAGATGATGGTGGAGGCGGTGGGAGGGTATTGAAATTACTGAAGTTCAACTTCTTGGGCTTAATCATTTTAGCCCGGGGTGATAACTCCTCCACAAACTTTTCCCCATTGGGTTTTACCAACTCCAAGTGGGTGGAATAGTCTACTTTAGGAGCAGTTATAAATGGGTTAGATATTCGGGTAGTGGTACTAGTAGAAGATGACGACATGCTTGTCTCAAGGAAGGGGTTTTCCAAACCTGCTTCTCTAGGCTTGGCTCCCAAGTACTGTCGTATGATATCGTGTTCTTCCTCTTCATCTTCTGAATTCTGTTCTTGTTGTTGTGGATTCTGATCTTCGTACCATTGTCGTATATCCTGTTCTGTTATTATGTTTCTGGCCGGTGTGTGGGGGGTATCCGATACATCTATTTCCAGAGGTATATTTATATTGATACTTATACTATCATCTGGAGCAGGTAGTGGTTCCAGTTCCAAATTGGGAAACACAGGAATACTGGGGATTCTACCTCTACCTACAGTCAGTTTGCGAACAGTATTCTGTAGGGGGGATTTACGGATAGGTGATGAAGGAGGAGACGATTCACGAGACTCTGATTGATTAGACTTAATAGGAGTGAAGCCTGGACTTAGAAGAAAAGCCGACAAATTAGATGATACTGAGGAGGAGTCTCGGAAACTGAGACTGGAATGGGAATGGGAATGGGAATGGGAATGAGAATTGGACATACGATGACTGTCACGTCTTTTGGTTATAGAAGCACTATGGCCATGGCTTCTGTTGAGATTTTTGGTTAAACTGACAGGAGTATTTAAAGCATCAAGTGATAGTCTTCTGGTTGGAGTTGTTCTTTCCTTTCGCTTGTAATACTGTGCTGGTGGCGTAGAAGGCTCTTCGTTGTGGTATCCTGCGTCCATAGTTTATTTCTGGGGGTATTATGGTGATGTACTAGTGATATTGATGGTAGTGGTAGTTCTGATTGTTGTAAATGTTGTAGTTGCAGTGGTGGAGTTTATCCTGGTTACTTGTTACTTGTTTTTACCTGTTTGAGATATGTAATTAAAACCTGTAAAATATAAATCCATAGCATAACCTGTAAGAATTCCCAATATTTACGCTTATTTCTTTCAAACAATAAATTACAGGTTACACCCGGGAATGTAACCGAGCAGATCGGACTCGACTCTTTAATACGCGGTGTCTTTTAAAGTGAAAGAAGACTTACAATTACTACAATACGTAATATTTGTTATACTGAAGATTACTTAGCACATTCACAATGCTGGGGTCTTCATTTTATGACAGCTTTTGGACCAGCGATTATGAGCTGGGATTCAGAAAGCTCTTTGACCAACTCCAAGATGGGATCAAAGAGAATGAATCATTTATACAATTAGTTCAAAGTCGAATTGATCTGGAATATTCATATGGGAGTCAATTGAAAGCCAGTGATGAGACTATTAAGAAACGAGACAATCGTCTCTATAATGATGAATATATTTCTACTACTAAAACTGCATTTCAAATCTTTAATGAGAATTTTAAAGAACAAGGTTCATATCATATGTCTATAGCTTCAAGAATACATAATAGTGTATTGGAACCTTTAACCAAATCCACTGAAGAACATCGCGATAAAATTGGTACAGCAAAAAAGAAAATCTTTGATAAATTAGATGAGTATAAGAGATTGAAAAAACATGCGTTACAGATTCGCAGTAGATATTTTACTCGAGCTCGTAGTTTAGAAGCGTTTAGAGAAAAGTTCTCTGAAGATGAATTGGCGTTTGAAATGAATGAATATCTTAATTTGAGAGATGATGAAAGAGATAAGGTATATTATATTGCTGGTGATGAATATGAACTTGGAGAATTGAAAGTATTACTTAGTAAGATGTTAACATCTATTGAATTAACATCTCATAAGAATAATTTTTATATTACTTATAATAATGTATCTTCAGGGATTTCTATAACTCAATGGGTATTAGATAATTTACCTAACATTGATAAGAATATTTCTAAAGCTGAAAGATTTGGTCAAGATTTGTTAGATTATGAATTTATAAAGGCTGCTGGAATTGGGAATAACAATTTTGTTAATTCATCTCAATATTATTATCAATGGAAGCCTATTGTATTTGAAATCACTAAATTGAAAGCTCCAACTAATGGTAATGAAACTGCTACTCCTATAGCCAATGCAACATCTATTCTTGAACAAATGGGAGTTGTAGGAGCTGTCGATGAAAATAACATTACTCAATACCCTAAATTATCCATTGATGTAGAAAGATTGGAAAATAACTATAGGGATGCTGTAGAGAAATTCGATACAGTAAGATGTGAATATGAAGAAATCATTGTAGAAAACTTAGGAGATATTCAAAGAAGTGAATTTAATAGATCTAGTGTAATTAAGTATCTTACCCATGAATTCTTGAATTGCATTTCAGGAAAAATCGATGAAATGGAACGATCCTTTAAAGATTTAGAAATTCTTGAAGAAACCATTAAACCACAACAAGATTTGGACTTTTTAATTCAATCCAATTCTACAGGATCTTTCAGACCTCAAGTTATGACATTTGAAAATTATTTTACTCGACCTGATGAAACATTTGGTATTAAATTACTTACTCGATCCGATATAGATAATCGGGTTTTACCATTCATAATTCAAGCCATAATGTCTTATTTGGATAAGACCTATAAATCTCTTGCTGATGATGAAAGAATTATAGAATTATGGACTGGACCAGTCAGTTTAAAAGTTGTGCATGCTTTAAGATTTAAATTGAATAAAGTATCGGGATTGGAAAATATTAAGGCTGTATTGTCAGAAGCAGAACCTATTGCAGTAACCAATGTTTTGAAGTTGTATTTATTAGAATTACCGGAATCCGTCATACCTGAAGAAAACTTTGCTTTAATCAAAGCTATATATGCTCAAAATTCCGGTCAAGAAGCATTGGATAATAGAATTAATGGTCTTATCAATGTTCTTAGAGATGTTAACACTTGTAATTTGGCTACTTTGGATACCATCTTGTTACATATTCATCATCTTATTAATATTATTGGTAAGAAACATGTTGAATTGGCTAATAACTTCAAAACTAAGCTCTTAAAGGATTTCAGTGACTTGTTACATAGACCTAAGCTTGATGATGAACGGTGGGGAAGAGTTAATACTGATAGACATCTATTTGAGTTGATCAATGACTTGTATGATTATCGTCAAAAGATCTTCTCTGCCATTAGAAATTCTTCTGATCATCGTAACAAGTCTTTGCCCAATAGATCATCGTCTAATGCTTCCCATAAGTCATCTAAATCTCCCGAAGAAGTACCAACCACTCCTACTCCTCCAGAAGTCCCATCGAAGACTACTCTCAAGAGATCCGTTTCACCTGTCAAACGAAAGTTACACACCATATTAGGAGAAAAGAAGACATTTACTGTAACTTCGTCTACAGTATCTACAGCCAATACTTCCTCTAGTCGAGAAGAATATGACAGTGAGAGTTCTGATCTGAGTCTTCCCAAGGTCAGATCCAAGTCTCCCTTCAAGCCAGAAGTTATCAATGTTGATTGATATAGTATAGTAAAGAATAGTAAAGAATAGTTAGGTTTATAGTATTTAATTCTATATGCAAATCTTATAAGGTAATTGGGATGATCAAAGCATCTTAGAATGCTTGACTTCCTTTCTGAGTCTGTTAACGACTACAACAAGTACAATGACTATAATGACTACGGGGATTAAGATCCATTTGACTGTGAAGTCAAGATATCTTGAAACATCAGTTGTATGAGCTGATGATTCAGATGTCTGCTTTTGATATTGATAAGCAATTTCTTTATGGTTTCTCATTAATAAATCTACTTTCTTAGACACTTCTTCTGTTCCTGAATGTTGTTCTCTGACTTCACCAATGACCTTTTCATTTAGTTTAGTTACTACACCTATCATCTCACCAAAATTTTGAGTTATCATGTTCTTGAAAGTTGATATATCTGATTCTAATCGTCCAATTTGTTCTTGTTGTTGATGTTGAATTGATGAAATGTCCTGAAGTTTGGATACCAAAGCTTTGAAATCATAATCTTCACTTTTATCTAAACTTTCGATTCTGATCTGAATGTTTTCTAAATGGGCGAGGATATCTTTGAGGATGGTCTCATAATGGTCGTTATTGCCCTTTCTAGCTTCAGTTACAAGTTCTAATTCTTCCTGAATGAGTTGTTCACGAAGCTGTCTACTCTTCTCCAATAATGATTCACGGATCACATCTGGTCTGACGTAATCAGCACCAGTAGCTGCTGGTGAATCTGCAGCTTCATGCTTAGTAACAGTTTCATAAGCAACGACATGACCATCAGATATTAAGCCATGATCATCTATAGCATCAGTAGTTAAGTGATCATACACATTAAATTTCAAGATTTCATATATCTCATTCGATTGAGAACTGGCAGAAATACCCATTTTAAAATCATTAATACTATCAGGAATTTGAATTTGATCTGTTTTAAAACATAAGTTATTATCGATTTGAACTTTAAACCATTTCTTCTGAGCAGAGTAAGAGATTCTTAAGGTGAAGGGAACTTGAGAATCCAAAAAGTTGAATGAACAATGACCAATTGAAGATGCAATATCATTCTGAATAGCTTTGGATCCATCATTATTGAATATCTTCAACCCTTTACTTTCCTTGTTATTTATTAAGAATTGGAACCCATCGAATTGTAATGGTCCACCATAGTTTTGAGTATTAGTACTATCTATGGGAATCGAATTTTGAGGGTCAATCAAAAATAATGATATCCCATTAGTATCTCCGTATTCGACATCCTGATGAACTCCACTGGATCTGAACACTAATTCGACCGTCCATTCATTGGCAGAACCCTTCAATGATTCCACTGACCATACACTCCCGAACCCATCGGGAGTCGCATCCACAATTAATCGTCCTGTATCAAGTCTTAAATTTCCCAACGAAGTCCAACTTTTCTGCAAAACTGAGAAATCTTCGAGTTCCAATAAATTTGGTAATGATAATGGACCTGGTAAATCATGATGATGGTCGGTCTCATCATAGCCTTCCGCTGGTGGGGGTGGCACATTTGGCAAAATTGCCCACGATAGACTTGCACATAACGCAATTGAGTTAAAAACAGTTTGAAACTTCATTTTGAACTATCAGTTTTGAGTTTAAGGGTTCTTACCTGTTCCTCCTGCCTTATGCTAGAGGGTTTTGAAAACTGGTTAATGATGTCGCACCTGATCTGGTAATGTCGCAGGCTATGTCGTCATTTTTCTACTATTGGCATCATTAAATTAGTGGCCGTGGGCAATTAGTACCGAAAGAATATATATTTGTAACTTAATAATATAGTTATGATATTGGTTATGTTATCTGTCAAGCCTTAGCGAATTGCCATGGTTCTGCATTATCGTTTTTAAGGTTTGACGAGGTGGTGCATGGGCTGTATAAGTGTATGGTAGCGTTCGTGTGCGTGAGGCTATGGCAAAAGAGAGGGGGTTATGAAACGGCTATGCTGATTTATTATATATAAGCAGCATGATTCTGTGTTTTCAGGATCAGTACGTAATATAGTTAGGTAGTAAATATCTTTATTGCAATTATGGTATCCATTGATGAAAAAACTTCGTTACCTCCTTATGGGGAATCAATTTATGGGGAGTCAGTTAATGAATACGCGCAGCAATCAACCCAAAGCCAATATCAAAACCAGAACCAGAACCAAAACCAAGTGAGCGATATTGTTTTACAGAAGAGAAATGAACATTTGAATCGTGAGTATGCCAAGATCTTGGGTGATCATTTAATTAAATACAAAGATGTCACTTATGAGCAAATCATTGACTACTTCAACTCAGCTGAAATTCCCCCTAAGTATAAGGGTAAAGAGAGCAACTTCATTAATTATACCTATGAATTCTTTCTTCATGACGGTATATTATATAAGAAGGGCAATGATGGACGTTTTCCATTGACTGTGTTAAGAACTATTGAGGACTATCAACAAGTCTTCGACTTGATTCATAAGTACAATGGAGCTCGGTATAAGAAATCAATTTATGATTTGATTAACTTGAAGTACTTTGTGCCTAAATTGGACAATTTGTTGAACCTTCACTTCAAATCCTGTGACACTTGTCAAAAGGTGGCCTGAACGTTCCTCCTACTGTTTTATGTTACAGTCAATTTTAAGTTGATTATACTATGTTGGTTATAGTTTCTTGAATTGAATATGATTATATGTTAAAGACCGTCTGACATATTCTGATCTTTAGGGAATACTGTGTAGAACTCTATCTTACGAGTAAGATCCATCTCTCTTTATGCTTTCTGTCATACTCGTATCTGTCACATACTTTACTGATTGTACTCGGCGTATCAGGACAATCATCAACATGGTCAAGTCTACATACTCTACATATATCATCAGTTAAGACTTACACTACAAATAACATCAAGTATCTAATCTATAACAAACAATAATTTATTTTAGAATACACGAATAGCTGCGAAAAATCCGCAAGTTAGAATGCAAAAAAAGGGTCTTTTTAACATACATAATAAGAAGAATAGGAATGGAAATCAAACTAAATTGATGAGGAGGAGGAGGAGAGGTTATGAAAAAAAGGTTCATTAATCGTAAAATGCATTGAATGGAATTTTTTCTTTTTATAAATATTTTAATAAATGTGAACTTATTTGGCAACAGATGCACATAAGGCGGCACCTACACCACTACCGTCCTTGGCAATTCTAATGTGAATTTTCTTGTCGGAACCTTCTAATGGGTCGATTAAAGCAACAGCTTCCAAGATCTTTGCTTGGAATCCTGGATAGAATTCAACAACTGATCCATCACAACCAACTTCAAAGTCCTTGGTACAGTCCTTGTATTGATCCTTGACCTTCTTTACAATAGCAGCTAATGGAATAGCAGAAAGGTAGGCAGCTCTGTTGGAGACGGCTCTGGTAATTGCTTGAATGGCTAATCTTTCTTCTTTAGTAGTTGGTAATCTTAAGTGATTTTCCAAAACTAATTGAGACATCTTTAAGTCAGTAGAGTCATCAATTTCCAAGTATGATAAGACTTCACCAGAAATCAACCATGGTTCGGTTAATCTATGTGGTAAAGATCCACCTCTTTGTTTGTATAATTGTTCAAAGACTAAAGATCTTTCAAATAAATCCATAAGAATGACTCTTAATAATTCACCCAAAAACATACCAGAAATTCTCTTTTCAAATAAGTGGTAACCGACATTGGCAGTTTCTTTATCAACGACTTTATCGTATTTAGTGTTTGGAGAAATCTTTAAGGTATTGTCAAATGAACCCCATTCAGTGTTAATGACCATACCTTTAATGCCTTCGGCCTTACCCTTTAATTTTGGAATGTTTTCCAAGGTTTCGTAATAGGCACCGTTGGTACCAGTACCGAAAATAGCACCAATGACAGTATGAGCATTAGATTTCTCTGGATCATTGGAGTAAGCTCTAGATAATAAAGTACCAACGGTATCATTGGCTAAAGCGGCACAGTGAACGTTGGTTTCTAAAAGATCCAAGTGTTTTTGTAATAAGTCAACAACATCCTTGTCAACACAGTCTGGTAAATCAAAACCTTTAGTCCATCTGATTAAAGTACCTTTATTTAAATCAGTTTGGTTAACTGGGAAAGAAAAAGTGAAACCTAATTTTAATTTTTCATCAGCAGCATCAACAGAATCCTTGTGATGTTCATCCAAGAATTCTTTTACCTTTGCAGCTAAGAAACCAAATAAAGTATCGGCAGTGGCTTCTACTCCTTGCATGTAATCTTTTGGAACTTCAGATTTAGATTGTTTAAGATCAAAAGTGTGGTCTCCCTTTAAGTGAACAGAACAAACTCTGAAATTAGTACCACCTAAATCAGCAGCTAAGAATAAACCTTTTTCTTTACCGTTTGGAATACCAGTAACATAAGTTGGGATCATAGGTAAATATTCCTTAGCTGGGACTTCAGTTTTTAAACCTTGAGTCATAGAGTAAACGAATTCATCAGTAGCTTTAATAAGGAGTTCCTTATCAACAGCGAAATCTTTGACAACTTGGTCAACGGCTTTTTGTAAATCGGAATTCATTTTATTTGAATTTTATTAGTAGTATTATAATAGTAATTATAATAGTGTTTATATCAATGAAAGACTTTTGTGAAAAATGACAAAATCTAATAAATAAAGGAATAACCGGATATATGAAGAAATTTATAGACACGAGTTATACACTTAAAGTAGATGATGGAATGATGATGCAAATTGTTGTATAAGATTCAACAAAAGTCTAGAATATACGAAGTAGTAGAAATTCTAGTAGTAATATTAGTAGTAGTAGTAAAGACTAGTTACAGTGGAGAAAGTTAAAAGTGAGCACAATGAGAATGATGAGATGATGAGCTCTATTAAATAATAATAATGAATAATGAAAAATAACTTTAAACAATTAGAGTATAGTTAAAAATAAAAAGGAATTATTGTAGTATTTATACACCAATTGAAAATTTTAAAAATTCGATTATGGGTTTTGGCATTCATTTTCCAATACTTGGAAAATCTTTCCCAAAAAAAGAGGTCGTCGGAGCATACAAATCCCTCCAGTACCAAAACAAACCCCCAGACCGCATTACTCAATTATGTCTAAAAAATATTTTTGATAATAATGGGCAATTGCAGCGCATCATGAGACATGCTAAAAAAAACTGCTCTTTTAGCTCTTTTTCTGGTGATGTCGCAGAGGTCAAGAAATTTTTCAGTAAAAGAAATGATACCCTGTAAACATTACAGCCTTGTATTGTTTTATTTGGAGTGGTATAATAACATAAGCTGATGTTACCCCGGTTCATTTGTTTGAATTGTGGGTCAGTAAATCTGTTACTATCTTAATTTGTCTTGTCTGGAGCTGACGTACATAATTCCGGTCTACCTTTACATCATTGTTATTAGTCTTTATTCTACTTCTTTTCTTACTATTATATCATATCATATCGTATCATGTTTGTCATCGTTTGTTATCCTTCGGTCTTCACTCGTTAGTTAACAAGATAATAATATCTTTCTTAAATTGACATATATCTAATATTTAGTCTTATTTAAGATCTTAAAGCTTAGTTTTAAACAATTGTACTTGCTATTGTGCTTTCATCTTCCCTCTTTCCCGTTATCCTGCAGTAATTATTTTTCTCATTATAAGTACGCAAGGCCCACTTCATATAATGAGCGCCTTGAAATTATGCACCTGGCAGCAAATCTCAAATTCTCCACTGAGAATCGTTAAACTTTGGCGTGGAGGTTTTGCGGGAGCATGATACCATCCCATGGAGATCTGTATGGTATTTTTGTGTAATATTGATTTTATATCTTAAATTTCTATGATTGTTACTTTGTTATTGTCAGTGCCTTAGATATTACACTTTGTGTACTAACTGCAATAAAGAATGCGTGTACTAATTGCAATAAATTATGCTGGAAGACCGATGAAGTGACAGTTTTATCGTATGTGTTCAAACCGAAGACGTCATACAAACTAAGTTTAATTTGATGGTTCTATTTTAGGTTATATTTTTTCCAGCTAAATCATTCATTATCTTTTCTATACTAGTCAACATACGTTTAAGTTGAAATGATTTAATTATTTAACAAAATAATAAGTTGCCTCTTTTCCTAAGTCATTCTTTCTTCGCTCCTAATTACTGACTTCGTTAAATTTACTTCATACTGCTTCGCATATAATTTTTCCGGATCATTCATGCAGAAAAAAAGCATAAAAAATAATTCATTCATAAGAAAAATCTAAAGTATGATGACTTATGCACTTAGAGTAGATTTTCGGATAAATTTTTCTTTCAGCATGAGGCTAACAATAAAATTTTGACGTCAGTGGATTTCCAACAACCCATGGCTCTCCAGTCCAATTAAATCCCCAACCAATTTGGCTCTTTCTCCCCGGATCCCCCATGGGAATTGTGTTTGGATTGGCTGACGGGGTATTCTGCATTTGCTTTTAAATTTGTTGGCATACAGTAAACGGTTAGTGTCATTATTCTAAATTCCTTTTTCTACGATCAGTAATTATCAGACACTTCAAGAAAACTGTTGTGTCATTTGAAATATTCTATTTAATAATTGGCCTATCGTATAGACAACTTTAGACAAAAATAAAAATAAAAATGTTTGCCATTAGCTGAAAACATCTGCTGCACTTATATATAGCCATATGAGTATTTTGAGATGCATCGGATAAACTGGTAGTCTGATTAACATCTTATTTTGCTTTGTTGTATTAAAAGCAAGTAAATAATAAAAGTTTTAAGTGAAACAACCGTGTTTGTGCTATATAATGTTTCAAAGTTTTTCCCGATAGGTGTGGACCCCCAAATTTCAGAAATTTACCTCATGCTCAACTCTGAAAACTTGTATTTGAAAATGTCTTAAAGCTTGATTTCTTGGACCACGTAAATCTTCTGACTACGTAACCCTTCTGATTAGCAGTAAGTTCGGACAAAGATATTTTTTTGAGAAATCCCTATTAATTTAATGGGCTATACATTTGCACCCAAACTTACTTGATCTGTATGCAGCATGTGTGGCTGGTATTAGTACATTGAATGTCTATAGGCTCACCGATATCTACTTCGTTACATTAGTTTGCCAGTTTATGTATGTTTATTATACTGCACTAAAATATATATAGAAAATAAATATGTTTAAGCAGGTAATTCAAAAGAATTTGCCATCTTAAAAAATTCTTGAACACTAGGACGTTCATTGACTCTATCAAACCATTCTAAAAGTGCCTTGCATTCCTTTGGAGGTTCCAATTTTACCACACTTAGAAAGACAAATCCTCCAATACATGCAATATCAGCCATTGAAAACTTATCACCTGCAATATACGGTTGCTTCTGTAAAAGTGAATTCAAGAAATGCATACCTCTAATACCTCTGTCTCTCTGGCGTAACCCCCATTCAAGATTCTGATACTTTTCAACAGTAGGTCCTAATCCCGGGGTAGCATTATGAAAGTAAAGACTGATAGCTTCAAGAAATTCAAATTCGACTCTTCTTGTCATCATATGGATTTGTCCCTTTTCAAATGGCGTAGTACCTGTTAAAATAGGGTTCCCATCAAGATTATCGATGTATTCAGTAATAGCTGTACATTCGGAAAGTAGCGACCCATCTGCAAATTCCATAACTGGTAAAGTACCAGAGTAATTCTTCGTCCTCAAGAATTCGTCAGTTTTGTGTTCGCCCTTATAAAGGTTAACGAATTCAAAGTCAACTAAATCATGTAATTTCTTTTCATGTAAAGCAATTTGTACTCTGCATGGATATGGACCAGGAGGAAAATCATAAATCGTAACTTTCCCAGGTATAGCATTATCAAAATTTATAGTAGCGGACATTTTTAATATTATAATAATCTGACCAGAACCACAATTCGATGAAGGGTCTTCTTATTTATAGTAAACATTATTGAACATGATGCTGCTATCTTCAGTAGTGTCGGCGAATATGCCTTTACTCCTAAAGGAGAATTTCTTCTCTATTAGGTGCGACTATTTTAGGAAATTTGCGGCTCGCATTTGTCATCAAATTACTCCGCAGACAACTGACCCAAGTTGGTCCCGTTTTGCACTTCATTGAACTATAAGCTCCATGGTTTACCTTCCCTCAAAAACCGTTTCATCGTGTGCCTTAGTTTGATAGATATAAAATCTTTGTTTTCAAGTAAAGTAACACTGGTCCTTTACATCCACATACTCTCTTGGATGTAAATGTTTGGAATTATATGTTCTGAAGATGAACTTATTGTAAGTGTCGATACAGAAGCTCAAGCCCTGCATTTTGGAAATTGAAAAACTGAACGATTACTAATCGGTCAGGACCACATCTAATAACAATTTTAGAATAATCGGTTTTTTTTATATATATTTCTTCTGTAGTAGTAGATACTAAATTAGATGTGGACTGTGGGACGGCCAAAGCTGACTTACGGCTAGTAGCAATCCAAAATGTTGTATGTCACTAGATGTTTTTTTTTCACCTTAGACGTAATTTCTGAAAGTCGTAATTTATTGTGCAATAATTTACAATTATGGATGGATATTTTGAACTGTATCTCTTTCAAGAATTGATTGAACATAGATGTATGGTTGAGCTATGAATTTTTCTATCGAAGTAGGAAAATTGAAGGATTTCAACCAATTTTAGTTGAAAATGTTTTGCCAATAAGAAAGAACTCCATAATTTACCATTATTCTCATAGCATAGAGGACAGAGTAATTTAGACATAGTTATAATTCCATCACGTTTTGAAAACTTTTTGTAACTGCAAAAAACTGCAAGGGTGGCCATAAAAAACAGAAAATTTGCAGCTTATTCACGTGATTGATCTGAAACAAACTAGTTTTGCTCTGAAACATGACATTTTTTCAAGTTATATACTGTAAATCAGGAAGAACATATTAAACTAGATAAAGAAGAATTACAACACTGTTCCAGTTTCGAATATGTCATTTTATGTTGTATTAAGAGAGGTAGAGAAAATGGCATTTATAATGATATTTATGCTTGCCGCCGTCAAGTTGATGGGTATTCACATCATAGTTTCAAAAGATTTAGTGATTATGATTCGGCTAAAAGATATTTACAATTAAATAATCACTTTTTCAACGACCCTCGTGATTCGGACAAACCAATTGAAAGCATATGTCATGTGTACATCGATGGTGCATGTAGAGGAAATGGGACTCCTAATGCAGCTGGAGGATACGGTATTTTCTATAGTGAAGGAGATGATGATAACGCATCAGTCCCGTTAAGTAAAGTAGACAATGCAAGACCAACAAACCAGCGTGCTGAATTATTTGCATTGCGTCATGCTTTGCGTGATATTAGTCGTTATACATATCGTGGTTCAACTGTGAAATTCATTATTTTCACCGATTCTATGTATGTTAAAAATTGTATGGAAGTGTGGGCAGACAAGTGGGAAGATAATGGATGGATAAATTCTAGGGGTTATACAGTAGCAAATAAAGATTTAATCGAAGAATGTTTTGATATCTATTGTGATCTAATGAGCAGTTATATTAGTAGAGGCTGGGGTGATCTAGAAATCAGGCATGTTCCAGGCCATTCGGGTAATGAGGGGAATGAAATGGCAGATACGTATGCATGGAATGCGGCCACAGGGGACTATGAAGAACTGTCAATTTATTATTAAGGACCTTATTAAATAGTGAGTGTTTATTAAATTGAAAATATATTAAAGAAGTCATTTATTATTTATTTCATGTAACTAGACAGACTCACAGGATAATTGTAGAAGGGTAGCAGTGAAGTTTAACTAATAAAGTCAACTTTCCTGACTACTTTATTGAATTATGACATTTAGTAAAATTGTTAATTATCAGAAGTGTAAGTACATAAAAATTCTAAAACAAAGGTTGTGCACAAAGTAGAAGTGGCTGGAAGAAAAAAATTTAAATACGGATTTTTCATTTTGTGTGATCTATAATCAACCAATATCAGAATAGAGTGCTTGTTAATGTTAATTTCAAAGATGGTGTATTACGCTGTTGCTAAAGGAAGAGCCCGTGGGATATATAGTGATTGGAATTCTTGTAAAGAACAAGTCAATGGGTATTCTGGAGCCCTGTTCAAGAAATTTAGTACAGCTGCAGAGGCAAATCAATTTGTTAACCTGGGAGGTCATTCCAGCGGTAGGTCCACATATTCAGGCTCTGGGTATAGTTCATCATCCGGATCATCATCCGGATCATCATCCAGATCATCATCCAGATCATCATCTAATTCATTTTATTCAGGTGGTAGCTCATACCCAGGGGGTCGCGGTGGTAGTCACGTCTCTAAACCAGCTCACAATTCCAGATCTTATCATGATCATGCTGTCCACTTGGATTACCACGATAGCATGCAGACTTTTAATATTTCAAATCCAAGTTCAAGCGAATCAAAAACGAAAGTCTGGATTGACGGTGCTTCCAGGGGTAATGGACTTTCACCAATGCCTGACTCAGGATACGGAGTCTACTATGGTCCTAATGACCCTAAAAATGCTGCTGTGGCATTAAACAAGGTTGATGATGTAAAGGTTAATAGACCTACTAATCAAAGAGCTGAATTATTTGCAATGTCTCATGCTTTAAAAGATATTCGTACTGATTTAGAAAAAGGGAACAAATCGAACTACGAAATTATTACTGATTCTTCATATGCTAAAAGTTGTATTGACACTTGGTCTGATGTGTGGGAACAAAATGATTGGAAAACTTCCACGAAAAAGTCCGTTGCAAACAGAGATATTATTGAAGTTGCTAGAAAAGATTATCAAAGTATTAAGTCGCTATGTGAAGCAAACGGTGCGAAAGTAGAGTTTACTCATGTGAGAGGTCATCAAGGAGATGTTGGGAATGAGAATGCAGACAGGCTCGCAAACTTAGGTGCAGATGCTATGAGAGAGAGTAAAAGGTGACTTATCCTTCTTTTAATATTTTATTCTATTGTATAGTACGTAATGTCATGATCAGAGCGGTTCTTAATAATGATCAAAAATTCGGCACTATCAAAGCAGTAGAGAAGTGTAGCTCTCCTATATCCCTTATTAATTGCTTTAAAGTATAACTAATTAGTATAAATCATAAGACCATAACCTATAAAACATACAAACACCAGTCGTGCGCTTACCAAACAAGTAAAATATCTAGATGGTTTATCTTGCAAAGAGGGCATCTAAATTTTGCAAGCTTGACACACCAAGTCAACCAATGAGCTAAATGAGTGCCTATGCCGCCTTACGTGACAGTGATTCTATTTCATCATTATTGAATGAATTAAATAATCCAGAGGAAAATGGTGTTATAGGTTATCTGCAGAACTCATCAGATGAGGAAGAGCCCATCAGCTTGTTAGAAACCCCAAGTGAACAAACTATTACAAACCAGAAGGCTTCACAAATACTGTCATTAAATCAAGCGCCTCCTATTTCATCTTCAAGATTTACTCCTACTAAAGATAATATTGTTTTTGGAGACCAGTATGTTATAGTAGGCTTGAAAGTTAATGAATATATTATGATTAATGGCCAATTTAAGCTCAACATTCAACGCGGAGCTATACTATTGAATAATATCCACTACCTTTATGCTCAAAGGAGTCTGCATGAGATTATAGCGCCATCTTCTTCTTCTTTGCCGGTAATAGCAAGCACTCAGGTATTGAACAGAGCTAAAGTTGAGGATCAGATAACAGAAGAAAATGAACACCTTTTTTCAAGTGATTATAAATCAGTGGTAAAGATATGGAACTTACGTACTGGTTTAGAGAATATTGGAAAATACTATTCTCCTTTTAAGAGACTTATTTTTAATCAAGAATGTGGAGATGAAAATCTTAATGAATATGAAGTAAAGTTTTTAGACTATTCCTTTGAACTAGTGTTGTATGACAATAGAATGATAGGATTAAATATAGATAAATCCTGGACTGATAAAATCAAAGAAATCATATGTGATATAAATGATCAATATTCACCTAAAATCATAATGGCTATTGGGAATAAAAATAGTGGTAAATCAACAATGAACAAAACGTTGATTAATTCCATATTAACAGAAAGCGATTCTTCATCAATATCATACCTTGATCTTGATCCTGGCCAGCCAGAATACTCTAAGCCATATTCACTATCATTAACAAGAATAGAAAATACTAATTTCGGAACAAAGTTTGCATCAAGCACTGTAAGTGATTCTTGTAAAGAGCATTATTTTGGTTACACTTCGCCTGTACATAACCCAGGCCAATACATTTCTATAATTAGGAGTCTATTTAATTATTATGAAAAAAATAACAAGCAAATGGGAGACCATCTTATTATTAATACACCTGGATGGATTAAAGGATACGGAAGAGAGATTTTGATAGAATTATCAACATTAATAGAGCCTGATTATTTACTTATTCTTTCTAGCAGTTTGGATCCAAATTCAAGGGACAATATAGAATTAGCAGCTGGTTTGAAGTTTAAAAAGCCCATGTTTTTAGAAGGTGTCTACCAAACTTCGAGGTATTCACCAGTGCAATTGAGAATCTTAAACAAATTAATTTATTTTCACCAGAGAAAAAATTTGGAATTTGAATTTGCTTATCATATTTTGAAAGAATCACCCCTTAGAATTTCTTACCAAACTATCAATTCACCTGATGAATTCATTGGTGTTAATGCAATCACAGTGCTAGGTTTGGATGTAATTCTGGATTCTAATTATGAAGATGTACCCTTAATGTTAGAGTCTTCCATTGTGGGAATTTATTTAGTAGATCACGAATACTTTTATTCTCATTCCCACCTATTATATAAGTCAAGTGCTCATGATAATTTACCATTGTACTTATCCAACGCCAATTATAATAAGATGGTAGCATATGATGCGTGGGATAAATTTGTGTTTATGGGACTCACAATGATTCATAGTATTAATCGTTTTCAAAACTACTTCAGTGTCTATTTACCAGAAAAATTATCGATGGATATTAAGGAACATCTTGGACAAGGGTTTAAGATGTTGTTGGTAAAAGGAGAAGGTGAAATTGCTAGCCCGGAAATTTTGAACCCATACATAATCTCAAAGAAGACTAAACAGCTTGCCAGACTTTCCAAGAAAAGGAGATCTGGAATAGCTAGCTCAGATGAATCAGTTATATCAATACCTTATGTAAGTTTTGAAGCAAAGAATAAGGTGGGAGGTGTTTGGAGAATTAGGAGAAATGTACAAAGAAGGAGCCATCAAAGAACATAGTCAGCATAGCTTTAATTAGGCAGTTCAAAAATTTGGCTGATATAATATTCCATCTTTTCCTTGCAACAACGATGTTTGTAAACTCCCAGCAACAAATAAATCATAGTCCATACTTTCAGTAACGAATTTGATCATTTTTTAAAATTCAAAGAAAGTATAAGATCCCTATTGGTCTTACCACGATCGTTAAGTCCAATTCTAATATTGTGATGGCGAGTCAAAGTCGTGCTATACTGTACATCATTGAAAAAGCTGCTGACACAAATCTAATTATATTCTTTGTTAAGATTGTAAAATAGAGGCAGACGAATATTTTTCACAAGTTCACTACATTGTAAATGCAAAGGTTCTATTTTATTGCCTTCTTGGAGTAAGCAACAATTCTAATGGATCAGTAGAAATTAAGTAAATTCGAAAAACTGCGTGAAAAACTACAGCATACAATTAAATAATTAAATTGCGCTCCCCGCGAAAAGATACATAGAACACTAAATAATATAATAGATAAAAAATAACACTAGATAATATAACCGAGTAAAAATAACGCTAAAAGTTAATGTGTATGAGACATCAACAACTTAAGTCGCTGTAATATTGTTCTAACATCACGTTTGTGGAACTAAATTTTAAAATTGACTTATTAAGATTCGAGACCTTCAAAAACTTGCAAACTTCCTTACTGAATTCAGAAGTTGAATCGAGAGCTAAAAGTTCATCCTTTCCATTACAAGCAACGTAATTGTATAGGTATAAAGCATCCCCGAGCTTTTCATTAGTCAAAGCTGAATCAAAGTTTTCTTTGATAGCCGAAACCTTGCTGAAATTGTCCACCAGATAAAAGTTCAAGCTTTTGAAATAACTTGAAGTATCCCTTTTGTATAAGGACGATAAATCAAGTGTAATTAACCCACTATCCAGAGACGATGGGTATCTCTTCTTGAGTAAATCATCTAATAAGGAGTCATAGGTGGATACTGCATACCAGAGATTGAGAAAAACTAATATGAGGATTAAAACTTAACCATTTCTTCACTATTGATAATGTTTAATGAAACAAAATGCAAAACTTTTGACAGAGAAACGCTGTAGCTTATTTATAATGCAGAGAAACTAGAAAGAATATGAAGCTAAACTAAAATGATTGACAACATAGCCCAAGAAGTCTATAATAACCCCAATAACACAATCCTGCAATGTGCTCTGACGCCTCAGGTATTTTTGGAGCCTAACAAACTTGATATTACAACATGAGATTTTGAAATTTTGGAATTTAGGAATTTGCTTTGTACAGGTGCCTGTTCTTAATTAAGTCCACAACCTGAAAATGATGATCTTCTAGTAGAACTCTAATAGGGAGGTATCTCATCTAAATCTTTGCAATACACCAGTTAATCCTCCCACTAATTATAGTGCACTAGAACAAAATTTAAGTGATAGGAAATTGTAGGCAATCTTTTCTTACGATTTAGCTAGGAAATAGTTATCTTCTACATTAATAATTGTAAATACGCCGTGAAGAACCAATTTGAATATACAAGAACATATAGTAGTATCTTCACATTAGGTTTATCGTATGCCTTACTGTTGTGATCCTATTAATAGAGGCAACGTGCGCGATTGCGGTCTCTAGAGGCTTGTGTTGAGGCTTCAAGCTGCAAGGTCCGTGACAGACGCTAATTTCTAAAATATTTGCGCTTTTGAAGCTAGCTCCTATTCTGGCATATTTATATACTTTCCTGGCTGTTGCTTAAATAATAGGGGTCAGCTTATTTTTTGATTTTTTGATCAGTTTTGTCTTCTATTTTCAGCTAACAAAAAAAGGAGATAGAATGGCTCGCGTTAGGATAGATGAGAAAACAATTTTTACTTTTAATCTTGGATTATACTTTTACTTCATCTTCGAATTTAATCCAGCAATTGAGATGAGAGATCCTGAATCAGCAAAACTGCTCTTTGGAAAAAATGTAATGTCAATAGTGCATTGTGCTGGTACTCTGCCATAAATGACAGATCGAACTATTGAATTGAGGAGAGCGGCAATGTCAAAACCATCAAACTCCCTAACTAGCAATATTCGAAATGAGAGTTATTAAGAAGGTGAATTTCATCGAAGTTTGACAAAGAAGGGAAAGTAGAACAGATCGGGCACAAATTGTTGGATTGACCTCTAGAGTATAAACAAAGAACCATACAGGTATAACCTATATACTTTAGCGGACGGAAACATTAACTTTTAGATTTAGTAATTTAAAATTTATAATTGGAGTTAAAGTAGGATTCATTGACTAAACAACATGTGTTAGATCCATAATTAAATAGTAAGTTATGATTCGGACAGAAGAGCAGTAGTTGTTGGAGGAATACTATTTCCGAGCTGAGTAAGCTGCAAAAAGGCATCGAGTTACATTTGATCTGTGGCTGAATACTTCGGATAATATTTACATTTCTGAACAATGTTAAATACTCCATTGATTGAGATTCAAATTATCTTAAATTAATTTTATTTATAGAAAAAATACAGTCACCAAATTAAAACACTAATACGATGACTATTACCTCATTTGTCACAGGCGCTACCAATTTCATTGCTTAACAAATCATTTTGCAACTTTTCAAGATGTTTATAGAGTTATTAGATGTGTCTGATCTATAAAAATAAGAGAAAGTCTCGTAAAGATATTTGCTAATAATAACTTCATTATGAAGTTACTGAATCATTTCGAAAAGTAAGTGCCATCGATAATGCTCAAAAAATGGTTTGATGATACAACTCGAAGTTACTATCTTCTTACATACCGCATCACCAGTTATTATTGGTTTAAGATATGCAAAAAGACATTTCAGTTCAGCTAAGGGTACAGAATTGGTCATTAGATCTATCAAAGAATTTGCCCCACAAATTGAAAGATTCGTTTTTACTAGCTCAATTGTTGCAACCCCTACTGTTGCAGAAGTTACGAATCCTAGTTCTGTAGGGGGTGAAAGCATTGGTAATAGACTACGTAATGAATCGACCAAACTACTTCAAACACTTTGGATTTAGAGCCAAATCAGGATATTCCGCAGTTCAAGGGTCACTTAATAGACGTTAGAGATGTGGCTCAAGTTTATATCAGAGCGTTTACATCATCTGAAGCCCAGAGAAAGAGATTTCCTTCGGTCAAGATATTTCGATAATCAACTACTTTTGGATATCGTATACTAATCAGTAAGTTGAACGATGATATAAACCCTTTTCTATTAAACAAATAATGATTCTGTGCTACCAACCACTTAAAAATAAGGGTCATAACTTTTAAAAGAGTTCTTTCCTCTGGTATATTTCATATTCCAAAGTTTCTCTCCCTATCCAACCTGGATTTGTACTCTTTATAGTTTCTTTATATAGACTTCTACTCTTTATTTAGACAATTTCTTATAGGAAATACATATCAACCCCCTGAAAAGCAAAATAGTTGGTAACTCGTCATCATTTCCCCAAAAAAACAGTATACAGATTAATTAAAGCAACACTAGCTAAAAAGATAAATAAGTCTTTAAATCTAACAATTATTTTTTTCAATATAACTCTCCTCAAATTGAGTTGCCCATTGAGTACCCAATTCTTCTCCGGGAGGGGTAATATGTATTTCCTATAAATCATTTGACTTAAAGAGTAGAAGTCCAAATAAATAAACTATTTAGAGGGAATTCGAATCTAGCTTAGATGGGTATTGAAGATCCTTGAATGAAGAAGACCAATGAAGCAGATCTGAGCATAAAACTATATAGAGAGAACCAACAAACTAAAAATCCAGGAAGTAGAGTGTCTAAGACTCCTCGAAATGGTCGTTAAGTAATTTCATACTGCAAGCGATGAAAGTGAGGCAGATTTAACAAAATTTCTAGTTAGTTTAATCAATTACTAGATCATGGTAGTATTCAACTTTCATTGATAAGCCTAGATTGCTTATTAATACAAAGAAATGTTGGGTATGGTGGGTCACAAAAGATAAACCCCAGTTAGCAAAATACCCTCCACTAGATTAGAAAATAGAACAATTATAGCCTCAATAGCTGGTGAAGAGATTGTAAACCAATTACTGGAGATACAGTGACAGTTCATTACATGCAAATTCTTAATGGATATCGATCGTTTGGTTTTCAATCTGAGAACTATCTCATCGATATTTTCTTAGTAGAATACATAATTATAGGCTTAAACATACTTACATTTACTGTATAAAACCTATACCATACATTATACTTCTCATTCCTACGCCAAGCTTGTATATGATATCCTCTAGATATCCCCAAATCTATTGCATCTTATGGTATTTGATATTAATCCAAATCTCAAACGACGCTATTTTTGGTTATGGATAAAGCTAGCGTTTGCGAGAACACTAGTATTGGTTGAATAATTAGTGTACGTCAATTCCGATATCTATTATATAGCATCGTATCTTCCAGATCCTAACCTATTGAACAAATATTCTACGTCAAAGAATGATATGCTTCTTAAAGTACAGATACCTCTAAAATAAACAGTCTTGAAATTGAATTCAAGAGCAGATCCAAAGAAGTGGTCGATATTTTGCAAGTCGTTTTGAAGATTTCGCTTTAAACAATTTACAAACCTTATGCATGTGTAATGCTTCTCTTCTCTTCCATAGTGATTATTCAAAGATGCTCAACAATCTTCTTTGTACATACATTTTGAACTTTATTTATGTTCATTCTAGGTGGATGTGTGGATGTCCGACAATCTTCCTCAATTTTATAACAATCAATTTCTTAAGAAGTTTTTAAAAGCGAAGAATAATCCGATTCTATATCAAAGATATTATTTAAGGGTGTCCTTTGCCTTCATGCAAGTCTTCGAAGAGCAACAAAAACGCGAAACCATCGGGAACACCAATGGTTTGAGAATCTCAGGACTTGAATCAATACTGAGTTTCTGTATTTAATCAATTATTCCAAGAAAATACCACCTATAATAATACTGGGAGAAATAAATTCACCATTCAAAAAGGATGACCTTGTAAAGCTATCCAATTAATTGGAATATTCAAAGCATGCTTCCCAGAAATCAGAAATCATCAACTATATACAACAACAAGGGTTTTGAATTTGTATTTGCCTTCAACAACCGAATTAATTAAATTTATTTCGTTCCGTTTTCAGAACCTTCAGAAAGAACTCATCGATATTATGTTTCTTAAGTTTACATACTGTTGAAGGCCATGCATAATATGAAATGGTTGTGTGACATTGTTGATGCAGATAAAACAGCTGACATTTAGTGTCATCTTCATGATCTTTAGGATCAGTTATCTGGTCACCAATCATACGATACAAGCGTAGGAATACCCTAAGTGAAGGGTTATGAGACCTCAATTAAGTATGATATTGCCCGTTTGGTAACCATTTGTAACAAATTACAACAAGTTACAACTCCCTTCTTGTTTTGACAACCATTGTAAACGTGTTCCAATAGATATAAATAGATATAAATACAGTATATATAAACATAGTAGGTTTTATATAGTAACTATAATTAATATAAGTGTTTGTTTTAGAGACCACATGGACTCAACTACATTTAATGAACAAGATATCGATAATAATTTCTGAAATTGAAAACCGATAGACGGTATGGTTTTGTTTTTGTAAGCTACAATTGCCAGGAAGAGGCTAGCTACAAATGGTTAACTCTACTAATGTGTAATTAGAGTTGTTGTTACAACACATGTGTGTGAACTCAGAGGTATACTTCTATTATCCCTATGGATAATTGTATATGTTTTATATAGTAACTATGATAATATAAGTATTTTGTTTAAGAAACATTAACTATGGAATCTATAACTCTAAATGTACAAGACATTGATGATCTTATTCATTGTGAGATTGAGGACCGAACGACAAGATTAAGGCAAATGAGTTGTGCAGTGGAACGAACTGATTATAGCAAATATTGCCCGAATCATTAAAGGCCCGGAAACTGTTGTGAATGGCGCGAGAAGTCACTTAAGATAGATAATCATGTTCAATGTAAGTTTCTGTAGAAATTTCAGTGTAAAATTAGGGGGCTATAGAAAAGATGAAGCTTAAATTGATATGTATCGAGGCCTTTAGCTGATGATAACAAACTTTAGAAGCTGTTGCAACATGTTTGTAAGCTACAATGGTTGTGAAGACAGGTAGAGTGTTGTAACTTGCTACAAATGGTTGTAACAATAAAAGGGGGGTTGTAACAATAGAAAGGGGGTACTCTAATAATGTGTTATTAGAGTTGTTGTTACAACACATGTGTGTGAACTCAGAGGTATAAATAGACCTCTAATATCCCTATAGATAATTATATAGGTTTTATATAGTAACTATGATAATATAAGTATTTTGTTTAAGAAACATTAACTATGGAATCTTTAACTCTAAATGTACAAGACATTGATGATCTCATTGTAAGATTGAGGACCGAACGACAAGTTATGAGCCCTGCTTCTGCCAGCGTGCAAGTCAAGTTGAAAGGACTTGAAAACTTCTACACCTGGAAGAGCAGTTTCGTTGACGTCTTCAATCAACTTGGGATCTCAGGTTTCTTAATTCATGGAAATGACTTTTTTCAATTTACTGAAGAAGTTGGTCCTACGGATGTTAATAGATTGAAGAGTAGTGTTGTAGGAATGCTTAATCATGTTCTATCCTTGACCATATCTGACACCATTTGGAAGGAATACAGAGGTTATTCAGGTGATACCGCTTACCTTTCAATTTGTGAGGAGTATGGTAACATTGATTTTACAGCTGCTGCTAGACTCATTAGAAAGTACGGTTTTGGTTCTCCCACTGCTGACGATTGGGAAATGCTTGGAGAAAATGTTTTCTGCCGTTTTAATGGCCAAGAAACTAGTGGACTTATATACTTTGCAACTATTCCTGATACTAAATGGGGACAAATTGAAAGGGCTTTTCACTCCCTTAAAGAAAGAAAAATCAATGCTATTTTTGATGTTGCTACTATTCGGAAATTAGCTTTACGTATTGGTACAAATCCTCCTGATAATTTAGACTTTACCATTAACCTGGATACCGCTTTAGTTGTTAATCGTAGTAAAAAGGTTATTTGCTATCATTGTAAGAAGGAAGGCCATAAGAAGAATAAGTGTCCAGAACTCAAAAATGAACAATCCAGAAATGAATCGACCAATGGTACAAACACGAGCAAGTCTACATCAAGAAGTAGTTTCTACGTTGGTGATCTGGCTTTTCAAGTTTCTGAAAAACCCAGAAATGCTGTTTTTCATTTTGATTCTGGTGCTTCAAGCCATATTGTTAAGGATATTAGATTATTTTCTGAAATTGACACTAATTTTAAGCATAATGTTGATTGTGCTAATGGATCAACCATGCAAGTTGAAGGTATTGGTAAAGTAAGTCTTCCAGATTTTGATCTTACTAACGTCTACTATATTCCCAAATCGGCGGTTAATCTCATTAGCATCCCTGCAGCAGCCCGTAGGGGTGCTACCTTCGTCTTTGACTCAACTGGAGTCTATGCAGGTTTTGCATCTATTGATCTTGCTGCGAATAAATTATCGCACCATGGTAGTTTACGGGCAAATTTGTATACTATTGAAATTGATACTATGAAAAATGAGGGGGTTGGAAATGCATTTATTGGTAATGTTGCTAGAACTCCTCAGGAAATTTTACACAAGAGACTTGGTCACCCAGGTCGTGGTATTCAGGATAATTTTAGAAAACTCGGAATTCAGTGTCACCTGAAGAATTGCCGTAGTTGTATGAAGTCAAAGATGACTTTCAAATTTCCAAAGTATTCCACTCGGAGAGCTACAACACTTGGAGGAATCCTTCATATGGATGTCTGTGGTCCATTTCCACCAGCCTATAATGGTTGCAAATACTTTCTCACTATTGTTGATGATAAATCAAGATTCATTACAACTTTTCCAATGACTTCTACTGCTGAAGTTGGTCAACTTATTATCAACTTCATTAGATCCTGTGATCGTCAGAATTCTGCAAAGGTTCAAATAGTTAGAACAGATAATGGTTCTGAATTCAATAATGTCAAACTTACTAATTTCTTTCATGAAACCGGAATTCGTCACGAATTGACAGTACCATATCACAGTTATCAGAATGGAGTTGTTGAACGTTCCCACAGAACAATTCAAGAATTTGCTAGATCTTTACTTCGTGATGGATCACTTCCAGATCACTTTTGGCCAGAGGCTGTACTCACTGCTACGTACTTGCTTAACTTAATGCCTCGTCATGCTCCCAAGCATCAGTTGGTCGTTCCATATGAGAAATGGACTGGGAATCCTCCCAATTATGACCAATTACGAGTTTTTGGGTGTTTGTGTTATGCTTTGGTTCCCCCAAAATTAAGAGTGTCCAAATTTGACTCTACATCAAGGGAGGCTATTATGTTGGGATTTGACCCAAACAGAAAAGCCTATCGATTATATGATTTGGTCACTCGGAAAATCTTTTCTGCCAGTCAAGTTAGATTCATAGAAGATGAATTTCCTTTTGAAAAGTTAGCCTACCAAGGTGAAATTAATGTTCATTCTAATACCACATTGGGGATTAGTGGTGGAATTTCCTCTCTTAGATATTATAATTCTTCCGACCGCTCGCCACCTCCTGTTAGAGTTACCAATGATGATCACTACCGATCTGATGCAAGTATGAATGAACTCGATGCAACTAAGTCAGAAAATGTTAGGGATACCGACCCTATTGATTATGAAGTTAATATCACCCACGCAGATGATTATAATGGAAATGATTATAATGGAGATGATTATAATGGAGATGATTATAATGGAGATGTTTATGATGGAGATGTTTATGATGGTGATGATGATAGTATGACTTCCCACGAAGAAGATGTCGCTGAACCTACTTCCATTATCGAAGTACCCGATACCATTAAACCTGCTGTTTCGCCGGATGCTGAAGAAAATCTCGTATCTCCATCACCTTTAGAATTTTTAACTGTTCTGCGTTCACAACAGAAACGGAAGAGACGTGAAGCTGATCCGTCCAGTAACATTATATTACATTCCACTGCTTTAATTCCATATCAGCCTGAAATGACAGCTACTTCAGACTATGGTTATACTGACTCCGACTCTTATGCTCCAGACTCCAAGAAACTCCGTCGTACGACAGAACAACCCCAAATCATGTATTATGATTCCGATCATCCACCACCCAGTAGTTCTTCAATTGCCGATGATACTAGTGATGATCCAGAATATGCTGTTTATGTTGATGCCTTTCCTGTGGATTATATTTACCATGTCCAACTGCCCATTAAGGTTCCAAATACGTTTCAACAAGCAATGAAATCCCAGGATCATGATAAGTGGAAATCCGCCATGGATGATGAATATCTGTCTTTAATTGCCAATCATACGTGGACGTTGTCTGGGCTTCCTGAAGGTCGTCAAGCCATTAGCTGTAGGTGGGTTTATTCCATAAAAGGTGATGGAAGTTATAAAGCCCGCCTAGTCGCTAGAGGCTTTTCACAAATACCTTCTGTGGACTACCACGACACATTCGCGCCTGTTATTAGGTACGAATCCGTCCGACTTTTATTGGCTATTCTGGCTCAACTACACCTTATTATTCACCAAATGGATGTTAAGACTGCCTTTCTTAATGCAGATCTCCATGAAGAATTATATTTACGTCAACCACCAGGATATGAAGTCGATGACCACAAGGTTCTCAGATTGCATAAAGCCCTTTACGGGTTAAAACAATCTGCGGCCCAGTGGAATCTTAAATTTGATGCTACATTAAAGGAACTTCAGTTTAAGCGTTTGGAATCTGAATATGGTCTATATATTAGACATCGTTCATCAGGAATCATAATTATTGCTTTATATGTTGACGACTTGCTTATAAGTGGTTCCAATTTAGCTGAAATACTCGAACTCAAGACAACTTTACTGGCATACTACAAGATGAAAGATCTCGGCCAATGCCACAAGTTCCTAGGCCTTAACATTCAGCAATTCCATGATGGAACTAAAGGAATCACTGCTGAAGATTATTGTAAGTCCATTTTTACATCTTATGGAATTGAACTGAATTCCTTAAATCCAGTTCGGACCCCCTTATTAGCCAATCAGCACTTAGAGGATGTGCCTGCTGACGCCAGTCCTGCTGATGCTACGGAATTTCGCAGTCTCGTTGGAAAATTGTTATTCTTAGCAAACACTGTCAGGCTCGATATCAGCTTTGCTGTTTCAAGCTTATCACAATTCCTTCAATCTCCTACCACCTACCATTTAAAAGCTGCTAAGCGCATGCTTCGTTATATTAGTGGTTCTATGGAGTTTGGTATTAGATATCAGAAAACAGATACATCTTCAATTATTGGTTTCTGTGACGCCGACTGGTGTGGAGATACCACCAATAGCAGATCAACCTCCGGATACATTGTTAAATATGCTGATGGCCCAGTTATCTGGAAAAGTAAGAAGCAAAAAGTCGTTGCTATGTCTAGTGCTGAATCTGAATACTATAGTTTAGCTCTGGTCAGTAAGGAGCTCTTATGGTTAAAAGAAATCTTTGAGGAATTGGAGTTAGACTTACCAGCCATCAAACTTAATTGTGATAGTCAGAGTGCAATGAAAATCGCTACCAACCCCGTTTTCCACAGTCGAACCAAACATATCAAGAGATGCTACCATTTTATTCGCCACCACATTAATAAGGACTTTACTGTTCATTACCTTAATACTAAGCATATGCCCGCTGATGTCTTAACTAAATCATTGCCAGCCGATCCTCATGCACATCTTTGCACACTTGCTGGAATAGGTAATCTTCCTAAATTACAGCTTTTATCAGATTAAGGGAGGCATACCGTCTCACAACCATTCCACCTTAAGGGAGGCTGTTGCAACATGTTTGTAAGCTACAATGGTTGTGAAGACAGGTAGAGTGTTGTAACTTGCTACAAATGGTTGTAACAATAAAAGGGGGGTTGTAACAATAGAAAGGGGGTACTCTAATAATGTGTTATTAGAGTTGTTGTTACAACACATGTGTGTGAACTCAGAGGTATAAATAGACCTCTAATATCCCTATAGATAATTATATAGGTTTTATATAGTAACTATGATAATATAAGTATTTTGTTTAAGAAACATTAACTATGGAATCTTTAACTCTAAATGTACAAGACATTGATGATCTCATTGTAAGATTGAGGACCGAACGACAGAAGCTGAACCATTTCTTCTGGTAGGAATGAATCGCATAGATCCAAGTAAATTCCTTACTCTAAGCCGGGGTTGTTTACCCTCTCTGCTTTGAAAGGTAACTGTGGTGATAAATTACATGACTGGTTGCCATTCGAATAGTTATGGTGTATTTCCTGTAAGTAAACATCTAAATAAAGAGTAGAAGTCTAAAATAAAAAAAGGCTCCCAAAATAATACAAATCCAGGTTCGATGATGGGGAGTAAGGTCCTTTGAAAGAAGAAGATACCAAATGAAGGCTGATCTGAGGATAAAAGTGTATCGATTGTATTCTCTAGATGATAGAGAAGCCTTTTTTGCTGAATGGATTTAAAAATCCTCGAAGCAAAGCTTATTCGTTCGAAAATATGACTTTAAAACCTTGAATCGCCCAGAAGAAGAGGTCCCTGTATGGTAATTCAAACTACTGATTTGAGAGGTACTTGGATGTTGGTAGTTTTCATGCCTTGTTGCCATTTGGCTTTTCTCTTTTTTGCATATTTCCTTAGGGTCCAGACCAACGCTTCTTCCTATTCTTGAGTGACCAAAATTAGCAGATCCATTGCGGCGGCAGATTGAAGACCACGTTGCAAATCTGGCTCGTTCTCCCAGAATGAAAAATTCATCTCGTGTGAGTTTTCATTAAGCCACGGAGCTGATGGGGTATACACATTCCCTGAATACTCGATACCAACGGTAGATGTATTTCTTATCTGTTGTTAGAAAAGGCTTGTATCAAAAGAGAGAATGCTGCTGAAGGAACCACCATTCTTGATTTGAGAGTGTTTCTTTTTGTTTTCATGAAGAGACTAGATCTCATAATAATCGTTGTGATGAAGTTCAAAGAGAATCTACCTCTTGTATGTTTCTGGGAGCTTATTAGGGGTCAAGAATCGTATAATACGTTTGTGTTTCTTTTTCTTTCTTTAGTTTATGTTATCAGTTTCCAATCACTACTTCTATCAACTCTAGGTTGGATTCATGATCTCTTCTTTTGCCCGCTATGATATTTATTTCCCTACAAATAGATCTCTAAATAAAGAGTAGAAGTTCATAAACGATGCAATCCGATTGATAGAGTTGACGATATTGCAGTGAAAAAAATGCATGCAACGTATTTTTATCTAGTGGCATTTGACATGGATATAAGCAATAATTTGAAGTCTCTAAAATACAGATATCGCGCCTCGTGTTATGGTTGCTTTGACTACATTACATTTATCAACTAATAAAAGAAGTACATTTACAAACGGCGTTTAATATATATTATCTATAAAGTTATTCATATGTATTTGGGACTTTGAAGAGTTCAAATAATGAAGTATCACTGAAAAAATCAAACTGGTACTGAGGGTTATTGCTGTTATTAGTGCTATTACTTGCGTTGGCTATATTCGTTGTGTTATTAATGGCTTCATCGACAGTGGCACCTGCTATGTTATCCTGATTTTGGTCATTTACATGACTTCCGATTTTACAGTCATTTTCGGCATCTAAGTTAATCTTACATAACTCACACCAAAAATTATCCGTCTGAATATCTCTAATTATTGACATATTATCTTTTGTTTCCAAAGATCCTAAAGCACTAGGAGCTAACACTTTTAAGGAATCAAGAACTGCTATCCTAGCATTTATGTCACTCTGGTCAGTGGAAAGATTAGACAGCGACATATAAAATCTTAAAATTCTTTCAAGATCTCTAAATTGTTCCTTAGAATAGCTTAGTATTGCTCTATTGGTCCATGAAGTATTGCTTTCATAAATGGGAATTTCATTCATTAGTTTTATTCCATATAAATGTGCTTTGTTCACTTTCCAAGCAAAGAAATATCTTTGAGCATCAGATGAAAGAGTTCGCATATTTCTTTTCGTACATGCCAATGTCATCAGTAGAAGGTTCTGGATGATATCTTTCAAACTATTTTCTGGATTCGAAAGATTTCTTTCCAGATCTTCCCTTAATGTGGTTGATAATCTAACAAAGAGCGAAGCACATACCATACAAGATATATGATAATACAAGTTAAGTAATGGTGTGATGATAACAGTGAATGCTCTACCAAAAATCCCCTTTCGAACATAATCCTTTGTATTGCATAAATCGCTCAATTCATATAATAATATTGTGAAAACCTTCTTATGGTAGAAATATTCTAAATCTTTCTCTCCTAAATCACTGTAATGTATATGACAAAGGAAATACATTTGAGCCAAAAATAGTTTCAACTGTAGATAGTAATAAACTTGCTTGATTTTAGCTGATTCAGAAATCAATGGATCATCTTGGATCAACGATTTGAACCTTCCAAATATTCTTGCACATAAAAGTTCCATATCCAGCAACTCTTCTAAGAATTCAGAAAACTCAACTTTTGCCTTAAAGTTGGTTATGGGTTTCGCCAAAGTTTCCATACAGTTAAGTATTGGCCTAGACATTACTACATTCCTTAGAACATCTTTTTCCAACTCAGTATCCAAGATATTGGAAGCACCCTCCTTGTAGAATGGAAGCTTTGTATCGTAATTCAGGTTTTTATCTGTTGATAGGGTGGACGCATACATTAAAGAATCTTCAATATCCAAAGCAACTAAAAAATACCATATTTTTCTCTTTAGATTGGTCAACTTAATGCTTTCATTACCATTGAGAAAATATTCAGGATCACGGTTGAGTCTCAAAGATATTGCGACTTGAATTATAATTCCATCTCCAGCCTGTGTCTCTTGTCCTTTAAAATTATCACCTGCTTCAGGAGCATACTTTTTATATATTCTTGAAAATATCAACCCTTGCAAGATTGAAAGATCCTGAACCCTCGATAAGTTAAATAACCTGAGACATTCTTCAGCAACTTGTACAACTTCTAATGGTACCGGCAGCTGCATTATCGTCTCTCTTTCTTTTGCAATTGAAGGAAATCCATCCACAACTAATTCGAAGTTGCTTTCACTATCATTTGAAAACCATAAAAGAAATGTCAATCGTATTACAAAGAAAAATGTAGCCAAAATAGCATAGTCGGCCATCTTCTCTATTTTCAAGTCGACAATCTTCTCACTTAGCTCATCTACAGTCCCCAAAATTCTAGTGAGATCAGCACGAAATGTTAATTCATCCAATATAGGAAAGAAAGGATATAAATATTCAAAGAACGCATTTAAATATCTGGAAGTAATTCTCTGGTCTGGTATCAATTCTATGATCTTTCTGTTCAATGAAAAGTTGCTTATATCCTGTGGATGGAATTGTATCCCTAGGGTTTTTCCATAATTGGACATTGAGTCCTTTACTTCCCTTAAAGAACAACCGTCGTCTAACAGTTTCACATATCTATCACCGTACTTTTCCTTAGCCATATTTTTAAATGGTTCCAATTTTTTATCCTTTCCCTTTCTAACGAGAAACACGTCCTTGAATGAAAATTCTCCATACTTAGGCAGCGAATCAAACACCCAGAATAGTTTCACACCAGGATCTCGTTTCAGTAAGGAAACAAATGGCAAAGGAGGTTTGGTTATGCGACTCGTTGTAGAATCATCTGCAAAGTGGAAATTAATAGAAGACTCTTCCTTTCTGCGGGGTAAGACACCGATTAACAAATCCTTATATTGTTCTCTTAGTACTTTGTTACTATGGATGAATACGCCGCCTTCTTTTATCTGATCGTCTCCGTTAAATGGTTCTACTGACAATTGTACAGCATCGGGATTTGTGGTAACCGAAGACTCTAATTGACGCAACCGACCCTTCAAGAAAGTCAATTCCTGTTGAATACTTAGTCCTTCAGTACTTATTGGAGGTGGTGACTCAGGATTTCTCTTGTGGTTAACGTGCAATGGAGAACTATAATTACAAGTATGGGAAATACTCAATTTAACACAATTACTGCATGGTAGACCACGGTCACATTTAGTTTTCTTCCTTCGACAATTATCACAACTTAGAGCTATTCTCTGTCTCTTTTTGTTAGACTCTGACATGCCTTAAAGTCTATTTTGTGAGGTTAATGTATTAAACGTTTTCCGCTAAAGCAGCATCTGTTGTTATATTTGTTACAAACGTGGATTTACACGGAGATAAAAGGTTCTAATCCCTTAATGCGGAGTTAAGTTTTTCAGAGATTCTAGGTGGGCTGTATACTTCGCTTTAGAAGCATGTCTTTATTCGTTAGTCGTATTCTAAATATGAGTAATAGATTATGAAATAATGTAGTCAGAGATCATGGTGTGACATTTCAGAAGTGGCATGATACTTTCAGTATCGATTTAGTACAAACTATATGTATTGGAAATCACCTAAACATCTTACCATCAGCATCACCTTGTCTTCTCCATTGAGGGCTTATAGATCCACTGTTTTCTAATTTATATAATCTCCATGCTTCTCTGATATGATGTGGTTGAAGTGGTTTGATTTGATCACCCTCATATTGTAGTCGTCTATCATCTACTTCAATTTCTTGTCCCCTATCTAAGCTCTTAAGGATTTCTCGTTTTTGATTCTTTTTATCTTCTATATCTATAATAAGCTTTGCCTTGTATTCTTTTTCTTGAATCTCCAATGCTTTTGTTATCACATCACCTAAAAACAGCTTTGATATACCCGCTAAAACAACTGAGATATTATGTGGTACTGAATGACCAATTATACTATTGATAATCTTCTTTACACCTCCTTTATTGATTGTCATTCTTCTGTAAGCTTCAAATCTCTCCATTTGATCGTCCGTAAAGTTGGCAATCAATAAGCGCTTTCTTTCTTCTTCATTTAAATCTGTATCCAACATTCCAGCCTTTAATTTTTTATATTTTCTTACAAGCTCCTCATCTTCTATATCGGATAATCCATCAATTTCATCTGAAGACAGTCCAGATCCATTCTCTTCATAGTCAGAATAGTCCTCCTCCAGACCATAACTATTATTATCATCACCATAAAATACTCTTCCAATCAATTCTTCGTCATCTTCGTCCAAGCTAACATCGGTAAGGTTATCATCATCATATTGTTCGTCTGATTGTCGTATATTACCGTTATCTGATTGTCGTGTGTCACGTTCCATTATATTATAGTCTTATAGAAAAACCTTTAATAGGTTAATCTCTAATGATGTTGATTTTAGTTTTCAGATACTTCTGCGCGGATTTTTTTTATTACTTCTATGCATCACTGTATAGATATTTACCAATTTACTCAGGCAAAGTTGACGCTTAATTAAATGTATAGAATTTGAGAGAGTGTCTGTCCAATTTCAGACCTTCTGGATTAAGCAATGTATTGAAATCAAATTTCATCTACTTTTCTAATTCTAAATTAAATGATCTAGCTCGAGCATATAAATGTTTCCAGTCCATTTTTGCCGCTATAACATCATTTGCAAGAGAAACTACTTCATCTTTGAAATCTTCATTAACCTTCTTATTCAATCGTACTTCATCTAATATTTTCTCCAATAGTTTTATAGTGTTGAATCGATATAAGCTATGGATTTTGAGGTTGACATTGTTGGAAGGGTGCTGAGATAATCCAAGATGATCATCTAATACTTTTGTTATGTCTGGTACCACGCTCTCTAAGTCAGCTAATTTCAAGACTGTCACTGTATTTGATGATGTTGGAAGATCTTCTGTGGTGTTGTTTGTCAAGTTTTCAACGACTATAATGTTGAATTTTCTTGTTGCAGAATGTTCTTGATTTAAATTATTAACTTCGATATAATGAGCTATATTATAAATATCTTTTAAGGCATCAAAATAGTCTTCCAATTCCATTACTAGTGACTCTGTGATATTACTATTAATATTCAATGATATACCTATAGAATATGGAACTCCACTTAATAAGTGATCCTGGAATTCATTATTTCGAAATGTATAAATCTCGGACATTAAAAGATGATGTATAATAGCTTGAGTAACAAAAAATGGTAAATCATTTGAGTGAATTGAATCTAATGTATAAAATACATAACATTTACAAAGCTCTGAATCCATCCCTACAAAGTCTTTATCGGCGTGTATTAACTCAATCATATATTGACTCTTAAGAAACGTATCTGTTTCATTCGAATATGGTAGTTCCAATTGATCAATGATCTCTATTTTTATTCTCCCAGGATATATATAATTCAATTCTTGATCTACTTGTATTTGAACTGCTTTTGCCAAATCAGGGAATTTAAACCCTTCGTCGCCAAAGCTTAGATGGACAGGGATTGAGATAACTAAGTCATTCTTAATGTAGTTTGTTAATGGTTCAATACCTTTATTTCCTGATCCACCAAATCTGCTGAGAAATACTGAAATAGTGATTCCAAGTAGAACAATGATGAAGGGGTGCTGAGTAATTCCTAAGGATCCCATTACTTTAATTGTTTCATTGGCAAAAGCTGTGAGAAGACTACTCATACAAAATCTAAGTGTCTGAAAAAATCGATCATCGCAGACCATAAATAAAGAATAATACATTCACTCTATCATTTATTACAACGATTTCAATGTCCGTTCCTTCAGTATCTATAGAAAAGGGTCTAGATCCTGAGAGTCAGGAACAAGATTATGTTCATACGATTTATAACGAAATCGCTTCACATTTCTCTCAAACAAGATATAAACCATGGCCAATAGTAGAAAAATTTCTTAAATCGAGACTAGATTACTCTGTGGGTATTGATGTTGGATGTGGTAATGGGAAATATTTGGGCATTAATGAAAAGTTATTTATAATAGGTACAGATAGATCAGATGGCTTAATTGAATGTGCTCAAGGAATTTCAAGTAACTATAATGTAGGAGTAGCTGATGGTTTGAACTTGCCCCATCCTGACAATTCACTTGATTTTGCGATATCTATTGCCGTTATACATCACTTTGCTACGGAGGAAAGAAGAATCGAAGCGATTGCACATATACTTTCTAAGATCAAAAGTGGTGGTGAGTTCTTAATCTATTGTTGGGCTCTTGAACAAGAGAATTCTAGAAGAGGATATAAAGAAGGTGATGATCAAGATATTTTGATACCTTGGGTACTAGCAAAGAAGCAAGAAAAGAAGCCAAAACAGCCACGAAGAAGAAAGCAACCTTCCAATGAAGTAGTAGAGAAGGATGATCTAAAGCCAGAACTTAATGTCAATGAAACGCCTGAAAATGAACCCGAGACAAAGTACAGATACTATCATTTATACAAAAAGGGAGAATTAGTAGACAATGCCCTCAGGACAAAACAGTGCACCATAGTAGAAGAAGGTTATGAAAAGGATAACTGGTGGGTCATAGTTAAAAAGATTTAGTTTTAATCGGCGTGTAAACACTCCTTTATAGATAGTTAGCAGAAATCTCTTAGGCGCAAACAAAAAAAATGTTTCATTATAAGAAATTATCACTGAATTGTATGAACATAGCGTATAAAACAACCATTGCATTAATGTTATCACCACAGGAGAAAAAGGACAAGATAATCCGATCTACGGATATAGATGCGTTGAGTTGTCGTTATAGCTCCAACAGGTTGTCATATTTCTTTCCAGCAGACCCATACACAGAAATATTGGTTCAATCTTATCAAAAGAATTTACAATATTGTCAGGGTTATACTGGACTATCATCTGGAAGACTACTTCGATCATCTTTTGGGGAAAAGAAGTTTCCATTGATTAATAGAGGTACTTACTTTCGAACTAAAGCCATAGATTTAATAGTTGATCAATTCTTGAAGGAATTTCCTCTGGGTCAAATTGTATCGTTAGGAGGTGGATCTGACACCAGAGCATTCAGAATATTGCATAAATATAAACATGTCAGCTATTTTGAAATAGATTTCCCTGAATCAGTAAAAATAAAACATTTGGCCATTTTACAGTCAGAGGAATTGAAAAATATAATAGAATATGAGGGAGACGATAAAGTTGAGATCAACAATAAACAAGAATTTGAAAACTTCCAACCATGCTTGCACACTCCTAGATATCATCTTGTTTCATATGACTTACGTAATTTGGCACATGGTTCAAAAGATTTTGTGGAACAACTTCAGACGTTCAATCCAGGTTTACCCACATTACTCTTAAGTGAATGTGTTCTCTGTTACATGAACCCTGAAGAAAATATCGGATGTTTGAAGTATTTCAAAGATATTTGTATTGATTATCTTTCTGTAGTCATTTATGAGCCTATATCATTAGGCGATACATTTGGAGCTACAATGGCTAGGAACTTGTCAGAAAGAGGTATAAATCTTCTCACATTTAATGAATTCCCTGACTTAAAGCTGAAATTAAAATTCTTGCATGATATTTGTGGATTCCAAACGGTGAGATTAACTGACTTGAGTTCTATAGCTGGTTATGGACGTAGAAGTGAACCTCACAAGGAATCTTGGGTGGACGTCCAAGAAATATATAGAATTAATCATATTGAACTCATTGATGAAGTTGAAGAAATCAGGCTTCTTCTTCAACACTATTGTTTTTGCTTTGCAGAATGGAGTCCTGCCCAAAATCAAAAGCATTTAGTAGGTATTGATAGATGGAATTGGTTAGAATCTCTCAACTAAGTATATGAAACTTTTTAACTTTTTTTTCTTCCAAATTTCGCAACCTATTTAAAGTAAACAAAACTGTACCTTAAATTTTGACTCATAACTTTCATAGATAAATACATTTCTAAAATATGTTACTCTATTTATCGAAAGATATATCGGAAATCTCTACTGAGTGAATAGCTATACCGATGGTTATTTGCATTAGATAAACGATGTAGATGATACCCATGATGTCTTTTTTTCAAGGTTTGTGATGTACATTTCCCTATAAGTAATGATTACCTTGGAGTGAGTTATAGACCAGACACTTACCGTAATTTCATTCATATTTCTCAAGGTATGAACTACAAAATGGTATCAATTTAGTGAAGGAAGTTGCTTCGTAGTTAATTCAACCATTTAATTTTTATTGTGGTATAATGTTTTACCAATTTGTTTCACAAGGGAAGTTCCAGCTTTTCAAATTTGTTGAACACAATGAGAGCGGAGATAGAAGTATTCAATATTCGGTTCGGTAAGTTCTAGTCAGACAAGTAAAATGACCCAATCTTGTAGCGGGAGATGATATTGTCTCGGGTCGAATTTCTAAATCATCCAATATTGTATAATTTTTGTCTTTAATGAAGTAAAGGGGCCCACTTGGCTTTCCAGTACTTAAACAATTGGAGAAACTTGTAACAAATAAAGACTCTAATTTCAGCAAATCTATTACATGTGTTTTTTTTCCAGGGGTGATATGTATTCTCTATAACTAGAATCTAAATAAAGAAGCTATCTATATAGGGTTAAGATGGACTGGTTTATAGAGATGCAGACAAATACGATACCTAATTTTTTATGAGTGGAAAAGTTAATGGATCAAGTAGATTACCCCCCTTATGTGCTGGTTGTTGTCAAGTGTACGATTAGTGGGAGAATTTGAATTTGGTAAGATTTTAATATGGTAGCGCTCTACACGTGACCAAAATCACGTGAATTGTACAACGTGAAAAATGTAGAAGGTTTAAGTTATTATAAGAACTCTAACCTAAGAATTCTCGTGATCTCAAGTACGAAGCACTACAAATTCAAATAAGAATGCCAAAATGGCTTGTGTGTTAAAAACTAAGACTAAAGTTATATATCCCATTCTCTTAAGTGAGTACGGGTTTGTCCCAAACTTATAATATTATTTGGGTAGGGGATAAGCTCTCTTAAACCCCTCATTGGTGATCTTACTATTGGCTAGGACATAAGAACCTCCCTAAGAGGGGAACTCCTTGGCATTGCAAGAATACAGTGTCCCTTTCAGCTTCCTTAGAAGGAGAACAACCTTCCGTTGACTACTGACTGCCACTTATTATCACTTTCCGGTTTTTTTTTTTTTTTTTTTTTTTCAATACAACATTTATTAAGTTCTATGTAAATAGAGAGTCATAAATGGTAAAAAATTTAGAGAAACTATGTAGATAGTAAAAAACTCTTGTTGGTTAAGGACATTGATAAAGATTGTAGTCTTGTTGAAAAGAAAGAGGTACTGGAGTTATCCAGTTAGCGTCTTGGCTCTATTTATTCAGCCAAGGTGAAGTATGATACCCATCGATAAAGAACTTTGTCGGTTAGTTTGTCACTAACCGGCTCAGTTCGTCGTTTCTTCCGGAGGGAATCAATAGCTTGTAGGTATCTGTTGATGCGTGTAGCATTTGTGATTGAAAGATTTGGATTTGCAACTAAAGCAGTGAAGTTAAGCGGAAGTGGAGGTCCGAGTTTTTCCCAGAGTTTGACAGCTACTGTACAAGACAAGTAGATGTGGCTAGCTAGTTCGGAGTTTGATACCGTAGTTTTGCATATATCACAGGTATTGTCTGCGATGGGATTGTAGTGGCGTCTGTAGCCTAAATTGTAGCGATGTAGTTCATCGAAATTGTTAGGAGCATTAAATTTTAGATGATTCAATCTTGTCCAGAATTTGATCCATTGAGCTTGTGATATACTCAAGTCAACTGACCAACCATTTGGTTCAAGGCATACTCTTTGCTTGGTCTGTTTAGCCTTGCTTCTGCTTTTGAAAGAACTCGGTGTGAGCTCATACATGTCGTTAGCCCATTGGAAATTACGGGGCGTTTGGAGGATGAGTTGTTGTATTTCTTCTTCTGAATAATTTTGAGGTAGTTCAAACCGATAAGGATTTTTACTCTCAGCTATATCAAACCATGCTGAGAAATAGCTTTGTTCAGCATTAGTAAAAAAATTGGCGACACACATGGAATCTTTAAGAAAGACAGAAGGGTCAGTCTTATGCCTGATGGGGGTACCCGCAAGGAGACGAAACCAAGGATATGTTAAACGTTTATTTGGTTGGAGTGGGATTTCTGGAGGAACATAAGCATTATCATTGATATACTGTTGAATTTTATCTCGAAGCAATATCTGATGAGATTGTTCGTCGTTGATTAAGATATTGTGTATAAATCTGGCTCGACGTCCTTTGACTTGTTCTTCTAGATCAAGAAGACCAAATCCTCCTTGGGCCTTAAGAGCATAAAGATTAGTTACACCAATGTGAGAAGGAAAGAAGTTTTTGATCATATCATTTATTTGTTTGATGTCTGATGACAGCATAGGATGATGTAAGTCTCTGAAATAAAGTTTGGAAAAAACCAAGGAGTTGATTCCTTCAGCTTTTTGATGGATTGATAGAGTTCGAACCGTTGTTGTAACTAGTCCTACTCTGAGGCTTTCAATATATGTGGGCCACAGAAAATTATTTATACTGATTCCTAAATATTTGAAGTTTTGATCTCGAATGGGAGATTGTGGAAAAGGGAGGACTTCTTCCATTGGTTCATCCGTGAAATGGTAGATCTTGGATTTCTTTTGGTTGATTAGTGAACCTGAAGCTTGTTCAAAAAGTGCTATTTCCGATTGTATCGTAAGCAAATCTTGTCTGCTACCAGTGAAGAGTGTTACGTCATCGGCAAAGGCTAAATACTTTTGCTCAATTGTCTGGCCACACCTAAGTGGAAGTTCAATTCCTGATAATTTGTTTTCTAGCCTAGTCAAGAAAGGCTCCAAAGCTATGTTGAATAATAATGGAGATATTGCAGATCCTTGACGGGTTCCGGTACCCAAAGAGAAGGGGGGACTGAGGAAATCATTGACTATGACTTTAGCTTCTTGTTGTTGTGTAAGTAGCATGATTATATTGGTGAACTTTAGTCCACAGTTGATGTGGAGGAGTAATTCTCTCAAATAGTCATGATGGAATCTGTCGAACGCTTTAGTAAAATCAAGAAGTATAACCGATTGATATTCTTGTGGTTGTTGTTTGAGTATATGGTTAACTAATGCTCTGAAACGCATTATTTGTTGATCCATTTGTCTTTCTGGCATAAACCCAGTTTGGTTTTTACCGATGATAGTGTCGATATGTGTAAGTAATCGGCGATTTAATACCGAGGCAATTAGTCTAGTAGTTGTATTGATTAATGATATTGGTCTGAAATCCTCCACTTGTATGGATTTTTCCCGTTTGGGAATGATTTTGATAATGACTTCTTTTAAGATTGTAGGTAAGGATGATGAGGTAAAAAGGTTGTTGGCGGCAGAGACCACTAATGGACCTGTTTTATCCCATGTCTTTTTCAAAAATCTGAAAGTAAGACCATCAGGTCCTGGTGCACTTTGATTGCTTGTATTCTTTAAGGCCAATGTAAACTCATCTAAGTCAAAGGTTTGATTGAGTTGACGTTGTTGATCAGTCGAGAATTTCTTATTGAAGCTCTGAATATATTGATTCATAGCCGTTGGATAAGTATCTCTTGGAGTGAACATACTTTTATAGTATTGGGAGATGGCATTAAGTATGTCTGGAGTGGTGGAGAATTTTTGTGACCCTGAACGAATCACAGTGATTAAGTTATTTGAGTAGTTACTACCATTAAAAGCTTCTTTTAAGTCTTTAAAATATGAAGCAGTATATGGCGTAGTTATGTTATTATTTTGGGTTTCAAATACATTTACCCCTCTGATCTGGGTGAGTTGACGATATTTGTTGGTAATTGGTTGAATTAGGTTGACCATATCCGCCAAAGAATGGAAGGGTTGGTCTTTGATTAAGTTTATGAAGTCATCGTCATCTAAGTATTTCTCGGGAACTATAAAACGTTTTCTTCCCGCCGTGATACGTAGATTCTCAGTTACTAATAGATGAAAACCTATAGCTAAGTGAGTGGTTGATATTTGGGATGGTTTTTGCATGAAAAATTTTAAGATTTTTTCATTTTCAGGATTGGAGATGTAAAACCGGTCGATTCTACGTGATGCTTTATGGTTTCGGTTGGTAGGAGCTATAGTGTTAGGACGGAGGTATTTGAACGTATCTATTAGACTGTTTTTGTTAATAAGTCTGATAAGATATTGAGTGGCCTGAATATCTCGGGGCTTGGATGATTCGTCTGAGTGAGGTATTACATTATTAAAATCCCCACCAATTACAATGATGAGATTGTGGTAGTGGTTAGCTTTAATAGTTGAGATAGCTTTGTCTATTTGGTAAAATAGATATTTTTGTAATTTGAATTTTTTTCCTGTGGGCGCGTATATGGATACTATTAAGTAGTGACGATTATTTTCTAATGATTGGATAATAATGTCTGCTACATATGGTTGGTATTGTTGTTCTAGTTGATTTGATAGAAGCGAAGTTGATATTATTTTGAATTTTTGGGAATTGTTTTGAAAAGCAATTCCCGTTCTTGAGGATGGTCTGGTGTAGGCTAAAGTACTACTATTTTTGGAAAGGGTTGTCGATAAGTTATCTGCATCACCCGCCTTGATCTCTGTTAAGAGACTTAGGTCATGGCGTTTAAGATACTTGAAAACGTTTTGATGATTTTGGGTTTGTTGTATATTTATTGTTGTGAATTTGAGTTCTTGACGAGATTGTGGTCGTAATCTTATTTTTCGGTTACGAAATGATAGTATGTCATTTGATTTATTCATAACTGATTGTTATTTAAGCTGGAAGGGAGATTGTCATCAAAAGACTCTGTAGCAAGCAGAGTGTTTGAATGTTGGCTGTCAGATAACTGCTCCTCCATACGGTTGGATGCTTTCATGACAGCGTTTAATTTTCGTTGATGTAGAATTCGCTCTTTTGGCAAGTCTCCTTTTGGTTTACTTGGAGAGCGGAGTTTGCCAATCAGTGGCCTGAGAAGACCCTGATTTAGCGAAGGAAGTCGTCTCGTAGTGGAACTTGGCGACTTCGTGGGGGTTGAGTTGGTGGAACTAAATGGATGATTTGGTTCCTCTGCCATAGTTAAATCGGTATCAATTTGAGTTGGTTCTAACGATGGCTCGTCAGAACGGCTCAAATCAATATCAATTTGTGTGTCTATGAAACTATTGGCAGGGGTAATAGTTTCTGAATAAAGGTTTTCAGAAGTTTCTGATTCAGTGATATTTTTTGCAGCAATTGCTGGTTGGGTTTCTTGATTATCATTTTTTTTGGAGTTTTTGGATTTTTCAGTATTTTTTTCGGAGGTTTTTTCAGAAGTTTTTTTATTTTTTTTTTGTTTTTGATTTTGGTGTAATAAAGCAGTAACAGTTGAAGTGGAGTCGGAATCGGAGGAGGAGAGTTCTTCTTCATCTTCCTCGTCAGAAAGGACCATAAATGGGTTGCTGGTTTGAATAGCAGAAACAGCAGGGTTTGGAATTGAAGATTTTTTAACCGTTTTGGTTGGGGTGGTAAAACTACCATTTTTAGTTTTTTTGGTTGATGGTTTGACCATTGATACGTCATTCTTAGGAGGTTCGTCATAGTCAGTGGTGCGAGGACGTTTGTTTCCTTCGGCCTTTTCTCTAGCAGCCTTATGGCCTGGTCCATTATGTTCACGTGAGTCACATCTAAGACAAGGAGCATTTGTACATCCCCATCTAGTGTGGGCTTTAGTGTGACAGTAGGAGCAGAATTTAAGGTGTGATTTGATGGAGACTTTATGATTTTCAAGTATTTTCCTTGTGCCCGTGGGAATTGTGTCCGTAGTAAGGTCTACGAGAAAATAAAGGGTAACCATTCTTTTCTTGTCTTGAATTTTAGAAAATTTAGGTTCAGTACTTTTGATAAGTTTAAAGTATTGTTCCGGTTCTGAATCCAGAGTGGTAAGGACCTTTTGAATGTGGGCTGGAGGTGAGCCTGAATAAAGGGATTGCATTCGATTATCAAATGTCTTGGATTTAGTTTTGGGCTCAGGGCCGAAGAAATCTCTAAGTTTGGTGCTGGCCTGTAAGGCGTCATCTTCTGGTAACTCATACTCAAGAAGGGCAAGAGAGTTGGAGATCTTGTGATTCAAGGTAAAGTAGAAGTCAGTACCATTAATGTGAAGTGGTCCTGTTGATGAAGAGGAGAGAACCTCTTTAACAATGGATTGGATATCAAAGTGATGGCTTTCTGGGTATGTCTTAGGATCATACTTATTCAACAAATGGTTTAGTTGGTGGAAAGTGATTGAATAAATGTCACTAAAATACATTTCGGTACAGTAGTCTCCATTTATGAGCAATCTAAAATGATTCTTGAGACTGAGGTCTCTACAGGTTCTCAACGTTTCCACCAAAACTTCTTGTGTTTCGGAGTTGAGATCTTGTATACTTAATTCTAAGTCTAAAAGGTTGAAAGACGAGGCAAAATCCTGATCTTTAAGTTTAGAACTTTCAAGGAGTTTTTTGAGCTCCTCGTATTGGTTGACATGCAACCTAGCTCTAGCGAAGACCCCTTCGAGATTGTGGATCTTCTGTTCAACATCGTTTTCCAATTTTGTAAAGAATTGGTTGAAATGTTGGTCTAAAAGGGTAAACATTGTTGGAGTGTCAATGGGAGGTTGTTGGGTAAAATCAATACTAAGATTGTTTGTGGTGAAGATATTTTTACCAGATTCTTCAATGTATAATTCTTGAAAGTCTTCTGGAACTTCCTTTAACCGATCTTTCAAAAGTGTATAGGCACTAACCCCCAAGTTGTGATGAACTTGGCGGGTATAGTAGAACTTAGCGTATTTAACACGTTCTTCATCGTTTAATAAAAGATCTTTCTCAAGTTTTTCAACAATAAGTTCGTATTCCTGTAATTGTACCGGGTTTAAAGGATTATCGATAGGAGGAAGTGTAGACTTTTCCTTAGTTCTAGTTCTAGTTGCAGCCGGTTTAGCAGCTTCAGCATACGTGAGCGGAGTCACGTGACTGGTTGAAAAATTTTCGACCGTTAAATCGGAAATGGGTTTTTGGCTGGTAGGGGCCGAATTCAGGGAATTACGGACGCTTGACAGCTGGTCTAAAGAGTTTGAAGACAGAGATGAGTCCAGGACATATTCCGGAACATCGACGTCGATCAGATCAGGTTCTAAAGCCCCTTGTAAGGGGTTGTTTGAGTGGACACCTGGGGATTCACTCGCAGTTTCATAAGTCGACAGGGCCGACGGGACTAGCGTCCTATCAGGTGGAATCGGCTCGGGAGGAGTTGGGGGAGGTAATGACTCGTTAAGAGATGCGCTGGGAGTACTGTTTGAGGCCGTTAGACCTATATTAACAGAGTAGTCAGACATTTTTTTTTTTTTTTTTTTTTTTTTCGGTACATAATGCCAAATCCTGCATACAAGACAGTTCGTTAACTATGGCTAAAATCTGAACCTTACAGTTATATAAATTGTCCGATATAGTGTAACGGCTAGCACGGTTCGCTTTCACCGAGCAGACCCGGGTTCGACTCCCGGTATCGGAATATTTTTTTTAAATTTTTAATTTTGTATCTCTTAGTTTGAAAATTTATTATTATATTAGATTATGTACAACTGTCATATACATGTAATTGAGTTCAAAGAGGATCACTAAATCCTGCCGGTTCTTTAGAACCAGAAGGCAACAATGCTAAGAATTTATAAACTTTACCCATGGACTTTTCGTCTTTGTCGGTTAATCTTCTATAACTTTGATAAATCTTATCTTGTTCTTCAGGGTAGTCTGAGTTTTTCTTTATCAATTGATCAATTCGGTGCCCTATACCTAATCTGTGCAACCAATCACCTTGATCTACAGGTCCGAAGGTCGAACAGAACCGAGCACTTAACTGTTGCAAATTTGTAAAATCTACATCAACTGATAAATCGACATCACCTGGCTTGATGAATGGAGACACGAAGTTATGCTTATAAATCCCTCTTAATGAACTTTCGGGGATGGCATCTACTACCCCGTAATCTATGATTAATACAGCTCCCAATTGTTTGATATTGTCTAACAATTGAACCATCTTCATTAAATACAATTCGGCCTCCGTACAAATTTCAATTCGTGAATCAACAGGTAAATCATTGAATCTTGAACTAAGGGTTGGGATAATAGATGAAGGAGTTTCTTTAGGTGACAAAGTTAGGTGGAACTCAGTATTGAGTAAAGCATCTTTCGATTCCTCGCTGGATACAGACTCATTGGATGGCAACTTTGGCTGAGTGTTGTTAACTGAAGAAGAATGCTCAACTACAAGTTCTCTCCAACCATTATCGGTTTTCTTGAAACCTTTTACTGGTAAGGCATCGAAAAATTCATGAGCAATAATATAATTTGCAACATCATTTTCTTTCTTTATATCCTTTTCAGTATCCAACCATCTTATTGTATTTCCCCATTGTGAAGTTGAAAAGTCGAATCCATTGGCATCGGTTTCAAAAGGGGTATTTGCTTCATCACATAACAACTTCCATTGTTCTCTTCTTAACACTTTAGAAGCTTCAACTAAATTAATCTCTACATCTGCTTTTTTACCAACCTTTTTCACAAATAAGTTAAATGATTTTAAGACATCATACATCAACGTACCTCTTCCTGGTCCAAATTCAATTAATCTTATTGATGGCGGATAATTTTGTTGCTGCCAAATAGTGAAGAGCCAAATACCTACCATTTCTCCAAAAACAGAAGAAATCTCGGGAGATGTTATAAAATCACCCAGTCGCAAATCAAGAGGATTTCTGGTTGTATAATAACCAAAATCTGGATGAGTTAAGCATTGACGAATATAAGCTGATAAGGAAATAGGACCAGTTGTTTTAATGGTTTGTATGAATAAGTCAGTCAAATTATTCACTTTAGTTGACCCAGAAGGATCACGCTGAGGAAATTGAGGGACTTTACCTAAATTTTCTCTGATATTAAAGTCACCCTTAATTTCGTTTTCCAATTTATCTATTTGTTGTTTCACAACATTAGCTGCATTTTCATACTCTTCTTTCGTAAATTGTCCATAGTATAGACCATTTTCGTGAGCTTTAGGATCTTTTGGCGGAGTATTAAGTCGTATAACTGAGCGAGAAAGAGCTCTTCGATACAGGACACTCAAACTTGTCCTATGTCTAAGGATATTGCTGAACATGTTCTACAGTTTTATAGCGGTAATGTCAGTATTGTGAATCGGCAATTTTTCAGATGTCCGATCTTTGCTCGCTCTTCCGCTTTATTCTCAGCAAACTTTTTTGCAATACAATTTGCACAACAATGTTCGATTTATTAGAATTACATAGGCTACTAACTAAGAGTATAGAGTTCAAACATATTCCTATAAAACGATACAGAAAATAGAAAATGTTGAGCAACTGAAGAAAGGAAAGAAAAATCAACTCTTTGTAGACTCTACTCATACAGATCATTGCAACATTTAAGTGAACAATCTGAAAAAGCCAAGTGGCAGCAAAGGTGATGTAGGATACAAACATGTTATTTTTTTCATTTTTTGGATTTTTATAAATTAGAAGAACTGAAATTGAGCTTCAAAGGACACCATCAGGAACAGCATGACGGTTGAAGAAGCGGAAGAGGGAAACAACGAAATAGAAAAGAAACCATTCAATATGAAACAGTTTAGGTACAACTGGACTTGGAAGCAATAGATGGGAAGTACACCATTGAATCCATATTGATACCTTCATTCTTTGGATCGATTTGTTGGATTTTTTCTGAATTGACAATCTTATTATTCTTAATGGAGAAACTTGTCATAACTTTAAATCCCAATTTAGTATAAAACTTTCTATTGGCAGGATTAGAACTCTCTAAGTAACAATAAGTATTTGGATTCTCACTAGTGAACTTATTAATAGCATATTCAATTAATAATTTACCTAAACCTTTACCTCTCATGGATGGTAAAGTGGAAATATCATTTAAATACCAAATATCCATAGTATTGTTTTGGGTAATAGATTGCTTTTTAATTAATTGCTTAATTAAAACATCCTTTCTAACCTTGTACAAGAATGGTAATTTATCCTTCAAGATCTTTGATCTACAATGACGTAAAATTGTATGAACATTGAATTTGACATATGATGGATGAAAATTATCACGGAAAGTTAATGAACCAGGATCAAAATAATCATCATCATCAGTATCAGAGCCACTTGAACCAGAAGAATCAACATTGGAACCATAGATTTGATTCCAAAGAGCACATCCAAGATATGGGAATTTATCTTTCTTAACTCCCAAGTCGTCTAATGATTGTTCCAAGTTATTATCTTTGATAATTAAAATAGTACCACCTAATACAATACATTCATAAGCATCATATTCAAAATAAGCTTGCATCAAATCTAATTTTTTCTTTTTATAAGCAGATTTTGGAGTATTTTGCTTAGTTATATTAGCAGTGTTTAAGATAAAGTTCATAAATGGATCATCTTCAAAGGAAAGAACCAAGGTTTTAGCAACTCTTTTATAATCTTTGACGGTAGCCTTTTCAATAGAAATATTCAAATTACTAGGAATCGAAAAAGATGATTCAAGAGAGGTAATACTAGTATCGGTATTTCTTCTATGACTCAATGCGCCCGCAGCCGCAGGATTAGCAGCAGAAGTACTTGGTACAGAAGAATCTTCCACATTGATGACAGTACTAGTACTTGTACCAGAACTGACATCAACTATTGAATGGGATCTAATATCATTAATATTCTTTTCAATAGTTTCGTTGTTTGTTGTAGCTGTATTGGCTACGGAAATATTTTTTTCTTTTGTAGTATAATGTTTATGGTTATCAGAAGTATGAATCAAGGAATACGGAGCTTTCAGTCTCAGGAGGTTACCATTAATAATGTCAAAATTATCAATAGAACTATTAGGGTTTAATGGTTTAGTACTCTCAGAGGAAATACCCGAACCACTAGTGACCCTAGTACCACTATTAGTAAGATCGTCATTACCATTGGAGATAACTAGGTTATCAGATAAATTTAAACTCAAATTGGAAGTTGATAAAGGGGTAAACGATCTCGGAGTAGCTGCAGATGCAGTTGATCCTAAATCGCTAAAGGTAGTAGTAGTAGCAATGGATGATGATGAATGATGAGAGATATGATTTGAGTTTAAAGTAACCCCCTGAGACTTAGGCAGTCGTGGTTTTCCTTTTTGATTTGATTCATGGTAATCTTCTGAAATGAGGGCAAACATTATTATTCATCGGTAATGTAAGGATATACCTAACAATATTAACTAGTTGGATTAATAAGGGTGTAGAGATTAAAAAAAAGTTGAAGTAGAGTTAGAAATTGGGAATTCCACCTTGTTTAAATAGATAAGAAAATTTATAAGCGACCGATACGATGCGCCCGCTCTTTCCTTATGTGGGAATAAAGGGACAAGTCGGCGGCAGTTATCGTTAAAGTTTAGAATTAACCGCCATATATCCTGCATATACCAACTCTTCAAAGAAATATAATATTTTCCATTTTTTACAGTTTAACTGTAGTTATGTGTACCCAGATTCCTAAAAGGGTAAAATAAAAGATAAAGCCATTTACATGAAATAACGCTCTAAATCATCGTATAAAGGTGTAGATAATTCATAAATAAATATCACTAAACTGGAAAAAAATACGAGTCATTAAATCGAGACAGTTTTAGATCTAGAATAATTGCATCAGAATCTTTTCAACCTTTTATTAGTTAAGTAGTAGGAAAACATCCATGCCGCCACAAAACTTTCTTAACTAATACCCTATACCCCTATTGAAGTTTGAATTGGACATGTCTTATTTCTATTAATCAATGCATGAAATGTAAACGTCAACATTACCTTATTTTCCATATATTCTTGATGTTTCCGCAGTCTTTCTATATTTAGATATTGTTGACCAAAACATTCTCTAGTTTTTGTGACCCCCTCCTTCACATTTTATTACTCATTACAAATGGCCCTAGTAGGTTGTATGGATGAAGCGGATTGCAGCTGAAATTGCAGCTATAGCTACACCTACAGCTACAGTTCTGCAATTTGCGATTGCTAATATATACTATAAGGCACTTGAATGTAAGTGTCTTAACAAGGTTCCTGAAGTTTGGACAGTGGTATAATCACATGACTTCACTAACCAGTCGAGCTGCCTTATCCCTTCATAAATTACAGTTATCGTATAGACATCTAGAAGTAGAAATATAAAATCTGATACGCAATGTCGCTCCTCCGCCTTAGGTGGCATCCACGACATTAGTCCCTAAATGCGACATCATTTCTTCAACAAAGTGGCTAACAAAAAAAAGAAGTACCGAATGGGAAGAACACCTATAGAGAAGGCTGGTTTTCACTATCAATTGATTATTCACCAACACATTTAATACCCTAGCAGACGTTTCTCGGTCTTAACATATATCGGGAACCGTATCAGCATAGTGGAACCATTCATTACTCATTTACTAACAGGGTTGTCTGATTATTTACTGTCTTATACTCACTTATACATCTAGAGCATAAAGGGCATCGTTAACTTTTCTGTAGACTACAACCATCACGATTACTAGCTTTCAGGATTTATCATACTTAGATATCTTGTGGAAAACTGATTCTCAATCTAGTTAATTAGCTATACAACTCCTTTATTATATCATCACATTCACTTTGTCCTAATACTACTTTAGCAAGCATTTGTGGAGTCATTAGTAACAGACATTACATCAACCAATCTTTCTATTTGATTACTCCTTTGGATATACAATCAATATCATATTATACCCATATCTATATCTATATATACATCTATATACATATAACTTGCAACTTATTTCCATATCATTAATACAATTTACACATCATGGGTAATAACGGCTCAAAACCTGGAGCTCCATTGACCAGGACAGATACTGCTGGATCTTCTAAATCATCCAGATCAGTCCGATCGAGAATATCAATACTGAAGGAAGATCAATCGGCTAGTGACTCACCTAAACTAACTCCTAAGTCTCCCAAAGTATTATCTCGGAAGAACTCCAGTGTGGATATAAATAGTATACCGAATAATAATAATAATAATAATAATAATAATAGCAGTTCAAATAATAATAACGGAGGAACCATTCTCAGTAACAGTCATTCCAATTTATCATCTTCCCATATTGCATTACCTCCATCTATGATGCAGGTTGAGCCTAAAGAACCTATCTTATTAAGAAGGAATACAAACGATACCCTTGATACTCCTATATCCATTCATAATAATCCTATGTCTAGAACATCAACTAATCATTCAACTAGTCATATTAATGCTTTATCACCACAATCAACCACTATGAATTCTTCAGCTCGTAACAGCATAATCGGTGATGATACTAAAAGTATTCATAGTCAAAGTAATAGTATAAATAGTGATGTTGAAGATTTAGATCTAGAAGGTTTAACTATAAATGATATGAATGGTCCAGATAGTAACCTTATCAAAGAAATCAGCAATAGTTCAATCAGTAATAATAATAACAATAATAATACCAACAACAACAATAGTGGTACACCAATAGTCTCAAGGACAAATTCCAATATAAGTACCAGTAATAACAGTTTTATTAATAATAACGTTTTATCTAAAACAACAACCGGGACATCATTTTCAATGAATACTACAAATACCATTGACATTGAAGATTTAATTCAACGATTATTAGATGCTGGGTATAGTGGGAAGAGGACCAAGAATGTATGTCTTAAGAACAATGAAATTCAACTCATTTGTTCAACTGCAAGAGAAATCTTTTTGAGTCAACCATCATTATTAGAATTATCACCTCCTGTTAAAGTAGTTGGTGATGTTCATGGTCAATACGGTGATTTAATTAGAATATTTACCAAATGTGGATTTCCTCCACAAACAAATTATTTATTCTTGGGTGATTATGTTGATAGAGGTAAGCAATCCTTAGAAACCATCTTATTACTATTATGTTATAAGATCAAATATCCGGAGAATTTCTTTTTATTAAGAGGTAATCATGAGTGTGCTAATGTTACAAGAGTTTATGGTTTTTACGATGAATGTAAGAGAAGATGTAATATTAAAACTTGGAAATTATTTATTGATACATTCAATACTTTACCAATAGCTGCCATTGTTGCAGGAAAAATCTTCTGTGTACATGGTGGATTATCACCAGTATTACATTCAATGGATGAGATCAGAAATATCGCTCGTCCAACAGATGTACCCGATTATGGGTTATTAAATGATTTATTATGGTCAGATCCGGCCGACACATTTAATGAATGGGAAGATAATGAACGAGGAGTTTCTTATGTATTCTCTAAAGTGGCTATAAATAAATTCTTATCTAAATTTGGATTTGATTTAGTATGTCGAGCTCACATGGTGGTTGAGGATGGTTATGAATTCTTTAATGATCGGACATTAGTGACAGTATTTTCAGCCCCTAATTATTGTGGAGAATTCGATAATTGGGGTGCAGTCATGAGTGTTAGTGAAGAATTATTGTGTTCGTTCGAGTTATTGGATCCTTTGGATAGTGTTGCCCTTAAGCAAGTCATGAAAAAGGGTAAACAAGAACGGAAGTCTGCCCAACTACAACAACAATTAACAAGATAGCATACTTGTTGTTTCCCCAGGTTAAATATTGTTATGACTTTTTTTACGATTAATAGATATGACAAGAGTATAGTTCACCCAATCACAGTTATACTTGTTGCATACAAAACTTGCATCTTGCATCCTTTACCTACATACCTCTTCTATTTATACAGTTTTTTCAAGCTCTTAAGCTTTTATGATGATGATTTAGTTTTGTTCGTTAGTTTTGTTCGTTTTCAACATTTCGTATATATACTTCTTATATTTCGTATCCGTGTATATTGCCTATATATGATTAATATATTCTTTCATTGTGCTTATACTAGTGTAAAATTGTGGGGGTACACGCACGTCGGTGTACAACCAAACTTAGCCGATCTAACTAGTAATATGTAGAAGATCACTACGCTCCAAGGTGCAGTGTACAGTACTTTATATACTTATAGGATGTTAGGTGGATCTGTAGGTAATAGTAATAGTGGAGGAATAGTGGGGACCAACTTACTGGCCAATTACTTCTTATTGAAGACCGAGAATATAGAACCATTAGTCGAACTAACACACCAGTTGAACCAACAAGTACAACAGAATGAGAAGAGGTTAAGTCAATTGAACTACGTGATAGACCATAAGTTGAAGTTTCCAACTGTCGGTAAAGATGATGGTAAAAATAGCGAGGGAATAATATCAAAAGAAGAAGCTCAGGTAGAGAACGATAGCACGGGAGATTCTAACGTTGATACTTTGCGATACTTATTAGTTAAGAAGTACCACTTACCACAGGATACAGAGAATGAAAACGGAAACGAAAATGAAAATGAAAATGAAAATGTAAACGGAGACGATAAAAGTATAAACATTAGCAAATTAGACCGTATACGACAATTAGCACGAGATAACGAATATCTAAACGAACTATTAAGACAAAAGAAACAACTGAACCAGGAATTGGCTCGAGTAATTCAAGACTATGAAAAGTTCATAATAGATATTATCCTTCCTAAACTTCGGCAAGAAAAGTTAATTAAATCATCCTCTGGAGATGTTTCAATAAAGAAAATGATGGATGAGAAATTTTCTAAAATTGATATAATCTATAAACGGTACAATGGTATAATAATGAAGCTCGTATCGATAAATAACGTATTAAATGATTTAATTTCAGTATTAAATCATCAGGACAATCACACTCATTTCATAAGTTATCAATTAGAAGTGTTGAAAAGTCTCAAGAGAGATATAAGTCAATTTCAGTATGCACCGGAATAAAATTAACTTGGCCCAAAAGAAGGGAAGAGGCCAAGCCGTGCCTCTAATCAATAAAAATATTAAGAAAAATTTCAGAACAATACATTATTCACATACCATGCAGCCAATACTATGCAGCCAATACAATTCTCCTAATGCAGTGCAATAAAGATGAACTGAACAAATGCCGCTCGATCCCATGGGCCCTTTATTTTTCCTTCAGTTCAATTTCTTTATTTAGATAAATATTTAATAGTACGTTTCTTGGATTTCATCAGTATTATACCATAAAATCTATATTATGGAATTTGACTGATCTAGACACAAATAGAACACAAGAAAATGCAGAATTTTATTAAATGACGTAGTTTAGTTTAGCCGTACTCCTCATTTAATGTTGGATAAGTTCCATTGCCAGAGTATTATATGGTGATGGATGGTTTTGAATTTTCTTCTTTAGGCTAGCTGGTCCAGCCCAAGAATTTTACACTAAGAGGGGAGTAGATGCACAATATTTGGGCAAGACTTGAATTAAGATTCTTGTCCTTCAAACCGCTTGGAATTGACAAATCTGGTTTTGACTGTCTTATGGGGTCTCGCTGTTAAATCTGTGGAATAACGTCATTAAACGATACAGTACATAAAAGTGCGATTTTTTAATTTTTTTTTGTTTTTTTTAATTTCCTTTTTTTTTATTATTTCAGATAGTTATTGTTGTTGTTTATTTAGGTAATTTTTGGAGATTTGGAGGTGAAGGAGCACAGATCTTTCTATGGACTGAAGTATGAGTGGCATATATTTCCGATAAACCTTACATCTGTATATAGTAATGACAGGACAGATAATTTCAGCCAACATTTTTAATAAATATTAATTGAATTATTATAATAGTAGGCCAAAAAGTAGGACAAACAACAAATAACAAGGGGAATAGATACAGGGAAGGTACATACAAGAATCAGGGAGACAGATGCATTCGCACCGCTGTTGTTACATTCACAGTTGGACGCATACAGTCAGGCCGATTAAAAATAACTAATAAGCCAGAAGAGTAAATATGCTAGATGATACGTATAGCACGGAGGCTTATGCTTACTTTCCGACTAGTTTTGGCCTAAATTATATTTTTTGTATTCTTTTTGTTAATCTTGTATATTGAACATAATTCTGAAAACTTTTAGCAAAGCAAAGCCAGCGTTCAATCAGTTTGACGTGTTTTCGTTTAATATTCTTACGGATCGAGGTATAATTACTTATTATTAATGATGATAAGAATAATAATATTATTATTTTTACCAACTACGGATGAGTCAATTAACGTCTGTCTTAGAATAGGTGGAGTACAAACGCGAGATACGTACCTACACCACAAAGTACTTCTGACTTCACTATAACCACATTTGAGTCAGATACTGTAGCCTCCAAATAATAATAAGCCGTGGATGCCCCTATCTGGAAATGGAAAATTTAATGAGAAAAAAATCGAGCGCTAATCCTCGTTTTGAATTATTTTTGATTATGCAAGTAACAACTTATACGCAAGGCATGAATGCATTTTTAAGAGTAAGAAAAAGTAATACAAACTCTTCGCAATTCTGTGTACATAACCATAGCCATGGACCTAGTCAAAGCCATATCAATCTATCAATATTGCTAATAACAATAACGGCAAGAACTCTGTATATTTACATTTTGTCGATTTATTTAAAGTTTTCATATGAATGATATAATACACAAGGAGATAAGAATATGATTTTTGTCAGGCTAGAATTGAAGTGAATAAGAGAAAGTCGACTGATAACAATAACAATTTGATTTTTGTAATTGTAATAATGTAATAGAAGTATAGAAGTAAAAGGTGTGATAAAATACAATCAATCGGTATTGACTGTTTGATTTATAAATTGAATCAATGAAATAAAGAAAGAATGAAAGAATGAAAGAACCCATAAAGGAATCGTGATGTGTCTCAAAAGAATGAACAGATGATAATAAATAACAATCGAAATTATAACCATAGATCCAAAGAAAATAATGAACCCGCTATAACAACCCCTTCTTAAACAGTAAACAAATTAATGTTAATTAATTTATGATTAATATAAAGATAGATAAAGAAAGATATTCCAGAAATACAATGAGACCGGACTTTAGTTCATCATTTCTCTCCCGGACTTACCAACATCAGTAACAAAATCACATATCAATATACATGGCAAATATAAACACTTGAAGGAACAAAGAAACACAAATAATCTAATAATAATATTATCGTAAGTCACAACGCTTTAATAGCCACCTGGAAGTAGGTCCTAAAATTAACGAGCATTAATTTTGAGACTGTGAGTATTGGATTTTGTGAATTGTAATTTTGTACTTTGACATTTATTTTTTATGTTTGGGTCTCGTTTTTTTCTGGATTATTTTTTATTAATTAATATTTTTTTATTTTTGAACACCAACTTCTCTAGCTTTCCCTTGATTCGCTAGAGCGACAACCAGCATCTGTAGCAGCAGTAGTGATCCCGTATTAGCGAGTAGTTTGCTTAAAGCTTTACGTAGTCTAAAGGTCTTAATTAGGTGATAATAGACTGTTTATGGTTGGCTTCTTAGATAGTTGTTTGGGTTCTTCCTTTGTTAAATCACTAACAGAAGAATTCGTAGCAACAGCTTCACCTCCAGTTTCGTTATTTTCAATAGAAGGAGCATCTGTTATACTTGACGATGATGAATCTGAAGATAACGATGGACTGGCTGCAGATACCGATGGTATTATAGGTAATGTAGTTGCAGTTATAGTTTCGGAAGAAGTATTGCTTTCGTTGTTTAATACCCCCTTTAACCATAATTTGGAAGTCTCTTTACTCTGCGGTGATTTTTGTTGCTGCCTAACTTGAGCGATTGGTGGCAACATACTGTGCGTGATGGTCGAACCACTGTTGCTAGTAGAGGTTGGGCCTTGTAGTTGGTGATGTGGCAAGGAAAAATGGTGGGATTGAGGATGAATATGATGTGGTATAGAAGATGGATGTAATAAGGATGGAGAAGTACTGCTGGTAGATGAACCCTTGATTGTTTGACTAAATGATTGATGGAATAATGGGGATAAAGGACTTACCAAGTTGGGTGTTAATGAGATCAATGATTTGGGAGGATATGCAGCGCTTGCTGATAATGGAGGATATGAATAAAAAGTTGACGTAGCTGATGATGGTGTACCATTTCCTGATTGACCATCATGATATGATATTGGTGCTGATTTCAAATCACCACTCAAAATTATTGGTGTTGTTGCATCTTTTGAATCAGTTGAATCTTTAACAAACGAGTGCAGTAAGGATAAAGGTCTTGGCCTTCTTTTTGGTTTGAATTCATGATTTGGTAATTTCAATAATGGCATGCCAGTTGAACCATTACCTGTAGATGCATTAGAGCCATTTGATGTTGTAGACGATTGATCATATGATGAATAAGGACGTAGGTGGTAGTGAGGAGATTGCAGATTTGGAGGTGAGATCATAGATGATGTTGTAGATGAGACTGTTGCTGAAGAAACTGAAGCACTTTGAGGTGCTGAGTGAATAGCGTGATGAGGATGGTGTTGATGCTGATGCTGATGTTGATGAGTATGTGGATGAAGATGTTGTTGTTGATGAAACATAGCATTGCTGGGAGTTACAGGGTTGGAGTTTCCGTTGTGACTATGACTATTTTCGTCTTCTTTCTTAACAAATGATTCATAAGCATGAACCGTTTGTTTATGTTGTCTCAAGTTGTCTAGTCTAGAGAAGTTTTTGGAACAATAAGGACAAGTGAAGGGTCTTTCCCCAGTATGCTTTCTTTTATGTCTAGCCAAATGTTCAGATCTAGTGAATGACATATTACAACCGGGATAACCAGTACACTGGAAGACTCTTCCCTTAGATGAGCGTTTTGACTTTGGCTTCAAGACTTGACCATTTTGATGTCTCTGTTGTTGATATTGCAGTTGTTCTTCGGATAAAGGGGCACCAGGAAGACTGGGAGGTGATGGATGAGATGATTGCTGCAATTTGGAAGCTGAATTCTGTAAGATATCTGAACTTCGATCAAGCATAGTAAACATTTGAACAGGAGATATTATTTGAGTATGAGGGGTATGTGGAGTATAATAATAATAATAACAAATGAACAGAAGTTGCAAGTTAACTATGCCAAAGATTCACAAACTATTTTGTGGGTATGGAACACAACGATTTGTCTGGCTCTCCAATAGATTGAATATAATGCAATGAAGTTAGTTCCAATGTATAAGTTGAACTGTCAGTAAGTAGACGATAGGAGTAGCAAGGAGAAAAAACAGAAAGAACAATTAATTTAGACAAGTTGAAATGAAAATCAAAAAGAGAGAAAAATGTTTCGTTTTATTTTCCTCTGTTAAAATTTCTGGTTCCTGTTTCTGCTTAAAAAAAGGCACCACCAAACAAAAAAAAAAATAAGCTGAAAATAAAATCAGTAAAAGCAAAATGTAGAAAATAAAAAAGTATAAAGAGTAAGAATAAAATAAAATAAAATAAAATAAAGAATCAAAATAAATTTTAAAATCAAAAATTAAAAAATATGTAGTCAAATAGAAAAAGAAATTTCTCCTGGACAAAAAGGAGAGGTGGACAAATTAAGGAGCCTTTTTTTCTGTCTTCTAGGAACCAAAAAGATTGAGCCAGAAATTAATAAACGAGCTGAGACCTTTCTTTTACAGGAATGGAAATAGAAGGATATTTTTGATTTGCTTTTGCTTTGATTTGATTTTCTTTTTGATATAGTTCTCAATTTTATTAAGTGAGCAAGATAGAATTGAATGAATTGATACTAATTGAGATATTATTAGTATCGATTGTTCTTATACTATTATATATATAATATTAATAATATTATTATAATTTTTATTATTATTATTATGTTTGACTGATTGATTGTAATTTCTTATGATGTAAGGTGGTCGCTTAATAAGAAAGTTTGACAATGATCTAACTAGGCTCCCCCAAATTAACAACGAAATGTTGTGACTTTTTTTCCTAATATGCTGAGCAAGCTAAAGTACAATATATGTATGATGTATGCTTTGATTTGTGATGCACAGTGCTCATGCAACCTCTTCACTTGCACACAAAACTAAACCGCAGCTCAAGTGTACTCAAAAATAGAAACCTACTTATGCTGTTAGCTTCGATCTGGTTTGATTTCGATTTACCAATAATTTCCTTTGTGTCGCCTTACTTGATCACCTGCGGGCGTTATAAAATTAAAGTTGTAGACGAATGAAAAATAGAATCAGAAGAAGGTTAATTATTTTTAGTCGGAAGTATAGATCACAAAATATGATAGATATTCTTACCAAGGGGGACAACTAATGATAATGATATTGATAGCAATGACAATTACAATGACAATGAGGAGATTTAACTTAAAATATGAAATAGCCAAGCCAAATGAAGAACCAAAATCAGGGTTGTACACAACTGTCTTTTTGAAAATCCAAGACTAGTACTTCTTCAGTATTTCTGAAGCACCCAAGATATTATAGAATTGGAATAAACCCGGAAGTAAAAAGTTAATGACGCAGCGAATTTAAAGTAAAATACAAAAACAGTACTTTTGCAACGGAAGCTTAGTTGCTTAATACTAATACGTATTATTATTAGGAAGTTAATGTATAATTGAAGCTTATAATGCAACTCTAAAACTTGCAGGAGGAATTGAATGGAAATGAAGCCAGATGTGATCGAACGATTGAATCTTGAGAACGATGAGCGGAACAAAGGAGCAAAGATGGCGAGATTGACTATGTAATAGCTAGTCAAAAATAAACTTTAATGTTCGTCAAGAAGATAATTAATAGCACCCTCTGTAGCAGCCAAATTGCGAAGGAAAATTAAGCTTTGAAGTTTTAATTTAAAAGTCAAACAGTAAAGCAAACTAACAAGGAACAATGTGGCTATGCACCAGTAGTTTGATTGAATGTGGATAGGAGAGAAATATAGAGATCATGGTTAGAAAGGGAAAATGCCGATTGTATTTATACATTGTAGAGGTAGAGACTATGCCTGTATTACTGTACCATACAAATTTATTTGTAGTATTAAATAATAATAATATTAGATGAAGCTCGTATATTTGGCTCTAATAGAACAATACTGGACAAACAGGAACAATGAAACTGTAGCAAGGTAGCAGAGAAGAGTCCCGATGATAGTTATGCAAATCTGATAGATTCAACACCGTAATTAGTGTCAGTCCCAGAAGAACAAATGATGAGACTAAAATGTTATGTGAAACTGGGGCAGACAGATATCACTTAGACTAAGTCTGCAAAGGGAACGTAGCCGAACAAAATGCCTCGATTGTTCACTGCTTGGCTATCTTAAAAATAAAGGTTGTCAATCAATGAATTTAATTTTAAAGTCAAAAATTTCAGGAATAAGCGATTGACATTTCCAGGAAATGTTGTTCGTATTGCCAGTCCGTGACCTTAACAGTTTGCTAATACGAAAATTCTTGGTAGTGTGAATAATAATTAGCAAATATAAAATAACAATAGAGGTTTCACGAACTATTGTACACTATTGTAATACTTTAATTCATTTCTTCTATTACATAATGCAATATGTAAAACCAAGTTACGTTTGATTGGCAGTTTTGTTCCCTTTCATTGTTTGAGAATATGGAACATACGTTTTAAAGTAAGCAGTCGTAAAGGTAACTTCTAAGGCGGTAAAGTCAACTTTTGTAGACCGAATATAATTATAAAGATAACAATGTGCTGAACAATTATAATGAAATAATTATTGTAACACTCATTATTATTAGCACAGTACAGAAACATACGGAACAAAAGGGAAACAAATAGAAAAAAATGAAAAATTTAAAAAAAAAGATTTAAGCAAAATAGATAAAAAAAAAATTAATATTTTCTAAAAAAATATTTCAATTATCATACCATCAAAATTGATATACTGAACATCAATTTCATGTTCCTGTAACTTAAGTCACTTAGAGGAGAATTGCGAATACGCTTGAACAATTTGTAATAACTTGATTGACTTGGGACAGGTATGATTTGCATCTCTTCATACTATTAAATTGATGATACGTGAAATGTCATCGAAGGAAATTGAATTTTTCACTCGTCCTCAGTTATAATGTTATTTTTCTTATGTTGTTTTGATGATGTTCTCTATCTGGGCTTGGCAATTCCATCAGTTACGTCCAGGAACCTTTGTTTTCAATGTAAGCATAATACGGAATGTAGGTCAAAGGCGAGCTCATAATTTAGTACAGGTACCAGATCTAGATTTGGATCAAAAATGAGGACCTAAGGCGGATGGGACGAGGACAAGAGACTGACCTGACTACCGTGTGTGACACAATAGAGTCAGATTAAGCTAGATTGGATGAACTAGATCTTGCTTCTATATTACAAGTAATTAAAGTCAAACTGCATTGTAGTACTGTATTGTGCTTTTCACTGCCGAGTCGCACATGGAGACAGGCAGCCTTACTATATTCTTATAAACGAGAGACTCTTAAATTTAGTGGGCTTCAATAGAACAAATCAAACATTATTATAAAAAATACCACATATATACAGCATCCTTACCAAAAAATATTAAAGGAGAACAATCCAGCAGATATGGTTATGTCCATCTAATTTTAATTTAAACAAAGCACAAAATAAAATTATTATTGGCAGGAGTACAGAAAAATACAGGTGTGTACGTTATGGCAGAATATAACAGAACAAAACACACCTAAATATATACAAAACTTAAAAAATAAAACGGTTTATCCAGACATTATAACAACACGGAAGAATTTTAAAGTGGATCAAGTAGCGAGTATTGTACTTTAATTGCTTTGTTCTATTTCTGCATAGGCACTAATACCCAATAGTCTAATACTATACGATCACAATTCTTTCTCTCCCATTGTATTCCTGCTTTCAAATCATGCCACTTCGAAGTAAATATGTGTGCAAAGATAGCATACTAATGCTTTTTTTGAGCAGAAATTCCTTCCATTTTACTTTTTAAACACATTCCCTTTTTATATCTTTTACTATGTACATATACTTGATTTGCTTAATCGATTGGATCTTAAGATTGCTTAATATTTATTATTTTTATTTGTGGTTCAAAGCTTTTGTTCTATTTTTGAAGTTTGTCTGCCTCGTTGTCAAACGTTAATACATTGATTTCAGGAATATTATGAATAGATACATTCAAGGATATGATTTGAAAGGAGACAACTAATAGTTTCGATGTTTTTTAGCATGCCATTGTTCAGTAGAGGATATTGATTAATTCGACTAAAATTAGCATTGTTTCATAACTGCAAACTAACTCCGACTAAATCCAAATAAACAGGCTGCCTTTTTGTATCAGTTTTTCTCGTATACTGTAATACACTCCGCAGATGCATACAAAAAAATAAAAACTTAAAAAGAGATTTAACTAAAAAAAATAAAGTAGGATATCTACATAGATTTCCTCTTTAGGAAATCTGCACACAAAAACGAAAAATTTCTTTTTATTTTCTTCTGCGCTTTACTGATACGTATTATAGTACTGGGTTCTCGTCAAAATGTACAGCATTCTCGAAGTAGTGAAAAATTCGTATACTTACAATAGGGGAAAAAAAGAAGCATGGACATAACCTACAACAACATAAAAAAAGAAATTGAACAATGATAGGAATTATTAATTATTAATTAATAAATAATTAATAAATAATTAATAATTAATAAGTAATAATTGTAGCTAACAATAAGCAAACAATGGCAACACCGTTCAAGCTAGTTATCATTGAAGCACAATATCAAAACTAATCAAAGCACCAAAGTTTTGAACGCACCTCTACATTACTTACAAGGTTGCGTGACATATCATGTTGCTGCTAAATGTGTCTTTTTTATCGTTCGCCTGAACATAGAACCAAACAAGTTAGAGAGAGACCAAGGCCTGTAAGATCGGTCTGAGATATTTTGAAGTTTAAAACTCATAGACTAATGGGTACTTATTTTCATAGTGCATATATAATTACTAGTCTCACGTTCCAAACTCCCCTATGAAATTGACGTAAAAGAATAAATACTGGTTATGAGCTTGCTTTGTTTCTCCTTTGGGTTACCATTTTAAGTACGACGCCTGTGCTCTTTAATTAGGAGTGAATGACCCCAAAGCAGTGATAAAAGTATTCTTCCAAAAGCGTGACTCTAATTACAGGATCAGTGCTATCAATTAATCAATTACAGTATTCCCCACTCTAGTTCGTAATTTGAGATTCGACAATCGCAAAAAAGACAATGACAATATCTGAACAACATCTGATTTTTACAAGCAGTACTTGATTGTTTTATCTCCGTTTTGTGGTATCAAACTGCTTTCGAATGCAAATCTATTTGGTTTTGAAACATGCTTTGTACATCATTGTCAGGGATGATCTGTATGTTCCTTGGGTCGCCCAGTCTCTTTGATTTTAGCCTATTACCATTTCATTGAGATCTGATGAAATGCTTCGCAGAGATATTGAAGGGAATTTAATCTTGGAAATAATGTTCCGCCTTCCGTGCGCAAATAGACTTTCCGTTTTAGGCAGGACTCCTTTTTTTTTTGACCACAATTCTCAGCCCCAGATCCAGATCATAATTTCAGACAAAAAAAAAGTAGTTAACGAGGAGGGAGATGAGTTGCAGCCAGTAAGTGTTCATAATATAAAATTTTTTATTAGTGCTCAGTGTGTTAAGGTTCAATAATAATTACATGTTGCCAACCACATTTCAGCTGATAATGCAAAGAGTGAAGTTAGAAAATTGAAAGCGAACGCCGTAGATTTAATGAAGCATGTACTCCACTTGTTGGATTACTTAGACTTTTAAGGTTTCATGTTCGAGGTAACCTTCTTTTCTTACCCACAGCTAGAAATTTTCGATATTATTAGTATATAATTCTTGGTAATGATAATAATAATTATTATTATGTTCTTATTCTCGTTATTTTTACAACATTCTTAGCTATTATTAGCCATTATTATCTATTATATATCTATTCTTAGTTCATGGATATATAACAGTTTGCTGAAGCTCTCTGAATGTTTCATCCAGTTGTGAATCCGGAATGTTTCATGTAGTTATAAATCCGGTTTTCATAAGTTGGAATTTACCTTCTACTAAAAGTTCTGAATATGTGTCTGAGACGTTAGATAAAGATACTTAAAAATTTATTGTGCTCTCTATTAACGACCTCCAAGAATTAATTGATACCGGCTCCACAATAATAATCATGATAACAATGTCGAATAATAAATAATTTTATGAGTTCTGATCAATGGAGCTTCCCCTTGTTTCAGATGACACCCTAGCTTCTCTTTCAACGTGCATGTGTCTAAATGTGTAATTTAACAGGTACGAGTAATTAACACATTTGTACTGAAAAAAGTCGTATTAAATAGAGAAATGATTGTGAAGTAACGAAGACCGTAATTGCCAAAATAGAAGAAACAATAAATTGCAGCTGTTGTTTCAAGCCCCACGTATATCCACTAGCTTAAGGTACACTGACTGATCAAAAATAACTAGTTTGTTTCTGAAAAATAACTTGAAACTGTATTTCTCCAGGAACCAGCTTGAGTTTATTCGAATCCAGACCTTTTAATCGGGATAGTCAATGTGTATCAACCTGGAAATTTCATTAGTAAATAATATAGTAACTAATTGCTGTACCAAAGTAAATTAAAGTAAAGTAAATTAACTATCAGGCTAATCGATATAGATAGTCTAGACATGTGTCAAGGGATCACTAAAAGCAGGGGTTATCTAAACATTAATTGTTACAAGGGGAAAGATATAAACTGTTCCTTAAAGCGTACTATGTAGTGAATCGTTTATTATATTATCTTGTGTTATATATTTAATTTCTGAGCAGAATTCTTTCTTTCTTTCTTAGTATTATCTAACAACAACTTGTATTTGCCACAGGCGGATTATTATCAATACTAATATCGATTGTTTCCGGATTATTAGAAGCATCTTGCAGTTGTTGATTCTGTTGATGTTCAAATTCAGGTAATGATTGTGCAATCTTTTTAAATAATAACTTGACATTATGATTGGCTTTAGTACTTGTTTCTATATAAAATTTCAGGCCAATTGATCGATGCAATTTTTCAACATCTTCAATCGTTACTTGTCTTTTGTCGTTGGATAAATCAGATTTATTTCCCACTAAAACTATTATAACATCATCACCTCTTTCTAATTTTACATCTTTAATCCATTTGTCCAAATTATTAAAAGACTTTTTATTTGTAATATCATAACAAATGACAGCCACATGACTATCACGAATATAAGAAGGAATCAAAGATCTGAATCTTTCTTGTCCAGCAGTGTCCCATAACTGTAATCGAATGGTTGTTTTGTTATCGTCAAGATACATTGTTTTACTTAAAAAATCAATTCCAATAGTAGCAGCATATGTTTCATCGAATGTATCATACATAAATCTCGTAATTAAAGAAGTTTTACCAACACTTTGATCTCCCAAAAATACAATCTTATATTTTCTTAATATATTGATTTTATCATTATTACTGTTATTGTTAGTGTTGTTATTGCTACTGCTGTTACTTATGCTTTGACTACTTTTACCATTCGATATACTATCTACTTGTGGTTGTGACATTATGCAAAATATGTGATGTGATTAGTTATCTATGAAATACACAGTACGATTGAAACGCCCAAGCTTTTCTTTTCTTAATGTTAATGAGTTATATTGTAATAATGTCTTCGTTGGTGATGATTATCAACAATTATAGCAATGATTCGTTTTGGTCGTAATACAACAAAATAAACAATAAACAACAAGATCCGCTAATCAACGATATCGATATTCCGTAGTATACAATATCTTGTTTCGGCCAGTAAAATCGTAAATCACCAAACTGTCACTAATGTCTCCAATAGTTGCAACAATGATCGATGGCTTGAATGTCCTGCTTGTGAAGGGGATCACAGACACTTTCAAATTTCCTTTCGTTGTTCCTGAAAAATGTCCCAGGCGAGGAAGACAGAGGCTTATGTAAGCGGGCTAAGCTAATTTATTGAGGCAGGAAAAAATGTCCGAGATAGTTAGCGAAAGCACTATAAGCGAAGAGATACCCATAGTAGTTAGTACGTAAGAAGGGAGACAAATATGGATGACGCTGAGTTGACTGCTATCAGACAGGCCAGATTGGCCGAACTACAAAAAAATGCTGCTAATCCTAGCTCATCAAGTGGAGGGGCAGGAGGTGCTGGAGGCAATGGAGGTGCATTAGATAGTGCTCTTGCCCAAATATTAGAACCCAGTGCTCGTGAAAGATTGAGTCGAGTACGTATTGTTAGACCAGAAAGAGCACAACAAGTTGAACAGTACATCTTACAATTATACCGTAATGGAGCCATTAACAGAAAGTTGACTGAACAGGACATAGTACAAATCTTGGATGGATTGAGTCGTGACTCTAACCAGAAACAATCCTCCAAAATCATCTTCGATAGGAAGCCCACTGACCTAGATAACGACCTTGAGGATGATGATGATGACTTCTTTGACTAGTTCATTTCCTGTATAATCAATGTATAATTTGAAGACACTACTATATAAGTATAATTCCATAGGTAGGCATCCTGCATAATATAATAATAAATAACATAACAGACACAAATACAGGGCCAGTTTTTTGGCAGTGTGCACACGACTCTGTAAACAAATGTAAACAACCGTAAACAACCATCAGTATATGCCTTAAGCCTTACCAATAACCAACCCAGAGTCATGATATCACGAACTGGAACTCCAGTTCCGGTATCCCAGAATAGTTTATCGAATATTCAGGTTGTAGTACGATGTAGGGGTCGAAATGAGAAAGAAATTGCGGCCAAGTCTGCCATAGTGACGGAGCTACCGAATGATCGATACTCCATAATTGATCCGTATATCACCATCAACCAGACAAATCAGGGTGTTAGTGGTGGATCAGGTCATGAGTTTAACAACTACAAAACCTTTAAAGTTGATCAAGTGTATGGGTCACAAGCTGATCAGAATCTTATGTTTGAAAAAGTAGTAACTCCACTTTTCAATGACTTCCTAATGGGATTTAATGTGACTGTATTAGCATATGGACAAACAGGTACAGGTAAGACCTATACTATGTGTGGAAATCCCGAAGAGTTAAGTCAAGATTATGATGAATTAGAGGATGGAGGAGTGGAATTCAATGAGAATGTAGGGATTATCCCTCGAGTTTTAGTGGAATTATTCAGGAAATTGAATGGTGATGATGATTATGTAGTCAAATGTTCATTTCTCGAGTTATATAATGAGGATTTGAAGGATTTATTAGATGATGAATATGAAGAAAACTCTAAGAATATTAAGAAGAGGCTTCGAATCTTTGAAGTTAATAACAATAACAATAATAATAAAAAGAGTATATTGATTCAGAACTTGACTGAGGAATATATCAATAGTTTCAATCAAGGCTTTCGATTATTGAAGAAAGGATTGAAAAAAAGGAAAACTGCATTCACGAAATTGAATGATTTTTCTTCAAGATCACATACGATCTTTACCATTAATTTATTCCGGAAACAGCCAAATAGTTCTGAATTATTCAGAATATCTAAAATGAATTTGGTGGATTTGGCAGGATCAGAAAATATTAATAAGTCAGGAGCCATTAATCAACGAGCCAAAGAAGCCGGATCAATTAATCAAAGTTTATTAACTTTGGGGAGAGTCATTAATTCATTGAGTGAATTGAATAGTACTACTAACACCAGTACCAAAAAGGATTTAAGTCATATACCATATCGAGAATCCAAATTAACAAGATTATTACAAGATTCAATTGGTGGATCAACCAAAACAACTTTAATTGCTACTATATCTCCTGCTAAAATAAATATAGAAGAAACTTTATCAACTTTGGACTATGCTTCTAAGGCTAAAAATATTAAAAATGTACCTATAAATGGTCAAGATTGTGAATCTATAATGAAGAGGATATTAGTAAAGAACTTATCTAATGAATTAATTAAGATGGGTTTAGATCTTAGTTCTACGAGATCTAAGAATGGTATTTATCTTAATGAAGAAAATTATCAAGAAATTATAGAAACTTCTAATAGTTTAAAATCCAGTCTAAAGGAAGTTAATGATGAGAATACTTTATTGAAATTAAAATTAAAGAAATTCGAGTCAATAAATGTGACTAACCAGAAATCAATTAGAACCTTAAATCAAGAAATTGAAGAATTAAAGCGATTAAATGAGGATTTGCATCATACTAACAATAAGTTAAATACATCATTAGATGATAAAGATAACAAATTAAAAGATTTGAGTTATACATTTAATCAATTCACTGAAATCTTAAATGAAAATCTAAGCCTATCATTTTCAACAATTGAACCATTATTAACTAGTTTTAATGAAGCCAATGATAAAGTAGACGATTCAAACAATTTACTTAAATCATTCCAAAACTTTAAGTTCGAACTAGTAGACAGATTAAATACCATCAAGCTTAACTTGAATGAATTCTCCAGCACAAATTTACCTTCAATTCTTATAGAATTCAAGCAATTATTTAAAAAACTCCATCAAACCTTTGAAACTCACTATCATAGTTTTGAAGAGAATGTTAAGAAGATGAAATTAAATAATGAGAAATTACTCAATTACATTGCCAATACAGAAATCAATAATGATAAATTAGAACAATTGATTAAGGAGAAAGTTGCTGGACAATTGAAGAAAATGTATAGTGATTTCAATACAAATCTCAATCAATTAGTTGAGGAACATCAGAAGTCTTCCTTACTATTTGTTAATGATTCAATTAAATCGATTAATCATGATATAGTAACCGATTACCAATCCAAATTAATAACAACATCCCAAGACTGGAATAAAGTCAATGTAAAGTATACCACCAATATAGAGAAGGACATACAAGCTATGAATAGCCAATTAAATGAACCACCAATAATTGAAGATTCTAAAGTTAAGGACATAATCCACCTTCAGGATCGCAATATCAATGACTTGAAACATGTCATGAAAATGCTTAATGATGAGGATACTTCTAACCATAAGAAGATCTCCAAACAAATCATAGACATCAATAAATTCAATAGCTCATTACTTCTTCAGAATGATAACCTTAAGAATGGAATTATTGATATAAATAAGAGTTTACGAGTGATTCTGAATACAGTAGAACCTACTGCCACTCATATTTCACCATCTCGAAAGAGTGTTAGTCCTACGAGAAGATTGCTGCCAGCCAAGGAGAACTTAAAGATTTCGTCCAAGATTCCCAAACTTACGAATCTGGAGATGTTCCCACCGCTGAAGAAACGGAAAGTGCTACACCAAACTGATAGAGCCAATATGTAATATATAATATATAATATATAGTAATTAATAATTAATATAAAATAGTTAATATAGAAAAACAACTGCCTAATTGGGTTGGGTGCAAAAATTGTATCTTTACTTGCATCACGCGACTTACATATCGTGACCGAAGATTCGGAATATCCGACCTCCGAATAACCGTAACTGCCCAGACGATCGCCCCCGAAACTAGACAAAATATCTTGTTACGAACAGCACACTCCACTATAACTTGTATTGTGTATAACTACAGCCCGATTGCTACTGATATTTCGCTACTGATTGCTAATTAGTTTCTGGCCACTAACCACCACGCCAGTGTCGTTTAGTACAAAACTTTAGCCTAGATGAAGCTAACTCGAAATGCAGCATTAGTGGCCCTCTATATCGTGGGGTCCACCACAGCCATGGCATGGTCACTATTTGATTCATTAACTAAGGCCACTACTTTTGAAATGCTCGTAATAGAACTCACATCAGATCTCAAGTTGAAGATTCTTCTCAATTCTATGGTGGCAGCTTTCGGAATAATCGGAAAACTCCTACAGGTAATCATATTTGGTGAATTACGAATCCTTGAGGTAGAGAAGTTGTTTGACTATTTACCTATGTTCATATTCAACCTCTTGTTGAATCTTACAGCATTCGATGATTCGCTCTTGAATTGTTACTTATTCTGTTGCTCCACATTGAACAAATTCATCCATATCATATTGGTCGAGAGAATTAATTTCATTAATATAAAGATCACGAATAATGTGAATATTGCTTCTACAAGTCGTTGGGCCGTATTACGTAAATATGGATTAAACCATTACGTATGGTTGAATTTAATATTGGTTATTACTGACTTTGCTACCGCTAAATTCTTAGTGTACGATGTATTTCAAGGTATCAATTCCGTGGTATGTCTCTTGTTTGGGTTCCAATTTGCCATCCAGGGAGTTGAGATCTTGAGTTACTTCTGTAAACTACTCATTAACATCTATGAGGTTATGTTCTATCTTGCTGAGCAAGGCAATGAAGATGATGTAGATACTGATGGAAATGAGATTGATTTGGATATTGAGAAGGAGAATGTATGGGAACACAAGGTATATTACAGTAAATCTATTGATATCACATCATCAATCCTTAAGGCTGGAGCCCATTTAGGATTTATCTATCTTCTAACTATTGGATCAGGAATCACATTCCCGTTCTCCATGATTCAGGGAACATTGGCATCTGTCAAGGATACCTACACGGAGATAACGCAATTGATTAAGTTCATTCAATCATCTAAGAGATTAGAGAGTCAGCTACCAGATGCTGATCAGACGGAATTGGATAACGTTGATAATGTTTGTATTATCTGTCGGGATGATATGTACTCGGTGGAGAAGTACAATGCCGATCATCCTAGAAACCATTTACCGGCTAGAAAGCATCCTAAGAAACTTAAGTGTGGACATATCCTACATATGGGTTGTTTGAAGGACTGGTTGGAACGTTCCGAGAGCTGTCCTTTATGTAGACAGAACGTATTCCAGGATCCATCACAAGCTCGACAATCACAAACACAAACACAAGTACAACAAGCACAGGCACAGGTACAACGACCACAAGAACAACAACAACAACAACAACAACAACAACAACAACAACAACAACAACAACAACAACAGCCGGTAGCAGAGGATCATATACTTGGTAATCAACTAGGCGAAATAGCCGACTTGTTCAATGGTGATGTCCATGAGCCCTTCACAAATGAAGACTCATCCACCAGTGGCACTACCAGCAGTAGTGAACATTTTATTCCTACGCCCACCACGACTGAACCTGACTCACACAACATTCGACTTCCTAAGACGGCCATAGTCCCACCGGGGTGGACACTAATCCCACTACAGACAGTGGATCAACAGAATCAACAGTATATAGTAAGTTTCTCAAGATCAGCTCAGGGTAAGCTAACTGTTCGCCGGGACACTTCAAGCACTACGTAAACTTGTATAGGGATATTAATATATTAAGAGCATATATCTAATCGAAATCAAAGTCCAAGTCCATGCCTGTCTGACTGGCTGACTTGTCAGTGACTTCTTTGTCTATTGGGTCATTATCATTATTGTCATTACTGGCTACTTCGTCATCCAGGTCCTCTAAGTCCGAGTAGTCAAACGTTAGTACGGCCTGTGACTGCGAGGGCTTTACCGATTCTTCATATTCTTCATCCTCTTCATCTCCATCTTCGTCATCCTCTTCGTCATCCTCTTCATCATCCTCTTCATCATCCTCTTTATCATCCTCTTCATCATCTTCATCTTCATCTTCATCTTCTTGTTCTGAACTTGAGCTCTCTGTCTCCTGTGATCCATCTACTTGCTGAACAAGGGCCTTCATCTGCTCCTTAATTGTCACCGGATACGTGAAGTTAGTGAAATCACACTTTTGCAAACACTTCGTGACTTGTTCATTGGTCCTGAGTATCTCCTGACGTAAGATCAGCTCATCGTCAATAGTACTCGTTAAATCTTTCGCCTCATAGATTAAGCATAGACTCATTAGGAAGTAGATAGTACCATCTTCATTATAGGGAGGTTCCAACATCAACTCTTCTAGCTTAATTTTGAGGCTTCGGTATTGGTGATGAAATAATAAGTTCCAGAGTCCCGTTATCAAATAGAGAGGAGCATTTGTGGTAGTCCCCATTCTCCAGACTGGAGCAGAACCAACCCTAAGGGATCCTTTCCCATCGTACCGAGAAGCATCATATCGATTCAAAGGATAGAATGTGATGAGCCAGTCAAAGAATCGATCGTCTTTAAACAAGGTATCACTGGAGTTAACTCCATCGAGTTCATTAAGCTTCCGCTGTTGCATCAAGATTTCAATACCGATGGACCAGAGTGACTTTATATCGACAATAGGGAATCGGATAAGCGTACAGAAGAGCTTGTATGCTCCATTCCAGTTCTTACGCAATACTGCCACATGTAATAATGTCTTAAGATTGTTGATATGGTTCTGGATTTGGCCTGCATTATGGGTAGGGAGAGGTAAGATCTCCCATCCGTTGATGGTCAACAACACGTCTGTTTTCACTCTGTTTTTAGACACAGCGAATTGGCGCAACAAGTCCCTTGCCAAGTCGTTGACTGTAGTGGAGTCGTCGTCATTGTTATCATTGTTGTCATTGTTGTCTTTGAAGTCTTTGGTTGTTATGATGGAGTTTAGAGAGTGGTCCAGCTTAGAGTGATGGCTCTGTCGAGCCAAATTGACATTGACACTATTCAAATCATGCCATACCTCATATGTCTCATCTGGCTTTACGTGACGTTCGAGTTCACGGTGGATATACTGCAAGAGCTTGTGGTTGATAGGAGATCCTCGCCGGGGTTTGCCTACTGCTACTGTATTCAGGAGTTCTCCATACTTCTTAAGACTGATATATTTCTTCACTAATTGATGGGTATGCTGAGTGGCCACTCGGTGCTTCTCCTGCCGGCGTATGATATCCTCAAACATTCCCTACAGTTAGTTAGTGAGAGATTAGTGAGAATCGAATCGAATCGGTAGAGCTAAGCAGAGCTTAACAAAACATCGCTAATTTTTTTTCGCGATGCTCGGTTGCGCGCGGTATGCTACGGTAGCACAAGTTATAACTAGACACAGTGTATATTCAGTAAGCTATTTACAGAGGTTAGAGAGAGGGGGAGTGTGCTAGTGAGAGAGAGTCAATGTTTAATGTACTTAGAACATTCCTCCCATTCCGCCCATACCTCCCATACCAGGAGCTGGAGCAGCTGGAGCACCCTTTGGTTCAGGAGCATCCACTACAGTACATTCAGTAGTGGCCAATAAGGAAGCTACACCACTAGCATCAACTAATCCATTCTTAACAACTTTGAATGGATCAATAATACCAGCAGCAATCATATCAGTGAATTGACCCTTGGCAGAATCGTAACCGTGGTTGAATTCAGAGTTATCATAGATCTTTCCAACAATAACTGCACCTTCTTCTCCGGCATTTTCAATAATTCTTCTAGCAGGTTTAGTGATGGCAGATTTAATGATTTCAACCCCTAATTTTTGATCAAAGTTTTCAGCTTTATCCTTAACTTCATCTAAAATTCTAGAAGCTTTAATTAAAGCAGTACCTCCACCAGGTAAGATACCTTCTTGAACAGCAGCTCTAGTAGCATTAAGTGCATCATCATATCTATCCTTCTTTTCACCAACTTCAACTTCAGATGATCCACCAACCTTAATGACAGCAACACCTCCTGATAATTTAGCTAATCTTTCTTGTAATTTTTCCTTTTCATATTCAGTGGTTAAGGCATCATCAATAGAAGTTCTAATTTGTTCACATCTTAAATTGATGTTTTCCTTTTGACCTTCACCATTAAGAATAACAGTATCTTCTTTAGTAATAGTGATAGAACCAGCAGAACCTAATAAATCAACAGTAGCATTTTCAGGTTTAATATCTAATTCTTCAGTGAAAACAGTACCACCAGATAAGATAGCAATATCACCTAAAGTATTCTTTCTATTATCACCAAATCCTGGAGCTTTAACAGCACAGACTTGAACTTGACCTCTTAATTTATTTAAGATACAAGCAGCTAAAGCTTCACCATCGATATCTTCAGCAATAATCAACAATGGTCTTCTAGTTTGATTAGATAATTCTAAAGAAGGTAAGATATCTTGAATAGAACTAATTTTCTTTTCACTTAATAAGATTAAAGGATTTTCAAATTCAACCTTACCAGATTTGGTGTTAGTGATAAAGTAAGGAGAAATGAAACCACGATCAAATCTCATACCTTCAGTGACTTCTAATTCATCTTCTAAGGTTTTACCTTCCTTAACAGTAATAACACCTTCCTTACCGACTTTTTCCATAGCTGAAGCTAAAAGGTTACCGATATGAGCATCACCATTGGCGGAGATAGTGGCAACTTGAGCAATTTCTTCAGAAGTAGTGATTTCTTTCTTGTTAGCTTGTAAGAAGTTAACAACAGCTTCGACAGCAGCTTGAGTACCTCTTCTTAAATCCATTGGGTTACAACCAGCAGCTACATTCTTAACAGATTCAGTAAAAATTGATCTACCTAAAACAGTAGCACTAGTAGTACCATCACCAGCACTTTCATTAGTTTTAGAGGCAACTTCTTGTAATAATTTGGCTCCCATATCTTCAAATTTATCTTGTAAAACAATTGATCTGGCTACAGTAACACCATCCTTAGTGATTTTTGGTGGACCAAATGATTGTTCAATAAGAACATTACGACCCTTTGGTCCTAAAGTTACACTAACGGCATCAGCTAAGGTATTAACACCCTTTAAAAGGGCAGCTCTACCTTCAACACCGAACTTTAACTCCTTGTGCGACAAGTTACGCACGAACTGTCTGGCAATACTAGATCTGGCTCTTAACATTGTTGTTTTTATTGATGATAGTAGTAGTGGTAGGAGGAAGTGGAAGTGAAAGTGAAAAATTGAAGATCTGGAAATTTTTTGCTTCGAGAATTTTCGGTGGGGGCGGATCATGTGCTTGGGAGTCATGTGAAATTGCACGTGCAAGACAAAGCAGTAATAACTAGTTCTGTAAATGTACTGATAGTACAAAATGTAGTATATAATGTAGTGTATAATGTAGTGTATTATGAACAATGATATTATGCCAATGTAATTCATGATCTACATTTATTTGCTTAGTATAATCTTACTACTTTGCTTACACACCCACTCATTCTTTGTTTACTTACTCTATGCTATAATATACTCCTATACTGAATCCTCAATATGTTGTCTTTTATATATTACTGCACTATTGTACTATATACTTACTATACATTTATAAATATGTCTGAACAGTACTCTACTTACTCTGTATAAGCTTTCTGATAAAACTAGAACTATCAAACTCAGAATTGTTGGAATTTGACGACAGACTGTTTTGATCCTCTGTTTGCTGAGATGATGACTGTGGCAATGTTGAACTCTGAAGTTGAATTGGCCCTGATCCTAATTGTGGTAAAGCAGGAAGATAATGTGCTGGAGGTGGGATTACATGAGGAGGAAGATGAAGATGATGAGGTGGAGCCAATGGTGGAAGAGATGTACCACTATTATTGATACTATTCACTCCATTCTTATTCATATCTTCTAACCTCTTCGCCTCCTCCATTAAAGGCCTTATACATAACCAACCTGTCTCAGTTCTAAAGTGTCTAGATAAGGCATCACTTCTAGCAAATTTCTTACCACAGCCCCATTTAGTAACTCCATCCTGTAAATATCCTTCACACTTAAAATTCTTAACACCATTATGCAAGAGTTCATGACGTTTCTTATCATGCGATCTAGCAAACGTTCTTGTACAATGTGAACATTTGAATGGCTTTTCTGTGGAATGGGTTTTCATATGTGATTTAAGATTGTATGGCTTTTGGAATACTTTCGAGCAGATTTCACAGGGATACAGTTCCATTTCTCCCGCATCCAAATTCGAACTGTTTGAGGCCGATACAGATGAGTTAGCGGTTGATTGGGATTGTGTTATAGATGCAACAATATCATTAACATCTTTTCTCTTTCTTCTTTTCCTCTTTAAAGAGGGAGATACAGTATACGAAACAATCGAAGAATAATCTATGGGTAAGTTTTCATGATTGACATCTGACTGATTAGCTGGGTTCGATATCGAGAGGGAATGTTCACGATTCATTTCTTGAATAGATACCGGTGATATAGGATAACTGTTGTTACTAGTATTGGTCGTTGGGTTTGATGTTTTAGCACCTATAGTGGTAGAAGGAAAAATTGGCAAGTAGCTGTTTGAGTTTGTTGGATAATATCCCAATTTGTTATTATTATTGGTATTATTGCCAGTATTCGTGGCACTGGTGCTAGTACTAGTGCTAGTGGAATTATTGGCTGTGTTGGTATTAGAGGGAGTTCCCGGTGGATAGTAATAGGACGAGTAGTAGTAGTCATTATTTAAGGGTTGCAAGTAATTCCTGGAGGGATAGTGAAGAAACTGTTGTTGCTGTTGTTGTTGTTGTTGCTGCTGTTGTTGTGCTTGTTGTGCTTGTTGTGCCTGTTGATTATAACTAGTACCGGCATTGTTCATCATGTATATGGAACGGAGTGGCTGAGTTCCAGAGTAATTACTGTTACTGGTACTACTAGTAGTACTATTAGTGTAACCATTAGACTTGGTGTCTAGGGAATAAGTCGAAGAAGAAGAAGGGATAGGCAATAAGGAAGGAATTGTGGAGGAGCCTGTATTTGAAGTATTTGTATTGTTTGTATTAGAACTATTTGATGTTGAACTAGCAGACATCGTGGGAAGTATATACTCTGAATTATAATTAGTGGACATTAGCATTTAATGGATTATACTAGTATTGATGGATGGGTATAATTGAGCATATAGTTATTGTTGGTCGTTGGAAATTATTTATTTATTTAAATAAAATACATTTAATTATTTTATTTTATTTTTATATCTATTACACCTTACAATTTAGTTCTATAGTTATATTATTATTTATTTATACTAGTTATATTTGAATAGTAGAAAAATTAATTACGTATTAAAAAAAAAAAATAAATAAAAAAAGTAGTAAAATATAATAAAATAAAAAAAGAAATTGAATAAATTTACTACAAAAGTAATAAAAAATAAAATTGTGCACTCGGTCCGAAGCTGAACCTCAAAAATGTTGTGTGTACAAGTACATGGCTGTTACTCAGGTGTTTCATTTCATTGACGTAATACAAAACGGGAACTGGTCAGAAACATCATTATTCATACATGGCCCGATCTTAAGTATGGGACGCATACGGTATTGAACAATAATTACCCGATAGCGTATTACTAGTTTGTAGACGATACGATACTATATTATATTATACTGGATACGATATCGGTGATTCTAGAAGGTTCACTATGACATAATGATCTCATTGATACTGATGATGCTCAATAACCTATTACTATTTATAGCATATAATTAATTATTAAACAATTAATAATCACTTCAATTATACTTTACACATACGTTTCTTCTCCATATAAACATAATTGAAACCACTTCAACTATTTTAATTTGTACTATATATTGTTACTACTAATGGTTAATGATCATTACAACTAAGTATAGTCACACTATGAAACCTTTAACTATATGTAGCGATAAGACCAACTAAAAGTTCCTTATGGCTTTGCTGCTTTTTGACATATAAAAAAATCTTGGCAGGGGTCTATCACGTATCTTAACTATGGAAAGCTAAAGCAAACAGAGGGCTTTTTGAAGGACAAGAAAAAAAAATGGCTTAACTTTTTGTTTATTTTTTCGTTAACCATAAATTTTTTTGATACTTAGACTTCTATTTGAAGCAATCTATATATGTCTGATATCAGTACTACTCATATTTACTACTTACTCGTTATCCTCCAGTATATATAAGTACATATAAATATTGTATATTTGATAAGGTGATAGTACTACAGTCAGGAGCCTTTTGGATGTGAATTGAGTGATTTAATAATTTGAAAATTATCCAATCAGAATTATTTTTATTTTTATCTTTCTGTGCACTTTTTTCTCAGTAAATTTCATTTTTTTCCTCGATCCGATCAAATATTACGTACTGCAATCGAACACAAAAATGAACTGAAGCATCTGCTTCCCCACTTGTTATACCTTACTAAGCATAAAAACAGCAAAGAAATAAACAAACGTGAGGCTAAGTTAGGCTTTACTCGGCTTGAACTTTTTAACCAAGTGGCTTCGCCCTCGACCGCTTCATTGATTTGTTGATACCGTCACTAATCACTTGCTACTCAATGTGAACACAACAGTAATAACGTCGATTCCGAACGTTAAAACGAAACCTGATAGTAAATATAGCTGATGATGTTGCTTTAGTAATATCATGTTTAGTCATGTTTAAGTAATGATAATTGTCGCGCGGGTATCTCACCCCGAAATTACATTACCCCCTACAATCACATTGTCAGGCACTACTCACTAATTTATCTAACCTTATCTTTTATCTGCTTCCCTGTCGGCCTAGTGAATCGATTTTACTTACCTATTCTTACATATTATGTCCTACATATCCACCGCATAACACAGTCTCATAGCGGTCTTACAAGTCATAAAATTCATTCATCTATACACTCTACATAACTAAAAAAGCGTTGCCAAGACTTTTCCCACTTTCAATCGCACACAAAATTAATTATAAATGTTTTCTATAATTCTGAGCCACTTTGGCTCAAAATGGTTTCTAGCATATTAAGCTCAATCTTAAGATGTTAAGCTCAATCTTAAGATGCTAATAGGCAAGAGGCTAGTGAATCTTATATACCTTCTGCGTAGTTAGCGACTCATCAGCCATAATATCCATATTTGAGGACTACATAAAAATACTAAATCAGAACGCCATCGGCTTAGACAAACTAGCCAATGTGTAATTATGGCTGGTTTATGCTGATAAGCTCTTGTTCAACTATTGTGTAATAAAATATTTCAAGGATGGGCTTCGACGGTTTTAAAGCATTATCTTCTCCTTTAATTTCAGTTAAACTCCTAGTTATCACCGTTCTACACGTGATAAAAATACACATGATCAGACATTACATATATTTAATTATAACAAATCGCTAAAAACTTTACTCACTTTAGTCATTTCTATTATTGTTTAATATTCTCAAAATAAACAAAAATAAATTAATGATATCCAAATATAATTGAATACAACTTATAATCTCATCATCTAAATGATTAACTGTCATAATCTTTTGAGTATCAATTATGATGTAAACACAGAAAATCAATGAACCTATTAATCCATATAAATTTTCAACAAAACTTGATTGATTTGGGAAAAACATCATGAGAAAACCCCATCCAAAAAGTATCCATACTCCTAGTCCAGCGTATGATTCCCAAGCTGTAAAATCATATTTTGTTTGGAATGTGAATAATGTCAATCCAATGAAAATTATGAATGTTAATAAAACGGCATTTATTACCACATCACTTTCAATTAACGAGGTAGCTAACCCAATTCCGTAAGCTTCGCAAAACGTAAATCCTCCCAAGAGCACAAGATTAATAGGGTATGACCTAGCTTTAAAATAACAACCGAATAAAAATCCAAAAGAAAGGAATAAACTAACATACCAAACCCAAAGATTATTTAAACACCATGATTGAATCGAACTTGAACTTCTAATCACAAACCCTACTAATAAAGTTGCAAATAATTGAACCCCTAAAAGAGAGTAGACTTTTCTAATAAATAATTGTCTAAGCGGTAATTCACAACTAGCAACATTAACAGAATATTTGAAATCATCAGGAATGTTATCACCAAATGATCGAGCTTGAGTATCATCATCGTAAGGATTTGTTGGAACATTTGAACCACCGGTGGTGGCGCTATTATCCGTAAACAATCCGTTATTGTCTTCGTTGTATGCTGGCGGTGGAGGATTTGAAGGGGCAGCAGCGTAATCGCCCAATGGATCTTTATGTGTTGACATGTTGATTGTTGTCTTTATATAAACAAATGATGTTACTGTATGTCTTCGTTAGAGAAACTTTTACGCTTTAAGTAGTTATAACTTCTTTTTTAACGTATGACCCCTTTTCTTTGAAGCCGCGCCTCAGAATCACGTGCATAAATCGTGATCCGACACGTTTAAAAGTCACATGGTCCAATTACTTGATGTTTGGATGTTCATGTAAGTATGAGCCTCAGTCCAAAAAGTTAAATCAGTTTGAACAATTCCCTCATTCACACGAACGATACGATGCATAATGCTGTTTATGCAATTAACTATACGTAATCATCTGTGGAAATATCCAACGTAGATTTTTACAAAAGAGGGGAATTCACCTAAGATAAACAACTGACCAATTTCTAAACCTAATATCTAAGCATTAGGCTGCAGAAGATAAGGTCGGCTCTGAATGTATATAATCGATAAATATTTTTCAACAAAAGCGTAATTGTATAATCAAAATGGAAGGAGAAGGAGGGGGATTGTATTCCTTCTCTCTTCGCGCGTCATTCCGTGCCTCCTCTTCCTCCATTTTATACAATCACCGTATTTGCGACAAGTGTGACAATGTATGTCTAGAAAAAAAAGGGGTGGGATGGGATGGAGGGGCAAAAATGTGTCATTAGGATAACTATTTGTCAGAAATTGCGGAGTTGATTCACCAGAATGCACATAGTTAACTGATGAGCTCAATGAGGAGTAGAAGGGGGGGTAGAAACCATACCCCGTTAGAAACGTTTTTTTTTTGCAGTTGACAGAGATGGAGAATTAACTTTTCAATGTAAAGTGGGGACATAATTGTGGAGACCGTTTAAGGTTTCCAATTAAAAGAATTAAACTGGTTATTTATTATGAAATATGTAAATGAAAGTATACGGTATCTATAAAGTAATCTATTAAAGTAATCCTCATTACCAGAATTAAAGCTAAACTGAGAAGAAGTGAATTAATTAGCGTTGGATGTATAATACATATGGGTCATTCCTCATTGCTGAAACGTCTAAATTTGAACTGTTTCTTTACTTTTTTAAATTTTTCAATAGAGTCAATTATTGAACCAATGGAACTGCCTCTTGAAGTTGAATTTGTAGTTTGTGATGATTGCGAATTATGACGACTGTAACTATTCCTCATAATATTAACATTATTATTATTACTTGAAGTTTCTATTGTAGAAGAATCATTTGAGCTTGATGAATCCATCTCTACATCATCATCTTCATCATCATAAATATCCTTTTCCATTTCTTTAACTGAGCTCAGAATAAACAATTTATTGCTGGGATCACTGTGAGACTCTGGAGAAATTGTTTCTGACTTGCGTCTATATATAATTTCATGATCTGTACCATTAATAAAATTATTGTTGGTAATCAGTAACTCCAATTCATGGTTCTTATGCTTTACAAATTCATTGTAAAGGTTAATTAGTATATCATCATATATGATCTTTTTACATTTCAATAATGATGCAGTCGTTGGTAAAACAGCTGGTTGAAATTGTGATTTATACAAGCATGGTAAGTTGATCTCTTGTGGACTATTAATACTCATGAAGGTATTATAAAAATGGTTCCATAGTTGTAAATTATCAGATGAGTTGCTATTGAAGTTTAATATTAGTTTATTAATATCTAATATAAAATTTAAATTCTCCAAACAATGAATAGACTCAAGATAATTTATAAATTGAGTTTTGGTATAATATTCATTATCCTTTGGAATACTATCATCTAATAAGTCGTCGAGTGTGGGTATAACAAATACTGTAGTCGTCTTATTAGTTGAATAACGACGGCCATAATGTTTACTATCGCCTTGTTGATGATGTGAATTATGATAATTTTGTAAAGTATAATTAAAAATAGTCTTCGTAGATTCAAGATTATTTATGTTATTATTGAGATTATTCGTTCTACTTGAAGTCGTAGGAGGTGACGTTGGTATTAGTGGTGACTCCTTCAAGGAAGTATTAGTTGGTGATAAGGTCATATTGTCTTATCTACCATCCATTAACTTTACCTATAAGCACACCAAACTAATATATGAATTCTAGCAGATTGGAAAAGTATATTTATTAAACATATATAAGAATGAAGTGGAGGTATTTTTAAGTATATATATAATTTCGAAAATTTATCCGTTTTTTTTTTATAGAATTTAACTCAGTATTTTTAATTTTTTAAATCTAGATTGACTTTTTGTGTGGGAAAACCGTTGTAAACTTAACTCTTTATTGCGCTTTTAATGAACTTTGCACGACCACGTTTTATCTCATTATTTATTGTAAATAATTATTATTTGACTGACCCACACGACTTCATCATAAAATCCGCAGTTTATTTTAACTCATTCGATCAACTTTAACCGAGTTCATAGGTCGTACCTTTAAATATGGTAGAGATGTAGCCTATAAACATAGGGCACAGTTACACTTCGCTTGCGATCTACAACTATGATTCAGCGCTCATGATGGGCTAAAATAAATCTGCTGTGGATAGCTAGATAACTTTGTCACCCCAAACTGAATTAGCATATTAGCATATTAGCGATTCCACCAACACAGCAGCAACCCTTATCATGTATTATCTAAATTAATTAATAACAATAATAATAATTATACCAAAATATTAATGCCACAAAATTGAGAAAAAAATTACCGATCGGCTTAATTAAAATAGATCATGAAAACTGAATCCTAATTACTAAGTCCACTTTACTATTGCTAGTGGAAGGACTATCATGCTATAATTAAGCTTGACATTCAGGGGGTCGATAAAGTCACATCATATTCAACTACAATATAAATGTACGAGATGATGACTTTGTAACAGAAAATGTATGTATTGATGGACTGATTTTAGTGAGAAGTTACTAGTTATTTTGTGTAATATTTTACATCTAGAAAATTTAGTGATGAAACTTTAACCGGTTATACGGATGCACATGCAACCATATCTTACACGAGACATACATAAGTCGAGTCAAATTAATCAGCTCCCTTTAGAATTATCATGTAATTTGATAGTGATATTAAAAGATAGGATAAGATGGAAGAGGAGCGTGATCAACTGGTACAAAATCTTTTCTTTTGATAACCCGATGCCCAAAATTTTTAATTACTAATAATACATAATACTATTGTTTACTCTGATTCAACTAAGTTCTTTCAATGTGGAGTCAAAAATATTTCAACTTTTGTGGTAATTCATTATTCATCTTGAACTCTCTTCTCTATCAAGTAATTTTTACACAACGGTCAAATTCCGCAGTGCTATTGTCTTGAAAGTGTGTGATTGTATTTTGCTTTGTGTCGATCGGTTCAGATGGAGAATCTTGGCTGGTTCCTCACCAGCCTTCCCCCCTTTATCCCCCAAACATCAACGTTGACATGCTTTTGAATTATTCATAATTTTGTCGGGCTTAATGCACACATCGATTATCTCCTCCGCTTTTTTCTCCTCATAAGCATTGGTAAGAGTTTGGTGATGCTTAGCGATGTTGAACTGTGCTTTATTTAATGTAAAATAACTTAAATTCGAAACATCCATACTTCAATAATAATAATAATAAAATATTATATTCGTTTAAGCTAGAGAATTTAATTTTGTTCTATATAATTTATGTAATAAACTATTTTAATATTGAACTACACATCTAGAGGCAACTTTGATATCATCACGATTAAGTAACCATTTCATCAGTTTCTTGGCATGGTAGTTACTCATCTTTAAAGTTGGGTCAGTGGTCGTGTGAATTTTATCAATATTCTTTTCTTTTTTTCCTTCTGTATGCAACTTCTAATTGTCCTGGCCTAATTAGGAAGTTTTCTTTTGCAATTGCAAAACTTGATTCTGAAACATTTTACATCAATTTACAATCATTAATTATGACTATATAAGTAGTAGCAATTGACCATTTAATAATTTATATCCATTACTAACACTTCTTCTTTTCATTAGTTAGCCTTAAAACTTAAAAATCAATTAAATAAAACCATGGAAATTTACGTTAGTCCAGAAGTCGATTCTCAATCCGTCTTCCTTAATTTCAGTCTCCCACAGGATCCAACACAACAAGTGTTTGAACTTCCTTTTGGTTTAATTGATACATATTTCCACTTTATCCTCAAACAGGCCATTGTACACTCGGTTTCAATTGGAGCTTGTGTAATTTTGATGTTGACATTAATTATCTTTCCTAAAAAGAATAAGAATAATCCTATGTTTTATTTAAATTTATGTTCACTCTTATGGATGATAATCAGATCTGTTTTAAATATTGTATTTATTATGGGTCCTTTGTATTCGCCAAGTTTTTCATTTACAGGGTTGGTTAACCCTGAAACATCTACGTATTCCATCTCCACTGCTGCTAATTCTTCGGAAGTCGTCCTTGTGTTCTTTATTCTTGCTTCAATCAATTATCAAATTTTTATAATTTTCAAATCTCCAGAAGTTAAGAAAATGGGGTTGAGAATAACGTTGTTAGCTACAGCAATGAGTCTTACTACAATCGGACTCTATATTAACTCAACGGTACAAAATAATACCTTTTATCATAATATCTTTGCTGGAAAAGAACCTTCCGAAACTTTTATCAATGGAAGAATAACCTACGATCTTCCTCGTATTATGTTCTATACTACGATAAATCTTACTTCAGTAGCTTTGATTTTCAAATTGATTCTGGCGGTGAGAACAAGAAGATATCTTGGTCTTAAGCAATTTGATGCTTTCCATATTCTTCTTATAATGTCAACCCAAACATTCTTAATCCCAACCATTATAGTATTTATTCATTATGGGTATGGAAGCTCTTCATCATTATTACTTCTTTTAATTAATTTATTATTAGTAGTTGTTTCTTTGCCATTATCATCCCTTTGGGCAGCATCTGCAAACAATAAATCTGCGATACCATCTTCGCTTCCTTCATCTTCACTTTCCTTCTTAGCCAGGTTTTTAACAAACTCATCAACTTCAAGTGATAAAACTGTAAGTACTGAAAATTCAAGTAGCGACAATGCAACTATGGTAGGAAGCACGGTATACTCTATGTTTCCTGAAAAGTTAGCCAAATTTAATTCCCAACCTTCAACAAGTTCTTCACCTAATACATTTAGAAATCAATTACCACGTGAATTAGCTGATTTATTAAATGAGGAAGAAGAAGAAGGTATGAGTGCTACATCTAACCAGGTAAATACCCCTTATTCAACTTCTAATGCAGAAGATATTGATGCTTATTTGAACAATATCAATGATAATGAAATGGTTGCTGTTACCAAGCATAATGCAATTGTTTAGATTAGATAATATAGTTTCCTTTAGAATTTGATTTTCACTGTTTGAAATGTTTTGTTTTAATATATTTTGTATATCAGTATTGAAAGAATGTAATTTAACAAATTTGCTGCGAAAAATCAGCGAAATGCCGCAATGAAAATTACAAACTATTAAGCAGAGGTTATATAAGTTTACAGATTGCCAATTTTTGCTTCAATCCTGGAAAGAAATTCGTCAAGCAGGAGATATATTCAATTGTTTCTAATTAAAAATGAATTTTTCTATGTATCCCACACTTCCTCTACTCCATCCACACCCACTATCTCCTCCAGATCATTCAGACCATCCAGACCCTCCAGACCCAGACCCCCTTCACCATTCACACTCTCTGCACGCGCAGTGTAAGGGGGTGGTGGACCATCTCTGTTTTCATCTACATAAGGCGAGTCAGATGGGATAGGTAGAAATGGCCTCGGGCGTCCCACAATTATTTGTTGTATTAGTGGATTAAATTTATTTTTATCTATTAATTCAAAAACAGCAGCAAGATTCTTAATCTTACCCTTTATAGGAAACAATCCAGCTTTAAGTGCCCAATTTACATAGTTAAATTCGTTAATTAAATCCGTGTAGTAATTTGAATCTATTCCTCGAGTTATAAGCCTATCCTGATATGCATATAGGCGTATGTAAAGTAATCCAAAAATTCTAAGTTGATTGTAAAGGGCTATTCTAAACGAGGTAAGCTCACGTTGCAACAGTGCAACCAACTGTCCTTCTCCTTGCTCTGAAGACATATTAAACTAAACCGTTGCAAGTTTAGTTCGTCAACCAATAAGAATTTTCATATGAAATAAATCTAACTTGTACATAAAACCTCACTATACTTATATAAAGTCATCGCACTCATTTTAGGAAGGTCTTAAAATACTTGTATTATGCTGAGAACTTTGAAAACTCTTTGAGGCAAATCGCTAACATCCTCTGTCGATAGTGCAACATTTTGTTGGCAACCACAAGCAAATTACACAAAGCCAAAACACTAAAAAAAATAGAGGCAAATACAGCTTATAACTTTCGATTTCTACCCCAGATAAGATAAGGAGTATTCTTTTAGAACAATTAACATTGTACAATGGTAGCCGAACCAGTTCATGCAACTATCGAAACGTTGTCATACTTGTATGGTAAAGCCTCGGATTTTATATCCACAAACCATGATAATATTGTTAATTCCGAACTTTTTGATCAGTTGAGTCAACTAGTTAATATTAGCCAACATGATATTAATATCCATATTTCACCATCAGTAAGGAAACCTCCTCCCACGAGATTTGTTAGTGGGATTAGTGAGAATGTTAAACATCATAAATTACAATATTTAACTATTTTTACAATAGGATTAGGTACAGCATCATATGTGTGGTATGAAAAGGTGTATAAACCGGCATTATTACATCAAAGCAAGAAAGATTCCAGCAACCAAAGATATAAACGAAGAGTACCTAAACTATCGAATGGAGCTAGAGCAGATGTAGTTTTAGTTATTGGATCTCCTACTGAACCATTAACAAGATTGATTGCCTTAGACTTTGAAAAGAGAGGTTTTATTGTATACCTTACCATATTGGATGATAAAGATTTTAAATATGCCGAATCTAATCCAATAACTGATGATATTAATTATTTGAATTTGAATGAATCTGCTAGCTTTGAAAGTCAATTAATAAAATTTAATCATTTATTGGAATTGCCAGTTATACCATTCCCAGGAGCCGAAGCTCATAATTTAAAATTGAAAGCAATTGTTTTTGCTCCTCTGCTTTATTTTCCCATAGGTCCAATAGAAAACATTACTGTTTCCACATGGTCAAGATTACAAGATAAAATTTTCATTTATTTGAAATTGTTTTCTTCAGGATTAATTCAATTATCCCGAGATCAAGCCAGTAAAATAATTTTTATATATCCATCAATAATAAGTTCATTATCTATACCTTATCATTCACCAGAAACATTATTTCAGAACCAGTTAAGAAATTTATTTACTACTTTAACTAGAGAAGTTCATCAACATGGATTATCAGTAACTCAAGTCAGATTGGGTAATTTACAAATATCAAGTCAAAGAAACAATACTTCAAATGATAGGATTTCAACTTTAGTAAATTCGGAAATAAAAGCATGGGATGATGATATTAAAGATCTTTATGCTAAAAGCTTCTCTCAATCACAATTTAAATCAAATCCTATAAAATCAACTGGTGGTAAAGGGACAAGTTTAAGAGAATTATATCATACATTATTTGATTTGATTTACTCTACAAAACGGAGAAATCCTGCTATTGTATATTGTGGAACAGGAGCAAGATCTTATGACATAATATCTCGAATCTTTCCCGAGTCTTGGATAGAATGGTTATTAAGATAGTTTAATGTATATAGATTTTTTAGCATATTATAACCCTAATTGTTTGCAGCCCATTTTCGGAATTCGCGCACGACCCAAATCCCAACCAACATCACCTCGAAAATTTTTTCTTTATAAACCGTAATAAAACTCTTCAATTCGTTTATTTCTTCTTTCCTTTCTTTACGTTCATGGTCAAAGATTTGTTATCGAAGCTTACATAAGGAATCATTTTATGATTCAGTAAATCTAATGCTTTGGGGAAAGTCTCCTGCCTTCTATGCGGAAACGTAATGAATTCATCAATTCATTTGAAATGAGGAAAATAGTCTTACAACCCTTGGTCTTTGCTTGACTGAATTAATCAATTCAATGTTCAATAATCCAGGAGAAGGTTAGAGGAGTATTGACTAGTATTAGCTCTATTTTGAGTCTTGTCATTTCTTTTGGAATGCTCTGATACTATTTTTGTCGATACAATAAACTCTTGATCATTACCCAAGATTATATTTGAATTTCGAATTAGTTCATTAGAAGATCGTCGCTTCTAAGCTATAATAGCCTAATTTCATCCAGCCCAATTTGGTTGTTAACCCAGGATTGGTGTATGGTCCTTGTGTCCAAGTTTCGGCAATGGGATATATTATTCTAAACGAAAGTTATAACAAATGATCAATTATTTGATTAACCCAATGGAGCTTATTTTTGATCCATGAACGTCTTCACCCGTTTTTAAAGCTTGTTGTCTCATCATTTTGATGGAGATATAAGCGTAGTCAAATATGCCAAGCTTAATTTTGCACCTCTATCTTTTATGTTTTTAACCAATTTCTGGTGAAATTGGATATTATTTTTTATTCAAATGTTGTAACTGATGATGGAATACTATGAGTGATGGAAGCATAGATTAAATTACCATATCTTTCATATAATGATGAAACAAACAAGCGTACATAGAGTCAAGCTCTGAATATAATTGACAAAGATTCAATTATAGGGACGAGATATGCAATTATTTCTGACAATCGAAGTTTGGTATTTTAATCTTGCTACATTCCAAGTATTGTGGCATTCATCGATTATAACTAATAGAAAATAGTATTTAAAACTAGTAGATAATCTGTAAAACTCAACTCTTAAAAATATTTATGCGCTTATGTAAGCGAGTCTATTGCCAAATACGGCGAAGTCTTCGAAAAGGCTGTGTGAAATGAGTTTATTTAAGTTAATTATATATAGACTTTGTAAAAGGAAAGCAAGAGGTTTATACAAATAGAGTTTGTTTACTGCGAGTTAACTTACAAGTGTCTTATTATGAATTAGTTCTTACAAAATGAGTTCAATAGTCAATACCAGTAAGAAACGTTCAAGGAATGGATGTCAAAGTTGCAAAAAACTAAAAATCAAATGTGATGAAAAGAAGCCAAATTGTGAATATTGTTCATCTACGGGCCGAAGTTGCATGTATGTGGTTAAGAAATTAAAGAAGGATCTAAAGAAGAAGCAAAGTAGTCCAAACGTGGCTTTGAGAAATAGAGAAATACCGTTAACATACAGTGTCAATAATCAATTAGTAAATACAATAAATTATTTAAATGTAAATAAATTTGAGATTGGATTGTTTGAATTCTTCAATAAAAATTGTCTTTACTTATTTTCGTTTGGATCAGGAAGCAAAAATACCTGGAATGGTCAATTGCCTAAATTGTTCTTTGAAAGTTCCATTATTAGAAATTCTGTATGTTCGTTTTCTTCATTGAATCTACTTTCTATTATGGAAGACGTTGACCTTCCACTGGTGATGAATAAAGGAAGTAAGCCCTTAGAATATCCATCAGCTATTATCAAAAGATTTGGAAAAGCCAATTATAATCAAGATATATTGAAAAATCAATTATTTCGTCAACTATGTCATTATTTCAATAATTCAGTTAAAAAGACAAACTCCTTAATAACTACAACGCAGCGAGAGAGTTCAACCTCATTATTTATTGATCCTCAAATTGCTCAAGAATTAGTCATATCCAATGTCCTTATCTTTACATTTTTAGCCATTCATCCCCATAATACAATTTCTTTGGTTAACTTCCAAACAAGACAAGATTTCTTATCAATTTGTAAAGGTGTTAGATCAACCATTCTTTGGTGCATGCCCACTATTATTGAACATGATCTTAAGTTACTACTTGGATTTTTTAAAGATTTTGAGACCAACACTTCCATCCCAACCATGAAGCAATTAACCTTTCCGTTACTATCATCTTTCAAACAAGATCTTCAGAATACCTTCAATCCAACGAATCCTGATTCTCTCATCTTACAGCAATCTCTAAAACTCTTACATAATGCTATCTACAACTGCATTAATTATAATTATCCTAATCCGATTTTCAGATGGATACTACGATCGTCACCTTCATTTCATCAATTAGTATATGAAAAGAATTTAATGGCCTTACGTTTACTATATATATATTCAAGCCTTTGTTTAATGGTTAGGTTTCAATTATTTAATGATTCAAATATATGGAAGGAATATATTGAATGGTATCGAGATTACAATTTGATTACCTATCATAAGTGGAACTTCAAATCAGATGAAAACTTATATGCTGTAGCTTATATCAAGAGGTATGGTTTTAAGATTGAAAAGTATGGAGAATTATCTACATTTAATCCAGATACAATGATTAACACAATATTATAATACATTTTACATGCAAATATATATATATACGTATAAATATATGGAAATATAAATGATATCTTTCATTCAACTTTCCAATGACTTGTCAATGTGGCTGCACCAGCTTGACTATCATTACCCATTAATTCAGCAGCATATAATAATAATGTAGTAGCCATATTAACCCAATGCCAAAATTGCCAAGGGTGTACTATTATTTTAAATGTACTTGAATCATCAGATGAGAAGAAGCCCCAAAGTTTCAATTCCGTACCTAATTCTCCAGTATATGATAACATTAAATGGGTATAAACAGATATTATAATACAAGGAGAATAAGCATATATCAACCGTATAATTGCTGATGGTGGTTGATGATGAGGAGGTTTAAGACGAAATGATTTCTTATGAGATAATTTGTTACCTGACAGACTTGAGTCCTGAATGCCAGCATTATCCTGATCAATGTTTGACAGAGACGGTATTGAAACCACAGAAGTATGTGAGGCTGTACGTGACCTGTTTAATTGATTTGGGGTTCTTGGTGGGGTATTGATTGGATAAGACACGTTATTATACAATGAAGGGATGATTTTAGTTGCTGCATAAAAGACACCAATTCTATAAGCCAAATTCAATAACAAAGGTAAAGTTAATCTATGAATTGCCATGATTAAAAATTCCCAAACTGTTTTAATTGATATAGGTAAATTTGAAGCTAAGAATGGTAAAAGTTGACTTATTGGATTTAATATTTGGGGAGGTAATTTTGGAATTTCATTCTTCAAATTATTTGTTGCATGAGTCAATAAAGATGTTAAAGTAGCTGTTGCACCTTCAGATAATATTGGGAATATTTCATAAATACAACGAACAATATAAGCAAACATCAAAGATGACTCAATTATTGAACCTTTACTTGATACAATCCCAAATAATCCCAAACCCAAGGTTAGAGTTAATAAAGATCCCAACATAGATGCACTAATTATATCAATAGTGAATGGGAAAACATAAATTCTGTATAAGAAATATAAGGCTGCTGTAATTATAGATCCACTACCAACCAAGGAAACAATTAACCAAGAATCTGATTTATAAACAGTCAACCAATTAATAGTTTGACCAATAGCTTGAATCAATAATAATGAACAAAATCCTTCTAAAATTGTAAATATTGGAGTTGAATTTATTAAAAATAATCTCCAAATTTCCACAGGATTTACATAACTTAAAAATGGATCATGAGGTGTACTATAATAGGAAAGGAAGAATGTTAATAAACTTGGAATAAAGAAATGTTGAAAATAATATAGGAGGGAAATCCATTTAAAATATGTTGATTTTCTAGTCGCTAAACGGATTGTTGTTAAAATAAAATATAGTAAGAAAGTTGTTAAAGAATATGCCAAACCACATTTTACTCCTCCAATATCAAAAGCTAACGGTATAGTTAAAATAATTAGTACTAGATATAATGATGATAGTAGAGCTCTAATGAACTGTTTTATCCTTCTTTCTATTGACATTCTGCTAATTAAAGATATTATATTATACAATAAGATTGAGATGATGAATTAAACGAAATGAACTGCAATAATGACCACAGAATTACTTTGGAATAGAATTAAAATTGGAATTGAGTTAAATAAGACAGAATTGAACCTTTGCAATAATGAATAACAAATGAATAAATTACAAAATGGATTAATAAAATGAATACGATGGATGGATGGACGGATGGATGAATGAATGAATTATAATTTCGATGGTAGCCTTTTCACTGAGATTACAACTGGCTTATATGATAATGGTGATGAATCGGTTAAGGTTCAAGCTACCTTAATATCGTAACAAGTAGTAACCCTTTGACGATCAAAAACTTTTTTCTTTCTTCTTACTTCTTTCTTTGAACAAACTTTAAAATCTAATCAAAAAAGACAAGGTAAAGGAAGGGATGAAAATAATTATGTTGATGATGGCTCGAATCGACTTATATTATTATATGACCTAATCATATATACTCGAATATATAGTACTAGACGATCGATAGATTGTACTACGATAGAAAACTTATATACGGCTGATTCCTCCAAGTTGATGTTTTGTTTTATAGTACGTATATCCTTTCCCCTTTTTCTGACTATCTAAATTTTTTTGACTGTCAATTTTTTGAGAATTCCACTCGAACAAAATGTGTCTCTCACTCACAATTATTTTACAACCAACTTGTTGTCCCCCCGATGGTTTTGAAAGATTTATTTGGTGATACTTTTTTCACATACACATTCTAATTCATTAGTCAACTGATATTTAAACATGTGATCACCACTTATATATACTTATATAATTTAATTCTTTTTCTTATACGCATATTACTATTAGCTTTATTAGTATTATGAATAATCTACTGGTCTTTTTTTTTTACGGTCAGACGACTACGCTACAAAACTCCACTTAACTACCATTTCCGATGAAACTAAACAATAAAATTAAACCTATATAGGAAATAAAAATTGGAGCAATTTTATTGGTCATCTCAATTCACATCAATGGTCAATTTCAAATTCTTCCTTAAATAACCTTCAATATTCATTTATATTTACAACACTAGTAGATACAAAATTGTTTAATTCTGGCAATTTAACCTATTTAGGAAATACCCCCACACCGCAATACATAACGCATAATTTGCAAAGTCATATTCGCACGACGAGCTTTGCTTATATACAGTCACATACATTAAATTTATTTTTCAGTCTATACAATTTTTTTACAATATTGTTAAGAAGAGCATCTCATCAAGAAGTTGCAAATTGAATAAAACAACTATTAGGAGATGGCAAGACAAGTTAAACGAAAGAGCCATTCTAAGCCTCGATCATCTGACTATAATAGTAATGAAGCGAATAGTAAACGTCCCAAATTAAAGCATGGAAGAAATGAATTAAGAAATGTCACAAGAACAGCTAGAAGAGGTGGTAATGATACCGAAGACTTAGAGGATCAAGAAGCTATCTCTGAAAAACACTTAGAGGAAAGTGAAGAAGAAATTGAGAATGAAGATCAAGAAGAAGATGACTTCAAGGGCAAAGCATATGAAGCACTTTTGACTTTATTAAAAACAGATCATAAGGAACCTAAAAAGATCAAGTCTAAGTCCACTTCAATTGAAGAAACAGCTCAAGCAGAAGACGATGATAATGATAATGAAGAGTATGATGAAGATGAAGTTGCTGGAGCCAATATCAATGAAGAAGAGGGTGATGAGGAAGAAGAAGAAGAAGAGGAAATCGATGATTCAGATAAAGAGGAAGAAGCCGAGGAATCAGGCTCTGGTCTTGCTAATGATCCATTTGAAGTACATTTTAACCAAGTTACTGAAACATATTTAGATAAAGAAGAAAAATTATTAAATTCAAATCAAAAATGGCTTGTGGATTCAAAAGGTGAGATGGATGGCTACTCATTCATGGAACTTGTACCGCCAGGTGAAGCTATTAAATTGCCTCATGAAAAGACTAAATTTAATTCACTTGAAGAATTATCCATAAAGAAGAGGTTAGTAGATTCCTTTAGTGATAAAGACAATCTTTCACTGTTGGATAAAGCATTATTAACTAATATGATAAATTATAAAGATATTAATTTTCCTTATGGATCATTTAAAAATACTTCATACAGAAAATTATATTCATTACATGCATTAAACCATATTTTCAAAACAAGAGATAGAATTTTGAAGAATGCGGCCAAACTTCATAATTATAGAGAGTCTATTAAAACTGGATCAGGATCAGGATCGACTAAGAATGGAGGAGATTTACAAGAACCAGAATTAAGAGATCAAGGTTTTACAAGACCCAAGGTTTTAATTTTACTTCCAACGAGACAAGCTTGTTATGAAGTTGTAGAATATCTTATTAAGTTTTCAGGTTCAGAACAACAAGAAAATAAGAAAAAGTTTACTGGACAATTTTATGCTAAAGAACAACCACCATCCAATAAACCTGAAGATTTCATTGATACTTTCAAAGGTAATAATAATGATTTCTTTTGTTTAGGGCTTAAATTCACGAGAAAATCCATTAAATTATATTCATCCTTTTATTCTTCTGATATTATAATAGCATCACCAATTGGTTTATCGATGATTTTAGAAAATCAAGATAAGAAAAAGAGACAATATGATTTCATTTCATCTATTGAAGTTTTAATAATCGATAAAGCAAATCAAATTGAAATGCAAAACTGGGATCACGTTCTGACAGTATTAAAGTATTTAAACAAAATTCCAAAGGATTTTCATGATGCAGATTTCTCAAGAATTAGAATGTGGTCTATTAATGACCAAAGTAAGTTATTGAGACAAAGTCTTATATTCAGCGAATACTTGACTCCAAGTATCAATAACTTGACTACGAAATCATTGAATTTAAGTGGGAAAATTAAATATAAATCAATTATCAATTCTCAAAATTGTATAATGAATTCAATTGGTATTAAGATTAAACAAATATTTCAAAGATTTGATAGTTCTAATCCACTTGAAGATCCCGATTCAAGATTCAAATTCTTTATCAATTCAGTGTTACCTTCATTAATTAAATCTTCCTCATATTCAGATGGGATCTTAATTTATATTCCATCATATTTTGATTATGTTAGAATTAAATCATATATGAAATCGAATACCAAATATTTATTTGATGGAGTTGATGAATATAGTTCACAATCAAAATTAACAAAAGTTAGACAAGATTTTGCAAATGGAAAGATAAAGATCTTGTTATATACCGAAAGATTACACTACTTCAGGAGATATGAATTAAACGGAGTTAAAACAATATTAATTTATCAATTACCTTCAAATCCTTTATTTTATAAGGAGTTAGTTAGATTCTTGGGTAAATCTATCTTTAAAGAGATATGTGATTTAAATTTAGTTTTTGTTAAAACAATATTTTCAAAATGGGATGGTCAATTATTAGAAAGAGTAGTTGGAAATGATAGAGCCCCAGTTTTAGCAAATTCCCCTAATGAATTATACGAATTTAGATAAGTTTTATAAACTGTAATCGAATATACATTATTCTATTATTCACAATAAATGCTCAATATTGATCTCGCTTTTCTGATTCGTTCTAAAACCCATACAGTTAATTCAATTTCCTCAACTACAATAGTTGATAGTAAATATTTCATGTATTTCAGTAAGATACTATACTACACTATTAAATCTAAATCTCTAATGTACAACCGATTAAATCCCAATTTTATGAAAACACGCCTCAATACAGAATGTTATTGAAAATAAATATTCTAAGAACTCAAAGTATTGATAGCCACAATAAAACATCCAATAGCAACATATGGACTTAATCTTTCACCAACTCTAGCACATTTCCAAAATACACTTAATAAACCAGATTTTCTATTATCTAATATAGCAGGAGCAGTAGCATGAACATAAGTACAAGTACATATCAATAATAAGATAACTTGCAATAATGATTGAAAATTAAACAAAGCACTCTAAAATCTCGTTAGTAAATACTCTCTATACCATTCCAACAATTATTATACAATTAATATACTTACCATTACTAGTCGTTAATATAGTCTGTTCTATTAAGGGTATATACTATTGGCTTGAAGGCTATCAGTGGTTTTCTTTTTCGTAGTTTCTTTGATTTCACTGTATACAGGATTTTCTTTAGCACCTACCAAATACATTTCCCTAAATATATATATAAAGCACTTATCTATTTTAATATCTTAAAACACTTATCTATTTCAATATATATATAATATCTTAAAACTCTTATCTATTTCAATATATATTTCTCTACTTAAAATTTACTTATGTACAAATAACTCTTTAAATACAGGCGGAGCGTCAAATTTTCCCATGATCAATTCAAAGAATTCTAATTTGGAATTGTCAAATCTGGATCCATAATCTGCACCCTTTTTGAAGAAATGGTTAAATTCACTTAAATTTGAAATTTTATAACTCTTATGATACTTTCCATAAGGATCTCCAAAGACTTTCAAAATATTTGCCCAATCCCAATTGCTGCAAATATCATTGTAAGATTTAGTAGGACCATTAATCATTCTTTCAATAGTGTACCCATCGTTGTTAATTAAAAAGATCTTGGGGAAATTCTTAATATATTTACTATGTCTAACATAGCCTGATAATTCTTGAACAGTCATTTGAGCAGCACCATCACCTTCTACAAGAATAATTCTTCTATCGTACCACCCTAAATCATTGACTGCCATAGTGACACCGAACGAAGATGGTAAGGCGTAACCAATGGAACCATAAAAGTTTTGAGTAACTAATTTCAAACCAGCAGGAAACTTAATGTCTGGCAAGGCAAAGGAGAAAGACATTGTATCCATCACTAAGATATCATTGTATTGTAAATTTTCATTCAAATGGTCAATCAATCTGGTTTGAGGGATATGATCAAGGGCTTCTTCATTAGTACAATGAATGGTAGGATAGAATTTCTTATCTTTAATATTGTCCCTGTGAATGTTAACAAATTTTGAAATATCAAGTTGGTTTTTCATTTCAATTAATAAATCCCTCATGGTGAATTTTCTTGAGCCTGAAGACATATCTTTAAGCATTGTAACCTTGTTGTTAATTTTAACATAATCAGGATGAATTTCAATATAATCCTTTATATTAGAAATATTCCACTGGTAACCACCAGTTGTGGTTTCTGAATTAAAGAAACCAAAATTGATCAAACAGTCTGTATGATTTTCAAATTCTTCTTTGACTACTTTATTTGAGGAACCTCCTGCAAAATATAATCCAATATAATTAGGTAAGTCTTCATTAATATATCTTCCTAAGTTTGAAGAAAATAACTTAACCAAGTTTTGTGGAAGCTTTTCAATGAGTTCATTAAATTCTGACTCTAATCCAAATCTTGAAACTAAACAATCTCCAAAGATAGAAGGGGTTGAACTGTTGTATAATTTATTAAGAATATTACCTACTATTTCATCTAATATTTCCCTTGATTTTGGTGTAATTTCATCAAAGAGCTTTAAAGGAGTACCATACAATCTTTGGGTTGGAACCATAATGTCTGGAACATCACAAGGAATAAAAAGATAACCTGGTCTTGATTCCTTGATAACTGTAATCAATACTTTATCAATTTTATTTAAATTTTCACAAGTATTATCATCCAATGACTCTTGAATTACACTTACAGGAGCTGACATTTGCTTATAAATATCATGATTTGGATGTTCTAAAGGATTTTTGGATTGAACTAAATGGTGATGATTTTCAATTCTATCAGAATAAATTCCTTCAGAAGCATTACCACGCTGTTTCATAGAAGTTGTACCCACGAGATGTAAGATTGGAGAGTATTCCGAAAATGATCCAGCTACACCATTGATAGCACTCAATTCACCAACACCGAAAGTAGTAACTAATACAGTTAATGCTTGCATAATTCTAGAGTAACCATCTGCTGTATAAGCAGCATTTAATTCATTACAGATACCGACAAATTTAATATCTTTACTAGCAATTAACTCTGAGTATAAACAGTCAAGTAAAGTAAGATTAAAGTCACCAGGAATTCCAAAAATTGATTTTAATTTTGGATTAGCTTGAGATATTCTCAAGAATAAATATTCCCCTAATGGAATCATTTCTGGCAATGTAGGGGTAATGGTGTTTGATCTTGTCACATCCGACTCCAATACTATTTCATCCTTAACTGGTGCCATTTTTTATGTTTTATTAATTGCAATTTATTATAGTGTCAACCTTAGATATAACTATATTGCAGATAAATAAGATATATAATTAATCTAATGATATATAACGGTGTATTTATAATTCGAATTATTGATTTTTTTGCAAGTGCAACTTAAGGGGTAGTGGAGCGGTAATGATCGGTTATTCACGGTAGGAAAAAAAGACAACTATTTGGAGTCTCTCCACTCTTTCCTCAATTGATCATTGAGGTTTGCGACTAAATGGCTCGTTTACATTTATTTTGGAGAAATGATCGGACTTGGCACTATGAATTACACTGAGACTGAGCCCTTTTCAATTATTTTATATGTTTTAATGCTCTCATTTTTTGGGGCTTAAACAGCATCATGAGGTTCTCTGGCTCTCTTATTCTAACAACCGACGAGCCGGTTCTATTGATGTATAAAAGCCCTGAATTCTTGAGCCATTAATCCTAAGTATGACCATATTTATGCCGACTTTATATAGCCAATGAACTGTGAAAACGCTCAAATGAAAGACGGTTAGAGAAGGAGCAACATGTTTTGACAGCCGTATTATTATCCATATTGTTTATGTGGTCGACGAGAGAATAGAGTTGCCGGAGTTTTTCTTTGCTTTGTAAATTCGCTTTTCGTTGCTGATTGCCAAAATAGTATATTTATCCTATAATGTGGAAAACCTTCAATAGCCGAGTTTTGAAGAGTTTAGACAGATCTATAATGCAATGATACTTAATAGGGGTTAAAAATATATCATACTATACAAGATCTGATATAGCAAATAAAATTTATTCAATAAACAGGATGTTACATAAGGCATTTTGCGGGGCTATTGACAAAGTACCTGTTTTCTACCGTTCTTTACCGCTACACGTAGGCCGTTGTTAGTTCATTAATATACAGTGAGACCATATTGTATAGCTATCGTTACAATTGATTGGTCTCTATAATCCATTAAACATACAAAGCTGAAATTTTTTTTAATGAAGTGCTATTAATTTTGTAGGAACAATTGAAAAAGTACTTGAGACAATCATATTTAATTATCTGTAATATATTTTTGCATTATGACATTAATTAAAGTTCAATATTCAACTACAGCATCAATATAAAATTACAAGTCTTTACCGAACATAATGGCTCCAACTAAGTGGTCTTCACCCTTTAATACTGCAACATTCTTGACATATCCAATTCTTTCAAATCCAAGGGAATCCCAAATTTTAAGACTAGCTACATTAGTTTCAAATACTAAATTGAATACTGAATAAACATAACCCAACTTTGGAGCCCAAACAAGATATTTTCTTCCTAATTCTTTACCTAATCCTAGATTTCTTTTTTCATGGTTTACAATAAATCCAGCATTACAGACGTGAGAACATCTTCCTATATAATTTGGCTTTACATAAAAATTTCCTAGAAATACGGAATTCCATTCTTCGACTGATTTATCGGCATTTTTAGTCCTCAATTCATCAAATGAAGAATATTCTCCTTCTACTAAAATCGCTGCAAATGCATGAAACCAATATTTGACAAATTCTTCACGATTCATGGTCTCATAATAAGGATAAGTTCTACCTTCTTCTACCACATAATTGAACTCATTTTGAAGAACTGTCACCAAATTTTCAGGTAACACTTTATAATCATGTACAGGGAATAATGTAACTTTTATAGATGAATCCTTTTCCAATGTAAATGTTATTGGAGTATCAATTTTGGGAGTGTTCTCGAATTTTCCATCAGCAAATGGTAATTGCTTCAAAGTTTCAAATTTACTGCTTGATTCCCCAACAGTCATACCTCTACAAAAACCACTAAAATAAAAACAAACAACTTTATACGTGAAATACTATATAATATATTCAGCTATCTATCTATCTACCTATCTAATAATTTTTCAATATATGACTCGTAAATTCGGATCTACTCCGGAATAAGTAATCGCGAGCTATGTACAGGCCGCACCAGTTACCCGGACAAAGTGCCTGATGTAATTATTCATTTGAATTCCTTTGTTTGTTAGAACCACCAGTAGGTCCCATTACTAAAGTTTACTATACTAGAATTACAGCTACATTCAGACCAAAGTGGTTTAGTGGTGTAGTGTTAACTTAAGTTTGTCATCTAAGAATTTGAAGTTTGTCCAAAATGGAAGATCAACGAAGGAATGGACTCGTTGGAGATTGTAAGTATTAATGTTATATTATTGAATTTATGGGAAATTTAAAAGATAATGGATATACTAACAAAACCTACCATGTTTTAGCATTAAGTAAAAGAGACAAGAAACGTCAGTTGATAGGAACGAGATTAACTCGGTTGTCATCTATGTTCAAGAATGATCGAGATAATTTTTATAGAAATCTGTTACATGAATTACAAACAAAACTATCGACATTACAACAAGGATTTAATGAAGAATTTTTAGGTCGAAAGCTCAAATTAGAGGAAGTAAGAGATTATGAATTGACCAAATTAAGATTATGGGAAGAATATCAAGTTAAGCGTATTGAAACTGAATATAAGGAAGACTTATCTAAGGCTAAAGAAAATCATGATAAGATGATAAAACTTATTAAAGAAAAGTTATATGATAAATTACAAAATCAAATTAAACAATTAAAAGAAGATAAATTATTATTAAATTTAGTTAATGGAAATCTGTGGAGTCAAGCTCCATCCAATGAAAATAGTGCTAATGATAGTAATACAGCAGCTTTAAATGCAGTAGCGAGTTCATTAAGTTTAACTGATAGGAGATCATTAAGAAAACGTGAAGCTAGCTCTAGATTTTCAACTGGAGAAGCTGATGATCTTTCTGATGGAGGATTTTCAAATAATAATGCATCATCACTTCCTCATTCTAATGGATATACATCAGCTACTGGTAAAAGAAGGCGATTATATTCCACTAGATATTCTTCAAATGATGAAATGTCTAGTGGACTTACTAGTAGTGTTAATCAAAATGGTGGTGGTGGTAGTGGAATGGGTTATAGTGGTGGAGGTTCAACAACTACTGGTAATCAAAATAATGGTGGTAGTTCAAATGCAGGACATAATTTATTAAAAGTTCCTCATGGTCATGGTACAAGTGGGGTAAGTAGTGGGAATGATTCTAATTTAAGTGATAAAGATTATGATGCATTAAATTCATTAATAATGGAAAATGATGATGGAGGTGCATCACTTATACTATTAGATAAATCTAATTCTAATAAACCTCAAACTAGAGGATCTCATAAACAATTTGTCGGAGTTCAAGGTTTAAAGCCGGAAGAATTAAATGAAGATTTGAATTTATTAAGAAATGCCACTGTTAAAAAGGACTAACTAAACCCCTTCCAATGCCAATTCTAGACCTTTCTCTTCTGGCTGGCTGGCTGGCTGGGATGGTTAAATTATTTCTCATGTATGTATTTTTATTGTAGTGTCGTTAATGTATTATTATTTTTATATACTATGCGATCGCATAGCGCCTAGACAAAATATAGTGGGCCCGCTAAATATCACAAATTGATCTTACATCTGATAAGCCTCAACTGAGCCCATGGCTACAGTTTGTACTTAGTTTAAAACAAAGAGATCATGTCAGGAACCTTTAGGCCGTCAAGGTTAGGGCCTCCTCCTAAGAATCCGTTTTCTCAGCACTTTTCTAATGAGTCGTTAAACCACATCCCAATTGGTGAAAAATCACTAGAGGATAATGAAGATGGTGCAGATGAAGATGAAGATGAATATGAATATGAAGATGAAGAATTAGAAAATGAACATGTTGCAGCCTATTTATCAAATCTTAAACAGAAGCTTCGACCTACCCATTCGAGATCAAAGATATTCCCCCATCGATTCAAGATTGTTGCACGACTATCTATATTACTGATAATTATTCTTATTGTTGGTTATGTATTAATCAACAGAATTCTGGCTCATGTAAGAACGCGTCAATTCGATCCATATTGGGTTGATGATATTGATACTCATCAGTATAGTTATAAAGATGATATTGAATCAATCAATTTACAAGATTCTAATGAGAAGTTACGAATTAGTGAAAAAATTATATCTTCAAGATTAGATGCACCTTTTCAATTAGGTTGTTCAATACCTGATACTTCTCAACCTCGAGCTAATGCAGCATTTGTAGTATTGGCTCGTAATTCAGAGGTTGAAAATGTTGTAAAATCAATGAAATCTTTAGAACGTCATTTCAATCAATGGTATAATTATCCATGGATATTTTTAAATGATGAAGAATTCAATGATAATTTTAAACAAACAGTATCTAAATATACTGCTTCTAAAATTGAATTTGGAACTATACCTGCCGATAAATGGAATTTTAATCCTAATATTAATAAAGAAGAATTTAATGAATATATTAATGGTCAAGGTGATAGAGGAATTATGTATGGGAATTTAGAATCATATCATAAAATGTGTAGATTTTATTCGGGATTCTTCTACAAACATGAATTAGTTAAAAAATTAGATTGGTATTGGAGAGTTGAACCTGATGTTGAATTTTATTGTGATATTACTTATGATCCATTTATTGAGATGGAGAAGAGAGGCAAAGTTTATGGATTTACAGTTATGATTCATGAACTATATTATACAGTTCCTGGTTTATTTCGAGAGACAAAGGCATTCATTAAAAAATCTAAACTTCGAGTAGGAACAGCTTGGGATTTATTTATCCATAATTCTAAATTCACTAGAGGTAAGAATTCTAAAGATTATGATAATATTAGAACCAAACATGAAATTCTTAAGGAATTAGAAGAGAATATTAATATTGAGAAATTTCTTAAATTGAATAAAAAGAAAGATAAACATGTTAAACGATTTAATCCTGAATTAATAAAGAAATTAAGTAGAAATGCTTATAAAAAACCTAATTTATATGAAGATAGAATTGATAGAGAGGAATATAACTTATGTCATTTTTGGTCTAATTTTGAAATTGCTAGAACTAGTATATTTACATCTCCTGAATATGAAAATTATTTTAATTATTTAGAACGAAGTGGAGGATTTTATAAAGAAAGATGGGGGGATGCACCTATACATTCATTAGCAGTTGGAATGATGTTAGATTTAAAAGATATTCATTATTTTCGAGATATTGGATATAGACATAGTACATTAGGTCATTGTCCTGGAAATTCTAAAAAGAATCAATTAAGATATAAAAGTAGTGATACTTATACAGGATATCAAGAAGATTCATATTGGTTAAGTCCTGATAAGCCTACTAATAATGGAGTTGGATGTCGTTGTAGATGTCCTAGTGGATTTAAAGATATTGAAGATAGTTCATCCGGATGTATTAATTTATGGCGAGAATTTACTAGTGATAGTTTTGCAACCTTTGAACCAGTAAATCTTGATGAATGGGAATCTAAACTTAATAAAGAAGTTAGTGACTATATACTGAGGGGTGGAGATTATGGATATAGTAATATTATAGAGAAATTACATAATGCAAACCAATTATAGATTTACAAATAGTTATTAATTATGATAATAATAATAATAATAATAATAATAATAATAATAATAATAATAATAATAATATAATAATATATTTTAGCTAATATACACTTTAAAACTAGTAGAATACAAATAATAAGAATTGAGTGATTTAACACATTTAACCACCGAAACCATATAAGGTTCTACCTTGTCTCTTTAAGGCGTAAACAACATCTAAAGAAGTAACGGTCTTTCTCTTGGCGTGTTCAGTATAAGTAACAGCATCTCTAATAACATTTTCTAAGAAAGATTTTAAGACAACTCTAACTTCTTCATAGATTAAAGCAGAAATACGCTTAACACCACCTCTTCTAGCCAATCTTCTAATAGCTGGCTTTGTAATACCTTGAATGTTATCTCTCAAGATCTTTCTGTGTCTCTTAGCACCACCTTTTCCTAAACCTTTTCCTCCTTTACCTCTACCGGACATTTTGATATATAGTTATTAATTAATTAGATTGATTAATTGATAAGGAAACAAAAAAAAATATAAAGAGATTCTAAATTAAAATTTGTCAATTACAACGGGACTACATCGTATATTTATAATGTTCACTAGAGCGTTGTGACAGTTGTTGTGTTGTTAGGGGATGTTGTAAATAATGGGGACGTTCTCTGCAGGACTGTTGATAAATTTGCAATATTTCCATGATTGACGGGTCACGCGCGCGTTAACTAGTGATAATAATATTAAATTTGTTAGGGAGATAATTTACACATGAGAATGTGTAAATAATAGTACTGCGAATTTGATACTTTTAAGGATAGAAAAAATGAGATAAGTAAATAACAGAATATTTATTATGAGAGATCGGTAATTTTCAGTACAATGCGCGACTTACATACATAAAATTAGAGGAACAAAAGGAACAAAAGTATGGTAAACAATAGTAATACGCCTAAAGTCTTAGCTTTAACTCTTCCCCTGGGCAAAGAGATGGCGTTTGACACAAAAGTTAGGGAACCTAAATAAACAAATAAACAAACAAACGAGCAATTGGGCCCCTCCGCCCTCTCTACTGACTATACAACCCATAACAAACACAATGCTTAACTAGTGTGATTAGAGAATTTCATAGTGATTAAATGTAATTACCGTAGATCCAAATCCATTATAAATATTTACCGTAATCCTGATTAGTTTTATAAAAATTCAATTTACTCTTGATCTCTTCTTTTATATTTTATATATTATCTAACTATCATATAATCAAAAATGGCTAGAACTAAACAAACAGCTAGAAAATCTACTGGTGGTAAAGCCCCAAGAAAACAATTAGCCTCTAAGGCTGCTAGAAAATCTGCTCCATCAACTGGTGGTGTTAAGAAACCTCACAGATATAAGCCAGGTACTGTTGCCTTAAGAGAAATTAGAAGATTTCAAAAATCTACTGAATTATTAATTAGAAAATTACCATTCCAAAGATTAGTTAGAGAAATTGCTCAAGATTTTAAGACTGATTTAAGATTCCAATCTTCTGCTATTGGTGCTTTACAAGAATCTGTTGAAGCTTATTTAGTTTCCTTATTTGAAGATACTAACTTATGTGCTATTCACGCTAAGAGAGTTACCATCCAAAAGAAGGATATCCAATTAGCTAGAAGATTAAGAGGTGAAAGATCTTAAGTTATTGGTATTCTCTAACTTAATGTCTATCTTATGTATATTAGTTTATTACTTTTGAATAAATGAATCAGTTGTATATTAGAAATTATTATCATTATCATTGTTATTGTTTTGTAGTAATAGTAGTAGTAGTAGCAGCGGTTTGGCTGTGAAATAGTGATGCGCTGTTAGGTGCACACTAGAAAATCCAACATTTTTAGTGGGGAAACACTGGAATTGGGAGGTGAAAACTCCGATACAAAGGCTAACTTACTACACCCTAGGTCACTTCAATTCTATTCTTGTGGGTAAATAAAGGGGGTATTTAACGGGACATAATAGACACTTTGATATTAAGTTAATATAAATTAATAATTTCCATTATTTTTAAACACTTCTCCATATAATTGCTATACAATCTTTAACTATATCACTATGTCTATGGATAGAACTTTGAATAATTTCACCGATTCAAACTCCACATTTAAAACCAATAATATAAGTGAAACTATCTTAGATTTAGGGTTAACACCATATCCAGCTCTTGCATTAGGATCTTCATTACTTTTCAGAGGGTTGACTCATAAACCTAAGATTGCCCCTCCATCTCAGCAAGTATATAAGAAAGTAGCTCAAGCTATTGCCAGACCTACACCAAAAACATGTTTTTCATTTGGTGCTATTAATCTATTAGGAGCTTGGTTAGTTTATGATGGAGATGAAATAAATGGAGCAGAATTCAATTGTGTATGGTCATCAATATATCTACTTATAAATGGTAAATCAAGTATTACAAGCCTTATTAGAGGTGGAAATGTAACACCAGCCGGTATATCATCTTTAGCGTTATTTAGTACAGTTATTTATGGTCAAAGTATTATTTCTTCTTGGAGAGGATTGAAAAATGAATCCAGATTTTATGATTAGTCTATATGGTTTAAATTGATTTTAGTACCTTCATGAATGCATTTTTAATAAATATTTAATATTCTATATTTGTTTACTAATTCTTAATTAATCCCATCTTATCGGTAGGAAATTACTAGCTTCTGCATATTTAATAATTTCAGTTTCATCATATAATTCTATAAATTGTTGATCCATGGGTCTTTCCTTAGGAGCTGCAAATTTTCTATACTCATCAAAAATAATAGTAAGTGACCATTTTTGTAATCGCCTTAAGACTCCAATCAAACATCCTGTTCTATGTTTACCTCGATTACAATGAATTAATATGGGTTGATTTTCTGGATTAATTACTATTTTAATGGCTTCTGTAATTAAATCATGATTAATCTTAACAAATGGTTCTTTATTTCCTGACATTCCAAGTTGAAATAATTTAATATTCTCTTGTTTAAGGAATTCTAATTGTAATTGAGGATAATCTTCAGGAATTAAACAAAGTATGGATTTTAATTTTAATGTCTTAAGGAATGAAAAATTTAAAGGTTGTGGGAAAGATGATCGATATATTTTATTAACTACCGTTGAGAAGTTCTCAGGGGGTGTTAATGGTAATTTACTACTAGATTTTGTTTGTGCTTCATATTCTAATTTCAATTTTTCTTGTAATTTATAATCTAACTTATCATCTAAATCTTCTTCATAAGTATTTTCTTGTTGACTTTCATCTTCTGTAGTATTTGTTCCTCCTGTTTGTTCTTCTAATTTGAATTGTTCAAGTTTCAGTCGTATGAGTTTATTATCTCCATATATGATATCACTTGAAATATCTTCATATGCTTTAGTTATGTCTTGTTCTAAAGTACTATCAGGAGGTAAAGGTAATGATAGATTTGTATTTGGCGAAGACGGCAATTCTTCATCCATTTGAAATGGATCTTCAGAAAATTCACTCATATATATATATATATGTATTTAAATTGATGAGTGGATTATTATTATTATTTGATTTAATTTTTTATGATATCTTCAAGTTTGGGTTATATTATCATTCTTTGTGCAGTACTTCTCTCTTTCAGGAGCTTCTTTGGTTAGTTTCTATATGTTATAGTGAATATATTTTATGCTAATGATGATCAAGCATGTCTGGATATTGGTCAACGCACGGGTCATTTTTGGCTTAGTATTTCCGCCATATTCCTGCATGGTGGAAGGAATCCATCATAACCATAACTGCAAAATTAAATTAATATCGACACATCTTACTGGGTAACTTCTAGGGGAGTTTTGATATTATGTAGGTGAACTATTTCAGTACAGTCCTTTCTGTTAAAGTTACTTAATGAAGTAGTAGTGATGTTAGAACCATTGACTTTAAAGTGGTCCAGTACGATGGGTAAGTTATGTTAAATAATGAAAAATTGTAATAGTATACAGAATATAGTATACTAATATTTTAAATAGGATCCCTTTGATAATTCAGTTATATGAAGAAGCAGTTGTCATAGTAAAAGTTGCAAAATGCTTTATTTTGCAATCACAGGATTGGTTTATATCAAGACTCTAATTATGAATTGATTGCGATTTGTGATTTGTTATTTGTGATGTATTTATCTAATAAAATACTTAAAGTACTTCCCCCCTCTATATATATGAAACTTACCGTTTATGGAACAATAGAGACTATTTTCTATTTATATCTCGTCAACTATATATAACTTTACTAACTTCTTGGATATGCGACATTCCCCATTCCCCGTTCACTCACACATTCACGACATTCAAAAAAAACTTATCGCGACATACATCTCACCATTTCTTTTTTCTTCCTTTGAACTAAGACAAGAGAGAGCATGTTTACATTCCAAAATATACTTAGAGCAGTACAATATCTACACACTTTGTCAATAACTTTTTGCAATCAATAACGAATTACTGGTTAGCACCATAAAACTGTAAACACATCAAGTGCACCAAAATTAATCATGCCGGAATTTGAAGATGTTATTCAACCTTCACCTTTTAGACCTCAATTAGATTATAATCCTACTACTGTTATTCATAGATATACAGTATTATTAAAAGATGGTCAAACAACTGCAACAATTTATCCTATACATTCTCCAAGTGAATTACCTCCTGGATTATTGGCATTTTTATGTGATGAATTTAATATGGAAATTGAACGAGGAGAAACTTCATCATTTTTTGATACTTTACATATTGAACAATTTCAAAATTATTGGTTTGGATCATTTGGAGCAGTTATGGTATTAGGTGATTCTCCAGAATTAGAAGGTGCAAGACAATGGGAAAAAGAATGTTTAGGAACTTTTTATATTAAACCAAATTATCCTGGACGTTGTTCACATATTTGTACAGCCAATTTTTTAGTTAATGCAGGTATTAGAGGAAAAGGTATTGGTAGAACTTTAACTGATTGTTATCTTCAATGGGCACCAAGATTAGGTTATACATATTCTGTATTTAATTTAGTATTTGAAACTAATGTTGCAGCCAGAAGAATTTGGGAATCATTAAATTTTAAAAGAGTTGGTAGAGTTAAATCAGCAGGAATTTTAAAGGGTCATGATCAAGCAGTAGATGCAATAATGTATGGTAGAGAATTAGTAAATACAAGTGATCCAGCAGTTGGAGCTTATAGATTTGATAAAATAAAATTTTATTTAGAAACTGGAAGATATCCAGCAATGGCTGATAGACAAGAAAAATCTCGATTAAGATCTTCAGCTTCTCATTATCGATTAGTTGATGGTAAATTATTATTAAAGGGAAGAGAAGTAGTAAGTGATCCAGTTAAACAACTTCAAATTTGCACAGAAGTTCATTTACAAAATCATGGTGGCATTAATAAAACAACTTCAATTGTTACAGAAAAGTATCATTGGACTAGAATTAAAGATACTGTAGCAACTGCCATTAAAAATTGTCCCGAATGTCGAGATCCTGCTCGAGATGAAACCAATTTGAAAAGACCCAATGGACCTAAGAAGACTCCTAATCCTGCGCTTTCGCGTCATAAAACCAAATTATTCCATTCTCTGCCCAATAATCCTAATGCTAATAATTTACTTAGGGCAAGAGCAACAACAACTAATGATGATGTTGAAGCCATAGTAGCTGCTGCACATTTGGGTAATAGACACGATGCAGAGGCATTATTGAGTCATGAATTAGCAGGATTGGATGATAATATTATAGCGGTGGTTGAAGAAGCTCAAAGGAATCAACAACAGCAGCAGCAACAACAACAGCAACAACAACATCATAACCCACAACAACAGCACAGAAAACAAGGTATAACTTCGCATCATCACACAACTCATCAGTCATATGCAGCAGCTGCTGCTTCTGCTGTAAGTGGAGGTTCTTCACATTACCATGATTATTCAAATGATTATTCAAGTGATTACAATGATGATAATGATTTAAAAGATCGTAGAAACAGTAATGATATCCCCGTTGATCCTGTTGTGGAGTCTTATGACCATCAATCGGGAGGTGATGAGATAGAAATTGCTCGAGCATTAATTCAAGCGAATGAGGATGTTAATGATGATGCACATCATCGATCAGATAATAGAGGATCGCAGAATGATGCTAATTTATTCATTAAGGAGCGAGAAGAATAATAAATAAAATAGAGTAGTATAATTTAAAGTAAACTCAAACAAAGTATTATTCTCTGTTATCTTATCAAATGACATCAATCCATGCTAAGTACTTCCTCAAATGCTATATTTTCTATGTATAGATTTCTACATTAAAATCTTCAATCGTTAAAATGTAATAATATATTAATATATCAATAAACAAATAACAAATAACAAAATCGAATTAAAAACAGTCTACTCTAAAAACTGTCACCGATTTGAAACGGATATTCATTATTCATTGCTAAACTTACAAAAAACTAAATATGTCCGTAATAGACCGTAAACTTGTTAGTAATTAACCTAAATTAATAAAATGTTAGCTCTGCAATTTGCAGTGAAAATGTAGATTTCCATAAGACATTCGCACCCGTAATTCGATATGAATCGGTACGCCTATACATTTAAGTAGGAAAGAAAAATGAATTCTTTTACAAAAAATCACCTTATATATATACTCTAACAAAAAAAACAGAAATAAGCGAAAATGAGCCTAATACATACGAATAAAAAAATAAAATACCCAACCACAATTACTACAATTACACGACTATTTGTATCGTAATTGGCCGGGGACGTCATAGGCTCTCTACTACGCCAACTTAGCTAGGCACCAAGGTTGGGCTAAATTGGCTATTCGAGCTAAAGCTCAATTCATCTGTCACATCTGTTAATGACTTTACGAAGAAATAGGTTGCCACACGACACAAAAGTCATATCAAACCCCGAAGAAAAGTATAAATGTAATATGTAATGTAATATGTAAATATAATATGTAAATGTAATATGTAAATGTACAGAGAAAAGGCATACAATCAACACTAATCCCACATACAAAGATTCCCCCGAATATGTATTAGGATTAAGTAATCAATATAAAACCGTCTCGTTTTTCAAAATAATAAAAATAAACCTAACCTAAAAGTCTACTCCAATGACCATAGCTAATAAGGCCATTCTAACAAATAAACCATATCTCATTTGTCTAAAGTAAGCAGCTCTTTGATCGAAATCAACTTCTTCTCTAATTTCATTAGTTCTTGGTAATGGATGCATAACTGCCATATGTTGTTTAGCATAAGATAAAATCTTATTATCAACAATATAAGTATCCTTTAATCTTAAATATTCTTGTTTATCTTGGAATCTTTCTTCTTGAACTCTTGTACAATATAAGATATCTGATTTTGCAATAATTTCTTTTGTTAATACTTCAGATTCAACTCTTAACATATTATTATCAATTAAAATTTGTCTAATTTCTTCAGGTAAAGCTAATTCCTTTGGACAAACCAATTGAACTCTTACTTGATAATGACGTAATAAATGTACTAATGAATGAACTGGTCTACCGAATTTTAAATCTCCCATAAATGTAACTGTAATACCATTAACTGTACCTAATTCTTCTCTAATAGTGAATAAATCTAAAAAGGCTTGAGTTGGATGTTCTTTTGATCCATTACCTCCATTAATAATTGGAACTGGTGAATATTTAGCAGCAATATCGGCTGATTCTTCTGCTGGATGTCTTAATACAACTGCATCAGCATAACATGCTAAAGTTCTAATAGTATCTTGTAAAGTTTCACCCTTTTTAACTGATGATGAACCAGCAGCTACTGCCACAACTCTACCACCTAATCTTTGCATAGCAGCATCAAATGATGAAGAAGTTCTAGTAGATGGTTCATAAAACATAGTAGCTAATACTCTACCTTGTAAAATATCCAATACACCTTGTCTTTCAACAGCTAATCTCATTTCTTGAGCAACAGTAAATAATGCATGTAAATCAGCTCTAGTAACATCTTTAACTGATAATACTGAATTTCTAAGGAAAGTATTATGATTTCTAATATAATTAGCTAAAGCATTAACTTCACTTAAAGCACCAGGAGGTTGAGAAACTAAATCAGCTCCGAATTTTTCAAAATCAGTTGGAGTTGGTTGAGGAGTTTCCTTAACAAATGATGGACGACGAATATCACTTGAGAATGAAACTCTATCCTTTGATTTTCTACCAAGAGCTGGAGATTGAGGAATAGCAGCAATTGAACTAAATCTACTTCTTGGTTCAATTTCATGTTTACCTAACCCAGCAGCAGTAATAACTTTACCATCTAAACAAGCAGTTTCTCCATGGAATGATACTCTATCAACAGAACCATATAATTTAGTTGAAGAATATTTACCAACAAGTACACGTCTATCTAAATCAATTTCAATCGATGCATCTTGTTTTGGAATATTAAAGATTCTGGCTGGTTCATCATGGAATCGTTTAATAATATCTTCTACACTAAGACGACCATCTTTAACGGCAGTTAATAATAATGGTAATACTTCTTCAATTCCAGTACCTGGAACAATAGGTTGATCTTGAGCTTTAGCAATTAAATAAGGTAATACACCCACTGAAAAACTATCAACATCAGCAATATGATCCCATAAATAAGTTTGATCACATTTTGTAGGTAAGAATGGAACATTTAATTCATCCTTTGAAACAAATAATGAATGAACAGAAATATCACAAGTGACTCTTAAGAACTTCTCCTTAGCCATTTGAATCAATTCTAAATCTTCCTTTGAAGACACTCCAGTAATATGAATGGTTCTATTATGTAAGGAAGCCAATAAAAGGACAGAAGCTAAATCTGTAGTTTTAGCATCGGTAATTATTGGTTTATTTTCTGGCCATGAAGCGAAATGGGATGAAATAGCAGATACTGAAGAATTGGCAAATTCATTAAATGGTAAGAATAATGCACCAGTATGTTGAGCAGCTTCAGAAACTTCTGCTGCATTTGTAGCATTTGCAGCAATTGATATTGAGAAATCAGTATATGCAGAGGCTCCAGCCACATCAATGGCTTCAAGTAATGAATCAAAATCTCCTACACTAGACCCATCTAAAGTTTGAGGTAAGAAAGAATTGAAGGTGAATCCAGCTGCTAAAGAAGATTTAGTGGTTGATTCAAAATCATCAAAGGAAGTAACAAATGAAGTAATATTAATTAAACCAGGTAAAACGGCTGTAGTATGAGAAGTTTGAGCATCTCTATTACTAACTTCTAAAGAAATATTTCTGGCAATAGCTTCAACTAATAATTTAGCACATTTAACATTAGTAACTAATGGAACAGAATAATCCACCGCCATACGACGAGATTCATACCCCTTAGACATATAAGAAGCAGGACGTCTAAAACGATTGGCCGATGGTAAATTAATATATAAATCAATTAAATTATTAGCCAAATGTTGAGTTAAAGAATATTCGGATTTTTGATCTTCTTCTTTACTCAATACTTCTAAATAATGCACGGGGATTTCATGATCTCTAATGAAATCAGCCGTACCAGCAGTTGCAAATATTTTATAACCCAATTCATGTAATTTTGCAATTGATGGTAATAATTCTTGCTTTTCCTTATAAGAACCAATGGAGAATAAGATATTCTTCTTAGGTAATTTGAATCCCGTCGAGATTAACGATTTTAAGTAGGCTTCATATTTATTTCTACCAAAAGTAGCCACTTCACCAGTCGATGCCATTTCCACTCCCAATACAGGATCGGCACCTGCTAAACGAGAGAAGGAGAATTGTGGAACTTTTACTGCACAATAATCTTCTGGTAACTTAACTCCCGGATATGGAGTTAATGGCATATCCATAATTGCCTTAGTGGCCATTTCAATCAAATCGGTTCCTACGACTTTAGAAATAAATGGGAAGGAACGAGAAGCACGAACATTACATTCAATGACTTTAATATCATTATCTTTAGCAATGAATTGAATATTATACGGACCAGTAATATCAAGAGCTTTACCGATTTTAGCCGTAGCTTCAACAATTCTTTCAACTGTCTTAGGATCTAAATCTTGAGGTGGAACAATTAATGTAGCATCACCGGAATGTACACCGGCATTTTCAACATGTTCACTAACAACATGCATAATCATTTTACCATCTTTAGCCACGGCATCCATTTCAATTTCTTTAGCGTTTTCAATATACTTGGTAATAACAACGGGATAATCTGGTGACACATCGACGGCTTGACTCAAGTATGATTCTAAATCATCTTGGGAGTAGACAGTATTCATGGCTGCTCCGGATAACACATACGATGGACGGACCAATACGGGATAAGATACTTTATTAGCAAACTCTTCGGCTTCTTCAATCGAAGTCAACTCTTTCCAAGCCGGTTGATCTACACCGATTTTATCTAACATTCTGGAGAATTTATATCTATTCTCAGCCGAGTCGATCATTTCTGGTGAAGTACCCAAGATCTTAACGTTTTGACGATGTAATGGTAAGGCGATATTGTTTGAAGTCTGACCTCCCATGGAGATGATGACACCATTGGATTGTTCTAATTCATAGATATCAAGCACTCTTTCTAAATTAATGGTTTCAAAGTATAATCTATCGGCTTCATCATAGTCGGTAGATACTGTTTCGGGATTATAATTAATCATAATGGTCTTAGTACCATTTTCACGTAAAGTTCTAATAGCTCTGACTGCACACCAATCGAATTCTACTGAGGAACCAATTCTATACACTCCTGAACCCAAGACAATGACTCCATGTTCATCAAAGGTTACGTCGGAAGAATCAGCATTATAGGTAATATATAAATAGTTGGTGAAAGCTGGGAATTCGGCAGCTACAGTATCGATTTGTTTAACAAACGGAATGATTCCGGCTTCCTTTCTTAATCTTCGAATGGCCACTTCATTAGAGTTTAAGAATTTGGCAATTTGTCGATCTTCAAATCCTAATTGTTTAGCTTGTCTTAATACGGATGAAGGTAATTGTTCTTTGGTTACATACGATGCCACTTTATTACCGAATTGAATTAGTCCCTGCAATTTGTTTAAGAACCATTTATCAATCTTAGTCAATTCCCATACTCTTTCAACGGTATATCCATCGGATAAGGCATTAGCAATGGCAAATAATCGTTGATCAGAGGGTGTTTGTAATTCACTATCGATATCAATAGACATTAAGGCAGCTGTCTTATTGAATCCCAAATTATGATAATCAGTAGATCTAATGGCCTTTTGAATGGCTTCTTCAAACGTTCTTCCAATCGACATGACTTCACCAACAGACTTCATGGATGAAGACAAAAGGGCAGACACTCTGGTGAACTTCTTTAAATCCCATCTGGGGATCTTAACCACCACATAATCCAACGATGGTTCGAAACAGGCACTGGTAGATTTGGTGACTGAGTTCTTAATCTCATTCAAGGGAATGTTTAACCCTAACTTAGCGGCAGTATAGGCCAATGGATAACCTGTGGCCTTAGAGGCCAAGGCAGAAGATCTCGATAAACGGGCATTAACTTCAATGATACAGTACTCCTTGGAGAACGGATTTAAGGCATATTGAATGTTACATTCACCGACAACTCCTAAATGTCTAATGACATTAACAGCCGTAGTTCTTAACATATTATAATCTTCATCGGATAAGGTTTGAGATGGAGCCACGACAATGGAGTCACCGGTATGAATTCCCAATGGATCAAAGTTCTCCATATTACAAACAGTAATACAATTATCAAACGCATCACGAACAACTTCATACTCAACTTCTTTCCAGCCCTTCATGGATCTTTCCACCAATACTTGAGGAGAAGTAGCAAATGCCTTCGAACATAACTCGACTAATTCTTGTTCATTATCAGCAAATCCTGATCCTAACCCTCCTAAAGCATAAGCGGCTCTAATGATTAATGGATAACCAATTCTATTAGCAGCAGCCACCGCTTCATCAACCGTATTAACGGCTTCAGATTTAGCACATTTCTCATTAATTTCTGTCATGGCATTAGCAAATAATTCACGATCTTCAGTAGTAATAACTGTATCGATTGGAGTACCCAAGACTTTAACTCCTAACCCTTCAAATTCATCCTTTAATGAGATACCGACACTTAAAGCAGTTTGACCACCAAAAGTACAATAGATCCCATCGGGACGTTCATGTTGAATGACTTTTCTAACGAATTCAGGGGTCACCGGTAAGAAATATACCTTATCAGCCAACCCTTTTGAAGTTTGAATAGTAGCAATGTTTGGATTAATTAATATGGTATAAATGCCTTCTTCCTTTAAGGCCTTAATGGCCTGAGAACCAGAATAATCAAATTCTCCGGCTTGTCCAATAGATAATCCACCAGAACCTAAAACAAGAACCTTCTTAACATCGACTCGAGGATGAGCAGCACGATTATCTTCAATCTTACCACCTGGAAAGGCGACAGGTTTATAAACTCCCGTTTGATTGAACTCTTCGACGGCTTGAATGAATACATCAAATAAGAATTCCGTATCTCTTGGACCGGGAGTTGATTCCGGATGGAATTGGACGGAAAAGAATGGTTTTGTTTCATGATAAATCCCTTCATTGGATCCATCATTGGCATTGACAAATAACTCTTTCCAATCAGGAGTTAAAGTGGTGGTATCAACGGCAAACCCATGGTTTTGAGATGTGATATAACATCTACCAGAAATAGTTGAAGTACAAGGAATGTTATGGCCTCTATTACCAAACTTTAATTTTAAAGTGGATGCACCAATGGCTCTGGCCATCAATTGATGACCTAAACAAATCCCAAAGATTGGAGTCTTGGCTTGTTTGATAACAGTAGATAATCTAGCTACAGCTTCATTCATAACAGCTGGATCTCCAGGTCCATTAGAAATAAATAACCCATCATATTCTTCTTGAGTATAATCATAATCCCATGGAACAACTTTTAATTCAACTCCACGTCTAACAAAACAACGAATTTGATTATATTTCATACCCACATCTACAGCAACAATTCTAATTGGTTTACCATTCTTTCCAAGTTTAATGGATTCCTTGGGAGTGAAAACTGTTGGTTGTTTAATACTAACTTTAGCCACTAAATTCTTAATATTTGGATCATCCCATTGAGGAATTTCAAAATATTTCTCCCAATTTGATGAAGAGTTATCAGCTAAAATTGATTCAGAAGTGAAGGTTGACTTTTGTATGGCCAATCTACCTAAAGTTGAACCCTTTTCTCTTAATCTTTTGGTTAAAGATCTTGTATCAACACCATAAATAGCAGGAATTCCTTGATCTTTTAACCATTGAGATAAAGAAGATTTAGCTAAGAAATGAGAGAAATCTTCAGTGTAATGAGCGACAACCAAACCAGCAATATGAATCTTATTTGATTCAAAATATTTTGGTAAAGCAGGAGTATAATCATCATCTAATAATTGACGATCTGGTACACCATAATTACCAACTAAAGGATAAGTAATAACCAAGATTTGACCTTCATAAGATGGATCAGTAATGGATTCGGGATATCCAACCATACCAGTTTGGAAAACAACTTCCCCGGCAGCTGGGACTGGAGCACCAAATGAATAACCTTGTAAGGCAATTCCATCATGGGTTTCTAAAGTCATTAAGACATCTCCTGTAGATTCCATAGGAGGAGAAATTGGAGCAGACAATTGAACCATTTTAGTATTCTTTTCTTTTTTAAGGCGACTTCTTCGGATCCTTTTCTCTCTTCAACGTAATGACGAGTACTGAATATTTCACACTGGGGGAATGAATGAAATAGGGACTACAATCAGGAAATTATGTTAGCGTACGAATAGGCTAAAAAGATTACAAGTTAGTAACGACTGAATAAACTGAAGAAGCCAAAGGATCTGGAGCGTTCTACTGGAGTTGAACAAGAATACACGGTAATAGCAATCAATGGGTGATGGGGCAATTTTTTCACCTAGCTCATCGCAAAAATTTATTTCACCACTATAGTACTTTGAGGTTATGGGTTATGGGTAATGGGTAATGGGTAATGGGTTATAATATTATAATGATTATGATGAGATTACATATGTATTCTTTCTTTCAACAACCAACAAAACATTTCCAGTTAGTGGACTACTTACTTTTGAAAAGCTAGTAAAGTCTAACTTGATAAACCAATAGGGGACGGTGAGGGATGAAGGAGGAGTCCGGGAAGGATTGGCGATTGTTGAAAGAGAGAAGAGAGAAGAGAGAAGAGAGGAGAAGAGAAGAGAGGAAGAGAGAAGGGAAATAAAAGAAGATAAAATAAATAATAAACAATTGATAGTATTAAGGTGGTTGGTAAAATTTGGTGATATTTATAATTTTAGTGGGTTTGAAAAATTTTCAGTATGGGGGTATTAGATCCGGAGGGGTTAAGTATGGTGCTCACGTGATGGGTGTTATGTCATGGATTGTGCATACATAGTTAAGAAGTGCGCGTCCTGTGTATAGGGCGGGTTGCTCCCCGGAATTGCCTCTAATATCTCATCTCATTGACTCTGTGTAAGGTTAAGAGTCTATTAGTCTATTAGTTTATTAGTTTATTAGTCTATTAGCTTATTAGTCAGTCAGTTAGGTTTGTTACTGTTACTGTAGTACGAGAATTATTGTACACAAAGTAGAAATAGTGTTTAGGAGGGATAAACTTAAAGTTCTGTAGATCTAATAGTTAAAGTTGTGCTTGTGCTTGTGCTTGTGCTTGTGTACATGAAATTGGGTATAATGTTCCTGTACTACGTTTAGCATTCATAAACTGTAGCAGTATTGTGGCATGCGCTACCAGCTGAAACCGTTACAATAGTAAGAATTACAGTATAGTATTAATGTAGTATAGGTATTATTAGTAACTATTAGAAGTATTATTAGAATTCGACTATTAGTACTATTATTAGAAGCCGTTGGTAAGTATAGTAGTAACATAGTAGTGTGGATATAATAGTAGTGTAAGTATTCTAATAGCACTATTTAGACGACTAAGTCCCGCTAGTAAGCACTCTCTAAAGTGTACTATCACTACTAACTACTACCACCACTATCACTACTATATCACTACTGCTACTACACTACTACATCACTACTACATCACTACCACTACTATTACTACACTACTATATCTTTACTACTACCACTCCCACTCCCAGTCTATTTATACTCACCGCATGCCCAGAATTTATTCACTTACTCTACACAATACTGCACTCCGCCGTCAAACTCTCCCATCTCAACGGCTCTTCTTCCGCTTTGTTCGCATCTCTTCTCTCTCATCTCTTCTACTATATATTAACCTCTTTCTCTTCTTCTTCTTTGTCGTACACCTTTCATTTCTATAAGCCATCCACCGTCTGTTCAATCATCTCTGTCCTGCACACAACACCACCACTTTCTAATAATTTTCACCCACCACCACCTCCACTATCACCATACTTGTACTATATACTCCAGTTATCACTCTCCCTACACAGCCAAAGCCAAACCACTGGACTGGTGTTGTGACCAGACTTACTCATAAGTCACTACCAAATTCTGTACCACTGACTTTTTATTTCTCATTCTCAACTTATCAATTTCATTATCGCCCAGTAATGCCATGGACCGAATAAGACATACTATTAACGATATCAATATGAGACGGTTGGAGCTCCAACTTGGGTTTCGAATTCGAGAAAAGATCAATTCCATCACTTCCGTCGTGTATCCTTATGTCATAATCCTTATACCTAGCTTTAGAATCGCCCATTATGTATATATTATTTCCCTTACTTTTATTGGATCTGTCATTATATTCCCCATTAAGAATATAAAGTATATTGATGCATTATTCTTTACAGCAGGAGCGTCTACTCAAGCCGGTCTAAATACGATCGATACGAATTTATTAGATTTATATCAACAAATTACAATCTACACACTAACTTTCTTTGCTACACCTATATTTATCCATAGTTCATTATTATTCATTAGACTTTATTATTTTGAAAGACACTTTGATAATATCAAACAGATATCCAAACAGAACTTCCAAATGAGAAGGTCAGCAACTTTAGCAGCTCAAAGAACTGCATCTATTATGTTAGACCCAACACAACGAAATACCGTAAACAATCAGGGTTTAGGATTCTCTGAAAGTCAACATCGGCATAATCCTGTACCGGAGATATATGTCAATAATAAGGATCAAACCAATCATATTGATGTTAATGATAAAGAAGTGGCCGATACAAATTCATCACCACAATCATCATCATCTCATCATGATCAAGGTGGGGAGTTAGTTCATGTCAGTGAACCTTCCGATACCGATGAAGATCCGCATCATCAGACATATAGACCCCAAGATGAGGCTGCTGATACCAACGATCAAGTCAAGTTTGGTAATCTTCCGCAGCCTCCACCTAAGCGAAAGAGAGACATTGATCCATCACAGATGTACATGTCCATCGCTATGTTGCAGCAAAAGAAGCAACAACAACAGCAACAGCAACAAGAGCAACAAGAGCAACCACCTCATGGACAAAATATCCAGTTTGTAGACTTGGAAAGTCCCAGCCGTCACCGCCATGGCCGAGACCAAGACGACGAGGATGTCGATGATGATGATGATGACGAACTTATCATCAGACCTCCCAACGAGATTGAAAACAGTGACTCTTCCAAGCCAATCTTCATCAAGAAGATCAAACCTAAGCATTTACTTCGTCCTAGACCCAGAAGAAGAATGTCACTGTCTTCCACTAAGAAATGGAAGTTAAAGTCTCGATTGAAAAAGACTCTCTCCAACACCAACACTACCAACATGCATTATTTAACTCCGTCTAAACATCAACGATACGAAGATGATGAGGAGGAATTTGACGACGACCGGTCCATTGACTCTGAGAACGAGTCGTCAAGAAGACACAGTCGAGTGATTGACGATGATGAGGATGGTGAAGGAGATGACGAGAATGATGAGGATGAAGATGAAGATGAAGAAGATGAAGAGGATGATAGTGCCGTAGTAGATGATGACGATGACGATGAGGAAGATCAACATATCAATAAGGCCCAATCCCATTTGGTTGTCCCTTCATTAGATCAGACTGGAGGTAAGAAATTCAGTAAGAGATCCAATACTTTAGATGTATCATCTCCTACTACCGACCGTAAGTCTTCATTCATTAAATCACCCACCTTTGAGCGGATGATGAAGATGAAGAGAACCAAAGATGCCAGACATAAGAAACGTTTGAATAGAGTTAAGACTCCCTATAGTCTCTTTGGCACTGGAGATACTACCACTGCTCGTCCAACTCGGACATCTACTGGATCATATGATTCATCTAATGATTCCTCTGACTTTGATGAAGAATCAGCATACTATAATGGTGAACTCGATGGTAGTTCTCTTAGTAAAGTTATGAGTACTAATTACTTATCGTGGGTCCCCACTGTGGGAAGAAACTCGACATTTGTTAAATTGACTCAAGCTCAAAAGGAAGAATTAGGAGGCGTTGAATATCGGGCTATTAAGCTTCTTATTAAGATTTTGATATTCTACTATGTGGGATTCCATATCATTTCAATTGCCTTCTTCTTGGGATTTATTTTAATCATGAAGAGTTATGGAGGAGGAGTTAGAGAACAAGGTATATCTCCTACTTGGTGGGCATTCTTTACTGCCCAGTCAACCTTCAATGATTTGGGTATCACACTTACTAATAACTCCATGTCCAACTTCTCCAGATCTCCATATGTTTTACTTATTGCTTCCTTCTTTATTGTCATTGGTAATACAGGATTCCCTATCTTCTTACGATTCATTATTTGGATTCTCTTTAAATTTGCCAAACCCTTATCATTGTATAAGGAATCACTTGGGTTCCTATTGGATCATCCCCGTCGGTGCTTTACATTATTGTTTCCCTCGGTTCCTACTTGGTGGTTACTATTCATTTTAGTGGTACTTAACTCTGTAGATTTAGTATTGTTCATTGTGCTTGATTTAAATAATCCTTATTTGAATCAAATCCCAGTGGGGTACCGAATTCTCGATGGTTTTTTTCAAGCTATCAGTACAAGAACTGCTGGATTCTCAGTAGTTAATTTAGCTGAATTACATCCTGCTGTTCAAGTTAGTTATATGATCATGATGTATATTTCAGTATTACCATTGGCTATCTCCATTAGACGGACTAATGTTTATGAAGAACAATCACTTGGAGTGTATTTAAAGGATGAAGTTAATAATGTTCAAGAAGATTTAGAGAAAACTCCCACTACATTTATAGGAGCCCATTTACGAAACCAATTGTCATTTGACTTGTGGTTTATCTTTCTTGGATTATTTGTTATCTGTATAGCCGAGGGAGGTAAATTGAATAATGGGAATATTAACTTTACAGTATTTACAATATTGTTTGAGATTATTAGTGCCTATGGTACAGTAGGATTATCATTAGGATATCCTGGAATTAATGCTTCTTTATCGGCTGAGTTCTCGACACTTTCTAAATTAGTTATCATTGCTATGATGATTAGAGGTAGACATAGAGGGTTGCCATACGCATTGGATAGAGCTATTATGTTACCCGATGCTGATATGCATCGTCGTGATGAAGTGCAAGAACATCATGCCATTAGACGTCAAGCCACTATGGAAAGAGCCAATACTTGGGCGACATCAGCTCTGGGAAATGATGCTAATCTTCTTAGCAGAGTCATTACCAATACTGGTAATATGTTGAGACGGCGTAGTTCAGGTGCCAGTACCATGTCGCCCAATTATAGACGACATTCATTTGGGTCTGGCTACCAGCAGCGCCATCACCCGCACCATCATCACCACCACCACCACCAACAACAACAACAACAACCACTACAACAAGTGCACACAAATACACCCCATTACACAGTAGAGTCGGACGTAGAGTTAGACCATTTGGTCTCGTGATACTTTCAGTTCTTCAGTTACACTGCACTTCCATTAATATACACTTATTTATTATAATCTATAAATAGTTTTTTCTATTGGCTGTACGTATAAATCTACGGAGTTGCCATTCCACATCCGCATCTTTATTATCTGGTAAACCTAAACGCAATTCGTAGAGTCTCATTTCGAACCGAGGACCTACTTCACTTAACTCTACACCATCTTTGGTCTTGACATACACGTGATGTCTCACACTTATAAAATCATCATTATTTATAAATGTTATAACTCGACTTCCTTGATCCTTCTTAACTCCGGGAGGAAATAAATGCTTAAGAATCTGTTGTACTCGCATACCTAATTTTGTTGTAAAATTTTCAAATATTAAATGAGGATAGGATTCGGACATATTACCTAAATTAGCTAAATCATGTCTTAATTTAACATTATGTAAAGTAAATATAGCTGTTGGTCCATGAGGGAAATGACTTATAGTGAGGGATGTAGGTACCCCTCTATGTTCATGAAGAATTACTAAATCAGTAATGCTTACTCTATTACATGTTTGAACTAATTCAGGAATCACATAATTCCCTCTATTCAATTTAAGACTATTAGGGAATAAGAGTTTCATCTCTTTAGAGAACTGTAATAATTTAACACTGGGATCTCGAGATGTGGTGATGACTAATTTGGGATCGGCTATACCACTAAGTGCAGCATACTCATCATCTATTTGTGCTTGTTCACTTTCATCATATATGAAATCTTTCTGTAATTGTTCATCTTCAGCAATGTCTTTCGCTAAGGGTTTCCCTGATGCTAATGCGGCCTTTAATTGTCGTCTCTTTTCTGTAAGGGTCGATTCTTGTAACTCTACTGATTTCCGGTAGAGATATTCTCTTCGTTCTCTGGCCTGTTTCCGGATCATTCCTTTTGTTAGAGGTGTTTAGCTAAATGTCTGTGTCCAAGTATTAGCTCTATTAGCTCAAGTGTCTGTCTGAACTCATCTCATAATTTTTTTATAGGTGCACATGTCGTTTGATTCAAAAGCGACAAAAAATGTCACCCCTCAGTACAAGAACGACATTCTTTCTGCTGCTGCGCGCGCTAACAAGTGCAATGTGCAATTCATATGTTAAATTAATTAATACTAGTAATAAGCAGGGAGAAGAGACAACAACATAAGCTAAAAAAAGATAAAGGAAAAATACAAACAATAATAATAATAATAATAATAATAATAATAATAATAATAATAATAATAATAAGGAAGAGGAGACTTTTCCTGACGAAGTGAAAAAGTGGCACATTGTCGTCATGAAACCAAACAGACTATTTTCTTTTTTTAAAAAATTTTCACATCATGTCACTAACAATAATAATACTAATGACTTGAGTCATACTGTAGCATAGTTGACTCAAGTCATATTGTATTGTACTGTATTGACAAGACAGAGTGGGTTGTAATACATACACCTATTGTAAAATGTAAAACTTAATAATTCAAACCGCAATTCAAATGAGAAGAAATATCCAATGAAGTAAAGACCAGGAGGAATGGTAAATGCAAAATATTGTATGATGTGTATGTGTATGTATCTAGATTAAAAATTAGTGACCATTGATTTCCGTGGTAGATTGTCGAATACAATCACCAATTGAGGTCGAGATTAAGCTCTCATTATCATTAAACATAGGGGCAGAATAACTATGATTAGATGATGTGGTTGAAGATACAGACTTTCTCTTGTATCTTGGGGATTGACTCGAAGCTACAGAGTTAGTGGTGGTTGATGTGGCAGGAGCTTGTGGTGGTAAAAGTTTATCTCTATAATCATTTTCTTCATCTGAAGATTCAGGTGAAATTAAAAATTTATTTAATGAACTAGTAATATTATTGGTGGGATTCGTAGAATTAGATTTCATGGATTGAGATCTTAATTGCTGAGATGCCTTCTTCTCTTTAAATAATTGTGATGATAATTGTGAAGAAGTGGATGGATTACGATGTTTAATAAATGAAGGATTTCTGGTGAAATTCGTATTACTAGTAGGGACAACTCCTTGGGAGAGTGAACTCTTAATTGAAGGTCTTCTAGCAAATTCATCATTACTTAACATATCAGCATAACTATAAAAGTTAACTGAAGATTTTGATGGAGTCAACTTAGGTGGTGATACAGGTGAATGTATTTGATGAGGACCTGGAGGACTTGTAGTTGAATTATTGAATTGATCAGTTTGTAATGGTGGTAAATTCCCATTACTTGCAGAATTCAATGAGTATACTGAATTTTTACGAGATGGACTAATTGGTCTACCTAATGCCATATTTAAACCAATTACTGATGAATTACGACGATTAGAATAAATTAATTCCACATCATCTAAATCAGTATTTTTATCATTAAGTAATGAAGTAGTTGCATCCAAGGCAGGAGGAATATAATCTTCAGACTTAAAATGATTAAGTGAGATAGAAGAATTATAAGATCTTGGTTTTTTACCAGACTTTGAGTTTGTAGAAATAATCGAATTAGAATGTTGACGATTTAAAGGAGCTGGTTCAAATACACAGCAAGAATCTTGAACAGATCTTTCAAATATACAACATTCTGGATTATCTATTAAAGAAGGATGTAATTCCTGATCTTCAGTTAAAGTTGGAAAAGTTTCAAAATGAGCACCACCTTGAGAAGAAGAAGCTGATAATGCAGTAGACTGAGATTGAGATTGACCAGAACCAGAACCAGAACCAGAACCATTAGTAGGAGAAGTACTTAAGGCAGGTAAAGGATCAGTTGGATTAACCGACTCAGAATTATCTTTGGATTCAGATGAACTAGCCGACATAAAGGAAAACAATGATAGGTGCTTTTTAGTATTGGCAGCAGAATTAGCTTGAGCTTGAGCTTGAGCTTGAACTTGAGCTTTAGTAGCTGATGAACTAGTAGACAGAGTTTTTGTAGTGGTAGCCATAATAATTATATATTAGATTTATTAAAAGGGACAAGGGATAGCGGAAAGTACAGACAAGACAGACAATAAATTTAGTGGCAATAATTAGTCAGTAATTGTTCATATGTCATACAACGAAGGGAAACTAGTAGAAACTTTGCAGCCAGTAAATTTAGGAATAGGCTGGGATGACTTGTGGGCAAAAATGTATGACCGATTAGAAATTAATTCAACTTTATGGAATTGGAAATTGAAATGTCGGTGAATTTTGTCTCGACAAATACAGTAATTATAACGACAAGATGGATTATATGGAATAGACAGGGGAATAATGTCGTAAAAGTATTAAGTGATATAAAATTAGATAATACACAATCAAAGAAGTTAACCAGATTATTAACAAATGTCAAATGTTTAGAAATTTGGGATAATTGTTGATATATATAAATGTGGAAGGATGGGCTCTAATTTAGTAATAACGAAAATAAATGCAGTGAGACAGAGAGAGACAAGTCAAGACAAAGACTGACTGACTAGGGAGGGAGTTTATCAGAGGGGCGACATAGTGCGACATTGGCTTTACTAGACATTTCTGATTTGGTGCAGAATGCCTTTCGAATTATTTATTAATTAACCTGTAAACATAACTAAAAATAAATTATGAATGACATATAAACCTGCAAAAATGGGCAATAACACCCCTCGTGAACTATCAAAAATATTTATCTGTGGACGGTAACGACATTTACACCCCCTCTTTTTGTTTTATTTTTCTTTTTTTTTTTTTTTTTTTATGTTTTATGTTTTATATTTTATTTTTTTTACTTTTACTCTTACTTTTTCCCTTTCATTTCTTTTCTTCGACAAAATTGATCACTCATTTTCAGATTTTTGTTGATGAACGACATTGGTCTATTAGATGTCGCTGCTCCCTCTTTATTGCACCTAAAACAGGTATCCATTCCGATTACTCCTCTGATCCAATAGAACTAAGTTTATTACATACATTCTACCTAAATAATACTAATACTAATACTAATACTTATACTATGATAATAATATTCACTATACTATACCATAGTTTTACTCTCTTACTTGTCGTTAGTTCTCCACACTAATCAGTTCTTATCCAGGGCAGCCAATATAGCACAAGATAATTCAAATATTGTTTTGTGTATAGTGTAATTTGTGTAACCGTTCCATCGATTGGCTTCATGTCGCAAATAAAGTCGTTAGATCACTTGGATGTTTGGATGTTTACGTTGTCAACTGATGAGAATCTTTTACAACTTTATAGTTACAGTAGTGTCCTATTACAATTCTTAATAGTTCTCTATAATCTACTATTAGTACTATCATTAAAATAGTTTGCAGCCCCAGAAAATCTACAATCGCCTTACACATTAAGTCGTATCACATTTCATAACGCTATTCCTATTCTATAACGTAAATTCTTACACTAGCTCAAAACACTAACTCTTACATTATCGCAAAGTTTAAATCTAGTTTTGCCCTGGCATTTTTGCAATAATCGTATCTAAATTGTTCTCTACCTATTTATCATTTATTCTATAACCCCTCTCCGTACTCAACAATTTTTATTTTCTACAGCCATTAGTTGCTTTCTAGTCATCTGTTACTTGACTCGATCTTCTGTTCTATTATGTTCTACTTCTGCATTTATTATTTATGTGAATTTCATTCTATACACACTACTTATTAAAATCAAATAAAAACATTATCAAATAAATCATCTCATCTCTTACTTGATTTATGCGTTTATTGGACTCGGCGCTCACTTTTGGTATCAACCCCTCAATTGTTCTAAAACCTAATCCTCAACCAGTAACCTGATCCGGTAAACTTTAACTAGTAACCTTATTGCTTAATTACTCAATTAGCTTATTCGTAATAGTTAATTATACTTAATTGTAACTCTTAACTATGGGAGATTAATGTAAGTACTATCTCATATCAACATTATTCCCTTAAAGAACATGGTCCTGCAGACAAGATAACACAAACCTCGCTCGCTCTTGATCACCTAATCTCCCCACTTTCTCCACTCGGCGTTTCTGTAATATTTCATTGTATGTCGCGCGGAATGATTTGATATGGCATGGGTTATAAATGTCTCCTCAAACCGCCTGGTTGACGACATTGTCTACTTGTATTGTTATGTCAAATTTCTTGTCGACAATCAATGCTGGTTAATCAACCCAAAGTGTTGCTTATCCCTTATTTACTATATTTAACAATGGCCATTCGTTATATGCCCAATTGTCTAACTTATGTCATTCAACTGTTTTTTAAGCTTAGAATGTAGTGACTATCGCTTCAAAGTTCAATGACGTAAATCAAACAATACTTTTAGACTAACCTAATCTTATCAGAACTAAGAACCTACAATGTCGCGGTATGTAGTTTCTATTAAGCATGGAACAGCCTTCTGAAATGTCGTTGGTTCATGCTTTATGTCTCTGAATACATATACGCACCGAGTTTCTGAATGTACTCCTGTTTTAGACTATGCTTCACCAATTCATGGAACTCCAATCGACACCTATTCTTATCGATTTCTATGCATCCCCTCAACCTAATCCCCTTTGATCTTGAGCGAGCATTTTTACATTATAGATTAACTTCGTAATCATTAACAGTTAAATAATACTTAACTATTACACCACACGCCAATTGCTAATCAATTGTTATTGAATCGGAGTTATTAGATAATTCTCTGAAAAATAATATTTTTTTTATATGGTCAACGCTTTCAACGTTATTCATCCCCTTGAACTTTTTCATCCTATTGCAATTCTTACCGATTTGGAAATATGGGGTGTAAATTGTGCTTATTACTTCTGCATATTGATTGGTGTAATTATATTTCGCAATAACCCATGAAAGCCGATATTATTGTATTATGATTAATTGACTGATTCACCCTTAATGGTACTGTGGAGATTACTGAAAAGTTTGAAAAATTATTACAAATTAGGTTGTCTTTTTTGGCTCTTAGTTTCGTATTTAGTAAAAAAGAACGAATTTGGTAATTTTTCTAGACAAAATCAATGCTCAATTAGGCATGTAATAAAATACTAGATTTATTATATACAACTCTTATTCTGACCCAATGGAGCTGGAAAGCCAATTGAGTAACATAATAAAGAAAACAAGTTACTGTATGATGTAGTAATATTACTAATAGTATATTCCAATCGCATACCTAAACAATTAGAAAACTGTTAATGGTTAAAAGGATAAAAAAATGACTATAATGTCCATTAAAAACAGTGTTAGACGCTACAAATAAGAGCAGAAGACCACCTTTGACCACCTAAAGACCAATCTCCAGTATTTGCTATCACAGTAACTATTATCAACATGTCTAATGTAACAGTCTAGTAAGTCTACAAGTGAGCATGTAGACAGTATAGTTTTTCCCCATACTGGGTCCCGCCTCTTTTTATTGAATGTTGCAAAATTATTTGAAGTTTTCCTATAATTTATTTCTCAGGTGCAACTAGGGCCATAACTATTGCTATCGAATATATACTAATCAGATTCACCTGGAAATCTTATTAAGATCGAGAATTTGAAACATCAAATCTAGAGCCTTTTTAGGAAAAAACATGAATCAGTCTTTTATCAATATAGAAAATGAACTAAGATGATTTTAAATCATAGTCTGCAGTCAAGCCTTGCTTCAAGAATTTTCTTAGATGGGTAGAATTTATTGAAGTTGTTCATTACATTCAGAACGAGCCTTTAAAAAAGTACAAACACATTTTTATTAAAATAAAGAAATGAGGTATAACAATTACAGAAGATAAAATAGATCCTTTTAATACCGAAGTATTTAATAATCAAAACATGGTGAGAATCAAAGTAACAATATAAGACAAGCCGCAATAGATAACCCAAACCAACTAGTTAAAGTGCCAGCACTATTAAAAATAGGGATCTCTGTTGCCATGGAACCTGGTTGGACAGAAGAAGAAAGTGCTGTCTCGCATACCGTATCACATATTGTAGTTATAAATGTACGAATTTCACTTTCGCTTTCGTCTCCGGTTTCTACTGCTGCATATAAAGTGATTGTATATGGACCAGGTTCTGTGTCCGGACAGTATGTTGTAGTAATAGTATGGACGATTGTGGAGAAGTCTGGACAATTGGTCACTGACTCTGGACATTCGGTTATAGTACTAGTTTCAGTGAGGAGAAAAACAGTAGTGATCCACGTAGAGACTTCCTCTTCCTCAGCACTAATATCTTCTAATATAAGTGAAGTGTCATTACAAGATCCTATATCTTCAAGAGAAATTGCCGTGAAAGTAGTATTTCCCCTAACCAAGTAGCAATAATAGAATGTGTCATCTCCTCTGAAATATAAATCGCCATCTTCAGAGATATCGAATCCTGTCAATCCTCCCTCGGATGCAAAGGTAATAAATGTCGAGTGTTCATTACCGGCCACAAGACCTTCTATATTGTAAAGCTTGCCATCTAGGATGTAAAATGCAGAATCATCATCAGTTCCAACCACCAAATAAGTAACTTCTGGAACTGCTATACTGTCTTCACGTTTCAGAATGCCAGAAGCACTATCATTTGCGTTTTCTAAAACTTCAAGAGTTCTTAATGATATTCTGATACCATTTTCACTAACAGCGACAAGCGGAGCAGGCTCCACTCCCTCAGGAATTTCAATATCTTCAACAGGTTCGCTGGTTTCGGTAGGTTCATCAGTCGGTTCCGTTGGTTCAGTTGGTTCAGTTGGTTCGGTAGGTTCTTCAGTAGGATCAGTAGGATCAGTAGGATCAGTAGGATCGGTAGGATCAGTAGGATCGGTAGGATCAGTAGGATCAGTTGGATCAGTAGGATCAGTAGGATCAGTAGGATCAGTAGGATCAGTAGGATCAGTAGGATCAGTTGGATCAGTAGGATCAGTAGGATCGGTAGGATCAGTAGGATCAGTAGGATCAGTTGGATCGGTAGGATCAGTAGGATCGGTAGGATCAGTAGGATCGGTAGGATCGGTAGGATCGGTAGGATCAGTAGGATCAGTAGGGTCAGTTGGATCAGTAGGGTCAGTTGGATCGGTAGGATCAGTTGGATCGGTAGGATCAGTTGGATCGGTAGGATCAGTTGGATCAGTAGGATTAGTTGGTTCTATGGCATACAATTGAACTGGTTTGCATATATCAGAACCGGTAGAATTGGAAACAAGTACAGTTGCTCCTAAGGTAGTTGACTCGCATAAAAAGAGGGCAGTTGCTGTATATCTGATTTCAACAACACCTCCTACGTACCATGGGTCAAATCTTAAGGTGCCAGGAGAATCAACCAAAGTGAAGTAATTGCTGTCCAGTAGAACCAAGAATTTTTCATCGTTACCGTATAGACCGTAAGTATCTGAATCTATATTGAATGTTTCTTGGGAATTTTCGGTTGCTGCTAAGTATGTGGTACCATTGAAAGTGTAATATCCAAGTTGCACATCGATGTCTGCACCTTTTGCATATAGTTTAGTGTTATTCCTGAGAAAACCAATAAGGTCGGGGATAACTGCGACCAATTTGACAAGTACACATCCACCGGTATTAACGTTAGTAATTACGGGTGTTCCCGTGGAACTTATACTACATACAAATAAATCTCTTTCTGTATTAGTAAACTCGATAGTATCTTCCGATTGGTTTAGTTGAAATTGTGTTTCACCAGGAGTATCAGCAAAAGTTAAGAAATAGGGTTCCAGAAAAACAGCAAATCTACCATCGTTACCGTAAAGAGCGCCTGTGTCGGAATCAATATTGAATTTGTCTTTGTAATTTCCTACTACTGCTAAGTAAGTTGTTCCATCGAAAGTGTAATATCCAAGTAGGTTTCGAGGAACGCTTGCAGCAACTGCCCATAAGTTAGCATTTCTTTTAAGTAGACCAGCAGCCAGAGCCCATGACAATATTGAAAGGAGTGATATTAAGTGTAATAACATGATATAAGAAGTATTTTCGCAATGACACACTTTGAATATCTACAACATTTTATAAAATTGGGGAATTGAAGCCATATAAATATCATTTATTTTGCAAGAATTGTATATGTATAATCATGGTAAAGGTTTAGTAGAATATTATAAATAGATCGCGCTTTGAAGTTCAAAAGCTTAATACCAGTTAGATGATATTAGAATATGAATTTTCTTAACTGTATTTATAATCATGTTTACATTTTTAAAAGATTCCAACTTTAAAATTAAGGATTTGAAATCTTATTTATTTTTCGCAACGAGATTTGCATCTTGTTTTGCTTTATCTTCTAAAATAGCAGTATAGTTTCCAAAACTGGAATTTTTTTTTCTTAATATATAAGCTTTTGCTGACTATGATCCAATATATAGGTTATTAAAGTAAAGTGATTTTTGATTATAATCGTAATACTATATGCTTTCCTAATAATATTTGGTCCCGATAATGTACATCCAAGCTGTGCGAATCGTCTTCATAAAGTAATCCTAGATTCCAGTTTTAGAAAGTATACTTTTATTAGAAGATAAAAGGAAAGTGAAACAAATCTCCGAAAAATAAAGTTAGCTCAAGAATGTAGACACGAATTTTAAGTTACTTCATATTCTCTTACAATGTAACAAATATTGCACCTTTGAATCTTAGGGCGCGGTATAATCCTCTTAAGCCCCTTGCTTTATTATACATGAAGAATTGTTGCAAAATGAATGATATTTATATGTATTCAATTCCCTAAGTTTATAAAATGTTATAAATATTCAAACTGTGTCATTGTTACAGCATGTTTCACTATTTCATTATAGTTCTTTCGTTCTGTTCATGGGCTCTGGCAGCTGGCCTACTCAAAGAGAACGCTAAACTAATTGCAAGAGAACACCTTGAAGGTACTCTAATGCTACTTGGATATTACACTTTCAATGGTACAACTTACTTAGCACCAAACGAAAACTCCGAAGTCACATTCAATGTAGATTCAATTACCTCCAACCTTTACAGTAACGATGGCAGATTCTGTGATGTCCTGGATACTGATTACTTCATTTTTGTTAATACGCCTACTGCAAGAAAATTTGAAATTTGGGATTTTCCATTAGGTATTGAAGTTACTCACTTACCATATAATTACTTTATATGTGATATACCTTCAATAGGAGCAGCAGTACTTCTTACAGTTGCTACCGAAGTTCAATGTTTAGGAGTTGCCTTGTACTTTGATCATGACGCTGTTATTGCCGATCCTACAACATCTACTAGTTCTACTAGTTCTACTAGTTCTACTAGTTCTACTAGTTCTACTAGTTCTACTAGTTCTACTAGTTCTACTAGTTCTACCAGATTTAGATCTACTAGTCGAACAACTTCAGCCAGTCTCACAGTATCTACTAGTCTTACGAGTCATACAACATCTACTAGTTCTACTAGTCGAAAAACTTCCGTAACCACCAACAAACCAGAGCCTTCCTTAGCTGCTCTTTTCGCACTAGATGAAAATAGTAGAATATCATTAAGAACTCTTGAAGTTTTAGAAAGCGCAAATGATAGTGCTTCTGGCATTCTGAAACGTGAAGACAGTATAGCAGTTCCAGAAGTTACTTATTTGGTGGTTGGAACTGATGATGATTCTGCATTTTACATCCTAGATGGCAAGCTTTACAATATAGAAGGTCTTGTGGCCGGTAATGAACACTCGACATTTATTACCTTTGCATCCGAGGGAGGATTGACAGGATTCGATATCTCTGAAGATGGTGATTTGTATTATAGAGGAGATGATATATTCTATTATTGCTATTTGGATGGAGGAAATACTACTTTCAGAGCAATTTCCCTTGAAGATATAGGATCTTGTAATGTAACTTCACTTATATTAAAAGATAGTAACGAGGAAGATTCTTCTACCGTTATTACTACTGTTTTTCTCCTCACTGAAACTAGTACCATTACCGAATGTCCAGATTCAGTGACCGATTGTCCAGACTTCTCCACAATCGTCCATACTATTACTACAACATACTGTCCGGACACAGAACCTGGTCCATATACAATCACTTTATATGCAGCAGTAGAAACCGGAGACGAAAGCGAAAGTGAAATTCGTACATTTATAACTACAATATGTGATACGGTATGCGAGACAGCACTTTCTTCTTCTGTCCAACCAGGTTCCATGGCAACAGAGATCCCTATTTTTAATAGTGCTGGCACTTTAACTAGTTGGTTTGGGTTATCTATTGCGGCTTGTCTTATATTGTTACTTTGATTCTCACCATGTTTTGATTATTAAATACTTCGGTATTAAAAGGATCTATATTATCCTATGTAACTGTTATAATTGAATTCTACATCTTACAAAAATATGTTTGTATCCTTTCAAAAGAATGTTTTGAATTAATGAATTGCATCAACAAAATATACCATTCACGGGAAATTGTTAAAGAAAGGTTTGACTGCAGATTATGATTTCAAATCATTTTAGTTCATCTTTTATATTGATAAATGACTTATGTTTTCTTCCTAGTATTCAAAGAGGCTTTAAATTGATATTTCAAATATTCTTTAAGTCCATAACGAGATTCCATCTTAATAAGATTTCCGGGTGATTCTGATCAGTATTATTCGATACCAATAGTTATAGCCCTAGTTTCATCTGAGAAATAAGTTACGGGAAAACTTGAAATAATTTTGCAACATTCAAGATGTTCCTCAGACAGAAATCCAAATTACTTCTTACCTTAATTCTTAGAGAAACTATATAAAATATCTGCGAAGAATACCGATCCGTAATTCCCATCAATAATTTTACTTAGCTATAATTAGATGAGGAAATAAAATATCATGGTAGGATGCCCTAGTCAATTAAACTTGTAGCCAAATCCACATGGGTCTCTCAAATACTAGTTATTCATTAATACGTAGTAAAATGTAATCTTTATGTATATAGTATAATTATGCAACCCTTTTGCAACTAGTAGTCTCTTCTCAAATTAAACTAAAAAGATAATGACATTTATTAAATCATTATTATGTCATTATTATGTCACTGACTATTAGCAAAACAAGTATGAATGGAAGTTTTCAGATCTAGTCTTATATCTTCCTTGGTTCAAATAATAAAACATTCCTTAGCTCTCCATACATTGATTGCAAAATGTAAGTGACAACGTTCTTTTAACAATTATTCAAAATTCACTTTCCAAACGGCCTACAAAATCTACCGATAAAACAGTAATATATGAGGAAGTATGTGGCGGGTCTCAGGATGCTGAAGAGAGTAGTACGGTATTAGCGTTCATTTTGGAAGATTTGAATGTATAATCAAGCAAAAGAATTAAAAAAGTATATTTAGATCACGTGTTAAAGTTCATCCACATATGCATACATGTAAACGTTAATACTGACTTGAAATGCAACTTAAAATTCGTGTCTAGATTCTTGAAGATTTATTTCATTTTCCTTTTATCTTCTAATAAAAGTATACTTTCTAAAACTGGAATCTAGGATTACTTTATGAAGACGATTCGCACAGCTTGGATGTACCTTATCGGGCCCAAGTATTATTAGGAAAGCATATAGTATTACGATTATAATCAAAAATCACTTTACTTTAATAACCTATATATTGGATCATAGTCAGCAAAAGCTTATATATTAAGAAAAAAATTCCAGTTTTGGAAACTATACTGCTATTTTAGAAGATAAAGCAAAACAAGATGCAAATCTCGTTGCGAAAAATAAATAAGATTTCAAATCCTTAATTTTAAAGTTGGGATCTTTTAAAAATGTAAACATGATTATAAATACAGTTAAGAAAATTCATATTCTAATATCATCTAACTGGTATTAAGCTTTTGAACTTCAAAGCGCGATCTATTTATAATATTCTACTAAACCTTTACCATGATTATACATATACAATTCTTGCAAAATAAATGATATTTATATGGCTTCAATTCCCCAATTTTATAAAATGTTGTAGATATTCAAAGTGTGTCATTGCGAAAATACTTCTTATATCATGTTTCCCTATTTCATTATATTTTTTTCCTTCTGTTCATGGGTTCTTGCAGGTGGTCTACTCCCCAGTAATGCTCAATTAATTGCCCAAGGAACTGGAGTTCCGGAAGTACCACTTGGATATTTTACAGAGAATGGTAGAACTTACTTAGCAGCACATGGAGGCATGAAAGATACATTCAATATAGATTCAGCTACTGCTGCTCTTTACGGTTACGATGGTAAAGTAGGCGCTGTTGTAGACGATCACTTAACTTTTTCTGACACTACTAGTGCAGACCAATTTCAACTATGGATTAGGTCAGATCGTATCGAGATTAGTCACAGAGAACTTAATTTCTTTTTATGTCACGAGACTGAGTATGGACGAATTTTACTTACTACAATGGCCTTCAATCCCGACTTATGCTATCATGTTATCTTGTACTTAGTTCCCGATCCTCCCGATCTTACTGAACCTACAGGATTACTCCCTTCTAACGCTCCATTACTCGCAAAAGCAACAGGAGTTCCGGATGTGCAACTTGGATACTACACTGTGAATGGTACAACATATTTTGCAGCAATTGAAGACTCCCGAAACAGTTTCAATATAGATTCACTTACTTCCAACCTTTTCGGTAACGATGGTAAATACTGCGTTCTCCTGGAAAACAATTACTTCACATTTGCTAATACTCCTGGTACATCTCAATTTCAACTATGGAATTGGCCAGATGGTGTTGAGGTTATTAACAGACAAGGTAATGTTTTTCTATGTAATATAACGAGTATAGGAGCAACTATACTTACTATGAGTGCCATCAGTCCCGAAATGTGCTATCAGGTTACCTTGGAGTTCGATATTGATCCACCTGATCCTTATGAACCAGTTGGTTTACTCTCTGCTGACGCTCAACTATATGCACAAGGTACAGACGTTCCCGATGTTCTACTAGGATATTACACTTTCCTTGGTGTAACTTACTTAGCAGCAAAAGAAAGTTCCCAAGATACATTCAATATAGATTCAGATACTGCCAATCTTTATGGTAATGATGGTAACTTCTGTGTTGTTCTGGAACCCAATTACTTCACTTTTACTAACACTCCTGGGAAAGCAAAATTTCAACTATGGACTTATCCAGATCGTATTGAGATTACTTATACAGCAGGCTATTTCTATTTATGTGATATAAGTACCTTAGGAGCAACCATACTCACTACCAGTTATACGAATACCGATTCATGCTATCGTGTTACATTACTAACCTTTCCTCCTGACCCCACTGATCCTACCGATCCTACCGATCCTACCGATCCAACTGATCCAACTGAACCAACTGATCCAACTGAACCAACTGATCCTACTGAGCCAACTGAACCAACTGAACCAACTGAACCAACTGAACCAACTGAACCAACTGATCCTACTGAACCAACTGAACCAACTGAACCAACTGAACCAACTGATCCTACCGATCCTACTGATCCTACCGATCCTACTGATCCTACTGATCCTACTGATCCTACTGAAGAACCTACCGAACCAACTGAACCAACTGAACCAACGGAACCGACTGATGAACCTACCGAAACCAGCGAACCTGTTGAAGATATTGAAATTCCTGAGGGAGTGGAGCCTGCTCCGCTTGTCGCTGTTAGTGAAAATGGTATCAGAATATCATTAAGAACTCTTGAAGTTTTAGAAAACGCAAATGATAGTGCTTCTGGCATTCTGAAACGTGAAGACAGTATAGCAGTTCCAGAAGTTACTTATTTGGTGGTTGGAACTGATGATGATTCTGCATTTTACATCCTAGATGGCAAGCTTTACAATATAGAAGGTCTTGTGGCCGGTAATGAACACTCGACATTTATTACCTTTGCATCCGAGGGAGGATTGACAGGATTCGATATCTCTGAAGATGGCGATTTATATTTCAGAGGAGATGACACATTCTATTATTGCTATTTGGATGGAGGAAATACTACTTTCAGAGCAATTTCCCTTGAAGATGTCGGATCTTGTAATGACACTTCACTTATATTAGAAGATATTAGTGCTGAGGAAGAGGAAGAGGAAGTTTCTACGTGGATCACTACTGTTTTTCTCCTCACTGAAACTAGTACTATAACCGAATGTGCATCAACAGTGACCGATTGTCCAGACTTCTCCACAATCGTCCATACTATTACTACAACATACTGTCCGGACACAGAACCTGGTCCATATACACTCACTTTATATGCAGCAGTAGAAACCGGAGACGAAAGCGAAATTGAAACTCGTACATTTATAACTACAATATGTGATACGGTATGCGAGACAGCACTTTCTTCTTCTGTCCAACCAGGTTCCATGGCAACAGAGATCCCTATTTTTAATAGTGCTGGCACTTTAACTAGTTGGTTTGGGTTATCTATTGCGGCTTGTCTTATATTTTTACTTTGATTCTTATCTTGTTTTGATTATTAAATACTTCGGTATTAAAAGGAATTATTTCATCTTCTGTAACTGTAATATTACATTATATCTTAGTATGTTTTTAAAAGCTTGCTTTGAATGTAAAGAATAGCTAGATTTTATTCATCTCTAGAATGTGTTAATTATATGCAAAGTTCGAGTAGCGCTTATGATTCAGAGTCATTTTTGTTTACAATCTACGTGTGAATTAGATTTTTATATTTATAACTCGAGTTGCAACTAAGAAAGGAATTGCGAGAGGGCAATTTGTTACATAGAGAGAAAATATTTTGTTAGCGGTATGTTGACCCTCGTGACCGCGAATCATGCTTATCCTCAAAACAGAATACCGAATATCAACAAGGAAAAGATAAACAAACACGAAGTATACATCCATACCACCAGCAAAAATCATCCATAACTAAATTAATATCTAATGGAACAACAACGACAGAGTAATTTACTCACATCCACAACAGTACCGAATCTTCAACCACCTATATCCACATCTTCATCATCAAATTGGTTCAATAATCATATAATGAATTCATCATTTGATGAAGATGATGATCCTAATGATCAAAATAATTCAACAGATATTAGTCATAATGATGAAGATAATGAGTTTTCTCATCAGTTCACTCCTTCACCAAAACGAATATTAACTCGGGGATTTACTGGAATATCAACTCCATTGAATAGACATAATAATATCTCCTTCTCATCACCTATAAATAAATTAAATGATCTCCATATAAATTCGGACATTTTAGATGCAATTGATAATGATGAGAATGATGATGATGATGATAGCAGTATTAATGATGATAACTTAAATGAACATAGACCCAACCATAGTAATGAATTTAATGACAATAGAACCATTCCTGAAGAAAACGAAGATGAAGAAAATGATGAAGATATAGGCAATAAGACTATAATAAATAATTCTGAGTCAGAATCGGATAGTGAGATTGAACCCAATCTGAATCTTAATTCTCTAGAAGATGATTTACCTCCTCCAAAGTATATAAGTATACGAAAACGTCATCATGTTGATACTCCTACTTCCGCATCATCCTCAATTAAAAACAATACCAATAATAATAGTATTATAATTCATCATAATCATACACCAATGTCCATGTGTACAGATAATTCTTCACTAATGGATGCTAATAAATTAAGCTTTTCTACCAGTGATTCGACTCCATGTCCTCCACAGCCTAAGCGTAAGAAATTAAAATTTAAGAGTAGCTCATCAAATCTAACCAAGAAGAAGCCGATCTTAGATTTATCCCATTCCATTAAAACATCCATTCTTCAAGCAGAAAATATAGCTACTTCAGAAGATCATAGCGATAATCAGGAATCAGAAGTACAGAATTACTTCCCTTCAAATACGACACCTATTTCTCAATCTACTCCATCAAACTCTCGAGCTTCAACTCCTCCCCTTCAAACCCAACCACAATCCAATCAATCGAGTACTCGACCGCAAGTAGAAGAATATGGTGACTCAATAAATGGTTTTAGATTCGTTAAATCAAAATCTAAAGCAACCACTACAACTACAACTACATCGACATCTACCAGTTCCCATACTACGACTAGGAGGTATAACTACAATTATGAAACCCCTATTAACAATAACAAATACTTTTATCAACAACATTTTCAACAACCTTTAAAGACTCCCACAAGTAATATTAAATCTTCAGGGAGCGCTTCAAAGTACCAAATTATGGGAGAAATCCCTGTAACTGCAGCCGGATTAATGAATGAAAGTGATGAAGATATTCACATTGGTGATAAAAGGATTAATGACCCTTATCTAAAGAATGAGGTTGAGATAGAAGATATCAGTATGAATGAAGAATCAGATATTGTTCATACGTATATTAATGATCAGACTAATCAATTATTACCATTACCAGCACCACAATTTTATCTTCAACCAATCTCTGATAAACAATCAGTACTACAATTAATAAATGATAGTCATTCAATTGCCACGTTCTATCAGAATGTGTCACTAGTGACTTCTACGCCAATAATTGATATTTTAAGAAGAGAACGTATCAAATGGCATCCAGATAAATGGGTCAAATTAACTATTACAGACGTGACACATCCGTTTGATAGTGAAATAGTTGATAACTTATCCAAAGTTATCAATGGAATGATAAAGGATTTGGAATAGACAATACAATACAATACATTATATTTATATTACATTAAGATTTATATTTATGACTTCTAATATATAATTGCAGAAGTAAGTTAGGTACTCTGCACTTTATCGATAGGTGTCTCACTACCGGTTGGTTCAGGTTCAGCGTCTTCTTCTTCGATATCCTCTTCAACGTCTTCCTCCTCTATATCTTCTTCTCCATCTTCCTCCTCTATATCTATTTCTTCATCATCATCATCATCTTCTTCGAGTTTTCTCTTTTTTGTAGGCTTTTCACCATCCTCTTCCTCTTCCTCCTCTTCCTCTTCTTCTTCCTCCTCCTCTTCTACTTCTCCTGCCTCTTGTCCTTCCTCTTCTTCCTCTTCTTCGTCTTCTTCGTCTTCTTCTTCCTCTTCATCTACTTGCTGTTCTGGAGGATACTCATCGGCATTGCCATCCTCATTATCCCACACAATATTAAAACGAGTAACTCTTGGCTTTTCAGCCAATATATTTCTGACCACATGTTCTACTTGAACTTTAGCTGGAGGATTCTCTCGTAATTCTTCACTATCATATTCATTATTAACATAATACCCCACTCGAACAAATTCTCGATCATTATAAGAACAACTTAATAATATTACTGTAACACTAACTAATTCATTAGCCGGAATTAATTCTGGACTTGGAGGATCTGCTTGAAATAAAAATTTATTAACTCCAACAGGAACTGGTCCTACTAATATAGAATCTAATTCTTGATCATGATCTAAAGATCGTGATGATCCTACATAAGTTAATTTCCATTCTAAATCTTCTTTAAGTGGTTCTAAACATTCAAATGTAATTTCAAATTCATAAGGATCTCCGAATTTAGCAGGATTGTTCAATACTTCTATACCTAATAATGATACAATGGACATAACAATAATAATAATAATAATACACGATCCACCAGTTAATTATAAAGATGTCTATATATTGCTTAAGTTAATTAGTATCACCAGTAGTTTGTTAGTGAAATTTTCAGGACGCGTTTGGTGTGGGGCGACATTCGTCCACGACATGAAGTAGTAGAGAGAACAAGAGACAGAGAGACTTTGCGACATCAGCAGGCCTGTATCCAAATCCAAGTGAGTGGTTGACTAGAAACGGAAGTGGCAGTGAGACCGACAGACAAAATTGATCAGACACCAGTGAAGTGAGCATGTCGCAAGAAGAATTGTCGGTGAAGGAAGAGAGTGAGGAAGTGTCTGTATCTGAAGAGCAGGAACAGGATCATGAGCAGGAGCAGGAGCAGGAGCAGGGGCAGGAGCAGGAGAATGAGCATGAAGAGGTAGTACAGCATGAAGAAGAACATGAAGAAGAGGTGGAGCAAGTAGATCATGATGACATTGAAGAACACGAAGAAGAAAATGAATTAGAAAATGAAGAAGATCATGACGAAGTTGTCGAAGCAGATTCTGTGATAGATTCAGTAGATTCATTGAAAGATGGGTCTAAAGATTCTAAGAATTACCCCAAACTATACCAACGATACCTCGAAAGATTTAAAAAAGTATATGCCATATCTCAAAACTTATTTAATATGGAAAGAGATCAACGACAGACTCTAACATTTTACCAAAGACGAAACCATTTACTCTTAAAGATGCTTCAAGAATTTGAAGACGCCAATAATCATACCATCCCTTCAGAAACAGAAATTATCAGTGGTAAAGATAGAAGTAGAATTGAAAATATTGCAAAAATATCTCCTCGTTTACAAACTGTATTGGCTCCTCTACAACAATTACTCGAAGATACTCCTGATGCAGAAGTAGTCAATCAAAATTATTTACTTAATCTATTTTTAACTGAACAAATTCCAGAACTTATAAATGATGATTTAATAAGTCTTGAAGCTAATCCACAAGATTCAGAAATATGGACAAAACGTCATTATCCTCATCTTCAATCAATTGATTTCCAACCACTTGACTTACCTAATCAGGGACTTGTCCATGAATATGCTGGTAAAGATTATAAATTGGGAGAACAAGATAAAGATGATAAGAAAATGATATTTGGATTAAATACTAGTACTAGTAATGGTACTAAACGAAAGAAATCGACTGATTCTGGTGCTCCTCATAAGAAGAAGAAATAAGTCTTATGTATGTATTTCTAATCTGTACTATATATATATATCTTAATACATAATAAAAAGAACACTACTATACTTTAATAGAATTCTTTCTCTCCCGTTTAAGTAAAGTCTCCAATACTTTAGTATTGAGAAAGAGATCAAATATAAATTTTCTCTTTTCAAACTTAAAGTTACCCTTGTCGATGAGTTTGATAACTTCAAGAAATAATTGAGTATTTTCAAATATCTCTGGTGATGAACGTTTAAGTTTAATTAATTCTTTAGTGGCTTTCCGTTCAATTTTCCCAATCACAGCATTCAAATATTGAAGGAGATAAATGACTCTATTATTAATTATTTCATTAGTATCAAATAAGATTAAATTCTCTCTTGAATTATGAGATGAATTAGTAGAATTATCATTAATTTTATTAGTACTATCACCTATTAAACCTTCTGCTGATAATGAACCATTTCTACTATCATTCCACATATCAGTAATATTTAAAGTAGCTGAAGTTCCACTATTAAAAATAGCATAATAACGATTATTTCTATAAGGATTAGTAATTTCCACATTAAATATATTAGTAATATCTTGACGAGGATAACATAAACTTTTACTATGAGAATATTGATCAAATACAGTTACCCAATTAAGTTCATCAAGAATTTCTACTCCTTCTTCAGTAGAAGATATCATACCTAATACATAAAAACATATACCTCTTATTTGCCAAATTGGACAAAATTTAAAGAGTTCTAATATAGTACTAATAATTGATGTATCAATTTCTCCAGTATACATAGTATTATTTAATAATAATTGTATACCATAAGTTCCACTAGCAATATTACCAATAATCCAAAGATTTTGTTTTAAATTATTAAGTAATATTAAATGACGATTTTGTTCTTCTTTATCATTATAATTATTCTCAAAATTATCTAAGAATTCATCATCATGAAGTAATTTATTAGCAACTATTTCTGTATTTTTAATTAATTGATCAATATAATTCTTATGATGAAAATTTGTAAAATAATTTAATCCTTCTTCAGTTGATAATAAATATTTAAAGAAATTAATTGAATAATAATCAGAATCATTACTATTAGTAGTTTCTATAGTAACATAAGGAAAGAAATTTGCATAGATAAGAGTTTCAATCTTATTAAGATATTGAAATCCATCAGTTATAACCCAATTATTAAATCTTTCATCAATATATCCAAATTCATCAAGATATTTAAATCCTAATGACAGTTTAAGAAAATTTAATAATAATCTTTTCCCATTATGATGAGAATTTAAGATAGTTATTGAAGGTCTTAAATTAATAAAGTATGGTAAATTATCTAAATTTTCAAGTTTATTAAAATAATCATATAATAAATCAATAGAATCTGATACTATATGATTAGTTTCAATTTCTCCTTCACTTTCATCATATAAATTATTAACTAATAATTTTAAAATAAATAATTCACATTCTTTAGTATTTAATAATTTAGGAATTAAATGATTTAATAAATCATATTTAACTTTAAAATTTGATATTTTTAAGCATTGACTTAATAAATTTCGAAATTGACTATCTTTAGTAAAATCCACATATTTAAATAAATTTACAATTAAATAATCAGTATTATGACTTAAACGAGAATTATCAATAATATTTAAAAGTAAATTAGTAAATTGCCATTTTTCTAATAATTTTAATCCTTCCAGTTTAGTAGTTAATACTCCAATAAATCGAAGATATCCATAACTACAAGTATTACGTAATTTTTCTCGAGATAATATTGGATCTTTACTATCAATCCCACTATAAGGATCAATTTGAGCAAAAATTTCTGATAATTGAGGAAGAATTTTACAACTTGATAAATATTTAAGACCACTTTCAAATCCTACTAACATTTCAAATAATTGAACTCCAATTTCAAGATATGTAGAACTTTGACGTTTAGATAATGGTAAATTACAAAATCTAAATTTAAATGGTCGATAAAATGATATTAATCGTTTAAGAAATTTAGGATTCTTTTCTAAAATTTCATCAAATCGTTTTGGATTAGTTAATGGACCTTGAATTAAAGTAGATAATGTTTTCCAATTCCATTCTTCAAATTCTTTAATATGAATTACTTTAGTATTAGTAATTAATGCTTTAATTTCAGAATCTTCAATATTATATTTAGATCTTTGATTTATAGTAGAAATATAATTTTGAAGATTCTTATTATATACTTTTGAAGGATGAAATTTAGTTCTGGTAAATTTTTCAAATTCAAATGATGATGATAATGAAGAAAATTTTGGAAGTATTAAATCTTTATTAATTAATTCTGGTGGTAATAAATTATTAGCTAATGAATAAATATTAGTTAATAATATAGTTGCTTTAGTTGTATTATCAGAATCAGTATTTTCTTCAATAATTTCAGTTAAATATTGGAATATATTATTCTTAATAAGTATTAAAGTTAATAAACCTCGATAATGATTTATAAGGTTATATTCAAATTCATTAACTGATTTATTTAATTCTTGATAAATAAATGAACCCTTATCTGATTTAGTTGGATTTAAATAATTATTAAATTTATTAATATTATCTCCAATAGAAGTTGAACTTAACCATGGTAAACTTTTAATTCTTAAAATATCAAAAATTATATCAAGAATATAATCTCTAATCTTTGGATGCTTTTTACGAAGATTAATTATTAATTCATTTAATGTTTCAAATTGATTTATTGAGAATGCCATTAATCCATTAAAATTTTTAAGTAATAATGTAATTAAAAATGAAATTTTTTGAAGTCGAGAATTATTTAATTTCTTATATTTAGATGAAGATGAATCATTAGTAGAATTCCCTAATTCATTAGAAAATATTGATATTATAGAATTAAGATCAAATCCATTTCTTAAAAATTTTCGATTATTCTTATAATCTAAAATTTTAAATAGAATAACAAGACAACTAGTAGACATTTCAAAATTCCCATCAATTAAAGTATTTATTATAACTTTAAAACCTCCACTATGAAATACAAGTTCTGGATTTGATAATGAAATTTCACATATGGTTTCAATACATACATTTTTAAATCCATCAGGAATTCCTTGATGTGATTGATAATGATCATTTGTTTCAAAACTCATTCCATTATTATTATGGTTATTATTGTTATTGATATTATTGATATCATCATTTAATTCAATTGATAATTGATTTAAATGTTCATTATTACATTCAATTACACTAATTAATGATTTAATAACTCCAATAGATAATAATTCTGACCCTCTTTCAATGGTTAAGAATTCTCTAATTAATTTTAAAGCTTGCTCTTTCTCGACCAATGAAGATCGAGTAGTTGACATAGTAATGATTATAAAAATCAACATTTTAGATTGAACAAGAATCATTAAACTTTCAAAATTAGTTATTATATATCTTAAAATTTTATAGGCTAAACTTCTTATTTCAGTAACGCGATGAACAAACATAAATTGTATTCGATTAATTAAATTTTTAATAAGAATATCATTCTTAAGATTAGGATATGTCTTTAGTAGTAATATAAGATCATTTCCCTTAGATAAAATATAGTATTCATCTTTATCTTTAATTGATCCGAAACTAATAAGAATTTCACTAAATCTCCAAGTTGGACTTTCAGGATTATGATGATGATCATCTAGTCCATAATGATCTTCATCTATTGGCGATGAATATTTATCATTATCAACTAGTGGTAATGCACGAGTTGGCAGTCTTAAGAATGATTGTGCTGAAGCTAAAGTTGATGGAGGTGCTTGTAATGATATATCATGAGGATCATAGAAGATTCCATCATGGTCTTCATTTGTTCTATGACGAGTTAAATGGAATGATGATATGGGTGTATGCATTTGATCTACTAAGGATGTAGTGGCACTTCTATACCGTTTCAAATCACTAATGGGCAGTGTCTGAGGTTGTTGATTGCTAATCAGTGGTGGAAGGGGAGAAAATACTTTTTGGGCAGCAGGACTATCGTTATTAGCTCCTGTAGAATTAGTAACTGGTGGTTGAAGAACATGTCGAGGATCCGGACTATGACTATTACTTTGACTTTGAATTTGACTTTGACTTTGACTATGACTATCAACTGATTCACTAAGATGTTGATTTCTGTGATGATGATGATGATTCAGGTCCCCTTCCGAATCAGACCCAAGGATATAAGTATCACGAATACTTTCAAAATTAAGTGAATCTATTGAAGTAAATGTAGATGATCTATCTCGTACATCTTCAGGACTATTAAGTACTGGTAATAATGCTGGTTTAAATGTCAATTTGGCTTGTTGTTGTTGCTGCTGTCGCGACTGAAGAAGTTTACTGTTTAAGTCCTGTAGGTTGGAATAAGATTTACTGCTTCTAGTACTCATATTGTGAATTGGGGTTGTTTATGGAGTAGTTGGAGTTTAGCAGTATAACTCCGATTGATATTGGTAAGTAATAAAAACACTCGGCCTGCAGAGAGGAAAAATATCTATAAAGTATAAATATAGTAAATGAATAATTACACACCTCTTCCTTCAATTCTTAGAGAAACTATAATAAATCCCTGCCAAGTTCTAATTCCCATGTATAATTATACTTAGGTAATTAGGTGAAGATCATAGTAAGACTTTCTAGTTAATTAAACTTGCAGCCGTATATTTGCAAAATGGGTCGTTCATTGCTCAATACTGGTTACTGTAGTATCATATAATCTTTAAGAGTATAGTAGGACTATTTTACAACTAATAGTTTAATATCAAATTAAACTAATTAAACTAAAACCATCTTCTTGTTATGTTTGATGAAGCCTTGCTTGTATCTAAGACTCTCATAAACAGAATAGACTTTAGTTAAAATAATTGAACACATTCAAAGTGCGCTTCTAAAATCATGTTAGAAATCATTAGTTACAGAAACAACTAAATTATAAAGTATTTTCTTAAGCAATTATCGAAGAAAAATAAATCCTTTTAATACCAAAGTATTTATTAATCAAAACAAGAAAAGAATCAAAGCAAAAATATAATACAAGCCGCCATGACTAAACCCAACCCACGAGTTAAAGTACCGGCACTATTAAAAGTAGGGATCTCTGTTGGCCCAGATCCTTGAACAGAAGAAGAAAGTGATGTGTCGCCTATTGTAGTTATAAATGTACGAGTTTGAATATCACCTCCATCTCCAGTTTCTACTGCTGCATATAAAGTGATTGTATATGGACCAGGTTCCGTGTCCGGACAGTATGTTGTAGTAATAGTATGAACGAATTTAGAGGAGCCTGGACAATCGGTCACTGTTGATGAACATTCGGTGATGGTTCTAGTTTCAGTGAAGAGGAACACAGTAGTGATCATGGTAGATCCTTCATCAGCACTGCCTCCCAATATAAGTGAAGTAACATTACAAGATCCGGTATCTTCAAGGGAAACTGCCTTGAAAGTGGTATTTCCTCCATCCAAGTAACAATAATAGAAATTCGATTCTCCTCTGAAAGACAAATAGCCATTTTCGGAGTGCTCAAATCCTATCAATCCTCCTTCGGAAGCAAATGTGATGAACTTTGAATCTTGGTTAACAACCGTGCGACCATCTGCATCGTAAAGCCTGCCATCCTGAATATAGAACCCCGAAGAATCTGTAATATCTGCTACCAAATAAGTAAGTCCAGCGATAGCTTTCCTATTCTCCCGTTTGGCAATCTCATCCGCTGTAGCATTCACCAAAATTTCAATGGTACTTAATGATATTTTGTTTCCATCTTCATCTATAGCAAATAATGGAGCTATGGATGGTGCGGTTATGTCGGACGGTTCTCGTCTAGAAGTTTCTTGGACCGTAGGTTTTGTAGGTGCAGAGGATTTTCTTACAGTAGTTGGACTAGTAGAAGCTGTACGGCTAGCAGATGTTCTTCCACTAGTAGATGTTCCTCGATTAGTAGAACCAGTAGATGTTGTACGACTAGTAGGAGTAGTAGGACGAGTGGGAGTAGTAGGAACTGTGGGGCCTGTAGGGCCTGTAGGATTAGTAGGACCAGTAGGACCAGTAGGTAAGGGAAAAATGGCGTACAAGTTAACAAGACGGCATATATCGGTACTAATAGAAGTGGCAGCAAGTACAGTTGCTCCTAAGGTTGTTGACTGGCACAAATAGAAATCACTTCCAGTACAAGTAATCTCAAAACTAGTTAGATACGCCCAATGTTGGAATTGTACTACAGCAGGGGTAGTCCCAAAAGTGAAGTAATTGGATTCTAGAACTACACAGAATTTACCATCAGTACCGTAAAGAACTGCGCTAGCTGAATCTATATTGAATAGGTCTGGTGTTGTGGGGTTTGGTTTTTCTGCTAAGTAGGTTGTACCATTTAAAGTGTAATATCCTAATAACACATATGGCTCATTTATAGGTTGTGCCCATAGTTTAGAATTAGGAGGGAGTATACCACTAAGTTCAGCAGGATCAGGCGGATGAGCATCAAACTGTAAGGTGACTTGATAGCATGTATTGGTAGCGATGTTACTGGTAGTAAGAAAGATGCCTCCCATGGTAGTTATATTACATAAAAAGACACTACCCTGACTGAAAGTAACCTCAATACGATCAGACAAATACCGTAGTTGAAATTGTGATGTACCAGGAGTAGTAGCAAACATGAAATAATTGAATCCCAGAAAAATACAGAATCTACCATCATTACCGTAAAGAGCTGAAGTAGCTGAATCTATATTGAATGTGACCTGTGAATTTTGAGCTGCTGCTAAGTAAGTTGTATCATTGAAAATGTGATATCCAAATTGCACGTCCGGATATCCTGTTGCTTTTGCGAGTAATGGAGCATTAATGGGGAGTAGGCCTGTAGGTTTAGAGGGATCTGGTGGATCAGTAACAAAGATCAAGTTAACACTAGAGCATAATTCGAAACTGAAGGAACTGGTAGTAAGTATGGTAGCTCCGAAGGTAGTTATATTACATAAAAATACATCATGCCTTGAGGCTATCACATCCCCTTGCCTATATGTAACGTCTATACGATCAGGCAAATACCGTAGTTGAAATTGTGATGCTCCGGGTGTATTAACAAAAGTGAAGTAATTTGATCCCAGAACAACACAGAATCTACCATCATTACCGTAAAGAGCTGAAGTAGCTGAATCTATATTGAATGTGACCTGTGAATTTTGAGCTGCTGCTAAGTAAGTTGTACCATTGAAAGTGTAATATCCAAGTTGTATATCCGGAACTCCAGCGCCTCGTGCATATAGTTTAGCATTGGTACGACGTAGACCCGCTGCCAGAGCCCACGACAAGAACGAAAAATATAGAATGAAATATGGAAACATGCTGTAAGAATTAAGTTAGCGGTTATACTGTTTGAAAATTTAGAACATCTTACAAAGTTGGGGAATTGATCCCATATAAATATCATTTATTTTGCAAGAATTGTATATTTATAATTATGCTAAACATCTAATAGAACGTTATGATTAGATCGCGCTTTAAGTTCAAAAGTTTAATACTAATTACAGTGTAGTAGTATTTGAATTTTCCTAGTTTTATTTACAAAATCATGTTTACATTTTTAATAGATTCCTAAAATTAAGAAGCTTAAAATTAAGGAGTTGAAACTTTAATTTTTCGCAACGAGATTTGCATCTTGCATGATTTTCCAAAATAGGAATATAAAACTGGATTATTTTTTCTTAATGGGTAATTGAATGTGTTTGATTATTTCTAATGATGTATAGCTCTTACTTTTCTAAAAATAATTGGGCCAAGTAAAGCGTATTCGAGAGTTAGTATCGTCTTCATTAAGTGATTATCGATAAAATTACATTTTTGGGAAGTATACTTGTATTGATAGAAGGAAAGTGAGATGAAAATCTTGTTGCGAAAAATAAAGTTAGCTCAAGAATGTACACACGAGATTTAAGTTACATTAAATTCTCTTACATTGTAAGTTATTATTAAGCTTTAAATGTATGTATATGTTTATAAACTTTAACGCGCTATCTAATTATAATATTCTCTAAAATCTTTCGGTTGATTATATATGAGAAATCTTCTAAAATGAATGCTATTTATATGGCTCTCAATGTCTCGAATTTTGCAATCTTCATAATCAATTGGCACCACAAAAAGAATTCTTTCAGCATGTTCTCATATTTAATTTTGCTTCTTTCGATCTTACCATGGGCCCTCTCAGTTGGTATACTTCCTCCCAACTGTAGGCTATGGACAAGATCTACAGAAGTTCCGGATGTGCTACTAGGATATTATACTTTCAATGGTGTAACTTACTTAGGGGCAAATGTAGAGTCAAGAGATACATTCAACATAGATTCTGATACAGGTGCACTTTACGGCGATGATGGTAGATTCTGTGTTGCTCTGGGGTCCAATTACTATATTTTTGCTAATACTCCCGGTCAAACGAAATTTTCAGTATCTTATGTGGCAGATGGTATCCAGATTACTAATACAGCGACTGATATTTATTTATGTAACATAGCTGCCTTAGGAGGGGCCGTGCTTACTACTACTATCCTTGGTGCCACTAGATGCCCTCTTGTTACGTTGTACGCAATTCCATCTGAACTTATCGGTCTACTTGCTGTTAACACTAACCTATATGCACAAGGTACAGGTTTTGCTGATGTACAACTTGGATACTACACTTTCAATGGTACAACTTACTTAGCAGTAACTGAAAACTCCCAAAACAAATTCAATGTAGATTCATCTAATTTCAGCCTTTATAGCGACGATGGTAAGTTCTGTGTTGTTCCGGAATCCAATTACATCACATTTGCCCCTAGCCCTGGTGCAACAGAATTTGAATTATGGTATGTGCAAGATAAAATTGAGCTTACATATAAAGCAACTGTGTTCTATTTATGCCAGTCAACCACCTTAGGCGCAACTGTACTTACTACTAATTTAACCGATACTAGTAGCTGCCGTCAGGTTAGCTTATTCATGTTTAATCCTGCTCTAGTCAATCCTACCGATCCTACCGATCCTACTGGTCCTACTGGTCCTACTAATCCTACAGGCCCTACAGGCCCCACAGTTCCTACTACTCCTACAGGTCCTACTACTCCCACTCGTCCTACTACTCCTACTAGTCGTACAACATCTACTGGTTCTACTAATCGAGGAACATCTACTAGTGGAAGAACATCTGCTAGCCGTACAGCTTCTACAAGTCCAACTACTGTAAGAAAATCCTCTGCACCTACAAAACCTACGGTCCAAGAAACTTCTAGACGAGAACCGTCCGACATAACCGCACCATCCATAGCTCCATTATTTGCTATAGATGAAGATGGAAACAAAATATCATTAAGTACCATTGAAATTTTGGTGAATGCTACAGCGGATGAGATTGCCAAACGGGAGAATAGGAAAGCTATCGCTGGACTTACTTATTTGGTAGCAGATATTACAGATTCTTCGGGGTTCTATATTCAGGATGGCAGGCTTTACGATGCAGATGGTCGCACGGCTGTTAATCAAGATTCAAAGTTCATCACATTTGCTTCCGAAGGAGGATTGATAGGATTTGAGCACTCCGAAAATGGCTATTTGTCTTTCAGAGGAGAATCGAATTTCTATTATTGTTACTTGGATGGAGGAAATACCACTTTCAAGGCAGTTTCCCTTGAAGATACTGGATCTTGTAATGTTACTTCACTTATATTGGGAGGCAGTGCTGATGAAGGATCTACCATGATCACTACTGTGTTCCTCTTCACTGAAACTAGAACCATCACCGAATGTTCATCAACAGTGACCGATTGTCCAGGCTCCTCTAAATTCGTTCATACTATTACTACAACATACTGTCCGGACACGGAACCTGGTCCATATACAATCACTTTATATGCAGCAGTAGAAACTGGAGATGGAGGTGATATTCAAACTCGTACATTTATAACTACAATAGGCGACACATCACTTTCTTCTTCTGTTCAAGGATCTGGGCCAACAGAGATCCCTACTTTTAATAGTGCCGGTACTTTAACTCGTGGGTTGGGTTTAGTCATGGCGGCTTGTATTATATTTTTGCTTTGATTCTTTTCTTGTTTTGATTATGAGGACTTGGTATTAAAAGGAACTACAATTCTGTATCTTAATAATAAAGATATGTATATGTTTTTAAAAGCACGCTTGTAATGTAATCTCCAAGTTTAGATAAATTGTATGCTACTGATCTAACAAATACAAGTAAGGCTGGAACGTAGTTCATGATTTAAAATCATTTTTAGTTCATCATCTATGTTGATCAAAAGAATGAGTAAGTGGTTATTCTTTTTTCTAGTTTTTGAAGAGGTTAATAGTAGATATGATGTTTCTGACACTCTTTTAGAGGCCAGAACCCATTAAGAATTCGAAGGCATCCTCATTAGTAAGTATTAGTCCAATAGATGAATTTTAGGAAATTTGCATATTGCTAAAATGAGAAAAAATATAATAAGCGCTATAAAATGGTAATTCAAAAGTGTTTGAATAATTTGAGAGTTCCTTCCTTAATTCTAAAGAGACTACATAAAATACCTGGAAAGAATTTATATAAAAGGTGAGATCTGCCAGTTAATTAAACTTAATCTTGATTAGGTTGATCGTTTCTAAAATACTGGTTATTGTTTAATACATATTATCAATAAATCTTTAAATATATTATAGGAACACGCACAGCTTTTACGATAAATAATGTAAAATTAACCGAAAAGATAATATTAAACGGATCTACTGTGACAGTGACCAGCAATAGAAATTAATCCAAATTTCAGACATGGTAGATAAGTTATATCTTCCTTGGATGAAAGGGGAAAGAACTGCTTCGTCTTTCCCTAAAGAAGAAACATTTTGAATCCATTTTACTAATTGTTCAAAACACATCCTCTTCATCATGATCATCATCTTCTTCATCTACATCTTCCTCCTTCACTCCACTTTAGAAATATCATATCTACTAAATCTGATAAACCTCATCCATACCAAGAAATCTTGACCTTGACAGGGCATTTTCTATTGAAAAGGATAGTACGATACCTATAGCTGTTATTAAAAAACTTACATCGAAGTTTCTGAGAAGATGATGAAAGCTGTATGAAGTGCTACTTTCTGCTACCCTCGGGAAAGACACAATGTGACTTACTCTAAGGGCCCTTCGGGCCTTTGATCATCTGTTATAACCAAATGGCAAGCTGAGGAAAGAGAGGGTGAATATGAAATGAACTTCGATGGTTAAAGCAGAATCCTGCTGCAAATGAATTGGCTTGAAATGTGTATTGTTACTTATTCAAAAGACTTATCACTGATGCATCAACTCTTGATTTCGGTAAGGATATTTTAATCAAGTCTTTTTTGAAGCAGATGGTAATGAAGTATTCAGTAGTCCTATTAAATCAGGAATAGTAATGACTATGGGAATTCAGCTAGATATCGGTAGCAAGTTTATCTCCTAAACTTGCAATAGTGGACGAAGATCTTCCTCGACTCCTTGTTGTCATGCTTTCTTGAAGCTCAGAAATTGATTGAATGGTATTGTCATTATTTGGACCCTGACCTTGGCGCATAGGTGAAGAATGATAAAATAAGGTTTGTTGTGTTTGTGATCTGAAACAAATATGTTTAACTTTTGTATAATGTGTGTCAACCATTCGTTATGCTTATAAGGTGACTTACTCTCACGAATAAAAGCTGGCGCATAACTGGTCACCGAGAATTAAATTGTTAAATAAGAGTAAATGGTAAAGAAGCTTTTAGTAATCGAAAAATGTGTTAGTTTAGTTACCCTTAGTTGTTTTGGAAGCAGAATTTCTTGCATTTGAAATATTAACTTTAATCGCATCATACTTGGGAATTCTTACTATTGCAGCTAAAATTTACAGGTGTAACAATGCTGAACTTTCAAATCCTATTATTTGCTCTTGGTATCACATCATCAACTAATTTTCATCAGGTGGTCTGGGTGGAATTGCTAAGAAATGGTCCCAAATGTCTTTATTATGTGTTCTTATTAGTAAACTTTTTAACACTCTACAAAAGCCTTCGATGAAAGCATTAGTAATACAGCTCAAAATGTTAAATGGTTAATTTCTTTGACTCAACGACCCAAATCTCAGATGGTTATAATGCAAACTCTGCTGGTTCTCTTAGAATCAAGGGTAAACTAAGATTGGTGATATTAACAATTTAAGATTTTAAGAAGAAGCTTTATATTGAGAAAAATACACAAGACCAACAAATTTAAGATGCAAATCAAGACACTCCAAGTTGCGAAAATTAAAGTTATCAATTTTAAAGTTTGGATGGATCCACTTTTAAGAATATAGCCATGACTTTATAAATTCAGCTAAGATACTTCATATTTTGTTGCCCTATAAGTCAATTTTAAGCTTTCGATGTATGTATATGTGGATGAATTTTAACAAGGGATCTAATTATAGCATTTACTTAAGCCCTTCGTTTTAACAAGGAAATTCCTCAAGATTAATGTTATTTATATGAGAGCAATGCCTCACATGTTATAACTCTTTATCAACACTTATCACGACAAAATTAATTCATATAGCATGTTCTCATATTTAATTTTACTCCTTTCAATCTTGTCATGGGCTCTGGCAGCTAGTATTTTTGCTTCTAACGCTAAACTATATGCACGAGTTACTGGAGTTTCAGATGCGCTTCTTGGATATTACACTTTCAACGGGGTAACTTACTTAGCTACAAAAGTGGACTCTCAAGATACATTCAATGTAGATTCAGTCAGTGACCTTCTTTACGGCAGCGATGGTAGATTCTGTGTTCGACTGACATCCGATTACTTCACTTTTGATGTCTCTCCTGGTTCATCAGAATTCCAGGTATATTATTCGGGACCTCAAGCTGAAATCCAATATCAACAAGGTGACCTCTTTTTATGCCAGTCACCAACTTTAGGAGCAACCGTACTATCCGCAAACTATATCGGTACTGATACCTGCAATCCCATAATCTTGGTAGCAGTTATTCCTGATCCAACTAACCCAACTGACCCAGTTGATCCTACTGATCCAACTGATCCAACTGATCCAACTGATCCTACTGATCCTACTGATCCAACTGACCCAACTGATCCAACTGATCCAACTGACCCTACTGATCCTACTGACCCAGTTGATCCTACCGATCCTACCGATCCAACTGACCCAGTTGACCCAACTGATCCAACTGATCCTACTGAACCAACTGATCCAACTGATCCAACTGATCCTACTGATCCAACTGATCCTACTGATCCAACTGATCCAATTGATCCAACTGATCCTACTGACCCAGTTGATCCTACTGATCCAACTGATCCAACTGATCCAACTGACCCAGTTGACCCAACTGACCCAGTTGATCCTACCGACCCAACTGACCCAACTGATCCTACTGATCCAACTGATCCAATTGATCCAACTGATCCTACTGATCCAACTGATCCTACAGATCCAACTGATCCAACTGATCCTACAGATCCAACTGACCCAACTGACCCAATTGATCCAACTGATCCTACTGATCCAACTGATCCTACTGATCCAACTGACCCAGTTGATCCTACCGACCCAACTGACCCAACTGACCCAACTGATCCTACTGATCCTACTGATCCAACTGATCCAACTGATCCAACTGATCCAACTGACCCAGTTGATCCTACCGATCCTACTGACCCAACTGACCCAACTGATCCAACTGATCCTACTGATCCAACTGATCCTACTGATCCAACTGATCCAATTGATCCAACTGATCCTACTGATCCAACTGATCCAACTGATCCTACAGATCCAACTGACCCAACTGACCCAACTGATCCAACTGATCCAACTGATCCAACTGACCCAACTGACCCAACTGACCCAACTGATCCAACTGACCCTACTGATCCTACTGACCCAGTTGATCCTACCGATCCTACCGATCCTACTGACCCAGTTGACCCAACTGATCCAACTGATCCAACTGATCCAACTGACCCAGTTGATCCTACCGATCCAACTGATCCAATTGATCCAACTGATCCTACTGACCCAGTTGATCCTACTGATCCAACTGATCCAACTGATCCAACTGACTCAGTTGACCCAACTGATCCAACTGATCCAACTGACCCTACTGATCCTACTGACCCAGTTGATCCTACCGATCCTACCGATCCAACTGACCCAGTTGACCCAACTGATCCAACTGATCCTACTGATCCAACTGATCCAATTGATCCAACTGATCCAACTGACCCAGTTGACCCAACTGACCCAGTTGATCCTACCGACCCAACTGATCCAACTGACCCAGTTGATCCTACCGATCCAACTGATCCTACAGATCCAACGGATCCTACTGATCCAACTGATCCAATTGATCCAACTGATCCTACTGATCCAACTGATCCAACTGATCCTACAGATCCAACTGACCCAACTGACCCAACTGACCCAACTGACCCAACTGACCCAACTGATCCAACTGACCCAGTTGACCCAACTGATCCAACTGACCCAGTTGACCCAACTGATCCAACTGACCCAACTGACCCAACTGATCCTACTGATCCTACTGATCCAACTGATCCAACTGATCCAACTGACCCAGTTGATCCTACCGATCCTACTGACCCAACTGATCCAACTGATCCAATTGATCCAACTGATCCAATTGATCCAACTGATCCTACTTATCCAACTGATCCTACTGATCCAACTGACCCAACTGACCCAACTGATCCTACTGATCCAACTGATCCAATTGATCCAACTGATCCTACTGATCCAACTGATCCTACTGATCCAACTGATCCAATTGATCCAACTGATCCTACTGACCCAGTTGATCCTACCGATCCAACTGACCCAGTTGATCCTACCGACCCAACTGATCCAACTGACCCAGTTGATCCTACCGATCCAACTGATCCAATTGATCCAACTGATCCTACTGATCCAACTGACCCAGTTGATCCTACCGACCCAACTGATCCTACTGATCCTACCGATCCAAGTGAGCCAACTGATTCTGAGGGTACTACCGATCCGACGGAAGAAGTGGAGCTTCTTCCTCTTATGGCTGTGGATGGAAATGGTAATAGAATATCCTTACGAACTTTACAAATCTTGGAGAATACAAACGATCTTGCTGATCACAGTTCTAGTAATGTCAGCAAACGTGATAATAGCAAAGCAATTGTTGGACTTACTTATTTGGTTGTAGATAATGCAGACACTGCAGAAACTACAGATTCTTCTGGGTTCTACATCAAAGATGGAATGCTTTATAATGCTGATGGTCTCGAAGCTGTTAATGAACATTCAAAGTTTATTTCATTTGCAAACGAGGGAGGATTGACTGGTTTTGAGCTTTCAGACATTGGGGATTTGTCTTACATCGGAGAAGCTAAGTTCTATTACTGTTACTTAGATGGAAACGATGCTACTTTCAGAGTGATTTCCCTTGAAGATACCGGATCTTGTTATGCGATTTCACTTATATTGGGAGACAGTGTAGAAGAAGGTTCTACCGTGATCACTACTACTTTCCTCTTCACCGAAATTAGAACCATTACGGAATGTCCAGAGTTGACCGATTGTCCAGACTCCTCCACAATAGTCCATACTGTTACTACGTCTTACTTTGCTGATATGGAATCTACTCCATATACAACCACTTTATATGCAGCAGTAGAAACTGGAGATGGAGGTGATATTCAAACTCGTACATTTATAACTACAATAGGTGAACCAACATTTTCTACTTCTATGCAACCAGCTTCTGTGGAAACAGAGATCCCTATCTTTAATAGTGCAGGCACATTAACTAGTGGGTTTGGTTTGGTTATTGCAGCCGGAATGGTTTTTGTAATTTGATTCATGTGTCGTTTTGATTATTAAGTTTTTTGGTATTATAAGGAACTAATTTAGCTTCTATAAGTGCTTATTTATTAATATACTGAATATTATGTTTGCTTTTGTAAGTTAAGCATATTTAACATGAAAGGTTTATATGCCTTTAAAAGCATAAATTCGATGTAATCAATTATTTTAACTGTATCCCACGTTGCTTATGAAATAATTGGCTACAGGCAAGACTTGAGTGTTGATTATGATTTAAAATCATTTTTAGTTCATTGATCTTAAAATAATCGAGCCATTAATCCACTTATCAAACATTGGGTTTCATATTTGTCTACATCTTTATAAATCTAAGCATCTTAATCTCTTCATTTTATAGCTAATGATTGTCCTTAAATGGGAGTTTTCACTTGTTTCAAATATCTCTCTATTGTTTTTGCAGTTATTCACTTACAATAATTTTATAAAGTATCATTACCAGGCAAAGAAGAAAAGTTATTGGTATTGGAATAACTAGTAGATTTTACATTTCAAACACTCTTTTGGAGATCAAATATAGAATCGAATTTTAATAATAGTAATCTTTATGTATATAGTAGAATCGTGCACCCTTTTTCTACCAATAGTTTTATATTACATTAAGCCAAAAAGATAAATTTACATTAAACCAAAAAGATAATTTCATTTGTTGAATCATTATTATGTCGCTTACATTAGCCGAATAATTATCAATGGAAGTTGCACATCTGGATTTATACCTTCCCTGGTTCAACAAAGAAGACGCTCCCTTGCTCTCCATAAATTGATTACGAAATATGTGAACGATCTCAAGTGACACGATTCTTCTATCAATTATTGAAGATGTATCTTTCCAAACGGTCAACAAAATGTAGCTATAAACTTACACCATATGAGGAAGAATTTGGAAAGGCTCTGGATACTGAAGAGAATTTCACATTGCCTACAACTGACAGATTTTCACATCTAAAACGCCTGCTGATACCTTGGTTATAGGTAAAACTTTCATAAACAAAATAGAATTTAGTTGAAGTAATTGATTACATTGAAAACGAGCTTTAAAAACATTTAAGTAAAAGTTTTATGTTAAAAATCATCACAAACAAGCAATTTATAATTAAATAACTGATTAAATTCACAAGTGCTTTTAAAAGCATAATTCGATTATGTGAGAAACCATTGAGTTACATTTGTAGAGTACTTTTTTAAGCAATTATCGAAGAAAAATAAATCCTTTTAATACCAAAGTATTTAATAATCAAAACAAGAAAAGAATCAAAGCAAAAATATAATACAAGCCGCCATGACTAAACCCAACCCACGAGTTAAAGTACCGGCACTATTAAAAGTAGGGATCTCTGTTGGCCCAGATCCTTGAACAGAAGAAGAAAGTGATGTGTCGCCTATTGTAGTTATAAATGTACGAGTTTGAATATCACCTCCATCTCCAGTTTCTACTGCTGCATATAAAGTGATTGTATATGGACCAGGTTCCGTGTCCGGACAGTATGTTGTAGTAATAGTATGAACGAATTTAGAGGAGCCTGGACAATCGGTCACTGTTGATGAACATTCGGTGATGGTTCTAGTTTCAGTGAAGAGGAACACAGTAGTGATCATGGTAGATCCTTCATCAGCACTGCCTCCCAATATAAGTGAAGTAACATTACAAGATCCAGTATCTTCAAGGGAAACTGCCTTGAAAGTGGTATTTCCTCCATCCAAGTAACAATAATAGAAATTCGATTCTCCTCTGAAAGACAAATAGCCATTTTCGGAGAGCTCAAATCCTATCAATCCTCCTTCGGAAGCAAATGTGATGAACTTTGAATCTTGATTAACAGCCGTGCGACCATCTGCATCGTAAAGCCTGCCATCCTGAATATAGAACCCCGAAGAATCTGTAATATCTGCTACCAAATAAGTAAGTCCAGCGATAGCTTTCCTATTCTCCCGTTTGGCAATCTCATCCGCTGTAGCATTCACCAAAATTTCAATGGTACTTAATGATATTTTGTTTCCATCTTCATCTATAGCAAATAATGGAGCTATGGATGGTGCGGTTATGTCGGACGGTTCTCGTCTAGAAGTTTCTTGGACCGTAGGTTTTGTAGGTGCAGAGGATTTTCTTACAGTAGTTGGACTAGTAGAAGCTGTACGGCTAGCAGATGTTCTTCCACTAGTAGATGTTCCTCGATTAGTAGAACCAGTAGATGTTGTACGACTAGTAGGAGTAGTAGGACGAGTGGGAGTAGTGGGAACTGTAGGAGTAGTAGGAACTGTGGGGTCTGTAGGACCTGTAGGACCTGTAGGAGCAGTAGGAGCAGTAGGAGCAATAGGATCAGGTAATGCAATCATGACAACACGATAGCAACTGTCGGCACTTATAGAATTAGTAGTAAGTACAGTCGCTCCTAAGGTAGTTATATCACATAAATAGAAGTCACTTGCTGTATGAGTAATCTCAATACGATCTACATAAATCCATTGTTGAAATTGTGCTGTACCAGGATTATCAACAAAAGAGAATGAATTGGATTCCAGAACCACACAAAATTTACGATCGATACCGTAAAGAGCGGCAGTATCTGAATCTATATTGAATTTATCACTGGAGTTTTCTTTTGCTGCTAAGTAAGTTACCCCATTAAAAGTATAATACCCTAGTGGAATATCCAAAAACCCTGTGCCTCGTGCATATAATCTAGCGTTAGTAGGGAGTAGACCCGTAAGCTTAGGGGCCTTATACTGCAAGGAAACCTGATAGCATGTATTGGTAGCGATGTTACTGGTAGTAAGAAAGATTCCTCCCATGGTAGTTATATTACATAAAAAGACATTGCCCTGACTGTAAGTAACCTCAATACGATCAGGCAAATACCGTAGTTGAAATTGTGATGTACCAGGAGTAGTAGCAAACATGAAATAATTGAATCCCAGAAAAATACAGAATCTACCATCATTACCGTAAAGAGCTGAAGTAGCTGAATCTATATTGAATGTGACCTGTGAATTTTGAGCTGCTGCTAAGTAAGTTGTACCATTGAAAGTGTAATATCCAAGTTGCATGTCCGGATATCCTGTTGCTTTTGCGAGTAATGGAGCATTAGTGGGGAGTAGGCCTGTAGGTTTAGAGGGATCTGGTGGATCAGTAACAAAGATCAAGTTAACACTAGAGCATCTATCATTACCGAATGAACTGAAAGTAAGAACAGTTGTTCCTAAGGTAGTTATATAACATAAAAAGAAATCAGTTGCTGTATGTGTAATCTCAATGCGATCTGGCCTAACCCATAATTGAAATTGTTGCCCGTAAGGAGCATCACTAAAAGTGAAATAGTTGGGTTCCAGAACATCACAGAATCTACCATCGGGTCCGTAAAAATATGCTGTAGCTGAATCTATATTAAATTTGTCTTGGGTATTTTCACTTGCTGCTAAGTAAGTTGTATCATTCAAAGTATAATATCCAAGTTGTACATCAGCAACACCTGTAGCTCTTGCATATAGTTTAGCATTAGTACGGAGTAGACCAGCTGCCAGAGCCCACGAAAAGAACGAAATAAATATAATAAAGTATCGAAACATGCTCTACGGATTAATTTTGTTCTGGCAAATAATACACAACATTCGAGGTATTACGAGCCAATAAATAGGATTCATTTTCGAAGGTTTCTAATGAGTAATGAAGTGAAGTGCTTAATATAGTGTTCTGATTAGATCGCGTGTTAAGGTTTATAAACATATATATACATGAAAATCTTAATAATGACTTACAATGTAAGAGAATATGAAGTAACTTAAAATTCGTGTCTACATTCTTGAGCTAACTTTATTTTTCGCAACGCAATTTGAAGTATACTGGAAACCTTTATATCAATTGCTTTATGAATACGATTCATATTAATTAAATATTCTTTAGCGGTACTATTTATTATGACGCAAACAACGATTATAATCAAAAACTATTTTAGTTTAATAATGTATGTATTGGATCACAGTTAGTAGCAGAAGTATATTGAGAAAAAAGATTCCAGTTTTGGAAACTAGAGAGATAAAGCAAACAAAATGCAAATCTCGTTGCGAAAAATCAAGGTTTCAACTCCTTAATTTTAAAGTTGGGATCTTTTTAAAAACGTGAACATGATTCTGTAAATACAACTAAGAAAATTTAAAGACTATTACATTGCAACTACTATTAAACTTCCGATATTTATCCAAAGCGCAATGTAAACATAATTTTGTAAATATGTTGTAATTCAAAGTTACTGCAACACAATTCGTACAGCAAGATTCCATATTTTATACAAGTAGGTATTCAGCAATGTTCTGGTTGCTGGAGGGAATTGTACAGTACCTACAGCTGATGCCATAGATTCTAAAATCTATATTGTTTGGCGATACCTTGTTTATAACTAATACTTTTATGAAGAGAATAAGATTTATTAAAAGTAATTAATTATATTCAAACGACCTTTTAGAAACATTTAACTAAAACTTACATGTTAAAAATCATCAAGTTACAGAAACAAGCAAATAATAGAGTATAAAAATAAGCAATTATAGGAGAAGAAAAGAAATTCCCTTTTAATATCAATGTATTTAATAATCAAAATCAAGAACTAATAAAAATCAAGTACGAATCAAAGTAAAAATACAATACCTGCTGCAATAGCTAAACCAACCCCACTAGTTAAAGTGCCGGCACCATTAAAAATAGGGATTTCTGTAGCCTGGGAATCAGGTTGGACGGAAGAAATAAGTGTCTCACATACTGTTTCGCAAATTGTCGTTGTAAATGTTTCAGTTTCTTCTCCGGTTTCTACTGCTGCATATAAAGTGATTGTATATGGACCATGTTCCGTGTCTGGACAGTATGTTGTAGTAATAGTATGGACGATTGTGGAGAAGTCTGGACAATTGGTCACTGACTCTGGACATTCGGTAATGGTACTAGTTTCAGTGAAGAGAAGAACAGTAGTGATCGTGGTAGATGAATCTTCTTCTTCACTACTATCTTCTAATACAAGTGAAGTAACATTACAAGATCCGATATCTTCAAGAGAAATTACTCTGAAAGTATCATCACCTCCATCTAAGTAACAGTAATAGAATGAACCTTCTCCAGTGTAAGATATATCTCCACTGTCTGAAAGCTCAAATCCTGTCAATCCTCCTTCGGATGCAAATGAAATAAACTTGGAATCTTCATTAACGGCTTCGAGACCATCAGCATTGTAAAGCTTGCCATCTTTGATGTAGAATCCAGAAGCATCTGGAGTATCTGCTACCAAATAAGTAAGTCCGGCAATAGCTTTTCTATTGTCACGTTTGGCAATGTCATCAGCAGTATCATTTGCTTTTTCCAAAATCTCAATGGTTCTCAATGCTATTTTGCTTCCATCTTCATCTATAGCGAAAAGAGAAGCCAAGGAAGGTTCTGGTTCGTCGGTAGGTTCATTACCAGTTTCCTCGCCGGTAGGATCAGTAGGCTCAGCAGGCTCAGTAGGCTCAGCAGGCTCTGTAGGATCTGTAGGATCAGTAGGATCAGTAGGATCTGTAGGACCTGTGGGATCTGTAGGACCTGTGGGATCTGTAGGACCTGTGGGATCTGTAGGACCTGTGGGATCTGTAGGACCTGTGGGATCTGTAGGACCTGTGGGAGCTGTAGTGGGATCTGTAGGAGGAGGAGGTGGTGGTGGTGGTGGGGTAATAACAAGAGCTGCTCCAGCAGCAAAGTACAAGTAAGCAATTTCGCAAAGATCGCGATCCAGAATTACAGACCTACTAATAGAAAGTACTTTTCCTCCTAAGGAATCTGATGGACATATATACATATTTCCACCATTGTTGTAAGTAACCTGGAGACGGTCTCCTGTAGGTATTATTTGAAATGTTGGCACACCAGGTGTATCAGCAAAATTGAAGAAATTGTAGTTCAGTGTAATACAGTATTTACCATCGTTGGTATAAAGAGCTGAAGTGGTGTTATCTATATTGAATGTGATCTGAGAGTTTTCATCAGCTGCAAAGTAAATTGTATTGTTCACTGTGCGATATCCAAGTAGCAATTCAACATTAGAGGTTGCACCTTTTGCATATAGTTTTGCATTAGCAGTGAGTAGACCAGCAGCCAGAACCCATGAAAAGAACGAAATGAATATAATAATGTATGGAAACATGCTGTACAAATTAATGTACTGTAAATAATGATAAAAACACGCAACATCCGAGGCATTGAGAGCCATATAAATAACATTCATTTTGGAAGATATCTGAAGTATAATCAGGTGAGGACTTAAGAGAGTGTCCTGATTAGATCGTGTGTTAAAATTTATAAACATATACATACATTTAAAGCTTAATAATAACTTACAATGTAAGAGAATTTAAAGTAACTTAAATCTCGTGTCTACATTCTTGAGCTAACTTTATTTTTCGCAACAAGATTTACATCTCATTTTCCCTTCCAATACAAGTATACTGGAAACCTTTATATCAATTGTTTTATGAATACGATTCATATTAATTAAATATTCTTTAGCGGTACTATTTATTATGACGCAAACAACGATTATAATCAAAAACTATTTTAGTTTAATAATGTGTGTATTGGATCACAGTTAGTAGCAGAAGTATATTGAGAAAAAAGATTCCAGTTTTGGAAACTAGAGAAGATAAAGAAAAAACAAGATGCCTTAATTTTAAAGTTGGAATCTTTTAAGGATGTAAACATGATTCTGTAAATACAACTAAGAAAATTCAAATACTATTACATTGCAACTAGCATTAATCTAATCATAATGTTTCGTGAATCCTTGTATGTAACTAAAGCTTTCATAAGCGGCAGAGAATTTAGTTAAAGTTATTGATTATATTCAAAACGACCTTTTAGAAAAATTGAAATACAACTTTCATGTAAAAAATCATTAAATTAAAGAAACAAGGAAATTTTAGAGTGTATTAAAAATCTTTTATTATATTTAAAGAATCAAAAAAAAGTACGAATCAAAGTAAAAATACAAGACAAGCCGCAATAGAAAACCCAAACCAACTAGTTAAAGTACCAGCACTATCAAAAATAGAGATCTCTGCTGTCATGGAACCTGGTTGGACAGAAGAAGAAAGTGCTGTCTCGCATACCGTATCACATATTGTAGTTATAAATGTACGAGTTTCAATTTCACTTTCGTCTCCGGTTTCTACTGCTGCATATAAAGTGATTGTATATGGACCAGGTTCTGTGTCCGGACAGTATGTTGTAGTAATAGTATGGACGATTGTGGAGAAGTCTGGACAATCGGTCACTGTTGATGGACATTCGGTTATAGTACTAGTTTCAGTGAGGAGAAAAACAGTAGTGATCCACGTAGAAACTTCCTCTTCCTCTTCCTCAGCACTAATATCTTCTAATATAAGTGAAGTGTCATTACAAGATCCGACATCTTCAAGGGAAATTGCTCTGAAAGTAGTATTTCCTCCATCCAAATAGCAATAATAGAATGTGTCATCTCCTCTGAAATATAAATCGCCATCTTCAGAGATATCGAATCCTGTTAATCCTCCCTCGGATGCAAAGGTAATAAATGTCGAGTGTTCATTACCGGCCACAAGACCTTCTATATTGTAAAGCTTGCCATCGAGGATGTAAAATGCAGAATCATCATCAGTTCCAATCACCAAATAAGTAACTTCTGGAACTGCTATACTGTCTTCACGTTTCAGGATGCCAGAAGCACTATCATTTGCGTTTTCTAAAACTTCAAGAGTCCTTAATGATATTCTGATACCATTTTCACTAACAGCGACAAGCGGAGCAGGCTCCACTCCCTCAGGAATTTCAATATCTTCAACAGGTTCGCTGGTTTCGGTAGGTTCATCAGTTGGTTCAGTTGGTTCCGTTGGTTCAGTTGGTTCAGTTGGTTCGGTAGGTTCTTCAGTAGGATCAGTTGGTTCAGTTGGTTCAGTAGGATCAGTAGGATCAGTAGGATCAGTAGGATCAGTAGGATCAGTAGGATCAGTAGGATCAGTAGGATCAGTAGGATCAGTAGGATCAGTAGGATCAGTAGGATCAGTAGGATCAGTAGGATCAGTAGGATCAGTAGGATCAGTAGGATCAGTAGGATCAGTAGGATCAGTAGGATCAGTAGGATCAGTAGGATCAGTAGGATCAGTAGGATCAGTAGGATCGGTAGGATCAGTAGGATCAGTAGGATCAGTAGGATCAGTTGGTTCAGTAGGTTCAGTTGGTTCAGTAGGGGGGTTAACAAGAACAGCTCCATCATCAAAGTACAAGTAAGCAATTTCGCAAAGTGCAGGAATAACAGCCACAGTAGTAGCAAGTACTTCACTGTCAAAGGATTTTGATGCACATAAATATATATCTCCACCGTTGTTGTAAGTGAGCTGGAGACGGTCATCTGCAGATACTATTTGAAATGATGGTGCACCAGGAGTATCAGCAAAATTGAAGAAAGTAGTGTTCAGAACAATACAATATTTACCATCGTTGGTATAAAGAGCTGAAGTATCATTATCTACATTGAATGTGATCTGGGAGTTTGCATCAGCTGCAAAGTAAATTGTATTGTTCACTGTGAGATATCCAAGTAGCAATTCAACATAAGAGACTGTACCTTTTGCATATAGTTTTGCATTAGCAGTGAGTAGACCAGCAGTCAGAGCCCATGAAAAAAACGAAATGAATATAATAATGTATGGAAACATGCTGTAAAAATTAATGTACAAAATAATGATAAAAATTCACAACATTCGAGGCATTGGGAGCCATATAAATAACATTCATTTTGAAAGATTCCTCATATATAATCAACTGAGGGGCTTTAGAGAATACTATAATTACATAGTGTGTTAGAGTTCATACACATATACATATACTGAAATAAAATATAAGAGAATATGAAGTATCTTAAATCTCGTGCCTACATTCTTGAGCTAACTTTATTTTTGCAACGATCTCATTTTCCTTCATCTTCTAATACAAGTATACATCCCAAAAAAGGATTTTTTATGAATAATTACTCTATGAAGACGATTTGAATCACTTAAATGTGTTTAGTGGAACAATTATTATTAGGCAAGTAAGAGATATAGAGTATTGCGATTATAATCAAAAACTATAATAACGTATATATTGGATCATGGTTACTCAGCAGCAAAAGTTTATATTAAGAAAAAAGATTCCAGTTTTGGAAACTATTCTGCTATTTTAGAAGATAAAGTAAAACAAGATTGCGAAAATAAAATAAGATTTCAACTCCTTAATTTTAAAGTTGGAATCTAAAATGTAAACATGATTTTGTAAATACAACTAAGAAAATTCGATTATTGTTACACTGTAACTAGTATTAAACTTTTAAACTTCAAAGCGCGATCTAATTATAATTTTCTATCTAACCTCTAGCTTGATTATACATAACGAGTTAATTTATGTTCAATTCCATAATTTTGTAAATATGTTGTAAATATTCTAAGTTACTGCAAGACTAATACTTACAGCATGTGTCCATAATTAATATGAGGAAGCATTTTACAATCACCTCTCTGCTGAAGAGAATTGTACTATACTAATAGCTGGTACTATATCCAACAATTACAATGTTAGCTTGTAGCTAATTCTTTCATAAGCAGAATAGAATTTTGTTAAATTAATCGATTACATTTAAATTTTGCTCTTAAATACATTTAAATAATATTTTCATTTTAAAAATCATTAAGTTACAGAAACAAACCAATTATAGAATATATTATCATTGAAAGAGACAATTCTTTTTAACACCAAAATATTTAATAAATAAATTCAAATATGAATAAAAGTAAAACAATAATACAAGCCGCAATGGCTAAACCAACCCCACTAGTTAAAGTGCCAGCATTATTATAAATAGGAATCTCTGTTGCCTGGGAATCAGGTTGGACGGAAGAAATAAGTGTCTCACATACTGTTTCGCAAATTGTCGTTGTAAATGTTTCAGTTTCTTCTCCGGTTTCTACTGCTGCATATAAAGTGATTGTATATGGACCATGTTCCGTGTCTGGACAGTATGTTGTAGTCACAGTATGGACGATTATTGAGAAGTCTGGACAATTGGTCACTGACTCTGGACATTCGGTAATGATACTAGTTTCGGTGAAGAGAAGAACAGTAGTGATCGTAGTGGAGGATTCCTCATCACTGCTATCTTCTAATACAAGTGAAGTAACATTACAAGATCCGATATCTTCAAGGGAAATTACTCTGAAAGTAGCATCAGTACCTTCTAAGTAACAGTAATAGAATGAACCTTCTCCAGTGTAATACAAATCTCCATTTTCGGAAAGCTCAAATCCTGTCAATCCTCCTTCGGATGCAAAGGTAATGAACTTTGAATCTTGATTAACAGCTGCAAGGCCATCAGCATTGTAAAGCATTCTATCTTTGATGTAGAATCCAGAATCATCTGCAGTGTCGGGATTATCTGCAACCAAATATGAAAGTCCTGCGATAGCTTTTCTATTATCACGTTTGGTTATCTCATTAGCTCTGTCATTAGCAGTATCATTTGCCACAATTTCAACAGTTCTTAATGATATTCTGCTACCATTTTCATCTACAGAGACAAGAGGAGCTATGGAAAGAACTGGTTCATCAGGCGGGTCCGCAGTATCAGAGTTTTCAGCAGCTTCGGTGGTTTTAGATGTTTCAGTGGAGATAGTAGCTTCAGTAGCTTCAGTAGGACTTGTAGTAGGACTTGTAGGATTTATAGGACCGATAGTTGTACTTCCAGCAGCAAAGTACAAGTTAACAGGTTTGCATAGTTGAGGATTTGCAGCATCAATAGCAGTGTAAAGAAATGCTACTCCTAAGGTAGTTGAAGTACATAAATATATATTACCTCTTTTGTAAGTAAGCTGTAAATGTTCTGCTGTAGGCACAATTTGAAATTGTGCTGTTCCAGGAGTGTCAACAAAAGAGAAGAGATTGGTTGTCAGAACTACACAGAATCTGCCATCGTCGCCATAAAGAGCTGAAGTAGCTGAGTCTATATTGAATTTGTCTGGGGAATCGTCAGTTGCTGTTAAGTAAGTTGTACCATTCAAAGTGAAATATCCAAGCTGCACATCGGGAATACCTGCAGCTTTTGCATATAGTTTAGCATTAGCAGTGAGTAGACCCGCCGCCTCAGCTGATGAACAGAATAAAAGAAAAATAATGAAATATAATAACATGCTGACGTAGAAATTTGCAGTCACAATATTTGAACTTGTTTTCAATATTTGAAGCATTGATTAATATAAATATAATTCCTTTTACGAGAATTCCTTATGTGTAATCAATCAAAAGGATTAATAGAATATTATAATTAGATCGCGCTTTGAAGTTCAGAAGTCTAAAACCAGTAACAATGTAACAGTATTTGAATTTTCTTAGTTGTCTTTACAAAATCATATTTACATCCTTAAAAGTGGATCCATACCAACTTTGACATTTCAACTTTAAATATTAAGGAGTTAGTAAATTTACTTTTCTCAACATGTACGACTATTTTGTGTTTATAGTTTCCAAATACGGGATTTCTTCTGTACGATGTCTCTCGCTTTGTTTCAGATAATAAATCCATATAGGCTTAATTGATTTCTTTTCACAAGCGCTTCAAAGTCTGGGTCGAAATGATTATAATATGATACAATAAAAGTTGAACGTTGAGCTAATCAGAAAGTTCGCCAAATCGGTAATGTTCTAACTTTAAGTAATAATTTTGCTATCAATCTGTAGCTGCATTCACTATAGAATGAAGTAAGTGCCGCTTATAGTCGGCTTTTCTGTATACTATTCTCGTAGAAGTAAAATGGAAAGGATATCTTTCAATTTGGTCTACTTGGGAATAGATCTGATTCAAAGACAGGGTTGGTGCATCAATCGTTAAATCATTTAAATCAACAAAGAACAATGTCTGTTTTTGTACCGTTCTTTGCCACCATTATGAGCAAGCACATATGGTTGGTCACTATAATTTCTGTCAAGTTCATCCTCTTCAGTGGTGCGGCTAGCTGTTGGGGATTCACCATAATTTTCTGTAACAAATTCCTTTCCTGAGGCTTCTTCAAATAATAATTAATTAATTTTCGTAAGTATCATTTTGTAGTATAGTTGCTATTATTATTCTCAGATTTGCAATCAATTTATGGATAGAGCAAATCAAACAATTTCCTTTCAACCAAGGAAAGTGTAAGGTGACCCTAAAAAATGAACAACATTTTAAGTTTTATTCTTTGGCTTAATTGTTGATGATATTGTGAAAAGAATTAATATATCATTTAATGGCACTTTCAATATAAGAGCATTTACTGCAAAAAAAGTTGGTGATTCCTGTACGAAGTGAATGCTCCTTTCCTAGTATCTAATTTTCCTGTACACAGCCACAGCCAAACTCTCTTATCTGATCCACGTGCGTCGTCCCCTCAATCAAACAATACAAATTGATTAGGATCACACTACCTTTAACTCAAGGACTAGATGGAATGGGATGACTTTTACAGTGGCTAAAAGCACTTAATGGCCAATGATCATCATTAGATAGTTAGGGGATAATTCTAAATTAATTTGCTTAGTTTCAGCCTCTTGAGGGGTTCACACTCTGAGTAGTCCTCGATTACAGTACTATTTATTAGAGATAAGACCCTAATTTAGTGAAAAAATTAATTAATTAATTAATTAATTAAATAAAATTAATAAATTAGAAATAAGGCACCACTAATTAAGTAATACGGGCGCAATTAACCTTAGCAGTTTGTAACTCATTTCTCCTCCCTACTCTATACAATACAACTGTACTGTATCCAGACATACTCTCCAGTTTGAACTTTGTTGTCAAACGATCTATAATTTTTTTTATTTAATCACTGGCTTTGTGACGGGGCGTACATTTTTATCACTATCACCAATTCAAGTCTTCCACGCACCACTACTCGAGTATCAGGTTCTACACTAGTATATATACTGTATACCTGTCTCATATTTATAGTTAGTCTTTTTGGGCATACCTGATCCTCTTCAACATTTCTGTTGGAATAGTCACGTACACTCCGCCACAGTTAGATCAGATCACATATACACATACATATATATACTTATTTCCCAATCCCAGCTATACAAGACAGGAACTACCGAACAAATATTCAATACATGCTTCAAACTTTATTAACTCTAGTCTCCGATTCCACGCTATCAATCTCTAGGTCTAGTCTTGCCTCCAAAAACCCTGATCTTTCCTTTCAATCCATTGCTTTACTAACATTTGAAGCCGTACTTGAAGTTGTGATCATATGTTTTGCTGGATTTGTCGCCGCTAGGTCAGGTATTTTAAATACTTCTGGGCAAAAAGTCATCTCCCAATTGAATGTCGATTTATTTACTCCATGTTTGGTGTTCATTAAGTTGGCTCCATCACTTTCATTCCAGAAGATGGTGGATATTATTATAATTCCAATATTTTATGCAATAAGTACTGGAATTTCATTCTTATGTTCAAAATTAGTTGGAAAATTCTTTTTATTAAATGAACCAGAATGTGATTTTGTAACTGCTATGGCAGTATTTGGTAATTCAAATAGTTTACCAGTTAGTTTGACTTTATCTTTAGCTTTTACTTTACCTGATTTATTATGGGAAGATATAGATGATGATAATAGTGATAAAGTAGCATCAAGAGGTATTCTTTATTTATTAATCTTTCAACAATTGGGCCAAATTTTAAGATGGTCTTGGGGGTTTAATAAATTGTTAAGAAAAAGATCAGTTGAAGAATTGAATACTTATTATAATAAAGATGGTACAGTTCAAATTATCACTACTAGTCTGGTTAGTAATTATAGTGATGATGATAATAATAATAATAATAGATTTACAGTATCAGACATTGAAAATACTCAAACAATTACAACTAGTTCTGCTATTGTTACAACTAGAGATGAAAATGATCATAGTGATGATAACGATAATGAACCGCTTACCATAACTTCTTCAAACACTTCATCTCCTCGTCCTTTAACACCATCAAATGAAGATCAAAATAAATTCTTTTTTGTTGAATTCATTAAATCGGTCTACAATTCATCTATAGTTCAAAACTTTTTAAGGTTTATGAATCCTCCATTATATGCCATGATCATTTCTATTGTGGTTGCTTCAGTACCCTTTTTACAGAATTTATTCTTCCTAGATCAAGAATCATTTGTTCATAATACGGTAACTAATTCCATTACTCAATTAGGATCTGTATCAATTCCATTAATATTAATTGTATTGGGTTCTAATTTATACCCTCAAAAGGATATCCCACCAGCTTCTAAACATTATAAGAGAATAGTATTGGGATCTTTATTATCTAGAATGATTTTACCATCTATGATTCTTTTACCAATAATAGCTTTAGTAGTTAAGTTTGTAAAGATATCAATCTTGGATGATCCAATCTTTTTAATTGTTGCATTCATATTAACTATTTCACCCCCAGCCATTCAATTATCTCAAATAAGTCAATTGAATAATATATATCAGAAAGAAATGGCAGGAGTATTATTTTGGGGGTACGTTATTTTGACGTTCCCAACAGCCATATTTATTGTGGTTGCAAGTTTGGAAGTTTTAAAGTGGGCTCGATAGAAGTGAACTCCCAACGAATATTAAAATATTATAAATATTATAAACATAACTATAAATTTTTTTTAGCCCTATATTACTTATATACATATATATACATATTATTATTATTATATTATTATTATATTATTATTATTATTATATTATTATTATTACTACTACTATTATTATTATTATTATTATTATTACTACTATTATTATTACTACTATTATTATTACTACTATTATTATTACATTTATAATCTAAACTATAAATTAAGTCGCGACAGATTTGCGACACAATGCAAATGCCGAATAGTGCGACAAACCACGACATGCACCATCACCCGCAGAAGATCTTACCGTAAATGGTAAACTTGGCTTAAATAATGTACGAAAATCCCCAATTGTGACACTCAACCGAGAGAGACAAATTTGCGTTGTGTATGGGGTTGGACCGAAGGAGATAAAGACAAACTTTTTCACATATATCTAAACAATCTCTAACATTTGTAAATGATTTTGAGTGTTGGTTACTAATTATACGGATTTGCTTACTTATTGCATTTCCCAAGCTGTCATTTACGTTAGTTAGTTTGTTGTTTCTATCTTTCTTCGTATATTCACTATTACATTTGATCGACCTGTATTTCCATTTCCACCATTTCCATATATTAGAAACTTACCTAATCTATAACGCCACCAAATAATGATATCGAACGACTACCTGCGACAGCAAAATCAATCTCGGGAATTTGTTAAGGGTAAACCATTACCACATTTTATCCCATTCCCCATAGTATTCAAGCCATTGGCTTATGCATCCATAATCAATGCCACCACAAATCCACGACATCGACTATCACAATTTGGTGATGTTTCAAGTATACCACCTAAAAATGAGGCCGATATTGAAGGATATAGAATTCTTATTAATGATGAATATGTTTATTCATTGGATGTTATAGAAAGAGAATTATTCTATCAATTAATAACAACTATTAGAAATCGAAATACTGCTCATGGTTTAAACAATGGTACATTACAAGAAACTGGTAACTTAACTGCAACACTTATCATAAGTACGATTCTATCCCTTACAACATACTACATACGAGCCAACTGTGTAAAGACATTTGCATTCATTGAGACTATTGAAGATATTAAACAATATAGAAAAGAATTATTTACAGTGGCCTCAAAATATTATGGTACATCAATTCATAACCTTCGTCGCCTATTAGAAATTACTAATGATAGGGAACATTATTATTATCACTATGGAACTTATTCCTATTATAATAATATTTCCATTGGATTAATTTGTAGCTCATTATTAAATAAAATGTCAATCTATCAATACTCCAATTTGAATCATCTGATAACGTTTTCAAAGGGATTTATTGGTATATTCCATGATTTGATATCTTCATCCAAGAAAATGTTAGTTATCAGTGAAAATGATAATGATAATGATAATGATGATGAAAATAATAATAATAATAATAATAATAATAATAATAATAATAATAATAATAATAATAATAATAATAATGATAATCATCATAATAATGCTCAAGATTTAACATATATTATTAATTTCTTAATTTTTGCATCAAAATCAGTACATTTCCCCAATTACAGTCCCAAATTATTACTTGAATTTAAACAAGTGCTTCTTAAATTCCAGATATTACTCCTTAATAATTCAAGTCTGGTGGAAGATAGCAAAAAGCCAACCTCCATTGCATTCCATTTTAATCATTTATTAAATTTCCTTAATGAATTATTATCGATTCTTGAATCTTCTTCATCATCAGCTCCAAAAGATGTTTCCCCAATAGTTTTATATCGATTACTTCGTCATTGGTTAATAATTTTACCTTGTAAAATGTTTATTTTAGAAGATTTAATTAATGAATTTGAAGTATGTCTTATGTTTTTATATAAAGCATTGACTCATATTCTTGATAGTTTATTTCCTCAAGCTAATTTCTATTTTTTACAGAATTTCAGTGGTAATGGTATTAAATTATGGTATGAACCAATGTATAAAACAAAGTTACGTCAAAATGTTGGTTCTAATTCATTTGAATTAAATGAGATTAATAAATATTGTATAAGAATAATTACTTTCTTTAAGAAAAGATATAATGTTTTATCAATATTCTTTGGAGATCAAAGAGAACAAACTTTGGCTATCACTCCCGAAATCCTTAATATAAACCTTAATGAAATTATGATCACTAAATTTTGGACAACTAAGAATATCCTGTATTATAATTATGTTCATTTACCTAATGTGGTATCCATTGGAAATCCAAAATTAATTAATTTATTATCTAAAGCTAAACGTAGTAGTGCAGTAAATAAGGCATTAGCTTCATTATATTATTATAATAATCATCATATGAATTTCTTCTTTATTGATTCAAGAAGGAATAGAATTAAGAAGATTAAGAGTGATACTGCAGATCCAATTATTCGATTTCATATGAATAATTTTGAAATTGATCCCTCAACTACAACATCATTTAATCATTCACCAACATCTACTTCTACAACATCGGATTCCTTATCACCACCTAGTAGATTTACACCTCAGACATTAATGCAGAGTCCTGATGAAGATTTTGAAAATTATAAACGAAGGAAAACAACATCAAGTTTAGATATTCTTGGGATGGCTTATGATGAAGATGAAGATGATACATTAAGTGTAACTTATGATAAATTATTTGCTCCTGGTTTGAGCTCATTCTTTGTATTTGGAATTACTAAGGATTATGAAACTCTATTATTGAAGCGAATTGAAGAGTTTGAGAAGAAAGAAGAAGGACCAGATCATGGAATATTTGGAGGTACATTTGATGATGATGATGGATTTGAAGATATTAAATTTAACAACTTTGATTTAAATTATAAGACTGGGTTATGGAATAATGATAAGGATCCATTGCATTATGTTGTAGATTTAGCCATGGAAGAATGGCGTACTCTGTCAATGAAAACAACCACGAGTGCCAATGATGGATATATGGATTCACCTCCGATAACAGTAACAAATTCAATACCAGTAGCAACGATGCTAACCAAAGAATCTCCTCAAGCACATTCTTCTATGAGCCTCTCTCATGCTCCATCTCAAGATAACGAAGATATTCGTCGTTTTGATCAAGATTTTAAATTATTTTCTAGAAAATTACAAAGTTTGATTCTGATCAATCATGAGGTTTATGAATCAATGATTCAATTTTATAGTATCCGGAATAGTAAATTGAATGAATTGATTGAGACTCGTGCAGAGATGAATACCGATAATGAAAATGAAGCAGAAGAGGATGTTGATGATGAAGATGAAGAGGGGAACTTCTACGACGATTTGAATGATGCTTATTTCACAATTTTACTTTAATATAGTATTTGGTATACTACAAGATGTGAATGATGTCATTGATTATGTAAATAGAAATTTATTCTTCTATCTTAATTACTTATATATAGAAATATTCTGATAGGTAATAGTTATTTATTTTTAGGATTACGCAAGTAAGTTAATATAAAATATCCAAATATATTTACAATTGCGCTATACATAAAATATTATCCGAGCCAGATCTAGGACTTGGCTGAGCTTGGCTGAACTTGACATACTTGGCGATCTTTATATAATAAAATGATCTGAGGGGGGCTGAGAAAATCTGGACTATCGTAAAAAAAAGGAATAGAGCGCAATAGTTATTTATAGCTTAATTTGTTAAATATATCATTTATCTCATTTAAAAGATTCGTAAATAAAAGGTACCCTTTAATAAGACGTAATTCTCTTGTAGCCTTGGCATGCGGTATCTACAAAATAAACGTGGGGTACATTTCTAACAGAGTAATCTAGATCTGTCAATACATCATCGTAATTATAGAAGCAAATAAAAAGTAGTGGGAACTAGACCATAAGCTCTAACCCGACTAGGACATCGGAGTTTAAACTTTGGCAAAGCAGTAGAGAATTAGAGTTATGACATACTTACAGAAGATAGAATCTATAAACGGATATAAATTTAGACTAAGAATATATTAATTTTAGACTTAGAATTTAGACCAATTATTACATGATAAGCCACATTCTATAAACTTTAATTAAACGTTACTAGCTACAGTGAGATTCGCAACGCCAATTCGATAGGTGGCATTCCCTTCTTATGATATTTGAACCGTCTCGACTCGTTTCAGAAATGATATGACTTGTTCATGTAGTTGGGATTAGGCTTGGCATGATTTATTTCTTTTTTTCTCTATTTTAGCGAACCCTAATAATAGAACATAAAAGAATAAATTATGTACCAGTATTAGGCTAAGAAACTTTAAATTACGACAAAGCGCAATGGCTTCTAACCTAATTATGTACCAGTCATGGTCATAGGTCAAAGTTTTGCCAACTTTTTGGACCTATGATATCATAGCGTTTCATTTGCGGAGGGGTAGCTCATATATTTAACCTTTTTTATTGTTCGCAAACGTTAACTATAGACGACCAAGTAGAAGCGCCGTAGTCTGGATCCATAGGCGAAGTAGAAGTAAAGTTTAAAAAAAACCAAACTATATGTGTAGGTGTAGTGAGTTATCCACCAATAAGTTCACGGTCAATGTGGTCATGAATGTAACGATACATTCTTAATTGCTAGCCGCCACCACCCCTTAAGGAGAGCAAGCACTAAATCAAAGATTCGCCCCTCCTCCCCTCCCCTTAATTTCTGAGCCCTCACGCTACAAAAATAATTATAGACACTGACTCAGAAAATACTGACAGAATTAAGGAGCGCAACTGAACCAATCTGGTTATAAGCTCTAAATACTATAAATAAAGCCTCGATATCCCGTAAATAATTGAAGGAGAATTAAAACTATACTGGCTCATATTTATAAGTGACTCATAATTTCAAACTCAGACTGGCTCTGATCGTTGACTTAATTTACTAGTCATAATAATTTAATTTCAACTAATGAGTTCCCTGTCCGAGAGTCCTCAGTCGGTGTCAAGTGATCCACTCCGTAGACATTCGTCTACTACATCTACTACCAATTCACATATCTCTTCAGCTAATTCCAAAGTATCATTATCAGCAGCAGCTGTTGTTCCTGGTTCAGGTTCAACTGCTTTTGGAATAGATGGTGATATCAATAGAAAACCCATAAGAAGGAGAAAGCATAAGAACTCTAAATTAGGTTGTGCTACTTGTAAGTTAAGAAGAGTTAAATGTACTGAAGATTTACCCGAATGTAGTAATTGTGTTAAACATAAAGTTAAATGTGATTATCTTGATTATTCAGAAGAACAATTAGATGCTATAAGACAGGCTAAATTAACTAATCAGTTTGATGAATTATCTACAAAAGTTCCTAGATCTCCTTCGAAAAAGAAGGATTCACCTGTATCCAAACATCATTCCACATCATCTACTATATCCGATACATCTACTGCTAACTCATCTATGACTCGTATTAAGGAAGATTTTGGAATAGAAGATGAAGAATTGGAATTACTTGACGATGATGATGATGACGAAGAAGAAGAGGAATTGGATGAAGATGAAGATGAGGATGAAGAACTGGGAAAAGATGATGATGACAATGTAGGTATACTAGGTAAAGATGATCCAGAAGATGTTTCTATAGCTAATAATCTTCAGTCAATCGGTATATCCCGATCTAGTTCCTTCCCCACTCGCGCCAATGTCCGTCGAACCAGTAGACATAATCAAAGACTCAAGAATACTAATACTGCCAAATTATTTGCTAAACATCCTTCACATAATCAAATCCTTGATTTTCAGTCCAATTATATCACACAAGATTTCAATAATATATTAATACCGACAGCGGATGGTGATAAGAGCCAACAAATTATTTATCCGATATATACTATAGGGCTGGATCAACAACAGCAACAACAACAACAAGATATACAACATCCCAATACTGGTCAATTCCCAAATCAGACTCATCAGTATAATCAACAAACTCATTACAATGCTCATATCCATCACCCCCATCCTCCTCAACATCATCCACATCATCATCAAGATCAACTTCTCCAACATCAACATCAACAACGTGTACCACCACATCTCCATAGTTATCATTCGGAAAGTCTGTTAAGTCATCAAGATCATCAAGATCGGGATGAAGATATGAATCAAAACTTTCATAGTTTGGAGAATAATTTAGATTCTACCATTAATTATAATACATTTGAGGATATGGACTTTTTTGGATTATCACCCTCGGCCAACCAACCGCAGCAACAGTTTGATAGAAATCAATTGTTCAATTGGAATAGAGAAAGTGGACCATCAAGCAATGCTGATTTCGCAAGTATGGATACATCAGGTGAAACTAATAATCAATTGTTTGTTGGTAATACTCCTAATAGTAATCCCACACCAGCATTTATGAAATCCCCTACGGGGTTTCAACAGTTCCCCTCTGAGGAGCAGTATCAGAATCAGCCATCATTCCATCAATCATTTGAACAGCAACAGCAACAACAACAGCAGCAACAACAGCGGGTGTTTGAACAACAGCAGCAACAACAAACTTTGTTTAACATGCAACCAGTACCCGGATTCTTCCAGCAACAACAACAGCAACAACAAGATCTTTCACAACCATCTCCATTTCCTCAACGATCACCTTCAGCTATTAACACTGGCTATTCAGGAGGAAATGTTGGTATTAATTCTTTACCTGGAGCTATCTTACTTCCAGATGGAGGAACTAAATTCTCATATAAGAAATATGATAATACTAGATATGATGAAATCTTAGTGAATCTTTTAAAAGAACTTGGACCATCTATTGATAATGGGACTTGTCCCTTACCTAAAATCAGAAATGTTTATCATGTTTGGTTGGCTTCATTTATATATCAATCATTTACTAGTGAATTAATGTTTAGTTGTTTAGTTAATTTAACCACCAACTTTTTGATTTCTACGGTATTTAATAATTATCAGAGTTATAAAGAATATTCGGATAGTTTAAGTATTGCTGATTTAGGTCATTTAAATACAACTGCAACTCCATTTATTGGATCAGGAGTGGGAGGTGCAGGAGCCTTTGATAATCAAGGAACTCAACAACCTTCACCAACAGATTCTAAAGAAGAAATTGAAAAATTACTTGATAAAACAAAGTTAAGGAATTTTGCTCTTGTTAAATCCATTAAACATTATGCCAAAGTTATTAAACAATTAAGAGATTGTCTTAATACTAATGATGATCCTGATCTTTGTGCTCAAGTATCATATATTTTATCTCTCATGTCAATTTATGATCCAGAATCTACTTTAAATTCAACTAATTGTTTTAGAGATGGTTTATTCTCCATTCTTAATTATAATTTTAATCTTTTAATGAAGAAAAATGGTTATGTACCACTTATTATTTGGGTTCATTTAAATTTAATGAAGAATGTTATGAGAGCTGCTTATTTACCAAGTTATGATCCTACATTTGTTTATGAATTTAGAACTGTATTAGTACAATTTGGTATGATATTAAAACCTTTGAAATTATATCAAGATGATTCAAATACTACTTTGAAATTTATTAATAGTAAGTATGATGATTTAATTAATTATGTGGATGATAGTCTTGAGAAATATTTCCCAGTTTTATTGAATAATACTGATGATATTGATATTCAACAACAAGTTCTTTATGATATGCTTTATAGTTGGGTGAGGTTCTTCCCCTCCCGACTTTTGGTAGTTAATGAAAATTCAGATCCTATTGAAAAGATATTATACTTATTCTATAAGACTTGGAGAAAGGCATTATTTACTATCTTTCCTCAAACCAAATATTTCTTCTTACGAGATTTTGATAGTCCATTAATGCTTGATTTATTTGCAATTAATAGAGATGTGGATATATTTTTAGAACAATTACAACATCCTCATTCAATTTGTATACCATGGGAAGAATATAGACCATTGATTACAAATTTAAGATCGATTTCATCATATCTTGTAAGAATAATTACATTCCTTCAAGTTCGACTTAATTTATTATATAGATCAACGGTATATGAACCTATTTCAAAAAAGGAATTCCCAATTGATGATGTTAAAGTATGGAGAGATTCAATTAAGAATATTAAAGATATAAGATATGAATTTAATAAATTTACTGGATTAAGAGAAATCCCCATTAAATCATTCTTAAAGAATTATATTAAATTAGAGAATTATCCTCGAGTGGTAAATGCTAAAAGTGATAAATCATTTATTCGTAAAGATGATGGAGTTGGAATTGATGGGATTTCTGCTCAAACTCCAATGACATCATTACCTTCAGTAGTTAATACTCCAGTACCAACAGTAGAAGAGATGGATATTGAGGTAGATTTATTTAGTTTACAAGAGTCTGGATTCTTAAAGGGTGACTTTAATATTATGAAAGCCGCCTGATAGTAGTGTATAGATCAATAATCAATATACCATTAACTCAACTACACTATACTACACACACTAAATATTACTACTCTTTGTACTTCACTAACTGAATTCTCTCTCACTTTATCTAACAATTGGCTGCGCGCACGACAAAAAAAAGAATGAACGAGCCTGACTGGAAACACGGTATCCGCAACACTCACTGAAGACCGCGAGTAAGTCATTACCAGTTGCCCAATCGTTCTGTCCGTCAGTCAGTCAGGAGAATACATCCATAGTAAGTAGTTAGTTGAGTATAAGTCACTTCACCATCCACAATTCTTTGTATTTAACATCTCCCATATCAATCATATACTATAGTATACCAGTCATTGTATACCATCGTATTCGCATCGTACCGTATCACATATCATACCATAATATAACATAGAAATATCAAATAGCATTATGGCCGACAACACCGACGATTATTCATATGATTATGAATACTTATACAAGATCGTCCTTATTGGAGATTCTGGAGTTGGTAAATCTAACTTATTATCAAGATTCACTAGAGATCAATTTAATTTAGAATTAAGATCAACAATTGGAGTTGAATTTGCCACACGAACATTGGAAATTGATGGGAAAAGAATTAAGGCTCAAATTTGGGATACCGCTGGTCAAGAAAGATATAGAGCCATTACTTCTGCTTATTATCGTGGAGCCGTTGGTGCATTAATTGTTTATGATATTGCCAAAACTGAAAGTTATGAAAGTGTATCAAGATGGTTAAAAGAATTAAAAGAATATGCTGATGCCAATATTGTCATTGAATTAGTAGGGAATAAATCTGATTTAGATCATTTAAGAGCCGTACCAACTGATGAAGCCAGAAATTTTGCTAATGAAAATAACTTGTTGTTTACTGAAGCCAGTGCTTTAAATTCTGATAATGTAGATTTATCATTTTTACAATTATTAAAAAATATTTATGAAATGGTTAGTAAGCATCAATTAGATGCTAATAATGATTCTAATAAACCATCAGCTGGTGGTCCAACCATTAGTTTGACTCCTGCTCCAAAGGAAAAGTCTCATAAGAATAATTCAAACTGTTGTTAGATTAGTCTTTAGTCTTTATTGACATACCATCATACCTAGCTACTTATCCATCTATCTAGTTACATGTATATGTATATTATTATTATTATTATTATTATAATTCTCATTATTATTATTATTATTATTATTATTATATTACAAATTATATTTACTCTATTTCCTTAAACTAGGACCCTGCAAATTTTGATTGGCAACTTTAGCTCGAACACTTACAGGATTTCGAATTGGTTTGACAACGCCTTTACCTTTTTTCAATTTATTAGCTCCTAATCCTAATCTCGATTTAACATCTAATGGTGGTGGACTTTCAATGCTAAGACTTACAATTTGATCACCTCTTAAGATTATTAATCCCAATGAACGTTTATCAAAAGTAGGCTTAACCGTACCTTCATTATTAGTACCACTTCTTAATGCATGAATGGATTTCTTAGTCATACGTATTTCTTCAACATCACTTAATACTAAATTTAAATGATTATCAAATGCAAGTAATGTTCCTATATAATTTCGATTATTCGATGTATCTTTTGATATTATTCTTAATCGATAATTTATGAAATTGGAAAGCTTAGTGGACTTGGTTATAGGTGTGTTTATTGTCGTAGTGGTCAGCATTGTATTGTGTTATGGATGTTCAAATTGATAGTTAGACCTGATAGATATATTTTCACCACTTAACTATGATGTACTTTTTTGATCGATGCTGGTAAGGTAAAAAAATGTGCACGTGATCACAAGGCATTAATAATGACTTCAACAAGAATGGGCTAAAGCCATAATTTATATACAACAAACAGAAAGCATCATGTATATTGTCTTATGTATCCAGTAATATCTATCTTTATATTTTTCAGATAAAGAATATTTCTTGTTGCAGGGTAATTATGAGTAAATTTAATAATTCTGTACTTGGGCTTATAACGAAAAGATTGGAGTAAACACAGTCAGTTCTGAAGCAAAACACGATTCTTTCTTGTTTTAATAAGTGATTACTACCGTTGAAACTTTATATTAATAATATTTGAAATAATACATTTTACTATAGCTCGAAGCTTAGAAATATACAAATTTTGCAACAATTTCGCAGAATTTCTTTAACAAACCACGCAACCTTTAAACTAGTAGTTCAAAAAAGAAATATACAAGATCTCTTTGAAGAGTATCTGATTTAGGTTCGCAATAGTGATAGATATTGCCATCTCACATGTAATTGTTCAAATTAGAAGCTATTCCAAATCTGTATTTGATAACGCAAAATTATTTTTTATTTTACATTTTGCGCTATTAAATGTTTGCGCTACAATAGCATCCGGCCTCCAGTGAAATGACCAAAGCAGTTTTTACTTTATGTGCTATATCCTCCATCAAATTCAGTAATTATTTGAATATACTGAGTCCGAATTACAAAATATCGTGTATATTATTTTTTGTATGAACAAAATTTTATTTACACATGCATGAGAGCGTCTTTTTAGGGCGGCTGTTGAGCTCCTTTTTTAATGGCAGAAGCAACATGATAACAACCATTGATATTAGCTCCACTACATCACTATGGATCAGTCTGTGAAAACTACTCGCCCGAGTTTTATTGCACAGTTTATTTTGGTGATGTCTATTGTGATAGCTCAATATGGAATTATGCTGTGCCTTGCTACCACTAGTAAGGTAGTTGATTGTTTTGAAATAATCAATGATAAATATACAACCAAATACTGGTTAATGATATCGCACTCATATTTGATAGGCTCAATTATCTTAGTTAGTGGTAATCTTATTGAAGTATTTAATCCGAAGCAATTATATACCTTTGGATTTGCCTGGTCTTCTATATGGAGTTTGTTACTTGGAGTATTTATAATTTTGAATTACAAGATAGGTATAATAATTAGTTATTCTTTACTGGAATTAGGATTTGCTCTTATTTTCCCCAGCGTAATCAGTAGATTAGGAGATGCTTTTGACTATACCATGTTTAAGAAAAATATTATTAGCATAATATTCATTGGGTCAATGGGAGCTCCATTCACGGTACTTGTTAGAGTACTGACAAAGCACAACATGTTTTTTACTTTATCCATGATAAGTGGTCTACTTGCTTTATGGAATGCATATATGGTTGCAGACATTTATGGCAATGAAACTCACAATAAGCAGATATTTGAAAAGTTCAAAATTGCAGATTATTACGGGCTTCCTGGAATTATCCTATCCGGTTTTACGTCATTTTGTATTTGTGAAGTTTATTTAACAGCAGGAAATATTTGGATTACTCTTCTTATAGTTGGCTCTGGACTTATCAGTACATTCATTTTCCTACGAGTTATCATGGAATCTTTGCTTCCTCATGTAACAATTACTTGGCATTCTGGTTCTATTATCTCATATATCTCCACAATAATCATTACGTTTATGATTATTTCGTGGTATATGTCAATAAATATATCTGAAGATGCCCCAAAGTCGATTCATGATACAAACTTTGATGATACGTACATCAGAGCTTTTAGTCTTGTTTGGCAGATTCTACTTTTGCTAATTTTTAGAGTAAACTATTCAAGAGTTATACCGCTTGCTACTCTTAGTTTTATAGCTGCGGCAATCATTTTATCTATTATTGTAAAAAGAGAACAAAGTAGTTTCCACTTCTTATATAACAACATTGCATTTGCAATTTATTTGTGTTGTTCAAAATTATCCATTGAGTTGTCGGAAAAGTTGCCAAAAGCACTAACAAGAAAATTCGGTTCTATAGTAGCCTTGATAATACATTTATTGAATTCGAGTGTCTTAATAAGTGTAGAGATTCTTCTCGAAAGCTTCAATCAAGCCGACACATCTAAAATGTTTGGCTGGAGTGTATTCTCGGGATATGCTTCAGGGTTGTATTTTGCTTATTTTTTATTTATAATGTTCCAAGGATTTCAAATGTAAATAATCAGAATGAATCAACAGAGTAAAAATTAGAAGAGTCGTAGTTTTTGCAGTCTAATATAAATGATTAATTAACCGTACACAGTAAAAAGAGATTTGAATTTTTCTATTCGTATATGATATGAAAATAACTGCCTTATATAGGAAATAGAACCCTTAGATTTCGGGGAAATGGTTTGTGTTAGACTAGAAGGTATAATGGTTGTGGAAGCCAAAGAAACTAATCGGAGCTCCGGTAAATATTGCGTTCTTTGCTCTCTTGCGGTATTGCGGTGTTGCTCCTGATGCGCGGTATGGATGTGCCGATACTTCCCATAGTTAAGGAACGGGACGCCGTACCAAATCGCGAACATCCAAACATTTTTCGCCGTTATTAAATTTGCAATAAGATTGTGAAAGTGATAAAGTTTTCATTTAAATAAGATGGAATTTCTTCTAATGAAATTACCACATATATATAAAAAAGGTCTACTATTTATTAAGTAAATAATTTCAGTATTTTAAGTCATAAATGGATCCTCGTCCTGCAATATTTACATCATTATTACACGAAATAGCAGTTGTAACTCTAGTATGCTTGGGTCAATTTCTTACCCAAGCTGGGGTAACCATGTGTTTGAGTTCCATGAATATTATTTTTGATACATTTGAGAGTTCATCAGGTAATGATTCTTTGAAAGTTTGGTTTATGAGTTCATTTGCTTTAACAATAGGTACTTTTATCTTAATTAGTGGGAAATTAGGAGATTTATTTGGACACAAGACTATTTTTATTTTAGGTTGGATATGGACATGCATTTGGTCACTTATAATTGGTTTTTCAGTATATCCCAAATCAATAGTTTTCTTCATTATTGGTCGGGCATTTCAAGGTATAGGTTATGCTATGGTTTTACCTTGTGGTATAGGAATCTTAGGTAATATATATCCCCAAAACAATTCAAGAAAAAATTTGATGTTTGGAATAGTCGGGGCAAATGGGCCATCTGGTGCTATGGTTGGAGCTCTTATTGGAGCTGCTATAGCTCAAAGTTGGTGGTGGCCATGGTTATTCTGGTTGTTAGGTATTCTTTGTGCATTGCTTGCAGTCTGTCTGATGTTTATTATTCCAGCGAACATTAATATTCAACATACCCCCGCAAAAGAATTAATTAGAAAGTTTGATTTTATAGGATCTACTACAGGAGTAATAGGTTTAATTTTATTGAATATTGTTCTAGTACAAGGACCAATCGTGGGTTGGAATCATGGTTATGTGATAGCATTGTTAGTAGTGAGTGTATTGTTAATTGTTGCATTTATTATACTTGAACTAAAGTTCATTGATAATCCTTTACTTCCTAAATCAATTTTCAAAGTCAAAATAGGTTTGATTCTACTTTGTATTTCATTAGGTTGGGGATCATTTGGGGTATGGCAATATTATTATTGGACAATAATTTTAAACTTAAGAGAGTATACACCAATAGACGGAGCTCTTACTTATGTTCCATTCTTAGTATTTGGAATTCTTGCTTCAATGATAGTATCGATAATCATTTCTCGAATAAGACCATCCTTAATTATTTCATTTGCATCAATTTGTTTTATGATAGGATGTTTAATGTTATCCATAATGCCAATTCATCAATCATATTTTGGTATTTCACTCGGACAGATGTTTATTCTTTGTTGGGCAATGGATATGAGTTTCCCTGCTGCATCCATTATTTTATCTGATTATTTACCTATGCAACATCAAGGTATGGCAGGTTCATTAGTTACTACAGTTATAAATTATTCAGTTTCATTCTTTTTAGGTTTATCAAATACAGTTGAAATTGAAGTATTTAATAGAAATGGTCATAATATAGTAGATAGTTATAGAAAGGCTATTTTATTTGGAGTGGGAGTCGCTGCCCTTGGGGTCTTAATGTCATTCGTTTTAGTGTTTTTACTGAAAGACGATCGAAATGGAACTCAATTTGTAACTGATAGTGATACAGAATTACAAATTGAAGATTCAAATATTCTGGAGAAGAAATCTAATGATTTATAGATAGTTAATGAACAATAATGAACAGAAATGTATAATAATGTATAATAATGTATAATAATGTATAATAATGTATAATAATGTATAATAATGTATAATATAGTATTCGGTAGAAGATTATAGTAGGGCCTTACTATGTGCAGGTTCTTTATTTCTATGTGCAGGTTCTTTATTTTGATATATTCAATTTACTGTTGACATATTTACCAATGCCCATTTCCTTCCAGATATACTATACTAATAACCCAATTCTGATTTCAATAGTTGTAGTTTGAGTTCATATTAGACTAGTAAGCTCATATCTTTCAAGAGATTTCCGAAAAGTAGTGGTTAATAGTAGAAGAGTAACGGTGTTTTGAAATTGTTTCATAATGAGTAAAACAGATCAAGATGAGAATACCCTATTTATACCCAAGAAAAGGATATTGGGAGTATCTCAGAAGGTCAATCAGATAAAGAAACAGAAGTCTAGTCGAATGGCATCCTTAGAGTTCGATATGGTGAGAATCCCCAGTGATAGCAGACCCAAACAACCATCGAGAATTCCATCGCTTAATAATAATACTACTTCTACTACTAATGCTAATACTAGAACTACTAATAGTAATGATAATGGGTTAAGTAATATACCTCGACCAACATTACCCATACAACAAAATACCAGTGAAATCCGAAATAATCCTTCGTATAATTTTTCGTCTATTCAAGCTTTACTTAATAAGAAGGGTCCCGTACTAAGACCTCCAACCCATCGAAGTTCTAGTTCACATTCTAATTCAAATTTAATTCTTAATCCAATATTTGATATTGAATATTATCATGATCAAGAAGTTCAATTAGATCAACAACTCAATGCTAAATTAGTTGAATTTAGAAATATTGATAATGAAGTTAGTGAATTAAGAAGAGAAAATAATAAGTATAAATTAAAGTATGATGATATTAATATGAAAGTTATGGAGAAGAGTAGAAAATTAGCTAATTTAGAAGAAACAATCACTTCAGATGTATCAAATCAAGAAAAATTAATTAATATTGATATTCAAAGGTTTCAGACAAAATTAAAGAATGAATTGAATGAGATAGAATTTAGCTTAAAGAATGAATTAAAACAAAATAATCTATTTAAAGATGAAGAAATTGAAAAGAAGATTGAACAATTACAAACTCAAGTTAATACTCTTGAAGAAGAATTAACAAAATCAAGATTAACTAAATCGAATGTAATAGAAAGTGAAACAAAACAATTAGAAGATGAATTATGTAAAACCTTGGGAACCAAGCAATCGGAATTAATTGAGATAACGAAACAACTTGAACAAGTAGAGAAAGAAAGGGTAACTGCGGATGAGAGACTAACAGGTTTAAAATTACAAGTTAAGAAAGTTCAAGAAGAAAACTTTAAACTTGAACTGTCTATTATGGAACTTGAAACAACAATGAATAATTTTAATGATACTAAGAAAGATCTCCTTAGACAAATTACAGTTCTTGAACAACAATTAGGTGAAGTTAAACAACAAGATGTTTATTGGGAACAGAAATTGAAAACGTCAAGTAGTGAATTAGAAACTTTTAATCATAAATGGAATAAATTCGAAAGCCAAAGACGAATCTTAGAGAATTCAATTATGAATCTCGAAAGTAAATCACGAGTATATGTTAAAATTGATAATGATAATGATAATAGTAATGATAATTATAATAGTAATGATAATGAAGTTAAATTAAATAACATGACATATCAATTCAATAAATTATTTACTAATTCAGACACTTATGAGACTATTATTGATGAGTCTTGGCTATTTTTACAAACAATATTACAACCAACAACTACAAATATATCATTAATTTTATCAGGTAATGATCATAATCAATTCATATTAACTACCTTAATAGAAACGTATAAGAAATTAGTTTCTAAGAGTAATTCATTATCAAATACAATTCCTGGGATAAGTCTTAACTTTAAGAGTATAGCCATAAATCAACCATATGAACATATTCTTGACCTTTTAAATTCCAATAATGAACTCTCCCATTCTATAGATGAAGAATGGATAATACCTAATATCCCATCTCAAGCTATGAAATTAGATTATACCGATATTGAATCTACTACACATTTCTTAAATATTATATCCCTGATTATTGATACTACCAGTACAGATTCCATTCATATGCATATAATTACTGTCAATATCCCTCGAGATAATATAATTATTGAGAATAACTTAATCTTTTATGATATTACTAAATTATCTAATCAATTATCTTTATTACAGAAATTAAACGATCATCATTGGTCTAATACATTTATGGATAAGTTAATGGGATTTATGTATAAACAAAGCAAATGTTTATTAATATCGAATTTATCATCAGATAGTGAACAAGTCGATGAATGGCTCAGTGTATTACTGACAATAAAGAAGATGGGAAATAAGAAATAATGGTTAATATATATAAAGTATATTATTATATATAGATGTATGTAATTAGACAGGTATAGAATGAAAATAATTTAAAATAATACAAAGGTAATATAAACAAGTAGGGTACTTAAAAGAAAAGAATTGAATAATGTAATTATACTTACATAGAAGTGATAAGATCATGAAGAACCCATTTCAACTCATCAGTTGTACCTATATGAGCATCTGATCTAGGGATTGATAAGTTAGATGATGATATTTGACTAATTGAAGTATTAATTGATGATGTAGAATTGGTTGGGGTATTAGTAATAGGTGGAACTTTAGTAGTTGTAGTTCCAGTTGTAATTGAACTTGTAACTGATTCTTCCTTTTTAATTGAATCAGATTTAGATTCACCATTGGTAGAATTGTCCTTATCTACTGTTGATGAACCATTGATTTCATTTATCTTATTATTGTTATCATTATTTCCCGATTTAATTAATTCATCCTTCTTAACTGTACCATTAACAATTACTGGATTAACCGAATCAGTAGTTGAAGGAGCTGAAGTTGAAACTACAGATGAACCAACAGAAGTAATGGCTGTGGTTGTAGTAAGAAGAGGCTTTGGAGGTAATATATAATCCAAAGAATTATAACCAATTGAATCATCATTTTCAAGTAAAACATTTGATAATCTTAATTTAGGACCAGAAGGTTCTATTAAATGAGGAAATATTTCAAATGTATCATACATATCTTCAATATTTAATGTAATGTCTTTAGAAGATGAAGGACCATCTAAATCATCAAATTTTCGTTTTTTAGATTCAGAAGTTATTAATGAATTACCTTCTTTAGATTTTTCATCATTTTTCAGTAATTCAATTAAATAATCATTACTAGTATATTTTGTTTTTCTATATTTTGCAACATCAATAGCACTTTCTATAATACTTTTAAGATGAGAATTTAATCCTAATGTAAGAACTTCTAATACATGAGAATTAATTCCTCCAGTTAATCCATATTCACGCATTGTCATTAAAATTCTTTTTGATAAATTATCCATATCAGGTAATTCATAATTTTCAATGGCAATTGGAGTATTTATACCATTAACAACATCTTGTTGCCATTGAACAAGATTATTAACTTGTAATTGTTGTTCATCTTTATCTTGAATCATAGGAATTTTAGGTAATAATGAATGTCTAGTTAATGTAATTCCAGCAGTAATTTTTCCTTTTTTACCACCATCTTTTGTTATACTTTTAATTCTTCTTCTTTCTCTAATTGGTAAACCCATTATATTAGCTTTAACTTTTTCATATTGTGATGATTTAACTTTAGATGATTTAGCTGATTTTTTATTCCAAAAACTTGCAAATTCATTTTGAAAATCTAATGGACCATCTTTTAAAGAATTAGCAAAATTTAATAATAATAATTTATTATGATATTTTATAAGTCCATCCTTTAATATAGGAGTTATTATTGATACTAATTCAGTTCTTGATAATTTCCCAATTAAAAATAATGCTAAAGTTTCATGATACTTTTCCCAATTATTTCCTAATTTATTTTGAAATTCTCGAATTAATCTTTCTAATTCCAGTCGTTTATTAGTTCTCATTGATCTTGTATGTTGTTGAGGGTGAGGATGAGATGATGGACCTGATACATTATTTGAATTAATTGATATTGATCCAGATCCAGATCCAGATCCAGATCCAGATCCAGATCCAATTCCAACTCCTGTCCCATTTGATTGAGATGATTGTCCATGGGATGTTGTCGCTATATCAGAGATATCTATACTATTAGAATTTGGAAATTTTTTAATATTTGTCGTAGAAGATGAAGACTCATTTAATGTAGATGTAACTAATGATTGAGTTGGATAACTAGCTAAAGATGACGTCTGAGATGTCATCAGCAATTTCTATATCTATAAGGATGAATCAATGAATAAAGAACTCAATTAATGAATTAAATATATTAATGGAGTTGTCAACCCGTCAAGGTTTTTGCAATCGATGAAAAAAAAAATATTGATACTACTAGTAATAAAATATAATAATAATAATAATAATAATAATAGTACTGGGAGGGTGGGGGGATTTCAAATTAAGTAAGGAACACCGAGCACAAGGGGTGATCACGAGATAAAAATGACGGAAATATATTGAACTATATAATATCCACGTTTAACAATTGTTTGAATGATTGATTGATCAATTTAGATGATGGATCGATGGAGATTACTGCTTAGATATGAGCATTTTGGGGTACCGTACCAGTTCCTCGAGGACGATTTTTTTTTCATCTTGGTTGGTGAGGGACTGCATAGAGGGGGAGACAGACACAGTGACAGAAAGAGAGACATTCGATGGGGTATTATTATTGTTGTCGCGCGACATTCATTTAGATTATGTATAAGATACCTCTTAATAGGTTTATATATACCTCTTTGTAAATTTATAAAGAGAGTAACGCATATGACTAGACCAGACAACATTAGACTAGACTAGATTACACTATAACAGACTAGACCAAGATATATGGAGTTCAAATCTCCATTCCCAAATTTTCAGGGAATTAGTAAGCCATTTAGCCCTTGATCCAAGCTTTTTTTGCAACACCAAAGAGAATCAATGACCCGTAATACGAACGACAGAATACCGGAGAATCGATTTAATATTGACAGATTGGATTTGTAATTATTATTGCAATTGTTATCGTAAATAATTCAAATTGGTAATTCCAAAATTTAACCTAGCATGTTTGCCACTCTAAGCCTTATTTAGTTTGCAACCAAGCTTAACTAATCAATGCTAAGCTTATATCCACCGAAGTTTTAACTCTATACTAACTACTAACGCCTAACCCCAGTGAATTACGTTATAGAATCTATCATTACGAAAGGCTGAACCCTCTCCAAACTATAAAAATAATAAGTCAATGGTATTATTAATAGTAATCTTTCGGTTTCTATTCTAATGTCCATTATTAAGCAGTGATTTTTCGGACAAGTTCCCGTCTCCGTACCATTGTGAAGTACCTGAAATTGAGTTGTACTGCGGTTTTAACCATATTTGTTATTTAAAGCCGGAATGTAAGGCGTATATACAGGAAAACACTGCCAAAACTAGGGTGGAAATAAATATCTCACCGGCCATTGCTTCCGCATTGGGAAGAAACCTCCGTGGCACAACTAAAAAGAAATAATAAAATATAAAATAAACAAAAGAAATTCGGTAATCAGTACTAAAATTTAACCAGGAAAGGCTGAACATCCATTGATTACAAAAGGACGAAAGGCAGTTTCTAGTAAAATAATCATATTATCAGAATGATAAATTGCGGAGCAATTGACTAGAAAATTCTCTTAAGCGGTATAACCCATACTGGAACTAAGAATAGGCTATTTCCGAAAATTTATCATTTTGCTTACCTATAAAAAACATTATACATAATAGTTTACGACACAGAATACTCCGAGATAATTTTGCAGTAGATAAACCGTCTGCATTAATTTAATAATATATAAGTCATCGAATATCCCTACTCTTATAAATTAAACAATTTTAAATCTCTATAGTTGACAATTAAACATTACTTGACTATATATTATTAAATTGTATTTATTATTAATTATTATATTATATACTAATCATTAATTATAATTATAATGTCTACATCAACCGATCTTACAGTCGATAAAGAATCGACAGGAGATGAATTCCAAGAAGAAAAACATACAAATAGAATTGAATCTAATGGAGAACCAAGTTTAACTGGTAATAGTATAAGTGAAGAAGATGATGAAGATGATCATCATGTTCAACAATTTGCTGGAGAAGAAGAAATTCATGATAATGAATTAAATCATCCATTATCAAGAACTGCTAGTGTAATTCATAAAGTTCAAACTGGGGTATCATTCTTTAATGACAAAATTAAATCTCATAGAAAATCTTTAGCTCTTAGATTTGGAGTTATTTATCTTGTTATGTCAGTATTAATTCTTGGAATTTTTTCAATTTATTGGGGTTCAATGATTGGAAGATTTGATAGAATTAGAAATTTAAGAATGTTGGTAGTAATTGATGAAGAAGAAATGAATGGAGTTCCACCTATTTTTGGTGATCAATTAAGAACTATTTTAGCAACTGGTGAAGCTCAATATTATGGTGATTGGCATATTTATAATCATACTGAATTTATTAATGAATTTGGTACTGAAAGATCAGTAGAAAATGAAATTTCAAGACAAATCCATCATCAAAATTATTGGTCATCACTTTATGTTAAACCTCAAGCTACTTATAATTTTTATCAAGCATTAATTAATGGTGATACAACTTATAATGCAACTAATAATAGTATTATTTCAATTTATGAAACTGGTAGAGATTTTCTTAATATGAATTCTTATGTTCTTCCTTCAATTGAAGGTATAGAATTTGCATGGTTAGATTTACAATCTAATGTAACTTTACCTTTAATACAAATTATTCAAAGTGGATCTCATGCAAATGTATTTAATAATCCTTCAACTTTAGCTGTTCTTGGTTCATCTATTGGATTTGGTTATTTTGATCAAAGAGTTTGGACTGATCCAGTTATAGTTGCTCCATCTCAAGTTGGATTAATTTATATGATTATTATGACATTTTTCCAATTTAATTTCTTTGTGGATGTTCATAAAGATGTACTTAAAATTGGAATTAAAAGAGTACATTTTATGATTTATAGAATCATTTCATCAATAGTTTCATTTTTAATTATTAGTTTGGTTTATTCATTAGTAAGTTTAGCTGCTCAAGTTGATTTTACAAAATCTTATGGTAGAGGAGGATTTGTTGTATATTGGATGATCTCTTTCTTATGTATGTGGGCAGTTGGTCTTGCTAATGAAATTGCTGGTATGTTACTTATAATTTATTATCCACCAGTAGTTGGATTTTGGATGTTATTTTGGGTTATTATTAATATTTCTCCAACTTTTACTCCATTAGCTTTATCTCCAAAATTTTACAGATATGGTTATGGTTTACCAATTCATAATGCTTATGAAGCTACTAAAGTAATATTATTTAATACTTGGAGAGGTCAAATGGGTAGAAATGTTGGTATTTTAATTGCTTGGTGTGCAATTTTAACTATTGCTATGCCATTTGTTGTGAAATTCTTTGGAAAGAAAATGGGTGAAAAGGCTAGAGAAGCAATGCAAGCACAAATGAAAGAAATGGCTGCAAAACAACAACAACAAGAAGAAATTCAATTTGAAAAGGAAAAATCTGAACCATGAACATTAACATTAACATTAACATTTTTTAAATATCTTATTTATTTATTGACTCTGATTTAATAATTTTCAAATTTTAATAGTTTTGTATATAGTTAGGGAAATTAATAGACGTTGCATTATGAAATTTTATTGTAATTACCATATATAGAGGGATTTATTTATTTATTTATTTATTTATTTATTTATTTATTTATTTATTTCTAAGAATTTCTAGTTTCAAATTCATCACCAGATACATCTTCTTCTTCTTCAGCCCGACGACTAAATACTTTTCTAATTTGATTAAGTATAAGTCCTTCATCTTTTGATTCAATTGAAGCTCGAGATAATGAAGGAGTTAAAATATCTAATTCATCTTTAACTTCTTTTAATGTAACAGCATCTTGATCTTGATCAGTTTTAGCTTGTTCTTTCATACTATTATGATGTTTACCATGATCTGCATCATCATTTAAATCAAGTGCTCCAACTGTAAGATTTAATAATGATTTACCTGATCTTTTTCTAAATAATGTACCAGGGAATGGACCTGCTTTTGGTAAATATTGACTAAAATCATCTCCAATACTTGAAAAATCTTCTGTATCATGTAAAAGTACTGATGAACGTCTATTTAAATTAATCATTGATTTAACTGATCTTGGAGTCTTTGGAATACGACATGATACTCCATTATCATGAATCCATTTAGCAACTACTGCGGTCCAACCACATTGATGAGAAGCTCCTAAACCTCGACCAGTATCAGCATCAAAATATTCAAAAAATGGTACATAATCTTTAAATAATGGATCTTTATTTAATAAATCATTTTCTCCATTACATGCACGATTCCCTTCATCATCAGGAATAAATAAATGCATTAAACGATGTTGAATTTCTTGAGCACATTGAGCTAAATTTAAAAAATCTCCTGACCCTTTAGGACATTCAACTTTTAAATCAGGTCCATAATATAAATAAAATCTTTGTAAAGCTTCAACTAATAAAAAGTTAACAGGGAACCAAATTGGTCCTCTCCAATTAGAATTACCTCCAAACATACCTGAATCAGATTCTCCTGGTAAATATTCAACTACATATTTTTGACCATTTACATTCATTTCAAATGGATGATCTTTATGATATTTTGATAATGATCTAATACCATAAGGTGATAAAAATTCATCTTCATTTAACATTCGATCAAGAATATCTAATAATCTTTCTTTATTAACTAAAGCTAATAATAATCTTTCACCAACCCCTCTAGTTTCCATTGAAGCAATATTTCTTTCAGCAATTGATTTTCTCAGATTAATAAACCAATCTAATCTCTTTTTAAAAGCTGGGAATTTCTCTAATAATTCTGGTTCTAAAGTTAATGAAGCATATAATGGAATTAATCCAACTAATGATCTTACTGGTAAAGATTGAGTATTACCATCACCATATCTAATAGCATCATAATAAAATTTATCCTTTTCATCCCATAAAGTTGCTTGAGGTAAATCTGAATCTGGATCAACATGTGACATAGCATCAGCAATTAAAATAAAATGTTCAAAGAATTTAGAAGCAATATTTTGATAAACTGGTCTAGTTTTAGATAATTCTAAAGCAATATTTAACATTTGCAATGAAAAGAAAGCCATCCAACCAGTTGAATCTGCTTGTTCTAAATTCCCACCAGTTGGTAAATCTTCTGAACGATTGAAAACTCCAATATTATCTAATCCAAGAAATCCACCTTCAAATACATTATTACCATCAGCATCTTTTCTATTAACCCACCAAGCAAAATTTAAAGTTAATTTATGGAATACTCGTTCTAAGAAATCAATATCTTCAACTCCATACATTTTTCTTTCAATTTTAAAAATTCTATAAGCTGACCAAGCATGAACTGGAGGATTAACATCACCAAAATTCCATTCATAAGCTGGAATTTGACCATTTGGATGCATATACCATTCTCTAGTTAATAAATCAATTTGATTTTTAGCAAATTCAGGATCAATCATAGCAAATGGAATACAATGGAAAGCAGTATCCCAAGCTGCAAAGAAAGGATATTCCCATTTATCAGGTAATGATAAAACATCATCAATATACATATGAGTCCAATCTTTATTTCTACCATTAGCACGATTAATAGGTGGTTTAGGAGTATTTGGATCACCTTGAGACCAATAATTATGAACAAAATGATAAAATTGTTTTGTCCATAATAATCCTGCAAATGCTTGTCTTTGAACTTGTCTTAATTCATCTGACATTGGAATTGGAGAAACTTTCCAATAAAATGCATCTGCTTCATCTTGTCTTCTATTAAAAATTTCATCAAGTTCTCTTTCATCAATTTCATCAGGTGATTTACTTAATCTATATCTAATAGTAACATAATCTCCTGGTGGAACTCCTCCTTGTTGATCAAATGTAAATGCTGCACAAGCTTTTGTACCAAAATTTTCTGGATTAACTACTCCTTTTTCATTATCAATAATATAATCATGGAATGCATCCTTAACATATTTATGTTTATTTGGTTGATCATATAATCTTTTTGTATTTGTTTCATTTTCAGTAAATAATAATTGAGGTTCAACATCAGGTGAATCATCATCAATACCAGGAGCTGGAGCAAATGTAAGATAACGTTTACCAAATTTTTCATGATAAACTTCTATAGTATAATCATTAAGTTTTGTTAATTTTGGTTTAATTTGTTCTGATTCTTCAGTACCCCAAGCCCAAGTATTTCTTAATACTAAATGAGGTAATATATGTAATGGAGCAACTTCATTACCTCTATTATAAGCAGTTATTCTAAAATTTAATTCTTCAACATCTTCATCACCTTTTGCCATTTCAAATACCACATCAAAATATTTATTATCTTTAAATAAATCTGTATCAGTAATTTCAAATTCTCGTTCTAATCTTGATCTTTTAACATTTTCTTCAACTAATTCTTTATATGGAAATTTACTTTGAGGATATTTATATAAATATTTCATATAAGAATGAGATGGAGTATTATCAAGATACCAATATAATTCTTTAACATCTTCACCATGATTACCTTGAGAATTAGTTACCCCAAATAATTTTTCTTTTAAAATCTCATCTTGACCATTCCAAAGTGCCATTGATAAACTTATAAATTGTCTTCTATCAGATACACCTGCTAAACCATCTTCACCCCAACGATAAGTTCTTGATCTTGAATGTTCAAATGGGAAATCAGACCATGCATCTCCATTAGGACTATAATCTTCTCGAACTGTTGCCCATTGACGTTCACCTAAATATGGACCCCACGTCCTAATTCGTTTCATTTTGAGTCGAGACTCTTCCTTTGTTAATTTAGTCATCGTTACACTTTGATATTATTAACAGATAACAAGATCAATTGTTAGGATAAGAAATTGAAAAATTGAAATTTATTTATATCAATTGTGTACCTATTTAAAATTCGGCTTGCAGATATCCCTTAGATTTAAATTTACTATTAACCACGTACAACTACTGCAAAGAATTGCTATGTAGCACAATGCGGTGAGTGTAATCTGAAATTAGCGGGATGACTTTTGTTCGCTCATTCTGCGTACCGATCCTTTTGACTTTATTATTTAGTGGTACATTCTACAATTAGTGAGCTTTACTGCGATCAATTAAATTATTTTTGTTATCCTTCGTTATTATATAAACTTACAGTTATTATACTAAATTATTAATTTATTGATCCCATGGGCTCGGTATATCGGAACAACATTGGTACGGTAAATAAAGCCCAGAAATTAATTACCATTATGATATGATTGCTGCATATTTAATTAATTACAACTAATATTTATTTATAAATCTATATTCTTAGCACATGGTGGTGGTGGTATTAATAACCATACCGATTACAGTATAATTTGTACTAAATCAAGTAATTAATTCAGTAGATGCCCATGCCCATTTCGCAGGTGCGATTATTCCCCCTAATTCTTTTTTTTTAAATTGCTGCTCCCTAAGCTTCTCTTGCACTTTGTGTAAGAAATGCCGCTGTAGCCCGCCGTTTTGTACAATTGCCATTCCCATTATATTTAAAAGTAATTTGCAATCAATACTTAGTAATTTAATAGTCACTCAAAGTAAATAATTTGTTTTAATTAGCCATTAATTGCATGTTAATTCCAATCGTGAAATATTGGACTGCGTTATTATCTATACAATACATTAGAGTACCTTTTTTTACTATGAATTTAATTATAAGTTGTATTTAGCGGCGATGATAATATCAAAGCACAAACTCATTATTCATCATTAGTAACACCAATTTATGATATAAATGTAATTACATATCCGTCCTTTGACTATCAGTCGCCAAGGCCACAATAGATTTAATAGAAGAATTGGTTGTAACTATAACTCCAGAACCAGCTTTAACTAATTCATTAATTAAGAAAGAACCAAGATAAGCTTCATCACTTAATTTAGCAATTCTATATTCACCACCAAATTGATTTAAAGTTGATTGTAAAGCATAAGATAATTTAATCACCAAGTTTTTCTTGATTATCAATAAGAATATGTGTATGGCAGTTGATGTGTGTAATGGTTGTGTACAGGATGAACCAACTTTTTTGCAACTAATTTAGAGTAATTATCTTGTATTAATTCCTTGACCGGTTTACAGATTCTAACAGCTCTCATTGCAGAACCGTGCATAGAGCCTTATAATTTCCCAAGAAAAGACTGATTTGCACTCTTTATAAATTGATAGCAAAATGTATGAATGATCTCTAGTCAATCTCTATTTCAATTAGTATTAAAAATGTCATTTTGGAAACGGTTAACAAAATCTAAAGTTAAACCTCCACCATACGAGGAAGCCATTGGCAAGACCATGGTTACTGAAAAGGATAATTCTCTGAAAATGGATTCTGAGAAAAGTGAGAAAGCTGCACCAAGAATTCCTACCGAAAGAGAGGAGGATGAATTTGACAAAAAGTATGATGCAGAGTATAATGGACCTCCTTCTGCAGTTACCGATGGCAAAAAATTGGCACGGAAATATGCATTATACTCGCTGATCTAGATGAATTATCAACTGATGCATCATCCCTCAATGCATGGCAAAGAGTTTTGAACCAGGTCTATTCCGAAATACAGGGTCTTGAAAGGTATCTCTATTCCCGGTATTCTAGAAACATAGTATACAAAGATAAAGACTATGGCCAATCACTGGGTTTATTTTATGTGCAATTTAACAGAAAAATAATAGCAAGATTAATTCCTAAAATTGAAATAATCAAACCAGAACATGGTGGATTTCCTGGTTTGAGTGATCTTCAAAAGTTCATTGCAAAGAATTCTCATCTTTTAGATCCAGAACTTAAAGCTAGTGTAATGAGAAAGGGGCAATAGTATGTTTGTATTTTGAAATAAATATATAATAAGTGATTGAATAGTTCATTCGTAGAAAGTCGTGACTTTATGGGTTTATAAAGAGCATTCTATATAATGTTACTCTTTGGTTATATGATATCATGTTACCTGCTTAAATCTTCCTTCTTAAATTAGATATGGAATTTAATTATACCGGAAGGGCGATTTTTGTCTTCAATAATGTATGCAAATATAAATAACTATTTGATAATGATAATCACAATTGAAAAAAACAATCCGTTCATAGCCCTTGTTTCATATAGTAGCACAATCGAATTCATGAATTAAAGTTAATTTTAGCAGATAAGTTTATGGCAATATGAAACTTGTAGATAATCCTCCCTTAATTAGTTCTGTTATATATATAATGCAGACATGTTTTAAAAGATGATTTTAGCAGCGTCTCAGATCGCATATACATATATATATATATACAGACCTGCTTTCGACAATTTTATTTTGAATATAACCTGTTTATAACAAATAATGCCATTCCCAAGCTTATCTATGTCTCCATTATTAGACTAGTTCCTCTTTGTTGTTACGGCCTGTCTAGCAATTCAACGGATGGTATAATGTTACTCTATTACTACTACAATGGGGCAATGTTGCCTATGTCTATTTGTATAATCTTTTATCATACTGCCAGTAGACGTACCCATTTTAAATCCACTGCCTTTAAAGATGAGTTAGTTAATTTAATTTGCAGCTATACAAACCTAAATAGGTCCTCTTTGAAAAAAAAATCATATGACATATCATGTGATCATTAAAAATCTAATATTTTGCAACTATAATTTATTAACTTTACTAAAACCTAACGACCGAAATACTTCTTTTCAAATGGACGAACCAAATTATATCCAATGAAAGCAAATACAATGTTCAATTCAAAAGAGATATCACCACCATAGTCTCCCAATTTACGAGCAATAACTCCAACATACCAAGTTTGATCCATGCATAAGACAGTAGAAACAACTCCAAAGCAAAATGCTACTACACCAGCAATACCAACTGGTAGAGTTTTTCTATCATTGAAATTACTGACATCATAACCTGAATATCCTTTTCTGTAGATGAAATGTTCCGTTAAAGAAATACCAAGATAAATTGAAACATTATAACTAATGATGGATAAGAAATTAGACATAGCAGCTTCAAATACGTAATATGCTGGAATTGATAAACCTAAACTTAGGAAATTACCAAGGACACACCATACTAATCTCGGAACCTTAGCTAATTGTGACCACATACATTGAATAGAAACCGATAATGAATAAGAGCCAGGCAAATTATTGGCAATACCAGACAATGCTAACAATACAACAACAAATCTATAACCTTGATTGGTGTTATCTCCACATAAAATTTCATAGACTAAACCACCAACTGAGTTTTCTTCAAAAGCATTAGAATAAGCTTCATTAGTGAAAGTTCCCATTCCAATTGCTGCACCTAATATGGCAGCAAAAATGGTTGGAGCAGATAAACCAATAACCATTGCTGAACCTACTTTCCAAGCCGGTGTATCATGTGGCATATAAACAGTATAATCAGCGGCGGAAGGTGCCCATCCTGCAGTGAAACCAAAAATAGTAGAAATAAACGTCAAAACATTACCAGCTTTAGTTGCAGAAGATCCTTCCATTGTACCCCAAGTAAAGGAATGAGATTGACTGAACCTAGCTATAATAACCAAATAAATAGCAAAGTTTGGAATCCAACTGTATCTTTCATAAAGATGAATAGTCTTATAACCAAAAACGGCCAAGAGGCAAGTAATAACAACAAATATAAGACAACCAGCCCAGGCAGGCAATGGACCAACTGCTGTTAATAATTGAACACAAGGAATAACATTAATCGCATTCCACCCTATACAAGATATGACATTGAATAATGCGAATACTCTTCCCATAATATTCCCTGTAAAGTATCTAGACATGATTTGTTGTCTTAAACCGAACTTCATACCAAATGAACAATAGAACCCGACTGGTAAAGCACCAATAATAGACCAAAGAACAATGACTATGATAGAAGTCTTGAAATCTAGTCCAAATAATGTAGGACCTAATGCACCTGTAGATAAAGCAGAAATGGCCAAGTTAGGAGACAAGAACATAAAAAGAGGAGATAGTAATGTTTTATCAACTCTTTTATTCTCAGGTACTCTTTGAATACCTCTGATCTCAGCATTGAATCTGAGACCAATCTTGTCTATAAAGTTGGTAGGTTGTTCATCATCATATTCTTCAAAATCTTCCTCATTAGATTCCGAAGGATTTAAAGTTTTCTCTTCCTGTTCTAATTTTGACATGACTTTATCAGATTATTTTCTTAATTATATGATTAGGTATGGTTAAAAACTGAATCTGTTATAATTATAATTATAATTATATAAAGAGTAATTAAGAAAATACCTTCTTAAGCGATAAAATAAAAAAAATTCATTATATATATATAATTATGTTGAAATCACCGATAAGAGAGTATGAATGAATATTATTATTATACGCTATTGTTAGTAATAAGTTAGTACAAACTTATATTCCAAAGGAACGGCTCTTTTCAATTATGCTGCAGTGCCTTGCGATATGAAAAATTTCACTAAAACTTTCTGTGCGGCCCCATTTGAATTTTAGTCCACATATGGGGAAATGTACTTAATAAATCAGATAAGAGATATGTAGATCATGGCTTTTGTAATTAGTTCTCCTTTGCAACGTGCTTACAGAATACGTTGCATGATTTAATGGTAACTACATTATTCAAAATTATTCAAGAGTTCCAAATTAAGTTTTTAGGACTGTAGTCTTGTGACTGGAATATCTCTGCATTTTGTGTAAATGTAGACATGAAAGGTTCGGTGAAATAACTTTAATAAAATATTCTCCGTGCCAAGAAGAATTGTAAGGGCTCAGCGATAGTGGAGAAATATCTGTACACTAAGCAGTTTATTGAGAACTATCAATTGTTACTTCAGCTAACTCTGAGTATTATCGTTTAAAAAGTAGTAAATAGTCCAAATACCCCTACTTGGCAACAATAACTATTCCAAGTGATTAGTAGTAAAGTAAACAGGTTATATGTAAATGCAACTGACTGAACTTATATAATGCTCAGGTTTTGTATTGCGGCAGTGATCTTTTCCTCCTATAAAATTTGAATCATGCGAGAAAGGCAAATTATCCAGCCCTAATATCATTACAATTGGATATAGTTATACTACGTATTTACTTAATCTTTAAAGTAGAATATATATAAGAATGGCTGACTTATTTGCCAATTATGAATCGGATTTTAAATTCGCTTTACAAGAAGCGAAATCGAAATTAGATCAAATTTCAACTATACAAGGAGGTAAGTTTCAATTCATATCGTCACCTAGTTATACTTAACAATTAGTTACTAACATTAATTATTTATAGATGAAAGAAAGCTTTATTTAAAGGGTATTGAAAATGCCATTGAAGAAGGGTTGGAAATGATAGATCAAATGGCTATAGAAGTACAAAATTTACCTACCAATCAACGATCATCATATAATACCAAGATACGTCAATATAAATCACAAGTTGATGAAAGTAAATCTAGGTTAAATCAAATATTAGATAATGAAGATAAACGTGAATTATTTGGAGGTAGATATAGTGATAATGGTAATGGAGAATTTGGAGATTCTATACATGATCAACAACGTAAACAATTACTTAATAATAATTCATCATTAGAAAGGTCAAGTCAAAGATTAAAAGATAGTCAAAGAATCGCATTAGAGACGGAATCTGTAGGAGGAGATATTTTAAATAATTTACGAACTCAACGAGAACAAATTCAAGGATCAAGATTGACTCTTCTGACAGCCGATACTTATGTTGATAAATCTATTAAAACTTTAAAATCAATGAGTCGAAGATTGGTAGCTAATAAATTTATAAGTTATGCTATAATAGGTGTTTTAATAGTATTAATATTCTTAGTTCTAGCCAGTAAATTCTGGTAAGATGAATTCAGATTTAACTATAACTATAACAGTATTCAATTCTATAATAAACTTGCTTTCTACATTTTATATACGTCCTCCACTTTCAGACTCAATGTACTAATTACTACAAAAGTTTTATATATGTAGCTTTACCCCTAAATTTAACTGAATTTAACTGACACATTGTACTTTGGAGTTTGGTGCTTATTTCCTAATCGGACCGTAACTTTTAGTAATCGCCGTTTTTTCATTTATCGATTTCTTTTTTTTTTTTTGCCCGGCTCCATCACCAACAAAATAAAGCACAGTAACCAAGACAGAGTTAATAAATAAGAACAGTATTGATTTCAGATCATTTCAGTGTTATTCTGTATTTCCGTGTAAATAGTTCCATTTCAAGTATAGACTAATTTGACATTGTCGAATTAGTTTCATTATAGAATACTTGCCCTTAATTATATATTCATTATTTCATAAATTGTATTAGTACAAAATATCATGTTTGCACGAGGATTATTAAGATCAGCTACATTAGCTAGAACGATTATATCTCATCAAAGTAAGATTGGTATAAATTCCAGTAGTAGTAGTGTTATTAAAAATCACAAATTTATTCAAACTATTGGTTTACGAGGTTTTCAACAATCTCTGATCAATAATCATGGACATCTTCATAAACCAAAACCTGGTGAAGAACTTCATATAACATTTATTACAAAAGATGGTCAACAACATACTTATGAAGTTGCTGAAGGTGATAATATTCTTGATATTGCTCAAGCTCATAATTTAGATATGGAAGGTGCATGTGGAGGTTCATGTGCTTGTTCTACTTGTCATGTAATTGTTGATCCAGAATTTTATGATGAAATACCTGAACCAGATGATGATGAAAATGATATGTTGGATTTAGCATTTGGTTTAACTGAAACTTCCAGATTAGGTTGTCAAGTCCATATGACTAAAGAATTGGATGGAATTAGAGTTGCTTTACCTGCTATGACTCGTAATTTACAATCAAAAGATTTCAATTAGTTAATTAATATTAGACTTTTATTATTTATTCATATAATCAAAATTATGCCTGTAAATAGATACATGAAAAAAGAATATATATACAGTATATGTACAGCTTAGTAGAAAGAAGAATCATCACTATCTTGATCTGATAAATCACTATCATTGTCCATTTCATCAATTCGTTTATCTGAACAAACAGAAAATGTGAAATAATTCAGAGAATGTCGAGAATAGAATTGATCTTCTCGTCCAAGTACAGCAAACATAGCAGATAAATTAATGGAATTTCTTATTAATTCCAAAATCAAATCAGATACATTATGATGATTCAAAAGTGGATTTCCATATATATCTAACTCTACCAATTTTAATAGCTTAGTAGAATCTGATGAACCTAATGATTTTGCAGACAATTGATCAATTTTATTAGAGTATAATGATATTGACAGTATTTGAGGAGAAGAATTAGAATCAAACTTTATTCTGAACTGATTAATCTTATTTCTATTAACTTTCAATTGTTTAAGACTTTCAGGAAGTGTATACTCAAATGAAGTCAACTGATTGTTTGATAAATCAAGATATCGAATTTTCTTAAGTTCATCAAATGAATTTTCTTTAATGAAATTAATTTGATTGGAATGCAATTTTAAATATAATATTGATTTAGGTAATATGGATAGATCAAATTTAGTTAATGAATTTAATGATAAATCTAATACTTTTAATTTCAGATTTGGACCAAATGAAACTTGTTTAAATTGTTCTATTTTATTTCCCACAATACTTAATTCATGAATAGATGACAGAAAAGTTTTATCAATAATTCTTTCAATGTTATTTGAATCAAGATTTAATACTTTTAAATGAGGTGGTAATTTTATATGATGAATATCTTTAATTTCATTAGCATTTAAATATAATACTTCTAGATTCATAATTTCTCCTCGATCATTTTTATCTAATCTAATTACTTTAGATAAATAATTTTCAGTTAAATGTATTACATACAATCCTGAAGGTAATAAATGATGCTTTATAAGTTTAATATTATTACAACCAATTCCTAAATCCTTTAATTTCAATGGAAAATGTACATACTCAATAGAAGGTATTTGATTTACTTCTAATGATAAAGTCTCAATTGAATCTGGGAATTTTATATTAATTAAATTATTTTGAATATTAGTATTGGAAAGTTTCAAGTATTTAAGATTAGTAAATCGTAAGAAATTTGGTATAAACAGATTCCAATCAAGTTGATTATCAGCAAGATTTAATTTCTTTAATGTTGATGGTATTAATATAGGATCATTTATAAATGTTAGATCTTTAAGTTTATTGTTACTTAAATTTAATTCAGTTAATGTAGGAGGATATTTAATATCGTATATTAACGATGGACATGATTTAGTTAATTTTATATTCTCCACTTTAGATTCAAAGAATGATATATTTGGATTCATATATATTCCAGTCAAACCGATTCTTTTCAAATTAGAATTGGATTTTATGTATGATTCATTCAAATTGACTCTTTGGATTGGTAGATCTTCAATGATCAATTCTTCCAGATTAGGTAATGGAATACCATGTATGCTATCTGTTGTAATACCAACAAAGCTTGGTAAATTAGATAGTTCTAAAGTTTTTATACATTTATACAATTTCCAACTATCCAATTTTAACTCAATTGATCCAGCTAGTCGAAGATTTTCAAAGCTTTCAAGTGAAATTGATGATAATTGAAGTTTAAATTTAATTTTATTATTAACATCAATTTTTAAGTCAAATCCAGGTCTATATTCACCAGCAAAATTAACACTTATTTGACAATTATCTAACCATAATCTAGTTAAATGAATAAAATTTTGAATATTCAATGTATACTTCTGTTTGAAATTATAAATAATTAAGGAATGCAATTTAACCCGATTTGAAAAATCGTTTAAAATAGTGAACAATCGAATTGGGTCAATCTTATATTCTATATCTGGATCAAATTCAAGTTCTAAATTGAATTTATAATCGTATGCTCTGTTATAATTGTTTTCTGATAATTTTTTCAAATTCTCCTCTAAATCTACAAGATCTGTTAGTGTCCATATATAATAACTTATAGTGATAGATCGTTTATAATTAAAATTTAAATTCAATAATTCTTCAAAGTCAGTAAAAGTTTTCAAATAAACATATTGAGATTTATCTTCAAATATAGGAGTTAATTTATACATATGTAGATATGATAAATAATCGACTCTATTATTATATGTTAAGTTTGATGTGAGTATTTTATTTGATAAAGCATAACGTAAATTATTCAGAAAATGCAATAAATCATGATTTGTATATATGTTAATTATTTCAGAAATATCAACGTATTTGAGGATATTTTCTATAATATCAATTGGTAAGGATTTAAATGTTACTGGATTATTATGTTCGTTAGCAGTAGTATTATCATTTTGACTCATACTGTTAGTAGAAATTGGATTTAAATATGTGCGTGGGAATGATGGGTAATTGATGTGGTGGTAGAGGTGAGGCTGGTGGTATAAATTGTAAATTGTTGGTATTTTAACTGCTCATATTATTTGCAGTCGATATTATCAAATACCTGCCTAATAAAAGGTCAACTGATCAAATTGATAAAATGGCCTCGAGAATAAAGATTTAGTGCCACTAAAAGGGCTTATTCTCGCGCTACTAACTAAGAGGAATCATTGAATGAAGAAATCAATTGAAAATATCAATTAAAATGTTTACTGAGAAATGTGAAATGTGACATGTGAAATGTGGCATTAAATTACTCTCTATATATATAATAATATCATATATTTCTATGTTACTAATTTAGGTTATCTGTAGATAGTAATAATTAACTTTAAATTACTTATGATCTGTCAAATGTCGTGAATGGTGGAAAGGGTAATGTCGGTTCACAGATGTCGCAATCTATGACTCAATGAAGTATATGCAGAACATAACGTCTCTGAGACATATTATGAGTTATCCGATAAGGATAAGGAGCTATAAACAGAAAATAGTGCAAGGAGGTGGGGGGGAGAAGAGGGGTCTGTATTAATACCATAATCGTCTAATAGTATATAAGATTAATAGTAACAAAGACCTAGAACAAAATTTATTATAGTTAAGGAATGTTCTACTGATTCTTTCATATATATATAGTATAAACGATAAAGCATACTATGTTAAATACAAATACAAATACAGTACTAAATTGAACATGATCCATAATATGCAAAGGAAAGTGCAGGAGTCTGCGAACAAGGTGGAACGCGCAAGGGGTTTGATGGCCCAGATTGCAATTTTGTAGAGATTAGCCATGTGTAGACACACTCTTTTTGTTAGTGAGTATGTGTTGATTGTGCACATATTAATTACGGGCTAATGTACACAACTATAAATAAATAAATAAATAAATAAATATATATAACTATATACATATCTATAACCATTACTTCTTTATTGTTGTTAGTTAAATAACTACGATTTCAACTATAACTTCAACTACATTCCTACATTCTTAACTCCTGCATCTATTACGAGCTATCACTAAACATAACCACCGCACTTGCAAGCTTTTGGAGTGACATCTTTTGCGGGAGCTCTTTGTGTTACAGTAATCTTATCACCCTTTTCATACCCGTATAAACACCCTGCCAACAGTACTAAAAGTCAATTACAATTATATTATCAATTGAAATTACTTTTCTCATACTTCAATGAGTCAGTACAGTGAAATGCCTGTACCTACACCTAATGATCAAATCAAATTAACAAAACTTCATACTAATCCTAAAAAGGGTTACAAATTAGGTAGTGCTTCCGCCACTTGGAAAAAGATAAAGTCTGCTACTTCTAGTACATCTGAAACTCAAACTCCTTCATCTACGACTTCATCTACAAGTACAAATACAATCAATTCTAAGGAGGATGAATTAGATAGTAGTGATTATGATGAATCATCATCATCATCTTTTTCTTCTTCATTATCAACTCCACTCCTCGAATACGGGTCTCACGGTCAATTATTCTTGACTTATCCTGATGTCAAATTGATAGAAATATGGGATTGGAAACCTCGTGATCATAACACAACATCCTCATCATATTCATCTACTTCATCCTCAACAAATTCATCATCCATACCTAAACTCGATAGTGATACCCTTTTCCTTCACCATCAATTTAAAGTGGGTGCGAATACCTCTGCTAAAAAAGACGCGATTAAATTAGTAAAAGTTATTCATGAATCTACGTCATCAACTACTAATACTAATTATGATATTATTATTATATTAAAAAACTCGGTAGATAATAAATATTATCTTGAATTACATAAATTTAATCCATCATATACAAATGAATCAAGTTCTAAGAGTCAATCTTTCGAATTACCTTCAATTTTATCTCATCCAGTATCAATTAAAACATCAAATAAATTTATTATTATAGGGGATCAACTGGGATTACTTTTAGTTTATCGATATGATATTAATAATAATAAAATATTACCAGGAAATGTAGATTCAAATTTATTTACAATTCGAAAATCATCAAGTTTACCAATTCTTAGTAAATTAAATATTATTAATAAGTTCCCTGATGATGAAATTCTTCTTCAAACAAGTTGTAATTTGGATAAAACACCTATTTTTGATATAATTGATAATTGGTTAGTATATGCTCCATCAAGTTTTGAATATAAACATCTTTTGGCAGTAAATGCAGCTACATTACCTTCTCAAAAAGATAATAATTTAAGACTGGAAAATGAAAGATTTACTGATGGAAATGGTAATGATTTAACCAATAGAAATTTAGATCCGATAATTACAAATTATAATTATGATAGAAGTGATCATAATACATCAACTTCACCAGGATCATATTCTACATTATTTACTCCAGTTAAATTACCTGCTTCGGGTCCTTTATTAAATAAAGTTTTATCTAGTTTATCTAAAACTGCATTAGATGGATTATATAGATTTTCAGAAATGTCATCTTTAAAAGTTAAATCATTAATGAATCCACCTTCATCATCTACTGGTACTACTTCACCTATTTCTAATTCAGTTAATTCATCAACTATTGATTCCATTAGTTCATCAATTGGGAAATTATTATATTCAACTGCATCTACTACAGCAGCTACCTTACAAAAAACCATTATTAAAACAACAAGCGGAACTATAGTTAATGATAATCAACTTATTAAAATTGTTGATCTTGCTAATGATCGAGTATTGGGAATTATTAAACCTCCAGGTGGTGTATCAAATGTTTCATTATCTCCTTATGATTTACAATTAGTTCTGGTTAATTATCGTGGAGATTCCTTATATATGTGGGATCTTTATCGATTACCACTTGAAATGTCTCTTATAGGAAAATTTGAACGAGGTAAAACTTCAGCAATAATTGAAGAAATATTCTGGTTTATGCATCATGTTAAACCTCCTGGAAATGGAATTAATAAAGATGAAGCTATTTATGGAAATAATTTAGGATTTGGATGTATAAGTAAGAATTCAGGATCAGTTCATTGGTTTAATATTAATTATTTGAGTGGAACATTAAATAATAATCATAATTATCCAAATCGATTGGAAATGAAAAAAGTTCGTCGACTTCGAAAGAAGAAGATGAAAACAAGAATTGTTAATAAGATGTTGGGTGGATCACTTAAAGTGTCGGATGGTGATGTGACAAATAGTGAATCTACCAATCATACCTTTGATAACACATCTGGTACTACTAATACTACTACAACTACAACTACAACTACAACAGCAACAAATAATAATAGTAATAATATCAGTAACAATAATATTAGTACTAATAATCCTTCTACTAATAATAACAGTAAAAGTAGTAGTTCTAATAAGGGGCAATTTTTAGACTCTTGGATCTTATCCTCATTCAAAGCTAAAAAGTTTATTGGATTACCAAATGTTGCTAATGATGAGTCTGGCTACTTTATCAATCAGTTGGCAGTCATAACAAAAGATAATTGTCTAAAATTAATTTCTCCATTGAATGGAAGTCATTTATTTAAGTATGAATTACCATTAACATATGTAAATGAAAATGCAGTACCTCGAAGTTATTCGAATCCTGTATCTTCTGTTATAAATTCTGGTACTACATCAGGTACAATAAATCCATTATCACAAGCCGAAATTGAGACATGTGCTCCATTCTTAAATCTAGTTAATAACTCTAATGTGGAATTTGCTATCTATGACTTTGAATCTGATCAACATGATGGAGATGGATTTTATAATCATTTCCAAGAATTTGGTAATGATATACCTGTTAAAATTATATCATTCAATAATAGTAATAATAATAATAATAATAGTAGTAAATATACTACTTCTAGGACTGCATCTGGCAGTGCGTCAAGCGGTACAAATACTTTACCTATAAATGATAAGATTGATGAAAGTAATAATTCCTTATCTTTGTTGAATGGATTATATATTGATCCAGCAACTATTGATTCTTAGAATAGAATATGATTGTTTTATATAATGGTGTTGTTTAGAGTTTTGTTATTTTGATTGTAATTCTATATTTCTTTATGTATGTAGGTATGTATGTATGTATGTATTCATTTATTTATTAATTTAGTCAATTAGAAGTCTAGTAATTATTTAAAGCTCACTATAGCATGATATGTTTGTTTGTTTGTTTGTATATACAATATACACGTATTTATTTATGGAAATAAATTGACATAATAAGCCCAGATGAAGAAGATTTAGGAATGTCAGAATAACCATGATTAGGGATAATAATTGATAAATTGGTAGGACAGAGTAGGCCATTCTATATAGTACATGAGGAAGTGTGTTATAATTTGATATGATGATAGACGATATAATGAATTAAAAAAGGTGATAGACGTTACTGAACTGAATATGATTGTTGATTAAGAATATTGGGGATGAAAGGACGTAAGCGACATAAGCAATCTTTAACAATATATTAATTATATTAGCAGTAAATTAGAATATTAATCTAATTAATTCTAAAATACCACCTCCAACAACTAAAAATATTAATACAAATAACCAAGTTCTACTCACTGGTATTTGAACCTTTTCTTCAACATCTCTTGGTTTCCCTTGTTTACCTACATTCTTCTTAGCAAATTTGGAGTTAGCAACTCTTTGTTTTGGTGTTTGTAAAGCCTAAAATTATTGTTAGTAGTTAGTATATAAACAATACACTATATTAATTATATGATATAACTTACCATTATGAAATATTATTATTATTATTATTATTATTATGAATTATTTATATACGATAAATGTAATTATAAATATAAATTAATTAATGTTATTATATGAATTATGAGATCGATTTTACTATGATGTCGGATTTCTCAAAATGTTTGTAATTTGATTCGGGTAAACTGAACTGGCTAGTTTAGTGAATTAATAGTGATTCTTAAATTAAGGTGAACTTGAATAAAATTGCAAATTCGAAACGTTATAAATACACTTATTTATTGTATAACACGTCAAACGTCACAGTAAATCAAGACACCAAATTCATTAAAGTATGGTAAAAATTTCAATTATACGTATGTGGTCACAATGACGTATTAACTATTGATGTGTGGATGTTGAACTCGGGACCTGAAAAGAAGTTTACGTGTCTCCTTTAGAGTTCAGAGTTCCCTTTTTTGTTTTATCATTCACGTGCCGGGATTTGAATTATAAAAAAATGACAAAAATAGAATTAATTACTTATAAAATAGGTGTCACGTTATTATGGTCACGTGCGAATTATAATTACAAGGAATTAACGTTATCTTAACTCCATTCAATCTAATACTCCTTTTATCCAGCCAAGTATACTTTTTTAAATTTATCACTATTAATATAAGATAATTAATAAAATGAATCAAAAATAAAATTATATTCTTCGATTGGTGGAAGGGCTCATCTAACCCATATAATAACGTGGGGTATTCAAAATTATTATTTCAATCTTATTAAAATTTTTCCCTCGGCAAAAGTTCGGACCTGGCTCAGTAACTTTTAGGTTGTCTCATTGACCATTAGTTTTGACTACTAGTAACCGTGTCATAAGTTCCAGTTTAACTTTGACTAACACATCTCATGATATAAGCTTATTATTACTGAATAAAATAATTCTAAATAATATAAATTCTCGTATAGTTATTACATTAATGACAAGTGTATGATGTTTCAGTGGTTACAGTGTTTACATAAGCAATATTTTTGCATCACCCCCTCACTACTCCGAGCGCTTGGCCCGTCCTCATATGTACACACACTAAATTAAAAAGCATATTGTTTTAATGTTATCAGTACTTTTTACTGCCGAGTTCCATCCGTGCATACATACATAAATAAATTTACTAAGAAATCTATACTAACTAAAATTTTTATCTTGCCGGTTGAAAAAAAACTCGGTTTTATATCTTTTCAGCAGTTTAGTTCGTACATGAACATTTTCCCCCTCCTCGTCCCTCTCCACAAATCAAATAGTTAAAATCATAAAAACAATTTCCTATTATCTATCTTTTGCTTTCTTATATACAATTTAGTGATCTATATTTATATCCTAAATAACCGAGGTTGTTGACAGATTTATTTATAAATATCCTCTAGTTTCTTTGATTCAATATTTCATCTTCACTTTTCACTTTTAGTTTACCTCTTTGATTAGTTTTTTCACTTAACGTCTAATAAAAATATTTTTAGTACTTGCTTACTCCGAGATTTTGAAAATATATTCCGAAATTAATAATGCCTCCAATTGAATATCCTCTAATTAATGAAGATTCGGTTCATATAGAAAAACTCGTGAGACAATATTTACCTATTGCACCTGAAGAAGTTGCAAATGCTGTTGAAGTTCCAAATTCAAAAATTGATGGATTTTCTTCAGTATATAGAAATGCTTACAGTCCTGATAAGTTATTATCAAAACCTCATCCTTCCATAGATAGTTTATATAAAGCTTTTCATCATAGTGTCAATGTTAGACCAAATGGTCCTTGTTTTGGTTCAAGAAAGAAACTTTCAAATGGTAAATTTGGTCCTTATGTTTGGCAAGATTTTCAAACAATTAATAATAGAAAGACAAATTTAGGTTCAGGACTTTTCTTTATTTTACAAAATAATCCTTATCGTTCATCTACTGATCCTGAATTAGATCTTCTGTATAATCCTCTTAATCAAGATGTTCAATCTAAATTTATTGTTTCATTATTTTCTCATAATAGAGAAGAATGGGCAATTGCTGATTTAGCTTGTCAAAGTTATTCAATTACTAATACTGCATTATATGATAGTTTAGGTCCAGATACTTCAAGATATATTCTTAATTTAACTAAATCTCCTGTGATTATAGCTTCTAAGGATAAAATTGCTGGTTTAATTAAATTAAAGGAAGATTCTCCTGCTGAATTACAAAATTTAATTGCATTGGTTTCAATGGATCCAATTGATGAAGCTTTGGATGCAAATTTATATGTTCAAGCTCGTAATAATAAAATTTCTTTATTTGATTTCTTTCAAGTTGAAAAATTAGGAGCTGTTAATCCTTTACCTCATATTCCTCCATCTATTGATTCTATTTATACTGTTTCATTTACATCTGGTACAACTGGTGCTAATCCAAAAGGGGTAGTATTAGAACATAGACAAGGTGTTTCTGCTATTACATTTTGTTGTTCGAATTTAAGAGGTATTGAAGGTGGTGTATCATATGCTTTCTTACCTTTGGCTCATATTTATGAAAGAATGAACTTAGCCTTTGCTTTGTTTCAAGGTATATCTGTAGGATTTCCTCAACTGCCTTCACCATTAACATTAATTGATGATTGTAAGCAATTAAGACCTCATTATGTTGCTTTAGTTCCAAGAGTATATACCAAATTAGAAGCTGCCTTGAAATCTCAAACTGTAGATAATGATGAAAAACCATTATTGAAAAAATTGTTTAGTACAGCAATTAACAAAAAATTGGAATGGCAATCTGAAGCCGATGGATCTGAAGGTAAACATTTAGTTTATGATAAATTAATTGGTGTCCTTGCCAAGAAGATTGGTTTCGATAGAGTAGTATCAATGACTACTGGTTCAGCTCCAATTTCTCCAGAAACTCTTAAATTTTTAAAGGCTTCCTTGAACACTGGTATGTCTCAAGGTTATGGATTAACTGAATCATTTGCTGGTATTTGTACTTCTCAAAAGTATGAAGCTAACCCGGGATCTTGTGGTGCTATATCTATCACCACTGAAATGAAATTAAGAGAAATTCCAGAAATGAATTATCGGGCTACTGATGAAGGTGGACCTCGTGGAGAATTATTACTTCGTGGACCCCAAATTTTCACTCATTACTATAAAAATCCAGAAGAAACTGCTAAAGCAATCGATGCTGATGGTTGGTTTTACACTGGTGATGTAGCTAGAATCGATGCTACATGTGGTAATAGACTTTATATTATTGATAGAGTGAAGAATTTCTTCAAATTAGCTCAAGGTGAATATATCACTCCAGAAAAGATTGAAAATACTTACTTGTCTCAATTCCCATTTGTTCAACAATTATATGTTCATGGTGATTCATTGAAGACTTTCCTTGTTGGAATTGTTGGTTTAGATCCTGCTACCATTGATGGATATATTTCCAGAAGATTTAAAGATAAAATATCTACTAAAGCTGATATTTTGGATTTCTTTAAGAATCCAGATCATAAACGTCAATTATTAATAGATATGAATTCTAGTGTTAATGGATTATTACAAGGATTTGAAAGATTACATAATATTGAAGTTACTTTTGATCCTTTAAGAATTGAAGATAATGTGGTTACTCCTACTTTAAAAATTAGACGTCCAGTTGCTAGTAAATTTTTTAAAGAAGTTCATGATAATTTATATGATGAAGGATCTTTAATTAGAAAAGAAGAATCTAAATTATAATATAGATTATATGTATTTTACAATTATATATAGATTCTATTAAACATATTTATATGGATTTAAAATTCCATTTGGATCATAATGATGCTTAATATCTTTAATTAAAGCAATTTCAACTGGAGATTTAGAGTATTGAATGTAATTTTTCTTTTGAAATCCTAAACCATGTTCAGCAGAAATAGAACCTTTCTTTGATTGAATCCATTCATAAACAAATGGTTCTAATACTTTTTCAACTTCTTTAGAATATTTTCTAACTGCAACATTTAAATGTAAATTTCCATCTCCAATATGTCCATATCCTACAGCTTTAACTACAGGTTTAGAAATATCTTCAAAATCAACCAATCCTGCAGCCTCTAACTTTTCATTAGCAGCTTCAACTAATCCATATAAATCTTTTAATGGAATAGAAACATCATATTTATAAACTCCACCTTGCATTTGAGATGCTTCAGGGATATTTTCTCTCCAATTCCATAAGGATCTTAATTGAGTTTCATCTTGAGCAATGATTCCATCAAGAACAATTCCATTTTCCATAGCATTACCTAAGAAAGTTTCTAATTTTTCATCATCATGTTCTTTATTTGAACCAGATGTTTCAATTAAGATATAAAATGGATATGAATCACTTTCAATTGGGTGATCAAGTTTAAGATATTTAGAAACTAAGATTTGGGAAGTCTCATCCATAAATTCAAAAGCCGATAAGATTTCTGATAATTCCTTTCTAGCATCATTAAATACTTTTTGTACAGATTCATATGAATCAACTGCTAAAACTGCAACATTAACAGCCTGAGGACGAGCTGGACATAAAATGGAAACACCAGTGATAACTCCAAGTGATCCTTCACTTCCAATAAATAATTGTTTCAAATCATAACCTGTATTATCCTTTCTTAAAGAATCTAATGAATTAACAATGGTACCATCAGCTAAAACTACTTCTAAACCCAATACGGTTCCATGTAATGAACCATATCTTATTAATCTTAAACCACCTGCATTTGTAGCAACTACACCACCAACATGACATGAACCCTTAGCACCTAAATCTAATGGGAAAATATAACCCTGTTCAGCCAAGTATTGATCGGCAGTTTCTAAGATGACACCAGCATCACATTTAAAAATACCACTAACATTATCAAAAGATCTTATTTTATTTAAAGATGATAATGATAAAATAATTTCATCAAATACAGGTATTGAACCACCTACAAGACCAGTGTTACCACCTTGAGGTACAACAGCTAATTTATTACTATTACAATATTTCAATATTTCACTAACTTGTTCAGTTGTTTTAGGTTTTAATAATAATTTAGATTGTCCTCTATATTTTCTCATCCAATCTTCATTATAAAAGGCTAAATCATCTTCATTATTAGAAATAATTTGATTAGGTTCTAAGATCGATTGGAAATAGGCAAGATCTCCTTCATCTAATTTTTTATAAGCTTGATTACGTTGAACTTTATCAGCATAAGTTTCAGCAGTTAAAGGTACTGAACTTGAATAAGATCTTGTGGAGAAATTATTTTTGACTCCTATGAGACTGAGACTCCTATGACTACTACAAGTTAAAGATTTAGTAGTAGAGAGTATAGATCTTGATCTTCTACTTCTTTCAAGATATCTTCTCCCTATATTAAGGGAGAATTTTGAAAGACCACTTTTACTCATAGTTATATGGATTCCTATTTTGGTATAAGATATATTAATGTATTTGAAAGAGTTGAAAAATTATGTATTAAGCTTTTGATTGACTCACAGTCAGTCACGTGCTCATCTCTCCGAGGTCACGTGAAAATGTTTAAAATAAATACTACCTTATTCAATTATAACCTACAATATCAATAAATAAGGCCGATATCATATGATTAGGATGGTTCTCGAATAATAGAGCCAACAAGATATTTTTGGTATTTGAAATGGTAATTTACAACTATGTCTGAGGTTCATGTTTGGTTTATATCAGTATTTTAATAGTATGAAGTGTTAGTTAATGAATGAAGTATTGGGAGAAAGTATGCAATTTACCTAGTTTACAAGTATTAATTTTGTAATCTTTACTACAAATGTGGAGAACGTTGCATTTCAATTGAAGTACTCTAGACTATTCAAAGAAGAGTTATGAGAATTAATTTGACATTCTGCGGCAAATCCACTAAATTGGATGAATTTTGCTAGAACTCTGTCAATAATATATCAGCTGGTATGAAATAACAAAAAAAACACAGCCCTTTTTATGTGATGTAGTTATTAAACAACTTTCTGAAAGAAATTGCAAAAAAAGCACAAAATTTTAAGAAAATTAACTCAGATTAAATCCAAAACAGGCAATAGTTCTAATTATATAGAACAATTTGTATTACAGGAGATTAGATTGAATTTAATTTAAACCAACAATCGAAGGCTGTACAATAAATTATATTGCTTAAAATCCAACTTCGCCTCTTTTTATATATATAATGTCATCTTCTTGGCTAGATGCTTTACCGTACTGAGCAATAAGGTTGAAAGCTTTCATGCACCTTAGATGTCTTTTAGTTTTGGTTGGATGGAATTGAAGAGTAAATAGAAATGCATATGCTTAGTACTAATAAATCTTAATTACTCTAGTGTATAGAGAATGAAGAATGGAGAATGGAGAATTTAGCAATGAACATCTATATTGCCATGCAGTAGGTAGCCCTTCGAAGAGCATTGGCTTGGCAGGCGCGCAATTGTGGCAGATTACCTGATTGGGACTAGCAAAGAAAAGTATTGCGAGCTTGCAAAAATCGTATGTAGAAAATAAACGCAGAAAAGCCCTAAAACAGTAAAGTAATTACGATAGCAATGACTTCCAAAACTTTTCAGATGATCTAAACAACGTGGATATGAGCAGAGCATAGCAATCATTAATCCATTGAATAAACCATGGTTCAATCAGGTGAACATGTTACAACGGCAGGAATAGCGGTAGCGGAAGCCAAACTCCACGGCTCGTAAAAGGTACAAAGGCGCATAGTTGATAAAAGAGTTACAAAGCAAATAAGTGATTTGACTCGAACTTTGCAATCGGAACTTCTACTAGCTACTGTAATCGGTTAATGCCATTAAAAAGTAGTATTACTGTAGGAACGTGTGAACTTGATATCAATGACCAAATGCTTCAGTTTAGCTACATAAACTAAGAACTAATTAACTAATAAACAAATTATCTAACCTCAATAATGATTCAAGTATTGATAATTTGATTGACCTTATCGACCTTATTACAAATACAAGAATCAATCCATACTATTATACGGCTCATTGAATCCTCCACCCACTAAATATTTGACAAGACAATTAAACTAAGGCATAACAATTTAGACAAAATTTCATTCATAGTTAAGGTATCCTCATCTCCTGCACACATAACTACACAGCCTCTTTTTTTGTCGATTTTTCTTTTTTTCGAGGCAGCAATGGCTTAAAAAATTCACAAACGCATACGCAAAACCCAGTCAAACTTCTGATAGTGTAAAATGGCATAAAGAGTTCAAGGAGCGGAATACATCAAAGTAATAGATTCATTATCTGATGTAGGAACGTATAACCCGATATATAAAATCGTAAATTATTCTTAATATTCAGCACTATATTTATTTCAATATATATAAAGTGCGATCCCACTGGTTGTTAAATTTTTTGCATCATCGTATTACTTTACTATTTTGTACTGCATAAGCCATATAATCCACTGATATTATATAGATAAGATCTCGTTACTTTACTAGGGTCATTCTTACTTGAAAATTTCCTACTTAGCCAATTCCATCAATTCCTGAGCATAGCATTTTAATACTATTTAATTAATTGAATAATTAATTCGGTAATCATAGTTGCATCCACTAAAACGATTTTACCTGACTCAGCTGAGCCTGGACTAGACAAATAACTTAACTCTATTCACTACTGGCTGAGCCTCAATTTTATCTGACACCATCATCAAATATCAAATATCGAAATTTTTAATTATCAAATATCAAAATTTATAAAATTTGAAATAACTTAACATACTTTATTGACTTTATGATATAGCACTTTTGAAAATTTCACATATTAATTCAATATAAAACTAACAAACTTTCTCATTACATTTATCATAATAATTTAATATTAAAATATTGACAAATGAGTTCAAAATCTACTGATCAATCAGTAGTCCCAAGTTCTAATTTTTTAAGTCCAACTTCATTGAATCCAAATGATGATAATTCAGATACAGCTAGTGTTAACTCAACTACACCATTAAATGAAAATCCAGAAGATGATGATCATTATAATCATAATAATGAAACATTAGATCATGAAATTGCTTTAAATCATGAGGCAACCCTTCATAAATTAGCATCAAGATTAGGAACTTCAACTTCAAAATATGATATACCATTAATAACTCCAGAAGAATTAACAACTTTACATGATCCAAAATCTTTAAAAGCATTACATCAATTAGGTGGATTTGATAGAATAGTACATCTTTTAAGAACTGATATACGACATGGATTAGATGATCAAAATAATCATGATATTTCATCAAGAATTCATAATTTTGGAGCTAATAAATTACCTACAAAAGCTCAAAGATCATTTTTCAGATTATGTTTTGAAGCTTTAAAAGATAAAGTACTTATTCTTTTATCTATTGCAGCAGTTGTATCATTAGCTTTAGGTCTTTATGAAACTTTTGGTCAAGATACTGAATATGATGATGAAGGTAAACCTTTACCTAAAGTTGATTGGGTTGAAGGTGTAGCAATTTTAGTAGCTGTAGTAATTGTTGTAGTGGTAGGAGCTGCTAATGATTATCAAAAAGAACGTCAATTTGCTCGTTTAAATGCTAAGAAAGAGGATCGTGAATTAATAGTTATAAGAGATGGTCAACAAAAATTAATCTCAATTTATGATTTATTAGTTGGTGATATAATAGGTTTACAAACAGGTGATGTAATTCCTGCTGATGCAATTTTATTTCATGGTGAAGTTGAGTGTGATGAATCAGCATTAACTGGTGAATCAGATTCTATTATAAAATTCCCTGTTCATGAAGCCATGAGAATTTATGAAGAACATTTACCTACCAATGAAGATTTAGGTTCATCAATCATTAAATTCAGAGATCCTTATTTAATTTCAGGTGCTAAAGTATTGAGTGGTTTGGGTCATGCAGTTGTTACTGCTGTTGGTGTTCATTCTATCCATGGTAGAACTATGTTAAGTTTAAGACATGAAGCTGAAACTACTCCTTTACAAGAACGTTTAGATAATTTGGCTGAAGGTATTTCTAAATATGGTTTCTTGGCGGCATTATTATTATTTATAATTTTATTCATTAGATTCTGTGTTAGTATAACTGGTCATAGACAATTCTCAAGTTTATTACCAGCTGCTAAAGGTAAGAAATTCTTAGATATTTTAATTACAGCAATTACAATTGTTGTTGTTGCTGTACCTGAAGGTTTACCATTAGCAGTAACTTTAGCGTTAGCCTTTGCTACTACCAGAATGGCACAAAATGGTAATTTGGTTAGAGTATTAAAATCTTGTGAAACAATGGGAGGTGCAACTGCTATTTGTTCTGATAAAACAGGTACTTTAACTGAAAATAGAATGAGAATTGTTAAAGGATTCTTTGGTTTAGATTCTGATAATGAAACTCCACTTGAATTTGATGATACAGCTAGTAGTGTTGGACCATCATCAATCGATATAATCAATAAGATTGCAAATGATTTAAAAGTATTTGTTTGTACTAATATTACTTTAAATTCAACTGCTTTCGAAAATGGTGATTATGATCCAGTAAAAGCTGAGGCTGCAAAACAAAGACCAAAAACAAAAACCTTTTTGCAACAATTATTTACTTCAACTGAATCTCAACAAGCAGAAATTAAAATGGGTCAAGTATCTGAACCTTATTTAGGTAATAGAACTGAATCAGCTTTATTAATCTTAGCATCTCAAAAATTTAATTTATTTGCTAATAAGAATTTAGAACAACATCGTCAAGATAGTGAAGATGAAATTGCACAAGTTATTCCTTTTGAAAGTTCAAGAAAATGGGCTGGAGTTGTAATGAAGATAAATAACGGTTATAGATTATACATTAAAGGTGCTGCTGAAATCATTTTCAAAAATTGTGGTTATGAATATAATAGTAATGGTGAACTTATTTCATTAGATAGAAACTTACGTGATATAACTTTAAGTAAGATTGACGAATATGCAAATGATGCTTTAAGAGCTATCGCTTTGGGTCATCGTGATTTTGTTGGAATTCAAAGTTGGCCTCCTGCAGAACTTGCTAATGCTGAAAATCCCCAAGAAGCAGATGCAAATCTATTAATTAATGTTGCTTCTACAAGTTCTGCCACTACACCAAAATCATTAACTCTTGATGCATTAGTTGGTATTCAAGATCCTGTTAAGGAAGGTGTTGCCGAAGCTGTATTAAAATGTAAAACTGCCGGTGTAACTGTTAGAATGGTCACTGGTGATAATTTAATTACTGCCAAAGCTATTTCAAAAAGTTGTAATATCTTAACTCCTGATGATTTATCTAGTGAATATGCATTTATGGAAGGTCCAACATTCCGGAAATTATCTGTTGCTGAAAGAACTAGAATAGTTCCTGAATTAAAAGTTTTGGCTAGATCATCACCAGAAGATAAACGTATCTTAGTTGATACTTTAAGAAAATCTGGTGAAGTTGTCGCAGTTACTGGTGATGGTACCAATGATGCACCTGCTTTGAAATTAGCTGATGTTGGATTTTCAATGGGTATTGCAGGTACTGAAGTTGCCAGAGAAGCTTCTGATATTATTTTAATGACTGATGATTTTACTGATATTGTTCAAGCTATTAAATGGGGTAGAACTGTTGCAACATCCATTAAGAAATTTATTCAATTTCAATTGACAGTTAATATCACTGCATGTGTTCTTACTTTTGTTTCTGCTGTTGCATCATCTGATAATCAATCTGTTTTGACTGCAGTTCAATTATTATGGGTTAATTTGATTATGGATACTTTAGCAGCATTAGCATTAGCTACTGATAAGCCAGATGAGAGTTTATTGAATAGAAAACCTGCTGGAAGAAGAACTGCATTGATTTCAACTTCAATGTGGAAAATGATCTTAGGTCAAGCAGCTACCCAATTAACAATTACTTTTGTATTACATTTTGCAGGTCGTCAAATTTTCTACGGTAATACTGAAATATCTAGTCATCAAAGTAAACAATTAGATGCTATGACATTTAATACTTTTGTTTGGTTACAATTTTGGAAATTATTTGTTACTAGAAAATTAGATGAAGCTGATGAAGTTACTACTGTTAGAGGTAGACTTACTAGAGAAAATTTGGATTTTTTCCAAAATTTAACTAGAAATTGGTATTTCATTACTATTACTACTCTTATTGGAGCTTGTCAAGTTCTAATTATGTTTGTTGGAGGAGCATCTTTCAGTATTGTTAGACAAACTGGCGGACAATGGGCTACTGCTATTATTGGTGGATTCTTGAGTATTCCAGCTGGTTTAATAATTAGAAGTATTCCAAATTGGTGGGTGGAAAGAATCTTCCCAACCAGATTATTTAATACTTTTATATATTATGCTGGATTTAATTTTTTAAGCTCAAAGAAGAGAGAAAACCGTAATAATGATGTTGAAAAAAATGGACAAGTTGTTGAAGATGAATCTTATTCAGAAAAAGGAAATAATAATTAAATTTTATATAGAAATAATAGTTAAAATTTTATATAATTAGACGGACTGATATATTAATATAATACATATATTTATTGCATTTGAAGCGCGGTAATTTGTGCAGATCAAAATTTTGCAGCTTTCCTTGAGTACAGAAAAATTGATAAACATGCGATTAAATAAAATCAATGTAAACTTTTAAAGTCATAGATTAAATAACTAGAGCACTATTATACATAATGTATATAAGGATATCATTAAAAGTTCCAATAAATTTTAAAAACTCACTATTTGGTCTAGAATGCACAGGTACAAGTCTTACAAAAGCTCTCATTGGCTCAGTAAAATTCAAAATGATTTTAATGAAATCATTATTAAACTACCTTATAGTAAAGAGCCCTCAGCAGTTAGAACAACCAACAGAACCTTAAAATTTATTGAAGTCTTTGCTAATACCGAATTTCCAAGAAATATATCAAGCGGATGAAATTACAAAAGAATTAAAATAAACAAGAAATTTTATTCAGAAGATTCCACCGATCCTCATGCATCGCTTGAAGCTGAAACGCTCATTGACTCTCGTGGTTAAAATTATTAACTTATGGAGAAAGAATTATACAAAAAAGAAACAACCAAAGTAGATCATTCTTATGGGTATTACAAGTTAGACATTAATGCATGATGGTAAACACAAGCCGTGACATTAGGCCATTTCCAAATGTAATTTAAAGACCATCAGGTAACTTTAGTGATTTATTTACTTTTCACGAATTCCAGATGTTTTCAGAATCTAGAATAATAGAGGTATTGGGTTTGGTATATCCTGGTTTTTATTTAGGGTCATTATGACAATAGTATTATGTTTTGCTAAATAAAATTTACTAATAAAGAGTTTCTTAATATAGAAGTTTTTTATAGAATTTGTTTATAGTTCAAGTAGATAAACATTTTTCCCTTTTCGTAATAGAGGTGATTCCTATTAACTCCAAGAAAGCTTGTTCACATATTATGCAAATTATATTTCAGCTTTTAAAAAAGTTGAATTGAATCTTGAAGAGAAACACCAAATGAATAGGATGAGATGTGTGGTGATTAAAAATAAATTAATTCATTAAACTTTTGTAAGGAGAATCTACGAAATGAATGACCAAAGGAAGACCAATTTAAAATACAGCTATAGCAAAATGGTAGGATTTGCCAAGATATGACAGCTTACTCAATCTGGTTAGTTGAACCAGCTTTTCTTGGTACTCTGATGTGCATTTTAAGGGGTAAGTTATACGGCTAAAGAATACTTTATGAAAAGGACCTTAATTCAGATATTAAAAACTCCCCAATATGACATAAACCTTGGGATTCGTATCCTTGGATTCACTCAGGCTTGCCCCTTTAACATTGCTGAAGTAAGAGATCTAATACAAATATAATGAAAGACCCATTTTACTTTAATAACTTATACTCTAGAATAGAGTTACCCAGCATTTATCAAAGTTTATATTGAGAAAAAAGATTCCAGTTTTAGAAACTATTCTGCTATTTTAGAAATTGAATGCATATAAAACCAAAAAATTAAGTTGCAAATCAAGGCACTCCATTGCGAAAAATAAAGTTATCAACTCCATAATTTTAAAGTTGGAATGGATCCACTTTTAAGAATGTAAACATGACTCTGTAAATTCAGCTAGGATACTTCATATAGCCTCACATTTTAACTCAGTATTAAGCTTTTGAATCTTAAAACACAATCTAATTATAGAATTCTCTTAAGCCTTTCGCTTGATTATACATGAGAAATATTCCAAAATGAATGCTATTTATATGGCTTTCAATGCCTCAAATGTTGCAAACTTTCAGAATTACTTACCACGGCAAAATTAATTCGAACAGCATGTTCTCAGCTTTAATTTTATTTCTTTCGTTCTTTTCATGGGCTCTGGCTGCAGGTCTACTCACCGCTAATGCTAAATTATATGCAAAGGGGGCAGCCGCTGCTGCTCCTGAAGTGCTACTCGGATATCTCACGGTGAACAATACAGCTTACTTGGGAGCCAGTGCAACCTCCACCAACACCTTCAATATAGATAATGAAACCGCACTCCTTACTGGAAACGATGGTAGATTCTGTGTTGTTCTGACAACCAATTTCTTCACTTTTGCTACAGCTGCTGGTACAGCACAATTTTCAATTGTGCAAGCAGCAGGAGATCGTTTGCAAGTTACTTACAAAGGAGGTAATATTTATTTATGTAATTCAACTACATTAGGAGGACAAGTCCTTTCTACTGTTACTAATACAGCAACTCCCGATTTATGTCAAATTGTCACCTTGTACTTTGCTGCTGGATCTACTCTTGTTCCTCCTCCTCCACCACCACCTCCTCCACCACCTCCACCACCTCCTCCTACAGATCCTACTACAGATCCTACTGATCCAACAGATCCTACTGATCCTACAGATCCTACTGATCCTACAGATCCTACAAATCCTACTGATCCTACTGATCCTACAGATCCTACAGATCCTACTGATCCTACAGATCCTACTGATCCTACAGATCCAACTGAACCTACAGATCCAACTGAACCTACTGATCCTACTGAGCCTACCGGCGAGGAAACTGGTAGTGAACCTACCGACGAACCAGAACCTTCCTTGGCTTCTCTTTTCGCTGTAGATGAAGATGGAAGCAAGATAGCATTGAGAACCATTGAGATTTTGGAAAAAGCAAATGATACTGCTGATGACATTGCCAAACGTGACAATAGAAAAGCTATTGCCGGACTTACTTATTTGGTAGCAGATACTGCAGATGCTTCTGGGTTCTACATCAAAGATGGCAAGCTTTACAATGCTGATGGTCTCGAAGCTGTTAATGAAGATTCCAAATTTATTTCATTTGCATCCGAAGGAGGATTGACAGGATTTGAGCTTTCAGATAGTGGAGATATATCTTACACTGGAGAAGGTTCATTCTATTACTGTTACTTAGATGGAGGTGATGATACTTTCAGAGCAATTTCTCTTGAAGATATCGGATCTTGTAATGTTACTTCACTTGTATTAGAAGATAGTAGCGAAGAAGAAGATTCTTCTACCACGATCACTACTGTTCTTCTCTTCACTGAAACTAGTACCATTACCGAATGTCCAGAGTCAGTGACCGATTGTCCAGACTTTTTAATAATCGTCCATACTGTGACTACAACATACTGTCCAGACACGGAACATGGTCCATATACAATCACTTTATATGCAGCAGTAGAGACTGGAGAAGAAACTGAAACATTTACAACGACAATTTGCGAAACAGTATGTGAAACTTCTTCCATCCAACCTGATTCCCAGGCAACAGAAATCCCTATTTTTAATGGAGCCGCCACTTTAACTAGTGGGGTTGGTTTAGCTATTGCAGCAGGTATCGTATTTTTACTTTGATTCGTACTTGATTTTGATTAGTACTTTATTTTGATTATTAAATACATTGATATTAAAAGGGACCTTTTTTCTTCTATAATTGCTTATTATTATTATTCTGATTCAATGCAATTTTCGACTTGCTAGTCATAATTTTCAATATAATATACTCTATAATTTGTTTCTGTAACTTAATGATTTCCAACATAAAAGTTTTTTTTAAAAAAAATTATTCAAAATCTTGTTTCAAATGTAGACAATAACTATTATTAATCTCTGTTATGTTAAAGGGAGTATTAATCACAAGCAAGGCTCGACCAGTGGTCATGGTATAATTTTATTAGTTGTTCCACATTTGATATTTGTGTCTTTTTCTAATAGTTTAAGGGGCTTCACAACTGCTTTAACGCTTCTGTTAGTTTTTAGAGATTAGAACAATAATCAAACTTAGTAGGAATACTAAGTCGCGATAATCAAAGTACATTATATCCCGATATTTATAACTTGGTTGTCTTTTTTAAAGAAAAATATTACAGGAAACATGAAATAGATTAATCGGCGTGCGTTTTTGCAACATCAAAAAAATGCTCCACACAAAGTAACAGCTGAGCAGAGAAAAAATATATATAAGGAAAATTTTTCATAGACTACAGTAAATAGAATTGACTAAGACATTTGCAACTGTGACTATAAAAGACCACAGAATGGGCATTTCATCAACTCTAGAAGCAGACCGTATTGCAGAGCTAGATGAGCTTCTCACTAAAATCAAGCCAAGATTACTAGAATATATATCAAAATCGGATCCTAATTCGTCCCAATATGAGATCGGGTCATTAGGGAATTATCAAGAACCACAATTCTTAAAAGAGCAATTTTTCAAATATTCTAAGGATGAATTGGAAAAGCCAATTGAAAGCATTGATGAATTATTCGTGGTCATCGACAAGGTATTGAAATATTCTGTCAATACTTGGAATCCGGGGTTCATGGACAAACTTTATGCATCAAATAATCCTATTGGTGTGATCTCGGACATTCTTTTGTCAATTCTTAATACCAATAGTCATGTATACACAGTTTCACCCGTTTTATCTGTTATTGAGAATTACATTGGAAGGAAATACGCTTCCTTATTTTTTTCAAACAATAAAAAGACGTGTGGAGGATTAACATTTGCTGGAGGTTCATGGTCTAATATAACATCATTGCAAATGGCGAGAAGTTTAAGATACCCTGATACAAAGCTTAACGGTAATTCTAACCATAAATTTGCGATATATACCTCGAAACATTGCCACTACTCCGTTGAAAAGGCCGCTATTTTGCTTGGTATTGGTGCCAATTCTGTATTCAAAGTTGATATTGATCAAGATGGGATAATGATTGTTGATTCCTTAAAAAGTACTATTGAAAAAACCATTGCAGAGGGTTATACTCCACTTTACATTAATGCCACTGCAGGTACTACTGTTTTTGGTTCATATGATCCTTTCGAAGCAATAGCAGATGTCGCTAAAACTTATAATATATTCTTCCATATTGATGGATCATGGGGTGGAAACGTTATTTTCTCTGAAGAACATAAACATAAGTTAGCAGGATGTCAATACGCTGATTCTATAACTGTTAATCCTCACAAGATGTTAGGAGTTCCTAATACATGCTCATTTTTGTTAGTTCCTCATGTTGGTAACTTCCAAACTGCTATGAGCTTACAAGCTCCTTATTTGTTTCATGGGCGTGAAGATGATGATGAAGAGAATTACGATTTGGCTGACGGAACTATGGGATGTGGACGTCGTGCTGATTCTTTTAAATTTTATATGGCATGGTTATACTATGGTTATGAAGGATTTAGTAAACGTATAAATCATGCTTTTGAGATAGTCAACTATTTCGTGGAAAAAATTAAGAATGATAAAAGATTTGAATTAATAATTGAAAGCCCTCAATGCTTCCAAGTGTGCTTTTATTATAGACCAAAGGGCTATTCTCAAAAAGATAATACGGATATAACAAGATTTATTTCTCGTGAATTACATAAATTGGGTAAATACTTGGTTGATTTTTCGCCTAATCCATCAAGTGTAGATAATAAAGGAGAGTTTTTCCGGGTAGTATTCAACTCGCCAATATTGACCGATAAGGTTATCGATGATTTAGTTGAAAGTATTATTAATGTTGGTGAAAAATATACTTAAAGACCCTTTACTTGACGTGATAATGATTCAGTTTAATTAATAGGTGGGCCGTTAACGGATTTGTAAATAAATAGATTTTATTAGAAATATAGAGATATTTAATTATATGACTTAGAGATTTTTAATGCTCCTAATGAAAGTGGTATAGAGTGCGCTAGTTACAAAACTGTTACATTACAGTAACAGGTATTGTATATCAAGCCATAATAAAGTACTACGTTATTTATCATCGGTCTTATAACCATTATTAATATTGCAGCCTTTGTTTCAATAATAAGATAAGATAAGAAAAGCAGATAACAATGTCAGAAGATAAGCCGCTGCCAAATGTGCATCAAAAGCCATTATCGACGACAACGTGATTTGCTATAACATATAGTTTCTCCGATTTGATAGGCTGGCCACCAGGAGGCACGGCTTGTTTATAGAATGTAAGTAATATAATCTGATATGGGCCCATGTATTTTTTTAGTGATACTAGTTATATTCATTTAACATTATGGTTATCGGCAATTAAACTGAAAATAAATTGAAAATTGCTAAGCTACACGTATAATAAGATTTCGCTAACTTCGTAATCTATCAATCCCTTTAGCGGGATCTAATCTTATAGAAGTCATGTTAGTACAGTTAGCGATGAGTTAATAGATAGTCTATGATTTTAACTTGCTTATTTCCAAATAATTAATAAAAACGATGTAACATAATTCATGTTACATTTGTTTTCAGTGACATTTTTAGTAACCGAGAGCGGTAGAGACAGGCGTATGGAGATATACTGAGCGCAGAAAAATAAAATCTCTCATAGCGCTAGGCTAACCGTACAAGTTGCCAAGTACGTCACATTCAATTATTCGTGGGGTAATGAGTCTTCAACTACATCTACCTGTTGTTTCACTTCAATTAGCAGAATATTCGATTTTGTACCCTTTTGTTGATGTAAATCGGTGAGCACAGGCAAAAGTGTAGAGACGAAGGACTGAAGTCTGCTTGACGATATTTAGAACTTCTATTAAATGGTTACAAATGAACAAAAGAAATTAAGCGAAGTCTAACACATAACAGTCTAAAATTTAACAAAGCGCGATTATCTTCTCAATTGAACCGAAGTTGCTGTCTCTTCAACAATAAATAAAGTTGTCTAGCTATAACGTACAGAGAGAAACGTTAACTAACAATACATCTTGCATACTTGGCGTAAGTAAAAGCGATACAAAGGAGTAATTAGTAAATATTAGAATCCGTTTTACTGGCGGTTGGATTTGCGTTAACTACAGCAATTCCTAATCGTGATAATAGATATATTTGCTCTGGATCACTTAATATTGAAGGATGGGAGTAGAGAAGATGTAACATTAATTGAGGTTGCATTATATTATGTGCAGGTCTTATATAATAATATGCATTTTATTGGACTAATCAATAGTACAATGAATTATCAATTATAGGATTCAGTCGGTAAGCTTAAAAGATGGTCAATCTGTGGAGAATGAAGGGAGATTTACATAATAGTATTGTAAATGATCAACTCCTGTCATCATACATCATTAATAATTAATTTAAAAAGCTGAATTATTGTATTACTTGAGTGGAAGCGATCTACTGAAAGTAGAGAATAGTTTTGCGTTCGACCGGAAGTATTTTTTACCACCGGAAAAATAGCTTGTAGATAGTTGTTCGGATGAATTTAGTGCCTAAAGTACACTTGCGCTACCACGGTACCCTCGAAATGTTTAATTCGACTGCGAAAAGTTGTATTCCGTTTCAAACAACCTATTCTCTGTTAGCGAATGATATGCGTTACGTAAGATTATGAAGATTTTTTCTTATTTATCAATTTCCGGTTATTAATACTCAACAAAGTTAAAGAATTTATAAAAAATAGTCAAGGAGTATCCTTACAGCTCAGCAGATGGTATTTTATTAAGTACTTTACAAAAGCAGTGTTCAAGAATTTTCATATTTAGAGATCTTATTACTTTGATCGATCTAATAAAAGCTGCCTTTACGATCAAATTTTATGAATAGATGTTCTTTAATTACATCACCCTCGGTTTTGGAAATTAGTACTATTACATGAGATCCGTAATATGCAGGTCGTACGGCAAACTTCTCATTTCGTCTTTGTACCCATATCATCAATTTTCAGATGTTACTATCATCCTGTGTGCAGGAATGATCTCTATGGATAGCTTATTTATCATTTATCTATTTAACATTATAGACTAGTGTTTGGTAAGACTATTAAATAAGTTTGAACTATGACAAGTGAGTGCTAATTTGCATTAATTATTAAAGAAGGGATCAGCTGGTTTTACATGAGCCACTTGTTGCGATATAATCTTCTGACTAAAATTCTAAATCAAGTAGTCATTGGCTTACAAGTTCCAAATTTTTCCGTAGATAAGGCAATAAACCGTTAACCAGTAAATGTAACTGCAGCAACATTCTTGTAACCTGTAAATTGATATTTATAGATCGTAAATATTATGCTTTGGTCCAACAGAATGATCAAAAAATAAAGTTTTCTGAAATAAAGATATACGCTAAGTCACCAGTTACTGATCGTACTACTAATTCCTAAATTAATCAGTCAATACTATGAAACTCAGTCTATTAAGTCAATTTAGTTATACCATTTTGTGATCGTACCAAATCAATTATCTGCTTAACCTGTAAATCAAACCCCCACAAATAAATTAGATTGTGAAAAAAAATTGTTGGATTTTACAGGTTACAATCGATGTTTCACCAATTTTTAGAAATGTAACATGTACCCTATACTTATGTTACATTTTGCGATATGAAAACTTGTCAGGGTACAACAATATAGAAGTCTTCATACATTTTTCTTAATTTGATTTACTTTAATGTAATAGAATTTAAGGATCGTCAGCTTAGTTAAGTATTTACACCAGTTTGTGTGCAGGTAGGTACGTCTTCTATTAGATAGATAGCACTGTTTTTTCTTTAATCAATTATACTCCATATTTATTTTGCATATCTTTAGATTGGCTTTGTTCATTCAATTGTAAGATAAACCATCGAGTTTTTTTTTTATATAAATAACCCTTCTGATTCCCTTTCTTTAATTCATTGGTATATTGTTTTAATTTTTATATCATTCATTGCATATTACTTAGCTTTCATATCATATCTTCATAAGATTTCAAGTATCGTATCTTGATCTCTATTTGGTAATTAATCGTATTATAATAAAAGGATCTGAATTTTATTAAATTTTTGCATTTATAATTAAACTACTAGTGTCATTGTTATTTATATTATAAATTAAACACAGTCCTACTAATATTCATACTATTTCTTTTTATAAGTCAATCCTTATCATTTAATTAATAATTATCATAAAATGGTCGCTGACGAAAAGAAATTGGATATTCATTCCAGTGTCGGAGAATCATCCGAACCATCTCAAGACTATGAAGAACATGTCGTATTGAAGAAGCATACAGAAGCTGAAATAGAAGCCTCTGGACAATGGTATGATCAAAAGAAAGGTTTTGGTCCATTTAAATTTAGATATTCTAGTTCAATGTCTCAAATTGTTATGCTTGCTTTCGTATTATTCATGACTTCTGGTATGTATAATTCCCTTTCCGGTATTGGGGCTTCTATTTCAGATGTTAAAACTTCAGACAATGCTACTGTCGCCTTATACTCCACATTTGCCTCCATTGGTTTCTTTGGTGGTACCATTTGTAACACTATTGGTGTTAAGCCATCTTTAATCTTTGGTGGTTTTGGTTATGGTTTATATGCTGCATCCTTATTCTGTTTCTCTAAAGTTGAAAACAAAGGTTTCGTTATTTTTGCTGGTGCTTTCTTAGGTCTTTGTGCTGCTGTTTTATGGGCTGCTCAAGGTACTATTATTATGTCTTACCCAACTGAAGACATGAAAGGTAGAGCTATTATGATTTTCTGGATCATTTTCAACTTAGGTGCCGTTATTGGTGCCCTTGTTCCATTAGCCAATAATGTTGAAAACAAAGGTACTGCTGTTTCTAATACTACTTTTATTGTTTTTATCGTTTTAATGTTGTGTGGTTCAGTTATTGCTTCCTTTATGTTACCAATGGAAAAAGTTTGGAAATCAGATGGTACTAGAGTCATTACTCAAAAGCATCCAGACTGGAAGAAGGAATTAATTGGTTTAGGTAAGTTATTACTTAATGAACCAATTATTGTTTTAATGTTCCCAATGTTCTTTGCCTCTAACTGGTTTTATACTTATCAATTCAATGATTTTAATGCTGGAAGATTCAATGTTAGAACTAGATCATTAAATTCCTTATTATACTGGTTATCTCAAATGGTTGGTTCTTCATTTATTGGTACTATTTTAGATTTAAAACGTTTTAGAAGACCAACAAGAGCTAAAATTGGTTGGGTTATTATTTTTGTCTTATCCTTAGCTATCTGGGGTGGTGGTTTGAAATTTGCTTTAGCTTTCACTAGAGCTGATGTTACTTCTTCTGATCCAAATGTTCCAGCTAAATTAACTCCAATTGATTACACTGATGGTGATTACATTGGTCCAATGTTCCTTTACATGTTCTATGGTGCTTTTGATGCTATTTTCCAATCTTATATTTTCTGGACTCTTGGTGCTTTATCTAACAATCCAAAGAAGACTGCTTTATACGCCGGTTTCTATAAAGGTATTCAATCTGCTGGTGCAGCTATTGCTTGGAGATTAGATGCTTTTTCTGTTCCATATATTGCCATGTTTGGTTCAGCTTGGGGTTTAACCAATGGTTCTTTATTAATTGCTGTTCCATTAATTTTCTTCAAGATTACTGATCACACTTTTGCTGAAAACGATGGTGTTGAACAAATCATTGCTGATTCTGAATTAACTGTTATTAAGTCTAATTCTGAACATGTCGAAAAGGCTTAAATTTAATCTAATTTGATTTAAAAATGTGTCCTATAAATAATATAATTCTGTAATTTCTTTTCTGATTTACAGTTATCGATCTTGCTTAATTCGTTGGTATCATTCTAACTACACTTGTGATGAACCTACTTTGAGATGCTACTTCAATTCTTATTAGTCCCTTTATTAGTTTATTCTTCGTTTTATATTACTACTTAATCTGTTTTATACATAATATAAGTATCTCCGTACTCAGTATTAACATTATTATGCTTTCATTTTGTAGATGCAATATTTTGCAACTAGTAGCAGAGAAAAATAACCCAAAAAAGGTTAAACAAAATTTAAAGACAGGCCATAATTTGCTCTGACTCGTAGTAAACTGAAGTTAATTTAGTATGAAATGAACCCTGTCGGAATACATAAGAGAATTAAATCATTAAATTACGAACCCCACCTTACCCCACAAGATTCCCCAACTCTAGTACTTGCATAAAAGAGAAACTATTAGTGTAGTATTACTATTTGGATATTGTCACGGCAAATTGGTGATGTAACGTCGCACTAGTTAGGGTGTGTACGGCTTTCCGGCTTTGCGGATCATCTCTCCATCTCCATTAGTCCATAGTCCATAAGTCCATTTAATACCAGTCGTGTGGGAAAAGAAAGAACTGAACACAGACCCAACATGGCTTTCTTTAATAGTGACAACTGCAAGGCTTATATTGTCAAGTGAAATTTGTTCCATTTGAATACTACTACTCAGCTTGACTATATGTAGTTAACTCAGTACATAGTCAACTCCGCACTTTGTTACAGTACATTATGCTCCAACAACGTTTCATTCTGCAATTCTCCAATTTCCGAAACTATGAATTAGATAAATAGAATAACCGAATGTGAGCCGCTATTCAACCAAATCTTTATTACTAAATATATATCACTATACCTAAGATATTTATACTATTACTTCTTATGAGTGGTGTATGTAATAGTGGGTAGTTGGTGGACTATGTGCAGGCCAATATCAGAGGCCATAGTTAAAAAAAATACTCTCTAATGTATAGAGCAGAGATAGTAGTCCCCATTAAGAGATATATTTTATATATAAAGTTATTCAACAATGCTGATAGATGATGAGTCACTTTATCTATATAATATAACTCTAAGGAACCCACTGTCGTATTCAGGATCTGTTTTGGGGCAATTCTTGGGCGATAAGAAATCTCAAGAAATTGTAGTAATATCATCAAGTATAATTCAATTATTAAAACCTAATAGTAATACAGGAAAGATTGAAATATTAAGTCAACAAAATGCATTAAGTGGAATCAGTAAAATCGATAAATTACGAATAGTTGGAACTCAAAAGGATTTACTTGTAGTAACTAGTGATTCCGGTAATTTAGTAATATTAGAATATAAAGAAGATTATCAATTTATTCCCATTATTCAAATACCGGTAACTAAAAGTGGATTTTCAAGAATAAATCCAGGAGAATATTTATTGGTAGATCCTCAAAGTAGATGTATATTAATTGGAGCCATTGAAAAGAATAAATTAATTTATAGACTTGAAACTGATGAGAATGGGAAAATTATATTATCAAATCCTTTAGAAGCAAGTACTAAACAATTATTAACAATTACTATGGTAGCTCTTGATACAGAATATGAAAACCCGTTATTTGCAGCTATAGAATGTGATTATGGAACTGTTAATAATTCATCACTTGAATTAAATTATTATGAATTAGATCAAGGATTAAATCATATAGTTAAGAGAAAATCAAAGATTCAAATTCCATCATCGACATGTCATTTAATTCCTCTTCCAAATCATATAGGAGGACTTTTAATTTGTTGTGAAAACTATATGATATATACCAATCCCAATAAAAATGCCAGTCCATTATATTTACCAATTCCTATAAGATCTAATTCAATTGAAAACTGTTCACTAATAGTAAATCATGTATTACATAAATTAAAAAAGAATAACTTTTTCATTCTCCTACAAAATACTTTGGGTGATTTATTTAAATTATCAGTGGATTATAATCCTGATAAAGAAATTATTGAGTCTATAAATATTACTTATTTTGATACAATTCCACCTTCATTATCATTAAATATTCTTAAGAGTGGATTCTTATTTGCTAATGTTATAAATAATGATAAGTTATTCTATCAATTTGAAAAATTAGGTGAAGATTCTCTGGATTTAACCCTTTATTCAACTGATTATAAAGATGAACAATCAGTATTAAAAGTTGAAAAATCTACAATTATATTTAAATTAAGAGGTTTAGATAATTTAGCATTAGTTGATATATTGGATACTTTAAGTCCACTTATTGATAGTTCATTAGTGGAAGTAAAATCCGATAAATCTCCTGATCCAATTAAACAATTAATTACTTTATCATCTCATTCATATTTGAAAACTCTTATTCATGGAATACCTATATCTGTATTAGTTACATCTCCATTACCAGTAATACCAACTGATGTATTCACAGCAAAATTGTTTTATGATTCACCAAATGATGAATATTTAGTAATCACTTCTACTTTATCATGTAAAACATTAATCCTTTCTATTGGAGAAGTGGTTGAAGAAGTTGAAGAATCAGGATTTATTACTGATCAAGTTACTATAGGAGTTCATCAAGTTGGATTATCTTCATTAATTCAAGTTTATTCAAATGGTATTAAACATATAAAACATATAAAGAAATTTAATGATGATGGAGAAGAAATCATTACTAAAAAGTTAACTGATTGGTTCCCACCAGCAGGAATAACAATACTTAAATCAAGTATAAATAATTATCAAGTAGTAATTGGACTTTCAAATTCTCAAATTCATTATTTTGAAATTGATTCATCGGATGATCAATTAATTGAATATCAAGATACTTTAGAAACTTCAAGTCCAATTACTTGTTTAGCTATAAGTAAAAGTTCCAATTCAAAAAAGAGTTCCTTTGCTATCATTGGATGTTCTGATGAAACCATTCAAGTAATATCATTATTATCTCATAATTGTCTTGAAATTCTTTCATTACAAGCTTTATCATCTAATAGTTCATCATTATTATTAATTGAATCAGAAGTTCATATTGGAATGGAAAATGGTTTATATGTAAGAACATTAATTGATGAAATAAGTGGTACATTATCTAATACTCGTACTAAATATTTAGGTTCTAAACCAGTTATATTATCAACTATAGTATTACCTAATATTACTCAATCAGTAGCAGTATTGGCAATTTCTTCTAAACCATGGATTTGTTATAATTATAAGGGATCTTATAAAGTAACTCCATTACTTGGATCTATAATAACTCGAGGTACATCATTTATATCAGAAGATATTGGTGGAGAAGGAGTAGTAGCAATTGGGGGGAATGATTTAATTATATTTACTATTGGAAAGGAAGATACAGTATTTGATCTTAATCAAGATTTTAATTTAAGCAAATTGAAATTAAGATATCTTCCTAGAAAACTAGTAGCTGATAATTCTAAATCTAAATCTAATATAGTTTATATTGCTGAATCAGAATATGGAATAAAGAGTCCTTATCCTTCATTTGAAAATGATGACATCAATGTCAATGAAGAAATTGATGAAGATTATTATGAAGCCTTTGGATATGAACCACTGGTGGGTGGTTGGGCATCTTGTGTTCAAGTGGTTAAGTTATCTAATGATCAGGATCATGAACAGGAGATGTTACAATCGATTGAATTCTCTAATACAGAAGCAATTCTATCAATAACTCAAGTTAAATTTGATACTAATACTAATTCTAATAATTCAGAATATATTATTGTGGGTACTTGTACTAATCAAAAGTATTTACCGTTATCATATGATACGAATCACTTGTACACTTTTAAAATCGATAGAAAATCGAACAAATTACAATTTATTCATAAAACTGAAGTGGATTATCAACCCACAGTAATGATCCCCTTTGGTAATAAATTATTAGTAGCCATGGGTAAGTTTCTTAGATTATATGATTTAGGTCAAAAACAACTATTAAGAAAATCTTCAACTAATATTGATTATCTAACAAATATAATTAAATTAATTCATCAAGGTGGAAATAGAATTGTTATTGGAGATGGGAATAATTCTATAGTATTTGCTAAATTTGATATTGATGAAAATAAATTTATTCCATTTGCTGATGATACAAGGAAAAGACAAATTATTTCATTAACTACATTAGATTATGATACAGTTATTGCTGGTGATAAATTTGGTAATATATTTGTGTTGAGAATAAATGAATCAATTTCTAAACAATCTGATGAAGATTGGAATCTTTTAAAGTATAAAGATGATTATTTGAATGGTTCAGGGTCAAGATTAAAGTGCATTTCCGAAATATATATTGCTGATACAATTACTTGCCTTATTAGAGGTACCATTAGTGGAGGAGGAGGAGGTAGTGGTGGTGGTCAAGATAGTATTATTTATACAGGATTACAAGGCTCTATTGGAGTATTAATGCCATTAGCTACTAAACAAGAAGTTGTATTCTTACAAAAATTAGAAATAATATTACGGAAATATTATGATAGTAACGGATATAATTTATTAGGTAGAGAACATTTAAAATTCCGGAGTTATTACAATCCCGTTAAGAATGTCATTGATGGAGATTTAATTGAGAAGTATCATGAATTAAGTGCAGGAATTCAAATCCAGATTAGTCGTGAATTAGATAGAAGTCCTAAGGATATTGAGAAGAAAATAGCTGAATTGAGGAGTAGAACAGCCTTTTAGTATGGGTATATATGTATGTATATGTATGTATATATATGTATTATAATAGAGTAAATGAAGTTACATTACAGTAGATAATGATGACAATGATATATTAGATAATGGGATATAATATATAGAAAGTATATGAGATTTTGGATCAAGTAAGAATTTGAATATATAATTTAAATAAATAGCAATACTAATAGTGAGTGAGTGAGTGAGTGAGGAATTATTTAATAATAATACGATTACAAATATATGCATTAAAGTTAATTAATGTATCATATATCTTATTAACAAGAGTGAAGAATTAAACAATAAACATTTGACAAATGTTTTTATGTAGTTATGACAAGTATAGACGATTAGTGAACTTAAATGAATGGATAATAAATATAATTTAATCTTTATTATCATTTATTTCACTTTTGGGATTCAAAGGCGATAATCTATCATTATCTTCTTTAATACCATTGGTGTTATTAATATTATTGTTAACACCAGAATTAGAATTTGAATTGGAATTTGAATTAGAATTAGAATTGGAATTAGCCAACACTTTTCTATTCATGGTAGGACTCCCCTGATTATTCAGTTCATCACTATTCTTTCTCAAGGGAGTTTGACCACTTGGAGTACTAAATTGTACAAAATTCCAAAAGGCAGGTGATGATTGATTAGTATTAACACCTCCAGCTCCATTATTAACAAGTTTACCTCCAGCAGTATTCCCACTTCCTAAAGATTTTGATCCTCTTTCAGGAGTAAATGCTTCAAGAGGAGTTATTTTCTTTGGACTATTGAAATTTAATCCAATCTCTCCTGAAGTTGGAGCTGTAGAATTAAGATTACTACCAGTACTATCATCTTGAATAGAACTATTAGTATAAGTTAATTGAGCAGAATCAGGTAGATTATATGAGTTCTGACGTGAATGATGAGCTCCAGGTTCTGAAGTACTTAATGGTGCTCCTCCTGTAGCAGGTGGTGGAGGTGGTAAATTATATAGATGATTACCTCCTACTTTTGGTAACTTAGGAGTATTTGAATTAAGATCTGTGAGTTGCTTTATGGGAGATGAAAGATCACTTTTAGGAGCCTGTTGTTGATGCTGTTGTTGTTGTTGTTGTTGCTGCTGTTGTTGCTGATGATGTTGTTGCTGTTGTTGCTGTTCAGCAGTTCCATAAATTAATTGAGGACCATTATTTTGGAATCCATAATTAGTTCTTTGTAATTGAGGTTGTTGTTGTTGTTGTGATTGCTGAGCTTGTGGTAAATATGAGTTACCAGATGTCAAATATGCTAAAGGATTGGATTGCATGGGATTAGAAGGGACAGGATAGGATTGTTGTTGTTGCTGTTGAAGATGATGAAGTTGTTGTTGTTGTTGTTGATGAGGAGGAACTTGTTGTGATTGAGGTTTATATTGTTGATTTTGTTGTTGTAATTGTTTCACCTGATTATGATGAAGTTGTTGTTCAATTGAATTCTCTTGTTGATAATAACTATTAGATTCAGGTAAATTTTTATGAGTTGCTAAATGTAAATGTAATTGTCTAGAAACAGAAGATCCTCGTCTATTTTTCAGTAATGAACCATTTGAAATTTTACTCAAAAATTCTCGTTTATAAGATTCACTAATTTGCCATTTCATACCTTTTCCTGGTTCATTTGGTCTTCTTGGAACTTTTTCAAAGGCTTTATTTAATGATAAATTATGTCTGATTGAATTTTGCCAACCAGTTTTTGAATATTTATAATAAGCATATCGAGAAGATATCCAATTATAAATTTCAGATAATGACATTACTCCTTCATCATTTGATAAAATTGCTTGAGTAATCATTGTTGCATAAGAATAAGGAGGTTTAATATCTTTTGATTCTTCCTTTGATAGATCTTGATCTAAATTACTTTGTAAAGATGTGGCTGATAATTCTGATGAAGAATGAACTAATTGACCTTTATCAAATAATTGGAAACTTCTTACTGAATTATGATTATTATTTGCATTAATATAAGAAGATTTAGAATTTTTTAAAGATTGTTCTTTATATTTTAATAAACATTTTGTTAACATTTTTTGCAGTATATTTGGAGGTGAATCAGGTAAAATAAACATCATTTGAGTTCCTCCGATATCTAAAATTGCTCCTGAATGTAATGGATGAGGATTTGATTCTCCAATAGCTAATTTAACTCCATCCATTCTAGCTCCATTTCTACCCTTTATAATTAATTCCCAACATCTTGATTCTAAATTATAAACAATATTTGCATGTTGTCTTGATACAACTTTTGCAGGACCTAAATCAATATGAATTAATCCATTGCCATTTGATCCATTAATTCCATTACCTAAAGAAATCAGATCAGTATTTCTACCAATTGAAACATTTAAAGATTTTACATAAAATGTCCAATCTTTCCCAGCAATTTTTGCATAAGCTTGAACTTCAGTAGCTAAATTTTTATCATTAGCATAATAAGCTGCAACATTAGTTGGTTCTTCAGGAGTTTGTAAAGTTGAAATGACGGCATTAATTAAATCTTGAGCATCATCAAATATGGGAAGTTCATTATCATCTATTTCTGATATAGGACGTTTCCGCGGAGTTGATGTAGTTGACATTATGCTAAAATTTTTTTTCCACTAGTTATGAAGTTATGATGAAATTATGTGATCTGATGATACACAACAATTAATATGATATTATACAGAAATGAAATGTGATTACTATAACAATGAATAATGAGTAATCACTAATTAATAATGATTAGTTATATTGATAGTAAATAAATAACGAGTCTATCGATGAGTTTCAGGTTCAGGTTCAGATTCAAACTCGGATATTATACGGATGTAGATGGAAATTGGAAATTGATTACAGTGTGTGTGTGTATATGGATATGAATGCAAGGTTGGTATTATTGTCAGATACTAGCTAGTTAGTTATGGTTGTAGTTGTCTGGAGATGCCGTTCTAAAAATTAATTAGTTAATTGTTTAGGGAAACAAAACAAAAACAATAACAATCAATCAACGAAAAATATAAAATGTAATCAGCGAAAAACACACAAACAACACTCAGTGAGCACTCAGTGAGAATGAGCAAAGGGTTCGTGGGAGTTTTTTCAATGGGAGATTTTTTTTTCGTCGACCAAGTTGGTGATGCGGCCGAGACTGTTATTATATGCGGATCAAACCAGTTTTGGTTATAGACTTGAATATATCAAGCAAATTAATTATTATGGTAAAGCAATTGACCTTTCGGATAGGATTAGAAAAGTTGGAAAAAGAAAAAAATTTTGTTTTGGTTATTTTTATTTTTGTTTACATTTATGAAAATTCCGCCAGAGTGTATGCAGGTATGTCCTATCTACTATATATATATATAAATATAATTAGTTATGCTTATATGAATAACTGATTTTCATAATTTATAGGAATTATAAATGATGGTTGAGTTATATCAAATCCTCTTGCATCATCTTTTTCTCGAGTTATAACATCAACTAATAAATCTTCTTCTTCTTCTTGTCTTCTCTTAAGAGTATCTTCATTAATTATATCAAATTCATCTTCCTTTTCTTCATATTCAATATTTTCTTCAATTTCAACAAAATCAGGGGCTAATGCACTCCATTTTTGAGGAAATTGAATCAGCCATATATAAATAGATCCACTATCAATTCCAGTAGATCCAATACAACATCGACTATAATCCCATTTAACATCAACTAATTCTTCATTACTACCTTCAAGAATTTTAATTAATGAACCTATTGATGTTTCCCAAACATATAAATCATGCAGTGAATGTCCATAAGTTGATGCAACAAGAAAATCAGCATTGTGATTAAATGCTACTGAATTCCATTGTAATTTATTAATCATATCTTGATATTTATGATCGATTTCAAATTCCCAATTTTCAGGATCTTGTTCATTAATTAAATCAGGTAAACTAATTTGTCGAATAATTCTATCCGATGAATTAATTGCTAATTTTCTACCATTACTTGATATAACTACATTCTTAATATTTGAATTAGTTAATTTAATAGAATGAACCGTCTTTAAACTTGATGTTTGAATTATATTAAGCCATCCTTTACTTGTACCTGTGAAAATATAATTCCCATCATTAGGATTAAATGTACTAACTAATGTCATATGTTTATCTGTACGTTTCCTTCGTTTGACATTAGCTTCTTCTTCTTCTTCTTCTTCATTTTCTTCATTTTTATCTTCTGTTTCTAGTTCTTGTTGTTCACTTAATGACATTGTTTGTAATTTGGTGATTTGTATATTCTGATGATCAGTCATATCTACAAATACAGGTGAATCATCAAATAATGATGCAGTAAATTTAAAATGATCTATTGGATGCATACTTGCCATCCATATAGGTCCATCAAATTTAATACTTCGTATAACTGGCAGAAATTCCTTTCCTATATCCGATTCATTTTCCCCAAATTCTTTTTCTTCATCTTTATAATCATTTCCTCCATTAATTCTACTTAAATCCCATAATTTTACATACCAATCTTGGGAAGATGTAAGTAAATATCTTCCACATTTAGACCAGCTTAATGAAGTAATTGGTCGTATATGACAATCTTCATTTAAATGTGCTACTACACCTCCATTACTTATCATATCATATATTATAATTGATCCATCACTTAATCCTGAGGCCAAATAATCTCCCTTATGATTAAATTGAATAATTACTGAATGTCCATATTGAAACGTATTTACTAATGTCTCAGGATACTCTTTTGCTACAGCAAATGGATCTTGTAATGATAAATTCATTGTAATATCTCATTAATCTACTAGTTAATCATATAATTTTACTACTATATTTAGCGAGAATTTTTCATTTTTTCTGTTGCTATCAGTAATTTAATCTCCACTAAATCGCTAACTCCTCTATAACTTTCGCGGTGACGCGCAATTTAATATAATATAGTGTACAGAGATTTTTTTTATTGGCGTTACATCATTACCGGTAGCCGCTTGGAGTGTGTAATCTTAAGGTTTGTAACTTCAAAACTAAAACTAAACTGAAACTAAAAGTTAAAACCTGGTCCAATGATCTATTAAAGAGATACGACGTTTAAAAGTGAAATCTTCTCTCTTGTATATATGTTGATTATCAACGATCTCGCCTTCATACTTCTAATTATATATCATTCATAGCCTCATTTTGTTTAGTCATTTAATTATTTACTTATTTATTGAATTGATTCCTATCGTCATATTTATCATTCAATACAAGACACGGTTTTCATTATGAGATTCGGATCTATTCTACTACGAATGATAACTATAATATCATTTATATCTACAACGCATGGATTGATTCATTTTTATAGTGAAGCAGGTGATCGTCACTGCTTTTATAAAGAATTAACTCAAGGATCTTTATTAATTGGGAAATTCAAATTAGAAATTAAAGATGAAGAATCTTCAATATATTATAGTCCAAGAGATAAGAATAATATTGGAGTTTTAATTGATGTTGAAGAAACTTTTGATTCAAATCATCGAGTTGTTCATCAAAGAGGTACTGCTAATGGTCAATTTACATTTATACCATTAGATACAGGAGAACATCGATTATGTCTTACTCCAAAATCATTTTATTCTCGAACTTGGTATGGGAAGAAAAAACCATATTCTGATATAAATGAATTTACTATAATTGATCTGAAATTTAAATCATCAAGAATTTCAATTGATCTTTTAATTGCTGATTCAAGTATAATTGATTCAAGACGTACAAATGAAGTTCAATCACTTTCAAAACAAATTAATAAATTAAATGATAAATTAACTGATATAAAAAGAGAACAAAAATTTATTCGAGAGAAAGAAGCTGTATTTCGAGATTTATCTGAACGTACTTGTGAAACTGTTGTTCGATGGATGATTATACAAGTTACAGTTATACTTTTAGCATGTCTCTATCAAATATTTTCATTACTGCATTTCTTTGTGAAAATAAAAATTGCATAATCTAGTATCCCATATATTTGCTATTACTAGATACTTCTTATATATATATCATATATTTCATATATTTCATACATAACTAAAGTTTAAGTTATATAGATAGATTTGATTATTTAATCATACTAGTTTATTATAGAAATAAATATATTTCGGTGATTCCATTTTTAGCAGCTGTAGCTTTATTATGCATAGTAGTTATAGGTAGGTAGGCTGCGACTATATGCACACCTTTTACCTCCTCAATATCAAAGGTGTTTAGTTAATTAATATATAACTTCTATAGATACCGCCTAAAGATGGCAATGATTCATGAAGTGTCGCCAAGTCACAGTGGTGGTGGCACCGGTAGTTTATTTGATCTACCGACTAGAAGTATAAAATCTCCATCATCTTCAAGTATAGATACTAGTAGTCAATCTTCATTACAATTATCAAGTCCTATTAAGAAACTACGATTTGATGATAGAACTCAAACTCGAGTTAGTATTGCCTTAAAATATCATCAATCGCTGAATTCTTTAAGTAGTCTGGTTATTAATCAATCTGTGAATTCTTTAGAATCAAATATACCAGAATCTATATCAAGTTCAAGTCCAAGTCCAATAATTGATGATATAGTTACTAATAATATATTTAAATGGCATGATACAATTACATTAAATTCCATAATAAATTCTCCTGATTTTATAACTAATAATGGGTCAGTTGTTTGTTTAGAACCTTCATCTATTTATATTGCCTTAGGAACTAATACAGGTTCAGTAATTATATTTAATTATCATCAAGGTGTTGAATTCATATTAACTATTGAAGAACAATTTGAAGATAATAATAATAATAATTCCAGTAATAATAATATTAATACGGTTGATCCAATTATAAGTACAATTGCCTTTTCTTCAGATTCAACATTTTTAGCTGCTGGTTATACTAATGGACAAATTCGTTTATGGGATTTATCATCTAAATCTTCTGATACATTCCCGGGAACTATATTACCATATTTTACAATTAATCCAATAACTTTAAAGGAAAGATTTACCAAAGTTATAGAAGGTCATCTTAAAAATACTCCTATAACCAATATATCATTTATTGGAGATAAATATAATCAATTAATATCAACTGATCTTTCAGGTTTAGTATTCTTTCATATTGGTATAAAGAAATTTCTTCAAAAATATTTTATATCTCAAAAGATTCTTGGAAATAATGATGCAAATGTTAGTGATAATAGTATTATAATTAGTGATTGTCAATTATTACCTTTAGGTAATTTACCTCAAATAACTGATCAATTAGGTTTAGTGGCAGTTATAACAAATAATATATTAAGTATAACTTCAATAATGTCACTTAATAATCCTCATAATGTTAATGTACGACAACATTTTAAAATTGCAAAATCAAAACAAGTAACTAATCATAGTAATATTTCAGCTTGTCTTCAATGGTATCCCTGTATGATAGAAAATGATACATTAATTAATGCAAAATTAGTTTATTCTTGGAATAATGTTTTAACTATTGTTGAATTAGATAATAAATCAATATCAGGTAATATATTAGATGTTATTAAAGATTTAAAGGATAAAGATAAAGCTATTCCAAATTTTAGAATTTATAAAACTTGTCGATGGTTAACTCCAAATCCTCAAGATTCAATTATATCATTAAAATGGTTATCATCAGAAATTTTATGTGTATTTATTAAAAGTAAAGATCTTGAAACTATAACTATGATTACTTTATGTTATTTAACTAATTTAAATAAATTAGTTGTAGCAGGTTATGATAATATGGCTAATTTAACTGTATCATCAAATCTTCTTTATGGTAATTCTCATGATAGAGGTACTAGTACTATAAGACAAACCATATTAGAATCTTATAATTATGCTATTAAATCATTTAAACATAGAATATTAGTAATTTCAGAAGATAAAAAAATCATTATTGGTCGACTGTTAAATTGGGCAGATACATTAATTGAATTATTAGCTCAAGGTCAATATTATCAAGCTTTAATTATAGCCAATGATTATTATTTATCTAATAATATAGGGAAATTAATTCTTGTTGGATTACCAGCAAATCCTAATGAAAGAGCTCGACTTATGGGAAGTTATTTAATTAAAATTATGAATGAAGCAGTTCCTCATATTTTTACTAAACATGATGAACATAGTCAATTAATCATGTGTTTAAATATAATATCTTATTTATCTTTAAAGGATACTTCATCAAATGAATTAATGGATCTTTTAGAACTTGTATTTGAATATTTGAATAATGATAGTTTATTCTTTGAAACTTTAAAATCATTTATATTATCAAGTACAATATCAATTGTTCCTCCAATAATTTTACAAAAACTTGTAGAATATTTTATTGAAAATGATCAAGGAGATTTATTAACAGAAATGTTATGTATATTAGATATTCATCTTTTAAATATTGATTTAACTATTCAATTATGTCAAAAATATCATTTACGAGAATGTTTAATTTATATTTGGAATTATTTACTTAATGATTATATAACTCCATTAATTGATTTTATTAAAGATTTTCAAAATCCAAATTTTTTAGCTTCAGAAGATTCAATTCAAGCTTATACTTATATGACATATATTTTAACTGGTAGACAATATCCTACTGATAGTTTTATTGATATTAATAAAGAAATTGAAATCAAACAATCTATAACCAATATTTTATTTTCAATGACTCCAATAACTATTAATGGTAAAATCATTCAAACTTCAAATGATAATACAGTTTTCCCTTATCTTTATACATTTTTACAAGCAAATTCTTTTGAAATGTTAACTACTTTAAATGAATTCTTTGAAGATCATTATTTAAATGATAATGAACAAAGAAAATTAAATCGTCAATATATAACTGAAGCCTTATTAGATATTTTTGAAATTAATGAAAGTCATTTTACTGACTTTGATCGATGTCAATTATCGATTTTTATTGGCCGAAATTATCCCAAATATTCTCAATTTATTAGATTATCAGAATCAACTTTAAGTAGGATTATTGATAATTTATGTGATAATAAAGAGAGAAGTATTGAAGGAGATTGTGAATTAGCTTTACAAAGTTTATTACCTCATTATGAACCTGAAAATGATGAATATTTATTAGAAAAATTGCATAATGCCAAATATTATAATGTTTTATTAAATATTTATAAATCTCAGGGCAAATATGCTAAAGTTTTAGAACTTTGGCTTGAAAAATTAAGTGATATACAACAAGAATCTATACAAATTAATAATAATTATGGCATAGGTAATGGAGAATCAGAATCAATTAATAATATACTTGAAAGTTCATTTATATTATCAAAATCAGTTAATGATAGATTAAGTTTAATTCGAGTAATTAAGGATAATTTCGAAAGATTTGCATCCATTGATTTGGAAAATTTTACTCGACTTGTTAGTAAATATAATCCTCAATTACATGAAGAAATATTATTGGTTACTAATAATGATTCTCTTGTATATAAATATTTGAAATTATTATTTGAACAATCTAAAATTGTTGAATTATCAATCCAAATCAAAAACTTTCATAATTTAACTATTACATATATTAAATTAATGTGTATTTTAAACAAGCAGGATGAAGTATATGACTTTCTTGAAATATGGAAATATAATTTAAGAACACATGAAGAAACCTTTGAAGAGGTATTCAAATTGTTACAAAAGGAAGAATTAATAGATTGTGTGGCATCCTTTTTGGTTTTGCAGCAAAAATACAGGCAAGCATTAGAAGAAATTTTAAACTATATAAAACCAACAATACTTTTGAAACCACAAGAAGGTGGTCGTAGTCTAGAATATTTCAGAGTTATAATAACTCATGCTATGGATATTTGTGAAATACCCGAGACATTGACTATAAAGTATGATGATGAGTTATTTTTGAACGAAAAGTTATGGTTAGAACTCATAGAATCATTAGTAGAAATGGCTAATTTAACTATTAATGATGATTTGATTCATCAATTCATAAATAGATGTATTCATGATACATTTAGACAGATTAGTAATACGAAAATCAAACAACAAGAGAGATCATTCTTGGTTATTTTTAATAAGTTTCTTACTAGTTCATCTGATAAATCTACTTTATCTAATATTAGAGGGATCTTACAAGAAGTTTTTATTTCATATTCTTATGAGAGTGAGATGCTCCAAATTTCATTGGCTATGCTTAATGAAAATATATATAAGAGTATGCAATTAATTAAACTAGAAAACTTACGTGGATGGATTATTACTTCTAAGATTTGTTCTTCTTGTGGCAAAGTAATGTGGGGCAATGGATTAAGTGAGCAACAATTGGCGGAACATTATGATGCGTGGGAAGATAATCAACGCTCATCATTAGTTTTAACGGCTGCCGATATAAATTACTTTAAAACCCTATTTGATAAAGACAAGTATCACGATTGTGAATTAATTTTTTTTAAGTGTAATCATGGTTATCATTCGAAATGTTTAGATAATCTTGGAGGTAAAAGGGTTAAAACGTGTGTTATATGTTCTTCTAATTAAAAAGTGAGAGCTCTATTGTACAATCGTTATATTTACATATACCTCTAATCTTAGTTTAATTTAGATTGTGTATAAAGTATACAATGATAATTTCAAAGACAATTCATAGATGTCCCTGAACTGTAAAACCTGAATTAACCTTAATTCACTCACTTGTATCCCTCCCTGGCATTCTACTTTGTCAGAAGTTTACTACAATTTCAATTGGTCAATTACCGAAACCGAACACATGTAAGATTCGTATCTGTTACTTCCCTGTGCTTGTGCTTGTGCTTCTACTTGTGCAGTAAGTAACCTACATCACTTTGCTCAACTGTACTCAGGATAAAGTATTAACTCCACGAATCTAGAAGATTGTGCCCCTTATGCCGCATTCGGCAACCAAGCTACCGTTTTAGGCGGTTTTAACACAAACCGAGACAAAGCGATAACCACAAAAATACAACAAAAAAATCAATCGGGTTTACATCCAAACATCAATTACCCCCCAAGTAACAGAAGTATCTGATTTTTTTTAGCTACCCCTATAATTTTTTAAATCTTAAAGTGAAAAATTTTGGTGTGTTCAATTGCATTGCAGTAATAAAGCAAGACAATTTATAACATATTAAAGGGTTTAATTTCAAATCCCGCCGCTTACGGCTAATCCACAAAAAAACATATGTAAAAAGCAATTGACTCCATGTAACCTACACTTTGCGACCGTAACAGAAATAGACTGTTCCAGAACAGACTTCCCAACGAATTATTACTATTGTTTTAATGTCTAGTGACATTCAAGCGAAAAAAAATACGTTGTAGAAGCGTTTATTGTTAATCTTTGTAAATAAGGAGTCTATAAAATATCAACACAATCGATGATAATAAAAAAGGTATAAAATATTTTAATTAATATAATACAATTTAATATTAGGGATAAATAAAACAATAAGAAAATTAGGAAGTTGAATTGGATATTCTTTTTGGTATTATGTAACACTATTTAGTAGTATCAAAAATTATTGAATCCAAATTTAGAATAAAGTTAATCGTAACCAAAAACGACCTAAATTAATATAGAATTGAACATGATTTTATCTATGTCATTACTTGTTGGGTAGTACAGAATCCTGTTCTGTAAACTATTCATCCCACTAAACTTCTGTTTGTGAGTTCCCCAATTTTTCATAAATTTTTGAAGAGTTTAAAAGTAAAACTTAAAGGTTCTATTCAGTAATTAGTAAACAGTAGCATACTATGAAATCAAACTTTTTATCTTCTAAATACCCCATTCAACCAGTTTACTGTCTTCGTCATTTATTTTGACCACATTCAATATTGAGTTGGCTAATTTATCCACATTATCCTCTTCAAGAACTTCCTCAATATGGTCTTTGCTTCCCTGAACCAGCAAGGAATAATTAGGTTTTATTAATGGTGGATTATTTGTAAATGTAGTTGCATTTGTAGAAAGGTTCTCTGTGAAGGACATGTTAACATTACCTAATATGGGTGTAGCATTATTACTGTTATTGTTAATTTCATTTACATTCGTAGAAATTGGTGTGACAAGGTGAGAAGAAGTTGTAAACGCATATTCACCATGATAAGGCAATTGACGTTGTTGATGTTGATCAGAAGCATTGAACTCCAATGATGATGATAACGAGGGTCTATGAGATAATGAATCAGATGCGGAACTTAAAGTTTCTGGTAATGGTGGGATCATGACCATTTCATCATCCTGGTAATTAGAAATACTTGATGCTCTTGTAGAATCTGAAAGTTGGTGATTATGATGATGGCCGTGTTGGTGGTGATTTGAATAGATAGAATCTATAGTGGGTGGTGGTGTAGAAGAGTTTAAAATTTCGTAAAGGTCGTTATCATCTTTGTACATGTGCTTTAAGGAGTAGGTAAAATGTTCATTATCATATTCAACATCGTCGCCAGCAACGACATTATTATGATAATGTGAATAATATGAAGCTCTTTCATTCATTGAATTTGTATAACTATCTTGAATGGAGTCACCATCATCATCTTCTTCATCATCCAGATAAAGAAGATATTTAAAATTATCTCCTGTTGAAAAGGAAGGAAATTTCCCATTCAGAGCTGAGGTATTAGTAGAATTCGATTTAATATTATTATGAAAACGTTGAAGAGGGTTCAATCGTGGTTTATTATAACCATTAATTCCAGCATTATTCATCCTATTTTGGTTTTGATGTTTATTTGTATACTTTGATAATAAGTTTTGATGTTTATATTTCAGTTTTGTCGTTGCAAAATTTGGTAGTGAATTAGATCTGAGTCGTATATTTGATGATGAGTAATTGTTTGTCAGTGGAGGTGTTATAGGTGAGTAAGCACTGGATGTGTTATTATAAGATACTGAACCAAAAGAAGCTATTGATGTTGCCATAGGGCTAGAATTGGAAGATTTGGAAGTAAATTTCATACTTGTAAGCAGGGTTGGACTAGGAGGATTCGTGTTTACAAAATTATAATCATGTTTTGCAATATTTGTCGATGAAGCTGATGGTGATGATGTTGAAGAATAGGTTGTTAATATTTTTAATTTTGATATTAACTTGTTTTGTTTGGAACTGGATTGGTCTACTTGTTGTGATTGATGTTGTTGTTGTTGTTGTTGTTGTTGGTTCTGATGCTGGGCCGAAAGTAAGGAAGTAGTAGAAAATGAATACTGCAAATTCATAGGAATTGGCTGTGATACTTATTGAAGTCTTCCTTCTCGTATTTCTCAATTTATTTATATAGTACTTCAATATATAATTAATTATAGTTAAGGTATTAATATTGATTATACCCAGCTTTCATGTAATTAAGTTACAGTTTGCAATTTACGCCAATGTTAAAGTTTATTTTTTTTGTGGTTATAACACAAATACTGTAAACGCTTTGAAAATTCAAAACAAAATAAACAAGCTGTGAAATTTGAATTGTTAGATGAGTGGAATAAACCCTAACTATATACAAAGTTAATGAGCTTGAAATAAAAATATAAAAATATAGAAAGGTACACAAGCTATTTTCAGTTAAACGTCAATGAAAATAGGAAATTGTAAGGGTATTATATAAAATAAATATTTTATAACAGACGGGAAGATTTAGGACAAGTCAAGTCAAACTGACGCAAGTCAAGACAGGTTATTTGAGACAAGAAAAGTCGAGTGCTTAAATAATATTATTATAAAATAATATAATAATAATCTTATTCCAATCGTAAGTAGAGCTTAGTGGGTAACTCTCTGTAAACAGTAAAAAGAATGGAATGGGTGTGCCTTTGCATAATTTTACCATGCATCAGCACCCGCAGCTTGTAAGGCAATGAGGGACGGCCGAGAACAAGTACGAATTGTGCCACTAAGTGTCACCTTAATTATTAGCATAGATCAAAGAAGAAGCAGACAGCACACATGAACGTATTATGCAATGTTACTACCACAAAAAAACAATCAAAAAAAATTATTTTTTTGTTTTATCCTATTTGCTCAGACTGAGGTCTGTTTTTTTTAAACTACCAGTGATCGTCTACACCTCTGATTTCATGGCGCGAGAAACGTTCAACTACTAAGTTAAGAACTGGCCAGACAAATGTAATTGAATTTTTAAAAAAAGGTTGTTTGAAATTCATGTAGAAATTCATGTAGGCTTTTAGCTTTAGCAGGTGTAGTCTTAACTAATTCAGGCAGCCAGCAGAAGATAGCCAGTTGTCGATTTTAGTTTTTTTCTAGTGAGGCTCGGATTTCTTCCTAGGCTGCTTAAGCAACACACCCCCAGGGCAGGCGGCACGAATTTTAGTGAGAAAACACCACAAACAAACTATCCACTTGGAGTGCATTTAGGCTAAAGGCTAACTATACATGATACTCATTGTTTTCTCCAAATTAATATTCCCGTTTTATGGATGCCTTCGCGTTGGGAATCGCCCTAATGAGATTGTGATGTGCGCACCGTTGAGTGGCTCTCTTTCAATTTAATCGATAGATTGGATAACTCGGCTGCACTCCTATTTTCAGTATGGTAAACTGGAATGTTATATGTAACTGATATGTACCCTGAACAACATTTGTCTGATAATAATATCTTAGTAATAATATTATTATTATTAAATTTCAAAAACCGAGTATATGATAAATCCCACAATAAAGCTTTTAACCGTCGTCGCAACAAAAATTACAGTTATTACTGAATGCTCGGTACCTATTGAGAAATCATAACCCCCTTTCTTATTTAGCATCTTCATGTCGTATCACTTGATTTAGAACACTATCTTGTAAGTTTTTGTCTAGAACTTTGCCGCACCATACAAAATCAATTTATTGAAGGAACCTAAAATTGGATCTGTTCTAGCCTTATCTTTGTCTTGCTCTAACTGGGCTTTCCGATAATGTTAATCTGATTGCTGCAAGGTATCCATCCGAGCGATTTCTTGGATACCTACTTTTGATTTTAATCGTATTGGATGTGGCTGCATCTGGACTGTTACTTACATAATAAATATTTATTATTCAAAGTAAGTCAATTATTATTAAGCTCAATTTAGGAAAATATATTAGGACAAATTTATTTACCACTTTAATTATACCTGGTAGTCTTACTTAATTAGGAAGGATAAAAATATCTATATGGTAAGACCAATCATATGGTAAATTCATCACGTGCGGTCTTAAAAATAAAACAAGACCACATATTACTTTTTCCATAACATGCTGAGGTATTTGTCACTTACCAGCATACTTTAAAAGTTTTTATCTGAAGTAGAATTGAACCAATTAGATGCCAAGAGTTTAGAGCTTAACAGATATTAATTATATTCTTATTTACGTATAAGTTACGTACGTATGATAATGCCAAGTTGACAACCGTAATTTAAGTCCGAAAGTCTTATCTAAGTTGTATTCAAAATTCTCTGATATTACCACCTTTAAATTTTTCTTGAATAATTATTGATCTAGAGTTCGTATTTGACTAACGTCTACATGCAATGTAAATCTATATCGTACATTAAATAATATAGGAATGGTTATGCCATTGTACTACGTAAAATATTATTGACTTCTGTATCACAAACATTTGGGAAACCTTAAGATCAATATCCACCAATTCAGCACATCAACAGATGATATAAATTTAAACAAAACCAGACAAAATAAAAACAAATTAAGGCATACCTTTAATTCTCAACAAGTAATTCAATTGATTTATTTTATTTAACCTATTCGGCAGCTTTGGCATCACCATACTTTGGTGGAAATTCACCAACATCAGTACCACTGACACTTTGACAGGTACACCATTTATCTTTAGTGACAGATCCCATAGCGGTTGGAATGTGTTGGCCGCAACCGTACCAAGTAGTACCTTCTATAATATGGAGGATAGTTAGTATATCATGTGCCCTTAATTTAGAAATCGATCTTATCACAGTCTCCGCGAAATCTGATAACAGAACTGTTGGCTTGTGAATAATTAAATCAAGATCGAAATTCTTCTAAACTAAAAATAAGTATACTTACTGCAAATTGGACAAGATGTAGTTCTGCACATATTTCAATCTAATATATAATCTTAACCGTTGTAGTTATGATAAGGTTATAATAATTTAGAAAAATCCTTATCCTGTCTTCGTTCATCTTTATGCCACCTTTATATACAGGGGGACATCGGAACAAACCCCTACCAAAAGCCGCTGGCGTGCGGAATTTATTGCCGAAGTGATGACTTATGATGTAATAATGATCTAGAAAGATCTATCGAATAAATACTTTATATTTTATATTACAAGATTCTAAATAAAGTTATTTGGTTTGATTTAATGCAGCAGCTTCTGCTTTATCTAAATCATCAGCATATTTTTTGTCTTCTTGAAGTTGAGCTTCAAGGTCAAGATTTTCTTGAATATTCCATAATTGTGAGTATAACGAATCTGGTTTAGCCAATAATTCATAATGGGTACCTTCTTCTTGAACATGGCCCTTGTTTAAGACAATGATCTTATCAGCATCTGCAATTGTTCTTAATCTGTGAGCAATTGAAACATTTGTAGAACTTTCCAGTCTAAATACAGTACGAATTGTTCTTAATAAAGCTTGTTCAGTATGAGTATCTAATGCTGATGTAGCTTCATCAAAAAATGTGATTGGTGCTTTCTTTAATAATAATCTAGCAATGGCTAATCTCTGTTTTTCACCACCTGAAATCATCATTCCTCTTTCTCCTACTATAGTATTAACTCCATCTGGTAAATCCTTAATTAATCTATCTAATTGTACGAGCAGAATCATTCGATCAATTTCTGAATTTGAAGCAGATAAATTACCATAACGAATATTTTCTCTAATAGTATCATTAAATAATGGTGTTTCTTGTGGAACAACCCCTATTTGTTTACGTAAAGTTTCTAAAGTTACTTTACTAATATCTTGTCCATCAATTAAGATTCTTCCTTCAGTAACATCATAAAATCTGAAAACTAATCTTAAAATAGTTGATTTACCACTACCTGATGGTCCAACTATAGCTACTTTCTGACCAGCAGGAATAGTGAAACTAGCATTCTTTAAAATTAATCTATCTGGATGATATCCAAAGGAAACATTTTCAAATTTAATTTCACCAGGAATGCCTATTGGATTCAACATTAAAGGTGGAGCATTTGGTGCATCCTTAATTTTAACTTCATGATTTTGTAATTGGAATAAGTTCTCCATATCCAATAATGATTGCTTTAATTCACGATATACTGAACCTAAGAAGTTTAAAGGAACACTTAATTGAAATACTAATTGATTAATTAATACCAAATCACCCACACTTAATGTTCCAGCAGCGACACCTTGACATCCCATATACATCATGGCAGTTAATGCACTTGTGAAAATTAAATTTTGTCCAGCATTTAAGTAGGCCAATGAAGTTGCAACTTTAATTGAAGCATTTTGGTATTTCACTAAAGAACTATCATACTTTGAAGCTTGATATAATTCATTATTAAAATATTTAACACTTTCATAATTAATTAAAGAATCAAGAGCAACTGAAGCAGCTTGGTTATCAGCATTATTGGCTTGTCTTCTAAATCCAGTTCTCCAACTTGTGGTTTTAATTGTAAAAATTGAATAAGCTAACATGGTTGATAAAGTTACGGCTGCAAATGATAATCCATAATTATAAGTTAAGATTCCACATACAACACTAATTTCAAAACTTATAGGAATTATATGAAATACCATTGCACTTAAAACATAACTTATACCCTTTGTACCTCTATCAATGGCTCTTGTTAATCCACCAGTTTGTCTTGAAAGGTGGAATTGTAAATCCATATTCAATAAATGTAAAAATGTATTATATGCTACTCTTTTAATAGCACTCTGTGAGACAGAAGCAAATACAGCATTTCTTAATTCTCCAAATAAAACAGCTCCAAATCTTGCACCACCATAAGCAAGTATTAAACTTCCAATTACAGTACCTACCGTTCCTAAATGTTCTGTCCATTCAATATTCATTTCATCAATAATACTTTTAAAAAAGAATGGCACTTGAACATTTAATAATTTAGATCCAATTAATAATGCAAGAGCAATTACCACTCTAAATTTAAAACTAGGTTTATTTTTAGGCCATATGGTTGATAATAATGAAGATAACATTTTTAATTGTGAAGTTGAGATATCTCTACCAAATAATGAAGAGGGTGAATCTTTAGTAGTAGTAGTAGTAGTAGGAGGAGAAGATTTCGGTACAGTAGTAGTACTTGAAGATTTGACTTCAGTTGATTTTTGCTTAGACGCATTGAATGATCTACTAGAATTATGAAAACCTTGCAGTTTATACTGAAGCTTAATAGGTTTATCACATTTTAGTACTATCTTAGGATGATTTTTCACTATCCCAAATGATCTTTGAGGTATGAAATGTGAGGAAGTGTCCCATAATTTCTTTGAAACCAGCAGATATAAATATCTACTAGCTCGAGATATGGTTACCCCACTACTTCTATACATAGTTAATTGAAATCGCTTTCGTTGTCTTAAAGCAAGTGTTAGTTATTCCAGATCTGGAAAGCTTATTAGTTATATATACGATAATCGAAAAAATAAAAAAAAACTGTGGTGTCTCGCTCGGAGTCCGAGGTCGCCCCATATAACGACAGGCTATCGTATGTTCCGCGTACGGTTGTCAATACCGAATTTTTGATAAATATATTGTAATTGTAAGAGATGCTGCTACTGCTCACTTGAGTCGTGTAGCGTATAGTTTAACTTTTATTAATTGTAGTAAAAAAATATATATATAGTGTAACCATTATCGTTTATCATAGCACTTCCTCAATCTTTTATAGAGATAATCTTATATTTTTTTGTAATATCTATAAGCAGATTTACACAATAAATAATAAATAAGAAGGGCAATCATAATTTGGCTTGAGGAAGGCGAGAATGTTATTTACGAAGTTCTATAATTGATTCTTCAATGGCTTTAGTAAGTAAGTCGATATGACCAGCTTCAACAGAGTAACCCATATGACCAACTCTAAAGTATTTACCAACAATTGCTTTGTGGATACCACCAGCAACGACAAATCCCTTTTGAGCCAAAGAACTTATGAATTCACCTCCATTAACACCTTCTGGGAAATATACAGCTGATAATCCATGAGCAGCTACATCATGATTAACAGGAACAATCTTTAATCCTAAACCTTCAAGATGAGTCTTGAATTTAGTGGATACTTCGGCATGTTTGGCAAATCTTTCATCTAAGGATTTAGAAAGAATTTGATCAAGTGAAACTTTTAAAGCAGTAACTGTTTGAACAGCAGGAGTTGCAAAATAAGCTCCACTACCACTTTCATAAGCTTTCATGATTGGAGTCCATCTCTTTAAAGAAGCAAAATATACTGATTCCTTTCTAGCTACGGCCTTTTCAATGGCTCTACCAGAAGCAAATGATATAGATAAACCAGCTGGAACTCCAATTGCCTTTTGAGAAGCACTTAAAGCATAATCAATTCCCCATTTATCAAATTCTAAATCTTCAACAGCAATAGAACAAACTCCATCAACAACGATTAAAGTTTCTGGAGAAATTTTCTTAACTACTTGAGAAATTGCTTTAACATCACTTACAACAGATGTAGAAGTATCAACATGAGTTATGGTTATAGCTGTATAGTTTTCTTTCTTTAATTGTTCTTCGATTTTGGCTAATGGGACGACATCACCAAGGTCGGCTGTTAATACATCAACATCGGCCCCATAAATCTTTAAAGCATCAGCAAATCCATCGGAAAAGAACCCTGTAGATAATACTAAAACTTTATCACCAGGAGTTACAAGATTAGCTCCAGTAATATCCCAACCTAAAGTACCTGAACCAGATAAAACATAAGCTTGAGCATTTGGATCTTCAGATTTGAAAACTTTTCTTAAATTTTTCAATACGGACAGGAAAGTTTTAACAAATTCAGGAGATGTATGACCTTGAGATGGAGTAGCCATAGCATCTAAGACTTCATCTGAGAATTCAATAGGACCTGGAATTAAGGTTAATTTATGAGCAGCTTGTTTAGAAGGAATTTGCATTTTTAATTGACTTGAAGTTGTGAATAATCGTGGAGTGAGTTGACGATAAAGATATGAAAAATTAGTTATATATTGAAATTTAAATTGCTTGGTTGGTAATCTGAGCATTCAACGATTCTTTTTTATAGATTCTAATCACTTACTTTAAAAGCTAATAATCGTTAAATCTACTAGCACAATCCAAATGAAAGATTTAATATAAGAGTCATAAATGATTTCGTATAAATTAAGAATTTTGGGCAATAGATTTTCAGCTATTTCGCGGGGGAGACCTGCTGCATTTCCACTTCCGTGGACCCGGTTAACACGCTCGCCTTACGGTCGGCATATTCCGCACAGTTTTTCCAATTCTAGAATAGATATTGGGGGATTGCAAAATAAAAAATTTGGCAGTTTGACTCTACTGGGTTGGAGTCAGATATTATTCCGTTTATAGTTAGCTTAACAGTTATCTCATGTACAATATAGAGGTGTGAAGTAGCTAGGTTGTGAAATAGTTAGGTGTGCTTAATAAATAATTATAGTTAGGATTTAGTTTAGGTAAGATGGGGATTCCTAAAGTAGATGGTGCGGCGCACTGCTTTTACACTCTAATTGATAGAGCTCTTAAAAAGGAAAAATATTAACAGCTTAACAGCTTTTACTTCCTTATATGAGTGAATTCTTAAGAATATTAATTAGTAATAACAACATACCGGATAAGCGATATTTATTTGCATCCATGAATCAATGAGTTCTCCAAAAGTTCTATTGTTAGGAGATTTGTCTGTTCAATGGTTAACTTTCTGTTGTTTATGTGATAAAAAGTGGAAAATTAAATTTGCAACCCAGGAGTCAGGAAGAAATGATTTATGCAACTCAGTAATAGTCAATAAAAATATTGAATATCCTATAGATATAGAGCCAGAGGTTATATTTAACTGCAAGTCTAATTCTTTGTTTACCGCTATTGATAAGTCACATCGGAATTACGATTTAATAGTCTCTACTCAAGAATTAAATACTACACAAACTTTAAATCATTGCACTGTTATCTATATCAATGTATCAACTATGCAAATAGAATCAATATCTTATGGAAAATTCCTAAATGGGTCACTAGTAATCATAGAGAAAATATTATCAAACCTTCAAGCGATGAAGAAATTACAGTTAAATCCAATAGTCCTCATGATAGCGGCCAAAGTCAATAAAAATCCAAACAACAACGAACAAGACGATAATTCCTCTGATGAAGTTGATAACGATTTGAAAGAGCTAATAATGGGTACAGAAGAAATGACTTATGGAGAAGACTTCTTTTTCGATGCAAATCCCGTTAATAATGAAACATTATCAGCTCCAGTTTCAGAACCTAATATAACATCATCCACCAATTCAATAGTGGCATCAACTGATTTAAATTCAAGATTCCAAACAAACCATCTAATTCCAAGTTCTGCTCCAATTATGGCTACCACCCTTTATGATGATAGAGGAAATACTTATTTGTTGCAGCCTAGTGGATACGTGTTGCCAGTATCAAAACCTAACGCTCTTATCAAACCCAAAACCAAACGTACCAAGAAGAGAATGTTTTATCATATGCCTATTCCAACAACTAGAAATACTCCTACCGAAAAATTAGTTGAATCTCATATTAAGGTTTTAGAAGTCGTTAATTTTGATGAGATCTTAGACCAGACATCTACTAGTCGATATAAAGATTTGGATACTTCAACCTTTGTTCTACATAATTCAAATATCAGTTCAAAAGCCAGTAGCTTCAAGAGTAGCATTGCTAAGAATTCATTAAATAGCTCAATTGAACTAAGTAATTCTTCAAAAAGTTCAATAGAACCAACTTCATCTTCAGAGCAAATAGGCAAGTCATCATCACCACCACTTCCTGATTTAAAAGAAGAATAAATAAATATGCGTATGGTAGCGCTACAATAGTTTAAGAGCATCAAAGAAAAAAAAAGTTTAATGTACAAAATTTTATATACGAATAGATCAATCTTTGTTATAATCACGTCAATAACATTAGATAGACAGCTTATATATGTCGAACGAATCTCTTAAATTTACATCGCAGATACCGTCTCTGACACCTATTAATAGCAGTGGTGATGAAGAGCTTCTAAAGCAGGATAAATTAATATTTGACAATGAGATTCAAGAACTTCGAGATTCCATTATAAACAGTTCGCAAATCAAGGAGATTGGGAAATCCATCAAAATAACTAAGAATGATTCCATCAATAAGAGAGTCACTCAAGTTCTCCAGGAAATAGAGTCAGGCAATTCTGTATTACTTACGAGTATTTCAAACTCAATACCGAAGAGTATAGCCATAGTTGAGATTGTCAAACAAAGACTTAAAGAGAAGAAAGTCCAATTCACTCAGTTTAATAAGATGGCTAGACATGTATCTACCGTAAATCCAAACTATAAGTATGGTCAACAAACTAAACACCAACGAGTCAGTGTTAATCCGTATTTGCAAGAAAAATTAGCAGATGCTGCTACGACTAAGCAAATACAGGCCGAAAAGGAAGATATTATTAAAAGTGTTAGAGGTTATAAAGTATATCAATTACCTGTCTTACATACATTAATTGTCATTGGTGATGGCAATGGTTACGAGTTGATTAATTGGACAACTCAAACAGAGTAAAGAATTTATAGACATCTCATATAAACAAAATAAATAAAGTAATGATTCATGTTCAATAAATTAATTAAATCCCATTTTGTAAAGTATGTAGTGGCTCTTACAATTAATTAGAAATAGGGTATACTTAAAAGTATAGTAAATGTATATAGCGACGAAGTTTAAATAGTATGGGGAATAGGAAGATGTGTAAAAAAAAGAGTATAAACTCACACGTGACAGTTCACGTGCGCGGATTCAACCAATAAAATTATCAAAAAAGAGCAGCACTGAGAAAAACATCTAGCAAAAAAATCGTAAGATAGAAAACAGCTTTGTACAGGGCTATAGGTTGAGTTTTTAAAGATATAATTAGATATTACAATTGTTTATATTATTCTTCTATCAACTACATATTTTATATAAGAATAATTGAAAATGGCTATTGATCCAGAAACCTTTAAGTTTGATACTCCACAATTCGACCCAAGATTCCCTTACCAGAATCAAACCAAGCACTGTGCTCAATCTTACATCGATTATCATAAATGTGTTAATGTTAAGGGTGAAGAATTCGAACCATGTAAGATCTTTTTTAAGACATTCACTTCTTTATGTCCTCTTGACTGGGTTGAAAGATGGGATGATCAAAGAGCTGCTGGTAAATTCCCAGTCAACATGGATGCTTAAATTTGAAGAAATTGTACATCAACTTTTTATTTCCTATTGTTTTCCATATTAATTCATAAATATCATTTTCGTATCAGCATTTTCCACTAAGTCTTCTGTTAATAAGTTCCTTATTGATTTAGGCAAATATATTCAGAAAGTTTTGACTATCAACAATCAATCCCTTCAGTTACTATAAGTATTAATCTATATTTCAAGATATATAAATATACAATTTACGTAGTACTTTTACTATATTCTATTTTTTTAGCATTAATGGATAACGATATATTTACAATTGAATTAAAAAAATGCCCACCTAATATTCTACTCTACATAAAATCATCTTCAATCCAATTTTCATTTCTGAATTCATTACTACTATTATGCAAATTTTCTTCCGTGAACAAGTCAGCATAAGGATCATTTTTAGTCTTACGTTGCTCATCATACAATTTATTTAAAGCTTCTTGTTCACGTTCTTGTCTTTTTCTTTCTGAAGCAATATCTCTTGATAATTGTTCTTGTTCTTGTTTAAATTGTTCAGTAGGTATCTCATACTTAGTCTTATTTAATTTATTAATTATAGCATTTTCCCGTTTAGTAACTTTAATTCGTTTAACTTGTTTGGGATTTTTAAAAGTAACAGTTCCAATATCCATTGAACCATCAGTATGTAAATTCTCCACTGGAGTATAAATTATGGTTATATTATTCAATTTATTAGCTTTAATGGAATTAGCTTTAGTTAATTGCGCTATTTGAGTAAGAATACTTGGATCTATATTGAATGAGTCAAAGGATTTAAAAGTCACGATTTGTTCTTTAGTAAGTTGCAAATATAAATGAGCAGATGAGTAATTATCTACATGAAACCATATATTTTTAGGGTTTGAATGCTTTATCAAAGGGTCATTCTCAATTTTATCTTTACCCATATAGATTATATGGTTCTGGGTCTCGTCATCATTGCTCAGGAAATCTGCAGCAAAGTCATTAACTTCATCTGAAGATTCAGGCTTGGCTGTGAAGTAGTACACCATTATGAATTGGAATACTTTTAAAAAGTTAAACTGGACAGTATTAAATGTATGCTAACAATATTAGTCCTTGCTTAACTATGGGCATCAGGGTGAAAAATCTCACAATATAAAAAAAATTCTAACCTATAACTTTCATTTACGAGGTTAGTCGAAGGTCGGTGTGCCTTGGAATCTCCATACATTTCTCACGTGCATCAATAGTTAAATTTTGTCTGCTCACCCTCGTAACTGTAATTGGAAACTGGAGATTTCTCTATTTGTTTTGAAACCAGCCTCGCAACACTGACCTACCATCCATACCGCAATAATTAACGTATCGAATACGCGACAAAAAGTACTAACGGTGATGTAAATAAAATTCCCCCATGCGGAAGTTTAAAACAAAGCTTGACGTTTCAGAAACTTCTACAAATCGAGTAATTTTTTATATAACATAGTCCAGATCTATTGACCTCATTTTTTTCTATTAGCTAACTATTGGTTGTTCATTCCTTAATTGGGTCTTATCTATTAAGTCACCATTTCTGACCAATTTCACCCCTTTGAACCTTCGCTGTCATTAAATTTTGCTGGGGTAAGTATATCTAACTTAAGCCGTTCCTTTTAATAATTTTGCATTTTCCAAAATTTTTTTGTTTTTTATATTTCAGTTACAGTTAACTTTTATGGATACAACTAATAGCAATTCCAATTCTATACTAAAATGATCGACTACGAATCATTGATCGAATTTGAAGAATCACTTAGTTCATGTTCGGACTATGGGACTATAATATTAAGAAATAATATTGAATTAAGAATCGAAAGTTTGAGATATACACCTGATTCTATAGAATCAGAAGAAGATGAAGATGATGAAGTTAATGAAAAATCATCTAGTATATTTTCAAATAATGAAATTACTGAAGAATCTTTTAAACAAATATTTAATGAATATCATTTTAAGAATGATGAGTTTTCAACTTGTAATAAATGTGGAGCATCATTAGCTCGACAAGATGATTATCAAAATTGTTGTTTTTCGTATATTGAATTAAAACAACAAATCAATACTAATCTAGAAAGATCATATTGGATTTCTTTATTGAATTATCCAACTAGAACAATAAATACTTTACCATATTATACCCAATTATTATTTTTACAACAAGGTGGTATACCAAATCAAATAAGATCATTAGTTTGGAGAAAATTATTTTTATTATCAAATAATGATGTACCACAATCAATAAAATTTGTTTATCAAAATTTTCAACATTCTTATAGTTCTGAAGTTTCTAAACAAATTTCAAAAGATTTAAGTAGAACTTTCCCATCAATTAGCTTTTTTAAACAAGAAAAAGTAATTGAAAATTTATCAACTATTCTTAATGTTTATGCTAATTATGATGTTGAATTAGGTTATTGTCAAGGATTATTATTTTTGGTAGGGGTTTTATATCATAATTTTAATCAAGATTGTTTATTAACATTTTATTCATTAATAAATATTATGGAAAATGAACCTCAATTACATAATATTTTTTCAACATTTACTATGGCATCTACATTAAATGATTGGTATTTGGAATTTCTTTATTTATTAAAATCAATTGATATACAATTATTTAATCATTTAATTGAATTTGTTGAATTTAAACCATTTCTTTATCAATGGTGGTTATCATTTATTGCATCTCATTCACCTGATTCTTCAATAATTAATAGAATTATTGATTTTTGTTTAATTCAAGGTTGGAAAATTGGGTTATTTAAAATTTCATTAGGATTACTTATTAGTAATAAACCAATTTTAATGACATTATCAAAAGGTGAAGAAGAAGTTATTTATCAACATTTATTAAATGAAAGTAAATGGGGTAATGTTATAAGTCAATTAGATTTATTCTTTGGACAATTATTATTATCTTGGGATGAAGAATTATTTCTTAATTTACAAAAACTTGATATTGAACATATGAATGAAAGTGATGATGATCGTTCTATTCCTATACTTGAAAAATTTAAGAAATTGTCTCTTAGTTTAAGAGCATCACCAAGCTTTAATAGGAATAGATCTAATAGTTCATCTATTCATACATCCAATCAATCAGTTAATTCATTATTCTCGGCCAGTCAAAATGGTAATTCTTCTAAACATGAATTAGAATCGATTTATTCTGATGCTAGTGAAGTTAGTGAGAATAATAAATCATTTGCTGATTATTTGAAATTACCAACATTTAGAAAAAGTATTAGTATTGATAGTGACGCACTTGTTGTTGAGAATAATAATTTAAAAGCATTATTAAAAAGAGCCATGGAATTAGTTGATGATCTGTCAGAGGCAGACTCCTTGAAGGAGGAAATAATGAAGGTGATCTAGGTAGGTAAATAGGGATTTGATATTATTTATTAGCACTTATATAAATAAAGATATACATGAACATATACATATATAAATATTTTGCAACTAAAAAAATGTCTGTAAGTGGCGGGCGGTTACTAGGCAAAAGACAATAAATACTTGTCCGGGTAATGTCCCCTCGGAATTTGAATTTTTTTTTTTCACCAACAGTCTCGAAAGCTTCGAGGATTACCATAGTTAAAAGCTAATAAAAGCAATTGTATATAATTATATACATAGAAAAGTATTGGACTACTGATTAGATCTAATACTATCAAAGCCAAGTCGTGTGTGTGCCGTTGTGTAATTGTGGTTTGAAGAATCTTCGAAAGCATTAATTCTTAATTCTTCTCCTTTTTTGAGGCAACCTCCCATTCACTATCCAAGTATCGTGTCCGGCACTAACATTAGTACCAGTCGCCCAAGGGGCCAACAATACCAAGATCAACATCAACAATATAATAATAATAATATCTCAAATTCATCCATAGTGACTCCTCCTCCTCCTACTACTACTACTTATCAAATCGAAGATCCAGAACTTACCAAAGTTATAATTAATCAAATATCTATACTTTTAACTAAATTAAATCACGAGAATATTCACGGGAATTTTAATCAAATTCGATTTATATTAACTAATCAAAAATCTAATCCCATAGTTATAAATAATTATTTTCAAAAATTATTTACCTATATCTCATTAATTAATCCTGACCAATCGGAATTAACCCCCATTGAAGAATTATTTATTGAAGAATTACAATTTATTGCTCGAGATTTAAATTATTTGGATTTATTATTTATTCATTTATTTAAATTATTTAGGGAAAATCCGACATTTAAATTCCTGGTGGTTGAATTTCTTACCAGATTTAAGTGTGATTTAATCTTTTCATTTGTACTTATAGTTAAATTACAATCAAAAGAAGAATCGAGTCTTGCATTCTTACAAGAGAATTCCCTTAAACTCCTAAGTGCTATTAAATCTAGAGAATATACAAGCAATTTTAATTGGAATTTATTCTTAGATTGTATATTAAATACTGGATATTTCCCATTTACTCATAAATTAATTGCCCTAAATTCTTTTAAAGCATTAAAATTAAATATTGAACCAATTGATAGATTTTATAAGAATATTTTAACTATGTCATTCAAAGATTTATTAATAGAAATTAGACCGGAGAATTTATTGACGGATAAATTATTACCATTATTATTACAATTAAAACCTAATGATATAGATCAAAGTATCGCCTTAATTATTTCAGAAATCTTAATTTCAGGATCTCAAGGCATTGGATTTCCAATTCCTAATAGTGCTCCAGAAGCAGATGCCAAGGGAGCATTATTACAAGCATGTTTTAAAGCCATTGAACAACAAAATCAGTCAATTTCTATAAATTGGTATGAAATGTTCTCTCAAGTTCATAAGAATTTATTTGCATCATCTCAAAGAAATGTTTATCCATTACCTTTAAGTATTCATCAATTATTATCGTCATTGGATTTTAAACAAGGTCCCATAGATATCTTTTTAAGTTATGATTGGTGGTTTAATAAAACCTTACTTTCGGTATTACATTCTCTGGCCAATCAACTGCCAAGTGTTGGAGGCTATGATATAACTGCTTCTACCAATGTGGCTCTTTGTTTTACTAATGAACCTCAACAGGTGCAAGCGCAAAGACCCAAATCAGTGCTCAAGTTCATCAATGTAGGTAAATTAGAGTTGCAAGTCATTAAACAAATTCAACAGCAGCAACAACAACAGCAACAGCAACAAGTACCAGAAACCGAACGGCAATTGAATTCGTTCATAACTCAACGCTTTGAAGTGGACTACAGAACCACTCCGGAATTTTTACTTGCGGCTGCAATAACTTCCCCCGAACAAACCCCCTTTATTCGCGACTTAATTGATAATTTATTTGCAACCTTAGTGGAAAATGACAGTAGCTCACTTACGGGTATTTTAAATATTATGAAAGAACAGGGCAATGATTTTATTGTCGAAGTACTTTTGAAATTCTACACTTCTCGAAACTCCATTGAAGCCTTAGATAAAGTCATTGGTAAAGCCATTCAATTAGGAGTGTTTGAACAAATCTTATCGGCCGTTGATCAAGATCATAAGGATGCTGCTAAGTTTATTATTGAATCTTCGTTATTTGGCATTGATTTTAAGGCCCTAATTAAAGCCAAGATTAAGGATTCTACCATTAAATCCGATTTCTATCCGGCTTTATTACAAGCCGTTGATGAACGTGCTCAACGTGATTATAATGTAATTCAACAGATTCCCCTCGGACAAATAATTCCGGCCAATGATGCCAGAAATGTCTTACGATTACCCACTGTCCATTTCTTATTAGAGACATTAACTACGTCTAAGGGGTTAGTCAATAATGAGAAATTAAAGCCAGTTCAATTACTTATCCTCACTACTTATCCTCGATTAATTAATTTCGGAAATGATCATGATGAAGCCATCTTATCGAACGCGGAAACATGTCTTAATTTCCCTCCGAATGTCGAACAAGAAATGAAGACTAGTTATAAGAAGATGTATAATAAAGAAGTTGAAATTAAAGTAATTGTGGATGATTTAGTGGATATGAAAAATAGTAATGAACCTCATAAACAAGATGTATTTGCCTGTATGATACATTCATTACTTGATGAATATAAATTCTTTTCTGGTTATCCACTAGCAGCATTAGCATCTACTTCACTTTTATTTGGTGCATTATTAGAAAAATCTTTAATTCAAGGTACTACCCTTACCGTAGCATTGAATTTTATATGGGAATCATGTAATCAACCACCAGATTCTCATTTATTTAAATTCGCCGTTCAATCCTTATATAATTTCAAATCGAAATTACATGAGTATCCATCATATTGTAAACATTTATTAGAGTGTCGATCATTACATCAACATGCCAGAATGTTTCAAATCGTTAAGGATGCAGCTAATGGTATACCATGTGTAACTCAGAATGCTACTCCTACACCAGAAGCTTCAGGAATAAAATATCAATCCATTAATGTGAGTGATAGACCCATTGGAAATGGTTTAATTGAACAAGAAGAACCTCCTGCCAATGTATCCGATCGATTATTATTTGCCGTAAATAATATGACAGAATCAGATTTACGTCTAGGAGAAATTCGAGATTCATTAAAGGAAAGTTATTTCGGATGGTTTGCGAATTATATTGTTTCCGATCGAGCCAAAGCCGAGCCGAATAATCATATATTATATTCTACTTTAGTCAATGCTATTGATAATACTACTTTCTATAATTATGTATTAAGAATAACTTTAAGTGAAATTGATAGAATCACTAAGAACTTTAGAGGTGCCAGTTCCGAAAGAAACCAATTGAAAAATTTAGGTGCATGGTTAGGAATAATCACATTGGCTAATGAAAAACCTTTGAGAAGAGATCAGATTGCCATTAAGTTCTTATTGGTAGAAGCATATGACTTTAAGACTATCCCCTTAATCTTACCATTTGTATGTAAATTCTTAGTTCAAGGTAAAGATACCAAGATCTTTAAACCTCCTAATCCGTGGATTGTGGGGATTCTTAAAGTCTTGGCCGAATTATATGATTATGCCGAATTGAATCTTAATCTGAAATTTGAAATTGAAGTATTATTTAAAGCCTTTAATCATATGAAAGTTAAGGATGTAACTCCTACCACCATCATTAGAGATCATAATCCGGATCCTTCTGCTTTGGCTGCTATGTTTGGTATTCATTCAGAAACAGTCATGTTAAGTAATGAAATAGCCAGATTGCAATTAGACCCCCTGGATCTTCAAGCTCAGTATCCACCTCAACAGCTTGTGGGTGGTCAATTACCACTTCCTCAGCTTCAACCTCAACAATTGGCTCAACAGCAGCAACAGCAGCAACAGCAACAGCAACTTCAGGCTCAGGCCCAAGCACAGGCTCAACAACAACAACTTCAACCTCAGCAACAACCACAAGAAGGCTTGGATACAAGCTTTAGTAACTTGATTGGAACCACCATCTTCACGCAAAATCCAAATTGGAGAAGAGCCTTCCAAGCATCATTGGCAAGAGCTGTTCGAGAATGTGCTGTACCCATTTTAACTCGAGTTTCAGAAGCAGTTCTTACTACAACTGAAGCACTTGTTAGAAAGGACTTTGCTCTTGAAAAGGATGCCCTTAAATTCCGCAATAGTTATCAGAATTTAGCTCAACAATTGGCTCATAGAATGGTATTATCCAGTGGTAAAAAGGTATTAGCTGAAACCATTGAAAGTACTATGATACAATTATTAGGTAATCCCGATGAAATCCCATTGGCAGAATTAAATACTGCTATATTAGATAATGTAGGATTATGTGTAGATATTGTTGATAAGATAGCTCAAGATAATATCAGTGAATTAATTGATGAAAGAATGAAAATTCATGTATTATTACGAGAACAACATAATCCAATTCAACCATTTATTGATGAAGGAGCTTCGGAATATTCTATGAGATTGCCAGAACCTTTAGGTTTGAAACAAGAGGGACTTTCCTCTAATCAGTTAAGAATTTATGAGACTTTTGGGTCCATTAATTCTATGCTTGATGATGGAATTATGCCTCCTCAATCGCTAGAAGCTCAGACACAAGTCATTGCAAGACCCACACTCCAACAGCAACAACAACCGCCACAACAACAGCAGCAGCAACAACCACAGCAACCTCAACAAACAGAAGTATTCCCCTCGGATCAATTGTATACTTTAATTCTTCAGAATTGTCAAAAGGCTATACAATTATTATCGGAAACTCAAGAAACTAAATTGGCCGATTTACCTCCTAATCATCCAATTATGATTGCATTAACTCAAGCATTATCACTTGCTCAAAATAATGCTATTAAGTATCCGGAATTACTCTTGAAAGTAGCTCAACATGCGGTAAATTATTTATTTACTCAACAGCATGAGAATCCTATGAGTACAGAAATATATGTAGTTATATTGGATAAATTATGTGAATATTCTCCATCTACTGCCAAAGATGTTACTTGGTGGTTAGTTCATTCAGAAGATCAACGGAAATTTAATATGCCAGTAATGTTTTCTTTATTAAAAGTTCAATTAGTTCTGCCATTAAAATTAGATTCATCAATTGGTAAATTAATTGCCGAATCAGGTAATCCTACGGTCGTAAAATTTGCAGCCGATTTATTATTAAATGTATTTAGTGAATCTGAAACTGAATCTGAATCTCAACCAATTTTAAGATCAGAATTTGCTTATACAATCGATACTTTAAGTAAATTTAAATCGGATGATTCAACCGATGAACTTAAACAAGCATCTTTGGCTCGAGATAAATTATTTGAAGCATTAAATAAATTAGAATCTCCGGCTTCAAATCAATTATATTCTCAATTAGGATATGTATTCTCCGAATGGGTTAAATTATTAACTCACCCTGATCAATCGAATGATTTACAAACTCAATTTATTGAAGGGTTATTAAGTCATGATATTTTAACTGATCGTCAATACTTTCAAACCTTCTTTAAAGCCGCTATTGAAATCTCCATTACCGTCTTTGGAGCTGAACATGAAATTAAAAACAAGACTCAACATGAAACTTTCTTATCGGTAGATTGTTTAGCCATGTTAATAATTAAAATCATTTTAAGATTTGAAACTCCCTCGGAAGCCATTAATTATTTAAAGAAAATTATTCCTGTAATTTTAACTTCATTAACTGAAGATCATGAATCCGATAGTTCAAGTTTAAGTTCAAGTTCAAATTCAAGTTCAAGTTCAAATTGGAATGAACGAGCATATTTCCGATTCTTTTCTTCATTTGTAAGTTTTTGGAGTGATTCAAGTATTGTTGATGAAGAATCTAGTAAATTATTAGATGAATTAGTATTAAATTATATTGGTGAAGTATTAACATTAATTCAACCAATTGTATTACCAGGATTTATATTTGCTTGGATTACTTTAATTAGTCATCGAATGTTATTACCAAGATTATTAGAATTACCTAATAAACAAGGTTATTCATCAGTAGTTAAATTATTATCAGCTTTATTGAAATTTCAATCAATTTATTCTCGTGAAGGTAATACTGATGTATTTCAAGTTATATTTAAAGCTATTAATAGAATCTTTACTAGTATTTTACATGATTATCCTGAATTTTTAGTTGAATGTCATTATCAATTAGTTACTGCTGTACCTAATGGATTTATTCAATTAAGAAATATAATTCTTTCAGCCACTCCTTCAAATGTTTCAGCTCCTGATCCATTTACTCAAGGTTTAAAAGTTGAAAGATTACCAGAAATTAATCAATCTCCAATAATCTTTTATGAACCATCTGATGATTTAGTTAAAGTATTATTAAAGAAACCAGTTGAAAACTTTTTAAGAATTCCTGCTCCAGCATTAGTTCGAACTATTTATAATGGATTAAAATTAAATCATCCTAAAGTGATTGATGAATTTACTAATGATATTATTCATTATAATGTTAAATTAATTAATGCATTAGTTTTACATGTTGGTATATCTGCTGTAGCTGATAGATTACCAAATAATGTTAGAGGATTTAATATTAAATCATCTCAAGTATCATTATTAGTTGATTTAATGAATCAAGGATCTCTGGAATTTAAATATCATTTAATTAATTCAATTGCTAATCAATTAAGATATCCAAATAGTCATACTCATTGGTTTATTGGAATTATATTACATTTCTTTAGTTCAAGTTCAATTTGGGGTACATTATCAGTTAAATTAACTGTCCAAGAATTAATTACAAGAGTTTTATTAGAAAGAAGAATCGTTAATAAACCTCATCCATGGGGGTTAACTATTGTATTTACTGAATTAGTAAAGAATGGTGATTATGGATTCTTTGAATTACCCTTTGTTAAAGAGGCATCTCCTGAAGTTAAGAGTGTATTTGATGTATTATCTGTTCATGTTAAGGGTTCGACTCCTACCGCCGATCCTTAATTAGTTTGTTTCCCTCACTCCCTCACTCTTTCCCTCCCTCTCTGTATATTAGTAGTGTAATGCGTAATGTATATTAATTATTAATAACTCCCTCACTCACTCCCCTTTTGTGCTTTTTGTTACAGTGCGAATTCGAATCGATGTGTTCCTCTGTTGATAACAATTGACTAATTCACCCACCACACGACATCCATACCACATAGATTATCTAGAGGATTTTTTTCAGTGATTAGTATTAATTATAGTTATTAAGTTAAGTTAAGTTAAGTTTTAATTAGTTTAGTTAGACCATGTCGTCACGTGTTAAAAGAATTGCTAAAGAATTAGAAGAGTGTCGTCAAGATACTCAATCAGGAGTTACCTTACAATTAAATAGTGAAACTGATTTAACTAATCTAACAGGTTATTTTAAAGGTCCTCCTGGTACTCCATATCAAGGAGGAGTGTTTCAAGTTGATATTGTTATACCAAAGGAATACCCTTTTAAACCTCCTATAATGAAATTTGCTACAAAAATTTATCATCCAAATATTAGTTCAGTAACTGGAGCTATTTGTTTAGATATTTTAAAAGATGCTTGGACTCCAATCTTAACTTTAAAGAGTTCTTTAATTTCTTTACAATCTTTATTACAATCTCCTGAACCAAATAATCCTCAAGATGCTGAAGTTGCTAAACATTATTTAGCTAATAAGAAAGGTTTTGAAGAAACTGCAGCTTATTGGACAAAGATTTATGCTAGTGAAGGTGATAAATTTGGTTCATCTGCTCAAAATGATGCTGCCTTATATGGAATTGATGAATCAATTGTATCTCAATTTGAAAATATGGGATTCCCAAGAGATAAAATCATTGAAGTCTTGAGAAGATTAGGAGTAAAGAGTTATAATGGGGTTAGTAACAAGGCTGAATTAGAGAATAAGATATTAGAAGAGTTATTAAGAGAATGTGCTTAATTTAGTGGTATTATTCTACTGATGTAATTGAATTTATTATAATGTGACCTTTAACTATTCATACCATTACCATTACCATCATCATCACCATATATTAAGGAATGTCTCAATTCCTACAGTTTGCACTTACATAGTTATCTCATCATTTCTTGCCTTTCCTCTCATCTCCTTTCCTCTAGTTCCATATATACATACATATATATAGCCATATAGAATCATTCTATCCATATACCTTCCTTCGTATACGTATAACTATTAAGCTTTGGTGATACCTGCACACAGACGCCACCAAAGTAAATGCTAAAAAAAAATTCGACAGAATCAAATGGAAAATTCCTGCGTTTGTGAAATTTTCCAGACTCGAAGTCGAAGTTTGCCAATCTTTCTCTACAGTATAGGGGTGATTGTATTGCACCATTGATAACATTTTTATATATCGGCCATCCATGACCACTTCTCCTCCTCCACCGGCATCTACCAGTATTAAAACTTCATCAGAAGTTAGTAATAATTTACTGGAAGAACGCGCTTCAACTATCGGTTGGTACTTTATTTCTTCTTATTATAAATTTTATAATTCAGGAATTGAAAATATTCATAAAATTTATCATGCAACTGCTTCTTTAACTCATGATACTTTCCCAGTTTCTGAATCAGTTGAAAATTCAAATTCTGAAACTTCAGAAACAATCCATAAAGCTCAAGGTATTGAATCAATTAAAGCAAGATTTAAAAATGATAAGAAATTAGCTTCACTTAACAATAGAATTGTTATTACAAATGCTGTATTTGAAATCTCTTTATCTAAGAATATTTTAATTGTTGTTTTTGGTGAATGGTCAAGAGATGAATCTCCATTTCATCAATTTACTCAAACTTTTGTTTTAACTCCTGGTAAAGCTGAGAATACTTTTGATGTAGCTAATGATATTTTAAAATTCATTAATCTTAATGAATTTAAGTATGATGGTTCTGCTTCTTCTTCAGTTGAAACAACAACATCCACTACTACTGAAACTGAATTAAAGGAAGTAAATGGTTCTACTGATAAACCAGTTGAATCAACTAAGGCACCAGAAACTCCAAAATCTGAAGAAGCTACTGCTGTTGCAACTCCAGAAACTAAGGATCAATCTGCTGAAGTTGAAGTTGTAACTGAAACTCAACCTCAAACACAAGCTCCAGTTTCAGCTTCAGCTCAAGTTCAACCTCAAGGTACTACTGAAGTTGAAGCTAGTACTGAAGTTGAACAAGCAATTGAAACAGAACCAGAAGTTGAAGCTGAAAGTTCTACTAAAGAAGAAACTACTAAAGAAGATGAAGAAGATGAACAAAAGAGTCAAAAATCATCAGGTCCATTATCTTGGGCTGCATTAGCTTCTCAATCTGCTCCTCCAAAACCTAAGGCTACTCCTATTGTTAAACCAACTACTGCACCAGTTAAAAAGGTTACTCCAACTCCTGTTACTGTTAATGGTAAATTTAAAAAGGAAGAATGGTTCCCAATATATATTCGTGGAGTATTAGATATTGAAGAAAAGAAATTAAAAGAACATATATCTGAAAATTTTGGTGAACTTAAATTCTTTAAATTAAATATGAATATTGCCCTTTGTGATTTTGTTACTGTTGAAGCTCAAAAGAAGGCTCTTGAAGCTAAAGAAACTGTAATTGATGGTATTACAATTCAATTAGAACCAAGGGAATCTAAAACCGGTAACAACTTCCATAATGGAAAGAAAGGTGGTAAGGAACAAAAGGATAAAGCTTCATCTACTGGGGCTAATGGTGATGGTAAGAAAAAGAACGATAATAAGAAAAATGGTAACAATAACAACACTACTACCAACAATAACAACAACAACAACAATAATAACAACAACAACAATAACAACAAGAAAAAGGCTAAGCCAGCTGCTAGAACTGATTAATTCATTCTAGAAGTGTTTCTATGTATACATACGTCGTACATAACCTAATTTTAATAGATTAATGAATGTAAAACTAAAATGGTAGTTGATAATGTGCCACAGTACACGACTTTACTTTATAGTACTTTATAGTAACTGCGACTGAAAAAAAAATTAGTAGCTCACTAAAGTAGGCTATACCTAAAAATAGTGATACTACTTGTAGTAACAGTAATTATAATACTGAACAATATATAAACACAATGAACTTTCTTCGAAGAAGGAAAGCATCAGAAGATGAAGATGATGATGATATTATTTCAGATCAAGAAACATCCAATGTTCATAAATCAAGAAAACCTCCAAACACAGCTTTTCGACAACAAAGATTACAAGCCTGGCAACCAATTTTAACACCAAAATCAGTTATACCATTATTATTTTTATTAACTATTATATTTACTCCATTAGGTATAAGTATATTATTTGCTACATATAATGTTGAATTAGTTTCAATAGATTATTCTCATTGTAATGAATTAGCTAATGATCAATTTAATTCAATTCCATCAAAATATACAAATTATCATTTTAAAAGTAAAAATACTAATCCTGAATTTCAATGGAAAATTGTAAATTCAACTGATTCATTTGGAGATTTAGCTCAAACTTGTCAAATTCAATTTACTTTACCAGTTGATTTAAAACCTCCAATTTATTTATATTATAAATTAACTAATTTTTATCAAAATCATCGAAAATATGTTAGTTCTTATGATATAAATCAAATAAGAGGTGATGCAGTACCTGATGATTCAATTACAAATTATTGTAAACCTTTATTACATTTAGGAGAAGGAGAAAATCAAAAATTAATTTATCCATGTGGATTAATTGCTAATTCATATTTTAATGATACATTTTCAAATCCAGTATTATTAAATGCAAAAAATAGTGATAATAATCAAACTTATGAATTAACTAATATTGGTATATCATGGAAATCAGATCGTCAACATAAATTTGGTAAAACAAAATATACTCCTGATCAAGTTGTACCACCACCAAATTGGTATAAAATGTTTCCTAATGGATATACTGAAGAAAATATGCCTGATTTACAACTGTGGGAACTTTTACAAAATTGGATGAGAACGGCAGGTTTACCACTGTTTTATAAATTATATGGTAAAAATCAAACTGAAACTTTAACTTCAGGTACTTATGAAATATCTATTGGATTAAATTATCCTGTAAATATATTTGGAGGTACTAAATCAGTAGTTATTACAACCAATTCAATATTTGGTGGTAGAAATTTAAGTCTTGGAGTTATTTATATTATAATTGCCATAATAACTTTAGTATTAGGTACCGCATTCTTAATTCAACATTTAATAAAACCAAGAAGAATAGGTGATCATAATTTCCTACAAGGTAACAATAGTGCTTTTACATCATCAGGAGTAACTAATTTCCGAGAACAGTTGTAAATGTATAACATAATTATCATATTTATATAATCATATACATAACATATATAAGCATATAGTAGTAGTAGTAGTAGTAGTGGGTCTTAACTATGTGCCTGCACACAGCCCGTCCGCTCGGTTCGAAGAAAAAAACTTCAGCTGAACGACCACTGCTTAAGTTAACTAATACTATACGAAGCAAACTAAAAGCTACAGTACAATATTGTATAGAAGGTTGATACGTAGACAGTGGGAGATTGACGGAGGTCACGTTCAAAGAAACAATAATTATAATAAACAGTAGTACGAAAGGCTCACGTGAATGAACATTGAAAGTAAGTAGTGTAGAGGATCAATGAACGTTAACGTTAATCCTCATATACAATACTTGCAACTGCATCAGTTGCAGCAACAAGGACAACAACAAGTCAATTCTAGTGGTCAGTCACCTCAAGTGTCTCAGTTACAGTTACAGCAACAACATTTGCAAAGACAGCAGCTTCTAAACCATCATTTACAGCAACAACAGCAACAGCAACAGCAACAGCTGCAACAACAACAGCTGCAACAATTAGGAACTCCTAATGCTCAAAATGTATCTATAAATCCTTTATTAGCTGCATTAAATGGTTCTAATGCAACTGCATCTCATACTGTATCTGTTCCTGGAAATGGAGTCAATCTTTTACAGATGCAATTTAATCAATCACAGCAACAACAATCTCAACCTCAATCACAACAGCATGCTCTTCAATTCCAACAACTTCAACAGCAACAACAACAACAATTACAATCTCATCAAGTTCCAACCCAACATATTCCTGATCAAGTACCACTTGTAAAGGAAGTATGGAATCAGAACTTGGAATACGAATTCCATTCCTTACGAACTTTTATTAATGATAATTCATCTGATATATATATTGCTATTCATCAAGAAATACCTGGAATAGTTGCAAGACCTGTAGGATCATTTAAATCACCATCAGATTATCATTTTCAAACATTAAGAACTAATGCTGATTTATTAAATCTTATTCAATTATCATTCTGTGTAACTAAAATAAAAGAAAATGAAATTAGTTCAAGTGCTGTTTGGCAATTTAATTTCTTATATGATCCAGAAAAGGAAATGTTTAATGAAGAACATTTACATATGTTACAACAAACGTCTCAAATTAATTTCTCATTACATCAAACTCAAGGTATTCCTCATTTTTCATTTGCTGAATTATTAATAGAAAGTGGATTACTTATGGATTCAAATATTAATTGGGTTAGTTATCATGCTGGTTACGATTTAGGATTCTTTGTAAGTTTATTACTTAACGAATCTTTACCCATGGATGAACAAGAATTTTATTGGTTTTCATCAAAATATTTCCCAAGTTTTTATGATTTAAAATATATTGGTAGTCAAATTTTAAATAAACCAACTAATGATGATAATTCTAAAAATAATAATAAACCTTCAATTGAATATTTAGCTGAAGAATTACATTTATTACCAATATCTCCAGCAATTCGTCAACATTTTGCATCATCATCATCTCCATTACCAGGACATCAACAACAAATGACTTCAACTTTAAATGCATATTTATCAATGGAATGTTTTAAAGAACTTTTAAGACAATCATCATTTGATTCATCATTTTTTTCAAGATTTAAAGGTTATATTTGGGGGTTAGGTCATTTAAGTGGTAATGGGAATGGTACAACAATAGTTGGAGCTGATGATAATATTATACCTAATGGAGGAACTCCTCAACCTTCAACTCCTGGTGGTAGTAATAAAGGTGGAACTGTTCATTTTGGTAGACCTCTCTAATTAATTTTTCATTGTAATTTAATTTATTTTTATACTCCTTTTTTAAATATACAAATTCTATCCTAATTACTAATGTATGTAAAACTAAATATGCAATGCTATTGAATTATTAAAAGAAATGAAATGAAATGAATATCCCAAAATGTGCAAGCAAGTCATTAATATAATTAACTAATCCTCAATTCCTTTCCACTCTTCAGCTTCAGGAGTTTGTTCAACTTCTTTAGCTTCAGTAGCTTCAGTGGTTGTTTCAGTGGTTTGTTCTTCAGAAGTTTCTTCTTGTTTAGATTTCTTATTTTGTCCTTCTCTTCCCTCTTCTCTTTCAGCTCTCTTTCTCTTATATCCTGCCTTTTTATCTTCTCCACTTCTTTCTTCTTCATCCTTTGGTGGAGGTACAAACCAGGGAATTTTCCCTCTATTAAAATCATTTAATACTTGTTTAGATACTCCACTTTCATCTGGTTCTCCACCTTTAATTAATCTACCTTGCTTTCTAGCAATTAATTCAATAAATTCTATACTTGCTTGTTCTAATAATTGAGGATTTTCTTCAAAATTACTCCAACCTTTAATTTCGTAAGTTCTTTCTAAATGTTTTCTTTCACATTTTTGTAACATATCAGGAATATATTGTTCTGGGTGTGACACATGTTCAACTCTTACAACTCCTCTAAATAAAATATCAGATTCAGTATCTTTCAGTGATGGTGGTACTATACCAGGACAATCGATTAAAAAAATTCTTTTCATTAAAGTAATATATTGCCAAACTTTTGTTTCTCCAGGTATTGGAGCAACTTGACAAACTTTCTTTCTTCTTAATGTATTAATAATTGATGATTTACCAGTATTTGGATATCCAATAAATCCTACGGATATTTGTTTACGATCAGAATGTAAAGTTGAAAATTGTCTTAATAATTGAATTAATGACCCTTTACCAAATGAATTGGTAATAGAAGCATGGAATGCTAATGTTGGATAAGATTTAGATAAATGTTTAACCCAAGCAGCCTAAATTTTAATGTTAGTAAAATAGAACTTAATAAGAATAATAATAATAATAAAATCAATGCCAACAACTTGATAAATTATTAGGAGTATAAGTAAGAAATTAAATGAAATCAAATAGTATGGTCAATTTAAAAAATGTCGGCTTCTAGACTACGAAACAAATCACAAAGTATGAAGAAAAATCCTCGATAAGTTTCAACTCAATAAGATTCCGATACTTCTCTAAAGCTGTCGATAAAAACTATCAACAAATTGTGAACAAATCCTTGACCAAAACGATCAAGGAACCAAAACATAGTTTTGGGAACACGGTCGAGGAGTATTATTCTTCCAAAGACGTAACAGGTAACAATGTAGACGTGATTAATACAAGATTAATCATGAGTATCACCCTGACAAAAGGCTTTGGGATCAATAGAAAAAGAAAAACAATAAGAAAAAGAAAAAGAAAAACTCCTGATTATTTGACAAGTTGTTAGTAATAATAAATTGATACGTACTGCAACCCAAGTTGGAACCAAATCACACTTGTTTAAAACATAAATTAAATGTTTATGAGGACATTCATCACGAATATATTTTTCAACCGATTCACATCTAGTCCCTAATGGATCTCTAGCATCTAAAACATGTATCACTACATCGGATGAATCAATAACTTTATATAATTCATTCCAAATTCTTTTAGATTGACCTTTATGAAAAATAGCTTCTTTAGCTTCTTGAGTAAAATCTTCTTTATCAAGAAATGATCCACCCATTAATCCTAATGTGGCATCTAATTCTTGCTTTTCTTGATATGCAACACCATCATTTTCAGTATTTTGAACTAAATCTTCTAAACTTGAAGCTGCAAGTCTTGGTTTCTTTCTTTGTTGTTTTGGTCCAAAAGTCAGTTGAAATGATTCAGTTTCAACTATTTTGGCAGTTGGAGATTCAGATTGATCCTTTTCATCTAATAATGACATTGGTAATTTATTTCTCTTTAATAATACTTGATAAGAATCACGTTTCTTATCTCCCATAGCTTCACGAAAATGAGTTAAAGCATCTTGAGCAATAACTCTTGTATTACCAAACCATTTTCTATTGGGATCAACTCTAGCAGTTGGAGCATCAGTACTTTGTAAAGCAGCAGCCTTTATAATATCTCCCTTAGCATTACGAACGGCTCTACCTTGTTTATACATATTTAAATGCTTAACCTTTTTAGCATCTCTATAAAAATTTTCACCTTTAACTCGAAGGTTACCATCTCGAGTATCTCCCTCTCTAACTCTTCTCAGCTTTTCTTTCTTTTGAGTACCCATTTTTTATATGATAATTTATTCTATTGACTCAATTGAAACCTTATCAGTATCAATCTTTTCTCAGAATAACCTTATTATTAAGTAATAGTTAATAGTTAGTGCCTTTGAAAAATTATATTTTTATTTGAGCAGACCATCACGGCTAACAAAAAAAATTTTAGGGCTAATGCGAAATGTCGCTGAGAATCCAAACTGCAAATACGGATGTCTATTTGCAGTTTGGGGTCCCGTGATCTTTTTCTCCAGCTTATAGATTCCCACATCTCTATACAATAAATAGATAATAAACCAGGCTATGTTAATAAGTAATAATATAATTGTTTATTATATGTTGAGTGTGTGTTATATAGAGCTTTAATTATATCGTAAAGAATGACTGCTGAAGGAAAGGAAGTGTTGGATCAATTAAGTCCAACTCAAGAACATTTCCTAAAGAAGTATCTCTTGGAGAATAGATTAACTATTGAATTACATGAATTATCTAAACCAGGATGCTGTCAATTACTTGGTCCACCATTTAAAATTCAGAGCGATAAAGAAGGCAACAATAATGATGAGGATAAGCATCAGTCCTTACCATTATTGTCGTTCTTCTTTAAACAATTTGTAACAGAATTCCCATTCATAACTAATAATTCTCCCAAGGATCAATTGAATTTTTGGCAGAATACAGTTCAACCATTTATAGAAAAATTTAATCAAGGAAATATTAGTAGTTCAGATGAAAGAAGAAATAATATAACTAAACGGAAACAAGTAAATAAGAAATTTTTATCTGGTTTACTTTTATTTTTCAATTCAACTTTAATTACTGATAAAGATTTAATTTATCAAAATCAAAGTCATCTTAAAGCATCTGATACTGGTAAAATAGATAAACTTCAAAAATCTTCAAATGAAGTAGCCATATCAATGGCTGGTTTACATGAGTATGAACTTTTCCAATATAAAAATGATATATCTATAAATATTGTTAGTGTACGTGATGTATCTGCTACATCTGTACCTGCTTATACATCTTGGAATCCCTTACGATATTTAAGAACATCTGATACTCAAGTTCAAACTCATAATTTTGATTTCATATTACAAATTACAACTAGAATGAATTCTTTAGATGGTGATGTCATCAAATATAAATCTCATTTTATACCTCGTCATTATCATGAATTCAAACTTTTATCGCAATCTTTAAAGAAAGCATATCCCGGATTAATGGCAAGCAAATCATTTGATCTTCCCGTCAAGAGTAAACTGGATCAAGGGATTAATTCTCAAGAATATGAACCATCAATTTCATCAAAGGTATCTGAGAATTCGGGTCAATCGAATTCATTATATCGAGAAAAGTTAAGACTTGCATTAAGAGGTTATTTACGTAGTCTCATTTCAAGACCAGAAATTGTTCATTCCAAAGAATTCTTAAAGTTTATAAATGATGAAAATTTAATATTTCAATCATTAACTGTAGATGATTTGGTTGACTATAATAAAAGATTAGAAAGTGAAAAGAAGGCATTTGTAACTCAATTAGAATTTCAACATCAGGCTTCTAAAGTAATGTTACAATTAAGTTCTGATTTTGATGAATTCAAACTGAACTTAATTATGAAACCAGATACTATTTTGAAGATATTTGAGGATATTGAAAAATCATCTAGTATAAAAAGTCAATCAAAAGTTATTAGAACTTTTAATGAATGGTGTAAATTAGAAGTTGCAGCAACTATTTATCAAATGTTTTTAAGTCAAGATAATTCTGGGGAATGGTTAAATAAGTGCAGGCGCTTTCATAGATTATTTCCTTATAATGTAGTTTATGGTATATTAAGATTTACTAATCCTGTTAAAATAGTTGGAAAAGTTATAGATTTATTATTAATGAATATACCAACTATAAGTTTCCTGGGATCTGAAAAAGGTGAAACAAGAAATTTACTTTCAATTATTTTCACTTTATTGTTGGATGAAGACTTGACTGATTTTGAAAAGGAGTTAACTGCATTAAGAGAAGATAAATTAGATACTGATTATGATGTTTTCCTTGAAAGAATTGAAGCATATTGTCAATTAGATACTAATATTGTTGATGATATTAGAGAAGAATCTATGATTAAATCTCAAGATTTTTTACTTACTATATTATCAACTGAACTTATTTTACCTCGAATTCAAACTTCATTAGATCAGTTTAAATTTAACAAAATTAAAGAATCTTATGAGGCATATTCCCATCTTAATGAAGATAAAGATGTAACTAAATCTGAATTATATCTTAATTTAAAGCAATACTGGCAAGTTCAAATTCGAAAGAAAGATACAAATTTATTGAAGCAGTTATGGAAAGAACCAGAATTAACTAGACTTCTTAAGGATTCAATATCAATATTTTATCAACCATTGATTCGAGTGTTTGCTAAAGCAGATATGCATGTTGTATTTAGATCATTTCAAATATTCATGGATGATTTAATGAAAGATCTATACCTTTTAAGTAATAAGGAAATCTACTATTTGAACCCTTTTCAAATCTTTGAAAGGATTAAAGGTTTATTAGATAAACATGAAGAAGTTCTTTGGGAGTTCCTTCATAATGTTTATGTACACGACGAGCAGCACTTGTTTAAAGGTATAGTTAAATGGACAGAGAAATTCTTGTTATTTTTACGTCTTAAGTTCGTCAATGAGGAAGCTGTCAAGTTAATTATATCCTTAAATGGCGTTAGCTTAAATGAAGAACTCTTCATAAAACAACTTAATGCCCAAACAAACAGAGTTGTGGAAAAAAGACGTTTATTTAAAGAATACTTTGAAAATAAATCCTTAATAGGAAAGGGCATTTCGGCCCAAGACAAGATTGATGAAGGATGGGAAGATGTAAATGGAAAATTATTTGGAGATACGAGTGCCGGTGACTTCGGTGTAAATCAAGAAGATTTTGAAGAATTCAATAATATGCATGCTGAAGCTGATTTGGATGCAGATGGAACCTTAGACAATGACTTAAAGAAAAAGTTATTAAAATTGGAAGAAGATGTAAATGAAATTGGAACTAGTGAGCTCGATAAGTTAGATGGTACTATAAAGACTCAGTTGTCTATACTATTGAAGGATATAAATTTATAGAATTGATAAACTATTACAAATATATACTTTGCGATTGCAAAATATTGATGACATTTTTTAAAAAAAATGAAAAAAAGAAAAATGGACGAGACAGGAATCGAACCAGTGACCTCTTGCTTGCAAGGCAAGCGCGCTACCAACTACGCCACACGCCCTTTTCTATAATAAAAAATTAGAGATTGCCCTCAAGAGTTACAATTTGCACGTGATAAAAATCACGTTTTGCGGATTTGATTACCTAATAAGGAAAGTTTTACCTCGTAAATATATTCAAAAGAAAGAAAAACGCAAAATTACGTTGAGATTGCAAAAATATAGTAAACAATTATTCAAATACAATCTGACAAAGAAACAAAGCCATTATCCTAATGGTTCTGAGCGAATTATAATCTCAAAATATTTATATCTCAAGATAAAAGGAGTATTTACGTAATCTGATATAGTTAAATGAATTACTGTCGTCAAAGAAAGCATTGTTACAAATTGTAAATTTCTTAACCTCTACATAACCAGTTTTCTATTAAAGTGTAATTCTTATTCCCGTTGATTCTCCTCTTCCATATGCCCAATTGTATGCTTCACTATAAATACAGAAAACCGTCTATGAACAAATTATATTACAAAAGTGGAAAGAAAGTTTAGTTGGCATAGCACTTTTCACTTTTTCTTGGCTCGCCTCACTTTTCAGATGATTCTTATAGATGCTAAGATTTATGAAAGATCGGCTTAACAACATTTACGGATAAACTCTGATGAATATAGATTTGCACATATTTTTGGTATTTTAGCAAATCTTTTAGGTAAAAGTTTCACTATTTTTTTGTTATAATTAATCAAACACCTGTTCAGTTTGAAATTTTTGTAGTAGTGCCTTTATGTACTCAAATTAGAAAAAGGTGTAAAAGTCATAAAGTTCACCACTGGTATAATGTTAAAGCCATATATAGAGCTTTCGAGATTAGTGATAGTAATTGGATGCAACCGGATCTGGGGTGATGAATGTCGTGAGTAATGTCTCCCTTGCAGCCAATTGAAAAAAAAACGATACCCCCTATTCGAGAGAATGTCGTAAGAACGAAAAATTAGATCAACTATAATCACCATGTGGATATACCTTTATCTATAGACTAAACTATAAAGGATTTTAAAGGTGACAGGGTTTACCTATAAGTAGGAATACGGAATAGGAAGTCAAAGAAATGACCACACAGACAATAGGGATAAATAGTAACGATGAAAATGTTCTACTAGAAGATGACTTTATTAAGAGTTATAATGAAGAAAATAAAGCATCATTTAGAAATCGACTTAAACGATCTTCCTTTGTTCAAGCCTCTATAGGCACTGAAGAGTTATTGGTGGAGAAATTAGATTCATTTCTTTCTTCTATAGAGTCCAGGTTGGATAGTTTCGAATCTTTTTTTAAGTTTAATCTGAAACAAGAGAAAGGAAATGAAAAGGAGAATGTTCTCATCCCTAATAACGATTATTATTTGACAACAGATAGGACATTAGATCCTTATCTTGGAGCAACCAAGACTCGCAGGAGAAGCAGTTCTGCTAGTTTTAGTACCATAAAAAATTATTCTGCAAGAAATTTAAACCTTATTCATCAAAGATTAAATTTAATCAAAGAGTCGGTTTTAAAAAATTCATTAACCAACTTGGAATTTTTGTATAAGACTTTGGACGACCAATATAATTACTTATTCAATCCTGGTGAAGAGAATGCTGAAGATGATTATGATTCAGACAATTATAGCAATACACTTTCTCCAACAACTTCTGGTACTGCAAATAGGAAAGAATTGCTTTCTAGAAAGATTATAAAAACAATCCAATATTTTGATGAAAAATTACTTCAGATAGATGATTTCATTAAAGTCAATCAACCAGATTCCAAAATAGATTATGACCAAGACTCCTCATTAGCTCAACTTCGATTTTATAACTTTAACAAGACAGTAAAAGCTGCAGAAAAGAGATACGTACATTACTACGAGTTACCATTAAGTTGGAGAGAAAATAAATATATCATACATGGTTACAGGTTTTCTTTAAGTCATAGAACACTTATGAGTTCAATATTCAAATTTAATCATAATGAAACAATGAATATATGGTCTCACATGGTGGGATTTTTCATTTTCTTATACATATGCTTCGTTCATTATCCTCAAAGTGATGTATATAAGATGAATAGCTTTCAAGATAATTGTGTGATGTACCTTTTCTTAGCTGCAGCTATAAAGTGTTTAGTCAGTTCTGTCACTTGGCATACTTATTCTGGATGTGCCCACTTATCATTGAGATCAACTTGTGCATGCGTGGATTACACTGGAATAACCGTTCTAATCACATGTTCAATCATTGCGGTCGAATATTGCTCGTTGTACAGTTATCCTAAATTATTAACTACATATATGGTGTTTTCATGTGCTAGTGGAGTGGGAGGTTTACTTTTTAACTGGTCTCCTTATTTCGATCGTCCTGAATGTCGTTCGGTAAGAATCTTCTTCTTCGTAGGGTTAGCCATATTGGGAGCTTCATCAGCATTATGTAAGTGGTTTTATGACGGTATGTCCGTAGCATTCTACTTCTTCTCACCTTTATTCTATAAGAGTTTCTTGTGGTATTGGATAGGGGTTATCTTCTATGGAGGTTTGATTCCTGAGAGATGGAGATATGATGTTATCATTGAAGAGAATAATAATGTTCATAATTGTGAACATAATTATGACTCTATAGATGTTTTGACAGACAACATTGAGAAAAGTGGTGAAGAGGAATTTGAAGAGATCGAAGAAGAAATTGAGGAAATTATCGATAAAAGGGACCAATCTGGAAGCAATTCGGACGATAAGTTAAAGTCAGTTATAGACAAACATTTCCCGGAAGAGCCTATTTTATCACCTTATCACAAAGAATTCTTTTCCTTGTGGTGGGTGGATTATTTTATGGCTAGCCATAATATCTGGCATATTTGTGTTGTATTGGGTGTACTTGGTCATTATGTCTGTGTATTAGAAATGTTCCGACAAATAGCCAGGCAATAGATATTAGTAGAAGTATAGTTTTAATGTTTTTAGAGATTTTCATAATATAAGAGTCTAATTAATCCAGAACGTGCTGAAATTCAGTCACTTTAGTGAAGTAAATAAGGATTTTTCAAAGCACTTAAAAATTACGGGGTGCAGATGCCCTTTCATCATTATAGTTAGGAATGGATGAAACTGGTACAGTAACTTGAGACGATAAATTGCAGGTTGCAGCTTTATGAATCAGATGTAGGGCTTAAGCTAAAGGCCGCCGGGGATCAGTGTGGAGTAAGTACATATTAAAGATGGGGCTCAGAAGAATTATCATAAAATTGATTATTGAATGAAATTGGAATACAACAATAAAGCGAGGGGAGGGTTGAGACTTCCTTGGCTGGGCCATTATCAATAATTGTTGAGAATTGTATTAACAACGCTTCCAATTCTGAAACCCGAGCTCAAATTATTACAGATGGATCTACAAAAAGTTATTGATGTATGTAATCAGAATGGCTGGAACTAGTCTTTTAACTTTGTATCTTTCGCTTTGTTTCTGTACCTCTTACTCTCCATTTGTTACAATTAAGGCGCAACAATAGCGCCCCACTTAGATACGCGCAGGCCAATGTTTCCCTTTATTGATCGACAAATAATATTTAGTACCATATTAAGTAAAAGTATGCCTATATTGGAATTCCAATGGTGGGGTATCTTACGATGTAGACCTTTATAAGAACAGTCTCCACTTTAATTAATTAATTAATTATTTATCTGCAATTTAATAAAAATTGCGCTGTTAAATTGCAATTATAAAATTTTTTTACATCAAATCGAAAAACTTTAATTATGAAAAAATAACTTGAAGAAATAAATAATAAATTTTGAAATATTGCAGTACTTCAGATATTTAATTTAGTTTCACTAATCCATCTTAAGGAATGAGATATGTTCGTCGTTTTCCTTCAAAATGCTTACTTAGTGTTACATTTGGGGGAAGACCAAAAGTAGTAGGGCTGGTGTATGACTCAACCGTACTTATGAACAAAGAAGAGTACATAAAGATTTTTAAGTATAGATGCAAGATTAGCTCATACGTTCCTGAGGTCCAGTCGGAATTAAAGAGAGAGTTACAAAGTTGAAAACTAATTATAAATTTTTTTCTCTAGTAACAATAAGCCATTAGTAATGTTCCGAGGGTGAGATAACATATTCGACCAACTGTGAATAAGCCATAATCCGACCGTACTTGATAATTGGAGGATCCTTAACATTCACGATAGACGCGACTATTTGCCTCCATACAGAACTTCCTGATGAGAGTTAGAAACAGGCTCTTTATGAGAAAGGAATGCGAAATAAAGCTTTCATTACATAGTAGCAATCTATAAGTGTTTATGTTTGATTCTCAGATGTTTATTTTGGTAGACAAAGCGGTAGTAATAAATTAAACTTTTTTATGGCATGGCTGACTATGCAGGATCAATAGCGCCTGTACAGAAAAGTCAAGACTTTCCGAGCATTGCTGCAACGCCATTCAAAATTTAAGATTACACAATAATATAATTTAGCAATGAAGAGTAGAGTTAGAACGCAACCAGACAAAAGGAACGACCAATTTGTGCCACTCAGTCAAGTTGAAACAATAGCAAAACTCATTGGTATCGTAGGATTCTCGTTAAACCAGTGGAAACGACGGAGACTAACTAGCAAATGATAAATTTTAATGATATAGGAAGCGCATTACTTAATTCTGTTTTTTGATTTCATCGATAAGATTGTAATCAGAATCCCCGCCCATCAAAGTCAAAGTACACCGGCTTCGGTATAATACTTCAGGCACCTAATTATCATTGTTCCTCAGGAAAAACCCTCGGAATTCCACAATTCTCAATTGGGAAAGAGGAAGTTTTTTCCACGTCATTTTGCACATCAATTCTATTTTCTAATTATTATTTTTTATTTTTTTTTATTTTTTCTTTTGGCAACTATTGTAACTCTTTAGATTCTGTAACGTCTGATATACCTGTGAATAAGTGGTTTATTGTGCAAAATTAAAAGGACCGGGGAAGACTTGAATAGCTTTGTTTTGTAGATGAATCAAAGTATATATAAGCAGCCATTCCCTCCCCTGATTCCATCTTCTGTTATGTAAAATTTATTTTTACACTATACATTACTGTTATAGATTTTATTTTAATTATATCAAATTCATTCCTTTCATTTATATTAATTTAATAAGAGTAACTAAATAAATCAATAATGGGTAAATTCGATTGGGTGAAAGCCAGAACTAACACTGGTGGATTAAGAGGTAAGAAATTAAGAGTTTTTATTACGGTCGTTTCCGTTACTGGGTTTTCTTTATTCGGTTATGATCAAGGTTTAATGTCAGGTCTTATTACTGCAGAGCAGTTTAATTATGAATTTCCAGCTACCAGAGATAATGGTACCATTCAAGGTGCTGTTACTTCTTGTTATGAATTAGGTTGTTTCTTTGGAGCTCTTTTTGCATTAATTAAGGGTGAAAAAATTGGTAGAAGACCATTAATAATTGCTGGTTCCATCATTATAATATTGGGTACTACCATTTCTACTACACCATTTAGAGGTCATTGGGCATTGGGTCAGTTTGTTGTCGGAAGAGTCATAACAGGTATTGGAAATGGTTTGAATACTGCCACTATTCCAGTCTGGCAATCGGAAATGTCTAGAGCCGAGAATAGAGGTTTATTAGTCACAATGGAAGGTGCCGTTGTTGCAGTAGGAACTTTAATTGCTTATTGGCTCGATTTTGGTTTGTCTTACGTTAATACTTCAGTTCAATGGAGATTCCCTGTTGCTTTCCAAATTGTTTTTGCATCATTTTTGTTCTTCGGTATCTTGAGATTACCAGAATCTCCTAGATGGTTAATTGCAAATAATAGGAAACCAGAAGCTTTATATATCTTAAGTGCTTTGAAAGATATTCCAGAAAATGACGATGAAATCGTAGCTGAAGCCACTGTCATCACTGATGCTGTTAATAGATTTACTAAAACTCAAGTTGGTTTCAGAGATTTATTTACTGGAGGCAAGACTCAACATTTCCAAAGAATGGTCATTGGTTCTTCTACTCAATTTTTCCAACAATTCACTGGATGTAATGCTGCTATTTACTATTCTACTGTTTTATTTGAAAACACTATCGGTTTAGAGAGAAGATTATCTTTGATTTTAGGAGGTGTTTTTGCAACTGTTTATGCTTTATCGACTATTCCATCATTTTTCTTAATTGATACTCTAGGAAGAAGAAATTTGTTCTTAATTGGTGCTGTTGGTCAAGGTTGTTCATTCTTGATCACTTTTGCTTGTTTAATTGATAATACTACTAATAATGCTAAAGGTGCGGCTGTCGGTTTATTCTTATTCATTGTTTTCTTTGCCTTTACAATCTTACCATTACCATGGATTTATCCACCAGAAATTAATCCATTGAGAACCAGAACTGTTGCTTCTGCTGTTTCTACTTGTACCAACTGGATCACCAATTTTGCCGTTGTTATGTTTACACCAGTTTTCATTGATAATGCTAGATGGGGTGCCTATCTTTTCTTTGCTATTATGAACTTTTTGTTCGTTCCAGTTATTTTCTTCTTCTATCCAGAAACTGCTGGAAGATCATTAGAAGAAATCGATATTATCTTTGCTAAGGCTTACACTGATAAGAGACAACCATGGAGAGTTGCTGCTACCTTACCTAAATTATCATTACAAGATATTGAAGATGAAGGTAAGGCTCTTGGATTATATGATGAAGATTTCGATAAGGAAAACTTTGAAATGAAGGAAGATATTTCTTCTTCAGGTGAATCAAAAGAAGAAATTAAACCTAATGATGCTCCACAATCCGAAGGATTAATTAGCAGAAAATCGAAAGATGGGTCAATTGTATAAGCCAATTAATTAGTTTGGTTTTTCTACTTTAATTTCTACAGTGTTGTTTATTTAATTTTAATCTTTTTTTAATACATAGGCTAGATATGACTACAAATACATAATTTAAATAAATTAAATAAATTAAAGTTATTAAATTTGCAACTCCGCACTGGAGCCACATTTCCCAGCGGGTCAATTTTTCGAGACTATTTTATGAGACGTATTTATAGAGACCAATTTGTCAGTTGTGAAAGTTGTGCTTCATCGTTTTTTACAGTTTATAATAAAACAGACAAAAATAAGTATAAGAAAATGTCGTCCACTGAATATCTCGACAAGGCTAAAGCATTGATCAAGGAACATCCCTATTTAATGTTATCTAAATCTTGGTGTCCTGATTGTCATTATACCTATAAAATATGGGATGAATATAATGTAAAGGATAAAGTTCATGTTATTGAATTTGACAAATTCCCAGACCAAGAAGAAGCTAAAAATTTAGAAAAAGCATTTATTGAGATTTCTGGTTTAAATTGGGTTCCAACTATTTTTTTCAATGGAAAGAGATTAGGTACTGAAGCTGATTTGAAAGAATGGAAGAAAGAAGGAAAGTTAGATCAAGTATTTAAAGATGAAAAGTTAATTTAAGTAAAAAAAAATAAATTTGTATAGTTGAATATAAATATGTGTATTATTAATAATGAATGATTGTATTGAGATTTTTTATATCAAAACAATATAGAGAGAATATGAAGTTAGTAAATATAGAAAGACAAGTCATACGATGGTAAAAGATTTCAAAGTAACCAATTTTATATACAAAATACTAGAGCATTTAAGTAGATAATGGGAAATCACCAGCCCATTGAGAGATCTCTTCCTTGACGGCAACTAATTTTGGATCTTCATGATCTAAAACTCTAGATTTGAAATCCTTTAATTTGTTAGCATCTTTTGGTAAAGAACTTTGTAATTCCTTGGCATAGTTGACAGCAAAATCAATATAAGAAACAATCTTCTTGAAATCTTCTTCACCTAAACCTCTAGTGGTCATAGCTGGAGCACCAATTCTAACACCACCTGGAACTAAAGCAGATTTATCACCTGGGATAGAGTTTTTATTTAAAGCAATATTAATCTTTTCACAAACAGTTTCAACTCTAGCACCATCAATTTGTTTATCCTTTAAGGAGACTAAAACCATATGAGAATCAGTACCATTAGAAACCAATTTATAACCTTTATTAATGAATTCAGATTCCAAGATTTTAGCATTCTTTAAGACTTGAAGTTGATATTCTTTAAATTCTGGAGTAGCAGCTTGCTTTAAGGCAGCAGCTAAAGCAGTAATGGTATGGTTATGTGGACCACCTTGATGACCAGGGAAGACTGAGAAGTTGATTGGATTTTCTAAATCGAAAAGAGTTTCTTGACCAGTTTTTGGATTAATTGATCTAACACCTCTTCTAAAGAAGATCATGGCACCTCTTGGACCTCTTAAAGATTTATGAGTAGTGGTGGTAACAATATCAGCATATTCAAATGGAGATGGAATAACACCAGCAGCAATTAAACCAGAAATATGAGCCATATCAACCACTAAATAAGCACCAACTTTATTAGCAATTTCTCTCATTCTAGCATAATCAATTAATCTACAATAAGCAGAAGTACCAGCAACTAAGACTTTTGGTCTATATAAAATAGCAGTCTTTTCTAACATATCATAATCAATTAAACCAGTTTCTAAATCAACTCTGTAAGGCATAGTTTCAAAATAAGTTGAAACAGCAGAAATTTTTCTAGAATCAGTTTGATAACCATGAGATAAATGACCACCATGAGGTAAATCTAAACCCATTAATCTTTCATGAGGTTTCATAATAGCTTGATAAACTTGTAAATTGGCTGGAGAACCACTTAAAGTTTGAACATTAACACCCCATTTATCACTTGATAAATTAAAAGCTTTAAGAGCTCTTTCTTGACATAAAAGTTCAATTCTATCAATATGTTCATTACCACCATAATATCTTGCACCAGGATAACCTTCAGAATATTTATTACACATTGGAGTTCCTAAAGCATCAAATACTGCAGTAGTAGTGAAATTTTCAGAAGCAATTAATACAATAGAATGTCTTTGTCTATCGATTTCATCTTGAATAATTTGATAAACTTCAGGATCACTATCCTTTAAATGGGCAGAGACTAATTCTTTATGAGATTCAGATAAAGCGTAAGGCATTGTTAATACGAATTGGAATTGGAATTGGAATTCTAACTATAATCAATAATAGAAAATAATTATAAGTAATTAGAGGAATAAGAATTATTGGATATGAGCAGTTTTATATTCGATTTCTCCATATTAGTTGAGTCAAAATGCGAAAAATTATTAACCTCATCATCATTTTTTTAAGTGGGGAGCAGCGTGTTTATTAGTGCATATATAAATCAGAGTCAAAAAAAAGAGAATAGAGTAGAGACTGAGACTATTGGGCAGGTGACTCATGGAACGTGACTTTAGACAACGAGAAATAATATACACTTACACTACACTACAATTGACTGTTGATTATCTGTAAATTGTTAAGTATTATTAAGATTTGTGCTAATCATATACTATGTCTCTATATGATAATATTCAAAGAAAGCAAAGGAGAATCATATCGTTTAAACTAATTAAAAAAAGTATAAAAAAAAGTGTTAAAGTAAAAAAAAATTGTAATATTGATAACATCACAGTACTAAGTATAGCTCGCAGTATTTTATTCATACTATCTCAATTTAATATCTGTACTTATCATTTGTTGATTTATTTCTGAACTTCTGTCTATTAGTTGGTTAAGATTTAATTCTATATCCTCAATTAATTTTTGGTGGTAGTTATTGTTTATCACGAAATAGCCTTCAATGAATGTATATATGAATGGATGAATGAATGAATGATGAATAAATAAATAAATCAATTAATTATCAATTTATTAGTTAATTGATTAATTAATTAATTAGTTAGTTAGTTAGTTAGTTAAAACTCTCAGAATAAAGTAACTCTTAATCTATGAGCTATAGCCAATTTTGGTACAACCACACAGAGGCAACTAAGACCATTCAATATAAATAAATTTAAATTATAATTTGAATAATGTGTACTAATTAAAAATAATGCAATTGGAACTGACATCAAAAATTTCTTAGTTGGAGTATATTGATCACCATTATCTATTTGTTCCCACATTGTTAAATTATCATAAGCACCATTATTAAATTCAAATGGTGTACCTTTAACTTGATGAAACATAATATAAGATCCAATATTATAAGTTAGATTTGTTAAAGTCCATTTCCAATCATTATCTAATACACTTACAAAATTAAAGATTAATTTAAGAAATACAATTAAAACAAAATGAATTACCCAAGCACCTTTAGAATGAACCCAATTAGCATTAACATTTGGATTTAAAGTTTGATCAATTTTAGTATCCAAAGTATCTGGTTCTAAATGTTGAATAATTGATGATGATCTTCTTTGTCTAGTATGAATATTCGAATTATGATGAGGTGGAGGTGGTTGAGATGAAATTGGAGTTAATACAGGATTTGAATTACTTCTAGTTCGACCAGGACTTCCAATACTATGAGTACTATTAGAATGCTGTCTACCTTGTTGTTTGGGACTAAGATCAACACCTAATAAGTCTGTACTTCTAAAATTACTTGATTTTGGACTAACAGTTGTCATTATGCAAAGGGAATTTAAAATTTACTGATAAATAAAACTTTGATGTGATGAATGGAAAACGATTGGGTGAATATTATTAGTTATTTATATCTTACTCTTAATAAGATCAACTAATAATCCTATTGATATTAATAATAATTCTAGTAACTTGTTATGATGATGAGTCACTATGAATTCTCTAGGCTGTGCTGAATCGTTTGGTACAAAAGATCTGGGTATTGTATATACGATACGACAAACAACAATTAACTACTTGTGGGTGGTGTTAACTCCGATGGATGGATTGATGGATGATAATAATGTATACTACCCTGTCGGCTCTAATAGATCAATACTTAACTAATCTCGTACTATGGGACAAAGATTCGTACTACTATACTTGAACGTTATTGGTGGGTTACGCCATCAAACTTTTCCTGTTCCCTATAATTATTTTATTTTTCTTTTTTCCTCTGAGTCCAGACTCTATTTTTTTGGGGCTCGTTTATTTTTAGGCGGGAAATTTAAAATACATGACTAGATTTTGTCCGTATGCGCCTGGTAGCGCGCCCCTTCACAACTATCGTTACTAAGGGGGCGTTAACGACGTTCCGTGAGTGTTGCCTAATTAATACCACAAGATCGTGTCTGCATGACAGAGTTACTTGAACGATGAGAGTTTGAAGTTACTTTTTATATAATTAGTTCATTAGACCTGTTTCCCACTTTTTCCGTGGGGTGACTGTGTCTTTTATTTATCTTTTCTTTATGTTTTATTTATCTATACAGATCTTACCGTTTATGGTAATTATATACTATGCATAATTCATAAGTCCTTTTTCATATAACTATAACTTTAAATATAATTTTTATAATTTTTATAATTTTTATAATTATATTATTCGACATTTAGTGGCACATATATCCCGCCTGAGTGCCATCCATTGGCTGCAATAGCTAACCATTTCCCTGGATAAGGCGGGTTTTTTACCATTAATGGCTTAGTCGCAGTAAATCCTCTTTCTTGATGATCTTGTATACTATTAGATCCATAAATGTCTTTAATTTTTTCCTTAGGTCCTAACCCTAAACATCCACAATTTTTAGAATCTATCCCCCAACTAAGGACATTTCCATCAGTTGTAAGAGCTAAATAATGATAATCACCAATTTCAATTGATTTAATATTTTGATGTTGTAATTCTTCAATAACTTTAACCGTATCTAAATTATTAGCATCAACATTATCATCAGATTTAGATCCTAATAATATAGAATCATGATCAGTAAATACAACAAAATTATTAAAACAACAACTAACTTTAGAAAAATTAGAATTTAATCCATTATAAATATTATAATTTTTCAACCAATTATTAAAACTATCTAATGATTCAATTTCAGGAATTACAATATTAATTCCAACTTCAGTTCTAGCAAATTCATGAACTGAAAATTGTAATTTATATAATTTTTTATCTGATTTCTTTATAAATAATACTAAATCAGCTCCAAGAGCAAAATCAATAATATTATGACGAGTTCCTGGTATTATAAAATATTTTGTTTCACTACTAAAATCATTTAATTTAAATTGTTCTTCACTAAATGGTATACGAGTATACCAAATAATTAATCCAATTGATTCAATATAACATCCGGATAAATTCCATCCCGCAACAATTTTTTCAATTGGATCAATTATATCTAATCCAGGAAATTTTAATCTTATTCCCACATCAGTTCTTGTACCTGAATCCCATGTATATAAATTATTATAATTATCTAACGCAAGAATATGTTCTCTTCCACTACTTATACTAATAATCTTTCTTTTAAAATCTTTTTCTTCATGCCATGGAGGTAATTTTAATTTTGTAACAAATTCAGATTCTTTAACATTAGGTTTACTACTTGGAGATATTGATCCATCTGAATTAATTCCTTCCATAGGATTTAATCTTTCGGGTGGTAATGTTAAATTTGTAGCTGGTAATCTTCTTCTACCTTGAGGCTGAGTTATTGTTTCATGATCAGGATTAATATCAATATCTCGATCATATCTATTATCTGGACTTGGTAAATGAGTTAATAAAGTTCTTCTAGCTCCTAAAGCATTAGAATCTCTAGTTATATACATTGTTGAAGGAGGTTCATAATAATCATAACCTTCAATTGGTCCAGGAGTTGAAGATCTATAAATACTTGTAGAAGATTTCCAATTTGCTCCAGTATAATATAACAGACCTTCATTTGTAAGTATAATAAACGAAAATCCATTAGCAATTACATCAACTAAAATATGATTATTAAATTTATCAAGATTAGTTGGAGTATGAATCCCTGAAGGTCTAAATGTAAAAGTTGGATTAATTGATTGATGATCTGAAGGTACAGAAGCAAATTTATAACCTAATCTTCCCATATCTGCTGAACCCCAAGTATACAATTTTTGATGAGGATCACTACGTAATGAAAATAACTTTTTCCAATTAAAATCTTTTAAAAGTTTAACATTATGATTTTCATTATTTGTATACTTTTTTAAATAAAGAATATTATAAATTATTGATGATAGTGGTGAATGATAAAAGAGATTATATAAATATTTATTTGTAATTGAAAAATTAAAGATATCCCGATATGAAAGGTATTTGGTGATGGTATCTACTAATACGTCATCACCTAAATCAAATATTGTTAGTGTAGTCATTGTAAGGGAATATGTATGGAAAGAACTTGTAGTGGCAAGTAAAGTAAAGGAAAGGTAAGATAACCTTATCTTGCTAGTGGAAAAAAAAAATGGGGTGAGAGTCTCCACAAATTTAGTGAGTACATCCCTGCCGTACATTAAGTATGGGTATTTTGCAGCATTACCAGCACTTGTTACTTATTATTCTGTTAAGTATGTACATACATTAATATATAGTATATATTCTTATATACTATACTATACTGTATTATACACTATACACTATACACTATACACTATCTACTATACTATATGTATATTCTTACTATATACTATATTCTTACAATTATCTATACTGTATAAGTAGTGATTAAATATCACTAATCCACTTCCACACCTTAATGATCTCTCCATGATCTTCAATAACATCTACACTTATATTACTATTTAATTCGATTTTCTTTTGAATAATATTCCATAAATTTAACTTAGTAGTTAAATTCTTTTCATTAATCAATATTAAATCTCGTAATTGATTAGATCCAATATATTCATTAACATTAGGTAATAAAGTCGATGATTTACGTTGATGACGTAATTTCTTAAGAACTTCTTGATAAATAATGTCAATCTTAATTAAATTTAATTGATATTGATTATATTTATACTGAATAAATTTAATTACAGTAAATAATATAATAAATATAATTATATGATACTTATAATGGAAAACAGTCATTGTCAAATTATTTTGAAATTGACATGCTAAATCAAGGTTCGATAAGGACGTTGATCGAAGAATTTTGTCCTCGCTGGTCTCCATTGTCTCATCAGTCTTCTCAATTGTGGAAGATTCATATGATGTTGATAGAGTTGAATATCCAGTCTAGAAATATATATAGTTAGTATAATTCGCATTATTATTAATAATATTATTATTGAAAGGATAAGGATTCTTAAAACATTCATATAATTCAATGACCCACAACTTAAATACAAAAATAAATATAATAAAGGTCTTGATTTAATGCATGTTTTAATACCTTTCATTCATTTAAATCACTTGCCTTACAGTTATTTCGGGTTCTTTCTCTAATTCCACTTCTGCTCGTTTCCATAATTCTTCAAACTCTTCATTGGTTATATAAGGAGCTTTCATACTTAATAATAAATCATGTAAATCTTTACTCTTTATACCTGATTCTTCAATATTGGCATTTTGTCCACATTTCAGATTCGCATTTTTACTACGAAGTAAATCAAGAGCAACTTCAATCATTATCTCCAATTTTTCAGCCTTTTTAGAGTCTGGTACACATATCTTATTATAAGGATATAAAAAGTTATCCCATGGTTTAAATTCAATAAAATCTTCATAACATCCAACTTCTAAATATGGGAAACATCTGGCATGTAATGGACATGATTGACATTTAGGTTTAAAGTTATTATCTAAGAATTGTCCTACAATTTGTAAAATTGGATGATATTCTTCACCTGCAAATGTTGGTAGTTCAATTTCTTGTCCACAATATCCTACATAAAATAATTGTTGATAATACCAATAAGATAAGAATCCTGAAGTTATCAATATAACCCAAACAAATAAGGATAAGAATAATGAAGTTAATGATTTTTTAGCTGAAGTTCTTATTCTTTGGCTGGATACATTAGCTTCTGTTTCTGTTTCTTCTGTTTCTGTTTCTTCTGTTTCTTGTTCGATCGATTTTTCCAATTCTTTTATAAGTTTATCATCTTCTGTATTCACTTTTTCATTGTCATCCTCATCCTCATCATCATCATTTTCCTCTTCTGTGTCTTCATCGTCTTCTTCAGGCTTCTTTTCAACAACAAATTGAGGTAAAAGTCGAGGTTTTGGTGTTAATGCACTATCTGGCAACAATGTCTTTTTGTCAAACTTCTTTGAAGGAGTAGTAAAATCTATAATCTCTTGATTATCATCATTTGTTAAATCATGTAAGCCTTCAATATTTATTCCTAATTCCTTAGCTAGTTTTAAATCATCATTATTTATGAAGGATTGAGCAACAGTAGATACACCATTCTTTATATTCTGCAATTGTTTATCGAAATCTTCGAGTTCTTCTTCAACAGTTTGAAAAGATTTTGATACTTCACTTATGGTTGTTGCTGGTTGTGTTAATGGAGATGATGATTTCTTAACTGACTTTGATGAACCAGGTGTTGCCTTTTTTAGACTTGCTGGTTTGGTTACCTTAGAAGTTGAAGCCTTTGGAGTAGATGTTTTTGGAGAGGAAACTTTAGGGGCCTTTGGAGTTGAGGCCTTAGGAGTTGAGGCCTTAGGAGTTGAGGCCTTAGGAGTTGAGGCCTTAGGAGTTGAGGCTTTTGGAGATTTAACAGTTGGCGTAGATGCCTTTGGAGTAGCAGCTTTTGGTGACTTAACAGCTGGAGTAACTTTTGGAGATTTGACTACTGGAGTAACCTTTGGAGGAGCAGACTTTGGAGGAGCAGATTTCCCAGTTTCTTCTATAACATTTGTCTTTACAACCTTTGGAGTTGATACTGTAGATTTAGAAACTTTTGGCTTTATAGTTATGGATTTAGCCAATTGATCTTCTAAAAATGAGTCATCAGTATCATCATCAAATAGAGACTTCACTTGCTTCTTCTTTACAGATGGTGATTTAGGCGATTTAACTTTAGGTGAAGAAATAGGAGAAGTTTCAGTCTTTGGTTTCTTTGTAGTTCTCTTACCTTTCTTTGTAGTAGAAGTATCTTTAGCTTCTTCATCATTTTCATCTTGTTTTCTCTTTTTAGTATTGAATGATGGACTACTGGGAGATTGAAATACATTATCATTAGTAAATGGACTCTCATCTTCATCTGGAGAAGTTAAATCAATTGATACTTGTTCATGTTTTGGTTTTGGTTTTGGTTCTGGTTCTGGTTCTACTACTACTGGTGGTTGAGGTGTAACAGTTCTTCTTCTTCTTGTTGATTTAGCCTTACTATTTTCATCTAATTCCACATCAATAAATCCTCGGTCATTTTTATTACTTATGGCTTTGAGATGTTGCTCAAGTAATCGAGAAGCATGAGGTGCTACTTCATTATTGAATATTTCAACAAGTTGAGATTTCTTAGCATTCGAGGGGTATGATACTTCATGTTCAGTTAAAATCCCTCGTAATTCGGATACTTTGAGAGTCTTGGGATCGAACCCTGGTTGGAGATGTTGCTTTTCCGACATGGTACCATTCAATTCATTAAAGGATGATATGGTTAAGAAAAATTTTTGTAATTGCCCTTAGTATTATTGTTTACCTTTTTGTTTTTGGTGTTCGGGTATTTGGCGTTGCTGGAGTGATGGGTGGGTGTGCGGAACGTGACTCTAGGTCACGTGTAGAGTCTAATACATACAAACGTCAATTGATACAATTGAAATATTTAATGTAGTTGATATATATATGATAGATAGATAAGCTCTGACTTGTACAGTGTCTTACTGCTAACCATTTACTTGTTGAAGTATAATCATATCTATTAACGAATCTTGTGATAGTGACTGTCTTGACGAAAGATAATTTTACGAGAGCTCATTGTCCACAATAGTAGTGCACTACAAAATGTTGATGCTTATTTACCATTTAGAACAACTATACGAATGTAGGAGTAAACAGAAACCGAGAAGTTCTTAATTAGAATCACAAATTCATTCTTTCGACAAATCCAGGGCCCTGAAAGAATCTGAGCCGCTATTACATTACAAGCATATGCTCGCTACATGTAACCTTTAATTCTAGTTAGTTAGTATATTATTAGTTATTATTAGTTATATTATATATAATATTATTATAATTAGTATTTTTAGAATTATTAGTGTATATAATATTATTATTATTATATGATGCCTTTACCTATTATTGCTATTTCATTCTTAGAGTAAGTAGTCTTGTGATATTAACTTAAACAAAATAAGTGCATAGCTGGAATTTGGCGTTAAACGTTACTTATTATGGTAATGTCCCATAATCAATTAGTACATTTTAACCGCCGCTTTACTAAATGGTTCAATTATATACTGTAAACGCCTCGTCTAATGATTAAGTAATTTACTGCAAAGTCATCTCTCTCGGTGTGTGTCTGTATGTCATTGGAAAATATAGCGACTCACATAGTTGAAGCTCCACGTGGGAAAATAATTTTTTTTTTCTGTGTATGTAGCTCGCTAGCACTTATAAGCTTTAGCAGTTCAGCACACGTGTAGAACCCACAGTAACGAAACCTTCTCTACCCCATACAGTTTTCCCTGTAAAGCAAGCATTAGTGTTACTATTACTATTAAGCCATTACCACAAATCCACCTATCCATCCCTACTTACTTATCTGTAGCCACTAATTTAATTTTATATCTGGAGCCATAATAAAATTATTAGCGGGAAGATTACTGACTGGCTTTAACTTTTGGTGATAGTAATTCCTTAGTAAAGTTAATTATTGGAATTCTAATAAACTTTTAATAATTTTAATTCTTCTACTTAATCTCTTCTTCTTCAAATATTCATCTCATCTTAGTTAACACTACTACTTATTCAAAGTTAAGTCTGTAGATCCTAACAGTTGCGCTATTCCTAAATTCTACCAGGCTCGCTATTTACTGAGGTCACCAATACTCGAAAAAAACAATAGGCAGGCCACGAAAAAACCAGCAGACCAAAAATTTCTATACTAATTAGTCAATAGTAATATTAGTGAAATTTGCATTAACTCACTATTATAACATTACTTTAAATTCAAGTATTTCTCAAGTGGCAATACCATCAACTACTCAGGAGGTCATACCCACAAAAATTTCAAAGAGATTAGACTTACAACCAACCATTCCATATATTTTATTAGGTTTGACTATTATATTATTCACACAACAGCAACGAATGGTAACTCATCGGAACAACTAATCTGAACTCCTTTCACATATTCACAACTCACTGGTAAATGAGTGTACTACATACTATAAAATCCCCGTTTCCATCGCCAAATGAAACTGTCTTTAACAACATATCCCCCAAAATGTCAACCACAACTTCAACCACGAGTTCTTCAACTCCAAAATTAAGTCCTCAAACTCAACATATAACTTCCTCAATGAATTCAAGATCAAATAGACCATCCCCTCCACCACCATCAGCATCAAACAGTCTCCATAGAACCATTTCCAATTCATCAAATTCAAGTACAAACTCAAACTCAAACTCAAACTCTTTATCTCCATCGGATCCTTTTTTATCTCAATATATAAAGTCAGATGGAATAATAAATTCTTCACTCCATAATCATCAATTATATTTCGATTCTATAAATAAACAACGGAAAGTTCGACTGTTTGAAATATACCAGAAATACCTTAATAATCATAATCAACATAATAATAATAATAATAATAATAATAATCATAAATTAAAACGTTTCAACCTTCACAAACAATCATATCGTCTTAATGATTATCAGCAATATATTCAAAAACAAAAATTTGAAGAAATCGCCAAAAGACAATCACAATCACCATTGATTGAGGAGAAACAAATAGAAGAAAATAAACTAAAAGAAGAAGAACATGTAACAATAACTAAATTACAAGTTCAACCTGTTCCATCGGTTAGTACACAACTTAAAAAACCATTACCTGTAGAATTTATGGATTGTCCAATTGATGATTTAATTAATCTTATTTCAAGAATGTTACTGTCACTTATACTTCTTAATGATAAAAATGTCCCTGTATCAATATCTCATCCTCAACCTTCTTCTTCATCATCAAGTTCAAATTCAACTTCTACACAAAAGGCAACAACCACTACAAATAATTTACTTACAAGATATCATTCCCGTTCTCCTCCACAAATTTCAACTCATACTTATTTAACTCGTCTTACTAAATTTAATAATTTTAATCCTGCAACTTTACTTACAACCATTTACTATATTGATTTACTTTCTCATCAATATCAACCATTCTTCACTCTTAATTCATGGACTGTGCATAGATTTCTTCTTGTAGCAACTATGCTTGCCCAAAAATCAATGGAAGATTTCTTTTATACTAATGATCATTATGCTAAAGTTGGAGGTGTAGCCATTTCAGAATTGAATTGTTTAGAACTTGATTTCTTAGAAAGAGTAGAATGGAAATGTGTTCCTTGTAAGCCAGATGGTAAGAAGAATAGTATAAAATATTGTAAAGATGTATTAGATTTATATTATTCACAATTAATTGAATTAATGGGAAAAAATTATAGTATGGATGGTGGATTATATTATATAAGATTAACTGATAGTATATCTGAATCCAATTCTATAAATAATGGAAAAGATGGACTTACAAATGGTGTATCCATCAGTAATAATACCAGTAACAGTAATTTAAATGATCAAACACCTTCACCTCAAACTACAAATAAAGAAGAAGAGGATTACGATGAAGAAGAGGATTATGATGATGATGAAGAGGATGATGATGCAGCAGAAGACGATTCCTTTGATGATGAAGAATATGATGAAGAAGATGAGGTAGAAATGGAAGGAGAAGGAGAAGAAGAAGAGCAATTAACTCCATACCATCCAGCTGTAGTCAAAACAAAATACGATGCTAATGGATTTAGTGTCGATGGATCTTCATCACCACATTTGAAAAGGCGGTATTCTCAACAGGAAGATTTTACAGATGTCGAATTGGATAAGAAAAGAGATCATTAGAAATGATCAGGCTTATAAGTACTAAATGAATACTACTACTAGTAGTATTATTGTTATCATTTATGGGATTTATATTTTTTTTAGATACGCAAGTCTATTTGAATAGTCGTATATACCAAATAGTTTATTTTATTTCGTTTTAGGCTACTACAGCCATTTTGATTAATATATTTAATTAGTTGATATTCACTAGAGAGTTGTAGTGCCATGCACACGATCTATTTGCCTATATGTAACAGACATGTTGTAATAACGTATCACCTATCATCTATGGCACTTTAGCTGCCCTTTATCTTTATGTTATTAGATCCTAAATTACTATATAGTTACACAATATCTCTACTTCTATACTAGCGTCTCCTACTGTTCCCCCAGATGCCAGTTTTATCTCAATATACAAGTATATTCTACTGGTAAACTATACTTAGCATTATACAAGAGCGTTGTAGTTTAGTGATACACTGATTTGTTAGAGTGAATGTAATACGAACTAATGCTACAAATGATGAGTTAAGAATATAAATTATTATTATAATTATATAAATTTGTTAATTAATACATAAAATCAGTCATTTGTCTAGTCACCCAAACTTTCTATTAGTATACAAAACTACAGCATCATATTATCATCATGTGGAAATTAAACTCGGAAACTTATCATAAATGTTAGTTAGTAGAGCCCAGAAGTTGATAGAAGTTAGTAGAAGTTTAGAGCTTACACGCTCTGAAGTATGGAAACTTCATATATTCCTTAAGAAAAAAGTACAACTTATATAGATGTTTCAGAATTGGAAACGATGATCTATAACCATCGCGGGTGCCAAAGGCGCTACCAGACAGACTATGATGTGATACATAATTGCTACAGCTACAGGATCACTACTACCAATAGTTAAGAATTTATATAAATAGTATATATATATATTAATAAATGAATATATAATGAAACTGAACCAATCATATACCCAACGCCACCTAAAAGTAAGTAGTGCCTAGAAGTTAATAGGAGTCAATGAATCAAAAACAGAAGATGCTGCTTAACTGAATACCATTCATATAGAAGGAGCTGGATTCCATTCATGAACATATAAATCCAATGCTGATCAGTGGAGTGGAGAGAAATAAAAAGAAGGAGTAGAATCAGAAGAATTTAAGTCAGATTTATAACCAGTGCTGATGTGAGGTATACGCCGCCAAGTACACTACAATTTGATAACCGTCCTTTAAGCTTACTACCACCTAAAGATACGAATTTAAGTAATATATATATAGAAAGTCAAATAGTAATTCCCAGAATGTTTTGAAATTAAAACATCTATCTGGCTTACTATCCGCCTAGAAGTTAGTAGATCCTAGAAATCAAAATCAAAGTGGCCATATAGGAATATTAAAACAGAAATTCAACAAAACCAAATCAACACTTCTCCTTCCGAAGAACCGTTGTTAAAAAGCAGATTGTTGGAAGTAGAACTAACAAGAGGGAATAGAAAGATGTAAAAGAGTTGATGAATAAATAAACCAATGCGTATAGCAGCGAGTATGACCGGTGCACCATCAAGTGAACTACAATTTGATACGCAATTGCTACAGGATGTATATGATTACTCATACCAGTAGATAAGAATGTAAATAGTATATATATTAATTAAAGTGTATAAACCAATACCTCAATACGTTTTAATAAATCTTTCATCCCAAAATTACATGGCCTAGAAGTTAGTAGATCCTAGAAATTGAAATCAAGTCAGTTACTAAATATGTACCATACATAATATCAAAGGACGACTTAAAATGGAAGAGTCTTATAAATCATTAAAGAAACAATTACTTGAAGTAAAACTAACAAGAAGGAATAGATGTTGTAAAAGAGCTGAAGAATTAATTAACCAGCGCGTACAGCAGCGAGTATGGGCAGCACGCTACCAAGCGAGCTACAGTTAGATACGTAATTTGCTACAGGAGGAAGTATAACCACCAACATTAATAGTTAACAATTTAAATAATATATATTTGTAATTAATAATTAAAGAGAAAAAGCTAGAGGCAAGAAGCACCATAATTAATGAAGCCGCTGGGAAAAGCCTAGAAGTTAGTAGAGCCTAGAAGTGAAGTAGAAGATAGAAATAGAACTAAAAGTCTACATCAGTCTTCTGATTATGGTTTAGAAAAAGGATAAACGACCTCATATAATTCCTTTCTAAGTATTAATTCAAGAAAATCATCTAATGTCAGTGTATTTACCAATATCAATATATTCCTTAGTAGAGAAGTTCTATAACGTAAAAATTAAAAGTGCTATTGTTTCAATTCTGCGGAGTGCGCATGGAAGTGTATGCTCAGAAGAAGAATATAAAGATAAGTACTCGATTATGTATATTATTGCACTAAACTAAAGGAAAATTATATTATTAAGGAAGTGTGTTATAGAAGAGTATAAAAGGTATTAAGAGTATTATTATGTAGATACAAAGGGAAATAAGACTAAATACGGGGAATTGAAAACAACAATTGTGAATATTTTAAGATCAATGAATGAATAATCTAATCTATTCGGTTGGAGCACCGCTAGTTAAGTCCTTGTGTTCTAAATCATCGGAGTTTCTTTCAATATCTGGAAGAGCAAAAGTTTCAGCTGGATAAAGAGCACCCCATTGTAATCTAGTTGTAGATTTGTAAGTTTGAGCAAAGGCATTAACTTTAACAAATGGAACTAAGGTTTCAGAAATGAAGATGATATTAGTAATAACAAATAAGAGCCAGTTAACTAAAGTTAATGGAACAGTGGAGATAGCCAACTTTGGCCATTTGGCACCATGGTAATCAATATCACCAAAAGCATCAGCAACTAATGAGAAAGCAATAACCCAGAAATAATTGAGAACAATTTCCAAGAATAAGATTGGGAAAAGTGGAACCTTTCTTTGTAATCCACTTAAAGTGAAAAGAGTGTAAAGTACTGTAACAACACCAATTACTGTAACTAAAGTAACTTTCTTAATGTTGATACCTAAAATATCAGTTATACCAGCAGTTAATCCTAAGACGGATGCACCAATTGCAAATTGTAAGAAACGAAGGACAAATGAGATGACGGTTCTTGAAGGCATTTTGTTTATTGATTGATTGTATGATTATTCTAATGAATATTTAATATAGCAAACAGATTAATCTTAAAAATATTTATTATCAATAGTGGGATATCTTCAGTATTTATATTAAATATGGAAGGGAAGGAAATCAATGTATTTGAAAGTTTTACATAAAGCATGCAATAAACTAAAATAAGGAACCATTATTACTTTAACTATGAAATGCCACGGCTAGACCGGAGATCTGGTAACAAAATAGGTAATGGTTTAAATTGTGTAAACAATCGATTAAATGGAACCATATTTAATTGAGGGAAATTACCGTCATTCTTGAGCAAAGAACATTTGAAGATTCTAGCCAAAAAAAAATTTTAGCGAATGATACCACGGCTGTATCCCACAAGAAAATAGATTGTTGCTGAAGTCTATTAAGTTCAATTATTGTATGATTATTTTATTTAACATGGTGTCTTAATTATTTGATTCAACAGTTCACGGATCCTTCACTACTTAATTTGTTAAATATATCAGCGTTCTCATCATGGTCATGCTTGATCATAAAATTCAGCACTTTCTAACCTAATGGTTTACTTTTAGTTTTAAGGAATGTAACAACTCTTACTGTAATCTTGTTGTCTCTTTAACTTCGATCGTAACTGAGAATTGCAAAATCTAAGATTGCAAACAAAATTTTTCTTCCGAAAAAACTGCTCACATTGCAAAAAGATTGCGAAAATGGACTAAAAATGGACCAATAGCTCAAAGAGGAAATCGTTAATATTATTAACAGGTGATTTTCTCTAACAAATAAATATAAGCGACCATTTAACCTTCCATTGGCGTATGCTTATTATGTACTGCTGTACTTTCTATATTGGACCACATTAACTTTAGACTACAAGAGTCATTAATCTCGGTGCTATTGTTTATGTTATTTTTTGAGTAGTGTGATTTATCTGGGGTAGCCAAAGAAAGCCAAGCATAAGAATCGAATAATAATTACTCGAATATGTCAAACCGGATGCAGAGTTTCCAATATCCAGGGAATAATAATTGCTGAATTGATTTCTTAGATCATTTCACTTTCAAATGGATAAAAGGAAATCTTTTGAAACGTATGATTTTGAGCCGATAATTTGATTACTTAAGAAAAGTAAAGGGCAGCTCAATTCTAGTTTCTGAGTATTATTAGTTGTATATGTGACCCTAAAATGATAGGACTTTAAACTTTTTACGATGGTAGTACCCATTGTTCAATTTACGGAGTATCTACAACGAAGAGTCCAAGAAATCATTAGCCTTTCAGAATTGAAAGCATACGTGTTCGACTGAATTGTTATGCTGTCTTTTTTCACGAAAGGCAAATGATCAAAGATTGAAAAAAGTTTAATTTAGATAAATAAAAAAATTACCGAAAATGTCAAAGGTTTGTACACCTATATCATGATCGGGATACATCGGATTATTTATTTGTTTATAAATATAGGTACTCTTCCGCGATGGTGTCAAAACCACCATATTGTACCTAAAACAAAGCAACAATAAAATAATGTTCGCAATTAATAATTATGTATTAATGAAGGGCTTAACCCCATCGATATCATAAGAACTTTTGATTACTAAGTTAATATGAGCACAAAATGGTGTTCTTTTAAGTATTTGTGTTGGTAAATTGGCTTAGCCTGGTCTGGGCTAAATATTATTAAGCTTGAAAAATTCGGATACGCTCCGCCCGTGCCTGCATTCCCGTGATATCAAACAACCGGAAAAGCTTGCGGCCGCACATTGTAAAAGCTGCGGCGATGAGTAAAGCCAACCCGTTTAAGTAACAAAACAAAAATAGGTAGACATTTATCGTAAATACTAACTTTTCAGGTGATTGCGGTGTTAACCGGCGGACATACATAACAAGATTGCTTATTTGCGCTGTATTTCAAGAAAAATGCATAAACAGATCGAATATTTTCTGGGTGGGAATCTTCCACCGCTTAGGTTACTGTATTGTAGTAGAGGGCTCAACATTAGAAGTATGGTGCGAAGCCGACCGCTATCCACACTTTGAAAGTAAGCCTCCGTTGGTTAACCCCGAAAAAATGAATTATCGATAAGCTGAGAATGACTAGTTTTAGTAATTTTAGTAAGAGTGTAAAGAGATGGACGGAATAATTCTTGTTTCCGTATCCACATGTGATATAGAAAGAACCAAAAGCAAAACATGAGAAGAAGATCTAGAAAATAAGAAAAGACCCCTAACCTCCAGTTACCCTACAGTAAGGTCATTTATCAATGAATATATATTAATTTATCTTAGACCACAATCAGTATCAGTAATGAATACATAGACTTAATAAGTCATTATTAATATTACCAAGGGAAAAAGAAAAAAGAAAGCAAAAAGTGAGAATAAAAAAAAAAAAACAACCCAAAATAAGCCAAAATGCTGCAAAGAGCTTGTCGAAAAAAATGACACAAATTTAAAAAAGATTATGAACATTTTACATCAATATGGCAAGTCCATATAAATACGTCATCTCGTGCACTATTAATGAATATTATGGAAATATTACCTTTATAAGGTATATAACCTCATTATTTTCAGTTGTAATAATTATAATAATTCATATATATAAATTAATATTTAATATATATAATCCAATTAATTATGACATCTTCAAATAATTTGGATTTAGAGACGGCTATAAGTTCCGATGACGAACATGCCATTAATGAATTTAAAGGTCAAGATGATTCACCCACTAAAAATAATTCTAGTGATGATGGTTATGATGAATTAGGAGATGATGAAGGTAGAAGATTAAAATTAGTAAGATCAGTTACTAATAATAATGAAACTCATTTCTTAGAAAGATTAGAATCTTTATCTCAACAATTATCAAGACATACAACAAGAGATGGAGAAATTAGAATTGATCCAGAAAATTTCGATTTATACAAAATATTAAATACTTGTATGAATATCTTTGAAAAGGAAGGAATTAAATTACGTAAATCTGGTCTTTCATTTGAAGATTTATCAATGTATGGTATTGATCAATCATTTGATATTGCTTCAACAATAACTGATTTATTTACTGGTCCTTACCATTTAGCTAAAAAGATTATATCTAATAAAAAGACTCCAACTCATAAAATTTTACATAATATTAATGGTTTAGCTAAAAGTGGTGAAATGGTTTTAGTATTAGGTAGACCAGGTTCTGGATGTTCTACACTTCTTAAATCATTAAGTGGAACTGATTTTGATTTATATACTGGGATTGAAGGTGATATAAGATATGATGGTATACCTCAAAAGGAAATGATGAAAAGTTTTAAATCAGATATTATTTATAATCCGGAATTAGATGTTCATTTCCCTCATCTTACTGTTGAAGAAACTTTAAAATTTGCTATTGCTTGTAAAACTCCAAATGTTAGAATTAAAGGCGTTAGTAGAGAACAATTTATTAATTCTTTAATGGAAATTTTAGCCACTGTATTTGGGTTAAGACATACTTATAAAACAAAAGTTGGTAATGATTTCATTAGAGGGGTTTCTGGTGGTGAACGTAAAAGAGTTTCTATTGCTGAAGCTTTAGCTTGTAGAGGTTCAATTTATTGTTGGGATAACGCTACTAGAGGTTTAGATGCTTCTACTGCTTTAGAATATACTAGAGCCATTAGAACTTCAACTAATTTATTAAATACCACTGCATTTGTTACAATTTATCAAGCTGGTGAAAATATTTATGAAACTTTTGATAAAGTTACTGTTCTTTATCTGGGTCATCAAATTTATTATGGACCAATCTTGGAAGCTAAACCATATTTTGAAAAAATGGGATTTGAATGTTTACCAAGACAATCAACTGCAGAATTTTTAACTGCAGTTACTGATCCAAATGGTAGATATCCTAAAAAGGGTTGGGAACATCGAGTTCCAAAGACTGCTCAAGAATTTGAAGAATATTGGTTAAATTCTGATGAATTTAAACGTTTAAAACAAGAAATTTCTGAATATAATAAAGATATTGATGCAGATAAAACTCATGAACTCTTTTATGAATCTCTTAAACAAGAAAAGATGAAATATACCAATTCTAAATCTTATTATACTATTAATTATTATGAACAATTGAAATTAACTACTACAAGAGCTTTTCAAAGAATTTGGAATGATAAAGCCTATAATGGTACATTAATCTTTGCTGGGTTAGCTCAAGGGTTAATTGCTGGTTCACTTTATTATAATACTACTCCAACTGTTAGTGGTGCCTTTTCAAGAGGTGGTGCTGTTTTCTTTGCAGTATTTACTGTTTCTTTAATGTCATTAGCTGAAATTTCAGCAGCCTTTTCTTCAAGACCAATTTTGATGAAACAAAGAAATTATTCCTTATATCATCCATCAGCTGAAGCTCTTGGGAATTATTTTACATCTATCCCAATTAATTTCTTAGTATGTGTTTTCTTTGTTATACCACTTTATTTCCTTACTGGTCTTAAATCTGAAGCTGGAGCTTTCTTTACTGCTTTATTATTCATTTATTTATCATCTATGACTATGACTGCACTTTTCCAAGCGGTTGCTTCATTAAATAAAACAGTTGCAAGTGCTAATGCCTTTGCTGGTACTTTAATTTTGGCAGTTTTAATGTATTCTTCATTCACTTTACAAAGACCTTCAATGCATGATTATTTCAAATGGATTTCTTATATTAATCCAATTTTATATGCTTTTGAAGCAGTAATTTCAACTGAATTTCATGGAAGAAAGATGGAATGTGATGGGAATTATTTAACTCCAGGTGGTCCAGGTTATGATAATCTTGCTAGTGGAACTCAAGTATGTGCATTTAAAGGATCTGTTTTAGGTCAAACTTGGGTTCTGGGTGATGAATATTTAAAAGTTGCATTTACTTATTCATTCTCTCATGTATGGAGAAATCTTGGTATTATTATTGCTTTCTTAATATTCTTTGTATTTGTTAATGCTTTAGGTTCTGAATTAGTTAAACCAATTACTGGTGGAGGTGATAGATTATTATATATTAAGGGTAAAGTTCCTCAACATTTAACTGGTGATATTGAAAATAATCTTGGTGAAGGATCTCAAGGTGAAGGTAAAAATAATTTTGTAGCTGATGAAGATTTAAAAGCAAAGGATATATTTGTTTGGAAGGATGTTAAATATGTTATACCTTATGATGGTAAAGAACGTACTTTATTAGATACTATATCTGGTTATACTGAAGCAGGTACAATTGTTGCTCTTATGGGAGAATCTGGAGCTGGTAAAACTACTTTATTAAATACTTTAGCTCAAAGAATTGATATGGGTGTTGTTACTGGTGATATGTTAGTTAATGGTAAACCATTAGATATGTCATTTAGTCGTCGTACCGGTTATGTTCAACAACAAGATATTCATGTTTCTCAAACTACCGTTCGTGAATCCTTACAATTTGCTGCAAGATTAAGAAGATCAACTTCAGTACCTGATTCAGAAAAATTAGCTTATGTTGAAAAGATTATTAAAGTATTAGATATGGAAGAATATGCTGATGCAGTGGTTGGTGAAAGTGGATCTGGTTTAAATGTTGAACAACGTAAGAAATTATCTATTGGTGTTGAATTAGTTGCTAAACCTTCTTTATTAATGTTTTTAGATGAACCAACTTCTGGTTTAGATTCTCAATCGGCCTGGTCGATTGTTCAATTATTAAGAAGTTTAGCTGATGCTGGTCAATCGATTGTTTGTACTATTCATCAACCTTCAGCTACTTTATTTGAACAATTTGATCGTTTATTATTATTAAGAAAAGGAGGTCAAACTGTATATTTTGGAGATATTGGAACTCATTCTAATACTGTTTTAAATTATTTTGAAAGAAATGGAGCTAGAAAATGTGAAGATGGTGAAAATCCAGCTGAATATATTTTAGAAGCCATTGGTGCCGGTGCAACTGCTTCAACATCTTATAATTGGTTTGATATTTGGAATAATTCTCCAGAAAAAATTGCTACTGATAAAAGACGTGATGAATTAATTATTGAATCTAGTCAAAAATCAGAAGGAGTTGATGATGGAACTGAAAAATCATTAATTTCAAAATATGCTACTCCATTTCATTATCAATTTTATCATGTTTTAAAGAGAACTCATATTATTTTTTGGAGAGATCCGCAATATTTTGCAGCCAAATTAGCTTTAGTTACCATGTGCGGATTATTTATTGGTTTCTCATTCTTTGGTCTTAAACATAGTTTAACTGGAGCTCAAAATGGTATGTTTGTAAGTTTCTTAGCTGTGGTTGTTTCTGCTCCAATTATTAATCAAGTTCAAGAAAAGGCTATTAAAGGTCGTGAATTATTTGAAGGTCGTGAAAAACTTTCAAATACTTATACTTGGTCATTAATGATTCTTACTCAAATTATTATGGAAATTCCTTATTTAATCTTTGGAGCAACAATTATGTTTGTTTCTCTTTATTTCCCAACTCAAGCTAATACTTCAGGTCCTCATGCTGGTATATTTTATTTAGCTCAAGGTGTTTTCTTACAATTCTTTGTTGTTTCATTTGGTTGTTTAATTCTTTATATTGCTCCTGATTTAGAAACTGCTGCAGTTATTGTATCATTCTTATATACTTTTATTGTGGCCTTTTCTGGAGTAGTTCAACCAGTAAGTCTTATGCCAGGATTTTGGACTTTTATGCATAAAGTTAGTCCATATACTTATTTTATTCAAAATTTAGTGTCGGCTGTATTACATGGTAGAAAAATTACATGTTCTCAAGTTGAATTAGCTTTCTTTAATCCACCACCTAATGAAACTTGTGGAGAATTTATGGCTGATTTCCTTAATAGTAGAGGCGGTTATCTTACAAATCCTAGTGCTACTAGTCAATGTGGTTACTGTCAATATACCAATGCTGATGATTATTTATTAACAATTGGAGCTAAATACGCTTACAGATGGAGAAATATTGGATTCTTCTGTGTTTACTTCATTTTTAATGTCTCATTTGTTCTCTTCTTATATTACACTTTCAGATATAAGAAGTTCTCCCTTAAGGGATTATTTGGTAAGAAGTAAATTACTTGATCTTCTTTTCCTGCTTGTTTTTAATATTTTAATATTTTATTTATTATACCATTCTTGTACAGAATCCTTTATAGAAAACCCCCTAATTTACAATCTAATTATAAATAAAATTTATTTGATTTATTGATATAAACAGTAATATCTAAAGAAAATAAGAAATAGGAAAGTAAAAGTTAACTTAACACCATAAGTATAAACAGGATTCACAAATAAAGATAAATAAAATAAAATAAGTTAGTTAATTAAAATAAAAATAAAAAGGAAAATCGAAATAGAAAGGGACATTGATCTCATAAAGTCCAAAGACAAAGAGATTCATCACTATCTATCAAAAAATGACCAAATATCAAACTAAGTAGAAAAAAGCTAAGAGTAGTAATGTAATAATAGTAATAATAATAATAATAATAATAATAGAATAGTAACAGAAATGCTGATATTAATTCAGACATCTCTTAAGCAAACAATTATGCAAAATAACTAAATTATGCAGATATGCTAATTGGGTTTCAATAACTCAAAAGAACAGTATAAACTTTTATCAACCTTCATTATAGCCCCGAAATTATTGAATTCTCCACAATAATTAGGAGCAGAAAAGATAGTCACCAATTTACGTTTATTGAAGAATTCATATCCATCTTCAACAACCATATGACCTCTTACAATCAAGTCCATTTTAAAATTGGCTAAAAAGTAATCAACATGTTTTCTTCCAAAACAGTAAGAAACACCACGATCATTTTTTGGCCAATTATTGGTAGAAAAGTTTTTTACAGAAGGATCTGGATCAGACCATAATAAATCAGCCAAAAGTCCCTTATCTGGGATATCAGTTGGACGTTTAATTTGTTCAATTTGTGATAAATCAGTCAAATCTGGAGATAAACCTCCATGAATACAAAAGATTTTATCATTAATAGTAGCCGCGATTGGTAAAGTATTGAAAACATCAATAAAATCTTTCCAAATCTTTGGACTTGATAATCGTCTTTTACATTCATCGTAAAATCCATAAATCTTGGTAATATTTGCCGATTCATGATTACCTCTTAACATAAAAAAGTTTTCAGGATATTTAATTTTATAACATAAAAGTAATAAAATAGTTTCTAAAGATTTATAACCTCTATCGACATAATCACCCAAGAATAAATAATTCGAGTATGGAGGATATCCACAACTATTGAATATACGAATTAAATCATTAAATTGACCATGAATATCACCAACAACCTTAACTGGTGGTGATAATCTTAATAAAGTTGGTTGACTCATAAAGATAGATCTTGATTTAGTTAAAATATATTTAATTTCTTCTGAAGAAACTGGTAATTTACTTTTACTTGAAGTAGACTTCTTTTTCATTCCAATAGTTACCAATCTGTTTATAATATTTTCTATATCAACTGATGAAGAAGAATATACAGATGGTGGAGAACTTGATAATGAACTATTAGAAGAATCAATCAATTTTATTGATTTACTTCTTGAAGTGGTTGAAGAATTTCTAAGTCTTGGTTCAGGAGATGATTCTACAGACAATTCAGGAATTATATCTAATTCTTTTTCTTTTTCTCTAGATATGGAATAAAGAGTTTTCAGATTTGGAGGAGAATTAGAACTTGAAGAATTTGAACCAAATGACAGAACCAGCAGATTAGCATCTTCTTTAGAAGAATCTCCACCCACCGTTGTGAAAATTGGAGAAACAGTTGAAGTGACGCTATCAAAAGAAGAACCATATTCTGCAGTAGATAAGGCAGTTGTTGTAGTTGAAGATTTTAACAATTTTGCCATGGAAACACCGATTTCAAGATCCAAATTAAATTGTTCTTGATTAACATCAGCATTATTTCTCTTGACTTTCTTAGGAGATTCATCTCTGTTAGGTTTTGATGTTGTTGCAGTTGCAGTTGCAGTTGTGACTGCTGTCATATTTTGCTTGTTAGCATTATTATTATTATTATTGATATTATTATTATTATTATTAGTAGTAGTAGTACTAGAGTAATTTTGATTACTAATAGTAGCTTTATTATACTTGGAAGGATTTGATGGATTAGGATTGATATTGATAGCAGAAGATCTCTTGCTTTGAATCAAATCATTAGCATCATTAATATATAGTTGAGATAGCGCCGAGGCCGACTCATCAGGTTCCAAATCTCCATTTAAAGAGGTTGGACCAGTGGAAGTTGAAGTTTGAGATTGGCTTGAGGTATTCGGCAGAGGATCATCTTTAGACGGGCTATTTCCCATTATATTTCGAAATTATATGAAAAAAGTAAATCGAAGGGATATACGAGGATATAAAAGAATGGGTATTATTATAATAATAACTATGAATAATGTGGAAACTGACCTTAAATATATGGTTATTGAATAGGGGATGGAATGGGACAGTTAGAGAATTTTTCCGTGTTGGGATAGGCGACATTGGACGACATTGTTTCGACGACAATGTTTGCTCTTGTGACTTTTTAAAATGCACACGTTTATCTATGTTACGTAAGCGCGAACTCATATACGACATGCCACAGTCTGCAGTATCCAGTGACTCAGTAGTCAGTTAGTACTACTACAGTACAACAACAATACTGTGACTACTAACTATAGTAAATACCTACACTACAATAGTTAATTCGTATGGTCACCACAGTACCAAGAAAATATATTAGTAATAATTAAAACCCTCTCTCTTTCACAATTTCTAAATTCATTCTTCATAGTTTACAGTTTACCCTTTACCCTTCCCAATTCCATATTTATGGTATGGAACTATGCTGCTGTCGTTCCGCAGCTCTAGACATTTTTGTTGTTCCGTACTCGGTTGCGAGATCGCAAAGTATGTGACCCGATTAGGTAATGCTATATTAATGTCCATATCAATCTGTCTCTACTGTACTACTGTACTACTACAATAACTAAAATCTGATTGACTACTGTCATTAGTATTCCAGCAGTCTAAGCCTGCCTTATACACTATCTAATCAATCAATTTATTAATCTCTTTTGTCTAAATTAATATAGTATAATGTAGAAAAGCACACCCATGCCGCAATACTTAACCCCTCCCTCCCACAAATACTACTCCACAAATCATATCTCTAACTCTACTTATCTTCATATATTGCCTATATGATCATAAAATTATTAAGTAGAAGATTTAATAAACTTCCAATGACTGCATCATTATCATCAGGAGTAACTCCCATCACTAAAAATTATCAAAATTATCAAAATTATCCAATTTCTCCTATAATTTCTTCAGCAGGATGTTTAATCATTGGTGATGAAGTTCTTAATGGGAAAATCTTAGATACAAATTCATTTCAATTTGCTAAATTTTGTTTTAATGATTTATCGATCCCTTTAAAGAGAACCATTGTTTGTGGAGATGATAAACAAGATATTTTTCGATCATTAAAATTTTTACTTGAAGAAGATAAAGTTGATTTTATTGTATCAAGTGGAGGTTTAGGTTCAACACATGATGATATAACTTATCAAGTAATTAGTGAATATTATAATCTTGATTATGAATTAGATAATGAAGTAGTTGAAAGAATGCAAAGTATTCGTCATGAATATTTAGATAAATTATCAAATGATCAATTACAAGCATTTTATAAAATGGCAACATTACCAAAAACTTCTAATGGTATAAATGTTGAAAAAATATTTACAGATGAATCATTATGGTTCCCAATAATAGTTATAGATTATAAATTATATATTTTACCTGGTATACCACAATTATTTGAAAGATTAATTAAATCTTTACAACCAATACTTTTACCAAGAATTCCAAATCAAGATAAATCATTATTAAAAAGATATTATATAAAGACAAGTAGTTCAGAAAGTGAATTAGCTCCATATTTAACTCAATTACAAATTAATCTTGATAAAAAATATGGTAATGGAATAATTAAATTAGGTTCATATCCTCATATGGCTTGGAAATTAAATACTATAAGTATTATAACTACAAATAATGAATTAACTAAAGATGATTTAAATAAAACTATTCTAAATGATATAATTGAAAATATTGGTGGGAATGCTCAATTAATTGATCAAATAGAAGAAGATAAATTAACTAATGAATTACCTGAAACTATAAATAAATTATAAATAAATAAATGTAATAATCTAAATTTATAATTTATAATTTCGATTCAAAAGCTTGAGTTAATTTTTTAATGGCAGATTCAATTCCTTCAGGTTTATCTCCCATCCCTTGAACAGTATTACCTTTACCACCAGATCTACCACCAATTTCTTCAGCAACAAGACCACCTAATTCATTAACATTAATACCTTTTGAAAGTGCTTCATCAGATACATAACATCCATGAGCAACTTTATCTTGTATACCAGTTATTAAATAGATAGATTTTTGTTTATAATCCTTTTTAATAAAATTAATGGCATCAGTAATGGCTTTTGCATTAGCATTAATTGGTACATGACCAATAAAAAATTCTCCTGAATCCTTTTTATCTAACCATTGTTTAACAGTATCTAAAGTCTTTTTAGATTCTTCCTTTTGTTTAGCTTTTAAATCATCTTTAATTGATTTATCTAATTTTTCAAATTGTTTGTTTAATCTTAATTTATCTAATACAGAAATAGATAATTTCTTTAATGAAACTCCAAGTTCTTTTGCTTTAGATTCTTTAATTGATCCAAATGATAAACCTTCTGCATGAATTAATTCTTGTTCAAATTCTTTAGCAATTCTTTGAACTTCATGAGCATCATGACCAGTTACTGCCACAATTCTTCTAATACCTTTAGCAATACCTGATTCTTCAATAATTACTAAATCTTTAATATCTCCTGTTTTAGCAACATGAGTACCACCACAAAATTCAATTGAAACATGATGCCAATCAGCTTTATGAGGATTTTCAAGTAAATCATCAACAGTAACTCCAATAGATACTACTCTAACTGGATCAGGATATGTTTCACCAAATACTGCTCTAACTCCATTAATTTCTTTAGCAATACTAAGTGGAACATCCTTAGCATAAACAGTTTTATTAGCTTTAATATATTCATTTGAAATACTTTCAACTTTTTCTAATTCAATTGGATTTAAAGCTTGTTTATGACTAAAATCAAATCTTAATTTTTCAGGAGCAACTAATGAACCCTTTTGATCAACTGAATCTCCTAAAACTTCTCTTAAAGCATAATTTAATACATGAGTTCCAGTATGATTATTTCTAATTGGCCATCTTCTAATTTCATCATAAGTAGCAATAACTTCATCTTTAATACTTAATGAACCTTCAATAAGTTTCCCAGTATGTAAAATAAATCCTCCATAAGATTGAACATTAGTTACATTAAATTCAGATTTTCCATCAATAACTAATTTACCTGTATCATATTCTTGTCCACCTTGTTCAGCATAAAATGGAGTTTTATCTAGTATTATACCATATTCTTCACCTTCTTTTGCAATATCAACAAATTCTTTACCATTATAAATAGCTAAAATTGTTGATTTAATATCATCTAAACCATATTTAAAATTATCATTAGTCTTTTCAACTGATTCTAAAGTTGAAAGAGCATGAACATCTAATTTAATTAAATTTGCATTATTTTTACCTCCATTACCTTTAGAAGCTTCTTTTGATTCTTCACGAGCTTTTTCAAAGGCAATTTCATCAATCTTTAATCCGGCTTCTTCAGCCATTAATCTAGTTAAATCAACTGGGAATCCATAAGTATCATATAATCTCCAAACATCTTTACCTGATAATGTTTGTTCAGGAGTTTTAGAAGCAATTATTGCATTCTTTTCAAATAATTTTTCACCTCTATCTAAAGTTTTGGCAAATGAAATTTCTTCTTCATTTAAGATTTCTTTTAAATCTTGAGCTCCATTAACAATTTCCGGGAAAATTTCTTTATTTTGTTCAATGACAACATCAACTAATTGTTGAAAGAATGAACCAATTGGATAATTCATATATTTACGAACATAACGTGAACCTCTTCTTAAAATTCTTCTTAATACATAACCTCTACCTTCATTATTTGGTACACCACCATCACAAATTGCAAAAGTTAAAGTTCTAACATGATCAGCAATAACTCTATAAGCAGTATCAATTCCATCAGTATCATCAATACCAAATTTACCTCCATAAGGTCTAACACCAGTAATTTCACTAATTTTTTCAAAAATTGGTGTAAATACATCAGTATCATAATTTGAAGATTTATCTTGTAAAATTGATACTAATCTTTCAAATCCCATTCCAGTATCAATATGTTTATTTGGTAAAGGTCTTAAAGATGAATCAATTTCTCTATTAAATTGCATAAAGACATTATTCCAAATTTCTAAAACATTTGGATCATCTTGATTAACTAAATGAGAAGCATTTCTACCACCAATTCTATCATAATGAATTTCTGAACATGGACCACAAGGACCTTGATCACCCATTTCCCAAAAATTATCTTTAACATCACCTGGTAAAATATGATCTTCAGGAACTCCAACATCTAACCAAAATTGTTTAGCTTCAAGATCAGGTTCAAGATTTTGTTTTTCATCACCTCCAAAATATGTTACATATAATCTTTGTTTATCTAAACCATAAACTTTAGTTAATAATTCCCATGACCATTCAATAGCTTCACGTTTAAAATAATCTCCAAATGACCAATTACCTAACATTTCAAAAAATGTATGATGATAAGAATCTCTACCAACATCTTCTAAATCATTATGTTTTCCTCCAGCTCTAATACATTTTTGAGAATTAACGGCTCTTTTTAAAGTAGCAAAATCTGAACTTGGATCAACTGTACCTAAAAAAATTGGTTTATATTGATTCATACCAGCATTGGCAAATAATAATGTTGGATCATTATGAGGAATTACTGATGATGATGGTACAAATGTATGATTTTTTTGTTTAATAAAATAATCTAAAAATGTACTTCTAACTTTAGAAGCAGTCCATTCTGTATTAACTGAATTGGTAGACATAATTCTTCGCGCAATTAGCGTTCTATACATATATCTGTTAAAGATTTATGGTTATCTGTATGGGTTCGAGGATGGTAAAATAATTTTTTTTTGTTCTTTGAGCCTCTTCGTTGGTCGTGAGTCACGCGCACTTTAGCAGCTGCTCCACTAAATACTGTACCATACACTAATAATACAAATACACTGTTTATTATAAACTAGACGAAACAAGCAAGCGGAGATAAAAGTAAAACACAGTGAAAGAAAAAGACTAAGAAAGTAAAATAAAGTAAATAAGTAAAGTAAAGTAACTAAGTACGTAGAATAACAGATTAATAAAAACAACTAAGTATACATAAAGAAAAAAGGTCAGAGGTGTCTCACCTTCTAAGATTCTGTAATGGAACTGAACCTCTTAATCCATGACTATGATCATGAGCTTGAACATTTGGATCAACATTTGGATCTATATTAGGATCTACATTAGCATTTTGAGAATGTAATGCAGCTACTGCAGCAGCTGCTGCAGTTGGTGTAGCTTCAATTGCTGCAATTACAGCAGGATCTTGTACAGATGGAGTATGATGATCATGTAAATGAGATTGTATATGTTGATGAGTAGTTAATCCATTATGAGGATGTAAATGACTTAATACATCTGGTGATGCATAAGGATTACCACCTTTATTAATTGGTTTTTCAACTAAAGTTCTCGAAGATTTCAGTCTTTTTTTCTTACCATTAACAACATCAGGTCCATGATTATGAGCAGGATTAATCATTCTTAAAATCCACATTTCATCATGACCTCCAGTTGAATTTGAATTATTATTAGTAGTATTACTACTAAAATCAGTTAATTTATCATCTAAATTATTATCCTTTTTAATCTTTTTCTTATCCTTTTCTGGAGGATATAAATTAGCAACTAATCTATAACCACATTTATTTCTTTTAGTATAAGCAACTCTTTGTCTTTTAGCAGAATCTTTAACAGTAGTTCTAAATGATCCTGATCTTTCACATTGAAAATAAACAGCTTTAGGTTTAGATGAATTAATAACAATTTTACAATGTTCTTCATCACTTAAAGTATATTTAACAAATTTAACAAGATCTTGTTTACTTGAAAATGTCTTAATTATTTCATTATCAATATATCTTGATTGTAAAACTGCACCTTCATAATCTTCACCAAGGTGTGCTTGAGTAAGTTCCGGTATACGTTGTTGTTGTTGCTGTTGAAGATGATGCAACTGTTGTTGATGTTGTTGTAATCGTTGTTGTTGTTGCTGTTGTTGCTGTTGTTGTTGATGATGTTGTTGCTGTTGTTGTTGTTGAAATTGTTGTAATTGTTGTTGTTGATGATGCAATTCTTGTTGTTGCAATTGTTGCTGTCTTCTTTGAAGTTCTTGACGATGTTGAAGTTCAGCAGCTGCTGCAGCTGCACTAGCATTAGCAGCATGATATGGTTGATTATGAAAATGATTAGTTTCATCTGAATTTAAACCTGAATAACCTGAAGCAGATACTGCTACTGCAGCTGCGGCAGCTGCGGAAACAGCTGGATCATATTCATTTCGAGTATCTTGATGATGTTGTTCAGTTAAATGTCCATTAACATTCATGGTAGATCTTTCACTTGAAGTTGATGGACCCAGCATATTATTTAAATTATTTGTTTATATATATAAAATTAAAATTTCACAATTAATAACAAATAATTTCTCCAATAATTAATGATTGCTACTAAATAATTTCTTTACAGTATTAATCAATTCCTTACCAGTTTCAAAATTACTTATCAATTATTACTTGTTAGTAATTATGGTTATTCCTTTAAGTCTAATTGATAGTTAGTTGGATATAAACAGTAGTCCTGCACATTCACCTCACCTAACTGATGCTACAAAGGTTTATATGCCTTTCTAAAATTTGTTGATGGGAATTGTCTGGTCGTTGTTTTTCTCCCTGGTTGGGCGAGGGACACGACTGGTAGGGACACTCCCATTGACCTACAATAAAAATTAAACATCCATACACCAATACATAAGCCTGGCCTAATATCAATCATCATCTCCCCATACTATAATAGTATAAGCTTATATATATATATATATAATACAAGTACACTTTATAACTAATGACATCAACGGCTCAATTTAAACAATCCATACAGGAATTACAAGTAAATAATGCCGACAAAGAATTACATTGGCTAACTACAGCCATTATAACACCTGAATTCCCCCAAATTATAGAAGCATTACATATATGTTCAAATTTATTACTATATAATTCACCTCAACATCCTGATCCCGATAATAAAATTGAAAGAGGTCCAGCTATTAAATTACCTGTATCATCCAATAAACTGGAATTTTTAAAAGGAATTGTAGTAAGAGATGGAGCTTATATAACTCATCTTTCAGTTAATTTAAGAGAACCACACTTTAATAAAGTAATTAATCGATTAAATTTAAAGAAACCTATGCTTTTAGGACAAATTATAACCGCCAAAAGATCAATTGATCAAGCAATAGAATCTATAGAACTGTTAACATCAATTACTGATGATTGTTCAATAGTTAATCATGAAACATTAATTCAAACATTTAAAAATTTATTAAATTATATTCAAACTGCTAAAGTTGCCTTACAATTACCAACCGATCCAAATTTAGTTTTCCCATATAATATAACTCCTACAAGTTCATTTGAACCAGAATTAATTCCAACTATTACAGTAGATGCATATATAAGTCAAGCAGAAGTATGTTTAGATTTAAAAAGTTTACATAAAGTAACTGAAAAACCATGGGGAGAAATTGAACCAATAACTGGGATGTCATATATTGATAAAATTAGAGATGAAATGAAATTACCATCAAAATCTTCAACATCTTCATTAGATTCAACTCAACCATTAAATGTTCAAGATATTGAGAAAAGATTAAATGAATTAACTGGGAATTCTGATCTGTCAAGTATAAATTCAATTCAAGATACTACAAGTCAAAATATATTTTCAAGTGTTATGAGTCATTTACTGTTACGTCCAAAACATGATCCATTAGATTATATTACTAAATGTATTACATATAATAAAATGGTAGTAATGATTAATAAAAAACTTGAAGTATCATCTCCTGATCCAATACTTGTTAGTGCATTTACTAAACTTGATAGTATAGAATATTTAGTTAGTAGTTTTCTTAATAATTTGAATTGTTTAATTGAGTCTATATAATCTTAACATAGGTGTGTATTTAACATTTAATATATAACAATACTACTAACAATACTAACAATATTATTAGTAATAATCTGTCTGGCTCTACCCCACTAAACTTGTCAGTAATTCTACTTTTTTTTGCACTAAGTTTCCGAGGCATTCCCCCAAATTAATTTGCCATTTCTCACTTGTCATTTCTCAGAAGACTCACCTCTAATAACCTCTGTAGTCATAGATGAATGAACTTTTTCTTGAAATTCTTCATACTACTGACTTTGTTAATGTTAGGATTTCGGACAATATATAAGTCAATTATATCAACAAATTATCGACCATTTTATTCCCATCATCTTCATACTATTCACTCTCAATTCCAATCTCAATCTCAATTTCATCTTTCATTCTCTACAATGTCCAATAATTTTTCAAATAAAATTACTATATTATCAGATAATTCTAATATTGATAAACCAGTTACTGATGATAGATTATATCGATTGTTTAAAATCAATTCTAATGATTTACATGTGCTTGTAATTAATGATCCAACAGCTGATAAATCAGCTGCATCATTAGATGTTAATGTTGGAGCATTTACTGATAAACAATATAATGTACCAGGTTTAGCCCATTTTTGTGAACATTTATTATTCATGGGTACAGAAAAGTATCCTAAAGAAAATGAATATTCTAATTATTTATCAAAACATTCAGGACATTCAAATGCTTATACAGCGGCTGAACATACAAATTATTATTTTCAAGTGGGTTCAGATTATCTTGAAGGTGCATTAGATAGATTTGCACAATTTTTTATATCTCCATTATTTAGTGTTAGTTGTAAAGATCGAGAAATTAATGCAGTAGATTCAGAAAATAAGAAAAATCTTCAAAGTGATAATTGGAGATTATATCAATTAGATAAACTGAATAGTAATCCAAATCATCCTTATAATGGATTTTCAACGGGGAATTTTCAAACTTTACATATTGAACCAACAAATAATGGTTTAAATGTTCGAGATATTTTAATTGATTTTCATAAATCTCATTATTCATCAAATTTAATGAGTCTTGTTATATTAGGTAAAGAAGATTTAGATACTTTAACTAATTGGTCAATTGAAAAATTTCAAGATATTTCAAATAAACAATTATCAAGACCAACTCATAAAGAATTAATTTTAACTAAAGATTATTTACATAAATTAATTAAAGCTAAACCAATAATGGATAAAAATGAATTAGAAATAACTTTTATGATACCTGATGATTTAGAACTGCAATGGGAATCAAAACCTAGTAGTTATTATTCTCATTTACTTGGTCATGAAAGTGAAGGTTCAGTATTATATTATTTAAAACATAAACAATGGGTAACAGAACTTTCTGCTGGAAATGTTAAAGTTTGTCAAGGTAATTCATTTTTTGTTTTAAATTTTGAATTAACACCTTTAGGATTAGAAAATTGGGAAACGGTTGTACTTACTGTATTTCAATATTTAAAGGCCATTGTAAATGATGAACCTAAGAAATGGATTTGGGAAGAAATTAGTAATATGTCAGTGGTTAATTTTAAATTTAGACAAAAGGCTGAAGCTTCAAGTACAGTTTCAAAAATGAGTGGAACATTATATAAATATATTGATACAATTCCTCCTAATTATTTATTAAGTTCAACAATTCTTAGAAAATTCGATAATGAAGCAATTAAAAAATATGGTAGTTATTTAAATCCAAATAATTTTAGAATTTCTTTAGTATCTCAATCTTTACAAGGATTAGATAAAACAGAAAAATGGTATGGAACAGAATATGCGTATGAAGATATACCTCAAGATTTACTTTCATCAATTAAATCAGCTTCATTTAATCAAAGTTTACATTATCCAAAACCTAATGATTTTATTCCAACTAATTTTGATGTTTCAGTAAAATCTTTAACTCCATTACTTCATCCATATGTAATTGAAGATAATAATAAATCTCATATTTGGTTTAAACAAGATGATCAATTTGAAGTTCCAAAAGGTACTATTGAAATTATATTTCATTTACCAAATTCTAATACAAATGTTAAAAGTTCAACTTTATCAAGTTTATTAGGAGATTTATTAGAAGATGATTTAAATCAACTTACTTATTATGCTTCATTAGTTGGTTTAAAAGTTCATATAAGTGGTTGGAGAGATGGATTTAATATTAAAGTTTCAGGTTATAATGATAAATTACCAGTTTTATTAGAACAAGTATTGAATAAATTTTTCAATTTTAAACCTAATAAAGAAAGATTTGAAACAATTAAATATAAACTTGGTAAACAATTTAAAAATTTTGGTTATAATCAACCATATGGTCAAATAGGTACTCATTTATTATTATTAGTTAATGAAAAGACTTATCAATATGCTGATAGACTTGAAGCTTTAAATTCTATTACATTTGAAGAACTTGAAGAATTTTATTCCAAGACTATTTGGGAAACAGGTATTTTTAGTGAATCATTAATTCATGGTAATTTTAATATTGATAAGGCTTATGTTATTAAGGAATTAATTAATGGTTATATTAAAGATATTAAACCAATTGCTGAAACTTTTGAAGAAGTTGAGAAACAAATTAAATTTAGAAATTATGTCTTATCTCCTAATGATACTATTAGATATGAAATACCTTTAGAAGATCCTAAAAATATTAATTCTTGTATTGAATATTATTTTCAAATGGAATCGGTGGTTACTCCAGAAAATGTAAGAACTAGAGTTCTTAGTGATTTATTAGGTACTACCCTTAAAGAAACATGTTTTAATCAATTAAGAACTAAAGAACAATTGGGTTATGTAGTATTTTCTGGGGTTGTATTAGGTAGAACTCAATTGGGATTTAGAATTTTAGTACAATCAGAAAGAACATCTGATTATTTGCAATATAGAATTGAAGAATTCTTGGATAGATTTGGTAGAATTGTCGAAAAATTCGATGAATCAGAATTTTCCAAATATAAGCAAGCCCTTAAAGATACTAAATTAACCAAATTAAAACATTTAGGAGAAGAAACTTCGAGATTTTGGAATTATATTGTTGATGGTAAGTATGATTTTGAAGCAAGATTTAATCATGTAAAAATTTTAGAGACTATAAGTCTTGAAGAATTCAAACAATTTTATAAACAAAATATTTTGAATAATAAATCAAGATTAATTTTACATTTAAAATCTCAATGTCCTACTGAAACAAGTCATTTAAAATTAGTTCAAAGTTCATTAATTAATTTCTTATATAGAAATGATTTGGAATTCTCATCGGATAAATTAGAAACCATCATACAAGCCAATTTAGATGATTATGATGGTTTAATTCATCAAATCATTCAAGAAATTCAAACTTGTAATAAGGATAATTCTAATATACCTTCTTTTGATACTTTATTACAAGTTGTCAAACATGATGTTGCTAATCCTGTTCCTGATAAGTATCATGGACCTGCCTTATCTAATGTAGATGAATTCCGTTCTCGTTTATCATTAGGTGGGTATCCAGTGGCATTTAATAAGTTATCTACATTTTATTATCCGCATGATCAATCCCATTTATAGACCAGTTAGCATTCTATATAATATATTTAAATTTTGCAATTTGCAGTTATTGTAGAGCGTGTGGTCGTATGCAGGAAGTATACTAATTATAATTACTGACATTACTTATGGCTTATAAGGGGCAATTGATTATACAAGTTCTATGTAAGTCTAGTTGGTAGTAATACTGATATGATATTAAACTCTTGTATTTTTTTAAGTATGCATTAAAGCAAATGTTTTAGTAGTTATTGAACGAATTATGTTATAAATTCACAATTACTATTACTATTACTATTACTATTACTATTACTATTACTATTACTATTACTATTACTATTACTATTACTATTACTATTACTATTACTATTACTATTACTATTACTATTACTATTACTATTACTATTACTATTACTATTACTATTCTCTAACAAGTACAGGCTCTCCACATTCAATCACATATTACAAACTACTTCTGTTACAATAGTCTGGGTAAACCACAAAATAGTAATAGCCTAAGACTTTGTACTAGGAGGAACCGGAAGTCAGCACCCTCGGTATAGGTAGATAACTTTTTTTAAATTGAATTGTCGCACTCTCAATTCCGAGGGAACATATAAGACCAGTTCAGTACTAACTATAAATTGAATATATACTAATAACTACGACTAAATCACACTATAATGACATTAAACTTATCTAAAGTAAGTGAAACATACTTCCAGAAGTTATTTGTACCCAAACGAGGTACCGATATCTCAGCTGAAGCTAAATCTAGTGTACTTGTATTAGATCAATTCACTACATCAATTATATCTATGTGTTATACTCAAACTCAATTACTTCAAAATAATATTATATTAATTGAATTAATTGATAATACTAGATCGTTTAATAATATGAAACATTTGAATTGTGTAGTTTATATAAAACCTACAAAAGAATCTATTCAATCATTAGTTAATGAACTTAGCAATCCTCATTTTAAATCTTATCAATTATTCTTTAATAATACTATAAATAAATCTCAATTAGAAAGAATTGCAGAGGCTGATGAATTTGAAGTTATTAATCAAGTTGTAGAATTATTTCAAGATTATTTAATTATAAATAAGAATCTTTTTACAACTAATAATACAATTAATACTACTAATAATATTAATAATAATGCAATAATTGAAGAATCTAATAGTTTAATAAGTTTATTATTATCATTAAAAAAGTGTCCAATAATTAAATATGAACCTAATTCAATTGAATTAAAGAGATTAAGTTCGGAAATATTATATAATATTAATTCTAATTCCAATAATAATTTATTTGATGATTTAAATAAAGGAAGTGATAGACCTCCAGTATTATTATTATTAGATAGAAAATCAGATCCAATAACTCCATTAATTTCTCCTTGGACTTATCAATCAATGATTCATGAATATATTGGAATTAAAAAGAATATAACTGAAGTTTCATCTGAACAATTAATTTTAGATGAAATTCAAGATAAATTCTTTTTAGAATCAATGTATTTAAATTATGGAGATTTAACTGATAAATTTCAAAGATATGTTGAACATTATAAGAAAGAAACTAAACAAACATCTATTGAAAATTTACAAACTCAAAATTTAAATGATTTAAAGAAAATGTTAACTAAATTTCCCGAATTTAAAAAATTATCTTCAAATATTCTTAAACATTTAAATATAATTACTGAAATTGATAAAGAAATTACTAATCAAAATATGTGGGATATTGGTGAATTACAACAAACAATTATTTGTGAACTTGATAATCAACAAACTATTAAAACTAGATTAATTGATCTTTTAGATAATTTAAAAGTTTCAACTATAAATAAAGTTAAATTAGTTTTATTATATTCGGTTAGATTTCATAATACTAATGATATATCATTATTTACTGCTAAATTAAATGATCCATCTAAAACTTCACCAATTATTACTGTAACTCAAAATTCTTTAATAAAGAAATTTAATGCATTATTTAATTCCAAGATTACAACTTCACAAATTTCTGGTGATAATAATAATTTAGGTATATTTAATAAAAAGATTAATTTTACTAGTTTGTTTAATAATAACAATAATAACAATAATCAAAGAAATGATAATGTTTACTTACAATATGTTCCTAAACTTAATGATATTTTAATTGATTTAATTAATCCTAATCAAGATAATAATCATAATAATGGAGCTGGAATTACTTTATCAACTCTTGTACCAGATATTGTAGCTAATCAATATGGTAGAAATGTTCAACATGAACCAGTTCAAGATATAATAATATATATTAAAGGTGGAGTAACTTATGAAGAAGCTAGATTAATTCATGAATTAAGTATTAGTAATAAGAAAATCAATCTTATAATTGGTGGTGATTCAATATTGAATAGTAGTTCATGGTTAAATAATTTATATGATTTAGTTAATGATTCATCAACTAGTGATATAACATCTGATCCAGCTGAAGAAAGACGTAAACAATTACGTGATTTGTTATAGGATATATAAGATATATAAGATATATATATATATATACATAATATAAATGTCTATGGAGCATATTTCCTGTGTCTATGGAGCATATTTCCCAAATTGTTGTTCCCAATTAAGTATCTTTTCAGTTAATCTCTCCATAAGACTTAAATTCTCATTAAATGTCCCAATTAATTTATTATTCTCTTCTTCATGAACATTTATTGAAGTCTTTTCAGTTGTTCCATTAACTTCAATTTCTTCTTTATAACTAAATAATTCAATTTTATTTAATTTATCTTCTTCTAATTCAATTTGTGATCGTCCTAACCATTCTAAAATGGCTCCTGTTCTTTTTCTTAATTCATATACACTTGATTTATCACTAACATATCTTGGTTTTGATGGTTGATTAATTAATTCTTCTTTAGTTAATGCAGAAATTCCTCCATTTTCATTATTTGATTTAGGAGTAGGAGTTGAAGTTTTAGTCTTTTTTGATTTAACTCCTCTCCCTCGAGATTTAGTTCGTTTAAACAGTTTATTATTATTTAAATTACTAGCAGATTCTGTATCATCTTCTATATTCGATGGATCTTGATCAGATTCAATTTCTGATTTAGATATATTATTATGATTATTATGACGAGATTCATCAGAATCATCTGATTTCGCCAATCTTCTTTTTGATGTTGAAGTTGAAGTTGATAATAAAGTAGAATTAGATCCATTATCTGAATTACCACGTTTAGATCCTAATGGAATACCGGATTCCTTAGCACTTTCACGTAATGCCTTTTGTAATTGTTCATCATAAGTATCTTCATAATGTCTTCTTTCCTTTCTTAAAGTTTTAGAAGGTTGAGATGGGGATTTTTCAATGATATTAGGATTAGTTCGTTTACTTTTTGATCTATTATTATTATTATTATTATTAGTAGTACTATTAGTACTATTAGTATTATTACTACTATTATTGCCACTATTATTGCCACTATTATTAGTACTACTATTAATATTAGTAAATGGTTTATGAATATCCATGGCTAATAATTTCTTTCTCTTTTCATTGGTAGGTTTATATAATGTTCGTATTAATTCACCAGAATTATCATAAATAAATATATGTAAATCAGGTTTACATAATTCACACCAATATTTATCAGGAACATCTTCATTAATAAATAATCCTACACAATATCCATGTTGCCATACTGAGCATTTATCACATTGAATAAATAATCCTTGATCAATTTTATTAATATTATATTCTTTATTAAGTAATTCACTTATTGATTCATCAACACTAGTTAATTCATCTTGTCCACATATACATCGAGTTATTTCTTGTTCATCTTCTTCATCGATTTCATCCTCTTCTTCGGCTTCTACTTCTAAATCGCCATCTATTGGTTCAGTTTCTGTTCCTTCTCCAATTTTCCCTTTCCCACTTCCACTTCCACTTCCACTTCTTACAGGTTGACCTTTAGGTATTACTTCATCTTCTTCATCTTCATCATCTTCTCCCTCGGCTTCATAGTTATCGGCATATTCCGGTGGCTGTTCCGAATATCTGGATCTTCCGGATCTACGAGACATGTTTCAATTGACTTACTCCACTTGTAAATCCAAATTTATATACTTACAAGTTGAAATTTGGCTTTTGATTAATCGTGGAAATTTTATGCTATTGCCTAATTCGGACAGGATACAGAAACATCCACACCGCAACTACAACAGAAAACTACAACAAAAAAAAAAATCTAAACTGTAAAAAAGTGTCATGTTAAACAAATATAAATATAAATATTGTATATATAGGAAATGATAATGTTCACCAAATTAAACTTAATTTGAAACAGTCAATGTACCATCTCTATCATAAAGACCTCTACATCTAATATAAGGATCCAATTTAAGATAGTTATTAGATAATTCATAATTAAGTCTAATCTTGTCCTGCAAGTATTGATCACTAATAGCTGGATTAGTTGATTCAATCCATTTTATTGTTGCTTCAATAAATTTAAGATATGTAGCATCTCTTTCCTTCTTTAATTTATAATAATAAGCATCTTTTCTTCTTGGAGGTAAAGCATCACTTTCTTCTGGTTCAATATAAACAGGTTCTGTATGATCTTGTCCACCTAAATAATCAGGAATAAATTTTGGATCTACAAATTTTGATAATTCCTTGGCATCTTTTGTAAAATGAATTTTTGATGCAACAACAGGATCTAACCAATTTTTAATAATATTCCAAACGGTTGAAAAAATCCATGGTGCATTATGAATTAAAATAACTCCTAAAGTTTCTGGATAATGAGCTTCAAAGACATCAGCTAAAAATTTAATGGCAGCATAATCAGCATTCTTTAATGAAAATCCAGTTAAATCAAAAACAATCGAACATTGATCAACAGAATCAGTAACTTCACGTAAAAATAATCTACACCATTCAATAGTAACCACAGAAAATCTTTGAGTTTCTATTAAAGGAGAATCAGAACCAAAATGTTTTCTTGCTTGAAAGAAATAAATTGGATTACGATTAACATCATGACCTTTAATAAAGGCCTTTTCACAAGTGAAATTCTTAACAAATCCTTTATTAGTACCAGTTAAGAAAGATTTAGCATCACCTTCTAAAACCCAAGAATCAGGACTAAAATCTTTACTAATTCTCCAATTTAATGATTTTAACATCATTTGTACTGCGGCATCAGATTTCCATTTTCTAGCTCTTACAAATCTTAAAATAAAATTATCAACTAAATCATTTCTTAAACATGAATTAAAACCTCCATGTAAATCTCTAACCTTATATTGTGACATAAATGATAATAATTGTGGATTAGGTTTAACAGAAAATGATGGCCCACTATAACCTGGAGATGCTGTACCATTTGATCTAGATTTTTGTTTATTATAAGAAGAATAAGATCCATTAGAAACTGAGGTTGGAAATCCATCAAAATCAGTAATAGTAGTTGAAGCAGTAACAAAAGTTTCTAAAGATAAATCTGAATCATATCCATCATCTTCATCTTCATCTTCAAATTCTTCATAATCAGGTTGATTTTCAAAATTAGACTTATAATACACTTTAAATACATATTCAATTTCAGAATTTGTACCAGTAATTGGTTGATATCTTTCACGAGATGATTGAGTTTGAATTTGTCTTAATCTTTTTGAATCAGGAGGTGGAGCAGCATCTTCTTGCTTTTCCTTTTTACCACCAAATAATCCTCGTCTAGCAGAAGATTTAGAAGTCTTCTTTGAAGATGAAGAATTAACAGAATTTCTTGTGGCAGTTCTAGTTAATTCATGAAATGAAGATTTATCTTCAAAATCTATAGTAGAACTAGATGGAATAAATGATTCCTTATAAGCTAAATCTTCATCAGAAATATTTATTGGATATCCAAAATATTTAAAAAGATAAGCTTCAACTTGTTTAAGAATTATTTCTTGTTCAGCATTAATTGATTGAATTCTAGCTGGTCTATACTTAATTTCCTTTTTTACAGGTTGATGATGTCCATTATTATGGTGTTTATTATGATGATGATTATTATGATGAGGATGGGGATGATGAGAGTAAGTCATTGTCAAAATTATAGTAAACTTTTCAGCTATAATTATTCACCTTTAAGTCTCGAATCGGACGGAATTAAAATTGTTCACGGCCTTGGATTTTTTTGCAAGACAAATATAATTATATTATTTTATTTTTTTTCACAGTTTCGGTAAACCCGAAATTGAACAAGGAGCTAATATACGAAATAGGAACCGGCCTTAAATTTCGTAATAGGAGATGTAAAAATTAACACTTGTTATATAATTTATTTAATATATGTCAGACGACTATACAAATTATAAAACAGAGTTAGTTAAGTAATATATCAAAGTTTGAAAATTTTATCAATTAATCAAAGAGGTAGCAATCGTTTACAATTATATAGTTTCAGTTTCTGGTAATTATTGAAAATTTACCCTATAAACTAAAATGATCCTAATTAAGACTAGAATGTGATTTGTCGCCCATCATCCTTGGTTCTTTACTGGAGTACCTCATAAAAAATTACCAAATTAAGAAATATACGTTAAAACGAGACTGTGAAACATTTTTTTGCTTTGTTGTGGGGGAGGGGACGCTTTTTTTTCTACCGTGCGAAAGGAGCTAGCGGAGTATAGATATTTTTAATTGCTGGTTCTTATAGTATGTATTATACCTTTTCAGAGGACTTGTTTGTTTAGTTATTGAGGGGTGAATTATATTGAGCCCAGAGAACTATTATATTAAGTATTTACTTAATTAGATAGGGAGTTCCTATCACGTTTGAACGGCTGTTAACACATGAAGAATAGGGCTAACCCTTAGGGGCTCAAAATTTACGGAGCTAAGCAAACCAGGAAACCAGGGCCTTTTGAGTGCAAAATTTCCTATTTCGGACATACTGATAATGACCAGCTGTAAAATTTCGTTCCATTACAAAATGATAGATTACCATGTTCGTAAACGTATATGTAAAGAAAATGAAATTAGAGTATATAATTTACTCGGCTAGATTATGATATCATACATTTAACTTTGATTACTATTTGGCTCTGGCCAGGGTCATGTTCTAGGGTCATGGCCAGGGGTCAGGTTACATTATGGCCAGATTGTGACCTAACTATGGTCAAGATCGTTTATTCTGGATTTGTTTACTTCTACATAACTAATGAGATTCTTCTAGTTGTAAATAATAATGTATTATCTAACTTAACGCAGACTATGACTTATGGTATCTAAACCTAAATATCCAACAAATGAATGATGTGGGGTTGCAAAATTCACTTCTCCAAACTTGGCTGGGTCACATGCACCTAATATGCCCGGTGATAAATCCTTCTAAGCTTATTGTTCCCCAGAAACTGACCGCAATAAAACAAAACATTTTAATAATACAATGAGATCTGTTACTGTTTATAATTATGAAGCAGAAATAAGTGTATATACAATTACAAAATAATCTTATCGGAAAACTTAACGTCTTCTCAGTCTCATTTGGGCAATCTTTCGACTCTTAAGTAATGGAGGTGTAGGCGTAGATTGAAGTCCTCCATTAGGATTCATATTCCCCATGACCATACCTCCCATTCCACCCATTTGAGCAGGAGCTCCAAATGGATTACCTGCTGGTTGAGGAGTTCCAAATTGAGCAACTGGCATTGAAAGTCCACCTCCCATACCATTATTGGCATTGACATTATTATTGTCAGTAGCACCAAATGAAAATGGTGTAGGTTCTCGACTACCAGATCCACCAAATACAGCATCAGGGGTACTACCTCTACTATTGAAACCACCTCCAAAATTAAAACCCGGCTTAGTTGTTGCACCAAACATTGATGCTCCAGCATTAGTATTGGGTTGTGTATGATTTCCAAACACACTAGCTGGATTAATATTACTAGTAGATGAACCAAATGAGAATGCTGGAGGCGCAGTGTTACCACCACTACTTGCCACAGGAGTTGTTGAACGTGACAGACCATTGGCTGAATTGCCTATAGTAGTAGTTGCACCAAAATTCAATACTGGTTTTGGCGCATCAGAAATAGAGATTCCAGGAGCAAATTTAAAATTTGGATTAGCATTAGGGATAGTTGGTTTAGTTACTGAATTTCCATTATTTCCAAATGTAAACGGAGTACTAGACGTACTAGTTTGAGCATTCAGTGAAGGAGTAGCAATAGTCGTAGTGTTGTTTGGCTTGTCCTCTCCAAAGGAAAATGCTGGTGTCTTTGTGGTGGACTTTTCCTCTCCAGTAGTAGCCGTACTTCCAAAGGAAAATGTAGGCTTAGATGAAGAAGTTGTAGTATCAAAAATACTTGGTTTAGACGTACTTCCAAATGAAAAAGTTGGCTTAGTGGAGTTTTCATTCTTTTCATTAGCTTCAGAAGATGGCTTTGAATTAAGTGCAATGCCAGCATTATCACCAAAGGAAAACAATGGCTTAGGATTCTCACCACTGGATCCACCTGAAGTAGTAGCATTACTATCCTTATCATTATCCACGGGCTTTGGCTGTCCGAATCCAAATGATATTGGTTTAGATGATTGATCAGATTTAGTACCATTTAAGGAAAATGCAGGAATTGGAGTAGTACTTTTACTAGTGTTATTACCTAAGCCAAACAAAGGTTTGGCTGCAGCTGTATCATCTTTCTTGTTAGTATCAAAACTGAACTTGGGAGTCTGAACATTTTCACTGCTGCTGGCTCGTTTGAGGGACTTTTTAGGAGGTTCATCTTCTGATGTTTTAGTTTTATCACCAAAACTGAAGAGTGGTGTGGATGCTGAGTTATCCTGCTTTTGTTCTGCAGGCTTAATGGAAAATAATGACGATGACTTGTCTCCACCAGGAGCTTTTCTTTTTACAGGAGGTTCATCTTCAGTTTCTTCGGAGATGCCTACACTAACTTTAGGTTTATTTGCTTCTTTACCAAAACTTAAAGATGGAGTTGAAGATGTTGGTTTGAATCCAAAATTTAATTGAGGTTTAGTAGCTGATTCTTCTTTCTTTTCTACAGCTGGAGTTCCAAAGCTAAACTTAGGAGTATCCTTCTTTTCAGTAGAATTATTTCCAAAGGAGAATTTAGGAGTATCATCCTTCTTTTCAGTAGTGGTGGTACTTCCGAAACTAAATTTAGGTGTAGATATTTCCTTTTCTTCAGTTGTTGAAGGTTTACCGAATGATAAGCTAATTTTCTTATTAGTTTCTTCTGGTTCATTTGACTTTGTAAGACCAGACAACTTGAAAGGTTCTTGTTGAGACAATTTGGATTTTTCAATTAAAATCTCATTCTCCTTTCTCAGTTCAATAATGGAATTAATATCATCATTATTAATTTTAAATTGAAATCCTGAACTAGGACCAACAGATTTCTTTTCCAGACTATTATTTTCGGAATTCTTCAAGGATTCAGAATCCTTTAATTTTATAATATTTGAAATCTTCTTTGATTTTTCAAGATAATCTTCATCTAAGGTTAAATCCATATTTGAAGAATCATTAAGTTGATTAGTAGATTTTTGATTTCTATTACCAAATCTATTGAATGCACTATCTTCATCAATGGATGATCTCTTTTCATTATTTGTTTTATTGGAGAATGTAGGTTTACTTACTGATCCAAGATATCCACTAAATTGATTTGAATTATTAGCAAATTTTGGTATATCATTAATTATTGAATCAGTTTTATTCAGTTGTTGTTTCTTAGTATCTAATTGTACATCATAAAAGAATTCTCCACTAAATAATTTATTACCAGTTTTAGCACGTTTTATATTATATTGAGATCCTGTACTAGTAATTCTTCTAGATCTCTTTTTAGTTTTAAATACTAAAGAATCATTTAAATAACTTGTATCATGAGTTTGAGTAGAAGTTTCAACTTTATTAGTAGATGGATTAATTTGAGATACAGTTTCATTAGGATCTATCATATATTTAATCTTATTTTGTAAACTTTGAGAAGCTTGCATTGATTTTTTTAATTGTAATAAATGATATCTTTCTCGAGGATCTAAATTTATAAATGGAGGTCTAACTATATTACCTTGATTATCTTGATATAATGGAGCATATTCTACATCTATTGGAATTGGAATTGAAATTGGAGTTCTATCATCAACACTTTCAGTAGTTGAAGTAACAGTTTGAATTGATATTGGAGTATCAACTCTAGGTAATAAACCTAAAGGAGATGCATCACGAGAAAATTCTTGTTCAACAATAACATTTAAATTTGAATTATTAACTCCATCTTTAACAATTCCATCATTATAAGCAGTACTTAATCTTCTTTCTAAATCATTATTTAATTCTTCATTAGATGTTTGAATTGAATTATAATATGATCTATAGACTCCTAAATTATTATTTAAAGTAGTTGATCGAGGAATTGATTCATTACTTGGATGACCTTGAATTGATAATCGTTTCTTCTTTATTGAGGTAAAATCATTATTTAATGGTTCTTTTTCGATGATCATGCGCTCTACCGCATCAGAATTTAAATTTCCCATACTTTTGTTCGGTTGACCACTCGTTTCATAATCGTTGATACTTTGATTCTCACTATTACTCTCATTGGTACCCAATATTCGACTTATAGGTTTTTTAAAGTATGATACAATATTGGATAATCTCGACACTGGTACAGCAATTTTCCGGTGACTCACCTCGTTTTTGCCATGCTTGTTGTCGCCAACGGTCCGAGGACTTATGGACCTTCTTAGATTGGACATTTGTCGGGGATGATTTATTTAGTGGTGGATGGATGGCAATGGTGTTGAGACGGAGATGATAAAATTTTGTAGATCACTTCCGCATCAGACAAGCAGAGCAAACTGACAAAAGGCGCGCTACCATGCACTACATTAAACAACTTTTTCTTTACTACACTCTAGTTATATTACTATATAGTAAAAGTAAACTAAACTAAATTAATTATTTTAAATCTCAGCAGGAACCGATTCTACAGACGCCGTGCTCGTACTATAATTGGAAATACTGAACTCGGCTCGTCTCTCGGCTTCATAAAAGTCTTGATTCAATGTTAGACCCTGACGATGTTCGTCAAAAATGTCGTCAATGTCTGACGTCTCATAAGGTAGAGCAGGATTCTTTAAACCAATAAATGGATCATCTTTAGATTCTTCACCTATTTCTTTAATTAATTTTAACATTACATTTTCTCCATAATTAATTCCATAAGATGCAATAATTGGTATAAATCCTTTAACCCAAGCATCAACAATTCTTGCTCGTTGTTTTGTACGAAGTCTTGATATAGGAAATTCACCTCGTTTAATAAAGGCTACTATATCAACTATAAGATGATGTTTACTTAATACTGTATTAACAATAATTGGAACTAATGATGCAAAATATTTTACTGACAGAGTTTGACAAACCACTATAGTATAATCGGAACATTTAAATATACAAACTCCATTTTTATTTATAGCTGGATGACTTGATTCAATAGTATTTTCAATATCAATTGGGAAATGATGTAATCCCATAACTTCAAATGTATCAGCTATTTTTCCTAAAAGGAATAATGGTTGAAATGATGTAAGTTGTTCTGGTGATGATTCAATCATACCACCACCATGAGAATTATTACGTCCATTATCCATATTTTTTGTAATAGAAATATTATGTAAAAATCCTAAATCTCCTGTTCTTAAATAAGTAATATTTGGATCTCCTCCAATAATTTTACCATTAAATAAAATTTTACTAAATTTATCTTCTGGACCCTTTGGGCCATTGGAAAATGATGGTAAATTAGCTTCTGATGCTACCCAAATTTCTCCATATTCTCCTTCTTTACATACTCTACAAGTTTCTGGATTAACTATGGCAACTTGGGTACATACTGGTACAACTCCTGAATCTTGAATATGTAAAGCATTTGGTACTTCCTTTTGATCAACTACTGATACATAACCTTGTCTTAACGCAATTGGATCTAAAAAAAGATCAACTGGTGCAATAGTCATATTTGATCTTGTAGAAATCATTGGATTAAAAAAATGATCATAAACAGTTGATAAAGAAGCGGCACTTAATTGAGTTGGACGAAATACTTTAGCAATTTCTCTTAATAATTCAATTTCAACTCGAGAATCAGTACTAATCATCATATTTTTTAAATGATTTAATGTAAACCCCTTTGGAGTAAATTTAGATACAGCATATTTAAGTTGTTGATCAGTAACAAATACATCTTTAACTTTATTACGAGCTAAAGTTAAAAAGAATGCTAGAGGGTTTTCAGCATAACTAACCGGTGAAAATAAATAAGTTGTTACACCTAAAAACACTCCTAATAAAGCCGATTGAATAAATCCAATTCCTGAAGCATGTCTTACACATCCAACTATAGAAGATTTTGAAGTTAATCCACAAGTTTCTTTAAATACTTTACAAATTCCAATAATGGTTTTATGAGTTAAAGTTGCTCCTACTCGATAATGATCAGAAGTAAAATTTAACCAAATTAAAGCTATAGTATTTGGATCTCGATAATTAACTGCGGCTTGATATTTAGAAATTTTTGATAATAAAGTTGCAACATTCGAAACTTTAGTTAATTTAGCCGTATTTTTAATTCGTAAATTTTGTGAAGCTCGATGATAATATTTCTTAATTGAATCAGAAACCAGTCCTGTCTTTAAGAATTTTTCAATTTCATCATTTACAAGGATTTCTGCTACATCAAAATCCATTAATACTCCCACAAATGCGGGTAAATCTTCTCCAATTCTATTAGAATCAAATGGTAATACTGGAATTGGAATAATTCCACAAATTAAACAGGCATATAATGAAATAATGAATTCTTCTGATAATGAATACATTAATATAACATATCTACCGGGTCTTATCATGGCCTTTTCAATAAGATAATTACATACTGCATAAACTCGATGTTCGAATTTTTTCCAAGTTAATGGTTTAGAATTTTTCCCACTATTATCAACTGATTGGAAAGCAATTGAATCACCCGAATTAGCCACTCTCATTTTTAATATATCTACTATAGATTTAAAATCAGTTAAGGGGATTTTGGTTTTATCATCAATTGAATTTGATCGATAATCAATTTTAGAATATTGATCAGGGAAATTACTGAGAGCAGCACTTCGAAGTTGAGAAGAATATGGTGACCAAATTCCTCCAATTGGATCTTCACCATGAGGAATCATACTAACTGATTTATTAGCAAAAAATTTAACAAATTGAGCATCTAATCTACCTTCAATAAACCATTTTCTACATAATAAACTAGCAATTTCTCGACCTCCACTTCTCATAATTCTTGGTAATGAATCACAATCAACTACTACCACACAATAAAGTCTTAAATAATGTTTTCTATATAATGCATCAAAACATTTTTCAGCAATCATATTTAATAATCCTTCATTGGCTGGTAATGATTCTGTTTCATTAAATTTATTAGATGGTGAAGCCTTGGGATCAGTATTTATTGAATTATTATCATCAACTGTCTTTCTAGCAATAACAGTTTCAACAATAGCTACTGGTAAATGTTCATTTCCAATAAATATATCAAATATTGTACAATCATGAACTTGTCGAACTTCAGTAGCTACTGTAGATAATAAATGAGAAGAATAATGATATCTATAACCATTTCCAAGAATTAATTCCTTTTTAAGTTTCAGATACATTCTTTGATCAATCCAACTTACTCGTTGTCTAACTCTATCTTCATATAATCCGAGAATATAAACTTTCCCTCGAAATGTAAATCCTAATAATCCTGTTCTTAAAAAATCCATTTGAAGTATACCTTCAGCTCCTCGACATTTAGCATGAAAGATTTGTTTTGATTCATTTCTCAGTTTATAAAATCCTCCACTTAAACATGGACTATCAATCCAAATTTCTCCTAATTCACCTTTAGATACTAAAATAGACAGTTCAGGATTAACTACTGCTAATGTTGCATCAGGTAAAGGAAATCCAAATGAATCAACTCTAAGACAATTCTTCGGTATATCATCTGCTGGTGGTGGATTAACTTCAACTATTTTAACGATATTTCTAGTCAAGGCATCTTTATCAATTAATACTGATGAAAGATCACTATCCAAACTTTGATCATCTCCGGTTGGATTATCATAATATGATTGTGATTGACCTCCTAACCAATCTCGTAAAGATATAACCATTCCACCAAATCCACTAAGAGTTAACATAGGAATTACAGCATTTTGAGGATGTTTACACCCTAATGGACGTAAAAATCTTTGAGATAATACATCAGCAAATTCTCCATCAACTGTAGAAGCATTTACAAGTACCCAACGAACATGAGAGAAATCAACACTTTGAGTTTTAGAGAAATATCTAGTTGAATTAGGAGATTTTTGATAATCATAAGTGACTTGTTTTAAACCAATATTATCTGCCAATAACATTGCGGCTCGATATTTAGTAACAATATGAGCATATAAACCAGGAATTTCCATTACCACTTGAGGTGACCATATAAGTACATTCCCTGTATAGACAGTAAATAATACTCCTATAATTAAACCAATTGAAATTCTAATATCTAAAGTACCTAATACAACTTTCCTATTAGGACGATATTCTTTAATACTTCTTTGTAATCCTCCACCAGAATCAGGCATACTCAGTAAAGTTAATTCTAAAGAATTCATTTGATGTAATATAGTTCGATGACTTAATGCTACTCCTCTTAATTCTCCAATAGATGAACGAGAAAATTCAACATAAGCTAAAGTGGATTTGGATTCTGCCACCATTTTATGCATAATTGATTTAAATTCCAGTTGTTCATGAGGTTTTGCTGAACCTAAATCATTAGTTTTCCATCGAACTAATTTAGATGGCCATTTCAATGTTAGACTTTGAACTTCTAAACGTTTTGCAACCGATTCAGAATATAAAAGTAATCGAGATGAAGTATTATTAATCATTACCATCACTTCATCTAAAGAAATATCTTGATAAATTGGTATTGCTGTTGCTCCAATCATAAAACATGCAAATAATGCCACTACAAATTCAATTACTTCACCATCTTTATATATAAGAAATACACAATTTCCATTTCTTAAAGAAAGTTTATGATGCATATCATAAGCTAATTTCATAGCCTTTAAATATAATTTTGTCCAAGTAATTGAATTCACTCGTTTACCCTTTGAATCAAGTGATATAAAGGCTTCTTCATCTTGTCGTTGTAATTTAGATCGTTTTTCTAAGATATCTACAAGCAGAAGTCGAGTCAATTCATTATCATCGGCATTTAATTCTGAACTTGAACTGGAACTTAATCGAGGATATATAGGAGGTTCTAACATTTCTGGATCCAATTGAATATCTGATTGATGATGTTGTTGTTGTTGTTGAAGTCTTAGACGTTCTATATTTCTTAAGATATTCTCTCGTCCATTAATGTATGTATATTGATCGATGGTTCGATTTACATGGAAATCATTTTCAAGCGTTTGAAGTAATAGTCTTAAATCGGGTGGAGCATCATGAGGGATATTATCTGTCATATTTGGCTGGGGTACTAAAGTATTATGAGAACTTAAGTGAGAATTGGTTAGTGACAGAGTGCCTATTCTTCCAGAATTATTACTATTAGTTCCCCCTATATTAGACATTATGATATTAAACAAGTAGTGAAGATCTTATAGTAATTTAGTGAGAAATGTTATCTGGTGTATGGAGTAATTACCCTATAGTTAGCGAACATTTACTGACCATTTACTGAGCACTCACTGAGCACTCACTGAGCACTCAGTAAGCGGTCTCGCTAAAATTTGTTTTTGCATGTTCTCCGCGACATCGCAGCCTAGAGAAAAAAAATTTAGTAGTGCTTATAATTTTTCACTGCCAGACATCACAAGAGGTTAGTGAAAATTTACCATTTACCATTTCTCTTATACCATCAGCCATGCTACGATATACGCACGGTTGTACGGTTGTACGGCCACTCCAGCAATGGAGAGGGCTTTTTGTAATGGCTAGTGAGAAAAAGCCCGTACCTAAAAAGTCATATAAGAGGAAACCTAAAGAGTCTCAATCTCAATCATATAAAGATCTTACTCAATCTAGTGGAAGAATCCTGAGAATAGAAGAAACCGTATATAAAAAGCGATTGGCGGAACTTCGTCAGTTGACTAAGACATTATCTGCCAATATCAATCGGATAGAAGAACATAAGAAGGAGAGAAATGAACTTAGTCATGTGCTATTACCATCACAAATTGAGAAGTCTGTAGATCAAGTGCATAAGAGTATAAGTTCAGATACAACCACTAGTAATAGTACCACCAGTACTACTTCTACTAGTACTACTTCTACTAGTAGTACGACTCCTACTGGCACTATATCACCTCATTTACTTATCGTCCCCACCATGAAAATCCCCGACTCCGTAGCCGAAAGACTTGGATTATCATTAAAGTATTTGGTTAATGAAAAATCTCAAAACTGGCCCAGAGTTTTAGAAGAACTTAAGAAATCTGAAGGATTTAAAGGCTTAAATTCCCAAACAGTTACGGCATTTATAGCCTGTATACCTCAGAAACATTTAGTATACTTAATTCCTGAACTTCAAGCCCTTTTAAATGATGCTAATATAAAACTTCAACCCAGTATGATACATTTATTTATGAAGGGAGTTGCTTATGGTACTACTATAAATGATACATCTATTGCTATTTTAGAACTGTATTATAAAAGACTTGAATCGCTTGAAACTCCTCGATTACTGACATTTGAACTTATGATAAAAGCTTATGGGAAATGTAATAGAATGATAGATATTAATAAGATGTTATTAAGAATGAAACAATTAGGTTTAGAAACTAATAAAACAGTGTTATCTAATCTTTTAAGTACTTGTGTATATAAAGCAAGAGATCATAATCAAGCCATACAAATCTTTGATTCTATGAAATTCTTTTCAAAATCAACTAATCCTGGTACAAAGGAATATCAAGATATGATAGTTTCATATATTAATAATGATGATATTGAAAAGGCTCTTGATTTATATCAAGAAATGCTTAAGGATAATATCGATATAAATCAATCCATTATGGTGGCTCTAGCCCGAGGATGTTATAGTCGAGAAATCTTTAGATATAAAGCATGGGATTTTATGTTTGAAATTAGACAACATGGTTGGACTCCTACTTTAGAAACGTTTGAGTATATGTTATACTTATCGGCCAAAGATGGAGATTTAGCTCTTGCAAGAGCTTTATATGCTAATTTATTACTGCTGAATTCTACTAGTGCCAGATCATTTTCTTTAATGCTTGTGGGTTATGCAAAATCTTCTTATTTATCATCCACTGGGTATAAACCTCCCTTAATTTCATTTAATGAAAATGGTCGAGTATTTAGAAGAAATATCATTTCAGAATTCTTGAAATCCAATACTGATGAATTACCTTTATTACCAATAGAAGAGTTAACTACCTCTCAACAAATCTTAGCGGAATCCAGTGCTTTATGGGCATATACTCAGTTAAATAATCCTCAATTCATTAATAAAGAAAGTACTACTTCTTACTTAAACATTGCTGCAGAAGTAGGAACTATGGATGATTTTAAATATCGGTACAATAGTGCCACTTACCTTAATGAAGAAGGATTAGCCGGAACCAGAACTATAATTGAAGAGCCAGAAGAAACAGAGCCAGAGGCACAACCACAACCAAAAGAAATCATCAAATCTCCTATGCTTACCCAAATTGAACAGAGAAAGTCGGAAATTAAAGTGCCTCGAGTTCCTCTAACTTATCATGTAGCCCTTAAAGCCGCAGCCAAATTTAAAGATTATCAATTTGCTCAACAAGTATGGCAAGAACGAGGGAAATTCCGGAAAACTTCTAGTTTCCGAGAATTATCACGAACAGAAAAGGATAAACTGGATTTTGAATTTGCCAGTAGTATGGTATTAGCCTTAACTAAAATGAATATGTTAAATGATGCCTTGGCTATAGTACTTAGTACTGAATATCAATTTAAATGGTCATGGAGACAATTAAGTCAATTGAATGAAGCCGCTAAAGAAATTGGACTGGACGTAACTTCACAAACTCTTTATGGGATTGTTAGAAGATCGCAAATTAAGCATAATGGGAAGATGAGAAGGAAAGATTATAAGTTGTATCTTCTTAATAAGAAGGATGCCAATTCTGTAAATAATGTATATTAATAGACCCTGTATATAATTAGACATCTATTAAGAGTGTATGTACAAGATTATGTAGTATATACAAGAGAGTAACTGTACTCTGAATACTCTGTTACTCTGTTACTCTGTTACTATTAGTACTCTTTCAGTTACTTGTTACCTATGAGTCACTATACTCACCATTCCCGACTTAGTAATAACCTTCTTAACTACCCTATCACCAATATATTTGCCTAGTTGTCTCACAAGAGTCTCCTCATCGGCCTCAAGAAATGATTCTTCCACATCTAATACATCACGAACTTTCCCATCCACAATCACTTTAACACTAACGAATGGTGATTTAAACTCTTGAGCAATTGGGAACTGTTCATGGAATATAGATTGCCATGGTTGGTTAAGTACTTGACTTAATAATAATTGCCAACTCTCTTCAGCAGTGGCTGGAGCTACAGGGGCCATAGAAATTAATAATTTTCTATATGAATCAACCAATATCGGTTGACTAATTACTTCTTCTTGTTGTATAGCTTCCGTAATTCTATTAGTCATCTTCATAAGATCAGATATCACGGTATTTAATGAGAAATGAATATCAATAGCTTGATCTACATCATCCACATGACTCTGAACATCCTTCAATAAATTGAATTCAGCTTTACTAACTGCGAATGATCCCCTAACTCCATTAATTTCAATATCGGTTAAATTGATTTCTTGAGCTGCTGACTTACCCATAGTCTGTTGAAGTTCAAGTTTCTCTTCAATTAATCTACTGAGTCGTAACACCTTCTTAAGCCAACGATCTACTCCAGCTATTTGATCTTCATTCCAATTCAATACGTCTGATACTGGAGCTTGGAAAAGCATATGAGCTCTAACGGCATCGGCACCATATTTCTCTATACACTGCTGAGGATCAACTCCATTATATTTGGATTTAGACATCTTTTCATACGATACTGATGGTGTTTTACCAGTAGCAATGATTGTAGGTTCATTGGATAAATCAACTTCTTCGGGCTTTAAGAATCTCCCAGTATCCGGATCTTTAAATGTCTTACCTTGAACCATTCCTTGAGTTACTAATCTCTTTATAGGTTCATTTCTAACTTGGTTACCATCCCAAAGTCCTATATCTCCTAAGAATTTAGAGATAAATCGGGTATATAATAAATGTAATATAGCATGTTCTACTCCTCCCACATACATATCAACTGGCATTGAAGTCGAAGCAATGGATTTATTAAATGGTTCATGAGTATTCTGGGCATCTAAGTATCGAAAGAAATACCATGACGAATCAATAAATGTATCCATTGTATCAGTATCTCGTTTAGCACTATTACTACCACACGAGGGACATTTAGTATTAAGAAAATCTTGTGATTTAGCTAAGGGATTACCCTTCCCAAATTCAAATCCTTCAGTTGATGGTAATAATACAGGAAGTTGTTCATGAGGTACCGGTACAGTTCCACATGAATCACAATGAATCATGGGAATAGGTGCTCCCCAATATCTTTGTCTACTAATTAACCAATCTCTAATTCTAAATTGAATAGATTTCTTTCCTAATCCTGTTTGTTCAAGATTCTTAATTATTAATTGTCCACCTTCTTTAACAGATTTACCATGATATTGTCCAAGATTACTTATACCATTAGTTGTTAATATACTTCGATCATATAATATACCTGATTTATCAGTATATGGTATAGGAGTAGATTCATTAATAGTATCTTTAACTCCAACTACTTGAAGAACTGGTTGATTAGGATTATGTTTTATCCAGAATTCATAATCTCTTATATCATGTCCAGGACATCCCATAACTGCTCCATGACCATAAGTTCCTAATACATAAGGTGCTACATAGACTGGAATATCAAATACTTGTGATTTATTATTATTTATATCAATTGGTATAGTTACTTTAACCTCAGGTAACTTATATCCTTCTTTGGAATCAGGTTCAGCATCCTTTACTGATTGTAAGAATTCTTGTAATTTACAATCAGTCGCAATATATTGTTCAACTAATGGATGATTAATTGATATTGCTAAGAATTGTACACTAAATAAAGTATCAGGTCTTGAAGTAAATACCGTTACTAATGGGATTTCTTTATTGGTTGATGGGAATTGAATCTCAGCTCCATGAGATTCTCCAATCCAATTCCTTTGCATGGCTTTAACTTTATCTGGCCATTGATTTAAAGTTTTTAAATCGGCATTTAATTCTTTAGCATATTTAGTAATTCCAATAAACCATTGTTCTAAATGTTTCTTTTCTACTTTAGCTCCACTTCTCCATGATCTTCCTTCGGCATCAACTTGTTCATTGGCTAATACAGTTTGATCTACAGGATCCCAATTGATTTCAGCCGCTTTTCTATATGCTAATCCATTCTCATATAATAATAAAAATATTTCTTGAGTCCATTTATAATAATCTGGTGAACAAGTAGATATTTCTCTATCCCAATCAAAATCTGCTAACATAAGATTCATTTGATCTTTCATTTTAGCTATATTTGTTTCTGTCCATATAATTGGATCAATTCCATGTTCAACGGCTGCATTTTCTGCTGGTAATCCAAAGGCATCCCATCCCATTGGATGAATTACATTATAACCTTTAAGACGTTTATATCTTGCAACTACATCACTAATTGTATAAACTCTTAAATGACCTAAATGTAAGATCCCAGAAGGATAAGGAAACATAGATAATCCATAAAATTTCGGAGAATCTTTAGAAATTAAATGTTTTGTAGGATGTAATGAATTTGTAGGTGATTGATCTCGCCATATTCGAGACCATTTAATATCAAGATCTCTTAGAGAACTTATTTCTGAATAATTTCTTATACTAAAAAGTTGAGCCACCCGTCGGGTTACTCTATACGGACCTTTTACTAAACCCATAGCCCTGGTAGACCTCAGTAAATTTAGATATTCAACCTTATGTAGAACTATAGTACCATAATTTTTCACATTTTTCATGTCTATATATTGGGCCAGTGCACGACTATATAAACTGAAAAATATATATGGGGTCTTGTTCTTGTTCTTGTTACCTAATGCCTACTAATACGTATGATAATGTAAATAGACTATAGACTTCGATTTATGACACTTTGGACATTACACGTATATTCTGGTTTATGAATATTTTAGTCTATATAATCATTACTAGTTTGTAGATTCATATACACAACTGCAAAAGTTTTTGTTTTGCAGTCAACTTAAACTATTTTTCCCTAAGTTCTTGCAATGGTATCTCGTTGTTGCATTAAGGTCTTTAATGAACTAAAGAGAAGATCACATAATCCTGTAAACTTCAAAGTATCCAATTGCTTAAGAACATGTAACTTAAGATCATCATAACTAATATTAAGCCAAGTATTGTCATCATCTTCTGTAAGATTTCTTATACTTTCAATAGTTACAGGACCTTGATGACGAGCAGAAATGAATTCATTTTGATCTTCTAATTTCCAAACTATTTGCGATGAGATATATGACCATGATGGATTAAAAAATAAACTACCTATTAAATTAATAGGATTAGTATTGAATATAGGGAGAAATCGGAAATTTTGAATTAGTTGTGGATTTAATAAACATGCACGATTTGAAGAAGATGGAGCAATATCATGACTAAATCCTTTGTCTCGCCATACTAAATTAACAATATCCATAATATAACAATTTTGTAGAAGTTTATGATTTTCTGTTTTGAAGTGATAATTCTTCGTTAATGCTATATATCCACATATCTCAGAAAATGTATAGGGATCACCATAGAATAAAGCAAGGTGAACAATATTAGGAGGAATTGTAACACTAGAATCTTCAAAGAATTCATTTAAATCATTCAAAGGTATGGATTTTAAAAAGTTTACTATACTTATAACTGCTAAGCACCATTCATAACATAATGGAACTTTGGCAAGATATTGGAATAATGCTGTAACACATTCATTAACTTCATTGTAATACTTCATTTTAGCATTAAAGTGAGTATCAGGACTAGTTTGAAGGTGTCTGAAGCAATTTTGAAAATATTTTACAAACATTACAATAGATTCAAACCCTTTGGCAGTGCCTGAATTATGCTCTAGTATAGGAACTAAAACCTTGACTTTAAAATCAGATGGAAGTTCATGGGTTAGTAAGGGAAGAAATCTGATATAATCCGGAGAATCTTGAATTATCCTGGTCAACAGTGGTAATTGAATAATTCCAGGAGCAAACTGTAACAAATCCTCTAAATTATCGGAAATCTTATCTAGTGATTCATTTAAATGAATTAACCGTATAGTGTGATCTAGTTTCTTGATAATGGATGAATCGGCTTGTAATATTGTTTGTAATACGAGAAATATCATCTTATAGTTCTTTTCAGGTGATGGTTCAGTATTTACTAACATACTTCTTACATCCAAATACTTCAATGAATGGAAATGCTTAATTAGATCGTATAATGAATTGATTTGATGTACTGATACATTAAATTCATCCTTACTGTCAAAGTATATAATAGACTCTTGAGAATTACCTCTAGATCTTTTTCTACCATTAGTATCTTTACTTATTAAATCCCTTTCTGATGGATATGAGAAAGATGATGAATTCTTTAAAGACGATAAGTCTATACCCAAATCCAAGCTAGCATCCAATTGATGGAAAAGGATCAATAAACTCTTTAAGTAATCATCAGTTGGGAACCTATAATATAAGTCTACTACCAATTGTACATAAAATCTCTTTACTGGAGGTGGATTAATATTGACTTGTTTATTGAAGTAACTAGTAAATGATGGAGTATGATTAGTTAACGTGAGATATATGAAATTAGCAATATATGGTCTCAGATATTCGAATGATAGATAATTGAATAATATAGGTAACATACGATATAATTGATGATACTTATGAGAACCAAAGCTTTCAAGATTATCAACTATCCATTGAAGCAATAACAATTGTAAAGTTTGAGATATAGATTTCAGTTTCTTACTAGTCCCCAGATTAATACCTATTTGACCTAGAATACTATAGATTAATTCAATGTTTAATTCACAAGTATCATGCGGTATTAATATATGTTTAATAACATACCTCTTCTCTGATGATGATAATGATTTGCTAGGACCACTATTAAGTATAGCCTGTAAGAGATCAGATACATCATCAGCATTTAGACCATCAGCTTGATCTACTAACTGACCAAGATGACCTAATTCTTCTTTCCGCGATTCCTCATTACTCAGTCGTTCGCCATTTACAATGGCCCGCACATCCGCACTAATTCGCACTCTTAATGAGTTCATATCTTCATTGTTTATGCTCATTATTATCAACTTCTACACTCACTTGGATCATACCTTTGTTTATTTGTTTACACTAAAAATTCATTATGCGCTTCGGTCTGTTTACATATTACATATCGCATTTTACATTTTGCAGTCTTTAACTTTGTGCAACATACATAGCTAAGTTTAATGAACCTAATTACCTCAGATAGTTGACTGAAATATCCCCTTCTGACTCTTATTTAAATAAGCAGCTATATAGATCAGTCAATACATACAATTAATACATGTAATATATATATAACTTTCCAAAAAGTCAAAAACAAAAGCTTAAATATTGACTAAAATATAACTTCAGAGATTTGTTGAAAACAAAGTAAGTATTCATGTGATTGAAGATTTAGATGAATGGATGAATGGATGTGGTTGATTACGAACGTGAGATTCATGATTTTAATATCCTAAGTGAAATAAGTTAACATGTACCTATTTCTTTGGCCTTTTTGTTCTGATGTTGGATGTGTTAGTGTAATCAAATATTTCAAATTTCCGAGACCAGTGTTGTCTCTATTTCTTTAATCACATAGTTAATAAATGAATAGTAATGACTTGCTGTAGTACCTCTTGCAGTAGTTTGAAATTTGAGTTCTCACTTTTCTTGTTGGCTGCAAATCTGAGCTCTCCTCTAGAAAGACACCAAGATATTAAACACCCAATGTGTTGATTACAGCTTCTATCCAATTGATATCAATAATGGACATCAGAGATATTATATTCTTTTACAACCAATAAGGCTGTAGTTAAATAATTTTTATTCATGTTACTTAGTATAAAATATAAAGTGTTACATAAAAATAACATACATTGCTTGTACAGTTTGACAGGCAATGTGAGTTCCAATTTACATCATTATTTGATTCACATGTGTTGAACACCTATACCAACAGATTATTATCAGTCTCAAACTATAAAGTAGCAGTTGCCCATGTAGTTCTAGACACACAAACAAACAAACAAGATAGAATGAACTACAAAAGCAAGACTATAGAAAGCATATTTGTCATATCCTAAATACTCTAATATTACTGCTAGTGAAATAATTCATGCTGAGAGGACATCCAAGGCTGAGCTTTATTGTTTACCCTTCGTATTCTACTAGTGTAGTACTAATGACCCTCAAAATAAGAGGATCACTTGAAGGTTCAAACGTAGAGAACTTAACAGTACTACTTCGTTGACTACAAGGAAGGGAATAGTATAATGTAATATACTATGTATAGGATTTGTATATCAAGCTAGTCTCAAACATCCATACATCTAGCATAACCTAGACAGGGATACAAACGGTTATAGATAACAAGTTCTAGCGAATAATATTACGACAACCTCTATTTATAGATAATATTACTCTTTAATCATTAATTATTGTTTACGGTACGAACTTTATGCCAGAGTCTTGATCCTTACCTGCTTATCCATACGTAGAAAACCATCCCAATGTATTATTAGCGTTCCATTATACCTTGGGCATCAGCAAATTCTACGTAGTAGGGTGGGGACATGACTACAAAACTTCTTAAATCAAAACCATTCTTTCATCTCGTATATCACAGGTAGTAACATTTAAAATTTATATACACTAGATACCTCCGGCTTCTCTATACCATCTAACACCTCTATCGAAACTTACTACACATAAACCTTCATTTTTATCACCACCTGTACCAGAACGAATCCCTTTCTTAATAAATGTAACACCACTGGCAATACTCTTATCAAATTGTTCATCATGTTCAGTATCTTCAAGATCAGTAACTGAGATGGTGATAGTGGCTTCTCTTTCTCTTGTTTCAAGATTCCATACTCTAACACATTTATCAAATCCACAACTGGCTAAATTCTCTCCAGTTTCATCAAAACTTAATCCCATAATCCATCCACTATGAGCAAATCCACCTACTGATGTCTTAGTAGAATGTGATGGAGTAGTTAAAGTTCCAACATTTTCTCCATATTTTACATCATATAATGTAATAGATCCTGATGATTGATTATCACGAGCTACTGCTAATAATGAACCACCAGGAGAAAATTGTAAAACTCGAGGAATTGATGAAGATGATGGTTTGGATGATGTCACTACATCAGTAGAATGGAATGTATAGATTGGCTTTAAAAGTTGTAAATCATATATATAAACATCTCCATTAGTATATCCTACAGCCACTTTTTTATCAGTAGTTGGACATATAGCTAATGAATTAGGAAATGCGGATTTGTTAGCATTCAATTCCCCAAACTTTTCTAATTGTATATCAATATCAATATCTGATTCACCACATTTAATATTTAAATAGTAAACCCCTGTACTTCCACTAGCTTGAGTAATCAAAAAGTAATCTTGCTTTGATTCTGGATCTTTATAGAATCCAGGAGCCCATGATCGACTCTTGAAATAATCACAATTTATACTTGTCCAAGTTGATATATCATCATTAATGAAATAGTATAATGATACAGAACCATCAAAACATGAGAATGCTATTATCACAATCTTAGTAGCACTATCTGGTAATACATTTTCATATAATTCTACATGATGAATTCCTGTTTTATTTATAAATTTAGTCACTACATAATCCTTAGGGTTATGGGCATCTACTTGATGATTATCCCAAAATTTGGCTGTACCATCACTAGATACTGTCACAGTATATTTATGACATACTGAAACTCCTACCACATCCAGATCATGTGCCTGGCCGGCATTGGCTGTCGCTATATACTGTTTTCCCATAGTAAGTTTGAATAGCTGTTAGTGAGTACCTGATAGTGAATAGATCGTAAGGTGGATCGGTGGCTGGTTGGTGCTCGCTAAATTCCTCACTCACTCTCTAGTGAGAGTGCACTCTCCCTAAAAAAAAACTATCACCAAAGGGTTCACTAAACGTTCGCTAAGCACTCACTCACTCCCATTGATCTCAGGAACCATTACTCAATAACCAGACCTTTAGGGATTGTAAAGTTAGTGGAGCCAGAATGTCGCATACAGAGTCGTCATCATGCAATCCATTTGTCAATCAAATTCTTCAACAACTAATTTTTAAAACATTTATTCAAACCGATTATAGTGATGTTCATGTGCCACCATTAGGATTTAATAAATTAGTATGTCGAGGTAATTCTGAAATATTTACAAGTAATAGACAACTGATTAGATGTTGTACAATGAATGGGAAAAAATTTAATTATCGATTATTAGATAATTTTAAACATGATGCATTTGATATTGAATCATTAAGTATAAATTCTCTGGGATCATTATTAGCATTAATTGGTAAATGTAATATTAATATTATATCTTTACCAAATAATGTTGGAGGTAATATTTCTGCTATTATTCCAACAAAATCTTATTTTATTCGAAATATTGGAGGAGATATTCGAAAAGTTATTTGGCATACATCAGTAGCAAATGATTGTTCAATAATTATATTAAATTCTCATAATGAAATTAAATGTTATGATTTATCAATTTCTTTAGATGTTCCACAAATTAATATTAATCTTAATAAATTTGATAATTTTGAAGATGAATTAGTTACTTCAATTTCTTTAGGATCTAATTCAAATTTATTATCTTCATTAACTCTTTATATTTCAACAAATAAATCAAATATTTATGCAATTTATCCATTTATTTATACTAATGCTAATTTAGTTACTACGAAATTTCAAATTGAACGTGCATTAGAAGAAACTGTTTCATTAATTAAAACTGTTGATAATAAATTTCCTCCTACAAGTATTATTGATAATTTTGAAAGTCCATTAAAGGAAGCTGCAGTTCGACAATATAGATATTTAAAGGATCTTTTAAATCAAACTAATGGTGATACACCAATAAAAATTGAAACAAGAGGTTTATATTCATCTAATCCTCAAGAATTTCTTGTATTAGAACAAAATTTACCAAGTACATTTGAACTTTTATTACAAGGTCCATTAATTACTATTATTGGTAAAGGAATTAATGATATAATATCATTAAATCAAATTGAAGATATTTCAATCTTAGCTTCAATTAGTTATAAAGATTCAGAAAATGTTTATATAACTTATCATTCTCAATTAAGACCATTAATTATGAAATGGAAACAATTTGGTGATCTTTTAAAATCTTTACCACCTCCACAATCAAAGAATCAAAATCAAAATCAAAATCGAAAGATATCATCTTATAGTAAACCTAAAAAGGGATTTGGATTTCTTATAGAAAATTCTGAAAAGGATGATGAAATACAAAAGGATGATTCAACTGATGAATTGAAATTCTGGAGTCAAGAATTCTCATTTTTAAATATTCTTGAAGTTGATGAAATTAATTTAGAGAATGACCATCAAGATATATCATTTAAAAGTTTTGGTTATGAATTTAATAAATTTGGGATTGTATCAAATAATAAATTTATTCTTGCTGATCCCTCTAATTGGTTAGATCGAGTAAATTCCAGTAGTGAAACATTTCCGGAATTTTCTATTGATTATGCAGTTATGTCTACTTCATCTAATATTTATCTTGGATCTATATTGGTAGAAGATATAACTCAAACAACAGGAGAATATATGGTTGTATTCCGAGGTGGTCCTAGTGATAATCTTGAGATTATTCAATTAATTAATGAAGAACAAGAACAAGAGCAAGAGCAAGAGCAAGAACAAGAGCAAGAAGTATCATTAAATGACTCACAAATTAAAGATAATTCAATTAATGTTTTAAAAGCTCAACCATTTGAAGAATTAACTAGACAAGTTGATCAATTAAATGAATTTAATACTAATGTATTAGCTAAATTTATAGATTTATCATTATCTGGTAAATCAATATCAGAAGCTAATGGACAAATTCTTGAAACTGTTAATAAAATATCAACTAAAGTAATGAAACAAGTTTCATTATCAACATCTCATACAATTAAATTAAATTCTAGACTTTCAGTTCAATTAGAAGATTTAAAATCTCAAATACTTTCTTTAAGAAATTTACCTAAATTACAACAAGAAACTCTTGAACAATCAAGTGAGAAATTAACTAAATTAACTAATAATCAAATCTTATTAGAACAAAAAGCTGAAAAACTTAAAATTAAACTTGAAGATGCGGTAGAAGTCATTAAGAATAAAAAATCATTACCATTATCTGATGCTGAAAGAGGTTGGTTTAAAGAAATTAATAGTATTACTGGACAAATTAATGAAAATTCAAAAGATGGGAATAGTTTAATTACTATAGTTAATTCATTAAAGGAACAAGCTGGATCACTTTTACAAGAAATGCAAACTATTAATGAAGATGAAGGAGTATCATTTAAATTAAAACAACTTGAAACTGATCAAAAATTACAGAAATTAAAGTACTATTTGTATGAAAATGGGAAATTAATTGAAGCCATTCAGGAGAAATTAAAAAATCATCAGTAATTTGTAAATAGATCTAACTATTACTATCACTATCGCTATTATTATTGTTACTATTACTTACTATTATTATATACGTTACATTACGTTACTTTATCTATAACCTCACCGAAATGATTTAATCGATCTTCATCGGTGACTTCATCATCGTGATCATTAGTTCTTTCAAACTTTTGACCTGAAAATGGAGAAGCTCGTAATTTAAGTCCATCAAAGTATCTTCCATCAAATGAATCAATACACTTTTGACTCAGTGTATAAGATTTGAATTTAATCATAACAACAGCACTTATATCATATATGATGATCTTTGAGATATCGTGTGCTATACCTAACTTAACACATTCTTCTTTAATATCTTCTTTTATATCAGATCCAAGTAAGGGATCTTGTTGATATTCATCTACTCGAAACATATCTTCTACAACTACAACTTTTGAACCTATACTGATATCTTTAGTTGTACTAGTAGTATCTTCATCATCCCATACTGATAGTTTCTTATTTAATGCTTCTTTAGCTCTATTCAATTTTTGTTGATCCTTACTAGTTCTAGTTCTAATTTTACTTTTAGCATTCTCTTTCTTTGAACTATTGGTAGTTTCTGTAAATGTAGCTGGTTCAACTTTAATCAATTTAGAGTGGGGACGAATTGGAGTATTGTCAAGCATTTCTACAGCTAATGGAACACTTTCTTTACTATGATAAAAGATAGTAGCTTCACCTTTGAATGTATTATTTTCATCATAATACATCTTAATTCTATTCTCTCCTGTATTATAATCCTGAGAGAGGATTCCATATTTGGAGAAGATTTCATCCAATTCTTTGTTGGAGATATCATTGGGAAGATTACTAACAAATACTGCATTAGTTGATGTTTCAGATTTAGTACCTGAACTCTTAACTTCTTGTTTAAGTTTAGAGATCTCATCTTTGAGTTCCTGTAACTTCTGTTTCTTTAATAACTTTAGATCTCGTTTGTTCTTTTCTTCTTCATCTTCAGAATTCTCTTCAAGTTTATGTTTTTTACTTTCACTTTTACTTTCACTTTCTTCATTATGTCGTATTTCCCACTTCACATTCGTGAAATTATACTCATATTCAATACTGTCTTCATCTTCAAATATCCATGAATTAGTGCTTTGATCAAGAAAAATCCTCTCATCTAATTGTGTCAATAATTTAGGATTCTTAGTTACTTCTTCCGGTCGAGGTGGAGCCCCGGGTAACTTTATTACCATGACTATTAATGTTAATTTTAGTAAGCTAGTAATAGTAATAGTAATAGTTAGTAGTAGTAGTAGTGAAATATTAGGGTGGTACAATGTCGCGCATCTCCTGTTCCCCATTGGTGATGCTACGACATTTTTCCATCGACCCCGCCAACACTCACTTAAATTTGTTGTCATTTATCATTTATCATTTCATTTATTGTTTATCATTCTATTAAGTTAGTTACCTAAACTTCCACAACAAGTAATAATTCATAATGACTGAAGTGTCGAATACGATACCTTCATCAGCTGCGCCTAATGATTTTATATTAAGTTTATCACAAGAACAAATAGAACATGATCAAAGAATTGGTATAAAAGCCATTCGATTATTCTTACAAAGTAAAACTTCATATGATGTATTACCAGTTAGTTATAGATTAATTGTATTAGATACTTCATTATTAGTTAAAAAATCATTAAATATTTTATTACAAAATAATATAGTTAGTGCTCCATTATGGAATAATCAAAATTCTCGATTTGCTGGATTATTAACTTCATCAGATTTTATTAATGTTATTCAATATTATTTTCAATATCCTGAAAAATTTGAATTTGTTGATCAATTAACTTTAGATGGATTAAGAGATATTGAAAAGGCTATTGGAGTTCAACAAATTGAAACTGTTTCAATTCATCCATTTAAATCTCTTTATGAAGCATGTGTTAAAATGTTAGAATCAAGAGCTAGAAGAATTCCATTAATTGATGAAGATGAAAAGACTCATCGTGAAATTGTTGTATCAGTTTTAACTCAATATAGAATTTTAAAATTTGTGGCATTAAATTGTAAAGAAACTAAAATGTTATTAAAACCAATTAAAAATATTCAAGGTTTAGGAACTATAAAGGATATTTCAACTTGTACTATGAATACTCCAGTTATTGAAGTAATACATTTATTAGCTCATAAATCAGTTTCATCAGTTCCAATAGTTGATGATCAAGGAAAATTAATTAATGTTTATGAAGCAGTTGATATTTTAGCATTAGTTAAAGGTGGTATGTATACTGATTTAGATTTAAGTGTAGGAGATGCATTATTAAGAAGATCAGAAGATTTTGAAGGTGTTCATACATGTACTTTAAATGATAGATTAAGTACAATTATGGATACAATTAGAAAATCAAGATTACATAGATTATTTGTAGTAGATGATGAAGGTAAATTGGTATCGGTAATAACTTTGAGTGATATATTAAATTACATTTTATTTGGAGAAGATTGATTTAACTTGATTGTTTAAATCGATTTGATTTTAATTAAATCGATTTAAATAAATTTACTATATAATTATATATGAACTTATAGATAATGCCTTATTCGTAAAAAAATCTAATGAACTGGCACAAGATAACGAACTTGGTGCATGCACCATATGGATAAAATGGGAGAGATTTACGGCTCATTAACTACATGTATCTACAGGGAAACTTTAAAATTAATTACAATATTATAAGATACATCTACCTTTATAAGGTACATGCCTATCTCTATTATACACACCTCAAACCTAACGACAGACTTGGAACAGAATATCAACTAAAATCAATTTGAAATTGATGTGATTAGTAAAAACCTAGATTGAATTGAACAGTAGAAAAGATTTAGACATGTGACTTAGAAACATTATTCTCTACTGATAGTTAGTAACACGTACAATACAAACTGTACACTTTTCTCCTTGTCTCATACCTAAAAACCTACTAAATAATTGCACTCGCTAGATAGCTTGAATTCATCAAGCAATTAACTATCGGATAAACTACATTTCAGGCTCACAAAATAGTAATTATCATAAACCCAAAATATGGTTGCTATTTTTGATAGATAGTTAAACTCGTGCTCGGCACGACGGACCGCCAATGCATCTAAGTAATATGTCACAAAGGTCTAATATCCCAATTGGGTTTATCGTGAAAAAATTTTGTCGGCGATAGAGCCTGTCAAGGGCTGCGGGAAAAAGCTTACTAATTAAGTAAAGATATTGCTAGCGAGTCACAGTATCAAAATCTCTATGCCATACAAAAGTCAAAGCCTTTCGTCATAACAACAATTAATTTCTTTTATTTACCTATAAATTCTCTCACTAATTTGGCTAATAAATTAATTTAGGGTATAAGTGCGAAACCGTTATTGCTATTTGCTATTTAAATAATATCTAGTCTATGCCGTCATCGTGAAATTGATACAGATCTACTCGTACTACATTTTTTTTTCACTACTATCATACCAAAATTTTTTAATTATCAAAAGCAATAATTCCACCAACTAATGTCAAATACCAATAATAGGAATGACACGGGGGGTGTTGAAGGTACTGAAAGTACTATACGATCAGAACCTTTATCAGAATTAGAATCAGAAGCTTTTGCTATAAGAGAAACAGCCACAAGAGCTATTCAAAAGGATAATTTATCATATAGTGAAAAATTAGCTTTACCACAAATAACTTTACGAGCAACTATAGTAGGATTATTAATTGGATCAATTGTTCTTGTATCAAATTTTCAATTTGGTTTACAAACAGGTTGGGTATCAATGATGTCACTTCCAGCAGCTCTTTTAGGATTTGCTATATTTAAGATCTCACCATATTCAACAAGTTTTACTGATGTTGAAAATGTTTATATTCAAAGTGTTGCAGTAGCTGTTGGTACTGGTCCATTATGTTATGGATTAATTGGTATAGTTCCTGCTATTGAAAAATTCTTAACTCCTGAAGAATCAGGTTTAGGCCGTACATTAAAATTTTCTTTAATTGATTTAATGGTATGGTCTTTAGGCTTGGGTTTATTTGGGGTATTCTTTGCTGTACCACTTAGAAATCAAGTCATAATTAAAGAAAAATTACCATTTCCTTCAGGTAGTGCAACTGCTACTTTAATTTCAGTTATGCATGGTACTGAAATTTATAGTGATGAAGATGAAAAGAAATTAACTAAGCCATTATCATCATCATCATCATCATCACCAAAAAAGCCTTCCCTTTCGGAAGATATAGAACAATATTTGGTTGCTCAAGAACCAACCCCTCAACCCGTAGCATCTAACATTAATTCTTATTCATCAAATCTTCATGCATTATTGATAACTTTCTCTGTATCGGCAGCATACACTTTGTTATCATTCTTTTTCCCAATACTTAGAAATATTCCAATCTTTGGTAATTATTTATCAAATCAATATAAATGGAATTTTCAACCATCACCAGCTTATATTGGTCAAGGTATAATTATGGGATTACCAACAGTATCATATATGTTATTTGGAGCTATTTTAGGATGGGCAATATTAGCTCCATTAGCAAAATATCAAGGTTGGGCACCAGGAGAAATTGATGATTGGATTCATGGAGGTCAAGGATGGATTTTATGGTTAAGTTTAAGTGTTATGATTAGTGATTCAATTATTTCATTCATAATTGTAGCCATTAAATCTATTAAAAATGGTATAAAATATATTAGATCTAATAATAATGAATCTTTAGATACTCTTGAAATGGAACAATCTTTATTAACTGATGATGATAGAGATTCTAATGAAGATCCAAATAATAGTACTTATTCACCAAAGGATAGATCTGAACCAGTAGTAGTTAATGCAACAAGACTTGAACTTCAAAAGGATTATTTAGTATCCAATAAAGTTACATTCTTAGGAATAATTTTATCTTCAGTACTTTGCATAGTTTCAATTAAAATTGTATTTGGAGATATTGTACCGATTTATGCAGCAGTAGTAGCAATAATTCTTGCATTATTCTTTTCAGTTCTTGGAGTTAGAGCATTAGGTGAAACTGATTTAAATCCAGTTAGTGGAATTGGGAAATTATCTCAATTAATATTTGCATTAGTTATTCCAAAAGATCATCCATCAAAAATTCTCATTAATTTAGTAGCAGGTGGAGTTGCAGAAGCTGGAGCTCAACAAGCAGGAGATTTAATGCAAGATTTAAAAACTGGTCATTTAATTGGAGCTTCACCAAAAGCTCAATTTGTTGCACAAATTATTGGTACCCTTTATTCAGTAATTCTAAGTTCAATAATGTATCAAGTTTATAATAAAGTTTATACTATACCTAGTGATATGTTTAGAATTCCAACAGCAATTATTTGGATTGATTGTTCAAGATTAGTTACTGGTCAAGGTTTACCACCTAAAGCATTTGAATTCTGTATTATATTTGGAATAATATTTGGATTCATTTCTTTATTAAAAAATACCATTCCATCAAGTTCAAAATATCATAAATATTTAGTATATTTACCAAGTGGAGTTGCAGTAGGAATTGGAATTTATAATTCACCAAATTTTACTTTAGCTAGATTTATTGGAGGACTTATTGCTTATTGGTGGGTTAATTATAAATCAAGTAATAGAATTGGAATGATTATATTTAGTAGTGGATTAGTTCTTGGAGAAGGATTATTGAGTGTTTTCACTATGATATTAACCAGTTTAGGGGTTAGACATTTTTAAAAGTGTATTTAAATCACTTAGTCATACATTCGTTAGATAGTTATGTAATTTATAGACGTTCAAGAGATATTAAAATAGATTTAATTCTTCATAATTAGTGTCCAGTAATATCCGTAAACCTGTAGAATCTTTAAGGTACGATCTCCAACCCCATTTTCTATATGATATCATCGTAGTTGTGTCTATAGAAATTCAATCAAATTCTAAATAGAAATAAATGAAATGAAATGAAATAATCAAAAATTAATAGAATACAGAAGGAAGAAAATTCCTAAGAAGTAAAAGAATTTAGAAAGGAAAGTTTATTGTATATATATGTAAAATAAAAAAAAAGAGATTACTAACCATTTGGAAAGTAAGATAGAAATACAAATCCAGAAAATATTAGAAAACTTTCAAGTAAAAAACTTCCTTGAATCTGAAAGTCAAAACTACAATGAATGAATGTGATAATTGAATTTCATAAAAATTTAATGAGGAGCATTTCTTTCCTTATCAGTAGCAATTCTTTGATTTATCAAATACATTGCAGTTTGAATGGCTTGAAGTGAACCCGTTAAAGTTAATTTTCTAATATTTGTAAAACCTTTCCCACCACCTAACATAATAGATTGTCCCTTATCGGGTTCAATTTTAACATAAGTACAACCACTTGTTTCTCTAATATGTTTTATATTATTACCACGTTTACCAATTACTGAACCAATATTTGCATTAGCAACAAATATATCTTGATTAAATTTATCAGAATTTGGACCAATTTGAACAGGAGGATTAGTAATAATTTCTCCAACAATAGTATTACCATGTTCATCAGTATAAGGATTTTGAGGAGGAATTTGAATTGGAGGAGCAGCTTGAGGTGGAGGAATTCCATAATGTTGTTGAGGTTGAATTGCTGGTTGAAACATCATTTGAAAATTATAAGGTTGTTTCATTTGACCATAAGAAACTTGAGGTTTATTTGGTTGATTATAAGGATTTGGATCTTTTAAAGTTTGTAAATTCATTGAATTATTATTACCCATTACCATCATATTTTGAACAGGAATATTCATCATATTATTATTAACATTATTATGATGATAATTTGATGGATTATAATATAAAATTTTATTCTTTTTTAAACAATCTTGATGTTCAATAATTACTTGAGATATATAATAAATTGCAATATGAATTGCATCACCAACTCCTGTTATTGATAATACTCTATCAGTTGAATAAGGTAAAGCTTGTTCAGCAGCTTTTAATTTTGCTGCAGAATTTTCTTCAATTTCTCTAAATTTAACTCCTTGTTTACCTATAATATAACCTATCATTGGATGAGGTACTAAAATTTTTAAATTATATTGTTGACTATTTACTGATGCAGGTTCATCTTCTGGTTCTTCTAAAATTGTTCTTGTTATAAGTCCAAATGCTCTAGCAACATTTTCTGCTGGTCCCTTAACTGATATAATTCTTTCTGGTACATCTCTTAAATTTTCACTAACACTTATTCTAACATTAGCTTTATCTCTTATATGATTAATTGTTTCTCCCTTTTTACCAACAATTGTACTTGCTTCTTTAACTGGACAATACATTCTAAATTGTACATAAGTTGGATCACTTTCTTTATGATTTGATACGGGTTTTGATGATTGATTTTCATCTTTATTTTCATCTTTTACAACTTCTACTTTATTATGAGATTCAGTAGAATCATTGGATTCTTGATTAGAATTAATTTCTTCATGATTTCCTCCATTATTAATGGTTGGAGCAGTTTGAGATTTTGTTTCTTGTAAATCACTTAATTCAAGTTGTTCACTATCCAATGCCACTCGTTTATTTAATTGGTCTTGTGATGATGACTCTAAGTCATCATTCTTACGTTTTAATATGTTATTATTACTGGATGAAGACATGGTATCCCGTAACCACTTAACTACTGGTACTATAGAAATGAAAATTCATATGGTTCAATTAAGTTTTTTTTTAAAAACTTCAATTAATTTCGTTCTCACTAATGGATAGGGTCGTGTGCGTGGGCCAATATCATTAGCATAGTAATATCATTAACATTAATATAAATTATATACATTCTATACATTCTATACTTAAGATATATGTTATGTACATTCTATAGTTAAGATATATGATATATACATTCTATACATTCTATACATTCTATACTTAAAGATATATACATTAATTCAACTAATATACATTTAATATACATACGAATCATTAACCATTACTAGTTGTTGGCTTGCGCATTAAGAAGAAACTGTCTTTGTCTATCATCCTCTTTAGCTTTAAGATAATGTTCATCTCGTCTAGCTTCAACTCGTCCTAAGAAATCTTGAGTATCAAGGTATCCTGCCTTATTATGAATCTTTAATTCTTCTCCAATCTTTCTCTTATCTACAAAACTTGCCCAATCTAATCTGGATTTTTCTAAAGTAGTTAATTTTTGCTTTTTAGTCCCATAAGATTCCATAAAATTATCAATTAATGATGGTCTTTTTAATTTTATTCGTAATTCTTTTTCTTCTTCACTCTTAACAACTTTCCGTATAACATTTACAAATGATCGATTCTTTTTATTTTGTTTAGGATTAACTGTAATTGATGCTGTAGTATTTAAATATGCTTTAGCTTCAGCTGAATCTTCATCAACATATTTAGTTTCAGTAACCAATTTACCAGCAAATGCATATGAAGTTTCAATTTTAATTTTCTTAGGGGCTAAAATCCCATCATTAGTAGATTCTGGTTTATCTGATTTCTCTTCGGTTTGACTATCAATTTGATTATTGGCTGATGCTTTCCATTCTTGAACTGCATCAGTTCCATTTTTCATATCACGAAATATAGCATCAAGATCAAGTGATGTTCCAACTTCTTTAACGAGTCCTCTTTCATCGGTTTCAAACAGTCCTATATGTGTAGCTCTTTTCTTGCTTGAAGAGACTAACTTTTGACTTCTAGTTCTAATTTGACTAACACTTGACTCTATACCAGAATAGTCAGGTACAGTGGTTTTATCTTCTTCATCTTCTTCATCCTCTTCATCTCCCTCGGCTGTTACTGCTTTCAGTTCGGGATCATAATCCTCATCATCTTCTTCATTGTATCCTTCTTCTTCTTCTGCTTGCTCTTCTGCTTGTTCTTGTTCTTGTGCTACCTCTTCCTCTTCCTTTATGTCTTCACTCTTTGTCTTTTCGGAATTCATATTTTCTTGTACTACTTCATCTTCTAATTGATCTTCTATTGGTTCCGATTCCTGCTTCTTTATTTCTTCTACGGCATTTTTACTTCGTTTAGTCTTTGCGGACTTCCTGGCTTTGCTCCGAGCCATCTTTACTTCTGTGCCTTTCTATGCCAAGCTGGTACTAAATGGCCGCATATAAAAACGGCTTTCCCAACCTTTTCGGTATAGTAGCACAAACTGGCCCCATTTCCGATTTTTGTATGTGACTGCATACTACCACTGTGGGTGGAAAGGAAATTTCACTAATTTACCCCAACACTATATAAAGAGCCAGAGGTTTGCCACTAAATAGTAAATTATTATTATTGAATATTACTTAAGGTATTGTTCAATTAATTTGTTAGTTATTAAACTAGTATAGTTGTAAATATTTTTTTTTGCTTTTTTGCTAATTTGAATTAATTGCAAAAATGTCTTCCAGTACTTTCTATGCTGATTCTGAAGCTCCAATTGTGATATTATCAGCTAAGAAACATTTTGATGAATTAACTACTAATAATGCAAAATTATATGCTCATTATCTTTCAAGAGCAAGTCATTGGGGTACAAGAGCCGTTTTAAGATCAGTTTCACCTGAAAGTGAAAATATTTATGATTTAATATTAAAAATTCATAATGTATTAGGTGAACCAAAAACTAATGAAGAATATGAAGAAATTATTGGTAAAAAATTACCAAATAGTAAAATTCTTGTAACTCAATATCTTGAGTATGCATCTCAATTTTTAGGTAATCTTGGAAATTATAAATCTTTTGGTGATAAAAAATTTATTCCATTAGCTCCAGTTGAAGGTTTTGATAAATTAATTGAAATTATTAATGATGAAACAGTTTCAAGTTTATATAAAAGTGTTCGTGAAGCTATTTTCAGTATTGATAAAGGTTTATTAGGTTGGCCAGAAAATGGTCATGTATCTGGTTATTATCCTGGATCAATTGATATTACTAAATCTGAAGCAACTGATGTTAATGAAGCTTTAGCTGATAAGGGAATTATGCCAGAAAATACCAGAATTGAAAAGAAGAGTGATAAAAAATTTATTGTTCATGTAGCTAGTGCAGAAGTTGCTAATGAAACTGGTTATTATCCAAAGGATATCTTTACTACTAAAAATGGTAATGAAGTTAGTTTCCAATTTGGTGATCACAATAAAGAATTTAAAAAAATTGTAGAAAATTTAGAGGAAGCTTTAAAATATGTTGCTAATGAAACTCAAGAAACTTATATTAAATATTATATTGAATCATTTAAAACTGGTTCAATGAATGCTCATAAGAAATCTCAAATTGCTTGGGTTAAAGATTTAAAACCTGAAGTTGAATCTAATATTGGATTTATTGAAACCTATAGAGATCCTCTTGGAGTTAGAGGTGAATGGGAAGGTTTAGTTGCTATGGTAAATCATGATAGAACTGCTAAATTTTCTACTTTAGTTAATAGTGCATCAGATTTAATTGTTCATTTACCTTGGGATAAAGTATATGAAAAGGATACTTTTACTCCACCAGATTTTACTTCTTTAGAAGTTCTTACATTTGCTGGTTCAGGAGTTCCTGCAGGTATTAATATTCCAAATTATGATGATGTTAGATTAAATTATGGTTTTAAGAATGTTTCTTTAGGTAATGTACTTTCTGCTAATCCAAAGAATCCAAAGAAAGAAGAAGTTATTACTTTTGTTAATTCATCAATTCAAGAAAAATTCCGTAAATGGAGAGATGATTCATTTGAAGTTCAAGTTGGTTTACATGAATTATTAGGTCATGGAACTGGTAAATTATTACAAGAAACTTCTCCTGGAGTATTTAATTTTGATAAAGAAAAGACTCCAGTTAAGACTTGGTATAAATCTACTGATACTTGGTCTTCACTTTTTGGTACAACATCTGGATCTTTTGAAGAATGTAGAGCAGAATTAGTTGCTTTATACCTTATTCTTAAAAAACCATTAGATGTATTACCAATTTTTGGTATTAAAGATTCAATTGATCAAGCAGATGTTAAATTAATTGCTACACTTTTAATGGCAAGAGCTGGTATTTTAGGATTAGAATTTTGGGATCCAAAGGCTAAAAAATGGGGTCAACCACATATGCAAGCTAGATTTGCTATATTTAAAGTATTAAATAAAGCAGGAGTGGTTAATCTTAAATATGAAGATAAAGTTAAGTATGATGATTTAGAAATTGAAGTTGATGAAACTAAATTAGATAAAGAAGCTGTTGAAGCATTAGGAGATTTCTTACATCATTTACATGTTTATAAGAGTACTGCTAATGTTACTGAAGGTCTTGCTTATTATCTTGATAAGACTGAAGTTAGTGAAGATTATGCTAAATTCAGAGATATTGTTCTTGATAAAAAGAGACCTCGTAAACAATTGATTCAAGCCAATACTATTATAGTTAAAGATAATACTGTTGAAGTTAAGGAATATGAAGAATCCGAAGTAGGAATGATTCAAAGTTATGCTGACAGATTAGTATAGTATAGTAGTATAGTATAATAGTATAATAGTATAATAGTATAATAGTATAATAGTATAGTAGTATAGTATAGTTCACTATAATATAATAGTTAGAATTGATTAGTTTATGTCAATGTTATCTCCGGTGAATTGCCTAATGGGGCAATAGGTCATGTGACTTGTCCCGACACAACGAGTCCGGTCCCGCAGTCATTTTTCTTCCCAGCAATATTGAACTCAGTGAAGCTTCGATTTATCACAGATCGAGTAACCGAAATTCAATTTAATATTAAACTTAAACTTCTCCTACTAAACAAGGACTAGTACTAATACGGATATGTTCCCGAGATTCCTGTCTACGAGAACAATAATTAATCCTTCAAGATGGTACTTGGGTCGTATAAGGAATTTGTCATTTACGAATTTTTCAAGTATTCCCAATAATATATGGCCGAGCCCTCACCGAGTTGGATCATTAGTAAAGTATGAACAAACCAGAAAGTTTTCTAATAGTATTATGAGATTGAATAATATTCATAATCAGAATAATAATAATCATAATCATAATAAAAATGGATCTAAACCCGAAGAAATAATACCGATAAAGGCATCAGATTCTCTTAGATCACATTTAGAAATTACTAAATTAAAGAAGAAAGAAACTCGAAAAGAAGAGAAAGTTGCACAAGAAACTAATAAGAAATCCATGAAAGATAATATGCGAACGTTGGGTCGTATAATACGATTAGGTAAACCTGATATAAAATTATTTTTATATGCTCTTGGATTTATATTATTTGCTGTATTATATCCAACAACAGCAGTTAAATTAGTTGGGGCATCACTTGATGCTTATAATTCCGGTTTAAAAGATTCTGATGGTGATTTAATTATTTGGGGTTATAAATATTCAACATTATTTGCAATTATGGTACCGTTTATGCTTGTAAGTGCCGCATGCTTTTGGGCAAGAATTTGGGTATTAAAATTACTTGGAGAAAGATTAGTAGCGAGACTTCGATTTAGAGTTATGAAACATTTACTTAGACATGATTCAGCCTTTTATGATAATGAAAAACATAAAGTTGGAGATTTATTATCAAGATTATCAAGTGATGCTTATGTAGTATCTAAATCAATCACAAGTAATTTACCTGATGGTTTAAAGAATTTACTTTTTGGTATAATTAGTGCATTTATGATGTATTCAATAAATCCTTTACTTTTCTGTGTTATGTTAATGATATCTCCTCCAATAACTTTTGGATCAGTTTGGTATGGAGAAAAAATTCGTGAACTTTCAACAAAATTACAAAATGCTGCTGCTGGTTTAACAAAAGTTAGTGAAGAAACTTTAAATGCTGTTAAAGTAGTTAAAGCATTTACTGGTGAACAAAAGGAATTATCTAAATATTCTGAACAATTGAGAAGAGTAGTTAATGTATCTAAAAAAGAAGCACTTGCACAATCAAATTATCTGGTATCAATTTATGGTTTATATCATACTGGTTATTTATCATGTATTGCCTTAGGTGTTTACCTTATTTTAAATGGTAAAATGACTACTGGTGATGTTGTAGCATTCACAATGTATCTGGAATTATTTAATCTGTCACTTTATAGTTTAACAACTACTTATATGGAACTTATGAAAGGTGCTGGAGCTGGAGTTAAACTATTTGAATTAATTGATCATGAAAATGATGTTCCACCAGTTTATGGAGAAAAAGCTCCAAAAAGTATTGATAATAGTATTGAATTTAAAAACGTAGTATTTGCCTATCCTACTAGGCCTAATGGAAAGATTTTTAAAGGTTGTAATTTTAAAATTGAATCATCTTCAAGTACTTGTATAGTTGCTCCATCAGGTTGTGGTAAATCAACTATTGCATCATTATTACTTAGATCATATAATATTCAAGAAGGAGAAATTTTAATTGGAGGAAAGAATATTAATGAAATTCAAGTAAGAGAATTAAGACGAAAGATTATAGGAATTGTTCAACAAGAACCAGTATTATTATCAGGATCAATTTTAGAAAATATTGTTTATGGATTAACATCAGAAGAAATTAATGAATTGTCAATGGAAGATATTGTTGAAGTATCTAAACAAGCAAATTGTCATGATTTTATAATTAATTTCCCTGATGGTTATGATACACTTATTGGTTCAAGAGGTGCATCATTATCTGGTGGACAAAAGCAAAGAATTGCAATTGCAAGAGCATTAATTAAAAAACCCAAAATATTAATCTTAGATGAAGCAACATCAGCACTTGATTCAAAACTGGAAAGTTTAATTAATGAAACTTTAAAAGAATTAACCACTCAAGGTAAAATGACTATAATTTCAATTGCTCATAGACTTTCAACCATTTCAAAATCAGAAAATGTTGTTGTATTAGGTAAAAATGGTAAAGTTATTGAAGAAGGGAAATTTCTTTCATTATTTAGTAATCCAAATTCAGAATTATCTAAATTATTAGATGAATCAAGTTCCCAAACTGAAAATGATGAAATTGAAAATGATAAAGAAACTATTGAAGAACAAGAACATATAAATCATGAGGCAGAAATCATTGAATTAAATCAAAAATTAAGTAAATTAGATATGGTTAAAACTATGATTGATGATTTACCTTATGATATAAGACAAAAACTACTCGAAGAAGTTTCGCATCAACATATGCCACAATCAAAGGATGAAGAGGATACATTTGCTGAAGCTAAACAATTATCTTCAGATGAATTAAAGAGTTAGTTAGTTAATTAGTTAGTTAACTAACTAAAGAATTAACCAATTTACATGTACATAGATAATATACTTAATTATTTATTTATTCTAATATATATATTTATAGAAAAAAATCAATCGTATTGTATTTTTCATTAAGTTAGTGAATTGGACTGTATGAATGAATGAATCGAATTTCATATGAATGAATCATATTTCATATGAATTAACCATAATTAATCATTGTAAATCATATTTCATATGAATTAACCACTTAAAGGTCTTGGTTCACTTTGAACACCATTTTCAATCTTTATAGCTTTAACTTCAGTAAATCCTCTTCTTTCAGCAGCTGCTTTAGCTTCTGGCTTTAATGAGGCTCTAACAGTTCTGGCAGCAATAGAGAGTGCCTTATTTAAGGAGATTCCAGCTTGTTTATAGGCAGACATATTGAATTACTTCTATAGTATACTAATAATTAAATTTATTACTGGTATCACTAATAGTTGAAAATCAATTTTCGGGCTTGAAAAATAGTTGCGAGTTCGTCATTTTCATTGGATATATTTTTGGGCCTACAATTTACGCGGCAATTTGGTTGTCGCAGTAAATATAGTCATACAATATATAATATCGAAAAATTTATTAACTACCTATAAACTAGCTAACTTCATCATTCTATCATTCTATCATTCTAATTATTAGACACTAAAATTTTAAATATATATGAAGATGTACTATGACTGTTTGGCTATAAAAGTGATATTTGAGTTAAATTCCTTAGTAAGATTGGTTAATCATCATTAATCATTCTGACTTATCTTAAGGATAATATTATTGAGCTGTTTGTAATATAAAGCGAATTCAATGTTGTAGTAGAATCAATATAAACTGGTGTATGTGATTTTAGTAAATGTTAACCTAGCCTCTAATAATGGGACACATATAAGCAGTGGTTTCAATATTGTACGAGGTCGAAATCAACTATTCAAATTGGGATATACATAAACCTCGATTATCCTGATGGTATAACAATAGCGATAATAGCAAAGCCAGTATGTCTATAGAACTGTGAATTATACATCTGATGAAGAAGAATTGGAAATGTTGTTCATTCGACGGAAACCATCACATCGTATGAAAATAAGAAAAAGCAGAAAGAAAATCAGAAAACCAATAGCTTTTAAGTATTAATTATATTGAAGAATGAATAATGAATGATAAGCTAAAGCATGTTTTAAATATGGTTTTGATTATTACCTGTAAAGTATAAAATTATATCAACGACACGACAAAGAAATAGCATTAGAGTCATAAGACCAACAAAGTGGGGGAGATAATCTTTTTCAGCGTAGACTATAGAACAAGTTACAAATAATAATACAATTATAAAATCTATTCTATACGTTTTAATCAAGTTCTGTAATTGAATTAAGCGGTTAATGATATATTGGCATATATATTTCCTTATTTCCTTTAGCTTTCTTAGTAATTTCATCTCACCAGGTCGACACTGAGTAATTACTACCTCATCTCTTTTCTCATGCTTTGCTTCATAATACTCTTCCCATATAGGGACATCCTTGACTGAGTCAACTATTTCTTTTGAATTGGACATTGTTGATTGATGAGACAACAAGTATAAATTTGGCAGGGGGAAAGTATAGTAAAAAAATATGTATATGAGGAGAATATTACACAAAGGGACCGTATAACATGTGTAAAACAATTTTGCAGCTTCCTATGATATGTGCGCTACCATATTTTCCAAAATATGGCTCTTTCTATTTATATTCTTTATAGGAAGACTAGACTATTATTTTTTTAAGTATAACAAGTACAGTGTCCTATAGAATAAACAATATAGTTGAAGGTAAGTGCTAATAAATCACATCGAGTCTTCAACATATTTATTAATAAAATATAATATCTTAATATCTTTTGGCAAGAATTGTCCATAAATTACTGCAGAACTAAAGGAAAAACTGACAATTCATGTTCTTTAGAACCATACTTTTCAGGACTGAGCGACAACTATAAAATCAATCATCATAAATACTAATGAAGTATGCTCCTCGTATTAATTATCCAAATCATTGTTTTTCCCGGTTAATTGAATCCAGTGACATTCTTCCCCATCCCTATCTATCACAAATTGATATGTATAAAATGTGAAATACATAAGTTTGGGATACTTGGTAATATTTGACTTAATCCACTGGACTAAGCTCTCTATCTCTTGCCTCATCTCTTGATCAAGATCATCATTTTGATCATAAAAGAGGTCAACTGTCAATAACGTTGTCCTCTCTGCAACACTCACTTTGTTAACCCTGACAAGTTCAAGATTCGAACCCCAATGTTCCAACAATTTCTTAACAAAAATACAATTTCCTTTGCATTGAGGTAAACGAATATTATCCAGGATATCTAAGGAAAATTTTCGAAGCAGGTGGTTCGGCAATTTTCTAAATGCACAACCAACCATTGGTGCCAAAAAATGACTACCATCATTTTGAATTACGACAACTTTTATATTTGGCATTGCTTCCATTAATTTCCAGAGTCCAAATGCTCTATAAATCCCATGAGCCATTGTTATTTCAAGTTCTTTGATATTTTGTAAACAGAATAGGGAAAGAACTGAATTTAGGTAGCGCTTTTGAACCTGGATAGGTTCTAAAGACAAACATTTGGTTCCACTAAATAACCCCTTTAGTTTATTTAGCTTGCTAATTGAGCTGCACATATCAATTAATTCGACTTTCTTGAAATGGATAAATTGATTTGAGTGTCTTTCAGATTTTCTATAACTTGACAAATCCACTTGTAGGATTTGATAAGATTTTTCATGAATTTGATCCTTCGGCTCTAAGGGTTCCTTGTAATCCTTTGCTGGTAAGAAATAATTTTGACTCCTTCCGTAATTATTTGGTGATAGGTTAGGTACTATGATATGCTGAAATTTATTGTATTCCGCTTGATCTAAATTATTAACAACCGTGAAATGTGTATATCCAAATGTATTTATTTTACGATGCATTATAATTTTGCGACCAATACTATTGACTAAAGCTCGCCTATACAATCTGACTCTGCATAACTTGTAAATCCTTCTATTGACTAGGCATAACTCTAATACATCAAGTTGGTTCAAGTGATATATTATTTCAATCAATATCTCATCAGGTAAGGACTGTAAACTTGTGGGGAGTTTTGCTGATTTCAGAGATGAATTTATTACAGTAGAAACTCTTTTCCAACAAGTTAGCAATCGATCATAAATTGAACTAATCATAATCTTTTGTCTATTAATTTATATGATCTACTCTAATAATCAAGCATCAGAAAAATATATTTAAGAAGTTAGCACTGGAATTGCACTTTTTTTGCAACTTTCGCAAAATGATTCTAAGAAAGAATTACATATTCGCCCATTGAGGTACTTTTTGTTACAGACTTGTATATCTAAGCTATATATTATCTTTTAGAGTTTAACCAATTGATAAAGTCAAAGAATAGAGATGGGGTGATATTGCTCTTACTATTCAATGCCCATTTTTTTAAAGATAATGAATAAATATCTATTATTTGTTCAACTAATGATGAATCAACCAAAATTAAATTTTTTGCAATAATTATGCATGATTGATTACAAGCTAACAAATGACTCTGGTTAGAAGATTTCTTAGAATTTAAGTTATCTTGTAATTCTGTAATTATATTTAATAAGGATACTTTAAATTCTTCAATTTCTTCATTAGAAGAAAAGGCTTTAGTAAGCTCTTCTTCTGTTATTTTAGTTTTGTTAAGCTTAGTTTTAAGAATTTTATGAGCTTTCACACCGAGTTCTTTATTTAATGTTAAGTTGATTAATGTTATCAATGGTTTAACACAATATAAATTAAAAATTGAATTGGGTTTAACTTTATTAAATATCTCAATAAGATCGAGTATATTATTTTTAAAGAGAACCATAGTTTGTTTTGCTTGTACAACTTCAGCTTTTCTTTTATTTCCACTACTTATATTCGCAAGAACACTTTGACGTTCTCGAAATATTTCTGAAAGTTGTTTATCCATAGCAATCATTTGGTCATCATCCATTGAATCTGACTCATATTCTTCATCATCTGAAGAATCCAATTCATCAAATTTGACTTCTCCAGAATCTCCTGTTGGAATACCTAAAGCTTTGGCGAGTTTGATATTGGTATCTCTATCTAATTGAGTGATTCTATCTTTATTATCTACATCGGCTCCATCATTTGCACTTTCATATTCTGATTCAATTTCGTCCGAATCTGGTTCACCCTCATCCTCATCTTCTTCTTCTTCTTCTTCTTCCTCCTCTTCATCTTCCTCTTCATCATCATCATCGTCTTCTTCATCATCATCATCCTTACCTTCTTCTTCCATCTTTCCTTCCTCGTCATCATCTTCTACTATTTCCATTTCATCTTCGCCTTCAAATAACTTCTGCTGCCCCTCCTTATTTTCTTTCAGGCATAAAACATCAAACAATAACTGGAGACTACCTTCATTTAAACGTAATTTACCCGAAGCATCCTCAGAACATATAAAAAATTCCCAGACTGTGTGAGCTAGCTTTTTTAATAAGTTAGACTGTTTAGAAATAAATGATAAAATGATCTCCGTCAACACTACTGAAGTATCAACATTATCATCTATTTCGTTAGAAAATGTATTTTCATAGCACATATTAAGTTCTGCGATGATTTGTACTGCTTCATCCTCTCCCAAATATAATTGTAATAACACCATTGAGTAAAGAAGCTCAAAGCATCTTAATTGATCAATTTTACTTTCCACTTTTGTTGCCGAGTATAATTCTACAATTGTCTTTAATACATCTGTAGTTTCTTGTTTAACCACTAAAATCTCTTCGTCAAATTCAGTTAAATTCTTAAATTTCGAAGATTCCTCTAATTTAAGTAAATACTTCAAAGTAAAGTAAGCCCAAGTATTATCCAGACGCTTCAAGTTTATAACTTCTGCAAGGATAGAATTCAATTTTTCTTGACAAATATTTTTAATATGAGTTGATAATTGTTGTTTACCTGAAGATTCAAAAAAGGTTTGCTTTACCAACAACTTAATGATATCTTCAATTACCTTATTATCTTCAATAGTAGACAAATTAACTAAATTTCTTCTAACCACAACTATAAGTTTATCTAAACACCATTTGATTTTATTATCGTTGGATTTTTTAAAAGTATTATTGTCAATTTCTTCTTGATTTTCAACAGCTTCATTTAATGTTTGAATCAAATCATCTTTCAATTGTAAAAGTACTTGGTTATTTGCCTTTATTGAAAGTAAAGTATCGATTGTTTTAGATCTCGTGATTAAATCAAAATTCCAAGTACCTCCATTATTTTCATTAATAAGGCTTTTAAATATTATATTTAATTTCTCAGGATGAGCTTGAGCTTCATCAGTAATAGTTTTAAGAGCCTTTGAAGAAATTTTATGTAATAATCTATTGGATTGAGCACTTTGATTAACCAAACATCTCATGAAATTTGGAGTAAATAAGTACTGAATTGAATCAGGATTATTCAATTCTTTTATAAATTTACTGAATATTTCAAACCCCCAATATTTTCTTTCATGAGACGATTTTTCAGAATAGAAAGAATCATCAATAACAACTTTCCAAAATTCATGAATTGAAATATTATTCAGATCAATCACAGATTTATGCTGCTTTCTTTTTGAATCTTTAGATGATGATTTCTTTCTTTTCTTGGAATTTTCATTCGATACTTCTTCAATATCTTCATCTATTGAATTGAATTCTTGTAAAATTAAATCCCAAACAAAGGGAATTCTTGGACTCCAACTACCCTTTTGTTTAGGATTTTTCCCTCCTTTATTAGTTTCATTCCCTTCAGGATCGGCAACTTCTACATCTTTTAAAGCTTTTGAAAGTAATGGTAAATTACCCTTAGTAAATGGATCTCCATTTTTCCAATTAGCCTTTTCATTAACAATGTTTGCAGCCAATTTTGATCTTTTTAATTTAGGAATAGTTAAATATATGGCTACACCTTCACTTGATAAATTTAAACCTTGATCATTAGTAAGTTGTAATACAGTCATTATAACTTTTTCCTTTAATTCTTTACTTTGATTAGTTTCATCACTAAGAAATACTCTAATAAATTGAAGTAAAGTAAATATAGTAGTTTCTCTTAACCAAGATTTTAAATTAGATAATTCAATAATATAATTAATAAATTTTAAAATTGGTTCTTCGTCACAAATTGAAGAATTAAATAATACTTTAGTATTTATAAGTACTTGTAAACCAAATAATCTTCCAAAGAGTACAGATCTTTCTTCTTTCCCCTTCATAGAAGAAGCAATTTGTGTAGTATTTAATAATAAATTAAGATAATATTCAACCGTTATATCTTCATAATCTCCTTTACGTTGAATTAATTCCAGTAAAATTTCAGTAAGAGCCATCAGAAATCCAAATCTTGCACTTTGTCTTGAAGTAATAAGTCCCTTAATTAATCGATTTAAAGCATATTGCCAATCATCTTTAGTTCCTAACTCACTAAGTTCAGATACAAGAGATGTCGCAGCTTCAATTCTTTCTTGAGCAACTTCAGACCCAAGTCTATAATAGTGATCTTTCAGTATAGCCATCCTGACTTAATAACTATTTCACTAAGTCCTACCTTTCCACCTATAAAGTTGCAAATAATTTTTCAGCATCTCGGCCCATCTCGACGACTTTATTTTTTTTTTTATTTTTTTACAAGCCGACAGCGTACGCTAACTAAAGGTATGCCCAATGTACCAGCGTACGCTTACTACAATTATTGCTCAATTAAATCCATATAATTAGTGATCTAATTGAGAAGAAATATATAGCAAAATGTTGAATTTTTGCAGTCTATGTAATTATGAGTGTATATAGTTGATTAACTTGTTTATAAGTTAAAAGATGCCCGATAATCCCCGTGTCTAAGTAACCAAAAGTAGCGATAAAGAAATAAAAATAGCAAATTTGTATTTTGTGAACCATGTTGAATGAATGAATTAAGGAAAAAAAAAGAAATAAGGAATAAAAACAAGTACTAGTATCATAGGGATATCAAATCTCAAAGGATATTTGTACTTAGGCAGTATAAGCTTGCTTTGGGAATGGGAATGATGGACCAACTTCTTGAATAGATAAGGCAGCAGCCCATTGACCTTGATCAACTGATTGAGAAACAGTCTTACCTTCAACAAGTCCGGCAATAAATCCAGCAGCAAAGGCATCACCAGCACCATTGGTATCAACAACTTTATCAGTTGGTAATTCTCTAACTTTGTATTCATTGACTTCAAAGTCTTTAGTTTCAGCATTATAAGTAACAGTAACAGTTGGTTGAGTACCTTGAGTGAAAACTACAGTTCTAGCTCTTTTAGTATTAACCTTTGGTAATTTAGCAACTTCCTTAGCAATTGCAACAACATCCTTTGGATCAACATCTAAGTTATGAGATTTAGCATAAGCTTCAGCTTCAGATTCATTGGCAATAACATAATCAACATATGGTAAAGAAGCGTCTAAAGGATCTTTAAAGAATTCAGCAATGAATGGAGCAGAAAAGTTTAAAGCGAAAACTTTATTATTTTCAGCAGCATGTTTACCTAATTTAGCAATAGCTTCAGGAGATACAGTTAAATGGAAACCACCAATATAATAATGAGAAGCTCCTTCAACTAATTTCCAGTTTTCTGGTAAATCTAAATGAGAAGCTTTAAAATGATTAGCAGCAGCTAAATCAGTAACTAAAGATCTATGAGGTCCATTAATCAATGCAGCACATTTACCAGTAGCAATATCATCTTGAATTTGATATTCAGTTCTTAAACCATATTTATTATTAGCTTCAGTTAATTTTTCAGCATAAACATCTTTACCAACAGATCCAAAATAAACAACAGAATTAGCTGGTAAAATATATTGAGCACCTCTAGCAGTATTTTGAGCAGCACCACCAGCAAGTAAATTTAAACCAGATTTATTTAAAATTTCTTCATAAATTGGTAAATGCTTTTCATCAGCTAAAATAGCATCATTTTCCTTTAAATCATACTTTTTCAAGTATTCAGCATCGACATTGACTTGTAAATCCAACAATGGATTACCTAAGGCTACTAATTTGTAAGACATCTTTCTAATTGAATGGGTTACGGTTTTTCTTAACATAAAACTGAACTTTTAACACGTTTATTCGAGGCTAGTCCAAATATTTTTTTCAATTTTTCAGTGGACGAAAGTTCCGTTGGCTCGTGAAAAAAAGTGTACGCAAAGTCTCAGCCACACACTCTCGCGATAGTTAATTATTAAGGATTAGTTACTAATAAAACAATTATATATACAATAATGTATAGTCATAGTCATATGATATTTTATAAATTATCGCATAATATATAATATGAGTCGAGTAAATATATCATTAGCACATAGTGAAAGTAATGGATCTACTACTAGTTCAAGAGATCCTACTAATACATTAATTTTAACGGCAATACCCCAGACATTACTAAATGATCCTCAACCTTTAGTAACATTCTTAGCTCATGAAAATAATTTTATAATTGAATTAGTTGCATTACCTAAATTTGGTAGAATCTTAATCATATGTGAAACAAGTCAAGTTTCAACTCAAATATGGCAATTACTTAAGGAAGATATACATTATAATGATATCTCAATATCATATAGTTTACGTGATAATGATCTGAGTATTTTAAGTAATACTAAATTTCCTTCAACTTTACCAGCATATAATAATTATAATAATAATAATAATAATAATAATCAATTTTTTCATATAGGAGGAAATAATAATATGGATTATTTAGAATTACCTCTGGAAGCCGGTAGTAGACGATTTCTTATTTCTCCTCCAATCTCTCCTCATGCAGAATGGAATGATTTCGAAAGAGAGGAAGATGCTCCTAATAAAAAGGCTATACATTCTCCTAGTGAATTATCTCATTTATTATGGGAAAGATTAGGTGGATTTGATAGTTCGGTGGTGCGGAAGTATCAAGGAGATGATGAAGATAATGAACAAGAATTATATCAAGAACAAGAAAATCAGCCACCACTCAATGAAGTTATTGATTCACCTACTCAATATGATTTGAATCAAAATCCAGAAGTTTTATTTGAAGATAGAGATAGAGACGTTCCAGCAATTATTCTCGATAGTGTAAGAAATGCTGCTAGTACAGATACAACTACAGATACAAGTCAAAATCGTAATTTTAAATTACCTAAAACCACCATGCCCCCACTTTTCTAAACTCCTTAAAGTAGTTTAGTTTAAATAAAGATAATTAATTCTTGGATAATAATAGATAGTTAATGAACATTTAAGCATATATATATATATATATTTGCAGTTAAACGGCATCTGCGGCTGTGTGCAGGATTCTGAAATTTTTTTAGCAGAGAGATGAGACCTCATTTTTTAAATCGCTAATAAATATTTCACTATGTGAAAATTAACTAATAATACTAATAAAGATTATATAACAATAGAGATAATGGCTAAAACTAGATCCAAAGGGCCAGTCACCCCAAAGACTCCAACTCCAGTCAAAGCCAAGAAGAGTAAGATCACCAAATCCAGCTCTGCTGCATCATCACCATTAGTACAAAAGACTAAGAAACTTGATCTTAAGGCTAAAAAGACTAAAGAAACAACTATTGAAAAATCTAACGATGTTAATGTTAATGTTAAAGAAGAACAAAAATCTATAGTGGCTACTAAAGTTGCTGCTAAAGCAGTATCTGAATTAGCTAAATTCTTACAAAGAGAAAGTGCTAGTACAAAGGAAACTTCTAAATCTGATTTATTTGCTGAAGAAGATGATGATGAAAGTAAGAATTTATATTTACAAATAAATACTAAGAAGTTTTATTCATCTAAACCACAATTTAAACCAAAGTTAATACAGTTAAGTCATTCCATATATAATCAAGATCAATTAAAGACTTGTCTTATTATTAGAGATCAATTAGTCACAACTTCTGAACAATTAGAAACTCTTGAAAATGAAGATTTACCAACAATTAGTCAAATTTTACCATTAAAATCATTAAAGACTGAATATAAAAATTTTGAAAAACGTCGTCAATTATATTCAGAATATGATTTATTCTTAGTAGATGATGCATTATTAAATTTAATGCCAACTTTATTAGGTAAAGTTTTTTATGGTAATGGTAATAATAAAATTCCTTTACCAATTAGAGTTTCATCAACTTCTAATAATAAAGAATTTTCAGTAGTTACTATTAAAAATCAATTAGATAAATGTTTAAAAAGTACTGCTTTCTTACCACCAATGGGAGTTAATATTTCAATTAAAATTGGATCTATTACTGATACTTATACTCAAGAAGATTTAGTTGAAAATTTACAAGATGCTTTACTTGCCTTTGATAAAGAAAGTTTAAGAAGTGTACTGCTTAAAACATCAACTTCTCCATCTTTACCATTATTTTATGCTGAAAAATTATATGATGAAGATACTGATGTTATAGAAAATATTAAACAAACTAAATCAACTAAACAAGAAATTGAAGGTCCTAAATTATCTTCTTTCGAAAAGGGATTATTAGAATTAGGTGATGCCGAACAAGTTGCAAAGATTATTGGTAAGAAATTAAGTACTAAATCTACTGCTAAATCTACTCCAAAGGCTAATAAAGTTACTAAATCAACTAAGAAATCAAAGGCTTGAAATTAACTACCATCAGTGCATTCTTCTTATATTTCATTTCACCTGTTACTCCTCTCTTTATAGAAGTATTCATTTAATCTTGTACCATATATATGTCACTTAATGCATACAAAAAGCTCATTGAAATTGAAATTTGTTTTTCGCGCGTAAAGCCTTTAATATCAAAACCCGTAGAAAACCTATAGTTAACCATAATTAATTTCAATTAACATAAGTAAATTCACTACTGTAAATTAAAATGTGGATAGTAACACATGAGGGTGATCAAAATGGAGGTATGTTTTCAATTGACTTAAATTTTTTTGTTTTAGTAATAAGTTACTAACATTAATTATAGAAATACGATTCCTTGAACCCAATCGGACTTATACGCTTGGCAGATTTGAAGATGTAGACTTTTTATATCAAAGTAGTTCTGTATCAAGACATCAACTTGAATTAGTGGTTGGATCCATTAATGAAGTTAATCTTCAAGATGCGGAATTTCGTACTCCACTTTGTATAAAAGTTTTATCTCGAGCTAAATCAACTGTTAATGGTACATTATATAAATTATCTAAAGGTCAAAATGATCCTATTATATTAGATGTTACTAATGATGAAAATATTGAAATAATTCTTGCCTCAGATATCGATAAACCTCTTCAAATTAAATGGGTTGATTTTACTATTATGACTTTTACTAAAAATGTAATACAAGGACATGATATGGTTGAAAATCATTTAATTGATGATCTTATCAATTTATATAAAGATGGTATTGATATAAGAATAACAATGAGTATATCTAAAGCAACTCATTATTATAGTATAGGAGAACCTAATAGTAATTCATTCAAAATAGCTGTTGCAAAAGGTATACCAATCTTAAATAGAGATTGGATAGAAAACATACGACATAATAAACAAGATGTTCAACACTGGTTACTTCATATAGACTACGAAAAATATTTACCAGGAGGAGCTTATTTGTTACCTAATAAATCTCGAAGTTATTTATTAACTAATGTATGTGTATTTTTAATAGCAAAGGAAAAGGATAAATTTATTCATTGTATAACAGCATTAGGTGGAAAGGGGATATTATTGAAATTAGATCATTATTATAAAGAAGATATTTTGGACTTGGAATCATTGGCTCATGATATGAAATCGTTATCTAATGATTCACCATGTATTATTATGAAATTTCTGAATCATGAATCTTCATTAGCTGATAAAATCAATAATTCATTGAAAGATCTTGCTGAAAAATTCAATACCAATCTCGTTACAGAAGATACAATATGGACATCTACAAAGGTGTGTAGTTTAGATAACATCAAGTTGTTTAAAGTTGTGGATATTGATTTCCAAAACAATAAGAGGTCAGAGGATCTGCAAACAGACTCGAGGTCAAGAAAGAGAAGGAAATATGAAAAAGTTAGTAAAACACATTTTTTTGATTTTGGAACTCCATCACAAACTCAAGATATCTCTCAGCTGGTCTTGCCCACTGACACTAAAGATTCTGGTATTACACCTCAGATTGAAAGTGATGTTGCAGAAGAGAAAGAGTTGGTGGTAAAAGATACAGAACCTGCACAAGTTGATGATTCTCATGATTCTCCAAAGGAAGAAGAAGCAATTGATAAAGATGATAAAGATAATAAAGATGATAAAGGAAATGATATTAAAGATAATGATAATAAAGAAAATAATGAACCTCTAGATAAGGAAAAGAAAAGATCAGGAGATGAAGATATCAAGCAAAGACCAAAAAAAATCGGTAAGTTCATGCCTAAAGTCTCATTAGTTGATGCCATTAAATCAACTAGAGAAAAGGCTGAACAATCAATAAAAGAAGAGTTAGGAATAGTTGAAGATGGTAATGATGAAGTTACTAAAGATCTTTCTAATTTAGTCATAGTTGAAACTATAGAAATTAAATTACGAGAACGAAATCCTCCAACAGATTTTGAATCTAATGTTAAGAGAGATTATAATGGTAGAAAGAACTTTAAAAAATTTAAGAAAAATCAAAAATTAAAGTCAAATGTTACCAGATCTTTTGTGGAATTGACTTCAATTGCTGCAAATAAAGAGCTCAGCCTTAACATAACCAATCATACATTACCAGAAGATGCAGAAGAAGCTTTAGGTAAAGACTTTGATAAATATATGGAAACCGTGAAAACTATGACACCAGGGAAAACTCTACCATTTGGATTAACTGATGCTAGTGATGATGATAATGATTCATTTTCATTTCAAAGTGATAAATCACGATCTAAACCTGCACAATCTTCACTATTTGTAGATGAAGAGTCGCAATCCCAATCAGTTCCAGTAGTATCTAAAGCTAAAACTAGAACAAAAGCTAAAGCACAAGCGCCTATATATTATGACGATGATGATGATGATGATGATGACCAACCGAAATTCGGATTTAGTCGTGCCAGCTAATGTATATATATTATAAATTAATGTTACATATTTACTTATTTATTTAATCCTCATGCCACATAGTCCTAATCTCCTGAAATAAGTATTATGACTTCTGAAATAGTCCTTGTTAATATAACTAATACCTTGAAAATCTCTCTCTATACAGTTTTCATTATCTCCATAAATACAATCGACTACTTGATCATAAAAGGGAACCCGGTTAGATGCTGAACAGTTCAAATATATTTGATTATCAAATTGATGATAAGAATATAATAACCCATCACCTTTCGGTATAGTCGTTACAATATCATCTTTATGTATTACTCTGAAATATTTACGTTGGAATGAATTATGACGAGCAGGATAATTACTTCCAGTAACTAAATCTACCCAATTAACAAATTCTTTATTCCCCATTAAAGGTTGTCCCATAGTAACTAAAGTCATATTATTATAACCCAAATCTAAATAATGTAAACCAATTAATAATGCAACACTTCCACCCATTGAATGACCTAAAAGAAGTAATTCATAGTCTTCACTTGATTTTAATTCTGTTTCTAATACTTGCTGTATGTTAAGTAAAGTATGAGTATAATAATCATGAAATCCCTTATGAACTTTACATCTATCACCACATTTAGGTAGATAAATATTCTTATTAGTATATGATACCATATCCATTTTCAAATCAGCATAACTATCAAATATTGATCTTGTACCTCTTAATGAAACTATTATAGTTTTCTTTTTCTTATCAATACCTTGTAATGTTTCATTATAATAAAATATATTGGAATATGTAGTTGCTATATATCCAGTAACAGAATCATCATAAGACCATTGATGAATAAGAGTAAGATTAGGAAACCTTGATTCACAAGATAAGTCACAACTGAAGGGTTCCTTAATCTTTGATACACTAGATATACAATATGAAATATCAATTAAATGAGCATATGTGAAAAGATTGGCATATATATCTTGATCTAGTGGTTTCGGAGTTGGAGAATGACTCAACCCCACATTTATGGGATTTAAAAAGTAAAGAAATTTTGTTAATTGAAAAAATGTCAAAAGTATTTCTCCTATATAACTTAGACTCATACGTGATTTATGTGGACTATACTATTGATGGTATGACGCCAGCGCCAATAGACGTTTATAGTGTGAACTGACTGTTTACAAAGATAACTAGAAAGTCATTCCCCATTTCTATATTTTTAGCGAGACTTTGCGATGCGAAAGATCTTGTCTTACGACTAAAGAATGCAAACAGTAATAAATAAATTCTATAAACTTGTTAGAAATCCTATTATTCTGAAAACAATAATTGCTAGACATATACCACATATTAATGAGGCCACTGTTAAGCAAATTTGTATTAGTAGTTTAATGTTATTATAGGTAATTATTGTTTTGGTTGCGAAATTTTTATAATATTTAGCAATAAAACCAAATAAATTTACTAAACAAAATCCAATAAGTGTCGATGAATATGAATTTGATAATAAAATTCTAATGTAAGAAGATATCACAGTTCTATAATCAAATAGTCTATAATTAAATTTCTTTATGAATTCAAAACCTTCAATAACATAAGAGGTTACACTTTTAGTAATATCTATCATATTTTCTATTTTAAATGTAATTTCATGCAACCTGGTCCCTGTTTCATTCAATTTTCCATTAAGGGAACCTATAGTATCATTTATAAATATTTCTATTTCTATTTCTCCATTATGAAGTGCTATTTCAAGAGTTTGATTGAATGTAGTCATTAATTCAGAAAACATTCGATTGAATTCTCCAATTATTAAGTCATTTTGTAATACCAACTCATAATTGTTCTGATAAATCTTCCTTTCAAGATCGTTTTGGATCTCTTTATTTTCACTCAAGGATAAAGAAATATCTTGGGCTCTTTCGTGATTTTCTTCTAATAAATCAAATAAATTATTCAAAGTATCTATCATGTGGTATGTAAGCTTTTGAGATAGGATGGATGTGTTTTCTATATTTTCAAGTATATCGTTACTATAATTTTCTACAGAAGCAAATAAGTCCAAATAATCCTCTTTCATGTCTTTTATTTGAGATGTGAAGAAACTTATATATGTTGAAATTTCATTGAAATCTGTATTTATACCTTTGTATGTCTCCAGTATAACAGACAAAGTACTTTCTAAATTAGATTTAACTTCAACTTTGTAAACTTCAAATTCTCCTTTCATTTCCTCACGATGAATCTCATAATCTTTTACTAAATCGTTTAAAGATACCAATAGTTCATCAAATTTCTTCTTGAGCTCCAATTGTGCCTGCTCATTATATTCATTAGATACCTTATAATCTTCATAGGCTTTATAGATGATTTCAGTAATATTAGAATACAAACGTAGGATTTGATCTTTCTCATATGGAAGGGATTCTTGATAGCAAATATTTGCTATTTCTCTATAATTTCCACTATAACTAGTCCATAATTGAGGAGAAAGCTTGATATCTGACATGCATTCATCGTAGTTGATATTTAAAGGGTTACAAGATTCAGGAATTTCTACACCCGAACTTTGGAATTCACAAATTGATAAAGATATTGCCAGTTTCTTTCTTAAATTTGGGTCTAGTGAATCTATTCCTTCATTCAAACACTCGGGCAAAACATTTTGAATAGCTTCCTTAACGCAAGCATTTTTATAATTGTTTAAGAGATATTCACTGGTATAGTGTCCATGAGGAGTTAAATCAGCACTCAAACATTGGCATATAAAGCCAAAAATCCAAAAATTCATAAGCATCATTAGTAACTAGTCTAGAAAAAGTATATAATAGTATTAAACTTTCAAAAGTCAAATTACAAACTTTTAAGAGCTAAATCCCATTTATGATTAGCAGAAACTACTATGAAACCAAAGGCTGCAACATAGCTGCTTCGCTTATGTAAGCACTAAGAAAAAAAATTTAGCTCTATCGAAGATTTGAATATCTATCTTCATAGATCAATATAATAAATACATAAGAGTCTATAGTGTGTGTGAATTATTAAATGCTTTCTAGAATATCTTTTGGAAGAATTAGTCGAAGGACATACCTGGGATTTCAGTCACCTTTACTGTTTATACCGAATGAAGATAAACACATATTTGAAAGTGAAAAACTTACACCAGAACAAAATGAATCTGCTATTCCAGATAAACCAATACTAGAAAATGTTACGAAATATAGTCATGAAATAGTTAATCCTGAAGATATAGCCGATGTTTTAACTAGACCAGATGAAAATGATTTTGTAGTTACATTACTTTCTAAAGATGGTATATTTTTAGGAAATCCAAACCATAAACTCATCAACAAAGATTCATCTAAAGATAGTCATGCACCAGAATTTCATTTTTCAAATATAGCTTCTAGTTGGATTGAAGTATTTAATAAAAGTATTATTCCACTTAATGAAGTGACAGATTCATCTTCGATTTTGAAAGGTCATATCAATAAAGATTCATTTAAACAAATATCAAAGAGAAAACATGAATTTTGCAAAACTAATCCAAACTTTTACAATGCTACGACCTTGAAAGCATTTTTCAGTTCCATAAGGGCTTTTGAAAATAGTGAAAGAAACTTACTGGGTTTAGTTTCACCAACCGAGTTGCAAAAGACTGTCACATTTGAAAATACTATTTTTTACTTACTTAATGAAGACGAGGTATTAAATGATGATAAAAATTTTGCTGCTGTTCTTGAATTTTTAATGACCTATAATGAGTTTTCTTCCGTTGCTAAGTTAACATTATTCTTAGACCATCTCATTAATTACCTCAGTAAGTCTGCATCAATTGATAAAATCAAGTCATTCAGAAATTTCTTTAATGCAACATTTCCTAATCTTAATTTAATTGAAGATTTAGATGCTAAGCTGGTTGATAAATTAGCAATGTTATTATCAAAATCAGGTGAAATAAAACTTGCTCAAAAACTTTTAATATTGTTAGTAGAAAATAAACGAGTTAATCCTTCTCAGGAAACACTTGACTCATATTTGTTAGCTTATGAACAATTTGGTGAACAGTCAAAGGAGGAATTTCTTCGAAATTTCAGTTCACTCAAACCAATTTTCTTCAATCAGAAATTAAGTTCTATTTCATTTCAAATATTATTAAACAGAGCCATATATGATATAGAAGATTTTCATCACTTTATTAATTTAGTCAGTAATGCTGATAATTCTGAATCTTTATTTACTAACTTTCAAAACGATATATTTCAAAAGTTGCGTATAATTCATAATGAAAATGATTATTCAAAATCTATCAAAGCTCTCAATTATATTCAATTGATTAAAAGACTCCAGACTAAGGAATCCTTAAAGTTTAATGTCCCAACTAAGGAACTTCTTAGTCAAATATTTAAAGAGTTAGAATTAAATTCAGAACAAATTCTTGAAAATTTATGAAAACCCATGTAAATTTATATTTTGTAAATAGCTAATTAATATAAAATACAACCATGAAATATATAAAATAGTAACCTTTGTAAATAAAACCGTTAAGAAATGAAAAAAATATCCAGTTTAAGGTGAATTGTTAACAATATTAAAATGTAAAGCCAGACGTTGAGTATCTGATTCATGTCTATGATGTTCAGAATTTAATGATATTTCTTCAGGATCAACTTGATAAGAATGATGAACCCATTCACTAAGTTGACTATCATTATTATGATGAAAAAGTACTCCACTACGTAAGGCAATATCATTAGGACCTCTATTAGTATTATTATTATTATTATTTTGAGCAGTATAAAACCCATTGGTATATACATAAAACCCATCATCACTAGCATCTTCACTCCATCTACTTCCTATAACCTTTTTTCTTGTTCTCATATCATCATTTTCATATTTTTGATCATCTTCAAGAAATTTTCGTGATGATATTGATCTTTTTATAAAGCATGATAAGGTAATAATTAATGCTAAACAGATAATTGGTAATAACTGTAACCAACCTAAATAAGTTAAATTAGGTACAAACAATAATATATCAGCTAGGAAACCTAATAAATTACATAAAAATGAAGTTATAGCAATAGTAAGAATTATATTTAAATAAGGAGTAATATCTCGTAGTGGTTTTTTAACTAATTGTTCATTACCTTCACCAGTTGAAAGAAATTGACTACCAGTTATTATTGCTTGTTGTCTTGATTCTTTACTACCTACATATTTTGAAAATCTTACTGTTAATGGTATTGGATCATCAATCCATTGTAATACAGCTAAACCTAATACAAATACTAGTAATAAACTCGTAAGACTGAAAGCTACTAGATGCATGACTAATAATTTAGAAATTGTATAAGTTGCATTTGAAGGTAATTCAACTCCTCCAGGTTTAAAATCACTATCATCAGCTAACATATAGAAAGTACTATTAACTGCTGGATAACCTATTCGAGGAGCTGAACAAATTCCTGAATTTAAATCACAAATCCCCAATACTCCAAATGTATAGTTATTATAATTGGAAAAGTATAAATTTCGATCTGGGGATGTTAATGGAACGGAGATAACTGGTAAAAGTTGTACTACAACACATAAGACAATACATAGTGTTAACACTATCAATGTCTTATACATTTTGTCTCCAAATACTATCCTCTATAATGTTTTCTATAATTCGTACTCGTACTACTTAGTTAACTTCTATTTAGACTCCATGCTATGCTCCGCATTTTCTATGGTCCGAAATTTTTCTTCACTCATATAAAGTGACTTACTTGAAGCGCAGTAATACTTCTTGGCAACACTTACTTAAAGAATATATATGATTATTATAAACTTTCTCCTATTCCAAACAGATTACACACCACCCCTTTACGATGGATTTAATCAATTAATGATTTATAACTATCAATACTATTATATATTGTATAATTTGTTATTTGCAATATCACGTGATTGGAATATTCATAAATACCGATATAGGCGGCCCATAAAATTTTAAATTTTTCAGTTACTTAATTTTAAACTATCAACTATCTTAAATACCAAGGAATAACCCATTGAATGAAAATTTATTCTTTCAAGGGTGTTATTCTGATATTAATTGTTTTGGTTGCTTTTTCTATAATAAATTTGAATATTTTGAAAGTTCGGTGGAACTCAAGTTACTTTACTAGTTTCCATATTAGATCAATACTGTTTAAAACTTATCCAATTATGTCATCAGCAATTCCCTTAAATCATCCTTATCATAAAGAATTAGAGATAGCAATTTTGGCTGTTAAGCGAGCATCAAAATTGACTAAAAAATTAAGTGATTCTATCGCAATTACTCAAAAATCAGGCACACAAATTAAAGATGATAAGTCACCAGTAACAGTTGGTGATTATGCATCACAAGCAATTATTAACCATGCTATAAAATTAAATTTTCCTAATGATGAAATTGTCGGGGAAGAAGATGCCGATAGTTTAAGAGAAGAATCAGAAGAATCAAAAAATCTTAATTCTAGAATCTTACAAATAATTAATGATGTTCAAGAAGAAACAAATTCATATAATAATAAAATTGGTCAATTGAATAACTTAAATCAAATATTTGATAGTATTGATTTTGGAACTTCTCAAGGTGGTAATAAAGGTAGATTTTGGGCATTAGATCCAATTGATGGTACTAAAGGATTCTTAAGAGGTGATCAATTTGCTGTTTGTTTAGCACTTATTGAAGATGGAAAAGTGGTATTAGGAGTAATTGGATGTCCTAATTTACCTGATATTATTCTTTCAAATGAAGATATGACTGGAGAAATTGGAGGATTATTTTCTGCCGTTAAAGGTGTAGGATCATTTTATTCATCTTTATGGAATCCTGGTTATACTCCATTAGTTGAACAACAACAAATTCATATGACTAAAACAACATCTCCAGGAGAACTTAAAGTTGTTGAAGGTGTTGAAAAGGGTCATTCATCTCATTCTACTCAATCTAAGATTAAAAAAATTCTTGGATTTAATAATAATACTGTTGGTAGACAAACGATTAACTTAGATTCTCAAGTTAAATATTGTGTACTTGCAAAGGGTCAAGCTGATATATATTTACGTTTACCAGTTAGTGATAGTTATCGTGAAAAAATTTGGGATCATGCGGCAGGAAATATATTAATCTATGAAAGTGGTGGTCAAGTTGGTGATATTAAAGGAACTCCTTTAGATTTTGGAAAAGGTCGTTATTTACAATCTCAAGGTGTACTTGCAGGTAATTCTGAAATATTTCCTACTGTAGTAAATGCTGTTCAAGAGACACTTAAAGAATTAGAAAATGAATAATTATTTATCTATTAATACAAAATAACTAGTACATAAATTTAAATTTAATCTCTTACGTTAACTTTGGCTGCTCCTATCATATGGGGAGCAACTTCTTGTAACCAACTTAATTCTATAGCAGAACAAGTTCTACCGTATGCTTTGGATGTATAAACATATTCAATATATGTTATAGCATCCAATCCTCCCTTTCCAAAAAGGTTAGATGAAGGGTGAATACTAATTAATTGACCTGTAGTAAATGTTCTATATGATCTATCTGGCATTCCAATTGCTGTATTGGTGATATAACCTTTTAAGAATGCTTTTAATACGCCAGGTACATCTAATGAATTGTTAACATCTTTTCCTTCTTCTTCATCATCTTCTTCGTCTTTATTATCAGAAACATCTAATTGAGCTTTCAATATTTTTAATTGTTTATCCTTTTCTTGATATTTAAGACTATCATCTTGCTTTATGGTTGCAAACATATAATCCTTTAATTGTTGTTTTACTTTTAATACATTCTTAAATCCTTTAAAACTAAGATGTAATTCTTTACACCATTCTTTAGCTTCAGAACTATTACCTGATTGAGAAAGTTCTCGATAATAATTAAAATATTCCTTTAAGGCAATTAAATCACCATATTTTGCACCCAATGGACAAAATTCTCTTCTTTTAAAATTTATTTCATCTCTTAATTCACCATTACCTCCTACATTTAATACTAAATTATCAACTGATAAACATGATACAATATCAAGAACAGAATTTAATACTCCTGTTTCAAAAGCAGTTATTAAAACAACTGATAATTGTGGAGGTAATGGTAATACTGCCATCTTATATCCTAAGGAAGTAATTTTCCCATTATCATTTAAAGCTCCTAATGCATATAAAGTATTTAAAGCACTTAAAATTGATTCTTGTCCTGGATGTTCTAACCAAGACCAATTTAATAAATCATCAACTCCTAATTTTTTTAATGTTAAAATTGGTAATATTATATCATTTCTCATAATTTCTGATTCTTGTTGGGCAGGTAATTTAGTTTGAAATACTTTCTCCAGATATAATCTAAATACTTTACCTGGAGATTCTCTTCCTGCTCTACCAGCTCTTTGTTTAGCTGAAGCTTGAGAAATTGGAGCCGTAAGTAAAGTTGATAAACCTAATTGATGTTTCCAAACTTTAACTTTTCTTAAACCTGAATCAATAACATATTTAACTCCACTAACAGTAATAGAAGTTTCAGCAATATTTGTAGCTAATATAACTTTTCTTCTTCTTGGTGGTAATTTATCAAATATATGAGCTTGTTGAGCTGGTGATAATGCAGCATATAATGGTAAGGCAACAATTAATGGAGCTTCTTTTGGTAATTGTGGAGCAACTTGATTTAAAGCTGCTACACAATTATCAATTTCTTCTTGACCTGGTAAGAAACATAATATATCACCTTCTAATTCCGACATATTAACTTGAATTATGGTTCTAATCATAGTATCTACAATATCTTCAGATGAATCAGTTAAATAATATTGAGTTACTGGATACATTTTCCCTTCAATGAATAAGATTGGAGCATGAGCAAAGAAATTACTAAACAATTCAGCATTCAAAGTGGCTGACATGACTATAACTTTTAAATCTGGTCTTATTTGATTCACTATTAATTGTTTTAAAAACCCCATAATTAAATCCGTTAAAATTGTTCTTTCATGCGCTTCATCTAGAATAATGGTTGAATATTTTGATAATTTCCCATCCAACATGATTTCTCTTAGAAGCATACCATCGGTTAAATATTTTAATCTAGTAGATTGAGAAGTAAAATTAGAAAATCGGACTTGATAACCTACTTCTTGACCTAATTTACATCCATATTCTTCACTAACTCTTCCTGCTAATGATGCAGCTGCCACTCTACGAGGTTGTGTTACAGCAATTTGACCCTTATTGATAGGTAATAAGAATTGAGGAATTTGAGTAGATTTACCAGACCCTGTTTCACCAATGATAATTGTAATTTGATTGGATTTTACGTATCGAATTATATCATCTTTATGTTGATATACAGGTAAACCAGTTCTTACTTGTAATAATTCATTAGATTTCTTAAGAAGTTGAGTAGTAGATAATGTTTGACTAAATCTGGAAGCATAGTCATCTTCATCTTCATCTTCTTCATTTGTCTCATCCCTATACAGTACAGTCTTAGGCTTCTTCTTTCGATTATTCTTAGTAGGTCGAGGAACCAGTTCGATTTCGATCGGAGCTGGAGATGGAGATGATTTTACTTCAGGTGATTTAACCTTGACAGTAATCTCTTCATTCACTTCCTCCTCTTCCTCTTCTTCTACGGCTTCAAAAACTTCTTCTCCCAAATCATTATCATCATTATCAAACTTTATTTTCTTATTAGTTCTCGTTATATTAATGTCATGCCCATTATCTTGTGATTTAGTATCTATGCTATGATTAACTCCATCATTAACGGAATTATGATTCTTCTTTCTCTTTCTTTTCCGTTTAGAATTCGATCCAGAAGCTCCTGAAACATCTCCGGGATTGTTTGACATACTTAATATAATGCCAACGATTTTTATCGTGGTAAATGAATTGCTGCAACTTATTGGTTCCGATATTGTATAATAGAAAAATAAAAAAATTTATGATGAGGTTCACACCTGCCAAAAGGGGACACACTGGAAAAGTATGAGATCGGCCGGGCAATTTTTCAGGAGAGTAGTTAGCTACTTGTGGACAGCACTAGTAAAATATGTTGAGACATCTGGTACGTGTAGGATCCAGAAGATTGAATGGATCGTTAACTAAAGGTATATTAAATAGTAAATTTTCAAAATTTGCTAGATTTCAATCCAACACTACTGAACAACCAGAAACAGTTACTATTGTACCAGCCATTAGTAAACTTACTCCACGAGAAAGTTATGATAAAGATCTTGAAGCTTCATTAGTTAGTTTATTAAAATCTCGTCATTTAATTGAAGCTACTAGTAGTGATGATTTATTTGAATTACCTTCAACTCAAAAATTCACTCTTTATTGTGGAGCTGATCCTTCAGCTCCTTCCCTTCATTTGGGGAATTTATTACCATTAATGGTACTACTTCAATTTAATTTACGTGGTCATGATGTGGTAGGACTTGTTGGTGGTGCTACTGGAGCTGTTGGTGATCCAAGTGGTCGTACTTCTGAACGAGCTCAAATGTTAGAAAAAGATCGAGTAGATAACGTATCGAAGATTGAATCACAAATCAAAGGATTTTTAGAAAATGGGATAACTTATGCCATATCTAGAAATTTCCCATTACAACCTGGAAAAATCATTATTGAAAATAATTACAATTGGTGGAAATCTATTGGAATGTTGGACTTCTTGTCTACTTACGGAAGATATATTCGAATAAGTTCTATGTTAAGTCGTGATTCAATTCAATCTAGATTACAATCTCAAGGTGGTTTAGGATTTAATGAATTCACTTATCAAATATTACAAGCATATGATTTTTGGCATCTTCATAAGACTCATAAAGTTAATCTACAAATTGGAGGAAATGATCAATGGGGGAATATTACAGCAGGAATTGATTTAATTTCTCGATTACAAAGACAACAGTCTGAAGAAGTAGAGAATACTTCAAAAACATCAAGTTCTGCCTATGGTATGACAGTTCCATTATTGACTACACCATCTGGAGAGAAATTTGGTAAATCAGCCGGAAATGCAGTATTTATTGATAAATCCATGACATCTCCTTATCAATTATTTCAATATTTCATTAATACACCAGATGAGATGGTTTCTAAATTATTAAAAATTTTTACTTTATTACCCACAGAAATCATTGATACTGAAATAATGGTCGAACATGAACTGGATCCTGGATTACGTATAGCGCAAAGAATTTTAGCGAGAGAAGTTGTTGATCTTATTCATGGTATAGGTATGGGTGATAAAATGGCTTATATCACTAGCTTTTTATTTCCAACACCAGATCAACCATTTGATGATCACATTAGTGCCAATAAATTAATTGAAAATTTTGATAAATCTGGTATATTACTTAGAGTAAAAGCACCACCTGCAGAAGAAGAAATCAAATTAAGCACAATATTGGCAAAGGTTACTGGGAAATCCAGACGTGAAATTAAGACATTAATTAGATCTGGTGGACTTTACCTTGGTCTAGAACGTGATAAATTTGAAGATCCTGAAGATGTAGTATTATTTGATAAAGAGAATCATCTAATTGATGGTAAATTATTACTCGTTAGAATTGGGAAACAAAACTATTATGTTGTTGAATTCTATTAAACCAAAATCTTGTATATAACCAAGCATTAAGTAGTCTAGAAAAGTATGATCTTATATATTACTGAACATAAAGTATTGTACATCAGTCATATATAGTCTACTTGGTATAGCCCTGTAAATATTATTTATGTAATTCATCGGCATAGTTTTTTTGTAGTCTTCTTTTTTTTGCATCCGCTTTTATTCATACCCGGGCCTCAACTGTTTATCTACTAAATCTCGAGAAATACTAGCAACGTTTGCTGCAGAGCTTATCAGTGACTAGAGAACAGATTGTTAATCACTTGTGGAGCATCCTTTAACTTAACAAAGTTGCCATAATTTGTTAAAGTAAAAACAGTATAGGCCGGATTTGTGGAGTTAACGTTTGTGTTATTGCCGAAGCAAACAAAAACTACGCCATAATTTGCTCCAAAAATGGAAATGTCATGCTGTGCGCCTGTAATTACAGAGAAATTTTTAATTATAAATAACTGTTCACTCTTCACACTTAAGTTTATGTCAATTGTTAAACTTAATACAATCAGAAGATTAAGCACATCAAGTATAAAAAGTATGAGTAAATTCTATGAATTAAAGCCATTAGATGCTAAAAAGCAAGCATACCCATTTGAAGAATTAAAGGGTAAAGTTGTACTTATAGTTAATGTTGCCTCTAAATGTGGATTCACCCCACAATATAAGGAATTAGAAGAATTGAATAAAAAATATGCTGATAAAGATGTTCAAATTTTAGGATTCCCTTGTAATCAATTTGGTGGTCAAGAACCAGGGAATGCCGAAGAAATTGCTAGTTTTTGTACATTAAATTATGGAGTTACATTCCCAGTTTTAAATAAAATTGAAGTCAATGGTGACAATGTTGATCCAGTTTACAAGTTTTTGAAAGGTGAAAAGTCGGGATTATTAGGATTGAATAGAATTAAATGGAATTTTGAGAAATTCTTAGTTGATAAGAAAGGGAATGTAGTTGAAAGATATTCATCAATTACTAAACCTAGCTCTATTGCACCAAAGATTGATGAATTATTGGCCCAATAGGTTAGAGTTCTATCAAATTGTTTTATATTATTTAATTCGTCTATATTATGGACGATTACTAAATATATAATTGTATTAGTATAACAGTAATAATGATGGTTGTAAAGAGAAAAGTAAGCGAACTACTGTCATTACGAAACAAAGACCCCCTTAACCAATTGATATTATATAGGCTTATCTTAACCAACAGTTATTCCATTCAAATAGTTTAAGAGTCCAGAAGCGCAATTGGTATCTCAATGGGCGCACGGGTACAGATAAATTGATTCAAATTGGTTAAGGGATGAGATTCAGAAGACAATAGTACATTTTAAGAAATAAGATAAGATTTATGATCTTGAGCTTATCAAGCGCATTAGGTGATCACAACGCAATACCATTTTATTGTATGGTTAATTAAGCGTGATTAAACTGAAATTGTAGTAGTTCAGAATTGTTTCTGATAAGTAAATGATCTAGATGTAATTGATAAGAGTCGGTATTGCTAGCTACTTAATCCGGCAATTAAAAAAACAATGAAGAGGCATTAGAAAACTCTAGAAGTGTGTGAGGGTAGTGTACCGTTGCACAAAAATACCTTTGCTCCATCGAGCCGTACTGCGACACCGGCACCACAAAAGCGAAAGAAATCTCAAATCTGAATGCTCTTGTGACCTGGTGCACATTCACTTATGTCATTTATGCATTATAAGGTTTGAAGACTTGACGACCAACATAACTGTTGTCACCTTACAACAGTCCAAAGGAAAATATACCCTAGTTAAGTTTCCTTTGTTAAATCATAAAATATTGATTGCTCTATACACTGAGGCGCTCGCCGTTAAGATCCTGCCCATTGATCTCCCATCCCCCTTTTTTTTCTATAACCTTTAGTAGAAATTCTAGAAATACTGCCGTTACAACCAACAAAATAATACCGAGAAAAACAGCTCACTGAATTATATCCACAGTATTTTTATTTTTGGATCAATAGAACTCCGTAGAAGATTCTCCTATTCCTATTAGAATCTATTTTCCTTTATCCCTTAAACTATTCTTAATAACTATTATTTTGCGTATATATAAGTAACGACATAATTATCATCAGATTACATTTGAGATCTATACACCTATCTATTCTAAACTTCAACTTTACTGTACTGTGTAATTTCACGTTAGTGGATAATTTGTGCTAATACGGATAAAAGCTCTCGGTGCACAGAATTTAAAATATATTGCCCGGTAATTCCTCCGCATTTTTTACTGGGTTGAGAAAGTTGAGTCACCCCTCCCCCCACAGAGTTTCTAGTTATAGTTTAAGATTCCCTATATATCTATTGTGGTATCCATTAATTAAACTTAATTCGTTTGGAATTATTTTATTATAAATTGAAACTTATTAAGTTAAAAGAAAGAAAGAAACGTATACGAAATAGAATTCCACTCCACTGTATTTATTTGAAGACCATAGTAGTCGTAACCATTCGTACCATCTCAGATCTTAATTAAATTTAGTACAAGTCATCTAGAAATAGTTACACTTATACTATTCACTGTTCCATCCAAATTCCTTGACCTCTTCTCGGCTACCTTCTATTCCTCATTCTTTGTTTCAATCAATCAATTAGATTCTCACTGCATTTGTTTCCCCTATATATTATTAACAATCTGTATCCAAACTGTTCCAATCAAACTTTATCAATCGTACATAATTCATTCTTTTAGTTCATTCATTTAATATTCAAAATTAAAATTAAAATCAAATCCAAATTCAATCCAAAACCAGAACCAAAATCAATAACAACCACTCTGCATTCATTTTTATATTAGTTAGATTCACTCCATCTTTCCATAGATTGATCTCCATCACTTTACTTCGTCCTTTTTATCTTATTTAATTCTGCATATTTAATTAACGTATACAATGACATTTAATTCGTCTCCCTCCTCATCCAATTTAACTTATGTCGATGATATTTATCATCATTACGAAACTAATACATCACCTTTAAACAATCGTTATCAATTTATTAGACATTTACAAAATGGTTCATTTGGTAAAGTATCTTTAGCCTTAGATTTATCCACTAATCAAGAAGTTAGTCTCAAATCAATCTCAAAATCAACTAGTAACACTGTTAATGGTCCTACTGTTGAAACAGCTCTTAATGAGATTAAACTTCTTAAATCACTTAAAGATGGACCTAATATTTGTCAATTACTCGACGCTTTTGAAATCAATGATTACATTATTCTTGTTCTTGAATATTGTTCTCAAGGTGATTTATATGATTTGATTCATAAAAGATCATTGACTATGTCTGAAATTTTATCCCTTTCCAATCAATTAAGTACAACCATTAACTATTGTCATTCAATTGGTATTTATCATCGTGATATTAAACCTGAAAATATCCTTATTGATTCAAACTCCAATTTCAAACTTTGTGATTGGGGATTAGCCACTACAACTAGAATTAGTAATGAGTTTAATGTTGGTACAGAGAAGTACATGGCTCCAGAATGTTTCTTAAAGAATCCAACAACAAAAAAGTACTTTACTAAGACTTATGATTGCGTTTATAGTGATTATTGGTCAATTGGAATTACACTTTTAAGTGCAATTTTTGGTACATGCCCATTCAAATCTAATAACGCTTCTATTCAAGCCGATTCAAATTTCAAGAATTTTGTTAATTTAAATAATCCTTCAGTGTTATATGATATTTATCCATTAATGAATTCAAATTGTTTTGAAATCTTTATGAATTTATTAAAGGTTGGTAATGAAGAAGATGATTTACTTACTTTTGAAGAGAAAATCAGGAAGCGTGACTTGAAATCATTCATGAATGATTTAAATGCAAGGGCTATAAATGGATTTACTGTTGATGACGCTGATTTTGATGATGAAGTTGAAGACGAAGAGTTTGAACGTAATTCAGATGAAGCTAGTTTATTTGACATGGATCACGATGACTTACAATTCATGTCTCATGCTAGTCGTAAATCAACAATTACATCAGGTTCAGAAAAGGAAGAGGATAAAGAGTTTATTGATGGATCTGATGATGATTATGTTTTGCTTGAATATAACAAAAACACAATTCCAATTGTTCAAGCCAGAACAATGATTCCTCATGTTCATCATCATCAACATCAACATCATAGTTATTCAAAATTGCCACCATCATTGATTGAATCGTCTATTAAATCGACAAAGTCTTGGTGTGATTTTGATGATGATTATAATGAAGATGGTCATTATGATTTTAATTATGAATTGATTAATAATTTAACCATCGAGGAAGAGCTTCCTTCCACTATAATTGCTACCACACACTCTAACCAATCTAGTCTGACTGTTGATGCAGGAGTAGTTAGTACTACTCCAGCAAGAGAAGATTCCCCTACTTCAACAAATACATCAACCATGGTATCACCATTAAAGGATTCAAAACATCCAATTCGTATAGTTGAAGTTGAATTGTTATATCCAGAAGGGTGTAAAGATTGGTATGAGTGCACGTGATCATGATTTCTAATGATAATTTAATGCCCTAATGATTCACTGCTATTTAGTTTTTTATATTTTATTTTATTTACTGGAATTTTTATATTTATCGGAAGTAGTTTAACCGTTACTTCAATATACACTAGGCGTATAAACCATACTCATATATCTTGTAATATGTATTTATTGTGTCTATAGTGTGGTTGGAATTTAAGTGCGTAAGAGATGAGGATGAGGCTGAAAACAGCTTACATAATATAGGCCCTTTTTCACCTGAAATCTGCCCTGGTCTGTCATTCAATTCAGAACAATAGCCTTGTTTATAATAGTGTTATTGATCTTTGTGGTCGCATTCGAAAAATGCTGGAATTAATATAGTGTGAAATTAAATCAATGAAATAGTTATAAATATCTCGTGTCATCTCATCTCGATATTCCTGATCGAAATTTAATCAATACTTTCTGTTTAACTATCTTAATTATCTTCTTAGTATTAATAGAAGATGCACTCAACTAAAGAAGAAAGAAAAGATGATACCCAAGTGGGGATTCTTGTCCTTATAGCCATTTTTATTCCTCCATTAACTGTGTTTATGAAGAGAGGTTGTGGAGGACAATTGTTCCTTAATCTTATTTTATTATTTTTTGGTTTCATTCCTGCCATGATTCATGCTATTTATATTGCATTGGCTGACAATAAGAAAGATAAGGATGTTACTCCAGTTGCTGCTCCTGCTGGTCCGCCACCACAAGCCACAAATGCTCCTGCTCCTGCTCCAGGTACGGCACCTGTTCAACATGTTGCTGCAATTCCAGAAGCAACAACTACTCAGGCTCAACAATATGAATTTCAAGCTCAGCAAGTGGGAAATTACAAATCTGATGGTAATCCTCCAACTTATAATGATGTTAAGAATTCTTCATAAATGTAAAACTCGCCTGTATATTCATACGTAAGTATATTTGAATATAATTTCTACTGTTATTAGCAATTGGTTCATTTATATCGATTTTTATTGCTTACTCTTAACGTATGTAATATATTCTATTAAATACATGGTATTTGTGAACTCCTTATATATATAGAGTTTAATTAAACGGCCCTGTCTAATCTAAATAAAAAAAAGCCCCCAACATTAGAGAATATGCCCTATAAGCGATTTACTGAGTCTAAAGTCACCCCTATGGTTCATGTGAACCTCTGGCACAGCCTTATCCAACCAAGCATTTCGCAACATGAACCATTTCCAGACTGGGGCCTTGCACACGATTACGTAATCGGAGGTCAAAGTACGAAATGGTTCCAATATACTTCCACTAAATAGGATGAAACAATATAAGTACTGGTATAATTCCAATTGAATGCAAGTATATTACAGCAATATTGAACCCACTCAAATTAAAAATGTCTTATCACGGTCATAGTAAAAAAGGTTTACTCATTCTCACTATCTTAGTCTCACCAATAACTGTATATTATATACGTGGGATTGGACGCAGTTTATTAATTAATATAATTTTATACTGCTGGTGTTGGTTTCCTGGGGTGGTTCATGGTCTTTTTATCTTATATTCCGATAGTAATTATACTTCAACATCAAGAAGTTACAGCCAAGCTTACACTTCCTCTGGATATGGTAACAATAATTCTCCTAGACAAGTTCCTCCTATTCCTTCAACTCAGGCATATGAACCTAAACCACCTCCAACATATTCACCGAATGAAACAAATACTGACACTAAGAAATAAAGCGGGGCAGAGCGATAGCGCATGAATCATTTTGCCGCATTAAAGTTGTTGCAAAATTAGATATCGTCGATAAATAATCTCGTCGAACACCGGGCCTTTTCGCGATCAAAGAAATTAGCGAACTCAATTTTATGTATGCTGAACCGGAGGAATGATGGCACAAAAATGGGTTCTTTGGTCCTATGATAGGCAAGTTGGTAGCACATACATGCGTATGAACATATAGTTTAGGAGCGTAGAAGAATAAAGAAAGAAGAGTGAGTGAATATAATGGTAGAGATAATTTAGTGTTGTAGTTTTACCCATTTTTGATAACTATTCATAGTATATAACTTTTATAATATAGGATTGTCACAAGAAAAGGAGTAATATCTCGATTGCTGCAAAAGTATCTTCATATACTGATCTTAATTATGTCACTGCTGACGTTGACTATTGACTTCATTGGATCACTGCCGCTAGTCCGTCATATGACTCAGTCTTCTTTTTTTTTTGGCTTGACCCCAGAGATGATATGGAAAGTGCGAAAGCGGACCTGTGACCGGAACTTCAGGACACGACTTTCTCATAATTAAAAAGTTACTCATACGGAGAAATGAACACAAAATGAATTATTCGTCGAATTTTTCACTTTTCAATGAGTGAGGAGTTGAACAATTCGGGGGTTATACAAGTTCAAAGTTTAGTATATAATTAGGTGTATTTTTCATTATTAGAAATTTTTTCACTTAATTTATAAAGATTTCTTTTAAGGATTATTAACATTCATTGAATAAACTTTAATTCAAATTAATTAGAAGATATATTAGTATAATTACAATGTCTTTCAGAAACGCTTCTATTCGTATGGCTAAGATTGCCTCATCTCGTGGTGCTAAACAAGTTGCTGCTAAGAGAGCTCTTTCTGTTTTAGCTACTCAAGCTTCTAGACCAATGGTTGCTGCTTCCAAACAATCTATGACTCCAATGGCTGTTCGTGGTGTTAAAACCATTAATTTCGGTGGTACTGAAGAAGTTGTTCATGAACGTTCTGACTGGCCAAGAGAAAGATTATTAGAATACTTCAAAAATGATACTTTAGCTTTAATTGGTTATGGTTCTCAAGGTTACGGTCAAGGTTTAAACTTGAGAGACAATGGTTTAAATGTTATCATTGGTGTTAGAAAGAATGGTGCCTCTTGGAAAGCTGCTATTGAAGATGGTTGGGTTCCAGGTGAAAATTTATTTGATGTTACTGAAGCCATTGAAAAGGGTACTTATATCATGAATTTATTATCTGATGCTGCTCAATCTGAAACTTGGAACACTATTAAACCTTTAATTACTAAAGGTAAGACTTTATACTTTTCCCATGGTTTCTCTCCAGTTTTCAAGGAATTAACTCATGTTGAACCACCAAAGGATGTTGATGTTATTTTAGCTGCTCCAAAGGGTTCCGGTAGAACTGTCAGATCTTTATTCAAAGAAGGTAGAGGTATTAACTCTTCTTATGCTGTCTGGAATGATGTCACTGGTAAGGCTGAAGAAAAAGCTATTGCTTTAGCTGTTGCCATTGGTTCTGGTTACGTTTACCAAACTACTTTTGAAAGAGAAGTTAACTCTGATTTATATGGTGAAAGAGGTTGTTTAATGGGTGGTATTCACGGTATGTTCTTAGCTCAATATGAAGTTTTAAGAGAAAACGGACATACTCCATCTGAAGCTTTCAATGAAACTGTTGAAGAAGCTACTCAATCTTTATATCCATTAATTGGTAAATATGGTATGGATTACATGTACGATGCTTGTTCCACTACTGCTAGAAGAGGTGCTTTAGATTGGTACCCAAGATTTAAAGATGCTTTAAAACCTGTCTTTGTTGACTTATATGAATCTGTTAAGAATGGTTCTGAAACTAAGAGATCTTTAGAATTCAACTCTCAAGTTGATTACAGAGAAAGATTAGAAGAAGAATTAGAAGTTATTAGAAACATGGAAATCTGGAGAGTTGGTAAGGAAGTTAGAAAATTACGTCCTGAAAACCAATAGATGGGTTGATCTTCATTATTTAAAAAAACACAAACAATATATCACATATACTTCATAATGGTCTTTCTTGAATGACTTAATGATTTTATCACTCTAATCACTTCAATTCTTTACAATCTTTTTTATTTATTATTTTTACGCTTTTTCGTGTTTTTTTATTATGGGTCTGCTTTTGGTTAATTAAAACAAATAACTTATAAATATTGCATATATATGAACTTACTGTTTGTTGAATAAACATTGTTCTGCCGTTAAAATATTATTATTCTTATAATGTAGGTGTTGTTTTTGTCTTGTGCCTTTAAGAATTTGACAGACAATTTGGCTGACAATTTGTCTAACAATTCCCAAATAGGAAAGGCTGTAAAAAAGAGCGATCCAGATTACCACAATTTTCCTATTTATTTAATCCCCCCCTTAGTTATAACTCTAACTTAATTGTGTATCTAATTCGTAACTATACTTAGAACTATAGCTGTTATGACTGTCGGGAAGAATAAAACAAGAAAGTGGAAAACTAAAAAGGGAGGTAGTAGAAATAGACCCTTTGATAAAAAGGATTGGTTTGGGATTAAAGCTCCTGAAGTATTAGGAGGGGCAATTTTTGGTAGTACACCAGCTAATAGAGGTCATGAAACTGTTAAACAATTAAAGGGAAGAGTTATTGAAGTTAATCTTAATGATTTGATGTCTCAATATCAATCATATAAGAAATTTAAATTAATTATTAATGGAATTAATGGTAAAACTTGTTTAACATCATTTTATGGTATGGAACTTACAAGAGATAAATTAAATTCATTAACTGTTAGAGGTCAATCATTTATTGAAGCAAATTTATCTGTTAAAACAATTGATGATATTTCAATTAGAATATTTGTTTGTACATCACCTAGAAATGTAGTAGTTGGACGTAAAGGTAAACATGCTCAAACATCACAAATTAAACTTATGAGAAATAAGATATTAGAAATAATTAAAGATCATGTAACTCTGTCAACTCTTGATGAATTAGTTAGAGATCTTATGCTTGATACTATAATTAAACAAATTGAAAAGAGTTCAGAAAGAATTTTACCATTATATCATACCCATATTAGAAAAGTTAAATTAATTAAAGGTTTAACAGTTACTGCTAATTTTCAACGTCAAATTAATCACTTTTCAAATATTGAAGATATTGGTGAACCTATTCAATTTAATGAAGGTTTAAATTAATTAAGCTATTCTCGTTTATTTTTGCTACCCGTCGTTCCTCTATCAATGTTGCAATTTCATCATTTCGCATCTTCGCTATTTAAAGGTATATCTATTTTAACATCTATTTATTTATTCATTTATTATACTACTTGATTTGTATACAAAGTACTTATATACAATAACGTATTTGTATACAATTCATATTTGCATATCTGCACATGATTGCCATTATTTGCTGCTAATTTTAAAAAAGTTGAATTGTCACTACGCTTTGTTCCCATTGCCTTTTTCGTATAGCCATTTTGCGAGCATTAATCATTTAGGTAGTTCGAAATTGAGAAATCATAATTAATCAATTATTCTGGAAATATCACTAATAAGTTGATGAATATTTGATTATTTTTTTTATATATTATTGTGATTATCATTATAATTATCATTAGTTTATAACTTTATCAACTATATAGTTTCCCATAATGAGTTCAGGAGTAATAGATGATGAGGAAGATCCATGGTCATACTCATTTCCTGCTTCTAATGATTCATTACCAATAAATAGTTCAAATGAAGTTAATAAAGAAGAAACTGAAAGAAATACTAGTAGTACAAATAGTAGTAATAATTCCAATAAATTAAATAACAGATTATCAGTAGAGAGTAATGGATCAAATTTATATCTTGGAGTTATCAATAATGATAAGAAAATTGATAGTACAATGGATTCAGAATCTCAATTATCATCTAATTCTTCTTTAGAGAAGGCATCAATGGAATTAAGACATAGAAAATTACATATAGTAACTCCAACTTCAAAGGCTTCAAGATCATCATTATCATTACAATCTCCATTTATTCAAAAATCAACTCCGGCTGATCCTAAAACGACAAAGCATGATGCAAATTCAATTATTTCAAAAGATTCAAGTGGTAATGGATTATTTCAAGAATCTATTAGACCAGAAGAATATTTAAGTCCTACTAAATCTGGATTTCTTGGAAATTTACAAGGATTACTGAATTTACCATCTGATTCAACAGTTAATGAACCAAAGGATAATTTAATTTCTTCACCAAAAAGTATTAATGATATTGGATCTCCAAGAGATTCACCAAAGATAATTGCTTATAGAAAATCAAGACGAACAATAAGTGAAGGCAATTATTTACCATCAATTGATACACCAGATAATGTACCAATTGAAAAATTTGATTCAAGATTATATGTTGATGAATTTTTTGCTGATAGTAATTATAGATATGCAGCATTAAAGAGAAATATTGATTTTCATCAACTTTTTAGATCAATTGATTTAACTGATAGATTACTTGAAGATTTTGCTTGTGCATTAAGTCGAGAAATTTTACTTCAAGGTAGAATTTATATTAGTGAAAATTATATATGTTTTAATTCCAATTTATTAGGTTGGGTTACTAGTTTAATTATTCCTATGAATGATATAATTGGATTTGAAAAGAAACATACTGCTGGATTATTTCCTAATGGAATTGCTATAGAAACCAATGAAATTAAACATACTTTTGCAAGTTTTTTATCAAGAGATATGACATTTGATTTTATAGTAAAAGTTTGGGAAGAAAGTACGGGAAGAAAATTAGAATCATCAGAAACTGCCAGTAGTAAGAATGAAAAAATTGATAATCAAAATAATGATAATATAATTAATTCTTCAAATATACCTAATTTAGATATTAATGATCAAAAATGTTTACCAGAAGAATCACCTCGAATTCATAATTATATTATGTCAATTGATGAAAATGAAGCAGAAGAATATTCTGAAGATGAAGATTCTCAAGATGAAGATTCTCAAGAAGAATTTACAGAATATATATCTTCACCAATTGTAGGTACAAGTGAAAATGGTGGATATATTGATCAACATAAAATTACTTCAAAAATATTAAAATTTAAACCTGATTCAAAATATAAAAATTTAGGTCCTGATACTCATTCTCCCACCCAAGTTGGAGATTCATTTACTCCAGAAGATAATGAAATTGAACTTTGTGAAGAAATTATAGATGCTCCATTAGGAATTATATTTGATATAACATTTGGTGAAACTAATACTTCATTTCATCGAAATTTTATAGAAACTCATGATGGTTCAGAACTTTCTGAATATAGTATATTTCAACCTCTGGAAGATGATCCTACTAAATCAGAAAGATCTTATACATATAGAAGAGCTTTAGGATATTCAATTGGACCAAAATCTACTAAATGTGAAGTAACTGAAGTTATTGAACATTTAAATTTTGCTGATTATATTAATATTGTAACAACCACATCGACTCCTGATGTACCCCTGGGGAATTCATTTACAGTAAAGACACGATATTTATTTACTTGGGCAGAAGATAATAAAACTAAATTAAACATGTCATTTTTTATTAAATGGACAGGAACTTCATGGATTAAAGGAGTTATTGAAAAACAATCTTTAGCAGGACAAAAAGCTGTTATTAAAGATTATATTGATGGATTAAAGAAAGAAATTAATCAATGTACAATATTAACTGAAGGTATAATAACTCCTCCTATACCTATTAATGAAGAAATTCGTCCAATTATTTCAACACCAAAAGTTAAGAAAGTTAAAATTAGTAAAGAAAATGTTAATGTTTCAAGTGGAGGAAGTGTTGGATTTATTAAAAATAATCTTATTTATGTTCTTTATTTAATCTTATCATTTTTTGTTTTGTTATTAATTATTCAATTAAGATTATTTAAAGTTGTTAATGAATCTAATGAACTTATTAAGAGTCAAGTATTAATAAATACTCATTTATTATATGCAATACAAGCCATAACACCTTCACAAGCTGATGAAATAATTTATAAATCTAATGATGAAGATCAATTATGGAAATGGGTAGATAAAACATATGGAAAGAAATTAAGTCCAGTTGAAAAAGTGAAATTTTTAACTTATCAATTACAAAATATATATCAAGATGAAGAATCTGATATTACAAATAAACATAAAAACAATAAAAAGATAACCTTTAATGATATAAAAAAGCTGGTTAAAAATTTCAACTATCAAGATTATTTGAATGTTGATGATATTAAAGAAAAGTTACTATAATGAATTTACGAAATCATGATGGTTAATATAAATATAAATATATACATATATACATTAGTTAATTAATTAGGTTGGTATTATTTTGCTTTTGCTATTTACAGGAAATTTTATATACGATATTCAAATTAACAAACTCTTAATTCTCCATCAACTCCTTCAGTTTCTGTACGTTCAATTATATCGACATTTTCAATAGTATGAACAATGATTTTATCATTTTGATCATTTAATTCAAATATGAATATACCAGTAATTACTCTTTCTAGTCGATTATTAACTTTAGTTAACCCTATTAAAGCTGTAGGTAATTGAGATAAAGCCTTAGATATTGAAGGTAAATTTTTTGATAGGCTGCCAGAGCCAACATCTACAGGTTCATTATTATTATTATTATTATTATTATTATTATTATTATTATTATTATTATTATTATTATGATCATCTAATATCTTCATAGTATCCAATTTAGACCATTTATGAGATCCTAATTTTGCATCTGAAGTAGAATGATAAGCTTCATCAGAAGATAAATGTTCACAACCTTCAGCACATGTTGTCCATCTTACATGAATTTTCATTGCTTGAGGATTAATAGTTAATGCATCATTTCCATCATAAATTCTTATAGATTGAATATGAAGTTTAACTTTTGGACTTAATACTAATGATGTAAGAATTAATTGAAGTGCTTTACAAGTTGCATAATAAGTTGTTTGACCCTTTAATGCTGGTAAATAATCTTCATTAAAATGAGTTGGACATATTCTAAGCAGAATATCATTTGAAATTAATGATTTAGGTAAAGATGAATGAAGAATATTTGGAATTAGTTCCTTTAATTGATCAATAACTGAACCTAAATTTGCCTTCTTCTTTTGATTATCTTTATCAGGTTGATTAATTTCACTATTATTATTATTATTATTATTATTATTATTAATTAAATTTTGTTTATGAATAGGTGGAGGACTACTATTCCATTGTGTTATACATTTTTCATACTTAATTAAATCATAATTATCAATATAAGTTATTATTGGATAATTTATAATTGGAATACTTGAATTACTTTTTAATGGTATAATTGGAGATCGTGGTATACATCTATTGGGTAAAATATTTACATGAGATGTTGGACCATACCCTGAAATTCCAATATACCGAGTATGACGTAAGCTACTCTCTCGTATTACTAATGACATAAACTTTTAACTATGGTTATTATTGTTATTAGTGTTTAGGAAGTACTAACTATGATGGGTATGGGTTTAACTTTACTGTGGGTTGATGGGGAAGGCTATATGCACACCATAGTTAATGCATACTAAATTACTACACAATACTATACAATACTATACTATATTACATACTGTATGTCGTACACACTAAACAATTTTCACTACCTGGTATTTGAATTAAGTCAACATTATATCTGAACAACTTGGTAAACCAGCAGAGTTACGGATTCACTTAGTCAATTGTTAAAGACTGCATCAAATACTCCTTGCCAAGGCAAATAGGTCGTGTACATGACACTGTATATGACTTATATGACTTAATATATATGACTTACTATATATGACTTACTATATATGACTTAATACAGTATTACATATACATTGTATATATTATATCTTATATATTATATGAATACTACTGAAGAATTACAAGGTTTCATAGAGAAGTTCTTTAAGTTTATACTCTTCATTAGCTTCAATAATTTCTTCCCAATTACCAATATATTCATCATCTCTAACAACTCCTGGTAAAGTCTTACCATTAGATTGCCTCTTCCATATCTTTTTAGCTTCTTCATCAGTTCCTAAATCACGATATTCAAAATTAATTCCATTGGCTCGTAGTATGACAGTTAATCGATTAGTTCTGGTCATAACTTGCATACCACCAGCTAAAGATGTAAAGATATAAATTGGAAGTGATTCTAAATGTTTTCTAATTTCTTCAGGTGAAACATCTAAATCTTCAAGATCTTCAGTATTAGTCGCGACAACAGGTTCCTTTTCTGTGGAAGATTCAGATTTATCTTCATTAATGCTGAGTCCCTTAACTGAAACTGGTTCTTCTACTGCTTCTTCCTTTTCAACAGGCTCGTCCTTTTCAACAGGCTCGTCCTTTTCAACTGATTCTTCTTCTTTTGTTTCTGGTTCTTCAATCAACTCCTTAGACTCTACTTCTGATTCCTTAGTTTCAGCTTCTTCTGGCTCCTTGGTTTCATCTTCTTCTGTCTCCTTGGACTCAGCTTCTTCTGGCTGCTCCTTGGTTTCAGCTTCTACGGATTCCTCAGTTTCAGCTTCTTTACTTTCAACTTCTTCTGGTTCCTTTTCTTCTGGTTCCTTTTCTTCTGGTTCCTTTTCTTCTGGTTCCTTTGTTTCCTCTTCCTTAGCCTCAGTTACTTCTGGTACTTCCTCAGAAGCTTTCTCATCTTCTTTTTTTGGATGTAAGACATTTTCAACAATACTATCCAAATCTCCAATAGTAGAATAAGGATCATCATTAACTAAAGCTCCTTCTCTAACAAGTTCTTCCGTGTTAGCATCATTCTTTTCATTTTCATGAGAATGATCTACAGCTCTACTTCTTGATCTTGAGATTGATCTTAAATAATTAGTAGAAGAAATTGATCTAGTTGCAACCATATTAGCACTTGGAGCAACAGATTCAGATACAGGACTATCTACATTAAAATTAGTATAATCTCCTGTAGTAACTAAAGAAGGATCTTTAGGTAATTGAGCTAAAGCTTCAGCTTGAGCTTCTGCTTTAGCAACAGATTCACCCATGGTAGGCTTAAAGGCTCTACCTCTTCTATCATCAGTTCCTTCTTCTTCTTGAGTTGTAAAATCAGGAGGTAATTCATATTTAGAAGGTTCTTCTAAATGAGTACTCTTATAAGAATCACCTCTAGCTAAATGAGGTCTATTTGAATTTCTTGATACTGATCTTTCAGTAGTAGCAGCAGATCTTGATCTTGATCTTGATCTATCAGTATGGAAATATGGGGTATGAATTCCACCTTGTGGAGCATTACCATGATCAATTAATGAAGCTCTAATTGGTGATACACCTGATTTTCTTGGAGAATCTGTTCTTCTAAAGGCTTCATTAGAAAGGGCTCCAGTTACTCCAAGATTTGAAGATTTTGGTAATCTTTGAGGATCATAAGATTGAACATTGGCTAATAAAGAATTATGATCTTTAATATCATTATCTAATTGATATTGTGATAAATTTGGAGTAGAATAATCATCACCTTGTTGATAAAAACTTGAAGATGAATTATCTCCAGTTGTAGTTGAATCGATAGGTTTTTCAATTGATTTTCCAGTTTTAATTTCTTCATCCTTTGGTAACTCTTTTAATTTTGATTCTGATTCTGATTCTTCAGTGGTTGGTTTAGTAACAATTTCTGAATCTTCTGGTTTTTCATCTTCTTCTTGAACTGGCTCTTCTGATGGTTCATATTTAACATCTCCCTTAATAGTACCATCTTGATCTAAAAATTTATCAAAATCTTCTTCTGAACCTAAAAGGGCACCTTCATTAATTAATTCATCTAATGAAGCTGAAATATTTTGATTTAAAACAGATGATGATTTTTTTGAAGTTTTGGTTCCAACAGGTGAATGATCTTTGGATGAAGAGTATCTTTCAGGATGAATATAATTATGATGAGGTGAATCATCAGCTGATCTAATTGAAGATCCAACTAAGGCTGGAGATTCCAACTTATCTAATTTATCTAATTGTTCTTCGAAATCCATAATTACGAGTAGAACTTAATGTGGGTTCTTTTTTTTGTTGATTTTTTTGACTGAATCTGTATAACACGTTAATCAACTACTGGGGTCGATTAAGTGGTGGTGTTGTTGCAGTTCGTTGTCGTTGTCAAATTGTTCAGTGATCGGTCCTCCTGCCCGCTCAGTTAATAATTTCGGGCGGTACTAGATTTGGTTTTGTGGAGGTAATTAATTTATTTGAGTAACTGATTGCGATCACATGATTGTTAGTGAATGTGTTTTGGGGTAGTTGTGTAAAGAGATAGATAGAGTTTATTAGAGAGTGTGAATAAGTGTGGGTATATGTGTATAGTATGTTAGTTACAAGATGTTACAATTGGTTACTTTGTACTGTAATTGCGTATACTTTGTAGTTGTATTCCTTGACTATTTCTGGGGAAGTAGTAGTGTCGCAGATAAGATACCTATGTAGACAGAGTGTTCGTTGTCGTCAATATTGTGGTTTCACTAAAGTAAATTAGGCTTATATTGTCATTAATTATTACTTACTCTGTATATCTTAAAATGACTCAATGTCATAGTGTAACTCTCATACATATACTCATAAGTATACTTATACTAATGTGAGAATTCTTATCTATTAGTAAATGGGGATAATTGATTGGACAATGCTCCAGCATGACCTGTGGTCATGTGACGCACGATCTCTAAAAAGAACTGAAACATTCAAAACTCTTAAGCTTTAATAGTCATAACTACATAATTTTATTAGTACTACTTTATTTCCAATGGAAATGAGTCTCCAATACACTACCAATTAACATCATTAATAGACATCGATGGCAAACTCGTAATTATCTGTCACTCCTCGGCATAATCTCGGGGAGCAGCGGACCTGCACACAGACCCCACGAACATTCTAGCACGTTCGCCACTAACAGTGCGAAAATTTTGTATAAAAGGTATGCTATTACTATGGAAGATTAGTGGTAATACATACTTAACTGTAACAATAACATAACAATAATCATAAACAAAATGGCTAGACAAAGAAGATCCGCTCCAGCTCCAAGAACTCAAACCAGATCAGCTCATACTGCTGCTGCTCCAGCTCATTCTGCTCCACAAAGTAGATATCCATCTGCTCATCCAACATCTGCTTCTAATCCAGCTACTCAACAACAAACTCAAACTAGACAACCAGGTATGTTTGCTCAAATGGCTTCTACTGCTGCTGGTGTTGCTGTTGGTTCTGCTGTTGGTCATACTATTGGTGCTGGTATTACTGGATTATTTGGTGGTTCAAGTTCTCAACAAGTTGATGCTCCTCAACAACAAGATGTCGCTCCAATTCAACAATCTAGTCAATATCAACAACAAGCCAGTCATTGTGATGCCGATGCTAGAAACTTCACTAGATGTTTGGAAGACAACAGTGGTAATATGCAAATCTGTGATTACTATTTACAACAATTAAAGGCCTGTCAAGAAGCTTCTCGTCAATATTAGAGTAGTCTCTCATAAAACTAATGCTTTAAAGAAATTAAAGAATTTAGAACATCCCCGTGTAAATATATATATAAAATAGACAGTGTCAACTCTGTGATTTTTTTTAACTAAGAGATTGAAATGAAAAGTTTTTTAGGATTATTTAATACAACTTATTTATTGAAAAGTAACTTTCAAGTGCTTTATCTTTTTATTGAATGTAGATGTAGATGTAGATGTAGATAAATATGATCGTAATAGATAAGAATAACAAAAAAATAATAGGAATTATAAGTGTAACAATATGAATGTTGGTTTATCTATAAAAAGTATGACAAGACTATTTCTTGTTGCTTGAATTACTTGAATAGTAATAATATCCTGCACCACCTAAACCAAGTAATAAAACAGGTACAGTATAACCAGATCCAGAACTTTCAGAACTAGAGCTTTCCGATTTATTAGTTTCAGCTGGACCTGGGGTTGTTTTAGTTGAAGTTGCATTTTGTAAATTATCATGTTCAATATCTTCAACAATCACTTCTTGTTGTTGAATTGGAGTTACCTTATGATCGACTTCATTTTCACCTAAACTAACAACATCACTTTGATTAACATTAGGATTAACTGAACTATGAATATATTTATCACTATTAGCTGGTTTATTTGTGGCATTATTTGCAATGGTTTGTTTAGATGATGCTAATACAGGTTTACTACCTCTATCTTGTAAATATTCTGGTTCAACTTTAACTGATTCACCTCCATGAGTTACATCTGCTATATTACCTTCTACTTTAATAGATGAATTGCTTTCTTCAACGAATAATTCACGTTCTACTTCTTTTAATTTCTCTTGAGCAATATCTTGTTTAATAGCTTCTTTAGTTACTGGGGGAACTTTAGGACTTGCAACTTTAGGAATGAAATCATATTTATATTCCCATTCATTAATTGAAGTTTGAGATGGTAATTTAAATGAATCAATAGTTGATGAATCACCTTTAGCTCCGATTCGGACTGAATTTGAAAAAGTTCTCGATGTTCTACTGATTCTAATTAATGATGAGCTTGATGCTCTTAACAATGAATGTCTAATCATAATAAGCAATTGATCGGTAATTGACTGTTTAAATAACCCTAAATTAAATGGGCTAAGTGATAAGATGAATATTTAAACCAACTAATTAGTAAACTTTGTTTGTCGGTTAATTCAATATGTTAACTATAGAAATGTCGGCCAATTGATTATCGGGGAGGGGGTGAAACTCATAGTTAATTTAGTGACATCGCACGGGACGTTCCGTCACATGATTGCTGCTGCGGATATTTTGTGGGGGAAATCTTCGGCGCATTTTGTATTGGCCGCAAAATCGGAATTACAAGTGTAATAGTATACATAAATAAATAAATAGTACATGTAATATTCTATAGTGTGACTAATGGGTGTTATTTACTGGTCATTCAACAAGTCGTCTAGATATAAGCTCGGAGGTCTCAGTTTCCTTTTTTCTTGTTGTTTTGGTTGTGATTGTGATTGTGATTGTGATTGTAGTTCTGATGTTGAATTTTGGTCTAGTTTACTGTTAGAGATTAATTGTGCATATGAATGATGTGAATTTTGGATAGGTCTCATCTCAATAGCCAGTTCTACATCACTATTATCATTATTTCTTAATAACCCCTCAGCTTCTAGATAATCAAAATCATTGATATTAAGTGAATCTCTACTACCTTGATCTCCATTGTGTGCAGTATAAGGCGATAGTATATTTGAAGTTGGAGAAGATATTGAACTACCCATCATTACACTTTGATCACCTAACGGTATAGCGGGTTGTTGATTATATAATGGTAATTCCAATTGTGATAAACTTCTTCTACCACTAATTGTCTCTAATACGGGACTTATAAACATTGAACCACGATTACTAGCTAATTTACTAGCACTATTATTGCCATTCTTATAAATATTTCCCTGAACTGCATCACGGTAAGTGCGACCTTGTTGACTAGAAGTAGTAATCATTTCATCTAATTGAGCTAAAGAATTATTACGAGATAACTGATAAAATGATGAATTAGATAAATATGACGAATTCTTTTCGAACATAGAAGAATTAGAACTTGTACTATTCCCACCAAATAAACTTCCTCCAAATGATGCACCACCATTGGCAAGATTATGATAATAGATTTCGCGGTCTAATTTAGATCTACGATAGGAAATTAACCAATCTATGATTCCATAAGCAGCAAACAGGACAAATACGAGCCCAATTATGGCACCAACAATAATAAACACGATTCCTTCGGGTAAGCTAGAATTCTGGGTATATGGATTTTTTACTTCAGGAACTTGTACATCAACATTATATACTGTACTAGTTGATAAAGTTGGCATTGCTGGAGCTGGAGGGAGTTTGTCACCTGTTGTAGAAGTATCTGCTCTTTTAGCAAATTCCGTTATTTTAGGAACATTTATATGTAACGTTTTAGTATGCTGGTGTTTATGATGATGATGATGATGACTTACAGTATTGGTCTGAATAACAATCTGTTGAGCAACACATAATGTGGTTACGGCTAGTAATATACTGAGCACCTTCATGATGAATAAATCTTCTATTAGGAACTGTATTTAGAAAGGAATTAAAACAAGGTAAATACAAACAAATAAATAAACGAAACTACTAAATGAATGGACAGTAACAGTGATAGTATCAATACGACCGTATGACTATTCTGAAACCAAAATGAATGACTCTCAGTAGGTGAGGTTATAAGAATAAGAATAAGAATAAGAGAAATATAAATAATTCGACCCTGAATCTAATTATGAGCCGTATAGAATTATATATACAAGTGAGTCTTGAGATCGTAGTTTATTTTTTGAATATGTACATTTCATGTTAATTTACGAAAGACACAAAAGTAGTATGTATCCTCATCGGGGATCGTTTACAGATACCAAGCTTATAGTAGAGAAATTTGTAATAGAATGGTATGGATTTGTTACATAAATTATTACCTATTCCATTGACGATTACTTATTGGGTTATTACAGTTAGAGTATATTAAGTATCTTATCAACCATACAACTCATGATCGCACAGTGACTTACTGGCGATTGCAGGGGATGGCAGAATGTGTGTCAAACATGGCTGTAATTCACCTGAATCATGTAAGGAGTGGTGTGCGAATGCCAAACAAAACGAATAATAATAATGTATGTGAGAGCGCGCTTTATTTAGAGTTAGTATTACAATAACACCACGACGCGTTGATCAGAAACAATAACATTGGAACAATGCCAAGAACAATTTACTATAGAAGGGTCAAGTGTAAATTTTAATTTTTAAATTTATATATTTATTTTCTTCTATGTTATACAGGGTGTTTCCATTAATAATAATAATAATATATTTATTTATTTATTTCGTAGAGGGGTGTCTTCCCATGAGCTTAACCACATTAAAATCTCCAATCCTTATCAGCAGATTCTATAGCCCAAGTAAACTTTTCTCTCAAGGTTTTTGTAAATAACTTTTCTATTGGAACATCATATTTCTTAGAAAACATTACTGTTAATCGAGGATCAATATAATTCATTTTAGATGTACCCAAAGAAACTTCAGAATTATCTTCTTTATCCTTTAATTGTAATGTAGTATTAAGAATTCTAGTTTCTATAGTTTCTATTTGTTGTTTCAATTTTTCAACCGTAACAGTTTTCCTCATAACTGGTTTACCAGTTTTTAATTCCTTCTTATAATCATCTTCCAATTCTTTAATTTTATCTAATTTTTCCTTAATTGAATCGGATTTCTCAGTCAATAAAGGTTCATTCTCTGATTTTAATTTCTCATTATCTCGAACCATTTTCTTTAATACTTGTTCACGTTGTCTAGTAATTACTAAATCATGAATATATTCTTCATCTTCTTTGATTAAATCTTCAATTTCTTCAAAGTACTTTTTATCTTTCTTCTTTAAATTTGGTTCTAATAATAAAATCATCTTTTTCAATCTAATCTTTTGCCATAAGAATTCTTTCAATTTATCATTAATTTTTTGAACAGTATTTCCATGACTCTTTGAAACTGTACGCTGATGATTACATAAGATAGCAACTGTTCTATTAGCAGCATTAAATTTAACAAGTTTTTCAGCTACTGTTCCTTCATTGGGTATTAAATCTAATTGATCTTGCATGGTTTTTGAAGCATTATAAGTACGGAATACTTTAGCTGTTAAACCCTTCATATAATTCTGTAATTGTTTATTTAAAATTGATGGATTTATTCTATCAAATAAATCATCACCTGGTCCTTTTGGACTCTTCTTAAAAATTCTTAAATTTTTGAAAACTTGTTTATCTACTTCAACTTCTTGATAAAATCTAATAGAATCTTTACCAAGAAAATCAAATACAACAATATTAGGTGGTTTTAATGTTATATGTTCAAATCTTAATGAACAACAACCAACAGTATCAGCTTCATCATCACCTTTTTCACCTCCAGCTCTTAAAGCAAATTTATCAATTAAATAAGTAGCACTAGCTAATTGACGTTCTTGCATTAATTCACTTTTTAAATTCTTAGTATAATCTTTTCTAATAGCATCAACATAATTTTTTAAATTTCTGGCCGTTTCAAACTTTTTAAAATCTGATTGACCCTTAATAGATGAACTTGCAGCAAATCTAACATATTTTAAATTGTCTGCAATATTTTCTTTCCACATTGCTAACCAAGTAACAGTATTATCATGCCTGATTTCACCCCATTCATGACCAGGAGGTGGAGGTGGAACTTTAGCATCCTTAGATAAATTTAAAGTAACATTCTCAGGAAAGACTCTTCTTTTTAATTTACCAGTCTTTGGATGAGCCCCTCTACCTCTAAATAAACCAGGAGGTTCAACCCTAAAATTCCCTACTAATTCAGCTCTACCATTTAAATAACAAGTTTTATAAGGTTCTTCTAATTTTTCCTTTTCTTCTTTAATTCTTTTCTTTTCATCCTTACTAAGACCCTTCTTTTCTTCTCTTAATTGTTCAAAATGGGCATACATTTTACTAAAATCACATTGATCAAATGAAACAATCGTAGAACGTAATTGATCATCTTTAGTTTCTTTAATGACTTGAAGGAAATCTTCAAAGAAATTTTTCTGAAATACTTCATTTTTTGCATGATCAGTCTCTAACATAGCAGCATAGAATCCTGCTACTTCTTCAGCAGTTGGTGGTAAATCTATAGGTTTACCAGAGTACCATAATTTCACATGGGAAGGTAAAGGTTCATACTCAGGAGGAAATAACACCCCATTATGTTCTAATGAATCCCATTTAACTTCACCATCCAAATCCTCAGCTTCCCACCACTTATAAGTTTCTTCATCTTCTTGTTCTTCTGGTTGTTGCGATTGAGATGGTGTATCTTCTTTCTCTTCCTTTTTGACCTTGGAAATTTTGACTTTGCCTTTGTCTTTGTCTTTGTCGTCATCTTTCTTCACAGCCTTTTTTGAAGCAGTTGTGGATTTCTTTGTAGGAGAAGTCGTAGACTTTTTCACAGTAGCTTTTTTCGGAGTTATTGGTTCTTCTTTAACATCCTTTTTAGAAGTTCCATTTTTAGAAGTTGATTTCGACTTTGGTTCAGTCTTTCTCTTTTTCAAAGGTGATGAAGCAGGAGGTGTCGCTATTCTCTTACTTAAAGGAACATCATCATCATCATCCGAAGAATTGATCTTCTTTCGTTTTTTACCATTACCATTAAGCGATGCTTTATTTCTTTTTGATAAAGCAATGTCGTCGTCGGATGATGAGTCCAGCATTATTTTGAATGAACTTTTAGCTAAATTAGATGGACTAATTGAGTCAGACTTTCGTGAATCTAACAAAGTTGATGTTATGCTTCTAGATTGATTATTGTTTCTCAACGTTCGAGAGTTGATACTACTGAAATACGATTTGTTAACAAATAGTATATATGACGACTGTTTAGATAATTCTCGCTTCCAAATTCCTGGAATTACTTTCTGAACAAATACCAAAACCAAAATCTTTACTAATTACAGATTTGGTTATTTTATTAGAAAATGTTATAAAATTGATAGAAGTGGTTGAGACCAAAAAAAAAGAATTTTGAATTTCTGATAATCTCCGACAGTTTTATTCCAATGAAATATGTGTCTTTCTGTTCAATAACTTAGTTCAGTTGTTTTTTATTCGTTACGGTTGTCCACACCAAGTCTAAGAAGTTTAATTATTACCAGTAGATGAACTTGTTCAATCCATCTTGAGCTATTTTTTCGTTGTCGCACTACGTGACAATTTTGTGTTTGTGCCAAAATAAGACGCGCAATCTTCTTATATAGCGACATTAAACTTCCATGATTGTATGGCATACAAGTAGTATGAATATACATGCGAATGTAATGGTTTACCTTCTTTACCTTCTTGTACTACATTAATTAGCTATGGTTCTGGTCCATTTTCTGTATAGCTGCGACATTACTGTGGGTACATTGGGTAATGGTCCTGGACTGGTCTAGGAGCCTCTCTAACGTCATAATAAACAATTGTTCAGTACTTCTATCCATCTTGGTCAACGTATGCAGTGTTCAAGCTACTATTATTCTTCTCCACGATTCTAACACATGTTGTTTCTCAAATACCTCTACATCTAAATTAGTTCAATACATATCCAATGTGATTGGAAATAGGTTTTTGTCAGAATAAGGTACCCACTTCATTTTAGTAAAACATATTTCAGTAAATTATTATTGAGTCAGAACTTAATATATTAAGAGATTAGACTTCGAAAGCACACGACTTATTTTCATATGTGGGGCTTGAATTTACAATCCCATTAGAATTACATAGATGGAGTTAGTGAACTATTGATACATAAAAGAAGAAAGAATGAGACGCATATACACCAAGCGAGGCAGACCACTGGGAAAATGGGCGGCATTTACCTATCTTGGTTATGATTCCGCTCTCATTTTCTTTTTTTTTTGCGACATCTCGTTCTCGATTGTACTTAGTGGATGAGGATGTAACCAAGCTGTAACTCAAGATCCTTCACGGTAGTCCTTTCCTTTAAAATCAACCAAGCTCAATCCCTAAAGAGCAGTAGAACCCCTTTATCTTATCTTAACCATTTGTTGAATTATGGGGTAATGGAGATAAGAATTTAGTATACCCAACATAAAGTTTATTACTATTTCTATTACTATTACTATTACTATTTCTAATTCTATTTCATTTCTTCTCCAAAACCATTTCTCGAGTCAAGAACAAAGTTAATCGATATCATATTGTTACATTTAGAAATTTGCTTATTTACGAACTTTCCAAAAACATTTTTTTTGAAGAATAAGCATCTGTGATGTTACCCCTATGACGTTACCCTTACTAAATAATGATGTCTATAAATTAATAAGCCAAGCATATAGTGAAGTGTACTACTAAATAGTGAAGTTTAGTAAATAATAGTAAATGGACCTATAAAGTCTATAATGTCTATAAGGTCTATAAAGTCTATAATGTCTATAAGGTTTATAAAGTCTATAATAATGTCTATAATTGGTGCGCTTAAAAGTTAATAAACTTAGCTATGTTCAACAGGCCCACGCTTAATACTATAGCTTAATAATATAATCAGAACATTTTATGTATAATTGAATTGTTGTTTTGCTTAAACGATGACAGAAGTGTAAGGTTAAGTAATGAATGAAAAATTTTCTTATTGTCTGTTGCAAATATTATTTTAAACTTTCATTATATTTTTCGCTTGATTGGCGGCTTAGGGGGCTGGATCTTTGCTGCTTAATTTTGAAGTATTTCTCCAGCTGTCAATTATTAAGAGCCATTCGAGTAGTGCATGTATCCTTAATAATTTTATTTTTTAATAATAATAAACTAATTATTTTAGAAGTCAATTGATAATTACATGTGTCTATGTTAACATAAGTTATGTCAATAATGTTGTCTTCCTACGAGATACCAAGAACAGAAAAATCTTTTTTTTCATAGGGCATTTTCGTTAGAAGTTAAAGTTTCTTTTTTTTTAATGACCGGTGAATTAGATTCTACGCGGCATTTACACTTCAAAATATTCTGCAAGGCATCTCATCGCGAATAAAAGATCCTATTAACAACCAAGTTACGAATTGCCTTAAAGTATAAAATGCCGTTGTTTAAATTACTGCATTTAAAGGCAATCAACTCCTTCTTATAATGGGGGTTCTATGGTTAGTGTTATTACCCCAAATAAGGTGATTTGCCGCTGATAAGTACGATACTGTCCGTAGATTTATGCGGAGGCAATTAATCTAATGCTTATTCAAGCTTGGTTTGCGCCCTGCTTTTTTATCAACATGAGTCAACTAGGAATTCATGCCGTCTATTTCTAGGTTTATTATCGAAACCAATTTCGTATTAGAGCTAATTGTTTTTACGCACGATTTTAAATAAGTAATTAATATTGCGTAAATAACATTTTCATCACCTCCCTATGTCTTAAGCAATTGGTTTAATAGACCCTAGCAAATTTGTATAAATATAATAGAAGGCAGCAGCATCACTACTAGAAATAGTGAAGTCACCTATATAAAGATAAAAAATTAGACGTATTATTTTAGATAGGGCAGAATCATAAATTTCTTTTTTTTTAGCTTTTTTTTTTCTTTGTTCCTTTTTTCTTCATTTTGAGCAATATCCAATACTTGAAACTTGTATAAGTATTGATTGATTTCCTGATATCCACATAATGAATAAGGTTTATTATAGTCCATCCTTGTGAAAATATATTTTTCTTTAATACCAATTGAGTATTGGTATTTCCTTTATCTTTTCTTGTTAAAGAGGTTACTAAATAATATTATTACCCCCTAACAATGTCTTTCAGTGAAAAAGTTGCAACTTCGAGTTCCAACGCTAAAAGCTCAAACATAGAAAAGTCTTCAGACTTCATAGGAGCAGATTCAATTGAAGAAGAAACTGCATTACAACATGTTGAAGTTAAAAGATCTTTGAACGCCAGAATGATCTCAATGATTGCCATTGGTGGTACTATTGGTACAGGTCTTTTTATCTCTACTGGTGGTACATTAGCCGATGCCGGTCCAGTTTCTGCATTGATTTCATTTTTATTCATGACTTCTTTAGCATTCTCCGTTACTCAATCCATTGGGGAGATGGCTACATTAATTCCATGTTCTGGTTCTTTCAATCAATTCGTTGCTAGATGGTGTTCTCCAGCTTTAGGTGCTGCTAATGGTTGAAATTATTGGTTTTCTTGGGCCATTACTTTTGCTTTAGAATTATCTGTTGTCGGTCAAGTCATTCAAATGTGGACTGATGCTGTTCCTTTAGCTGCATGGATTTCTATCTTTTTCGTCATTTTGACTGTATTTAATCTCTTCCCAGTTAAGTATTATGGTGAAGTTGAATTCTGGATTGCCTTCATGAAGGTTATCGCTGTTGTTGGTTGGTTATTGTATGCTTTCATCATGGTTTGTGGAGCTGGTAAAACTGGTCCAGTCGGTTTCAGATACTGGAGAAACCCTGGTCCTTGGGGTCCAGGTATTTTAGTTGAAAATATCAACACTGCTAGATTTTTAGGTTGGTTATCTTCCTTAATTAATGCTGCTTTCACATTTCAAGGTACTGAATTGGTGGGTATTTCAGCTGGTGAATCAGCTAATCCAAGAAAGACTGTCCCTTCTGCTATCAGAAAAGTCTTATTTAGAATCTTGGTTTTCTACGTCTTGTGTATGCTCTTTATTGGTTTATTGGTTCCATACGATGATCCAAAATTAGCTGCTAATGGTTACTATACTGCTTCCTCTCCATTCATTGTTGCCATGTTAAATTCAGGTACCAAAGTTTTACCAGATATCTTCAATGCTGTCATTTTAATTACCATTATTTCTGCAGGTAACTCTAACGTCTATTGTGGTTCAAGAATTCTTTATGGTTTAGCTGAAGCTAAAGTTGCACCTGCTTTTTTGAAGAAAACTACTAAACATGGTGTCCCATATGTTGCAGTTTTATTCACTGCTGCTTTTGGTTCTTTAGGTTACTTAGCTTGTTCAAGTCAAGGTAATAATGCTTTCAATTGGTTATTAAACATCACTGCTACTGCCGGTTTAATTGCTTGGGGTTGGATTAGTTACACACATATTAGATTCATGAGAATCTTAAAGTCAAGAGGTATCTCTAGAGACTCTTTACCATTCAAGGCTATGTTCATGCCATGGGGTGCTTATTATGCTGCTATTTCTATCTTTATCCTTGTCTTCATTCAAGGTTTCCAAGCTTTCTGGTCCATCAATGCTAGCAAATTCTTTACTGCTTACGTTTCCATTATTCTTTTTGTTGTTTCTTTTGTATTTTTCCACTTTTACTTCAATGGATTTGGTGCTAAGGCTTGGAAATGGTCTACAGTATTTATCCCATTAGATGAATGTGATATTGATTCTGGTGTTAGAGAAATTGATGATTTGGTCTGGGAAGAAGAACCTCCAAAGAACATCTGGGAAAAATTCTGGAACTGGTTAGCTTAAAGCAGTTCCTTTTCTATATTTCACATTTTACTTTCTTAATCGCATTATTCATTTATTTCTTAGTCATTATCATTAATTTTTTTAATTTTATTTTGGGCATTTTTCATTTATTTTTGTATTGCATTATAATATATTTTTAACTTTTATTCACCTCAATGTAAGTCCTCACCTTAATGTAAGCCTTTTGGATTCCGGATTAAGCTAACAGTTCAGAATACAGTCATTATGACTCTATTTATCAGCGACACAAAGTTTATACAGAAGTTTTTGCATGATAACATGATTTCTAAATATTTTTTATTTGTACCTATTTGAGTAATAATAATACTAAATAATACTATTCTAATAATAATAATAATAATAATAAAAGTAAATATAATAAACAAAATAACTGAAAAATCCTTCCTTACTAACCTTAATTGTATAACACGTAGTTGGCACTACCAGCAGTAACACCAACAGTACAACCATCGGTACCATCTCCGTTATATTTACCGTTTTCATATACACATTGACCACTAACGGTAGAAGAAGAATCAGCAGCGACAATCTTAACATTGAAATTCAAAGGACTGTAGTTATTTGGATTTGGAATTAAAGATAAGTAAGCAATACCATTGGCATAACCGGCACCAAAGTTTAATGGAGCCCAGTTACCAATACCAGATCCTGGGGTACCCCAGATACAACCATCAGTATAAGAGACACCAGCATTGTTAACGTAATATTGAGCAGAAGTAGATCCACCTCTCCAAGTATAATAAGTAGCTTGGTCAACAACGGTAATTGGAGAAGTAGCACCTCCGTTAACGACAGTTGGAATAACCATGTTTTCGGTACCTGGATAATCTGTTCTGCAAATAGCAACAGATTGAGATAATTCAGAGACGACTTGAGCCTTGTTAACACCCCATTCACATAAGTAAGAATTGCTTGGGTTAGATTTGTATAAGAAGCCACCCTTACATAATAAACCACCAACAGAAACACCATTGGCTGGTTGGGCAGATGGCCATTGGGTCTTTGACATACCTGATTGACAAGCGTATGAACAGTATGAACCTTCTTTACATGGTCCACCAGTAGAACCATCAGAGTTTTCAATTCCGGACCAGCCTCCAAAACCTAAGTTGTTCAAAGCAATGACACCTTGACCGGCTGGGAATTGAGAGCATGGAATAGTTCCATCTGGGAATTCTTGAGTTGGATTTTGATAAGCACCTAAATCACCATTGATACCACCACTACCACCAACAGGGTAACTAGAAGCACTTGAACTGGCACTTGAACTGGCAGCAGCTTGTTGGCTGCTAGTGGTTGATGCAATGGAAGTGGTTGCAATGGTTTGAGTAGTAGATGGTTCAGTAGATGGATCTACAGAACTAGTACTACTTGTAGCTGGGACACCAATAGTGTTTCCATTGATATCAACGGTAACAGTGACATAAGCATAATCATAGACAATTTCTCTTTTGTGCTTATGGTGTCCATGGAAAGAGACTGAAGAACAATCTTCACCATCGGAAGCAGCAGCTGGAGCGGCAATAGCCAAAGCAGCAAAAGCTAAAATAGAAGCTTGGGAAAATTTCATTGAGTGGGTAATAAAATTAAAGGAATGAATAAACTAAAAGAAATGAATGTTAGTTATTGTTTGTTATTATTAATGAATAAATATTGAATTGAAGATCATAAGTATATACAGCTGAAGAATTCTTCCAAGTAGACAGGTATGAAATAAATTTTATCAACTAAGGAACTTTTTGTTATAATATAGGATTGAAGTGTAGTCAAGTAAGAATTGGTTAAAATTCTTGAAATGACAACTAGTGTCAAAACACTTATCCACAGGGGCTCCGACTTAGAATTGTAGATACATCTCGTCACAACCGCATCGAATCTGTTTCACTAAAAGCTAATTTAACTGTAAGGAGGCATTATGTGGTACGAATTATGTTTTGATTTATTAGAATTAGTATTGTCTCACTTTTTGTTTTGTTTTTGTTTCAACTGAAAAATCGCGACTTTGTGTTGCAATCCCATTGTCCAATTGCCGTAATAATAAGTTTTAAACGAAGTTGAGAGGGATTTTAACACGCGAAATAAAAATATTTTTTGCCTAACTTGTAAAATTTCATACCAGGCAATTTTTTGTTGTCCCTCGGAACTCAGGTGGCTGGAAAATAGTAAACAAAATGTCTTGCGATCCAGCCCCGCTGCATAAATCAGTTAATTTTTACAAATTATTCTGCCCCCATGTTCTGAATAATCATGAAGTTCTTAAAATTGTTTGATCTATACAACTTGTGTCTTCGTGTAAAAAATTTTATTGCATTGTATGGTAAAAATATTGTAGTTTGACTTGGTTGAATAATGTTATTGACTGGATTGATAATATTTCATGTTCTGTCTACTTCGATAGTCTTCAATTGTTTGACCCAAAAGCATAAGTGATCCTAGATTCATTAGTAAAATAATACATACCTTTTTAAATATACAGCAAAAGGAGTGACAGTATACGAATGTTTAAAACTGAGAGGAACTACCAAACTTTGAATAGATATAAAGGAGTGACTAAGTTTGTGGAGTTGATTCTCTTTTTACAATAATAATATCTCTTGTAGACGACTTTTCACACGATAGGGTGGAGTGAGTTTCGAATGATATTATTCAAAGCAACGATGTTCGTTATACTATAAGATGTATTCAAATATATTTCTAGAAGAAAAGAGTAACTGAATCCAAATTTCTATGAGCCAATGATAAAAGTTGTATCGACGAATTCAAGATGATATATATGAGGCAGTTACACTTCTGAATTTAACTTTGCGGCTTAAAGTAAAAACGGCCCAGCCATACTTACTTTCGTGTAAACCAGCATTCTCTTTTATTTCCGAGGGTAACAATTGACAGATAATTCATAAAACCGATGTTACTGGTTATTCAATTTTTACAGTTTATATGCGGGATTTATTGTTTACCGTTTACGATTTTTGTTAAGCTATCGTCAAACCTGTTTAAGAGCTTGTATAGAATTTGGTGTGCAGGATTCTGATTTTGATTCTGATCTGTTCGCTCGCTCGGATCAGAACCTATCTGTATTGAAAAAGTTCAGTAAATCTTATCTAACAGGTCAAGGTGAAGAAATTCTAGCCAGTACTGGCCAAAACCAATTTGTATTTCCAGCCATTTACATGAAGTTCGTCAAAATCCAAGCTAACTGTAACCCCTTTCCATAACTTTATAAGAACGCAGGCTGGTGTCTTTGTATGTAGCTAATGAAAAGTGAAGATTCATTAATTCGGAGTACAAATTTCTAGGTGAACAATGTTTTAAGTTGACAGCAAAGCAATGGAATGCACTAGAAACGATTCGACGATTGTTTTTGGGAAATACTATCAAGCTTCGATTGAACGTTCTATTGTCTTTCTAATATCTTCGTGATATACAGTCTGATATCTCATCAGTGGAGAAAATATAGACATTTGATTCCATTGTGTATGCTGGTCCAAATCAATTTAGAATGCTCAATTAGCCAGCAAAATCTCAGCCAGCTCCTTTGCTGCAAAATAGTTCACAGGCCAAACAAAAAAATGAATTACGGAAAAAAAGATTTAGGGAAAAAAAAAAAGCAAATATACGCAAAGTAGAGCAACATAATTTGTAAAAGTCAATTCTCTAACTGTTTTATGTTATTTTATGCATAAAAGAATTGTGGTTATAGAGTTTGCTCGTATTTTAATAAATCATTTTAGCTGAATTATTTGCTAATAATTTAAAAAATAACTTCGCATTGTTCTAGTTGGGATGAAATGAACTATTCAACGCTTTTAAAGGGATAGGTTTATTTCAAAATAAACATCAGAAATTCAGAATTCATCATACTTTATTTAGATTTATAGGATTTTCGATTATGTTACCACTATATCGGAATTGTTTGTAGCTGCATATGAACTTATATACATATGTCTCATTAGGAGAGCTCGTATATATTCCGATTTTTTGCCTTAAAATTAAGAAGTAAGCCCTTATTAGTAAAGACTATAATATGCTTGTTTCACTATCATCCGAAGATCGCCATAAAGATAACTAAATAGGTAAATCTAAAGCAATTAAAAAAAAAAGAAAGGATCAACAGGTAGTGATTTCGCATTTAAAGTCATCTACTGCCAAAGATCACGTTGCTAAGAACCACGGATCTTAACATCAGCCATGCATAAATAGGTGGAACTTAGAAAACGAGCTGCAGCTTTGTAAAAATAAAAAACCTTACACTCAAAAAAATAAAGATAAGGAATCCCTATGTTCAAAGTTCTAGAGAAAATCCTAGTTATATGGTATACATCATTGCTTGATACTAGAATCAAACAGTTAATTTGTACTTTCAATGATTTCCTTAGATATTTATTCTTACGATATTTGATACTCCTGCCTCGATTCAGGCTCTAGGTATGGTAAGCTGCAGTAAAATACAATGACGCAATGTTGAGCCACCAGGTTGCGGATTGATGAAGAAAATTTTCTATCCGAATCCAGATAATCCGGCAAGGGAAAATAAAATATGGCCTCGAAAAGGTCTGTGTTGGGATCACATATAACGGGAATTCAAAAAAGGTCAGAGGATTGAGGGGAAAGGTAAATAAATAATAATGGTTTTGCAGTAATATTCTTCCGAAACCAATGAACATGCAAAACCTAAACAAATGAAGAGAGTGTATGAAATGTAGGCAGGTAGGTGTAAGGAAAATAAAAAACAAGATAAGGCTTGGTCAGTTATATACTGATTAAGAATTTCTAGACGACCAGACAGTAGTTTGAGTAAGCCTCAGTAAGTTTAATAATTTTTTGACTGCATTTATTGTCAGGCAGTTCTATTATCTAGCACTATACTGGCTGATAGGTGGATAATTTACATGACTTCAAATACTTTTTTCAACTCTAGCCCCCTGAATTTTTAGAGTTCTTCAGATTGAGTTTAAATTCATTTTTTAGAGTTGTTAAAATTAGTTCAGGGTTTAAGTTAAATAGGAAAACTGAATTGTTCTAATTTGGCTTGTGCGTATACCGCCTTAAAAACCAGATAAATTGCAAATATCATGCTGCTTTGGGAGCTGCTTAATAGATCTAAAACAAATGTTAAATAACGATCTCATTTATTTAGGTTAAAGAATAGTCACAATGGAGTAGCTTCTTTCAAAAAGTAAGCATGTACGACAAAATAAGATTACCTCTAAATTTCGAGCAAACAGTATAAAATTATAAACAGCGACATAAGATTTACATGTACTAGCATTCTTAAGACTGAATTAACATCCCACTTTTGACATAAAAGGATCAGAAGGCGTTGTAGAACGGATCCTGCGTGAAAATTTCAAATAATTTTTTTTCTTTTTTTTTACTCGAAAATGCTAAAATATTTTTTTGGCTACAGGGTTCCTTGTGCTTCTTTGCTTTTGAGACTTCGGTTTTTTTCGCTAACTGCTCAACTACTCTTTTACAATGACTTTTTCGCTAAAATCTACGTTAATATTTGACTCATGACATACAATGTCAGAAAATAACCAATAAAAAAATTTAACTTGATACATACGAATAAAAAAACATATTTCATTTCAGTTACAGGAATAAAAAGTATGTCTCACTCGTTCTTTCTTTCACCTTTCTTTTGACAATACAATACAAATATCATAATTAGTAAAAAATAAAACAATTCGTAACTATAACTAGCTATTTGACTTATTTACATCTGAATGCGTCTATCCTACATCACTTGAAACGTTTTTCCTACAGGACGTATCCAGTGCATTGTTTTATGTATGGAATATAAGTGTAGAACCTTTTCTTAAAGAAGTGCTAACATACTCAACTGTAACGGAAATAATTCTTTAATTTCTCCGTCTACTCTACCAGCTTCATCGTAAAGGAATACTTGACAAGGGAACTGGGTCGAATTGTCATCTTTCACAAAGACTCATTTTGAAGCTCCATGTAGATTATTTTTTTACCTTATTACCTCCGCTTAGAAAAATTCTAATTTCAGTATTACGTCAAAGGCATAATCTATTTCATATATTGCTTCCGGATGTAAAAGAAGCACTCTGTTGTATAACATGTTTCTTTATAAGAAAGCATGACGGACTTATTCGGATTTGCAAATAGTGTGTAGTAGAGTTGGCATAGCATTTGCTTTATCAGTAGCTTTTATGTAATAGCCATCATTAACTTGAAAATAACTATTAAAACTTTGTCTTTCCATTTTGATTGTCTGCGACCAGCGATCTCAATGTTAATTTAAGGTAGCATAATGTAGATACTTAATAATCTTGGTGAAATCTTACTACTTTCTGATTAACTTAATCTTCCGAGAGATGCCCCGAATATACAGAGACGTCAAGTTGGTGAACGTATGATCATGCTGGATCAATGCCGGCTAAGTTTGCCTAATAATCCGCTAGCATATTGCTCCAGAGACTAATATTTTTATAATGCAAATCGTTTCATTCCTTTTGTATTTTGTTAAACTCCATCTAAGGATAAATCGCACATCTAGTATATGTACAAACTACAGACTTCCATAAGGATATGTGTAACTAAGTTTGAACCCTTCTGAATTAATGCAGCAAGGTTAAAAATAGGATAGTTTCCCGATAGAGAGCTGAAATGAATGCAGGTAAGTTCCATAAAAATACTGTATGTAATAAGCTCTTTTTTTGTTCTGTAATTCTATTATTTTTTTGGTGCATCAAATTAACCGAAAGCTTCTAGAATTTCATGAAATTAACATTTCCACTTCTGATGCATATGTTACCAAAATTTGCACAATTTTTGATTCAATTTGTTTCCAATATATGTATAAGAATCTATCAAACAATTCTGAAATGAATACTGTGATTACAGCTCTTAAGATTTCAATTAATGGTAATGGTTTCTATCTCTTCGCTTCGAAACTGGAAAGAAATGTACCGAAGGCGCTGCACTATTTAATGAAAATGAACAATAGAATGTGAATAACACTAAATTTTCACTAAGGTTCAAAATTAATGTCAGCTGCTCTTGAGTAAGGACTTTAAGACAAATAAGCTGAACAAATTTCTATAACTCAAGAGGCAACATTTAACGGTAATAATATCGCCAAAGATATTCTTCACAATTGTTTCATCAAAATTAGACCCATACAACAAGACGGTGTGTTACAACGTATAAAATTCCAACGGAACAAGGGTTTGTATTACGATTTCTCCTCACAAAAAAAAGATTTACCATCAAAGAATCTTGAAATTTCATACTTTTCTTCTTTTTTTCTATAATCAAGCATACAACTAGTATTTGATATAGCCTGTATGCAACAAATGTAATAATACATTAATTAGAGATGCTCAATCTTCATTCAATTAGTTAAACTTAAGTTAATCTTATTCTCTTCAAACTAAGACGCCTTTATCGTGTTACAATTGATCTAGTTCAAATTTTCGATGGATGCGCCTCAATAGAGTGGTTTCATATCTACCTTTGTACCTTTAGGGCTGTCTAGTGCTGCTTGACACTGTTTATGGCCAACAAAACTCAAGTGGTATGTTTTACATGTGAGTTCCCTGAAAAAGTATACTCTCGTAGAAAGAAGGTACACAAAACCAATTTTTGAAAATAACTTTATTTTTTGGGAATGATAAAAAATAATTTTGTAATAAAAATTTATAAAATAAAAATTTAAAAAAAAAATAAAAGAAAGGTATGAATTTCCCAAATTTTATATTGTTTATTTTCAATGCATATTTCCTCTTAAGTTTAAATCTGACCCTTTGAAGTTATAAATCGTAAGTAGGGTATATAAATGAAATATGATAACTCTTGATTCCAAATATTTAATTAAAATAGTTCGATAATTATATATAAAGCGTTAACCAAGTTCTTCTTTTTAAGTGATCGGATTCTCGTATCCCCCATATTCTAAGGAAGAAAAAAAAGTTTCTTTCACAGCACAAGCGAAACTTCTATAATTACTGATATAATTATATAATAAGTGTTTAATTCAACAAGTCAAAGCTTCATTTTTTGCACCGACTCTGGTATAATTTTATTCCAAGAACTTCATATAACAACTATAACATATTGTCTTAAAAAGGAAAAAGCTCAGATATTAAAGTTGATCCTGGGACCCTTTTTTACTAAAATTTAATTACAGAAAAATTACATTTGTGTTTTTTTTCTTAGAATTAGTTTATAAAGAAAACTCAATTTCTTTAAATTTGAGATTTATAGTTTGATTTATATGCTATCATCAAACTACTAATTTGCAGCTGGAGTGTATCGATTAGAACATTAGTATAAATGGAATTGCTTAATTACCCTTCACAGTCGCAGAGAATTAATCCGTTGCACATGTCAGAAGTTGATTCACAAGTTATGAGAAAACCAAATTACAGTAGCTCGAATCAACCAAGCCAATTATATCAATATTCGTCTAATTCAGAGAATGATTCAAATTCAAATGTGGGCCTGTCACATCCCCCTGCAACAGTCGATTACGACTACAAAGAATCATATGGTTATATAGCTAACCCTTCGGTTGATTTTTCGCCAGCAAATACCCCTTATGGGTTATTACGACAACCACATCAGCCACCAATTCATCACCATCTTGCTTCTCAAACTATACAACAAACTGTGTCTCATCAAGAAGGATTTGCAGCTCCTCTTCCTCCTCCACTTTTACATAGCAGCTCCTTACAAACCTCCTTACATGCAACTAGTTTAATTTCACAGCTGAATCTGTATTCTACCAAACTGCCTAGGGAAGATCCAAGGCAATTGAAGAGTCAGTCGCTTCCAGAATTGAGATCATCTGGTTATTCCCTAGTAGAATCTTCAAGTTCCATTGGGAGCAATTCAACTACAGCAAATTCAGAAGAAATGAAATCTAGAACAGGCAGCTACCCACTTCCAATTTATCAACATATTCCCCAACAATTGCCAGAACAGCATTTTACTTACCATCAACCTGACCATCATCACCATCAACATACTATGACAGGTATGCAAATACCGATGAATATTGAGTTGAACCAATATCCAGATATGACTTCTTTAGTCAATTCCAACTCTAATATTGTGGTCCCCTTAGTGGAAAGTCAATTTGTTGATCATTCTGTTTGTACAGTATGTGGTAAGAGAATTACAAGAGATATGACTAGGCACATGAGAACTCATCAAAGTGAGTCGAGATTTAAATGTCATTTCCCCAAGAATCAATGCCGTCATAAGCTGGGTAAATTTAACAGGCCTTATGATTTTAAGAAGCATTTGTTGAATCGTCATTTCAAATTTGACGAAGTTGCCGTTAGACGACTCCATAACTTGAGTGATAAATTAGATCACTGGGGCACTTGTCCCTGTGGTTTGAGATTTATGGGTAAAGATTGGTTATATGAACATATTCTTATTAATGATACTTCAAAAAAATGCCCTTGTATAGAATAGGGACATTTATTTGTCATTTATTTATCATTTCTGAATTGTCGGTATTTTCCATATTGCATATTGCATATTCTATATTCTCTTGTTTTATTACCTTTTAGTTCATTCCATTGTTTCTAGTCTACATCTCAATTTCCTTAATTTCTTTCAATAATCGTTGTATTTATTAGCTTTCAACTTAGCATTTTTATTTTTCCTTATAATTATTAGTTCTTTTCTTCATTACATAGTTCTTATTAGTATTTTATTAGAATAAAGTTTATTGGATTTTAATTTTTTTGAAGCCTGTTTGCTTTAACTAAACTCTTAAATATTCAAGAAAGTCAAAAGATTATCAACTGGAGCACCTGGAGCATATTGTTAATATACATTTATTTATTATCATTTGAATTTAACTGTATACAAACATAAAAACATTAGTGAACTATATACCGAAAATCTTAACCTATTCATACCAAATATTAAACCTTGCTGGTATTTTAAAGCTTCTTGGATAAAGCGGTCAACTCACCTCCATCAACAAATTTTACTATTGGAACATCACTTTTAGTAAAGGGCTCCTCGCTCAAATTAACGGCCACTTGACCCAATTCTTCACCATAAATTGGATTTCCAAAAAATGAAAATCTTGTGCCATGAACGAATTGAAAGACCTTTGCAGATAAAGTATTGAGAAAATCCTTTGCCTTATCCCTTTCTCCTAACAAAGGACCTGGTCTCAAAATAATAGTCCTTGGGAACTCTAAGGCAATAATTGCATTCTCCAATTCTCCTTTGGTTTTAAAGTAAAGAAAATAAGAGTTGGGATTGGCACCAACAGTTGAAATTAATACTATAGTTTCGACACCAGCTTCCCTGGCTGCCTTGGCAGCATCGTAGTTAACACCATAATCAATCTTTTTAAAATTATCCGCAGAGCCTGCAGCTGCTCTAGTTGTACCAAATCCACTAAAGAAGGTACTTGCACCTTTAGCTTCTTTTTTTATAATATCGGTCCATTTATCACTATCTTTTTCAACAATTGAGTTTAATTTATCAGATTCAATTGCTGGTTTGCGGCGACTAACTGTAGATATCTTATTATAAAATGTTGATTTGTCAACAGCTCTGAGAATTTGAAAACCTACTAAACCAGTAGATCCAAGTATAAATGCACTCATACTTAATTGTAGTTTCGTTTAATGTAGAAGCCTAGTTTGCACAAACCGATGGCGTCAAGTCGAATTTTTCCTTTAATAAGCCTTCTCACGATTCGAAAAATATGGCAAGCCACACCAAATTTACAAATTTTCTCAGATTGATATTTGAAGTAGAATAAAGTAATATTACCCTAGAAGTACAATCTTCAATTCCAGGGGTAACACAAGAATCTAAAAAGTAGAAGGTTAAGCTTTTTTGGATGAGATCTTCGAAGCATTTATTCCTTCTTCTTTAGGGAGCATTCCTGTAGTGTCTCTGAAATTCTCAGAATAGAATGTAACCAAAATTTGGACTGCCTGAATGAATCTTCAGAGGTCGGGAATGAGAGGGCTTTGGTTCAGATTCTGCTTAAAGTTCTAGTTCCAGCATTAATTTGTGAGCATTTGTCTAATTCATTCAATGATTAATTTTTAATTGCTGCGTAAACCGAAAATGCTACAAAAATGAACTTCGTGGTAAATGACATAGAATAACACTAAGACAATTTTGTGGTCAGACGAAATGCTGGTCCCTCCGTAACTACCGCCTAAGAATTCTTTGCTGTAATTATACCGGACCATCCCTGGCAAAAAAATTCAAGGCATTTGTAAGTTTAGTTATTTTACACAAGGCTAATACAATCGTGTCTGTAACGAACAACCACAAGGCTATTCGGCTTTTATGTCAAAGAGTGCGATAATATACAAACCCACAATCAACCAAATAATCGCTTAAATAATAAAATATTCTTCTTAATTGAACGAACACATTTATTTGACAAGATAAAAATTGCTATTGTAATATCTCTACCTACTTTTCGTATCGTTTATGTCGCATAAATCTTTTCATTTGATCAAATCTGCCCCTAGGTTGCATTATCTTCATCTATTTATTACGGGCAAATTTTTACCTTAATTGGAATAAGTATTCGTCACAAAAGCTTTGATTATATCTTCAGCTATTTTTTTTTCAGGCGGCAAGATGACATTCTTCATCTTCTTTGTTTCAATAAGAATTCTTTATTCAGCTAATTAATAAATATGTTTGTAACTTTTTAGAAGGGTGGTTTATAGCTTTAAGTGGTGTGACACGACATAAAGATAAACGCCGTCAAGTACATAATTAAGCAGCTTATATCGGACAATACTTTTGTTCTAACTAAAAGTATTTTCAAACATTAATGATCGAGACTACCACTTCGAAGCTTGAACAGAGAGAACTGAGATACATTCCAATTAAATTAATAGAGAGATATTGCTATAGCAAAAGATGTCCCATAACTCAAAAGCTGTGTCATATCTATTTCTGTGTCAATCATGCAATTATTAATCTCCGACACAGTTTAGGATGCAAAATTAAAATGGGAGACAGGATTGCGTGAACGACAAATCAATTTTGTCGCAAGAACATTTCCACCATATCTAGAAGGGCTATGGATGTAGAAATATGTATCCTGTATCATGCGTCCCGTAGGCTTATGAATGTTATTTCTGTGCATTTTTGGTAGCTGGGTAAACGAAATTGAGCAGCAAATTTTTAACGCAAATATTTTTTATTATTTTCTCGAAAAATAAAAAAATAAAAAATAAATGAATGAAGATTTTCGTGCACATGCTTATTGCAACCTCTTGCCTCACTCATTAATTTTTAGGCAGGAAAATTCAACATTTTATTCATGAATTAGGAGATACATATTATGTAAACCTTCACCTAAGAAAATTGATGCATGGAATCGCAGCAGGCAGGTTAATGTACAACTCTTATGTCTATTATGAACAATACAGCATTATTATTTCCCACGCCCCAATTAGATTTCTAATTGTTCAGACTCATAATTAAAATGGTGTTATTAGACGAAATGAATCTTAGTCCCTTATTTTACGGATTTATGGATCAGTATGATTACCCATTCTGGGTTTGACTCGTGCAATGATTTTGACCTCTTATGTATTATTACTCCAAGAACTTGGTTATTGTTTAAGGGTTGAAGAATGGTCTAAAATGTTGTTCTAACTAAACTTTAAACTTAAAGTTTCTGATTGCATTGTTAATACCCTTTTGATGCGTCATTTTCACTTCTTACAAACTTTTCATGTCGGGTAGAAAATTTGATTAATTAATTCCTTGCCTAGAAGTATATGCATATATAGAATTTGTGCGGCTGGTAATTTTAAAACAATTGATAAGAAAATCACTTGAATCAATTCGCATGCGATTGCGCTTTTTGAGTAGATCCTATAAATAACTTCTTAATATCAATTCTTGAATACTGTATACTACTTCTCGAATTGACCTGCTTCTTTAAACCGTCTAACTTACTTTTGGTTAAACTGGTATTTAGCTAGGAACTAGTTTACGATATTTTTATTAATTTTCTATTGTTAGTGTATGTAAGTTAATAATAACCGATGTCGCACTATAGAAAATATGTCTCCAAATCATTATGTCGTTTTGTGGGAGGAAGGGGGATTAGAAAAATAGAACTATATCTAAAAAAAAATGTGAACTTAACTACTTCAGTAATATGATGATATCGTTTCGTACAGTATCACGAACTAGGTTGGGAGTTTTTAGTCATATCCACATTTTTAAAACATATGCTACTGCAGCATCCCCTCCTCCTTCTCCTGATTTCTCCAACAATGACAATAATGTAGATCATCACAAGCGATTGGATTTACACCCATGGCCCAACAAGAAAAACCCCTCTCCTTATGAAATATTCAATATTGAAACAAACCAAGCTGAAAGGCCCTCTGACGAGTTGAAGAGGGAGTTAAAGAAAACCTACGTGAAATATGTTAAAATTTATCATCCAGATACTAGTCAAGTACTTTTGGATGATAAAGGTAATGAATTAACGACAGAACAAAAGAGAAATAGATATGATCAAATTCAAAATGCATATGATATCCTAAAGAACCCAACAAGGAATGCTGCATATTACAGATATTCAACTACAAATTGGGACCAACAAGGTTTTTATGATCGAAGTAAGGATAACAGTCATCCATTCAACAAAAATAACTTCGAAGCGTATAGGCGTGGTCATGCCCATAGAACAAAATATAATTTCGAAAATGATGAAGCATTCTGGCAAGCTGGTTCTTGGGAAGACTACTATCAGATGAAATATGGCAGAAGGCCACCCACAAGAGAAGAGATAGAAAAGAATAAGTATAAAATTCTTATGGGTGTAATTGCAGTAGGTGTATTAGGTTTTGGAATTCAAGTCATGTTAGCCATAGATAAAAGTAATGAATATTATGCTCAAATGAGACTTCTGAACTTGAAATCAATGAAGGATTTAGATGATAGTAGAAATAATCATGGATTTGGTCCAACACAATTACAGAGATTGACGAGGTTTTTAGCATCAAGAAGAACTTCACGTTTAGTTAAGCATGAAGAAGATGATGAATTTATAGCACAACAAATTAGAGACCTTAAAGAACAAGATGACGAGTTATTGGTACAATATGCTCGAAAACAGGTTAGTAAATGGGATTAGCTTATGCATGAATTAAATGACAGACTACGACAATACGTTTTTATAGAACTGTAGCTCTTATTCTCCTATTTAATTTTAAGATCGCGCTACAATATGTTTTCGGCCTTTGGTGGAGTTTGATTTTGTATTTTCTTTGGCGCGGAGTTGCAGTATGCAGGGAGTCAACCAGACTAATTATTCCGGCCCGTAGTACAGTCAAAGGGATTGAATGGCTTGAACTTACATAGTGGGAAGAGCAATGAATCTATTCACTATTATGGGTTATGTATCGCCTCACTGTTATGTGAGATTGCAAAGCATAATTTCAGATCAATAATTTTCTTTTTTTAGAATCAGATAATTATCTGTATTCCTCAAATGGTTCTTAAGACTCATGTACCAAATGTAAATGTAAAGTAAAGAAATTGGTCATTGATGATCTACGTAATCATAATTCATGCAAGTCGTGGAGATCAGCACATTGTGGTAGCAGTATGAAATGGTTTTTAATAATATGTTAACTACAAGCGAAGTTAGTTTATAATATGAGGAAACCAAGGATCAAAATTTTCGTATTTCAAATAGTAAGAGGAATTCATTTATTAAAAAAATGCATTTAGTGAGAAATAAAAATAAAAAGGCATTTATTCAGATATATAGAGTTATTAGATTATTAAAGTGTTATGAGCATATAGGGAGAAAAAGTAAAGAAAAAAAAACTCTGAACAAAGGAAAACATGCGAGAATTCCGACAACTTTAATTTTTACTGCAAAATTTAGCGACTAACTTATGGAAAATAAAATTAATGCTGAATTTAGAGTTTAGTGATTAATTTAGCGTTTGGTTTCGAGTCTCCAAACAATTGTTTCCAGATTTGAGGAATTTGTTTTAATTTTAATTCAACATTGGTTTCGTTACTGATATCTTCAAGATGATACAGATCACCAGCATTAATTTTACCTGATTTAACAGCATCTCCCAAGACTTGGAATGCCTCTGGAAATCTATCAGAATAATTAGTAACTATAAAACCTTGAACTCGTAAACTTTGAACAATAATTTCAGTCCATGAAGTTACATAACTCTTGGATTTATCATTATAGCCAGCTATGGATCCACAAGCAATGACTCTACCAAACTTTTTAACTTTGGTAAGTAAAAAGCTCAAAATTTCACCACCAACATTATCGAAGTACACATCGATAAATTCTCCTTGAAGGTAATCAGCCAATTGCTGTTTATAGTTAGGATCATGATAATTAAAACATTTGTCGGCACCAATACTTTCAACCCATTTAGCCTTTTCTTCAGAACCAGAAATTCCAATGACTTTTGAAGCACCAAAGACATTCTTAGCTAATTGAACAGCTATAGATCCAGTGGCACCAGAAGCAGCAGAAATGGCAATAATTGGTCCTTTTTCACCTTCTGGGGTTGGCTTTAACTTTCCAGCATCTACCAATCCAAAATAAGCAGTTAATGAAGTCATTCCGAGACACGAAAGGTAGAACTCCAATGGTAATTGTTGGGATTTATCAATAGCATTAAAAATATTTGATTCATCAGTGATCACATAATCAGCCCAAGCAAGTCTAGCATTGATGATTTCTCCGACTTTATATTTAGAAGATTTTGAATGAACTACTTCGGCTAAGGCTAATGAAGAAACAGCATCACCGTCTCTGATAGGTGGAGCATAGGCACGACTGACATCTTGATCCTTTTGCATCCAAGTTCTTTGAGTAGGATCATTAGAAATATATAAAATCTTTGCAAGAACTTCACCGTCTTTTAATGTTGAAGCATCTAAGTTTTGAGTTTTAATCTCGAATGTTGAATCTGATTGATCCCATTCATAATTGACATCCTTTAAAGGAGCGTTCTTTAAAACGACTGATGTAGCTTTGATTGACATTTGGAGAATTTATTAATAATTATTAATTATATATATGTATGGCAACTATATATGATAATTATATATTTTTATATTTTATTTATGGGAACTACCCTATATATAGATGAAAATATAGATGAAAAATTAATTCCGTGGAGTTACGTCAAAGTTGTAACTCCGAAGCACAATGGTCATGTGATTATATCACATGATACAATTTTGCCGGCATTTTTTCCCGTTTACCGGCAATGAGTCAAGGAAAACTGGAAAGCTCTGTAAATAAGGCTGAGATAGATAACATCTCTTTAACAGAATCGGTAAAATAGGATAAAACAAAGGTATTAGTAATCAATATGGATTTTACGAAGCCAGAGACTGTTCTAAATTTAGACAATATTCGTCAAGCCCTTGTTCGAATGGAGGATACTATCGTATTTGACTTAATTGAAAGATCACAATTTTATCTGTCTCCGTCAGTTTACGAAATCAATAAATTTCAAATTGAAGGTTTTCAGGATTTATCCTTTTTAGATTGGGCTTTATTACAAATGGAGAAAGTTCATTCACAAATACGTCGTTATGAAGCCCCAGACGAGAGTCCATTTTTCCCGAAGGCAATCTTACCACCTATATTACCACCCATTAATTATCCAAAACTATTAGCGAATTACAGTGATGAGATTAATGTTAATAATGAAATCAAAAAGTTTTATGTCGAAGAGATTGTTCCACAGGTCAGTTGTAAAATTGGCGATCAGCAAGAGAATTTAGGATCAGTTTCAACTTGTGATATTGAATGTTTACAAGCTATTAGTAGACGAATACATTTTGGAAAATTTGTTGCTGAAGTGAAATACCAAAATGATAAAGAAAACTATATTCGATTGATTAAGGCTCGGGATGTTAAAGGAATTGAAGATTCTATTACTAATAGCGTTGTTGAAGGTAAGATTTTAGAAAGATTAATCATTAAAGGAGAAGGTTATGGAATTGATCCATCCTTGAGATATAGTCAAAATCCTCAAAGTAAAGTTAAGCCTGAAGTTATTGCTAAATTATATAAGGATTGGATAATTCCATTAACCAAGAAAGTTGAGATTGATTATTTATTGAGAAGATTAGAAGATGAAGATGCTGAATTAGTTAAATCAGTTGTTTAAGTCAAATGGACCTATTTATTTGTTAAGTCAAATGACCTATTTATTTATTTTAGTTGATGGCATATATATCTTAGAATTTAATTTATAGAATTTAACTTATAGAAATTAATTCATAGACAAATAAGTTCATTATAAATAAAAGATATACAAAGAGAATGCGCATTATTATCTACTATTATTTTGCGCGCCATAATAGGAATAAGTGTCTATTCAATTGGTCTAAGGTGATCAACGAAAACTATTCAACCGTCAGTGACACTAATCCATTTTAGAACACATGTTTATAAATTCATTTAGTAATGAAGTAAATTTATGTTTAATTGATCGATTTCCTAATTTAGTCATGTCAAATTTGGATTAATTTATTATGAACTGTTATCATAAAATTAACTATAATTTGAATAAAAATTATCACATGCAAATGATTTCATAGTAACTCAACAATATATATAATAGTTTTTAAAAGCCCACACTTCCCCGATAACTACTTAGATTGGTTGGCCTTGTCCTAAAAAGGTTAGATAAGGTACCCCATGTGCGTAGAAACTTTCGCCATGGCACGACCCTTCTATTTGTTGTTTACTCCTATTCTTTTTGAATTTAGCAGTAATTAAATTAGTTAAGCCGTTCGGTCATGAGTTAAAAGAATAATTTACAAATTATGACGATACCCAAATAGATAATGTAGAATAAACATAGTAGGCTAAAAAGAGTTGATGAAGAATATTATGATATTGACAAGTAATGATTTATCACAAGATAATAATACCACATCTCAAACATAAGAAGGGGAAAACGTTTTCTGACACACGTCTAACCAATTTGGATTAATGTAAAGTTTGTATAGAACAATCGGCTTAAGAACATGCATTATAAAATACCAGAAGAGTTGAACTTGAATCAACTAAACTCAGATGAGTTGGCTCAGTTGAGTTGACGGCTAAATAAAATCAGTCTCCTCCCACGTTTAGCAGCAAAGAAAAATCCAATGCACCCCACGAGTGCAAAAAAAATGAATTTGTACATAGTGAAATATCGCTCGTGCGCAAGTAGTTAGTTAACTATTCTTAAGATTCTTTAAGTAACTAATTGATTAAATTTGTAGGAGTAATTGCACCCATGTATACTTAATTAAGAAAAGTGTGACCTCCAATTTGTCTATAATAGGTAACCATTTCATCGTTCAACAAATTTCAAAAGACGTGTCACCCATCCACAACTGAACAATATTTCACAATAACATAGTAGTATAGTAGAAGTAATAATGCCTTCCTTTTGTTTATAGAACCATATGCCGGTAGTGTCGTCAATCAAACATATCCTCTTTAATTAAACAAAAAATTAGTAGATAAAATGAATTGCGTAAAATATGAAAGTTTCAATAATTAATTTACTCCATATGAGTCTGAAAATTTTAAAACAATATAAATAGATTTGAAAATCCTTGACCATTTTATATGGAATTGTCTTTTAATTTCTTCTTATTCTTTTAATATTTCTATTATTCTAATTCTTCACGTCAATCAATTCACCAATTCCATTACCCATTACCCATTACGTCTTGTAATATCCCACTTAATTTAATCTAGTTCAAAGATTCATCTCTTAGTTACTACACCATTATCCCCATAATTCAACTTTATCTAGTACACGTTCATTTACTTTGTTCAAAGCTAGAATAATATCTATTGGTTGATTCATATATTCATTTTTAACAAACAATCAAGTAGATATTTGATATCATCTACTCGATAAAATTGAAATATTTCATCAATTTTCATTTCCTCGCAACTACACTTTTTTACAGCCAAAATACTGATTTCCAGTATATTTGACAATTGTAATCCTATTAACGAATCTAATTGAATTAAATCAAATTGAATTAAATCGTTTTAATTGATCTAACTTTTAACAATTCATTTCCCTAGAACTTATACAATTCAAATAGAAATTTTTAGTACAAATGTCTGCAATTTTTGTGGATTTATTCCCAACTGATGTATCAAAATTATACATTTTTACATCAATTTCTTTAGTTTGTGGAATTATTTTTGTATCTGCTAAATTAAATCAAACAATTCATTCTTTATTAGTTTTTGCTTGGGCATGTTTTATAAAACCAATTATTCAAAAGAAATCTTCTGGACTTGTAAAGGCTAAAAATCAACAACAAAATTTAGAACAATTTTATAAAAATCAAGCTCATATTTATGATAAAACAAGAGAATTTCTTTTAAAAGGTAGAAAAGAATGTCTTAGATTAGCTTTGTCTCATTTACCAAAAAAGAAAGATTTAGTTTGGATTGATATTGGTGGTGGTACTGGTTCAAATATTGAATATATGAATGAAATTCATAATATTTCCAAAAATTTTAAAGCTGTTTATTTAGTTGATTTATCTCCATCCCTTTGTGAAGTTGCTCAACGTAGAGTTGAAGCTCATGAATGGGAAAATGTTCATGTTCTTTTAGCTGATGCTTGTGATTTTGAAATTGATTATAAATTTGCTGATTTAATTACTTTTAGTTATAGTCTTTCAATGATTCCAACTTTTAATGCTGCAATTGATAATGCTGTTTCTAAATTAGATAAACAGGGTATAATTGCTTCAGTTGATTTTGGTATTCAATCATTTGATACATCTATTGGAAGAATTAATACTCTTGGTGGTCTTATTGATAGAAATATTCCTTGGATTTTACGTAATTTTTGGAGAATTTGGTTTGAAGCTGATAAAGTTTATTTAGATTCTTCCAGAAGAAATTATTTGGAATATAAATTTGGTACAGTTAAATCTCTTAATACCTATAATAAAAAATTAGGTAGAATTCCTTATTATATTTGGATTGGATGTGATAAATCAAAATCTTCAACTATTTTACATAGATTAAATTGTCTTGCAACTGAATCTCCTTATTTAGCTCCATCTTCAACTCCAATTGCTGATTCTATTGATAAAAAGAATTTTGCAATTTCAAAAGGTCATGAAGCTGCAATTTCAAATTTACAAAAAAATTTACCATTCCCATCAATTTATTATCAACGTGAAATTTGGAGAGTTTATTATGATGATTTAAACGCGCAATTTGAACAATTTAAAAATCAATATATTTATGCTTTTACTTGGGAAGATCCTCGTGAAGATAATAATATTCTTAAATTTACTCCAAATGATACTGTTTTAGCTATTACTTCTGCTGGTGATAATATTTTAAGTTATGCAACTTTACCTGAACCTCCAAAACGTATTCATGCAGTTGATTTAAATCCATGTCAAAATCATTTATTAGAATTAAAATTAGCATCATTTAGATGTCTTGATCATAATCAAATTTGGAAAATGTTTGGTGAAGGTAGAATTGAAAATTTTACTGATTTATTAATTGATAAATTAAGTCCTCATATGTCTTCAAATGCTTTCCAATATTGGATGCAAAGAGGTGAAAAAACCTTTGGTAAAAATGGTAATGGTCTTTATGATACTGGTTCAACTAGATGGGCTCTTAGATTAGCCAAATATGTTTTCAAATTTTCTGGAGTTACTAAATATGTTGAACAATTATGTAATGCTCAAAATTTGAATCAACAATTAAAAATTTGGAATGAAAATATTAAACCAGCTATTTTTAATCCAGTGGTTGCAACTTTATTAGTTGGAAATCCTTTATTCCTTTGGAAAGCTCTTGGAGTTCCAGCTAATCAAGCTGCTATGATGGGTAATTCTGTTATTAAGTATGTTATTGATACTTTAGATCCACTTTTAAAACGTTCATTGATTTCTAAAGATAATTACTTTTATTATTTAACCCTTATGGGTCATTATGCTATTGATAATTGTCCAGATTATTTAACAGTTAAAGGTTTTAAACGTCTTACAACTCAAGTTTCATCATTAAATAATGAATCTCCAATTGATAATATTCGTTTACACACTGATACTTTAAATGATGTATTTGCTCGTTTATCAAAGAAATCAATTACAATTGCAATTATTATGGATCATATGGATTGGTTTGATCCTCATGGAACTGATGAAATTAATGAAATCTCAGCTCTTAAAAAATGTCTTGTAAATGGTGGTAGAGTTATGTTACGTTCTGCTTCAACTCATCCATGGTATATTAAGAGTTTTGAAAAATTAGGTTTTAAATGTGAAGCTGCTGCTATTAGACTTAGTGGTGAATCAATTGATAGAATTAATATGTATGCTTCAACTTGGGTATGTACTAAAGTTGATGCTATTGAAGAAGAAGAAGAAGATGAAGAAAATGTCGAAGTTTCATCTGAAGCTATCCCAATGAGAAGAAGAATGAGTAGTTTACATATTTAATTCACTATTCTTCTCTTGATATATTTTTTTTCTTAACTTGTTTGTCTTTTCAACTACAATTAACCTACGAAATTATAATATTAGATATATTATTACTTCTATTACGTCTACATCAACTATAATTCTCCCTCATATACTTATACTTATTCTATTTATCTACTACTCCTTCTTTAGATTATAGAACAAAAATTATTGTAAATATACAATTTACGCGTAAAGGGGTTTTTTTTTTGCAGCAATTTGCAAATTGTATTTTTACCTCATTAGTAATACTGGTTATTATCATCCAGTTGTTGCTGTTGTTGTTCTTGTTGTTCTTGATGAGCGATAATTAATCCATCAAATGGATTAATTCCATGTTTAGCAAAGAATTGACCTGATGATTGTGGAGGGGCAGTTAAAGAACCATTATTTGATATCATACTTGAACCAGATCCAACATTACCAACTAATGTTGAATTAGCACTCATATTTGGACTTATTAATGGACTCATAATAGAATTATTATCTCTAAGACTAGTATTAGTAGATGAAGGCATAATTGCTTGAGCTGCAGCTCCTAATGTTACAACTAATGGAGTTCTAACTGAGGATGAATTATTATTTAATTGTGATAAATTTGTATTTGAATGAGAATGAAAATCAGATAATGTATGATTATTTGAAGGTATAGTAGCTGATAAAGGAGTAAAAATATTTGAACCACTTGGAATTGATGATAATGGTGGAGGACCAGAATAATCTCCATTAACTGTTATACCTTTATATGATGATAATTCTAACATATAAGTTACTTCTTTTGCAATCTTAGTTAAATTCGACATTGAAGCTCGAATATCATCTAAAATTGGTAAATCTTTAACAATACTCTTAACAGCAGCTAATGTTTGTAGCATAGCTTTAATAAATGAATTAATATCTTCACCAAATAATTTTTGAGTTGTTTCTGATGGATTATTTCTAATAGTAATTAATTTAGTCTTTAATCTTTTAGTAATATCTAATGAAATTATACAAACATTAGTTAATTCTTTAACTTTAGATACAACTGCTTGACTTACAATAGGATTTCCTGATGTAGCAGTTGCCATGGCACTTTTACTAAGAGCTTTATTTAAATCAGTAAATATGCCTTGTGCTGTACTAGTAGCTGAATCAATTGTAGCATATAATTTCTCATCAACTCCATCTTGATTAACAACAAAATTGGTATTAATAGATAATTTCAGTGGTTGTTGTGTATCAGTATCATGCTGTTCATCATTATACTGTTGTGGTGGAGTTTCATAATGGTCAGCAATTTCTTGCTTTTCTTCATTATGGTATTGTTGTTGTTGAGTAACATGTACTTCATCACTATATGGTTGTTGATATTGAACTTCTTGTTGTGTTTGCTCAAGTTGTTGTTGCTGTTGCTGTTGCTGTTGCTGTTGCTGTTGCTGTTGCTGTTGCTGTTGCTGTTGCTGTTGCTGTTGCTGTTGCTGTTGTTGTTGTTGTTGTTGTTGTTGCTGCTGTTGCTGCTGTTGCTGCTGTTGAAGATCTTGTTGATCCTGTTGTGATATAAATGATTGCTGTTGGTCAAATTGTATTGGCAAATGTTCTTGATATTTAATCCCTGGATCAGATTCAATATATATACTATAATCAGGTACAAGAAGTTTATATGCATTTAATAATTCATTAAATGAACCATATAATGAAAGATATAACATTCTAATAAAGCAAATATCAATTTTACTTACAAAATTAACAAAATTATCATTTAATAAATTCATAATGGCTTTAAATGATGAAATACAATTTTGTAAAATGATAATAATTTGATCTAAATTATTACCACTTTCTTCCATAATCTCAAGATTTTCAACTAATGAATCAATATTGGCTTTAGTAACATATAAATATGATACCATCTTCATAGTTACTTTTTTATCAACACAAAATCCCGTAAACCTTCTTACTGATGAATGTAATTCACTAAATGAAAATAAGATTTTTCTTGAAACTTTAATAATTGTTGAAGGTTGATGTTTTTTTGTTGTTGGTGGTTTATTAGCAATAGTAGTATTAGATGTTATATCTTGAGATAAAGATATTGAAGGTCGATTATTTATTGGTAAATGTTTGATTTCTTCTGGTTTTATAGTAAATTTATTATTAATAGGAGTTGAAGTAATACTAGCAGTTAAAGAATGAGGATGATGATTAATTTCTTTAATTTCAGCTCCAGGATTTTCTTGAAGAGTTGATAATCTTCTAAAATAAGCTCCTGATTTATGTTCTGTATCAACATTTTCATTCTTTTCTAAAATTTTATCAATTTCTTTAAGAGTATTTGATCTTGATCTATTTCTACTGGATGGTCTACTTACAGTTGACATATTTGAATTTGATTCTGATGATGATATAATTGTAGAATTTTTAAAAGTATTATTTATTGGAGAATTAGGTACAGTAGTTGCTGTAACAGTTGAAACTATTGGAAATGGTGGAGTACCTAAATTAAATCCATCAAGTGAAGTCGCTGATGGTAATGAATAATCATTAGGAATGTTTTGATTTTGATTTTGATTATGATTAAACATTATAGAATCATTAGTAAAATTATTATCTAAATCAGAATTAAAAGTTGTTGTATTAGCAGATGTTATAGGAGTTACATCAGAAGATTTTGAATCTACTTCAGCAGGAATATCTTCAGGCTTTTTAATAATTAATCCCATTCTTCTAGCAGCTCTTGAAGCTTTTGATTTTGAAGATTCAGATATACTTCTTGTTCTTGATAAAGTACTATGCATTTGTTCAAAAAGTTTTGATTCAATTAAATCTCGATTTGATAAAAGAAATAATTTTAAATCAATTGTAGATGGATTCTTTAATGAATCAGAAGATGGAATAATTAATGGATTCCCCGAATAATCAATTAAATTTAATCTTTCTAAATCACCTAACCATGGAGGTAAATATTTAAATCGATTATCTTTAATTGATAAAATTAATAAATCTTTTAAATTATTAATTGAATGAGATATATAATTAAGTTTATTATTTGAAATATCTAATACTTCAAGTCCAGTAAATTCATTATAAATATCTTCAGATATTTGATTTATATAATTATTATGTAAATCTAAATATTTAATATTTGATAAAAAATTTAAAAATGTTGATGATGATGTTGATGATGATGATATTGATAATGAAATTTCTGTAAATTGATTATTTTGTAAACTTAATTTATCACATTCAAATGGTGGATTAAATGAATAAAGAAATTCATATATAATTAAAATTATTTCATTAAATGTAAATCTTATATTATCATTATGAATATTAATACTTTGAAATAAATTATGTAGTCTAACTGTTTTAGTATGATCTATAGATTCTAGTTGTTCTTCTAAAAGTATCACTAGATGATCCTTTAGTGACATCTTTTTTTTATACAGTAACCAATAACTACTACAACTACTTTTATAAAGTTATGGTTATAGTTGTGGTTGATACTTTTGATCTGAATCGTTAATTAATTTCGCTTAATTTAATTTTTTTGGCTCCTTTTTTGTGATGGTTCTATCGAGACAGTTAAAGCGAGTTATAGCGAATTATAGAGAGTTATTAACTATTAAAGTTCTTGGCTACATTATATAATAATAAGCATTGATTTATTTCATTATACGGTACCTACGTTAAGTTAAATTAAATTAAATTAAATTAGACAGAAATACCTTTGGCAAGTGCATCAGCTCTTTCTTGCCAAACTGTCTTACCACTACAACTACATACTTGTTTATCATTTTCCCAAATTCCTGCTGATCTTGCAATAACTCCACATAATGAATCAGTAGTAACAGAATCTTTTAATCTTGATAAAATAATTGATCTACCAATTAAATCATCAATACTTAAATTAGCATGAAGAAATGATTGACCTGAAAATAAAGTTCCTGGTGATGAAACAACTGAAGCTCCAATAGAATTAATTGTAGTATAAATTGAGGATGGTTCATCAATTTCAACCGGTTGAAGTTGATAATATAATCCTCCTGTAGATAATGCACCTTCTGATAAATTACCAGATTTACGAATTGATGGATAATATTGACCCTTTGGTAATCCATTAATGGTTAAATCTATAAATAAATCAGTTGGTGAAACACTAACAATTCGAGCTAAACCTTTAACTGGTTGTTGAGAATCTTTAGCATCAAAAGATTCTAAAATACAAACAGCTGCAGAATTAACTTTACCAGTACCTCTAATAATTGCATCTCTACCTGTTCCTTGAATTGCTCTAACAATTTCACTTGGTGGTACTATACCATCAGTAATTACAGTATTATCTTTAAGTGAAATATCAAATTTATTAATTCCACTAACTTTCAGTAATGCATTACTAACAGATTCAACACATGATTCACATTCCATAGGAACAGCAAATACAATTTCAAACGATTTGGTCATTGCAATTGATACTATAGATAATTAATACAAGTAATAAATAATACGTATATATTGAACTTTAAATCAATTCAAATTAATAGTTTGTCTTAAATTACTAATCGAATCATACAACTTTTTTCGGGCTTACTGGTGGTGGGGGAGATCTCGCTATAGCCGTCGTTTGTAGTTTTGCGATCGCTTGCACCCAATACTAATTATCTGGCTTATTAATGTAATATGTGTACTTCATCGTAAATAGAGAAGTTTAGCTTATTATATATAGGGGTTTATTAAAGATAAACCTGGGTTAAAGTTCTATATGTATATATGGTGAATTATATTACTAAACTATAACTTATTGTACTACGTAGAATTGCTAAAACTAGCTCTTATATATGTGAATTGTTATATATACTTATTTATATAATCATTACATAGATTGTATTAAAACAGTACTGTGCTAATTCATTAGTTAAATAATTTTTCACAGGTACTGCAATACTAGGAGAATTAGTTCAATGGCTATTCCATACTTTCTATAATGGATATTAAGCCAAGATATATACATTTATGAACTTAATTGGTCTCTCGTCATATAGAGTCATGTGCATCGTGTCTGCATTTATATTTCACATAACTTTCAATCATCACTCTACTTAGCAATATTAGCATTAACACATTGTTGAAAAGCCTGAAATTCTTTGGCACAGTCATCTTTTCTAATAGTAGCATATTTTTGTAGTATACATTGACCATATAGTGACCCTTCTACAGCACATTTTCCTGTAGCATTTACAAGCCTTTTAGCTGGCCGTATCTTTTTGTTTAATGACATTCTTACTAAGTTGACTCCTGACTAATTATCTATATCTCTTATAATGGTCAGCTTCAATTTTTTTGTCAATTTTTGTTACCAATCACTTTTTGCGACATGTAAGTAACGAACCAAAAAGATAAAAGACCCTCCAGAATCGGGATTGACAAACCTAAATTTTAGAGAATTGTTAAATACACGATATCTATATCAATGCTGTATTATACCTGTAAGCTTCTGATTATTGAAACTGTATAGATTTTATAACCTATACTTAGTTAGGACTATCTAATATCCTCAGTATGCAGTTCGTTCTCAGACATCGCGGAGATATGATTTTGACTCGTAATTTTTTTTCTAACTCTTAGATGAGATCTCCGACCAACTCTTTCAAATCAGTTCAACAGTAATATATACTATAGAAAATATAGAAAATGACCATCGAGCTTGAGGAACCACCTCTTACTCATGATAATAATCAGGTTTTTAAAGATTTATTTGCTGGTACTATGGGTGGTATTGCCCAAGTATTGGTTGGTCAACCATTTGATACTGTTAAAGTTAGACTTCAATCTGCTCCAGAAGGTACTTATAATGGTGCATTAGATGTTATAAAAAAATTAGTACAAAATGAAGGTCCAAAAGCTTTTTATAAGGGAACTTTAACTCCATTAGTTGGAGTTGGTGCATGTGTTTCTGTCCAATTTTCAGTTAATGAATTTATGAAAAGACATTATGATAATAAACTAAATGGTCAACCACTTTCATTATTACAATTTTTTAATTGTGGAGCTATTGCTGGTTTTGCCAATGGGTTTTTAGCATCTCCAATTGAACATATTCGTATCAGACTTCAAACTCAAACTTCAAGTACAAAATCATTTAATGGACCAATTGATTGTTTTAAAAAACTTTATCAACAACAAGGACTCTTTGGAGGAATTTATAAAGGTTTAGTTCCAACTCTTATAAGAGAATCGGTAGGTTTAGGTATTTATTTTGCTACTTATGAAGCATTGATTGCTAATGAGTTAACTAAAGATAAATCCATTACTAGAGCTGATATTTCAAGTTTAAAATTATGTGCATTTGGTGGTTTATCTGGTTATACTTTATGGATAGCTATATATCCAATTGATGTTATTAAATCAAAATTACAAACTGATTCCTTAACTAAACCAACTTTTAAGGGATCATTAGATGTTGTCAATAAAGTATTTAAAAGTTCAGGAATTAAGGGTTTCTACAGAGGTTTTATTCCAACCATTTTAAGAGCAGCTCCTGCTAATGGTGCTACATTTGCTGTGTTCGAAATAACCATGAGATTATTAGGTTGAGTACACTTAGGATCCTTCAATTCTCACATTCATTTATATGTATATACATTAGAATCTTTATTTATTTATTTATTAAATTTAATTATTAATTATTCATTATTCATTATTCTATTAAAAATACTAAAGTAAAAATTAAAAAGTAAAAACTAACTTATACAATATTACTGGTCTCTTTTAAGTAGTGTATGTCCATTATTAGGATGTAATTCATAGTCTGTACCAAATCCATGAATATTAGTATTATTATCAATTGGTTCAAAATTTGCCTGAGTATCATCTTCTAAATAATCTTGCGGTCGTATAACTTTAATAAATTCTATGAAATCCATTAAATATTCTCCATTAAATTCATAAGAATCAGTCCCTGCTAATTCTACTTTTTCAAGATAACTTTCTTCTAATTCAGAATCAACTCTTGTGGTTTCAGTAGGTGACAATTGTGATTCTATTTCATTTTCTTTTGATTTATTAACTGAATCTCTTGCACGTTTGTTAAAATTTTTATCTATTCTTAAATGTAATCCAGGTATCAAATCAATAATGTATAAAAATAAACATGTCATAATAAATGTATATGATGAAACTACTACACATCCTAAGATTTGATAACCTAATTGTTTCCAATGACCTTTAATCCATCCTCCTTTAGATGCATAAAGATCATTAGCAAATATACCAGTTAATAATGAACCTACTATACCAGAAATTCCATGTATAGCAAATATATCAAGTGCATCATCAATTCTGAAAAAGTATTTTAATCTAGTTGAAAAATTTCCAATTATAGCACCTACAACTCCAAAAACTATACCTTTCCATAATTCTGTTGGTGAAGATACAAATCCACCTCCTGGAGTAATTACAACTAATCCTGTCATAACTCCTGATGAAAATGATATCATTGATACTTTTCTTCTTACTATAAAATTAGATTGTGTTTCATGTAAATGTTGATTAAGTAATACTCCTGTTTGAGAAATATGAGGAGCTAATGAAGTTTGTGATGCAATAACTGATAAATTATTTCCATCAATATTTGTTGGTGTTTCTATATTTGAACCTTCTAAAGGAATTAATGAAAAATAATAATCAATAAATGTCCAAACAATTCCACTAACACAAGCACATAAAAGGGTATTAATAAATATATAAATGGAATATTCAGAAAATTTATAATCACAACCTCCAACAAATCCTACCCAACCACAAGTAATAAAAAATGTTCCAATAACAATATAGCCTGTATTAATATTTCTATAATTGTATAATAGTTTGGGATTTCTTGGACCTAAGATATAAGAATATGCTAAACATGTAAATCCACTAACAATATGAATACAATTCCCACCAGCAAAATCAAGTACAGGTAATTTTCCTAAATCAACAGATAACCAACCATTAACATTCCAAAACCAATAAGTTATAGGATTATAAATAATACATGACCAAAAAAATAAGAATACTAACATTGGTAATAATCTACCTCTTTCAGCAATACAACCAGGAAATGTTAATGCAGCACAAATGGTTTTAAATAAACAATTAAATAAAAAATGATTAACTATCAAAACATTACCTCTTGAATTTGAATAAATTGCTAAAGCTGAATCTTTAAGATTTCGAAGTACGGCAAAATTAAGATTTCCAATAAATCTATTTGAAGATGATGAATAACATAAGGAATAACCCCAAATAAAATAATCAACAAATATGAAAGGTATTAAAAATACTGGAAGTGCAAACATAGTTAATGAAGATCTTCTTTGAGTTAAACCTGAATAAAAATATGCTATACCAATAATACATAATGGTAATAAAGCAGTACAATATAACATATAAAGAGCATTTAAGCCCGTTTTAACGTCTATTAAATCAATAATATCCGAAGCCATGGTTAACTTCGAACCTTTACTAAGTAAATAACCAAACAGGCTCAATCTCTATATAAAGATCTATGAAATACTCTTTATTGGTTAAGCTGAGCATTTGTTACTCTGGGCTGAAAAAAAAAATCTTGCAGAAAATCGATGTACATATCGGTGATCATTTCCGCCCAGCCGTTTAACGGTGCCAGCAGAATTCCCGAAAGCACGTGAGGCAAAACAGTGGAATTGCAAAATTGCTATCTATATAATTTGGATTGATATTTAGTTGTATTCTGTCAAATTCTCTCTTTAGTATAGCACAATTCATACATGTAGTAAAATATGAAGAATTCATGTTTGTAGCTATATTAGAACCATTTTCAATCATATTATGCATTTCTTCATTAGTATAACTTAATTGAAATGTTGAAGTATTAGATTTATAAGAATAATCGGCATTTGAAAAATGGATAATTAATGGAGGTAAGAAATGTTCGTAGTAATTTTTTTCAATACCTGGTGAATTTAATGACAAATTTTGATTTAATTGGAGGGTTGGATAATCGGTTTGTAAATCACATCCTAGGAATATGGGTCTTTGGTTTAAATTATCTTCCACTATTTCTTGAGGAGTAGGGAAATATGGCAATACAGATTTTTTATTCTGAGTAGAATTATAGTTTTTATCTTTAAAAGTAGTTGTATTCGAAGGAAACAGAAACAATGTAGGTGGAAGAGTAAAATATGGTAGTAATATCAGAGACTTATTATTATGATATCGATCTACTGTAGCTTGAATTGTAGTTCCATTAGGATAATTGTTAAGATCTGCCGTCATATCATAAGTTAAAAGTAAGTCAATTTCTCTTGATTTTTGTAGAAATGGTTGAAATGGTATATTTTGACCATCATCTCCACCATCAACTAAATAAATATCAGGACTTTCAGTTATTCTTGCTCCATTGAATGGGACATCTGTTAAACCATAAAAGGGATTGGGAGAGTATAATGCATAATCAGGATGAACTCTTGGGTTTTTTAGTCGACGATACTCAGAACTTAATCCAAATGCTTTTAGAATTGACTCTAAAGCGATAGTTGCGTCCAGTTTGACATCAACTAACAATTTGTAAAGATATACAAATACATGATTGAATAAAGATGAACTTGTACCTGTTACAAAAGAAACACTATCAAACCCAGATATACAAATAGAAATATTTTCATTCTCAGTTTTATGAGTGGACACTCCGTTCAATAGACTTGATCCAAGATACTTTATGGGTATGAAAGCATTCAAGTAAGAATCCCAAGATCCAAACTCAAAAGGTGTAAATTCAAATAAATGTGAATCTTTACTTGATTCTGTACCTAATGGACTCCTCTCAATTGAACATATTACCGGAAAAGGTTGTTCCCAATTTCGAAAAGACCGTAGCAACGTGCCGGCTGTAATCGTTGCACCTGGTGTACGAGCAGATTGTGGAAATATTCTTCTTGCAAGAGCTCTACCCCAGTAGTCAGTCAAAGAAATGTGAAAGCCAGCTTTCCTTTTATCTCTAACTTCAATTTGTAACTCCTTATAATATGAAAACATTTCCTTTAAAGAGGTCCCTTTTTCCTCTTTCAGTTTCTCTACTGTCTGATTTGATTTAGAAAAGAATGATTTCACTAGTGAAATAAAGAAAGTTTCTACGTTAGTTGAATTACCTGCTTTCTTGTTTAAGTTTAAATTGTTAGGTTTAGTTGCTTGATTGCTGGTCATATCGGGTTTAATCCCAAATAATCCCAAGATTCCATTTATGACACTTCCTTTACCTTCTTCTTCTACCACTTTCTTATCATTAAGTTGAATAGTTTCTGGTGAGTCTATGTTTTCTTCTTCTAAAACAATGTTCTCCTGAAAAGTGCTTGGATTGAAGCTCGGTATACCTTCGAGTAATTGTTTATTCATACCCCACAGTTTTGAATCATCCTTTACTTGAAAAATAGGCTGGAAATCTCCAATAAAATTACTCATGACCAACCAAGAACCTCCTGATATACCGCCAATATATGAAGTGGCTTGTAATAAACCGCCCAAATTATTAGATGAATTTGGACTTCTAATATCATAAGCTTGTAATACTCCAGCACCTAATAACATAGATCTAAAACCTCCTCCTGAAAATGCCAAAGCTATCCTTGTATGTTTAACTTTGTTATATAGAAACTTCTCATAATCAAATCCAGGAATCTTATGCTTGAAAAGTAATTGTTGTATAGAATCTTCTGTTATCCTAGTTCTATTATTAATGTAATACTGTTCATTAACTCCAAGTTCCTATACTATTGTTAGTTTACAATGCTATTAAAATCATTAGAATAATTAAATATATCTTACATTATTGGCTTGTCTGATTAAACTCTTAGATGGACAAAGGACAGTGTAAGGAGCATACGATAAGTTCCATATTCGATTACTCTTAGTACCAATTGAATTACCATTAAAATTAACTAAATTATCAGATATAATATAAGGAATATTCGATTGATTATGTCTTACTTTACCGCCCAATACTAAGATTGTCATTAATGCTATACAAGCAAATATAGACTGATAGAGTTTCATGGTCTCACTAATAAACAAAAAGTTGCAGCCATTTACTTTTTCTGGTTATAGAGTTGCAAATTTTTTATACAGGCAATTTTTTTTTAAATCAATCTATAATATTAAGTATATGGAAACACTAGTGATATATTAAAATTGTATAAATATATAGAGAAAGAATTAATGACGATGAATAAAAAAAATAAGTGTAAAGAATATTATAAATAACTAGATTTAAAATTCTTCATCAGATGAAACATAAGCATCACCTAATTCCTTCTTCTTTTTCATTCTTTCCTTCTTCTTCTTTCTTAATTCAGCAGATGATAATTTAGCCTTCTTCTTAGCAGCGGCAATCTTGTTACCCATAGCATCGAATTTATCTTCTTCTTCATCATCCTTCTTTTCTAATCTTGGACCAGAACCTTGACCTTGGACCCAATTATGACCAGATGGAGTCATTCTACCATCTAAGACAGCCCAAACTTCTTCAGTAATATCCTTGGTGAATTCAGCAGAGTGAGTAATGATAACAATACCACCATCAAAAGCCTTCAAGGCTTTAGATAAAGCACCTAAGGAGTCACGATCCAAATAATTGGTTGGTTCATCTAAGACGATTAAATGAGGTCTTTGCCAAGTACAAGCAGCTAAGACTAACTTAACCTTTTGACCACCAGATAAACCTCTAATTCTAGAGTGAGAAACTAATTCAGCATCTAAACCTAACATGGCACAGTGTTCTTCAATTTCCTTTCTGGTTAATGGTCTGAATTGACCAGAAGCTAAAGCTTCCTTCATATCAACTTCAGCAACCATCTTGGCGTGAGTTTCCATTAATTCACCTCTTGGTAACCAAGCGTTATCAACAGACATCATTGGAACCCATCTTTCATTCTTTAAACCAATGTTTTCACCTAATAACCAAGAACATTCATATTCATAAGAGTTCTTGAACTTTCTTCTAGCATGAATACCAGCAACTCTTCTTGGAGTACCTTCAATCTTAAAGACCTTGTTCATGTTTTCTTCATCCTTTTCATTGATTTGTCTTGAAGCTCTATCCATAGTTTCTCTATCTTCACCAGTTTGGAATCTCCATTGGATATATTCAGATGGAGTTTTATCTAAATGGTTATCAATATGGGCAAAAGCATGTTGTTTAATGTAAGCAATACGACAGTTTTCATGAACGTAAACTTCACCAGTGGTTGGTAATAATTCACCAGTTAAAACATTAATTAAGGTGGATTTACCAGCACCATTTGGACCAATGACAGCAATTCTAGAAGATAAAGAACATTGGAAGTTAATATCTTGAATTTGTGGTTTAGCAGTACCTGGATATTGGAAAGACATGTTAGAAACCTTAACAATAGCCTTTTGTTTAGTCTTAACACCTTCTAAGAAACCTGGTTCTGGGAATCTAAATTCTAAATCAGAAGCTCCTAATTCATAATAAGATTGAGCAGATGGACATTTCTTAACGAATTCAGATAAATTACCCTTGTATTTTCTTAATTTGAAACCTTCATAATGGATAATGTATTGACAAACGTTATCTAAGAAACCAGAATCATGAGAAACAATAATGGAAGTAATACCACAAGTGTTTAAGTAGTTAACTAACCAAGCAACATTGACGGTATCTAAATGGTTAGTTGGTTCATCTAATAATAAAATATCAGCATTCTTTAAGACAGCTCTAGCTAAAGCTAATTTCATCTTCCAACCACCAGATAAGGATTGAATTGGCATTTTAATCATGTCATCAGAAAAGTTGAATTCAGTTAATTTAGCAACAACAGCATCTGAAGTTAAACCAACTTCACCATCTTGAAGAACGAATTCAAGAACAGTAGTTTCAGCATGAGTACCATCGATATCATGTTCAACATAAACAGTCTTACATTCTTCTTGAGATGGGAAACCTTCAACTTGACCATTAGCAATGGCTCTCATTAAAGTAGATTTACCAGCACCATTTGGACCACATAAACCATATCTTCTATTTCTCTTTAATCTGAATTGAGTCTTATTCAATAAGATCTTAGCACCATAAGCTAAAGAGAATTCACAGTTACATAAATCTTCACCTTCATCTTCTTCATCTTCAAATGATGGAGGTTCAGGAATATTATCAATAGCTCTCTTTCTGAATTCTTCAATAATTTCTTTAGCTTCCTTTTCATGTAAGAAAATAGTAGCAAATGGTAAAACATTTTGAATCCAAGCTTCTGGTTGAATTTGTCTTTCATCAACTAAATCACCGGCAATGGCAGCAATATAAGTTTGAACAACATCAAATCTTTTAGCAATAGTTTTACCTTCTAATAAAGTAGTAAGTTCTCTTAAGGTAACTGGAATATCACCAGCGGTTGAAACTTCTGGAATAACATCATTTTCACCAACAGCACCAACTCTTCTTAAAGTATTTAAAGCTCTTTGAGTAACATCACGAGCTTCTGGATCAGCAATGTTAGCAAAGTTAGCCTTTAAAGATGGTAATAATTTATCCAAGAAAGGAGCAACAACTTGAGGATCTTCGACTAATTTACACATATTATCAACAATAACAGCAGCTTTACGTTTAATAGCAGTATCACGTTCAGCTAAACCTCTTGATAATAATGGAACCATAATAGATAAAGTAGCCATAGTAACTTCAGAAACAAAAGTAGTAGCACCTAATAAATGAACAGTTTCTGGAACTTCAGTTGGTTTAGCAATACATTCAATTAATTTTGGAATAAATTTTTCAATATCTTTATTATCAATAGTTTCAGTTGATTTAGTCATAGTAGCAGTGGCAGCTTCTTTAACTTCCTTTTTAGTATCCCACATGGTTTCAGATAAAACAGGAATTAATTCCGGCATTCTTAAAGCAATTTGAGCATTAGCAGTATCAACTAATTGAGAAATAGCCTTTAAAATAGCAATTTTTTCAGTCCATTTATTAGTATTAGTTAAATTATCAATTAATTTTGGTAAAATAACTTTAACAGCAGTTGGAGTAACAGCAGTGGCAATAGCAACTAAAGCATCAGTAGCAGCATCTTGAATTTCTTTATTTTTATCACCAGCTCTAACAGCAACATCAGAAACTAATTCAACAACATAAGGTTCAACTGAAGCAGATAAAGCATTTGAAGAAGAAATATGAGAATAAGCTTTTAAACCAGCAATAACGGCTTCATTATCCTTTTTATTATTAATTTCTTTCTTTAAATCTTCAAAAAATTCAACTGGTGCATCATGTTCAACAATTGATGAATTTAAAAATGATGAAACATTTGAAGCAGCTTCATCCTTATTTTCGGCAACTTTTAATTTACCTAATAATTCAGAAAGAACTTCTGTTGAGTATTTAGATTCACTGGCAGCAGACATTTTCCAATGTTATTTACCAATTCTAAAAGACAATGTCTAAAAAGAAGAAAACTAATATATTTATAAAAAAAATTTGGGAACTCACACCTGGTTAAAAATTTTTCGGGTCCTCATTAGTGCCCACCTGTGAGATCATCAAGGTTTACTATTGCGGTCTGGGTGTTTGCACCTTTTTTTGGCGAGAAGAGATAGAAAAAATTTAAAATTTTTTTTTGATGGGTGATGAATTGGGTAATGTGCGGCTCCCTCCATCAATAGACAACGTTGAAAAACCTGTAAAATAAAAAGAAATTTTCTTTTAATTGTATGTATAATTAGCAAGTGTAAGCGTATATTTGAGAATGAATTGATTGGTACATATACTTGAATTTACTACGGTTATCGGGACGTTACCCGGAGTGCAACCCTATCAGCACTTACTATAACTTACTAAATTACTATCTTACTATAATTAATTCAAAGTAACTATAACTAATTCAAAATAATTTCTACTTTGTTCTTGATATACTTAGTTACTTATTGTAGTAAGCTAGTCTTATTAGCTATATATATATCTGTAAATGGAAACTCAATTCACGCATGCCTATATAACAAAAGATTCAATTATCGTATACATGTAGTTATATATAATTCTCTTAAGTAGAGAAATTCATACATCTCTTAATTAATGAAATCAATTGATAATTATTTGCTTGATAACATCCTCTTTTGAGAAAAGGCTATTAGCATATAGTTAGTATGAAGGTTTTACTGAGGAGTGCATAGTGGAAATGTGACACAATATACAAATCATACAGAAGTTCTCTGATTTGGATTAAACGTCACTCACCTTTACACCATTATCGGCTCAATTGAGTATTACCAAGATAAGATAATTATAGTATACGTTTAAATAGGTAATTGATCTTTATTTAACAAAGTAAGAGTACCAAAATTGTGTTTTACTGGGTTAAATAAAATTTTATATTCTAACGTATAATAGTGCACTTATCTGCAATAAGAACTATTTAATCAAAAATATCATTTAGATAAAAACCCATAGTTGCATTATTTTTATTAGGTGCACTAATATCAATAACAATTTTACAAATTTAGAGGGTTACGGAAAAACTCTTAAGTTTGAAAATATATTATCGAGTTGAGTATATACTGCTAGTGCGATGATTGTGGATAAAGAAACAAAATATGATAGACAACTTCGTCTATGGGCGTCAACTGGTCAATCTAATTTAGAAAATTCTCATATATGTTTAATTAATGCTACCACTACTGGTTGTGAAATACTTAAAAATTTAGTATTACCAGGTATTGGAGAATTTACTATAATTGATGATAGGAAAGTATTACCAATTGATTTATCAGGTAACTTCTTTTTAAAGCAAGATGATATTGGTCGAAATATAGCAACTGCTGTTAAAGAAAATTTAATTGAAATGAATTATGAAGTTAAAGGTAATGATATAATAAAATCAATTGAATCAATTCTAGATAATGATGGATTTTGGGATACCTTTAATGTAGTAATAGTTAGTGATCATTTATCTCAAATTGATCAATTAAAAGAAATTTTATGGAATAAAAAGATCCCTTTATTAATAGTTCATACCATTGGATTCTATGGTTCACTACAATTAATATCAAATGAAATAACAGTAATTGAAACTCATCAATCTTCAAAATTATATGATTTAAGAATTGATACACCATGGCCAGAATTACAAGAGTTTGTAGATTCATTTGAATTTGATAAATTAAATGATATTGAACATGCTCATATACCTTCTATAGTAATTCATATTAAAGCATTAAATAATTGGAAATTGAATCATGATAATCACCTCCCAAAATCTAGAGATGAAAGATTATTATTCAAGAAAGATTATATTTCTGCTTTGTCTAGAAATATTCACTTGGAAGGAAATTTTATTGAATCAGTTGAATCATTTCATCGAGCCTTAAGAGTCACACAAATTCCATCTAACTTACAAGAATTATTTAATGATGATCAAATATCAGATGAAAATATCAATTTATCAACCCCTATATTCTGGATATATATTAAAGCTCTAAGGAATTTTATAGAATTAAATAATGGTCTATTGCCATTACCTGGAGCTTTACCTGATATGGAATCCGATACTGAAAGTTATGTGGCCTTAAAGTCAATCTATAGAGAAAAAGCTTTAAAGGATCAAGAATTATTTTATGATCAAGTAATAAAGGTTCTTAAATCAGCAGGAAGATATGAAGATGAAATAAGTAAGGATTCAATTGCAACTTTCTGCAAGAATGCTCAATCCTTATATGTGAGTCATGGATCTAAGAAATCTTTCACACCTGATCAAATACAACAATTAACTTCTGTAACTTCAACTCCTGACAGTCTTCTAGAGATATATTTTGCAATTTGGGCTTATGATAAATACCTCCAGGAATTTAAAGTCATTCCTTCTATAAATGATATTGAAACAGTTAAACAAGTTTTAGCTTCTTCATTAAATATTTCAGAAAAACTTTCACCTACATTTGTCATGGTCTTATCGGAAATATTGAATCACAATACGCATTCATATCATAATCTAAGTAGTTTTATGGGTGGTATTGTTAGTCAAGAAGTACTTAAGTTAACTACTGCCCAATACATACCACTAGATAATGTATTCGTATTTGATGGTATACATTCAAAGAGTGATAAATGGTCCGTTAATTAAAAGTCTATCATAATATATATATGTATATATCTATAAATCGTCAAATGATCCTTGTACAGCAGAAGTTTTCTTCTTTTTATTACTTTTAACCACTTCTTTCCAATCTTCTTGAGTTTCTTCATCGTCAGAAGATTCCTCCATGATTTGCTTTTCTATAGCTTCTCTTTTCCTCTTCATCTTTTCCCTCCTTTCTTGTCTAGTTTCTTTTGTTTCAACTTTAGTAGACCATGCCTCATTCTTAATCTTCAATTCTTTTCTTCTTTTGGCTTCAGATATCTTTCTTAATTTATCAGCTTCAAGATTTTCTACTCTAGATTTCTCTTTTTGTTCGTCTGCATATGCATATGTATCCATATCTATAACCTCTCCTAACCATCCATCTTCAGGCATTTCCTCATTCGGTACATATTTTGATTCTGGCATTTTTGGTAATCTTAATAATCCATACATTTTAGCAATTGGAATATATGGTAAACTTTGATATCTAAATATAGATGAAGCCATATGTTTTGTATAATATCTAACAAATCCAACATAAGATTTAATACCTAATTCATGACGAGCTCTATCTTCAAGTAAATAATTTCTAAATTTATTTTGAAATTCTTCATGATATTTGGTTGTGATTGGAGGTAATTTCATTTCAGATAGTATAACACCTTTAACTTCCATAAATCCAACATATTCTTCTTCTCTTGAACCTTCATTTAACATAACAATAGCTTGTCCTACTTTATTTGCTCTACCAGTTCTACCACATCTATGTAAGAATACATCAGGATCTGTAGGAGGATCTATTTGAATGACTAAATCGACATCTGGGATATCAATACCTCTTGCTGCAACATCAGTCGTCATTAATACAAATTTCTTAAGTGCTGCATCACCCTCTGAGAACGTTTGAATAGCACGTAATCTAGCTTTGGTAGAAAGTTGACCATGTAATGAAACAAATTGAATTAAATTATCATTATTATTATCTCTTATTAATTTATGGAAAACATTATAAAAATATTTCACTCCTGTACAAGTTGGAAAATATACAATACATTTCTTATACTTATAATCATTTAAAAGTTTTATTAATGTTGTAATTTTATGTTCAGGATTTATAGGTAAATATGATATCAGTAAAGATTTAGGTGCTGAATTATGAGATGATTTGGATTTGACAACAACTTTAACTGGATTATTCATACCAGTTCTGAAAATAGTATCACCAGCAGCAGAAATAGTTGCTGAGAATAAACCTGTACGACGTTGCTTTGGTAAACGTTTTAAAATATTAACAACATCCCTTTCAAATGAAAAATCAAGTAATTTATCTGCTTCATCTAGAATAGCTATTTCTACTGAATTTGTTTTAACATAATTAGAAGATAAGAAATCTAATAATCTACCTGGAGTTGCTATTAAAATCTGGGGTCTATTATTTAAAAATGCATCAATATCTTCTCTAACTCCAGTTAATGATCCAACTAATAATTGAGTCTTAATAGGAGTTTTATCTTCCGGTAAATATTCTATGACTGAATTAATTACTGATTGTATTTGACTAGCTAATTCTCTTGTTGGTGAAAGAATTAATGCTAACATATGACCTCGCTTTACTGGTTCAGGAGTTTCATCTTCATTATCAACTTTATATAATCTATCAGAAACTTTCTGTAATATAGGTATAGTAAATGCCAAAGTCTTTCCTGATCCAGTCACAGCTTCAACTACAACATCTTTATTTCCACTAAGTAATGGAATTGTAGATGCTTGTACTGGAGTCATCGTAGGATATCCCATAGATTTTATAGCATCTTTTAACCATGGATGTAACTCATACTTTAAATTCTCCCACGATAATGAACCTTTCTTCACTTCCATCTTAATTATCTCTATGTTATATATATATATATTTATATATATAAGGTAACACTTAAATTTAAAAATATTAAGTTAAGTCCTGATTTAGGATTATTCACATTTAATTTGGCTCCAAAATTTTTTTTTCGGGTATGCAAAAAAATATTAAGTGATGGGATGAGTATATCTACAACACCCGAATTTCCACTTGAAGGATTGTATGATAAGTTCAAGAGGTTTATTGGGTTGGAAATTGATCACTCGAAGCTTCAATAGTGTCAGGGTTAATATGAAACAATATAGTACTAGTGAAGAATATGAAAAATGGTCAAAGAGACAATTAATTGAAAGGATACGGCAATTAGAATCAATTCCTAAATCTAATGAAACTGATATTAGTTCAAATTCTGATGTTAATATACCACCTCCAAAGAAACAAAAAAGAAGAGTATTTGATTTTAGTAAATATTCTCAAAGATTTATAGCGTTAAAGTTTGCCTATCTTGGATGGAATTATAATGGTTTAGCATATCAATTTGAAGATACACCCTTACCTACTGTTGAAGAAACTTTATTAAATGCTCTTGCTACAGCTAAATTAATTGAAAATCCTGCTTTAGATAGTTGTGACTTTAGTAGATGTGGAAGAACTGATAAAGGGGTAAGTGCCATGAGTCAAGTAATATCTTTAAAAGTAAGATCAGCTTTAACAGAAGATGAACAATTATTAAAGGAAAATGATCAAAAAGAAATCAAATATTTATCAATTCTTAATTCTATATTACCATCAGACATTAGAATCACTTCTATTTGTTTAAGACCACCAAAAGATTTCGATGCTAGATTTAGTTGTGAATACAGACATTATCGTTACCTTTTTAAAAAAGATAATCTTGATCTTGAATTAATGAGTGAAGCAGCAAAGAAGTACGAAGGAGTTCATGATTTCCGAAATTTTTGTAAAATCGATGGTTCAAAACAGATTACTAATTTCAATAGAAATATTCTTGGATCTCAAATAATACAATTAAAAGATGATCTTTATGCATTTGACTTAAAAGGTTCAGCATTTCTTTGGCATCAAGTTCGTTGTATGGTTGCCATGTTATTCTTGGTTGCTCAAAAGTTAGAAAAACCAACATTAATTGATGATATGTTAAATATTGAAAAGTATCCTGCTAAGCCAGTATATGAAATGGCTCATGATATTCCATTAGTACTTTATGATTGTACATTTCCTGAAATGGAATGGCAAACACCTAGTGAAATTGAAGATATTCAAAAATTCCATAGACCTTTCACTAAATTCAAAGGTCTAGTTACTGATTATGAATTAAAAGCTCATATGGCCGGTATAATGAGTGAAATAGTATTAAAGGATTCAGAAAAGATTCTATTCACTTCTCCTACATCTGGCAACATTCCATTAGGAGATGGTATGGGTCGTAACTTTTCTAAATATGTTCCAATGGATAAGAGAGAAGTTGGTGATACTTTTGATATAGTTAATGAAAGACATAAAGAAAAGAGGAAGCGTAAAATTGCTGCAAAACACAATTTGTAAATAGTGTATTATACAATATATATATTTATATTTATATTTATATCTATCATAAACTCATTAGTTGGAAATCCATGATGGTTCCCAATATTGATACTGACCATTCTCACCTTGAGTATCTACCCATACTAAACCATTCATAATCATTTCATCAATTACAGTTTTACATCGCACTTTATCCCATTCAAAATTATCTCGCAATAATTTATAAGTAACAAAACCTCCCATAAAACTACAAAGTTCATATACCCTTTTTTGATCATTAGATATACCACTACCAGTTGCTGATGAAAATTTTAACCATTTTTTATCATTAATATTTAATATTTCATAACCTTTTCCTAAAGTATTTAAATAACTTAAAGATTTTTCAATTTCATTTGATGTTATATTAATTTGTAATGAATCATTTTCCTTTAATATTGATAATAATTCTTTAATTGATATTAAACCTCCATTTAAATCTCGAGTTTGTTGACATACTTCAATTATACGAACTGCAAGAGCAATATAAAAATTATCTAATCTAATTTTAGAATTTTTTGATCCAGTATAAAGTAATAATTCTAATGGATCAATACCTATCAGATTACATAAATGAGTAAATTTATTTCTAAATTCTAAATTCAGTTTAATTTCATTACCATGTTCACTAGCAAAATTAATTAATGCTGATTGAAATACTGATAATTGAGTTGATAATTGATCAGTATGTTTCTCACTAATAGATCGTCCTAATTGTGAATATGCTGCTCTATCTTGTTGCCAACTATAATTCATTACTACTTTGCTTTACCCAACAAAGTCAATCAAAATTTTTGATTTATGTAATACTAAATCTTCACATGGCTAGCCCAACTCCCAGTTATCGCTAACCGATCCTTTTTTCTCGCCACAAAGCGAACAAAGCTCGCCTACCTGCACCTGTACACATGCCCCATATATAAGCTCGGATGTAAGCTAGTTTAAGCATTGATTTAAATTTTCACAATTTCCCTCTTTCTAGAAAGCCACTAGATCAGATCCAATTGATACTTTTGTAGATTATATATAATCTTTAAATTAATTAACTATGTCAGGATCATATACAGTTCCTCCACCTCGAGAAATTGAAGTTACTTTGGGTAAAGGTGTTAAAGGAACTTTCGCAATACCCCACTCGGCCGATGCTGAAAATCCGTATCAAGAAGGATTTGCTCCAGTAACTCATAAAGCTGTATTAATTTTACATGGACAAGGTGGTCATAGAGATTATTGTTATCAAAAACATTTAGCTCATAGATTAGCAGCAGATTTAGGTATTTATTCTTTAAGAATTGATTTTAGAGGTTGTGGATCCTCGGCTGATAATGAAGATCCGAAAAGAGGTAGAGTATTAGAACAAGATATTGAAGATATTCAAGCAGCAGCTGAATTTCTTAGAGATGGTAAACTAAATCCTTCAGAAATGAATTTAACTTTATCTTCAATTATTAGTCATTCAAGAGGTAGTGTAGCTATGTTTTTATGGGCTATTATTCAAGATGATCATCTGAAACGTGGAGATCCAAGGGCAATTATTGTCCCAAATTTAATTAATTGTTCAGGAAGATTTAGGCTGCATACTGTTATGGATAGATATCCTATATTTGATGATAATTTTGAATATATTAATCAAACATCTATGAGACATGGGAAACTCGCTAATGTTCCAATAACTAGACAAGAATTAGCTTCGTTAGCAAGACCGGATTTATCAGTTTTACGTCATTTAGCCTTAGATACTTCTGTTTTAAGTATTTATGGTTTGAAAGATACAATTATCCCTATAGGTGATAGTGCATTATATTCAAATGTTTTAAATCGTGGACCACTTTCTCATAAATTAGAATTAATTCCAAATGCTGATCATAATTTTTATGGTATTGATCCAAAACAACCAGATGATGATGAAAAGGATTTTAATCCAGAAAATTTCCCCCTCAATTCTAAAGGATTGGTAAATTATAATTATCAAGTAACCAATATAATTATTGAACATCTTCAATCCGATAATGAATTACAAAGATTTTTACAATCCTGTCGTGATATTGGAAGATTATCAAGATGGAAAAATGTTGAAGGAGTTAGTAATTTTAGAGATATTGGAGGTTGGAGAATTCAAAATCCAACTTTTGAAATATCTTCAAGAGGATTACCAAAGGGTAATGCCTTACAATATTATGTTAAACCACATGCTGCATTCCGTTGTGCCAATATTGCTAATATAACTGATAATGGAGCTAAAACTCTTTATAATTTAGGTATAAGAGCCATTTTTGATCTACGTTCTGATGGTGAATGTGTTCAAGATGGAATTCCTAAATATGTTGAAGATTATGGTATTAAAAGAATTCATGCCCCAGTTTTTTCTAAGGATGATCATTCTCCAACTGCTATTGCTATTAGATATACTAATTTATTAACTAGTTGGGATACTTATGTTAATGTTTATGAAAATATGTTGGATTTTGGTCAAAATGCTTATAAAACAGTATTTGAATATATACGTGATGAAAATAAACCATTTGTGTTTCATTGTACTGCTGGAAAAGATCGTACTGGTGTATTAGGAATGTTAATTTTATTATTATTAGGTGTAGATAAAAATACCATTGCTAAAGAATATGAATTAACTACTATTGGATTAAGACCTGATCATGCCCAAATTAGAATTAAATATGATGATACTATTAAAAAATTAAGACAACAAATGGGTGAAGGAAGTGATATGGAATATATGATTACCAAAGGTAGAAAGAATTGGTCTCTTGAAGAAGATGGATTTAATAATTTAATTAGTTCAAGATATGAAGCAATGTTAGCAACTATAGAGTTGTTTAATGATAAATATGGTGGAATAATAAATTATATGAAAGATGAATTACAATTTAGTGAACAAGACATTATAAAGATCTATGAAAATTTAATTATTGTTGATCATTTAAGTATAGGATTTGAAGTAGCTTCTACCCTTAATTGGGATCATAGAAATACTGCAAAAGTTAAATTGTAGGGTTTATTTTAAAAAATCTTATTTATTAGTAATATACAATATATATATGTGTGTATATATACTATTATTATTATTATTATGTCGTCATGAATCACATTATAGGCAATGGCCTTTGTTTAAATATCATTTTCTTTTTTATTACATCGATTATTTTAATATTTTCATTTATATTATCTGAATTCTCCTTATTGACTGGAATTCTTAATACTGCTAATGGAGTATCTAAATCAATTAATGAACCTAATAATCTTTGAGATCTTCCAATAAATAAAGTAACCTTTTGAGGATCTTTTGCATCATATTCAATTTGTCCAAACTTTACTGCATCATAAATATCATCAATCTTTATAAAATTTTGATAATAATCTTTATGTTCTTCAGTATAATCTTCTTTACTTGGAGCATAAGATGGTAAATTTAATTCTCCTTGAATCTCTATAATACTTAATCCATGAGGAGTTGAAATTATCCCATCTTCTTCTATTACACCTCTATTTGTAATATTATTGGTTAATATTTCTTGAGCATTATGATAATCTATTCGAGCAGTTGGCATTATACACGCGTCATACACTAAAGAATACTTTTTAAAATCAAAGTATACAAATATATTTTAAAATGAGAATTTGACTATCGTACCAGTACCTGTATAGTAGTTAAAAAGAATTAAAGTACTCCTATATAAAGTACTTGAATGAGATATATATTTGTTTGTATTGGTGTTAATTATGCCCTATTAGTGCATAGCTCTACTTAAGCTTTTTTTGTTTTTTTGTTTGCGTCCCTCTTTCTACCCCAACTATTTTTGGTGGCCGAGTGGGTCTTGGATTTAGTTAACCTAATTCCAAAATAATTGATGCAGAAAGCTGCCAAGTCCCAAAAAGATTCTTAGGTGCTTATGTGCTTAGGATGCTTAGATGTTAAAAAGTTAGATCTTTAAGTATGTGAGAAAATCATTCGATACATTTAATACTGTAAATATAATGTTGAGCATTAATGATTAATTGGGTGTTATATGTTACAGTCACGAGGTGTTTAATACAAAAGTCTTGACATTGGTCTACAAAAACTCAAAAATTGATTTCTTGCTATTTCAATTGCTTATTCCTTTACTAATTGAATGTTTCTAATTTACTTTAATCCCAACTGTCGTATAGTTAATCTACTGAGAATTCGCATCAGTAAGATGATTCGTCCTAAATAGGAAATTCTCAACAATACAGACATATGCAGGTGAGTGACTAAATAGGAAGTGTAATTGTAAAATCCACCCATAAAGGGAAAGCTTAACTAATTGATAGCTCATACCATCTCGATAATCTATAAAGTTCATGTGAAATGTCACCTATAAGTAATTTTGCTTTAAGCAAAGTTTTTATAAACTTATATTTATATATTTGTTCATTATCGTTATTCATTCATTTCATTTGCGATAATATCAAATTTTAGGTAGTTTTCGAGTATCTTCGATATAATGACGGAATCCTTTAATACTACTGCCCTTCATGGCATTATGCAATTATTAAGATATCAAAGTAATTATCCAGCTCTTGGTACAGGTAGTAATATACTTTCTAAACAAGCAACAAATTTAATAGGAAGTATTCCACCACTGATGAAAGCTTATACTACTGCATATCAAATTAATCTTTTTGGTGATTATCCTGATGATAAAGATTTAGCACCTTCAATAGTCTTTACTGTGGTATTTTTTGTTTTAATGTTAGGCCATGCTTTAATCTTTACTATCAATTATTCAAGAGGTCATTATTTTTGGTTACAACTTGGATGGGTATTTTATTGTATATGTAGAGTACTAGGATTTGCATTAAGAGCAGTTTGGTCAAGAGATTTAAGTAAAACTCTTGTAGGTATAACTGGTGAAGTTTTCTTAATTATTCCATCTATCTTATTAGTTTCATTCAATTTGATCTTAGCTCAAAGAATCTTTACTTGGAGACATCCAGTTGGAGGAGCAAGAAAACTATTTTGGAATCTTATGTTTACATTATATGGAGTGGTTACTGCAGTCGTGGTTATGACAATTGTTGCTTCTGCTGTTCCTAATTTATACTTTTTATCTCTAACAGTATTAAACAGATATCAAAAAGTAGTAATGGTATCATCAATTTGTGTTATACTTTATTCATTGACAGCCATTGCTTTAATTGGTTTAGCATATTTCTTCAAGCCAACTGCAAAAGATGAAAATTTATATACTTATCAACCTTATTGGATTGAATCATTTTCTCCTACTTATTTTGTTAAGAAAGGTGCTTGTCAAGATGCTGGTGAAACATTTATGAAAAGAAATCATAATGCTCGTCATGCTATCAGAGTTATAGCAGCTACTCATCATGAATATAATACGGTTGAAGGTTTAACTAATGAAAGAGGTGATTTAAAACATAATTCTTCCCTTATAATCATTATTATTACAACAGTACTTATATTTGTTGGTGCAGTTTTGAGAGCCATTGTTGTTTTCCAAGGTAAATATAGATATCAACAAGGTGTTCTCGCAAAATCTATTGTCATGTACATTTGTTGGGGTGTATTTGAGACAATTATTAATCTCTTATATATTATTGGTCGTGTTGATTTGAGATTCTATAGACCAGATAGGTTACCAAAGAAAGTCAGAATGATCATCACACAAGAGCAATCTATTAATAATTCCACTGACTCAATTGTTGGTGTTGAATCTAAACAACAAACAACAAGTACAAGCTCTAATAATGCTAATGAAGTTGTTTCTGGAGAAGGTGTTGATGCAGATGCAAATGCAGATGCTGCTGGTAATGGAGTTTCTCATCCTCCCGGAGTAAAAGTAGAAAATTATGATGAATTCAGATTTTGAAAAAGTTTATAAGTTAAAACTCACTATTTATATGTATTATTAACTCTTTTTGTAGTTCACTTTATTACCCAAAAATAGCATAATTGTAAATCATTTAATATAATAATATTGACTGCAAAATTTATTTTATTTTAATATTTTTCACGTGACTCCATCGTAAATATTTTTTTTTTATAATATATCAAAGGGACCAGGTCTATCATACATATATACCATCAAGTATCAGTAAACGGGCATATATATCATACATCTAAGTCAATATGTCAAGACCTGAACAACTTGCTCCTCCAGAAGTGTTCTATAATGATACCGAATCATATAAATATACTTCATCTACTCGTGTTCAACATATTCAAGCTAAGATGACCTTACGAGCATTAGATTTATTAAATTTGAATAAAGATCAACCTCATTTTTTACTTGATTTAGGATGTGGATCAGGGTTATCAGGAGAAATATTAACTGAAGAAGGTTATAATTGGATAGGAATGGATATTTCACCAAGTATGTTGGCTACAGGATTAGATCGTGAAGTTGATGGAGATTTATTTTTAAGTGATTTAGGAAATGGTGTTCCATTCAGAGCTGGTACTTTTGATGCAGCTATTTCAATTTCAGCTATTCAATGGTTATGTAATGCTGATACTGCCAATGTTGATCCTAAAAAGAGATTATTAACATTTTTTAATACTTTATATTCATCTTTAAGAAGAGGTGGGAAATTTGTTGCTCAATTTTATCCTATGAATGATACTCAAACTGAATCAATATTAAATGCTGCTAAAATTGCTGGTTTTGGAGGTGGTTTAGTTATTGATGAACCAGAATCTAAAAGACATAAGAAATATTATTTAGTATTAACTGCTGGTTTATCTGAAAGATCAATTAATTTAGTTGGTGCTGAAATGGATGCTCCAGAAATTAAGAAAAGACTTAATAAAAAGCAAATGAGAAAGATTGAAACAGCAAAGGAATTTGTATCTAGAAAGAAAGAAACTATGAGAAGAAGAGGTAAACATGTAGCAGCTGATTCTAAATTCTCAGCTAGAAAGAGACGTCCTAGATTCTAATTGTAATTCTAATACTAATTCTAATTCTATTAATATAGTAATTCTACTATTCTGCATAATTTTCATACTATTAAGGTTCTTCTATTTGTATATTATATTATATTATATTTTAATTTATTTGGTTATTTATTTCTACTCGATGTAAAGTTTTTTATTAACTATATTAAATGTTAATACTTAACTGCGTAGATTCCAGATTTTTATGCGTAATTTTCAACACTAAATATCTACAAGGTAATTGGAAACCGAAAAAAAAAATTATAGTGAAAAATTCTAGCATTATCACCATTGTTGGAGACTTGATTCCTTAAATCAATAATGTTGGGAATAATATCATCATCCAAATTCTTGGTTAGACCAAGTATAATAACCACTATTCAAAATGGAACAAGATCATTTACTACTTTAAAGAAAGGTATGTGTTTGTTTTTTCATGTTGTAGCCATTTTTTGATTTTATAACAATTTAATACTAACTATAATAATTCTAGAATTACCAACTGTTTATGAACCATTACCAAAGAAGAGAACTGGGGAAAGTGTATTAGCTTATTTATATCAAAAAATGTTGAATAAATATGATCCATCTGGTAGAAGACGTATATTATCTAAAACATTAAGAGCAGGTGATGTAATTAGAGTTACTTACCTTGATAGAACTGACGTTGTTGGAAGAATTATTGCTATAAAGAGAGGTGATAATAATGTAGGATCCAATATACTTATCAGAAATAAACTTAATAAAGTTGGTGTTGAACTTCGTATTCCATTATATAGTCCTAAACTTCGTAATATTGAAGTTATTCAAAAACCTGAAGTAAGATTAGCAAGAAACAAACAATATTATATTAGAAACACAAGATTAGATGTTCAAGATGTTGAATCTTCTATGAAGCGTAAAGAAGCAAAGAAAATTAAAGAAACAGAAAGGAAGGATGAAAAGAAAAAGTTAAGAGATCAAAAGGCAGCAAAACTTGCTAAAACAGCAGCAAAAAGAGAAGCTAAAAATGCTGAACATACTTCTAATTCTCATGTAGTTGAAGAATTATCAAAGAAAACCGAATCTACTTAAGGGTAAATTAACCATTATCTAAGTAGTCATTACATTATCATGTACATAAATTTCATAATATACACTATTATACATAGGTCATTCATCATTATTACTATACTCGTAATCATCTTGTAGTTTTTGTTCCAATAGTGAACTTAATTTGTCTGATAATACGTTACCAAATCTCGTTTGAAAGCGTGGAGATAAAGAATTCATTAATGCTTCAAATGTTTCATAATATTTTTGAGTTTGCTGAACTGTTTGAATTTGAGTTTGAGTTTGAGTCTCAGTTTCTTGAGTCTCAGTTTCTTGAGTCTCCAATTTATACCATCCCGACAAACTGACCAGAATATGTAGTATCTGATCTTCTTCAGTTTCAATGGTTATGTAATTATAATTATTATCAATAACTTTTGATACATTTTCTTTCTTATTCAATATTCGAGCATAAATATCATCGGAATTATTAGTTATTGAAATCAGAGTACGAGGTGAATGAGTCAGTACATGTAAGTCACACTTGGGAAAGAAAGAATTATATTCTCTATGAATTGTTGATAATTCCAAGGTTTGCCTTTTGCTGTCCATCTATAATATTAACCGTACCGTTTCTGTAGAATTGTCGATATAACAGAAACATGAAAATATATTGAGCTCTTTCATGATTATTTCACTCCGCACCCAATCCGATATTGGAACAGGGTCATAACTTACTTATTTACTTATACTGCACAAACATTTCGATTTTTACATTAAATTATCGATAGGTTAAATCTTACGCTTTATAAGAGATATGAATTTAAGAGTCGTAAAAAGTAATAAAATATAGTCACAACTGATTCCCAGTATTCCATAAATTCTGTCAACACCAGGCGCCCAGAAACGTGCTCCAATTAAATGGTAATTCTACGCTTACGCTTCACTCAGATCTTCCATTAATGATAGCTTATTGAAGAAACGCTTACATTAACTTTATAGAAGGTGAATCATGCGATTTGATGTTAAAGAAGAAGAAAACATTTACTGGTTAACCTTCAATATCAATCAGGAAAATTTTTTTTGTACTGCTCGAGATCCGTAGCGAGTATCGGGTAACAATAGTGAGAATATTATATGAATAACTAAAGAACTTAGTTAGGTTCTAATACAATTAATTAAATCATATACAACACTTATGACAGAAGTTCAAAATAAAGAAGTTATCCCTCCGGAGAGATATGTGGGTCATCAACTTCGTGTAATTCTTAAAGATACCCGAATTCTTGATGGTGTTTTAATATCAATTGATCCTTATGGTAATTTATTACTTGGAAATACTTTTGAAACTTCAACAGATAAATTGAATCCTGATAATTTACATACAAGAGATATTGGTTTAGTTAGTATACCGAAAGATACAATGAATTCTATTAGAACTGATAAACAAACATATAAAAAAATATTTAATCATAGTTAATACCTATTATCATTATTTTTTGCACGACGACTTCTATACTTTAATTGTTGTTGATTCCTATACTTAGGTTGTGCAACTGAATTGGCTTTTCTGTAAGAAGTTCTGAACTTATTTACTTTAGTTTCGGGTATGGTTCCCAGTTTTGGATTCTTCAATCTAGTAATAACTCCTAAAAATGAATTACGGTTCCTTTTATTATCAGAATTTTTCAATTTGTTATTTCTATAACTGACATTACCAATTGGTTGAACATATTTTCTACCATTTGCCTTTTTAATAATAACTCTTCTAGTTACTCCATTATTTTTGGGATCAAGATGTTTCTCAGGCACGTTAATTGGACGTCTGATAATAATAATTTCTCCATTTTCATCAATGGTTTGAGTTTCTTCCCATTCACAATCATATGAATCTGAATCTTCTTCATCTTCATTATCTTCTTCTTCTTCATCATCATTATTGTCATAATCATTATCATCAGAATCGTCATCATATTTGTTATCACAGTCGTCAACATCATAAGTTTCTGTAGGTGCAATTGTTGACGAAGTGAAAGTTGGTTTGTATTTAGTTGTTACTGAAGATCCTATAGGTTGAGTTTTCTCTGGTTCAGTTATTGAAACCGTAGATGATCCAGTTGAATATCTCGTTCTAATTATAGTAGTTGAAGAATAAACAGTTGATTCTGAAGTAGTAATAATCAATGTAGTTGGATAATTTTGAGTAGTAGTTTCCAGTAAAGATGTAGATAAAGAAACCAGTTCTGTAATAGAAGTGGGAAATGATAAGCTTGAACTAATACTATTAGAAATTGAACTAAAACTTGGAGATGGTGGAGGATAAATTGGAGGTGGAGGATTAGGATTTGAATTAGTTGGTTTACTATGTTCCATACAAGTTCCAAGATAATGATCTCTAGCGCTGAGGAAAGTTCCATAAGGACAGATGTCAACTAAACAACCAACTACTGAATCTTCATCTATACATAAACAGCTGAAATCAATTTTACCATTACTGCAAGTTCTAGACACTTCTGCGATACAACTTAATAAACACGCTGGAGGAGTTGCCAATACTAACAAGGGGAATAAATAAATTAATCCCAAGATATTCATGAACATTTGACTTTTTGTTTTGGATCCTATATGTTTATTCAAAAAGAATAAGTGATAAACAACAAGAATAAGAATAGGAATTATAGAGTACTACTGTTATAAGCGCCGACTGCAAAAAAAAAGTATGAGAGTAGCATTTTTCGCCGAAATAGGTAACAGGGCTAGGGCTAAATTTCTGGTAAAGACTTTTTGACAAGCTGAATTTAGTGAATGATATCCTTAAGATAGTTAAATAGTCAGTCCGTTAATTAATTAGTTCTTTGGTTTTTATTTTACAATGATAATGGTGATGTGGATATGATAAGTATATAAACATCTACAGATGTAATTCAATGAATCTAGGCTTAGTTTCTATAGTTTACGCAACTTAACTGGTAGCACTTCCAAGTTAGACATTCCTTTAGAGTAATAATTCAGGTGAGTTGAGTCCTGAAGAAAGTATAGAGACATATAAGGCAAATAAACTGAACTACTTGAAGTATGTACATATGTAAAGTGAGCATAATCAAGTGAAACATTCTTTTACTTGTTCACAGACAAAATAATATATAGTGTGTTTCAGGCTACGCGTAAATTATATCAAGCAAGCTTATGAGTTAGTGAAATTTTTCAAATTCTATTTATCTAGCATATTTGATCTAATACTTGTAATTTGAATACATTTTAAGCTTTTTGGCAATTTCAACAAATTCGTCAATCAGTTAAAGTAGGGAGCGATTTTACAGATCAAAAATTTTGCGGCGAGAACAGCCCGCTGTCCAGATTTTTTCGAACACCTGTAATACTGGGGTCAAATAACAAAATTATACTATAAACATTGACAAATCCTCATATCATTGGATTTATCAAAATATAAGTGTATAATCCAATATTGATATCAGATTAAGGATATTTATACAAATTTAGCATAAAAGCATTTACCTAATGCAGGGATCGTATAAGAATAATGGGTTACCTAGGCCCTATTATATGAAACCTTCTAAGAAGAGAATGGGAGTAGTGGGAACTAATTCTCCTTATGATAATTTCAAACAACCAGTTGTATTTTTCACTAATTCACCTCGTAAATTACTTGGTTACTTAGTCATGCTTTTATTGTTTGGTACTTGCATTTATTGGATGAGTCAAGATTTAAAACCTCAACCTGATCCAACTTATGAAATTGTTAAAACTACAGGTGACTTATCTAATGAAAATATTAAAAATAATGAACCACCTATTATAGGAGACATTCCAGAAATCAATGTGAAATCCAATGGAAATAATGAAAATAAGAATATTAATGTTGATATCGATGATATTAATGACAACGTTAATATAAAAAATAATGAAAAGATAAGCAATGTAGATGTCAATAAGGCTGGTAACGCTAAAAAAGATAGCGATAATATAGATTTAGCTGGTAATTTTGCAAAAGGTTCCAAGGGAGAGAAAGGTATTGGAGTAGTTGAAGCTCCAAAAGGTGGTGTAGCAAATGAAGCACCTATTGTGGGATCAGATGAAGATAAAATTATAGGAACTGGAAAAAATTCCCGTAATAAGCAAGCACCTGTTAATGTTAATGTAGAAGGAGGAAAGACTAATAATGCAAAAGGAAAGCAAGATAATGTTGTCTATAATGGAGCTGGTGGTCCACCAGATGGTAAGCCAGTTGCAAAGGTTGCACCAGGAACTGGTAGAGGTTATAAGGCAGATAAAAATGCTGACGATGAATCACAACCAGTCGGAGCTGCAGCTCCTGCTGCTGAAGCTGGAGATGTAGCAGCCAGAGCTAAAAATATCATTGATGATAGTTTCTAAAATCATTGAAGGTATGGTATAAACATCTAATGCACATATTTATATAGTATAATATACAAAACCGGCTATGAATATTCTAAACAAATGTAAGTCAATGATCATCTATCCATTCTCATCCCATTGGAATACATGCTTACCAGTTACCTTCGCTAAAGATCCATCGAATGTAAAAATTTACAAAAAAATTTCTTAGACATTAGACCCCATCGGGATTCGAACCCGAGTTGCCAGCATATTCAGTTGAATTTCTCTTAATGACTTAAGAAAAAACCTTCAGAAACCGGAGTGATAACCACTACACTATGGGATCAAATCTCGCCAAAATTTCAAAAAAGCTGTTGGTAGAGAGTATTTATCACGTGATTGTAAAATCGTGACAATGCACGTGGTTTTCACGTGATCGATATTGACCAAAATTGACAATTAATTGGAATTAAACCTACTTTGGACTAAAATTAGACAGTTAAACAGTTGATTTATGTAAGAGAAGATAGCTATTACTTCACCTTGACTGACCATTGGTTTATTTGTCTTGTATTTCGTTTATTTATATTTTTAATATATTTGGCATATTTATGGAGACAAAATACGATTTGTTTTCTAACTTATTTCTTTTTACATCTAATATGACCAGAGTTTTTATTTTACAAATAATCTGATGTCTATGTTAGTATACACAATACACCTGAGGGGATTATAGTTGAGGGAACATGAATTGTTATCATTTTTATCATATATGCCGTATATTATGACAAATTTGCAGCTGTACCAGAAAATTCTTGGTTTGCTGCGAAAAGATCTTACATACTTTTTCAATGAAGAAAAACACTATTAAAAAATTTACTATTATACGAACTAAATATTAATCTATTCTACATAATCACACATTTGTCATCATTTTTAATACCCTTAGGATTCTCGGCATTAGTTTTATATTCTGCAAACCTTTCTTTATCTCTTTCTTTCAACTTTTCTTTAACTTCCTTTGGGAAATATTTTTCCATTATAACTTCAGCTTCATGATCTAAATTGGATGAATCTGCTAATAATATCGCATTTTCATAACGACATATTGGACAATTATGTTTCTTTTGTTGTTTTGATTTAACTAAACATCTGACACAGAATAAATGACCACAATCTAACCTTATAGGTTTATAAGCAATCGACATACAAATTGGACAGGAATAATCATCAAGTTGTGGAACCAAAGTAAGTATTTTATTTTGAATGATAAAACAAATAGTTTGGGCTAAGGAAGAACCGTTCATGAATACGTGTTCATTGGTTATTAATTTTGGCAATTTAGCTGATACACCAAGTGAAGTTTGTTTATCAAACTTCTTAAGAATTTTACGTAAAGCAATATTGTTAAGAGACTGAAATTGAAGGATCTTCAAAAGGTGATAATTCATAGTAACAAATTGATTGAATGCTGTGAGTGAATCTTTATTTTTGAACTCAGTTAATATTCCTGATTTATCTACATTTGAAAGGAACTTGTCAAGATTTTGTTTAATCTGTAAAGCGGGCCTTTGGGATGATGCAATTGTAGTTTCATTATATTTGAAATAAACTTCAGAGTCAAGGTAAATGCGAAATAATTCTCTCCATTTATAGAGATCATTTAAATTCGATCTCTTTGAAGTTGATTTTCTTAAAGCAGCAACTAATTCACTTATGGCACTAACTTCAGTAATAATTTTCTTTTCTTCACTTTCACGTAACCTATCTAAGAGTTCTAATTCATCATTAAGCATTTTAAAGAATTTTGAGTCTGAGTTTAATGTGATATATATTTCTGATTTCTTAGAATCTTCGCCTGAGTTTTGTAATTGTTCTTCATGATCTTTATCAATAACATTATCAATATTTTGAGGATTTTCAAGTTCAGGTGAATTTTCTCTAGTACCATGATTTGAACCTGGTGGTGATAATACCATAAGATGATGATCATTTTCATCTTCAGCTAATTCAATAATTCTTTCTTCACTATTTGAAGTGATTGGAGTTAAAGGCTGTAATTTAGGTGAAGCTGATCTGCTAAGAGAACCATCAACATCAGCAGTACTTTCATGAAGATCAAAGTCATCATCATTAAGTAAACTTTCAATCTTTTGTTTGATTTGTTGACCAATTTCATAAATATGAGCATCACTATAATTTTTATGAGAGAAATCAAGTGTGATTTTTAACATTGGTTTTATTTTCAATTTATTTGAATCATTAGTTGACTTGGAAAGGGTGTATTCTGCAACTATTGGATTAGTTGGAGTAGTTTCATTTTCATTTAATTCAACAACTTGATGTTCATCTCCATTTCCATTTTCCTTATCTTTGTTAGTTTCTTCAAACAATAACTTTAGAGTATTTTGTTCTAAGCCAAGGAATTTTAATTCATTAACAACTTTGTTAATACATTTTTTAAGAGCTTTATATTGAATAGCTGCTTCATACCATTCCTCGGGTATTTCTTCCTCTATTAAAGTTTGTTCTAGGACTTTAGCAAACTTCATCTCTCTTTTTATTATTTTGTGGAGAAGCTTTACAATTCAAAAATTGTGTATATCTGTTACGAAGAATAAATTGAAAATTTGAGTACCCAATAAGAAAACAATATAGTTTGAGTTGGAATTGACTTTCTTTGACGGATATGTATATTTTTACAGTGCAAACTTTAAATTATACAATCATGATAATATCGTATAATATGTTATTGCGATGATATAGAAAAAAATGGGTTTTAACTTTTTGTATGTAAGTTGAATTTAAACAGTGAGATATAAGGAAGTATCTTTTCGTTAAACAAAACTTGAAAACTTGGTTTGATTATAGTGATAGTGATGAGTTTGAAATGGGTGGCTAAATTTGGATTGGGTTGGGCTGGCTGGGTGTTGTAATAGGGGGATTAGTTAATGTGTAAAGGTAAAAATATAATTATAATTTTAAAAACCTGCAAAAATATTATAATATTAAATAAACTGTAAAGCCTTAACCTGGCTGATAAGATTAGATTAACAATAAAGAAAATAAAAGCAAAGAAATCTATTTGATGTAAAAGAAAACTATTTCAATACACGTGGGATAGGCTTTTCTAATATATATATATAATGTCTGCGCCTTATTTCCCATCTACAAAATTTCTACTTAATGTAGTGCAAGATTTTTAGAGATTCGTGTGCTAATTTAGCTTTACATTTTGGGGAGAAAAAAATTTTCAGGCAATTATTTTGATCAGCCGTTAATGTATGCACCGAAAAAGAAATTTTCATATTTAAATTTTTAGCAGTCAAATGATAAATCAGTCAACCTTTTTATCTACATATCTTTATGACCTCAAGTTTAAAGTAAACGTATTCATATGTAGAATAATAGAATGATTATTTATCAGACTATTCTTTTTCATAGAAGAGTAAATATTTAAGAGTAAATTTTTTTAAAAATAACCATCAAGAAATAAGTAAATAAATTGAAAAAAAAGAATATTCCGATACCGGGAGTCGAACCCGGGTCTGCTCGGTGAAAGCGAACCGTGCTAGCCGTTACACTATATCGGACTTTTCTGTCAGGAAAACAGGGTAGAAAACTGATCCCGTGACACGTCACTTGATCAAAATTTTTTTCATAAAAAATGTCGCAAAATGTCGCGGAAAAAATGTCGCTCAAAAAAGCAAAATAATAATAAGCGAAAAGAGCTGCTAAATACAAAAATATTTCACAGCCTATTAAATTTGATATTTTAGACTATACTAAAGTGCATACCTACTCATATGAACCGTACATCATCATAAAATCACTTTAGTAGATCATTATATCATTTGTGTTAATAATTCAAAAGGAAAAGGTTATTACATACAATCTACAGAAAAAGAAATTTGGATATTCAACTTTTCAATTTTTATTTTTGAAAATTAAAGCTAACTAACGTAATCTAGAAAAGCACCGAAAGGTATTATAGTTTAACGATTTAAAGAAAGTATAAATGAATGACAAGAAATCTATTTTAATTTTGACATATTTTAAGCAAACCCTTCCAATTGAACTGGACCACCAACTTCACAGTATTGTCTCCAATCTAAGAAGTAAGCTTGGATCAAGTAATTGTAGAATGCTCCATCATCTATAGTGTTAACAACAGTTGCATTACCTGTAATTTGACCAGTTGGAGCAAATTGAGCTCCCCAAATTCTTAAAGCACCGTAGAATGGAGAATAGAATTGAGTATCAACTGCAACAGAAAAGTTAGTGGTACTTGTAACTAATTCTGGGAAGGCAAGATAAGCAGAAACAACTTGATCCCAAAATGGTAAAGTGTCTTGATCATCAGATTCAATTTCATTTTCGGTAAAGTTACCGGTATATAAAATATCTAATAATGGGGATAAGTAAGTGTTGTTTTGTATAACATCTAATCCACCAGCTCTATCAATGATTTGATCATATAATTCTTGAGATGGAACTAAGTAATTGGTAACATTAGAACCAATGACAATAGAGGACCAATTGGCAGTTAAGACCATTTGAGCGGCTTCTGGGTCTTGAATTAAATTGATATCAGTGTTAATATCGTTAACAATTGGAGTACCAGTTCCAGCAGTGTATTGAGTATCAAAATAGCCACCCATAATATATAATCCACCGGCATCTTTTGGTAAATCTGGGTAAAGTGAAAGAGCTTGAGCAACAGTGGTCATCATACCAGCAGCATAAATGACAACTGGATCGGTATCCTTGTATTGTTGAACAGCGTTGATTAAAGCAACGGCACCTGGTAAGGTTTCATTATAAGTGATGTTACTCCATGAATATTCATTTTCATAACCTGGAGCAAAAGCACCTTGCCAGACCAATTCACCAAACAAATCTTGCCAGATGTTAAAGGTATCTTGAGTTCTTAATAATGGACCTTGAGCACCAAGATAATGAGGTATACAAGATGATAAATTATATTGTTGTAAAGTATCGTAAGCAGTTCCTGCAGAATCTACATTTGAAGAGGAACCAAAAGAAGTTGAGACACCAACAATGTCCCAACCAGCCATTAATGGGAAAAGAATGTTTGGAGGAGTGATTCCATCATTATCGATGAATACTTTTTTAGCATTAGCAACAGAGCTTAATAAAGCAATGGCTAAAGTAGATAATTTCAAACTGACCATTTCTGAAACGAGTGAAGCGTATTAAAAATTTAGTGAATGAAAATATAAATGGAACAATAAAAAGAATAATACAGGAACTGTAAAAATTGATCAAACAGGAAATATTTCAAGGGAATATCATGGTATTTAAATTGTGGAGGATTTTATGTGAGATCGGAAGCGGAACTACGAAAAGAGTGTATGGAGATGGTAACTCTTCGCCTACAGGCGCATTGTCTTCGAGGAATTAGATACACAGAAAGAGTTGAAGACAATAAATTGTGATGGGATTATGCTTATTAACATTATGCGAAACACAAAAGGGGCACAACGATTATTAAGCCACTATTTATCAATTAATATTCCCAATTAAGAGATGGGAATTCTGGATTGGTCTTATCTGAATTATATGAAATATACGGCGAGTTATAGTCGCAAACAAAGATAATTTTTCACCCAAGAATATTTACTCCGCGGGGCAGTTTAAATTCAACATCTCTTTTAAATTTTTTGTCTTAGCTTTCTTATTAGGTACTGAAAGATGGTTTAGGTCGTAACAGTACATCTATGCATTAAAGACCAGATACTACATGGAGGCTGATGCGGTATTTATGGCTTTTGTATTACATTATTACTGAATTAATTAAAATTTTATTAATTCTCTTACAGAAGTCAAAACGGGATTTCACAGTAATATTTAGTGAGATTCAAAGTTTTTCTGACACAATAAATTTCATTGGCGATGCTGTCAAAGTATAATTCTAAAATAGACTTAATAAAATGAAATATTAGCAAGGTCACAGAGACAAGGAAAACCCTGTTAAAACATGGGAATTACCGAATTACAAGAATTACGATACTGATAAAAAATGATTATCTTGGTAACAACCTTACTTTTATTTTCTTTCGTATATCTTTCCCTAACAGATAAGGAAATAAGTAGCGGTAAAATTAGAGCCGTTGGACTTTATGGGAACTTCAGCAATTTTTGTGTAATTGATAGATTTTCTCCACCAAAAGAGAGGAACCTCCTTGGCCTCGTGCACTTCCCAATCATTTAAACCATAATTCTAATCGTAGTAAGTAGTCGTAAGAACCGATGATATAGATAAGAACTACACTTCTGGAACCCTAAATTATATTGCATGAAACTACTTTTTTAGGTAATTAGTTCCCATTTCTTTTACTCCCCACTATTTAGAATCTCTTTTTACTTCCTGCAAATGAAAAATTGCTTGTCAAATTCTATATTTTAATTAAAGAACCAGTAATATTATGGTTATATGATGTGGAATGTCACCAAGTATACTACGTTGATATATTCAGAATGTGTATAACTTATATAGTATTTTGCTGTAAGAAATCTAAGCTCTAACAATCTCCAGAATAGAATTTGTGAAAGCCGTCGCTTTAGTGCGTACTCGAAGGAGTGAGTGATCAAAACAATTGGAAATATTTCAGACCTAAATTTACAACCATTACAAGAGTCTAACAATTTTCCATAATAAATATTCAATAATCAAGATTTAGACTTTAGATATAAACTATAGTAGACACACTCGTTAAATCTATCTACTTCTTTTCAAAATTTTAATTGGGTAATTTTATTCTTATTGAGGTTGAATAGCATAAAGTCTAAAAGAAACCCTATTGGGACTACCTCAATTAATTTACCAAACAATCTATCAATAGAATCATTTCCTCATCTATACAAGTTATAAAGCATATATATCATATGTTATTCTAGATTGTTATGAGTGGGATAGCATTAAAATTAACGTCATTATTAGTTCGTACTATTGCGAAACCTATTGCCACCGCATTAAAAACTCAAGCGAAAGATCATGAAGTATTTAGAAAAGTTTGTATAAATTTAGCACAGACAGTTCATTCAACCGATTTAAGACTTAGAATGTCTTTACTTGGTGAAAAGAGGATTAAAATTCGACCTTTAAATGATACAAAAGCTGTTGAAAATGGTGCTAATTTCTTATCGGAATTCTTTATCTTTAGTGTTGCAGGATCACTCATATTCTACGAGAGTTATAGGAGTAGAAAAAAGGCAAGTGACGAAAGAGATGCTTTAGCTGATGATATAACTGTTTTACAAAGTGAAATTGACCATTTGAAGAAAAAATTGGGGGAAATTAATATCAAATTAGATGATTATGAAATGCCTGATGGCTACAAACCAAAATATATTAAAATCGAACCATCATCAACAGTTAATAAAAATGAAAATCCTTCTAAAGACAATTCTAATACTACTATATCTCCAGTACCGAAAGAAAATGTCTCTGTTCCTACAACAGCCTAAAGCATCCCTTGCATATTGATTAACATAATTTGATAATCAACATATATATATATATAAATCAAAATTCTTGTACATACAAACAATTAGAATATCTTTAATGGATAAATTTATATTAAACTAACATAAACTAATAAACTAGGTGCTAAAGAAAATTAACAGAAGATATAGTACAATTAAAAGAATAAAATACAAAAACAATACTAATAATAAGGGCACTGTGAATGGCAAGAAAAGAAACTAAACAATTATAAGCAACATCATTAAAATATAAATATATATTTGAAGGCCACTATAGTTTATGCACTTGATTTGATGGATGTCAATTGATGATCAGTTAATGAATGAAATATGTTTAACTGGTAATAAATATGACTTTGTTCAATTAGACTTAATTGATTATTTTTGTTTCTTCTTTTCAACCTTTAATAATAAGGCTTTATTAATATGTGGTAAGACACCACCATGAGCGATGGTGGCCTTAATTAAATTATCTAATTCTTCATCACCTCTAATGGCTAATTGTAAATGTCTTGGAGTAATTCTTTTAACTTTTAAATCTTTGGCAGCATTACCTGCTAATTCCAATACTTCAGCAGTTAAATATTCTAATACAGCAGTTAAATAGATGGCAGATTTAGATCCAACTCTGATTTTATTTTGAGCATGTCTCTTTAAATATCTTTTAACTCTACCAACTGGGAATTGTAAACCAGCTCTAGCAGAATGAGAAGTTGAAGATTTAGAAGATTCAGAGGATTTACCTTTCCCACCATGAACTTTCCCTTTACCTGACATCTTATAAGTTAATATATATTCTTAATATTAATGATTCTTGCAAAGAAGTAATAACTTGTAAACTATTTTGTTTACAGGTTTGTTTATACTTTGACAAAAAACTAAAATCAAAACAACAAAGGAAGAAGAAAAAATAAACAAATACACAAACAAAAGAATTGTCTGTGGTCCTTTTTTTATGGGACTTGAGAATCGAATCGCGCATAAAATGAGTCTGCGCAGTTACCCGGATTTTGCATTCATAATTAACTATTAATAATACTATAAGATCCTAAACTATCTATAAGATTTATTATATCTTGACGAGATTGTTGAAGTTCTGTATTGATGGAATCAAAGTTTTGATAACCCTTTAACATTTTAATTAAATTAGCCATATTCTTTTCCTCTTGTAATTCATCAGAATCTAACTCTTCTTCAGAGTCCGAATGCGATTCAGATTCAGAATGAGACTGCGATTCAAAATCAGAATCTACATCCACATCAGATTCAGAATCTAAATGTTGATGTGAGTTTTGCCCTTCTTCAGGTTCAGATTCTAGATCGGCACCTGTATGTTCACGATCATCTTCTTCACTAGAATCAACTGCATTTTCATTAATATCTTTTCTTCCATGTATATTTTTCTTCTTATTTAGTGAAGAACTTGACCTTCGATGTCTACTATTACGTCTAATAGTACCGTCATCTTCAGAATTAGCACCTATGCCTTCATCTCCATCACTGTCAACAATTATATCATTGGTCAATGGGTGAGGACGTCTTCCTGTTTTAAAACTGACTCGTCTTCCTGTCTTCATAGTTTTTAATGTTTGCTCATTGACTCTTGTTTTCAATAATCGTGAGTCACTATTAATAGACAATTTTGTTTTACCATTTCTTTCTCCAAAACTATTACTTCTTCCCTTTTGTCTATGAGATGTATGATACTTTTTCTTAAGAATTACATCTGTAAATGTTGAATACTTTTCATACTCATCTGCCTCAAGAAATCTAGTAAATGAGTTTAATATAGGATATGAATGAACTCTATAAATTATACCTCTTAACACTCCAAAATTTATAAATCTTCGTACATCAATATTTACAAGAAGCTTTTTGTGCTGAATATACCATTCTTTTACAGTCTGACCCTGATTTAAGGATCTATAAAGGTAAAATAATGTAGCTTTTGAAGGAACTTTAATATTAATTGTCACACCATTCCCACTGATGTTTCCTGTATTACTATTATGACTTTGACTATTACCAGCACTACCAGTTCTATGATGTATAATTCCAATAGTATTAGGATTCTTAGGAGATCGAGATAATAAAGGCAGCTGTCTTGAAAATGGTGAAACTGAACCTGTACTTGCTATTATTGGTGGAGGTCTTCTAAATACAGATGAAGAATTGGGGGTAAGAGTATTATGAGGTGATTCATTATTAACTGGTGTAGTACTTGCAGGAGTATCAATATCGATGTCAGTAGTTACAACATATGCTTGGCAATCTTCTGCCATCTTACCACCTAATCTTAGAAAATTTCCAATATGATTAGTGGGAGCATAAATATTACTAAATTGGAATATATCAATCATTTCAATACATTCATAATGCATTAGATGTTGGATACATTGTTTAGTCAACATGTAATCAGCATTGGCCAACTCACTTATTCTTCTTACTGAATTTATCCCATTAATATAAGGTAAAATATTAATCATTGTTGGATCCCAATTGACATCAACTAATGAATTCAATTTAACCGTCGCAATAGGAACTTGGTATGCCTTTATATTTACAGGTGGTGGGAGAATAGGAAATAATTTGATATCAACTGAGTTTGAACTATCTAGTGGTATACAACACTCAGAATAATTATTTAAATCTTGATAAATTTGATTAATTAATGATTCAATTGATGATAATGTTATCTTTTTAGCACGGGAATGACCTGGAGTATTAATTACTGAACTTGAATGATCTATAATGGGTGCAGGAATACTATTACCACTAGTTGTCGTTGTCATAGCATGATAAGATGTTAAATCAATTCCAATATTAATTGTATTCAGGGATAACGACGAAGACAATTCTACTTTATTAGGTTGATTTGTTTCATCATTAATTTTAAAGAATGAGTTATTTTTATCGAGTTTACTCAATATGAAACTCTGTTCTTCTAATACTTTGAACATCTTCCCCATTCGAAGTATAGCTGATTCATAAGGTGTAACATCACCTAAATCATAAGGGAAAACAAAGCAAAAATTGAAATTAAATGAATTACGGGAATATTTAGGATTTTCAATATTGACAGGATATCCAACTACTTTAAATTTATTAATTTTAAATGAGATTAATTTATTGCATAGTTGAGGTTTTGGTATAACATAATTTTTAACGGTATCAAAGTTGAATAATGAAGTCGAACTAGTATCATAATCATCATCGTACCCATCAGGAGTCAAATCATCATCATAATTGTTGTTATCTTGCTTATCAAGTATTTCATCTCTGGAATTGTTATAATGACTTAATGAATCTCCATTCTTAAAAGGTGCCTTTCTATGAGTTGAACTTATAGTACCTTCTGGAACTTGGTGTACAATTTTTGTTCCTTCAGTAGGGTGGAATACCGCGTAGAAAATGGCAACAATAGGAATGAAACCATCTGTTGCTTGCATTTCCTATTTGTAATTTCAATTAACTATTACTATATCGTCACTTCGTTAGTACTATGGAGAGCTATATTAATCTTGTGTGTTCGCGCACGACTCGACTTGTCACGTGAAAATGTATAGAAAATTATAGAAAATATAGAGTTATATACAGAACTTTCGGTTACAATATATATATAAATTTTTTTTCCGTAGCAAAATATGTATTCTCAATATACCAAATAATTACAAACTTCTTCCACTACTTTATAAAGTAGTAACTATATAATAATAGAGGCGAATTGCCCGAATTTATACCTCTGACAAAATAGAGAGAAAACTTTTCAATCATCGTGAATGAACAGCCAATCTCGTACAAGTATTGTTATGTGTAATTAAACTTGCAGCCAAATCTACCACAATGTAATCTTGTTTCCTGCTCAAATATTGTTCTTTAACAAGAAATCACGTGTGCTGTGATCACGTTTCTAAATGTTAATCACTAAATGGCAATGTTTACTTGGTACATCACTTAAGCTTTAAGCATAACAAACTACTTGAAATTACTGTTAACTCCGAGCCTAGAAACAGAGCCGACAATTCCAACCCATACATTAAATGTAAATAAATAACCACTGTGTTCTTTAATTAGATGCAATATGTGAGTTACCAGTTTCCAGATTTATTGGCCCATTTATGACATTAGCTAAGAATTATATAAGGTTTTAATGCAAAGCTCTGCATTATGGTCAAACCGAATCTGTAACCGTTGATCTTATAAATATATTAAGTATAGAATTTTATAATGGATTATTGTTACGAACCAAATATGTGTCCCTTGTTCTCATAAATATAGTATAGAATCAGATCGTACTCTCCCTATTGTAAGAAATAATCCGGAATTTAGTCAGTACTTGGAAATTTCTAATTCAATAAAATATCAGTTTAAGGTAATCTACTTAAATCTATAATACTTGTATTTGTCGTATTTGATTTGCCGAGGATAATGTTATGTAAGCAATATCACTATTTTTTATTCGTATGTATAAGCTATAAAATCTCTTTGAGCCCTGACGCATTTAATCGAAATTAGGTTCGCTATAAACCCGATCGGCTTAGAAAAATATTTGAGCCGACTGCCGACTTGGAGTTTTCGCATCCTTTCCCCGATAAACTAAATAAATGACATTGTTTAAAGGACGAGGAGAAGCCTTTCTAATGATTCTTGCTTAGTATTAGTTATCAATTATTAGGCGTCAACAAAGGAAAGAATGCGCAATCAAGTACGGAATTAAGATTAATGCTGGGGTTGGCCGGTTTAGTGTATTTATGGACCGGTACATCCACCATGTTTTGCTGTATGTCTAGAATAGAGTTTATTTTCATAACCATATTATTTAGAGTGCAGATGACACTTAATTCAATTAAATACAGATTCGTATAAATAAAGCGTATGAGACAATATTATTTGATTTAATTATTTTAGATCTACTGCTTTTTTTATTTTCTGTTTAAGTGAACAGCAATGTCGACCTCAAGTTCAGAGGGAGCAAATGATACCAATTGTACACTAAAAGCACTGGGTATTGCTCCAGATGAACGATTCGAGAAAGAAAATAACGATCTTAGTAATGAAAACAGTGAAAACAGTGAAGATGAATTTGGGGCCGGTGATTTTGATGGCCGCACAGTAGATGAAGAAGAAGTACAAGAAGAAGAAGAGGAAGAAGATGGATTACTTCGGTTAGAATCGAATCTTCAACTCACTAAAACCATAAGCAGAAGAATAACCGGGGTAGATGATCTTCTTTTGGAAGCTACTGAAACTAAAGAACCTTTGCCTACAATGGGAGGAGGTAAGGATTATCCACCCCCTTTACCTCTAGACCGTACTCCATATCAAGTACAGTTTGATGGTCCTCATGATCCAATTCATCCATTCAATTGGTCAGGCAAAGAAAAGTTTCTAATATGTTTTATTGCATGTATAGGAGCATTTTCCATTGCAATTGGGTCAGCTCTTTTCTCACAGGCACAAGTATCATTGATGGAAATATATCACATTGGTTGGACTCCTGCTACTTTGGGTACTTCACTCTTTGTATTTGGATTTGCTTCTGGCCCTATTATATGGGGTCCTCTCTCTGAATTATATGGGAGAAGAATCCCAACAATAATTTCAGGATTAGGGTATGTTTGTTTTTGTTTCGGGGTAGCAACTGGAAAAGATATTCAGACCATTCTAATATGTCGTTTCTTTGCTGGCTTTGTTGGTGCAGCACCATTTGTTGTTTGCCCTGCAATCCTTTCAGATATATTCTCTACCAAACTTAGAGGGACTATGGTTTCAATATTTGCCATGGCTTTATTTGGTGGTCCAATGCTTGCCCCAGTGATGGGAGGTTATACCATTAGAAACACAAGTCTTGGTTGGAGATGGACTGGCTATTTTGTTGCTATTGTTGGTTCCTTCTCATTATTCCTTGCCGTCTTCTTTTTAAAAGAAACTTACCATGCTTTGATTTTAGCAAATAAAGCTGAGACATTAAGAAGAAGGACTCGTAATTGGGGTATTTATGCACCCCATGATGAGTTCAAATTATCAATCAGAGAAATATGTGAAAAGAACTTAACAAGACCCTTGATAATGTTATTCACTGAACCAATCCTTTTTTTGATCACCCTATATAATGCCTTTATATATGGTATGCTCTATTTATTTTTGACTGCAATTCCCTTGATCTTTGAATATGGCTATGGTTGGCAACCAGGCAATGCCGAGTTACCATATATTTCTATGTTAATTGGTACATTTTTTGGTGGATTAATTTCTATTCTTTTTGAAAAAAGATTTAACAAGATAATGGAAAAAAATAACCATGTACCAATTCCAGAAGAAAGATTAGTTGCCATGATGTTGGGTGCAATTCTCTTTGCTATTGGTATATTTTGGTTAGGATGGGGTGGTTCCTTTGGAAATAAAGTACATTGGATTGTTCCTGTGTTAGGAGCTTGCCCTGTAGGAATGGGATTGATATTGATCTTTTTACCTTGCCTTAATTATATCATTGATTGTTACTTATTATTTGCAGCTTCAGCAATTGCAGGAAATACCTTCTTAAGATCTGCATTTGGGGCCGCATTCCCATTATTTGCAAAACAAATGTTTGTTAACATGAAGATTAAGTGGGCAGCCACATTAATTGGATGTATCTCAGTTGCTTTAATTCCCGTTCCATTTTTGTTTTACATTTATGGATCAAAGTTAAGAAAGAAGTCAAAATATTCAATGGACCTTAATATGATTTATGGGGGAGGAGGTGGTCTTGTATAGATCTAATTTCATTTCTATATTCTAATTTACTAATGTATATCTCTCTGCATTCTAAAGTTGCAGCCATTTTTATTTAAATGTTCAAAAAAAGAAAAGCTCGCACTCAGGATTGAACTAAGGACCAATAGATTTGCAATCTACTGCGCTACCACTGCGCCATACGAGCTGTTTCTTGTTTTGTTTACTCTCTATCTTAATGTAGAAGATGCGTTCACGATCACGTGATCAAAATTCTAAAAATGGGAAAATAAGCATTAAATGACTTCTTTTATCTATGTATATTGTTTTATTATATCTCTGATACCCGATAATTTTCATTATAGGGCTTTTCTTTGAGTTTGCAGCTTGATTTGTTAGAATAAAAAGAAAAATTGAAATTCAAAGGCGCTACCAATTTTGAATTTTTTTACCATAGAAAAATGGACGCAACTTGTGTATAGAGATTAATATGAACAGTTTTGAAGCTTATGAAGCCAAGCTGAAGATACATGTACCCACATATATACAGTTTATTATGTTTAAGGTTACAGTATGAAGAAATAAAGAAAGAAACTAAACATTTCGTCTTGACAAAAGATATTTAAAGAACGTTAATTCCACTTCAAATGTTGATCCAATTCGATTAGAATTTTCATATTCTTACATACCAACGGAACAATTATTTTTTCTTTAAACAGACATGATATTTTTCTTCCAATTTTGTTATATATATTTTTCTTTATAAATTAATTTCACTATATAATAAAGCATTGGGTCTAGCAGAATAATTTAGAAAGAGAAAACAAACCAGTAATATACAAATTAGCAATATACACTATGATATCTTAAGCCAGTGATGGAGGTGGTGGAGGTGGTGGAGGAGTTGATTGAGCACCTACACTATAAGACGGTTTAGTGGCAGTTGGTGGTGGTGGTGGAGGTGGTGGATCACGAGCATAAGATGGTTTAGTGGCAGTTGGTGGTGGTGGTGGAGGAGGAGGAGGAGCAACTTTAGAAGGTGGAGGAGGTGGAGGTGGAGCAGCCTTTGTTCTCTTAAAGGGAGGAATCACATCTTGATGTGCTCTAGATTCACTAGGACGTTTCTTTGGAGGAATTATTTCTGGATGATATTCTTTTGGAGGACCAGATATACAATCTTTTGAAAGATGACCTGGTCTTTGACAAATCTTACAAATAAGTTGAGAGTTATCGATATTTCTTCTTGGTCTAGTAGTATTGGTTTGTTCGGGAATCTTAGTTTCTCTTAAAGTACCATTCAATACAGCCAATTCTCTTAATTGATCTCTCTTTAAATCATTTTGACCGATTGGAGAAGAAATTGCTTTATCGAGTACTTCATTAGTTAATTTTATAGCCTTTGCAATTTTCAGTTGAGTATCAGAAGTAATGAGAACATGTAATTCATCTTCAGCCAGACCTTCATCTTCACCTGGATTAGATGATTTACCTGATTTAACTGAACCTTTACCTCTAATTTGTAATCTAGCACCACTATCTTCTTGTAAGGTTCTTAAAGTTTTACCTCTTGGACCAAGTAAAAGACCGACAAAATTAATTTCTGGATAATCTTTTACTGGAATATACAACTTTTCAAAAGTTTTTGTTGGTTTTACATAACCTTGAGGAGCAACATAATGTTTAATACTACCAGCAGCAATTTCAACCAAATAATGCCTTTCCTTTTCAAGAGAAATTTTAGTTCTTTGTTCTCTTGTATTAATTCTTTTACCTTCTTTATCAAATTTTGGAGGTGGTGATGGATCTCTTTCGTAATTTGGATTTCTTGTTTCATCATTTGAACTTAAAAAGCTAAGAACTGGTTCATGAGATTCATGAGATTTCTTAAGAATATCTGATATTTCTTCAATTCTAAAATATTCTTGATAAGCATCTGCTTGTTCTTGAGTTAAATGACCTGAAATAATTGTACTTAATGTGGTATTACCAAATGTTTTAACTTTTTCAGGTACATCTGCCCATTTAGTAGTAGTTAATTTTTGACTCGATATAGATTTGGCAATTGCCTTTCTACCTCTTGGAGGATTATCTGTAGTTGACATTATTTGACAACTTACAAATAGGAATAATCTATGTGTTACACTATGGAGTTCTGAAACATTATCTATCACTTACAACTTTTTTTTTCCCATATACCGCGAGCGCAATATTTCCAATGTTTCTACTCATTACATTTATTCACATAGAGTCATTAATTATATACATATACATATAAACTACAAGTAAATATGATGATTATAAAATTATTATAGTACTTAGAAAGTTACTATGTTTTTTTGATACTGTATTATTATGTTACTATGATGTCTTGGTAAATTTCAAGATACTTAAAACTTCCCAGCCTGCTTTTCGCAATATAACAGTCTCAACATTCCAACCTCTAGATGTCATAGTTTGAGCAACTTGATCAGGTTTATTTCTGGCACAAAAAAGTATATAAGCTACACCATGTAAAGGATTTAGAATATTATGTAAATTATCTAGGATTTTCCAAGTAGTAATCATACCATCTTCACCACCCATTAATGCTAAATCTAACCAAGTATCATCATTAAGATTAGTAGGAATTTCAGGCACTATTTCTGCTGGAACATAAGGAGGATTAAATACTAATAAATCAATTTCTTGAGCTTTTATTCCACTAGTTAGATCCATTTGACAACTATCTATCAAGTACGGTATGGTTGGTATTTTTGAATTAGTAGATGGTTTATCCTGATCCTGATCCTGATCAATCTTATTTACTTTAACTGTATTTAATATAGCTTCACAAGCATGAGGATTAATATCAGTAGTTATAAATATTGAATTAGGTAAAATATTCTTATGTAAAAATGTAGTAACTATTCCTGATCCTCCACCTATCTCAGTAATAATCGGTATAATATTCTTAAATCTAGATTGTATAAATTCTTGCTCTTCTTCAAGACAATCTAATAGAAGAAATGAATCTTCTGCTGGTTCATATACTTTTTCATAATCTACGTCCTTAACAATAGGAGTAGGTAACATTTATCTATATTTAATATATTTAATATATAATATCTCTGGTTACCATACAAATTTTGAGATTTTAGCTAATGACATCGACTCGCTCTTTTTTACAGCAAAAGTAAACTAAAAAAAACTAAAATACTAAAGTAAGCGGTAATTGGAAACTATTACAAATATTGAAGTATCACCATTACACATACAAAAATGCAAGTTAAAGTTAAAACATTAACAGGTAGAGATATATTGGTAGAAATTGAACCTACTGATAAAATTATTAGAATTAAAGAAACCATGGAAGAAAAGGAAGGAATCCCTCCTGCTCAACAGCGATTTATTTTTAATGGTACACAATTAGATGATGAAAAAACAGTTGAAGAATCTGGTATTCAAGCTGGTTCATCTTTGCATTTGGTTTTAACATTAAGAGGTGGGTATTAAGAAATCTATATAATTAATGAGTTTAAAGGTATTAATTTCTCTATGTCATATCATATCATATCATAGATTCAGTCTTGCTGGTTATAGATTATTCCATATATCATTAAATCTACTAGTCTATTATTCATTGTTCTATTGATTCTATTCATTAATTGATATAAATATACACATATAATTGATTACAAATTTAATTTTATCTATGATAATACTTTTTATCATTATTGCGCCATAGATTTCCATTTTTTGGCATTTTCCAAAAACTTGCTAATACCTGGCTTGGCCGATATGCCTGCTTGATCTTGAGGGAAAATATATTCAATATATTCTTCTTCAAAGTTATCAACTTTTCTTCTTCTTTTCACTAAAGTAGGCATTCTAGCTTCTATTTGTTTTATACTCTCTTCATTTCCATGCTCTAATTCATATTCTTTCCATGCTTCAAGTATAACAAGTCTTTGTTCATTTAATTGTTTATCTTTATAGAATTTATCTGCTTCTTTAAATATAGATCTAGTATTTTGTCTATGAGTTTCTGTAATACTAAATTCAAGTTCTTCTTCATTACTTTCATTAAATTCTTGTAATTGTTCATATGTTGGTATTGATGATTCAAATACAGCTAATGATATCCAAACTCTTGAATTATCAGTCTTATCAATTAATGTACGATATAATTTACGAGCTTCATCATATTTCATTTCATCTTGAAAATAATGAATAAACGATATCCATAATGTTTCTAAGGGAATAAACTTTTTCGATAAATCTTCATGATCTGCTAATACTAAACTAGCATTGAATATGGATAAAACTCGATCATATTCATTCAAACTCTTTTCAAATTCAATATAATCTAAAACTATAGGAATTGAATTAGTATTGGCTTTACTTAGGGTATCAATCTCAAGCCATCTCTCATAAAGTTTTCTAACTCTGTCCCACTCACCTAATTTTTTCTCAAAATTAATATAATACTTGAACAAACTCTTCTTTGACTTTTGACTACTACTTTGTCCAATAGATCTACCTAGAATTTTCCGAGCTTTCAGTAAACCATTTTGTTCATCATTTCTTAATTCAAATTCAGCATAGTGTTTCCATACTTTACCAAATGTAAAATGACTATGAGGTATAATTTTTATGCATTGATTCCACAATGATCTTGATTCTTCAATATCACCACAATTAAATTCTTCCCATAAAATATATCTGATCCACAAATATATATATCTCTTCCATGTAATAGATTTAACTTTCTCAGATGGTACCTTGGAAACTGATTTTTTAAACTTTGATCTTAATGTCTCAGGTTTGGCATTTTCACTCAATAAATTAATATATATCCACCAAGTATCATAATCGTCTGGAGTTTCTATCAAATCTTGTTCATATTTAATTAATCGTTTTTGTATAATAGTCGATTGTATACTATCTTTATTTCCATGATTCTTTTCAAAATCAGAAAAGTTTTTGAGGATTTCATTTCTTTGAAATGTTGATAATTTTACTTTTGAAGTGTCAAGAATAATATTATATATAGCTCTGGCTCTTTCATACTCTTTGACTGATATTTCCCATTCTGCCCATTGAGAAATAATTAGAGGAAATTTTTCATCATTACTCTTTGAGCTTTTATTGGTAAGTATAGAATCGGCTGATATTTCAAATACTCTTCTAACGTTAATTATATTCTCTGTAATTGACGATACTTCATGAATTTCAAATTCTATCCATTTCAACCAAGTATCACTACCAGGATGTTCAATTACATACCTTGAGAAAATATTTCTGGCATTATCAAATTCATCATATCTTCTTTCAAAACCAATATATGCATCCCAAGCTGAAGAATCTGGGTGCCATTCTAACCACCTTTCAAATAGTATTCGTACCATCTTATAATTTTTTAAAGTTTCTTCAGTTTGAACATATAGAAACCAAAACTTATTGACTCTTGGAAGAGTAGTAGTGGCTCTATCTAATAAATTTCTTGCATGATTAATATTCTTGTGTGATAATTCTAATTGAATATATTGAATCCAAAATGGTATATGTTGAACATTTACATCAAGTGCTCTTTCAAAAATTGATCTTGCTCGAGGAAAATCTCGATTATGATTTAATTCCCATTTAGCATATCTTATCCATTGACCAAAATTTAATCTATTTTTATTTAGTTGTTGTTCATATTCTTTTCTCTTCTTTAATTGAAATGATCGTAACTCATCGAGATCTTGAATTGACTGAGCAGGTCTTTCAAGAGGCTTTTCTCTTATATCAAACGCATCTTTTAGGATCTTCTCACTCGTGACTTGAGAATTCTCAATGTCTCCCATAATTTCCTTTTGCTGTGAGTTCGAACTTCTTCTATTTAATTAACTTTTCTTAGAAATAATTATGGCTTCTTGAATTAAATTTGGCTTCGCGATATCGCAACAGACACAAAAAAAGTATGAATTAACAGCCATTAACTGTTGAATCTTCATTCCAATAATAAAGATGAGTGAATACGATTCTTCGTTATTCATGACGGTATGCATTAGGTATTGAATATGAGTAAAAGTTAAATATTAAATATGCAAAAAAAATTGCCTTCAGCCAGATTGGAACTGACGATCTCCTCATTACTAGTGAGGTGCCTTACCAACTTGGCCATAAAGGCTGTTTTCTGACAATTTTTTTTCAGTAGCTTTTTTGAGGTCAATAACAAAGCATTAGAAAATTTTTGGTCACGTTTTTTTCCACGTGATTACGTTTAATTTCCAAATATTTCGTAATTAAAAAGGTATTCTTGGTTTAAAGATATTATTCATGTAAGGGGAACATATATGTAAAGGTATTAGAACTTATTAGATGTTAATTGAACTACTGTTGAATCTACAAGTTTCAGTTTTTAATTTGTTGTAAATAGGCAAGTATATTTACGCAGATTTATGGCGAAAATTTAGATATATTTTAATTACTAGCGATATTTTACAATGTCAGTATAAGAAGTATGCAATATATTGAATTCAAAATGAATAAGAAATGACATAAAAGTGTTAATGTAATATATAAATAACTATTTGTTAATATATAAAGCTAATTTACAGTGGAAAGCATGATTGAGCTTGTATTATTGGAGCTTTCAATTCTTGCTTGGAAATGAAGGAATGATCGAATTGTCCTTTTATAACTAGACTTTTCTTAATTATATGTTAATGATGACAGTTGATGTTGTTGTTGTGATGAACTGACCCTTTTCAGTATTAGTATTTATTATTATTGGACTAAAGTATAGTTGAATTACTCTATTTCTTAACCAAATCCAAACTTTCATAAACAGCACCAGCTGACTTATACAAATCCAGAGCAACAACACCTTTACCAGTTACTTCATTTTCTTTTAATTGTTGTAACATTGTTCTAGCTTTTTCTCTTTCTTTATATCCATGCAAGCATTCAAAGTAATCATCATATACGGGAGTACATTCTTTCTTGCTAGTAGTATCGGCTGATGTTACACAAGCAACCAAAGTTTGGAATTCATAAAAACATTTTCTGGTACCTCCAGATCTCGAGTATGGTTGCATCTTTAATTTACTCTATATCAATACCGTCTATCTTAGCTTTTGATGAAAGCTTCAAAAAATTTGTATTAATTATTTCTTCGCGCTAATTGGTTCCAGTCTCCATAAAAGTTGGGCATAAAGCACGACCATTATTATCCCCAATATAGACAAAAATGATTTTTGATTTTTTTGCAATTTAGCAGCAATTCATTTTAACTAATAATATAAAATATTATATATAATAATAATAATAATAATAATAATAATAATAATAATAAATAAATTACTAATTATAGATATTTATACATATGCAAGCATTTCTTTAATACAATTTTTAACTTCATAATACAATGGACCTATACTACCTTCAATGGATATATCACCAGTATCATCACCATCTACTGAACTATAAGGAACTTTTTTAATAGCAATTGTATCATTAACTACTAAAGTTCCTTCTGCTTTAAATTCTGCATTTAAATTAAGGCCCTGAAGTTTCTTTTTCAAATCAGGAAGTTGAATATTACCTATAGCTAATTTAGGTCCATTAGTATTGACTGATTTTAAAGGAGAATTTTCAAATTTTTCTGTTAAATTAAGCTGTTGCTTTAAAAAGTCTTCTTGTTTAACTTTCTTTAATGTAAATTGTGTTGCTGAATTAATTATATCACTTATTGTTCTTTTTCTATTATCTGAATTATCATTATCTATACTTTGATTTTGAATTTCTAATTCACCATAAACTTGAGCAACTCGATAACTTCCCCCAATAGTTTGCCAATTTAATTCAGTAATTATACTATCATCAAGATTAACTTCAAAATTACTTAATCCAATAGCTCCTGCATCTACATCTCCTCCAATTTTAGATGATTCATTATATGAAATTGGGGTTACTTTCATCTTACTACTACCTTTATGAGTCGATACACTTGATAATCCACTTCTTATATTTTCTAATGAAAGATATCTAGAAGAATTAAATAAATTCTTTTTATTATCTTCAATCTTTTGTTCTGTCTGTTGTTTTTCAAAATATGATTCCACTAAATGAAGTCCATTCAGTTCATCATTTAAATTTACATTGGTTGAATCAGGTAATAATAATAAATTATATGGTTTTAATGATGATACAATAATACCCAATGAACGAAGATCAACTAAACCTGATAAATCAATAAATGATAATACACATCTTACTCTCAATTGTTGAGTTTGAGATGCATATGCAGAACCACTGGCTCCAAATTTTACTCTCTTTTTTGGTTCATGTAATGTATCCAAGTATTTTTGATATATTTCATTATTTAATTGTTCTTGAGGGGTTAATTTATTAATTTGAGTCTTCTTTTGCTTTTTATCATTATCTCTATCTCTTTTTTCATTTCTTTCGAATTTTTTCTTACCTTCCATAATAATTTTGGAATTTGAAATTTCATCTTGTTTTTGAAAATCTTTTGCATCAATAACTTCACCATAATCATCAAATTTTTGTTTATGTAAATTTGGAAAATATGGGAACATGGCTTGACGAGGTTTTAATCTATGAGTTATACGTAAATCCAATGGCCTTTTCTCTTCAAGACTTTCCTTTATATAATCAGTAACAAATGCTTCATGATCAGCTAATTCATCAATTTCTTTTGTTCCTACATGTCCATTAGTAGATAAAAGAATTGGATTAGCATCTTTATTAATATCTTTTTCATCATCAGATGAAATAGCACCATTTTCTTCTTCATCATCAGATGAATCTTCTGCATCTACAATATCAGAATTTAATAAATTTTGAGTCTTTTTATCTCGAACTTTAGCAAGTAATTTTTCCTTTCTATGATCATTAATTTTTTGTTGAAATTCAGAAAGATCTGATCCTACTAATATTTCTTCTCTAGTCCAATCATCAATTGAAAATATTCTTTCTAATGGTACTGCAACTCCATCTTCAACTTTACCACCCATTCTACCTTTAGTTAAATTATACCATTCTGTATATAATAAAGAATTTAAAGTTTTATCTGATGCAAATAAAGATTTTTCTGTAAGTAATATAGTACTTTTTTCATCTTGACATAAATATTGAAAAGCTTCAGAAGATAAATCACCATTTCGAAGATCAATTCCTGAACAAAATACAATTTTTGGACCCAGTAATTGAATTAATTCATTTGGATCTAATAATAAATCAACTTTTGATGGATCAAATGGCATACTTCTAAAATGACCATTTTTATCAGAATCATTCCAATTTTTTGATAATGAAGGAGTCATCCAATCTAATAAACTTGATGCATAACTTAAAACTTTTGTACCAGAATATGATAAGAAATAAACTGGAATTGGAGCTCCTTGTAAATGTTCATCAATTAAATGAAATACTTCTAAAAATCTACCTGAAAGAGAAGTTGGAATAATTACTGCTCCACCATTTGCAACTGTTGCATCAACTAATTCTAAGAATTTATCAGTTCTTCTTTTATGAGACATAGTTGAACCCATATCTGTACCAGTTATAAAAGCTGTTGGACGTAATAACAGAGATATTGGATTACCATTTGAAGATGATAAAAATGCAGCACTATTTAAAAATGAATCACGAGAATGATTCCAAGCTGGAGCATAAATAATTTTATCAATTCTTTTATTAATTAACCAAAATGTTCCACCTAATGTATGTCCTGAATTATAAGCTGTCATAATTATTTTCCCATCAAATAAAGTAATTGATTGTAAATATTTTATAATATTAATTTTATCAAAGAATTCATCTATTTCTTCAATTTCTATTAATGCATCCTTTAATGGTCCTAATATACCATTTGATCTATAATATTCAACTGTTGATATTCGTCCAAGTTGATTAACTGGTAAAGTAGAATATACTGGAATATTACTCATTAATGGAGCAAATTTAATCCATAATAATACATAACCTCCAAGAAATTCTGGAGTTGAATGAGATAATATTATACCATTAATTTCACTTAAAGTTTGTTCAATGAACATTACGGAATTAGCATCTTTCCCATTCCATGATGGATCAGCCAATAATTTAAATTCATTATCAAAATTTAAGAGTCCGGCTTTAAACGATACATCGTTTTCCGACGGAGTAATTAATGAAAACGTGAACATATTCCGACCATAATTATATTAACTAACCATATAAGTTGGGTACTATCAGTTCGCATCTTCGAGTATTTATTTCACCAGTCTAGCAAAAAAAAATATTACTAGTCAGTTCCGACTGCACACGTGAGTTTTGTACCAGACCCGACCTATTGCCGGTCTGAGGTCGGATTGAACCAACTTTTTGCAGTCATTACACAGTACTGCCAAGTTCTATTATAAGTTCTATAATAAGTACTCCTACAAGTACTCCTACAAGTGCTAATACTAGTACAAGTATGTAGTACTATAAGTATTATTACTACTATAAGTACTATCACCACCATAAGTACTATAAATACTCTAAATACTATAAGTACTATTAGTAGTATGAGAACTATTACTACGACAAGTACTACTGAAAGTATTACTATAAGTATTACGTATAAGTATTACGTACAAGTACTACTACAAGTACTACTACAAGTACTACTACAAGTACTACTACAAGTACTACTGCCACTAATACAAGCACTAAAACTACTACTATTACTACCTCTACAGAATTTTACAACTAATATTTATCAAGTATTAAAGAAATGAATTTTATATTTTATAAATGTACAATAATGAATGAAATGAAAATGAAATTTAATTCAAATTAATACTATTTCTAGTATGTAATCTTATTAAACTTTCTGCTTGGGTTAAACCAGGCACCTCATGAGTAGTATCGACTCTTTCTAATGAATTTCTCGATGTCTTATATTCTCCCTGTTGAATCATTTGAAGTCTTAATTGATTAAGATCTATTGGTCTTCTAAATTGTTCAGTAATGGTTTGACTTCTGGATCTACCTCCACCACTACTAAGAGTATTCTTTCTTAAAGTAGCTGCTCTTTTAATACTATTAAAAGTCTTGGAAAGTGCATTATTTTCTTCATGATTATGATGATTATGATGATGATGTTGATTCTCATCAGAATATCCACTGATAGTAGTTTCACGTTCCTTTTCTAATTTTTCAAGTAACAGAGGATCTCTATCAATAAGTTCAGTCACAAGTCGATGTCTTTCAACATCTTCAAGATCAGTAGGATCATACCCTTGAGGATAATCATCATATTTCCCATTTCTAACTTGTTCTCTAATAATATCAATATCTCTTGGAATAAAATTTCTCTTTAAGAAATCAAATACAAATCTAGGAAGTACACAAGCAACAACTCCAATAAAAATACAACACCAACATGCTAAAGTACCTAAAACTTGAGCACCAGCCCTATAAAATTCTTGAGAATAAAGATTGGCACTCCAAACTCCAGTCCAAAAATAAACAATTAAAATTGAAATTATATCAATAGTAAGTGAAAGTCTATCCCATCTATTTTGTTGTAAAAGAACATAAATATTACATGCTGTTACTGAAAGGGCAGCACATACAACTCCCATCCAAAATCTATGATCAATAGTCATACCTTGAGGATTTTGGAATCCAATATAAAATAATAAATATGGGAAAAAGAATGAAATAACTGATTGATAAAGTCCATCAAACATATACCATACGAATTTATATTGAGACCATTCAATCCCTAAAATCCCGGTTCTATATAATTGAGGAACTAATAATGATACTGTATCAGAAACATCTTGATCCATAACTGCCAATACTATAACTGGTAATGAAGTAAATGCCAAATTATAAAACATTAAAAAGGTATATTCATAAAGATAAGATCCATCAAAATTAGTAAAGATTCCAAACCAAAAACATGTTAAAGTAAATACCACATTTTTATAAAAGAAACATGGAACCATTTCTGCTAATCTTTTATATGACCATCTACCATGAACAAGTAATAATCTTGTTAAAAATCTAAATTGTCCAATAGCATAATCAGATGACATAACAGCTTGTCTACCTTCTTCACCAGCAATACCAACACCTACATTAGCAGCTTGAATCATAGCTACATCATTGGCTCCATCACCAATAGCTAATGTCATAACTCCAAGATTTGATTTAACGGTTTTAACTACATCTGCCTTTTGAGCAGGAGAAACTCGACAACAAATAACTGCTCGACATTGTTTACCTAATAATAAAAATTTTTGTCTTAATTTTTGAATAGTTGGACTTGAATGATTTGTTAAATCTTGAAATACTACACTTAAAGCAGCTCCATCAATAATAAGAGCAAAATGAGGTGATGGAGCACTATGATCCTTTTTAGCTTCTTCAATTAATCGATCAATTTCATTAGAATCATGTTTATCCTTTAATAAACCAAAATATTCTTGTAAATAATTGGTAATTAATTGATCAATATATTCAATACTTTTATCAAGTTGATCAATATCTTCAGTTTCTGGTCTAACCACTAATAATTTCATTTCATTTTCTAATAAATTACATGAAAATCCAATATTAATGGCGGTTTCAATTCTATCACCTGTTAAAACCCATAATTTAATACCAGCTTGAGCTAAAATTGCAATTGAATCAGGTACACCTGCTTGTAATCGATCTTCAATAGCAGTTCCACCTAATAAAATTAATCCTTGTTCAATTTCTTCTTCTAATTGTTCAATTATAGCTTCTCGAGAATCATCAATTGATGCATAAGCTTCTTTAAATCGAGCCGACCAATCATAATAAAAATTAGCATCTAAATCCTTTTGAGCAATACATAAAGTTCTTAAACCTTCTTTAGCAAAATCTTCTAAATGTAAAGCAGTTTTAGATATAACTTCTGAAGAATTTAAAGAACCATCTAATCGTTGGAAAATTACATTATCAGCTCCTTTAGTAATCATTAAGATTTTACCTTGAGGAGTTTTAATAATACATGACATTCTCTTTCTTGCTGATGTAAATGGAATTATATCTAATAATTCATATTCTTGAGAATCTCCATATACTTTAACAATGACTCGTTTTCTTAAACGTTCTTTAAATACAATTCCTAAATCTCTTGCAACTGAAACTAATGCTGATTCATCAGGAGATTCAGCTTTAAAATCTCGTAATTCAGGATCATATTCATTTTCTTCAGTTACAACTGTATGACATAAGGCAAGAGCAAGCATAAATTGTTCATTAGCTAATTTTTGAGGATTAAGAGGATTATTGGTTAACATAGTATCTTTAACATAATCACTCGATACAAATGTAACATTTTCATCTCTTAATTGATCATTTACTGAAAATTTCATTAAATTTTCAATCATATTATTTTTATCATCTTGAATTATTCTTTTCCATTTATCATTTTCTGTAATAACATCTAAACCTGCACGTTTATCTAAACCTTGTTTAGCTTCAGTATAAGCTAAACCATAAGATTTCCCATTAATTGTACATTTCTTAAATTCCATAACATTTTGAGTTAAAGTACCAGTTTTATCACTAAAAATATATTCAATTTGTCCTAAATCATCAGAAATATTCCAAGTTTTTGGTACACATGGATAATCTAATTTTTCATAATACATTTTAATATCAGAAAATATAAAAAATGCTTGTAAAGTTTTAATAATTTCAACTGAAATATATAATGAAATTGGTATTAAAGCTTGATAAATAATTAATGCCACGACAAAACTAACTATTCCATTAACTGCAGCAGTTGAAGCATAAGGATGAAAATCAAAATATAATCGAGAAACATGTTTATGATTATAAAATAATCCATTAATTAATCCTGAAATAAAACAAAGTAAAAATACAAGGAAAAAATTAATTATTACTGAAAGATTTAATTCTCGAGAAATTTTAGATAATTTAGTTGGAGTTATACCTGAATTAAGCATAATTTTAGTTTCTGATCCAGTATAAATCACTAAACCAATAATCCATTTAGTATTTCTTAATGTACAACCTCTTAATAATACATTATCATTATTAAGTGGTTCCTTTTCATCAGAATTAATTAAATTTTTATTAGAATCATAATTTTCATAATGAATTGTTCCCTTAAAAGCATATAAATTATTATTAGGAGGATCACATTCAACCCAAAATTTTGTATTACCTAAATCTTGTGCATGCTTTAAATTTTGATTACCTCCACAATGAATTGAAGATTTATTCTTTAAATTTGTTTCTCCATCTAAATTCTTTGTTTCAATATAACAATTCCCTTCAACATCTGAAGTTGAAAGTATAATAACATCAGCAGGAACTTCTTCATTAGCTCGAACTCTAATCATATCACCAACAGAAATATCTTTCCATCTTCTATTTTTAAAACAAGTATCAATTTTAGAAGAATTTTCATTTTGAGCTTGTAAAATTGGATTTAATAAAGAATTTTCATTAGCAATAGTTGGTCTATGAGCATGAATTCCTGATCGATTAGAATGATGAGATTTTCTACCAAATCTTCGAGATGAAACACTTGGACGACCTTCATTTACTATATTATCAGGAGGTAAACTACTAACATTTGAATTCATTGAAAATTCACTAATAATCGTTGAAACTCGATGTAATTCATTTTGTTCTTCTTTAATATTTGCTCGAATTAATTCTTGTTTTCTCTTCTTTGAACCAAATATCATAATAAATCCTTTCTTTATACCTTTAAATATTTTTGCCATACATCTTGAACAAAATTTCTTAAATCTTCTCCATGGTCCAACATAATCACTAACAACATTAACATTATGTAAACCTGTTAATAGATGAATTGGAGAATTATTTAATTCTGAATCACTATTACCTCTTCTATTATCTTCAAATGCATCTTTAATTGCGGTAATACATACAATAACAATTAAAGGTACGGCAGCTAAACCTGGAGAAGGAACTCCAAAAATTTGAAAAGCTCCTAAAATTGCAATGACTAAGAAATAAAAATTAGCAATATTGGTAAATTGAAATAATAAATTCTTTGGAATAAAAGATAATGGAGTATATTTAGTAGTTCTGATTTTATTTCTAGGATAATAAATTATTGGATGACCATTAGAATCCAGCATATCAGGAGGTAAATCATAATTTACATAAATATATCGAGGAGTATTATTATAAATTTCTTGTAAATATTCTGGACGATTTCCAAGACCTCTATTATAAAGGAATCGTTGAATTCTTGATTTAAAATTGGGAGGTGAAGTATTTATTAAGTCCTTGGCAGTGTATCGAACATTGGCAGGGATCTTATCTTGATCAATATTATTGATATTGTGATTATTATTGATATTGTGATCATTATTTTCATTTTCATTTTCATTTTCATTTTGACCTTGATTAGTATTAGTATTAGATGAAGAGGATTGGTGATCATTTTCATTCACTCTTATAGGACTCGATTCATCTCTTTTATAAGAAGATTCATCTGAAATTGCAGTGGTAGGAGATGTCATTTGTAATTAGTTGAAATAATTAGCATGCAATGAATAAATTCTATAGTCTATTATGGAATGAAAAATTAATGAATAAGGTAGAAGGAATATGGATTGTAAGAAATTAATAATGCTTGAATTGAATTAAAGTAAAGTAAAGTAAACTAAATGGTAACAGATAGCGAGGAAATAAAACACTCGCTTAGTTATTAGTTATAGCAGGGAGTGGAGAGGAAACACAGTGCACCAGCACAATAAGTATGATAAATTAGCTAGGTTGAGCTTTAGTTAGCTACTATACACCAGCTTTGAAATTAAACAATTACCTTGCCTAAAATTCTATAAACAATAAAGAAGTATAAGATATAAGATAATATATATTTTTCAAAATTAATATATTCGTTAATTAATTTAGGCCTAAATTGCGCACACGGCAGCAGTGGGCTCAGCTCAGCGCAGCTCTGCTCAAACTTTGACACTGCTCAAATCGGTCTATAAAGTTAGAATAAATATACTGAGAGAACAATACGATTATTATGCTGTCCAAATGATTATGAACAATGTAATGAGGATAGAGATGCAATAAGGTCATACACATAGTTATAGTGGATTGATAAGATTGTAATCTAAGTACTGTATACTTTATTAAGGTTCATTTATTTACATTGCCCCGATTGATGATATCCGTCTAGCAGTGCTGTACAGTGCTGCTGGGGTGTGTGCGAACTGAGTATGAGCCGGAGGATTCGGTAAATGCGAACGGAATTAATTTTGTAAATAGTGAGCCGTCCGAATTTAGTGCGGAGTGTGCATTCATCTCATTTCTAGAACCGGGTAACTGTCAACCTTTGATCTTCGACTGCACACCGACAGCACATCCACACCGCAAACACCCACCACAGATTCAGTATATCTACACGACCTCCATCTCATAAGATTAGACTTATCACTAATCAGGGGGCCCCCACTATAGTTAATACCAACAATGTTTAATCATTATTCTCTAGGCTGGATATGGGTAATAAGTGTCAGTTAATACAGTATTTTATTGTTATTCTCTAATCTAGTCAGTATAATTAGAATTGGGGGTAATTCTTACTGAAACTACAGCCTTATCATCTCTAATATATCATCTCACACTTCTCTCCCTATCGTTGCAATTTCTCACTACATCTTTTCACTCTAGCCCACAAGGCGTCGCACTCTCACTACAATTTTAGTACAAATTTAGTGGACTTCACTAAAATTGTCGCTGCTGTCTGACCCCCTTAGCTCATTTGTGCGCTCATTGTCCAAGCAGGACAAAAGCTTCGACTCTGATTTTGATTGAAATTCCATATTTCCATCTCTACCTCCAATTTATTACTAGCTCTATAGACCAATTGACAATTATAAATTTGACATAAATTTGACAATTGACCTGTGTATTATCTATACAAAAATTGTTTATCCATTTCTGAAGCTTAGTTCGCTTTAATTCGTTCTGCCCTTTGTCAAATCCTTTACTCTGGTCAGCAAGGATTGAGTGGCTAACCAATATATACAGAAGCAGTCTTCATTCAATTCACTCCACTTCGCTTCAATTCATTTCAATTCAATTCAGTTAAAATTCAATTCTAATTCAATTTCAATTCAATTACAATTCAATTCAATTCAATAAAATAGAGAATTATTTTAATTTCTCGAAGTAGTAGGATTGACCAATTGATCATTTCATCCAATTCTATTTCAATTGATTTTTAAATAAATCCAACTTCATTGCATTTTTGCTAATCCAGCCCCCCCCTACTTCTTTCATGCCTTCTTCTTCAAGCATCCTCAAAAAGCTCCATATAACCAGGCTGAATAATAATAGTAACGATAGTCAAAATCAAGATTCAAATACGGTATCATCTCAAGCAACAACAGAATCAGCATCACAAACATTAGTAGCTTCAACATCTTCTTCAAGTAAAAATACAAATATGGATTTCTTTAATCATCTGCAACCACATCAATTGCAGGGTCAACCAATTCAACAAAAAGATACTACAACAGCAACTTCATCTAATGCAGGAACTTCTGATGCTATTCGAAGATCTCTCTTACCTCAACGTTCAACAGTATCTAAAGGTAAATATTCTTTAACTGATTTCAGTATTATGAGAACTTTAGGAACAGGATCTTTTGGTAGAGTGCATTTAGTTAGATCTGTTCATAATGGTAGATATTATGCTATTAAAGTTTTGAAAAAAGCTCAAGTCATTAAAATGAAACAAGTTGAACATACTAATGATGAAAGAAGAATGCTTAAACTTGTGGAACATCCATTTCTTATTAGGATGTGGGGAACATTTCAAGATTCAAAGAATTTATTTATGGTGATGGATTATATTGAAGGTGGTGAATTATTCTCTCTTTTAAGAAAATCTCAAAGATTTCCGACTCCTGTAGCTAAATTTTATGCTGCTGAAGTTACTTTAGCTTTGGAATATTTACATAGTCATGATATTATTTATCGAGACTTAAAACCTGAAAATATTCTTTTGGATAGAAATGGTCATATAAAAATTACTGATTTTGGATTTGCAAAAGAAGTTAATACAGTTACATGGACTTTATGTGGTACCCCAGATTATATTGCTCCAGAAGTTATTACAACAAAACCTTATAATAAATCAGTTGATTGGTGGTCATTAGGAGTTCTTATCTTTGAAATGTTAGCAGGTTATACACCATTTTATGATGCAACACCAATGAAAACTTATGAAAAGATTTTATCAGGTAAAATTCATTATCCAAGTTTCTTTAGTCAAGATGTAGTTCATTTATTACAAAATTTAATTACAGCTGATTTAACTAGAAGATTAGGTAATTTAATGAATGGACCAGCTGATATTAGAAATCATCCTTGGTTTCTGGAAGTTGTATGGGAAAAATTATTAGCTAAAGATATTGAAACACCTTATGAACCTCCAATTACAGCAGGAGTTGGAGATTCTTCACTTTTCGATCATTATCCTGAAGAACAATTGGATTATGGATCGAGTGGTGATGATCCTTATGGACAATATTTCACTGAATTTTAATTCAATTTATGCTCCAATCAACCAATATTACTTTAACGATGTTACTTTTAGCTTGTTTTATCGATTTTTCCCTTTTTGTTTAGTTTAACTTATATAACATTTAAATTCTTATTAATATAAATATTTTTTTTTATTATTGAAAGTTTGCTTAAAAGATTTGTAAAAAGACGATATTTATTAACTTTTATATAATAACTTTAAAGAACCTAAAGATAACGAAGAAATGAATTACACTATAATACAACAGTATTCATATTGATTTACCTTTTGATATATGGGAAGGTAATGAATATAAATAATTGAATGGCTTTATACTCTATGGAGATGGAAAAGATCACCTTAATGCAAGTAGTTAATTAACTAAAAGTGGGATAGATATATGATATATCACTTCGATGACAATGAATAAATAATTAATTAATTAATGAATCACCCTTGGAATACATTTTTACAGTTTAGACAAACATAAAATAACAACATAGAAGTATCTTTCCTTCTTTGTTGAGATTGAAAGAATACACAATCTTTATTAGCACATTTAGGACATTCTTTATTTGAACGAGGTAAAGTTGGATCACTACCAATATCTTGTACTACACCTGCAGTTTCTCCAATATTAGTAATTAATTCATGTCTATAAACTTTAGGATTTTCAGCTAATTCAGTATAACCACAATTACGACAAGCATATAGTAATCTTTGTCCATCTTTATCTTCTTTGGGGTACAACATGTTATTGCATTCAGCACAAAATCTGAAGGATGCCATTTTATACTGTTAAATAAGTTTGAATAAAAATGATTATATGTATAACTCTATGTATATATATTAATAATATATATGAACTATTATTAATTAAGATTGTACTACTTCCTTAACTTAACTTAACTTATTTATTAACCTTGTCGTTCAATATTGACTACTGGTTAATTGACAAAAATGTCGCTGGTCGTGTCCCTCTTTCAAATCCACGATTTTTCACTGAAATTTTTTTTTGACTAGTGATTTTTCAAATTGAACGAGTGAAAATACAAAACTTATTGGCTGGAGGTTGAATACTAACTTAGACGTTTCTAACTTCACATATATATAACTTCACGCATCATGTCATTATTACGTCAAGTAGCCAGACCTGCTTTAAGGATCTCTACCAGAAGAATTGTTCCAGCCATGGCTGTTCGTTATAATTCAAGTGCAGCAGCTCCAACTACTTCATCAGTAGACCCAAAGATTTCTGTTATTGTTGATCAAATTTCTAAATTGACATTATTAGAAACTTCTGCATTAGTCACCGAATTAAAGGAAAGATTGAATATTCCAGACATTTCATTACCTGCTGGTGGTGCAGCAGCAGCTCCAGCCGCTCCAGTTGAAGAAGAAGTTAAAGAAGTTGTTGAAGAAAAGACTATATTCTCAGTTAAATTAGAATCATTTGATGCTAAATCTAAACCAAAGATCATTAAAGAAGTTAAAGGTTTATTAAGTTTATCCTTAGTTGAAGCCAAGAAGTTTGTTGAATCAGCTCCAAAGATCTTGAAAGAAAATGTTGCCAAAGAAGATGCTGACAAGATTAAAGCTACCTTAGAAGGTTTAGGTGCCAAGGTTTCATTAGAATAAATGCAATAACCGATTATCATCAATTATTACTATTTTGTATTTAATAATCTATCACTTTCACTATCTATAGTCACCCAAATTCCACCCAATCCTGTATATATACGCTTCACTTTTGCTTTTACTTATTTAACCTATCCATATATTAAACATTATATATGGTCAATTCGTAGAACTATTAAACTTAAACTTAAACTTAAACTAAGTATTTCTCATAACTATTTTACATTATTCAAGTAATCATGTGACTTCAATAGAGTTTAGCTATTGCCGTGTTTAACTGTAATGTTTTGAAATCTTTACAGTTCGCAGTGGAAACATATAAACCTTTTCCTAAGAAAATTTATATAGTACAAACAAACTGTGATAACCCCATATTATATTCTCATCCAATTAACAGCCATATATATTTATATATAAAACATTTAACTAACATATAACACTGTGGTATTATCTTATAAGTGAGAGTAGATTAAAACTTTTCTTTGAGTTTATTCTCTCATTTACTGGAATCATGTCTTCGTTACCGATCCAGAAGTGTTCATTAGAAGATTTAAAGTTAGAGAATGAAACATTTACCAATAAAAGTGATATAAAACCTTGGTTACATAAATTATTGTTGGAAAGGAAGGGTATAGAGGTGGTTATATATCGTTCTGATTCTTTAAAAGTAGTATTTAAATGTCGAAATGGTACTAGAGAAATAGTAGGATCAGATGATCCCCGTGTAGCTCCAAGACGTCAAATAACTTGTCCATTTAAGATAAGAGCTAATTTTTCATTTAGAAATAAATATTGGAGTTTAGTTGTTATTAATGATTGTCATAATCATGATATACCGAATCATCGATCCAATAATAATAATAATAATAATAATAATAATAATAATATTAATATTAATTCTCAAAAACTTTCAAATGATAATTCTGATGTAATTACTATTAATCCGAATACTAATAACAATAATAATAATGATCATGAACCTTCTACTAAAATTCATGGCCATAATCATCATAATCATCACAATCATCATAATCATCACAATCATCATAATCATCATAATAATAACCATCATAGCCATCATAATAATAATGATAGTATCCTTGAAATTGCTAATTTAACCAATCCCGATAACGGATTCAATGATGAGACAAATATGCTCCATTCATCTCATGACTCTAGCAAATCAAATTCATCTGCTGATATGTTTGGTAATTTAATAGAAACAAGTTCAAGTTCAAGTTCAATAGTTTTATCCAGTAATCATTCACCTATTGAAAATACCCCTTCAAATTTCCTGACAAGATTACAATCTCTGCCCAAACAACAAGGAAAGAGATCAAATCGTCAATCTTCGAAGAAGGAAGTATCAAGTCCTAAAATTGATCGTAGTCAAGTCATACAATATTTAAGAAATGAAGTCAATAAATTAATATCAAAGAATATTATTAATAATAGACTCTTAAAGGATGAAGATAAATCATCCATTTTGGATGGTTTTACGCAAAATTTATTAGTTGATCATAAGGATTATTTGCCTAATAAATACTCTTCTAAATTTAATAATAAGATTGATAAACCATCTAGAAAGAGAATTGTTCAACCTCCTCGAAAGCAGAGTGAACAAAATAAGAGATCAATATTAAATACTTGGCTTAATACTTCGAATGCTAATAATACTAATTTAATTCCATTATCACCTTTATTGAATGATTCTGATTCTGTTTCTAATACTAGTAATGGAAATAATTCTATTGATACATTAACTCAATTACCCATGATAAATATCAATAATACTAATATAACCAGTTCCAGTTCCAATAATATTCAAAGTAATTCAAATCCAGTTAACTTTGTTTTCCCCAGTCAAGTTCTGCTGCAAATTCAAAATCAAAATCAACAGCTTCCATCATTTAATTCTATTCAAAATAATATTCCTTTATCACCATCAGGAATTTCAACTATTAATAATTCATCATTAATTCCACCATTAGGAAATAATTCAGCTAATTCAGTTACTTCAGCTACTTTAACACCTGCTCATATTTTAGAAAGTTCTACAAAGAATCTTTTTAATTTATCTTCATCTACAACTACAGGTTCAGCATCTGCTTTAACTGATTTTAAACTTGGAGGTACATTAACTAGTAATATATTTTCAGGTCAATCTTTACTTAATGGAGGTCCTAATTTAATGCCGGCAAATATAATGAAAGATACTTCATCAGCTTTTCTTACTAGTTCAAATTTCAGTACTTTACCATCAACTAATCTTCAAAATACATTTTCAAAGGACAATAATTCTAATTCTAATTCTAATAATGCTACGAATAGTTTACTAAATAATTTCAATGATCCTCCCTGGTAGTGATCTATAAGTTTTTTACTTTGTTTTATTTTATTTTATTTTTCTTTTCTTTTCTTTTCTTTTCTTTTCTTTTCTTTTATTTTTCTTTCCTTTTCAATTCTTATTCAATTCTTCATTACTCGTTTGGCTACACCTTTTTTCCCACCTTTTATAGATTATTTAATAGACTGCGATCGTAACTAGTCGTGAGAGCCTTATCTATCAGTAGATTAATTTAAAGCTCGGTAGTGAAAAAAATGAAAAATAGGAACAGGAAGTGAGTGGCGGACCACAAATTTATCTTTTATATCTAAGGGGTTTACTAGTACTAGAGTTATAGTTATAGTCATAGTTATAGTTATAGTTACAGTTACAAAACAGTTACAATTACAATTACAATATACAATGGTAGTTACTGGTAGATTTAATAGAATATACGGAGTTAATATACCTGAATTCTCCGGATCTAAATTAATTATTCCATCAATTTCTATTGGGAATATTCCACAATTTTCAGTAGATTTATTAATTCATAGTCTTGATTTTATTAAAATTGGTAGTCTAGATGATATTTATCTTTATCCATTTGCATCACCAATTGATCATGCCATTAATAAATCAGAAATTGGGGTATCAAATACCGTAGAAATTTATTATAGTGAAAAATTACATATTACAATTATACAACAAAGATCACCAATTATACCAAGTTTTATTGATAGTTATATAAATGAAATTATTTTACCATTTATAGTAGATTCTAAATTTTCAAAAGTAATAATATTAGATTCTTCAGATGCTGGATTAATTGAAAATGTTGTTGAAAAATCAATTGTAATTTATACTAGTGATGATTTACTTAGTCAATCATTAGAATCATTAAATTTAAATTTAGCTTCAAAACAAATATCTTTACAAAATATTCAATATGAACATTCAAAATATGTTCGATCATTATTAGGAGCTCTTAATCTGACAAGTTCATCTCCAAAAGTTGATACAAGTGTATTAGTAAGTTATGTTTATGAAGGTGATAATTTTCAAGATGGTGAAGAATTAGCAAATAAAGTAATTGATGTATTGGATTTACCTCCAATAGTAGAATGGACTCGTCCTATTAGTTGGTTAGGAGCTTATGGTGATAAACCTGTACCAAATGCAACAGAAGATGGATTATTTGGTTGATTAATTTTGATTAGTTGTTAGTTAATTGGCTTGTATATATGTGAATATGGTTTCATAGTGTTGGATTTATACTTAGTATTATTATTATTATTATTATTATTATTATTATTATTATTATTATTATTATTATTATTATTATTATTATTATTACTATTACAATGTTAAACGTATCTATAAATCTACTTATTGCTGATTACTTTTACCAGCTAATTTCTGTAAATATTCATGTAATCCTATATTTTCAATATCATTATTCCCATTATTAACTTTAATTTCAATAGATGAAGGTATTGATGGTTTATTGGTAGAAATTCTAACACTCTTTTTACTATCAATTGCACTTCTTTCATTAGAATCATTATGAATATAACCTAAATTCCTCATAAATTTATCTAATCTAGTATCATTTCTAGCAAAATCAGTATCCAACATGAAAAGGTCTAATTCTTCTCGAGGAGGACTTTGATTATTTGATGTTGAAGCAAATTTAGATGTACTCGTATCTAATTGATTTAATGGACTTAAACCAGAATTTATTCCAAACATTGGTCCTATTGAAAAATTATGATTACTACTACTATTAATATTGACAGTTGAATTTGAATTTACATCATTCTTTTCCAGTATATCTGATATTTTAGATACTTCAGAATTTACTGAATCTTTATTATCAATAGTAGAAGGAGTATTTAATATAGTGGCAAGATTATGAGTCAGATTCAGAGATTGTTTTAAATGATTAAAGATTCCTGAAAATGGTGAAGAAGTATTTTGACCTCCATGATTAATTTGATATCTTAATGAATCATTCTTAGGTGGTAAAATCGGTTCTTTTCTTTTCATTGCTTCATTAGTCATGGTAGCTAAAAGATCATCAACTATATCATTCATTACTTTATAAATCTCCCATGATATTCTACAAGGTATAGATGTTAAAGCTGCATTAACTAAAAAGCTTCGGAAATCTTCACAATGAGTACTCTTTAAGGTATCAGCATTTTCACCACCAAAATCCATCATATTTGGGAAATTAAATCCCATTAATATAAAATAATCAATAAATGGATAATACTTTAAATTCTTTAATGAATGAACATTAATGATTTTCTTAATTGATAATATAGCCTTGGTATACTGTCTATTACGAGATTTAATTATTCTATCTTTAACTGTATCACCATCAGATGAACTTTTTAAAGCACTTAATCTAGCAGCTAAAACACACCAAGTAATATCTCGACAAAGATTTAAAAATGCAACTGTTGGAGGTACAGCACTTGAATTTTCATAAGCATCTAATTTACAATACAGAGGTAATTCAGAAAACCATTCATCTAATACTGTTTTAAAATAAAATAATGTTCTCTTATTTCCCTTTGTTTCTAGAGATTCATCTTCAATATAATCTTCTTGCTTAATTTCACTATCTTCTGCAAGCATTCCTCTTGTAGTATCTATAGTACAAGTAAGGGCAACATTTAAAATACTTATTACTTTTATACCTTCATTAAATGACAGTAAAAATCTTCCACTATCCATACTTATAGTTTCAGGTGAATGATAACATTTCCATGATTCCCATTCTTCCCAACCATCACTATTAATTTGAGGTACTGGCCAATCCATAGATCTTACAACTGGTGATCTACCCATTCTTGAAGCCAATAAAGTATTAATAATATACACTGATGCCCAAGTTCTTTCACGATTAATTTTATCTAATGGAGATGCCGGTTTAGATCGTTTAGAATAATCATCTGAATGTGGGGCTGGAGCCATCATTCTAACATCTATAGCCATTCGAGATCCTGAAGAAATTAATACCCAAGAATAATCCCATTGACCCAATTGATAATAATATAATCCCAATAAAACCATAGCCTGAATTGTTTCAATTGTAGTGGTAAATGAATTTTCTAAAGCCATTATAGCATTTTTTGCATAAGAAGCAGTTAATTTATTATTATTAACTGTATTTGAAGCAGAACTAGATGAACCTAATTTACCTAAGGCAAGTATAGCCCAAATTAATGCAATCATATTACAATCAGAAGCTTTTAATTTAGATTTATCACCAGTTCCATTAAATGATTGTAAATGATGAGTTTGTCGTATAATAGAAATTCGATCTAACATAGGTAACCACGGATGATATATTTGGAAATAACAATCAACAATCTTTCTTAAATTATCGGGAAATTGAAATATTTCTGATGGTAATTTTATGGTATTTGAAATTGAAGCACTAATTGCTGATGATGAAATATTAAAAATCGATCCAACTCTAAATGGATTCTTTTGATCAATCAAAAGTCGATTATTATATTGTTGAATTGCCTTTGAAGTAAATCCAGATATAATAGATGATAAACCATGATATTGTAGAGCTACTGGTTCCCAATTTTCAGTATTACCATCGAATTCTTCGGCTATAAATTGGAAAATATCATCATTTAAAAAGAATGCTGGATCACTAATTAAATTATAATCTTGAGAATCAACTCCATGTGTTCCATGGAAAACAATACTACTACTATTATTATTATTATTATTATTATGATTATTATTATTAAATGATTGTACTTGAGGTATATCTAATGCAGTAGAACTCATTTCCAGTTGTTGAGATATCAGATTTTGAAGTGAAGATAATGACATTAATCCAGTGGTTGATCTCTTTGCTTCATGAATTGCTGAATTATTATCGACAATAAATTGATCAAACATTTCTGATACACTATGACTATCCCATAATACTTGTAAATTATTAATATTTTCTAAAAACTTTTCTGATTCTAAACCATCAGTCATAATACTAAGTAATTTAGCTTCAATAACTTTATTTAAATCTGGGAAATCTGTTATTAGACTCGTCATTAATGCTTGAAATAAAATAACCTTTTTCTCAAGATCATGAGTATACCCTGTGGGTAGACCTCTTCGTTTAGTTGATTGAGTATATGTACAGGTTTCATGATTACTTATACATGTTGAACATGTTGGAGTTTGACCATCACACTTGGCCTTTTTCGACCGACAAAAGTCACAAGCTTGTTTAACTCTTCTTTTCTTAGTTGGTGGAGGAGTTTCGGAGTCTGTCATATCTAAAATTGAACGTTATAGATAATCGCTAACTTTTTTTTTGCAATAGTTAATTTTTTTACTTATGACTGGGATAAAAGTAAAAGACTTCGCAACGGCTATTATTTTAGTTTGAATATTTAGTTATAATCTTTATCCACAGCACATAGTATCACGAAACAACAAAATAACTAAATATTGTTGAAATACAATAATTTAGAAGGGGAATGGAAAAATGCTTAAGCAATTACCTATAAAAATTACACCCGCTACTGTTAAAGATTTTAGCTGACAAATTCGCTAGCTAGTATAGGAAATTCTATTACTATTCTTACTGTTTTTGGTAGATCCTCTTACCAATTAGTTATAAATGCCATCGATGTAAGATTTATTTTCACTATGCGGATAAATGCTTTTCCAGACCTTCCCTTTGTTCTCTTTTTATTTTTTTTATTTTTTATAATCTTTATCTTTGTGGGGTGCACCTTTAATACCAGGAAGCGAGAGTTAAATATTTTTTTTTTAATCCATAATTTGCAGTAATATTAAGGCCAATTATTATTAACTATATAGACTGTATAATTACAAAGTAAACATTACAATTAAATTGTAATTGGCTTCAAGTTAGGTGAAACTATAAACTCAGCTTCTGTTTTATTGGTAATTTCTTCAAGTGTAGTTGATGGATCGAATTCTATCAATATAAGTTTTTCATCAATAATATCAAATACAGCTAAATCAGTAATAATACGAGAAACACAACGTTGACCTGTTAATGGAAACTTACATTCCTTTAAGATCTTTGATCTACCTTTTTTATCAACATGTTCCATGATTACTACAACTCTAGTGGATTTTGGATTACTTACCAAATCCATTGCTCCTCCCATTCCTTTAACTCTTCCTGGTAAACCCCAATTTGCTAAATCTCCTTTATCTGAAACTTGTAATCCTCCTAATATAGTTAAATCAATTTTTCCACCTCTAATCATAGCAAATGATTCTTCTGAACCAAATAATGAAGCACCTGGTTTAAGTGTTACAGTCTCCTTACCTGCATTAATCAAATCTGCATCTTCTTCACCGCGTTTTGGATATGGTCCTAAACCCAAAATACCATTTTCTGATTGCAAGGTTACATCAATTTCATGTGATATAAAATTAGGAATTAATGTTGGCATTCCGATTCCTAAATTAGCAATATCTCCATCCTTGAATTCTTGAGCTGCTCTTCTTACAATCTTCTCACGTTTGACATCAGCTTCGGATTGTTCAGATACTGAGGCAGTATCATTGTTATCTTCGGAAAATTTGAAGATCTCGATATCTTTAGGAGTCACAGATTGAACAATCCTATTAACATATACCGCAGGTAAATGAACATCTTCAGGCGCAATGGCTCCCGGTTCGACAATATTTTCAGCTTCTACAATTGTTAATTTGGCATTACGTCCAAATGCAGAGTTGAAGTTTCTAGAAGATCCTCTAAACCAACAATTTCCAAGAGTATCTACTTTATAAGCCTTTATAATTGCAACATCTCCAAAAATAGCTGGCTCTAATAGATACTTCTTACCATTAAATTCCCTGACTTCTCTTGGAATGCTAGTTTTCAAAACTTGATCTCCAGCTTCATTATAACGAACCGGCAATTTCCCTTCTTGTAACCAAGTTCCCACTCCAGTTGGAGTATAAAATGCAGGAATACCAGCAGCTCCAGCTCTAACTCTTTCAGCAAGATTACCTTGAGGAGTTAATTCTAGATCTATCTGGCCAGTCAAGTACATCTTTTCAAATGTTCTATTACCTCCAATATATGAGGATATCATTTTGGTAATTTGGCCCGTAACTAATAATTGAGATAAACCTCGACCATCTAAACCAGCATTATTGGAAACAGCCGTAATATTATTTAGATGCGTCTTTCCTTTCATAGCATTGATAATAGTATCGGGTACACCACTGAGGCCAAATCCACCTGATAATAAGGTAATATTACCTTCAACACCTTCCAATGCTTCTTCAGCGGATTTAACCACCTTGGATTTGTATCTGGCCCATACTCTCAAAGTCACCAAAGAACCGAACGATGACTTATTTAACAACATGCCTGTTTATCGTCAATATTTACACACATTATTGATTACAATATATCTTTCTAATTATATATATATCGATTTTTCAGAGGTTTCTAAAGAAGACGGATAATGCATTATGCGAGACCTCCACAAGTCTGTCCAAAAAAAAAAAACCTGTCAAACTGAGATGCAAAACAATAATAGTTCCGGGTCCACGACGGTTCTTCTTTCCGATCTGATAAGCCTCCTTCAAATGAGGAACTTTTAAAATCGGTGTCTACGGCTAAATCTGAGAGTTATTCTTAATAATTCTTGACAGAAATTAGTCATCTTTACTAAACCTACAGCGTGTATTGTTTTTCATATCACATTAGTGTATCAAAGCCAAATAGCATTATTATATAGGTATTTAGGTATATAGATATTAAAACTCAATCCAAAGGTGATGCTATAGGAAGACCAGCTTCATCAAGAGTGTAATTTCCTTTGCCTATCTTCTGCAAAGCTTCTCTGTTATTTTTCAATACTAATTCTTTAGCTTCGTCTAAAGAAATCAACTTGAAGTGCCAATACAAATACCAATCATCAGGTTTCATATTATGCTTTTTAGCTCTTTCCTCTCCCATCTTTTCAAGACTGAACAACAATTTAGACTTAACTCCAAATACAGCATCTGAAGTTTCATACTTATCACCTCTATGATATAAAGCAGTAATTAATTTATCATAACCTTCCTTTTCAATAATGAAATGTACATGAGCAGGTCTGTATGGATGTCTATTGAGCTTTTGCAATAATTTGCCTACAGGACCATCATGAGGGATAGGATATGCTACAGGCTTGGTAGCTTTAATAGAAAATGAACCATCTGATTTTGTATGAACAATACCTCTCATATCTGCACCTTCACGGTTCTCGTATTGTGTATCGTAGAAACCATTTTCATCACAATGCCATAAATCTATCTTAACATCTTCAAGAGGGTTACCCTGTGGATCAGTCACTTTACCTTCTATTAATAAAGGTTCGCCCTTTCCTTCTGAACTAATTGAAGAACCATGATCATGTACCTCAGCATCATGAGTATGGAAAGGACCAAGCAATGTTCCAATTGTAGCAGTATCAGGTTTAGGATGAGAAATGGCATCTACCAAAACCGAAAATCCCATAGTATCTGATAGTAAAACAAATTCTTGCCTAATGTCTGAACACATTTTACCAGTTTGAGTTAAAAATTCAATAGCCAGTTCCCATTCTTCGGTTGAAAGCCTTACTTCTCTGGCAAAATCATGAAGATGTTGAATTAATCTTTCCATAACAAACATGAGACGATAATCCTTATGTTGGGAATTGACAGCTATAGTATTTTCTGTAATAGTATCATCGCTCATATCAACAATTTGCAACTGCCCATTGACATATTTGGGTCCCGTACTAGTTTGTGTAGGCATTATAACTTATAAAGTATACTTTAAAAATTCTGATATTACCGAAATATCAAATTTGGTCCCTGAATTTATACATTTTCACACTTATGCGTTTCTGTTAGAGATATTTATATTGTCTTGACTGCTTTGACTAGATCAAACCATTCGATAAGAGGTTAAATATTTTTCCGCATTTTGTGGGGTACTCTAACAAAGAAGCAACTAGTAAAATACGGGACGCATGGACAATTAGCAGACTAACCGAACATTGATGGAGATCAGTAGAATATTATTACCGGGTATAAATTAACGATCATGCTATAATTCATTATTAGGATAACTCGGGATTTAATAGTGTTTATGAAAAATACGTATATATCGTGCTATAAGTAATCTATTCACAGAAGAAATAATAGCAGGAGGACAAAATCAAAGCAATTAGTCAGGTTTTAGTAGTTCAATGCATATTCTATTGCTGAAGTATAACCGTAGACACCTAAACCAGCAATGACCGCAACGGCTTTATCACTGAAGTAAGATTGATGTCTGAAAGGTTCTCTTTGATGTACATTGGTAATATGAATTTCAATGAAGGGAATAGCAGTACCTAACAAGGCATCTCTTATACCTACAGAAGTATGAGTATAGGCACCTGCATTTATAACTATGAATCCAACACCTTCTTCTCTAGCTTGATGAATTCTATCAATAATGAAACCTTCAGTATTGCTTTGAAAAGTTAAAACTTCAGAACCATCTTCCTTAGATGCAGCTTGGTCTTTGGCAGCCTTTTCAATATCCTTTAATGAAGTGGTTCCATATTTTTCTGGTTCTCTAGTACCCAACAAGTTTAAATTAGGTCCATTAATTAGTAAAACTTTCTTTACCATGATTATTATATTTTAGAATTTATTTAGGAGTAGTGAATTTAAAAAATATTGATACACTTTATTATTATGATATTTAAGTCTAATTAGTCTGTTAGTGCTTTATCCTCTCAATTGTCAGTATTTATATGTTAACAAATACTTCAATTGACAAGTTGTTGCTGAGTTAGTCTTATGACTCAAATTTTCAATGAGACTTTCCTTTTTTCGCCCTAGTTAAAAGAGTCCAGAATTACGCCAGGATTTGACAGGATTAAAAATGAGACCGCCTTTATTTAAAGCAATAGCAACAAATGGCAAATAAATGTCTCACTACAAAGCATTTACTGCTATTTATATAGTTAAATACAGTTATATAGACATGCATATTACCTAGCCACAACCCGGGGTCAATTGACATATATCCTACTGTCAAAAACCGTTAGGACGTACCCCACTGTGGTGGTTGACCATTCCTCCAAAACAAAAACTATTTAGCAACCAAAGTAGAGTTTGCTTTCAACATGGTCAAGAAATCATTCTCACTATATGTAATTAAAATTGTTCATGTACACTACACTAAACTATAGTTTAAATCGTTTATGTTAGTTTTGGTCGCTTTGGAGTGGGATTAATATTTATCCACCTCATATCTTTTGTGTCAAGGTCGCAAAACGGAAAAGTACTTTACCCCCAAACTTTGGACGGATTTGTTTGTGCGCAGTTAGTAATTTCATTGATTTATATTACTATGGCTTACAAATGTTCAGATACAATATATATAAGCAATCGAAGAGAATTATACCTATCTCAAATTATCAATACATCTACTCATCATTCCATCAATCTACCATGACTGCTAACAAAGTTACTGAAAAGGAAGAACCACAAAGATTTGGATTAGAATCTCAAATCAAAAGAAATCCTCATCCAGATTTCAAGAAAGTGGAGAGAGAAAGACCTCCCTTTGAAAAAGATGCTGAATGGCACTATACTCAAATTCCTAATAAAGATTGGCAAGTAGGTACTGGAGCTAACGATTCAAGTTGGACTGAACATAAGAAAGTATCAATTGATCCCTATGGTGAAGGCAGAAATTTAGTAGATAATTATAAATTATTAATTGGTGCTATAACTCCAAGACCAATTGGATTTTTATCCACAATCAGTAAAGAAGGTGTAACAAATTTGGCACCATTTTCATTTTTCACTCTTGTTAATAACGAGCCTCCAGTTTTTGCAATTGGATTTTCATGTAGTAAGGCTAATCCAAAGGATACTCTTCGTAATATTTTAGAGACTGAAGAATTAACTGTTAATATTATTAGTGAATGGTTTGTTGAAGCTGCTAATTTCTGCTCAACCGATGCTCCTCATGGTGTTGATGAATTTAAATTAGCTGGTTTAACACCAATAGCTTCAGAAAAAGTTAAAGCTCCTCATGTCGGTGAAGCCGCATTTTCCGTTGAAGCTAAATTATATCAAGCTCCTCAAGAATTTAATTCAAAGGTTGTTCCAAATAAAGTAACAGGTACTTTAGTATTAGTTGAAGGTATTCAATTTCATGTTAGAGAAGACATTTCAAATGAAAGTTTTAACATAGTAGATATAAGTAAGCTTAAACCAGTCTCAAGATTAGGAGGTATTTCTTATGGTCGTACAATAGCCGGTTATGAAAGATTAAGACCCGATTTTAAGAAGGATGTAGTTACGGATGAGGCTGCTAAACCTTTGCTAGATTAGGATAGATTTACGATGTATGCATGCAGGATGCGTCTTAGTAAGATGAGCATAAATTAGTAATGGCTGCCAATGCGAGTTTTGCAATATGAATATTAATTTTTTATTATATATAAAACAGAGTAGAGCGATAAATATACCATAGTTCAATATAGAATTCAAATTCAATATAAGTAAATACAAGAATGATTACTCCATTAGTTAGAGCCTTAGATTTTTTGGTTAGCAAATCTAACCACGCTCAGTTTAAAAGATATACTTTGGAATGGTTAGAAGATACTGAAATTAGTTTTCAAGTTGACTTACTTAGAGTGTTGCTTTGCATCAGAGATCCAACAACACAATTACCTACTGAAATAAATAAAAGCATAGATGAATTTCTTCAATTTCAGTTAAATTCAAAGTTATTAACTGATGCGAGAACCTTAGCTCCTAAATTCAATCTCAACAATAAAATTATTTCAGTATGGAAAGGGGACATAACAACTCTTTCAAACGTTACTGCAATAGTTAATGCAGCAAACTCACAAATGTTAGGATGCTTTCAACCAAGTCATAGATGTATTGATAATGTAATTCACAGTGCTGCAGGTCCCGGGTTAAGAGATGCTTGTTACAAATTAATGGAAGAGCAAGATTTTCGTGATGAGCCAGTCGGTACAGCTAAAATAACACCGGGATTCAATTTGCTTGCCAAATACGTTCTTCATACTGTTGGGCCACAAATTAGAAGAGGAGAAATTCCTACAAATGTTGAGATCCTGCAGTTGAGACAATGTTATTTGTCATGTTTAAACCAGTTAGAGAAGTTAGACGATAAAGACAAATCAATTGTTTTTCCTTGCATCTCAACAGGGTTATTCTCTTTTCCGGCTGATTTAGCTTGCGAAATAGCTATTGATACAATTACAGAATACTTCAGTCATAATAGTCAAAGCTCAATTTCTGAAGTTATATTTAATGTCTTTACCGAAGACGATTGGGATTTGTACGATAATAAGATTAAAAGCTTAAAATTACCTCAAGTAGTAACTCCGATCAAAGCATCACCTGAAACTTCAGGAAATTTTCAAATAGCTAAATCATGGTTAAAAAGCTCCAAGTATCTTATAATTAGTGCCGGCGCAGGGCTCTCTGCTACTGTTGGATTAGACTACACATCTCAAGAACTTTTTGATGAACATTACACCAATTTCAAAAAGTATGATCTCGACAGATTGTATGCAACTATTGGCCATAATTGGCCAAACCATTTGATTGCTTGGAGTTATTACTTCCATCATTATGACTATATCTCTAAATTTCCGAAAACCCAAACCTATCAACAGTTACTAAATCTTACAGAACAGTATGATGATTATTTTGTAGCAACTACAAATGCAGACGGATTCTTTTTTAAAAATGATTTTGATCTTCATAAGGTTTTCAATCCTCAAGGTTCATATGATTGGATTCAGTGTCTGAATAAATGTACTCCAGATTCATATACAAGATTTGGACCTATAGTTGAAAAGGTTAAACCATTCATTGATCCTAAGACTAATTTGTTACCAGATGAATCATATATTCCTCACTGTGATCGATGTGGAGCAGAGATGATTTTATGTTTAAGAGGTGGTAACTACTTCAATGATAAACCATTTACGGCTGGTAAACTAGGCTATAAAAGTTTCTTAAATAAAATTATTAAAGAAAATGCTCAAGCTACAATCATAGAATTAGGGGTTGGATTAAATACTCCTTCCGTTTTGAGATGGCCCAACGAAGAACTCGTAACAAACCATCCCATCAACTTCAAGTTAATCCGTGTAGGTTATGGACCCTCTGGTTCTATCCCATTAGAACTCTTCAATGAAGACAAAGCTACAGTAATTCAAGGTGAAATAAGTAGTGTTGTAGATAAGTTATGTAATTAAGTATGTCATATATAGATTTTTTCGAGTGCATCACAATTTTTTTTTTTTTTCAATTGTAGATGAAAAATATATAACGGAGATATCTTACACAAGTCATCTCATCCATTTACCAATTTAAACCACTGTAAATCATGTCAGCAGTAGGATCGTTGATCTTTTGTACATATTGCGGTAATCTATTAGATGCCACTAGTTCTAGTTCACAATTCAAATGTGGGTTATGTTCAGCAACTTACCATAGAGCTGATTTTGCCAATTTAAAGGTCGTTACAACTTCAGCTGAAGATGCATTTCCTTCAAGTTTAAAGTTGAAGAGATCAGTAGTCAAGACTTCTTTAAAGAAAGATGAGTTGGATGATGGTGCAACTATTAAAGAAAAATGTCCTAAATGTGGAAATGAAGAAATGCAATATCATACTTTACAATTAAGATCAGCCGATGAAGGTGCTACAGTATTCTATACTTGTACTTCATGTGGTTACCGTTTCAGAACCAATAACTGATACTATTCACTTCAACCACATAACCATGTACATTAGCTTCAGCATAATTTTTGTATATATATCAAGTACATAGACATAGACAATACAAAAAAGCATTTAAAAATGAAACCGATAATTTTGTATTAGAAAGAAACATAAACATGAAAAGTAATATAATTAAATGACTGAAAAGTCATTAAGCTATAACGAGAAGATAATAATAATAATAATAATATACACAAGAAATATTTCTAATTAGTTTTGATGGTAGCATATTCCATTTCAGTGGAATTTTCGTATTCATACATGTCTAAAGCAACAATAGCAGATTCTCTAACTACGGCTTCTTTATCATTAAGGAATGATTCCAAAACTGGTAAGCATTCATCAGTAGCAATAGATCCTAAAGCTTCAGCAGCTTCATGTCTTACCATACCTGCTTGAGTTTCATCTTTTAATACTTTAATTAAAGATGGAACAGAAACTGGGTTGCATAATTGACCAAATACATAAGCGATTTCGTGTTTGAATAAAGCAGAAGGATCACCAAAACCACTAGCCAAAGCTAAACAAGCTTCATCAGTACCTAAATCTCTTAATCTGAACATAGCTCTATATCTTTCAAATAATGGCTTATCTTGGTCATTCAATATGGCTTGTAATTTATCAACTTTAGATTCTTGATTAGTAGCTAAAGGTGGGGCTGGATCAATAGAAGTGTAAGCAGATTGTTCTAATTGTTCAGTTGTAGCTTTCTCTGAGTTTTCCCATTTTATTCTTTCAATAGCTAATTCACAAGTTTGTCTAATCTCAATTTCTGGATCGTTTTTGAAGTAATCTTCTAATAAAGGTAAAGAATCAACATCTCCTAAAGCACCTAAGGCTTCAGCAGCTTCATGTCTAACCATACATTGTTGATCTTGTGATTTTAACACGTCTCTTAAACTAGTGACAGCATGTAAATTTTTAGTTTGACCCAAGACATAAGCAACTTCATGCTTTAATAATTCAGAATGATCTTTAAATGCTTCAGAAATATAATCAACAGCTTTATTAGCTTGATCTCTATCTTGTAATTCACCACCAATACTCTTTAAGTTGAATAAGGCTCTAAATCTATTGGCTAACTTAACATCCCCAGTTTTGTTAACTAATACATCTCTCAACTGCTCTAAACTGGCAGTATCAATATTAATTTCTTGAGTCATAGCAATATATACAATATATGTTAATATACCTTTTAACAGCTTACGATAACTTTTCACATCCATAACCGAAAATTTTTTTGGTTCGTTTCCTGATGCTCATCCTGGGGCCATGCGGCTTACCCACTAGAGTTATCAGATCCTTTAATTAATTAGTTGGTATAATTCATTATTGTCATCTAAATGTAACATTACTGTAGTGATAAATAATAATAATAATAATAATTATAATTATAAGTTTAATTAATATTATCGTATAAATTGAATTGAGTTAATGAAATTAAGCTGCTAATATTTTGCGACACATAACAGTGTCATTTCTTGTTACCACTTTTTTGCGACAAATCCGTATCCATTATGTCGCAACACAAAATTTTTCTTAACCGTGTCGTTCAGTATAAAATAAATTGTCCATACAAAATGGAAATAGACTAAGCAAAGACGTGACTTAATAATTAATCAAAGACTAATAACATGGCTGCACAACAGGTACCAGATTTGTCTAATGCCATTGTGGCTCAAGATGAAATGGGTAGACCGTTTATTATTGTCAGAGATCAAGGTAAAAAGCAAAGAAAGCATGGAATAGAAGCTACTAAATCTCATATCTTAGCAGCAAGATCAGTGGCATCTATAGTTAAAACTTCATTAGGTCCAAGAGGTTTAGATAAAATATTAATTAGTCAAGATGGTGATATTACTATTACTAATGATGGAGCAACGATTTTAACTCAAATGGATTTAGATAATGAAATTGCTAAATTATTAGTTGAATTATCAAGATCTCAAGATGATGAAATTGGTGATGGTACAACTGGTGTAGTAGTAATTGCTGGTGCCTTATTAGATCAAGCATTAGAACTTATAGAAAAGGGTATACATCCAATTAAAATTGCTAATGGATTTGATGAAGCATGTAAAATTGCTGTTCAACATTTAGATTCAATTGCTGATAATATTGATATAAGTACTGAATCAACTGATTCAAATCTTTTAAAAGCTGCTAGAACTTCATTAGGCTCTAAGATTGTATCTAAAGCTCATGAACATTTTTCACAAATGGCAGTTGATGCTGTATTAGCAGTAGCTGATTTTGAAAGAAAAGATGTTGATTTTGAATTAATAAAAATGGAAAAAAAAGTAGGAGGATCTATTGATGATTCTTCATTAATTAGAGGAGTTTTATTAGATAAAGATTTTTCTCATCCTCAAATGCCTAAAATTGTTAAAGATTGTAAAATTGCTATTTTAACATGTCCATTTGAACCTCCTAAACCAAAAACTAAACATAAATTAGATATTTCAACTGTTGAAGAATTTAAAGTTTTACAAGAATATGAACAAAAGAAATTTCAAGAAATGATAGATTTAGTTAAAGCATCAGGAGCTAATGTTGTTGCATGTCAATGGGGATTTGATGATGAAGCTAATCATTTACTTTTAGCTAATGGATTAAATGCTATTAGATGGATTGGAGGTTCAGAATTAGAATTATTGGCCATTGCTACTAATGGACGTATTGTTCCAAGATTTGAAGATTTAACTCCTGAAAAATTAGGTAGAGCAGGAAGTATTAGAGAATTAGAATTTGGTACTACAAGAGATCGTATGTTAGTTATAGAAGATTGTTCAAATACTAAAGCAGTAACATGTTTTATAAGAGGTTCAAATGAAATGATTGCTGCTGAAGGTATAAGAGCATTACATGATTCAGTTTGTGTTGTTAGAAATTTAGTAAGAGATAGTAGAGTAGTTTATGGTGGAGGTGCTGCAGAATTAACTGCATCATTGGCAGTTTCAGAAGCAGCTGATAAACAAAAGGGAATAGATCAATATGCATTCAGAGCATTTTCTGCTGCTTTAGATACAATTCCAATGACTTTAGCAGAAAATTCTGGTTTAGATCCAATTGAAACTTTATCAGCATTAAAAGCTAAACAAATTATTGAAAAATCATCTCATCTTGGAGTTGATTGTCTTGGTAAGGGAACTAATGATATGAAAGAATTATTCGTTATTGATCCATTAATTGGTAAGAAACAACAATTACTCTTAGCCACTCAATTGACTCGAATGATTTTGAAAATCAATGATGTAATTATTAGTGGTAAGGATGAATATTAATCAATGCCAATGTATATATATATAACATTGTATAGGATATAACAATAGTTTCTTTGATATATGGCTTTGATGTAATAATATTCTCTAACCTTATGACATTCAGATTCTTAATTTAATTTACTTATATATTTTATGTAAGTGATAAACTATATAACTAGAATCTATCATTTTTACTTCTTAGAACATCTTCGAAGTATTTCATTTCTCTTTGATGCTCCTTTCTATCAGCATTCATCCAGACCTTTATATTTTTTCTACTATTTTCATTGTTATTGTTATAGGCTGGAGTAGGTTTGATCTGAGGATGTGCACCTCGCTTCATCTGATTTGAGTGATTTCCATGTATTGGTGTTACGATGTGAATGTGGTACAGTATTTAAATAATAAAGCAAGTAGTAATTCCAAAAAGGGTTATAGAATTATAGTATAATGCATTTTAAAGTAGCGTACATGTATGTATTATCTAAGTTACTGTATTATAACCAACTATAACAGAGTACAGACTGCACCAATTACACATGTAGAGTAGTCGTACTGCCATGAGCCCAAGTCTGAATTAAGACTTAAGACTAAGAAATAAATTTCCGATTTAATATAACCAATAGTACCCCAATGACCAAGAGAACCAATAACATGAGTTGGATGACCATATTTACCAATTGAACCCTTAGCAATATCATAAAGTACTTTAGCTCTTTTTTTCAATCCTTTCTCACTAATTAAAGATTGTAATTCTTCAGTCGCAATTAATGGTAATTCATTAAATTGAGTTTCAGTAAATTCAAATTTTTCATTAATTTCTTATTAATTTCTTTATCATTATTAACTCTTTCAATATCTAATATAGGTTGTTGCTTAATTGGCAGAGCTTGAATAGAGCTAAAGATGGCTACAGTTGCTGACAATGTACAGATACTTAATTTCATACTTACGGTATAATTCTAATTATGGTATGGTATAATTCTAATTATGGTATGGTATAATTCTAATTATGGTATGGTATAATTCTAATTATCGTTTACTTATAAATAGTTAATTATCCTAATAATAAATAATCGGCTACAGTATTTCCATGAATGTAGAACCCCTATTATCCGAATACCACACTACTACCCGAATACTGCTAGTTACATGATGTGGCAAAATAAGTCTTGTTCCCTGCGAATTGAAAGCTGTGACTTTCTAGCGTTTAACTCAATCACATTCTTGAATGGTACTGTTCTTAAAATAACATGACAGGGAAAAGGAGAAAGATAGATGATGCGCCCAAAATTGAAGGAAGTTCGTCCAAAATTGAAGGAAGTTCGTTTAAAGTTGGTGTAACTCGTATCAAGTTAGCTCTTGATATAATTGTTGATCATTTAGATGCTGAAAACTACAATTTCTTTCCTAAAGGATTGATCGATATTCCTAAGTTTAATGAAGATACATTGGGTATAGAGGTAGAGTCGTTAGATGATGAACCAAACGAAGATTTTAGGTACAATATTGCCAGGGCGCTATTTCATTTTCATATGTTTATTGGAAGTAATTCAGTTGTGAAGCAAAAGCACACCGATTCTTCATCCCATGAACTTAAAGTACTGCTGAAGGAAGACATTTTCATAGAAATCAAGTGTTTATTAAGAGAGATTGTATCTATCCATCCAAAAATACCAAAAGACATGACAAAGCAGAAATTTTCTGATTTTGTTATAAATTGTTTTGACTGTTCAATCGCATTCACAATGCCACTTACATTTATATTGGATCGAAGTATAAGTACAGATGCAGAAAATGTTAGTCAAGTTTCTCAGGAAGGTCGTGAACTAGTAAAATCATCTCAAGCAGACCTGCCGGTTTCAACTAAATTGGTTGAGACAAGAGCACATTTTAAGGAGTACCGCATGCTAAACGCGGAAAGCACTATAGATACGAAACTAAAAGAAAAGCTCAATAGTGCAAACTTATTTGAAAAGGGTATAAAACGTTTACAATTGGCGAAGTTTGATGCTAACGAGACTCTAGGTAACGAAAGACATGTATCCATCTTGTTAGTTCTAGCGGTCTTGAACCCAGTATGTGAAGCCAGTGAGTATACTATTAGACTACTTCCCGAAAACACGGCATCGAATTCAATATGTGACTATATATTGAAGATTGAAAAAGATGGTAATCTCCGTGTCCCTATAGAGATAAAATTTAAAACCATTCTTGAAGTATATAAAAATAAGCAAAGTAAAGAGTTTCAGCAGCTCATGAACCAGTGTTTATACCAGATGTATAGTTCCCATTGTAACATTGGTTTTATTCTTGATGGTGAAGCTATGCTTGTCATTAGGTTGAAAGCAAAAAAGGTCAATATACGGACCGATTCGTCCTTTAGTGTGGGTGTTGCCGATATCCATTGTTTCGTGAACTGTTACAAATATGTCGATCATAATCCAGCTGCAATTTTATACGTTTACCTCCATGATTACTTGAGAAAGGTACGGAAAGGAGACCCCGCTAAAATTAAACAAATATATGACTCTTTGAAAATTACACCAGAAGATGATGAGAATGAAACCAATGCCAAATATGAATTTGTAAAGCAGCAATGGGATAACAAATTTCGAAATTCGAATCAAGATGGTAGTTCAATCGCTAACAATGAGATTATGCTGAAGATTCCAGCTTTATTACGTGACGAGGTAACGTATCTTGAGGATCAAAGACTAAATCAAAATGATTTTCTGACTATTAAGGTACTTCAGGGTTCTGGAAGAGGAAAGGAGCTGTTATCTCAAGTTTTCGAGTTGGTTTATAAGGCGAATAAAAGGAGAATGGTACTAAAGATTTACGACGTCATGCGTGCACCACTACGTAATGGGTACAATAAAGTTGAGAATTTCAAAAGTGCCTATAAATTGTGTACAACTATGTTCCTCACAGAACTAAAGGCCTACAGAAGCCTTCGAGAGGTAAATGGCCTTGGGGTAAATATTTCACCGCCGCCCACTAGAGAAAAGGATGAGTCTAATCAACTGGCCGTTGATCATCTGTTTGATGCTAGTAGCCAGCCAACCCAACTGGCCGGTGGTCATCTGTTTGATGCTAGTAGCCAGCCAACCCAACTGGCCGGTGGTCATCTGTTTGATGCTAGTAGCCAGCCAACCCAACTGGCCGGTGGTCATCTGTTTGATGCTAGTAGCCAGCCAACCCAACTGGCCGGTGGTCATCTGTTTGATGCTAGTAGCCAGCCAACCCAACTGGCCGTTGATCATCTGTTTGATGCTAGTAGCCAGCCAACCCAACTGGCCGGTGGTCATCTGTTTGATGCTAGTAGCCAGCCAACCCAACTGGCCGGTGGTCATCTGTTTGATGCTAGTAGCCAGCCAACCCAACCACCGCTCGTGCATTATACGCCATATCTTTATCAGTCAGGATACACTGAATGGATATATGATGATAAAAGCTATAAGGGATATTATCTATTATTAGAATTGATACAACAAAGCGGAGAACATATTCCAGAGGAAGAATTCCAAAGGTTAGCGAAGGAGGCCCTTATGTCCATACACAGGAAAGGGTTCTTGCATGGTGATATCCATATTGGGAATTTCCAATATGATCCAAAACGAGGTCGGGTAATATTTTATGACTTTGGACTTTCAAAATTCAAGTCACAAGTAAGAGATACAAGAAAACTATTAAACCCGACGGAACAGGATAAAGAGGAAGAATTAAGAAAACTACGCGAAGTTATACATGAATATTATATAGAGTTAGGCACCGGGATGTAAGTAGCTTGAAACATACCTCATTCTTTAGAGATTTATATTTTAGAGTATTAATTTATAATTGCATTGGTTAGTAAATTCTTCTCCTCTACCAGGCTTAGTTAAACAGTCATGTAATGGTATGTAAAATAATACCGGCTCGATATATATCCGATCACCTGATCCACAATATAGAATATAAATAAATATGAATTATTAGATATTAACTATAGAATATAAAATGGTTGCAAAATTATAGTTGAAGGTAAACAAAAGTGTTGTTAAAGAATAGGCAATATTTGAGCCGGAGACGACCTAAGATTATATTGTGGTAGATCTGGCTGCAAGTTTAATTACACATAACAATACTTGTACGAGATTGGCTGTTCATCCACGATGACTGAAAAGTTTTCTCTCTAATTTGGCGAAGGTATAAATATGGGCAATTCGCCTCTATCATTATATAGTTACTACTTTATAAGTGTGGAAGAAGTTTGTAATTATTTATATATATATTGTAACCAAAAGTTCTGTATATAACTCTACAATTTTCTATTTACAAATATAAGTGTACACGTGCATTTGCTCACATGCGCAGAGCGCCAAATGTTATACAATAGTATAGTTAAATCACATACATTTTACTAAGTGATTTGTTAGTACAGGTTATGTATAGTGCGACTTTGTCGCTGGCCAGGTCGTGCACCTCGCCCCAATATCCTTTGCGTAGGCTGGGTCGGTGAGAATGAGAATGAATAATAGGAGCTGGGGAAAGGGGTTGATGAACTATTCTTATCAATTGTAGTATTAATAATAAATAAATATCAATCATGGCTAGTATGGGAACACCTGCCGTTGTCATGGACAATGGGACAGGGTTAACTAAGTTAGGATTTGCTGGGAATGATTCACCATCTTATGTATTTCCTACGGCAATTTCTACTTCAACTGCTTCTAAAACTGGTAGAGGTGGATCTGGAGGTAGACTGAATAATTTATCAACTAAAAGAGGACTTGAAGATTTAGATTTTTTTATTGGAGATGAAGCTATTCATGCAGCAACTGGACCAAATTATAGTTTATCTTATCCAATTAAACATGGACAAATTGAAGATTGGGATCATATGGAAAGATTTTGGGAGAGTTCAATTTTTAAATATTTAAGATGTGAACCAGAAGATCATTATTTCTTATTAACTGAACCTCCATTAAATCCTCCTGAAAATAGAGAAAGTACTGCCGAAATTATGTTTGAATCATTTAATTGTGCTGGTTTATATATTGCAGTTCAAGCAGTTTTAGCTTTAGCAGCATCTTGGACTTCACCAAAAGTTCAAGATAGATCATTAAGTGGTACAGTTATTGATTCAGGTGATGGTGTTACTCATGTAATTCCTGTAGCTGAAGGTTATGTAATTGGTACTGCCATTAAAAATATTCCATTAGCTGGTAGAGATATTACATTATTTATTCAACAATTATTAAGAGATCGTGGTGAACCAGATACAAGTTTACAAACTGCTGAAAGGATTAAACAACAATTTTGTTATGTTTGTCCTGATATAGTTCAAGAATTTAATAAATTTGATCAATATCCTCAAGAGAAATTTGCTCAATATATAGTAGAATATGCTGAAAGAAAGGCAAAAGTTGATGTTGGTTATGAAAGATTTTTAGCTCCAGAAATCTTTTTCAATCCAGAAATTTGTTCATCTGATTATTTAACTCCATTACCAACAGTTGTTGATCAAGTTATTAAAGCTTCACCTATTGATGTTCGTAAAAAATTATATAAAAATATTGTATTATCAGGTGGTTCAACAATGTTTAAAGATTTTGGTAAAAGATTACAAAGAGATTTAAAATCTATCGTTAATGAAAGAATTCATTTAAGTGAAAAATTAAGTGGAACTCAAAGTACTGGAGTTGATGTTCAAGTAATTTCTCATAAAAAACAAAGATATGCTGTATGGTTTGGAGGTTCATTATTAGCTCAAACTTCAGAATTTAAGAGTTATTGTTACACCAAAAGTGATTATGATGAATATGGACCTAGCATTGTTAGAAACTTTTCTTTATTTAGTGTTCCATAGTTGAATAGAGTAAAAAAAAATGTTTAGTATAGTAATTAATCAGTAAATTAGTGAGCGAGGAATTAGTAACTAAGCAGTAATTAGTGAGGAATTAGTGAAAAATAATTTAGTGCACACTAATTAGTGAGTCCCTAATCTTTTTGTCGTGCACTCCCTCAACCTCTCAGGGCCCAAATTAGTGGAGACTATATACAGCCCTTAAGTAAGTAAATTCAATTAAGTAAGAATAAGGTAAGTAAATCTATAGTAATATAATGTCTTCAGCACCTCAACTTCAAGTGGTGGATGGAGTGGCATTGAATCAAATCTTCAATGGATTAAAATCTACCAAAGCTGAAGAAAGAAGTCGATATGCTCAAGAACTTCGAAATTATCTTGAGACTATAGCGAGAGATCTTTCACCAGAACAATTTAATCGATATAATAATGAAATTAATAAGACTATATTTGAATTAATTAATGGGAAGGAGACATGTGAGAAATTAGGAGGAATTGCTGCTCTTAGTGAATTAATTGATTTTGATTCAGGAGTTGGAGAAGAAAATGCTACAAAAACTGCTAGATTTTCTAATTATTTAGGGTCAATAATTGTTTCAAATGATTTAATAGTTATGAGAGCAGCAACTAAAGCATTAGGGAAATTAGCAACACCAGGTGGAACATTAACTGTTGAATTTGTTGATCATGAAGCAAGTCGAGCCATTGAATGGTTAGAAAATGATAATAAAAATGAAAATCGTAGACATGCATCAATTTTAATTATAACTTCATTAGCAGATAATGCACCAGCATTATTATATAATTTTATAAATCAAATTTTAGAACATTTATGGATTCCATTAAGAGATCATAAATTAATAATTCGAGAAGATGCAGCAATTGCATTACATAAATGTATGGAAATTATTCATCATCGAGATAATAATGCTCAAAGTTATTGGATTAAAAGAATGATTGATCTGGTATCTAAAATCCTTACTGAAGATGAAAATGGTTCATCAGAAAGTATTCATGGTTCATTATTAGTTTATCGAGAATTAATAAGATATAATCAAGATAATTATATTATAAGTAAATTTGAACAAATTTATGAATTAACTAGTAAATTTAAAGGTCATAAATTATCAATTATAAGACAAGAATTAACAAATATATTTCCATTATTATGTAAAGTTAATCCAGAAGTATTTGTGGAAAAATATTTACATCGAACTTTATTTCATTATTTAACTCAATTGAAAAAGTATAAACAACCAGCTGATAAATCAGCTATATTTAAAAGTATTGGATTAATTGCTTTAGAAGTTGGTCAACAAATTGCTACTTATTTAGATGCAATTCTTGATAATATAAGAGAAGGACTTTCAGTAAATGATTCAACTTCAAGAACTGAAGCAGCAATATTTGATTGTATTGGGAAATTATCAATTGCTGTTGGACCAGCATTAACAAAACATCTTCAAAGTGATATACTTGATATGATGTTTACAAATTGTTCATTATCAAAACATATGCAAACAATGCTTGAAACTTTAATTATAAATATCCCTAGTTTAACTAATTTAATTAATATGAAATTATTAAATCTTTTAAGTTTAGTATTATCAGGTAAACCATTTCAACCTCCTGGTTCACCTTATGGTACAATAAAGATGAATGAAAATTTAGCTCGAGATCGTAGATTATCAATGATATCTCGAGAAACTGGTCATACACCAAATCATATATTACTGAATCCTGAAACTTATGAAAATTATGATAGTATTATATTAATTCAAGCATTAGAAATGTTGGCATTTTTTAAATTTGAAAATTATCAATTAAATGAATTTGTAAGATATTGTACAATAACTTATCTTGAACATTCAAATGCAAAAGTTCGTCAAACTGCAACTATAACTTCATGTCAAATTTTTATAAAAGATCCTATATGTCAACAAACTAGTGTAAATGCTTTAAATGCTGTTAATGAAGTATTAGATAAATTATTATCTATATCAATAACTGATCCTAATCCTGAAACAAGATTAGAAGGTTTATTATGTCTTGCTAATGCAGGAAATTTTGATCCTCAATTATCTCAAGCTGATAATGTTAGATTATTATTTATTGCTCTTAATGATGAAGTATTTGCAGTAAGAAAAACTGCTATTAGAATCTTAGGAAGATTATCATCAATTAATCCAGCTTATATTGTACCATCATTAAGAAAAACTTTAATTCAATTATTAACAAGATTAGAATATTCAACTACTACTAGGAAAAAGGAAGAAAGTGCAATATTATTATCATTACTTATAAGTAATTCAAAAGAATTAACTCGTCCTTATGTTAAACCAATAGTTGAAGTTTTATTACCAAAGGCTAAAGATTTAGAATCTTCTTCAGTAGCTTCAAGTGCAATTAATTGTCTTGGAGAATTAGCTGTAGTTGGTGGAGAAGATTTAAAACCATTTATACCTGATCTTATGCCATTAATTCTTGATACATTTCAAGATCAATCATCATTTTATAAACGTGATGCTGCTTTAAAGGCACTTGGACAATTAGCAAGTTCTTCAGGTTATGTTATTCAACCATTACTTGATTATCCTCAATTATTAGGAATGTTAGTAGCCATATTAAAACTGGAAACTTCACCTCAAATTAGACGAGAAACTGTAAGATTATTAGGTATATTAGGAGCTCTTGATCCTTATAAACATCGAGAAGTTGAACAAGGACCAGTTGAACAAAATGCTCCACCTATTGATGTAGCATTATTAATGCAAGGAATGTCACCATCTAATGAAGAATATTATCCAACAGTTGCTATAACTCATTTAATGAAAATTCTTAAAGATCCTTCATTAAATTCTCATCATTCAAAAGTTATTCAAGCTATAATGTATATGTTTCAAACTTTAGGTTTAAGATGTGTATCATTTTTACCACAAATTATTCCTGGAATTATTCATGTAATGAATAGTAATTGTCAACAAGCTATGCTTAAATTTTATTTTCAACAATTAGCTCAATTAATTTTAATTGTTAAACAACATATTCGACCATTTTTAACAGATATATTTGAAGTTATAACAAAATTCTTTAGTAATATGCAAGTAATAATTATTAATTTAATTGAAGCTATATCTCGAGCATTAGAAGGAGAATTTAAAATGTATTTATCAGATATTTTAAGTTTATTATTAGATGTATTTGAAGATGATAAATCTCCTAAACGAGAACCAACTTTACATGTTTTAAAAAGTTTTGTTATATTTGGTAGTAATATTGAAGAATATGTTCATATAATTGTTCCAAGTATTGTTAAAATGTTTGAATTTGGTCCTTTAGTATTAAGAAAAGCTGCTATTGAAACTATTGGAAGATTATCTCGTAATGTAATATTAAATGATATGGCATCAAGAATAATTCATCCATTACTTCGAGTCTTACGTCAAGGTAATGATGATTTAAGAATTACTGCTATAAATACTTTAAGTTGTTTATTAATTCATTTAGGTAATGAATTCAGTGTTTTCATCCCCGTTGTTAAAAAAATTATTATTCAACAAAAGATTCATGCACCAAAATTTGAACATTTAATTAATAAATTAGTTAGTGGAGATCCTTTACCACAAATGGATATTTATAAAGAATATGATATTCAAACTCATCAAGGAGTTGTGGATGTTCCATCTAAAAAATTACCAGTAAATCAAGGAGCTTTAAAAATTGCTTGGGATTGTAGTCAATGTCGAACTAAAGAAGATTGGCAAGAATGGATTAATCGGTTAAGTAAAGAATTATTAAAACAAAGTCCTTCTCATGCTATTAGAGCTTGTGCAGGTTTAGCTACCGATTATTATGCTTTAGCTAAAGATTTATTTAATGCTAGTTTTGCCAGTTGTTGGAGTGAACTTTATTCTCAACATCAAGAAGAATTAGTTCAATCATTTTGTGTAGCTTTATCATCACCAAATAATCCTCCAGAAATTCATCAAATTTTATTAAATTTAGTAGAATTTATGGAACATGATGATAAATCTTTACCAATTGCTATAACTACTCTTGGACAATATGCTCAAAGATGTCATGCATTTGCTAAAGCATTACATTATAAAGAATTAGAATTTTATGAAGAACCAAATACTCCAACTATAGAATCATTAATTAGTATAAATAATCAATTACAACAATCAGATGCAGCCATTGGAATATTAAAACATGCTCAACTTCATCATGATTTACAACTTAAAGAAACTTGGTATGAAAAATTACAACGATGGGATGATGCACTTAAAGCATATAATGAACGAGAAAAACATGAACCAAATAATATGGAAATTACTATGGGGAAAATGAGATGTTTACATGCCTTAGGTGAATGGGAACAATTAAGTGAATTAGCTAAAAGTAAATGGGATAATTCATCTAGTGAAATTAAACGTAGTGTTGCACCATTAGCCGCCGCAGCATCTTGGGGTTTAGGTCAATGGGATAGAATGGATACTTGTATTAAAGTAATGAAATCTGAATCTCCTGATAAAGCATTCTTTAATGCCATATTAAGTCTTCATAGAAATAATTTTGATGAAGCTTCTGGTCATATTTTAAAGGCTCGAGATTTATTAGTAACAGAAATAACTGCTTTAGTAAGTGAAAGTTATACTCGAGCTTATGGAGTGGTTGTTAGAGTTCAAATGTTGGCAGAATTAGAAGAAATTATTAAGTATAAAATGTTACCTCAAGGTTCAGAAAGAAGAGCTATAATGAGAAAAACTTGGAATACTCGATTACTTGGATGTCAAAGAAATGTAGATATTTGGCAAAGAATGTTAAAAGTTAGAGCCTTAGTTATAAAACCAAAACAAGATATGGATATGTGGATTAAATTTGCCAATCTATGTCGAAAATCAGGTCGATTAAATTTAGCTGAGAAATCTCTTAATTCATTACTTGAAGTTGGAGCTCCAGAAAATCCTTCTCGAGCTCCACCTCAAGTAGTTTATGCTCAATTAAAATATATGTGGGCTAAAGGTGAACAAACTGAAGCATTAAGACATTTAGTAGATTTTACAACAAGAATGTCTCAAGATTTAGGATTAAATCCTAATGATTTAATTACTCAACCTTTACCTTCAGAAGGTCCAAAACATGTGGAAGAATATACAAAATTACTTGCACGATGTTTTTTAAAGCAAGGTGAATGGCAAATTGCTTTAAATTCTAATTGGAGAACTGAAACTTCAGAAATTATTTTGGGAGCATACCTTTTAGCTACACATTTTGATAAAAAATGGTATAAAGCATGGCATAATTGGGCTCTTGCAAATTTTGAAGTTATATCACTTTATACAAATAATGAATCTACGGCTGCTAATAAAGTTGATTCTAATATGATACCATTAGAAGCAGTTCAACGTCATGTAATTCCATCTATAAAAGGATTTTTTCATTCAATTGCTTTATCTAATTCAAATTCTTTACAAGATATGTTAAGATTATTAACTTTATGGTTTAAATTTGGGGGAATTCCAGAAGCAGCTCAAGCCATGACTGAAGGATTTAATATGGTTAAAATTGATAATTGGTTAGAAGTTCTACCACAATTAATTTCAAGAATTCATCAACCTGATCAAATAGTTAGTCGATCATTATTTGGATTATTAGCTGAACTTGGTCGAGCTCATCCTCAAGCACTTGTTTATCCATTAGCAGTGGCAGTTACTTCTGAATCAGTTAGTAGAAAGAGAGCTGCAGAATCAATAATTGAAAAAATGAGAGTTCATTCTTCAAGTTTAGTTGATCAAGCAGAATTAGTTAGTCATGAACTTATACGAGTAGCAGTATTATGGCATGAACAATGGTATGAAGGTTTAGAAGATGCTTCAAGATTATTCTTTGGTGAACATAATACAGAAAAGATGTTTGAAGTATTAGAACCTTTACATCAAATGTTACTGAAAGGTCCTGAAACTATGAGAGAATCTGCCTTTGCAACAGCTTTTGGTCGAGAATTATCTGATGCTTATGAATGGGTATTAAATTTCCGTCGTACAAAAGATATAACTAATTTAAATCAAGCTTGGGATATTTATTATAATGTATTTAGAAGAATTAGTCGTCAATTACCTCAATTACAAAGTTTAGAATTACAATTTGTATCTCCAAAATTAGAAGAAGCTCAAGATTTAGAATTAGCTGTACCAGGAACTTATCTGGCTAATAAATCAATTATTAGAATTAAAAGATTTGATCCAACTGTATCAGTTATATCATCAAAACAAAGACCAAGAAAACTTTTATGTAAAGGTAGTGATGGTAAAGATTATTTATTTGTATTAAAGGGTCATGAAGATATTCGTCAAGATAATTTAGTTATGCAATTATTTGGATTAGTTAATACATTATTAATGAATGATCCAGAATGTTTTAAACGTCATTTAGATATTCAACAATATCCGGCAATACCTTTATCACCAAAAGTTGGTTTATTAGGTTGGGTACCAAATAGTGATACATTTCATGTACTTATAAGAGAATATCGAGAATCTAGAAAAATTTTATTAAATATTGAACATCGAATTATGTTACAAATGGCTCCTGATTATGATAGTTTAACACTTTTACAAAAAGTTGAAGTATTTACTGGAGCTTTAGATAATACAAGAGGTCAAGATTTATATAAAGTATTATGGTTAAAATCAAAATCTTCTGAAGCTTGGTTAGATCGTAGAACAACTTATACAAGATCTTTAGCAGTTATGTCAATGGTAGGTTATATATTAGGATTAGGAGATCGTCATCCATCTAATTTAATGTTAGATAGAATTACTGGGAAAGTAGTTCATATTGATTTTGGTGATTGTTTTGAAGCAGCCATACTTCGAGAAAAGTATCCCGAAAAAGTTCCATTTAGATTAACAAGAATGTTAAATTATGCTATGGAAGTTAGTGGAATTGAAGGATCATTTAGAATTACTTGTGAACATGTTATGAGAGTTTTAAGAGATAATAAAGAATCATTAATGGCAATTTTAGAAGCTTTTGCTTATGATCCATTAATTAATTGGGGATTTGAATTTCCTACAAAAGCAGTAGCTGAAGCTACTGGTATAAAAGTTCATCAAGTTAATACGACTGAATTATTAAGAAGAGGTCAAATTGATGAACAAGAAGCCGCTAGATTAACTAAAAAGAATGAATTAGAAATTAGAAATGCTCGTGCTTCATTAATTTTAAAGAGAATTACTGATAAATTAACTGGTAATGATATAAAACGTTTAAGAGGTTTAGATGTTCCAACTCAAGTAGATAAATTAATTCAACAAGCTACCAGTGTTGAGAATTTATGTCAACATTATATTGGTTGGTGTTCATTCTGGTAAATAAATTAATATACATTTATGACTATGACTATGACTATGACTATGACTAGGCTATGCTATTTTCTTAGATACACTAGTAAATCCAACTCCCTTAATAGAAAGTAATGAATAATCTTTATCTTCTTCCTTAATAAATACTTCATTACCAAATAATTGTTTAATATCTCTAAGATACCATATAAAATTTTCATTAATTTGACTATTAGATAATTTAAATCTTCCAATATCTTCTTTACCAATGGTCATATATACCAATACTAACTGTAATTGATTTAATCCTACAACTGCACTGGTACTTATTTCTTCTAAAAGTTGTAATGCAACAGTTTCTCCAATATCTTCAGGTAATTCTCCTGCTGATCCTACCCCTTCTGCAACAATTCTCCAACCTTTTTTCAGTTCAGCTACTAAAGTAATTCCATAACCAGGAGATTTTCCTGAATTTTCTCCTCTCCAAACATCTGCTGTTATATTAACTTCAACTCCTGTTGGTCTTAAAGCTTTTCTAGCTCCATCTATCATTCTATTAACTATAGATGGTGAAACTCTTGTACTATAAGATACTCCTCTAATAGCAGAAAATTTAGGGATATCTAATGCATGAATAGTTAATGGTTGAGGTATAAGTGAATTACATAATAAATGAACTTCTCCACCTCCAATTGGTGCTGAACCTCTCTTTAATATATAAAGAGATATTTCTCGAACTCCAAATTTTTCCATAATTGGTATTAACCCCCATTTAATAGATTCTGGGGTAGCATCTTTGGATTTATCACTGGTAGTTATACCTTTAAAAATTATTGAAAATTTCTTCTTTGAGAATGGTGCTAAATAAAGCATTGGTTCTATAAAATATCCTACTGGTTTTGTATTAGCACATACATGAGTTAATTCTCCTCCTATTATAATACCAGGTTTATAAATAACTGCTGTACCAGTATATGAGATTTCAATATGACATCCATTAGTTACTGCTTCAAGTAATCTTAAAAATGATACTTCATGATCTCTTAAACCAGGATTAACATCATTAGATCGTATTTTACTAATCTTAATGGATTTCCCAGCTAATGTAGCCAAAATTAATCGTAACCTAAAGTTTCTATGACCTTCAAACGTGGCTATACCGGACTTACTTGACATGGTTCAGGTTATTATGGACTAAAGTTTATAAAATATCACTTTCTAAACTATGGGATAGTGAAATTTTTCAGAAAGGTTATAGCTCTTCTCAAAATAAATTTTTGGCTGTGTGCAGGAAAATATAAACTAGGAGAAGAGGTTTAGTTAACTTTGACTATTAACTGTTTTAGTTGTTGAATAAGATGTGAATAATGAATGAATTGTATTGATAAGAGTTAGTTAATACTAGTGAAGTCAATGTATTTCAATTAATTCAAATTGAATCAATTAATCTAGTATGATGTATAGTTAGCAGTAATGCTTTTGCACCCATTATTCATGGGCTGTAGTCACTACTCATATACCAATTATAACCAATTTTAGCTTACCATACCCTAATTAAGTTACCTTTATAGCATTATACACGACACTATACTCCATCCATCAGATTTAACTCTTAATAACAACTAAGATAGGTTTTTATAAGCCTATTATTAAAAGTCGTGTCCCCGCCAATCGTTTTTCCCAGTCTTGAGATAAAGCATCCGAACCTCAACATCCACCATACTTAACTACTATAAACAACACTATCATATCAATATGTCATCTAACAATAGTAACGGACTTAAAAGAGTTGCAGAAACAAATGGAGCAGATGTTTCGGATCCTAAAAAGCCAAAATTGGATCCGGATGCCCAATTGGATGATATCTTTAGCGAACCTGACTTTCTTACACCAAGTCAAGAATTAAATACCAATGTCAATGAAGACTTTTCGGACTTACCAGGTAAGATACTAGAGAGTAATGTATTGAGTGAAGGAAACAAAGTAGATGTTCAACAACCGCAATCTCAACCGCAATCTCAATCACAAGCACAACCACAAGTACAACCACAAGCACAAGCACAATCTCAATCTCAACCAGTACAACCACCCATTCTGACTATACCTCAATCACAATCATTAACACAGATACCACTTGAAACAGGAGGAGCTCAAGTGCCACTTACAGGTCAAACCTTAGGTCAACAACAAGCTCAACAAAAAGTTCTGAATGATCCATCACGATTAAATGATGCTATTGTTGCGGCAGGAGTTGATATTCAACAAGAAGAAGAATTATTATTACAACAACAATATAGAAGAGATGATGTTTCAAAAGATTTAAAACAAATTATACGTTCATCTAAACCACCACCATTTCTTAATGGATATCATCTTGCATCATTTGTTACTAAAGTTGCTCGAGAAAATGGTGTACAACAATATTTTCTTCAAGAAGCTGAATTATTAGAATTAGTATCAGCCGCTTGTGAAACATGGTTATCTAATATTATTCATAAAACCATCATATTAGCTCGTCATCGTAGAAGAGGAATTCCTGCCTTAAATCCCAAAAATAAAAAGCCTGGTAGTGGTAGTGGTAGTAGCAATAGTAGTAGTAGTTCAGTAGTAAGATCAGAATTATCCAAGGAATTACGTAATTTAGCATTGAGACAGAAAGATTTAGAAGAAAGAAGAGTTCAAAAACGTATAGCATTAGGACTTGAAAAGAATGATATTGATGGTAATGGAGATGGAAGTGATTCAAAAGCTGGAGTTGAAGAAACTTTACATAGAGCAGCCAATGCTACAGCAGCTATGATGTCAAATACTGGTAGAAAGAAATATTCATGGATGACATCAGCTAATGGAGGAGCCACTGATGCTAGTAAAGGTAGTGATGAAAAGGGTAAGAAGAGTTCTATAATATCGATTAGAGGAGAGAATGGATTAAGATATCGAGAGATTAGAACTGGGAATTCTGTTACTATGAAGGATTTATTAGGAGCTATTGAAGGAGAAAGGATGGGGACTGATAAAGCGATAGTGAAGGCTTATGCGAAACTTAAGGATTGAGTGTAGTAATTTAGTTATCTTAATTATATACAGTCTTCTGTCTTAACTAGTAAGTATGTAAAGGTGTACCTTAACTATAAAGTGTAGGATCTCTTAACTATGGGCATTTACGCACTCTTAACTATGGGCATTTACGCACTCTTAACTATGGGCATTTACGCACTCTTAACTATGGGCACTTACGCACTCTTAACTATGCACTCTTAACTTACTCTTAACTATGCACTAACTATGCGCACTCACTTTTTCTCCATCTTAACTATGAGCATTTAATGATCTGAAATGTAAACAAACCATCCATTCATCACTATAACCACTACCACTACCACAATCATGGACTTTAACGTGACCACATACTTTAACGCATTTGATGTGGATAAACAGTATGAGTTGGACGTATCAGATATCAATTCCAAACTCGAAAGTGTCACGAATCTTTTAGCAGATAATCCTGAATCAATTAATCTTAATCATGAATTATTTGAAGATCTTATTGATTTAATTCATGGATTTAAATCTCTTGAAGTTAAACATCAAAAGCAATTAGCATATTTAATCACTTCATCATTTAATGCCATTGGAAATCTTTATGGAGGAATATTATCAAGTGGAGGAGATTATATTGATAATTTAGAATTTTATAAAGGAACACTTGAAAGATTTGGATATCTTATATTTGTATTAGCAAAACATTTAGGTAAAGAAGAATTTACCAAAACCAATGGGAAATTTCGTAGTGGAGAAATATCATCAAAATGGAAATCAAATTGTATTGAGGTTGAAGATTGTTTAACATCAATTGTATCAGTATTAAAAATTGAACTTTCAAAAATATTTATAACATCACCAGAAAGAAATCTGTTTATTGAATTATTTACAAGACCAATTATGAATTTAATGGAAAATCCTGATAGAATGAAAGTTACATCAATAAAATTACTTATATTTAAAATTATGGCATTATCAGTTAAAAATCATGATCATAGTACAATTATTCAACATAATATAATTCAATGTTTAACTTATTATATTCATTTACCAATTTATATGGCAGAATTACTTCATATAATTGCAACTGAATATAATTATTATTTATTAATTGAAGAAGTTTTACGAGAAATATCTCAAATTCAATTTAATGCCAATGATACAAATGGTCCAAAAACTGTTTCTGAATTTCTTATAAGACTTTCAGAATTAAGTCCAAGATTAATTCTTAAACAAATGAGTTATATAGCTCAATTATTAGATAATAGTAATCAATCTTTAAGATGTTCAGTAGTTGAAACTTGTGGAAATATTGTCGTTGATATTTTAAAAAATAAACAAAATGATGAAAGTGAAGAATTAACTAATAATGGGGTTGAAGGTTTACTTGATTTACTTCAAGCTCGAGTTTTAGATCAAAATCCTTATGTTAGAACTAAAGCATTTCAAGCTTTAACTAAAGTATTAGCTTTAAATATTAAAATGCCTTCAAGAAGACAAAAATTAATAATTATTGCCGTAAGATCTTTAGATGATAGAAGTACTTTAGTACGTCGTAATACAATTAAATTCTTATCAAAATTAATATTAACTCATCAATTTACGGCCATTAATGGTTCTCAATTAAAATATTCTTTATGGAAGGAAAGACTCGATGAAGCAGAAGCTGAATTATTAAAATATTTACCATTATCACCTAAAAAGAAGAAACGTATTTCAAGAATCGATGAAGATGAAGATGATATGGAAATCGATCAAGAAGGTGAAAAGGAAGAAGAAGAGGAAGAGGAAGAAGAACAACAACAACAACAACAACAAAATGATGAACTTAGCGAATCAGATAATGAAGATAATGATGAAGTTGATGAAGCAGAACTTAATGCTGCATTAATGGAACAAGAACAAAATCTTCCTGATACAACAGTTTTATTTAGAGCTAAACTTAAAGCCAATTATTTTAAAGATGCTATTGATTTTATTGAAGCTATTCAAAATGGTACAGAAATAGTTTCTCGATTATTATTTTCAAAAAATAGAAATGAAGCTATTGATTCAATGGATTTCTTAGTTCTTGCTGATGCTTATGGAGTTGAAAATGCAGAAGAAGGAATTAGAAGAATGCTTCATTTAGTATGGATGAAAGGATCTTCTGATGAAGGTAAATCTGTACCATCTCATTTAATTGATTGTTATAAAGATTTATTTTTAACTGCTCCAAAAGATATTTCAAGATTAGATCAAACTTTAATTATTGCCAAAAATCTTATAGGATTAACTTTAAAAGCTTCATTAGCAGATCTTGCATCATTAGAAAAATTATTAGGAATGATGTATGAACAAGAATTAATTGCTCAAGATATTATTAAAGTATTATGGCTGATATTTAGTATTGAATCAATATTAGATGAATCTCAATCTAAACAAAGATTAGGAGCAATTATAATCTTAGGAATGTTAGCTCTTACTGATCATTCAATTGCTGTAAAGGGATTTGATTCATTACTTAATATTGGACTTGGAGATATTGGAAAACAAGATTTAGAACTTGCAAAATATACTTGTATTGCTCTTCAAAGATTAGTTCCAAGTGATCAACTGAAACAAATTACTAGAGAAGATGAATTTAATGAAAAATTAACTGATATACTTTTGATATATAGTGAACAATCAGATTGGTTTGGAGTAGCAGAACAAGCTATTGGAGCTATATATCAAGTATCTTCAAATCCAGAAATTATTTGTACACAAGTAATTAAACGGAAAACTTTATCAGTATTTAAAGAAATTTCTCAAAATGAGAGTAAAACAATTTCATTATCTCAATTATTATTTATTGTAGGTCATATTGCTATAAAAACTATTGTTCATCTTGAAAAATTAGAAGGGAAATTTAAAAAGAAAAAGCATGAAGCTGAAACTAAAAAGAGTAATTCTAAAGATGATGAAGAAAATACTGATGAATTAGAAATGATTGGTGGTACATCAGAAGATGATTTCACTGATGCAGTAAATCATGTTAAAGAACGAGAATTACTTTATGGAGATAATTCTTTATTATCTAAATTTGGTCCACTTGTTACTGAAATTTGTGCTAATAATCATAATTATAATAATACAGGATTACAAAGATCAGCAGTTTTATGTATGATTAAATTAATGTGTGTTTCATCAATATATTGTGAACTGAATTTACCATTATTAATTACTATAATGGAAAAATCTGATGATCCAATAATTAGATGTAATTGTGTATTAGGATTAGGAGATATGGCAGTTTGTTTTAATAATATTGTTGATGAAAGTACTGATTTTATTTATCGTCGATTAACTGATGAAAATATGATGGTACAAAGAACATGTCTTATGACGGTAACATTTTTAATTTTAGCAGGTCAAGTTAAAGTTAAAGGTCAATTATCATCAATGGCTAAATGTCTTGAAAATCCTGATCAAGGAATTAGTGATATGGTTAAATTATTCTTTGCAGAATTAGCTACAAAAGATAATGCTATATATAATGGATTTATTGATATATTTAGTGGATTATCAAATGATGAAGCATTATCAAAGGATTCACTTAAGAGAATTTTAAAATTTTTACTTTCATTCATTGATAAAGAAAAACAACAAAAACAATTATCAGAGAAATTATTAATTAGACTTTCTAAATGTCAAACTGAAACACAATGGAATGATGTGGCATTTGTTTTATCTACAATTCCATATAAGAATGAATCGATAACAGCTGCATTAGATGAAGGATTTAAATTAGTTCTGGCGAGAACTTAGGATAGAATAGATATATGTAGTATATAATAGATAGATGTACTAATAGGTAACACATACTATATAGGTAATATGTTGTGTAAAAGGTAATGTGTACTATATAATAGATAGATGTAATGTATTTGGTAGTATATACTATAATATATACAACATATACTCTGTATAAGTACTAAGTATAGTTTATGTAGTAGAATATACTTGTATATTGAGATAAAACTAGACAATGGGAGATGCAAGCATAAAAGTAGAGGAAATGTGTAGATATATATAGGATCTAATAATGTGTAGGCAACTCAGAGATAAGCTTAGTAATGTCGTAGCACATTTAGTAGTATAGAGGAAAAGATAAGAGATAAGGATAGGGGCAGCTAAAATGCCGTAGGTGATATGTCATTAGAACATATGTGTTACATATTTGCAACATATAGGCAAATAGGTCGTGTGCACGACTTATTCTTATTTATACGACTACTTGTGAGTTGTACTGCTCATATGAGGACAATATCTACTGAAGATTAATTACCCTTAGAGTTCACTTCCTTTAGTATGTGATACAGTGGCACTTTCTTCATTTATGTGACTACCATTTTGTTTACATTTGTTAATGTATATCATGTAATACTATAACTATTAAGTTACTAATCCTAATCGGGACTTGCAGCATGGTCAGTCGTTAAGGATGGCCCTTTAGCGCGCAAAGGTCCTCACTGCCATATAAATAAGCGCTAATTTTATTCTTCTTTATTCTTCACTCTTCACTCTTCACTCTTTTCATTCCTTTTCTTATTATAGCCATTTAGTTCGTTCTTTGGGGAGCATAGATAATCTAAAATTTGTCTCATCGAGTGATCGTTAGTATGAGTTATTTCTAGGTTCTACTAACTTCTAGGGGTAGGATAGTGTTATTCTTCTTTTACGTAAGTGAAACAAAGATATTTTAAAATTTATTAATACAAACCATTTATATTCTTAATTATCTTGTAGAACTGTGAGTCGAACTGTGAATCGAACTGTCGGTCAAACGGTCAAACCGTCGGTCATTGAGTACCCGCACACATCCTATAAATAAGAGCTGATTTTATTCTTCTCCCTTTTTTATTCTTCCCCCTTTTTTATTCTTCACACTTTTGTATTTGATCTTATTGTACCACGTTTGATTAATTTTGATTTTCTAGTGATAAATATACCAGTATTCCTTCTGTTTCCTTACTAAACAAGGATATCGAAAGCGATTTGAGATTAATCTGTATTTTACCTTCTAGGGTCTACTAACTTCTAGGTACAGTGCATGGTTACTGTTTTCGTCTGTTACTTGTATTTGTGTATTTCATTAATATATATGATTTAAATTCTTAAATATCTTGTAGAGCTGTCAGTCAAAGTGTCAGGCAAAGTGTCGGTCATTCTGTCGGTCATTGTGTATCCCCTGGTAGCGCGCAAGGATATTGCCAAACTTCTACTCTTTTCTGTTAGATTCCTTAAAAACTTCTACTGCATTTATTAACCATATGTTTTTAAGGGTTTGCTGAACGGTGGTTTTTACTCAACGGTCGTTTTTCTTTACCATTCAGCTTCTTCCCTTGAATCTTCGTACTCAGATAATATGTATTTGAATAGTACGATTGTATAGTATGTTCTGGGAACCCAATCTGAACTCATTATATTAACTTCTAGGCTCTACTAACTTTTAGGTGCAGCATAATCTTGCTTTCGATTAGATAAGTATAAGTAGTTCAAAGAGCGTTTGTGTTTTCAATATTTATTAATATATATGATTTAGAATCTTAATTATCTTGTAGAACTGTCAGTCAAAGTGTCCGTCACTGCGTAGTGCACCTATAAATAAGCGCTGATTTTTATTCATCACCCTTTTTTATTCATTACTCTTTTTTATTCTTTATCTTATTATCTCTGATTTTGATGTTTCAGATTCATCCTATGTTGTTCTGAGAGTCTTGGTAAGCGATAGACATCTTAATAGTTAAATATGACTTGATTTCTTTTGAGAACATGCATATAGCCAACTATTTGGCATTAACTGTATTTTAACTTCTAGGCTCTACTAATTTCTAGGATCCTTGTTAATATTTTTTGTTTTTTTTTTTGAAGAGTCGTGTATGATTTCTTAATTTATTAATATATATGATTTAGAATCTTAATTATCTTGTAGAGCTTTCAGTCAAAGTGTCGGTCAGAGTGTCGGTCATTGCGTATCCCCTGGTAGCGCGTAAAAGTCCTCACTGCCATATAAATAAGCGCTAATTTTATTCTTCACTCTTTTCATTCTTTTCCTGATTTTACTTATGCTTCCAATGAATAGTCTAAGTCATGCATGAGCTGCAAAAAACGTTTCTTCAAATTGTTTGTGTGAAATTTGGAGCAGAAGATAATTTTGTTGTAAATTCTAGGCCCTACTAACTTCTAGGATAAGACAAAGGTTAATTTGGAGTCCTAACAAGGGACAGTATTTATTTTAAACTTATTAATATATATAATTTACATTCTTAATATTACTGATCAACCCTCTTGTTCATCACTTGTAGTGTTTATTCGTATTTTTATGTGTAGTCTAACAAAAGTCATAATACATAATATAGATTATACAATATGAAAATTGTATACGCTATCCTTATAACTCTTTTTAAACTATAAAGCTTTAGAGCAGTAATCGAGCCGCATGCTACTCAAAAAAAAATTTAAAAATGTCAAAAACTTTTTGATCCACGTGAAATGGAATTACCCCAACTACCTTAACTTACTAGCAATTGTCATGACTATATGGTTTGTACAAGTCCTTGTAGATCAATTACTGACTCTACTTAGTGTAGATGATGCTAGTCTTAAAGTTTTATTATGTACACTATTATCATTTCCATTTAGTTTTATATTTAAGAGATTACCAGATCATAATTATTCATTAAAAAATTGGTATAATATCGGAGTATCATTATTTTATATATTTGGAATTTTAGGAGTTGTAGATGGACTTTGGACAATTATAATTTCAAGTTTAGGATGTTATTTTATTACAAGATATGTTAGAACTTCTTCAATGCCATGGATAAATTTTATTTATTTAATGTCATTATTAGCTTATACCCATTTTTCTCATCAATTCTTTAATGATTATGATAGAACAAAAATTGATTTATCAGGAGCTCAAATGGTTTTAGTAATAAAACTTACATCATTTGGTTGGAATATTTATGATGGAACTAGACCTGAACAAGAATTAACAAAATATACAAAAACAAGAGCAATTAAAAAACATCCAAATATTTTACCTTATATTGGTTATACATTTTTTTATGCATCTTTATTAACTGGTCCGGCGTTTGATTATGCTGATTACGATAGATTTCTTCATTCAAGTTTATTTGATGATGTTCCTGAACAATATAGACCAGGCAAGAAAAAAAGGAAAATTCCAAGAAGTGGTAAACAATCATTATCAAAAACAGTTCAAGGATTTATTTGTATAATTTTACTTGTAAATGCTCCTCGATTCTTTGTTAATGAATATATTTTAACGACGGAATTTATGAGTCATAATTTTGTTTATAGAATCTTTTATCTTTGGTTATTAAGTTTTACTCAAAGATTAAGATATTATTCAATTTGGTTAATTGCTGAAGGAGCATGTATTTTATGTGGAATTGGTTATAATGGTTATGATTCAGTAACAAATCAAATTAAATGGGATCGTGTACAAAATATTGATCCATATACATTTGAAACTGGTCAAAATATTCATATATGTTTAGAAGCTTGGAATATGAATACAAATAAATGGTTAAAGAATTATGTATATTTAAGAGTAGCAAGAAAAGGTAGAAAACCAGGATTTAAAAGTACATTATTTACATTTGTAACAAGTGCATTTTGGCATGGTACAAGACCTGGTTATTATATGACATTTGTATTAGGAGCTATTTTACAAACAGTTGGTCGTATATTCAGACGTCATTTAAGACCAATCTTTTTACAAGCTGATGGTAAATCTGCTAAACCTTCTAAAAAATATTATGATATAGTATGTTATATTATTACTCAATTATCAATTGGATACCTTGCTCAACCATTTGTATTTTTGGATTTTCCTAGATCAGTTAAAGCATGGACTACATGTTATTTCTATCTTCCAATTATTTCAATTCTTGTGATTTTTGCCTTTGATGGTCCTTATAAGAAACAAGTTATTGGATATTTCAAATCTTTACAAGATGTTGAAAAATATAAACATAAACTTGCTCCAGAAGAAGCTAAATTAGTTAATAATGCTGTTGAATCCTTATTAGAAAAGGAATCTTATGATAATATACCTACACTTGGATTACCACCTATTGATTATTTACAAACAGTGGATAAACATGAAGTAGATCAAGATATTACTGAATTTAAACAAGCATGGACTTCTTTTAGACGTCGTAGAGGATCAATTAAAGAAGATGATTTTGAAGGGTTACGTGATGCTTATAATAATTTTACTAACGAGATGAATACTATATTAAATTCTCGTAAGGAAGAATTTCTTAATTCTCAACCTAATAAAAAATCGGATTAGTGTTAGTATTTATTTATATAAAAGTGTAAGTGTGATTGTTAGTGTACTGTAACTGTAACTGTAACTGTAGTCATCTGTCACTGCGTATGTTCGCTTGCTGTCGCTAATTCAGCTGCCGTTATTTTACTTGCCGCTATTTCCCCCCACTCGGAGTGAGGCCGTAAGTCAGCCTGGAAAAAAAAGTCGGCCGCTAAAATTGCTACAACTGAAAAGTTTCCACTAGCTTTAGTAAAGAAGATTACCACCAATTAATACCGGATATGTTCTGGAGTAAACGATTACTTTCCAGTGGGACACGAAGTCCTACAGGAGTTGTTTTCATGAATATGGGAGGACCATCCACGGTTTCCGAAACATACGACTTTCTCTTTAGATTATTTTCCGATGGAGATCTAATCCCGTTTGGAAGATTTCAAAATATTCTTGCTAAATTAATAGCTAATCGTCGTACTCCTAAAATTGAAAAACATTATAAGGATATTGGTGGAGGATCTCCTATTAGATATTGGTCAGAATATCAATGTAAAAGAGTATGTGAAATTCTTGATAAAACTAATCCTGATACTGCACCTCATAAACCTTATGTAGCATTTAGATATGCTAATCCATTAACTGAAACAACTTTACAACAAATGATTAAAGATAAAATTACTAGAGCCGTGGCATTTTCTCAATATCCTCAATTTTCATATTCTACAACCGGATCTTCAATGAATGAATTATATAGACAAACTATTAAATTAGATCCAAATCGAACAATTAATTGGACTTTTATAGATAGATGGCCAAAGGATAAAGGTTTAGTTCAAGCATTTAGTCAATCTATTGAAGAGAAATTATATGAATTTCCTGAACAAGATAGAAATAAAGTAATTATATTATTTTCAGCTCATTCATTACCAATGGAAATTGTTAATAAAGGTGATTCATATCCTGCAGAAGTTGCAAGTACCGTATATGCAATTATGGAGAAATTAAATTTTAAATATCCTTATCGTTTAGTATGGCAATCTCAAGTTGGACCAAAACCTTGGTTAGGTGGACAAACTAGTAAAATTGTGGGGAAATTAGAGAAAAATAATGATATTAAAGGTATAATATTAGTACCAGTAGCATTTACATCAGATCATATTGAAACATTACATGAATTAGATATAGAATTAATTGATGAATGTGAAAATCCTCATAAAATAAAACGAGTAGATTCATTAAATGGTAATGAAGTATTTATTGAAGGATTAGCTGATTTAGTTAAGAATCATTTACAATCAGGTTCATTATATTCTAATCAATTAGCATTAGATTGTGCCTTAGGAGGTGATTCAGCTAAGGATACTTTTAAACATCCTAGTGAAATGTTTGGTGATCATTCCAAATCTTAAATAAAATAACTTGTACATATTTATATAAGATATATATATATATATATATATTATTATTAATCGGAGAATTCTTCATCAGAATCAAATAGATCTAAATTAAGATCAGGTCCATTACCAATGGCTTTCTTTTTATCTATATTTGTACCAGCACTACTGCCATAATCACCAAATGAACCTCTTCTAGTTTCTTCTTTAGTAATTGGATTTATTTTTTGATTAATTACTTGATCTTGGTTAACTTGTTCTTTAGTTATTCCAAGCTCATTTTGAATTATTTCATCACCTTGTAATGAACTTGCTGCAAGCATACCTCTTCTTAATGCATCTTCAGCAGGCCATACATAATTATTTGGATGAATTTGATATGGGACATTTGTCATAGTTGCAGGAGCTTTAGTAAATTTAGCTAATTTCATAGCATACTTTAAGATATCTTCAACTTGAATTGAAGAATTAATTTCTTCATTATTTCGATTACTAGGTAGTCTCGGTAAATTTTTTAATTCACTACGATATGATATTAATTCTTTAAGAATATATTTAGCTTTTGAATCTAATTTATTATTTTCACTTGTAAGATTTTGAATTTGCTTTCCTAAATCTTTATGAGCTTGAAGTTCTTTAATTTTATAATGTAAATTATCATTAATACTAATTATATTGTTAACATCATTAGGTAATTCTTTCTCTTTAAATAATGATATATCATTAGAAATTTCATTTAATGTTTGTTCAAATGATGCTACAAGTTGAACTATTGGTAATTTTTCAAATTTTTCAAGTTCAGCCTTTGTCTTTATCTTACTCTTATAATTTGTAGAATCAATCGGTAGATTTCTTACTGGATTTAATGAAGATGTCATATGAGGATTAGGGGTAGAATTTAATTGATTTAATTGATTTAATCGAGTAGAAGAGCCAGCTCGTGATCCACTTAACGGTTTCTGTGGTGATTCTTTCCTTAACATTAGTGAATTAGTTAATAATGTCTTAAGTATATGGATAATTAAACTGTATACAATTTAATAAACTGTGGTGTGTAGTACAATTTATTTCGAAAATACATTTTTTCGCTAACACATACTTAAGATAATTCTACACCATACTTATTATAAAACTACACCATAAAAAGAGCATGTATGAACAGAACCACTAATATATTTGAGAATTCTTCAGAGTCCGAAGAGGAAGTGACTGTGAGGAATCGACCAGTAAAGTTATTTAAACCTCCTGAAGATGTACCATCAATAGAGTATGAGGATGATAATAGTGAACAATACATTAATGATGATTATATGGAATTCCACACATCTACAACTACTAATTCTGTATCTGTAGAACTGTCTATAATAAATAATAATAATAATAATAATAAATCAATTGGTTTATCTATTATGGAGAAAATGGGTTATCGACCAGGTATGTCTCTAGGTAAGGATTCATCTCTTGGAGTTAATCTAGAACCAATAAGAGTTATAGTTAAGAGTGATACTCAAGGATTAGGAGCTCCCAATAAAGTAATATTACATGATATAGATTATACAAAATATACAAAGCATCGAACACAACTTCAAAGTCAACAATTGACTAAAAGAAAGTTGATTAGTATTATGAAATTATGTTTTGAATTAAGTGGAGATGCTGAACAATATCGTAATGATAATAATCTTGAATTAGTAAATCCACTATGGCAAGATTATGTACTGGGTCATATACAAGATTATGAACAAAATCGATTAGATCTGTTAATTCATTATTTGAGACATACTCATAACTATTGTTGGTATTGTGGTTGTGAATATACCTCTAAATTGGAACTAGAAAAGCTTTGTCCAGGAGAATTGGAAAATGATCATAACTAATATTAATATTAAAAGTTATCATTTAGTAATTGATCTCTAGCATATTTTGCTTGTACATATAATTTATTTGCATCATTAACAGATATAATTGGTCCACTTTGTCCACTTAAACTATCAATTTCATCTCTTTTAATTTTATCAAACCTAATAGGTAATACCCCAAATGGTGCATATACAATAGGAGCTGGATCTTGTTTATGATAATTATCTTCTTGAGGTTTCCCCCAATTTATATCTATTCTACAGTTATTAATAATTGATCCATGTAATAATAATAAAGCTGTTTCTGCTGATGATCGAAAATAATATTGAATTGTAGCACTAGTAAAATCATTAGATAATTTTAATGATACTATATCACCAAATGAAAGGAAATGTTTAGTTAAATCATCTTCACTAAATTTAGATCCTAATCCATTTATTAAAAGTGTAGTATTATTTGGATCAGTAAATTGGTTTAGTGGTGGTTGAATTTGCAGATGATTAATATTTACTTTTCGAGTTTCAATAACTTTATTTTCTGAACTAACTACAACATTATTTGAAGAATTGGCAGCTTGTCCAACTCTTATTGCTCTGCCTCCTACTATAATACCATCTAATTCTTCTAATGCCTTTTCCATAGTTTCTTGAGAATTAAATTTGGCAAATCCAAATCCCTTTGATGTTTTAGTTGCGGGATCAAACATGATTCTAACCTGTATTACTTGTTTGGGGAATTTATTATTAAATACATCCATTAAATTAGATTCAGTAACTGATGGATCTAGATCTCCTATAAAGATAGAATAATCATTTCTTAATGGTAATTTTTTTAATGGAACATTATTATTATTATTATTATTAGATTGAAAATTTGTCGATCCTAAAGCTTTATTTAATCTAAATGATCTGGTAGTACCAGGAATAGCAAGACCATTTTTATTAATTGCCTTTTCCATAGCTTGTTGAGTTTCAAAAGAAACAAAACAATAGATAGGTTTCAAAGTTAATTTATCCAACTTTATTTTAACAGCCGTAGGCTTTTCATCTACCAGTTTCCATAATTCAATAATTTTCTCTTCATTCCAAGTAGGATCTAAATCACCCATCCATATTTGGAACAGAGTTTCTTGACCTGAATTATTATTATGACTATTGCTATTATTGGAATATTGTTGATAATAATTATTTCTATTTCCTTGATATCTATAATTATTATTATTTTGAGGTCGATAACTACTATTAGTATTACTTGATTGATGAGATTGATAATGAGATTGTGATTGTGATTGTGATTGATTCTGTCCATAACCTTGAGATCTCGGTCTACCACGCAGACTATAACCTCCTCTTGGTCTGTATGTGGAAGACATTATAATTGTATATAACTAGTAAGTAATATAATAACTTTAGGAGGTGATAGTATTGTATAACTACTGAGTATAACTACTAAGTAAGTTGCAGGTATATATAATTTTTCTAGTCGCACCTAAATTTGATATGAAAGTTTTCTTCGATAGTACCACTATTTAGACATAATATGGGTTAAATTCATAGTAATTTTGGTATCTCATCTTGTTTTACTTTCGAGAAGAAAGACTCATTTTATTTCATTAGAAACTTCAATGCCCTGGAAGCATTCCATACATGTTTGAATTCATTTTTTATCATATGCATATATCTAGTCAATATGTGAAATTCTTCTTCTCCTCGACTATCAATGTTGATATCTAAATCCATTGATGCTAAAGATATTATAGTAATTGTACTATTTATTATTAAGACTCATAGGGGATAAGCTGAAAGTTTAAACAGGTAAAAGTCACTGTGTCAGATTAAAAGGTTTACTATATGACTTATATTACCAATTTACTTATTAAAATTATGGCCTCATATGCACTGGATGATTTAGTGGTTATGGTGAGGCTCCTACTAAGGGGAATCAATGAATTGAATCTCAATGAGATATTTCTTTAATTAAGAATGTTAACTTTCATCTCTCTTTTGATCTGTTATCTAGTTCAAAACATGTCCCAAATCTAAAAATTTTACACAAATGTCTTAAAAGCTCCAATAGTAAATCAACTTTTGAATTCGCTTGTAAGACCAAGACATATTTTGCCAATTGGAATTACTAATTGATTGGTCATGATTTAAGTCAGCAGAATAGTTTTGAGGGTTAACTCAACATTAGGAATACTGGGGTCTAGTTCCTTTTATAAAATACATTGCTTAATTCATATAAGCATTGCTTATAGATAAATTTAAACTACATTTATTTAACTATATAAATTTACCCATTGAAACTATTCCTCGTTTTAAACATCTTCCAGAGATTGAGAAGTATCTACTGACATTTCACTTTGGCCTTCATTAATTCTAATATTACTATCCCCAATGATATCTTTTTCTTGTTTAATCTTGATGTCGATCCTTTTCTCAAGTTCAGAATTCAGCAGCCGTAAACCTTGGATTTCCTTATTTAGGTCTTGAATATTTGACTCCATATTATCCATACGCTTCTTCAAGATACTTTTAATTGAGGTTTCCATTTTGTTAACCTTTCTAGTAGTGGTTTTTAAGGACTCTGATGTGGTCGAAGTAGATTTTTTTAATGAATCAATGTCGATTTCCATGGTATTAACCTTTTGAACTGTTCCATTCATTGTTCCCATAAACCCTTGGACTTCTCCAATTCTATTATCTAATAAACCAATGTTGGTTTCCATGGTATTAACCTTTTGAACTGTTCCATTCATTGTTCTCATAAACAGTTCTACTTTTCCAATTCTTTTACCTAATGAATCAATAAGCTCGTCTTTTGTTTTTGAAGCTTTTGAGATTTCTTCTACTTGTTTGAATTGTGATTCTATAAGTTTTTTTGAATTGGTCGTTCTCGTTATTTTGTTTCCACATGACGAATAATGATACAACTAGCCCTGTAATTAAGATTGATTGGGACCCTATTGTTAATTTTTGATATTCACCAGTAGATGTAACGATGGTCACAGCGGCGCTAAATATCCCTGCAACGGTGTTTGCAACAAATGCATACCAGCTAACGGCATCCGTTGTCAATTTCTCTATAAGGTTCTTTAGAATTGGGACAGTCATTGGTTAGTTAAAGAAGTTGATTATGTTGCAAAACTAGTTTAGCCGCTTTCGCAACTGCAAAAAATTAACCAGGATCTACATACAAAATGGTGCTATGGGCACACTCATTGCGCATAATAATTATATGAATATGTACTGTTATTTGTCACAATAGCTATAAAGAAGAGTTTTAGAAGTCGATAACTTACTGACGAGTCATTCATTTACTGATTTGTACTAGTCAGTAATATACTAATAAGTCATTTTTCATTAAATTTCGTATTCGGTTCGATTATAAGCCAAACAGTTAGCTTGGACCAGATACATTATGATAGTTAACTGAATAGTAAAAGTGTTTAGGGAATTGTTTAGATATCATATTTGAAACAATAAGGACTGCTTAACATTGATTGTTGTCTCAATTTTATTGAAATGTTTTGCAAAATGTTTTTTTTTTGCAGCACTTCCTAAATGGGAACGCAAAAGCTACTCTGCGGTTTAAAGCTAATTTAGTGATAATACACTTTATTTCTACATACCTTATAAATTAGAATAATCTTATTGCTCTCTGTTATTTGTTTTCCGACCATATATTTGAAGTATTTCAACTCATAACTCTTTACCACTAATTTCAATCCATTCACATGGTTGCACCTCCCTGTCAATCACGAACAGATAATGATAAAATGTGAAATATCGTAGTTTCGGATAATTATGTAGATTTCTTTTTATCCAGTATACTAACTTCTTAATATCTTTATTAACCCCTTTACAAATTTCATTATTGCCAATATAGAATAAATCAATACTAAATAATGTAGTTCTGGCGGAATATTCATCAGTTAAGTCAACTTTGACAAGTTCAACAGTCGATCCACAATATTTAAATAAGGCTTTGACTAAATTAATATTATCTTCAAGACGTTCTTCGGCTTCATATCCAATATCTAGACAAAACTTTTGAAGTGGTATGTTAGAAAGATGTTCTAAGGTATCATCTTGAATTTTTTCTAGTGGATCATTTACAATAAGTGTTTTTATATTCGGCATTGCTTTAATAAACTTACAAAGTACATTATCTGTTTGATACCCTTGACATATTTGAAGTTCAGTGATGTTCTTACAACACAATACAGATATCGCTGAATCCGGTAACCGATTATCAAAGCCCGCACATTCCAAAGAAAAAGACTTCACACCATTAAACATTCCTTGTAATTTGTTGATGGTCTTTAATGAGTCTTCCCATATGAAAAGTTCCACTTTCTGGAAGGACTTAATCTCATTTTCCAATCTTTTGACATTATTCATATAATAACTTGGACATCTGAAAAATATCAGTAACGTTTGATATCTTTGAATTGCTAATTGATTTAATTGGTCTTCGGACAGCCTAGAGTTCTTAAGCAGGTCAACGGACAAGACACTACTGCTATCCCTTATGTTAGGGTGGTGTTCATTAAAAATTATTTCTTGAAATTTAGACATAAAGTCTTTTGATGGATAAGTATTAGTGATTGTGAAATTTGTATGGATAAATGTATCCATTTTTCTATGAATTATGGTCCGATTCCTAGCATATTTATTTATAAAAACGATTCTCTTGTATAACTTTTTCATACATAACGAATGAAATCTCGAGTTAACAAGACTTAAATCTATTACATTAAGTTGGTTTAAGTGATCTATAATTTGTGTCAAGATTTCATCAGGCAATGATTCCAAGCTGATGGCTGGTGTAGGTGGCTGTAGAGTTGAATTTATACAAGTTACAATTCGAAACATTAATTGGAAATACATAATATTTGAACAAACTATAAAGAGTTTGGGGATTATATATCTCTTCCGCTATTCTTGCCATTTTTGCACCCACCTTATTTTTTTTTGTATTTGGCGCATAAAATAAGGATTATTGCGGAAGACATATATACTAACTATATATTTTAATAGCCGTAAGAACCTAAAACTTTTTCTTTGTACACTCGGTCAAGAAGATCTCTATTTAATTTAATCCAATTGATATTAAAACATTCTTCAATATTGGGTCTATCTTCAGGCATGATTTGGATTAAACTCTTGATAAAGCATTTAGCTTTATTAGAGACTCCTTGAAATTGAAGAAGCTCAAAATTTAGTGTACCTAAGCTTGCTTTATTTATCATTTCATCATTACTTTTATCGGAGTAAAAGGGAGATACTCCAGATAACATTATATGACAAATAATACCCAAAGACCAAATATCACATTTGGATGTATAACCTTGTGAGTTGTAATGGTTCGAAAATATTTCTGGTGCACTATACTCTACAGTTCCTACCATAGTCTTACATCTTTGACTAATATTACCTAATTTTTTTGCAATCCCAAAATCACATATATAAATTCTAGTGAATGGTAAAGGTGCTTCGAGGAGGATATTATCTAATTTCAAATCTCGATGAATTATATTTAAAGTGTTGTGTAGAAATTCAAGGGCCTTTAGTATTTGGAAAATTATGACAATAGTTTCAATTTCAGGAATGGCTGCTATTCTATCGCCACTTACTAAATATGAAAATAAATCACCACCACAAACTAAGTCTTGGAAAATGTATAACTCATTGTTAGATACTATAGCTTCATGTACTCTAATTATGTGTGTCTACAATCTGATTAGTAACTATAGAAGTTTAATTGGTATAGATTAATACATACATGATTAACGGATAATAGTAATTCAGCTTCTGCTTTAAACCTTTCCTTTTCCCTTTCACTTACTCTTACTCTTTCTTGACTTGGTTTGATATGTTTAACTGCAAAGAGGGAATTTTCTTCAGTTTTATTTGCAATATATACTGATCCAAAAGTTCCTTGTCCCACGAGATTATTAGAGATTTCCCATTTTCCAATGGTTATTAAAGGATGTGAAAATGTTGAAGTGGAAGTGGAAGTAGATACTTTCATTATAATTCCACCTCTTAAATCAATAGAATCATTTCCGAATAACATTCTTGTATTATTCTTGCCAATTAGATTTCCATTAATTAAAACTCCATTAGTAGAATTATCTCGAATATAAATAAGAGCAGGAGTATGGTTATCAAATTTTATGGCCCAAACAATTGCATGAACCAGACTGACCATGGGATTCTTAATAACTAAATTACACTTATTAGCATCTCTTCCTATAAGTATTACTTTATTTAAGTGTAAAGGTATTATAAATTCTTCATCTGAGCTACAAAGTTTACTCTTTTGCTGCCAAATCACTTGTTGATTCTTTTCTAAATACATTTTTCTTTGATAGATTTCATTTAACTCTGCAGTTGCCAGTAAGTAAATATGATCACAATATTTTGACATATTATTATTATAATTTATTTATTGATTTATTGACCAATTCATCTATTGATTTATTGATTTATTAGTAGCAAGACCTGTTTGCTGCCAAAAAGTTAAGGAATTTTATCTACAGGATTCTAAAAGTGGTCGTGTACCATGTGTCAAATGGTTGAAATTATAGAGGAAAAATTACTAGAGATATAATTCTATACCAATACAACTAGATAGTAAGCTAAGATTTTTGATATAAGAAAATCATATAGAAAAGATGTTTTCAAGAGGTATTAGAAATAGTGGAAGAATAGTGGGTAGAAGATTCCAACATCATTCAGCCGGTGAATCTATTAGTACCAAACCATTCAATAATAGATATAATTTTAATATAAATCCTCCACCAGTTCATGAATATTGGAATTATCGTAATGCTAGTGTTTTAATTGCTATTATTCCTGTATATCTTGGAGTTGCTTACTTTGCCAAATCACTTGGAGAAAATCTTGAAGGTTTTGAAGGTTTAAGAAGTTTTGCTGATAGTGATAAATCTCCATTAAAGGAACTTAAATTTGGAGAAGCTCAAACTTCCAAGTCCAAATAGGAAACCCAGCATAAATATTACTATAATCAACCACTTAATTACTGTTTAAAATTGATACAAGTTATCTAGCAATAAACAGAATTCATCCATGCATCATTCATTTTCTCACGGTAAACAAATAAAGAAAACAATACCTAACTTATAAACCACCAATATCAAACTACAAACTAACAACTGAAAACCGTATCTATGTACATTTACATACTTTTATATATTTAATCATATAACTCTTCGTCATATATTGTTTATTTAATCATTATTGTAGATCATCATAGTTAACTATGGGGATGTAAAAAGGGAGAGGCTGTATGCAGGCACATACTAGCTTCAAGTTTTTTTCTCACTAAATTTTATTGGCCAGGGCCAAAGAAAAAAACCACTACCAAAGTGAAAGTAGACAATACTATTAAAGTAAAGTCTTTTATTATATACAATATATTAATATAGAGATAAATCAATATATCATGCTTTCTAGGTTGGCATTGAACAGGACCAGTATTTTGTCCAGAAACGTAATCAGAAGTCTTACTACTAAAACCACCATCACAGACCATACAAATGGTAGAATTATTACTTTAACTGATCCTAATCATCCAGAAATAGGTGATTATCCTAATCCAACTCCAATTTTTGCACAAAGAAAGGATCCATATGCTAAATATGATGATCCTCAAAATAGAAGAAATATAAATGATCCAGTAAATATTGATGATGATTATTATGATATGTGGTCACCAGATGTTTATGATGCAGTTCCTGATTCAACAGCATTATATCATAATTTTATTTTCTTTTCAATAGTTTTTGGATTTGCTGGAACTATTTGGTATTTCCAATTAAATCCTGAAAAACCAGCTATGCCAAGATCTTTCCCAAGTAATGGTTTAGCTAAAAGTTTAGGAGCTGGAGATGAAGAAACTGCTGCATTTTATCGTGTTAGACCAGATCTTACAGCTGAAAAGGAATTGGGATTTCTTGCTAATGATCAAGATGTAGCTGACAATAAGAAATCTTATGAAGAAACTAATTCTGAATTCATTAATCAAGCATAAATATATTCATATACTATTTAGTGTAAACTAGACGTTCACAGAACAATCAATACATATATAATCATAACTGAATAATATGTAGTATTATAGATATTACTAGTAGTAGTACGAATAATGTGTAATATCTCTCAATTGGTTGAATTACGTAATTACAACTATCTTAATCTTAACTATATACAACATAATATCTATTCTCATAGTTAAGAGTCCTGCACCTAGTCCGATCTTCGTTCTTCGAGGATTTAATAAATATTTCAATACTTTAATCTACTAATACTTAACTAATACTCTTACAATAATATCTTTAAGTAATTATATAATATTGTCCTTATAGTCATAGGAACTCCTGGTGCGTACAATGGCAGTCCAGGCACAAGTGAAAAGAAGGACACTGCTGCGGTTAAGTCAACAGCCAGTGGATCAACAACCGAATTATACTCAAAAGAGGAAATCAGCACCTCCACAACCTGTACCAGTAAATAATAAAAAGAGGAAATTATTAATATCACAAGTTAAAAAGTCAGAACCTCAACCATCAAAAGTTGAACGATTAACTGAATTAATAGTTCGATTTAATTTATCAGTCAATGAATTATTTCAATTAAAACAATATAAATCATTAGCATATTGGAATCCTAAAGAATTTTCAATTACCACTCAACCTCATTTACCAGAAATATTTGAAAATTTCTTAAAGAATGATAAATATAAACTTATATGGGATGAAATAATAGAAAATAATGAAAATCTTGATAATTTACCCTTACGATTACAAAAGAAGGTATTAGCTGACAGAGAAGTTTTATTATTAAAGAAATTTCCATTTAAGAATACTGTACTAGAAAATAGTAAAGGATTAGAGAAAGAACGAATACTTATGGCTATAGCTAAGCCTGAATCAATTAAACATGAGAAACATCATACAAGTACCACTACAAGTACTACTACAAATACAAGTACCACCACAACTACAACTACAACTAAGGGTAAACACGTAAAGTCTGAACCAGTAATACAACAAGATGAATCTGAACTAGAAGATCATTCGAAATTTAAACTTAAAGCCATTAAATATTCTTTAGCTCCAAGACTTATAACACATCCATCTCATGTAACATCATGGCGACCATCAACTGAAGGAATGGTAGAAATTAATCAAGAAACTAAAATAGATATGGAAGCAAATCCAAAACCATTTAGATTAATAATTGAAAATGGTGAAATAAATTCTGAACAAGATATTTCATTACAATTACATAAATTTTTAAATAAAAATTATATGAATCCAATTATTGATGAAACTATTACACCTGATTTTAATTATACAATTAATGAATATAATAATATAATGAAACAACAAGAAAAGCTTTTTAAAGAAATTTATAAAAAGGTAAATTTTGATAAAACTCTTGAACTTAATGGAGATAAATTAGAAAGAAGAAAAGTTGTATTACCTCAAGTATCAATTAGACAAATATCAGATCCATTTAGAAATAATGGAATTGTAACATCTAAAATTCAAGCATCTGCAAATAATTTAACTCATCATGATCATTTATTAAATCAAGGTATGTCATTTTCAAAAGTTCATCAACAAATGAGAAAACAACATCAATTAAGAACAAGAAAAGTTGCACTGATGATTGAACAACATTTTAAAAAGAAAGCAGGAGAAAAGGAAAGATTAATAAGAGAACGTGAACAAAATTTAAGAAGAATAAGTAGATTGGCTATACAAGCAGTTAAAAAAAGATGGACTCAAGCTTATAAAGTATATGCATTTTTACAAAAGGAAAAGGAAGAAGAACTTAAAAAGATTAAAGGAAGAGAACATTTAAGTCAAATGTTAGAACATTCAACTCAATTACTTGAAGCTCAATTAAATAAATCATCTCGAGAACCAACAGAAGAAATTGAGAGTGATGATTTTCTTTCAAGTTCTGAAGATGAAGATGAAGATGAAAATAAACAAGAGAATAATATAAAACAATCAAATGGTGATGATGCTGATTTAAACTTATCGGTAGAAGAACTTCGAAAGAAATATTCTACTTTGGATGAATCAGTCGAACCATCTAGTAGTAGATCAGGTGAAACATCTGAGGCTGAACAAGAAGAAGAAGAAGAAGAAGAGGAGGAGGATGATGGTATAGATACATCTCGTGGTCTTGCATCCTTATACGGTAATGTTGATATTGAAGCCACTAAATCAGAAGATGAAGGGTATACCGAAGAGCAGAAGGCACTTATTAATCAAATGGAAGAAGAACCAGATACAATTCTTGATACTGCATCTGTATCGAGTCTTGGATCTAGTGATGAATCCGAAATAGAAGATTCAGATGATGAAGAATCTGAATCTGAATCTGAATCTGAATCTAAAATTGAATCCACTACTAAAGTTAATGGACTGTCAGGATTAGCAGCTCTATATGGTGAAAGAAAGTATACTTCATCAGAAGAAGAAGAAAATACTTATAGTGAAGCTAGTAATTCAGAAGCAGATGATCTGATGACATCTTCTGATGATGAAGGTGAAGTTAATGGATCAATTAAACCCGATAAAAATGATGAATTAGAAGATGAAATTGTTAATGATACTACTGTAAAAAATGTTCCTATACCTTCATTATTAAGAGGAACTTTAAGACCTTATCAAAAGCAAGGATTAAATTGGTTAGCTAGTTTATATAATAATGATACTAATGGGATTTTAGCTGATGAAATGGGATTAGGTAAAACCATTCAAACTATTTCATTACTTGCTTATTTAGCTTGTGAACATCATATTTGGGGTCCACATTTAATTATTGTTCCTACATCAGTTATGCTTAATTGGGAAATGGAATTTAAAAAATTTGCTCCTGGATTTAAAGTTATGACATATTATGGATCACCTCAACAAAGAGCAAATAAAAGAAAAGGTTGGAATAATCCTGATGCATTTCATATTTGTATAACTTCATATCAATTAGTTGTACAAGATCAACAATCATTTAAACGTAGAAAATGGAGATATATGATTTTAGATGAAGCTCATAATATTAAAAATTTTCGATCAACAAGATGGAGAGCTTTATTAAATTTTAATACTGAAAATAGATTATTATTAACTGGTACTCCATTACAAAATAATCTTATGGAATTATGGTCTTTATTATATTTTCTTATGCCATCTTCAAAAGTTAATCAAGCAATGCCTGATGGATTTGCAAATCTTGAAGATTTTCAACAATGGTTTGGTAAACCAGTTGATAAAATTTTAGAACAAACTTCACTTCGTAATGGTAATTCAGATATAATTGATGAAAATGAAAGTACAACTAAAGGTTTAGATGAAGAAACTAAAAATACAGTAGCAAGATTACATCAAGTTTTAAGACCTTATTTATTACGTCGATTAAAAAAAGATGTTGAAAAGCAAATGCCAGGAAAATATGAACATATAGTTTATTGTCGATTATCTAAACGTCAAAGATTTTTATATGATGATTTTATGTCCCGAGCTAAAACTAAAGAAACTTTAGCATCAGGAAATTTCTTATCAATTATTAATTGTTTAATGCAATTAAGAAAAGTTTGTAATCATCCTGATTTATTTGAAGTTAGACCCATTGTAACTTCTTTTAGTATGCCAAAATCAGTTTGTAATAAATTTATTTCAACTGAAAATTTAATTAGAAAAGAATTGGCAAATATTAAACAAGATAATAAAATTAATTTTAATGTATTAAATTTAGATATTACAAGTTGTGATAATATGAATTATTTTATAGCTCAAAGCAGTTATAATTTAAGATCTCAACTGGCATTAGGTCAACAAATTTCAAAAATTAATTCATTAATTAAATCAGAAAGAGATTATCTGAATCCTGATCCAACAGATTATTTGGAATTTTATCAATATTTAAAATCAGGTAATCAAACATTTTTTGCTAATAAACTTGAACATATTCAATATTTAAATGATCTTAGATGTAGTAGAAAACCAATTTATGGAAAAACTTTACTTAAAATGTTAAAAAGTTGTACAATAAATTATCAAAATTATTCAAAAACTTCTGATATTTATAATGAATTATTTTATTCAATTGGTCGTCGAGTTGAAAGTTTAAATGATATAATTGAAAAATATTCAGTTATAACTCCTGCTGTTGTAACTTTAGATATGAAAGATAATTTAATTCCTATATCAATTCAAAGAAAAATTATTGAACAAGTTGCTACTGAAAAAATTGAAAATCCTTTTCATAAATCTCAAGTTAAATTATCTATTGCATTTCCTGATAAATCATTATTACAATATGATTGTGGGAAATTACAAAAACTTGCTATACTTTTACAACAATTAACTTCTCAAGGTCATCGAGCTTTAATTTTTACTCAAATGACTAAAGTTTTAGATATTTTAGAACAATTTTTAAATATTCATGGTTATAGATATATGAGATTAGATGGAGCTACAAAAATTGAAGATCGTCAACTTTTAACTGAAAGATTTAATCGAGATCCAAAGATTCCTGTATTTATTTTATCTACAAGATCAGGTGGTTTAGGTATTAATTTAACAGGAGCTGATACAGTAATTTTTTATGATTCTGATTGGAATCCTGCTATGGATAAACAATGTCAAGATCGTTGTCATCGTATTGGGCAAATTCGTGATGTTCATATTTATCGATTTGTATCAGAATATACTATTGAATCTAATATTTTAAAGAAAGCTAATCAAAAGAGACAATTAGATAATGTTGTTATTCAAGAAGGTGAATTTACTACTGATTATTTTGGGAAATTTTCAGTACGAGATTTAGTTGAAGATGCTAATATTGCTGATATAATACCTGATAGAACCGTTGATTTTACAGGAGATGTTAATATGGGGAATGCATTTGCTCAAGCAGAAGATGAAGATGATCGAGCTGCTGCTAATTTGGCTATGCAAGAAGTTGCCAATAATGAAGATGAAGCTGATTTTGCTGAAGATAGTAAATCTGCTACTGCTGCAGGTACTCCAATTCCTGGTTCAAGTCTTGATGCTAATGGTGAATCATTTGTAGATCTTGATTATGAAGAAGGTATTGGACATATAGATGAGTATATGTTAAGGTTTATATCGGATGGGTACTATGCAGAATAGGTCATTTATAGAATAGTTTGTAGTCTAGTAATTATAATTTAATAGATAACAGCAAAGAGAATTATTGTATTTTAGGTGCTAATTTAGGTAAGAACTGCTAATGAGACAGGGAATTATTTCAACTAACTGGATAATTCAGTACTGTAAAACAAAAAGTCACCGTACAATATGTGACAGTTACTGCAGAACAAGTGGTACTTTAAAAACAAGTGAAAGTTACTGTAGTACACTACTAGTACTGCTTGATAAGCTGGCAACTATCTAATTTTGAAATTTCGCAATCATTAATGGTGTGTCGTGCACGCGCCCAATTCTTGTCCGAGATAAAAACGGGTCGAGATTAATTTAATGAACGATTAGGCACAAATTACGAAATCATAAGAATTATAACCCATTGAGAAATGTCGTCAGGAATTCAATCATTGTTAAGAACCGAAAAGGAAGCTGCTGAAATTGTCAATGAGGCTAGAAAGTATAGAACCAATCGTTTAAAATCTGCCAAGGCTGATGCCCAAGCTGAAATCGATGAGTATAAGAAACATAAGGAAACTGAATTACAAAATTATGAAAAGGAACATGCTGGATTAAATGAATCTATAGATAAAGAAGCTGATGCTCAAGTTGAAAAGGAATTGGCTGATATTAAAGCTAAATATGCCGATAAGAAGGAAAATGTAGTTAAATTATTGGTTGATGCTACTATTAAGCCAACACCTGAATTACATATTAATGCTGCTTAATTATAAATATTAATCCGTTGAATAATCAATAATTAATACATTCAATTCTAATTCTCATTAGTAAATATTGTTTATGTTACAGTACAGTTACATTTACAATATTTCTATATTCATTCATAATATATGTACAACTTTTTTTTAAAAATATTAATCTAAATTATACTAAGATTTAGCTAATTTTTCAAATGCTTTAATAATTTCCCATACTCTATTATCATAGCCAGCTATATTTAAACTTCTAACAAATCTCCATGCCTTTTTATCATCTTTAATTGGATAATCAATAGCAGGAGGTATGGCAGTTGCAATACCTAACCATCTTAATAATGGTTTATCCATAACAATAGATTTAGCAACACATAATCCTGTAAGACCTTCTTCACCACCAAATTTACCATAACCAGATTTTTTAATACCACCAAATGGTAATTGTGCAACATAAAATGTAGCAAAATCATTAATTGCAACATTCCCACTTTCTAATTGATTAGCAATATTATTTAATTGAGTAAAATTTGATCCAAATACAGAATTTCCTAAACCATATTCAGTAGAATTTGAAAGATTAATTGCTGATTCAATATCTGTTGCTTTAATCATTGTTAAAATAGGTCCAAAAACTTCTTCTTGAAAAATTCTCATATGAGGTTCAACATTAATTAATAATGTTGGCTCAAAATAATGTCCTTGAGGATAATTTGGATGTTGATAAGGTTTACCTCCATGAATTAATTTTGCTCCTTTCAGAACTGCATCTTCAATTAATTCTTCAAAATTTTGAAATCTATTATCAGAAATCATTGCTCCCATATCAATTTCATCTAATTGATCTATATCAGATCCAATTCTAAAATCAGAAAGTCTTTCAGTAAATATATCAACTAATTTTTCATATGCTTTTGGTAAACATATAACTCTTTCAATTCCTATACAATTTTGTCCAGCACTTTGAAATGTTCCTCTTAATATAACTGATGATAATGCTTCAAAATTTTTAACATCATCTAATACAATAACTGAATCTTTACCACCTAATTCTACAACACATGGAGTTAATTCTTTAGCCGCACTTTCAACTACTTTATGAGCAACAGGTTTTGATCCAATAAATGTAATATGAGAAAGACCAGGATGTGAAGTAAAATAATCAGCATCTTCTGGGAAACAACAACATAATTGAACTAAATCTTCATCAATATCTAAAGATTTTAATACTAATCTTATTAAATCAACAAACCATTTAGATGACCAAATAACTTGTTCTGAACATTTAACAATAATTGCATTACCAGTAAAAATTGAAGCAATTATTGGACCTAATAAATTATGAAATGGATAATTCCAAGATACTAATGCTGCAACAACTCCTAAAGGTTCATATCTTACTTCACCATTTTTCATTAAACCAATTAATAAATTTGAAGGACCAGGACGTTGAGATGGTCTTAAAGATCTTTCACCATGAGATATAATCCAATTAAGTTTTTCAAGTGTTACCATAATTTCTCCCATCAGAGCATCTAATTTTGTTTTACCACTATCTCTACATGCTATACGAGCTATATCTTCTTGATTTTCAATAATATATCTACTTAAAGTTTTTAATACTTTTCTTCTTAATATAAATGATGAATTTTTCCATTGTAATTGTGCCCTTTTACCATTAATTATTTGTTGATTCATTTCTTCTTTAGAAGTTACAGAAAATACTCCTAATAATTGTCCAGTAGCAGGACAATAACTTTGAATCTTTGTTGGTTCATTAGGAATTCGAATACTTAAATTTGGTGGATGTAATCTTTTACCCTTCCAATGAGGTTTAGCTTCTTGAGGAATTGGTACAACTAATTTAATTGGTTCTTCAAGTCTATTATAATTATTAGGATATTTTGTAATATATTTTGCATGAATATAATATACAGTTGGAACAATTACACATATAAAAAATGTAGTAGATATTTGATACTGCCATTGCCAATCTCGGAAACTAAAATCAATAGCTATCATATTGTTACTTTAACTATTGGTTCATTAGTTTTATTATTAATTTTAGTTTTCCTATTAGTTTTATTAGTAGTAGTAGTTTTAATTTTAGTTATGATGTCTATACGACTCCACTGAAAATTTCAGGGTGCGCTCATAAAAATTTGTGGTTATACGTACACGATTATACATAATGCTCATACGACTATATACTTAAAAGTATCAACAATCATAATTATATATATATATATATATATATATTTATACTAATAATAATTAATCTTGAATTTCTGGTGGTGCTCGTTCTTCCAACTGTTGTTGAAATTGTTGTAATAATCGATCAAATTCATTTTCTGTACTACTATGATTTTGAACTATAGCTCCTAATAAATTTTGATCAACATAATCTATTAATGAATCAACAATTGGTCGTTGTATATCCATTATACCTCGATGTTCATCATAATTTATTTTTGTATTTCTTTGTGGAGGTAAAATATCATATTCTAAAATATCATCTCTCGACCACACGACTTCTGGTAATTTAGCCATTAATTTATTCTCTCCTGAAAGGATAACAAATCTAATTAAATTAAATGGTATATCCTTGGTATCATCTTGAGAATTTTTAAATCCTAATAAAGAATAAATTGATTGTGCGACTCCCTTAGATTTCAGTTTCTTAATTGGATCATTAATAAATAATTTAACAAGTTGTTCTTGTAAAAATAATTTCTTATGAGGATCATTCCATAATAAGGGAAATCTTACTAAATAAGTTTCTGCAGTAATTTTATCTTCAACTGTAATTGAAATATCTGATTCTTGAATTGGCAATGGATCTGATAATCCAATTAATTCTACTAATTTATAAGCAGTATAGGGAAATCTATGATATGCCAATTTTAATTGTTCAATTGCCTTAGATTCATCATTTAAATATAAATAAGCTAATACTGTAGAATAAGCAATTCCTGGAGTTAACCATTGAATATATGTACAACATAATGGAGAAGAACTTAAAGAAATTAAATATTTATACTCTTCACTTAAAATAGCATAATGATCTATAAAATATCTTACTCCTAAAGGATCTTCTGCTGGTGATAATGCTAATAAGAATTTACAATATGATAATGCCGTAAAATATGCTGATCTTTCTCCTAAAGCAGAAATATATCTGAATAAACAAATATAAAATTGACGATTTAAGAAACCTTCAAATGGTAATCTTATTAATTCAGAATTACCACCTGAAAGTAATTCATGAAATCTTTTTTGAAATGATCTATCAAAAACAAATAACGCCTTTTCAATAAGTGCATTACTGGTTGATTTATGTTCCCCTTGACGTAACAATACCATTGCTACTTGAAGTAATGTTTCAGCATGATAAGGATATTGTTGTAATAATTGCATTAAAGATTCATGATCAGGAGTTAATACAACAGAAGCATAAAACTTAGTATTGGCAACTCTTTCATTAACTGTATTAATTTTTGAAAACCTAAAGTATCTTACTCCAAGTTCAAATTCTCGTTTAATTTTAAATTGTAACTCTTCATCTTCAGCAGAATCTTCTTTATATTGTAAATATTCATTTAAATCCAATTCATTGATTTCTTCCATACTCATGGGCTTTTGAGCAGTTGGTAAATAATCATCTCTAATCTTCGAAATTAATAATTTACGACTAGTTCCTGGAACATTACGACGATCATTACCACCCCATCCTCTAGTAAGTTTAGCAATCTTTCTAAATTGTTGTAATACTTCAGGAGATATTGCTAATGCAGTTGTACTATTGGCGTCTTCAATTGTTTCATTAGATAAATTCCCAAACAAAGTCTTAAACTCTTCATCGGCATCTAAATTCTTAATATTTTTAATCGATAATAATGGTAATGATGCCTTTAACTTAGATGAAGTAAAATATTTGAAATTTGAATCATAAAAGCCTATTGGTGAAGCATCTGATTCTAAGTCTAATTCTGCTTCAAAATCAAACATATCTTCTTGATCTTCATCAATATGTATCTTCTTATCTTTGACAGATAATTCAGCCAATATTTTATCAATATCATCATGATCTTCCTCTTCTTGTTTGTCTTTTTCCTTATTCTGGGCTTTCTTCTTATTCTTCTTCTTTTTCGACTTGGATTTCTTCTTAGTTGTACTGGGTTGGGGTGAAGGTGATGGCTCTATAAATTCATCCGAGAAGTCTTCTTCTTTATCTTTTTCACCTTCTATTACTACTGGTTGGGGTTTCTTTTCTTCTTCTTCTATTTCTTCTTGTTCTGGCTCTTCCTCCAGATCATCATCATCATCATCATCATTTAATAGAGCAAACGCATTAAATTTAGGCTTAGCCACAATTGGTTCGTCTATCTCTTCCACTTCCTCTGGAACGGGCGAGTTGGACGCCGACGCTTCGAGTCTCTGTTTCTCTAATCTCTTTAAGGCTCTTGAACTCATTACTTTCTACACACTAGTGTAAGAGTCATAGTTCATGGATTGGAAAATTTCGATAACCGTAAAATGCGACCCAATGTAGAAAAATTTCCCTTGAATGGATGCAAAATTTCTACCGCTGAGTTGACTACAATTATTACAAAAGTCTATTTCCATATATACAAATATGATAATGAAAGAGGAAGAGTCCGCGTCTGCTAAGGAACATACCGATTCAAGTTTACAGGAACAAAATGATGGTGAACTTCATACTCTTAGTCGTCACGAAAAGGAGACATTCGATAGCTTCTTATATGATATATTTGAAAGAGAACAAGAATCAGTACAAATTTCTAGTAACTACAACCAGTTTGAAATGGATTTTTCCATATTGTTAGGAAATAGAACTGCTGAATTACTTTTGTTGGAATCACCTAAAATTCTATATGGTAGTGATTCAAGTAGGAATGGATTTTCACCTATTGATATTTCATTAAATGGTCATCCTCAATTAAATACTGCATTAACCAGTTCAACAATATCCACACCATTCTTAGATCTACAAAGCAGTGGATTACTGAGTAATATCATATTGGAAAATGTTTCACCTTATCCTCAAATTTCATTTACTCCAATTTCGAAAGAAATAAGTAATTCAAACTTCAAAGCTAGAAAAGTGCTAGATGAGTTAGTAGATAGCGAAGAATTCTATTTACATTGTTTAAAGATTCTAATAATCTATTATTTTGATCCATATTTGTCTAATAATAAGTATGAAGCCCCCGTTCCTTTGAAATTAATGAATGCCTTCATTGAAGAGTTAATTCATATTCACAGTCGTATCTTGAATCAAATAAGGAATCATGGATCTGATTTCAATAATCATGATCCCAATTTATCCCAACCAATTCTCTTACAAATTGCTCTGGAAATCACTAATACACAGTATGCTATATACATATATCATGAATATTGTAACATATATGAAGATGTATTGCAATTGATTGAGAATTCATTACCTATAGAGAAGTTCAATATTACTAGAAAGAAAACCAATCCAACATGGAATATAGAGTGGTTAAAGGGGTGGGAAACTTATCTTGAAGCTAGTCAAAGTAAAGCAAAACATTTAGACTTGTCTTTTGCTTCATTAATTCAAAGACCAACTAGTAGAGTTGGAAAATATAAGTTACTCTTGGAATCTCTAAATAAATGCCAAAAGACTAATCTGAAAATTGATTCATTAAATGAATATATTAAAAAAGTTGACGACAACTTGAATTGGATAAATGATAAATGTCAAGAATTTAAAGATAATGATAATTCTATTTATCTTAATAAGTTAATTGATTTTCAATCCATTTCTTACGATGGTCAATTGAGTCTGGAGTTTTTTGGTAAAGCATTTTTAGTAGGGTATGTTCTTGGTAATTGGGTTGAGTTAGAAGATATCAAGAAAGAATCGTTTACAGCAATTTTATACAAGAGTCATTTGGTTTTGGCTTCTTTAGGGAGATATTCATTGATTAGGAATGCTGAAAAGTCACGTATACAGTTCATTATTCCCTTGAGTAAATGTCAATTTATAAAAGATTTAAAAGACAGTGATGGTGGACTCTATTATAAGAATTTATATTCATCTAAAATTATATTCGAAGAGAGGTATTGCCATTATGAAATTTTACTTACATTCAGTAACCTTCACGAGTTTGATGTTTGGAGTAATTATTTAGATTCTCACATAAATTATATTAATGGGCCTTATGCTATGGACTTTTCAACAACATACAATTTGAGCTTATGTAAATTCCCTAATTCAATTATTCCTTATAATGTTTCTATAGATCATACTTCATCAAAACTCACAAAACCATGTTATTTTAAACAAACCATGATTATTATTATAAGCGAGGAAGATGAAAAGTCACACGAGCTCAATAGACATTCAATTGAAATGACATTTAGACAAGTGTGGAGTAAGAAAGAAATACCATTTATTTCCCCGAATATTTTAGATAACGATAACTATGGTAATATCACTCCCCATACTCTAAGAAAAAGTCGGAGTTGGTCTTCTACAAAATTGAAGTATTCTCTTACTAAAAATTTGAAAAATTCAAATAGTATTTATGAACTATGGAGGTATTCTAAACAAAAATAGCAAGCACATGCATATATATTACTTATATAGAGTACTTTTATGATAATGTAAGCTCAAAGTAAAGGCGATCGTTAATAGTTTCATAAAGTATGGGCCTCAATTGCCTGAATTACCATTTCCTATGGAATCATTGTGGCCACCATATCCTCTGTGTATAGTAGTTTGACGTTTATCAGTTCCTTCTAGCAAGATCTTCTTAATTACTACATCCCTATCAGAAGTTCCAAATTGATTAGATAATTCTGATTTAGAAGCTTCATCAAACACACCTTCAGCTCCACCCAGCCTATTAGCAAATATTTTATAAATTGATACTATATCAATTATTGGGATTGTCGTATCGTTCTTTCTATATTTAGCTAATAAATCAGCATCTTCAACAAAAACAACAAAATCGGCTTCTTCACCTTTTAAGAAAATCTTATGGGGTTGATTGGGCATATTGAACGAATTTTAATTATAAAACTTAATTATGTAAAGAGACAATTGAAATTTACTGGAAGTCAAAAAGTGGAGAAAAGAGTGGTAGTTTATATACCTTCGTAAAAATATCAAAAAAGTGGCATGGACGAATAATGGATAAATAATGTACACATCCTGTCACAGGTCATCTGCCAAGTTTGCTATAATATAGTTAGATTTACTTTGTAACTAGTTTTTATATTTTGTTGACTAATTGTTTTAGCGCCACTCTTAAGTTGCTATATATGTATTATGACATTTAATTACTATATTTTACCCGATAATGACATATAATTTGAATTGTGTAATTACTTGTCATAGCACTTTTCAATTGAACTATAAATTTCGCCTATTAAACGAGTAAACTTGGACTCTTCTAGACTAATTTCATAAATTGACCACCAATAGTCGTAAGACTGCAACCCTTAGGGGGTGGAAGAAAGATGACCTTAAATGTGGATTAAGGGGTAGAGTATCGTAAGGTCATATGATTGAGCATCACATGATCATTCACATGATCGATCACATGCAAAGTCACACCTCGATGTGCTCATTTAAACTCCCTGACTACCATTGATTGGCAACCACTTAATAAAATTATTGTATTACAAATGAGATTATAGTAAGATTTCGTATTCACTTATTGAATAACTTAACAAATGATGTTAGAGTCGTATAAGGTACTTGTTAATTTTAATTGTCTCTCTATAAACCCTATATTTAGTTACTACTCTAGTTCATAGCCTCGAATCTGTTCCCCACCGATAATCCCGTTCTTTCCTTAATAAGTGTCTCGCAGCCCCCACTAGGGCCCGTGCCGCTAGTTACTACGTATGTACTTAATATAATTAGCCGGAGTAACGGGTCCATGAATAATTTATGATATTACCATAGAATTGGGGTTAAAATTAGAGTAAGCTAGTATCAGCTTTGCCAGTATGTCAGTAGATAAATTGAAGTCTGGTATTGCCTCATTTGGGAGTACAATTGTTGATAAAAGTAGTCATTTAACTGAAAATATTCTTGATCATGGTTCGGGTATAAAGGATACTTTAACTTTTAAACATAAAGATTATGATAAAGATGATGAATTAATTAAACATTATAAATATGATATAGAGAAGTCTATTGGAGGACTTAAATACATTGATAATCAAACAAAACGGTTATATAAGACACATTTTAATCGATTATTTAAATTAAATATTGGCATAATTCAAAAGTTTATTTCAATAATTGGTAAAGATTCTTTACATTTTAAAGGTATAGAAGATTATTATAATGATTTTGATAAATTTCAAGCAACTCAAGTTATACCTATGATACATCCTAAAGAAAAGGAATTTATTATACAAAGTATTAATCATGAACTTTATAATTATTTATCATCAATTGAAAGACTTAAGGGTAAAATTCAAAGATCATGGGAACTTCATTCAGAATCAATTCATTTACGTATAAGTGAAATGAATTCTTATCTTACTGAAACATTAAAATTAATTAAAAAGAGAAATAAAAAGAAGAATCAATATGGAAATCTTGATAAGAAAATAGCTAAATTATCGAAAAAGTCAAGTCCTCTTGATGATAAAGAAACTGAAAAATTAAAAAAGTATGAAAAGGATTTGAAAAATGTTCATTCTGAATTTAATAAACTTAATGATAAATTAAAATCTATTTTACCTCATGTTATATCATTTTTAGATGAATTTATTGAAACTATAACTTGTATAACTTTAACTCAACAAGTTTCTACTTATAAACAAATTAAAGATTCACTTAAATATTTTTCATTATTTCATGGTTATTTGAATTCTGATAATGAAAATAATGATAATGAAGATCGAATTCAAACTTATCAAACCATTGAAGATCAATGGGAACAAGCTATAACTCCAACTAGATTACAAATTGAATCATTTATTACTGTTATTTTTAATAAAAAACCTGAATTATTAGATACAGAAATTGAAGATAAAGATAAAACTAATGTATCAACTAAGATTTGGAATAAAATGACAAGTAAAGTTACTGAAAGGAAACATGAACATAAACTGAAAGATCATATTAATGGAACTTTTAATGATTATCTTGAAGTAGATCCATTAGATGCATATATTAAATATGAAGATAATCATATGAATAGACCAGAAACTTATTTCCCTTCTAGAATTATTCCAGCCAGTGAAGTTAGTGTTCCAAAACCTAAAGTTAATGCAAATTTACCACCTTTACCTCCAAGAAGTAATACTGCTGGTACTTCTAAATTATTACCTATTATACCACCACCTTCAACTCCAAATAGTAGAAGTGGATCAATTTCTACATTACCACCATATTCTGCCAATGGATTTAATTCATCATTTTCTCTGGATTCTTATAATGATGAAGATATAGGAGATATTGATGATATGTCATCAATTAAATCTGATATTTCTGTTGAATCAGCTTCAAGTGATTTTATATTACAATATCTGAATCCTGATTTAGTTAGTAAGAATTTAAAGAAAGTATACAATTCCCAAAAAAATGATATAAAATTAGTACCAATTACTACTAAATTTATTAATAATCCAATTACTAATACTGATAATGGAGTATTTAATAAGACAAGTTCAGCAAGTTATAAATTAATTCAAATCAATGAATTTTTTAATAAATTAACTGGATCAACTCAAAAGGATCATCGAATTATAACTGCATTATATGATTATGATGGAGTTGAACCTGGAGATCTTTCATTTAAAAAGGGTGATCAAATTGAAGTTTTATTTGATTTTCAACAAATTGATACTCTATATAATGAGGGGGATGTTAATTGGTTAATTGGATCTACAAGTGGTAAATCGAATTCAAGAATTGGATTTATTCCTAGTAATTATTTTTCTTAATATATAGAAGTTAGTGTATATAAACTATTACATAATAAATTAAATGATTCCTGTGATACACTAATAATAGTAGTAGTAAAGTTAACATAGAAATAGCTCTCAGTGTGAGACTGTATATAAATTATAGTTCTTTCTACTGTTGACTTAGACTCTTACTCATATTAAACAGTAGAGATTAGTGTATATACCAAAGGGTACTACTACGCACTTAACTAGTACGCACTTCTCACTTTGCATTTTTGCACTACACGCTTAACTACACACTTAACTACTACGCACTTTGCACTTTGCACTACGCCTACGCGTCTCTACTTTTGTTTTGCTTAAAAACTAAAAACTATGGAGAAGACTCGAATCAATTAACTAATCTATATATAATATATACCCTATAATTAATAGTATGGCTCGTACAACTAATCGACTGAAACGGTCAAGTCTTGACTTTAAACAATCCATAATTTCTAGTGCCAAAGATCCCATTTCTACTAAGGAATTATTAATTAGGTTGCAAAATCTTAGTGATGAATTATCATCAATTGATCAAGATAAAGTTGAAATATCAAGTTTTCAAACTATTCTGGAAGATCTTACAAATAAAAAATTATTACATCATACTAATATAGGAGTTCAAGCATTTACTTGTTGTGCATTAAGTGATATTTTAAGAATTAATGCTCCCAATGCTCCCTTTACTGCTTCACAATTAACTGATGTATTTAAATCATTTATTAAACAATTTAAAAAATTATCTGATCAAGAAAATCCTTATTTTCAACAACAATGTTATATATTAAAGAGATTAGCCGAAGTTAGATCAATAATATTAATTACTGATTTACCGGATTCAGAAAATTTAATTGAATTAATTTTTGAAACTTTTTATACATTATCAAATAAAGATTTCCCAACAAAATTAGAACCTTTAGTAGCTGATATTTTATCAGAAATTATTGCAGAATCTGAAATTATTCCTACTAATGTTTTAACTATGATTTTAAATAAATTCTTAACTGATTCAGATTCAAATTCAGATTTACATTCACATTCAAATTCAAATTCAAATTCAAATGGAATTAAATCAATTACAACTAATTGTGGATTAAATTTTTCAATCCAAATTTCAGAAAACAATGTCGATAGATTATCTCGACAAATAGCTCAATATTTTTCAGAAATTTTATATGATAATACTAATCAACACCAAACAATAAATGATATAAGTAATTTAGTTAATAATTCTGTTGAAAAATTATCTAAAATTCATAAACTTTGTGTACAAATTTGGAAACATGTACCATTACTTTTAAATTCAGTTATGGGATTAATTGATGAAGAATTAAATACTGATAATGAAAAAATAAGATCACTTGCCACTGAAACTGTTGGACAAATGTTAGGTTCATCAACTATAATTAATTTTTATATTACTTATAAAGATACTTGGACAAATTGGTTAAAAAGAACTACTGATATATCACCAATAGTAAGAAAAAATTGGGTTAATCAATTACCTATAATTCTTAATTCAAATGGGAATTTTACTACTGAAGTGAATTTAGCATTAATTGGTTGTCTTAGAAAATGTTTATTAGATACTGATGAAACTGTTCGTGAATCAGCTTGTTCATGTATTGATAAAATAACTTTTGAAAATTTAACTAATAGAGTTTGTAATAAAAATATATTACAAACATTATTTCATTTAACAAGAGAAAAACATCATAGAATAAGAAATCTTGCAATAAGAATTCTTTCTTCATTATATGATAATTATATTAATTATACGAATTCTGGTAAATTCATTAATTTTGGTAATCATCAAGAAGATGAAAGTAATGAATTAAATTTATTAATTTCTCAAGGTATACCTAATCAAATTTTATCTCTTGTTTATATTAATGATGTAAATATAACTGCATCAGTTGATTTAATATTATTTGAAAAATTAATTCCAATATCAGAAACAAATACAATTAAATTAGTTGATAGAATGATTCTGCTTTATAATAATTTAGATGATAAAGGTAAACAATCATTTATTGCAATTAATAGAAGACAACAACAAATATCTAAAGTTATTGAAACTTTTATTGAAACCAGTTATAAATATAATCAAATTCCTAATTCTTTAGAAAATAAAGAAAATAAAGAAAATGTTGAACAAGATAAAGTTGATGATAAAAAATCCCTTATTGCAAAATTAGATAAAATTATTAAATGGATTTGTGTTTCATTTCCAGAAGGAATGAATACTTATTCATGTCTTGAAAGATTTTATAAATTAAATAAAGGTAGATTCTTTCATTTATTAAAAGTTTGTATATCACCAAATTCAGATATAACAACTGTTAGAAATTCTATAAAGGAATTATTAACTAAATTAAATGATTCTAAAAATATTAGATTAGATGGAGATAAAATTATTTCTACTAATGATATGATATCTAATTTAAAATTACTTTTAATGAGAAGTTCAATGTTATTATATAATAAATCTAATACGGTTGAATTAATTAATTATTCAAAAGATATTCATCATCCACTTTGTAATTCAGCCAATAAATTACTTGAAGAAATTTCTTCAACTGTACCAGAAGTATTTAAAAATCATTTTAATTCATTAATTCAACTTATAACTAATTCAAATATTGAAGGTAATAATAAAGCTCATACTTTAAGAACAATATATCATTTTATTAAAAAATATCCTGATATATTTCCTCATAATAAATCTTTTACAGATTCATTAAATAATCTTGTATTTAATGGATCTCCATTAGAATCTAAATATTGTATGAAAATTCTTTCATTTAGTAATGATAAAGATAGTTTCTTTAATGATATATTTTTAAAAATATATCCTCTTGATTTAAATCATAAAAATTTTGCAACCAATTTATCAACTATTGCAGAATTATTTCTATTAGATCCTTTATTAGTTCAAGATAAAGCAGGAGAAATTACTACTTTATTAATTCAAGAATTATTCTTAAAGAATAGATCAATTAATAATGATGCGATTATTCAAGCTGGTGATTGGATATCTAATGAAAAATTAGATGAATTAAATAAAGATCATTCAACTTTAATTGAAAAATTACTTGCATTAAGATTATTTATAAATAGATTAAGAGGTTTAGAAAAAGATTTTAATTCTAATTATAATTCTAATTCTAATTCTAATTCTAATTCTAATTCTAATTCTAATTCTGATTCAGATAAACAAGATCTTATAATTAATGCTCAACCAGTTCTTAAATTATTAATGTCTTTTATAGGAAATGGAGGAGAAATTATTAATAAGAAATCTTCAAGTTATCCAACTCCAGAACTTTATAAACTGAAATTAAGATTAACTGCTGGTTTATACCTTTTAAAAATTGCTCAATTCCCCATATTTAGTGAAATGATTTTATCTAATACTATAAGAAGATTAACATTTTTATTAACTGATTCTAATTTTGAAGTTAGATCTAAATTCTTAAGTAGTTTACAAAAGAAACTTGCTAATGAATTAATATCAGAAAAATTCTTAGCTATAATATTCTTTTCTGCTTTAGAACCATCAATTGAACTTAAGAATAGTGCAACTATGTGGATCTTATCATTATTTAAAAGACAAGAATCAAAACAATCTATAAAATTTGAAAAATGTCTTGTAAGAATTATTCATATATTAGCTCATCATGAACAATATCTTAGTTTATTACAAAATGAATATGAACATGAAAATGAAAATGAAGATCAAAATGAAGATGAAATTCAAATTCAAAAGCAAAAGCAAAAGCAAACAAGTGAAGAACGGGAAATCTCAGCTTATTCTTATGCATTAAAATTCTTAACATTTTATGTCTCTTTAATTGCTAAACCTGAGAATATTTCATTATTATATTATTTTGCTAGTCGTGCTAAACAACATAGAGATGCAACTATTGATTATGATCAATATACTGGAGATGATATACCGAAAGAGGCATTAAATCTTTATCGAATTGCTGAATTATCTCAATTTATTATTAAAGAATATGCTGATCATAAGAATTGGCCAACTCAAACTTGGCCTGGTAAACTTAAACTTCCAACAGATTTATATTCTCCAATGTCAAGTGTTAGTGAAGTTCAAAAAGTTATAACTCGAGTATTTATACCTGAACAAATTCAAATTGCTTTACGAGGTCCAATAAAGAAACGGTTATTTGGATTATCAGGAAAGAGAAAGCATGAAGGAGGATCTAAATCTATTGATTCATCTAGATCCAAACCTAAGAAGAAAATAGCTAGATTCATTAAGAAATCAATTAGAAAAGAACCAATTGAACCTTCAAGAAAGAGTTCACGTGAAAAGAAAGATGTCAACTATGCTGATGGTAGTGAATCTGAATTTGAAGAGTAGATTTATTTGTAAGTTATATATACATGTTATTATATTATATTAGTTAATGCAATTATAAGAAAATATGTATGAAAATCTCTAGGGTTCCATTTCTTTAAGAGCCTCTATTCTATTATTAACTAACCAATCCTCTCCAAAGATTAATAATCTTGCAGCAGCAGGATATTTCCGTTCAGATACACTTAATGGCCAATCTTTTACTAATAATTCCATAATCTTAATACCTTGTCTTCCAAATTTTGGTAAAAATTGTCTTGCTGAAGCTTCCCACCAATTACCAGCAATTGAATATTGTGTATTGGTAATTAATTCTTTCTTTAAATTTAAACTTCGAGCTAAATATATCCAAGAAGCTTCAAATGAATATAATGGAAATGAAGTATAACCTTCTAATCTCGTCATTGTTGCCCATACTGTACATATACCTGATACTCTTTCATCATATTTAACTTCATCTTCCCATTTACCATCTTTTCTTTTCCAACCCATTCTTATTCTACCTTGTTCTGAATCAATCAGACATGCATAACCAATAATATAAGGACATTTCTTTATAAATCTTGCATTTAAATAAAATTCAAATTCAGGAAATTCTTGTAATAAACTTCTAGCAAGATGAGCTAATGGTAAAGCTGCTGTTGGTTTTACAATAACTTCAGTTTCAGCTTGATCAACAATTGCTTTTGCAATAAAATTTAAAATCCATTTATGAGCTAAAGGTATCAGTTCTGTCATCTTAATAAATCCAATAACTTCTTGCTTTATCCTTTCAAGTTGAGTACGAGAATTTGATAATTGACCAAATTTTGGATTAATTTTCCTCTTAACTTGATTAACATTCTTCTTTAAATCTTTATTTTCATCAAGTTTATTAACAATTTCTTTCTTTATAAAAGCAATATCTTCCTTATACTTCAAAAATTCTTTCTCAATTTTAATTATACTACTTAATGATTCTGCTTGTTTTGCCTTTTGTCGTTCTTGTCTTTCGCGCTCTTCTTTAGCTTCTTTAGCTGCTTTTATCCTTTGAGCTTCTTCTTCAGCTCGTTTAGCAGCCGCTTTTTTCTCTTCTTCTTCTAATGCTTTCTTCTTCGCATCTTCTTCTTCCTTTCTTTTTCTTTCTTCTTCAACTCGTTTTCTTTCTTCTTCTAATTTCTTTTGTCTTAATTCTTCAAGTTTCCGTTGTTTTTCTTCTTGTCTTTTCCTTTCTAATTCTTGCGCTCGCCTTATTCTTTCATTCTCTTCATTAATTATTTGTTGAACTTCATTATGTTGTAAATTTAATTTATTATTAAATTCATTTGCTACTTCATTAATTATATCTCGTATAATTAAACTATGATTTTCTACTGCTTGATTAAAATCATTGGCTTTACCTTTAATTTCATCTAATTTTTGATTTTTACTTTGTTCAGAATATTTATTAATTGAATTTATTATATCTCGAAATTTATTATCAACTCTTGGTTTAATTTTTATACTATCAGCAATATCTAATAAAGTTTGAGGTTGGGTCTTTACATATTTAACTATAGCATTATTATTATTAGTAGTAGTATTATTATTATTATTATTGAATTGATTATGATTAGTGGAATTATCAATTACTACTTCATAGTCTACCGGTAACCCAAACCTCATACTTAATTAGTTAGTGAACTATTGTTAGTAGATCTTAAGTATATGAGTATATGTTAGTTTAGTATTTTTCCCTATACGCTATAGTAGGAAGAGACTTAAATTTACCCACATGCGCGTAAATGATATTCTGATCCATACAAAATTTTTTGATTTTTCAATTTTTCACTGTCTTACGAGAGAGACAGAGAAACAGAGTTCCACCACCTAATCACTACTTAATACAATAAGAGTAAAGATGAGTACGAGTATAAGTCATAACTTTATTCGTTCATTTTCGAGTACTTCATCGGTAGCCAGAACTGGATATTCGACAGTTCATCCTGTTCATCATTTAGTTAAGGTGAAGAAGAATGCATTAAAACCATCATTTCAAGAATTTTTAATTCCTCGAGATGATATACGAGCAGTTGGTTATAAACCCAAAGAAATTGATCAAGATAGATTAATGGATTATTATCATAATACTTTACAATCTGATTTAATGTTAAATATGTATAAACATGATAGTAAAAAAATATTAGGTAGTAAATTAAGAAGTTGGGGAAATGATTCACCTTTTAAATTATATCGTGAATTAAAAAAGCCAAAAGGTTCATTAAATCAAACAAGAGATATTAATCCTATTACATTTAAAAATATTCCACAATTAGAACTGATTTCAATTCAAATTTATAATAAAGATGCATTAGAAAATCCATGGTTAAATATATCAAGTAGATTATTACTTTCTCAAATAACTAATGTTAAAGCAAAACAAATATCAGCTAAAGCTAATATTTTACCATGGAAATTAAGAAGAGGTAAAGCTTGTGGAGCTAAAGTTGAATTAACTGGATTAGATATGTCTCAATTTATTACTACTTTAGTTGAAATAGTTTTACCAAGAATTAGAACTTTTCAAGGTATTAGACTTACTTCAGGTGATAAAAATGGAAATATTACATTAGGTTTAGATCCTGAAGATGTAAAACATTTCCCAGAAGTTGAGGCTTTTCAAGAATTATTTCCTAATTTGGATGGGCTTCATATAACTTTAAAGACAAATGCTAGAACTGATGAAAGGGCTAGAACTCTTTTAAGTTCTCTTGGTTTCCCATTCTATAAACCTAGAAGAAACTCTTAGGTTGATTGTATATATATAAATAAAAATATTTCATCGTACATAGTATAATAGACACTTTAGTGAGATTAAATTCGCAGTAACCGAAAAAACAATAATACTGATAATAATAATAATAATAATAATAATAATAATAATAATGTGTAGTGTAGTGTACTAAACTAAGCTAAGACCAACAAGTACTAACAATACCATGTCTCAGAATCCATTAGAACATTCTGTAGTTCATGAATATTCTGTATTATACTCGGATAGAATCTTACAAAAGGATAAGAAATGGAATGATGGGAAACTACGATTTTATGAACTTAATGGTAAATTAGAAGTATCAAATTCCAATGATAATATTATAGCTAGTGATTTCTTTGCATCTAAATCCAATTCACAAATTCAACATAATTATTTACGAGTAGATAATCAATTTAAATTACCTAATCGAAGTTTACTTATTGAAATTCTTGAAATTGGTCCTGTTTATGAACGTGATATATCTAAATCTTTCCCTAAGAAATCTCCTAAACCATTAAAAATTAATGAAAATATTCCTATGGCTTTATTAAAAATTGATCCTAATAGTTTGAATTTACTGACTACTAGAAGACGTCGTATAGGTTTAACTAGATCAACTAAAAGTCAACTGATACCTCCTAGTTTACCTGTATCCATACCTGTTCCCGTACCCATAACTTCCAAAAAATCATATACTCCAATCAAACAGAATAATGTGTTAAAGTCAATTAATAAACAGAAATCAACTTCTAACGATAGAATCAAGAATTTATTTAAGAGATATGAACAAATCAATGCCTTAACTCTTCCAAGAATACCTCCTTCAAGCAATAAACGACTACAGTTTTTGCAACAAGATCTTGTCACTCCAAATTCAGATCCAATACCTAATATGGAAGTAAGAATAAAAGTTAAGGAAGAATCTATTCCAATAATCTCAACTACTACTGTTGAAGAAGCAGATCTCATCTATGATTTATCAGATCTTGAAGAAGATGATAAGTTTCATGAAATGATTATTAAATTGAGAAGACAGAGAGAAGAAGAAGAACTAAAAAAATTGGAATCAGAAGCTTCAACTGAAGAATACCCCCCTTTAACGAATTAATGAAAGTAAATAAATATTTAGAGAAATTTAAGAATTTATTATAATAGAGAATAACAATAAAATATAAACCATTTCCTAGTAAGTAGCATCAAATAAAAATTACCACCAACTCAACAACAACAGCAACAACAACAACAAAATATTATCATGAAATTATTAAAATAAAAACCATACAAAAACCAAAATACTAACAAACCACCAGCATACTAACAATATTAATAATAATTCTGTGTTAGGTTCCTTCAAATTCTCAGTAATTGAAGTTCTAAAAATTCTTCTCTTTGCTTTTGCCTATGAACCATAATAGGCACAGCATTCCCTGAGAATATCTTAATAGCAGGGAAAGAAGATAATAACCCATTAACAGCCGCTAAAGCTGGACGGTTTGATAAACGGGCAAGTAAAGCTTGAGCAGGTAATTCAGTATACTCATCAGTGACTTTGACATTACCATATGTCTTAGTAGTGGAGCTGGAGTAAGTCATGAAAGCTTATAAATAGATAGTTAGATAACAAATAGGAAGATAACTATTGTATAGAAAGTTGTAGAAATTAAAAAGAAGTATTATACTAAAATAATTTAAACCATTAGGAATTATTGAAAGGTATTTATAGTCAAACCTTTTTTAGCGCCCAAACCATGAGATATTCGCGCTACCACTCATAATAAATTGATTTTTACTTACTGGGGATTTGTTAGTATTGAATCCAATTTAGTTAACAACCGACTGAACAATGATTTGGGAATAAATTTTGAAATTAACACAAGTTTATAAAGAAATTGAGCATCATGTTCTTCATATGTGTTATGATATTCATCTTTTAACAGTTTGAACTTTGTTGGAATTAGTTTTGAATAGGTATTTAATAATTTCAAAGTACGATCTAACGCCTTACGAAACCAAATTCGAGAATCATAATCAAACGAATAGGCTTCTGAAGCAGATATATACTTTGACCAATCTCCATTCTTTTGATTCTCATAAAATTCTGGTTTAAATCTTCTACTTTCTATACCAGGCGTTGAAAGTATAGGTATATGAATAACAGTATCAAGCAGCATATTGATTTCCATCCAATAATCAAGAAAACTATCGGCAACTAAAGGAATAGATTTCAATGGAACTTGGAATAATGATTTCACTTCTTTCTCTTCATCTTTACTTCTGGAATTACTAAATCCTATAACTGTATCATCTTCATAATATAATGCTCCTACCAAAGTATTTGGTAAGAAAATTGGAATCCTTCGTAATGACTTTCTTCTTGCCAATGCTACTCTATTTAATTTTGAACTTAAGGCTGTATTTGAAAATTGTAGAGCTTGTGCCCATGGGATTGATTCATTTAAATTAAGATCATACATCAATACATTATCATTACAATAGATTAGATGATAACTGTTTACAAAATTCTTTACATTAACTCGATTCTCAACTTTATACCCAGTAAATGATGGTTGACCTGGATGTCTATTACAAATACGTGATTGATTTGGAGCCCCAATAACATATTCCACTATGAATATACCAATACATAAAACATTTGCCCATCCCATCATTGTTGTTTATTGCTAGTTTAATTTTGACTGCAAAAAAAGATAAATTAATTCTGCTACAAGATTTGTAAAACTTATACACGATCAATATACTTAATACATATAACTTATCTATATTATAAAGTTAAACTATTTTCAAAGGCAGTAGCAAATAACAATCCCATGACCATATTTAAAACATCTCTATTGTCACTACCAGAGTCTTTGATTAATTCATTATTGTCATATACGGTGATCCATCCAAATTTGTTTTCAGTTGGTTCATCATCAACCAGTATAGAATGGTGTAATCCATCATCTAAGATGCTTGGATTAAATAATTTACCCATGGTATGACCATTAGCTTTCGAAGTATCTTGTATAGCTGACTGAATCTTTTTATCATGATTAAGAATATCATGAAATGATAACACTTTGGGTTTGCCAATATACAATGAACTAAGTTTAAGTTTCCTTTTTTGGTTAGGACGAAATACACCAATAGTAGAGGCATTCTTTGGAGATTCTTCTCTTGGATATGAGACGGTATGGGATGGGACTAATTGATTTCCAAGAATTTTTTCAATATAAGTCTTATGAAAGTATAAATTGGATTTATTATCATGACCATCTAAAACTGATCCCACATTCCAACGATTATTAGCTAAATCTTTAAATTCATAGTTTTTAAACCACGAAGGAACATTTGTACTCAACTGTTTAGGTAATGCTAAACCATTAAACACAACCAGTTTCATACTATGTCCATTTGAATTTCCATTACTTTGAACTGGGCTATATAATGAACCTAATAAAGAATTAGATTTAGGCGTTGATAAGGATTTGGGTTTGGAAATTGGAGATGAGTTCAAACTACCAATATGGGGACTAACTGGTGCAGAACTTGGGGTTAAAAGTGGTACAGCAATTGTATAATGATCACCTTCTTGTTCATCCCTTTTTGTAATAACCATATTCAAAGATGTTGATGATTGTTGCAAAGATTTAAATACCAAGGTAAATCCTTTTTTTGCAGCTGATTGTTTCAGTCTACTTTCTGGTTGGATAACTTCAACGAAAAAGCTAGGGGCTGATCTACAGTGAATATGTTTCAAAGTGGGATTAGTGCTAACATAGAAATCCTTTCCATGTTTTGTAATGTGATATTTCCAAAAATTGGCCGGAATATTGGAAATCGTGTTTACTCTAATTGGTTCTGAAGTAGATTTTAAAGAACTTGAATCGGAAGTAGATTCATGTTGAGAATTATTGAAAGTGTTGTTGATGACGGATCTAATTTCTGTAAAGGAACTTCTTCTTAAACTTGATAATGAACTTCTTCTACTAATTGTATTAGACTTGACTCTAACAAGGGTTTGGAAATCAGAAAGTTTAGTCGATGAAGTAGATACTACACCCAGAGAAAATCGTTTCAATTTATCCTTCAAGGAGTTTGCCCTGCTGATTATACTGGAACGTGATAATACAGTTTCACTAGGACTATTACTTTCATCTTCAGAAGAAACATCATGAATATTAGGAGTTGTAGTGATATGACGAAGATTTTCAGACTCTTTTAATGTTGCTGAATTTATGTTAGTTATTACTTTTCCATCACTATTTGACCCTGCGTATGAATGCACATTTACAAGTTGGTTATTTGGAGTTTTTACTGATTTGGAATTGTTTAAGAACTCTTTTGTATTTGATAAAACTGGAGTTTCATCTTCATGAGTATCAATTGGGAATGACAATGTTGAAGGAGTTGTTGGAGATTCATTATTTTCAGAAAATGTTTGTTTAAGTTTAGATGCTGCAAAATTATTATTATTGTTCAATTGATCTGGTTTTGATATGGCTGTTGTGGGTTCCTCTATAGCCGTATCATCTGCACTAACAAAACTATCTCTTGATGATTGTGAACTAGATTGTGGACTCTCTTCTGTACTTTCAGGAGAAGGAGGATATTGAAATCCATTCCTTTTATTTGCAGTTGCGAGTTTAATGAGATGTTGTTGTTGATCTCTAGATGGAAATACTAATGAGATTCTTGGAGTAGATGGTTCATTAACTTTTGATGGCATTATTATTTCATTTGGTATACTAATGTGAGTATCTTTAAGTAATTCTGGTTGATCAGAAATTGAATTATCATCAGTCAACTTCAATGTAGGACTTGGTAATCTTTCTGAACTTGGAACATTTTTATATGATGAAGGTGAGTACCTTGTGAACTTTGGACTATGGAGAGATATTCTTGGCAGGTGTGTGAATTTAACATCTGGAGTTATTGGAGAGTAATTTGACGAAAAAGAGGATGATGATAATTTATGTTCATGTCGAACTTCAGGTTGGAATGGGGCTCCTAAAGATTTATTATCTTTAAGTGTAGAGTTTGAAGTAGAAATTCGTCTCAGCATTCTGATTTATAACTCATTGGTACTCGTTCCTGAAGAAAGCGGTTGGGAAATTTGAATCTGGGAATTGTTTTAAAAATTATTGTGTACTGTTGTCTTATCTACCCTAACCTTATTGTTTTTGTACTGTGATTTTATTAAATTACCGTGGGGAAGAACCCTGAGAAATGCAGCAACTAATTGCGACAATAATGAGAACTCTCGCTAGGAGTTGATGCAATTTGCAACAATGATCAATATATAATAAACTGCAAACAGGTATTAGGTATTTAAAGTATATTATTAAAGTATATTAGTAAAGTATACATGCATCTATATATATACGTAATTGAATATGGAACGTTACCAGTCTAATTAGTCAAACGTTCGCCATTCTTGGTTTTTATCAATTTGAACTTATGAGGCTGGGCAATTTACTAACCACTTACTTAAAGCAGTAATCTGGAACTTAGGGAGATGCATATCTCCGCCCCAATTAGGCATTGTTACTGTGCTTCCATTAAAGAGCCGCACTGCAATGTCAGAATTGTGTCAGTCTCGTATTTTATTATAAAAAAATATTTTAAAATTAGAGTCAATATTTCGCTACGAGGTTATAAGTGATGAACAACTAAAGACGGATGATGGGTTTATAAGAAAAATAGGTAGATGCAGATGGTGATTCGGGGGTGGTTCTTGACATATAAATATAATTTACTGGCTTGTAATTGGTGTTTAAGGTAGTGAAATATTAAACTATTGTGTAACTCTTAGAATAGCAACTTTCTTTATGTTTCTCCTTACATCAGCTTTGTTGTAATTCGTATATCATCTATTTGCACATGTTTCAATATAATATACTATCGTACGATTACACTATTCAAATACAGATACCATACACCATATTACAATACTACCAAAAAACACGTTTGAAGTAATATTTACTAATAATCCGTGTCACAACCTGAAATTTAATGCCATCGGGGGATTCCTATATGCACACCCAAACAAAGGGGAAAATTCCAGTGACGAACCTTAAACAATACCAAATAGTGGAGAGATGCTGCCCTGAACTGTCCGATGTAAATCGTGTAGAGATGTAATATTTTTTTGTAAACAGTAAAGTAAAAGTGTAGTTTATTCAATTGCATATTTGAAAAATTCTAGGAATTAAACTTAATATATCAATTGAGGTGTGTAGTTAGTAATGTCAGAAGATCAAGCTCAAGCTGAATTGGATTTAGAGCAATCAGCTCCATTATTAGCTAATCAACAAGATTCTGAATCGGGAATATTCGATACGTTTTGTCCAAATTCAAGACAAACGTTAAGAATTTGTCTTCATTTGAAAACTTTAATTGATAAAGTTATACCAATAGTATTTGATTCTTCTGAAATCTCTTCATCTAATTCTCCTATACTTAATTCTCGAGTACTTGAATTAGTTTATGAAGCTGCTGGTGGTAAAGGAAATGGTAAACCTCATACTTCATCATATAAATATCGAGCAGCTTTAGTATTTTGTTTACTTCGAGTTTGTGGTTGGTATTGGCAACAAGCTGAATTTGAATTAAGTGATAATAAATTATATTTATTAAGAGCAGAAACTGCTCAAATTCTTGCTGCTAAAATTATTGATTCAACTAGTAATGATGAATATCTTTTTCTTGGATTATTATGTCATAGATATGTAATTAATCTTAATAATATTGATGCAACTCCAGTTAGTGCATTAGAATTAGCAGTTGATATGCATAGTACTATAGTTATTGGATCAGCTGGTTATCAAAGATGTATTAAATGGCTTTGGAGAGGTTGGATTGTTCAATCTTCAACTGATCCTCATGCTTATGTTATGTATAAAGGAGTATCACTGAATTCACTTCGAGTACATTTTGATCCTGAAAGAGTTAAAACTCCATTATATCAAAATATTTTGGAAATTCTTATTAGTATAATTTATTTAATTTTATTTACAATTATTCTTAATGGTCATCAAATGACAACTGATGCATTAGATGTATTTGAAATTATATTTTTCTTAATTACTTTAGGTTCAGTTCTTGATGAAATTGTTAAATTTTATCATGTTGGTTATTATTATTTAGGATTTTGGAATGCATTTAATGATGTTATGTATACAATAATTTTTGCAGCCATTGGATTTAGATTAGCAAGTGTTAATACTTCAAAGGGTTCATTAAAAGAAAAATATGATGAAATTGGTTATAGAATTCTTTCATGTGCTGCACCATTTATGTGGTCAAGATTACTTTTATTCTTAGATGCTCAACAATTTGTTGGAGCTATGATTGTTGTTATTAAAACTATGATGAAAGAATCTATTTACTTTTTCGTATTATTATTAGTGGTTATTGTTGGATTTTTACAAGGATTTCTTGGACTTGATGCATCTGATGGTAAAAATGAAGCAACCTTTAGAATTTTAATTTCATTAGTTAAAGCAATTATTGGAGAATCAAGTTTTGAAGATGTTTCTGAATTAGTTCCTCCATATGCTTCAATACTTTATTATATTTATTCATTTGTTTTAACAGTTATTTTGATGAATATTTTAATTGCCTTATATTCAACTGCTTATGCAGCTATCGTTGAAAATGCCACTGATGAATATTTTGCATTAGTTGCTCAAAAGACTCTTAGATATATTCGAGCTCCTGATGTTAATCTTTATGTGGCACCATTTAATTTAATTGAATTTCTTATTACTCCAATTGGTTGGTTTATACCTAAATCTACTTTTAAATCATTTAATTATTATATTTTACTTATAATTTATTCACCATTATTAGTATATATTACTCTGGATGAGTTAGCTAATGCTAATAGAATTCAATATAATAGATATAAAGGAGTTGCTGATGATGCTAATGAATATGATACAGAATGGGATTTAACTGATGGATTTGAAGGTGATTATTTTGAAGCAGGAGGATTTGAAAGTATTCAAGAACGGAATCAAGAAGTGAATCAAGAACTTCGAATTCAACGTGAAGGTGAAGAACAAGATCCTGAATTTAGAATTGATTTTAAGAAATTTGAAGCGGATATTGATAGTGCAGTTAAGCTGGTTAATGAAGCTAATAAATTAGGGATTAAATGGGAATTTTATGAGTTATATGATAAGATTGATAAATTGACAACATTAGTAGAGGCCGTTGTTAAAGAGAATGAAGAGTTGAAAAAGAAGGTTGCAGAGAAGTAGACAAATTGATCTATATATAGTAATATACTATTCTCATAATATACTGACAGTTATAAAGTAATCTCCAATTGTAATAGTTAGTAGTGATTATACTCTACAGTCATTACTCTACACTAATTATTACTCTACACTAATTATTACTCTACACTAACATAGTGACTACTCTCTACTGACTCTCACTACTGCTCTCACTACTGCTCTCACTACTGCTCTCACTACTGACTATTATCTACTACTGCATTAGTTCACGACGCTAACTACGTTCTTCTCACTCGCTAAGTCTCACTCACTATCTCTCACTAACTCTCACTAACTACCGCTTCTGTCACTAATTCTCGGTGTGTAATAACCAAACCCATACAAAAAAAAATTTTATAGGCAGGCCCAGTGCCGGCTCCAACCACTAAATACTAACTTTATATACCATTAGTTACTGAGGCAACTTAATGGATCGAATATTGACTGTATTACTGACACATAATAGTGAGTTTTGAATAATACCGACTAATCCCTAGTGTCTCTATAGTTTATTTAGTCCCTAATAGTCATGTCTCATCAGACTTCTCGATATACCCTAGGGGACGATATACATTTTGATTATGATAGTAATAGTGGAACTGTAACCCCAAATGACAACAATACCAACAATGTATCCACTGGTTCCAAGAAGAAAAAGAAGAAGAAGAGTAAAACAAAGTCAAAGATTACATCAACATCAAATGTTCAAGCTACTATTAATGACCCAGAAGCTGATTATCCAACTTCTCGAGTTATAAAGCAAGGACCTAATGGAGATGTAATAGTTGAAAGTTTGGATGATGAAGAATATTCAAATTCAAATGAACACCAAAATCAAAATCATCAAAATCATCAACCAGCAAATATATGGGATAGTTCAACTATTGAAGAACAAGAGAATTTAAAATTATTTTGGGAATCACTTGATGAAGATCAAAAACGGAAACTTGTTCGAATTGATAAAGAAGCTATACTAGCTACTTTTAAGAATGAAGCCAAACAATTAGCCAATCAACAAGGAGGAATAAATTCCACCAATATATCAGGAACTAATGGTTTAATTGGTAATAATAATAATAATAGTAATAATAATAATTCAACCCTTAATAATTGTCCTTGTAAATATTGTGGTAGAAGAAGTAATATTATTGATGATGAATTAGAAACCATTTATGATACTCATTTTGATGATATTATTGAATTCATTCATGAAATAAGAAATATAAATGATTTAAATGCTCTTCCTGGTTTATTATTCGGAGGCTTTCATATGCTTGAAGAAGAGCATAAACTACAGAAACGACAACAGCGTTTAAAGAAACATGATCATCATCATCACCATCATCATCATCACGATCATGACCACGACCACGACCACGACCATGACCACGACCATGACCATGACCATGATCACGACCATGATCATGACCACGATCACGACCACGATCATGAACCTATTGAACATCATTTACCTCCACAATTACCACAATCACAATTACAATCAAAATCAAAATCTCAATCTCAAGAACCAACATCACCAGCATATCCTATACCTTTACCAACAATTGAACCTATTGAAGATGAAGCCATTCAATCACCATCTCCACCACAAGTACAAGCACAAGTACAAGTACAAGCACCAAATCAATCACCATCACAACCACAAATACCTTCACAAATTAGAAATGAAATTGAAAAATTTATTGAAGATGCTAAGAGTAATCCATTAGGATTAAGTAAAGAAGAACAAATTTATCATAAACTTATGGATCCTAAATTACTTGAAGCACTTGAAAGTCTTGATTTTGAAAAGATTAAAGAAGCTTCAATTCCAAGTGATGATAGTAATGATATTAATCATGTACATTTACTTGAAAAGGCAGGATCTTTAAGAGATATGATTCGAGATTTAAAGAAAACTGATCAAGCTCAATTAGAAAAGGGAATGGCCTTTTTACAAAAACGTGATCAAGCTCAATTAGAGAAAGGTATGGCATTTTTACAAATTATGGGGAAACTATTCTCAAAATCAGCCATATCTGCAATGTCAAATCCTAATGGACAAGTTGATTCAGAAACTCAAAAATTATTGGCTAATAAATTTAGTGATCAATTAACTCAAGGTTTATCTAATTTTGCTGAAGATTTATTAAAGAATGATGGTCATTCATTTATTGATATGATGGAAACCCTTTCTGAATCAAAAGCTGGTCGTGAAGATTTATTAAAGGATGATATAAGACCTAATCCTCAACCTATTAGTAGAATTAATTATCAATATAATCATAATCATAATCATAATCATAATTATAATCATAATCATAATTATTCTCATCCACCTATTAAGAATAATCATCATAAAATTAATGGTGGAGCATGGAATGATGAAGATGAAGAATTTGAAAATGGGAATACCAATAAACATGGATCAGATGAAGAAGATGAAGAAGATGAAGAAGATTATGATCATGATGAGTTTGATGTAGAAGATGATGACTATGATGATTATGATGATGATGAATATGAAGATGAAGATTATGAAGATGATGAAGATCTTGAAGATATTGATGAAGAAGAAGGTGAAGGAGATGAAAGTGCAAGTGATACAGAAAGTGAAATCTCTGAAGAAGAAAAAATGCAAGAAGTTCGTCGATTATTTCTTATTCAAGTAATTAAATTATTTCAAGAAAGATTAAAAACTGCTTATAAAGAAAAATTATCTGAAGATCGTACTCAAAAATTAATTGAAGAATTAGAAGCTGAAGAAAATGCCAAGAAAGATCGATTACTTAAGAAAGTTAAACAAAAGGAAAAGGCTAAAGAAAAGAAAAGATTACAACAATTAGCTAAAGAAGAAGAACGAAAGAAAAAGGAAGAAGAACAACGAGCTAAAGAAGAAGAATTAAAACAAAAGCAAGAAGCTCTTAGAGCTGAACAAAAGAAGAGAAAGGAAGAACAACGACTTAAACGAGAAGAAGAAAAACGTAAACGAATTGAAGAACTTAAGAGGAAAGAAGAAGAACATCGAAAGAAAGTTGAAGCTCAACAAAAACGAGAAGAAGAAGCTAAGAAATTAAAGGAAGAAAGAAAGAAGAAAATGGAAGAAGAACGTCGTAAGAAAGAAGAAGAAAAGAAACAAAAGGAATTACTTAGACAACAACGAGAAGAACAACAAAGAAAAGAACAAGAAGAAGAAGAAATAAATAGAATAGTAAGAGAACAAGAAGAAATTTTATCCCTTGAAAGAGCAACTCAACAAGAACAACAACGACTTGCAACTTTTATTGAAGAAGAAAGATTAAGACAACAAGCTTCTCCAATTAAATCTAATCCACTTTTAGAGCAATTATATCAATCTAAGGGTCCCTTACCAATTCTTAATAGTCATGGACATTCTCCATCTCCTGTTAATGGAGGATTATTATCTGATCCTACAGTTTCAGTTTCTGTAACTTCTAATTCTAATCCTGGTCCAACTCATAATGGATTCTTATATTCTAATACCAATACTAATCCTGCTAATACTGCTACAACAACCAATACTAGTAATAATACTAATACAGCCTTTGGAGTTAATACTACGACTACACCTATAGTATCAACAAGTAATTTGAATGGTACCATTAATTCTCCATGGGGTAGTAAATCTCGAATTAATTCTATTTCTTCTAATAATCTTGGTCAGACTAGTAGTCAATTCCCTCTTGGAACTTCAACTACTTTTAGTCCATTTAATGATTTTACTACTTCAAATAATGGAGTTGGAGTTGGAGTTGGAGTTGGAGTTAATGGATTAGTTAATGGAGTTGAGAATATTAATTTAAATCCGACAGTTTCAGTTCCACCTAATGTATGGAATAGTCCAACTGCTAGTCATAGTTTATTAAATAATGGAGGTGTTGTACCAAATAGTACAGGAAGTAATGGAAATTCAAGAAATAATTCGATTTGGAATAATCCTCCTAATTTAGGAGGTAGTATTTGGAATACTCCATCATCCATTACTCAAGCTGGAGTTCCACCACCAGTTTCTGTTCCATCTTCAGTATCTGTACCAGTATCTGTACCAGTTTCTGTATCTGTTCCTGTATTAACTAATGATTTTGAAGTTATTCAGAAATTAACTTTTGATAGTTTCCAATTACTTCAAACCACTAATCAATTAGAATTTGGAGTTGCATCAGTTAATAAATTATTTATGAAAGTTCAAAGTTTATTAATTGGAGGTAATACATTAAATATTAATCAATTCTTAACGGCTCTTTATCAACCTAGTCAAAATAATAAGTATCAATTTGATTTCTTAAGAGATGATTATGGTAATGTTACTCATATAAAAGTTAGTTCTTTACAATCTCCATCACTTCAACATCTTTCATCTAATGGTCCACCAGGTTTAACTAGTAATGTTGGAGTTAATTCCGGTATACAATTACCTACATTTGCAGGAAGTAATCCAAATAATGGAATGGTTTCATTTATGGATGTATGGAATAAAAATGATAATAATGGTAATGCAACTTCTGCTTCTGCTTCTGCTACTGCTGCTGCTGCTGCTGCTGCTGCTGCTGCTACTGCCACTAGTGCTGTTCATGGGTTATGGAATTAGTTATTGCTTAAGTATAGTATAGTATATTAGTATTTAGCTATTTAGTATAAGTTTACTGAGTTACTGTGTTAGTGTGTTAGTGTTACTGAGCGTTACTAAGTGTTACTGAGCGTTACTAAGTGTTACTGAGCGTTACTGAGCGTTACTGATCGATCAGTTACTGAAGTTCGCACTCTCTCTCACTGAACAATTAAAGATTAGTGAGTCGTCGCACTGTAGTCGCACTGTAGTCGCACTGTAGTCGCACTGTAGTCGCACTGAGTAGTCGCACTGAATCGTCTATGGTCAGTGGCTGTGGGGACTATTTGTTTTTTTCTGATGACTACCCAACACTCAGTGGCAGTGGTGACCCATCACCAAACTAATGGTTGCTGGGCTTAGAACTAGTACGAGTTAAGGTTCCCCGGTACTGGATTGAGTCCGTCAGTTAGTCATTTGGTTGACTATCTTCAAACCATAGTTATATATACATACATACATACATTTGTATATGAGTAACTATCATCATTAATAATTCATTATTAGTTCATTGTGTTGATTGATCATCTCAATGGTCATCAATCCATTTTAAACTTGATTGCATTTATACCTATACAATTAGTGATAATTTTGATTATTAACTATGACTCAAGAAGCCATACTTAGTCGAAAACTTATTATAGTGGGAGATGGAGCAATTGGTAAAACTTCATTATTATATGTATTCACATTAGGTGAATTCCCCACTGAATATCATCCAACTGTATTTGAGAATTATGTAACTGATTGTCGAATCGATGGTAAAACAGTTCAAGTAGCATTATGGGATACTGCAGGTCAAGAAGAATATGAACGTTTACGTCCATTAAGTTATCGTAATAGTCATGTAGTATTAATTGGTTTTGCATTAAATACTCCCGATTCTTTAGAAACTGCAAGAACAAAATGGATTGAAGAAGTTAAAAAATATTGTCCTCTGACTCCATATGTTTTAATTGGTTTAAAGAAAGATTTAAGATTAAGTACTAAAGATCATATTAATTATGTTCAATTCGAACGTGGTAAACAAGTTGCTCAAGAAATTGGTGCTAAAGTTTATTTAGAGAGTAGTGCATTAACAGGTGAAGGAGTTGATGATATTTTTGAATATGCCATAAGGACAAGTTTATTGGTTCAGCCAAAGACTAAAAATTCATGTTGTGTTATATTGTAAGTAGTTAATCAACGATATGATAGAGGAATTGATTTAGTGTAGTACTCTTAATGTAGTCATACTCCGTTATCGGCTTTAAACTCTCTGCTATAGTATACCCATCTGCTGTAGTATATTGGTGGTATGGAACTATATAGTACCAAAATAGCAATATCTACGTTAATATTGCACTATTGCACTATTGCACTATTATTCAGAATTAGACTATTTTAGTGACACTTCGAATTACACTATTTTAGTCAACACTATTCAAATTACACTATTTAGTATAATACTAGTATAGCACTAGGCTATGCTATGGTAGACTTACTCCACTTCTAGTAGTCTATACAATTACTACTATTCGTCTACTATACTATTAGTATACTCTAACATTACCACCTTATAACCTAACCTTATAACATTACTACAACTTTATTACTATACTACAACTATATTACCATTACTACTTATTTTTGCACTCCTCATGTTCCTCCTCCTGAAAAAATATGTGGAGCAGCAATAAGCGGAAAAAAGAAATCCCCTAACGGATCGATATCTGATACCCGAACTCTTCACTATAACAGTCACCTTTATCACGTTTACTAATTCCTGTTCATCCATATAACCTCAAAATTTACTGAAGTACTTTCTTTATCATTACTTAACTACTCTTAAATAGTTCTGGTCCTATTCCAGTATTTCCAAACATCCATTCTGTACGATTATTCTTTGTACACTCATCATCCTTCATCTGCCCCCAATTTTTTTTCACAATCTCCCTCACTAATTTTGCCATATCCCTGGATCACAAATTCTGCTTATAACTTAATAATTATACTTATAATACTTTTAATTAATCCTTAACACATATAATGGCAAACACCACTACAGATCAAAATCCTCTGGATCCTTCTCAACAACTCCCAAATCGACTACCGTCTAATGGTTTTCGTCGGACCTCCATAGATTCATTTGATCTCGTTGCTGAAGATCCTTTACATCATTCTCGTCAACAAACTCCAAATAATAATTCAGTATTTGGTAAAGCAAAACAGTTTCTTGTTCAATCAATATATCTCCCATATATTTCCCCTAATGTTGGAGTCTCTTTACTCATTTTATCACAATTTTTCAATTCAATAATGGTAACTACTTGTAAATTATTAGTTACTGATAAGGATTTTAATGTTCCAATTCATCCTTTACAAATCTTATTTGTTAGAATGTTTATTACTTATATTTGTTGTCTTTTATACATGTTACTCACTAGATCTGTACCTGATGCTCCATTTGGTGCAAAATCTTTACGTCCATTATTATTTTTAAGAGGTATAGTTGGATTCTTTGGAGTATTTGGTTTATATTTTTCTTTACAATATTTATCCCTTAGTGATGCTGTAGCCATTACATTTTTAATTCCTATGGTTACAGCCTTTTTAGCTTGGACTATGCTTCGTGAAAGTTATTCAATCTTAGAAGCTGTATGTTCAATTATTTCTCTTGGTGGAGTTATTCTTATTGCTAAACCTCATTTTATTTTTGGATCTGAATCAGATTCAGAAACTTCGGTTGATGAATCTATTGAATCTTCTTCAACTGAAAAGAGATTACTTGCTACAGCTGTTGGACTTGTTGGAGTTTGTGGTGCCTCTTCAGTTTATATTATTCTTCGTAAAATTGGTAAACAAGCTCATCCTTTATTATCAGTAAGTTATTTTGCTTTAACTTGTTGTATAATTACTTTTGTGGCTATTCTTATTATACCAGGTTTAAGTTTTGTATTACCATCTAATGGTTATCAATGGTTATTATTTTGTTTAATTGGATTTTCAGGATTTTTTATGCAATTTTCATTAACAGCTGGTGTTCAAAGAGTTGCAGCTGCTAAAGCTTCTCTTATGTCTTATTCTAATATGGTATTTGCATTAATGTGGGATTTAACTATTTGGGGTCATCTTCCTGGTATATTAAGTTTATTAGGAATTATTCTTATCATTTCCAATGCATATATTATTATTAGATATAAACCAGAAGATCCAAATCATTCAAATACCACATCTCCTGATCCAGATCTTGAAAGTGGTAAGTATCAGAATCTCAGCAATTCCGAATCTATTTCCTTACAAGAATTCATTATCGATGATGATGATAATGGTGAAGAAGATTCTAAGAAACCATCACTGCATTGATACATATAGCATTCGACTTTTTTTTTTATTATCTACATTTACATTTGGTTTATATAAACTTTCTACGTTTTCATTTCGGTCTCTTAATAGAACCTGTTTATTACTATATTCCTTTATTCTATTTACATAATATATGCCAATCTATAAATCATCTACCCAGTCTAATTCATATTTAACCTGATTTAATCGAATTAATGCTCCATTAACTCTTTCGTCCACTATACCTACGTATTCTTCTCCACTACGAGTAAAATCTTCTACGTGGCCTATCAACTTCCGTGAATTGTCAAGATTACTGACTATATACTCTAATTGTAATGAATCATTGGGTTTGGACGGTAGTGCTCTTATCTGAGGGATCCACTTTAGGGATGGTGTATAATTGGTATTGCTATTATTAGTACTGGTACTGGTACTATTGGTAATGGTACTATTGGTATTATTGGTATTATTGTTATTGGTATTATTGTTACGGCTAATGGGCGTGGTATGCCGTATCTCATGTGACCCCAGGACTCTAGAATTGGTGGCTGACGTCATGATTAGTTGGTAATATTCGGTGGTGGCTATTTGTTAGTGGTTGTTTGGTGGATAATGAAGTCGGGATTAGCTTCCCCTTTAAGCTTCTCGCTTTTTCGTGCGTGGGTGCAAAATTAAATTGTATTACTACTACTTACTATTTAAGTTTTTATATACTTTTATATACTTTTATATCTATGTCATACCATAAACTAAACGATCGTGTTTCCAGGCCTTATTGATATCTACTGGTAAGTCACGTTCATCTTCCACTTTAACTACTTGCCAATTTTTATCTAATTCAGTAAACAATTTGGCAATTGGCTCAGGATACCATCTTTGTCCCGAGAAGGAGAACCATCCGAGATGACCACCAGTAGTGGTGGTAATTAATGCTGTATAAGGGTTCAATTTGACTTCATTAATGGGTAATGTTCTGAACCCCGTAATTGGATCATCCTTTGAGCTCAAAATTACAAGTGGAACTCTTACCTTTAATAATCGTTGAATGGGTGATGCATGTCTATAATATTCATCAGCACTATTAAATCCAAATAATTTAGATGTGAATAAATCATCAAAATCACGAAGATATTTTACCTGTTGATAATTTGCTGGATTCATCTTGAAATCATGGACGAAGGAATCATGTTTTAAGAATCCATTGTTTTGATAATGTTGATCTAAAAGATTAAGTAAATTTTGACACATACTTGGAGAATATACATTATGTCCTATTAAACTTTCTCGTAAATGTATAGCACTATCAGGGAAATCCCAAGGTGTACCAAGACATGCTGCCCCCTTTATCATAGGATAAACATTATCACTTTCTTGACCTAAATAATTAGCAAGAATTGCTCCACCTAAGGAAAATCCAATAAGATAAATTCTCTTATTTGGCCATCTGGGTTTGATATGTTCATTAATAAGGTATCTTAAATCGTTAGTCCATAAACCATTATATAATTGTGGTGAAGTAATAGTATGGTGAGCACAACCACGAGAATTTAATACAACAGCATCAAAATCATATGGTTGGGAAGTAATCTTAAATAATACAGCTCTAAGGTATGCTTCATATGAACCACCTGATAATCCATGAAGGGCAATTAATAATGGTTTCTTGTCATCTTTAATTAAATCAAGCTCCTTTTCAGGATTAAGATACTCAGTTCGAGGAGGAAGATCTTTAATTTGAGATTGTGGTTTATACTTTTCATGATCTGGATCAGATTCTGAGTTTGCAGGTACTACATAATCAAGAGCAATCGTTGAAGTACCTTCCCAACGATCATATTTGAGTTTGTCACCATTCACTTCATAAGTTTTATTTTCAACAGTTAATATACGACGTTTATAATGAACTTGATCGATATGTTCAAATGAATTAATGGCTGTATATGCAGTTTGGAAATGACCAGAAGACATTAAAGGATTTATATAAAAGTAACTATCTTGATAGAATTCAGGTACTGCCTTTTGAATGATTTGTGGTAATGTCGATGAAGATTCAATCTCATCTTTTGCTGAAAATTCCACAGGGTTCTTTGGGAAATAATTATCCACTTTGGACCTTATCCAGTTTATTCCTACCATTATTTAATGATATTTTTATTTGGTATAATTGATATTTTGTTAAGTAAAGATTTAATATCGATGGACCCTATTTTTTTTTCAACCTCGGCTACATTGTATTGAATATTGCGGTAGGGAGGCTACTATCGGCACAAGACTCTAAAGGAATATATTATAATTGCTCAGGTATAACATTACTACCACAATAAGTAAATAAAATATATATGATATCACCTATACAACAATATTGAGCAAGAAAGATAATATTGTTATTGCTACAGACAATATATATATAGTTGCAAATAGTTAAATTAACATTATTAAAGCATTGTAATTGTATTCATTATCGTCATCCCAATTAGGCCGAGGACCTGCACACAGGCCAAGTCTCTCGTATCAATTACCGACCTCAATCAGTAAATACAGCCAGTACCCGCATTTCCCCATTAGTGATGAAGTCATCCATTTTGAGTAGTCCACTGCTATCATGCAGTACACTTCTCTCTCTTGCCACTGGTAATCGCAAGCCTATTTTCTTAACTATGTAACCCAACCCACTACCACAAATTCGAAATTATAAAGAATTGGAATTGCTCCTCCTAATTATATTTATATTACTTCAGTAAATTGTCTGAGTTCTACCTTTATAGTTTGGATTTAATTAATTACTTTTTATAAGTTAGTTAGAATCAAGCGGTTAGCCAATCTCAGCCAGTTACTTTAAGTTTTTTCATATTACTTGTCCGTTATCCTTCCTCACCACCCCGCTTAATAGATTGTTTCACTATCATTGATATCAATTAATCTTTATACTATCATTATTTCATTATGCAATTCACGTTATCAACTTTAGCCACAATTGCAACTGCTTTACTTGCTTTACCAGTTAATGGTGCTAAGCATTCAACTAATTTAAAGAGAGTTCCTCTTGAAGATACTTTAGGTGCTAATACTTTCCAAGAATATACTAATGCTTTATCTAATAAATATGTTAACTTATTTAATGCTGCTAATGGTAATTCTGAATCTCAAGTTCATTTAGGTGGTGGTCAAGTTCCATTTATTCAAAAGACTTCTGGTTCTGTTGATGCAAATGGTCATGATGTTCCATTAACTAATTATTTAAATGCTCAATATTTTACAGAAATTCAATTAGGTACTCCACCTCAACCATTTAAAGTTATTTTAGATACTGGTTCTTCTAACTTATGGGTTCCATCTCAAGATTGTTCTTCTTTAGCTTGTTTCTTACATGCTAAATATGATCATGATTCATCATCTTCTTATAAAGCTAATGGATCTGAATTCTCTATTCAATATGGTAGTGGATCTATGGAAGGTTATGTATCTCAAGATGTTTTAACTATTGGAGATTTAGTTATTCCAGGTCAAGATTTTGCTGAAGCTACTCAAGAACCAGGTTTAGCCTTTGCCTTTGGTAAATTTGATGGGATTTTAGGTTTAGCTTATGATACTATTTCTGTTAATAAAATAGTTCCTCCAGTTTATAATGCCATTAACAAAGGTTTATTAGATTCTCCACAATTTGCCTTTTATTTGGGTGATACTGATAAGGATGAAAATGATGGAGGTGTTGCCACTTTTGGTGGTTATGATGATTCTTTATTCACTGGTAAAATTACTTGGTTACCAGTTAGAAGAAAGGCTTATTGGGAAGTATCATTTGAAGGTATTGGTTTAGGTGATGAATATGCCGAATTAGCTAATACTGGTGCTGCCATTGATACTGGTACTTCATTAATTACTTTACCATCATCTTTAGCTGAAATCATTAATGCTAAGATTGGTGCTACTAAATCTTGGTCTGGTCAATATCAAATTGAATGTGAAAAGAAGCAAACTTTACCACCTTTAACATTAAATTTCGCAGGTTATAATTTTACTTTAAGTGCCAATGATTATATTTTAGAAGTTGGTGGTTCATGTATTTCAGTTTTCACTCCAATGGATTTCCCTAAACCAATTGGAGATTTAGCCATTGTTGGTGATGCTTTCTTAAGAAGATATTATTCTATCTATGACTTGAAGAAAGATGCTGTTGGTTTAGCATCAGCTAAGTAAAATAGTATATTTGTTGCATCATAAATTTTATTGATTAATTTATTGTTTAGTTCTTTTTTGCTTTTACCTTTGCTTTTACCTTTCCGCTTATCTATTTACTATGATGTCTAAAATTTGCACGATTTTAATAATGACTTCATTAGTATAATATAATTCTTACTTACTTTGTTTAACTTGAATTAAAAGTTTAACCTACAAAAATATATTATTATATACTTAATTAGTTCATATCATACATATCTATTTTTATCGTCTATTGTATTATAAATTAACAATGTAGCACTATTTATAGATTTTAGGGGGCAGGTAACCGATTTGGGCGCGTAACCTCAAAATCAAAATAGAGGGCTGGCTAAATGCTGCAAAAAGTGCGACCCTTAAATCAGCCAGCCTTCTGTATACTCTAAATTGTGATTTGAGATCACATTATCATCAGCACAATTTCACTTACATACGTGATGTCGCCTCAAGAGAATGATTCAGTATGGAATTTGATTTGAAACATCTCTCAATTATCATTGTTGAAGTGCTTCTTTATACACTAAAACACCTCGAATTCCATTTATCTTAGATATATCAATCAGTGTCATGAGTAAAATTCAAAATCCCAACTATTTCCAACCTCGACTTCCTCCTTCTTTACCACCTCCATCCTCACTTACATTAATCAAACCTCCAAACATTCCCAAAGATCATACTCCCTCATCACATACCTTAGGAGATTACATATCAGATTCAGATTCTAGTGTAGTTGTCAGTCTTAGTACAAACAAGATCCTTATGAGTTCTAGTCCAGAAGCATTAAACCGTTTGGAAGTGGAATCCACCTCCACAAGTTCCCTCCCAATTTCCATTCCTTACTATCTCATTGATAATAATAGTCATAATTATTCCATGGATACTATTAGTTTATTAAATAAATCAGATGAAAGTCCTCAGTATCCCAACACTCAGCATCTTAATATAACTCCTAATTCAAAATCAACTACAAATAATAACAACCCGAATATAACCCAGACAAGTAATAATCAAACTCAGCTGCTGAAGTCTCAATCTCAACTGATCCAACATACTCAGCAAAAACCACATGTAAAAATTGCTAGTCCCTTCATTAATTCTTCCACCAACGTACAATCCGAACATGGTGATAGCTCATTTAATCAAGTTCCCAAGAGATTCTCCCATTTTATTATTGATCAACAGTCACCATATATAGCACAAAGATTAGATAATTTAAGTGATGGAGGTAGTATGACCATTGATAGTGAATCTGAAGTGCCAGGTATAGTCAACACCACAAGACTAAGAGATCCATCAGCTTTAAGTAAACGATTAAGTAATAGTGATTCCGTATCCAATTCAGCATCTCAAGTTACTATATTCTCAACTAGACCACTGCCTATAGAAGCACATATGCCACGAGTAAGAAATCTGAAACTACAATTCAAGAGAAAGGGATCTATCAAACAGAAATTTGATGAAAATGATCAATTATATACTGCATTATCCAATACATCTACATTAACAAGACAATCCACTATAAGATGTAAAGAAGGAGGAATATTCTATAGATTAAAACTTCGACTTCGAAAGCTAGTTAAAAGATTGAACTTCCTTAAATTCAACAATTTTAAAGCATCTTCTAAAAAATCACATCCATCTATGAAACGTCAAAAGACAAAGACATTAAAGAGAAAAGTCAGGGAAAATCCAAGAAACATTAGTATCAGAAGTATTATGAAATCAAGAAAAATAGCTTCCATTTCCAATCCATTAAATAATCCTGATCTTGGTGATGGTAGAGGAGCTCAAAGAGTAACTACTATTGATGATCAATTGAAGTACTTAGCTGGTGCTCCAATAGAAAGCGTTAATTTAATTCAACAACAAGAATATCAACAAGATGGGAAGTTAAGGCATATTTCCAAATACATTGATCAACAAATAGAGTATGCCACTAAATTACTGGTACCAAGAAGTCAAACCATTGAGTATCGAACCAATCCATTAGCAGAATCTCTGCCTGATGATGAAAGAATTCAATTACCAGAATTCAGAAACGAAACCATAAATGATGATGATAATGAAAGTTTGGCACCTCCTCCACCTCCACATCTCCTTTCCAGTAATCATAATTACTCCAAATTTCATGGTATGGATGTACCTGACCTTTGGAGATCGTACTTGGGTAATGTCATCTACAAGAGAATCTTGTTGAGACAAGAGATTAGTTTATTCCAGAAGTTCATGGCTGAAAATGAAACTCAATCACAATCACAAGCTCATGATATTACTAATAATACTAATACTAATACTAATACTACTAGAGGGTCTGTTAGTGATGTCTTCCATAGTGAATATGGTATCTACTCCAGCATCAAGAGTTCTACAGTATCAGAAATAACAACAACTCCTAGTGATATAAGTTCTATTCTATCAGAAGAAGATATGGTCCCATCTTCACCTGATGAAGAACAAGTATTCCAACAGAAAATATTGAATAGAAGATCCATATTGGGAGAGATGTTGGAATACGATTCAGATACTGATCTGAATGCTTCATCGATAGGATCCGCCTCATCAGCAGGTGGTGGTGGTGGTGGTTCATCCTATTATGGCTCATCAATAATGGATAGTGCTAGATCAGAAATACTTGTCCAACGATATGGAACTCAACAAAGAAGTAGAGGTAAGAATATTAATATGAATAAAAGAATAATTACACAACCAACTATGAGACCACAAATTCCATTAACTCGATCAAATGGATTTCAACATAATCTCAATCAGGTATAGTTAGATTTTTAAAAAATACTTTAGACAAATGAAAACATTCAATAAATTATATATACAAGTAAAAAAATAAGCATACTAAAACTACTATTCATGAAGTTGTAATTATATACAACAATAAATACAATGTGGATAACAACTTCATAATCAGTTTGATTTATAGATTAATATGAAAAGAATGGGATAAGAATGACGTGAATGTAAAAATAGATAGTTAAAGAAACTCAATGAACTAATAATAATAACTCTTTCAAGTCATTTAATTCTTTGGTTCTTCAGATGATGAAGATGAGTCATTGGATTCATTGTTCTTGTATAATTTTTCAAAGACTTTTAAGGATTCATTTTGTAATTCTTCAGTCTTAGTCTTTAATTCAGCAGCATCAACTTCTTCACCAGATTGAGCTTTAAGAACAATTTCTCTTAATGAAGCAATTTGTTCTCTAACTTTATCAGCATCAGCAGTTTCAACTTTATCCTTAAATTCATTTAAGGAATTTTCAGTATCATTACATAATTGATCAGCTCTATTAGCATTTTCAATAGCTTCTCTTCTAGCTTTATCAGATTCAGCGAATTTTTCAGCATCATTAACCATCTTTTCAATTTCAGAATCAGATAAACCAGATGATCCAGCAACAGTAATAGAAGCATCTTTATTAGAAGCCTTATCACGAGCAGAAACTTTAATAATACCATCAGTATCAATATCAAAAGTAACTTCAATTTGTGGAACACCCTTTGGAGCTGGTGGAATACCAGATAAAGTAAAGTTACCAATTAATTTATTATCTCTAGTTAATTCTCTTTCACCTTGGAAAACTCTAATTTCAACAGATGTTTGACCAGCAGATGCAGTAGAGAAAATTTGAGATTTTTTAGCTGGAATAGTTGTATTTCTAGAAATTAATCTAGCGAAAACTCCTCCCATAGTTTCAATACCTAAAGATAATGGAGTAACATCTAATAAAACAACATCAGTAACTTCACCAGCTAAAATACCACCTTGAATGGCAGCACCCATAGCAACAGCTTCATCTGGGTTAACAGCTTTAGATGGTTCTTTACCAAAGATAGATTTAACAGTTTCAATAACCTTTGGCATTCTTGACATACCACCAACTAAGATAACTTCAGAAATATCTGAAGTAGATAATCCAGCATCCTTTAAGGCTTTCTTACATGGATCAACAGTCTTTTTAATTAATGGATCAACTAAACTTTCAAATTGAGCTCTTGAAATTTTTTGATTAATATGTTTTGGACCAGAGGCATCAGCAGTAATAAATGGTAAATTAATTTCAGTTGAAACAGTTGAAGATAATTCAATCTTAGCCTTTTCAGCAGCTTCTCTAATTCTTTGAATAGCCATTCTATCCTTTTCTAAATCAATACCAGATTCTTTCTTAAAAGTTTCAACGATATTTCTAACAACAGCAATATCGAAATCTTCACCACCTAAATGAGTATCACCATTAGTTGATTTAACTTCAAAGACACCAGCACCAATATCTAAAATAGAAATATCAAAAGTACCACCACCTAAATCAAAAACAGCAACAACTTCACCATCATTCTTTTCTAAACCATAAGCTAAAGCAGCAGCAGTTGGTTCATTAACAACTCTTAAAACATTTAATCCAACAATTTTACCAGCATCTTTAGTAGCTTGTCTTTGAGCATCATTGAAATAAGCAGGACAAGTAACAACAGCATTTTTAACTGGTTTACCTAAATTAGCTTCAGCAGTTTCTTTCATTTTATTTAAAATAAAACCACCAATTTGTTGAGGAGAATATTTTTCACCTCTTGCTTCAATCCAAGCATCACCATTATCATGTTTAACAATTTTATAAGGAACTTGATTAATATCTCTTTGAACTTCTTTATCTTCATATCTTCTACCAATTAATCTTTTAGTAGCAAATAAAGTATTTTCTGGATTAACAACAGCTTGACGTTTAGCTGGAATACCAACTAATCTTTCACCTTCTTTGGTAAAGGCAACAATAGATGGAGTAGTTCTACCACCTTCAGAATTTTCAATAATTTTTGGAACTTTACCTTCCATAATTGCAACAGCTGAATTAGTTGTACCTAAATCAATACCAATAACTGGTCCACCAGGGGCTCCAGCATTTGATGAAGTTGAATTAGCACGAGTACTTAAAGTACTTAAAGTACTAACACGACGGGCAACGGATTGGACTGAGGCTGAGGTTCTGGCTGTTAACATCTTGGACTTACAGTATTCTAACTTAGCTAGTGTTTGTGTTTGTAACTTTAACTTGTATTAAATACTAAAGTTAATGAGCAAAGTTACTTGATCACTGAAAAATCGTTCGCCATTAGTGAGAATTTTTTTTTCCGGGTTGGGCGCACTTACCCGGCAATTCAGCTAGAGAAGTCAGAATTCGAGAAAGTTCCAGAGACTAGTGAGCATTGAGATGAGAAGCAAGTCAGTCATTCAATGACTAGTGACAAAGTTATGAGAGTCAATGTTTAGTGAAGTTTAATGGTAGTGTAATATATTATTACTTATAGTAATAATTATTATACGACGCAAAGTCAGGTGATCAGATGTAGCATATATTATAGTTATACATAGAAGAAGAAACAAACACTAATAAACAGAAAGTAGAAAGTAGAAAGTAGAAATAAGAATCACAACAATAACAAGTAGTAATAAACTTACGAAAGTAAGTCACTAGGTAAATTCCCATTCATAACCCATGTTAAAGATTTTTCTCCTCTAAACTCTTCAATATAACTAATTATATCTTGTGGTGGTTTACCATATTTAATGGTCCCTCGCTCTATAGCATCACATAATTTCTTTCTTCTTTGAAATCTTTTTGATTCTTTAGATCTAGAATCTCCTCTCCATTCTTGTTTACCATATTTAGCATCCATTTGACATAATGGTGGTTGACCTCGAAATCCCTTAGTAAATTCATCATAAATTTCTTTAACTGAAGTAGGATTATGTAAGAAATCTACAACAATATTTGGTCTCTTATTAGATCCAGGATCTCCATTAACTGATCCTCCAGATCCATTACCTCCAGAATTTCCTGGTCCATTACCTCCATTATTACCATTTCCTCCACTAATAGCTCCAATCTTTCGTTTATGCAGTTTCTTATTCTTACCTTGTTGTTCTTGTGCTTGACGAACAGCTGCGGCAGCCACGGCTACTTGATGCAATTGAGGATCCATATTCCCATCTAAACTAGTTTGACCTGTAATATCTCCATGACTGCCAAGTACTTGTTGATCTACTTGATTCTGAGCTTGTTCTTGAACTTCATTAACTTGATCGTGATCATGATCATGATGATGGTCATGATGATGATCATGATCTCCTAAGACATTATCTTGAACTGAACCTAAGGAGTTAAGAATCGCTTCTTGACTTTTATTTCCAACAAATTCATTAATTATGGTAGTTAATCTTTCTATTTTATTATTTTGAAATTCTACTAATTGTCTTATATAAGCTACTTCTTCTGATAAGGCATTAACTTTATCATTTTCCAACTTTTGAAGATTCTCTTCTAATCGTTCGAGTCCAAGTCTTCCATACGTTTGTTCTTCTACATTCCTAATGGGGGATTGCTGGTTACCCGATGTGGATAACATACTTGTGGCAGTTAAATGGTCTAGTTTATCGACTGGTTGACTAATTGTATCCATTCCACTTTGATTGCAAAATGTCGGATATCCCATCAAAATGTAAACATTATCATCATTGGAAAAGGAGACTTTTTTCCTGGTCAATTTTGGGGGGGCTGAGAGACACGACACATACACGGTCCGTTAGTGTGTTGATTCCTGCATGCAGTGCCCATATTCCCTCACACCACTCAAAAATACTAAGTGAGTAAATATCACGGGGATCTAAGAGGAATCAGACCCCATATCTCTTTGGTTATCGCCTGTTTTATCTATGCCATTTGTGTCATATTTGTCATTTGTGTCATATGTATCATTGTAATCCTCTTCTGGATAATTTCCTTCTTTATTGCTTTCTTCAGAATCGGTTGGAATTGTTTCCTCTTGTTCTATCTCTTGTCCAAACTCCGACGGATATGATCTTCTATCATAGGAATTATCCGTTTCATTATTAGATTCATAATTACCTTCATCATTATAATGATTTATGGATCCAGAGTCAGTGTATGCATAGTCAGCCTCATCACCACCGTTATGGTAGTTGTAGTCTTGGTATTCTTCTTCTTCTTCATAATCATAGTTCTCCTCTGAATCAAATATAACCAGATAGTCAATATCTTGTGATGATAAATCCCAACCAATCAAGGCTAATATTCCAATTCTATAGCCACTGGATCTTATATAAATAACTCGACATTTAATTTCTGATCCAAAGTTCTTCTTAGTTACTGCCCTTAATTGATCTAAATTCAGACTCTTTGGTAAAAATAATCCAACATTTCTAGTATATTGTAACATCAGTTGAACAAGTTTATCTATAGGAAATGGATGCATTTCATATAAATCAAACAGATCCTTTCCTCTATTGTATGATGTACCACCCCAAGGTGGAGAACAGAATATGAAATCAAAAGTATTATCAATATCATCCTCTTTCCTTAGATCTTCAGGTACCCAATGAATAGGAACAGAACCATCTTCATCTATCTCAGTAACTTCATTCCAATCACCAACTTTTGTCCATATTTTATCAGCCACTTCATATATCTCAGCATTATGCATAGAACATCTAGCATTAACTAAATTAATATCAATACCACCAACATTATCAAAGTAATATGCAAATTGAATTAAGTTCCCACCACCTCCACAACAAACATCTAGGATATTCTTAGCATCAGGAAGTAAATATTTCACAACTCTAGCCGTAAAAATAGCAATTGACTCTGGTGTTACCGAGTACCATAACTCCGAAGTCATATATACCCCATCATCAAATCTACTGAATAGTTGATATCTTCGACTCCAGAACTTTTTACATCGTGAAGGTAATGTCTCATAAGTATGCATTAATAATTCATCACCATTCTGTATTTCATAATAGTCTTCATCTTCTGGCTGTTCTTGATACTTATTATGGTGTCGTCTATTATTACGTTTGTTATTCCGTCTATGGTGCTTTGAACGATTCCGTCTAGTATGTACAAACTCACTAGCTTGCTTAATGTCTGACTCTGATGGTGGAGATCCGGAACTCTCTCGTTCTCTTTCTCGTTCGCTTTCTCTTTCTCGTTCTTGTTCTTGTTCTTCGTCCCCTTGTTCATTGATCATGCCTTCTTCTTCAATGCGTCGTTTCTTATATACATGGTGGTCATCCGACAATGGAGACTCATCCCATGACGATTTGGGTTCTGTGACACTTTCAGTGGTTCCCGATCCATTGCCACTACCGTCTTCACCGACTACTTGGTCGTCTTTAGTTTCTTGTTGGTCCATAGTTATTTCATAGTAGACATTGATCTGGAAAATGTCTTCGGATATTTATAGCCTCTATCGGGAAAAAAATCCGACACATTTGCGCTCAGAAAATTTTGCAACTTGTCTGTGAAATATATGAAATATTCTGTTAAAAATTATAAATTTAATATACGATGGTATATAACTAAAGAAGAACTAAAAATACAATAGTAATATTACATGGAGAAAATGTTGGTGAAATGTATTAAGCATTAAATCTTGTAGATTTTACCTTCACCTGAGAAAATCTTGTTTTCTTGTTCCATTTGCTCTAAAGCTGCTGATATCTCTTGTTCAGAAAATACATCTTCTTGAGAGACTTCATTATTAATGGCTTCTATGACACTATCAATAGGAGCTGCTGAGTCATCATTATCAAATAATGGAGATCGAATGATTTTTGACATTGTACTTACGAATGTAGCATATCTTCCTGAATTAATTCCAGTATCTGGTGCATTTGTTCCACTGATACTTGTTTCAGTTAATGGATGATTTGAAGTACCTTCTGATATACGTAAGTTATCAAGATTATTTTCAATATCTTCATCATCATCTTGTTGTTCTTCTCTTGGAATTGGTGGTGGGGTTATAGAAGGAGTTCTTTGTTGTAATTGAGCTCTAAGTCTAGTTCTAGCCGTACTTGGTCTTGGCAATATTTCTTCTTCTTCTTCTTCTGATTCCTCATCTGATGATCCTGGCTCTGATTCTGAATGAAGTCCAGTCTTTTGCTTTTTAGATTTAGATTTTCTAGTAATTTCTTTGAATAAAGCAAATCTTAATAATTCTTCAGCAACTTTAGCATCTTTAACTTCAATAGTCTTTGATAATCTAACTTTAGCATGAGCAGTAGATAAACGAATTAAAGTTTCTAGAGTTCTGGCAGTTATAGGAGCAGTATGTCTTTGGTTATTATCTATTAAATCATTTCTTAAAGCTGAATAAGTATTCACAATATAATCGGATGCTCTTTGAGTTAAAACTGGTTTAACTCTTTGTTTAGCATATTGAATATATTTCTTTAAAAATGGTATAGATAAAATAGTTGGAGATTTTTTAGATGATTTGGAAACAGCTACACCGGCATGTAATAATGAATTAAACTTTTCAAATACTGGTTGATCTAATTCTTCTTGTTGAAGTGAAGTTTCATCACCTACAGCTAATGATAAGGTGGTTTTTTCTCTTATTGGTTCACCTTCTAATAAACCGGGTGGAATGAATCTATGCATTCTTAAAACATGTTCAGAAATAATTCTATCTCTAGTGGGTTGAACATCATCAGTAACCACAAATAATAAATCAAAACGTGATAATAATGAATCTGGTAAAGCAATATTTTTATGAGGATCTTTATGAACATCATATTGACCAAAGACTGGATTGGCAGCAGCAATAACTGAACAACGAGCATTCAATGAAGTATGAATACCAGCTTTTGCAATTGTAACGGTTTGTTGTTCCATAACTTCATGAATAGCTACACGATCGATATCAGACATTTTATCAAATTCATCAATACATACTACCCCTCTATCGGCCAATACCATAGCACCAGCTTCTAATCTTCTTTCACCAGTTTCTTTATCAGTAGTTACCGCTGCTGTTAAACCAACCCCTGAAGAACCTCTACCAGTAGTTGCAATTGCTAATGAAGCAGTATTTAAAACAAATCTTAACATTTGAGATTTAGCAGTAGAAGGATCCCCCACCATTAAAATATTAATATCACCTCTTAAATGAGTACCATTATCTAAATTCTTTTCTACTCCTCCTAATAACATTAATAAAACTGCCTTTTTAATATAATCAAATCCATAAATAGAAGGTGCTAAAGATGTTGATAAAATATCAAAAATCTTTCTTTCTTTAGATATTTTATTAATATTTCTAATATCTTGATCAGTTAATTTTTCTTGAGCTGCTACACCAGTAGATCTAGCATGTAATGGATAAACTGAATTGGCTAAAATAACTGTTCTAAATGAAGAATTATTATTTGCACCTCCACCAAGGGCACGATAAACACCAACTATTTGAATACGATCACCAGGTTTAGTTAAATCGACTAAATCATCATCTAATATAACATCTACAGATCTTGGTAATTGACCAGCAGGAGCTGATTCAGGCATTTCTTGAACAGAAATCTTTTGATGATCTCTATAAGTTGAATAACCATATTCAGTAGTTAATCTATGACCTTCCATATCTTCTTGAGGATAAATTGCTGGGGTTGAAATAGGGTCAAATGAAGTTGTTTGATCCTTATATTCTCTTGTATGAAATCTCTTTGTTTCTTCAGCATAATGAACAGATCTAATAATTTTTGGACGAACTAAAGATGCTCTAGTTACAATACCTTCAATTGATACTAATTTTGAAAGATGACCTGAATTAATAGATCTAGGACTTACATGATGATCCCCAAATGAACCTTTAAATGATAAATAAAATTGTTGATTTTGATCATAATCATCGGGGAAATCAGGATCTGATGGGTCATAAATTGTAAGAACTGTATCTCTTAAAGCTCTTTCACAAGCTGGTAAATAATCAGCTGGTGAATCCAATAATCCTCTCCAGAATTCTTTATCAAAGTCTCTTACTTCATCAATACTAATACTTAATCGATATTTACCCTTAGTTAACATATCTTTAATACTAGTTCTATAAGTTGAACCTTCATCATCAATTCGATCTAAAAATTCTTGAAATCTTCTAACTCTGTCACCAAAAATGGCATCTTGTGGTTGTTCAATGAACTGTGATTCATCCATTGTTCTACGCTTTGACTATAAGTATCCAATGGCTGATGAATATTAGTAGGAGTTCTTAAATGTATTTGGGTTAAGAATTTTCTCTCCTTTAATTCAGTTTTTAACAACCGAAAATTTACAGGAAAAAATAAAAAAATGTCAAGACGCGTTTCATTAAGTTTCCCAATTGGGATTAATTACTCGGGGCGTGTATTGTTGCAAAATTGTAATTGTACTTTGTACTTATACTAAAATTTACTTATTTACCTTATTTAAAAATCTTTAAAATCTATAAAGTCCATCCTTTAGCATAAACATTAACACTGTCATCAATTTCGAAAAGATTTGAAAATTCTTCAAATTCTAATGCTGCCATAGTCTTATATCTTCTTGTTTTTTCACTATCTAATAAAGTAATATAACTCCAATCTAAGAAATCTTCTAAATTATACGAATGTTTTCTAAATGGTTCACTAAAAATTTTAGCCAATGTAGCAATATTAGGATGATAATGAGTCATTAAAGTTTCTAATTCCCAAAGTGATGAACCAATAGCATTGGTTTTCAATGGATCTTTTTCATCATTATCAAATGGATCTTGATAATCTCTAGATGCAGATGTATTATGTAACATAATCATACAAGTAGGATGTCTCTTTAATAAATTATAAGTAAATGGAATAACAATAACTGCTCCTGATGCACTTGAAGCCATAGCTAATCTAGCTAATTTCTTAATGAAAGATGCAACTAAATTGGCTGATAAATGTGTAGATGAAAGGAAAAGATCACATAATCTAAAAAATCTTGATCTATAACGAGTGTATAATAATTCTGGAGTTAAAAGAGAATATAATTTGGTATAAAAGTCAGGATATTCAAGATTATATTTCTTCATTAATTCGTATAATGAATTCAAAGTTAAGATTGGAATAATTAAATCATCTTTAATATTATAAGAATCAGTTAAGAAATCCATAATACTTTGAGGTTGTGCCATATTAGGAATTATTCTCTTATGCAATATGAGTAATATGGATTTATATTGGGATGCCAATAATGGATAAGATAATATTACTAGAATAGATTTTTGATATTGAGTTTTAAAAGTAGATTGTTTATATGCAATAGAAGGTAATTTAGATTGAATCCAGGTAGAAGATTCTTCTAAAGATTCACTAGATGATAATAATAATTGACTTCTTATTATAGTAAAATAATGAGCAAAGATTTTCCTTAATTCACTTTTCAGTTTAATAGTTTTCCATTCTTGTAAAGTTTCTGATAAATTATTAAAGAAATAGAATTGTAAATCCCAATTAATTTGAAATTTTTCAATAAATTCTAATAAAATAAAATTATCACTAGAACCATCCGACAATATTTGACCATTTTCACTTAATAATAATGCCTGTATAAGATTTTTATATGTTATATTGGAAAAGAAGAGATCATTTGGTCCTGATTTTAAATTCTGACTTTCCAATTTAATGAAATTTAATCCGATTTCAAGTAAATCCAATTGAAGGGATGTTTCATATGCAAATTTTGTTTGAATAAATTCAAATATTATGGATTTAAAATTATCAAACTTACTGATTAACCATTTAACTACTAACTTTTGATTATCATCAAACAGTTTCTTTGTTACTAATTTTTCATTCTGTAATAAATTTTGAAAACATTTAAATAAAGTCAATGATACTTGACGTCCTACACTTTCAATTTGATTATTCTTTGATTTCTTTAATTCTGATTTCACTAACTCATATTGTTCTAATAATATTACGAAATTGTTGTATTTAGATGACTGTATGATTTCACTTCCAAGATCTTTGATAGCTTCTATACTTAATAATCCTGAGCCGGACTCTACCAAAGTTTCATCTTTCTTACTAGATTTTTTACCCTTTGGCACGGATGCAGCCTTTCTCTTAGGTGCCATTTTAACTATTATTATTATTATTTAGAGAAATACCTTTCGTGTTTATTAAGGTAAATAGATGCAAATTACCCTAAGATAAAAATTTATATTCAATATTAAGATGAGTGCTTATATGCCGGAGTTACCCGCATCAATGGATTTTTTTTTTTATGCTATAAAAGTCTTGCGAAATCCTACTCAAAATTGTCGATTTTGATGAAGGGTTCTTTTAATCTTTATATGAACCTTCCATAGTTTTATACTAATATGATGAAATCTCGCGTACTTCCCACGACAATTCCCTTTGAAGTTGAGTCTTTGCTCTTGAGCGAGGATTCCTTTGAAAATATCATTTCCTTACGGGAATGGTTGGGTTTTACTGGTGAAGGTGTCTGGCGCAAAACTTCTTGTTACTTAATACAGACGCTTTAGAGAGTTTCTGACCCTTCTTTCAAAGTTTTAGAATTTTGGAAGGATCATATCAACCTTGTAGAATATTATGGGTAGTTGCGCATATGGGTTATCTAGTTTCTTGATCCTCTATTGGTTTTATTTTTTTCTAATTTTGATAATTTTGATAATTTACAAATTTCTACTTTAAATCAAACATTAATATTTCTAAACGGTTTATTTATATGTGGAGTGCCCCAAAAGATATACTAATTATACAAAAGTTATATAACAAAGACGAATATAAGTGTTAACCTGCTCTGATTGAGACGATTTGTTGTTAGTTTAATAATCATACTTGCTATTGGCAATAGGATTATCAAATATGGATGAATGAATCAATAATGATTCTAAATGGATGGATATTGTTTAATGGATCAAATAGATCATTATTCATTATAAATTAAATAAAGTAAATTAAATTAAACGATGGGAAAATGATGATTTTAATAGCTTAGATGAAAGTTTCATATGGAACTGGAGCTAAAGTTTGAGGAACATTACCTTCAGTGGAGATGATTCTAGCTTCTCTTGGTTTGGCTGGTTGTCTCTTTAAGTTAACTTGTTCACCCTTTGCTTTGGCTTCTTTCTTTAAAGCAGCGTTAGTTTTAACTCTGTTTAAGAATTCTTGTCTACATTTAGAGTGTTTGACGTGTTCAACTCTTAAGTTAACTCTCTTTTCAATATATCTGTTACCAACAATCTTGTTAACAATAACACCGACGGATGATTTGGTGACGTTATAAACGATACCAGTCTTACCGTGGTAGTATTTGTGTGGCATACCCTTTTGGATAGCACCATTGGCTTTAATATCAACGATATCACCAACCTTGTAAACCTTTAAGTAGGTGGATAAGGCAATAGTACCATGTTTCTTGAAGTCACGTTGGAAAGCGTAACGAGTACCTGATCTGTAACCACGACTAAAGACATATTAAAGTTAGTATTCTTCCTCATTATTATTCTTAGACTCTTAGAGTTATATATGCCCTCCATTCTTCAATTCTAATCCCCACATTGCAAGCAAAGATTGCTTGAAACGTGCTAATAAGTTCAAAGCACGGCAGTTCAATATAACACCTTATGGATTCATTAATTCACACATACGATTTACCCATTTTGTTATATTATATTTGATTAGTTAACAAACTATACACCTAAAGGTACAATTGGTTGAAAAATTTTGTATATTAATTTGCTTAGTTTTGAGAAATTTTCCTTTCTGATACATTTAGTCATGTGATCCATGGTCGCGTGCCTGCTTGAAATTACAGGGTTGTAGCCCTGTTTTGTTTATTTATCGCGCAATTTCATATCATTTCTAATTTTATTTTTAGACATGATCGGTCTGCAACAAAGCCGAGCTTCTATCAGACACAATAAGGGTTGCCCCAAATTTTACAAAACTAACCATTCTCCACGAATTATCATTATTTATACTTTTATAATAATCCGAGTGTAGCTTAGTATAATATGCCTATACATAAATTAAGCGTTATACTTACACATAAAATTAAGTATAGTAATACTTAATATATCTTGCGGGTGATTGTTTTGGCTCAGGAGGGAACGGGGAAGCTTTAAATGTACTTCCCAGCCTCGTTTACGCTCTTATAAGAATAGCCACATCCCTTAAATTTTTAAATCATAATTAAATTCTTCTCTTATCATCTAACTAGATATCATTCAAGATGACAGATCAGAAACCAATTCTTACATGGAAGCAAAATATAGCTTCAACTTATGTAGCTACGTCTCATCTTGTGGCCCATACTTTTATTAATATGGTACTTAACTCCTTGGCATATAATGTAGATTTATATGATAATCCAACTAATATCAAAGAGAAGTTGTTGGTATCAGCATTTTATTTACTTGCAACAAGTTTAGTTATATGGGTTAGTGGAAGTATTGCAGACTTGATTGGCCATAGACGCTTATTCAACGGCGGATGGTCTTTAACTTGTTTGTTTTCATTTATACTGGGAGTATCATTATGGTATAAACTAGACTATATATATCTTTTGAGTCGTATTTTGTTAGGAATTAGTGGTACCTTCATTGTACCATGTATTTTAGGACTTTACGGTGGTGTAATTAGTGATGTTCAGATACTCCTTGATTATAGTTCTATGTCATTAATTTCATCCGGAGTCTTTGGTGCTTTATTAGGAGATTTTCTTGGAAGTCCAGTGCCTCAATCTAAATTACCCATAATTTATTTGGTTTTAACTATTGTTAGTGGATTATTCGCTTTTAGTCTGACAAGAGTTTTTGATGGCTTTGATGGCATTGATGGTTCCGATAAGTTCAATCTTAAAGATATAAAAAAGAGATCATTGTTAATAGATGGAATTTTAAGTCTTGTATTTATGTTCTTTGTTGCAAGATGTTCTTTAAACGAGAATTTTGCAGTCACTTCGGTAGTGACATTATGTGGGTCAGTAAGCGTGTTTGTTGTTTTCCAAATCATCAAATATTCATTGTTTCCGAAGGCTTTGTTCTCCACACAAATTGGATTATATTTTGGTTCTATCTTAATCTCTTTTATAACATTTGGAGTCTTTTATTCTAAATTAATTATGAACATCGACTTGATGATTTCTAAAAGGGACGGTGCAATGCTCCTTATGATCGGAGTTATGTCTTCCTATTTTTTATCAGCCATTCTTTACAGATTGAAACCACTGTCAGCTATTTCAATCTCTTCAATTTGTTTTATTCTTGCAAGCACATTAATGACAGTGTTTGCAAAAAATTATAACATTTATACCGTTAGTTTTCTGCAAATCTATATGTTATTCTGGCATTTTATTATAAGTTTATTTGCAACTCAGATGTATGCAACTGGTATATTATCGAATGAATATCGTGGTAGAATTGGTTCATTAATCTCTACCATTCTTTATTTTATAGTATCCATTTTCCTTGCACTGTCAAATTATTTGGAAATTTATGTTGAAGAGAAAGCTGGGAAGGATGCAGCAGGTCAGTACAGCATGTCTGTGATTTTTGGTATTTATATTGCTGCCATTATGAACTGTAATGGCCATGGGATATCTCATATGTACAATATGTGGAAGCTTGGAAAACAAAAAGCTGCTGCAGCTAAAGCCGCTGCAGATATTTCAAGTAATGATGAAGGTAACGAATTAAGGGAAGAGGATGAAGAACCATTACTTGAGAAGATAAATTAGTGTTAGTTAATTATAGAAGTTAGTTATGCATATTAATATTATGATGATTTTTATATTTTGCAACTGGTGTAAACATAACCGGTGCAGGCATTTCCGGTCAGAAAAAAAAAATAAACAAAGCCGGATAATCCTCGTAAATAGTAGTACAAAAAGTACTGCGATATAGAATAGAACAAGTATGCATGGGTAGAAGCTAATAATGGTAATTGTGGGTATTTTATGAGCAAGTGATGCAGATCAGTAATAAACAATAATAAACAAATCAAATCCTCCCTCATAATTCCTCGACATACAAGACATCTATTATCCCTTTGATGGATCTTCACACGTTTCAATAGTTAATTGTTTTTTTTATTCAGTATTTTGTCTGACTTATAACTATATCATCAAATATGATTGATGAATTGACTCCTCCGGAGAAGCATCATAAGCATAATGTTATTATTAAATATATACTCATTATTATTTCCTTCTTTGGATCTATGATCTTCGTTAATATCTTAGTGACTGGGTCAATAATCCATCATTTCTATAACAAAATACTTGGAAGATATCACTTCGAAGAAATTGACTATTCAAAGAATAAGCATGGTTATATACCGAGACAAGCGTATCCTGATATCAAGAATTTAAAGATTGTCGATGATATACGATACTATGCCTTACAGTTAAATTTAGATTTAGAAGAGCATATAATAACTACAGAAGATGGATATGTTTTGACTTTACATCATCTAATCGATCCCAAAGAATCTCAAGAACAACGACATTCCAAAAAGCCTGTATTATTCCAACATGGACTTATGTCCTCTTCGGGAGCCTTTTTTACTTCAGGTTTTAACTCAATTCCATATTATTTCCATGAAAAGGGTTATGATGTATGGTTAGGTAATAATCGATCCTATTTTCAACCTAAACATACATTTTATGAACATTTGTACACTAATGAACAATTTTGGGATTGGGATATTAGAGCCTTGGCATATTTTGATATGCCAGCATTAATTGAAAATGTTCTTACCCACAAACCAAATCATTCAAAATTGATTTTGGCAGGCCATCTGCAAGGTGGATGCCAAACCTTTATTATGTTAAGAAATCCCAAATTATCACATATTCATGATAAGATAGAATGGTTCATACCGTTGGCTCCAGCATGTTTTCCGGGTCCAATATTCCATAGATCAGGATTTTTGTTATTTATGCACTCTCTAAGTGAAACAGGATTCATGATATTATTTGGTTCTTGTGGCTTTATAAGATATTTGAACTTTTTAAGGAGGTTCATGGCTACTACTCCAATTTATCGACCCTTATCGTACTATATGTTTAATTATTTATTTGGTTGGGGTTGTAAAAATTGGGATAGTAATACAAAAGTATGGAGAAGTTTAATGTTATTTAATGTTGTGCATATATCTACAAGATTAATGATATGGTATACAAGTTCATTTTTAGAAGAAAGTTTTGCTAATCAATTGTTACCTAAGAAAGCTTATAAAACAGGAGAGAATCATTTATTTAATCCCGAAGCTAAACAAGGACCACTTCCAACTCCTAAAAAGGCATATTTACCATTTGAGAATGCATGGTTTGATGGTTCCGACCATACGGTTCCTATCATCTTATTCACAGGTGGATCGGATGATATGGTGGATGGAGATAGATTAATTACTCATTTAAGACATTATGAACCAAAGTATGAAGAAGGTAAAAATCTTCATATCTTTAAAGTCCCAGATTTTTCTCATTTAGATTTAATTTGGGCTGTTGATGCCATTGATAAAATAGGAATAGATACAGTCAATATTTTACAGGGAGTAGAAAAACTGGGATCCTCGAATTACGATACGCCTGCAGCAGTCAAAGTTGACAAGGGTAAGATCGAAGATCTTGCTTAAGATCTCCTGTTATTTATAGTATGGTATAATCATTTCTTTATTTATTTTATTTAATAATATTAACTTAAAACAGATATCTCATAATGTGCGGTAAGAAGCGGCTATTGATTCAACTAGTCATTCGTTTAGTAAGTGGAAGGAGCTGTCAAAGCTGGTGACTGAATTATTTTGTGGGGCAGGGCTTATTTTGCGTTCCTTATATATTGCGGTGTGGATGTTACGGCATTATTAGTCCACAAATAGAAATAGCGCCAACCAATTGCCACAAAATAATTGCAGTTAAAATTTTCCCCGAAAATAATAAAAATCTATAATTATAAATACATATGTAATCGTAACTTAATTTGTAAAATAAACTTTATTGATTAGATAGTATAAAGTTTGACCTTTCCGGTATTCTTTATTGAATTCCTTTTATTTAATTTTTTTTCCCTGCTACCTACTATTGTTATTTGCTAGTTTTAAGAGAAGAGAAGAAAAGAGAGTGATCTATACCAGAGCAAAATGACTATTCAAAGTAAAATACCAGTATGGTTAGATTGTGATCCTGGAAATGATGATGTTTTTGCTATAATATTAGCCCTTTTCCATCCTAGTTTCAAACTCATAGGTATATCAACAGTTCATGGAAATGCTCCATTATCCATGACTACTCATAATACTCTAGCATTATTGGATATTGTTAATGTTCATAATATAAAAGTATATGAAGGATCTCAGATACCATTAGTAAATCCTCCAAAATTTGCAGCCGAAATGCATGGACATACAGGTATAGGAGGTGCCACTTTTCCACAAGTAACTTACAATCAAATTTGTCAAGACATGTCATATCTAGAAGCCATGAAACAAGCTATTATAAAATATGAAGGAAATATTTGTTTAATTTGTACTGGAACATTAACCAATGTTTCTAAATTAATAACTGCATATCCAGAAATTAAATCCAAAATCAAATATGTTTCTATAATGGGAGGAGGAATAAAATTAGGAAATGTAACCGAATTTGCAGAATTTAATTTCCACACAGATCCACATGCTGCTAATCATGTTATACAAGAACTAAGTTCTAAAATCATCTTATCACCATTGAACTTAACTCATCAAGTCATTGCCACTAAACAAATAAGGAAAAGAATATATAATGCAAGAGAAAGGACAAGAAACTCTTCATTCAGGGAAATCTTCTTTGGGATCTTAACATTTTATAGTGAAGCATACGCCAGGAAATATGGAATTATAGATGGACCACCAATTCATGATCCTGTTGCTGTTTATAGCTTATTACCATTCAATGATGAAAATGGAGAATATGGTTATAAATATTTGAGGAGGAAAATTAAAGTGGAAACTGAGGGAGATAATGAAGGTGAAAGTATAATAGAAAACGATAGTGACGACAAAGAAGGTGTATTCATTGGTCAAAAACTTGATGTTGATAAATTCTGGAATGAAATGTTAGATGCTTTAGATGTAGCTGAAAAGCATAGTAAATTACCTTCCAAACGTTTATATTGATATTCTAGATTATCTCTATATATAGAATTATAATGAAAAGTTCATAATGTAATTTCCCTATAAATCAGCACCTTCTTCTTCAACAGGAACGACAAATGCTCCAGCTAAGAAAAGAGCTGGTTCATTACAGTTGTGGTGTTGATAACTTAATACACCAACCCCACCAGCATCCAACATAAATGATGGATTAATATTAATTTCTCTTTCAACCCATCTTGCTGCAAAACATCTTAAAATATGACCATGAGCTACTACTATAATATCACTTTTAGTATTTTCACGAATAGCTTGACGATGAATAACTTTAATTTTTTCAATGACTCTATCAATTCTTTCAGTAACTTGTTTGTAGTCTTCACCATTTTCACAACCATCACCCCAAATATCCCAATCATGATCTGGGCCATCAACACCTCTTTGTTTTCTTAAATCACGGATCTGTTGAGTTTTCAAACCTTCATAGTCACCATATTCCCATTCTCTTATATCTTGATCAACCATAATTGGAATTCTAGATTTTTCTTTTTCACTAACTTCTTCAAGCAATAATTCTACAGTTTGTCTAGCTCTGGTTCTTGGACTTACAATAATATGAGTAATATTACTTGGCTTAATCATTTGAAAATTAGAATCTCCAATTAAGTTTTTTCCTGTATTTCTCATTTGTTTAACCCCAAATGGAGTCAATTCCAAATCAGTTACCGAAGTATGTTGACCAGTCTTTGACCATTCAGTTTGTCCATGACGAACAAAAATCACTCTAGGAGTTGGGACTTTAGATGCGGTCATTATAAATTACTAATTGGAATTCCAACCTGATTATTATACTGCTGAATAACTTTCCGACCCTGAAATCTAAAGGAAACAATTCACAATCTAAAGGAATATTGATCAATTATATATCTATAGGGTTTCGGAGTACTTCTAAGCGAGTTGTAGGCGGCACGTGAGCGATGGGTGGAGGCATGCATGCAGGTCGGTATACTTTAATCCATCTACAAAAAATTGTTAAACAAGAAAACCGAGTGAGTGTAACCACAATAGCCGTAACTGACTCTTACTTTAAAGAACAGAATTAAAAATAGTATTCAAGAACAACATGTCAACTAAGAAAGAGTTAGCTACTCAGATAAGGTCACTTTTAAATACTTTACCTAAGGAAAGATTAAATTACTATCTGTCATTTAAAGATGTACAATTAGAGAGATTTGAAAATGAAAAGTTCCTTCAAGACATTGGGGAAAGAGACTTGAAGTTGCAATATGATGCCTTGAGAGATCTTGTCAATGATAAATACAGAAATTATTATAAGTTAGATGATAAATTATTAAAGCCAAAGGGTAATCCTGATTACTACTCTCGTCTTTTGGGAAATATCAAGGGAGAAAGAAAAGAGACTTTGTTCGATGCAGCTAGAACTGTTATATTTGGGAAGTAAACATTCATGTAAATATAAATCATTTACTATTAGCCTCATATATGTATATTTTTACTATAACAATTATTACTATTATTACTTACTGCAAACTAATATGTTGATTCCAGTATATATGTAATAATTATTACGACCCACTCACTATTTATTCACTTCTGTTATGTATATAATTTTAACACACATTTCAATACTTCAATATTTTTGTAAACTGTAGTTCAATCACAGTATATATCTATACCATAAATGTGATATACTGAACTAAGTCATTGATAAAAAAAACCCGGGGTTCTAAAACTAAACCCCAAAACCCATTGCCGATATGAAATTTTTCATCGGGTTTGTTTTTCGCATCAAGATGGGTCGCAAAGCGACAAAAATTGTACCTACGTGGTCGAAAGTTTATTACAGTTAGATTATAAAACGTTGTGTATATTGGAACCTATTTTATAGGGATTCAAGTCATAAGCATTATCGTAGTGTTTTATTGGGAGAATAATTGATTTCAGAAACTATGGGATTTGTAGGTTCTATTAGGAGATCTAGAACTCTTCAATTCATTTTAATATTAATTATTGTGGGGGGAGTATATTGGTTTTACCCATTTTCAGAAACTGACGATGAAAGTTATACACCTGAAGAATTAAATTCTATCTTACAAAATAAGGATAATGAATTAAATTTACTTAAGAAAGTTGAATTGGAAGCTAAAAGATTAAAGAGTCCATTTTTAGATACTGGAAGTTATCGTATGAATCATTGGAATCTTAAAGGAAATACCATGATTAAAAATTCTGATTATATTAGATTAACTTCCGATAAACCTCATCAACTTGGTAGTATATTTGCTAAAGAACCTATTCCTGCTGAATCCTTTGAAATGGAATTAACTTTCAGAATTCATTCTCAAAATAGTATTGGATTAATAGCTGATGGTTTAGCAATTTGGTTACTTGATGAACCATCTGACCTTGGGGATGTTTTTGGTGCTAAAAATTATTTTAATGGTTTAGGAGTTATGATTGATACTTTTAGAAATGGTAAAAGAGGTAATTTCCCATTTGTTAACATTATGTTAGGTGATGGTAAAACAAAATATGCAAAAGAAGATGATGGTTATGGTACAAGATTAGCAGGATGTAATACAAGATATATGGTAAATCCACCAAGTGGACTGATAAAAATGAGATTAATTTATATTAAGAATGGTTATTTATCCATTGATTTCAATTATGATGGTGTTCCTGAAGCTTGGAGTAATTGTGTAACTTTAACAGATGTTCAATTACCACCTGTGAAATATCTTGGTTTAAGTGCTGAAACTGGTCAGTTAACTGAAAATGTTGATATCATAGAAAATAGAATGTATGCTTTATATAAACCTGATGGGAAATTTGTTGAATCAATTGAAGAATTAACAAATTTATTAAATGATCAACATAATATTGATGAAGAAATTAAACTGCTCCAGGAAGATGTTAAAAAAGAAGCAGAAGTACAAACTAAAGCAGGTAGTAAAAGACCCAATATTAAACAAAAGAGACGTTCTATTCAAAGATTAAGAAATGCTGAAAAGAGAATTAAAGAAAGAGAAAGAAAATTAAGATTAGAAAAGTATGGTGATGAAGATGCTACCTTTGTCAAAAGATCAGTAGGTGTGCTTTTAACATCTTTAAAATTCGGTGTCTATTTTATAATAGCGGTGTTAATAGCTTGGTGTGCATTTATTATTTATAGAATTCAAAAGCAAAAAAAGAAGTCAAAAGTTACTGGTTTATTAGACTAGTTGGTTTCAAAATTCAAATATATACAAATAAAATTGGTGATGCTCATGCGATTATTTTAATTTTATCATAATTGTACATATACTTAACTTTATACATGTATACATAATTTCACTTCATTATAAGTAGTTAATTAATGTATTATATTATTATTAATATTAATATTTCTTATTATTATTATTATTCTTATTCTTATTATTACTAACTTGATAGTTTAATGTCTCTTTCTCAAACTCTTCTTATTGGATTCTTTACCAACAACTTCAGCATCGTTAAGAACAGCATCTTGACCTAATTTAATTAATAAATCTTCATCCTCACTCTTTGGAATAAATGAAAATGCAAAAGTTTTAATACCAATGTTTAAATATTTATAGACAGCCTTTTGGATGGAACTATATTTCAGTTTAACAAATGGATTCAAATCTATAGTACTGTCAACTTCAACAAAATCTTTCTTTAATAAAATATCAATTTGTTGCTTATTGAAAGTATAAGCCTTAGTAGTAATTGTGATTTTAGATTCCTCAATGTTCTTAATCTTTAATTTCTTTGAAAATGGTTTAAATAATTCACGAGATCTTATAATAGCCCAATCCAATAATAAATCATCGAAATCAACTTTTTGGAATACTTTTCTAATATGTAAACCAGTAAGTCTAACAATAAATTCCTTTTCAGTTGAATTTTCATAATCTGGATTAATTGTACAAACAGCAATTGGAGATTCACGATAAATAATGAATTGAGTATTGTTACCAAGAGCTAATAATTCAATATCAGATTTTTCTTTATTAACAGTAGGATCTAACCATGAAAATAATTTAATATCAAACCCAAAGATTTGTTTAGCATATTCTTGTTTTGGTAATTCATCAGAAACAGTCTTTATATCATCACTAATTAAATATGAAATTAAACCTATAATTCCTAAAGTTATAACTATAGCAGGTAATACACCTAAAATTTCAAAAAATGGATCAGTTGATCTTGCAAAATAATAAAAGAATTCTCCAATAGAATCGGAAATAGTGATATAATCCCATAATCCATAAGCTAAGGCAATAGGGAAAACAATGCTATAAATAGTTAATGAAACTGGATGCCAAAATAAAAATCTATTTAATCGACTTTGAGATTGACCATAATAATCTCCATGTAATACTAATGCTGATTCAATTAATTCTGGAGTTAAAGGAACCTTTTCCAATTTAGGACTGGCATTTTGGTCTAATGGTTGACTGAGATCAAGAGGTCTTTGCTGAACCATTATGCTACTGTATGAATTATATGATATGAATTAATATGATATGGAATTGACCCAGTTCTTTAACAATAAATAATAATGAATAACAACAAATAGTTCTTGAAAAGTTTACTACTCTGAGATGATCATCATACATTTGCTTTATAGTGAAAAAGCAATTAGTACATATTGGGGTTCCGTATGCAGGTAAGCTAAATTAGTATTGAAGTGTGGATGTTTGTTATTGGCACGTGGGGACTTGCTTAAATTAGCCATGTTTGGAACAAGTACACGACTCTCTAAAAAGTATATAGAGTTAAATCTTACTACTGGTTGCAAAATCGGATCATGATTTATGTAATTCGATACTTTATAGACTGTACTTGTAATATATGTAGTGGTGCAGGTTAAGGTTGAGGATTTCGGAGATAAAGCCATATAACTTACATATACAAACGTATTGTGGTAAAATTAAAGGATCACAAAAGAACGACTGATTAGATAAATAAAATCAATTTATAGTAATTATCCTCCAAACTATATAACTACCGATTTATATGGATAATTCGGTGATAATCCCTTCCTGGTTAAGACAATATATTCGGATTGAGTCGCAATTTAGTTAGTCCTCAATTGTGGTTAACCACAATAAATGCTAATAGTTTTCTAGTGCGATTAAGTCAGAATTGGCAAGTGCGGATCCCCAACTTTAATCATCAACTGTGGCTGCAACAAAATTCTGATCGATTTCTTTTTTTGGTGTGGGATCCGATTATTCACTGGGGGTTGATTGATTAATAATTACTTATTATGATCTGACTGTTCAGACAAGAAGATTAAGGGATATATATCTTTGTGCATTATATTGGAGTATTGAGTTAGTTTACTTTAATATTATTACTATTATTGCTATAACGGTACCCTTTCTGATAAATAGTGAATAATTTCCCACACTTCAATTATCGGTCTAATTTTCACTTCTGTTATTTTCAAATTAATTTCAATTAATTTTTATATTTTTATATTTTTACTTGAAAACTTACTAAGTAATATAGTCATCATGCCTTCTATTGCCTTAGAACATCTTGACAACTACAATGATCCTGTAAAGTTGGCTTCATCCCAAGTATCCACTGTGGCCATTATTGGTGGGGGTGCTTCGGGAGCTATTGCTTTAGATAGTTTACTTAAAGAATCACCTTCTGCCTTTTCTAAAATTACCTTATTTGAAAGAAGAAAAGTCTTAGGTGGAGTTTGGGCTTTGGATAGGACTACTATTAGAACTCCCAATAAAATTGTCAAATCGGGACTTACTAATCTTGATACTGATCCTCAATTAACTAATCCATTCCACTCTACTAGTAGCACTGAAAAATTCATAATTACTTCCAAAAATCAACAAGAAAGATTTGAAGAAACTCCCAGTTATTCTGGTATTAAAACAAATATCATTGAAAAAATGATGACTTACAGTGATACTAATAAATGGGATGTTCCAGGAGTTACTAATCCTGACGATCGTAAATATGTCGATGGTTTAATTGTTCAAAAATATATCGATTCTTACATATCTAGAAATGTATCCAATGATAAAGTTCAATTGTTAACTAACTCTACTATTGAAGATATTGAAAGAATTCCAAGTCCTAATAAGGAAATTCCTTATAAGTTCAGATTAACTGTTCGTTCAAACTTAAATGAAGAACAAGATATTTGGTATCAAGAAGATTTCGATGCAGTAGTTGTAGCTACAGGTCATTATCATGTTCCTTTTATACCTGCTGTTAAAGGATTAAATGAATTACAAGAACAATTCCCTGAAGTCATTCAACATGCCAAATTTTATCGTGATCCTCAACCGTATAAGGATGAAACGGTTGTTGTAGTTGGTTCAAGAGCTTCAGGAGCTGATTTAACCAAGTTTATTGCCGATACTGCTAAAATTGTTTATCAATCAATCAGAAATCTCGAGAATACTAAGAAATTATCTAAAAAGCCTAATCTTCATACTAAACCTATCATTACAGAATATCAAATTTTACCTAATAATGAAGGATTTAAGGTACTTTTCGAAGATGGCTCAGAATTGGTAAACCCTGATCGTGTCATATATGCCACAGGTTATGCTTTCTCATTTCCTTATTTGAATAGATTGACCAACAATGGCATAGTAAAAGATGGTCGTATTATTCCTCAGTTATACCAACACACATTTCTTGTAAATGATCCTTTGATTTCATTTGTTGGTGTCCCAATTGATGGTGTCTCCTTCCGTGTTTTTGAATATCAAGCTATCACAGTTTCTAGATATTTCTCTGGGAAAATTGCCTTGCCTTCAAGATCAGAACAAGTTGATTGGATTTCAAAAAGGCTTGATGAGAAGGGGATAACAAGAGCTTATCATACTATTGGTGTGGTTGATGCATTAAGCTATATGCATGGCTTAGTGAAAATTGGAGAAATACAACAAGAGAAATTAAACCAAGGTCGTCAATACCCAGTATTGACTGAAGAAGATATTGCTACTTACCGTGCAGCTGGAGAATTATTAAGAAAATTTTGGGATGAACGTTGATCACAGGTCCTAAATATACATACATAGATATATAGATATAGATTATCCATTTTCTAGTGAACTCTTTACTTAATACAATAATAGTCTTTTTGAGAACTGTTTCAATCTTTGCTTTAATTTTATTCATGAAAACATGTTTGCAACCATTATTTTTTTTTTTTCCGTAGCAATATATTTATTCTCACTATACACGATATACAATTATATATAGAGTGAATAAATACTTGCAAAATTTTTGAGAGAAACTAGTAACTAGTGAAAACTCTCAGCGAGATATTCTTATTGGACATAGTGTGTAGATAATAAAGTAGATAGATTTATAAGGATGAAGACAAATATGATACCCAATTTTTAATAAGTGGGAGAGTTAATGGATCGAGCACATTACCCTCCTTATGCGCTAGTCGTCGTCGACTGTACAATTGGTGGATGATGTGCAGGTATCGATTTAGCAAAAGAAGCTGTGTAATATTAAGGTTGTAGTTAGCGATGATACTAGTCCATTCTTGAGGGAGGGAAATATGTAGCTTCTGCCATACTACTTTGCTAATGGAGCAATGAAGGTAGAGATGGTCATGATAATCTGTAGAATCAACCAGTGTGAGACAAAGGTGACACACACCATCAGTTGGTGGTGGTGGATAGTGTCGGCGATGTCCTAGCTGGACCCTATGTAATTATTAAATTATCATCGGAGATATCGGATTTATAGATCACGTGACTTAAAACGTGATTTTGAGCTTCCTTCAAAATTCGTGCTCGTTGGAAAGCCATGAAAGCAGCGCCGTGGCGCAGTGGAAGCGCGCAGGGCTCATAACTCTGAGGACCCTCGATCGAAACGAGGCGGCGCTAGTTTCGTTATTTTTTTTCGATTTTAAGGATTGTATTTAGAAAGTAAATCTATTTAGTAAAGCTACAGAATTTCTTGAGTACACTATATTGTTGAACTTTGATATATAGCCAGTATTTTTTTGATACATCATGTATTAAATTCTTTATAAATATGTGTTACAGGTATGTTACAGGTATGTTACAGGTATATTACACGCACATCGCATGACGTACTTAGCGAGCATGTTTCATCTGTTTCAGAATCCCGGCTACACAGGTATAAAAGCGACATAAATAATCCTGTCTAAATAGTTCTGAGATTTGATAAGTGGGACTACTCCCCATGAATTCGTTGAAAGGGATAGTTTTGGTGGACGAATGTTGCCATCTATTGATCAATGCTGTTGTATAATGGTTTCGTTTGAATTTATTGTTGTTGTCTGCACTTTTCTTTAATTAACAGTTTCAATTAAATCTAGGTTCTTTACTAACTGGTATATTATTATTAATATCTTCTTTTTAGTCCATTTTGAATATATATTAATATCTATAAATGCAATCGATTCATCAATGTAGCTTATGTATGGTCTATAGCTAGATTCTTGTATGGAAAAAAACTTAACGAAAACCAACATATAATCATTTAAAAATCCAGAGAACTAAGAGCCAGGACTGTTCGTGTTGGATCTATAACTACATAATTCTAACTAACAAATATGAATTCTTCAATTCTTGTTGCTCCTAGGGACAGTTATTTTTTGAATGTTATCATATTTCTCTGCTTTTTTTGCACCCAAACAAGAACAAAGTTGTGCCTGCAATTAATTGAGAGTAAATTACAAAATTCACTAGTACACTTTTATCTTTTTTTTTATTCATTTTCTTGAATCACTTTTTCAGTTACATAATCTAAAATTATCTTACTATATTCTATTTTAGGAAATGCAATATACTGTACTTAGTGTCCTCAGTCTTAGCCTGCAATAGGTTGACCTGTTGCTGATGATTTTGACACACAAATTTTTGATCCAAATCAATTAATTCATCTTCCCAAAAAGTGGGAATACCAGAAAGTTGACTATCGCAAAAGATCCACTTAAGAAGATACAGGAAACGCAATTCGTGGTCTGCTAGAGATGTTCCAAGGATAGGATCTCGAAATCTGGTAACCAATTTTGAATCTGGCACTTCAAGTATTCTTGAATTTAAAGTAGAGGATGTCAATAATGGTTTGAACTTTGAGTGAAAGTTATATGTTAATATTGATGGTTTTTCTATGTGTTTTAGAAATTCTTGTTCAAGAGCTTCAGTAAATGGTGTAGATTCAAATGGATTAAGTCTTGAATCAATGCCTCCTTTGTTTTTAAGGAACATTCTCCATTTCATCATATAATTATAATCATCCCTAGGATCGACTTGTAAATAAGCAATAGGTAAGACACCTGAAGTTTCACTATCGCTGATATCTTTTATAGGCAATGATTCTTGTTGTACTTGGAAATACACTTCTTCTAAAGCAATAAGCGATGGAACAAAAGTTTCACGATCTCCACCGGATGATAAACCCTGGTACAATAAAGGGTAAGTGAATTCATTACCCATTAGATTTAAATAGATAGATAATAGAAGACTCTTAAAATGACTTCTTTTAGAAAACACAAGAAGAGAAGAGTCAGTGCTTAGACCATCAGGTAGATATTGTAAGTCGTAATATGATATTTTCGATCCTAAATTGTCAGCATCATTCGGTATGCCATATCTTCTTATTGGTTCTCCTGGAACAATTCCTAGAAGATCTTCCCAAAATATAGGAGAAATTTGCCTTTGATATAGTTGATGAGGCCACACCAAAAACTTTGAATTGATATATGGATCAGTAAATAATAACGAGTCCAAATTCTTTACGGGAATCACTCCTACGTCGAGGTATATTATATGATCAAATGACGAAACAAGCAAAGCCAAGAGTTTACGAGGAAATCTTGAAGGAAATAAATCTGTATCAATGATATCACTTACAATGGTTACTTTAATAGTCATCTTGAAGTACAGGTTGAAGAAATAAATTAGGTATCTAATGAAGCTATAATTTTTCATGAAAATTATTTCCATCGGTAGGGTACTACCAAGATTTTTAATTTGAACTATTGATAATAATAGAAGTGCTATCTTCTGATTAACAGAAGAAGAAATCGAGCCATAATCATCAAAGAATATAACTATCCCATGCCCATTAACGAAATGTGTTGGAGGAGGTTCCAAATGTTTAATGAGCTTCAAGACTGCGTTGTAAGACTTCTTTAATAGTTGTAAGGTTCTATCTGGAACTTGGTAAGCAAGTAACTCCTCTCTTGTATATCCCTTACCATTATTTATTGGTAGTGGTTTAAGTTTCTTTAAAAATAATGCCTCTTTCTGAGAAGCTTCATCAACTTTAACAGTATTAGCTAATAATATGTTCTTAAGTATATTATTGTAATATTCATTCATATCTAAATAGGAAGATATTTTATCCTGTAACTGAGTTTCAAAAGTGGGGGGAAATTGTAAATCTGAGGATATCAAATTATTGATCATTTGAAATATGGTATATTCCTTTATCTTTTTGTAATTGTCCTTTAGAAATTTGCTAGAAAGCGTTTCGAACAAGGAATATGTAAATTCCGAAGTTTCTTTGAATTGTTCTGTATATTGTTCATCAATTTCCTGCTTTAATGAGGCAATGAACGTATCCCTATAATTATCATTAATATCCTTCTTAAAATCATTGATATATTTAGCTTTCTCCTCTTCCAAACCGGCCATAATCTCCCTTCGGAATTTCTCTGTATTATCGGCTTCCAACTGATGTTTAAGAGATCTCAAGATTTCTGCTTCTTTTTCAGCTCTTAGCTCTTTTATGATAGCTCCGGTGTTTGAAGAATCTCCGAATTCTTCAGTGTTAGATTGTACTAAAGATGTAGCATACAGAATGAGATTCACTATTATAACCAATGCTAAAGTTGACCAAATGAGTAGTGGGAAAATACTGAATTGTGAATAAAGGACTGTTCTCCTGTTAAGATATTTTGTGAATTTTGTCCTCCACAACATTGTAAGTGTGTTTGAAATATAATGAAAAGAATGGAAATTTATCTTAGAGTAATTGAGAGAGTTCAACGAATGTAGATTATAATGACTATACTATTAGTTACAAATACCTTATGACATTTCAATAATAGAATAAATTTTTCAGATAGTGAATATGAAACATACACATTAGGCATCGGGAGCGGATTTGGTCCACACCCCCACATTAGGGAGTGTGTTAATTGTAGGAAAAAGAGATGAAACAAACCATTCCAATATAGAAAGTTTCAAACCTTCAAATAATATTGAAATGGATTGCAATCACACTGTTTTTACACACGTTGGCTATTATTGTTAATGGTGCTTATATGTATATGGAAAATAATATAATTATATTGAACAGTATGTAGATTGGCTGCGATTAAGGGGCTATTACTCTTTTCGGAGAAGCGTATCATTTTTCCATACATACAACAGAAAACCTTTGCAAGCCGAATAAAAAAAAAAGAGAGGAGAGGATGATGGATGGTATATGAAATTCACATGGGTAACAATATGCTTATAGGTGGTCTTTGATTGCAAATGACAATTTGCATCCGAATGTATGTCTACTTATGCAATATGTACATTATACATTTTTAAATTTTTGATTGGAGCCTCACAAGGAAGGCTTCCCCGAACTATTTGCGCGACACAGAATGTGTCATTAATGGGTGCAATACAAAAAGTAACAATTGATAAGAAATCAACTTCAAGGATGTCAATAAATAAACATAGATAGAAACAAAACAAGGAATGATACATCGGCAGCTCATTATTTGCCACTAAATTCAATTGGTTTACGAGGGACTTTGACAGTTTTCGTAGAAGACAGCCAATTTTGATTTAAAGACAGTATTAGAATCAACAGCTAATATAGTCATAGTAAAAGTATACAGATACACTGCTCGATGAAATATACTTTATATATTAATACACGTACACGTATAATAATTTAACGTAGATAGACTTATTTGTACAAGTACAAGTACAAGTACAAGTTCAAGTTGACATAATGAAAAAAGCGTTTGGTTGCGAGCATTATGAATCATCATTTTTTTTCACCATCACTAATATAACTGAAAGCAATGGAGAAGGACAGTTTTCCATTTTAGTACCCCATTGAATTGCCATGGATTCTCAGTCAGATATATCACCAGCACCTCATCTGGTATACATACCGATTCCACATTATCCTCCATTTAAATTAAGATCTTCACTCATAGATAAGGATCCAGTTATTTGGGTTCATCTATTAGAAGCATATATAAAGTTGATAAAGTATTTACTACAAAATGATATAAAAGTGTTAACATATAAATCATTTCAGCAATTAGTGAAATTCTTGAAAGTGTATCTTCATGAAACTTCAATTGAATCATCTCGAATCTTTTCTCTTGGGGCTATTAATCCTGATATTAAAGCCAATACAGCAGTTCTAAGAATATATATATTCCAATTCTTAAAAAAATATGGTTTATTAAGATTTATTGAAGATAATGATGATGATGGACCAATGATATGGAATTTTGTTTCAGTATATGTACCCAATAATGCTACAATTGTTCGTTCATTACTCAATTTTGATTCTGTAATTGCAAAGTTACAAAATTTCTTGAATTACAAAATCTTAAATAATGAATTCACAACTATTGATCTTGATAATTTCACTATTTTGCTTGATCCTCAGTTATCGAAAATTACTAAATTTAATATGGATAATTCTTCAGTGAATGTAAAATCAAAACAAAAGCAATCATCAACCTTTTCAGCATCATTTGTTAATCTCCATTGGATAAAGGTACTTGAGAATTTATTTCCAACTATTTATAGAGATACGGTTAAGAATCTTATGATTCTTTCACTTTTATCAACATCTACTGCAAAACTTGTTTCATTAACTGAAAAAGAATTATCGATAACATCAGCTGGACATTTAAAACAATATCCTTTGTTTGCCTCCATTTTAATCTCCGACCAGATTCTTGAGTATTTCCCTCAATTGGGAAGTAAACTCCCGTTATTGAATCAAATAAAATTTAAGTCTGAATCTTCATTGGATGATGTTCATGTGAATGAAGGCGATATATTCATGTTAATTGATTTATTTCCTAATTTAACTCAAATAAGAGCTAAACAGCTTTTAGTTGAGCACGAGCAAAATGTAGAGAATCTCACTAATTTATTATTGGAAGACCCTTCATTGATAGATAAACCAAAAATTGAGTCCAATACGATTAAGAAATCGTCAAAGCCTTCTCAAACAGTTGAGGCAACTCATAGATCAGTATACGATGACGATAAGATATCGAAACTCGATTTCTCGGACACCACAATTATTCACGGTAAGAAGCAAAGAAAACAAGTCAAATTGGATAGAAACAATCTCTTAATTTCTTCATTGAAAATGTTATATGATGAAGATGAAGATGAACCTGATGATACTTATGATGACCAAGAAAAGACTTCAGGCTCAGCTTTTGAAGATTCCACTCCTAGGTCAGGTACTCCTGTTCCAGGGAAACAAGAGAATAGTGCTAGTGCCATTGATCCAAATGAAATGTATTTGTTTGAAATATTCAAGACTAAAGGTGATCAAGCGTTTATGAAGACATCGAGGAAATCACAAGAGAGACAAGAGCTTAAGAAGAATACTAAATGGTCAGATGAACAGATTGAGGGCTGGTTTAAGATGCTTTCGAAGTCTCCTAACCGATATAAAGTACTTGATGAGAACTATTTCTTTGGAGGAGGATTCAATAGGAAACCGAAGAATACTACTACTACTACTACCGCTACTACAAATAGTACTACTAGCAAGACGTCTACACCAGAGCCCAAGCCAGGTAATGGAGGAAGTAGTCAAAGAGCAAGAAAGATCAAGACCACCAAAAGTAGCCATAATCGGAGAACACAACATAACAAGAAGACCAATATCGAATTGAAGGGTCTCCAGCAGTAAATAGTAAAGTTATAGAATATCCTTGTCTGTATGTTTATAGTCTCATAGTCTCATAGTCTATAGGCCCATAGTGAATCATATCGCAGTTAATAGCCCTGGCCATATCCAGTAATTTTTCCGCCTTAGCGCGACCAGTCTGAATCTACCGGAACAATTGCTCGGATGCGAAGGCAGTACACTACATCCGTAGCCATTACTATAGCCTATTACTCTTTATAGTAATACCATAAATACAGTACTACACTTCACTAAACCAATTGGAAAACATGTTGTCAGCATTGTTTGTGTACGACAACAAGGGAGACATTTTGGTGTCGAAGATATATAAGAATGGAGTGAAGAGAAATATCCTGGACGTGTTCAGGATTCAAGTCATAACGTCTTCTAATCAGGCATCCAAATCAGGAACCAATGTTTCTACCAATTACAATAAATCACCAGTACTAACATTAGGATCAACTTCATTCATATATATTCGATCTGGAAAAGTATGGCTCTGTGCTATAACTCGATCTAATCAAGACTGTTCAGTAGTATTTGAGTTTCTCTATAAGCTTGAATCACTTTTGAAATTGATCTTATTAGGAACTAATAATATTAATAATGGTAGTAATAGTAATAGTAACTTATATCAACTCAATGAAGAATTATTGTCCAATAATTTTGTTATGATTAATGAAATATTGGATGAAATTGTGGAATTTGGTTATCCAACTGATATGGAATTAAATCATTTAAAGCAAACAGTTCTCAGTCTTAAACCTTCAACTACTAGTGATAGTTTTAATTTAAAGTTACCTTCACTTACAAGAAGAAAATCTTCAGCTTTAAGTATACCAGTTTCATTAAATTCTCATGAAACTAATGGGAAACTGAAGGTAAGTTGGAGAGATGAAGGGATAAAATATAGAAGAAATGAAATCTTTTTAAATGTAGAAGAAAAGATTAATATATTAATGAATTCTGAGGGTCAAGTTTTACGATCATATATTGATGGAGTTATTAATATGAAAACACATTTATCAGGAATGCCTGAATGTAAATTTGGATTTGGAGAAAATAGTATACTTTTAAATTCATCTAATGAGAATAGTTCTAATCTAAACGAAAATAATGTTATTTTAGAAGATAGTAAGTTTCATCAATGTGTGGATTTGAGTAGATTTGATTTTGATAGATCTATTTTATTTATTCCACCGGATGGAGAATTTCAATTAATGAATTATCATTGTCGACTGAATATAAATCTTCCATTCCAAATTTATCCACAAATCACTGAAATTGGTAATCTGAAATTGAGCTATAAAATAAGAGTCAAATCTTTATATTCTTCCAAACTTCCAGCTCTTGATTTACAAGTTAAGATTCCTACACCTACAGGAGTTTTAAAATCAAATATATCTAATTCATCCGGGAAATCAAAGTATCATCCCGATCAAAATCTCATTATATGGAAATTTAATAAATTCTTTGGTGAACAAGAACACATACTTACTGCTGAAGTAGATTTAACTCAAACTACTACTTCAGGTAATGCTTTATCTAATTCATTCAATTGGACAAGACCTCCATTAACTCTCGACTTTAAGATCGATATGTTTTCTTGTTCAGGTCTTACGGTTAAATTCCTTAAAGTACAAGAGAGGGGTAACTACAAGACTGTCAAATGGGTTAAGTATTGTACTCATTCGGGATCATATGAAGTTCGTCTCTGATATATAGTTAGAAGTATAGGTAGAGTAAGAGTAAGAGTAAGAGTAAGAGTAAGAGTAAGAGTAAGAGTAAGAGTAAGAGTAAGAGTAAGAGTAAGAGTAAGAGTAAAACGATCACGTGCATGAATTATTCAAATTAATTTTACGATGCGATTGATCGATTGAAATTTAAATTTATATGGGAAAACCATTCGATACTCAACTATAATTAAGTAACAGTAATTGTAAACTACTCATGAGAGATTTAGTAGTGCTCGGGGGTTCATCCCACCCGCACCTCACCAAATCAATATGTCGTAATTTAACCATAGAACAAGGACAAGTTTTATCTAAGAAGTTTTCTAATGGAGAGACTAGTATTGAGATTGAAGATTCTGTTAGAGAGAAGGATGTATTTATTGTACAATCAGGATGTGGAGATGTTAATGATAATTTTATTGAATTATTAATAATGATATCTGCCTGTAAAATAGCTAGTGCTACTCGAGTTACTGCAGTATTACCATTATTTCCTTATTCTCGTCAACCTGATGTACCTCATGCAGCTAATATTACTGGAGCTCCATTAATTTCAACTAAAAAAGATCTGTATACTTTTGAAAGTACTCCTAGTACTCCTCGTCCATTATCAAGAGGTAGTAGTCTTAATCAAAGTTATTTTGCTGATTCTTTACCTTTATCTGGTAATAATAATAACAATAATACTTCTCGTGATGGATTATTAGAAAGAGCTACACTTAATAATTTAAAACAACCTCAACCAACAAAAGGAACATATACTCCTAGATCAATTGTTACAAACTCAGCCTCAACAAATATTCCTGTAGTTGATGCTTATGGTAAAACTGATAATGGTTATAAACAATGGGTTGCTCAAAATGGAACATTAATTGCAAATTTATTAACTACTGCTGGTGCTGATAGATTAATTACTATGGATTTACATGATCCTCAATTCCAAGGATTCTTTAATATCCCAGTAGATAATTTATATTCGAGACCTTTATTGAAGCATTATATAAAGGATTATATTCCTAATTATCAAGATTGTGTTATTGTTTCTCCCGATAGTGGTGGAGCTAAACGTGCTACATCTATTGCTGATTCTTTAGGATGTTCATTTGCACTTATACATAAGGAAAGAAGAGCCAAAGTTGCCAAAAACCCTCCTTCAACTTATGCCTCTAGTTCTTCAAGTTCTGTTAATCTTTTAAATTCTGTTAGTACAAGTCATACAAATGTCGTAGCCACTACTATGTTAGTTGGTGATGTAAAGGATAAAGTATGTGTATTAATAGATGATTTGGTAGATACTTCATATACTATAACTAGAGCTGCCAAATTATTAAAAGATCAAGGTGCTAAATATGTATATGCATTAGTCACTCATGGTGTTTTCAGTGGTGATGCAATTAATAGAGTTAATAAGTCAGACATTGATAGAGTAATAACTACTAACTCAGTACCACAATTAGATAATGTATCAGTGATAGGACCTGAGAATTTCGAAGTATTAGATATTTCAAGAATTCTTGCTGAAGCTATTAGAAGAATTCATAATGGGGAATCGGTATCTATGTTATTCGATCATGGATGGTAATTAAAAACTTTCTTTGAAGCTTTAACTTGAAAGTTTTATTTATGCTTTATTTCGTTTGCGTCTACTAAATTTATTTATTATAAGTAGTGTTAAAATACATATAAATAATATGACAGTATACTGCTCAATCTAGCTCCAATTATATAACAATGTACTATAGTAGTTATTCGGAACTCTTGAACTTGTTTCACTCCATATAACATTTCATCTACAACTTTTTTTGTAGGCTAATTACAAAATTTGCAACTATTGTTGGGCTGGGGTCTAGACCTCGAACAATAAAATAGCCCATAAGTAATAGTTACTGCACTTGGCACTTGGCATAGGGTAAGTGAGAGTTGGGGGAGAAAGAAAGATCTTCAGTGGGGAAACATCTTGACGGGATGGACCGGACGAGAGGTAGCCCCACTGTTCAGCATTGTTCAAACTTTAATAAACGGTTGTTTACATGAATTGCTCCGAATGCATTAGGGTGAAAAATTCTTCAAGGCAAAATCTGGGGAAGAACGCTCAAAGAAGAGGAGAGAACAAAAGTACAAAGTGCGGAATGTCATCACTTGAAGGGCATTTAGATCATTATAGTGTTATTGGTATACTAAACAACTCTGAGTAAGGCAAGTATCGTACAATTAATACCAATAGCCTTACAGATTCTTTGGTCAGTTAGTTCGAGACTGGTAATGCCCCACAGTTTATAAACAAAACCAATATCGGTCTATTTTCTTAGCTAGCTGGTCATTGTGAAAATGTGTCAAAATAAAATCAAGGCAAACCGCAGTGCTTAGCGGCATTTTCTCCGTTCGTCATGCATTTCTGTTTGAGGATGAATGGAACCTAACCCAACATCAATAGGGGCTACTAATTAACAGCGTAAAGTTATAACCAATATTAATACTATTCATATAGTTATGGTATATTGGTAATAGTATTAATATTAATATTAATTACAATTACAATTACGACTGGATCATTGCAGTGACAACATGGCCTCGTTTACCACAGTTGCCAACTGAATGGCATCTCAGTATGCGGCTATCGAAGGCAAGCTCGCTAAACTTTGCTGTGAGGTGGCCGGTGGTTGAACTCCGTCGGGGTCGCGTTGTCACGTGTGTGCATACAACTTTCAGTCGGAAGTGAGGAATTACGATCCATCCATGCGGCAAAACAAAACAAAACAAAACAAAACAGCCTAACCTCGATGAGCTGTGGAGGGGCACGTAGTGAAGAAAAAAGAGAGGGGAGCCAGTTCACTAAGTGTGATGAGATGCGGAGGCCATTAACAGTAAATGACCAAACGTTACAGTAACTGTGACACAGTGGCCCTAGGCCAAGCTCAAGGCGGACAAGATCAATCGATCCACCGTGTCCATGAATGTTTACTATAAATAGTACATAATATTGTCGTAATATACTCTAATTCTCTATAATGTCTTGTCTCATCTCATCTTTGACTTGTCGTTATTACTACTGTCACTAATACCTTCGTTGTTACTGTATTTAATTCCGTCGTTAACTCTACACTAATACAGTTTAACTCATTAACATTACTGTATTAATTCTGAATTAGTGACTTGTGCCCTAATTGCAGTATATTACAATTTCGAACCAATTTCGAATTCCGGTCTTCCCATACTTTTCGGTGACGCTAAACTAAAAAAGGCGCTACGGCTGGAAATTAAAAGTCTCCGAGTCTCCAGAATTCCCAATTATATAAAAGGTTTCAATTCCCCATATTTTCAGGAATTATAACTCCTGTATAACAAAAATCTACTTTAAAAATGGCTAGTGTAGGTCACGAGCCAGATATTCAACGTTTATCGTTAGAAAGAACAAATTCTAATTCATCATCAGTAGTTAGTGTAAAACCTGGTTATGTTGATAGTCCATTTTCAGGTAAAAAAGATCAATATGATCAAGTATTAGATATTTTAGATAATACTGGATTTATTCCTGAATCATTAATTGAATCAGAAGCTAGATGGTTTTATCAATCATTAGGAATTGATGATGTTTTCTTTGCCAGAGAATCTGCTCAAGGTATTGCAAATCATATTCATTCATTATATTCTTGTAAAGTTCAAGCATTTTCTAATGAATCTGATCTTACTGATGATGCTTTAATTCAATATAAACGTGAAGCTGAAGATCATGCAGTATTTTTTGAAACATCTTCTGCTTCTGGAGTTCCAAGTAATGGATCAAAAAATAGATTTGAAGAAAGAATTGATGATAAATATATAGATCCATCAAATTCAACTGAAAGTTATAGAGCTGAATTTTTTAGTGCTCCATTAAGTTATAAAACTGATCCAATTTTATCAGGAGTTCATCAAAAGAATCATCAAATTGCTGATCAATGGTTTAATTGTTATTTTGTTTACAAAAATCAATTTGAATTTAAAGATGTATCTCAAGATGAAACTGATTTTAATAAAATTGGTGATACAACATTTTTAAAAATTGCTTCTGAAAATACTAAACAATTATATTCAGAAATTGTTAAAAATGTTATTAATACAACTGGTCCAGTTATTAGATATTTCCCAATTGAAGATTCTGAAGAATATAGAGTTGTTATTGGTTTTAGACAAAAGACTTCTGCTAGATATAATTCTGCTTTAAGTGATTTAGCTAATTATTATAAATTACAAACTACTAGAAAATATGTTGAACAATTTGCTAATGGTATAACAATTATTTCAATGTATGTTACATCAAAGCAAAAGAAATCTCCAGTTGATTTATCAATTTATCAAGTTATTAAAGAAGCTTCTTTATTATATTGTATTCCTCATAATTTCTTTCATCATAGATTTGTTAAAGGTGAATTATCATTACAAGAATCAATTTATGCTCAATCTGGGGTAATTTTTGTTACACATTTTTTAAACAGATTAGGTCCTGAATATACTAAATTATCTTCATTATTAGATCCATCTAAATCTATTCAACATGCTGAAGTATTAAGTAGTTTAAAGAAAAGATTAAGAGCAGAAACTTATACTCAAAATTATATTCAAGAAGTATTTGATACAAGATCTGATATTGTTAGAAAATTATATCGTCAATTTGCTGATGTTCATTATATTCGTTCTTCAATGGAAAAGACTTTGTCTTATCAAAGACTTTCTCAAATTACTCCGGTTGGAACTGAAGAAGAATTTGAACAATTATTAAATCGTGAATGTTCTCAAAATGAACATCATGCTATTGTTTTAAGAGCTTTATTTGTATTTAATAAATCTATTTTAAAGACAAACTTTTATACTTCAACTAAAGTGGCACTTTCATTTAGATTAGATCCATCTTTCTTACCAAGTTCAGAATATCCAGAAAAACCATTTGGTATGTTCTTTGTTGTTGGAAGTGATTTTAGAGGTTTCCATATTAGATTTAGAGATATTGCAAGAGGTGGTATTAGAATTGTTAGATCAAGATCTCTTGATGCTTATAATGTTAATTTAAGAAATTTATTTGATGAAAATTATAATTTAGCTAATACTCAACAAAGAAAAAATAAAGATATTCCAGAAGGTGGATCAAAGGGAGTTATTTTATTAGATCATGGAGCTGCACAAGATAGACCTCAAGCATGTTTTGAAAAATATATTGATGCATTAATTGATTTATTATTAAAACAACATATTCCTGGTGTTAAAGATTCATATGTTGATTTATATGTTAAACCAGAAATTTTATTCCTTGGACCTGATGAAGGTACTGCTGGTTATACTGATTGGGCAACTTTACATGCAAGAAGTAGAGGAGCTCCATGGTGGAGATCATTTTTAACTGGTAAAAGTCCTCAAATTGGTGGTATACCTCATGATGAATATGGTATGACTACTTTATCAGTTAGAGCTTATGTTAATAAAATTTATGAAAAATTAGGACTTGATGATAAAAAAATTAGAAAATTTCAAACTGGTGGTCCAGATGGTGATCTTGGTAGTAATGAAATTTTATTATCAAAGGGTGAAAATTATATTGGTATAGTTGATGGATCAGGTGTAATTGCTGATCCAAATGGTCTTGATAAAGCTGAATTAATTAGATTAGCTAAAGAAAGAAAAATGATTGATCATTATGATAAATCTAAATTATCTAAAGATGGTTATGTAGTATTAGTTGATGATGTTGATGTTAAATTACCTCATGGACAAATTGTTACTAGTGGAGTTAGTTTTAGAAATACTTTCCATTTAAAATTAAAAGAACAATTTCCTAATGGAGTTGATTTATTTGTACCATGTGGTGGTAGACCAGCTGCTATTGATACAAATAATGTTCATGAATTAATTGATGAAAAGACTGGTAAATCAATTGTACCATATTTTGTTGAAGGAGCTAATTTATTTATTACTCAATCAGCTAAACTTATATTAGAACAAGCTGGTATAATTATTTTTAAAGATGCATCTACTAATAAAGGAGGGGTTACTTCTTCATCTTTAGAAGTTTTAGCTGCTTTAGCCTTTGATGATACTGGATTCTTATCTAATATGTGTGTAGATTCGACTACTCATGAAAAACCACAGTTTTATCAAGATTATGTTAAAGAAGTTCAAAGAGTTATTGTTTCTAATGCTGAAGATGAATTTGAAGCATTATGGAAATTAAAACAAGAAACTAATATTTCATTTACTGAATTATCTGATAAATTATCAGTAAGTATTAATCAATTAGGTGATGAATTAGCTAATTCTAAAGAATTATGGAATGATGATATTGAATTTAGAAATGCAGTTTTACTTGATTCTTTACCACCTTTATTATTAAATGTTATTGGAATTGATAATGTATTAACTAGAGTTCCAGAAGCTTATTTAAAAGCATTATTTGCAACTCATTTAGCTTCTAGATTTGTCTACACAAGAGGTATTGATTCTAATCCTGCTAAATTCTTAGAATTTATCTCCTCTATTAAGAAGGAATATGTTAAAAAGGGATTACTTAAGTAGTGTATGTATAGTTATGTCTCTATTCGCTTGATTATTTGCTTTTGCTTTTGCTTGCTTTATGTTTTTATTTATTTGTTTATCTACTATTCTACATTAATTTTAATTTATTAACTTCATATATGATATAATGTCTCCATTACATAACGACTATGTACAAGTACTATTGTAAAACTAAATTAGTTATTCACTACTCTATTTTGGTTGTTCTAATTCCTTCATGATCTGTTTACGTTCAACCACCTCTTCATTAACTCGCGAGGTCACATAATCTCCCACTCCAGCAACCACCAACGTAGAAAACCCAATGTAGTATCTTGCCTTGACTGGCAATGCCATCCACTTGTCCCATAGACCCATCCTGTAGTTAGTTGAATTAGATATTAGTAAGTGGTATGTGTTTGACAGAAGGAGTGGTGTTAGTTAGTGATGGGAATTTTTCACTCGCTTCCCCAAATTTTAGTCTATGCTCAGCTCATCTCACTGTGAGTAGCTAAACTTAAACACTTAAACATCCAGTAATGTCAGAGATACCGATTAGTAAACGATTAGCTAAGACCACTACGGATTTACCTCCATGTTGTTTAAGATATGCGCCTCAAGATAATTCCATTGTAATCTTGGGAACTTATAAACTTGAGGATAATGGGAATAGACATGGATCACTTGAAGTTTATAGAAGTGATTCTAGTCGACAACTTTCATTAATATCAACAACACCCACAAGAAGTGCAATTCTTGATGTTAAATTCCATCCTCAAGATCCATCTAGATTGGTTACTGCCCATTCTACAGGAGAAATTATGATATGGAAGTTTAATAGTGAAGATGTTACATTAGTTAAACTTGATGAACTTCAAATTTTTGAATCCGATTATTTGGTTACATCAGTAGTGTTTTCTCATTCTCAACCCAATACTCTATTGGCTACATGTACATCAGGTGAATCACTGATCATTGATTTAAATAATCAATCATTTGATACTTTATGTACTATTCATGAATTAGAATGTTGGACTGGGAATTTTGGTGAATTAGGTCAATTATCTAATGTAGTATATACTGGAGGTGATGATGCTAAATTAATTGCGCACGATTTAAGGTCGATGGATAAAATATGGTCAACAACCAATCGTCATCATGATGCAGGTGTAGTATCTATATTGAGTGCTGCGACATCTTGGAACAATAGTAAACCTCATCAATTATGGACAGGGTCATATGATGATCATTTGCGAATATTTGATCTTAGACTAATGGATGCGAATAATCCAACTTTAGTTCCTGGATATATACCTAAATTAATTAATCTGGAAAATTTAGGTGGTGGAGTATGGCGATTAATTCCTAGTCCAATTGATAATGATGATAGAGTATTGGTTTGTTGTATGTATGATGGTGCTAGAATAGTTAACCCTATAGATGATAAATTTGAAGTTACCAGATACTTTAAGGGAGATCATTCTAGTATGTGTTATGGAGGTGATTGGGCTAGAGATACTAATACTATAGCAACTTGTTCATTTTATGATAATATTCTACAGGTATGGTCACCCCATGATATTGAATAAAGAGTATATATATATATATATATATATATGTATTTTATATAGATAATAATGAATATCAATGATTCAAGTAAATGCACTTAAATCTAATGGTACAGATGAACCTCTACCACTAGGATAAAGTTTGGATGAATTACCATGTTCTCCATATTTACGAGGATGAGGTATAGCATCTGCATTAACAAACTTGAATCTCTTATCTTCAATGACTATTTTAGAACCATGTCCATTTTGATTACCATTTCTTTGTTGTGATGAACTAATAGTATATGCACTGGCGGAGATCTTTCGTAATGAGTGTCCTACACTTTGCTGTTGGTCCAAGTCCGATCCAGTTTTGCCTACTGTAGTGACAGTAGGGGGAGGTGGTGGTGGTGGAGGCTTCTTGAGTCCAGCCGTTGATGGAGGTGGCGGTGCTGAATTGAACAGTGGAGGTGGTGGTGCCGAATCGAACAGTGGAGGTGGTGGTGCCGAATCAAACAGTGGAGGAGGTGGTGGTGCCGAGTTAAACAGGGGAGGAGGAGGTGGTGCTGAGTTAAACAGGGGAGGAGGAGGAGGTGCTGAGTTAAACAGTGGTGGGCCAGAAGCTGGTGGTGGTGGTGGTGGACTACTGAACAGTGGTACCGGAGGTGGAGCTGGAGTAACAGGAGGAGAGAATGGAGAAGATTGTGGTTCGGGAGATTTAACGGCTGGTATAGGTGGAGCAAATGAGGGGATTGGAGGAGCATTTGATGGAGGTTTGAAAGAAGTTTCTCTTTTAGGAGGTATACTATGTGGGATACTATGTGGGATACTAGGGGCTTGCGGTGCTTTAGGAGGTTGAGGGGCTCTAGGAGGTTGAGGGGCTCTAGGAGGTTGAGGGGCTCTAGGAGGTTGAGGGGCTCTAGGAGGTTGAGGGGCTCTTGGAGCTGGAGATTCCGAAGGAGATTCCGTAGTTGAATAACTGTTGGTTCCGTCTACAACAAAAGACTCATCTCTTCTAGAGTTAATTTCAGCAAGGAATGGTAATGCTCCACCTGGTGAAACTGATGGGGCCAGACTAGCAGTAGAACTTGATTTTTTAGGGGGTAAGCTGGAAAGAATTGGAGGAGGTGGTGGTCCAGGAGGTGGAGGAGGTGGTGGCGAAGAGATTCCATTTCCACTAGGAAAAGCAGGAGGAGGTGGTGGAGGTGGGGGTGGTGCAGCATTTCCAACAGGGAAAGCTGGGGGAGGTGGTGGTAGACCACCTGGTATTTGAGGTGGAGCAGGAGGTAACGATGAAGGGATAGGTGGTGGAGGAGGGGGCAATCCAGTTGGCAAGGAAGGAGCCTTTACTGCATCTAGTACATTTTTGTCATCTCTCTTAGCATTGATTTCTGCCAAGAACGGTAGACCACCAGGAATGGGAGGAGCCAGAGGCACGGAAGATTTCGAGCTATTAGGAAAAGAAGGTGGTGGTGGGCCAGGTGGCGGTGGAGGACCTGGAGGTGGAGGACCTGGAGGTGGAGGACCTGGAGGTGGTGGTGCTACGTTTGGTAAAGGAGGTGGACCGGCTGGTACAGAAGGTGCTTCAAAAGAATTTGTTGAGTTAATGGAACTTGATTTCATATGCGATGACTTCTTTGGTCTACCAGGAGGCAATTTAGGAGTTGGAGGTGGTAAACTGCCAGGAATTGGTGGAGCAGAAGTTGGTAAAGGTGGAGCACTTGGAGGAAGACCTGTTGGAAGTGAAGGTACGGTTGGAACCGATGTTAGACTATTTCGTTTAGGAGGTCTTGAAGACGGAATATTAGGAGGAGTTGGAGCCAGAGCATTAGTATTAGCATTAGCAGAAGGAATTGAGAATGTAGGAATCTTAGGAGCAGATGGAGGAACTAATCCTGATCTATTGTCCACATGCTTTAGTTTAGGAACTCCGCCGGCGAATATATCTCCCAATTGTGGAGGCCCACCTAAAGATGGTGGAGGCGAAGATGCCATACTTGTTGTACCGGAATCGGCTGGTGTAACTGACATGGATATTTTGGAATCTATCATGGGTTTAGATTTATCAACGGTAATGGCCTTTTTCAACTTCATACCTTTTCGAATATCTCCAAGTAAGGCATCCCGACCGGGGGGCATTACAGCCGGAGGTCCTGGAGGTAAATTAGCCGTCAAGGCTGAGGCTCCAGGAGGAGGTGGAGGTCCAGGAGGTGGTGGTGGAGGAGGTGGTGGAGGAGGAGGCATATTATTGAAGTAGAGTGTTTCTATTCAATTGGTGATACTAGTTTACCATATATTAATTCGAGGTTCGATATTCGGTATAAGTTTCGACTTGATCGGTCATTTTGAGACAATGTGCCGGAGCGACAAGCGAGCGCTACCATATTGTGATACACCATACAAAATGTATATAAATTATTTTTAGATTATTTATAAATTTTTTAATTACAAACTACTTAACTCCCCAGGAGAGGTTGTCATAACCAAATAGCCATGGACCCACTGTATGTCTTACTGCAATCATACTTAAGCCAATTACAAGTTGAACAACTAAGAGTAACAAACAGAGTATATCTTCTCGAAGTGGACCAACCCAAACCAACAGTAAATTAATAATAGTCATATTAGAAAATTGAATGATTTCTTTAGTTGATGGATCTCTAACAAGTTTAATTAAACCAAACTTCTCTAATGATCTTACGAGTAATTTACCAAAAGTTGAAGCTTCTCTATAATTACCATAACTGGGGTACATAAGTCCATTATCAAGATTAAATTTAGGAAGTCTATGACGAGGACAAGGTACAATATTAAACAATTGAGGAACTGAATAAATAAAGTTAACAATCTGGGGTACTAAGAATAATAATGAAGTTTTAGAGAAATGTCCAAGAATCCCTACTATAGCAAATACCATCCCACTAAAATAACAATAAGTATCACCTACAAATACTCTAGCTGGGAACCAATTATATTGTAATAAAGCTAATGAAACTCCTAAGAATGGAATTATAAATATGACCGAAAATAAATGAGAATCATAAGCTGCTTGTGATACATTGGGAGAAAGTAAGTAACAAAAATCATTAACAAGAAATACTACACCAAGTATAACTGATTGACCTACTTCTAAACCATTCACTCCTGCTAAGATATTAATTGAATTAGGAGCAAATATGGATACTGAAGCCAAATAAACATAATAAAAGAATCCTAAATCAAGTAATTTTGGAGATTCACGAGGGACAACAAATTCATTAAGAGTACTGAAATTTAATCCAGTAATTTTACTAACAATGAAATTACCTATTATAATTAATTGATTAATAAATTGTAAGAAAATTTCTCCACCAGGTAAGTTAGAAACAAAGGCAGGAACCACTACTGAAGTAACACTAAAATCAACATAATATACAATTAATAATGGCAAAGATGCAATAGCAGGAAGAAAGAATTTATGACGCCACCTAATATCAAATAAATCATCAAGAAATCCAAGCATTGTAGTACTTTGTAAACATAATACTGCACTTAAATATTCAGCTAATTTATTATGAGGAAATAATCGATTATTAGCTAATGCATTATATTGAGTCGCATAATTATCAGATATACTATCATCATTAGATAATGAATTGAATGATACTAAATATTTAAAGAATATAAACGGTATAAGTCCAAACATTAAAAATAAATATGTGATTGCAGGTACAGCTCCCATAGATTCAGCTATTTCATTTACTGGAGGAGGTTTAGAAAGGTCTTTACCTTTAAGTCCTACATTAATAAAGCTAGTAGTTAATCTTGGAATTAATGTATATGTTACTACATAACCAATTCCAGCAAATGCTACCAGGGTTTGAACGGGATTATTAACCGTCACATATGACAATGACAATCCCAATACAACCAATCTAAACACCTTCAGAAACATCGTTGACTTTTTACAGTTGTAGTAGTTATTTTACACGTTGCAGTCTGAAAAATTAAAGGCCGGTCCGTTGATTGATGTTATGTTAGCGACTGCACACAGACACAGACACAGACCGGACATTTACCAATGGGGAAGACAAGGACATACCTAAATATATATAATAAACAACTTACAGATAACTAACTTACAGATAACTTGAAATTGCAAATTGACAGTCTATTATGAAGTCATTTGTTACAGGACACGAGGAATTAATCCACGATGTCAAATATGACTTTTATGGGAAACACATAGCGACGGCATCGTCTGATCAACACATTAAGGTATTTGACTTAGACTCATCCAATTCGGCTTGGGTATTGAATGACCTGTGGAAAGCTCATGATTCACTGATTGTCAAACTTTCATGGGCACATCCTGAATTTTCTAGTTCGAAGATTTTGGCTTCATGTTCATATGATCGTACCGTTAAAGTATGGCAAGAACAAGTTGATGAATTACATGGGTCAGGTAGAAGATGGATAAAATTAGCTACTTTAGCAATAGAATCTTATGGTCCTATTTATGATGTATCATTTGCTCCTAATCATATGGGATTAAAATTAGGGTGTGTTGGATCTGATGGGATCTTTCGGATATATGAGTCATTAGAGCCAAGTGATTTGACTAATTGGGTACTTACAACAGAATTACCTATATTAAGTCTGCAATTACCGGCTAAGAGTTTACAAAGTAGTTTTGGTATTGAATGGTGCCCTGCTAAGTTTTCTAAAACTGAAAAATTTATAGTTGTAGCGTTAGATCAAGGATTTATTTATGGTACAACATCTCAGAGTGATCAAGCTACACATGACAAGGCAGATGATATTGATTCTGAAACTAATTCAAAAAGTAAATATATTAAACTATGTAATCTTCCGGAACATAATGGATTAATACGATCAGTAAGTTGGGCTCCTTCAATGGGACGAAACTATCATTTAATAGCTACAGGATGTAAAGATGGATATGTTCGAATATTTAAAGGCACAGAACTTCCTAATGGTGAGATAAAAATTGAAATCTTGGCTAAGTTAAATGATCATAAATCAGAAGTATGGAAGGTAAATTGGAATTTAACTGGTACGATATTATCATCAGCTGGTGATGATGGTAATATAAGACTCTGGAAATGTAATTATTTGAATGAATGGAAATGTATGAGTGTGATAAATACCAGTAATAGATCAGGTAATAGAGCCATAGAAGAAGAAGTTACTCAACAAAATGTTCCTGGAAATTAATAATCTAGAGTGTATAATGTTATATGTATATTACAATCTATTAAATGTTAAAAACTATTTAGTTCTTTGCTTTTTATTACGCTCATCCAATTGATTCCATAACTCTTCTTCATCACTTTCTTCCTTATCTTCAAGAGCCAAATCTCTTCTTTTCTTTCTTTGGATCTTAGGAGTTTCAGCTGCAAGCTCTTCTTCTGTGAGTTCATCTTCAGCATTAACAATTATAACCGAAGATATTTCAACTCCAATATAAACTTTGGCTAATAATTCTCTAGATACTATATCAAATACTCTCACATATCTATCTAATCCACCAGTTATTAATAATTCTTCATTAGTAGCAATTCCAAATGTAGCCCCAGTATTACCACCCTCTGAAAATTTACCCAAGAGTTTAGGTACTGGTTTCCTAATTTCTCCAGCAGATGCAGATATGGTTTTATAAGCCTTTTCATCTATATCAGTTAATGAATATTTAGCAATTAAATTATGAGTATCTGTTACAATGACTTCAGTTTGTTGTTGATTTCCAAAAGTTAATGTAAGAATTGGCTTTTCACATACTTTGTAGTCTTTTGTTGGTCTTCTACCATAAGTAGTATCATAAAGACGTAATTGTCCATATCTAGTAGCTGTAATGAATTTGTATCCATTTTCTGGGTGATCTTGCAAGAATAATATTTGTGTTATCCATATAGGAACTCTCAAATCCAAATGATCATTCTTAACATTCTTTGCATTAAATATTACTTGAGGTATAAATGCTTCTGAAACTTTCTTAGTCTTGAAGACTTCAGCATTTAAACTTTTTTCATATAATCTTATTATTTTAGCATCATTTTCTTTACCACCAAATGCAAAGATTCCATTATCATAAGGATTCTGTACAAAGGTAGAAATAGGTTCATCACTAACTTTTATAGGAATGGGCTTGAATTCAAATTTCTCATCACTCAAATTTATTATATATACAACACCTGATTCATAGGCAACTATTATACTTTCTAAGCTTTCAAGAGCAATTAATGCAATTGGAATATCTGATTTGTCCACATCAAGTTTGAACAGATGTAATAATTTATACATTTCTTCATCTTCAAGTTCGATCTCCTCATTTGTGTATTCATATACAGAAACATTTCCTCCATATCTGGAAGCTATAAGGTATGTATCAGCAAAGTTTAACAAATAAGTTTTTGATGTGATTTGTGGCTCAGAACAGAAATTCTTGATTGATTTGGGCTGTTTTCCATCTTTTTTCGAGGTATCAGTTCCTCTATTAAATATGACTTCTTTTACAAGTCCACTATCGTCTGACGATACCAATAACTTCATATTTGTTGCTTATTTAATCGTATATTAACTCATTAATCGCTAACTCGAGATGAGATTTTTCAATTTATTTCGTGAAGAGCATATGTGCAGGAAAATATTTCAGCTGCAAAATATGGAGTTAGTATTTAAGCATTGATAGTACTTTGGATTCAATATCGTTGTGGGCCGTTAAACCATTATGGTTTGATTAATGGGTTTGTATATATAAGTGAGACTGAACCCCATTAAGATGGTATTAATGTGGATATAGTTAGTTCAGATTCTCTTTCGATATCAATGTCTACGGATAGAGTGGATGGATGAAGTGATGAAAAATCTACATTAAACTATACAAGCAAATAACAGAGACAGAGAAGATCAATTATAACTATCATTCTACCAATGTAAACACTGTGATTATAAGAAGCTATTCAATACTTTTTAATGTAAACTATGCTTGATGAGGGAAACAGCTGCAGAACACCTTTCACCATTTACTATAGCTGCAGAGCTTATTTGTAATCTAACCTTCTCCTGCTATGACTATTAGTATATACCAATTAATAGATGTCATTATAAAGCCATTTAAAGGCAACCTGATGACATTATTCAATATTTTGGTTTTACATGTGACTAATCACGTGATCCGTGCGCGTTCCACAAACTAGCGAAATTTTTTGTCAAGAAAAGGTCCCTTGGCCCAGTTGGTTAAGGCGTGGTGCTAATAACGCCAAGATCAGCAGTTCGATCCTGCTAGGGACCATTTCCTCTAAAAATTCACAGGGCGTGTGGCGTAGTTGGTAGCGCGTTCGCTTAGCATGCGAAAGGTCTCCGGTTCGACTCCGGACTCGTCCATTTTTTTGATATTTTTTACTTTCATGAGTTAGTAAATGTCGATAGGTAATGATTTATCTCTTTTTTGGTCTATTTGGACCACGTTTGGACTCATTTTAGCAACTTTTAATTAATGGCTATTTAAGTCATTATCCTGTATATAGCGCGCGATATCCCGATAAAGAAAATCCGGAGTTGAATGTTCTTACTCTACTTGTTTAGGGTTGACAAGAAATGTCAATAATACAAAGGAGAGGTTCAAGTAATGGAATAGATGACAAAGAGGAGATCTCTTCTGTAAGTATATGTTTTTAAATTTTGCAAATTGGGTGGAAATTACTAACAAAACTGGGCAAATTAGTACGAATGGACTCAAGACAAAGAACTTCATTTAAAGAAGTATGTTGAAGAATATAGTAATGCAGTTATAGATTTAAGTCAATTCTATCAGCGAATAGATTGGGTATATTTACTGAGAATATTGGAGTTCCCTGATGTGGACTTTCTAAAGTTAAAGGTTGATGAATTATATGATAGTAAGTATCCATACTTGTATGAGAATGAGTTGGATGTTAAACGAGTAGCAGGTTACTGGAAGAATAAAAAGACAACCCTCTATAGAGAAGTGAATGATATAATAGTATCACTTCAATTAGAGAGCTTTAAAACCGAAAGAGATATCGTAGCACCTGCTCCACCACAAGTACCACAAGTACCTCAATCACTGAATGATGTAGGATCGTCTTATATTAGTAAAGTAGAAGTGCCATTAACTACTAAGATGGAAATGCCCAAGATGACGAAAACTCAGAGACGAATGTCTTTGGACTTGATGCATTTAGGGGCCAATACATCACATGATAGTATAGTGGGACTCAAGAGAGATACTAGTCTTACTAAACCAGCAGTTATAAGTACAACATATGTTAATGCTATAACCAAAGCTGAAATAGCAGTAAGAAACAAAAACGGTAATCAAATGCCGCTAATAAGTAATAGATTAAGAAATGTTCTGCAACGTCTAGGCTTCCGAAAACCATCAGAATCCCTGAGGACTGTTTCAGCCCCATTAATTTCTTATGCTGAGCCAGCCACCAGGACTACTCAAAGGAAGCAGACTCAACAAAATCGAACTAAAATGGAAAGAAGAGGTTCTTTATTTGGAGAGAACCTCCCACAGTATATTAAGAATCAATTGAAGCAAGCTTATGAAACAGATAGTGAATCAAATCTGAAAGTGAGTCCAGTCCCCCCTACCGAAACTATAAAAAGGGATAGTAATGAAGATAATGGCGTTATTATGAAATCACCTTCAAGACTTCAGAATTTACTAGCCAATTCTCAATCATTGTATGCTTATTCTAGAGATGTTTCTAGCAGCAGATTCCATAATGGAAGTCAGACTCATACCAACGAATCAGAGACAACCGATAGACATTCAGAATTTGATGGAGAAGAAAATGATCGAGAGTATATTCTGCCCGATCTGCTCACAAGATATAATGGTATTGATGATCATGAAGAAGTTTTGAAAGAAATAGATGATGGTGATGATGATCTAGTACAATTAGTAGTAAGTTTTGATAATTTACTGCGAGTAAATGAAGGCGAAAATGAGTCTTCATTCCATGAACGAGAGGATGATGATTATCTATTTAAAGTATAGCATGATTCTATCTAATATACACGTTTGTTAAGAGATGTAATATAGTTAAGAGAATATTCATATACAAATAAAGTAACAGCACTTGTAGGAGCTGTCTTCAATAGACTTATTCCAAATCCCTTATAAAGTCCATAAATACCTTCATTCCCGAGTATTTTAAAGAATAACTTGAAGGCACTTATTGGCTTCAGTCCATATAATATCGTATACATTTGTGTTCTCTTTCGTAATGTATCCAAAGGGAATGTAACACCCTTTGAAGTTGCTCCTGCTATGAATCCACAAATACCTTCTAAGAAGGGGATTTCATTAAATTTCCGAGCAAACTCTCGTGATGCTTCATATGACCAAAACATTACTGCTGTAGTAGAAGCTACTGATAATGTAGCTGGTTTAATTCCAGTAAAACAGCCTCGTATTCCTTCTTCTTTCCATATCTGTTTGAAAGTAGATGTCATAGATAATAGTTGTTTATTAGAATTCGCAGCAAGTCGAGTTCTTAATAAATCAAATGGATATGTTACAAACGTACTGGCAATACCAGCACCAAATCCCACTACTAATGAATGACTCGAGGCACTAAGATTAACATTATTTGCATTTTCTATTTCACTCAAGGCCTTAGAGATCATAGAATATGATGTGAATTGAACTCCTCCATATAATATATACAATATCTCTGCAGGTACATTACCCTTCCAGAGTCCTACCACTCCTTCATTTCGAATTAGATCAGAAGTTATTCGAATAACTCCTTGACTTTCTTTATATACTTTCTGTTGTAATTGTAGTCGTATTTTTATGGTATCTAATGGAGCTGTAACTCCTCTAAATTATTCATAGTTAGTATAGATTACTAAATAAAAATTACTAGTAATAATAGTCTTGTACCATACCTTGCAACTGCTCCGGAAATAGATCCTGCCGCAAGAGACTCATATGGAGACACATTAGAACCCTTCTTTAAATGGTCCTCTCTCCTGGTTGACTCCATACGGCCTATAACAAGAAGGATCTTAGCATTGAATTAATTATTTCTAATAAGGCATTTGGCCTTCTTAAGCGCATACACAATAAAAATTGATGTGCTGTACTGCATACAGATGTTGTCTATCATCGTACTGCATACTATTTTGAGTATCTGATAGCGACGCGTATAACAGATGAATTGTAATTTTAAGTAAAAGTAAGTAAGAGTTGTATATTTAACATTGATAATAGACATTTAGACAAGTGACTGGATGGCAGAGACAGATATCTCACGACATCCGATAATACGACGTGCTAAATTTACTGACTTAATTAAAAAGGCCGGTGCTATAGACAGTACATTAGCCCTTCACTATGCATCACATTCTACTGATCCATTAGTGATGAATATTATAGAATCATCATCACGATTAGCTCAAAAGCGGATCGAACTTATAGACATACAATACATTTTTTCCATCAGTGCGACATATTATCATGTGTATAATGTGGCAGATCATTGGTGCGATTTCACCAGAACGTATATGTCTTTCCCGTTGGGGTCCAAGAACTCTCTGATGGATAAGAGAAAGGACATATTCCGTCAATGTATTAATGAATGGATAGCCAAGAACCCTGATGCCTCTGATTTATGTATGACTTCATGGCCAGAAATTCTTGTGTACAACAATGAATTAGAAGCAGCACTGCCAAAGACATCGCCAACAAAAGTATCACCAACAAAAGTAACTAAAGCAGTGCGATCAGGAACCAACTCACCGGTAAGACGTAATTTATTGCGTGAGCTTAAAAACGCGACATCCAAGTTCCAGTATCAGCCGAAAAACGAAGCTCAGGAACTGGCGAAAAACAATGGGTTGTCGCTCATAGAGCGGATTAGGCTTAAGGAGAAGTTGAACAGTGAAGCCAAAGATGATCCGTTTGATGATCCTGCTGCTAGACACCAACGATATTTGTTAGAGAAGGCCGTGTCAGTCTATGAAGTTCTCTTTCAACTAAGTAGTGACCGGCTGGAAGGGGATCCGTTCAAGTTATTCTCGGTAGCAAAGTTAGCGGAAGTGGTTAAGGATAGTTCTCCCTATCCACTAGATAGAGATGAAATAGTAGATGTACTTCACGTTATGGAAAGTAAACTTACTAGTGGGACGCTCAGTATAATCAAGCGTAATAACATCAGTGTGATTAAGGTGGGTAAATTAGATCGAGCTACAGATTTAGCATGTTTAGAGTCTTAGTTTACTTGTGTAGTATATATTCGATAAAGCAGGTGTATAATTAGGCTTCGTATATATTTCTATAATAAAGGTTACGATTTACGAGTGAGGCAATCAGACAATGATTACTTACTTACTTACTGTTCATCATCATCTCTGACAGCGATATCGGCTGCAGCAGAATTCATAAAGAAATGCTTCAATACAACTTCAATGATCCATGTAGCACCCAAGTCGAGTAAGATACAACCAGTTAACTTAAACTTAAAGTCATAACTCATAGGTACGAATTGCATGGCTTCATTAATTTCTGGCATGAATTCAGTAGATCCAGAAAGGGCTAAGGCTGCAACTCCTAATAATCCATAGTACATACCTTTATTAGAAGTGATACTTTCCTTAAATGGTAATCCAGTATAATTAACAGCAAAAGTAGATACTTGTTGAGCTAATTGTAATAAGAACATAGCAGTATTCAATAATGAAGGTACAAATTCCTTTTCCAAATCAATTTGAGGTTCTCTTGGTTCTAAGATATAGATTTCTCTTGTAATATAAACTAAAGTGATAATATGAATAGCAAATTGTCCCAAGATAGATCCCATAATATAAGTATTAAAAATTCCATCTTGAGGTCTTTCCTTAGATAATTTTTCAATAGGTTTACCTCTACTAATAGATAAGAAACATACTGATAATAAGATTCCGGAAATAGTAGCTTGAGCATCACCAAATTTAATACCAGCTAAATATAAAACGGAAAGAGAATAAGCAGAAATTAAACAATTCAAGGCTAAGATCTTATACATTTGAATGGTGGATACTAATGCACAACGACCTTGACGAATAATATGAGTTACAGCAGAAACATTAGCTAATTTGGATGTAAATGGAGCAGCTACTGATGCATCACCTAATTTCAATACTGGTGCTTCATCTTCTCCTTCAGCTTCATTCAAAGCTCCTAATAAAGCATCAGCAATTCCAGCATTACCCTTAGCATTTGCACCAGCATCCTTTGGTTTTACAGGAAGAATACCAGCTCTATTGGCAGCAACAACAGCCTTTCTCATTTCATCAGTAATAGTAACACCTTTCTTTTCCATAGCTTCTAAATACTTAGGATTTGAAGGACCAGGAGGATATAAATGAGCAATAGCAACAGGAACTGGTGGAGGTGGTTTTCCCCAATTAGAGAAAAGTTGAACTTGCTTTTCATATACTTTTTGAAGAGTTTCATTCTTTCTATTTTCAGCAATCTTCTTTAAACCTTCTTCAGTACCATTCAATAAGGCAATACCAATATGAGCTTGTTTTAAAGCTCCTACATCATTAGTACCGTCACCGCACATTAAAGTATTATAACCAGCTTCTTTCAAAGAAGTTAAGATAAATTCCTTTTGATTAGGAGAAACTCTAGCATAAACCCAAGTGTGCTTTAACAAATCGAGAATTTGATGATGATCAGCCAAGTAATTTAAAGCATAACCAGTAATACAAACATCATATTTCTTAAATAATCCAATATCAATAGAATTAGATGATTTGAATGGAATAACCACAGTTTCTTCAATGTTTCTCCAAACTAAATCATCATCTTCACCGATTTGATGATGTTCTTCTGGAGCATCTAATATTAAAGTATCACTCTTAGTAGTAATAGCTACTTCTTTAGCAACATGACAAGCAGTTAAAGGATTATCACCAGTAATCATAACACATCTATGCGATGATTCATTCAACATTTGAATGGTTTCAACCGCATCATCTTTCAACGGACAATGGAAAACAATAAATCCAGCAAAATGTAACTTTGATTCAACATCTTCACGTTTAATCTTAGTAACATTAACTCCATGATCTAAATATTTATAAGCTAAAGCTAAAACACGAGATCCAGCTCTAGTAAATGATTTATAGATTTGTTCATAGTTTTCTGGAGCATCAATAATCATATTACGAATAGTTTCTGGAGCACCTTTAGCAGCAACAAAATTCTTATTTGGAATAGCATTAATAGAAGAAATAGCCAGGGATCTTTTTAAAGCTGAAGAAAATTGGAAACGACGTAAGATTTTAATCTTTTCCACTTTACCATTAGGAGCAGTTCTTTCTACAGTATCATTCTTTCCAACAGCCCAATGAGCAGCATGTAAAGTAGCTTGTTCCATTGGATCACCTACAACATCACCATCATCTAATTGAACTAAAGCATGAGCAGAACCTAACACATAAGAAGTGGTTTCTGGAGCTTCTTCACATTTGAATAAATGATGAATTTCATCAGGTTTAAACCCAGCTAAACCTTCAAATACTAAATCTTCAGCAGTTAAAGTACCAGTCTTATCAAAACAACAAACATCAATTCTACCAGCCAATGGGATTCTAAATGGTTCAGTACAATAAACATAGAATTTTTGTAAAGCAGCTAATGATGAATTAACAGCCATAGTTAATTCCATAGGTAATTCAGGTGGAACAACAGAAGTAATAATGATAATACAATCCAAAATCAATTTAGCTTGAACTCTACCCATTTTAGTTCCTTCAACCCAAACATACCAAGAAGCAGCAATAGCAAATTGTAATAAGAATAAAATAAATAAAAAGGCTTCTTTATTTCCAACAGAAACTCGTTCACTAGAGAAAATCATCATTCTAACTAATGAACCTTGAGAAGTTTCAAAACCAGTTTTAATAACATAAGCTAAAGCTCCATTATCAGGAGCATTTGGAATAATTGGATTTTCTGGTTTAGTAACTTGTAAAGCAGAAGTACCACCATGTAAAATAGAATTTTTATCAAATCCTTCTGGTTGTAAATTATCATCAGATGGTCTTAATTTAATCGATTCCTTTAATAATGGAGTTGATTCACCAGATAACATAGCTTCATTAACAATGGCAGTTCCATCAAGTAATAATAAATCACATGGAAGAGCACTATCATCATGAGTTCTAGTTACTGAAACTAAATCACCTGGTAATAATTGAGTGGTAGTCAATTGTTTCCATTTATTATCTCTAAACACATAAATATCATATGGTTTAATACCCATTGATTGGAATTCATTCATAGTGGTTCTTCTTTGGAAAACAGTTGTCATTTCAAAAGATACCAACATGAATAATGAGAATAAAGAATAATACCATTGTTCATCCATACACCAAAGTGCTACACAAAAGATTTGAAATACAAAGAATGGAGCTACAGCATGTTCTTTAAACAATTCCATAAAACTAGGAATAGGAATATCAAATCTATTTTCACCATAATTACGAGAATATTTTTCTAAATCTCCCAGTAAACCTTTAGAGGTTTGGAAATATTCTAATTTAGGTAATTCATCGAATTTAAATTGAGGTGGCGAGAACTTGTTAGTTGATTTATGGAATAAATGTCTTCTTTTTTGATATAAAAAGCTAACTTGACGTTCACCGTCATGAAATGTCTCTCTAATAATCTTACAAATTTCACCTACACCAGAATTTGGGGCAGGAGTGATCTTAACATAAGATGCTTCTTCAATAGTCTTTACAGATGAATAATTAAATGATGAATTGATATTGATATTCCAATGAGGCATCAACCAGAACAATAAGTTCAATGAGATCACAGTTATCAGATATACAAATGTCCATTCCTTTCCCACAATATAAGTATCATAATGATTTAAATAAATCTGCAAACATATAGGGTATATGATGGTAAATGGCCATACATAAGGTCTAAAAAGTAGTGGTTTAGGTACCAACAATTGGGCATTCTGAATGACAGGATTATCCACTATGTCAGTCATGATAATTACTGGTAGGCCACACTCTTCAAGAAATTAGGTGGGGGTGGTAGAGTATAGTGAGCTTCGGGGTTAATTTTTATGGTGGCCGTTGATGGATAACTTTTCAGGCAAGACACGACAGACAGCAGAATACGGTGGAAGTGCGTGGAAGAGGTTTGAGCATTATTGTACACAGGATATTAGTGAGATAAAGGATTTGTTAGAGATTTGATAGTGAGATATACAGCGTAGTAGATAGTATACAGTATAGAGATAGTAAATAGCACAGTAGTACAGCAGTAGTTAATACCGGCGGAGTCAATCAGATAGTTAGGAGACAGCCAAGATAAATGGTTACTGTATAGTGACTATGAGACTAATTGTATTGTGATGTACATACTGAGGGTAATGGTGAGACTATAGCAGTACATACTGAGAAAGTAGCAATACTGAGACTGTAGCAGTACTGAGACTTTGGGACAGCGGTGATGAAAAAAGTTTGATACTAAAAAATAATAATACTCCGTGCATCTTATTAATCTAGGGTAAGCGGATTAGTATCTAGTCTTAGCATATTAGGTCTACTCATACTATGCATCACTATCTCCTATCTACACTTAAATGACCTTCATTTAATATTATATCTTAATAACACAACTATATATCCTGAAACACTAACATATATGGTGACAATACTCTTAAGTAGCCAAGATATTATCCACTATAATGACGTATTTTTATATTGTCATCCCTTCATACGGTTTCGGACCCAACCTTGTTCCTCGGGATCTATCTGATGACTCGTAAATGAAACAAAAACACATTTGCATCCATTTCTCCTGATGGTGAATTGAATCATCTAATTATCTACCGGAAATCACACGATTGAGGAAAATATCGGAAGAAGAGCAAAATAAAATAAAGAAGGGAAAAAGAAAAAAAAAAAAAAAAAAAAAAAGGATGCAAGATTAAGGCAATGTGCAGGCTGCCTATTTGAGACAGCATCACGATTACTACTGCACTCTAACTCTTGTTCTCTTCAATGTAATACAAGCTAATTCTACTAGATACTATATAAGAATTGTACTGTAAACCTGTCGTAATGTTCATTAAATCAAACTATATAAGTAAAGACGTAAACCAAATGTAAAAATATATGAAAAATATATATGATGGTGTAAAATGAAACCAATGAAGAATTGAAATGCAAGTAATAGTTAAATGCCCGTATGATTAAGCCTCTCACTCAGCCAGCAAGTTTGTTGAAGTTTAATTAATTGTAAGTGAAGATTATATTCTTTTTGTTGTTATACTCTTCAATGCTATTAGCTGGAGTAGCCATATGAAAAACCGGCTTGGAGACTCTTTTGTTATTGTTGTTTTCGTATGAATGATGTTCTCTAGCTGAATGATATTCTCTGATTTCCTCTTCCATATCTTCTTCTTCGCTGTATTCGCTTTCGCTTTCACATTGATCCTCTTCTTCTTCGACATCAATAAATGAATTGGTAGTATGAGTGTCAGGAGGAGTATTGAGTTGAGGATTAGAGACAACTTCATCTTGATGATTTGCTTTCTTAATGGAAGATCTGGAATGAGTATGTTGAGGATGTGGTTGATCAGAGAAGAAATCACATCTGATGATTTCTTTATATAAGTTTGATAATGAAATTCTATCATTGGGATTTAATTGGAAAATTTTATCTAATAATCTATTGAATTGATGAGATATTGGTAAGATTGATCCTAAGATATTCTTATTATTATTCAACATATAACTCTTAAAAACATCATTATTATTTTGTTGGTCTTTAAATGATGCAATTGGCCAAGGATTTCTTGAACATGAAATATTAATAAATAATACCCCTAATGACCAAATATCACCAGCTAATGTAGGTAAGAATTTGGAATTTGAGGCTGTAACTGTAGTATTATTAATTTCAATTGAATGATATTGTTTCATGTCAATTAATGATCTTATAATATTATTAGTATTGTAATTGGTGGTTCTTTCTGGTGCCATGTAAAATGAAGATCCACGACAAGCATTACAGCAAATCAAATTTGAATCCATGGCTAAACCAAAATCAATTAATACAATATGAATTTCATTATAATCAACAATTGGACTGGTGGATTTTCTCTTATAATTTGGGTTGTAATTAATCATAATGTTTTCTGGTTTTAAATCACAATGATAAATACCATTTTGATCACAATATTCAAGAGCTTCAATTAATTGTAACATAACATTCTTCATAAGAACTTGTTTTAAATGTTGTGGTTGATGTCTTTGGAAGATTTCATTATCAATAATATTATTAAATAAATCACCTTGTTCAAAATAATCCATAAGAATTATAATGGCTAAGTTATCAAGGTTTAATACTTTATGAATTGTTATAATATTTGGGTGTTGATGAACTTTTAAATGTAATGCAATTTCTCTTAAGAATGGACAATGTAAACCATCGTTTTTAATTAAATTTAAATCTATTTCATTGGCAATAGCACGAGGATGAGTTGCAAAGTATTCAAAAATTTTTCTTTGAATGTATTTTTTGTTTTCTCCAGCATCTTTTGGGGATGCATGTTTTAATGGGGGATCTTTTAATAACATTTTCGCAGCATATTGTTTTCCGGTTGTGATGTCTTGCACTAAATAAATGAGCCCATAAGTTCCTGCACCTATTTTCTTTACGAATTTTAAGTTACCGTTCATCATAAATCCATTTAATAAGATCAGGTTGGTATTGGTTGGCAGTTGTTTAGAAGTAACATAAGGCAGCGATATAGGTGCTGTGGCATCTAATAATGGTAATATATTTAATGTCATTTTTATAGTATTATGCAATGTTTGTAGTCGTAATAAACGTAGGCAAAATTAATCGTAGTAGTAGTCGTTATAGCGTTAATCGTAATAGTAGTAGTAATAGTAATAGCAATGATATGCAATTGACTAGTATAATAGTTGTAATTGAATTGTTTGTTGTATGAAGATATGGAACATCAAAATGACAAGAAACTGTATGGAAATCCACATGCATTTATACTAGATGCTAAAGTGTGTTTTGCCATAATGAAAATTTGACCCAGAAAAAAACATTAAAAAATAATTAAAAAAAAAAAAGACTAAAAAAGCACGTAATGGATGATTAAACGATTTTATTTTTTTACGTGAGAGCGGCTTGTTCCGCGCAGACGCATAGAGGAAAATTTAGGAACGAAGTGCCCAGCTAAGATTTTAGCATCCGAGCAAGTTCATGGGTGACTCGTCATACTGATACTGATCTAGAATGCTAAGAAGAATGTTAAGTGATGAGATTTTTGCTGGATAATGATAGTGTGTACCCTTCTATCATTAGTGTAGTATATTGGCATTTGGTAAGATTACGGAATATAAAGGATAGTTAGAGTAGCCTATTTTGATTACCCGAGGGCCCATACTATAAAGGAATTTCCGACTTATCAGTCAATAATTTTTAGAGAATACCCATTATACACTCCCAAACCTATGACTATTTCATATCACTACTTAATTATAATGGACTAGAGAATATACGTATCTGTAGATTGGTTGATCTAACAATAATTGTAGATAGTGATGTCAATACTATGAAGTAATCAGTAATTGAGAACAGAAAAAAGTTCCGCCTCCCCAGATCTTCTTCATATTCAAAAGCTCAATGCCAAGTATTTTGTACAAGCAATGCTTACATAAGAAGGCTATATTGTATGAAATAATCAAGTGTTGGTCATAATCTTAGATATGTACAAGGCATTGGTTAACTTTTATTTATTGACCATATGACTGAGGACCCAAATAATAATCCTTTACATAATATTTCAATTTCCGTGCCCCAGTTTTTTTCTCAATCCAGTTGGCATCTCGTACTTCTCACTAAATGAGGTTATGGTGTGATGATTTTTCGCAGTAGATCAGTTCATTTTTTCTTTTCCTACTTTATTTTTATTTTTGGGTGCGGATTTTCTAGATCCTTACGCTATTTTCCGGAAAGGACATTAAAGTCCATGACTTTTTCATCACTGAGATTTACGCTAATGAGTTCTGCGCGCGCCACGTCTCATTATCTTTTATACTCAGCCTGCCTTTTTTCCGCTGAAGCTTTATTATTACTGAGCTCATCGCTGGTAAATGGTCAGCTGACTGAACTACTTCAATATGTATTTACGTCTTTATCTGATTTCATATTATAGTTTTTCTATTTTCTGTTTTGGCTATTGTTCTAGATTTGCGATATGATGTAGTTCTACATGTCAAAATATGTCTTTTTTTCTTATCTGGTTCTAGGTTACCTGTTTGCCATATGACAAAGTTATTACATTCGCCACTATACATTCTCTAAATTACTACTCTTCTAATGTTTCTTCCTATTTGGGCAAGTTTGTTCGAATATGCAAAAGAAGGAGATTAGTATCTTACGGAGTTGAATCTGGTCCGAAACCTAATTAAAGTCCAATTTTTTTCACATGAAAATTTGTATTGCAGCAATTGCGAGTAAGGATTTAAAAACATTCAATGTTATATACCTTATGACATGAACGTAGCTGTATAACATATGCTGTGTTGATATGATGTTATGATGCTATGATGCTATGAAGTAACAAATAATACATCTGTGAATGCTATATTCTATACTGAAGAAAGGTTGATATCATAATCCTGTATTTGCATTCTGTAAATATAGGATTAGCTCCATGTAGTAATGTTCTAACACTCTCTATTCAAGTTCAGATACACTCCCCACTTTTAAAATCGTAGTAGTGTCATTTATTTGCTAATTTTGCTTGATCACCACCATTTGTTTCTCCGGCACGCTAACTCCTATTCGGACTTCTGATTGCTTTGGTCTATTATTTTCGCAGCCGTATTTGTTGGAAGTATAAAGAGGGGCAATTTATATTTAATCACCTAAATCCTAACGTTCCTAGAAGTAAACAACAACTATGTCAATGCTAAAGTATAAATTATAAAAAAAGGAAAGGGCGCCTTTCTGCTTCTATTTGATTTTGGTGTTTCTTAGAAGTTTACTCTTCAGTTTATTTCACATGCAATATTAACTATATTATCCCAATACGAACCTGAATTTTCTATTAATTCGAAAGGTCAAGATTCTATATATTACTCTTGAAACTATATCTAATTCATATAAATTGTCTTTTATTAATGTAGAGCTGCTTTCACATGGGAAAGATAAGTAGTTGTATGTACGTCATCTACATTTTATATATCATTTGTACAATAAAATAAAATTTTGTTTCAATCATAACCATTTGCCATCGATTTTAATATAGCAACTTCCAGTAGCTGGTTTACTATCCACTATAGCTTCCTTTAATTCCTCTTCGGTAATACCTGGAAATTCTGCTTTATAGTATTTCTCAGTCAATGCCTCAATTAATCCTGGTAACTTCTTAGTGGTAGTCAAGTGAACAATTGACCCACCCCAGCCTGCACCTGTAATTCTTGAACCATAGGATCCATTCGCTAATGCAATGGCACAAATCTCATTTAATTTTTCGTTAGACGAATTGTTAAGTTCATCCAAAGATGTTTGTGATTCATTCATGATTTTTCCAAACGCAGTTAAGAATTTCTCACCTTCATTATTAGCGTTGGCCTTTTCTAATTCTCTTAAAGATTGTAAAACTTTTAAACTTTCAGCATACACGTGCTTAACACGTTGGTATAATTTCAAAACTTCAAATCTAACTGGAACCTTTGTCAAGTATGTTTCTGTAAATTGTTGAGATGTAATTCCTAAAACTTGACTAGCATGATCAACACTGAATCCCACCTTTTCTTCAGCAGTAAAAATCTCTGGCTTTTCAATTAATTTCAATACTTGTTCTAATCTAGCAACACCAACATCGACATCATTACCGTCCCATGGTTTCTCGTGTAAGACATCTGTATAGTATGAATCCAAAAATCCTCTTAAACTACCTGATTTAATATTGGAATCCTTTGGTAATGTGAGTCCAAATTTATGAGCCAATAAATCAGCACCAATTCCCATTTCAACCACACGTAAGTTATAATGAATTGGTGCAGTCTCGTGTTTATTACTCTTCTGCAAACTATTTGTGATCAAAAATGCTAATTCTTCACTATCAGAAATGGAAGGGAACTTGAAAGGCACACCAATCAAATTAGGTTTAAATTTGACTAATAAAGCTTTGGAAGCTTCACCATAAATGGATGCACATTGATCCATACCACCAGTGTTAACACCAACATAATGCTCACAAACGACTGTTATTCTAGTTAAGTCTTTTTTAGAGATTTGAGGGACATTATTGGCTTTCAAGATAGCTAAGGTGGAAGCAACACAGAAGGCAGCCGATGAACTTAAACCTCCTCCAGTAGGAACAGTTCCATCAAAAGCAACTTTCAATCCATTCAATGGTTTCTTACCACTATCTAGTAAGTGTGCATGGTTTTCTAAAATGTACTTATGAGCAACAATCAATCCACATTTAAAGTAACTGGCCCATGAGAAACTCTCATTCTCGGAGTCTATTTCAATAACACTCCCATCTGCAGGTAATACGAATGTTTGAGGTGTGAAGGCCTCATCAGTGTTTATTAACTGGACTTCAAGTGAGTCGGGGTAAGATTTACCAACTCCAATTACATCAACATCAATAGCCATGGGCAACACTGGGAAGAAGTTATAATCAATGTGATCTCCAATCAAGTTGACTCTTCCTGGAGATCTACTGATGAATTCTGGTTCATCTTTAAAGTTGATGGTAAATTTTTCAATCAACTTCTTGATTCTGGATTCAAGAAGTTGGGGGTTTGATGAGAATGAAAGACTCTCAAAGGTTGGAACAATAGGATCTTCAATAGTCATAATTTCACTTAAAAAATAATAAGTATCAAGAGTGTATAAAAATAGTTGAAAGGAAATTTATAGACGACGTTTTTACGGTGCAGAATTTATCTTCTAATATATAACGTACGTTCGAATTTTCTCCATGGGGTCGGCGAGAATGATGTTATGTAGAAAAAAGTGTAACGTTACACTTTCTGAGGATCGGAACAATATAATGCATAAAATGTCTGCAGATAAATTATGGGGTGTCAAGTTTTAAGTTTAGTCGACAATTTCTCCGAAACCAATGTGCCTAATTTAGCAATCATCTGGTGAGCGATTACAAATCAGTATGAAATTGTATGATTGCTAATGAATATTGAAAAGCAATCCATTCTGCTTGTGAGGCAACTTTTTCTGGCCATGCTCATGTTCGTATCAACCAGAGATTTAAACTAATGAAATCTTTTGGTATATAGCCACGATAAACAGCTAATCAAATATCTTCCTAAAGAGATTCTTTGACTCTTTGGGCACCTAGAGTAAAATTATAATGGGTTTAATATGTTAGAGTTTACTGCCGATGTCTAAACTGTTAAAAATCTGTAATCCATGATGGGGAACAGGTGGAGCTGTGGTGGGGCAATTCCGTATTAGAAAACCTTCCACAAATGATATAACATCTTCAAAAACAGATATATATCTTCCAATTGCAAAATGACTTGTAACGAGATTTATTATTTGTATTTTCAGACATTTTTTATTGTTGAATTTAAAGTTATGCAGAAAACCGATACACGTTTCCCCAGCATCAGTCAATCAGGCACGCTCGCAAATTTTTGGTGCAACTTTTTTATGTAACGTTACAGTTTTATTCTCCGGTGGGGAGACGCTAGCAGCTCCAACCGTAATTAGTTGTGGAGGATAAATTTTATATATGCTGTGTACGACCCCAGGCCCAAAATTTTTCAATTCCCCTATTTCTTTTTCCTCCAAACTTTATCCAAACTATCTTATAGTTTATAGAACATAGTATACTATTTAGTTTAATCATGTCTGAATATATCCTTGTCACTGGTGGTGCTGGTTACATTGGTTCTCATACCGTTGTTGAGTTAATTAATAATGGACATAAAGTTGTGGTTGTTGATAATTTAGTCAATTCCTCTTATGATTCAATTGCAAGAGTTGAATTCATTGTCAAACAGTCAATTCCATTCTTCAATATTGATCTTAGAGATCATGATAAGTTGTCTGAAGTTTTTAAGGCTTATAAAATCAAAGGTGTCATTCATTTTGCTGCTTTAAAGGCTGTTGGTGAATCTACCAAAATTCCTTTAGATTATTATGATAATAATGTCAATGGTACCATCAGCTTATTAAATGTTTTGAAAGAACACAATGTCAAAACCATTGTATTCAGTTCTTCTGCCACTGTTTATGGTGATGTTACAAGATTCGGTGACGATAGATACATTCCAATCCCTGAAGAATGTCCTCTTGACCCAACTAACCCATATGGAAGAACAAAATTTGTGGTTGAAGGAATCTTAAAGGACATACATACCAGTGATCCTGACAATTGGAAAGTTGCTATTTTGAGATATTTCAATCCAATTGGTGCTCATCCATCTGGTTTAATTGGTGAAGATCCATTAGGTATTCCAAACAATTTATTACCTTATTTATCTCAAGTAGCTATAGGTAGAAGAGACAAATTATCTATTTTTGGTAATGACTATAAGAGTCACGATGGTACTCCAATCAGAGATTACATACACGTTGTTGATTTAGCTAAGGGTCATATTGCAGCTTTGAATTATTTGCACAAACTCAATGAAAGTGGTTTATATAGAGAATGGAATTTGGGTACTGGTAAAGGTTCTACTGTTTTTGATATTTACCACGCATTCAGTAAAGCAGTTGGAAAACAATTACCTTATGAAGTTGTTGGTAGAAGAGCAGGTGATGTTCTTGATTTAACTGCTAACCCATCCAGGGCTAATAAAGAATTGGGATGGAAAGCTGAATTAGATATTGAAACTGCTTGTGAAGACTTATGGAGATGGACAACTAAAAACACCCATGGGTTTAATGTTGAAGGTTATTCATGGAAGACTTTTGAAAGTGATGGAAACTATGGTAATAGATTACACACTTTTGTTAATGGAGATTTAACTGTTGCTTTGGCCAACCATGGTGCTTTAATTCAAGATATCAACTTTGATGGTGACCATATTGTCAATGCTTATGATAATGGTGATGATTACTTATTAAAATCAAATCCATTCTTTGGAACCACTGTTGGACGTGTAGCCAATAGAATTGCAAATGGTCAATTCGAATTAAATGGTAAAACTTATAATTTACCTAAAAATGAAAATCAAAACACTTTACATGGTGGTCTTGTTGGTTATGACAAAGAAAACTTTTTAGGACCAATTGTTAAGAAAGAAAAGGATGTATTCATTGTTGAATTCTTATTAGTTGATCCAGATGGAAAGAATAATTTCCCAGGTGATGTTGAAAATATTGTTAGATATTTTATTGACAATAAATCCATCAAGATCGAATATGAAGCTAGATTACTTAATGATAAAGTTGATGCTACTATCATTAACATCACCAATCACTCTTATTTCAACCTTTCTGGTGATGCTACTACAGATGATACAGTAGTTAAATTAAGTTATGATAACTACTTAGAAGTTGATGCAAAGACTTTATTACCTACTGGTAATGTTATTAAACATGATAGAGTTGATGCCAACAAACCAATCACTTTAAGTGAAGACACCTTTTATGATTACTGTTTTGTTGTTGACAATGATGCTGATGCTATTGATACAAGATCTCACGAATTAAAGAAAGTATTTGAAGCTACCCATCCAAGATCTCATACTAAGTTCGTTGTGTCTACTACTGAACCAACTTATCAATTCTACACTGGTGTAGGTGTTAATACTAAGGGATTCGTTGCTAGAAGTGGTTTCTGTGTTGAACCAGGTAGATTTGTTGATGCTATCAACAATAAAAAATGGGCTCCACAAGTTATCTTAAAGAAAGGTGAAGTCTATGGTAGTATTATTCAATATGACTTGTCTAAAGTTTAAAATGACGTAGTTTAAATAAAATAAAATAGGATTTTTAAAAATAATATATGATTTATATATACTATATTGTTTTTGCACACATGGTTGCAAAATTCATGAGAGTATTCTTTAAAGGGTAACTTTTTGAATAAAACTCATTTCCTCTAGTCTTTTTACTATTAATTCTTTCTTTGATAACCACTTCTTTATGGGTGTTTGACTTCTATTGCATTTTGTTCAAGAATATTTGCCAAATTTGGACAATAAAATAATCTGGTCAATTCAAGTTAAAAATCATTACCGTTTGTTACTATTGTTACATCATCAAAGCTACTAACATCTAGAGATATCATAGAGATAGTAATATAGCATCAATTCAAAGAAATAAGCTGCAAATTACAATTTATAAATCTCACGTGATCTGTTCACATGATGTCTCACGTGATGTAGACTGAGCCGCATCCAAAAATCACGTTCATCTTTTGTTGCTTCGTTCCTCATGGCCCAATGGTCAAGGCGTCTGGCTACGATTCAGTAACCACTTCTCGGTTGGAACCAGAAGATTCCAGGTTCGACTCCTGGTGGGGAAGCAACTTTTTTTTTGAATATCGAAACAATATTATTTTTTATAATTCTTTACTTCGTAGTGACATTCTCTTTTACTATAACTCCAAACAGTCAATGAAAGTATACTCCATATATATCCTCAATAAAGCTGGAGGATTGATCTATCAAAATGATGTTAATCCTGGGCTAAATCGATTAAGTGCTAATGATTATCTTGTCCTTGCTGGTACGCTTCATGGAGTTCATGCTATAGCAGCAAAAGTAACACCCACTATTAATGGGAAGGAAGTGGCAACGAATGAATATCCAAACAATCAAAACGCAATTCTACTAGCTTCTGGAAAGTTACAAGATTCGAATAGTAATAAATCAGGATTGCAAAGTATAGAGACTGACCTCTTCAATTTATACATTTTTCAAACGTTGACAGGGATAAAGTTTATATTAATTACATCACCCAATCCAGTAGTTCATAATCTACAACAAATTAATAGAGAAGTTGCAAACAAGGGTGAATTGAATAAGCAATACGCCCAAGCCAATGAAATATTCAAACACTTATACATAATATATTCAGATTATGTAATGAAAGATCCATTCTATTCACTTGATATGCCCATCAAAAGTAGCTTATTTGATACAAAGGTTAAAGAAATTGTATAACATTCATTGTATATATATCTAGATAGACTAATACTATAAAGATTCATAAAAATTTTCTATCAAATTTTCTATTCCCGCTCTGAATTCTATCTTTGGTTCCCAGCCCAACAGTTTCATTTTATCACAATTGATAGAATAACGTAAATCATTATAATTTCTATCTGGAACAAAAGAAATTCTTTCACCTAACCCTTTATTGCTTCCAATAAATGCCTCACATATCAATTTCACTGCAGAATAATTATCGATTTCAAACTCACTTCCAATATTGTAAGTTCCATCCATATCACCTTTAGTCCATATTAATTCTAACCCTTCCAAAAAATCTCTCACATGTAAATAACATCTTTTATTTGAACCATTTCCATGAAGTGGTATGTTCTTGTTATTCTTGAGACAATTTAAAGTTAAGGAAACTAATTTGTCTGGATACTGATAAGGTCCGTATATATTGTTGGGTCTAATAATGCAAATAGGTAACTTGTATGAATACTGATAGGAACTTATTATAAGATCTATGGCAGCTTTTGACGCGGAATAAGGATTGGTTGGTCTTAAAGTGCCATATTCAACAGCATCAATATTCGAATCACCATACACTTCGTCAGTAGAAATATGCAAGAAATTTATCTTAATATTAGAATTTGATTCTTTTAAAAGTCTATAACACTCTAGCAAATTTTGAGTACTTAAAATATTATTTCTAGTGAAATATAATGGAGATTCAAATGATTTATCAACACTGGACTCAGCAGCAAAGTTCACGATATCAGTTATTGGATATTGCTCATTGTTTGTAACAATAAGTTGATATAACTCATCAAAAGATTCCGCCAAATCAAGCTTTATAAATTTGAAATTTGTCTTTGATATTATACTTCTTATATTCTTAGTTGAGGAATTACTTGAATAGTTTAGCTTATCAATGCAAATGAAATAGTAGTTTGGATATGCTGCAACAAAGTAGTTCAAAAAGTTAGAGCCTATAAACCCCGCTCCTCCAGTAACTAAAACATATCTATCATATGCCTTGGTCATGTTATTTATTCTTCTAAAAGAAAAAAAAAATTCACTGATAGCACAATAACTTATTAAGGTATGTACACCTACTTAAATAGCGATCAATAATAGAAGGCAGATGACCTCACATCGAATAAGCTTGAGGAAAAAACTGTAACGTTACACTCTTTTCCCCATACATAAGCGATGCTGTAAGGTCCGATTAGTTGACCATAGTTAAATTTCGGAAAAATCTTTTGCGGCAGGCGTGGTCATAAACAGACACTCAGATTATTAGGCCACAAGGTTAACTGATTTAACTATTGTTATTTCATTCGGAGCAAATCAAAAAATACTTCAGACACTTTTCTTGTTTAAATTTGGCAAGATGGGGTGCATTACCAGACAAAAATCACACGTTTGGGCTGGAGACGACCATAAATAGTACAACGTTACAGAAAAAAGAAAAAGTTTTGAATGGAAAAGATAAAAAAAAGGAAATTTGTCAGTTGATTCAATTTGTAAACTTTTTGGTCAAATCTTAAGTGAATAAGTATAAATAAGTGGGAAATCTCTTAGAATCTTGGGTCAAAAATGAATGGAATGGAACATTTATTAAATCCAATAACGTCCTCACCGACTTATATAAAGATGACTCAGCAATTCGATTTTACGAATCATTCCCATCGTCGTTTGAATCCATTAACTAATACTTATGTCTTATGTTCTCCTCATAGATCAAAAAGACCTTGGCAAGGTGCCAGAGAAGAAGTGAAAAAGATGGCATTACCAGAATATGATCCAAAATGTTATTTATGTCCCGGTAATATCAGGGCTACTGGTGATGTTAATCCTAAGTTTGAATCTACTTATATATTCACTAATGATTATCCAGCTGTTAAACTAGAACAACCCGAATATATAGAGGAAGAGCAAGAAGATACACTTAAAGGAAGATTACTCAAAACAGAAGGTGTTAGAGGTAAATGTTTTGTAATATGTTTTAGTCCTAATCATAATTTGACTATTCCAATAATGAGTATACCTGAATTAACCAAAGTAGTTTCTACATGGCAAAAGTTATATCAAGAAGTTCAACATGAAGCAATAAATGGAAGTGCCCCATATAAATATTTACAAATATTTGAAAACAAAGGATTTGCAATGGGATGTTCGAATCCACATCCTCATGGTCAAGCATGGTGCTTAGACGTAATTCCAACCGAAGTTGACCGTGAATTAGAGAATATGGGAAAATATCATAGACAACATCATTCTCATTTACTCGGAGATTATGTGAAATTAGAGTTGGCTGAAAAGGAAAGAGTTGTTCTAGAAAATGATTCGTTTGTTGTTGTCGTACCATACTGGGCACTTTGGCCATTTGAAACTTTATTAATTTCCAAAGAGCATTTGACTTCGACTAATGATTTTACTGACAAGCATAAGAGTGACTTAGCACTCATATTAAAGAAATTGACTACCAAATATGATAATTTATTCAACACATCATTCCCTTACTCCATGGGTATTCATCAAGCTCCTTTACAATGTAGTGAAGAAGTCAAGAATAACTCCTGGTTCCATATGCATTTCTATCCTCCTTTATTAAGATCAGCCACCGTCAAGAAATTCTGTGTTGGGTTTGAAATGTTAGGTGAACCACAAAGAGACTTGACTAGTGAACAAGCTGCTGCGAGATTGATTGAATTAAGTGGAGACAAGCACTTCAATGATTTGTAATGAAATTCATAGACGACCCCAGAATTTTAATTTTATATATATTATTATAGAAGTAATTAATTTTCATAATATAAAAAAGTTAATACCTCCTATATAGCTGCTAAGCATGTGTAATACTATTTAGATTTTTTTACTAATTAGTACAATTAGCAGCCTTATCTCCCATTTTAGAAATCCTGCATATGGACGAGCTGATCTCATTACATTCAATAATTTTTTTTTTATAGCTGTGAATTTTTCACAGTATATCTCCTACTTGACAATAACGACATGACCAAGGACCAGGAACAAGAGATATTGCCTGAAATAGAGGCTCTAAGTGTCAAAGTAAAGGAGACCAAACCCCCCTTAGATTCAAGAATAGGGAAGGACTCTCCCTTTACCTTTGGCCAAAGATATTTAGAGAACGAAGAAGAAGTATTCAACCACAATGCCTGGGATCATGTAGAATGGGGGGATCAACAAATAGAAGAAGCTAAGGAAAAGATTTCAAAACAATATGACCATCCAGTTAAAGACTTTGACAAAAAGTTATATAACACAAATCCAGCCAAATATTGGGATATTTTCTATAAGCATAATCAAGAGAATTTCTTTAAAGATAGGAAATGGTTACAGATTGAATTTCCTTTACTTTATGAAGTAACAAAGGAAGAATATACTAAAGAAACTACTATATTGGAAATAGGATGTGGTGCTGGTAATACATTTTTCCCAGTATTGAGTCAAAATAAGAATCCAAACTTAAAGATCTTCGGATGTGATTACCTGAAAGTTGCAGTAGATTTAGTACGTTCTAATGAAGAATTTAAGATTAGTCATGAAAAGGGTATTGCATATTCATCAGTATGGGATTTAGCTAATTCTGAAGGAATAATACCTGAAGATTTACAACCAAACTCAGTAGATATAGTTATTATGGTATTTGTATTCCTGGCATTACACCCTGATGAATGGAATCATGCTATTGACAATTTAGCCAAAGTATTGAAACCAGGTGGAAAGATCTTATTTAGAGATTATGGTAGATATGATTTAGCTCAAGTCAGATTTAAGAAAGGTAGATTATTAGATGATAATTTCTATATTAGAGGTGATGGAACTAGAGTTTATTTCTTTACAGAAGAAGAATTACGTAAAATTTTTGGACAAAGATTCAAAGAGGAGAAGATAGCGACAGACAGAAGATTATTAGTTAATAGAAAGAAACAACTTAAGATGTATAGAAATTGGTTACAAGCTGTTTTCCTGACCTAAACCATTAATTTATTATACTTAAATTATAATTGTAATATACAAGAAATTATCTAAATGCTTAAAGATGTCCCATACTTCTTGAATTGAGACATCATAAAGCAGTTTTGCAGCTATTCCCTGAATATATGGGGTAGCAAAATTGGAACTATCGGGATTATCAAAAAGATAAGGCAATTGTTCGACAAGGATATTCTTTAATGTCACTTTAGTAGTATCTTTATTAGGAAATACTGGAGATTGAACTATAGTTGAAGATCCTGAAATTAGTATTCGTACAGGAATCTTACTATATTCATACTTCGGAATTATTTTACCATTGATCAGATTAACCATCATAAGATTATGGGTTTCAATCCCATTCCAAAGCTGATTCAAATCTATCTCTGATAAGTCCATTATAGGCTTAGCACTACCATTCAATACATAACATGATTGTTTTAACTGATTTACAATAACTTCCCTTGAAAATCGTTTATAATCTATTGATCTGTCTTGTTTCTTATATACAAACGGGAGTAAATCAGTTGTAGGATAATTCTCATCATATTTCAAGTATAAGGTCCATGTATTATTAGGAAGTGGCTGAGATTGTGATTGAGATTGTGATTGTGATTGTGATTGAGACTGAGACTGAGACTGAGACTGAGACTGAGACTGAGACTGAGACTGAGACTGAGACTGAGATTGAGACTGAGACTTACTCGCCACTATACAGGGGAAGTATAAGAAGTCATACAACAACCCTACTGGTAGGTTCCATTTTATAGGTACACCTTCATATTCCAACCATACGGGTTTTTCATATATTGCCGGTTGAAATAATCGAAAATACGCTATTATAGTTTCAAAATATAATGAAAAGTATGAATTTCGATGGATAGTTAATAAGAACTCTTTATCATCATTATCATCCTTTAGCTTAATACATATTTTAATCAACCCATTCCATAATTTCTCCTTAACATCGTAGATTACACTCTCACTATCTGTCATTTCCGGTATAGAACTAGAACCTAACTAACTATTCGGATATAGTTCCGCTGCACTAGTACTAATTACTGGGTTAGGATTATTACCAGCCCGCACTATCACCAAACCAGCCATTTTTTTCCTAATCGGGCCACTTGCTCTCCACAAAAAAATGATTTTGGGTGCGAAGAGCCACCTAAGAATTCATTAATTTTATTCTATGCAACCGTTGGACAATGGTGTCAGGTTATTTATATAATGATAGAAGGAAGCTTTTTTTGACGATGGTTTTAATTATAATTATCCATAAAGTAGACGATATTTACATTGTAGAAATATGAGACACCAAAATTTGTCTAAGCAGACATTAACTGCCTCAGACTTACCACCTGATATCCCAGCAGCAACTTTTGCATCCGATTTAGCTTACATAGTAGAAAACTATAGACCAGGAAATCATAATATACATGACATTCCAGAAGAAATTCCTGTGTTTAACAAGACAACAGGTAAATTCAAAAGGTTCATCCAAAAGAGAACTTCGTCCTTACACAGAAAGAGAGTAACAAGTATGCCTATTATTCAACAACTGTATCAAGCTCAACCTAATCAACAACCAGACTTACCAAGATCTTCAGTAGAAAGTACTAAGAAAGAATTACCATCATTACCATTATTACCACCAAAGACTCCCAGTATTATGATAAGTACAGAAAAGAAGAGATCCATTTCACTATATGAACCACCACAACTATATACCAATGCCACTACATCTTCATCTCTGATATATAATAGTTCAGGGGAAGATACTCAGTCTATTGAATTTAAAACTCCATCTAAACCAAAACATGTTGTCATAGATGAAGATGACGATGAGTCAAGTGTATTCTCATATCCAGCTAGTAGTATTTATTCATCGCATTCATCGGCTGCTTCCAGTGGATCCAACTCTGAAAGTATAATTGCAAAAAGTATTTTGGATGTTGTTCATGGCTATACAACTCCAGCAAGTTCAGACAAATCTTCCATTTTATCTAGTCCACTTGATTACGATAATATGATGGTTACACCAATACAGGACTCTGAAATTCATAGTAAATATGAAATAGAAAGCTTTGTGGATAGTCTATTTTCCGATTGGACTCTCGAAAGTAAGAAATCAGAATTAGAGACTCCACCAACCCCACCACCTCATTCTGTCCAGCCATGTATGCCATTGACTCCCCCAACCCCAATATCAGAAGCAATGGTTGCAAAACCTCAAAAACAATTGCCATCAATACCCAAGTTTGAATCACAATCTCAACCAACAGGAACTAACCCATCAACAAAGTTACTGTCACCACCTTTACAAATATCAAAAGCAAGAAAGAGTCAAATGCCAACCATTACACCACATCATTCAAATCAATCTAGTATTTCAACAATGAAGAGTGATCCTAAAGCTGAAATCAAGGCTTACATGAGGCAAAGACCATTCAGTTATAGTTTAGATGGTCCTAAACAATATAAATTATCACGTTTCCCATCCCTTGCAGGTCAAAAGAAACACCATCGATTACCTTCTACTCCAGTTGCCTTACCAAAATATGGTGGAGATTTCTATCCTAGACGAGTAGTTAGTGACCAGATAGCCACTAAGGCAAACATATCAACCGCAAGTAAGAAAGGTCAACCAAGGAATATACTGGAGTATAATAATATTAACAATATTAATAAGCATGAAGTCATTAAGAATCATATTCAAGATTTCTTAGTGAAAGAGAAGAAACGGGATTTAAGTAAGGGAAAGAATTTACCACAAGCTCCAGGTGAAAGGCAAAATAGATTCGGGGTAAGAGAATCATATTATGGATGAGAGTATTGGTTATACATGTATTATAAAGTAGATTATGGCGTAAATAGAGATATATAGGGGAAAACATAAAATCATTATCATTAACATTAAAAATATATAAACTGTAGAAACTATAACTTAACTATTAACTGATCATCCTTATACTTTTTAATCAAATCTTCAATGTCATATTTTTTAGCAATCTTTTGATTGATAAATCGACCACCAAGATAATGAATTCTTTCTGGGTGACCAATTATAAATTTATCAGCACAAGGTTTAGGGGCTGTTAGACTTACAAGCATAGTTGGATTAATATCAACATCCACAGGGCCATTATCAACATCCCAACCAGAAGGAATGTCAATTGATATAATTGGACTAATCTTAGAATGATTTTCAGATAAGAAAGATATTAAATCATCAAAAGGTTCTCTTATAGGAGGTTTAAAAGAAAATCCAAATAATGCATCAAGAATTAAATTAACATTTTTATCTATTACCAATTGTTTTACTTCTTCTATTGTAGATATTTCTGGAACCTCTAAATCTACTAATTGAGTTAATAGATTTGTATATAATTGATTTTTAGTAGATTTTTTAGGATAATATAATACAGGATCATAAGCTCCCCATAACTTTAAATGACGAGCAGCCACAAGTCCATCACCACCATTATTTCCTGGACCTACTAGAATTAAAATTTTCTCCGTTGATAATAATTTTGAAGGGGGGTATTGTTTATATACTGCTTGAGCTACTGCAAGACCAGCCAATTCCATTAATTGATCTATAGAAAATGCCCCTGACGACATTAATTCCTTATCCAATTGAGCAGCCGCCTTGGCCGAGAGGGTTTTAAATGCTGTAGAACTCATTACTTTGTTAATTGTATATAAGTACTAATTAAAGTAATCCAATTACTTAAGGTTATATTTTCGACTAACTTAAAATTATCGGAGTTAACCAAGAGAACAAAGAACGAACAGATAGCCTGATGTCGTGAGTGCATATCGATGTCGCACGCAGGTTCTCACCTTACCTTACCCTTCCTTCGTTTTCTTTCCCCGACATTGCTCCATTTTACCAATTCCGGCCTCTAACGTGTCGTCCTCAGTCTCGTCTATATTCTCCAAAGAAAAATCCACCAACACTATTTCGAAACAATGGTGAAACAACTATCGACAGCATAATTCATACTATTAGCTCACAGATCACCAAACTGTTTTTGAAATATTACTGGAGCGTCAGTTCAGTATATAGTGAATAAAGCCACCACTAATTACCCTCAGAAAGTGACAATTGTATATATATACTTTTATATATATATATTATTTATTCAGTCTCGCAGTCTACTGAGAACAAGTATACCGATTGATCAGTGATTGACAGCACTACACCATTATATCATATTAACAATATATATTAATAACATTAAGAATAATAATAAGAATAATAATAATACTATAAAATTATAAAATTTATCAATCATGGATCAACTGTATACATACGAATCACCATCTATGATCAGTAATTCTCCTATGATTAATTATAGGAAAGATGCTAAAAAGGGAGTAAAATTTACCTTTATGGTAGTAGGTGAATCAGGTACTGGTAAAACTACTTTTATTAATAGTTTATTAAATAAAAAAGTTTTAAGTCATCGTTTTGAAAAAGATTTTACAAATGGAGATACAAAAACTTTAACATTTACATCAGCTAAATCAGTAGCTTTACCAAATACTTCTATATTAACTCGTCAAGAATTTAATCCAAGAACTGCCAATGAAGAACCAGGAATTGCTTTAACTGAAACTAAAGTAGAATTAATTGATGATGATAATTTAAAATTATTACTAAGTATAATTGATACGCCTGGATTTGGAGATAATTTAAATAATGAATTATGTTTTACAGAAATTGAAAATTATTTAAAACAACAATTTGATTTAGTATTAGCTGAAGAAACTAGAATAAAAAGAAATCCAAGATTCATAGATACTAGAGTTCATGCATTATTATATTTTATTACTCCAACTGGTCATGGATTAAGAGAAATTGATATTCAATGTATGAAAAAATTATCAAAATTTGTTAATATTATTCCAGTTATAGGTAGAGCTGATTCATTTACTGAAAAAGAATTAAGACATTTTAAAAATCAAATAAAAATTGATATAGAAAAATTTAATGTACCTATTTTCCAATTTGATAGTGTATTAAATGAATTTGATGAAGAAGAAGATTATGAATTAATTCAAGAATGTAAATATTTAGCAGCATTACAACCATTTGCTATAATTACTTCAGAAGATGAATATGAAGTTAAAGATCCAATTAATGGAGAAATTAAATTAATAAGAGGTAGAAAATTACCTTGGGGATTAATTGATATTAATGATACAAATTATAGTGATTTTTCAATTTTAAAATCAGTATTATTAGGATCTCATTTACAAGATTTTAAAGATTTAACTCATGATTTCTTATATGAAACTTATAGAACTGAAAGATTAACTAAAGTAACTGGAGGTTCTAATCTTGTTAAAAATGAAGATGATTATGATGATAGTGAATTTCATGATACGGTTGAACATCATCCTGAATTTGGTGATAATACTATTCCTTCATTATCAAATTTGGCTCAATTAACTGATATAACCAATACATCAATTGTAAGTCATAATAATATTAATAATAATAATGATGATGCATCACTTGCTTCTAATAGTTCTACTAGTAGAAAGAAATCAACTATGTTATTAGAAGAAGATGATGATTCACCAAAATTAAAGGATAATGGATCATTTACATCTTCAACATCAACAATTTCTTTTGATCAAGGTAAAGATAGTTATCCACCTCCAAGAAATCTTACTCCAACTAATGGACAATTTAAGAGACTTTCAATTGCTCCTCAACGTAATCAATTACGTCAAATTTCTGAAACTGTACCTTATGTTATTAGACATGAAAGAATTTTAGAAAGACAACAAAAGCTTGAAGAAATGGAAATGGCTAGTGCTAAAGAATTAGCTCATAGAGCTGCATTATTAGAAAAGAAGGCACAAGAATTAAAGGCTAAAGAAAGAGCCTTAATGAAGAAAATGGAATCTCATAATGCTCTGTCAATTAATGGTGATAGAGAAGAGATTGAAGAAAGTCATGAGCGCAAGATACCAGATGTGAATGAGAATATTCGTAGTATAGCTAAGGATGAGACGTTGACAGATCTTCATTCTATTGTTGGAGATAATTAGTATATATAGAACAATTATGTTACAGCTGTGTAGATTAAGTATACAACTTTGTAGTTTAATACGTAGTGTAAGCAGTAGAGTGAGAGCAGCAGTACAGTAACAGTAGCAGTACAGTACAGTACAGTAACAGAAAAAAGATCAGTAAGTAAGTAACTCTAGGCTAGACTAGATTAGGCTACACTAAACTACACTGGACTAGACTTACACTACTACAGTACTACACTACACTACTACAGTACTACACTACACTACTACAGTTCCACACTACACTAACTTTAATTACACTAACTTTAACTACACTAACTTTAACTACACTAACTTTAACTACACGTATCACTCTACCGTCTCTCTCCCGCTCTCTCGCGCTCTCTCTTCCCCCCACTGTATACACACCCAAAAGTTTTTTCCCTACAGTGCCTCGAGAAAAGTCGTTGCGTCCTCAATCGTTGGCATCACAGGCAGAGTAATAATATCCAGAAACATCAGGAACTCAACTATAAACTATTCCAGAGTTATAACTCATTAGGGGACTATTTGCTATCACTAAAGTCCATTAATTAGTGGAGGATATTTGTGTATAGTTCAGAACTCATTTTTTATTGATTTTCTTCATATCTGATCTCTATCGATTGTACCGAATTGATTTATCACAGTAATTGCTTTCAGAGTATACGTTGAATTACTAACAGTAACAATCCAAACACAACTCAATTTATCTGACTTTTATAAAGTTAATTGATTTCAATTCATTACGTACTCAATCAGTATCAGTTAATTAGTTTGCTTTATCAATATCATTATCATTATCATTATCATTATTAAATCAAAAAAAACATGGATATTCTCGAAGTCTTGGAACATGCCTTGTTCAATGGTGATCCAAATAAAAGAACTCAAGCAGAATTACAATTAAATGAAGCTGCCAATAATTATTTTGAAGAATTTATTGGATTATTAGTTGATACATTAATTAATCAAGATGCTAAAACTCAAGTAAGAATGTTAGCTGGGATTTTTTTAAAGAATCAATTAACTTCAAAAGATACTAAAACAAGAATGGCTCAATATGCTCGTTGGATTAATTTAAATATTGATTCTAAAACTAAAATTAAAACAAAAGCTTTACAAGCTTTAGAAACTGAAGATGAAAAAGTTGCTGGATCAGCTGCTCAAGTTGTTGCTGCTATTGCTGATATTGAACTTCCAAGAAATGAATGGCCTGAATTAATTCCAACCATTATAAATAATACTAAACCTGAAAATAAAACAAATATTAAAAAGGCAAGTCATTTAGCTATAGGTTATATTTGTGAAAGTGCTGATCCAACTAATCCTGCAATAATTGCTCAAGCAAGTGGAATTCTTATTGCTATTGTTCAAGGAGTTCAAAGTTCTGAACCAAAAGTTGTTAGATTAACTGCTTTAAATGCTTTAGTAAATTCATTAGAATTTATTAGAAATAATTTTGAAAATGAAGGTGAAAGAAATTATATTATGCAAGTAGTTTGTGAAGCAACTCAAGCTGATGATCCTGAATTACAAGCAAGTGCCTTTGGATGTCTTTCAAGAATAATGGCAACTTATTATAAATATATGTCACTTTATATGGAAAAGGCATTATATGGTTTAACAGTTTCAGGTATGAAAAGTACTGATGAAAATGTTAGTTGTATGGCAATTGAATTTTGGTCAACAATTTGTGAAGAAGAAATTGAATCAGCATTACTTAGACAAGATGCAGAAATTAATTCTATTGAAGTAACTAATTCACCTGATTATATGAATTATAATTTTGCATTTGTAGCTATTAATGAAGTTTTACCAACTTTATTAACTTTATTAACAAGACAACATGAAGATCCAGAAGATGATGATTGGTCAGTAGCTATGGCTGCGGGTTCATGTTTATCATTATATGCTAATAATGTTCAAAATTATGTGGTTGAACCAACTTTACTATTTGTTACAACTAATATTAAGCTGGAAAATTGGAGAGAAAGAGAAGCATCAGTTATGGCTTTTGGCTCAATTCTTGAAGGACCAGATCATGAACAATTACGTTCAATTGCAAATCAAGCTTTACAACCAATTTTACAATTAATTAATGATGAATCTTTACAAGTTAAAGAAACTGTAACTTGGTGTTTAGGTAGAATAAGTGATTTACTTATTGAAGCAATTGATCTTGATACTCAATTACCACTTTTATTACAAGCAATAATTGTTGGTTTACAAGATCATCCTAAAGTTTCAACTAATTGTTGTTGGACAATTATGAATTTATGGGAACAATTATGTGAAATTGGAAGTTCAACTAGTATTTTATCACCATATTATCCAAATATTGTTCCAATTTTAATTGGTTTAACCAATAAAGAAGATAATGAATTTAGTTCAAGAACTTCTGCATTTGAAGCACTTTCAGCTTTAGTAACTTATAGTGCTAATGATACTATTGCTATTGTTCAAAATATTGCTAATGATTCATTATTAAGATTAGATAATACTATTAATTTACAAAGTCAAATTAGTACTGCTGAAGATCGAGGTAATCTTGAAGAATTACAAAGTAATATATTAGATTTATTAACAAAAATTATTAGAAGATTAAGTGAAGATGTTATTGGAGTTTCTGAAAGTTTATTATCAATATTTTTTAAAGTTTTAAATGCTCAAGAACCAAATTCATTAATTGAAGAAGATATATTTATTGCAATTTCTGCTGTAGCAGAAGCAATTAAAGTTGAATTTGTTCAATATATGGAAGTATTTTTACCTTATTTAAATAAAGCATTACAAAATACTGAATCAAATGTTTGTAATACAGCTATTGGTTTAGTAGCCGATTTAGCTCAAGCTTTAGGTAATCAACTTGTTCCATATTTAGAAGGTTTAATGACAATTTTAGGAGCAAATTTAAATAATTCTGATATTCGCCCTGAATTACGTCCATCAATTTTATCATGTTTTGGAGATATTGCATCATCAATTGGATCAAATTTTAGTGTTTATGCTGATTTTGTTATTAGAATTTGTGATGTTGCATCACAAATTGAACCAGAAAATCAATCTGTTGATGCATTAGAATATGTTGTTTCAGTTAAAGAATCAGTATTAGTATGTTATATGGGAATTGTTCAAGGTTTAAGTAATGAACCTCAATTAATTTATCCTCATGTTGCAACTATATTTGCATTTATTCAAAGAGTTAGTCTTGATTATACTCTTGCAACTCTTGATTCAGCTTGTCGATCTGCTACTGGATTACTTGGTGATATTGCTGCTGTATTCCCTAATGGTGAATTTAAAGAAGTTTATGCTCAACAATGGGTAACAGATTTTATTAAAAAGACAAGATCCAATCCAATATTCGAACAAAAAACTAAAGATGCTGCTAGGTGGGCTAGAGATCAACAAAAGAGACAACTTAGTCTTGGCTAAAGTTAAAAATCTCTAGCATATTCTCATCTGCATCTGCATCTCCATCTCCATCTCCATGCTCCATCTTCATCTCTCATCTCTTCTTTCCTGTTTATTTATTCGTTTGATTTCCATTGTTCCCTCGGTTGATATTTAAATACTGGATTCACTTTTATGTTAGTTTAACAAACATCTCTGGCCTCTAATTCTTAATACTCTAATACTCTTTCGTCATCTCTTCCTCCCTCCCTCCCTCCCTCATATATACCACATCTGTATATAATTCATCTCTAGATATTGCTCATATATAACTCTCACGCCTTTTTTACGTACTCTTTAATTTCTTCTTTTCCCTCTTATTTATATACTCATAAATATACATTCCATCCTATAACTGTTTTTGTAATGGGCTCTCAACCCTCACTAGCATTATTGATATTGACCCGACCATGAAATTGCGCGCCCACAAATTATCTGGTAAGTATCAACAAAATTACTGAAGCACTATAACTATAGCACTACTACTACTACTACCACCACCACCACTTAGTACTCACTAACCATGTCGTCCACCTACGATCCTATACCGTACGATCATACTTATGTGTTATATGAACCTAATGATGTCATAGCTTTAATTGCTGTACATATGACATTATTACCTATCTACATTATGGTATTCTATACTGCATGGTTCTTAATAACTAGAGAAATTGAACCAGTCATTGTAGTTGGTGGACATCTTATTGGAGAAATATTAAATAAAATAGTTAAAAGAATTATGAAACAACCTCGTCCTGATTTTCATAAAGATTTTGCTTCAGGTTCTTATAGTTTAACTTATGGAATGCCCTCAGCTCATTCTCAATTTATGGGATTCTTTACAACTTATTTTATTTGTATTATATTGTTTAAGATTAAACCATTAACTTCAATTCAAAAACGGTTTGCAAGTTTAATATTATTAATTACTTGTATATTAGTACCATTTTCAAGAGTTTATTTATTATATCATACTATACCTCAAGTTATTGTTGGAGTAACATTAGGTTCTACATTAGGATTATTATATTTTACTGCAACATCAATTGCCAGAGATATTGGTTTAGTTGATTGGGTATTAAATTGGCCTATAATAAAATTCTTTTATATTAAAGATACATATTATCATTGTTATCAAACTTTTGAAGATGAATATAATTCCTATATTAAATTATCAAAATTAGTTAAAACTAAAAGGGATTAGAAAAATTTCAATCATGTATATATTAACAAAGTAAAAAGTGAAGTAAAGTAAAGTAAAATAAAGTAAATAGTAGAAGTAAATATTTAAATAATTATTTATTATGCATAGAATTCAATTCAATAGAATACAAGTTCAAGTTCAAGTTCAAGTTCTAAAAATCATCCCATTTATCTTCTTCTTCTTCATGTTGCTTAGCCGGTCCACTTGAAAAACTTTGTAAACTTGTCTTTTCTTTTGGTTTGACAAATCCAAATGCTGATGGGACTTCTTCTTTCTTTTCATTAACACTTAATCCATTAAATAATTTACCAAAATTTTGATCTAAAGTTTTATTAAGACCCTTTTGTTGAATTTCTCCTGTAAATGTTGTAAATGTTTCTTGACCATATTTACCAGTTTCTTGCATTTTTTGTCCAAATTGTGCCATGGCTCTTTTAGCTTCAGTACCAAATTCACTTTCTTGTAATTGAGAAATTCCTGGTTTAATAACACTTTCATGAACTTCAGTAACTGATTTTGCAACAGATGATGAAAATAATCCCCAACCTTTTGAAAAAGTACCTAAAGGATCACTTTGTAAATTATTTAAAGTAAATGAACTTAATGATGAATTACCATTAACTTTTGGGGCAGGTGTATTACCAAATCCTCCATATTTACCACCTTGAGATGGAGGTAAATGATCAGGTCTTGTTTCATTTTTTGATCCTAATTCAGCAAAATATGCTTCATTCTTAACCCTTTGATCATTAGGTAATGAAGGAGTATTTCTACGAGAAGAAATTGGATCTTGACTTAGATTAGAACTTGAATTATTAATAGGAGTATTATTTGAAGTACTTATACTTGAAACAGTTGGTAATGATTTACCACTATGATCTGAGGCAACAAATTGTCTACCTTCAATTTCACAAGTTAATAATTCTTTATAATCTTCAGCTACATAATTATCATATTTAGCCTTAGCAGGTAAATTAATATCAAGTCCATTATCAATAAAATAATTTTTAATTTTTTCATTTCCACCTTTTTCCATTCTTAAAGTTTCTTCAGGCTTAAATTGATCCATAGTAATAGATCTAACAAATGAAATATGAACTCCTAAACCTCTATGAATTCCAGCACATTCTAAACATATAAATATTCCAAACTTTGGTGATGCCCATTGAGGATTTGGAGCTGAACAATCAGCACATTTCTTATTTTCTCCAGATTTTTGTAATAACAAAAGTTTTCTACGAGTCTCAGGATCAAGTGACATTTTAAAAATTCTTATAATAAGTCAATTCAATTTCAGTTACCTCTCGGTCACTTTATAGTCACTTTATAGTCACTTGTCTATTACCTTAGACTTACTTATTCTGGACCGATAAGATCGATGATTTTTTCGTATTTTGAACAACGCGTCCATTTCACACGACCGTAGTGAGAGGAAAAGAAAAACTAAGGGCTATATGCTCACTACTAATAAAATTTGCAACTGTCATTGATCATTAAAATTTTTCATATACTAACTTAACTTAAAGTGAACTTATAATTTAGTTACTTGTTCTTCATTCTTGGCTTTAATCAATACAGGATATTGATCAGTCTTTAATGCTCCCATATGCCAAGAAGCTCCATCGACAACTTGAACTGTTCCACTTATATAAGAACCTGCATCTGAAAATAAATATACTGTAGCATCAGCTACATCTCTTGTAGTAGCAATTCTTTGTAATGGTAATCTTTTTATTACTTGATCACGATCTTGAGTTACTAAACGTTTCATACCTTCAGTTTCATCAATTAATCCGGGAGCAATTACATTACTTCGAATACCTAATGGACCTAATTCAACTGCTAAAGCATTTGATAAAGCATCTACTCCAGCTTTAGCAGCTCCTACATGAATTTGAAATGGTACTCCATAATAATGTAAAGTTGCACTAATAAATATAATAGCACCTTTATTCTTTCTTAATTCATTAAATGTTGCCTTGGCAGTATTAAAAGATCCTAATAAATCAATATCAACTACTGATTTAAATGCATTAGTTGATAAATGATTAAAATCAGCTAAAAAATTACCTGCTGCTCCCGCAATTACATAATCAATTCGACCTAATTGTTTAATAGTCTTATCAACGGCTTCAACTAATGATTCAACTTTTCGAACATCAATATTTGAACATGATATTACTTTAGCATCTTTTCTTAATTGACCTATCTCTATAGCTGCTTGATCAGTTTTCTCTTTATTTCTACCAATAATTGCTGCATTGGCTCCTAATAAAACCATAGCTTCTGTTTGTACGCGACATATTGTTCCTGCTCCTCCAGTAACAAATACAACTTTCCCCTTAAATAAGTTTGGTTTCCAAACAGAATCCTTTAAATACGATTGATCTAATCCCATAATACCCCCTATATACTATATACTACGTTTATTTTATTACAATACCCGTTGTTAAACTTTTCGTCATAAAGATCTATATTTATACTCAACCCCACAAAAGACAGACATTTTTTCTTTTCTTTTCAGTCTCAGTCATATTGCCGAGGCTACTGTGTCATATGATTATTATATAACGGAAATAACTTAAAAGAGTATTTTTTTTTTTTGCATTTGCAGTCATTATAATATTGTTCATGTCTTTGCTAACTAAATATTCCTGTAGATATCTATATACCGTTAGATGCGTTATTTTTACTTCTAATACTTAGAGCGATTTTTTTACTAGCAGATGAAATCTTTTTCTTTATAGCATTAGAATTAGAATTAGAATTAGAATGAGATTTAGAATTAGATTTAGAATTAGATTTAGTACTACTAATGGGTGAACTATCTTCATTACCTGAATGATGTCCATTACTTAGAACAGTTACTCCATTAGTATCATCATCAGATTTCTCATTATCTTCTTCTTCTTCTTCATCTTCATCTTCATCTTCTCTATGACGTTTCTCTCCATTAATAAAGGTATTTTCAAATATATCAACTGGTATATGATTTTTACCATCATCATCAGACTCAAGTATTGAAGAATTATTATTATTAATATTAATATTAATATTAATATTATTATTATTATTATTATTATTATTAATATTATTATTATTAATATTAATATTAATATTATCTTCTTCTTCTTGTTCTTCTTCTTCATTAATTGGAGTAGAAGCATCATGATGATCTAATAATTCTTCATCAGATCCAAAACTTATATCATCATTCTTTGTAGAAGTTTCTGTTCCATTCATTAAACTTGATGAATTACAATCATCATAAAATTCATTCTCAACTAAATCAATTAATTCTCTTCCAGTACTTACATGATTAATTTTAGTACCACAAAATTCTTTAAAATCTTTATAAATATAACTGGCTAATAATTTATAATTTTGTCTCTTTGTTGTAACTGATGCATCACAATTTTTAAGAATTAATTCAATAAAATCTAAACATGTAGAATTTGCTAAATTATTTTCATTAGCTATACTATCAAAATAATCAAAGAAATAATGTAAAAGATTATTATTGATAATATATCGAGTATAAAAATTATCATTAAGTATAATTAAACTTTTTAAACATCTTATAGCATTTAATTTAAGAATGGTTTTACAATTAATAGTAATTAATCTTCCAAGACCTAATAAGATATTATTTTCAAGAAAAAATGGTCTTGATATATGACTTTCATGCTCTTTTGTACAAAATGAAATTAATTCACATAAATGTTGATATAATAATTGATCATTTCTAACTTTTAAAATGACTTCTGAATCAGAATTTATTGAATCTTCAGGTAATTCAGCTAATTTTATTAAATTTTGAAATAATTTTGGTGCTACTTGAGAATAAAAAGCTCGGAAATAATTTTTAACATTTATATCTTCAAATTCTTCTGAAGTAAATTCAATATTATTAATATTATTATTACTAATAGGAATTTCAATTGAAGAAATTTTATTAGTTATTAAAGGATTAAATGGAGATCTTGAAGGATCAGAATTTTCACTTTCACTACCAGTAGCAATATTAGAATCTAATAATATTTTTAATGCTTCAAATGCTTGAACTTTTAAACCAGAATTTTTATCTTCAACAAGTAATTTACTTAGTATTGAAATTAATGTCATATCATCAGATAATTTTAATTTTAATCTTTTACCTTCTGTTGAATTTTCTATTAAATGAGATTCTTCTTCTTCTATAATATGATTAGTTACTGGAGGATCAGAATTATCAATATTTTCTTCATTATCAACGGAATTTACTAATGATACATCTTGTTCTATTATTATTACAATTAATTCAGTTCCAAGAACTCTTATTTTACTATCAGAATCCTTTAATGCAAAATTAATCATTTTAAATAATCCACTTTTTACAAGTATTGAAAAAAATTCCAGTCTTTGAAATGTTTGTAAACCTTTGGCAATTAATACATATTGATGTAACATTTTTACTCCATCTCGTTTCAGAATTTCATCATTTTCATCATAAATTTTAAATAATTTTTGTAAAATACTTGCATCTTTTAAATAATTAATAATTTCAACTTGATTCATATAAATTAATGAAGATATTAAATTAAATGTTTGATCATCTAATAATCTTGCTAATACAACATCTTTTAAATAATTTAAATGGAAATCCTTTTTAAATATCTTTAATTTTTCAACTGGTATAACGGTTTTAAAAGATTTATTCTTTAAAAAATCTCGATGACATGCTTTAAAACTTGGATATTCTGGATCATATTCAAGAATTCCTGATAAAGCAAAAATTCTTTCTTCTGTTGATAAAAAATTTTCAATTAATGAACTTTCATTATATAATATTAATGCCTTTATAATTTCAAATAATGAAAATAAACAATTAAGACTTTTAGAATTTTCAGCTTGTTCAAATACTCCAACTAATTTAATAAAAAAATCAGTATCAATAATAAATTTCAGCATTCTAAATCGTTTAAATTGATAATTTGCACATTGAGTTAATAAATCTAATATTGAATCAATATTATTAGAATTAGGATCAGGAGGAAATGTTACGGGTCCAGTAATTAATTCAGTTATATCTTCACCTTCAGTAAGACTCGGTATTACATAATATAATGAAATATCAGGACTATATTGTTCTTGTTGAACTTTTATAATAAATTCACAAAGATCAGCACATCCTTCAACTTCTTGAAATGATAAGGCTAAATCTTTACCTGATACATCTGTCCATACTATTAAAGTTTCTTGTTGTCTTTGATATTGAATTGAACCTTCTAAAAATGATTGAAGAATTATATCTTGAGAATCTTGTTCATTACGAACTAAGAAATATGGAATTTTAGTTGATTCATCAATTTCTCCAACACAATAACCAGTTCCATTATCTGACCAATCTTCTCCTTGTAATAAATATACTTTAACTCGCCTCGGAGTTACCCCTGCTAGTTGAACTTTATCTTGATTAATATCTAGTATCTGAGATTGACTTGACTCCATTATGATACGCTAATAGTAATAGTAATAGTAATAGTAATAATAATAGTAAATTGATTTGTAATACTAATTGAAAACCATATAGGGATGAACTAAAGTAATAGTAATAAATAGAAGAAATAGAAGAATTATGAAATTGAATAAATGATAAATGATATAATGATGATATTGATAATAATAGTAACTGATAATAATAATACAAGACTAACAAACTCCTTAAACAAGAAATGAATAATTGCGGCTATGGATGCACTGCAATGAAAAACTCGTTCCTATCCACTAACAACCACTATATGATACACTGGTCCTATAAGACCTTTACGAACTCGAACTATCGATGTAGTACTTTTGGTTATGGTTGTGTGCGGTCCTTTCCGTCCCTAGTGGGATTTTTCTTAGGCTACTCGGCCAGACCGATTTTTCGGTACTCCTACCCTACGCGTCATTGAGCTTTACAGTAGTTGTACAGTGGTTGTACAGTTACTAGTACACTTAACAGTTACAGTTACTAGTACACTTAGTGGTACAGTTCCTAGTACACTTAGTGATAGTAACTCATTCTTTTAGTACAGTAAACATTTATGTCTCTTTCTATATATATATACAAGTATGTAGTAATAAGCTGAGTGTAGTGTTTAACCTAATGACAGAGAAGAGCAGCACTAGCTAAATTTCTTAACCAATCTACTTTATCCACATCATGAGTATCTTCTACTTCACCCCATTCTTCTGTTTGAAAAATGGTTTCAAGATTACCCATTTCAACAATCTCTTGTATGGTTTTATGATAATAATCATCAACATTACTACGATTAAGTTGATATAAAGTCTTTAAATTATATTCATCACTAACATTTGATCTTAATAATGTAACACCACATAAGAAAGATTTTGAAGTTAAAATTGCCTTTTCAAGAGCTATTAAATCATAAATTGGTAATTGATTAAGCCAATGTAATACGACATTTTGAGTAGTTATAGATTGTTTATTACCTCTTAAACCATCAGTTTCACAATCTAAATATTGTAATTCAATTTTATCAGTTTCATTAGGTAATAAATTACCAACTGATTTAGCATATTTTGTAAAAAAATCTTCATATTCTTTAATTAATGGAATATATAATTCATCTTGTCTTTTTCTTAAATTCCCCTTATATTCATCATGAGTTGTAAATATAAGACAAGTATCAGTATCAAGATATCTTATTAAATTAATTTTTATATCTTCTAAATTACCAACTTTTGCAATCATATCAGCATTTTTATCCTTTTGTTCATTAATATTACGTAAATCAACTGCTCTTGCAGTAATAGATGTTAAAGGTAATGAATGAGTTTTAACTTTTAAATCTGGTAAATGTGCCCATTCATGAGCAACTAAATTTGCTAATTGCTTTTTAGTTTCTGGTAATGATAATGGGAATCCTAATGGAGTCTTCAAAGTTTTACCATCTAATTGAACTTCATAATGACGTAAATTTTCATTAAATTTAACATCAACTTTTTCCCAAAACTTATTTAAAGTCTTAGATAATCTATTAGTTTCGGATTTAACATTACTTTCAATAGTTTTATCTTGTCCTAATGGTTTAATATCTGGTATAAATGAATTAAGTGTTCCTTCTCTTGCTAATTTATTTATACAACTACTAGAAAATTTACTAATTAAACTTGGTCCTCTTATACCAGACTTAATCACAGTTCTAATCGAACTTCTGGTAGCCACTCTAAGCATTATTAATGGTTCAATAAATCTATATTACTATATTCGAGTTCGGGTTTATCATACTTCTGACTAAATTTTTCAATGCTCTCACTATCATTTTTTTTTGCGGACTGAAAAACTTTGAGAATCAATCCACCAACTGTTAAGATTGTTGACTTATATAGACAGATATTATTATTGTCTAAGTTAATAATTAGTGAAATAACTTTATACAATGGACCAACAGGCATTACAAAAGCTCTTGCTTGAAATGGATAATCAGTTGAATAAATCACGAGCTGAATTGTCCATGTGTTACGTTCAATTAGATAGAGTTAATACTAATTTAGATTTAATAACGAATACGAGAAATTCATTAAAGAAACAATGTAAAGATGATGAAACAGTATGGAAGGGAGTTGGTAAGGCATTTTTATCAATAGATGTTAAGGATTATGTGTCGGAGCTTGGAGATGATGAGAAGGAATTCTTAGATTCTAAGAAGAACTTAAATATTAAGAAACAATATTTGGAAACTACATTAGAGAAGACTATAGATGGTATGAATCAAATAGTAGGTAGAAAATAGTTCAACTAGATTGCATCCACCACCACTACTACTACTAATACTAATACCCCATTCTGTATAATAGCACCTGTATTAAACTTTATATAATGCATATATCATATATCATAACTCATAATAAATGACGAGTAAATCAACAAAAAACCCAGTAGTTAAAGTTGACTAGAGAAATCAAAGCATTCTATCAATAATGGTAAGAATAGCTAATCACTATCATCTTCATCAACACCATCATCAAGAATACGTCTTTCTATATCTTCTTCTTCCTTTTGAGCATTCTTACTTTTATCTTGCTTCATTCTTTCAGTTAAAAACACATTCACTTGATCCTGTAAAGTAGTCAATTTTGCTCTCAAATGTCCCAATGGAGTATCTTTAGCTTCACTTGGTTTATCACGATCTTCACCTCCGGCATTTATAACAATATCTGAAATTTGTGTTGTTTGTCCATCAGTAGAATGATCTCCATTACCAACATCAAATTTATGAGTTTCCTTTAAATCTGGTGCCGAGTATTCTGCAGTCGGTATTAATGTACTTGAACTCATCACTTAAATGTTAGTAGATCTTGATTATAATGGCGTTGTGGTAATAAAGCTTTACTATAACTCATACATATCGGAGCTGAGCTTTGAAAAACTAGACCCCATTGGGAGTCGAACTTGTTTGTCGCAAATGGATTTCAAATTTGCGACATAAAAATAGACATAAACCTACTAACTACTAACTAGTAACTACTAACTACAATTAACTATTACACAGATATCGTAAATTATTTATTGTACAAAGAAATAAATACGGGAACATAAGTACTAATAATCAGTCATTGGAAACTATTGGAATTCTAGTGGCACTATTGGAATATGCATTGAATTTAATCTCTATTATTTCATTAGTCAGGAAATTTAAGAATGGAATATCGTAACATGAACATGACATTAAATATCCATAAAATACTTTTAAAATAGTATCATCAGCAATAATTAAAATATCTCCACTCATTCTTTCCATTTCTAAAATTAATGGTTCAATTTTAATCGCTAAATCATGATAAGATTCTGCTCTTGAGAATCGATAATGATAAGGATCTCTTTCATAATGTTTATATTCATCAGGATATTTTTCTTCAATTTCATCATCAGTTAATCCACTAACTACTCCAGGATTCTTTTGTGATAATTGAATTCGATGTCTAATTTTTACATTTCTTTCAGCAAAAAATTTAGTAGTTTGTATAGTTCTTTGCTTTACTGAAGTCCAAACAACTAATGAATTTTCATCAACTCCATCAACTCCAGCTGCTGGATGTCTTTCATCAACTGAAAGTGTACGTTGAGGTTCTAATGGTCTATGTTTTTCATTCAATTCATTAAGTTCTTTAATATAAGTTTTACCTTGAGATGTTAAATGTTTAAATAAAGTTGAAGCTAAATTCTTAGAATATTGTAATCCTTCAGCATCTAATGGAGGATCTTCAGAATATTCAACTGAATTTTTATAACATCTAGCAAAAAATACAGATCCTACTTTAATTCTGGAATTCATTAAATAAAATACAACTTTATTAATTAAATATCCATAATTGGAATTATGTAATTCAATTCTTTCACCAAAATTAATAAATTTAATATATGATAAATTAGATTCAATAGAATCTCCCATTTCTTTATAATATGGAGTTAAAGTTTTAATTCTTTCACTATAATCTTTATAAGCTTTATCATAATCCCAAGATGAATAATCAGGAGATGAACGAGCAGCTTCTTCCATATTTTTCATAACAATAGAATCATCAGTTACTAAACTTTCAATAAATAAAACTTGAATATTTAATTTTTGAAATCTTTGATGAATATCAATTCTATATTCTGGTAAAGCATTAATTGCATCATAAATTGCTACTTGACCTTTATCATTTTTAAAAAAATTTAATATATCACTTAAACAATCATCAACAATTTTCTTACGAATTTCATTAGCCTTTGAAGTATTAGGTGATGGAACAAATAAATCATGAGTAAGATCATCTTCTGCACTAGCTCTTCTATAGTTACTAAGATGAAACAGATGAGTTTTAACTCCTAACCACCTTAAATATCTTGTTAAAGATACTGATAAATGAGTTTTACCTCTACCAGGTAAACCAGCTAAAGAAATAATAATTTTTCCAGCATGAAATAATCTACCAGATTCAGTTGAATAAAGTTGTCCACCACCTAAAACAGAAAGGGCCATTTCTTCATGAACATTATCTGCACCAGTTATATCACTTAATCGACGTTTAAGTTCAGCACCTGATGGCATATCCATTAAATTTGGTCTAGTATTATTATGAAATGACCATCTCTTGGATGTTCTTTGTTGTGAAGTACTTCTTGACATAGGAGCTGAACCGAAACCGTTAAAGATTTCTCCTTCATCATCAGAGTCAATAACTGCACCACCGCTAGACATTCGTATCACTAACTAAACAATTATCTATTGAATATGATTTCAAATTAAACAATTGTCTTTCCTTTTTTTGGACTGTTGGAGTTATGAGTTGCTTCAGATATGAACTCAAATTACTTTTTAGAACAAGGTAGGTAGTTGTCTCGTATAATTGTACCTTAACTATTAGTGTTTCGGTATCTGGTTGATAAGTTTAATTTTAATTCGGCCCTTTTTTCCGCTGGTTTTCGTTCCTGTCTACCCCGGAAATGAGAAAAGCCAAGAGATCACACTTATGGAGAGAGCTTAACTATAGAAAGGATAATTTTTATAGTTTAATTGAGAAAGAGAGTTCGTGTATAGAAAGTGTATAGATAGTTCATGATTGGCTAGTTGGCCTCTATAGATGTTAACAAGTGTCAGTTTACTTGGGTTCACTAAGTATGTACAAAACATTCGGATATCCTGTAGATACTTTTGAGTAGTTTCTAGACTAGACCATCATTTCATATATATGGATTGTACATGTAAAACACATTATAGTTGTATCAGCAATATATTACATGTATCTAACTATATAGAAAATGTATTGGCAATACATTACATGTCTAGAACCATATTACTTGTCTAATTATATAGATTACTCGATTATGTATATAACAAATATATTGCATTAACTACCTCATCAACTTTATTTGAATGTCAGACAATGAACTGGTCATTAATGTATATAGTTATTATTAATACTAGAACGAGAGACAGAGAACACTAATAAGGAAGAGCACTTCATACAGAATGTTAATGGATCATTTTAATGAATTTACTGTTCCATAAGCTCAACACTGACTGTGAAATAGTAGTGCCTGGGAGAAATATAATCAAAATGCGACATAAAAGAATACCTTTAATGGATATTTATTACTTTATCCTAAATATATATATATATATGTATGTATATTTTGAGATTAAAATTATGATACGGGGATGAATGAAATAGGGCTAAACTAATAATTTACATTACATTTATTCGAGCTTACCACCCTTTCTTTCAATTAAAGCCTTTCTGTCTTTGTCTAAGTGTAATTTGGTGATAACAACCTTAGATGGGTGAATGTTAATTGGAACAGAAGCACCGTTAGACTTTTCCTTTTGTACTTTTTCAACTTGAACAGCGAATTTTAATCTGTAGACAGAAGAGATCTTACCTTCAGAACCCTTCTTAGCACCTCTAACAACTAAAACTTGGTCATCTTTTCTGATTGGTAAAGATTTGATGTTGTATTGTTGTCTTAATTCTTTAGATAATGGGGCTGATAATAAGGCTCTTCTTTCAGCAGAAGAAGAGGTGAAGTAAGCCTTTCTAGCTTTAGAACGGGAAGATGAAACGTCTAAAAAGATTTGTTAGTATAAAAGTTTTCTTATAAAATTAATTAGTTGTTCGTTACTGTTAGTTATAGATTAGTAGTGTCATGGATTAAGCTAAAATAAAATTTTCTATCTTATGATAATTGATTATTAAAAATCTAGTCTCTCATTGTTTGAAGGTATGTAAACCTAATTCATTGGATTATAATAATTTCTTCTTCATTATGGTTATAATTTCCATCAGATTTATATAAACTCAGACTTCAAAATTGACTTCCTTAAGCTCAAATTTACTAATGATTATCATTCCACTGACTTTGAACGTTAAACTATTTTCTTCTCAATAACTTCTATAATGATAGTTTGTAGTAGAATTTCTATCACATTGAAAAATTTCATTAAACACTTGACATTTAATCCATTTCAATACTAATCCAAATCTGAAACTCGCTATTCCGAGAACGCAGTAACTCAACTAAGCTATGAATCGATATTTACCTTGACTGATCTTGGCCATTTTTAACGATACTATTATTCAAAATCACAAAAGGATTAACTGTCTTTAACAAGATTGATTAATAGTATTTAAAAAAATTTTGAAAATTGTTTGTTCCTCACACTGGTGCTCTCACTACGAAACGGTTGCGCACAGTAGGATTTTTTTTTGAAGAGGTCGTGTAAATTAGGCAAGAAAAAACTACTTCTAGGGATGCAGCCCTAGAGTATTTATAAAGCACGTGTCAAATCTATAAGAATCAAATAGGATTGCAAATTTACTAGCACTTATTAAGCAAATAATCACTACATAAGATACACTTTCGTATAATCTCAATTATAAAATTTACTGTTAAACTCATTAGATTACTGTTATCTTAATTGGCCAATTAATTCTACATGATTTTACTTGTTCATAGGTTCTTCATAAATCAGATGGACGCGAAATATAATTATTAGGTTAAATAAGTTCAATTACACTCTTCATATTGCATGTAGATGGATGCTTATAGACGAATGCAAAAAAATAAGGAACTTAACTATTCTAAAAACAAATAATCAGAATTTTAAGTTCATAAAAACATGTTAAGAAGAACAGCCCGAGGCGGGACTCGAACCCGCAATCATTATCTCCGGAGGATAACACCTTAACCAATTAGGCCACAAGGGCTTGTTCGTAACCCTGTTGAACACCTCAGTTGCCCAAGTGGAATACACAGAAAAAATCTAGTATTTTGAAAAAAAGGCCGGCGCTACCATATGTGATTTTGGCCAAAGAATCTTGATTAAGCCATAATTATTGGAAATGATATCTATCAAGTCATATGTTTTACATTTTAGATTCTTGAATAGCGTGGTTGTTAATTTAAAAACTTAAAGAATAAAAAACAAGAAGGAATTGCCAGGTAATGGCCCTGGGAATATTCAACAATTATGGAAAACACTCCGAAGTCTTCAAGGGCTGTAATCAACCACTCACCTCAAAAAGAATAAGTTACTTGCATTAACTTAGGTTGAATGTCAATTTGGGTCAAATACTGAGAAGATACTGCCACCACTTGATCTATAAGGAACACATATATTGAAGAACTACGCAGGTTATATCCATGTTCTAAACTCCCGAATTACATCATTGTCTTGTTAATTGAGCCATAAACAAATCAAACCTTGGCTATTTCGAACCTGAAATAATATATATATATATATATATATATATAGTAAGTTGAACTTTTGTATCAAACAAATAGGGAAGATACTACATTTGAGTCAGACGTCCGGCTCCAGAGCTCACTTATATTCATCACTTCATCCATATTAGGATTCCCAGAATATTTAATCTACTATAACCAAAGTATTCATTGTAATAGTGTATACTGTCTATAAAAACGTATATACAATGAAAGTGGAAAAAAAGTTTGCAGCTATTTATTAAATCTAATATGGTTATACTGTATAGTGTGCAAAATTTTTTTGATGGTGCACACTTCCTAAATGGGGATCGAAATCGAATGGTTGAAGATAGACTAGTGACCAATTGTGGATATCCTGATTGTAAGAAACTGACAGTATGAGTTCGTCTATGAGATTATTAAGTTTGGCGACTAGGGGTTCAGCCGCAGGAATTCGTTTGAATTCTGGACTTTCTCATCAATCTATTCAAATAATAAGATCCTTAACTATGGTGAATAAATGTGGTATTAATTCTAATATCATTCTTCGACCATCTAATATACCAATTTTGGCATCTATTAAGCCTGTATTGGTTTCTCATGCTTATTCAACCAAAACTACTGCATCTTCTCCACCTCCACCTCCACCACCATCAGATAATTCTACTCCTCATGATAAAAATGCTAAGGGTAAAGTCATTCTTAAACGAGCCTCAAGAGCTTTCACATTTTCATTATCATCATTAATTGTTCTTGGTGGTACTGGTATTGCATTGTTAGTAGTATACTTAATTTTATCAGAATTATTATTACCATCTGGAGATACAAGAACTTTCAATAAAGCAGTTAAATTAGTTGAAAAAAATGAATTAGCTCAAAAATTATTAGATTTTAAAAAGGGTGATAGATTAAAAGCTTATGGTGAAGTTGCTGGTGATAGATGGGTAAGAAATAGACCTGTTCAAAGCATCAGAACAAAAGCTAAAGATGGTAAAGATCATCTTGTTATGAAATTCCATGTTGAATCTGATAATGGGAAACATGGTAGAGTAACTTTAGAACAAATTGATACATCATTTTGGAGTTCTGAATTTGCTTATATTTCCTTAGAAGTAGCTGGAGGTAAAAGAATTTATATAATTGAACCAAAATTTCAATCAAAGAACTATGTCCCTCCCGTAAGTAATAGTACCGGATTTCTTGGTCTTAAATGGGGTCCTAAAAGAGATAATTGATATTATTTAATTTAATTTAATTATATTATATTATATTTATATTTATTTTTACATTTTCAATTAAGCAAAAAAATATATGTTATGATTTAACGAATTTCATCTACCAAATTCCTATTGTAGTTAAATAACTATCAAAGTTCCAATAAGTGATGCAATAATTTGGATTAAATACTCTGATAATTTATTGATAATAATTGCTCCCAGCGATGTATAGCTAGAAGTAGAATTTCTTCTTTGAAATGATGAGTTTGGGCTATAATGATCTAATGTTGGATTAGTGGGTGAAGTTTTAGTTTCATTTAATGAAAGCAATTCCTTACTCTTTGAAGATTCAAATGTAAGATTGTACAGTTTTGAATTTTCGATCAATGGTGCACATGCTTTGCCATCGGGGGTTTTCAAATCATTCAAATCAGTGACATTTGTTATTAAAGTAGCTCGTCCCGAGAAGTTACAAGCAGTGGGATCTCTATTTCTTGAAATATAGTATTTATTCAAAATATATGATAATTTCTGAGTTGATGAACAGTCAGAAAATGCTCCATAGATTCCATCATATCCATTGTTACTAATATCCGAACAATCTATATTACCACAAACTTCCAGAAATAGACTATTGATATTAACATTCATATATGGATTCACCACACATGATAAACTGGCTTGTAAGCATGTACATTTGTCCTTATTTGGAGTATTTGGAAGTCTTGTAGATGCTTGAAATTCTGGTGTAGGAGCTTGACACGTTGGAAATGATTGTGTAAGATTTCCATATTCACTTAAGCTAATAGATATAGGATTAATTGAATTTAATTTACTTGCCAAGTTGCTGAAATCTTCATATTGGGATATTGAGCCATCAGGATTTTGAATGACAACTCCATAATTATTTACTTCTTCAAAGTATTCATATGCTATACCACCTGACCAAACTTTGCTCATAGTACTTCCATATAAAGCTTCAACTTCAGTGAATGGTCTTGGCCTTACAGTATTGCAACCATATTCGCTCATCATTATAGGAACTGGAAATTCACTAAACTGATAAGTTAAATCTCTATAGCCTGAAGTTGCATAAGTAGAATAACCACACCATTCATAAATATTTAATCCAATAAATTCAGCTGCACTATTGTCATTTGATGAAGTCTTACATACTAGATAATCAGCCAAATCCTTTCGGATACCAGCATCATCATTTGAAGAATAACCTACTGGTATCAGTCTATAACCCTTTGAAATAATATAATTCTTCATATCTCTAATGGAAGCTTTAATAAATGGAGCTGTATCTGTAGTATCTTGAGAATTGGCCACTTCATTACCCGCTATGAATGCTAATGTGTTAGGATATTTGATAAGAGAATCAATTACTGAAGTATATCTATCATAAAGAGTAATATCCCAAGTTGGAAAACTTCTATCAATTGAATTCAGAGGTTCAGATAAATCAGCTATAACATAAATTCCAGCATTTGCAAGAGAATTCATACATATATCATGATTAGAAGCAGGATTTACTTGATACACTCTAATAGTATTAACTCCTAAAGCCTTAAAATACTGAATATCTCTTAAACAAGTTTGGGTATTTGATAATGGATCAATATAAGGTTCTATCATCCCATCATATACTTCACCTGGTTGTCTTGTTTTCTGATAGGCAATACCTTTAATAAAGAATTGTTGACCCGAATCAACATTAAATAATTTATTTCCTACTACCTCAATGATTGGCGTGTTAATCACTAATGGTTGAAAGTTTAAATATGAACTCGGATTTACAACAGCATAAACTGGAACTATGAAACTGGCAACAGCCAATATGATAATGTTGGTTATCATGATAGTGGTAGTTATTGTTTAATTATATGTATGGTGGGTGCAAAATTATAGGAGGGGCTAAGGAGACGCTGATTACTGATGAGCCTTTTTTTTTAGCTGCGAAATATGAGAGCAGTACCAAAACTTGGAAACAATTAAAACATCATGTCTATTAATATGTATTAATAGTATATAAGAACAATAAATTACATAGAACAAATAAAGCAAACAGTCATAAAAAATTAAATTAAATTAGGATCATAAAGCAAATTTCTCATACAATTGCTTTAATTCCTTCTTTCCTCTACATTCAATCATATAAATTTCTGAATCACTCAACTTCACCAACAATCCAGCTCGTCCAATTCTTTCTAATTTATTATGTCTTTCATCATCAGCAATTAAGAAACTATATGGTTCATCAGATTCAGTATTTTCATCATTATTTAAAACCAAATTATAATAGTTTTTATTTGTGAAATTATCAGATATTAAATATACACTTAATGAATACATGGAAAGGATTTTCCATGATGATGGTACAGAAATCTTACTATAAGTTTCTAATTGTTTTTGAAGTCTAACTGTCATCAGATTTAACATAATTAATTTAGAATTCTCGGGATTATTTAACACTGCATAAGCAGTAGTTTTATCTGAATCTAATATTTGAGCTTTATATGCATTGGATTCTGGATGAGAATGGATTTTTATATTGTTTGGTATACTTCCAATAGTATTTATACTGGTTAAAGTAGATGAAGCACTTGGTTTATCCATAATTGATGATGTAATCGTACCATCAGAAAGAACCAGTTTAGAACTTCTTAATGAATCATTACCTTTAGATTTAGTGGCTAATACTCCCAATACATTTTCAATATTTTCAACAATTTGATTTGATAATGATCCATTCTTGAATCTTATCATAATATTCATCTTATCCGATGTTATAGAATTAATAGAAGATATCTGAAGATCTAAAGCAGATTTTCTAAAAGTAGTTTGATTATTAAGATCTAATAAAAGAATTGGTTTATCAATATCTTCTTCATATTCATCATCAAATTCTTCCTTAAAGAACATTAACCAACTTTTATTCAAAACGTAATTAACAACGATTTTAGCAAATGTCTTTTCATTAGTAGTTAACATCTCCCATTTACCATATCTTTCTTTCCATTTGGAAATAATCATAGCCTTTGGACTATTATTAGTTATAAAGAAATCAATAGATTCATCATTATTTATAGTATCTTTTAATTCCTGAGGAATTCTTAAATCTTCTTCAGGAACTGATATATTGGTTTGAGAATCATTATGAGAATTACCAACACTAACTGATGAACCATTAGCATAAGGCTTAAAAAAGTATGTAGAAGTAGATGATGGTAAGGCAAATGGTAAAGGAATTGCTGAAGGTTTAGTAATTGAATTTTCAGAACATGATGAATGTAATGCTTCTTCTATTGGTTCTTCTATAGTTGTTTGAATCACTAAAGATTTCTTATTCTTTAAAGGAGGAATAGGAGGAGGAACAGACTTTACTTCATCTGATTTTGGTTCTGATTTTGGTTCTGGTTTTGAATCTGGTTTTGAATTAACCATATCAAATCCAGAAACCTTAGGTTTTGAATTCTTTTTAAAGAGTCCAAAGAAAGATTTCTTCTTTGTCTTTTCGGTAGATAAAGATGTAGAAGATTCATTATTATTCAAATTATCTGATGATAAGAATGCAGGAGTATAACTTTTACCAAAATTAGATATATCAATGGCTGAACCAGTAGATAATTGATATAATTTTTCGGAATTTTTAGATGGTAATGATAAATCAGGTACAGAAGCAGATTTATTAGTTTTAGGTTGAGATTGAGGTTGAAATGGTTCAAGTAATGAAGAAGTACTATTATTAAATGATTCCTTTATATCAAGTTTTGGAGATAATTGAATATTTTCAATGACTGCTTGAGATGATTTAGGAACTTCATGGAATACACTATCTAAAGAAGTTTGAGATAATGTTGAACGTTTAATTTCTTTAACATAATTATCAGATTCAGATCCTTCAATTGGAGGTTTAAATTTAGATTTTGAAGAAGTATTAGATAAAGTCTTATTAATTATTTGTAAAGATCTTTCATGATAAGAAGAATTTGATTCTGAAGATAATGCAGAAGAAATAGAAGAATCTGAATATTTTCTTCTAATATTAATGGTTGGAGGTTGACCTAAATCAATTAAATCATCTACACAAGGTATTGAAGTTGATTGTTTAAGTAATTGAGAAATTGGAGATTCATTACTTGAAAATGAAATTGGAGAATAAACTTCTTTAAATTCTTTTGAAATTTTAGGAGATTCATATTTTGGAGTAATTGATTTACCAATTGAAGAATCAGATACATAATCTATACCTAAACCATTCATTTTAGGAGGTTCTTGATCAGGAAGTATTAAAAAAGTATCAGAAATTGGAGAATTATTTTGTCTAAATGGGAATATTAATAATAATTTTTGACACCATTTCTCTAATAATAAATCACTATTAAATTTTAAAATTATCTTTGAATTTGAACCTGATGAAGGTAAATAATCAATTGGTTTAAGAATAATCATATCTTGATCCCAATAAATTGATAATTCATTAATTCTAAATGGTGGATACATAAGTGATCTTGAATTTTTATTAAGAGATAATATTGCTAAAGCATTAAATCTTGAAGAATTAGTATTTGAATTTGAAAGATTTAAAAGTAATAATTCAATTGAAGAATTATTATTATTAATATTATTATTATTATTATTATTATCATTATTATCAAGTAGAATAATATTCTCATTTAATGTACGTTCCACAATTTGATTTATTTTAAAGAAACTTGAAACCAGTTGAACATTTCTCCTTTGACCAAATAATTGAATATTATTAAAACTAATATCATTTAATTCACTATTATCTCTTGAATTATTATAAGATTCCACAATTTCAATTAAATTTAATTTAATTGAATTTAATTTATCTAATATAAAGGGATTTCTTATAATAGAATTCGATTTTATAATGAAATTTATATAATTATTGACATGAATAATTGGTTTAGAAAATGATACTCGATTAAGATTTATTTCATCATCTGAACCATTAGAAATTATTATAGCATATTTTTGAAATAATTTAATTACATCAATATCTAACCATAGTATAAATTCATTAACAAAACTTTTATAAACTTCTTTAATATCAATTTCTCCATCTTTAATCAGTTTAACTCTATTAGAAAGTAATATCAATAATTTTGAATTCTTTGTAAATAATCCTCGAACTATTGAAGATATCAGAGATACTGAACTTGAAGATCTTGAAGGTTTAATGAGTCCTAATATTTCAATTAAATTTTCATTAGCTTCAGTTTCACAATTATGTAATTGTAATAGAATACTTTCTGCTACTACATTAGGAGTGAGTGTATCATCTCTACGATTATGGATCTGATTGTGACTCTGATTGTGATTCTGATTCTGATTCTGATGTGTAACAGTCATCTTACCTCCCTGCTATAACCACTAACAAGTAAGAAAGCTACCAACTACTATAAGGGCCAGAAATAAAAAAGTAGTAGTAACTAATTAATTAATTTTAATTAGTTAAATGCCCTAATTAGTAGCCATCTCAAGTGTCGGTGTTAATGAGCCGGCTAAGATGCAAATAATTTACTCTGGCATAAATCGGGGACTAAATAAGGAGGTCCTTTCTGCAAGTATTTTGCTGGATTTGGAAATGTACCACGACGCGCCAAAACACGCTTGACCGCGTTTTGCGATAAAGAGAACAATCGGTTACAGGGCGGAACCTACCGACAATATACGAAAGTTTATATGTAGTATATTATGAATCTATTTTATAGTTGTAGTTATAGTTGGGTTTACGGTTTTGATTATTATTATAGTAATAGTATGATTGTACTGTATAATGGTTAGTTATTATGGCTGTCTCTTACTAGTACGGCTGTTATTACTTTACTACTACGGTTATGCATTCTGTTTCATATTTATATGTGTTGTAAATCTCTACATACTCTACTGTTACTAGTACTCTCTTGTAACTATCCAGTCCAAAACGGCATTTAACCCCGTACCGGATTTACCACTCACTAAATGAACCAGCCATTTATCTAACTGAGGAACTTGATTATGAAGATCAAGCTTATCTATAACTGTATGTTTTAATACCTGTAATTGATTCTCATCATAATCTTTCATAAGATCTATCTTATTTATTACTACACAAAGATATATTCCAGTTAATCGATCTTGTAATATAACTTTTTCTCGTAATTCTTCATATGATTCTTGTAGTCGTTCAATACTAATACAATCAATAACCCATACTATTACATTAGTCTTATCAAAATAATTACCCCAGAAACTTCTTAATGTTGTTTGACCTCCTATATCCCATATACTTAAAGTATGATTACCATATACTAATGTATTAATTTGAAATCCCATTGTTGGAGATATGATATTTATATCTTCTCCCATCATATTCTTAACTATAGTCGTCTTCCCAGAATTATCTAATCCTAATACCAACACTCGGATCTCATTATCTTTTAACTTCTGTTTCTTGATGATACTGAGTAGTCCCATGATGATTATTCATATGTTATAGTACAGTAGTAATACAGTAGTAATATAATTAGTTAGTTATCTTAATAGTGCGTATAATAATATTTGACAGATTTTTCACTCTGCGAAATCTGGGGCATCATCTCTATCTACATCACACTTACTTAATATACTAAATATTATTGATCCCGGAGAGTATGTCGCGATCGTCTCAGAAGCAGAAACCAGACATACCTTCTCCAAAGAAACAAAGATCAATTTTGGAATATACGAAATCATCCACTAAACTACAACAATCTGATACAGTAGTAGATTTGACCGATGACTGTGAAGTTATTACGATAGTTAAAGATGAAGAGTCTTCAGTATCGTCTCTTGCATTTGGAGAATTCATAGATGAAACCATATTATGTCCCATATGTTCATGTGACATATCACGGCTCAGTATAGACTCAAGATCAAGTCATGTAGAATTATGTTTAACACGCGTATCTACTACTGATACGGTAATTATAGCAAATAATGATAATTCTAAGAAGCGGAAAGTTAAACGAGAATTACTGGTTAATGAGAAGGAGAAGTTACGATATGTTAATGTTGAAAATGAAGAACTGGTACAGGCTAAAGTTGTAAAAGCTCCCACCACAATAGCTCCATCAAAGGCTAAGAAACCAATACCGATACTAAAGCGTATGAGGTTTCCCATAACAAATAATGAAGTTTATGAAGTAGCGGTGGATGCATTCTGTTATGCTCCCGATGATTTAATAGACAAATATTTCTTAACTCATTTCCATTCTGATCATTATGGAGGAATCTCAAAGAAGTGGAGCTACGAAAGAGTATTTACTGATAGTACGGATTATCAGGATGATTCAAAGTATCGATCCATAATCTATTGTACTCCCATAACGTCACGATTGCTAACGTTATACTTCAGTATAGATCCTCGATTCATTAAGGAACTTGAACTAGATCATCGATACTTAGTTCACTCCTATAGTTACGATACACCTCAGGAGAGCCACCTATCAACTGACTCAGAAGCAGAACTAGAACCTGGCCTCTATGTGACTCCTCTAACTGCCAACCATTGTCCTGGAGCTGCTATATTCCTCTTTGAATCCGTATCTTGTGAGAGAAAGCATCATCGCATCTTACATTGTGGAGACTTTCGAGTTAACATGGATATCTTAGGTCATCCATTATTATCACCATACAGACTTGATGGAGCTCTCCAGCTTGATAAAGTATATCTTGATACTACATACATGTCCCCCAAGTATAACTTCCCCAAACAAGAAGTTGTCTGTGAATCAGTAGCTGACTTATTCTACAATATAATTCATGAAGATGATTCATCATGGTTCGGAGCTCTAAAGCAAACACGTATTACTGACTTCTGGAAGCATAAAACTACAACTACCAAAAAGAAGAAACTTTTGGTATTGGTAGGCACTTATGTTATCGGAAAGGAGAAACTTGCTATGGCAATCCTGAAGAGATTAAATTGTCAGATCTATGCTCTGAACATTAATAGTCGAGAAAATAAACATCAGGTACTTAAGACTTATGATGATGAGTATCTCAATCTGGTCCTCCTGGTGACGGATTTGGGATCTGATGATACTCAATCTCAGTGTATGGTCCATCTTGTACCCATGAGTATAGTAGGTTCCATTACCGAATTAGCCAACTATTTCAATCATAATAAGTATTATGATCATTTCGAACGTTGTGTAGGTTTAAGACCTACTGGTTGGACATTTCTGTCTGAATATAGTAATGCAAATGATGATTTTGATATTATCGATAAAGCCGGCAATACCAGTTTGGCACAATTAGCTGAAGTAATGATATCTAGTCCACAATTTACTTATCAAGATGATATCCTACCTCAGAATTCCAATGTTAATAGAAAGGGTAAACCAGATCAATCATTATATCGAATATATTCAGTACCATACAGTGAACATAGTTCATATAGAGAACTAGCATATTTCAGTATCTTATTTAATATTGATAAACTTATCCCTACTGTTAATCTACATAGTACAGAATCAATTAGAGCTATGGAAGATATCTTTCAAGTATGGGAAACTGCCCGTAAAGTTAAGAAAGAAGAAATTTCTACTACAGAGGTAGAAGGTGTAACTGAATCATTTAATCAAATCAGTATAGACACATTCTAAATGTGGTGTATAAAATAAATGACAATGTGTATAATGTTGTATAATGATATATATATATATAATGATGGTATAAATAATGGTATCTGGAATGTATATGTAAATTAACTACTGTTTCTTAATACTAGCCTTAAGCTTAGTATCATAAGTATCCAAAATCTTTTCACATCTAGCAGGAGATTCACAAGAAGACCAAGTAGCTGCAAAATCTCCATCGAAATAATGAAGTTTATCAGTACTTGCATCTCCAATATTACCAGTATTATGAATAGAAGCAATATTTCTAGCAGGTATAATAGCTGTTTTACTTAATATAAATGGATGCCATTGTAAAATATGAGTTAAAGCTGAATCCGGACCAAATGGGAAACTTGGATAATTTAAATATAAAGGATTCCCCCAAATTTCTATAATTGATCTACCAACTGAATCATTCTTTATAATATATGATTCAGTTTCAACTTTCGCATCAGATTGAGTAATTATTAATCGAATATTTTCTGGTCTCGCATTTTTATAAGTCTTTATTGCCCCATTTGGTGGTATAATTGGTTGTTCTCTTTGCATTACTGGGCGTAAAGAATCACTGGCTAATATATAATCATCTAAATCAATATTCATATCCATTATAAGTCCATCTTCATCAAGATACCAAAACCATTTAGATTCTGGAAATGCATGCATAGCAGCTCGCATACAATAAATACGAACCCATTTCTTTTTTTCCTTTAATTGTAAGAAACTAAGTGAATTTAATATTGGTAAAAATTCTTGATACCATCTAATATAAACTCCATAACCTTGTTGATGAGCATAATCAACACGATTTTGAACAATTTTTGTTAAACCATCAAGAGTATATTTTTCAAAATCTACAGCTGATACAACAATTATTTCTGGATAATTTTGATTTTTCAGAGGTTTATAAATTACTTTATCATGATTTTTAAAGGCATTTTTAGCTACTGATAAATTTGATATAGCATTTTCTTCATCTTCCTTTTGTTTTTGAATTAATGGATCTGGATCATCAAATGAATTAAGTGATGTAATAACATTTTTTTCAATTTCTGGAAAATTTGAATCTCTAACTCGAGATTCTTTAATAAGTTTATGAACTGTTAATTCTTTAAGTAAGGGAGCATGTTCAATTGGTGGATAAATATATTTTGAATCAGTTTCAATACTATGAATACTTGTTAAAGGATGAGGTTTTGGATAATCTTTATAATTATTTGATTTAAATATATTATTTAATAAATGTAAAGGATTAAATATAAACCAAATTAATAGTATAGTTATAATTATAGTTGTAGAATTCTTACGTTGGAAACTACGTATAGAATTAATATTAAAAGTTGCTGGTAATGGTAAAAATCCTTTACTTTTATGACGGGGTTTTAATGAAGGACCTGAACCTGACCCTCTCTTACCAGTATTAAACATTTTTAATTAATTTAATTATTAATTGATAAGGATAATTAAGTTGTTTAGGGGTTTTTCAAAATATGAACAAAGTGCGAACAATAGAGTCTTTCCGCGTAAATTTCAGTCTGAATGTATATAAACTAATATAAACTATTATAACAATACTACTACTACTCCTACTACTCCTACTACTCCTAATTATTATTACAACTATTTAAGCAGTTGATTCTTTATTGATTCTATCTTCAATTACTTGTAATGCTACTTGTCTTCTTCTTTCAGCTACAGAATTAGCTACACTTTTTTGTGCTTGATTAGCTTGTTCTTGTCTCTTTTGAGCTCTAATATTACTTTGTTCAACTGATTCATCATTAAATGGAGTTACAATTCCAAGTAATACACTTAATTCATAAATTTTATCAAATACTATTGATAAATAAGGTTTTAAAATTACTGGGAAAAATTCCACTAATTGAAAAGTATCAGATGCATCACCAGTAATTAAACTTGAATTTGAATTATCACCAGTTGCAGTAGTTATTGGTAATAAAGGATCAGTTAAAAATGATTGATAAAATCTTAAATAAGTATAAGAAGTTATAAAACTTCCAATTGAAGGAATTACAGGATATAAAGATCTTGTGATTATAATTGACCATAAAATAACAATAATTAAAAATGTAAATGGTAAATGTTTAACTCTAACATTAACTAATCCTTGAAATAAAACAATATTATGTTCAGGAATTAATTGTTTAAATACTACTAAAAATCCAAAATAATAAGAAATACCTCCACCAACTGGTAAATCCATTGAATCACTATCATTTCTAATTATATTACTAATAATTGAAATTAATACGGTACCAAAATTTGTAATTGAACCAATTATAATAATAAATTTAATTACTTCTTTCCAACCCCAAAATTTTTCAATATATCTTGTTGAAATAATTAATACAAGAATTGAAAATATAAATGTAATTATACTAATTTCTGCAAATATAGCAGTAAAAATTACCCATGGATAATAAATTGTTGATCTTGGAATTAATTGTAAATATGGGATATAAATATCATGAAATGAACTTGAACTACCAGCTTGAATTGCTTCTCTTAATTTTTGAAATTTTAATCCAAAAAGTAGTCCAGATATGCCTGCTAATAATCCAACTGATATCCTGGTGGATAATGGGATATGTTGAGTTTTTAATAGTGAAACCATCTTATTGATAAAAGTATTGTATAGTTAATAGTTATGATATTTTGGATGTCGTGTTTAAGTTGTTGATTGAGAGTCACGTGGAGATTTAAATCGACAGATAACAGAGTGGCAGAAGAGTGGCAGAAGAGTGGCAGAAGAATATCAAATATCAGGCGGTTGATAGTATACAGTACAGGCTAAACTATAAAGTATAAATTATATTGTGAATATTATTCTATGCATTCTAGACCAGTGTATAGACTAAATAATAGAAGGATGTTAGTGTACAATAGTGAATAATAGTGTATAGTAATGTACAGTGTAGTACAGTGTATAGTAGTGTAGTGTAGTGTATATTGTACAGTGTAATATTGTCCACTATACAGTATACTATATTGTACAGTACAGCGTATAACAGTACAGCCTATAGTATAGTATAGTATTCTATATTGTTCAGTGTAGTATAGGTATATGAGTATACTACAGTGTACAATTGTATAGTACATTAGTATACTGCTTGGTATACAGTATTGTTGTAGTATATCTCTATACAATAACTCTATACTACTCTAATACTGTCCTATACTATTGAAATTATACTGTACTACAGTACTGTCAGTAACTATATGTAGTATATTATTCTACTACACTCTATCAATTACTACACTCATTCATATATAATAAACCTTTATTCAAACAGATATAGATGTATACGTAAAATACAAAGAATAACCACCTAAAATGATTTGGTGGTATAAGCCTTAGTACTACCTCCACGGGTAGATTCATAAGACCAAGTATAATGAGATGGCCTATTTGGTCCAGTATCATTATTGTTAACATGTCTTGGTTGGAAAACTCCAGAAAGAATACCAGACAATGATGAACCTAAAGTTACAGAAATATGAGATGAAGCAACTGCTGGGGCAGCAATAAGAACAACAAATATAACTAAAAAGAAAAAGTATAAAGTACAATATCTTCTAACAATTCTCTTTCTTAATTTAGTCTTTTTAACAGTAAAGATTGGTTGTCTAATTAATCTTGAAGGTTTTAACCAAAATAACATGGTTGTATGCCATCTATCAACTAATGGAATACACAAGATTGGTAATTGACAGAATAAAATAATATGAGCTAATACAAAATCACCAGCAAAATGTGACATTTCAATAATTTTGGCACAAAATTCACGAGCTGGTTGAGTAAGAGCCATATATCCCATACCAGTTCCATACCATTTACCATTCCAGAAAGCTGAATTAGCTCTATCATTCTTAAATTCTCTAGTTAAGAAAGCTAATGTTAAAAATTTAAATAATAATCTTTGAATATAAATCATTGTTGCAAGACCTAATAACATTCTAGCAAATACAAAACCTTCAAGAACCCAAATAACAATAAAGAATACAAGATTAATTATAACAGAAAGTGAATGAGCAACCCCAGCAAGAACTGAACCAGTCTTTTTACAACATAATCCTAACATTGGACCAGCACAACAACCTAAACCAAAACAACCAGCTAAAATACCCATATTAATAACTACTGGAGCTAAAGCACAAACAACCACTCTTAAAGTAGAATTAACTTGAATTGGAGTAGTTGAACCATTAATTTCATATGGATAAGTTGTAACCCCAGTTTGGGCATTAATAAATGTAAAGGCAACAAAAAGACCAGCAGTATAAATAAGACAAGGAATAAAATCAGCAAAGAAAACATTTGAACGATGAGCCCTTGAAGCATCACCAGCATTTTGTTCTGCTTCATTATTACCAATTAATTTTCTCTTAAAACCAGTAATACGAGATCTTGATAATCTAATATAACCAATCCAAGAATTTCTATACCATTTAGTATTACCTCTAAATAACCAAATAATGAAATCTCTATAATCAACAAAGAAATCATCCCAAGCAAATTGATGAGGATTAAATACAAATGGTGAAAACATTAATGAAGATAATGAAGCCCAAAACCATAATAATGGAGCTTGCCATTTAGCTACTGATCCAAATAATAAAATTAACATTAATCTGGCTCCCATATAAATAGAAGAATCAGCAAATCTTGAATATAAAATTGAAAATGGTATTCTTGAAGTTGCAAATCCTCTACCAGTTGAAATATATCTTGCACCACCAACAGTCATATCAGTATAAATTGATGAAGAATAAATTTGAGCTACAAACACTTCAAACATTGGAGATAATGAAATAAAATGACGAACAAATCTTTGGAAAGCTTTCCAAACACCTCTTTCAATTAATTCTTGAACGACTAAAGGAATAAATGAAATAAAAAACACAATAAAAATGGATAAAGTATAACGTCTAACCCAATCAACAGCTGGATCTAAATTATAACAACCAAATGGGAATAAAACATCAGTAATTGGAGAATTTCTATTATAAGCACAAATAATTGATTCATGAGCTAAAGAAGTTAAATTAGCCAAGACTAAAATGAAAACTTGTAAAGATAATTGAATGAATAAATTATTAATATGGAAACCAGGATGACCATAATAAAATGATAAGAAACGATCTAAAGGTAATTGAGTTGATAAATAATAATATTCACGAGATAACATTTGTTCACCCATACCAGCACCAATTTTAGTGGTGAAATTTAAAATTGATCCAAAACCCATATCTCTACCTTTACCACATTGATAATATTCACAATGCTTAATTTTACCACCTCTTAACATAGCAGTCATACCAGCATAAATATCTTCATTTAAATGTAAACCCTTTTGAGCTTTAGAAACTCCACCTCTAGTTAACATAAATGTTGCATTTAAAAAATCAGGATGTCCATAATGTAATTTACCTCCAATTTGGGCTAAAGTTCTAGCAAATAATGTACCAAAAGTTTGTTCTTTACCAGCAGCAACATCACCTAAAACCCCAGAATTTTCCGAGAAAATATATTCTCTGGCTCCTAAAAAGGCTACAGGATCTCTCTTTTCTTTATTATTATTATTCTTTAAATCTGGTTCATATGGATTAACAAAATCAAGATTTAATTCTTCAAATTCAGCCAAAACTGATCTAATCTTTAAACATTCTTCTAAATAATTATCTTGATTAGCATCAATTAATTGAATATATTCCCCTCTATGGAAAATCACCGCATGATTTTGATTATCAGATTTACCATCACCTAAAATTGGATTACCAGATAATTGGATTCTAAATTTAGGTTTACGTTCACCATTTTCTAACATTTCACAATGACCATCAACTACAGCAGAATAAATTCTGGCATCTTCTCCTTCATTTAATGCTGGTTCTTCATCTAAATAAGCAATTTGTAAATCAGGATAAGCACGTAATAAAAATTCAGCATTTTCCTTTTCATCTTCCTTAAATTTAGTCTTTCTTTGCATAGAAACTAAAAATCTAAACTTTCTTCTAGCCATTTTTTCTAAAGCTAATTCTAATCCTTCTGGATCTCCACCAAAATATTGAACTAATTCAGGATTTTCCACTCTATATAATAATTTAATGGCTCTAGCATAATTCATAAATCCAGAAACAGTACGATATAAAGTTTGTGATCTTAAAGAAGCCCAAATTCTTGTTCTTAAAGTATATTCAGGAGCCGAAGATTTAAAACCCACACAATAAAATGGTAAATCATCAATCTTAGATTTTAATCCATCTTCAGATAATTTTTCAGCATCACCACCATTTTCATAGGCAGCAGTTTCTTCAGCTAAAATCTTAGTATCTTTAACAAAACAATCCCATTCAACAGGATGTAATTGTTTTAAATATTCTAATAAAGTAACTTTAGAATGTTCATCATCTTCTCTAATAATTTCCTTTAATGATAATAAAATCTTTTCGGAATAATGAGGAGTAAAAACAGTAAATGTTGGCATATTATCAACAGGTAATGGTTCAGGAATTGGAGTAGCTAAAGATTGAGCAAAGAAAGAAATTCTTCTTTCAGCTTCAGAATTAGTTGGAAAGAATTCAGTTTCAAAATTATTATCATCTTGACTAACAAAGAATGTTGGAGCTCTTAAAGTACGTTTACCTTCAATTTCAGATGGAACTTGATGATATAATAATTTTTGAACATGATCAATGGCTAATAAATGTTCTCTATACATTGAAATAACAATAGCATTCCAAATTTGAGAAATTAAAACTTTTGGTTTATATTTAACTTCCATTTCAGTGGTAGCTAAAATCTTAGAATAAATTCTCTTGGGTAATCTTGTAAAGATATTTCTCCATGGAGTTAAGATTGAAATCCCCAAATAAAATGATCTACCAATGGAGAAAATACAATTACAAATAATATACCACATATAAGTATCCAAAAAGAATAATAATAAATCAACAAGATACATTAATCCCAAAACAATTTTAGCTTGATGTTGACATAATCGAACTCCATACCATACTTCACCAACACATCTCATTGTTGTGGTTGATAAAATTCTAATTGGATCTCTTAATGATAAAGTTAAAAAGAAATAAGATTCAGTTAATTTGGCAAGGAAAACAAGTACCCATAAAAGATAAGACATCCACATATCTAAACCCTTTAATTTAATAAAATTAGCAGTAAAAGCTTGAGAAGCTAAATATCTTCTTGATCTTTTATTCATATAAGAAGTAAATAAACCTCCTAATGGCATAAGAGCAAAAAAGAAAAGGGTACCCATAGCAATAAAGAATCCAACAATTGAAACAATATGAGCTGATTTTGAAATCGATGCTAAACCTGCCCAATAAAATGTATAAACTGGAGGTACAACATTAAGTAAAAGAATTAATATTAAAAATACTAAACGACGAGTTAAATGTTGAGCACCAGCCCATTCTCTTGGAACAAACATCCATTCAAAAAGTGTAGCAAAGATTTGAATTAAAGAAGCTAAAACACCTCCAATACTGGCAGCGGCCCATCTTGAAGATGCAGTTGGTTGTTGATTTAACACTTGTTCATAATGTAAAGTATATAAGGTTGGAGAATTATAAGCAGTATACATCCAATAAATTGTACCATGAATAATCCAAATTCTATTAAAGTTTGTTACAAAATGTAACCAAGTTCTAATTTCTTTATAAGTTTTAAAGAAAACGTTACCCCATTCAACTTCTCCTAATCTTAAATAACGTTCTTCCTTTGGTACATCAACCAATCTTGAACCATCATTAAAAATAATTCTTGAAATCCCTTCAGGATACCAAAATAATTGATTGACATCATCATAACCAATGATTTTATTATGATCCTTTTCACGTTTAACAAATTTACCTTCATAAATTTCATAAACTTGAGATCTAAGAAATCTATATAATGGAGTTATAACACGATTTAAATAATCTCCTTCTGGTACAGCTTCAGTTCTTTGTTGACAAGCAGGAGATTGTAAATAATCAAAGGCAGTTTTATAAATATAACATAAAGTTTCTGGAGTAAAACGAACTTGATTAGCTTCACCCCATAATAATAAATAAAGAGCAATATCACGAACTCTTTCTTCTGGTGATAAAGCATTCATTTTTGCTTTCCATCTAATTTCAGCAGCTTCTAATGAAAAATCACCTTCTAATTCATTAGCTAATGCTTCAGGATCAATATCATCACCTAATTCAGCTACAGCCTTTTTAACCTTTTTAGATTTTTTTGAAGCCTTTCTAGCTTTTCTACCTAATTTACCTAATCTCATATTAGCAAATCCAATAGAATCATCTAAATCTTGTTGAGAAGCAAAAAACCATTTTTTATAATTAGCATTTTCACCTCCAATATAATCAGCATGTAAACTTAATAAAGCATGAGCAGGAGTCATACGAGAAGATCTTGAATCTAAAAGAGTCATAAAATAATCAAACATATTTCTCATTGAATCTCTTTGAAATCCAAATTTATTAGTTAAATCAATAAATATATCTTCAATATGTTCAACTTTAACTGGGGCTTGAGGATCAGCTGACCAAGCAGGATAAGGTAAATTTGAAGCCATTTGAAATTGAGCTGATTCATAACCTTGACCTTGACCTCCATAAATTGGAGTTGAAGCACCAGAAGATCTTGGATCACCTCCATAACTAATTTGAGATGGAGTATATTGAGTTCCATATTGATCATAACCAGGAGTTCCAGGAGTTTGACTAAATTCAGAAAATTGATCATTATAACCTACAGCTCCTCCAACTGGTTGACCTCCATGCATAGGTTGATTTGGATCTTGATATTGAGCATCTTGATAACCATCCATATCATAAGGTTGTTGATAATATTGAGCATTTGGATTATAATATTCTTGTTGAGGTTGATTTGGATCCTCATAAGGTTGTTGATAGTAACCTTCAGCTGGTGGTACACCACCAGCTTGCGGGTTCTGATCATAATAATGACTATTATCGTTATACGACATCTATATAATCAGTTAGTATAAACGAGTGACTAATAAAATCAATATAAACGAGAGAATGATTTAATTTCCATCTAATGAACAAAGTTATAAAATTCAAATTCTCATCAAATTCTAAATGGAAACAATTAACTAAGCTTCTGAAACGGATGCAAAGCAAAGTAAAAAAAAAATTTACTAGATCAAAAAATCAAATAAATCAAATTATGGCCGAGAATACAAAACAGGAGCAAACTTAACCAGATGAGGGAGGGTGTGTTTGTGGAAAGGGTAAGGCAAAGGGAAAAAAATTTGGGTTAAATTTGATTTTGTGGTAGTTGAACCAGAAGGGAACTCAGTTGAACGATTTAAGTAATCGGCCGACTCAAGCTACTTCCTTTCCTTTCTTTTCTTTCCTAAAAATAGCACCAATTGTTTATTGGCTAATAATATTATAATAAAAAATAATAATAAAATGTATGAATAAAAAAAAAAGAAATTTTTTTTATCCTGCCACAAAACCACCACACGTTTAGTAAAAACTTTGATAAGGAGGAAAGTGATCGAACGATTGTAAGGGTTAATTTGGTTCGTATGTTAGTACTGACATATAATGATCAGTATAGTGATCAGTAAAGTTATTAGTGTGGTTATTTCATTAGTTAGGTTAGTTAGTGTGAAATATCATTAGTGTTTTAATAGTTAGTTATAGTTACCGTAGTATGGGACGTGTGTATGCGTGAAAAAGGTGCCCCCTTAGAGCTGTGTGCAGTCCTCAACCAATCTGGCTACCATTTGGTGGTGCTAATGATCGTCAATGTGTCAATGTGTTAATGTCGTAGAATTGTAGTGGAATGGTGGTGTAATGTAGTTGAAGTAGTAGTCAAGTTGTGCTATTAAATCGATCTAGTTCTTCCTTGATTATTATGTAATTGTTTGCCCTCTCGTTCTACATTTCTTGAATGTAGACTTCAGTCCAAGTTATTCTACCTCGGTGACTGAATAATTCCGGCTCTAACTCACTAACTCACTAATGAAGTAACTCACTCTGATAAGTCACTGGCTCACTAACTGTCTCTGTCACTCTTGATATCTTACATCCTCTCTTTCAATCTCCCTGTATGTTTCTCAGTTCGTTAGACTCTCTTTCTCCTCGTCTCTCCCTCTCTCTCTCTCCTCCCTCTAACTAAACCTGCTTAAGTCTCCCTGCTTATATCTCTCATGCTCTCTCTCTTTCTCATATTCCTCTCTATACATACCTTTTAAGCGATAGTTAGATGTCGTTACAACTCAGATGATGAGATGATAAAGAAAAGTATAGTTAAAAACAAGTCTTCAATATGGAAAGTCAAATGTTGATCCCTTAACTATGCGCCTGCACACAGGACCACAAAACACGAACGCGAATTTCGAGAGATGAGAATTTCACTTTGGTGTTGTTAGTGTACTCCGCCTCAGGAGAGTGCGTTAATACCAATAATAATACTATTAGTACCACTAATACTAACATTATAATTATTAATACTGTCATCCTCGTTCCATCTCGTATTATCTGTACTAATTAGTCTATCTGGAGTACTGTCTCTTATCTACACTACTAACTATCTATTTTTGTTTTCTATTAACTTACTACTATCAGAACTACTAAATGTCTATCTATCGCTATTACCTATCTCTAAATCTATTGTCTGTTTATAATATTTCCAATATTAGTAGTATTTGTCAATACTATTCTATTTCTCTTTTTATTACCCTATTGTCTTAATGTCTACCTTGCTATTGTCACTACCCTTCTGTCTCTTCCACACTTCCCGAGACGCGACATTTTAAGTTTGACATATGGTTTGTTTTGGTTTTGTCGCATTTCACGAATTAGTCGGATCTTCACTTGGATACCCTTTGTCCTGTATGTCGATGTGGTATGTGCACGCCCTCATTCATGAATTAGGATGCAGTCCCACACATTGCATTGCAATGCGGTGGCATGTACTGTATAGTATACAGTATTTAAATGTTTATTATAATTTTAGTGTATATAGTATTTCAATTACACTTCCTATTTAGGTAATTCCCAAACTGCTATATAAACTACTCATTCATTCCATCCTAAACTATACAATTCCTTTCTAATATCGTCTTCTTTCTTAATTTTACTAACTTGAGTATCCTCTAATGATTCTCCAGCAGCTTGTTTCATCTTTAATTGTTCAATAGCTCTTAATTTCTTTAATAATGATCTAATCTTTTTCTCTTCTAATGAAATAACTCCTCCAACAACACTACCACTTGCTTCAACATTATTACTTAAATCTGCAATTAATGGTGTTGATGTTGATTGTGGTGGTGGAGTTGAAGTTCGTGACTTATCAGATTCTTCTCCTGCTTGTTGTTGTTTCTTAGCTTCTCTCTTTTTTCTATTTTTAATAGCAGCTTTACTCTCTTTAGCTTCAACTGGTGCAGCTCCTGGAACAACTCTAGCTCTACCACTGGAAATATTAATTCCATTTCTTGGTTGAGAATTAATACTAGTTTGAGAATTAGTTTGTTGAACAGAAATTCCCTTTTGTAATAATTCCTTTTGATATAATGAAGAAGCGGTTGAAGTATTAGCACTATTTCTAGCATGAGGTGGACGATAAGCTCCAGCAGGTTTAGAAGCAGATGTAGCAGATGCAACAGCTCGTTTAGCTAAATATTCTTGAGCAGATGGATGAGCTGGAGGTGCTGGTTCTAATTGTTTAAGAGCAGGAAATTTCGATATATCTTGAGGTTTCCAACCAATAGAATATAATTCTTGATATTCTCTTAAATATATTAATTTCCCACTTGCATGCCAAATTTTACATCCATTATCAACTCTTAATCTTGGAGCTGTTGTAGCAGTTAAAATAAATCTACCACATGGTGACCATTCACATACAGATGTATTAGCAGCTTCAAAAGTAACTACTTTAGAAAATTTATTTTGACGATCATAAACATCAACAGTTCCTTGTAAATTACCAAATCCAGCTACAAGAACATATCTTGCATGAGGTGAATATAAAATAGTATTTCTTGGAGCCATAGGTAATGAATGAATTGCATTTCCTCTAGCATCAAAAAATGTAGTTTCTGATGGCATATAACCATAACTAACAGCAAATTCTCTTGCTGATGGTGACCAAGTAATATCATGAATTGGTCCTTCTCTCTTTAAATCAATTCTTGAATCATAAGATCCAGCAATTCCCAAAAGATATAAATTAGTTTCTCCATAATAAGATTTATTGGTTGTATCATGATCAGTTGAAGCCAAAGCTAAAAGAGCAGTACCTAAAGAATTCCATTTTAATTGACATCTTTCAGCTTTAAAAAAATTCTTTGAACATATTGGTTGTTGAAAATTTGGAATATTATAAATCAATACACTAGCAGGTTTACCAGATTTTTCAGGAATGAAAATTGCAACTGAAGGATTTAAACCAGGAGAAATTTGAAAATTTTGATAAGGAATCTTTGCATCACTAACTTTATATTTAAAGTTTGGTTGATTAATATTAATAAGTAATTCAGAATTAGCATCAATAGAATAAAAATGAATTTCTTTATTATTATTAGAATTCTTAGCAATAATCTTTTCATCTTGAGTAAATTGAGGTTTCCAACCACCTTGATTCTTTTGAGGCCATTCAATAATAATAGATTTTGTCTTTATATTAAATATTTTAAGATTATTATTCCATACACCACTTTCTTTATCTAATAAAATTGGTTTACACCATAAACATAAATAAGTTCCATTTGGAGAAAAATAAATATCAAAAACATCTTTCATATCAATTTTATGATAAATTGATGCTTTTGATTCAGTATTAAATATTATAACTTCATTTGGTTGAGTATAAGCAAAATAATGTCCATTAGATGAGTATAATGCAGCACGACATTCTTCATTTGCCTTAGGACCAGGAGTAATATCTTCTAAATCTTGAGTAAGATCAATAGATCTTGGTAAACGACAAAAAAATTCAGTACTTTTAGACATATCTATATTTGTAGTATGATTTATATAATGATTTTCAAACTAATTTAATAATTGAACTAATGTTAAATCAAGCTACGAAATGATTTACACAAATAATGTAACCAAAAACTCAAATAAATTGTCTATTCCTTGCAGAAGATATCTGAGTATTCACCTATAGTATGGACCCACTAAATAAAGTAAGCTTACTACTTCAGTTGACTGAATTTCACAACTGGTCACACTGGCAAAATGTTCACTGAAAATGTCAAGCTGAACTTTTTTTTTTTGCGTTGACTTTTCACTCTGTTTTTGTGGTGGGGAGTCGGACTTGCTGGTTGTGAGAGGCATCTACTGAGTGGTGGAGACACGGCTAGGGAGTAATGGATGTGTAGGGAGGTAGAAATTCTACTTATAGTCATAGTATTTAGTGATATACTAATAATAATAAAAATGATAGTAATTATATCTAATAACAATTACTCATACATTAATGATACTAATAATATATATTCTGATTTTAATACTACATATTCATATACTAATGCTATTCTATTCTATTTAACTACTCTTTAACTTCTCCAAACTTGAAATGTCCACTCTCTTCTGCATGCCTACTGGCCCCCATCTCTCCTACCAATACTTTGTAACATTCTAAACATCTAACTCGGAACGTTGTAGTATTAGTAGAATAATCATTCTCCTGTAACAACTTACATAATTTTAAGCTACTGTCTAAAATAATAGATTCTTCTGGTGAACCGATCTCCCATATTGATTCATCATGATCTTTATCACTATCTGATTTACTTAACTTATCATTCAATACAAATAAATCATAATGAATTCCACTATATATTAGTATAACAAATCTTTGTGGTGGATGGTCCTTATCTTCATTCTTAAATTGAATAAAATGTCCCAGCTCAATATCCAAGCAATCTATCCGAATATTAAACCAATCAGCTAAAATGCCTAATTCAATAGCTCCTCCCCATGAATCCTTCTTAGTGATCCAATCACAATAGGCATTGGGTTCTCGACCTAAGACTAATTCATTGTATAACTCAGGATCTTTACGAATATATGATACTACGATAGATCGAAGATCCGATGGAGGACTAACTGTTTGAAATGCATTATGCCCATTAAGAGCAGATGAAAGCGAATTAAATAAACATGAATTATCATCAGGAATATTTCTTAGAATTAAATATTTGTTTAATTGTGGAATATAAACAGAAGGAATATCATCTTTATTACTCTTTGATGGTGGAGCATTAGACAAATCCGATGATGGAACTTCATCATATTCCACTATAAGCTGATCTCCATCCCTTATACCTTTACTTGCAATAGTTTCATCTTCAACAGAGTCTATGTTTATGTTTACAGGTGGGAATCCATGTTTAATTGCAACTACTCGTGATAAATCTGACTCTCTTAATTCTGTAATATTGTTTATGTCAGCGATGAAGTCTCCAAATGGTTGACTTTCATGAGGTGATATAGTCTTAACCCCTCTTTTAGTTTTGAGTCTTAATCTCATTTGTATACCCCTTAGTAAGATGGTTATATTACTAACCTTTAAATCTGAATCTCGAAATGTACGTTTTAGGCAATATGCACAAATGCGAAATTTTGCCACATAAATAAAGTTTCAGATTGCAACCAATTACTTACAGATACTACAATCTACAATAAGGAAATATTAAATAATGCCTATAATGCTATAATTTATTCATGGGAATAAATAAGAATAATCAAACAGATATTAAATATGATAACCTAGAACTGAATGCAACTAATATACAATGAATGAAGAATAGGTAAGTAAGGATGAATGAATGAATAAAAGAATAGAGGAAATAAAGGAAATAAAGAAAGAAAAGAAGAAAGATAACGTGACATGCAGAATCTGTCTATAACAGAAGATAAGTATTTATTTATAAATCATGACATTTCAGCATCTTCAGCTAATGCTTGCTTCTGAGTTTCAACTTCAGTTATTTCAGTAGTACCTTCAGCTTTCTTTTGGAATTCTTCTGAAGGAACACCAGTAATAATGGCATCTAAATTATCTTTCTTTTGATTAGCCAAAGCTTCAAACTCAGTTTCATTATCCTTTTTAAATTGCTCCAATTGCTTGTATTTCTCCACTGACTCTATAAATTTAAGCATGTTCACTCCACTAGCAGCTTCCGATTCTAAATTAGTGTAAGGACGTTGTTTCAATTCCTTAACTCGCCTCTTATGAACCTTAGCTTTAGTATGACGATCTAATGTGAGTTGATTCTCAAAGTATTTGGCACATTGTACACAATAGTATTGACCTAAACCAGGTTTATCTTCATCTAATGGTTGATTCTTTAACTTAATTATGCTTTCTTTAGAAGAAATATCATCATAGATGAGATCCAAGTCTCTGGTTCTTCTTTTAGTCTTATATCTTTTAACACTGTATCTACCCATTGTTGATCTCTAGTTAATTATACTATCAAATCATTAATTAAAGAGATGAGTTTGAATTTTTTTCTTAGTTGCCTTGATTGTTGTGAAGAGATCATCTGATATCGAACATGTGATTCTTCACGCGCACAAATCACATGATTACAGATGCAGAAAAAAGCAGTCACATAGTACCATGTGATCAGTTTGTTCTTCCTGCACACATAATTACATATTGCAGCTTGGATGTTTGGTCTTTTAAACTCACTTTTTTTATTACTAAGTCAAACTATGAGAACATCCCCCGCCACCATAGTTAATTCTGTACGCAGGAAAATTATGCGACAGCACCAAAAGTGAAAAAGAGAAAAGAGAATTTTTCTATAGCGAAGTTCGTACTCTTTTAAACTCCTTAACCAAGTGTTGAATAGGTATGTATCAATAGTGGTATTATTGATTAAATTAACTATAGAGCATCATTCAAGTATCATATTCAAGTTGTCAGACCCAAATTTCATTATCATTTGTAAGAGTTAAGTCGAATAGCTTTAAGACTCACTGTAGAAATTGATTTGTCATCATCATAAAAATCATATAAAAGTCCACAACATTTACTTAAGTTATTATATAATATCACTTGAGTCATATAATAAGTGATATCTCCATAAATTCCAAATATTCATCAGTTTTTTTCAGAATTTTTAATAGTTTTCTTTTGGTTTTTGATAGCTCTATAATAATTAGTAATCAAATTCAAAAACATTAATACTAACAAATTTAATAGACAAAATGGCTAGAAGACCTGCTAGATGTTACAGATACTGTAAGAACAAGCCTTACCCAAAATCCAGATACAACAGAGCTGTTCCAGATGCTAAAATCAGAATTTACGATTTAGGTAGAAAGAAGGCCCCAGTTGATGAATTCCCATTATGTATTCATTTAGTTTCTAACGAATTAGAACAATTATCTTCTGAAGCTTTAGAAGCTGCTCGTATTTGTGCTAACAAGTATATCACCAAGATCTCCGGTAGAGATTCTTTCCATTTAAGAGTTAGAGTCCATCCATTCCACGTTTTAAGAATCAACAAGATGTTGTCATGTGCCGGTGCCGATAGATTGCAACAAGGTATGAGAGGTGCTTGGGGTAAACCACATGGTTTAGCTGCCAGAGTCTCTATTGGTCAAATCATCATGTCTGCTAGAACTAAAGATTCTAACAAGGATGTTGTTATTGAAGGTTTAAGAAGAGCTAGATACAAGTTCCCAGGTCAACAAAGAATTATTATCTCTAAGAAGTGGGGTTTCACTCCATTAGACAGAGCCGATTATGTTGTTAAGAAGAACAAGGGTGAAGTCAAGGATGATGGTGCTTATGTTAAATTCTTAACCAGAAAGGGTAACTTAGAAGCTAACTTAAAGCAATTCCCTAACTACCAATACGATGCTTAAATTTAACTTGTTTAGGTTATATATGCTCTAATAAATTGAGAAATCTTGTTAAAAATTAAAAGTAGAATTATTTAGTAGAACGTATTGGTGCGAATACAAGCTGACAAAGTATGTTGTAAGGGCATACTAAGTATCATTAATATTAAAACCCTACGCAGCTTTTAGTGGATGTAAATTCTCTGATTCACATAAAGTTAGTCTATTACTTAGATTTACAAACTCGCCAAAGTTCTTTAATAGAATTTATGGCATGAGTATATGACTAGAAGTTCTTTATTGTTTTTACGTCTTTTCTTATTACTATATTAGGAAGTTTTTGACTTTTTTCGCAGTATAATAGCTGCAAATCAGGTTTATGAGATGGACCATACTTTACCGAAGGAACACTTAACGTACATAGTGATTTCAAATTACAAATATATAAACTTATATAACTCTACCGTATAACATACAGACTGTATAGCAATTACACAGAAACTGTATAGCAATTACATCAAAACTACGGAGCAAAATCTTAGTAACTACAATTAGACTTCGCAGTCATAAACACCCTAAATATTGAAAACTACTAATTAAGATATTCCGCACATACATGATGTACCACACAATAAACTATATTACTCTGACAACCAATAATTTATACATACTGATCTACCACATGTTCTGTAACTAACTAACAATGGTTACCACGCGTACTGAAACACGCTCGGTAAATTCGAGCATGGCAGTTCCTGATGATGTGCAGGACGACTGTTGTGTTGTCCAGTTTTTTCAACGTATTTCGTATACTACTAGTTGTAACTTTAATAGAGTCTTCTTTCCTCTTTGACCGTAGATCTATAGATTTATAATAGTAATTAGTTAAGTTTAATTCCTTCCCATTATCACTACCGCCATGTCATTTACTGAAAAAGAAGATCCAAAGACTTTAGTCTTATTTGATGTTGATGGTACTTTAACTCCAGCTAGATTAACCATTTCTGATGAAATGACAAAAACTTTAGAAAAATTAAGAAGAAAAGTTGTAATTGGATTTGTTGGTGGATCTGATTTAAGTAAACAAGTTGAACAATTAGGTCCAAATGTTTTAGAAGATTTTGATTATTGTTTCTCTGAAAATGGTTTAACTGCTTATAAGAAAGGTCAAGAATTAGCTTCTCAATCATTTATTAATTGGATTGGTGATGAAAAATATAATAAATTAGTTAAATTTATTTTAAGATATTTATCTGATATTGATATTCCAATTAGAAGAGGTACATTTATTGAATTTAGAAATGGTATGATTAATGTATCACCAGTTGGTAGAAATGCTTCAACTCAAGAAAGAAATGATTTTGAAGCTTATGATAAAATTCATCATGTTAGAGAAAAATTAGTTGATGCTTTAAGAAAAAATTTTGCTGATTTTGGTTTAACTTATTCAATTGGTGGTCAAATCTCTTTTGATGTTTTCCCAACTGGTTGGGATAAAACTTACTGTTTACAACATGTTGCTGAAGAAAAATTCGAACATATTCATTTCTTTGGTGATAAATCTTATAAAGGTGGTAATGATTATGAAATTTATAGTGATCCAAGAACTATTGGTCATGCTGTTAATTCTCCTGCTGATACCATTAAGATTTTAAATGAAATCTTCAAATTAGATGAAGTAACTATTTAAATATAGTTTATATATATGATCTCTCATTTAAATATAAATTTCGGAAATAATAATAGACAAACTTTCTAAATAATTATAATTTAATTAATTAATTTAATTAATTTAATTTAATATTTACTATATACAAAGAAAAAGCCTATTTACGTCTATAAAATATAGCTGATCCATTATCACCAGCAACAATGACTTGTTCAATTTCAATTTTTGAATTTAATTTATGATCATCTAATAATTGTAAACGATTATTATTAATATCATTAAGTTTCTTAGATAATTTCTTATTATTAATTGATTTATCATCTTTTAAATCTTCTGGTTCAATTAATTGAGGGATCTTAATTGGTTTTGCACTCTTAATTACTTTACCATTACCAAATTGTCCTGATTCATTATCACCAATAACAACTACTTCTTTATAAAGTCCAGAATTATTTAAAGTAACAAATAAATGATTATTACCTACACTAATATCTTTAATACCAATATTAATAACTTTACCTTGATTTTCATCATATTCAGTTAAATTCATTAATGATTTCATAATTTGTGGATTAGGACAAACATGTAAATATCTATTATCACCTAATTGACCTTTAATACCACTACCAAAACTTAAAAGAATATCTTGATTAAATTCATGATTCTTAACAAGAATATATGAACTATTATCTCCTGCTAAAGCCTTTACAATTGAAAATCCTTCAATTGTACTTGAACTTGGTAAAACATTTCGACAAATTCTCTTTAAATCACTTAATTGTAAAATTTGTTTGGGAACTGGTTGAATATCTGTATTAATAGTTATAGGAATTCCACATTCTCCAGATTTGTTAAATCCCCAAGTCCAAACATTACTCTTTGAATCAACAGCTATATTATGATACTTCCCACTAGCAATTGTAACAAATTTACGAGGTAATAATATCTTACTTCCATCTTTATTATGAATAATCTCATTATTCAATAATACCATTTCAAATGGTTGATTCACTGGAAATGATTTATTATCAGAATATGGTGATAATTGAGGTAATCCATATTGTCCATAATTATTAGGATTAGATTTAGTATTGGCAATAAAAAGTTTACCTGATTTTGTTAATAATAATATATGATTTTCACCAGTTGAAAATTGTTGAATTGATTCTCCTACATTTAAATTTTGATATATTTGAGATTGTGAAATTCCTAACCAATTTCTTCTTTTAATTCCTTCAAATTCAATGGATTTATCATCTCGAGGGAAATATATTATATCACCTTTAGTAGTTTTAAGATATATTAAATCATTTGATACTTGTGCTTCATCTATCTTAAAGGGTAAATTTACTAAAGCTGGCTTTTCAAGTCCCTTATGATAGTGATAAACTTGACCATTATCAGTGACAACTATAAGATAATCCTTTAAAATTTTAACATCCTTAATAAGCATATCATTAAAGAATTCTAATCTTATAGGTAACTTCAGATTATTTGATTCTCCAACTATATATAAACCCGAAATTTCATGAGAATTTTGAACATTACGAACAGAATTTAATTCTTCTGCTAATTTTGTTACTAAATAATCACTTTTCTTAGTATTCTTAGCTGGATCAGTTAAATCTGGAGCTTTTTCTTCATCAATCTTATAATTAATATTAGCAAGAAGTTTAGTCTTAACATATGGATAATTCATATATAATTGATGACCACCAATAATAGTTACTAATGCAAAGACTCCTACAGCTAACCCTCTTAATCTTTCATAAAATTCATATTTCTTTTGTTGTTTCTTTTGTTCTTCTTGGAAACTAATTTGAACAAGATGTAATTGTTCTTTAAATTCTGGACTACCAGGTTCTAATCCAACTAATCGAGGATCATTTCTAATTATAGAATCGAATTGTTCTTGTTCCTCTTCTTCAAGTTGTTTTTGAATTCTTTCATGAATTTTCTTACTAGTCAGTTCTGCATTAATATCCTTTTCTAAATCTTCTAAACTCTTAAAGTTTTGTCCATATGTATAATGTGTCTTATTTTTATTGAAATCATCAAGACTCGAATAATTTCTACAACTTATTAATAATTGACGACATATACGACCACTTCCAGAACTTCTAAGGAATCCAATAGTTCTTCGACTTAACATCTTGTAATAAAAATATGGTTTAATATATCACACTGAATCAATGGGGTTTGAATTGATTAAGGTCCATCGAAATTTTTCTTTGCTCACAAAAACAAAAACATACTCAATCAACGCACACAATTTGTATGGACAGTTAATTAGTTGCTTTCAATTATATATATAGGATTCCATTCCAGTACAATATGTATAGTACTAGAATGATTAGAAGTTCACCATGTGTTCGAAGTAATTACATTGGAATTAGAAGTCTTACATCTATTACCAAATTCGATACCAAGAAGTTTGTCCAATTACTAGAACAGAAAGGAGGATTCAATAAACAACAAGCCGAAACTGCTGTGAATATTGTCAATAAGGCCATCAATGATGGAATATACTCTATAACCAAAAATTTAGTAACTAAAGAAGTATTATCATCAACAGCTTATCAACAAAAAGTTGATTTTGCTAAATTAAAGGGTGAATTACAAACTATGGATAAATCCGAATTTATGGGATTAAAGAAAGAACAAGAAAGATTAAGAACAGATTTGACCAATTTAAAGAATCGATTGAAAGAAGAAATTACCAAGAATCAAGCAGGAGTCAGATTGGATTTGAACTTAGAAAAAGGTAGAATAAGAGAAGAAAGTTCAATCCATGAACTGAAAATAGAAGATACATATACTAGAATCGATGAAGAAATCGCCAACATGCAAATGCAAATCAAATCAGTAAAGACTCAAGTTATGCAATGGTTAATTGGGGTATCTTCCGGTACATTTGCCTTACTTTTGGCCTTTATCAGATTCTTTGGTTAATACTATACATAGATATTAAATTGTACATGTTGTTCATTACTTCTAAACATCTAATTGTTACAATAATTCTTCCTTATTTATAGTTCTTCAATATAATGACCCTTTACGTTACTACAATTAGCACAAACTGTAAATTCTCCCGCATAATAAAAGCATCGCCGTGTTATCGCGCCTACTTTCGAAGAGGACACACAGGCAGGACCAAAAAAAAATAGTACAGACGTGGATTGAAAATTATCTTTACTTTCCATACTTATATTAGAGTTAATTGTAGATTTATATATAGTATAGATAGATATAATGAATTCAATCTATAATCATGGTTTAAAACAGACTCAAACAATATCTCGAGATTTGTTAGAATTCGAAAAGAATTTATCTACATCCCCTTTATCATTACAAGGTGCAATTACCACATCCATTACTGCATTCAGAAAAACAATTAGAGAATATAAGGACTTAGTAGAAAAGGACACAGATGCGACTTCAAATGCCAAGCATGAAGGTAGAATAGAGAAGTTCAGCCAAGACTTACTGGAGTTTACTACTAAATTTGATAGCTTGAAATCTCAGAGAGAAGTTATCGCTCAAGAGAACAATAAACAAGAATTATTGGGTAGAAGACATCTCCATAACCCTGATTCAAATGGTGGACAGGCATCTGAAAACCCATACGATCCAACCAACCAACAGCAACAACAACAGGACTTATCATACCTGGAAGGATTATACAACGAAAGATTATCATTGGCTAGAGGATCTCAACAGTTAGATCATATATTGGAAATGGGACAACAAGCATTTGAAGATATCGTCGAACAGAATGAAATATTAAGAAAAGTTCAAGCAAAGTTTGAACAAAGTTTAGTAACTTTAGGGGTTAGTCAAGGTACCATTAGAAGTATCGAGAAAAGAGCAAAACAGGACAAATGGCTATTTTGGTTTGCTTTAATCTTAACCTTGGTTATATTCTGGTATATTTTCAAGTTCTTCAGATGAACATTTCCTCATTAAATAATAAACTAACTTGTATAATAGTATGTAATCAAATGTTATATTTTTAAATTTTAGTCTTTATATGTTACCCCGTAATATATGTAAGATAAAGCCAGATCAATGTCATGTGGGCGAAGCGAAAAACACATGAATGAAATATGTCAAATTGCTTAATAAGAATAATTCAAACTTTTTCAACCAATTACATTCTTTGATTGTCAAGCATAATTTCTACTTAAGGCATAATAAGGCTAAGCCAAATAGCAACTTTCAAGTTTACCACGAAGTTAAACCATTAAAAGTAACATTACTCTCTCACAGATATAACCTAAGCCTAGACCAACCCTTTTTTTGAGGGTTTACCAGTTGGCAACTGACACTTAAATTGGCAAAAGTAAAAAGTATGTCCCACCAGAAATTTGCCTAAGCCTAATTTCCTTATATTATATACCTCTTTGGTAGTTTGGAGATTCCCCACTCCAAACGAAGTTTATTGCATTATTCCTAAACTGGGAGTAGCAAATTCTAGGTTGTACTTCAATAATTTTGAACTGCTAACTGAGACTCGAAAAATAATTACCGCATTAGGCAACTTTTCTGATAGTCGTGCCCAAGTGTACTAGCTGCAAATCTCAAAGGTCGCCCAATTAGGAAATGTAATGAGAAACATGAATTGGCTCAAAGAATCCGTCTTGATGACTATATGCTGCGATCCAAGACTCATATATATATCTTGAAGTGTAAAGTAAAGATGTTTAAATCAAAAATTTCTAATTCATCTACAATAATAACACTCAAATACTTTCAAAGACCGCTGGATCATTATAGTTGGTGCTTAAAACAATATTACACTCCTTTGCAATCAAAGTAAAACAAATATATTACAATATTTTTAATAACACAGAAATCAGAAAATATCCCATACAATTCTTAAAAAGAATTAATTTTTCAAATTAACAACTATTCCCATCAGAATTATAGGATAAAGAAATGCATTTCTTACAATATTTGCTATTTTTTATATTAGCAAGTGATATAGTATCCGGTGCACCAGCTCCTATAAGGAAGAAAAGAGGTTATCTTACCCTTTTTGAAACTGTCAATGTTGAGGCTCCTGTAACCGTAGCTGCACAGTCCCAACAACCAGCTGCAAATACAATTCCAATTCCTCCACCAGCACCAGCAGCCATAGGTCCAGCGACTACTGCACCAGTGGCACCAGTAGCCATTGTTCCCACTACAACCGCAGCCGCAGCAGCACCAGCACCCGTGGCAGCACCAGCACCCGTGGCAGCACCAGCTGTATCGCAAGCACCAGCAGCACCAGCACCAGCAGCACCAGCAGCACCAGCACCAGCAGCAGCACCTTCTGCTGCTAACACTCCCGCAACAACTTCATCCACTTCTGGAAGTGTTTTTGGTGGACTCGGAAAAGCAATATCATCAGCTTTTAGTGCTTTCATCGATGCTTTCAAGGATGATGATGATGATGATACAAGTTCTTCAACAACAGCAACAACTCCTGCTGCAGTGCCAGTAGCTCCAGCACAACCTGTTACTACTTCTACCCCTGTCGCTCCTCCACCAACAATTGCCAGTGTTCCAACTTACGCACCAACAACATTAACAACATCTTCATATGATGCTCAAAGTCTTTTCGATTTCTTATTTGGTTCTTCAGGAACAGTTGCAAGTACTAGTTCACCAGCAGGTATTTTACTGGCTGCTGCATCTGTGGCATCTCCCATTGCAAGTGCAGTTTCATCTTCAATATCCTCATCAATTTCATCAGTTAATAATGCGGCATATGCCCCTTCAATTAAAGCAGCTCAAAGTGCCAAGGGAATCACTTACTCACCATATACTAAAGCCAATGCATGTAAAACTGCAGCTGAAGTAGCTTATGATATTGCTAAATTGAATAGTTATGATCTCATCAGATTATATAGTACTGATTGTTCGGGAATTGAGAATGTTATAGCTTCCTTACAATCTCATCAACAATTATTTTTAGGTATTTGGAATATTGATAGTGCTTCTGTTGTTAGTGGTTTACAAACAATTCAACAATCTGTGGCAACTTCTTCAAGAGGTTGGTCTATTGTTCACACTATAGCTATTGGGAATGAACAAGTGAATTCAGGTACTGCTACAGTGGCTCAAATTCAAAGTGCTATTTCTACTGCAAGACAATGGATTCAAACTAATGTTCCATCTTATCCAGGTTATATTGTGTCAGTTGATACTTTAGTTGCTGTTGCAGGCAATCCAGATTTATGTCAATACTCTGATTATCTTGCTGTTAATTGTCATCCATACTGGGATGGTGGGGTACAACCAAGTAATTCTGGACCATGGTTACAACAACAAATTTCACATTTACAAAGTGTCTGTAATAATGGTAAAGCAGTTCTTATCACAGAAACTGGATGGCCAACACAAGGCGATACTTTTGGACAATGTGTACCATCAATTCCTAATCAAGCAGCTGCTCTTCAAAGTATCACCAGTCTCTTAGGCCAACAAGTAATTGCTTTTACATTATATAATGATTATTGGAAAGAACCAGGACCATATGGTGTAGAACAGCATTGGGGAATTTATGGTAATCCAGAAGTATAATTAAATTAAACTAAAAGTTTCACGAACCAAAAAAAAAATTAAATAAAAGATTAACATACCAATCTCTAGAATTTTCATTTTATATCAATGAATTCCTTGCTTCACTTCTTCTCTCGTAACCTCTTATTATTTATATATTGTAATCCTATATAGGCTTTTTTATACCTCCAAAATTAACGAACTTAAATTTGTCATTTTGCATTTTGCAATAATTGAATATTGTCGTGTCGCATTCAAACAAACCAAACAAATAAAAAAAACATCCGCACCGCTATCCCAATCGTCCGAAAAAAATACAACGAGGATAGGAACCATAACAATTAAATTGTGAATTATTTGAATAATTATATAAAGTATTAAACAGTGTGTACAAGATATGTCTGATAGAGAAAGAAGAAAATTATCATCTAAACTACAAGGATTGTATGGGAAGTTTTATAAATATGAAGATAAGGGAATATCTATTTCTTCAACTTTCCATACATTACCCCTTCGATCAGGAACTGATTATTATAAAATAGTTAGAAATCCTCTTTCATTACATGCAGTTGGTAGAAAGATTAAGAATATGAAATATGAAAATGCTCAACAATTTGTTGATGATCTTGCACTTATTTCTTGGAATGCTAGATTATATAATTTAAAAGATTCTAAAGTATATAAACATGCATTATTTTTAAAACAATTTATATTATCAACGGTAATTCCAAAATTAAAGAGTGATAGATCACTTCCAAATAATAAATCAATAGCATATCCTCATTTAGGTGATCTTCCAGATGGTAAAGATGAAGCTATAGTTGAAGAAATGAATTTTACTGAAGCTCCAGATCGAGAATTTAGTGCTGAACCAAGTATAACTCCTCAAGTTGAACAATATGTTCCAATTCAACATCTTCAACATCAACAACTTCAACTTCAACAACAACCTCCTTCAACTCCTCAAGTTTATATTCCACCAGCTGCTCCTCGTCATGCAGCTTCTCCAACCCCTAAAAATATTGAAAGTGGTATAAGAAGAGGTCGTCCACCAATTATTGATAAACCATTTGAAACTAGAATAAAATTAATTTTAAAAAGTTTTAAGAAATTACGTGATCCAAATAATGATAATAGATTTTTAACTCAACATTTTGAAAAACTACCTGATAGTAAAATTAATAGTGATTATTATCAAAGAATTCCTAATCCTATAAGTTTAAATGAAATAAGAGTTAAAGTTAGAACAAGAAAATATTCAAATGTTGATCAATTTATTCATGATTTAGATATTATGTTTTCAAATGCTCAATTATATTATGAAAGTGATCCTTATTGTGAAGAATTTATTGATCTTCAAAATTTTAATAAAGAAGCACAAGTTATTATTCAACAAGAAATAAGTAAGAGTGATCAAGATTTAATTATTTCAAGTACTTCAGGTAATGATGGAATTGTAAGATTCCCATTAGATTCAGTTGAAGTTAATGGTTATACATATAAAATTGGTGATTGGGTTTTAATTTCTAATCCAGCTGATCCTGAAAAACCAACTGTTGGTCAAGTATTTCGTATGTGGTCAACTAAAGATGGTACAAGATATTTTAATGCATGTTGGTATTATCGTCCTGAACAAACATGTCATGGTGTTGATAGATTATTTTTTATTAATGAAGTATGTAAGACAGGTCAATATCGTGATCATATAGTAAGTGAAATTGTTGGACCATGTTATGTTATTTTCTTAACTAGATATCAAAAGGGTGATTTACCAGCAGGAGTAATTCCTGAAGGAGCTCCATGGTTTATTTGTGAATTTAGATATAATGAAACCACTCATGTTTTCAATCGTATTAGAACTTGGAAAGCATGTTTACCTGATGAAGTTAGAGATAATCCTGAACAACCTATAATTCCATTAAAGGAAAATAGAAAATTAATTAAATATGAATCACCAATTCGTTCATTATTACCAAAAGATTCATATCTTGGAATGGCTATACCAGATGCAACTCCTGGTCAACCAAATTCTCCACCATTAGTTGGACTGGTATATATTACTGCTCCAATTAAAGATGATGATTTAGGTCAATATACTACTAGTCCAAATACTGTTCCTGTTCCTGATCATAATGATATTAATAGTGGTCGTAGAGCTTTCTTATTTACACCTATTTCTCAATTAAAAGGTGGAGGTGGTATAACTCATACAGTTTATACTACATCAACTTCAGAACCTCCAGTATCACATTTTGAAGAAAAACCAGCTATTATTGCTCAACAACTTCCTGGATCATATAAACTGTTACAAGCACAAATTCAAGAATCTCAAGCTAAACAATTACAAGAACAACAATTACAACAATTACAACAACAACAACATCAACAATTATTTGGAAGAGTTTCAACTCCAAATACTTTACCATTAGGTGCTCCACCAGCTGGAGTAACTTATCATACTTCAACATCTACTTATTCTACTTTATTGGCAGGAGGTGTACTTTCATATATTGTAAATGATTCTAATTTAACTAATGTAATTGATGGAGTTAATAAAAGAAAAAAAATTGATAAAGATGGTAATTCTAGTGAAGGTATAGTATTCTATAGAGCTCCACCAGTTGCTCTTGGAGGTAATAGAATTATAACTAATAATGGATTAGAATTTGGTCATTCTGCTAAATACTTAGCTTGGAAATTAAGTCAACAGCAACAGACTACAAATAACTAAATATCATTAATTTAATTAGATTAATTAGTATTGTAAATTAATAACCTTTTGTATTATATTAATTATATGGGGGGACATTTTTGTAGTCGGGTGGGGCGAGCACAGTGAAAATTAAATTAACTTTTGTTAGTAACAAGGAATTTATGGTAAGTTAATTATTATGATAACAAATAAAATAATGAACCAATAATGAATAAACAGTTGGTAGAATTCCAAGATTATGTAGTAAAGGCTAAGAAGATAGTAGCATTGGTAGGAGCCGGATTATCAGTTTCATCTGGATTACCAACATTTCGTGGATCACAAGGATTATGGAAGAATTTCAATATGATTGATTTAGCAACTCCTGATGCATTTTATATTGATCCAGGATTAGTATGGCAATTTTATTCTTGGAGAAGATATGGAGCATTAAAAGCTAAACCAAATAAGGGTCATTATGCATTAAGTAAATTATCTCAATATCAAGATATTGAATATATTACAATTACTCAAAATGTTGATGGATTACTGAGTCGAAGTAATCATAAAAAAGATAATTTATATGAAATTCATGGATCTTTATTTGAATTAAAATGTACTAGTTTTATGTGTAATTATGTTGAACGAGATAATTTTCATAATCCATTAACAGAAGCTTTAAGAGATACTGAATATGAATTTGATAAACAAAATCGAAAACGTTCATTAGATACTGGTGATGAAGATGTTACTGTATCACCTCAATTCACTCCAGTTAAACAATTAGCAGAACTGGATTTACCTCAATGTCCAGTATGTAAAGATGGATCACTTTTACGACCTGGTGTCGTATGGTTTGGAGAATCATTACCATTACAATTATTAACAAGAATAGATAATTTTATTGAGTCTGGTAACTCAGTGGATTTAATATTGGTTATTGGAACTAGTGGTACAGTATATCCTGCCAATAGTTATGTCGATAGAATTAAATTAAAAGGTGGTAAAGTAGCAATTTTTAATACTGATATAGAACCAGAAATATTACAGGGTAAAGTAGAAAATACATGGGGGTTTAAAGGTGATGCAGCTGAATTACTTCCTTTAGCATTAAAACCTTTAATAGGTGATTTATAAATATATCAATGAATAAATTGGGAGGATGTATACAAATACATACAATGTATATACTTATATAATGAATTCGTAAGTGTCATTATCGTAGAACTAAAAATCAAATTGTTAAAGCAAAGAACTGAAAACACACGCAAAGGGAACAAAACGGCAAAAAAAGACTAACCACTCACTATCACCAATTTTTTTTTCTTTCATATTTTGCAGTCTACTCAGAACTTGAATTGTAAACCATCAGTATCAGCATCAGTATTATTGGTTTGAGATACCGGAGACGAATTTGATTCGAGTTGAGAATAGTTAATCAAATTAGGAATAGATGTCATTGATTTAAATTTTGGCTTATAGTAAGGGTTTCCAACATTATTAGATGTTGACAGTCTTCTCATCATGAGTCCTACTGATGGGGCAATTGCTTCAATTGAAGGAATTCTCAGTTGAGGTCTGAGAGGTATTTTCATTGTAGGAGAAGTATTTGATGATTTACTTATTCTGTATTTATCAAGTAAATGATTCGAACCTATTTGGTGAAAATTATCAGTATAACTAACTCCAGAATTCTTCCTTTTTATATCTTTTATGCTAATTACTGATGTTGGAGAGATATCATCACTCTCTGGATCTTCATCTTGTTCTGGGTCATCATTGTCATAGTAGTAAGTGGTATTACCATTGTCGTCATAAATGGCAATTTGTGATGGTTCTTGATGAATATTATTTTGAAATTGACAATGTTCATGATCAGAGAAGTTATGAATATCATTACTATCTGGTAAAGGAGATGCCAAAGTCATTCGTTTGTCAAGAGAAGGTTTCATTCTAGGATTTAATAATTTATCATTTCTTGTATCATTTTTTTTATCTTTACCAATGTGAAGATGACTAATATTCTCATTGAAACGATTAAATGATTCAAGGTAATCAAATGGATCTTCCAAATTTGAAATATTCATTATTAAAGGCTCTCTTAATGACAAACAATTACCTCAAAATTAATTGCAACAATTGCCAACCAAAGTTTGGTCACAATATAATTAAGTTTAAAAGGATTTTTAGACGGAATACATAAGAGTATTATACCCTTCTTGAATAAATATATCTATTCCAATTGTTTAAGGGTTAATATGTAAGAGACACTAAATGTCAAACACTAAATGAAGAAATTTGACATAAGTGAATTATATTTAGATTAGGGGATGTTTAATTATATTTATAATTTAGCCGTTATGTACAATGTCTACAACTTACAATTTAACTTCGGGTATTTCTCTTATTATTATTACTATAATTGTCCCCTGTAATTAAATAACCATTCCCCAAAATAGCACAAAGAAAATAACTAATTATTGAAAATCAATTTTAGGTCGATTTATCCCTACTCTAGATTAATATAGAATACTTTTTGTGTGGTACCCAGAATTTAAATTTAATAATTAACAAATCCTATAACGGAATATATCCAAATTGAATAATAATGATTACAGCTGCATACTTAATAAAAAAAAACCACTCTAAGCATAATTTATAATTGCACAATATCTCCTATCGCTATGTAGCATTGCAGATGAATGCTTCGATTTAATAGGTTCCAATCAGTTTCTCAAAAGGGTTAAATTCCAAAAATGCGAACTCACCTCCACTATTCATTACCACATTGAAAAATTCTTTTAATATTTCTACTAAGATTAACAAATTTCAGCTTACTCCTTTTCATGTGGGTCTTTACATAATTACCGTTAGTTGTTGCTCAAAATTTTGCCAAGGGCGGCTGTATAATATATTACTATTCAATACTTTTTACTTTCTGATAGACAAAATTACAATGGCTGCGATCATAATTGACGGTTTTATTCAAGGCTGAAGTCTGGATCACATTTATTTTTCACTACCCATCTGACCTATGAGTACATAAGAATACATGGCTCGGGATACAAAATGTTCTATGTATAATTTCGCCCTTTTTACTTCTCAATTAGTTGCAATGCAATTGGATTCGTCAGCCGGAATTCAATTGAATACTTCTAAGTAGCAACTTAACTCTTTAAGCATATATACTATAATTGAAGTTTTATGTCACAATAGCATACACAATTTCGTTTTGATAGATTGTTTTACTTACGAGCATTTACTTATCCAGATTATAATAACGGATATTTTCCGAAATAATTATTATCTGCGTATCCCCTTAGAGACAAGTTTCTTGACGACGTTATAGAAATTCAAAACAGAAAAAGTGGGGACAATTGACAATAGATTATTGTCGGCCAAATATCTCTAACCGTTGAAGATGTGACCATCTCAGTAATAGCTACTACTTGGTCTAAGATGCTTTTGTAAATAATTTGGAATGATAAAATTACTGGACAATTGTTAGGGATGATTACTTGTTCAAGCTACGTTTAGATTAGCTGCAATTTGCTACTTACATTCTAATTATTTCCGAATTATCACACCGAACCCCTTAAATCAGTACGACATCCGTTTGTTCAAATTTTATCGCCGATGACGTGCTATACTATGGAAGTGGGCATCCTTCATCTAGTAGCTTGTTAAGATGGCTTTCAAATTTCATAATGAATGGAATATTTTGTGGATAGAAAATGGGTACAAAATTGATTTATTCCATATTCGGAATATTTTGCGATATCAGATGGGTACAGTCATAAGCACTGAATCCCTCATAATATAGGCTACGGCAACCTAGATTTACGAATACTAGTGGCCTATATACATTTTCAATTGAAAAATTCGAAAGATGAACTACTTGAGGGTGGTGCTGTTTATAGATAAAGGAGGCTTGGTTTTTGCACCAGAAATTGGGTACTTTTCTTTATGTTTATTTTACTCGATACTAATTACTATATGGCTGTCTAAGTAAGAATATTTAGCTGGATTATAAGTACACATTCTAAGTAACATTCATAATTCTCTTAACAATTCATCATCTATCTTATCTCTTACAACTCGTTGTGGTATACTACTCTTTTCTGGTGGTAAACCTAGTTCAAGGTTACAGTCAATTAAGTGTTGATTAATCAACCATAACTTCCTTTTTTCTTTGAGAGCTGTAGATAAGTTCCGACTGACAATATCGTTAATTTTATTAGCTGTATGCAATTTATTGACAAAGTCGTTATATAAGGACTTCAATTCTTCAAGACTCTTGGCATCTTCTACGTCTTTTGGTATCGTTAATTCCTTTTGACCTTTCAATTGTTTAGATAATAAAGCAATCGATCCATGAAGGAGATTAGAATTTTCAAATTCGACCTTTGACTTTTCTTGTTTTTGCTGTTTTTGAATTAAATTTAATTCATTTTCATTATCATCTTTAATATCCACTACTTCATCACCTGAACCTCCTAAATATTTCTTATATCTTAATACAGCCACTTTATGTTGTTTAAAATCATAAGGAACATTATAAAGTGAACCAATCTTTACTTTCTTATTTGGTGGTTCACCATTTAATGAATCACCTCTTAATACTTTTAAGAAATTATTAGAAAACCACCATGGATTTTTTAAATCCATATCCAGTTCAATTAATTTAAGAAATTCTGATTCAGTTAAAGGAGATATGAAATGAGGTATTTCATTTTTCGTAATTTTTTCATTGAATTCTTTTAAAGAATCTTTTAATGAATGTAAATCATGAACACTCTTAACATGTTTAGCTAATGCATCCGATCTTGTAAAATGTTTTTCACATTCAGGTACTGGACAAAAATATGGCTTTTCTCCAGTATGAGTTCGACAATGTGATATAAGAGCAAATCTTGATGGTTGTTCCATAGAATATCTAGGACATCCTTCCCAAAGACATGTGTGTCGTATTAAAGAAGGAGTTCCATTATTTAAATGAGTAGAATTGAGATGTCCTACTAAATTAGATAAAGAATTAAATGTATTTGATTCACACCCTTTCCACTTACATTCAAATTTAGGTTCTCCATCTGTTATCGATGTATCTAAAGTTTCACCGACTCCAGATTGTTCTATAGAAGGTTCAATTTGATTCTTTACTTCAATTTCCTCTGAACTTGTCATTGTAAAATTCGTCACTATTATTATTACTACTAAACAAATTAACTAAAGTCAATATTTTTCGATTTTCACTTTTCGCTGAATCCCCAAGTAAATAACTTTATTGCGCATTCACAAAAATTACTGTAGTGTTCTAAGTGGTTCATTATTACATGTTTATATTAGTACCATTACTCTATAGAAATAAATGTATATATGCATATTTATCTTAATCAAGTATGATATCATACCAAATCTTCATCCAATCTAGCAGCTGGATTAGATTCAATGAAATCTAAAGAAACTTTATGACCTAATAATTCTCTAATATTAGAAACTCCATATTTAATCATAGTTGGTCTTTCTAAGGAAAGACCCCAACCTAATACTCTTAAATTCTTTGGTAAACCCATTGATTCTAACATTTCAGGTCTGAACATACCAGAATTACCAATTTCAACCCATTTACCTAAACCATTATGATAAGCAAAGATTTCTAATGATGGTTCAGTATATGGATTATAAGCTGATTTAAATCTTAAATTAGAAACACCCATCTTACCAAAGAAATCATCCATGAAACCAATCAAATCACCAAGAGTGATATCATAACCAGCAATAACACCTTCAATTTGATGGAATTCAGCTAAATGAGTAGCATCAACAGCTTCATTTCTGAAAACTCTATCAATAGAGAATAATCTGATAGGTTTTGGATCTTTAGCTAAATTATATAACATTCGGGATGAAATAGCTGTGGTATGAGTTCTTAATACCATTCTTAATGATTCTGCAGATTTCCATGGATATCTATAACCAATAGAACCATATTTACCATCTTGATGAACTTGTTTAATATTATTCCAATATTCATCATCTTCTGGCTTTTTAGCATTAACTGGATCTTTCAAATAGAAAGTATCTTGTAAATCTCTAGCAGGATGTTGTTGAGGAACAAATAAAGTATCGAAATTCCAGAAACCACTTTCAACATATTGATTGGAAGGCATTTCAGTAAAACCCATAGAGAAGAAAATTTGTCTAAATTCTTCTCTAACTTTATTTAATGGATGTAAAGCACCTGAAGATGGGTATACACCTTCAGAATTAAAGTTATATGGTTTAAATTGAGCATCTTTCCAAGTATCCTTAGTAATCATATCGGAAGTAATATCTGTTTCAAAATTAGTAATTTCTAAGGCGAATTTTTCAGCCTTTTCAACTTTATAACCAACAATTTTAACTAAATTAATTAATTTTCTTTTCTTTAATTCAGTTAATTCTTTCTTATCAGCTAATGTACCAGTTTTTTCAATGGTTTTTAATTCATCTAAAACACTATCAGTTGGTAATTTATCAACTTTAGCAATTAATTTATCACCATCTTTTCCTAACCATTTATTTTTAAATGCTTTACCTTGACCAACAGATCCTACTGGACCTAAATTAGTATTTAATTCAGAAATTGTTAAACCTTGTAATGATTTTAATACTAAATCTACTACTTGAACTTCTGGTGTAGCACCTTTAGAAATATATGATTGAGCTTCATCAGTTAAAGTCCATTTATCAACTTCAATTTTACTGAAATTAATCATTTCTTTTGACCATAATGAAGTTAAATTAGAATGTAAAGTTGCAGCATCATATTTAGATAACGTTGAGTCATTTAAAGTATTTTCAATAACTCCATTATTGTCATTGACAGCCTTTAAAATATCTAATTGTATGTCAGACATATTGGTTAATTATGTCGTATGTCTATAAATTGATAATTAAAGGTAGAATAGTTAAATGTGATAGATTATATACGATAATTAGATTATTTCACCCTATTTTATGTACACCGTTTGATGAATCATACTCACCAAAAAAATTGGAAAATTTTCATTTAGTGCTTTAATTTACTTAGGACTAACAGTAAATATAAGTATGAATAGTCATCACGTGCAAAGTACTATAAGTAAATGACAACCCATTTATTACGAGAAAAGGCTGACAATGATTAATGTAAACATTACTACTTTTAGACATTTTATGTCAAAATTTTGACATATCTCGAATTTATTTGAAATATTAAGTCATTCACGTTCATTTACATAGTCGATCTTAGTTATTGTAAAGAATATGCAATTATAGGACAATTATTCTCTTACTTTAATAAATCCGACTATACCATATTATCTGAAAGAGATTGATTTTTTTTTAAAATTATACACTTAAATATGTCAAAATTATTTCTACTTCATAGCTTGCTGAGTCTTTCCACGATAGCAAACCTATGCTTAGCTGGTGGTGACGTACCACATAAATTTAGTTGCTACATTACTAGTGAAAACAGCAATAAACTAGAGTAGTTAAGTAACTAACCACTATTTTTGCTATTGACTACTCGATGGTAAATATGTGAAATATCACAATATTAAATATTTCAGCTACAACTTTGCGGCAATGGTCATCTTCTGTAAAGTATCACTATAAATTATTTTTTGGTTCCCCTTTACGCTACTAAATGCGGCCATCGCACAACAGAATTTTAGCGGAGTACCAGGAATGTAAAATCCCAAGTAAATTTCAATGATCTTATTAATAAGATTAACAATGCGGTTAAGAATAATGAAATAATACTAATACTATAAATATTGGAAGAATTATCTCTAATTTATTTCTATTTCAAAGCTCAATTTCTAGTTTTAACCTTAGTTTATTTAAATTAGTTTACTTCAATTTTACTAATCAATTATCAAAATCAAAATGGCTTTTACTTGCTCAGATATTATTAAAATAATTGCTGCCGTCATCTTACCTCCATTAGGAGTATTCTTAGAACTTGGTTGTACTATAGCTCTTTTAATTAATGTAATTTTAACACTTTTGGGTTATATTCCAGGTATCCTTCATGCTTTGTATATTATCCTAAGGTACTGAATTGCCTTATCAAAATTCCAGGTAAAGTCAAAGTTGCTTGATGTATACTTTTACAATGGATTTTTATTGAATAACAATTGAAACAATATTAGTTGTTAGGTTATTTCATTTTAGAATACTTTTGGGGGTTAATTTCGTTTTTCGTGTTTGCGACATGTGTCCTCTGCTAGGAAACACCACACCACGATGTATTGATGATATTTCCGATGTTTATGTAGCGTTTAGTTATCATCTAACTTTTCAGTTTTTTGTACTATAATATAAAGTATCTTTTTAAGTTTGACTTCGTGTAATTCTAAAAGTTGCAGCAATCTAGACAAAAGATATGCAAAAAAAAAAAATTAAGCCCGACGCGGGGGTCGAACCCGCAACCTTTTGATATCTTAAGTGTGAATTTTAAATTCCTTAAAAGTCAAACGCTCTAGCCATTGAGCTAGCCAGGCTTTCTAATATTTTACTAAATTACGCCAGTTTGCCACAAGGAGGCAAAACTGAGCCGCATGGTCGTTTTAGGCAAAAATGTCGCAAAATGCTCTTAAAAATAGACGACAATGTCGTCAAAGTTTCCTATCAAATCCTATTCTATAACATTTGTAACAGCTTTATGATGTTTTAAACATCATTTAACTAAATTTAAGATTCGCATGTCTTCTTATACATAAGTTTTGATAATTCTCACCTTTTAAAATAGAGCTGTAAAATAACAAAGTTAAATTAGAATACTGTGATTGTAAAATTATAGCTTATATAAAAATTGAATCTTGAATTCATAAAGTCAATTGGTATCCGAATCATAAACTAATTGAATTGGATGCTTTTACCAAACCAATTTATTTAACCAATTTATACAAATTCATATCATTATTATATTAGTTTTATAGTTGGTAGCGCAGAGAGGGACCTTTATGCAGGTATTAATATTAATATAGACGAACCAGCAGAAATAAAGCAGATACCGTATTTTGCTAATATCTATAGTTAAATCAGTGTTATTACTAAAAATGAATATGTATAGTATGTCATTAAGACAAGGGTTAAAATCAATCATTCAGACGCGTAATTATGCTGCTGGAGCCACTATAAAATATGGTAAGACTGCTACAGCTTCTAAACCAAGAACTGCTTATACTTCTTCTCGAATTTCAAGTGTTAGATCTAGTACTACTACACCTAAAGTAGTATCAGAAGCTACCCCAGAAGCCACTCAATCATCTTCCATTGGTGAAGAGAATTCTGTTGCTAAAGTTGAGAAAGAAGTTAAAGTGCAACCAAGTTCTACTTCATCAAAAACCCTCACTTTTAATGATACTCCTGTTTTCAATATGCCAGTTCAAAACCCCAACGAACCTATTAACTGGTCTGATTCATTTTTTGGATTAGGTTCAAGTTCATTTTCTCGTGAAATATCGGATATTTTACTTGCTCCACTTGCTAATGAAGATATTGAAATTACTCCTGATGGATTATTATATTTACCTGAAATTAAATATAGAAGAATTTTAAATCGTGCATTTGGTCCTGGGGGATGGGGTTTAGCACCAAGAACTGAAACTTTGATTACTCCCACACAAATCAGTCGAGAATATGGTCTTATATGTCACGGTAGATTAATAGGTGTTGCTAGAGGTGAACAAGATTACTTTGGTGGTGACAGTAAAGTCACCACTGCCTTAGAGGGTTGTAAAAGTAATGCTTTAATGAGATGTTGTAAGGATTTAGGTATAGCAAGTGAATTATGGGATCCACACTTTATTAGAGTTTGGAAAAAGAAATTCTGTGACGAAGAATTTACTGAACATGTTGTTACTAAGAGAAAGAAGAAGATGTGGAAATTAAAGACTAGAACCTTTGAATATCCTTATAAAAAAGCTTAGACTTGTTTGTTTAGTTTCTTCTTTGTATATAGAGTATTTACTATTTGTTTGTAAATTTCAGATTGTTTCATATAAGAACGATAATTTGTTTGTAAATTGTTGTGTGTGATATAAATACTATGTGAATAATAAAAATTAATGCTGTAAAGAAGAAAAGTAATGAATGACTACTTAAGGTTTAAAGATACCACGACCAGCACCTAAACTTTCAACAGTTTGTGATAAAGGTCTTCTCTTCCAAACATCCCAAAATTGTTGTTTGTCAACTTCATCATCTGTATTAGCTGGTAAATATTTAACATTTTGACCTGCTGAACTAGTTGATTGAGCCCAATATGCATGATCAAGTAAAGCAGTAACGGAAGCACCAAAAATACCAGTTAAAACTTTATGTTTTGGAGGCATAGATCTGAAACCAACTGTTAAACAAGCTAAGTTACCAGCACCAACAGCCCAAAATGTATTCCATCCATCATTCTTTTCTCTTAAATTAGTGATAATACCTTTAGTACCAGTAGCTACTGTAAAAAATCCAACTGCTGCTAATGGTAATTCAATTTTAAAAGTAGTTCTTTTCCATAAATATAACCATGCATAAGCACCAACAGTTGTATAAAATCCAAATTTAAATACTTGAAGAGTTTGCTTTTTAGTATCTACTGGTTTCCATGGAGGATATGCACTAGCATTGGTGAAATTAGCCAATGGATTTGGGAATTTAAATGTAGAATCTGGGTATACTACCTCAGTTGTAGTAGCCTCAATAGGTTCAGACATCACTAATCTTTATGGTAATAACTGATAATCTATAAGATCAACCTTCAAGTTCTAATGTCTATTATTTTCACTTCAAATCCTTCACCCAATCAAATTAATTGACTTTTTTCTTTTGATTACTTTTTTTCTCTCGTGCGCGGGCACATGACTGTGCATGTGATTCTGTATCATGTGATGCACCAAAAAAATTTTCAAATGGATGATTTAGGAATAGTAGAAAGTTAATTCGAGCAACAGCTTATAATGATAAATTTATTCAAATTTTATAATCGATATTCACTATATACATTGGGGACTATTTTAGGTTATTATTAATACTTATTCATAATTAATACCATAGATTAATAATAGAATATATAAAAATGAGTAGAGCATTCACAATCACTACTGTAGTTCTTGCTACTGCCATTGTTGGATATGTAGGATACTTTGATTATCAAAGAAGAAATTCACCAGAATTCAGAAAGAGTTTGAAAAAGAGAGCTGTTGCTCAAAAGAAGAAATCTGAAAAATTGGCTGAAGAATCAAGACAAACTAAAGTTGAAGCAGTTAAGAAAGCACTTTTAGAAGAATTAGCATCTAATCCAATTCCAACTGCATTAGATGAAAAGGAATCATTCTTTATGCAACAAGTTGCTTTAGGTGAGCAATTGGCTACCAAAGAATCTACTAAGATTGAAGCAGCTGTTTGTTTCTATAAGGCTTTAGCAGTATATCCAAATCCAACTGATATCTTAGGTGTTTATCAAAGATCTGTTCCAGAAGATGTATACGAACTTGTTGTAATGATGATTTCTGTTAATCCTCCAGCTTCAGTAGCAAATATTTTAGGATCTGGTTTCCCAGAAACTAAGGCATCTGAAGAAGATTTAGATTAAATTCTTCAATATTTACGAAATGTTTAACTTAATTTTTTTTAACGTTATCACCATATTGTTACGACTGAAACTTTAACAAATTCATAACAAACATTTACTGCTAGGACATTGCTGTAATTCATTCTAACGTCTATGTACATGTATATACCATCTTTAATTTTTTATTTATGCATTTTATGCATGCTATGCTAAATAAAAAGTTTCTATATTTAGAGAGTCCCCTTAAATAAATATCTATATCTATTTATAATGTACCTAAATTTCTTTCGATCTAAGCCGCATCAGGAACCACTTGATGGAATAATTTTAATTTAGTATTTAGCAGTTTAAAATAAAATATATATTACTATCTCTAATAAAAGTCCTGTACATCGGGTAATTATGAACTATTCAGTTCTGTACATTCGCTTCATTATAATTTTATCGTTATGGCATACATGTTGTTCTGCCGCCATACAATTAAATAATCTGATAATTCAATCTCAATATAACTCTAATAATTTTCAATATAAGGGGATAGCAATTGGTGGATGGCTTTTATTAGAACCATATATTACTCCTTCGTTATTTTTAGCATTTAATTCTACTATAAATGAAACTGAATCTGATATTCCAGTTGATGAATATCATTATTGTAAATATTTGGGTCAAGAAGAAGCAAGTGCACGTTTAACTCAACATTGGGAAACGTTTTATACAGAAGATGATTTTGCTCAAATAAAAGATTATGGTTTAAATATGGTTAGAATACCAATTGGTTATTGGGCATTTCAAAAATTAGATGATGATCCATATGTAATGGGGGCACAAGATTATCTCGATAAAGCATTAGGTTGGGCAAAAAATAATGATTTAAAAGTTTGGATAGATTTACATGGTACACCAGGTTCTCAAAATGGATTTGATAATTCTGGATTTAGAGATATTGGTTATCCTGGTTGGTTTAATGAAACAGAATATCTTAATGTTACTTATCAAGTATTGAATCAAATTTATGAAAAATATGGTACAGGAGAATTTGCTGAACAATATAATGATACTATTTTAGGTATAGAAGTAGTCAATGAACCTTATACTCCTAGTTTATCAATGAAGAAATTACTTCTGTTTTATCAACAAACTTATGTTGATGCAAGAAATATTCAAACCTTGAATAATACTATAGTTATTCAAGATGGATTTCAACCGATTGGATATTATAATTACTTTATGAATGATGGACAAATATTTATAAATTCCAACAATAGCAATAGTAATAGTAATAGTAATGGAACTGGAACTAACCTTTACAATATACTTATAGATCATCATCATTATGAAGTATTTGGATCAGTTGTTGATTCTAATATTACTCAACATTTACTGAATATTAAGAATTTTGCCCAATCAATTGAACATGAATTATCAAGTCATCCTGCAGTCGTAGGAGAATGGTCAGCAGCATTAACTGACTGTACCCCTTGGTTAAATGGAGTAGGATTAGGGGCAAGATATGCTGGTGAACCTCCTTATAATATGACTAAAATAGGTAGTTGTTCAAATATTAATAATTTTTCAAAATGGTCAAAACAACAAAAGAAAAATACTAGAAAATTTATAGAAATGCAAATTGATCAATATAATAGATATACCAATGGATGGATATTTTGGTGTTTTAAAACAGAGACTAGTATTGAATGGGACTTTCAAAAATTGGTAGAATTAGAATTAATGCCACAACCTTTAGATAATTTTACCTACATAGATAATGGAACCGATACTGATGCTCAAGCAATGAATGGGTCGTCACTACTTTCAATATCGTACAAGACTATAATACTTTCCTTGGTTATTTCTTGGTTTATAATATAATAGATTTAGATATACATTCAATTAGCTGCAAAAAATCTCAAATAATGAATATTTCTTCTTTATTTGTAGCAACAATTAGCTTCATAAAAAACCTTAATTTACTTTCGCAAAGAAAGAAACACAATTTATTCATTTTCAGTAAATTTCTTGCAAAATTGATCAGTTTTTCCTCACTAGAAGGGTATTTTAAAATGACTAAAATGTGAATAATTCAAATATTAACTCTAGTGTAGTATTTGTTAATGTATGAAAGGATTCAGTGGGCCAAGACTTTACTCATGCTATTCCCTTTGAACCGGAAATCCATTTCGAGGGCAAAGCTGACTTCCGAGATTATTTAAAGAAGAAAACCAGTCACGTGAAATTCTATGCCCGATAAAGGCCTTTATGACTCCACAAAAGAATTCAAAGCTCCAAAATTTTTCAGTTATAATTAAACCGGTATAAGTATAATTTAAAAATGAGTAGATCAGTTAACGTAGCTATAATTGGTTCAGGAGTAGTTGGATCTGCATTCCTTGGACAATTAAAGAATTTGAAACATTCAATTCATTTTAATGTTATTTATTTAGCTAAAAGTTCTGAAGAAGCATTATTCTCAAAATCCTATGATCCAGTAGATTTATCTACTTATGCTACTGCACCAACTCAAACTCCATTAAGTCTTGATGAATTAGTTAAATATTTAAAAGAATCTGCCAAACCATCAATTTTAGTTGATAATACTTCAAGTGTTGCTATTGCTGATTTTTATCCAACTTTTATAAAGGAAGGTATCTCAATTGCTACTCCAAATAAAAAGGCTTTCTCATCTGATATATCAGTTTGGAATGAAATATTTAAAAATGCTGAATTACCAGGTTCTGGTTTAGTTTATCATGAAGCAACTGTTGGTGCAGCATTACCAATTATTGGTCCATTAAAAGATTTAATTACTACTGGTGATAAAGTTGAAAAAATTGAAGGAATCTTTTCAGGTACTTTATCTTATATATTTAATGAATTTTCAACATCTGAAAAATCAGATGTGAAATTTTCTGATGTTGTTAAAGTTGCTAAAAAACTTGGTTATACTGAACCAGATCCAAGAGATGATTTAAATGGTTTAGATGTGGCAAGAAAAGTTACTATTTTAGCTAGAATTTCTGGACTTGAAGTAAAATCTCCAACTTCTTTCCCAGTTGATTCATTAATTCCAAAACAATTAGAAGGAATTCAAAGTGCTAATGAATTCTTAGAGAAATTACCTGAATATGATTCAGAAATTCAAAAAGTTAAAGATGAAGCTTTTGCTGAAGGTAAAGTTTTAAGATTTATTGGTCAAGTTGATGTTAAAGATAATAAGGTTTCTGTTGGTATTGGAAAGTATGCATTTGATCATCCATTTGCTTCATTAAAGGGTAGTGATAATGTTGTTTCTATTAAAACTCAAAGATATGTTAATCCTTTAATTATTCAAGGTGCAGGAGCAGGAGCAGAAATTACTGCTCATGGAGTTCTTGCTGATACTATTAAAATTGCTGAAAGAATTGCCAATTAGATAGATGATTTAATCTATTAATAATAACTATATATATATATATATAATACATTTAATTATAAATTAAATTTCATTTAAATCAGCTGGTAATATTTCTGCCAGATATTCTTCTCTCCAAACTTGTTTTGCTTCTCTAAATAAAGATCTTAAAAATTCAGCATTTTGACAAGCTGATCTAAAATTTAACATTACTGCTTGAGAATCTAAATTATTTAATTTATCATTTTCTGAAATATTTGTTATATTTGAATTTGATCTAACCACATGAACATTATTTGGAGCTACAAAGAAATCTCCATTATCTCTTAATTCCACAATATAAGTACCAGTTTTATGAATATATTGAGCATATTGAAATGATGGTTTACCCCAACTATAAGATATATCAATATTTTCTCTTTGAAAGAATAATGAAGCTCGATTATCTAATAAGAATTCACATTTTTTTAAAAAGTAAAAATGATAATAAAATTTATTTATTTTAATAATTCTTGGATCAATAAATTCATCATCTAACCATGGATTAACAGAAAATTTTATTTCAACAAATGAATGAAATGGATTAATTTGTGGAATCGTACATAATTCTTTCCAAGGAGTTTCAACAAGTTTTAATCCATGTCTATCACATAATCTTGACCAAGTTGTTATAGTTTCATCAATAAATTTAGTTGAAACATTTAACCATTGTAATCTAATATGATAACAATGTTCAGGATTATGAACTTTATCATAATGAACTGTAAGAATTTCTGGTCTATAAGATTTATTTAATTGATCAACATTAATTTTAATTGATTTACTTAATATAAATTTCTTTCTTTTCTTACCTTGATTTAATGAACCTCCTCCCATTGATGATACATCTGATGATTCATTAGTTATTAAATTACTTGAATTTAATTTTTTTAAATCAAAATTTTCAATTGGTATATTAGGTGATGACATTGATTCTGTATCAGAATTATTTCTGGTATAAATTGGTGTACCAGGTATTGGAGTATTTGATCCACTATCACTTTTATCATTTCCACTTGAAGATTTCTTTTTACTAAACCATCCTAATTTTTGAGATTCTTTATAATCTTTATCAATATATTCATCTTCAAATTCATAAAAATAATATCCATCTAAAAGTCCATGTCTCAGTTCTACATGTTTAAACATTTTTTTATTTAATAAACTTTGTCCATAAATTGTTGCTTCTTCTCGAGTATCAATATCTTCAAAACATTCTAATAACCATGAAACAAGTTCATTTCCAAGAAAACAATGTAAATGACGTTTAAAATGCCAAGTTCTATCAACTAATCTAACTCCAGTTGGACTTTGTAATTCTTGAGATAAATCAATTAATTTAATACTTTTATTAAATCTCATATTTTCAGGAATTAATAATGCTGGTTGATTACCAGTTATATCATAATTTTCTGCTTCTTCATTAAGAAAATCATATAAATTACCAGTATAAAATACAATATCAGGAGTAGATTCTTTAGCTTTAATCTTTTTAAATTTATCTTCACCTCTAATATATTTACTCTTTTCAAGATGAGCAATTAATTTCCGTAATCCTTCAACTCGAATTTCTTCATCACTAAGATTTTCATTAGAAATAAAGAATGAATTTTTTGATATTGGAGCTGGCATTATAACAAATTTCATTTTAAAGAATTCCTTATTTGATTCTGGCATTGCATCTTCAAATCCGGCTAAATATTGATCAAATTGATTCCAATTATAAGTTTGAGGTTTCAGATTAATACAATCAATTCTAGCTCGAGAATATTCATCAACATATCTAGTTCTAATTAATGGGAAATAACTAGTAATTCTATTAGATCCTAAATGGATTTTATTTTGTTCAGTATCTTCAGTTCGCCTATATAATTGAACATTTAAATTTCCATTATAATCACAATGAATTCTATGAATTTCATTATCTAAATTCATATAAATTCTTGATCCAAGACTATTACCAATACTAGGAAAATATTTAATTAAACTTTCTGCACTTCCACCTGATTTTCTTTCAGATTCAACTTTTTTTACTACATCTCCATAACATATTTGAAATCCAAGTAATAATCTTAATTGAATCATTTCTCTCATTAATTCATGAGTCGTTTTAAGTTCTAAATAATTTTCATCATTTAACAGTACAGAATAAATTTGAAAAGTATATTCTGTTTCAAGTTGATTGGCAGTAGGAAATAATAATGTAGTTATTGGTAATGCTGCTGGAGATCCAAAAGATTTCCATTTTATAATTTTCCTTTCTACATTATTAGGGAAAACATTTGTCCATCTACTTACTTTAGCATGAATAATTGTTTCTGCATTTAAATCTTTTGATGGATTAGAAATTTCTGTCCAAAATAAATCAGTTGATTTATCTAATTCTTCAGAAGAACTTAAATTACTTCCTGAACCTTTACTTTGAGATCTTCGTTTTGGATTTATTTTTCTATTGATTACAGTTGATGTAGCTGGTTGACGATGAATACTATGAGTACTATGAGAACTTGTTGAATTATTGGTATCTAATTGTTGTCTTGATTTTACTTCCTTAGTAATACTATCAATACCTCTAATGGTTGATACCGGAGTTATACTTCTAGATCGAGATATTATTACTTTATCATCAACATTTTTATTTAAAGTATATAATGATGAAAGAGCTGAAACATCATTACTAGCATGAGTTACAGTTCCTAAAGCAGAAGAAGTTGATGATGTAGCTTGAGTAGTAGGTAATAAAGTTGTCTTTGCATTAAAAATTAATGATAAAGTTGCCTTAGAATCCTTTACAGAAATTGTTGAATTCAGTTTAACATTTCTTAATTGAAATTTATTTATATCTTTCTCTAATGGTTTTAGAGTATTTATTTTGTTAAAAGTATTATTATCATAATCATCCATAAATTCAAGTAATGGTTTTGATTTATTTGAAAAATGAAGTCTCTCAATTCTTACATCATTACGATTATTTTCCATAACTCCCATCATTTGTAATTCATAAATTTTACATCTTGGCATCCATTGATTAGAAATTTGATTTGAATCTTTAAAAAATGAAATATCACACCAATTTGGTACACAATGATTAATTATACCTCCATTATTATATCTAAATAATGGTACTATATGTAAAGGAGGTTGACTTAAACAAATTATATCTAATCCACTATCAATACTTGAAAGTTTTTTACTTGTTTCTAACATTAATTGATAATCAACATCAAATAATCCTGTCCCAGGAGTTACAATCATAAAATGATTTAATGAATGTTTTAAATCAGTATTTATAAATCTACTACAAGCCATTGAAGTTGCAAGATTAATTGCTTCAAGAATATTTCCTTTAACTGATGGTAAAGGTTCACCTTCTAAAGAATATTGATAATTTTCTCTTTGTTCTAACATAATATCTCGTTTAAAATTTGCAAATTCAAGTCTTAAATTAGCCATTATTTTATCCCATTGAGATATATTAACTTGATCAACAACTACTCGATAATAATCTCTTCTATTATTAGGTCTTTCACCTTGATTTAATGTCATCCATGGTATATCAGTTAAATCAACACTAGTAAATAATACTATTGTAATTGAATGATGAGTATGTTTATCTCTCCATCTTTTAAATATCTTTGGAAATAAATTATTTACAAGTTTATGAAACATAATTTCTCCATTTTCTTCAAAATTCCACATTTCTCTTGATAATTGAACTAATACAGTTAATTTGGCACTTTCTGATCGAAATATAATTTTAGTTCTTTTACCAATATATCCTGAAAAGATTTTCTTACCATTTTTATAAATTGCTTTAACAATTCCACATCTATTCAGTAAAAATATTAATCTTTTATTAATATATGCACAAGTATTTACTAAATTAGATGAAAAATTCCACATTGAATCTCTTGAAAGATTAACATCTTTAATAAAGATTTCAATTGAATCAACTTCAACTAATTTAATATCAATTATTTGTTTAATTTGTATTAAACTTCTTGGTGGTAAATCCATAAGTTTTTGTAATGAAGATATTAATGAAATTTGTAATTTAGACTTAGATGTATTAATATTTTGAGTTTCTAATTGAGGAGAATCAATTGAAATATTAACACTAACATTATCATCTTGTTTATCTCTTATATTTCGATTATTAACTACAAATAATAATTTTTTTGATTTTTCTAATTCTAACAGTTGTAATTCATATATTTGACCAATTTTTACTCCTCCAGGGAGAGCATTTGAATCAATAATTACATCTTCTTCAGAAGCTCTTAATTCATGAAACCATACAGTTAATTGAATAGGATCTCGATTTTCTTGATATTCTTGTATTGGTTGTTCTGAATGAATAGATTTAATTGAATCATTATTACTTGAATTAATATTAAGAGTGGATATACTTTGATTGAATAGATTATTTCGAGGATTATTAATATTATTAATATTATTATGAATATCATGTTGATTAGAATTATCCTTTCTACCTATTGTTATAGTATTACCTATATTTCTATTCATAAAACTTGAAGGGGATGAACCTGAGGTTGAACCAACTATCAATGAAGCTTGGTTGGCACCCATAGGACTCTTCAATCGTGAATTAGATTGAGATCTATTTAACTGAGGTGATGAATGGACTGAATTAGGATTTGAATTAATTGATGAGGATGATGATGGTTTTAGCCGAGAATTCGATTGAGAGTTGAACAATCGAGGATGCTGCATTTTATTAGATTTGTATACACTTTTCTAAGATCTAGTCTCACTACACTACGGACATTTCCTGGAATTCCAATGTTAATATTTAGTTCAATTGACTAAAATGTTAAAGTTAAATATTTAACTATGGCCTAATTAACTACGATCGGCTCATGTAGATTTTTTTCTCCGTCCAAATTTTGCACCTACATTATTTCATTAACTCTATACATTAATTCGATACATTAATTCTATTCATTAATTCTATTCTATACATTAATTCTATATATAATTATTATATTATATATAATTATATATAACGATCAGAACCTAAAACAAACTCATCTATAAACCATTTATGAAATCTATAATCTTTGGTGGCTAGTTCAGGATGAAAAGAAGTTCCAAGTTTTCTTCCTTGCCTTACTGCCACAATTAAATGATTATTATTGTTATCGAAATTATCTAAACTATATAATACTTTTACAGGTGATTTATTATTATAATTATTTGAAGATTTGGTTATAGTAGGATCATTAATAGAATTATTAATATTATCTTGATCAAGAATTTCATCTATTACAGGAGCTCGAATAAATACAGCTGGGAAATCATGACAATCTTTAATGAATGAACTGAAATCTAAATGAGATTCAAATGAATTAACTTGTCTTCCAAAGGCATTTCTTACAACTTGAACATTTAATGCTCCTAATAATTTTTGTCCAACTTTCCCATTCTTTAATTGTTTAGATAAAAATATTAACCCTGCGCAAGTCCCCCAAACTGATTTTGATTCATCTTTAACAAAATCAAGTAAAGGTTGTAACATTTGAGTTCTTTCTGCAATTAATGAAATTGAAGTACTTTCACCTCCAGGTATAACCAATGAATCACATTGTTCTAATTCTTCTGGAGTTCTAACTTCAATGAATTTAAAATTATATTTACTATATTGCTCAGGATTACCTTCAATTACTTTTTGAAAATATTCCAAATGTTCCTTAAAGGCTCCCTGTAATGCCAACACTCCTAAGATTATATCCTTAGATGTTGTCATGGTTGATTTGATAGTTAGTTTGTTTAAGATACTATAGAGATTAATTAGAAAATCATATATATTTCAATTACCCTGTCTGAAAAATTATTAGCTTCAATTGAGTATTACTCACTATTGTACAGTATGATTTGTGATTTTTCTGATAAGCGCTTACAGGTCCCTTTTAGTTTTTTTTAGCGGTATGAGATCCATTTTGACTCTGAACTCTTGTTCTCTTACTGATAATTATGCTGCGACTTTTCTCCAGGAAACTTCTTTTTACAATTATGACGCAATAACCAATTATATATATTTGACTTATACATTAGGAATTGGGAATAATTATTGGATGTTAGAGTCTCATTTAGGATGATTGCTTTATTGTAATTAATAACTTTGCTTAGAATAATCATCTATCAATAACAAAAAGAGCTATGTAATGTTCTAGCCGAATTTGTTAGCATATGCATTTAACTTGCTCTCTATACGCACCGAAGTCAAAAAATTACTCATTTTGCATTTACGCAAGACACCTCAAACGGCCAAGTTATTTTATTTGGCTTAGCTGTTTATTATTGAACATTTACTTTATGCGATTAGCAGTACCGATCTTGTCGCAAATTAGAGGGGCTCGTCTCCCGGTAATTGTAGCTCGTCGTGTCTTACTTATTTCAGAAGTTACATACTTTTTTAGTTACTTAATCTGTGACTAATTGAAATTTTTCAGTAATTGATCTCTTGACTTTGTTATTTATAAGCTAACTTTATTAATCTCAATAACTTAATTTTATTTGTTTTCAATTGATTTAAATTCACTAGTAATTAATTAGTAAGAATAGAAATATACAATGAGCGAATTCAAAATTAAGGCTGGTTTAGCCCAAATGTTAAAGGGTGGAGTCATTATGGATGTTGTTACTGCAGAACAAGCAAAAATAGCAGAAAGAGCTGGAGCATGTGCTGTTATGGCACTTGAAAAGATTCCTGCTGATATGAGAGCTAGTGGTAAAGTATGTAGAATGTCAGATCCAAAAATGATTAAAGAAATCATGGAAGCTGTTTCTATCCCAGTTATGGCAAAAGTTAGAATTGGTCACACTGTAGAAGCTCAAATATTAGAAGCATTAGAAATAGATTATATCGATGAAAGTGAAGTCTTAACTCCTGCTGATTGGAGTGATCATATTTCCAAGTCTGAATTTGGTGTTCCATTTGTTTGTGGAGCTAAGGATTTAGGTGAAGCTTTGAGAAGAATTAATGAAGGTGCTGCTATGATTAGAACAAAAGGTGAGGCTGGAACTGGTGATGTTTCAGAAGCTGTTAAACATATTAAGAAAATTAGAGGAGAGATCAAGAAAGCCAGCGAAACTTTAAAGACTGAAGAAGATTTTGAAAAATATGCAAAAGAATTAAGAGTCCCTGTTTCATTATTAAAAGAAGTTGTTGAATTAAAAAAATTACCAGTCGTCAACTTTGCTGCTGGTGGTGTTGCAACACCAGCTGATGCTGCCTTATTAATGCAATTAGGATGTGATGGTGTTTTTGTTGGTTCAGGTATTTTCAAATCAAATAATCCTGAAAAATTAGCAAAAGCAATTGTTAATGCTACCACCAACTTTGAAGACCCACTCAAGATCTTAGAATATTCTACTGATTTGGGTGAATTAATGTCTGGAGTTAGTATTGAATCAATTAAGAAAGCTGGGCAACCTATCTTAGCCAACCGTTAAAGATGAAATTGATAAATCTCAAGAAGTTTGCAACCATAAATAAATGAACATTATTGTTAAATATTTATAGATCTGAAATACATACATGAAAAATATTTAAAATACGAAACGAAAAGTAGTACATATTTAATTAGAATTTATAAATCGGACCAGATTATCAAGCCTGTATTAGAAATATTAATTAAGCGATTCTATAGTTTTTACGTGACTGGTTCGAGAAATAAACGATGACCAGAATACGTTTTATTTAGTTTATGGTGTCGCTAAAAAGCTTATAGACGTTAAAAGTTTGCTTAATTCTGCCATCAAGCAATTGCACTCCGGATTCTCCAAGAGTAAGGGATCTACTAATTTCGCCGTGCAAGATCGGAATAACAGATTCAAATATAAAATAAATCTAAATAATCAAAGAATTTCTTGTCTTCAGTGGAACAATACAGAATCATTAATTAAATATGGACCACTTGTAGAATATGGTATGTTATGGTGTAGTATATTGTGGTATTAAGCACCGAGATTATAGATTTATTTCAACGGTATATGCAAGTGAAATTAATAAATATGCCGTGCGCTTCGAAAATAAAGTTCTGATGCCATTCTACTTTTAATGCAAGCAAGCCCAATAGGTGGGGTAAATGGGGCAAGCCACTTCGTTTACATAAATGAAAAATGCAACAGGATGAGCGGATATTCATTCTCAATGTGATCTCCTCAACTTCTCCAGAATTGAAGTAAACTCAATTAAGTTCCAGAGAGGCTGTGAATGACAAGTAATTGCAAAACTGTCAAGAATACGGTAGCTAAGATAAGATAAGAGATCACTACCTCTTCGTTCTGGAATTATTATGATAAAATAAAAAAGACAAGAAAAAAAAGCCATTAAACGTTGCCTTTACACAAAATACATTACGGACTAATTTGATACGAAATTACTAGATGACATCTGTTCAAAATGAGAGAGGTGGAAATATGAATTGGAATTCATAGATAAGCAACAAGTCATAACAATAGTTATAAAAATAAGATCATTATCTCTTTGATAGATATGAGCGAATATTTCGAAAATTGTTCCAGCCACATTCTGATACCCAAAGAAATCGCTGTTTCTCAAAAGATCGTTAAATCATCAGGTTCTCAAAAAAATCAGCTATGTTTCTTCAATTACTGCAATGATTTCGTTAATTTCGGTCCTTATCGCTAATAACCCTAAATATATAAACATTAGACCAAGAAATAAAATTCCTGACCAATTGCCTCGAATGTTCTTGACACGGCGATTTTTAAATAAACTATATACTTTTAATGTCCTTAAGGGCATTCTCGAATTGCTTAGGTGGTATTTTTCTTGGCCCTGCTAAACTTTATAAATTCCACAAAAAGAAAAGAGCATAAAAATAAATAATGACTTGGTTATCTTTTTGCAATTAGTGCGATGGATGCTATAGTAACAATTATTCTTACTTTATTGTTCAATCTCATTGTGCAGATGGAGCAGTAGCCCGGAGTTGATTTTCTTATTTAGAAATTGGATAATAGTCTTGAATTTGTGTTTTCATTTATAAAGATTTTTACTGATTTTCTTCGTATCGTTCTAGTAATCATCTCTCCACATATTTCTTGCCAGTCGGCCCAAGATTATTTAAACATAAATATTTCTCTAATTATTGAATTGTAATTTTGTTTCAATTTCTTTCAGATAATCTTTAATTGTAATCTTTATATTATTAGTATTCTTTGTAATATAATGTTATTCGAAAAAGATGCTGAAAAGCAAATATCCTCTCCTGATGATTTGACTTCTGTCATCTCTAGACACACTGAAGACTATGATCTCTATGTTGCTAAATCAAATCCAGAATTTATTAACCTTAAAGAAGGTCATCAACTTAGAAAAGGACTTGACTCTCGTCACACTACAATGATTGCCATTGGTGGTGCCTTAGGTACTGGTCTTCTTATTGGAACTGGTTCTGCTCTTAGACAAGCTGGACCAGGTGCTATTTTTATTGCATATGGTCTTATTGGTATGGTTGTATTTATGGTCATGAGTGGATTAGGAGAAGTTGCAACTTTCGTTCCCCTTAATGGGTTTGCCAATTACGGTCAAAGATATGTTGATGATGCATTAGGATTTGCATGTGGTTATGTTTATTTATTCAAATATTTAATTTTACCAGCAAATCAGTTAGTGGCAGGTTCTTTAACAGTCCAATACTGGGTTAGTAAAGAAAGGTTGAATCCGGGAGTATGGATTACAATTTTTTTAATCATTATCTTGATCGTCAATCTTTTAGGTGTTAGATTTTTTGGTGAAATAGAATTTTATTTGTCCACTTTGAAAGTTTTAACATGTTTGGGGGTAATTCTTCTTATGTTCATCATTGCCTTAGGTGGTGGTCCAACCCATGACAGATTAGGATTCAGATATTGGAGAGATCCAGGTGCATTTTTAGAATATTCAGATAAATCAAAAGACTTATTAATAGAAGGTTCATTGGGTAGATTTGTTTCTTTCGTATCAGTTTTAGTTACTGCTGTATTCGCATATTTAGGTACTGAATTGGTGGGTATCACTTTTAGTGAGACTAGAAACCCAAGACGTTCTATTCCTAAGGCTATCAAATTAACTTTCTATCGTATCTTAGTGTTTTACATTTTATCTATTTTATTCCTCGGTATGTGTGTTGCAGCCAATGATCCATTATTATTAAGTGCTTCAGGTAACTCTGCTAGTGCATCACCATTTGTTATTGCTATCAAGAATGCAAGAATTAACGGATTAGATCATGTTATTAATGCTTGTATTTTATTATTCGTTCTTTCTGCTGCTAATTCAGATATGTATGTTTGTTCAAGAACTATTTATTCTTTGGCTGTGGCAGGTTACGCCCCAAAGTTCTTCACAAAGACTAGTAAAAGAGGAGTACCATACTATGGTATTGCCTTAAATTTTGCCTTCACTTTATTAGCATACATGACTGTTTCTAGTAGTTCTGCTCAGATCTTCACTTATTTTGTTAATGTTGTCAGTTTAACTGGTTTAATTGCTTGGTCCTGTATTTTAGTCATCCATATTAGATTTATGCAAGCTTGTAAAGCTCAAGGTATTGATAGAACTAGAGATTTAGCTTATAAATCTCCATTACAACCATATGGTTCATACTTTGCATTAACTATTTGTGTGCTTGTCATCCTTCTTAAGAATTTCACTGTATTCCTTGGTAAACCATTCACTTACAAGACTTTTATTACTGGTTATATAGTTCTTCCAGTCTTTGTAATAATGTTTGTTGGTTACAAATTGTATTTTAAAACAAAATGGATTCCATCATCTGAAGTTGATTTACATACTTTTAAGGATGTTATTGATGCAGAAGCTGAAATCTTCAAGCAAGAAGATCAAGAAAGAAAAGCTCGTAGAGAAGCTGAAGGTAAAATGTTCGACAAAGAATGGTTTTACGAAAAATTCCTTGGATGGTTATTTTAATTTATATTTAAACCTATCCTGTTTATTTCTCTCTTGTAAAGTTGCATGAATCGCATTTTGTATAATTAGATTTAGGGTTAATTTAATGTAATAATGTAATAAATGAAATAATTAATTTTATTTGGGTGTAAAAAAAAATAGTACGACATCGACACAAGTAGCAGCCATGTGTCAAAAAAGTCGCGATGATGCTGCTAACTTTTTGAAATATTGCTAATGCAAGTGAAACTTTATAAGCAAGTCAGAACAAGTAAATGACAGTCGATGAAGCTTATATACCACTTCAGGTGGATGAAGATATCGTATTAAATAATATTTCACCGTATTTCAAAGTAAGCAAAACAAAATATGGAGGTCGTGGATGTTTTACATATCACGATATACCGAAAGATACCGTTATACTAAGATGTCAACGCCCTATAAGTCATTCAGTAACGAAACCATTTAAAAAGGAATGTTGTAATTATTGTTTTAACTATTTTAATGGAAAAATTTTAAAGTCAAAAATATCAAAGAAGTATGGTAAGGATACTTGTTCTATATTTTTCTGTTCTGAAGAGTGTAAAGAGAGTTTTATTAGTCAAGATGTGAATGATATATATCAAACCAGTTTATTATTAATAGAAAAGCATTATCTCAATAGTCTTGGTAAATTCGACCTAGAATTAAAGGAACCACCCAAGAATCAGGATCTAGATCAAATTATAGTACAAGAATGGAACCATGTAGAAGAGTGGGAAGATAAATTGAATGCTATGAAACCAGCTAAAAGAAGTAATCAAATACCTCAAATCAATGATAGTGAATATTTAGAAATCAAGTACGTTGTTGGAGTACTCTTTCAAAGGTTTAAACTACTGACTTTAACTACAACTCCCAATAAATACCTAGAAGATATACAATCTGATGAATTAATGAAACGTGAACTTGAACTCTTTGAAATCTTACAGTCCAGTGAAACTGAAAAAGTTGAGAAATTCCCATATTTGCTTTATTCATATATAAATATCTATAAGTTTATTAAAGTAACTAGTTTACCAGAATTACAGCCATTCATAAATCCACAAAGAGTAAGAGATACAATAGGTAGAAATCTCACTAATGCATTTGGTATTTGGTCGGAAGTGTTAAACCCAACTGAAGATAAAGAATTCTTAGGATTTGGTGTATATCCTTCTGCCTCATACTTTAATCATTCATGTTCTCCCAATTTAATTAAAAAGAGAATAAATAATACCTTGACATTTACAACCAAGAGAGATATACAAGCAAATGAAGAACTTTGTATTGATTATGGAAGTTATTTAGATGAAAATGTGATAGTTAGAAGGAAAGAATTAAGCGAATGGTTCTTTGAGTGTGGTTGTGAAAAATGTAACATAGATCTAGAAAAACTCTGCATCTAATAATATATATTATGTACATAGGTATTATATTGTAAAATCAAAATCATGATAGAACTTCTTAAATTCTTCACAATCTTTAGATTCTATTACTTTATCTTGTTTACAACGTTCCCATGATACTCTATTTTTTAAAAACAATAAATCTGCTAATACTCTTCTAGGGAATTGGAAGTCAACTAGTTTTGCTGGATCTGATAATTCACAAACATATATTTCAACTTCTGATTCGGTAAGATGTATAGTAAATATTATATGATCCAGATTATTAATTATTTGGAGTAATGCTGGATCATTTGGATCAGTATACTTGACAAATTCAAGTGAATGACGATGCTGGTTGTGTTCATTATTAACCTTAACTCTAAAATTAAGGGATTTGGAGAATTTTGGTATCACATGGATAGGAACACGAATAACTTGGATTGCATGGTGAACATTTGCTGATCTATTTACTTCATAAGATATTAATCTATATTGATCACTCTTTACTAAGAATGCCTTTAGTAAAGAAGAAAGATACTTTTGAATTTCTTGATATAGAGGAGATTCAACAACATTAGAACATTTCAGTCTTAATGTCGGTATATGTTCAATTGGTACAATGATAAGATGTCCTGGAAATGGCAGATCTGAATTAGGTTTAGTTAATGGACCCTTGGCTGTAGTTAAGTAACTTTGAGTTGCAATAGATATAATCATATGAGTTTCAGTCTTTGGATTAGATAAACAAAAGAAACATTCATCTGGTGTTACCACTTTAGGTTTCTTTATTTCAACAATTTGTTCAGAATTATCTTCAATGGATCTTTTTAAACTTGGTAAAATAACTTCAAAAGGATTTTCTCCTACTTTATCTTTATCTTCAGGTATTATTTTAGAAGATATAGAAAATGCATAAAACCATTTCTCACCTGAACCTTCTTCTCCCAAACTTATGAATCTAGTACTTTCACCACTTTTCCAAGTAAATACAGGATTTTCATGAAATTTTCCCTTATCATGACCTATAGCAAAAAGGTATCTTGGTTTTACAAGTTTCACTATTGAATCCACTACTTGATTTCCTACCAAATGTAATTGTTGTTGATTAGCAATGGCTAAAGGCCAATGATATGTGACAAGAATATCTATAGGAAGTTTATTTGCTCTTACTAATTTTATGGTTTCTTCTTCATTCTCTTCAGCATTACCTGATATAGTCATTATATTAAATCCTGATTGTAATTTTAGTATACTTACCAAAGATTTCATAAATGTTAAATTATTAGATATATCATATAATTGTTTATCATCATCAATTACATTTAGAACAGAACTTCTTCCATTAATACCTTGTGAGAAATAAGTTGGAACATTCATTTTAGTAGTTGGAATATTTTCTTTATCATGAGGTAGAACATCTCCAAGTAAAATTACTGCTTCAAATGGTCCATTTTTACTTTGTTGAATATTGGCTTTTCCTAATACTTTATCTACCCCTTCTACAGAAGGGTTTAATACTAAGAATTTCGATTTGTTCTCCATTGGTAGTTGATATTAGTCTCATCTTTGGAAAACTATACGAAATGCTCATCCCGAAAATTAACATGTCGCGGGCTTCCAGATCGTTTGTTTATTTACATTTTCTGATCTGGAGAATCAGTTTTTCTTTATAGTGAATCAGTATTAATTAGTGTTAGAAAGTAGAAAGTAGCAATTAGTAATTAGTAATTAGTAATTAATAATTAGATTCAAATCATCAATGAGTATAACTAAAGGAGATAAGGACTCATCAGGTAATAATATCCGAGTATTGGTAAGAGTACGTCCTCTTTTACCAAGAGAATTGAATTCTGAATTAAATCATGATAGTTTAATTACTATGCCAAAGGATACTCCGAAGAAAGTTATACTACGAATTCCAGAAGATTCAACTTATCATTCTCAAAAGAATAAAACACTTAATAGATCCAATTCCCCCGGAGAAGAATATAAGACTTATCATTTTGATGAAACTGTATGGTCATTTAATAGAACAGATGAGAATTATACTAATAATAAACAATTTTATCAAAAGACTGGACCTCAATTAATTGATCATGTATTTCAAGGTTATAATGTTTGTTTATTAGCATATGGACAAACTAGTTCAGGAAAGACATATACAATGATGGGAGAACCAGAAGAATTAGGTTTAGTACCTAGAATTGTTAGAGATATAATGCGTCAAAAGGAGATATTAGTATCGGAAAAGATTAATTGTGAAGTTAAAATGTCATATATCGAGATATATAATGAACAAGTCAAAGATTTGTTAGGAATGGATAGTAATAAGATTAAATTAAAAGTTAGAGAACATCCTATTCTGGGTCCATATGTTGAAAATGTAGTTGATTCAACTCTTAATAATTATGATGATTTTATAACTTATTTAGAACGAGGAAATTCCAAACGTTCAACAGCTGCTACTTCAATGAATGATAAGAGTTCAAGATCACATGCCATTATTACTATAACATTGAAACAAACTAAATTTGGATCGACAGATGATACTGAAATCGGTGATGCAGAAGAAGAAATGATTTCTAATATAAAACTTGTAGATCTTGCTGGATCAGAAAGATTATCTAGAACCAAAGTATTTGGTCAACAAGATAGAATCAAAGAAGGTTCACAAATTAATAAATCATTAACTGTATTAGGAAGATGTATAAATATTCTTTCATCAGAGTCTAATCAAAAATCTCATACTGTTGTACCTTACCGAGATTCTGTATTAACTTATATATTAAAAGAGAATCTTGCTGGAAATTCCAAAAGTTTCATGATATTTTGTGTTTCTCCTATTGATTTTGAAGAAAGTTATCAAACATTAAATTATGCCAATCAAGTTAAATCTATTAAGACTGCAGCTAGAGCCAATAAGACAAAATTAGCAACTGTAGCTATAGATTGGGAAGAACTTCAACGTATAGATCAAGATGCTATAGAGATGTTAAAGAAAGAAGTAGAAAATTTGACAGCACAATTACAACAAATGGAATTGAATCCATCTAGTACATTACAAGGAGAACTTGATAATTATTCAAATACGGTAAATTATTTAGAACGAGAATTAACTAAATTAAGATTTGAAAATAAATATCTTAAGAATCAATCTACTGAACAAATGAAACAAATTCAAGAAATGAATAACTTTACTACTTTTGTTGCAAAAGAGTATGATACTTTATACAAAGATTATAAATTATTAGAGAGTACTCAATTATCAAATGCTATTAAACAATTCACTAATAATTGTGATATACAATCAGCCCATGTAAATGATATGTTAGATATATACGATCCTAAAAATATATTTTAGCATTATCAGTTAATAAAAAAAATAGAAATTGATCACTCTAATTTTATTGTAGTGTACATGACAACAGCAAAAATTTGGTACTTTAAATAGAAAAAAGATCGATGAATCGATGTATTTTGTATTATGTGAGTCGATATATTCTATCTGTTTGAAACCTCGAGCTACACATCGGGCTTTGTATGTTCCATCCCTTAATGGAAGACACCTAAACGTGAGGCATTGCATCTATGCCCTTCAAAAGGGTTTAGTGCATTGTTGAATGTTGGCAGCTAATTAATTTAATAACCAAAATCAGAAGTTTAGGCTTATATTACTAACTCTAGGATATTGTTCAGAACGATTATATTATTAATTCCCATCAATGTCTATATTTAACAACTAGACTATGACGGTGACTTTGTTTATTATATAACATTGGTTAATATATTTTTATATTTGTATCCAAACAAAGTGTAGCTCAATGTAGAATATAAGCAGAGTAAACCCATCAAAACTATTAATATTTAGAAGAATTTCCTTCAGTTTAATAAATATTCGTTGTTTAGAAATACGGATGTACAATCCACAAGTACATAAGTATGACTTCTAGATTCTTAGAGTCCTTTAAAAGAATAAACTATTACTATTCAGTATATTTCAATTTGACCACGGCGTAATTAATCTTTAGATAAAGTAAATACAAGTACAGTACAAGTGCAATCATTTAAATCTTTTCGCCATATCCCTAACGTCATAAAGTAGACTTTAAATAATATTCAGCTAAGTCTTACGCACTACATCACCTTGAGGATACGAAGAATAATCGCAGTTAATTGTGACCCAAGCTTAATATTATACTAGTTTACTGGTAGTTTTCTACTTTATCATCTAGATACATAGAGCGATACAGTATCTAAAACATGGATAAAGCAGTTATTCTCTCAAATAAAAGAAGCCTACTTAAATTATGTAAGATAAATGTAAAAAATAATTAAACTAACACATGATTAGTTAGTTCAAAAAATGGCTGTAAATAATTTGAAGAGTATATAATGAGAAATATTCCTTCATTTCAATTCAAATCCACTTCATTTAATTACCTAATAACGTTTAATAGCCGATTCAATTCTATATTAATTCACTTTAATTCTACCTGAATATAACTCTTTTCGGGATAAAATCTGTGTATATATCTTACTAACATAACTAGTGAATGGTAGTTTCTGGGGTTTTTTTATCCCATGACTGGTTCCCATTAACTTGATTTTACTTATTAAATAGGCTATAACTTACTAACATAACTAGAATATAACTTCTACATAGTATTAGTTTTAGACACTTTTTTAATAAATTATTTATCGTTATAGATTGACTCGCAAAACATTTTGTAGCTTCGTTTAGTTCAGTAAGTGCTTTTCTATAGTAGCAACAGTTCAGTATATAGGTCAAATTTATGGAATAAGTGGAGTGTTTTTGTCTTTTTATAGATGAATGATGCTTGATATGTTTCTATATCAATCAACAAACCATCTATTAGAATAATAACTCATTAAGTCGGTCATAGTTTTGTTTATTCATTCAGATTGAAGACAATTCTCTAAATATTGATATAGTCTGTTCGTATAACACCTAAATCCGCATATGCTTTTTTTCTGCCAACACTTTATTTTTATAATTACACCTGTTTTATAAATTAAATCATTCTTTAGGACCCTTTGTTAATCATATACATAAATAAGTGATAGATAATTCAGATGTCAAACTTAGTGGATGAAAAATTTGGTACATCTGTTAATGAAGCGGTGCAGGCAACCGCAAATCAAAATAAACCATTATTTGTATTATTAACTAAAGGCGTAGAAGATAAGGAATCACAAGAATTTGAAAATAAATATGTTAATGAATCAACTATAAAATTATTAGTATCCAATTTTGTATTACTTAAATTGATTGAAGGATCTAAAGAATTTGGATACTTTCTGCAGATATTTTCTAATTTAGTAATACCCAGTTTTTATATTGTAGAAAAGGGTAAATTATTAGATGTAATTATTAGTGATGTGGAAGTTTCGGATTTCGAATTAAGAATAGATAAGATAATCAATTCAAGGTCTAACAGTCGGCCTTCTTCGTCTCCTCAATTTGAACAAGAATCATCACCATCAGTTGTTCAACAGCCTTCTGAGGATGTACCAGAACAACCTCAACCCCAGTCTCAACCTCAATCTCAACCTCAACCTGAAATTCCTATAGTTGAAGAATCACATTCAGTACTGTCAGGTTTAGATCCAAAACGTGAACAAAGTTTAAAAGAACATAAAAGGAAAGTTGCCTTAGCAAAGAAACAACAAAACGAAGAAAGAAAAAGACTTAGAGCCCTTTTACGAGCAGATCAAAAGGAAAGAGAAATCAAGAGAGTAGCAGAACAAGCTCAATATAAGGAACAATCTCCATCATCATCAACAAGTCAAACAGAATCCAATAAGGCACCACAACATAATCAAAACGCGTGTGCCTTGTCAATTAAATTATTTGATGGTACATCTATTAGGCATGAATTTGAAGTTACTCAAACATTAAATGATGTAAGAAATTGGTTAGATAAAGAACTTGAAATTATTCCTCCATCAAATTCTATGCCATCATTTGCTACATCTTCATATCCTCAACCAACAAATTATGTATTCCATCGTCCTATTTTACCAAGAATTACTTATACTGATGAACAAGAATTTTTAAGTTTATTAGAATTACAATTATGTCCTAGATCGGCATTAATTTTAAAACCAGTATATGAAGATAAATATTCCAAGGCATATTCTGATTCTGGATCACAAGTTGGAGTATTAAGTAGACTTGGAGGTACAATTGGTAAAGTAGGTCATGCATTATATTCATTCTTTGATTATGGGGTTGATAATCAACATGAAATGCAACATGATGAAGATCAAGAACATGAATCACCTGGAGCTAGATTATCTAGTGGATATTCTGCTATTGAAAATGAAGATTATCCACCTAGATCCAATATATTTTCCATTGATAATACTAGAACTTCATCAGCATCATTAATAAATTTTCATGATCCTACCAATGTATCATTACCTGAATCTAATAATCCATCTAATTTTACCAGTAGAGCTTCATCACCAAATCCTTTAGGTAGTGTACATTCAATGAGTAGAGTTCAAACTATTCATGATGAAGATAGAGATAAAAAGGATGATACTTATAATGGGAATTCAGTAAATCTTACAGGAAATGAAGATGATAAAAAATAATTATGAGTTTTTGACTATAATAATCAAATTTTCTAATTATCTATATATGTATCAGTAAATATAATTCTATATATAGTTTAATGGAAAGTAGTGAATTTTACCTAATTTATAAAAAGAGTATATTTTATTTTGTGCTCGCTCGCTCCGATAACAAATCGAAGATATACCGAGTTAGTACAAATTAACTATATAGCATTATACTACTACCACCACTACCACCACAACCACAACCACCACCACCACTGGGAATGGATAAGATCAAGATCTCAAGTTTGGAGCTGCTTCTAAAGCTACCGGGAGATCCCAATCCCAATCATATTGTTTCAGATGTTTCTATATTAAGTTGTGGATGTCTAGTATCAGAATCAGGATTTATTAATCAAACTGTATGTCCTAATTGTAAAACAGAAAATGTCAAGATATTATCTGAAATAAAACCATTACGTGAATTATATAAGATTATTCAACAATTAAATAGTCAATTGAGTAACTTTTCTCTGAAAAGAAGAAGATCTTCATCTCGAAAGAGTATTAAAGCAGGAACTATTGAAGGTTTAACTTTATCAGAGACTGGATTACAACAACAAGAATCTATGGATTTAATAAGTTTATTTTATAAATTTGCTAAAGAAGAAGAATATGTTCATAATGAAACTCCATTATCTCCTGATAATGCTAAAGTTCAACCAATAAATATTCGAAATAAAGGTAGTAGTATATCTTCTACAGCCATAATACCAAATGTATCTGATAAACCTGAATTAACTCAACCATCTTCATTAACAAATCTGTATCAAAATTCTACTTCAATCCTGCCAAATCATCACACCCCATACTTAGGGTTAGATAATAATGATGTTACAAAGAATTCACCACTTGAAATTGAAAAAAATTTACTTGAAACTTTAAGTGAAGAAAAAGAATATAATTTTAGTAAATGTTATCCATTTCATCGTAAACTTACTACATTTGCAACTCAACAACTTAAATTTTCTATGAGTAATTTATCATTTAAATCTTCAAATTCTATAATGAAGAAAACAGCAAGATTTATTGGAAGTAGTATTCATACTTATTTAGATTTTAATTTGGGTAATGAAGTAACTAGATTTGTATTAATAACTGAAAAAAAATGGGAATTATATGAATATATTGTTCCTATAGGTGAAAGTGATAATTTATCAGTTAAACCAGTTTTAATATGTTGTGGGAAACTGACAGGAGAATATGGAGAAAAGGTTAATAATTTAAATACGACTACTCCAATAAAAGAAATAATTGTAAAGAATGATTTTAATTCAGATTCATCAAATGATGCTGATATGAGAAAAAGATTACAACTGTGGGATCATTTATATTGTAAATTATCAAAAAATTATTTATTAATATCCGGTACGAAGGGAATAATGAGATTATTTAATGTGAATAGAATGTCACCATATGGATTTGGTCAACCTATTTATACTTATATAACAAATTTCCCTATACGATGTGTATCAATTGCTCCTAATGATGCACTTTTAGCATGTGCCATTACTGCTAAGGAAAGATTATCAAGTAAAGAACAACCATTTGTAATATTACATAGACTTCAATCTTCAGAAGATGGTTATTTACATTCTGTTGATCCTATAACTATAACTATACCTTATCGAGATCCTATTAAAATTCTTAATTTCAATCCTTCTTCAAGTCATTTATTATGTTGTACAGTATGGGAATCAAGATATCTTGTAATTAGATTAAAGAATAGTAATGATAATTCAGAAAATTATCGAAAGCCCAGATTAATTTGGTCTGATCAAACTTATAAATCAGGTAGAAGATATAGAGATGGAGAAACTGATGAAGAAGAATTACGAGAAAATGATAATGATTTAATGATGACTAATGAAGGAGTTACTGATTTACAATTTGGCAGTATACATTCTAATGCAATTATAATTACCTCATGCTCTTTAAAAAGTCGACCACCAATGATAGTAAGATTAGATGGAGCACTGATTGATTGGAAAAGAAATAGATCAGTATCTGATAGTCAAACAAGTGTTGTTAGTGTTGAAGATGATGAAATAAAATCTTCAGAAACATTAACTAAATTTTCTGAAGTTGGATCTTCAATTCATAGATTTACTATATCACCAAGAGGTGATGGTATAGTATTTCTTGATAAAACTGGTAAAATTTATTTGGTTTCTTCACCTAGTTTAAGATTTAGTGCGACAAGTATTTCAACTAACAAAAATGTTGTCGTACTTTTAGGTGAAGTATCTAATGCTGAAAGATTTACTGAAGCTGCATCAATTAAATTTTCACCAGATGGAGGTAAAGTTTTTGCAGTTGATCGTAAAGGAGTATTTTCAGTATATGACTTTACAAAAGGAGTACCAGGAGAAGATCTTGATGTAGTTAAATGCAAAATCATTAATATTTAAATTTGCAGCTAATTATAATTGCCGTACACACTCCGGTATAGAAAGCCGCGCAGAGCCACACATTTTTGGGGGTTTAACGAGAGCAGAGAAAACAGTGAGCAGAAGCGACCACAAAGGTAAAAAAAAACTTTTGCAAAATGGTTCCATGTAATGAGTTTTGTAAAATATATATATAGTTTAGATAAAAATTAGTTACCTCCTGGTAATAGTAATAGTAATAATAAATATTAATTATTATTAGTAATTATAATATTAGAGGTTTTTTAAAAAATGTCTACAGTTCCTCCATTATACGATGATGTTCTTGACCTCATTGGTAACACTCCATTAATTAAATTAAATAAAATCCCACAATCACTTGGTATTAAAGCTAAAGTATATGCTAAAGTTGAATTATTTAATGCTGGAGGTTCTATTAAAGATAGAATTGCCAAAAATATGGTATTAGAAGCAGAAAAGCAAGGTAGAATTAAACCTGGTTATACTTTAATTGAACCAACTTCAGGTAATACTGGTATTGGTTTAGCACTTGTTGGAGCTGTTAGAGGTTATAGAACAATTATTACTTTACCAGAAAAGATGTCTAATGAAAAAGTTTCTGTATTAAAAGCTTTAGGAGCAGAAATTATTAGAACTCCAACTGAAGCTGCTTGGGATGCTCCAGAATCTCATATTGGAGTTGCAAAGAAATTAGAAAAGGAAATTCCAAATTCTGTTATTTTAGATCAATATTCTAATGTTGCTAATCCAGATGCTCATTATTATGGTACTGGGTTTGAAATTTGGGAACAAACTAAAGGTAAAGTTACTCATTTAGTTGCAGGTGCTGGTACTGGTGGAACTATTTCTGGTATTTCTAGATATTTAAAAGAACAAAATCCAAAAGTTCATGTTACTGGTGCTGATCCAAAGGGTTCTATTTTAGCTCAACCAGAATCTTTAAATACTTCTACTGATGGTTATTTAGTTGAAGGTATTGGTTATGATTTTATTCCGGATGTTTTAAATAGAAAATATGTTGATGATTGGATTAAGACTGATGATTCTGAATCATTTAAATTAGCTAGAAGAATTATTAGAGAAGAAGGTATTTTAGTTGGTGGATCTTCTGGTTCTGCTTTACAAGCTGCTTTACAAGTTGCTAAAGACTTAACTGAAGATGATATTGTTGTAGTTGTATTCCCAGATTCAATTAGATCTTATTTATCTAAATTTGCTGATGATGAATGGATGAAAACTAATGGTTTTGAAGTTGAAGAATCCAATTCTGCTAATAACAAAACTGATGATGTTTTATCTAAAAAGACTGTTAGAGATTTGGTTGCTGGTAAAGCACCAGTTGTTACTGTTACTTTATCAGATACTGTTAGTAAAACTTTTGAATTATTACAAAAGAATGCTTTTGATCAATTACCAGTATTAAATAATTCCGGTAAATTAGTTGGATTAATTACTTTATCCAAGATTTTAAAATCTTTATCAACCAAAAAGATTCAATTAACTAATTCTATTAGTTCAATCATTATTGATTTTAGAAAATTAGCTGATTTTGAAAAATCATTTACTATTACTAAAGAATCAGGATTTGCAAAGAGAAAATATTCTCCAATTACTTTAGATACTCCTTTGAACTTATTAAATAAGTTTTTTGAAACTAATTCTAATGCCATTATTACTGACGAACACTTAGAACCAGTACAAATTGTTACTAAAGTTGATTTAATTTCTTTCTTAACAAAAAGTCTTTAAACATGTTTAGATAAATAGAACAAAAATTAAGTAACGAAACAAATATAGAAATAATCTTAACATACATTATATAATACAATATTTAACAGAATAAAGTGAGAAATCTAACTCTATAATTGGATACTTAAGAGAATTTCCATCTATTACCACAATTCTCACAAGTACAGAAAGTAGTTAATGGTTCATCTGCTGATCTAGTTTGCATTTGATAATAACTAACTTTCTTATGCTTACATTTACCACAAGTAAATCTATCAGTAACAGCTCTCTTTTCTGTTGCACCTTGAGCATCAAATAAATTTTGTTTATGCATTTTTTCAATTTCTTTCTTTAAAGCTTCTGGTGCCATTTCATTAGGAGTCATTTTAATAAAATCTGGTGGTAAAATAGCTCTTGTTAATAATCGATCTCTTAATTCTGGATTCTTCTTATTTCTAAGATTCATAGTAAATGATCTTAATTTATTTCTATAAGTATCATTAACTTGCAGGTATTGACTCTTAAATACTTCACTTTCTATTTCAGTTGCCACTGTTAAAATATGTGATGAAGAATCATCTCTTTCAATGGCTAAAGCAGTATATAATGCACTTATAGATGCATTTCTAGTAGGATTTTCATATAATGAAGTTTTAACTCCATCTATCTTAGGATCTCTTGGACCTTTATGAAATTTACTCTCAGTTGATCCAGCAGTTGATCCAGATCCTGAACCAGAACCAGGGGTTGGATTTTCAGATGATGAATTAATAGATTTTTTATCATTTCCTTCAGTTGAATTTGATGAAACAGACTTTTTCTTAATATTTTTCTCATTCTGAACCGATTCTCTCCAATTCTTAATCATTTTCTTTACAAGAGAAGTTATTTCAGAATTACTATGAGCTCTGAATTTATTAACAGCTACACCAACTTTAGTTTCTCTCAAGAGTTTCTCAGTAGGTTTAACACCATCATTTAAAATGGTCAATAACTTCAAAACTGTAACATCATCCGAAGTCTTTTCAAGATTCGAAATTGTCGATTTGATCTCTTTAGTATCCATATTAACGTACTATCGAATACTGTTTGTATCTCCCTATAAATTAATAATAATACATACTGGTCTTATGATAGTAGAATTTTTTTTTTTTTTCGTTTCGTCCTGTGCACTATTTGGGGAACGAAAATTCTTTAACTAAAGTTAGTGAAGTTATCAAATAACAGTTATTTAAAAGTATACGTCAGTGAATTGATAGATAGTGTAATTATAAAATGGATAGTAATAGTACAAGTGTATCTATTGGGAAGTTCCCGTTTGATTATACTGAAGATCAAGTTTTAGAAATTGCTAAATCTGTTGGACCAGTAATTGATTTAAAGTTACTCTTTGATGAATTAACTGGTAAATCAAAAGGTTATGCTATAATAAATTATGGAGATAATGAAACTGCATCATCAGCAGTTAGGAATTTGAATTATATGACATTACCAAATGGAAGATTTTTAAAATGTTCATTTATAACTGATGGAGAAGCAACTAATGATAGATTACCAATATTACCATTAGGAGTTCAAATTCATCCTAATGAAAATGTTGAAAATACTATAGCAAATATTGTAAGTAGTATTGATCAAACATCTGGAATGGAATTATTAAGAGAAATTAAAAAGATGAGTAAAGAGAATCCTAATTTAACTAAATTATTATTAGAAAAATTTCCTCAATTAGCTCATGCTTTAGTTGAACTTACATTATTATCAAATACATCAAATAAAGAATTAATAGAATTAACCCTTAATAAACGTCAAGCTGAATTGAATGACCTTTCTTCAGCTCATGTTCAACTTTTAAAAGATGTTCATAATTTAAGTGAAGAAGAAATTAAAGGTTTAGATGAGGCCAAACAAGCCATTATACTAAAGGTTAAGCAAGAAATAGATAATGGTACTTATGGTCAAATAATATGAAATAAATAAAAATATAAATACAAATACAATTCTAGAAGTTTCTATCCTATTTTTAAAATAGGCAATGTGATACTAATTTTAAAATAGTTGAGTATATTGAATTGAGTTCACATGCTAATTATGGTGTTCACTGTAAAGAGCAATCAAACAAATAATTTAATGTTGGATGATCAGGTGGGGATATTACAATAAAAACTGAGATAAAGTAGTATATAAAGGGTCCATAAACTCCTTAGAAGGGGTTTTTATCAGTTGATTACTTTACAATTGCCAAGTATATGATTAATATGACCAAAACATTTAATGAGATTCCAGTTGAATATGGAAGTATAGATGAAAAAAGAGCTGAATTTTCGTGCGATTTATTTGATATAGAAGAGATGCATATGGTGGTAGATGGATTTGAAGATCCATTAGTATTTAGAAGAAATGATGAGATATTACCAAAGCAGGTACATTACATTGTTCCTGAAGGTTCAAAATATAAACTAATTATAAAATATAAAGTTAAGAACAAATCATTACAGAATTTACAGTTTGAGCAAATAATTAAAAAGCATGGAATTACTATAAGAAAGAGAATTGTACCAATGCAAGAAAGTGCAGAAGTAAATATTAATAAAGATTATTTACATGTAGCATTTATACCACAAGATACTGTACCTAGTGGTATATTAGTTCGTGGACAATATTTAGGTCATTCATATATATATGAAGATGGTAAGATTGTATGGGATCAACCATTTATAATTGAAATAGTTAAGAAAGGTAATGCACCATGTCTTGGAAGTTATGATTAAATTAAATTAAAGTAAAATGTATAATAATAATAAATATGTATAATAATAATATAAATAAAAATAAAAAGTTGTAAATAAAAATAACTACTAAAAGTAATATCCGGTATAGCTCCGAATTTGTATAGAATAAAGGCTTTTTGTGTGGAGTAATGATAATTGTGTGCGTCATTGCAGCATTTAGTAGTACTATGCGCAGTTTTAGTTTTAGTAGTCACTCGATGATAAGGGAAAATAAGGGAATTTAGTAAAGGCCAACCTCGCCCTGTTACACTACTACTAATTACATTTACTAATTAGTTATAATTATTTTATATTAATATTAGTATTAGTAACTTTTTTATCCTAATACCTTTATTTTTCAATAGTATAGCATACTTATACTTATTATTACTACTTTTATAGTGTCTTTGCTAATTTAGTACTGTCATTCGGCTTTTCGTCTAACCCGAACCCCCCCCTTCCTTTCTTAATCTAAAAAGAAAGTAGACACGGAACATAAACAAATATTTACCACATATTGAATTGCATTTCAAGATAAGTTACTAGTATACTATATACTAATTCAACCTCAACCTCAACCCCATTAAGTTAAGTTAAGTATAATCACTTCAAAAATGAGTTCCCCAAAGAGAAGAATCGAAAAAGACGTTATGGAACTTATGATGAGTGATCATGACGTTACTTTAATTGATGATTCAATTCAAAGATTCTTTGTAATATTTCGTGGACCTCCTGATACCCCTTATGAAGGTGGAACTTGGAAAGTTAGAGTTGAATTACCCGATCAATACCCTATAAAATCACCATCAATTGGATTTACTAATAAAATCTTTCATCCAAATATTGATGAAGGTTCTGGTTCAGTATGTCTTGATGTTATTAATCAAACTTGGTCTCCAATGTTTGGTCTTTTAAATATATTTGAAAATTTTCTTCCTCATTTATTGAGATATGCTAATCCTAGTGATCCTTTAAATACTGATGCATCTAATCTTATGACTAAAGATGAATCAAAATATACAGAAACTGTTAAACGATATGTTAAACAATATGCCACTAATGTTTCTTTGGATGATGATGAAGAAGATGATGCAGATGGTGTAGACGAAGAAGATGATGAACTTAGTGATGTAGGTAGTTTATCAAGTGATGATGATGATGAAGACGATGTACCTGGTAACCTCGACTTGTAATGACCCAACTCCATATGAAGAATTTAATAAATGAATACCATATTATAATGAAATGAATTGTTCACTCTGATGAATACAACACAACACAACACAACACAACAGCAACAATATTTTGAACACAATTTAGAAAATACAGGCTTATTTCTTTAATTATGAATGCTTACAAAATATCGAATATTATTATGAATAGTCTAATGCTGTTAACTACGACTCAACTGATAAAATTTTAATAGATCTATATAGCATCAATAAAATACCTTTGGCATCTATTCAACAGGGTTCTTTGTAGATCAAGAACTACTAAACATATAAAAATTATTCTAATTCAAGTCATATAACCCAAACCTCTATTCTTCTTAACAAATTGATTATCGACAAGTATTCCCTAGTTACACAAGTTAAGCCTTTGTCATTATATGATAAGTTGATTAAATAGAGGTATTACTCTGGTTGTGTGCAGTCCCCTACAAAATTGAAAAGTTATATATTTCAAATTGAATCGAAGCTTGTAAAGGTGAAGATCAAGAAAATAGATTAAAGAAAATTAAATAGGAGGCTGAAGAATAATGACAGAACAGGAGAAGGAGCTGGAAAATGGGAGGACTGAAGAAGTTCCTAAGAAACAATACATATCTAATGATGATTTATATAGGCGATCGAGTCAATTTGAACTATGGTCTTTCACACAAGAATCATTAGAAGCCAAGAAGAAACAAGCAAATGAAATAGGAAGAAGAATTGCTAAACAACGATTTGACGAGGCATATAATAAGCTTAAACAAGAAAATCCTACAATTTTTGAAATTCATAAACAAGAATTAGATGCTAATAATTTAATAACTTTATTAAGTCATGAAGAAGAAACTAAATTTATTCATGCTTATTGTCAAAATATCGTTCAAACAGCTGATTATTTTAGAATGCCAACTCAAGTTAAACTAACGGCCATATCATTATTTAAGAAATTTTATCTTGAGAATTCTATAATGGAATATCATCCAAAAAATATTATGTATACTAGTGTATTCTTAGCTGCTAAACTGGAAAATTATTTTATTACTATTGAATCATTTATTCTGAGATTAAAAGATGTTAAACAAGAAGATATTCTTGATTTAGAATTTAAAATTCTTGAAAGTTTGAAATTTACTTTACTTGTTCACCATGCTTTCCGTCCATTATATGGATTTTTCCTTGATTTTCAAGCTATTTTATTACATCCTAGTCCTGTTATGTATGATGTATCAATTGATACATTAGGTTCATTATATGATAGAGCTAAAAAATGGTTAAATGAATATGCCATACTAAGTGATGTGGCATTCTTATTTACTCCTCCACAAATTGCTCTTGCTGCAATGTATGCTATTGATAGAAGAATTACAGAAAGATACCTTAAAGAAAAATTCTTAGATGATCATACTGTTAATTTAGAATCAATACCTGAACATAATGATGATGTCAAAGAAGAAGATAAAGACAATGAAGCTTTGAAGGCATCAAATGAATCCAGCAATCAACGAGAATACTGTATAACACTTATAAGAACAATAAGAAAATGTATCAAATTATCGAAACTTGATAATCCAACTCCAGAAGAGAGCAAAGAAATAGGGAAGAGATGTAAGGCTGCATTAAACCCTGATAAAGTTATAGAAAGAAGAGTCAAGAAATTAGCTGCGCCTACCACTACTACCACTAATACCACTACAACAACAACTTAGTAATATCAAGATATGATATGTATGGCTGTGTAGCATGTAGTTATGTATATATTTTAGTATGTACTTGCTATCAATTAATTGTGACGCACTATTCTTTTTTTTTTCACTACCCCATACTTTGCGAACAGCAATTGTAACTAAGGTCTTTATATATAAAGTTAAATAATATCGGTAATTGATAAATAATGTTAAGAAAGATTTCTCGAAATGGCTTAGTTAGAGCATTATCCACAATGACTCTTACATCTAAAGAAGTTTTACTGACTTTCAATAATAAATCATTATTAAAATCTAAAGCATATTATAATGGGAAATGGATAGAAAGTAGTGATAATCGAACATTTAGAGTTAATAATCCAGCATTAGCAGGTAGTGATGGAGAATTTATTGCTGATATTACGTCAACAACAAGTACAGATTTCAATACTGCCATTGAATCTTCATATGTCGCATTTCAACAATTTAAAAAGACTTCACCTAGATATAGATCTGATTTACTTTATAAACTTTATCAATTAATGATTGAAAATCAACAAGATTTAGCAAAATTAATAGTTCTTGAAAATGGGAAAGCATATGCTGATGCTTTAGGAGAAATTAAATATGCTGCATCATTTTTTCAATGGTTTTCTGAAGAAGCTCCAAGAATTACTGGTGATATTATTCATTCGGTTGTACCGGGAAATAGAATTTTAGCTTTAAAACAACCTATTGGGGTATGTGGAATATTAACTCCTTGGAATTTCCCTGCTGCTATGATTACTAGAAAATTGGCAGCAGCAATTGCTGCTGGTTGTACAGTAGTTGTAAAACCAGCTTCAGAAACTCCATTATCGGCATTAGCCCTTGCTTATTTAATTGATCAAGCAGGATTTCCAGCTGATGTTATTAATATTTTACCAACTGATAGAACAGAAGAAATTGGGAAATTAGTTTGTGAACATCCATTAATTAAGAAAGTTTCATTTACTGGTTCAACAAGAGTTGGTAAAATATTAATGAGTCAATCAGCTTCAACTCTTAAAAAATTAAGTCTTGAATTGGGTGGTAATGCTCCATTCATTGTATTTGGAGATGCTGATATTGATAAAGCAGTTGAAGGAGCTTATGCTGCTAAATTTAGAGCTAGTGGTCAAACATGTATTTGTGCTAATAGATTATATATTCATGAATCAATTTATGATGAATTTGCTGATAAATTTACTAAAAAGGTTAAAGCTACAGTTAAATTAGGTAATGGTTTAGATCCTACTGTAACGCATGGTCCATTAATTCATGAAAGATCATTGACTAAAGTAATTGAACATGTAGAAGATGCAGTATCTAAAGGTGCAACTATTTTAGAAGGTGGAAAACATCGTGAAGATATTGGAGAATTTTTTCATGATTTAACTGTATTAAGAGATGTTGTACCAGGTATGAAAATAACTCAAGAAGAAACTTTTGGACCCGTTGCTGCCTTAATTAAATTTGGATCAGATGAAGAATTACTTAATCTTGCTAATGATACAGAAGTTGGATTAGCTGGATATTTCTATTCTCAAGATATTAATAGATTATTTAAAATATCTGAAGAATTAGATGTTGGTATGTTAGGAGTTAATACTGGTATGATATCTGAAGCTGCATTACCATTTGGTGGTATTAAAGAATCAGGATTCGGTAGAGAAGGATCTAAATTTGGTATTGAAGACTACATGATTATTAAGAGTGTTGTAGTTGGGAATTAATTAATTTTAATTTTAATAATTCTCTATAGATAGTATAGTACAAAAGCTAAATATAAGTAATATTTTTATATGACTTATTCATACATTCTGTTGAGGAGCAGTATCTACTGGAAGTTGAACGGATGAATCAAGATCGGTGTTTTGAGAATATGATTCATTATTAGTATCAGTAGTAATAGGAATTTGTACTGGAGTTTGTACTGGAGTTTGTACTGGAGTTTGTACTGGTGGAGTTTGTACTTGGGTTTGTACTGGTGCAGTTTCTATTGGTTCAACCGATGAAGAAACTCTTTGATATGGAGTAAGATCAATATTCTTTACATCTTCAAATTTCTCTACTTTTAAATTTGGTAATTTTAAATCTTTAACTTCACTATAAGCTTCATCACTAAGTTTAATTGTTTTACCAGGAAATGAATTTTCATAATCTACTAATAAACGTTTACCAATACGAGCAAGATCTTCATTTGATTCTAATGCCAATTGTAATTCTTCATTTAATGACAGTACATCATGTGATAACAGTGAGTCATTAATCTTTTGATTTAATTGTGATACTTGTTGTTGTAAATCTTTAATTGTTTGTTTGGCCCTTTCACTATCAAATTTCTCAGTAGTTATTTGTGAAAGTTGAGATGGATTTGATCCAAACACAACTTTTCGCATTACATCTGCTGATTCAACATATGTAGCAGTGGTTACCGATTTAAATGTTAAGGAGAATAATCCTCCTTCGGCTGTAACTCCATTTATTATTGATGATGGGAAATTCTTTAATGAAGCTGGTGATGGTTCATATTTTGTAGGGGGCACCAATGGTTCGTATGATTTATTGGTTACTACTTTTTGTCTTTTAAATGAGTTCTTAGACATGTCGCGTAATGTCTATTTGAAGTATTTGTCTGTCTGAGTGTTTAAATATTTGTCTGTCGGTCGGTCTGAATTGCTAATTTATTTGTTTGTTTGTTTGTTCTGGTGATGTTGATAGAGATTTTATCGCGAAAGAAAAAAAAAAAATGTTACTGTATATTTAACATACTAATGCAAATGTCGTAAGACTATATAGAGACATAAAGATATATAGACAGACATATAGACAGACATTAATTGATATTCTCAATTAAGGACTCTTCTATACCATCAATTAATCCATCGATATCTTCTACTCGTAATCCACAACTAAGACTAATTAATTTTCTATATTTGTACATCTTATCATCAATACCATAATTAGTTACAGTAGTGGCGACTTTTTGAATTAATTTTATTCTTTCAAGTTGTAAAAGACTTAATTCAATGGCATAATCTATTTTATCTTGATTTATTAAATCAGCATCAGCATCGGCATCTGAATCAGTATTATTAATATTGTCCTTATTCCCTTCCTTATCCATAAATTTGACTTCTTGTTCTTCTACTAATGTAGCTAAATTATATGCTTGATCCTTTTCTAATCGTTTAATTAAAACTTCTTGTTGTTTATCAATTTTTAAATTCGATTTGACAATTTCTTCAACTAAAAGTTTTTCACCTTCTTCTATTGTAAAATTTTCTAATCCTGCTTTAGATAACATTTTAATAATTATATTTATTGTATTATCATTATTATGTTTTATTTCATTTAATCGAATTTCTAATTCATCTTTTTCTTCATCTAATTTTTTCATTTCTGAATTATAACATGTAGAAAGGGCATTAATCATTCCTGATACCATAGTTGATAAATCATTCATCAGTAATGAAGGATCATTATCTTCAAATTCTGCATCTTTTTTATTAATTATTATTATCCCTTCATCATTTAATTTGGGTGGATGAGGTTGATGAGAATGATGAACTTGATTAATTATATTATTATTATTTTTCTTAGATTCATTTATAGGAGTACTTTCAACTGTTCTTTCTGAAATAACAGCTAATGGTTGATGTAAATGTGGTGAAGATCCAAAAGTTCGAGGAGTTGACATTGACATTGACATATTTTTATGAAAACTTGAATCTACAAAGATATTTTCTTTATTATCTTCTCGTTTAATTAAGGCTTCAATATGACTTTTATCAACTCTATCAGTATGTACATCATCATCTTCTTCTTCCATTTCTTGAATGGTTGTACGTTGAGTATCGGGAGTTTCATTTGTAGCATTCAGTGGTTGAACTGGAGTAGCAAGAACCATATATTGTTGTTGATTATCTGATATTGAATCATTAACTGATGATTGAATCTGGGAATTAGAATAATCATAATTAAGAGAATTTGATAAAGTTACATAATTAGGAATTAAATCATGTTGAATAATTAAAGATCTAGTGGTTTCTTTATTAATATTTTCAAGATCATCTCTTGCCCCATATTGTAATAAAGTCTTTAAAATTTTAGAATTACCGGATTTGGCAGATAAATGACAACATGTATCTCCATTAACATCTTGATGATCTAATACATTTCTTAATAAATTTACTTGTTTATTAATACTTTGATTAGATAAATCCGATAATTTATTTAATATTATATTTAAATAATATCTTAAACTATCATATTTAGATTTAACTTTAACAAATTGACATAAATAATGTAATGGAGTTCGACCATTTATATCAGTATTAATTAAACATAAATCAAGATCATCTAAAACTTTTGGAAAATTCTTTAATTCATAACAATTATTAAATGAAATTAATTTAGATAAGGGATTTAATCCGAAATTATTAACTACAAGTGGACTGGCCCCTTTAGAAAGTAAAAGGTGAATCATTTGATAATTCCCAATAGATGCGGCCCAATGTAATGGTGTATGACCTTCATCATCAATTGGTTCATTAATATTAAAATCAATAGGAGGATTATGAAGAAAATATGGTATTTCACTATTATCTTCACTGAAGAATCTTAATAATGATGCAGCATATGAATCATCATTATCTCCTCCTCCTCCTCCTATTGATCTAGGACTTTGTGTTATATCATTATTTTTAGTAGTATCTTCATTAGAAGTATAAGATGTATCACTATCTTTTGAATGAACTGCCAAATTGTCATCCTGTGACCAATTTGTATCACTCGTTGATTGTGATAATGATTTCGATTGTTGAAATGTGCGTACCATCTGTTGATGTACACCTGCCTGGTAGAATTTTTGTTGTTGTTGCTGCTGCTGTTGTTGTTGTTGCTGCTGCTGCTGTTGCTGCTGGATTTGATATTGCTGTTGTTGTTGAATACGCTGCATTTGCAATTGATAACTTTGATACGCAGGTTGATTGAAGGTATGGTAAGCAGGTGCAGCAGATCCATTTATAGGAAGGGATTGTTGCTGAGAAGAAAAAGTAGGAGGCAATTGAATTCCATTAGCAACTTGAGATGAAGGTTGGGATGTAGGAATATAAGAATTGGATCGAGAAAGTGAAAGTTGATCATGACCATAACCAATTGCATTATGAGATGGGATACCAGTATTTACAACTGTGGGTGGTGGTGGTGCTGCTCCTTGAGCTGCTGCTTTCTTTCCTGTTTTATATTTCTTAGGAGATTGATCTTCTTCAGGTAATTTTGGTCTTTTAGTATACTTTCTTTTAATCAGAGTTGGTTCTTTAGGTAATGGTTTTGCCTTTTCGGGAATATGTAAATTTGGATCTGAAAAATCAAGGAATAATACTGGAGCTGCTTCTTTAGTTACTCCATAATTCCGAGCAAGTTTTTGAGCATCTTCTAAGGGAATCCAAGTACCTTGGAATCTTCCGAAACCTCCTTGAACTTTTTCATGAGATCCTTGTTGTACGCCCTTTTCTAAGATCTTAGTTCTTTTGGCTTTAGGGAAGTTACAACATTTTAAGATTTGTGTGGCATTTACCCAATCATCTTTACATCTCCTCATGATTGGGGAGTCATTCATAGTACACTCATATACCTCGGTCTATTAGTCATTGATAATGTTAGTATTAATCCATTTAAAAGGGTTCTTGACGCGTTAAAGTGATTGAGTCTATCATATCTTAGTAAAGTGGGTACTACTGGGGGGTGCGATAACTTACTACTCCTAAACTAATCTCCTTAATTATTCACCCATTACGCTTCAAAAAAAAAAAACACTGATATATAATTTCTTAAGATACATACACTAGAATAGGTCGCCCTATACACCCTTGGTTCCGTTGTAGTCATATTAAACAAACTTTGGTTATTATAAGAACTGGTGTTAGTCAATTGGGGTAGGAGATATTAAAAATTTATTACTTCGAGTTGGCAAGGGCCATTTTTCGCTGGTGCGAGTGTGTCCGTTTTAGGAATATAAATTAGTACGCGTTCTGCTGTGAAAAGCCAATGCATTTGCAACTGTAATAGTGAGAAAAATATAGTAAGGAGAATAGTGACTGATTGTTAAAGTTTATATGATTTAGTAGTTATATATACTGTATATAGTGGCTATAGTGGTTCTATAATATTAAGATAGTATATTGTATAGTATAGTATAGTATAGTATAGTATAGTATAGTATAGTATAGTATAGTATAGTATAGTATAGTATAGTATAGTATAGTATAGTATATATACTGTTTTGTTGTACTATTTATAGTGGCTATCTACTAGTAATTTACTTTTACAAATAATATAATATTACTAACTAAATAAATAAATATAAAGAATTATAAGTCACCGGAAGCAACAAGAGCCGCATCTAACTCGGCTACAGACTTCTCAAAAATTGCAACAATTTCATTAACATTCTCTTCAGTAATAATAAATGATGGAGCTAATGAAACATGATCTCCTGAATCTAAATTACAACATTGATTCCCCATAACAGTTAATCCATTATCAAAGCAAATATCTTGAAGATGATGACATACATCTAATGGTAATGGGAAACTTTCTTTAGTATCTTTATTCTTAACCAATTCAACTGACCAGAATCCTCCAATACCTCTAACATCTCCAACTATTCTACTATCCTTTAAGGATTCCTTTAATTTTTCTCCCATTAAATTACCCATCTTAAAAATATTGGTAGTTAATTTTAATTCTTTAATTCTTTCTTGAACTTTTAAAGCAACAGCACAATTAAATGCATGACCAGAATAAGTATGAGCTCCAATAACTTTACCTGATCCATTTAAGAAAGTATTTCTAACTTTAGGAGAAATTAATATACCAGCAATAGATACATAACCAGAACCTAAAGTTTTACCAACAGTTTGAATATCTGGACCTTCTTCAACAGTTAAGAAATTTTCCCAACAATTTAATCCTCCATTTGGATTACATCTACCAGTTCCACACATAACTTCATCTAACATAAAGATAAGATCATATTTATTACATAATTTTCTAAGTCCTGGTAAATAACCTGGTGGTGGAGGAGCAGTTCCTAATGATGAACCAGGTAATGTTTCAACTATAACTGCAGCAATAGTATCAGGATCTTCTTCAATAATCATTTCTTCTAATTGATCAAGTAATATTTGAACATATTCTTCACTTGTTTCAGTCTTCTTTTTATTTCTATATTCATAACAAACTGGCATCTTTAAACATTGAGTTTGTGGTAATAAAATATCCTTATAAGCAGTAGCCCTTGGATTACTAGAAATTGATAAAGCTCCAATTGTATATCCATGATAAGAAGTTGTTCTAGAAATAAATTTATTCTTCTTTAAATTACCCTTTTCAATATGATATTGTTTAATAAGTTTAAGAGCATTTTCATTAGATTCTGATCCTGATCCACACCAAAGTGCACCTGCAAATGCTCCCTTTGGTGAATTTTCAATATAAAATTTAGCTAATGCTTCTGCATGTTTGTTACCTATATAAGCAGGATAAGAATAACTTGTAACAGTTGCAGCTTCAGCCATAATTTTATGAACTTCAGGATCTCCCCAACCTAAAGCTCCAACAGCTGCACCAGTCATTGCATCAATAAGTTCAGTAACTTTACCATCTTTTTCAACTTCAATTTTAATACCCTTTCCGCTAAGAACATTTGGTAATTGTTCATCAATTTTAGCTTGAAAGACGTAAGATTTTTGTTCTTCAATGGTCATATTATTATATTATATACTATATATTTTTTAAAGATATATCGAATAATTTACAGAGAATAGATTTATACGAATTAGTCATGGTATTTATAGTTTGATAACTTCTTCGGCACCTAAATTGAGAATATGCGCTAAAAATTAGGTTGCGTTTATCAGTATACGATTAGCGACAACTGATAAGGAAATTATGTCGCGTTTATCTCCAAACAGAGAAAGAACCGACCCGGATGAGGCTATAGTAGCGGTAGTTGTGAATTATTAGTTATATGTTATTGTCTGATTTTCCATTTATTAGTTACTATATTTGAGTCATTAGTCTTCCGGACTCATTAAGTTAAACTTTTGATTCTATAGTGATTGACATTGGCTGGATAGTTGTAGTGATATATTTTGCATCCTTTTTGACATGCGTGAAATTACCTCTTTCGGTAGCTCATGCCGAACGCACTAATTATCCATACTATAGTTATAAGTACTACATAAACCTCAGAGATGATAATTACAAGTATATAAATACTGTATAAATATATAGATAAGTGATAATAGTCTATTTGATAACTATGGATAAGTTTATAATATATTTTTGGAATAGGTATACGATGATAGAATAGATAATAGAATTTTAGTAGTATATTAGTAGTATACAAATGTGATTTATTATAATTTATAAATAACCTACTTAAAGTCAGCATATCGAACTACTACAAAAATATAGTAATGGCTACATAATATTTTATTATAATAGACAATCTGGGGTAAATCAATGTACTGCATTCTTACTTAACAAAGTGTCTAGTCAATAAACATGACACACGAATCCAATGCACAACGACTCCTTCCCAATCGTATATTTCAACTTAAAATCTATAAATAAACAACTGACTACCCTTTAGTGAAAACATTGGCACCCGTTGTCCATTCAATGACATAATTTCATCAATATATTTTTCTTGGGATTACCGTGTTGTTATTAATTCTGGTCATTGTCGCACAAGAATGCAAATCCCAATTAGGCAAGCATAATTTCCACCTTACTATACTTCTCTACTTACTGAAACTAAACATTCCCCTGTAGAACCTTATCACCATATGGCTCTTTCACTATTCTTCATATAATTAACTTAACGTGTGTGTTTTGTCTCTTAATTAAAATAAATAATTAAGAAATTATCTTTACAATAACTTTGTAAACGGAAGCAAAGTCTTCTCATCATTACATCATCGCATAGCCAACTAGCAACTAGCCATGAAAGAACTCCCGTCTCGGTTAGGTATACAACAACCAAATGTTTTAGATGTTACTGGAACCATCGTTATGATGGATGAAGGGATTGCTGAAGATGATATCTCATCTATGAAACGTTCAGTAAATGGAATCATCTTAAATCCTCAACCTCATGATAGTCCTAATGATCCATTAAATTGGCCTATATGGAAACGAGATTTATGTCTTTTTATTATTGGATTTCAAAGTTTTTTAGGAGGTGGTCAATCACCTATTTTGGCTGCTGGTATGAGTACATTAGTTAGTGAATTTAATAAACCTTTGGCAACTATATCTTATTTAGTTGGAGGATTTATGTTATCATTAGGAGTTGGATCAGTTTTCGCAAGTCCAACGGCAGTTTTATATGGTAAAAGATTGGTTTATTTAATAGGGATATTATTATTTTTAGTTGGATCTATTTGGGCAGCTAATGCTAATTCATTTGGAACTCTTATGGGAGCAAGAGTTATAACTGGTATAGGAGCTTCTCCAACAGAATGTTTACCAAGTTCAACAATTGCAGAAATTTATTTTGCTCATGAAAGAGCTTATAGAGTAGGAATTTATACAATGTTATTATTAGGAGGTAAAAATATAATTCCTTTATTATCGGGATTAGTTTTCCAATATTTAGATAGAAATTGGTTATTTTGGATTCAAAGTATGTTTTTAGGTGCAACTCTTGTATTAACTTTCTTATTTGTTCCAGATACCTTTTGGGATAGATCTCCTACACCTAATAAAAGATCTCAAGAAGAAACAGAAGCAGCAATGAAAGTTAAAAATTATCATCCACCATCTCAAAGACCAAATGCATTTGCTTTACATAGACCATCACAATTTGATGTATTAGATATTGAGAGTCTTTCATCTTCAATTGCAAATTATACTGCTCCACAAGGTTTTAATTCTAATCCTGTTGGAATTGATAATCCAACTGATGAATTCCCTAATCAAACTCAAAGTCAACCTCAACAGCGTAATTCATTCATTAAAGATATGTCACTTTATTCTGGAAGACATAGTATAGATAGTTGGTGGATGGTATTATTACGACCATTCTTTTTATATACATATCCTTCAGTATTATTTGGATCTTTTATATATTGTTTTGCAGTGGTTTGGTTAATTGTTATTTCAGAAACTATTTCAGAAATCTTTAGAGGAGAAGGTTATAATTATAGTCAACAAACTGTTGGATTATTTTATATATCACCATTTATTGGAAGTATTTTTGGATCTTTATCAGCTGGTTTGATAAGTGATAGATTAAGTAGATATATGGTATCAAAAAATAAAGGAATTTATGAACCTGAATTTAGATTAATTATGATTATACCTTCAACATTTTTTATTGCCTTAGGTTTAATGGGATTTGGTTGGTCTTCACAAGTTAAAGATCTTTGGGTAGGACCTATAATATTCTTTGGAAGTGTTGGATTTGGATGTTCAATGGCAAGTACAACTGCCATAACTTTTACAGTAGATTCATATAAGATGTTTGCTGCTGAATCATTAGTTTCACTTAATTTTTTAAAAAATTTAGTGGGATTTATATTTTCTTTATTTAATAATAATTTTATTAATTCTCATGGTCAACGTACAGCATTTATTACTTATGGATCAGTTCAAATATTTCTTAGTTTATTTGCTATTCCATTATATATTTATGGTAAAAGATTAAGAAGTTGGACTGATGATAATGAGTTATTAGCAATGTTATATCATATAGATAATGCACCAAATACGAGTCAAAAGGCTCGATCTCAAAATACTGAACAAACTCAAGATATAACAGATGATAAAGATAATAATATCATTAATAATTTAAGTCCAAATCGAACAAAATCTGATGATAATACTCCTGAAAAGGTTAATGGAAATTCTCCAGATTCAAGATCTACTTGTATTTGAAATAACATATATATTTGTACTTGATTGTTTTTATTTATGTCTATAATTTTTAATTCTATCTAATTTCTATATCCATGTTAGGATTGAATTATCTAAATTACCAACTAACTGTTGGTTTTGTAGTATGTAATTATTAAATCTTGTCTGTATACTAAGACCATTCCATTCTTCAGTAGAAGCATTTCTTATAGGAGGTCCTAATTTTTCAATAATACAACCACTAGCTAAATTACCTAAAATTCCTGATAAAAGCCAATTACCATTTGATAAATAAAATGCCGTAACAAAGGCTCCACAAAATGAATTCCCACCTCCAGTAACATCAATAACTTTATTTTGATCTAAATGATAAGCAGGAAGATGATACAGTTGATTGGTTAATGTTTGTATATAACAACCTAAAGGTCCACATCTTAATACTGTACCTGAATTGATTAACTTGAGATATTTATTAAAGTGATTGGTAATAAGTTTCCAACTATTGATTGATTCTTGCTTTGGAGTTCCTAGGAATTCACAAGCTTCATCTAAATTAGGAGTAAATATATTTATCTTTGGTAATAATTTCTCTAATGCTGATAAGTTTTCATGTTTACAATCATCAGGTAATGGTTCATAAATATATATAGGTTTATGAGACAATTTTGAATTTAATTCATCAATTATGTTTCCACATCTCTCAATGGAGCATATAAGATGGAAACATCTTGATTGTTTTAATATTTCATTATTTAATATATCTTCAACTTCAATTCTCTTCTTAGTAGTGGTATATTTAAAATGTCTAATATCATTTTCATCATATATATTTTGTCCTCTTGTTGTAAATCGATTATTATCTTGTCTATATATAATTCCAGTATCCCAAGAATTCAATTGTAAAGCTACACTATTAGGAAAATCATTCCCCTTATCTATAATTCCAGTAATTCTCTTACCTTCTTTATGTCCTGCAACTATTCTACCTCCAACTATTGCATAAGGTCCTCCACCTCCAAGAATATCATGTTCAGAAGGTCTATTCCAAGATTCAGGATATAAATTCTCATCAATTATGAACATCCCCATGGATGTTAATATGGGAGGTAAGGACAGCATAGTATCTTACATGTACATAGTTAAGATTGTCTAACTTCTTAAGCTCTGATATCTGTAAACATAAATGTAAAATCATGTGCACGTGATTAAAGGGTCTATAAAAATGACTATAACATATAGGAAGACTAAAGACATATATGATTCTGGATAATCTGTAAATATCGTATTAATGTTTCCTTAAGTGGAGAAGACTCTATTTTGCTATTTATAAGATTAATAATATTTCTTGTTGTAGAGTAATCATAAGTAGTTATACTCATACTAAATCTGCACTTATCACATATTAAATGATAATTGAAGTGCACAGAGCAACTGTTCCTTATCTGAACTAACTGTTCCTTATCTGAACTAACTGTTCCTTATCTGGACAGTTGGAGAATGGTGTTAGAAGTAGTCGATAAGTGTCGACTAAAATAATCTCTTCTATACGTATACAAATGAACAGTAATATTCAAATTTTGCAGCAATTTCTTAATATGCGCACTACTAGTTAGACTAAATACCATTAAACTACAGGTTATTACAATAGAACTACAAATTATTTATGCACTCTATATCCTTATACAGGTATCTAATTAACCTAAATGCAAAAAAAAATAAAGAAATATCAAATTTAACTGTCAAGGAGAACTTAGACTTGTTCATCATCCTTTAAATCTTCATCATAGTCTTTCATGAAAAAGGCTTGGACGACACAAACAATGGCCACCAATGAAAGGAGGAACCATGCTACTTCTCCAATGGAATATTTATTAGTGACAGACATGATATAACCAAAAAGAATTGGACCAATGAATCTGGCTAAGGATGATAAACTTAAAGCCAGACCATTAATAAATGCACGATGTTTAGCAGGAGATGCTCTATGAATTAAGATTAAAATATTTGGAAATCCAACAGATCCACAAAATGAATTACAACAACATAAAGTATAAAGTAATTTTTTGGTTAAACCTGGAGAATAATTTGGATTATAAGAATGCAATGTAAATACTAAATATGGAAGTATAGCATAAGTAAAGGGGAAAATTAATGCTGAAACTCTATAAGCATTGATTGTTTTAAAGTTTCTATCAATAATTGGGAAAATAAACATAATACCTAAACCACCAACTAATCCAGTAGAAGATAATAATGTACCAATTGAACTTGATTCAAATCCAAAACCACCTTTTAAAGTGAATGGGAATTTAATTTCATCAACTAATAAATCTCCTGCCAATAAAACTGGTAAAAATTCTGCATAAACAATATTATGAAATGAAGTTAAGAAATTTGCAACAATGGTTTGAAGGACAGGGGCAGTAAAAATTTCACGATTAAATCCCTGAACAGCATTGGTAGTAATTATTGACTCAGTTTCAAAATTAGATGAAATCACAGGTCCAAGTTGTGTTGATGAGTATCTTCTAACTAAAGCTTCAGACATACGTCTAGACATATATTCGTTTGAAGCGATAGAATCAGAAGACTCGTCACTATCGACCACTTCATCAGCAGTAGATGCATATAATTGTTGAGGTTGATTAAATGGAATGATTTCATTATCATTATCATTATCACTATCGATGTCTATAACATCAGTATTAGAAGATGAGGTTGTAGGTAATCTATTATAAACTGGAGCTTTTGATTTCTTAGGTCTCTGCCATGGTCTTAAAGGTACATCAACTCCAATAAATCTTCGGAATGCATCACCAATTTCAAGACCCCTATCTCTTCTATTTTTAAATTTAGGATGAGATTCTTCTAAAAATAATACTCCTACTACCAAACTAAACAATAAAAATGAAGCAACTACAATACTTGATAAAGCATAAGGAAATTTAGTTATAAATCTTTCATAAACACTATCATCACCTATGAATAAATCATTTGGTTCTATAGCATCAGGATCAGTCTTTGGTCTAGTTAAATATTTTGAACCTCCAATCATTGGTCCGACTACTGCACCAATATTCCAAAGTAATGGTAAAGTTGAGAATGCCATGGCTTGATGTCTTCTTTCTGTTGCAATTTCTCCAATGGCTGTTCTTAATACAGCAATATTACCATTTAAACATCCCATAGCTGATCTTGCAAATACTGCAACATAAAAATTTGGTGAAAATCCAAAAAGTGTCATAGATGCTGCTGTACCAAATAATCCCATTAATAAAATTCTCTTTCTACCTACTCTATCAGAAGCTCTACCCCATTGAACACAACATAAAAATTGAAAAAATGCAAATGAAGCTGATAAATATCCTGAATATGTGGCAATATCAGCCTTATTTTTGGCAATACCAAAGTCTCGAATCATAAAATATACAAAAGGAAATAATGATGTAAATGCAACTGGTTCAGCAAATCTAATTATACTGATAACGAATATTTGCCAAACAGGGAACCCCCTCATTTGTTCCCGAAATGTAAGTTTACCTTGTGGTTCTGGCATGATTACTTAGTATTTTATTAACTCTTACACTAGTATCAATACTGTTCCCAATAAGTTATAACCTTCGTTATAAGGAACAAAAAAAAAATGAACATTGATAATGACTAATATAAAATTAATTAGTCTTAAATTAGTCTGATCCACAGTTAGTGAAAAAAAAAGTTTTTGGCGTGTTTGTACATTGTTATTTTTAAGGTACAGAAAAGTATAATGTGCAACCGTCTTTTTGTATTACTGCAAAATGAAGAATGCGTGTATTTTATTACTTCACAGTGAGTTAAGTGTTGTATGAGTAATTCATATGGTTATAGGTATTGTATAAGTAATTTATATGGTTATAGGTATTAGATGCTTTCATATAGTTGTTTATATGTTGACTTGAAAGGGACTCATGCGTATTTTAAGTCTCATAATTCTGCTGATTTACAATAAGATTAAATATCGATTTGATCTAGCGTATCATCATCTGGAATGGAAGGCACTTCTAATATCCTCAGACTAGGTTACTTTAAAGTATTGGAGGTAATTTGCTGGGTAGTACTTTCAGTCTTTTCTAGTCTAGTACACCCTCACACACACAATTCTCCTAAATTGGCGATTTGTGATTAACAACAAATTCCCAACACCTCCATTTCAGAACATGGCATAGGTAACAATGCTTACTATTAGAAATACCACTTATAAAAGACTTTAAAGCATCAGAAAGCTTCAAATGTTAAATATTCATAAAATCCGATCACGTGATTTTTCATCACATGTGTTGTTTGAGCGCTCATCACCTGAATCTTTGCAATTTTGCTAGTTTCTTGCCCGCTTGGCCAAGTGGTAAGGCGCTCCACTCGTAATGGAGCGATCGCCGGTTCGATTCCGGCAGTGGGCATGTCTGTAAAATATTTTTATATTAATGGTTATTTTTTTTAAATTTAAAGAAATTAGTATGTTTTATTGTTCCATTATACATATAGACTATTTACTTGAAGTAGGAGGTGGTGGTGGTGGAGGAGGAGCTCCGTTTGTTTGAGAAGATGGAAGCTTGGAATCCAATTCCTTAGATTTTGCTAATTCTTCATTCATGTAATCACTAAGACCACCTAAATCTCCGGCAACTACATGCTTCTTCTTTTTGGAAGATGCAGTAGCACGATGAGGAATTGCTCCTGCAATTGGGGGTGGTGCAATTGGATTTATTACATTTTCTGATGAAGGAGGTGGAGGAGTTTGGGGAATTTCATACGAAACATTTTGATTAGTTTCAAAAAGTAAATCATCAACAACTGATACACTTTCAAATTTACCTACAACTTCAGGAATTCTATGAATCAAACCATATCCTACATCACAACCTAATATACCTCTATTTTGTCCAGTACCCCAAGATCTGGAAAGATTAACTGTTACAGGTCTTAATATATCATAATCATGATTATAGACATATAAAGTAATGGGTACATTATCTTCTTGACTTTCAGCATAGTGTTGATTATAGTAGTTAAGAATTGTTCTTGAAAGTAAAGATTCTCCTCCCTTTGTAAGTAGTCCTTTTCCTTGAGAATCACCTGGGAATGCAGAGTCACAACCAATAATATAATCAGAATAAGGAATTAATTGGGAAGAAAATGCTGGAGATCCTTGATGAGTAGTTAATATTCTCCAAACATAAGTTGCTGAATTCAAATGTTGTGATTGTAATGTTAAACCTAATTCTTCAAAATGATTCTCGAAAAGTTTGACAGTATCTTTTCCATGATCATTTACACTTTGTTTAAATTCATTTAATGGTAAAGTTATTTGTCTCACTATTCCACCTTTTGCATTCCATACATCAAATACAACTTGTTTATCAGTTTTCAGTATATTTGATATTTCTTGTAAGATTAAATCATAATTAACCGCACCAACTTGATCTGAAGTTGCATTATTTCCATAATTTATTGTACCATCTTCATTAATGCTATATGAAAAAGTAGATAATGATGGATTTAACATGGGTAATTCGTGATTATTTATACGAATAATATAATCAAACCAAGATTCAAATCCTTGTTGATGAGCAATTGAATGTGGTACAACTTGGACTACTCTTAATCCATATCCATTATTATTCAATTGTAAAGCTCCTTTGAAATAAGAATCTCCCGATTTGGAGTCTGTGGCTGACCCATCGAATCTATCAACTAATCTCTTTGCTAATGAAAACATTCGATGACTTATTATGATTTATATTATCTTCCTTACTACAGAACTAAGAGTATCTTCAACAAATGCGTATGTGTTGAAATTGAAAAATCGCGATCATGCCGTTTTGGGATGGACGCAAAATGCACTACTATACGCATATACATACATTTAAATTTAATTAATTAATTATTATTTACTTATTATTTATTTATATTTTTAAGCCAATAACGATGGTATATATTATTCTATTATTACAGTAGTCTATTTATAATTACACAGGTGAAAGAAGTAAAAGTGAAGTTCGTTTCAGTATCTCTAATTTGCATTAGAAACCCCACCAGAGAAAGCCAAACTCCAAGTTCTACTTTGTCCCCCATCTAAGTAGTTATCAGACCAATCTGAGGAGGAGAAGAAAGAATAAGAAGAGGCAGCATTGAATAAGGCTTCATTCAAGTATAAAATACCAGTCCAACCACTATCAACATTATCAATAAAAGTAGAAATTTGATCGGCCCATTCTTCAGATACATAACTTGGAATTCTAACTAATGAAGAAGCTGGAGTAATTGGTAACATATGAATACCATGAACATATTCTGGGTGGGTATTTGGAGCTCCAAAATAAGTTGTATAATCAATCTTATTTTCGAAGAAAATACCAGAAATCTTATTTGGAAGAATTTGTTGTGGTTCCACAGTATTAGTAGTTGTATAGTAGAAGTACATGTTTAATGCTCTAGAAGTTATAGCTAACATCAAACTACCTCTTGCTTCCATTGATTGATCTCCAATAACATTACCCCACATCTTCATACCATAAGCAAAGTTAAAATCTTCAGAACTCGATTCTTCATTCTTACCATCACCACTAGCAAATAAACCAGCAGCCCAAGAATGTCCACCAAACCAATCAAACATTCTTGAAATTGGGAAATAACTATCATCAGCAGATGGGTTAGCAACATCTCTAACTAAAGAATTAACCCAATCTTTATTATCTTCAGCCCAAGTACCACCAAATTTCTTATCGATATAACCAACAACAGCAGCTGCATGAACAAAGTAACCATAATGGAAATGATGATCATTATAGTATCCAGCACCAAAATCTGCACCAGTATCACCATCATTGTTAGCAGTAGAAGTAACACCAAGGAATTTAGTATCATACATTAATGGATAGTATTCTGTATTTTCAAGGAATGGTTGGAAAGCAGATTTCAAGGATTGTAAAGTTGCATTTGCAACAGCTTCATCACCAAGAATTTCACTAACAACTAATAAGATATAAGCATATTTATCAATTGCTTTACCTGAATAGTACATAGAATCTTGATTGGCAACTGTCTCAGCAATATTGACATTCAATTCATCATTAGCAGTAGAAGCAAGTAAAGCTAATTGATCAGCAGTATAAGTTAAAGGAACAGAAGACATTCCTTGAACCCATGGTAACCAACCAATATTATTTTCTAAAGTTTCTTGTAAGACTAATTCATTAGTTAAGTAACCAGACATAGTACCTTTAGATGATGAAGCAATAGTAATACCAGTAGCAGCATTTTGAGTTACAGGAGCTAATGAAGCAACTTGATGAGGTAAAGCAAAAATAAGTGGAGAATTACTTAAAGAAGTACCTTCAGTATTATAAAGGAAACTATAAGTAGCATCGGTACATTCAACAGAACCTTGAACAGTTGCACTAACAGCATATTGACCGGCTGCTTGATCATAATAAGTTTCTAAAGAACGTTCAGAAGGAGCAACAGCAGCTTGAACAATAACTCCATCGGCAGATCCAGAACCTTGAACATGGAATTGATCTTCACTAACAAGTGTAAAATCAGATCCTTCAGGTACAGTGACATAAACTAACCATTCAATACCATTAAATAATGTAACACGATACTTTTGTAAGTTAGTTGGTAAAGCAGAAGAAAGTTCTTCAGTGAAAGTTGAAAACCCAATAAGGGTATTTAATAATGGAACTAAATCACCATGATAAATGGCAGTTGCAAAACCCATACCTTCAACAATTGGAATTTCAATAGTATTAACAGTATCACCAGGAGTAGCTGATAAATTAATTAAAACTGACATACTTTCAGTGTTTGAAACAGATACATTATTGGCAGTACTTGAAAATGAAGTAGCTGAGAAGATGATTTCAGCATTTCCAACAGGGTTGAAGAAGTATGAATCGACTCCAACATTGTTAGTGTCTACAGATGCATAAACTCTATCAGAATCATTAGTGTGATAAAGACCAAATCCATAGTAATCAACAGTCTTCCAGAATAAAATATAGGGATAAGCATAAATCATATCAGTTTGGTCATCTAAGAATATATTAGCATAGAACTTGTTAGTTTCAATAGGTTTTCCGTTGTTCGAAACATAAGGTGGAAGCTGAAGTGGTAATTCTTTTCTTTCAAATACTGATGGTGGAGCATCTGTAGCAATTACTTCAAATAAATCACCACTGTAGCAAGTAGAAGAGGAGACAGCAGAGCTTGAACTGGAGCTTGAACTAGAGCTTGAACTTGAACTAGATGATGAGCTGGAACTAGAGCTTGAGCTGGATGATGAGCTAGATGATGAACTAGATGATGAACTAGATGATGAGCTAGATGATGAACTAGATGATGAGCTAGATGATGAACTAGATGATAAGCTTGAGGAAGGAGATGCAGTAGAAGATTCTTCTGATGAGTAAGCACTGGAGCTGACTATTCCACTAGATAACAAACTAGATGAGTATGATGAAGGTAAGACTTGGGTGGTATTAGAGTAATAACCTCTGGATGAACTCAATACAGATGATGGATAAGCAGAAGAAGATTCTACTGCAGAGCTAGAGCCAAATTGGCTTGATTGTTGTGTGATTGGAGTTGATTCAGAAGCAAACCCTGATGGGGTGGTAGAAGCAGAAGCAGAACCTGTGGTTGTTGGGAATACCACATCTTCTAAAACATGTAATTGACCACGAATACAATCATCAGCAATCAGTCTAATTTGTAATGGAACGGATTCTTTAGGACAGAAGAAGAATTCAGAGCCAAATCCTTGTAATTCTAAAACTGGATCTCCAATAAACAGCCAACCTCCAAATGATTGTTCACTAAGGTAGAAACCATTTGAGTCTGCATGTAAATATAAACCATCAATAGTGATTTCTCCACCTGGAAGTGATAATTCGAAATAAGGACCAGTAGTTGGGTTGAATACAACTTCTTCAGCAGAGACAGATACATATTCAACAAAATCATTAGGAGCTTCAGCAACAGCAGTAATTTGGAAAGAGAAAGTAGTTAAACTTGCACTCGATTCAGAAGAAGTAGCTGAGGAACTACTACTTGAAGCAGTATTTGAAATGGTGGTTCCAGTAGTATACTTACTTGTATCGATAGTCACTGAGTTAGATGAAGAGACTACTGAACCTTTTGAAACAGGATTCTTTTGACTCGTAAGACTACTCAATGTTTGACTTGAAGTATAAGTTAAAGATGGTCCTCCAGTTGCACTGAAAAGAGTCTTTGTTGTAGTTGGAGCACTAGCGAAAACATGGTCATTAGCAACAGTAGCAGAAGTAGCGGCTTCTCCACCAGCAGCACCGCCAGTAGTAGCAGCATTTCCTAAATCACAACCAACAGTGGTATATTCAGTTGTAACAGCAGTGACATAGGCAGTAGTTTCAATATTTGTATTCACATGAGTTTCACAAATATTATCAGAACATTTAGTAATAGTTTCATAATCAGTAATGGTAGTACTTATGGTATAAGTAATTTCTGAAGTTGTAACATAAGTTGAAGAGGATTGAGTTTCAAGAACTTGTGGAGCTTCTGGAACATCAACTATACCTGGATTGGCATATACTATAACTACTGGTATACCTGTAGTAAGACCAGTTGGATTCAGAGTAAATATATCTTGAACTTGTTGTTCTAAACATGGTTGAGTAATATAATTAGTTACAGTGACAGTATAATCTTCTTCCGCAACTATTTTGCTAGCAAGAGCCAACAAACCAAGAGCTAATTTAGCTAACATAGTGTTTGTATAATAGTTGAACTAAAGATGGATTACTTTTCTATGGTACAATTATAAATTATAAATAAATAAAATGAAAGATAGCTAATTAGGGTTATTAAATATTTTAATTAGACGGGAAAGCCCCAATAATTCCAAGAACCATGTTTGTTTTTCATTGCTTCCACAACTAGCAAGGCTTACTCATATATGCCAAATCTCACCAGCTATGTGGGCTTCCACCCAACTGCAGATCAACCATTTTTAGTGTGCATTAACGGAGAAAGCTTTGCACAAAACCCAATGGCTGGCAATATTTTTTCCATTTTGCAGCATACTTGCTCGAGAAGCTTTTTTCGTCGCGATCTTTTTTTGTTTATTGTTTGTTTTTATTCTTCAAATTATTTTTTATGGCCAGCCACCTTAATTGTTTGCTTACTATTTTTGTTACCAACCAGTACTACAATTAAAAAAATGATGACGAGAAAATCTACAACGAAATGTATGATCATTAAATCATTTACAAGATCAAGAGATCCAGGTAACTATTTACATTTACAAAAGTATAAATTTTGAAATCAAGTTAAAATTTTCGGTGTTGGTCGGTTGGTAAAATTTGCGGATCTAGATGATACATTTGAGGTTTGTAGTTGCCGAAGCTAACGCATGTACAGTAATATTTTTACGAGTCTCATTTTACGAGGTAAACAATAGATTTGTCCCGCCTTCACTGGAGTGTTTTCATTTTAAGATTTAAGCTTGACATTGAATAAGGTTCATAATTGTAAATTGTAATTAGCTCTATTATTATGCTTATACTTCAAGTGGTCCAGCCTTTTGAACGATAATTATAACAGCATAATATGTTATTAACCCACTTTCAAAGTGAGCATGCACTTAAGCTATTTACTGAAAGAAGTCTCATAATTCTATTGGATGACCGTTTTGAGAATATGTCGGCCATTCACATGAAATCGATGTGTATTTAACCGAACATCCAATCGCCCTCATTTCTATATAGGATCAAATATATCCGATCATGTTCACGTTTGCTCCAAATCAATCAAAATTTTCAAGTTTTAATTAAAAAATATTCGGTTTAGGTCCATAAACATAAACAAATCATAAATAAATCATAAACATTTTTGGAGGAGTTCATAAAATATGCCAAAAAAATATAGAAGTAATCCCAAACAAGACATAACACAAATGCATAATGTCCGATTGGGAAATTTTATGCGAACAAATTAGAATATAAGGGCTTAACCGATTGGAGGCATTGAATTAATTAATTAATTAATACAAGCACATTTGATCCAATCCTGATTTAAGGATTTAAACTTGATTTTGTAACGATTAAATGACGTCAAATTCAAGTGTAAAGATTGTAGTATTAGGTGGAGGAGTAATTGGTCTTACTAATGCTCTCTTGCTTAAAAAATCAAATCCTAAATATGATGTTACTATAGTTGGAGCTCATTTACCAGGAGATATCAATATTGATTATACTTCACCATTTGCAGGAGCCAATTGGCATTCATTTGCTGAATCTGATGACTTAAGATTACAAAACTTTGACAAGCCAGGTTATTATAAATTCCTTGACCTTGCTGAAACTGAACCTAAATCCGGGGTATGGATTAAAGATAATATATCTTACGTTACCGAAGAAGAATTTAGGTCCAAAAACTCTGATCCTAATCAATTTATACCTTGGTTCAAGGATTTTGTTCAAGATTTTCAGATATTAAATAAAAGTGATTTACCATCAGGAATTGCTTTTGGTTGTAAATTTAAGGGTGTTATTATAACAGTTCCTATATACTTGAATTATTTACTTCAAGAAAATCTTGCCATTGGTAATATTGTTAAAAGAATTCCTAAGATCAAACACATCAATGAAGCTAGGGGATATCATTCATCAGGTCAAAAAGCTGATATTGTTATTAACTGTACAGGTTTATTAGCTAATACAATCTCCGGTTATAGGGAACCTAAAAGAAATTTTCCAGTTCGTGGTCAAGTATTGCACGTTAGAAATAGTGCTAAAAATGAAGTCAGCGTTGAAGGATTTACTGATCTAGATAATGAAATGCTTTATCTCATGCCAAGAAAGGAAGGAGGTTCTATTATTGGTGGTTGTTTCCTTGAAAACTTTGATAATGTAGAAGTTGATGAAGCTATGACCAAACGTATTATAGAACGTGCAATTAAGTATGTTCCAGAAATAGTTGATCCAAATTATAAAAATAATCCTACAACAATAGATATTATTAGAATTAATGTTGGTTTACGTCCATTTAGGGAAGGAGGTGCAAGAGTAGCAAATGATGAAGATAATTCTTGGCTTATTCATAATTATGGTGCTGGAGGTGGAGGTTATCAAGGTAGTTATGGTATGTGTCAAGAAGTTGTAAACCTTGTCAAAGAAAAAGTTTCTAATATACCAGTCAGTAAATTATAGATTTAATTTTAATTATTTCTTATATTTATCTATTATTACTACTTAATTTATACAATCTATTGGGATTATATACATAATATAATTCCTTTACTTTATTTTCTTGAATTGTAATTCTTAATTACACAATGCCCTTAATAAGAACCCAAATATCTCCTTGGCATATTTCTTTTGATGTTCTCTATCAGTATGATCAGAAATAAATTCATTAACTTTATTTTCATGACCAGCTAATGGTGTTGGTTCATCACTATAAGAGTGCGTGTTAACCTTTATATCCCCATAACCATGTTGCACGGGGAAGATATCAGTATTTGAAGGACGTTCAGGAATTGACATTTTAATTCACTTAGGAAATTGAATAAACGAACGAATAAAAGCTTACAACAACAATTTAAACAAGGAATAGTTCTTCTTCATAATTAATTCTTATTAACCATGTTATTCCTGAATTTCAGCCTTGTAGGCTTGCTTCCCATTATCTTTCTATTCAAATATCCTGCATAATCAGGTACATCGTTTCACTACCCACAAAGGGAAGGGCCCCTCGAGAGGTCGTGCACTTGAGTCAAAGCTCACGAAAAAGCGACATTGAAAAATTAGAGAAAAATTTCTAGTATACAAAGCATACATTAAACTAGTATTGAATCAGGGTATTAACTAATATTATAAAAATAATAAAAGCAATATGAGAGCTTCAAGTATCCTCAACTTTCAACACAGTAGTATATCTAGTTTAAAGAGACCATGGCAACATTTTAAAGATGGTCTGTTATGGTATGGGTTCTCCAAGAGTGGTTCCAAAAGACTTCCATTAACTACTAAGCAAGGTAATAAAAATTATTATAAAGGTACTCGTTCTTCTGGTATTGGTAGATTAAATAAGCATGCCAGATATTTAATTAACTGGAGTAAAGTTAGAACTTATGTTGTACCAGATTTATCTAAAACTGAATTAAAAGCTCTTGTTTCGCCTAATTCACCACAAATTCTTCAAAAAATTAGTGGATATGAAGATGGATTTAAAAATCCTGAATTTGCATTAAATCAAGCCATAAACTTTGTTGAACATGGAGAAAATTATAGTCAAACAGATTTGGAAAAGACTCAATACCTTGATCATATAGTTAATCCAAATATTGAAAATAATGGTACTTTTGAAAAACTTGAAGAACAAAAATGAATAGAAAATGTATATATATATTTAAGACATCCAAAGTCTGTCTGTCATACATTGTATATAGTATTTAATGGAAACCGTAATGAACTTAGTTATTTAAAATTGTAGAAATTAAATCCGGTCGTGGTCACATGACTTTGCTGTACCCTACTCAACCTATTCCGAGGGGATGCGTATATTTTTCAAATTGATTTTATTGACATTTGAAGTATATATCCATAAATCACATTAAATTTACGACATTTACGATAATTCAAACTATGTCATCGCCAGCAGTTAATGATGGAGAAATTCAGCATTCTCAAGAAAGTGCTATTGTTAATGCTGACACACCAAATACAACTCCTCCTGCACCAGATACTGTTTCAGAGAGTCCACTGCATATAGAAGATGAAGAAGAAGATGAAGAACAACCAGATACAGTTATGGAAGGAAATGAACAAGAACATGAAATAGAAGCAGATGCTGAAGATGAAGAACATGAACAGTCTATGACATTACCATTAGCTAAAATTAAAAGAATATTTAAATTAGATTCTGATTTTATAGCAGCTTCTCAAAGTTCAGTTTATGCTACAGGTTTAGCAACTGAACTATTTATTCAATATTTTGTTGAACAAGCAAGTTTATTAGCTAAAATGGATAAAAGAAAGAAAATTCAATATAAAGATTTTGCTGCTGCAGTATCAAGTCATGATGCTTTAATGTTTTTAAGTGAAACAGTTCCAAAAACATATACATTATCTGAATTAGTTAATAAAAAATTAGTAAATATAGATTCCCCTAATGAAATTTCTGATATATCTAATGGGTTTGGATCAAATACAGAAACTGTTACTGAACAACCAATAAAAAATAAGAAACTGCCACCAGTACTTGCTAAAGGTCAACAAACATTAAGATTCTCAACTCCTAAGGAATCAGAAGTACCGCCAATAAGAAAAGCAGTAATTCATGATCTTGTAGGTCAAGAAGAGGATAATGATGTAGTTATGTTAAATTAGGTAAATTAATCTATTTCTATATACAATTGTAATATACCCTAATTAACTTCTATTTAATACCCATAATATATTTTTAGAATCTCTACTTAATTCCATATCCTTTGGAATACCTAATACTCTACAAGTATTAATAATATTATATTTTATACCTTCAGGTATTAACCTTTCATAATTTCTAATCCCTGTCAATAAAAATTTACTGTATAAATTACTAAGTTTTGGACTTATAGTACGTTTAAGTAATACTAAATCTTTAACATCTTTAGAGGAATCTTGATTTCTCCTTAAAGAAAATCCATTACTCTTAGCAAGTAAGAATTCCCAAGCTTCAATAAATCGTTTAGATAAGAATGAATCTCCATTCTTATAATCTTCATTAAGTATTTCAATGGCAAATTCAAGTGCTGGTGATATCAATTTTTCCATATTTGGTGTAATTTCAGAATTATTAAACATTGATAAACTTGATGAACCACTAATAAGGGTTATAACTTGTCCCCATAATTCTGCAATTAATGGAAGAGTTAAATTATAATCAGTAACTAAAATTGGGAATACTAATCTCATAGTCTTAATAACTTGAACTTTTAAATTACTTGATTGATGCGTAAGTAAAAGCATACCATACTTGAAGATTCTTTGAGCTAGGAAATAAATATTTTGAGGTACTGGTGATTTCCATACTTGCTCAACTTCTTGTTGTTGTTGTTGTTGTTCTTGTTCTTCATTATCACTATCTAGTTCATCATCTGAATCTTGAGTCTGATCTCCAAATGGAACATCAGGTTTCCTATGAAAATATTCGGTTTGTGAATCGTACTTGGTTGAATCATCATTCTGTTGACTTGTCGAAAACATTTCAATTAATTCATCAATTGAATCAATACCCCATGGTTTATATGTTGAAGGAGGTTTTGTTTGTAAATCTTCAGATTTAATATATTTTACAATAATTTGTTTAACCAAAGCTTCAAAAATAATAAAGAATCCTTGAACTAATAATGCATATCCATGATAAGTATCAATAATTACAAACATTTCTGTTAATACATCAGAAAGTTGATTAGATTCTAAAAGTTTTAAACCTGTAACTTTAATTATAATAAGTAAAATTCCTGGTAAAGTTGGAGATAAATTATTTGAAACTCTTAATCTTAAACTTATACTATCAACTAAATAATCTTGATTATCTAATATAAGTTGTTCAAATGAATTATTATAATAATTTTCAAGTATTTTATTAATGGTTGATGCTGCATGAGATTGAATTAATGGACTTGATTGAAATGTTAATGCTTCTAATATAGGATATAAATAATCAATTAAGAAATCAGTTCGAAATGATATTAAATCTAAAGAATTGGATAAAATTCCAATTGAATCAAGTGCCATTGAATAAGTGGTTTGAATTTGATTTCCTTCATTAATATTATATGTCATAAGATCTTCACTAGTAAAGTTATTTAATAAATCTTGTGATTTACTCATTACCAAATAAGATAATTCTTCTATTTCATCTAATGATTCATTTTCATTTTCATTTTCATTATTTTCTTCTACTTCATCATCAGAAATCACTAAATATTCTTCAAGATTATTAGCAATATTATTATGTTTTACATGAACTGATAAACTATCAACATAATTATTGGAAATCCATAAATTAATTCCACTTTCATAAGTATCAGTATAAGATACTTGAGCTAAAACTTGTTCAATAAATTCCAAATGACTAAACTTTTCAATTTTACTATTATAATATGCAAAACTTTTAATTAAATCAATAATAGTATCTTCAATTGTTTTGGAATAAATATCTTTAAAGTACTTTATTGGTTCTTTTAAAAGAAATAAAGATTGATCATTCCATTGAGAAGATATAATTTGCATATCTGAAGCATAAGCTGATCCTCTTGCTTGAACTGTTGTTGAATCATTAAAAGTAGTTAAACTATTGGTATTAATATGAGGTGGTAATTCAATTTTATTTAAACGATTATCTGAAGGTGCAATCATATTCAGTTTTTTATTATCTAATGATTTATTCTTATCCACAATAGTATCAACCAATAATTTTAAAACTTTTAATTGCATAGATCTATATTGATTAAAGTCAGGATGTAATTTCTTTGAAATTTCATAAAATAAAGCCAAATGTAATTTCAAAGATATTAAATAATTACTAATTTTTGATTCATCCGATGATAATAAGAGTATATTCATTTTAGAATTGATTAAATCTGATAATTTATTATGCACTTGATTAAATGTGATAGTGGTAGAATTAGATGAATTAGTATCTTGTAAGCATACAGTTGCTAAATCAATAGCATATAATTCGAAATTTAAATTTAATGATTCATCTTCAATACCAGCTAACCATGCATAAATATCTATAGATAATGATAAAAATATATCAAATAAAGATATATAACAATTCAGAAGTACTTGTAAAGTGAAATCTTTTAATGATAAAACTAGTTGAGGTTTAGTTTGAAATTTCAATTTATTAGATGAAGATCCAAATAAACTTTTGAAAAGAGTTGCTAATGATAATTGTAATTGTTTAGCAGTGGCATTTCTCCATGAAGTAGATCTAAATGGATTTGAGTCATTCACCACAATAGTTAATTGATCTTTTTGTTCTTGTTCTTGTTCTTGCTTTAAACTTTCTAAATTAGATATAGTCGTCTTAACCAACTGAGATCCTAAATCTTTATCATTAAAAGTTTTAATAATTAATTCTTTTAATAATTGAAATAATTCTGCTAGTACTGTAAAATGTAAATTTTTAGATAATGTAAAGAAATTAACTGTTTTCGATATAAGACCAGGGAATACTTGACAAGCTTGATCTGATGAAATTTTATATCTTACTAATTCAGATATAATTTTCATTATATCTATTACTAATATTAAATCTTCTTGAGATGAATGATTAATTTCAAATAACATAATATCTAAAGATATTGTTATAGTATTTCCCAATAACAGGAGTCTCTTAGAATTTTCTGATTCTGAGAAATATGTATTTGGTATACAATATATTAATGATGTAATACAATCAATAATAGATCTTTTAAAATCAAATGATTTAGATTCTAAATCTAAACCTGAATGAGTTGCATTACCATTGGTATTATTATTATTAATTCCACTTAAATATAATATAACAGGATATAATTGATCTATTAACATTGGTTGAAAATTAAATTTCCAGGCTTTATCAAGTAAGAATGATATTATATTTAATACTTGTATTATAATTCTATCATTCAATTGTGTTTGTTTCAAAATATTTGAAATAGGGAAAAATATATAATCGGCTAGATTATTCGGTATTATGAAAACTTCATGGTTATTTCGTAAACTTTTATTAAGTGATATTAATAAATCAATTAATCTAAATGTCTGTGATTCAAATACTGAATTAGGTAATAATGCTACTTGGGAGATTTCTATACAAATCGGTTTGATCTCACTAAATAGTTGTCTTGATAATTTATCTACTACACTATTTGACGGTAATTCCGACGTCATAGTTACCTATTTTTCATCAATATAACCTTATTAACTCTTGTAAGTTATATTAATTATACCTATATAAATAAATATACTAGTTTATAAAAGTCACGTGACTGGACTGGATTGTCTTGTCTTGACAGTTTTACACGACCTCACAGTGAAAAACTGAAGAATGAAAAAATTATCAACCCTCAGAAAAAAGGTTGGTGAAAAATTTTTCACTAACAACTTAAAGAGTCTTTTCTTCATTCAACCAGAATTATAAACAAAACCAACCAGTACGTTGAGTTGTTCATTTCTGTAACCAAAGGGTTTGTGTGGATCTCATGCTTCATAATCAAAAATATATAATAAAAATAAGAAGATAAATACAGGGTTTAAGAATCAAGTTGTCTTGGAAAATTGGTACAAAGCATATGAATCTTAGTCAAAGATTTTATGTTCTGTTCAGTTTTAATTATCGAGATGCTTGATACCTTTAACTCTATGATTTGTAATGTGATAATCTCATTACATTTCATTGGCTCGTGAATCTCAATTTAAGAGACACTCATGCGGCTTTTGGTTAATTATGATTATGAAAGTTTTACCCAATACTAACAATATATTTTGTCTAGATTATAAAATGACTAGAACTTCTGTCTTAGCTGATGCTTTAAACGCTATTAACAATGCTGAAAAAACCGGTAAACGTCAAGTTTTAATTAGACCTTCATCAAAGGTTATTATCAAATTCTTGTCAGTTATGCAAAAGCATGGTATGTCTTAATTTAATTCAAGCAATAATAAAATGGAGGACTCTTATCTGAATAAATAAATATTCTTTTCTTTTCTTTTCTTTTCTTCTTTTTCCACCGGATTGATAACTGGATGGACTGATCGGTTTCCCGTCCCACTCTGTCTTTTAAGTATTCGGAAGAATAACTCGGGAAATGCTTCTTACACGGTCTTGATAGTTTTGCATTAGCAATTCTGATTGTCTTGTCCGTTTACTTTTCCTTTACATTCCTTTTCTATTTTTCAATTTTTCTCTTGTTCAGATACAGAGTTTTTTCCATGTTAGCTTTTTATTATTTTAATTAAATTCCTTAAATACTAACATAGTTTCTAGGTTACATTGGTGAATTTGAATACATTGATGACCACAGATCTGGTAAGATTGTTGTTCAATTAAACGGTAGATTAAACAAGTGTGGTGTTATCTCTCCAAGATTCAATGTTAAGATTAATGACATTGAAAGATGGACTGATAACTTATTACCAGCTAGACAATTCGGTTATGTTATCTTAACCACTTCTGCTGGTATTATGGATCATGAAGAAGCCAGAAGAAAGCACGTTTCTGGTAAGATCTTAGGATTCGTTTACTAAGCTTTATCTCTGTTTTATACATGTATATTATTTAATAAAAGGTTAATGTAATGGAATTAATTATTGTAAAAGCTGCAAAAATACAACTCACTTCATAGTAAAAAAAAAAAAAAAGGTTAAGCACCATACATTTTTTTATGCCGGAAATTGAAATTTTTAATAGAACCATAATTAAGTAAAATATCCGGAGAAGTTTTAATCCTTACCGTAATCAACCATATTGAATTTATGCCAGTACCAGAATCATTGAAGTTTATAGCATCGACATTATCATGGACATTACGAGCAGGATGTGTTGCTCATTTAATTCATGAATTTGTCTATGAATTTACAGAAACCAGAGGTGAATCAATGTTACCTACATTACAAAGAAATCATGATTATGTTCATGCTCTTAAGACTCATAGATTAGGTAGAGGATTAGAAATGGGTGATTGCATTGTTGCAGTTAAACCTAGTGATCCTGAACATAGAGTATGTAAACGAATAACTGGTATGCCTGGTGATATTATATTAATTGATCCTTCATCATCATCAGAATTAACTAATACACCTAATGAAATAATACAACATGATGGATTTAATAAATATATAACAGTACCTGAAGGTCATGTATGGTGTACAGGAGATAATTTATGTCATTCACTTGATTCAAGATCTTATTCAGTATTACCAATGGGTCTTATAACAGGTAAAATTGTGGCAGCTAATTCAATGGATAAAGGGTTTTTCACTAATTTTTGGGGTTTTAGGTGGATAACTAATTCATTTAATTAAATGATTCTAGTTATGTCTTGTTCTATATGTAATATTTATATTTATATTTATTTATATATATGTATATTCAATGTGTATAATAATACTATAAAGATGTTACCATCATTTTGATTTTCTTTATTTAAGATCTACCAATATGTCTACCATGTGCCAAATGTCTTAAGACTCTGGAACCAAAGTAGATACTAGCAATACCACAAAGGAAACTTGTAAATAAAGTAGTAAAGATATTTTGACCTAAATAATATTTAGTAAAATTTAATTCAAATCCAACTAATGATAATAAAAATGAAATATTATAAAATAATTGACCTGCTGAAGTAAATTTTAAAGTACCATATAAATCTTTACCAATAAAACCAACCCATGAGAAAACTAATGCTAAGAATAAAACAACGGCAACACCAATAAATCCAATTGGAATAATTGGATTAACTGTTTTAGGATCAGAATTAAAAGTATGATGAATTTCAGGTTTAAGACCAATTCTTGGAACTTCTTTATATTTATTAGCTGACTTTAATTCTCCACCAGGAATGAATTCCACTAAATTTTTATATAATTGAGCAGAAGAATCAGCGATAATAACACTTATGAATAATTTATCTTGAATCTTTAATACTTCAGGAAGTTTGGCAACAGGTATTGTAACCTTAATTTCTCCCTTTTTATATGTAGGGGTATAATGAGAAGCTAAAGCATAATTTTCAGCACTTGATATAGCAATTAATAATTGATGAGGAACAGCCTCTACTTTGTCAGCTAATTGAAGTTTTATTTCAATTTTATCTTTGAGATTTTCACTTGATAATTGCTTAATTTCTTGAGTATTGAATTCCCCGAACTCAACTTTTTTTTGATTAACTGAAACTGATCCACTAGAAATGGTAAACCCGAGAGTCAAGCTCAACAATTGAACAAAAGCAACAAGTATTAACAACTTCATTCTCGTTGATTGTAATATAATGGAATATAATGTCCAATCGTGCCTCTACGTGGTCGAAGTTTTAATTTTTCAAAAGCTACGCACATCAACAACACTTAAATCAAAAGACAAAGGCATAATTTTACTATGCAGGTATTTTCCTCTTAGTATGGGAGTTAAACTACCACCGGACTAGGAGGTAAATCATCATCATTTAGGATAAAGGAAGTCACTAATGGACCTGTACCTGAGTGTAAATCAACTTCCAGTGCTTTTTCTGAATTTTCTGAAATAACTTGATACCATTGATCATTTGTCTCTTGCCTTTTTCCAAATAATTTACGTCTCAAATTCTGTTGCAATTGCAAAAGTTTTGGATGTGGTGAGTTATAACCATCAGTTATTGTATAGAATACATAAACTACAGCACCCGAAATTGCTGCTATAAAAAATGCAGGTATTGCTACAAATGCTAAAAGTTTTAAATAAATAGTTAGTTTTTGTAGATAGAATTAGTCGATATTCTTTTGATAAATACTTACTAATAACAAAGAAAGTTGCTAATGAAGTTATGGTGAATAAGGCGATAGTTGCTGTTGATACACCAAACATTGCTGTGAGTACAAGAAAAACGATAAGAACCACAGGTGAAAAAAGAATGATTAAAATCTATTTCTGTTAGTATTTAATGATGCTAATATGGTATCGTTAATATAAATACTTACTGGAACAGTAACTAGTCTACTCAGTAAAACTTTAATAACAATAGATACTAATGGCTTTAAGTAATTATAAATTGAGAGAAAATACCTAGAAATATGTTAGTTAAACTGAAGACAGATCAATTGAAGAAATAAATGAACTAAGTACATACGTAATGATATTCGAATCACCCCAAGTTTGAGTTGCTTTTGAACTTAAAGCCCAACCAGTCTTTCCCACTCTATCAGAAATTAAATTTCTAGTTTGATGTCTGAATCCCGTACCGACCCTTGGGATTCTCCTTGAGCTTTTGCTTCTTTTAGTTGAATGATTTTCTTTAAATCTGAAGCGAAATTTATCACTATTTTCCATATATATTTACAAAGATTGATTTAACTATGACTACTAATAGATGATTCCTCTACCTTTTGTAATCGATTGATAAAGAAAAGAGCTAATAGAATTAACGCCATAAAAGAGGTAAAGAAGTAGTTTTGAAGGGGCGAACTTTTTTGCAACCCTTTAAACTGTAAATATTCCGACACGAAAAATTGCATGTTTTTAGCGATCTGAAATATTTCATTATATTCCAATTTGATCTCAAGAGGTTAGACAAGATAATTAGTGAATAAGTTGAAGTACATATAATAATATCATGCAGTTTCTTACCGCCAAATCATTACTTTATGGACGAGTTATATTTCTTTTAACCATTTCATTTTATTTGGTTAAGGATCCTGAATTTCTTAGTACTATTGGTTTTGTAGTTATTTTAGGTCAAGCCATGGAACTTCCATTTGTTAGACTTGATTCTAATAATCCATTATTAGGATTATTAGCTATTACTTTTGGTTCATTAGCATTATCTGATGTTGTACCTTTAATTGCTAATAATTTAGATTATTTTGAATCTTTAGTACCTATCAGATTATCAATAGCCTTTGGTATTGCATCATATACATATTTCTTTAAGGATTCAATTATAAGTAATGGATTAATATTTACATTTTCATTTTTCGAAATTTGGATTAACTTTTTGATTTATAATAATTTAAGAGATGAAAAGTATTATCGAGTTAAAAAGTATATTGAAGAGAATGCTGATGCTATCCGTCAAGCTCAAGATGATCAAGTCATAGTTGTAGAAAATGATTAGTTAAAATGTATATAATGTATATAATATATATATATGTAAATATTTAATTAACAAAGTTTAAAATAGTCCATTCTAAACATTCTTCAATTTCATTAAAATCATTAAAACTAATTTGTAGTACATTAACACCATTTAAATTATTATTAAAATCTTGAGCATTTTTATATCTAATGATATTTAAATTAATTATTAAATTAACAAAGATTTCATTGGTAGTTAATTGTACATCAATCTTTAAATAATTATTATTCTTTTTATTATTTAATATTAATTTAAATTCTGATACTGGTTTTTCAATAGATTTTTGGAATGGATTTTCTACTGGTTTCTTATTAAGGTTAACAAATTTACCAACTTCATTAACTTTGAATTCTATTTCATCTTTAAATCGTTTTAATAAATTATCAATTATTTCTTGCATATTACAAAGATTTAATTCATGCCTTATATTTCCAAGTAATGGACGTAATATTAATGGATGAGTATTTGATCTTTTGAATTTACTTAATGCTGTAGGGATCTTTTGTTTTAATTTTAAATTATATTTAAAATAACAACATAACATTAAATTTAAATATATTAAAATTAATTGACATTTCTTATTATTAATTGATGAATAAGTATTAATATTTTGATAATAATTATTAAGTATATCTTCATTATTTTCATCATAAGTTACTGATTCAATTTCAATTATTTCATGATTAATTTCAATTATTATCTTATTACTAATAATAGATACATTATAATTAATTAAAGTTTTAGCTTCACGAGTCAATTGATAGAATAAATCTTCTTCAAATAAAAAATATCTAGCCTTTTCAATATCATTAATTAACTTTGTATTACTACTATTAAATTCATTTTCAAATGTTGATTGACCCGTTAACATAAAATCTCCATCTATTTCACTTAATATCTTAACTCGAATAAATTTGAATGATTTTTCAGTTAATTTATTTGATATATTTGATAAGGGATGAAATGAAACTTCTCCAGATATATTATCTTTTCTTAATATAGCTAAACCTCTATCATGGAAACTAGATCCGGAATCTCCATATCCATATTTAACCCCTATAGCTCTTGCATTATTTATAGGATCTCTTGTTTTAAATAATGCTTCATCATTGGAAAGTACTAAATTAATCATATTCCAATACCTTCTCTCTTTTAATACTTGTTCATTCAAATTAATACTAGCATCTCTGAATAAATTAGTAATTTTATTTAATGATTGAAGTTTCCATGCCAGTCCTACTCCAGAAAGGGTATCTTTGTTATTTTGATTAGTTTCATCTTCTTCATCATTAGGTATTAATCTATCTGAATTCAATGAACCAATAGGAACATTTTTCTGTAAATGAGGAGATATAGTTGATTTTGCTAAACTTGGTTTAACAGCTGAAAGTAATAAGGAAACAAAATCTAATGATAATGAAGTTTCATTTACTGCAGAATTAATATTCTTTTGAAGTGATATCTTTTGAGATTGGAAAGTTTCAGTAGGATTCTCTTGTTGTTGTTGAGGTTGTTCATTTATGTCAGACTCAGTACTATCTATACGACTAACTGCATCTGATTGGTCTTCATTATGTATATGTTCACCATTTTCAATTTCTTCCCTTAAATTATCTTCTGTTACATTTAAGAATGATTTACGTTCTATCAATATTCTTGGGATTAAATCGGCTAATGATAGTTTATCTCTATATTATTAATTTGTTAGTTAATCTCCACACATTATCATAGTACATAGTACATAGTACATAGTACATAAAAATATATATATATACATACTCATCTTGAATGAATGGATCCTTATACCCACTTCCATAGTTATCTGGATCAAGCTCTATTCGGAATCCTCCATTTTCAGTCATTATTTAGTGGTGTAAGTGTATAGTGAATAACCGTAATTTGGCATAAACATCAAAAAGTGAAATATTTCCATTTCGAGACTCCTGTACTCGGACTACCGAAAAATATTAATGCTGCGAACAAGACAATTTTTTATATTTTGTATTATTCTATATATATATAGTAGAGGATGCTAAATATATTAATTAATTTTAACTAATCCATGAAATCATCTAAATCACCATCTTCAATGGCTCTTATAAGGTCAATTTCATCACCTTTTGAATCTGATTTACCATTAAGTTCTGATTTATTATCATTATCACTTGGATATCTCATAGATTTAACACTATCATTTCTTAATTGTAAACAAAAATTAATTCTTTGATCAAATTCAGATTGAGGTAATTTAGTTGAATAAATATCTAATAATTCTTTAGATTGCATAAATCCCTTTTGATGATTTATACTTGCTTCTATAACTCCATCTCTAATAGCTTTTGAAACTATATATTCAGTCAGTTCTTCTGAATCTAAATGTAATTTTATACAAATATCTTTTAAAGAAATCTTTGAATATGATAATGATATAATTCTAATACCTGTTTTAATTACATTTTGACGTAATCTTAATACTAATGTAAAATTATCATCCTTTTTAAATAATTCTTCATATTGATTAACAACTTTACTAAATAAATTTAAATCACCAAGTTTAACAGCTTTTGTAACATAAAAGTAAGGTTCATAATTTCCAATTTCATTCTTTTTAAAAGTTTTCAATTCAGGTATATCACCTGTTAATAATTCAATGATTATACTTAATTTAGTAGCACTTTGAATAAATCCATTAGCTAAATTAGTTTGAGGAGCTTTTCTAATAGCTGCAATAACATATTCATGAGCTGTAGAATAATCCAATTGAATAGCACTAATTCTTGCTAAATAATAATAATATCTAGCAGCTAATGCATTACTAGCATTTTCTGGGAAAATGGTCTTTTCAACTAAATTTGATGCTTGATTAATATCATGAGTCAATAAATAATTTCTTAATAATAAAGTTATTATCGATGAGGTAGTTTCAGTATCATGCCTTAAAGTAGCAGTTCTTAAACTATTCAATAATTCTGTACGAATTGTATGTAAATCTTCAAGTAATTCTTTGGTTCTAGCAATATAAAACCATATTTTAGCTTCAATAAAATCCAAAGATCTTTTATTATATAATTTCATTAATTGAATAATATTATCATTTAAAGTATTCAATTTTTCCAATTGATTTTGATCTAAAAGAAATACTTGAACTAATAGATGAACATATAATTCTACTTCTGGAATAAGAATATCTTCATCAACATCAACTTCAATATCATCATTATTTTCATGATCAATTTCCATTTTGGTTTCTCCACTATCACTGTTAATTCCATCTAATACTTCAATAAGGTATTGTTTATTTGAATGAGAATCTGGATATAATTTATTGATGATAGTGACAAGAATTGGTTTGGTTAATTTCCGTCTTAATGGTCCTAAATCACGAAATACTTTGGTGATATAACGATTATCGAAACTTGATGCTGTTTTGGAAATCAATGAAAATGATTGTTCAATCTCCTTCACTATGGATTCAGGAGATTGTTCATCCACTTCTTTGGTAATTGTCTTGGTAGATGTTTCCTTTTCTGTCTCTGTCATTCTGAAATCTACAAATATCTATACGAATGATTGAAATTGAAATTTAAATTGAAATTGAAATATTTGTGAGTAAGCGACTCTCAGAAATGTCAATGTCAATTTTGGTTCAATTGTCTCGCGGACTATTGCCACCATTAGGATCGTTGACTTCCTAAATAGGCAATATACTACAGGGCCGCACATGTATACCTTGCGCACAATTCTTCGTATAATAACTTATTTTATTTTATAGTGTAAGGTGCATCACGAGCCCCACTAAGCGAATAGTGTGTCAGAAAACAACCGATACCTATTAAATACGGATGATATTCGGATAGAGTATGGGATTATCGGCAAGTGTCAAAGCAACAGTAAATGTGAATGCACTGCCTTGAAATATACAATATCTTTTTTAGACAATATTCGTAAAATTGGAGGATATATTAGTCCTTAACTTCGCGACCCCTATAAGGGTTTACCCCAAAAATTGAAAAACTATATAAATCGGCAAATTCCTTGGAAGTAAAAACTTAATAAAATACCTCTTTATTTAAGTCCGAAACTCAATTGATATTTAAATATGTCTTTACCTCCATTAGATAAATCTATTTTCCCTGCCTTACCATCTACTCCTAAATTAGTACCTGTTTTTGTTTTTAATTTAAGAGTTGAAGAAGCTATTCCAGTACTTGCAAATAAAGCTACTGATTCAAGTTTAACTTTAGCTCGAGTTGTTAATGGTGAAGTCGTTACTGTTAAGAATGATTTAGGTTTAGAATTTGATGTTAAAGATATTACTGGTTTTGATGATTTAGTTGGAACAACTTCAAGAAATGTAACACATTTAGATTGTAAATTATATGGTAGTACAGCCAATGGAGCTGGAGTTTATATTACTTATCCAGGTGTAGTTAGGACATTACCTGTAAGTACAAATGTTCTCACTGGTGCTGCAAAGCATGCAGAAATTGAAGATGGTTATGTCACATGTAATCCACGTTTTAGACTTAGTGATGGAGTTGAAGAAAAGTTTAAATGGGTTCTTGATGAAAACTTTATTGGTAAAGGTAGATTTGAAAGAGATGGAGCTGGATATCTTTACGTTCAATATTATATTTATATTTTACGTTAATTTTCAAGTATTTACTGAAAAGGTACTAATATATTAGTTTAATCTTATTTAGGCCCAAATAACAAAGACAATAAAAATAAAATAAGAATCAAATTATAAAAAACTAGAGATTGAGATTATAGTGATAGTCTAAATCGAATTCAAATTCGAATTAGTTACTCTAAATAACCACTATCAATAAGAATAAAAGGAATAATCATAGTGAAAAAAAAAAACAAATGGCAATAGCAAAGAAAATAGAACCTATAATAATCTAACAACATGAACTATTTTGATCTTGAGCCAAAGTTTGACCCTTCAAGTTAACATTTGCTTTACCAGAATTATAAGAATTGTTAGCACCACTATTATTAGTCATTTGAGCTTTAATTTGTCTGGCCATAGTGAAGAAAGCTTGTTCAACATTGGTTGAAGAAAGAGCAGAAGTTTCTAAAAATGGGATATCTAAAGCATCAGCAAATTCTTTAGCAGCAGTATATTCAACAATTTTTTTATCTGATAAATCAGCTTTATTACCAACCAATAATTTCATCACTCCACCAGTGGCATAACGATCAATTTCTTGTAACCATTGTTTAACATTATTAAAAGATTCTTGATCAGTTACATCATAAACAATGATTATACCATGAGCACCACGATAATAAGAAGAAGTAATGGTTCTAAATCTTTCTTGACCAGCAGTATCCCAAATTTGTAATTTAATTGTTTTACCATCTAAATCGATGGTTCTGATTTTAAAATCAACACCAATAGTTGAAATATAATCTGGAGTATAATTGTCATCAGCAAATCTTAATAATAAACAAGATTTACCAACACCAGAATCACCAATTAATAATAATTTAAATAAGTAATCGTATTCGTTATTCATCTTTGTATAACTTTATTATGTGCGAAGTTGTGGAATCTATATGAGGATGATACCTTTGAAATTTCAATATAGATAAAATCAATAAGTCTATCTATGAAGTTAATCAAAAGTTAAGAACAGTCTAAAGACTAATGCAGTATAAATAAATTAATAATTATATTAATTAATTAATTAATTGAAAACAATGGGAGCAAAGGTTTGGAATTGGAATTGAACTGATATATACTGAAGTGACTATAATGAAAATAGTTTTACAACAATATTATACTATTATAATATTATATATATATATATATATATATATAAATAAACAGTTGAATCAATCTAATCAAACAGAATGAAAATGATAATAAATCAGTAATTTCACACTAAGATTGGAGGAAGATAGGGATTACCGATAGGAAGGATGTTAATCAAATACAAAATGAACTGGCTGATATTTCGGCAAGATGATTGTATTTATGCTCGTCTATATCACTACTAAGACGTGAAGATATATTAACTAATAGATAATAAGAACAGAATAATGAAAGACTACTTAACGACTGTGTATAGCTTCGTTTTGGCTGACACTAGTTTGTTTCTGCGTGTTAAAAAATTTAGGAGGACATTTGAACCAAGCACACGACTCGTAACGAATCCACCTTACTTACTACTACTACTACTACTACTACTACTACTACTACTACTAATAATTAATTTTCATAAATTGTTAGAGTAACTATTGACTATATATATAAAAGTAGTTAATTAATATATGTGATTATTGTAATGAGTTGTTTAGTCAACCAATACACTTTTTAATGACTTTTATGATTCGTAAATATATAGTAGTATTAATAAAATAAGGTAAAATGATCCCTTAATCAATTTTATTTGCAACTTCTTTAACTGCTTCCTTAGTAGATTCTTTACCTCCAAGTTTCTTTCTAGCAATAGCTATCATCTTTTGGAACCAAAAGATATTTAAAAAGTCTAATGATGCATTAAGTGCGAGAACTGTTACTGCTAAAAATGAAGGAATTTGATTCCATACTTGGAACATATCATTAGCTAATAATGACACAGCATATAAACCCCATAAAATTCTAACAGAAAAAAATGTTATTATAAGGGCAAGACCATTAAAAAGGATAAATGTTTCATTAAAAGTTCCTGCTGGTAATCTTGAAGCAAACCAATTAATATTGACAAATGGAGTAGATAATTCAAATAAAAGAAAAGCAGGAATCCATGGATTACAGAATGGACGTAAAGAACCTCCAAAAACAAATGCTGCAGCAAATCCATGGAAAAGAAATCCAATTCCAAAGATATCAAAATGTACTAAACAAACCATTAAATCCCAAAGGAAATATCCTAATGTTAAAGATGCAACTAATCCACCATAAGGAGTATAACCAACCACAGAATTTAATGGATCATTAACTCTATTTTGCCAATGAGAATGATTCCACATAGGTAATAATAAAGAAATTGAAATAAAACATTGAACCATAGATACAACATGAATATCAAAATTTACTTTGGTTTTATATTTTAATGAAGTATAAGTCTTACCAAAGTAATGAGCGGATATAGGTTTGGAGACTTGTTGAGCAATTGTATAGAATAAAAATGAAACAATTGCTTCATGCCAATGAGCTTCGAAATAATTGGCTGGTTCGGCAGGGAATGGCCGATATTTTAAGAATGGATCTTCAGTTAATACAGGAATTAAAGATGTTATAAAGGACATAGTGTATACAGTCTATTAATGTCTAATTGAACTTGAATGGAGTCACACAGTAATGTGATTATAAATTGAAGATGTGGTCCTCGACTCTATTAAAAATGAAAGTATTAGTGTTATTAATTTACGGAAGGGCTCACGTAAACACTTATCGCATTTTCCGGACTCTCTCTCGCGCCTCCTCCACCTTTCACTTTTTTTCAGAGGACCTCCAACAATTTTGTTTCCAACAGTTTTCTCTTGTACTAAAAAAATTGCGGCAACCCAAAACTAATGATCATGCGACCATATAGGCTGCATATTATTGCAAAATCGTAAATGGTATATAAATATATTTTTATAAAGAGTTATTATAAATTGCAAAGAGTCTATATGAAAAATCGTCAACTTTTATTTTAAAGAAATAAATTAAATCATAGTTATAATTAATACCATGATATTATGCCTTTTGATGCAAATGCTAATATGGATGCAAATTCTCTTTTTTTTTTTAGTGGTGGTGGTTATCGGAAGCTCATCATCTTTCTAATAGTCTTAGTATCATCATTACCTATTAAATCACTCTCTTCATTATCATAATCATCATTAATTCTTCCATCATTAATACCCGATCTATTATTTTTATATAAATCAAATAATGACCAAAATTTTAAATTCTCATCTCCTGCTACTGTAGCTAAAGTTAAATTATCTGGACTTAAGCATCCATTTAAAATTCTAGAATCATGAGCCTGTACAATTTCTCCAGTTTTCTGTAAAGTTGGATAATTATAAAGTGTAACATTATTAGTAGGATATCCATGAGTAGCTACTATTTCAAGTCCAATCCCATTGGCATATCCCCAATTTAAAGAACTGATTTGTGATCCAGTCTCAATAGTATTGACTCTTGCTCCTGTAGTGGTATTCCAGAAATTTATAGTTTTATCAGTAGATCCACCTCCAGTTGCCAACAATGATGATTGATAAGGACACCAAGATAATGCTTTAACAGCAGCTTTATGATTAGTCTTTGTAAATAATGGTTGAGCAGTAGAAGATGAATGACTTTGTCTTACGTCCCAAATACTAACAAGATTATCATTTCCACCACTAGCAAATTGTATACCATCTGATCTATATTCTATTCCACAAACTTCAGCAGTATGAATATTTTCAGCTTTACTCGTTATTTGTTGGGGTGATCTGACGTCTGAATGATAAATATTTCCTATTCTAGATCCGGAAGTTAACATATGATTATTCCAACTTTGACATGCTATTCTTGTTTGATGATTATCACAATTTAAAGTTCTTAATTTAGTATTTGATTCAATATCCCAAATTTCTATTAATCCATCTTCTTTACCAATAGATATATATGATCCATCATCAGACCATCTTAATGACGTTACTAATGTTTTATTAGGTAATTCACATAATATCCCTACTGAACCAGTAGATGCATTCCAAATATAAACTGCATCTTCCAATCCTATGGCAAGTAAATTTGTCAGAGACCAAGCTAACAAATTCAAATAAAAATCATCTACAAATCCAGGAGCATCTAATACTCTCTCAGGAGCAGTAGGAATTTTACTTGCTCTAGCAGATGCAATGGCTGGTCTTAGACTTGATTTTGTAAGTAATTTGGATTTTAAATTGGAATTGTTACCTGAGATATGATTAAATAAGTTAATAGGTTTCTTTCTTTCTGGTGGTAATGGTTGATACATTAAAATTCTTGAATTCATTTCAATTCCACAAGCTTCTGCTACATGATGTTGATAAATTTTAGAAGTTTGTGCCTTTATATGACTTTGAGGGGATGAATTAGGATTTAAATTAATAGTCATCATGGAAGATTCTAGTTTCCCACAAGTGGAATTATGACGTGAAGGAATAAATCTATCAGAAGAAGTTGTAGAAGATTGCTGTTGATTTTCTGAAAATGATGATGAACCTCCTTGGCTAATTAAAGAGTTGGTTCTTCTTAATTTTCTAGAAGGAGAAATAGAGTTTCTAGAAAATGATCCTGTAGAAGATTTGGATCTTAAATTTGATGGCATTGATAATGGTTTTAATAATGGTGGTCTAACAAATCTAGATTTGGTTGGATCTTTTGAATTTGCTGCCGAAGATGAAGAAGTGGATGTGGAAGATGATGATGATGAGGAAGAACTTCCAGCAAGTACTGATCCAATTGAACTAGAACTTGGTTTATGATTACTCTTCATTATATTAGTCTTCGGATTAGAGCTTCTAGATGGTTGTAAATATATTGTCTTATTTGTAACGTTTGGACTCATACTTTGTAGGTATAATCGTTTACTTGGTGATAAAGTTGGTTGATTAGAGGCAGACAAGTTTGATGTTGGAGACTCTTGCTGGTGGGTTCTCTTTTTATTGGCTGACCTTAAGACATCAAGATTTAGCTGTGCTTCATTATTTTCGATATTGGTTAATGGTTCTATTTTCTTTGAAGTTGGAGATTCAAAGAATAGTGATGACATTTGTATGATTTATGAAGATTTATGCTAAGTTATAATACATGAACAATTGAATAAACTGATGATTTCAGGACTAAGTAATTGATTGTATGAGGTCTATCACACCTAGTAATATGCAAGTTTAGGTATGATTTAATCAATTGCGCTAAAAGAAAGAAAACTTAACTTAATAGGATTTGTTAGAGCAGTTTATCACACCTCTCTAAGGTTCGACCACTAATTTACTGATCTGGTCTCTTTCTCATCAATGGTCCAGTCCACAAAGGGAAATTTCTAAATTGAAATTTCAAATATGTAATTAATATTCCCTTTTAGGATGGCTCCAAATTATATGCCTTAGTTAATTTTTTTTGACGGCGGCTGTTGCTTATTTACATTTTGCCTAATGCGGTAAAGTGATTAAAAATTGATCTTAATTTTGCAGTTTAATGAGAACATCAAATTTTATTGAACAAATGTATATTTACAACCGATGACGATATAAGTAGTTAAATTTGAAGAGGTCATATAAATACGATTGGATATCAGACGAACAGAATAATTTACTTTAAGTATCGTTAGAATAAATATAAATAAATAAATAAATAAACAAGAAAATAAATACGAAAATAAACAAGAAAAACCGTTGTAGATACAAATAATCTACAATCAAAACGTACAAGACATTGCTCGTTAAAATACAGCGTTGTAAACCAAGTGAATTCATACTAACTGTGCTCTATTTCTTCTTGACTACAAATACACTCTTATACTTTAGCTTGTAACCTTGAAGGGATCTTTTTTTTTGCGGAGATATCAAATGTCGCGAATTCAAGGGAGGTACGACATAGACCACTCCCAAACTACTGCGACATTATCAACAAGGTGGAAAGTCTCACTCTGTCACCCACAGCCATCAGTATTACTGGATAGATAGTTATCATTAATCAATTGAAAAACTGAAACTTTCCAATATATATACGTAACATGCCAGCATTTAATTCCACATTTGTTAATGCTGAAGCAGCAGATAGTAGAGTCATTGGTAATTTGATTCTTTTACCAATCCATACTAAATTCAGAGGTCCAGCTTATCCACCTCAACAAGAATATGATATAATTGAAGAAACATTGGATTTATTCCGAGCCAATTCATTCTTTAAGAATTTCGAAATTAAGAGTAATTCTGATAGATTATTAATTTATGGAATTTTATTTGTTAGTGATTGTTTAAATAAATTATCTAAGACTACCAATTATAAAGAAGCCGTTAGAATCTTAAATAATTTAGCTTTAGATAGTTTTAGTTTACCAGGAGATGTTGGATTCCCATTGAATGCATTATATCAAGGAGCATCTAATAAGAATGAAAGTGATTTATTAAGAAGTTATTTACAACAATTCAGACAAGAATTAGCAGATAGATTATTAACAAGAATTTATAAGGATGATGAAACTAGTCCATCTAAACATTGGTTGGCATTCACAAAGAGAAGATTTATGAATAAAAGTTTATAGATAAATTATTGGATCTTTAACAAGGGGGATCCAAATTCCGACCCTTTGTTTGTATTTTATATAATCAATACCGAAAATTTTTTGAATTAAGAAATATTCTTCGAATTTAATTCGAGTTGTAAAGAAAGATCGTAGAACAATAATCGATAGTACTAAACTTATAGGATTTCTAAGAAACACTTGAATTCCAATTGAGAACCACCAAAATCCAAAATAACTAGGGTGTCTTAAATATGCGTATATGCCATGGGTAATTAGTTTAGGTTGGTTATTATCATCTGTATGGATATAATGACTAAATGATTCTCCGCATGTCTTCATAGCCAAAGATCTAATATATAGACCCAATATAATCATACAAAATCCAATTATCCTTATGATACTATTGATGAATTCTGGTGGTACATATGTTTCAAACCCAAATGATCTCTTTAATTCAATTAAGAATTCACAAATGGTGAATAATTGACATAACCAAAACTCAAAATTTCCCTTATTTCCATAAATTAAAAAGGATCGGGATGTAACTTTAGAAGTTTGATATCTATAAGTATTACAGAATTCAAGGATGAAATAAGTTATTAATGAAAGTAAATATATACATAGTGGAGTATATCGTGAATGAACTATGAATAATGATATAATAATACTAGTGGATAAAATACCCAAGCCAAAGGAGACAACGTACAATTCAATCAAAGAATTATACTTAGGATTGTAAGTCATATCATGGGGGAATTTCCTTCTATTAATTACAAAAATGTAATGATCTGATATTGCATACAAAAATTTAATTGTACAAAAATTAATTGCACTATTTTTTCTGTACCTTAACTTGAATTTTTCATGATCTATAATCGATAAATCATATACCTCCAACTAAGAAGTTAGTTTAAATATGAGATGAATAGTGAGGATAACGATAACGACAATAGTAGAGGGAGAGGGACTATATCACCCAATAAAGACCTTAATCCCGAGAAATATGCTCAATATAATCCAAAGCATGTTAATCTTCTTAAAGTTATGGGTAAATCATTTGCATTAGGTGTATTTTTCACCTTAAATTTATTTAGTTTGATATATATAAGTTATAGAGATATACATCAATATGAATCTATTGTAAGATTAAATGTTTATTTTTTATTTATATGTATCTTTCATAGTCTTGAATTTATTAATACAGTATTATTTAATAATAGTCTGGTTGATGATGATTCATTTATTCTTGAAGATGAAGATATGAATTTAGTAGTAGTTATTTCTATTATTGAATACATTATTCATTCTTATATATCTACTCCTAAACTTACATGGATTATTGGTATAATTATTACTTTATTTGGTCAAATTATGAGAAGTTTAGCAATGTATACAGCTCAAGAATCATTTAATCATTATATACAAAGAAAAGAATCATATCGTCAACAATTAGTTACTAAAGGTATATATGGTTGGATTCGTCATCCATCATATTGTGGATTCTTCTGGTGGTTTGTGGGATTACAAGTATTTCTTGGTAATTGGATCATTTTAATTGGAGGTATTTATAAACTTTGGAATTTCTTTGATGAAAGAATTCAATTTGAAGAGATCTACTTAATTAAATTTTATAAGATGTCTTATGTTAACTATAAAGATCGAGTAAAATCTAGTGGGATACCATTTATATAAACAGATCAGTATAATAACTATGTATATATATAGCAATTAAATTAATAAAACTATAAAAACTATGTAAAAACAAGATTAATAAGTATCATCATAAAGATGAAGATTTAGGATTATTCAATTATTTCTTTTCTTTTAAAGGATCAACCCCAAAGCCATTGACATTTCTGTACATTAAAACACCATTGTCACCATCAACATATTGACACCATCTACCAGATTTCCATAAGGAAACCCACATGTTTTCATCAGTATGTTTGTAGTGAATACCCATAACTTTCTTAATAGCTTCAGAAGCTTCTCTAGCATTATAGAATGGAATTCTTGAAACGTAATGATGTAAAACGTGAGTTTCAATAATATCATGGAAAATATGCTTTCCAACAAAACCAAATTCTCTATCAATAGTGGCAGCAGCACCTCTAGCAAAATTCCATTGATGAGCTTCATAATGAGGCATTGATGGATCAGAATGTTGTAAGAAAGTGATGAAAACTAACCAATGATTAACTAAAACATAAGGTAATAAGTAGTTAACAAACAAGTTAAATGCACCATATCTTGAGTACCAAGTATAAAGAATGAACATTTGAGTTAAGACACCAATATCAGAAAGAATAATAAACCAATAATCTCTCTTTTCAAAGATAACTGAAGATGGATTAAAATGATTAGTGTAAAATTTAGAAACACCTTCATGTTTTTGACCAGTAACATCAGAGACTAAATAAGCGAGCCAACCACCTAATTGTTGAATAACTAAGGATTGTAAAGTATAAATTGGAGAATCAGCCAATAAATCTTCTAAATCATGAGCACCTCTTGATTCTAAAAATTGATCTTTAGTTTTTGGAACGAAAACCATATCTCTAGTAAGATGACCAGTTGCTTTATGATGTTTTGAATGAGAATATTTCCAAGAAAAGTATGGAACAAGTAAATAAGAGTGTAAAATCCAACCAACAGTATCATTAACCCAACCATAATCAGAAAATGCTTGATGACCACATTCATGAGCTAAAACCCAAATACCAGTTCCGAATAAACCCATAGTCCATGAATAAGCAGCCCAAGCAAAGAATCTAACAGTTTGATTTGATAAAGTTGGAATATAAGTATTGGCAAAATAACCAAGAGTTACCATACAAGCAATATCTCTGAATACATAATAAAAAGATTCAAGTAATCTTCTTTCATAACAATGAGCTGGAATAGCCTTAAGAATTTCCTTAATTGAATAATCTGGTACAATGAATTCATTACCATAAGTATCAATAGCCTTTAAACCAGTTTGATTAGTTGGATTTGATAAAGTAGCTACATTACCTCTTTTTTGAATGGTTGATGAGGATGAAAAAGATCCTTGAAGGGAAGTTGAAGCAGCAGTTGATTGAGACATTTTAAAAACAATTCTATTCTATTTCTAATCTAAATTTGTAAATGAATGAAATGATCTAATATGATAAAACAATAATAACTAAAGGAATATCTAATAAATTATAAAAAAAACAAGCAGATATAATAAATTTGCAAATTTAAGTATAAATCGTTAAAAGATAATGTTGCACAACGTGTGGATTAATAGATGAATGGTTGTGAAAAAAATGTCAAGCAACACACAATAAATGAAATTTGACAAGTTAAAGAGTTTGGTGGTTTGATACCAAGACAAGAGAATGTGGTAGATTTCAAGTTGATAATAATCTTATAGGTCTGATTCAATGGAAATCACACTACAATAGAATTGCTCCCCTAATTCCCTATATATATATAGATATAGTAGTTCGCAGATTGGCACAATTTTTCAAAAAAGAAATTTTTCCTTTTTTTCTTTGATGGATGGCCAGTTTTAATTAATTTTTGTTTGAGGTAATAACTCCTTTTGGCCTAATATATATTTTTTTTTATTGTTTTTTAAAGGACCTTAAACATTTTCTTAACTATGAGCAAGATCTATGTTTTTGTTCAGGATTGACATTCCGGTTTTCTAATATAAATGAATTGGGGGACGCTTTAAACTCGTAGTCTTAGTTTTATGTTAATATGATTTAGATTAAATTTTATACGACCTCGGGAACTAATTTAATTGGTTCATATGGGGTTAGTTACCTTAATTATTTGCATCTAATCTTTTTAAATTGTAGATTGTATTATATTCAAACCCCTATACCATAACCCCCATTTCAAATCCCATCAACCACCTAATCATAGGGCATGTATAGTAACCAACCACAAATAATTAAATGAATGCCAACGCTTTTACGATTTTGTGGTTTGTGTAACTTTAAAATTTTTGGGTTTTGCCATACGGGTACGAATCATTTAAAATCTTATGATTTTGACATATTACGATAATTGAAAGGTTACTTTAGCCATTGCAACTTAACTACATTAAGCCATATAATTTTTCTCTTCTATAATTTACTTAATACCTTCAAATATTAGATTACTTTATTAAAATAGTAGCTAAGTATGTATTTATTTAATCAGATATCCAACAAATCCGCGGAAAGGTAAAGCCATCCATGCATCTAAAAAATAAAAATAAGAGTGAAATTTTCATCTGATAAGATCACGAGACCAAACCATCGTGACTGCAACCCCTTAATGAATATTCAGAATTCTAGCAGTACTCATATGAAGATCAATATCAGCTTTATCAACATTTTCTTCAATTAATTTTAATCTACTATTTTGTTTATCAACTTCTTCTCCCATCTTCATAGCTTTATTCTTAATCTTTTTAGTATATTGTTCAATTTGACTTAAATTATTATCTAATTCAATCTCCATTTCATCATCTTCACTATCATTTTCAAATTGATATCTTTGACTAGCTTCTTTTAATGCTTTTTCTCCCTTATATGATTGATATAATTCTGATTTTTCATTAAGACCATCTTTTAATCTTTGTTCACTTTCATACATTCCTCTTCTAGCTTGATCTCTCATATAATGTTCTTTTTCTTTATTAGCCTTTAACATTTCTTCTTGTTGTCTTAATCTAGCCTTCTTATTAAATGGATTCCCATATGCTGGAACAAATATACTACGATTCAATCTTTCTAATTCTTTAACTTTTTCTCCAGCAATCTTAGTTTGTGTATCAATTAATAATAAATTTTGTTCAGCACTGTATAATCTTTCTGATTGAGATCCTAACATACCCAAAGTATTGGAAGCAGAAGAATCAGCTTCTTGAGCCATTCTTAATGTATTTCTTGTACTTTGAACTGATTCCTGTTTCACAAATCTAATGTCCTGTTTAATACTTTCAATTTCTTCATCTTCTGAATTAACTTGTTCTTCTTCAGGAATGTATAAATCATCTTCTTCATTAGGATCAGCATTTAAATCTAGTTCATTCGGATCGGCATTCAAATCAAGTTCATCATGCTTTTGTGGTCTTCTAGCAGGATTTGGTTTAACAGGACGTATATGATTACTTGGCATAGCATTCAAGTCTAAGACTGATTCATCATCACCAGTAGCAGATCTTCTGGGTTGTATTCTAGATGGTCGATTATATGGTACACTATTATTACTATTACTATTATGATTATTAGAATAACTAGTAGTTCCAGTATTATATGGACTAGGGCTACTATTATTTCCAACACGACTAGAAGAACTATATGGACTTGAAGTATATGGACTACTATTACCATTACCATTACTTCCACCACCATAAGGGTTTGATGCAGAATTAGATTTATTAACTCCGTATGGATTTTGTCCTTGTACTCCAGATGATTGTCCATATGGTTGACCACCTTGAGTCTGTGATTGTCCTTGCTGACCATAAGGATTACCTCCTGGATTACTACCAGTATTCATATTAGCATATGGATTCACAGGTGCTAAACCAGGCTTAGCAGCCGCTCGTTGTTGAGCATACCCTTTAAAAGCTCCAAATTTCTCTTGCCTACCTATTCCTGCTCCGCTGGTATTCTTAGTCGTGATTCCAGCATTGACTAATGTTTGCCTTAATTCTTCTTCGGTTGGTTCTTTCTTTTTAAACACGTTTCGAATCCCCATAGCTTCTCTTATACTATTACTTAACTGATTATAATGTAAATATGATCCTTAGATACTTTAGTAAGTCATCGACTTTGACGATTAGGTGTAGTCGTCCTGGTCAGCTTTGTTCTTTGCCTCGTTTGTGTTACACCGGTTTCCTAAATAGGAAATTATGTCAGGTGCCATTATGCACGTGTAGTATGTTATGATAAGAAGTAATAACTTACATTTAGTATTTTAAAATAATAATTATTCGATTTCTTTATGATTACTGGATATCCTAAGTATCATTGAAATACCTTTAAGGATTAAAATTATAGAGGGAATTGTAAATCGAAAATGATCTATGTCTCTCTAAGGTATGTGAAGTTATTTACTTTTTAGACTGTTATCAGAGGAATTACATCTTATGGAGGAGTGCGGGAGGGGTATACTTGTAAAGAAACATTTCTATTATCTATTACAATTATTGCATATTGTTTACTATTTCTTCCGATGCATTTAGTTGCAAATTTTACTGAAAATCTCATTCCGAAGAAGAAATGGATACTCAATCATTTTTGTGCATTCCCTGTCTCGGAAGCGAATAAAACATATGGTGGGGAACAGCAATCAACAACAAGAAAGGAGTTGATCTTCAATAGGATAAATTCACACCAATTAGACTTTGAATAATTATAATTAACGTGAATCTAAACTTAAACAAAAGATATAATAATGATTAATATAGAGAAAAGTATGTTATCGTAGACACGGGATTCAGTGCGCCTAAATCAAAAGGATTTATATTTCTCTGATAACAACTTTGTATATACTAAATAGTTATAATTATAAAATTTAGCAATCATATAGATAAAGCCGTATGCAAGACGTGTCATATTTTGAACAATTGTGTAGTTGAATTTATAAAACGGTTAAAATAGAAAAATCTATTCCTAATTTTACCGAGCATCAATCTCATCCATCTGAAATATAATTAAGCTTTAAATCTCTAACAAAATCAAAAAATTTTAGAAAAATCTCGACCAATATAAATTTCCAACCACTTTAGAGAATTATCAATTGAGAAGGTTAGTATATACCATATATACATAATAGAAGAAACTTTACAAAATGGCAAGTCAAACAGTTGAAAAGAAACCAATCAATTTCTCTACTATCTTATTAGGAGCTGGATTAAATATGGCTGAAGTAACAACTTTAGGTCAACCATTAGAAGTCACTAAGACTACTATGGCAGCTAATCGTTCCCTTAGTATGTTTCAAGCTATTAAAGTTGTTTGGTCTCGTGGAGGTGTTTTTGGATTTTATCAAGGTTTAATTCCATGGGCTTGGATTGAAGCTTCAACTAAAGGTGCTGTGTTATTATTTGTATCAAATGAAGCACAACATCATTTAAAAACTCTTGGAGCTTCTAATTTTGTATCTGGAATGGGAGGTGGTGTTGCTGGTGGTTTAGCTCAAGCTTATCTTACTATGGGTTTCTGTACTTGTATGAAAACAGTTGAAATCACAAGACATAAGCAAGCTTCATCTGGTGCTCCAACTCAAACTAGTTGGCAAGTATTTAGAGCCATTTATGCAAAAGAAGGTATAAGAGGTATCAATAAAGGTGTTAATGCAGTTGCAATTAGACAGATGACTAATTGGGGATCAAGATTTGGATTCTCAAGATTAGCTGAAGAAGGTGTTCGTAAATTCAGAGGTAAATCTGATAAAGAAAAATTATCAGCTCTTGATAAAGTTATTGGTTCAATTATTGGTGGTGGATTATCAGCTTGGAATCAACCAATTGAAGTTATTAGAGTTGAAATGCAATCTAAAACTGATGATCCAAATAGACCAAAGAAATTAGGAGTTGGAAGTGCTGCTGCTTATATTTATAAAAATAATGGTATTAAAGGTTTATATAGAGGTGTTACTCCAAGAATTGGTTTAGGAGTTTGGCAAACTGTTTTTATGGTTGCTTTCGGTGATATCTTTAAGAGAATGTTGAAACTTGATGGTAGTTCTGGTCATTAAATTACCTCTATTATATTTATACTAATTTCATTTTCATATTCAATTCAATACTTAACTTTTAATATACTCCGCTATTATATTTTTACAATTACAAAAATTAAAAAAAAAAAAAACTAATACTTATATTCTATAAAGTAAAAATTATTGTTACATATATATTTTATCTGGTTTAATGTTGTGAAGTAGTCCCCCATCTATCATAACAATATAATCCAAATAATGTTAACCCAAGACCAAATTGTTGCAAACCAGAGAATTTTGCTGAATTTAATTTATTTTCCCAAATAAATGATATTAAAATTATAAATATTCTTTTTAATATATTAGCAATTGAATAATTAACGGGACTTAACATTCCTAATAATTGGAATGCTAATAATGATTGAAGAAAATGACTGAAACCGTTAAGAATTACTAAAACAAGAACTGAATTAGATAAGTTAAAAATTGATATTTTATCATTATTGAATAATTCAGATATAATATAAACTGGTAAAGTTAATAAAAATCCAATAACTGAGCAATAAAATAATATACTTAATTTATCTAATTTGATATTATTATTATTATTTTGAATATCATTCAAAGGTCTGAAATCATCCAGTTTTTTATCTTTATAATTTGGTAAAGAATCATTTTCTTTTATAGTTAATCTATTTTTAGCAAAGATATTTTGAGAAACAAATATTAACATTGAAATGAATGCAAAAAATAAACCAGTAAGATAATAAGGAGATGCAGAAGCTGATGAAGAAGAATTTCCTTTAGAAGGTTTATAACATGTTAACATAATTCCAATAGTTAAAGGAATTAAAGTTATATAAGTTATAATTTTATAGTTAACAGCAAATAATGCTTTATATATAAATACAGTGATTAAAGGACTCAAAGACTTAATGGTATGAACTAATGAAACGGGTATTAATGAAGTTGCTTTATGACTAGTTAAATGACCAATAAATTGAAATCCACCCATTGGTAAAGTGGTTGAAATTATTTTTGGAGTTGGATATAAAAATTTTGCAATGGATAAATTTGTTGGAATAATTCCATAAGGAAATACTTTTACTAAGGAAGGGTTTAAATTTAAAATGAATAATAATACAACACAAAAAGTGGCATTTAATGAGAATTGAAATTCTGTTAAAGTAATTGGGTATTCGAATTGAGTTAAAATAGCTTTAGTAGAATTAGATGAAATAATTGATGTTAAATACCATAATGTACATAAAATTGAGATTTTAACATCTATTGGTGGTAAACAATTAATGAATTTATTATATAATGCAGCTGTTGAATTAGAAGATGTGGTTGATAATGGTAATCTAACTGGAGATGAAGGTTTTGATAATGGTGGAGTTAAAGGTAAATGTAATGAAGTTGAAGAATTTACCTGAAAACTACTTAAATTAATTCTCTTATTTGGGTAAGGATGATACATTGGTAAAGAAGATGTTGAATCATTGGCATTTTTACCTATTAAAGGAGTTAATTTAAATAAATTTGTTGATGAAGAATTAGGATTAATTTGGGATGAAGAATATATACCTGGTCTAGGAAGTGAATATTGACTATTATTGTTATTATGATTATTATTATTATTTTGAAGATTATTATTTTGAAAATGAAGTGGTGGAGGTGGTAAATGAGACTCGTGTGGTGGAGATCGAGCAGGTTTAGATGGTGAAGAAGGATTACTATCAGTAAAGTCCGAAACCAAACTTTCCATTGATTGATTTGCACTCGGAGTTGGTAACATTCTTATAGTTATTTTTATAGGAGTATATCAGTAAAGAATTACTTGTTCAAATTATGATGCAATGTTAAATATAATATAACGTAAAGTAATGATAATAAATTGTAGTCAATAAGTTTTAGTGACTTAAAAAGAAATCAATGAAAATAAAATTGGAATGGGATTTGAAAACAATTCAAAAAGAAACGTGTAACTGACTTGATAGCGTAACGTAATTGGAAAAAAAGGTTACCGAGAACCCTAACAATAGTTAAATTGAATGTGACGTATGAAAATCTGGATTAGTGATAGATCGTGGAATGATCTATTCTGAAATAAAATAAACGAATGTAATGCTAGTTAGAATAGGTTGTAGTAAAGAAGTGTGTTATGGTTGTTAGTTTGTAATTATAATAATGTGTTAATTTCCTGTAGTTATATATTTAGATCTATTCTCATCATAAAAATTCAGTGAAATAGAAAAAAAAATTGTAACTGCTTTTGTGGTAGTTATAATTGCTTTTTTTATGTTTTTATTTCGTTTCGTTTCGTTCGGTGAGCCCCTGGCTCAAATTTCAAAAGTCTGGAGCATATTCACCCCTATATGAAAGAAAAAATAGTAAATGCTTATTTTGGAATATTTACGTTTTGAGAGACGCCACGACAGTACAATAGAGAGAGACAATGGAATACAATGCACACGATACATTCGTCATGTGACCCACTTATTCTTAATCACTATTCCACAGACCATTGAAAGCTGCAAAGACACACCTACAGAAACTGAAGTCAATGGTCTAACTACTATTAATTGTATATAGTGTTATATTACTATAGTACTATAGTGAGCTAGTAATATACTATTATAAAATTTACTATTCTTTTAATATACTGTAATTATCGTATCACACAAACAATTGTAATGTATCAGACATATCTCTTTTAGATCAGATAACATTATTTTAAAGACATTTTACAAAGCATTTCACCTAACACTTGCCACAATTAAGTATTAGTCAAAACAACACACTTAGTTAAATCTAATTATTGGGTGATGTAAACTATGTCAGTATTCAACTAAGTCAAATATTAGCTGATAAGGATCAGGATCAGAAAAACGACTAGACAAAAGAACAAAATTTGACAGCGCACTCTACATTCCAAGAGAGAAAATTAAGAGGAGTTAAACAGTCTGATACATATTTCATAAAGCGATTATCCATTTTGTTGATAATTGAGGTATTGATGCGTCAAAGTTTCCACATTAATTATTACTTTGAAAATTTAAATTAATTTAAATCAATTCAATTTTAGTTTTATTTTAATTTTAATTTCAATTCCCTTATATTACATCTTGATAATAAATTTCAATTATAATTAAATAATTTAATCATTGTTCAACTTTTCTTATCTCAATAAAATTTAATTTAATCAACTCTATCAATTAATAACACAAGATCATAATTATCTATAATGAAACGTATGGCATTATATATTGCCAAAATACTTTTGAAAAGAGCATTAGGTGATGATGATGATTTTGCTGATCCAGATATTGAACCTGATGTACCGGATATTTCAACCCCAGATGATGATATTGAAGATAATCCAGTAGCTGATGAAATCTTTTCATCATGGGCATTATTTATATTATTATTTTTACTTGGTAATGCCTTATGGTCTTCATATTTCTTACAACAAAGAAGAATTAAAGCAATTCATGAAACAGTTTTATCAATCTTTTATGGTATGACAGTTGGATTAATTATTAGAGTTAGTCCTGGTCATTATATTCAAGATGCAGTTAAATTTAATTCAGGTTATTTCTTTAATATATTATTACCTCCAATTATTCTTAATAGTGGTTATGAATTACATCAAGCAAATTTCTTTAGAAATTTAGGTTCAATTTTAACCTTTGCAATTCCTGGTACATTCCTTTCTGCTTTAGTTTTAGGTATAATTCTTTATATTTGGACTTCTTTAGGATTAGATGGAATTCATCTTGAATTTGTTGATGCATTAGCAGTTGGAGCAACATTATCAGCCACTGATCCAGTTACAATTTTATCAATTTTTAATGCTTATAAAGTAGATCCAAAATTATATACTATTATTTTTGGAGAATCTTTATTAAATGATGCTATTTCAATTGTTATGTTTGAAACTTGTCAAAAATTTCATGGTCATGCCGTTCATTTTTCATCATTTTTTGAAGGTATAGGATTATTTTTAATGAGTTTTACAATTTCAACAATTATTGGAGTTTTAATTGGTATATTTGTAGCTTTAGTTTTAAAACATTCTCATATTAGAAGATATCCTCAAATTGAAACTTGTTTAGTATTATTATTTGCTTATGAATCTTATTTCTTTTCAAATGGTGCTCATATGTCAGGAATTGTATCACTTTTATTCTGTGGTATAACTTTAAAACATTATGCATATTTTAATATGTCAAGAAGAACTCAAATTGCTACAAAATATATCTTTCAATTATTAGCTCAATTATCAGAAAATTTCATTTTTATTTATTTAGGTTTATCATTATTTACTGAAGTTGAATTAGTATTTAAACCTTTATTAATTATAATAACTTTCATTTCAATTTGTATTGCAAGATGGTCAGCAGTTTTCCCATTATCAAAATTTATTAATTTCCTTTATCGAGCAAGATATGAAAAATTTAGTACTAGATTAAATGGTAATACTGGAATACTTAATAATCCTTTACCACCTGAAGAAATTAGTCATAGTTATCAAATGATGATTTTTTGGGCAGGATTAAGAGGAGCTGTTGGAGTTGCATTAGCTATGGGTATTCAAGGTGAAGCTAAATGGACTTTATTAGCTACTGTATTAGTAGTGGTTGTATTAACTGTAATTTTATTTGGTGGTACAACTGCTTCAATGTTAGAAATTTTAGGTATAAAAATTGGAGTTGAAGATGCTAGTGAATTTTCTGATGATGAATTTGAAATTGAAGCTCCAAGATTACCAATATCAAATACAAATTTTTCAAATTCTAATTTATCAAGTAGTGGTCCAATCTTAGGAAATAGAAGATATGCTTATAATTCTAAACTGCCAAAAGTTACTCAAATTCCTAAATTTAAAGATAATGGACTTGAAGATCATACTTTATCACCTTCAAAAAGTAGCCTTGTAAGAGGTAGTCTTATACCAGATAATGATGATGATGATGAATTCCTTACTAGTGATGTGGATGATTTAATAAGTCCAGGACATCGTAATATTGGTAATCCTGGTAATTCTATTGTGGATGAATCAAATAACTCTAGTGGAGTTTTAGGAGCTTTCTTAAGTGCAGAAGAACATGCAAAATGGTTTACTAAATTTGATGAACAAGTTTTAAAACCTGTTTTATTGGATACACTTCCAAGTTCCAGCAGTAACTTGAATATCAACAATAATAATAACAACAATAATAATATTAATAATAGTAATAATAATAGCAATAATAGCAACCCCAACCTTGGTGATACCAACAATAATTAATTGGAGTATCCAAGAAAAGATCTATAGAGATATACGAATACAGCAAACTTAAAAATACAGTATATTTATTTATTTATTTATTTACTTACTTACTTATTGATTTTATTGATTGATAATTTATTTAAGTGTAAACTAAGGTGTGACTCTTTGCCTCTTTTGTTGTTGCAGCTGTTGATCAGCTATTGCAACATCTATAACCCATTTAGCAAGTTTATAAGTTCTTGCATTTAAAACCAAATCATTTAATTTATAATTAAATTTCACACATATTTGAAAGAATTCATTCATAGTTAAATCATGTAATATACCAATTAAATTATTATTAATAATTTTTTTATTCTCTTTAATTAATGATTTCTCATATTCACTAAAATATATTGATGCAGGTAAAAATTCAATATAATTATTAGATGCTCGAATTGGTTTCTCTAATAAATTTAATATTTCACAAATATGACTATTAGTAATACTACCATTTTTATCATCTTCAATTGAATGAATTAATAAATTAGAAATAGAGATTATAGCATTACCAAAATTAACTGCATTTATAACTCTTGATTCAGTATCTCTTTTAAGAGTAATTCTGAATAATGCTCCAACATATGTTGATAAAAACTTTTGATTATATTCATTAATTATTATAGAAGCCTTTTCAATAAATTGTTTAACATTTGATATTAATGGATTTTTCTTGGTAGACAGAGAATCTTCAATAAGGAATGAATTAAAAATTGATTTCAATGGGATAATAACTTGTGATTCAAGAATTTTGTATAAATTACTGCCTAATATTGAAGCCTCGAATGATGATGATGATGATGATGATGATGATGATTTTGAAGTTTGAGGTTGAATGTATTCTTTAACTGAAGTCTTTGAATTCAAATTAGTTGGGGGATTACTTGAAACAAATATAGAATTTCCAAAAATATCACTATCATCACCAGATTTTGAATAACCAGAAGATTTTCTTAATTCTTCCTTTAAAGTTAATTGATGTTGTTTTAATACTTTTAAATCAGATGGAGATCTATAATTAATTCTAGCTGTAGTTTCTTTAATAACTAAAGAACATTCTTCTAATATAGCTGGCCAAATATAACCTCTTCTTGATCTTGCATTATATATTGCTATTCTTAATTTTAAAGCTTCAGGATCATTACTTGATGAAATATAAGCAAGTTCTTGAAATGCAGTTAATCTACTTAATTGATATTCTGGTTCAACATTTCTTAAACCTGTTAATAAAGTATTAACTGGATCAGAACTATAAGTACTAATTAATTTTTTACCATCAATACATCCAATAGTTGCATAAACATTAAAAATATGATTTAATAATTCCCATCCAAAAATGATATGATATGAAAGATATGAAATACTTATAAAAGTTTTAAGGGATAAATTATATGATGGAATACTAGTATCTAAACCTAAAATAATTATAAATAAAATATTTGATTTATAAATAATTGGTTTTAATATTAAATAAATTAATGGTGATAATATATTAATAATTAAATTTAAACCAATTGAACCACCAATTAATTTAGGAAATTTTGAAAATAATATATCATCAGGTTTAGCTCTATTTTGAGCTCCGAATTTAAAATTTAATCTATTCTTTTGAAAGATTAAATGTTGACTACTATACAATAATGATAATATAATTGGATAATACCAATAAAATACCCATTCATCATTAATTTCTGGTTTTTTTCTATACTCTTTAGATACTAAATAATATTGAGACCATAAAGGTAATTGAAAAATATAAATAAAGAATAATAAATATGATGATAATAAGTAAAAAATGATAGTTTTAAAGAAATTTAATGAAAATAAACTATAATAAATTTGAGATCCTAAAGTTTTATGACCACTATATTCAACTACTGATAATTTATATCGAGATTGTTTAATAAGATATAAACTTAAGAATATTATTGGACCTCTAAAACTTGTAAATAATAAATTCCACCAAAATTTTCCATACGGTAGTTGTAAAGTTAAGGAATAAATTATAGCAACAATGATAGAAATATTATTGACATATTTCAATCTTTTCTTTAAAACTTTGTTGAAGTAAGATCTGTAGGTTCCTACAGTAGGAGTAGTGGATGCCATTGATCAATAGAATGTATTGTTCGTTAGCAATTCCTAGCAATGAGCTTTTTAGCCTTTAGTAAATAGTGATGATTGTTCAAAGCTGCTGCTAACATTTTTCCACTGTCTAGTTTTTTTCTTAGTGAGCATTACCACAGCGAGCATTTTTCAGTTTACAGGAGTCGAATGGCCGCTAAGTGTTTTTGTTTTTATATTTTAACAATTACTAATACTATGTACATTAATATATGATTTATGACAAAAATTATTGTCAAGATATTCTCTATGAAACAGGTGATGAATGATCATTAATTTTACATTTACTTTTATTTAATTAGATCCTTCTTCTGAAAGTCTTAAACATTAAAAGTTTTTATCATGATTAACTGCGACTTCTGCTTCACGTCTTATAGTTTCAGCATGACCACTTAATATATCTTTAACAGTTTCTAAACCTGGTTTTCCATTGATTTCTCCAAGAGCTCTATCTTCAATTAATTTTCTACTAATCTCTGAATCATTGGAGAAAGAAATAGCACTATTAAGTTTATTCTTAACTTGATCAAGGGTACGATCATAATCGGTAACTCTTACTTCAAAAGCTTCAACAATTGCTGCTTCTAATTCTTCTTCAGTTGTTATGAAATTAGATGCAGCATGATATAAATCTAATAATTGAGTTGCTTTAGCCAGTTTTTCTTCTAATTCTTGAGTTCTTCTATTCAAAGTTCTTTGTTCTTCAACTAATATTTGTTCTTCTTTAGTTCTTTGTCTCATAATTGGTCCCTTTAAATATGATTCAATGGTTGGAATAGTTAATTTAACAGCTTCTGATTCTTCATGGATTCCAATTTGTGCTTCTGCTTTCTTTTTCTTCTTATATTGTTCTTCTTTAATTTTATCGATTCTTTCTAATCTTTTAGCTTCAGTTAAATAAGCTGATCTTAAAAATTCACGACGAATTGTATCTCGATGTATAGCCCATTGTTCTCTTTCTGTTAATTTAGAAAGATCAACATTTTCTGAACTTTTTCTATCAATAGTTCTGGCAATTCTTTCTTTGACAGATAATACTTCCTTTTCTGGTTCAACACGATGGAAAGTATATCCTCTTCTCTTAGGTAATGGAATTCCTTCTGCAAACCCTTTTTCAACTTTGGCTTCTTGTTCTCTTTCAAAGGGTAATTTGGCTCTGATAGGGTTACCTTTAAATACAGGACGTATTTTAGGTAAAATACCAGATTTCCCTCCGTATTTCAATACCCCCTTTCCCATGTTAACTATATTTGCTTACTTTGGTAATGGTGATAAGTTTAGTATATTGGAAGATGTCGTTAACTAGTGAAAAATTGTTCATAAAATTTCTATAAAATTGGTGCATGGCGCACGACCTCGTATCATTTCTTCCCCATACAGTATTTAGTGTCTGCAGTGAGGTAAGTAAAAGAACTAGTTATAGATAACTACTATAGCCACGAACTATAATTATCATTAAATTCATTATGTATCATTGTATAATACTAGTGGAGGATTGTCTCATCCAATCTCCTAATGGTTTTTAATTCCTCTTTTCATTCACATTATCTCTATTCAATAAACGTATGTAATTCCAACTACACTAATGCTGCGAAAAAAAAATTGTAGGCGAAAATGTTACTGTGAGTAACACGCTACCAGTCGTTGTCTAAAACAAATATCTTTAAAAATACATGAACTATATTTCATATTTATATAATTAATATACTAAATTAAGTAAGTGAAGAGTCAAATAAATATATATGTATAAAATTAGTTGCCAGTACTACTCTCAATCAGAACTTTCCATGCTGTCTTATAGAACATATAAGCAGCTAGAAATGGACAACTTTTAGAAACAGAAAGGGAAAGTGATATTCACTTGAATACCCAATCATCAAACTAAAAATTATAGTAATCATCATTTAAAGAATGTAGAACAAGCTGGTTCCTAATAGTATATCATGATATATTTGTTGTCATGTTTAATAAAAAAAAATAAGAAGAAAATAATAATCCTAAAAAGAAAATAAAATCTACACGCCAAATGGCAGTAAATTTTGATTCCCCCTTTCATTATAAAAGTCTAAAATCTGACGCCAAATGGCTGTAAATTTTTACTCTTACTTTTCTTCTTCTTCTTCTTCTTCAAACAATTGAAAATCACTATCAAGGATTACAATCCTAATAACTAGCAGGCAAGTATATCTTTTCTAAAAGAAATAATTAACACTAATAGAATCCAATAAAATGATGAAGATCTAAATTTTCTCGTATGATTGTTGTTTCGCTATGACAACAAAGTGATGATTATTTGGAAGAGCCACTGATTATTGGTTTACCTTCTAATAGTAGATAATATTTCAACTAGTCATATGATTGCTTGCTCTAACCCTCAAACATATTATCAAACACCTAAATGTTTATCAGATACTGATATTCCTTTTCCAATCAAGGAAAAGAATCAAGACTCAACATCATCATATAAAATCACAAAAGTCTTGATCATAAATCTGAAGCGCTGTACGTTATTTAATAGATAGTACTTTCAAAGTTTGATTATCCTATAGGAATAGTTAGAATTAATGTTATATTTATTTGAATGATACAAATGGCTGTAAATTTTAAATCTTACTCTTGTTCTTCTTCTTCTTCAAACAATTGAAAAGCATTATCAAGGATCATAATCCTAATAACTAGCAGGCAAGTATATCTTTTCTAAAAGAAATAATTAACACTAATAGAATCCAATAAAATGATGAAGATATAAATCTGCTTATATGATTGTTGTTGCCCTACGACAACAACGTATTATTTCGAAGAATCAGTGATTATTGGTTTATCTTCTATTAGTAGATAATATTTCAACTAGTCATATGATTGCTTGCTCTGACCCTCAAACATATTTTCAAATACTTTAATGTTTATCAGATCCTGATGTTCCCTTTCCAATCAAGGAAAAGAATGAAGCTTTAACATCATCATACTAAATCATAAAAGTCTTGATCTGAAGTGCTGCACGTTATTTAATAGATAGTACTTTCAAAGTTTGATTAAAGAAATAATTAACACTAATACAATCCAATAAAATGATGAAGATATAGTTTGTTAATCAAAGAATCGCTGATTAATGCTTCTAGCAGAATATATGAAATTGAAAGGAATATGAACCATATATATCATATGTAATCTATATGCAATACGCTAATTCTTCATTATAGCAACAGAAAAATAGTGCAACAATAAAATTTTTGGAAATTGCAACTGGTTGCGAAAAATATGAATCTCAAGCAGATGCCCCCCATATCTCATAAATCTTTTCCAGAACTACTTTACCTATCTTTTTATTACCTACTTGATTAATTGAATGCTTCATTAAAAGTAATTTCTTTTCTGATTCTGGCAAATGACCATTTTCTTCTTTGTAGAATCGAATTAAATGAGATGGTGTAGGAAATGAATTTTGAATTACTATACCCTTCTCTAAAGATACTCCTTTAATAGTCATCAACATCATAATAAACATCTCCTTTACAGTTATCATCCCAGTTTTTGCCATAGCCAGTTGAAAAATTGGGTATGAATGAACACATTCATATTTACTTGATCCGTTAAGTTCAAATTTATCTCTAAATGTATTGAGAATTCTTGAATATTCATTTTGATTTTCTATAGTTCTTGGTTTAAGAACCATTAGATGCTTATCTTTCGAAATAATATCTTCTTTAATTACTCTCGTATTAACTGCTAAGAAAGCAATAGTTTCATCAATATCTTTAAATCTCTTTAGATGAAAATTAGAAATCATTACTGTCATTGATATTGCTGTTTGAAGTGCATCACCCATATTCAGAATAAAACTTGATGCATTGGTTTCTTCTACTAAATAATAACAATGTTTCATGGCTGATTTTGTTAATCGGTTCTTTTGTTCTTGAAATCGTCCATCTTTTATGGAAAAAGCTAAATCATCTAATCTCTTTCGTTCACAAATATGATTTAAAATAGCTTCTTTATGACTAACTTTATGTCTAGCAACCCAAGTAACATCTCCAAGAGGTAATGGTCTTATTTCATTATTAATTCCCAATTTAGTTAATCTTGAATAGAAAAAATCCCTTTCTGTTTGTGATCTTATTTCCCGATTATCTACTATCAAGATGACATCAAACTCTTCCTTTTTCCAAATTTCATAATTTATGCCAGCATATATTCTATTTGTACGATCATGTGTATGGAGAGATGTCGTCTGCTTTATCGAAGATTGTAAACCATCCACTTGAACATTTTCTTCATTTTCTTCATTTTCTGTATTATCCTTTGATTTAGAAGATGATGGCTTTCTATGTGGTACTACAAATGATTTTGATGGAGTTTCACGTAATATATCAGACCTAATAGGTGATGAAGAATTTGGAATTGAATGACTATTCTGTTTAAGATCATATAATGGTCTTCTTTCACCTGTACTTACATTGAATTCTTCTAGTATTTGAGATTTTTTAGAAACAATTGTAGGTGATTTGTATAAATCTTGTAGAGATTTACTAAAGCTAGATTCTGGACTAACTCTAACATTGTTATCAAATGACATTTCTTGAGCCAGTTCTTCTCTTAATGGCGAAGATTTAAGACCTTCTGCTATTTTTAATTGTTTTGCCAATTCTATACCAGCTGATGTTAAATAATATATTTTAGGAGCATGACCAGTAAAACTAACTAATTCATGCTTTATTAATACTTTAATTGAATTCCAAGCTGAATAGAAATCATTAGCTGCTGGATTGGATGTGAATGATCTATCAGCAAAGGGAGTTGCAATTCTGATAATTTCATCTTTATTTAATCCATTTCGGGCTTTATCACGAATATATAATGCTATCATAATGGCATATCCACCAGAACGATGTTTAGGAACATATGGTTTTTGTTTTTGAACTTTTGATGGTCTTTCTTGTCTTGCTTGTAATAATTCACTACTTCTCTTCTGTCCAATAGATTCACTTATAGTAGTAAATGCAATTGGTACTTCAAGATTATTGGCTTGACAATGTTGCCTCAAGTAATTGGTTAAACTTTCAATGGTTTTATCACCAAAATATCGAATTGCCTTTAAATCCTTGGGACAAGTTATTGGATCATTATGCCTTCTTAACAGATCTAATGCCTTATTATAAAGTAGTGCGAGTCTTGAACCTCTCTTGGTGGCTGCAATTGCCTCTCGTTCAAGCCATTTAACAAAGAAGGGTTTTAGCTCTTCATCGAACACTGGCATACTTTTACTATACAATCATATAATTTACGTTAATATTTTCAACTTTGGTTTATTCTGGTTTAATACAGTAAACATTAAAGAGATGGAATATTTAACGCGTACTGTCTTAACTATGGCGTGCGCCAGTTCAAAAAAAGTGCACTATGTATCTGAAAATTTGTGGGATGTCATAGATGTTACATTTGAGATTACTATTAGTATAGATAAAGATAAGTAATATTCAAAAGATGTCATCTACCACAAAAAGCAGTAAGAAGTCTGTGCTTCCGCCAATCAATCTTATATTTAAATATTTACAACAACAATCCCCTGTCACTATTTGGTTATATGAACAAACTCAGCTGAGAATACAGGGTAAAATAAGAGGGTTTGATGAATTTATGAATATTGTTATAGATGATGCCGTTGAAGTGTCGACTGAAGATGGATCTAAAGAACTTTTAGGTAGAATACTATTAAAAGGTGATAATATTACCTTAATTTCCAGTCATGATGTGTAATAAGTTTGAATTTATTCACTCCCCCTCCCACTTGTATAGTAGATTATAGATGATGTATATTATTATTAGCTTATTAAATGTTAGGCACATCAAAATTAACTTTCTTTCTGGGTGATCCATCATCATTAGATAGTGGGATACGAGAATCAGATTTTGTAGGACTTGATATAGGTGATGACTTATTCATGGCTCGTCTCTTTGCTCTTTCTTCTTTTAAGCTACTATTATAATCCATAATCTGTTTTTCTCTTTTAGCAGCAGCAGCTACAAGCATTGAAACTGTTCGTTTCCTTCTCTGACCATGACCAAATTCAATCAATATATCTACTGGCAATTTCAATTTGATCAAATATTCATGTTTTGATCGGATAATCTCATGTTTACGTGGTTTATTAATCTTACTGCTTGAATTCCTTTCTGGCAGTTCACGTTCAAATCTATCATAGTCTATTGGACTTGCCTCTACTCTATTCTTTAAGATAGATAACTTAGTCGGTATCATCGACGGCTCGTATCAGCTACATACATTCAGTGTCACCGGTCTAGATGTATTTATAAATAAGGTCTAGTCCTTAAATTTAATTTGTAATGTGTTAGTAGTAGTAATAAATTTTTAGAGCGTGTTTTGAAAAATAAAAAATTGTATACAGAGATATCAAAATATCACCAAGTTAAATCAAAGTTCAGAAGTCTGTGAAATATTTGTATCGACATTTGATAACCAACACACAAGTTGGGAATTACAAATTAGTGCGAAAGACTGTAGTTAGGTTGAATTATTGTTTTTGTTGACAATGAGTGCTTCTAATAATAATAATAACATTAATAATAATAATAATAATAATAATAATAATACCAGGGCCGGACACGTCCCTAACGGACCACCACCACCACCACCACCATTAAATCAACGGGATAATCGATTCAGACCTCAGCCAAGTGCACCAGTGAGACAATTCCAAAGACAAGAGTACTCAAATGAAGAACAAGTTAGAATTCAGTCTATGCTTGATAAAGTTCTTGGACCAGAATATGTTAGTTTTAGACCTGGAGGTGGTGGACAGAAAGTATCATATATTGAAGGTTGGAGAGCTTTAAATTTAGCCAATGAAGTATTTGGATTTAATGGGTGGAATTCTGAATTAATTAGTCAACAGGTTGATTTTGTTGATACTCATGGGAATACAGGTAGATTCTCTATGGGATTATCAGTAGTGGTGAGAGTTACAATTCGTGATGGAACTTATCATGAAGATTTTGGGTATGGATATATAGAGAATGCAAAGAGTAAGGCAACTGCCTTTGAGAAATGTAAGAAAGAAGCATTTACTGATGGAATCAAAAGATGTTTAAGATGTTTTGGAAGTTTATTAGGTAATTGTCTTTATGATAAAACTTTACTTAAACAATTAGAAGCAGTAGAAAAGATTGGTACTAATTTCGAAGCATCTGATTTCTACAGAGATCCTATGTTTATGGAAAAACATAAAAGAAAACAAATACCGTCAACTCATATCCTTGAAAAGAATATTCAACCTAATATTCAAAATCAACGGAGCAAACCCCCTGTTCAAAATTCAACGACTACACCCATAAATGCCAATCAACCTCAGAATATTTCAACTATTAATAAACCAACCAAACCATCTAATGTCTATGTACCAACCACTCAAGAGGCTCAAGACCTTGAAGATTCATTTTTATTTAGTGATGAAATTGCCGAAGAAGATTTGGTATTTATGGATGAAGATAGAGGACGAGTTATCTCTACTAATGGTTCAAATGTAGCTAATAATGTTGCTGCACCAATTCCAACTGATATATCTATTATAACTCCACAAGTTCCACGAGTAGGAGCAGAATTACCCTTGTTTGTCAGTGCCAAGGGAGCAAATATGCTACAACAAACTCCTGATAATGTAGCCAATATCCCACAATTTGATCCAAAGTTTATTTCACCAAATATGAGAAGAACAGTAGATCCTAATAGGTCAGTTCCCGTCAAACGGAGTGATATAAGAGCAAATGGTCAATCCAATTCTGTATCCACTCCTACATCTAGTACAAATTCTACATCTACAACAAATACCAGTACTACTACTACAACTACTTCGACTACTTCGAGTACTGCTCCTACAATTGATACCACCAATAAAGCACCTACTCCACCCCTAAATGTCTTGTCAAATGAAGTAGGCAACACACTAGGTAAGAGAATAGGAATGCCACCATCTCAGCGTCCAGCTAAGAGAATTCATAAAGAGTAAGTAACTTTTATTTTATTACCAAATTCACAGAACTTAATCCGGTATACTAACATACTTTTTACTTCTAGGACATCAGTAGAGCATCAAACTGGTAACGACAGTAATAAAGAAAATGGGACATGAGTAAGTAGATTGTAAATATATTTTGTGTAGAATTCGCAGTAATTTACTTCATTCCGCGCAACTACAGAAAAAAGTAAAATAAGGCAATTGTTAATTAAATTAGTGGAGAACCCATTAGTTTTATATCTTCAACCATGACATTCAGGGAAGAATTGGCATCTATAAAGCCATTATTAGAATCCATAGGGCCATATAATGAGTTCCCTGAAGAATATAATTCAAAAGATGCCATTGAAGCATTATTAACATCAAAAGTATTAGTAATAGGAGCCGGAGGATTAGGATGTGAAATATTAAAGAATTTAGCATTAACTGGGTTCAAAGATATTCATGTAATAGATATGGATACTATTGATATTTCCAATTTAAATAGACAGTTTTTGTTTCGAACTGGTGATGTAGGAAAATCGAAAGCTCAAGTAGCTGCTAAGTTTGTGGAAGAACGAATTGGTGATAAGCAATTAAAAATTACTCCATATTTTGGTAAGATTCAAGATAAAGATTTAGAATATTATAAACAATTTAGTGTAGTAATTTGTGGATTAGATAGTGTTGAAGCTAGACGATGGATTAATGCTACATTAGTATCTATTCTGGAATCAAATGATATAATACCCATGATTGATGGAGGTACAGAAGGATTAAGAGGTCAATCAAGAGTTATACTACCTACAATATCTTCATGTTATGAATGTTCATTAGATTTAATATCTCCTCGTACCACATATCCAGTATGTACTATAGCTAATACTCCCAGATTACCAGAACATTGTATAGAATGGGCAAGCGTAATAAAATGGGGTCAAGTATTCCCAAATCAAAAATTTGATGCTGATAATCCTGAAGATGTAGAATGGATGTATACAGCGGCATTATCTAGAGCAAATGAATTTAATATTGAAGGAGTTACTAAACTGTTAACTTTAGGAGTGGTTAAAAATATTATACCAGCAATAGCCTCAACTAATGCAGTTATAGCGGCATCATGTTGTAATGAAGCATTCAAATTAATTACTAATTCAAATCCAATTTTGGATAATTATATGACTTATTCAGGAGATGATTCAATCTTTACTTTTACATTTGAACTTGCAAAGAAAAATACTTGTTCTGTATGTGGAGTAACAGGAATATCAATTATAGCTCAAAATTGGTGGACTTTAGAAACATTTATAGAAGAAATAAGTGAAAAGAAAGATATTCAAGTTAAACAACCATCATTGACTACTTCTTCTAATTATTTATATTTAAGAAATCCTCCACATTTGGAAGAGATAACTCGACCTAATTTAAATAAGAAATTAAGTAATTTGATTAATCCTGGTGAAGAAATTATAGTTACTGATCCCAATTTACCCATGTCATTGAAATTAATAGTATCATTCGAAGGTCCTGAACTAGAACCAATATAGAGATAACTGTCTAGCAAAATAGTTGTATAATAGAATTATTGAAATAAATATTTACTTTTTAATATGACCATCTAAAAAAATTTATAAGAGAAATTAATAATTGAAATGAAATAAAACTTCCTCCCTATGAGGAAGTTTCTATGGGACCCTGTTCTAGTGATTTCATTTCATTATACATTAATGAATGGAATTTATCAATAGAATCAATATATATGTGATGACCACTGTTGTCAAATTCATACACTGAACTTCTAGTAGGATCCTTATGATAGTTATTGATAATATTAGAGCATAACTGACCACCTTTAGAATCCATCCAATCTTCCTTACCGTACCACCAAGAAACTTTGCAATCCAACTTGTGAATACCTCTTTCAATTAATGGATGTCTTGCATCTGCACCAGGTGCAAGAAGATAATTTAACATATATTCTCCTGATCCTGGAGCCAGAAAGATCCCATATGCGTATTTATGAAGGAGACTAGCTTCTTGGGGTGTTAAATGAGCAAACCGACGAGATGACCAACCACTAACAATCTTTGAACCTAAGGGTCCAAGCTTTCTGACAAGTGAAAATGGGGAGATGTTTTGTTCCCAAAGGGCTGCAAAATATCGTGGAACAGCTACTGGATTACGATGACGAATAATGGCACCTGGAGATAACATTAAAAGATGATCACAAAATTTGGGATTAACCTTTATTCCATAAGTGGCCATTAAATAAGCACCCATAGAATGTCCTACGACAAGAGTCTTAGATTCAGGAGATAATTTATCTAACCCACGACGAGTTATCCATGTCTTATAAGATTTATGGAACCAATTTTCAACTTCTTCTAATGTATCTTCAGCTAATTTAAATGGAGGACGAGATGAACAACCATATCCAAGTAAATCAACTGCATGAATACACCAATTATCCATCGTAGAAAGTCCATCAAAATTCTTTAAAAAGAATCCTAAACCACCTCCATAACCATGAACTAAGATTATATGGTTCATTTTGGCTGTATCGGCTTGAGTTTTACCTGGTGGGTATACTACAAACTCATTTATGAAATTTCCAGAATCATCAATAGGAGTATGAATTACTTCACTTGATCTTCCTAAAGCATCAGGATGAGGAAAGAATGGAAGTAAAGAAAGTAGATCATGTTGAAACTTGAGAGGATTATGGCGAGATGCATAATCATCAAGAGATTCCTTTATTGAGAGTGGGAAACTATTAGAAAATAATTTATTCAAAGGTACCGATGTTGGATGAGTTGAACGACGATAGTTCGAAATGACTTTCTTGATGGCTTTTGATTTCTTTGACTTGTCTGCATATTTTTTTGCATTGATTTGATTCCAGATATTGTTAATATCAAACCCATAAGATTTAGAATTAAGGTTAATATTTGAACTAGAAACAAATCGCTTGGAAACGATAATTTTCGCTGACATGATGATACTACTAGTACTTTAATGAATGGAAATGAAAATGAACGTATATCTCGACAGAAATGCAGAGTAGCTAGGTACCGAGCCTAATGCAAGGACTAGAGTATAAATAAGCAACGCAAGTAGTGGATGGAGGGTATAATATAGAGTCGAAACACTAGTTAAAATCAAGTGATGGTATAAATTTTTGTTGTACTCCCCCACACGCACTGAAAATTGCGAAGAGTCGAGAAACGTTTTTGATTTAGCCAAACAGAGATGTGGGTCAATAGACTGGATACGCGTCTTAACTAAGATCTAGTCAAACAGCTGTTAGTGTTGAGTGATTATTGGTATTAAGCTAGTGGGATTGTATTTATTGGTAATTTGGGCTTTTGTCTTCATGTGCTAGCGCATACAGCAGTAGCTAGAAAGACTATGTTGAGTCGCAAAAGTTGCAAAATGTCCCAACATAACTTTTAAACCCAAATATATGACTTTGAAAAAATGAGCTGATATAAAGTATATAAAATGTATAGTAATTATATTGAATGGTCAGAGCTTTTTTAGCAGATGTTGGATTTTGTATCATTTTGGCATGAGAATCTTCATAAATCCTGAAACGCATGAGTTACACACTATAATTTTCTTATGAGCTTCTTTTCTAACTAATAATCAAAATTAATCTAACTGTCAAATAAAAGATTCTACAATCTAAACTAAGCAAAGAATAAATTTGCAGCAAATCACTCTTATAGTTTAGATGGAAATCACACACGTGACTTTTTTTACGAAATAAGTTGTATGAACAGGTACACGACTTATGTACATAACTATGTTACTGACAACTGACAAAGGCTCGTAATTGATAAACGGCAATGAAGAGAAATACGGAAGAACAATTGGTAAGCTAAATATAAACCAAATAGTAATAAATCCCTGAGACATTGAAACTATTGTTTGTCTTTTGATGTCTATATAAAAGATCCCACAAATAATAGTAACGGCTATTTTAAATCTGTAATGTGCGGCATAGTGTTTATTTTATTATTATTGTGCTGGCATACGGAGAGCGTTTTGAAAACGGATGTACGATGTCCAATCAAACGATGTAATAAAAATGTAGTTTGACTCGACCTGCATGTTTAGCCAATTAAGGCTTCGGCTAATGGACATTGATGGAATTGATTAAATTGATTAAATTGATCAAATTGATCAAATTGATAAAAGTGGAATTATTATTTTTTTACTGCATTGATGAAAAAGATAAAAATTTTCACTTTCAAATTCAGACAATTTGTCGGAATTGTTGACTGCATATGAAATGTGAAATTGAATTATAGGTTATGGTTACATTTACATTTCTATTGGATGGATTTTGGTTAAGGGATGTAGGTTAAGGTTAATGGAGTATTTAGGATTGCTCTTATATCAATTTAAGGAAAGTACGTAATTAATAGTATAATATATATAGAGAATTTAATATTCTTTGTAGAAAATCTTTGAAGATTTATAATGTACAGTTATAGTACCGGAATAGATTGCCAATGCATATTCATATTTGCCAAAAATGCAGACATTATTGTGTATAAACATTGTTGTTTTCCGCTGGCGGACTTGAAAAATTTCTTATTCATATTATGAGAATAAATAGCTGAGCACTGATGTCTACGAAAGAGTACTTCTGAGCAAACAATTATATGATTTAAGATTGGTAATTAAGATTATATGCAATTCAATCAAGGAGGGTGCATCTTTACATCTTATAAAGATTAAGATTTAAATTATTTCCTTTATAGTATTAATAAAGTATAATAAACAGCCAATTAAATGTTGGTGTTCACATTCGATTTATTTTTTTTCGGCTCATTGAAACTTTATCTGATTGATCAATTTGATTAAAAACTTTTAAGCAATTTAAAAAAGATTGATCAGACAAAAAAAGAACATGTAGTGTATTTGGTTCAATGAACGGAATGGTCTGACAACACAATTAATCTCTCCTTAGTCGGACGGCTTTTACTCTTACATACATGCCAAGAGACTTCTAATTCTATTGCTATGACAGTTGACTATGCTAAGGAAATTTTACTCTCAATACCACGATTTGGCGACTCTTCCCCTGGCATATGAGGGACTATCATCGATACGGCATTATAGTATTGACAAGTACAAGGTAATACCCGTAGGAGTGTCGCCAGTTATAGTCATGCTTTAGGTGTTCACTGGATGTCTATTTCAACTCCACTTCGACCTTTTTAAATGAGCTCTAGAATTCTCTGCTAAATATTCCGACATTCGAAAAACCAAAAATCTTATTTTCTATTTCTTTACATTGTATTTTTTTATTTATTTTTTTTATTTTAAAATTGTGTCTGTCTGAATTCGCTCGTTTCTATTTCCCTTTAACTCAGTATAAATTTAAATCTATTTCCCACATGAGTTGTTTTTTTATCCTAATTTAACCCTCTTTTTACCTCTTGTTTCTTTAGTTCACTTTATTCATTCAATTGAATTATTCTTGTTCGGCAACTCCCACTGAAAAGTTAACTTAGCTCCAAGTTCTGCAGCCAACTCTGAAGTTAATTAGCATCCCTCGGATATTTTGTCTTTATTTTTTCTTCGCTCCATCTGATAAGAATTGTTTATCAGATCCGGTTGAAAAAGAAAGAAATATCTTTACAAAAGGAATAGTTGCAAACTGAAATTGAAGTGATTGCAAATCTTTCAGTCACTTGTACTAATCGGGCAAGACATTTCTCTTCCAAATTGTTTTAACTGGTTGAATTCCCCTGGTCCTTAACAATCCTCCACCTCCAACATCACAGTAGTCAGTCATAAAAATTTTCTATTCTAAGATGAAGTTAACTAGTTTATTATTCATCTCATTCATTCTTTCATTAGTATCTGCTGAAACTCATACATGGTATTTTGAAACCGGTTGGGTCAACAAAAATCCAGATGGTTTCTTTGAAAAACCCATGATTGGGTTTAACGGTACTTGGCCATTACCTATTTTAAGAGCTAAAAAGGGTGATACTATTAACTTATATTTGATTAATGGTTTCACTGATAGAAATACTACATTACATTTCCACGGTATGTTTCAAAATGGTTCTTCTCAAATGGATGGTCCTCCATTCGTTACTCAATGTCCTATTCCACCTGGTGAAACTATGTTATATAACTTTACTTTAACTCAACATGGTACTTATTGGTACCATTCCCATACTTCTGGTCAATATGGTGATGGTATGAGAGGTATTTTCTTTATTGATGATACTGAACCATATCCATATGATTATGACGAAGAAGTTATGTTATCAATTTCCGATAATTATCATCAAAATTCCGACTATTTAACACCAAGATTCTTATCAAGATTCAACCCTACTGGTGCTGAACCTATCCCAGACAGTTCATTATTTAATGAAACTAGAAATGCATCTTGGGTAGTTGAACCAAATAAGACTTACTTAGTTCATATTGTTAATGTCGGAAGATTTGTCTCTCAATATCTTTATATGGAAGGTCATGAATTTGAAGTTGTTGAAGTCGATGGTGTTCTTGTAGAAAAGAATACTACTGATATTCTTTACATTGCCGTCGCTCAACGTTATTCTGTTTTGATTCGTACTAAATCAGATGCTTCTCAAAACTATGCTTTCATGAATGCTTTTGATGATACTTTATTAGATTACATTCCTAATGGATTAATTCTTAATTCCACCAATTGGATTGTTTATAACGAAACTGCTGAACTTCCTGGTGAATATACTACTGACCTTACTCAATACTTTGATGATTTCTATTTGAGACCTTTAAGTAATACCACCCTTTATGATGATCCAGATTTCGTCGTTACTGTTGATGTGGTTATGGATAACTTAGGTGATGGTGTTAATTATGCTTTCTTCAATAACGTTACTTATACTGCTCCAAAGGTTCCAACTCTTGTTACTGCCTTAACTGCTGGTAAATATGCTACTAATGAATTAGTTTATGGTACTAACACTGGTTCTATTGTTCTTCAAAAGGGTGATGTCGTTGACATTGTTGTGAATAATCAAGATACTGGTAAGCATCCTTTCCATTTACATGGTCATGTTTTCCAAGTTATTGAACGTCATCCTGAATCTGACACTGATGTAATCAGTTTCAACTCTTCTGATCATGCTGAATGGCCAGAATATCCAATGATTAGAGATACTGTTTATGTTTATCCTCAAGCTTATGTTGTATTAAGATTTGTGGCTGACAATCCAGGTATTTGGTTCTTCCATTGTCATATTGAATGGCATTTAGATCAAGGTTTGGCTATTACTTTAATTGAAGATCCATTAGGTATTCAATCTAATCCTAACCAAGCTTTGTCTGATGATTTCATTAATTCTTGTACTAAGAATGGTATTCCTGTTGAAGGTAATGCAGCCGCTAATAGCAAGAATTTCCTTGATTTGACTGGTCAAAACGTTCAAGTTAAACCATTACCCACTGGATTTACTGCTAGAGGTATTGTTGCTTTAGTATTCTCATGTATTGCTGGTTTCTTAGGTATGGGTGCCATTACTGTTTATGGTTTAGCTGATATCAAAGATGTCGAACATCGTGTTGCTAGAGATTTAGATGTTGATATCGATGATGACGATGCTGATGGAGCTACTGCTTTTGAAGAAGGATCTTCATCAGCTGGTGAAGTCGGTAAATAAGTATGCTAGTGATATTTATTGTGGGTGAGTAAGAATTTGATTGTCTCTGATCAACTAGGTCATGAAAAATGTGTGTGTGTCGCGAGAGATAGTTCGCTAAAGTCCAGGCTATGAATGCTGGACAAGCAAGCTATCTGTCTTGAATTAACCTAGTCCCAGAGTTGAATCATTTTCTACAATGCCTACTAAGTCGCTGCGTTCCCCTCCCTTTCTTCCAAGTACACTTTAGTTGATGCTAATTCTACTAATGCTTTATATTTTCTACTATTTTTTTTATCTTACGACTCGACTCACTGCGATGCAGCCGCATGTCATGGCTATGATTGTCTTGATATACTGGACCCATATCTGTCAATCTAACCAACCCAGCTATGACATGTCTGTATCACTACTAATGACTCTATTCACTCCCAACTTCCTCCCCTTTCTTTACGTTTTTCTAATGTGTATCCCCTTATTACGACCCCATATTTTTAATATATTACTAATCTTAATAACTAAATAATTAATGATTAAATTGTAGTTGACTAAATACGCAAATATTAGTATCGCACGCTCACCTTAAAAAATTCACTAACAAAATTTAGTATCGCCCATTAACACAAACTACAATCACCACCACTATCACAACAGCTATGTTCGAAGCAGTATACATAGCTGATCTCAATGACTCACTAGTGTATGAGTACCGCATCAATCTAGCGAGCCCTCACTTCAAATCATTGATCAGTATCATCCGCTTGAAGAAGCAAGACGGAGACGGAGACGGGACAGGAGCCAGTGAGGACGAGTCGTTGATTGAAATCAATGAGGACTACTTTGTCGCATATGAACGAACCTCAAGTCTAATAATATATGTACTCTGTTCAGAGTCATCGTCTGTACCCAACAGTGTGTCCAATCCCGTCATTCCGTATGTGTTTATTAAACGATTGATAGAAGTTATGGCCGATTACTTTGGTACTCCATTGGCTGTCACCAAGATCGATGCTAATAATGATACTTTGACACTCCTAATTAATGAAATGATTGACAATGGTATGCCCAATGTAACAGACTTCAATAAGCTTCGAGATCTCATCCCATTCAAGAGTTTCCTCTCCAAGATACTTGGAAAGGGTAATGATTTAGCTGCTGCTACTAATAAAACACTTATATCCTTAAAAGGTACCCCACCTCCATCACCTTACGAACCTGCTGCAGTAGTCAATGATACATCATTGAATTCAATACCGTGGAGACGATCTAATGTTAAGTACACAAATAATGAGATGTACGTTGATGTTGTAGAAACCATTAATGTCATATTGAAACCAGTCACCAAAACAAGTGCTAACAATGCCCAATCACTTCTTGCCAGTAATCCAGCCACTCATTTTGATTCTGCTTACTATTCATCATCATCTCTAAAGACATCCAGTGCTATATTAGTGCCCATTGTTGGAAATATTGAAGGTGAAATCAAATTTGTATCCCATCTAACAGGAGTTCCTCTCCTTCAAATGATACTTTCAATATCAGGTTTAGGTATTAAACTTCCTAGTTTCCACCCATGTATCAAATTGGATAGCTGGGTGGGTAACCCAGGTACATTATCATTCATTCCTCCCGATGGAAAATCCACTCTTATGCAATATCAAATTGATCTTGATACATTTCCTGATCGTAAGTCCAAATTGGGACTTTTGGGAATTGTAACAGTGGATTTCCAATCGGGCTTAGGAGTCAATCAAAATGAATTTGAAATTAAACTCTTGGTTAAAGATATTAAATCAGTATCCAAGATTGAGAATCTTGTAATTGAAGTGGTATGCGCCAGTGCTGATACTGAGAAGAGAAATAAAAATGGAGATGGTCAAATTGATGAAGACGATGACGATAATAGAGCCAAAGAGAATGCTGTAGTGAATATTAAAGCTAGTAGAGTAACGCATGGAGATTTTTCATACAAGGGCAATGGTCGAGGTGAATGGAACTTACGTTCACTCTCTCCAGGACTCAATCCATTCATTCATGGTTCAATAGTTGCAGGATCTATAGATAGTATTGGTAGTTCTGATGATGGTAATACTGGAAGTGACTCACCACTGGACTTAATAGAAGTATCCAGTACCACTTCTAATACCAAACCTATAAAACCCTTATACTTGAAGATGTCCTATACGCACAAGGGAGCACTTCCTAGTGGATTAAAAGTTGATAGTTTAAAAATCGTTAGTGCTAAAGGATTAGGTGAAACTGTCAAGCCTTACAAGGGAGTCAAGTATATAACCAAGACTGGAGACTTCATAATACGTTCGTAAAAGATAAAGATAAAGATAAAGATAAAGATATATATATATATATATTTCAGTAAAGGTACACTAAAAGCTAAGGTAAATAGCTAAAGTAAATAGCTAAATTACAGTGATGACAATAAAGATGATCTAGCATTGGGATCACTATTACGTCCTATTACAAAACAGTTAATAAAGGTTCTAGATTATTGCCAGTACGTACCTAGCCTAATCCGATTTCTTACTCTTTTTCAATTTCTCCTTTTGAGCTTTCTTAATTAATACATTACCCACAAATGTCCCTACTCCTAAACCTGCCACTACCAATAATAACAAGGGTAATTTAATGGCATATTCACGAGGTAAAAATAAGTAAGTGAGAATACTAGATTCATCCACAAATGGTAATACAAATACCCATACTGAATAGTAAGCAAATACTGCAATGGCTACTCCAAGCATTCCAATTCCTACTTGTTGATCAAACGAGGACTATAATGGTTTATAAGTTAGTAATGAACAATGTTTTGTGTTGTTAGGCCCCATTATGTGACTATGAGTCATCCTTCTTATACATACCATTATCAATTATACTGAGGGAGTCTATAGTTGTAGTGGAATAAGTGATATTGGTTATTGAAATTTGGTACGTGTTTATATTGAGGGCTTTGTGCAGGAAGATCGCAATTATCATGACATTAAGAGTCTTCGCGACATTAAGAGATGTTTTCTTTCACGACATTGTGAGAGTCTAAATATGGTATTACTCTTTTAACTACTCTGGGTAAGTGCGGTAACTACACGACACATGGCTATCAATCTTGGCATTTCGTATAGATCACCCATACTACAAATACTTATGGCAATAGTAACTAGTAGAACACAGTAGAATTCCATGTTTAACAAGCTCAAAGCCAAGAAACCACCCTTGTCATTGAGTCAGGTATCGAATGTGATCAAAACCTCCGGATCTAAGGAATTATCACCGGAGGAGATCAAAGCTAAGTACATTAAACTTAGTACTATAGCTCAAGCTGGACTTCCACCTAATTCTATCCTTGCTATAGGTTTCGATCCTGTTCAATCATTATTAGCAGTATCCACCAAGACCAATGAAGTTCGAGTGTTTGGTCAACAATCAGTTGAAGTAGTCATTGAATTTAGTTCAACTAGTCCAATTACTCACCTTCGATTTGTTAAAGGTATTTATTTAGTAGCAATTTCTGCATCAATTGGTTCAATAATTATCTTATCATTAAAATCAAAACAAATTCTTGGTAAATATAGTGTTCAAGGAGGTATAATATCTATAGAAACTGACCCTAGTTTAGATTGGTTAATTTTAGGATTAAGTAATGGATCATTATTCTTTTATGATATTGATAGATTATCTATAACTCCTTATAGAATTGATAATTTACAAAAGAAAATTCTTCCTAAAATAAAAATGTCATCAGTACTTGATATTAAATGGCATCCACGAGATTTAGGTACTATAATGGTAACTTATTCTCATTCAGTTATAATTTATTCTTTATCTTCAGGACAAATTAAAAATTCATTTATTTATCAATTATCTAAAGGTGATAAGGGATTTGATACAGCTATGGCTATAGATTCTAATGGGAAAAAGAGTTTATTTGGTTCACCTAAAGAAGTAATTCCTGAATTAATTCAATCTCATTTTCATCCTAATGGTTTACATATAGTTACAGTTCATAAAGATAATTCTCTTGTATTTTGGGATGCTACAACCGGTACATTATTAGAAGCTAGAAATATTTTTGATATTAATTTACATAAACCTGGTCCACCTATAGTATTATCAGAAAATTTTACTCCTATAACTTCAGTAAAATGGATTTGTGGATCAGATCCTGAATATACTCAATTAGTAATTAGTGGAGGTGATGTTAAAGCAAATAATTTATTACATGTACTTGATTTTGGTTATACTCTTAAATATTCATTAACTTCACATGAAAAGCAAGGAGAATTCTATGCAAATCCTCAATCTGGTCAAAGAATTCTTCCTGTTACACTTAATGATAGTAAAACTCCTGGTACTGAGATTATTACCGAAATATTCCCCTTACCAAATGAGAATCAACCATATTTTAGTGGAACTCATGATCCAACTCATTTATTACTTTTAAGTAATATTGGAGCTATATATATTGTAGAATTCTCATCAATTGGAGGAGCTCAAGGAAGTTCTGATTTTTCAGATTTATTAATTCCTCCATCACTTTCTTCTGTTATTCCTCCAGTAAAGTTCTCAAAAATTCAATCAGTTAAAAGAATTGAATGGTATAGTATAATGTCAAGTCGTGTTAATAGTGGATCTACTGCTAGAGTTAAACAATTATTACGTGGAGGTGAACCAGCTCAACGTCGAAATACTCCTAGACCAATTGGATTTAATGCTGATTATAGAAGTATTTTAATTACTGGTCATGAAAAAGGTTTAGTAAGATTATTAGATATTTCAAGAGGTGAACACCAAGAACCAGAAAGAATTGTTCAAATTAGTTTAAAGGATACTTTATATGATTTTGGTAATCCTCAAAGTTTAAAAGTTTTAAATGTATCATGTGCATTTGAGAGTCGAGAATTAATTGTAGCTCTTGCTAATGGTGATGTTGTACTTTGTAAATTTGGTAAAGTTAATGGAATTAGTTCTCAAGGTAGTTTTACTAATAAAAGTTATTCAGATTGTGATACTCTTCATTCTAATGGAGATGCTAAAATTATTGATCTTAGTGAAAGAATTCTGAGATCTTTTGCTCTGTCAACAAATTTTCTTCCAGTTGGATTAATTGAATTAAATCAAAGAGAACCTATTACTGCATTAAAACATAGTGATATTGGATTTGCTGCTATAGGTTATAAATCAGGAAAATTAATTGTAACTGATGTAACTCGAGGTCCAGCCATTATATTTAATAGTAATATTAATGATCTTTTAATTTCTCAAACTAGTCTGTGTTATATTACTAGTATTGAATTTGCTATACAAGAATATGGTCAAGATGGTTATTCATCAATTTTATTATATGTTGGTACTAATAATGGAGGTAATTTAATGATTTTTAAAGTTATTCCCTTAGGAAATGGAGGTTATGATGTTGTATTTACTGATAAAAGTATTGGACTTAATTATAAGCATAATGGATCAGAAGGTGAATCTAAAATTGATCAAATCATTCCCATTGGATCTACTGATGGAATTTCATCTATTGCATCATTAGATAAATTTAATAAATTAAGTCAAGGCATTGTAGTACCTGGATATATTATTACTACATCTACTAGAGATATTAGAGTATTAAAAGTTCCTAAAGTTAAACTTGCTCATAGAGTAATTGAAGATACATGTTTATGTTGTGGTGTAATCAATTATCAAAATCAAGGTGTAGTACTTTGTATTTTAACCAAATCTGGATACCTTAGATTCTGTTCCTTACCATCTTTAAAAGAAATTTGTGATACTCAAATTCCTACCGAACTCTTTAAGAAAATTCAAGCCACTCTTAATCGAGCTGAAAGTGGAGATGCAGATGTATTATGGGATGGAGAATTATTCATTAGAACATGTCAATCTGAATTTTATCATCTTTATATCCATAATCTGGATTCTAAGAAATCAGTTGATACTTCAGTTACTGATATATTATTTAATGAAAATGCCATTATACCTCCAAGACCAACAGCTGGAGCTTTACTGTGGGCTAAAGGTCAAACTGGTTATGTCACTTCTAAGGATTTATCACTTCTTATAGCTGGTCCTAATCGAAAGGAACCTAAATTTGAAGAGAGTAGATTGGCTTATAATATTAGTCCTGAAGCTAATCCAAATCAATCATTTGGTGCTTATGCTACTCCTACATCAAATGATAGAGGTTATAAACCACCGGTAAGAAAAGCTACTGCAGGTAGTACCGGATCTTTAGGAACTCCTGGATTTATGAGAAGTTTTAGAGAAGGTTTAGAATCGGTAGAAGAAACTTTTAACTCCTATGCCAATACTGCCAGTGAGAGTATGACTCAAACTATTGAAGATCAGAAAAAGTCGATGTACTCAGCCGCATTCAAGCAAAAGTTTGGCTTTTAATAGATTATATATGATTATATATAATTAATATAATTACTGTCGTGCACACGACTTTACCGCCGCAGATAACTCTAGTTTGCAACTATGTAACAGATAAGCTACAACTATGTAACAGAGTATTCTACTACATAACCTATACTTAGTACTTATACAATTACATAGTTACTAGGGGCATATGGTATGGTAGGCACACACCCTCCCTCACTCAGTGTGCCCCATGAAAAAAAAAAAGATTTTATGAAATGTAAACAACGCGGAGAATTTACTATAAACACCGATTCTTACTATATAATTAGACACAAGTCCCCACTGTAATTCAATAACCAGTAGTGTGAAAACAACATGTCTACGGCCAATGACAATAAGGAGAACTCCCCGTCTACGCCCACGAAATCTACCGGTCCGGGGTATCCATTTCCACTGGGAAAAGTGCTTAAACCCATCTCACCTAATAAGTATCCAAATGCCGGAGGAGTAGGTAAGTTAAATTTTTTACAAAGTGATAATATTGATGAACACTTTGATCATATTCATAGTTTCCATGGAACTATACTGGAACAACTTTATAATTTGGAAGTTCAATCTAAACAAACAAGTGTAGATTTGGGACAATTAGTGGATAGACTGAAGAATAATAATCAGAATTTGAATAGGCTATTAGAAAATATAGCTAAATATTCTGATGAAGTTATAACTGAAGGAAATGCTACTAAGAATGATATAGAGAAACTTATATCCAAGTTAGATGAAATTAAGGGCAATATCGAGAAATCTCACGTTCAAGATCAAGATTTGAAGAAAGCCATTACTGATGAGGTACGTAACTCAAAGAGTCAACATCAAATTGAAGTATTAGAAAAGTTAACATACATAGTACAGAATCTTCCTGAACATGATCTAGTACGACAAGTAGTTGATCCCATTGTGGCGGAATTGAAATGTGTATCACTTGATCCAAAATCTCAGAGTTTATTAGAAGGAATTATGGAGAATTTTGGAGATAAGGAGGATCCATTTGCAGTAGTTCAAGATTTAAGAAAAGATTTAGTACAAAGACTTGACTCATTACTGACTCGAGAGGAAGACTACATAATTGAGTTAGAGAAAAGATTTCATAAACAAGATCAATTGATAAATGAATTGATATCCATAGTTGGATTAAAAGTTAATAAAAAGGAATTAGAATCTAATATTCAACTATTGGATGATAAATATAAAAGAATGACTCAAGATTATACAGCGAAATATGTCGAATTCCAAAATCTTCAACAGGAATTTGATAAACTCTCCAAAGCTTGTAAGGAATTAACCATTCCAAATCAAGCTCAAGATTTGCGTATATCTAAAGCTCACCAATTACATTTATCTACTATCAACTCATTCGGGAATCCCTCTCTTATTGTACCTAAAAAAAGAATTGTTAGTTCACCACTAATAAATCTCCCTGCTACGAATGATGAGGATCAAGAAGATTATGAAGATTAGATTAGATTAGATAAGCAAAAATTTTTAATTTAACTTAACTTAGCATATTATATACAAGAATGATATGTTGTCTATGTAATTAATTCTTAGTGATGACAGTTTTGTCATCCATATATGGTCGTAACACTTCTGGAATGGTAATTGATTCACTTTCTGGATTATAGAATTGTTCAATTATAGCTACAATCACTCGAGGAATAGCCATACATGTTCCATTGAGGGTCGATATATGAGCTATTTTCTGATCTTTATTATACTTTCTTATACCCAATCTTCTGGCCTGATATTCTCCACAATTAGAACAACTTGAAAGTTCTCCCCAGTTACCTCTACCAGGCATCCAAGCTTCAATATCATACTTCTTTTTAGCTGGAGCTCCTAAATCAGATGTGGCCATATTCATAACTTTTGCTTTAAGACCAAGTTCACTTATAATTTCCATTTGAAAATCTTTGATTTCTTCTAATTCCTTTGCAGCATTTGCACTATCAGTAAAATGGAATAATTCAACTTTTGTGAATTCATGAACTCTGTAAAGTCCCTTAGTATCTCTACCACTAGAACCTGCTTCTGCTCGATATGATCTAGAAATTCCCACATACTTAATAGGAAGATCTGTATTAGCATCAAATATTGTTGATGAATGTAAAGCTCCAAGAGGAATTTCGGCAGTTCCTGTAAGAGATTTTCCTTCACCTTCTAATTCATATACTTGCTTTTCATTATTTTGATCTTGTGGTCTATAGCCACATGCATGTATAATTTCACTTTTAACTATAGATGGAGGTATAATCATCTTATAACCTCGTTTACGAGCTTTTGATAAACTATATTGAATCAATGCTTGCTCTAATAATGCTCCATCACCTATCAAATAATACCATGATGATCCTGATATTCTCGAAGCAGTTTCAAATTCTACAAGATTGAGTTTCTCTCCAATATCTTTATGATCATATTTGAGTTTTGGTAACTTTGATTGAGCATCCTGTTCTGAATCACAATGAATGAAATTAGTGATATCATTAACTTCTGGATTAATAGGTACACTTTCATCAAGAAGATTAGGTAACAGCTCAGCTTTAGTATAAATATCTTCTATTAATAACTTGGCCTCAAGTTCCAAAGGTTTTAATTCTGCTTTAATTTGACCAAGTCTGGCAATGATTTCTGGTTTCTTCTCCTTCTGCATCTGATCTCCAAGACTAGATCTTTCACTTTTCAAGACATTAATTTGCTCGGTTAGTTCAATTTGCTTTCTTCGATTTTGTATGACAAATTGTAGATCATCTAATGTAGCTGTTGGTAACTTTCTTCGAATAATTGATTCTTGATATTGGTCTTGCTTACCTATAATCCCATTAATATCCAATTGAGGACGGAGTAAAATCGAACTATTTTTAGATGTACTTGCATGTCTCGCCCACAAGATCAGCCGCCTACCGACACATGATCCAATAGTACGTTTCATTATATATATAATGGTATGAAGTTAAATTGTTAATCTGTATTAGTCGATTTTTCATTTGGCATTTTGGACAATTTGGACATTCTATTGTCGCAAAATTTGAGAAATATTTTCGACAAACTACAAGACAATTAGAACTGTCCAACATGGTAAGAGAATTTATTTAAGTGTACACGCTTAAACATTGAATACGCTACAATACTTCAATTGAAGGAATAGTTATTGTATAAAAAATACGTAAGACATTAATTGTAAAAAGAAAACCAAAAAATAATAATAACTAATGTAAATTGTACAGAGAACTAAAATGAACAAATACCAAATGCTATGAAATGTGAAGTCTTTGCTTAATTGAAAAGCATCAATATAATCTTCTTAAAGAATGAGTAATGTTTTCTTCTTTCAGCTTCTTCAGCCTTTTCTAAATTTAATACTTCTTCATCAAAAATAGTTCTATTGGTTTGAATATCCATATCTTGAACTCTAATAAATAATTTCCAGTTTTTGGTATAAATCTTGTGACCAACGTAGAAAAGGATTAAAACAATAGCACCAAGATAGTTTTGGAAAAAGTTGGAAGCATTTGGCGTACCAGAACCAACTGGATATAAAGCTAACCAGAATTGAGCAATTAATACAAGAATGTACCAAACAATAGCATACCAAGAACCTAAAGTACCAGTAGAAGCAACATAACCTAATGAATCTAATGATATGTTGTTATGCTTCAAAGCAGATCTAAATCTAATGTGAGACATACAAATTCCAAACCAGGTGAAAATTTGAGAAAGACCAGAAATAGATAATAACCAGTTGAAGACTGTTTCTTGCTTTTTAAAAGCTGCAATAAATGAAAATAATCCAATAATTGTACAGACAATCAAGGATCTCAATGGTCTACCTGCTTTATCAATATAGTTAAAGTATGTAGGAGCAAAATGTTGTTCAGATAATGATTGTAAAGTTCTTGAAGCAGAATATAATGAAGATGATGCAACAGATGTAACAGATAATAAAATTACAGCATTGATAATTGAAGCACAAGACTTGACACCATGAAGTTCTGCAGCTAAAACAAATGGAGATGCATGAGAACCACCACCGTGAGAACCCATAAGTCTATCAGAAGTGTATGGAACCAATAAACCAACAATAGTTAATGAACCTAAAAATAAAATAACAATTCTCCAGAAGATCAACTTACAAGCATTAGGAATAGCTCTTCTTGGATTTCTCTGTTCAGCAGCACTCAATGCTACGAACTCACTCTGACCAAGACTAAAGGCACCAGTAACGAAGACAGAACAAAGACCCTTAAAGTTGGTGTGGAAACCAGGATCGTGCCAGTATTTTCCACCGATAAATTGCTTTTCTGGACCTCCACCAACGTTAATGACTATACCCATGATTATGAAACCAGTGATCATTAAAAGTTTACAAGAACCTAAAATGAATTCACCTTCACCGTAACCTTTTGCCCCATAAAAGTTAATGAAAACAATGACAATGTAAAAAATGGTAACCCAAACATCTGGATTAATACTAGTAGTCCAATATTGAATGGTCATAGCAGCAGTAACTAATTCAATAGCAATGACAGAAAGCCATTGAATACAATAATTCCATGTGATAGCAAAAGCTAAAGATTCATCAATAAATTTACGAGGGTAATTATTATAACCACCAGAAAGATCACTGTAATTAACAGCCATTTCACCAGCAGCTTGTAAAGTTGGATATAAGAAAGAACCAACGATAGCATAACCAACGATAAGGAACAAAGGACCGGCTGTATGAAGAACACGACCAGAACCAACTAAAAGACCAGTACCAACACCGGTGACAAGAGCCATTAAAATCAAATGACGATGACTAATACCTTTGGCTAATTGTTTACCAGCATCGACATCACTTCTATTTTGTCTTCTGAAACTGTCTTTAAACTTTTCCCATCCAGATAATTCTGAGACAACAGTAGTTGAAGAATTAGTATCAGAACCGTCTGCTGAAGCATTCTTTAGTTCTGATACTATAGGATTTAATTCTATATCTTTTTTATTAAACGACATAATATAATATTTCTATAATTCTATGAATGAATGATAATTGAAATAAGAAATAGGAAATAAAACAAACTAAAAAAATTTAAGGAATATTATATTTGCAAGTAACGATATTTCAAATCAGGTGGGGGAAGCTATATATTTATAAAAGAAAATTATCATAAGATGGTTAAAAGATAATAGAACTCATAATTTCTGCAAATGGAATTTGATAGCATCTTACAGGTCAAAGTACGCTGCTTATCAAACAGAAATAAATTACATGACTACATAATATACCTATTCTGTTTGTATTTTGGGGAAACTTCTAAAATGTAACGGGACCTATTTCCCATTCAAAAAAGCAATATATCTACCGATGTAGTAAGGCATTTTGCTCCTCTTCCCAAATTTGGCAGCAGGCTGCAACCTTAAGGCATTTTTACTAGTGAAAATAGAACAAAGCGAGCGCAAAGTCCACAAATGCGGAAAGTGCAACTAGAAAAAGAAATTTACTCGCATGACAGCGAAAGTACTCTTTCCTTTTTGTTAGTTAGTTTAAGCACTGAAGAAATGAAAAGCCAGTATATTTTTTAAGAGAATTATAATTGGATTCATTGAAGAGATTCAAAGGGCTTAGTAACTGTTGGATAAGAAGACACTAAAAGCCAACAGCTACTATAGGAATTCTGTCAAAGGGTTATGTCAAAGATTTAGGCTTTATTGCTTATACGAAATGTGACAAACATCTGATGATAATCCTAAAAATTCTTGGATTAGATTATTCGTGAAGGGGGGGAATAAACAAATGACTAACATTTTTAGTGTAGCGATGAAATACAGTTCATAGTTCATTGTCTCACATTCCATTTTTCTAGATGTATATCGCCGCTCGAATATTCCAGGGCCTAAATCATGCGAAAGGCAAAAATTTTCAGTCTCCGGCTTTTTTGCATGAAAGACCGGTTCCGCCACTTTATCTACTCCCCACCAAATCTTTGTAGCGAGATTTTTAGCTTATATAAACTCCGCCGGATTTAGAGAAAAAAATGCCTTTCTTTTGTTTAGGCTTTGTACGAATCTTTGTAGGCTGTCAAAGATCTTTTGTTTTATTAAAAGAAATTAATGAAATGCCTCACGGTATTTGATTTTAGGCTTAAAAGTGAAGTACGATCTCCGCAACAGGTACGGGAAGACTTAGACTATTTACTCTATTTACAGAGTCAAGTTGAAGTTTTTAGTTTACTAAATTAAGCAGACTATCACCGTTAGATCAATATCTCCACCTGTAGATGCACAAAGATAAGTAGAATAAAAGTGGAGAAAAGATTCGGAGTCATTTAAGTTGATTTATTCATAAACACCGACCTTTATATTCATTCTATTATACTTTCTATTGAACTAAACTATTTACATGTAAATCAATAATTTTTATTGAAAGTTATTGATCACACGGATAATGCATCCAGACCAATAATTTCCATTGCTTTGGAGTCACCTTTACTTAATTCTTGATTATCCAAGGCATCAGCCAAACATACCCAAGGATCTCTTGTACCTCCCCATTTTAGTATACTATTTTTGTACTTCTCACCTGCTTGTCTACTCCAAGGATCATCTTTAAATAATCCTTTCCAAATTTTCTCTGCAATGGCTCTATCTAATAAATAAGAGTAATAAACTGCCCCATAAGAAAATAAATGAGGAAATTTACCATGCCAAGTTGATACATCATCAGCAAAGATTGATAATTTCTTTTCTAAATCATGATAAACAGGAGTTGAATCAAAATCATAAAAGCTACCAGGCAAATTTTGAACGATATAATCGTCATGTAAAACTTGATCTAACATTGCCATCTTTAATTGCATATAAGTTTCACAATCTCCTAAAATGACTCTATTTTCTTGATGCTTTTTCAATAATGATTCTGGTAACAATTCACCCGTGATGTGATGTCTACCTATCTTACAAAGAACTCTAGGATCATTACTAAAAGATTCCATTAAGACTGAAGGTAATTCAACAAAATCAGTTGCACATCTAGTACCTGATAAATTGTGAAGATTTGTTTTTCCAATCATTGAATGCATAGCATGACCCATTTCATGGAATATAGTATCTACTTGATCTAATGAAAGTAAAGTTGCTTCTTTACCTTTTAGACCAGCAAATTTTCCAAATGATGATGCAGATCTTTGAAAGTTACATATTAAGGAAATAACCGGCAATTGAAATTCTTCACTTTCATCAAGTTGAACAAGATGTCTCAAATCATTTACATTTTCAGTATTATTAATTTTTCTCAGACACACTATGGTAAAGTGAGATGGGAGAACTTTTGGTGACCAGAAATCAAGATAAAGGTAACCTAGAGTTTTGTTGGCAGATAAATCGACAACTTTAACTTTTCTTACCTGGGCTTGATCCCAAGTTTCTCCCATAATTGTAGCTTCAGGAACAAATTCTATATTATAAATGGAAGTGAATAATTTGCTTAATCCTGATATTATAGTGCCTACAGAAAAATACTCATTAATGTTTTGTAATTGTTTTTCATTATCATGAGATTCTTCATGTAATTTACTCAATAAATAGTCACGATCCCATGGTCTTATACTTTTAAATATCACCTCGTCAGAAGCATTTCTTTCGGTTGAATTTTCTTCTTTGTACTTGTATAAATTTCGAAGTTCATCTAACACACCATGCTTTCTCAAAGATGTTTGAAGATTGTTAAGGAAAGTAACTACATTCTCTGGATTTTTAGCCATTTTATGTTCGAGCTGATAGTGAGCAAATGATTTATATCCTAACATTGATGCTAATAATGCTCTAGATTTAAGAAATTCATTTAGAGTATGCACTTGTCCTTCAGGAGAATTATGTAATGATATCCATACTTTTCTTCTTACTGATTCAGTATCACAATCAGTTAAAATACTATAAGGAATATGACCAATTAAAGGTATCAGAACAGATTTTGCATCATTACTGAGAGGACCTTGATGTTTCAAAATTTCTTTCTTCAAATTAGGATTTTTAATAGATTCAAATTCAAGTCTAGAAACTTCACACCAATAAGCTTCTAATTTATGAATTCCATTACCAAACTGTGATCCTAATTTAGAAATTTCTTGTGTTATAGCTACGAAATTATCTCTTGTAGTTGGATCCATGTGAATACCAGATCTTTCAAAATCTTGTTTAAGATATTCACCAACTTGAACTTCTTCTTCGGATAATCTTTCAGTTATATTAGAATCATTTAATATATCCCGTAAATGTTTATACAATTCCACATTTGTATTAAGTTGATTCATATATTCAAACATAATTTCATGAGTTTGTTGAGCTGCATTAATCCATTTTTCACTTGGATGGGCTACTCGGATAAATTCTGCAACGTCGATTACTCGACATAATATATCGGAAAGTTGATCTAATCGGTTGATATAATTTAATTTTCCTACTTCATTTGATTTTGCCTCTTGTATCATGAGTTCAACCAACTGTTTAGCTTGTTTTAAAGATACTTTAGAGAACTCTATAAGTCCATCTGGGGTAGATAAATTTTCATTCTTAAATAAACCTGTTTTTTTATTAGATAATAATGAAGGTAATGGTCCAACTTTACTTTCAGAATCCTTATTAAAATTACGAAAGTACTTTTGATCATCGAATACTAGCCTTAAATGATCAGATCTTCGTACTGTAGTAGTACTGAGATTTCTTATACTGGCTGGAGTAACATATCGAGATATACTAACATTGGTAATAATCGGCTTACTTTTAAGAGCCACTCCCACTATTCTCATATTTCTTACTGAAACATCAACTAATTACCAATGTAAATTTATATAGATATATATTACTGTAAAATGTAATGTATCGTATTATAAACTTTTCATCTCAGTTCCCCGATTGGGTTGGCCCGATAGCGCAGAATTTTTTTTTCTTATGTCGCAAACCGATTTGTCGCTGCGACGTATATTTGGCACATTATCAGTTGTAACAATCTAGAATCTTCATTAGATAAAGTCGGTGAATGATGTTTCTGACTTAAAGAGGCATAAAAATAAGATTGATTGAATGAATGAATGAATGATTGATTAACGAGTTCATTGATTGATTGCTTGAATGGACTGCTCAGATAAGGATTGATTCATCAAATACTCTTCGGAAAAAGCAGCCAAAAGATCTGATCCCCCAAATATTTACAGCCAAGTCTCACTAACTAACAATCCTTGGCTAAGCCCAACCGATCGACCAATCAATCAATCAACCACACAGCCAATCAGAATTCCATCATAACATATCTGATCATCCATATCTTCCAGATTAAACTTACTAACACAGTTATATGACTATAAGATTGTTATAAGGTGTAGCCGTGCCAGAAAGTCACTAAAATATCCTGTGACCGCAAAAAAAAAAGTTGTGAACACGAACTCCCACCTAAAACAGAAGAATGCACCCATACCGCAGTAGTTAATATATAGAACCCTTATTAAGAACCTGTATTAAGCAATAATGAAAACAAAATTTGAGAACAAAATCAGAAGAAACTACCGAACAAGATAAATTCAGGAACACTATAAAGTGCTTGTCACGAGGAAGAAATACTGTAGTGGAACCAATACGATATACAGGATCATTAGGTAATAATTCTTGTAGAACTGTATTATATTAGAAACCAATTACTGGATCCAATTTGTGTGAAATTGTGTCGACTACAACTAAGGGAGTAGGAAGTTTATAAAGTATTATTTATCTATGATCTAAACATTTTAAGTTCCCTTAAGTATATTAATATAAACGACATGATGTCGAACAATTCAAATCCATCCGTAACTCAACAACAAGAACCAAATCGATCTCAGCCACAACTACAATCATCTCAATTGATTAAAAGATCTGCTCGAGATTATCAGTTTGGTCAAAAGATTGGTGAAGGATCATATTCTAGTGTTTATTCAGCAGTTGATGTTCATAATGGTAAAACTTATGCCATTAAAGTTCTCAGTAAACAATATATAGTTAAAGAAGATAAAATCAAGTATGTTAATATAGAGAAAACAACATTACATCGATTAGGATTACAACATCCAGGAATTGTTCAATTATACTATACATTTCAAGATGAAGCTAGTTTGTTTTTTGTATTAGATTTTGCAGAATATGGTGAATTATTATCAATTATTAGAAAATTTGGTTCATTATCTGAACCAGTACTGAAATTTTATATGTGTCAAATTGTCGATGCTGTAAGATTTATTCATCTGAAGGGAGTTATTCATCGAGATTTAAAACCCGAAAATATTTTAGTGGCTCATGATTTCAGTCTTAAAATAACTGATTTTGGAGCGGCTAAATTATTGGGTTCAAGTGATGATCCTAATGATGAAGCTATTGATTATAATTCAGTCAATCAAACAAATGGTGATACGGCTGTAACCACAAATCAAGATCGTAAAGGTTCATTTGTTGGTACGGCTGAATATGTATCACCTGAATTATTAAAGCATAATATTTGTGGATTCGAAAGTGATGTATGGGCAATTGGTTGTATATTATTTCAATTTTTCAATGGAGTTCCTCCCTTTAAAGGTGAAACAGAATATTTAACTTTTGAAAAAATCATTAATGTTAATTATAATTTTGCTCCAGGAATTCCTTATCCTCCTGAAGTTGTACAATTAGTTAAAAAGATTTTGGTGGCTGATCCTGCTTCTAGATTAACAATTCCTCAAATAATGTCTGATAGTTGGTTTTCTGGTGTACCTTGGGATGATGTTAGTTATATATGGTATCGAAAAGTTCCTAGATTTGAACCCTTTATAAATTCTAATCCTAATCCTAATAATATTCCAACTTCAAATTCAAATTCAGCTGGAAATTTCACTCCAATAATAAAATCGGGTAGAAATGTTAATAAATCAAATTCTTATCAACAATTGCATAATCAAATTCAAAATTCAGACTTTAATTTCGTACCTTCACTTGCTAAGAAATCATATCAACCGGCTACAAAGATAAAAAAGAACTTTCTTCAACCATCTCCAATGCCAATGCCACCACCTCAACCAGTGGGGTTGGCTCCAAAATTAAATAATATTAATAGGATTCAACCTAATTATGTTATAGGACCACCTCCAAGACCGCAACAAATGTATCAAAACAACAATACCAATAATTCTCCAAAACAACCATTATCCAATTCTCCTTCTCAACGTGAAGTACCCAGTACTACAATCAATGAAGATATTCAGAGACTGTCTCCTCAATCTGCAGCTCCTGAATCCCCATCTAAAACTGCCCAATTTAACAACTTACGAAATAATACTGCATTTGCCAGCATTGCAGCATCATCATCTTCAACAAATGTAACTAAGGCCACTTCTTCAGCACCTAAATCATCAGTACCTATTGCACCTAAATCAACAGTACCTATAGCTCCAAAATCCGCTGTTCCACATGCACCTGTGAAGAAAGCATCACCACCAGTATCCGTGAGACCTAAACCCAAACCTATCACAAGTGCAAGTGCAGCAGCAGCTGCTGCTGCAGGTGGATCTTCAAAGAGTGTAATGACACAAACACTGCAGGCAACTCCCAAACCACTGCAAGCTGAAAAGGTTGTTACAAAACCATCCAAACCAAATCCAAACCCAAGTACATCACCTGTATCATTACCAAAAGAATTATCAGGAAATGTAATTAAATTCCGAGAAATTTCTAATTTACTTGAACAAAATGAGAAGATTTTAAAACTTGATACGATATTAAAACTGCAATTGAGTAATAAGGTTTTAAATAGAAACTTAAGTGTACCATTAGATGATGTGTTAATAGATCAATTAGTTACTCAGAATCTGTATAATTTAGAAAGACATGCTATTCCTGTGGTAACTATCATTACTAATCTTGCTCGAGTATTCTTTATTGATAGATCACTTAATGTCATGCTAGTAGATTTAAAGGCCAATCAAGGTGCTGATTATCTGATGTATGATTATGAGTTTGAGAGTATAGCTATAGATGAAGATGATCAATCTGTTTTAGGAGAAGATGTGTTTGGTTACTTAATATTGGAATTAATTAAAGAAGGTGGAGATTTAATATTCTTGAAAAGAATTAGTCAATTAGATCGCTTATCTTTAAATAATCCGGTTAAAGTAGTCGACAAGAATGGTGATGAAGTCAAATTGGGGAAGAATTATGGATGGATTGATTGTTTATTAATGGCCAAAGAAATGGTATCTAAGGATATTAAGGAACCATCAGGAGTAGATCGAGGTGCTAGTCCTGTACCAGCTCCAACATCTGCTTCAATATCAACTCCTACACTTACATCTACAACTACAAGTGCACCAGCCAAACCCACTACTAAATCAAAAACCAAGACTTCAGCCCCTAAGATTAAGAAAACCATTCAACCTAGTTTTGGTAGTTCAACTGCTGCATCATCATCCCCTAAACAACAACAAATCAGTAAATTTGCATACGCCGCAGCTGCAGCTGCTCATAAATAGTTTTAGTTTTCATGACATCGTCGTCCATTACATACATACATATATACAAGTAGATATTTAAGTAGAAGTTAAAGTGAGAAAGAAGACTTGATCAATATACAATGCATTTATATACACTTCTTAAATTCAACTAACCAATCCTTATAGTAACATTTATTTTTTAATACTTGATCAGTTTGCTCACGAATAATAGTTTCTACTGATTGCTCATTTCTTACCCACGCTTCGATTCTGTCGCACTGAGCAAATTGATCCTCAATCTTTTGCTTATATGACTTTAACGCGTAAGGATCAAGTCGTAAATTAAAATCTGATTCCTTAATTTCGTCTGGATGACCCCGTTGTTGAATCTCTGATACTGTTTGATTTCGTAAATCAGTGATATAATTATCACAGAAAGTTATCACCTCACTACGAGCTTTCCATTGAGGAACTATTTTAGCATGAAAATATTCATCACATTCTTTATTTGTCTTTATAGAATTTAAATGTTGCCTAATTGTATCATCGGTGGCGATTCTTGAAAGTCGTAAAAAGGCTCTAATTCGAGTTGAAGAATTACAATTGTCAGCAGTTAGTAATTCCACAGGTGCAACGGAACCCAGCGTTGCCATTTCTTTTTGATGTAGTAGCCAATTCACTTTGACTAGATATGTCTATTACACTAAAAGATGGTAAGACTAGAATAAAAATTGCGCCCTCACTAATAAAAATTTTGCCAGTGATATATTACTTTTTAACTGGGTATTAATTTAAGTTATTTAATATTAATTTATTTAGTTAATTAATTAATCCACCATGTATGAAAGTGAAGATGCACCATATATGCAAAGTGAAGATGCACCATATATGCAAAGTGAAGATGCACCATATATGTATGCGTTCACGCTTGCAATCAAGCGTCATTTGGAAATCATTAGTAATATAGAATCTAATGAGGAACACAGTGAAGCAGACAAGATTCATCATCTCGATCGAAATAGTGATCTTCAGCAAGTGATAAAGTTCGGAATTAATAAATATTTGAAATACTTTATTGAATATGAATTAAATAGAAAGGAGCCACCTAAAGATTCTGTACTTTTCAGTTATGAAGATTACTTTTTGGATCCTGATGTTGATGCCATAGATTTCCCACCTAAGATTTTCACTAAAGATATTATTGAACAAATCGAAAGTGGTAATGGTAATGGTAATATCAATCATGGTCCATTACGTGAAGATGAATTAAGTAAGATATTTCATAGTATATTGCTTCAAGTATTAGAATGTTATCGTCATTCATTTGATTGGTTTTATGAGAATGATTATGTTGAAGATAATACATTATTAACCTATTACTGTGGTGAATATTTAGGGAGTGAAGATTGCTATGACACATTCTCAGATATGAAGCCATTAGCACAAATAAGTGATCCATTGTTAACCAAAATGAGATCTATTGGTCATACTCTTCGAGGCGATATAAAAACGAAGGTTACACTTAATGAGCTATGTTTTAATTTTACAAATCTTGTCAAGAGTCATATAGAATTGATGAATCAAAAGAATGTTCCTAGTTTAACTACAAAATTACGAGAACAAGGTAATAATCTTATGGCCAATCTGGCCTTTGCTCAAGCCATTAAAGTATATACCAATGCAATACATTTAAGTAAACCATGTACAACTTCACAACTTCCACAATTATATACTAATCGTGCCATTGCATTTATAGGATTAAATTGTTTTCCAGAAGCAATTAATGATCTTGATAGAGCTGTTAATTTGGATCATAGTTTCACTCCTGCATGGACTCAATTAGGTTATTGTCATTTATATATGGGGAGTGCATTAATTGCTTTAAAATCTTATTTAATAGCTTTAAGATCGGCTGTTGGAGAAATTCTTCCTAATGGCAAAATGTCTCAAGATAAGGAATTTTTAGCCACTTATAAATCTGCTAAAATGAAAACAGTTTTACCACAATTCATTCAAAGATTATGTCAATCTATTGGTTTAACTGAGAAGAGAGCTTATCAACAATCTGAACCTATTCCAGAAATTAAAAAGACTGTAGCAGAAGTTCGAAGAATATTGGCAAATTTAAGGGCTGAATGTTCTGAATCTGATCGTGATTACTTTGTTTATTTTCCTCAACTTCGTGATTCTAATTTAAGAAATACTTCCGAAGTTTCTAATAGAACTCGTCCTAATATACTTACTAGAGAAATTGCTCAAAACATGCTTGCATCTGGTGGAATGGAAACTGTTACGGTCAATTCTAGGGGTGATCCCTTGAGAAGACCATTCACCACTACCACTACCACTACTACTTTCCCAATAAATAATAACACTGCTGGTGTTTCTGCTACTCCAGGAGCTGCTACTACTGCTCCAGGTGCTGCTGCTACTGCTGCATCTGCTGCTGCTTCAGGTACTGCTTCTGCTGCCAATACTGCCAATACCACCAATACCACCAGTACTAATAATACTCGATCCACTCCAGCTACTACAAATAATACTAGAACTGGAGATAATGTACCACCCATTCCAATCCCAGTCAATGGTATTCGGGAAATCTTTAATGATTTTGGTGATTTATTTGAACGTCTGCGGAATAGAACAAATGATCAAAGACCCAACGAAAGAAGAAATTTAGGAGATATTATTTCAGGAGCATTTCAAGGAGGAGTTATAGATATGATATCTGAATTTGCTGGACCAGCAGCTGAAAGAATCTTTGTAAATGGTCAAGAAGTTGATCCTACATCACTTCGAAGAGAGAATCGTAGTCCTGATGATGATGAAAATGATGATGACATAGATATGCCAGATGATTTAGATTAATCTACATTATTATTTGATTTCCTAACAAAGTTTATAATTAATATATGACACAAAAAACTAAATAAAGACGTAACTATAGAACAATATGAAATGGATATGATGCAAGAATACTTTTTCAATAAAGTACATCTACTTCTTTTCTTTCTTCTCTTTCTTTTCCTTCTTTTCCTTTTTTTCTTTCTTATCTTTCTTTTCTTTCTTTTCCTTCTTTTCTTTCTTAGATTTCTTTGGTTCTTCTTCTTCTTCATCATCTTCTTCTCTCTTTCTCTTTTTATCCTTCTTTTCTTTCTTATCTTTCTTTTCCTTCTTCTTATCTTTCTTTTCTTTCTTAGATTCAATTTCTTCAGTATCAGATTCATCATCAGAATCTACTGAAGCAATAGGAGCAGCATCAGCATCAGCATTATAAGCACGAGCTTCTGTTATTTCTATCTTCTTTTGTTCTCTAACCACTTTAGAAGTTGTTCTTAAATCTCTACCTTCAAGAGCACTTAATCTTGATTCAACTTTAGATCTTACTTGTAAACCAAAATCTCCTGAATCATCTCTTTCTTCAGCTAAAGAATCATATCTTAAAGCAACTGCGGCTTTAGCAGCTAAAACTCTAGCAATTTTCCCCTTATTTTTACCAGTAGCTTGTCCAACTAATGATGCATGATATAATAAACCATATTTTGGTGTATCATGTTTAGTCTTTAAAGCTCTAAATAAAGCCTTTTCAGCTCCTAAAATTTGAATAGTAGAAGCTGGAGCTTTAGCTAAAGAAGTTAAAGAACCAGCATGAGCAATTAATCTTGCACCAACTAATTCACCAACTAAAGCAGTTAAATTTGGAGCAATTGATTTCATTCTTGAAGTTAAATAATTTGATAATTGTTCTCTATAAGCAGCAAAATCAACAATTTGTTCAGCTAAAGCTTTAATATTATCTAAATCATCAGTAGTAATTTCAGTACCCATTGAAACTTCAGCAGCAGATTTAACTTGTTCTTCAATTTCTTCAGGAAGAATTTCAGATAAGTCAGTTTCAGAAGCATTTGATCTAACTCCCATAGTTAAAATAATATTAGCATAAGCAACAGAGTCAGTAATCATTTTTGCCAACTCTGGGAAATGCCAACCATACCATTCTTTACATCTCATAGCATAAGTATTTAATTCTTTATCTAAATCATCTAATAAAGCAATGGCTTGAACAATCATTGTATCAACTTTATCAGCAGAAAATTTTAATTTATGACGACCAATAGAATGAGCTAAACCAAGAGACATTTGTTTTAAAATTGAATCATCTAAACCTGGTAATAATTCTGGTAAAAATTCTCTAATAGCTCTATGTAAATCTAATGAAGCAGCATCAGAAACTACTGAAAAATTTAATCCTAATTTATTTATAGCATTACCTAATTTAGTTTCAGAAACAATTAAAGTAGCCTTCTTATCAGATTTAATTTCATCTAAAAATTTCTTTAAATTATCAGATACTTTACCTTCAATAATAGCATTAGCTTCTTCTAAGGCATTGGCAGCGGATTGAAACTTTTCAAATCTATGAATTTTAAATTGTTGAGCAACTTTTTCAGCAGTATTTAAATCTTCAATTAATGAACTTGACTTATAAATCTTCTTGTCTGATGCCTTTAATAAGGCATACCCAGCAGAAGTTTCAGTTAATACATAAGCCATTTTCCTACACACTCACTCACACGAATAACAATAACAAAAGTAGAATAACACTAGCAAATATATATGATATGATTGAGATGACTATTACTATTCTGCTTCAACAAAGGATGTGAAAAATTATTGTGAGTAGGATGAGATTTTCTAAAAATTTTCTTTGGGAGGGAAAGAGAAAAAGTGAGATGGACTCACGTGCGTGCGCATGTGCATGGCATCACGTGAATATGTATAAATTTTAAAATTGAGTTAATTATCATAATTAGTTTAATTATTTTTAATTAAAGTATTCTTATTGTTTAGTGGTAGTATAGAGATACTTGTAATAATATGTATGAGAATTTCTTTCATAGTTAAATGAGGACTTATGGCTAGTGTTAATTAAATGTAAACAGTAACACAAACCTCATAGTGGAAAATTATACAAAAGACGCGAATTAAAGTATAGAGGAACCCCAGTAATTAACAATATCTCACTAACTGAGCTGTATCACAACTCAGGTGACATAGATTGTGCAGTATAATGGCTCATATAGAGCTGACCAGTACGGGAAGTAGTTCTGGAGATTCGAAAAAACGATCGGTAGCCACTGAGAACATACGACCATCGAAACGTACAACCAAGACTCAATACTTCTTTCAACCTATTAATACCCTTACCTCCAGCACCAGACATTCTAAGACCAATTCCTCGGAGATTCTCAGTGGGATAGATCTTAACAATTCAACCAAATCAATTTCAACTCTTGAAGTGAAGAAACTGCCGGAGACAGACCCTGAACAAATCAATACAGAGAATAATTATGAATTATTGATACGCGATCATCAAAGCTCAGATGATAGTTTTGATGGTATAAAATGGAAGCCTAGTCCTACTAAGTTCCAAAGTACGACTACAAATGGAAATACAAAAGCAAATGCAAATGCAAATGCCAATGATCCTATACCGTCATCGCCACTTAAGCAAGTGGTATCATCCACATCTCTTGAAATTAAAGATAGTGATTCTCCCATAAATGAACAAACTAATTCAGTACTATCCAAATATGGTACAGGACTTCAGAATGTTATATCACAAACTCCTACTCTTAATCGTGCTAGATCAGATATTAGTGGTGTCAAGCCTGGAATTCCAGAAGTTAAGATAAGACCAGCATTATTACGAGCCAAATCCAATGGAGTTGAGATTCTTCTGAATACTTTCTTCAAACGAGATTCATCAACTGCATCTGGCACTACCTTAAATGGGTGGATAGACAAATTTGAAGATTCTAATCCCAAAAGTATGACTTTTAGTAGTAGAGAAACTACACCCATAGTGGCTAGTGATTGTGAATCTGAAGATCCATTCTCGGATGATGATTCAGAAATCATAGCTGCATTAGCTCGAACTGAGCCAGTCACACAGACTATGGCTGAGCCAGTTCTCCAGGCTATGCCTGCTATAATAGAGCAAGAGCAAAATGAGTCAGATGATCCGTTTACAGATGATGACTCTGAATTAATGCAGATCTTGGATAAACGTGACTCTGCAAAATATACCAAATCATTTCAAGCAGGTATAAAACGATTTGAAGATCTTCAATTAGAAAAAGGGTCATTCAATAAAAAAGAAATCGATGATCTTCAAGTATCATTTTCTAAGGAGAACTTAGCTAGATATAAAATCAATAAAGAACCAGTGGTATTAACTAAAAGTCCATTAAGGAAAACTTTACTGGTAATAGATAATAAAAATAATGTATTAGATATAACTGTGGGAGGAGATTTTGCTGAATTAGATTATAAAGTTGGAGATATAATTCATATCTATCTAACTCATAAGGAATCCCCATGTTTAGTAGATAATAAACATAATTTATTAATATGGCATCCTGATATACTTCTTTCAGCTACCACTATATCAAGTCAAATCTCATGTTCTCGACGATCAGTATTACAATCCCGATTTAAATTTAGCAGTGGAACTACTATACCAATTATAGTAGGACAAATAATTCATCTGATGTTTCAAGATTGTATGACACTGGAGACATGGGATATGAAATATTTAAGACAATTAAAGGATCAGTATATTAAATTATATTTATTACAAATATATAGCGTAGGACCTCGAGTTGAGGATGTTGGAAAGGAAATTGAATTACATATACCATATTTGGAGTCATGGTTTAACAAGTATTATAAGAAGAAGATTCTTAATATTGATAGTAAGATTGAAAGTATGCCTCGAGATGATTCAATTCGATTTTCAGCTGCTGAAGCTCTTGATATTGAAGAGAGTATATGGTCACCAGTATTTGGAATTAAAGGGATGGCTGATGTAACATTACAAGCTAAAATTAAAACCAATGATAATGAAGGTACATTTCTTTTACCTATGGAAATTAAAACTGGTAGAGAACATATAACTCATCAAGCTCAAGCTTCATTATATTCTTTATTATTTAAAGATAGATATGATATGGATGTTGTATCATTTCTATTGGTCTATACCAAGGAAAGAATCACTCGGAAATGTGATATAAATAATCGAGATTTAAAATCTTTAATTCATTTAAGAAATTGCGTAAGTCCGTATTTTAAAGAAGGAATTAATGAACTACCTCCATTAGTTAAGAATTCTGAATGTGATTGGTGTGATATTAAACCAGAATGTATGATAACTCATCATCTTTTGGAGGATGGAACTCCTGAAACTTGTGGAATTAAACCTTCTGAATATATTGGTTATACTGACCATCTTGTTGGTCAACCTCAATATAATGAATTCTATTCTTATTGGTTAAGAATCCTTGCTAAAGAAGAAGCTATGCAAAAGAATAATACTAAACATATATGGATGATGACATCTAAACAACGAGAAGATATTGAAGGACTTTCAATTGGCAATTTACATATAACTGATTCGGATGATATTGGAGATAATTTAGGAGCTTTACGATTTAAATATACTTTTGAAAGAGATCGTTCATATCCCAATATTCTAGATTCACAATTTGTTAAACCTGATCGAGTTATAATTAGTGATGAAGATGGGAATTTTGCTCTTTGTTCAGCTCTGATTATGTCTATTACTCCTACTAAGATTGTAGTATCTACTACTAGAAGATTAATAACTTCAGATGTAAAACTTCAAAGTTTTAATCCTATAAATAATCAAGTTATTCATGGAGTATTACATGAATCTCATCAAGTGGATAAGAATTCTAAGAAAAAGTTTCGAATTGATAAGGATGAATTGTTTTATGGAATGGGACTTGCAAAGTATAACATTCTTAATCTTCTTACAAATGATGGAGATGAACGAATGAGACGGGCCATCATTGATCATCAAGAACCAACGTTTCTGACTAATCCACTTGGTTATGATTTGCAGTCAGATAAATTTAATCCTGATCAAGTTAATGCCTTCAATAAGGTATTATCTGCTAATCATTTTGCTCTTATATTGGGTATGCCAGGAACTGGGAAGACTACAGTTATAGCACAATTAATAAAGATATTGGTAGATAATGGTAAGTCAGTATTTTTATCAGCATATACCAATTCTGCTGTAGATAATATCTTAATTAAACTTCTTGAATATGATATAGATTTTATTAGAGTAGGATATCTGGCACGAGTTCATCCATTAGTAAGAGAGAAGATGCCTAATTATAAAGAAAAGGAGATAACCAGTTATGAAGATTATAAGAAGACATATGTTGAACCTCCTGTAGTGGCAGCTACATGTTTAGGGATTAATGATGTGACATTTAGTCTTCGACCAAAGTTTGATTATTGTATAATTGATGAAGCTTCTCAAGCTTCTATGCCTATGAGTTTAGGACCATTACGATTCTGTGATAAGTTTGTATTAGTAGGAGATCATTATCAATTACCTCCATTAGTGCTTAGTCCTGATCCTGAAGTTAAGAAAGGATTATCTCAATCATTGTTTAAAGTATTGGCAGAAAAATATCCATCATCGATGGTAGAACTTACTTATCAATATCGAATGTGTGAAGAAATCATGCAATTATGTAATATTTTAGTATATAACAATCGATTGAAATGTGGTTCTGTTGATACGGCTAAACAATTCTTAAAGATTCCTCATCCTGAAGTTATTGGATCCTTTTATAAAGGTGATCCAGCTACTTTAAAGGATACTTGGATGGCTCATATTTTGCAGCCAAATCATAAGGTATTATTTTTAGATCATGATAAAATCCCGGCTACTGAACATATGTTTGGAGATTATGTTGAGAATAAAGCCGAAGCAGAAATAGTTAGACAAACTGTAGAAGGATTACTTGCATGTGGAATTGAAGAGAATCAAATTGGAGTTATGACATTTAATCGAGGACAATTAAGATTACTTAATCGAGTATTACATGGACATGAAGAATTAGAAATTCTTACGGCTGATAGATTTCAAGGTAGAGATAAAGATTGTATAATAATTTCATTTGTTAGATCGAATGATGAAAATAAAGCAGGAGATTTAGTTCGAGATTGGAGAAGAGTTAATGTAGCTATAACTCGAGCTCGATCAAAACTTATATTATTAGGTTCAAAATCAACTCTTTCAAGTGCTGATACTATTAAGACATTTATGCAATTAGTATCTAGTAAGAATTGGGTATATGAAATGCCTCCTAATTCTGATCAAATATTTCAAATCCCATCTACTGGTCAATCAGATACTCAAAGGAGAATGCTTTATCCATCTCGAGTAATTTCTCAAGCTCCAGTTACTAGAGATGTATTAGCCGATATGACTAACTAGCTACTTAAACACTTTAAATAATTAAATAATTAATTAACGATCTATATAGAATTATATTCAATTAATGACTATTTATAATGCAAAGAAGTGGAACTCAAAATTTCCTCTTCTAAAATTGAATTGAGCTCCATTCCACCCATTTTGCATCTCTACTCCATCTCTTGGTTGATTATTTTCTGCTTGTCTTTGATTTCCATTTTCTTCATTATCCATTCTACGTAACCGACGAATTATATTTTGGATAAAGAACATAAGAAAGAATGAGAATGTTAATATTACTACCACATAATCAAGAATATCAAAATCTTCATAGTCTTCATCAGTAAGTGTAGTGCCTTCATGATGAGCAGTCGCCTTTTCATTAGCTCGATTATTTTCTGAATCCTTATTCCCCCCTCTTAATTTATTAAAGGCATTAAGCCAACCCATTTGTTCTGATTCACTATTACTTTTAAATTTCTTCTTATTAAACAAATATTTCATCCGTAATCTTAAGAGGGCCCAATTAACGGCTGATTTATTAAGTACTTTATTAAATTGAATTTGATATTGAATACTCAAATCATAATATCTTTTGGCCATGAAATAATCAATCATACTATCCAGAGGTCCTAATCCATATTCATACATATAACCAAGTTTATAAGCTCCATGAGGAGAATGATCATTTGCTGCCTTTTTAAAATATGAGAATGATTTAGCATAATCCTTTTCAAGGATTTCATTATCAATCCCATTCATATATAAATCTCCAAGTAAAATGGTTGCATCAAGATTCTTTTGTTTTGATGCCTTTTCAAGATACTTAATAGATGCTTCAACTCTTTTAGCATCAAATGTCTTATATCCATTTAAAGACCATAATGGTTGAGTTTGATAAAGTAAGTATGCTGCTGAGATTTGAGCATTTTCTAATCCTTGTTCTGCTGCAATCAGATATCCTATCAAAGAATTTTTATAATTTCCTTTAATTAATTCATCAAAGGCAAACTTTAAATGTGGGAAGAAATAACTTTCCAGTCTATCAACAAACATTTTAAGATAAAAATTCATATTAGGACATTCATGAGAATTCTTAGTATCTACTTTTGAAGCTAAACCTGATTGTAAATATTCAGCCAAATAATATAATGATTCTCTATGACCATTATAAACTGCCTTTCTAACATTAGTGTAAATATCGCCAGCATATTCTCCACGCATTGGTTCATGATCAGGACTAATTGATGTTAGTAACTTAGCAAGATTTAATCTGGCATCAGTTGAACCTTTTGCTATTGCCTTCTTATATAATTCAGAAGCCTTTACAATAGGTTTATCTTCACTTGAAGAATTTCTACCAGGTAATAATTCTCGTTCTTCAATATATCCTAAATCATTTAAGGCATCACCAATTTGATTAACTAATAATGATCTTGTAAGTAATAAATTAGCTTTAACAATATCCTTTTCAACTCCTAATCCTCTTAAATATAATCGACCTAATTGAGCTTGACATCGACTTAAATAAAATGCATCTAACCTATCAACATGTTTATAATTAGTTTGACCATAAGTTTCATGACCAATATTAACACATTTTTCAAAGAATTGAGCTGATTTTGTATAATTCTTAGGTAAGAAATAATCACCATCATAATACTTTAAACCATTTATATAATTATTAACAAAATCATGATTATTTCCATCAATATTAAATTCTTCAAATTCCATAGCTGATTTTGCATAGAATTTTGTTCTTGACATAATTGATTTAACTGATTCACTTAACTTTTCTCCGTAAATTCCTCCATTAAAGTCGACTATTTTAATATTATATTCTGAATCATCCACTTCATTTGGATTATCAATTTTTTCATAATGTTCTATAGCTATTTGAGCTAATCTTGAATAATATACTAATGCTAATTCACAATTAGTTGGAGTTCCTATACCATGAGCATTTCTATAAGCTAGAGCTATCATTGAATCAATATCACCATTTTCCATTCCTGCTTGATAATATAATGTAGCTCTAGCTTGATCAACTGGTAATAATCCAAAAAGTCCACTAGAATACATAAATCCAAGCATAAAGTATGAATGTCCATTACTACTGATTTCAACGGCCTTTTCATAATATTGTTTGGCCTTAAGATAATCAGGTTTCAAAGAATAATAACCAAAAGTATAAAAGTCACCTAATTGGATATATGCTTCATAATAATGATTGTTGGCAGATTCTTCAAGTAAAGGTATTACTGTATTAGTAATTATATCAGGACAGTGATTTACTTTGGTATTTACATAATCATCAAGGTCCATATCATATTGTGGTACATAGAATTTACCATAAATATTATCGTCATTATATATGGTTGTTGGTTGATAATCTATATTGGATGATATATTCTGGAGTATACTTTGAGCTTGATAGTAGAGATCCTTTCCATGAAATGCTAAGCATAATTGTATTAGCCCAGCTAGTAGTAGTATTACTGAGAATACCATGATCTCTATCCTACTGTACTGTTGATTACTCTGCTTGTTACTCTGTTACTGTTGCTATTCAGTTAGTTACTTAGTATTACTGTTTCGCACTAGCTGGCTACTTTGTGTGGAGGTTAGATTAGTTCGCTTAGTTAGATGCCTGATTAGACGGGTTCCGCACACTACTGAATCAATGGGTTGACATTGGTGAGGTAATTGTAGTTATATAGCTCACTACTACATTATAAGCACTATCAACAATATCAACACCATCAATACTATCAACACTATTAACACTAAAATTTGTACAACCTATAAAATTATGTGTAGATCACTCAATCAATCGCCTAAAAGAGTTACAGTTTAGGGTGGTCATAAGACATATCAGCTGATTAACAGTATGTACTATCATTTACTGAATCTCTACACCTCTCATTATTGACTGTTTAGTAGTGGTGATAGTTAATGACATTCTAGACTAACAGCCATAGTTGTATGTTACAGGTTAATCCACACACATACACTTAACCCCCAACCTGTAAACGGCTCCAGAGTGGAGGTAACGGTGCCAACCTGCATTTAAGCCTACCGCTAACCTGTAAACTCCCCACTGCCCAACTCCCTGCCACGACGTCATTACAAATAACCTTCAACTCTGGGGCAATTCAGTAGTGATAAAGTTGATTTAATTGTGTTAGGAAGTAATAGAATGGTACAAGGATTACTGTTAAATTCCGACTCTCCCGGGAGTGTGAATGGAGGGCCAAATGAAGCCATGTTCCGATCAGCACCTATGACATTAGTTCAATTCTATGTAACAATTGAATTAGCTAGAGATGTTGTATGTACTTTAGGTAGACTTGGGAATGTTCATTTTCGAGATTTGAATTCGAAACTTACTCCATTTCAACGAACATTTGTAAGTGAACTTCGAAACATTGATTCTCAAGAATCTCAACTTAATTTCCTTCATTCAATTATGGTAAAGTATGATACAATTAAGAGTGATATATTTGTTAATTTAAAGGCTGATTTAAATCCTTTACCTAGTAGTTCAGAAATGGATGAAATTCGATCGAAAATTCAAACTTTTTATGATCGAATTAAACATCTTGATCATTCATTTACGATATTGGATCAACAAAAACTTAAATTGGTAGAGAATCGATATGTGCTAACAGCCTTATCTCAATTCCATAGTTCGAGTCTATTAGGATTTGATGATAATTATGGTAGTAGTGGAAGAGGAGGAGGAGGAGATAGAGATGATGAATTTAATGATGATAATGATGATGTGGCATTATTAAATAATCGAAATAATAGTTTAGAAATGGGAAGTGAAACAGTTAATTTATCTGAATCAGGATTTAATTCAATTCTGGGAACCATTGCTCGAGATAAAGTACCATTATTAAGAAAAATCTTATGGAGAACTTTAAGAGGGAATTTATATTTTCATGATTCACCAATTGATGAACCATTATCAAATTATAATGAAAGAGATGCCGAATTAATTGATAAAAATGCATTTATTATATATATTCATGGAGATTTCTTAAGAACAAGAGTTCGTAAAATTATTCAATCATTAGATGGAATTATATATGATAATGTGGGAGGTAATGAACAACAAAGAGTTGCCTGTATGGAAGATCTTAATTCTAAAATTGGAGATTTTGATAATGTAGTTGCTAGTACTAAAAATCAACTTATTGCTGAATTAATGATCTTTCAAGAAGGTTATCCTGATTTTTGTTATATAATTCAACGAGAGAAATTAATTTATCAAACATTAAATAAATTTGATGAAGATAGTACTAGAAGATGTTTAGTTGGTGAAGGTTGGATTCCTGTATCTGATTTAGCCGGAATTAAACAAACTTTACGACATTTAGTTCGGAATAAATCTCGTAATAATGGTTCAGGTTCTGGTTCAGAATCTCAAGAATCTATTTTAATTACTGATGATCAAAATCAAAATCAAAATCAATCTAGTTCTGGTGGAGGTCTAACAGATGATCCCTTATTTGCTATTGATGATACTGATCATGAAATATCTAGTTTTGAAGATGATGATGAATATGGTACATTAATAGCTGTAGTTAATGAATTAGCTACTAATAGAACTCCTCCTACATTTCATAGAACTAATAAGTTTACTGCAGCTTTCCAACTGATTATAGATGCTTATGGAATATCAACTTATCAAGAAGTTAATCCTGGTTTGGCTACAGTTGTAACTTTCCCATTTATGTTTGCTATAATGTTTGGAGATTTAGGTCATGGATTTATTGTTCTATTAGGAGCATTATTTCTTATTAGAAATGAAGTCAAATTCTCCTCCATGAGAAATAAAGATGAAATATTTGAAATGGCATTTAATGGAAGATATATTATCCTCTTGATGGGGATATTTTCCATGTATACTGGATTAATTTATAATGATATCTTTTCCAAATCCATGACTCTTTTCAAATCTGGTTGGGATTGGAAATTTCCTGAAGGATATGATTTTAATACTGATGGACCTATTAGTATTACTGCCACTAAGAAATCGGGAACTTATCCAATTGGATTGGATTGGGCATGGCATGGAGCTGAGAATAGTTTATTATTTACCAATTCTTATAAAATGAAACTTTCAATTCTTATGGGATTTGTTCATATGAATTATTCATTATTTTTCAGTTTAGTTAATTATCGATATTTTAAATCTCGAGTGGATATTATTGGTAATTTTATTCCGGGATTCTTATTTATGCAAAGTATTTTTGGATATCTTTGTTTAACCATTGTATATAAATGGTCAGTAGATTGGTTGGGTAATAATAGACAACCACCTGGTTTACTTAATATGTTAATTAATATGTTTCTTTCTCCAGGAAAGATTGATGTTCAACTTTTCCCTGGTCAAAAATATATTCAAATTTTTCTTGTATTAATTGCTGCTATTTGTGTACCTTGGTTATTGGTATATAAACCTTATACATTAAAGAGAGAAAACGAAAAGGCTATTCAATTAGGTTATAGAGATCTTAATTCCCTTGTTAATCATTCACTTCAAGTTCTTGAAGAAGAAACAGCATTTGATTTAGATGCTGAATTAAATAATGATCCACCAGATGAAGTAGATGGACTTAATGATGATTTTAATTTCCCCAATGATATTGAACCACTTCATCATAATTCTACATCTCATGGTGATGATCATGATAGTTTTAATTTTGGTGATATTGTAATTCATCAAGTTATTCATACTATTGAATTTTGTTTAAATTGTGTAAGTCATACGGCATCATATTTGAGATTATGGGCATTATCTTTAGCTCATGCTCAATTATCTTCAGTACTTTGGACTATGACTATTAGTAATGCCTTTGGAGTTACGGGGAAATTTGGAATCTTTATGACAGTAGTATTATTTGCCATGTGGTTCTCGTTAACTGTATGTATTCTTGTCCTTATGGAAGGTACTTCAGCAATGTTACATTCCTTAAGATTACATTGGGTTGAAGCCATGTCCAAATTCTTTGAAGGAGAAGGGTATGCCTATGAGCCCTTTGCATTTAAGGAAATAGATTTGTAATAGTAATAGTGCTTTAGTAGTTGTGTAACTAAAATAGATGTATCATACCAAATTAGCTTAAACTAAACTAAACTTAACTAAATTATATTAAAATACATTAAACTTAACTAAACTAAAGTTTCCATGTTTTATGAATCTTTTCATAGTATGCAATTATCCAAAGTCCTACTAAACACATAGTAGAGGCTATGAGAAGGACTCCATTATAAATGATAGGATTTCTATAATCGGATGCCGTTATACCCGCATTAACTATCATTAGACCAGCTAATGGAGAGCCTAAGAAATTGCCAATACCTCGACAAAAGTACATGATACTACTCATAGATTGATAATTGGCTGGGCCAAAGAGTTCTAATAAACAAGTAGGTAATAAACTTATGATAGCACCAGAAAATACTCCATATAATATAACAAAACTAACAAATGCACTTCTTGATTCTACAAACCATAATCCAAATACAGTTACTGCACTTAATAGATTACATATAATGATCATATTAAGTCTTCCTATTTGATCACCTCCGAATCCAAACACTACTTTAAAAATAGCATTAACACCATTATTAATTCCAATAAATAAAGCACCTTGACCTCTAGTAAATCCTAAAGTTTGAGCATATGATGACATATAAATTAATGGAATTAAATAACCAGCGGCTTGTAAGAGTGATCCACCAAGTTGAAGCCATACTTTCCAAGATCCAAGTTGATGAATATTGAAAAGTTTATTATTGGTTCGGAAAGTTTCAACTTTCGGTTCTTTAACTAATAAACTAGCTAATACAGTTAAAGTAAGATTAATGAACCCGAGGGTTCGTAAACACCATCGGAATCCAATTTGGGCAATAAGGTATCGAGTGAATGGAGCTAAGGCTAAACCTCCAAGACCGGTACCACTAAATAAGATCCCCATAGCAATAGCTCGATGTTTATTAAAAAACATTGGTGCACATACTACTGGGGGTAAATAAACACAACTAGATCCGATTCCATATATAAGACCTTGAGTTAGTATAAATTGATATAATTTTGAACAGAATCCTGCAAGAATTAAGCCGGTTGACATTAGTATAGATCCGGCTAACATAACATTTCTTGGCTTAAAATGGTATAGTAAAGTCTTATTAAATATTCCACAAGTATATGTTAAAGCCGTTCCAAACGTTCCTACCATGGCTACTTGAAAATCAGTAGATTTATATAAGGGTCCATCCTGTGATTTGTAGTACTCTTGAAACACTCCAAATGAGAATCCTATACCGAATACCATAAAGTTACATAAAAATCCTGATAATACTACAAGGATTCCATCTTTATTAGCTCGTAAATTTTGGATTACTGTTAAGGCATCGACCGGTGTAGTGGCGATTTCCGGTTGTTTGGATTCCAGGTGAAGCTCTATAGCCTCTGCGGCATTATGTTCCGCAAGTAAGCTCATATTACTCTAATGTTCATATAGTTAATTATAGATTTAATTGACATAATGGTTAATCAATTGGTTATATGGGGAATTGATTAGTCATTCCGAGATCCGGTCATAGATCGGATAAAAATTTAGGGTGCGGGATCGAGCGACCGCCGCCCTCGGCTAAGGTTACCGTAACGAATAAACTTCTACAAAGGCTACTAACCATTACTTCAAGGCTGCAAAAACATTCAAAGTCGTTAGTGTTAATTAAATATATAAATACAATGAGGTAATAAATAATCGTAGTATACTACTGAACAAGTGGCATACTTATATGCAAATTTTTAGCAACTTTTAGTAACTTTTAGGAGCGTCTATTCATTTAAATTAATTCGTTTACCGGAGGTAAGCATTCTCTGAACTTCATCTAGTGTCCAGGGTCTTAGTCTATTTCTCATTTTACTATGGAGTTTCTCTTTAACGATTTCTACACTGCAATTTCTTCTGGCAGCTTCGTCTTCTATAAATTTTATAATTTTTAATCTAGTATGTCTAAATTGTCTTTCTGAACTTCCATGAACTTTAAGCCATTCCGTTACAGTAATTTCATGATCTTTAAGGGCTTGTTCTAATCCCTTAAAATCATCCCACATTTCAAAAAGTGTCGTGGCTTGTCTTGATAATCTTCTATTTAAAATAGTTTGTCTTTCAATTTGTTGTGGCGTTAATGGAGTTTGTGGTGCCAATTGTGGACCAAGTGTTTGACTTATTGAAGTAGATGATGATGAAGTTGAAGGGGTTGGAGGATGATGATGAATATGTTGATGTTGATGAACATGTTGAGACGAGAATGGTTGATGAGGATAAAGATGATGTTGAATTGGTTGTAAAGTTGGAGCAATTGGCAGATGAGTTGCTGAAGTTCCATTTTTGGTGGTGGGACTAGGGAGTGTATTATATATTGAATTGGTTGGATTTGGGAATGATACATATTGAGATGCATTAGTAGTACTTAATTTTGTTAACAAGTCTAAAGTATTATTTAATCCTTGTTTAACATTAGAACTAGATATGGAATTAATAAATTCTGCTGTTTCACCCAAACTTTGTTGAGCTAAAGGTACTAAATTCTTATTTCTAGTAGATAATAATACCATTAAACCATTAATAGAATTCAGAATCTTTTGTAAATGTTCAGCTTGTCTATGGAAAACTTCATTTTGAACTTCAATAAATGAATTTAAATTTTCAAATACATTCTTTTGATCCATATAAATATTATTTAATTGATCTTGTAAGTTTTTCACTTTATTATTTTGAATTTCAACTATTTTAGATAAATCAACATTAGGGTTATTAATTAATGATTCATAATTATCAGAATCTTCCATATCTGCATCCAATTCATCATCATCTTCAAATTCAAAACTAGGGGAATCAGTAAATACTCCATTTTTTTCCATATCATTACTAAATTTATTAAAGAGTTCACTATTAAATAATGCATGTTTGGAGATAGGATTGTTAGGATATTTATGTTTAATAATTACCATATCTTGTACTAAACTTCTTCTTAGTATAGTTAATAATTGTTTCATTCTTAATACTGCTGAAGATTCCAGTACCGGATCTATTTGATTTATAAAGGGGAATATTTGATCTAATAATTCTTGAGGAGGATCTAATCTATTTCTTGGTAAGACATAATCATCAAAATCCACCTGCTAATTCAAGCATTAATTTATGAGGTAATTGTTCAATATCTAATGATACTAATTTATCCACTACTTCAAATCCTTGAATAGATAGCAATTTATTTAAATTAATATCTTTATAATTAAGACCACTTAATCCCAAAGCATTTATAGAAGATTTATGTTGTTGACTATAAGAAATAGCCGATAATTTATTATTACCCTTTAATAATTTAACATCTTGTAAATTAAGTTTATGATTTTCATTAAATATAAATTCGAGAGAGCCGTATTCGTCGGGTATATGGAATCGGGTGAATAAATAGGCTGCAATGGCCAAATGAGGACAGAATTCCACATATTTATTACGGAAACATCCATAATATTGATAAGGATGATCTTGATTATTTAAATTATTATGGTTGGGAGTTCTTATGACTAATGAATTAATATAATTGATTTTAGTGGGGATTATATCTCCTAAATCCAATTCACGTTTCTGAAGGTTTTTCAAAAATAAGGAATGGGTTAGGGAAAAGTCTACTAATGTTCGTAGTAGTTTATGATTATTTAAATAACTGGCATTGATGTTTTTGGCGGCCCAGAGTGGTCTGATCAATTTGTAATAGTCCTGAATACTATACTCGTTAGTATCGATAGAACTATCCTCACTGTCCGACATGGTAATGAAAGAAAGTAGATTTTTCTAGCGGAGGCAAGGCCGGTAACACTGTAGTAATGCCAATGGCAAGAATATGTGATTTTTACTAAAATTTATTGAGGAAAGGATGGTAAGTTATTTAACAATTGTAAGCTATTGTTGTTGTGCCTTGCTGGTATAAATTTTTTGTTAGCGTAATCTCGTAGGGAGGAAAAAAAAAATTAGTGAGATTTTGCAACATATAATTAAACCTAGTGGGGGATTAATGATAGGGGAAAGGAGTTATTATATAGTGATGATTGATGTAATTAGTGGTAGTAATTGACTGATGATAATATTATAAATATAATTGTTAATTATAAGTAATGTTAATGAAGGATTGATGACACGGTATATATTATAGTGTCTGTAGCCGTGGTGACGAAATAAGTAAGTCAATAGTTGATTATTGTTTGATGACAATTACGATAATTATCTGCTGATAGTGATGAGGTACGAAGCTGTATCACAATACGAATGTTTTAATAGAAATTTAGAAAGGGACCCTAAAAGAAATTCCCCAAATAATTAAATGACAAGACTTGATGATGTATATATATATACATGGAAGTCGGTAAAAAAATAATTAAACAGCCAAAATAAATAAATAAATAAATAATCACATAATGAAATAAATAATTAATTAATTAATTAGTCAGTTAATTTAAGCATAAAATTTGACAATAGTAAGAGATGGAGATTTACAAATGCCAGAGCTATTCCAACAGGTACAGGAGTATAGAAGGTATGTTGAGTGGGTTTATGATTGTGTTCATGTAAATGCAACGACATCGACATAGCATAATACCATCATTTTAGGGAACAATTGTCGATCAATGCATTATAATCCATTGATTACCAATGGCGACATTACATCTAGACAATTATAATTAATATTAGTAGTACGTATGATCTTCTGGTAAGCACTGCCCACTGTAGCCCAGGTATTGTCATGAACAAATTTCTTAATATAAAAAAAAAACTAAAAAAAATTAAAAAATCCTAATAAGAATCAAAAATAAATAAAATAAAATAAAAATAAACTCACGTCTGGGGGGTGTTGTCACTGTTTCCAATCATCATCAGATACTTTGTTCGTCAGCCGAAGGTGCATAAAGCTGCCTACGGAAAAAATGTCGCATCTCGAAATGTACTTGGGTATATCAAAAAAATTAGCTTAAACTTTTTGTGATGCCGTGCCCCATGCATAAAAATATTACATTTAAACTTATAATAATCCAGCTAGAATAATATTCCTCAGACAGGATAGAAGCAACCTAAAATTTCAAGAATCGCGGAAGTAATGGTTATGAAACATGGTACTATTAACGGCTGAATTTAGTCTCAGTTACCTGCTACATATGAATTTCGGAACTTTTGATCCTACGGTGCATATAGGGAGGTAATCCCAATGAATTTTCCTTCAATTAATTTAGTAACAACTAAATATGCTTAATCTTGTCCAATACCGTCGGATATCATTACCCATTTATTTTTTATGCTTCAAATAAAAAATTTTTAAAACCTTATTCATGGCAATTTTAATTTGTATTGCCGAACATTGATTTATTTACTTATTTACTTTATTTACTTTATTATGCGTTAGCTATATATCAATACGAACTTTGTCTTTGTTAAGATGCCATGCGTTCTAACACTTTGGCTGGACTTAACAATACTTATTAATAATAATTAATAATCATAGGAATGTAATTCAAAGTGAAAAACTAATTATCCGCTTTTCATCGGACTTATTATTATAACTTTCTAAACAAGCCAACTAAAGACAAATTACGTGCTGTTTTTTTCAATTTTATGTTCCTGCGACAAAGGTAACTCGATCCATCGAATGTTGATTTGAACCTCCCCATTATTTTCTTCTTCAAGGGCCATTGAATTCTACCATTGTTCAACGTTGTTAACAACGTATTTTCGTAAATTCACTTTATGATTGTAATCTCTTCCCCGCCTTTGTTTATAATCAATTTGTATTAAATATATTGGCTATTCTATATGACGTTACTTGTAACATTGACCAGGTGAATTACGAACTTAGATATCAATTATTTTTACTTTAACTATAAACCTTCGGTCGGGCTTGACCTTTCTTGATTTACAACTATTCCAAGACATATTACTTGATTTAATTCTGTGCCCATTCCCAATAAACGATCAATAATTTGGCAATCGATTCTTTGAAAGGAAAATAAAATTATAATAAAATAAGATTAATAAAAAATATTGCCGGTACAGCTCTCACACAAGACCTGTATACAAAACTGAATCGGATGCATGTACCGAATACTTTGCATTGAAATAAATCCGTTCTTGCAATGACCAGCGCGCCAATATCTGATTCAATTTGTAATTATAAAATGAAATTTTAACCACTCAAAAAATAATTACAGCTATAGCAAAATTATTATTACATGTAAAAGATCAACTGTAATTCAATTTCATTTACAATTTCATAGGCTTCGAGGAGAATAGATGGGGGCAACACTTACAATCTAAACTAAAATCAGGAAATGGTATGGAGAATAATATAAAAAACCTATCAAACAGTAAAAAGTTAAATTTGTATTTGAAGAACTTTAAGCGAAGTATTTCGTCAAAATGTTTGTAATACTTTTCCCTACTAAACTACTTGCAGGTAAGCATCTCCTTCTTTCTTCAGTTTATCCCATTTCAACTGAAATTTTACAGTATTCTGCTTAGACACTCAGGAAGTGCTTTCAATTGCATAATTACATAAATTCATTCTTTATCTCGTCTATCAATATCTTGTTCCATTGTGCGTTGTTTCATCCCCTTGTTATAAACTAAGTCTCTAACTAAAGATCTGCTCAAATATCGTGCATCTCTAAGAGTTTCCTCGGGTAACTCTAAGAAAATATATTCATTTTTGCGTCACAAAGGTTCTCTTCAACCAATTTTACCCCTAAATTGACTCGTTCCCTGTAGACGAGTTGCAGATTATGGCTTGACTTCTTTGAAGAACGGAGCGAAGCTTAAATTTACTTTATGATGTGTTGATTAAATTTGGCATGTCTGAAATATCTTCTATTTTCATTTTAGTATTAAAACTAGATGATAATGGGGAGAAAATGCGCATTTGGGAAGGCGGCCAGTCGAGCCTTTTTCCTTCCGTTCCAGAGTGCGGAAACATGTTCAGACCAAAATCCTTACCACAACGTTCAAATCTCACTGCATCAACAAGAGCGGTCCGGTGGGGCGACGGATCGTACGTCCTATATGCGGCTGGTCTGAGCGTACTTGCATAAAATGACTTCTGTTAAAGACTTGGCCCTGAACGACATTTTTACAAAAAGTGTCTTGGGAAAAAATATAAAAAAAATATTAAAAAGAAATTCACAAAAATGATGCTATTTTGTACTAACAAGAGATAATAATGCCTATGTGTAAATAATAATTCAAAAAAGTCATTGAAGAAGGTAGAAGACAAGAAAATAAATCACGGAAATGGTGACGATAGCGGAAACTCAGATATCAACATTTTAATGAGCTTAACTCCTTTACTCTTGTTGGTTCGTAATTACAATCACCTCACCTTACAATGAAATTTATGAACCTGTATGAATCTAGAATTTAAATAATATAATTATGAATAATATTGAGAAAGGTATCCTCTGTAATGCTATATCCGTTACGTCAAAGATCAGCACTTATCCGATCAGCGTAACATATCCTCAAACAAATGGTTTCATATGTTAAGGATGTTACAATCACCAACGCATAATTGAATTGAGAAAGCACCCAATGCAACGCTACAAATATTCGAATTGTAGACTAACTCTATTCCATGGTCTCGTCTATCATTTCGACGATTTCTCTACATATTCGATGGCGCTAGGCAGCTCCCCGTTCTAAAGTCCACGGAAATGCAGGTGTATAAGGGAAAAACTAAAAATACAAAATTATATGAGATGAGGTATGTGGTGGAATCCAGATCAGGATATGTGTAACGAATTGAGAATTGACAATTGTGAATTGTGAATCGTCTGTAAGTACTGTGTTTCATTTTATCATTATTTTGTAGATCGACTCAACTCAAGTTGAACCATATTATAATGCCAATCTTTTAGTGCTAAAAAGCTAAAGTTTCTTTTTAACTTTTCTTTTTCCCTTTTCTTCTAGCTTCCCGAAGGTGCATTTATCCTTTGACGTGAGAAGATCTCTTTTCCATCATTTTTCCTACAGCCTTTTATGCATATGTATGGTATATTTTTTAAAATTTAAGCTTCCGAGTCGCCGCACGGATTCTACATATCCGCTCCAATTCCTCAATTAAATTTAAATTTCATTTGATTCTAATTACATTAACCGGGCTAACAAAATTGAAATATATTATTAATATTAAGAAACTAAATAAAGAAACATGTCATAATAAAGCACGAACTGAAATAAAAGAAATAAGCAATAAAAAATAACCACTTAAACGTATAATAAATTAAATTAAAATAAATTAAATTATTGCAATACTCCCTGCCTTAACCCCGCCAAAACACTCGATTCTCTAGCCGTACGAATCGCGTGTTATTTCTATTCATTTATTCATCGTCAGTATCATTGGCTTCGATTCCATTAAGAATAACCGCCTTGTCAATGATGAACTTACTCAAATCGCTTCGTAATTCAAAGTCCATAAACTTAGTTTCATTCAACCATTCTCTACTGACCTTAATTAAATTATCCAACACTTCATTATCTTCAATCTTACCAGGAATTAATTCCTTAAGTAAATTGATGATACTGGAGAAACTTAAGCATGTCAATTTATGAGTGGACGATGATAATTTCAAATAGTTTAAGAGTTTGATGGCATGGCTTATTTCGTTATTTTTGTAGTAGTATACTATTAAAGAACTAACCAAGATGATAAATTGTTCTTCATTGACCAAGTTAAGAGATGTTATTAATGACTTTTGAGCCTTTAAGGTAGGCTTGAACTTAATGATTGGAGCTACGGTTTCTTCATCAACTTCAACTTCTTCTTCTTCTTCGTCCTCTTCATGTTCAACATCTTGCTCTTCTTCTTCATCTTCAAAGATCTCATGGTCAGTCAATTCTTGACCTTCTAAAATGGTCTTGAAATTAACTAAATACCTTTCAACCTGGTCATTGATATCCTTTAACAAATATGGTCCATCATTGGAGTTCAATATGGTCTTGAATAATTTAAAGTAGTGATAGATTCTTCCATCTTCTTTACTAATGATTTCATCAATCTTATTCAAATCCTTCAAGATATCTTTACTATGATCTTCATCATTTAAATCTTGCAAGTAATTCAAATTTAATTCATGAATAATCTCAAGCATTCTCCAGTTTAAGATAATGGCATAATAATCTTCTCCATTATCTTGAAGAAATTCAACATACTTGACATGATTTTGTCCATCATTGATCTCATAATTGATATGTTTACCATTAATCAAATTGATTAATCTTAACATTAATGTTTCAGATCCAAGTAAAGAAAGTCCATCGAATTGTGAAACTAATTGATTCAATTTCTTAATGGATTTGGATTTACCCTTATAATCCAAATTAAGAATTAATGATCCTTTGATGGATAAATTATGGTTTAAAAGCTTTTCCAGGATTGGATATTTAAAAGTTAAGATTCTACCAGTGATTAAGTTTAAGAAACAATTTTCAAAGTTGATTTGACTTATTGATAATAAAGTATAGTCTTTGAATAATTGGATCCAATCACCATTACCATTGACTAATCTAGAAACAATGGCATCTCTTTGACTACTGGATAATTCAATAGGTAATTGGAAACCTAATGTAACCAAGAACCAACTGATAATCAAGTTTTGTTCGGTTGTCACTGCTGTTTTAGATGATTTATCAGAAGCTGGCTTATTAATAATAGGTAGTATTAATGAAGCTACACTACCGACAAATAATAAGACTTTGAATAAAGTCCAAAACTGTATTACAAGTGGAGATGGATGAGTAAGAGCATATGGTAATAAATGAGCAAATGGTAAAGCACTCAACCCTTTAAAGTCGTTTGTACCTGTACCAGCAAACAACGAAGTCCCCATGACAGCAGCCATACCACCCATTAAGAATTTATTAGGTTGTTGTTGTTGAGGTGGGATTTGAGGAGCTTGTGGAGAAAACTGTTGATTACCGCTGAATACAAAGCTACCACCATTACCAGAATATGATTGTTGGATAGGAGTAGCATAGAAGGATTGATCATTAGGAGGATAAAAGCCAAATCCTTGAGCTTGTTGAGGTTGTTGTTGAGGTGGAGCAAGTTGATGTGCAAGTTGAGGTTGTTGTTGAGGTTGAGGATGTAAATTAACATCCTGAATTAATCTTTGTAACTGTATATTTTGACTTCTCAAGATCTCATTTTTACTTTCCAAATGTTTAATATATTCGGTAGCTTTAGTTAATACACTGGCTTTATTTAATTTAGAAGCAGGAGTTAAACCTTCTAAATCAGCAATAGAAATATCACCTTTACCGGCAGCTATTCTTAAAGATGGAACTGCATCTCGTAAGGTCAAAATCTTGGAATTAATATTGGTTCTATACTTCTTTTCAATCATATTATGAGACGATTTATCCTTAATCTTTGGCTTAGTAACTCTTGAAGCCTTTTTACTCGATTTCTTAGGAGGCTTTCCTGTATTGCCTAATGACTTTTGATCATCACTTTCAGAATAATCATATTCTTCCTCTGAAGTTCCAGCTTCTAATTTAACTTTAGCGGGTTCAGGAGATGTATGAACTGAGCTTATGGAAGTATTGACATGAGGTGGAGTTATACCATCATCTTGAGAATAAGTCAGAGTAGACATAGAATCTACTCTACCACCATTATTATTATTCTTAGTACCAGAACTTACAATATCATCAAATACTGAATCTGTACCAGTTGGTAAAGTAATATTAATATTTGGATTTATCAAGTCATGGTTGATGGGATAATCATCGGAATTTACCGAATCGATATTAAGATCATTACTATTATTGGTATTAATGATATTATTGGTATTTGAATCACTCCATTCAATAGAAGTATTATCGGAAGTATTGGAATAAAATCTATTCAAGGGTTCGTCATAATTATTGGCCGAGGAGTTCTGGTTGGAGTTGGAACTAATGGAGTTTTCCATAAATACACCGCCGTTGTTATTAGAGCTACTGCTCAATGAGCCTGAGATACTATCCAAGAAGTCGTCTGCATTCTCAAAGTCAAAGAAGCGACTCGTGTCAAAGTCGGCCATGGTGACAGGGTGGTGTACTTTAACTTTCTATACTATATGTGTAGTAGTAGTATATTGTATAACTTTACTATACTATATTATTATAATGTATTGTATAACTTACTATACTGTAAGGAGTAAGGAGGTGTTGTAGTGGTAATACTGGAGAATATCTAACTGCTTATAATTCCAAAAAGTTCCCAACCAATTTGAGCACTTTGGTTTCTTTTTAGTGTTAACGGCCGGTATATATTTGGTCAGTGGGCCTGTTAGGACAAAGACATTTCAATTTTCCATTTCCCATTGCGGTTGTGGTAGGAATAAAAAAAATGGTCTGATCAGAACGCAAAAAATACGGGATTTTTAGCCGTGTGTACACGACTGCATAATATTTTTTATATTAGAGGGGGTTGCATTTTACAGGTTAGACTTAGAGTATAGAGGATACAGTGTAGTAGTTTTGATGTAGTAACAGTATAGTAATAGTAATAGTATAGTAACATTAATTAAGTGTAGTAGTAGTAAAGCAGACCTATAGTAGTAGCCTCGAATACTATTGTATATTAACAGTATAAAATAGTTGAGGCTACGAATGACTCCTGCACTCTCAGGTACTAACGCTAATTAATTAATTAATTAGTCTAGTCTAAATCCGAATCTACCCTATGCGCGGATGCCTTGCCCGCTTCTTCTCCATCATTTCTCATCCAACAACTCTTAACATCGCAATATACTTATACTTTTGCTAAGACATTCACACTCCAGTCACAGATTCTGATGCTTGTCGTATACGATACTACAAGTCCACTACTACTACGACCAATACCCAAATCTTCTTTCGCTTGTTTTTATCTCTTGGCTATGGAACAAGCAAAAAAAACAAAAATCAGCTCATAATTTTGCCTCTAGGCGCAAATTATGCAACCGTATATAAACAAACCGGATGAAGGAAAAGGTGAAAATTTTTCCCTTGACCCCTAACAATGGGCCATGATTTACATACTACCAGTGACGGTTTCACATCCTGGTTACAGTATGAGCTCGGATCTAGTTCTGGTCATTTGTATTACAGTCAAGTTACTTGAATGTATCATTTCTATGACTATCATTTACATTTGCTGTAAAATTTTATTGTGGATTCTCGGAACGGTTTTAGGTTCTAAAGTAGACTACCCTGCAACCCTGGTAAACTTTCTTCTCGGCTTATCTCGTTCAGTCACACTCTCAACCTTAACCGTATAGTTTAGTTTGCTCTCTCCTTCGTACCTTATGTACCTCTAGATCTTATTCTAACTTTACATCATATCATAATTTACTCCATACATTGGTATCATACGTTAATACAGTACATAACTCTCGTCTCCACATTTGACACTGAATCTCTCACTCATTGTTTTGCCATATTTTTTGGAATTAACAATATAAAAAATATTACTATCAAAACGTTTCACCTAATTAAAAATTAAAATTAGTACATAAGTCATACATCTGTTAAGACCGATCGGCTGGCGACAACATATCTCGGCTCGTACTGTAATTTTAGTATATGGCTATTCGGCATTTCCTGGACCTTCCTAATTCTTTCATATTCTTCCTCATTCTTTCACAATCTTCCTCATTCTTCGCTAGAAAGCCATTAGTAAAAATTACACTGAAAATCTTACATGCGCGCATTATGCATCCGTACATGGCTTTCGTATTTTTTCATATTGTATTACAGGTTATTGCCCTTATCGGATACGTTTATTAATTTATCACTTAATTTGTTATCAGGAGCTGACTTAATTCCGCAATAATATATCACTGGTACATTACTACAATAGAAAAAGCTTGTTCATTATTATCTCACTTTATTTTATTAGTACTTACTTACTTCTATACCATTAGTCTATATCGGTGGTAAACTCTCCCGACATACAGGACACTGTAACTTATACTTCATCCAATTTTCTAAACAATCATTATGAAAGATGTGAAAGCACGGAGTTATCATGTAGGTCTTTTTCATCTTCTTTAATTCATTCTCACTAACTCCATTTTTATCATTTATAGTATTAACTATAGGTAAAGTAATATCCGTCATACAGATCGGACATGTACATTTACTCTCAATAATATCGGCACCGGAAATTGATGAAGTTGGACTTTCTCTGCCACCGGTAGTTGGAACTTTGGCACTAGAACTAATACTATTTAATATCTCACTGGAGAAACCTGACTCAAGATCTTTGAAATGAATAACTCTTTGATAATCATAAGCCTTAGGTAACCATTTCTCATTAACCCAGAATCTAGGTCCTAATTGATATTGTAATACTAATAATGTAAGTTGGAAAACTACCCAAATTGTAGTAACTGCCACTAATACAGGATCATAATGATGTCTTAATGGATTACTCTTAACCAAATTAAAGTAGTATATAGGAATTAATCGAATAATACTAGTTCCAAAAACAAATTCCCAAGTAAATGATTGTCTTTTATTCTTTAATGTATTCCGGAAGAATTGAGGAATCCAATATGAATTCAATAATATTAATCCAACATATTCAAAGATTCTTCTATATTGAATTCTCCATACTAAAGAATTCAATATTAAAAATGTAGCCACTATAGTTAAAGAAAATCCTCCTGCAAATATACTGTTGGAAAATGATGCTTCTTCCCACCCTGGACCAGCCGGAGTTGTGGTTGCAGTTGTAGTTGTGGTTGTAGTTGGTGGAGGACGAGGTGGATTGGCTATTGGTAAGATTGGTCCTGATCCATTATCTGTAGGTGTTGTAGTACCTTCAGCAGTAGTGGTTTCTCCACCATTAGTACTACCTCTTAAAATTTCCCACCAAGTAGTACCTCTTTCATTAACTTGAGTAGTTAAAACACTAACCATAAATCTCAATTCAAAGATCCCACACATAATAAATGCTATAACTGCAACACAAGCTATTAATAAATATAAATCTTCAATTAATGTAGATACCAATAAAAACATTAATGCCACCAATGAATCTTGAAATCCAATAATAAATAATGTTTTACTGGCAATAGTACTTAATTGTCCAGGAGTTCTAGCATTCTTAATTTGTCTTAAGAAAAGTAATAATTGAATAAATACCAATAATAGAATGCCCACCAATAATGATCTTAACTTCTTATTCAATACCTCAGATTTCAAGCCTACAAAGGGTATTTCAGGAGTTTTGGTTAAGATAATCCCACAATCTGGAGAGTAAATTAAGTAATCCTTAATGGTAAGATTTGGTAATTCATTGGGGATTGGTTTCCCACTGGGATTTATTAATTCATCATCAATAAATCTCAATTGATTCCAAGTATAATCTGTCTTTTCAAATTGGAAATATGTAATAATCTCACATTGTTCTTGACTTCTAATGATATACCCATTCATATCATCCATTGAGAAATCATGTCTTATATCACTTGTATTTAAGAATTGACTCATTAATGTCTTGGCTTTAATAAAATTTGAATCATTTAATGTTAAATGACTTAATCCATGAAATCCAAGAAATTTGGCGGATCTACTGACTGATATTAAAGATCCGGTTTCCTGGAAATAGATCCCTCTTGTTTCAAATTCATGATCTTCTATTTCTTCATAATCTTTTAAATTCAATTTCAAATTAATTACCATAGCATCATCAATTTCATCACTAGTCTTATTCTGAATATACTTACTAAAATCAGGATTAATAAAGTTATACCCATAACTTTTAATTCCAATGGAGATTTTCCCATTAGGTACTGTGATATTACCCACTTTAGTTATTATATTATCATTATTACTCCTTTTATCATCCTCCTTATTTCCATTTTCTTCATCATATCCTGAAGCATCATTACCATTCCCATTACCAATTTGCATAGCATTATCATAATATTCCTTTAAATATGGTGGAAGTTTGAAATTGTACTTGACCAAATCATCATCCTTCACTTTTTGAAACTCTCCATGGGCTCTTCCTGAAATATTCAAGAGATATGCTCGATCATTATCGTGATCTTTGATTCTTTCTGATCCCCACCAGTTCTTGACTTTACTACTAACTGAGTTAGGTAATATGGAATCCTTTTGATCTTCTATCCATTCATTATCTGATCCATAATCATGTAGAGGCCAGTCTTTAGCCGATTTGCCATCGAGTAAATCCTGATATGACAAATGAAAGCCCGTGATATTACCATAGCCTAAGGAATATTGCGATAGCGCTAGCTCTTCTTCCGCATCTAGAAGCTGTTGCTGAAACGTCACCAATGTCTCTCGTTCCTTAGTGGAATGAGGCTGGTCATGTCCACTAGGCAACGATAGAAAGATGAACATTATTATGAAGAAGAGCAATGTTTGACGGTCCACCTCTACCATCTTGTGGAGTAGTATTTAATGGGGGTGGTATTTGGCTGGGATGTTTATGTGTGTTTCTGCCGCTGATTAAGGCAATTAGTTCGACTTCTATTACGTACAATTGTTACTGTTGCTGTGACTATGTGTCTAGCTAAGTGTCTGGCTAAGTGTATGGCTAAGTGACTTTCGGTGTTGATTGCCTCTAGTGATGGCCGGCAGGTTTTTGTTGCCTCCGCGAATTACGGCTGCAGACAGGGCGCGCTACCAAAATGGTTAATACTAATACTAAATTAAGATAAAGATAATAATGTATTTGTTTCATAGAAGAAAGGTAACGAAATAAGAAATTAAACGAAATATAATATAAAGAAATTAACTAAGGTATATGTTCATCAATTTTTGCTTTTAGGACTTTTTTGTAAGAGTTGTTTACCACCCTGTGGTGGATGTCTGTACTGTAACATTCCATAGTACTGGAATGGATAAATTGGTAGTGTATTTAGTGGTTACAACTTTACTTTATATGGAGAATTTGGTTCTAGTGGTTGGGGGGAAATCATTAGATGAAAAGAATAGCAATAGCACTGCATAAGCTTATAACTAATCGTTTAGACATGAACAAACGATGACTTCCATTGCTATCACTATCACCTTCAAGTGATGGAGTGGAAGTGGCAGATGGTAATGAGGTTAACGAACCAGGTGTAACAGTTATATTTGTATCAAGTTTTTTAAGGAAACCTAAAATACCTCCTTCAGCAGAAGTAGTAGTTGAAGTCGAATTAACATACTTAGGAATCAGACTGGAAACGCTGAGGAATGAACTAGTGATAGAATCGCTTTCATAAGTGTCACTATCATAAGTCTCGGTTTCATCTGTATCAGTTTCATCATCTTCACAATCATCACTACTTGTAACAGCCTTTCCGGTAGTATATGTTGCTGTTATATAATTCTCTGTAGTATAGGTACTGAGAACAGTTTCCACAGACGTGACAGTGTACAACGAAGTGTAAGCAACTTTCGAACCTCCAGAGGTAATGGTAGTAACATATGTTTCAACTGATGTATATGTAGCAACTGCAGCAACCGTCTTAGTTTCAATAACAGCATCATCTACGCAATCTTCTTCATCTTCACTGGTTCCATTGGAATCATAAGATGATCCTGAGCTTCCTGAGCTTCCTGAACTACCTGAACTACCTGAACTTCCTGAACTACCAGAGCTTCCTGAACTACCAGAAGATCCTCCATAGATTATACCATCATCGGGACATGGACATGTAGCATCACATTCATCTTCATCTTCATCATCGGTATCATAATAATCTGGTGTACAGTATTCGGAATCATCAGCACCAGCTGTAGAATAAACTACTTGACCGTTAATGGTGTTAGTAATGGTCTGAATAATTGTAGTTTCACAGTCATCTTCATCATCAGAATCATAAAGCCAACCAGTTTCAACACCTTGAATCGTATTAGTTACAGTGACAATAACAGTACCGGTAGTATAAGTCAAAACTTCAGTTTCACAATCATATTCTTCAGAATCATCTGGGTCATCGGCATAATAAGTTGAAGTATATATGTTTGTCTTGGTAACAGTAGTGACTCCATCTACAATGGTATTGTATGAAGTTATAGTGGAGACATATTCATCACAATATTCTTCGTCGTCGTCTCCTCCTGTATAAGTAGCAACAGTTGTAGAAGTGTAAACATTTGTTTGAGTAACAGTTACTCCTCCATTGGTTTGGGTTACTATGCTAGTGACATAGGTTACATCGTCTGTTTCTGAGTCACAGTATTCTTCATCATCATCTGTAGTTACAGTATACACATTGGTATTAGTCACTGTTACACCACCACTAGTCTGGGTAACTGTTTCAGTGATAACAGTGTCTGTATCATCTGTTTCTGTTTCACAATCATATTCAGAGTCTGTATCCGTATCTGAATCAGTTACAGTAGCATCATTTGATCTGGTAGGTCCACCAGCTGAACCAGTAACATCAATTGATCCACTTTCGGTTTCGGTTTCACAATCTTCTTCGCTGCTATCGTCACTGGAAGCACCATCTGTTGGAATACTGAAAGAAGTTCCATTACCATAAGAAGTTGGGTTAGAGAGTCCACTGGTTGGATTACTTAAATCACTGGTTGGATTACTTGGATCAGTTTCAGTTTCAGTTTCAGTCTCACAATCTTCATCACTGGTATCATCGCTAGAAGCACCATCTGTTGGAATACTAAAGGTACCATTGGTATAAGATGTTGGATTTGAGAATCCCGTTGTTGGAATAGAAACTCCAGTTGTTGGATCATCAGTATTAGAATCAGTCTCACAATCTTCGTCGCTGGTAACGTCACTTGAAGGGTCGTTAGTTGGAATGCTGAAAGAAATTGGATCAGAGGAATCAGTAGTAGGAATTGTTACTCCAGAAGTAGGATCACTTGGGTCGCTCTCTGTCTCACAATCTTCATCACTTGAAGGATCTTCGCCATAAACACTAGAAGTTCCTGCAATACTGAAAGATGTTGGGACAGATAATCCAGTAGTAGGAACTGTTACTCCAGAAGTTGGATCACTTGGATCACTCTCTGTTTCACAATCTTCCTCACTTGAAGCGTCACTTGAAGGATCATCAGTTGGAATACTGAAAGTATCAGAAACACTGAAAGATATTGGGATAGATAATCCAGTAGTAGGAACTGTTACTCCTGTAGTTGGATCTGCAGGGTCACTTTCTGTTTCACAATCTTCTTCACTTGAAGGATCCCCACTTCCGATGTTGAATGTAGTTGGGATAGATACACCGGTAGTTGGATCACTTGGATCACTTTCTGTTTCACAATCTTCTTCACTTGAAGGATCGCCACTTCCAATGTTGAATGTAGTTGGAATACTGAAAGTTGTTGGGACAGATACACCGGTAGTTGGATCGGCAGGGTCACTTTCAGTTTCACAGTCAACATCACTAGTATCATCAGTGTTAGAAGAACCATCTGTAGGAATATTAAATGTTGTAGGAATAGAAATACCTGTAGTAGGATCAGTTGTAGGATTAGATAAATCTGTAGTAGGATCAGCTTCTGTTTCACAATCTTCGTCATCGCCTGAACTTTCACTTTGAGAGCCTAACACAGGCAAATTTGTAGTAGTAGTATCTGAATCCAACGGTATACTTAAATCAGGAATGCTGATAGTTGGCAATCCTGTAGTGGTATCACTTTCGGTTTCACAATCTTCATCGGTTTCACTATCTGAAGCTAAAGATGAAGAAGAAGAACTACCATCAGCTTCAATTCCAAAGAGGTTGAATAATAATCCTTTGGTAGTACTGGAAGAAGCACTAGAACTAGTAATGCTTGGAATACTAGAACTACTACTTTGACTTGGAGAAGTTGTAGCATCTAATCCGAAGAAAGCGGCAAGTGGATCTTCATTTGATGAAACAGAACTGGAACTTTCTGAACTCGAACTTTGAGTGCTTGATTCAGTATAATCCAATCCGAATAATTCTGCTAATGGGTCAGAAGAAGTTTCTGATGTTTGGAATGTTGATGAACTACTTTGACTAGACGAACTGGAACTTGAAGTTGTCTCTGCTAATCCAAAGAGATTGGCAAATGGGTCACTTTCTGAAGAACTTGATGAGCTATCAAGAGCCGAACTTGGATCAGAAGATGAAGTCGCTAACAATTCTATTGACGATAAAGTAGCACTGCTACTACCTATGCTGGAGGATTGTGTGGTGTCTTCATTAATATTGAATAAACCAAAAAGATTGAATCCTCCTTTAGTTGTTGATGATGATGAAGTAGTAGCTTCAGGAAGGGATGTGGGTTGTGTCAAAGCAGTAGTAAATAATGCAAAGCTAGAGCTTGAACTTGAACTTGAACTTGAGCTTGAAGATGAAAATGAGGAGCTAGAAGAGGAACTAGAATTACTGTACAATGATGACGAATATGATGAGGAGGATGAATCTATGGAGTTCTCACCAAATAAATCAAACAATCCGTCTTCGGGTGATTCTGCGGTATTAGTTGTAGTATTGGGTATTGTTGGTGAATCTGCTGCGGGGTCTACATTGGAACTGCTTGGTATAGTTGTCTGGGTGGATGTACCTGGAATGGGAGGAATTGTATTTGCACCTATTATTGGAGTTGATGAATCTGCAATTGCTCCAATGGTGGACTCTAGTATATCTTGTAATGGTATTGAAGATACAGAAGCAGCTGCTGGAGCTACTGATGGTGCAGCTGCTGGGGGGTTTACTGCTGCTGCGGCAGCAACTGGGGCTGCAGCTGCATTAGTTGATGGTGTACTTGATGAACCTCCACCGAGTATGCTATCGAATAATCCACCAAAGAGTGATCTTTTATTCTTTACCGACTCTATTTCTTTACTGTCTTTCTCTATAGCATTGACAACTGCTGCTGTTAGCAAGATTGAGTTCAATGCTATTGATACCTTCATGATGATTATTCTTTTCTAGGTATTACAATACCATCAGGAGGTTGTTGGAAGGATTATAGGGTTCTTAAAAACGAAAGGAAAGTAAGTACTCAGTAATAAAGAAAAGGTATGCTAACCTAACTAAAAGACATTGCTGGATACTAAACTACATATATAGAGACACCTATACAGAATAAATTACAATGGTAAACCAGAATTGGTAATTTTACTTAGAACCATAAATTTTACACCCATTTCACAACTACATTGGGTAAATTGAAAGCGAGCATTCACTAGTAATTCCCAAATAGGAAATAACTTTTTGCTGCCGTTTAATTTGTCCTGGATTGCCTAATTAGGAAATAGTAGTGAAATTAGTTAGGGTGCGAAAAATGATTCCGCAAGAAATCTGGGCCCTGTAAAAAAGTTATTTTTGGTTTACCTGTATTAGACTAGAAGGGACCACTTGCATAGAAATCAAGCTTTTTTGTTTTCCACAAGTATTAATTCGCTGGTCTGTAATTAAAAGTGGAGAAAAATTGGTAATGTATGTGATTTATGTAGCTTAGTGCCTTAGAATTTAGTTGACGAATCCGGTACTAGTGGCAAGTACAGCCTATTTGTTCAAGTTACTATTGGTTCATTTTGACGTAGAATGATATCTATTGAATTACTATTATTTAGGTATACAATTATACAATCTTAACTATTAGACTATGCGATTACAAAGAATCAATGAATTGAATGTATTTTGCTTTTGTGAACTCTTCAGCTCTCTTTTGGTGAATGGCCCTCATATTGGCTCTGATACTTCTTCTTAATTTGGTTTTAAGATCTCTCTTGACCTTCCTCTGCGCACAGCAACAGTTGTTTGATGAACCTGAAGAATATCCGGAACCGGAACCAGTTCCAAAGAGCCCACTTCCAGAACTAGAACTAGAACTAGAAGTCTTGCCTGATAGACCACCTCCTAAAGCTCCAATAAGCCATTTTGCAATATCGTCAAGAAGACTTCCTGAGGAACCAGTGCTACTACTGCTACTACCACCAAAGAGTGCACTCAATAAGCTCTTCACTACTCCAAATATTTCGCTTAATAAACCAGACCCTCCTGATTTTAAGTGATCTATTAAATCAGCAAATAGACCACCTCCAATTGCCAAAATCTCTTTAAACAATGAACTACCATGTTGGCTTAAGTAACTTGTAACATATCCAAAAATCTTTGAAAATAATCCTTCACCAATACTTAAAATGTCGCCCCATAATCCACCATTTGAACCTGAACTAAGTGAGTTCCATATTGAACTAAACAATTGCTTTCCAATGTTTAAAAAGTAGCCAATAATAGAACTACCATTTCCTTTGAGATAGTTGAGGAATTCCTCAAATAAGCTTTCACCAATGGAAATAATATCATCAAGTAAACTTCCACCACTGCCTGGCGATAAGGTGGAATTTGTAGTCAGTAAATGGCCAAATATTTCAGAGAACAATTTCTCTCCAAAACTGAGAATATCATCCAATAAACTACCACCAGAACCCCCAGAACTGGAACTACTACTGGAACTGGAACCTTTAAATAATGATGAAAATATATCTTTTCCAATGGCAAGTAATGAATCGAGTAAGCTACCACCACCAGATGAATAGGTAGAAGTACTGGTCGAATTGGTGCTAAAAAGGTCGGAGAAAATTTCTTTACCAATACTAAAAACATCGTCAAGAAGACTTCCCCCTGAACCTGAAGAAGAGTTTGTACTTCCCAAATGACTGAAAAGACCCTTAGCTAAGCTTTCCCCTTCTTGAAGTACATCATCTAATAAGCTGCCACCAGAACCACCAGTAGAATTTGACTTCGTGAAATGGTCTAAAAGAGCTGTAAATGCTGCTCCACCAACTGATATCACATCCTCCAATAAGCTATCACCAGATGTTGAACTTGTCGAAGATGTAGATTTTGGAGAAGTTGAAGAAGAATTAAACAAGTCTTTGAAAGCACTTTCTCCGGCTGAAAGAAGCTCGTCTAACAACCCACCAGCAGAAGGAGCCTTAGTGGAAGTAGAACTTCCTGCAGAAGTTGTTTGACTACTGTTACTTGAAGGGAAAAGGTCATGGAGAAGATCGTCCAAGTAATCACCATAACTTGAAGTTGAAGTAGTGGGAGCAATGGAAGAAGACTTTGTTGTTGTCTCAGCTGGAGATTTACTGTTACCTCCTCCAAGTAAACCATCCAAGAGACCACCTAAGAAAGAACCATCAGTCGACGTTGTTGTAGCTGGAGTTGTTGTGGGAGTAGTGGATATCAGTGATGTGGTAGTATCACCTCCTAATAAATCACTGAGGATATTTCCAACTGGGTCAGAATCTGATTCAGTAGCCGTAGGAGTTGTTGCATCAGTTGTAGTATCTGTTGCACCTCCAGAAAGGATATCTAAAATTGTAGCTACAGGATCCACTAAAGTAGTTCCAGGAGTAGTTTCATCGGTAGCATCAGTAAGAGGTGCTGCTTCGATGGTTGGAAGTGAAGCATCCAACGAAATATCAACTGCTGCCTCTATCAGAACTTGGGCCTTAGGAGCTGCACTTGACAGTGGATCTAAAAATGAATCGAGGCTATCTAAAACATCATCTCTTTTGGACTTCTTATTTGAAAAAAGTTGACCCATGATTACTTTTGAGAATATTCCCTGTAATGTGGGAGATTGATGAACTTTACTCATAATATTCTTAGCTACCGACGATTCTTTTATAGCATCAAAGATCTTCTCTTTGGGTATTTTCTCTAATAGAGCTGTAACCACCTTTTCACCATTTTCCTTTAAAAAATCATCATTTAAGACATAATCCATTACATCTGACAATGATTGAGAATCGTTTAAAGAATTGATTATTTTATCAACAATACTAATATCTCTTTTAGTAATTGAATATTTGGTATCTGCTTCACTCATACCTTCGCCTTCAAGAGGTTTTAATTTATCATTTTGGTATAAGTATCTGGCATATTCAACTGTATCCTGTCTTAAGTCATCATCTTGTAAAGTATATTGGAAATAGTCTGATAAAAACTCTGAAGAATCCAAAGCTGATGATATAGTATTTGAATCTATATCTTCTGACTTGATCTTCTCAGTTATTACATTCGTTATGTCATTCTGAAAGTCAGGAGAAACAGAACTCAAAAAATGATTCAATAAATCCGAATTTTGCAATTGACCAATTAATTCAGAAACTGCTTTAGACTTAAGTTCGTCATTATTATTATTGTTGTTATTATTACCACCTAGCAGTACTAGAAGTGCTTGAAATTCAGCTGGTATTTGTTGGTCTTGTGATAGAACGATTGAACCTCCTGTTGGAGCAGATTTGACAATTGTCGAAGTGAAAACCACGGCAATTGCAGCTATCGATCCGAATCTCATTGATAGCTAAACTTATTTTAGGTAAAGAAAGAACGCAATGGCTGCTATGAAGAAAGAAGAGACATAATAACAAATTCGCTGATTCTCGGAAACTCTATCACTTTTAAATCTTCATGTTCATTTGTTATTTTTGGAGTTAATATTATTTACAACTAAGTTATTTGAGATATTTCTATCTGGGGTTAAAGATATTTTTGCTCCCATTGGAAATTTCCTAATTAGGAAATGTGTGTGGAATCTGACGCTGGCTCTGTGCAGGCCCCAAGCATTATCTAACTATACTATACTCTGAATTAGGTATCGAGTGGCTAGGATTATCTCCAACTCCGCTTGCTTTTTAGACATCGTCAAACCACCGTTTTAGTTATATTTCATAACTCTCACGTCATGCTGCATACCTCCAATATAAGGATTGTGTGTGAAACAGAGTGTAATAAGAGGTACCTAAAGTAGAAAATAAGATAGTACATCTTGAAAATATTACTATTATTATTTCCTCCAGTTTTGTCTATGGTCTATGCATAAACTCAATTAGACGTTTTATATACATACGGAGTTATCTAAGTGGAAACAGTCAGTGCCAGTCAGTAAAGAAAATATTGAAATACCATAAGCCTTTCCAAAAGGTCACGTGCGACGATATCTATTTGAAAAGTTCTCAGTATGGCTTGAATCACTTTTCTCCATATTGGAGAGCTTTCATCTAGCATAGCAAGAGCTACTACATAACAGCTAGAGGAGAAATGAAGCAGACTTTGGTTCGACTTGTACGAGCTCGTCGTCCAGAACGAGATGTTGAAGCCTTATTACCACCTTTACAGTTATACAGATCTATATTAAGAGCTCATGTTCATCATTTACCAGTAGAAGTAAGATTTATGGGAGATGAATATGTCAAGGCTGAATTTAAGGCTCACAAGAATATCGATAATCCTTTACATATAGTTGGGTTTTTAACTGAGTGGCAAGACTATTTAAGGAGTTTAGAGAAGGGTTCATGGTCAGAAGGTAAGTTGACCAAGCAAGAGTTGGATAAAATGTCTCCTGAACAGATTGGTCAATTATATGAATTAATGCAAGCTACCAAGAAGATAGGTCAAGAGAGTGATGAATAATGTACATAGTTAATTCACTCATGAGTAATAAAGTCTAATATTTCTAATGCGTATATTTCAAAAACCTGTAATCGTAATCAAATTTATAAACCCTTACCATAGTTACCAGAAGCAAAGAAATCAAAGATGATCTTAACAATGTGTTCTAATGCTTCTAACCATTCAGATAATTGTTTGTTAACTTTTTCTTGGTCAGCACCTAATTTTTCAAAAAAGTCCTTTCTGTATGGACAAGCTTTCATGGCTAATTTGAAAACTGGCTTAATAAGCATGCTATGATATTGGGATAAAGTTTTACCATAAGCACTAGTGAAAGTACTGGCTAATTCATCACCAGGTCTTTCAACAGTTTCTCTCATGGATTGAGCTGTGAATTGTAAACCACGAGATAACCATAATAAACCTTGAGTGGCAGTCTTTGTCTTAGTATTAGCTTCAGATAATACTAAATCTTGTAAAGTACCAGAACCTACTGGATCAGACAATAATTTGGTACGAATCTTAGAAATATTACCAGTCATATCCTTTTGAACAACAGCAAAGGCTGAAGAACCTAATAAATCAAATAATTTAACTAAAGATTCCGAGGCTTCTAAGAAAGTGGCTGTGTCGATTTTATTATCAACAACTTTAACATCCACGAAGGATTTTTTCATTTCATCAAAGAAAGTAGACATATTGAATTGGGATTATACGACTTTTGGTGAATTAATAGTTATACCTCTATAAGAATTAATAATGATTAGGTGGACATATGTTGTGAATTATTTTTGGAGTAGTCGTATCTGTTGACGCGGCGTCGAAAAAAGTCTCTGCAAGATACGACGACATACATTTCCTGATCAAACTGGAATGACACGAGCGACATTATAGCCGGGCTGCAAAATCTTATTTAAAGATAACAGTAGCCCTATTAAATTAAAAATATTAATAAATTAAATATATTAAATCAATCGTATCTGTCTATTGTCGTATATATATATTACATAGTATTGTCGCATTACCATTCTAGATTTTCTGCCCATCGTACTTTCCTATTTTGGGAAGTATTATCTCGTGAGGCTGTGTCATTGCTTGAACTTGATTTGGAGTCGGGGATATTATGAAGTGATTGACCTACAACTTGAACTCCTGAATCTTGTGATTGGATTACACTGAAACTGAGATCATTGCTATTGAACTTTTTATACTCTTGTTCACTGTAGAATCCCTTTAGAAGATCCTGAGTTGTTTGTGGAGCAGGTGAAGGTATTTGTAATTTAGGCATAACTTTGATAATTGCCATTTTTTGTTTCTTGGATTTAGGATCTTCATTGGTCGGAATTTGTACTATCTCATTTGCATCTTCTGGTAATGGGAAATCTTCACAGTTAGAAGAATTAAGTTCAGTACCAAACCTTGTAGCATCATTAATTAATCCTGTCAGAGATTCAACTAGGAAAATATTTGTATTATTATTAGAATATTTGATAGATGGTTTCATTGGTGTGAAATTTCTTCGATGTTTTGGTGAACAAAGTCTCTTACCTGTGGACCAATTATTCTCTTCCAAGAAATTGAATGATATTTTTTTACTATTGTCTATAGTAGATAAGTTTGTAAGCGGTTTGAGTACCGGTATAGATTGTCTTGTATTGGGAGTCCTTTCTCTAGGTGGTTTAAAAAATGTCTTTGATGATTTCTTAATTGTATTTGAACCTTTATTGTGACCTGGTTTTTGAGGATCTGGTGAAGGAGATTGGTTTTCTTTATTATCATTTTTTGAAGTGGAAGAATTCGCCGGTAATGCAACTGAGAATGGTCTATCTAGATAATTATTTAATTGTACATCGATTTCATCATTAGCTTCTATATTGAATTGATTTTTATTAAACCTTCCCTTATAAAACCTGGTTCTTAACTGATCATCCAATTCAAAATCAAATGTATCTGATGATACTTTACCATTTTTCATGAATAGATTATCCACTAATTTTTCAACTTTATCATTATTTAGTCTTTTATTAGGGAAAAACATTCTATCGAGTTCTCCATTATTATTTCCCTCATATTCATATTCATCCTCATCTTCTGTATCAGACATGATACTATGATGGGTTGTAGGTCTTATTAGTTGATTTGTAACTTGAAATAATTCATTTGTTATCAGATTAGTGTCTTTAAGATCAGGTTTTAGAATTGATGTAAAAGTAGAAAATGATTTGGAATATGAAGATTTCGTCTTAGTCATATTATTATTAAGGTGTCTTTTCTTCTTTGAAGGACTTCTAGTCTCATCGTCACTATTATCATGATGATTATCATTCTTATTCTTATCATCTATCAACAGTTCCAAGTCTACTTTGAACCCTTCAGTATCAAGAACTTGCTGTAGAGATGAATTATCAAATGAGTTATCCACATCCATACTGAGATGATAATTTAAAATGTTTCTCCTCTCTAATCTCTCAACAAGTATAACACTCGTCTGTTATGGCCTCGATAGTGATGGTTGATATATATTTCATTTGTATACAAAGACACATTCGCATGTTTACAATTCATCCCAATGGAGGTGGTTTGTATGCAGGCCATTTTAATCGATCTTTTCATACATTTTCTTATTTTTTGTTTCCCCTTTACTGCGCTTAACCATTAACTGTTAATCAGATCGGACTTATACTGTCGGATAACTTAACGTAACGTAACGTAACGTAACACAACTTAATACATATTAATGAAGCATGAGACCTCCACCCCGAAACCTTCAGGAATTATTGTACCAGAAATTGATTGATTCACCTGCATTCAATAATTGGGTCCGAAAGATCCATGCTAGGATCAACAGAATTCCATATAACCCCCATCCTGATACTATACCAAAAGTTACCAATATTGATATGGAACTGTATAAACCCACGCGCTTGCATCGATTCAATGCGTATCGAATAATTTGGGTGGATGAGATGAAACGCTCGTTTGGATTGCGCAGATGAGTGAGATATGGTAGTTAATATTATATTATATTATATTATATTATATTATATTATTATATTATTATTATTCGTGTATTAGAAATCATTATATACTTATATACTTACAGGGGTTACATTAGGAGCTGATTAGAAAAATGGCTTGACAGTTGTACGCTTAAGTACCTTATTAGCATGATCTAATCTTTGCCTATTGGTCATGGCAACATCATCTTGCAAAGCGATAATAACATCAGAATTGGATCCAAATTTGAAGTTATCAGCAATAATAGTTTGTTTATACTTCTTAATGGTGTATGGTTCTTCAGCTCCCAGTAAGACTTTACGTAAAGACCAAGAGATTACATATGGTCCAGAAGATGTTACAATACTGGTTTCTTTAGAATTCAATCCAGCATTGAATCTTGCTTGAGTAAAACTTAATGGTTTACCGTGAGTATCAGCAGCAATATAAGCAGCATGTTCTGTCTTTATAGCTAACCTTCTTGGAGTTGGTTTCTTATCCTTATCGAAATATTTGGTAAAACCTAAATTTCCAGCATTCTTTTGATTAGATCCAATCTTTGTATCAATTAATAATAAATAGGTTTCACAAGTGGCTAATAACCATCTACCATCTTTAGATACATCAATACCTTTGATTGGTTCTCCCAATGATGGAAGAGCACTCTTGGCATTAACACCTAATCTATCATATAATCTTATATCACCTTTTCCAGATCCGACAGCTATATAACCTTGTTCAGTAGTAGCAAATGTCAGGAACTTATTATTTGTAGTTTTATAGGATTTATAGGTATTATCATTAACCAATTTATAACCTGATAATCTTGGATCTATATTGAATAAACCATTTTCACTTATACCAGTTAAAATTGGATCATTTGTAAGTTGAGCGAATTTAGTATTAGGACCATAAGATACAATTGGATTCTTTTCATCTATTTCCCATTCTTCGACAATCTTACCACGGTTTAAATCCATTTTATATAAAACTTTATCATTATGTTGCCTATTGGACATAACCATGACTTGATCTTGTTGATGTAAAATCATTTTTTCTGGGATAAACAGTTTACCTTTCAAATCTTTAACATCAGATATAGTTGTTTGATAAGCAAGTCCATCATTATAACTATTAAATACTCCAAGTTTATTACCTCTAGCAACAAAACTTTTATTATTAGCATACCCAACAGATAAGTTACTATTCTTATCAGTAGATGACTTAAAAGTTTTGTGATCTTTTTCTTGTTCATTATCACCAAACTCGTCTTCATCGTCATCTTCATTAACAAAAAGTGTCTTCGATTTAACACTTTTAGAACGAGAAGTCTCGGGTTCTTCTTCCTCTTCTTCCTCTTCACTATCTTCGGCATTTTCTTGTACATCATCTGAGATTCTAAGATTCGAAAATGCATCACTAACATAATCTTTATCACTAGTATCAGTTTTATCCCACTTGGACTTATTCAAGGTTTCCCACATTGAAGATAAGAATACCTTTTGAAAAAGTGCTAATTCATTATAAGTTCCAAATTTAAACATACATGAATAAGCAGCAATTTCAGAATCACCTTGAACATGAAAGTAATTAAATATGAATGAAAGATTCTCATAGTTAAAACTTGGACTCATATTTTTACTGATACTAGCATTAAAGTGGATATTCAATTTAGCAGTCTTACTATGAACATATAAGGTATACTCCCAGTCATTTAATGCAATGATTTTTGCTTCAACTTCGGAAGATTCTAATTGAGGTTTGAAAACTCCTGCCTCTGAATCATATAAGAACAATTCAAAAGAACCGTTCTCATAGATAGGTCTTCCATGAGGTTCAACTGGAGGATCAAGACTAATTGGGAAATGAGAAGGTAAGGCACTTTCTGATACTGCATCCATAAATTCATCATTGTCTGCATCTTCAGGATCATCTTCCTCTTCATCTTCTTCCTCGTCGTCGTCATCTTCATCCTCATCTAATCCGTATTGAAGAATGTTAGGAGACTTCAAATCATCAAAAGTCAACAATTCCGACTTTGGATTGTAGAAGAATTCCTTCAATTGGTTAATATCTTGAATGGCAAGTGAACTCTTATGATATTTCAGTTCATATAAGCACTTATATAAGGCAAACATAAAGGAATCCACATCTTTTGCCTTAACATCTTCATCTATAATGAATTCAAACTTATCACCCAAATCTCCATTCAAGTCTTTCCATACAATGGCTTTGGTTCCATCGGATTTATCATAAGTGTGAAACTTTAAATCTTCAAGAATTGTAAATGCCCATTCATCCTTTGAATGAGCAGAACCTGAAGTATCAGCAATAGAATGTGGACCATCATGATCATCCTCATCATCTTCATCAGAATCATCAAATCCACTGGATCCATGAGCATCCAATTCACCTTCCTGATAAACTCGAGTAATACATAACTGATAAAAGTAAGGTCTTGTTGTTTGCTTAATTGAGGCAAAGGCATCATTATACAAACACTCAATTTCACCCTTGGGAGATTGTGGAGACCTGGTCAAATAGAGCCTTCCCGACGGAATCTGGGCAATCTCATCGGTAGTGGATGTTCCAATAAACTTTCTAATAAAATTCATATTGGTACGGGTTGCCTCTACAATGATTAATCTCTATATTTAAACCAATTGTAGGTTTCGGGCTATGGAATTTATTGTATTTATTTATTTATCGTCACCTAAATTTTTTTTGTTTATATGCCGCCTTTGTGTCATGGGAGTGACACAGTGTGCAGGCTGTTCAATGACATACATTTTCAGCCATATCTAAAAAACTAAACTATGGGAAAAACTAATCGGGTCTACGGTATAATAAAAAGCCACTTTTAACTCCAACTTTGGTATATAACAATTGAGCTCTGTGATTTTCAAACTGTGTAGACCAGTAAACTTTTTTAGCATTTAATTTATCAGCAGCTCCGTAAACATATTCAATCAATTTACGACCGATACCTCCTAATCTAACATTTTCAGATACGAAAAGATCGTTCAAGTATAAGGCATCTTCAATAGTCCAAGTATTTCTGTGAGTTAAATAGTGAGCAAATCCAACTAATTTTCCCGATTCATCGTCTACAGCAACGACAGCAAACACTGGTTCTTTAGGATCTAAGAATCTAGCAAATGTCACATCAGTGATTTCTGGAGTAATCTTATGTAATGACTTGTAGAATTCAATGTATCCACCTTTACCTGTCCAAAGATTGATCCATTCTTCTTTATCTTTCTCTTCAATTGGTCTGAGACTGACTGTCATGTTTGAGTAACTTAATTGTATTGTTGTTGCAAGGGTAGCAATAGTTATCAATGATTGATGGGTATTTTACAATATTTATATGTTTCGGATAAAGTTTCTGAATCAGGCAATGCCGCCCAATTTTCAGCTCTCGCCGCGTAAACTGCTTAGTATTATTATTTCTGGGCTCTTATTGTATTAACGTATCTGTATATAATAAGGGGGGTAAATCGATCTCTATATTGGAATTAAAGTTATGTAGTTTATTTTGATAAGAAACGGGCGTCGGTTTACGATTTGGAACTGCTCAATAATATACCGTTTTTGTATGGAATTGCAGTGGTCCTTATAATTACCTTTAAGTTATATGTATCAAATAAGTCATAGCTAAACTATAAATTGATAAATGTCTTAGGAACAACTTAATCCAGACATAATCTATTGACTTACGACTTGTTTCCTTTTTAATCTAAATATGTATTGCATACTTCTGCTACACATTGACATTATTCTTTTGTGAGTTTTCTGCTAAATACTTGACAAAAATTCACATAAAATGCAACTTATTACTCTCAACTTTAATCTATATTTAGAGTAAACACAGTAAATGCCTGAATAGTCATATGCAGCTTATATGTTGACTCTTAGCCTAGTGCAGTGAAAGGAGCTTACTATTAGCAGAACATACATAGACAACTATATACGGCGTGGGGGACAGAGCAATTGCCGCAGTAGTTAAGCCTTCACACCTCTACCGCAATATAACAGGAATTATTAATAAGAAATCCGTATATGAATTATTCCGAGCGGAGGGGGATCCATAGGAGTATAAAATAAGCTTGTCATGCTATAAATATAGTAAAATATTGTTCACTATAATGTATAAAGAATCATAACTGTATATACTAGCTACTATTACGCAGTTAGATTAATAAGCCAGGAGTGCTACTCATACTTAGCTAATTAATTGTCATTCCATATTATGGGGTGAGGCTCTTTACAGATAAGGAATTATTTTTTCAGGTGGTCTCATTGCAAAACTCCATAAACGTCACCACTACAAAGAACAGTACCAACTTAATTGCTTTAAAAGTTAAAGCACTATAGTGATACGACACTATTCTGGTCAGTTCTGGACTTTTACATTTTGTTGATTTTTCAGTTTGTTGATTTGTTTCATTTACTGGTTAGTTATTACTTGCATATACTTTTTATTTGAATTGTTATAGACATGTCATCCTCATCGGAAGAAACAGAAGAGAAGCATATTCCTGGTGTTTCGACTACTGCGTCGGCAAATCGACCGGAATTGACTCGTGCAGTTCTGAGTGAATCTCTAGCATCTCTGATAAGTTCAACTTCAAGTCTCGCTAGACGTAATGATCCGAAAGCTATTCCTGTATTTGATGAAGATGATGAGGAAGAAGAAGATGTTCATAGGCGAGGATCATCAAGTCGTCATTCGAGTTTTGCATCGTCTCCTGTAGAGGGATCTAGTCGAGCTCATATTCGAGATCGTAGGAGATCAAGTGCCTTTAAAAATAGATCATTCTCAAACTCCAGTTCTTTAGGAAGAGCTGCTCTTCAAACACTTCGGCAATCTCTCTCATTATCATCATCTATGGATTCTAATGCTTTAGGTGGAAACCTATTACGTCAAACAACTACATACACGGTGAAAGATATCTATGGGGAAATGGATGAAGAGAATATAAGAATGGAAAGAACTGCAACAAGAGCAACTATACTTAATGAATTAGTAGGTAGAGTCCAAAGTGTAGGATATAGACGAATTGCAGATCAAGATCAAGAAAGCCAAGCAACAACACCAAAGAAGACACCCCAAAAGTCATATCCCGGCGCTCCTGAAGTTGAGGAATTACCAGGGAGTGACGAAAGTCAAGGCTTTTTATATGAACAAATTCCTGATATTGCTGTCCCCACAAAAGATTTTGGTGATGAATTCACAGCTATAGATCCAGAATTGGTTACTTGGGATGGACCTGATGATCCAGACTATCCTAGAAATTGGACTAAGGGTACAAAAGCATTTCAATTATTAATAGTTTCATTATATACATTAATATCACCTATGTCTTCATCTATGCTTTCGCCAGCTATGACAGAAATTGGAGCAGATTTAGGTATGCATTCTCAATTTATTGAGTCTTTCAGTGTATCTATCATGGTTTTATCTTGGGCTCTTGGACCATTATTAATTGCTCCTATTTCTGAAAGTGATAGATATGGTAGACGACCAGTATTGAATATTTCCATTTGGATTATCTGTATATTTAATCTCGCATGTGGATTCGCCAAAAATACCGTTCAATTATGTGTTTTTCGATTTTTAGGTGGATTAGGAGGTTGTGCTGCTTTAAATGTAGGAGCTGGGACGTTAGCAGATTTATTTAATGATAGTGAAAGGCAGATGGCTATGGCAGCATACTCTATCTGTCCTACAATGGGTCCTATTTTATCACCAATCATTTCAAGTTTCATTATTACTGGTAAATCATGGCATTGGGTGTTTTATGTCTTGGCTATTTTTAATGGGGCCGTTGCATTATTGGGTACGATCTTCTTCAGAGAAACTTACTCACCCCGTTTACTAAAAATAAAAGCCAATATTTTAAGAAAGGAGAGTGGTAATCCACATCTTCATACTATTTTCGAGATTGCAGATGGTGAAACTAGTTGGGGTAAATTTATGATAACTGTTAGTCGTCCTATAAAATTACTTTTTACTCATCCTATGATTATTGGATTGGGGTCATTTATGGCATTTGTTTACGGGTTCATGTACTTAATGATTGTTACGTTTCCAAGAGTATACCGTGGAACTTATGGCTTCCTGGTAGGAATTAGTGGATTAATGTATTTACCAATGGGGATAGGATATGTTGTGGGGACAGTATTTTGGTCCATGATGATTGATCGAATATATCATAAATTAACGGCTAAGAATGGGGGTGTTGCAAAACCTGAATTTAGATTACCTTGTTTATGTTTTTCAGGAATTGGAATTCCGGTGGGGTTAATCTGGTACGGGTGGTCTGCTCAATACAAGTTGCACTGGATAATGCCTGCAATAGGTTCTGCAATATTTGCATTTTCATTTATTGCCGTATTTCAAACCATTCAAAATTATTTAATTGATATGAATAATAGATTTGCAGCCAGTTCTATGGCTGCTGCAGCAGTATTTCGATCTTTTTTTGGATTTGCATTCCCATTGTTTGCCAATGATATGTACGATACATTAGACTATGGGTGGGGTAATACCTTGTGTGCATTAATTGGGTTAGCATTAGGCTTACCGTTTCCCATCTTTTGTTTAATATATGGGGAAAGATTAAGATTATGGGCCAATCGGAGAATGGATAGAGAGCAAGCTAAGAGAGATGAGAGAAATTTAGAGAGACTAAGAAAGTTGCATCAGCAGGAGGCAGGATACCTTGAGACGAAGGAAAGTGTGTAGAGACATAGAATATAGTAAATCTATATATAGTAGTATTAATGTATAAAATAACATTAGATCGGGAGCTCAGCCGGAAGAGGAATGACAAGCGGAGGGTTTGGATCACTAAGGCGGTTTTTAGGGATTGCAAAAAAAGAACAATACAAAATCCAAATTAGAAATAGGGGACGAGAAATAATATTGGAATCAAAATATCCACCGAAAAAGATGAATCCATACCCAAAATGGTCTAGAATTACACCTGTGAAGTTACACATTTAATGTGTACAGTACCACAAAGCACATTGAGGCAATTGAAATTGTACTACCATGTTAGCCAGGGTTATATGTAGTAGGCGGGTTTGTTCGTCAGCATAGTGACATATTAGTGCGCTCGCTGACTCAGCTCAGAATTTGCAAATTTGTAAAATTTCATTAATCTTCCCGCAGTTTCCTCCACACTACCCCCCAAAACAGAGTTGTGCCTGCGTGTCTGCAATTTTGATTGCGATTTCCTCTTCGATTCTTACTAAAAGCTTTAACCTACAAAACTTTAGGAGCAATTCATACAATGTTGCTATGACAGGAGCCGAATCGGTAGTGGGTATGTATATAAAGATAGTAATAAAATATATAAATCAGTGTTTCAGTTAAGGAGACGAAGACGGTCTCCCCGAGATTGTTTTGTTGGTAGACGAAACATGAGAGGCGGAATAACCAACAATAATTACACAGGTAATCTTATATAGATTAGTACCAGAAGATACTGGGCAATAATAAGTCCCGTACACTAAGCCATGAAAAAATCTAAATTGATCCTCTTCAGATTGGCTGAACTGGCCTAATGAAATATTCGGTAGAACCAAACTATGTCCACTAATTATAACGGTGTAATAAAATTTGTTGCAGCCTCAGCTGGGCAGCTGGTTTACATTTTACCGATGGATGTTCCGAACGCGCAAAAACTAAAAAAACAAACAAAAACCAGAAAAAGAAAAGTGCAGAAAAAGAAATGTGACGTACAAGGTCATCTTTAAAAATAAAAAATTTCTAAGGCGGCCTAATCTGGGGTATAGATAAATACAATATAAATAGGAAGTGATGGTTTTGAATTTCATAAACTAGTACTAGTTTTCTTTTAGATATTACGATAACTCATATACAAATACATACATACATACATACATAAACATATACAAATACAATGGATTTCTCCTACGATAACGTTGTTCCATCCTTTAGATTAGATGGTAAATTAGCTATTATCACTGGTGGATCAGGTGGTTTAGCTTCAGTCATTTCAAGAGCTTTATTGGCTCAAGGAGCAGATGTAGCCTTAATTGATGTTAATTTAGAAAGAACTACTAGTGCTGCTAAAGAATTATTGAAATGGGGTGAAGACACTCTTAAGGGTAAGCATGAATCACCAATTGGAAAAGTCAGTGCTTGGTCTTGTAACATTGGTGACGCTGAAGCCGTTGAAGTTACTTTTACTAGCATTAATGAACATCACGAAAAGATTGCATCTGTCTTGATCAACACAGCTGGTTACTGTGAAAATTTCCCAGCCGAAGAATATCCAGCTTCTAATGCTGAAAATCTTATGAAAGTAAATGGTTTAGGTTCATTCTACGTTTCTCAATCATTTGCTAGACCATTAATTCAAAACAATTTGAAAGGTTCTATTATCTTGATTGGTTCTATGTCTGGTACTATTGTAAATGATCCTCAACCTCAAGCTATGTATAATATGTCTAAAGCTGGTGTTATTCATTTAGCTAGATCATTAGCTTGTGAATGGGCCAAATATAACATTAGAGTCAATACTTTATCTCCAGGTTACATTTTAACTCCATTAACTAGAAATGTCATTTCTGGTCATACTGAAATGAAAGAAGCTTGGGAATCAAAGATTCCAATGAAGAGAATGGCTGAACCAAAAGAATTTGTTGGATCAATCTTATTCTTAGCTTCTGAAACCGCCTCATCTTATACCACTGGTCACAATTTAGTTGTTGATGGTGGTTATGAGTGTTGGTAAAAAGTAAGATGCTCAGTCATTCAAAATTCAAAATTCAAAATGAAACAAAAAAAAAACCAAAAGAAATAATCATTCAAAATGCAAGGTGTATATTAGTCTTTAGCTGTTAATCCGATTCGTATTTTTATAGATCTTTCTCTCCTGTGATTGCACAGCTCCCTTATTAATTAATTAATTTTCGATTTTAATGTATAAATGATTAAAAAATATTTACCGCTGCGAATGGCTGCAAAATTTACAGATAATATAAACTAAATCATTAACATAAATATAAACATAAACAAACGTAACCAAACATATACCATATATTGAGGATATTATTCTATAATAATCCCAGATGTCTAATATTTGTGTAAGAAATCTTCAGCAGTAATACTTGATTTCTCACACATCTCTTGAAATATCCCACCTTCTAAATTAAATAACTTCCAAGGAGTATCAAACTCCGCAAGCTCACCTCTATGCATAGTGAGAATTTTATCATAATTAATGATTGTCTTCAATCTATGTGCTATACATAAAATTGTACAATCCTTGAATTCAGTAGCAATTGTATTTTGAATCTTACTATCGGTTTCATAATCAACCAGTGAAGTAGCTTCATCTAAAATTAAAATCTTAGTATCTCTAACTAACGCCCTACCAAACGCAATCAATTGACGTTCACCTAATGAGAAATTAGCCCCTTCTTCTTCCACAATTTGGTCTAAATGGAATTTGTGAAGCTTCTGATCATCTTCAGAATTAACTTGGTCGGGTTTGACATTCTTTTCAATACTCTTTAATTCTTCCTTGGTAATCAACCCCGATCTTCTTAATGCATCCCATAATTTATCGTCCTCGTTTTCTCCAAATGGATCTAAGTTATTTCTAATAGTACCATTAAATAGAACTGGGTCCTGGGGAATGATTGATAACTTTGAACGTAAATCATTTAATCCAATAGACGAAATATCTACATCATCAATAAGAATCTTACCACTTTCTAATTCACAAATTCTGTATAAAACAGTCATGATAGATGACTTACCAGCTCCTGTTCTACCACAAATACCAATCTTTTCGCCTGGTTTAACATCAAACGCCAATTGTTTTAAAACTAAAGGTAAACCAGGTCTATAGTTCATAGATACATTATCAAATTTGATACCACCATGTTGTGGCCAATCGGATTTTGGTTTCTTATCTTCAATAGTGTAAGGAGCTTCTTGTTCTAATTTCAAAGCATAATGACAGACTCTTTCGGTCGAATTCATATCATTTTCAAACATGGCAAATGTACGAATAACTTGTGCCAAAGCTCCAGCAATCAGTAAAGAATAAGAAACTAATAAACCAGCAGTGGCCGGACTGATTTTAAAAACTTGACGAACACAAAAGAGTGATACAATAAAGATAATAAGATCTGCCAAAATCTCTAAATGCACAGTCAACCATCTTTGAGTAGCGAAAACTAAAAAGGATGCCTCATTAGTCGAATTCATGTATTTATTTTGTCTGTCGATAAACATCTTTTGTTTACCATATGCTTTGATTGTAGCCATACCAGTCAAAGTTTCATTGAAATTATCATAAACAAAAGATCTTTGAACTGCTTCTAATCTTTTAATTTCACGATTAGATGCTTGATAATACAGAGCAATAGCAATAAAAATGACCGCTATAACAGGTATAGCCAATGCAAACCATGGTAAATAAATAATTAAAAGGATTAAAATACCAACAATTTCTCCTCCAATATATAATACCAGCTTCAAATTCTCCACAATTTCATTATCCAAAACGTCCGTATCTTTGGTAAATCTATTAAGAATTCTACCCATTGGTGTCACATCTAAATATGACATTGGAGTATGTAAAACTTTATTAATTGCCAATAAAATCATATTCTTTGAGGAAGTGGTAGTAACAGTAGCTAATAAAGTAAATAAACCAGTAAGGAATACCACACCAATAAGATTTAATAAAATATAAATTCCAACATAGAAGGAATCAGGCTTATCAGTGAATTTTCTTGAAATCCAGAATGATAACCAAGTATTACTGAAAATATTTGAGAAAATAGCAAGTGTAAGTAATAAAATAATGGCAAAGGCTATGATATAAGGATTAATTTTACCTGATCCAAATTTAATAAGGTTATAATAAACTTCATTTTTAATCCGATTAACAGCTCTTTCTTCTTTTTTAATTAATTTACCCTTAGATGCATCTTTTCCCATCGTAACATCTTTATAGTTTTCTTCGGCATCTTCTTTGATATTCTTAACCGATATCCCATTTCTACGTTGAGTCATTTGAGAATTAGGATCACTTGATTTAGAACCCACAAATCTTTCAATTAGTTGATCAGAAACATCTATTTCTTCTTCAACTGGAATAACTTCTTCTTCTTCGTCATTCTTTTCCGCAGTACTGAATGCCATCAATTTTCTAAATCCAGAACATCGAACACTTAATTCATCTCGTTTGCCTACTTCAATAGTACCATCTCCATTCAAATAAATAATACGATCAGCAGACCCAATTAATGATAACTGATGGGTAGCCAAGACTCTTGTTTTATCCTTAAGCAAATCTAATAAACAACTATTAACCACATGTTTACCTACATTAACATCAACGGCACTTAAAACATCATCCATTAGAATAATATCATTATCGGCATAAACAGCTCTGGCTAAATTAATTCTAGCCTTTTGACCGCCTGATAATGTGATCCCCTTCTCACCAACTTCAGTCATATCTCCACCTTCTAAATTATCAAGGTCATTTTGTAATGCACATGCATAAATAACTGAATCGTATCTTTGTTTATCATATGGCGTACCAAAGAGAATGTTATCCTTGATGGTGGCATTTAAGATCCAAGGTGCTCCACAATTGGTCAAAGTTCCATTGATTTCAATTGTACCTTCTTCAATATTCATAGTACCACCAATTGCACTTAATAATGACGATTTACCTGATCCAATGGATCCAGTGATAACTACAAATTCTCCCTTCTTAATAATTAAGTTTATATCTAATAAACCAGGGAAACTCTTATTATCTATGCTTTGGGATTTCTCTAATGGCTTCTCTAGGGATTCTTCCAGATTCTTCTTGGATCTCTTCAATATATTTTTGGACTTCTTAGGGGGCTTTTCAGCCACTTCTTCAACGTCAAATACTTCCCAATCAAATTTGGCATTTCTGATTTCAAGAGAATTTGGATTAGTTTTATCAGATATCTTTACGTATCGTTCATTGACTTCAAGTTCAGGAGCAGATAAAAAGTCGGCAATTCTCTTCAATCCATTAAGCAAATCGGCTGAGGTGGATAATGCAAGAGGAATCATATAAATACCAAAAGATAAAACATCGAATGAAGTAACCGAAGAAAACATTGCTGCGGCATTTCTAACAGTGCCTTCTAATCCATAAAGGGCCAAGAATGAAATCATAGCAGTAACATTAGTTAAACTCATAGATACAGCATCAACTACATTTCTTAAACTCTGAATTCTCATGATTATAGATATTTCCTTTGATCGAGCTCTAACAACACTCGATAAATAAGGAACTTCCCATGAATAGAATTTGATAACCTTTAAATTATTCAAAATTTCACGAATAAGTCTAACTCTTTCATCAGTCATTGAACTGACAATTTTTCTATATTTATATAACTGGGTGGTTGAGAAAGTTATTGCAAATAAAAATGCTAAAAAAATAACTACCCCAATAACACCAGCAACTCCGATATTAACTACTAATAAAGCAATACTTATCACAATAGGAATGGGTAAAGTGGACAAGTGTGGAGTAAGCACAAAAGCACGTTCAACTCTTGACAAGTCTGTACTCATAAGTGAAGTAATTTTGGAAGCAGGGAATTTATGTCTAGCTTCAGCAGTTAATATGAAGGATTTTTCAAGAATCAATGATGTGAGAATGGACTTAACTTTGGTACCACAAGATTGCATAATAAATTGTAAATAAGCAAGATTTGTACCTCCCGTCAATGCCATTACGGTTACACCGATAGCTAATCCAACACCTTTACCAGCATGAATGTCTGATCCAAGACCTCGATCTTCAACATACGAGATTAAACTTTTAGTTACAAACGGCAGACAAGCCATAGCAGTAGTTGAAATAACCGCAAACATTAATGTATATAACACATCACTTCTAAAAGTTACAAATAAAGCAAACAAGATATTAAATGCCGTCATCTTAAAATCCTTCAAATCTTCTTCTTCCGATACCGATGAAGTAGCAATAGTTTCATTTCTTTCTCTACATTTCTTCTGTATATGTTTAACATGACTATATTCTAATTCAGCAGCTAAATTTTCATTAAATAGACTTGTATTATATTCGATTTTCATATTTTCTGGTAAATAGAACAAATCATTAGGCTGTAAAGTTCTTCTATAACCAACATTCATGACTGGAGTAGCCCAGTAGAATAAGGCCCTGTTAATGATATTAGCATCTTGGAAAGGATATGGTTTTCTTTCCTCATCAGTAGGTATTGGTATCAGCTTATTCCTGAATAGGAAACTCAATAGACGCTTCTGAGGCTGAATATCTTCTCCCAGTTCTAGTGAGGTTTGTTCTAGTGAGCCACTCATACTTGTTTTGTATAATATAGACTTGATATTACTTTTAAAATTATGTGTCTATTAACAATTATATATAATGTATCGTAAATCTATCCTAAACTACAAAGCCTTGACCGTTGAATGCGGACTTTGAAGATTATTCTTAGTAATCATCCTAATATGACTACTAAAGAACTTTTAAAGGATCCTTATTGGAAGAGATTGGAGCCGTTCCATGCATGGGTTCGGATCATTATCTCGATTAGGATACAAGGTTCGCAGACTAACTCCGAATCCTTATTCAAGCCTTAATAATGGTATGAGCGGCCAACAATCCTTTTACACCTTATAGGAGATTATGCACAACCCCCTTACTGACTATAAATAGGTCATTCATTTCTGGTTATGGGTCATATACGGCCAAGTCTAGCTAGACTGATCAAAGAGCCGGTTTCCAATACTTATTTAACTAATTTTGAATGTTTGGAACGGCGGTGGTTCTACCACTTAGAATTTTATTTGCATAGATTTTTATTTATTTTAAATTTTTCCGAATGTCTGGTGATCTAGACGAGTCTATTATAAGGTGTTTTATTCGTTGTTTCGATTTTGGTACAGTATAGAGTTTTCGGTCGAAGCCTAATGCGTATTTTACAAGGGGTATTGCTGTACTGCTGCGGCTCAGTTGTTCTGCAATTCTCAGTACATGCTTGTCACATTACTATTGTTGTACTTATATAGTTTATAGGTACTGTACTATTCTAATGATTACTTGTCTATTAAATATATAATAATAATAATAGAGAGAAATTACTTGATACATATACGAACATGATGGTCAGGGAAATGGTGACAAATTATAAGGGGACGTGCATCTAAAGGAGTACTTTGCCGAACTGCGAATTGCGAACTAAAAACGATATAGTCCAACTATCATAGACAATTGTAGTCTTTGGTGGTTGTCCAAGTGGAATGTAGAATGTGTAGAAGACCGTAACGTATATACTGACACTTACTGTAATGGGATACCTAATTAATTTTTTAAATATCATATTCTGGTTAACTTTCATCTTACACCACTGTTCATAATTTAGTTGTCGATGGTGGTTATGAGTGTTAAACAAAATAATCAAAAAAAATTATTCAAGTGCAAGGTGTATATTAGTCTTCGCTGTTAATCCCATTAGTATTTTTAGAGATCTTCTCTCCCTGTGATTGCACAGCTCCCTTATTAATTAATTAATTATCGAATTTAATGCATAAAAAATATTTACCGCTGCGAATGGCTGCAAAATTTACAGATAATTATTAAGCATATCGTGATTCTCGAATAATATAAACTAAATCATTAACATAAATATAAACATAAACAAACGTAACCAAACATATACCATATATTGAGGATATTATTCTATAATAATCCCAGATGTCTAATATTTGTGTAAGAAATCTTCAGCAGTAATACTTGATTTCTCACACATCTCTTGAAATATCCCACCTTCTAAATTAAATAACTTCCAAGGAGTATCAAACTCCGCAAGCTCACCTCTATGCATAGTGAGAATTTTATCATAATTAATGATTGTCTTCAATCTATGTGCTATACATAAAATTGTACAATCCTTGAATTCAGTAGCAATTGTATTTTGAATCTTACTATCGGTTTCATAATCAACCAGTGAAGTGGCTTCATCTAAAATTAAAATCTTAGTATCTCTAACTAACGCCCTACCAAACGCAATCAATTGACGTTCACCTAATGAGAAATTAGCCCCTTCTTCTTCCACAATTTGGTCTAAATGGAATTTGTGAAGCTTCTGATCATCTTCAGAATTAACTTGGTCGGGTTTGACATTCTTTTCAATGCTCTTTAATTCTTCCTTGGTAATCAACCCCGATCTTCTTAATGCATCCCATAATTTATCGTCCTCGTTTTCTCCAAATGGATCTAAGTTATTTCTAATAGTACCATTAAATAGAACTGGGTCCTGAGGAATGATTGATAACTTTGAACGTAAATCATTTAATCCAATAGACGAAATATCTACATCATCAATAAGAATCTTACCGCTTTCTAATTCACAAATTCTGTATAAAACAGTCATGATAGATGACTTACCAGCTCCTGTTCTACCACAAATACCAATCTTTTCGCCTGGTTTAACATCAAACGCCAATTGTTTTAAAACTAAAGGTAAACCAGATCTATAGTTCATAGATACATTATCAAATTTGATACCACCATGTTGTGGCCAATCGGATTTTGGTTTCTTATCTTCAATAGTGTAAGGAGCTTCTTGTTCTAATTTCAAAGCATAATGACAGACTCTTTCGGTCGAATTCATATCATTTTCAAACATGGCAAATGTACGAATAACTTGTGCCAAAGCTCCAGCAATCAGTAAAGAATAAGAAACTAATAAACCAGCAGCAGCCGGACTGATTTTAAAAACTTGACGAACACAAAAGAGTGATACAATAAAGATAATAAGATCTGCCAAAATCTCTAAATGTACAGCCAACCATCTTTGAGTAGCGAAAACTAAAAAGGATGCCTCATTAGTCGAATTCATGTATTTATTTTGTCTGTCGATAAACATCTTTTGTTTACCATATGCTTTGATTGTAGCCATACCAGTCAAAGTTTCATTGAAATTATCATAAACAAAAGATCTTTGAACTGCTTCTAATCTTTTAATTTCACGATTAGATGCTTGATAATACAGAGCAATAGCAATAAAAATGACCGCTATAACAGGTATAGCCAATGCAAACCATGGTAAATAAATAATTAAAAGGATTAAAATACCAACAATTTCTCCTCCAATATATAATACCAGCTTCAAATTCTCCACAATTTCATTATCCAAAACGTCCGTATCTTTGGTAAATCTATTAAGAATTCTACCCATTGGTGTCACATCTAAATATGACATTGGAGTATGTAAAACTTTATTAATTGCCAATAAAATCATATTCTTTGAGGAAGTGGTAGTAACAGTAGCTAATAAAGTAAATAAACCAGTAAGGAATACCACACCAATAAGATTTAATAAAATATAAATTCCAACATAGAAGGAATCAGGCTTATCAGTGAATTTTCTTGAAATCCAGAATGATAACCAAGTATTACTGAAAATATTTGAGAAAATAGCAAGTGTAAGTAATAAAATAATGGCAAAGGCTATGATATAAGGATTAATTTTACCTGATCCAAATTTAATAAGGTTATAATAAACTTCATTTTTAATCCGATTAACAGCTCTTTCTTCTTTTTTAATTAATTTACCCTTAGATGCATCTTTTCCCATCGTAACATCTTTATAGTTTTCTTCGGCATCTTCTTTGATATTCTTAACCGATATCCCATTTCTACGTTGAGTCATTTGAGAATTAGGATCACTTGATTTAGAACCCACAAATCTTTCAATTAGTTGATCAGAAACATCTATTTCTTCTTCAACTGGAATAACTTCTTCTTCTTCGTCATTCTTTTCCGCAGTACTGAATGCCATCAATTTTCTAAATCCAGCACTACGAAGACTTAACTCATCTCGTTTGCCTACTTCAATAGTACCATCTCCATTCAAATAAATAATACGATCAGCAGACCCAATTAATGATAACTGATGGGTAGCCAAGACTCTTGTTTTATCCTTAAGCAAATCTAATAAACAACTATTAACCACATGTTTACCGACTCTAGCATCAACGGCACTTAAAACATCATCCATTAGAATAATATCATTATCGGCATAAACAGCTCTGGCTAAATTAATTCTAGCCTTTTGACCGCCTGATAATGTGATCCCCTTCTCACCAACTTCAGTCATATCTCCACCTTCTAAATTATCGAGATCATTTTGTAATGCACATGCATAAATAACTGAATCGTATCTTTGTTTATCATATGGCGTACCAAAGAGAATGTTATCCTTGATGGTGGCATTTAAGATCCAAGGTGCTCCACAATTGGTCAAAGTTCCATTGATTTCAATTGTACCTTCTTCAATATTCATAGTACCACCAATTGCACTTAATAATGACGATTTACCTGATCCAATGGATCCAGTGATAACTACAAATTCTCCCTTCTTAATAATTAAGTTTATATCTAATAAACCAGGGAAACTCTTATTATCTATGCTTTGGGATTTCTCTAATGGCTTCTCTAGGGATTCTTCCAGATTCTTCTTGGATCTCTTAAATATATTTTTGGACTTCTTAGGGGGCTTTTCAACCACTTCTTCATCTTCAAATACTTCCCAATTAAATTTGGCATTTTTAATTTCAAGAGAATTTGGATTAGTTTTATCAGATATCTTTATGTATCGTTCATTGACTTCAAGTTCAGGAGCAGATAAAAAGTCGGCAATTCTCTTCAATCCATTAAGCAAATCGGCTGAGGTGGATAATCCAACAGGAATCATATAAATAACCATAGATAAAACATCGAACGAAGTAACCGAAGAAAACATTGATGCGGCATTTCTAACAGTGCCTTCTAATCCATAAAGGGCCAAGAATGAAATCATAGCAGTAACATTAGTTAAACTCATAGATACAGCATCGATAACATTTCTTAAACTTTGAATTCTCATGATTATAGATATTTCCTTTGATCGAGCTCTAACAACACTTGATAAATAAGGAACTTCCCATGAATAGAATTTGATAACCTTTAAATTATTCAAAATTTCACGAATAAGTCTAACTCTTTCATCAGTCATTGAACTGACAATTTTTCTATATTTATATAACTGGGTGGTTGAGAAAGTTATTGCAAATAAAAATGCTAAAAAAATAACTACCCCAATAACACCAGCAACTCCGATATTAACTACTAATAAAGCAATACTTATCACCATAGGAATGGGTAAGGCTGATAAGAGTGGAGTGAGTACAAAAGCACGTTCAACTCTTGACAAGTCTGTACTCATAAGTGAAGTAATTTTGGAAGCAGGGAATTTATGTCTCGATTCAGCAGTCAATATGAACGACTTTTCAAGAATCAATGCTGTAAGAATGGACTTAACTTTAGTACCACACGATTGAGCTACGAATTGTAAATAAGCAAGATTTGTACCTCCCATCAATGCCATTACGGTTACACCGATAGCTAATCCAACACCTTTACCAGCATGAATGTCTGATCCAAGACCTCGATCTTCAACATACGAGATTAAACTTTTAGTTACAAACGGCAGACAAGCCATAGCAGTAGTTGAAATAACCGCAAACATTAATGTATATAACACATCACTTCTAAAAGTTACACATAAAGCAAACAAGATATTAAATGCCGTCATTTTAAAATCCTTCAAATCTTCTTCTTCCGATACCGATGAAGTAGCAATAGTTTCATTTCTTTCTCTACATTTCTTCTGTATATGTTTAACATGACTATATTCTAATTCAGCAGCTAAATTTTCATTAAATAGACTTGTATTATATTCGATTTTCATATTTTCTGGTAAATAGAACAAATCATTAGGCTGTAAAGTTCTTCTATAACCAACATTCATGACTGGAGTAGCCCAGTAGAATAAGGCCCTGTTAATGATATTAGCATCTTGGAAAGGATATGGTTTTCTTTCCTCATCAGTAGGTATTGGTATCAGCTTATTCCTGAATAGGAAACTCAATAGACGCTTCTGAGGCTGAATATCTTCTCCCAGTTCTAGTGAGGTTTGTTCTAGTGAGCCACTCATACTTGTTTTGTATAATATAGACTTGATATTACTTTTAAAATTATGTGTCTATTAACAATTATATATAATGTATCGTAAATCTATCCTAAACTACAAAGCCTTGACCGTTGAATGCGGACTTTGAAGATTATTCTTAGTAATCATCCTAATATGACTACTAAAGAACTTTTAAAGGATCCTTATTGGAAGAGATTGGAGCCGTTCCATGCATGGGTTCGGATCATTATCTCGATTAGGTCGCAAGGTTCATAGACTAACTCCGTATCCATAGTTAAGCCTTAATAATGGTACGAATGACCGACAGTCGTTTCACACCTTATAGGAGATTATGTACAACCCCCTTACTGACTATAAATAGGTCATTCATTTCTTATTATGGGTCATATAGGGCCAAGTCCAACTCTGCTAATCGGAGAGCCGGTTTTCATTACTTATTTAACTAATTTTGAACAAAATACTAATATAATTGGAACGGCTGTGGCTCTACCACTTAGAATCTTACTTTAATATAGTTTTATATATTGTTTTAAGTTTTTCCGAATGTCGAGCGGTCTAGACTAGTCTATTGTAAGGTGTTTTATTTGTTGTCTCGATTTTGGTATAAAGTTTACGGTCGAAGTCTAATGCGTATTTGATTATTGCTGAACTGTATTGCTGCTGTTCAGTTGTTCTTTCGATCTACATTTCTCAGTGCATGCTTGTCACGGCACTGTATTAACTATGTATCAACAGTTAGCCTACTATCTTTATGTTGCAGTATATTTAGTAATAGTAAACCCATACTGTAGAACATCGTATATAAGCTCGGGTGAAAAAAAATTTTAAGCCTGGCGATCGGCTTATCACCGACTTGCATTTACGTAAAGGAGCAGTTTTCCGAACTGAGAATTGCTAACTAGCTAATAGGTTCAAGATATACTATATAATGATACAGTAATTGAACTATCATAGAAAGGTATGATTTATGAGCAGGATCCAAGTGAAATGAGGTCAATTAGAAGGTAGATAAGACAGTAAAAGGTAAAATAACACTTACTGTATTGGGACAACTAATTAATATTTTAAATATTAGCAAATATTCTGGCCAAATTATATTTTTTTCCAAAGTTTGACGAGAAATCAGACCCTCTCACATTTTGAAAAAATAAAAATATTATAACAATACTAATAAACATTAGGAGAACCAGGTAACATTCTCTAATAAAATACTTCGTAATTAAGAGTTTACAATACTACAATACAATTTAACAATAAGCTGGAGGCTGGTTATGGTTGTGATGTGACAACAACCTTAATCTGTTTATAGTTAAATTACATACATACATACGGTGCCAAGTGACAAGAAAAAAATTCTTGTTGACAGATGCTAACCTAAAGATAAAGCTGATAAAGGGGGAATCTATAGTTATTGAAAATGTAATTAAACAAAGTTTCAAAGCTTCTTCCTCGTCCAGTTATAAGCAAGTAATTCTCTTAATCTTTAAACGAGTAAGAATAACCTGGGGAAAACAAACATACACATTTCCTTCACCGATAATCCTCTATCTATCTACTTACAAATCACGGGCATTACTAAAATCTTACTATGATTATGAAGTGAAATTGTTATGATATACAATATAATCTCAGACAATTATTGTTATTATTTGTTGTTAAAGTTTATGTATTCAGTTGTTATTATTTATTTTGCAGTAGTATAATATGCATTAAATATTTACTATATTACCAAAAAAGTGTAATACTCAGTGAACATGTGCCGTACTTCACGTGAGAGATACAAATTTGAAAAGTTGTTACTAAATTTAGACTGATATAATTGCGTTCGACTTCCGCATTGGGAAAGGACATTTCCAAAACCAGCCATATGCATCTATTTCGAGTTTCGGTTTCCGGGGGTCCACAAAAAATAACTTTCGCTTTTGTACGGAGGAATAATAATAATATATTTTTATTGTCAAATTTTTTAGCTATACCACTAAACACCCCTAATATGAATGTAATGAAATTTTTTTAACTTTTTGATTTTACTAATGGGGGGATTATTGGACATTCTTCATTAGCAATATAAATATCTATAATATCCTCCCACTAGGTTAAAAATTTTATACATCTCTTCTTTTCTTTTCCTTTCCTTTTATTAGTTATTATCTATCAGTCACTCGCTTCCACTTTTATAATGCAATTTTCCAAAGTTATTGTCCCAGCCGCTTTAGTCGCTGCCGTCTCCGCTGGTAATGTTACCGTCACCACTGACATTGTTGTCACTGACTTCACCACTTACTGTCCAGAAGCCACTTCTTTAGTCGTCAACAACAAGACCATCACTGTCACTGAAGCCACCACTTTAACCATCACTGGTCCATGTACTATCCCAACCACTTACGTCACCTACGAATCTGCTTCCTCTTCTGCTGCTTCTACCGTTGCTCCAGAAGTCACCACCGCTGAAGCCGGTGCTGCTAAGGTCGCTGTCGGTGCCGTTGCTGGTGTTGCCGCTGTTGCCGCTGCTTTATTCTAAACTTGACATAACTAAAATAATACAAATTGCTTTGTCATTTCATTTAATTGGGGTTTAAATTTTTCTTATACGTTAATACAATTATAATGTTTCTTTCTTGCTAATTTATTTTGTAACATGTCATTTTTAGAGTAATAAACAATTGCAACTATATGAATTTCATCTTTCTTGTTGTAAGAATAAAGTTTTGCTAAACATTTCTGTCGCTTATATATTGCTTAGTTTTACTGTTTAATCGATTGATTTCTTATGGTATTTTATTTTACAAATATTCTGGTGGTTGAAGACAGACTATTCTATGAATATTTGCTTCTGCCCGTTCATCAATTATTCCGTTATTAATTAAATTTGCACGATTTAATTGATAATTTGATGTTTCACTCAAGTATGGTTATATATTATTATCTAGCTCCCACTATGTATAATTTGTATCTTAGTTTATCTTAAGTTTACAATTGAATTAGTAGTTGTTTTGTTTACCATTTTTTTATCTATGATGTAAATAGCCCCGTAATATAGAAGAATAAGCCATTGAGATCTGTACTGATTATAATTCAGAGACCGTAGTCAAGTAGTCATGGCCATTGGTATACTAAAGCGAAAATAAGAATAGAAGCGAGAGGAAAAACAAATTGTCTTGTCCTTTGACAGCGTATTTTTTTTCTTTTTTTTTTTTTTTTTGTCTCTTACAAATTCTATTACTACGACTGGTTGTTAATTGAGTTGTAAAGAGAAAAATATGATAAAGAGTATCGTCTTGCCAAGGGACAATACTGAATGAATTAATGACTAATACAAGAAAGTTAGACAACTGCTAGGCAATCAGAAAAATTTTGCTCGAGGGTCTTCGTAAGTCTGCAATTAAAAAATTTTAGAAAATAATATTATTGAGTAATAAAAAAATTAGTAGAAAATCCGAAAATAGATTGTCCACTCTTAACCAATTATGTTCGTATATTTTTAGACTGTAACACAGCTAAAAGTTACTTTACTTTGCAATTTTGAGATACGGACCTTAGTGAGAATGTAAGTAAGGAGAGAAGGTAAATTGAAATGAGTCTTACTGTACTTATGAGGAGGGGAGCCATTCCACTCTTCGGTCTTTTGTTTGTATATAGTTTTGTGTATATATTTTGAGATTTATTTCCTTTGCATTAGTAGTATGCTGCTCGCATGTAACATTTTTATTCTACTAAATCAGATGTTTCATTACCAATAATTATAGTAGGGTGTTTATATTTACAAGTTAATAGTGTGAAATTTTAGATGTTTACTAATGGCTGAGATTCCCATCTGAGAGAGAGATGAGATTACTGGACTATACCTAAAACGAACATAGGAGGAGACATCATGCCTCACCAGCAAAACACTAGTGAAACTGGATGGAGTGCAGGATTTTATTTATTTATTGTATTTGTTTTGTTTTTGGCTGGTTTCCAAAATTCCGTCTTTGTTTAGGAATGCTTTTAGGTTGCACGTCTTATTGTCTCGTCTCAATGGAAGATTAATATGTAATTCATTTGAGTTCCTAATTTAGACTAACAATAAAGTATTAAGCAGATAGTAGTAATGTCATAATACAGTAACAGACAATAATCATACCACATTAATTACAATACATAATTATCTCTACATTTAATTACAGGGGAATACTACAAAAATTTTATAAACGTGGATTCCCAAATAGTAAAGAATGGATAAAGGATAAAGGATAAAGTATAAAGTATAAAGGATAGGATGAGCAATTGTATAGATGGAAACTCATAGAAGTCAAAGGAAATTGTTACTACTAATTGAGTAATAGATTGCCTCTAAAAATTAGTAAAAAGTTTTTCAGTGGTTGTCTCCGTCGTGTGCAGCATGGTTTATTTACGTCTCGACTAATGCGGTAACTGTTTGCATCTTAACCAGTAAATATTTCATACCAAGAAAAAAATTAATAAAAATATTTACATCTTGAGGAACTTCCGAGGAGAAATACGAGGGTAAGTACGAGGACACTTCGGTTACCGCCACCTATCCCAACTCCCTAATTGAGAATCCGGACCGCTCAATAAGGTATAGAAATATGTCTAATAATATCGCTAAGAGATTGAGAAAGAAATCTTCTGTCGCTTACAAAATCGGGAAATACGACAGATTACATAATGTTACGACATACAATTAGTATATTATACTTAATGTTACTACTTAGTTGATTTAACTACTTAATTACTTCCTCTCATACATTAAGATATAAGCATTCTTAATATTTTCTTCAGGACCTCCTAGCACTTCATCTTCTGATACGGATTTAATTAATGTATCATCAATTCTTACCCATTCATTACAAGATTTCTTTAATACATCACTAGTATAATGTCCACCTTCAGCACTACTACCATGATGATATACAACACCAGTTAATCTATAAATCAATTCTTCATCACCTCCTAATTTAATATTATTAGATAATACTCCTTTAGGAATCTTTAAATCATGACTATAATCAACTCTTTTACGTAATTTTTCAATTCCCACTTCTTTTTCTTTAAGAAATGAAAATCTTTTAAGATGTATAATTAATACTTGAGGTAATTTATCAATAAATGTTTGCTTTTTAATTTGTAATTCTTTATTATGCTTGGATTTAAATGAGATCTTTTCAATATTATTTAAATTATTAAATGCATCTTCAATAGAATCAGCTTCACTAATATCTAATTGAAGATTTTGAAATGGATCGAATGTTATGGATTTTTTAAATTGATTTGATGTGGCTGATTTTGGAATGGTTAATACTGATTTAAATTGTCCTCCAAATATAAAGTTAATTGGAGTTGGTTCAACTTCAACAGCTTTATTAATACTAATGGATTTATTATTGGATCCAACTTCATTCCATCCATCATTATCATCATTAAATCGAGTATAATCTTCATCATCAGCATCATCATCATCTTCTTCATTATCAACTTCATAAGCTTCATTATCATTATCGTTATTTTGAGGAACAGTAGTAGCAGTTGTAGTACCTACAACTGCATTGGAAGTAATGGTAGATGATGGTACATTATTCATTGATGTAGATTTAATTATTGGACTTCCACTACTAGATTTATTCTTTTTATCATTCTTAATCAAATTAACCGTAGTCTTTACATTATATTTAAATAATTGAACTTTTTCTCCTTCATTACTATTAGAATAAGTTTGAATTAATGAATCAATACTTGGAGTATTCAATTTACGAATGGCTTCAACAAATTCTTCATTTAATCCATCTAAATAGTAACCCATGAATTCTTCAGCATCTTCTTGTTGTCCCCATTTCAAATGGGAGAATTTCTTATGATTAATTAAGTTCATATAGAAAGTTTCAGGTGATATGGCTTTTGGTTGAGTTATGGAACTATTACTATTACTATTATTATTGCTATTAGTATTACTACCATTAGGAGTATTGGTTCTACTATTATCTTCTACTTTAGATGATGATGATGATGACTCTGGTTTAGGAGTTGAAGTATTACTTCTACTATTGATAGGATTATCAACAAATTCATTAAAGAATTTGATAGTAGCATCCAATAATGGTGTTGGAGATACTTTACTTAAATTTCCAATAGATTTATCTTCTATTAATTTCAATAATCTATTGAATGGTTCACAGTATAATAAGATCTGTAAGATAGAATTCATATAACATATGTTACCAGTATTAGTTAACCCCTTCGTAGTGATATTGAACAAGGGAAGTTTGGAGGAGAAGATAGAATAATTAGGATCAAACATAACTCTCAACAATAAGATTCCTATGGGTTGAGCAGATTCATTATTGATATTGAAATCATTCGTAGTATTGTCACTATTAGTGGTTGATTGAATAGGGGTAGATGGAGTTGAATTAATTAAGGTTGATGATGATGCTCCTGGGGAATTACTGATGGATGACTTATTCCTTATATGTTTACTGGAAATTTTCTTATTGACAATGGGTGCGGAAGACTGTAAAACAGAAGCCCAATTGGTAGATGATGGGATATTAGAGACAGGTTCTTTACTGGTATTGATATTGGTAGTTGTACTGGTTTCATTAATAGTTGATGATGGTGTGGTTTCAAAAGTTACTCTTTTCACTGGGGTAGGAATTAAAGTAGGATCAGCAGGTCTTCCACTATGAAGAGTGGTACTATCAGCATTATAGTCTATTATTTTCAAGGTATTAGTGATGATTACAAGTTTATCATTAACAGAAAGATTATATCTTTCTAATCTATTATACTTTTGATGGGATAACTCTTGTCTTTGTTTTATGCTGGATGCTAAATTCTTTTCAAACTGTGATTTGTCCTTCTCATCAATGTTGATGTAGAGAGGGAATGATATTATTGGTTTAGAATCTTGTGGTTGTGGGTTTGGTGTTGCTTTTGGTTTTGGTAGTTGTTTTGGTTCTTGTTCAGACTCAAGTACGACAGGAGTTACAGGAGTGGCCACTAAAGATGTAGAGGCGGAGATGGGAGTTGGAGTTGATACTACAGGAATAGGAGGAGGTATTGATGAAGATGTAGTGGATTGGGAGATCGGAGATGATTCTGACCGACTAGAAGCAGGAGTAATGGCATCAATATTAGAGGGATGAACATTAGCAAACCCATTAGGACTCGAGACTTGAGAGCTAAGATTGGAGTTGGAATTGGAATTATTGACATGACCATTAAGATGAGGTTGGTAATTATTGGTGGGATAGACTCCATTATTGTTACTATTATTAGTATTAGTATTATTAGTATTAGTAGGATTATTATTATTAGTTGGATTATGGTTAGGGGTTGGATTATTATAGTTATTCCTCTTATGATTACTTTTAGGTCTGGGAGTATATGAGCCATTATTGGCTAAATGCATGGGGAGATTCGGGTTGAAAGGTACTTGCTGTTGAGGTGGGGGTATTACAAATTGAGGCTGATAGTACATATCTTGATAGGTGGGCATGTAATAAGGAGGATAGTTAACCATTAGAGGGTATTGAGGAGTTCCATATTGCATGTATAATTGTTGTTGATGTTGTTGCTGTTGGTGCTGTTGGTGAGGATGTTGTTGGTGTAAGTTCTGTTGTTGCATATATTGCTGTTGATTCTGTTGATTCTGATGGGTATTCTGATGGTGGTTCTGTTGGTACTGATATGGATTACTGGGAGAAAAGCTCGCAGCATCACCACGGAACCGACTAGGCCCTGAATTGGCAGTGGACGATGAGGATGTGGACATGACTTATGATTATGATTATGAATATGACTGTAAAGTTACTGGAATGACAATATAAAAAAAGGAAGGGCCGCTATTAAAGATACAACATCAAGGTTGCTTTACTGAGGAATAGGGAAGGGGTGGAAGTTCCTTTAGTGGGAAAGGTATTACCGAATCAAAAGGTCCGGGAAAAGCTAAGTTAAGCTAGTGAGTCAGCGAATTAGTTGTCGGTAAATTAGACAAACTAAATAACGAAAAAAAAGACAAATAATGGTATGACACTAGAAGTGAAGTTCGGTAGCTTAAAATAATAAAACTTACCTACACACAAATGAATCAGTTAGGTGACAGTTAGTGAGAATGTCGAAACAGTGGGCAGGTCAGGCGAAGATAACGACCCTTTTCGTGGTGGGTCAAAAAATTTTCCACTCGCTCAATTTTCGCTCGGAGCCAGAGTGCACACAGGATAACTTTACAGGGGAGAGGGTGAGGAGGAGGACTAGTGGAGAAAGAAACATAAGAAAGTGATTGGACATATTGAGAGTGTGTAGTATAATGGTGATAGTGTTGAACAGGGTAGTATGTGGTTAGTACAGTTATATTAGTTATAATAGTAATAGTGGCTAAAGTAGCTGAAACCAATAATAGTGGTGATGATGGAAATTCTGGTGGGTATGATTACATAAGCCACAATCCTCAAGACTACAGTGGGTCAATGGATCTTATGCCCGTGCTCAGTTAGCGAGTCTGGAGTAACGTCATACTGGAGTACACAATAAAATATTTACTGACGACTCACAGAGAGATCGCTACAGTACTCACTAAGAATACACCTTTAACTCACTGAGATCTCTGTCAGATCTGACAGCGAACTCATGGAGAAGTCATAGAGTGTCCACTACGATAACTTTCTGTTTATTTAGTGGTCTAATTGCGTGCTCTTATTTTCTTTTCCGCTTTCTGTCCTTAACAGTCAGCGACTCTATCGACACTGTTAAAGACTTCTCCGCTGTCTGACTAATGCAGAACTCCTTCCTGGCCAACAATTGATAGAGCTACAGTATCAACTTCCAAGTTTTCAACTTTCGTACCCCACTCCACTGACTCTCCTTCCAACTGTTGACCTCTTACTAATTTTTTTTCTCGACCCAAAGTTAGCGACATCGCCGACCCTACTCCGCTAGCGACCTGCTACCACGTAAGCCTCCTATTCCCCCAATTTTCTCACGGTTACCGAAACTCTCCCTAAGCATTTAGAGCCTTCTCACTATTTTTCTCCCTAGGAATGATTTCCTATTCCAGAATCTACCTACTGGAACCTGCCTACGAAAAATAAATACACGTCGAAAGCCATTTGCGGACCGACTTTTCACTGGAAGTTTTCAATATTTATTATTGCCCTAGTGCACTCACGGTAATACCCCCTAACCTAACCACCATAACCCACCACTAACCATTAGTGAGACTCACCATGGTCAGCGACAGTTCGTGGATCCTGTCGTTACCGTTGGACTTACAAAAACAAATTTATGCTGCCATAACTAAACATCCAGATACGGTTGAAGTGTTTACTACACTATATAACCACCTTCAATTAGCGAGCGAACAAGACGATTCCAAGAGAAGGAAGGTGGACTCACACGAGAACCACCTGCACCAACAGAACCATCACAATCAAAATCAATCCAACCACCAAACTCATCACCAGACTCAGTCACAATCAAAATCTCATGCTCCACAACCTAACAATGGTTCAGATTACGGAATGATCACCATCTCCGAACCATTGATCCCTGAGACAATAATCTTTGAAATATCCCAGGTATCGTTCCAGTCTCCTATTCGAAAGAAGATGAATCTTATCTTCCATCTTATAGAAAGAGATAATGAGGCATTACCAGTGTTATCCATAGTGAACCCCACGAATCAAATTCCTGAAATTTCCCTCATAAACTTATCCCATTCTATTAAATTATGTATTATTATACCTATTTTAGGAAATTCCACGAATCCTACCAAGAAAAACATTGTATCATTATGTTTTTGGATCAATGAAGATAGACAAGATCCAATTATATGTCAAATTAATCTTGATGCTATTAAGAAACAAATGATTAAATTAGGGAAATTACCAGTAAATATAGAACAACAATTTGCTAATTATAATGAAAGTAATAACTTATCATTACATCCAGTTCATGAAAATATCATTGATTATTTCAAACGACAATTTAAATTGTGTGGAATTAATCTTATCAATTATTTACCAGGAACTCATATCTTCAATAATCAATTTACTTTAAATAACGATAATGCTTTAGCATTATCCAATAATAATATCTCCAATACAATCATTATGGTGGATTGTCATAAGGGTGCTAAAGATGGAGTATTGTTGTTTTTAAATAGTAATGAATTCAATCAACCCTTTATAATTTTTGGATTTAAAAAGCCTATTCTTCTGTTTGAAATTTCCAGAGTAAAGGACTCATCATATACAAATATTACTAGATTAACATTCAGTGTATTATTTACTGTTGTTAATGAAAAGGATGAAGAAAAAGTGATCGAATTCAGTATGATCGATCAGAACTTCTTTCAGATCATTGATGATTTTATAAAAGCTCAAAATATCAATGACAATTCATTCGATGCTACATTTAAAGAGAAACAAGTGGATAATCAGGGACAAAACCAAGAAAATAATCCAGACAATCAACCTCAACAGGAAGTGTTTAATGAAGATGACGAAGACGATGAAGATGATGATAATTATCAGGGTGGAGAGGAAGAAGAAGGAGAAGACAGTGATGTTGCAGAAGAGTATGATAGTGAAGCAGGAGGTGATAGTGGAGATGAAGAAGAGGGAAGTGAAGTAGAAGATGGTAATTTCAATAAGAATAAAGAGGTTGAGGAAATCGAATAATAACGGCACTACAAGACTTGTAAAGATAGTTAGCGTTCGTATAGGTATAGCATTAACTAAATAAACATAAATAAAACGATAATATGGAATGTATAATGAAATCATTAGAGATTAATGAAGTATGAAGAATTTTAGTGTACAGATGCAAAGTAACCGGATAAGCCCAAACAGACTAATTGGTTGATGTGTGTGTAAGTTTGTAGTGATAATTTAACTTAAAGTATGTAGTTCCTTACTTATATGGAGCTCCATACTTGTCAAACAACTTGAAGAAGGTACCTCTCTTGTCAGCAGTCATTCTGATATCTGGTTCATCATCGAATTCCAAGAATGCATCCTTAAGGGCTCTTTGTTCACGCAATACTGCCAATTTTCTTTCCAATAACTTTCTGTTGCTCTCTACATAGGAATCAATCACGAGATATACTCCTACAAAAAATCCTGATGATAAAGCATAACCAGGCACTCTATTCCAGGCTCTTGGATAACTTTTACCAATGAGTTGAACTTGCAATCTTCTGGTAGCAGACCCAAGTAATGTGGCGATTAAGAATCCGGTCGCTGATGGCATTTGTGCTATGGGTTTTGTTGATACTGGTAGTTGTGGAATGGGTTTAAGACCTTGAGGGACTGCTTAACTACTGCCTAATAATTTTTTATTGGTTTTTCATTGGTCGCTCGCCGGATTTTTGGTGATGGTCTGTGTGCAGGAGATACACACTCTTAACTATGGGATTTTTGTAGACATACTTCTACAGTGATTCCATCGGACGTGTTTGTAAATTTTTGAAATTGATAGTGAATGGTTTGTAGACATTTGTCCTTAATGGGAAAATACAAATATATCAGGCTAGTTATATAGCAAGTTAGTCGAATAAGAGTGGGAACTAAGTATAAAAGTATCGTGATAAAATGCACGTGATCAATAACCTTAACCTTAGCGGATATAATTTGATTAATCCACAGTTTATTAATGATTATTACACTGTTTAGGGTCTAATTATCAGTAAGGATGTCCATAAACTTCTTTAAAGGCCACCCTACTCGAAGTTTATTGCCAGTGCAGGCCATTGCCAATGCATACAACAAAGTATTACTCGATAGTGATTATCTCTCGTACGAGACTGATCCATTGAATCAACATCCTTTACAATATGGAACTGATCCTGGAAATTATGATGTGAGAAAGTCTATAGCTCAATGGACAGATAAGCGATTTGGTAGAACAAGCAGTGGTAATGGTAAAGGTACTGATCCTGATACCATTAATTTAACTGCTGGTGCATCATATGGGGTAGCCAATATCCTTACCTCGGTAACAGAAGCTTCAACTGTAACTAAGAGAGCATTTATTGTAACTCCAACTTATTATTTAATTACCAGTTCATTTCTTGATACGGGATTTGAAGGAAAATTAACTGCTATCAACGAAACTCCCGATGAAGAGTACGAAATCGATTTAAAGACATTAGAAGAAAAGTTGATTGAGTACGGTCACGGATTGGAGTCTAGTGAAGGTAAAGAAATTAATATTATAAGGGATCCTGTTAGAGGAGATAGAAAGTTATATAGATTCGTTCTTTATATTGTTCCCACATTTTCTAATCCTGGTGGGTTGAGTTATTCAGAGAAAACAAGAGTTAAATTGATAGAAATTGCTCGGAAATATGATTTATTAGTTATCAGTGATGATGTCTATGAATTCTTGGATTATACTGATAGTAAGTATCCTATTCCTCGATTAGTACATTTAGATCAGGATACATTACCTCCTTATAAGAAGTATGGTAATACCATTTCAAATGGTACATTCTCTAAATTGATAGCTCCTGGATTAAGAGTTGGTTGGCAAGAAACTCCTACTACCAAATTTGCTGATCAATTGGCTATTACTGGAGCCAATAGATCAGGTGGAACTCCGGGACAATTGGCTTCATTAGTGGTTCAACATCTCATCAATGATGGAGAGTTAGATAAAATCATCCTCGATTTCGTTAAGGTATACAAATCAAGATCAATTGCCATCCAGGAAAGTATTAAGAAATATCTTCCTAAATCCACTAGAGTATTGGGTGGCCAAGGGGGTTACTTTTTGTGGGTCACTATTCCTGGTATAGAAGATCATACTTTAATAGTTAAAGAATTAGCCAAAAATGGTGTCACATTAGCTGGAGGAGAAAATTTCGAAGTTGCAGGTGATACAAGAGATTGGGGTAGAAATAGTGTTAGACTTTCCTTAAGTTATCTTCCTGAAGAAGAGTTACGTTTGGGTATAAAACTTTGGGGAAAAGTGTTACAGGAGAAACATCCTGAACTTTATTAACAATAATAGACCTATTAGAATTAGTTAGTATAAGACTCAATAAATATACAAATGTATAAATACATTCACTCCATTCTTATGATTATATCTCAGCGTAGATCTTGGTGTAAACTTTTTGTCTTCTCATGTATTATCGATAAAGGCGAAGTGTTGTCATCTTGTAAAACCATAAGAAAAGAGTCAATGCATGTTGATACTGTTACATACCATTTGACATGTGACAGCAGTCCATCTGACTGCCATTTCCTCATCCATAGACAGGTCGCTAAAGAATGTTGTTGATAATTTTTGTTTTCAGGTTGAAAATTTTATCCCCATCTGGTCATGAAAAATTTACCCGACTTTGGCAATTTCAAAGCCCTTAATTTTTTTGCAGCAATTAAGACTTGACCTAGCGGGTATCTCCTTTATCATATATATATTTATACATTACATGCTTAATCGGATAGAGGTTCCCGATTGGGCCGTAACTGTAAGACACCAACAGATCTCAGGCTTATCATTCTGTTCGTATGTTGTTGATTGGTTTTTGTATATTGTTATCTTATTGGTGTTCAGTATCTATGGTACCACAGCTGCTCCTCGGTATCATGAGTTTCTGCTCCATGATATAAACTTGTTGTATACCTATAAGTCAGAAGATGAGACTGCTGTGCCGTTGTTACCTTTAATAGTAATTGCTATTGGACTCCCCATATTTCAATTTATAGCATGTTCAGTTATTAATGGAGCAACACTATCATCTTCAAGAAAATTCTGGGATATATATATTGGCTTGATGTGTTTATGTGGGAGTATGTCCATCCAACTAATGGTAACTGTGATTCTCAAAAACATATGTGGTTTACCAAGGCCAGATATGATTTCAAGATGTCAGCCCAACTTAAGAGTTGAAGTACCCCTTTTGCAATTGTCAACTGTTTCAATATGTTCTAATCCGGATATTGCTCTAATCCAAGAAGGATTCAGAACATTTCCTAGTGGTCACCTGTCAACTGTCTTCTGTGGGATGGTTTTAAGCAGTTTGAATATTGCAGGTAAGTTACAAGTGTTTGATAAACGTGGTATATCGTTCAAAGTAACTTTAGCTATATTGCCTATTATGATTTCTTGTTTTGTTTCTTGTACCAGAATTAGTGATAATCGTCACTTTCTAAGAGATGTTATTGGAGGGTCAATTATAGGAGCAAGTGTATCAATTTGGTTTTACTCACAATACTTCCCCAGCATATTTAATTTACAAAACTGTGGGAGAGCATATCCTCCACGACGATTTGGAGTAGAGAAGTTTCTTAATAATGTGGGAGGCTTCTGGAAAATCAAGGATACTTTGCCTGGTGCATATAATGAAAGGATACTTAACTCTCCTGAAGCAATTAAACAAGTTGAAAAGATTGAACATGTTAATGACAATGGAGAAGATATGACAGCTGTATCAGCAAACATACAGTTATTCAATAACTTAAAGAGAAAACTTAAAGACAAATATTACAATCTCAATACCACTGATAGTCAATTACCACTATAATTAATTCATTAAGCTATTAAGGGTATATACACATTACTCTATAAAATATTCTTTGCTTGTTTTCTAGCTATTCTCAATTTATCTTTCGTACTTTCGACTTCATTGTTAAATTGATCTAATAAATAATTCTGTTCTTCGACTTCTGTATTTATCGTTTCTGCAATTTGTCGTTGACGGGAAATTAGTTTTCTCAATTCTTCTACTTCTAAATCTTGTTGTTTATGGATCTGAACCTGCAGTTGTATTAAGTCCTGATTGGATAATCCCATTGTGTCTTTTGTTTCTTGAGCCTGAGAGGGATTCCCACCAAAGACACGTCTGGAAAATGCAGTATTTGGAGTCGTCGCAGTTATTGGAAGACTGGGTTCACATACTTTGTTTAATACTTGGATATTCTCCTGAAGATCTTTGACCAACGTCTTTCGTCTCTTATATTCATCATTCTTTAATGTGGGTGCAAATCTCAGAAGAGATGAGTCTAGATTCTTAATTGTGGGATGATAAACACGATTGATATTCTCACGAGCGTGTAACTTGTCACTAATAGAGCTGCTATGTTGTAATGTTTGGATTAGATGTGTGATAGAACTATGAACTACTCGAAGAACTTCTAGCCATGAAACCTCATCGATGGATTTGAAATTGATCAGAAGTAAGGAAGTATCATCGATTGTGGAAGTATTACTTTCAAAAGATGAACTCACTCTTTGTTTGAAGAGACTACTACTAAATTTAAAATTGACGGGTAATTGTAAGAACTCATGGAGTCGTCTATTGTTCTGGATTGAAGGATCCCTTATGAGAGAATCCAAAAATTTCTGTAACTGAGTCTTTCGTTCATCAACAATCGAATCCGTTCTGTTTTTAAACCAATTAATCCGTTTAGAGGGCAACTCATAGGGGAAGTCCTTGACATTAATGCCGAGACTACTGCTGAGATTATCAACCAAGTCTTCGAATTCCGAGTACCTATGGTTGACATTTATAGACCGCAATGGGAGTTTAATGGATATCTGGTAGTAGACCACACCATTGTGGTCCGTTACTGAGGGTATGGATATTATTTCTGAACTCATATTTGCCTCTCAGCTATGAGACATCCCGTATTAGTTGGATTAGAGCTTTAGTCATACAGTACGCCTCTTGGGGTGACAGACAAAAAGACGACTAGAAATGTAAATAGAGTAGATGCATTATCTGCAGGAATAAGATAACAAGTCCTTTTCAGTGAATCATAATATTTTGAAGAATTAGGCAATTTACTGGTAATTGATGAAATAGAAAAAGGCTAAGATAGGTGTTGAGATAAGTGTTGAGATAAGTGTTGAGATAAGTGGTGAGATAAGTGGCGAGATAAATGCTAAGATAAATGCTAAGATAAATACTAAAAATGCTAAGAATGTTTAGAATGCTTAGAATGTTAAAATTGCTGAGATAAAGCTAAGATTCCTGCTAAGAGAAATGATAAGATACGATTTCTCTCTTCAGCTAAGCTAAGCATCCATTATACATAGTATTTGCCAATACCTACTACTACTTCTTTAATTAACGACAAGATATATACACAGTAGCGGTGTTGTACATTAAGTAAGTCCGTAGCAACATTGCGCTCTTTATACATTTTTTCGTGGCCGCTTTTAACCGTTATTCTGTCACAATGCGTTTTCAAAATAACTAAAGGGACAAAGAAGTCTGTTTAGGATCTGCAATCGATGAACATACATGACATGATTAAACTTAATTCGTTTCAACTGTTTCCACCATCCGTTCGGAAATTTTTCAATTGCTTGACTGCTCGTTTACAGCTATCTTTCTTAGCTGGAACCTCGAATTATCGTCCCATTTTCAAATGTTTACATTACGACGAAATGCTGAAACATAATCTATACTTCACAAGTTTTAGCTAAATGTGAAAACAAAAGTTTAAATGGTTGTCACCTTGTGGGCGTGTGGGGAGGATTCACTCTCGTAACTTGACGGCTAGACGAAAGAGGCAAAAAAAGATTAGAAATTCTTGGCTGCGAGAAATCTTGTTAAGCTAGCGCTACAAAGGAATTAACAATTTAGAATATTTTTACTGAAATACTACACTATATCAGTGTAGTATCAATATCTTCTTCGTAGGGGCTCTAAAAAGACGGGCCATATTAAGTCACTTAGCCATGGATTACATGACCAAACGTGTTAATATATTATCGTATTAATCTCGCTTGATTTCAGTTATCTCAAATTGACCCCAGAATGAGAAATGCCAAGACATAATAAAAAACAATCAAACCCCTATAAACAATTTTAAAATTTAAGGAAAAGAACAATAAGGTATGATAAGACCTTAAATTAAAGACAGGCCAAGTATTAACAGTTCAATCGAGTAAAATAAACCATAAGGTTTAAGCCAGTATCAAAAGTTAGATAGAAAAATATGGTTAGTACACAATGAACAGCCTCAACAAATTTTAACTTCAGAAATCACCCACTATGGTATGTTCCCTGTCATGAATTACAGTTGAAATGTGTTTGACTTTTAAGATGTGATTTAGTAGATAAATGGCAGTTGTTATAGTTTATCATAATAGTTCGTATTTACTACACAGCAAACTAGGCAAGTAACACCGTTTCTATATCCAACAGAAAGTGTAAATTAAAGTGCGTAGCATGCATAAGCAGCTTCTCCTGAATACCTTAATTCTAAAATTATTTTTTTTACAATATTTTTCTCAATTGGATATATTTTTTTTCCTCTGTTTGCAGATCACACTAAAATTGTCTCTCTTTCTACAATTATCTAGGATTTTCTTAGCGGTGCGAATCCCTGTCATAGTTACTACCCTTGACAAAAATTTTTTAAGCCGTTATAACTGCAGGTTTGTCATTTTTTGATGTGTTACAGTTAATTATTAACCTGTTCAAAAACTGGTTGTGTCAAAAAGTAAATACAATATGGCTTACTAGTATTGGTGTTATTAACGTAAATTGTCGGAATATAAACGAGAGAATAATATTTGCTACATCTAACCTTTTCACAGAATTATGTCATAGATAAATAATTCAAGGAGGGTTCATACATTAAAGGCGCAGAAGTCTTGTGGGTCCTGTTTTGTCACGGTTATGCAAGCCAGCCGGGACGAGAAGCGAGTAATTGTGCATTGTAAATGATCGATACCAAAATATGACATTAACATTTGGATGGTTAGTTACATTTTGATTTCTTAATTACTCTCAGATACGAACTTTAAAAAATTAAAACTTTTTTTTCTGAGATTATTATGTGTTAGAATTGAAATTTTATGCAATTTTCATTTATTACTGTGTTGTGTGTAATTGAATTAAAACTACCTCATACTGAAATCCCTGAATAATTGATTTGGTATTGTTTTTGTTTTTACAAATATTATTATTATGATTTATTATTCTTATCATTATTTTATCACTATTATTTTTAATCTTAATTGGGGTATACTAATATGAGTGATACACATGGAGAAAACCAACATAGCAGATTTAGTGGGGTGCTCTAATTTAGTGTGATTAGATAACTTCATGGGGCATAGAAATATCAGAATGTAAACATACGTATGAGTAAATAAAAATAAAGTTTGCTTGTCATTGAAACTATGCCATGCAGACACGACAGAGTGTGGACCGATTGACATAAAAAGAAACGATTACAGTAAAAGGCTGATCTCTCAACGTCAATAGAAAAGTATCTACAAAAGTCTGCTCATGAAATGAACCAATTGATCTTTGAAAATTAGTGAGTTCAATCGAACGAATACATCCACAATATCTTAAAAGATGGTTTAGACCCTCTTGTGTGCTATAGTTAGAATAGCATGTTATGTTATTTAGTGAATGCGACTGATGACGTTTTGCTACTGCCGTTTCTTGATGACGGCACCATATTTACAGGATTGTACGACCAAGAAATATGGGGTAGAATGGTAAGCACATATAAGCGATAAATTCTGGATTGTAATGCAGCAGTATCAAGCATTTAACTAAATAACCATCAAACATATGAACCACTCTATTATTCCTTTTACTATAATACGGGTCTCGCTCACTTGATTTTTTTTTATGAGTGACTGACCAAATGCCTAAACTAAAAACTTTACATACTATTATTCTTTATTAATACTTTTTTTGTCAGAACTTCCCGACAGAACTAATTGGCTCAATTGTCTTGAAAACTGTGACCTTCTCTATCTGCCAGCCTAATAGCAAAGATTGTTTGCATCTATGATTCTCTATTTGATTTTCGGTTGATCTTTATAGTCTGAATCATTGCCTAGGCTCGTGCTACAGATTTCACGCAATACTGGTATGAGGGGTTTCTGTCTCTCAGTACGAAAAATGCTCAATTTTCTTTAAAAAATATATATAGCGAAAGATGCATTACACAAAAGATAATTTGACATTTTTTTTTTTTCAAAAGGGGTTTGATATGGATAGCTTCTCACATTTTGATTACTGCTGCAAGAGTATTTGGCTAAGAAAAATAAAAAAAGCAGATTTTTAAAATACCAAGAAAAATAAAATCAATTGAATTGTTTCGTTATTTTTTTTCAATATAATGAATTAAAATAAAATAAAAAAAAAAGACCAGATTTCATTTGCATGTAAATATTAATTATTTGTTTATTTATGCCCAGTCGGTCAGTCAGCCTGGCAGTAACAGAGACAGTCACACACAAACGTAGTCTAACTTAACTTTAATCCTCAAGTGAGCTACCTATTGTGATTTATGCATCCTGCAGAAGTAGTCTGTGGAAACATTTATCGTAATATATTAAATATTGTTACTATATTTATTAATTATATAAGAACTATAAATTCCCAAGGATTTTTTAATTTCCAAACGGTTTGATCTTTTTTAGAACTATCAAATTTTAATAACATTCTTTCATTATTTATATACTAATCATAAATTATTCTTACGAACTCATAAAGAGCCAATTCATCTATTATTGATTGATAAGGATAGTCGCAAATAAGACACGCTACATTTTTCTTGTACTATAATAAACATCTCAATAAATAGTAATTACCCATATGATGTCTTCATCTAATAAAATAAGTTTGCCGCCAATATCGGATATTTTACTTCCTCCATCAATACATCATCTCCAGCATCAACAGCCTCAAGTTACTGCTCCGCCACCTCCACCAGCTCCACAACAGCAATCAGTTCCTATACAGCCTCAAAGATGGCAACCTCAACATCCAGCTGGTCCCCCAGCTCCACACTTAAGAAATACTAGGTCTTTATTACCTCCTATCAATTCGGTGCCTTCCAATATCTTGAGTCCATCTACTAGATATTTACCATCTACCGCTGTGCCGGGTCCTTCATATGAAGGTAATATACCACATGCTACTAATAATTATTACTATACCTCAATCCCTTCTACAAGTAGCAGCATATTGACTCCAACTCATTCATTGGTAAATTCCACCGCATCATTGTCTGCAAGATCACCATTATCTCATAATTCATCACCTGCTTCAAATACAACTTCAGGTTTAGCATCTCCACCTTTACGTCAAACTCAGTCCCATCATGCATTATACCAGAGACATCCATCTATTCCTCACCCACAGCATCATATACATCCCATGGTACAACAACCACCATTATACAAACCAAACACATCCACTTACAGAAATTCGTCTATCGGGGAAATTAGTGATGAGGACGAAGTAAGTGAAGAGGATAGGTATAAGGTGAGGAGACAGAGAGAAAGAACAGGGAGTACCGGTAGTGAAGAATTAGATGCAAATGGCATACCTTCAATCAAGAGGAAAACTAGAAATAATTTACCAAAGGAGATAACTTACATATTATTAAAATGGCTAAATGATCACTTAAACCATCCATATCCAAATTCATTTGAAAAGAACCAACTAATGATGGCTACTGGGTTGAATCAACAACAATTATCAAATTGGTTTATCAATGCCAGAAGAAGAAAAATTAAACTGTTAAAGGAGCAAAAGAGAATCAATTTAATTTGACAAGATTATTAACTTCAATTTGTTTCATTCCACAAAAATTTATCTAAAGTTTAAGTTTACTAGCTTAACTTTATTATTTATTTTCCAGTTTTAAGCTTAGCTCTTTTTCAAGCTAAGGGCCACAAATTCAGTGCATAGCTTCATCATCTATTTATTTATTTATTTATTTATTTATTTATTTATTTATCTATTTATTTATTTATTTATTTATTTCTTTCTTTCTTTCTTTTATTTATGTATTTTTGAGTGGTTCATTATTAGTAAAACTTTATACTAATTATTCTCATTTTTAATAGGACAGAAAACTTCTGGGGTCAAGTTTTACTAAACTTTCTTTAACTGTAGTATAGATTTAACACATTCTTAATAGTTACCCTTAAAATCATGATATTATTCGAAATAATAAAATCGAATTATTATTTCTTAGTATTATTAAGAGTGGAAATGGTGTGCCCGTAAAATCTCTCCAGTTTCTGACACTCATTTAATTACCTAATGTGTGTAAACAATCGTAATTAAGGGGAAAAAATGGAACTGTCTGTGAGGCATTTCCTTCGCTTGTTCCCGATTTTTTTAGAACTTTTATTTTTTGTTCAATGCTTTGCTTGACATGATTTGAATCAGATTCTTTTTTTTGCTGTATTTTTTTGTAAAATATTTTTTGTGTGCGCTATGTTTTATGCCCGAGGTGTATTAGGAGTTCGCTCGCACTATCAACAATACAGGACTGTGCAGCGGCTTTGTTTACAGGCGCAAAATCCTGACTGGTGAAGCGGAACTTTGTATATATTAAGATTTGCGGAACTCAAAGCAATCAACTTAATTTCTATACTATATTAAATGTATTTAAAGTTTAGATTTAATGCAAGTAAAATAATTTCCAACACTTCGAGTAAAGTGCGTCACTGATATAAGTTCGTATATATAAGAAACACAAATGAACATATACATATCATAGCCCAAATGATCGCAAACATACCATAATTGGTTAGCCAGGGAACACTTGGGGTCACAGCGAACAAATAGGAGAATCGAGTTCAATAATATAATATTGTTTCATATAGCCATTTTATGTGACGAACAATAGTGAAAAGTGAGAATAATTTAGTTCATGCAGACCTCACGGAATTATTCGCTGATGTATGCTATTCCGCTTATGGTAAGAAAAATCGCCTATAGCCGTGGAATACTTGAAATAGACAACTGTATAATTTTCAGTTACAAAGCTTATGAAATCTAAGATGAATTTCAAGGTAGCTTTAATGTAACCAAACTCATAATCAGAAAGCTCACATATAATACTTTTATATGGTTCTCATACATGAACATGATCAATGAAGGAGCTCAGGAGAAAGAAATCATCTAAAAATAGGACCCTTTCTAACTTCGACAGAATTGGATGATGTAACCTTGTCTTATTGCTATGTACGCCGTGTGAATGATAATTAAAGATTATTACAAAGAAAATTTGATTTACTAGATTTCAAACGATCTTGTTGTTTGTTTCTTTCTTTCTTTATTCAAATGACCGATTTTTTTAACTTATGCAGAATGAAACAGAGAAGACTAATGAAGTTATCCCTTTGTTGCACTTTGAAATTAGCAATTGCAGTTAAACTAATTCATGATGTATTACACAATAAACACAATAAAACATGGAAAGAGATCGCAATGAAATCCACAAGATCAGAATTTAGACGTTTCATAAAATAGTTTGATGTTGCAAGTAAAATTTATCGTTTTTACTTTAAATCTCTTAATATATTTCAATTTACTGACTTGGCATCATACAACGAGAATTTTGTAATGGCACTTATGACGTCGACATCAAAATGAATCCCTAGATATTTCATAAAAGCTCCGATCAATATTTCTGCTCAAGAATGCGTCGGTTTGTGTAATATGTCAAAAATAGGGTTCAAAAGCAGGAAATTCGATATATAGCAAACAAATGAATTGACAAAAGTGAATTTAAGCAGACATGGATGTTCATCCGAAAATTGATAACAGAGACACATCGTTCAAGACTCAATAGAGTTCCGTTAGTATTTGGGAAGAAATTACACCTATTTAAGTGATAATTATTGCAGAAAAAAATGAGGATAAAGCTGATTTATTGCAAATTTAATTCTGACCAAATGATAGTTTACATAGTTAAGTTACATGTTACATTTGTTGTCAATATATAAAGCATTAGCTCCAAGGTAGTCCCAGATAAATAAGTTTCTTTTAATTTGATAACTTACTTCAAACTCGGCAGCTGCATAATTTGCGTTTCAATCTTGCTCATATGGAAATCATCGCATTTATTCAAATCTCCCAGTAGTTTGTGACAACGAAAGCTCAGTTTGCCCTAATAAATGAACGTTATTTTGAACCATAATTAGAACGAACACCTAGTCGATCCTTGCATTAGGCCTTTGATTTTGCTAGATGTACTGTATCAAAGAAATTTCTTTTTGTAGTATTTTCTAATTTTCTTGGCACGATAAAAGTCGTGGAATATGGATAAATTGAGAGAATAGCAGCTAGAGAAAAAAAGCTTATTCAAATTTAAGCTTTTTCAGTGATAAATAATTATTTTTAGTAGCACAGGAATGACAAAGCCACTCGTACAAAGGACATAATTTTTGTTTTTTTGGTATGTGTCATTTCCTGATATAACGGGTTCTGTCAAAAATAAGAAAAGGACATTTATACTCAAACCAAAAAATAAAATTATAAAGAAGAACCAAGCAAAAATTGCTAAAATAGTGATTGAACACCAAGTTTTCAAAATTCAAAACTGAAATTATACTGACAAAATTTGAGCTTGCTGTTCATCTGTAAGTCACAATATTAGTAAGCGGTAAATATATCCTTTGGGGTATTTACTTTAAAAGTACGAACAAAGCCTTTAATGCTGTCAGAATTTGTAGCGATGGCTTTTTTCGAAGAGTACAGCACAGCACTCAAACTCACTCATGTTACATATTTTTGCTTGCGTTAAGTTTGAGCAAAGAATAAAAATTTGTGAATGTCAGACACAATCACACCGTAAACCTAAGCCAAACCACCAGATAATAATTATCTATGCTAATAAAATTAAAAAAATTACCTTATTATTCATAATAACTATATTAAATTTATTTATTTTATCCTGCATACTACAGCAAAAGTAATTTGATTAAGTTGATGAATGACATGTTTCGAACCGCCTTCGACTCTCTCCATCCCCGTAGATAGCCAAAGTCAAAACTAAATAGAATTGGTTAGACAATATTTAATGACATGCTACATTATGTTATGAACTGTTTTAATCAAACTACTTTTTAGATCAATCACTGTTGTGCAATTGTATTATAGTCTATGCGGTTTGCATACTGTAATTCACGTTACGTAGTTCAGGTCATTCGGCTTGTCAAAAAAAATCTGGTCCCTAGAAAGTCTCGCGGTACTTCAAAATACGCACTACTCCCCGCTTATCTCCAGGACAATAGTTTTTGCGTTACCCTGATTTAGGGTACCTAAAAAGCCCCTAATTTGACTCGCCATAAAGAACTTTCTCGCAAGAGAAAAAATCTCCCTTTTGACCTAGCGCTGCACTGTACTGCAGTATTAATCACATCACATTATGTCTGTCTTTATTTTTGTCATTTTCAATTTTGTAAACGTTATTATCCAAAATCGTGTCATAACTTAATTAAGGTTTTGAAGGCTTACATGAGCTTATTCTCAATTCTCTTCTCTTACTCACCCGTTAGCGAACTCTTTATATCATGCATCGTCTATGCACACATTTCATTTACTTCATTATCTTCCTTTGTTGAATCTCCAAATATTGACCGACAATTTAGATATTAGAATGAAATTGGCCCATAGAGAGAACTAAACTCTAAGAAATTTCTTTGAAACTTGTTGAATCTTAATCTCACGTCAGATTATAGTTTTCACCCCACAAGTTTTTGTGTCTTTCCATCCAATTTAACAGTGATCGTCATTTTGACTTATCTGGTTTTGAAAAATAAACGTAATTCTCTTGGAAACGTTCACTAATGATAATGTTCAATTATAAAAGCTTGAATATATATTTTTTATGTTGCAATTTACGAAATAAATATTTTTTTGGAATGCAAATATTAGATTTAGAAAAGCAATTATTATATTATTATGATTACCAGAGGCGTTTCTTATAGGAATTTAGCCATTTAATAACATCTTCTGTACTCCAGATGTCTCTAGTGAAGCTTTACATAATATAAAAAATTGGTAACTTGTAAAAAGAATTCTTAGCTGTTTAAGTCACGCAGTTTATAGAGTAATCCATCGAGCACTAATAAATTATTACCATTACCAAAGTCGACCTTTGTTCAATGTATTTTCTTACCTTACTACTTCAAAGACGAATTCTGAACAACGCTCGATATTTGATATCCATTAAACTATTTCACTCTCTGAATGTATACTTGGCATTCAATTAGCATAAACCCGATTGGTATGCTTTTGCGCTCATAGCCTATACATGCAAAAAAAAGGTTCTTAAATTACTGAAGTGCTATGTTACTAACCTTATTTGACTTAACTATATACTTTTATATTTTAATTTGGATTAGATGAGGATTAGGAGACATAAAACCCAAATACCGACTATCTTTGCTGTAATAAGAACCCTTGTCCCATTTTGGTTGTGAAAAATTTCAGTATCGTCAGCCAGTTTTGTGTCATCAAAGTTTTCGGTTTTGTTTACGTTTTCAATTAAATATCAAAATGAAAAGTCGAACAGTCAACACTCCAATTTATCTCTTGACTCAAGTCTTGAAAATGGTATCTACATCAGAAGCTTTGATAGCCGTGTCAGACTCCATACTTAACTCATTCACATCTCTCTCAAAATTAGAGTATAACAAGAAGGGTCGCGTCTATCGTTACGTCAACAATGACTTCCAGCGAATCAGAGAAGAAGATAAACATTTGGTCATATATCCTCAAGATCTCTCAATGAATATGGCTCAAATTTCGGCATTCAATATACTAAGTAATATAAGTGATGGTCGAATCTTGGAAACTTTTCCTGATTTTTGCTGTGCGATCTTAGGAATAGCTAAACAGTTAGAGGTAAATAATTGGTACGAAATAGAAAATACAAGCGTGGTCAACTATCAAAATTGTAAATTTGATCCTTTGGAGTGTAAAGATGAATGTGAGGCTTGGTTGAATGAACATACTGTTACAGACGACCATATATCAGCCGGTATAGATTTAATGATCTGCTCGAAGTTGAATTTCCTTCACACAGACCATCATATTGGAACTAAAATTGAAGGTTATTATATGAAACATTACTTATCAAAATTTAACCAACAAGATGAATTTAACAAAGATAATGAAGAAAATGAGGACGAAGCATTCTCATCAGAGGATATCTTACACTCATCTGATGTATTAGTTGCCCTCAAAAGTTTTGTGCACTGGGGAAATATCAAAGGTATTTTATACAAGCTTGACGTTCCCAATATCAATATCTCTGAAGAACTTCGACATTCCTTTGCTGATTTTCCAGATCCATCACCCGAATTAAAGTTATCTGTATACGACCGATACCCCAGTGGAACATCCAAATATTCATTAATAAGAAAGCTGATTGATATATTAGGTGATTGGCATTATTCCAAACTTATACCCTTTCCACCATCAAGTGATCAAGATATTCAGCTTAATTGGCTATACGAGCTATGTCATGATATTGAAAAGAACCCACTCAAATATCACTTACGTTCGCTTCTGAAAAGTCTTTATATTGATCCGATAAACTTGAACGAGTTACTGCAGATGTATTCTCAACAATGTAAAACTCTCCTTTCATTGGTTTCAATCCTTCTTAACACTTTCATTGATATGGATACAGGTGGGGAATATCTCTTAAACAATTCCAAAATCCCAAAGTTTGACGATAAATTTGTCAGCAACAACAGGATCTTCTACGATAAACTAATAGAGATAAGGGAATTAATCCAAAGTTACGAAACAAAAGGTTGGGATAAAGATGATATAGTCTTGCGGCTCCAAGGAAACAAAGATTTGATTGGCGAGCTGACTCTTTTCGATAAGGTTATGGAGATGAGAGAAAAGTTCATAGATGATTATGAGTGAGCAACTGATAGATAGAGTATTCATTTAAGTATATAGACCCCCTTATTTCAAACTTCGTATAATATGTCCAATTTACCCCACAAAGATAATTTGTTGAACGACCTTTAAACTCTTTAATTTCATTCAATTTATCGTTTAATTTTGCAGAAAACATGAACTTAATTTTTCTTTACCCTTCCATCCGATGGTTTTGACAGTTATTACCAATAGAATGAACCAATAAAAGAGTCATTATAATCTCACCTCAATCCCAACTGACCAACTATAGTTACCAACAAAGTTGAATCAGGCTATAAACGATAATAAGGTTATGTAAAACAAAGTTATAAAAATAGAGGAATTAGATAGATAATGAACTCTCTTTCGGAGAAGAAATATAGCGTATGCTGAATAGAATTGTTCCCTCTTGCCATTAAAATGAGACCTTCAATTATCAATCACCAACACTCATTGGCCACATCTATCGAAAAATATTAATGCATGACCCTTTTGATAACTTGTCTATACCTAAACTCCCCATTAGAGATACAAGTTTCGCCAAATGAATTGGAACAAAACTCTTATATTGACGATAAATTAAGATTTAGTATAGACAAATAACCCCACTGATAATTGACCCCGGCTGATGCAGGCATAACAGGTAGTTCCTTATCTTTTATAATCATATCATAAACATACTTTACTAGTGCGAGAAATTAGTGCAAATTCTAAAGCTTGTTTTATTAGTATAACTTTAATTGCAGCAACATTACGTATAAAACGCAGACTATCTTGCTTTTGCGGTCAATTTATTATGGATTCATTTGTAATAAAGCCCAATTACATATATTAAATTTCAATAGGTCTGATATTGAAACTAAGGACTGCCGCAGGAGAACACAAAGACTAATAATTATATTTCATTGTGGGGATCTCTTACTATACTTCATAAAGATGTAATGTTATCTGAACAGGATCAGTGACTGAAAATTAGAGATCATATAATATTACTTAAATGAGTTATTGTATTGTGGATATTTGGATATAATGCTAGTTTTGCAGTCGAACATTTCCTTTTGTCCTTCTACTTGTAAAACCTGTTGAGAGGACCCTGGCTAATCGATGTAGGAAGTACAGTGCCTATATTTCAGGCATCAGGAAGTTGGGACATCAGAACTTTCCACCATAGCTGGCTCACTAGAGAGATGGATAAAGTAAGAGTAAGACGGTCAAATATGCACCTTGAATTGTTGAAACGACACTCAGTGATTTTAGTTTTATTTGATGGAATGAATAGATCCTCGGTGACATGAAAAAAAATAATAGACCGAAGGTAATTTTACAGATGGTCCGAATAAGAAAGTCGGAAGTATGAATACGAAAAAGTGAAGACATTGTACAAATACATACCTTTACAAATTCTAGTCTATATAAGAGTGATGTCTATTCACTTAATAAAGGTTATCGGATAGCAATAATATAGCGACTTTCTAATTGGACGATTTCACTAGAATTCACTCTATTCTTATTAAATTCATAAAATCCATAAAAGCTCATCTTATAAAAAGCTTCCTTATAACAATTTTATACTCGAAGAATATTTTTAGTAGTCCTACTTAGTACATAAATTCACAAAATAGAAACTCTATTAGAAAATTAAACGTAACCTGATTAGTTCGATTTAAACGGTACACCTTTGTGGAGAATTGGGACCTGAAAGAAAAGTCACTAATTCCTTTTTATAGAATTTCTTTCCATTAGATCATTCGATTTCGATTTGATAAATAAGGAATTCTTTAATGAACAATGCATTTATTTTTATCAATACAATTATAAAAAGCTTATCGATTAATTAAGGACCATATATTTTATTTCGCGTCAGGGCGCAAAACTTTTGAGCCTATAAATATACCGATACCCCCACCCCCGCAGAAAATATAAAAAATATTGGAGAATTTCCGCTTTTCTGCAAAATTTTTCAGAGTAACTAACTAAGCTTAAAAGACTTTTGTTACAGCTACAATGTCAACTGAAATGTTAGAAACGAAGAAGGTACCGTACACCACAGTCCAAGAGGAGGAAGACAAATCTAGGAAGTACGAAGATGATATTAAAAGTGACTTTTATGACACAAATTCAAGTGAACTTGATATGGTTGACTTGGAAAGTAATGATGATATTCTTAAAAAGAAAATGAAGCTTGTGAACGATGCAATTGATGAAATTGGATTTACTTGGTACCATTTGAAGTTATTCTTCCTTAATGGTATGGGTTATTCAACCGACTGTCAATTAATTTATCTTGAAAGTAGTGTCAGAGAATTCATTAATTATCAGTTCGGATATTCATTTCCGGTTTCTAATGAGTGTTATGCAATTGGTATGATTCTTGGTGGATTGTTTTGGGGATTTTCTGCAGATTTAATTGGTAGACGTATGGCTTTTAATCTTTCATTATTCCTCTCAGCAATCTTCACCATCTTGACAGGGACAATGGGAAATATGGCATCTTACTGTATTTTCATTATATTGATTTCTTTTGCCGCAGGCGGTAACTTAGTATTAGATACATGTGTATTTTTGGAATTTTTACCTCATAAGGATCAATGGTTATTGACCTTCTTTGCCTTCTTTTGGGGTATTGGTCAAACAATTACTGTTCTAATTGCATATGCATTCTTACCAAATAATTCTTGTTCCTCTGCTGATGATTGTCCTTCGCATAAAAATAGAGGTTGGAGATATGTCTTTTATGTTAATGGAGCCATTGTATTGGTATTAGCTATCCTAAGAGTAACTGTAGTCAGGTTACAAGAAACTCCAAAGTTCTTAGTCTCTAATAATAGAGATGCTGATGCTGTTCAGGTTCTCCAAAGCATTGCTTTGAAATATAATAGGAAGTGTTCTTTAACTTTGGATCAATTGACTGAATGTGGTACTATTGAATCAAACGATGATTACAGAAATCATTTCAGTTTAAAGGGAACTTGGGAATTGACAAAATCTCACTTAAAGACATTATTTCAAACCAAAAAGACTACCAGATCGACAATTTTACTTTTCATTTCATGGTTTTTCTTGGGAATTGCATATCCTTTATATTCATCATTCTTATTGATGTATTTAAAATCTCGTGGTGTATCCATCAGTCCCACAACATACGAACAATACCGAGACAATTTAATCAGTAATGCGGCATCTATCGGAGGACCCATAATTGCAGGTCTATTACTTTATTATGTCCCTAAATTAGGTCGTCGTGGTGTATTATTTATTGGAGGAATAACAACGATGGCATTTTTATTTGGTTATACTGCCGTTAAAACTGAGGCTCAAAATGTCGGTTTAGCATCAGCAGTATACTGCGCTTTGTATATATATTATGGGGTTATTTATGCATACACCCCTGAGGTTATGCCATCATCAGCTAGAGCTACAGGTAACTGTCTCTGCTTGGTTTGTACAAGAATTGCCACTGCCATCACTCCAGTAATTGGATATTATGCTAACACTAGTACATCAGTTCCAATTTGGATTTGTGGAGCTGCTGTGGGTATTATCGGTATTATTGCAATATTCTTACCATTCGAACCAAGTAAATCTAGAGTAGTTTAAAAATATTTAATTGCTTTTCTTATTTTTATTATCATTCTCTTATTTAAAGTTATACTTATTTATTGAAATTTATGGTTTATGAAAATTAACGTACTTATTTATTATTTTTTTAATGCCCGATACTAAATAGGGTTTCCCCAGTTAAAGTAATTATACGAACAAAATTACATACATGTTCAATTACAAATGAAATCATTTTGCATTTAAAAGCCTTCAAGTATTACTTGACAAATTAGGCAAAACTAAGTACAATCTGACATATAAGCCTCAAGATAAGTACGACAATACATAGAAAAAGATTATACAACAAAAACCGTAATTAGTCGTGATTTATTAACTAAAAGTGGCTAAAGGTACCTTATCATTTGAGCAAAAGTATATGCAGTAAGCAATAACAAACAATTATGAAAAGGCTATGTATAGATTCCGAACGCCAATTTCGGATAGAATTACGGCAATGCAGAAAAATATTCCTGCATTCGGAATAAGTAATTTGCGTCCATGCTGATAAGGAAAATAATCTAAAGCTTTTCCGACATAATCCTTCTGCTTCAAATGGAAAATATTACACTGGCCGATCTCCCACTACCCATGTGACACAACAAAAATAATACTCGGTTGCAATTGTCCTTATCTTTTGGTGAAAAATAATCCAACGCAACGTAAACGTTACTTCAAGTCAAAATGGGTCTTGCACAAAAACTCCGAAAGGGTATTGTGATAACTTTTCCTTATCTAGCATGGTTTATCCATTTTCCCAAATTTGTAGATTCTCTATAATTAGTTTTGAGCTATTGTATGGTTATCTTTCCGGAAATGGTCGATAATATTATTTGGACAAATAATGTCTTAATACAGTATAAAATAGAGGTATACATGATTTAGCAGCAATTTGAAATATTTTGATATGTATAAATAAAAGCATTAAACCCTTCAATGCCAGAAAGTCTTTACTATAGGTAACAGCAAATAATAGAATTTAAAATGTCGACGTCGTTAGAACAAGAAAAGAAGGGGAATTATGTTCATGATGTAAGAAGTGTAGAAGAAGAGGAAAGCTTGTCGAAAGATGTTGACATGTATGAGTTAGAAGGTAATGATGCCATTTTAGCCAAAAAGATGAAACTTGTCAACGATGCTATTGACGAAATTGGATTCACACCTTACCATTTGAAATTGTTCTTTCTTAACGGTATGGGTTATGCTACTGATTCACAATTGGGTTATATTGAAAGTTCAGTTAGAACTTATGTCAATTATCAATTTGGTTATACATATCCAATTTCTAATGAAATGGTAGGTGCTGGTTTATTGGTAGGTGCCTTATTTTGGGGGTTCTCTGCCGATTTAATTGGTAGAAGAACGGCTTTTAATTGTTCTTTATTTTTATCAGCAGTTCTTATTATATTGAATGGTGCTATGGGAACTATGGCCACTTACTGTATCTTTATGTTCCTTTCCATGTTTGCTACTGGTGGTAATTTAGTGTTGGATACATGTGTATTTTTGGAATATCTACCTCATAAGGATCAATGGTTATTGACTTTCTTTGCCTTTTTCTGGTCGATTGGTCAGACTGTTGCTGTTTTATTGGCTTATGCATTCTTACCAAATTATTCTTGTTCCTCTGCTGATGATTGTCCATCCCATGAAAACAGAGGTTGGAGATATGTCTTTTATGTTAATGGAGCCATTGTATTGGTATTAGCTATCCTAAGAGTAACTGTAATTAGATTACAAGAAACTCCAAAGTTCTTAGTCTCTAATAATAGAGATGAAGAAGCAATTAAAGTGTTGCAGGGAATTGCAACAAAATATGGTAGAAGTTGTTCATTGACTATCGAAGATTTGAGTCAATATGGTGAAATTGAATCAAATGACGATTATAGAAAGCATCGTACTCTTGGTGGTATCTTTACATTAATAAAACATCATGTTCAGATTTTATTTTCCAACAAAAAGGTTGCAAGATCTACTTCATTAGTTTATCTTTCTTGGTTCCTTTTAGGTATTTCTTATCCATTATACTCCAACTTTTTGCCTGTCTATTTAGCTACTAGAGGTAACAATATTAGTGCTTCAACTACTTCTGGAGTCTATCGTGATAATGTTGTTGGTAATATCTCCTCTATGGGTGGTCCAATCATTGCCGGTGCACTTCTTTATTTCTTCCCAGTTTTAGGTCGTCGTGGTGTTTTATGTATTGGTGGTATTACAGGAATGGCCCTTTTATTTGGATATACTGCTGTAAAGAATCATACTCAAAATGTGGCACTTTCTTCAGCCTCTTATGCTGGTATTTATATCTATTATGCATGTTTATATGCCTACACTCCTGAAGTTTTCCCCGCTGCTGCTAGAGCTACTGGTAATGCCATTGCTATTGCTTGTACAAGAGTGGCTGCTTGTATTGTTCCAGTGATTGCTTACTATTCCAATACAAGTTCATCAGTACCTATTTGGATTTGTGGTGCATTTGTTGGTATTATTGGGCTCTTGGCACTTTTATTGCCATTTGAACCTTCAAAACATCGTGTTGTTTAGTTTCGTTTTATTTTTGTATATTTGATAGATGCATGATGGCTGGCACATCATTTGCAATCTTATATTTAGCGTTTATATAGATTGATACATGTTGAATTTGAATACTATTGTACATTATGATCTATTAGTCTATTGCTCTATTGACTATTGAACTTTATTTATTTACATGGGCTTTAAACAGTACATTCTCACAGGGTACAACTCTTTTGGCATACCCTTTTGAACATCACTGGCAATCAATTTCAATCCAGCCTGTATGAATAATTGTCTAAATTTTTCATCAGTTCTAGTGACCGATGAATCTGTCTCATCGAATATATCATCAAATGGGGCAATGTTTTCCTTTACAATCATAGTTCCTACTCCATTATCTAAGAGGGCTTCACGACATCTCAGCCAGAATTGTACTAATACTTCATCTGGTAATTGTCCTACACACCATTGACACCATATTAACCAATACTTCTTATGAGCTGGTGGATACCACTCTTGCATACCTATATCATATATATCACCTAATTTCCCTTTACTAGCTACACCTACTAATTCATTTTCCATTTGAGCTACAAATGGTTTTACTGGTTCAAGCAAATCAACTTTATCACTAACTTTCCATAACAAATCTCGAGTAATTCTACCAATACCAGCACCCATATCTATGGTTAATTTTTCAACACCATCAGGGCAACTCATTCTAGTCTGTAATTTCCTAAGAAATGTAGTAGAACCAATTATATCAGCCTTGGGTACTGGAGTTTGTTCTCCGAATCCTCCTAACACTCCATTTACTGAAGCTGGAACTGAAGACCAGTAATTGATAGCATCGTCGTAATTGATTTGGGAGTCAGCAACCACATCTGTGTCGGCATCTATAGCCTCAAAAGTGTCTTGTAGTGTCTTGGCAGGCATCGATAATATGAATCAGACAGACAGACAGTTAGACTGATGCTCATCTGAAAATTTATATTTTGTATATATGCGCATTCGTAACTATTTGCGCTTTACGAATATATTCTCGTTATAACATTACAGACATGCTCACATACAAACATTCTATGCTATGACTTCAGTAGTAAATTAATTAGTGATAGACGATTGCTCTTCTCGCTAAAAGTATAACTATAATCAATTATATACTGTGTCGTAAGTGGTATCATTCACATATGATACTATTTACGCTATGCATCCCCAAATCTACGCTAACTGAAAAGTCTGACGAAATAAGGTAAAGAAATTTGCTCACTATATATAAATGACACAAAAGTTCGTGGCCCCCCCCCCCTCTTACTATGGTATAGACTCATTAACAATTTAGTGGAATGATACTAACTAGTAGTTAATAACTAGTACTAAGTAGCTAATAATAAGTGAGCAAGACTATTTGTTAGTGAACAACTATAAAACTCCATCATGATCCTCATTGATGAAGTCAAATACTCCTGCATCGAATGCATACGGGGTCACCGATCGTCCCTGTGCCGTCATCATGCCCGGCCCCTTTTACAAGTAAGATCTAAGGGACGACCTAATGTCCATGCTAATGGGAATCCTAATCATCGTATAGCGGTATTTGCTGAAGAAATAGCTCCTGAAATAAAAGCAGCATCATACAATGATGATTCCCTGAAATCTCCCTCACCTGATACTGTGGTAAAGTGTAAGAAAAATCCAGTAGTAATACTTAAAGCATCACCCAAACAAGTTATGGATCTTATAAGTGGTCAAATTATTGGTCCTTATAATGAAAATCTTGCTAAGCCACGGGAAGATGAACGACCTCCACCTCCTATAATAAATAGTGATAGTTTCATAGTAACTTCTACATGTTGTAGTGGGAATGGTACATTAACTGGTCCCATAGGAAGCAAAATATCCAAGCAACTGAGTTGCGGTTGTTGCTCCAACAAGTCTAAGAAAAACATCAACAAGTCTAAGATATTGAAGAACTATATTCAAAAGCATTTCACCAAGAATAATAACAAAAATAATAACAATATAGACTTGGATAAAGACATAGTTAATGTCGTAAAAGCAGAACCTATAGTGCAGACAGTACCACAATTACAGTCACAACGACATCCCAATGCTTCTGAACCATTTCAGGTCCAACATAACCAACAGCAAGTGTATGATGTGGTACCTATACCGTCTTGTTCCATCCCCGGTTCTTGTTGTTGTGATGATAACTGTTCCTGTGAAGGTTGTGTAGTTCACGGTAATGCTACAATCAATGATGTTAACAAATTCTTACCTACTTTCAGTATGGATTATATTGCCGATGAGAGTAACTTTAATACGATTTCAGATACCAATATTATTTTAAATTCGATATCTGCGGCCGTAGTCAACTTTACAGAACAGCAGCAGCGGCAGCAGCAGCAACTGCAACTGCAACTGCAACAGCAACAACAGCAACAACAAGAACCGCAGGCGGTCAGCGATGAAACAACTACCACTAGCACCACCACTTCGGTGAGTATCAAGACAGAATCAGAAGATCATCCAGTTTCTCAAGCAACATCTGAAACAGACTCACCATATTCTCAATCTTGTAACTGTCCTCCGGACTCCTGTGACTGTGCCAATTGTGAGACTCATGGTATCATAAATGGACTAAAGCTAGACGACTACTTTGGCTCCAACTTAATGGACCAGAAACTCTTGTCATTAATGTCAGATTTCCAACCCGATAGCTTTAATGAGTATATTGGTTCTAATCTTGACTCTATAAATGGGAATGGGATCACCACCTCTAATATCATCCCTGAACCACAACCAAAATCTCCATTAGGGTTTAATCGATCTAGACCCAGCTGTTGTGAGCCTGTGGATGAAATAGATAACATATAGATGACTGTATATAGGTGTAAAAATATATATATTTTAATTTAGGATTGAGAGTATATGGGGAATATATATGGGTTTACATGTGATACGCATATCGTGACAACTCACGTGACATACAATTCCTGTACACAGCACCCCCCCACTACCCACCGAGCCCATTGAAAAAATCCACAAGTCCAACGAAGACGACTATGTCCAGCTTAAGTAAACTTCTAGTAGTCTTAGGCAGAAGTGTTAGGGACCCCCCGGGAAGAAATTACTGAAGAGTTAGTGAAGCAGTTAGTGAGACACAACAGTATGAGTGACGCGGTTGACATTTCGTACTATCTTGGAGCTCAAGCTGCGGAGTCTATTAATATATTGGATATTCCAGTAGATATTGGACAAATTGTTTCTCTTAACTTAGTAGAAGAATTATCTGATGATATTAGTGATTTAGTTACATTTTTACAAACAGAAAAGCAACCAGTAAAATATTGGATTAGTATAGCTGCAGCTTATACCAAATTAGATCGATTAAATGATTCATTAAAATTTATTGAAAGTGCTATGCAATTAGAATATTTCACTTTACAAGATAAATTAATATTTGAAACATATTTAGTATGGTTATATTTTAAATTTGCTAGTCAAGGAATTGATCGGGATAATTATTTACTTAAGGCAGAATCACTTATAAATTCTTTAGCACAAAAGATTAAAAGTGATAGTTCAACAACTGCAGTTATTAGTACATCAAATTTATTAGCTCAAGCAATATTATTACAATTTCATGGAAGAGAAGATGATGCATTAGATATTTTTGAAAGAATTCTTAAAATTGATCAAAATAATTGTTTTGCATTATTAGGTAAAGCCCAAGTTTTACTTACAAAATCAAGAAATTATTCTCAAGCTTTAAAGATATATCAACAAGTATTAATTTTAAATCCATTAATGAAACCAGATCCTAGATTAGGAATTGGTTTATGTTTTTATGTATTAAAAGATGAATCTATGGCCATTCAATCTTGGGAAAGAGCCTTGGAAATTGATTCAAATAATGTAAAGGCTAAAATTTTATTAAATTTAGCTAAATTTCATAAAAGTTTTAATAATTCTTTAAATGATGAAGAATTTTTAGAAAATTATAAATCATGTTTACAAGAATTATCATCTAATTATAAACAAGTACCTAATGATTCAGTATTATTATTAGTATATGCATCATTTTATTTCTCAAAGGGGAAATATAATTTAGTTGAACAAGCTATTAAAAAGATTGTTAAATCACTTACTGGAGATGAAAATATAAGTAAATTTAATAATTTCCATCGTGGATCTAAATATCAATCAAATGTATTATCTCAATGTGCAACTTGGTTAGGTAGAGTTGAATTTGAAAAATCTGATTTTACTCAAGCTTCAAAATATTTTCAAGAAGCAATTAAATTAAATGAAACTAATTTAGTAGCTAAATTAGGGTTAGGACAATCTCAATATAATCGAGGATCTACTGAAGAAGCTATTATGACTTATGAATCAATTTTAAGAAGTAATATGGATTGTTTAGAAGTTAATTATTCATTAGGATTAATATATTCAAGACAAAAATCAAGAAGAAAAAGAGAACAAGCTATTCAAACATTAGAAAGATATCTTCGATTATCCAATAATCGAGGATTATCATCTGTTGGACAAGATAAACGATTAGCTACATTAAATAAAGAACCAGTTGCATTAAATGCTTATTTAATTTTAAGTAAATTATATGAATCAAAAGATCCAAATCAATCATTAAATTATTTACAACGAGCAATTGAATCAAGAAAATTAATTAATAAAGATGTACCATTAGAAGTATATAATAATGTTGGAGTATTTCAATTTTCAAGACAAAATTATAATGAAGCAATTGAAAGTTTTGAAACTGCTTTAAATAAATTATCTAATAGTTCAGATTTTAAATCAGCTGATGGAGATGTTTTAGTTGAATTAAAAGATGATTTAAAAATTACACTTTGTTATAATTCTGCTAGATCAAAAGAAATAAATGATCAATCAAGTGCAATTGAAGCTTATGAAAAACTTTTACAAGAATGTCCTCATTACTTTTCTGCTAAAATTAGAATTTTATTCTTAAATTGTATTTCTAATGAAGAAATTAGTAAAGAAGAAATTAAACAAGAAATTGAAAAACTTCTTGAAATTAGTGCTTCAGATTTAGAAATTAGATCATTTTATGGATGGTTTGTTAAAAGTTTTGGTAAGAGAGTTGGATTAAAACCTGAAGCTGATACTGCTCATCAAAAGGATACTTTAGTTAAATATAATTCTCATGATTCTTATGCATTATTATCATTAGCCAATATATATTGTATAATGGCAAGAGATGCAAAAATTGCTCCAGGTGATGATAAAAAGAAAAAATATTATATAAGAGCTATTGAATTATTTGCAAAAGTATTATCAGTTGATCCAAAAAATGTTTATGCAGCTCAAGGTCTTGCCATTACTTATATAGAAAATAAAGAACCAGCTAAAGGTTTAGAAATTTTAAGAAAAATTAGAGATTCATTAAATGATATATCAATTTATTTAAATTTAGGTCATGCATTAACTGAAACAAAAGAATTTGGTAAAGCTATTGAAAATTATGAAATTGCCTTGGGTAAATTTACTAATGGTAAAGATGGAAGAATTCTTTCATTTTTAGGTAGAACATGGTTTTTAAGAGCTAATTCAGAAAAGAATCTTTCATATTTTAAAACTGCTTATGAATATACTAAACAAGTTTTAGAAGTTTCTAATAATCAAAAGAATTCTCCAATAAAATTCAATTTAGCATATATTCAATTTCAAGTAGCAGAATTTATAACTAAATTACCAATTTCTAAACGTAAAGTTGAAGATATTGAAGATGCTATAATTGGATTAAAAGAAGCTATTGATATTTTAAATGAATTATCATCTGTTGATGAAAAATTCCCTCCTTATCCAAAGGCTGATTTAAGAGCAAGAGCTAATTTAGGTACTACTACATTATTAAATAGATTAAATGTTTCACTTGAAGAAACTCAAGAAAATATTGCTCAAATTGAAGAGAAATTACAAGAGGCAAAGAAGATCAGACTGGAAGCTGAAGCCATTAAATTAAAGGAAGAACAAGAAAGATTAGAAGAAATTAAAAAGAGAGAAGAAGAAATGGCTAAAGAAAGAGCCATATTACAAGAACAAGCACAACAATGGGCTGAAGAAGCTAGACAAAATATTATAGTTAATGATGAAGAAGATGATAAATTATTTAATGAAGAATCTGCTGCTCGATCTGACAAGAAAAAGCGTGGACCTGCTAAGAATGGTAAGGGTAAAGGAAGTAAAAGAAGAAGTAAAAAGAAGACTATTATTGAAGATAGTGAAGAAGAAGAAGAAGAAGAAGAAGCTTCAGCAACTGATTCAGACGTTGAACAAAATGGTAAAAGAAAATTAGAGGCTGATGATGAAGATGTTGCCCCAAGTTCCAAGAGGAAAAAGAAGGCATTATCCAAAGAATTTATAGAGGATAGTGATGATGAGTTGGACGATGATCTCTTTGATGAAAAGAATGATGAAAGCTCAGAAGATGCTAATGTAGATCCTGAACTAGGTGGTGCTACTAAGTGACCACCTACCTACCTATTTAAATCGTATTTAATTCGTTTATTATACTGTACTTATTATTATTATATATATATCTATATACTCATAACTCATTACTGACTAACTAGTCGCGTAGCCAATTTCTCATTTGCTTATTACTCTCAGATGTTTGCTTATATAACTTCTTCTCAAATTCATCTAATGAATATAGAAATTCATTATTAATTCCCTTAGTGAGATTACTAGCATAATTATTAATTTCAAAGGCTCTTTCCTTAAGCATTTGCATAACTGTATTAGTTGCATCAGGATCAGAATACATAGAACACCATCTCTCTATAAATTTATAATAATTAGGTGCTAATTTATGTAAATCTACACTAGTAGAACTTGTCTTAATAGCATTTAAAACTTTTGTACTAACAGCTTCAGGAGCTGCTATATCAACAAAACTTTGACCTGATTCCTCCTGTAATACACAAATAGCCAAGATTTGGGCTAACCAAAATGGTAATTCAACTTTAGAGTCCTTGTGGATTTGTTTACCTGGATTACCTTCTAAGTATCCAAGACCAGGTACGGTCATATTAAACCTACACGGTACTTTCTCACCATCCGCTAGAATATCGTCTAAGTCGTAGTAGTTACCCATCTGTCTAATTCCTCACTAACTCACTACTCACTACTCACTACTCACTACTCAGAATAATCACTAACCTCTCTAATGTGTACCTCACTAACTCACTACTCACTAAAAAAACGCGTACTCCTTACCCGGAAGGCACCCACGCTAATTACCTATAGTCATGACAACCAACTGAACTACTTCCTGGTAGTGGATAAGGATAAGTAGATTGACGTGATAGTCGCATCGTAGACTGGGTCTCGAACCGGTTCCCAATGCGATTACAATTTAATCACAATCTCAATAACAATCACAAATTACATTTACAATATCACTTACAATACCTGTAGTATGGAAACTCTTCTCCGCTTGCTTTGCGCGACGATGTCATGAGCTATATTTTAAACTCTATACTCTATAAACTATTGTATTATCTTATATATATACTATATATACTACCATATCTCCCTAGATCTTTAATTCTTAGTTGAATCTGTTTTTATAGTGGATGGTAGTAGACTGTTCCTGGTGAATTGGTCTGTTAATTCTCCCCTTAAGTATCGGTCGGACTTTGTGTAGTACCCGCCCCACCTACTTTACTTAGACTAAACATGTCTAAACTCTATAAGAAAGCTAAGGCAAAGCTTTCATCTTCATCAGTATCACTTGATAAGCCTGACTCAGAGTCACAATCACATTCACAATCACAATCACATTCACAATCACAATCACATCCACAATCAAATTCTAATCCCTCATCTTCAAGGTCTAGTCTTCGGTCCGGAATAAAGAGATCCTTATCTCTAAAGCGAAATAAAGATAAGAATAAACTCTATTCACTTGATAATTCTAGTAAGGTATCACTTCTGTCACGAAGTATACTCTCCGAAGAAGCTCCTACTCCTAGTGTCAATCAAAAGACTATCGTTCAAGTACCTCAGTCTACTCCCTCAATAGTGGAGTCTATCACCCCAACACAAGCTGATGAAACAATTGATACCCATAACAATAATAATAATGATATAGAAATATTACTGGATAATGCCAAACTGCCAATAGATACTGGCACTAAAGAAATAGTTCATGAAGATTCAACATCTCCACTATTACCATCAGTTGGATTAAAAGAATCAATTCCTGAACCTGTGGCAGACCCATCTTCAGCTCATCCAACAATTGAAGTTACAGCTCCATCCCATAAGAAATTAAATAATGAAACTGTTGAAGAACAAGTAGAAGAACTTATAGGTGAATTAGAACCATTACTTGAAAGTGCTATATTCCATAATAATGGATCAATTGTAGCAGATAGTGTTCTGATAAGTCCTAGTAGTGAATGGGCAATAATTTTATTATTAAAGAGAATTTTTTGTTATTTAGATGTTAGAGATCCTAAATTATTTCATTATATATTGGGTCTAGTGATTTTATTATTTATAATCTTTTACTTAACTTATCGACAAATTGATCATCTTATAGCTCAATCATTTGAAATTACTTATGATAGTATATCTATAGATTCTGTTAGTAATACTGGATTAAAATCTCATGTGGTAGGTTCTGTATATGTTAATTATGATAATATTCCTAACATATTATATAAGAATCTTTTAAAATTTGGTTCATTATTCCTTGGAACTATTACTTTAATCCCTTTGGATGTCATTCATTTATATGTTAAACCAGTGGATTTAAGTAATGTGGCTCCAATACATATAATTGATGTAAAAGCTCCTCCTCAATTAAGTGTCAATATTGTAAATAAAAGAATTACAGACATTGATTTTTATACTGATGTTGATTTTATTAAAGAAAATATTGTTAAATTTTCAAAATATATTGAATCAATTGATCTGGATCAAATTAATCTTGAAATTCAAGGCGTAATTTCAACTAATATTCAAGGTGGATACTTTAATTTTGATGCAAAAGATGTGAATTTTTATGAACCATATGCCTTATATAGAAGTGATTTTATACCTGATATTGATATACATGAACTTGAAATTAGTTCTACCAAAGATTATATTCAATTATCTGCTGATATAATAGCTTCAAATCAATTTTCATTTGAATTTGAATTAGGGAAAATTAATTGGGATTTATTACTTAAAAGTTGTGATGAATCATTAATTGAAGTAGGAGATTGGAGTAGTGATTCATTAATTGTAGAACCTGGAAGTTCTATATCATTATCAATTAATGGTACTATAGCTCAAATACCTGAAAAATTATTAGTTGATTGTAAAGATGGTTTAAATCCAATAACTCGAATGATTCAGAATTATATTGATGAAAAGCCTATAACTATTTATGTTAGAGGTTCAAAGAATCAAGAAGCTGATTTACCTGAATGGTTAAAATATATTCTTCAACATAGTTCACAAGGTATTAGTTTAATATTACCAAAGAATATTGTTGAATATGATGGTATAGATATTGAAAGTGTAGAAATTGAAATTCCTGTTACAACCCACCAGAAAAAGGATTCATTTAAAGTACTTGTTAATTCAAATTTAACGGGTCTAATGAATTTACCAATTGATTCCAACTTTTCTTTACCTCAATTTCATAGTTCTTTCTTAGTCTATAACAATGCTACCTCTGAAGATATTGTTAAGGGTAAGTCTAATGATTTTGGGAAGTTAATGGCCTCTAGATTGGATAATAATTCAACTAAATTAGATGTTCAATTAAGTCAAATTGATGTGGATGTATTATCACCAAAATTTGTTGCTAAAGTTGTGAATGAATTTGTTGATAATGGTAGTTATAATCTTGAAAATTTATATGCTGACCTTGAACTTGAAAATTTACTTGTGAATTTACCTCCAATATTAAATTCTTATATTTCTCGATTAAAATTAAGTAAATTGAAACTTTTACCAGTTGATTTATCACTGATTCATAAGAGACAATTTCCTGATTTGAATGATATCTATTCCAAATTAAATATTAGTTTGGATGGGATTTATTACATAGATTCTACACCTAATAGTCTTAATTTTCTTATTGAAGCATGGATTACTAATCCCACTAACTTTTCTGTGGATATACCTAAAGAAGAATTAAGTATTGGAGCTGAATTCAATAGTACTAAACTTGGAAATATTGTAATTCGAGATCTTTTCATTCCTAAAGATGATAGAGTCAAAGTTATTGGTGAATTAAAGATTTTGGCAGCGTCAGATATTGATAAAATAGGATTAGAAGAATTTTTAAGTCAATTTATATCTACAGTTGAAGGACTTTCAGTTGATTTAATTGGCCATTCTGTAGAGAATAATCCTGGATTGAATGAACTACTTAATCATATAGCCATTAGAAATGTTAGTATACCTGAGATTGAATTCAGTGATGGGAATGAAGAAGATGATGGTAATGGTAGTGATGGAGATGGAGATGGAGATGGAGATGGAGATGGAGATAATGATAATGCAGGGATAAAAGAAGGTAAGAAAAATCCATTTCTTAGAAAAGCAGTTATACATATATTCTCATCAGAAGTTGAATTAACTTTATTTAATCCTATTGTTAATGCTGAATTAAATGTTGAATTATTTCAAGCTCAAGCCAAACACGAAGACGTTATATTAGGATACATTCAACATCAAGAGTTTATGGTAGTTCTGCCAGGATTATATAAAACTCCAAAAATACCCATCACTATTAATCAAGGTTTAGGTACAGATATCTTACGAAAAGCTATAAATGGAGAATTAGAAATAGAAGTTACAGCATCATTTCAAGTTAGATTGGATAATTTCCAAGTGGATTTGTTATACAGGGGGCATAATATGAATACGCAAATAAAATTTTAATAGCTAGATTAATTATTAATATATAATAGTAGTAGTACAAGTAAATTATACTCTAATATGATGTAGTGTAATGTTACAGTGTGAACTACGTATAAGTAGACCCTGAATCTTTCACCATAATCAGTATTGGTAGTCAACACTATAAGTTTAGCTTACATCTTTTACGTATTACATTTGAATAGCTATGATGAAGGTCAAAAATTATTACTTCTCTTATTGCTTTGTGTTCACATATGCCTTTGCACTTGGCTTACTGTGGAGAACTATTTGCTGCAAAAGTTAGAAAAACTTAATTAAAAATTTTATAAAAATAAAAAAAATCCATTTCTATCATATCTGTTATCATTAAAAGAATGAGAGTTTCTACTTCAAGTTGCTCTACATGTGGTTCATACTATTATATAGTAGATAATGTATGTACAGTATCTCTCACCGAAAGATCTCTTAGACCTGCTTTGCATATATATAAATGCTCACAGTACGTTGCAACATAAACTCTCCTCGAAAGAAGCAAGGGCATAAGGCGAGAATAAACTTATTGAGTATAGATTTTATCAGATACTAAGAGTACAACCGGTACGAGTGATTTAGTAAACCTGAGTAAGTTCAAGTTCTGAACCCTCTCCCATCATATATAACTTATATGGATAACCTGATTCAGGGACGTCGCTGGTTACCTAATTCGGATATGCGCACCCAGTTTAAGGAAAAATCTAGACTGTCCCAAACAGGCAGGAATGTCTCTGCATGTCGCAATTTGTTACTATTTTTAACCCACGCTCACCCCTAATCGGGAACAAATATTGGGTTTGTTTACGGGACGACATTTTCCCTCTGTTTATGTTCACAGGGGAAAATTTTTCTATGGTGAATTTAAACTTCTGAACCCTTTACTTCTTTCTTAGTTGTACAACTTTATTGCAGTTCATACCATCATAGTCGAGTCAAATTAAAAGTCAGCGTTAAATATACCGTTGTTACTTTCATACATTCGTTTACTCAATCAGTCTATCGTTTAATCCACATATAATATAACTATCACTACATTTCAATATGGTTTCTTATTTAAAAGTTTCTAGTTTAATTGCTTTAGCTGCTTCTTTACAAACTGTCGTTGCTGCTCCTCCAGCTTGTTTATTGGCTTGTGTAGCTCAAGTTGAAAAGGGCTCATCTTGTTCTGGCTTAAATGATATAAGTTGTGTTTGTTCTAGTGAAGGTTCTGCTGTTGAACAATGTTTAAACAGTATTTGTCCAAATGGTGATGCTTCTGCTGCTATTTCTGCCTTTGAAAGCAGTTGTCAAGGTTACAGCTTGAACTTATCTTCTTCATCATCTTCATCTTCTTCATCCACTTCTTCTTCATCAAGCAGTTCATCATCTTCATCATCTTCTTCTTCTACTTCCACTACTTCATCCTCCTCCTCTTCTTCATCTACCTCCACTACTTCCACTACTTCTTCAAGTACCGCTGCTGCTTCTTCTTCAATTATTCCATTCGAACTTGTTTCTCCAAGTTCCACTGAAGCTGTTCCATCATCAACTACTACTTCTTCAGCTCCAGCCACTACTTCTTCCACCTTAGCTACTTCTTCCACCACTAGTGCTGCTCCATCTAGTACTGCTGCTGTCTCTACTCAAAGTGCTGGTGCCGATGCTAAGCAATTATCTTACGCTGCTTTAGTCGGTTTAGTTGGTTTTGCTTTCTTATAAGCAATTTATTAGGTGGTTATGCTTTCTTATAAGTAATTTACTAGGTCAAAAACAAATTATACCCATTATGTTATTTCCTTCTTGTCAATCGTTTGCTTTTATTTCTTTAAGTTAGTATTGATGTTGAATACACTTTACTGCTACTCGTTCTTTAAAAATTAATACATTATTATACAACAATAAATATATAAATTCCACATTTTAGATTCATACTTAATAAGATATAACTTGTGATTTTGATCCCAAATTGAAAGTACATGCGTAGTTAGTGTACTGATGACTACACACACAAATAATATTTGTAGACCCAAGGAGCTCCGATTCCTACTCTAGCTTCCAACTCTAGCCTAAAGTTGAATCTTCGTAAAGTGCTCCAAAGTGTTCCAAAGGAAAGAAATCACAAAATCAATGCCGGGAGCAATAATGCTCCATATATTTTTTGATTTCATAATTAATTGCAACATTGTTTGCTCTGTACGTTATAGAACTATTTAAGGTTTATGTCTATATAATATCTTGTTCCGGAGAACCGTTTGCTATTTCACAAATGTACCAAGAATTACGTAGTATGAAATTCTATGCATAATAAAAATTGAGTTCATTCATGAATTCAACTGACACTATAATTACATTCCAGTTTGCATTGCTACACCGGAACTTTGAAATACCTTTAAAATTCTGACCAGAGTCATTATTGACCATTTAATTATAAATTATTAACTACGATTTAGTACTAGATATTCGGACATCCGATACTTAAGAATACGTTTACAGTTTAAGTATTTGGTGATTTACAGTTTCAAACTAAGAGTGAAATTACATGTTAGCGACAATTTTACAGATTCTTGATAAGAGAAAAGCATCTTCGATCGGCCTCCCCGCGGTGAAAATGCAGCAACAATTGTTTATTGCTAAATTCGGAACAGTATGGGATTTCAACTTGAATCCTCCGGTCAGTTATTAAGACGAGCCTGGGGTAATATAAATGTAGACACATTTCATGTTTAAGTACTAGATACTATTAATTTATTAAAACTCTTTAATTAGTTCTTGTATATTTGTAAACTTGTACAAGTAAAATTTGCAACTATTTATAATTATTAATAGCATGCCTTCTTCTTCACCATTAATTGAACCAAAAGCTACCAATGAAATAGGTTACACATTATATTTTGGAACTTTTGTTCACACACCTAAATTAAAGGAATTGGAAATTTCTTTCGATACTTTGGTGGGTGTCAAACTGGATGGGAAGATCGACTTCATCTATAAGAATTACAAGCCCGAAGAACATGATAACATGTCTCCAGTTCAGTTCTTTATTAAGACAACTGCAGACAATGACGATGAAGATGATGATAAGAATAATAAGAACAGAAGAAATAATAATAATAATAATAATAATAATAATAATCAAAGGAATAGATATTGGGGAGGTAACAACAATAGGAACGATAATTATAGAAGAAATAAACATTTCGACTTCATTGATTATTCTCAAGATCCTACAAAATTCTTTGTACCAGGTTTCATAGACACTCATATCCATGCATCTCAATTTCCTAATATCGGTATAGGTTTAGATTGTCCTTTGTTAGATTGGTTAAGTACTTATACGTTCCCATTGGAAAATGAATTTACTGATTCTAATTCAACCAATTCCAAGTTAAAATTCGCTGAAGGTGTATATTCCAAGGTCATTGAAAAGACTTTAAATAGTGGTACCACATGTGCATCATATTTCACTACCATTGATCCTCAAACCACTAACTTATTTGCTGAATTATTATTAAGATTCGGTCAACGAGGATTTGTAGGTAAAGTATGTATGGATCACAATGAAACTTATGAAGATTATCTGGAAACATTTGAAGAATGTATTGAATCCATGAATTCAATCATTGAACATGTTCACAATTTAAATCCTGATGATGAAACTTTAGTAAAACCAATTATCACACCTAGATTTGCACCTGTTTGTACTAGAGATCTTTTATTCTTCTTGGGTCAATTGAGTAAGACTCACAATTTACCTATTCAAACTCATATAAGTGAAAATGAAAAAGAAATTGAATTGGTTCATGATTTATTCCCAGATTGTGATGATTATGCTTCTGTATATAAGAAACATAATTTATTAGGTGATTCAACTATCTTAGCTCATGCTATTCATTTGACCAAAAAAGAAAGAAAGATTATAAAGGAAAAGAATTGTTCCATCAGTCATTGTCCAACTTCCAATACTTTTATTTCAAGTGGTGAGGCTCCAATTAAACAATATCTTTATGAAGATGGAATTAATGTTTCATTAGGTACTGATGTTAGTGGTGGATTTGATCTGAGTATCTTAGGAATAATTAAACATTGTATTTTAGTTAGTCATCATTTAGCAATGAAGACTAAAAATCAAAAGGATAAATTATCAATTAAGGATGCTCTTTATATGGCAACTCAGGGAGGTGCCAAGGCAGTTGGTATGGAAGATCAACTTGGATCATTTGACTTAGGAAAAAAGTTTGATGTACAATTAATTGATTTAAAGAGTCAAGATTCAAGTGTAGATGTTTTTGATTGGCAATTGCCATTTCAACTTCATCAAGATAGAAGAGATAATCCGTTAACGGATTTAGAAAAAGTTAACAAAATGGTTGATTTATTAGGTAAATGGATTTTCAGTGGGGATGACAGAAACTGTATTAAAGTTTGGTGTAACGGTAGGTTAGTAGTTAATAAGCTTCGTCATAACTATGATGATAGGTGGGTTATGGTTGAAAAATATTAAATGTTTGCGGGCAGACTAACTCCTAACACCGATAAGTTACTATTATCAGACATTAACTAAGTTAGTAGATGAATAATATAATAATATAATAATGTAATATAATGTACTACAATATAATAATATAGTGCTTATGTAACTGTAAGGCCATAATAAAAGTCAAATACGATTTATAAAGAATGTGTAGAGAAATAGACGAACGGCTAATACAATGCGGACTTATACTAATAGAAATATCGTAAATGCTAACTAAATTGTAACCGAAAAGAATAATATTTCTATACATAATATTATGATCAGATATACCCGTGAATGGACATATTTCGCAGTTATTTGTCAATTACCTTAACAGTTTTAAGCTTACGTCAAATTAGTAAGACATCGCACTACTGACAAATTATTTCTCACGTAAGCATTTGTCTTCATCCAAAAAGGGTTCCATTTACGATCGGGGATTAAAGTTTAGAGCCACAGAAATCGGAACTTCAATTAAAATCTCGGGGTACAATATGGAGGTGAAAATTGAATATATATATGTCAAGATACAACCTTTGCAAAACGGGAATCTTCATTTGGAAATAATAATCATCACAACTATTAATTAACAATATAAACAAATACAAAATGTCTAAAGTCTCAATTGCTGTAATTGGTCTCAGTGGATTATTAGGTAAACCATTTTTAGAAGCCATCAACTCTGGAAAGTTCGATGAAAAAATTCAATATCCTATCAAAGCTTTAACTACTAAGGATATTCCATCTACTGAAAAAGTTTCTTATATCAAGACTGAACTTAATGATGAATCAATTCCAACTATTGCTTCTTCTTTAAAGGGTGTTGATGTCATTGTTGAATTAGTTGCTGCTAATCCAGTTTTATTCCCAGTTCTTGAAAAAGTAGTTGCTGAAGTTAAACCAAAGGTTTATATTCCTTCTGGATTTGGTGTTGATCTTGAAGCAATAACCCCTTACCTTCCAGGTTTCTTGTCTTTGAAACATAAGCATCTTGAAAATGGTAGAAAGATTGCTGGTGTTAAGACTGTTGACTTTGTTACTTCTTTCTTTGCTGCTCCAGGAGCTTTCTTATATGAATATGTTGGTGCTGCAGGTATCAACCCAGCAGATAAAACTGTTACTGTTAGAGGTAGTGTTGATCAAAAATTCTCATTCTCTTCTCTTGTGGATATTGGTTACTCCTTAGTTTCATTAATCACACTTCCATTTGAAAAGATTCCAGAAACTATCAGAATCAACAGTGGAGTTATTACTGTCCAAGATGTTATTGACAAATATGAAGCTAACCATGATGTTAAATTAAGTATTGTTAAAACTATTTCTAAAGAAGAAGCCTTAAAGGAACTTTTGGAAGTAATTCCAAATGGTGAAATTAACTTTTTCACTCCTGAGTTCACTCTTCCAAACTTTTTCTTAGTTGCTAATGTTGTTCTCGCTCAAGGTGCTGGTAAGGGTGCTTACTTAACTGAAGTTGATAATGAATTAGTTAATCCTGGTGAAAAGTACTGGAAATGGGCTAAATATTAGATACTGAAATAGTTTTTTTTATGTATATGTATTAGCATAATTGTTTAGTCTAGAATAAAAAGAATTTTTTTTGCAATCGAATTTCATAAAATTAGCTACATGCTATAACAAAAGTTGCGTAGCCGAGTAAAGTTTCCCTAAACTGTAGTCCAATACAAACAAAAAAAGTAATAGAGTTGCACAATTAACTATTATACTTCGAAAACTGTGTTAAAGGATCAGATAACATACTACACCCATCTGTATCCACATATGTTTGTATCCACATTTAAGTATACAGAATGGCTTAACAATCGTAATCGTAATTGTAAATACAAATTCAGTTTGGCTTACAATTTCAGCGGATAACTTATATACACCACAACTGGTAAATATTTTGCCGACCTTAACTATGGCTATCAATCGGTTACAATTTACGATAAACCGTATGAGGTCGGGCCACACCCGAAATATTCTGCCTCAAGAAAAAATTACTAAAGTTTGACTAAATATTCGCAAAACTTGGCGCTACCAATACAACCATCTGGCCTGCTGACAAATTTTATATACAGGCCAAACTGTGGTGCTGATCTGACCACTACTATATATAACCCAGTGCAATACCCTGATATGAAATTTATCATTTAGTTCAATTGTATAATATATAATAAGTCAATTGCAATTGCAAATTCAATTGAATAATCAATATATATATATATAATAGTTTTCACATAAATTAAAATGGGTAAAGTCTCAGTTGCTATCATTGGTCTCAATGGTTTCTTAGGTAAGCCAGTATTAGAAGCTATTAATTCTGGAAAATTCGACGATAAACTTCAATTCCCAATTAAGGCTTTAACCAGAAAGGAACAACCTTCTACTGACAAGATTCAATATATCACTACTGATATTAGTGATGAAACTGTTAGTTCAATTGGTGAATCTTTAAAAGGTACTGAAGTTATTGTTGAATTAGTTAAAGCTGATCCAACATTATTCGGAGTTATTGAAAAAGTTGTTGCCGAAGTTAAACCTAAATTATTTGTTCCATCTCAATTTGGTACTGATTTAATTCAAGTTGATGATTATGCTCCAGGATTCCTTGCTCTTAAAACTCAACATTCTGCAAATGTTCGTAAGTTAGGAGTTAAAGTTGTTGATGTTATTACTTCTTTATTTGCTGTTCCAGGAGCTTTCCTTTATGAAATTGTTGGGGCTGTTGGAATTGATCCAACTACCAATACAATTGTCCAAAGAGGTGATGCATCATCTAAATTTTCTATTTCAAAGCTTGAAGATATTGGATTATCTGTTGTATCCTTAATTACTTTACCAATTTCCGAGTTACCAGATACTGTTAGAGTCCAAAGTCAAGTTATTTCATTCCAAGATGTCTACGATAGATATGAAAAGGATCATAATGTCAAATTAACAGTCAAAGAAAAATACACTAAGGAAGAAGCTTTAGCTGAATTGAAATCCAAATATGCAGCTGGTTTTGAATTCAAGGATTTCCTTTTTTACTTACAAGCTATTGCTGCTCAAGGTGTTGATAAGGGATTATACTTTTCTGAAGTTCATAATGAATTAGTCAACCCAGGTGAAAAATACTGGAAATGGGGAAAATTCTAGTTAAATAGTTATGGTATCTATTTTGTGTATGACAGTGATTTATATGAATATTAATTTTATATGAACAGTAATTTTATATGAACAGTAGTTGAGCTATTTTGGGACAAGCCTTTAGTAAATATACTAATTTGCGCTTCTGTATGTTTGGTCAGAATTTGCGAGGCTAAAGATTACATGCACATTGCACAAAAGCCGCAGCTGCAAAAAATCACCAGCATGGTCTAATAGAAGAATATTTGTAACCATAATACCTGTTGTAGTGATACTCCCGGATACTCTCGGATACCTCTCAAGTTGTGAAACTAGTTAATATTGTAAGTAATTGGTTGGACTAATAGGTGTTTTATTTACAAACATCTTAGAAGCTTTATTATAAGCATTGCTGAGAGCATATAGTTCCAATATTTCTTATGGAATATAAGATTCATTATTTAACTTTACATGCAATATATACACCATAGACATTTCATTTAAAACATTTGTATATTTAAGTTTAAGTATATAAGTATATAAAAAGCATCCTTCTCTTTACCTTTTTAACTACTCCAGAACCCTAAAAATTATAATAAGTATAAATGTAGCTGTGTATTGAAAATTCTAAGCATCTAATTCTGAAATTATAACTGAAATTGAAATTGAAATTGAACCTGTATCACTATAAATAAAGTATCCATTCGAGAATTTAAACGAAATCTAATAAAATAAAATTATTGATTATAAAACAATAATATGAAAACCACCAAAACTTCGTCCTCCTTTTTGTTTCGTCCGTCTAATAATAAAAGAAAAATTTAAAAAAAAAAATCAAGCAAAAGTAAACAATACAAAAATATAGGTGAGTCAAAGACTAATGATTAATAGAATCGACCAAACTCTTCAACATGAAGGAAGATTCTCCAGATGTACTTGAGATTGATGACGTTGATCCATCCTCTGCCTCCTTTTTAAATGGAGAATGATGGATGGAGTCTGATCTAGTACCAGTACCGTTACTTTCTAGTGGTTGCTTAGAAAGGCTCTCAGGTAAGGCTTGCATATATGTATTTGGTTGTACTCTTTGTTGGTTATATTGCTGTTGGTGCTGAAAGTCAGATAATACTTGTGGCTGAAATTGGCCATTACCAGCTAAAACATTAAATTGATTGATTGCTGGATCATTCAGGTTATTCATCCATACTGTACTTTGGTGTTGCAGTTGTTGGCTTGGTACTTGACTTAAGCTGGCACTACGTCCATATCCATAATGCTCACCGTACAGTGACTGTCTATGATGGTGAGCATGTACTTGAGAATCTGCTTGAGCTTGCTGTTGATGCTCAGCCAAAAATCTTCTCGGAATTTGTATCAAATCATTATTCATGGCAGAAAATTGATTATACTGAGGAACAGATTGTAAAGAGAATCTTCTATCAAAGAATCCATGCTGATTGGGGTTCTGCTGTTGTACCATAGTGGTATTTCCAAATGGATCTTTCAATCTAAAGTTACTAGTGGGGCTAGTGTTTGGCAATGATGCCCTAGATGCCGAGGACATTCTTCCTGTAGGTGCAGTATTAGCTGAACCAGAACTTATCATAGAAGCGTCGGACAATGATGATGATGATGAGGGAATCGAACCTGACACAGTATAAGGTAAGCCAACTACTGCACACATCCAAATACGTGTTTTATAAATTCTGAATAATTCTCTGACCAACTCTCTAAAATCTATTCTTTTTGATGTTGAATAGTAAAATATCAACTTCTTACGGTCAAATTGGTATTCTGCATCGATCAACTTCATCTGTAATAAATCCGCTTGAGTAGCTGAACTCAACGTGGTAATAGGTGAAGTAATTGGCGAATTGGCAGGTATAGTTACCCCATTAATGATTGTAGATCCAGAAGAATTTAAAGAAGTAATTGATTGGCCACCCAATTGACTTGTTGCGGCTGCAATTTTGGCCAAACATAAACGACATGCTTTTTCTTCATCTTGCTTTTTATTTAAAATTTGGAAAATTTCATTTGTTTGAGCCAAAGATAAGATTGGTTTGGGGAAATGAAGTGTAGGAGGAGCAACGGATGGACTGTTGGGTGATTGTTGATGTTCACTCATTTGCTTGACAGATAAGTTTTCATCTAAAAACTCAGCTTCGTTTAAAGCAGCCTGCTGCTCTTGAAATTGAAGTAACTTCATTAATCTTGCTTCATCAATAGAGATATTCATCTTGAATACTTTCCCTAAATCTTTACCTCTATCGGCCTCTACAATTACCAAGTCACCAACTTTTAAATTCATCAAGTCTGGAGAGGCATTGGATGGTAAATAAAACACATCAATCCTTCCAGCTTTAAATCCAACCAATACCAATTGACAATCACGGAGTGCATTCTCTGTGAGAAATTTTGGTAATTGATAAGCTTCACCAAGATATTTTTCTTCATCAAAAAATCTTTCTTCTAATAATTTAAGCGTAACCTTAACTCTTTCATGGGGATCGGTTTCAAAATATTCATTAACAAGTTGGAAAGTTGAATCCAAAGCTGATGAACTTGTAGGTAAAGGAGCAGCAGGACCCAAAACTGATTGATTAATTGGATTATGTGAAGGATTATTGCTATTATTGTTTGTATAAGTGTATATATCACTATAAGAATGTCTTCTTGAATCTAAAGGGTTGAATTCTAAAATATTTGTAGGAGAATAACCTTGGTATTCATCTTGAGAAGGTACTGAAGGAAGACCGCTCATTGAAAATTGAGAGGAAGTATTTCCAAGACCAGGAGGAATTTGTTGTACTTGAGATGAACTAGCAAATGAATTTCTATTAGATAATGGAGCATTATTATTACCAGAATAATAATTATTACCTGAATTTTCAGAAGGAGAATTTAAAAATGGTGGACTTGGTTGAGACCAAATATTTGAAGTAGTTGACGAAGTTCCATTAGTATTTGCATTGGAAATTGAATTTGGATTTGGATTTTGCGCCCAAATATCAATAGAAGACCTTCTCTGTGCATTGGGCAAATTACTTCCTGGAGTAGAAGGTAAATTTACGTTATTAGTGGGACCATTGGTATTTGAATTCCATATGCTATTGCTATTTCGGCGAGAAGGAGAAGTTGTGAATAAAGGAGGTGTTGAAGAAACTATATTTTTACCAGGAGAACCAGTTCCTGCGGAAGTTACTGACGATTGTCTGTAATGATTTCCACGAGGATTATTGGAATTATTAGCATTATTCATATTGTAGTTGGCTTGAATATTCGAATAAAGTAAATGTTGATCTGTAGGAGTGAAAATTTGAGAATTGGTGTTACTGTTGTTATTATTATTGTTAGTAGTAGTATTATTATTATTATTACTAGTAGTACTTGTATGAGTATTAGATAATAAATGAGGGGGTATACTAATTGAATTATTATTAGTACTATTTAAACTCATCATATTGGGATGATACTTAAAATGTAATTCAGGCAAAATGTGTTGAAAATTTGTGTTTATTGTGTGCAAAATGTGATGTGGAGTGATGTGAATATTAGGTTGGCTAGGCTTACCTTAACTTACTTTAAGATTTTTGCGCTTCAATATGGGGTAAGCAGAAAATAAGATGAAAAAAATGAATGAGATGGGAATCTAATGGTATCTAATAATTGGAAATATTAATGAGCAATGATGTTGTGGAACTTAATATATTGATAGAAGTTATATGTTTATAATTTTTGTATATTTATAGTTGTAATTAAAAGAATAGAGTTGGGTAAGCTTTAGTAGAAAGGATATATATATATATATATCATAATGCTTAATGTATAGAGGGGAAGTAAAATATGTATAAATACATAATAAAGTTACAAGACAATTTGTCAGCTACAAAGACAATTTTGTCTGATCTATTGACCTAATAGGGAACGAAGGGGAGAAATCATCTGAGTTACTTCTTATCCGTGCATTCTGAAAGATTGAGTACTAAGTCCCCTAGCAAATGTAATAATATTCGTTAGCAATATATCATGATCTATTTGACAATTAAACTCGTCTAGAACAATGTCATGCAATTGATGATTGAAGCAAAGACCCAATCCCCAAACCCCCAGATTTAGTTTAGTAATTTCAGGTTGTTCGCCGCCATTCAATGCATTTTCTTAGTTTACTAGAATAATATTCCTTGTACGATAAGGTGCTTACATCCAGCAAAAATAGAACAAAATAATAATGACAATAAAGCAAAATGATCTTACTAGAGCATTATGATATTAATGAAAAATAAAAGTGGTCACATCTTTTTGTAAACAACACCATTTTCCTTTTTCTGTGTCTGATAGTTTTTTGCCTTTGTCTTTATTTTTGTCTTCAAATGTGTTATTTTTGTCAGGTCGTGGTATGCTTTAATCGCAAAAATGATCTTTATAATTATACGGCAAATAGCAATTGGCTTATGAGTGAAACAGAGCAATACGATAAACAATTTGTAGACTATATATATTCAATCTACTGACAATGAAGCAAATGATTACCATTCAAACCCGTTTCATCATTCAACTGTATTTAGTATCTGAAAATAGCTTTGACTTTAATTTACTGCTAAGATTAAAGTATAATTCCACTGAGCATTATTGCCAAGTCACATTGACTAAGGAATCCTACCTTTATCTTTCTTGACCTCGTAATACTCTCTTTGTGTTAATATCTGTTGGCCGCTTTATACAAGTATTTTAACTAAAACATAAATGTGTACATTTTAATAGTACTGAAAATTATTATTTTGATGCCAGGAATGTATTACCCCATATGTTCGTTAAATGAACTTTCATATAACAATACTACAAGTACCACATAGAACAAACTTTAAGCTAGAGATATTTTCCCCATTTTCTTCGGACTAGGGATACTTGGCTGTATATGCTAATTAATTCGTAGCAAAATTATAATAAACTTTTTTCGAAAAGTGGATCTAATTCTCCACATCCACTTTTACACACTAAGTCTCACAACCATACAATTTACAAATCATGTAATAAGTTATACAACTCCGATCACTTGCCGACTGTTTCAGTAGATTAACTAGTGAGGAATTCTACCATACCATGTTAAATATTATTTCAGTTCTCCTTTTTGCGCTCCACTTATTTTTATTGTTTGCATACTTAAAGAATTTCCGTGAAAGCCACTGACTTACGTTCCCCCTCCTTCCCTCCTCTTTCACGTATTGTCCCAAGTTTTTCAGACACTTTATTCTTGTCATAACATTTAATGTCTTTTACAACATAGTTCGTAGGTTATTGCGGGTTTTTATCAGACTTAAATACCTGTCCCTTCATTCCCTCCAATTGTGTGTCCTTAGTAGCTCCCAATTAGATGCCCAATTACATGGTATAGGTTCTAGGCTATTAGTAGGAATTAAAGTGTAGTTGCATCGGTTATGTACAGGAAAGGATCTTACATAGGTAATTATCTCACCCCACTTTTAATACCTTTTTGAGAGCCCGCAACAAAAGACAACATTTTGTATGGTGATGTATTCATACCCAATTAGTATATGAGGTAAAGCAACAGAATGTGCGTGCCACTTTTTCACAGCCATTAATAAAACGAAGCTTAAATTTCTACATGTCACAATATCGAAAACTATTATAATAATATTTGTTAAACTCAAGATAAAGAAAGGAAATAGAATTGGAATACGTAATATACAACAGGATAGAGATAGAGATAGGAAAGGAATAAGAAGAGAAATAAGTCCTTGAATTGGAAAGCGATGGTAATAAAACAGAAATTGTCATAATGTTAACTTCAAAAAGTGTGCTAGAATTAATTTAACCATTTTACAAAACAAACTTATTCAAAAACTCACATAAAAGACAAAGGACAAAGAATAATAAATATCACCAATACCAATCATATGCTTTTGGCAATAATCAGAAAAATATGTTAGAATCATACTAACCCAGCCATGTTTGTGCTTCTATGAAAGCACCAACAACAACATTACAAAAATAATAAAATATGATAATAATTGAACAATAAAGAAGTAGAATTATGATTTGTTATTTAATTAAATAACGTTAGACCCCATCTCTCATTGATAGTGTTGTTGGTTTGGAATATTATTATTTGGAATATTAGCAAAATATTGATAATCTTGTCCATATGCATTTGGTGGAAGCATACCAGGTTGAGGGTGGCCTTGTCCAGGATATGGCCCTTGATGAGGCATATGAGCTCCTGGAGGTAATTGTTGTTGTGGAGGTGGTGGACCTTGTTGTTGTGGAGGTGGACGTTGTTGAACTTGTCCTGGATGTTGACCAGGTTGACCAGGTTGTTGTTGTTGAGGAACTGGACTTTGATCTGGCAGTTCTTGTGATTGACCATCTGATTGGTCACCTCCATCATCACCTAAGCCTTCTTCTGGAGCATTCAAACATGCTTGAATTAAATTTTTACCTTCACTTTTAGTAACTAAAGGTTGTAATTTTGGAGTAGTAAAAGTATAAACCAACCCAGTTTCACTAACAACTAATAATAAAACTTGAGTACCAGTTAAAACACTTAATTCATAAGCCTTTTTCATAATCCCAGCTTTTCTCTTTGAAAAAGTAATATGACGTCTTGATTTATCTTGAATGAATTTAATTTCAATTTTTCTTCTTTCCTTTTGGGATTTACCGCCGGATCCTCCTTCATCATCATCATCATCATCGACAATTCCTCCAGCAACAGATGAATTACCGGCTCCATTGGCTTCCTCATAATGAGCATCACCAGTCTCTAATTTTGGTTCTGTAACACTAGACATCCCTATAAAATTAGTTAGTTAATATACAAATTCATATGAATTATACGTAAAATTCAGATTGATTAATAAAAGTTATTGCTTGTAGATAATACTATCCCGCTATTGTTCAATTCATTAGAATACTTGAATCACGTCAAGTTATAATTATTCCTTCCACAAATAATTCTCATACTAATTATTATCCCCTTAAATTCTTCAAATCATTTATTAGCGCCATTGAATACCGTCAGCCACAACAACTTCATACATAACTTCCAGACATCTCTATTCATTTCAAAGATATGATTCAGTAACTTAGTAAATTTTTTTTGCTATCATGAGTCTGAGCCTTTTTGTGATATAGCTGAATTGGGTAAGGTCCCATACCCTGTTTCCTGAAAGGGATAGTGACCCAAAAAAAAACAATCATTAGGAAGGGTGCTAACAAATTATATCAGTACTATCAACAATATACTTTAATCAATCATACTATAAATGAGTCTCTACTATATACTCATCCATTCAATGTTTTAATACATACTTTTGTATATGGATATACTTAATTATTCAATATGATCTAATGTTTTGTATTAGGGAATAAGTTATATATTATGTTTATAATCAATAAATTATCAACAAAAAATCCAAAAGAAGAAAGTGTTCCCCTACCAATTTTTGCTTTGTCAGTATTAAAGCTTGTGGGATTTTTTTTATTTATATGTACGAGGGCGTGCACCGCTCCACATATTGTCCAATCGGGTAAAAATTTATTCATTCGGATTGCACTTACCCTATTGGGTAGGTGATCCTGCTGCACTCCCAATTTAGCAAAAACGATTGAATCAGGAAGGTGGTCGCAAATTGCCCAAATAACCTAAAGTACCAACAATAGTTAAGCTTTACTAAGAGTGTGAACTAGAACGGTAATTCTGTAGATTAAGAAATGTTAGTTATTTAATTTTCATTTAATACCATCGCCACAACTACTACTATTAAAATACTATTAACCTACTATAAAACTACTTACCATTTTCAACTTTTATAGTCTCTGGTTCTTGAGATGCAGCCTTACTATTTAATGTACTATTAGCTTCACTATCTACTCCATTTTCTTCAAATTCACTATTGTTCTTAACTTCAACATCCAATTGTTTAATTAATATTTTGGAAATCTTTTCCTTAATCTGTTCATTGCCAAATTGTTCTAATGGCTTTCTGAGTATTAATATTAATACTCGGAAGAGTTTACTCTTTAATATTAATGTCTTTGGGAAATTACTACTAGAAATTAATCCTTGAAATTCATCTAATAAGGTTAAAATTTCTTCTCCCTTTCTATTAACGTCCTCCTCTTGATTTATTAATAATTCACTTAATTTATCACTTAATTTATCAAATTTATTTTGGTTCCTAATAAAATGTTGTTGTAATTTAGGACCGGACGGAATTATTTTCCCAAATGTCTGTTTTTGTTCATCCTCATCTTCAAATATATAATTCCCACTCTTAAGGTCAAAAGCATTAATCTCATCAAGTCCCCAATCATCGTCATACTCAGACATGAGTTTCTTTTCTTCTTGCTTCTTTTTGTCCAACGCCAACTTTTTCTCAGCAGCAGCTTTCTTCTTGGCTGCTTCAGCAGCATCCTTTTTAGCTTTTGCTGCTTTAGCAGCAGCAGCTGCTGTAGTGGCCTTAGTCTTAGCCTTAGTCTTAGCCTTTACCACTTTGGCTTTCTTCTTAGGAGGTGCTTTAACTGGTTCTTCTTGCTCTTCCCCTGCTTCAACATTCTCTTCTTCTACTATTTCATCTTCAGAGGGGGGTGCAGCTCGTGATCCATATTGAACGAATAGTTCCATATCAGGTGGATCATTAGCTAACTCATATGCACGTTCTAATAAATTATCCTTTCTTCTTTTGGAATTACTATTTGTGAAATGAGCAGAAATATCATCTTTAGTCAATAATTTTATATCATTGCTATTTATCCATATGTACGTGTCATCACTGAAAAAACGTACAGGGAAGAGTTTCGTTGGTAATCCAACCGATTTCTTCTTTTTAATTGGTGATGCTGTTGGTGATGAAGATGTACCATTTGTAGTTACTCTACCAGTCTTTGGACGTTTAGCAATTATATGAGCAGGTAATATTGACTCGTCCAATACCATGGCTGGCCAAGCAGGATACCCCTTAACTTTGGCCAATACCACTGTAGTTGGTTTAAAATAGGATTCAAGTTCTTCTATAGTCTTAGGTTTACCATTTACGCGCAATTGAGATGGTTCCAGCTGCGGTTCCGGTGTATTTATTGATTGTGATGAGTTTGATGGTTCGTGTGGTTCTTCGTTGACTACACTATTTGTGGGTTCTGATTCCGACATGATGATATTATTTATTTGTTATATACTATAACCCAGTTTCACTTCAAGTAATAGCCACAAGCAATATAATACAAAATGAATAGTTGTGAGTGGGAACAGTTGTGATGTTGAAAAATCACTTGCTCGATCTATTTACATTATCATTTTTGGGGTGAAAAATCTCTATATACACACCTATCTAAAATACATAATCCCAAACATGAATAAATCCATTACCACTAGTGCTAATCAATTGGTTGGTCAGTTCCGTATAGTTTATGTAGCTTAATATTTTGGAAGAATTTGTGTCTGATTTGTCGTTATTGGTTTTGATTTTGGTTTTGCTTGTTATTGTAGTCTCTATACTAAGTTCTCTTTCTATACGTGTCTCGCCTGTCTTTGCATTAAATTTAAATATATTAATGATTCCATAATCGGTACCACTGACAAACCGATTAGTAGATGTAATATACTGTGAGTTTAGCTTATAGCTAAGGTTATATGGATCACCATTGTTTCTATTGTAGCTTGTTACAGACTTGCAATGAACTCCATCAAATAATTCTACTGTACCATTATTGAAACTGATCAAGTTATGATCATCTTCATACTTAGCTATATTGATAATAGCCGTATCATGAGTATCCTGGATGAGATTCAGGTTTCGGAAATCAATTGTGAATAATATTCCATTCGAACTACCTACTGATAATAAATGATAATTATCATTGACAGCAATACAATTCAAATTATCATCACCAAGGTTGAGCGAGTACACAGGATAATATTGATTCCTTTGTCGGAGATCAAATAAATTCAAGCGATGATTAACACCACAGGTGGATATAAGGCTATCATTTAGTATTTTACAATCTAGCACTTCATCATTGTTACTGGAGGATTGAATAGGCCCATCGATCTTGGTGTCGAGAGCTGATGTCAGAAGATTTTTCACTTGATATAATTTAGTTTGACTCATAACATCCTGAATAATAATAGAATTATTCGAGGCACTAGCCACAAAATCGTATGTCAGAGATATATCAATGGCATTAATAGAGTTGGAATGAACCTTAGGGAATTCCAACCCAGAGTAATTTTCTGGATTGTTACCAATGGCTTTCAAATCGAATAATTTGAGTGAAAAATCATTCCCACCACCGGTAAGTATATAATTATCTTTGAAAGGTACACATGAATTAATGGAGGAATTAGTATGAGCTTCGAATTTCCAGTATTTCATTCCTCTTCCCTCAATGAAATTGCATCTCCATACTATGGAGCTTATTTTTTTTTTGAATGTAAATTTATTTTTATCTTTACTTTTGTATGGCTCTTATCTGCGAAATCTAGGGTGGTACAAATCCATGTGCAACTGGAGACTACCACTTATACAATAAAGTCTGGAGTTGGCCACACGAGGCTGATCTTATAAGAAAATCAAGAGATCTTAGAACCTACGAACAGGGGTTAACGATGATCCCTTAAAAATAAATGTATAATTGTTTAAAATAAGTTCTATTATACCACAATCCTTGAAATTAATCGAAAGACTGAATTCTAGAATGCAATGAACCCAGGGCATGTTGCCAAGAATTTATGAATATAATAATTGGTGCTTATTTTGCTGCTTCTTATAACCGACTCTCATCGTATATATCTTTGCATAAATCGTGAATTGGTTGCAATCTAATTGCTCCCAAGTTGACCATATCAAGATGTGTGAAGTAAAGACTAAATCATGATACTCAGTCTAGAAATGGAATGTGAATCTCAGAGAAGATTGTGGGAAGCTGGAATCTGCAGTAGGGGATGAGATGCGATGGCATGAGGCGAGATGTAATTTTGAACAATTCACATTGTTTTGTTCTTTACGCTAATGAATTTCGGATCATTGCAATTTCAATCGTAGATGAATTATTTGTGGATTCTATGAAATCCCGATAGACAATCGTAAAGTTAATCGACGTTATGAAAGAGAAGCGCTATGTAATTATGAGTATGATAAAAGAATTTACGTAAATGGAAAGCCAATGGCCGTTTTGGGATTTATACTGCTATGGGCAGATAAAAATAAAATACGTATGAAGCTTTGACAGCTTCAGCCGGAAGCTAGCGTCAAAGCCGAAAGCAAAGTCAATGCTCTCAACCGTAAAACTTCAATCAAATCTACATGGAGATAAATGGAATTATATATTCGGCCAACCGTTGTGCAATTGGAAGGATATTATTAGAAAATTAAATGTTTTAGGAGATTGAACACATGTACTCGGCTATAATGCTCAGAACAAGAATTCACCGATATTTAAAGTTATGTGTAAATTAATGCGATAATGTGGTGATACAACGGCAGGAATTCTCGACAAGATTTCCTTAAATGCCAACCACCAACACGCGCATTACGCAATTGATTACCACAAAATCACCTAGCGTGAGGGTTAAGAGGCTATGACGTATTATTGAATGAGTGCATGCAAGTGTTATACGAGGTTGCTCAGTCAACGGATTGGGTGCTTTTTGCTTGTACTACTCCTTTTGTGGGGTCATATGTAAAACTGTTCTATTCAATTGACTCTCACTATGCCGCATGTGTAAAATAGGCTTTTGCTAGCTATGATGAAAGAGTAAGGCTCAACTACATATAACAAAATCCCAGATGGGCAACTGCCAGCACAGAAGAAAAAAATAACAATGCAGCAGAAAAAAATAACTAGGTAAATAGAAAACGAACATGTCCTAGCTGTTCTGGAACCAGATATGGAATTTACAGCGCAAATTAGAGCAAACATTACATTACAGTATAGACAAGTTAGGGATGAGTATTCACATAAACAGTAAGAAATTGTCGCGATTGAGTATACACTCTTTTGTTATTATCATTACATAATATATTGTAATATAAAATATTTTTCTTTTGTTTGTTGTTGCATTGTTTACATTCCTATAAATAGTGTCGTGAGAAATGCTCTAAAAATTGCAGTTAGCCAGCCACTCAAGTTAATTAATAGTTAAAGTAAACAAGACTCGTGTCTATTAATAGATAATTATTAGAAGCTCTCTCTCGTTTTGATAAGTGATTAGGCATAACGTCCTTATTGAGCAGCCTATTTGAAGCCATTTGAAGCCACTCTCTCGTAAAGATAAGCACATTAATAATCTTAGTGATCATTAGAAGGTGCTTTGCATTCAGCCTATGCAATAAGGATACTAGTGGGGCTTAATGACAATGTTTTGCTTTGCGCATGAATTTCACATCCTTTATATCACTAACCAAATTGAATTGGTCAAGAGAGATTTAAAGTTTTTAGGGAAGGCTGGGCTTTCTTCTTAGTATTTATAAATAAATAAACAAATAAACAAGAGGAAGTGACGAGCTCAGCAAGTGATGCAATTAAAGAAAATATATCAAGTGCTAGTTCGCTATACTGTTACCCACGATATATTCCTTACCTCTAGATCTAACCTATCATTTTGCACTGTTAGTTGTACAAAACAGTTTAAAAAAAGAAATTGTACGACACCCCCTTCCACAAATATAGAGGCCCACAATAAAGTATTAGGTTTTGTTACAGGTGGTCTCTATTCTTAATAAAGTTAAGCCATGATGGAGTTGCTCATAAGTAGTGCTTAGTTACAGCAGCATAGTATTTTCACCCCCGAGATGCATATTTCTAGGGCATAAAATTGCAAATATATCCCCTTCGATTTTACGATTATATATTTCCGTAGTTCTGCTTTTGTATAAAAATATAACGACTTTTTCTTTTATAACTATCGATAGAAGAAGCGATTTTAAGAGGTAATCGTAAATTGCCAAACACTTGTTTATTTTGATTTCATCATTGAGAAATTCTAATCAAACAACACATTAATATAATATAATATATTATTAATATTAATATCAACATAATATTTATTTTACATTAGTATATAATACTTTTGATATAAAAATCAACACAAGACAGTTTATTCCGAAAATAGTACTGTTTTTATTTCATTTGAAAGACCAGCATCATATCATCATTAACCTACATAGAGTCGTACATATAAAACTTGATCTCACCTTATAAAACTATAAACAAAACGAAATTCATCTACAATTTCAATTTCAATTTCAGTACGTTTTCACCTTAATTGACGTTGATAACTACCCTCACCCCCCTTGTTTTACACATTTAGTCTGCTCCTGCACACCACAAAATTATTTTCTAGTGTTCCAATTTATTTTTACGCGTGCAATCCTGTACTGCTTGACACATATTTAAATCAACTAATATTGCCGACCCGTCTTCTTTGAGGATATATATATATTTGTTTATTTGTTTATTTGTTGATTCTTTTCCTAGTCCTTATAAAACAACAAGCTGAAAGTCTACTAAACTTGCTTGCACATTCCTTTGTCATCTAGATAGTTGAAAGTTTGATAGTCACAATATCATCATACTCGTTTTTTTGTTGGTTTTGTGCCCTTCATTTTTGTTCCCAAACATATTTAGTTCAAACTCCTTAAATTTCAATTTTAAAGTTGTTTTGAATTTTAAGAGGATCAAATTTGTATTATAAATATAATTAGATTAGCTTGTTTATTCACTGCTAACTAAACTATAATTTATATAAAAAAATAGCGAATAGCGTTCCTGCTTAATTCATATAGAGCCATTCTATTCCAATTTTTTTTCTTAGCCTACCGGTTTCGGTTATACTCCCCACTCGCTGCAATTTAGAAGAACCCCGTCATTCGCGGCCACCCTACATTTTTTTGCATCAAGTCGAAATTATAAATAATTGGTCATTGCTTTTTAATAATTAACAAAACAAGTGATTTCAATTTTAATATACTAAATGTTATTTTCCAAATATATATACGCAGCCCTTGCTGTTATACTGACAGTTCAAGCAGCTCCATTACGTGATGCTCGTATCCCTACTTTTGAAGAATCAGATACCGTCAGATTAACTAAAAAGGATTTTTCATGGGATTATGATAGTCAAAAAATTAGAGGGGTTAATCTTGGTGGTTGGTTTGTGTTGGAAGCTTATATTGTTCCATCACTCTTCAATGCATTTGAAGGTTCCTCCACTGGAATTCCTGTAGATGAATATCATTATACTCAATATTTGGGTCAAGATTTGGCTTCTCAACGTTTACAAGGTCATTGGGCCAACTGGTATACTGAAGCTGATTTTGCTAATATGGCCAATTTGGGATTGAACTTTGTTCGTATTCCTATCGGTTATTGGGCTTTCCAATTATTAGAAGGTGATCCATATGTTCAAGGTCAAATTCCTTACTTAGATAGAGCTTTAGGTTGGGCTGCTCAATATGGTATTAAGGCCTGGATTGACTTGCACGGTGCTCCAGGTTCTCAAAATGGGTTTGATAATTCCGGTTTAAGAGATGTTCTTGATTGGCAAACTGGTGATAATGTTCAAGTTACTTTAAATGTTTTGGAAACCATTTCTCAAAAGTATGGTAATGGTAACTGGTCTGATACTGTCATTGGTATTGAATTAGTTAATGAACCTTTAGGACCATCTTTAAATATGGGAGAAATTGAACAATTCTACATTAATGGTTATAACCAATTGAGACAAACTGGTTCTGTCACTCCAGTTATTATTCATGATGCTTTCCAACCTTTAGGTTTCTGGGATAATTTCATGACTGTTGCCAATGGTGATTACTGGAATGTTGTTGTAGACCATCACTTTTACCAAGTGTTTGATGTTGGTCAATTACAATTGGATGTTGCTGGTCATATCTCTACTGCTTGTAACTGGGGTTGGGGTCAAAAGGCTGAATATCATTGGACTGTTGCTGGTGAATTCTCAGCTGCCTTGACTGATTGTGCACCATGGTTAAATGGTGTAGGTAGAGGTGCCAGATATGATGGTACATATGAATCTCCATACATTGGAGACTGTACTCCATTCCTTCAAATAAGTACCTGGCCATCCTGGTATAATGTTGCTGTAAGACAATATGTTGAAGCTCAATTAGATGCCTTTGAACAAACTGGTGGTTGGGTTTTCTGGAACTGGAAGACTGAAAGTGCTCCAGAATGGGATTTCTCTGCTTTATGGACCAATGGTCTCTTCCCATCTCCTCTCACTGCCAGAGAATATCCAAACCAATGTGGATTTTAATACTACATCTAATTAAAAGCCTTAATTACTCATTACATCTTGCATTGAATAGATCATAATCAACCTTTTCTTTCGATATTAACCATATATATATCGGTTACAATTGTTTTATATTTCACTTCTTACGTTTAGCTTTAGCTTTAGTTTTTGATGTTTTGCTTATTTTATACAAAGATATCGTTCCATTTGCTGATTTTGTGGAAAATGATATAAAGACTTGATTGCTTTATGAATTATAGCTCTTTTCCTATACAATTTTTATCATAAAAAGTTTTATCGTTGCCTTATATATTCCAAAAACAATTCTGTTTATTGCACTTGATATTACTATAACTAACAATAATTTTATTTCTACTTGTCGTAATCTTAATACAAATTTAAACATATATTTATTTATTTATTTGCAATTAGCAATTTGCAATTAGCAATTAGCAATTAGCAATTAGCAATCAGCAATTAGCAATTAGCAATTAGCAATTAGCAATTAGCAATTAGCAATTAGCAATTAGCAATTAGCAATTAGCAATTAGCAATTAGCAATTAGCAATTAGCAATTAGTATATAGTATAGGTAGATAAAAAAAAATTCTAAGATAGTCTGGAAATCTATAATTTAGAAAATGCCGCTAATAAAGTTTGACATTCCTTATTGTCGGATAAACCCTCAAGTACTTCAGTAAGGGATGAAGAAGCATATTCATAATCCAGAAGTTCGTTATAAATTTGAGCTGAAATTCTAGCGTATAATTTCCCATTATGAACCAGTATTGGAATATATGTCTTGTATTCATTGAACATCTTATTGTATACTAAATTAATAAAGGCTCCAAAGTCTTGTTGAATAAATTTTATACTAATTCCAAATTTTTCAACGGGTACTTCAATAGTTACCATTGCACTCGATAACAGTCCCTTGGAATTGTCTAAGATACTGGTACCCCATTTTTTAGCTAATAATTGTCCTGCATTCTTAGCTAATGAATAACAATAATCATTGATAGCTTGTTCTCCACCACAAATATCTTTTCTAAATTGAATTGCATCACCTATAACATTTATGCTCGAATAAGTCTTGGTTCCATAAAATGAAAATCTATCAATTAATCTTGTTTTCTCCTCTTCTTCATCTAAAGTTACACTATCATCAAGATATGAATGAGAAACTGGCATTGTATGAATCTTATGCCAGTGTTTAGGATCAACATATAATACAGCACAACCTGTTGGTACATATAACCATTTATGTAAATTAGATGTATAAAAATCTGGCTTTAAAGTTCCTAAATCCAAATCAGGAAGTAATCCTATACTATGAGCTCCATCAATTAATGATAAAACATCATATTTACGACATAATTCTACCAATTTTTCAAATGGGAATCTAAGACCTGGCATGGAGATAACCGTATCAAATAAGCATAATTTAGGAGATTCTTGTTTAAAAACTTTATCAAACTTTTCAATAATTTCCTCATCTTCTAATGGATATTTCAATTGAACGAGAATAGGGACAATACCATATCTTTGTTCCAAGAATTTAATAGTATTACCACATGCACCATAAACAGTAGTAGGTATAACAATTTTATCTCCTTTGGAAAATGGATAACTTCTTAATATAATATTAACTGCTGTAGTAGCATTTTCTACAAATACAACATTATGCCAATCACATTTCAAAAAATCCCCTACTAATTTAGAAGCATTCTTGTAATCATCATATATTTTATGTACAAAGAATTCATCAGGATAATGATATTGTCTTTTCAGTTGTTCAAAGTATTTATCTAAAATGACAGATGGTGATTGACCATACGATCCGTGATTTACGGGAGTGATATCCTTGCCTAACTCTTTGAAATATTTTTCTCGGAATTGTTTACCGAAAGGTACAATAGGTTGACCACTCATTATACACTACTACACTACCTAAATGTTCTTAACTTTAGATATTTTTCAATTACAATTTTTTTTCAATTTATGTGTCGTATCTCCAGAATATATAGTCAGTTTACGGATTGCGAAAGATAACGTAAGCGTTGAGTTGATTTGAGTTGAGTTGTGTAGAGAGCCGCACGGAAACCCGCCTGTTGGAGTCATGGTGACTAATCGTTACTGACAAGGCTTTGTATTAAACTACAATAATCCAATCATATTGCCTCTATGAACATTGCGTCAAGTTAGTAAGCAATGTATGCTTAATGCTTATTGAAGTTGAGCTTGTGAGTTCGTCGAGTTTGTCATCGATGAGATCGATGAGCTCAAGATCTGAAAATGACTCTTGTGGATTTACGAGGGTGGTGAACATGACTCACATGAAGATATGTTACTTTAATATTCACTTCTATAAACACTATAGTAGTATGACTCTGAGTAATATGAGATGTAAGATAGGATATTTCAAAGATAGAGAATGGCTTGTCGTAGTAGTAGTAGTAGCACAACACTGACAACGTGTTCCTGCATCAATACTGTGTAATTGTCGCAGTCCTCATCCATTCAGTTAGTATTGTTTATACTACACGTACAATTGAGTAGTAACACTATTGTCTAATTACTGAATTTATACCCCAAATCATTTTGAGTCAATTCCTACAGATCAATCAAATTACCTATTCCAGTAACTTATACGATGTATTAAACATGGTAGCTCCATCGCAACCACAAACTCTAAAACCAAAACCACAAAAAAAAAATTAATTGTATGCAGGCACACAACTCTAATAGCCGGAAAGGGAAGACTTTTACTTAACTACCAAAACTAACTAGCAAGTAACCAACACTTATCCAGATTAGTTACAAGGCGAAAAATATAGTGGTGACTAACCAATTCAATCACTGGTTGAAAGTGTGCTAGTGCTTCGAAATATGATCTCATTTCGATTGCTTGCCAAGCCGCATGCCGCGGCTATTGGCAAGGTCATGATGAGAAGTATGATGATGAATCGATATAAGTGGCTCTCTCCATTACGTATAGGTACATCATATGGGTCTATACGGCCTGTTGGGCATAGACATTCATTAACATTAACACAAAACTTAAGGTATTACAGCAGTGTGCCACGGAATAATAACAACCATAACGATAACCATAAAGATGATGTGCCGGACATTAAAGACCAGGACCATCTCAAAGAACCCATATATGATATAGCCCAAATAAATAGGCGGAATCGAGAGCAATTACTTTCAAAAGCCACCAATATGTTCTCAAGATTACGGATCCGATTCAAATGGTTGTTGAAGAAGTCCAATCGACCTTTTAATACTGATGATTATTCGGCAGTATTTTCATGGCTTGTAGTTGGTAATGCTTTACTTATTGTTCTTGGTACAACAACTTTTGTATCAATAATAATTTTTACAGCTAATACTGTATTTGCTCAAGAATTTGTGGCTAGAAAATTAGGAGAATTCATAACTAAAAATTCAAATTTAACCGTTACTTTCGAACATGCTATTGTACCAGGTTGGTCTGATGGAAAGATTAGTTTTAAAAAATGTTTTGTAAGTAAAAGACCTCGATCTAAAAAGAAATTTATTAAGGAATCACAGGCTGAAGCATATGCTGCTAGTTTGACTTCCGAAGAAGAATTTGAAGATGATGGTAATTATACTCAATATGATTTAACTATGGAAGAAGTTAATGTGACATTATCGTTTAATAAATGGGTTAATGGAACAGGAATTGTAGAAACTATGGAAATAAAAGGAATGAGAGGAGTGGTAGATCGAACTCATGTACATTGGGATCCTGATGATGATGCCACTAATTATAAGAATATTTATCAACCAGGAGATTTTGAATTTGAATCATTCAAAATGGAAGATGTACTATTTAATTTGAAGCAACCCAATGGTTTCCGACCCTTTGATGTGGCAATATATAGTTGTGAATTACCTAAATTAAGGAAACATTGGTTATTTTATGATTTCTTAAATGCTAATATTATGAGTGGATCTTATGATAATTCATTATTTACTATTCATAAGAAGCAGAGATTAAATGATTTTGATGATCCTTCAGATATCAGTAAGAATTGGAAACGAGTCACTAGACTTAGAGTAGATAATTTAAATATCGATCATTTAAATAAGGGATTAGAAGGTCCATTTGGCTGGATCACTAGTGGTCGAGTTGATATGATTGGTGATGCCATGTTTCCTCAAATAGATTCTGATTATAATATGGGAGAAATAGTGAATATTATAGCAGATTCTATTAAAAAGGAAGCTAATCGTTATAAAAATCCTCAAGTAACTAAACCACCAAAACATCCTGATCAACATATGAGATTAACGAGTAATGACTATAAAGATATTAGCAAATATTTCGTACTTGATTTAACTATCAGATTAAATAATGTTCGAGCATCAGTACCATTCCAAACTCCCGAATTAAGTTATATTAATTATGCCTTGATTAGACCTATTGTAGGATACATTAATTCCAAAAATACATTGATTGAAATAAAGAATCGAGTAGTGAAAAACATTCAAGATTTTAGTGGATCATGGACAGTATATGATTCATTACTAATGGATGATTTATCTGAGGAGGTATACGATAATTTTGTGGACTATGTGGCAGATGAAGAAGCTCGAATGCTTCGAATGAGGAAAGTGGGATTCTGGTCAATGCAATTACTTCTTCAACTAATTGTATTTGGATTAGGAGCATTAGCATGACATGAGAGAAATTAAGGGACTGACTACAAAAAAAACTTGTAAATATATATATAAATAGCTATAGCATGTAATGTAATGAAGAGAATATATAAAACGACTTATGATCCAGACCAGCTGGTTCACATTCGTAGTATTAATACTAGTACAGCTATATAAGCTGATAAACTAATAATTGTTAAAAGTACAATGGTATCACCACTAGTTTTAAAAATTTCCATATCTTTATGAGGGTTATAATAAGTATCTACTCCGGCAGCTTTATGAACTCCTATAAAGTATAATAGTGATCCATACACTGTATATATGGTACCAACAGGGAGAAATTCTTTGGAAAATAATTTAATAATTAAGATGGAAAATGATAAACATCCTATAGCTGAACGAGTATAAGCACCTTCGTAAGTTCTCTGATGAGCTCTAACATCAAGTTTCAATCCATTAGATAAGATATCAAGTCGCGAAGGGAGTCTTTCCCTGCCTAAGATAGGACGATCCATTGTCTTAGTATGAGTATAAGTATGAGTAAAATTAAAAGTATCACTCACTAATTGTATGACTAATGAGTAGTGTGAGTATCAGTTATGTGTAGCAGTATCACCAATTATTACTGGTAGTAAATTGCTCTATGATTACGTTACCAGTAAGTTGCTGTGTCAGGTATCAATGCCTCAGTTAGCGAGCATCCATCAACTAAAAAAAAAAAAATTATGAGATAGCCACTGCAGTACATTAACCAGAACATTACTGTAAATGAACCAGTGCTTTATCTGTGCGCACTAGAGGAAGTACCAGAGCGTAGCGAAGAGATCGTTAAATTATTAGTGGCAGAGTTTGCGCATGCCAGTGCCATCCACATCATAAGTTGCCATGTTTGCTCGTGTAATAGCTCGACATGTTAGTCCTCGACTAAGCACAAGCCAACTACCTCGTCTCGTACCTAGACTTACACCATCATTAACCACATGTCCATATCCATGTCCAATACGATTCAAAGCAACTACTAGTTCACGAAATAATAACATTATGAAACTACTTAAAAAGAAATTACCTCCTAGTCTCGATAGCAATAGTTCCACTGATAGTGATCATAATTATATGCATGATGAGGATCCTGGAATTTATAATATGGTCCAACCAGTAGCTCCTAATGAATTATATGTATCATGTACAGTATTTGATGATCGAGGTAATATAACAGGTGTATCTAGAAAATACCCTAGAGTTCAGTTTCTTCGAGATAACAACTTATTCGCCAGAGATTTAAGAAAGATTGATACTTCCTCTATTGAAGTGGTACCTACCATTATGGTAAGATCTTCAAATACCATATTAGTCAATTTGGCTCATATAAAGGCTATCATCAAGAAGGATACCATTATGATATTCGATACTTCTAACCCTTTAGTAGCCAAGCGATTAGGAATATTCATGTATGATTTAGAAATGAAATTAAAGTTACCGGCTGGAAATGTATGTTATGAATTCAGGGCTCTTGAATCAATTCTTATTAATGTTATGAGTTATCTTGAAGCTGAATTAAAAGCTCATTTAAGTTCATGTGGTCAAATCTTAGCAGAACTTGAAGATCAAGTGAATCGAGAGAAATTACAGGAACTATTGATTCGACTGAAACAGATATCAAGTTATTATCAAAAGACTGTCTTGATTAGAGATGTTTTAGAAGAACTTCTTGATAATGATGAAGATCTTGCTGGAATGTACTTAACGGATCCCAAGAAATTTGACCCTAAAGTCGAAGATTACGAAGATTTAGAAATGATTCTTGAAGCTTACTACAAGCAATGTGACGAGTTTGTTCAACAGGCTGGATCATTAGTTAACGATATTAAAGTCACAGAAGATATTGTTAATATCATGCTTGATGCTAATAGAAATTCACTTATGTTATTTGAATTAAAGATAACCATTTTTACATTAGGATTTACTGTAGCAACTTTATTACCGGCATTCTATGGTATGAATTTAAAGAATTACATTGAAGAATCCAATTTAGGATTTGGAGCTGTGGTAGTAGTGTCGGTAATTCAAGGACTCATTTTTACCTATATAAACTTTAAGAAACTTCATAGAGTTCAAAGATTAACCATGATGGGAACTCATGATTCTCGAAAGATGGCTAAGAATAACTATAAATTCCATCATAGCTCGAGTCCAGTAGGAACATTTTATAAGGATAAATGGTACTACCGATTAATTTATGGCTCGAGAAATAGTAGATACGATCCTTCCGTTAAGGAAAAGGATGTAATCTGGCGAATGATTAATGACGATAAACCAAATAGATAGACTAATAATTTAATTTGTACATAGTTAATAAAAGAATTTTATTTATTGATTTCTTATATATATAGTATACAGTGATTCAGCTTGAATCTTCCGAATCGGACTCTTCTTTGTTCACTACGACATTATCCTCGTCAGCCTCATCAGAATCGCTTTCCTCCTTGGCATATGTTGGTAAATCGTCCTCATCCTTTGGTTCTGGAATCTCAAGTACGACTTCATCTACTTCATCGAATCGTTTATGCTTACCAGGAGTTGCTGGAGCAGTAGATGTAGAAGAACGTCTTTCTCTTAATACAGGTTGAGCTTCTCTTTCAGAACCAGGCGTTATTAAAGTTCCTTCAACTGAGACAACTTTACCAGTAGTATGAATGGATTTAATGGTGAACTTAATTTTACCTTCTACTTTGACTTCATTTTCATCCATCCAGTATCCAAATGACTTGAATTTAGTAGCAGTATCATCTGTGATTTCATCTGCTTGGTTAGGTACAAATTGCCAACCACTAGGAATATTATATTTCTTTATAGATGCATTAAAAGTGTCATGAATCAATAACCCTAAATGTGAAGCTGTTTGCATATAGATGTATCCTTCTACAACATCTCCAACTTGAGGTCTCCATACTAAGAAATCTACTGTAATCCATAAGAATGTGAATGGTGAAGATCCTTCAATTTTAGCTACAGATATAGTTTTATCATGACTATCTTGAGAAACATTGTCCAGTGATAATTTAATATTAGAGTATGCTAAAACTACTCCTTTAGCCTTAGGAAAATATGTCATGACCAATGGGTCTAAATGTTGAGCCTTAATTCCATTGATAGGATCATTAAGATGAATAGGTGCTAATGATACATATAATGAAGTAGAAACTTTATGAAAGCATTGAGCTATACCATCTTCATTAACCTTATTGGTAGATTGAGGTGGAAGCACCGATCTTCGTCTTTTTCCGGAACTAGCGAGTAACTCACTACCGAGACTTCTCTTCTTAACATCGGTAGACATTGTCTATAATTATACCTACTGGTAATTCAACCGTAGTCTACAAAGTTGATAATTTTCAAGATGAGCTTTGAAAAAAATTATTGCCTAATGGGGAAATAAATGTGCAGGACAGGCACTGCAGACAAGACACCCCCCAACTATATACCCCTAACGATACTTTACTTAAAACTAATTAAAAACTACTTAAATATTATTTAAATTTATATTAAATCCCATTTCTAATCTTGGATAAGCCATTACTTCGAGCTGCAGCAATTTGGGCTGGATGTTCAGTGGGTACTTCATCATCAAGAGGTTGATGTACTTGTTTTTTAAATGAAATACTCTCTTCCTTTTTAAGAAGTTGATCCTTCTTCTTAAATGTTGATGGCTTGGCTGTAACTCTTATGGGATTCCGGAACATAGCAAAGTTCTTGAGAATTGTATGTGAATAACTTGTAGGTGCATCTTCTTCTGCTGAATATTCTGGAACTCCTGTAAATCTAACCTTTTTAATAGTGGAGTTACTACTACTATTATTACTGGAAGATAATTCAGATGATGAAGGAGACTTAGTTAATGAGGGAGTTTCAGATTCATCCAATTGTGGTGTCATACTATTCCTTTGAGTATTAATTTTAGTCACTTGATCTCGAGTTCTACGAGGTTTGGGTGCAGCTATATCGGAGGATATGGAAGTAGTAGTAGGCACTGGACTGGTTACCATAGGTAAAGGTTCAGGAGATATTGATACTGAATCTCTTGTGGGGACTTCAATGTATTTCCTTAAAGGTGTTGCTGATGGTGTATTAGGATCAAAGGTTACGGAAGTTAAGACTTCTCGTTGTTGAGTCATTAATGAACCTGATTTAGCAGCTTGACGAAGATGTTGTTGATATCTTTGAGTGGCTGTTAATTTGGGTATTACTTTAGAAGGTGAAGAATCTTCTTCTTCTTCTACTACTACCAATTTTTTATTTTTATTAGTAGGCGTTGGTGATGCCATACTCTTTGAAGCTCCAATGGGTGATGGAGCTTGTTTTCTATTAATACTTCCACTGGGTGATCGTAAAGAATTATTAGCAGTCAATGCTACAGCTGCTCCTGAAGTAGCAATCTTTTCATCCATAAGCAGAGAAGCACTTCTTATAGGTTGAGAATTAGATCTTCTTCGACCTATTACTGGACTTAAAGTATTATTACTATTAGTATCAGCACTAGTTTCAATATTGGTTAATGAAGAATTATGATTTAAAAATAATTGGGAATTTGATCTTGGTCTTAAGGGAGATATTTTAGATGAATTGGTGGGAGATGAAGTATTGGCATTGACAGGAGATATAAGTAAAGAATTTCTATTAGGTGAAGTAAGTGAATTCTTTCTTAATAAAGGTTTGGAATTAATACTATTATTACTACCTATACTTGAAATAGATGAAGAACGAGAAGTTCTAGTTGTTGGTTTTTCATTAATTTCCAATTTCTTGAGATTCTTATCTATAGATTTTACAGTAGGGAATGCTTCTAAATCAGAAGAACTTCCATTCATTTTTTGAGAACTTGAATTTGATGTAGTTTTCAGCATGATTGAAGTAGATGGTATTATATTGATTTGTGGTGTTACTTCTTCTTTAAAGGTTTGATAGATATCAAAAAGATTCTTTTTAGGTAATTGATATGCTTTTCTAAATCGTAATTCAGCTGTTATCCATTCTCTACCAAATAATATAGCTTTATCTATTGAACCTTCTAACATAAAGTATCCTTGATTAACAAAATTTATTAAATCATTAACATTCTTTATATTAACTTCAAATTGTGAATCTTGTCGAACTAATCTAGTAAGATTAGCAATTAAAGTTCCATTCTTTTTCATAGAATTTAACATATCATTAAGATTGGTTAAATAATTAGTTCGGAAATAATTTGAATTTTTTAATTGTAATAAAAATTTAGAATCACTAAGATGATCTATATTTGATAAATAAATTTTTCTACCAACTTTTCTGAATATTGTATATAATTCATTTAATCGAATTGTTAATAAAAATACTTTATGTAAGGCAAATTTATCCACTGTCTTATTAGGAGTATGTTTAATTGTCTTATATTTCATTATTAAAGGTTTTAATTTATCATTTAATGTGGCTCTTAATTTAAGATTTATTAAGAAAAGCATCTTAATATCCATATCCACAAGACTACCTTCAACAAAATCTCCATTATCTAATAAATTAGAATCCTTAGGTAAATCAAAACTAATATCATTTAATGAAAGATCTATATCTAAATTTTCATTAAAGATATCCTTTTTAATAATTTGTTCAAGTGCCCAATAATAATTAGTTCGATCAGTATTATATATCTTTTGTTGTTCAATCTTTGCTTGGGCAAGTCTTTTTCTATAACCTTGTAAACAATGACCACATAGTATTTCTAAAGATTTTAAACACTTTAATGCAAGAGATATAGTAGGTAATTCATTTAATGCTGTTACTTGAGTATCAGGGTGATCATAAGGAATATGTGTAGTAGTTATAGGAATATTAATTGGAGTTGATTTAAATAATTTAAAATTAGATAATAATTCTAATTTAGCATTAAATGATGTATCACTTATAGAAAACATACTACCAGCTAATAATACAAGATATTGAACAAGAGGTAAAGTTTCAAATTTAAGTTCTGGCTTGATATTGGTACTTGTACTTGTACTTGTATTTGTACTTGTATTTGTACTTGTAGTTGATTCAATTGATGCATTATCTTGAGAAAGTAACGAATCCTGAGATTTCCCATCTTCTGGTGATGTCATGGTTGTTGGTGTTTTCCCCGTTATCTTTATACTCATCTCTCGAACACTTCGTATGTATATTTCTAATTTGGTGATGGCATATTGATACTGAAGTATTCGGCAGTCTAAGGAAGTGATATGAGTTACTTTTATATCATTTATATTGAATTTAGGGGCTTGTACTTCTGGTTTGGGGTCTAGTTTTGGATCCAGTTTTGGGTCCAGTTTTGGTTCTGATAGTGGAGGTGCTACGGCTGTCGCAGCAACTTCAGGTGGGGATGGTTCTGGAGATGTCATGGTAGTGGGATTGTTAGTGATAGTGGGATTGATTGTGGAGTTGGTGATGGTAGTTGATTGGTCGTTGAGTTCAGGTTCCGTGGGGGTGATGTATGTATATAAAAGACTAGTGAAATTAATGGTGGATACTGATGTTGTGTACTGGATTGTCTACTTAAAGGTGCCTGATAGGCATATAAAAGTTGCTAAATTAGTGGAGCTTTGATAGTGTCGTGACACTGGTGTTACAGATGGATCAGAGTCACAAGTTATTCTCCACTAAATGTCGCTAATAGTCAATACGTACTAATTCTTGCTAGTTTAGGGCACTATACTCGGTGGGGATTGTCCATATATCGGGGCAATTGAAACGCGATCACGTGATCCACTCTATCAAATTATTAATGATCTATATTGTTTAAGTGATTAAATTAGTGAATTTATGGTTATTTCATTATGATGGGGTTACTGGAGATACTGTAGTAGTAGTAAGAAGTGCATCTTAGTTCAGTAGTATTGGAAGTGATTATGATAGTTGGACACATAGTTAAGCTGAATTGGGATGAGGCGACATTGAGCAGTCCGTACGACATTATGCTCAGAACCCACCCCAAGTGACACTAATAACAGTAACAGTAATGACTGAAAATCACGACATTTCTCTCGCAGTTAAACTAAAGTCGAAGTTTTAGTATGGTTCACTAAACTACTGCTATATATGTCCAACCACAGACATGGCTAAATCATCTACCCTCGTTACATACTTTGTAGGGTTACTCCTATTGGTGCATTCGGGCTACTCATCATATGAATTTCATAAATTATCAGCTATTACTCATCAATCCCTGCATCTTCCAATAGATATATTAGTAGAAACCCTTGTGGGTATAATAGTAATAGTAATTGGAGGATTTAATTCAATTGAAAATAGTTCAGTATTAACATTTGATGGTCGTGAGATTCAACCCGATTATAAATATCTTAAACCCATAGAAATGAAGGATTCTGTCAAGTTGATTGAACGAATCGGAACTAGTGATTATGAAGAATTGGAATCAAGACTTCCATTTATTGATATAGTAGGTAAAAGGAAAAAGTATGATGAATGGGTTAAAAGTCATCAGGATTGAATATATTAGGGTATATATGCATATATATATATATATATATATTTAATTAATAATTAATTAATTAGTTATTTCTATTATGGTCTATGTATACTAATTTACGCTAATTGTCATAATCTAGTATTATCTAGTATTATTTAATTACTTATTGAGTCTTCTTCTCTATTTTTTCAGCATTAGCTTTCATTTTAGCTTCTCTTGATTGTTTACCCTTAGGACCAGCTTCAGTGTCCAATACGAAATCCCACCATCTGAATGAAGAAGCATAACTTCCAATGAAATAATGATGATGTTCATCATGATGATCAGCACCAGCCCAGAATGGAAGGAAATGATGTAATGACCATGGGAATTCATAACCTGAATGTGCATCAACAGCTTGAAATAATCTTAATACAATCCAAACACAAATAGTGAAAAGATGTAAGTTTTTAGTGATAAGACACCAAATGATTGGAATACCAACAGTTCCAAAACCCAATAATGCAACTTCAACTGGGTGAGCATATTCAGCAGCTAATCCAAATGGTGCAGCATATCTATGATGTTGTTTATGAATATATTTATAGAATACTCCGTAATGTAAACCTCTATGTAACCAATAATGCCAAGCATCTTCAAGGACGAAAAATACTGTCCATTGAATTAACATATCAGTAATAGATGGGAATGGAACTTGATAACTAATTCCAATTTGTTTACAAAGTGGATGAAAGAACCAAATAGGAAAAGCTTCCACTAAGAAATGAGATGTTAAAACTGATTTAAGACATTCCCATTGTTCTTTATTAGATGGTAATTTAGTTTCTTGAATTCTATATTTATCAAAATAAGGAATTCTTTCAATTATATACCATGGTAAACATCTACCAAAATAAAATACTTCATGAATAGTAAAGAATAATAATCCAGTAGCAAATAAATCATTACCCATATAATAATAATAAGCTCCCCATAATTTTTCAAGAACGTTCAAACCTTCAACTTGATTAAAATTATTGAACGCATCAGAAAATGTTGTAACATTGGTAAATCCACTAAAATCGTGATACACCTGACTTGCCATACTGATTAGAGATTGATAAGATAACAAACGCAAGATCTATTCTAAGAATGGGCCCACTAAGTACAAGTTATGATGGAGCTTCTGTATGGCAATCGTAAAATTTGATGGGTACGCGGAAAATCAGTTGATTTTTATAATTCGTCGTCTGGTGCTGCATATAAGGAGGGGATTTGGTATACGACGGGAACGAGTTATACGACAGGTGCGATGGTAGTTACTGTATTATATAACTAACAGAACATATCAATCTAAGACCTAGCCTGCTTATAAGTGGCATCCAAAGTCCATAGCCTCTGTTATGATTATGTTGAGAAATTTCTGACAATATAATATGGCCAAGTGATATGGGCTGTGCATAATTCTGGACTGGATCATCTGGTCTATACGAGGATAGACAATAGAAAGTCATTCATTTGTAACCATCATATAAATGTTAGTATATCTACAACATACTCAGTACCAGACACACCTACTCCGTTCAACAAGTAGGGAACATATGGTGGGATTTATTGGTTGCGAGACTTGGTCCAGACCAATAACTATAAGCGACACGAAGCGACTGCTGATTTTCCGATAAGCACATTGCGCTCTTGGCATTTCGCAGCTAAAAAAAGAAAAGAAAAGGCTACTTAACAATAAAGATCTTTAAGCATGAATTAAATATTTATAACTAATTATATACAACCTGAAATATCCAATCAATGATGATGGTCTAACAGCCAGCAAATCCTTATGAGTCAAAAAGAGTCAAATTAAATTAAACTAAAGCAAAGCAAAATAAAAAATAAATTAAAATAAAGTAAATAAAGTATTAGGGTAACGGTATAAAATAGTTCCGAATTTTAAATAACCTACCAAGTAGATGGACCAAAGTATTCACCTGGACCTAATGGGTTTCTGATAGCAGTACCAAGGGTATCCATGGTGTTAACAACATTATTACCCCACCAAGCTGGGAAATTAGTGTTAGTTAAGAATAAGGTTAAGAAAATGATTAATGAAGACCAAGCTAAACCAATATCCATACCAGCGGATAAGGAATAGTTATATTTAGTCCACCAGTGGAACCACTTCTTCTTAACAAACCATCCGAAGAATAAACCAACGGCACAGTATGAAGAATAGTTGTAAGCAGTTGCTGGAGGAATGTAACCGGTACCAGAGAAGAAGACTGGCCAGTTTAAGTATTTGATTGGTGAGTTTGGCCATTTCTTTAAAATTAACCAGTTAATAACTGGGGTGAAAGCACCAACAATGAAAAAGAATAATAAACCATAGTAAGTTTGACCTTGAGAGAATTGTCTTTGAGGACCAATAACACCCCAAATAATAGAAGCGTTAAAGAAAACTCTACCATTTGGACAAGTATAGTTATCCTTTTGGTCAGCAGCACATAAGTTTTCAATAGCACCGTAACCCCATCTTAAAACAGCAATTTGAACTAAAGAACCCCAGATAGTAGCGATTAATTGAGCCCAGAAAACATTTCTTGGAGCAATCTTCATATAATGACCTAATTTCATATCTTGAGCAAAGGTAACAGCTTGATTGTTAGTAATATAACCGTAAGTCTTGAAGAACATCATAGCAATTGGCTTACCTGGAAGCATATAACCAATGATGAATTCGGTAACAACATTTAAACCAACAGCAATGTTAGTCTTAGCATAGATAATAGCGACTGGTAATAAGAAAACAATAGCAATTAAAAGTGCAATAACTAAACACCAAACTGGCATTTCAGTGTTCCATACTCTAATAGTAACAATAGAGAGGGCAAAGAAAATGACGAAAACAATAACATACCACCAATCTGGAACTTCCTTATAAGATTTCATTAATCTCATGTGAACATCAGGCTTTTCCTTCATTCTAACTTGTTGAATAATTTCTTTACCATGGAATAAAATAGTATGCATAATAGTAGCTAAAATGGAAGCAAATGATAAACCATAAGAAATAGCAAAAGTAGTTGATAAGAAAAGTGGAGAATATTCTTTATAGGCTTGTAAATCGAAAGTTAAAGTAACTGGATCGACAATTCTAGAGACATTATAAGATTGACCAAATCTATCATAAGAATCAGATGAAGAAATTGGTAAGTATTGAGCATACCAAACATTGGAATAAGCAATGGCTGGAACAATGATCCAGAAAATAATAATGATAGATAAGAAAATGGTGGCGATAGTGGATGCAGGTGGAATTAATGGAGATCCAATATAACCAGCAATTTGATTCCAATCTAAAGCAATATTATTTGGAATTAAACCTAAACCAGTAGAACAACCGAAAAGTTGGTTAATAATGACATTATCTGGTTTGATCCAAGTGATCCAAGCAAAGTAAGATAAAGCAGTGAAAATGTAACCTGGGAACCAGTACCAGATGAAAGAACCAGCAAAAACGATACAGAAGAAAGCTAAACGAGAGATTTTCCATCCATTAGCAGTGTGATTTTCATTAATGTGCATGTTGGTTAAGAAAGTAGCAGTAACCAAGTTAGATGGCCAAATGGCACCAGCTGGGTAAACAACAACTCTTCTTGCAATACCACCTAAAGCAAAACCAATACATTGAGTGGACCAGATAGCAAGTAAATCGAAACCCCAACCGAAATCAGAGTTATAAAATCTATTTTGAGCAATTAAAATATCAGTGGCATAAGCAGCACCACCACCAAAGGAAACATTAGCCATAATAGTAATAAGGGTATGTTCTTTAATATTGAAAGGACCTGGATTAAGAGAAACACCAAATATTTTCCAATCAGGAAGGAAAGCAGCCCAAGCTCTACCTAAAGGCCAGGCAAGAATAGAAGTAACATAAGTAGTAATGGAGAATGCAGGAGCGTGGAAAGAAAATAATAAATTCATACCACAACCAATAGTAGTTAAAATCATACCTAAAACCCAAGATCTAATAGTAGATTGATACATAGTTGGATCATCAGAAGATGGAACAGCAGCTCTAACTTCTGGATAAGGAGAATCATCTTCAACGGTAACAGCAGCATAATCATCTTCAATAATTTCCTTAATCATATTAGAACTGATAGGATCAAATTCTTGACTCTTAGATACTACAATATCTAAATTTTGTTCACCCGATTCATAGTCACTAACTTTCTTCTCTTCAACACCAGAATCAGGTGCCTTGGAGGACAACACTGATCTTATCTTTTCCATTTTGAATGAATATACGTCAATATCAGTTATATACAAAGATATCGGTTTATACCAAGAAAATTATAAAGATTGAATAGACAGCGAACAGAAGACAGATTAAAAAAAAAATATAAATAAATAAATTATTCTTGGTTTAAATAAACCATATCTCGGAACTCCAAAAGTATTTATAAAGAAATTTGATTATTCATGATACTATGATAGATTTGACTGATAACAAAATTACACGAAATCTCCGCTTTCCAGCCAATAATTGCACTGATTGTATTGTATTGCAAAAAGTGCCGAATTCCAAATTTGGCCGTAGACGTTTGGGGCACAATTAATTTAATTAGAACGATAAAGGTAAAAAAAAGAAAAAAATTTAAAATTTAAAAAGAAATAAAAAAAAATTGCTTAAATAATCCGGAAGTATACCGGTTCGTTTCATCGACTAGATGAGGACGGATCAGCATCCAACTACTGCAAGCAGTCCAAGCAGCAGTAGTCGAAGCAGGTCATCTATTTGGATCTTAATACGAGGTACCAAATACTACTTTATAATGATGGTAGGAGTAATATAGTATTAAATCAAAAGAAATTTGGTCCATCAAGGATAACCTCATTCTAAAAGATTAGGTTTTCGACTGGTGGTGCAATATGTAGAATGAAATATGGCTGAAATAAAAGATAAAACAAATTGCCTTTAAAACTTAATATTAACAATATTATTTCATGACCTTAATTTTCAATATCAGTAAATATATGTTTTGTAATTGCTTTTTTGTAATCTTTATTAATTAATGCGATAAATCAAGGTTATAAGAGTAGCTCATTTGTTAAGTTTAGTTAGAACAGAGGCATGGTTCTCTACTCTCTATAAAGCTAAAATAAGGCACCATAAAAAAAATGCATTTCCGAGGGCATAAAAAAATAATCGCTAGAACAAGCAGAAATTTCTTGTCATCTTACAAGGCATTTCAGCCGTTGATTTAATATCATGTATATGTGTGAGATCTAGGGTGAGAGAAGGTAATTGGTCGAATTATGAAAGGATGGCTTGTATTTCACGGTGTCTGAAAATGGTGAATCCATGCCACATCTCAAATAATTATCCTAAATAAATTGGCTTATATTTCTCTAAAGCTATAAAGGAAGCCCCCATTCCGAGGATTTAACCGACCATGGCCGACAATCAGAGGGACAAAATGCAATGATAATATAATAAATAATAATTAGAGGTAATCCGTTACAAAAATACTTCTCATCGCAATATTATTACCAAATTTCCATGTACCTGTGCGGCACCAATGATATATTTTTGGACAAGTTTTGCGCTTTCATTGCTTTTCCTTACTGAGACGCGCAGGGAAATGGAAATCTTCCCTTCTCTACGTAATTCTCCATTTGTATGAAATTTCGGATAGCTATAACTTGCCAAAAATCAGTTTGCATGAACTCGGCCCGCTGGTTAAATTTTTCTGAAGTAACCGTCGGCCAAATAATTTAATAATCTCAAACAATAATAAAAATTAGATCATTACAGAATAAGCTTTATTGAAAATTTTGATGGCTATGACTAAAACTTTAAGAATAATGATCGGAACAATATAACCTATTTTGACTGTATTATTTTGCCTCGTAAAAAGGTAGTTACATTAAGTTCATCTGGTGTTATTATCGAACCCCATTTCCAAGTGCCCCTCACACTAAGGCTCTAAGGCATCTTGATTCCGCAAAGTAAAATATTTTTGTGTTTGTATCCTTTGTTTGAGTCATTGTAGGAATTTCCATAGCAATGAACGGCATCATACTTTCACTAATCTATCTCCCCACACTCACAAAAGGCTAGGTTTACTAAACCTAAATAGTCACGTTGAGTAATCGATATAATTTACCATTCTTATTTACTAGCTCTATTAGAATGGTTTTGTAGCAAGAGATAACTTCAGAACTATACTAAATCGACTTCGTATTGATGTCACGAATGCAACTACTAAATAATTGTCAAAAGAATCGACTATATATACAGAATTATGAAATAAGGAACAGCAACTAAACAACTTTAAAGTAGAGCTGGATCAAATTTAACCATTTTCACCATCATTTTATAATTTTTACAACTCTATACATTCAACGGTTCTTGTACATGACCCACCTTCGTAATTAGTAACAAGATCGTCTTAATTACATCTATTGTTACGGATAAATACTGCTGCTTCTGCAATTTTAGCTTCAGACCAGATCGATAATAATTATTATTGATAATAATACTTTCTGTGCATTTATCTTTGACGCGACACAAGTCGGAATTGACAATCGGTCCCCCTCTATACTACCTTTATCTACCCCCTTATTCTACTTTCCGATTAAACCCACTAAAGCCGTTTCGTCTATCTTTCAGTAGTTGAGTCCTATTGGCCAATTCCAATCAAAAGTTTGGGGTGCACTTTTTCGATAAGATAAGGAAAAAGAACAAGTTCTGGGCTTTTGCACTTATCAGATATCTCTCACAAAACATGCAGCAAAGAACCCAATACCACCGTCTTCTTTTGGTACACTTCTTACGCAGCCTCCTGCAAGCTGTTCGCATTTCTTCTCATCACCATCTGCTAAAGAAGTAAATTCTTCTTTCCATCCCCGACGTTCCCAATTAGGTATTACGTTTTCTCTTTTGTCTAATCTCCATCCTGCACTCTTTATTTCTGGATCGAGTAATAAATCAACTACTACTCTTTCATTTTCATGAGGATGAATAGAACAGGTAGAATATACAACTTTTCTAGCACTAGGGAATTTCATTGCATGCTTAACAATTTTAAATTGGAAACCTGCTAATTTGGTTAATCTTTCTGTATCGACTTGTTCTTCAGCTGCTTCTTCCTTTTGAGCATCTTCAAGAGCTCTACCAAAGATTCCTGAACCACTACATGAAGGATCAACTACTAAACCTGTAACATCTTTAAAATCCTTTGGATCAGTAGTAGTGAAATCAGCATGAGTAATTTGAATTAAAGATTTTTTATCTTTACCCAAGGCTCTTCCACACATGGTTTTAAGTATTTCTACTCTTTTAGTATCTCTTTCAAAGGCATAGACGACAGCATCTGATTGGTCGGGAGGTAAAAGTGAAGCACAATGAGTAGTTTTATTTCCTGGAGCTGCACATGCATCAATGACATATTTGTGAATATCATTAGGATTTTGATTCAAGATATGAGCTGGGAAACAAGAAGCACGATCTTGAATAATAACTTCACCTCTTTCATAAGCAGGAGTCGAAGTAATTTTTTCACGAGGATGAACACCATATAAATTAGTTATATAATCATCCTGATATATAACACCAGTTTGATTTAATTCTTGTATAGAACTAACCGGCTGCAAATTTCTAAAGAATTCATGATCAATATAAAATTGTTTAGGTGATGTCAATATAGTATTAATTCTAAACCATCGTACTGGAGTTTCATCATCATCAGTCAATTGTACTGGTAATCCATCAACTGATCGTACTTTATATTTTAATTTCAATTTTGTAAATTCGGCTTGTAATCGAGTCTTATTTTTAAGTATAGCATCCTTTATTGGATGATTACCCATTTGAATTCTTCCCTTCAGAGAGAAAATTAAATCATGAACCAATAATAGAAGTAAATCATCAGTAATCTTTAATTTCTTAGTCTTAATAACTTCTTTTATTTTAGATTTCTTAATTACTATTTGAATATATTCTTTATATTTTAATGTAGAATATACTAAAGCATAAACATGTTTAGGAGAATTTTTTAATTTTTTATCATTAAAGATCCGTGACTGAAGAGATCCTCTACCTGGCTTTAAGAATCTTTCTGATTCAAAGTATACATTCATGTCTTTAAACGTTTAGTAGTTGTAGTACTATATAGTTAACTATGACTATGTTAACAAAAATTTATTTGTATGGTCTTCGCAGCCTAATGGGGAAGTTACCCGCAGTGGAGTATAGTAATACAGTTAAATGTATGTATGTATGTATGTATGTATGTACAATTAGTAACTAGTTATTTAATAGTATTACTAACATCGTATTGAGGTAGAGATCAGTATCAATAGAAATACATAAGTTATATAAGTTTTATAAGAATATTATATTGGAATATTAACTTCATTTAATGGTATTGGATATCAGGTGACCCCACACGTGTAGCCCCCGTGACTTTTCCCACTCTCCTTTAATCTCGACCATCTAGCAGGAAATGTACAAGTAGATCCTCCACTTTAACCCCAACTATAATTAATCAGGACTAATTGCAATTGCAGTCATGCCTGTACCTCCACCCAATGCCTATACCTCCGGTACGAAACTTACGGTAGGATCTCATAATATTTCCATAATTAAATATATATCAGAAGGAGGATTTGCTCACGTTTATACTTGTAATATTGATCCTCCATTTAAAGGATCAACTGTAGCATGTTTAAAGAGAGTTGAAGTACCAAACAAATGGCAATTACGATTACTTAGACAGGAAGTGGATTCCATGAGACGATTAAGAGAAAATCAACATATCGTATCATATATAGATTCTCATGCATCAAGATTAGGTAGTACAAGTACAAGTACTACTACTACTAAACCTAGTTCAACTGATCAGAGATATGAAGTATTCCTTTTAATGGAATATTGTGAAAACAATGGATTAATAGACTATATGAATACTCGATTAGTTAATAAACTTCAAGAACAGGAAATTTTAGATATAGCGTATCAAGTAATTATTGGAGTAGCTATGTGTCATCATTTAACTCCTCCATTACTTCATCGAGATATTAAAATTGAAAATGTTTTAATTGATAGTAAAGGAACTTATAAATTATGTGATTTTGGATCGGCTGTACCTTATATTCCAGCTCCAAGAACTCCTCAAGATGTTCAACAAGTAAGAGATGATATTATGCAACATACAACTCCACAATATCGAGCTCCAGAAATGATTGATTTAACTAAAGGTTTCCCTATCGATGATAAACTGGATATTTGGGCTCTTGGATGTTTTATTTATAAATTATGTTATTATACAACTCCATTTGAACTGCCAAAACAAACTAATTTACAAGATTTAGAAAATCTGATTTTAAATTGTAATCAAACTTTAAGATTTAATGATCAACCAGGTCTGATGTTTTCAAGAAGATTAAAGAATATCATTGCTTGTTGTTTAAGACCTGATCCAAGAAGAAGACCCAATGCTGTTCAATTATTAGGAGAAATTGCTTCAATGAAAGGTGATGTATTACCAAGTGTTATACCTTATAGTGTTAAAGAACAATTACTTCATATGAAAGCTACAGAAAGTGTTGAAAGTAGTAATAAATTATATGAAACATTCGATAGACCTAAAATGTCTAAATCAGCCGAAAATTTACATATTGCTGATCCATTTGCTTCTATTGATAAATCAAGTTTACTTACAACTGATAATAATAATAATAATAATAATAATAACAATGGACAAATCCGTACAAATATAAAGAACATTCCTAGACCTAGATCAACATTTATAACTGATTCAACATCTCGAACTAATGGGAATGGATTTATTAATAATCAAAATAATAATAAATCTACTTCTGCTCTTAAAGATTATGTTCAACGACAATTAGTTGATAATGATGAAAAACTTTCAAATCGGAAAAGTTTGGATGAAGATAATGGAACTTTAAAGTTTTTAAAATCTAAAGAAGAAGAAGCTAATAGATATAATCATAGAAATGATACTGGAGGTAGTTTTAAAGATATTTTAAGAAAAATTAGTACTGGAAATAGTATTAATGGATATCAAAGTGCTAATAATACTGGTAATAATGGTATTGGTAAAAAGAGTAAGATTTCTTCAATTAAGAAAATACTTACAGGGAATTCTCAACGGAAAGTTAGTCAAGATGATAGAAGTATTGAAATTACTCAAGTTCCCGTACAAAAGTTATCTATTCAAAGAAGAATGCAAGATTTATTAAATAATAGTGATGGTACAAGTTCTAATGTTCAAAAGACAGCTAAAGGTTATGGAAGATTTACTGATGATAAAGATTCTGAAGATATAGATGCTATTAATGCTTTACCAACATCTGATAAACATCATCATTATCATCATAAACATAAATCAATATCTCCTCCTGCAGTTCCCTTAAGTTTATCTAGTTCTTCGAATTCTCGAAGTATGGAAAAGATTAGGAAAGTTGTACCACCAATTGAAGGTAAACTGGCAGTTACTCAACTTCCAGTTACTAAACTTCCAGTTACTCAACTTGCAGTAACTAAACCTGTAGTAACTAAACCTTCAGTAACTAAACCTTCAATAATTTCTCCTATTAAAAAGGCTCAAACAGAGAAATTACCACCACCTAAACCTAAAAAGCCTAATTACTTAAAATCAGAAAATTCTAGAAGATTAAGTAATTCTAGTGATTTATCACTACCTGATTTGGATGATTTGGAAAAGCAATTCTCCAAGAGATTCCCTAGTTATGTTTAATTAATTAACTCACGAAATGTTTATTCATATAATCAAGTAAATAATTACAAATAATATTACAATTAGTAGACTAATACTAACTACTAACTACTGTTTATTTGTTAGTGTTAGTTACTACTATCACTACTTGAAAAATCTTCAATGGAGTCAAGGATAAAATCCATACCTTCATCGAATCTTTCATTAATTACATCAAATAATCCATCAACTGATGCCTTTATAACTCTACCGAATTTTCTTCTAGGTCTTTTACTACTATCATCATTTCCATTAACTTCAACATTTCCATTACCTAATCTACTTTGACCATTAGTTCCAATCCAAGCTGGATTTAAACATGAAGTAAATATAACCGAATTTTGATAATACCAATCAACCATGGTTTCATCCATAACTGGTAAAATTGGTTTTAATGATGAACGATTTAAATATACAACTGTACCTTTAACTAATTCTTTAATTTCTTGTGAAGGTCTTTTACCATAAAGATGAAGAATTGATTGATAAGATTCTCCAAATCCAACAAATACAATTTTCTTTAAATTTGTAAAATATGGGAAATAATTATCCCAAACATAAAGTAATAATTCTTGAGAAAATATAGTTGGATTATAATTTGAAGTTGAATTATTTGATGATGAACCTGATGGAATTGATAATGGATAAGACGGTATATTAATATCAATATAACCTAATTTTTCATCTTGACTTTGATTATCATTCTCCTTTTCCTTTTCCTTTTCCTTTTTAATTCGTTCTATTATTTGATATAAAGGATATTCTAATACAATTGAAGAGTTTGGTTCAGTATTACCATTAATTGGATTAATATTAGCCCATAATTCAGGAGGATCATGAATAGTTAATACTATAATAGATGCATCATAAATATCAGGACTAGCAATCATTATATCTTCTAAATGTGATGGTAAATCAGTAGTAAATAATCCATGTTTATCATTATTATCAATAGAATTATTAATTATTGGTAAATTAATAAATGAATAACGATGGAAAAGATCATTATATTGACCAGATCTAATAGGATCTCCAACATTAACAAGTTTATAAGTTTCAGAATTTCCATCCTTTAAATCATAAATATCATCAAATGAATTATGAGGAACTCCATGTTTTAAACAATTCCAATATTTAGATTGAATCTTTATAACTTCATCAATAATTTCAATGGTTTCTAAATGTGGTTGTTTTGATATAGTATCTTCTGGGGGTTCACCAACTAATACTTTAGCAACTCCTAAAGCACTTTTACTTGTTGATTCTAAATTATATCCACCTTCTAATATAACTGCTAATTTCCCCTTGGCAATACCTTTAAGCATATGAGTCATATAACCATAACCTGCTGGAGTTACATGACATGCACCAATAATATCTCCATCAGCTGCATCAAATCCTGAACTTACAATAATTAAATCTGGATTAAATTCATTAATTATTGGTAATATAACTTTATTAAATGCATAAATATAATCTCCATCATGCATTCCATGATTTCTCCAAGGTATATTACAATTAAATCCTTCACCATTACCTTCACCAATTTGATCTAAATTACCATATTTTGTTCCAGGATAAAATTTCCCATTATCATAAACATGAATTGAAATATATAAAACTCTTGGATCATTATAAAATGATTTTTGAGTACCATTACCATGATGAACATCCCAATCAACTATAACAATTTTACGAACAGATTCTGGATAACTTTTTAAAATATTTTTTGCAGCAACTGCAACATTACTAAATAAACAAAATCCTCCTGGAGTATCGGGTTCTGCATGATGACCTGGAGGTCTAACAACTGCAAGAGAATTTTTTACTTTACCTTCAATAACTGCTTTACATGCTTCAATAGTTCCACCACATGATAATTTTGCTGAATAATAAGAATCATTATTAACATAAATAGAATCTCCTTTATCAGTTTCTTCCATTAATTGATCTCTTGTCATTGTTTCGGTTGATTGAATATATTTTAAATGTTCTTCACTATGAACTTCTAAAATTTCTTCGGCTGTAGCTTCTCTTATAGGTATTTTAATCATTAATGGTCCAATTTCATCTATACCTGAAAGGGTTGGATCTTGAATTAATCCTGCTTCAGCTAATTTCTTGTAAATTCTATAAATTCTTCTAGGATCTTCAGGATGAGGATCAATATATTCAAAATATGATGTAAAAATTTTTGCATGATATCTCATTCGAACATCATATACTAATCCAGTTTTTAATGGACTATAAAATAAATGAGGTTTTGTTGGTGGTACTACTACAATCTTATTAGAAGTATTAATTAAGGGACTAACACGACCATTTGATACTGATAAGGAATTTTCATGAGTTTCTAATTTAATCTTCTTTAAATCCGGTTCTTCACTCGCGTGTATTGAATTCTCTTCATGATTATTATGGAGATTATCGTTATCGTTATCGTTATGATTATTATTATTAATATTATTATTATTTTGAGTTTTTGATTGTGATTGTGATTCCTCGGACTTAATTTCACTAGTACTAATTTCTGCCTGGGGAATCTCTGGTTCATTATCATTATCCATCTCGGCTTTCGTGAGATCCAGTTCGGCATTTGCAATGACGTTCAAATCAATTGAATTTGACTCAACTGGTTCAGATTCAGATGATTTTGAATGTGAGTCATCCTCATGACTTGTTCCATTTTCTTGTTCTAAATTATTATGGTTACTATTATTATTATTTGTGGTATTTGTATTATTATTACTACTAGTAGTATTATTATTAACTATGAGATTCTCAGTAGTTGAACCAGCCTTCTCATCTAATGAAGTCAGTAACTTCAGTTCTACACTGTTTTCTCCAGATTCTGACACTGACACAATGGTACTCTCCTCCGCAGACATTTTTCCAACTCTCTAACTAATCCAACAACAACTTCTATGAGTCCTTATGGATTATTATACTCCAGACAAGCTACTAATTATAGTGATAGTTCCAACACACTGAAAATAGATTTTTTTTCCAAGACACACAGACAGAAAAATAAAATAAATACGATAACAGAGACGACATAGCTAAATGCAGTGAGGGTGGGAGACATGCATGTCGTTGAAGCAGAGGATTGTCCGAGCGCTGCGCATACGTTGCCCGATTGGGTATTCAACCATTACGAACGTTCTTTTCTCCTTACATGAATTAAATAAATAGAATACTTAATTTCGAGGGTAAAGTCACGTGTGATTTCCCCCCGAAATAAACATATATAATATATATACTTTTCTACTTTTTTTACTTTTTTTCTTGTACATACTCACAGTGGTGTTGTTCCGTTGTTCAGGCAAGTGCTTTGAGGAATGATGTCAACATCGACTGTTTTACCGACATGCGACATACACAAATGACTTCGTGTTTATGCGAACTAATATAACCTAGACTGACCCCAATACTGTATTATTTACTACTTGTAACTTAGTACTCATTTCTTTATACTATAACTATTCCTGTATTATATTAACACACATATAACTATGTCATTGTTAATACCTCTGGCTCGTGATCGTGTAGATGCCCACGAAGATTTGGACCAAGATGACATCTACTTTCAAAAACTCCTAGAAGTAAGTGATAAACATAATTTTACATGGACATTCGAAACGGTTCCTGGATTTTTTGTCCAGGCCGATCCAGAAAAGGATGACTTATCATTCAGATATACTGAAGAAAACTTTGGTATTACTAAACCATGGTCGGAAATAATTAAAGAAATTGATAATTTAAATAAAAATTCCCTGGATAATATAGAATATAAAGTATTATTTTTAGCCAGACATGGTGAGGGATGGCATAATATAGCTACTGCTAAATATCTGAAACAAGATTGGTTTTCTAAATGGAGATATATTGGAACTGATGGAGAAATAGTTTGGGGACCAGATGCAAATTTAACAACTTTAGGTATAGATCAAGCATTAGAAAATAAACAAGCATGGAATCAACAAATTAAAAATGGTGCACCAATCCCATCAAAATTTTATGTATCACCATTACAAAGATCACTTCGAACATTACAATATACATGGGAACATCAACCTATACCTCGACCAGTTGTTGTTGAACATTTACGAGAAACTATTGGAGTACATCTTTGTCATGAAAGATCTAAAAAATCAGATATACAAAATCAATTCCCAATGGTTGACTTTGAAGAAAATTTCCCAGAACATGATGAATTGGCTAAACAATTCTCAACAAAAAGAGAAGAATTAAATGAACAATTCTTAAGAATTAATCGAGTATTACAAGATATTTTTACTAAGGATAAAGATCATCAATTTATTTCTATTACATCACATGCTGGAACAATTCGAGCATTCATAACTGTAATTGGTCATAGAAAATTTACTATACCAACAGGAGGTATGATACCTATAGTAGTTAAAGCTACTAAGACGTCCTAGTTTGGTAGCGCGCGACTTTTTTCTAATGAGATGATGTATAATTTTTTTTTACGATACATAAATATAGATATTTACATAGAGTTTACTATAGAACTTAACTACAACATAATAGAATAGAATACTTACTTATATACATACATACTCATACACGTATAGATAGAGAATGAGACAAAAAAGAGCTAAGTCATATAGAAAGCAAATGAATGTATACATTCATGCATTCAAATTCAGAGAACCATATCAAGCCATTGTTGATCATGAATTTATAATAGCTTGTGAAAAGGCCACTTACAATTTAAATCGAGGATTAAAGAATACTATTCAAGGAGAAGTAAAACCTATGATAACTCAATGTTGTATGCAAGCATTATATGATAATAAAGATCAACATATAATAGATGTAGCTAAAACATTTGAAAGACGTCGTTGTAATCATCGAGAAGCAATTAATCCATCAAAATGTATAGATTCAATTGTAGATATTAAAGGTGAAAATAAGCATAGATATATTGTGGCAACTCAAGATAAAGATTTAAGAAAAAAATTTAGAAATATTCCTGGTATACCATTAATATTTATGGATAAATCAGTAATGATTTTAGAACCATTATCAAGAGCAAGTGCAAAAAAATATGAAGATATGGAAGCAGGTAAATTAACTCAAGGATTAAATGATTATAAAAATGCTGGTTATATTAATAAGCAAGAAAATAATAATAATGAACCAGAAAAAACTTCAAAGAAAAGAAAAGGTCCTAAAGCCCCTAATCCATTAAGTATGAAGAAAAAGAAAACTAATCCTAATGCTAATCCAAATTCAGATGCAAACAAGTCTGAATCGGAGGGAGAAAAGAAGAAGAGAAGAAGAGCTCATAGGCCAAAGGATGCGTCTAAGAATGATGAATCAGAGGTTACAGAAACTGGTGCTAGTAGTACTAGTAAGTCAGAAGCAGTCACTATATAAGATCTCTATAGCATACACAACCAGCATCATGGATTAATACTTGTAATCTATATTTATATTTATATTTATATGTAATTATATATCTATTCTAAGCTTGCGCCAAATTCTCCTCTTCTTGTAAGACTTCAAAATCATTTCTAGCTACTTGTATAGGAGCAGGCAGAGGCGATTTTTCTGATTTCAATTTACTATCAACTTTTAAGATATAAGTAGCATCATCATCAATTAAACAAAGTTTACAATCAAAAGCTAATGATTTCATTCTTAATATATTCTTAAAAGATTTCATCAATAAGTATAATTGATTTTCATCAGTTGTGGTACAAGTCTTATAATTCTGTTCTGAATAAAATACAAAGGTTGAATCTTTAATCCATTGGAAAGTTGGTTTAACAATTCCTGATTGACTAACCACTTCACTAAGACCATCTTTCAAATCATCAATTACAATACCAAAGAAAACATCTTGAATAACAAGTGCATTAAATGTAGCAGCTTCAATTTCTGCTTGTTTTAATTCAGCTGCTTTATTTCTTTCTCTAATCATATCATCTCTCATTCTAATACATTCTTGAATGGTTAATAAAGGTAATTTTGTATTTCTAGTAATTACAATAAATGTTGAACGTTTAGGTTCTTCATCTTGAGATTCCAGATATAAATTATAAGTATCAGCTAATTCATGAATAAAAGATCTTTGAGGAGAACTCATAGGAGGGAAATGATGAGTTCTCTTAGGAGATTTAATATGATTATCAATTTGAACTTGATAATCTTCAATAAAAGTTCGAATTAAATTTTCAATTCTATTACACCATACACTTTGTCTAATATAAGTTGACATAACTGAATCAGGATATGGAATATCTTCATTCCAAACTTTTGGTAATTCATCTGAAACATCAAATGCTGAACGAAGTTCGGCATCTCGTTTTGCCCGTTCACATTCTTCTGTACATTCAATAATTGTCCCAATTACTGATTGTTCATCTAAACTAGCTCCACAAGGAATTTTTCTTTTAATTAATCCACATTCACAATTAACTTGAACAAGTTCAGGACATTTTCTAGCATCACATTTAATACTTTGACCTGGTTTATTTGCATGACAAATTAATTTACAAGAATGAGGACAATTAATTCTTCTCTTTTCACAAGGAGATTGACAAACGGTAGAACTATTATGAATATCATCAACTGTACATTTACTTGAACATACTCTTAAACATGCATGACCACAAGATTTAAGTTTTTTACAAGCTGTACCACATGATACATTTTCTTGAGAACAAAGTATACCTGGTAAATCTGATTTTAATCCACAATTACATTCCTTTTTAACTAATACAGTACATTTTGGACATGATACAGAATCTTCATGACATTCATGACGTTCTGGTCTATGACCACAAATTGGATGTCTAATACATTGTTCATGACATATAAGTTTAGTACCACATCTAATAGGAGGTTCAATAATAGTTTTACCACAATGACAAATTAATTCTTCATTAGTAGATTCTAAACATACTGGACATGGACCATTATGACATAATGCTTCACAATAATGTTTTCCACAAGGTTTTAATCTATTACATGTTTTAGTACAAATATGAACTGCTTCCATATTCATTACTTCATCATTAAAATTAGATCTAATATTATTTCTAATAGCTTTCTTCTTTTCTCGTTCTCTCTTTAATGCAATTTGTTCAAAAGCACAACATTGCTCACGATGATAATGTTTACGACAATTAAGTAATACCAGACATTTATGATCACATCTTGGTTTATAACCTTGTTGAATAAATTTACAAGGGACTGAGAATTCTCCATGACCACAAGGACATTTAATATCTAAAATATTAAAACATTCACAATCTCCAGGATGACATTTAAGTAAACATTTACATCCACAAGGTAATAATTTATTACATGGTCTATCACATTCAGGAATTGGATCAGTACATTTAGTTCTACCCTTAACATCCACTGGAGTTTGACCACAATAACAAGTAGAAATTTGAGATGGAGATAATTTACAAACTTTAATTGATTCAGGTAATGGTTGACAATCTAATTCTTCAAAATGAATATCACAATCATAATAAAGTATAGTCTTTTCTAAACATTGACCTGATCCAATCCATGATTTACCCTTATTATCATGACATTGTTTAGGATTAATTGTTGAACAATTTAATTCTATATTGTTCTTACCACAATAACATTGTAAGGATAATGATTCATTACAAGGTCCACATAATCCTGAATGACAACCTCTTTGACATGAATGACCAAGTAAACATATAGTTGTATCACATGGTTCATCACATTGCCAACCTTGTTCATAAGGAGTAATTAAACAAGGAAGTTGTCTTTGTTGTTTAGCACAATGACATTTCATTAATGGACCTAAAGCTCCACAAATTGGATGAGAACCAGGATGACATACTGAACTACAACCATGAATACAATCATTATATTGATAACTACAAGTATTTCCACAACTAAATGGTAAAAATGAATTAACTTCAGGATTAGTAACTTTACCACACCAACATTTAAATAATTTAGGTATTTCTTTAGTCGCAACATTACATGATGGACATCTCCATTCTTTACTAGTTTTATTAGTAGAAGACCCTCTAATTGCCCAATCATTAATACATTCTAAATCATAAACTCTATAACAATTAGCACATGACCATACTTGAGAGAATTGATCAATTTCTCCCGTACATACTAAACATGAATATGTTCCATCTTGAATTTCTTTAATAATAGTAGAAGATAAAGTATCATGTGATTGTTCTTCATCATCATATTCATCATAGTCATCCTCATCCTCATCGTCATCTTCTTCTCCAACTTCTTCTTCTTCTTCTTCTTCTGAGCTTTCATTGCTAAGCTCAGGAACTGGCATTTCTAAACCATTAATAGAGGGATGAAGTCTCTCGTTCCCTTCATGTTCGGAACCGGACTCATCATTATCACCGTTAGTATTAATTCCAGTATTAGTATCAGTTTTAGTATTAGGATTAGAATTATTACTATGAATTTCAGTAATTAACTCCGAACTATCACCAATATTTCGCTCTCTTTCGTCACTTTCGGATACCGGTAGTGCTTCTGGATCTCGTGCTTGTTCCATCTCAAGGAATATACTCCTTTAACTAACAGTTAGTATTTAATTTACAAGAAATAGGTGAATAATTAAATTTTTCACTTATTAGTCATTATTCAATTTGATTGCCTAAACGGGATAAACAGTGGTGCCGCACCATATGGGGCTCTTCCTCTCTTTTTTTGCACTCGCTCTTTTAAGTAATATAAACCTTAACAATTATTATTAAATACACACAAGATTAAACTAAACATAAACAATGAAGAATATATAAAAATAGATGATATTATAACATGAAAAACACATTTAAAATGCAAATTTAAAAAAAAAATCATAACTTAAATCTAACCGATTCTAACCGATTCTAACACTTCTTCTTTTAAAGAAATCCATAACTTTCTTTGCCGCACTTGAATCTCGAGATGTTTCGCGCGAAGATGTTGATGTTGAATGATTAGATTTTCTAGATTGGGTTGAAGAATTAGAATGAATTCTCTTTTGATCTTTAGGTGAAGGAGTATTACCAATATTAATATCATTAGATGGTTCTAATACTTTTTTAGAATTAGTTGATGAAGTAGGAGGAGTATTAAGTAATGATACATTAGATGAAGATGAATGATAAGTACTGTAGAATGATAATAAACTAAATCTATTCCGTTTCTTGGCCTCTTTAACTTCTCTATTTTCTTTATTAGATTCTCTTGCCTTAACGGGTGGACCTTGAGATTTAACTACTTCTTTTGGTGGTGTTGATGCTGATGATGGTGATTCTATTACAATTGGTGCTTGGGTTGGTACTGGTGCTGGTACTACAGCTGAAAGTGCTACTGATGCTTGTACATCATCAACTGTTTCCAGAGACTTTTCTTGAACCATTTGAACTGAATTATCTAAATCTTTTTGCTTTTCTGGAACTACTACAGAAACAATGGCTGGAATGGTTTGACCAATATCATTATCAATTTCCTTTTCAGTTTGATCTTTTGTTGGAGAACTTGTTTGAGTATCAAATGATGGTTTTTGATTAATTTGTGGAGTTACAGTAGTTGGCAATTGATCTGTTGTAAAATTAGTTTTAACTGGACTAATCAGTTCAGTTAATTCCAAAGTATCAATCTTATCTTCTAAATAACTTAAGACAGAATTTCTCTTATTATAATCAGGAGATTGCATAGAAGCTATAGTTTCATTACTTAACACGCCATTAACGTGAATATGAGTGACAACTGAATTTCTACGAGATGGATTTGAATTCTTTGGAGATTTACCTAATGGACTAATTGAATCAACATCACCTGAATCAGATTGAGGAATTGATTTAGTAGGAGATGAAGATAAAAATTGAGGAACTGGTAATCCATTGGGGATTTTAATATAATCTAATAACATTGAAGATCCAGAATTACTTGTCATTAAAGATGATGACATTGAAGATGGATGATAAGAAGTTGGTCTTGGTTTTTTAGTTGTATGAGGTAATCTATTAGAATCTCTTGATGAAGGATTTGATGGAGATAATACTGATGAAATTTGTTGAGAATTTAATGCAATAGTTGAATTAGATTCATCAGAATTATAAGTTTGTTTTATTGGACTTTCAACAATAGTAGAAATAGCAGTACCAGTATATGTATTTGATCTTTGAAGATTAACTGAATTAGCAAAATGAGGATGTTTTGAAGTAGTTGGAGGTGGAGTAAATATTGGTTGTTGAAGTGAATCAAATGATGATCTTGAATTATTTTCTTTAACAACAGCTTTAAGAGCAATACTTGCTGATGGATAAGAATTTGAAACTGATGCAGATTTTGTATGACCACGATTTGAAGATTTAGTTGGAGAAACTGATCTAATTGATGCAGTTGCAGCAGAATCTTCACCAGGACCATTTGAAGGTTCTTGTTTTGGTGATGCTACTGCATTAGCTAATGATGAAGAAATAGATGGTGATGAATATAATTGAGTAATACTTGTTGATGAATATGATCTACCATGAGTTCCAACAGTTGAAACTGATGATAAATCATTTGATATAATTAATGCAGATGAATTAGTTCTTTCATTTATCATTGAAAATCTCTTATTTTGATTTAATAATGAAGTTGAACTTGAATTTGATGGTAAAGAATTATTATTATTTGTAGTTGAAGGATTTGATTGATTTTTATGAATTTTATCCCATTCAGGTTGTCTTATAGATAATAAATTGGCATAAGGACTTAACCATGGATGATTTCTTATATCATTCATATTAATTCTCTTTTTAGGTTCTGGTACAATTATTTTTCTTAATAAATCTCTTGCTAATGGTGAAACATATTCAGGAAATGTTAAAGGAGTTTTACAAATATAATGATATAATCTTACAATATCTGAACCATCTTCATTTTCTGGATCATCATCAAATGGTAAATAACCTGATAACATTGCATATAATATAACTCCTAATGACCAAATATCAACTTTTCTACCTTCATAAGGTGATTGAGTTAAAACTAATTCTGGTGCTGCATAACATGGAGATCCACAACTAGTTTTCATATAATCATTTTTATCTTTATTATAAGAATTTACAAATCCAAAATCAGAAATTATAACATTCTTATGTTTATCTAATAATAAATTTTCTAATTTTAAATCACGATGAATTAAACCCTTTGAATGCATATAATCAACTCCACTAACTAATTGAGCAAATAATTTTTTAGCTACATTTTCTTTTAAATATTTATGATGTAAAATATAATCAAATAATTCACCACCTGAAGCATATTCTAATACAATTCCAATATATTTCCCACTTTTCATAACTTCTACAAGATTAACAATATTTGGATGATTTAATAATTTAAGAGAATTTATTTCTCGATGAATTTTAACTTCACTATCTGAATCTTTCATTATAGTTGATCTTTTAATTAATTTAATTGCAACTTGATTTGGTAATTTCCCATCTTTTCTCCAACCTAATTTGACTTTACCAAATTCTCCTTCTCCTAAAGTTGATCCTAGAATATAATTACCAAATCTTACTTCACGATGTACTCGTTTTACCATATTTGGATTCATAGTTGAAGATGAAGATTCTTGTATTTGAGTTTGAGTTTGTGCTTGTGTTTGTATTTGTGTTTGTTGTATTTGTTGTGCTTGAATTTGTCCTTGTCCTTGCCCTTGTATGGGTAAATCGTATGATGTATTGACTGAGCGAGGTATAGACGATGAATTTGAAATTGGATTAGAATTACTAGAAGGGGTGGTCATAGGAAGCACTGCTTCCTGAGATTGTATTATGACTGAAGACATGCTGATTGTAAAAGGAATGAATGATTTAAAGGAGTGAAAGTTGTCAAGTTGGAGGTGGTTGACTCACCGACTATTCGCAGTGTTTTTTTAGGTACTTTTCAATTTGCAACAGTAACTACTTTGTTCAAACTTGAGAAAATTTCAAATTTATGATAATGACAGGTTTCTGTCTGTGTCTGTCTGTCTGGTATATTATTGGTTGATACCACTTTATCAATATAAGAACAAGCCGATGTCTATATATTAAAGAAGAACAAGTGTCTGTAAATTGTGAAATTAGGTAACCAGTTACAGTCAAAATTATTTATTTACAGTTTTCAGTTCGGTTAATGTATTTTTTTTTTTTAAATTTTTTTTTTCTGTGTTTACATTTTGGAGACTTTAGCACGACTACCAACATTCTAGTCCAATTAGGAAATATCATAAACATATTGCCATTGCAACCAAGCGATGTGCTAGCCGGGTATGTGCGAGCTGCAGCCCATTATAATAGATTTGAACTTTGGTATGAAATGGAAATGGAATATGACATTAACATTAATATTAACAATTGAAATCATTACAATGTGTTGCATCACAACGGTATTGTCCTGTCGGAGTGTGTGATATGAGAGTGAGGGTGAGAGTGAGGGTAAAAGTGAAAGGGGTGGAGTGTGTGTATGAACAGGTAGTAGTTGTACATTGCACTTTGTTAATTATAGACTATAGACTATAAATTACGACAAGATTCGCATTTACTTTATCATCTCCCTACTACTACTTCGCAACCAACTTTAGTTGATCACATAATATTTAGTGATCTATATTTACATTTTTATAATTTATCTCCTCTCTTCCGACCCATTTTTTCCGAATACAGTAATTTCTAACGTAAATCAACCTAAAGCTGGAGAAATTTAAATTTTAAATATGTAAGGCACCTGTCATCGGACTGTCTTACTTCCTTTTGTTTTGGTTTCATTTTGTCTATTACATCTACCCCACTAAGGCTGGTTGATAACATATATCACCTCCTTTTTACTTTGTTGTGACCCTATCTCTTCATATGTATTTGTTATTTGATTGTTTCAATCATCTCCTCACATCTTTATGATTTGTTGGTTAATTCTCTCAATAACCACATCTCAAACCAGCCACCTATACTATTCATCATCTTTTACTTTACTTTTATTTTATTTTATATTATATTATTTTATTTCATTTCATTTCATGTGTATTATTTTTCCATCATGATTATTTTATTATCTGTGCAATTAATTACAATTACCTACGTATAATATAGCTTCTATCGCATTTCAATCTATCTATTTTCTTCTTATCTTTAATTATATTGTCCTAAATAATATTCGTATTATATGTGCGTTAATAATTCTACTTTGATCTACTCGATTCTGTGTTTACTAATATATGCCTTCATGTCGCATCATCTGGCTTTAACAAACATCAACTCTGTTTCATGTCAATAATTACATCAGATTCGTGCTCATCGAACACTTCTTTTATGCAAAGAACATCTTAACTCAAATCTTTACTTTTACGTGTCACTACATGGTCACAAAATGTGGTGACTGAATGTGGTAACTAAATGTGGTAATCTATTGTTTCAAAACCATTAATTACTACATGTGTGAAATGGATCAGATCGTTCTTTCGTGGGGTAATTCTTTTTTTTTTTGGGCTTATGGTTGTCAATTGCTGCTGTCGAATAAATACTTGTCATTTGTCTAAATGAGTGTCGCAAAAACCTCAAGTTCAATTTTTTTTGCGACAATCTGCTCTCCCCCAGTCTGGCCTGTATATACAAAATTGTAAACAAATAAACCAAAAAGATTAAATCGCGTCTCTCTATCATTACACGTACAAGTAGTACATTAGTTGGTAGTAATAGTAGTGTAGTAGTTATATATATACCAGGGCATATTATGAGTCAAGGAGATATACAGGAAGAGAATCATCATCTGTCACATTTGGAAGAAGATGATGATGAAATTGGAGGACCCTTATTAATAGAAAGATTAGAAGGTAATGGGATTTCATTAAGTGATATTAAAAAATTAAAGGCTGATGGTTTTCATACTATTGAAAGTATTGCTTATACTCCTAAAAGAAAACTTACTGAAGTTAAAGGTATAAGTGAAGCTAAAGCAGAAAAAATATCTCTTGAAGCAGCTAAATTAGTTCCTTTAGGATTTACAACTGCAAGTGAATTTCATTCAAGAAGATCAGAATTAATATGTCTTACAACTGGTTCAAAACAATTAGATACATTATTAGGTGGAGGAATTGAAACTGGTTCAATTACTGAAGTCTTTGGAGAATTCAGAACTGGTAAATCTCAATTATGTCATACTTTAGCTGTTACTTGTCAATTACCAATTGATATGGGAGGTGGTGAAGGTAAATGTCTTTATATTGATACTGAAGGTACTTTTAGACCTAATAGATTAGTATCAATTGCTCAAAGATATGGTCTTGTTCCTGGTGATTGTTTAGATAATGTTGCCTATGCAAGAGCTTATAATGCAGAACATCAATTACAATTACTTAGTCTTGCAGCTCAAATGATGGCTGAATCAAGATTTTCTCTTTTAATTGTCGATTCAATCATGTCTCTTTATAGAACAGATTATGCTGGAAGAGGTGAATTAAGTGCTAGACAAACTCATGTTGCTAAATTCATGAGAACTTTACAAAGGTTAGCTGATGAATTTGGTATTGCTGTGGTTATAACCAATCAAGTTGTAGCTCAAGTAGATGGAATGTCATCAATGTATAATCCAGATCCTAAAAAGCCAATTGGTGGTAATATTATTGCTCATAGTTCAACAACAAGATTATCATTTAAAAAGGGTAGAGCTGAAACTAGAATTTGTAAAATTTATGATAGTCCTTGCTTACCAGAAAGTGAATGTGTATTTGCTATTTATGAAGATGGTATTGGTGATCCTCGTGTTGAAGATGATAGTGAAAAATAATTTGTTTCTATACAATAACATATTCAGCATTTCCAGCATGCTGCTTTTGTTCCTGGAAATGGATACAGCAGCAATAATATCGGTAAAAAGTTCAGTTCTGCCCATTCTATGCTTATTACAGTAGCAAAGAAATATTACAGTATTTATATAACCATATTCATGTATCAATAAAATATATGTCCGCCCTTTGTTTATTAAATTCTGATATTTAAACATACATTTAAAAGACCAATTCAATATAGTTTATTTGTAAAAGTTACACTTCTATAAAATTCTAAATAAGCAACTATGACAAATGGTACTCATCAATAACGGAAACTGGTTCAACATATTTGCCTACGGGTTTGTATTCAACATCATTGAATCCAAAGGCTTTGGTACCTCCGATATCAAGTGCTTTTTGAGTACTGGTCCACTTGTCACTTGGAGAAATACCAAGAACAAAAACCATTAACCCATATTTATAATCTGGAGTTCCAACAGCTTCACCAGTATCAACTTCATTGACGGTAATTAAATCAGGAACTGAACAAACAATTTCTCCTGAATCATTTTTATCTTGTCTAATACTACAGTAAATATTTTCATTCTTAAATGGAATAACCATTTGACGCTTAGAAGGAGAATCTTCTTCTATAACAACTTCACCGTAAACATGACCCTTGTATAATTTCCTACTAACATCAATAATTTTACCTGTGAATAAATATTTACCAACTTGAGGACCACCTACTGAATCAATAATCCTAGAAGGTAAGTTCTCAATATCTAATTCTTGTTTAGCCAATGCGACAGCCTTTCCAATTCTCCAAGCTAATGATATTGATTTATGAACTGTGCCGGCAATGATTTGTGCTTCAGTCATTGGTGATGAAACTTTTCCAACATGAGTACCTAATTCAGTCAAAGAAACTCTAACAACTTTTTCTAATATAACACTACTTGCAGTTTCACTAATAATCATAGTATTACCATTACCATTACTGATAACGGCGGGACTATACTTGAAATTCTCTAAACATGCATTGGCTGTTGTTTGCCATAACGTTGGATAAGCTCTTCCCATTAAATCACAATCAACAACTGGAATATTCAATCTTGATGTTGCAGCAATTTCAAAAGCAGTAAACCCATTACCACCACCAATTTCCAATGGATAAACTAATTCAGGAGTTTTACCAATGAACTTGCTTAAAGAACGAGCAGCATGTACTAACTCTTCACTCTTTAATTGCTCAATTGCAACGGTTGGAGATCCAGCAAACCCTACCGGGATAATAGATCCTTCATCTTTAATGTAATTTTTGATATCTTTGATATCAATTACTTTTAAAATTTCCCCTTGTCTAACTAAGTGACGAATATCAAGGAAAGATGGATAAGGAGTACCACCCCCACCACAACCTAAAATGTAAGTACCAATTCTAAGAAATTCTAAATCGATTTCATTGATAATCCATTCTCTTTTGTCATTGACCGTGGGCTTATATTGGTTAATATCAATATTTTCAATTGAGAAATCTTCAGCAGCTTCAGTCACATCTTTTAATACTTCACCACCAGATTCGACTATGGTGCTCTTTGTAGCGTCATCGAAATTGAATGCTTTTTGAAGTTTTGAAAAGTCAACATCACCAACTACTTTGACATGAAATTCATAAGTATTTGGAACATAGGGAACAGGATCATGAGACAATTCAACAACTGTGATTGAAGATTTTAATGCACCTCTTTGAATTGCTTGACTTCTAGCTTCTTCTATACATTTCTCAAGGAAATCTTCCTTAGACATTGAATCAGGAGGTAATAACTTAATAGTATGAACTGATCCTGAGATCTTTGACATTGCAGCACCAATCGCATTAGCAACATTGTAAAAGGGAGGACGCAATACTTTCAGAGCTCCTTCAAGTGCATTTGGTACAATGAAAGAACCACCTCCAACTAATAATACTGGTAAAGGATCTGGTGAAGTTCTCATACGATCGATAACTTTCTCTAACTTATGGGTAACTTCTTTGGTAAAGTTTTCCATAATTGAATGGTCAAATGTTTTATCTACTAAGTTGAAATTACCAATTTTAACATCATCATAGATACTACCATTAAAAGCGATAGTTACATCAGTGGCAGTAACTGTGTCACCTCCACAGATGATAGATCTTTTGAGTATTTCATTACCAACACTATCAGGGCCAACAGATACTTCTTCATTTGAAATTCTAACAATAGACCCACCACCAAGACCGATACTTTCAACATGGGGCATGGAAAAGTTCATTCTTACTCCACCAACCAATGAATGAGAGGCAGCTTGTCTTGGAAATCCCGTGTGTAACAAAATACCTACATCAGTTGTAGTTCCACCAACATCAACTACAATAACCGAAGTATCTTTAAGCTCATCTTCACCCGCACATAAGAAAGAAGCCCCTCTCATAGAATTAGTTGCACCAGATGAAAAGGTACTAATTGGAATTCTCCTAGCAATATGGGAAGATAAAATTGTACCATCGTTTTGCGTTAATAATACCGGACAGGTAAGACCAATTCTTTGAACAGCAGCATTAAAAGATATAATTACTTTCTTAGCAAATCTTAAAATGGCAGCATTCAAAATAGCTGCGTTTTCACGTTCCAAAAATCCCAAGCCAGAAATTTCATACGATTTAACTATTGAAATATCAGGTAAAGCCTTTGCAATAATTTTTTCAACTTCGTCTTCATGATCATTGACCATTGGAGAAAATTGACCAACCAAGACAACTGATTTCAATCTCAATTCCTTAATCTTTTGGCAATGTTCTAAAACCTCAGCCTCATTGATGGGCTGTACCTCATCACCATGTACATAATGACCACCATCAAGGAAACCAATATATCCATTTAAAATACTTTTCAATCCAGAAGGAAAATCAGCAAACGGAGGCGTTGTTCTTGAATATGGACCACATAATCTTAAGACGGCAACCTTATCCAATCTAGCTTTATCCTTTTCAATAACAGCATTAATAAAATGTGTAGTACCAATGGTCACAGCCAAAATTTCTTCCTTTTTAACATTAGGAACTTGTTCAAATAATGATTTAATAGCTGATTCGATACCGTTAGATACATCCGAAGTAGTATTAGATTTATTCCAAGCTAATACACCACGGTTGCTTTCTTTACTTTTAGTAGGGTCTAATAAAACAGAATCTGTATTGGTTCCACCAACATCAATACCTATCAATAAACTCATGATAGTCGTTGATTATTTCTTAAAGATAACTTATTTAGATTAATTCAAATAAAAAATAATTATTAATCAATTAGGGAAATGATATTAGTTTAAAAAGGATTAATTTAAGTTCTATCAACCATTTTAGGTATCTGTCATTTGGTAAGGAATGATTGTTGATCTCTCCATCAGGGAGGGACAATGGAAAATTATATTGTTGTATTAGTAATAAATCAACTCATTTTTCATCTATATACTGGTGGAGAACTCCCGCATTTTGGCTGTTAAATATTTTTGTGTAAAAGCTTATCGCGGCAATTACCCAATAGAGAATTGTATTTACGGTTGCACAATTATTTTTCTGGTGGAGAGGTACCAAATTCGTTTACACTTTTCTGTTTTCTGTTGATAACAAATAGCGGAATTTATGTCTCTTAATATCGTGGTTATACATCCACAGATTATTCTTTTTACTTGAAATAAAGGTGATTATAGATACAGTGGCTCTGATTATAAATTAATTATACATATATATATAGTTTTATATTTCAGGTTCTTATTTCAAAATTTTGTATTTATAGGCTCTGATTAAAATATATAGTTAAAAATAAATTTTGTAATTACTAAACCATTAATAAATATGGCGATTGTTAAATGGCTTCAGGTTAGACCTGAAGGCGAAATAGGTACAGTTGATTTCTTAAGAAATAAAGATTTAATTCCTATGGGTCCTCATAGACGTTTATGGGGGTTTTTCTCATTTGTGAGTTATTGGGCAGTTTCTGAATGTTGTATTTCAACGTGGTCAGGTGCTGCTTCATTGTTATCTATTGGTTTAAATGTGGGAGAAACTATGGGTATAGTTTTAGTCGGAAATTGTATTATTGCATCATTAGCAATCTTCAATTCCGCTCCAGGATATTATTACCATGTTGGATTTACCGTTTCGCAAAGGCTTATTTTCGGTATTAAAGGAAGTTATTTTGGAATCGCAATCAGAACAATTTTAAGTATTGTGTGGTATGCCAGTCAAGCATGGATGGGTGGATTATGTTTGGGTCTAATTTTTAGTTCATGGTCAGAAAGCTACTTGAATATGAAAAATACTTTCCCAGCTTCTGTTAATATGTCTACTAGAGATTTAATTTCTTTCTTAATTTTTCAATTAATTTCCATTCCATTATTATGCGTGAAACCAGAGAAATTAAGTCCATTACTTAAATTCTCATCTGCAGCTACATTTTTTGGAATGCTTGGTACATTTATTTGGCTGATCAGCCACAATGGAGGTGTCGGTCCATTATTCTCGGCAAAATCAACTTTTAGTTCTAGATCAGACCATGCTTGGGCATGGATTTATGGTATAACTTCATGGTATGGATCTTTATCGGCTGGTGTTACAAATCAATGCGATTTCACAAGATTTTCAAGAACTAAATGGATTAGTATTGCACCAACTGTTGTTGGTGTTGTCGCTTTAGGTACAATTGTACCATTATTTGGTATTTTTTCTGCTTCAGCTACTACTGAATTATACGGTGAAGCTATTTGGATGCCAAATAAAATTGCCGAGCAATGGTTAATTGATGATTACAGTCCAAAATCAAGAGCTGGAGCTTTCTTTGCTGGAATTTGTTTTCTTGCATCCCAACTTGCATTAAATTTAATTGGTAATGGTATGGCTGGTGGTATGGATATGGCTGGTTTATTTCCAAAATACATTAATATTAGGAGAGGTGCTATTATAACTTCATTACTTTCTTGGGTCATCCAACCATGGTTATTCTATAATACTTCATCCACTTTTGTTACTGTTATGTCATCTTTTTCTGTTTTCATGTCGCCAATTATTGGAATTCTTGTGTCTGAATTCTGGGTAGTGAGAAAGACAAAATTAAAACTTTCTGATTTATACACTTTCAATCCAGATGGTAATTTTTGGTATTGGAAAGGGGTTAATATTAAAACATTTGTTGTATTTTTTATCGCTTCTACTCCAGGCCTTCCTGGTTTAATTCATGGAGCTAATCCTTCAATTTCAATGAGTACTGGTATACTTAATTATTATCAAGGTAATTGTATGTTTGGATTTGCAATTGCTTTTAGTTTAAATGTTGCTGCAAATTATGTATTCCCTCCTAAGAATATATTTGACATGGATACTGCAGATAAGTTTGACACATACACTGCTGAAGAATGTTCCCAATTGGGACTTACACCATACTCTGAAATAACTCCAGAAAGTGATACTGATATACTGTATGAAAATTTGGTTGTTACTGAAAAGAATATTGTTAAAGAAGAAGTTTAGTTAGGTTATAAAGTCTAATAAGAATTCTAATAGATCGTTTATTTTCTACTCCTTATCATTTAATTATATGTACTATTTTCTTGCTCTCTTTTACTCATCCTTCATATAGAACTGACTGTTTTCTTAAGTATATTTAGGTATTTTGCAGCATTTGTATATATTTTACGCAAAGCTGGAGCAGATTGAAACTTTGATGAGGATTTATGTAACCTGTAGATCAAGATTACCGAAATACGAACACTCCTTTTTATGCATCTGTTCCTCATCCGAAAACATGGGCAAGTTTGACGCTGTGGTACTAGCTTAATTGTGTTGTGTATAGTATAAGGTAATGTTAATAGTGCAGCTCCGAATGGTACCGCTTATATATACCTAATATGTATTCAACATAACTAACAAAACGAGACACTATATACTCTAAATCGATTAAGATATTCTCTGTCTCTTGGATTTCGGCATCATTGAATATCTACCCCCTTGTATGACATCAGGAGCTAGCTGTTCCACTTCACATGCCTTGTATAATCGTATGACATCTTGATCTTGTTCTATCTTATTTGAATTGAAATCCTTTAATCTAGTCGGACTCGGCAATCCAAAATCGATGGTGTAAGCATCCTCATCCTTTTGCGAATAAAAGAACTTCTCTACATGAATTTTGTCAAGGAATTCCAGGCTCTTCTTAAAAAGATCGGGTTCTGACAATGACAAAGTGTCGTTGTCTTTATACCCTATAAGTAAATAAAAACCCTGGAACTGAGTAACTTCCTGCCATTCACAATATCCAAATTGATACAATCGAGGAATGTAATTCTTTTGTCCCAGATTCTTTCCACTGTGGCGTACATCCAACGCTCTATATGCCCTTACTTCAAGTAAAAACATACTTAAAGCAAATCCATATGCACTGAGAAAGGCACGACGAGGTAATATACCTCGCGACGGACTGCGTGACGGATTGTACACCTTCAAAACCAATCGCTTTTTCAAATCGATATTTACACTTTCGGTGATGCATTCCACTACACCAACTTGACAGAAGTATTTGTTCTCTATTTTAACTTCTGGCCTGATATTCGACTGCAAAATATTGAAATCCTTCTCATTGAGTTTAGAACTATATCTGAGAGTCTTTTTTGCCTCATAACAATCCTTTGGTATATTAAGGTAACGATACTGGTTGTGCATATATGCCTTTTTACCCTGTAGCGAGTAGTTATTGAAAGTTGATTCCCATTCCTGTCTCACGAAATCAATTTGCCACTTTCTATTCCTTTCTTTATCTTCTTCGGTCATTTCTAACATTTTGAATAGTTCTTCTAATTTACTTTCATCGTTTCGAGAAACACTTGAAAAATATTGTTTACATAATGCAACCATGAAGGCTTTGACGTTAAATTTCGACTCGAATAAATTGAAGCAATCCATACGGCACTTTAACTGGTATACAGCCCCGTCAATATTATTTTCTCGGTTATATTCAGCATCCTTATCGATTTCTATTATAAGCACACAATACCGGTCTATAGCAAACCCTAATCGTGACTTAAAAGTAATCATCTGATACACTACCTGGTTGAACAAGTCAAGGAAAGTTGTGTTATTTCTTTCATCGTTTCTTTGTTGGAACGCTTTCAATATCCCTGTTGGCTTAATCTCCACTGGTACCTGAAACCGATTATCATCTTTTTCAATAATTAATGCGAAGTCTGCTCTTACCTTAGAAAATACGTAATATTGCAGTGTAGGCCCTTTACTTGGCACCAAACTAGTCACTGGAAATAAAGTGTAGCTTTTCACCATATCTGAAACTATCGCTTCATTTATGTACGTGACTTCGTCTTCAAACCGCATCTTAGGGCTAACTTTCAATAAAAATTGAAAATCAATTATGAGATACCTGAAAATACCATTTATAAATTCCTCATCAAAGTTTTCCACAGGCAGTGGATTGATTTGGAAATGTGTATTGAAGATCGTTGCTTTATTGGTATATTTTGATATTGAACGTACCAGAGCTGATGCTGATACATTTTTGTCATTTTCGGACAATAGTGGTACAGGAAGTGACAAAATAATTGCTGTTTTAAACAAATTCAATACCATGTTCTCCAAAGTCATCTTCCTTTTATATTCAAGTTGCTTCCCTGTTTCATCCAACAATTTAGATGTCCCTAGTTTCAAAAACAGGTAGATAGAATCAAGATCCTTTCGATATTGCAAGCTGGCAACATAATCCCTGTCTAACTTGGAGCTTGGATTCTTCGAGGAAATGACATGATAGTTCGATGCCACGAATGCCATCCTCATTCTGTTACTTTTCAATTTGGAAGCAGCGTCAGTTTCTTTTGGTAATGTTTCAATGAACTGTGACCACGAATTATTTAGGTCTTTTTCTTGTTCGTTGTCTCCAAAAAAGTTGTAATTCCGTGTATTGAGTAAATGATCAATAACAAACCTTGTAGATTTTTGTATTCTTTCTAAATCGATGTAATATTCCGCTGTCTCTTCTTTGGAATCTATGTCAAGCAACTCATCGTCACTTTCAACCTTTTCAGTCTTTCTGGAACTTCCGACAACTACTTTTTCTGAACTGACTACCGCTGTCTTCTGTGGTGGTGATGCTTGTTGGCTCATATCTATTATCAGGCTGTTTCTCCTAGATGTTATTGTACTGAATATAGTATAATATTTGGTCAAAATTGTGCAGAATATACTACCTGTTATAGACCTCTTGCATCTGAATATCAGAAACTATTTTTTAATGGGCTTTAAAATCCGTGCTATAACTGTAACACAATAGTTCAAGCACCTTGTTGTGCATGCATTTGCATATCTGAATCGGTGTAATTGCATGCAGTTTTGTCTAGAGATTCCAAGTCCTTTTTAATGAGTTTTGATTAGAGTTGAATAGTTGTTTTATACGATCCTTACCATTTAATTACTTATTTCTATTTTCTATATTTTAATAATAATTCTGATACCTCTCTAGTATCCCATTTAAAGTTTTAGTTAACTCACTAGTATATTTCCATTTAATTTGTTTTAAATAAATTAAACCATATGCCACTATTCCGATTACTAATTGTTGACGTTTCCAAAATGCTTCTGCCGCATCTGTTAATTCTACTGATTCATCAAGAATTAATGAAATATATTCCATTGAATCTTTCCGTGACATTTGTTCATCAAGCACATCATTTGGCTTCATAGTATATTTGAAATATGATAATTCAAATGGGCCACGCTTTTGTAATCCATCAGGACAATCTCTCTTTATCTCAAAACTCCATATCACTAAACATGATATAAATAATGTCCAAGGAATATGAGGAATTGAAGATATTACAGAACTATCACTACTCAATAAAATTCTTATGAAACTTGAAGCAGCATTAACAGATTGTATTCCATTATTAGACCGAGCCCATGACTCAATTAACTGATGGTTTCTACTGGATCCAAACTTAAATGGATCCAACTCATTGGAAATGAGATAATCATTGGCAAATTTAACTATTGAAGCAGTATCTGCATATAAAGAAATTAAAGCTAATTGAAATGATGTTATATTAGCCCAAAATATTCTTGTAAGGCCATAATCATTTAATGTAACAGTTGAATTCAATTTTCGACTATTACCTGTTGCATAATCATTGGCATTGGCAATGTGTAAATTAAGATATCCTCTCCAATTAGTAAAGGCTCGTTGTAATTTCCCCGATAAATCATTTAATTTCTTCTTTGATACTATACCTAAATCAAATAAACCTCTCCATCTCATATCCCAGCAAATACTAATAAGACCGTGCAAGATTATAAATCGTGAGAATTGTGAATAACAATCCATTGAATATTCTTTTTGATCTTCTTTATACAGTAGCATCATTGATCTCATACTCCATAAAAAGCTCGGCCATTCTCCACCTGATTTAGCCAGTTGCATCGAAGGCCCACTTGCAACTACTTGCTTATTTATTTCATCAGATTCAAGCTTTAATTTAGGCCTTAAAAATAATAATCCATGAGGCTGTCTGAAGTACTCAGCTTGAAACTTTTCAGCATCATTAGCATTCCAAACAGCATCCGTACATGGCAAATCAATTTTTAAAGCAAAAGCAGATAAAGCCTGATGTTTAAATAAAGTTCCATGTTGGGAATCACAAATGAATGCAAAATAGGCAGTTCTCTTACAAGTCTCATAATGAATCCAAGTATGCCATTGTTCAATTGCTTTATTATTTTGATATGAATCTTCAAATTTAATTATAGTTGGTTCTTTTAATTCATCAAAGTATCCTGTAAACCGTAAGAAGTTAACATTTGTACCATGAAATAGTTGTGCCATTTCATAAGTTAGTTTATCTCCATAATATTTACACATAAAATTATGAAATAGTAAAGCTTGCATTAATGATAATGGTAATACAACTTTATCACCAACTGCATCAAATATTAGCCTTCTATATACTTTTGCCATTTGAACAGAGATTTCATATTCGTCTTGAATCGGTGAATGTGCCATACCTATATTGATCATAATCGTTATTAAATAAAGGTCAGTTTCATCCGGTTCAAAAGTTGAATAATGAAGAAGTGGGAAAATTGGATTAAAATGTTCCCAGTATAAATCCAAAAAATAATTAAGTCTCTTTGTTGAAAATTTTTGGAATTCTACCATTTTTAATAAATTAAAAATCTCTTCATGTTTAACTTTATTTAAACGTTTCTTCTCTGAATTATCATTAGATCCATTATGAACTGATCTATCGGTTGATTTATAATTACTAGTAGGTTCAGCTAAATCAGGTGTACTCGAAAATGATGTCTCAAAGTCTTCCAATTGATCTTCAAAGAGCCATAAATAATTTCCAACCGAATTTGAAGGTAAATCATTATCTATTCTTGATTCTGGTGTGGGGATATAATTACTTTCGCATAATTCAAAACTAGAAAATGGTTCCTGAACCTTTAATCTCTTAACATCACCCATTTCTTCATGTCTGACAAATAAATCGAGTTTCTTCTTTCTGTGGGTTTTAGAATTGTAATGCTTTTCAAGTAAATCACTTCGAGTGAAGCTTTGATTACATTGCAGACATCCATATGGTCGAGTATTTGTATGGTTAACTTGATGTCTAATTAAGTAGTCCTTTCTAGAAAACGATTTTCCACAATTTTCATGTGAACATATATACTGACCAGTTTCCATTCTTATTTACATTAATCCCTATAATTTAATAATGTTATATTACTTGGTGTAATTACCATTTGGATAGTTATTTTTCAATAAAAGCCGGCTTATGTAATCACCGTAGATAACAAATCTATGCATATACGAATCGGTATTATTTAATGAGTTCGGTGATTAAATTGTTTTAAGTTGGTGTTCACACCAAAGCCACATAGAGAGATTGAATATTCTACTGATAATTCTCTAATGGTCTGGTTTATAAAATTAATAGTACAAACAAAAATGATATGACCCACAGCTAAATTGTACTAATGCACTATTTACATCAATGAGCATGGGTTGTCATAAATAGTCGAACTATAAAGAAATAGAACAAATGAGAATGGAATGTTATGCACATGAAAAATTTATGCCTAAACCAATAGTATTATTGTATAAAATATTCTTGTTATTCATCAGAAACCAAAAACCATTATTGTGATAAAAATTTACTACTCAAAGGCTCTAATATATCGGCTGTTTTCGGGACCATAGCTTTGTAGTATAAATGAAGAAAAAAGCTTAAATCAGAAAACAATAGAATGTATAGATCAACATAAATATGAAAGTATAACGTATCTTTGTCAAGAAAGTTTGGTGCATACGAGTCATGCGAACATAATTTCGGCTAGCAGTAAATATATATCAAAGCTGTAACAACAAATTCAGGTGCTGAGTCATTCAAAAGAGACATAGAAATGAAACTGAAATTGAATTTGAATCTCGGTGGGGGATAGAGGATAAAATAATATAGAAACTTCGAAACTACGAAAACGAAACTATGCAACTAACTAATACTATATACAAGAATGTAATAAAATAATGTAATAATTGCCTCATTAAGCAATGCACTTCCGTCTTTGGAATGGAATAATGCGTTTTGTGAATCATCCTTAAAAATTATCTAAACGATCAGTAACATTAAAAGTAGTTTTATGGTCGTGGATGGGGATGAGCCGCACAGGCATGAAAATTTTTATCTTTTTCATCAGTTATTGAGCTTGACGCACGACTTCCCACCTATAGCTTTGTCTTTTACTTTTTCCTTCGAGTTTAATAACTATAATTCCTAATTTAGTAGACTTTATATTCTAACCACTTATATTTTATATTATCTAGTTTGGTAATTTTACTGTTGTTCACTTTGGTGTGATTACATTCAAGTAATTTATAGAAGTAGCTAAAAAATTCACTCGACAGTCCCCGCGGAATTAATTAATTAAACATCAGGGTCTGGACCATTAATTATATAATATAGTAATTCTTTTAGACTTTAACTTTTATGAACTAGTTAAGTGGTCTCATTCATTATAGTTCCTGTTCCAAAAGAGTAGAACTCCCTATCATCAATATAATTATTTATAATTGATACCCTATATCAATCATGGAGAAATCGAAAATGAAATCGATTCTACCTAAACCTTCACCTATCCCAGCACAAACTCCATCTCCTGGTATATCAAATATAGGTACTCCTAATGGTAGAAGAAAGACAAAGTCTTCTATTTCAGGCAGTTCTAATATCAATATGGTTGGTAGCAATATCAATGTTGGAGGAGATTCTAAACGTCAAAAGAAATCAATATCAGAAGTTGTTTCTAATCCAGATCGCTCCAAGCAATCTGGTCATAGACCTGTAACTTCATGTACATTTTGTCGTCAACATAAAATCAAATGTAATGCATCAGATAATTATCCAAGTCCATGTCAACGATGTGATAAGATGGGTTTAAAATGTGAAATAGATCCTGAATTTAGACCCAAAAAGGGATCACAAATTCAATCTCTTAAAAGTGATGTAGATGAATTAAAAGCAAAGATTGAAATGCTTACTAAAAATGAATCATTATTAACTCAAGCTTTAAATCAACATAACTTAAATTATTTACAACAACAGCTGCAACCTCAATCACAATCAATTAATCAATATCCTATTCATACAAGTTCAATTACTTCCGGTACACCCCGAGCTTTATCAACAAATGATATGATGTCACCGGTAAATTTCAGATTTGATCAATCACCTCAATCATTCTCGGCAGCTTACAATTTGTCACCAGGATCTCAATTGAATGATTCGGTTAGTAATACACAATTAGGTAGAAGTCTGTTACCTCATATATTACAAGAAAATTCAGATAATTCTCCTATATCTAATCAAAATACTCCTAATATTAAATCTAATGAATTTGAAATTAAAGAAATGTCTGAATTTATCCTTGGAGATGTTAAATTACCTTTACAAAAGGCTGATGAATTACATGAAACTTTTATGACTAAAAGATTACCATTTTTACCTATAATTACTTCCAAATCTGCAACAGAATTATATCATAGATCTCAATTATTATTCTGGGCAGTAATCTTAACGGCTTCTCTATCTGAACCAGAACCAACTCTTTATATGTCTTTAGCATCCCTTATCAAACAATTGGCTATTGAAACTTGTTGGATACGAACTCCAAGATCTACTCATGTTATTCAAGCTCTTATAATTCTTTCTATCTGGCCATTACCTAATGAGAAAGTTTTAGATGATTGTTCTTATCGTTTCATAGGGTTAGCTAAAAATTTATCATTACAACTTGGATTACATAGAGGTGGTAAATTCATTCAAGAATTTACTAGAACTCAAGTTAGTCTTGGACCTGATGCTGAAAAATGGAGAACAAGATCTTGGTTAGCAGTTTTCTTTTGTGAACAATTTTGGTCATCTACTTTAGGATTACCTCCATCTATTAATACTACTGATTATTTATTAGAAAATGCTCGAGTTGATCAATCATTACCAAAAGATTTTAGATGTTTAATTTCATTAGCTATTTTCCAATGTAAATTAGTTAATGTAATGGGAATATCTGTTACAAGACCAGATGGATTATTGGAACCTCTGAATAGAGCTGCTTCATTAAATATTTTGGATCGAGAATTAGAACGATTAAAATTTAAATTAAATATAGTAGAAGGTTCAGCTATTGAAGTCTATTATCATTATATTAAATTAATGATTTGTGTTTTTGCTTTCTTACCAGGTACTCCAATTGAAGATCAAGTTAAATATGTTAGTTCATCATATTTATCAGCTACTAGAATTGTTACTATTACATCACAAATGATTAATAATAATATTCTGCTTATTGAATTACCTATTTATGTTAGACAATCATTAAGTTATTCAGTATTATTATTATTCAAATTACATTTGTCTAAATATTTATTAGATAAATATGTTGATAGTTCAAGACAATCTATTGTAACTGTTCATAGATTGTTTAGAAATACTTTATCTTCTTGGAAAGATTTACAAAATGATATTTCAAGGAATGCAAAAGTATTGGAAAATCTTAATATTGTTTTGTATACATATCCTGATATTCTTATAAATGATGATTCAGATGCTGGAGGTAGTATTATTAGTCGAATGAGATCTCATTTAACTGCTTCATTGTTTTATGATTTAGTTTGGTGTGTTCATGAAGCAAGAAGAAGGACCTTATTGGATAAGAATAAGTCCACCACTGCTAGTAAACCAAATTTGGAAGATAGTTTTGGTGGTAGAAGACCTGCTCCATTACCATTTTATAATCAAATTACCAAAGATGATTTTAAAACCATGACAACAATAACTCCTAATGGTACTACAATTACTACTTTAATTCCTACAGATCAAGCTTTATCTCAAGCCAAGCTGAATGCTGCCACTATGAATAAACCATTGGAGATCAATGGTATACCACTTTCCATGTTGGAAGCTACTGGAAGTATTAATGATAATTTACTCAAACGGGAAGTAGGATCTCCTACTCCAAAGCCAGAAGAATCCATTCAACCACCTACAGAAAGACTACCTCCAAAAGTAAGAGCTCCACTGTTACAATCTCAAACACAACCTCAATCTCAAATACAAGTCCAATCTCAAGCACCTATTCAACAATTACCTCCACCTCATATAAATCAATTCACTCCTCAAATATCGCAAAACCAATCATTCGCACCTTTACATCAACTACAATCTCAATCTCAATCTCAATCTCAAACCCAACAACCTCCAAAAATCGATCAACCAATGTTCCTCCCTGGTTCTGATCAAATACATCTACAACAAAATATTCCACCTACACCAATTCCATTTATTACTGGTCCAAATGCTGATGGTAATATAGTGGCTGATCAATTAGATAACTTCTTTCAGCAACAATCTAATGGCTGGATAAATAATGACAACATTCAAGACGATGACTTTTTAGGTTGGTTTGATTATAATTTAAATCCCGATCGTTAAATCCCTTTTTATTATATAGATGTATATAATTCATGTACTAATAATTATTAACTTAAAATTAACCTACGCACATCCATGCCTCAATCTTTCTTTTCTCTACTGCTTAATATAGGTGAAAAATCCACGCATTTAGATATATATACTTCTTCTGTTGGCTTAGTACGGAAACAAAGACTAAATACACTCTAATTTTGTATATTATGCCTAAATTTTTTTTTTTTGCAATCACCTGTATATAGTTATGCGTCGTGTTTTATGCAGTATTTGACTGGTTTTGCGCTGGTATACACACATGTATTCAAAATAACTAACAAATCAAGATACTACTATATACTCTAAATCGATTAAGATATTCTCTGTTTTTTTGAATTCGGCTTCTTTGTTTCCTCCTTCTTTGTTTCCTCCTTCTTTGATTTACGGTCTTTTACGACATCTTGAGCAAGCTTTTCAGCGTGACATGCCTTACCTAATTTTAGGATTTCTTTATATACTAGGTCGTCTGTCTGTTGTGAATTGAAATCACTTAATTTAGTCGGACGCAGCAATCCAAAATCAATGAAGTAAACAACATCATCTTCTTTTGAATAAAAGAAGTTCCCTTGGTGGATGTCTCCGTGTAGAAACCCTTTTTGATGAATTATGTCAAGGGATTCCAAGCTCTTCTTAAAAAGAACGGGTGCTGACAATGACAGAGTGTGGTTGTCTTTATACTCTATAAGTAAATAAAAACCCTGGAACTGACTATATCCCTTCCATTCACAATATCCAAATTGATACAATCGAGGAATGTAATTCTTTTGTCCCAGATTCTTTCCACTGCGGCGTACTCCCAACGCTCTATATGCCCTTACTTCAAGTAAAAACATACTTAGAGCAAATTCATATGCACTGAGAAAGGCACGACGAGGTAATATACCTCGCGACGGACTGCGTGACGGATTGTACACCTTCAAAACCAATCGCTTTTTCAAATCGATATTTACACTTTTGGTGATGCATTTCACTACACCAACTTGAGAGAAGTATTTGTTCTCTATTTTAACTTCTGGCCTGATATTCGACTGCACAATATTGAAATCCTTCTCATTGAGTTTAGAACTATATCTGAGAGTCCTTTTTGCCTCATAACAATCCTTTGGTATACTAAGGCAACGATACTGGTTGTGCACATATTCTTTACCCTGTAGCGAGTAGTTACTGAAAGTTGATGCCCATTCCTGTCTCACGAATCCAACTTGCCATTCTCTATTCCTTTCTTTATCTTCTTCGGTCATTTCCAACGTTTTGAATAGTTCTTCTAATTTACTTTCATCGTTTCGAGAAACACTTGAAAAATATTGTTTACATAATGCAACCATGAAGGCTTTGACGTTAAATTTCGACTCGAATAAATTGAAGCAATCCATACGGCACTTTAACTGGTATACAGCCCCGTCAATATTATTTTCTCGGTTATATTCAGCATCCTTATCGATTTCTATTATAAGCACACAATACCGGTCTATAGCAAACCCTAATCGTGACTTAAAAGTAATCATCTGATACACTACCTGGTTGAACAAGTCAAGGAAAGTTGTGTTATTTCTTTCATCGTTTCTTTGTTGGAACGCTTTCAATATCCCTGTTGGCTTAATCTCCACTGGTACCTGAAACCATTTATCATCTTTTTCAATGATTAATGCGAAGTCTGTTCTTACTTTAGAAAACACACTATGTTGCGGTAGAGGTTCTTCACTTGGCACCAAACTAGTCACTGGAAATAAAGTGTAAATTCTCACGATATCTGAAACTATCGATTCATTTATATAGTCGAATTTAAATCCATTCGATTGCAAAACAGGTGTAACTGTCAATAAAAATTCAAAATCAATTATGAGATTTCTGAAAATACCATTTATAAATTCCTCATCAAAGTTTTCCACAGGCAGTGGATTGATTTGGAAATACGTATCAAAGATTGTTGCTCTACTGACATAATTTGTTACTAAACGTAGCAGCTGAGCTGATGCTGTTATTCCTTGATTTATGTCATTTTCTGACTGCTCCAGCTCCCTTTCAGGGGCATCCAATAGTGGTACAGGAAGTGACAAAATAATTGCTATTTTAAACAAATTCAATACCATGTTCTCCAAAGTCGTCTGCTCTTCATCTTCAAGTTGCTTCCCTGTTTCATCCAACAATTTAGATGTCCCTAGTTTCAAAAACAGGTAGATAGAATCAAGATCCTTTCGATATTGCAAGCTGGCAACATAATCCTTGTCTAACTTGGAGCTTGGATTCTTCGAGGAAATGACATGATAGTTCGCTGCCACGAATGCCATCTTCATTCTGTTCCTTTTCAATTTGGAAGCAGCGTCAGTTTCTTTTGGTAATGTTTCAATGAACTGTGACCATGAATTGTTTAGTTCTTCTTCTTGTTCCTTGTCTCCAAAAAAGTTGTAATCTGGTGTATTGAATAAACGATCAATAACAAATCTTGTAGACTTTTGAATTGTATCTAAATCGATGTAAGAAGCCGCTGACGTTTTAGCCCTTTGGCGAAGTCTCTTAGAAATATCAACATCATTCTCAATCCTTTCAGTCTTTCTAGAACTTCCGACAACTACTTTTTCTGAACTGACTACCGCTGTCTTCTGTGGTGATGATGCTTGTTGGCTCATATCGGGCTGCTTCTCTTAAATGTTGTTGTGCTGAATATAGAATAATATTTGGTCAAATTGCTGAAAAACTAGAATATTCCGCCTCTTATATATTTCTTGCATCTGAATATCTGAAACATGTCTGAAACATTATCCATGGGTTGAATATTTTTATGGAGATTTTTACACATTCCAGTATTAGGTCACAAATCTGTGCTAGATCTGTAACACCGTAGTCGTGTACCAAGCACCTAAAATAGTAAAATGATTGCATGAACCTGCATATCTGAAGATATTAGTGATGGTAATTCAGCACCTTTATTTTATGTCCATGATAACCAGCTATCAAGTTTACTGTTAATATTGATGAGCCATAGAAGATTTAGGTAACAAAAATAATTCTCATTTCATTTTGTTATTTATTTTCGTCCCAACACCTGAACGAAATAATGGTTGTAATACAATGCATATCATAGGAGGTGATTATTTTGAGATTCACATCGGAATATATGCATCTGTTGAGTGTCTATATCTTTGTGTTTAGAAAACAAAATTAAATGTGGAACTCTCAAACAGAGATAGAGGTTTATGTTTGGTAGAGAGGATGCAAACATTGTATGAAATAAGCGAGAAGAGTTCTGGGCCAAAACAAGAATCTTACCAGTTATCGATAATCATGTCAGTAGATGTAATTGCAGTACTTTTAGTGCAATTTAATCTATTTAATCTACAGAATCCAAGCTTTTCTTTACAATAGCTTTTGATGAGAGAAAAACCGAACAGTTATTTTATCTTAATCACTCAATCCTTGAAACGATCTAGATTCACTCTATTCTCCCACTTAATACAAATTAAGGTATTACCTATAGGTTCCTTCTGTCGTGGCTCAAGATTCATCAGAGGAAGCTTGGAACAGCAGAATATTCTACGTCTACTCAGTTGTAAGAGGGTATGAGCTGCGATATAATTTGGGGATACGTTTATTTCTTCATCTCATTCTTTTTTCTTAATTATAGGTTGGAGACTACACAGAGGAGTAATGAGACGAGCGACGATTCTCAGCACACCTGGCTGTCGTTTTATAATTTTATGGTCGTCAAAGAAGGAGTGTTAGTATCAATATATTTATGGCTTCTTAGGTTGGTTTGATTATATATAATTCATGTACTAATAATTTTGTATATCATGCTTAAATGTTTTTGCAATCACCTGTATATAGTCTCATTGGAACAAGTATCGTACAGTGTTGGATGGTAGCGCTGGTACACTTGTATTCAACATAACTAACAAAACTAGATACTACTATATACTCTAAATCGATTAAGATGTTCTCTGTCTCTTGGATTTCGGCATCATTGAATATCTACCCCCTAGTATGACATCAGGAGCTAGCTGTTCCACTTCACATGCCTTGTATAATCGTATGACATCTTGATCTTGTTCTATCTTATTTGAATTGAAATCCTTTAATCTAGTCGGACTAGGCAATCCAAAATCGATGGTGTAAGCATCCTCATCCTTTTGCGAATAAAAGAACTTCTCTACATGAATTTTGCCAAGGAATTCCAGGCTCTTCTTAAAAAGATCGGGTGCTGACAATGACAAAGTGTCGTTGTCTTTATACTCTATAAGTAAATAAAAACCCTGGAACTGAGTAACTTCCTGCCATTCACAATATCCAAATTGATACAATCGAGGAATGTAATTCTTCTCGACTCGACGAAGATTCCTTTCGTCGCTGTCACCTACTCTCAATGCCCTATATGCATTCACTTCAAGTAAAAACTTACTTAGGATATATTCATATACATTGAGAAAGGCACGACGAGTTAACATACCTCGCGAAGGACTGCGTGAAGGGTTATACAACTTCAAAACCAATCGCTTGTTCAGATCGATATTCACATTTTCGCTGGCGCATTCCACTCCCCAAAATTGGAAGTGTTCTTTTTCTTCTCTGACTTTTAGATTGATATTCGACCAATATATCTTGAAGTCCTTCTCATTGAGTTCAGACCAACTGGATTTGAGATTCTCTCTTGCCTCATAACAATCCTTTGGTATATGAAGGTCACGATACTCGTTGTGCATATATAATTCTTCACCCTGTAGCGAGTAGTTACTGAAATTGGATTCCCATTCCTGTCTCACGAATCCAACTTGCCATTCTCTATTCCTTTTTTTATCTAAGTCATTGATTTCCAACGTTTCGAATAGTTCTTCTAATTTACCTTCATCGTTTCCAGAAACACTTGAAAAATATTGTTTACATAATGCAACCATGAAGGCTTTGACATTATACTGCGAGTCGAATAAATTGAAGCATTCCATATGGCACTTTAACTGATATACAGCCCCGTCAATATTAGTTTCTCGGGTATATTTAGCATCCTTATCGATTTCTATTATGAGAACACAATTCAGGTCTATAGCAAACCCTAATCGTGACTTAAAAGTAATCATCTGATACACTACCTGATTGAACAAGTCAAGGAAAGTTGTGTTATTTTCTTCATCGTTTCTTTGTTGGAACGCTATCAATATTCCATTTGGCTTAAACACAACTGGAACCTGAAACCGGCTATCATCTTTTTCGATGGATAAGACAATGCCTGATCTTACCTTAGAAAATATATCATATTCCGGATCAGGAACTTCACTTGGCACCAAACTAGTCAATGGACTTAAAATGTGCATATCCATTATTTTTGAAACTTTCGCTTCATTTATGGAGTTAACTTGTCCCACAAACGACTGCATCATAGGTATAACTTCCAATAAAAATTGAAAATCAATTATGAGATTCCTGAAAATACCATTTATAAATTCCTCATCAAAGTTTTCCATAGGCAGTGGATTGATTTGGAAATGTGTATTGAAGATTGTTGCTTTATTGGTATATTTTGATATTGAACGTATCAGAGCTGATGCTGATACATTTTGGTCATTTTCTGAGGCCTCCAATAGTGGTACAGGAAGTTGCAAAATAATTGCTGTCTTAAACAAATTCAATACCATGGTTTCAAAACGTTTCTTCTTTTTGCTATTTTTAAGTAGTTGCTTCCCCGCCGTCATATTTACTTCATCCAACAATTCAGATGTCCCTAGATTCGAAAACAGATAGATAGAATTAAGATCCTTTCGATATTGCAAGCTGGCAACATAATCCCTGTCTAACTTGGAGCTTGGATTCTTCGAGGAAATGACATGATAGTTCGCTGCCACGAATGCCATCTTCATTCTGTTCCTTTTCAATTTGGAAGCAGCGTCAGTTTCTTTTGGTAATGTTTCAATGAACTGTGACCATGAATTGTTTAGTTCTTCTTCTTGTTCCTTGTCTCCAAAAAAGTTGTAATCTGGTGTATTGAATAAACGATCAATAACAAATCTTGTAGACTTTTGAATTGTATCTAAATCGATGTAAGAAGCTGACGTTTTAGCCCTTTGGCGAAGTCTCTTAGAAACATCAACATCATTCTCAATCCTTTCAGTCTTTCTAGAGCTTCCGACAACTACTTTTTCTGAACTGACTACCGCTACTTTTTCTGAACTGACTACCGCTGCCTTCCGTGGTGGTGATGCTTGTTGGCTCATATCTATTACCAGGCTGTTTTCCTAAATGTTATTGTAATGAATATAGAATAATATTTGGTGAAATTTCTGAAAAACTAGAATATTCTGACTCTTAAATATCTCTTGCATCTGTATATCTGAGATTGGTTAATATTTTGATGAGCTATCTGTAATCCAGAAGTCCAACCACCTAGTTTTGCATACACCTGCATATCTAATGCGTACCGTATGCCTGCCGTGCAATGTGGAAATTCCCATTATTTTAACTAATCTCCTAATTAATACAAATTAAGGTATTCCCTATAGGTTCCTTCTGTCGTGGATCAAGTTTCATCAGAGAGAACTTTGAAGCTGCATTATAAAATGGGTATTTTTTTGCAATCACCTGTATATAGTTACAAGCTTATACAGTCACGTGGGATATAGCAATAGTTCCGGGGTTTGAAAGAATGATAATATTTATAACATTTATAACATTTATAATAACTATCATTATCTCCAATTGCAACTCCAATATCCATTGAGAAAGCAAATTTTATACACAATGATGTCCAGAACCATTTTACGTAGTAAAGTTATTGTCCCAAGGGTTAATGCCTTAGTTGGTAGAAGATTCTACTCCTTCAAGCAAGAAGATCAACCAAGAATTAGAATTGGTTCAACAGCACCAAATTTCGTAGTTAATACTACTGCTGGTAAAATTGATTTCCATGAATATATTGGAGATAAATGGGCAGTTCTTTTCTCTCATCCAGCTGATTTCACTCCTGTTTGTACTACTGAATTAGGAGCATTTTCTAAATTAAAGCCAGAATTTGATAAAAGAGGTGTTAAATTAATTGGTTTATCTACTGAAGGAGTTGATAGTCATAATCAATGGATTAAAGATATTGAAGAAGTTGTTACTGAAGGTGAAAAATTCGGATTTCCAATTATTGCTGATAGTACTAAAGAAGTTGCTTATAAATATGATATGGTTACTGAAGAAGATTTTAAAAATCTTGAATCAGGTATGGTTGCAACTGTTAGAGCTGTTTTCGTTATTGATCCAGCTAAAAAGATTAGATTAACTTTAACTTATCCAGCTTCTACTGGTAGAAATACTGCTGAAATCTTACGTGTAGTTGATGCTTTACAATTATCAGATAAGAGAGGTATTGCTACTCCTGTTGATTGGACAGAAGGTCAAGATGTTATTATTCCTCCTACTGTTTCTAATGAAGCTGCTAAGGAAAAATTTGGTGACTTCAAAACTGTTAAGCCATACTTGAGATACACTACCTTAAAGTAAATAACTAACTATGTTCAAGTTTGACTTTTATATGTACATAAGGTTATATAAAGACACTATAAAGAATATCTTATAAATTAACGAATACTTGTATTACAAAGAGTATCTGCCTTTGCAACATCAACTCCATCTCCCAACACATATTCGATCCCATCCTTTGTATAGGTTGCTTCGGCGTTTGAATTGGTCTTCAAATGAGATTGAATATCTTCCCAAGCTTTAGGTTTTAGTCTTGAAGGAATATCTTCAGTTTCAAAATTAGTAAAATGTAATCTAGTTCCAACTTGTGCAGAAACAGGTGGATTTATCAATTCAACTTTAATATTCTCTTCTGTTATTTGTTCTGTAGCTAATAACATTGCCTCTGATTTAACTCCTCTCATTTTAGATGGCTTTAGATTAGCCAATACTACCACTTTTTTATTGAGCATTTGATCTAAAGGAATGAGATTCACTAATCCAGAGCAGACTTGGATGGTTACCGGATCTTGATCAATTACTGGCTTTTCTATTTGAATCTGAGATACATATAATTTCTCTGCATTTGGATGTTTTTCACAATGGATTATCTTTCCTACTTTTAGATGCAATAAGCTTGGTGGAACTAGTACAATGTTAGTAAATTAATTCCTTTAGATTAAATAAAAATCTTACTTACATTCTAACTTGGGAAGAGTCGAATACGCTCTCCGATATATAAAAGATCTTAACATTAATGAAGACTACTAACACTACAAAGGATATGCTCAGTTAATAGTTCCTGAAAAATTTCCCAAATACCCAAATATATTTATTCCCTCTAATATCAGGAAGAAAGAAAAAGACATCCCTCTGTTATGAGGACAATCCCATAATTTGGCCATATTGGGAAATATAATTGGGTGCAGGAAGTTAAATTAAACGCGTCTCCCCTCTGAAAAATTTCCAATACTTAATTAATAAATCTTATCAATTCTACATTTTATTATAATTACTTTTGATATTGAAACAGTAATTTAGACATTAGACATTCATTAACATCTTAGAAACTAGAGGATAAATCAACATGTCTAATTTTGTATCATCACCCGGAAGAATTCCTTCTGATTCTGCTCGATTATTACAATCATCACAAGCAGGAATTCCATCATCATCATTAGGTAGAGAAGCTCATGCACCTCAAAGTAGTCAATTACCATTTTCAGAGGGGAATTTTCCTTCAAATCAAGGAGAAAGTCAACCAGTAAATCAAATAGTTGCTGGTAGAAGAAGACAAGTTAATGTTCCTAAAGTAGTTGATGTAACTGCTGAAAAAGTTCGAGAAAGCTTTGAATTATTTATTGAAGATTTTATTGATCAAAGTGCTATTGATCCTGATAATGAAAATGATGGTAGAGTTTATCTTTCACAAATTCAAGCTATGAAAACTTATGAAATAAGTACTTTATATGTTAATTATCATCATTTAGTAGTTCGTGAAAATGGGGTATTAGCAACTGCTATTTTAGAACAATTTTATAGATTTTATCCATTTTTATTAAAGGGATTAAGAAAATTATTAAAGAAATATGCTCCAAGTTTATTATATACTAATGCTATTGGTAGTACTAATGAAGATGAAGCAACTACACAAAGTGGTTCATCAACAACTACATCATCACAATCTAATGAAAGAGTATTTCAAATAGCATTCTTTAATTTACCAACCATTCATAGAATTAGAGATATTAAAACAAGTAAAATTGGATCTTTAATGTCAATTCTGGGTACTGTTACAAGAACTTCTGAAGTTAGACCAGAATTATATATGGGAAGTTTTACATGTAATATTTGTAATGCAATTATTGAAGGTATTGAACAAGTATTTAAATATACTGAACCAACTTCATGTCCATCATGTGAAAATCAATCATATTTTACATTAAATGTTAATAAATCTCAATTTATTGATTGGCAAAAGGTTAGAATTCAAGAAAATTCCAATGAAATTCCAACTGGTTCTATGCCAAGAACTATTGATGTTATATTAAGAGGTGAAGCAGTTGAAAGAGCTAAACCTGGTGATAAATGTAAATTTACTGGAACTGAAATTGTTATACCTGATGTATCTCAATTAGGTTTACCTGGTGTAAAACCTCAATCAATTAAAGAAAATAGAGGTTCAGCATCTTCTGAATTAAATTCAGGTATTACAGGTTTAAGATCTTTAGGAGTTCGAGATTTAACTTATAAAATTGCCTTTAATGCATTCCATGTTTCTTCATTAGTTAATAAAGCTAATGAAGATGAAAATGAAAATGAAAAAACTGAAATTGATTTTCAAGGAACTAATGATCAAGAAATCTTTTTAACTACTTTAAGTGAAGCAGAAGTATCACAATTAAAAGAAATGGTTAAAGATGATCATATTTATGATAAATTAGTTCAATCGATTGCTCCAGCAGTATTTGGTCATGAAGTTGTTAAAAAGGGTATATTATTACAATTATTAGGAGGAGTTCATAAACAAACTGTAGATGGAATTAATTTAAGAGGTGATATTAATGTATGTATTGTTGGAGATCCATCAACTTCAAAATCACAATTTTTAAAATATGTTTGTCGATTTTCTCCTCGAGCAATTTATACATCTGGTAAGGCATCATCAGCTGCTGGTTTAACTGCTGCAGTTGTTAGAGATGAAGAAACTGGAGATTTTACTATTGAAGCGGGAGCATTAATGTTAGCTGATAATGGAATATGTGCTATTGATGAATTTGATAAAATGGATATTTCTGATCAAGTGGCAATTCATGAAGCTATGGAACAACAAACTATATCTATTGCTAAAGCAGGTATTCAAGCCACATTAAATGCTAGAACTTCTATTTTAGCAGCTGCTAATCCAATTGGTGGTAGATATAATAGAAAAATGGGTTTAAGAGCCAATTTAAATATGACAGCTCCAATTATGTCAAGATTTGATTTATTCTTTGTAATTTTAGATGATTGTAATGAAAGAATTGATACTCAATTAGCTTCTCATATTGTGGATTTACATATGTTAAGAGATGATGCAATTGATCCACCATATAGTGCCGAACAATTATCAAGATATATTAAATATGCTAAAACTTTTAAACCTAGAATGACAAAGGAAGCTCGAGACTTTTTAGTATCAAGATATAAAGAATTAAGAGATGATGATGCTCAAGGTTTAGGTAGATCATCTTATAGAATTACTGTTAGACAATTAGAATCTATGATTAGATTATCAGAAGCTATTGCTAGAGCCAATTGTACTGATGTTATTACTCCAAGTTTTGTGGCTGAAGCTTATGATTTATTAAGACAATCTATTATCCGAGTTGAAATGGATGATATAAATGTTGATGATGATGAGGAAGAAGCAGCAGCAGGTAATGGAGATGATGAAGAAGAAGAAGATCAACAGCAACAACATCAACAACAAGAAGGTGATAATAGTAATGACCAACCACAAGATTCAGCTACTACACCAGCTGCTAAGAAAGAAAAAGATTCTACTTCTATAAGTTATGATAAGTATATCTCAATGATGAATTTGTTAGTTAAGAGAGTATCTGATGATGATAATCAAGGGGGTGAAGGATTAACCAGTAATGATTTAGTCGATTGGTATTTAACCCAAAGAGAAAATGATATTCATACTGAACAAGAATATTATAAAGAAAGAAAATTAGCTTATAAAGTCTTAAAGAGATTAGTAAAAGATAGAATCTTAATGAGTGTTACAAACAATGATGATTTATTACCTGATGAAGAAAATTCTTCAGTAACTGCCTCTAAGACTGTTTATATTTTACATCCAAATTGTGCTATTTTGGATTTCTTTGATCAACCAGGAGGTAATCAAGAAGGAGAAACTATTGAAGATAGTAATTAATTGAAGTAAATTGGGGAATATGTATATTACAAGTGTATAATTATAATTTATAATACCTAGTGTTAATACGATGAAATTTATCTTAAACGTTATCTATTTAGTTTCCTGATTTGTATTAACTTGATTTATAGTATTAGTAGCAGATGATTTATTATCAAAATCATAAAAATTGGAATTTTCTGTTAATTCATTATCATTTTCATTTTCATTCTCATTTTCATTTTCAATTGGCTCAGTATTATCAGTAGTTGATTCATCATTCTTTGCTTTAAGTTGTTCATTACGTTTATTTTCAATATATTTAGAACAATCAACACAATGATCAATAAAAATTTTTGAATTAGGGAACATTCTTTGACATAATCGACACCAACCAGGATCATCTTTAGGATTTGTTGAATAAGCTATTTGAGTTTCTTGCTTTCTGGTATCTTTTATATAATGAACAAGTCGTAAATGACGTTTCAAAACATCTAATCTATTGAATGAACCTCCATTTCTATGACATGATTGATCAATTTTCCAATATGGACATACAAACATTGGTTCAGCATGAGATTTAGCATGTCTTCTTAAATCTGATCTTCTTTGAAAAGCCCAACTACAACCTTCAAAAGTACATTTGAATGGTCTTGATGATAAAATTACATCATCAGTAACTTTAAATGGTTTCCCAATAGGAGATTCCATATTAATAGTTGGCTTTTTAATCATATTATTTGGTTTTCTATAATTTGGACTCTTAATAGTACTATACATTGGTGGACCCAAGATTGGTTTAGCAACTTGAGATTGTTTATAATATATTTGATTATTTAATAGATCTTGTTGAGGGTGTAATTGAGAAAATGAAGGTAATGGAGCTTGAGATTGAGAGAAATAATTACTATTTGAAGTTGAAGATTCTGTTGTTATACCATTGGAATATGAACGACTTGAATTTGTGAATGGTACTTGAGATGGAATTGAGTTATTAGTAGAATCTCGTCGAGGTGAAGTTGCTGATATAGGAGCTATCTGAGGTTGCAGATGTATTTGTGGTTGTGCTTGTGCTTGTGCTTGTACTTGTGGTTGTGCTTGTGCTTGAGACTGAGCTTGTGATTGTGATTGATCATCTTGTAAAGGTCGTACGGATGATTCTTCTTGTTTGACTACTGTATCTACATTAGTACTGGCTTCACTATACGATAGTGTTTTGTCAGTCTCTGTATGTTCTTCTGTCATTTTATACTTGAATAATTCTAATCTATTGCTAAATCACTAATAGTACGTAATTTGTAAACATTGACTGGCCACGGCCTTTTGAGCCGCTCTTTCCTAATGGAATAATTTTATTTTATTTTGACTGGTCCTGCAGGTAGTGCCTCCGATAAATAAAAGCCTGACATTTTTTCTCCCTGTTTGGTGTGAGATACAGAACTTACTGTACTGTACTGTACTGTACAAAACTGTGCGAGGGGAACAGTAGCAATAGCTGCAACTGTTAAGTCATAATAGTACTGGCTTATTACTATAGACTCACTAATAAAATATAGTATATAATCGTTTACAATAAATGAACCCTAATTTGATTTTAGTACATACTTCTAAAGCTGCAAGACAATACTATGGCCATTCAACACAGTAGTCACGTTTCAAACGGTCATACATGCATCGAACATTTCGCAGCGATTAGTGGCCATTACTAAATGGATTGCTCATTACGTAAAATTATGTAACCGGAGTACACTGTCGCAGATTTACTCCAGAAAAATCGCCAGTAGTATAAATACATAATGAATTAATCATTTCTATATTGTACTGTAATTTTACATAATCATAGTAAATTGTAATTCAATTCAATTCAATTCAATTCAATTGTCTATATATAATTCCAATATGTCAACTGTAAGTAATAATTACATTCAATTAATAAATAAACTTTAATTATGGAAATTATAGTTATACTAATAAATTAATCTATTATAGGATAAAGCACCTATTGAAACTTTGAAGTGGGCCGAAAAGGATGGTTCCTTCAAGAGAAAACCATCACAATTTAGAGATTGGATTAGTTCTAAACCAGGAGCTAAATTTCCTCCTGAATTAAATAGATATCATTTATATGTTTCTTTAGCTTGTCCTTGGGCTCATCGTACTTTAATTACTAGAGTTTTAAAAGGTTTAACTAGTATTATTTCTATTTCCATTGTTCACTGGCATTTAGATGATAAAGGTTGGAGATTTATTAATGATGAAGAATTAAAATCTCTTAGCAATAAAAGTGATATTTCTTTAGGTACTGTGGATCATTTATATAATTTTGAAAGATTAAGACAATTATATTTTAAAGCTGAACCAGATTATAGTGGAAGATTTACTGTACCAGTATTATGGGATAAAAAATTAGAAACTATTGTTAGTAATGAATCTAGTGAAATTATTAGAATGTTAAATACTGAATTTAATTCTTTAATTCCTGAAGAATTTGCAAAAATCGATATATATCCTGATTCATTAAAGTCCGAAATTGATGGATTAAATGATTGGATATATGATAATGTTAATAATGGAGTTTATAAGGCTGGTTTTGCAACCAAACAAGAACCTTATGATTTAGCAGTTAGTAATGTTTTCGCCCATTTAGATAAACTTGAAGATATCTTTGAAAAGAATCATGCTAAGGGTGAACAATTTTTAACTGGAAATCAATTAACTGAAGCAGATATTAGATTATTTACAACCATTGTAAGATTTGATCCAGTATATCATCAACATTTTAAATGTAATATTAAAATGATTAGACATGATTATCCTAATATTAATAAATGGTTATTACTCTTGTACTGGAAAATTCCAGGTTTCCAAGAAACTACTGATTTTGATCATATAAAATATCACTACACTAAATCTCATACGCAGATCAATCCATATAGTATTACTCCAAAGGGTCCTTTACCAAATATTTTACCATTTTAGGTACTTTATATAAGTTTGATTTATGTAGTGTAACTTTAATTTTTTAAATACTATACATAATTACTGGTTCTTTATTTTTCCGAAGACTTTGCCTGTATTTGCCGTGGATCCTGGAATGTTTGCGTTATATCGTCTAAATTCTTGGTGCGACAATCTCTAATAGTCCATTTACTCATATATAGTATTGAAGATAGATAGATATATAAGGCTCATGTTTATTGGTCATTAAATTGAAGGCGTACTTATAGTTTTAGTCATATCCGCCTCAATCAAAGCAATAGGTTGATTCGTCTATGATAGAAGCTTCTTCTCTCCATACGACACGTCTAACCTTTTTTTTTTTTTTGACATTTTTTACTTTAACGACAGTCCACAAAAGAAAAAGCCAGAATTCTAAAAAATAATTTTATTAACTAATTAAAATAAACAATAGGACAATTTCGAGAATTCTTTACCAGTTCGACAATCTTGATCGAAGATACAAGTTTTAATTTATTTTACTAGTGGTATCGTCAGCTTGTTGGAGGGTCCTTAACAAACGAACTAGTTTGGTATTATTATTTGTTTGTTTGTGTGAGTTGATCTTTATTACTATTTTTTGTTAATATAGGTTTATAAATAGCCAGTTTTTTATTCAATATCTAGTTATCAAATAACAAAAATATATTCATAACATGAGAGGTATGTATAGAACTAATCATTAAAATCGGAAGTTTATGAAAGATATACTAACTAATAAATTCTTATAGATTATAAAGTAGTTGTATTGGGTACTGGTGGGGTTGGTAAATCATCAATAACAGTACAATTTGTACAAGGAGTATATGTTGAAAGTTATGATCCTACTATTGAAGATTCTTATAGAAAACAAATTGAAATCGATGGGAGAGCATGTGATCTAGAAATCTTGGATACTGCTGGTGTAGCTCAATTCGTAGCAATGAGAGAATTATATATAAAGAGTGGTAAAGGATTTTTATTAGTTTATAGTGTAACTGATGAAAATTCTTTAAAGGAATTATTAGAATTAAGAGAATTAGTATTAAGAATTAAGGATTCTACAAATGTTCCTATGGTATTAGTAGGTAATAAATGTGATTTAGAAGATGATAGAGTATTATCTATTGAAGATGGTGTTAAAGTAAGTCAAGATTGGGGGTTAGTTCCTTTCTATGAAACAAGTGCAATGTATAAAACTAATGTTGAAGAAGCATTTATTGATGTAGTAAGACAAATAATGAGAAAAGAAGCTGTAACTAATGCTGAAAAGAAACAACAAAAGGAATTACAGAAACAAAAAGAATTAGAATTAAAACAACAACAAAATCAACTGCAATCATCTGGACAATCAAATGACCATACACTAAGGAATGAAAGTGATACCATTATTAATGCAAGATTAAACCAATCATTGAATGATCCATCTAAAACGGTAACAAAAAGCAGGTGTTGTACCATCATGTGACAACCAAACCAACAGATTGTACAATCATAGTCCTTTAAGAATTGTTTGAACAATGGCTCAAATATCTCTTCTTCAATGTATCATTATAATGAAAATATATTAGGCTGTCTTTCATATACTTCCATAAAATTGAGAAGAGTTGAAACATATCTATATTTTAAGATATGATATGTGTGTAATTTTATATCTTAGCTGGTCTATTCTTAATATTTTAATACTTCGCATTTATAGTGCATCTCTTGGTAGTGTATATCCTGATTCGTACATTTAATATACCATTTATTTATATAATTAAAGAGTTCGTCCTTTTCATATTGTTGCCCTTTCAAGCAATTTTCGCAACCATTATCAAAAAAACATCAAATAAAATCAGAATCAAATCTTTTCAATTTACCTTATTTTAACAGATATTACCCTACTAAGTTGGAGCTAAAGTAGTAATAACAACATTTAGATTTTACTACCACTAGTTTTAAATTTAAAAAAAAGGAAAATAGGTAAATAGGTGAAAGGAATTGCTGGTGTGATAATGATACCCGCGAGATTCGAACTCGCGCCTCCGAAGAGACCAGGACCTTACCCTGGCGCCTTAGACCAGCTCGGCCAGAGTACCCAATTCCTGAAAATTTTGAGAAAAATATTACTTAAAATGTGTGTTCACTAATCACGTGATCGGCGCTACCAAATATAATTTTTTTTGCCGTAAATGGCCCACTATTTTCAATTTATCACCCTGAGTCAGATCACTTCTATAATAATCCAACCGCCCGAGGAGGATGCATGGCAACAATTTATGCTTCCAGTCGACAACTACACATTCAAAAGTCGGAGTCGAGCCCATTGGGAAACACAGATAGTCACTCCTAATACTTGGTCCAGAGTACTCTCCTTAACACCTAACAAATGGAAACAATATTGGAAGATTTTATCCAATGCCAAACAACAACATCCTTACCGGTTGGAAGAACTACATAGGGTCCAGCTAGGACACCGTCGACACTATCCACCACCACCAACTGATGGTGTGTGTCACCTTTGTCTCACACTGATTGACTCTACAGACTATCATGACCATCTCTACCTACATTGCTCCATTAGTAAAGTAGTATGGCAAAAGCTACATATTTCCCTCCCTCAAGAATGGATTACTATCATCGCTAACTACAACCTTAATACTACACAACTTCTCTTGCTAAATCGATACCTGCACATCATCCACCAATTGTACAGTCTACGACGACTAGCGTATAAGGAGGGTAATGTGCTCGATCCATTAACTCTCCCACTTATTAAAAATTGGGTATCATATTTGTCTTCATCATTATAAATCTATCTACTTTATTATCTACATACTATGTCCAATAAGAATTTATAGCGAGATATAAAATTATATATAGAGTGAATAAATACTTGCAAAATTTTGAGAGAAACTAGTAACTAGTGAAAACTCCCCTCTTCTTCAAGTCTTTTGTCTAATTCATGGCCAGTCAAGACGCCTTACTAAATATTTTGTTATCAGCAGTGTTCACATCACTCACCATTTTGGCCAGACAAGTAGCCATAAAGACCATAAATACCATAATCATACTCCATATTTTAAGCAATTTGTTACCAACTCTTGATGCTCCACTGTTCAGAGGATGAGCAATGGGGCCAGGGACAAACGGCTGACCTTCGATACAAGCGTAAGAAAATATACCTGGTGGAAGTGCCACAGATACGGTTCCGTTGTCTGAGGTGCAAGTAGCATTTGTGTCAATAATATGTGTTTCGAATTCCATGATAATCAATCAATACTAATTAAATGATATTGTTTAGGGTCCACCAGAACTCTACACACACCACTGAACTTACTTCGAAAAGAAAAGTCATGGAACTCAGGTAGAAATCATTTATTATATACATTGCAAAAGTTCCTATCCATGATACTCAAAATAGGTGTCATGTAAAGTCGTCAAGAGTTGGTTACATACTCCCTCTTAATTAACGAACTGTTCACTTAGACTCGAGTTACAGCAATACGGGGATATTGTACATATTGTTGAAATAAGGTTTAAGCTGAATAGCGGAGCTCACTATTGAAACTTAAACTTTTAAACTGTTCAATTTTGAAAATGTAGTTAAAAATAATGTCGGCTATTGAAAACTCTAAAAAGCGCAATTTAGAAATCAGTCGTCCTAATTGCTGCCCATTTCTCCATATTTCAGCCGAATTATAAATCAAATCAACTATAAATCAAAGCATAAATATGTATAGGAAAGCCTTTGTTGATATGTCGATTCCATTAAATGCCAAGGCTCAGTCATGTATCTTTTTAAGAAATGTGGTTCAATAAAGTACACAGCAACCCCGCTAAAATACAGAACGTAAAAGCTTAAAGGTGCACCGATGATCTGTATCTCTTTAGAGTTTAAAAACTTTTCAAGCCAATTGAGCACTCATATTTCGATATGTTATACTCTATTAAATGCCGCGTTGTATTGTATATTCTGTAAGAAAATAAGATGTAAGATTTTAGAGAGAGCTTTCTTACAGTATTTTTCACCTGAATGTCGTACCTTTGAATATAATATTATCGTTCCTTGGAGTAATATAATAACGCTTTTGCCTAATATTTAATTCGGTACTTCAATATCTGAATATCGTTATACAATTAGAATATATATCGTAGAGTAAACTAAGCTCATTTCGTTTTCTGTGATGTAAATATTTCTCTTTGGAAATTCGTCAAAGTCGCCTTTTAACAATGAAATCTCATAGTTAAGAAGTCGTAGTTGGTATTTGATCAAACGAAATAATTTATGATCTAAGAACGATAAAATATTATAGGAAACTGCGATAATTGAACATCCAATAGTACGACAATCAAGCTACTACTGAGAGATATTTGTATGGTTAGGTCATGAAATAATTTTTATTTACACTATGATAAACGTATAGTTAAGAGAACGACATTCAGGTGAAAAATACTGTACTAGGATTCTGAAACAGTTATGAAACATGCGCTTTGTATTGTGTAATGTATCATACCTATAACACGATATAAGGAAAGAGATAAGTCGTGTGCAGTTGATTTATAATTCGGCTGAAATATGGAGAAATGGGCAGCAATTAGGACGACTGATTTCTAAATTGCGCTTTTTAGAGTTTTCAATAGCCGACATTATTTTTAACTACATTTTCAAAAATGAACAGTTTAAAAGTTTAAGTTTCAATAGTGAGCTTCGCCATTCAGCTTAAACCTTATTTCAACAATATGTACAATATCCCCGTATTGCTGTAACTCGAGTCTAAGTGAACAGTTCGTTAATTAAGAGGGAGTATGTAACCAACTCTTGACGACTTTACATGACCCCTATGTTGAGTATCATGGATAGGAACTTTTGCAATGTATATAATAAATGATTTTTGCTTACTGCTTAGGTAAGTGCAATAGTATTTGCACAGTACGTGGACCAATATCATTTACTTATTATCATGTCAAATCCAGCAATTGTGCACTATTCTTGTGTATCAGAAAACGGCACCGTATTATTTTTAGCCGATATACCAAACTTGCGTGCGTTCGCTTGTGTTGATGGATATCCTTATATCCCCCTTGAGGACTACAATAAGACTATTCCACAATCCAGTGGAGTATCAAAAGTCGGTAACAAAGGGTTCAAAATATGGTTGATTATGATATTAATGCTTATTGCTGCGATGTAGCAAAAGAAAGGAAGACAAGATATTATTGACTTATTTTCATTGTTTGTAAATTTAAGTAGATACAAAGATTTTTATAAAGAGATACATACAATTTTGCATTATTCGAATATAAAGCCAATTAAAAGATTGATTTACAAGTACTCTATTTACAATAGTTATGATCTGTTCACCAATTAGTGATGTTTTTCTCTGCTTCTCCAAATACGGAATTACCTCCATTGTCCACACTGTCAACAAATTCAGCCCAATTTTCGAAAAGTTCATACTTTCCTGAATTATCGTCATAAAATTCGGGTAATTTCTGTTGTAAGAATTCTAAACAGTATCCATTAATTTCTTCAAATTCCAATAAAAATGCATCATGACCCTCTGGGGAATCGAGTTTCTTTAAAACTGAGTTAGGTATATTTTCTCCCAAAATTTGTTGTTCTCCATATGTAAATAAACCATCTGATTCAATACCAATAATCAAATGTGGTGCTGTTAAAGTTTGTAAAAATGCTGGCAATGGATCTTCATTTGGTTTTGCACTAGCATCAACATTGCCTCTAGTTATATCATGAGTATCTAATTTTCTAGTGATTGAGATATAACAATTAGCATCAAAACGTTTAATAAATTTATTACCTTGATATCTTAAATAAGACTGAGCTGTGAAATAAGTTTGTGGTTTATGACTTGAATTACTTGAGGCAGAATTAGAGTTCTTTAATGATGTTGATCTTGAACCTTCATTATGTATTAACCAATTCTCTTCATCCGTTGTCTTTGGATATCTTATACCAGTCTCTCTTTCTTGTTTAATTTCTTCTTCCTTTGTGGTTGGTTTAGATGGTGTAAGTTGTGTTGCTGGTAACTTTCTACCAAATCTAGTTTCAAATGAATTTCGAGATCTATAAGTCAACAAGGCAGCCATTCTAGCAGCACTTAATCCTGAATCAGGTTTAACTCCACTACCATTTTCATAATAATATCCATCATCATAAAATGGATCACTGAAAATACATTGTCTTTGAGTTTCATTCCATGAAATACACCAAGCTGAAGCTCTAGCTGAAGTAGCCAATGCAATAATAGTCTTTACATAACCGGTATTATTATAAGTAGCAGAATATTCTAATGTGAGCATTCCTCCCATTGATCCACCAATTACACAAGATATTCCTTTTACACCTAAAGAATCTAAAATTAATCTTTGAATACCAATTTCATCTTTAACAGTAATTAAAGGAAATAATGGACCATGAGGTTTACCTGTTGATTTATCAACAGTTAAAGGAGAACATGATCCATAAGGTGATCCAAGGAAATTTATACAAACAATAAAGAATCTTGAAGGATCAAATGTTTTACCATTGCCTAATAAAGGACCCCACCAATCTTGAACATCAGATGAACCCGTTAATGCATGACAAATTAACAATACATTATCACGATCTTCATTTAATCTTCCCCAGGTTTTATATGCTACTGGGAAATTCTTTAAAGTTTCACCACATTCGAGATCATAAGAAGGGATTTCAACAATGGTTTGACCAGGAACCATAGCAGCAAAAGAATTCAATTTCTTTTGCTCCTCGGTTATATCCTTAAATATGGGGTTAAGGATTGTCATTTTTTTTTGTTTAAATTATTGATCAGAATTTGTCTATTTCTTAATTGGATAGCAAACAGTACTATATACTGTTGCAAAACTCTGATTCAACTATTCGGTATTAGCAAATTTAGTATGAAGATAGTTATCAGTATTTAACAAGGTGCTTGCAAGTATTAACCATCAGATGTTTAATTTTTCACTTAATGACTCAAAATGCTTTTTGCTCTGAAATAATTGTGGATCCTGCCTGTTAATTTATTATAAGCACTCCACTAAAGAATTATTAACGACTTTTAAAATGTCGTTCTATAATATATTTGAATTGTTTTAGTTCCTGTTTGCTTTATATAGCCAATTTCACTGAACTTCGTGGTTGAATAACTGCGATGAGAACTCTACTATAGTCCTTACAGCTGAACATATCTTCATAAAAGTGAGTCAAACTAAATCACCGACATTCACGTGACCTGCGGGTCGGCTAACGAGCAGGCTGCAACCCCGATTGGGAAAGCTGCAAAATTTACTACATCAAGTAATATAATTAACAATACAACATCATATATATATATATTATACAAGCTTCGTGACAACATTAGTAGAATAAATAAGTAATTAGGAAATAGGAAATACATATAGAATAATTAATAGTTAATAAATTAATATTTTATGCTCCGAGACTCGGAGTAGGTATACGGTTATCAACCTCATCAATGGTATTATCAGCAATTGTAAAATCTGCCTCTTCTGAGGTAACATCATCAATCTCATCATCTTCATCATCTTCTTCATCTTCTTCATCTTCATCATCTTCATCATCGTCTGCCTCATCTTCATATTCTTCATCGTCATAGTCAGTTGCCATTGGAGTCTGTAAACCGGACGATCTGAAATCAGGATGATGTAATTTGTACATCTCATTATATTGTTGTTTAGCTGTAATTAAACTTCTGGCGTATTCCATTTCTGAATATATAACTTCAATAGCACTCAAGACTCCATTTTCCGTTTGAATTTTTTCACTCAACCTCTTACATTTCTCAATCATATTTAAATCAGATACAGCATTATCTAGAGCCTTTGCTAATGATCGAGAGTTTAATTTCTTCAAGGATATTCCTACACCCAATTCTTCAACTCTAGAAGCATAGAAAAATTGATCACCAAAGAATGGTTTAATAATTGTAGGTACTCCCCACCTTAAAGTGGCCCCAGTAGTTCCTGATCCACCATGATGAACAGCCGCATCAATTCTAGGAAACAACCAATCATGTGGTATGGCTCCGGAATTATAAACTTCAGGAGGTAATTCAATTTCTGGCTCATCTTTATTCGTAGATAACCTATCAGACCAACCTTTATTTAAAATACATCGAACATCCGCATTCAAGACCGCTTCCACAACAGCTTTAGTTAAACTCTTTGCATCTTTTACTACAATTGATCCAAACCCAATATACACAATCTTTTTACCAGATTCATTGGCATCAGCCATAAAATTTAATAATGCTTCAGGTGGGTCATACTGTTCTGCAGCTCCTTCATCTAAAAACCAATAACCAGTTACTTTGACCCAATCAGAGAAATCAACACTGGGAGGGAAAATGCTAGGAGATACATTATACAAAAATGGAATTTTTGTCTGTTGCATACGCATAAGATTAGTTCTGGGTAAATCCAACTCTTTTACTCTCCACTTATTAATCTGAGAAGAGATTCCTTTCCAGAATACAGTTTCAAACATGACATGGGTTAAGTAATTATAAGATCCTCCTTTCTTTTGATCAGGAACAATAAAAGCATGAGGATAAGCTCTTGTTCTAGTCCATGGCATAGTAAAGGCTCTCATATATGGAATTCCTAAAGCTTCAGCAATATGAACTCCACCCATAGCTGATGGACTCTCAATTAATATATCTGCCCCTTGACATGCTTCCCAACTAGAAGATAATAATTCAGTGATCCAACTTCTAAACTTAGCACTGGCTTCTCTCAAGAATGACACAGACATAGAACCATGAGTGACCATTAAAGACATCAATTCTCCAGGATCACCGGCAATTTCTTTAAAATCCATACCATGCTTTCTAATCCAAGGTTCAAATTCCTTATGTGTTGCAATAGTCACTACATGTCCCTCATTTATGAGACCCTTTCCTAATGCAATGTAAGGTTGTACATCACCTCTTGAACCAATAGTCAAGAAAGTAAACTTATATGAAGTAGATGGTTTAATTTCAATTTTAATAAATGGCGAATCTTCCAATATAAGAGGTATATCCAAACCAGAAGCAGCATTGATTCGATCTTCAAACATTTTAAGTCGAGCATTATCAATTTTAGAGTAAGCTATTTTCTTATTGGCATCAATAACTCTCTGTTCAACTGGACTAGTAATTCCATCATTTGATGAAAGTCTCACTCTATTCAATTCAAGATCATAATTATTTCCCCATTGAATAGGTGTTGGTGACCACACTTCATCTTCATGAAATGCTTCCAATTGTTTAAGCATAACTTCTTCACAATCATCTCTAGGTTTTTGGGAACTGAATTCTAAGAAAAGCTTTTGGCGACCCTTAATCATAATGACTAAACCATAATATGTTAATTTGGCACTCTTCTCTTTGTAACAAGTTTCTATATCAGTCAAAGGTAAAATCATCTTAGTTGATACTCCTGGTAATAAACTTCTAAAACAAATTTCTGTTTGACCAATATATAACTTACCATATACAGGTAAGGTACGAATTAAATGACAATAATAGGTAGCAATTAACTTCTTTTCTGAATTTAATGAAAAATGTTTAATGAAATGCTCTTGAGATTCTTGTCTAATGCTAGAGTCCTTAACATAATTAGAATCATTTTCAGATATCTTTATAAAATGACCTATAGGTGCAGTCCATTTACTACCAACATTGGAGATTACTTTAATACTCTTACCAATAGAATTCTTCAAAATCTTATTTTGCATACTGTTAGAACTTTTCTTCTTGTATTTGGAAGGATCAGTCAAATTCAATGGTCCAGGAAATGAAATATCACTCAGACTATCAGAAATTTGACTTCTAGCTCTATACATTGATTCAGCATCATCAAAATTAATGTGACTTGTTTCAAAACTCATTTGAAGATTCTTCAATCCTTTAAATGATAAAGGACGTGGCATATTAACCCGATTGGATGTATGTGAATCAGTAAATGGAAATGTAACATCATCAAATAATGAAGTTGCAATACTAGAAATTGTACTTTGATGACTATCAGATGATTTTCTAGAACTAAATATTTTTGTAGGGTTAGTTATAGTCCTACCAATCTTCTTTAATCTAGAATCAGAACGATCTAATGGAGTACTTTCAAATTTATCTTCAGATAATGGTATTACTTCATTACATGGACTTGTAATATGAGAATTTACCGATAAAATCTGATCTACAATTGATGATGAAGTTGGTCCATGAGATATTGTAGTAAAAGTTCCCGATGGGAATGAGCTTGAAGAATTTCTTTCAATAATCTTCTTTGCCTTATCAACAAGAGTAGTTGCTTGTGAACTTAATGAAGCTGCATCATCAATATCATATGAATCACGTTCTTGTGTCTTATAATCATTTATTACTTTAGAAATGGCTTCAAATGCTTCATTACCTTCATGGAAAAACATGAAATATAAGCTTTCTAAATTAACACTTTCAACTGAATTCTTTCTCTTCTTTAATGATGATTTCTTAGCTTTCACATCATTACGAAGATAATTTAATGAAAGACTTATAGGTTGTTCACTATCATCATCTCCTGGTTCAAATAATTCATTTCTTCCATAATTCATTACATTTTCAATAGGAATTTTAATCAATACTTCATTATTTTCATTAGAATTGTTCAATTGAAATATTTGTTTGGTCAAATTATTACACCACTGTCTTGCTGAATATAAGTTATCACAACAAAATCTATAGGATTTCTTTTCAGTAACCAATTTAAACCATACTCCTTCAGTTAAACCTTCTACATTTTCTTCTATTCCTTCACGAGCTAAAACACTTTGAATATCATCTTCACTTAATATAGTATCTCCCGAGTTATTAGTTCCTGCTCCAATTTTTGGAGTACTATATCCTGATCCCATAGTATCAGCTCGACTTCTAGTACCTGGAGATTTTATATTTTCAATCTTCTCTTTATCAATAATTTCGGCCCTTATACAAGTTCTTAAATCAATTACTAAACTTGGAAAATATAAATCAGTTGATGAACTATAAATACTTAATGTTTCTGATCTAAGAATAGCCCAAAACTTATGAGTAATTATTGTTGTAAAAACTGATTCTACATATTTAGCAGATTTTAAACCCAAGGAACCTGATTGAACAATGTTTTGCGAGTCATCAATACCAATATCTGAGGTATACATTACCTTCTTAGGTAGGAAAGCAAAAAAGAAGATACATTGTTTAGTGAGATATAAATGGCCCTGTAATAAAACATCCTTAATAAGCCAAGTATTGAAATGACCATGAAAATAATCATCATCATTTAATTCAAATACATTTTGAAGTTTTTCAGCTATATCTAAACATAACTTATCCTTTCTCGCCTTAAAGATTTCATCTTGAACATTTGGAATATCCTGTCCATCTTTTAACTTAAGTAGAAATCCTTCCTTTATTAAATGTGGATTTAGATTATCCAAGAATGACTGTTGTAAAGTAGTTCGTTTTATTTTTGGTTGTGGTTCATGAACTGGGGGTAATTCTAAGGGTTTTCCAGCAGCTTGTCTGTCGGGATTAAATGGATGTAGAGTATACTTCGTGTCATCATCATAACTTTCACTCTCAGATGGTTCTATTTCAGTGGATTCGCTCACTTCATTTGGTTTCGAGGGTGATGGATCATTTGCATTAACGTTTAAATAACGAATAGGAGTTCCATTAAAATAACTATCATCATCCTCTGTAGCATCAGTATCGAAATCTTCAACGTATATTTCCTCATCTTCATCATCCTCATCTTCTATATCTGCATCTTCATCACTGTTATATATTCCATATTCACTTTCGTTTATTGGTTTAGGAACCTTATCAACAAGATTTTCATCATCTTTCTCATTATTATTCTTTAACTTGGCCAATAAACCAATACCTGAACACATTGAAGTGGTAGTAAGAAGATCAACAAAGTAATTTTGAGGTGTCAGTTGAGCTATAGGATCTGCAATATCTGCTTCGCTCGGATCTCGATTCATTTTTGAAGGCCTTTGGTCACCATCTGTTGAAGTTTCATCTTCATCATCTGTTGGTAGAGCATTCAAAAATGAGAGGGTAGATTGTAAAGGAGGAATTATCGAAGCAGTTAGCTTCTTATACAATGACTGACGTGGACTGGTGGTTCCTGAGCCTTGATGACGGTGATGGTGATGATGATTATGATGATAATTCTTCAGAGCTTTTAAATGTTTAGACACTTCTTCATGGATATCCGGTGGACTTCCTGGAGACAGGTCCAGCTTTATTCCTAATTTACTTGAAAATTGAGATTTTATATTATTAACTATAGTATCATGGTATTCTTTAGTTTTGTTGTGTAACATTTCTACTGCATCTTTTGGTGTAGACGCTAGTTGTCCTATCTCCAGACGAATAGTCCTAGGAGAATGACTTATTGAGGAGCCAGCAGTTAATTGGTCACTATCCATATCTCTTTCATCAGCTCTTTTAATCGTTAAATTATTCAAACGAGCATCAATAGGTCGAGGAGATTGCATTGTTCAGTTATTTAGTAAATGGGACTTTAAGATGCACTAAATTTCACAGTCTTAGTAGCAGCCAAAACAAAGTAAACTCTCACACTTAGAGCAACCAAATAAAATTATCTTGGCAAATTATTCACTAATATTTAAGTATGTTAGTTACTATGGTGGCTAAGCTCATTTCCATACCTTCTTTAGTCGTATATATATATTTATAAATAGAGAATATTTTATATACATATATTAATTACATACATCAAGACGCACTGCATACATACAAAATAGATAAAATTTCAAGCGCATTTTCTGTAGCCGTAAATTTCTCTGCGCGGTCGGTGAATGAGAGTCCGGAATGATCTAGAATATTTTTGAAAATATGGACACGATTGATCCTGATCCATAAGGTTAACCTTAGCTTTATTATTCAGTGGCGTGATCCTGTTAGTTGCTGTGTAAAATATATTGTGATAATTTAATTTGAAATTGTGTGATGGGATTGTTGCTATCTCCGTTGCTAGAGAAATGAAAAATGCAGGTACTGCACTGGAGAGCCTAGTGCCACCAAAAAGTAAAGGTTAAACAAAAAGTGATGATAAGGCTGGAGTCGGTTTGCATGTGAAATTTCAGGAAGCAATCCACCCTAAATTTAATTGTTGAATTATAGTCATGATTTAACTCGTATATGTAAATAATACAATGGAATAGTAATTCCTTTAGGTTGTATATTTAATTTATTATTTTATTATTTTATTATTTATTATTAAGTATAGCAATAGTTTTTAGTCAGTCATTGCCTAATCAGGCATTCGTCTCATTTTTTACTGCAAAAATAAAATATATTTATATATTTATCTAAATCTATATTCACAGTTGCTTGAGATTCTATTTACAAGTCTATTTAATTAATTAAGGTTTAGTTATAATTTAATTATTTATACGGCATTTGTATCATTATTTTTAAGTAAATTATTCAATTGACTATTAGGATTATCATACAAATCATTGAAATTACCATCTTCAACAATTTCACCATGTTTATTTAAAACAATAATTCTATCACTATTCTTAATGGTAGATAATCTATGAGCAATTGAAATAATAGTCATTTCCTCTTTACTATTTAATGCTTTTAAATTCTTTAGAACAATTTCTTCACTTATAGAATCTAATGCAGATGTAGCTTCATCTAATATTAAAACACGAGGATTTCGTATCAAAGTTCTAGCTAATGATAATCTTTGCTTTTGACCACCACTCAATTGAGTACTATTTAAAGATCCAAGATTCGTTTCTAACCCATCCGGTAAGTTAGTAACAAACTCATAAGAATTACTTAATTTCAATGCATAGTAGATATCTTCTTCACTAGCATCAGATTGTCCAAATAAAATATTCTCTCTTATTGTCCCATTAAATAATAAGGACTCTTGAGGAACATACCCTAATTTAGTTCTATAATGATTCAAGTTCAAATCTTTTATATTACGACCATTTACTACTACTTCACCATTACCTGGATCATAAAATCTTAATAATAATTGAGAAATTGTTGACTTACCACTTCCAGAAGGTCCAACAATACATACATTTGATCCTCTTTCGATTTTTAAATTCAATCCATTGAAAATTGGTGTATTTAATCTAGATGGATATTTAAAATTAATATTTTTGAATTCAATATCTCCTTCAATTGAATCAATTTTATCACCAACATGAATTGGTATGTTTGTTTTATAATCCATTAATTCAAAAATTCTTTCTGATGCTCCTAATCCTTTCATTAATTCTGAATAGAAATTTCCAAGTCCAAATACTGAACTTCCTGTATAAATAGCATACATCATAAAACTTGATAAATCTCCTGCAGTTAAATCTCCACTAACAATTAATTGATTACCAATTACTAATAACCCAATAATTGTAGTATTTCCTAAAAATCCATTAATACCATAATAAATACCAGATAATTTCCCCTCTCTTAATCCATTATCAAATATTTTCTTTACTTCATCATTATATTGATGAATCATTAACTTTTGTTGTGAAAAACTTTGAATAGTTTTAATTCCATTTAATTTCTCTTCAGTGACTTTTGTCATATCACCTAAATTTTCTTGAATTAATTTTGATAAACTTTTAATTTTGCGACCATAAAATAAGGACAGTAAAATTAATGGAGGAAATACTAATCCCATACATAAAGTTAATTGCCATGATACATAACACATCATAGATAAACCAACCATACCACTAATAAGAGATCGAATACCATCACTAATATTCCCACTCAATGTTTTAGATATGATCTGTGCATCATTAGATATACGAGAAATCAAATCTCCTGTTTTCATACCACTTCCATTTGGTCCAACATCAAAAAAGTAAGCATCTTGTGCTAAAATCTTCAGAAACATTCGTGATCTTATTCTGGCAACTAATCTTTCACCTACTGATCTTAATAAATAAGTTCTTCCAAAGTTTGCAATGGCACCAAAAGTAAATAATAATCCTAAGGCAGTATAAAATTGAGGTGGACTCAATCCTAATATTAGTTCGGATGAGTCTGAATCTTCTTTGTTGTCGTTTTCTTTTTCTTGCTCTTTCTCTTTGTCGTCTTCGTTGCTTGCCAAGAGCTTGACTTGTCCAGCATCTATGATCTTACCAATAAATAATGGTAAGGTCATGGAAGTAGCTGAAGTTATGACCAAACAAAGCAAAGCAAATGCTAAAAATTTATATTCAGGTTTGGCTAGTAGGAGTAATTTTATTATATCCTTTCCCATAGTCTTTGGTTTAGCATCTTCAGATGAAGATGTTTTACTATCTTCAGATGAGGTAGAAGTGGAACTAGAACTGGAAGTAGAAGTAGAAGTGGACGTAGAAGTAGACGTGGAATTGTATCTTTGATGTGGACGTATTAACCATTGATTCCTAGTAAGGGTATTATCCAAAGACTTCAATAAAGATACAGAATTCTTCACTTGTGCACTTGATCTCGATAATGATGTAATAGTTCGGAGAACACTCGGAGATACAATTGAACGTCCAAGTGCTCTTCGACCTACCACCAAAGGTAGGACTAACCCCAATCTACTAAGGCGTATCATCAACCACCAACTATATTACTAAAATCTAATTATAAGTGGTCTAATATATACTTTAACTTGAGTAGCTTACATTAGGTCAACAAAAATTACAAACTTCGATTTCGAAGTATTGACAATTATATGCCGGGCACAAAAATTAAACTCGGTATTAGCTATACTATATACCATATTATATATATGCGGCTTTATATCACCAAAGTAAATCTATTAACCTTAGCTAATGCCTTTAATTTGTTCATATCATCATCATTAATATTATTTCCTCTTAGTTCTAACCTGAAATCCTTATCCTTTATGTCATTAAATGTCGTTTCTTGAATATAATCCAAATGAGGATTATTATTTAATTGTAAATTAATTAATTTAGGTAAATGAATTGATAAATTTAAATCATTAGCTAAAATTACAATAATATTATCATTTAATTTTAAAACTTCTAATGATGAAGGTAAATTTATTATAAATCCATTAGTAATTTTAGTTATTAAATTTTGACTCATATTTAATATCTTTAAATTAGGAGGAAATTTAAAAGACATTGATAAAATATCTTCAATATCATCATGAACATTTTGTAATACATTATTTGATAAATCTAAATATATTAAATTTTCAAAACTTATTAATAATCTACTCCATAAATCAAAATAAAATGATCCTATATCACTTGCCTTAATAGTTAAATTTATTAATTTTTTATTTAAATATGGGTTAGATGCCATATCAAGTAATATTTGAATAACACTTGATGATATTGAAGTAGGATTTTCTACCCATTGTAAATTACAATCAATTACTACATCAAATTTTTGGAAATTATTCTCAAAGTATATAACTAATGGATCTATATTAGCTAATTCTATAGTTCCTTTCTTTTTCCTTTTGAATAATCCATGTAATTGTTGTAAATCTTGTATAAATGTATGATAATCATCAGATTTACGAGTGAATCGCACTGTAATATTCTGGGGAATACATCTTTGAAATATAGCACTTCTTCGTCTTTGAAGCAGAAGAATTAATTCAAAATCCTTTATGATAACTTGTCGATCTACAATAGTTATCTTATCTCGAGAATTATAATTCGTTAAAGATAATCTAGATGAAAATAGTGCAACATACATTAAATCTATTATCTTATCATCATCCGACCCGATCAAATCTATCATGACATTGATAACATCTTCCAAATCTTGAGGACTTAGACTCTGAAATACTTGAATAAGTAATTCGGGTGGTAAATCTATTAGTGATGATACCATTGAATTATCTTCCTTCCCTTCTATACCTATTTAAACTTAATATATAGTTAATCTTACTATATAATTATTATTGTAGTTATCATTATCAGATTAGTATTTTTCTCTTGTGAGCATTCTCCACAGTTTTACTTAATTTACTCATACATTCATTATCTATATATATAGTGGTTATACAAACATTTATTCTTTTATTAATCTATGGCATCTAAATCCATGTCCATATCAATATTCATTTCTTTGTCCAATTCTGAATCTGTATCCATAGTCATAGTCATATCACTATCTCTCGTAAACATCCTAGTATTATTAAAATTATTGTTAATCTGCTCATCGGAAAGATAAGTTTTCTCCATATCAGTATCGGGATCAAATTTAATATTATCCCAATATGTATACTTTATATCTTTAATATCCAAATTATCTTCGACTGAATTAGCTATTTCTATTCTTTGACGTCTTCGAGCTTGTCTCTTTTTCAATTCTATCATATCTAAGTTATTTTCATTTAACAATATTGTAAAATAATCATCAATTGTAAGCTTACCTTCTCTAATAAGTCGAATAATTTTTTCATAACTCGAGAATTTCGGTATTTTTGAATTATTTTGTTGATTAAATTTCTTAATAAATTTATTAAATAATTTAACACACCATTTTTGAAAAACATAAACAATTAAGAATTTAAAGTTATACCACTTTATTACCTTTAAATGTGAATTAATATATTGTTTATAATTTTCATATAATTTATTCAGAAAATATTGATTTAAACTACTTATGTTATCATCTTCTTCTAACTCTTTAAGAAATTGAAATGATTGAATTTTATTACTGACAATATATTTATTTTCACTAATAAAAGTATCATCTTCAACTAATTCTGGTATTTCTGCATCATCAGTAGGTTTATGATTATTATTATTATCTTTCAATGATAAATCATCGAATAAATTATCGAGCTTGATTCTCTTATTTCCATGAAAACTAGTTAATAAGTCTTCGTCTTCTTCACCATACTCAGACGCAGACTCTTCCGATGATCTTTGATGTTTTCTACTTATATGCATATATCCCCATACTATTTAATCGGTTATAAATAATCTTTATTAAAGGATTGCATTGCTAATTTGTATTATTTCGTTAGTGTTCTAGATATTTCTACAGAATTAGTGAGTGCGCACGCCCCCATGCCTAAAGAAGGAAGGAATTTTTGCAATCGCAAAATAAAAATATGTATGTGTATTTATTAAAGACAAGTTTTAAACTGAATCAATAGCTGGTGATGCAATTACTGACTCTATGTTTTGAAGTACAACCAATTTACCATCCAGTGTTAAAGATTCACTAGCAATAGTTTCTCCACTAGCAACTTCATCACTTCCTGAATCTCCATTAGAAGTTGTATCTTCTTCTGCTTCAGGTTCAATATCTATTTCACCTTCTGTCTCAAGTTCGGCTTCTGCTTCTGCTTGTGCTTGTGCTTCCGCTTCCGCTTCTGCGTCATTTGCTGTTATATTTCTATGATCTACAGAGCCTCTAATTTCTTCTTCTAGCTCATCCTCTTCTGAAATTGAAGAACTTGTAGAAGCATTTCTCACAGAATTAACTTGATGTATAGAATTTGATGTAGACAGGGCATTATCAATACCACTATTCGTTAAGGCGATTGGAGTAGAAGGAACTATCAAGAACTGTGAGCATAATTGATCATAAAATCCTTTAAGTTCCTTCAAATCTTTGATAGTTAATGAATCAAAATCAACATTATGATATTTAAATAATGTATTACTTGATAAATCAGAGATCGATGGATGAGTGGAATGCAGAAGTTGATGCTGTTGTTGCTGCGGTTGCTGTTGCTGTTGTTGTTGATGCGATTGTTGATCAAATACACTTGAGGAAGTACCAGATGGCATCATAAACTTCTGAGATTGTTGACTAATGTTATTGAAAAATTTGTCCATTATCTGTAAACTTGTCCCTCTACTTCTAGAATCACTTCTTTTAGAGGGAGTTGTTGCGTTATTTGAAGAAATAGACTCCAAATTTTCATTATCTAAGGAATGCAACGAACTATTGGAAATATTCTTATTAATGTTATTAGTTACGACTTGAGTAGGTATCACTACATTTGATTGTGGTTGCGGTTGCGGTTGTGTTTGAAAAGATACCGAACCAGTGGATGAACTGGAAGCAATCAGTTGATTTTGTGGGGGTGGATTATTCAATTTTGTCATAAATTCAGAAACTCCATTAGTTAATTTAGCTGTAATTGAATTCCTCTTACTATGTACACCATTAATAATGGTGGAAGCAGATCCTCCTCCATTTAAAGCAGTTTCCAATGATGAAGACCTTGTTCTGGAATGGTGGGGTGAAATCTTATTGATTAATAATGTTGATCTTCTTTGAGGACTAGTCGATTCCAAACCTGAATTAAGAAACTCATCTGATTGGGGAAGCGGTCCAAAGAAGTCAGGGGGTTGAGAATGAGAGAACTGCAGAACCAGTACTGAAGAACTAAATCTACCCAATATATTTTTCATCATGTTGAAACCACTATTTAAATCTAAAGAATCAGTTTGACTTGATGATTCTGTAGTACTGGTATCCATTAAACTTGGAAAATTTTCTTTAAGTAATTGGTTGGAAGGTTTTAAAGTATTCATAATAGAACTGTTTGATCTCGTTCTTGTTTCAGAAATTTTATTGGATATAGTATTAAGAATGGAGGAAGATCTCGATCTACTTTGAGTTTGTGTTTGAGTTTGGGTTTGATTATGTTCCGATTCAGATGATGATAACTGCAGAAGTGCTGATGCTGTTACTGAATGTGTATTTGTTGACGTTGCAGTTTGTCCTTCATTCAGTTTCTGTTGTTGAATTTCTTCTTTTAATTTCCCATCAGGAAATTGAAAATGGGTTAATAATTCTTCGTCTACTAATTTTGATATGGGTGTTGTAAGTAATTTATTAGTAGTTGATTCAAGATTTGAAGGTATTGATTGATCCAATGATGCATTATGAGACATTAATTCATTAACGGTTATATTTGATAAGAAGACAATTATGGCTTCAAAATTAGTTAAATAATAATTTAATTCACCACTATTAAGATAAGTTTCTGATAAATAATTAATTAATTCTTTATCATCAGCAAAGAATTCATCAGATGATGAATCATGAGAAGAATCTTCATTATTATTATCAACTCCAGTGGTATTAATATTTAAAAATTCAAATAAATTACCTTGTTTAAAATATTTATTTTGAGTTTTATCTGTTAAAGGATTATAAGATGATGAAGAATATAAATTTAAAGGATAAATTTCAATTTTATAAGGATCTATCAAATTTAAAAAATTTTTAATGAACATAAAATTTAAAAATAAATCTTTAGTATTTAATTTATAAATTATGAAATAAATTAAAGTTGGTAATAATATATCATTATTAATTTGACTATTTTTAAATTGTCCACTCTTAACAAATATTTTAATTAATAATTTATGAATGGATACAATGCTAGATAATTTTGAATATGGTGTTAAATTTTTACAATTTAAATCATTAAAAAGTTTTTGAATTACGATAAGATCAACCTTAGTAATTGAATTTATAAATTTAATTAATTTTTCATTATTTTCTGTATCATCACCACTATTTTGGCTCTCTATAAAATGACTGAAAGGTAATTTTAAGGCTTTTAAATTAGCTAATTTCTCAGTTAAGAATTCTTGATAAATTATATCCTTTTGATCAAATCTAAATATTTTATCATATAATTTTATATCATCATTATTAATAGAATTAAATAAATTTAACTGAGCAGATTCTAAACTTTCAAAAATGATTAAAAACTTATAATAATTAAATATTCTTAATTGTAATAAAGCATCTGGATCAGATCTTTTTAATAATTTTATTGAAGAAGAACTATAGTTGGCTATGGCAAGAAGGTAATCAAACTTTTTAGGATTACTATTAAAATAATTAGAACTAGCGATCAACAGTTTCTTAGTAGAATTTGATTGAGTAAATATATTGACGATTAATGATTTCAAATCTCGATAAAAGTATTGAAATAAATCAGATAACTCATCTATTGTGAGGGGAGACTGATATCTTGGTTCTTTTAAATATTTTAGGAAAAGTTGATTTAATGTTGTAATTTGTGGATGTAAATCGGAAGCTGATCTTACTTCCTCCAGTAGAGATCCGGCAAGTAAGTATGGAACCGGAGTATCCATGCTTAAATGACTCTATATTTTTAGGATATTATAATGGAGTAAAATTAACGAATGCTTGGAGCTTGCGACTTGCGACTTTAGATTTGTATAGATCAGAGTTTAGGCCATACAAATAAGGAATAAATTAACTTGTAGGTTGATTTTATGCTGAAGTCTTCCGAACGTGTTGGTTACACTAATTTAAAATGTACCCAAAAAAAGGGATGCTATTTAGTATGTACAGGATACCCGAGTTAAGTATAAAGATAACCAGATGGGCCGTAAGTATCACCAGAAAAAATGGTGATTAACTATCAGTATTAGTCTTGATCGAATAAATGTATTAATATACTAAGGAGTGATATTAGTAGTTAATATCAGAAGAAGAAATAGAAGAAACAGAATATAAATTTGAATAAATATTTTACTCATCCATCATCTACAGGCTAGATAAATAATATGGGCTCCCCGGCAATTTTTATTGTGGAATTACCTTTGAGAAGAAAATACTACGCTACTTCAGGCCCATCATCTCTCTATGCAGAACTAATCTATTTATTGAATAATTAAGTTATAACTACTGCGGATAGGTGGGCTGTGGTATTCAGGTACCTTGTTTTATTCTTAGATCATAGGGCTTATTGACGTGTTTGACTTAGTGTATGTAGGCGCGACTAAGCCTAGACTTTTTATCTATGTTCTGATAACCCTCGCTAGACGAGCCAGGACCCCTCAAGATATGCACTATTACCTTACATTAACCTTAAAATAATAAATGAAATTGCTACACGTAGCCTACATAAGGAATAGCTGTCAAAAAAATATCCTGAGCATTACCTTACACTCCACTTACATAACTTCAATGTAGACCACGCTAAAACTATATCTTTATCGTGCATCCGGTAATGTTTTAAAATTCAACAATTTTTTTTTTCGCAAGCGTTTCAAAATCTCTCAGCCTAGAAGCGTAATATTGGCGGTAGCAATCATTCTTATAACACGTAGAGTTTAGTCCCTGATCTGATTATTAAAAAGGATTCTTATTGTTTGTATTATTTATTAAAGTGAGTTGAAGGGATGATATGTTTTCTTTTCATTGTATTCCAGTTGCTCTGAGGAGAACGAGTAATTGGTATGTTGGTCTTCAAAATTATTGATATCTTCTACTACTTGATTTATGATTTAAGATGTAATTACGCTCAATAATAAAAAAAGTAAAAAAAAAAAAAAACAAAGATCAAATGATTCTGCCCAGGATCGAACTGGGGACGTTCTGCGTGTTAAGCAGATGCCATAACCAACTAGACCACAGAACCTTTTGATATGTTACCAACAGGTTTTTCTCTTTCACGAAAATTTGATTTGTATCACGTGATTTTCATAGTTAAATAAGCCGGAATTACCCTCGTATTTAAATTCCGAGGAGTAAATTCGGACATATTTGCAATTTTATTAATTCATAATTGACCATCAATTTTCATAGAAAGCATACAACTTAGTTCAAATATTAAAAAATACAACTAATGCATGTTTTTAGTTAAATAATTTTCAATTTTAATCTAGTAGTTCGTGGATAGTAATAAGATTCTATTATCTATTTTCAAATTTCGTTAAATATTTTGCCAATTGTAAAATAAACTCTAAACAGATTAGCGAGATGGTACTACAAAATTATTTAGCATTATTAATAATATAAATTATCCATACAGCGTATTAACTATCTGTACTTCCTGTAATTTTTATGATTAGATCCCATCGTCCTGAGTTATTAATCTTACCTGTCAAACATCACATTGAGTACCAGCAAAAATTTACCCGGCGCATCTAACAAAAATTTATAAGAGAAATGAAAATTTTTTAAAATATTCTAACAAATACTTCACTAATAAATACAACCAATGAATTATTAATTTCAAACCTCTGTTATAATGAGTATGTGCAATATATCAACTTGCTGTTGAATGCTATATTCATTACGTTTGTGATTTTGATTGTTATGATGATAACCTTTACTCAGCTCACTCAGAGCTTCTAGCGATGCTGATAAACTACCTTTTCCAACATTCATCAATTTATCTGATTTAACATTTAATCACAAACGTATTGAAAATTGTTTCATATGCTTACCTCTTATTTATTAAGAAATTATACTAACAATTACTCTTCTACAGGATAATTAAATCTTTTGTATTGTTTTCTTGCTATATCAATCTTTTATGACTTGATTATAAGTAATTGAGAAATTCTACATGTCAATAATTATGGATTGCCACTTCTGTATATTTATATATTTCTCTATAATAGTAAATTAGCCATTCTTTGATGCAATAACTGGACTTTTAGGTCTGAGCTCTTCAATTTCTTCAGTTTGAGGAACTAAGAAGTGAGCATTACTATAAACATTACCATTTCCTTGTGTAGAATTCATTGAATTTCCAGAAGATGAAGCCTTGTAATGAACAAAAGACTTAGAATATAACTCTTCTTTGTATTGCTTTGGATTAAAATTATTAATCATAACATCAGGACTCATTATAATCCATCCTGGTCTCAATTTCACAGGAGTGTCATATCCTGTCTTAGATGGAATAATATGTAATCTTCTATTCGAATTTGAGAAATTTTCTGCAACTCTATATAAAGCATCGGGTACAGCATTCTTCTTTCCATTAGTGGTAGTTGATTCAATTTGTAAATCCGTATCGACATTGCAGTGAATTAAATGATTATCTGTGGCTCTTCTAACTGTACCAGTAATACACATCCAACAATGCCATTGTTGTCTTTCAAACAAAAGAATTGATTCATCAACACTTTCTCCTGGAAAATAGGGCGAATCCTTATCAATTGGTAAGAAAATTAACTCTTCAGATCTTCTAAACTTTTTATTGAAATTATCATTATTCAATAAGTTAGTCAATTCTTGAATCTTTTGAGTTGTTGCCCAAATAAATAAGAATCCAGGCTTGGAACATAACTTATGGAAGGGAATATTATTCAATATAGGTAAGATAAATTGATTCTCTACCAAAGCTCCAATCATAATTACATCAAACTTAATTCCATAGACTTCAATCCAATGGTATAAGGTAGGAATGATTTTCTCAGTGGGGATCCTTACTCCATATGGTTTAACTGCATGTTTGATCATTTGACTTCGTTTCAATTGATGAAGTTTACTTAGCTTTGGATAACCTTCAAAGGGATTATTTACATTTCTGATGTATTTGATAGATGAATCATTTCTTACTCGTGCATCATTATGTAACACATGATTACAAAAATCCATCTCATTCACTTCTTGAGTCTTACTTTTACCCGTATCGTTAACTGAATTAGAGGATATTGAAGTATTAGAAGAAGATGAAGAAGGCCCAGAGCGTAAATCAGTAGATGAATAAGACACAGAACTTCCTATTTTTGAGTCACTCATACTCCTTTTGGTGACCCTATCAGTTTGATTACTTCTTGTTCCATACTTATTGTATGTATACTTATTTGGTAACATGGCAAAGATGATTTGAAAATAATTTACTTCTAAGTCTTAGTACACTTTTCAAATTGCCTATAATCAAATTATCCTTCTACAGGTGGTATTTTATACGTTGTGTGTTAACCTTGCCACATCCTTAATCCGCCTAATAGTGTTTCAATCCTTGATCTATATACAGGAAGCCAAAATTACCTCTCAAATTGGTTGCAAATTTTTGTTGCGAGTGTTTCAAATTGGTGGTACACAAAAAGAATTCTGCTACAAAGTTGTTTTATAAGTACTAGCATTAAAAGTTTGCTGTTTGGGAATAGGCTGGGTTGAAACATAAATGGAACTGTCTCTGTCCTTTAAATCTGAAAATACCTCTACCAATGTTACGTCAGCTGCAAGAATCCTGAATAATTTATCTTATTCGTCTCAGTTGGTTGTGCCAAATATTAATTTCCATCCTCGATTTATAAGATGCAACGATCTCATAACAAGCATATTGGCTATGGTATGTTTTAGATGATTATTTTATACATAGTGTAATTTCCATACTAATCTAAACATTTTAATCTGTTTCAGAAATGTCATTATTTAAATGATTCATTCAAAATAATTCACGAGGATCAGTTCATTATAGACCAAAAGGTTGATAAATTAGTTACAGTATTAAGTGAAATTAAAAGGGAGTTCACTAAAAGAGAAGATGATAAAATTATTATAGAGGCAATTTATTGTAAATTCTATGAAAATCTTTCTCAAATAAATTGTGGAAATGCTTCCTTTAGAGTTGTTTTCAATGATCAATTATTTTTATATAAAATTTTAGTGAAATTCCTTGCAACTCGGAAAATTATAGATTTCTCTCCCGATTTCTTACAACATATATCAACGTGTTGTTATAGACTATGCTTTTACATTTCCCATTTTGATATCTTGATTTTGAGAAAACTTTATATAAACATAAGGTTATTTTTAGATAATTTTCTAAATGCTGCAGATAAATTCCCATTGCTAATCTCATTTTGGTTAAATAAATCATTTCATGGAATATTAGAAAGTGGTCAATTTGAAACAAACCTGCAAGATAGTGCTTCTGTTATAATAAAATATTCAACAGTCCCTATATATAACTTGGTATTCTCTTACCTTTATAACTTAGAAAAATATGATATTTTGTATATTCTTGAGAAATTAATTGCCATTTACAGGAAAGACCGTTTAGTTGAGCAGTGGTTTCTAAAGAATTCAGAAGCGTTATTCAATGATTTATTAAGAATACCTAGGAGGCATCTCACACAAACTAAAAAGATTAACCAATTTTTAAAGTCGGTTTCTAATTTCTATTTTATATTAACTACTTCACCTTATGGCTTGCTGGATGAATTGTTGCAAAGATTTGTTTTGTGGATAAAGACTACTATAGACGCTCAAAATGATTCTAGAGTTCCTTTAACACCCCTGATTTTATTTCGGTCTCTAGTTCAATTAGCATCGTTTGAGAACCTGAAGAAATACTTTCTTAGAATTATCTCCATAGAATCTATTTGGTCATATATATTAGGATTGAAGGGAAATGCGGAATATTTTGAAGTGATTCCATTTTACAATAGTTTAAATAGCTTGTTTGAAACCAATAGAGAGGTGTTAGTATCACTTCTAACTAATTCAATAGAAAATTGCAACACATTAGTATCTATTGATGAATTAAGAGTTCAGTGTTATCAGATATTACATGGTCAAGAAGACTACTTACTTGAGAAATTATTGGATAGGACAAAAGAGCTTCATCTTATAACAAATTATGTGTTAGATAAAACGAATGACTTGGTTAAGAAATTGTTAGACGGGTTAACATCTTTCTTTATGAATAACCCAAGAGAGAATGATTACATTTTAAGAATTCATCATCACGCTTTGCTACTGATTGACTTGTGGCAAAATAATCAATACAGATTCATATTAATGGGTCTATGCCAGTCTTATTTTCATTTTCATTTAATAACATCAAGTAAAGAATATAAACAAAAATCAGAAGAATCCTTTTCACAGGAGAGATATGAATTAATTAGTGTCAAACATACCGACTGGGAACAACCGTTCCCCAATCTCAAGTCTGGACAACAAAATTTAATTCTTTTCCAAAAGCTTCTATCTGATACATATTGTTATACGAAACTTAGGTCCGTACTCCAATGGAAAGAAGAATCTAAATCTTCTCTTCACGTCGACAATAATCTATAAGTACCTTTTTATGTAGCACTCCATAATAGTTTCCTCCCTTTAATAAAACAATGACTCTAGTACCAATCCTATCAAAAATCAAATGTGCAAAACTTAACACACTATCATGATGTATAAAAATAGGAGAAAAATCTATAAATTTGATGAAATTGATGAGTTCTATAAACAATTCTGCAATGTCCCCAGTTGGAATTTCATTTATCGATCTATAATTGAAGTAATCAATTTCATTCAAACTAGCAGACATATGATTCAAAATATCTGAATTGTGTCTTTCATGGAATTCAATGGCTTCTTTCTGGTATGACTTGGTATAACCCAGTTCTGATGCTACTTTACAATAGATTTCGTCAATAATATTGTACTTACAAGCAAATTCTTGTACTCTATCCAAACATAATTCTAGCTCGGAAAAGTATATTAATCCAACACAAACTTTATCTCTAATTAGAGGTAAGCATCCATCCAATAATGATTTATCGGCTAACAATTTTAGTTTGGATTCTAAAATCGCGGTTGCAACGTAAGGGGAGTCGGAAATATCGATATACAACTTATCATTATCTTCTTCAGCCACCAAATCTTGAACTATACTTAAGTGTTTTGGTTGCTTAGAAGAGTTAGTTACTTCTTCGTTAAAAGTTTCCAGAACATTAACTAAATCACCAGCAGTAACAAATGGATCAATAGCTTCATTTTCTGATGACATGAAGGGATAATCATTCTTAATCAATAATGCTTCATATAATGAATGTTTCTCGAATAATCCACCACTCCAATTAGCAACTGCTATTGCAATTGAAATTGGGAGGACATATGTATAAGAACTTGTCAATTCAAAAAGAATAGTAACTAAAGTAATATTCATTCTTGTTACTCCAGCCATAAATGCTCCTGCACTTATCATAGAATAAATCCCAGCATCCACACACCGATCCTTTTCAGGTGAGCAAATATACTTCATAATAGATCCTGCATTAGATTCTGACAAGTCAGTTATACTTAAATTATATTTGAAGTTCAAATACTGAATAAAGAGAGCAAACACTCTTCCATATAAAGCACCTGCCACCATTGAAGGTACATATATACCACATGGTAATTTCAAACCGAATGTTACAAATGTCAAAATAACTTTGACAATGAATGCAAAAATTAAGGATTGTAATTCCTTTAAATATTGAGGATGCGTTGTAGGACATAAAGTCGTATCTAATTCCGAGGCACATGATGTGGCCAAGTCTAATACCAACTCTGATGAAGCTTGTTTTGTATATCTATTCCAAAAAGTAACTAATCCTGTTAATAAGGAGATACAAAATACTTCCACTAATGGATGATTTTTAATATACTTCAATTGTCTAAATTTGGTTGGCCACCATCCCACAAACTTTACAAACAATGCGCCAAAAATACCACCTGCCATTCCTAATCCAATGAAAAACAACAACTCTATAGGATTCCAATCAGAAGTATATTGTAATTCAAACAATACTGTCTTTCCTGTCCCATATGGATTAAGAAATTTCAAAAATAAAGTTGAAATTATTGCGCAAAAGAATATTTGAAATAATTGATGAGAAGGAAGATAATGATTAATTTCTTCCAAAATGAATAATACACCACCTAATGGTGATCCAAATGCAAGAGCTACTCCAGCAGAAGCACTAGCAGAAAGAATTTGTTTCTTTAAAAGTTCATTATTATTAATAAAGGGGAAGAATCTAGTAGCTATATTTCCTACTGCAGTTGCTAAATGAACATATGGTCCTTCTTTACCTAATGCCATTCCAGAAGCTATTGCAAGGATCAAAGTGATTGTTTTTGTGATTAATGTATAAGTTCCTAAAAATCGTCTTATAACAAACCCAGATAAAATAGTCTTAACTTCTGGAACACCAGAACCGTAAGCTGTATACATTACTCGAGGACCAATTTGTGATGTTGAAGAAGGTTTATCATCTCCATCCTCATCATTATCTTCATTCGAAGAAATAGCAGTTCCACCTACTATTTTAGTAGTTAAAGTAATTACACAAGCCAAATGTGCAAGTAAAATAGTTAATATTACATATATCCAAAAATCAAATCTTAATTTACTGTAGAATGGTATATCTTGAAAGAAAGCTGACCATGAGAGCCAATCTTCACATTGATCTTGATTTGTTTTAAAAACATAACCTGATTTAAAGACATTTCTTGATAATGGCTTCCCCACACAACATGATACTTGACTTGCAAACCAATTAGATTTACAATAACCATGTTTAAAACCAACCAAAAGAATTTCAATCTTATCGATTGTATATGCAATTAACGAGAAGATAAAACCAATAATTACAATTAGAACCCATTTACCTAATGTGAAATATGCTTTATAATAAAATGGTAAATTAATAATTTTATCTTTAGTTTCCAGAAACCATTGATTATGTTGTAATTCAAAATTAAATTTATTAGTAATAATAAATGCCCTTGCCCAATCAATTGTTGTAAAATCATTATAGTAATCTCTTAATAAATAGATTACATTTGGACCGATACTTAATAATCTAGATGACATTGTGCCATTTGTTCTTGAAGAATGTAAAGAAATTTCTTCATTTATATTACTTTGAGTATGATCTAAAACAATAAGACTATTATTATGTGGAACCGGTGATAAATAAGTCGATGTCAGACGTGCAAGTATAGGAGATCTAATATCGATTTTTCCAAGAGATTTGATTTTATGAAGGGTCATGGATGGATCTGACGGATGAGCTTGAACCAATGGTGTACTTGGGACTGTCTTGACTGTTGGAGCTGTTATTGATGGAATATTCGAAGAAGATCGAGCATGGTGTCTTGGAATATTATGAGAACTCTCAAGATTTAATGACGGAATGGGATGCCGATGAGCATTATTAGAATTTGAAAGGATGCTTGGCAGATCCAGCTGAGATTGAGGGTCGGCTGGTTTAGCAAATGGTGACCCTTTACTCATGGAGTTTAGATCTGCAATGGATTGATACTATGAAATTCAAAATGCAAAATTAATAAGAAAAATATTAAACAAATAAAGCATACGATATACAGTTAACGGAGTCAACAATTTACTTATGTCACTTAATCGGTACGGGATTGTAATATAAATCTTACTATAAATACCAAGAAATACGACCTTAAATTTTGTTTTGATCTATGATGCAATCAACGACTGCATGCAGGAGATTACCATTCGGTAGTGATACTGATTATTGACGAAGACAAAATTGTGCTTAAAAGGGTTAAAATTCGATAACAAATGTTAAAATATTTATTCTAAAAAGGAAATTATATTGTAGAACAATATATATATTTGCAATCGTAATGGTTTATGTCGGAAATTGGTTAAAGTTTTAGTTGCAAATTTCTTTATGAGAGAGTTGCACGTGATCGGATATATCCTCCGGTCGGGAATTGAAGGAAATAAAAAAGTTACATGTGGGGCAGAAGGAAGCCAGCCGAAGGAAAAAATAAGCCCAGGATAGGCTGTAAAATCTGGGGTAGCTAACGAGACAACCAATTTACGAATGTCAATTTTAGGCTATATTAAATTCTAACCATAATGATTGGTTGAACATGGACTCCGACCGGAGTATACATATTGACAGATAATCCGAAATGATAATAAGATAACTAAATCGATCGTCGAAGGAAAAACACTCAAAAAATATTATAAGTGATTGTCATGTGCTAATGAAACAAAGCGCATTTCAAACCATAAGCTATACATTGTTATAGTTTGACACTTACTTTATCCGTTACTATTTAAGTTAAGTGGTATTCGGACTAAAAGAATACATTTCCATAATCAAAATAAATGAAATCTATGATTGAGTCTGAAAAGTTAACTTAAACTATTAAGTGCAAAATTTTGAAAATATATTTAAATAGATATTCTGTGCCTATATCGGGATAAAAATTCGTTTAATAGTAGTATTATAATCGCGATAGATGAAGTACGAAATATCAGCTTACAAATGAACTACCTCACTTCGGAACGATATCACGTAATATACCCGTTTTAAACTATACATATCCAGTTTTGGGAAAAATTATCAACCCGGAGGTTTTTGGAACCATAAAAAATTCGCACCTCCGAAACCTTACACCCAAAAATTGATTTGGTGGGGTTATTATTGGCTCTTTACCGTAAGTATAAATAGTTACGAATTTTCCAATATTAGTGTGAAATATTTCAATTTTTGATCTCTGAATTGCTTTTGATAATCAGAAGTTGGTATAGTAGAATTTATTGCAAATATGGCTGAAATTAAGAAAATTAAGGTTAAGAACCCCATTGTTGAAATGGATGGGGATGAACAAACTAGAATTATTTGGCAATTCATTAAGGATAAATTAATTTTACCATATTTGGATATTGATTTGAAATATTATGATTTAGGTATTGAATACAGAGATCAAACTGATGATAAAGTTACCACCGATGCTGCAAATGCCGTTTTAAAATATCAAGTCGGTGTTAAATGTGCTACTATTACCCCAGATGAAGCCAGAGTCAAGGAATTTAACTTGAAAAAAATGTGGTTATCTCCAAATGGTACTATCAGAAATATTTTAGGTGGTACTGTTTTCAGAGAACCAATTGTTATTGAAAACATTCCAAGAATTGTTCCAACTTGGAACAAACCTATTATTATTGGTAGACATGCTTTTGGTGATCAATATAAGGCTACTGATATTATTGTTCCAGGAGCTGGAGAATTATCATTAGTATTTAAGCCTGCTGATGGTTCAGAACCTCAAACTTATAAAGTTTATGATTTTGAAAATGCTGGGGTTGCTTTATCTATGTATAATACTGATGAATCAATTCTTGCATTTGCTGAAAGTTCATTCACATTAGCCTTAGAACGTAAATTGAATTTATTTTCTTCTACCAAAAATACTATTTTAAAGAAATATGATGGTAGATTCAAAGATATCTTTGAAGATTTATATGCTACTAAGTATAAGACATTATTTGATGAAGCTGGAATTTGGTATGAACATAGATTAATTGATGATATGGTTGCTCAAATGTTAAAGTCTACTGGTGGTTATATCATTGCTATGAAGAATTATGATGGTGATGTTCAATCAGATATTGTTGCTCAAGGTTTTGGATCTTTAGGTTTAATGACATCAGTTTTAGTTACTCCTGATGGAAAGGCTTTTGAAGCTGAAGCTGCTCATGGTACCGTTACAAGACATTACAGACAACATCAACAAGGTAAAGAAACTTCAACCAACTCCATTGCTTCTATTTTTGCTTGGACTAGAGGTATAATTCAAAGAGGTAAATTAGATGAAACACCAGAAGTTGCTAAATTTGCTGAAGAATTAGAAAGAGCTACCATTGAAACTGTTTCAAAAGATCTTATTATGACTAAAGATTTAGCCTTGACTCAAGGTAAAACCGACAGATCTTCTTATGTTACCACTGAAGAATTTATTGACGGAGTTGCTAAAAGATTAAACAAGAACTTAGGTTATTAGATTAATCCGTGAAGTGAGTGTTCTAACAATATAAAGTGTCAATATTTATTTAACTACATATAAAAAAAACTTTTATGTATGAAATCGCGACAGGTCGTGCGCACCCTCCGAAAAATTTGTAGAATACTGTAGTTCGAAAAATCTTTAGGAGGAGCTGACTATGGAGTATAGTCCCGGAACTAAGTCCATACTGAGCAAGTATTAATTAAGCATATAATAATAAGTATTGATTACAATTGTCATATATCAGTAGTTGATAATAAATGTATTTAATTAAAAAAGAATGAATGTGGGTTCTATATTAAATAATGATACACCACCGAGTGATCACGAGTCAGAAGCCCAAACAGACCAGCAACGTCCGCCATTACCATCGAGAAATTCATCAATTCCTACAAATTTATCAAGTCATGAAAGACACTCAATCACAAATATATTAAATGAACCAACTCCCACACCGTCATTTCAACAGAATGTTCTGAAGGATGAATTTCCAAAACCTACTATAGTTCAACAATCTTCAAATGGCTCAAAGTCCAGCGCATCTAGTAGTAGTGTTGTTAATAGTCAAAATAATTCACCATATGCTAGCAAACGAAATTCCATAGCTAATATTATAACAAATGATAAAGATGATGTTGATATAACCACCGACAAAGAAACTGAAGTTAAAGAGTCCGAGTCACCTAAGGCTAAACCCGAATCATCACCACAAATTATAAAAGAAGAAATACAAAAAGAGCCATCTCCAGTTGATGTAAAGGATCAATTATCAAAACTTGTAGCAATTAAAAAGAGCCAAAAACCTAAACGATATGATACTCCACCAATTTGGGCTCAAAGGTATATTCCACCAAATAGAAAGAATTTTGATAATTTTAATAATAGTAATAATGTCAATGGGAATGGAAATATTAAATATCAGATCACCGATAAACCTGTGTTTGATTATACTGCCACAAGAAGTTTAGATCTTCAAGTAAGTATCACAGGAGTTATACCACCATCTTCATTAACTAGAACAGTGGCTGAATGGATTTATGCCAATTTTTCAAATATAAATGATAGTAATCGTAAGAATGTGGAATTGGAATTAAAATTTGGGAAAATCATGGATAAACGTACTGGTAATAGAATAAATGTTTCTGTAGTAACAGAATGTATATTTACTGATCATTCAAATACATTTTTTGATATGCAAGTTGAAGAAATTGCTTGGAATGATATTAAGAAATTCTTTGAAGAATTAGAGAAAGGATATCAAGATGAATTAAGAAATTTACCACCAGATGCACATAGGTCAAGAAGAAAATTCAATATGTTAGAATCAGATATAACGGATACATTTTATCAAGTTGGAGGTAGGGGAGAGCATATTAAGCGAGTTCGTATATCGAAAGATAATAGTTTGAAACCTCCTAGATTTAATGGTATTGAAAAACAAAGAGTATCTGATTTATTTATTCATGTTCCATCATCAATGTATGATTTAAGATTATCATTATCACTAGAAATTCCAGTAGCAGAAAATAATTTGGAACCAATTATGACTAAAAATAAACCATCTATGGTAAGAGAAAAGAAAAGAAATACTTGGACTCATGCACCAACTTTAACTCAATTTGATTTAACTAGAGTTTTAATACCTCGAGAAGCTAAGAATAAACATGGTAAAACCATAATTAATCATGATGTTAATTATGAAGTTGAGTTAGAAATTGATACATTGGAAGTATTTAATGCAATAGATAAAATAGTGGCAGGTACTGATAATTATCGTCTAGAAGAATTGGTAGAAATTTTTGTAAACAATGCTAGGGTATTAAATAATAGGATTACCAAATTAGCTCAACCATAAGAAATCTATCAAATATGTAATATAACTTATCATTAACACTATTTTTACTGTACTAATAAAAGTGTAATATTTTACCCCAACGTGTAGAGTTCAAATTGTGAAAAATTTGAAAAATGTTTGTTGACCAAACGCGAACAAAAATTTATAAATAGGCTAGAGCTGTAGTTAGACAACTGGTTGTTTCTTATATATATATATAGAAGGGAAGGAAAGCTTATTGTCATGTTAATATATATAGGAGCATTTATAGTTGTGTTATTTATAACGGCTTATGCAACCATTATATTTTTCTCTCATACTCCTCGATTACCATTCCCTCAAGAGAGTAAATATATAACCAATGATAATAGTGATGAATTATATGATTTACCACCTAGAATAACTTCAACAGATACTAAACATAATGAATATGAGATTTTATTAAGTATAGTGATTCCATGTTATAATGAAACAAAACGTTTAGGTAAGATGTTAGATGAAAGTGTTGAATTTTTAACAGCAAACTATAAAAATAAATTCGAAATTTTAATAGTAGATGATGGATCTAGTGATGGAACAGACAAATATGCATTAAATAAAGCTACTGAATTAGGCTTATCGCCTCATATATTAAGAGTTATTAAATTACAACAAAATAGAGGTAAAGGTGGTGCAGTAACTCATGGACTTTTACATAGCCGAGGTAAATTTGGATTATTTGCGGATGCAGATGGTGCCACTAAATTTTCTGATATTAGTAGACTTATTGAATTCATGAATGATTTAAAAACCAATGAACCTGGTGTTGCTATTGGATCTAGAGCTCATATGGTCAATACAGATGCAGTTGTTAAGAGATCATTTATAAGAAATTTCCTCATGTATGGATTACATACATTGGTATTTATATTTGGAATTAGAGACATTCAAGATACTCAATGTGGTTTCAAAATGTTTAATTTTGAATCAATTAAAAATATATTCCCTCATATGCATACTGAAAGATGGATTTTTGATGTGGAAGTTTTGTTGTTAGGAGAAATTCAACATATGACTATGAAAGAATTACCAGTAAATTGGCAAGAAATTGATGGATCTAAAGTTGATTTAGCTAAAGATTCTATTGGAATGGCTATTGATTTGGTTGTTACTAGAATGGCATATTTATTAGGTATTTATAAGTTAAATGAATCAGGTAGATTAAACAAAAAGAATCAATAAAATCTTTACGGATTTTATTTCATATCCGGAAAATGATTGCATATGAACACAGATACATTTAGAGACATTCGTGCATAATATACAAAACTAAAGGCTAATTATTTAAACATATAACGGTTTCATAACGGTTTATAAGTTTATATATGAAGAAAAAAACTATGGCGCTCAGTCATGTGGTATGATCATATAGGGATAAAATTATGGGGTAATAATTTATAATAATTTATTACATGGCCCCTAATTCATTTGAAATTTTTGTATAAATACTGGATGAATTGAATTCCTCCGTTTATAGAAATAAATACAACAATTGTAATTAATAGGAATTACAGTACAAAAATATCAGTTTTTTTGAAAGACAATAAACTCCTCTAGATATGACCGTTGCAGAAGAATTTGAGGCAGCTAATGTCAAATACGCAGCAAATTTTGATAAAGGACACTTACCTCTTCCACCTGGAAAACAAGTTGCAGTTGTGATTTGTATGGATGCCAGAGTTGATCCTGCTGGTATATTAGGATTAACCGAGGGTGAAGCACATGTAATTAGAAATGCAGGAGGTAGAGCAACTGACGCTTTGAGAAGTGTAATTATTTCCCAAAGATTATTAGGAACTCGTGAACTTGTCATTGTTCATCATACAGATTGTGGGATGTTAACATTTAATGATGGTCAATTGAGAGACATTGTGAAGAAGGAGACTGGACATAATGTTGATCACTTTGCTTTCTTACCTTTCTCAGACTTAGAACAAAGTGTTAAGGATGATGTTGAGTACTTTAAGAAGAATGAATTAGTATTAGACGTACCAATTTCTGGTTATATTTATGATGTTAAAACTGGTAAGCTCAACAAAGTAGTTTGATAAATTCAAATTATTATGTATAGGAGGGAGACAGTTTTAATGATTCAGAGAGTAAATTTGGAGTTTGAAGTTTGGAGTTTGAAGTTTGGAGTTTGGAGTTTGGAGTTTGGAGTTTGGAGTTTGGAGTTGGGGGTTGTGTTTGGAATATATTACTGTTAAGAATCAATGTTTTTGTAGATTAGCTAACTAGTTACTTTGAATATAATACTAAGTTAAGATTTGCTTTTGTGTATAGATGTAATTTTTTGCAACTATTTTTAAGATAATACCAACAATATAAATTAAGTCTCTAAATAACTTTGACAATTGAGCATCTCAATTACAGTACTCATCAAAAAACAAGCCCACAATGCTTTATATCCATAATTCAATTGATGGATAACTGATATACTTGTTTAAACTTGGCACAGCTTACTATGCTGCAAAGACTTTCCTACATATAGCCGGGGATAACTTTTCTTTTTTCGGAAGCATAACAAAATCCATTGGCTTACTTTTCAAAGAGATATATGAATGAATAAGCACTAATTTTGACCATTTATTCTTTACAGAATTAGTGCCAGTGTGTAAGACACAGTGGTAGAGAAAATTAAACCGATTTTGTACTATTAGACGATTGTGAAAGTAATTGAAAGGAAAGAGAATTCATTGGAATACATATACGCCAAGGACTATACTTACACATTAATAGATTAAAAAGTATATAAAAGTAGAATTGTCAAGATAAAATGTATGTTCGTCTACCATTTGATGAATTCAAACTTGATCCTACTCAGAAGAGACGGGTGGCATATTTCTATGATCAAGATGTTGGGAATTATTTCTATGGCACTGGTCATTGTATGAAACCTCATCGTATAAGAATGACACATTCTTTGATTATGAATTATGAATTATATAAAAAGATGGAAATATATCGTGCTCAACCAGCCACCAGACTTGAATTAACTCAATTTCATACTGATGAATATATTGATTTTATAGCTCGAGTGACACCTGATAATTTACATATGTTTGAGAGAGAACAAATTATATTTAATGTTGGTGATGATTGTCCAGTTTTTGATGGTTTAGCTGAATTTTGTAATATTTCATGTGGTGGATCTATGGAAGGTGCTGCCAGAATAAATAATGGTACTTGTGATATAGCTATTAATTATGCTGGTGGATTACATCATGCTAAAAAATCCGAGGCTTCGGGATTCTGTTACTTGAATGATATAGTTTTAGCCATAATTGAGTTATTAAGAGTACATCCAAGAGTTCTTTATATTGATACTGATGTTCATCATGGTGATGGTGTAGAAGAAGCTTTCTATACTACTGATAGAGTTATGACATGTTCCTTTCATAAATTTGGAGAATTCTTCCCTGGTACTGGTAATTTAAATGATATCGGTATAGGAAAAGGAAAATACCATGCGGTCAATGTTCCTTTAAGAGATGGGATTGATGATGCCTCATATAGATCGATTTTTGAACCAATAATTCTGAAAATTATAGAATGGTATCAACCTTCAGCCATAGTTTTACAATGTGGGGGTGATTCATTGAGTGGTGATAGATTGGGTCCATTCAATTTATCAATGAGAGGCCATGCCAATTGTGTAAGATTTGTTAGATCATTTAACCTTCCAATGATGGTTGTAGGTGGAGGTGGATATACCATTAGAAATGTTGCACGTACATGGGCTTTTGAAACTGGATTATGTAATAATGTAATATTACCAAAAGAATTACCATATAATGGATATTACGAATATTATGCTCCAACATATGAATTAGATGTTAGATCATCCAATATGAATAATGCCAATTCTCCAGAATATTTGGATAGAATTTTAACTAATGTATTATCTAACTTAGATAACACAAAACATAGTCCATCAGTACAGATGAATGAAGTACCAGCATCATGGAATTTTGATGATCTACTCGCAGAAGATGAAGAAAATGACTTGGAAGCTATTGATACGAAGGGTGGATCTCAACAGGCTCGTAATAAAATCATTCAACCTGAGAATGAATTCTACGACGAGGAAGATGCAGATAGAGGAGAAAAGAATATAGACATTCAAAGTCGTAATGGCAATAGTAATGGTAATGGAAATAGTAAGGCTAATGGCAAGAACACTGTAGCTGAAGTACCAGCAATAACTATCAACTCCGAACAAAAAGTACATGAAAGCACTGCTACTAATAATGAGAACAGTAACGTCACACTAACTGATGAAGAGATGAATGAGATTGATAAGTTAAACGATGAAGTGTCAGAAGAAGTGTAAAATGTAATCTAAAAATTAATAGTAACGAACTGTATATATTAATATAACAATAAAAGGATGTTTTATAGTATTCACGTTGTAGAGAATTTTACTGGTTCTTGAATCTAATATGCAATTTACTTGAGCCGTTACTCTATGTATAAAGATAAAGCTACTATTCAGAATTGGTAAGCTCCACTTTGTGATCCTTATAACACCATCATAATGTTGCCTTATTCTGACCCTTCTTGAATATATCAGGGACATCTACTAAATTTGCTTTAAATCCTCTTCTTCCCTGGCTGTTTTGTGCAAATGTAGTAAGAAGATCTGGTCATCATGTTTCAATATTAAGAATAATTGCTATCAATTGAATTGATGGTTTCCTCATTTACAAATTTCCCTTCTAGTAGTTGTTACACTACGATTCTTCTTTTATAGTAAATGGAGTGCCATTGAGCTTTAGTTGAAGGACTCCCATGAACACTTCTCATTTTTTTTTGAAAGCTGAGAGATGGTTAATATTATTACCCTAAGGGCTGATGTTTACACTTCCACTCATTACTCAGTTTCTGTAATAAACTCATTTTAACGATAAGCTCTCCTCTTGAATTCAACATTCAACTACATTCAAGGAATTGCTGATTTTGTGCGATTTTGGTTTTCTTTGTAACTGACTTTCCGTTTTGGGATGGTTGCAAATGTAACATAGCTCTCAGTGCGAGACTGCATAAAACATCCTTCTCCAACTACATGGTGCTTTCCTCATTGTTGACTTAACCACATGTGTATGTATTAGAATAAACATATTAAACACAAAATACTTATAAACTTTGATATTTTGAATTACAAACTCAAGAGTTACAAAAGCCAAAACAAAAATAAATAAATCAGAGCTCCAACACATGCAACGTTTGCAATATTAGCAGAGTTAGAGGTACTAGTAGCTGTAGTTGCAGATTCACTGGATGAAGAGTGCGAGGTAGTAGAACTAGTGACTGCAGCACTTGCAGAGCTTTCAGAACTATGAGAAGAACTAGAAGTTGCAGTGGTTTGTCCATTAGTAGAAGAGGTTACTTGTGTTGTTTGGGTAGCACTAACCTGTTCACTTGTAGTCTCTTCGCCCTCTGTTTGAGCAACAGTTTCAGCTTCTGACTCAGTCTCAGCTGCAAAAGCTAAAGTACCCAAATCATTACCAGGAACACTATATACGCCACCTCCTTCAGTATAGTATTCGGAATAAATCGATGCAGCTTCACAATAATTAGAATGTAAGTTTGCTGCTCCATAATCTGTAACAGATTCTTCACATAATTCACAATCAGCAAAATCATTCCAGAAACTATCGTCATCTATGTTACAAATACAATTAAGGTACCCAGGATCATCTGTATTTGCATATTGGGTGCAGTGTTTTTCAAGATAAACACCAGCTTGATAACATCCATTGGTACAACCACTGACCGCTCTTTTATAGAGGACGTCAATAACTTTGTTAGCAGAATTTGAGTAACCTAACGAGATGAATAAAGAAGTGACAGCTAAAATTTTGTACTTCATTGTATTAGTGAATGGAAATCTAGAGAACTAATTAATTATTCTAATTGAATGATAAATTAAATCGTATTCAAAACTTACTATTTCAAATGAAGGAAATATTTGAAGGTTTTTATATACATAAAACAGTCTCAACAGTTAATTGAGCGGGGATTATCGAAGTATCTATTCATTATTTCAATAAAAACTATAAGCACTTCAGAATTATGAAAAAGGAAATTTTAAGGTTCGGTTTTCAAGACAATACAATACGGCTCCTTATATTTTTTTGTAAAGTTCAGGCGGATGATTTACAAAGCCCCAATATTCATATGCCGTATTATTATTATTCATTCCAATAAGCCCTTATCTCTAACTTCGCCTATAAAAATATTGCACCCTATATTAAAAAGTATGGAATAAATCGAAGATTCGTGAATGCAAAATGAAAAATATTCTTTTTGCGAACTTCGTATTTTTACCCATAGGTCCTGTAAATTACGAACTTTGGTCTTTTTCTAACTTTAATTCGGAACAATGGACCTCCTGCCTCGTTTTCATATTTTTAGAAATCTGGGAATATTCAGATGAATTTGGAAGTATGTGGAGGGGTTATGTAACAACAAGTCTGTTATCAATTAGGGGAGTGTCATCTCTTCGTATCTTATTGTCACGAAATGTGTTACTTAGTAAAACAAACTTCCAGAAAGCCTTGTTCAATTATAGGAAGAAAGATGTATCCTCTTTAACGAAGGCTTTGTGACATATATTATATCTTACACAAATTGTGTTTGGTTCATTGCAGTTTATTTAGGAGAAATTAATCTTCTAAAGTGTAAGAAAATTGCGCCAAGAAGAATTTTATTTTTATTTTTTATTCGTATATATAAACGCGAAGGGGAATGATCCTAATTTTTAAACTGACCCAGCGTCTGATTATTTTCAGGGGTTTACCAAATTGACCCTCTTACAGTAAATCTAACCGGATTTCATGTAATATGGCTGGTCTTAAGTGCAGGAATTGGTACGACATGAGTTTTACTCAGCCGTTCTTGTGACAAATATCGGTGACTATGTTTGCGCTTCTGTTTTGAGCTCATGCGAAAGTATGTATGCTACAAAAATTTGCAATATGAATTATAAAATTATCTCAAAACCAGCCATAATCCATGTATTGATCTGCTTGACTTCTATGAAGGACAAATCAATAGCCAAATAAATTTCTAACAAATAAATTAGATCCTTCCGAGGTGGTTGATATACACTAACCACTCCAACTAAAACACCCAAAGGTACATTGATTCCCATTAGACCACAAATAAACATATATTCTGGATAAACTTCTTTTAAAATCCACATAGAATTAGATAGAATCATGAAATAACCAATAACTAGGAATGTCTGAATGAAAATAGATAATAGATTGGTTTCAGGATTTTGAAATTATGACGCAACCAAAGTTAAACAACCAATTAAAGATCATCCTGATACAAGTACAGACTTATGACCAAGACGATAACCAAGCTGACGGCTTAACATAATTATGTGTACCAGAATAAAGATTAGTGGGTTTATAATTAGAACTTCTTTAAGGAGAGAATACTTAGTTCCGGAGTTGATAAGTTCCCCTATATTATTGATGGTGGATAAATTTGCCACTATACCCGCATGAGCAACAATTTGTGAAACACATAGCAATGCCACATGTAAAGCTGCAAAATCGCTCATTGATTTATACAACAAGTACAAAGATATCAGTAATTACCCAAGAACACTTATAAGAGCCGAACAATAAAAAATAAGCGAGGGAACCTGCCAAGTTTAGTTTTCCGCCGCATCTTACACATTTTGCGGGGAGGACTAATTAGGTTTCATACTTGAAAAGCTATTCATAAATATGTAAATATATCATACAAGAGAATGGGTATGCGATTATTTGTATGAATCCCATATCTAAAATGACATTTAACCGGAATTGGTGTGCTACGAATATTTGCGCTTCTATTTTGGTCTCTCATGCGAAAGCATGCTGCAAAAATTTGCAATTTATATTGTATGATACGAGGAAGTTAGTTGAACTTCCAGCTAAGAGGGTTATATTTGTCATTTCTGCATAAACTTGAAAGTATACCAATATATAAGGACTGTTGCTGCTCCATAGATCACTCTGCCCACGAGCTCTAAATCCCTCTCTGAATCTGCGGCTGATGTATCAATTCATTCTTCAGTATTAGTATAATCAGATGACAGTAGAGATTATACTAGCTTTAGAGACTTAGGTGAAGTTGTGGCAGGTGAAGCAATTTTTATTACATTATTCGTTGGACTGACTGAGTCAACTTATACAAGTATGACCTCATTTATTTGTATTGCAGGTATTAGGGATGTGAAACCGGAAATTGGAGAGGTACCATTAAGTAGTTCAGACAATAGGGAGACTAACATTTTGAAGGTGTTCGAAGAAATGGTTCAAGACTTATATCAAGTGTCCTTTCAGATAAAGTTTAGTTAATTCCGGTGATGGAGTTCAAGGATTTGTAAATGGTTTTATCATAACGATGTACTAGTTTCAATTTTGAAGTATTTGGTGATTACTTTTATTGTTTTATGCATCATTTAGAAGTTTAAAATCAAGTCCTTGGTTTCTAGGTTTTACGTTTAGGGATAATTCAAAATCTGAAATATGTGAGTTCATATTATCCCAGCTAAAGCAATGTATGAATGATTAGGCATGGTATCACCCTAGTTTCAATTTCCTTCTTGGATTGGATCATTTTATAATTGGACAATACAATGACCAACAATACTGACGTGACAAAACTATGATTAGGGTTTGTCATTAATTTGTATGTAAACTTTTGGAGGTAATTTTGCTGATTTTGTATGTTCCAGGGAAATAAGAATGATACTAATTGGTCGTGGTACTTAATTCAGAGCACAATATGTAAAAGGTTCTAGATCTCGCCCAAAAGCAAAAATAGAAAAAAAAAAAAGAATAGTAGAAATTAAATAAAAAGAAATTACTACGTTACATTGAACCCTTTTTTCTGAATTGATGCTGCATATTTCTAATTACGAATGGTCTACAGTAGCCACTCAAAATGGATGCAAATAACGCACAGCAATAATTATAGATATACACCATACAGGGCCCCTTCTATTAAAATAACGATTTTATGATACTGAAAGTATGACTAATGTACAGTATAAATTTTCTAAAGGGCACATTTCACAAGCACTTTTCAGAAGTTTGATTTCTTCCTGCGAAGAAACTTAAATGAAAATTCTTTGTACCACCAAATTTATAATTAAACAACGCTGGGAGTATTTTAAAAAAAATGACACGTTTAATTCTGTCGTTCTCTCTCCCGAATTCCTTATAATTATAAGGTTGATCGGGTACTGAGTTTATTTTAACCAAAGCTAGCAATTATTTTGAATTAGGTAAAGAAATAGGTTTACGGGACTGAAACAAGTTATTTGACAGAAGAACAAAATCAAGGTATTACCCGCTCACAAGCCTATTTCGAGTTTAATTATTCTAAAATGAATTATATTAATACTATATTTTAAGTTAAGACTCAGATTACATCGAGGGAACTTCCCGATTACAACTTCAGTTCTATGTGATCAAATTTTAAGTCTTTCTTAGTTTGATTTAAAGTTTTGTATTAGTATGATACATAAGAAATAGAAGCAATCAGCAAAACAAGAAAATAAACATAATTGAACTTACGAGATGATGGTTGCAAAATGAAGACCCATATGCTTCCTGCCTGCCATACACATGAACACTTCTATTTTAGATTCCAAAATCAATATATATATATATATAGTGGACCAAAATCGTTTCAAGGTGAAACTAATTCACTTTTGATAAGCAACGCTTTATGAATCAAATATGTTATTAAGAAAATTTATTGTTACTGCTATTCTTCAGATTTCCCTTGTATTGTCATTAAAAATAAATACAAATACTATTACAAGTGGCCCGGTTGAACTCAATATTGGCTATATTGAAATTCTTCCAGGTGTGTATTGGTCTATTATAGACAATGCTATTTCAATATTCTCAGGAGATATTCTTGTTGGTGTTACGGGTGGACTTTACATAAGTAGCACTTCAAACTTGATTGCATTACAGGTGAAGCTACTTTCCGGTCTTGAATCATTTATTAATAATGGAATAGTTTCATTTAATTCAGTTAAATCATTAACGACATCTGACTATGAAATTATTGGTCTTTCATTTACAAATAATGGGAAGTTCTATATGGGTAGCAATGGTGCTATAGAGCTCACTCCTGCTACCATGTCAATCACGAGTCCTTCATTTCAAAATAACGGATTAATGGTATTTTATCAAACACAAAGAAACGCGGGTTGCGTAATTCTTGGTTCACCCCATGGTTCTATTATAAATAAAGGTCTGATTTGCTTATACAATCAAGTTTACCGACAAACCACCCCAATTTATGGTACAGGATGTATCACTGCCAGCAAAAATTCAGCCATATATCTTGCGAATCCCCTGTTAGGTATTTTGGACCAAACATTTTATTTAGAAGATGGCAAATCAAGTATTCAGGTAGATGCAACGACAGAGCAATCCTACAATATAAGAGGTTTTGGTAATGGGAATAAAATAGGCTTGACAGTTCCGCTTGCAGTTTTATCGGAACCATTTTCCTATGACTCTGAAAGAGGTATCCTAAGGCTTAATGGGGGATTATCACCACAGCATTTTCGAATTGGAACTGGGTACGATCCTGAGTTTTTCTCTCTAGATACGGATCTTTCCCAAGGCATTTTACCAACTTTCAATGGTGCTGTATCCTACTCGGGCCCAGTACCCAACCCTGGTTTACCTGATGAATGTATACCTTACGAGCCATTACCCGAATTACCACCAACAGAAAACTCACCATTCACCACATATGCTACCACCGTGACAAATACTGACGAAGAAGGAGTTGTTGAAACCGACTCAGGTATTGTTATTGTCACTCTTGATGAGAACGGAGATATCACCACCACTACTTCGTGGTATGAGCCTCCACCATTCACCACATATGCTACCACCGTGACAAATACTGACGAAGAAGGAGTTGTTGAAACCGACTCAGGTATTGTTATTGTCACTCTTGATGAGAACGGAGATATCACCACCACTACTTCGTGGTATGAGCCTCCACCATTCACCACATATGCTACCACCGTGACAAATACTGACGAAGAAGGAGTTGTTGAAACCGACTCAGGTATTGTTATTGTCACTCTTGATGAGAACGGAGATATCACCACCACTACTTCGTGGTATGAGCCTCCACCATTCACCACATATGCTACTACAGTTACTACCACAGACGAAGAAGGAGTTGTTGAAACCGACTCAGGTATTGTTATTGTCACTCTTGATGAGAACGGAGATATCACCACCACAACTTCGTGGTATGAGCCTCCACCATTCACCACATATGCTACCACCGTGACAAATACTGACGAAGAAGGAGTTGTTGAAACCGACTCAGGTATTGTTATTGTCACTCTTGATGAGAACGGGGATATCACCACCACTACTTCGTGGTATGAGCCTCCACCATTCACCACATATGCTACCACCGTGACAAATACTGACGAAGAAGGAGTTGTTGAAACCGACTCAGGTATTGTTATTGTCACTCTTGATGAGAACGGGGATATCACCACCACTACTTCGTGGTACGAGCCTCCACCATTCACCACATATGCTACTACAGTTACTACCACAGACGAAGAAGGAGTTGTTGAAACCGACTCAGGTATTGTTATTGTCACTCTTGATGAGAACGGGGATATCACCACCACAACTTCGTGGTATGAGCCTCCACCATTCACCACATATGCTACTACAGTTACTACCACAGACGAAGAAGGAGTTGTTGAAACCGACTCAGGTATTGTTATTGTCACTCTTGATGAGAACGGGGATATCACCACCACTACTTCGTGGTATGATCCTCCACCATTCACCACATATGCTACTACAGTTACTACCACAGACGAAGAAGGAGTTGTTGAAACCGACTCAGGTATTGTTATTGTCACTCTTGATGAGAACGGGGATATCACCACCACTACTTCGTGGTACGAGCCTCCACCATTCACCACATATGCAACTACAGTTACTACCACAGACGAAGAAGGAGTTGTTGAAACCGACTCAGGTATTGTTATTGTCACTCTTGATGAGAACGGAGATATCACCACCACTACTTCGTGGTACGAGCCTCCACCATTCACCACATATGCTACCACCGTGACAAATACTGACGAAGAAGGAGTTGTTGAAACCGACTCAGGTATTGTTATTGTCACTCTTGATGAGAACGGGGATATCACCACCACTACTTCGTGGTATGAGCCTCCACCATTCACCACATATGCTACCACCGTGACAAATACTGACGAAGAAGGAGTTGTTGAAACCGACTCAGGTATTGTTATTGTCACTCTTGATGAGAACGGGGATATCACCACCACTACTTCGTGGTACGAGCCTCCACCATTCACCACATATGCTACTACAGTTACTACCACAGACGAAGAAGGAGTTGTTGAAACCGACTCAGGTATTGTTATTGTCACTCTTGATGAGAACGGAGATATCACCACCACTACTTCGTGGTATGAGCCTCCACCATTCACCACATATGCTACTACAGTTACTACCACAGACGAAGAAGGAGTTGTTGAAACCGACTCAGGTATTGTTATTGTCACTCTTGATGAGAACGGGGATATCACCACCACTACTTCGTTTTTTACTGTTCCAGCATTTGAAAGTTTTGGTAGCGGGAGCTTGACTAATGTTGATGGACCTATGGTAACTGAACTGGGTGTTGCTGTTGATGCTATTAATCAAAATGAAGTAAGCAACAGTACTACTTTCAATATTGTGAATGAAGCGGATAATATCGCATCAGAGGCGACTGTGTCTGTTATTGTTGATGACAATGATAGTGAGAAAGATGAGGTCACCACTACTTCGTTATTGTTGCTATCTCATCCATTTATTACAAACAATACTAATGTGACTACCACATATGATAACGAAGCATTTGTAACAGACTTTGCTGTATCAGCAGATAGATTTGTTACTGTTACTACTGGTAATTCTGAGGTTCCTGTTGAATGGATAGATAATAGTAGATATGATGGAACTCATGACTCACCATATGAAACATCAATATTGTCTAGTATAGAAACATCATCAACTACTCCTTCGCATTCAGTTGTTTCTAATATGTCATATTATGAAAACAGTTCTTACAAGACCAAGCCACAAATTTGGTATTATTTTATGTTATTATTGACTTGGTGACCTATATGATTTTAAAATTATCTTTATATCCTTTATATTCTTTTATATAGTCCGTGTTAAGGTATTTTCTACTTTTTTTAAATGTTTTGCGTACTTCTAAGCGTCACTTAGGTATTAAAGTTTTAATCTTTTAGCAATTCTGAATTTTGTTTATATTGCCTTATATTATTCAATTACATTATATTTAAAAATTCGCATTTAATCTTCATAAATAAATAAATTAACTATTTATCAGACCTAACTAGCCCTTGCTATATATGGTCTATGTATAAAATTGAGCAAACGTAATGCAACTATCTAATTGGAAATCAACAAAATAGAATCTTTGATCGAATCTGAAATCTAACCTCTTATTCCCTTCATCAGTGGTATTAGAATTAGAATCTTATCTTTTCTCTGGAGTCATGGCGTTGTTCCAAATCTTGTCTTTACTATTATTTCTCCAAACATAATAAACTTTAGTTAAGAATAATACAGGAATCAAGGTCACAGTAATTAAGAACAATTGCATAATTCCTTGTTGATAAAGCGGTAAATCATCCTTTATGTAAAATTTTTTAGCATATCACCAATTTTGTATTAGGTAATAATATAGTTTGCAACCATTTTTTTTTTCCTCCAGGAAATCAAAGTGATTTGATGAAGTATCAACACCATCTGTTACTGATGATGAAGGTTGGAATGATCTTGCTAATGAAAGTCTTGATTAGGTAAGGATTATAGATTCAAAGGTTATTTTATATTTCTACGGTAAATGATTGTTTTTTTTTTTTGATATTAGTAATTTTTGATAAAAACTTCATTAATACATTATTATTATTACATCTAAATATACTACTAATTAACTTAATACTGCCAAAACTATGGTTAGAACCACTATGGTAAGCACAGTGAGGAGTAGACAGCTCCATTTTCCTTTCTTTCTCTGTAGTTCATCAGCCTGTTTTAATTGTCTATGAGCCTGTTGCGAATTATCTTGTAGCTGAAGGATATTATCTTCTATAGAATCGATTTGGTCACCTTGTTGTTGCACTAGTCCGTGCAATTCCTTATATATTTCATTAATCTCTTGAACGCCACTATGGATTTGATCTATTTGACGGTTTCTTTCTTCTGTGAGATATATATGAGTTTGTAAATCTGTTTCATCTAGCATATCTGGAACTTGTTCTTGAATTTGCAACTGAGTTTGATTATCATTTACTAATAATGGTGTTGTTTCTGAGTATTTGCTTTCTATACTCTGGAGTGGATAATCTTTCTTTCTTGCATTATACAAGTTTATTGACTTCTCAAATTGTCGAATCAATGAATTATATTCATTAGTCAACCTTTGCTTATTTACGGTCTGCTTGTTAGTAATTGATATACTTGAAGGCTGAGCTTGTGTAAGTTTCTTATTCTGATTCATTAATTCATCAAGTTCAGATATTAAATTATCAATGGCCAAATTCTTATGTCTCATACTGTCAATCAATACATCTGTCTTATCTCTTAATACCTGACTATCTCGCCTTGTTCCTATATTTTTCCTCTGATTATCTAGTTGTGATATTAAGTTTCCGAATCCCTTAACTTGGTCTGATGTTTTGGTTAGTATTATGTCTAATTCATTATTGGGAAGAATAGACTCTAACTTCCCAACATTCGTTTGGGCTTCATAGTCGAAATTAGCGAACGACATTACTCTTAAGTCTGACTCTGGTTAGACACCAACTGTATTGGCATAGTTAGTCTTACCTCTTGTTCTTATGCGACATTTCTTTCACAATTATGTCGCATCCACCTGATAAGATTATATGCTGTAAAAATGTCGTGCGGGGCACTCTAGAGTCTGATTTTAATAATATTTTCTTCATTGTTTCTAAGAGGAATACGGTCGAGCGACTAAGAAGATCGACACAATTGAGGAAAATAGTACAACACGATTATTGAATATACACTCAGAAGAAATGTCAGGAAGAAGAGTAAAAATTCCTTAATTAGCTATCAGAGAGTCTAGTTACAGTATTGGACCTCGTGCCTACTACTTATCTCTTAATTACTTAGCTCTTATTATCTCTCATCGTCTACAGTGACATTGCATAAAGAAGAAAAAAATTCATATTAAACGTGATCAAGTAATAATAATCATTAAATATGATCGTCTTAATTGTCCACACGAAGACCAATTGAAAATCATTGTTTAGCCATAAGAATCTGATTGGACATATTAGTGCGGTCTAGACAATGACTGTCGTCTTGACAGTTAATCGTCAGATCATTGTTGAAATTACTAGTGCAATTATATTAAATAATATATCAAGTGAGTTTCTCAAACTACATACAAAACATAACATTCACTTATGAAAAGCTCATAGGATTAAAGTTTAGAAGGAAGCAAAAGCAAACTTAATGAGGTAGACTTTGAGACCCTATTGGACAAGCGAACACCTGGCAATTCTGTACATACTTAGACCCTATGCAAATTAAATTCTTTTATGTCAATTTCACGTGATCGTAACTCCTAAATTAAAACCTTAACATCGTATATAAGCTATAGAATTTATTTTATTAGGTAAGTCTAAACAAAATTCGCGTAATGAGCCACAAAGTCTTTCATGTCTTTGTCGTCTAAGAAATCTTTGAGCGCCGTCTATCCAAATTGGGATGAATTTGTGAACAATTGGCATTTTTCTGTTCAATAGGGAAGGTGTCATACCGAATTAGGCAAGCGCGCGAAACAAAAACGGGGAGAATCAAAATAAACAAAACCGAGCATTTGCGGATATGCATACATAGTTAATTAATATTTTTTAAGGATATTTCTCATGTTAAAAGTCAAATCAATATCAAAAATTAATAGAAATCAAATGCCGTCTAAAAAATTTTGTAAGTTTGATACTATTACAAATTCCCCCAATAAACAACATCTTTAATCTTGTTGGAGAAGTAAAATTTTGAGGATTTTACCTCTAAAGAAAATTTTGATCATTAGTTTCTTTTCAAGTGTTTTTATGCTATAACATAACTTATTTCTTTTGATATTCATTCAATTCAATTTACAATAAGTATAGTACCAACTACAAAACATCAACTTACCCTAGTCTTTCCTTTATAAATTATAAACCTTGTTGTTTTGTTTCATTATTTTAGCTATAGTCATTCGTTTTCGTTTTACAAATTATATTAGCCAATATTCAAATTAATTAACAACACAACTAGATAAGTCAATTCCAATAAATTAAACCAATTATTAAATAAAAATGTTGGTCAAATCGATATTACCTTTATCCTTATTAGCGATAGCTGGGTTAGCCCAAGCTGATGAAACCGATACCACTGTTGTTACAACTGTCACTGTTACTTTGACTCTTTTAACTCCAGAGGAATCTGCAAGTTTAGCTTCTGTTGCTGCTGCAGAATCAGCTGCTTCTGTTGCCTCCGAAGAATCAGCTGCTTCTGCTGCTTCTGCTGCTTCTGCTGCTTCTGTAGCTAGTGTTGCTAGTGTTGCTTCTGTAGCTAGTGTTGAAGCTGCTGCTAGTGCTGCCTCAGTCGCCAGTGCTGAAGCCGCAGCTAGTTCTGCTTCTGTTGCTTCAGTTCTTTCTGAATCTTCTGCCCGTGCTGCTGCTGCTTCTGCCACTGCCGTCAAATTGGATGGTTTCAGAGGTGTTGTTGCAGTTGCATCTTCAAACTATACAAACTCAACTTCATCAACATACCATTCATCAAGTTACTACAACACCACTTCAACTTACCATAATTCATCATCAATTACTGCCCACCCAGACTCTTCTACTACAGCAATTACAACCAGAGCTGGTAGTACCACAGTCGTTTCTACTGCTGAAGAAGCTTCTTCTTCATCTGTAGCCGGTGCCGCTGCTAACTATGCTGTCACTGGTTTAACTGTAGGTATGATCGGAGCTCTTGCTGCCGCATTACTTTAGACAAACAAAGTCTTTTCAACTTATCACACCCTTTATTTATTCATCCCCATCTGCTTTAAATACCTTGTATCACTTTGTCGTTTCCCCATTAACGTTTGATTTTAAAATTTTCAAAAGTAGGATACCATCAATTACATTGTTAATACTGTCAATACCACACAGAATAGAATTTATATCATATCCACCATTTACTTACTCCCCTACGACCAATCTGTCAAATTATACCTCCTTTCCAATTAGTTTTCTTTAGTTCTATTCTCGTGCCCTTATATTTAAAGCAAACTTTTTATACTTAATTCAAGGGACATATGTGCTTTTTTATCATCATTGTTTTGTTTTCACCTATTATTCAGTTTTTTTAGGTATGGGTATAATTCACCCATATAATACCTCCACCTCATTTTCTTCATATATCGAATATCTCGTTAAGATTATTTGATAAAGAGATGAATTTATTATTTACGTTTTTGTCTTTAGAAGCAATCATTTAGCATCCATTGCAAGATTAGTTCCAAGTCAAGTACTATTTCACGTTACCATTTTTGATTATACTTCTTTTCTCTTTTCTTCACTCAATTTATTGTACTTAATATGTTTTTACCCATGTCTTCTCTTTTGTTTTGATTTGGATCATTAAATATCTACAATAGGGGTTATTATTGATTTGCTTTATATACAAATGTGTATAAATATGAATAAATATTATTATTGTATTAAATCTAAGTATGTGCAGATATCTGCATGTCATTTATATAGTATATGCATATAATTTAATTCGTAAGCCGAAATTGAATCAGACTTTAAAATCTTCTTCCATTAAGATCCTTTAAATATGTATCCTTTTCTATAGCATAATATTCTGCTTCTGTTAAACCTTGAGGTATTTTAGGAGGTACTTGAGGTTTCATTTGATTATTTTCTTGATCTCCATCATAGTTATGACCAACAGCTCGTTGAAATACACTGGGAGAAAATTTCCCATTACCCAAATAACCTGTTTTATCAGTTCTTAAATCAATTTTTAAATCATCTTTAGTTACTCCTTTACCATTTTGTAATTTGAGTCTTCTATTAAGATGTTCATCTGGAGTAGGAGCATAATTCTTTGGATCTATCTCATTAGGATTTAATCGATGCGGTTTATATCCATTTGTAGAATCATTATAAACACTACCAGGTAAACCATCAAACTTTTCACTTAATGCATCGATTCCATCATCATCTAATCCCATAGAATCAGCTGAAAATGGTACTTTAGCAGGTATTGAATTAAAGGATGTATTATATTCAGTTGGAGGTTTTCTTCTTGGAGAAGCTGGCTTAGAAGTATGAGGAGGAGGAGTAGGAGGCTTAATGAATTCAATTTCTTCACTTGAAACATCATCAGCATCATCAGCATCAGCTTGCATTTGTTTACGTAGTTTATCAAGATCTTCTTCATCATCATCAATTCCATAAGCACTTATAGGTGATATATTTCTACCGTAATTATTCCTAGGTGATGGAGATTTTGTTGTTGTAGTATTATTATTAATTTGAAGATGATTAGATTCATTCCATAATTTTCCAATTGGTTCTTTAGCAGAAAACTTATCCTTCAATTTATTAAACTTGGCAAGATATTTCTTTCCACCTTTTAATTCTTCTTGATTATTACTATTAACAAAGATTTCTGAATTAGCAGTTTGAGTACTATTATTTGAATTTCTCATAAATATAGATGAATGTTTCAGTGATTTATCTGAATTTAAGGAATTAACAAATACTTCATCCACTACAGTTTTCTTTCTATCTGGTGAATTAGGTGATGATGCATTTGTATAGGAATAATGTGGAGATAATGAACGAGTTGGTGATTGAGAATTAGACCGTACTTGAGCTTGTTGATGAGATGGTGAATGTGCTAAATTTGAAGCTGACCAATTATCTGGTACTTTAGGAGGTACTACAGGAGCACTGGGATAAAATGTCATTTCTAAATAGATTTGACCTGCTCTTCTACCATTTTGAGATAAATCATACCAATCGTCATGAATATATTTATTACCTTCCAATTTATCTTCTGCAAATATTATAGAACAATCAATTTCACAATTACCAATTGGTGTAGGTTCATTTTTACAATCATCTAAAACATCTACTTTCATAATTGGTTTTCTTTCTCTAGTTAAATCAAATCGAAGTTCATGTCTCCAAAGTGGTCTTTGACCAGCTCGAAATTCAGATGGAGTCTTCTTGGCTATAGTTCCAATTCTTAATGCTACATATGGTGATTGTTTATCTAATGTTCTTCTATTTGGTAAATGTCTTGCCTTACAAACAACTATTATTAAAGTTCCATTAGCCAGATCTGGTCTAAGACTTTCTGATTCAAATGATGTATTGGATATGACTTCTTCATTAGTCATTGAAATACTATGATAGGTCATGTTATAAATAGTAGTAAATTTTGTGGTTGTATGTTAACAACAACAAATACCACCTGTTTTATTAACTCCAATGCTCTTACAATGAATCTTAATCAAGTTTAATATGAAATTAGGGTAGTTAGTTTGGGTACTGCCCGGTTTGATCATCATTTGATTCACGTGACTTTCATTAACTATTTTTACTAGTTTGTTTACATTTTCGACAGAAGTCGCAATTACCAATTTGGGGCATTATGACATGCAGCTCACCTCAGCTCTAATTAATAATTATAATACTAAACCTTATGAGATGAGAAAGATGAGCAAACACTTGCCTAACATTCATTTATACATACATACGTACATACATGCGTACATACTATTGCATCTATGTGAAATTTGAAATAGCACTAATTAAATCTTTAGTAGTTTAAAAGTAGTAGCAATAATGTCGTAATTAGTGAAGTTTAATTTTCTAGACACGACATTGTCGCCAAACTTCACTGGTAACTAAATTTTTTATGGACTGTCTGCAGGACACTTTTTCAGGCTAAATTTTCTAACTGTAGTCATCTCTATCTATTCCTACTTTAACTCTATATTTAATGCCCATTTAGATGTCATTCAGATCCAGAGGTTCCGGAAGAGCGCTATTGCCGTTTGGATTGGACTATAGTGACGTTTTATCGGCGGACAACGGGTCGGAGAAGCCACAACTAGTGTTACCTATCAATGGATCATTAAATGAATATGAAGTATCATCAGCTCAACAATCTATAGCATTTAGTCAATTAATGATTGATGGACCATTTTATACTGGATCATATGTAGACCCAAAGGCAGAAAAGAAACAAAAAAATGGAACTGCTTCTAATAATGTAGTATCAAATACTGCTCCAGATGGTATTCAAAGATATTCTGATAAATATAAAAAAGTTAAAAAAATAGGTAGATCTATTGAAGAACATCCATATCAATTAGAATTCTTTCCTGAAGAATTATATTCAGTTATGGGAATAACAAACAGACAAAAGAAGAAATTACTTGCATTATCTAGTTATAAATCCAATGGAGGATTAAAAGATTATTCTATTGATGATGAGAATTCAGAATCTGATAAGGCAGCATCAATGTTAGAAAAATTAAAAGATATGGCAGAAGAATTGGATGAAGATCAAGAAGGTAAAGATGAAGAAGGTGACGATTTAGAAGAAGAATTAGATGATGAATTTGATGAAGATGAAGATGATGATTATAATGCTGAAAAGTACTTTGATGATGGAGAAGATGATGGAGGTGATATAGGAGGTAATGATGAAGCAGCCTTTTAGTAGTAGATTGTACTTTGTGCAAATCAGTGTATAGTAGAAAATATGTATAAGTATACTTATTAAATAAATAATACGGTAGATTTTTAATATGCTATTAAAATGTATATTATACAATGGATGCAAAAATTTTAACTATCTATATGTCGAATGTGAAACTATATAAGGCATTTCTTGCCCCTTCTATTTTATCAAACCATCTTCCGAACTTATGTTCTTTACTTGTTAACACAAAGATCGACACTTTCTTTTGATCAGGGATTTCAACACTATCTATTCTTACTACGTATCCCTTAATATTAGTTACTGTACCTATTAATTTGAATGATCTTAAACCTTCACTATCTATTTTCCAGATCTTAACGGTACCATCATGAGATCCAGTTATGAAAACATCACTGAATGGTATGGCATGAATGGCTGTTAACCAATAAGGTTGACGTTCTGGTATTTGTTGAGAAGCTACTTGCTCTGAAGTCTCTGCACTAGCCTTTGATGCTAAGATTTGTGGTTGTAATCCATGAGAAAGTCTTTGAGTGTATAATGCCTTTTTCTTAGCCAAAGACCATAATGATAAGTTACCATTATCAGATCCAGTAACAAAATGGGATTCATCAACCATTGATACAACTTCAATAGAACCTTCATTATGAAATGGTAATTCTTCTTCATCATCTTTTGTTATTATTTCTTCTTCTACAAACTTCTTCTTTTTCTTTCTTTTCTTTTCATCAGAATCTCCACCTCTGAAAGTTAATCTGGATTCTTCAGCGATTTTCCAGAACATAGCTGTTTTATCTCTTGATCCAACAGATACACAAGTTTCACGAGCTAATGATGAAATATCAGTAATATTATCTTGATGACCATATAATATTTCTAGTTGAGTAAATTGATTTATAGAATAGGTCCTGATTCTTAAATCAGCACATGCAGCAAATAATTGATCTGAATTTCTTCTGAAAGTAATAGAATTAACCGCAGCTCTTGTTTCTAATACTTTCAAACATGCGAGGTTTTCAGAAGACCAAATTATTAATCGAGAATCACTACCTCCTGTAACTATATATTTACCATCCGGAGATGCAGCAATACAATATATTTGATCCCAATGATGATTAGCACTTGGTACAGATGTATTAATATTAAAAAATTTAGATCCACCTTTAGTATGTTTCACTCTTATTGGCCTCTTTTTAGAAATATTCCATTTTATAAGTTCACAATCTTTGGATACAGTATATATATATGGATATCTTATCGTTAAACCTGTTAAATTTTTGGAACCTATTCTTGTTGTTACTAATGATACATTTGCATCTATTTGAGGTGAAATTTTATCTCCAATGAATTTATATACATAACCTTTAGTTTCTGCCACATCAATTTGTAATCTTCTAGCTACAATATCATTATCAAGATCTTGAGCATCGAAATCATTGGAATCTTCTCCATTTAATTCTTCATTAATATTCTGTAAATATTGCTTGGCTAATCTTCTTCTTCTATCTGCTTCATTTTCATCAGCAAATTCTTCATCTGATGATAAATCTTCTTCATCTCTATTCTCAAAATCATCTCCCGAGTCTAATGATACATTCCCTTGTTCATCTTCAGTTTCACTACCTCCTGATATTTCTTCATCATTTTCATATTGATTATTAGTTACTGGAGTATTACTTCTACTTTTCTTATTAGTAGACTTTCTCGTGGTACTACTACTAATTTTAGAAGTCCGCTTTCGTTTCCTACTTGGGTCTGACAAAAAGGGATCTCCAGCCATAGTGTATACTCTATAAATAAGTTAAGGACTGACTATTCAATTCGTTAGTATATCTTAGATCATCACTAGTAATTTTTCATACAGTTCCAAAATTTTTCTTTGATGCCATCTTGCGGGCACGTGACACCAAAGGGACAAAAGGCACCCATACCGCAGTAATTAATATATAACTATAGATATATATATAATTCATATATAGTTCGATATTTGAATTTAAGGATTATAAAGTTTAAGTTATACTATAATTATACATATAATGGTACTATATACGTTTGCCTAATAGTAAAGATTCTATATAAGTTTTTCTTTTATTGACCACCCACCCAAAGTTTTTTAATATGAGCCACCATCCGGTATTTGTAAGCCAAACAGGCAAGAGAGACATTGACAATAATGACAATGTTAATGATATTTAATCTTCTAATAAATCTTCAATATCATGATCTTCTGCCATATCATAAGCCGTTTGATGTCTTTGTCTTTGCTCTTGGAGAGTTTCTTCAAGGAATGCTTGAGTAAGCTTAACATTCTTTCTTGTTTGTTTACCCCAACCAAAAGTCTTGGATTCTTCTTCCAATTGCTTTTCAGCTTCTTCTCTAGCCTTTCTATCCTTTTCTGGCTTGTTTAATTTTTCCTTTTCATCTTGAGCAAGTTGATGTTTTGTAGCTCTAGAACCTGCCCATTGAGCATAGTACTTACGGAAAATTATATAGGCACATACAACAATGGCAAGACGAAGATACTTATAGAAGTCACTTTCGTCAACATACGAAAAGATAAAATCCTTAATGGTTTCGTTTGGGTTGATATCAGACATTCTGAACTGTAAACACTAACAGTCTATCACTAATTTACTATTGTTAAATGGGGCCCTTTGCCATATATAATAATATAAAGATCGACAATTATGCGGTGAGCTCGGCGATGGAGTTGTGTACAGGCTTAGATCAAATACGCCTAACAAAGCTTAACTATGGGCGTAGGTCTATTGTATAGTGTACAGACAAATGTAATTAGCTACCCTGTTTATTGTTTAGACTATAAGTAGAAGTGTATGGCTACAGTATATACGGATATATGTAGAAGTATATAATTGTACTACATACAAAATTACTTTGTATGGACTACAACTCATCATCATCGTCGCTATCAAATGGATCAAGTTCTGGAAAATCTCCTACTTCGACTTGTTTGGGCTTGACAAAGCTTCCGTGATTTTGTCTACATTCAAATAATCGAACTCCATCAATGGTTCCGTTATTCTTACCAACTGGTTCATCGAATTCAATACCTACCCAAATATTCTCACCTTTATCTAGTATATCTATTTTCCCAATGTAACGAATAACTCCGCGTCTTTCACCTTCTATATTTATAGTTCTACATCTATCTCCTACTTTAAAATTTTCAGCTATTTGAGCATTTTCTTCAAATTGTTGTTTCTTAACATCATTAAAACTAGGATCAAATCTTCCTAATTTATTAGTTTGTTTCCAGTTTAATACAGAATCCGTTCGTTTAGCATAATCTTCTTCACTTAATTGAAATCCTGCTTGTTCTTGATCTTCATCATCCATCATATCGAAATCATCTAATTGTGAATCAGGATTAGTATCAACTATATGTAATCGGGAATTTGGTACAATTGAGAATTCTACTAATCTACGTGATTGATCTCGATTCTCATCATATTGTTGTGCATCTGATATTACTACATACTCATTAGAATGTGTCACAGGAAAGTATTGAATAGTTTGAAATTGAGGTTGAATCCCCGTAATTAATTCAAGTCTACTTTTGAAATAGTGTAAATCCCACTGAGGAGAGATTCTTCTCTCGGAAGATGTGATCTTCGAAGTCACATGTACACTGATATCTGTCATAATAGTTTGGAGGTTGGAGTTAGTTAACAAACTTTGAAAAAGGTAAACAATAAATTTAACTGCAGTGTTTTTACTTTTTATTCATACCTCGGACCGGAATTGCTCATACTACCGGGTTTTAATTTTTCGTATCATTGACCTGCAATTTTCGTACTAGTGGTAAATCTATTCTTCAAACCGATTAAAATATATTCATACCACAATTTTTATTTTCATAGCAAATAGCAAATAGACTCATATCAATTAGATCACAGTTAGTTGTTATTGAATCTTAAAGCTACATACCGCTACTGTATGGAGTCAGCACCTGTTGGATCAAATTGACCGAAATTAGTGAGCAAAAAAAATGCTCTATGTGATTAACTCCTGTTAAAGAAACAAAAGGTTAATATAATGAACTTCAAAGCAGAAGAATTGGCCAATGGATATATAGATGGACTAGGGAATAGGTTCGACTTGGAACCTGACCTGATGTCTGTAGAGTATGAGACATCACCTTTAAAGAATTGTTTTAGTTACATTGATTTTAAAAGAATAAACGGATTTCCTGATATGGAAGTTGATCAACTCTCTGTAGATGAGCAGGAAAATGAAATAGAAATCGATACAATTTCCGAGGACCAACGTAATAATAATGGAAGAGGACCCAACAAGTATTACTCTGAGAAAGTAAGAGTGAGATTTTGGCACATGGTGATTGAAGAAGGGTGCTCAGCATATAAAGCTGCGAAAATCAACGATATTAGTTTACAAACAGCTTATACTTGGAAAAGAAATTGGAATAAACAAGTATTTAAGAATTTGAATGGTATTTACAAAACTCCAAAGAAACGTGGACGTAAAACGTAAGCCCTTACTTTCAGATGAGCATAAAGAACACTTGAAGAAGCTAATAGAAGATGATGCGGCTGTAACGTTAGACTTCATGTTACAGAGCCTCAATAGTTCCTTCGGCAACGTAAAGGCTAGTATCTCTGCAATATACAAATTTATAACCAAAGTATGTAAATTCAGTCTTAAGCGTATTTAGAAGTGGTCTCAGAGGAGAAGTCTGGAAGAGCTTAAGAAAGAAAGACAAGAATGGGCCGAAGAGTATAAAGACAAGCTTGACTTCAATAACAATTGTGTGTTTATTGACGAAGCGGGCTTTAACATTAGTATGCGGAGAGAATATGGATGGTCTCCTGTTGGAGAGAAGGCTGTAATCACAGTCCCTGTAACTAATGGATTGAATGTTTCTTTTCTTGGTGCAATTTCTTCTAAGGGTTGTATCGATTTGAAGGTGAGATCTCCTCCAAGATTTGCAGCCAACAAGAAAAGAAGAGTGGAATCCAATAAACCTCAAAGTACTTTGAGAGGTACCACAGCAAATCATTTCTATTCATTTATCAAATCTGTGATTAAAGAAATAAAGACAAATTCTGAGCTCCAAAAATTAAAATACTTGATTCTTGACAATGCTGCAATACATAAACGCCGTGATATTCAGTTATTAGTTGATCTGAGTGGATTGGAGCTTGTGTTTTTACCACCATATTCGCCGGCACTAAATGCAATTGAAGAATTCTGGTCAGTTTGTAAATCTAAGGTTAAGAGATCGAATCTAAGTAAAAAGTAGCAATTGACACCTAAAGTGATGGAAGCTACAAGTAAGATAACTACTGAAAGTTATGAAGGATTCTGTAGACATGCTAGTAAACATATCGAATTGTGCTTGAAAAACCAGTTGTTAAAAGAAATATTCGTAAAAATATAAGCTAACGAGTACAATAAAGTTGTATGTCAGGGACTATAGTCATGCTTTTCCTAGGTTGATATCTTCTTTGTTATCTAAATATCATGGATATCTAAATATCATGATGTTGCATTTCGAACGTATGATGTGCACCAATTTTCAAATTTGATTTCGGTGGTGGCTCGGGGCATGTTATTTTTATCACACGAAAACATGAAATATTATATTTGGATTGTAGTAAAGCATTTACAAATAATTGTGGTATGAATAAATTAATTGCCTTAAATGGTTTGAATAGAATTTTTATGGTACGAATAAATTCGACCTCGGAAGTACGAAAAAATAAAATGAGCGGTTTGAAATTTATTTGCCCGGTTGGTCTGAAGAAAAAAGTCGGAAGTATGAAAAAAAAGTAAAAACATATCGGACGATTTTGTTAGACATTTTTTTATAACCAATTATTTAGACTTGATTCTAGTTATTCTAGAATTCACAGATCTTATAGGTCAATGAAACGTCACTCCTTCGAAATACAGACCGTCCCATCCGATCCAATGAAATTGTCAGGAAGACAGCAGTAGTGTGCAAGTCCCGGAAGTCGTTAATGGCTGGCTGGTACAACTTAATAGATTATTAGATTCTTTCTTGCCGTTTGTCAGTGACTTGATAACTCTGGTTAAGATCGTGGTGGTAAAGATACTTAAGGAATCAGAAGTTGATACTAGACTTATGACATACACGAAAAGGTAGAGATTTGATTTAAATTGCACTCAAAATGCCCAAGCCCAAATTGCCTCCATAATCATATCTATCTATAGATAATTGAAAATCGTAGGTGACTTAAAGCTCAGTGGCAATAGAGATTATCCCGACTACGCTGTCATGAAGATTGAAGGTGAACAGTTAGCCAGTCAGTCAGTGTTAGGATCCACAATTAGTCACAATTAATCTACCTTTATATTTTGAAGGTGATAACTCATTTAACATTAATGGAGCAATTATAGATGCTATACCCACACTTAAACCTAAAACAAATCTACTACTGATCATCATTGCTCATACTGTATTTGCAGATAATCGAATAATAGTTCCTATTACGAATATTACATTGGAAACTAATAACACTCTTTTTCTACCTAATATATTAGCAGAAAGACCACCCATGAATCATCCGACAACAGCAACACCATTATCAACTTCAACAATACCAAGTCGATTAGATATGCCAATTCCTTAACTGCCACAGCTCGGAGGAATTAAAGAGATCCAGTATCCTTTTAACGAATAGGCTTAATGATGGTCCAGAGCCTCAAGTATTGATATTATTAGGTACGTATGCCAATCAAACAAAGCTGAAGAGGAAAATGCCTGGAAATTAAGTTGTACAGTTCGACTCCAAGATATTTCTACCTAATAGTATATATGTGATCTAATATTATGAATGTTTAAGTCCAATGTGGTAGACTAAACATTTCATCTGTACTATTTCTAACATATATATTTTTATACAAATTACTGACAGGAAACTACTGACAGGAAAGCACTTAGAAAATAGGAGATAGTAGGCTATTCAGGTCAAAGACTTAATAAATCCAGTTGCGTTATAATTATGTAAAATCTGATCACCTGTGAGAGCATCCTCAATATCATTTATATCTTCTTCTATTCGTTCTACCAAAGTTAAATCAGCACTCGATCGATACTTTTTAGGTCTTTTATTATTCCGTTTCCAATTATTTCTGTCCAAAGCTAGATACCTGTATCCGAAATCAATAATTTTAGCTTCATAATTAGTTCTCCCGTACTTGTTAATTGATTCGCTCACAATGATATTGCCACTATGCAAATCATTGTGAGCGATTCCAAATGAATGGACCTCATCAATAGCTCTCAAGCAAGCAGCTTTATAATTACACCTTTCGGATATCTTCACCTGGCTAAGGGTCCTACCTTCAAAATAAGTAAGTAATAAAAAGAAACCACAAACCTTCGGAGGCTTTGCTATATCAATTTGATCAACATAACGATCTGGATCTGAGGAAATAAATCCTGAGGCGTAAAGCTTTGGAACCATTTGATTTCCATCAAGAATAGAATATGCTGATATTTCTTTATTAAACACTTTCAAACAGTCAAGATAACTCTGTTTGATATTATAACCATTCGTATAAAACTGGCTTGTACGGAAAGGGTCATACACTTTGAGTATATACCTCTTTTCAGGATTACTGTCCAATGATACTAAAAATACCAAACTGTTTCTATCCCCAAATGTGGCTCCAGATAATACCTTTATATAATTGAATGATTGACTCGAAATGTGCTGTAATTTAGTTTTACACAACGTTGTTAAAATGCTCTCATTGATGTCTAATCCTGTTTTTTCACTAAGGTCTTTAATGTATGGATCTGCACTAGGAGGGTTAGACTGGTTGTCCGACCCTCTGTGTTCCTCGTATATTCTGTTCTTTGTGGCATAGGAATGGATATGCTTATTCCAAGTTACAATCTTAATACATAGTTCACGAGTAATTAAATCTTTTGCAGTTTGATTCAATTCAAGCTCTAATTGGATTGACATCTGTTGACAATTCAATAACCCAAATAATTGAGTAATTACACTATAATCCGGGCTATCGCTTAAAAGTATAGCTTTGCATTTTAATTGACGCAAAATCTTTCCTTCCTCGATTCCAGTAACTTTCCCAATGCTGCACTTAGACACGTCTACAACAAGTATAGATTGATAGTCACTTAATATACCTATTGATGATTTGGACTTATATATTTCTCGAATAAGTTGGCTGAAAACTTCAATAAAAGATATAGATAAAGCATCATTTGGCCCTTTAAGTTGGAAATCATAAATGTATTTTTCTAAATTACATTTCTTCACTTCGATTGGGATCTGTTGTTGAAGCCTCATGAAAACCAAATCTGGTATGACTCTGGTCTCAGCTCCACTTGAAGATGTTCCGGCTATTCTATAGCCATTGGTGACTAGAAATTCTTTTTTTGTATCGGCAATTGGTTCAAATAGATTTTGCTTAATACATTCTTGTATTATCAGTTCAGATTCACAAACTAAATCTTGTGTGGGCTTCATTGTGATCATGCTTTTATTAAAATCCAATTCTCCTTCCATCTTTGGGATTTTTGAAATTATTTTATCAGGATAGAAATTACCAACTAACCCTTTTAGTCTATTGTGCCGTATTTCAGTATGAGGCTTCGTTGGTTGATTATGATTATTTTCCTGCTCTGTTTGGTTGATTCTGTGAAGGGTGGGTTTCATCTTTGATAAATTCGTTGTAACCTTGAAATACCCAAGTAATTGCTGAACCCTAGTTTCTCCAAACTTTTTAATAAACGAACTATATATTTTGTATTTAACCGCCTCTATAATTTTTAAAATGACTTCACTGAATTTGTATGGTTGGAGGATGTGGAAATTATAGAATCGAAAGAGAAACCTTAGAAGGTCATCCTGCTGAATATCAAATGTATCAGAATCATATCCCAATTTATCCAAAAACTTTGTCCTGTCATCACTATTCTCTGGATTTTTAATGTACTTTTCAAGCTTCTTTTGCTTTCTAAGAAAATGGGCTATCCCTAGTTTATGGACTCTAAATATATCAGCCTTTCCATTTTTCAATCTTGGAATCAAGTAGTACTTTACGTCATCGAAGTTAATAAGATCTATTAACTGCATAATATAACGATTTACTGGTTTATGATGGATTGTAAGTTGGATTTCAATAAGTTGAATATGTTTGAGTTACTTTTATATTTAACTGTTTATGTGCGTGAATCACCGCTCTAATTGGGAAGTTGCAAGTTAAGCGGAATACATTTTGCAGTAAATTGTGTTTAGCCACATGCACGACATATGCAACTCATCTATTAAAGATGCAAATATTCTATTAGGTATGTAACTAATTTATTGGTTATGGCGTTTTGGTCTATTACCAAAAAGCTTTGTAGTTACCGAAGTTTCTATATAAAGAGGGACTTATTCCCATGTTATTTGTATATATGCTTTATAGAAATTGACGGTCCATATTAGTAAATTAGTGTACATATACGGTGGGTAGGTGGGGTTTGGTTCCGGACTGCATACAAGACAAACGGCAAATTTACTATATTACTTCTATAATACATTTAGAGATAGTCAATGATATATACAATAACTAAGACTAATTAGTAGGTAAATCAGTAGTAGTAGAAGTGGAAGAAGGTTCATGATCTCGAGTACTAAGTTGAAGTTCCTTTTGTTCAGTTTCTAACTCTATTACTGCTAAATCATCGAGGTCTAATAAATTGGTTTGAATATTTAATTTGAAATTCATAATGTATTCGGCCATTTTACAACATTTATCAAGTAATTCTTTCTTTGATTTGGCTATATTATGAGAAATCTCATCATACTCTATTAGGATATTTTGATATTGATTTTCTAATTCTATGAATCCCTGATTAGTATTAATCTTAATTGATCTTAATTCTCTTTCTAATTTTTCTATTTGAGTAGAATAAGTGGTTGAATCATTAATCATTGAATCATAGATTTCATCATAATTCATTTTACTGGCGGTAAGTTTACTACCTAATTCATCCAATAATTCTGTTTGTTCCAGAATTTGTTCATTTATTAAATCATATTGTTCTTGAACTTTAATTTGTTCATCTTGATATTGATGAACTTTTATATTAACTGATGATCGATATTTTAATAATTCAATCTTTTCATCCTTTAATGTTTTATCAATAATGGTATCAGGACTAAATGCAATATCTGAATTAATTGAACTTGGATTAATGATATTTTCATTTAATCTAATTTCAAAATTATATTCGGGTGATTTAATCTTTTGAATAAGATTATTATATTGTTTAATAAAATTTTGTAAACTTTGATAATTTTTTGTTAATTCAATTTCTTTATCATCCAATCGAGTTCGTATATCCTCCAGTTTATTGGTAATAAGATCAATAGATTTAGATAATTTATCTCGTTCATTATTTAAATTATTTATATCATTTATAGTTATACCTTGCTTTAAAATCTTTATTTCATATTCCTTTTTTGATTCATTAATTGATTCTACTTCATTTTCTCGAATTACTATTTCTTCTTTAATTTTATTAAGTATTTCAGACCATTTAGATTTTCGAGATTCCATGGTTTCTATATATGCTCTGAATTTAATAACATCATCTTCTAATGCTAAAGATTTCTTTTCTGCTTGTTGAAGTTCTATTAATTGATTATTTATTTCTTCATACTGTTTTTGAAGATTAATATTCTCTTGTTGTAATTTTTGGATATCATTATTTAAATTAGAATTTAATCGTTCAAATTCAATTTGCATTTCATTATAATATTCACTATAATCATCACGTTCATTTATGAAATCATTATATGAATCTCGAATATATTTTATAAAGATTCGATCAAATTCATCATCAGGACTAATTAATGAATCATCTATATCTAGATTGGGGACAGATAAATTTAATTTAATTAACCAATATAATACACCTAAAAATGAAGGCCAATTTTGTCCACCAACTGCACTTATTTGAGATCTATTTATACTTTCCAAATAAGGATAATTAAGGATTTTGAGTAGAGGGAAAATATCCACTTCAACTGATCTACTAAATTCATAATAAGGATCAATCTTATTATATAAAAATTTAAATATTAATGTGAAATCCTTTTGAGTTGGTTGTCTTAAAGTTTTTGTTGTTATTGTATGATTCATTTCAAGTTCAAACTTATTGGTTATTAAAAAGTCATATATTTCTTGCAGAATTAATAATTGATAATTTTTATCCTTTAAAGGTCGTTGATCTGCTATTGGAGTTATTTGTTGAGATGGAGTTAATTGAGATCGAGGTTGAGGTTGTGGGGTTTGTTGAGAACTAAGTTGAGATGATGAAGGAAATAATTGTTGACTTGATAAACCTAAGCTTTGTCTTCGTCTATTGGTCGAAGCAGGAGTACCCAAGATAGATCGTCTTTTAGCAGCTCCATTATTATTATTAGTATTGTTATTATTATTATTTAGTACATCTAATATACCTCTAGCTCCAAGTAAAGAAGATCGAGTGGCTGAAGCTACTGATAGGCTTTTACCTGAGCTTTTCCTTAAGAGGGATGACGGTTGCGACATAGCAACTGAATACTACACTATGACTGTAACTTCTACCAGTATACTATTTACCAGTATACTATATACTATATACTAAGGGTATTTGAATGAATATAGTATTATTGATGTGTAGATGTTTTTGAATTATTTTTGTTTTTGTTTGTTTGTGTTTGTGTTTGTGTTTGTGATATGGTGATTTTGCGACCTCGGCGCACGACCACAACAACGCCAAAAAAGTGCACCCTCCTAAAATGGCAGGGTGGAATTGGTAATGGGAGTTAATTTCACAAAGGCTCATTTATATGGAGACTACAGTTATATTCATAAGTTATATATAGGAGTTACTTATAGAGGAGAATTTAATAGTGTATTGAAGTTTCCATCCCCACCTTGCCATTAATAGAAAAGTTAATAAATCCTTTAGTAGTCACGTTACGTCATTTTTGTGGGTCATCTTAGCTTTTGTTTACCTTACTTGACATTACTTTAAGTTAGTTATCTATATATAAATATGAGTGGGAAACCTAAAACTCCCATATCTTCTCCGAAACCTCAGACTCGGTCTTCTGTTAGACCTACAACTCCTCCAGTATCATTATCATCCGGTGATAAGAGAAGTAGTCGACTTTCATCTCAATATTTAAGAACTCCTGAACAATCTGATAATTCTAATTCAATACCATTTTCTCCCTCATTAAAACGAACTAATTCAGGTAATTATAAATCTCCAGATTATAAATTAAATCATCCTCAAGTTACTTCTCCATATAATGCATCTAATTTATTGAAGACTCCAAGACATAGTGGATATGATTCGGATGATAATGGGTCAAGTGTGAGGCGGACAAAACTTCAAAAGACTCCTCAATACTTTTCATCTGCAAAGAAATTATTCCAAGGTGATGAAAATAGTCATAATTCAACTAGTACAAGTAGTAATACTAATAAAGATGATCTAACTGAAATTAGTCTGCAATTAAAAAGTAAATTAAGTTCAGCATTAGGGAAAATACAGAGAGATGATAGTAATAAAATATCATTTACAGAATTAAAATTCGATATAGAATCTTCTCCTACTAAGAAATCAAAACCTATAAGTGAAGTTTCAACATTTTCACCATCAAAATCTTTACAACGAGCCAATTTAAATTTACAGACTTTACAACAATCTCCAATACCTAAAACTTCTTATTCAAATACTACATCTCCTTATTTACTACTGAATCCTCAATTTTCACCATTAAAACAAAGCCCAATCTTAAATAATGATAATGACAAACAACATTTAATTAATTTACCTTCAAATGATGAAGAATCAAGTGCTCATTCCGCTTTATTGGCTGCTTTATCTCGACAGAGAAGAAAATCAAGATCATCATTTTCACATAAGAAAAGGCCCTCATGGGGGAATACCAATGAAGACGCTTTTTATACTACTCCACTTATGGTTCAACAACAACAACATATGCAACAACATCTGGCTCAACACCTGGCTCAACCTCTGGGTTCACATCTGGCTCATCATCTGCAACTGAATCTGCAACTGTTGCAACCATCACATCCTCAACCAATAAAGCTACCTCCATTAAATATTATGTTAGGAGGTAGTACAATTCCTGGTAATGAAGACCATGCCCATTCTACACCAGCAGTTCCTACTGAATCTGAAAAGAATAATGAACAAGATGCAGTATTATCATTAATGTCATTATCATCACCCCAGTCCATTAAATTCGGTCATAGCCGAAACCATAGCTTAAATAATAATATTGTAACGTCACCTATATCTTCACGTTCATCACTGGTTATAATGCAGAGCCCAATAAATTCTCAAACCAATTCAGGACCTTTGGCTCCGTCGGCTCCTGCAGCCCCTTCAGCTCCTATACTTCCACCATTGTCTCGATTAATAGGGTCGGATAAGAAACGTCTAAAGAATCCGCATAGTACACATGATGGAGCAGTTGATAGTGATGCTACTGATGTTGATGAGGACGCTGACGTTACAGATGAAGAAGCTTAGGAAAGGTTCGATTTCTATTGTATAACATTTATTTTCATGATATCTTCAATTCTAACAATCTATGAATTAGTCACGTTTCTATATACTTAATTATTTATTAACAATATAAGTTTTTAAAAGTTTTGCATTTATTAATTTCAAGTTCAAGTTTTCGGCATTTGGTCTGGACCTTTCGGGATAATTTGTGTGTGTCAATGAAACAGTAAATCCCCCATTTATTGTCGGTGTTTGATTTTGGTATCTGCATTAGACGTTTCTGTCCCTCTTATATCAGGAGAGGCGACTTGTTGCGCACCGTTTAGGGCGGCGCAATGTCATGTCAAATGCTATCTTACTGTAAAGCGCATTCCAAAATAGAATAATTACGTAAAGGTATGCCCTAGCCATGCCCCAAATAAGTAAGAGATTGGCGCTTTCACAAAGTCGAACTTTTCAAAAATGAACCCATATATACATAATTGTACAAATACCTACCCTTTCTACAAAAACTTTAACTCTGGTGCCGTGCATTAAGGCTTTGAAAATTTTAACAATTCATTATTTTAACTAGAGATATCGTGCCCTTGAAAGGCGCCATGCTGTAGTGTGTCACCACTCAGCATAGATTTATGGGCAAATTATATAAAATGAAACATGAACATACTCAAGAGTATTGAAGTTGCAAAAAATACCATTTCATATGTTGGGGGATAAATGCGCTTGTAATCCTCAAAGTGGAATTCAAAATCAATTGAAAGTAAAAGTGGAATTGGATTTGGAATTAGCTACTTATAAGTGATTGAATTTAAGATTTACTAGTGATTCTTCATCCACACCTTTGACTTCAATAATTTGATCATCATTTGGGAATATGTCGAATCCGTTGTCGGAATATTCGTAAGTCAAGTCATCTTCAAAATACAATTCCAAACACTTGACAGGCTTATTTGTGCTTATTTTAATTTTTCCTGGCTCAATTAAAATTGTATCTAATTTGAGATCTTTGTACCAATTTTGCCAGTTTATGTATTTCATTGGTCTAGGCCAATCACTGGTTCTTCCTATAATATTACCATCTCTATCTCTTAATATAATATGTATGATAATATCTTCTGTAATATAGGTGTCAGCTAACTTAGTGACAAACGTTTGAATTGTATTCATTCCATATAACTTTAAGTCATTATGGGTCAATTTTGTGACAAAATCTCCATTGGTATTGTATAAGTCTATTTCTAAACTTAAACTGTCGAAGAACTCATCACTGAACCCCCATATATCAAGTGAAACTTCATTCAGTTTAACATAATCATGAAGTGGGGTTTGCTTCGATAAGTCTTCTGGTTCATCAGGATCACCAATCCTCTTTAAGTTTCTATAGCAACCAATTCCAATTGATGCACATTCACGTTTAATGGCATAATATGCCAACTTGGGGACTTTATTAAAATCTATTATCGACCAACTTGTCACAGGCCAACAGTCATTTAATTGCCATACTATAGCTCCTCCACACTCGTACTTCAACCACAATCTTCTCCAATATCTATAGGCCAATGAGAGACAGTCCAGCTGCATCAATTGAGTGATATATATCCAATTCTTTAATGTAAAATTTAACGGAAGTGCAAAATTTTCCATCACATAGAGGGCTAATCTTCTTTCAAATCCAACTGACTTGTTGTGGTGATCCATAAGGTAAGATTGGGGGTATAATTGAGATTTATCCAGAACGGCATTGTCTAAGGTTCTGAAGTTTGGTAAAGCAAGCATTCCGAATTCAGAAACCAATCTTCCACCTAATTTGTCCCATGTTTGATATGGCTCTTGTGTTCCATGCCAAACATTCCATTGATGAATGTCCCCTCTTGTTCTATCACCAACCAAATATTCGTGCCCCGAATAAGGAGATCCACATTCATAAGGGACACCATTAGTCATTTTCTTTACTAAATGAGGGAATATATCTTCATAAAATTTTCTAGCAGGAAATGTACTATAGTTATGATGATTATATTTAATTTTCAAGGATTCAGCTATCTGATAATCTTCATTATTTCCTACAAAAACTATAATCGAGCTGTATTGTCTTAATCTAGTCAACTGATCATTAATTTCTTGCTTCACATTTGAAACAAAAGAATGATAAGCTGGATACATACCACAAGCAAACATAAAGTCTTGCCAGATTAATATACCCTTAGAATCGCAGATACTATAAAGATCATCATCTTCATATATACCTCCACCCCATATACGTATTAAATTCTGGTTTCCTTTAATCAATAAATCCATCCATTCATAGTAATCCTGATATTTCAATTGTGAAGTGAATGAATTAGCAGGAATCCAATTAGAACCTTTTATGAATACAGGCTCATTATTGATTTTAAAGTAAAACGACTGTCCTAAATGATCATCATCTTGAATCAATTCTACTTTTCTAAACCCAACAAGTTTCTCATTCAATTTTTCTTCATCAATAAACAATTCAAACCTATATTGATACTGATCCCCATAATTTCTTGGATACCAAAGATGAGGGTTTCTAATACTGCAATGTACTGTGATATTTGATTTAACAGTATGAGATAAAATTGTATCAATAAGATTGTTCTGTGAATCAAATATCTTAACAACAATAGTAGATGGAGTATAGTTTTTAGGCAATGATAAATTTACTTCTACTGAAATATCAGCTCTGTTCAAGAATTTACTCAATTCGTAACGAATGAAAAAGTCTTTAACTAAGACCCCACTAACAAACTTAACAGGTCTCCATGGACCACAAGTCAAAAGTAAGGGGCCCCAGTCCCATCCAAATTGATATTGTGGTTTTCTCACATGTAACCTCGAAGTTTCACCATTCCAACATACATATTTACCATTTTTTACTTCGATTTTCCTGGATTCCTGTAAAGGACTCTTGAACTTTATACGCAATTCGTTATCTTTTGGTTGAACGTATTCTGTAACGTTTATAATATACGTTCTAAACAGATTGTCTGACACCAATAAGCTACTGTAATTTAGACTAATTGTAGCAAATGTATCCAAACCTTCAAATACCAAATAATATTCTTCTTCAGAATCATAGTTCTCAATATCAAAAGAAGTTCTATATTCCCAATTGCTTGCACCAACCCATTGTACCTTTTTCTCATTATCATCAATAAATGGATCAGGAATGTGATGATTATGTAAGAGATCTAAGTGAATTTGGTTCCCCTTAGTATCTTCTCTAGCTTTGAACCATCTTCTAAAATCTATATCAGATCTCTGCGCATCTGACGAGGATTGCCTAAAATACCAATCCTTTAAGGTTATACAAGTCATTAGCAAAGAATTACTACAATATAATACTTCAGAATAACTTGTTCCCTTTACAACGAAACAGAAAGATATGTGCCAAGAAAGATTTCAGAAATTTCATGGTTAAGAATAATTGCTGCATAAGTCATTAATATATTTGGAGAAAAATACGGGGTATGCGTCAAAAAATGTTTCTGTTGCACGAACCCATCGGCAGCCCCCTAACAGAATTCTAACCCATAAGGTCAGGGCAAACTGTAGTCCGAGTGTATATTTCTTTATATTATACCGTATTTTCCAGAAGAGGGTCACACCTGTGGTATCCACAAAGCATTGTTAAAGTAGTATATCTTCCCTGCATTGGTAATATTGTCTGATACATTGCCATGCTATGTAAACTAAAATTACGGTACCATAAATTAAAAGATTGTGTGAGATAAAGCAGTTTCTAAGTAGTCGAGGATCACGGTCAAAATCTTAATCAAAAGTTTTACTTTGTCTTAATTTACGGTAACATATATAACTTCTTAATTAAAAATTATTTCCGTAAATATTTTATCGTTTAATCAATACAGCACTCTTCGTGATTGTATGCAAATCTACAATCCTCAACTTTCAGAATACCTGCAAAACTTAAATTTAAAATAATCTTACTTCCATCATATAAAAAATTGGATTTATCGAGTAAGCCTATCACAAAATCGACTTCGTGTGATTCACGAGCTAATTGATGAAGTTTCTTTTTATTTGTTTGCATTATGACGTTGTTGAAGTCCTCTTTAAGACAGTATAAACCTGACAAATTTAATAAATCTTCAAACTTGAAAAACCCACATTTATATAATGTTGGAAAATAAGGAAATCGGCTTGAACTAAGACTATATCTGGCATACTTCCCAGTAGGCCATTTGCTAACATGCACATATGCCTGAGTGTGCACGTCAAAAACATTCAATTAGCTTAGTAAGGCTAACTCTAAATTCTATGTCTGTAGTATCTCCTTGAATCGCTATACAAATCTTCAGCAAATTGAGAAAAAGTAGCATAATTCTCATTAATATGAAAAAATGACTCTTTATTCTTAAGCACTGTGAAATCACATAACATTTAACATAACTTTTGATGTTCTTCTACATGAGCATGTGCTTTAGAATGATATGTACGCACGCAATTTCTGTCATCATTGCTCAAATTTTGATATTCTCTTAACATGCGCTTCAATTTTGCCTCATTTTTCATCATATTATAATCTAGCTTTGAATCATCCATAAGCTTTAGGAAGAAGACGACCGATTGATGTATTTGCTTTATAAAATATGCCATTTGTATTTAACTGTTGAAGTAATTAAACGGTTAATTTAAATTGGAAAAATGCTGCTCATTTTATTTTGTGAGCTGCAAAAATCTACAGTTGTTAGACAAATCTTATCTAGGACTTTATTTATGAACAATTTAAGAAAATAGAGTCAATAGCTAAAGGAAATAAAAAGGAAATAAAAAGGAATATACAAGACCTACTTTTCTAGTGAATTCCTTTAGTTGGTTGAAGGACTTTGTTTTCAAATCCTAGTGGAAGAATATTTATTTACAATAATAAGCAAGTAGAGAATTGTAGCAGACGAGGATGGCTGATCACCGAAATGTTTTACTTGCATAGAGCTACCTAATGTTGTCTATACAAGGGTATTCGTATATTTCAGATGAGATATTCATCTGGAAATAATATATAGAGTGTGTGAAATAAGCAAGTCTGGTTTATATAATGTGGTCAAGACATGTTTATCGTCCCCTCTCCCCCATTTTTGTAGTATGAGGATACAATCTTGCGACTAGCAATAATACGCCCCTTTAGTTTACAGCTGGATTTCATTGAAACCTGACCTAAAATTTCATATTCTTGGACTGCCGTTTATACTAAAAATAGAAATCCAGGTATGGAAGCCAAGTATAAATCTTACTTTGGGTTTAATAGGAGTATAAGCGGAGTAACTCATATCTTTAACAATGGATCGATTTTTAAAACAACAATAAATAACCTTTGTTCATTAGTCATGAAAATAGATTAATTTCACTCAATATATGTTCTTGTCTTAGAAATTAAGGTTAGTTTTCATCAAAACCATTATAAATATTCAACTAAATTCGTATACTACTACCTATGAATACTCTGAATATAAGTAAATAGTAGATATAGTAATGTCAGTAAGTAGCTCAGTTCCCGATACAAAGGTACCGGTCGTTTCCATTTTGAGTTCAACAGAACATAGTATTGCTCTGGAAAACAATGAATATGTAGAATTGTCTATCAAGCAAGTTTTGAAGAAACATCCTGTAAAGAGTTTAACTAAGCAAAGAACAATCTTGTACATTCTTTGTGTTGGTCTTTACTTCTGTGCCACAATGAATGGTTATGATGGTAGTTTGCAGACTGCAATTGAAACTCTACCTGAATACAAAGAATATTTCAATTTAAAAGAATCAGCAAGCGATACTGGATTAGTATTCAGTATCTTTCCAATAGGCTCAATATGCGCAGTTATTTTTGTTTGGTTAGGTGATTATATTGGTAGGTCTTATGCTGTGATCGTTGGACTATTAGGTACTATTGTAGGTGGTATTATCGTGAGTGCCACTTCAAATCATAAAGCTTATATTGGTGGAAGATTTATTCTCAGCTTTTTTTGCACTATCACGATGAGTAATTCGGCAATGTTGTTGACAGAATCTGTCCCTCCTGATTTGAAGTTTATCACTGGATGTTACAATACATTTTATTATATAGGATCAATAATTGCTACGTGGACAATGTATGGAACTAAGAAAAATCTTGCAGGTGCCAACACTTTTAAGATTGGATTATGGTTGCAAATTCTTTGTCCTGGAATCCTGTTGATTTGCTTAATGATTTGTAAACTTTTCAAATTTAATGACTCTCCTAGGTATCTTTTCTCCAAAAATAAGATTCAACAAGCCAGAAATGTAATAGTTAAGTATCATGCCAATGGTGACGAGAATCATCCGTTAGTTGAGTTGGAAATGAAACAAATTGAGTTGTCATTCCTCGAAAATGGGTTTTTAAAACCAAAAGACTATTTGAACTTTTCAAGCTTTTTAAGGACAAAGGCAAATAGGAAAAGATCTATATTAATATTGGCGTGGTCATGGTTTAACCAATTTAGTGGAAATCAAGTTATTACATATTATATGACAACTTTATTCTTAAATTTAGGGATTGAAAATGCTACAACAAGATTGTTATTAACGGGTATAAATTCAATTTTATGTTTTATATTTGCGATCATGGGAGGGTTACTCATTGATAAATTGCCTAGAAGGTGGGTATTATTGTACAGCAATTCCGGGTTTGTTATCAGTTTTGCAGTTTTAGCAGGAACCACAAAGGTATTTCAATCAGACCCAAACAATCATAGGGCTGCTCAAGTTGGAATTGCTTTTATATATATATATATGGCGGTTTTTTTTTCCTTCGCATTTACGCCTTTGCAGCCAGTTTATCCAACGGAAATCATGTCTAACGAATTGAGAGCAAGAGGAATGGCCATCTATTTTTTAATAAGCAACATTGCATCTTTTGTGAATTTGTATAGTGCGCCAATAGCTATGCAAAACATCAAATATTGGTATTACGTATTTTTTGTATTTTGGGACTTATTCCAACTATTGGTTGTTTACTTAATATTTGTCGAAACATGCGGGTTGACATTAGAAGAGATCGAAACAGTATTCAAAAGCGATAATACTTTGAATGATAGTATTCGTTTATCTAAGATTGCCAGAGGTAAGCTGGTGTAAATTTCAGCTGTTAATTATTCGTAATTCTTACCAGTTGAAAAAGAGAGAAAGAAGAACTCTTACATAAATACTATTGAAATGTTTCAATAAGAATTCCATTAATAACTCTAATAAAGTCAAGTATTGTTTACCATGACTCCTCTATGCAGCCAGCCAAAATATGTATAGGTTGAAATCCTTTCCTATTGTAGAACTCTGACACAGAATATTGTGAATCAACTTGATGTACTAGACCCCAGTCTTGTCAGCACAAGCTTTTACTCGTTATGTATGAAAAATTATTTACGAGGGTTCTAGTGGACAAGCCCATAAAATAGTTCGTCAAAAATTGAATACAATTTTACAAACCAACTTGAATTTCGTAATATATAGATGTCGATATAAACTTATTTGACTTGATCTTCCATATAATACGTAATCAATAATTATAATGTTTTAGTGGTCAAGGCAAACCCCGAAATCGAGCTTAGTAATTGCGAAAGATTTATAATTAAATCTGAAGGATTTTAGGAAAAATTTACCGGATTTGGTAGTTTTGAGTAATATTTTGGTTGCAATTTGACAAAATGAGTATCCAATTGCACAATTGTTGATTATTAAAGTGCGAACCTCCATTCGAAGAATGACCGGTATCGGTTAGGTTAGCGTAAGTCACGTGCCAAAAATTAATCATCAGATTACTAAAAGGGAGAAAAATTTTATAATTATCATTATCATCTTTATATATATAATAAGGTTGCGATAGATTAGAAGTTATTTGTTTTTTAAGCAAAACTCTAAATTATCATAATAATATCATAATACCGTGTTATATAAATCAACGGATATAAATATAGTATAACAGAGGTTTTTAGCATAAATAAAGGTACATATATTCATTGACGTACTTAGTAATCAAAAGTTCAAAGTCCGATTTTCAAAAGTTCATAAGGTTTTTAAATAATGAGTCGAGTACTTTTGCTATTACACCCTACAGTTGTCACTGATCAACATTTGGTTGAGCAAATAAAGAGTCAAATTGCATCAACTCATAAGAACTTCGCGTTAGAACAACATATTATAGATAGAGTAACGCGTGGAGATGTCGAGTTGGCCAACAATACTTATAACGAAATAGTGTATGTGAATCCTAATGATGCCGCTTATCAAATTATTCCTGCTTCTTTGATGAAGTTATTGTACGAAGTTTTAACCGACGAGGGTGTGTTGAGTGGTGATTTACCTACAGATCAGAATTTAGATGTGTTGATGACTGGATTCATAGTAAATGATAATAAATGGGTGAAACCAAAGCCTATTGAAGTTGTCACACTCAAGAAGAAGTCCACCACAAATAGTACAGCTCCACTTAAGAAATTACCATTATTCAAAAAGTTGGATAATTCTGTAGGGTTAACCGATACTTCAGCCGATGAAGAGGATACTGAAGAAACTCAAGCTATGAAGCGTAAGTTAGATGAAACTAAATTAACATATTTCAGTGATGATGATTCTGAAAATGAAGATGATGAAGATGACGGAATTATAGATGAAAATGATTTGATTCAAGAGTCTAGCAATACTGGATCCAGTAAGTTAATCGTTCCTAGAAAGTGTGAATTACCAAATGGTAAGAGAAGAAGAAAGGCTTGTAAAGATTGTACATGTGGATTGAAAGAGTTAGAAGAGGCCGAAGAAAATCAACAACGATCTTTGCAAGATTCTATCTTAGGTAAGATGGCACAATCAGCCACCTTAGAAGCAATAAAAATAGAAGAAAGATTAAAATCGAAGTTAAATGCTGTCAAATTCAAAGATGAAGATTTAGCAGAAATTGATTTTACCGTTCAGGGAAAGACCGGAGGATGTGGTTCCTGTGCATTAGGAGATGCTTTCAGATGTGACGGATGTCCTTATTTGGGATTGCCCCCATTTAAGCCAGGAGAAGTAATAACCATTGATAGTTTAGGAGAAGACTTCTGAAATCAATAACAATAGAAACTAGGCATTTGGATTTATAGGGGTTTACTTGGCATATTTGTTTATAATAGTTAGTTCTAATTTCATTTCTTTTATTTATTTACTTACTTCAATATCAGATATTCGTATTATTTACAATATTCAATATAATTTATTCCTTTTTATTTTCGGTGAGGATTAAAAATATTTCTCATCTTTATTTTTTAGGGCGTCATTACACTCGCCACATCAGATAAGATACATTCAAAATACTTTATTTGCACAGTAAAATATGAAAAAATCTGCGCTTCACAGCGTCATGCAATTAATCGTATCGACCCCCTCCATTAGCATGGTCTAGCTTGTGTTTCTCATCAAATTAAAAATAATTCAATGCTAGTTATAGGTCCAGGCAGCGAATATGAATGATTGTAAGTACACTTATTGTGAAAATTTTAAACAATTCGGGATTATATTAGAAGTCATTCCAAATTTACAGCTCTAACACAACTTTATTATGTCTGTAAATTGCTGAAAAGTTATAAGAAGAGATGTAGCCCATAGCTTCATATTGTAATTATTTTTCTGTATGCAGCTTAAAATGTTTTGCGCTCAATTATTTTTTGTAGTTACTTTCAAAAGAAAAGTTTTCAAAATTTAAAAAGTGTTTTGAAGATGTCCTAGGAAAGAAGCTATTCGACTTCTTTTGATTAATTAAATATTTTATGTAGCATTAGCTTACAAGAAATTTCAGACAGCAAATATTAATTCATGTTAGCCTTTTCAAAAAAAAAAAATAGTTTAAATTAATGAATAAATCTTGATATATGTTTCTAAATTCAGGATGAACTTCAAGACTACATTACTCGTTGCAGCCAGAGCCATCTGCGACCTTTAAATGATCATAAAAATGATCGTAAGAAATAAGCAAGCTCCTCAGGACACTTCATTTTAGTGTATTGGTCCCCGCCGGCACTTTTAATAAACACTTCATATTTTTTTTTAGCTTTCCCCTCACAAGCCGCCTTTGAATTTAAAATCAATCTAGTAGTCCAGGCTCTAAAATGAATTTTTTATATTTCTGTAGAATATTCGTTTTCGGCCAAAAAAAGAAGGGCCCATAGAAGAGTGAATTTAGCACTTACGGTGTCTTTTCCATAGAACATCCATCATACTGATAGTGGTTTCCCTTTGTTTACCTTCTATTTTCTATATTTTTAAAAACACCGATGCTGGCAAAATAAGGTATAAAAGTAAAATACAAAATAATGGTGATTAAAATAAAACCGGAACTGTAAATCGAGGGCATATTTTTGCTTAGAGCTATTCAAAAGAAAAGTTTCCTGTTATAGAAGGGTTCACTTTATAATTGCTATTTTCTTTCTCAAAGAGAATTTGGGGGATTAACGGTATGCAGGACATTTTTATGCAATATACGCACATTTACACTTTGGGATAAAAACTAGTGGATAAAAAATAAATAAAATAAGAATTTTAAATAATCTTCAGGTACAAAATATTTTTGTTAGAGGATATACAATTCCGTTTTATGCATTTCATCACAGTTTCAAAACAAGCTTTTTATATGCGGCAATGCCTTAAGGAGACATTTCCCACTTCCCCCAATCCATTTCTTATCAAAAGGAGATTAATAGAACTGAGGTACCCATAAATTAAAGTAAGCTTGTACCTACCTCGTCAAATGTGCCTGATGAATAAGAATAATGTAGCTTGCGAAAGCATGCAAACTTTGAATTGAGATCCTTTGTTCACAATATCTTATTTTTTATCAAAATCTCAGGGCGTGATGGTCATTTTCTCTCATTCATATTATTATTATTATTGTTGTTGTTAAGAGAGCGTTTATGGAGGCTGTAGTTACTGTTACTTAGATATGCTTATACGTTTGTGGTAGAATCTGTATATTCCTTTGTGTTATATTTTGTTTGATGTTTCTTTGTTTATACTTTTAGGTTCGTAGCCATGTTTGTAGCCGTTTCTTTTATTCCCCGTATTATACATACTAGAAACACAACAAACACCAAAATAATCGAACACTTACCTTTGTTTTGCAATCGTCTATTTCCTACTCCATGTATACTTACACGTTAATAATTATATTTAAATTTAATCCTTTGAATGCTTTATTCAAATATGGCATTCTGAATAATATTTTCCTAAACCGTCTCTTTTGATATTTCAAGTGAAAGAGAAGATAGATAAAGATAAAATTTGGGTATTAAGCTAATTTCAATTTTTAGCCTCTTTTAGTAAAATTAAATTACTTTATTATGTACGTTTTCGTTGTTTTTTATTGATCCAATTTCATGTGCAAGGCAAATGTCTGATATTAAGTTCTTAACCAAGGTGTTTGGTACAAAGTTTCTAAAACTTTTATTGTAGGATGATCTGCAAAATGTGTATTGTCTCCTGAGAATGTTGCAACAGTGGTATTCTTTGCGAGTTCAAACGAGCATTTACAGCTATTAATCACGATAAGGACTTCAATCGAAACATATCAATGCGCAATTCAATTGTCTGTATAAGTTTAAATGAGTATTTTAAACTATTAAGAACATGCGTTACATGTAGTTCATATTCTTGGTAAAGACGATTCATTTAAAGTTCATGAAACTTGGATGAAAAGCCTATGTTTTTGAGTATAACGAGTTATAAATAAAAAATAGAAGATCTGTACCATACTGAACAGATTTTTGACATAAGCAAAATAATAAATATGAACAATAATGATGGCCTGTACATCTGAATGATTCGCTTCCATTCGCATTATTTTAGTTGACAGACCTGATTCTGCTATTACTGCATTATAATCAATAGAGGCCGAAGCCGATAGCGTATATGCGCTAATAAAGGAAAGTTGCGCTAGACACCCTCCTGAATCCATTTATCTCACATAAATATACATGAACAGTCAGTTATGGATTGCAAGTTTTGAAAGATAATTTGAGGCAGATCATTTTCAACGCCTTACTTTTCCACCTACCATGTTCCCCTTACCTCCAAAATGACGTCCCACACATGCTCAGCATACATCTTTAGTGTGTATATGAAGACATACACACATGTTGATTTCAAGACAGCAGCACTTACTTTTGGATGGTGAATTGAGCTAACAATGTACCGGCACTGCAATGAATCCCCCACAGAACACAAAATAAAGAATCTGCATCTGGTAAAACTTACCTACATAAGATTTCATATTTTGTATGCGTCTTTTTTTTCACTGCGAATTGCATCTGGGTTAACTAGGGATGATTCAGCAGCACGATTAAAGATGCTGAAAGATAGCGGATAATTTCAAGGAAATAAAGATTCTCCTTCGGTTAATTGCTTGTTTTGCTTGACTATTTGTCTTGATTTACTGCCATAATATTTACTGTGCTCCGTAATATATACATTAAAATTGTTTACCATTCTTGCTAAGTTGAATAAATATTTAAGCACAGGATACGCTTTGAAAGTAGTTAAAAATCTCGCTTATTATCAATACCAATGCTAGAAGTTGTGGATAATTAAAATAACACTAAAAATTGTTCAGAAAATTTTTTCTGTTGCCTTAAGAATTTTGCTAACAATTGAAATGTAGGGGAGGGGATTTATTTTCTAGTTTCTTCCTTTATTTTCTATTTTATTTTTTATAAATCCTATTTATTTTGGTGGTTTGTACACGCCTCTGACTCTTCATATAATATTTTATTTTATGCTATATTTCTGCTCCTCTTTTAACTTAGCCACTACCCTTAAACTCTTAAGGTTATCATGATGCTGTTAACAGGATAGTTAGGAGTTTTTTTATCTATCGTAACCCTTCAATAATTATACTCTATTATGTCTCTTAACTACTAGAAATGTACCATAGAGTAAATTTATCAGAAACAAGAGCAAATTAATTGCAAATCACTTGCTAATTTCAGCAAGTGTAAAGCCGTAAATTTAAATAAATACAGCAATTTGCAAATTGAAATTTACCGTGAGTATTAATTATAGCATATATTAACAAGGAAGACAAATATGAAAAGAAAAGCGAAGTACAGAATAGGAATAGAAAAAGAAATCAAACCTTATAATAAATAGAAAAACTCTTAAAAATAATAAAAAGGAATTAGCCATTTATCAATGAGAACATATCCGTGTGGGAAATGCAAAAGCAGTAACAACATAAACATCAGGGTTTGTTAATTGTATAATATTAAAATAAATAAGAAAATTGATAATCTCACCAACCTGTGACGTTATCAGTAAAGCAATGTTGCAGTAATCATAATCATTAGTTATTTGTTGGAGAAGAAAAAATAATTAATTTCGATCATCCTTTTTTCTATAGAATATTTTTGACTTAGTCAACAACATTTCAGTAGGTTTACATTATGAGTAAACGTTTAAGTGTAAGTGTAAGTGTAAGTGTGTATTTGTTTGTAGCAGCGAGTAAGTCGCTTTTCTTCTATTGTTGAGAATTGTAAGTATCAAAACCATAAGTTCCATTTCCTCCATTCACATTCGGATTACTTAATGGATTAGGCAATGAATTATACCTTTGTTGGGTTTGAGGAACAGAAACTTGCACGGGAGCTTCGTAACCTCCAATAGAGAATTGTGAGCCAAATTCACTTGAAGTAGGACCTGATCCAGCAGGTTGCAAATTTTGAGTTTGATGTAATCCATATGATTGATTTGGAATAGCTGATAATGGTGATAATTTTTCCTGCGCACTGCTTTGATGCAAGGATTCATTAAGATTACCATTGTTAACACCACTAGTGTTAGGATTGTTATTATATGAAAATTGGTAGTTCTGTGGAGCTGGTGGGGCTATCATTGCTCCGTTATTATTATTTTGGAATGGGTTAGATGAAATTATAAACTGTTGATTATGATTAGCTAAATAACTTGCAGCAGAATTACCTGCTGATCCTATCTGTGCTGATTGTTGCGGTATGGCTTGCACTGGAGATTGACCCTGTTGCTGTAATTGTAAATATTGTTGATATTGGTCTTGCTGTAATTGAGCAGCTGCATATTGTTGTTGTACTTGGTTCGTCTGTTGAGCTTGAACTGCTTGCTGCTGTTGTTGTTGCTGTTGAACTTGTGTTTGTGCTTGAGCAGCCTGTTGTTGTCTGAGCGCCTTCTGACGACAATAGTTACAATTTTTATTCTTACCATTTCTTCTTGGGGTATATCTGTAACCAGGATACTTCTTGGCATGGTTCTTCTTTTCTTCCTCAGCCAAATTGTTCCAATGATCTTTTTCTTCCGCAGTCAAAGCTCTCCATCTTCTACCTAATTCTCTAGACACCTCTGGATTACTCTTTATAACATTCCCTTCGTCAAGTACCGATTGATGATATTTTTGTCTGAACAAAATAAATGCATTTCTTGGTCTAGGAATTCTATTTGCATTAGATTTACATATACATTTGTCACTATTAGGAAGATTACCTCCGGTGGGATGATGTGAGTGAGGATGGTGGTTGGTAATATATCCAGCAGAAGCACCACTAAACGAAGAAGCTGGAGTAGTGTTTGCGGTAGAGGATTGACTCGTTTGTGAAAATACATCCCCAGCATTTTGCTGAGGTTGAATATACATAACTTTTTGATCACTAAACATCATCGGCATTAAATTATTACCGACCAAATTTGGTGAAATTTGACCAGCGGAATTATTGTTGTTGTTATTATTGTTATTATTGTTATTATTGCTTAAGGAAGCGACAGCTGCTGCTGCTGAAGCATTGATATCATTATGATAGCCTTGCTGTTGCAGGTGCTGTTGTTGATTGACAGGAGGCATAATTTGAGCTAATGAAGGTAATATATGTTTCGAATGGACGTCTTCAACTGGCATATTATGATTTGAGTAGTATACTACAGTGGACATGGCTCGATATTATGCTTTCAAATAACGGATTTGGTTACAACTTGCACAAATTAGGAATGTCCTTCACAAATTTGCAGTAATGAAAACTTGAATGATGTTGGATAGTAGCCAGAAATATTAAGTTAACAAATAACTATTAACTATTATTTACGATAATATTGCAACCAAAAAATTCAAACTTTTCAAAGAATGAATTATGTCTTTCAATGTTAGGTAATACGGTTCAACTCCTTCTAGCCACAATTAAGCTATATAAGGGGTAAATTAGTCCGAGGAGTTAATTGGATCAACTAAAACAAAGCTAACTAAGTAAAATCTTGCTTTACTTATACTCAAGTGAAGAGTGTTAATAAAATCAAGATTTATCAAGAGACTACTTTATAAAAGGAATCCACTATCTTTTCTTTATCAAAAAGAAAATCGAAGTGTATTTATTTTTAAAGATTATTTTAATACTTTTAGGAATTGTTGCCTTGCAGTATTATAGGTTGATCTCCACAAAAAATTTTCACACAGGCTAGAACTTTAATGGATACAGTCGCTAAAAATGGTTGTTATTTGGACAAAGGATGGATTGAATTCAATCGAATCAAATCAAATTTAACCAGACTTTTATTTATTCGATCCTAGTTATGCAAAAACAATTTACCATTTTTTCTTTACAGACAAATTTATATGTATATATATATATTTGAAAAGGAACACCAGTAAGACATAGATTAAATTATTTTTTGATTGACCAAAAAAAAATCAAATATTAGGAAAATAAATGAAAAATAAAAAAATAAAAAATAAAAAAAATAGGTGCTGATAATGAGGAACCGGACACATATAACACATTTTGCCCGAATCCTTACAAAATTACAAAACACCTCACCTACAATAACTGTATTTTCCCACATACAACTTATTTTTTAAGCGTGTATTCATTGTTCCTATTTCAATTAAAGTTAGATGCACAACCAAAATGTTATTTTTTTATGACCTTTATGCATGATTAAAATAATATCAATTACGTATTTTTGAAATTGCTGTTCCTGATTTGGCATTATTACTCTTTTCGTCGCTTGCGAATAAAAGTTATTTTTAAAGCCTGTTAATCAACTGGAAAAACCTTTGCTAAAGGGATTTAAGAAGGATACCGAAAGCCAAATGACGGAAAAAAAGAAAGAAAAGAATACAGAAGAAAAGAAATAAAAGGATAATAGTTTTGAGAAAGAAGTTAAAAGATGTCTTCCCGTGAGTATTCCAGTTAAACGTAGGAGCAGTCAACCTTATAACAACAGAAAAGCAGTAACTCATAGAAGAGTAAACCACTTATGCTGAAGATAATTATTTTGTTGACTCGTCGTTATCTTGTTTAATGCATGATGGGGATTGTTGATGTACATCTTGATTGAAATTATAACCAAAGAATTCCATTATTAATTAACTAGAGTTATAATCTAAAGTTACTACCATGTCATTAACTAAGGGACGTCATCCTTTATTTGGCATTAAAATCTGTCCTTTGTTCATTGTTTATTTAGTTGTCAATCGATAGTTTATTTCTTTTTCTTTTATTTCTCTCCTCGAAGACTATATTTCCAGTACTGCTAATACCGAGATATATAGTGAAGCTTGTTTATTGTTTAGTATTCCGAACAAATGATTTGTGTAATCTTGACGAAATTAAATCTACGGTAGATGGGAAAGGAAATAAAATATTATTGAAGATAAAGGAATACTCACCAAAAGAATGAGTTTAGTTAGTAGAGGGAAAGCATTAACTACATCTTCATCTGTCTAACTGGAGATATAAAGATCTTTTCAATTAAAAAATCTATTTTAAACTAAAAGATCAGCTACAATTTATTCATGGTGATTGTTAAATAACTATGACGAGAATTGAAGAAAAGGATACTGATTCACGTTCGCCCGAAGATGTAGAAGCTGAAATCTTAAAAAAGCGCAAAATAACCATAAACAGTAAGTAGAAAATTGAATAGCAATAGAGGATTTGTATACAGGTAATACAGAGCTTTCTAATATTTTTTGACTCTATCAGATGAAGATCAAAGGAGTCTATTGATACGATACCTTTTTAATGCTTAAGTTGACATATTAATGAGAATAAGTAAGTAACAATGCTTTTTATTATTATGTAGAATTTTTAATAATGAACAAAAATATGGAACAATGAAAGATTACGGTAAGGAGTAAAATTCTAATATTGCTTAACTTGGTATGCATTCTGATCTTAGCAGGGTACAAAATAGGTGAGAATTTTATTTTCCACATATCAACAGCATTAGAAAAGCCGTAGTTATAGTTGTGGTAAAATGCAAATCATGCACGGTTAAACTTGCTACCTAATACATATTATGCGAAGTTGAAAGTTGCACTGCAAATAACACAGGCAGATTGACTGACGAACGGAAATATACTATCTCTGCATCACTTGGGTGACGATATTGCCGTAATTCGTCCAACCCAAACGTATTCCTTGAAATACAGCTTTATATCTTTATTATCGCTCATTCTTAAAGAGCTAAAGTTTGGCTCAATTTGATAGACTTTAGAGATTGGCGGCATTTTAAAAAAAGAGACTATGTTGCATTGACCCAATTTGGTCAAATACCCCTAATGTATCTGCAGTTTACTTATTGAAATATAGCGATTTCCCCTTTTTGAATTTATTTATTTTCTAATCTGTTGTTTTGTTCTTACCTTCTTTACTTTTGCTAAACTTGCTGAGAAATAATATTGTCTATGCAAGATGGTATTTCTTTCCTTATTTGAAGAAGTATATGTAATTTTTACTTCTACTCGTGGTATTTCTAAATGCAAGATACGACTAGAAGCATAATGCGGACATAACGATTCCTATTATGCAATGTACTGAGTTGGGCAGTTCATTTTATCCGAAATTCATTATGATCTCTTCGTCGCGGGAATTGCACCTATTATTTCGTGTATTCTTTCGGCATTTTCAAATGGACGGTAGCAAATACCTTATAGCACTTGATTTGTTTATGATTCATTTTACTTTCGTTTATCCAGGATGAAGGTTTTCTAGTCTCCAGATAACACGATCTCGCCAAGCTAACTGTGTAATTTTTCCAAATCACAAGAAAGGAATTTACTTCTCCACAAAAACTCGGGGATAGCCAAGAACTGTGCGATCAAATTTGAAGAAGTAGACGCTTATCACGTTTATTGACGTTATCGATAGGATGTCAATGGTTACGATAAGTCTGCTAATAGAACCATAAGCGATTGTAGGTGCAAACTGGTCACAAATTTTAAGGTTGCTATTTTCGTTTAAAAAATTGGAGATTGAGAGAACATGTATTTTAGAGCACTCCAAAGCCATTTCATGCAAAATCTTTGTAACGGTAAACTTAAGTTTGCTGCTTTTAACTGATTTTAACCTCTCACTGTAAATCAAAGTATCGTACGTATCCCGTTGCCTTTGCTCTCAACTAGACAGGTAATTATGTAGGACCTTATTTTAGACGATGTGCACGGCGATACACCACTGAGGTGGACACACTAAGGTTTGACTGGCAAATTTCTCCTACAATTTAAGAAACTTTAATCAATTCTAAATACTTACACAGGCTAAAGATGGGAAGACCCTGTAAGCTTATCCCTTACTTTAGATTATTATGATTGTGACACATAAGGCACTATAAAAACAAACCTTAAAACCTTAAACACGGAAGTAGAGTTCAAAGGTCACGTCTTACAGGTAGTCAAGTCTACTTATTTTACTGTTTTAAGCTGAAATGAACTTTATGTAATAGAATAGAATCTGTAGTCAAGTGAAGCTAGGTAGGAGTTGGGTAGAAGAAAATACCATTTGACTCCTTTGATTGCTTTCCGTTGCAAGCTAATTTTGAATTGAGAAGAGTTTCATAGATAGTGTATTCGATGTCAAACCTTTAGTTAGAGTTGTAAGCACATGTTGCTAAGACTTTCTTTTTTCTTAACAATTTTATTTTCTAAGCATATTTAATATTTGAGTTTCGAGCTTTTTTAAATCCAAATTCCGGTTGCGCTTCATGAAAAATAAAATTATTTTGAATATTTTTATATTTTTGAATATATCACTGTGCGTCATGTACGGCCCACCTTTGTTTTCGGGAAAACTTTAGATATTACTTTGTGATACATGCCCCCTGAGAGAGAATCAACCGTTTTAGACACATTAACAATTTTTACCTAGTTTTTGTTATGTTCCTTTCTTAAACAAGTAATACTGCAGTGTTCCTAAGTAAACAATAATAACTAGAACACAATTAAAAAATATTACAGGGGAATCATACATAAAACTTGTTTACAAAACCATTTTCAGGGCGATATATGTAAGTAAAAACTGAATTAAGTAGAATGTAATGATGGCGGTAGGTACATACACCGGTTTTTTTTGGGGGAAGTCATTGTAAAATTAGATCTTAGTAATGACATTAGTGATTTTTACATTTCAGGCGGTCGGTTTTTCAGATTTACATCTGATCATACTCTATTGTTCTCATGAACAACGAATTTTCAAAGATCACTGTTTATTCGACTTCTCTCCTATTATTCGGTACATTCATGACACAATATTCTCTATCGTTACAACTAAATTACAGTATACTGTGGATTGATATTTTTTTGACTTTATGCATGAAAACCACCTAAACGATTATCTATAAACAAAAGACATTGCAATCGAGTTTCTTTATTGACTGCGGTACCGCCTTCCGTGTTTGACATTTGACATTTGACATTTGGCATGACTCTCCGGTGCTTGAATGCAAATTCCGATTGTCAGAATGTACCCTTTATAAAATGGTATACTATACGCGACGACCTAATTGTATCTATTCGTAACTACAGAACCACTTTGCTACGTAAATGTAGTATGGTTATAATAATGCTCACTAAGAAGCGAAATAAGCAGTGATATCGTAACCAAAGCGTTTAAGACAATACACTTCTATTAAAGGTTACAATTCCCAAATTCAGTGCATATTCCATAATTCACAATAAGAACAAATTCCAATTCGCCTGAAGTATACCAATATTTACATCAAATTCTTATCGATCAAGTTTAATTAACATTTATGTTATTTCTATGCTAAAATTCGTTGAAGATCTGATCTGTAATTTAATATGCTGCGGCATGGATGTATCACATTAACTATGGTACAATTTTTATAGAGAAATGATAACACCTACCATTGAACGACAAGTAGTTTAGCCATAGCTTCAGTTAGATCACCTGTAAACAGCCAAATATGTCTGATCTAGATATCTTGAATGGTAGTGACGAATTCCCGTATCCTATCTCAATCAACAGAACTGATTTTAAGAGCTTTGATCAAGCAGAAATCGACGACTTTCTATATAAGAATCATCGATTTACATCAATAGATGTGTTAATTAAGGAACTTACACAACTTTCTAAAGATTTGAATCAGAATTTATTGGATTTAGTGAATAATGACTATAATGACTTTATAAGATTAGGAAAATCAATTAATGGAGGTTTAGATTTAATTAATCTAGTATCAGGAGATTTAAAGAGCTTTAAATTTGATTTAGTCAATCATTACAAGAGATTCGAAGACTCCCATCAATTATTAGATAATGCATTAAAGAAAAGACAACAATTGATTCATTTGAAGACACTTGCTAAATTGAATGTAGTACTAAATGATCAAGTAACTAATTTTGAGAATGCTCTAATACTAGATGCAAACGAACCTAGACGAGGCCATCACATTACTCCTGAAAAATTAAAGAGTTTGACAGGAATGTATCTATCAATATCTCATCTATATCAATTTGTATGTTCACATTCGGTGATTTTTGAGTCATCGGATACCACAGCAGATACTGAATTAAAGGACACTAATGAAAAAAACAACATCCCTGCTAGTCTCTTTACGAAAAACTATTTAAATCATAAGATTGCATCTATAAAATTTGAGTTCAAGACATATTTGGATGAAATTGTTAAGTTCAGTTTACGAGATCATGGCCATAGTCGCAGCCTGGATACCAGCGACTTGATCCTTGAGCTTTTAAATGTTTACAAAGTGATTGGCCACGAGTCAGACTTGTTAGCGATAATTAGGCGAAAATGATAATTACATAAAATATAGTATATGTCAATATGACTTGATATAGTTATAGTTATAGTTATAATTATATATGAGATCTTCACGTGACCATGATACCCAAATTTACGCGGCACCACCTTCACACAGTAAACTACAGCACCAACCAAACGACGACAAATCGCACTTACAATTTTTCTGTGAAAAGATATCCAATACTAAGTATAGCGAAAGCTGTAGCCAACAACAACAGTAATAACAACAGCACATACACTACAATGGTTTTGGGGCAATTTTTTACGGCCAGACACGAGTGGGAAAACATCGATAAAAATCAATTACCCAGTGATATTCCTGAAGTGGATGAAGTAGGAGCCACTTCAGCTCCATTACTAGCAGCATCATATTATATTGGAGCTAAATGTAAACCATATAATGATGATTTTATGTTATGTAAGGATGAAAATAATGGAGGATCATTAGAATGTTTAAAAGAAGGAAGAAGAGTCACCAGATGTGCTATTTCTGTATTGAAAGATATAAATAAGTACTGCTTTGATGAATTCAAATTACACTATGAATGCTTAGAACAAGAAAATCATAGAACAGGACATTGTAGGCCATCTGAAGGTGTGTTGGGTAAATGTATTTTCCAACACTTGAACTTGGAAAAGAAAATCCCCGGCGTAGAACAACAAATTCACTTAAAACCAAACCCCATCTTTACCGGAACTTCTAAGGATAAGAAGAAAACTGCTGAATTCTTAAAGGCTAGAGAATCCAGTACCACCACCGCCTCTGCCCCAGCTAGTGCTCCAGCTTCAAATTAAGATTTCAATACATTCACATACACATTCACATACACATCCCATCCTCTCCACCCGTCGCTATCGATTTGATCCCTGTTCCCCTCTGCATTTCACTTCATTTCAGGTCACTACAGTACATTAGCCAGTCTCTAAGACTCCCAATATTCTCATAGACTAAGTATTATTTCTATACTTCATATTTACTTATATATATATTTAACTATACTGCCTACTTTAATTTATCCTGCACACAGGACACTCACCTCTCTCTCTCTCTCCGATCTCAAGTTTAAATTTTCAGTAAACAAAAATTTCACTATCAGTAAAGAATCCCTTTCACTACCCATTAGCATACCGTTAGAGCAATTCAGAAATGTTTGGTAATTCCGGTGGCAGTGGTTTTGGAAGTTCAAACGCCGGGGGTGGACTCTTTGGAGCCAAGTCCGCTAGCGTAAGTAATTCAACACCAGGATTCGGAACATCATCACAACAACAGGGAGGACTCTTTGGAAGTTCAACCATAAATAATAATTCTACCACTAGTGGAGGATTATTTGGCAGTAATCAAAATACTAATGCCAATGCAAATACAACCAATGCATTTGGAAGCAATCCAGCACAAACCTCAAACAATCCCTCGGGAGGATTATTTGGCAAGCCTGCAGCTCCTCTGACAGGATTGTTTGGTAATAACCAAAGTACCAACAATAATTCAGGTGGATTGTTTGGTAAGCCAGCCGCCCCCTCCGGTGGATTGTTTGGAGCATCATCCAATACCACTGGAAATGCATTTGGAGCACCAGCCACCAATACTACGACTCAACCAGCTAATGGTGGATTATTTGGTAGTGGTAATTCTGCTGCAAGTGGAGGATTATTTGGAAACAAACCTGCAACAGGAACAGGACTCTTTGGGTCCAGCACTACACCTTCAGGAGGATTGTTTGGATCCCAAAACCAACAGCAACAACAACAGCAACAACAGCAGCAACAACAGCAGCAACAACAGCAGCAACAACAAATTCAACAACAACAACAGCAGCAACAACCACAACAATCCAGCTTATTCGGAAATAATACCACAAACAATTCACAACCCTCATTTGGATGGTCAACCAACCAATCCCTGAAACCCGCTTTAAGTTCTTTCAATTCCTTAAATGGGAATAACTCAAATGGTACTATCAATACTACATCTACCACCAATAATATAAATACATATACTCCTGCCATTAATGATCAATTAGAAAAGATTAAAGAACAGTGGGACCCCAATTCCGCCAAATGTGTACTTAAGACTCATTTCTATAATAAGTTCAATGATCAAGAAATCCAGATTTTAATGAGTCAACCCAGACCTAATAATGAAACACCAGAAGATTGGGATAATGCCATGAGTAAAAGACCCAGTACCAATCATTATCCTATAAAGATAACGTCCTTTTCAGATGTTGCTCAAAGAATAGAAACTCAATTAGATCATGTAGCCAAATCAAGAATACTATTAAATAATATTAATGATAAACAAAATGCTTTATCATCCAAACATGATTTAGAAAATACAACAAGAGTATTACGAGCTAGAGCTAGACAAAAGAAATTATCTCGAAGATTATTAAGATTAGCTACGGTATTGGCTATATTAAAATTAAAGGGATATCCTTTATTACCAGAAGAAGAAGAAATCTCTAAAGAATTTGATGCCTTATCATCGAAATTAAATGATCCTAATAGTCCTATAGGTAAGTTAAATGATGTATTTGCCAGATTAGCAATATTAAAGGAAAGAGCAGAAGATTTGAACTTTCAATTCGATACTTCTTTAAATGCCTTGAATGGAATATCCACAGAAGATGTTCAAGATGTTAAAGCTGCTGAGCAAACCAATACTGAAGAAATCATTAAGAAATTATCAGAAGTATTATTGAAACAACAAATCGGACTCAATTATCTTAATGAAGTATTAGAGAAGGATACAGAAACTGTCAGTAACTTGACATCGTAATATATATTTATATACATCCATATAACTATAATTAACTATAAAAACCCTTAAATTGTGATCTACTCCTGCTACTACTCTTATCCAGTAAACTTTTATTCCATCGTTTCATATCTGGCTGACCTCTTCCGGCGATTACAAACTCAAACTTGTGAAATATCTGGAAGTTGTGTCGCATACACTTGCGTAAGTTCAGTACGTCTAGTGTGTCTTTGTCTTCATAATTGTCTATTTCTTTGACATTCTCTGTGTCTTTGACATTCTCTATGTCTTTGACGTTCTCATTCTCTTTCTTATTGCTGTCTAGCACTACAAAGGGACTATCAACCTGCGCAGTACTGACTGAATACCTATTGCCATATTTTAATCCCTCATTCGTAAGCAGATGACGGAACTGTATCTCTGTATGTCCTTCAAGGTATTCTTGATCATTCTCTATGTAACTATATCGCGGTACAGCTATCAACCGTGACAACTGGTCGATTATCAGATCCTGTTGTTCTTGCAACACCCTTTTATCAGGAAAGGCTCTCCCTTGCTCATAATTTCCATGACTAAAGCGTGACTGAAGCAATGACGGTACATCAGTTGCACTATACACCACTTGAAGCTTATTTCCATATGTAGCAAGTCCCGAAGTATCGCGATCGACTCTAAAGAACTCAATATTCCCCAAGAGTTTGAAGCATTCTAGCAAGTACGCCACCTCTTTAGAATTTGAAGGTGCCGGAGCTAGCCGTATCTCGGCGTGCACATGACTCTGTAAGTGTCGGGTCAATCCCCACGTGAGTTTTCCGTAGTTCATGGTTAAGTGTAGACACAGTAAAACAATACTGAAAGTGAAAAATTGGCGATACTCTTTTCGGCTCATCGGCACACTACTCCACGAATCGGAATAACTATCCGCTACTAAATCTACACTACAACTACATTAACCTCATTAATCTCACCAACAATTCCATTAATGAGTACTGTACAGGCGGAGATCACTTCCCGGCTAGCGGAGTATCTCAACAAACCGCCGAATCCCAATCTCACTACGTCGCTAGTGGCATTTTACAAGCGCAATAACTCATGCGATGCCTTCACAGTTTACGTCAAGGCTCTCGGCTTGAGTGACCCTAGCCAGGCTAAGCAGATATATAATCTCATAAATGATAATGTACACAGACTTGTGCCGACTGCTGTACCAGAAATACCGAGGCCGGAACATTCTACCCGAAGAAGAATGCTCCCCATTAAGTATGAAGACCATGATGGAGAGGTACCCACCAACATCAGCCAACCCAAATTCAAACGACTTATATCCACCAGCAAGTCACACAAGCTCAAGCCCCGAGTGAAGTTGGAATATGATGATGAAGAAGAAGAAGAAGAAGAAGAAGAAGGAGAGGACGGAAGTGGAAGGCCCACAGCTCCGTTCAAGTTCAAGAAGATCAAACACGAAGATGCCGTGAGACTCAAGGACACTTTGGATGATAAAATAGTCAAGTTGCATAGTACGGAGTACAAGACGATCAAGATGGAGCCACAAAGGTTTGCTGGTCCCAACAATGTGGTTGTAAAGTCCGAGCCATCGCAAGAAGAGTCAGTAGTCGACAGCGATAGTGCGTTCAATGCCCTCAAGCAACAGGATGAAGAGTTCGATATCAACATAGAAAACGATCGGGAATGGTATGCTTCGGAGGAGTATGATGGTGCAGCCAAGGAAGATTATGATGATGCAGATTCCTATGTATCTACCAATACCAATACCAAGAGTAGACCCAGAACAAACACAAACACCTATAGACATTCAAACACCCAAGAATCAGGAGGACTGTTTGATCCACTTACAGGAGAGTACATTGACTATGATCATTCTACTAATGGAGGACTAGGCGACCTATCACGTATCTCACTATCGGCCACCAACTTTGTTCCTCCGTTTCTTGAAAGTTCTAAACAGTACTTACAACTCCTGATTGGAGGAGTAACTGTAGGAGGTATAGGTCCAACCATCAGCCCTGTACGTGATTCCACTTCTGAGTTGGCAGTATCTGCTAAGAGGGGAAGCTTTACTGTACGAGATAGAAAGATGAAGAAAGAACGAGCCAAACAGGCACAGGATCGGGCCGGAGTAAAGGGCTCTAGAGTAGGGAAGGAGAATGTTCTTGGAGTAGACGATGAAGGAGAAGGAGAAGGAGAAGGAAAAGATTCAGCGACTAAGGCTGAGCCACTAACTGCCGATAGGTATACCCAGATCCAACTCCAACGGAAGTCATTACCGGCCTTTACAGTCAAACAGGAGTTGATCCGTACCATAAGAGAAAATCAAGTCACCATAGTCATAGGAGAAACCGGTTCCGGTAAGACAACCCAATTGGCACAATTCCTCTACGAAGAAGGATTAGGATTCAATAAGGGTAATGGCAATAAAAAGATCATTGGATGTACACAACCTCGTCGTATGGCTGCTATGTCGGTAGCCAAGAGAGTCAGTGAAGAAATGAACTGTGAGATTGGGCAAGAGGTCGGGTTTTCTATCCGATTTGAAGATAGAACCGATCCCAATAAAACCAGTATTAAGTATATGACCGATGGGATCTTACTAAGAGAGATATTAGCCGATCCTCTATTATCTACTTATTCCTGCATCATTATGGATGAAGCACATGAGAGAACTTTAAGTACCGATATCCTTTTGGGATTATTTCGGCAATTGATTAAGAAACGAAGAGATTTAAAAGTCATAGTCACCAGTGCCACCATGAATGCCGATAAGTTTACGCGATTCTTTGGAGATGCACCTCAGTTTACTATCCCGGGAAGAACATTTCCAGTAGATATCATGTATAGTAAACTGAGTAATTCTGATCATGTTGAAGCAGCCGTTAAACAGATCTTAACTGTCCATCTACAACTGAGTACAGATAGTGGAGATATTCTAGTGTTCATGACAGGTCAGGATGATATTGAAACAACTTGTGAACTTCTACAGGAGAAACTAGATCTTTTAGATAACCCTCCACCTTTGGATATACTTCCTATATATTCAACATTACCACAAGATTTACAGAAGAAGATCTTCAATAAGTCCGATCTGAAGAGGAAAGTGGTAGTGGCTACTAATATAGCCGAGACTTCATTAACAGTAGATGGAATTAAGTATGTTATAGATACAGGATTAATCAAATTGAAAGTATATAATCCCAAGTTAGGGATGGATACTTTACAAGTAGTACCTGTATCATTAGCCAATGCCAATCAAAGAAGTGGAAGAGCAGGTAGAACAGGTCCTGGGATAACTTATAGACTCTATACAGAAAACGCTACTGAAGATTCGAGAATGTATAAGCAACCCATTCCCGAAATCCAAAGAACCAACTTGAGTAATATTATGCTATTATTAAAGTCCCTTGGAGTCCAAGATATAAATAGCTTCCCCTTCTTAGACTCTCCCCCCAAGGATCTCTTAAATTGTTCATTATACGATTTGTGGTCCATCAATGCCCTTGATAACTTTGGAGAATTGACTCCATTAGGAAAGCAAATGATCGAGTTCCCTATCGAGCCCACTCTCGCCAAACTCATAGTCCAATCACTAGAATTTAAGTGTAGTGAAGAGATAGTCACCATAGTGTCGATGTTAACAGTTCCCAATGTATTCTATCGATCCAAGGAGAGGAAACGAGAGAGTGATATGGCTCGAGAGAAGTTTATAATCAATGAGTCTGATCATTTGACTCTATTGAATATCTATAATCAATGGGAGACTAATCTTAAGAAAGTAAAGAACAATTTCTCTAGCATTAACAGTTGGTGTACTAAGAACTTCTTACAGTTGAAGTCTTTACTTCGTGCTAAGGATATTAAGAATCAATTGTTACTTATTATGAAGAAGAATCGTATGCCTATAACCAGAAGTAATGATGATACCATAATTCGGAAATGCTTATGTTCTTCCTTCTATCAGCAACTGGCGAAATTGACTAAGGTCAATGTTAATGGACAACTTGAATTCATTAACTTACGTCATAACTATATGAAGATGTATTTACATCCTACCAGTTCATTAATTCTTAACAGCAGCTTAAGTACACCATATGTAATCTTTCATGAATTGGTCCTCACCAGTAAAGAGTACATGAACTTTGTAACCACCGTGGATCCCCTCTGGCTATTGGAGTTTGGATATAAATTCTTTGATATCTCTGATGTTAAGACGAAAACAAAAATAAGAAATGAAGTGGATTTCAAATACATCGATAAGGAACTGGTTAAGCAATCGTTGGAATCGGATCTTGAGATGTTTCAAAAACAACAGAAGGCAAAGGCAGATAAGATGAAACAGAGATCTACTACAGGCAATCGAATTGAATTTAAAAGAAGAAATATGGGCCTCTAACCCCTGGGTGTTATCTATATTAAGTATGAGAAATCTTATATACAATTCTATTCTATACTGTAATACTGTAATACTGTAATACTATTATGTAATATACTTTTAGGACTCTTAATGCAAAATAATGTTATCAATAAGTCTGGCACGTCCAACGCCATCCTGTTTAGGTGCTACAACCGCTAAGGTTATCAAAGCTCCAGTACCGGGTTCAACATTTTCAATTTCATCCAAAGTTTCAGGATGATTAATAGATACATACTCTGTTTTGAAAGTAGGATTTGAATCGAGAATACTATGGATCTCATGTAAGATATCCTTTGAAGACACCACACTATTCTTAGATTCATAGTATTGCTTTCCAGTCTGTAAGGACTTATATATTATAGAAGCTTCTTGTCTAGTTTGAGGTGATAAATATTCATTTCTAGAAGACATGGCAAGACCATTGGTCTCTCTCAAAGTAGGCATAATCTTAACATTAGTATCGATTAATAAATCCTTAACAAGATTCTTAATAACAATACATTGTTGAGCATCCTTTTGTCCAAAGTATATATTAGTAGGTTTAACTACATTCAATAATTTAGTTACAACAGTGGCTACACCTCTAAAGAACTGAGGTCTGGTGACACCTTCTAATTGTTCAGAACAACCTTTAACAGTTACAAATGCACCTCTTTGCTTACTTATATCAAGTTCGATTCCAGACGGGTACATTTCTGAAATCTTGGGAATGAATATAGCATCAACTTGTTTAGTATAATTCTTAAACTTATTAGCTAAAATATTCAAATCTGAGTCGATGGTTCGAGGATATGAATCCAAATCCTCATGAGGAGCAAACTGTGATGGGTTAACAAATATAGACACTACAGTATTATCATTATCCTTTAATGATTGATTTACTAATGAGCAATGACCATCGTGTAAGGCACCCATAGTAGGAACAAACCCTACAGACTTACCGTTTAATAAGCATTGCAACCTCCATTGTCTGACCTGTTGGATGGTCCGGAACACCTTTATAGACTCTGCTATAGTCATAGTCTCGTGATATTTACTGCAATATACCTTTACTCACTATGGCTAAAAGTATGGGGTTAGCTGAAAAATTTTTTGATGATCTCCGTCGCACCGACTCCCGGTGGCTGCGAGATTGAGATCTTGTGAGCGGCTCAGCTTCTTATATATACCGAGCTGTCTGACACCAACAAATGTGACAAATGTGACATATGTGACAAATATGATTTATCAGACAAATGTGACATATATGACAATAATTTTGACAATTCTGACAGTGTATGTTCCTCAGCATTCTGCTAGGAGTTTTGATATACACTACTAAATGTTACAGTTTACTAGTAAAGCTTATAGACTACTAAATAGTTACTTTTACATTAGAGTGGTAATGTAGAACAAGTGTATCGAACATTCTCTGTCCCCACAAAATTCCAACTTCTCTATAAAGAAATAAAGATATAATATAAGGTTGGTTTGCGCTACCACACATACACAACCCTGATATGGAAATAGAGTGTTCGGAGTTGATGTCTTTGTGATCACATATCATTAATTCCGTTCGATAATATTGACAAAGACGGAGATTTAATTCGAATGCCCATGATTATACGAGCTGTAGCACCTCGGCCCACGGGTTTTACAAATGTTGCGGTTGCTGATGGATTCTTCCCGCTCAATCACAGCATGACAATTTTCCCCAATAGACAATAAATTTGTTCTGTGCTAATTGGGTTTAGACAGTCTTTTGTATCCGCTATATATAAATACTAGCGATAATTTTGGGTATACTATGCGAGTTAAATTGTGGGGGAAAAACAAAACCTACTTCCTCGGATAAACAATTTTCAAATAAACCATATATATATATGGACATATATATACGTATATAGAGAACGATACAAGTGTAAGTGTTGTTTGAAATTAAAAATTTTATCAACAATAATTGTAGAATGTCGTCGTTCACTGTAGAGAAAAAGACTACTGAAGCTTACTGGCCAAGACGTCCTGGTAGTACTGTTTTGGCAGATGATAAATTGACTATAGTATACAATAAGTTTAAGACTACAGCATCCATACCTTCTAATGCTGTTCGCTATAATCTTATATTTGCTCATGGAACTGGAATGAACAAAGCTATATGGACTTATATTATAAAGAAATTGTATGAATATTCTCAGAATTCTAATGGGAAATGGTACTTAGATTCATGTTTAGCCTTTGATGCAGTATCCCATGGTGATTCAGCTATAATAAATCAAGGAAAGATTGGTTGGGTATATCAATGGGAAGAAGGTGGGAAAGATTTACTTAAAGTATTGAAACATGAAATGCATACAACTGGAGATTTTCAAAATAATTTAACATCAAGAAACATAGCCATTGGTCATTCTTTAGGAGGATATGGAGTTGTTTTAGCAGGCTTTTATGATCCTAATGTTTTAGATTCTATCATCCCAATTGAAGGAGTATTATATAGTGATGATAAATCATTGACTAGATTTACCAAATTATTTTCAAAGATTGGAAGTTTGCTAATGGATACGTTTGATTCTGAACGTGACTTTAATGATTACTATAGAGTATATTCCTTCTATAAGACTATACATCCAGAAGTTATGAATGATTTTTTGCAAGATGAGCTCATTACCGTAGTTGAGAATGGGGAAACGAAATATAAGAGTAAGACACCTACCAATGCACAAATGGCTTCATATCTTGGATCTACGTTATCTTTGAAACTAGTAATGCTGCTTTATCCTTGGTTAAGAGTTCCAGTTTGTCATGTGATTGGAAGTGAAGCTAAATGGAACCCGCCAGAAACAGCTCCATACGTTAGAAGTACCATACCTAAAAAGTATTTAAGTGCAACCTACGATATTCCTAAAGGAGAACATTTGGTTCATGCTGAGCAACCAGATTATACTAGTAAAATCATTGAAGAGTTTATTTTAAAACGTCAAGTAGATTTTGAATCTGAAAAGGTTACCTCCTACTCAGAATTGAAAAACGGTACCGATAGAAATAAATTAAAAGAGATAGAATTTGGTAATTTATTAACCGGTAATTTTGCCAAAGTTTCTGGATACGCAGATTCTATATTTTCTAAATTTTAGGTTTAGAATAAGCCATATAATTTTATGATTTAAATATATTTATAATAATTAATTTTTTCTGTACCACTTTCCTTATAAGTTTCACACGTGACTTTCTTGAAAAATTTCTTTTGTTCTTCTTATATGTATGCAGGACCAAATATCATCTCATCAGTAATTTTTTTTTTCAATTATGATAAACCCAATACCTGTATAATTCTAAGTACAACGATAGTAAAGACAATGTCAAGTTCAAGAAGTTTAGTTATCTCATATGTGCGTGCGTACTTGTCACGAGACGAGTCAATGTCTAAAGTTGTCAAGGCTTTAGATAAAGTCATTGCTGATGAGTCTATAGAAATAATTGATGTCAAGAGCGATTTGGAAGGTATAATTGAGGGCAAGGAAGAGAGTTCAGCCAGCAAGTCTGACTCTGAAGAGTCTTCAGAAACTGGAGAAGAATCTGGTTCAGACTCAGACTCAGACTCAGACTCAGACTCAGACTCAGACTCAGACTCAGACTCGAATGATTCCTCCGACTCAGATGATTCCTCAGACTCAGACGATTCCTCAGACTCAGACGATTCCTCAGACTCAGACAGCTCTTCAGATTCAGACTCTGAAGCTGAAGATGATGAGGATAAAGAAGATGCATCTAAATCTGAAGATACTACAAGCTCAAAGGAAAATGTAGAAGAGTCAGACAGCTCAGATAGTTCAGACTCGGACAGCTCAGACAGTTCAGACTCAGACAGTTCAGACTCAGACAGTTCAGACTCAGACAGTTCAGACTCAGACAGTTCAGACTCAGACAGTTCAGACAGCTCAGACTCGGACTCAGATGTTCCAGAACAATCAGAAAAACCAGAAAAACCAGAAAAACCAGACTCTGACTCAGACAGTTCAGACAGCTCAGACAGCTCAGACAGCTTAGACTCCGATTCAGACAACTCAGACTCAGATTCAGACAGTTCAGACTCTGATTCAGATTCTGACAGTTCTTCAGACTCAGATTCAGACAGTTCTTCAGACTCTGACTCTGACTCTGATTCAGATTCTGACTCAGAATCCGACAATGGTAAGAGAAAGAGAGACGACTCTGATGATGAAAATGTCGATATTAAAAAGCACAAATCAGATTCATCACAAACCGAATCAATATCATCCAACTCATCTTCCCCAGAACCAATTTCTGCTACTCCAGAACCAGAATTGAAACCAGGACAAAGAAAGCACTTTTCCAGAATAGACAGAAGCAAAATTAGTTTTGAACATGATGCTTTACAAGACAATACCTATAAGGGAGCCGCTGGTACTTGGGGTGAAATAGCGAATCAAAAATTAACTCAAGTTAGAGGTAAAGATTTCACGAAGAATAAAAATAAGATGAAAAGAGGTGCATACAGAGGAGGTTCCATCACTTTTAATTCCGGTTCATACAAATTCACCGATTAGAATAGAATATATAGATTGAACTGTATACTGTAAGATATCCTATGTAATTAGATAGATCAAATAGAAGTTGATTTGTTAATATGTAATTGAATTTAGCTTAGTATATATAATTACGAGCGATCCGAGGGCAGCAATATAAGACTTCCGGGGGTAGTGTGCGCACAACCCGCCACTCTTCGCTAGACCGGATATTAATATATATATCTTACAAATATGATTTTTATTAAAGATTATTAATTGTTACTTCTCTTTAAGAAATTGATTCTTCACTAACCAACTAACAAATCAGATAGACTTACAGACCATGTCCAGAAGAAGTGACGGGATCAACTATGCCGAGTTGGACCGAGGTAATTATTCAGACGATTCTTACGATGAGGATATGGACGAATCGGGAAGCAAGAAGAAGGATGATGACTATTCCTATGGATCTACTCGAAAGAGAAAAGTCGGAAATAATACTAAACCAAAAGCTCCTAGTCGTAAGAGAGTCAAAGAAGCCGTAGAAACCATCAATTCCGAACTTCCAGACACTCCTGTATCTGATGATGAACTATTAGAATTTACACCTGATATCCCTGCTGATTATATTCCTGATGCAGTATCTAAAGCATTTGGGAATTCTGATTTTTCATATTTAAAATTAAAACCTGATCATTTCTCTCGACCTTTATGGATATCTCCAAATGATATACGAATTATTTTAGAATCATTTTCTCCATTAGCAGAACAAGCTCAAGATTTTTTAATTACAATTGCTGAACCAATATCGAGACCATCTCATATTCATGAATATAGAATTACTACTTATTCATTATATGCTGCTGTATCAGTAGGGTTAGAACCTGATGATATAATTCTGGTATTAAATCGATTATCAAAAGTTCCAGTTCCAGATTCTATAATCAATTTTATTAGACAAGCTACAGTATCTTATGGTAAAGTCAAATTAGTTTTAAAACATAATAAATATTTTGTAGAAAGTACTCAAGCAGATGTATTACAAACATTATTAAGAGATCCAATAATTGGACTGTTTCGTATATCTTCAGCAGAAAGTACTATAAGTAATGGATTAGTTCAATCATCAGCACCAAAACAAGGAGATTTAGTTATACCTGGTACAAAAAAGAAAGATGAAACCACGACAAATAATACTGAAACTGAAGAAATCTTTGCATCAGTAGTTGGAGAAAAAGATGATGATGATATAGATACAGTTCATTCATTTGAAATTGCAAAGGATTCAGTTGAAGCAGTTAAAAAAAGATGTGGAGAAATAGATTATCCAGTATTAGAAGAATATGATTTTAGAAATGATACAGTTAATACTAATTTGGAAATTGATTTAAAACCTTCAACACAAATTAGACCTTATCAAGAAAAATCTTTAGCTAAAATGTTTGGTAATGGTAGAGCAAGATCAGGTATTATAGTTCTTCCATGTGGAGCTGGGAAAACTTTAGTAGGAATTACTGCTGCATGTACAATTAAAAAATCAGTAATTGTATTATGTACTTCTTCAGTATCAGTAATGCAATGGAGACAACAATTTTTACAATGGTGTACAATTCAACCAGAAAATGTGGCAGTATTTACTTCAGAAAATAAACAAATGTTTTCAACTGAATCAGGTTTAGTTGTTTCAACTTATTCTATGATAGCCAATAGTCAAAAGAGATCTCATGATTCAGAAAAAGTTATGGAATTTTTAAGAGGTAGAGAATGGGGGTTTATTATTCTTGATGAAGTTCATGTTGTACCTGCAACTATGTTTAGAAGAGTAGTTACAACTATTGCTGCTCATTCTAAATTAGGTCTTACTGCTACATTAGTTCGTGAAGATGATAAAATTGATGATTTAAATTTCTTAATTGGACCTAAATTATATGAAGCAAATTGGATGGATTTAGCTCAAAATGGTCATATTGCTAATGTTCAATGTGCAGAAGTTTGGTGTCCAATGACTTCAGAATTTTATCAAGAATATTTAAAGGAATCTGCTCGTAAAAAAATGTTATTATATATTATGAATCCTACTAAATTTCAAGCTTGTCAATATTTAATTCATTATCATGAAAAGAGAGGTGATAAAATTATTGTATTTAGTGATAATGTTTATGCATTACAAGAATATGCTCTTAAATTAGGTAAATCATTTATTTATGGGGCAACTCCTCAACTGGAAAGAATGAAAATTTTACAAAATTTTCAACATAATGATGAAGTTAATACTATATTTTTATCTAAAGTTGGTGATACATCAATTGATCTTCCTGAAGCAACTTGTTTAATTCAAATATCTTCTCATTATGGTTCAAGAAGACAAGAAGCTCAAAGATTAGGTAGAATTTTACGAGCTAAAAGACGTAATGATGAAGGTTTTAATGCATTTTTTTATTCATTAGTATCAAAAGATACTCAAGAAATGTATTATTCAACTAAAAGACAAGCATTCCTTGTTGATCAAGGTTATGCATTTAAAGTTATTACTCATTTAAATGGAATGGAACAATTACCTGATTTAGCTTATTCATCAGATAGAGAAAGAAGAGAATTATTACAACAAGTATTATTAAAAAATGAAGATCAAGCTAAATTAGAAGTTGGTGATGATATAGATACAAATTTTATATCTGATTCAACTCGTTTAAAACTTGAAAATAGTAGTGCATCAAGAACTGCTGGATCTTTAGCAGGTTTGGCAGGAGGAGAAGATATGGCATATGTTGAATATGGTAAAAGTAAAAATAAAGAATTAAAGGAACATAATCCAATAATTCAGAAATTATATTATAAGAAGGCGAAAGAGAATAAGGAAACTAAGTAAATAGAAATTCTTAATATAGTATATAAGGATAATGCATTGATAATTGAATTCAATTAACTAAAACTAATTTAACTAAGAAAAAACCAATTATCGTATTTAATTATGCCAATAGGTAACATCACCAGGATGTCAACTAGTAATAAAGTCTCCAAAGTCATCATCAGTATCATCACTACTATCAGAAATAGTAATCCTCATATTATTATTATTATTATTATTATTATTATTATTATTATGAATATTATCATGAATATTATTATTATTCTCATGATCAATGGGGAATAAAGTGAAATCAGAATTATCATTAATTGAAAATTGTGCCAGTTGCTTTTGAATATCGAGGAGTTTACATTCATACACATATTGTTCTTCTACATTCCTAAATCTTCTCTTATAAAGATTTAATGATTCACTAAATCCCAGACTATCATTACTATCTTTAAGTTTTAATCCAAGTGCTACTAAAATTGGTGCATCTGCATCAGGAAATATTTTAAATGGCTGATAGCCTGAACTTGGTAATTGAGTTATTAATTTATAATATTTAGCTGATTCCTTTGACATTTGAATAGTTTCAGGAAAATTACTAGTAAATAAAATATTAATATCCTTAATATCATGATCTACATGAGGTCGAGGATTATACCAAACTTCTGCCCAAGATTCTTCACGTTTAACACTTGTAAGACTACCAACTCCGGGCGGTATAATTATTTCATTATATAATTCTAATTTAGCTCTTAAACATTCATATGGTTTACGAGGTGTATCAGATACTTGATCTTGATTAGATAAATTTATAGAATTAGCCCATTTTAATGTATCAGTAGAATGAAGTCTAGAACCTGGCATTGATGAAAATAATCCTACATCATCTTGAACAACTTCTTGTTCAATTAATCTTAAATTACCCTTCCATATAATATTTGACTCATTAAGATTCCATTTAGATATACTTAATTCTCCTGGTGGAATTGGGAATATACATACTTGTGTGGCTTCAAATAACGTGGTGGAAATTAAATTTGTATTATACAGCATCTCTCTCTCACCTCAGTTTACATATACTATATCAATTGTGTATAATGTCACCACACAATTATGAAAATTTACTTATTTTAATATAAATTATGAGTTATCACCACTAGAATCATAATCAGTTTACTTAGTCGAGAGACATTTTTGGGATCAATCAATCAAAATGCGACATCTACCATACATCATACATACATACACTAGCATGATGTATGCGACATTCAACTACACCCACTGACAATTGAAAAGGACGTGTATATGCTCAAACTGACCATACATTTTTTTCATAATTTTTCAAGTTAGTTAGTTAACTACTAAAACTATACGAACTATACGTACGAATAAGTACAGCAGTTTATAAGAAATATGTTGAGTAAGGTCGTGTCGAGAAACATAGGGATATTCCGTGGGTCAGTTTTTAATGGTGTTGGAATCAACCCCATGGCTGTTTCTACTCGTTTTAACTCTGATTTTACTAAGAAATTAAATACCAAAGATGAATCAAAAAAGAAGTCTAAATCTAGTATAAGTGATATAAATGACCTTTTAAATAGTTCCTTGGAACATACAGATTCTAGTCTTTTCAAATCTAAATCTAGTCAATATATTAGTATGGATTTAGTACCGCAACCAAGAGATACAGCTAAAAAGGTAAAGATTTTAGGTCCATCAGCTGGAAGAGCTGTTGATGTTCAACATAATGGATTAGGTAGGGCATTTGGACAACTTCGTAGATTGACTTTTGATAATAGAATTAAACATTTTCAAAGAGTACAGGAAAGACATATTCGTCCTGCAAAATATAGAAAACAAAAGAAGAGAGAATGGTGGAGAAATAAGTTCTCTGATGGATTTAAGGATTTAATGGCTCAAGTTACTGATGCTAGAAGAAGAGGTTACTAGTTCTGGATACAAGAATAAGTCATAAGTAAACCAGAATTATAAACATATCCCATAAGGTGGATCATAATTACTCAAACATCTATTCTATTACCATCCATTGACCATCTACTTTCCCCCCTTCTCCCCTCCCCTACATACATGCCTTCTTGTATATATCCCCATTCGGGTTTGTAAATACGTTAATACACATTACACATTCTATTTTTGATATTTAGACCCCTTGCCTAATTGGGAGTGGTATCTCAGCCTTGTTCGTATCAATCACCGGGTAGATCTATCTTTTTTTTTTTGATCTCTAAGGCACCCTGGGTAACAGAGGAGTATTTAGGAATTGCACTGTTTTCACCACCGCACGGAGTCAGTAGCAAGAAGTCAGATTCAGAGTCAGAATTCACGGTGAAGTTCTCACCAATTGCCATACACGTTAAAGTATCTACACATAAGTATCTACCAAAAATATTACGAGTAGTGATTGATTCCGAACGTGGCATCGCATAGTAATGAGTAAGCATACCGGATCTACTACTACTTCCAGTAGTAATTTAGAGACTCCGAGAGGTGGTATACCTGCTATAACAGGAGATATAGATTTTACAAAAGCTATTCATGTGTTTCCGGAGCAATTGAAACCATTCCGAAGTAGTGTATTAGCTTATAGCGCATCTTTCTTATCTACATTTATTGGATTTCCGTTAGATACTGTAAAGACTCGTATGCAAACACACAAACATTTTACAGGATATTTTGATTGTATAAAGAAATCATATATGCATGAAGGAATAAGGGGATTTTTTAGAGGTATTTGGGCTCCTTTAGTTTCTACATCATTTTCAAAATCTTTAAGTGTATCATTATTTACTGCCGTAAAACCTTATACTTATGATAATCTTTATCAAAGTGGTGGACCGGAATTACATCCATTTTTACGTAATATCCCTGTATGTTTTATTTCCGGTACTATAGCTGGAGGTGGGGTATCATTATTTGCTTGTCCCTTTGAATTTACTAAAATTTATGCTCAATTAGAAAGATTGGTTCATAATAAATCTCTTAGTCAAATTCCTAGTAATTTACAAACTAGTAATCAAGAATTAATTAATAATTCTACTATAACTATTGTTAAACAAATTATAAAATATGAAGGAATTGCTGGTTTATATTCTGGATTTAAATATCATTTCTTAAGAGATTCTTTATCTTCTGGATTTTATTATTCAGTTTATGAATCTATGAAATGGTCAATGAATAATTTTATAAATAAAGATCCAACTAAATCTTCTCAAATTTCTATATTACTTGCAGGTGGTCTTTCTGGTGTATTATCTTGGATCTTTATATTTCCGGTAGATACCACAAAATCTTTAATTCAAAAGGATGTGGTAACTAATATTTTACGTCGAGAACAGGGGTTACCTCCTTTACCTCCTAAACAAAGAAAATTACAAAAAATTGAGGCAAGACTATATAGAGGGCTTGGAATTTCTGTATCTCGATCATTTCTTGTAAATATGGTGTTCTTTAGCACATACGAGGTTGCCATGGCCTATCTTGCTTAACTTTTATTTATATATATACATTGCTAATTTATAGACTTAAATAGACAGGTGATTACCGCTTTCTTGTTCTACCTCGAGTACGTAAATCTTCATCGTGGTCTTGGTCTTGGTCTTGGTCCTGTTCCTGTTCATGTTCATGTTCATGTTCCTGTTCATGTTCATGTTCCTGTTCATGTTCATGTTCCTGTTCATGTTCATGTTGACCCTTTCGATGTTGGATCCTACTACTTCTTCTAGGTCCCTTAATTGTAGCATCAGTTGCAAGTATTTCTTCAAGAGATCTTTTCATAGGTGACTTGGATCTTGTTCTATTGGCAGGATGGTCACTGGACTCTTCGTATTTCAAGTCAACGCCCGACGATAACCTTGATTCCGAGACTGGTAAAGAACTGACTCTTTCAGGAATATCAATTTTATCAGCAGATTTAATATTGCGTGTTCTGCCACTTCGAGTTTTAGGAATGTCTAGAATTATAGCTTCTTGTGGTTCTGTAGCTTTGGACTTTCTGCCTCTACGAGTTCTAGGTTTCGAGACTTTGGGACTGACTTGTTCAGGTTGTTCATGTTCAGGTTGTTCATGTTCAGGTTGTTCATGTTCAGGTTGTTCTTGTTCAGCTTGTTCAACTTCGACTGGCTCAGACTTAGCCACAGTCTGATTCCTGGACCCTCTAGTTCTACGACTTCTGGATGAAGAACTGTCGGGTTTGGCCTCATCTTCCTGAGATGCGTCCTTTACATCTTCATGTTTTACTGCTTCAGGTTGTGAATCTTTCTCTACTCCAAATTCATGACCATTCCTTAATCTCTTGGCTTCAATGGGGAAGTCATCGATGTCCAAGCCAAGGAGTATTCTCTTTCTCTTGGGTTGGATTCTGGTGGTTGGTTTAATTTCAGATTTATCTTCAGGTTTGGATTCAGAGTGCTCTTGAAGATCGAGAGATTCTTGAGGTTCTGGAACTTCTGGGGCTTCAGTGTCAGCCACTTGTGACAGTTTTGCTACTTCTTCCTGTGCTGTTTCTTCTGTTACTTCCTCTGCTACTTCTTGTGCTACTTCAACATCCGCTTGGTCAATAAGTTCTTCATCGGCTTCTATAGAAACTTCTTCTACTTGTTCTTCTTCTTTGATTTCCTGTTCAGTTTGGTCTTCTTCAGTCCCGGCAGCTTCGGTAAGTGCAATTTGATCTGGTAGTATTTCCTGTTGGACAGCCCCTTCTACAGCCCCTTCTACTGCCTCTTCTTTGGGCTCTACTTCAGGCTCTTCTGCTTCTACAGCTTCTTCTTCTGCTTCTTCCGCTTCTTCAGCTTCTTCGGCTTCTTCGGTTTCTTCCGCTTTTCTCACTTCCTCAAACAGTTCTTCAGGAACCTCTTCTTCAACTATTTCTTCCGCCGCATCTATCCGATCTACGACTTCCTCGAGTTCCTCTACAGCATCAGAAATAACATGACTCACATCTCCTTCAACTGTGTTTTCAAATGCGTTTTCAACAGACTCCAAACTTTCTTGAGTATCTCTATCTTTATCCTGACTCTCATCTTGTCCATCAACATCGTCAACATCAGTCAGGTGGTCTTGTTCAGTAGTGACTTGATGATTTTCCCGAATATCTTCATTAACAGAGTCTGGTACATTGACCACTTCTCCTTCTTCCTCTTCATCTTCCGACTCATCCTTATCAATTGCCTGCAATTCTGGCTTCAGAACCCTTTCAATTCCATTCTTGCTGCTACTTGAGGTGCCTATCCACGATAAAGGATTCAAGATACTCTTCAATCTCTTAAAGCTACTACCTCTACTTGCACTTGCACTTGCACCTCCAATATCTTCAGCTTTACGCTTCTTCTGTCCTTGACTACTACTACTTTCTTCACTTATATCTTCTGCTACTGCATCATATTGTATCTCTGGAGTTGGTTCTATAGAGACAGGTACTTCAATCGAGGTGGGGGTTATGGCTTCTTCATACTCATTTTCAACGACAGTTTCTTCATCCACGTATGCCTGAGTTGAAGGACTATCTGGTTCGATGATTTCACTGGGATCCAATACTTCTTCGTTATCTTCATTATCTTCATTATCTTCAATAGGGCCATTAGTTACCAGTTCAATGTCTTCATTAGGAATGTCTAGAGAAGGCTGTTCTTCGGCAACTTCTACTGATTCTTCAACTACATATGAGGGATGAAGTACAGTCTCAGACTCAGACTCAAGCAAGACCACACCATTGTACTCTGTAACAGTCTCATCTTCGCTTTCAATGACTTCTTCCACAGTGAACTGACTCTTGTGTGTCTGGTCTGATTCTTCTGGTGTTTCGTTAGAAACTGCAGCTTCAGCATCTTCTACTTCAGCTACTTCAGCTACTTCAGCTACTTCAGCCTCTTCTTCCTCTCTATTCTCCGCTTCTTCCACTACGGTTTGATCTTCCAATATCGTATCTAATTCCGGCACTTCTATAGCACTTTCATCAATTGTATCATGATCAAAGGTGCTTTCTATAAGAGTATCCAAATGAGGAATATCGATATTAGTAGACTCATATGTGTCAGGCTGTGGCTCATGAAGCTCATCAGCATTGAGCACTTCATTTCCAACTCCAAATACTGTGTCTACTTCTTCTACTTTGGAGAAAGGAGGATGCTGAAGCTCAGATTGTGAAGTTTCAGTTATATCCTCAAGATGTGGAGCTTCTATATGAGTTATATTGAAATCAGTGGCTCTAGATTCATCCATGTGACTGAAATCATCAAGCAGTAATGGTAAATCTGGTTCTTTAGCTTCTGCAGTATCTACAGACTCAACTGGAAAGTTGGAATTATCAGTTGGAGTAATTCCAGATTCAACAGGACTAATTCGGAAGTGATCAAGTGATTCTGATTGTGAAAGTCTGCGTTCTTGGTGGACCTGTTCAACGTCTTCAACTACAACTTCATTGAAGTGGTCATTGTCGTGGTAATTATTATGATCATTGAAATCATCATTGAAATGGTCTATTGCGGGTTGCACTGTAGCTTCGTAACTCTCGGCCACTTCTTCCAACTTGTAATCTTTGTCCAGGTCATATTCTTCTATTATTTCTACTGGTTCTGTTTCTGCATGTGCATGTGCAGCTTCTATATGCTCTTCGACTTTCTGTTGTTGTTGTTGTTGTTGTTGTTGTTGTTGTTGTTGTTGTTGTTGTTCATGTGGTTCCTCATCGACAACAATGTCTTGATCTGGCTCAACCAATTCAATTGGCACAACTGGTTCAACTAGTTCAGTAGGCTCAGCATCTTCAATGGATGTATCCTCAATTTCTTCTACTGGCTCTTCTGCAACTGGCTCAACTGGCTCAACTTCAACTGGCTCGGCTTTCTCAATTAGTTCAGCCTCTTCCACGGAGATTTCTTCATTGTCTTCTACTATCTCTTCCTCTACTATCCCTTCTTCCCCTTCTTCTGATTCTGCTACTTCTACGAGCTCTGCATCCTCTTCCTTCTCTTCTTCATCATCATCCTCCTCATCCTCATCTTCCTCCTCCTCTGGAAACTCTTCAGGTATAAGCCCAGCTAAAGGCGAATCCCTCTCTTCAGGATGCACAGGAGTAGAGGCAAGCAGATGTATATCATAACTACTCTCAATTTGAATCTCTGGCTCTTGAGATGTAGTTCTTGATGACTTCTGATACAACTCTATCTCAAGATCTGCCACGGAATTAAGTCGGATATTGAACTTCCGTTCGGTTTCCTTCAACTTTTCCAAAACAACTTCCGGTTCTTCTTCACTAACAGTTCTGAAAATAGGTAATGGAGGTCCTGTATCTTCATCAGACAGTGATTCATCTTGTTGTTGTTGATCATGATGAACTTTAGTATGAGGTACTGTTGGAAGTTCTCCATCATTTTCTTCATCTGCCAATGATCCTTCCGATAAGTTTTCATCTTCTATCTCTTGTTCAACATTATCATAAGTATCAAATTCATGAGCATAGAATGGTGCAGGAATAGGTGCTATTTCTTCTTGGATATCATCAGTTATCTTGCTCACTATGCTGGTTATATTGTCAGTCACTTCTCCATCGGCTGCATAGCCAGAGGCTAGGTTTGGATCTATAGGTATCATATTTGCGTTGTCTAATGTGTCATGAAGTTTGCTTTCATTAAGTACAGCTTCGGCTAGATTCAAAAGATCTTGATGAGCAAAGAGATTGGGTTCATTGTACGCTTGGCTGTGTGCTTCAAGCTCTTCTTCCTCCTGTTCATCTTCCTCTTCCTCTTCTTCATCTTCATCTTCATCATCCTCTTCATCCTGTTCCTCTTCTTCTTCTTCAGAGTCTATGATAATGACACTATCGTCAGAAGCATTGTTGAAGTCAGTAGGAGCAACACGATGGTCCATCTGTATATCCTCGTGCTCCTCTTCCTCTTCCTCCTCTTCCTCTTCCTCTTCATCTTCTTCTTGTTCGTCCTCTACTTCTTCCTCTTCCTCTTCTTCCTCTTCGTCATCCTCCTCTTCTTCTTCTTCATCAGCATTGTCTATGCCTTGATGAATCGCATGGGAGTGTGAAAGCGCCACATCATTTAATCTTGGTCTTCCATTAAGGATCTGGTACGAAGTTTGAACTATTTCAGAACTGGGTGGTTGTGAGAAGTACTGCAATCTGTTCATTCTTATATCGTTTGCATTTGAAGTGTCTTCGTGGTTACGATCTTGCTCTTCTTCGGCTTCTACTTCCAGCTCTTCTTCTTCTTCCTCTTCCTCCTCTTCTACTGATTCCTCTTCTTCCTCCTCTTCTGCTTCTTCTTCGCTTGCTTCCTCTTCGACTTCATGCTCTACCTCGTCATCCACATTATGTTCGCCGTATCCTTGATAGGCATTGTGTATCGGATGTAAAGAGTTGGTTATAATGCTAGGTCTTTTAAAAGGTCTAGAATCAACACTCTGAGGGTACTGAAGTCCAATATATCCATGGTCTTGACTGAATTCATGAGAAGTGTGGGCTGCACCAGATTCTTCCTCCTCTTCCGACGAAAGTATCTCCACCACATCGTCTTCTGGAGCTATTTGGTTGGAATAAGTTTGAGCATAAGGTACATAAGGATTGGTATCTTCACTATCGTTTTCATCCTCTTCATCTTCGTCTTGGTCTTCTTGTTCTTCCTCTTCATTCGTGTCTTCTTCTCCTAACAGTTCGGATTCATACTGTTGATTGAGATCATCGTCGTGACAATGTAACTCAGTGAATACTTCATGTTCTGGATGTATTTCACTTTGCTGGTTTGCGAATCCTGTAAACGTATAATCCTGTCTCTCTTCTTGGTCATCTTCTTCCTCTTCTTCTTCTTCTTCCTCTTCCTCTTCACCTTCCTCTTCCTTTCCACCAGAATCCCCTACACGTTCGAGTCTCTCCACCTCCACTCGTTCATTCTCTTCCAATGTGTCTAAGGCCTGCTTCAACTTATTAAAATTATCATCATACAATTTAGCTCGATACTTCTCTCGTAACTTAGTCTCTTCTTCCTGTCTAACTTTCTCCTCGTATAACTTTTCTTGCTGCAAATTTTGGTAATTTAGTAATTTCTTGACTCGATAGTCTACATCCGAGATCCATCGTACTATATCATCACTATCCTTTTGGATGACTGCATTATCTTTATTCTTTAATATTAATTGCTTTGAGTCCGATGCCCTCGGTACAGGCTCATCTTTATCATTATTGGAGCTATTTGACTCATTTTTTTTGGGACTAAAAGCCAGACTCAAATTTCGGAAACTCATTGTTTGACTTCCCAATTTAGGTACATCAATTATAGTCAATTAACCAGTAGCTATAAATGATTATTTTTCAATAGTTAAAAAGTGCTCTCGATATTGGACCTTTTGTTTGGGGTTTTTTCATATTGTGTGCAGGCTTTTTATGGCTCACGTGCGCGCCGCTATACTGGAAAAGGAAATGTAACTAAATTTTTGCAACCCTCTTGCATTATAATAATATATTATTATATTATTACTATATAATATTTTTAAAGTCTATACAGATTGAGAAATTGTTTCTAATGCCTCTAATAATATATGAGCCGCATCGGCTGTTTCTGCAAATGTATTATATAATGGTACAGGGGCAAGACGAATAACATCAGGTCTTCTTTCATCACAAATAATAGCATGATTATGTAAGAGCAGGTTAACTCTTTCCATAATATTCTTTGCCTTATCATCAAAATGTGGTTGGAAATTTATAGATAATTGAGCTCCTCTCTCTTGAGGATTCAATGGAGTTAAGATTTTAAATCCAAATTTATTCTTATCAGTTTCTGATTGTGGTAAATAAAATTTAGATGCTGTAAGAATATCTTGTAACATTTGTGTTAATTCTATACTCTTTTCACGTAATTTATTAACACCTCCTACTTGTTGAAAGATCTCTAATGATGCTTTAACTGATACTACATCAATAACTGATGGATTAGATTGTCTATAACTTAAGGCAGAATTAATAGGATCAAATTCTTCAAGCATCTTAAATCTATCAGTGGAATTATTCCCCCACCAACCGGCAAGTCTGGGTTTAAAATCTTGTTTAGAATTATTTATAGTATATTGTTCATGAACAAAAATACCGGCAATTGCTCCTGGACCAGAATTCAAATATTTATAAGAACACCAAGCAGCAAAGTCTATATTCCAATCATGTAATGATAATGGAACATTACCAACAGCATGGGCTAAATCCCAACCTACTTTAATATCAGAAGATTTGGACTTAATATGTTGAGTAATTTCTTTAATTTTAAATAACTGTCCAGTATAATATTGAATACCAGGAAAGCATACTAAACAAATTTCCGATTCATATTGTTCAAATGTAGCCAAAATATCTTCAGTTTTTAAATATGTCTCACCTTCTTTAACCGATACTTGAATTAAATGAGATTCATCATAACCAAATAATTTGACTACATTAAGAAATGCATAATAATCCGAAGGAAATGCTTGCTTTTCAAATAAAATTTTAGTTCTTTTACCTTGAGGTCTATAAAAATGAATCAATAAAGCATTCAAATTAGCAGTTAATGATCCTAATACGGCAACTTCATTCTCTTTAGCTCCTACTACTGGAGCAATTAATGGAACTAATGGTAAATCTATATCCACCCAAGAAGTCTTTCCAATACCAGGATGATTAAAATGAGACTCTACTGCACGAGCTCCCCATGCATCTAATTCATCATTCAAAGCCTTTCTAATTGATTTGGGCATTAATCCTAATGAATTACCACATAGATAAGTAGATTCAGTTGAATCATCCTCAATACCCAAGGACTTAAAAGTAGGGATTTCAAATAATTCCTTATATGTTGGATATTTGGAATCCAATTCCACCACTTGTTCCTTAGTAACTGGTGTCACCATTGATGTATATATTAATTGTCTTATACTTGTGGTCTTAGTAATGGTCTCACCCAAATTTTTCACCCTCACAAAATGTATCACCAAATCTCGCATGCGATTATCTAGATAGTATGTTATAAAAAGTTTTATAGAGATAGACTTCATACATTATCGGTCATGATCCATTCCGTATTGATATGTAAGTATATATATACTGATACTTATAGTATTTAATGATTGTCATTATCAGATTACTAACTATTTACATCTAGTCAACAATGATGGGTTACCCAGATTAATGAAGTTCTACACTCCGGTAGATATCCCGACACAACGATTATTATTACAACAAGTATACCAATTAATATCCATAAGAACATCTCAAGAATGTTCATTCATAACCCCTCCCTCATTACTTGCAGATTTAGATGATATTAAAGTCATTTATAGACATTATGCCACCTTATACTTTGTGTTTATAGTGGATGATCAAGAATCGGAATTAGGGATTCTCGATTTAATTCAAGTATTTGTAGAATGTTTAGATAAATGCTTTTCTAATGTATGTGAATTGGATTTAGTGTTTGGATGGCAAGTATTACAAACGGTATTAGAAGAGATTGTTCAAGGAGGAATGGTTATAGATACCAATATAGGACGAATTGTGGCAGCAGTGGATGAATCCAATAGTCAAAAGAGTTCTACAGTAAATAGTACTGTTGGAGGGTTAAGTTCGACCATTTTACATGCCATATCAAGGGATAGAGGATTCTGGGGGCGATAATGTAATGTAATGTACCATAACTTAATTTAATTTTATTGAATTAATCTATTTAATGATAATATAATATACATATTTACAAGTAATCACCACTGACTTAAATCTATTTCTTACCCAACCAGTTGAACCAGCCCGAGGATTGCTTTTGTTTTAATTTCTCAGTTTCTATCAATTGCAAATTGGCTTGTTCTATTTCATTTTGTTTGAACTTATCGGCTTCTTCCTTACGGAACTGATCATAATCAATCAATCTTTCATTGGCATTTCTTTGTGATCTTTCTAATGGTGATCCAATAGGTCCAGTTTTCCAAATTGGATCATTGGATGAAGAAGTCTCCTTAATAATCTTCAAAAACTCTTGATTTTCTCGTCTTCTAAGTTCTTTGTTCATTTCATAATCGGCTCTGATCTCAGGTGAAAAGCTGGCAATCAACTGTTCATCGGTTGGTGTAGTATATATATATAACAAAACTCCTGTACCGATAATAGAACCTCCAGCGAAGTACACTCTGGCCCATCTATACCATAAGGGTTTCGTAGACATAGCTTTTCTAGATTTGTATTCTTTTATGTAATAAACTAACCTGGTTACTATTGTCCATGACTTTATTCGATGGTATTATCCATTAGATAAATTTTATGTGAGTATTGGTCACGTGTAATGTCACGAGTTTTCGTTTATGTTTACCGAATATAATTCCAGAACACCCCATATTGTAAGTGAATCAATGGCATTATGAAACTTTGGAACTGTGTTTGGATAAACTAGTTTTGGCCATCTAATCTCCGTTTAACTGTGATTATTAATCACTAGTTATATATATAGAAAATATTATGCGAATAAAATATTGTATATACATAATTACTTTCCAGTAATTTTATGTAAGAGTAACTATGTAATTTACTTTGGCGAATTACCATATTTACAGTCGGTTCAATTAGGTAACAAAGTTTCATTCAATAGCTAATTGAGTTATCTATTTAGAATTACAACTATTTAGACCTAACAGGTCGTTCACTGATCAAATATAGCTTATTCTTTAATATATATCACCAGTTTTCGTTTAACCCCAACATTTTTACCGACTAATAATTAGAGATAACCCCATATTCTAAGTGAATCTATGGCATTATGAAACTTCGGAACTTATTATATTTATTTACAGTAGTAGCTACCGTAGTTAACGCGGATGCAAATATCACAATTTAAACTTGCATCGTGGAAAGTTGACAAGAATCTGACTAAGTACATAAATAATGGTGAAATCGTAGGTAAACCCGTTGATATTCAAGTCAATTATGACGGGGTCAGTGAGCTACTTAAACTGTCAAAGAATTATAGCATTGCTGTGGCAGATCATTTAAAATTTTTGAAAATCCAACCCGAAATAGTTTTGTCACCAATGGGGGTTCCTAGACCATTAATAGTACGTGCAACATTAATTGAAAGAGTTAGAAGAATAGTAGATAGAGTTAATGATGATACTATAAATATAATCAAAGCTATTTGTAGATTAGGACGAGAGCCAGTTGCTGATATTGTTAAAAATATTGTTTCTATAATTAGCCCAGGAAGTGATGGATTTGTATCTAGAGCTACCAGTTTGTTGACTGGTAAAGTAATTCATCGGGGTTATGCTATGTATTCGACAGTCGATACATATAAAGGGCATACATGGTTTGCAATAATTGCATTGGGTACTTTGGGAGGTACTAAAGAAACTATAACTGATGCAGATATTGAACAAGCAGTATTGCAAGCATTTACATCAAAAATCGCAGATATCATGCATATAGGTATTAGCGAGTTGGCAGGCACAGGCGAAAATGTTAATCACAATGACAATTGGTATGACAGAGTGATTTTCTACCGAGATGATATAACTAGTATACCTAATTGGAGAATGGGTTCTACCTATTTTTATTAGGAGACAAGGCTCCGCTGAGAAATTCAAAAAATCATTGTTCAAATCGGCACAGCCACTTTGCAGCCGTTAATAATGCTGTTCATAAGCTGATGACAAATTTCATCCACAGCATGATCAAACCTACTCATATGCATATAGGAGAATCATATATACAGTCATAGATTACGCAGTTACAGGACTCTTACATTACTACTTGAAACAATAGTCAATGGTTAAACCGGCAATTGATACAATTCATTATTTTAGTATTTCATTAACATTATCTTTAACATTATCGTTATCATTATTTTACTCAGTTAATAAAGTAATCAATTCCTACCCCTAAACTCTGGTTCTATATCAGTTGTACGCAACCCAAACTATTCTGTTAGACCAACGGACGCGTGAAGTGTCTGCCCGAAAAAAATTAAAACATAAAAATAAAATATAAAAAATAAAAAAAATATATATATATAGAAAAAAAATTTTAAACGAGCTATACGACGAACCTATCATTTTTATACTATATAGCAATATATACTGTTTGTACAAGCAGATTATAAGATATATATATCACTTCGAACTCTTTGAGTACAACTCTGACACGCCACGACCCGTCTTTGTCTACGTCTCCATTTAGATTCATTACTATAGGTCACGTTTACATTCAAAAGTTCAACACAACCATACATTCGTTTACTAATTGACTAATAATCAGCTGTTCCTGTGGATTTTATTCCTTAACTCACTTTAAAAGTGGTTAACACTAAGAATATTCAAAATTAACTAATCTAACAAAACTTATTCAGTAGTAAAATACACATTTTTTTCAACAAAGAATGATTGGTGATTCATATAACGTCAATTCAACAATGGATGAGGAACATAATAATGTTGATGAGAATGGTCAAAATAGAAAAAGTAGATCATCTACAGGTAAAAGGAAATATCATCAAAAATCTAGAAATGGTTGTTCAACCTGTAAAAAAAGAAGAGTTAAATGTGATGAAACAAGACCTTCATGTACTAAATGTCAACATATGAAATTAGTATGTGGATATTTATTAGATGAAGATAATGATGGGAAAAGTGATGGAGGTAATGAAAATAGTAAAGAATTGGATAATTCAAGTGATTCAAAAGATGAAAGTTTTGATTCTGAAATTCCAAAGAAGAAGAGAAAAGTTTCAACAACTTCAACATCTAGTTCAATTCCTTCTTCAACTCAACAAGCTACCCCTTCTGTAACTCCTACTCCTAGTTTATTGGATGATAATTCTCAATCTATTCCATCTATACAAGCTAATAATCCTTTAGCTGCTTTATCATCTGGACTTTTAAATGCTGGTAATTTAAACAATTTGAATTTAAGTCATCTTGTTAATGGATTGTCTGGTGATTTAAGCAGTCTCGGTAATTTAGCAAATTTAAGTAATTTGGCAACTTTAGCTCAATTACCTATTGATTTAAGTAATATTGGGTCTTTATTAGAATCTCAAAATATAAATATTCCAAGTTTTGTTAAGCCATTCTTAACCCCTACCCCACCAGTTCAGTCAGTACAGGGTAGTCTGCAACAACAATCACTTCCACAGCAACAGCAACAGCAGCAACAACAACAACAACAACAACAACAACAACAGAGTCAAGGACGATCTCAAACACTTCCAACTCCAAAGTCCAGTATTAGTGGTGATTCTAATATCCCTAGAAATAATTCAGGACCAAATGTTTCACCCAATATTAATCCGCTGATTAATCATTTATCGATGGATTCCACGACTTTAAATATGTTAGATTTGAGACTCATGTTCCACTATACTTCCCAAGTATCAAATACTATAACTGGAGCTGGGATTTCAGAAACAAACATTTGGAATTATGATATACCAATGTTAGCATTTGAATATCCATTTTTAATGCATTCAATTTTGGCCTTTAGTGCTACACATTTATCAAGAACTGAAAAGGGTTTAGATCAATGTGTTACATGTCATAGAGGTGATGCATTAAGATTACTTCGAGAAGCTGTATTAGATATAAATGCAAATAATACTGATGCATTAGTAGCATCTGCCCTTATATTAATTATGGATTCATTAGCAAATGCTTCTTTCCCATCATCTACAAGTCCTAAATCTTTACCTGCTTCTGCTTGGATTTTCCATGTTAAAGGTGCGGCAACAATTTTAACAGCTGTTTGGCCATTAACTGAATCATCTAGATTTTACAAATTTATTTCTGTTGATTTAGGAGATTTGGGAGATATAATTAATCAACGCATCGATTTAGATAAAAAAGATAAAGCTGAACAAGTTAAATTTTTTACTGATTTAGAATGTCATGATTCAGATATAGCCGATTTATTCCCAGTAGAAATATCTTCACCATATTTAATAACCCTTGCTTATTTAAATAAATTACATAAAGAAAGGTATAAATCAGATTTCATTTTAAGAATATTTGCATTTCCTGCATTATTAGATAAATCATTTTTATCATTATTAATGTCAGGAGATGTTAAAGCTATGAGAATAATGAGATCTTATTATAAATTATTAAGATCATTTTGTTCAGAAATGAAAGATAAAGTTTGGTTTTTAGAAGGAGTTTCACAAGTATTACCTGTTGATGTTGAAGAATATGCTGGAGGAGCTGGAGGTATGCATATGATGTTAGATTTCCTTGGTGGAGGACCAGCTATAATTGATAATGATGTTGATGAAGAGATTTCTAGATTTGAGCCAATGACAAAGAATTTAATCGATACTGATAATTTACCTAGTGATATTATGGCCAATAATTTAGAAGTCATGCAAGGTGATAATGCGTTTATGAATATGAAATAATAGTATAACAAGTGCTACGATCTAAACTACCGTCGTCCATAAGGTTGTAGTACTAATTAATAATAATAATAATAATAATAATAATAATAATAATAATATATATATAGTGGGATTATGGAGTTTAATTTGTGTATAGATAGAGAGTTTAATAATAATAATTTTCAATAAGTTTCTTCAGTATAAAAGTTGTAGACGCAATAACGAAAATAGCCTAAATTTTAGTAGAGAAAAGTACAGAGTGCATACACGATGCACAAAGCTCATAATGGTTCATTTCTACATTCATTCCTATTGCCTAAGTATTGGCTGTGAATTTTGGGGAGAGAATCACCGAATTAGGAAACTTGCATTTTTATCAGGAAAAAAATGTCGTATAAGCGAGAAAATATAGCTTGGTATTTATATTTATCTGGTCATAACTGACTTACCAATAACCATATAGAATAATATTACATAATACATTATAATGTATTAATATATGAAATTATATTAGAATACCTTACATTACATTACATTATATGATATTATATGTGTCCATATTAGCTAGTTAAATGATACTTTGATTATATTGCATGATCCGTTAACCGTATGTACAGTAAACTAAATTAGATATCTCCAGTTTTGTTGCGACATTTGTAAAAAAGAAATAACAAAACGACAAAATAATACGAAAAAAAAATTGTGAGTGGTTCTACAGTGTAACACAGGTTAAAACCTAGTATTCAATTTAGGTTTTGATAGTATTTAGAAAAAGGAGTTTACTTCATATACATACATCATTAACAACTTGTCCATATTAGCTACATATCTGACGTAGTAATAACCTCTTAGTGAAACTAGTGAAACAATTATAACATTATCCTTCTGATTCTGTTGTTCTAACTATATAACATCCATCCATTTATTTGAAACATATTTGTAACAAAAACTACCACTGTCAATTTTTGAGGAGTAAAAAGAACAACTTATTTATCGACAATAGTACATACAGAACAAAGTAAAATATCATTCAAATCAACTCAAAATTTATAATTTGACTTCATAAGTAATATATTCCACACTTATTATTAGTCTCTACTTCAAAACATATATATAACTTCAATTCTCCTCAACTAACCCAACTAACCCTTTTCAGTTTTGTTGTTAACCTTTTGTTTTCTCAACCATTATAAATTACAGAAATCTTACTAGAATTTGCATATATAGAAAACCACTATTCATATTCAGTCTTCCCCACCTGTATTTGCATATATATAAATTTAAACATATATCTTATACAATCCAATCAAATTTCTACAAAATATATCTACACATTTAAGTTTTATTTCACAACTTCAACTTATCCAACTACTTATTAATCCAAGTTCAATTCATTACTTATAAAGCATTGAATCAATTAATTTATCACCAAACCTTTTTAATTTATCCACTATAAGTAAATAAAAATTTTATTTGTCCTGATTCGCACGACCATATTCTTTTAACACGCGAATTTTTTCCTCAGTTTATCAAAGCTATAACGATAATCAGAAGTTCAAGTACCAATATTTATAATAATTAATAATAATAATAATAATAACTACATAACTATATAAAATGGGTTATAAGAATATTAAATGTACAGTAGTAGGAGATGGTGCTACTGGTAAAACATCTTTATTAATATCATATACTACCAGTAAATTTCCTGCTGATTATGTTCCTACTGTGTTTGATAATTATGCAGTAACTGTCATGGTTGGTGATGAACCCTTTACATTAGGTTTATTCGATACAGCTGGTCAAGAAGATTATGATAGATTAAGACCTTTATCATATCCATCTACTGATGTATTCTTAGTTTGTTTTTCAGTCATTGCTCCTGCATCCTTTGAAAATGTTAAAGAAAAATGGTTCCCTGAAGTTCGTCATCATTGTCCTGGTGTTCCATGTATAATCGTTGGTACTCAAACTGATTTAAGAAATGATGAAGTTATTTTACAAAGATTGCATAGACAAAGATTAAGTCCAATAACTATGGAACAAGGTGAAAAATTAGCTAAAGAATTGAGAGCAGTTAAATACGTTGAATGTTCGGCTTTAACTCAAAGAGGTTTAAAAACCGTTTTTGATGAAGCTATAGTTGCTGCATTAGAACCTCCTGCAATTAAAAAATCAAAGAAGTGTACTATCTTATGAACAATCCTAATTATTATCATCCTTCTCATGGTATAGCATCTTTCATAAATAAAAAAAAACAGTCAACAACTTCATACAATAATCCGACCATCAACCTTCGCCACCACCCCCTCACCCCTCCAATCCCCTATTTAAGAATTATTTAAATGAATTCCTATCAAGGTTTTATTAGTTTTTGTATCCTATCCTATCTTCTTTTTTTTTTATTCCCTTAACGTATCTCTTATATCATTTTTTTTGTATTACCTTCACCTTCTGATATTTGATATTGGTCTTCTTGAAGAAGTTCAATACCATTTATCAGACATACATTATAGTTCAAATTTGTTTATATATACATATATAAATGTTCTTTATAATTACTTACATTTTACTTTATCATTTTCTAATTGAAATATAATTAATATCATCAATATTAGTAATTAATTATCTAAGTAGATGGGAGGGGGGGTCCGACGCGCGCTACCAGATTCTGTCGGTCAAATATATATTATACAATTTATACAATTTTTAGCCCCTCAATTGATTGTTAATCTTATATAGAGATTTACCTAAGGAAATAAGTGGTCGTAAAAATCTGGAACAAAGTATAAATAGCTGCGCAAATAAATGTTTTTCTATCCTTCTCTTTATATCTTTTCTTCTTTCACTTTTGTCTAATAGAAAGAAAACCTACTCAGAAGTTTATAACTGCATAACTCCTTGCTGAGGCTATTTAGTGCAAATTCTAATAAACGTTTTAATTTATAATTAAATTATCTAGGATATTATACTAACTTCCAATAGCCATTTTCCACTTTTGTTTCAAATTGCCTTTTTTATGTGCTAGCATTGTAACATAGTATGTATGTTAAATATATATTATATTATTATTATTATTATGATTATTATTATTAATTATTAATTATTTCATAATCATATACAGTAGGAAGTTTAAATACTTACATTATTATCTTGTGGATGATAAGACTATATATCGAATACTCTTTATCTCGCCCTTACCCCATGATCATTTAATATCCCAATTTGAACATTAGCACCAAAACAAAATCACTACTTCTACTATTCTCATTAAGATAGTTATGTCAATACATAAATTTGTTTAGAGCAATAAGGAATAAACTAGTTTGAACTAAATTAATCATTTATTTAAAATAGATAATAATGACGTGGTAGTTAACCAAATACATACAAGTTATAAACAAGCAATGAATAATTTATCTTTTGAATGTAGATATATAAAAAAATTTGATGAATTACAGTTTTAATATTGATAATCAATAATACTTCAAAATTACAATGGATTTTCCTTTAATGATTCAATATTTGATTTTCTTTCTTGTAACCATTTCTCATAATCAGCCTTATACTGAGACAACTCTTCTGCAGAAGGAGAATAAGATTCTTGCTCTTCTTTAGATAAACGTTTCCAAGATTCACTTAAAGATTTACTAACCTCAGCAAAAGGACGATCATCCTTAACATAATGTTCAGAAATATATCTAGAATATTTATTCCCTGGCAGCTTTGGTTTTGGAAGATAAATCTTTTCCATTTTTTCATTATATTCATCGGCTAGTTGACGATATTTCTCTTTTTCATCAGTACTTAACAAGTTAAATTCTTTTGCACTATCTGCCAAAGATTGTTTCGATCCTTTTTTAGTTTTAACAAACATGGGATAAGCACCAAGTTTTCTGAAGTTTTTAGTAATTTCTGCAAGTTCCTTCTTCTTCTGCTTCTTTTCTTTCTCTTCAAGCTTTCTTTCCTTAACTTTGTCTTTAAGCTTTCTTTCTTTAATTTTCTCTTGAAGTTTTCTTTCCTTAACTTTTTCCTCAAGAGCAAATTGCTTCTTTCTATGTTCTTCTTTAAGTTTCTTAAATGTAGACTTTGCATCTTTAAGATCCTTAGTTAAAGTCAGTTTCTTGCTTTTCTTTGTCTGCTCACCATCTGCTTTAGTTGCCATAGATCTACCCTGTGAAATTGGAATGGTGGCGTTAATTGAAACTAATTTATACATTGATAACTTAGTTCCAATAGCATTTGGACTAGCTCTTAAGCCTTTAAAGGAAATAATTGATGATCTAAGCATATTCTAATCTACTCTATCTTTCAATTCAACAACTAATTACTGCTCAATTGATTATGTATAATCTTTATTAAAAGACGTGTGATGTATAACTTAATTATTTTCAATTCGATTCGTTTGTTTTGTTTATGTTTTAATCGAGAGAGAGACAGACAGAGAGAGAGAGTCGTGCGGCCCTTCCAAAAACAATAGTTTTGTACGTGTAATGGTCAGGTGACTTTAACAGATCCTAACCATGTTTCTCAATTAGGAAATTATTTTGCCGTTATAATTCTCAATCCTATAAATAATATCAATTATATAATTGGTAATTTGAATCGAAAGTTATAGGCATAGAAATGTACTATTTAATTTAAATTTACTAATGTATTCCATAAAATTTCCTTAACGACTAAAGTCAGATCTGATGTGACCTAACCTAAGCTTGTACATCAAATAATTCACACATCAGGGTCTTCTAAAAATATATGTTATTGCTAATAAGAGTAGTAATGGTAGGATTATATTAGTTTAATAATTTATTGATATTCCTTAAGAAATAACTTAGAGAATTTTATGATTAGTAGTCTCTGGTTTATGGTAGTGGAAAAAGGTCGTGTGTCTTTGTACAACTATGTTGACCGCTAACAATTTTTTTTCTTCATACTTCTTCAGATCAATTCCATAATTAAATAGTAATATATAATTTTAAATATTAACGTGTCTTTCCAATAGTAAACTATATTTAGTTACGACAAACATTATAGCAGTTACAAGATAATTATTATTTTATTATTATGTATTCAACTGCTCGTTCAGATACATTATTCCTCGGAGCTCAAAAGATTAGTGGGGATGATGTTCGTAATCAAACTGTATTAGCTGCACAAACTGTTGCTAATGTTGTTAAATCATCTTTAGGACCAGTTGGTTTAGATAAAATGTTAGTTGATGATATTGGTGATGTTACTGTAACAAATGATGGTGCCACTATTTTATCATTATTAGATGTTCAACATCCAGCAGGAAAAATATTAGTTGAATTAGCTCAACAACAAGATAGAGAAGTTGGTGATGGTACTACATCAGTAGTTATTATTGCAAGTGAATTATTAAAAAGAGCTAATGAATTAGTTAAAAATAAAATTCATCCAACAACAATTATAACTGGTTATAGATTAGCCTTAAGAGAAGCAATTCGTTATATAAATGAAGTATTATCTCAATCAGTAGAAACTTTAGGTAAAGAAACTATAATTAATATTGCAAAAACTTCAATGTCATCTAAAATCATTGGATCAGATTCAGAATTCTTTGGTAAAATGGTTGTTGATGCTATGTTGGCTGTTAAAACAGTTAATACAAAAGGTGAAATTAAATATCCTGTTAAAGCTGTTAATATATTAAAAGCTCATGGTAAATCATCTACTGAATCTATATTAGTTGATGGTTATGCATTAAATTGTACAATTGCATCTCAAGCCATGTTAAAATCAGTTAAAAATGCAAAAATTGCTTGTTTAGATATTAATTTACAAAAGGCTAAAATGGCTATGGGTGTACAAATTAATATTGATGATCCAGATCAATTAGAAGAAATTAGAAAGAGAGAATATGGAATTATTATTGAAAGAATTCGTAAGATTTTAAATGCAGGTGCTAATGTTATATTAACAACTAAAGGTATTGATGATTTATGTTTAAAAGAATTTGTTGAAAATGGTGCAATGGCCGTTAGAAGATGTAAAAAGGAAGATTTAAGAAGAATTGCTAGAGCAACTGGGGCAACTTTAGTTAGTAATTTATCTAATTTGGAAGGTGAAGAAACTTTTGAATCATCATATCTTGGAGCAGCTGACGAAGTTGTTCAAACTAGAATTAGTGATGATGAATGTATATTAATTAAAGGTACTAAACAACATTCATCATCTTCAATTATTTTAAGAGGTCCAAATGATTATTCATTAGATGAAATGGAAAGATCTTTACATGATTCTTTATCAGTTGTTAAAAGAACTTTAGAAAGTGGTAATGTTGTACCTGGTGGAGGAGCAGTTGAAACTGCTTTAAATATATATTTAGAAAATTTCGCTACAACAGTTGGTTCAAGAGAACAATTAGCTATAGCAGAATTTGCTAATAGTTTATTAGTTATTCCAAAAACTTTAGCTGTTAATGCTGCTAAAGATGCTTCAGATTTAATTTCAAAATTAAGAACTTATCATGCTGCATCTCAAACTGCTTTACCAACTGATACTAAAAGAAGAAATTATAAATATTATGGATTAGATTTAATTGAAGGAAAAATAGTTAATGAAATAAATCATGGAGTTTTAGAGCCAACTATTTCAAAGATTAAATCATTAAAATCAGCATTAGAAGCTTGTATTGCTATATTAAGAATTGATACAATGATTGAAGTTAATCCTGAACCACCAAAGGAAGATCCTCATGATCATTGATCATCATAATACTCAATTAATCTTGTAAATTAAACCCTTTATAGAACTCACTTTACAGGCCAATATACAAAATAAATTTATAAATTGTTATTGTATTTTTATTAATTAAATAACTTGTATATAAATATATAATTATTAAACAGGTCCCAAATGAAATGTAATTAGACAATTTAAAATGTCAAATGTACGGAAGAAATAAATAAATTTGAACAAAGGGGTATACTAAATTATTATGAAGAGTATGTTATTGAAATGAAATGAAACTAAGGCAAGGGAAATAGTGACTAATGATACATTGAATGAATGTTTTGAAATCTTTATTATGAAGATATTATTCTCCCTGAATTAGCCAAATTAAGGAATAAATTTTTATCTTGTTTCTCAATATCTAAAGGAAGTTGAGTTGAAGTTGTGCTTGAATATGGTAAATTAAGTAAATTAGTCGATTTATTAGATAATGGAATTCTTCTTGGTTTCAGTCCACCTTCTATAATATCTTCATTAATATTATTCAAACTGTAAGATGAATTTGAAGAATTCGAACTTTGTAAAGAATAATTGGAGTGAGAATTCTTTAAAGATAATGAAGAATTATAAGAAGATAATGAACTTCTTGATGAAGATCTTGAAGAAATACTTCTGTTGCTGAAAGAATTGGATAATCTGTAATAATTGAGTTTTTGATTATTTTCTTCTTCCATACGTTGAACAAGTTGATCCTTGATATTAGTCAAGAAAGGTTGTAAAGCTATAATTAATTCATCTTCTTTAATTGAAATATCCCATTTTAACATCCCAATTAATTCCCGTTCAGCCATATTAACTTCTTCATTAGTTAATAAACCATCAGTATATTTTGTCCAATGTTTATTTAAAGGAGATTGATCATTTAAAGATTTAGCACTAACAATTAAAGCAGCAAGAAAAATTCGATGTCTTGTAGTTTCCATTCCAATAGCATTAGCTGGTAAAATATTTCTTAATTTATTAAGATAAACTAAAGTAGCCATTAATGTTGGAGTTTGAACATTAGAATATTTAATTAAATTCTTTATAAAATTAACTAATGATATACTTGATTTTGGTCCAACTAACATATTAACTGATTTAACTGAAGGAATTAAACTATATTGAGGTTTGGGATTTCTAACTTGAATAATAGATTTAGTAGTTGTTACTAGTATATCAATCATATCTTGACTTACAGGTTGTCTAGCAAATACTCTTAAAGCTTCTTTGTCGGACATTTTCGTTTATATTATATGTGAAGGGTGGAATGAAAAATGAAAAGTGAAAATGAAAAGTGAAAATTGGATTTGAAAATGGAAATGAAAACCAAAATGGAAATGAAATGACAGTGATGGTAAAAGATAAGGAATAACAGATTATATATATATATATATATATATAAATATAAGAAAAACCGAACCACTAATTAAAAAAAAACTCTAATACGATAATTTATCATCTATATATAAATGTAAATACAAACACAGATACTCCATTAATTCCATTATTAAAAAAGCAAACAGAAGGATTGATTGTTCGTGATACATGAGCTTGCGCTAATAAATGGTTGAAAAATTACCCCAAAAAGTTAAGATGTTGCTGAAAAAAGATTTGCAAAAAAAAAAAAAGAAGTAATTAAAGAAAGGGGGTGGTCGCGTTAAATTCATTAAGAGTTGATTTCTTACGCGATATTTCCTGTTTGGGCAATGTGGGTCTTTAAATTTGCCGTAACGGGTGTTCCTGATAGTTCTACAAGGCGACGCCCATATTAGTAGAGTACTTGATGCGGTAATGTTCGTCCTTCAATTCATTACTGAGATAAGAGTAAATGAAGTAATTTTAATTGAATAACTAATTACCTATTCCCCTGCCTATCATTGGTTAAACTAGTGATGATTATCATTTAGTGTTGTCATGTGGCATTGTAGATGAAATGTGAAATGTGAAATGTGAAATGACGATGGAGATAACAATTTGTTAGTTATGACCCATTGTACCTCAGAATGTCAAATACTGAGTTGCAACGAGTTTTAAGGAGTAATTGCAGAAAAACAAATAAACAAAGAGAAGCGAAACGCAAGGTAAATATATAAATATATACACAAAGAACGGTAGTAATTTATATGCGAATTAAATTAGTGTATTATTCCTGTAGACAATTTAGTACCTTCTGTATCTTGTGCTCCAGGAGCGGCATAATTACAGGCGTTCATTGTAGATGTATATAATAATACACGAAACAATCTCGGATATTTGGGGAGAGTATGGGCGGTGTCAGATGAGCATCCTTTGTGGTACTATTTACAATTCATATCTATATCTTACCGACAAAAGAAAGACGATTTAGACCGATAGACTAAGACACGCTTCATACACTAAAATACTTGACATAGCCAATTTGCTTGTATCACTCCACTACCCATCATGCGACATGATGGCAAATATTTAAAACTTCGCCATGGTAAACTACAATAGCACAATGTGCACCCTGACTGGGGCACAGTGTACAGGTATGTCTAATATTAAACCTCTGACGTGATCCAAGCCTTGGTTGTAAAGTAGCACTCTGCGAACCCATATCTAAAAAAAGCAGTCTACAATAGGATTTCACCACAAATGCTAGTGAATACTATATAAAGCAAATTTTACAGATCTCCATCTCGTGGAATGCTTCTTTTCGCATAAAACTATTACTATAGTTGGCAGTGCGTAAAGTCGTTGTCAGGTAATGACCCTTCTAGTATCCAGATCTAGTAATTACATAGATAAATTTTTCAAACACAATTCAGGAGACAATAACATTTAATTTCGAAACAAATTAATAAAAACTAGAATGTGTTATTAATACTATAAGACTGTTTTAGAAGATATATATGACAGTACTGCTTGGTTACACCGTAGAAATGAATAAATTAAAGTAAATTGATTTCTTTTTATTCACACTCCGGACCGAAATTTCTCATACGACCGGTTATAAAGATTCCATCAGCCATGGTTAGATTATACACTAAGCTAAGAGACTAAGCGTAAATGTTCAACTAAGCTTCGTGATTAATTTTCCATTTGGTTTGGTTGATCCGAATAACTGATTCCAAATTCCAGGGACCAATTCCAATTTATTCTCCTTATTGCTAATATCTTCCACATGAAACCCATCTACACTAATCTTGTTGGATTTTATGGCAGCAACCAAAGCAGCTATACCTTCAGGATATCTATCCGCGTAAGTGGATAAATTAAACCCAGTGATAGTCAAACTATTACGGATTACATCTGCCCAGTTTCCAACTTTGCCTTTTTGGGGATCATTGTGCCCAGCAATTGCACCACATGCAACAACATGACCAAATCTCTTGACTTTGGTGAGGAAATAACTTAAGATTTCTCCTCCAGCAATATCAAAATAAAGATCAATAAAGTCTTCACCTATATAATCTGACAATTTCTGTTGATAATCGGGATCATTGTAACTAACTGCAAAATCAGCGCCAATACTCTTAACCCACTTGACCTTTTCGTCGGAACCGGTGACAGCGATAACCTTAGAAGCACCAAAAACATGCTTAGACAATTGTACTGCTATAGATCCAGTAGCTCCAGAAGCAGCAGAGATAGCTACAGTAAGACCCTTTTCGGTAGAATCAGTAGCAGGAACTTTCAACTTGCCTGCACCTACTAACCCAAAATAAGCTGTAACGGAAGTCATACCCAAGAGCGATAAGTGAAATGGTAATGGAACTCCAAATGATGGGTCAATGGCATTGTAAACTACTGACTCCTTTGAGATGGCGTAATCGGCCCAGGCAAACATCCCATGTAAGATATCACCAACCTTGTACTTAGTCGTACCAGTGGCTACAACCTCAACCAAGGCCAATGAAACAACAATATCCCCTTCCTTCACTGCAGGTAAATGGCTACTGGGAATCGCACCTTTATCAATAAAACCTCGTTGCATTGGATCGTTGGAAAGGTATAAAGTTTTGACGAGAATTTCATCTGGTTGCAAATTGCGAGGGTCTAATTCGACTGATTCGATTGCGAAAGTGGAATCAGGTTGATTGAATTCTAAGGTGAGTCCTCCGACAACAGCGTTCTTCAAGACAATACGGGTAGATTTAATTAGATTTGACATTGGATAATTGAATGTATGAAAGGTGATTTACGACTACGAATAAGATGATATTTGCAATTTGAAAATTATGATTTGCACCACCTTTTAAGGGTGGTCTTTTTTTTTGCGGAGTTTTCTTTTTCGTTCGGCCGACAGAACTAGGAAAGAAAGCAGCGGAAATAAAGAAAATCACAACCAAATGGAGTTAGAATTAAGGCCTTTTCTTTCCTAATGAGGATAATGTCCGGATTGTTTAGTAAATTGATTGGCAGCTAATGTTCCAAACACGTATAGATTTACGGATTTTTTGAGTACAATTGTACGGATGTGATTTTCGCAATCAAATTGATTCTTATGGCCGCCGAACATCATTTTTTTTATTCGTATGCTAATAAAATGATATGTTAGGGAGGCCTTAGTTAATTTGTGATTCACCCCCTACCCCTAATAATAAGGAGTTAATCGGAAATAATCACCTCTTAAGTATCTTTATTGGAATGTTTACTACCAACTATTGTAGTAAATCTTTCACTTCACTGTAAATGTTGATGTCTTAAGGCAAAAATGAATATGGCATGTGAGTAGGAATATTCCATAACGATAACATGTTTTCTATTTGATATGACTCTATAAAAAAATGTTACATGAATATATTTCAATCAGCATGAACGAATTACTACGAAAAATTAAAACCGGTGGTATGAGCAATCCGGCCAGAGTATCAATTAAATATAATAAGTATGAATTAAAAGTAAAATACTGTAGATAATTTTTGAATTAATTATTTATGCCTGAATCAGGATAATAAAAGAAAGCTAAGGCAACAATGAGATAAGTACTGACAAGCATGACTCCTTCTAAGTAATTGGATTCACCATCTAAAATTACCAAGTTAGCAATGAATACAGCAACAAACAATATTGCGGTTTCAAATGTAGAAAAGTATAATGACATAGGAACATCAAATACCCAACCCACTAATACCATAAAAGGAGTTACAAAAATAGCAATTTGTAAGGATGAACCAACAGCAACACCAATTGCTAAATCCATCTTATTCTTCATAGCCACAACAACTGCAGTAGCATGTTCAGCTGCATTACCTACAATTGGAATTATAATAAGACCAATAAAAGTTTTAGATAAACCGGAAGTTTCAACAAGTTGATCAACTGATCCAATTAAATAATCGGCGGAGAAGGATACTAAAACTGTAGCAGCTACTAATACACCAATAGAACTAGTAACTGATAAATGTTCATCTTCTTCTTGTTTATTTGCATCCAATTCATTTGGAATAATAGTTGCAATAATTCCATCTTCATCAATTTGTGGTTGTGGCTCAAATAAAGATTTATGAGTCTTCAATTGGAAAAACAAGAATATAATGTAGACAATTAATAAAATTATAGATACACCTCTTGATAAAGATAATACTAATTCATCAGAAGAGCCAGGTTGAGGAAAATCAGTTTTACCCTTTGGAACTGGTAAAGTTGAATGGAAAGCTGCTGGAATAAGTAAACTTGCAGTTGCTAATGCCATTAATGAGGACATGGTTTGAGCAACGGTTTGATTAAAAGTTTGTTGAACTCTATTAAAACCTCCTGCAATAAAACAACACCCTAATACTAATAATAAATTTGATAAAATTGAACCTAACATAGATGCTTGAACAATTCTAAATTGATTATCCTTTAAAGCAATAATTGATACAATTAATTCAACTGCATTACCAAACGTGGCATTTAATAAACCTCCTACAGTTTCTCCTACATGTTCAGCCAATTCTTCAGTTGCAAATGCTAAGATTGATGCTAATGGGACTATTGCAAGGAAATTAATCCAGAAAACAACGGTAGCTGACCATTCGGCAAATCCAACGTATAATCCAAATGGAACAAATATCAATAAATAATTAACAGGAGATGACTTTACTGATAATACCACTGACTTTACAACATTATATTTAATGAGACTTAATCCTGAACGAGTCAGTTGAACATTATTTAACAATGGAGCCAGTTCAAAACTTGACATTTTTCCTATTTCAATTTAAACTAGGATATATATACAAATTTATAATAATAAATTGAAGTATGATAAGTTAGTAATATTTAGTAATAATTATACTGTAATTGTTATTGCCTTGGCTTGTTTGTGGAGGAGGCTGAGAAATTTCAGATGTTCTTTGCAGTTTTGACAGATTAAGTAGTCAATTGGATCTAATAGTAAATTATTAAACTGGTTGTAACTTAATTAATTGCAACACTATGCTTTATACTTTAATTAAGTAATGCTACCAGGAAAAGTTTATTCTAAATAGCAATTGATTTCTTGTCCGTTTCACTTCCATTCATCCCAAATTGTCACATTCTTTACTAGTTAAATTTCGATTTTTGTCGTTAACAAAAGTAGACATTGTCGTCCGGAGATGAGGCTATGTTGGTTGTAGAGCCTAATTAGGAAAGGCAGTCATGTGACTTGGAATACTAGAATTGTTCATATATATATATATATATATTATATTCATATTATATACTATTAGTTAGAGTCAAAGTATGACCACAGTGATTTAAACTCGCTTGGAAATGCTCTTATATATACCAGAAAGTATAGTTACAAAACCTCGTCAATCCAGGCAATGAGTCTGCATTTCTCTCAGGGCGACTCAACCCTTCGGGGCATAATGCGACGATTGCAAAATATTCTTTTTATTATATACTATATATTATATACAAAATTTTAATATCTCTAAACAACTAATTCTTTCCACAAGTAAGGAGTGAATATGTATATAGCAGTAACAAGAGTTACAAGTGCTTCAATAAGTGCAAGTGGGAAACCTAATAAACCTCTATCAACAAAATTACGATAAATAGCATAAAAGGCTACACTGAAAAAATGATTGAATAAAATCATTGGGAATGGTAACATTCCTGATAATAATCCAATTGGACCTGATACACATGAACCTCCTAATAAGAAGTAACTAAAACACCCACGTTGTAATATCTTAAGAGCAGTACTATCAGCAGCAAATAATGCATATAAAGCAATAGATAATGTATTTATAACTGCATCTAAATTCTTTCTCTTTCTATGGAATTGACTCAAACGTTTTGATAATAGTTCATAATCTTCAAAATCTACAATTTGTTTAGGCAGTAATAATTTAGCAAGTACAACCACATCATTTAAACCTACAGTCATTCCACCTCCTGTTAATGGATGTCTCATATTAAGAGAATCACCTAACATAATTAAACCTTGATGTTCAAGACTACCTTGTTTTCTTGCTGGTAAATATTGATTTGGCATTATACGATACTTTTTAGATTCTATGGCTTTTAATACGGCTGGTCTACTAACTTTTGGAACTGCTGGTAATACTTCTTCTTTCAAATAATAATATAATTCATCATTAGATTGGGAAGGTGGTTTGGTAGATCTATAAGCACATAACATTCTGGTTTCATGAGGAGATATTTGATAAATTAAAATTGGTGCATGGTCTCCTAAAATCACATGACCATGATATTTAGCTGGTAATTCAACATCATCTAATTGTAAACCTACAAAATATGACCCTATAACTGGTACATTAGTTGGAGATAATTCCTTTCTGAATTTAGAATATATACCATCACAACATATGGTTACTTTACCATAATAATTGTTAAAAATTTCACCTTCTTCTTTAACTTTAATACCAACAACAGTATTAGTATCTTCATCATTTCGTAAAATTTTAGTGACATTACCTTGAACCCAATCTACATTTGGTTCATCTCTGACTATTTTTCTTAAATTAACTAAGAAATCTCCATGATGAAAGGATACACCTCTAACTCTTTCATCTTCATCCCATTCTTTAGAATTTAATGTATTATCACTAAGCATTTTATCATTACCTTCAAAAACACATGATGGAACTGGTTTTACTGGATTAGTAGTATTTGCATCTTGTTTCAATGGATATTGTAATATAAGTTCTTTATCATGGAATTTAATATAATATCCAACTTCATGAGTAGCCTCTATATTATTTATAGCTTGAATCATACCTAATTCTTTTAAAGCTTTAAGACCAGCAGGTTGCATTAATTCTCCAATAATTCTATCAGGTTTAGACCAATCTCTTTCAACAATCAATACTTTTCTGCCTTGTCTGGCTAGAGCTGTTGCAATACATGGTCCTATAACACCAGCTCCAATGACTACTGCGTCATATAATTTTTCACTTGATTGTGTTGTCATATTATATTTTATATATTATTAGTTATGAATGGTTTTGTTTTTAGTTTTGTAATAATTTGGATGAATATACGTGATCTAATACTCTACTATATGATATACTGAACAAGTCGAAATGGGTTGAATTTATACAACAAACTTGACTAGAAATTTAAAAAAAATAAGACCATAAATCTCAATATATCCTGGTATATTTATTTAGCCTCGTATAACCGTTCAGTTATAAACGAAGCAAAAAAAAAATCCTACTGCAAAAAATGCGAAATGCGAACGAGTACCGTACGGGTACTTTCATCACATGATTCTAATATAATTAATAAAACATACCACGGATTAGCTGCTAATGTTATTTAGTATTATCAATAATATAATTATTTATTATTATTTATTATTATTTATTATTATTATTATTTATTATTTATTGTCTATATATATATAAATATACGATGAATGGATTTAATCACTTTCTTCTTCTTCACTTTCTTCTTCAGCAGTTTCTAACCACTTAATAAATTGTTCGGTTAAACCTCTAACATATTTAATATTTTCATCTTCAATATTTTTACTAGAATTCCACCATGCAAGAATTGCTTCTTCCAGTAAAACTTCATCGTATAATGTTTGAACTGCTACAAATAATATAATTTGATTATAAGCTTTATCACTTTGAGCAATTTTTTCTTGAAGAATATTAAGTAAATCAATTCCATCTTCAAATTCAAATATTTGTCTTTTATACATTGGGCCCCATCTTTCAAATACTTTTTTAGCAGCCAGTTTTGGGTCCAAAGTTTGAGTCTTAATAAATTTTAATACTTGTTTTACTAAAGCTTCTGATGTAGCATTTCTAACATCATGATAACTAGCATTCATGGACATTTTCAAAGTATTCAATTCTAATACTGCAGTATCTAAATCATGATTATTATTTAATGATCTATCAACTGTAGCAACAGCTTCTTGAATAAAATCTTCTTCTTCTTCAGAATAAATTTCTCCATCAAAATCAGTAGAAACAACTGATGTAGTAGATAATCTTCTACTTCTTGAATGTTTACGACTATGCTTTCTGGTCTTATTACGATTAGAAACTGATGCAATCGAATCATCAGAAACATTTAAAGATTTCATTTGATATATTATACCAGAGTATTGATCACCAGCTTCTGATTCGGATTCTTCATCAAAATCTTTATCGGAAACATATAAGAATCCAACCCCATCTTCTCCAACTAAATCAATATCTTGAACATTAATATCAATATGAGGAATTGAAGGAGTAGAAGGTTCGTCATTTTCACTATTTTCACTATCACTCTCAAATGAATCATCAAATAAATCTTCATTAGAAACAATAGGCAACTCCAGAACTCTAGCATTATGAGCTATTCTCTTATTATTACCAATCTTTACATTGAAACCAATGACAACACCAGGACTTAACACAACATTAGAACCTATATGAGCATTAGAAGCAACTATGGTATGATTAACCAGGGTATTATCTTCAATGATAGCTCCATCCCAAATATAAGAGTTACTAATTACAACATTATTTCCAATTTTACAATTTCTTCCAATGACTGATTTTTTAATAGTAGTTCTTTCACCAACAGTTGTATTGGCTCCAATAGAAGTACAAGTACCGATCTTACATGATTGAGCTAATACAACTTTTTCTTCTTTATAAATATGCTTAGCTTCATAACGATATGAAGTACTGTTAACAAAATTAGAATCTGGACCAAGTGGATAACACCACCTTGCCAATATATCTTGAGATATAGCATCATAAGTAGCCCAACTTTCAACTCTTGCAGCATATTCAGAACTATTTTCTGAAATATAAGCATAAATAGTCTTCTTAACTAAATCAGTAGTTACAACTCCCTTAACGAAATCATTTCTTAAATATTGATAATCGAAATTTTCTTGAAATATTTGAGGTACATGAGGAGTACAAATATCAACATGACAATCTATTAGATCATTTCTAATAGAAATTTCATCTTCAACATCTTCAAATAATTCAGGATCAACATTAATACTGGCTTTTTTACCATCAACAGGAGGAATCCCTTGATAAAACAAACATCTATTAGTCTTTTTATCCAATATAAAAGTAGCTGGATCAACATGAGATCTAGTTCTATGTAAAGGAGATGCAGGAGTTAATACCATAGTAATAATATGATCTTTATCTTGTTGCTTTTTATATTTATGAAAATTCATTACTTTAGAAAAGTCAATATTGGTAACTACATCACCAGAAACTAATAAAAAGTCTCCAGTAATTAAACCTCTATTATCTAAATCTCTCATAGCATCACCAACTGATCTTGATTCTAATGACATTATAGTATATACAGTAAATGGAGAATTATGAGATGACCATTTGGATTTCTCAATATATTGTTGGATTTGTTCAGCATGAGATGAACACATTAAATGAACTTCATTAACTCCAGCTTTAGCAAGAAATTCTAAAGTATATTCAATTAATGGTACATTAGCTAATGGTAATAGGCATCGAGGTTTAACTGAAGTTAAAGGCATAAATCTTGTTTGGAAAGAGTCAGTTAAAACAATTGCTTGGAATCGTTCATCTTGAACATCATCCTTTTGCTTCTTATTCTTGGGAGGCATTCTACCACTTTTCTATAGTTTGGCCAGTAATGGATAGAGTTCGTTAATGATTCATAGTGATAGCTTCTTTTTTTTATTATAGCGCACTCTGAAAAATTTTTGTTAGAACAGGTTTAGCAGAACTTAAACTATACGATTTCAACGTATTGTTAATAGTTTCTTGACGTAAAGGGAAGTTATAGACGTATACGATAAAGCAATTGGGGAAATTATTTATTAAATGCCAAACTAATTATAGTTTTCACGTTGTAAACCGTTGTAGAGGAGGATTAGAGATATTAGATATACCTTATAAGTATAGATTGGTAAGAAGCTGTGGGCAGATATTTCGAGGCTTTCTTTGAAATTTTTCTAGAAACTATGAGAGGAACCATTCTTCTCTTCATTGTATCTCTTATTTCAGCTTTTACTTATCTTCATAAGTAAATATGCAATTAAAGTATCTATTCATTAATCACGTGCGTGACTGGGGTCATGTGATCAAAATGATATTTTACTTCAATTTTAACCTATTGTGTCATCTTGGAATTAACTTAAAATATTGCAAAAATGAATATAACCAATAGTTAATAATAAATTATTGTCATTAAAGGTTTTGAGAATTGCTGTACAATTTCTAGTTAAGAATCGAATCAGCCAATCAAGTTGAAAAACTACTGCGAAATCGCAGTCTACAATGCGATGTATTTTTAATTAACTTCTAAATTTTTCGAAATAATAGCAAAGAGTATATACAAGTACAACTAAGGAGGATGTATGCAGAGATGATTCTGGGTTAGTCTATTAATTCAATTCGGCATAAGGATGGGAAATACTTAATTTTGTTCAAGTGCAGCCTTTGCTTCCTTTTGTTTCTTAAGTTCAGCAAGAACTCTAGAATCTTCAGCTTCTCTTTCCATAATAATTCTCTTCCATTCAGGAATTGGAGCTGGCCTTTTCTTTTCAATTTCCTTTTCCTTCATTGATAATAAGACAGTTCCTAATAATAAAATAATAGTAATACCTTGAGCATACATTCTAGCTTGAACTGCCTTTTGAGCACCAGTCATAATTTTGTCTCTATTAACAACAACCCATGAACCATATAAAGATGCTGCCCATGTAGCTACAATGATAGGATACTTGTTTTTGTCTAAGGATGTAAATGCTTTATCACTCCAACTTAAATTATTCCATTGTCTATATTCTTCTAAAATTAATTTATCACTATATTCAGATTGATGCATTTGTTTATCAAATTCCCATGAACCTTGATCGGCAAAAAATGCACCAATTGATACAGTAGGCATAATAAAAATAGCTGTCTTAATACTTGTATTAAATGAATTGAATCTTACTGGTTGTCTCTTCTTTAAATAAGTGAATAACCCTGCCGATACCAATGATCCAACTACTAAACCTTTTATACCTTCGGATGTAATATGGGCAATGTGAGCCTGCTTTTCTTCATCTGAAATAATCTTCATCTTATAATATACTTTTTAATCCTTTCTATAAACTCAATCTATCTTATAGACTAAGTGATTAATACTTAAAGATAGGAAAGAAGTATACTTAAATATTGAGTAAATTTCTTTTTTTCCAATCATTCTGAACAAAAAAATATCGTATGAGTATGCACATTTCCCGCGCTGTTTAATTTTGGAGATGGAGAAATGACTTATAAATGCTTATTATCATAGCAAATCTCGAAGGGGAAGGCTTGTTAGGGGAAATTCTGTAACATCTGAAACGAGCGTATTTACTATATATTCCAAATTCGTATCAGTAGCCATTTAATTGAGTCAATTTATCGGTTGTTATTAATTTTTGACAAATTGTTATCTAATCGATATTATAATCTTTAATCATAATGAATCATGCAATGATGGACCATTCAAATATGGGACATCACTCGGCTGCTTCTGCAATCTCAATGAGTGGTATGGACCATGATATGCCTGGAATGGAAGATAAATGTTCAATGAATGTAAGTATTATTCATGTTTCTGTACTAATTATTCAAAAGGAATATACTAACCCATTTTTCGTATAGATGTTATTCACATGGGATTGGAAAAATACTTGTGTAATATTTAGATGGTGGCATATAAAAACTTTTGGAGGATTTATTTCTACTTTCCTTGCCATCGTATTACTTACTGCTCTATACGAATTCATAAAATGCTCGTTTAACCAATGGCAGAAATCGTATGTTAGTACTGTATCAGGAGCATCAACTAACACATCTGAAATTACTATTAGAAGATTTAAATTTAAACGAGCATTGTTATATGGAGTTCAGGTAGGTTACTCCTTTTTGTTAATGTTGGTATTTATGACTTATAATGGTTGGCTTATGATTGCTGTAGGTGTTGGTGCCGCAGTAGGTAACTATTTCTGGGGTGTAAGTGATATTTCATCCTCTACTAGAGATTTATCTTGCCATTAGATATAATATATAATTATAATCATACTAAATAAATTTAAATTTAGATTTATATAAAGATAATTTTAAAATATTTTGAAGAAATTTGGCATATTTTTTGCGATATCTGTACTTTTTGCAACTAGAGTGATAAATATTTGTTGACAAACCCTCAATTCACGCTGGTTTAATTGCGAAATGATCCACTTCCTGATCCTCCATTAGAAATAATGAAGTATTCTTTCTTATAGATTAATTATTCACCTAACTATTCACCTAATTATTTACATAGTACTGATTATCCAGGAAGCTTACAGAAAAAATGCTATCAATTTTAGGAAAAAAAGGATTTTGGTCGGAATTGATAAATCATTTCAAGGCTTTAATAATACATAAGATTGAACTAGAAAATCTAGTCCTAGATAAATCGATATAGTAAAACTATTAGTAAAGTTTCTTATTTAGAATCTTTTTTGAATTTAATCTGCCTTGATACTACAATTTTATAAATCCGACCATTTTGAAAACTTAAAATAATTGAAATACTCAATTGCACAGGAATATACAACTGAAATTTACTGAAATGTCTACAATTGCATCAAATCATTATTGAAAAGTGATATTACTAACTTTTATCTAGGAAATATAACTTTTTGACTAATTAAGATTCAAAACTTTAACCCCGGAAATCAGGTCGGAATTACCGGAAATCAGTCAATTGATTTGTTGTGGGTCACTTAAGAGCTGAAAATTTTAGCAAGGTGCTCCAGTGGCGCAGAGGTTAGCGCTTCGTGCTTATAGCCGTGTTACGACGATATGGTTATGCCATAAGTCACGGTCGTGTGAGGAACGCGACGGTCGTGGGTTCAAACCCCTCCTGGAGCATTTTGTCTTTTTTTTGCAATTTTTTTTATCAGAAAAACGTAGGTACTTTTAATACAGTTCAATTTTAACATATCTAAAGGTTTAACATCATGTTGACAAGTTAAAACCATTAATTATAGGTTTTGCAAATGAGAGAATATTATATACGATAGGGAAACATGTTTTCAAATTTTAAAACGTGCTACATAATCTTTTCTGGCTAAAGGAGTATGATTAAATATATATGCAATTTGTCTATTTTAAATGATCTAACTAATTAGTTCTACATTTTTTGATGATTGCCTTTAATAAGGCATCGATCTTTTCAGATCTTGAATGTTCTTCATCATTCAAGAATTGATTAGTTAATTGATTTACAAACATGTTAGTTAAAGTATCTTTTTCTTGCAAATCAAGTAATTTTAATTTATATGCCATGAACTTATTGACTGATAATTGTAAATTTTCAGATAAATTAGAAGATGAAACCACTATATTTCTGATTGGTAATGTAATGTCAATCAAAAGAGTTCTTAAATCTTTTGGATAATTTGTTTGCAAATAATTCAAGATATGATATTGTAAATAATCTCTATTTAAATCTTCAAATTTATCGAATAATTTCAAGAATTTATCAGCAATATCAAAAGTCTTATCAACTTTATTAATTAAAGTAGAATATTCAGGTACATGTTTCAATAAGGCTGGTATAGATAAATCAAATATTGTTAATGCTACATCACCTTTTAAGGCTGGATTAGTTTCTGGATTTCCTAAGACATTCATTTCTACTTCAGGTAAATGATTCAATTGATCTTTCATTGTTTCATTTGATGGTAAATCAATAACATCACTATTAAATTCTTCATCTTCATTAGAAGTGATTGATTTACTTATTTCTTTTGCCCTTTTTTCTTGTTCACTTTCTAATTCATCTTGTTGCTGTTTTTCAGTTAAAAGACCCAAGACTCTTCTTCTGGCTAATAATTTAGAAATATAAGTTAATTCAAATTGTGCATAACTCAACCATAATTGTAATGATTCTGGATTTAATCTTAAACCTCTTTGAAATAAAACTCTTGCACCCTTTGCATTTGCATTTGTTTCAAATTCATATTTAGCAGCTGATAACCAAGCATCTACATTTCTTGGTTGTAATTGTAAAAGACGAGAATAAACTTTATAAATCACTTTAATTGCTCCATTACTCTTTGCAAATTTTAAATATTGAGCCCATAATTCTAATTCTCCAGGATATCTTCTAGTTGCACGATCAAAGATGAATAATATTCTTCTAGTTCCTGCCCAATCACTAATACTTGGTTTAGTTTCAATTAATCCTACTTTTGATAATCTAGCATATCTTTTCTTTCTTAATTTTTCTAAATTAAATTCAAATTCTCCATATTTAAGAAAATCTCTTGGTTGACTTCCTCTACCTTGTATTCTATGCTCAAAATCAGTTCTTCTTCTCATAATCATGGTTATTTCTTGTTTCTCAAATAACCCTTTACGCTTAAGATCTTCAAGTTCAGGAACAGACTGTTCCAAGAAGTATCTCACTCTTTCAGCCATATTTCTCTTGAAGTTATTGAAATTATAAGTATAGATTTAAATATTATACTAAGTAATAGTTGTGAAATATATTTTAATTTTTCAGGATGAGATCAATCATGCTGAGATTAACTGAGGCTTAAGTATGGACACTCTAATGTTCGAAATAATTTGTGCGCGTAAATTAAGGTATATAAAGAAAATTAGACTGCAACATCAATAGTTAATTAGATTATAAATGATATACGTTTATACTATCGATAGAATAAAAAATTAAAGTACTATAAGTAATCTGACTTATTTGATTAATACGTAAATTAATCCATTTTTGTGAATGCTTCAGAATCAACTGACTTATACTTATGAGACTTAATTAATCTCTTGGAGAGATAATTATAAGTTGCAGCAAATACAATGATACCTGTAATTAGTACTGCCATAAATAAAAGTATAGCAGATGAAGTTGGACTTATTGGAGTAAAATTAATAGGAAACTTATAGAATCCTTCAGCATAAGGTAATCCAGCAGGAGTTGTACCTGAACTTGTCACTTTCAATTGATCTAAGAATCTGACAGCTACACTTAAAGTTAAGGAATCACCAATGACTATTCTTGTAGCATTTGTACCTGATGAATATGCAACAGCACTAATAAATGTATTTTCATCTTCATTATTATTGGCTGGTTTAGTAATTAATACATTCAATGTAGGATCAATATCGAGATGACTATCATGAATTTCACCTCTAAAGTTAAATGTTAATGGGATGTAAGCACCACCTTGTTCTAAATAATGTGATTCACTACTTATAGGTAATCGACAACTAAAAGGAACATCTTCATGAATATATAATTGAAATAAATGATATAATTCATCACTGAATGTAATTGTACAATTGAAATCTTCACTAATTCCATATTTAAAATTTAATGGTTTACCTGTTTCTTTACAAGTTGGGAATGGTCCATATATAATTTTATCTTGTTCATCAAATTTATGTTCACCATTATCAATATTTCTAGAAATACAATCCAAATAAACATTATCACCTCTTTTATAAGGAGTAAAAGTAGCTGGGATTTCTCCCTTTATATCCAAGGGATACCATTGAGTACCAGCAACTATTGAAGTTGATATAGTTAAAAATGATGCTATATTAAATAATTTCATTCTTATTAACTATCTATGTATGGTAATTCCTTAGATCAATAATTTAATAATTAAGTCTTCTATATGAATAACGGATTTATAACTCTTATAATAAATTCAATTGTATACAAAGGAATTATAATATTGAATCGAATTAATTAATTCAAATTATTAATTTTAGAAGTGTGGTATATCGTATGTCTTCGAAATCGATTTAACTTTGGCCCGTTGTCCACAACAGTTGTTTGAAATTTTGCGCTTCTTCAATTTATTATTTTTCTTAGCCATATACAGACGAAATTCCGATGGGAGTGAAATATATTATATATATAATATATATTTATATCAACTACTTAGATTTACAATGTGGTAGATAAAAATCTACCTATAGATTTTTTTATATGTTTTTATATTACGTATACATGTATATAGAACCTTTTTTTAGTTTATATATATAGAATGTGTGAAGATGATGGGGGGTGGTTGATTTTATTAATTATCAAATTTAAATGAAATATTATTCCAACCAAAATTAAATGATAATAATATATGAAAAATGATTTAGAAAGTTTATTCAATATATGGTGGATGAAATATTCCTTTTAGATTAATTAATTAATTAATTTAGTTTCTCTTAGTGAAACGTCTTGGACCTCTTTGAGAAGAGATAGAGACAGTTTGAACTGGGATCTTGAAACCTAAAGTCTTGATCAAATCAGCGGTTTCAGCATCAACTTCTAATTGACCGTTAGATAAGTCTAAAGCAGAAACTTCTGGAACATATTGATCTTTTCTTTCTCTTTCTTCTTCTTGTAATTTGAAAGAAATACCTCTAACTGGACCCTTTTGAATTCTCTTCATTAAGTGGGTGGTGTAACCAGCAATCTTATTTCTTAATCTCTTAGATTGAATAACAGCAATTTCAGAAGTTAATCTCTTGTTGGTTTCAAAATCTAAGGTTAACTTTGGGTAAAATCTTTCGATTAAGACCTTGGAAGCTCTCTTAACGGTTTTAGTTCTAACACGACCCTAAAGATTAATTAGTTAGTATAAATCATTCATTTATTCATGATTATAAGATGAGATGATTAGTGGTTCAAGTAATTTGATGTTAATGTTGATGATATGATAGTTAATTTTTTTATATTTAAAGATTTTTCGTAGTAGATATAATAATGGTAGATAGAACAATAATATTGTAGTTGGCAGTATGATGATATCTTGATATTTAGTTTATTCTAATGATGAACGTATGTTTACTTCTATATGTTGATACTAGAATTAATTCTCTTATTATTCATTTCAATATGTGATTATTCATTTTGATAATTCAATCATTTTAGATCCCAGGGTATTTCGACAATAACATATCACTTATATTTTCATCTCAATGACTCTTAGTTCACTCTCTTCTCATCTGTTTATTCTATATGATCATATTACATACCATCTTGGCTAATTATTATTACTATGATTGATTATAACAAAAGTAAGAAAACTCTTTTAAGATAATTAATATTGAAATAGTATCAAATTTGAAATTTTTTCGTCCTACTCACAATCACATCCAATTCCCTAGTTAATTTTCAAGACAGTTTACTTAGTGAGACTTGCGAAAAAGGGAAAGAGATTTACAGATTGAAACGCTTACATAAGACATTTTACAGGTTAGAATCAATTATTTGAGAATATATAACGAGAAATACTGTATATAGATCTCATAAGCAACACACGTGATAAATGTGACTGTTTTCTTGCACTCTCAAAATTGAAAAGTCGGTAATAACACGAACATTCACAAATACATCACGAGACTTGAGTCACCATACTAAAAGCATGTGATAGACGTAATTGGTAAGTACACATCTATCGCTCCTCCCCCCCCCCTCCCCTCCTCCAAATTCTCATTTCTCATTTGAACCTGACACGTCCCTCCCCGGCAAAATAAATCAAGGAGAGCAGAAAAAGTGGTAGTCGTAAGCTACTTTGTTGAAGTCAAAAAAAGTTAACTACCTTAGTAAAGCACGGGATCATTAGTAGATCACCATTATCATTGGAATTATATACTTTTACATTCCAAACGGCACATATAATATATAACGCCTAGTCATCCATCGATTCAGCATATCCTTTTGATTGATTCATTTGAAGAAGTTGATTGATTGGAAAATCATATTTGTGGTAAACCGTATACACTCATTCATTCAATTCGTTAATTTCTGTATTAGATTTTTTTTATTTTATTTTTACTGTTGCAGTAATTAATTTTAATTTTACTTTTAATTTTAATTTTTGGGGTTATCTGGGGTTTTCAAATTTTGCAATCATTTTCATCTTAATTCAATTTATTTTAATTTAATATCATTCATTCATTCATTCATTCATACATCCATTCGTTTATTTATTTATTCAATTAATTATAAATATCAATGGATTCTAAAGCGAGATTATATCATTGTGATGTTTGTTCATCTGATTGTACTAATCGTATTCGTGTGAAATGTGCAGTTTGTAATGATTATGATCTTTGTGTTCCATGTTTCAGTAGTGGTTCAACTACTGGAGATCATAAGAGTTGGCATGATTATCAAATAATTGAACAAAATACATATCCAATATTTGATCGAGATTGGGGAGCTGATGAAGAATTATTATTAATTCAAGGGTGTGAAACTTTTGGTTTAGGAAATTGGGCTGATATAGCTGATCATATTGGTAATAGAAGTAAAGATGAAGTTGCAAAACATTATTTTGATGTATATTTAAATAAAGATACATATCCTTTACCAGATATGAATAAAGATTTCAATGAAATTTCCCCAGCTGAATTTTTAGAAGATAGAAAAAAGAGATTGGAAGTAAGAAAGAATTTACCATTACCACCACCAAAACTGAAACCAGTTGCATCTGTACCATTATGTCATGAAATTCAAGGTTATATGCCTGGTAGATTAGAATTTGATCATGAAGCTGAAAATGAAGCTGAAATTCCAGTTAAAGATCTTATATTTGATCCTGATGACTCAAAGAATGATATTGAATTAAAATTAACTATTCTTGATATTTATAGTTCAAGATTAACAACTAGAGCTGAAAGGAAAAGAGTATTGATATTGAATAATTTATTAGAATATAGAAAGAATATTAGTTTGGATAAAAGGAAACTGAAAGAAGAAAAAGATTTATTAAGAAAAATCAATGCATATATTAGAGTATTAACTCCTGAAGATTTTAATTCATTTACTCGAGATTTTTTAACTGAATTAAAATGTCGAATTAGAATTCAACAACTTCAAAATTGGCGTAAGCATGGAATACTTACAATTGAAGATGGGAATAAATTTGAAAAGGATAAATTAATTAGAGCTGCTCATTATCAAAGAATGGGTAATGGATCTTTAAGTGCCAGACATTCATCTCAAACTCCTGGATTAATGAATGGATCAATGGCTAATGGAGGTAATGGATTATCATCAATTTCTAATGGAAATGGAGGAATTCGAAAACCTTATTCATCATTAGCAAATTCACCTCAACCTGAATATAAACCAAAATTAGGTAATGCAAGAGCTCCATTAGATATTAGTCATGCAGTAGATTTTGAATTATTATCGAATGAAGAGAAACAATTATGTGCTAATTTAAGAATATTACCCAAACCATATTTAGCCATTAAGAATCAATTAATTAAAGAAGCAGTTAAAAATAATGGTGTTTTAAAGAAAAAAGATGCAAGACAAGCATTAAAAATTGATGTTAATAAGGCTAGTAAAATTTATGAATTTTTTGTTCAAATGGGTTGGTGTTCTCAAGGTTAGTAAAACATTTTGTATAGAAAAAATGAGACAGTAAGTAATGAATATAATGACATATTTCTTTTAAAGAGAAATTTATTGTATAAATTGTAGTATTAGTTTAAAGTGTTAACTGTTTGTGACATACATGAAAGCGCTAAGTCGTGGGGGTGCAAAAAAAAGAAGTAAAAAAAGCGAACAATGAATTAGCGAGAGAAGTTGTGGCAAATTAACCGGTAGCACTAAAGAAATAGTTTGGCTAGAGTTTTATGTACTGTATAATTGAAAAAATGATAATAGTAATTGCACAATCATTAACGAAATACAAATGAGTATACTATAAGCTAAATATTCTATATCCGGCATATTCACTAGCTTTATCTCATGCATTGTTACCTTAGACATTTCAAACCATTGGTTGCTTAAATAGGCAGTTAACGACCGATGGCCAAAGAAAAAAATCACCTGTTTTTATAAATATTTTTTACGCCATACATGAATTCGCAGCAGTCCCTCTCGGCTCAAATACACGACCTTCCCCCAATGAGATAGTGCATCAAATCCGTCCTTTACTATCAGACAGATCAGTGCATGGCTTTACTATTAAACAGTAATTAAACACCAAATAAAAAAAAAAACCAGCTAATGTTAAGTTGTAATTACTTTCAAAAGCTTATAATTCATATTACTAGTAATATACACTCCTCCATCAATTATGTGACCTGATATATATAATATATATCTGTTTATTATTATCTCGACCTGCTGATACTAACCCCATACAAAACTCGAATGTTCAAAAATTGAATGATTTTTTTTTCTCTCTCTCTCTCTCTCTCTAGGCAGTCCAGTACTAAAATGCTGGTGGGAAATGTGACAGAGATTTAGTTCGTGAACCGAATGTCTCAGGCCGAAAAAACCAACCATTTAATTTTAAACCTTAGCCATGGTAATATACTGTTAAGTTTATTTTGTAGTTTTATAATTTATAATTCGTTGTCCTATTGATTTTTCTGATAATTAAGGGTAGTGAACAACTGTTATTAACTTAATAGATTAAAATTCATCATCAATCATTAACAAAACTGTTTAACTTTGTATTATACCCCGTACTCATTAATAACTAATCATAACTAATCAGAGTTATCTCATTTGATTTAATTTTAAAAAAATTTTAATATTGTCAATAGTATCAATTTCAAATTCCTTTTCGTTCATCTATAAATTCTATAAATTTCTATAAATTCCTATAAATATCTATAAATTGCTATAAATTTATATCAATATGCCAGAAACTTATCTAAAATTTCAATCTTCTCCATCGGGTAGACATGAAGGTAAAAAGCATATAATTATAGTGGGTGCAGGTATTATGGGTGTTTGTACAGCATATTATCTTGTAACTCATCCAAAATTTGATCCTGAAAAATACCATATTACAATAATTGAATCAAAAAGAGTGGCATCGGGTGCATCCGGTAAAGCTGGTGGTTTATTAGCTTTATGGGCATTCCCTGCTCAAATAGTACCTTTATCTTTTGATTTACATCAAAAATTATCTGATCAATATAATGGAGTCGAAGAATGGGGTTATAGAAGATTGACTACGGTATCTTTAGAAGGTGATTTAAGTCATTTAGATGATGAGGAAGATGATGAAGATGAAGAAGAAGAAGATGAAGCTAGTAGTAGTAATAATGATGGTCATCTACTGATAAAACCTTTAAAACAAACAACTACTCAAAAACCTAAATCTAATTCTACATCAGAGAAAATAGAAGATTCAATAAAAATACCCGTATCTCATGATTCAGATTCTTCATCTTCAATAGATAAACCTCCAAAAAAGACATCTAGAGCAACCCGTCAATCATCAATAACTTCAGATTCTTCAACAAGTGCTCCAGGATCATCTCAAGTTCCATCATCAAGAAAATCAAAAACAAAATTACCTCAAGATTTAAATTGGATAACTTCATCATTAATATCAAATTGTTCAACTCTTGGTGGTACAGATACTACTGCTCAAGTTCATCCATATAAATTTACTACATTTATTTTAAAGAAAGCAGTTGAACTATCTAAAGGTTCTATTGAATTCATTATTGGGAAAGTTAATCGTGTACAATTTTCATTAGAAACAGGTTCAGCAACAGGAGTTATTTATCAACCTTCATCTCTAAATAAATCAGATTATTCTCCTGAATCTCAAACTCTTTCAGGTGATCAAATTGTCTTAACGGTTGGTCCTTGGACATCTAAAATATTACCTGATTGTCCTATTTCTGGACTTCGTGCTCATTCAATTACTGTATCTCCATTTAAAGATCAACTGGTTTCACCATATGCTATATTTACAGAATTTAAAACTGGAGCATATAGTTATATATCACCTGAAATTTATGCTCGTCAAGATGAAGTTTATGTATGTGGAGAAGGTGATTCAGCTGTTGATGTTCCAGAAACAACTGATGATGTTGAAGTTGTTAAATCTAAATGTGATGAATTATTTAGACAAGTTGGAAAGATTTCTCCTAATTTAAAACGTGGTCATATTTTAAAACGTCAAGCATGTTATCTACCTGTTCTTGATGTTCCATCTTCTAGTGGTCCATTAATTGGAGAAACTAATGTTACTAATTTATTTTTAGCAAGTGGACATTCATGTTGGGGGATCAATAATGCTCCTGGTACAGGAAAAATTATGAGTGAGTTATTATTGGATGGTATTGTAGAACTGGCAGATATATCTGCATTAGAGCCATTTTTATATTTTGATGCCAGTGTATTAATAAGCGACGACGAAGAAGATTACGATGACGATGATGACGATGAAGATGATGATAATCATGCTGGTGATGATGAAGAAGAAGAGGATGAAGATTATTACAGAGATCCAACAGAAACTAGCTCTGAAACTGCACCACTGGATGCTGAATGGTCAAGAGATGCTTGAACTTATTCACAACTTCATGATATAATTATTATTATTGTTTATTTTAATATATACACATATATATATATTACCCACAATACTATAACTACTATGATTGTATCCTTTTTAGTTAACCTCTAAGCTTCTTCAATCATGCTTTTTATTTTTCTCAATTATTAACTGATTTTTCCTCTTTTTATCTATGATCCATTGCTTAATATTCCCAAAAATACTAATGATTTTCATCATAAATAATCCTAATATCATTACTATAACAGTAGTAACCAATTGTTGATATTTCATCCAGAGTTCATTATCTCTAAAGAAATGAATTTCATCTTTCTTCTTATTTCTTAAATAACGATCATTTGTATGTTTAGGTTTATGCCAAATTGGATCTACATTTTTTACATTATCATTACGTTCATACTCTGTTGCTCGACTTGAATGATTTATAATATTATTAAATATTTCAAATCTATCAGGATTTGATCGAATAAATGTATGTGGAACAGGATGAGTGGTGGTTGTAACATCACTAGTTATAAGTAATGTATAATGAGGAGATGGAAGTTTTCGTATGATTTTTCTAATTAATTCATCATATTCCTTTAATGTACCATCTCTTGAACCATCAATTGGTAAAGGAGGAAGATTTACAACAATAACTCGAGTTCGAACATCATAATATGGAGCTACTTCTTCATGATTAACCAGATTTACATAAACAGCCTCAGCTTGACAATTTCTAATAATATATCTTTCAAGAAATTGAAAATCTAATGTACCATGAACCCAAGGTAATCCCACTAATGAAGATGCCATCTTTAAATAATTACTTACAAATGGCCATTGTTCAACTTTATTATCTGTTATATCATCCAATTGTAATCCAGGAATATTTACTAATAAATATTCATCACTTGAACATGCAGTAATTAATTTCTTAAGCATATTAGTTACACTAGTAACATTATGAGCTTCAATATTATCCGCATTGATCTCGGATTTTAATTCAGGTACAAGTTTATGAGATGCAACTATTACTGGAACGGTTTGAAGTGCCGTTACAAAAGTGATCAGAAATGTTAGCACTAAGAATATCTGTCGTATTTTCATTTTCATAATAAAGCGATGACTAAACTGACTGACTATACAGATTGATTTACTGAATTACTAACTAAAGGGTCTGAAACTTTTCATTACTTTTCACGATCGGCCCGTCACGTGCGTGGGGAAGAAGCCGTACGGACATATTCATAAAAATTTTGACAGATTTAAAGATATTATATTTCTAAAATAGTACGTAAATAGTAGTAGAAATGTCGGACGATACTGAAAGAGCTTTATCTTACGCTCAAGGATTTGTGGATTTTGTTAATGCATCTCCTACACCTTATCATGCTGTAAATTCTGTTAAAACAATTTTGAAAAAGTCCGGGTTTAAAGAATTATCCGAACGTTCAAATTGGTCTAACCTTGAAATTTCCAAAGGTGGGAAATATTTTGTCACTAGAAATGGTTCTTCACTTATTGGATTTACTGTGGGTGAAAAATTTGAAAATGGTAATGGGATTGCTATTGTTGGTGCGCATACTGATTCTCCATGTTTAAGAATTAAACCTGTATCTTCAAGAACTTCAGAGGGTTTTATTCAAGTTGGAGTTGAACAATATGGTGGATTAATTGCTCATTCTTGGTTTGATAGAGATTTATCTATTGCTGGTCGTGTTTATGTTAATGAAAATGATCAATTTGTACCAAAGTTAATTAAGATTGATAAACCATTATTAAGAATTCCTACTTTAGCAATTCATTTAGATAGAGAAGTTAATACTAAATTCGAATTTAATAAAGAAACAAAATTAGTTCCAATTGCTGGTCAAACTTCAATTGATAAGAATGAAAAGGCTGCTTCTGCAGAAGAAAAGAAATCTGGTCATTCTTGTGCTGATGATCCTGAATTACAATTAACTCCAGAACAATTCGTATCAGTTCAAACTGTTATTGAAAGACATAATAAATCATTAATTGAATTAATAGCAAGAGAACTTAAGGTTGAACCAACTCAAATTGAAGACTTTGAATTGGTATTATTTGATCATCAAAAATCAACCATTGGTGGATTAAATGATGAATTCATTTTCTCTCCTCGTTTAGATAATTTAACTTCTTGTTATACTGCCGCAGTTGGTTTAACTGAATCAGTTGAATATCTTTCTAAACAAAGAGGTATTCAATTGATTTCCTTATTTGATCACGAAGAAATTGGATCAAAATCAGCTCAAGGTGCAGACTCTACTTTCTTACCAGATATAATTCAAAGATTAACTAAAGTTGATTTTGATAATGGTGGAAACTCTGCCAATTACTTTCACGAAACAATGGCTAAATCTTTCTTATTATCTTCCGACATGGCTCATGGTGTGCATCCAAATTATGGTGATAAGTATGAAGCTAAAAACAGACCTCAATTGAATGCTGGTCCAGTAATTAAAATTAATGCTAACCAAAGATATGCAACAAATTCTCCAGGTATAGTTTTATTAAAGAAAGTTGCTGAATCAGTTAAAGTCCCATTACAATTATTTGTTGTTAGAAATGATTCTCCTTGTGGTTCAACCATTGGTCCAATCTTAGCAGCTAAATTAGGGATTAGAACTCTTGATTTAGGTAATCCTCAATTATCAATGCATTCAATTAGAGAAACTGGTGGTACTTATGATATAGTTAAGTTAACAGATTTATTCAAGGGATTTTTCGAACATTATGTTGATATCGATGAGAAGATTTTATGTGATCACCTTTAGATTTAATATAAATAGATAAATTATATAGGTAACTAAGTTAAACTAGAGGAAATACATTGTTGGATTCATACCCTATTATATTCCCAGCTGGATAATATGAACATATGATATATGTTCCCCATGTAGGATTACAGTATTTGTAGGCGCAGCCTAAAGAAGTTGAACTATTCCATATCATCTGAGTAAAATGATTATATTCAGTTTCAGTACCATATGGAAAATTATTTCCTTCATCGTACCAAGCTTCTGTAGCACCATCAGTGGAGTACCCAATAGCCAAGTTTTCACCATATGGACCACCAGAATGAGTTAATATCCCACTACAATCATATTTTGCTGCATATGCCGCAGCATAGTTAAAAATGGTATTGTTCCAATGTAGTAGACTTGCACCATGAAGCACTCTTTTCGAGTTATGATCATCAAGAATTTTTTCAGCAAAAGTTAAATTAATGGAGTAAGGATCATCATAAGGAGGTATATAGATATCTGAAGTTGGTAAAGTTATAGAATTTGCTGCCGTTTGGCTAACTCCAATTGTATTTGAAGTGACTTGTTCTTGAGCATAGACTTTAACTAGAGCTACTTGAGTTATTGTTTCGGCAAAAGCCCCTACTTTAAAGATGAAACTAAGAATGAGAAATAATACAGCGTTCTTCATGATATAATCAAACATGATTAGTCGTAATCTGGATTTATACATTTTCCAAATTTCATTCCAACTTTATATAAAAGTCGCAAAAGTTTCGCAATCAATGCTGAAACGATTGCAAAACAAATTAATCATACAAAAAGTGCGAAGATATAATAATAATAATAATACATTAAAAATTATTAAATAATGCTAAATATTAAGAAAGTCGTTACGGGTCATTATGGAAAATAAAATAAGTTAAGATTATGAAAAATGATTATAAGAAGTTTTCAACGAAATGGTATTTGAAACTAGCCCATCCTTTCAAGCTATCACCATAATCATTTTCTTCTTTTTCTTCTGCAGATACGTAATATCTATCAGTATCAAAATCCATATCCTCGAGCTTAACAAATTTATCCTTACCTCTCTTAACGATTAACCACCAGAAAATAAAAGTAGCTGGGAAAATACCTAATTCCAAGTAAGATTGGAAGAATCCAGAAACATCGAATGGTTTAATTGTTGTCCAACCTTGAATAATAATGATGAATGCACCAAGAATGACGACAAACCATGGTCCATATGGATAAGACCAATTTTTCATCAAAAGTTCATGGGTTCTTCCTTGACGTTCTAAACCTCTTCTAAATCTAATTGAAACAATACCAATTAACCACCAAGAAATCAAGTTAGAAAGACCAACAATACTTTGAATCCAATCCCATAAAGTTCCTGCACCAATGAATGAAGAACCAAAACATAAACCACCACATAACCAAGTGAAAATGACGGCAACGTATGGAATACCAAAACGGTTAAGACTAGAGAAGACTTTTGGAATATAACCTTGAGAACTCATATTGAAAGCTAATCTTGAACCAGCAAATAAAGCATGATTACCAGCAGAAATAAGAGACAACATAATGACAGTGTTCATGAAACTACCAGCAGCCTTAGCACCAACCATTTGGAAAACAATGGTGAATGGAGAAGTAGTAATAGAACTACTACTTAAGCCTGGGTAATCATAAGGAATATTCATACCAATGAAGAATGCAGTAAGAATGTAAAAGATAAATATACGATAGAATGTAGCACGTACAGTCTTTGGAATGACTCTAGTAGGATTCTTAGTTTCACCAGCAGTAAGAGATACTGATTCTAAACCACCAAACGCGAAAGCAGCAGAAACGAACAAGGAAGAGAAACCTTTAATACCATCAACAAATGGAGCATCACCATAACTCCACCATTTAAAACCAATGTAAGCATGTTCTGGATTTTTACCAGCATTGACAATGATACTAACAATGAAAAAGATAAGAATTGTGACAACTTTTAAAAGAGCCAACCAATATTCAGTTTCACCATAAATTCTAACGTGAATAACGTTAAGGAATAATAAAAAGACCCAAAAGATGATAGAAATAACATACCAATGGAAATCGGTCCAATATGAGAAGATCAATTGAAGAGCAGTTAAATCTCCAGCAACAGAACAAGCATCATTAAACCAATAATTGGCAAGAATTGCAAAACCAAGAGAATCACTACCAAATCTTTTAGCATAAGTAGTAAAAGATCCCGAGACTGGATATTGGACAGACATTTCCCCTAAACTTAACATCATAAAGAATACAATTAAACCAATAACAAAATAAGCTAAGAGCATTGATAATGGACCACCGGTAGCTAACATTTTACCAGTACCTAAATAAAGACCACTACCAATAACACCAGCAATAGTGATCATATTAATGTTTCTTGTCTTTAAAGATCTATTCAAATGTTCTGTTTGAGCAACTTCACCATAACTTATATTGGTATCGTCATTTGAAACTTTTTCTAAATCTTGAGCAATGAAGGACAGTTCCTTAGCTGAAAGGATATCGTTTTCATAAGACATCTTTGAAATATTGATAAACTTATAAGTTTGAAAAGATAATAACAACAAAGATCCTTCTTTAAAATGATTACAAAGATAAAAAGGAGATAAGTCAATGCTTTTATATAAAAAAAGGGTAATTCATTTTGATTTGCAATCAACCATAATATTTTGGCTGAAAAAAAAAAAAATATTATAAAAAGAAATTTTACTGAAATGCCGCGAAAGAGAAATTTTATTTGAACAACCACAGTAAATGCTTTTACGGGGATTAAGAAGCAGCTGATCCAATAGTATCAAATCACTGGAATGTAGTGTCAAGCAAATTGTGAGCTCAGGATTTAGTCAATTGGAATTGCGAATAAGTTGTTAAGGACCTGGTCAATTTGGGAATAGATAACTATAACATATGAGATCTATGACTATTTAATTTTCTATGTGACATAGATTTATGTCACAGGGGTACAGTTAGTGAAGCTGAAGCGATGAGTTAATACGATCAGCCGCTTCTTCTGGTAATAGCTAAGTAATAAAATCTATTGCACTACTACCGAAAACGGCAACAAACTTCATTACAGAATTTCACGTGACTTGCCAATAAAAAGGCATCTGAAGCTTTTTTCTTTTTGAGTAACAATAATTGGTAATTATAATTTTGTTAATCTAAAGCTACTTAATTTCAATTTAATTTCAATTTAGTGTGTAAGTTAATATGCTTTTAATAATTGTGGTGTTATATATATTTAAAATTACTAGAAGACTACTTTATTATATATATTTTCCATTGTATATGGAAATGTGACACCGCCTTTGCAGTATTCTATACATCTCTTCTGTGGACTCTCATCTCATCTCATCTCATGCTAAGAAAAATCGATGTACCTTATTCAAATTAAAGTGAATAATATCTTTCTTTGTTCTCTCGTATATTGTCTTTGTAACTTTATTAGACGAATTAACTTTCTTTCTAAATTCTAAATTCCAGTTCTCCACAGGTAAATCTGTCTTATCGAAAAGCTTTTATTATTTTGTGATTCTTCTTTGTACTGTTTTCTAACTTATCGTATTGGTCTGTATTGTGGTTGCCCCTACTGCATTATTTCTATTACTTTAACTCGTTCGCCGTAAATCTGGCAAAACGTATTTCCATTAACCTTAAATGCCAAGATTTCAGAACTCTTGTGCCTTTATCTTACTGCCACAGCTTTTAGTCTATTTGAATTATTCAATGTATTCGATAACTTATCTACATCAAATGTACCGCTACCGGGCATAAAACGTCCGCCCCACTCTATTATCTTAATTGTTTCAATTAATAGTCTTACGATTTGAGTTGCAAGGTATTAGTCACCTTTTGGGGCTAATAGTTATATATTTTAATATTAATTTACTTACATGCGGTTAGTGATTATATTACAACTTGTACCTCAAAATCCTCTTCTAACTCGGTGTCTCCTACGACACCATTTAAGTCCATCTCTTCATCATCAAATATCAATTTAGCTCGACTGAGGTCAACTTTCGTCTCATCAATACTTTTAACTTTTAAATAATGCAATAATAATTTCTGGAGTTGAGTCTGGGGTGAGACTTTAATTGATATCCTTTTATTGTCCTTACCCTTTAAACCAATTGTAAAGAATTCATCAGTATCTTCAATCAATTCTTTAGGCGCATCTTGTTGATCTTCAATCAATCCGACTTCATCATCATCATCATCACTAAATGCACTATATTTGTTATGTTCAATCTCTTCGAGTTCATCGTCAATTTCATCTCTCAATCCATTAATATAACTATTGTCTTCAACTGAATTCTCTTTAAAATAGATTGAAAGGTTAGTCACATTCACCTTTGGAATCAACAAACAGTTTATAATTGTAGATCGTATATCACCACTTAAAATATCATAATGGGGATCGATTCGTAGAGTGCTTGGTTTGAAAAATGGTTTCATTTCCATCTTTGCCTCTACCCAAATCAAAGAAACATTATCTGCATCGTATTCCTTCAATTGAGTTCTACTGAGCTGTGAATCTAATTTAGCTCGGAAGTATTTGATAATGGCTTTTTTTATTTTTTCAAATGACTTCATACCATGAGTTCCAAAGTCAATTGTATCATCAATATTAAAGTCTTTAGGTACTGCTAATTTTGTCATAACCTTGATTATATACTTTCTCTTCCTTTCATTCTCACTAGTGAACTTATATTTGGCATCATCAGTTATACTGCTAGAGTTTGAAGTGGCTAATGCGGGGGAAAATGAGCGGTCTTCTCGTAAGAATTCTAAGTCTTGGTCCTCTGTATCATCAATTATAAAGCTATCGACCTTTGTTTGTTTCTTATAATTTTTCTCTATTCGTGTCCGAATAGCCTCTCGATCTACTTTTACTTTAAGTATACTTGATGATACTTGTGTTTTTGTTTGTGGTTGTATTTGGGATTGTGGTGGTGGTTGATTATCATTAATATCATTATTATTTTCAGAAGTTTTGATAGTATCAGCAATTATACCATCACTGATTATTGATGACTCATATGCAAGGTTGTCAGTTACTTTGATCGCATCACTGCTCGTATCTGGACCATCACTACTATGATGATGGTGTCCCTTATGTTTTGATTTCTTCTTCTTCTTCTTATCCCCGGAAGTACTTAAAGAGAAAAAATCGTCCTCAAGATCAAACAACCGTTTCTTGTCTTTCGCCACAATTTTGCCGGCATCATGGTCTTGAGACAAAGTCATATCGGCATGATTTTCAATAGACTTATTGGGTGGTGTTGGGTGCAAGTAATATTATGTACGATTTTTTTTCCTAGTGGCAGAGAGAAATCATGTCAGATTTACAGGTTATGGCAAATATACTATACTAATATTGCATGTTAGATACAATCTACATTTTTTTCACAGCTATTAGTTCTTCCTAATAAATACATTATAATACATACAGTAGTACATACTTTCCAGGGTTATATATCATAACTAATATCAATTCTATGATTAATTCCATATATATAAATTATCACCCTCTCAATCTTTGAGTACTTCTTCTTCGTCGTCATCATCATCATCTTCATCATCATCGTCATCTTCATGAAGTAAACCCAATACTTGTTGTTGTAAATCATCGATAAGGCTAGATACATATACATCTGAATCATCCTCTTCAACATTCTCTATATTTTGTTCTTCATCTTCTGTATCACTGTCATAATTTATACAGTAGTCACGACTTTTATCGTATTGCCAGTCCTCAAGTGCTTGATGGATCGCCTGTTCATGCATTACTGTTAATTCATGTTCAGGCTCGTACAAATAAAGATAATCCTTTACTGGATCATAAGAATCTTTAAATTGTAAACCTAATTGATTCTGTATGACCAACCAACTATGTAGATTAGGGTCTTTTCCATAAAGTCCACTTCTTCTCTCTAGAAAACAAATCTCATTAACAGTAAAACCCTCAGGAATAAATTCATATTTTGAAAGACATGTGGCTGACTTTCTAAAGCCATCTTCAGCTTTAACATATCCTACTATAAAGCATACAAGCAATAATAACTGCTTCATATTATATACTATCATAGTTTAAATTTACAGTCTATATCATCTAAATTTTCTATTAGTCATTCAGACCCCTCTATATACTAATTCAATGAAACACGGGCGGTGATGATCTATTTTTATATATGTTACCTTCTTTAAATAGCCGGTAATAAAAATTTCTGGTTGCGAATAATTACCATTATTTTTAACGCTCCCACGTTTGAGCAATTTTTTTATTGGCACGATCTCGAACTTAAGGTTTGAAGCATTTATGCAACGCCTGTAAATCTTTTTCGTAAGTACGGCTAATCCTAAACAATTGACACACTCATAATTTCATGTTTGCTACGGCCCGATTTATAGTAAATGATCGTGCACCATCTTTTCAAAAAGTTACTAAAAAAATCGATTTACAGTTTATGATACTTATACTCGAATTGTTTTACATGTTAAATATATAACTTCTAGTTTTGTTTACATTTTCAATTTTATCACAGTAAATAAATTTACGAAGTGGTAGTAGTGCACATCAAAACCTTTAGATCGAGCTTATATAGAAATAAATAAAATCATATTCATATATTGTGGAAATGGCCCCTAGCATACCCAATAAAAAGGCTGCCAGTCCTACCCCTGTTCCATCATCCTCATCGTCACAATCATTATCTAAATCTATTAGAAATTTAACATTTAAAGCAAGATTTAAGCATCATTATGGATCAAATAATGAAAAGTATGAGTCAATTGTAAAATATCGAACAGCAACAGAACATTACATGTTTTATATTGATGAAAAAGATATAGCTGAACAAATTAAAGAAAAAGTATTAATTCCAAAAGAATTGATAACTATAAATATTAAAGATTTAGGTATACCGGATCCTAAACTTAAAGGTATAGATAAAAATCAAATTCAAAGTACATTTCAACAAGAACTTGTATTGAATCTTAAAAAGAATTCTTCTACAACTATGCAAGCTTTAAAAATCACTCAACCATTTTCATTACTGGATTCAGTATCTCGTCGTGGTTACCTTATTAATGCAGGTGGTAATATTACATCATCATCATGGCTTCAAAGACCATTGGATGATACTATAAATGAACATTATCTTGCCGTATCAGTAATATATAATCAAGAAGGTATAGAGAAGACAATAAATAGTGAAGAATTAACATTATTCCCTAATATAAGAGACGAAAAGCATACCATTAAATCTGGTATTCAAATATGGAAATATAATCTTGATAATGATAAAATTGAATTAATAAAGTTTTATGTAACTACAGATATTGGTGCAACTAATAATCTTAAATGGTTACCTATACATATAAAAGGTGATAAGAAATCATTAGGTATTCTAGTGGGGAATTTCACTGATGGTCGTATACATCTTTTAAAAGTATCATCCGGTGGACCTCAATTTGCCGAAATAAATGAACCTTCACTTACATATTCCATACCTCCAACTGCAGGTCTTGAAAGTTCAATAACATGTTTCGATTTTGTAGGTCATAATAAGATTCTCGTAGGATTATCTGAAGGAAGTCTTGCTGAATTTGTTTTACCGTATTATGATTTAAAATCTCCTGAGAATTCTTTTCAAATCCCATCATTTATATCACGAGTTGCTAATACTGCCATATCATCTATTATGGTAGCTGAAGTAGAATCAAATCGATCTGTAGTAATAGTGAATTCCCTTGGAGTTCAAACTCTTGCCTTTGAATATCTGAATTTCATCCAAGGTTTAGCCTTACCTTTATTTACTAGATCATCAGTAGTACCTTCATATAATCCTAATCTTAAGATATATCTTTGGACTCCAAATCCTGATACTACAGGATTTAATTTTATAAGGAATCCTGAAGAAGGTGCTAATATATTAATGAAGATAGATTCTTTCGTAACGGCTCTAAAAGTATCGGAAAGAATTGGTCATCCATTGAGCTTGACTGGATCAGCTGGAGGTGACTTATTTGTGGTTAATTATACTAGAAAATTCTTAAATGGTGGTAAGACTTCAAGTAAAACAACAAAGGTTTTAAAATTATGGAAATTAAGATTTAAAGAAAGTTTAGAGGTTGATGCTGATTATGTTTTAATGCCTAATGAAGTAAACTCCCAATTCCCAGTAGAACCACCACAAACAGTTATATCTACAATAGATTGGAATGAAAATCTTCTAGGTAGTTCTTTGTATAGTGCAGGAACTTTATCAGGTCTCCTTATAGTAGAAAGGTTAGATCCCAAAGCATAATATTAATATATAGCTATATATTAATGTATAAATGTAACTGTAACTATATACTAATGATCATTAATATTTGGGGATTGTCGGATCAATTTGATCACTCCATTGATTAAGCCCACCGATAACATCCTTAACATTATTAAAATTCAATTCTTCTACCATTTTTTTTGCAGCCAATTGAGAATCATTCCCATACCGACATATAACATATATATCATCAGTTTGTTTATCGAAATCTGATGGTAAATATGAATCTATACTATCTATCTTTTTAAATATTGGATCCCATTGAATATTAATTGAATTTGGTAATTTAGTGATTTGGAATTGTTCCTTTGTACGTACATCAATTAATACAGGATTCTTTGCATTTTGTAAATCTTTAACATTAACTCTATATTTAGAATCCAATACATTATAATTAAATCTTCCACAAAATGCTGCATAGTTAATCTCATTACTTTCTATAATTGATTGAGAAATTTTAGGAGAATCTCCACATACAACACAATCAGGCTTTCTATTTCTCATTTTGAATTGTCTAATTTGTTGTTGTGGATATCCAACATATTGAGCTAAGAAAGGTTTAAAATTATCTTTAGTATAGTAACCTGTTAATAATTTTATAGTTTCTATAGCCATAGTAAGTCCAACTAATCCTATAGCAGGTCCTATAACACCACCATCTGAACAACTTGTAACTGATTCAGGAGCTGGTGGTTTAGGATAAAAGCATCTATAACAAGGACCCCAATTTTGGAAATTTAATATAGATAATTGACCATCTGATTTTAAACCAGAACCACTAACAATGGTTTTTCCACTTAATACTGATACATCATTAATTAAATATCTAACTGCTGGAGAATCTGTACAATCAAGTATTAAATCATATTTTTCTATTATTTCAAAAGCATTTTCATTGGATAATCTAAAGGGATAAGTTTTAACATTAACATGAGGATTTAATTTGGATATATATTGTTTGGCCGAGTCACATTTATACATACCCACATTATTGGTTGTATGTAATACTTGACGATGTAAATTACTAATATCTACAATATCATCATCAATTATTCCAATATTACCAATACCTGCAGCGGATAAATATAGTAAAGCAGGACATCCTAATCCACCTGCACCTACTACAAGTATACTAGAATTCTTAAGTTTAATTTGACTTGGTAGAGATCCAAATTGTGGTACTATCATCTGTCTTCCATATCTCTTATACTCATCTAAAGAGAGATGCTCATCGATTTTGGGGTATAGTTCAGGTGACTGATTTACACTGTGAGATGATTTTAATTCCTGATTCTCAATTTCTAACTCCTTTATACGTGAGAGTAGTTCCTCATAAGTTGGTTTTGACTTTGTCATTATGGTTGGTGATGCTTCCCTAGTCTACTGGTGCTTGTACTTGTCTGTAAAAGTTCAAGCCGGCCTTTGAAATTTTTGCGAGTGCAAGTGAAAAATTATGATTAACTATGGGTCTACTATATGGCCTACAAATATATTTATATATATATATATATATCTGTGTTGATTGATTTTATACATTAAGAATAGAATAGGCTAACTAACACTTGGAAACCAGTCTGAACATCAACTTTTCATAAGCATGCTTGTTTGATATAGTAATAGCCTTACTATAAAACTCCATTTAAACAATCTTTTGTTTGACAAAGAAACTCTTCAAGTGACGTAATTGATAGATACATGTTCCAACTAAGACGATTAATTGAACAATTGTCCATTTGATAACTCTAGAATTAGTATTTTCAGATTGATCTCTGAAGATTGCTTCTCTTTCTCTCATGTGTTCTTGTTCCCAGTGAATTTCTTGTAATTTCTTATTTAAAGATTGTATTTTAAGAGTTAAAGAATCGATCTTTTTAGTAGATTTGGAATCAACATAATCATGAGCGGATCCAATAGCAACATCAAAGAATATTCTATGATTCTTTCCACGCAGTCCATCATCATAGACAGGAGTTAAACAAAATTTATGTTCACCAGAATCTAATGAAGTGAAAGTAAATTCACCATTTGGTGATGATTTTTGATTAACAACTCTATGATTGTTATCAAATGTTTCATCAACAGTTATTTGAACTCTCAATAATGGATTATGCACAAATACATCATCTGGACTAAGATGATCGAGATTCGGATTTTCATAAGCATCAATTCTTCCAACGACCAATGTATCTTCTGGTAATTCTTCAAAGAAACATCTGGTATTTCCAGTATTTAAATAGAAATGTAATGCATTGGTTAATTGTCCAAAGATAAATATAAATGCAATTATCTTACTGGCTACGGATTTCAACATCTTCGCTGTCTTAACAGTTAAGTATATCAATTGTAGTTGTATGATCTCTACCCCTGTGTATGTACTTCGTGTCTTGATTTCCATTTTTTTTCACGCCAAGTCGTGCACAGACCAACACTGATTTCATATATAACGCGTATGCTTATTTTATAAGGTTGCAACAATTTCTATATCTAGTGGATTAATGTATGTATTCTATAATAATTATATATATATATACATATATAGGATATACTGTATGTATATGGTATTCATATATCTATTTAGCTGTTTGCCTCTTTTTGATGATCTTCTTTTTGATGTGCTTTTTCATTTTGGTTTTTCTCTTCTCTTGTTTGGCTAATTTTGCAGCTTCTTTTCTAGCCTTCTTATCATCTTTATCTTCAAATTTCTTTCCTTTAGGAGTTCCTTCTTCTTTTTCAATCCATTCTTTAGATCCCTCATCTTCGCTACTGTCGGACTCATCTTCACTGTCATCGTCACTTTCTTCATCATCATCATCCTCTTCTCCATCTTCGCTATTGTCAGATTGAGAATCATTTTTTTCTTCATTATCTTTAGTATCAACTAACTGTTTTAATGTATCTACTTGACCTTCGGAGAATTTCTTAAAGTCTCTTTCATCTAAATTATTTAATGAACGAACTAAATGAAGTGATCTAAAAATTTCATCTTCTACTTCATCTTGATTTTCTGTCTTTAAAGGTAACGTATCTAAATAAGCTCCTAATTCTTCATCACTATTATCCTTAAGTCCTAAAGATTCACCTTCATCTATTATATATTTAAATATTAATCTTTCAGGATATACATTGATTTTCTTTCTAGAAAAGAAATCATTAACATTCTTAATATCCATTCTTAAAAATTCAAGTGCCATGGGATGATCTGGTTCAACAGATTGTGATACATCAATAATATATAATTTATCTTTATGAACAATCGAATTATATTCACTTAAATCTGCATGAACTAATTTACATTCTTGATACATTCTTCTCATATAAAATAACATTTGTTGATAATAATGAACTATTTCATCAACATCCTTAAAAGGGTGATCTCTTAATTTTGGTGATGGCTGTCCCTTTCCCTTAGTTAAATATTCCATAACTAAAACATGTGATCTTAATTCTACAGGTTCAGGACATGGAATCCCATTAGTATATAATCTTTTTAAATTACGGAATTCTTTTTCAGCCCAAACTTTGACCATCTTTCTGGGATTACTTTGACCTTTAGTATTTCTAAATCTAAATTCTCCATCCACATATCTTTCTCTATCTTTAAATACCAAAATAGAAGTTTTATAAATTTTCACGGCATATTCTTTAGTGGTGACTTCTGGATCTTCATGATCTCCATGATATACATTTGCTTCTTTACCAGTACTTATACAACCATTTATTCTTGATATGATATTCTTATTAAATATTTTTGCTAAAAATGCCATGGTTCTTGGATCTAGAACTTGTTCCACAGTAGCTCTATTAGCTCTATCTTTCGTAACTTTAGGACCTTTCTTTATAGGATCAACATTTATCTTGTCTGCATATTTCTTTGCAATCTCAGCTCTATCAGTGATGGTTTTAGATTGTCCATTCTCAGTATTGGTTATTTCTAACTCAGAATCTGAGTCTGAGTCTGTGTTTAAGTCTTTATCTACTAAGCTTAACTTATCAGACTTTTCTACTATGCTATCTATCGACATGTCTTGTCTTCAGTTCTTCTTAATATTTGTAACTATTATAGTGCAAAATATTTCAGAATTTTTTTTTTTTGGTGATGCTCATTAGAACTTTCTCGGTAAACTGATCTTGCTAGTTAGTTAAGCCATAGAGGGATAGAGCACAGAAGAGTTCAATTGACTAAGTATTGATATGACGTTTGTATCTAATTTGAATCGAGTGTTACCACAAGTAAGTATCGCTATTGTTTTAATAATGTTTTAATAATGTTTTCATAGTGGTTTCATACTATTTACAGTTTAGACTAACATAAACATAGAAATTCTTAGGATTTATACCACTCTTTATAGGAGTTGAAATTATACTAGGTATAGGTATTTTAAATAAAGCTGGTGGAGTTTATGGTATATTATCTATATTTACCGGGCATCCGATTAACTTTTGGCAATGGCTTTATAATATGCTTTCAATCTTAACCTTACCATTTTATATTTCAGCATTACTTAATTTAAAATCAAAACCAAGAAATGCTAGAAAGATATCATTAGCATCATTAATCTATACTGTTGATACTTTAGTTGGATTATTTTTTACTATTTACTTTATTCTTTTTTGGTTTAGTGTTGAAGATGTAACTCAAAGTCTGGGAGATTATGTTAAAAGAGCTCTCGATGATTTAACACCAGGTTCGGGTGGAATTATTAGTGATAAGCTTGCTGGATCAGTTTCATCGACTAGTTCGTCAGATTTATCTTCTCAATCAGCTTCCTTAGTAAGAGAATTATATGTTATATTTAGTTCTACTATTGTAATTACTGTGGTAAGAATTTACTTTAATTTAGTTATAATTTCTTTTACTAAGGCATTATTAAAGCAAGATCTTAATGATCGTAAGTATCATGAACGTCTCAATGGAGATGATGATGATGAAGTTGAAATATTAAGTGCTACGGGTCTACTTGCAGGAGTTCATAGATTTGTTTATAATTTAGAAAGAGGAGCCAAAGACACCTTGAATTCTTTCTTCAGCTAAACAATATTGCCCATACTAATCTCTAAAAGTCTATACAGTAGATAGACGGTCAGTAATTTATACACATTCATAATATAATATAATAAAATATAACATATACTATATACTATATAATATAACATAACATATAATATATAACAAATAGCAATAATACAAAACTTTATTAGCTAACTAGTAAATATGTACTGGTTATGTTACATTTATTGTATACAATTCTTTAGAGCCTTGCTATGCTCACTAAGAAAAACTGTACTACAGTGAAATGCCTTATCAATATTTAGTGGGGGATCTAATGATGATACACTAATTTACCAGTAATGGGTCAAACTGCAAGTAACGAATCATCCAAAAGTGGTGATATTCTTGAGTCCTTTACTAAACAGGAAGTTCAGCAATTATTTAATGCTCGATGTCTTTTATTATTTAAAAGTATAGAGTTACAAGCTGTAGCCAGTAAATTAAATATTACTAATATAAAGGAGAAAAGTATTATAACTACAAGTGATCTTGCTTATTTATGTCAATTATCAAATGATAAGTCAGAACATAATGATCAAATAAGTTTTCAATTTAAACAAGTAATTAATTTATTGTATAATTCCTTTCAAGTCATTGGTAAATTCCCATTTTTACGAGATTATGATTTAGAAAAGGATAGTGGCTTATCAGTTGAAGAATTATTAGTGGCATGTATATTTCATAGTGGAAGATATAAGAAAATCTTTAATAAAGAATTTGATTATATTAAATTATTATTTATATCATTAGCATTAGGAGATCCAGAAAATGTTAATAAAGAAAGTAATAAAACCAGTAAATCTGAATTTCTGGAACAACAAACAACAATTGGTGATGAAAGTGAAATTGAATCATTCACTTTAGAATTGAATTCGTCATTTGGAGAGGAAGATCCTTTAAATATTAGAAGTAGAAAAATTAGATGGGATAGTTTCAAATTAATTAAAACATTCGATGAAATTGATATTGAACCATTAACTATTAATGCTAATAGTTTACTTCTACTTTTAACACTATTTTTAATTATTACATCTATTCCAAAAATGAATCATGACAAAATGTATGATCAATTGATTTCTGGAGTTAAGGAAAGATGGAGTGAGTATGAACTGAATGCATTTGTATTATTGAAATATTTCAAGTTAAGTATTTCTCACCATAATATTAAATCTGAATCAATAAATTTTAGTGAATTTAAACGTACAATTGATAACTTATTACCAAAATTTTTTCATGAAGCATTTTCTAGTTTATTTAAGCATGGATTTCTTTCATCTTTAATATCTCAACCCACAGGGAAACCTTCGGCAGCTGAAATCGAAACATCAGAATCTGAAGAAAGTTCAACATCCAAGTCGAAAAAATCGATATCTGCCAAATTTGTTGAAAGTCGACTTGTGAACTTGCCTTCGATATCCTTAATTGGTACTATTCTTACTAATCAAGGTTCAAATATTAATATTTCTAATAAAAATTTGGTCAAGTTATATGCTGGTTCCGAATCTGGATTTTCAATTCGATCTTTAGAACTGAAAATTTTTAAGTGGCAGGCTCCTACATTATTTATAGTCAGTGGTAAACGGTTAAGAAATAAAACTCTTACAAGTAATATGAGGTATCAACTGTTTAAAACAGAATATCCTCAATTTTTTAGATCTTCGGAGAATTCATTACGAGAATGGCAATCAGATCATGATAAAATTACTTATTGTGTTCTTGTACATCAACCTTGGAGAAATTCCAATAAAAGAAATTTTGGAGATGAAGAAAGTCTTATATTTTCAATACTGCCAAGAGTTGATGTTTATAAAAGTACTCATAATCCTATTTTAAAAGGTGAACTGATATATTTTAATAATCTTGGATTAGGATTAGGATTTGGTAATGATCAACCAGTAAATAAAAATGGTGTTAAGAAATATTTACCCGGTGAAGTTTCTCTAACAATAGAAGCCAATTTAGAATTTGCAGTATTTAGACATGTATCTACACTGTCAGCTCAATCTATTAATTTTTTTCACAAATCTAATCAAGAAAGTATTCAATTAACTGATTTTGAAGATCGATTTATGATTACAGATTTAGAAGTTTGGGGTGTTGGATCTACCAAGGAATTGGAAGAACAACGAAAGCAATGGGAATGGGAAGAGAAACAAGCTGAAGCAAGGCAAAGTGTTAATTTAAGAAGTTTAGGTGAAGAAAGGGCATTTTTGGAAATGGTAGGATTAGTAGGTAATCATAATTCTACAGGAGGTTCAGTATAAAGATACAATATCATATATAAGGTATGGTAATTAATTAGTTTAATTAAAATATATATGCGATTGCTAAAAGTGATTGCAAAATTTAACCAATTATTTTTTTTTTTTGTTAGCGCGATGATGAGCTGCATCGATTTTTTTTTTTATTTCAAAATTCTTCACTACGTAAGTTAAGCACAAACATTATAGTTTACCCAGTATAACAGCATAAGTACAATGGCTAAGGGAGATAAAAAGGGATCTGGCAATGAAAATTCTGCCAAAGTACCGGTAACCAAAGATGATAGATTCAAATCCGTACATAATGACCCTAGGTTCAATTTACCGAACTTGAAAAATTTCAAAGTTAAGATTGATGATCGTTTTAGTAAGAAAGAATTGAAGAAATTGAATGCTGGAGCCGGTGGTAAGACAGTTAAAATAGATAGATATGGTAGAAAGTTGAAAAAAAGTGATTCCGCTAAGGCACTCGAGAAATTTTACGAGCATGATGAAGAGGATGAAGAACATAAATCCAAGAGTGGTGAAGAATCTGAAGATTCAGAGTCAGAAGAATCAGAAGAATCAGATTCAGATAATGATAATGTTGAAGTTGGACTTGATAGAGCAAGAGGTGAAGGATTAGAATCATCTTCAGATGAATCATCTGAAGAAGAATCTGAGTCGGAGTCTGATTCCGAAGAAGATATTGATGAGCTTGATGAAGACTCTGAAATTGAAGTTGAACAAGGTAAGCCAGATGAAGGAGAACCTTCATCGAGATTTGCTGTTGTTAATATGGATTGGGATAATTTAAAGGCAGTTGATTTGATGGCCACTTTCATATCTTTTGTTCCATCTGGAGGTTCAATTAAGTCTATTACCATATATCCTTCAGAATTTGGGAAGGAACAAATGCAGAAGGAAGAAATAGAAGGTCCACCAAGAGACTTATTTAAATCATCTAAAAACAAAAAGAAGGTTGAATCTGATTCAGATTCAGATGATGAAATTGATGTAAATAGTAAAGAAGATTTAGAAAGAGCAGCTCGTAAATTATATGAAGAGGATAATGGAGAAGAAGATTATGATAGTAAAGCATTACGTCGTTATCAATTACAAAGATTAAGATACTTTTATGCTGTGGTAACATGTGATTCAGTAGGAACTTCTAAGAATATCTATGATAATTGTGATGGTACAGAATATGAATCTACAGCTAATATTTTCGATTTACGTTATATTCCTGAAGATATGGAATTCGATGATTCGGAAGCAAAGGATTCTTGTTCTAAGATTCCTTCATCTTATAGACCAGATTCTGGATTTGTTACTGATGCATTACAACATTCTAAAGTAAAATTAACTTGGGATGAAACACCTAAAGATAGATTAACATTATCATCTAGACCATTATCTCAAAAGGAAATTGATGAAATGGACTTCAAAGCATACTTAGCATCTGACACTGATGAAAGTGAGACTGAAGATGTCGGTTTAAAGAATAAATATAAGAATTTATTAGGTGGAAGTTTTGGATCCTTTGGAAAGGGTAAAGATGAAGATGAAGATGAAGATGATGTAGATATGGAAATAACATTTGATCCAGGATTGAAGGATACATCAGAAGTTAAAGAAGAACAAAAGGAAGATACAGAAGAAACTACAATAGATGCATATAGACGTAAAGAAAAGGAACGTAGAAAGAAGAGACTTGCTAAAATGAAGGAAACACAAGAAGTTGAAAAGGAAGAAAAAGAAGAAAAGGAAGCAAAAGCTTCTAAGAATAATAAGAAGAACAATAAGAAATCCAAAAAATCTAATGAAGTGGATGAAAAATCAAAGGCTGAATTAGAATTATTGATGATGGATGATGAAAACAATGATGATCACTTTAATATGAAGGATGTAATTAAGGCCGAAAAGCAAAAATCAAAGAAGAATAAAAAGTCAAAGAGTGTGGATAGTGAATTTACTCAAGATAATTTTGAAGCTGACTTAAATGATCCTCGTTTCAAAGAAATCTTTGAAAGTCACGATTATGCAATTGATCCAACAAATAGTGAATTTAAAAAGACAGAAACTATGAAAAAGATTTTAACTGAACGTTCAAAGAGAAATCGTGATGGTTCTACCAATTATCATAATAAATCTAATAAAAGACAACACAAAGATAAATCTTCACACGGAACAAAATCAACCAATAATGAAGTGGGTTCATTGGTTAATAAAATAAAGCTGAAATATAGAAAAAATTAAGTATATATATAGTTAATAAAATATTTTGGTCAGATATAAATTAAATGCATTTCTCTGCCTGAGTTTACATGGGCCCCTAATTTCTATAGGGGCGGAACTTTTTTTGCACCTTCTTTCGCAGTATGTTGATGCAAGCTTATGCTGAGTCACTGTAAGGAATACGACTTGAATCACTATTTTTCAGCTACACCTTGCAACTTCCATATAAAGAAATTAGCATGCTTATTTCAAGGAGTGAAATTATTTTATATATAATTCATTAGCATAAGCAATATAAAATGATAATTCCCATCATGTTATTCCACAACTTAGTATAAGAAAGTAAGACAATATGTCTGGAATTCAAGCACTAATATCAAAGTTTGAGACTAACAATACCCCTAATGGAGGTATTCAGAGGGGATCACTGAACAGAGGAATTTCTAAACTTGTAGTTAATCCACATCCCGATATTAATAAGTATATCGAGAAATCAAACATTGAGGATTCCCCTCTTAAGAGATCCACTGCCACTATCCTAAAGGATCCAAAGCTTGCCAAGATTGAAAAGAGTCTAGGAAGAGAGAATAAAACTGAATCCAGGCTACCAAGTTCTAAGAATTCAACTATTAACAATCAAGCCCCTTTATTTACTGGAAGAAGAATTTCCAAAGTTCCAAGTAATGAAGGAGATAGTATCCAAGGATTTGAAATAATCCTGGATTCAAAATCTAAAAGGATTCAGAACTCATCTACAAATGTTCCAAAAGAAGATAAAAGTCAATCAAAGAGTTCAGCAAATTCTAAGAAAGAAATTCTCAGCCAGTTTGACAGAAACGAAAATAATTCAATTGAAGAGAAAGAGAAAGAAGAGAAGAGAAACCAAGTAAATGGAGGAAATGAGAATGCTGAAGCAAGACATCCATCAAGAGAACCAACACAACCAACAGTAATTCCACTTTCTCCCAGTAAGTTTCACAGAAAGCAACCTTCAGGATCCTCTCTTATTTCACATATATCCAATAGAGATTCTCCCAATCCGGGATATAATAATGGACTCGGGTTTAAGCACAATGCTACTCTTCCCATTAGTGACATCAACAATTCCGTTACATTCAACTACAAGGACGAAGAAATGGAAGGTATATCTAAAGAAATGGATTCATTTATTTCAAATACTGATATAAATGATGAAATAGAAAGTTCGATTAACCTTGAGACTATTGATGTCGTACCCGAGGATACTGATGAAGAAAATCCAGAAGAGATATTCGAGTATCCAAAAAGGAATTCTAAAAGATCTATTGGTTTAGACCCTAGTAAAAAGTCTATAAGAAGTGTGAATAATGAATCAGCAAACACTTCCAGGCTTACTACTGATGTGGAATCACAATTAAGTTACAAAGCTTTAGAAACATCAACCCCATACGGATCTCCAAAGAAAGCTCATGATATATTTGATTCTGGTGCTGGAGCACACAGTACTCCAGTAACACCTCCTATTGAGACATCTTCTGATCAATTAAACGACAAGAATAAGAAAAAGAAGATACCGCTATATGAAAACCAGAATACTTTATCGTCACCTATAATATTTAGCAGAGAAGAAGAAAAAGCATCGAGCAGCGAGACGGTTGCGAAAAATATTCAACCGGATTTGTCTGTTACAGCGGCTGCGAATAGAAATCAGACTTCTCCCCACCATAAATATATAACCAAGATTGAAGATACTATCGAAAATTCCCATATTGCTCCTAAAAGACCAGGTCGAGCAATAACCAATCCTTCTTTAGGTAAGTTCGATAAACGTTTTAAAAGTATCAAAAGGATATTTGTTAAGAAAGAAACTCCACAACTAATCAACGTTAACGATATTCGCCATTCACCCATAAATCAACCTGAAACTTTGTTCAAAGCTAATGATAACGTAAACGGCATGAATAAAAATCATCAAATGCCGCCCAAATCTTCAAGCTTAACAAATATGGAATCTACCATCAGTTTTATTCCAGGCAGACCAGCTCCTTCACCAACCCCAACACCAAATCAATCACCTAGCTACACCGTTAAGAGTGAGTTAGAAACTATTCCTAGAACAAGAATACACTCCGAGTCACCAGCAAGAGAAGAAATACTTTCAAGAAAGAGTTCTGCTCAAATATCAATGTCGAAATTAAATGATGTACCCGAAGAGGGGAGCAGTAAAGGATACTCAGTTGATATAACCATTAAAGATCCCAATAAGCAAAAGAGGGTAACATTGTTTGAAAATGCTTACATTGTTAATGAAATTGAAAACAACTTAATAAAGGAAAATAAAAACAAGAATAGAGATACTTTGATTTCTAATAATACTGAAGATGCTTCTCCCGTTTATCGATTATTTTTAAGTAACGTAGATGGCAAGATCACTGCAACTAGTATTTATCCCAAACGTAATAGTGTTGACGTTGCAATTCAAACAGGAGATGATTTCATTCCTAATGAAACTATTTTAAATGGTAAGAAGAGGTATTATAGTACTAATACAGAGGGTCCCTTGGCTTATAGATTACATAAAAAAGGATATGGTAAAGACATAAATGGTACCACAAGGGATTTGGCTTTAAGAACAGACAAATATTGGAATCGGTTTATGAGGTGTAATTCACAGGAGAATTTCTTGAAATTCTTTGAAGAATTCTTGGATGAGAGATTTACACCGAGAGAACTATAATAGTTTGAAAATAAAAGTTATAACCATAAGTATATTTAGAAGAAAACATATGTATAAATACATAAATAAATAATTAAATAAAAGTGACATAAGACAAGGCTGAGAAAATAAAATGAAGGAAGGAGGGAAGGAAGGAATGAAGAAAAGTGTAACAAAGACAAAGAGAACAGGAAACAACAATTATACTAAGTACCACATCTATCAATTTCACCAAGTCAAATATAATTATAATTATTGTTATATGAACGAAATTATTTGTATGTCATTAGTTAGTAATATCGCTAAAGAAATCTTCAGAATTGAAAATTTTTGAAGATGAGAAACCATGATCAGTTGCAGTTAAATTTGGGTTGAAACCACCCGATGAAGCAGCAATCGTAGGATTATTTTGATTAGGGTTTAACTTTTCAAGATCCAATAGATTATCTGTTGGTTCACCAAGGTCAGTTGTATAAGTACCATTCAAGATCTTTTCAACATGAGCAATTCGAGAATTAATTAGTTCTCTTTCCTTTTGTTGTTCTTCCAACACATATTGTAAATGTCTAACATATTCAACTGATTTGCTTAATACAGTAACTTTGTTAGGTTTAGATTCTTTCACTTTTATAGTACTTAATAAATCATTAATTTCTTGAGAATTTAATGAACTATTCTTTTGTAATTCTTGTACAGCTGATAATTGAGGATTTAAAAGTGTTTGAGGAACTCTTAACCTTAAATTATCAATATTCGCTTTAATTAATTCTCTTCTTCTTCTTTCAACTTCATTATGGAAGATTTTTCTTCTTTGTATCTTTTCATCTTTAGTTAATTGTTTGGTTGGTGTCATGTCGAGTAAAGCCTTTGAAGATGAAGGTACAGAAGAACTCAAGTTTGAAGATGATGGAGGAGGTGATAATGTATCACGATTATCAGCGTTTTGGAAATAACGTTGAGAATTCATTGGTATACTCGAACTTAATTCAGCTTGAGGTATATAAGGTATTGAACTAAGAGGAATTTGAGGAGGAGAATTCAAATAATTCGATTGATTTGATGGAGATCTTAATATATCTCCTGAGTCTGCATTCTGAAGATAACTTGGATTTGCTTGGGGAGATAAATATGAAGTATTTAATATATTTGATTGTTGAGGAATAATGCCTTGATTATCTTCTGGAATTGGACGTAAAGGAGGAGAAAAATATTGAGAATCTAAGTAATTTGTTTGACCAGTTGGTGGAGATATTAGTTCATCTAAACCTTGATGATTTTGATTTTGGTTTGAAAATGGTAATTGATTTTGAATATTGACAGAAGGTGGTAAACCAGGTGATAATCCATTAATATTGTTTGGATTAAAACTATCAAAAAGTGGTTCATTTGTGAAAGAATTAGCTCCACTACCAACAGTTGCACCAAAACTAGAAGCATTAGTTGGATTTATATTTAAATCATTATATGACGGACTTAAATAATCTTCAGTATTACTTGGATAACCATATTGATTAGAATTTTGATTAAAGTTCGAAGGATTATTATAATTGATATTTGAAGAGGTAGTATTAAGATTATTAGTATAATTTGGATTGGTTGTTATAGGAATATTATTCGATTGATTATTATAATTAATATTACTAATATCATTAGTATTAGGTATTTGATTAAAACTTAATTGATTATCATAATCACCAGGAACATTAGTATTTGAACCTAAACCCGAACCTGAACCATAATCAAGATCGAAATCAAAACCAGCTGATAAATCTAAATTATTTATATTATTATTTATATTATTATTATTATTATTATTAATATTAATATTGTTTATATCACTAGTATTATTATCAAATTGAGTTGTATAATTTGTATTACTTGAATTGGTTGTAGAATTCGTTGCATTATAATTATAATTAGGGGTTGTTGTTGCATTGGTGGAACTATAGTCCGAGGGACTCTCTCGTAAATATTCCTCCATTGCGATTAATTAATGATAATTAAATAATAATTAATAAGAATTAATAGTCAATTAGTATCAATTGAATATTTAAAGGTAATTATTAAATTTATAATTACTATAATATGCTTCAAGATGTGCGACTCAACTTACACACCACCTCTACTCCTTTGGAAAAAAGGGATTCTAGTAATCTATAATGGGGGCAAATACTGAAGGTGGTATAAGTTGAAAAGTTTTAGCAAAGGATAGTAATGATAAACCCTTTGATAATATTTTAAAAAATTAAGCTAATATAAAACTCAGATTATGAGATGAGTTTGTTAATTATTGTTTAATTCGTTATTTCGTTATTAGTCTGATAAATCCAGACGGCATTTAAACAACGAATTTACACAACCATAATAGAAAGTTTTACCCGGCGTTTGTGGGGCTCACTTTGCGGAACCAGCTATCGGGAGGGTCAAGACCCCCTCCAATTCAATTAATATAATACAAAAGCTTAGTGAATATATATTGAATTTACTATTACTAAGTCTTGAATATTAAGAACAGTTTCAATATGATTACTATTAGTTATACAGTCCATTAACTAATTACTTTTTGGATTATTAAAACCTTATACTACATGTCATACTACCTGATTGTGGAGCTGTCCTGCAGATACGCAACGAGACGGCAAACAAAATCAACTCTAGTGAGTGATATCTTTAGTGTAGCTTTACTTAATTAGTATAGCCCAACATATAGATAAACTACTATACAGATCTTATACTGAGACTGATACATTATCAAATAATATATAGAACTGCCTGATTTATATTATATTATATTGAATTGTATTGCTTTACACTATAAAACTAGATCAAACATATTCAACATCAAAAACACTAAACCTTAATATCACAGTACAATCTATAAATACGCAATAAATAAAGCCAATGTCTGAATCAGAAAACACATTTCGACAACAGTTAAACAACTGGAATCGAACTTCAACTACTACCAATGTGAATAATAATAATAATACTAGCATTTTTGGAAATAGAGGTAGCGGACCTGTATTTTCAGAATGGACAGACTATGTCAAATCAAGCGCCAATAATTTATATACTAGATTACCTATGACAAATCAAGATCAACAGAATCAAATTCAAGAACCTTCATGGTTTAGATTAAGTAGATTTGAGAAAATTATTGGATTTTCTGCTTGTTTAGCTTCATCTGTATTATGTTTTGTATTATGTTTCTTTATGTTCCCAGTATTGGCATTAAGACCTAGAAAATTTGCATTAATTTGGACTCTTGGATCAGTATTATTTGTATTATCATTTGGTATACTTCAAGGTCCAAATAGTTATGTTAAACATTTAATATCAAGAGAACGAATTATATTTACAACTATCTTTTTCAGTTCAATTTTATGGACTTTGTATGCAGCTGTTATTTTAAAGAGTACTTTATTAACTATTTTAGCAAGTATTGTTGAATTTATTGCAGTTTTATATTATTCATTAAGTTATTTCCCATTTGGTGCTACAACTGTTACATGGTTTACAAGTTATGTTATAGGATATTTAGGAGGATTAATTGGTGGTGTTCTTTAAATAATGATCAATTTTAAATACTTTTATTTCATTAATGTAATTAATTTCATTTATTTAAACTTGTACTCATAAATAATATTTATTTAATATATTATATGATAATGTCAATTATAATATTAATTTATAATATTAATCAATCATAATTTATTCAATTTTTCTTGTAATTCTTTATGAAGTTTACCTAATTTTTCAAAATTAGTTTCTTCAGCAGGCCAACCAACAATTAATCCTGTATCTTCAGTCTTTTTTGGAATTAAATGGAAATGAACATGTTCAACAACTTGATGAGCAATACTTCCATTATTTTGTAAGACATTATAACCATCACCAATTAATTTATCATTATCATCAAGTTGTAAAACTTTAGTTAATTTTTTAACTACTGGTAAGATATCACTTAAATATTCATCTGGAATATTATGTAAACGAGGTCCATGATATTTTGGAATTATAAGTACATGACCTTGAGCAATTGGTTGAATATCAAGAAATGAATAAGTTAATGGAGTTTCAATTAATTTGAATGAAGGAATTTCTCCCTTAATAATCTTACAGAAGATACATGCGGCGTCGTGAGCAGCAGCAGTTGAAGCCATTGTCAAATTTTTTTAATATGCTACAATTGAGTCAATCAGCTAATAGTGGTTATCCGTGTCTGTCTCCCTTCTGAAAAAGTTCCAACAGGGAGGGGTCGTGTCAAATGGGTCGAGTTTTGGTTGGGACTTTTTCTGGGGTAGCCATTGGGAGGCTAGTGAGAATCGTAGTGGTAGTGAGAATTCTAGTGAGAAATGCTAGTGAGAGTAGCTAGTAAGAATGCTAGTGAGAGACTCTTACTACTCTAGCTTAGCTACTATATAATATGTAATATGCGCCATAAGTTTCTGTTATATATGATCTATAAAACTGCTAGTACTGTGAAATTGAATTTGTAAATTATATGTATAGATATGTAGTTATACTTTATATTATTGTATATGTTAGCAACGTGATCCCCCACCTGATCGAATAGGGGACTGAGACTGAGTCAGTCTCGGTAACTAAAGACTCACTAACACTTATCTATCGATGTAAGTACGCATGTCGCAATGGGCCAGTTTGGGTGGCGAAAAATGTTGTGGGCCTGCATACATCCCAATGTTCTGTCAAATTCTATAACAATCTATACCACTATAATTCGTATTACAAATCATATTTTGAAGGTAATGATTACCTAGAAATACTTAAAGTCATCAATTCATCATTATAGCCTCCTTTAATTAGGTTAATTCTTATATAAATATTGAATTTATTACAATTATTTAACTATACGATTATCAGAACATTCCTGCACACAGCCCTCGGTTTCGTCCTGCCACGACAATAAACTCCCAAGTCGGAAAATTCACCACTGGGAAATCACTAAGCTTAATATAATTCATATAAATTACGCCATTGAATTGTTATTAAGTCCAAAATTGTATAGTTTGGACAATTATAATTTATTACTTATTACTTATTAATTGTTAGTTATTAATTGTTACTTATTAATTGTTTAGTAAATATATAAAAGTATAATAATTTCAATACAATTATCATGACTGGGGAAGAAGATAAGAAACCTCACTTTGATGCATCAGGAGCTCATCAAATAGAAGATAAAACTGCTACTGCTATTTTAAGAAGGAAAAAGAAGGATAATGCATTAGTTGTTGATGATGCTGTTAATGATGATAATTCTGTTCTTACAATGTCATCTAATACTATGGAATTATTACAATTATTTCGTGGTGATACTGTATTAGTTAAAGGTAAAAAGAGAAAAGATACTGTATTAATTGTTTTGGCTGATGATGATATGGATGATGGAATTGTTAGAATTAACAGATGTGTTCGTAATAATTTAAGAGTAAGATTAGGTGATATTGTTACAGTTCATCCTTGTCCTGATATTAAATTTGCTAATAGAATATCTGTATTACCAATTGCTGATACTGTTGAAGGTATTACAGGTTCATTATTTGATCTTTATTTAAAACCTTATTTTGTTGAAGCTTATAGACCTGTAAGAAAAGGTGATTTATTTACTGTTAGAGGTGGTATGAGACAAGTTGAATTTAAAGTAGTTGAAGTTGATCCTGAAGAAATTGCCATTGTTGCTCAAGATACAATTATTCATTGTGAAGGTGATCCAATTAATCGTGAAGATGAAGAAAATAATTTAAATGATGTTGGTTATGATGATATTGGAGGTTGTAAAAAACAAATGGCTCAAATTAGAGAATTAGTTGAATTACCTTTAAGACATCCTCAATTATTTAAATCAATTGGTATAAAACCTCCTAAGGGGATTTTAATGTATGGACCTCCTGGTACTGGTAAAACTATTATGGCAAGAGCTGTTGCTAATGAAACTGGAGCTTTCTTCTTTTTAATAAATGGTCCTGAAATTATGTCAAAAATGGCTGGTGAATCAGAATCTAATTTAAGAAAAGCTTTTGAAGAAGCTGAAAAGAATTCTCCTTCAATTATTTTTATTGATGAAATTGATTCTATTGCTCCAAAGAGAGATAAAACTAATGGTGAAGTTGAAAGAAGAGTTGTTTCTCAATTATTAACTCTTATGGATGGTATGAAAGCTAGATCAAATGTTGTTGTTATTGCTGCTACTAATCGACCAAATTCTATTGATCCAGCTTTAAGAAGATTTGGTAGATTTGATAGAGAAGTTGATATTGGTGTACCAGATGCTGAAGGTCGTTTAGAAATTTTAAGAATTCATACTAAAAATATGAAATTAGCTAATGATGTAGATTTAGAATCAATTGCTTCAGAAACTCATGGTTTTGTTGGTGCTGATGTTGCATCTTTATGTTCAGAAGCTGCCATGCAACAAATTCGTGAAAAGATGGATCTCATAGATTTAGAAGAAGATACTATTGATGCTGAAGTTTTAAATTCTTTAGGAGTTACTATGGATAATTTTAAATTTGCTCTTGGTAATTCAAATCCAAGTGCTTTACGTGAAACTGTGGTTGAAAATGTTAATGTTACTTGGGATGATATTGGTGGTTTAGATGCTATTAAGAATGAATTAAAGGAAACTGTTGAATATCCTGTTTTACATCCAGATCAATATCAAAAGTTTGGTTTGGCACCAACCAAGGGTGTATTATTCTTTGGTCCACCAGGTACTGGTAAAACTCTTTTAGCTAAAGCTGTTGCCACTGAAGTTTCTGCTAATTTTATTTCTGTTAAAGGTCCAGAATTATTAAGTATGTGGTATGGTGAATCTGAATCAAATATTCGTGATATTTTTGATAAAGCAAGAGCTGCTGCTCCGACTGTTGTATTTTTAGATGAATTAGATTCTATTGCTAAAGCAAGAGGTGGATCTCATGGTGAAGGTGGTGCCTCTGATAGAGTTGTTAATCAATTATTAACTGAAATGGATGGTATGAATGCTAAAAAGAATGTTTTTGTAATTGGTGCAACCAATAGACCAGATCAAATTGATCCAGCTTTATTAAGACCAGGTAGATTAGATCAATTAATTTATGTTCCATTACCTGATGAACCAGCAAGATTATCTATTTTACAAGCTCAATTAAGAAATACTCCATTAGAGCCAGGTTTAGATTTGAAAGAAATTGCTAAGATTACTCATGGATTTTCCGGTGCTGATTTATCTTATATTGTTCAAAGATCAGCTAAATTTGCTATTAAAGATTCTATTGAAGCTCAAATCAGATTAGATAAACAAAGAGCTACTAAAGAAGAAGAAACTAGTAAAGTTAAAGAAGAAGATGTTGATATGACTGCTACAAAAGAAGTTGAAGTTGAAGGTGAAGGTGAAGCAGAAGAAGAAGAAGATCCAGTACCATATATTACTAGAGCTCATTTTGAAGAAGCTATGAAGACTGCTAAACGTTCAGTTTCTGATTCTGAATTACGTCGTTATGATGCTTATGCTCAACAATTACAAGCTTCAAGAGGTCAATTTGCTAATTTTAGATTCTCTGAAGATCAAGAAGGTGCTGCCAATGGTGAAGGAGCTTCTGGAAATACAGGAGCTTCATTTGGTCGTGAAGAAGAAGAAGATGATTTATACAGTTAGTTTAATCAATCAACCAAACAAACTAAATCATTAAGTAAAATAAATCCCGCGTCATCTCATTAGTTTCATTAGTTTAGTTTAGTTTAGCTTAGCTATCTCAATTCTCACTATTATTAATTATTTTTGTTTATTCCTCTACTGATCCAATAAAAAGAATATCTGCTAATAATATTATTACCGGCTAAATTTGGGGGTTGCGCTTTCCCCCCCTTCGCTTGCTCTGCGGCTCAGAAAATTTTTTAGGGAGACTAGTGCCTATTTTAATTTTTACAAAAGTCTTAACATACTTTAACATAACTCACCAGTACTGTTGTACTAATACTAATATTAATACTAATACAAATGCTGTTAGATCGGATTTAAGTCCTACATCTACATCTTATACCTGATACCATCTACCATATAAATTCTATTGTGTTCCATACCATTTTGTATTGGTTCATATACTGTTTATTGATTTCAATACCCACAACAACAAATATCCTGATTGTATATATATAGCTGAAAAGCACTACTACTAATAATATTAATATCATAAATCCGTGTATATACCGTATTATCATATTGTTATAGTACCTTATTATCATATTATCAAAAATATTCAAAAATATTCAAAAATATTCAAAAGTATTCTTTAATAGATTCAGACATTTCTCAAATTAATTATTATCATAATACCCATCATAATACCCAAAACTATCAATATGAAACATTTTGCTAATAGTGGTTTATTTATACTAACTCCTGTATTCCTAATTGCCAGTGACTTTGTAGTCACTAATTTCTCCAAGGCTGGGCCTAAAAAGATTGTTGCTGCTAATAAGACTAGTTTAAATAATAGTATAAATCCTAATGCTTATAGATCATCATGGATTCAAGAGCATTTCTATAATGGAAACAACGGAAGCGATAAGTAATCATTGCAATTTGTTTTTGTAACTTATTACTTGCAGTTATCACATCTATTTCATAATCCGATCATCATAAAAGTCATTCTCATTCATTATATATTCATATTCATAAATATTATGAATTCATCATTATTCATTCATTATTAAAGTCATTCATTCACTCATTCATTTGTTCATATTCTATCATTCCTTTTGGTGTTTAAATCAATCCTTTTGTTTCATATTAGTGTCTTTTATTTCTATTTAGCTGTTATTTGGTGCTTTATTTTATTTTGTAGTATTCCGTTGGTACGGATTTGCTTCTCTAGTTATTGTATTTTACTAGTAAATACTTTTTACATTAAATTGAATATAAGACATTTGTCTACTATATGTACATTTTTCATATTATTCATCTCTATCAATACTAACGGGATTTAATAGTTTTATGGTTATATGTCCTTGCACGTGACCCGTACATCCTGTATACAGCCCTTATTTCCATTCAAGTTATTTTTATTGGCTGAAATTTTTCGGTTCGAGAGTACGGGAAAATTTTGAAAGTAAATAAAACAGTTAAATAAGTGAATTATATCTATAATAATTATTGTAGTTATTCTTCATATCTCATATTTAATATAATATAAATATCAACACAATCACATAAAATTCCCATCGTGATGTTGAGAAGAGTAGGAAATAACAATAGTCGTTTAATACAACAATCTTTTAAAAGATTTAACTCATCACACAATCATCATGAAGCACCACAGAAGACAGTAGAAATAAATATTACAAAGATATTTGGGATTGCTGCTGCTGCAGGTGCCCTTTTAGTATACAAGAATCAACAAACAACAGATAAACCATTATTTGCTACTAAATTATATAATGATCAAGCTGAAGGTGTACGTGAAAACTTGAGAAATGAAAATTATTTAAAAAGATATAAAACTTCCTTTATTCAAGGATTTATTAGAGATAAAGGTGGTATAGGTCAAAGACAACATAGAAGAATTGCCGATTCAACAATTCATTCAACCAATTTAATTCCAACTCATTCACCATTTAGTAATCAATTAGGTAACCAATTTGGTGCTGGTATAAAAACTGATAAATTAGGTCCAAGAAAGGAAAGAATTAGAATTTTTGCTCCAATTGATACCACTAAAGATTAGAATCAATTCATTATTACTTAGGTTCACTAGTGTACCATAAATAAGAATAAGTTATCAAGTTAGATTCATAGCATGCGTACGAATCATCAAGCGATTCCCACAGAACAATTAGAAAATTAAACGATTAGTACGAACATAACTTTCATTTTCAACATTTGCATTATATTGAATGAATTATAGTCAATTGTTCTATAATTCTTCAAATATCATATTTTTTCATCAATATTATTATTATTATTATTATTATTATCTCATACTTTTTATGCTTCTCTTTTGTACTCTTTTACTCCAGGTATAGGGTAAATATACAGTAATACACTTTCTAATTAGCAAGATTCGTCCAGCTCCCTGTAGTCATATACTAATAACTTTAGTTCAAGTTATCGGATATACAAGCCGAAGTGGAGTACTTGTATGCAGTGCCTGGTTTTTGAACTCGGAAGAGTACTCCAATTGTTTGAACCAATTGTGAAAAATATAACTTCTACTACAGGGGTATACAAGAATGCTTAGAGGTCTTTTAACTCCAACTAATTCAAGATTACTCAAACCAATTGTCACTACTCCTGTCAGGCTCTTTTCATCAACTTTAAAAAAAATGTCTCAAGAATATACCGTTATTATTTATGATAAACCCGGAACTGATAGAACTAAAGTTAGACCAATTCACTTACAAGATCTTGTTGGAACTGTTAATGCCGGTGTTGTAATTGCTGGTGGTGCACTTTTCACTGATGAAACTAAAACTAAATTTGTTGGTAGTACTTTACAAATTGCTGCTAACAGTAAAGAAGAAGTTATTGAAGCTTTAAAACAAGATGTCTATTACAGAGAAGGAATTTGGGATATCGATAGTGCACTTATTTACCCCAGTGGAATGGCTGTCCGTTTACCAAAGAAGTTAGCTGGAACTAGAGAAGAACTTTTTAATTAACAATTAAAGAGTTCACTTTAAAGTGAATATTTAATTATGTAAATGTACTATTCTGCAGTATAATTAAATCATAATTGCATTTTAGAGGATTTATTCATCAATTTGATGGAAAATTTGTAGATTGTAAATAGACACATCAAATTAGTCATGCTAGGTACATAACTAATGAGCCATAATCACTCGCTTGGACCTTGAACTAAGGCTTTTAATTTACTATTATTAGATAAATAAATTCCGTTCACAACGGACATACCGTAATTACGAATGCTCCGAAATACCAAAGAGTTTACTTCCTCGGCATAACCTTTTTAAAGGTTAAACGGTTTTAGGCTTGAGATATCGAGATTCAAAGGATTGACACTACTCATACAATCAGGAAACTAGTTACTCTATGGAGAAAATAAGGTCAGTGCGGCGTGCATACAGGATAGAAATGCTCATTATGAATTTTTATGGGGTGACGAAATAGAATTAGTTGACCTTTACCCCAGAAATATTTCATGACGTACTAAGGTTACAGCAAAGCGTAATGAAATTTGCGTTAATGTTCACGTTTAATGTTACAAGTTTAAAATTTTAAATACTTGCTAGTGATGATGTTACTGTAGAAAGTACCACGGGTGTAAACCTGTGTATCCGGATCTTTGCGAAACTCATCAGTTATTGAAACAGTAATACCTCTACATTTTAATATTTAAACCTTCTTATTATAATCGGGATAGTGAAGAAATGCTCCAAGTATGCCGGTGGCAGCCGACAATGCCTAATAATACTCACTATTTAATGATTCGGCAATGGAAAGAAAGATGGTTAATAAAAATTGAAAGTTATCCGAAAAGGCGCATTTTTCACTTTTTTAGTTGCGTGTTTTTGGAACCTACCACTAAAAAATAATTCATTGGTAGTACGTATTTTTTGCAATTATGAATGATAGACATTGAAGTATCCATTCACTTTGATCATGTTTACCGAAACTTGATTTTTTAATTATGTCATATAAAATGTTCTGGATTAGACATGTCTAATAATTTTCACTCATCTTCGGATAATCTGAATTTAAATAATTCAATCAAATTAACTCAATTAACTTAATTATTATTACTACTATTATTTTTATGAATAATATAATATAGTTTAATCAACAATAACTGTTATTCACTAAAAATGTCCTTTAATTTCTCGCCGGCTCAGTACGACGGAAAGACGGTTCCTCCCTCTACGGGTATGGATCCTAATGAAAACGAATATCCTTATGAAGGGGTTACTCCCTTAGTTGAAGAAGAAATTAGAAATTTGGCTAGAACTTTAACTCATTCTTCTGTTGCAGATAAAGCTCCATTAGAAGAGGAAGAAGATAAAGATTTCAATGACTTGGAATTAAACTTAACTTTATCACGTCAATTAACTCATTTCTCTCAAATCCCAGGTCAAGTTCCAATGCTTGAAGATGATCAAGCCTATGTCGATCCAAGATTAAATCCCCACGATGATGACTTTGATTATAAATTCTGGATTAAAAATATGCAAAAGTTGATCCTTAGCGATTTAGATTATTATAAGCCAACAACTTTAGGGGTGGCTTACAAAAATTTAAAGTGTTATGGGAGAGCTTCAAAATATGATTATCAAAGTAATGTTCTTAATGTACCTTACAAATTCTTATACAAGCTTTTTAGAAGAGTCGCTCCCGAATCATTATTCAGTGATGAATTTGATATATTAAAGCCAATGGATGGATTATGTAAACCAGGGTCATTAACGGTTGTACTTGGAAGACCAGCAGCTGGTTGTACAACTTTATTAAAAACATTATCCTCACATACTTACGGATTCCATGTTGACAAGGAATCTGTAATTAGATACAATTCATTAACCCCAAGTCAAATTGCTAATCATTACAGAGGTGATGTTGTTTATTGTGCCGAAACTGAACAACATTTCCCAAATTTGACTGTTTTCCAAACTTTAGAGTTAGCTGCATTATTAAGAACTCCAGAAAATCTTCCTGAAGGTGTATCAAGAGAAGCTTATGCAAAGCATTTAACTGAAGTATATATGGCCACTTATGGTTTAAGTCATACTAGAAATACAAAAGTTGGTAATGAATATATTACTGGTGTCAGTGGAGGTGAAAGAAAGAGAGTCTCTATTGCTGAGGTAGCATTAAGTCAAGCCTTTGTACAATGTTGGGATAATTCTACTAGAGGTTTAGATGCTGCTACTGCATTAGAATTCCTTAGAGCTTTAAGAACTTCAGCTGATATTACTGGTACTACACCAATCATTGCTATTTATCAATGTTCTCAAGATGCTTATGACTTATTTGATAATGTGAGTCTTTTATATGAAGGTTATCAAATATATTTTGGTAAAGCCAATAAGGCTAAACAATTCTTTTTAGATATGGGATATGAATGTCCTGCAAGACAAACTTCTGCTGATTTTTTGACTTCATTGACCAATCCTGCTGAAAGAATTGTTCAAAAAGGGTTTGAAAGTAAAGTTCCAAGAACAGCCGAAGAATTTTATGAATATTGGCAAAATTCACCAGAAAGAGCTCAATTAGTCAATGATATTGATGCTTATATCGAACATCATACCGGCAATAATTACCATGATAGCTTTAAAGAATCGCATATTGCAAGACAAAGTAAACATACTAATCCAAAATCATCTTATACTGTATCATTCTGGATGCAAGTAAAATATATTACCTATAGAAATTACTTAAGAACAATTGCATCTCCTACTGTATTCATTTTCCATATTTGTGCAAATATTGGTATGGCATTAATTATTTCATCAATTTTCTATAATTTGCAGCCAACGACTGGATCATTCTACTATAGAAGTGCTGCTATGTTCTTTGCCATTTTGTTTAATGCATTCTCTTGTATTGTTGAAATCTTTCTGCTTTATGAAGCTAGACCAATTGTTGAAAAGCATAAAACATATGCATTATACCATCCATCAGCTGATGCTCTAGCTTCTATTATTATGGAAATGCTGTCAAAAATCATTATTGCCATTGGTTTTAACTGTGTTTACTATTTCATGGTCAATTTCAGAAGAGAGCCAGGAAGATTCTTCTTCTATCTATTAATCAACTTTGCTTCTACACTTTCCATGTCCCATCTTTTTAGAACCATTGGGGCTGCAACAAAGACTTTATCAGAATCAATGACTCCATCGACTTTATTGTTACTTGCGTTTATGATTTTTACAGGTTTCGTTATTCCAACTCCAAAGATGTTGGGTTGGTGTAGATGGATTAATTATATTGATCCAGTCGCTTATACATTCGAAGCTTTAATGGCCAATGAATTTCATGATAGAGAATTTGCTTGTGCTCAATTTGTTCCATCCGGTGGTAACTATCCTGATACTCCTGACAATAGAATATGTTCTGTAGTTGGTGCTGAATTGGGTCTGAATTATGTTAATGGTGACAGATATATCAATATTTCCTTTGAATATTATTACAGTCATAGATGGAGAAATTTCGGAATTATTGTTGCATTTATTGTATTCTTCTTATTTACTTACATTATATTATGTGAATATAATAAAGGAGCCATGCAAAAGGGTGAAATCTTAATCTTCCAAGAACGTGCTTTAAGGAAGAAGAAAAGAGCTATGCATGATCAAGAATCGGGAACTGTTGAAAAGGTTCTTAAAGGATCTTCGTCTGCTTCATCAGGTGAAACTAGAACTTTTAGTAAATTCTTAGAAAATCATGAAACTTTCCATTGGAGAGATTTAACTTACAGAATCAAGATAAAGAATGAAGATAGAGTTATTTTAAACCATGTCAATGGATGGGTTAAACCTGGAGAATTAACTGCATTAATGGGTTGTAGTGGTGCTGGTAAAACCACATTATTGAATGCTCTTTCCGATAGATTAACTGTTGGTGTCATTACTGATGGAGTTAGAATGGTTAATGGTAGACCATTAGATAATTCATTCCAAAGATCTATTGGATACGTTCAACAACAAGATTTACATTTGGATATTTCTACAGTTCGTGAAGCTTTAAGATTCTCTGCTTACTTGAGACAACCAAAATCAGTTTCAAAAGAGGAAAAGAATGAATATGTGGAATCGATTATTGAATTGTTAGATATGCAAACTTACGCTGATGCTGTTGTTGGGGTAGCTGGTGAAGGATTAAATGTAGAACAAAGAAAGAGATTAACAATTGGGGTCGAATTAGTAGCCAAACCAAAGTTATTATTATTCTTGGATGAACCTACATCTGGTTTAGATTCTCAAACTGCTTGGTCGATTTGTAAATTAATTAGAAAGCTTGCTGATCATGGTCAGTCAATTCTTTGTACAATTCATCAACCATCTGCTATTTTGCTACAAGAATTTGATCGTTTATTGTTTTTACAAAAAGGTGGTCAAACTGTTTATTTTGGTAAATTGGGTAAGGATTGTCAGACTTTAATTGATTACTTTGAAAGAGTTAGTCCTCTTAAATGTCCTCCAGATGCAAATCCAGCTGAATGGATGTTAGAAGTTATTGGTGCTGCTCCTGGTTCTCATGCTGATAAAGATTATTTTGAAGTATGGAAGAGTTCTCCCGAATATGCTGCAATGATTGAAGAATTGGACAATAAAGAAAGAGAATTAGTTAAACTTCCCGTAGATGAAGATCCTGAAAGATTTAATACTTTTGCAAGGTCTATATGGTACCAATATGTATTGGTTAGTAAGAGAGTTTTCCAACAATATTGGCGTACACCTTCTTTCACTTATTCTAAGATTTTATTAGCAGCTTTAGCAGCATTATTTAATGGGTTTAGTTTCTTCAAAGCAGACAGATCACTTCAAGGTTTACAAAATCAAATGTTCCTGGTTTTCTGTTTCTTCTTCGTTTTAGCTACATTGATTCAACAGTATTTACCACATTTCGTTGCTCAAAGAAGTTTATATGAAGTTAGAGAACGTCCTTCAAGAACTTTTAGTTGGTTAGCATTTATTTGCGCCCAAATTACTGGAGAAATCCCTTGGAATATATTAGCCGGTACTTTGGCATTCTTCTGTTGGTATTATCCCGTTGGATTATATAGTAATGCTGTTCCAACTGATACTGTTCATCAACGTGGAGCATTGATGTGGCTTAATTGTATCTTATTCTTTATCTACACTGGTACGTTAGCTCAATTATGTGTATCATTTGTTGAGATTGAAAGAAATGCTGCAAATATTTCAGTTGTTCTTTTCAATATGTGTTTAAATTTCTGTGGTGTTTTAGTTCCAAAGAGATCATTAGCTAGATTCTGGTTATTTATGTATAGATTTAATCCTGTTACATATTTGGTTGGTGCCTTTTTAGGAGTTGGTTTAGCTAATTCAGATGTTACTTGTGCTCCAACAGAAATTTTAGAATTTAAGCCAGTTACAGGAATGACTTGTGGTCAATTTATGGATCCATATATTCAAGCTGCTGGTGGTTATTTACTTGATTCTTCTGCTACAGATATGTGTCAATTCTGTTCAATGAAGAGTACTAATGTATTCCTTAAAAGTATTGATATTTACTACAGTGAAACAGGTAGAAATATTGGTGTCTTTGTTGGATTTATTTGCTTTAATATTATATTTACAATATTATTCTACTATATGGCAAGAGTACCAAAGACTAGTAGACAAAAACATCAGAAATGAGTTTATAGTACTTTATGATTTCTTTTTTAATGATTTATACTTCTTTTGTTAGACTAAAAATTTGATCTTAGTATCAATTTAATTATATACTGCATTTTAATACAAAATAATTTTAATATAATATAATATTAGTATTTAATTAAAACAATAAAACATAAAACATATACTTTATAAATTTTAAAATATAGTGAAATTATTTCAATATATATAAACTAAAAAACCGTATTATTTGGGTATTACAAGTAAAGGACGTCTAACCGTTTAAATCTGTAGTTAATAAATACACCAAAACTCCATTAATAACCAACACTAATTAAATAGTCTGCCAATTTTTCAACAATAGTTGTAGCTTCACCAGCTTGTATACCAGCTGGATAATGAGCAATTAAAATAGCTTGCTTAGATCTAACAGCAATAATACCTTCACCTTCATGTTTACCATATATAGATCTATCATCCGCTCTCAATAAAAAATATTTTTGAGATTGAACATGTAAACCATGAGCTTGTAAATTACTTGGATCATCAAAACCTCTAGCAATTTCAGAAATTTCATTAGCTTGTAATTGAAAACCTGATGATTGAGCCCATAATGAATCACCAGCTCTAGAATATAATGCTGCTTTATCAAGTTTTCCAGTAGCAACTAAGTTGTCAGTATATGCTTGCCAAGACATGATGATATTTACTTATCAATTGATAATAATTAGAATATAATTCAAGCTTTATCGCTTTAATAGTGGTCCAATACTAACTTGGTAATTCAACGACTTCCTTTAATTTATTTCCTCACTGTGGGATTTTTAGTATGTGTGCTTATGTAATCACCATAAACAATAAATTTAACTATACGATCCTAGACGAGTATTATAAATATATATATAAATATAAATAGGCATCTAAATAAGTATATTATAAGTATATAAGTATATAAGTATAAGTATGCTAATTATCAACTTTTCTTTTTTTATAAGCTGGCTCAATTTCTTCATCTATCAATTCGATCTCATCACCATCATCAATGATAATAGTGTCTCCAGCATTGATTTCTTCCATAGAATAATCCTCTTTATCTTCTTCATCATCTTCATCTTCTTCTTCCTTTTCGAAAATCTTTTTACCAAGCTTAATATCAGGCAATTCTGTAGGTTGATCTTTCTTGACAGTTATGTATAGTTCAAGATTCTCAAATACATCATCATCATCTTGAATAAGGATAAGTTCTCCATCTTTGAATCCATTAATATTGGATAAAATTGTATCAAGATTATCATTGAAATCTACATCGTATATCAATTTGGATTGACCTAATGAAATCGATAAGCCTTCTTCTTCATAACCATACATATCAATTAAACTATTAACCAACCAGCTCAAGCTTTTTGATTTAAGATCATTTTCATTAATTTCTAATACTCCTCTGGATATCGATGAACTGGCACATTTTGGATTTGGTTCTGAAAGTAAAGCAGATGTAATATATTTATTAGGTCTGATACTTATATACACAGTCCTAGAATCTTCCATTAAACTTGAATAATTTTGGCCAATGGATTTAGGGTCATGCTTGAAATAACTGGTACCTCCTAAACATGAAAATCCTGAAATAATGGCATTGGTTGTTGCAATTGCAGGAATTATATTACCAGCAATTTGTTTAATATCAAATTTTGATTTAGTTTCAATATGAAAAATAGATGATCTTAAATTTGCTGATGATACAACAAAATCAAGTGTATCTTCATCATCTTTATCAAATGTAATAAATGGTTCTCCTCCATTTATTCTTGTTTGTAATGCTACACTTGATTTATACAACACATACAAGTTTTCTAATACAGACCATACCTTAGTTTCATTCTTTAAAATAGATTCACTTAAAGGATTATTTACAAGTTCTTCTAATTGCAGTTTATATTCATCATATGGTAAGGGAATTGGTTTGGTTCTAGCCTTCCATAATGTTTCAATAAGTAATAATCTTTCAATATCAACTTTGAATATTTTCTCTATAAGTTCATTAATAAATCCATTTGAATCTTTGGAATTTATCAGATTTCTTAGTTCGATTAATTCATTAGCTTCTTTAGCTAAATTAGCTTGTTCTTCTTTATCATCAGTTTCTCCTGCAATCTTTTCTGCATCATTTACTCCTACTTGATCTGCTTCATCAAATAATTGATGGAATAAAAACTCTTTGGCCCACGTTATACAATGAACAGGTGAAGAAGGGGTTGATCTGATAGTACAAACTGGATATGTTTTAGGAGTTTCTTTAGCTTGACAATCAAAGCATTCACTATAATAAGGAAAGATAGGTTGAATTTGTCCTTCAAATCCGGTAGTTCCACTTTCCATTAATGGTTTTTTTAAGAATAAACACATCTTATTTACATGACGTCTTGCTTCAAGATTATCTAATGCATTAAATATATAATCAAATTGATTCCACCAATGAATTGGAAATTGTTTACTATCCATAATATTACCATGATGAGGAATTAATTTTGTATTAAGATAATTAAATGATTGAACTGCATTAGCAACTGTTAATGATTTTGATTTATCTATATCTGTTCTTCTAAATAAAAATTGTCTATTTAAATTTGAAAGTGTTATAGTATCTAAATCTACTATATGAATTTGTCCGTATCCAGTTAATACTAAATCTTTTAATAATTCACACCCAATTCCTCCTGCTCCTACCATTAAAACTTTGGAATTCCTAACTCTTTCATACTGATCTCCTCCTAAGATCTTTTTTAAATATGTATCTTTTGCCATGGCTAGTTATTCTATAGGATTGATCATATATATATAGAAGCTTAGGGGAGATTTTTCAATATCGTTATATAGGGACGACATTATGGAGAGCTGCGACATTATGCATGAGTACCATATAGACATTTCTGTTTTCTACTACAATTTCAATTCAATTAATATGATATTTAATAGTATACATTAAAGCTAATTCTTAAAATTATACAAGTTTTATACGCTTGTGAATAAAGTCCATACCCCCTTTAAGTATCCAACGATTTCATCACCCCCTAATTTGGATTCACCATATAATCTATCAACAAAACTAATTGGAACTTCACCAATTCTAAATCCTAAAGATCTTGCTCTAACCATCATTTCCATTTGGAAAACATAACCCTTTGATTTTGTTTCATCAATAATTTTGGCTAATACATCCTTTTTATATAATCTAAATGAACCAGTTAAATCAGAAACATTTGGTCTTAATACTGTGGCAGCTAAAAAGTTAGCACCTCTAGAAACTAATTTTCTCTTTAAATCCCAACCAAATACTCCTCCATCACCTGCATATCTTGTTCCAGTTACAATATCAAAATCTTGAGATTTTTGTTTGGCAATAAATTCGGGAATTGCTTCAGGATGATGAGAGAAATCGGCATCCATAATAATTACAAAATTACCAGTAACAAATTGTAATCCATGAACATAAGCTGTACCTAAACCTAATTTCCCAGCTCTTGCTCTTAATTGAATATGATCTTTACCAAAAATATCAATTAATTTCTTAGCTACATCTTGAGTTCCATCAGGTGAAGCATCATCAACAATAATTACTTCCCAATTAATCTTATGTTGTTCAAAGGTTTTAGACAATAAATATATGAGAATTGGTAAGTTTCTCCTCTCATTATATGTGGGCAATATAATAGAATATTTGTCGGTAGTCATTTTGCTTGTGAATAACTTATTTAGTATAATATATTGAAATTTCAATTTCAATTACAATTCTTGATAAATTGTTTTGGTGGGTACGTGTCGTAAACTGATGTGACTGCATATACCACACGATAAATTTATATTGGTGCGCATAGTGTCATAGTGCTAATATCACTATAGTCTTAACTATCACCTATATGATTACATTTTATTAGATTTTACACTATATAATAGTTAGATTAACATATACCGTTGCTGTGAAATAGCAATAGAAAACAAATTAAGAAAATTAACATAACATAAATAATCGTAAAATGTTAAGACAGTAGACCTTTCCTTCCTTCCTTTCTTTCTCTCTCTCTTTTTAAAAGCAATTCTCTCTCTCCCCTATTTTTATAAACAGACTCCCCACACTCTTAGCAGTCGTATGACTATCAATTATTAGTAACAAAGTGAACACTTAACAAAAACTCTTAACAAAAACAAAAACAAAAACAAATACAAATACAAATTATATATACAAAAATTGAATGAATGTCCGAGACATAATGACTAAAACAATGGCAATGACATTAATATGACTGATCGTCCGAAAGAAATGAATTAGTGATTTAAACTTAATGAATTTACTTGACTGGTTAACACGTTGAAAGCCGCATTGGTGTTCTTATTACCAGCAGCATTAGGATTGGAATCCAATGGAAGAGAATTTGAGGTGGCCGGGTTTTGCTTGTTGTAGTTTAAGTATTGGCCCTGCTGTTGTTGGTTATTATGTTGGTGTTGCTGATGTTGTTGTTGGTGGTGCTGTTGTTGTTGATGTTGATGATGTTGTTGTTGATGATATTGATTAGAAGCATATCCTGTGGTAGGATATAATCCAGGTGAATTATTTACGGAGTTAGAATATTTGTTCAAATTTTGGAGATAAGATTGTTGTTGTAAAGGTTGTGGAGTACCATTACCACTCCCCCTCAAACTCGAACTTCCGTTATAATTAGATTGGTGTTGTTGATAATGTTGTTGTCCAAGAATAGACTTTCCACCGGAATTATTACTACTAGTGGAGTATTGCGTGCTAGTGGTTGAACCCAAAGAATTGTTTCTTGATTGTTGTCTAGGTGGTTGTTGCAAGTATTGCCCAGCATGATGAGGTTGAGGTTGTTGTAAACTACTCAAGAGTCCATTACTTAAATTTAAAGGTTGACCACTGGCAGTAGCAGCAGCAATAGCAGCAGCAGTTGAATTAACTGAGTGAATGTTATTGGCAGATGCGGCTGCGGCAGCAGCTGCTGCAGCTGCAGAAGAAGCATTACCTGCATTATTATTATTCTGTAAACTAGCAGGCTTATTGGCTCCACATTTCAAACAGCATAAGTTTTTGGCAAAGTTATGGTATGTACAGTATTCACACTTCCAATCACCGGCTCTGAAAGGAACGTTATTGCTATTGTAATGCATACGATTGTGATTATTGTTATTATTAAGATTACCGTTATTGTTGGAGGAACCATTATTGTTATTATTATTGTTATTATTGTAGTTCAAATTGTTATGGTAATTCTGTTGTTGTTGTTGCTGTTGTTGTGGTTGTTGTTGATGTTGCTGTTGTGATTGGCTATGATCGGGAAGATGTCCATTTGAGCCATTATAGACGTTAAGATTTGAATTATAAGAATTTATATTGTTATTGATCGAATTAGAATTATTATTCGAGTTAGAAAGTATAGCAGCAGCGTTAATAACTGCTGAATTCATGGCAATTTTATCGGTAGAACCATTACGACGACTACTTGATGGAGTTAAATTTCCACCTGAATTATTACTATTTTGAGCAGGATTCGAATATATTGATTCTTGAATAGCAACTGCTGATGAAGCAGGAAATGAACATCTGAAACAATGAGTTCTTCTTTGAAAGTTGGAAAATCCACATGATGGACAAGTCCAATCACCTGGTCTTGGTCTATTTTTTGAAGGTGGGAAAGGAGTTAAGAGATCACTGGCTTTATCTAATACTTTAGTTGAAGAAGGTTGAACTTCAATTGGTCTATCATTGAAAACTTTCCCATTCATAGAAAGTGATTCTGTAGCTTCTTCATGAGTAGAAAAAACTGCAAATCCAGAAATACCATTGGATTTTGGTTTGGAAGACTCTAAATTTTTAATAGTCCAAAATGCTATTGGTCTACCTCCATATTGAGTAAACCAGGATTCCAATTCTGATTGAGTAGTATCATTAGAAAGATTAGATAAATATAAGATTTTGGAACGTTCCGAAAGAAAAATCTTAATATCTTGTTCAAAGTCATAAGGTTTGGTTAATACATTAGGATATTCTTCAATAGGTAACGATTTTTTGATTAACTGAGTCAATATCTTTGCGTAAATGCTTGTGAGAAGGGCAGATTTGGATGAAGATAAGTTAGAAAGTAATTCAAGTGTTTGGTTGGTTGCACTATCAGAATTGGTTTCAGTGGTGGGAGAGGTATTATTATTGGCAGTTGAGTTTAATTCTTCAATTTCAGCCTGACTTATATCCACTTGTAAGGCCGTAATAATATTAACCAAAGAAGAACTAGGATAACTCAAAGATTCAGGATGAGATACTTGCCATTTTGAATATTCTGCATTCAAATCAAATACTTTAGGCATTTGGAGATATGAAGGTAATACAATAGATTTATCTCTTGCTTCTCTTGGTAATTGAATTTTAAACGATTTCAAATCCATAGTTACAAATATAAATGATTTATTATTATTAATTAAATTTACTTGAACATACTCATCAAAAGTTTGGATTGCATCTTTAAAAGTTCCCGCATTTCTAACATGTTCCCAAGTTAATTTATGTAATTGTGAACAATATGGAGTTATGGGAGTATTGACTGGTCTTACTAAAATTGAATTTTTATGCAATAGTTCTGTGGTTGAGGCATCAACGGTTGACCAAGAGAATTCTATTATCTCAGTAGAATCCTTAGTGACATAAGTATTGGATTCGTCACAAGTCGTAGCGATATTAACTACAATATAAACATCAGTCATGTTAAATATTAGTAGTTTTTTAAACAAAAGAATGGCACTTCAAGTGAAGTAGAAAAGTAGGAAATAGACAAAAAAGTTGAGTCACCACAAATTATGATATGAAAAGTTATGGCTGGCCTTACCCCAGTAGTTGAACAGTATAGATCGATAGTCACTAGGATGAAAGTGAAGTCGACTAATGTGAATAAGGTGAAGGGTTCTAGAATAGGTGGTTGGTTTCGGTATTGTTACAAGCGAGTAGCTTCTCTTCCACTGCGTTACTTTGTTTTCGGCGAATGTCCTTAACTATCCATATCAGGAAGTAAGTTTTTCTTCCTTATAGGTTTTTTTTCACTTGTCGTCGAGTGGGTCAAAAAAAAAATATGTATGAAAAAAGGAAAGAAATAAAAAAATAATTAGATGTAAAAATTAGCACAATAAATAATAGTAAGAGAATAAAAAAATAAAAGTCAAAACAGTAAGAAAATAATAAAGCCTAAACTATGAAAATATTAGTGAGAAATTATTAGTGAGGATTTTTACTAAGGTTTTAGGGAGAATTGATTTTCTGCATCCCTATACGATCGTTAAAACCTTTGAAACACCCAATAAACCACTCTAAAGTACTGGAGTATCTTGCGTCTTTCCCGTAATGTAAGCACTTATGTAAATTCTCTTAGTTCTGTCTGCTATAAGGCAAGTGTTACATCGTAGACGAGAAACTGTAGCGCGTCATGTACACAAACAAATGTTCTGCTAGAGTCACTAAATCATGGATAACGTCAACTATAATCTACGCACCACAGACTTATCGTACAACTATTCTCAATACAGTTAGACCTTTTCTTGAAGGTGTACTGTATCTGACTTGTTGTGACTCGTCTACTTTATTGTCATTTGTTTAAGTAACTTTGAACTTTTGCAGTAATTACTCATCTCAATTTTAGGTTGCGTTCCAGAATAAAGTCATTTGCGCATTTCAGGGTATCTTCGAATATCTCACCACTTACACACTTTAGCACATCATCACAAATCCTCTAATTGATACAAGTTAGTCAGTTACCAGTCATGTCATTTTCATCACTCGATGAATACGATGATGATCCATTGAATAAGATGAGAGGTCAACAACGAGTGTTTACAACTCAATTGACCATTTGTCTATTCATAGGGATCTCATCCTTCTTCCTATTCTGTATCCTAAGACATAGATGGCCTCATATCTATGCTGTCAGAACATTAAGAAAATCTTATAATAGTCCTCCTATAAAACCTTTACCTAAGAGTTATTTTGGTTGGTTACTAGTCATTTTCTCCATCACTGATGAAGAATTATTAAATTATTCAGGATTGGATGCCTACGTATATCTTGAATTCTTTAGAATGGGAATCACCATATTTCTGATCTTATCGGTATTGGCCATTGGTATTCTTAGTCCAATTCGTTATTACTTCACAGGAAATTATGATAAAGATGATATTAGTTGGATTTTAATTCGTTCACTAGCGCATTACACAAGATTTGATGATGAACCAGGAGTACCACCTGATTTTAGTGATGATTTCCCTCAATTCATGTGGGTATATCCTATATTCACTTATTTATTTTCTTTCATCATTTATTATTATTTATATAATTATACTACGAAAGTATTAAGAGTTAGGCAAAAGTATTTAGCATCTCAAAATTCAATTACTGATAGAACTATACGATTAGATGGTATCCCAAAGAAATTATTATCTGCTGATAAATTAAAACAGTTTGTTGAAAATTTACAAATAGGGAAAGTATCAGACATAAAGTTGCTTTATGATTGGACTCCTTTAGAGAAGTTATTTGAAAGAAGAGAAAAGATTATATCCTCATTAGAAAGGTATTATTCAACAAAGTATAATTTAACTATTGATATTTATAATCAAGATAAAATACCTTCTGTTTTACCTGATCTTGAAAATATCAAGGAGAACGTAGATACTATCAAGATTGATAAACAAATCAAAATCTTATCTCAAGAATTAATTCAAGTCGATAACTCTATTAAAAAACTTCAGCATAATCAAGATGATCCTTCGTTTAAAAGAATTAATAGCGCTTTTATTACAATGGAATCAGTTGCATCTGCTCAAATGGCTTCACAAACATTACTTGATCCTCGAGTGTATAAGTTAATGGTCAGTCTAGCTCCAGCTCCAAAAGATATACAATGGAATAATTTTAGATTAACCAATTTTCAAAGAATTCTTACATCATATTCCGTTACCATAATTATAATTCTAAGTTATGCTTTCATTATATTTTTGGTTGTTCCATTAGCTTCATTATTAGAAATTAAAACAATCACTAAATTTTGGCCTGCATTAGGTAAGTTAATTAGTACTTCCAAATGGTTAACCACATTTGTCACCGGTATTTTACCACCATTATTGTTTTCGGCATTAAGTGTCCTGACTCCTTTCTTTTATAAATATTTATCTCAAAACCAAGGATATTTTTCAAATAGTGAAATCGAATTGTCGACGCTTTCGAAGAATTTTTTTTATAATTTCTTCGTATTATTTCTTGTCTTCGTCATTACCGGAACTATTTGGGATTATTTGTCCTACATAAGTGACACAACAAAAATTGCATATAAACTTGCATCATCGTTAAAGAACAAATCATTGTTTTATGTGGATTTGATCTTATTGCAGGGGTTGGCTATGTTCCCCGTAAAGTTATTACAAATTAGTGATTTTGTAGTCTTGAATGTCATTGGGAAATTATTTTTAATCAAAAATATGTTTTTGAGAACCCCAAGAGACTACAGAGCTTATTATTTCACACCGCAAATTTTTGATTTTGGAATTCACTTACCACAACATATCTTAATATTTATTATTATCCTCATTTATTCAGTATTGTCAACAAAAATAGTTACCAGTGGTTTAGTTTATTTTATTTTAGGTTACTTTGTTTACAAATATCAATTGGTTTATAATTTTGTTCATCCACCTCATTCAACTGGTAAAGTATGGCCTATGATATTTAGAAGAATTTTATTGGGGCTAATTATTTTTCAATTGTTTATGTGCGGGACTATGGCCCTCGAAAGTGCAATTTTATTATCTGCATTATGCGCTCCATTAATTATTGTTACTGGACTAGTTTTATGGAACTTTGAAAAGTATTATGTTCCATTAAGCACATTTATTGCTCTTAGAGCAATTCAGAACCCCTTTAACTTTGATAAAGAATTTGACGATGAAAGATCATCCCTGCTGGAACAACCGAGTAGAAGTGAGACGCCTCAAGAATATGACACAGATGATTCGATTGACGATGAAAATGCAAATCCTCAATCTCCTGGTAATGTATCTGTAACATTGGATGAATCGTCTTTCTTATTAAGTGGTGATCATTCCATTTATAATCAGAATTCTGCCCTAACGAGACGAAGATCAACTATTGATGAGGAAAGGGAAAAATCTTCTGATTACACATATCCATATTTACTTGACCCTTTACATGGACCATGGGTAGGGTTTGAAGGTGATATTATTTCCATGGTCACGTATAATCATTATAATTTATCTGATCTAAATCTTGAAGACGGTGATTTTTCGATAATATCACAAAGAGAAGAAGAAACTATAATCCGAAAACGTTTACGCGTCAATGAGTGGGAATGAATGTATAGATGATATAGTTAATGAAAAGTTAGAATTAAGAAGATTCAGTAGAATATGAGACGATTCTTTAGACGGATTTTTGCAGTACATTTTTTGTCTCGTCTATTCGCCGCGGTTCGGTTAATTTTTTTCTAAGCTGCGAATATCTCGGCTAAGTTTCATACATAAGCCTCTGCAGCTGCTGTTGGCTGCAATATGGCAGCTCAACTTTCTTATAAAAATTTTTATTAATCAGATATTATATTAAATTTAGAATAGTATTTATTGATAAATCGTTTTATACACCAAAGAAAAATATATCGAATGTACGGAATGAAAAATAAAGCAAAAATCACGATGAGAAAAGTTTTAAAAGTAAAGAAATAAATAGAATATATGAGTTGAAATGAGGAAATGAATAGATCGTGGTTTCGAGTCGGTTTCATTCAAGAATTAAAATTATGTATATATAAGAGTGAAAAACAATTATTTTTGACTTAATCGATTTTTTTTTGATTTTGATTTTGATTTTGATTTTGATTTTGATTTTGATTTGAATTTGAATTTGATATATCGAAGCAGATCCTATGGGTGATATTTTTCATACAAAAAAACTAACTACGAGAAGTAATTAACTTTTGGTAAGTATGACTGCTCGGGTTGAACTCTCTGGAATTGATCGTTGAAGTCAGACTTTATTTTATTCTTTTGGTGTTTGAATGCAGCTTGGTTTTGCTTTCTAACTGTGGATAACTCCTCCAATTTTTCCTTCCTTAGTTGTTTATCTGTTACATAATCAGGTTTGTCCTTACTATAATCACAATGAATACCAAATTTCAAACAACTACTACAGTTTGGTCTGACTTCATCACACTTAAGATGCTTGATACGACAAATCCAGCAACCATTCTTTGATCTCGGCAACAATCTTCTTCTAGTATATTTTTTGGGTTTGGCCTCTGCATCATTTTGATCTTCACTGCTTAGACTATTGACACTTTCCTTACTTGAATTTTTTGACTTATCCTTCATTATAAGTGAATCTTTCAGAACCATTCTTTTAATATGTTTCTTTGATTTCTTTAAAGAGATTTCATTCAAGTTGGGGTATGTTTTACGTCTTGGGGTATTTGTTGCAGTAGAAAGTGACGATGCATTAACACTTGAAGTATCTGAATTTCTTACAATTGATGAAGTTGTAGAAGAATCTGAATTATGACGGAATAAATTCATTGGTGGATATGCACTATTGGACGACGTCGTAGATGAATTTGATTGGTTTGAAAAAGAGCGTAAAGATGGATTACTTATATTGATATCTAAGCCTCTATACTTATTTGTTAAAGGTGATATCTTGGGTGATGATTCTTTCATTGGAGTACTAGTGGAAAGGTTTGATGCAGAGCCGGCTAGATGGGTGTGAATTATTAGATTCTTCTTGCTATTAATAGATGAATTAATTCTTGATAATGATGGTTTCTTGGATACCTTATGAAAAGAATTATTTGTAGAGTTATTTGAATAATGAGGAGTTTGAATTCTTAAACCATGATCTTCAAATGTTCCCAGAGGTGGATAATTTGGGTTGGCTGCAACTGTAGAGTTTGGCGTGAAACTCGAATCTGAAAATGTTGGTGTATAAACATCACTAAGTGTAGGCGTATAAGGGAATTGAGATAATTCTGCAGATGGTGGTTGATTTGAATATGTCATATTGTTTGTATCATTAAAACTACCAAGAACGTTGCTATTGTTCATCACATGAGTATTATTTGTTAAATTATTTGAATTCGAATTAAGTGTTGTATTGTTATTGCTGTAGATTATTGAATCAGGTATGGAATCAAATGAAGGATTGCCAACATCAAATTCTGTCAAATTATACATTAGCTCAGCAGAAGTATTATCTGGAACTGTAGGCTCTAGTAAATCGGAAGAAGATTCAATTTGTAACTTGAATATAGAATTTCCACCAATATTAATATTATTATTCATGAGTTTGTTATGGTTGCTATGTAATGGCAAGGATTGCAGGGAATTAATCATATTTACATGAGAAAAGAATGAATAATTTGTCGTGTTTGTCTGTAGTTCTTCTTCATCGTGGAGTAAGATATGGCTCGAAGTATCACTAGTAGCGACACTTGGATAGTATTTGGTTGTATTGTTGTTGGCCAAAGAAGTTCCACTAGTTGGTGAATATCCATAGGAAGAATTGGAGTTATTCAGGTAAGAGGGACTAGCAGTACTTTTGTTTATTGAAATAGGGGGTGGAGGTAAAGGATTAAACTGTCCAAGATTTTCAAATTGATATAGGTCTTGATCATTGACATCAAGCTGGGAGAAATGATTATTCGAAGACAACTGTTGCTGTTGATTTTGGTTGGTATGCTGATGTTGAAGAATAGTCAGCAGTTGTTGTTGTTGTTGGTTAAGATATTGATGTTGTAGCTGTTGTTGAGCCAGTTGTTGATGCAAATCTAGTTGACTATTTTGAGGAAATAAATGTTGTTGGCTCTTTACAGGAATTTGTTCAAATTTTTGATTTGGAACTATTGGGGAAGAAGTAATCATGGAGCTATTCAATCTTATAGTATCTTCGTTATCGAACGTTGCAGAACTTGGTGTATCTGTAGAAGTTCTAACGGTATACATTATCTTTGTTTGACTTTATGATACCAATACTTGTTTGAATTGGGAAATAATTTTTTAACTTTGGAATGAACCTTAGAAATCAAACTCAAAAACAAACAAAGAAAGTATAAAAGAAAATAAAAATTAAAATAAAATAGATCTAATGATTTATTGATTTCCTAAATTGAACAATAAATTCTTACTATGGAATGATTATTAAATAAAGTAGTTTGAATAGTTTGATCTGTGTATCATATATAGGCAGGTGTTATTAATGGAGTTGTCAAATTTGTGATCCTGGTACTTTGTTACAACTATATCTTTTTTTAACAACTAGAACAATCAATATATTTATTTTTGTGGGGATCAGGACCAAACGAGCTGTAAGCTTTAAAAAATATGTGAGAAAAACAAAAAAAAAATACGTTTAGCGATCTCGCGAGTATGCCGGAACTTAAAATTTATTGGGTGATAACAAAGCAATAAAAATATGACCACGAAGCAAAATGAATAATGAGATGAATTGGATAATCAGTTAAATTATTATGAAACAACTTATTTCCAGTATATACCAGTGGAAAGACCAGAGTGTTTTCTTTGCTCTCACCTTATCAAGATTGGTGCCTTAAAATTATGTGCCAAAACCACAAAATTGGTACACAAAAAGTACTAATAATGGATAAAAAAATACAGCCGCAAAAAAAGTATTTTGGCCTACTATAATATAAATTATTTTGTTGTCTTGATTAGGTAATCCGAAACGTAAAAAAATTGAATTTTTCAAAGCCAGCTAATAATAGGGTTTAACTTGGGGCCCAGGGAAGGAAAGCTGAAGTTTGAAACTTCTTTGTTAAGAATGAAAAATATGGAAAATAACTAATTGGATATAAATGAAAGACTAAAGTAGTTTATTGGTCTTCAATTAATGAATATGTAATGAATGTGTTTCCATATATTGTGAAGAAGTGAATGACAATATGGATTAAATTGATTCGTGTCTAAAAGGCACTGCTTTAGAATGGCCTAATAAACACAACTGTGCGTACCAATGGAATTGACTCTTTAATTGATAATATAAAGAGTGTTTGTAAATTTGATGGAAGTGATAATTGCTCTTGGTCTATCTCGCAATGTAAGAATGATAGATCTAAATGAGAAATGAAACAAGTTAATCCGAATAATCAATGGGAAAGTATTTTAGTATGAAAGAATGAACTCCAATGATTAGCCCAGTTGACTTTGACTTTGACTTTAAGGTAATAAAACTCGAATCTCTATTTACCTCTAACACTAAAAGAATACCCACGCCCAAAGTGGTATTAAAGCTCTCTAGATGGTAAATAGGAAAAGGCCGATCTATTAATCGTTGAGTATCGTTAAGGTAATCTGCACCTTAAGATTAAACTAAAGAGAAAGTGAAGAATTGAAATTGATTTGGAAATTAAAGAAAACTAAATGGTATTCAACGAAAGAAAAGGTGATACCCAATTGTAAAAATAATATTCTTCCTTCTTTCCCACCCACTTTACAAGTCAAACGATATACAGGGAATACAATTCCCAATCCACAATATATTGATAATATAAAAATAATATAATACTTTCAAAGAGGTACAAAAATTTGAAAAACTCAAAATTGAGAAAAAAAAATATTTAAATAAAAAAAATAAATATAATAATAAGACTAAAAAAGAAATTCTAATAGGAGATTATGTAGGCGGAAAATATTTTGAAAAATTTTCCCCCATTGTAATCATACAATTACAACAAATTACTATATCAATATATTTAGAAAAATAGGAGCATTCATGGAGAATATTTTGGATGATATTTGAAGATTATCCCAACTCTTTCTCTCTTGTTCATATAGTATAGTTTTGTAATCGCCTCTACTAAGTAATTTTGAGCATATGGTTAAGTGTTTGGATTAGTTTTATTCCCACTAACTTTTATTTATTCATACAAGTATGGTTCTTCCACATGAGGACCTCTTAACTGGTTACAAACATTAGCTTCTGTACTAATAAAAGGATTATACTTGATTAGGGTACAGGTGTATAATAAATTACGAAGTTAAAATTAAAAAAAAAAAAAAAGTCAATTAAAAAAAAAAACCTAAACGATAATGTATGGCATTTATCTAAAAGATGAAGCCAAGCAGGGAAATGATTATTATTCACTAAACTAAATAACATATGCAAATTTGAGCCCATAAGTTATGAAAGCAGAATTGCAAGCACACAAAGAGAGACAATATCCTATCTCACAAAAGGAAAACTGGTAAAAACAAAAAAATTAAATGTTATCTAACTGAATTGGAAAACCATTATTTTCCATGTTGATTACTTCTTTGTATGTTTAGAGAGAAAGAGAACAATTTCATTATCCGACATTTAACATAATAATGCGCATACTTATTGTTCAGAGAGATGTAATGGTATTATCAATTCCTGCTCTTTTTCCGGTAATGGGTAGCAAAGATTTTACTACTGGAATGTAAATATAACATATGGTTGTTGAATGCATATAATAATGACAGTAGATAATTTACTTAATTTACCAAGCAAAAATGATCAAGCGAGCAAATGATTGTAAAAGTAAAGCTCTGTATAATGCTTTCAAGCGACAATTGCAAAAATCATGGCCTGCATGGTTTGTTCAATTCATTAATTAAATTAATGAAACGGTTTTAATAGTGTTAAAGATAGATTCCTATTAGTGTTCCAGTGCAGCAATTTTTTCTTGGAAATCAGGGGATTAGTGCACCAAAGTAATATTAGGGGTTTATTCCCCGACTTGCCTAATGGAAAATTTTAGGTTTTAGCTTCGGTCTTCCAGTTAACACTTATGAAACGATTAATATTGAACAAACCCGCTGTAAAATATTTTATTTCTTGCGACATCACTAATTTGTTCCCTGGAAAATTCATGGGCAGATATTATTGATTTGGACATTTAATGTGGACCCTATTGAAATTTAAATAATTCCAATTATGGCAATATTTTTGAAAAGCTTAACCATTTTTGCAGCGGTGTTGTCTTCAAAACACATAAACAAAATGCCTTTCTTAACGATTGACAAAACCTATAAGCATATATTTTATTATGTATTGTCTTATTCGAACTCTAAGTTGCACGATTAATCTCGTAATTAAAATATCATCCACTTATATGGCTCTTATCACTAGGCTAAATAAATTATCGGTATCAATTACTATGATTAGATAAGTACCGCTAAAATTTTATTGGGTATGCGAAGTGTTGATGCTTTTGGGCAAGTTTGTTTGTTTAGTGTTAGCAAGTGATGTGCAGCTTGGCCGGAAAAGCTGCTTGATTTACCCCTGGCGTCTTGAAATCAGATTTAGAAAAATCTTTACTTCAAGGCAATGGGACATTAAAAGAAATCTCGCTTCATAGGTTTTAATACAGAACAATTGATTTCTATGGTTAAATTAATTATGTCCCTGTTATATGTTAGATTTCATCTTTTCAATTGATCCAGGCGTGAAAAATGGTATACTTTGAAGAGCCAAATATCAGACAACGCCTGTTTCTCTGCAACTTTTAGCGATCTGCAATTATAGTTGGCCAAAAAAAAAGATTACAAGCGTAAAATAATATTACTAAAACAAAAAATAAAACAATTGACGGTTTAAAGAAAATTCAAAACCGTTGGCTTGGCTCGCCGAATAAAATTTACTCTACTGGCACGACTTACCTGAATAAAACTTATGGAATTACAATACTATTATTGTAAAAAGGGACAATCCTGTAATTAGATTTATAACTAGCATAAGTCTTCGTAATTAAACATAAAACAGCAAGAATAGTCGCAGTCAATGCTGCCTATGCATTGCTTGTCTTCTCATTTTTAAAAAAGTAAACATTAACTCATCTATATTCTTAATGAGGAGATGCAAAATTTTTCCTTTAGGATATACCGCCATTCGTTATTATTTGCCTTAGAAATGAATATGAACGGCATGCTGTTTGAGAATTCTCCGTCTTTGGAAAATACTCATTAAATCGCCTTAATTACCTTGGAACACAAGAGCTGCAATTAAAGTTATAAACAACCTACTTCTTGGTAGGGCATTATTTATTCTCAATAGTGCTTTCTGACAAACATCAGTGGGTAACCTTTCAACATCGATTTGCTAGAGTCATGGTCAAGTGTTTTTATTCCTCGGATTATTCACGCATTTATCTTTTGACGATACTTAAGTATGCATTGATAGTTGCATAAAATTCTCGATCATGTACTGTTTGGAGGCAAAATAATAATAAGACTCTTACATAGACCAAACTCATTTTCAATTGCGTTAATAAATTATTGCGTTCTCCTACAATTGGTTTTAGGTTTTCACTAGTTCTTTGGTTGTTGCAACCTCTTATTAATTAGTCCAAACTAGGACTGCAAGAAGACGTTTTTTTCTTGTTCGGTGTAATTACTGACGATTCCTTTCCCACAATTTTTGCCCCTATTCTGTTTTGTGAGATGAAAGTGGAAAACCCGCTTCATTGTTTCTATTGTTCCTTTTATAACCGTTTTATTGTTAATTATATAATGTTTTTTTATGTATTTTCATTTATACAACGAGGACTAGATATACAATGGCAAGCCAGCTGATTAAAGGTCTTTATAATGGCTTATTTATAAAGACTCAATTGACTCAATAGGCTAAATTACAAGATTGGCCATTTACGGAAACATCGAAACAATAAAGAAAACACTGCGATAGATTGCAAAGAAATTTAATAAGCATTTTTAAAGTTTGATAATTTCAACGATATTTAAATTCTTGTGGTATAGATTAAATTGGAATGAGAAAAATTGGTTTCCAAATAATTGTCTCCAAAAGATTCAAATTGAGGAAACTTAAATTAATACCGAGGAGGTTTAGTACTTGGTTTACAAAGTTATTCAATTTTACAACCTATAAGGGTAATTTTTCTCAAAGACAATATTGGAGTAATTTTATTGTTATGTAAGAATTGAAAAATTACTACTATTCTTAGTTATTTTTATATCAAAATATTGAAGTAAATCTTCCATTTAAGAAATATAGAAGCTTAAATTTATTTTATTAGATTGGAGGGGTCGTGTGCTTTGGCTATACGTAAAAATAAAGGCAAAAGAGTGCGTTCGAAGTATTTCCGATCACGTGTTCACTCATCAAGAAAATTTTTCCATATTCTACATTAAAAAAATTATAGCCATTACAGTTCCTTGTATGTTTGGTCTTCTTTTCTTTTTCTGATTCTTTAACATATTTACTTACTTCCGGAATACCAGCGAGACTAATATACCTCTATTTATTCTATCGCAAAAATGGCTGGAAGGAGATTAGACTAGCAAGTAGTACACCATCATTTATATAATCCAGATTTCTTAGGTTAAACTACATGTTTTTCAATTTGGATATTTGGTTCGCGTGATGGGCACAAGCAATGTAATAAAAAAAAGTTGGAATATACTTTCTTGGTATAAAAAGTAACTAATTAGTTAGTACATTTACTGTCTACGGTAACTCTTACCAATCAGGATCAAGCACTTGAGTATTTCAACGCCTTATGCGGAATACTCTATAGGCATCTAGAACCCCTATTGGTATACAACATTTCATTTTCAATAAGAATGTATAGTAGTATTATTGCCTCTAGAGATAAGCTCTTTGCCACTCCAATGGATGTACATATGTTTAGCATTGATAATGTCCGTTTTTAAAGGGAATGTTAAATGTACATTCCTAGTTGAGATTGATATTTTCAACGTGCTTAACTTCGTAAAATTTACAGTGACCCATAAATTACTTGCAGCAGATATTAAATAACTTTTTTAATAAATAAGTTAAATAAGTTTCTTAATATTGTAATTAAAAAGTATAAATCGCATAAAGAATTCAATGAATGAATTAACCACCAATCACATCATATATTTATAGTTATACCTTTGAAATCTAAAAGTCGTAAGACTTTAAAAGGAAAAAATGAGTAAAATAGTTGTCATGTTTGTCTTGTCCTGTCGTGTCGCGTCAAACCTAACGACGCGTAATTATTTTGTGAAACAATGAAACAAATATAATAAAGATTAAATTTCAGGGCGAATATTTAAGGGTAATTTCCTAATATGCTATTGCCGTAGTGAATGGGTCTTATTTTAAATTTATTGTGGTGCCTTAAGGCTACAGCCTTATGAAACAGCCCTTTCATAAAGTTTTATTTATTTATTTATTTGTTTGTTTTATTTCGTCTTTACTCTTCGTATTTTTGTAGTATATCATAACTCGTTAACTTCACTAATCGTATTATACATACATTCTTACTTAAACCAATAATGGCTAAATCGAAAATTATTGGTCCCATCATAGGACATCCGCATCTCCTAGGAGATGTAAGAAATTTGAAAATCTCTGGACCTCAACCACAACATACAATTACTTCATCAATAACAGCAAATATCATTTTAGTGGCTAAATACTCTTTCCAAGAAGAAAATAGTAATGAATTATCAATTAAAAAAGGTGATATTTTAAAACTCATAAACAGATGTGGAGATGGCTGGTTATTAGTTAAGTTTGTCGATAAACTTGTCGATCCTGGCTTAATACCTGCATTGTATGTTGATATTGCCGTTAACGATCCAATAAATCCAATTACTTTAAATTGGTTACATTCAACAGACGAAGATTACAATCATAGTACTAAATTAATTGAAGATTTTCATTATCTTCAATTTCAATTAAAGGCAGATTCAAATTCTAAACCATTAAGTATTAATAATAAGGCTTATCCTATTGCAGCTTCAATTTCAAACTTTCTGTTATTCAAAGATAGATATTGGTATAGAATTGATGTAGAATATTCTGATCATTCGAAAACTCATATTGGTAGATATTATCAAGACTTTTATCAATTACATATTAATTTAAAGAACCTATTTGATTTGAATGTTAATAATGATAAGTCTATTGATATTGAATCCTTGAAATTACCAAAGTTACCTGAACCGATGTCAAGCTATGAAGAAGAACATGATGAAGCATCTATTACATTATTATTAAAGCGTTGTAATGATTTACATTTATATGTGAACAAATTAATTCTTAATAATTATTATCAAACTTCATTTGTTTTAATTGATTGGCTAGATTTAGCAAATGATAAAGAAGGGCTCAAAGGTTTTAAAAATGACCCTATCATTGATAATCTTAGTAATGATCAAATTAATGAGAAGATTCTTCCGGGTTCAATTAATGTTGTTAAGCAATATTATGATAGAAAGTTGCATGAGCAAGTCTTTGATGAAAATAATGAAGGTGATGTTCCAAGAAGAACAAAAACCAAAAACATATATAATCATTATCAACAAGCAAAGGATTTCACAAGAAATGGTAGTATTAATAGAAGTGACTCCATCGGGGTTAATAGAAACAACTCTGTTAGTGTTGGTAGAAATAATTCTACCAGTATTAATATTAGAAAGAATTCTGTCGGTGTTAACAGAAATAATTCTACAGGCATTAATAGAAATAACTCCTCGGGATTTAATAGAACTAACTCTACAGGTATTAACAGAAATAATTCTAATTCATATGATAGAACTAATTCAAGTGAAGAATCCGAGGATAATTCACCAAATTCTAGTTTCAATACCACTGCCCCTTTAAACACAAATATGACTGCAAATACATCTTATGGATCTGGTCGTTCCACATCATCGACTTCACCAGGTAGAAGCCAATTACCTTTTTCTTCTAATGTCCCTCATCCTGTTAGAATCAATGGCGGTCCTCCAAAATTTTCAAATGGTAGTCCAGCATTGAATTATTCACCTTCACTGCAATATTCACCTCAGTTTTCACCTCAATTTTCACCTCAATTTTCTCAGCCATATGCATCAATGTCTCCTCAGATGAATCATCAGAATCCTTATAATAATCATCAATATATTAAATGTAAAATTGTTAATTTCAATGATGAAATTGTTGCAATTCGTTTAAATAAAGCTTCAATTAAATCTATTAATGACATTAAGGTATTAATAAAACAGAAAATCTATTTCACAAAATTATTTATAAAATTACCAAATTCAACTAATTACGAGAATTTAGATAATGCCAATTTTGACATTTATGAGTTTTTAAGGTTCAATGATAAGGTATACCTCAAAATTAGTTGAGTTTCATTATTATTAAGAAATGGGTCTTTGGAGCTCTGGATAGTTCAAAGAAATGCTCTCTTCAATTCACATGTTTGTTCTTACTACTCTGTTTCTACTCAATTGTAATACTTTTATTGTATACTTTTATTGTAATACTTCTATTGTTATATTCACTACTTTCTTTAATAAATATATGTAATATATTAAACATGAATTGATAAAGTCATAGGATAAGGCTATAAATTATTTTCAAGAAATTCAAATGCTATAGATTTAACAATGACAGCACTTTAACTAGCTAAACTAGTAAAAAATAACAGAAATCACTCAAGCTCTGTTATCCATCCCTGAGATCAGAACCCTTTATAATTTCATATCTCAGATTATTTTTTGGTCAACATTATTTAGTCCTTGTTTAAGTTATATTAGTTTTTTTGCAATAAAATAAATTCCGCAAACAAAGTTGGTTTATGATTAAACAGTTATGAAAATATCCCAACACCTACGATTTATCAATATAGTTAGCACAATGAAGTATCACAATATACTGATTCCAGTTCACTCAAGTGTAAGGGGTAGAAATTGAATGGATTTTACTTCTAGAACGCATGAAACATGGCGACTACAGACATTTCAGGGTGCAATTTGAGCCTACGAATATTTTCACGTGAAGTTGTGGTTAAAATTTTACGCCGGTATTTTAAACATGAATTAGTGAAAGCAGGGAATATTTTTCTCACCCAAAATACGAGGCAACTGCCGGCATCATTTTCCACTGCATACTAAGAAAATACATGAGTTTCATGAATACATTGGTAACTGAAGTCAAAGTTTCAGGGGAGCATTGAAGCAACTAAAGTAAGGGCTACTTTGTGTCTACGAATGATGTAGGGAATTTAATGTAATGAAACATGTTATTCGAATCGGAAATTACCAATTTAGATTTTGCAATCTGGCAAGTTTTATTTGGGCTCTTGGAGACAAAGTAATATGAAAGAATTATGTGAGTAGCGGTAAAAAGTAAAAAAAAATTGAATATTATTACACTACTTGAAGTGGGGATCAATTTCAGCACGAAAAATTAACTAGTGTGAGATTTACTTGAAGCATGATCTGGCTGTAGACGACTTTAAGATGGTACTTCTCTTAGGCATCATTAGCATCATCTAGTTACGCTTATCATGTGATCCACGCAAGAAAGGTTGTCTATAATAACAGCTATCATCCAATGACCTATTTTTTGTGGGGAAACTTCTAGTGTTTCTTTTTCTTCACCTTTGTCTTTTTAGTTAATTTTGTTTTTCTTACTTCGTGATGCTTCGTTTCGTCGCCTGTAAATTTGCTTCTATTAAGCATACTATAAGTTAAAAATCAATGATACATTTTATTAATTTACTGATGCTACAATACGACATGCATAGACAACATGTTGCAAATAATCTTTATTATGGGGAACTTCTTCTATTAACATTGTCTATGAGCAGAATGTGTAACCAAATGTAAACAAAAGAAAAATTATTTAGATTAAATATTACCGAAGTTTATTTATGCATTTATTATAACCAAACTTACGCTCTCATACATAATACTTTTAAGTAATTCTATTAAGTGTATGGCATTATTAGATGTTGTAGGTTGTTCGGTTGTAACCCTGATGTCGTTGTTAAGCTTTTTTGTAGAGCCGGTGTTTCTACAAGAACACTAGAAAAGAAAAGAAACATGCCTTGTTCTATAATAGAAATTTATTATTGCTTCGTATTATATAGGTTATGTGTGCAATTTCTGAATGCACCCAATTCATCGCATGAGAGATTGGCGAAATGCCTTTGCTTGATGCTGAAAACAAAACCTAAAAGATCAAGCAAGATTTATCAAGTAGGTACAGTATCAAAAAATGGACAACGGATAGTTTACGAAGTAATTAAAGAAAATCCGGTTAACCGCCAAATACTATGTCTTTGACCTATATTTAGTAAATCATTTATTAGATGTAGTATATTGAATAATCAAGGTTAAAAGAATATTGGACAATCTTACATTTTAAACTATTTGTTTACATTTTTGATGAGGCATTATTTTTTAGTACTCAGTCAAGTATATGCATGGTGCGTTTGCATGCCATTTATTAAATAATATTTTTATTTTTTCTTCTTGTTTACACCTCAGCCAACTAATTGTTAAAGTATTAAAGAATTATAACCGATAATTCTCTTTGTTTTGTAACAAAAAATCGAATAATATTAATTAGATTTAAGATATTACAAGCAAAGAACTTTTATTTTAATTATGCAAAGATTAATAAGTATTATTGGAGAACATGGCACTATAAAACATATATAGGACAATTTTCCTCTACAGATGTTTTCATTTTTTGTAGTTCTATTTGTAATTGATTTGACAAGTTTTATTCATATTAACAATATTACTATTTTCTTTATAATTGCAAATCCAAATAGCACTTACTACCATTATTATATAGAGGCATAATTTTATAGATTGAAATATTAGCTAGTGACATAATAGTACCATAGAAGAATGTCGACAAGCTTATTCAGATCCAAACAGCTTAAGAGTAAAAGAAGCTTAAAAAGCTTACTTATTACTGGTCCAATCGGTCCTCAAAGCAAAGAATATCCAACACTATCATCCCAAGATACTTCCAGGACCTATATAGATTATAACTCAGATTATGCAATTGTTGTTTTGATAGCAAAATATAAATTTACTTCAGAAAATCCTCAAGAATTAAGCATAGATGCAAAAGAATACCTCAAATTAATAGACAGATTGGGAAATGGTTGGTTAAAGGTGGCTAAACTTGACAATAAAAATATGATTGGATTAGTGCCAGCTTCATATGTTGATATCGCAGTTAACGATCCTCTCAAGCCTATATCCTTAAAGTGGCTAAATGAATACAAGCAAGGAAGAATAACGGATTTAGATGTCAATGAGGATACTCGTGACTCTAGTGACAACTACAGTCAAAATTCTTTCGAAGGTAGTTCAAGTACATATTCAAATAACGATCCTTTTGATTTTGAACAAGCAAACCCAAAATCTGTTTCTGTTGAAAATGTATTAAAAGACTCTACGGGTAAATTTTGGTACAAATTAAAATTCACCATGTCGAATCAAGATGTTATTCATGTTAAGAAGATCTACCAACATTTCTATCACCTTCATGCTGAGCTTCTCCGGAACTATCCTGATTGCTACTTGCCCAAATTACCTCAACCAAGTAGAAATTCTACCACATCGACCAAATTATCTAGACACGATGTTCAGCATCTCAATAACTTAAAGACCGAACTAGATATTTATATCAGTAAGTTAATAGATGTTCCAACAATTAGATTTTCCAATGAAATGTATGGGTTTATACATGAGGGATTCCGTATGAAAGACGAAGAGAAAGATCACAATCAACTAATGAGTGAAATTATTGATCGATTATCACCAACTTCAAATGGCATCCATGCTTTCTCTACTACAGCTCCATTACCACTTCCAGAATCACATAGGAAAAGTACTGTTGGAAAGATTCAAACAAGAGATGAAAATGCAAATTACAAATATTCTACTTATATTCAACAAAACAAAACTGTGGCTAATTCAACCAGTTCTAATACTTTAGCTAGTTATTCTTCATTAATAGAAAGATACGATGATGATTTATTTCAAAGAATTATATGCAAAGATGAAGGAGAAACAAGCTTTACTGAATCGGAAGATTCTTCTAAAGATGTTTCAATTGATACCCATAATACTTCTCTTGAGGATAATTCTTTGTACAACCGGTCTAGTGGATCGACTCAAAACAGCAGTAACTCGGATGATGAAGGTTACAAGTCCGCTAAGACGGAGTTTATTGATACATTAAAAGATTTGAGTCCAAGGGGATCATCCAAATTTGCAAGTGGCCATTCATCATCGAACTCTGAGAGTGATGTTGATTCCGTTTTTTCCCAAAAGAACAGCGTCCCATCTACACCAAACGTTGCAACTAGTGGATTTTTTGCAACGGATGATTGCATAATAAATATGTGTTCTCCTACGACTCCGGTAACTCCGATAATGGAACATTCTGAGTTAGGAGATCTTCCAACATCGCTGTTATCCAAATTCTCTTACAGAACTAATAGAAGAAGTCGGCCTGCTTCAGAAAGGCTCAAAAATAGGATATCATCATTAGAATCAATAATAAGTGATCCTTCGCAACAAGGTCAATCCGAAACTACTACCAACTTGGGCAATTCTAAATGTAATGCTGGCGATTATATTAAGATTAAAATTTTTTTAAATAATAGAGAAGACGATATTGTGGCGTTGAAAATTAAGAGAAATAATCTAATATCAGTTGTATATTTGAAAAAATTATTATCATATAAAATTTATAATGACTACAACTTGATAAATCATTATAAACTTCAAGCTCATGATATTGCAGATGAGATGGGTGATGAAGAATTGTTACAATATATTAAGACATACAGCAAAATAAGTTTGAACTTAGTCAGAGTCAGAGGTTCTATATAATTCTAAATAGTTTTTTTTCTAATTAGACTTTATTATTAGAGAATAATATTTTATTGAATGATGATGATGGCTTGACACGCAGAATAATATTGAACCAGCCGTTGATGTGCATGTAATAGACATAAACTCCAGCCTGTCAATCCGGCTTAATAATAAAAGAACACAAAGCTGAGGCACTTGTAGTACGGTTCACAGCTTCAATAAGACTTCTTATTTGTCCAAACTTGTGATGTCATCATGAATGGAATGGGAGAAGCAAGTGAACTCTTCTTTGTAAGTTTATTTGTAATCTTATGAAATATTATTTTTTAATATCATTTGCTATTTTACGATGTACATTTATAACAATGATTATGCATTCGGCCTGTTAAATTTTCTTTTGATTGTCTGATTTCCTTTTTCAGACTCTGCATAATCTTTGTACGTAAGGTGCATAAAAAATAAAAGTATAAACAACATGATTTAAACAAGAGCTTTCATATCCATTTCTGGAAGCATCTAGTCATTTTATATGAAAGTTCGTTTTAAGGCGGACGTAAGTCGAGGAAACAGTAATGCTTAAGAGCTCCTAATGTCAATGATTTACAGTAAAAGTTGTGATTATCTGAAATTTTTAATTACTTACTGTCAGGACATTCTCTTAATTCCGAAGAAAGTATGAATAATAAATTATCTTGTGGTGTTCAAAATTTGAAGAACAATTTTCTATATCCGAATTATTATTTTAAGGTAGGATATCGACTGTATTATTTCAGGTGACATTAAACTGTTAAAATATTTTTCTTTCTTTTTTCCAAGAGTTTAAAAGTAAAAAGATTTAGTTCAACTGAATTTGTCGTTCTACTGTTTAAATTGAAATTAAGTATCTATTTCTTGCATTTAGGAATAAATAGACTGTTGTTCCCTTTTGAATTGAGGATTATATTAATGGTAAGCTTGATTTAAACGGTGCACAAAACCTAATACAAAGTTTTAAAAAGCACTATAGAATTTAGTGGTCCGCACTATGGGTAGCTCATCAAGAGTTAGACCAATGAGTCTTTACGTTACCCCTCCATTAGATATCAATTATGACTTTGAAAATGATTCTTCTCCATCGCCACTCTCAGCGGTTTCTTCAGAGCATGAACAATATCTGACTCGGCCATCGTCAACTTTTACCCTGACACCTCCGGTATCTACTGTAACCCACACGCCTCCATCTAGTCCAAAGTCTTCAATTTCAAAACTTGGAATTTTTAGAAGACTTTCTTCTAAATTTTCAACTAAAACCAAAAGTTCAAATTCCTCCATAACTTCTGGTCCCTCATCGACATTTTTACCTATTTCTCCAATAAGTTTGAAAAGCTTTGAACCGCAAGCACAATCATCATCAATACAATCCAGTCCATCTAGGAAGAGATTTTCTCAAGATTTATCTATTTTAAGTCCCAGGTTGGAATTTACTTCTACCCAACAAACACCTCCCAAATCAAGAAGGTCCTCAAAATCAATGGAATTTAAAAAAGAAAAGGAATCTAAGAGGTTTAGCATACATGGAACATCTATTGGTTCAAAGAGATTATTGCCTGCTGCAATAATGGAAAATTCAGAAGAAATGCCAAATAGTACTAGAGAAAGTTATCCTGATAATAATATAACGCGTCTAACACCTAAATCGACTCCTGATAGTAACAACTCTGTTATTGAAAATCATACTAAACTCACACCTACGTCTCAGTCTAAACCTAGGGAGGATATAATTAAATTGAATATTTTCTTTGAGGATTCAAAGTCGGAGAAGAAAGATTTCCTACTTCCAGAAGAATTTGATTATATTGCATTAAAGTTGAGAAAAGACAAATTGAATAACTTGAATGAATTAGTTAATGTAATTATTTATAAACTATTAGCTAAAAAGCATGACTTGAATATTAATGAAGTGAAATTATTAATATTCTTTAAGGACAAAGGATTGAATCCTATAGTCTTAAAACAATCTTCGAAAGAAATTAAGTCACAACATAAGCAATTGCAAAAACCATTCAATTTGAAAAATGATGAACTTCTTCTTGATTACATAAAGCTTAAAAAGAAGCTATACATTATGGCTCAAATATAGAATATAGACTACATATCTTTTGCATTTCACTTCTTTGCAGAATAACCAACCATAGTATAATTCCTGGTGGATTATTCTTATTATAGTTATTCCTTATGTATTAGCATATAATATCAATATCAATATCAATATATGATACCCCCAGTATTGAGTTTTTTGAATCACGTGTACTTCGTGTAAGTAGAATTGGCTACTAGAATTATTTTTATTTCCCTTTTTAAAACCGTGCGTTAGGAAACGTTTTTATATTTTTGAACTATTTGGTGATACCTTATCTGGTCACTGTTTAATAATACTGATCTCTCACCATATATAATGATATAGCCTATCGACTTAAGATATTCTAAACCAACACGTGCTACACATATCACAACATTAGTGATTTTTTTTAAAATTTAAACTATCTATTCTGTAATATTTATTGTTCAACTAAAGTAAGATGGCAGATATATTTAATATGGATGAGTATGACGAAGTGGGAGAGTTGTCAAATGCATTTGGTAATTCAGTACAGATTAGTGGCCAACAGAATTTAAACTATCGAATCATCGAGGAAGGTCCTGAAGATTACAATCCTATGGAAGAAGAAGGTTCTGATTTATATAAGAAGACATTACCCATCCCCGTCAGACAAAGAAGAAAGAGTTCTATTGCTTCATCATATGAAGTAGGTATTAGTCGATCATATGTATCATCCACACTTGTAGTAAATAATGATAAACTGAAATCTTATCAACCTAGGTTATGTGACTTTGAGCCTATTAAAGTTTTAGGTAAAGGATCTTATGGGAAAGTAATATTAGTAAGAGAAATAGCTACTGGTAGATTATTTGCTCAGAAACAATTAAAGAAAGCATCACTTATTATAAATGAAGATACAAATGAGATACATCAAGTCAATTATCAACGAACTCTTAATGAAAAATCCATATTAGAAATGGTTAATCATCCAAATATTGTTAAATTATACTATGCATTTCAAGATAATAATAAAGTATATTTAATTCTTGAATATTTAGATGGAGGTGAATTATTTCATCATTTGGCTATTGAGAGGTATATGAGTGAAAAAGATGCTAGTTATTATATTGCACAAATGATATTGGCTATTAGATATTTACATTGTAATCTTAAAGTAATTTATCGAGATTTAAAACCAGAAAATTGTATGTTAAATTCTCAAGGAAATTTAGTATTAACTGATTTTGGATTATCAAAAGTATCATCTGATGATGAAACAAAACATTCAATGACAGGAACTGCACAATATATGGCTCCAGAAGTTATTAAGGGAGATCCATATGATTATTCAGTAGATTGGTGGTCATTAGGTTGTGTATCCTTTGATTTACTTACAGGATCTCCACCATTTACTGGTAATAATAATAAAAGAATTATGGATAAAATATTATCTAGTAAAAAGACTTTAAAATTCCCATTTTATTTGAGTCAAGATGCAAAGGATTTCCTTAGAAAACTTTTACAAGTTAATCCTGAAAAAAGATTTAACATTGATGAAGATTTTACTAAATTAAAGAATCATAGATTTTTTAGATATATTGATTGGAAAGATTTAGAAAATATAGAAGACAGTCAGATTCTACCCCCAATCTTACCAATAATAACTGACCCTGTATTAGCAGAAAATTTTGATGCAGAATTTACAGAAATGGCTTTCACTCCTCAATCAAATGATTTGGGAAAGGATATCCTTCACGTGAATGGCTTTTCCTATACAAATTCAAAGTATCTTGAGGAATTCGCAAAGATTTTTAAAAAGTAAAAGTAGAATACTTTAATATATTAATTAATTAATCATTTATAGATAATATATAATACATATATACTATACTACACCTTTTATATTTTACTGTTACACTGATAATTATTATCCCAAATATCCCAATTTTTCAATTATTAATAAACAAATTGCAAATATACCAGCAGAATTAATAAATAATTCTGTTGCAATTAATCCTTTATATCCAAATCTATTGTTTGGATTATTTAAATAGTTTATTTTAAAAAGTTTGATTATAAACAATCCAACTGACATACCAATTAATATTGATTTATGATTAGAAAGGAATAAAGTTCCATAAATCATAATCGTTATAAAATTCCAGGCCATAAAGTTAAAACAATCTAAAAGATTGAAAACTATGGGGAATTCATTAAATATTACCCCAAATCGTTTAAATAATAAAGGAATTTCAACTGCACTATTAAAATCATCAACAGAATAGTCAAAGAATAAATTAATAAACATAACAAAATTCTTATATCTATCAATTGGATTACTTGTATTATAATAATTGGTTTGTTCTCCTGTATAATATGTTCCAATTGAAGTAGATGTTGATATAATAGATTGAGATCTTTTACTAATCTTAAAAGTTGATAATCTCTTTTTAAGTAAATGTGTACTTTCTTGGTTAACTTCTTCATTCTTATGAGCTACAGAAATAGGTAATAAAGGAGGTACTAACCATGAAAACCAATTAATGAATCTTATAAACTTATTATCTTTGAATTCATAAGGTGATTGATAATGTTGAGCTTCTGAATCAGATCCACTATCACTTCCAGGTTTAGAATGAGAATAATCAAATCCTGCTCCACCACCAAATTCAATTTTTCTACCATCGGGAAATTTATATTTAAAATTTCCACCACCTCCACCACCGAAATGAGTATCTTGAGTTGTAACTGGTTGTAATGCTAACTCATCATCATCGGAAGGTAAGGTCACATTGGTACATTGCATATGATCAACCCTTTCCAATAAATCGTAATTAATATTTGGTTGATTATCGGATAAAGCGTTATCAAATGCAGCTATTGCTGTTGCAGTATTTAAATGATAAGTATTCTTAGGTGATACAGAATATAACTTATCCACGAAATCATAACATGATTTATAATTTGATAAGATTTTAATTGAATCGACAGTTTGTACTGTATTTTGAGAATCAATACTATTTGAATTTTGTAATGATGATGAAGATGCTACTTCTGTTTTAGTTAAATTAAATGTACTTGGTAAGCTAGCCATAGATACTTTTTTATTAATAAACAATGTATCCTCAGAATTTCCTGAACTTATAGATTGTCTATTATAATTATTATTATCATTAATATTATCATTAATATCATTACTTACAATATCATCTTCATTATTAAGAATACTTTGAAATAATGCATGCATCTCTTCTTTACTATCGGTTGAATATTTACTTTCAAAGGCTTCTTGATGAGTGAACATATCATATAATTTAAGAAATTTATCAGATTCAAATGACATATATCTTGTTAAGATTTCTGACGTATTTAATGCTAATATAACAAATCCAATTTGAGTATATTGTAATTTAGATATACAAGTTAAAATGAATAATATGCTAAATTTTAAGAATTCTTCAATTAATGGTAAATAGAAACTTAATTGATATTGATATTGATATTGATATTGTTGTAGTCTTTTACATCTCCAATTCATAGTTAGTGTATCATACATAAAGTGAACTAAGAATAAAATACCTGGTAATATAATTGATAATGCTAATGATCTAATTAATGTTATTTGTCGTATATTAGAAGGGATAGTTGCATCACTAGGAGTTATTACTTCCAGTAATCGTACTACCCCATAAAATATAGCAATATTACATAATATTGATGGTAATAATCCCATTAACCATCGTGTCATATTTGCCATGATTCTAGTAAGGTAGAGCTATAGTTTATGAACTTATAAGCAGACTATATATACTTTTGCCTTTCCCTTTTAGTCATCATACTTTTCTGTGTCCTCATTGGTCCCGCATTTTTTTTAGCGGCTCTGTGGCTGTCTGTCTGTCTGTTCTGTATGCAGGTATGGACCAGTGCCTCTATAAAGGTATTAATGTTTGAAATTTTACTATGGGAGTAATGTATGTAATTACAATAATTAAGTAATTAAATATGACAAGTGATTCAAAGTCAGTAATTCCATTGGAATCTAATCCCGCTATCTTTTCCGAATTGGGTCATACCATTGGATTATCTCCTGTACTTGAATTTCATGATGTATATTCATTAACTGAGCCGGATTTATTAGCTTTATTACCTAATCCAGTATATGCCCTAATATTATTATTCCCATTAACTCCAGATTATGAAAATCTTAGACATCAACAAGATTCAAAAAAGTCAGATTATAATAATGAATTATTCGAACAAATTAAATGGTTTAAACAAACTATAGGAAATGGTTGTGGATTATATGCGCTCTTACATGCTTTATCTAATCTACCTAAAGAGTTAATTATACATAATCTGTTATTTGCTAATTTTATGGGTCAAATAAATAAACAATTGTCTTTACAAGAAACTACAATTTTGGTGGAGAATTTGGAGAATTCAATCAAATTGAATGAAAATTTTGGTGAAAAGGGACAAACTGAAGCTCCAAGTGCTGATACCGTAGTTGATTTACATTTTATAACATTTGTTAAGGGTAATGATGAACATTTATATGAACTTGATGGTAGAAGAAAAGGTCCAATTGATTTAGGAATTTCTAATCAAGATAGTATAATTAATGAATCCAATGTAATTGATAAAATTCAATTTTATATGAATAATGCTGATGAAGCTAATAGAATTAAATTTAATATTATGGCTATTGCTCCATCATTTGATTAATATTAATATTAATATATAATAATATTAATATTAATATAATATTTTAACTTCAAATTTGTCCCTTTATATCAACCTTATTAAAATTTGGTTTATTAACAATGGCATGAATTGTAGCCTTTGATCCAGTACATTCAAAATCTTTATCATCATTAATTAAAAAGTTTGATAAAGAATTATTACTAAGAAACTTGGCAAATTGTTGTAAATGTTCAAAATTCAATTCCTTTAATAAGAAATCGACAGATATTCGTTTATAACTATTGACAATTGTTTGTAATGCTTTTAATCTATTCTTTTCATATAAGGAATTCTTTACTAAAGTTATAGCTAAAGTTAAATCTTCAGTAATTTTTAAATTCCTAATAATCTTAAAAAAATGATGATAATTACCTAAAAGTATATCCAGATGTAATTCAAAGATTATTTTTATAAATTCAAAGATGGTTTGCTCTTTTTCAGTTTTTTCAAAATTATTATAAGTATGTAAAATTGAAAATTTTAATTTTGACATTTCACTATGATTATTAGTTATTAACATATAAATTATACGATAAACTAATAATTCAGCTTCCCATCTAAAGAATTTGTTATTTAATTTGGAATCCTTTTCTCTTTTTAAATAATATAAATATTTTAATTGAGATTGACATTGATTGAATTCTCCTAAATCTCCATTCTCTAGAGAAATCTTTGCATTAAGCTCATACACATAGATTGCAAAGTCATTTTTCAAATGTTGAACTGTTAAATCTTGTCTTATAGATTTAAATTGGTTAATAATATAGGAATAAGTTTTATTTTCAGAATATTTATTAAGAACAAATTTGACACTCTTCTCCAAAACTGCTTGGGGTCTAACCCTACTAGGGTCTGGCTCCGATGTAAGTCTTAAATAGTTCTTTTCCAAATCCTGACATCTTCCTACTATTGTAGTAGTATTAGAATTTGAATTTGATGTAGATGGACTTAGTTTGGGAGGTGGAGTCTCAAACCGTTCTAAACGTTGCTTCTTACGTTTCTTTGATTCAAAATCACTAGTCCGTGATTCATTCAATGATGAATAGTCTAGTCTCTTTGTGGGAAGGTATGAGGTGTTTGTTGGTTGAACTGATTGAATTGATTGTACCGGTTGAATATTATTAATGGTCTCTACATGCAATGCCAAGGGTACATTATCTAGTATGGGAATTTTCTGTTGATTCCAATTATTCGTAAATAATGTACCCGTGGCAAATGCTCTCTCTATAAGATACTGTAATTGTTTATTAAATTCTCCCTTTTGATATTCTGTTAATATTGAATTAGCTCTAATAAAGCTATTACTAACAAATTCTTGTAATGCTTGAGGCCATTGTCCCGCATCTGGGGTTGTTGATGTTACTGGTGGTGAAGAAGAAACAGGAGCCTCTGTACTTTGTGAATTATTACTAGTAGATTCTTCCTCGCTTCTTAACGACCCAGGTCGACCATCCACACGAGAACTGACACTGGAATTCGACTTCTTGGCTAATTTTCTTCGAGACTTCCCAAGCGACGTTGGCTTGACTTCGTTATAGGGAGATGCCATGTACGTGCTCTATAAACTGACTACTCCTGCTGGGTATATACTTGTCTATTAGCTGAGATATGTTTACTTAAGTTTAGTTAAGTACTTGTCTATTAGTTTAGTAGCTATTAAGTAGTTAAGTATATTAAGTAGTTAAGTATTATGCTTAGAGAGTTCATCCTCCGTTTTAGTGAGGGAGGAAAAAAAAGTTAGGCTAACAAAATCAGTCGCTCCATAGTTAAGCTACATCTAGCTATACTACAATAGATCCCTCTAAACTATAGCTATAATTATATAGAGACATCTATTTTTTAAGGGTGAGTATCATATGACTTGACAGTGAGAAATTGCAACAAATCAGTATGAGATCTTCAATATTTAGTAATGATCCTCCGGGCTTATCGTCCAGAAAGTCTAAAGGATATAAGAAATCTAAAGGGTCGAGTCCCTATATAAGTTCACCAATTACTCCCCAATTAAGTACTAGAACTACTAATAGTGAAGTATCTACACCATTACTTGATTCTTCATTAAATAGTTCAATAAATACTTCTAATCTACTCAATAGTCAAAGACCTAAGAAACTATCATGGAATCTAGATGAACTTATTTCAAGTTATAATGATAGTGGAGTTCTCCCACCAATACTATCTCCCACCTTACCTGAATTGATTCTAACACCTCCGCAAAGTCATGATTCAGAATCTGTATCTAAAAGTACCATAGTATCACCCAATCCCAAGCATCCTATGAAAAAGAGATTACTTATAGATGATGATGATGATGATAATAATAATAATAATAATAATAATAATAATAATACTGTTCAACATAATCATAATCCTCATGAAGAAATGGTTGGTAATACCAAACATCAGAACTCGGATCACGATGAAGATGTACCATTATCTATGTTATCACCTACATTACCATCTATGTTTGATAGTAGAACTAGTTCTAGTTCTACTTCTACAGTAAATATATCAAATAAACCAAAGACTCCCAAAGTATTACCATTGGTTCGGTCAGTAAATAAACTTCATGACCCTATAAAACCAAAATACTTTGTTCGATTTAATTTCCGTAATAAGGAAAAATATAGAACAATATTCACAATTCGAAAATCAACAGAAACTCCTAAGGCTACAGGTTTAGGTATAACCACATTAGATGGAGAGAATATTGAGAGATTAACTGAATTAAAAGCACTTGAACTAGAAAATAAGAAGATGGTAGATCTTGCTAAGGAATTGTCTGAAAAGCAGGCTAAATTAGACAAAAAACAGTTAGAATTCAATAATATCGATAAACAATTAAAGGAAAAGGAAAAGCTACTAGAATTTCAAATCAATGAAAAGAAGAGTATGATTAAAGAAATAGAAGAAAGAGATTCCAAATTAAAAAATCTTGAAAAATCATTAAAGGCAAAGGAATTAGAGCTTGAGAAACAGAAACAAGAATTAAAACTTCAAAAACAAACCGTACAATCATTACCCAATAATGAATTACAAGAGAAGATTGAAAAATTGAAACAATTAAATAATGATGTTATAACTAAAGAATCTTCACAAACTCCTGAAGAACCAATAAAGCTTAGTATTGAAGAACAACAAATTAATAATATGCCTAAATCTAAAAGAGATGAAATTAATAGTACCTTACAATCCAAGAAAAATAGTTGGTTACTGATATATAAAGATTCTAAGGCATATTCTGAACGTTATGCAGGAACTGATAAACTTATAACAGTATTTTGTCAAATAGATGGGATTCTCCTGAAGATTGTAGCTTATGATTATGATGAACGATCTAAATTAGTTACCGGAGTTTTACCAAGTGAAAGATCTTGGAAACTTTTAGATCAAGAAACTGGTGAATTAATTATAAATATTAGTAAATGGACAAAAGATATTCAAGATATTATGCTTAATGGATTTTTTAGAATTATTACTTGTGTTTTATATCAAACAAGAGCATTAATTGTTAAACGAATTAATTCAATATTAACTAAAGTAATTCAACTGTATATAAGAAAAAGAAGTGAAAGTCAAGAATTAAATGATAAAATAATTGAATTACAACAATCATCAATTTTAAATAATGATATTATTGCTACTATGTTTTTAAATTCTCGTCCTGATTATTTAAATATTAGTATTCCTAATAAATTTGCTGGGACTTGGTCAAAGAGAAATACTAATATAGAAACTGTACAAAAGGAATATAATCTTTATGATTTTAATAAGAATTTAAGACCAATTTATCAACAATATTATTTACCATTAGGATCTTATTCAAATATAACCGAAATGAGTGGATTTTTATTTAATGTGGTCAATGAATTTATTGAAGTTTACAATAAGCATAATCCAAATAATAGAATAGACTATAGTTCATTTTGTATAAACAATTAAATTATGTATGAATACATATAATTCAAGGTGATGCCGTCATTGATGGCAGTGACTTTGATGGAAGATATTTATCTTTATATATCCAACTATTCCCAATAGATTTTACGCCAAAGATTTCTCCAAGTCGTAGCCAAGCAGCAGCTTGATAAAGATCTTTTTTATGATTCTTAGTTTTATTAGACCATATTTCTCCTAAAAGTACCATTGAAGGTATATGACCTAAAGATCCGGCTTTTGCTAAACATTTAATTCCATTAATTTCATCTTTAAATTCTAATCCATAACCATTCATTAAAAAATTTCCTAATTCATAATAACATAATGCCAAAATATCAGTTTGATTCTTATTTACAGTAATTACTTTAGCTATTTGAACTTTAGATAATTTAGCAAATAATGTTCCAAGAAGTATAGGATCATTACCATTTTTATAATAATCTCGATCAACTGTATTATCTAAATTTCTAATAATCAGAGATATTAAATTTTGTGGAGGCAGTTGATGTAATTTATCCATAAATGATGAAACAGCTGATTGTGAAGCAGTTTGTAAATGTGAACTATGACTCATTATACATTTACATAACCATTTTATGGCATGTAAATCATTTTGTTTAACACCTTGACCGAGTCTTAATGCTACCGCATATAAATACATAGCTTGAGGAAAATTAAATGGGGCATTGGCTGCTATTTGTAATTGATATGATGCTTCTCGATGTTTTCCTAAAGATCTTAATTGTAAAGCTAATTTAGTTCGACTTCCAGGTGAAGAATTCTCGGGAATTTGTGAACCTTGAGAAAGACTTCTAAGACTAGTACTTGAGCCTGAACTTTCAGAACCTTCTGATAAAATCCTTCTTGTTGATGGTTTAGGAGCTGTTGAACCATAATCAAGTGATGTTGTACTACCAGCTCTTGTTGGAAGTTTTTCTTTAGGTCTTATTATTGGTGCTGAAGGAGTTCTAAATACACCAGTCAGTGTCAGTGTCAGTGATGGAACTGTTTGTTGATCTTGTTCTAAAGGTTTATTAATTTCTTCAACTTGTGAAGTAGAGTCTGGTTTCTTTATTGATGAATCCGATCCATTTTTAGAATTTAAAAAATCAGGTAATGGTTGAGTAGGTATTTGGAATTGTCCACCTATAGCAGAAAGAGAGGTACTTGATGCAGAACCTACTTTTTTTATTGATGCTATATCAGATTTAAATGATCCAACGGAATTATTAGTATTCTGAAATACAAGATTCATTGGGACATGTTTTACATGAACATTACTTTTAGATTGTGAATTATATGGTTGTGAAGTATGAATAGATCTTGAAGATTTTAGACCTCTAATGGCTGCTAAATTATTTTCATTAGGAATTCTGTATGCATTTGTAGTAGAAGTTGTTCTTCTTAATTTACTATCATTATTTTCTAGATCCAATTTCTCTAGTAATTTTGTAGTTGAATGAATTGATGATCTACTTTCTCTTTTAATTAATCCATATTCATCTTCAAGAAAGTCTTCATTTTCAAAATCCAATCGATCAAGAAGTCTTCCATTAGTACTTACTGAATCGAATGAATAGATACTTTCTCGATCTTGGTTACTATATACTCCAGCACTATTCATTGGTTTTGATGTATGGATTGGACTCGTTATTTCTGAATTGTTTTCATGATAATTGACTTCGGGATATAGTCTAATTATATTGTCGTCTTCGGTATTAGGATTTGAATTAGTAGTAGAGTTAGAACTGGAATTTGAATTTGCACTAGAATTTGCACTAGAATTAATAGGTAATGAACTAGTGTCAATCTTACTTTGACTCTTAGACTTTGCATGTGCAACTACTTCTTGTAATTTTTGAAGTGGTGATCTGATATCTTCTTGAGTTTCGATTGTTTGCAGATAAACAATATCTGTCACAACCGATTGCTCCATTGGATATTGGGTATTATTATTATTGTTATTAATATTATTATTATTATTATTATTATTATTGATATACTACGGTAGGTATAAATATCGTAATGAAACAATTGGTAGATACTTTTGTGATTGGAATGCTAACCGACAATTGGCTATAACTAATGAATGAAAAATGATTTCATGAGTTTAACATTCAAATCAAATCAAATGTCAACGGATTATGATTTAATTGTGGATAGTTGTGGGGTCGATGAGAATTAATTTTTAGTAGACGTATGCGTATACTTAAGATATTTATTTATAGCTCCGATATTGCTAACTATAATTAATACTATACAGAATATTCTGCTTGACTTTCTAGCGTAATAAATTTTTTTTTTTAAAGTCCAATAATTTTGGGATACTACAAACCCTTAAACATATGCATATATTCCGAAATCTATGCTATGTCCGGATATTATTGTGAATAGCTAGGTAATATTTTATATTACTTAATTGATGATACTATTTTTAGGGTTATCTACCTTCGAGCCCCTAAAAAATAATTTGAATTGTATGTTGATTATTATTTTTTTTTTGTCTCAACGTTTCCCAATTAGGTACGGTTAATTAGGGGTTAAGTATTGCGTTCTGGAGGTTGAGACCCACATAAATTGCAAAAATCGTAAATTTCAATTTCAATCAACTATGTGTTACTTATTTACTTGTCTCCCTCTCTCGTAAAATCATTGAGGCCATTTCATTCTAAGGCATAGCTGTCTAGTTTTATGCCCATACATTCATTAAACAAAGAATATACTTAGAACAATAAAATGTCATGTATAGAATACTCAGATTTACTTATGCTATGATGCTCATCGATCTCGTAAACTCTTCTATATTAGTCTGTCGTAAACCATCCTATTCTTACCTGACTTTAGCTATTTAAATATAACTGAATCTCTAAAACAATCGCTTTTTAACTATATAGTAGTGATAGAATTATTTGTATAGTAAACCCATTAAAGAAGTTAAGTGTAAGAGTAGTGCCATTGTCACTTCTTACATTTTGTTCACAATGAAAGAAAAAAGATTGATGTGTGGAGAAAATAGTAACCTGACAACTAAGCACTTATCAACTATCAAGTATTATAATAAGCAGTAACCCAGAAAACAATCACCATGTTCACTCCTCAATTGACTTACAACAGTGACACCATTTCCAAACGTCAATTGTTTATTGGAGGTATAACAACCTATGTGTATAATGACTCTGTATTGGAAGAATATGTTAAGTCATTCAATACTCAACATCATCAAGAAATTCCAATTAATGTATTATATTTAGTACATCAAAGAGAAGGTTCATATTTGACAACACAATCTTTTGCATACTACATTCTTGAACAATTCTATCAAAAGCATGGTGGTAAACCTAAGATTCCATTAATTTGTGTTACATTTGACAATAGAAATCATGGTGAGAAATTAATTGATAAACTTAAAAATTCAGATTGGAAAAGAGGTAATTCAACCCATGCAATTGATATGGTCTCATGTATCGAAGGTAATGTTGCAGATTTGAAATTAATTATTGATCATTTACAAGGTTATTTGAATTTAGAATATCATTTGACTGAAAGTTTTAAGGAAAAGGTTCAACCTTACTTTACTTTTAAAAATTTTATTAGTGGATATTCCTTAGGGGCTCATACAGTAATTAGATTTGCTAATAAATATCCCGAATTAGTTGAAATTCTTAATCCAATAGTTGGATGTTCTGATTTAAGTTCACTTTTAATTAATAGATTAAAGAGAACTCCTCTTGAATCTGAAGACTATGATAAGAAATATTTTTACTTCAAGTATGGAGAATTACAATTGACTGAAGAACAAAAAAGAGATCAATATCCTGAATATTTCCATAATTATTTAAGTAAACAAGATCAATCAATCTTTGAAAACTTTGCTATGCATAAAATTAAATTATTTGCTTCTTTTGGAGCAAAGGATACTTTAGTTCCACCTAAATTATCTCAAGTTTGGACAGAACTTTATCAAAATACAAATGATGATTCAGAAGTATTTATTCAAGAAGATGCAGGACATCAAGTAACTCAAGAAATGCTTGACAGATTTATAACTTGGTTAGCAAAGTTAATTTAAAAAAATTAAATATTAAATTAAATTAAATTAAATTAAATGTGGAGTAACCAAGTGGGCTCTAATGTATTGCGGTACTGGTGCTCTACTTTAACTAAATAAACAAATAAATAAATAAATAAATAAATAAATAAATAAAAAATTAAATAGAAAACAATAAACGGCTCTGATTTAGATATATAATACAAATACAAGAATTATATCTTAGTATTTAATTTTTAAAGCTTTTGTAATTATTTTATAATACTGTTAATATAAACAGAGTAACAGAGAATCATTTGCATCACTGTTTTAAATTTGTCTGAAGTATTTTTTTTTTTTATCACAATAAAGGAAAGTAATTATTGAAATTTCAAGTATAAGAAGCAATAACATCATCATTGTCAAATGCTGAAAGCTCAGACCAGTTCAATTCTGCAGACATTATCTCAACATTATGCCAGTAGTATTAATACTGATGGATCTAATTCTGTACTCAATAGTGTTAAAAATACTGAAGATGCCGTAAATTTCATAACTTTTAATCAAGATGCCTCGTGTATAGCGGTAGGTTTAAATAATGGATATAAAATATTTAATTGTAAACCAACATTTGGGAAATGTTATCAATATAGAAAGGAAGAATCCATAGGAATAATTGAAATGTTATATTGTACATCATTAATTGCTGTTGTTGCATTAGGAGAAGAACCAGGTTCTTCACCTAGAAAATTAAAAATTATAAATACAAAGAGACAATCAACTATTTGTGATTTAATATTCCCAACATCTATTTTACAAGTTAAATTAACGAGGACAAGACTTTTAGTATTATTAGAAGATCAAATTTATATTTATGATGTTACATCTATGAAATTATTGCATACAATTGAAACTAGTCCAAATCCTCATGGAATATGTGCTATATCAACAATAGCTGATAATGAAGGTAATATATATTTAGCTTATCCTTCACCTCCTAAAACAATAACTCATGATTCACTTTTAGTAATGGGTATAAATACAAATGGTGGATCTAATTCAATTCAAAATAATATTCAATCAGTAAGTAATACTCCCAATAGAGTTGGGGATGTAATTATATTCAATTTAACCACTTTACAACCTTTATCAGTTATTGAGGCTCATAAAGCAGCATTGGCTGCTATAGCCTTATCAAGTGATGGTACATTATTAGCAACTGCATCCGATAAAGGAACAATTGTAAGAGTATTTTCAGTACAGACAGGAGTAAAATTATACCAATTTAGAAGAGGAACATATCCAACAAGAATTTATTCAATTAACTTTAGCTCTGATAATAAATATGTTGTTGCAACAAGTTCAAGTGAGACAGTTCATATTTTCAGATTAGGTGAAGAAGAATCTTTAGCTAAAAAGCATAAAACAACCCAACAAATTGCCTCTAAGAAAAGGACCAAACCTGATTATGAAACAATTATTGAAGAATCAGAGGAACCTAATGGATCTAAAGGGGATATAGACAATGAAGATTTTGATGATATACGAGATGATGGAGATGATAGTGATGCTGAAGTTGCAGATGATGATGAAGCAAATGAAGAAATATCAAATAAACAACGAAAACTTTCACAAAGTTCTACAAATTCATATGTTAGTGTAAATTCTGGAGTTAGTGGTGATGAGTCAATCAGTAATGCATCTAATTCAACTACATTAAAAAGTGAACCATTAGTTGATCAGAATAGATTATCAGTTGCCAGACTTATAAGGCGATCATCACAAACTTTAGGTAGGAAAGCTGCTCAAAGAATGGGAGATTTCTTACCATCAAGATTCTCATCAATTTTAGAACCCACCAGGCATTTTGCTTCATTAAAAATCAATGCTGTTGGAAAAGATGTCAAATCAATTGCTGTAATGAATAATGAATTACAACATGATTTTGTACCTCAAGCTCTATTAGTAAATTCAAAAGATTCTTCAACTTCTATTAAGGATCTCCACCCTTCTAAAGATTTATTAGAATTGAATCTTTTACATATATATGTTGTAACATCAGAAGGTTTCTTTTACACATATGGTTTAGACCCGGAAAGAGGTGGTGATTGTATCTTATTAAATCAATATTCGTTAGTGGGAGAAGGTGTATAGAGTAAGTAGTTAAATCAGGTGAATAAATGTTTAATTCTTTTAACTTAATCCACTAGTAGTTTTCAACTTATATGTTTTAGAAGTAAAGGGATTCTCAAATATTTACTGCAAAAGATAAAAATTTCCAGAATTGATGCAAAAATATTGATAAATGTCAAACAAAAAATTTATATTCTCTTTAAATAACTACCTAAATTGACTATATATTAGATATAAATACAAGAATATACCAATTAAACAGCTACATGATCATTTTAAAGGTCAATTAGGTCAATTAAATGAAATTTTGTAAAAAATTCAAAATCACGTGACTCTAATCAACAGTCTATGAGTTAATTGCAAAATTTTTTGTCGCGAAATTCCTCCCGGTGGCCAAGCTGGCTAAGGCGCGAGACTGTAATGGGTTCTCCTCAAAGTAATCTTGAGATCGGGTGTTCGACTCACCCCCGGGAGATTTCGTTTTTTTTTGCTTATTTTTTTTACTTATAAGATTTATATAGCTTAACCTAATTGAGTTCAGATAAGTTTATATTACTTTAAATGTAATTGAGGTTTGTTACTTATGTAATAGTTGCAGTCCTTTTGACACACGCTACCACATGACTTATCTCAATTTTATTTATACACTTATCCATATTAGTCTCTCTAAACCGAATCTTCTTACTGAATATTTACATTTACTTAATACTTATCCAAAGTGATCATGCATTTGCTTATTCATTCCCTATCTGGTTTAAGTGTAGTATGTGTTCATTACAATATTAGGAGTCAATATAATCTGTAAAATGGGACGCGCATTCTGCACGACCAAATCAAGAAAATGTCTGCGAGGGACAATTTTGCCACAAGAACTTAGTTAGTCAGACACAGAGACACAGTCAGTTATTCAATTGGATATTTGAATTAACGAGATGTCTTCATTTAAAGGTATGTATTAGAGTAGATGATATTATAACTATATATATATATATATATACATATAATACTAACAATGAAATAGTTTCTATTAAAAATGCTGGGAAGACTTATGAGATAAATCTCGAGGCCCACGATACCGGGAAGGTTTTCAAGCAACAAGTTTATGAATTAACTAAAATACCTCCTGAAAGACAAAAGATTCTTATTAAAGGAGGTAAATTAGGAGACGATGAAGTTATTGCTTCACTCAATTTAAATCTTAAACAACCTATTATGGTTTTAGGTACTCCAGATAAGGATTTACCATTAAAACCTGTTGAAAAGCAAGTATTCATAGAAGATCTTAATAAACATCAAGGAGCTGTTGTCAGTACTGAACCTTCAGGATTAGTTAATTTAGGAAATACTTGTTATTTAAATTCTTCTTTACAATCAATCTTTCAAATTAATGATATTGCTTCAAGAATAAAGACTTTTCAAGTATCTGCCAATTCTGGAAGTAATCCTTCTCAAGCTTTATTATCAGCTTTAAAATTAGTATTTCAACAAATGAATAATAAAATTGAAAAAGTTACTCCTTCATTGTTTTTAACTTTATTTAGAAATGTTTACCCTCAATTTGCTGAAAAAGATAATCATGGATATTATAAACAACAAGATGCAGAAGAAGCATTTTCTCAATTATTACAAGTTGTAACTAGAGAATTAAAAGTTGATGATTTATTTAAAATTTCATTTAAAACTCAACAAAAATGTTTAGCACTTCCAGATGATGAAGTTCAAATTGGATATGAAGATGCTAATAAATTAAATTGTCATATTGATATTAAAACAAATTTCTTAAGAGATGGTATTATTGGAGGATTAAAAGAAACTATTGAAAAATATAATGATACTTTACAAAGTAATACTGATTATGAAGTAAGTAGAACAATAACAAGATTACCAAAATATTTAACCGTTCATTTTGTTAGATTCTTTTGGAGAAGAGATACTCAAAAGAAATCAAAGATTTTAAGAAGAGTTCAATTTCCTTTTGAACTTGATTTAGCTGAAATGTTAGATGAATCTATTAAATCTGAAAAAGTAAAAATTAGAGATGGAATTAGAAAAATAGAAAAGGATAACTTGGATTTAATTCGAGACTTTAAAAAGACTAAAAAAGATAGTACTTTAAATCCTCATCAACAACAAGAAGAAGAAGAAATGAAAATTCTTTCTATTAAAACCAAATTTACTGATGAACTTGTATCTATTTTACCTGAAAGTTATAAATTAGATGAAGCTACTGAAAATCCTTCTTCAATTTATGAATTAAATGCTGTTATTACTCATGCAGGATCTTCAGCTGATTCTGGTCATTATCAATCATTTGTAAAAGATCCAACTGATTTAGATGGTGAAAAATGGTGGAAATTTAATGATGATAAAGTTTCATCAATTAGTAAAGAAAAAATTGAAGCTTTAGCTGGTGGAGGTGAAAGTGATAGTGCACTTTTATTAATTTACAAAGCTGTTGGATTATAAGATACCTTATTTATCTAGAAATTTGTATATGGGAATATATAAATAATATATAAATAGTTATATAGATTAATTAATCTATTTGTAAGATGGGGATTTCATTATAATTAATATTGTACAAGGGTTAAAGTTAATTTACTATTATTGACATTTATAAATCCTTAGTTAAATTTCTAAAGGATTCAATTTCATCCCAACAGTTTAAGGATTTTCCAGCATTACTCTTTAAACAATTTATGACTTCATCTTTAGCAGCTACTACAGCTTCTGGAATTTCAATTTTAGCTAAATTAGCATTAGATTTTAATAATTCTGTTAATTTAGCAATCTTTTCATTAGCAGCAGGTACTGAGAATTCGGGTTTTTCATCAATTGGAATTAATGCTGCATTAGTAGTTTGTTGGAAATTCTTAATACTTTGCTTTTCTAATTTAGTTAATTCTTCAGCAACTCTTTCTTGTATATATTTTTCAGTATGTTGTGCTCTTGAATAATCAGACTAGAAAGTTTTTTTATTGTTAGTATATTCTTCTGGTTATTAGAAATATTTATATATGTATTATTTGATACCCACACTTACTTCAGGAGAATTTTCCAATTGGGATAAAAATGATGCACTGAAGTCGATTGGGGTTGTAGGTGTAAATACCTTTGTTTCAGGCTTTGAAGTGGAAGATCCCATCTGTACTATTGGCTTAATTCACCTTATTATAATTAACTAATGGTTAATGATAATTGGACAATTATCCAAAATGATCCTGGACCTGATTTTTGGTGGTCGTGTACCTGTGTTCAAATCCGACTGAAAATTTTAAACATTTTTAACTCACATTTTTTTTATTTTTTTTAGTTTTATATGGTAATTCAATAAATATCATAAGATTTTAGGTACTACATTAGAATTAGTCAGGTTTAGATTAAATATCTTAAGAAATCATTAAATCATCATAATGCCACCAGTTCAACAATATCAATATGCTCAACATCAACCGTCAAATTTTGAAAAATTTAAGATGGGAGCCATTATGGGATCAACCGTCGGAGTGTGCGTGGGTGTATTATTTGGTGGATTCTCCATCTTACAAAATGGTGCTGGACCAAATGGAGTTATGAGAACTTTAGGTCAATATATATTAGGTTCAGTTGGTACATTTGGATTATTTATGTCCATAGGTTCAGTCATTAGATCAGATACAACTTATCAAGCATATGAAAGATCAATGATTGCATCACAAAGAGCTCAAATAAGCAAGATTTATGATAGACAAAATTGAATGAGAAAGTTATAGTTATAGTTATAGTTATAGTAATAGTTTTACTTTTACTTTTACTTTTACTTGTACTTGTACTTTAATCATTTATTAAATCACTGCTAAGGTATATTTATTACCTTTGAACTGAAATGCCCTCCCATTCATAATGTTGTCTGAATGCTGTAAATATATATCTAAATAACAAAATATCAATTCTATTAATTCATATAAACTAAAAACTAATTATATGATATTATTTGTCTATAGGTCTAATTTGTGATGATTCTCCAGTTTTTATTTATAAAATTTAATTGTTGTTGTAGACTAATTGACCTAAATATGAAGTTCTAATTCTTCCTTGTTAGTCATATTGAATAAATAAGTGAGTCCAAACTCAGGTGTAGAATAGTCGCTTGATTTTTGAGCTTGTTTAGCTAATTCTAATAATAAATTCTTAGGTTCTAATATGGGTTCTCCACTTAATTTAAAAGTCCCCCAATGAATTCCCTTCATCTTTGATATATTAAGATCTTTACAAATTTGTAAAGATTCTGAAGGTGATATATGTCTTGGCTTTTGATGCCATGAAGGACAATATTGACCTATAGGTAATAATCCCATAAATATAGGACCGAATTTTCTACCTATTATTTTAAATAATTCATTCAGATATCCTGTATCACCTGCATGATAAAGTAATGATTCATTATTTCGTCTAATTATATAAGAACACCAAAGTGATTGATTTGAATCAAAGATATATCTTCCTGACCAATGCATAGCTGGAACACATACAACTTGATATTTATCAGTTAACTTTTCTGAGGTAGATATTAATGGAGTAATATCAGCTGAATCCCACCAATCCATTTCTAATATATTAAATATTCCCTTAGCTGCTAATTTCCTCTTAAGACCTAATGGAACAATCCATGTAGCTTTATTTCCAATTTTTTTAACTAAATCCATTTCTAAATGATCAGGATGATCATGAGATATTAAAATAAAATTAATTTTATCATTAGTAGCATATTTAATATCTTCAAGATTCATAGGTGATTTTGTTAATCTCTTTGGTCCTAAATGTGGACTTATTAAATGATCACTTATAGTAGGATCAGTTAAAATATTTATACCGGATATTTGAACTAATGAACATGATTGACCTAACCAAGTAAAATACATCTTTTCACGTAAAGGAATTAATAAATCATTATCCTTCTTTTGCAACCATGATTTACTTGGAGTATATAATAACAGAAAATCATCATTTTGAATACATGATTGTAAAATAATAGAATTTTTTCTTAAAGTTTCTTTATCAGGTTTAAAAACTTTAAGTAAATCTTCAACTTCTATAGCTCCATCTTTTGGTTGCGGTAATTTATCGTGTAATTCAATTTTATTCCCATAGAATGATTCAAGTAATTCCATAATTCGAACATAAAGAAATTCAAATGCAGTTTGAGGTCTATATTCTTCAAATGGATTTACAAACATTCCACCTACCAGTACAGATTTAAACTTTGTAACATCAGCATCATCAGTACTACTAAATTTTTGAAACTGTTTCTTTCTCTCACTTATAATAAATTGAGTTCTAAGTTCCATATAAATTTCAAATGAAGTATATGATACCAATATCCCAAGTCCTATCTTGGCATGCAATGACATTTGTGTTAGGAAACTCATGTCGTTATTTGTATATTGCCTCTATTTGACCTGAAGAATCATTCATTGCTCTTTAAGCATCATGGTCAATTGCGCTTTAATTTTTACATGTCTACCGCGCGCGCATCGCTTAGTACTTAGTAGTTTAGTGTTTAGTGCTCACTTAGTTTACTTAGTGCACATTGCACATTGCACAGTGCGACATGAGTGTAGGTGGTGTTACTATGTGTTATATATATATATATATTATTATACCTAAACTTATACACAAAAGATTTAATGCTTCCTAACAACACCAGCAATATCTGCAGCAGCTAAAATATGTTTCTTATAGTCATGAATATTACCTGGGAATCTCTTAACAGTATTATCTTCACTTACCCAAATCTCATTACAAACTTTATCAATGATTGTAACATCATGTGAAACCATTAATATACCACCAGCAAAATTATTTAAAGCATCTGCTAAAGCATCTAAACCTTGAGTATCCAAATGATTAGAAGGTTCATCTAGAATTAAAATATGTGGTTGATTTAAACAAAGTGCAGCAAATGCTACTCTTGATTTTTGACCCCCTGATAATAAATCCATCTTTTGTAAACCTAAACTACCGGTAATACCAAATGAACCTAAATGACGTCTATATTCTTCATCAGTTTTACCTGGGAAAGTTTGAGACATCCAAGATACAGCAGAAAGATTAAGATCCATTGCATCAACATGATGTTGTGCGAAATATCCAATTCTTAATCTACCATTTCTTGATATTAAACCTTCTAAAGGTGAAAGTTGTTCCATTAATAATTTTAATAAAGTTGTTTTACCTGTACCATTACCACCACAAAATGCAATTCTAGAATTCATTTGAACATCTAATTCAACATTCTTCATAAGTATTTTATCTGGTGAATAACCAAATGTAACATTTTGCATTTGTAAGATTGGTGGAGATAATTTATCTGGATCAGGGAAATTAAATGTAATAACTTTTTCATCTTCTGGTGGTTCCAAAATAGGTAATTTCTCTAATTTCTTTATACGAGATTGAGCTTCTGAAGATTTGGCGGCATTATATCTAAATTTATCAATAAATTCTTGTAAATGTTTTCTATATGCCATTTGATTCTCATATTCTCTTCTTTGATTCTTTATTCTTTCTTCTTTAGTAGAATAGAAAGAATCGAAATTTGAACCTCTGTAATAATCAAGTCTTTCAGAATGTTGATGAATGATATCAGTTGCAACTTCATTTAAGAATGATCTATCATGTGAAACAACTAAAACAGTTGATTTATAACCTTGTAAATAATTAGCTAAGAAAGTAATAGATGGGACATCCAACATATTAGAAGGTTCATCTAGTAAAAGTAAATCAGGTTGACAAAACAATGCTCTTGCAAGTGATAAACGCATTCTCCAACCACCAGAGAATTGCTTGGTAGGTAAATGTTGAGTCTCTTTAGTAAAACCTAAACCATATAATATACCAGCAGCTCTACTTTCTGCTTTATCTGATTCCATATTGTATAATTTCTCACTAACTTCTTGTAAATGAGCTTCTAAATCTTCTCTTTCATTATCTAATTTTTTAACTTCATTTGATTCTTCATCAAATTCACCTCTTAAGGCTTCAATTTCAACAATTCTTTCATTGATTTTTTGTTCTTCTTGTAATAAACTCTTTCTCCAAACATCAGCATCTAAAACACTTTGTAATGCGGGTGTATCATCCCCTCGTATTTCTTGCTCAACATGAAGAATAGTAATATGTTTAGGAACATTTAATTCTCTTCTTGATAATGCTCTTAATAATGTAGATTTACCAATACCATTTTGACCAACCAAACCATATCTTCTTCCATATGCCAAGGTTAAAGATGCTTCACTTAAAATTCTTTGACCATCTCCAACATATAAATCGAAATTATCAATTTTAATATCTTTAGATTTACCTGCACTAGAACCAAAGTCTAAAGGATTGATTTCAAGGAAAAATGAATCATAATCATCATCTTTCTTTTGATTTAATAATTTAGAAGCTTCATATTGAACAAATTTATTATTTCTTTTAGCCACTTTCTTAGCAATCTTTCTTTCTTGTTTTTCTAATTTCTTCTTATCAACTCTACTTTCCATTTTTCTACCAGTATGTTCTATATCATGAGTTGCACCTAATAAAGCTAAAGATGTATTAATATCTCTCTTTGAATTAGTTTGATTTAATAAATTTACATCTAATAATCTCTTAGAAGTATCACCAGTAAGTTCTAATTTAGCCATATTTTCTCGTAATTTAGAACTTAATTGTTCATTTATATTCTTCATTAAAGTGGTTACTTTTTCATCAGATCCACCAGCATTTACTAAAAGATCTTGAATAAATTGAATTTCTCCATCTATATCAATTTGTTGAGCTAAAACCATATCTTCAGTAGCTTTTGATACATGTTGAATATACCCAGTAGCATACTCAACAACAATAGGATCTACTGAAGGAACAGACTGACGTACTTGCAACGCAATATTTGACATCCTTATCGATTCTATATATTTATCTGATAATATATACTATTGGTCATAGTTTAGCTGAAAAATTTTGATACTCCAAGTTATTTTTCAGTGAGTGAAAAATTAAAATAAATGTTTATACAGGAGATTAATGAAATCTCTTAATGTTAATATAAATAAGTACTGTATATTTTAAAGGTAAGTAAGACACAATTGGAAGAACTGAAAAGGGGAAACAATGGTCTAATAAGAATTGAATCGTGTCTGTATGTATTATATAATATAAAAAAATAGAGTTAGAATGGTTCAAAAGCACCTTAGGAGGTTAATGCCATCAGGCTTCAGCATCAACATTAGCCTTAGCATCTCTCTTGAATGGAACAAAAGCACCTTTAGAGGTTAAGTGCCATGCAGCTTCAGCATCAGCATCGGCATTAGCATCTCTCTTGAATGGAACAAAAGCACCTTTAGAAGTTAAGTGCCATGCAGCTTCAGCATCAGCATCGGCATTAGCATCTCTCTTGAATGGAACAAAAGCACCTTTAGAAGTTAAGTGCCATGCAGCTTCAGCATCAGCATCGGCATTAGCATCTCTCTTGAATGGAACAAAAGCACCTTTAGAAGTTAAGTGCCATGCAGCTTCAGCATCAGCATCGGCATTAGCATCTCTCTTGAATGGAACAAAAGCACCTTTAGAAGTTAAGTGCCATGCAGCTTCAGCATCAGCATCGGCATTAGCATCTCTCTTGAATGGAACAAAAGCACCTTTAGAAGTTAAGTGCCATGCAGCTTCAGCATCAGCATCGGCATTAGCATCTCTCTTGAATGGAACAAAAGCACCTTTAGAAGTTAAGTGCCATGCAGCTTCAGCATCAGCATCGGCATTAGCATCTCTCTTGAATGGAACAAAAGCACCTTTAGAAGTTAAGTGCCATCCAGCTTCAGCATCAGCATCGGCATTAGCATCTCTCTTGAATGGAACAAAAGCACCCTTAGAGGTTAAGTGCCAAGAAGCTTCTCTTTTAGCAATTTCTGGAGCTTGAGTAGCGTTGACAACAACAAGATAAGTCTGTCCATCAACTTCAGCAATAGCTGGATATTGATCAGTGTTAATAGGAGCTGCAGCGTAGATAGCGTTGTCTGGAAGGACAACGTCTGGAAGAGAATCTTGAGCTTCTTCAGATTCTGGAACAGGAGCAGCTAATGCAAGAGCAATAGTAATTAAAGTGGAAAGAGTGAATAATGAGAATTTCATATTGTATTTAGTTGAGTTTTAATAATTTCTGAAGAGAAGAAAAGTTTTAAAACATATCTGAAATTGGAATTAAGTATCATATTTATAATAGTTTAAGATGGACAGAGGTTAAATTTCATTAAGATGAGTTGCAAAGAAGTGCCGTGATACGGCAGCATATAATCTTAAATAATTGTCTCAAAATTTCCTTTCGCAGCCTAATTGGGTAACTTTTAAGACAGTCGCAACTATTATTATATTGCAGCAAATGCTGCACCAAGCATCGTTCGAGAAAACCATCGCTAAGATTCGGAAATTTCTTTATGAGTCCGTGTATCAATATTTGTCTTTCAAGTCCTAAATAGGTAATTTTTCAACTGCAAGATTGTTGATTTGCCCTATTATTTCTGTAAAATATAGCTGACAACTTCTCAAGCTGTATTATTTAAAACATGCTCAGGCGTTCGTAATGGCTATCAGAATCATATCCGATTGATTCATACGTCAATCGTTTGTTTCAAAAGTTCTTTTTCAACTAATTCTACAATGTCGACATAAATAAATTTATATTGTCCAGATAAATCCGAGATACTTAAATTAAAATATATTCAATAAATCAATAATAATTAAAAGATATGAAACAAACAATATATAGAACTTATAAAGCGGCCTTAATCTTTGGAATTAATTTGTCAGACGATTTTAAGGCTTGGACATCGGAATTACCACCAATGTGTTCACCATTGATGAAGACATTTGGGACAGTTCTTTGACCGGTTAATTCTAATAAAGCAGCTTGAATTTCTTCACCATCATCTAATTCATCTAATTCTAAAATATAAGCATCCTTAGTAATTTCACCAATAGTACTTTTAGTAGCTTTACAGTAAGGACAATAAGTCTATAAATTAAATGTTAGTAACTCTCGTAGTTAATTTTTCTATTTATTAATACATACCTTAGAAGCAATAAAAATTGGCTTGGAGTTAATTAAAACTTTAACTCTTTCAGTAGCTTGTTGGGATACCATTCTTGAAGTAGTTATATATCGTCTAAATACAGTACTTAACATACAAATTGAAAAATCAATTAAATAATCAGATTCGTCTGCGGTTTCTTAAATCTTACTAATCGCAGGGGCCCTTTTCTGACATTCCCGAAGGATCATAAATTCGCCACAAATACACGACTTTAAAAATTATTGCTATTCTATATTATGTATTTACTTATAAATTAGCAGAGTCAGCAAATAAATCATAACCAAGAATTTCAATGGAGTATCCATCTGGATCATTAACGAATGCAATCTTCTTAATGTTACCTTGATCCCATTTCAAACTCCATTTAACTTCATCACCATATTCTTCTTCGATTTGTTTACATAATGCAGCAGGATCCTTACAACTAACACAAGTATGTCCAAAACCTTGAATAGCTCCACCTTCAGTACTGTTACCATTATGATAACCCTTAAATTCAGGATCTGATTCAGTACCCCAATTGTGAGTCAATTCAATAAGGGCTTGCTTTGATGCTTTCAAAGATCTGTCAACTGAATCTTCACTAAAGTCTTTACTATGTTCATAACCTAAAAAGTAAAGAGTAAATTTAGCTTCTGGAAATTCATGAGTAGATAATACTTTGAAACCTAAGACATTACGGTAAAAATCTAAAGATTTCTTTGGATCTTTAACTCTGATCATGGAATGGTTGAATTTATAAGAGGTGATATCAGTCTTAGCTTCTACCTTACCAATACCGTGTTCAATTAATTCAATCCAATAACCATTTGGATCTAAAGCAAAAGCAATGTCTTTTTGACGACCATCAGCTAATTTCTTTTGAAATTTAACTCCATTATCCAATAATTTTTTTTCAACAACTTGAATATTATCAACAGAGAGACAAATATGTCCAAAACCTCTATGTTCTGGTCCATTACCATGGTTCACTTTAAATTCTGGATCATTTTCAACTCCGTGATTATGACATAATTCTAAAACACCTTCTCTTGCAGACCAATTCTTACCCTTAGTAGTTTCATCTTCATACCCTAACATATATAAACTGAAATCATCAAATGCGAGGTATTTAAGTAATTTTAAACCAAAGTTTTCAGTATAGAAAGGAACCGATACTTTTGGATCCTTAATACGGAGACAAGTATGGTTCATAAGGAATGAATCGTCGATTTTTGGCATGTTTGATCCTGTATTTAATAATCTAAGCCTACTTCGTTTATTCAGAAATATCAATTGGGGTCTTCTGATTGATCTAAAGATATTTGAAATCAACAGCATAGTGCCAAGTATTTAAATATTTACTTTTGGGAACAATTTCTAGTCGGCGATGGTTCAACTAATCCCCCACGTAAGCTCTTATATACCGGTCGGGCATACAATTACCAGATTCGGTAGGTCGGGCTAACCGAAATGACTTTAGATGGTTCCGGACTTTTCTATTAAGTTATATACAGGCCATCCGAGGCTCGTACAGACCGTTGAAAAATTATGTTAGTAAAATATTTAATTGTAGTTTTATTGACTTAGATCATGAATATCTTAACTCTTTGCGAGAAATGATTGGATCCAAATCTTTCAATGTCTTGTTCAGATCTTTTTCTGTCTCTGCGAGTAAGTTTTCATCCTTTAATGGACGAGCTACTAGAAAAACCCTTGCAGATATAAGCAAATTATATACTTCCAAGCAACCTATATCCATGGTGACATCTCATGATTTCATAACGTCAAGAATGGTGGATAGTGCTGATATAGATATAAATCTTATTGGAGATTCATTAGCAAATACAACTTTAGGTTTAGAAGATACAAATGAGTTAGAGCTTGAAGAGTTTTTATATCATGTCAAATCTGTCAGAAGAGGTAATGAGTCATCTCTATTAATTGCTGATTTACCATTCGGAACATATGAGCTCAGTCCAGAGCAAGCTTTAGAGACCTCTATTAAGTTAATCAAATATGGAAGAATCCAGGGGGTTAAATTAGAAGGTGGGAGTGAAGTGATTCTTCCTACTATTAAGAAGCTAGTTGATGTTGGAATTCCAGTAATGGGACATGTTGGATTGACTCCACAGAAACATAACGCATTAGGAGGATATAAATTACAAGGTACATCCATTGAAAGTGCAGTCCAAGTATATCAAGAATGTTTAAATATTGAAAAAGCAGGGGCATTTGCTATTGTATTAGAATGTATACCCAACAAGTTGGCAGAATACATCACTGATAAATTGTCCATACCAACAATAGGAATTGGAGCTGGACCTGGAACTTCTGGTCAAGTATTGGTAGTTTCAGATCTCTTAGGAATGAAAAATCCTGATGAAAATCATATTGCAAAATTTGTAAAGCATTATGAAACTTTTTACCCTAAGGGAGTACAGGCTCTTTCTGAATATCGTGATGATGTAAAGCTGAAACAATTTCCTTTAGCTGATGATCATGGTTACAAAATCAAACGAGATGTATTTGAAGAGTTTAAAAAACAGGCTAATTTAATCAAATAATTTGATGAATAACTTAATTGTATACGACGAATACGAACCATTAGTTTATAGATTATCAATATAGACTCCAACTAATATACTAATTCTATCTAAAATTGGAAAAAAAATGACACTGTATATTTGAGATCTGAAAGCGTTCCTAATATTTTGCAATTAGAATTCCTGCATATTACACTTGACATATGACATATCATGATTCGAAGTTATGACGCAAATCTCTCGTAGATAGATAAAAAGAAATTTATTGATAGCAGACCTTGCACGGGGTTACTTTGATTTAGCAAATATCATAAGGTAAGTTATACAACTGTTCCAAATAGGACTATTGATAAGAATATTAAAGTATCTATAAATAAAGTAATGACTATAGACGTTTTTCCGAACGATGATAACGATGTGTTGAGGGTTTTTGTGGTGAGACATGGACAAACTGACCACAATAAGCAAAAGATTTTACAAGGACATTTAGATATCGATATAAATCAGCACGGTCAACATCAAGCAGAAAAAGTTGGTGAGTTCTTCTCTGAATTTAAGATCGATGAATTTGTTTCTTCTGATTTAATACGATGTCAAAATACTATAGCCGAAATCACCAAACGTCAGATTAATGCAAATGAAGAAGATATCCCTGTCAAATTAACTTCCAATTTAAGAGAGAGAAATATGGGAGTTGTACAAGGTATGAACATCCAGAATGCTTTAGAAATATATGGTGCGGATTATAAGAATATGGGTGAAACCAAAGTTGAACTATTATCCAGAGTTGAAAATGAATGGAACCATATAATAAAGAGAAATGAATCCAATAAGAATATACTAATTTGTACACATGGGGGTGTCATAACAGGATTTTTTAACCATTTGTATCATCTGAGAGATTACAAATTAAATCAAGATTTACAGCCACACGATTTGAAGGTCCCTTTCAATACTTCTGTTTCAGTTATAGATATTAATAAGGCTACGAAGGAAGGAACTATTCAGAATTTTGGTAGTACCAATCATCTTGGAGGCCATTTTGAAGTCAAAGATCAACGTTTGAGATAATTTTTTTTCAATTCATTAGGATTTACAATTGTTTACTAGTTAAATTTATAATAGACTATATATATATATATTAGAATAGACGGTAATATTTATTATTAAAAAAAATTTATGTGTATATAAATATCAATGTGGATGCAAAAATAATTTGTGTATGTAATTATGTATGAAATAAAAAGAATTTATTAAAAGAAATAAAAACACAAGAGCACTCAAGCCATAAGGTTTGCTTTATCCATGGTATTGGATCTTGAAAAGGAAGCATATCTTTCGAATGGATCAGCTCTTTCTAATTCATATTCTGGATTCTTAGCTTTGCCCGCACTCTTTCTTTTGAAGATTCTCTTAGCCCATTTCCAGGCTTCAGAACCTAACAAGAATAAAATAGTAAAACCAAAAGCGACTCCCCATTCGTAACCAATGGGTTTATGCAAAAATACTTTGGTATTAATTACTGGGATGTAAACAACTGGGAAAACACTAACAAATCCACCAATAACCGAATAAAATAAAAATCTATTCTCATGTAAGTCAATAGCTGTTTGTTTCCACCATGGATTATCAGTGTCTTGTCTCATATAGAACAAAGAGTTTGTTGGATGAATACATTCCCATGCTAAAAGTAAAGCACACCAAGTCATTGTAGCAAAAGATGCAGATCTTCCTCTGAAGACCAAGTCACAAGTGTCACTACTTGAATTAGTAGCATTACAATTGACTCCCAAATATCCGTCACCTCTGCCATAAACAATAATACAGAAACAAGCCAAGCAACATGCTGCCATCCAGATACCATATGCAAACATATCATATATGACTTCCCAAGTGAAGATAGTATTGTTAGGCTTTTGTTCTAAGACATCATCTGCAGCCTTTTCACGACCTAAACCCATAGCAGGAAAACACGAAGTAACAACTAAAATCCATAAAACTTCAACTGGAGATAATGGAAAAACAGAGAAACCAGATTCATCAATAAATGCTAAACCAATCATTAAATAAAGGGCTTGAGCAACGTTTTCTGCTAATAATTGCAAAACGAATTTTTGAATGTTGGCTGACATCCTTCTACCTTCTTCCACGGCATTGAGAATGGATGCAAAATTGTCGTCAGTCAAAACAATATCTGAAGCATCCTTAGCAACATCGGAACCGTTAAGACCCATAGCAATTCCAACATCAGCTTTCTTCAATGAAGGAGAGTCATTAACACCATCACCAGTCATAGCAACAAACTTTTCACGACGATGTAAAGCATCAATCATTCTAACCTTAGTTTGTGGAGCACATCTAGCAATTACCAAAGGTAAAACTGGTAAATTATCGATTTCTTCATCTGATAAGGCATCGAATTCATTAGCGGTCATAACCATAACTTTAACGACCTCTTGACTGTAATGGTATAAATTATGAGGTAAAATACCAACTTCTTGTGCAATTGCTTTAGCAGTTCCTGGATGATCACCAGTTAACATACGGACATTAATACCAGCTCTATGACATAATTTAACTGAAGGTGCAGTTTCATTTCTAGGTGGATCATAAATACCAATCAAACCTTGGAATATCAAATTACTTTCAATTTCTTCTCTATTATTTAAATCTATTCCGATATTAGTGACATCCTTAGTAGCAAAAGCTAGAACTCTAAGTCCTTGAGATGATAAAGCGCGCATATTATCTTCAATAAGTTCAATATCACTTTCAGTTAATTCAATAGTTTCTTGAGAATCATACAATTTCTCTGACAGATCATCATTACCGTACCATTGAGTACAACAACTTAACAATCTTTCAACTGCACCTTTTGAATAAACTCTAGTTTCGCCACTAGATTTATCTTTATACACCGAAGACATTCTCTTAATAGAAGAGTCAAATGGGAATTCATTTATATGGTCATAATTGCCCTCCAAAGAGTCCCTACCGTATTGTAATCTAGTAGTGAAGACTTGAATAGCAATTTCAGTAGCATCACCATGGGCCTTCCACACTAACTCATTAGTTTCTTCATCTTTGGATTGATTAACTGTAGCTATATTAGCTAAAGTTGCTGTCATCAACCAATTATGAAAATTCTTAGGCTTTGGATTATTAGGATAAGGTAAACTAAAATCGATTTCTTCATCTGTATCCCTAATGAATTGTGGACTACATTTTGCATATCTGACCTCACCAACTGCTGGATTAAATGGTTCTTCAGCGTTTTGTACTTCAAGAGTACCAATGGTTGGTAACCAGACTTTTTTTGCAATCATTTTTCCTTGAGTCAAAGTACCAGTTTTATCAGAACAAATATCATTTATACCTCCCAAGGCTTCTAAAGAATCTAATTTTCTAACAATTACGTGCTTCAAAACCATAACTTGGGCTCCTACAGCCATAGTAATGGTCAAGACAACAATTAAAGCAGAAGGAATCATAGATAAGGCAACACAAATAGCATAAATTGCAACTTCTTTATTGACTTGCATCTTCTGAGAACCCATCACAATAATAGCAAAAATAACAGCTACACAGAACAAGAAAATTGCTAACCAGGACAATTTTCTTTGTAAAGGTGTACCAACAGTTATACCTAAAATATTACCAATAATGTCTTTAATTGTACCAAAGAAAGCTCTAGGATATTCTACCTTTTTAGGTTTTCTATTGTTTGACTTATCAACTTTTCTAATTAATCCAGTATCAGTTTTTAAAGATTTTGCAATCTTACCGATTTCTGTATTTAAACCGGTACCTATTACAATACCTGTTCCTCTTCCTTTTGATACAATTGAAGAAGCATAGGCTAAGTTTAATCTATCACCAACTGGAATTGGCTGTCCATCATTATTATAGACAAGTGTATGATCTTTTGATACTGGTAATGACTCTCCGGTTAATAAAGCTTCATCAGTTTCCAAATTCATTGAATCAACTAATCTAATATCTGCAGGCACAGTATCACCTACTTTAATATAAACAAGATCACCTGGAACCACTTCTTCGGCAGAAATATTAATATCATCACCACTTCTAGTGACTCTTGCAGTTGGGGAACTAAGAGATCTTAAAGAACCCATAGTTTTTTCAGCCTTAAATTCTTGAATAAAACCGACTGCTATATTAATAAATACTACAAATCCAATTACACCCCCTGAAATCCAATCTTTAATAGCAAATGCAATTACCATCGAGATTATTAAGACTAAAATCATGGCATTAAAGACTTGATGGGCAAGAATTTTAGTATAAGAAATTTTATCTCCATCTCCCAAAGAATTACGACCATATTGGTCTAATCTTGAATCAATTTCTCCAACATGTAAACCATCTTGAATATTTGTGTTGAAAACTTTAGCCACTTTATCAATAGAATATCTATACGATTGAAAAGCAGAATTATCTGGTGAATAGTCAGAGTTTGCAACTATTGATATGGTTGAGCTATCATCGTTAATTTGAGCTGCCAACTTATTTTTTTCTGAAATACTTGAAGTAGGCATTGAAATAGACATGTAATAATTTATTCATATATATATAAGATAGTCTAATAACCTATCTTATTTTATTCTTTATTGTTGTAATTAACCTATTTATAACAATTGCAAGTTAAAATAATTATGGTGTATATAATTAATTCGCGAAGTAAGAGATGAGGAAGGATATTGTCATATTTATAAGGTACGCAATATTTGAACTACGGTGATCGCTTACATTTCCTCTATATCCAAATTGGTACTGATGTATAAATTAATTTAGGCTATTAATATTTCAGTGTCATGTTATATTATATAATAATGGGTTATTTAGTGTGCAACATGATCTTATCAATGCTTTCCTGCACCTAGAATATGCAGCTAAGGCTGCTAAGAATTATTTCTTTTTCTTTTCTATTCTTTATTAATTATTTTTTTTGTTTGTGTAGCTGAATGTCTGGTGCTGCCACTCATCTCGCTATTATTTTTGTGTTACTACATGCGGCTGCCAAGAGTTCAAACTCAATAAACTGGACTCATTTATTTGAGATTGGGGACGCAGCACGTGAACCCCGTGACACAACCACTAATATAGGTAAGAATTTCAGACTGGTTAACTTTATACCTTGGCACATTATGATTATTCCCCACTCGTACATAGAATCTTAATTTCGATGGCCCGAGACACATTCTATTTGTGACAACAGTCGCGTAGCGTGATAAGTTAAAGAGATTAAAGTATAGGGCCAATCAAATGGTTTCTCTTTTAGTTATCAAAGCTGAAGCCTTCCTGTTCTCCAACTTTATCATGACTATTAGTTATAAGTTCAAGTATACATTTGAATTTCCCAACATGTCTTATCTTGACTTTTCTTTTCTTTTCTTTTCTTTTCTTTTCTTTTCTTTTCTTGTCTTTTCTTACTCTTTTCTTGTACTGCTTCTTTTTCTCAGCCATTTTTTCTTAACCGTTTTTCTTGTCAATAACTATATTGCTTGCTGTTTAAATCGCCTATCGGTTTGTATCGGCAAGAAAATGATTCAACATCATTATGAGTTTATCTTCTCAATTTAAAATGATCGGGGAAAAGTTTTACCGATTTGGAACGTTTACATCTAAATTAGAAATCACTTATCGTAATTGTACTACGTTATAGTTGACGTCGTGCGCTTACATAAGCACACGAATCATTACAAAGATCAATCCAAGACTTTTATGACGAATGTGTGTTTCTATTTGTAATTACGGTATAGTTCCAAGACTTAGAAATCGGATTGTTAAGACTTTTTCTCCCAGGTGATTTCAGGAGCTGGAACTATTCAACAGAGCAATTATTTTGATTAGTTCCCTTAATGGAGTTGAAGGACAGCTGAAACTCAGTAATCCTCGGAGTTGCCATTGGCTTCGGCTTCGGCTTCGGCTTCAGCTTCGGCGAGATTTCTGCATTCCATACTGTCGTGCGATTGAATATGACTAATCGGCCTAATTCAATACTTTCAGCCAAAGGCAAGGGAATACATACATGTACATGTAGTATTTTAGTAGACTTTTTATTATACGTAGAGACTATAAGATTGTCTTATTAGTAAAATCACTCATAAGAGTACGCAACTGATACAATAGTTTCTCATTGTACCTATTTCTTTCTAACCCTACATATCACACCTTGAAATATAGGTACTTTGTACTTACAGACAGAATGTACGCTTGATAAAAATGGTTGTTAAATTGTCAAGTATCGACAGGCTCACTGAAAAAAATAAAAGTGAAAAATGAAAAATGAAAAATAACCAAAAAGTACTGGCAACTGTGCAATTTTAACATGTCAGACTCCTCAGATGCTGACAATGAGATAATTGAGTTGATAGACAAAGGGAACTATCAATTGGCTCAATCATTAATTTCCAAAAAGATCAAAAAGTTTCCTCAAAAGACTCTTTACTATGCCTTGAATAATGAAATTTTGTTCAAGAGAGGTGAAACTGAACAAGCTATTCAAAATAATTTAAAATTAGTAGAAAAGATACCCAATGATAAACTCACATTATCGACATTATTCAAATTTTTTGAAGCTGTCGGGATGGAGAGAGAGTCTAATTTGGTTTATGAAAATTCTATCAAGAGATATCCCATCAATAATGAATCCACCATTCTTGAATGGTTTGAAGGTTCGATAAGTAAATATAATTTAAAGTCCTTTAATAAGATATTCGTTAATTTACACAAATCAGCCAAAGAAAATAGACTATACACTTTTTGGCTTGCATTCAGCTATTACTTATTGATAGTCAATCGGAATACTTTAAAGATCAGCGATAAAGAAGTAGAGTTATATAAATCTTTAGGGCTTAAGATTATTGAAGAATTACATCCATTGGTAAACTCTCAGGAGCTATTTGTCTATGTCTCCTTATTGAAATTGTCTAACAGAGATGATGATGTAACTACTGTACTTAAAGGTAGAAGTGACCTCGATTTAGAGTTAAAGTTGATTTATCTTGTAAGCTTAGAATCAACCAGACAATGGTCAACACTTAAAGAGTATACTTCCAAGCTATTATTTGAAGAGGATTTCAATGATTTTGATACTTGGAAGTTGTGGATCAATTCTAATAATAAGTTAAAATTATCAAGTGAAGATTTGATTTCTAAGATTAATTCAATCAAACCTACAAGAAACTCAACTTTATCATTAATCGAAATAGCAAAAGCATATGGTGATAGTCTCAACCAACCAATTATCAACTATTATAATAGATACAATCATAAAATTTGTTGTTTTTATGACTTGAAGGGTTATCTTACTGATACAGATACGGCTGAATTTTTCACTTTAGTAAACAATTCTACATCAGAATTATTGTCATCGTCTCCAAGCTCAGTAGATGATTTGATCAGGCTCATCAATAATCAAAAATTCAATTATCTTTTATCGCCTAATTTGGATGTTGATTCTTACAATGATAAGACATGGAAAATCTATGATATTTATAAAGATAATGAATCAATTCGTGGGAGTGAATTCGATAATAATCCTTTAAGCGATCTTGTGCTTATTTCAATTATAATTGATTTATCTCAAGACAGTAGCATTGAAAGTATTATCAATAGGATTACATTATTGCAAGGCTTATTAGAAAAAGATAAGTACAACCACAAATTGAAATTATGGTTGATGAAGTTGTATTGTAATTTAAATACCAATGATGCAACTTTAAAATTGTATCAGAGTATGAATATCAAAATGACTCAACATGAATCATTAAGTCATTACTTAATTGGTCTTAATCCTTCCAAAGATAACTTGACAGAGCTTGTTGATATTTTCAGATTTTATTTAACATCAGATAGAGAAATCCAATCTAGTGTTTTTGAAGGGTTTGATAGAGGAGTATTTACAAAATTAGAAAGTTTTATTAGTTTTGGGAAAAGATTATCAAACTCTGTATCCAGAAATCTCATTATTTTGAATGTGATCAGATTCTCTGTTGTTTTAGGAAATAGTAACTATATCAATTATTTTATTAACTTAATAAAGTATCAGGCAGACACCATTATACAGGGAGAAATTATAGACAATAGAGATATAAAATCTGAATGGAAATTTGGTCTAGTAGATGAAAAGTCCAAAAATTTCGATACTACTTTGCTCAATGATCCTATTAATGGTGATCAAGTAAATAGTTCTTTGATCAGATTAAATATCTTGAAATATCTTATTATTTTTGAATCAAAGGATACAACCATACAAAAATATCTTAAATTGTATAATAAGTTGTTATCTAGCTTCAAACCAAAGCTTGCATTTGATGGTTTATTATTGAAGTTAAATCACAACATATTAAAGTTGTTTAAATTAAAAGGTCAATTGAATGAAAATGAATATAGTTCATCATTGAACTTTTTCCTCAAAAACTTCAAATTTGATAAGATTAAAACTAGCCTAATTCCTAAATCCTATTTATCTTGGGAATTAAGTCACAATTTAACTAATTTAGTAGAATTGGTGCAAATTATTAATATCTTATTAAAAGTGGTGAAACCATCAAAGGAAATACAAGACATAAAGGATTGTACAGAACATATGATATCAGATTTGAAAAAGTTTAAATTTAAGGACTTACAAATACAAGAACTCGATGAAATAATTATATCAAACAAGCTTTCTGATTTATCCCTTCAAGATAAGGGAAATGGAACCCATATAAAAGGTTCGATCGTTAGCTCGGCAGATACTTTGCTCAAAATCATACAAAACCTTAAAGTCAACTGAACTTAGTTGTTTATAGATACATATTTTATTTGAATTCAGGACCATTGATGCCTAACATTGTCGTCATTTCATTAATTCTCTTGATACCTAAATGTAGTAAATATTTTCTATGATTGAGATCGGTTTCTTTTGCGTTAACATTGAATTCGCCCTTAGTAAATTCCAATAAATCCGTTTTCTCATGTGATTTATAAATTATTCGAAGAACATCTCTATATATCTGTTTTACCCTCTGCCTGAAAAGAAATTCTTCTAGAGACAACACATTTCGTAACCTCTTTTTGGAAGAGCCCAATGCTCCATTTGTTATATCAGCAGTTACTTTAGAAGCGAATGCCCCTGAAGTGCCCGATAAATATCGTACGACTACTCTCATTGACTTAGAGATCATTCACCATAATTTATATCGTACTAACTATTTTACGTAATGTAACTTTCTCGGAAATGGACATTACACGACTTTTTATGTTAACTTTAAATTAAATTCTCTCACAATATGCATTGACCAAGACTTCACAGTAGACTCTGGGGCTGTATACTTAAAACTACAAATTGATGCAAAAAAACAGTAAAAACGAAATTCAAAATAACTACTTAACCATAGGATCTAATATATAGAATTTATGTTATACATTTAAACACCAACCCAGTTGAATGTTTTTGAGGTAGAGAATTTACCTTCAAGTTTGATATCATCAGAAGAAGTACCAACTAATACCTTATAGTCATCTTTATCAGATTGCCATTGCTTTTTCAAACCATTCCAATATGATGTAGCTTCTTTAATACTTATAGAAATCTTGATTAATCCTGATTCCCCTGGAGCTAAGTTAATCTTACCAAAATCTTTCAATTCCTTGACTGGACGATTAATGCTTGGATTCTCTTGTTCAATATATATTTGAACAACTTCAGCACCAGCAACTTTACCAGTATTAGTAACTTGGAGTTGAATATCAATGGAGCCATCAAAAGATTCAACAACTAAATTATCAAGTTCAAATGTGGTGTAAGATAACCCGTAACCAAATGGAAACAATGGCTTTAAATCAACTTTTTCAAAATATCTGTACCCAACAAAAACATCTTCACCATACCAAACTTGACCATTTGTTGATCCAAAATTGATATAAGAAGGACTATCCTGTATTCTCTTTGGGAATGTCATTGATAATTTACCGGAAGGATTATAATCTCCAAATAAAACATCAGCAATAGTATTACCTAATTCATTACCTCCATACCAAGCATGAACTAAAGCAGGTACTTTATCTAACCATGGTAATGCAACTGGAGAACCAGATTGATTTACAACAATAACATTTGGATTAACCTTTACAATTTCTTCAATTAACTGATTTGTAAATCCTGGGATATCCATATCTGGTCTATCAAAACCTTCAGATTCCCATTCCTTAGAAAGACCAGCTACAACAATTACCTTATCAACACTCTTAGACAATTCAACTGCTTTTTTAATTTCAACTTCCGGGGTTGATTTAATACGTATACCAAAATAAACACCACCAGCTTCTACTGGACCACCTTCTAAAGTATAAGTCGGAGCAGTACCAAATTCTACTCTAACATTGTAAGACTTGCCCTTCTCTAATTGAACCGAACCTCTTTCTTCTCTAGTACCCATTCCTAAGAAGAAAGCATCCCCCTTAGTTTGTTTAGTCTTATTATCAGCAATCAAAACATCATCAACAAAGACTTGAGCTGTACCCAAACAGGAGGCTCCAAATTCATACTCAGCAGTCTCATCAGGAATAAAAGTACCTGTAAAATCAGCATAAAATAAAATATCATTTGTTTCCAATTTGTCACTTTTAAAATCAGAAAGAAAAACTTTGGATGTATTCAATTTATAGTTTGCTAATAAAAGTCTATCACCCTTATATCCAGGAGGATGCTTATAGAATCTAGCATTTATTCCCTTTTCACCTTCTTCATCAATCAATACATCTCCTACATCAGGTAAATTTCTATCTAAAAATGCTCCCAAAGTATACTGCAAACTAACAGTATTGTTACCTTCTTGAATTTTATTTTTAATACCTTCCCATGGAGTAATCTTGTAACGAGCTGCTAAGGAAGCAGAACCACCACCAGAATCTTGAGCAGCCTTGGCATTTGGACCAATTACAGCGATCTTTTCTTGACCTTTAATTGCAGTTTTAGATAAAGGTAATATATTATTTTCATTCTTTAATAACACAATCGATTCATCACCAACTTTTCTTAATAATTCACCGGCAGCAGGATCTTCATTGGCAGACTCAATAACATCATCTGGAATTTCAGCTTTTAAACCTTCATTGACAAGTTTTAAAACATAACGGACATTGTCATCGATCACCTCTTCACTAATTTGATTGGCTTGAACAGCATGAACAGCCTGTACTAATTGTCTAAATCTGGTTGGACCAGGCATCTCAAGATTCAATCCGGCATCTAAGGCTTCCTTAGTAGAGTAAGTACCGAACCAATCTGACATAACAGCACCATCATATTTGAACTCTTTTCTTAAGATATCTTGTAAGATGGCTTTGTTTTGAGAAACATGTTCCCCATTAATCTTGTTATAAGAAGTCATTAAGGCCTTTGGATTAACATCTCTAATAGCAATTTGGAATGGCTTCAAATAAATTTCACGGAAAGCTCTATCAGTCAATAATGTATCAACTGCCTTTCTCTCATCTTCCTGATCATTACAAACGAAATGTTTAAGACAGGCTACAACTTTTTCGTTTTGGATTCCTTTAACAATACTAGAAGCAGCAATACCTGATAATAATGGATCTTCGGAATAACTTTCAAAAGATCTACCACCTAATGGAGAACGAACAATATTACATGTAGGTCCCAAAATTACAGAAGCTCCTTTCATTTTAGCTTCTTTTCCCATTAATTCACCGGCTTCGACCAATAATTCTTTGTTGAAAGTCGCAGCTAAACCAGTTCCACATGGGAAACAATTAGAAGGAATACTATTGAAAAATTTTGTACCTCTAACCCCATTAGGACCATCAGAAACTCTAATTGAAGGGATCCCTAATCTTGGAATTGGTACGGTGTGCCAGAAGTCTTTCCCGGCTAATAATGAAATCTTTTCAGATAATGTTAATTCTTCGATTAAAAAATCGATATCTAACTGCTTATAGCTAGTAGTTTTAATAGGACTCATGGTTACTATTTAGAAAAGTTAGAGCTATAAAATTATTTAGATGTTTTTATCAAAATTTACTGATTTTTGTTATATTTGGGAATTCGATTATTTATATACCAGCAATAAAAGTTACAAAAAAATTAGTAAATAATAATAATTCTTTGAAATAGGAGTATCTATTTAATAATACGATTGTATGCTGTCGGTATGAATAATGCCGTTGAATTCCATATCTAACTATTTGTTTATGATCGTTTTAATCGAATCAAGGAAAGATACAATGAGACGCAAGATAATGACCAAACATTAATCATTCCTTAAGGTAATACGCAAGGAGGGGTCGTAAATACTTGACTTAATTAGCAACTGAAGTGCATCTAGTGATTTGAATTACACTTCGAAACTCTGGGGAAGAAAGAAAAACCCAACTATTTCGTGCTCTCCAGATTTTTTGATATACGCGCCTGCATTATTGTGTCAGGATACCATTCTTAATTAGGAAGGTCTTCCTTTAAAGTGGGGTAGAATCATTTTTTTTACTGAAGCCAACTCACTCAGAAATATTTCCGAGTTAGATGAGGTGATTCTGCCGAGTACATAATATACCGGCTTGCATAGCACTGGTGGAAAGGAGACTGAAAGAATAGCCTCATATTCTGGAGTTGCCTCTAGACTGATAGTTTGAGATCGGATTCTTTGGTTTTCGAAGAATCTTAGAATTATCGGATCAAGTAAACTGGTCTGATCTGGATTCATTAGCAATTTAGTATCATAGTAGCAGAAACGGTTTAGATCGATGGAGGGGTGATCTTGTGACTTATCTAGTTACCTCATTCAGAGACTATCCCGCATTTCCCGCATGGACCTAAGCACCAATTTTGTGTCTGTTTCTGGGAATAGTGTTCCATTAGGCAGTCAATGCAGTTTGTCTCTGGCAACTTCTAGGTTTTGGCCAGTCCCACCAAAATCACAAACATGTATCTTCCAAAGCCTTTGAATATGCGTAAAATAGTAATAGAAATTTGTAGACAAGGCTTACTATTGTCGCCTATTGTCGGGAAGCAATCACTGGTGCAACTTTACCCAAACGACGAAATCAGGCTGCGAAATCTGGGATTCTTTGGTTCCAGATGTCGGATCCTGGAGTAAGGACGCAATTCTCGGCAAATTTGTCCACCATCGTTATGTAGATTATCCCCAAATTTGATCCAGCTCATATAAGCCTCTCTCCGATTTAGATCTGATGCTCATCTTGCTTAAATTATGGAACAGACAGCTATAAACTCTATATTTTGCTGTAGGCAATGGAACAGCACACAAGTAAGATTTGACAATATCACCAACGCTGGCACTTATTGCTTACAGTGTAGCTCTTAAGTTCAGATTAACGCAAAGCCGTTGGAGTTTTCACCATCCCAAAATAGATGGATTTCCTTTTCTTCTAGTTTTAGAATCTTATGAGCTCACTGTGTAAATTAGCCGGTGTAAAAGTATTTCTTTTTCTGGTTTTGTTGTGATCTGTGCCAATTGTTTTTGTAAAGTACGGGGCTTATTTAAATAAAGTTTTACAAAGATCATGCCCTGTAGATTCAGCACGGGTTACAATGACTTGATTTGAATTGTAGAGAAATTCACATTTCTACGCAATAATTTTATAATAATTATAATAGGTACAATTTATTGAATATATGTAAGGACTATATATACCTTTATGGTAAAAAAAACAATTAATGACAAAGTTGTCAGCATATTAAAGAATTGAAACTCATAATTTTATGGAATTAGAATAAATTCAGCTATCTTAAACTCTTTCACCAACCTTCTCGTTAGAAGAGCTACCGTCTTCAACGTGTTCGAAGCCTGGTTTTTCAACAGGAGAAGAGAGTCTTCCTAAGGTGGCACCAGCATCATCACCAAAGACAACAGCGACTTCTTCTAAGGTGTAACCGAATGTTTCAACGAAGAAGAAGTAAACAATAACCAATTCACAGGCCAAGACACAACACCAAACAATATAGTATTTCCATTGGATGGCTTCCATGGCAATTGGGTTAACGTAACCATTGTAGACAAGAGTACATAATTGGGTAAAGTACATAAGATTAAGACCCTTGGCTCTGTGTGAGTATGGTAAGACTTCAGTGGCATATAAGAATGGTAAACCGTTAGCACCAATATCGTATGAGAAGTAGAACAAGAAGATCATGGCAAGAACACCTCTACCCAAGCTCTTGTCTTCAAAATTACGTTGTTGGTTAATAGCTGAAAGAATAGTCCAAATAATGTAACAAATAAGCATACCAGAAAGACAGACTAAGAATTGTGGTCTTCTCTTGAATCTGTAAGTAAGAAGAGCAGCACCAACAGAAATAACAATGTTGAAGACTTGCAAACAACCATTAATCTTTAATTGTTCAGTACTTGATGTGTAACCAATACTTTCTAAGACCAAAACAAGATAGTAAGAAATTAAACCGTTACCAGACATTTGCATAAAGAAAGCAGTGAAACAAACTAAGAATAATCTCTTTCTGTAGGTCTTAATGGTGAAGAAATCGAAATAAGAGGATCTAGCGTATAACTTTTCCAATTCCAAAGCAGACTTAATTTCTTTAATTTCAAATTCAACCAAGGCGTCGGCTCTTTCATCAGTAGAGTTACCAGTGTGGAATCTCTTAAGAATGGATCTTGCCTTTTCTTCTTTACCATGGTCAATCAACCATCTTGGAGATTCAGGACAGAACCATAAAGTCAAAACTTGAATACCTGGTAAAATAGCTTGCAAGTAAGAAGGAATTCTCCAAGATTTGTCACCATGCATGTTTCTAGTACCGAAAGTAATCCAAGCTGCAAGAATTGCACCTAAGTACCATAAAGTGTTGAAAACAGCAGTACAAGAAGATCTGTAACTTGGGAAAGAAAGTTCAGCGATCCAAGCTGGAGCACCGGTTAAAGCAATACCAACACCAAAACCAATAATAATTCTAGAAACTAAGAAGAAAGCATAGTTAGTAGATGCCCCTTGCAAGATACCACCAATAAAAGAAATAATAGAACCAAAAAGAACACCAAATTTTCTACCCCACTTATCGTTAAGATAGGAAGCAACAGAGACAGCAATAATAGAACCGAACATAGTACCGTTGGCAAGAGAACCTAACTTATATCCGGTTGGGTTACCCATGGTACTTTGCCATGAATCAAGAGCTTGAACACCGTTCAACATAGAACCATCGTAACCGTTATTAGTGGAGGCCAATGCAATCAAGGAAATCAAAAAATGTAAATATCTGAAATGACCATATTTCCACCAACCATTAGTTTGGAAAAAAAAATCACTAACATCGATATTTGGATCGTTCAAGATATTTTGTTGTTCGTCAATATGATCATTCATCGAAAGGGAATCGGTTTGATCCTTGACGTTGTTAATTTTGTCAGACATTTTTTACTACTATAATGCACTTTATAGATCGTCCAGCGATAGAAGCTTGTAGGTTGTAGTACTAGCAAGTGTTTGTTAAGATAATGAATATTTAAATCTTGGGGACATCAACAGGGAGATGCAGTGTATTTATACAAAACTTTTGGAATTATGGTTGGCTCCAAACTTAATATTAGGCATTAAGATTTATGATTTGGCTTAGGGCCCGATATGACAGGGGAGCAATGCCCAGATAGGAAGGTATACATCTTCTCCAGACTATAATGCTAGAGAATATGTACCCCACCTTTTGAAAGGTGTGATCCCCTCCTTGTTGAGCAGACATTTTACTTTTTGTCTGGGTTGACGCTTGCAAAAATATCGAAATTAAATAATTTTTTTGCATTAAAAAATATGGATTGTGCGTAAACTGTAAAAACCTTACAGTCACAAATAGGAAGACATCATTGTAAGTATTTACTTGCTGGCATTTATTAATTCTTATTCAGGTAATAGCATCCTAAGAGAGTACAATACAATAACTGCAATACAATGTAAGTGTAGATAGTTATTAGGTGGAGCTATAAAGTGGAGTAATGGTAATAACTGTAGTTATACTTATTGTATTAAATCAATTTATGTAATTTTAGGCTACGAAGTATCTGTAGAGAATTTTTGACAACAATAGTTTCATAATAGGAAATAACTAGACGAATTACAACTAGGACAATTTAATCGAACGAATTTAAAGTTTATGTTTGAGTATTTCCCTGTATGTATAGGTGGTTAGACCTTTCTTGAAATATTGGATTAAAAAGCTAAGGCACAACTAGAATCAAAATACATATTATTTTCAAGATGAACACAAACTCTAAACAAAAGCTCGATCCCAACAGTCAACAGTACATGATCAATCTGAAACAATATACCTCTCGTATCTAAAAAGCATCATTGAAGTTCGTCATAGGTTTTGTGTTATCGATTGCAACAGTTGAGTGGCAACATCCTTACCGCACTTGGTATAACCCCGATATTGCAAATTGTCTGAAGATGCATGTTCAATGAATATTTTTTAAAAATTGCGTAACATTTGAAAACGCAATCTGGATTCATTTCCTAAAACAATGCAATAACCTGGGGTTCATATCGCAAGTGGGGTACGAGGGGGTACGTGTTTAGTCAATAATGTCTAATCTGAATTACATTGACCCTCTAATTATTAACATAATACTAGTTTATGTGTATTATTATCTATACCTAAAGCCAAGCTATATACTTAGATAATGTAATCGGAGATTTAAGACCGATAACAAAAACTCAATCAGTAGTCCTTCAATATAGCGTTCAATTCTCCTCTTTGTTCAACATTTTCAAATTTGAAAGAAGCAGCTAATTCATCTAATTCTTCAAAACTTAAGCCAACAAATAAATCAGCATATTCATGTTGAGCATATTGGGAGAAAAGCATATCCTTGGTGACACGGAAAAGGTAGTCTTGAACAGTCCAAACGTGAGGATATAAAGCTCTGTGATACTTTTCTGGTGTATTAGCATGAACATGGTCAATCAAGTTTTGATATAATTGATTGTATTCTGGGTCAATATCATTACCCCATCTATCTAAACCTAACTTCTTCTTCTTAAGTAAAAATTCTCCGAATACTTCAAACCATTTGGACTTTGGTGAGACATAAGTCAATCCTTGATAGCCAATATCTTTGTATAACCAGATAGACCATGAAATTGGAGTTCCATCACCAGAAGGATCACCCTTTTTGTACACAGCCAATTGATCTTTTAAAACATTATAACGAGCACGATTAATAACTTCTGGGTTCTTATCACCTCTAACTTCGGAAGCATAAACTGGACCAAATTCCCCATTCCAAACAGGGACATTATGTTGTTTATGATATTCGATTTTTCTTTCATATTGTACTTTCAACTTTTCAGTTTCAGCTTCAGTACCTTTGTAAAGAGTACCTTCGATATTTGGGAATCCATAAGTTGAATAATCATGGATTGAGTACACTGAATTTGGAATAAATTCTGATGGAGCTGGAAATTGTCTGAAATCCATAGAGTAGGTGTTACCATCGAGGAAAAAGATATGGTTTGGATCAACTGCTCTAACTGCTTTATCTAATCTGGTATAGAATTTTACAAGCTTAGAATGGTCTGGTACAGCTGGCTCATTTAATGGATTGTAACCTGCTACCCAAGTGTTATCTTTATAGTGTTTGGCTAACTCAACCCAAAGATTAACAACAACATCTTGAAAAACTTTAAAATCCCAGAATATTGACTTATGGATACCTGAATCAGCATGCCAATCTTGATTTTGACCACCTGGAGTAGCGTGTAAATCTAAAATGGTATAAATTCCATATTTTGAACAGATATCAATAACTCTGTCAAGTCTTTCAAAACCCTTTGGTAAGATTTTGAACATATCAGCTTCATCATCGACGAAGTGACGGTAGTTGAAAGGAATTCTTAAACAGTTGAAGCCTAATTCATTTTTATAGAATTCGGCATCTTTTTCAGTCCAGAAATATTCGTAGAATTTATCAAAGAAATATTCGAACTTCTCTTCACCAATCTTGGATTTAATGATTTTTTTATGTTCAGTTTCATGACCAGGATAACCAGTAATAAAATTTTCCATATTTAAGTGACCACCAATGGCAGTACCTTTTAAAACGACAGGTTTGCCTTTTGAATCAACGATCTTGGTACCTTTGGTAGTTAAAAATCCAGCAGTCATTTTTAAATTTTAATGTGATTTATGTCTATAAGCTTATTGAAAAACGACAACAACAGATTTCTCAATAATAAAATTTAAATAAAAATATGGATAACTTCAAAACGTTATATATGATTTATGTTGAAGTATAAAGGTATATCCTTCCGATAGTCGAGCCGATCTTACTAATATAAAATGTTTGTGAAATTATAATAATAGAAATAGGCTAAGTAATAAACGACACAGTAAATCAAAGTAGGAAAGTCGTAGAATACTTTACATGTATATTATATTATTTCAATAAATTCTTTAGCAATAAGGTCCATACATATTTACTTTCGCTTCGACTTAAGCTGATATTTTGGCGGGTTAATTTGCGTTTTTAAGAATTGCGGAACAATGTATCGTTTTAGGAAACAAAATGAATAGGTATTATCAATTTTTTTTATTACTAACTAAATATCTGTTCTTATGGTCTATGATCAGGCTCAAGTATTAGATTAGTCGACTCTACCTTCTTATCAATTTGATTCCTGACAATTTAGCTCACTTAAGGAGCCTACTTCTGAAATCTGGGGAATTTGATTTGAACCCAAGAAAAAAAATTTAGTGGGATTTAGTGGTCAAGAAAAATTGACAGCGAAGGAAGGTAGTAGAGAGAAAAAGGGTTGAATGATGAGTTTTGCTAAACTTAAAATGCAAACATTAAATGCGACTAAATATTTCCAGGTTTCAATTCCTATTTGGGAGTTATTCCCAGTGTAGGGCTGCCCATGAGATGAGACGAAAGGTGAACAGGAAAACATTCCCAAATAGGAAGTGGTCGCAGATTTTATAAGGAACGTTTGTGTCTGGGGAATGGAACTGACCACCTACCCCACAAAACGCGCAGCGCATTAAACCATTAACTTTAAGTTAGAGTTCAACAATGACATATGCGTTCGATACGTAAATATAGTCTTATTTAGAATTTGGGAAAGACCTTCCAAACTACAATTAAATAAAACTGCCAGGCGGGTCATTGGTAATTTAACTGCAAAAAGAGTTTAGTAACACCAGTGACTTAGCAATAGTCGTCTACATGTAGCTGGGCACTGCTTCTTATCCAGAGTCGTGAACAGATTTCATTATTTAATGGCATAGCTGAATTAGTAGGCAAAAATATTTATGATTTCTCTAAAATATTATCAGAGATGTCAAATGTAGATGTTATCAGTAAATAGTATCGTATAATATGCAAGAAAGAACGATGAACGAATAAAAGAAAAATGTAACAAAACAAAAGGAGGGGCGAGAAACTGTAACCTAGAATTAAACATGCAATTATCGAACTTGTAAATCATTGCCCCACGACTACTCCATAAAAAATTACGAATTTTTACCCCGTAATAAATGGCTTACACTCAAGCCACCAAGTGGCACAGATTCTAAAGTCAGACCTATGAAACAATCATCTCACCTCCCGTAAATAAGGAAAAGGCAAAAAAAATGTACAAAAAAAAATACAGCAAACCAATAGGGAACTTGATAGAGAATATTTTTTTGAGCTATGAAAATAGTTTAGATTTTATCATTTCACCCCTCTTTTTGCAGGATGACTCGGTATCAGAAGCAGCACCAGAATCTAGTTGAAGTGCTCAAAAAAATAATTTGATTAGTTGGCTTCGCTAATTGCTTTGTAGATGTTTAAGATTTCCAAAAACGATTGTGGGGAAAGATGAGTTATCTGTATCTAGCCGCATTCGAGTAAAATTTGAAGATCATTCAAAGTCTAATCATGTAGTCAGACAATTTATCCTTTATAATATAATTTTTAATTTAATCCTATGGTCTAAACCTTTTATGCGCCAATTTACAGTCTTCGGCTAATAGAGTTACAATACCGAGAAAGAAAATCTCAGAAAATTTCTACTTTTGAATGTTAGTTTCACGTAGCTCTAATGTCAGAGATCTATAAGGTCATGCAAGCAAACAGACACTAAACACAAGTTCTCGTACTTTAGGTCGAAATGTATTATCAAATACACTACATTTCTGTATACTAACTAGTTGCTTTGCTGTAAATTGTCGTCCGGTCATGGAAATTCATCCGGATGCAAAAATTGTCAGACAAAAACTTTGTTTTTTTGAAAATTAAAAATAAAAGGAAATAAGTTTAAAGTTAAAAAAATACTGCAAAAATGTGGGGGGTAACATATTGCCAGTATAAAATAAAGGTAACATGTAAAATTCGACGGTTTTGTGTGTTTGTGTGCTTAGCTAGGTTGAGAATAGTCATAATCATTTAAGTTCAGTACGTCTACATTTTATTTACTCAAAGATGAAATGCCCCACATATGCGTATTGTCTATTTGATTGATTTTTGTCTTGTGCATCGAGCTCTGCATTTCAAGTGGCTCTATATCGTTAGTGTTATCATCTGCAAAAGATTTTTTTTTTAAGCAATATACCCCAGACTGGATTTTAGTCAAAAGTTGCTTATTCTTATTATTATTTAATAATATTGAAGCCAGTATTCAGACAATTAATATTTTTGTCAGAAAACGCGAGAATGTATCTTCTCCATCATTAATTGCTTAATTATCTTATCCATTTTACAGATCTACGTGTACTGCTATTTATAATATTTTATAGTACTTAACTCTATTATTGCTACTTGGATTACTTGTGCTACAAGAAATATCAATAGTTCTTACTTTTGAAAAGTTAATTCATTATTATAAGCTTATCAACATTTGTTCAAGCTGCAATTATTTTATTCTGATTAGTTCCTGAATCTACAAGATACTTTGATTTCTTAAGGAAATTTTGAAAGGGATCATACAAAAGTGCCACAATGAAACTGATCAGGTAGAAATATCTTATAAAAAGTTGTATTTGAAATCGAAGAAATTTGAGCTGCATTAGAATTGAAGGTTTATTCCACTCCTAGATACGTTATTTCCAATTGGTTCTTTTAGAAAGAAATCATCCTTATGTTTTTCACTTCTTCCAAGATGTAATTTTGTGGCAATTGATTAGTCTTATACTATTAAATAAGGTTTTAGATTCAATTGGCATTACTGGAATTAAGCAATAATTAAAATTGAAAGGTTGTTGGAGGTTAGTTGCTGCTATGTTGTCTGCGTTGATCATTTATAAATTCAAGAGAAAATTATAGTCTTTATTTCTGGTAGATTAACAGCTATATTTTTTGAAGGGCCCTTTAATCTGATAATCAAAAGAGAAGTTTAACAAAAAGACCTATCTAATGGTCTTCTTGTAATGAGTTTTCGTTATAGTTTGTTTATGATTTTGGTGCCAATGGTTTACTATATTTATTATATTTATTATATCGCTGGAAGCTTATCGTATTCCCAAGAAGAGAACGCTCTTAATAATTGCCAAATGTCTCACCAAGACATTCTTCTTTATAATGGTTTTGTAAATCCAATTGCTATGGAAGCTATAGAATGGAAGTACTATATTATCTACTGTTGTATGACTATTTTTGAATTGGGTTGGTTTACTTATTTTAAGTTCCATCAGAAGAAGTTGCTACTGATTTCCGTTGTGAATTATTTGTTTTGGTTGTCCCATTTTATTAATACTAATTCAAATAAGTTAGTACATAAATTCATTGTATTTTATATATGAAAGTATCGGTAAAACATTTACGAGTAGTGCTGATACCGATCTCGCAAATAGATGCAAAAAATGCCAGATCTAATTTTATCAGATAACTTAAATTTACCAATTCACGACTAGCAACCAACACATGTATACCAAGAGTGATACAATTCTCACTGGATATATTAGATTTCCTTGTCGGATGTATCAACAATAGTTTCCCTTAAACTGTTTCATGTTTAGCAAAGATTGCTACCAATCTGAACATGCCAAGACGCGTCCACGGTGTATTGTTATAAATAAAGTAACTAGAAAGTAAACATTAACAATAAAACCAACATTACGTGACATGGCATCCAATGAGTTTAAATACCCATTGGCGTAGGACTTGATTTAGGGAGTACACGTTAATATGGCCGCTCTCGGATTTCATGGCCACTGCGATAAATGCGAAAAAATATAACACAAACTCAACCCAGCTTTAAAAGAAATTTTGTGCACCATCGCCTCTGTCGGACATATCGCAATATTTTTGCAAACTATATAGCTATGAGTGAATCCACTGTTGTTTTAAAAACAGTGTGGTTTTTCTTTTGTAAATCAACTAGATATCACTTCTTACTTTAACTGTCTATTTAGAACGTAAAAATGTCTTCCATTCAAACTGTCGGTGCTACTACCAAATTAAGTCAACATGAAATTCTTCCCGCCAAAAACGATGTTGGTGCTTTAGCTAATAGAATTAATGCAGAAACCAGAGGTCATCATGATAAAGTAGATAAGATGATGAGTCTTCGATTTGCTTTAGCTCTTAGAGATGCTAAAATTTATCGTCAAGGTTTACAAAGTTTCTATCATGTTTTTGCATCTATTGAAACAAGTTTAAGTAAACAATTTGAGAAGGATGATCAATGGACTGAGATGTTAAAGAGTGTATGGAAACCAGAAATTGCTAGACGTGAAAGAGCTGAACAAGATCTTTTATTCTATTATGATGATAGAAAGGATAAATTCATTGAACCAATAATGCCTGAACAAATTGCATTCTCCAAACATATACTCGAAGTAACTGAAGCAAAACCATATTTGCTTTTTGCTTACTTGCATGTCATGTATTTAGCTTTATTTGCTGGAGGAAGAATAATGAGATCATCGTTTGCAAAGGCTACTGGATTATTTCCTCAAAAGAATGGTTTAAAACATGAAGAAATTGTCAAGTTAGGAACAAATTTCTTTGCATTTGATGTTGCAGATGAAGATTTATTAAGAGTAGTCTACAAAAGAGATTATGAATTAGTGACTAGAAATGGATTAACAGAAGATCAAAAGTTGGAAATTATTGAAGAATCGAAATATATTTTTGAACAAAACGGAAAATGTATAATGGAATTGGAACAACACAATTTACAAAGATTACGTAACAAGTGGTCTTACTTTGTTATAACTAGAGGATATTATGTCTTCTTAGCTATGGCAATTTTAACTGCATTATTCTTCCTTAGAAGAGTAATTCTCCATTTATTGTGAAGATGAAGAATTCTAATATATATACTTATTGAACCTTCTTCCGGAAAGAGGTTTGCGGCTATGGAAATACTAAAACAATTATTACCCTTAATTTTTGAATTTTTTATTTTTCTCTATGTATACTAATGTACAATATAAAACATATACTTGTTTACTCATCATCATCATCTTCTTCTTCTTCTTCCTCATCTTCGACATCATAATCCTCCTCATCGTCTGAAAGTTTTTCATTTCTTTCTGCAGCAGCAGCAGCGACTTCAGGGTCCAACTCATTGGTTACGCCTTGGGGGTGATCTTTTACCCAAGCGGCAGTCCATTCAAAAATTCTAGCGACATTGTCTTCCATCTCTTCGACAGAATTTGAAGTTAACTGTATTACTATTTCTGGAACATATGAACGTCTTGCTTCATCAGCAATAATTTCCATAATTTCACAGTCAAGATTTTCTTGAATCTTATTATCTTTATAACCCCTTTTCTTCAATCTGTCATATAATAAACTATTATCAGTTCGTAAGACTACCACCAAATCGATCAATCTTTCAGGGAAAATCTCACAACAATGCCAATCTACTAGTATACCACCTTTTTCTAAGTCCGGTTCCAAAGAATCCAATAATTTATCTTCATCAACAACAGATGTATCTAAAACTTCATCATAACTATCTATACATCCACGTTCTTTTGCAATATCTGATATAGAAAAATGTTGAAAATCATATCCTTTAACTTTAATTTCATCATTTAATTGACTAACCAAACTTTCGGAATGAGACGTCTTACCACACCCTGGAGTACCCGTAATTATTATATTAGGAATGTATCTTCTTGACATTATTGCTTTATGATTGCAAAATTCTTACTTAACTGTTTACGATCACAGATGAGATTCGCTTTTTATAAAAAAAAATTCTAGTAAGAAAAAAGGTCGTGCGTACTTATAAAAAATTCTCCAGTACCTAAAATTACTGTAACAAGGAACCAATTTCGAAACTAATGAATTCACTACTGGATTAAACTGATTACTATTTTGCATCAAACAATTTGTTCAGATGCGTATGTATAAGAATTTACATTGAATCTTTAATTACTGAATTTATAAGTATTTTTGCTAACAAATTTTATGATTTCTAGCGGCTCTACCTCCAGGATTATCATCGAGTAAGCCTATAGCGAATAACGATAATAATAATAATAATAATAATAGTAATAATAGCAATAATAATAATAATAATAATAATAATAGTAACATTAATAATAGTCGAAACTCAGAAAGTGAAATGAATAAATATGGCATTGCAGGATTATCCTCCTTAATTAAAATGGATCAATATGATTATACTAGTTATGCTCTAGGACAAGATATTAGTATGTGTGGTCTTGATCTTTCAAAAGATTCAGAAATACTTAAAAATTTAGCATCTCCTTGGGCAGAAACTTCAAGATCAGAAGTTGAACCTTATGTATCTATACCTCCATCAATTCGAAATGAAAATATAATTCCTCCACCAGGTCCATGCGATACAAAAATTCAATCATTTACTGATGAAACTTTATTCTATATATTTTACATGAAACCAAGAGATACACTTCAAGAATTTGCCGCTCGAGAATTAGTAGCTAGAAATTGGAGATATCATAAGGATATTCAAGTATGGTTAACAAAAGATAGTAATGTTGAACCTGTATTATTAAGTCCTGATGTTGAAAAGGGTGTTTATATATTCTTTGATCCTCATAATTGGGAAAAGATTAAGAAAGAGTTCGTATTACATTATTCATCAGTACAAACTTAGATTCTATATCTATTCTTAATATTCTGTATTATTAGTTAATATACGTCATCTTTAAATGAATTATATTTGATTATTTATTTATTTATTTATTGTTATTCTTTTGTATACGTCACTTTATCAACTTTAACCTCTCCACTCAAATAAGTATATATATATAAAGTACAAGTTGAACCTTGAGTATCAAGTAAACAAAATGAAGGAATTATAGTATCTGACTCAATGACTTCATTCAAGATATCAACATCAATATTATTTGTTAATGGATCGGAGGTCTGATTTATTGTCGGTTCCTCTTGATTACCAAATAATGAATCTTTACCTGTTTCTTTTACCGTTTCATCTTCAACCTTTTCTTCATCTTCTTTCCCTTCTTTATTCGCTAATATTTCATTGTTATTATCTTCTACTTCACCTTCTGGCAATTTATTTTCTTCTTCATTGACCTCTTTCTCTTGTCCCTCCTTCTCTTGTTGATGTTGTTCTTCTACTTCTTCTTCTTCTTCTTCTTCTTCCTCCTCTTCAGGAACTTCATCATGCTCGGGCCAATCAAACGTATATGCACCAGTAGCACTTCCAGGATTAACAAAGAATTTACCATCAAGAGTATAAGCTTCAACTTTATGAGTTCCACCCCAAATAAGAATGTCTACATCAATTTCCCTTGCTACATTCAGAAGGGCCAATGGATCATTCTTAGGAACTATTTGATAACCATTTGTAAAACCAATTCTTAAATTATCATGAACAATAACATTATATAAAGGTATTGGAGTTTCTTTATGACTTATAGAATGTAATTGTTGAGATAAAATATGTGAATCATCAAATTCTCCCTTAACTAAATTAAATGATGGTGATAAATTATATAAAAACTTCAATGTATCATTAGAATTTATAATATTCCCTAAACATACAACTTCAGCTATTTTATTATTGGAAGGAATTGAATTAGGGTTAGGACTCAATAATTTCCGAAATTTAACAGGTAGATCTACAGACCTTTCGGGAATATATAAATCTCCAATGGCAAGAGTTAGCATTATGTAATTTATCGATAATGTTGTATTATATTATTATGGATAGAGATAATAACTCCGCATTGGACTACTGATAATTTCGGCTAGTTCATTTTTTTGTTTGTGGCTATAAAAAAAATAATCCGAACTAGAACTAGAACTAGAACTAGAAACCAAATTCAAACTCATAAACTGTTTCACCTTAGAGATATTCGGCGCAACTATGCAAGTATATGTATAACTCCAGTTGTCCTTGACTTTGCTCTTGCCTTCATTTATATATTGTAGTTTGCTCTCGTCTTGTATAATCTAGAAATACATCATGACTAACCCTAATGAAGTATATCCTTGAGTATTTGGATCTCAATGCGATCCAACGCTCTACTGAATTTGTTCTTACTAAGTTAATTGAAGAACCTTCTTACAACTTTTTCAATGATCCAATTCAGAAACAAATACTTAATGAATCGTGGAATACATTAATTGCCCGATTACCAGATGCAATAGATGAAGAATCTAAACTAGAAAGAAATCTTCAGAAGTTAGCATTCAAGATATGTAATTATCATGTTATTATTCCTGAAACTACAATTTTAGATGAAGATTTTGTTCTAAGTAAAAAATACAAGGATGACCATTTTAAAATTATTGGTGAAGTTTCAGAAGAAATTGTTAACTTTTATGATAAAAGTCAACATGTTGACAACGATTTAGTCTTGCGGTATGTACTCAAATTATTTGCCTTATGTTGTTGTATTTCAGTCCCACAACCTAGGTTTAGAGTCATACTAGAGCAAAATGAAATAGATAAAAAAGATTCTATTGCTGACAACCCGCCGTCAACTTTATCAATGTCTAAATATAACAATTGTTCTAGTACATCAAAGATACATTTTAAAATTGTTCCCAGATGTGATGAAGAAAAGTTTAGTAATGAATCTTTAGAAAAGATGTTTGATAAATTCAAAATAGATAAAGATGTATTGCGGCGGATACATACCCCTCTTCTGGATAATAACTATCCGGGTCCAGGGGATGTAAATGGATATATATGCTATTATCTTTTATATCCATTAATTCGAACCACATTTGCTAGGTTAAGATATATCAGAAACTCAAGTTTGAAAGAGTCAAAGTATAAGAATGAAGTTACTATCAATGGGGTAAGGAATATTTATAGATACGGGACTTTCTTTTTGCTTAAAGACAAAGGAATATTTAATGCTTTTGAAAATAGAAATGACAAACAGAATAATGCCGCTTTTCTCAAGTTAGCTGATCAAGTTATTTACAATTTAAAAGTCAATGAATCAAGGATAGGTTTTGCTATTGATGTGGATTGTGTGCTAATAGTTGATATTAATGTTGATTCAAGTTTCTATAATAAACCTAATAAAATAGAAACTATAGATGAAGTGGTATGTGAGGTACCATGTAGCATGAGATGCTTTAGATTTTCAGAATCAAAATATAATGTTTTCTGTTTGTTAATGATGCTATTATATGATTATTTTACTTGTGTGAATCAAACCCAATTAGGTTGCATAGATGATTTCTTCAAGGAATTAGAATTGACTGAAAGCGACATCTCTGACAACGAGAGTTGGAAAAAGCGTTTTGCCGAACTAGATTGGGATTCTAAGTATAGCAATTACCATCAAAATGAAAACGGAGATTATACTCATAATTTATATCCATCAATTATTTTTCCTCAAAGAGCCTATAAGGAAATAGAGATTTTTAATGAGACTTCTTTTGTATATACTGAAGAATCTAATGGCAATAGTTTAAGGGAAGATTATTTATCTCGATGGAAGTCAACATTTTTCAAATGGTAAAAGTCTGCTTTGACATACTTATTTTATGAAATCGGTGTCTACCGTCAGTTTATGGATTCACTGCCAAGTGGCCGTCTGCTTGATTCTTTAAAAGTATATGAAAACCTGGGCAATACTATAATTTCCATTTCTCGTATTTGTGGATGTGTAATGGGATTCGAGCCAACTCTTCGTTTTCGTAGACTCTATCTTATCTTTGAGGAAAACAAAGAATGTTTAGGAAAATTACCATTGGAAGCAATTCATGAGTGTAGTGGAAATGATTTACTTTATAAAGTAGTGAAGAAAGAAGCATATTTTGTACGTAACATAGTGTTGAGTACGAAACCTTTTTTAAGATACCTGAGTTGTCCTAATACAAGCGACGTGGTACTACAATTATTCAATGAATGCGAAGCAGATATTGCTACAATCAATCCGCCTTCATTAAGTGATCATAAGCTTAAAAGGCGTCGAATAAATTAGAACTGTGTCTTTGATAAGACCCTTATAATGGCTTCTTGATTTTTATAATTTATTTAACTCAAGAGTAACTCAATCGAATCTATTGATTGAATATAGTTAAACCAAACATCGCTAAACTAACTATAATTACAAGAATTACACATAGTTTCATAATAATGGCTTAATATTTATTACTTAATATTTTTTGCATTATTTTCCCTCTGCGTTTTTAGCTGCGAATAAAAAAAAGGCATGTTTATTAAGAGTACATTATATATAAATAAGTAGAAGAAAGAAAAAAGTTTAAAGAGTAAAGTGAGTGTATTAATTTTACTAATGATTAGCAGTAATCTTTTGTAAAACTTGTGGATAATCTCTAAAGATAGCGTCGAATTTATCTCTATTAGTCATCTGGAATACTTCTGGATCCTTAGCTAATGCGACAAAGAAAGTTGAAATACCAGATTCAATAACTGTTAAACTTACTCGAGTAATTTGTCCTGAAATTAAAAAGGCAAATGCGATAACTGGTGCATAATAACCTCCATTGGCATTATATGCTGGACTTGTAAATCTTAAGTAAAAGAATGAAAGTAATGCTGTAAGATATCCAACGAATAATGCATACATATTCAATGAAGTATTAATAAAACAGTCATTAACTAAAACATCCATACCTTTATAACGAAGTAATTCAAAAGTATCTTTAGCAGATCTTAAATAACTCTTTCCGTATAAAGCAATATAACAATAAGCATAATGATTAAAGTATCTTACCAAACCTTCAATGAATGAAACCAAAAAGTCAACAATTAAGATAAGACATGCAGCCCAACCTTCACCATTATCAATGGCACTTTGTCTAAGGATTTGTAAAATCAGTCTCACTAATTGAATTAAAGAAACAATCAAGGATCCAAAACTAATTGATCCAAAACAATAAGTTAAAGCTCTTCTTAATGCACCTAATGCTGGAAGTCTAGGAGCTCCTTGGTCTGAATTTGCCAAGTAATACCATGTTCCATAAACCCCAGATATTGTTACATGAATAATGTTTCTAAATACTTCTGATATGTAATAACCAGCAAACATTACATAAACCAATATACCAATAACTTTAGCATGAGAACATCCACCTCCACCAGCAGCACATGCTTCATTATTATTATTAGGTTCAAATTTAACATAAGTTGCAACAAGCACAACACTGAAAAGAACACTAAAAGCTCCACTTATTACAACCCCAAGGAAAGATACAACCAATGTTGAAGGATATGCTTTCATTACATCAATTGCAATTGTAAGGATTGTAGCACTAAGAGGAATTCTTCTTCTTGCTGTCCAATAACACCATGCTGTGAATAAAGTAAATATTAAAAATACAATGGCGGCTGAATAATAATGTTCAACAAAATAATAAATACAAGTACCTAAACCTAAAAGGATATTAAGAATTAACCCTGTAGTTATAAAAAATTTAGGAGCAACTCTAGCAAAGATAATTAAACCTGCTGATAAAACAATCGCTACCACAATAACAAATGAAAATAAGATAATAGTATTAGTATTAAGGGTAAAACTATCAGGTGAATCATAAATTGAACTACCTTGTAAAGAGAATGTTTGCCTTAAAGCATTTAAAGTAATTCCTGCTATAGCAATAAATCCACCCACAACTAAAAGAAATAATATAGTAAATGGCCAATCATTATATCTAGGTTTATCTATTTTAAAACTTTCATCAAAGTTTTGAGAACCTTCAGGTTTTTGACCAAATTGAGCAGTTTCATAATCAGGTTGAACATGATAAACTTCATCATCCTTTGGATATGGTTGATTAGGAAATGGTTGGTTGGTATATGGTTGATTTGGGTATGGATTATTTGGTGGGGGATACTCAGGTCGAGAATATTGGTTGCTCATCTCGCTAATAAATCACCCTTTAAGTCCAATTGAAAATTACAATTAGTTATATATAAAAAATATAGATATATATTATTAAGAATAAGTTATAAAGAAAAGGGATATAAAATTTCTATTCAATTTAAATGATGTTTATTGTCATATTCACTACAATGATCATGGGTCCTGTATGACGATGCTGCAACACTTTTGGCTGTACAATATGAAATTCTCAGGTACACAAAAACGAGGGCCCATACCACAGCAAGCATAGCCGTATGTGCCCAGGATTTAAACCAATTATAAATCCCTTGAGTTTTCTAAATAATAGTACATGTGTTCTGGATATTATTCTAAGTATAACCTAGTTATAGGACAATGGTATCATTTAATTAGACTACATATCTCTAATTCCTACAATTGAGTTGCATATTTGTTTCTAAATGGATTAATCTACTTATAGAGACGTTCATAACGAAGTATGGCGATGGTGAAAAAAACTCATTAATTGAAAGGAAAGTAACGCAATCTCTATTTAGCTAAGAATTTCGTCTACATTTAAATATTTCAATTATTATTCTAAATTCAGTTAAATAACTGCAATTCAGACTGAATTTGGACGTGCGAATACCGATTTTCTTCGAGCACGTGACCTTCACGTGATATTGCATCATTGCCACAATTCTAGCACATTTTCAATAAGAAATTATCCGATATAGTGTAACGGCTAGCACGGTTCGCTTTCACCGAGCAGACCCGGGTTCGACTCCCGGTATCGGAATTTTATTTTTATAAAGTCAGAATGGCTGTAAATTTTTTTGCTTTGCAAGAATCTGATTGCTAATAGCGCCTATCAAGATTTGCAGTTCCGTTAATCAAACCCTTAAAATGCCAGGTTTTGAGGATACACCTCTGTCAGCAGCTTATAAAGATGACTATTATATATATCAATCGTATGATGGATTAATTCAAACCGCTGGAGTAGAGTATCCTCTAAATTCAGATTCGGCGAGTTCTTGCAAGAGTTCTTTAAATGAAAACTATCAAAATTCTTCGTGGTGTGCTGATAATGGAGCTTCTATATCAGACTGTGAAATTAAAGATATATTCCTGGAGTTACAATCTGTATTCGGTTTCCAAAAAGATAACACATCAAATATGTATGAATTTCTTATGGTATTACTCGACTCAAGGTCAAGCAGAATGAGTTGCAAAATGGCACTTCAAAGTCTACATGCAGATTACATTGGAGGAGATAGATCAAACTTCAAAAAGTGGTACTTTGCTGTTCATATCCACGCTGATCCAAATATTATTGTTACTAAGTCTTCATCAAACAAAGAGAGTCTCGATACAAATTATATAAATGAGAATGAAGGATCTCTTATGGAATTAGACAATAAATGGAGGAAGAGAATGAATGAACTAACTGATATTGACTATATTTATCAAATAGCACTATACTTACTTATTTGGGGTGAAGCAAATAATGTTAGATTCATGCCAGAGTGTATCTGTTTTATTTACCAATGTGGATTGGATTATTTAATGCATATAAGAAGTCTGCATCAACTTATTGTAACAGAAGAATTGAAATTTCTTGATAATATTATAACTCCACTTTACAACTATATTAGAGACCAGCAATATGTTTTAGTAAATAATTCCTGGAAGAAAAATACTAAAGATCACAAGGAAATTATTGGGTATGATGATGTCAATCAATTCTTTTGGAGTTCAAAAGAACTTTCAAAATTAAGGCTTTCAAATGGAATAAAACTTTATGAACTTCCAAAAACTGAAAGATATTCAAATCTCAAAAACATTTCTTGGAGAAATGTATTTTTTAAAACATATTTAGAAAGAAGAACATGGATTCATACGTTGACTAATTTCAGTCGGATTTGGATCATACATGTAACTATGTTTTGGTATTATACATCTTATAACTCACCCACTTTATATACAATTGGTTACAATCAATTATTAGATCAAAGTCCAGCTCCTCAAGTACAGATATCAGTAGTTGCACTTGGAGGTGCTTTATCTGGAATTCTTACTTTTGCGGCCATTTTTGCAGAAATTTTATTTATACCAAGAAGATTCCCTATCCCTACTCACTGGTTCTGGAGATTATTGTGCACTCTTTTAACAATTCTCATCAACACAGCACCATCTGTATACATTTTCCTTTTTTTGCCTTTAGATTCATATTCTATACATGGTACAATAATTGCTATTGTTCAATTTGTAATTTCCATAATAACTTTTTTATATTTGGCAATAAGGGAGCCTGCAAAATTGTTTCTAGTTCAAAATAAGAAAGATTTAAAGAAGAGTTCTGTACATGCATTTGTTTCATTATTTCCCAACCTTAGATTCAGAAGCAAAATGTTCTCTTATATTTTGTGGATAAGCGTTTTTGCAGCAAAATTTTCCGAATCATATTTCTTCTTAACTTTAAGTGTTAGAGATCCTATAAGAGTTCTCTCCATTATGAGATTGGATCGATGTATTGGAGATGTGATTTTTGGTACGTTAATTTGTTCGCAACAAGCTAACATAACTTTATCATTACTATTTTTGACTGATTTTATACTTTTTTTCTTAGATACTTACCTTTGGTATATTGTGTGTAATTGTTTGTTTTCGGTCGGGTTATCATTTTCTTTGGGTATATCAATTTTCACTCCATGGAGAAATATATTCTCAAGACTTCCGGAAAGAATTTCAAGTAAGATAATCTTTTCTACATGTGATTCAAACAAAGCTTATATTCCAGTTGCCCAAATATGGAATAGTATAATAGTTTCAATGTTTAGAGAGCATCTTCTATCATCTGAACAAGTAAATAAATTGGTGTTTCAAAACTTCGTGAGTTCCGGTTCTAAAAATTCAACTATGAAGCCACCACTATTCTTTGTTTTTCAGGACGATAACTCCTTTCATATGGGTGATTTCTTCAATCCAGGAAAAGAAGCAGAAAGAAGGATTTCTTTCTTTGCTCAATCTCTTTCCACTCCTTTGCCTGACACTTATCCTATTTTAGCAATGCCTTCATTTTCAGTGTTAGTCCCTCATTACGCTGAAAAAATTATTTTGCAGCTTAAGGAAATTATTAAAGAAGACTCCAATTCGAGAATTTCACTTCTCAATTATTTACAGCAGCTCTATCCCAATGATTGGGAATGTTTTGTAAAAGATTCAAAAGTGCTAGATTATTTATCTTCTAGTGATTATGATTTTGGTAACATTTCACCTTCACATTTTAATTTAGATAATAATTCGGCTAAAAGTGTAAATTCTGAGCATTATTTTAATAACAAAATCAATGATCTACCGTATTATTGTGTTGGGTTTAAATCCTCAAATCCAGAAAATACTCTTAGAACTAGATTATGGACTTCTTTGAGATATCAAACTTTATATCGAACTATTTCTGGATTCCTGAATTATGAAACGGCACTTCGATTATTGTATTGTGCTGAAAATACAAAAGAATCCACAACTGACATTAGTGAAGAAGAATTAAAAACCTTTGTATCTAGAAAGTTCACTTTATTGATTTCTATGCAAAGATTACAAGATTTTAGTCAATCAGAGTATGAAGATGTATTCACTCTTCTCAAGTCCTATCCGAATACGAATATTGCTTACTTAGAGGAGGAAATTATTGAAGACGGACCAATTAATTATTATAGTACTTTGATTGATTCTGAAAGACTGAGATTAACTTCTAAAATATGCAACAAATATAGAATAAAGTTATCTGGAAATCCAATTTTAGGAGATGGTAAATCAGATAATCAAAACAATTCTATTCCATTTATAAGAGGTGAATACATACAAGTAATCGATGCCAATCAAGATAATTATCTAGAAGAGTGTTTAAAGATAAAGGCTGTTCTAGCAGAATTCGAAGAAATGAACCTTGACTCAAGCCTTGAATATATATCACAAAGTAATATTGAAACTTCTTCTATAGCCATATTAGGTGCCAGAGAATACATCTTTTCAGAAAATATTGGAGTTTTAGGAGATATAGCTGCTGGAAAAGAACAAACCTTTGGTACTTTGTTTGCCAGAACTTTAGCTGAAATAGGTGGTAAACTTCATTATGGACATCCAGATTTCATAAATACAATATTTATGACAACGAGAGGAGGAGTATCAAAGGCGCAGAAGGGTCTACACTTGAATGAGGATATTTATGCTGGAATGACAGCGGTTTGTAGAGGAGGAAGGATAAAACACTGCGATTTCTACCAATGTGGAAAAGGTAGGGATTTGGGATTTGGAACTATTCTCAATTTCACAACAAAGATTGGCTCAGGTATGGGTGAACAACTATTGTCTAGAGAATACTACTTTCTTGGGTCATTCTTGCCTCTTGATATGTTTTTGTCATTCTATTATGCACATCCGGGATTTCATATCAATAACGTATTTATAATACTTTCACTTCAATTGTTCATGTTGCTTCTCATGAACTTAGGGTCTCTTGTTAATGAAACGATATTATGCGATTATAATCCACTATTGCCGGTTACTGATGTTGAGATTCCTATTGGCTGCTATAATCTAAAACCTGTTCTCAACTGGATAAGTCGATTTGTTTTGTCAATATTCATTTGTTTCTTCATTTCATTTATGCCTTTAATAATTCAAGAATTATTAGAGAAAGGAATATTCTTATCAGCATATAGAATATTTTATCATTTTATTTCGATGGCCCCCTTTTTTGAAGTCTTTGTATGTCAAGTTTACGCAAAATCATTAAGTGATAATATAATGTATGGAGGAGCGAGGTATATTGCTACCGGAAGAGGATTTGCAACTTCTAGAATTCCATTTTCAATTTTATACAGTAGATATGCTGGAATATCCATTTATAAAGGTATTAAGGTTTGTATGATAATTGTCTTTTCTTGCATTACAATGTGGCAGTTATCGCTTCTTTGGTTCTGGGTTACTGTTATATCTATGAGCTTAGCACCTTTTATATTTAACCCACATCAATTTGTATGGAGTGATTTCTTCTTAGATTATAGGCAATATATCAAATGGCTCTCTAGTGGAAATTCACGAATTCAGAAATCATCATGGGTAGAGTATGTTAAACAACAACGCTCTCGAATTAAAGGTACCAAAGGTGAAAAAAGAGTGCAATCTACTAGAGGAGTGTCTGTACTAAATCTTATATGTGGGGATGCATTCGTTATGTTGATTGAGTCTGTTTTGCTTATGTCTTCATTTTTATTTATTAACTCTCAAAATGGTGTTAGAAATTGGTCCAAAGTTAATCCACTCTTAAGAATAATAGTAATTTCTCTTTTCCCTTATGCTACAAATATTTTAATATTGGTTTGTTGCTTTCTTATTTCAATTTTGTTCATGCCAATATTCAGTTGTTGTTGTACTAAAGGACCAGCCATTTTAGCTGGAACTGCTCATTTTCTATCATTATTATTTAATTTAATCAGTATTGAGGTTTTACTTTATGTCGAAGGTTGGAATTTCAGAAGGACCTGCTGTGGAATTATTTTTATTATGACGTTTCATGATCTTTTAAATTCTATTATTGTCACACTATCTCAAGGAAAAGAATTATCAGACTCCACCTCAAATTTGGCATGGTGGTCAGGAAAGTGGTTTGGAAGAGGTTTAGGATCGAAAGCGATAACTGGACCATTTACAGAATTCTTTGTAAAAGTGGTTGAACTTAACTTGTTTGTGAAAGACTTCTTAATAGGGCATATACTTTTTTTCACACTATTGCCCATTGTATATATCCCATTTATTGACAAATGGCATTCAACTATGTTATTTTGGCTAAAGATTTCCAAAAGACTTAATTATAGAATCTTTTCAAAGAGACAAAAAAGGAAACGAGCCTGGAAAACTTTCAAATACTATATATTACTTCATTTACTATTGTTAACATTTTTATTTCTCTTAATAGCTCCACATTTTATTCAATCTAAGATACCGAACTTATCAGAATGTCTTCCTTGTATTCCTCAAGGATTATTTCAACCTAATTATCAAAATAATAATGATACTGGACCCAATGCACCGTGGTTTATACCTTCAGCTATACCACCTCCTTATACTATTCGCACTGTCCCATAAATGCTGCAAAAACACGCACAGAAAAATTTCACAATTTTTCATTTGGTCGTGTCCATGGAAATATAACAACATTCTTATTGTTTACGTTTCGGATCAATTAGCATTTGATATATAAAAGTTATACAGATAAATATTCTATAATATCGAATTGATTTTAATCTTGTAGTTAACTCGAGTAAACTGTTAGATGATTCCAGGACTGGGGAAGTTGCAGAGTAAACTGCAAAATAAATCGAGAATAGCGTCCACTCCTTCACCTCGATTTGTAGGTAATAACAGTAAATCAGAACGTCAACGTAATAAAGATGAAATATTAAAAAGATTTCAAGAACAAACTCCTATTGATTCTGAAGAAGATATATTTGGAAATAATGGGGGAACAGATTTTACTATTTCTGAAGAATTAGATAATTTTCATATAAATGTTAATCAATTATCAATTCCAAATAAGAAAAGAATATCACCATCAAGTAATTCAGATTCAATGTCAATATCTTCACCTAAAGTTTCTATTATATCTCCTGCTGCTAGAAGTGGTCTAGCTGTTAGTGGTCTTGGAAATGTTGGAGGATCTAGAAAAATAACTAAAGAAGATATTGGTATTTATAGTGAAGGAGATGATACTGATATTACATCTCAATTAGATGATGATGAATTTGAAGATGTTGATAATATATTTGGAGCAGATGAAAGTGGAATATATAATAAAATCAATAAGAAATTAATATCTAAACAGTTAAAATTACAACAAGAATCAGATTTTGAAGAACGGGAATTAATGAATAAGAGACAGATTCAACAAACAACAAATTATTCTGATCCTAATGGAACTTTGAGAATAAAAGATTTTCAAACTCTTAATCAGAATTATAATAATACCTTAACAGATCATAATTTAAATCTCTTAGATCAATTAGATAATGAAAGAACTATTAATTATGATTTTATAAGAGATGATAATGATAATTTTGAAGATGGATTTGATAATATTGATTTAGATACTAAAATAGTTTCAAATAATAAAATAATTGGTCAATCAATTATACGGAATAAAGCTTCTATGCCTGCTATAAATAAAAAACTGATTCAATCAATTCGAAAATTTCAATCTAGTGCTGATTTCCGTTCTACTAGTGAAGCAGGACAAAGTAAAGGATTCAATCATGATAATAAAGTGATAAGAAAATTAGATCGAATACCTTCATTTTATAATTCAAGAACTATATCTGAAGAAAATAATCAAAAACAAATTTTACTTAATAAGTATAAAGAACAACGTTTATTAGAAAAGGAAAGTAGAAGACAGCAGAGACAAAATCAAAATCAAAATAATCAAGAAATACATAGACATCGTATGGGAACTATAAAGAATATGAATACCAATACAATTGTTCCTCATCCAACAACCACATCTAAAGGTAGTAAAATGATATATAATTCTGGTGAAAGACGATGGGAAGGTAATGAAGTAGATCTATTAAGATTTGAAATATTACATAAACCTTCATTAATTACTTTAAATGAAATTAAACTTGATAATCATATTACTTCAGAAGTTAATGGAGAAAAATCAAATAAAAATCCCAATATGGTTTATGATAAAACAAATCTTAAATGGGTTAATTTAGAAGATGATAATGAAAGTATATTTAACGATATTGATGATTTAAATGAAAATAAAATTAATAATTATAATACAATTCATAGTACTAGTAATTATAATATTTTTAGAGATTCAGTAGGATATAAACTTGGATCACCTCCGAAAATTCCAAAATCATTTAGTTCTCAAAGTATAAAATCACCAACTCTGAAAAGAGGAATAAGTCAATTTACTCAAAGAACTATATCTACATTAACATCAAATACTACTGATAGTGAAGATGAAGGTGATACAGAAATTGCTAATGCAGATTATTATGAATTTAATATTTCAAATAAATTATTCGAAAAATTTCAAAAGGAAGAAATTAAAATCTTGAAAAAAACTCTGAATTGGTTTAATCACCAAGAGAGTTATAATTTCACAGAACCAAATAATCCTGTCTCCAATGAATATTATTGGGAGATTCGAAAATTGGTTATTGATAACGAATAGATATGTATAACAAAAAAAATTTTATGATTATATGACAACAAATATATTTAAATACCCTTAGATGTAATAATAAAGAATGCAAAATATTTATTGTAGCAACCAAACCAAAAATAGCGGAATTAAGTGTGTGTGAAAATTGCCAATAAATTTTAAACCAATAAGGGTAATAATACAGTACACAAAAGAAGTTCAAATAGCAACTATAATTAATCTCTGGATTGTTCTTGTTATAATTCTTCTCAGGTACAGTACAGTGCGCAGCAGCGCCTTCATGCTTTATAGGTTAGGTTATTGTTCAGAGTATGTAAGTTTACGTTATGTTTATCGGATTAGTAGACGTTTCAGGTAGTTAGTTAAAGTATGTACAATGAAACAATGAAATAGTTTAAAAGTATATTGTACATTAACAGTAAAGTTTCTCTATATATATATATATATAGTTATTTAAATCAACAAATATTTATTGGTATTGTTTTTCGATATAAAAATGCTAAAGGATATATATAATGTCAAATCAAGTATCATATATAATATTTATAAACTGTCAAACAAATAGAGGAAATATATAAGAGAGAATCTTAATTGATTTAAACAAAGATCAATCCCATACCGAAGAAAACGGTAGCACCAATAAGCATAGCCTTAGTAATGGCAGAAACTGCGTATTGTTTTGGTGAATCGGAAGATTTGCTTGATCCAGAAGAAGTAGAAGAAGCTGAAGCTGAAGAACCTGATCCAGAAGCAGATCCAGATCCAGACTTTGAAGAGAAGGTTACAGAAACTGAACCTAAACCAGAAGCACCAGCAGCTGATAAAACAGCAGTACAAGAAGAAGCAGTGGTTGCACTTTGAATGGTAGCTGAACCAGAGAAAGAACAAGCATAAGCAGCCTTGTTGTTTTCTAAGTAGTAAAGGTTAAGAATGAAACTTAATTGATCAGATGGTTTACATGGAGAGAAAACACCATATTCACCAGAAGTGGCATTAGCACTAATACCAGAACAATCAATTTGAGAACAAACGTAGTTGAATAAATCTTCATAATCATCTTGGTTAACGTTAGAGGCAACAACACATGATAAAGAATCAACCATACAAGCACAAACAGATTCATCTGGAGTTGGTGGTAAGTTGGTTGAAGCAACCCAATCTGGACCAATGGTTGGACAAGTGGTTGGAGTAACAGAAGATACATCAGAAGCTTCAGCAATTGAAGGAGAAACTGAGGCAAGTTGAGACTTTAAGTTGTTGAAATCAGCTAAAGTAGAAACAGATCCATCAGCTTCAATAGTGACTAAACCATAATTGTTAGTTTCTTCGAAATACATGTAAACAATACCACCGGACCAAACATCAGTCATATCTGGACCATAAAGGGTTGGAACTTCTTGGAAAATTCTTGGTTGAACTAAGTTACAACCATATTCAGAGAAGAAAACGGGAATACCTAAGTTAGCATATTGGGCAGTAATATTAGCGTAACCAGAAGTTTTAAAGGTTGATTCACCACACCATTCGTACATATTAATACCGAAGAAGTCAGCTCTTTCAGTTTCATTACCACAAGCAAAATAATCGGCTAAATCAACTCTGATATCAATATCATCATTGGCAGAGTAACCAACTGGGATATCTCTATAACCTTGAGCTTTAATATAAGCCTTGGTATCTCTGACAGCAGCTTTGACAAAAGCAGAGGCATCAGTGTTGGAAACATTGTTGGTGACTTCATTACCAGCAAAGAAACCTAAGATATTGGTATAGTTGTGGAATTGATCAACAACAGAAGTATATCTTTCTAATAATTCGACATTCCAAGCTGGAGAGTCTCTGTTAATAGATAAATCTGGTTGAGATAAATCAGCAATGACATAAATACCAGCATCTTGTAATAATTGCATACATTCAGTATGATCTTCAGTGGCATTTAAAGCATAAACTCTGATTACATTGGTTTGTAATTCTTCCATATATGGAATATCTCTTTTACAACCAACTGGATCAGCTAAAGGATCAACGAATAAACTGGTAGTATTGGCAGTATCTTGTTGATAAGCAATCCCTTTCATATAAAATTGAGAACCATTATTGGAATAAAAAAATTTATTACCAACAATTTCAATAGCAGGTAAATCTGCTGAAACAGTAGTTGATAAAGAAGCTAATAAAGCAGCTGAAGAAAGTAAAGTCTTAAACAACATGTTTTTTTGTCTTTTGCTTTGTTTCTAATTAATATTATATTGAAATATAATTATATTTCTAGTGTTTTGATTTTTTTTGATCAAACAAATGAAATCTCGAGGAAATGGTAGGTGGTATTATTGATCTAAGATCAGAAGGTAAACGAGCGGAACCTGGTGATAAAAGTACTTTAAGAGTAGTAAATTAAAAAAGACACACACAGACAAGACAAGTGCAATGAAGTGAAAGTAACGAAACGAATGTCCTACAGCAAAATGTGTAATTTTTTAAAAAGATATATCCACTGGGTGCTGGGGGTAAGGATCAAAAAACTATTTATATTTTCGGTTGGCGGTGATTTGGAGCGACATCAACAAAACCGAATATAGAGACATTTTAATTCTCGGACAATGTCTCTAGCAAAATTTTCTGCTCCTTTTATTTTTTTTGTTATTTAATTTCTTTTTTATTGGAGTTAATTAATCAAAAGCTTGAATAAGCCTTCTAAAAATATAAACATTTCGGTAATATCTAATAGGATTGACAAGTACTAGTAGCCAATAGTAAATGAAAATTTAATAGGTGGCGCCTACGCTATTCTACGCTATGCTATACTACGCTAATCTAGTCAAGTGACGAAGAGAGTACATAATAAACACAAATGTCATATTGTCTAGTTATATTTCTGTATTTTCGTTTATAATTTATTGTATTATTTCCTAACATGGAGAGTGTTTGCAAGTCTAAATTACATACATGAAGTGAAGTTTCTATTTCCATATCAATTTCTATCTCTATTAATCGTGTGGTTATGGGGATGTTGCGGTAATTCAAGGAGGACGTGTGCTGCGCCTAATTTCCCGTCAAACGTGCTCCAAATATAGAAGCTTTGTAAACATAAACACAAGTACACTACTTGATGCGTCTAGTAAATTTTTTAATCTACAATAATTAAGCCTTTAAGTATTTGAATGACGGTTTCTAACAACTCTACGTTACTGTTACATTATTATAACTTAATTAACAGTTATCTTATAAGCTCCCCCCTCATTTCTGTAATCGTTGCATTGTAGTGTTCTACTATAAATTTCAAGACACGAAAACTACTCCAGAACAAAAAATAAACAAACAAGAAAAAACTAGAACGTATGCAGGAATGAATCTAATGCGTTTCAGATTTCTCGGTCCGATTCGTCACGTGAATACTAAATGTTCCGTTTTTGATTAAATAATCTGTACTTTCGAATATGCAAGAGAGATTGGGCTCAGCTATAACTACTAGTAGCTTTATCAATAGACTAATGTCTTAAGACGGAAACGAATTCAAAGTTGAACACAATCACGAACTTATTTATTTGTCTCATATTAACGACTCGTCAAAGGAAGTCTACGCCTCTTTTTCGCGAGCCAAGTTACGCAAATTTTTAGTCTAGTGTTTTCTTAGGTTGCTGGAAAATAGTCTAATATCGCTGGTCTATATATATACAACTAAATACTATCGTGTTTGTCCCCGCCAAGCTTAGACTATAGTTGATCTATTTTTTATTTGAGCCTTATGAAACATACATGTTCTTTTTCGTGTTGTTGACTTGCTTGGCTTGTTTGACTTAAGTGTCATAGTTATCGTGTAGTCTAGTTTAACGTTCTATTTGTAGACTGCTTGATGTATTTTTTAAATTAATATTTGCTCAATTACAGCTATATTCATGTTGTCGTCTATGCTAAACTTTCTGTTTATACAGCTTGAAAGGACTAACCTACACTTCTTCAATAATTTAGCAACCAATTCTTTGAAGACTTTGAGCCTGGTACACTACCCCCTCACTATTACTGAAATTTTATTCTTTGATGTGTTCTATCAATGTAATCTTCGTAATAGGTAACCTGATTTCATTCGCCTAAGAATGGTTAAATTTTATTTAAAGGTAGCTGCTACTTTAGAAGGAGTTACAAACTTTCAACCCATAGATACTCCAGAATCACCTTTTGAATATACTTTCACTATACAATGTACAAAATGTCGGACTACACATGACAAACCAATTACTATAAATCGATTCGAATCTCATGAAATTTCTGGATCTCGTGGTGAAGCCAGTTTCGTATTTAGATGTAAAGAATGTAAGAGTGAACATTCAGCCTCAATAATCAGAACAAATCGTCTGTTAACAGTTGATGATGAGTTAAAGACTGTTCCAATATTAGAAATTGATGCCAGAGGTCTTGATTTAGTAGAATTCATACCTGACGGTCAATTCGAAAGTGTAGGAGCTGAATCAGGTACTAAATTCACCGGGTTTGAATTAGATGATGGTGAATGGTATGATTACGATGATAAAGAAGGTGCAGAAGTGTCAATTACTGAAGTAAAATGGGATGTAGCTCGTTCATAAGTTTTCTAAATAACTTACATAGTCTTAATGATAACGCAACTAAACTAAACTTAATTAACTGAATTTCTCATATATAATTGTAGTCATAATCATTTAAAAATTGCTTCCGGATTTATCACAGATATTAACAGTGATAACTCGGTCGTTAGTGTGGAATAAGCACTAACTCATTTTTTTGCATTTATGACTCTTAACTCCTCGCACTTGTGTCCCGATTTGGGTACAGCTCCTTTGATGTGTCAATGCGATTTTGGGACAACTCTAAATTTATGGAAAATATTTGCAACCCATTGAACACTAGGCTTTATCTTCAATACAAATATTTGCCAATGGGATATATAAATAGGTATTCTTATAATTCAATTTTCCAGTTTTTTGATAACTTCTATTAATTAATCAATTAAAAGATAAGCAATGTTAACATACTTACTAAGTGCTCAAGCTGAGCTAACTAATGTGACGAATGTCGGTCCAGTCGACTCAATAGGTTATCCATTTGATTTCAAGTTTTCCATCCAATGTAATTGTGGAAAGTTTCATGATAAACCAGTTGAAATTAATCGATTTGATAAATTTATGGTAACAGGATTCAGAAGAGAAGCTAATTTTAAATTCAAATGTAAAGAATGTAATAGAGAACGATATGTTACTCTTGATAAGATCAAACCAGGAGTTATTACTACTAGTAATGAATGGTGTAGTATATTAAGGATTTCAACTTTAGGATTACGAATTCTTGAATTTCATCCTGATGATCAATTCCAATGTCAGAGTTCACTTTATGATAGAATAATACAAGAGATAGATTTAAGTGAAGGAGAATGGCTGGGATATGATGATAAAGGAGAAGGCCCAATAGCTATAAAAAATGTAGAATGGAAAGTTGAACTAACTAAGTAAATTAATTTTATATAGGTACAAATAATATTTATAATAAAAAATAATATATATATATATATATATATATAATAGTAAGCATCTTTTTCGAGGCTTTTAATGTTAAAGAAGAAAACTATACATGTCAAAGAAAAATCTTTTATAAACCATAATTGTCGTCGGTCGGTCAACTAGTCAAGTATGCCTTTATTAAAAGCAATGTTTCGGTATGCACCCAATCGGCTGGTCGGCTTATACGGTCCAAAAAAAGTTTATATAACGCACAGCGAAAAATATAAGGAGCTTACGTAAAACAAAGTGCATCCCACCTCCTTATCGAATATAAATAGCAAGAAAACTGAAATATCCTTTAAATTTTTCAAATATGCCATTAAATTGATTCACTAGTATTAATTTTATAAAACTTTGAACAATTTTATTGTATCAATTTAAGTTGGAAATTTTATAGATTATCAAACACATATATTAATTGAAATTTCGCAATAATTACCCCTCAATTTATTACATAGTAAATAAAGTTAATCAATTGCATTCAAATTTTAAATAAAAATGGCCATTGCAGAAGCTCTAACTCAACCAGTTAAAGATCAATTAGATAAAATAGTTAAAACAGGTGGTAGTGAAGCTTCATCTCCAAAGAAAGGTGGTATCGAATTATTTTCTCCACAATATTATGCAGCTTGTACATTTGGTGGGATCATCGCTTGTGGACCAACCCATTCCGCTGTAACTCCATTAGATTTAGTTAAATGTCGTAGACAAGTCAATCCACATTTATACAAATCTAATGTTCAAGGTTGGTCAACTATTTTAAAAACTCAAGGTGATTCAATTTTTACAGGTCTTGGTGCAACATTTATTGGTTATTCATTGCAAGGGGCTGGTAAATATGGATTTTATGAATTCTTTAAAAAGACTTATTCAGATTTAGTTGGTCCAACTAATGCTAAGAAGTATAATACTGGGGTATTTTTAGCTGCCTCTGCTAGTGCTGAATTCTTAGCTGATATTTTCTTATGTCCATTTGAAACTATAAAAGTTAGAACTCAAACAAGTATTCCACCTTATGCCAAAACTGTTTTCCAAGGTTGGTCAAAAGTTGTAGCTACTGAAGGATTTGGAGGTTTTTATAATGGGTTAGTTCCTTTATGGGCTAGACAAATTCCATATACTATGGTTAAATTTGCTTCATTTGAAAAAACTGTAGAAGCTATATATAAATACTTGGGTAAACCTGTAAGTTCATATTCTCCAATACAACAAACTGGAGTATCATTCTTAGGTGGTTATATTGCTGGTATATTCTGTGCTATAGTTTCTCATCCTGCTGATGTTATGGTTTCTAAAATTAATTCAGATAAGAAAGCTACTGAATCAGTTGGACAAGCCTTAGGAAGAATATATGGTGAAATCGGATTTAAAGGGGTTTGGAATGGTTTACCTGTTAGAATTTTAATGATTGGTACATTAACTGGATTCCAATGGTTAATTTATGATTCCTTTAAAGTTTATGTTGGATTACCAACTACTGGTCATTAGTCTAAATTGATAAATCTCAACATTTAATGACATCTGTATTTGCATATATCAACTGTTTTATACTACTTCTTCTATATATGGAAATTTTTATTTTGCTACATCTTTAATATTTTGATAAATTTATGACGAATCATTCTTTAAAGCTAATATACTGCCTTATAAATGAATTATATATGTAAAAAAAAGAGTAGAGAAGTGAAGTGAAGAAGAATTAAAGTGACTTTAATAATGCAACATTGAACAAAAATTTATGCAAAATGATTTAAATGATAATCAACTAATTCCATACATTCTTAAACAATTCATCATCTAAGCCATTAACCCCAACATTAGAAGTTGGCTTAGAAGGTTCATTCCATTGATTCTTTAATGATGAAGATGAATCGTTCCATTCATTACGCCAAGAATTAGAAGCAGCAACATTTGGAGCAACAGGTTTAACATTGAATGAAGTACCTGCTAAACTATTAAATGAATTGGTAGAACTAGCTATATTATCACTTGGTAATGGTGGAGTTGGTTTATTAGAATTTATTGTACTTCCACTAAACTGTAATCCATTTAATGAATTTGATAAAGAATTTATAGAAGTAGAATTATTGACATTAGGAGTTATAGCACTTGAAGTATTATGGAATGAAGGACTATATGATTGATTTCTACTTGATTGTTGTGGTTGAAGAAAACCAGTTGAAGAAGAAGGTGATGAATATAAGGATAAAATAGATTTCTTAAGATCTGGTCTTCCATTACTAGCAATACTTCCTCCAGTAGATTGAGCAGATTGAATAATGGGTTGAACAGGAACAGAATTAGATGGTGGAGGAACTGATGCACTGATTGGCTGAGGAATTAAATTAGTTGGTTGTGGTGTAGGTGTAGAAGATGGAGAAGAAGTGAATGCCCCAAAATCATCATCTAATAAATTAGCAGATTTTGGTTGAGGAGCCTTTATAGAAGTAGGAACCGAAGTAGAACTTGAAGAAGTAGAACTAATGGCAGTAGAACTTGTATTCACACTTGTTGGATTATTAACTTTAATAGTCAAAGGATTTGGAATTGTAGTAGATGCAGCCCATTTCTTAATATCATATTTAGTTCTTATAAAACTTTCAATCTTCAGTTGATCTGGAGTATAACCTTCAGGTAATTTAGCTTCCCAAAAGATATTTGATTTTTCATTCCCCCATTTAACCATATTCTCTATTTGATCATCAGTCCAAGCATCTAAATCAACTGATTTAACTTTTGATATATGAGTTCCCATACTTCTATGAATACCAGAACATCTTATACAAACAAAACATCCTAAACTCCAAGATGCCCATCTAGGATTTTTAGTTACTTTACAATCTGCACAAGATTTATTAGCAGATTCTCTTAGTAATTGCTTTAAGATTTGTTTATGCTTTTCTGAATGAGTCTTTTTAGATGATGGTAACGCCGTTCTCGAACTCATTATTTAAACGAATGTAATCTGCTTAATTTCAATTTCTGTAAATTTTGTAAATGTAAATAGTGTCCAATTCTTAAATTTTTCTAAAATTAGCCACTATTACCAACCATATATTACAAAGCTTTATTATTAACTTAGCTTATTTGATTTTACTTTCACTTTCAAACTTACTCTAATCAATATAATAGTATAGTGATTCCTTGGCTTTGTTTGATCGAGTATCCCAGAAATTTTCGGGGAATTAATCGTTAGCACACGACCCCTCAGTTTCCCATTCAGATTATAGTGAAAAAAAGAAATTAAATGCATAAAATCTAAACTTACAGTGAGAGAAGGGAAGAAAAGAAAATCTGAACGAGAAGGGATTAAAGGTTTGGACCAGTTAGAATTAAGATCTATATTAATATATATATAATTAATTGTGGATTGAATATTATATCTTATTTATTAGTATTATTTAAGATCCATATCATACTATACTATAGTAATTTTCATTACATTAGCATCGAAATTTCATTTTCATTTAGTGTTGTTAATTCTTTCATTAATCTTAATGATTATCATATTTTAAAGTTATAATTTGCACATATTTTGTACAATACCATATAAGAAGAAAGAGGATTTTCATATATATACTTGATTAAAATCGAGTAATTCATTATTCTTAACCTTCTTTAAAAAAAATTTCATATCTATTCACAACGTTTTAATTAGCATAATATCTAATAATGATAACTCAAACTCAAACTATAACAGAAAAGTTTCGACCTCCGCAATTCTATACCCTTGATCAAGTCCGAAACCATAACTCTCCAGGTGATTTATGGATGATAATATATAATCGAGTTTATGATATAACTGATTTTGCTCATAGTCATCCTGGAGGAATAGAAGTATTATTTGATTGTGGTGGTGTTGATGCTACTGAAGCTTTTGATGATGTTGCTCATTCTGATGACGCATTTAACATGTTAGCACCTTATTTTGTTGGAGATTTAATACCGCATGAACAAATAAAATATAAGAAACAACCAAGTCATACAGTTCCCAGTATATATATTGAGAATAATGATGATACTAAACCTCAAAAGTTTGTGAAATCAATTTCAAATAGTAAAAAGAGTAAAAGCAATACGACTTCAAAGAAATCAAAAAAGGGTAAGAAATCAAGTACACCTGTTGAAAAATTGACAATTGCTATTTTGATATTATTGGTTATCTTTTCATTAATATTATACGTTGGAGTTCAAAAATTGAAATGGACTTATCATGTTCATTCTTCATAATAAACAATTTAAAATTGTTGGGTCTTATTTCTTCACTTATAGAACAATATTATAACAAATGTCATCCGGTTGACAAATAGGTAAAATTTAAAGAGCCCAAAGGGCCACTGTCATTTAATTCTAATCATCTATCATTTTATATTATTATGATAATTAATAATGATTTATTCAGTAATTTTGATGGATTTGATATTTTATATTTCTTCTAGATGGATTACCTTTGGTCAATTTCACCTTGAATAAAATCTTAAATCAGTCAAATGGTATCAAATGAAAATTCAAATTCATATTAATTTTATTTATTTGTTTATTATTTATTTATTCATTTCTTTTACATTACTTTTTCAAAATCTATTTATTTAATTATTTACTTATTTATTGTTATTTATTAAAATATCTAATTATGCATATATATATTTATTCATTATTATCAATTCTCGCCATATTGTAAGACATTAATTCATTAATCCATTATTCCATTGCAATTCATAACTGCTTGTTGTAGCACAGTTGAAATTATACAGAATTCAATCGAAACTAAATAATTTGTTCAATTACTTCTCTTCTTCCACATTTGAACCTTTTGAAGAGCTTATTAAGTAAGATATTTATAAAAATAATAGAAAGATGCTAGATTGATTTCTAGTTGCAAATTTCCAAAAAATAATTCCGATACCGGGAGTCGAACCCGGGTCTGCTCGGTGAAAGCGAACCGTGCTAGCCGTTACACTATATCGGACTATTTCTTAAAAATTTATTTAGTCTGTAGGGGGGCCCCATGACACATCACGTGCTAAATAGGCACGTGATCCAAATTTCCTAAAATGGACATTTTTATGAATCACGTGTTTAAATTTCCTAAAACGGACATGTATAAAAAGGACGGTTGGTGTAGTGGTTAACATATCTGCCTTCCAAGCAGGTGTCACGGGTTCGATTCCCGTACCGTTCATTTTTTTTTGCATTCAAATAATTTTCAATTATTTTGAATAATTAATCAATTAACTATATAATACCCATGAAATCCTTTAACTTCTTTTTCAAGGTAAACAATCTTGTTACATTGTCCTTCTTTCACAAGAGTTTTTATTATATAAATATTTTCTCTAACCTCGTTACCGTTTATAATCATCTATTTATATAGAAACTAATAAATCATCTAATTGCCCTTCCTGATGTCTTCATACATCTTTTCTTTTGCATATCTACATTCTATATATATATTACTGAATTAAGATTTTTCACTTATTTAAGTTACTTCAAATGTTTAACAATCAATAAGTTTTTTATTCTGAAGTATTTATAAACTTTGAATAAAAATTTTGCAAAAAAGTAAGTTTAATGCCAATTTGTAGATCCAATAATAAATATCAAAATGACGACTTAATAATTTAAAGACAATAGATTAGTTTTTAGTATTCCAAAATTGGGTGTGTTTAAATGTAGCTTAAATATATGTGACAGAGTAAGTGTACAGCATCGGCTAGAGAGATTTGCATATGACACAGTTCCTAAAAACCTTAATAATCGAAGCATTTGAATACCGAGCTTCCTATACACAAAATAATTGTCCCCTAATTTAATAGAACAGCAGTATTGCAAAATAGATCTGTTCATATATTTTTGCAATACGTTTTAAAAAAAAGTAAATCTTCGCTTGAAACATAATATAAAAACTTTACACGTCATTGAACTTCTCGGGAGAGACATTATGCATCATCATTGCATCATGGTATTGATATCACGAGACCAACTATAGTTAAGAAAAGCAAATAAAGGCTTTTTTCTTTAAAAAAATCATTCATTAACACTCATAAAGTCATGACCTCGCAAAATGTCGTGTGGCCCCAGAACCATTGTTATAACTATATTAGTAAATGTCGTGACTCTGCTCCTCCCCACACAATACGAAATTATCACCAGTTTGAGATTATACCTATACCTTTATATTACCCTTTTCTTTTATAATTACAAATTTAATGTTAATTTGAAGTTTAATATATAATCCAGAAATATCTTATTGTATATAATTTACATTGGAAATTATAACTTATTAAAAGTTCAATATTATATATAATTTCCCTGGCTTATCAGTTAAACTGATAATCTCATCTGCCCTTACTTACCCCCCAATTTTTTAGTGCGGTCCGATCCCTCACATTCCACGGCCTTTAAACTAATAGTGATAAGGTATTTGCATTTGTATTTTTACTTATTATTAATATAAGATATTCATATTAATAATGACTAAGGATATAAATATAAATCAATCTCAAAGAGCCAAATCAGCTCATAAATTAGATCAACTTCATAAAAGACATAAATATAAGAATAGTCGATATAATAAATGTTTCCAAAATTATTATCATTCATATCAATATTTAACTCCAAATCCAGTTTATATTCCTAATATAAAGACTTCGGTAAATCACTGGCAATTAAGAGATTTACTTCAATTTGATGCAACCACAAATTCTGTATTTTATACCAAATCCGATTCAGTTTATCGTTATAATTTAAATGATAATATTGTTTCAAATCATTGTAAATTAAATTATTATCCCAGATGTTTTAGTCATTCTCATAATGGTATACTTGTTAGCGGTGGTTTACTTAATAGTTCATCTAAATTATTCTCTATGAATATTGAAAATTTATCTATTACTGGTGGTTCATCATCAAATTCTAGTCCTCGAAAAATTACAAAAGGATTATTTTCATTTCATAATCCTAATTTAAATATTTCAAAGAGTGTTAGATTAGGTGAAATGATAAATAATGGTGTAACTGTTTATCCAACTAGTGAAAATTCTTATCAATCATTTGTTTGTAATAATGATTCATATTTATATTGTGTTGATATTCATAATAATGATTCCATAAAAGTAGTTAATAAATTTAACTGTGAAACCAATACTTGTTTAAATAATGTGGTAAAAAATCCTCTGTCTGATAAACTTTTAACAGTCACTGGTGATTCTACATCAATTTTTTTAATTGATCCAACAAGTTCAAATCCAAAAGTTAAGACAATTAAATCAGGTCATGAATCAGGATTTGGAATAAGTTATCATAATAATGGTTATTTATTTTCAACAGTTTTTCAAGATGGAAGTTGTTTATTATACGATATCAGAAATATTCCTGCTAATAATAAGCCCTTAATAGAAATAAAATCAACAAGACCAGGACATCAATCAGGAGCTTTCAGAGTTTGTAAATTCTCACCAGAAAATGAAATGACAGATTTATTAATTATTCTGGAACATGTTGGAAGAGTACATGTAATTGATTTAAGAAATTTAAATTATGATAATGTAGATGATCATCAAGTTTTAGTTGTTCCTTATGCATTAGATCAATTTGCTGAATTTAAAAATAATATAATTAAAAATTATGAAAGAGCAAGTACAAATTCAGATTTTATTGAAGAAGATGATCAGGATTCTCATAAGGAACAATATGAATCAAAAAGAAATTTAATTGAAATTTATGATAATCCTAGAATTTCAGGTAAAAGAAGATCATCAAATTTAGCATCTTCTTTCCCATCACCTTTAGTTTATGATTATGATTATTTAACAAATGTAAATCCAAAGTTATTCAAAGATTTTGTTTATGTTCCACCTCCTCCACCTATTATAAATTCTAAAATTGATATTAAATCATCAAACATTCCTGATTTCAATTATCCAGAATGGAATAATAATCAATTACCATTTAATAATAATGAAAATCATCACGAAACTAAATTTGATAATATTTCTCCTACTGCATCTCAAAGACCATCATTTGCAGAAATAGATATTGAAATTCAAAGAGGAGAAGAAGAATACGAACGATCAAGAAGACAAGATGGTGATGAATTTGAAGAAGGAGATCAAGAAGATATTAATAATGATTATGATTACGATTATGATTATTTTAATGGTTATCAATATAATCTTGATTATAACTATAATAGTCCTTCTAATAATGTTAGTAGTGGAGGTATGCTTAGAACTTCATCTATTCTTCCTCAAGTTTCAACTTCTATGGATAGTTATGCTAATTATTCAGCAAATAATTGTGATGATTCATTCCAACAATCTATTAATCATATCCATGGAGAAATGGAATTATCTGGTATTGAATTCTGTTTCTCTAAATATGATACGAATTCAAAAATCCTCATTGGATGTCAAGATGCTGGAATTGTGCTGTGGGATGTTAATACTGCAGCCAGAAGAAGTTTTGGTAAATTTGACTACGTTTGAAAGTCAATCTCATGTTTACGTTTATAAACAGTTAGGTCCAGGTTCATACTGTTTGGTTTATTTATTTCATTTCAATAATATAATTTGGCATACTTGGTCTAGTATAATAAAATTACTTTAGCCCAAGTCTTCCTCTAGAGTATGGATCTATTTCGGATCCGACTCTAACCTCTATTCATATTTTTTCTTATATTATGTTAATGGCATAATATTGCATTCGTTCTAATTTTGTCTTTTTTAGTTAATCTCGTCATTATTTCCGTATTGTTTGTCATTTCCTTTCCTCAATATACACCTTTATTTCCTGTCAACGGAGACAACATTGTAGATCACAAAATAAATGGCGGTTAATAAGTTTCGGGTTAATTGTTTCACCATTCTTAGTAATATCACGTTATTTCCATGATTACTTAATTCTACATATTGCAATAGATGGATGCAAATGGAAAACTCGGATTTAATGCAACCGAACTTCTGAACGCGGCTTAAAACCGTGCTTAGATAAATTTACGGTAAGGGCGCAAGTAGAAATGCTTAATTGAGTAGGTGCGGGTTTTAGACAATTGGGTTTATCCCCGCTAATTTTGCAGTCAAAATGATGAACTGATTAACTGATGAGAAGATGAGGTTAAATTCCATTTACGGACGGCGGAGATACCCTGTGTTAAACTGTGAATTGAATAAGAAACTGTGGATATGTGTTATTCTTAATTGAATATAAATACAGGTAGATTTTTACTGAAATATGAGAATGAATAATTTCTAACCTCATCACAAAACAAATCAGCTAATCAGCTTCTATATACTTTGTTAAATAACTAAATAAACTATTAAAATGACTAAAACTACTATTGCTATCATCGGAGTCTCAGGTTCATTGGGTCAACCAATCCTTGATGTTCTTCAATCAGACTTGTTTAAGGATAAAGTTCAATTCCCAATTAAGGCATTCTCCAGAAGAGATATTCCATCAACTGAAACTGTTGAATATATTAAAGCAGATATTACTGAAGAAAATATTCCTAAAATTATTGAAGAATTAAATAAAGATGGTGGAGTTGATACTATTATTGAATTAGTAGCTTCTGATCCAAAATTATTTGCTTTAGTTACTAAAATTATTGTTGGAGCTAAACCAAAATTATTTATTCCATCTCAATTTGGGGTTGAAATTGATAAAGTTAATACCTATATTCCCAACTTTTTAAGTCATAAAACTATTCAATCTAAAACTACTAGAGAAGCAGGTATAAAGACTGTTGATATAATTACTGGATTTTTCTTTGCTCCTGGTACTTATCTTTATGAAGCAGTTCAACAAATTGGAATTGATCCAAATACTAAAACTTTAGAAATTTTTGGAGATTTATCTAATAAGATTTCAGTAAACTTTGTTGATGATATTGCTAAATCTGTTGTAAGTATTGCAACTAATTCAAAACCTAATGAATTACCAAATAAAGTTAGAATTGCTGGTGATGTAGTAACTTTTCAACAAATTGTTGATACATTTGAAAAGAATCATAATACTAAATTACAAATTACTAAACAAGTTACATCTCAAGAAGCTTTAAATGAATTTTTTGAAAAGATTAAAAATGGTCCTAAACATGAAGATATTTTCTTTTATTTACATACAATTGCTTCTCAAGGTACTGATAAAGGTATTCATTATAGTATTAATGAGAATGAAATTGTTAACCCCGGTGAAAAATTATGGAAATGGGCCAAATATTAAATTAAATAAATTAAATAAATTAAATATCTTTAAGTTATACTTATTCTTTTGCTTATTCTGTCTTTTTTACTATTAGTGATATTAATACAATAAATTTTATTTTCTTCCTATTAATCATATATTCATTTTGTAAGGAAGAGAAAAGATGGAATAGAAACTATCTATAAGACAATATGTTGATTTTTCACAGTTAATAGTAAATTACTATGAAAAATTAAACTAAACGAAAGGTGATATGATGAAATATATACACTAGAATAAAAGGAATCATATCTATCCATTGATCTTAATTAAGATTATCTTTCTTTCGTAATAATTATAGTCACATCCCAATCTAATTTGTAAATAAGTTTTTCTTTTTATTTTCTTTTTTTTTTAAAATATATATAGTAAATGATAATTAGTTTTGGTTAAACCCTCTTAAATTCAGTAATTCGTTAAATTATTAGTATTAATTTTTCAATATGATATGGACTATGCTTTTAAGAGTTCTAGATTTTATTAGAGGAGGAATAAAATTTGAATTAATATAATTTAATGAATTAATTAATTAAATAATTAACCAAATAATTAAATAATCAATTAATATTAAAATGATTGGTGTTTGAAGGTAATTGAACTTATCTTTCTTCATAATAGATTAATAAAAGATTCCTATAATATATAGTCCAATCCAATCAAACTTACCATGAAGTATGCAAGGACGTTAACGTTAAGAATGAATTTGAAACAATGAAATAAAAAAAGATGGCCATTTTTAAACCATCACAAAAAAAAAATAGTGAGGAATATATATTCTCTTAATTTTCAACTGGTAATAACCATTGTTCATAGTTTCCCTTAGTTCTTAACTTGACATCCTTAGCAGCTTGAGCTGGTTCAGTCAAGTATTTAATTTCTAAATTGTTACATTTCTTAACAGCATCTAATATTATACTGTTACTTTCAATTTCATTTTCTAATGAATTTTGAATACCATTAATTATAATTTTAACTCTCTTAAAATTTAAAATTAATTCTAATGGAACCCAACCTTCTTCATCCATATTCTTTCTTAAAAAGATATCTCTAATTAAATTATCTAATGAGAAATAATAATCAATTTGTTGAATTAAAGCTTGTTGAGGATCTTGCTTTGGTGAAATTGGAGGTGGGATTTGAACAGCAATTGGTGGTTGACCAAGAAGATGAGGTGGATAACCAATAATTGGTTGAGGAATTTGTGGTAAACCAACAGATCCATTACGATATCCACCATTTTGAACTTGATGACGATTATATCCATTTGAATTTCTTTGAGGTCTGAACTGTCTATTATTATAAGGTTGAAATGGAGGTTGATTTGGAACAAATTGTTGTTGATGGTAATATCCATTTTGTTGAGCTTGAGGTGGAATTTGATTATTATTATAATTGTTAAATCTTTTATTATATTGATTAACATTTAAATTACCATTGTTATTGGAATTATTATTACCATTGTTGGCAATACCATTGTTATTATTGTTATTATAACGTCTGTAATTCTTTTGATGATTAGCAGATCCATTATTATTATTATTATTATTATTATACTTTTGGTATTGAGGATTATACTGTTGTTGATTATTAAATTGATTTGAAGGATGAGTAGAAGTTTCATTACTTCCATTTTCTTCTGGAGCAGCATTAGAAGTATTTTTTGGAATAAATTCAGTGGTGGATTCAGTATCTACAGAAACAGGAGGAATATCAGATGATGATTCAGTAGTAACTTCAGCAGTAGCAGCAGCATTAGAAGTTTGTACAGTAGATTTCTTAGTAGAATCTTCTGATATTGATGGAGATGATGTACTAATCGAAGAAGTAACAGGAGAATTAGTTTCAACTTGAGGAGAAACTTTAGATTCAACTACATTAGATGATTGATCTTTCTTTGATTCATTATTAGATGATTGATTGTTTGAATTAGATTTTCTTTGATTACCTTGAGAACCTGACCTACTATTATTTCCATTATTTTCAGTAGTATTATTAGTATTGGAAGATGAGGAGGAAGTATTCTTATTCTTTCTATTTCTATTTTGCTTAGAGTTATTATTATTATTATTATTATTATGACCTGTATTATTATTAGAATTTCTAGGACTTGGTAATACAACTTTAGCATTTATAGGTACCCATTTATTAGTGATTGGTTTAATGAATTTTTGTTGATTTGATTTATTAGATGATTGACTTTCTACTATCTTAGTAGGAGTTGGCCATTTTTGTTCATCTACAGTTGAAGTTGTAGCAGAAGTAGCAGGTGGAGCAGTAGTTGAACCATTTAATTGATGACCAGATGGATTACCCCAAACAGATTTAGAAGGCACAGGAGCTGGTTGTAATACTTTCTTTTCTTTTTTAGTAGTATTTGTTGTAGTATTTGATTTTTCAGTACTAACAGGTTCATTTGAAGTATCTAAATTTGAAGTTGAAGTGGAAGTTGAAATTGAAGATGAAGTAGGAATTGGAGATGAATTAACTGGAATAGATTCAGAACTAGTAGGAGAAGCAATAATTTCTTGAGAAGATTCAGTTGAAGGTACTTTAACAGATTTTGAATCAGTTTCAGTTGAAACAGAAGTACCTTTAGCAGCAACGTTGGCGTACGAGATAGATGTCGACATTATGAATTAATTCGATTAAAATGGGACTCTTTTTTAAAAAAAAATTTTTCACTTAATCACTAATAATTAATTTATATCTTCTCTAACTCCAATTAGGGTATAATATCAGTTTTTTTATTGAAATACTGACTTGTTAATTGAAATTGATAGTCCTGGTTAATGTCGATACAAAAAAATTTTCCTAGTAAAAAAAATTTTTTTTAGTATGGCTAGTAACAAAAACTGCAAACAAAATTAAGGGAGTCAATCAAAGAGGGGATGGGAAGGATTGACTTTAGTGAAATATAAGATTAGGGATAATTCGATGACTATGATCTGATTGGATACAGGTCGTAGTTTTCAAATGAAAAGAATTCAGGAAATATTCTCGACAATAATTAAATTTTGAAAAATTTTGAAATTTGCCGTAAAAGGTCGGATTTGGCTGTCAATTCTTTGCTTATTAGTTAGTTTAGAACGTCTAAGATAAGCAGAAAGTTTTGGAAAAGGCTGCAAGTGGAAACTGATGTTACTATATACAGCCGAGTACAATAAAATTGTTCTTTAATAAACTTTAAGTGACTAATACTTAAGTAGAACGATAATAAAGTGGGTAGTGATTAGTGGAAAATCAGAGGCATGAAAATGTTTTTGGTGAGGCATATAGTAAAAAAAAATTAATGCATCCATACCGCACCTGCCTGGTTAAAAAAGATAGAATATAATATGTCCAAATTATTATAAATTATAGTATATAACTTAGTTACTCAATATGGAGTGAAGAGTATAGAATTGAATTAACTGTAGTATTTGGCTACTCTATCTACTAAGTTACTTACTGTTACTAAGCTATTGAACTATTAAGCTATTAAATGATTAACTTATTCACTTCGCTAAGTCATTAACCTAAGGCACCAAATTCTTAACTCCCCCTGCTCGGTGCAGGACCGGTCACATGCTAACTGACCACGGGCCAGAGACATTGTCGCATTACTGACCCTCTACCTCCGTATTTAGAGTTAGTCATTGCTATTTACTCTACTAATAAACAAGATATAATTCATACAATTAGTCTATATTTACATATAATATTATAAGAAGTATAGCTTCAATTTATTAAGTCATTCCACATCATTTCCGTGTAAATTACATCTAATATAAACTTACCGAGACTATCGGAAATACATCGTTTACAAAATCTCACTAAAAATCTGAGAAACCTTACCCCATAATTCGTTGTTGACTAATTATTGACATAACCATATAATTTTATAATACTAATCAATTATTATGTCATCTATCTTAACTAATCCACTTTATCGTCCTCTATTAGAGGCTCTTAGATCTGCTAGAAATGGAATTGTTTATGGTGGTAAAATTAGATTTCTGCATGCTTTGGTCATTAATTTACTTTATAGATCAGGTCCTATATTACCTAGGCTTAAACCAGTATTAAAAGCAACTAAAAATCATGCTGAAGTATTGGCAGCTTTTGCTATGATTTATAAAATAGCTGTTAAATTATTAATTCAACCTACATTATTAGGACCAGGAAATACAAGATTAGCTAAATTCATAGGGGGAGCATTTGGTGCTTGGATAGTTTATAGTCAACATTTTCCATATTTTCATCCTGGTATAACTCATCAAATTACACTTTACTGTTATTCAAGAGTACTGTTAGCAGTTGGGAAAATATTATTAGATTATTATTTACAATCTAGACAACCAATGTTTAGAAATTCTAAAGGTGATGTACTATTATTTAATGATTTAACATCAAAACAACAACTAAAGTTAAAGAATGCTATCTACGGTCGATCTTGGAAATATTTCGCTGTATTAGTTTGGGCTCTAGTAATGTTTATTTATGATTATCAACCTCAATATTTACAAAGTTCATTAAGACATAGTATGGCTTATATATATGATGTTGAACTTGATTCCTGGAGTAGTTGGTGGGAATTCTTAGGAATATGATATTGATTATTCACCGGTTACAATATATAATTATTATGTGTAAATAATAGAGAGTTTGACACCATGACGAGCTGTCAAGTGATAATCATTCAATAAACTAATTTTTAGACTTCATCCTTTATTTTATTAAACGCTAAATCACGCCTCGCCTTATGCGAGTATTTCAAATTAGCCTTAAATATTAAAATATTACCCTGCTCCTTAAAAATTGTTATAAGGTAAAAGGGGGGTTATAGCTAATTCTATTTGCTATTGGCTAGTTATGTGAGAGGCAGTTTATAGAATGCCATCACCTCCCACCAAATAATTTTATTTTAATCCTTAAATGCGCTTTTCCTATAAATGCCTATAACAATAACTAGATAGCTTATGTAGATATATTTTATTTATACTAATAGTTAACAAAGATGAAGTTCTCTTGCTTATTAGTATTGGTCTTAGCTGATACTCTTTCAATGGCTTATGCCAGTGACTATTCGATGTTGTATAAACCTGTACCAGTATCTGAATCAGAATCAGAATATTATGCCACTAGATCAATATCTTATGCAACTGGATCTGTTTCTGCTAATGGATTACCTGCGTCACGGAAAGTAAATAGTTTTATTCATTATTCTGGAATTGAAAGAGTTCCAATGATAGAAGATCCCTTCCAAAATTTGAGTGCTATTGCTGATCCAAACTCTGCCGTAGTCAAATTAACTTCAACAAATTATACTTCATTCCTTGAAGAATATCCCTTAGTTCTAATTGAATTCTATACCCCCTGGTGTACAACATGTAAAATGTTAGGTTCGGAATATTCTAAAGCTGCTGATTTATTAAATGAAACAAATCCAAATATTAAATTGGCACAAGTTGATTGTGACGAAGAACAAAAATTATGTTTAGAACATGAAATTGGAATCTATCCAACTTTAAAGGTTTCGAAAAGCAATATAGCTGAATATACAGAATGGAATCATATGAGAACTGCTCAAACTATTAGTCGTTATATGATTAAAAAATCTTTACCAGCCGTTATAACATTTGAAACTTATGAATTATTGGATAATTATATTCAAACTGAGTCCGAACCTTTCGTTATTCTTGTTAATCCTATTCATGATGAAAGATTAAATGATGTTTTCTTTAAGTTTGCAGAAATGGAGAATTTACATTATTCGTTTATATCTGTTGCTGATAAAACACATATAGCACAATTAAACAATAAGGTAAATGCTAATTTATCAGACAAGAGAATTTCTTTAATCTTAATACATCCAGGAGAATTTGATGATGTCAGAGAATTCAATTTCAATAATATTCAAGAAATTAATTCAAATTCGTTGCATAAATTTGTGTCCAAAGCAGCAATACCATATGTCATTGAGGATATTAGTCCTGAAATAACCAACTATATGCGTTCCTCTATGTTACCTATAGCACAATACTTTTATAAAACATCTGAACAAAAAGATATTGCAATGAAAGAATTTAGAAGATTGGCTAAAAAGTATGATAGCCAAATATTATTCACAGTTTTTAAGGGAAGCAGGATGAGCCGTATCGATATGGATCTTGATATTCTTCCTGCCTTTATTATTCAAGCTGAACGGAAGCCTAATCAAAGGAGTAATTCTTTTCATCGTATGAATCAATATGAATATTTAAATGGTCCCCCATTTGCTAAGATTGAATCATTCATAGAGGATTTTATGAATAAGAAGTTATATATATCTGAAAGTTTACCAACTAAGGAGGAAGTTGCAGCAAATCCAATTGTTAAATTAGTCGGTTACAATTATAATGAAATGATTAGAGATATGTCAAAGGATGTATTTGTTGCATATAATGATGCATTATGCCGTTACTGTAATGATTTTATACCAATCTGGAAAAAGTTGGCATCTATTTATAATTCTAACAAGCCAAATGCTAAGGTCATTATAGCTGTCATTAATCCCTTTATGAATGATATTGATTCCAAAGCCCGATTATATAATCGGGGATTGACTCTACTTTTCTATCCTGCTAATGGAGAAATTGATGAAATTACGGGTTTAAGAGTACCAATTTTATATGAAGGTGATAAAGATTTGGAATCTTTAGTAGAATTTATTAAAGAAAATGGAGGGTTAGGTATTGATGGTAGAGTACTACAGAATATAAAGGCTGTTCAAGGATCAATACTCCCAAAGTTTCTAAACTTTCAATGGTTTAAATTTCCATTCTTTATAAATCCATGATTAAACAATTATTTAAGAAAGTCTGAAGACTCTATATAAGTATATACATTTTAAGCGATATTATTTTTAATTTACTTCTATTTTTAACTTTATTTTTACGTCGAAATTCGGAATTGTCCAAATCTGGTGCGCATTCTACCATATGGAAATGAACTACTAATCATATTTGATTGTTTTTCATTTATATCTAGAGTGCGAGTGAGATACTAAATTAAGTCCATATTGCATCAATTAAAATTCATTCCAATCTGGTATTCTTACTAGAATAACAATTGAATGAGGTTAAGAGGTTTAACTTTTGCTGCACACTTTGTTGTTTCTGCAGTTTCTATTTCCTATGGTCAAACTATCGAATCAATCTCAACAGTAACTGAATTAACTGCTGATAATTTTCAAACATTCCTTAATGAAAATGATTTGGTCGTAGCTTATTTTTTTGATTCAAAATCTTTCTCGCAGAAGCATTTGCGTACATTTTATGAAGCTGCCGATATACTTCAAGGGAAGCAAGAACAAATTCAAATTAAAATGGCGCAAGTTAATTGTGAAACGGAAAAGCAGCTATGTATAGATCATAAGATTAGCTTCTTCTATCCACAATTCAGAATTATCAGAAATGGAGATATGAATGATTCTGAATCTTTGAATACAAAACTAAACAGTCTGTCCATTGTACAGTCTATTATTGAACATAAATTGCCGTTAATTAAGATGTTTGCTCAATACAATGAATTAATAAATTCAATGAAAGAGCAAACTACACCATTTGCTGTATTAATTAATCCAGATGATGATGGCAAATTGCATGGACAATTTAAAGATGCTTCAAGGAGAAGGTTTGGGCAAAATGCATTCTACGAAGTCAAGGATAAAGAACATATCAAGAAATTAAATGAAATTGTGAGTGCAGACTTGTCGGACAAAAAGACTAGTATAATGGTAATTCACCCTAATGAATTTGATGATGCTAAGGAGGTATTGTTAGAAACAGGTGAATTTATTGAACTATTATATAAGATTAGAGAGGCAACGGTTCCTCCATTTGCTATCGTTAAGGAAGCTAATTTTGATGATGATGCATTTGCTAGCCTTTTCTTAGTTCCAAGTGGGATATATATTCATAATAATGAACAAGAATTAAATTCAGTTATGAAAGATTTGACTCTATTAGGGAAGCAATACAAGGGAAAATTTCGACTTTATGCTATGAATGCTACTACCTTTAAACAGATGGAGGGAATTCTCTTCACAGTTTATAATAGACATATGGATAGTCGAATTCGTCCAGCATTTGGGATATTTGATTTGAAGGAAACACTTCAAGCGAAACAATATGTTGTTAATCAATATGAAAATCCTAATGGTCCATCAATTGCAACTATTGAATCATTTATTAATGATTATATGGCAGGGAATTTATCTCCAAGTGTTTTAACGGAAGATATTCCAACCGAATTAGAAATCAGTCAATCCGCTATTGTTAAACTTGTAAGTCTTACTCATGATGCCATTATTCAAGATGTTTCTAAGGATATTATTGTTATATATCATGGTCTGTATACTAATCAGAAACTAAGGGCCGTGTGGAACCAATTGGCAGTTTTATTTGAATCTAATAGACCAGATTCACAAGTCATTGTGGCTCAAATAAATAGATTTGAAAATCCTATTACAAACATTCCATCCAGTCTTAGAATCATTGGATCCATTGATGATGTGTTTCTATATCCTGCTAATGGAGAAATTGATGAACAGACAGGATTGAGAAAACCCGTTCCATATGACGGTAAGATTAAGTTAGATTTACTTCTTACATTTATTAAAGAGAAAGGAGGGTTAGGTATTGATGGTAAAGCATTGCAAAGTAATTTAGATAAATTAAAATGGTTTTTATGTTGGCAATTTTGGTATGGAGATCAGGCCTCATTAAGTTGGGGATTTATAATTACAGTTATTGCAGTATCGTTGGGAGTTAGGTTTTGGAGTCTGATTGTTAAGTTTTGGAGTCTTGTGGTTAGTTTATGGAATCTGGTAATTAAGTTTCGTGATTCAGAACCAAGGTACGATACCATCAGACTATCTTAATAATAAAGATCATATGTAGAGAATAAGGGCCTAAGCAGATAGTGTAAAAATATTTTTAGTTAAGCATATAAAAATATAGTTAAGCATATAATGACATAGTTAATGACGTAAACTAAGCGCGCGCAAATAATAATTTGCAGTCTGTGCCACCCACGCCCAGCACCCATTCCCTCGCCCAACTCTGTCGCCCTCACTGTCGCCCCCTGCAGGCAGACCGACCGGCTCGCGGCTTTTGGACAATTGAACACGCTGGTAAAACCGATTAGTGAAAAATTAAAATTAAATTACTAATAAGCTCAACATACATAAAACTATATAAAGTTATAAATATTCGTTAATACCATTACGATTACGAATTAAATTTATTTAATTTATAAAGCAGTAAATTAAAAAGCTACTATGAAATTTTGGAAATTTTCTACTAATATTTTAGCAACTCTTTTAGCTGTTGTATCAGTTAATGCCAGTGGACCAAGTAGTGGAGAAGCAGCAGCTGATCCAAATTCTGCTGTTGTTAAATTAACTATTGAAAATTTTAGAGATTATCTTAATGAAAATCCAATAGTTTTAGCAGAATTCTTTGCTCCATGGTGTGGATATTGTAAAATGTTGGGACCAGAATATTCAAAAGCTGCTAATTTATTAAATGAAACAAATCCAAATATTAAATTAGTTCAAGTTGATTGTGTTGAAGAAGAATTATTATGTTCTCAACAAGGTATTAGAGGTTATCCAACTTTAAAAATTTATAGGGAAGGTCAAATGGAAACTATTCAAGATTATGAAGGTCCAAGAGAAGCTGAAGGTATGGTTGATTATATGATTCAACAATCTTTACCAAGTGTTAGAAGTTTTGAAACTTTTGATTTATTAATGGAAACTTTAGATCAACAAACTAAACCATTTGTTATTCTTATTAATCCAGAAAATGATTCTCAATTAAATGTAACTTATGAACAAGTTGCTAAATATAAGAGAAAAGATCATTTATTTGTAACTATTTCTGATAAAGATCAAATTAAAAAATTAAATAGACAAGTTAATGCTAAATTATCAGATAAATCTGTTACAATTCTTGTTATTCATCCAGGAGCTTATGATGATGTTAATGTACTTGCTTATGATAATTTAGAAGAAATAACTAAAAATTTCCTTACTGAATTTGTTTCAACTGCTGCAATTCCTTATTTTGGTGATATTAATAGAGATACTTATATGCGTTATATGGAATCTCCTTTACCATTAGCTTATTATTTTTATAATACTGAAGAAGAAAGAGCTGCTGTTGCTGATAAATTTGCTGCTTTAGGTAAATTATATAAGGGAAGAATTAATTTTGTTGGTTTAGATGCTTCACAATTTGCTAAACATGCAGAAATGATTAATATGAATCCTGATATTATTCCATTATTTGCAATTCAAGATGTTGTTAATAATAAAAAATATGGAATTGATCAAATTGAAAATCCAAATGGTCCAACTTTTGAACAAATTCAACAATTTGTTTCTGATTATGTTGCAGGAGATTTAAGTCCAAATATTAAATCAGAAAAATTACCAAATGAAGAAGAAATTGCTGAAAATCCTGTTCGTAAATTAGTTGCTCATAATCATCAAGAAATTTTACTGGATGTTTCAAAGGATATCTTTGTTAAATATTATGCTCCATGGTGTGGACATTGTATTTCTTTAGCTCCAATTTGGGAAGAATTAGCTGGTATTTATGATTCTAATAAACCTGATGCTAAAGTTGTTGTTGCTGATCTTGATTTTACTAATAATGATGTTACTATTCCATTTACAATTGAAGGTTATCCAACCATTGTATTATATCCTGCTAATGGAGAAATTGATGAACAAACTGGTTTAAGAATTCCAGTCTTTTATAAAGGTCCAAGAGAATTAGAACCATTAATTGATTTTATTAAAGAAAATGGTTCATTAGGTATTGATGGTAGAGAATTACAAGAAGCTAAGGGAGTTGTTGAAGAAGGTATTACTGAAGAAGATGATGAAGTTGCTGAAGAAAGTGCTAAAAATGATGATGCTGAAGAAGTAGAAGAAGAAGATGTTGACCATGATGAATTATAATTATAATTATAATCATGATACATGATCATTTTTACCCTTACTCCTTATTACTGTTACTGTTACTGTTACTGTTTGTAGGCTTATATTGAATATGAAGTAAATACATACATAGTATTAACTACTAATTAGTAATTACTGTAGCAAATCCTAAAATGGACCCCATATCTTTACTAAATTATCATCACCAACAGAACTCCATAATTTACCTAAATCAACTGAATTTATAGTGGCTCGTTTACCAAATCGATTCCAATCCACACAATTACATAAACCATCATGACCTTTAACTCGAGTAATTAATTGACTCGTATGTAATTTAAAGAAATATATATAACCAGTATCTGAACCAGTAAGAATTATTTGTTCTTCATCTTCATCTTCAACTAAATATCCAAAAGCTGATCTAATAATATAACCACTTTGAGAATGACCAAAATATCTTCGATAAAGTATTGGAGCATAATCTCCTGTATTAAGACCAGAAATATCCCAAACTTGTAATTCTTCGGGTGCACAAGATATAAGTAAAAATTTCCCAGTTTTAGATATTGAACATGATGTAAGTCTACCAGATAAAGTTATTGAAGCAATCCGTTTTGTAGTAGATTCTGGACTTAAAAGATTAGGAATTTTATAAAAATGAAGTTTATGGTCACTATCAGCAGTAATTAAAAATTTCCCATCGGGAGTAATGGTTATATCATTAATTCTATTAAATTTATTTTCAAGTTTACTTTTAATTAATGATGAAGATTTATCAAATTTAGTTTTAGATTTACCATTACCATTAGTAGTTGTAGTACTATTTGTATCTTCAGTTTCATCTCTCATTTGAATATCTCCTTCTTTATCTTCAATTTTTTTATTACCACCATTATTACCATCTTTTTCTTTATCTTCATCATCATCTTCTTCTTCATCTTCATCTTCATCATCTTCAATATTCGCATAAAAATCAAATAATTCAACTCCATCTACATCAAATCCCTTTAAGACTTTATCAGGAGATCCTATTATAAAATGAGGTCGAGCAAGATTTGATGAAGTAGGTAAGAATTCACAAGTCCATGTTTTAATTTCTTGACCTAATGTAAAACATGATACTAATTTAAATTCATTATTATTATCCGTAGTATTGGTGGTGGTGGTGGTGGTGGTGGCACCAGTACCAGTTATAACTGATTCTTTCCTACTTCGTTTACCAATTAAATTATGAATACCTCCAATATACCAAACTCGAACTACCGTATCTAAACAACAACTAACTAAATATCTTTCTTGAGGATCCCAACAACAATAAATTACTGCTTTAGATTTTTCACTGGCAGGTTTTGAAGAAAATGGTACAAATACTTCATTATCTAAAGCAGCAGTTGGTTGCAAAATTTTTAAAACTTTAAAATTATTAATTACATCATAAATAATTAATTTCTCATCAAGTGATCCACTTATCATAAATCTACCCAGAGGAGAAAATTTTGTAAACCAAACTTCTTCTGAATGATAAGTTAATGTATGATAAAGTTTATTTGGGAAAAAAGTTGATTTAAAGAAATGATTTAAATGTTTAGAATTTGAATTTAATCCTGAAGATGTACCAATTAAGAAAGGATCAAGATCAAGATCAATATTTTGTTCTCGATCAAATTTTGTTCTTGGAGGTAAATAATAAGGATTTTGTTGTTTTTGATAAGTATTAGCAAGATCAATTAATCGTTTAAGATAATTTTGAGGTATATTATATACTTGATCAAAAGATTTAAGTTTATCATTAAGTTTAAAAATTTTATCTAAAATTCTTTCAATAAGGGTTGATCTAATTGTAAATATAATATCTTCAGATAAATTTGTTTCAATATTATTTGTATTATCTTTATTTAATTTAAAAAGATTTGATAAATTAAATAAATATTTTGATAAAAAATTTGATATTGTTACTGAATCATTTGAAGATTTAATTAAATTTTCAATATCAATTGATAATCCTAATAATAAATTAGATTCCTTTTCTCTAGTTAAACTTGAAAGTATCAGTTTACCAAAAATTATAGTAAGATCTGCTGTTGATGAAGACATAGAAATTGTTGGATTAAAATTATATTCATTATCTGAAGAATAATTAAATTCTTCTTCTTCATTATTAATAATATTATTATTATTATTATTAATTTTATTATTATTAATTTTATTATTAATTTTATTATTAATCTCTTCATATGGTTGAATTGATGCTTGTAATTTAGGAGCTAAATCATCTAATAATGGCATTAATCTATCTGAAAGATATTGAATAAAAGCTTGAGGAGAATCAGTTGAATATTGTAAGATATAAGATTCTATAAAGGAAATCCTTCTTACTAAATAAAGAATAACAAGTATAGTAACTTTTGGTTCAGGTGTATTTACTAAAATATCAAGAAAATTCACTTCTTTTGATGATGATGATGATGATGATGATGATGAAGGAGCAGCTGTGGCATCAGATTCAATATTTTGTAATACAGCTAATAAATAAGATTCTATGGTTAAATAATTCCCGGCCTTTAATTCAGAATTAAACCAATTAATAAGATTGATCTGAGCCTGCTGATTTTCCTTGGATTTAATTTTAGAACTTGAACTTGAACTTGAACTCGAATCAGTTGCCAGTAATAATCGTTTAGTCTTTATAGCATCCCCCAAATCCTGAGAAATCTTGGGGTATCCCAAATCACTAAGGGATTGTTGGAGTAATTGAAGTACAAATTCGTCGGGGATCATGATGCTAAAGTTATGTGACTTTCCAACCAGTTCAATATGTTAATACTGCAGTAAAAATCTTACTATATATTATTTATTATATATTTATATGGGTAGTATAGTGTATGATAACGATAATCCATTGTTCGTTTTATGTCGCGGGAATCCGGGGGAAACAAGGAGATATGTCGTTATGTCGTTTTCTGGTGGGTCTTGTCTTTTTTGTTGTGTCTAGTTTGTTTGTCTCATTTGTTTGTCGCATTCTTTTTTGTTTGTCGCGCCGCTTGAAATCTATGACGCAGGATCTCGTAAAAAAATAGACATAATAAGGACACTTTTTGACACATATTCTTTGACAAGACATAAAGCTCGTGCATAAAAATCCTAAATAAACTATTACCAGGAGGGCCGTGATTGGTGGGGTACCGGAAAGGACTAGGCTTCAATACATGCATGATTTTGTTTAATGCGCTTATTCAGAAATTACGTAAGCGTATTTAAACAAGGAAGTAAACCCGAGACGAAAACTTATTTAAAGAGTTATAGTATGACATAGCCATGCTTGTACGAATTAGTCATAATAAAATTAATACAATGATAAGAGGTTGTATAATAATAACAATAATAATATTATTAATTATAATCACAACATTTAAAAGGGGTGGCTAGAAGATCGATAGCTGCATTGAGAGCCGTGTCATTCCAGAAGGGTATATAGATTCTCGTAAGCGTGGATTTAACTTTTGTTCTCTCGGTGATAAAAAAATTATTAAAACGGCATTGCCCTGTCTTGCCCTGACCCATTGTATTAGCCCACTAAATAAAAGGTACTGACTACTGACCTTTGAATCCGAGACCGCAATTGGCTAGAAGGAGATCAAACTGATTAATTCGTAAGTTTAAATAGAGTTTTAAGATGCTACATAAATAATAATGAACAATACAGAAAAGAGTCATTTATTTTAAGTGACTGTTGGGAGACGTTGCAGTGGTTATTTTTCCGAGTGGGCGAGTGAGGTTTGATATTGACCAGCTTATGAAACAGTTTATGAAAACAAAATAGTATACTAAAGTAGTGTTAATGTAGAGATAATTAAACTTAGGAATAAAGTTAAACTTAGACTTATAGTTATTGCTATAGTTATAGTTTTGAGTTATTACCGAGGTGATTCACTAGTAATAAGTTACTATATACTATTACCTAGCCTCCGCACTGCATTTGTCCTGGAATTCTGATGGCAAATTCCTCTAAAGCACCACAAAGACAATACAATAAATCTCTTACCGTAAATGGATCCCTTTTTACTAATCATAAACCTACCGGTGATACTAATAGTTAACTATAAATATATTGCCACCAGCCGTTTCTACTCGTACTTACATACTCTAGATAGAAATTTATTTATTTCTATTTATTAATAGTTCAGTCCGTTTTTCGCTCGACTCATTCCATTTGGTACTTGCTACCTAATTTGCTAGCAAAAGGGAATTATTCCCCTAATAAGGTCATCATACTTATTGCTATTATTATTTCTTTTTTTTTTTTTCGAGTCCCCTATAGTCTTACCCAAGCCAGGCTAAGCTAAATTATATCTATACTAATATTAATATTAACTATATATATTTTATAATGTCGGACCAAACTCTACCTCATCGGACTTCATCTTCGTCTTCATCATCTATACTTTCAGCCATGTCTGCTACAGGAACTTCAACATCTTCCTTACCCACTTCATCATCTTCAAATACTGACCCCTTTGGTGAAGGATGTCATATGCCTTTACCTTCCGCTACCACTATAAGTTTAGATGAAAATAATGAAATCTCCTCCGATAACTCCATAACATTCACTACCAATAATAATAATAATAATAATAATAATTCATCTAAAACCAATATCAACCATAACAATAACAATAACAATAACAACAATAATAACACTACCAAGAAAAGAAACAGAGCTACTAAAGTTTGTGACTTTTGTAAACGAAGAAAAGTTAAATGTGATCTCGGTAATCCTTGTTCAACTTGTGTTAAATATGGGAATAAGTTTTGTCGATATTATGAACAAGGTCAATATCCTAATGATGATATAAATTTAAATTCAAATACTTTAACTACAGCAACAACCCTACTATATAATGATCATAATAGTAATGGAATATCTCAATCAGCAGAACTGTTGGTTCAAGATCAATTATTTCAACTTAAAGAAAAGTTGAGATCATTAGAAGAATCTGTTCAAGCTAGAAAGAGAGTTAATTATGGAATCTCTCAAAAGGGAAGTTATGTACCTCCTCCATTACAACAACAATCAAATTCAATACAACCATCACCACCTTCTAATCATTATAATAACAATAATAACAATAACAATAACAATAGTGATAGTAATTCTAATTCATATACTCCTGAAAAACCAGATTTTACAAGTTTTAAAAATCTTATAGGAGTAAATCCAGTAGCTTCACCAAATGATACAATAAATTTTTATGAGGGTTATACATCAGTACTTGGACGAGATGATATTCGTAGAAAAAATTTTGGTCCATTATCTTGGATAACTCTTATAAAGACTGATACAATAGGTTCTAAATTATGGAATTATCTTCATGTATTAAAAAGTGGTAAAGCATTAAAATTAAATTTTTTTAATAATGCTATGTTAAATTCTAATAATAAACCAAATGTAATGGATCGTCATTTTACTCAAAAAGTATCAATTGAAGAAGGACTTCAAGATGTTAAACCTTATAGTGGAGAAGATGATGAAGTTACTGGAATGAATTTAGGTGGTATTTGTGGATCTGCTGTAAATTCCGCCATCAATACTGATGATCCAAAACTGTCTAATAATAATAATATTATTAATAATAATAGTAATATTAATAATATTAATATTAATTCCGATGATGGAAGAAGAAAATCAACTTCAGTAAAATTAGAAGGTAAAAGATCAGAAGAAGATGTAAAAATCTTTCGTGATGGACTTGCAGCCAAAGCTAAAAGTTTAGGAATTTCATTTTTTGAAGGAGGATTCTCAGAAGAAATGGCTCTTGCAGAAAAGATTCAACTTGTATTACCTAAACAAAAGGCTATATGGTTACTTTATAGACGATATTTTACTCATTTATATACTGCTATTCCATTAATTGATGAAGTTGTATTTAAAGAAAAGGTTCAAAAATTAATTGGTTATGAAAATACTCATAATGATGAAACAAGAGTTCAAGTTAAAGTTAATAAAAAATTAGATTTTGCAACTTTAGGTATGCTTTTATTAGTTATTAGATTATCATATCTTACATTATTTACAAATGTTGCATCAATTAATGAAGCAAAATTACAAACTAATGATCCATCACCTCGAGCTCAAGAAATTAAATATTTACTTAATAATCCAGTTAATCTTGATTGTATTGATATAGCACAAACTTGTCTTAATCAATTTAATTTAACTAGACCAATTAATATGGAAATTATGCAATTGGCATTATATACTCGTATATATCATTGTTATGCACCAGAAGATGGAGATGGATCAGATGGAGGTGATGCACTTGTATTTAATGCAATGTTAGTACAAATGGCTATATCACTTGGATTAAATCGTGATCCAGATAATTTTCCTGATCAATGTAATGATGAAAAAATGAATAATTTAGGAAGAAAAATGTGGTATATGATATTAGTATTTGATGTTAATAATGCAATGGCAGTTGGAACTCCATTAAGTATTGATATTAATAGTTTTGATACTAAATTGCCTTATTATGTTCCAGGAAATGAAAATGTAATTGATGTGGAACTTGAAAAGCAAACAGTTGCAAATATTAGTAAATTTGGTAATGTATTTGATGCATTAGCTGATATGATGAAAATGATTACAAATGTTCGAGGTAAAGTTAAATTAACTGAATTAACTGAAAAATTGGATTTTATGGAAAATAAATTTGTACTTGAATCAGAAAATTTAACGGAAATCTTTTTTAATAATGAAAGTTTATCAAGAAGTGAAATTTCTAGTCAAACTGTTAAAATGAAAGTTCATTTTACATCTAATTTCTTTATGGTTTCAATTTTTTTTCATATATTTAATTATTATGAAAGAAAGGGGAATTCTGATTTAGCATTCTTTTATTTAAAAAAGATTTTTGTTATAACTATTCATGATTTAATGCCATTTTATTTTGAATTTCTTGATCGTTCAGAAGTTATATTTAAAAATTCAACAGATTTAACTATTACTCCATCATTTGAACTGGTAACTCATAAATCTTGTATTGTATTAATGTCAATTGCCGTTAGATTAAGATTAGCAATTCATGAATTAGAAAGTCATTATGAACATTCATCAAAATTAGCAAAAGATATTAAGTATAAAATTCATTTTGATTGTCTTAAACGAGTTTGTTCATTAATTGAAAAATGTACTAATGTATTTAGAGAATCAATTGCTAGATTAAGTCATCGTTATTATTATGCTTGGAGAATTACTAAAGCTCATAATTTTTTATCAACATTATTAGCTTCAAATGATTTTATTAATCAATTTAAACCTCCGGCAGCTCAATCTGGAATTGTTTTTAATACTGCTATGTTAGAAGAAATGGCAAGTATTTTAGAAAGTGCTCTTTTTAAAGTTAAAGAACATAAAAAAACAAGAAAGGAAACTGAAGGTAGACCTAATACATTTAGAGAACCTTCAAAGAGTGAAAGTATTGTTAATGGATCAAGACATTATGCTGATAGTCCATCAGGAAATGTATCAGGCAATAATAATACATTTTATACGACTGCTACTGATTCTGAAAGTCGAAATTCTATGGATTTTTCAGATTATAGTAGAACTAGAGGTCCACCTTCAGCTGCATCAATTGGTTCAAGTTCTTCACTTGATAATGTAGATGAATTTATGCCAAATGATCAGGTGGATTCAATTTGGATTCAAATGATGTCAATGAAGAATTTTAATGAAAGTAATCCTAATCCAACTACTAATATAAATGATGTACCTACTTATAATGCTACAATGAATGGTGCAACTGCTCCAGTAATTAATAATTTAACAGATTCTTCAAATTTAGCAGGCTTTACTCCTATGTTTACTTCAGGAATTGATCTCGATAGCTTTTTACCTAGTTTGGATGGAGACGCATTTGCTGGTACTATGTCTAATCTCCCCCTAGAGGAAATCTTTCGAGGCTATGACTGACTTGACTTAATAAAAATTAAAAAAACATTAAAAAAAAAATGGAAAAGGAATATTGGCAACAATATTATCTGCCCCCCCACCCCCCACAACTACATATGGTTTTGATTCTTGTATATAATCCTTTCCTTCTTTTCTTCCTGTGTCTTACTCTTATTTTTGTATATATAATTTATTACGAGTAACTAGTATCTACAACGAAATATAAAATATATTTTATTAAATTTATTAACTATTAATTTATTACCTCTATCGAGCTTCAAATACGAATGTATTGTCTTTAGTATCTCGATAGATAATAACGTGTATGCCAGATGTTTGAAGACTTAAAAGTTTCCAGGATTGTGATAGAATGGTATGGGATATATAGTGACTGTTGACATTAATAATGTTGTGTTTGTATAATGGAACTGATGGTGATGATTGGTTTGTATCAATTGATGATGATGGTATCTGATATGAAGATAACGCATCATCTATAGAATTAGTTAATTGTAATTGAGGATTTGTTGAATTAAGTGTTAATAAAGTAAAATATTCATAAATATCTCCAAGATTATTATTGATATCATTAAATTCAAATGGTTGAAGATTAATTGTAGTAGGATCTATTGTAGTATGTTTAAATTGTGGCACACTTGCGAATTCAGTTAAATAGTCAATAGTGAATGAAGATGATACTTCAATTTGAACTTGTGAAAACTCTTTATTGATAATGTACGCTATTTCAGGTTCAATATTGAACTTACCATGATCAATAATTAAATCAATATCTATTTGATAATTATAACTAACAAATTGTTTAGCTCCATGACCAATTTTAGTATGTTTAAGTTTCCTAGTACGAGAATTTTTAACTTTATTGGTTAATGCTGGAATTGTTTGAAATGTAGATTCAGTAAGGATGAATATTAATTTAGAATTATGTAGACTTAATTGATTAACATTAAGTGATGATAATGAATTATCTACTACTACAACATCTGATGGTATAGCTTTTACATAGAATACATTTTCATCTCTTTCTAACTTAATAGATGTAAGTAATTCATAAACTGAATTATAATTGTTGGCTGTATAATAAAAGCTTGAACTGACAATGTCATCTCCTGTGTAGTCTGATGAGTTTGTTATGATATTGGCATTGGATATTAATGGAATTTGATTTAAAAGTGATTGAATCTTATTTGTCACGTTCTCAGAGTCATACGGGCCTTGTAAGACCTGTAACAGTTGATTATTAACCATAATTCTTAATGCTGTATGTTTATATATCTAGTTCCTGGCTGATAATATTTTTCATAATACTACAAAATGTATGCAAAAAATGCAAAAAAAAATAATGAAGGATGCGAGGTTCGAACTCGCGCGGACACCGTCCAACAGATCTTAAGTCTGCCGCCTTAGACCACTCGGCCAACCCTCCAATTTGATGCAAACAAAACATGAAATTTTTCTCCGCAGAAACCACAGTCACGTTTTTGATCATGTGCAATGTGGCGCTACCAGTTTTGTGTATAGATTTTGTCTAAATTGCAACCATTATTTGTTAGTAGTTGTCTCATAAATTATTCCAACTTACTTTGTTAGGTCTCAATTACATATGAGATTAAAGACAATTAATTAAAAAACCCTGTAATTCATGTTTTGACTGAAAAATATTTTGAGATGCTACGAAGTATAAATTTCTTCGACATTTATTGCAAAGTATATATAAAAATAAACTGATTGTCCTATTTGTGCAAATATGTAACAGATATGTTCTAATAACGTATCACCTACGGCACTTTAGCCGCTCTTATCTTTATCATTTATCATTTACTCTAAACTTCTTAATGTGTTACGGCATTACTAAGCTTATCACTATGCTGCCTAGAACATTATTAGATCTTAAATTACTATATAGTTACACAATTCCTCTACTTTTAGAAAGTTAGTACCAAATTACTAGACGACTTCCCTCCTTAAACCTGCCAATTCGCCCTTCGATAGGTAAACCCATCAAGAGCCACGAGCCAATTAGTATATTAGGTTTGAATCGGTATTTTGCTACAGAAAAAAAATCGGTGGCCCAGAGCCTTCAAAGATCACTTAAGGCCGAAAGATTTAAAAAGAAAAGCCGTTGCGTTGTTCAAGGTTTCAGTCAGATGGAGGGAGTAAACTATAATCCAACACGAATATCATCTCTGGTCATCGACTTCACCAGTATAGGCTTACACCTCTATTCGTAGGTATAATTTTTTGATCAGAATATTTTTTTGGCTCGGACAAATTACTCCATGGAAACCGCATGACCGAACTACGAAATTTTAGCGAGAAATTCTATTTATTAGAGAGTGTCAGCGGAGCCCACGAGGGCTCAGTAAAAAAAAGTCATTTGACGTCTTACTTAATTAGGGAACAGATTTTGAGCCATACGATTTGAGTTATTGATTTAAACAATAAGGACCAAATCATACACAACTTAATAATGAGCTATTGATCCTGGTTTGTAACTTTTTTAAATCTGACTGAAGGAGTAATTAATAGTACAGGCGTCGTAAAGTAAAGGTAATAGGAATATTTTTGTTTACATACTTTTTAAGGAACCAAAGTTTGAGTTTTACGACCGACTTTAATTATTGATTTATACATACACATATATAGTAGAAAATTTTTCCATATTATATATATTTAATTTAATTATATTTAAATAATTAATCCGAGTTTCACCTTTAGTGTACTACATCTTACCACCCAAATAATTTCGTAAACCGAAGAGATAGAAATTGGGAAGGAAAAAAAGTATCAGTAATACCGAGAGCCTCAGTAAAGGACGAATCAATTTAGATCTCATTCCGTTAATATCCATAAGAAAATTAAGGATACTTTGTACTTACCATTATTAAGGGTCTCACTCATTTTTAAGATCTTCAACTCATAGAATAACTTGAGTTGAGTGACTAAATTTATTCATAAAGCTTAAATCATAAGGCAAGAAAATTACTTACTAAGTATAATTACGAAATCAAAGAATAGCGTGGACATTAAAAAGGACATAGAGATTATATACTTATAAGGGATGTTACAGTTTCATTATATGGCACCATGGGTTCCAGTATTTAGTCAATCAGTTATTGCAGAGTTAGCAGCTACTAATAACTCTCCACCATTCACAGCATTCCAACTCTCCACCATTGATGGACATACTGGTTATCCTCGAAATAGAACATTAGTATATCGAGGATTTCTCTTTAATGATAAATCAAATAGCATTATTACTTGTACTACCGATAAAAGAATGAGTAAATATCAAGAACTTCAACATAATGATAAATTTGAATGTGTATTTTATTTTGCCAATATTAAAAAGCAGTTTAGATTCAGAGGTCGAGCTAGATTTATTGATGATGTATATCAGCCAATTATTGATTTATCTAGTATACAACCAAAAACATTATTAGAAAAGGATCAAAAGAAATATGTCAGACGAGAAAGAGAATATAATGATTCAGATTATGATGATTTAGAAAGTATTCAATCTAAGAATATTACAGATTTAGATATTTCTAATTCATTGGTATCAACTCCAACAACCAATACTCATAATACTCATAATTATCAATTAAATCCTATTCAATCAAGTTTATTATCACCAGCATTGTTACTGAAAATTAATGATTCAAGTCATGATTTATCATATAGTACATTAAATGATATTTCTCATATTCAATATTATCCACCATCAAAGGAAGAATGGGCGACAGAAAGAGAAAGGCAATGGAATGAATTACTGAAATCATTAAAGAAATCATTTAGAAAACCTACCCCATTAAAACCATTAGATGAAGATAATATAAAACTTCTTGATAGAATTAGTCGAGGTGTTGATGGTAAGAAAGAAATTGATGGATTTAAGAATTTTGCTGTAATTGCATTATTTATTGATTATGTAGATTATGTTGAATTAGATCATGATAAGAGATATATTTACGAAAAGGATTCATCTCAACAATGGAGTGAAGAAGAGGTGTGTCCATAATTAACGGACTCAAAAAATTTTCAAGCAAACATTTATAACTTGTATATACATTTGCATCTAATATAAAATGATTAGGCATGTAGCATAAAAAAAAAAGTTGTAGCTCATTGCCGAATAAGGATGTCCGATAATTTTTACTGAAAATTCAATTATCTCCCCACACACTACCGCACAAATACGTCCGTTTGTATTGTTCTAATTTTGCAGCAGCTTATCTATACGATTAAATCATAGTTACTATTTAAGAAGTCAACTCAATAAAACAATAATTTGTTTGACTTATAGATTCATTCTCTGTATATACTATAAATAAAATACGTTAACTAAATTTGATAATTTTTTTACAATAACTTTTTCTTTGAGTTTATTAATAGTATAATTAGTATCAATTACAGTGCTAATTATTAACTAAAATATATAGTGAAAATTCAATTAACCATATGTAAATAATTATTATAAATATATAACTTAAAGTGCTCATAATTCTTCATCTTAAATATTCTCAAGAACTTTAGCACTCATCATTGATCATCAAAATAAAATGTGTATGTTTTGAAATTGTAGTGAGCTTTTTTTCGCACTTCAGCACCAGAAAAAACTGGGTTGTTTATATTTCCCTGTTTTTGTTTTTATAACAACTTCTTTCTCTTACTCTTACTTCTCTTTAACTAACTCGTATCAAACAATCAATAACTGTATCTACAATGGCTCCAAAGACTAAAATCGCTAAACCTGCTGCTGCCGCCGGCCCAGCCAAACTCACTTATAAAGGTATGTTTCTTTAATCATGAGATAAATTAATGTTGTTTAAAATTAAGGGAGGAGGGGAATTGTTGAGTTCCTTTCATTTAGTTTAAATACATTCAATTCATCTAAATCAATAGTTAAAACAATCAAATATGATACTAACTATTCACATCTATAGATATGATCAATTCTGCCATCATTGCTTTAAAGGAAAGAACTGGTTCTTCGTATGTATAATTTGGACCTATCATGGTCATCAGTTTTTGTTTTTTTATTTCGTTCGCCCGCCCGATTTTATAATTGAACAATTATGATGATTCATATATTATTTATATATGAACATTTACTAACTTTATAATATAATTTAGTCGTCAAGCTATTAAGAAGTATGTTCAATCCAACTACAATATTAAAGCTGGTAATTTTGATTCTTTATTTAACACTGCTTTAAGAAAGGGTGTTGAAACTGGTGATTTCTTACAACCAAAAGGTCCATCTGGTCCAGTTAAAGTTGCCAAAAAGGAAAAGCCAGTTCCTAAGGTTGCCAAGGTTGCTAAGGTTGCCAAAGTTACCAAGAAACCAGTTGCTAAGAAACCAGCTGCCAAGAAGGTTGCTGCTGCAAAGAAAGTTACTAAGAAAACTACTGTTAAGAAAGCCGTTAAAGCTGCTCCAAAGAAAGTAACTAAGAAAGCTACAACTACTAAGAAAGCTGCTCCAAAGAAGGCTGCTCCAAAGAAATCTACCAAATAAGTTGGTTAAAAAATGGAATCCAAAAAATTTCCTTTTCAAAAAATTTGAAATGGAAAATTGAAGTTTCTATTGTACATTAGTTGAAATTGAAATTGAGAAAAAAAAGGAGAAGAAATGATATGATAAGAAATTTACAAATATTAATTTGTTTCTTCTTCTGTGTCCTTTTCATTAATTTTATCGTTGTTTTATTAGTATTTTTCTTTACCCTTTTTATGTTTATCAATAATGGGATAAATGAATGATTTTATATTTTAAACCTATCTTGAGATGGATTTAAAGATGATTTCATTTTTACCCTTTTTACTATTATCTATTGACTGTTTTATTATTATTATTATTATATTATTACTATTCTTTCTATTATTCTTATTATTCTTATTATTCTAATTCCTACTATTCTTAGTGAGTAATGTGACTTAAATGTATATCAAATGTTTGTCTAATTTTTTCCTTGTATTCTCATTTTTTGCAATGTTTATGTTTTCCGCTAGACACTACCTGCAACCCATTTCTTTCGTGTCTGTGGTCAATCTAACTCTATCGCGTCTTGGGGACTGTATACAACCCCCCCATTACACCCAATGTACTATACTATAATTAATATATATATAGACAATGACTACATTACTTAATAACACTTAAATACTAAATATCAATGATAATGACTGAATTAAGTAAACCAAGTATATCCCTAGTAGTGGCTGCATTAAAACCTAATTTGGGCATAGGATATCAAGGTAAAATGCCTTGGAGATTACGTAAGGAGATTAAATACTTTAAAGATGTGACATGTAAAGTTTCGAATCCTACAAGTCAAATTAATGCCGTTATAATGGGGAGAAAGACTTGGGAATCTATACCGAAGAAATTCCGTCCATTACCTGATAGAATTAATGTAGTACTTTCACGTGGTTTCCCAACTTGTGAAGTCATTGAAGAAAATATTATTCATGCTAATTCTCTTGATGAATCCTTAAAATATCTTTCAAAGTCCGATCATAACCGATCGATTGAAAGAATCTTTGTTATTGGCGGTGCTGAGATATATAATACACTCATTGATGATCCAAGAACATCTCATTTGTTGCTTACTGAGATAGAAACTGATAAGGAGATTCCTGTTGATACTTATTTAAAATTCCCATTATATGATGAAAATACATCTTGGATTAAACAATCAAAACAAGAATTACAACTGTTTGTTGGAGATGAAATAATATTGGAAGATGATATCAAAGAGGGGGACTTTGTATATAATTATACTCTTTGGAAAAGAAAATAAGAATAAAAATAAAAATAAAAATAAAAATAAAAACGTTTATATATTAATTTAATCTATGTACATATGCAAATGCAAACCGTATTACAATTCTGGATCATAAACTCTGAGTTTACTAACAACTCTTTCATCAACTTCAAGTTCTTGAACCCATTCGGAATTCTTTTCCTTACCAGTTTCAACCCATTTCTTAGGCCAATCGAGTTCTTCTTCTTTGGCCATCATGGTATCCTTAAACTTCCAATCTCTAATTTTATCATTTACTATGGCCACAGTTCTTGATCCATAATCATCAGCCAAATATCTCGTGGTGAAGTATCGATAAATCTTTTGAGGAGTTTTAAGGAAACCAGTTAATTTAGGAACTGGAAATACATAAACTGGTTGTTCAAATATAGCAGGAGTTCCATCTTCATTAGTTACACGATCAAGATGAGAAAATTCAGGAGCCCATTGAGCATCGGTATATTCTGATGGTTTTATGAATGCTTTAGTTACAGGTAAACGATTAGAATCATCTTCATCATCATCTTCATCACTACGATAAGTTTCACCCTTGGCTTCAGCTTCTTGCTTTAATTTTTCCTTGTCTGCTTTAATTTTTTCTTCTTCTTCAATTAATGATTGTGGTTTTTCTAAAGGTCCTAATAAACCTTCATGAACTCCAGTAATATATTCCTTATATGCTCCACGGCCTACACATATAACACCACCACCTAAAATTTGATCATTTGCATCATCACTTTTAACTTCAACTGGGTTTATAACTTTATATAATCCTATCACATCTTGTGCTGTATATAAATCATGTCTATTAATGGTTGATTCATCTAATTCAATGGAAGTAGATTTATTAAATATACCACTAACATTGGCAAGTGATGGTAATTTACTACTAGTACTAGTAGTACTATTATTATTGTTGGTACTATTATCATCATTTGTAGATTCTTTACTCTTTTCAAGTTCAGCTAATCTTAAATCTCTAATCTTTTGAGCTACTGCATGACGGATTTCTCCTTGTCTTCCTTCAGATACTACTTTGAAATCAATAGCACTAGCATTTAATACTGGTTTAATATATCTTCTAAATATTTTAAGTGATTCATCAAGAAAATTATTAGGTGGTGGAGCTATTAATACTGTAATCTTCCGTGGGGTAGACTCTATACCATAAGGAATTTTACTAAGATGTTCGACTTCAGAAATCCATTTCTTTCGTATTTGTTTTTGCTCATATTTATCATAACCTATTCCTCCACCAATAACTGATACAACACTAAAAAATATAAGCCAATTTCTTGATGGTAATCTAATTCTAGGAATACCCATCATTCTTAATGCGGGATTAGACCAACCTTTCTTCTCAGCTACTTTCTTAGTGGCTTCAGCAGCAGAACCAGAACCAGAACTGGAATTTCCAGTTCCAGTCGCTCCTGAACCTCCGGTAGATTTGGGCTCTGACTCAGACATTACACACAGAGTTAGTTAACTTGGTTCTTGTTCTTGTCCTTGTTCTTAAGTACGTACTTAAAGCTCACTAACTGAAAAAAAATTTCGATGGAGAAAATTTCCGCTCGCGATCTGCCATACTAATTCTTTTCTACTGTAGCACAACAGAGGGTTTAGTATGGGATACTGAGCTAAATACAAAATCGGAATGGTTTTATAATAAGTTTGATATTTAGTGGTATATCTCAGAGTCATCTGATAGAGAGAATGTTCTTTTATATTATGAAAGGAACCAAAGCGTAATTATTTACTATGTGTGTGTGTGTATATAACCATTTTATTACAATATATACATGCCAATTTATTACTCCAATATATACAAGCCAATTTACCTAAAAGTTTATATAATGTTTTAATTCAGTTAAGATATCATCATAATGAAGATCTTTACCTATAAACACCACTTTATTATCATGAACTTCATCTAAAAGTTGACCATCTTCAACAATATCATAAGTATCTCTAACTGCTTGAACTACTTTTACAATGGCTTCATTATCATGAGTTTTCTTAATTAATAATCCTTTAAGACGATGAATTTCAACATCTTTGGAATTCATTTTATTTTCCCATAGTACATATTGTAAAAATGATTCAAATTGATCAAATTGTTCATCCTTAGTGAAGAAGGGGAAATCCAATGTAATGGTGGTAATTCGATGATCATGAAAACTAGTATCTTGTTGAATATAAATTGATTGACTTAATCTTTCAGAACTTAAATCAAATGCTCGAAGATCAAGAATCTTATCTAATTGAATATCTCCAAAACTTGTAGTATGAAGTGGAGCTGTTTGATTTATACTTCTTATTCTATTTTCAATCTGTTCAAGTTTTTCTTTCGAATCATTTAATTTATCAATTTTATTAATTAATATTGTATCGGCCAAAGCTATTTGAATATGGGCTGTAGTTAAACCTTCTTCTAATTGTTTAACTTCATTTTCAATTTCTACTTGACTAGTATCATTATTTGTATCTTGAACTGATTTTAAATGATGATGTTCTCGATGCCAATGTCCTCCAATATCATCAAGACATGTGAGGATATTTTCAGCATCAACTACTGTTATTACACTATCAATATAAATACTTGATGCTAAACCTTCATCTAACCAAAACATTTTAGCAATTGGAGATGGATCTGCTACACCAGTAGTTTCTAATAAAATATAATCTATTCTATCTTTTGATTTTTCTACTAATTGTTCAATAGCTGCCACTCCATTATCCTTAACTGTACAACATAAACATCCATTACCAAGATCTAACCATTCTTCAATAGATTCATTCTTTTGAGTATCTTTAACAGTAACAGATTTCTCTATTACTGAAGAATCTCCAAATTCATTCAATATAATTGCTAATCGTTTATTAGAAGTTTTCCCTATTCTATCGAGTAATGTAGATTTTCCTGATCCCAAATATCCGGTTATAATAGATACGGGAATTTTTCTATTTAGTGGTTCTTCATCATTATTATTATCTTCATTACTGTTATCTGATACTTGCTCTTGCTGAGTCTTAAGTAGATCAGTCGATGATTTCTTAGTTACAGGTAACTCATTTAAGTTCCCTGGTAACTCTTCCACTAAATCAGGAATATCGTCATCCATAATCTATAATTCTACGATAACAGTCTGTGAGGTTCTTATTGGCCGTTTAACTCTGACTCTGTCTGTGCCTAAATTACTGACTACTGCTGAAAAAGTCCGCAGGGAGAACTGGCTCCCCGCGAAGAATTTTTTTCCCAGGGCCCCCCAGCGACAGCGACAGCGAGCTAAAGATCGTAGAAGACTAATTTAAGTTTTCCACTAATATATTTGACAGGCCTTAGTTCAATAGATCAATAGATATTGTAAGAATAAGTAGAATAAATATAGTCTATTGAACACAGAATGTACAAATTCAACGGGGTGCTAGACGCAGCCTTAATTGGATTAATTTCATTTTATTTGGTTTTATCTCCATTCACTAAAGTTGAAGAATCGTTTAATTTGCAGGCCATTCACGATATCATCAATTATGGAATATTTCCTCAACAAGTTATTGAAGATAATTATGATCATATTAATTTCCCAGGAGCTGTACCAAGAACTTTTGTTGGAAGTTTAATAATTGCTGTTTTAGCAAAAGGTTTGAATTTTATAACTTCAATATTTGGTTATAATTTATTAGAACAATCTAGTGAAATTAATTTACAATTAATAGTTCGAGCAATTTTAGGATTAATTAATGCGTATCTGTTAATTCATTTAAGAAATACCGCTAATAAAATTGTTTTCTCAGACAAGAAAAGTAAAATTAAGGGGACATTAGGATTTTGGTTTTCATTATTATTATTAAGTCAATTTCATATTTTATATTATGCATCAAGAACTATTCCAAATTTTATTGCTTTACCAATTGTAAATTTTGCGGTGAGTAAACTTTTGAGGGGTGATGTTTCTGGTTTAACATGGTTAGCATTTACCGCGGTAGTCTTTAGAATTGAAGTTGGATTATTTGCTGTTATAATTGCTTTAGTATCTTCATTAATATTTGGTCAATCAAATATAATTGTTAATATAGCAATGTTAGCTTCTGGAACAATTATTGGATCATTTCTTTCATTAGCAGTTGATTCATATTTTTGGCAACAAATTATTCTTCCAGAATTATCATCATTTAAATTTAATGTCCTATTAAATAAATCAGTTGAATGGGGGGTTGAACCATGGTCAGCATATTTTTCAAAATATATTTGGAATTTATTTAGACCTCCAGTTATTCTTTTACTTTTACTTCCAGGATTAATTAATGATCCAGCTGATGATGGTAAACCAATTATTAAATCCGATGATGATAATGATAAAGATAAAAAGGGAGATATAAAAATTATAACTCATCCTGCTAGAAATTCTCTTCGAATTCTTTTTATTTCTTCAATATTATATATTGTTGTATTGTCATTTCAAGCTCATAAAGAATGGAGATTTATAACTTATGTTATTCCAATTTTTACTCTTCAAGCTGCTAATGGTATTTCATCGATTGCTACTAAATGGTCTATAAGTTTTTCAAGTAAATTCTTAGTTATTATTGCAATTGCAAATATTGGTGTTGCATTAATTCTTTCATTATTAATGGGATTTTTTTCAAGTTTTAATTATCCTGGTGCCGATGCATTATTATTTACTAATAATTATATTCAATCTAATTATCAAGATAAAGATGTATTGGTTCATTTAGATGTACCAGCATGTATGACTGGTATTACTAGATTTGGTGAATTAAATTCTAATCATGTTAAATATGATAAAACTGAAACTGAAGCTGAATTAAATCAAATTTGGAATCAATTTGATTTAATTATTGTAGAAGATTTAAATTCAGTTTCTCAAGTTTCATTTGCTAGTGGTGCTTGGGAATTAATTCATACATCTCAATTGTTTTCTACAGTAACTCTTGGTCCATTAGTTGAATTGGCAGTAGTAGAAAAGGATAATTTAATTAAATTACCCTTAAAATTCTTAACTGGTGAATATAGTATTATTGATTTATTACAATCTATGGTAGTCAAAAAGGATTTCTTATATGTTTATAAGAAAATATCTCATGAATCTACCATTGAGGATCATGATACTGCAATCGATCAAATTGAAGAAGTTGATGGAGATGCTGTAATTGAGGATGTCAATGAACAATTTGATTCTATTATTGAAGAGATTGTCAGTCATTCTCATGACAATTAACTGGTACTTGTATAAACTAAACTAAATTAAACTAAATTAAAGTAAATTAAATTAAATTAAATTACATTAAATTATCCTATCTTATATTACATAACTAATACATTAATTATTACCTATCATTATTCATTATGTTAAGTTTGAAACACTTGCAGAACAGGAGAAAATCCAAGAAATTCAGTTGCTGGTTCTTCTCTTTCAGTCTCTGGTTCAGTCTCTGTATCTATATCTACTTCGTCATTAGTAGGGAATTTAATGGGAGTAATTCTTCTAAACTTTTTAGCTGTTTCTATAGATCTCTTATCAAAAGTTATTCTTGAATCTGAATTACCTGTTTGAGCTTCAAAAATAGGAGCCTTAGGAGGTAATATACTAGAAGAAGTTAATGGTTCAAGTCGAGGATATGTAATTGAAACTTCATTAAATACATTAGCTCCAATGACTTCTTTCTTAGGAGTTGAAGAACTTTTAATACCTCGGAAATGTTTACGAATTTCATCCATTTTTTCATTCCGAAGTCTTTGAGTAGTTTCTAAAAGTCTTGAAGGACTTGTTCGATTAATCCCCATTCCTGGAGTTGAATAAGGAATTCTTGAAGGTACTTGCTTTTTCAATGGAGTAAATAAATAACTTATATTCTTATCACTGGAAATTCTTGAAGATCTTGAAGCTAAGGGAGATGAATTACTTATTTCTGAATCATCAAATGATGAATCCTTAGTTTGAGTTTTCCATTTCCAAAGTTCAAATATAAGTTTTGCCCGAGAAGAATCCCATCGTTTAATAAATAAATCACAACTTTGTTCATTTCTTCGAACTTTCATAACTCTCATAGCCCAATTACTTAAAATATCTTGAACTTGTCTAAATGAATTATCATCAAGAAATTCTTCAGCAATTTCATTTAAATATATTCCTTTATTAATATATTGTCCATACCAAATTACCATACTCTTTTTCTTTAATACTGTCTCTTCAAATGAGATTCCTTGTTCATAAAGATCTTCATATCTTATACCAAGTCTTCTCCATTTATCAAAATATCCTGGTAAATTATTTTGTTTATAATGATTGAAATAATCTCTCTCTCTGGCTTCAATCAGTTTCTGACGTAATTGAACATCATCATACAGTGATTTCCATATAGAAAATGCTCGAGCTTTTATATTTTTATCTCGATATTCTGTTTGGAAATTATCAATAATATGAGCAGAATTCTGTTCAAAACTATATTCGAATCGTCTTTTCCATAATCTTAATACTGATTTGACTAATAGATCATTAGTATTAAAATTAAAATTGAAATTATTATTGATCAGTTTATCCATATCTTTATAATGGATATAACGAGATTTCCATCGATTAAATATTCGTTGTTTTAACCATTGATCTGCCTTTGCACTAACTTCTACAGTGGAATTATACCTATTCAACCATACTTGAGCATATCGTTTCTTTAAATTGATTACTTCAAGATCTTCAGCATAAGTTGTTAATTCTATTATATCCGCTAAATGATTATGCCATTTAACAAATTGAATCTCTTCTAATCTCTTACATGACTGTGAAGTAACTTGGGCAAGTTTATACTTAAGTTTCCAGGATTTAAAGGATTGCTTTACTACAAATTGTTGAAGTATATGAGAATTATTCCCCTGAGCTATGGTATTCAATTTCCATAATGTGAATATATGGTTTAATTTATTCTTTCTAAATAATGCTTCAGCTTGGGATCTTCTTAAGGTTAAATCTTTCCAGATAATGAAAAGTTGTTGTTTCATAATTTGATCCTTTTCATGGCGATTCTTGCGGGCCATAGATTCTTGGGCAGCTTTAGTTAGCCATCGTTTTCTAAACATATACTCAAGTAAGAGTTTATCATTCTTTACTTTTACCGAGTTTTTAGCTACCATAAGACAATACATCGTCATCCACTTATTGAATTGCTTCTTAAGTAAATACTTTCTCTCTAACTGAGTTAATGTCTTTAATTTATTACTATCAATTTCGACATTTCCATTTCCATTTCCATTTCCATTCAGTATACTATTTGTCATACGAGTATACCATTGTACAAATACTACTTGTAAGATGTTGAAATTCTGATGAGATTCCCATTGAGACCTTTTCTTAATGGCTAAAGATTTCAAACTAGTTTGAAATTGATAGGCTCGTTTCCATTTGGAAAAGCCCAGTTTAAGTAAATTAATACTTCTTAAATTAATGGCTCGTACTACCAAACCTTCAGAATTAATAGATTTATCCAGCCATATAGTAAAGTAAGACTTTGTAAATCGTATATCTGCATTATTCATTAAGTGTTTATGATGTTTATATGCATTAATTATATGATTAAAATGTTTATCAGATATCATAATCGTATCATATCTAATGGCTTCTTTATGTAAATCTTGTAATTGACATTTACGAGTATACCATAATTTTAAGAATACTCTTAAATATCTATTTTGATTATTAAAACTCCATTGATCCAGAATTTCAATTAATTGATTTATTATATCAGTTCTTGAATTCCAATTATTTAAAAGAATCTTTTCAATTTGAATATTCTTATAATATTCAATTACAGAAATCCTCATTAATAAAGTAGTTGAAGGTATTGAAGCAACTGAAGATTTTGATAAATATTTATGAAGATCATGAAGTCTATATACAGTAGTTTTAAAATTAGTCAGTTGAGTTTCATCTTTACCATTTTCAAAATCAATAATTATATTTAATAAAGTTATTAATTGATCAACATAATTAAAATCAGCAATTACTCCTGAAGTTGGTAAACTTTCATATAATAAAGTTAAATAATGATAAAGTATAGAAACAAAATCTATATCGAATTGAAGATTAAATTCATTTAAAAGAGGGATAATTCTTCGAAAATGATTTAATAATTGACTTCTATCGCGTTTAGTATTATGTAAATTAGTTTCAACAAGTACATCATCAGCTATTAAATTTAATGAAGGAACAATTCCAATTCCACCTTGACTAGTTATTATTTCATTTTCCCTTTTCATTTCTGGAAAAATTGACCAATCATTTATAACTTTTGCATTAATATCCAGAAAGTAATCAGGTAAAATACTTAATAATAATTCATAAATTGAATCAAATTTCTTTTCCTTATAAGCAAATGTATCAATTTCTAAACTCAGAATTTGGAAATGACTCTTAAACATATACAAGAACATTTCAGCAAATTTATTTGCATCTTCAATTCTAACATGTTTAATACAAGCAATTTCAAGTAAAATATTATATAAACTTGTAAATCCTTCATGAGAGCTTCGGAATACTAGGGGCAATCCCGAAGTGTTATGACTAATTTCTACATTATTATCTTGATGAATCTCTGAACCCATTAATTTATCAAGTATTTCAACAATTTTTAAAGTATCTTGTTGATGTAAATTTGTATTTAAATCATGTCGTATTTTAGTTTGAAATTTAAGATCATATGTAAAACATTTAGTAAGAAATTTAATGATTTGAGTTTCACAATCTTTATGAAAATTTATAAGAAATGTTATGAAAGTTGCAAATGATTGTAAAACTGATTTAGAAGCATTTGTATGAGTTTCTTGTAATAATTTACTTAGTTGATTAAGTATAGTATCATGATATTTATGTTTCAGATATTGATATTGTTGAAAATATGTTAAGATTTCTTTACTGGGGATAGATGATTTGGTAGGAGATTCTCCTCGTTTAACATAATAAAGTATATCTAATGAATTTATACCATCTAAATGAGGATTTATTGTTATATTAAGTTTCTGATACGCGGTATCATCCCAATCTACTAACTTTATTATATGAGTTATGGTCTGTTTTAGGAGTGTTTCGTATTCCAATTGATTTCCTAATTCGGAAAACGTACTAAGCCGATGAAGGTCCTCTACTGTACTTCGTAGTAACTCTTGTACCGACCCCATCTTGTGTTGTGGTGAATACTAAATAGTGAAAGGTGTGTTATTTAGTAGATCACATAGTTAAGAATGTCGCAGCGATATTCCGCTAGCGAGAACTGGCAGCCGAAAAAAAGCGGCCCCACTAATTTAGTGACAATGACTTTACCAGATTATAATTACATAGTTAATAAGAACTACTAACACTAATCTAATAGTACCAATAAAGGTTGTCAAACCCATGACGATTCTGAGGAATCAAGAGAATCCGGCGTCTACTCTGGCGTCTAATTTACATATCTTTAATGCTCATATAATTCCATTTACTTTATCTACTACGTCGACTTCTATTAATAGCCCATCCCATCGGAATCAATTAGATATATCCATGGTATCACCAAATTTAAACCATAATGGTAACCAGGGTCAAATCCAAGTATCCAAACCAAAAATTCGCGTGTTCTCCGAGAGCGACATCTACCGAAATCCATTAACTAATGGTACTAATGTCGCACCGCCTCCTCCACCTCATACAACGTCATTACCTCAAATATATGGTATAAGTGAATTAGATACTGCGCCTACTCAAAATCATAGTCAAAGTCATAGTCAAAGTCCAAGTCAAAGTCCAAGTCATATTCAAAGTCATAACCAAACTCATATTTCACCTACTTCTAAAGACCGAAATAGTATGGACTCGGAAATATCAGCTAGTCTGGATGATTTCTTATCATTAACTACCGAATTAATAGAAGAAGAAGATGAAGAAGAAGATCCAAATCATGTTAATGAAATTGAAGATAATGATGGATTTAATTTTCAAAGTACTCCCTTAATAGAGGCAACATCTCATAATGATAAATCACTTAATAGTCATGATAAGACAGTAGAAGAATTTCAAGATATGCCATTATCAAGTAATACCCTTCCATATCCTTCAGAAATTGGGATTCATACATTATCAATTGATCTGATTGATAAAGTTATACCTTTACCACCAATAAAGGATCCTAATCAAGATACTTCTCCAACAGCATTAACTACTTATTTAACTAATTCAACTTTACCTAATGATGTAAATAGATATAGTCAAAGTTCAGTAGAGTTATCTCAAAACTTTACTACTGATAAACTTCATGAATTTAAACCTCCAATAAGTCATGGATTAGTTAATCATGTTCGTCAAAGTTCAGAATCTTCAACAATCTCTAATGCATCTGCTACTTCAGTTTCAACTTTACCTCTGGAAAGATCTAATAAAGATATGAGATTTGTTAGATATGCTATGAATACTCGAACTTCATCAACCAGTGGATCTGGTAAATGGCTGATGCCAAATGTATTAAAATGGTTAGAAGATAATGGATTTAATAATTCATGGAAAGAAGTATTTAAAAAGAATGAAATATCCGGTAATAGACTCCTAGATTTAGAAAATTATGATGTTAATTCTCCAACATGGCAACAATTTTCAAAATTATTAATTATAGATGGACCAATTAATAGTGTAGAAAGATTTCTAGAATTACTTAAAAAGGAAATCTTTAGTTATGAATTAGAAAATTTACAACATAGTCGGAAAACTTCAGATTCTCTGATTTCACTGGATACTTTAGGTACTACATTATCAGATTATGGGAAACCACCTAGTAATTATAGCAAACGTAGATCAGTTGCATCATTATCTCCTTCAGATTCTACATTTAATTTAGGTTATGGAAATTTAAAATCATCAAAACAAAGACCCTTTTCATATATTGATCCAAGTACATTTAAAAATTCAGGTTTAGATTTTGCATCATCTGTATCTTCTAATTTTTTAAGAAAACATAATCGAACAAGATCTAATGAAGGTAGTACTCAAAAGGATAATGGAGGAATTAATAATGGATCGAATGGTAAAAGTCATAATGATGAAAGTCCAACTTCTAGATTTCTTAAGGCTACAGCCTTTGGTCAAAGTACCAAGACTCCTAAAGATTCCAAAAAGGGTGGATTTATTAATACTCTTAAGAAATATAGCGTTGATAAATCATCAAAACTGAAACTTGGCCATAGTTCTAAAAAATCTGGAGAAACAACTATTCCTCAAACAGTTCAAGAAATTTCTCCTGAAATGACACTAACATCAACATCAATATCAGCATCAACATCAACATCATATAATAATGTAGAAAAAGTTATTATAAGACTGAATGGTCGTATTATAAGTCCAGTGGATGGACCAAAGACTTTACCTAGTCCAATTGAAATTCCTAGTCCAAGTCCAAGACCAAGTCCTATTGAAAGTGCTCATACAACATATATTAATCTTGAAGAGAAATATTTACCTAAGGCTAAAGAACAAAAATCCATTATAACTACAACCACCATATTAGTTAGTGATGATAATAAGAAATTTATACCTGTATTATTATCAGATAATGATAAATTAAGTTATACAGCCATTAAATTAAAAGTAATTGATTCATTAGGACTTGTTGATCCAGAAGATGTTACTTTCCATTTAACAGATTTTGGAGCTGAAGAAGGTTTAGCCTTACCTGAAGAAATATTATTACAAGTATTAAAGACTCAAGATACTTGTAAACTTGTAATTCATCATTCAGTTCATTCACCAGATACTACAGCTTTTTCAACTACTTCATCAGATTCAAAATCTTTTGAATATAATCATACACCTCAATATCTTCTTGAAAGTTCAAAAGATAAAGATACAGATTATTTAAATTTTAAGGGAGATTATATGTTACGACAAATTCATGCTAAACGAAATGTTTTAGATGATATTGCTAGTAAATCATATAGAAAACATTTAAATAATCATGATTTCCCTATGCATTTAGAAATCCCAGCTAAAAGAATCATATCCAGTGAATCTATTAGAAAAGATGAACTGCCATCTTCATCATTTAAGATTCTACCTCCTCGAGAAAATTTAATTGATTTTGAAAAGAGAAGAGAGAATAAACAATTTCAAACTGCTCCCAAACCAATTGCAACTATACAAGATTCTTCATTAACTGATGCTCATAGATCTCCTGTATCAGCAACTACAGTTTCAATTTTAAAAGATGATAAAAAGAGTCCCATTGGTCCAAGTAATTTATCAGTATTTGAAGGTCAATCTCGAACTTCAAGTGATAAAGATAAGGATAAAGGTATAGTACCTAAAAGAAAGGCTCCACCACCTCCACCACCAGATCTTAGAAGAACTAGTTCAATTCTGAGAAGAAATAGAAAATCATCTATCTCTAGTATTACTAGTTCACTTATAGATCGAAAATATACTTCCAGTAGTAGAAATTCCAGTATTAATTCTCGAAGAAATGAAGATTTATTTAAAGAAAATACCATTATTTTTGATGATGTAGCTATATCAGATATTAAACCTGATAGTATAGGTGATGATCAATTCTTTATTAAACCTGCCATTAGAAGGTTTTCTTTAAGAGATAGAGCCAATAGTAATCTAAATAATAATCCTTTAGGTGTTAGACCTCCTATATTGGAAGTATATGAGAATTTTGATAGATATTTCTCAGGAACTGATCTTGAAAAGCCGATAATTAATGAACCTACGTCTACACCTAATCCCAATGCCAATCCCAATTCCGATTCCAATTCCAATTCCAATTCCAATGCCAATGCCAATGCCAATGCCAATGCCAATGCCAATGCCAATGCCAATGCCAATGCCAATGCCAATTCTAATTCAAATTCTAATGCTTCTGAATTAGTTCCAAGTAGGAAACCTACAATTTCCAGAACATTTTCTAATGCCAATAAGTCTCCTATAACTCCAAAGGAATTTGAACCTGAAGTAGGTAATGGTAATTTTGGTAGAGGTAGATTAAAATCTATTCGAGCTGCTTGTATTGAAGCCAAGCATAATTATAAGAATAATAAAAGCATAAAGAGATCAAATACAAAACTTTGGGGTACTAAAGGTATTGAACTTACTGGACTTGCAGAAGTTAAGTATGTTGGAAATAGTCAGAATGGAGATTTTAAAGAATTTGCTTGGATTAAAGGTGATGAGATTGGTAGTGGATCATTTGGTACAGTATATTTAGGATTTAATGTTACTACTAAAGAAATGTTTGCTGTAAAGCAAATTGTATATAGTCCTAAATCACAAATTTCAGTTGATTTATTAAAGGAAGTAGAAAATATGAAAGATTTACATCATGAAAATATCGTTCAATATTTAGGACATTCACAAAGAAATAATGAATATAATATCTTTTTAGAATATGTTCCTGGAGGATCTATTGGATCATGTATTAAGAGTGTGGGTAAATTTGATGAACCATTAGTAAGATTTATTATTAAACAAGTATTATCTGGTTTACAATATCTTCATGATAATGGAATATTACATCGAGATTTAAAAGCTGATAATCTATTATTAGATGATAAAGGTACTTGTAAAATATCTGATTTTGGAATTTCTAAACGTTCAAAAGATATATATGCTAATGATATGAAGAATTCATTTAAGGGAACTAGATATTGTATGGCACCAGAAATCTTTAAAAATCGGAATTATGTTGGTTATAGTGCTAAAGTTGATATTTGGTCATTAGGATGTGTTGTTATAGAAATGTTTACTGGTAAACGACCTTGGTCAGGTACTAAATCAGCTGAACAATTTGTTGAAGATATTGAACGGAAATTATCTCCCGATGTATCTATGTCATCAGAAGCTATGAAATTTATTATGAGATGTCTTACTATTGATTCTGGTATAAGGCCAACTGCTCAACAATTAAGTGATGATGAATTTACTGTACCCGATCCAAATTTTACATTTGAAACTACTAAATTAGCTGAAGCTATTCGAGCTAGAAATAAATCTTAAATAGGTTAACATGTATTTAATCTATATATAAGTAGTTAACATATAATTTATTTACAAGATTATGTGAGTTTTAACTCATTAATCATCAATACAGTTTGATAAGGTTCCACAGGGAAAGTCTTTAATCTTCTACATCTTTGCTTCTTTCTATATACTTCATAATATGGTTCTCGAGTAATTTCAACCACACTGGCTTTTAATTTATATAAATCCGTTGGAATACCTTCATCAATTTTACAAGTATATTCTGGAGATCCTAAAGTAGTTACATAATTTAATAGTAACAGATCACCTACACGAGCACCTTTCAATCGAAATGGTAAGTATACTTTATCACCTCTAGTTACCATATAAGGCATATTATGTAATTTGAAAATGGCGTATAAGTCTCTTGATCCATTAGAGTTCAACTTTAATGGTCTTAAGTCTGGTTTAGGTATTGATGATGCAGTTGATGATGCAGTTGCAGTTGGAGTTGGAGTTGGAGTTGGTATAGATGATGATATTGATGCAGGAGCTGTAGCCAATGAACGACTCCTAAGAGCTTGCACAGAGAGTTGAACGCCTCTGGTTTTCAAACTATTAAACATCTTATTGTTCCCTATAACTTTTGGCTACTATACTTTAGTTTACTATAGACTAACCTCAAGTCTTGTGAGTGGTTTGAGTCTTCTCTTCACTCACTAAGGCAGTAACTATTAGTGGTTCTTTCTTTCTCATTTTTCGCCGGTAACCTTTGTGTAACATTGCGAAAATTTTTTTAGGCAGTCGTCCAGAGGTCCAGCGAGCGCAGTAGCAAATTGGCGGGTCAGTAGATTAGGTAGAAATATAACAAAGATATTTTTAATAAAGTTACACTGACGAGTTTGGAATTGTGTATACTGGAAGTCAGGTAAGCGCAGCAGCCAGACAAGCCCAGGAAGAGACGGATGCTAAGACTTATGGGCCATAGGTTACTAAAGTCTAGAATCATTATACACATATCCAAATAGAATTTAATTAGGGTCATAGACAATACAATTTAACGGTCTATATTAATATTAATATTTAATATTAATTTCTTTCTTTCTTTCATTAACTCACTTATTCATTCTTTTTAGTCTTTTTATTAATCAATAGCTTAGCTCATGTCGGGACTGTTTTGGAAATTCAGCAACGGGTTCACGTCGTTATCCAACATCTCCACCATCTTAGAAAACCACACTATTAATCAAGAACTGGGAGATTTACTGTATTCAAGCTCATTTGATGTATTATTAAAACTTTTGGATGAAAATGATTTATTACAAGAGTTAATATCAAACAATCCCATGTTATTAGAATTCTTACGAGAGCAAGAGGTGTTGGGGATGTTGACCGACTTGGTCGTATCTGAGGGTGACAAGACACCGACAGAAAGCAAAGATGAAGAAAGTATTGATCAAGATATGGAAGATAAATCAAGTTCAGATGCGAATTCGAGTTCGAATTCGAATTTGAATACCAAAAATAAGAAACAATCTGATAAGTCCGAGAGTGGGGAAGGAGATGAAGCAGTAGTTAAAGATGTTGAAGATAAAGATGAAGATAAAGATAAACATAAAGATAAAGTTGGAGCAGAAGATGAAGACGAAGACGAAGAAGAAGAAGATGAAGACGATGATGACAAAGATAGATCATTAGAGATTGATGATGATGCAGCTGATATTACTAGTGACAATGATGAAAGCCCTGAAGAAAGAGCCACAAGACGAGCAGCCATCGCTACGGAAATTTTAAGTGCTGATGTATGGTCATTAACTGATACTGTTATGGAATCTACACTTGATCTTAATAAATTATGGTCAATTCTTGAAACCAAAAGTCCATTATCAATTAATTTATCATCATATTTCACTAAGATTATGGAACATTTATTAGATATGAAATGTGATGAAATGATTACTTATTTAATTGAAAATCAATTAAATTTAGTTGATAAATTCATGAATCATTTATCTAATCCACCATTAATGGACTTTTTATTAAAATTAATTTCTACTGATAAACCAGAGAATTCAACGGGGATAATAGACTTTTTACAAACTCAGAATTTAATAACTCATTTAATTAATGCTTTAGATATTACTGAAGGTATTTCTAAATTAGAATCAGAAGATGAATTATTAATACGACAATCATCTGCTGCCGATTTTTTAAAGGCATTAATTACTATATCTGCTAATTCAACTACTGATAATTCAACCATTGGACCAAATGAATTAACTAGAGAATTAGTATCATTTGAACAAATGGATCGTTTATGTACAATTATGTTAAAGGGAGGTTATGCATTAGCTAATGGAGTGGGAATTATTATAGAAATTATTCGTAAGAATAATTCAGATTATGATATTTTACCAGTATTATATATTACATTAGAAAGTCATCCTCCAACTGGTAGAGATCCAATTTATTTGGGACATTTATTAAAAGTATTTGGTAGTAAAATTGCCGATTTTAATCAATTATTAATTCAAGATAATTCTGAAAGTAAATTAAAAACTCCATTTGGAGAAATTGAACCTTTAGGATTTGAAAGATTTAAAATTTGTGAATTAATTGCTGAATTATTACATTGTTCAAATATGGCTTTACTTAATGATAATAAAGGTTTTGATGTAGTTAAAGAACGTGATGAATTAAGGACCAAAATGAAAGAGTATGATCCAATTAGTTTCAAATATAATGAAATAATAGTTCTTCCCGAAGAAAATGACAATGATGACAATGATAATGATCAAGATGCTGATCTAACTACTGATAGTATTACATCTACTATCACTAATACTACTTCCACCAATACTGCAACCACCACCAATACTAATAATGATTACGCTAATGACACTATAGATTCATTTAATAACTCAAAGTTACATATAGGAGATTCCATGAATGAAGATGATGAAGATGAAGAAGAACCTCATGCTAATGCCAATTTAACTGAAGAACAAATTAGAGCTAATCCAGTAGTAGGAGATTACTTAAAGATTGCTTTATTTGATACTCAAATTATATCTAATATTTTATCAATGTTTTTTAAATTTCCATGGAATAATTTCTTACATAATGTTGTATTTGATATTGTTCAACAAATTCTTAATGGATCAATGGATATTGGATTTAATAAATTTTTAGCAATTGATTTATTTCATTTAGGTGATATAACCAATAAGATAATTGAAGGACAAAAATTATGTACCGATTATGAAAATTCTAATAATGGTTTAAGATTAGGATTTATGGGACATTTAACTTTAATAGCAGAAGAAGTTGTTAAATTTATTCAATTATATCCAACCAATTCATTAAGTGAATTAATTGATTTAAAAGTTGAAGATGAAGTTTGGGAAGATTATGTTAATAATGTATTATTTGATACTCGAGAAAAGTATAATGCTATTTTAGGTGGAGGAGAAGAAGATGAAGAAGATGAAGAAGATGAAGAAGGTAATAATACATTTGATGATGGTGATGGAGGTATAAATGAAATTATTGAAGAAGTTAAAAGTGGTTTAATCTTTGATCCTAATGTTGATCATGATATAGGTCAAGGATTTGGACAAGATGAAATTCAAGATCAAGATCAAGATCAAGAACAAGTTGAAGATGTAATCAATGAAGGTGGTGAAAATCAAGTGGATGTTGATACTAAACATCGAACTACTGATAGTGATGAATCTGAATCTGATGATGATGATCATTTTACAAATTATATGACACTGCAATTAACTAATCCTGCTACCACTAGTGAAATAACTTCATCTTCAACTACTAGTACTAGTACTATTAATACCAGCACTACCATTAAAGAAGCAAATAGAAGTAGTTCAATTACTGAAGCTGAATTTGAAGATGCTGATGAATATGTAGATCCTAATGATGATGGAATGTCATATAAAAAATCGCATCCATTATATGATTCATCAGGTTTATTAAGAGGTCAAGATGATCATGATACATATTCTAGTGAAGAATCTAGTTCAAGTTCAGATGATGAAGAAGATGATGGAGATGATTTAGAAGTTGGTAGTGATACAAATGGTACCAAATTAACTCGAGCTGCTAGTAAGGGTTAGGGTTAAAATATTCATTCATTAATATAGTGTATTTTACAAAAATAGAAGTAAACTTCTTCAATGACATGATTAATTTATTTAATATATCTATAAGATATCCCCTGTAGAATAAACTAATAAAACCAATAAACTAAAATACAATTGCCTCAGTTGACATTTTTCTACCTTCTCTTTCAAGAGGAGGTAATTCAGCAATTGTAGAATCTATTTCATCACTTGAATTATCTTGTTGAGCATGACGTTTTGTAGGTACTCCACCCATTAAACCTTTACTTATAGCTAAATCAGATGATCTTTCATTGGCTCCATAAAATTCATCTTCAATTGGATGCATTAATACTGTATTATTTTTAGTTATAGTTAAAGTTGTATTAGATGGTACACATAACCAATCACCTCTTTCAAAAGTTAATGGTTCACTAGCAACAAAGATTACATCTTGAGATCGATTTAATCTTTCCATTTTAAATAATCCTGGTTCATATTCAAAGAATTTTGATCCAGTACTAAAATGTAATGAAGCAGCTTCTTCAGTTTTTGATGTAACATATCGACTTATAACTATACTTTCTCCATCAGTTATTGCAAAATTTAATAATGAAGGTTCACTAGTAACTGAAGTTTGCCAATCTTTAAGTAATTCTATTGTTTTTAATAATGCTTTTCTTAAAATTATATTAGAATATTGAATATTTCGATCAGCAGGATCATAACCCATCTTAAATAAAGTATCAAGAAATAATGCAAAACAACATTCCAGATCAGTTGAACCTTGAATTATGAAAAAGAATTTATCTTCTATATAATTTATTAATCTTTTCTTAATAAGATCAAATGATGATATTCCTCCATTATGCATAAACATAATTTTCCCATAAGAAAATGGATGACAATTAGTTTCTGATAAAACTCCTTGAGTTGAAGCTCTAACATGTCCAAATACTAATCTTGATTCAGTACACATTGATAAATTATTTAAATTCACATTATTCCAGGCGGGAGTTATCGCTTTAAATACACAAGGTTTATGATTTGCAGTATAATATCCAACCCCAAATCCATCACCATTAATTGGATTTCTCATATCTAATCGAAGTCGAGAATCAAATGATTGATTAATTATAGAATGTGCAGGTTTAGTGAGTAAATCTGAGAGGACCATAGGGTCCCTACCCTTATAGATCATGAATCTGCACATAGTCACTTAATAAGTTTTTTCAGTAACTGTTTACAATGTCAGACTATTTCTATTTGTATTTCTTGATTATGATAAAGTGTGACTTGAGGTTAAAGATATTACGCCATAGTAGCAGATAAAATGTCGCGTGAGTGTGCGACATGCAACTATTGAAATTGAAATTGATGCAGAATGAGGATCATCGCCGCGACATTTGAGTCATGTCATATTTATTTTTATTTTTTATTTTTGTTTTTAGAGAGCCACTCACTCCCTTTTTGCCGAGGCGGTATAGCGGACCCTACTGGAAGTAAAAGTCCGAAAGCAAGTATGTCAAAATGGGAATCATACTCCGGGGGAACTTCAGTCATGTTTTGTTATAATTAAAATTTTAAAAGAACCTTACGATTTAGTTATCAATTAAGGTAAGGTCAAGTCCCGGATAATTGGTAGTTGCATATAAATAGTTAATTACAACTCATCCCCACAATTCAGAATATCTTTTACTTTCCTTTACTTATACAATTACATTACTTATAATATAACACACATAATAATTTAATTATGTCACTTTTCAGAACTTTACAGCAATCACCTGCTACTATCAGTATTTTTCATAGTACTAAGATACCACTTTCTGTTAGTTTATATCATCTCTTGGATAGAGCATTTATTAAATTACCAGCTAAAGCAACTAATCAATTTCAAATTGATTTAATGAAGGATAAAATTCCTACATTTTCTCAATATCAATATTTAGCTTCTAATTGTTTACATGATGCCAAGAGTAAACAAGCTCTTAGCAATTGTTATCCATTCTTAAAGGATAGAGTTAGTATTGCACCTGAAGCAACTCAAAGAGTTACATTTAGAGGATTAGAAAGTGTATCACCAACTTTCAAAAATAGAATATTTAATGAAGGCGAATATTCATTAATTGAAGAAACTTTTAATAAATTACAAGAAATTAAAGAAGACGATATCACTGACATTTCTCCATCTGATCTCTTTAGAGCTCCATTAATAATTGATTGGGATCAAAATTTAATTGCTGCAGATGAAGAAGGTTTACTTAATATACTTAAGAAATATGAAAATCAATAACTTTAGATAGTTATTATTGTTATTGTCACATACCATGTATATAATTAGAATATTACCTTTTATTTCCGTCTCCCCATAAATTTTTTGGTTATAGCTTAGCTTAGCTTTTTTCTGCTACATCTTTTTTGCATATGATTCACATGTCTAGTATAAATTTCAATTGGAATTTGAAGATAATAGTTTTAATACTATTAATGTAGAGTAGAGTAGTATCGTATATAACGTTTCTCCTAGTAATCAAAATGTCTAGATTATCCAATCTCTATTTAATAATTTATAATTCAGTTTCGACTGTGTTATGGGTAAGTATCCTTACTAGATCAATTAAGGATATTTATGAAGTTTTAATTGTTAAAGATCCTACCAATTATTACTTGAATCATCAATTAATTCATGATGAATTCCCTCATAAGTTCCTCGTATATACTCAATTATTTAATTCAATTTTAGAATTAATTCATTCTTTATTAGGATTAGTTCGATCTACTATTCCTACATTAATTGTTCAAGCTGCGGCTAGATCTTTAATTACTTTAGGTATTTGTTATACTATACCTACAAGTCCTGGTAATTATAATTTTATTTTCTTTAATACTATCCTTTGGGCTTGGTCATTAAGTGATATCATTAGATATACATTTTTTGTATTTAAATTAATTGATAATGGTAAGTTATGTCCTCGGTTTTTGTTATGGTTAAGGTATTCGGCTTTCTTAATATTATATCCGTTAGGTTTAATTAGTGAATCTGCTACAGTTTATCTTTCATTATCTAGTGTTAAAAATTCTCCCTATTATCATTATTACTTCCTTATATTCGGCTTATCATCGTATATTCCAGGCTTCTACTTTCTCTACGGTCATATGTTGAAACAACGTAAAAAGGTATTGGGAAGATCTAAAAGTCACTAAGTACTCCAACAAGTTGCGACACTCACCGAAAAAATACCAACAATTTTTAATTTTTTATATAGCTTAACTTAACTAGTCGTAATACATTAATCTTCACATTTCCCACATTAATATATAGAACTCGTAATTATGGTATCAGCAAAATCTGCCAGTGGAGAAGGTGCACATCCTAAAAAATGGCTTATTGCTTATAATTCAATTTCTTCTTCTTTATGGACAATTGTATTTTTTAATACTATATTCTTAGGTTTATTAGTAGGACAACCATACTTATTTGAAAAGACCAATTTTATTACAACATTAATTCAAACATTTGCAATAATTGAAATTTATAATTCTGCTACTGGGATTGTTAAATCTCCAATTTTTACTACGACAACTCAAGTATTTTCAAGATTATTAATCGTTTGGGGGATTTGTCAATTATTACCTGAATCTCCTGCCAATTATCATTGGATTTATATTAGTTTAAATTTAAGTTGGTCAATTACTGAAATAATTAGATATTCTTATTATGCTGCTAATCTTATGGATCCTCAATCTGTACCTGATTGGTTAACTTGGTTAAGATATACTACATTTTATGTATTATATCCTACTGGTGTGGCATCTGAAACTTATATGATTTATCTTTCATTAGATGAAGCAGCCAATGTATTTGGAGTATGGCTTAAATATGGTTTAATTGTTATTTTATTTACTTATATTCCTGGTTTCTATATGCTCTATACTTATATGATTAAACAACGTAAGAAGGTGTTAGGTAAATCTAAAGTTACAGAAAAGAAATCTCAATAGATATATAATTATTAATTAATTATGAATTAATTGTTAATTAATTGTTAATTAATTGTTAAGTAAAGAATAAACGTCTATATATAATCCTATCCAAATTTATTAACTTAATTTAATGGGCTCGAGAAAGTTCTCCCTTAAGTAATTGCACTAATTGTTCAAGTTCATCCATAACTTTCCCAATTGGCTTCGAAGGTTCGAATCCTCCACCTTTACCAGTAGTTATACTCATTTGTTGACGTAAGAATAATGTCGCACTACAAGTCTCAATTCTTGTAACAATATGATTTAAAAGTCCTACTAAATCACTTTCTTTAAATGTCGTATTCATCTTTTCTGATATAACTCCTGAAGAATTTTGAAATGTTTCATTAACTGAATGACTCCCATTTAATGTCGAACAAATATTCTCTAATCGTAAAGAAATTGTTCGAAGTCCATAAATTGTTTCTACTGGTAAAGCTCCTACAATTCTTGTACTAAGATCGAATTGTTCCGATTGAGACATTCTCTTTTGAAAGAATTCATATCTTAATTTTAATTTCTCAGAATATACTAAAGTTATTGGTTCTGGAGTTTCAAGTCCCTTTAATTTGCGTTCTCCCAAGGTGAAATATTCTGAACCACTTTCTTCAATTGAAGATATTTCTCGTTCAATAATTTCTCCTGCTTGAAGATTTCCTTGATAAGCTTCACTTAAAGTTGTTTGACCCTTTTCAATATTCTCATGAATTTTATAAAGAGCTTTAATTTCATCAAGAAAATCTGAACTTACAGCAATTTGTCCTCCATCAGCTACAGCACTTATTCTTGAAGTTCTATTAACCATAGGACCAAAATAATCCATTCTACCAGTAACTACATCTGCTTCACATACTGGAGAACCCCAATGAATCCCCATTCTAACTGATAAACCTCTAAAGATTATATTGCCTTTACCATCAGTAACTTCACAACATTGATCAGTTTCTAAGATTTCACTAGGCCAATCAGCCGTTAATAAATTTTGTTGAACATTAAAACACCATAATAATGCAGAAGTAGGTGAAGGAAATGATACCATAAATGCATCACCTTCAGTTTTAACTTCATAACCTCCAACAATTCTTAATTGACGACGCATTATTGAATTATGAGTTTTGATAGCTGATCTCATGGGTGCAGGATAAGTATCCCAAAGTAAAGTTGAATTCTTTATATCAGTAAATACAAGAGCCAATTCTCCAATGGGTGGTTCAATTTCTTCTTCTAATCTTCTTAATGATGAATCTCCCGTAACCGCTGGTCTATCTCTTCTCTTTTTACTAAACAGCATATCTCCTTCTCTACCTAAATTATTATATAAAGCATTAGAACCAAATCGAGTTCGATTAGATTTTTGTTCACCTAAAGTTATAACTATTACGGCGATTTTATCGGAAGCTCCATAACAAATAGCATAATCTCTTAATTTTTGAGCGGCAAGCATAGGATCATCCTTCTCTTGTCTTAAGATATCTACGGCAAATTCATAAGATATATATTCCCATAATAATCTTGTAGCCACTACAATCATATCATCAGCTGAAGTTAATGTTAATTCAAATATATCAGGACCTGAATGTGTATGAGGTAAATAATTAAAGAATCCTACCCCTCTTGAAATTGGCAAATCTCCATCTAATGCTCCATCTCCAGACACATAACCTCCCGAAGCTCTAATTCTTTCAAATTCTGTTCTGGTGGTTGGATCATGTTTATTGGTAAGCATTATATGATCACCATTATTACGAGATAAGATAGCTTCAATATCTCCAATATTGGCGGTATAAAGTTTTTTATCTTTAATATAAATGACTGTCACTGCACAACCAGCATTCCCATCATCGGAAAGATTTAAGTCAAGTGCATCTTTAAGTAATTGAGGATTAGGATTAAAAGATCCATTCTTCTTGGCCGATAAGATCCCATTAACTTCTTTATTAAGATTTAAAAATGTTCGTCTTAATGCATCTTTAATCTCTCCATCATCAGTAATTTTATTTAATTCATTAGTAAATAATGGGACAAACAAATTCTTAGTTAATGAAGATATTCTATGACCTTGATTAGGCATACCTCTTTTCCCATCAAATTGACAAATTAATACTTCCTTTTCATTACCTCTAAATTTTTGAATAAATACATCTCGATTAGATACAAATTCTCTCATCCCCATTGAATCAGATACTCCATATCCAATATTATCTAATTCCGAAGTAGTGGTTCGAATTCTCATTTCGGCACTTTGATCAGGCACTGAAGTGGTAGTTAAAGTAATATCAATTAATCCTAATACTTTTAAATGTTTTAATACTAATAAACTATCGAAATCTTCACCAGTTTCAGGATTCTTAACATGACTTTGTTTAATTTCAAATCGTTTATTTCCCGAGAAATTCAAATATTTCAAATTCTTATTCCAATGCCAATTCCAATCGTATGGCCAATTGGATATGTTATACTTTAATTGATTAGATCCTACATCCAAATGTTGTAAGTTAGTTAATTTACTTAATTCCGCTGGTAAGGTTACCAACTTATTATTGTTAAGATATAACAACTTTAAGGCCTTTAAGTTCTCTAAATCATCGGCAGGAATAGTAGCCAATTCATTTCCTGAGATATACAATTCATTCAATTTGGTGAGTCTTCTTAGGGCCCCCTCGGGGATCTCAAGTAAATCATTATACGATAAGTTTAGGGCCTTCAACAGGACCATAAATGATATGGAACTGAAACATTCATCATTTAATCGATTATCGGCTAGTGTTAATACCAAAAGTGAGTCAGATAATGAAGCTGAAGTATGGGCCAAATCCAACGACGATGAACTGCTCTCGCCAAACTCTTCTTCAGTATCATTGTCAGTAGTACTGACAGCTCCTTCAATACTTCTGAAATTAGCCGTAGAAGAGATTCTCTTCGCAAGTGATAATGGAGGTTTGGGCAATGCCGTCAAGATATTCGACGAGACATTCAATACCGCAAGAGAGTTCAACTTCCAGATATCATCGGGAAGACTCTGTAAGTTATTGGAGTGAAGATCCAAATACTGAAGAGACGTCAATTGTCCGATATTGGAAGGTAACACTTGTAAGTTATTTGAGTATAAAGACAATGAAGCCAATTTAGATAAAGTAGCCAATTCATTAGGTAAATTAACCAAATGATTCTTATCAAGCACAAACTTCTCGACATTGGGGATCTTCGTAATGAATTCTCCAGGTATAGAAGTGATTTTGGCTTTAGATAAATCAAGAATAGTTAATAATTCCAAGAGATTCTCAAATTGTAAGTTGGTTATAGGATTTCTATCGAAATGTAATAAACGAAGGGATTCCATTTTATCACTGAAAGTAGTAATCATATTCTTCGAGGCATAGGTGACTTCTAAATTAGGTAAAGATCCAAGCACATCGACATTAGATAATTGATTATATCGAATATCTAATCGCTTTAAACTTATCATTTGTGTGAAGTATGGTGGTAATGATTTACTGAGTTTATTAGTCGATAAGTTAAGTTTAGTTAATTTCGTTAATTTCGATATGGATTCAGGAATCTCGGATAAATCATTATAGGAGAAATCCAAATCCTTTATATTGGTTAATTCACTTATGGCTTCCGGATAACTATTAAAATAATTCGACGATAAGTTCAAAGTCTCGAGATTCTTCAATCTTCCAAATGATTTCGGTAATGAAGATAACTGATTCAGATTAAGTTTCAAATGGACAAGATTCTTCAAATGATTAATCTTTGATGGTAATTCATCGAGAAAGTTCTTTTCTATATTAAGAGTAATCAATTTCTTAGCTTCAAGGAAATTCATGGGGAATTTTGAACATCCATTCTTGGAAAAGTCTATACTCGTCAAGTTATTACATGATTGTATAAAGTCTAATGGGATATATATGGCCGGATTATCTGCTACATTTAACTTTTCAATCTCATACGTATGTTGATGAAAGATTATGGGAATGTTCTTTAAATTAAGTCCTGATATATTGACATCCACATAATCTTTCGATAACATGACTTCTTCATCATGAGTCAAGTTTCTTAAAAACACATTCTCCACCACAAATTTACACACAAATGATAAATCTTCTCGGCCAATGATTTTTAAATTATCATTATCAGTATATCCACTAAGCATAAGTAAACCCATTTGAATCTTTAGGGGTTTTTCAAATGATTCTAATACTTTCACACAATTCCCTATACATACGGAGATTTGATAATTGGATATGGATTCGAGAAAGAACTTTCTTTGGACAATCTTTAATAAATCAGCCGTAGTTGTTTCTAGCGGACATAAGATGGTGGTAAATGTATTATCTTCTCGAAACACTCGAACAATATGATTGGTAGGTTTCCCACTGGGGTCGATGGGGACTACATGAGAATGTTGATGAGTTCCATATAGATTAGGTAAATGAGCATGAGGCACATGAGGTTTATGATGATGATGTATAACATGATGAACATCTTCTGTCAGAGTAAGACTGGCTGCCGAAGATGACGAGCCGGACTTAAGCTCGAATCCACTACCAGCAAGATGATTATGACTATGATTACGATTATGATCATGGTGATTGTGAGGATAATCATTATTAATCGTTCCCTTTTCATCCGTATCATCTGAATCAGATACTACAAGTTCTCCTGTCTTTACAGGTCCATCTACTTTAACATCCCAACTATCAGGTGCTTTCCAAATACTACTTGGAGCCGTCATTAAATCCTTACCATTGGCTACTCCCAGTTCTTGTGCACTATTCTTTCTACTAGTAGAAGCATTGGAATCTGCATCTTTAACTATTCCTTGCATTTCACTTAGATTTAAATCAAATGATGGAGGTTGTGGTTGTGGTTGTGGTTGTGATTGTGATTGGGGAAGTGGAGAAGTAGTCAACGATTTAGAATTAGGCGGAGTAGAAGAAATAGCGTCTGATTCAATTGGTACGTCCGATGGTGTAGGAGGAGTAACTACTGGCTCAACTTCAACCACACTAGGATGGTGAGGATGATAATATCGAGTATGATGATGATGTTCTAAAGATATGGAAGGGATTCTGAACTTATGCTTGGTAGAAGCAGTTGAAGAAGGAATGGTTGAAGTAGAAGTACGGTGAGATTGATCAGATACCAGATGTCTTGGCAGTTGCAGAGGCAGCTGTTGAGATGTTATAGGTAATGGAGTAAGACCTGATACTGAAGAGGTTCTACCAGTACCAGTACCAGTACCAACTGATACTGAACTCTGTCTACTGGAAGCATTAGATGCATGAGTAGAATCATTCCCACTATCTTCCGAAAAGAAATTATGATGAGATCCATCGGAATCCTTACGACTCAGATAGATGAATTTCCCCAATAATGAGCCTGATTTCTTTTTAAATCTCGGCTTGATGGGTTGCGACAATGGTGGAACATTGGCTATGCCTGTAGGGCGTTTATTAGCATGGAAACCTCGATAATTTTCTTTTAAGTTATTATTGTTATTGTGAGTATTGTTGGTGTTATTATCTATATTATTAGTAGTAGTGTTATGATCATTATTATTGTTATTATTCTGTAATTGAGGCAAGGAAACCACCGAGGACCGAGGACTATAATTCTCACTGGGAGTCAATGACTTCTTTTTGATAGTTGTAGTTATAGGAGGTTGTTTAGAGGAATCCGACACGGAAGGACTTGCCGATTCCAGCATTTCGAAATTGTTATTAAAGATTTGATCGGAAGTATTAATATTATTATCGGTGGTAATTGATGTGGCACTGGTTTCGTTATTGGTAGGTGACAAGGGTAAATCCAATTCACCTATGGAACTTCTGGTGGATCGAGTATCAGACTGACCAGCAGTACTATGGTGATGATTTGATGAAGATAACGAGAGTGGTGAAGGTCTCAAGTTCTGCTTAGACTTATCCCGTCTTAGAAAACTCATTCTGCAATCCCAACAATTTGTATTGCACCCACAATTGTTACTGACTGTCTGTTAATTATACTACTTTATAAAATACTATTAGTATATGATAAAAGGCTGGTTATAGCTATGAATTTATTTTTTTCACTTTGACTACTAAACTCGGACCGTATACAGTTTGCTGCAAAATTTTATACACTATCACTGGTCCACTATTAACTAGTGTTATACTATAATTAAGTCAGTAAATTAGTTGGAATTGAGTTGGGCAGGTCCATTTGGTTTCAGAGCCATGTTCATCAATTTTTTCCCATAGTTAATTATAGTGATGGGGGTAGCGGAAATTTGGCTTAATTAGGTAGGGGGAGAGAGCGACGGAGAGCGAGCCGTGCACGTGACTGGATTATTCATAATGGTTTTAGTAAATTTATTAGGTGTTTTTAGAGATATTTCATAGATAATTGGTAGGGACGTTGACCGTGTGTCAGAGATTGGTTGGTGTTGGTTTGGAGTCTGCTGAGTGTCTGGTTAGTGTACTTAGTGTCTGTTCAATTACATATGTAAGAGTGTTCTTATGTCCTTTTCTTTCTTACTTTCCCAATCTGAGTGCGACAAATCCGGTGCATGCTGTACGGGGACGTATTCCCAATTAGGACGTGTCAGAAATTGTATCTATATGCGGATATAATTATGGCTTGTGGTATACGGGTCCCTTTTACTACGGTAGGTATATAAATGTGTAGTGTATAGTGTGTAGTGTATCACTCGGTCCGAGTCTATAAATGCCTGTAATTTATTAGAGTTACTATAGAAATGTCAGTAGTATTATTATTGTCTGTATTGTCTGTACTTGTCCGATTTCTGCTTATGTCTCAAAAATTATTAGACGATAATTAAAACTCGGTAAATTTTTTTTGTGCCCATTTAACAACTGTACCTTAAAATCGCAAATATCAATTTCAGCACCACTTATATTTATTACTATTACTATTTACTATTTATTTCTATTCATTCATTACCCATCCACCATGTCAGAAACATCACGAAGCATTAATCATAAATTAAATGAACTTTTAGCCAAATCTCCCTCTACTCCTACGTCACCAAATTCAGTTAAGAAATTAGATAGTTCAACGAGTCAAACTTATGCTACAATCTTAAGATCAAATATTTTAGGTAAGGACAAACAAGAGAAAGTTAATTCTATTGTAGTTCTTGCTAAATTATTAGATTGTATAATCAGTAATAATATAACTTATAATGATTTTATATCTTTAGATCATTCATTATTTTCAACTTTATTTTCCATAATAAGTTCAAATATGTCTTCAGAAACTTATAAGGCAATTCTTAAAATATCTGTTATTGTTATGTCAGGAACAATTTTTAAATTAGATCAATTATCTAATTATTTACCTTTATTAGATTCATTAGTGGATTATTTAGATGTATTGGATATTTTAACTACAAAATTGTATCTTCAAGATAATAAAATTACTTATCATTCAATTAAATTAATTACTGATATTTTAAATCAATCTTTAAAATTTAATTATCCTGGTTTAATTACTTTAATTGGTAGATTAAAACATGTAACATTTTTCAGTTCAGTTGGAAATCTGATTGAAACTGATGATAAATTAATTAATGAATCAATTAATAAATTAAAATTAACTTATTTTAATGTTAATAGTTATTTAAATTCTACTAAATTTGATCTTACTATAAAATCTCATCAAATTCTACTTAATAATTTATTCATTTATTTAGAAGTTTCATTAAATGAATATGGTACTGCTGCTACAGTTGAAGAATATATTAAATCTGGTTTTACTGATAATCCTAGAAATTTTGTTATTGAAAATTTTAACCTTTTATTAGCTATGAATTTAAAAGTATTTTTAAAGGATCCAAATTTTACATTTAAAAAGAGATTTCATGAAGAATTAATGTTAAGTGAACATTCAAGAACTTTCCCATTATATCTTTTTATTAATAAATGTACAAGAATGTGGTTACTGATTTTATATGATAAAAGAGATGAATATCCTATGATATCTAATTCAATTCTTAGTTGGGAATTAATGATTTATTATACAATGAATAATTGTCTTGTATTATGGCAAGAAACTAAAGCGGAATTAAGTGAAGCTGATGTTGATAAAATTCTTCAATTATTAAAATCAAATGTTCAATCTATAGAACAAGAATTAACTAATCATTATAAAACTTTTGAAGATTGTTTAGATATAACTGCTCATAAATCATCACAAGAAATGAGAAGTTATCAGAGTAATTCTATTATTGAAGCTCATAGAGCTAAATGGGCATCACAATTCGAAGCTTTTAATGATAATTTAAAACAAGAAGTAATAGATTTTGTATCAGAACAAAGAGCTATTCAATTATTGAAAGGTCTATGGGTATATAGCGAATCTCATGGAGAATCATTATTAAGAGATAATGCCCTCTATAATAATAATCATCATGCTCATAGGAAAACAATTACCTCCTCCAATTCAAGTGCCAAATTTTATTTTATTATACTTTCACCCAATCGTCAATCTATTTATTATAAGGCTTTTGCCGAAAAATTATCACATAATCCAACTTATGAAGAAATGGAATCACAAGCTATTCGTATCTCTGATATAAGTTCATTTGAATCAACTAAAGTTGGTGAACATATTGGAGAAAGTGATCGTCGTATTAATGATAAATTAATTTCCATTAAGGGAACTATCTCATATGAAAGAATTACCATTTATGGAGCTCATAAGAAAAGACTTCTTAGTTTCTATACTGATACAGAAGTCAATAAATATGTTTGGTTAGATGGACTTAAATTACAAAAGGGATTATTTAATGAAGTTTCTGATGATACAAGATTACAAATTCAAGGACTATTGGATATTAGAAGAAATACTCAATTATTATCCTTAGAAGGTATATCGGCAAAGGAAGAAGAAATAGATACTGACTATTATAATAATGATGAATTGTTAGATATACAGCAAGACTTTTATTATACATAATTGGTAACTATCACTCACCCATTACCCATCAATTTCATCAATTAATTGTACATTAGTCATTACCCATTAACTCTACTGCCCCTTTATACGCAGTTAATTTCGAGTTAAATTTTTTTAGCAACAAAATGCCGACGCAAAAAAAAATTTCTGATTTCTGATTTTTCGCGCATTATGCTCATCTCTCTTATGTATATATATGAATAAATAAATTATTTAATATTTTGCAGTTAGACCACTTCAAAGTAGTACTACCATTATCAATGAGTAAAAGAGACGATTTGATAGCAACCATAGAGTCCGACTCGGAAGGAGAAGGAGGAATAGTATATGAATCTGAATCGGAATATGAGTCTGAACCAGAACTTGCAAAGATAAAGAAGGCTAAGGCATCGAAGAAGTCGAAGTCTAAGTCTAAAGCCAAGTCTAAGTCTAAATCCAATGCTAATGGAGTAAATGTAGATGAAGAAGAAAAAGAAGAAGAAAATGATATCAATCCTAATTTCACCTTTAGTATAGATGGGTTTCTGAATGTAGAATCTTTCGATGGATGGGATTTCAATCTTGAAAAGAAAAAGAATGGCGAAGACGTTGAATATAAGGATGTAGATTTGGATGGAATCTTAAGAAGAAAGGGGGGATTGGTAAATTTGGCCAGTACTGAAGACTCCAAGCCGGAAGTGGAAGAAGACGAGGAAGAAGACGAGGAAGAAGACGAGGAAGAAGTAGTAGAAGAAGGAGAAATAGACGAAGATGAGTTGGCCATGGATGGATTCGGGATGGGTGCTGAAGAAGATCAAGACGACGACGAAGAAGAAGAAAATGAAGACGAAGACGAAGAAGAGGAAGAAGAAGAAGCAGTTGGAGAAGAAATGGTCCTTAAAGGAGGTGATGAAGGTGACATTTCTGAAGAAAAGGAAGACAGTAAAGAAGATATGGCTGAATTTTATGCCACTGAAGAAGAATCATCTAATGCCAAAACTCAAACTCATGTAACATTCCAATCTTTACAACTTTCACGTCCTGTTTTAAAAGGGTTAGGACAATTAGGTTATGTAAAACCATCACCTATTCAATCCGCATCTATCCCCATTGCATTATTAGGTAAAGATATAGTGGCTGGTGCCGTAACTGGTTCTGGTAAAACTGCCGCTTATATGATTCCTATAATAGAAAGATTATTATATAAACCAGCCAAAATAGCCACTACTAGAGTCATAGTATTAACTCCTACAAGAGAATTAGCTATTCAAGTTTGTGATGTTGGTAAAAAATTAGGTAGATTTGTTAATAATTTAAATTTTGGATTAGCCGTTGGTGGTCTTAATTTAAGACAACAAGAACAACAATTAAAATCTCGTCCTGATATAGTAATTGCTACTCCAGGTAGATTAATTGATCATATAAGAAATTCTCCATCTTTTTCAATTGATGCTTTAGAAATTTTAGTCATTGATGAAGCTGATAGAATGTTAGATGAAGGTTTCCAAGCTGAATTAACTGAAATCTTATCATTAATTCCTAAACATAAAAGACAAACTTTATTATTTTCTGCTACTATGAATACTAAAATTCATGATTTAATTCAATTATCATTACAAAAACCAGTTCGTATAATGATAGATCCTCCAAAAGCTGCTGCTGTTAAATTAACTCAACAATTTGTTCGTATTAGAAAAAGAGATAATTTAAAACCAGCATTATTATTTAATTTACTTAAAGAATTACCTCAACAAGAAAGAATAGTTGTTTTTGTGGCTAGAAAGGAACAAGCTCATAAATTAAGAATCTTATTAGGTTTACTAGGTATGAAAGTATCGGAATTACATGGATCTTTAACTCAAGAACAACGTCTTAAAAGTGTTACTGAATTTAAAAATTTAACAGTTCCAGTATTAATTTGTACAGATTTAGCTGCTAGAGGGTTAGATATTCCAAAAATTGAAGTAGTTATAAATTTCGATATGCCAAAGACGTATGAAATTTATTTACATAGAGTTGGTAGAACTGCTAGAGCTGGTAGAGATGGTACATCTATATCATTTATAGGAGAATCAAGTCAAGAAAGAGCCATTGTTAAGGAAGCACTTAAATCATTAGAAGAAGAAGGAGAAAATAAAGCTGTTTCAAGAACTATAAATTGGATTGAAGTTGAAAAATTAAATAAGATTTTAGAATCTAAAGCATCAGTTATAGAGGAAGTATTAGAAGAAGAAAAGCAAGAGAAAGAAATCTTACAAGCAGAAATGGAATTGAAAAAAGCTTCTAATATGATGAAACATGAAAAGGAAATTCAATCTAGACCTAAAAGAACTTGGTTTGAACTGAAAAAGGAGAATCAAACTGAAGTTATGGGACAATTAACTAAACATGGTAAGAAGGTTAATTCTAAGAAACGTAAAGCACTTGAAGAAAAGAAAGAAACTAAAGGTGCTAGATCTTATAAAAAGACTAAAGTTGATAGAATGACTGATCAAAAGAGAAATCCTAAGGCTAAAGATGGGAAAGGTAAGAAGAGAAAGTAAATAATTATATAACTTATAACTTAATGACTTTTTGTAAATATAGTATAGACCTATATGCAGGACAATCTCCATTTTCGCTTATACCCGCTAATTGCGAACCGTTAATTACAAACTTTTAACTGAGCCTTAGTTGATTTGATGTCATTAGTTAATTCATCAAAATAATCATAATTAAAATCATAATCAAAATCAAAATATCATGCTATTCAATAGTGGATATACGCGATTGGTGAATGCGTATCAATCCAGTGATATTTCTAGTCCTTCGAAACTTTTATTTCAAATCATTATTTTACAATGTTTTTATTACCTTTCAGCATTAATAATATTTTACCTTGTTGCATCACTAAATGGATATGATTTTAAACTTGATTGGATATTTCTGTGGGAATTGGTGGCACTGGATAATGCTATGGGATTAATATTATTTGCATTATGGTTATTTGATTCTTTATTATGTGTATTATTTGTTACTATAATAGTTGGAAGATCAAAATTAGCTTGGGATTTTGCTATTACAGTTCATATTATAAATTTAATTGTGGTATGGTCTTATACTAGAAAATTCCCAACTTCAATACTATGGTGGTGTTTACAAATTTTAAGTGGAGTTTTATTAGTAACATTATCTACTTATCTGACAAGATGGAAAGAATTACGAACTACTTTCTTTGATAATATGCTTGATCAACAGGAATTAGGTCAAGTTCAACATCCAGAAGATTTTGAAATGCATGATTTACCCAAACAGGCTGAACCACTGACTTAATGTAATTAATACATAGTAATTTGTATAGTAATTTACGAATAATAGATTATGGAGAAGTTAGGTGTAGCTTCTCTCAGAACGAATATATATATATATATATTGCAAATAGTTGAGATGGTCAATTGAATCATCTATTTAATAATCATTACTTAGTGTGCCGTAAGATAGCTTAGTGTAATTACTATCTTGCTGTTTTATAATGATATCAAATGATCCTTGATCTGAGACGATTCTAATATATAACCGTGACTCTTACCTATTTCTTGATGCACATAGTTTGCCTTTGCTCCAAAATAGTTTCTGCAATTTGATTTGCCTTCTAATTGCAAACTAGACCAGAATACCTGTTTAGATTTGAGGTACATAACAACATAGTTGATACATCATACTAAAGATACCACACTACTAGTATACATTTTGAGTTATATACCAATACGCTTTCACACAAAATTCTTGGCCAACCCTAATGGCCTAGTGACTTGTACAACTACCAAGTTATTAGATAATCAACAATGACTAAAAGTAAATGACTAGCTTTTGTAGAGAAGAGAGATCATAACAAGAATGGTTAGTAGCTATTAACAAAGACTAGTAAATAAACAGAGTCTGCAAAAAGATCTTCAACTGTGGCAACCAAAGACCGAGTTAAACCATATTCCGTTGGTCCAGAAATAGTTATCCGAAAGGCGTTATAATTATGGAGTACAATAAGTCTAAAAAATTTCTTAGGACATATAGATCCGATCAGATAAAAATATTTTTCAGGTTGCTCCTAAATTAAGCCGATATACGGACAGTCGCAAATTCATATGAATATGACGTGTATAACAATAGTGAAAAATTTATACGACTCGGAAATGGTTTCAATATATATAAACATGTAATATTTCATTTATATTATAAGATACGCCATGAGAATAAGGAATTAAATACGATATTGGTGGATGCAAAATAATAATATAGAGCATGACATTAGAAGCACTACCCCAGGAGTTAATATTTCAAATATCTACTCATTTGAATCAAAGTGATCTATTGAACTTGTTATACACAAATTCATACTTTTATAATTTACTTCAAGCCCGTCTACATTTTGCTATCAATATCGATTCAAGAAAGAAAATATATACTGATTTCAATACCGATGATTTTAATTATGTTAGTGTTCCAAATTACTACACAGAGTACAGAAGTATGAAAATTAAACCTATTACTATATCTTCATTGTATTCGATGAACATATTTTTCAAAAAATTAATTCAGAATCCTCATTTATGTTCATTTATACGCGTCATGATATTTAATTATGAGATTCCTGATATTTCTGACTTAGAATTATTTAAAGTATTAACTATCCTCAACGGGAAGTTGACCAACTTAAAAGTATTTAAATGGTTTAATGGTCATTATAAGTTACCTGGAAAGTTTATATCAGATTTAAATTTAATAGAATTGGAAGGATGTATCCAGCTTGATATTCCTAATGATAAGTTAAATTTTCAATACTTGAAAAAGTTACATTTATCTAATTTCAATTCTGGTCCCATTGATTTCAGTGATTTCCCAAATTTAAGTGAATTAACTATTTCAAAATTACACTCATCATCATCTCCCAACTATTTTTATACTGGTTCTAATCCGAGCTTCTGGGAGAGTAAAGAGTTTGTTTCTTCAATCGCCCAATACTTCAAGAGAACTACAAGTATTATACCATGTCTATCTACCTTGACAATAAAAGATATGCATGTTACTGGAGATGATGTGAAAGTATTAAAATCTTGCTTTGATACATCCAAATTAACTTCCTTATCAATTTTAAATTGTTTCGAATCAATGTATGATCAAGATGAGTTTTACGATATCAGAAGAAGAAGGATTAAGACGAAATTCTTCTTAGATGAGTTAAACTCAATTGTGAACAAAGATCTTAAAGAATTAAATATATACTTGGTTAATGAACTAAATTATAATAATAAACTCGTTAATTTTCTAAGAGAATTCCCTAATTTGCAATCATTAAATTTAAATGTCAATCTCAATGGATTTGAGAATCTCAATATTAATTTATTAAATATTTTGAAATCAATTAATCCTGACCTTGAATTTCTTAACCTTAACTACAATATAATAGGAAATTCCAAGAATTCGAACTGCTTTAATTATGATTCAAAGGTAACAAACTTGTTAAAGAATTTCACCAAGTTAAAATTCCTAAACATACCATTTCATATAGATTTTAAAATACCTAAAAAGCTTTTGTCGAATTTACAAGTATTATCGTTAAGAATTCATGAAGAATCTATATCAAAAGTTTCACAACCTAGTAATTGTTTAATTAATTCAGAATTTTTTTCCAATACTATAATTGTTGATAAACATAGTCAAACCTATATTGAAGAACAAATTTGTCGGGCCAAATATTGGAAACAAATGATGAGATCACTTAAATGGATTCAATTTGAGTTTGATGATGAATGTATGATGTTTCAATGTGATGATAAAAGTAATGATAATGGTCAAGTTGTATATAGAGAAGGTTTGCAGAATTATTTTCAGCAAATTATTACAAATCAAATAATTTAATATATATAGAAATAAGTTAAAAATAGAATGTAGATCATTTGTAATAGTCCTAATTAGATACCAATTAAATCATGAAGATTTATCAAATCAGGGTGGAGATGATCTGAGTCAATTTTCCAAATGCAAAAGTGTTCTCTTGAACCATTTTAAACTGAAAATAAACGAATATAATCAGGGTAAATGAGAAGGCATTAAGCTTTGGGTGAGTATTTACAAAAGATATGATATTCGAATGGTATTGATGTATATTAAAGATCTATATACACATATCTGATACCTATTGGTTAGAGAAGAAACACATAATACTGGTAAATGTATTAGTGATTCAAAATTTTTCAATGGGAAAGAAAGTGAAAAATTCCAGTCCGGGTAAACCAGACGGACTGTATACAGTAGGAGTATGGGCTATAGTAAAGGGTTATCAATATGGTATAAGACTATCTATATTGCTGTAGATATTGTAGAGCATATCTGTGTTGATTTGTTATTTAGTTCTCTTAGAAGAAGTGGAAGAGGCTTCAGATTACTCGTATACTTTTGAATAAATTTGACAAACTATTAGAGAAATAAGTATTATTACATTATTAGAAGACTATGTAGACAGATAATACAACACCAACAATCGAAAGAGAAGTCCAGACAAGTTGAGCACCATCATATTATACAGGGTTTACACACTGAGTTATGTGATAGAGAGTAGATTGTTGTAATTAGGTGTTGTGTGTATTAACCATGTGTTAGTTTTATGAGATATGAGATCTGTAACTAGTGGGTGTGCAGTGGAAAATTCACAGCCCAACGTCTCAACAATTCGACCCAATAGGCCAAATTACACATTAGTGCGAAGAGGTTACACATTACAAATCCCAACATGTAAATGTCGCATTAAATGGCTGCTAATTATTATTTTCACAACTTTTTCTCATTTACAGGTTCAATCTGGAAAATTTTTGATGGGTTCTGTACACGTTAATTTACCCATCAAAAAAAAATATATTGCGCTCTCTTAACTGCACAACCGGTCGAGACGACATTTGGTACTACCAAATATAAAACTAATTCTAATTGGCATTTTCTTTGTTTCTTTGTATCTTTCATTCTTTAATTAAGTAAATAACTTGTTCAATTCTCCAAGTGTCTTATAAGTAAGTTCTACCCATCATGAGACCTGAAATCGAACAAGAATTATCTCATACTTTATTGACCGAATTATTGGCTTATCAATTTGCATCTCCTGTTAGATGGATTGAAACTCAAGATGTATTCTTACAACAACATAATACTGAAAGAGTAGTTGAAATTGGTCCTTCTCCAACTTTAGCTGGTATGGCTACTAGAACCATTAAGGCCAAATATGAATCTTATGATGCTGCTCTTTCTTTACAACGTCAAGTTTTATGTTATTCTAAGGATGCTAAGGAAATTTATTACACTCCAGATCCTGCTGATATTGCTCCACCTGCTAAGGAAGAAGCTGCTCCCGCTGCTCCAGCTGCCGCTGCCCCAGTTGCTGCCGCTGCTGCTGCTCCAGTTGCTGCTGCTCCAGCTCCAGCTGCTGCTGGTCCTGCTGCTTCAATCCCAGATGAACCAGTTACTGCTAAATTACTTTTACACGTTCTTGTTGCTCAAAAGTTAAAGAAACCTTTAGAAGCTGTTCCATTATCCAAAGCCATTAAGGATTTAGTCAATGGTAAATCTACTGTTCAAAATGAAATTTTAGGTGATTTAGGTAAAGAATTTGGTTCAACTCCTGAAAAACCAGAAGATACTCCATTAGAAGAATTAGCTGAACAATTCCAAGATACTTTCAATGGTCAATTAGGTAAAACTTCATCATCATTAATTAGTAGATTAATTTCTTCTAAGATGCCGGGAGGATTTTCAATTACTGTTGCTAGAAAATATTTAGAATCAAGATATGGTTTAGGAGCTGGTAGACAAGATTCAGTTTTATTAATTGCTTTAACCAATGAACCAGCCAATAGATTAGGTTCAGAAGCTGATGCCAAGGCCTTTTTAGATTCAGTTGCCAATAAGTATGCTTCAACTGCCGGTATTTCCTTATCATCAGCTGCTGCTGCTGGAGGATCTGCTGGAGGAGCTGGAGGAGCTGTTATTGATAGTGCAGCATTAGATGCTTTAACTGCAGAAAATAAGAAATTAGCTAAACAACAATTAGAAACTTTAGCTAGATACTTACAAGTTGATTTAAATAAAGGAGCCAAATCCTTTATTAAAGAAAAGGAAGCATCAGTTGTTTTACAACAAGAATTAGATTTATGGGAAGCTGAACATGGAGAATTTTATGCTAATGGTATTAAACCAACCTTCTCATCCAAGAAATCCAGAACTTATGATTCTTATTGGAATTGGGCAAGACAAGATGTTTTATCAATGTATTATGATATTATCTTTGGTAAATTAAATTCAATTGATAGAGAAACTATTCAACAATGTATTCAAATTATGAATAGATCTAATCCAACTTTAATTAAATTTATGCAATATCATATTGATCATGTTCCTGAATATAAAGGTGAAACTTATAATTTAGCTAAGAAATTAGGTCAACAATTGATTGATAATTGTAAACAAACTTTAGGTATTGATCCAGTTTATAAGGATGTTAGTAAAATTACTGGTCCAAAGACTACGGTTGATGCTAAGGGTACTATTGTTTATGAAGAAGCCAATAAAGATGCCGTTAGAAAATTCGAACAATATGTTTATGAAATGGCTCAAGGAGGTAAAATGACTAAGATTGAACAACCAACCATTCAAGAAGATTTAGCTCGTGTCTATAAAGCCATTACTAAACAAGCTTCAAAGAATGATAAATTAGAATTACAAAAATTATATGATCAATTAATTAAAGTGGTTGAATCATCTTCGGAAATTGAAACTCAACAAGCAACTAATACCATCTTAGGAGCTACTGGTAATTCAACTCCAACTGATGAAGATGAATTATCTACTGCCTCTGATGATGATGAAATCGCTTCATTACCAGATAAAACTTCGATTTTACAACCAGTTTCTTCAACCATTCCTTCAGAAACTTTACCATTCTTACATATTAAAAAGAAGAATGGAGATGTTTGGGAATATAATCGTAAATTATCTTCAGTTTATTTAGATGGATTAGAAAGTGCTGCCATTAATGGATTAACCTTTAAGGATAAATATGTTTTAGTTACTGGTGCTGGAGTTGGATCTATTGGTGCTGAAATCTTACAAGGTTTAATCTCTGGTGGTGCTAAAGTTATTGTTACTACTTCAAGATTCTCTAAGAAAGTTACTGAATATTATCAAAATATGTATGCTAGATTTGGAGCTGCTGGGTCTACTTTAATTGTAGTACCATTTAATCAAGGGTCTAAACAAGATGTTGATGCATTAATCAACTATATTTATGATGAACCTAAGAAGGGTGGTTTAGGATGGGATTTAGATGCCATTATTCCATTTGCAGCCATTCCAGAAAATGGTAATGGATTAGATAATATTGATTCTAAATCAGAATTTGCTCATAGAATTATGTTAACTAATCTTTTAAGATTATTAGGAGCCGTTAAAACTAGAAAGGTAACTGATACAAGACCTGCTCAATGTATTTTACCATTATCACCAAATCATGGAACTTTTGGATTCGATGGGTTATACTCTGAATCGAAGATTTCTTTAGAAACTTTATTCAACAGATGGTATTCTGAAGACTGGGCTCAAAAGTTAACTATCTGTGGAGCCGTCATTGGTTGGACTAGAGGTACTGGATTAATGAGTGCTAATAATATGATTGCTGAAGGTATTGAACAATTAGGAGTTAGAACCTTCAGTCAAAAGGAAATGGCCTTTAACATCTTGGGATTATTGACTCCTCAAATCGTTCAATTATGTCAAGAAGAACCAGTCATGGCTGATCTTAATGGTGGATTACAATTCATTGAGAACTTGAAGGATTTCACTTCTAAATTAAGAAGTGATTTAACTGAAAATGCTGAAATCAGAAGAGCTGTCTCCATCGAAGCTTCCATTGAACAAAAAGTAGTTAATGGAGATAATGTCGATGCTAACTATTCTAAAGTGGTGGTTCAACCAAGATCTAATTTGAAATTCGAATTCCCTGGCTTAAAGACTTATGAAGAAATTAAGAAATTATCACCAGATTTAGAAGGAATGTTAGATTTAGATAGTGTTATTGTCGTGACAGGTTTCTCTGAAGTTGGTCCATGGGGTAATTCTAGAACTAGATGGGAAATGGAAGCTTATGGAGAATTTTCTTTAGAAGGAGCCATTGAAATGGCATGGATTATGGGATTAATTAAATATCATAATGGTAACTTAAAGGGTAAACCATACAGTGGATGGATTGATGCTAAGACTCAAACTCCTGTCGATGATAAAGAAATCAAATCGAAATATGAAGAACAAATCATTGATCATGCTGGTATTAGATTAATTGAACCAGAATTATTCCATGGGTATGATCCAAATAAGAAACAATTGATTCAAGAAGTGGTTATTGAAAGTGATATGGAACCATTTGAAGCTTCTAAGGAAACTGCTGAACAATATAAACATGAACATGGAGATAAATGTGAAATCTTTGAAATTGAAGAGAGTGGTGAATATACCGTTAGACTCTTAAAGGGTGCCACTTTATATGTTCCAAAGGCTTTAAGATTCGATAGATTAGTGGCTGGACAAATTCCAACCGGTTGGGATGCTCGTACTTATGGTATTTCTGAAGATACCATTAATCAAGTTGATCCAATTACTTTATATGTATTAGTATCTACTGTTGAAGCCTTACTTTCTTCAGGGGTTACTGATCCTTATGAATTCTATAAATATGTTCATGTATCTGAAGTTGGTAATTGTTCTGGTTCAGGTATGGGAGGTGTTTCTGCCTTAAGAGGTATGTTTAAGGATAGATATGCTGATAAACCTGTTCAAAATGATATCTTACAAGAATCCTTTATTAATACCATGTCTGCTTGGGTTAATATGTTACTTTTATCATCTTCTGGTCCAATTAAAACTCCTGTTGGTGCTTGTGCTACTGCCGTTGAATCAGTTGATATTGGTATTGAAACTATTTTATCTGGTAAGGCCAAGATTGTTCTTGTTGGTGGTTATGATGATTTCCAAGAAGAAGGTTCTTATGAATTCGCCAATATGAAGGCTACTTCAAATGCTATTGAAGAATTTGAACATGGTAGAACTCCAAAGGAAATGTCTAGACCAACCACTACTACTAGAAATGGATTTATGGAAGCTCAAGGGGCTGGTATTCAAGTTATTATGGGGGCTGGATTAGCCATTAAGATGGGTGTCCCAATCCATGGTGTATTGGCCATGACTGCTACTGCTACTGATAAAATTGGTAGATCTGTTCCTGCTCCAGGTAAGGGTATTTTAACTACTGCCAGAGAACATCATGGAAGTTTGAAATACAAATCTCCAACCTTAGACATTAAGTATAGATCAAGACAATTGAAACAAAGATTAAGTCAAATTAAGAATTGGGAAGAATCAGAAATCTCTTACTTAAATGATGAAGCTGCCTTAGTTAAAGAAGAATATGGTACTGAATTCAGTGAAGCTGATTTCCTTAAGGAAAGAACTGAAGAAATCAATCGTGAAGTTCAACGTCAAATTACTGATGCTAAGAAGCAATGGGGTAATAACTTTTATAAATCTGATCCAAGAATTGCTCCACTTAGAGGTGCATTAGCTGCCTTTAATTTAACTATTGATGATTTAGGAGTTGCTTCATTCCATGGTACATCTACTGTAGCCAATGATAAGAATGAATCTGCCACTATTAATTCAATGATGAAACATTTAGGTAGAACTGAAGGTAATCCAGTCTTTGGAGTATTCCAAAAATTCTTAACTGGTCATCCAAAGGGTGCTGCTGGTGCATGGATGTTAAATGGTGCCCTTCAAATTCTTAATACTGGTTTAGTTCCTGGTAATAGAAATGCCGATAATGTTGATCAAAAATTAGAAGAATTCGATTATGTCTTATATCCTTCAAGATCTATTCAAACTGATGGTATTAAAGCCGTATCGGTTACATCCTTTGGTTTTGGTCAAAAGGGTGCCCAAGCCATTGTAATCCATCCAGATTACTTATATGCTGTATTAGATCAACGTACTTATGAATCTTATGCTGAAAGAGTTAGTGCTCGTAATAAGAGAACTTATAGATACATGCATAATGCCATTACTCGTAATACTATGTTTGTTGCTAAGGATAAACCTCCTTATGCTGATGAATTAGAACAATCGGTTTATTTGGATCCATTAGCTAGAATTGAAGATTCAAAGAAATCTCAATCTGGTTTAACTTTCTCAGCCAAATCAATTCAATCTGATAAATCTTATGTTGGAGCCTCTGCTACTGCTACCGCTAAAGCCTTATCAAGTTTAAATAAATCTTCTAAGGGAGTTGGCGTTGATGTGGAATTATTATCGGCCATTAATTTAGAAAATGAAACCTTTATTGAAAGAAACTTCACAACTGCTGAACGTGAATACTGTGCTAAGGCTCCTTCAAGTCAAGCTTCATTCACCGGTACTTGGTCCGCCAAAGAAGCTGTATTTAAGGCTTTAGGTGTCGAATCCAAAGGTGCTGGAGCTTCATTAATTGATATTGAAATTACTAGAGATACTAAGGGTGCACCTCAAGTGGTCTTACATGGTGAAGCTAAGGCTGCTGCTACTAAGGCTGGAGTTAAGAATGTGTCTGTTTCGATTTCTCACGATGACTACCAAGCCACCGCTGTTGCCTTAAGTGAATTCTAAGTAGTTTAGTATAGTGATAATTAGTGATAATTAGTAATATATTGTTATTTATAAGATAATTTATTTATAGTTATGTAACACAGCGCTACGAATGTGTAAACCTGTTTTCCTGCACACAGCCCCAACGAAAAACCGACAGTCAACGGACAGCCTGCCAACCCTCCAAAGTCGATATTGCTGTAACTATTGATAGATCAATTGCCATAGTGACTGTTATTGCACAGTAGAACAATATAGAAAGCAAACACCGGAGCCATGCCAGAGCCCGACACAGAGCCGAACCATCAGCCAAATGCTGAAATCGAACCAGAAAATGAGTTTGAGTCGGTGGAGTTAGGAGAAGAAGTTGAAGTTGAAGCAAATACTGCCGAGGCTGGAGATGCCGAAGTTGGTGAACAAGAGCCAGAACAAGAAGAAGAACAAGAGCCAGAGCAAGTATCAGAACCAGAACCAAAGCCAGAACCAGAACACGACGATGGATCAGAAGTCAATGGACATGAATCAGAAGTCAATGGACATGAATCAGAAGTCAATGGACATGAATCCAACGGTAACGGATCGACAAGTGTGGTAGATCAGAATCAACAAGAACATGCACAGAATGGAGAATCAAGTACTCCTATGATTGACGTAACAGCCAGTCTGATCGATGCATCCGTCCAGAGTATCGACTCCCGCACCATCGAGTCACCTCGTGTAGTTTCAGGTTCAACTCCTTCTCGTAGACATTCCACCGTCTCATTTACTTCTAACACCAATTCCAATGCTACCGTTGACAATTCTCAAATATTCAAAAAGACATTCGAAATCATTCTTGAATCAAAAGAAGCCAAGAAGATTCCCGAATTAAAAGAAGCCATTCAAAATGCTCTTAATTCATTTAATGAAGGTGCTTCTCGAGATCCATATATTATTTTAACTGCCTTACAAGTAACTTGTGAGAAATCCAACAGTAATGATTTAAAGGCTAAAGCCATTGATTTATTTGCAAAATTATTTGATTATGCCCAATTTGATGATGAAAATGATAAAGTTCAATTAACTGAAAGATCAGTTTATATAATTCTGGGATGTTTTGATGGTGAAGGAACTGATCCTGATGTAGAATTACAAGTAGTACGAGCTTTAATGCATAGTATACTTTTAATGCCATGTCATGGAGCTCCTTTATTAAAGGCAGTAAGACAAATTTATAATGTATTTATCTTTTCATTATCAGCTAGAAATCAATCAGTAGCTCAAGGAACTTTAACTCAAGTTATTCAAGCTATATTTAGAAGAATATCTGATTCAACTTCATTTAAAGCAAGAGCCAATAAATCCAATAGTAATACTAGATTATCATTAAAATCAAGTAAAGAAGAATTAAATATTGATCAACAACAACCACCATTTGAAGAAAAGTTAACCTTAAAAAATTTAGAAAAATTTAATGATGAACATGAAGATAATGTTCGAGTTGATGCAGCAAATCAAGCTAATGAAAAGGATGAAGATTTATTTGTTAAAGATGCATTTTTAATCTTTCGAGCCATGTGTAAAATATCAATTAAACCAATAGATGAAACTGCTGATATGAGATCTCATTCAGTTAGATCTAAATTATTAAGTTTACATATAATTCATACTATTTTAAAAGAACATATTGATATTTTTTTAAGTTCCGATGTGGTTATATTTTCATCAAAGGAAGGTGAACAAACTCGATTAATAAATGCAGTAAAGCAACATATATGTTTAGCATTATCAAGAAATGCCGCTTCATCATTAGCTCCAGTATTTGAATTATCATTAGAAATCTTTTGGATTATTGTATCTAATTTACGAGCAGAATTTAAACGAGAAATCCCCGTGTTCTTAGATGAAATTTATTTCCCGGTTGGAGAAATGAAATCATCAACTCCTCATCAAAAGAGATATTTATTATCAGTAATAGAACGGTTATGTAATGATTCAAGATGTATTATTGAATTTTATTTAAATTATGATTGTGATGCCAGTATGCCAAATATTTGTGAAAAGATTATTGAATATTTAACTCGATTATCTCTTCAAAGAGTTGAAGTTAGTCCCTCACAAAAATTAGCTTATCGTGAAAATAAACGTAATGATATATCAGTTTATGATGTTACAAAGATTGCTAATTTAACTAGTAGTACTATGTCATCCAAGGCTCCTGAACCAGAAATTTATAATCAATTCCCCCTTGAGTATGCCTTAAAAATGACATCAATTAATTGTACGGTTGCCTTCTTAAGATCCTTACATTCTTGGGCTCATAAGGGAATAAATAATTCATTTAATTTTAATGGATCTAAATTGGAATTACAAAGACATCGATCGGGAACTTTGGATTCGAATTCTTCGACATTAAATAATTCTCGTAATGCTTCATTTGTTAATAATAGTGTTAGTACTACCAACAATACTACTAATACTAATATTAACAATTCTGAATCGAATGACAATGATATCCCTGAACAATTTGAAAGTCTGAAACAAAGAAAGAAGGCCCTTTTAGAAGGGATTAAACAATTCAATCAAAAGGCTAAAAAGGGTATTAGTTATTTTATTTCTAAAGGATTTATTGAAGTCGACGATCCTGTACACATTGCCCAATTTTTATTAGAAACTGATGGATTAGATAAGACGGTTATAGGTGAATATCTTGGAGAAGGAGATGAAAAGAATATTGCCATTATGCATGCGTTTGTTGATGATATGGATTTCACCAATACAGATTTTGTTGATGCTATGAGAAGATTCTTACAAGCCTTCCGACTCCCTGGAGAGGCTCAAAAGATTGATAGATTTATGTTAAAATTTGCTGAACGATACTTATTAGGTAATCCCAATATTTTCAGTAATGCCGATGCAGCTTATGTATTGGCCTATTCAGTTATTCTTTTAAATACTGATTTACATTCTCCTCAAATTAAGAATAGAATGACATTTGACAATTTCGTGGCTAATAATGCCGGAATCGATGATGGGAAGGATTTACCTCGAGACTTTCTTCAAGGAGTTTATGAAGAGATTAAACTGAATGAAATTAAATTAAAATCAGAACAACATGCAGCCCTATTAGCTGGAGATTTAGCCGTAGTACCCACTAGTTCAGGAGGTGGAGGACTCTTTGGAAATCGAGATTGGAATCGTGAAGTTTATATACATGCCTCTAAGGAAATGTCCAGTAAAACTGAGAAATTAGTTATTGGATTAGGTAAAAAACTTAATTCTTCGACTTCTAATGGATTCTTCTATACGGCATCACATGTTGATCATGTTAAATCAATATTTGATACACTTTGGATGTCGATCTTAGCCGCGTTAACTCCTCCATTTAAAGAATATGATGAAGATGATGTTACGCAAATTTGTTTAGAAGGGATTAAATTATCGATTCGAATTGCCAGTCTATTCAATTTAGATTATGCTCGAGGTTCATTCATTGGAGCGTTAATTCAATTTGCTAATTTAAGTACTTATGAAGAAATGAAAGCTAAGAATGTTAATGCCATTTATATCTTACTTGATGTGGCAGTAACCGATGGAAATCAACTTGGAAATGCTTGGGGTCAAGTGCTTACATCCATATCTCAAGTTGAAAGATTGAAATTGATAGCTCAAGGCATTGATCAAGAATCTATTCCCGATGTATCTGTAGCTAAACTTGTTAATCGATCATCTGTTGAAGGTAATAGTAGACCCAGTACCAGTATCTTCCGACTGTTTACTTCATCGTCTCCGTCGGCATCTCAAGCTGCTTCAATTAAATTTCATAATCAACAATTATCACCATTTGTAGCCCAATTATTTACTAAGAAAGAATTAGATGTGGCAGTAGATAAAGTATTTGCCAATAGTGCCAATTTATCCGGTGAAGCTATCGTCGATTTCGTTAAGGCCTTATCGAAATTGGCTCTTGAAGAAATTCAATCTTCAGGTCAAAGTGATAATCCTCGAACCTTTGCCCTACAAAAAGTCGTAGATATTTGTGGATATAATATGAATCGTATTCGTCTTGAATGGTCTCAATTATGGTCCATATTGGGTGAAACATTTAATGAAGTTGGATGTCATAGCAGTATTCAAATTCTGTTTTTTGCTATAGATTCATTAAGACAAATGTCTATGACCTTCTTAGAGATTGAAGAGTTACTGCATTTCAAATTCCAGAAGGAATTCTTAAAACCCTTTGGATATATCATAGTTCATAATGGTTCGTTAGAAGTTAAGGGGTTTGTATTGGAATGTATCAATCATATGATTCTTGCTAAGGCTTCTAAGATTAAATCCGGTTGGAAGACTATCTTTGAAGTATTGACGGCTGCTGCTAAGGAGAATAAGGAGAGTCTTGTGATGACGGCCTATAAATTAGCCAATTGGATTCATAAGGATTACATTGCTGAAGTTCGAGCTCAAGACTCATTTAAAGAGCTCGTGATATGTTTCACTACGCTAGCCAAGAATGAAAGATTTCAACGGGTGAGTCTCTTGTCGTTGGATGTGTTACTGAGACTCATTAATCATATTGCTCAGTATAGCTTTACTGAATCTGATAGTACCACCAGTACCACCAATGGAGTAGGCAATGGAGCAGATAAATCAGAACTACTTGACAAATTATGGTTCCCATTATTAGAGGGGTTTGTGGACATTATAATGCAAGGAGACGAATTAGAAGTTCGAGCTCGAGCCCTAAATTATCTATTCACAGTAATTCTGCAATATGGAGAATACTTTGAAATCCCCTTCTGGGATAGGATATGTAAAGAATTACTATTCCCTATTTTTGGAATTTTAAGTAAACACTGGCAATTAAATATCGATGAACTGAATGATAAATTATCCGTTTGGTTATCGACTACATTAATTCAAGCCTTAAATCAAATGATTAGTTTATTTGGTCAATATTTCGATTCATTAAATCATCTTTTACCCATGTATTTGGATTTAATTACTTCATGTATTTGTCAAGAAAATGATACAATTGCTAAAATTGGTCGTGAATGTTTATCGACTTTATTAATTGATAGTTGTAATAAATTTGAAACTGGGCATTGGAAACAAATCAGTCAGTCATTTGATAATTTGTTTGATTTAACTACTGCTACAGAATTATTCACATTAGATCCTCTTAGAAATCGATCTAAACATGATAATCTTGAGAATGGCGATGTAGTGTCACAGGGAGAAGAGTTTGATGGAACAGAGACCAGTTTTGATAATTCCACCAGCAATAATACATTGGGTAAATCCAAGATTGTGGTTAAGAGTGTACTACAATTATTACTAATTCAAACCCTTTCAGAACTATTTGAAAGTGATTCATTCTATGAAGCTATACCGTATGATGCATTAATGGAATTGGCATTTTTATTACTTAAAAGTTATCAATTTGCTAAGAAATTTAATGACCATTATGATTTAAGAGTTCGATTATGGAATGCTGGAGTTATTGAAAGATTACCTAATTTATTAAAACAAGAATCTTCTTCATCAGCCGTATTTATTAATGTTATGTTTAGAATGTATTGTGATGATGATAAGACTAATAGTCAAGCTAAAAAGACTATTATTGAAGCCATTGTACCTTTATGTAATAGTATTACTGAAAGATATAGTGCCTTTGATGAAACTAATCATCTGAGAAATATCGCGACTTGGAAACCAGTAATTGTCGAGATTTATCAAGGTTATGTTGAATTAGATGATGAAGATTTTATTCAGTATACTCCAATAATGTATACATTAACGCTTCGATTGTTTTCTAGAAGTATGTCTACAGATTTACGAGCAGCTATTAGAGCCTTCTTAGCTCGAGTAGGTGAACAGTTTATTAAGGGGACAAGTACGTAGTGGAGTGCACTACTGATTTAGTCAGTAATAGTACACTACCTATGTACTATTCCACTACAGTGCACTAACTATAGCGCACTAACTACAGTGCACTACTACACTATCTAATACAATATCTATAGTATGTAATACTCTACCAAAATTAATGTAAACTAATTTTATAATTTTACAATTCTTCAATTCTAATTTACAATTTTAATTACAATTTTACAACTAGTTATTTGCAACCGGCCCCACATTTACGCTACCACCACCACCGTCAGTATTTATCAGCCCATCACCACAAGCACCAGTTTTCCTTCATCTAATGACACAAAAACAGCCTCACTTTTTGTCGTCGTTGGACGGTCAGCAAATTTTTCACCATTTTTTATTCCCACCAGCCATTGAAACTCCCTAAGAAACGATTGAACCAGAACATTACTTGACTTTAGAAGTTTTTGAGAGATGTCTTTTGAAAACAAAGTATGTAAATTTGTCAATGAATAACTCATAAATGAGATTTTTTAAAGTGGGGGAATTGGAATTGAAATTGAAATTGGAATTGGTGGAGAAGATGAATTGAGCAATTGGTCGAACGACACCTAATTGGAATTACAATGAAATATGTTTACCAGTTTTTAAGTAGTGGTGATTGTAGTAAACAAACAATTAATTGAATTATCGATATAAAATCTCATTAAGAATTACGGATGTAATAGTATTAAGAATTAATTTATACTAACTAAACTGAAATTTAGAATTTATACCACTTATTGGGTAACGACGTCGAAGACGATGAAGTCCCACAACTTCCAGTTAAAGAAGTTGTTAAGAAAAACACTTCATCTAAGAAGGCTGATGTAGCTCCAGCTTCTGCTGATCCAGCTAAAGCTAAGAAAAAGGCTAAGGTTACTGGTAATGAAGGTGCTCTTAAATCAAAGAATGACAACAAAGATGTTGCTGCTCCATCTTCAACTCCAGCTAAACATCAAAAGAAGCCATTTGATCGTCACTCTAGAACTGCCAAGACTGATTCTAAAAAGAAATTAAAACAAGGTTGGGGTGAAAGTGAAGATAGAGAAGCTGAAGGTGAAGTTGAAGGTGAAGCTGATGCTAATGCTGAATTAGCTGCTGAAGATGCTGAAGAAGATGCTGAACCAGAAGTTGCCAAGAGATCATTACAAGATTATTTTGCTGAATTACAATTAAAACAACAAGAATTAGGTGCCTCTAAACAAGTTAGAAAGGCTAATGAAGGTGCTGAAGAAAAATGGACTGCTGAAGAAATTCTTGAAAAGCGTCAAGCTGCATTTGTTGAATCAACTGCTGCTAAGAAATCCAAGGCTAAAGCTGCTAAGGAAAAGAAATTCTTAGAAATTGAAGCTCACTTTGCTGATGAAACTCCTCAACAATCAAGAGGATCTTTTAGAGGTGACAGAGGTTCATCTAGAGGTTCAAGAGGTACTACCAGAGGTGGTAGAGGTGCTTCAAGAGGTTCTACCAGAGGTGCCAGAGGTGGTGCTTCTACTGGAGCCAAGAAGGCTGATAACGGTAAGAAATTTGATGAACAAAATTTCCCATCTTTATAAGTCGTCCTCACTTAACAAAGTTCAAGTTCTCAACTAAGTTCCTTTTATATCAACATGAATCTCTTTTGTATCTATTGCAATATCATAGTAACGATCTAGACCTTAGTACCTTGTAGTTGTAGACGTAGTTGTAGTTGTAGTTGTGGTAGACTTGTCATCATAGCTCACAACCTCCTGGTTCCGCTAGCATGTGCAACAGTGAGTTTTTCCCCAGTGAGTGTGCCCCACAATTTGAGCCGAATATTGCTGCTTCTACTAAGTGTAATGTTATGAACTGTTCGTCAGTCAGTATCCCTAATTGTTAGTGAGTAATACCATTATGTCCCATCACAGAAGTGGATCCCTCTATGAAGAGGCATCAGCAAAATTGTCAAGTCATATTCATTTGTCTGAAACATTCAATTCCCATTCCAATGCTAATGCTAATGCTAATGGTAATACTAATTCTATTTCCAACGGATCTTCTATCGGTACTGACATTGATTTCACTGACGAACAACTCTGGGAAGTGGAATCAATGCCAGCATCGGCAGAAGAACTGACTAAAGCCAAAGTTCATAAATCTCATCATTTTGTTGATAGAATCATGCAAAAGATGTTAAAATATGCTATCCCAGATAATGCCCCTGAAAAGGTATTATTTGAACAACGATTACTGGACCCAGAGTATAGTAGTCGACCAGGATTATCAATTCGAATTCTATTATCTAACTTTAAGAAGTTAAGTTCTAGAATGGGAGGAATCTTTGCATTACAATATGGATTAATTCATATTATAACATGGAAAAAACCTACTAAAACTTTAACATTCTTAGTAGGTTATACTGCTATATGTTTATGGCCTCATATAGTAGTAGCATTTCCAGCTATTTTCTTATTATTTGGAATAATATTACCTGGTTACCTTTATAGACATCCTAAACCTATACCTGATTTTATAAAGGTTAAAAAGAGAGGTCAATCTCTTTTAAAATTTCTTGATGATTCAGAAGATGTTAGTATTATTGATGATTTAATTAGTGATGAATTCATGCATGATCATGATCCTAATGCTTTAAAACCTTTATTATCACGTCTGGGTGATGATAGTTCTGAAACAGCATCTACAATCGATACTTCATCAATAATAGATGAATCAGAAAAGAAGGATAAATCTTATATATCATCTCAAGTAGCATTAATTATTAATATGAGAGATTTACAAAATTTAACTACTGATTTACTTTTAGCATTTGATGCTGCTGAAGAATTTTGGTTTAAAACAGCAGGATTTGCTAATGAAAGACTTTCAACATTTATGTTTTATGGAGCAATTGCTGCTACTTGGATAATTTTATTCTTAGGTCAATTTATACCTTGGAGATTTATATTTATTCAAACAGGTTGGGCAGGATTAATACTTTGTCATCCTAAATCTAAAAAATTCATAGTAGAATTGAATAAAGTTCAGAAACAAAGAGCCCTTCTTAAACCTAAATCTCCACCAAAGGAAGTAGGTGAACCACAAGAATTTGATAGAAAAGATATTATAATTGATGAAGCACCAGAGAAGAAAACCATTGAAGTTTATGAATTACAAGCCAAGAGTATTCTCCATAATAAATGGTCATTTTATCGTTATTCCAACAATATTTTTGATCTTAAGAGTAAAACTCGTGTAGCCGGGAAAAGACCTTCAGGAGTTGATCATTTGGCTAAAGTATTACCTCCTAAGGATTGGAAACTTGATTTGGCATTTGCTAATAAATGGCAAACCGATACTGATCCTAAAGGATTTCTTCATCGTAGAGGTTTAGAATCTAGATTGCTTGAAGTAAGAGATGATGCTGAAGAAGGATGGATCTATGATAAGAAGCATGAAGAAATTGAGATTCTGTATGAATTCAGAAGACGTAGACTATTTAGGGAATGCTACAGATATGCCCGAGAACCTAAACAACCCACTAAATATTTATAGAGTTATATATATATATTTATATATATTTATATAATTATGTAACTACCAGACAATTTCATCATGTCCAGGAGCTCCAAAGAATAAAAGATTATAACAATTTGATGAAGGTTCGTTAAAATGACTATAATCATGAATTGATTCTCCACATAAGAAACAAAAACTACTTAAACAACGTTTACATTCCATTTTATTACATCCATCAATTCTTTCTATAGGAGTTTTACATTTTGGACAATCACAAACATCATTTTCTTCTTTGAATTGTTTGAATAATAAATCCATTTCATATTCTTTAACCACTCTTAACATCTTTTTCTTACCATAATGAGATGCAATTGAAATATATTCAGGATCAGTTTCTGACAGTTCCATATATATTTTAATATGTTCAACATTAACTCCATTATACCAATCTGAACCAGCGATTGTTGCACAAGGTTTATAATCTCCATGATATGAATGAAAGCAATTGGCACAAAAGGCATATTTACATTTAGGACATTTCATTAAATTATCTAACATATTCTCTCGAAAGATTTTCTCTTCACATCCTGTTCTTGGACATGGTATAAGTCTATGAGGAAATATATTACTGATTAAATCATACCTTTCTTCTTTAAATAATGTATAATATCTTTTAACTAAATCTTGTGATTTATCTCGAAGTAATACTTTAGATAAGAAATTTATAGATAAAGTAGGTAATAATAAAGATTTCATAATTTGATTTATTTGAAGAGGATTTAATTGAGATTTAGTCAGATCCACTAATTTCTTATTATTTTCCACATATTTCTTAGTACATTCAAAATCAGGACAATGAATTTTAGATACATCTCCACTTATTATACAAGATGAAAAATAATCATATAAACAATCATTACAAAATACATGACCACATGATTCAATAATTTCACATTTTATACCTTTATAATCTTGTTGACAAATCTCACATGAAAAAGTTTTATTTTCAAACTCTTGTTGTTTAATAGTTCTATCAAAATTTATAAGTTCCAAATAAGTTTGAGCATCTATTATTTCATAAGGATTAGCAATTAAATCCATTACATGATTTTGAATTCTATCATGAAGATAATCTATCATTGAAAATAATACATGATCTTTCATATCATTCCATATATCATATAATGCCAATTCTAATTGTTTAATACGATTTGATGTAAGTAAATTACATTTAATATATAATTTTGGAGGTTTATCATCAGGATATTCTTCTGGTAATTGAAAATTTAATATCATAGCTGGTAAATTATGAAGTTTAACCGTTTCAGTAACTTTAGAATTTACAGATAAATTAATATCTAACCCATGTTCAATAGTAAATGGTATAGCTAAACATCCTTTTAATCCTCCATAATCAATATCAAGATTGGGGAATATCACTTGACATGATTGTAATTCCTGAATTCGAGGATCTTCAGAGAAAACTATAACCTCATCTGAAATAATGTCATTGTTCGGGGCTATATGCGCCATTTTAGCTCATCATAACCACCCTTTAGTTAGTAAATATAAAAGATTACAGAATATATTATGGAGTTGAACTTAGTCATCTTCATCGGGTAGTGGGTGCAAAGTTCGGTATAAAGGATGTACATCCATACCGCAACAGTGCGAACAAATTAACTATGGAGATATTTAATGCCAGCAAGATTGAACGAACGATATTAATATGAAAAGTTATTAAAGGTTATTAAATTTACAAAGTAACAAGAGGATGGACGGATTTACTAGTAGAGTTCGAACGTTTGATGCGTTTCCTAAAGTGGATTCACAACATACTGTACGATCTCAAAGAGGAGGATTTTCTACTTTAATGACAATCTTTGTTGGATTGTTAATTGTATGGGTAGAAATTGGAGGATTCCTTGGAGGATATGTAGATAGACAATTTACAGTTGATGATGAAATTAAATCTAATTTATTTATTAATGTAGATATGTTGGTAGCAATGCCATGTGAATTTCTTCATACTAATGTATTAGATTTAACAAGAGATCGATATTTAGCAGGAGAAACTTTAAATTTTGAAGGACTTAATTTCTTTATACCAGAAGGATTTAAAATTAATAATCCAAATGATGCTCATGATACTCCTGAATTAGATGAAATTATGAGAGAATCTATGAGAGCAGAATTTAGAATTGAAGGTGCTAGAATTAATGAAGGTGCACCTGCTTGTCATATATTTGGATCAATTCCAGTTAATCAAGTTAAAGGTGATTTTCATATAACTGCAAAGGGTTATGGATATAGAGATAGAGCTCATGTCCCAGTTGAAGCATTAAATTTTACTCATTTAATTCAAGAATTTTCATTTGGAGAATTTTATCCGTTTATTAATAATCCTTTAGATGCAACTGGTAAAACAACAGAAGAAAATCTTCAAGCTTATAAATATCATACTAAAGTTGTACCAACTCTTTATCAAAGATTAGGATTAATAATTGATACTAATCAATATGCATTAACAGAAAGTCAACATGTATGTAATATTAAAGATCCTAATAAATTGGATATTCCAGGAATTTATTTCCGTTATGATTTTGAACCAATAAAATTAATAATAATTGAAAGAAGATTACCATTTATACAATTTGTTGCTAAATTAGCAACTATACTTGGTGGTTTATTAATTTTAGCTGGTTATTTATATAGATTGTATGATCGATTACTTGGAATTTTATTTGGTAAGAAATACGTTGAAAAAAATACCGAACGTAAATCTGGTGGACTTCTTGATAATGATGTTAAAGAATCATTTCAGGATATATAAAGTAAAGTTCGCGTGGGTTATGTCAGTAGTCGCATCAATTTAATAGTATATACTCAGTAGATTGATTTGAATAAAAAAGTTGAGTCAATAGATAAGAACGTTTCTTTCCTGTATGGTGATAATCCCCGGTGTAGGCATTTAAACCTTGTGAAATTTTAGAACCAGAGTATTTGAAGTAGTGAAAAGTATTATAAGTATAAGTTATAGATTATATAATAGAATGGATACTAAAAAGAAGATTCGAAGGAGTCGGAATGGTTGTCATAACTGTAAGAGGTTAAAGATTAAATGTGATGAAAATAAGCCTAGTTGCTCATATTGTTTAAAGACCAAGACCGATTGTGATTATTCTATAAAATTAACTTGGGGTGGTAGACCATATAAGGATGCGTCTAAACGAAAGAAAGATCCTTATTCAACGCCTATAACATTTAATAATGAGTCAACCGTAAATCAGAATCATCAACTGCATCAATATAATTTCCGAATAAAACTTGAATCCGATACTGATCATGAAGAATTAGTGGTTGAACGTATAGATTCTGAAGCTACAGTACTATCTAATTCTAATTCATATAGTACTTTCTCCCCCTATAATGTAAGTTCAAGTGAATCCATGAAGAGGGGTAATGATTCATTAGAGTATATTCAGAACAAATCCAACAAACGAAGAGTCATACAATTAGTTAATACTTCCAATAGTCCACCCACAGTCCAATCACCTCCATCATTTCTAACTCCGGGTGGTGATTCAATCTTAAGTGATAATGAAGTACCTCGTCAAGTACATGATTATGGCTTCTCTGATAATGCCATAGAGTCTAAAATATCAATCAAACAAGAAGTAGATGACTTAGATAAAGATTCAAAGCAAATCCTTCAATCTACATCACCATTCTTTCTTGAGAATATGCCTGATATTTCTGATGGAATTGAAAGTTTATCCAATGCTTTAGAAAAGATCACTAATGGTGGACAACATTTCCATCTTCAAAATTCAGGAATATTTAATAACTTTGTATTATCAAATATCGATGTAGAAAATCGAGAAAATATTCCATCTCCCATGAAAAAGAGTACTACACCAATGCAGACCTTAGTTGATCCTAATAATAATGAATTAGATGAAGATATTTTAAGTAATTATTCTGAAGATATAAGAAGAATTGAAGCTTATTTACCTCGTCAACTGCCCAACTTTTTGGGAGATGTATTCAATTCTCCAATCTCTCATAAGTGGATACAGGCATCGTCCAATAAAATTACTGATTTTGATGAAGAAGAACAAGAACCTTTAGATTCGGAAATACTACTGATGACTATTCAAAATTCAAATGAGCAACGTATAATAACTCCTGAAGAACTTTTTTCAACCATACCTCCACTGATTACTCCATTACCAGAAATCTTATTACAAGTTCCATTTTATAGGAATTTAATGCATTTTTGGGTTAATGTAGCGGCAGATCATTTAGTTCCTGCTCCTGCTCATGTATATACAGATAATCCATTTAAAATTCTTTTACCACAAATGGCTATGGAATATCCATCAATTTTAACTACCTTATTAGCCTTTTCAGCTAAATTAAGATCAAATTTGATTAGTTCAAATGATACCCCTGCCATTGTAACTGATCAATTATTAGCACGATCATGTAATGAACTTTTAAGATTATTAAAGGATAAACATAGTGCTACAGCTGATTCAACATTAGCAACTGTATTACTTCTTTCATGTTATGAAGTATTTCATTCTAAAGATTTTGATAGACATAGAGCACATACGATTGGGGCCAGACAAATCATTATGGCAAGAAGAAGAAGTTTAGAAAAGAATTCTAATGATGATTCATCTCATTCTTCAAATACAGGAACAGAAAGTGATATAACATTCTTTTTAATGAGATGGTTTGTTTATGTTGATGTTATAGGAGCGTTATCTGCCACGCGGAATTCTCATAATTATTTATCAATTAAAGATGATATTAATGCTTATGCTCCTGCCGAATCAGTGGCTACTATTAATGAAATAGAAAGATTAGAACAAAGTGTAGTTAATCCTAAACGAGATATTGATCATTTACTTGGATTTGATGTTAAATTTTTACCACATTTTACTGAAATAGCCCTTTTAATAAGAAAGACTAATAATTTTCTTGAATTAAATGGAGGAGATAGTTCTACATTACCAGTAGAAATTATTACTAAAGCACTTGAATGTAAAGAAAAATTAATGAAAGCATATGAAGAAGGAGAACGAAGAAGACAAAAGAAGCTCGATAAGATTATGGATTATAAGATTCAAAAGAAGAAGAAACAAACCAATAGTAATTCACCACCAAATTTAACTAATTTAATAGAACAGGATAATATTTTACGATGTACTAATAAGAGTTTTTGTGATATGGGAATACTTAATTTATATAGACGAGTATTAAAGATTCCTCGAGATTCTCCATTAGTTCAACAACTTGCTAATGGGATTGGTAATACCGCTAAAGATAATTTTGCTTCTAAATCACCAGCTGATGTATGTACAATATTTTGTTCATTTTCAGCTGGCTGCGAAACTCTTGATGAAGATATGAGACAATTCTTTCATGATAGATTTACTAAATTGATAGAGATGGGCAATGTCAATGCCCTTAAGGGACTACAAATTATGACTCGATGTTGGCAAACCGGTGAAGATTGGATAGTTGCCTCTAAAATATTAGATATAGACATAGCGTTATTATAATATACAAGAAGTTGGTACTCACTTAGTACTCAGTACTCAGTACTCAGTAACTCACTCAGTAACTTTCTCAGTATTCAGCTCACTAAATTTTTTTTTCTAGCGCGTCGGACTCGCCGCGGCATCAGACACTCGCTAAATCAGGCAGGCCCCATCTCTTTGTAAACTTCAAACTTTCTAAGCTTATTAGTTAGTAGTGGTATCTGATTGAGAAGTAAAGCTACTGGATAAGTGGTGAAAGTAGCCTGGTACCATGGAAGCCAGTCGAAAGATCCCAGAAGGGTTTGAAGAGCTCGTACGAGCCATAAATCAATCACATCATGAAGCCGGAAATAATAGTATGCAAGAGTTAGTTATAACTAATTGTATGAAATATCTTAGAATAAATCATTGGGGTAGACATTGGTTCTGTGATCCTTATATGTTCCCCATCTCTACTCATGCATTAACGTTATTTTCATATCCTAAGAATGATGTGTTAGAAAGTATTAAACCTAAAATGGAATCAAGTATACGAAATTGTGAAGATTGTTTAATTCATTATACTCGAGGTAAAAGTCAATTAAAGTGGAATTTTATTAACGATAGAAAGATAAATTTAAATACCGTAGAATTATTTATGAATTTAATTTATGAATGGGAAGTTTCATTTCTTTTACCAACTCTTCAACCATTAGCAGATATAATATTTGATAAAGAAGAAATAATTATTAATGAACAATTAGATGAAACTATTTTAATATGTTTATATAATCCAGCAGTATTAAGATCAAGTCTGACATTAAGAAATTGTTTTACAACCGTAACTAATTATTTAGTATCTCATAAAAAATCTCCCTTACCATTAAAATTATTACCAGGACTATTTTATTTATCATTTGAAGGAACTCATCAAGGTAAATCTTGGGCCAATTTATGGTTTAAAGCCCTTATAACTAAGAAATATTTGGCAACTAATGATATGATTGAAGAATTCATTGTAGAAGAATTTTGCATCCATTTATATAGAATTGAAGATCAAAAATTCTATACTAAACAGAATAGTATATTATTTTGGAATGTGGTTGAACAATTAATTGAAATTCTTGATAATGAAGCATTTAAACGATTTAATACTTTAAGAGATGCCGATATTGTTGGACGGGCAAGAAATATTCGACTTTATCCTCCTATGAGATTATTATTAAATTATATTATGTCATTTGAAGTCGTATCAATTCCTCAATTATTTCGAGTTTTTAATAGTTTATTAGAACGATTTGGTCAAGAGTTTTGGCAATTTACGGGTCAATTACAATTTAAACAAATCTTAGATAATACATTAATTAATGATGAATATCGTACATTATTAACTACATCTCCGACGGAAATTAATGATATTGATGAATGGACTTTACAAGAAATTACTCGATGGTTTTATACAATTTTATCGACAATTCCTCCTAATCAAGTAATATCTACTACCATTAGAATTGTAACATTTTTATTTAAAAATAGTATAAATAATACTACCAATACTCAATCAACTTTAGCTTCAGATATAAGAAATCAACGAGAAAGTATATTAAGAACTATAGCCATTAATGTATTATCATATTCATTTGATAATTTTGAAATTGGAGACTTTAGACATGAAGATTTCTCCTTAAATTTATTAAAAGTTCGAGAAATTAGAGCAGTTATAGATACTTATTGTGATCCAATTATAATTGAAACTATAAGGAATTCTGGTAAAAGTGCTAATTTAGGTTCTACATTAATTTCCAATTGTTTTAAATATGATTTGGCCTTATTGGCTCATAATACTTATTTATTCTCCCAAAATATAACTCCAACATCATTTGATATATTCCCATTATTATGGGATAGCTTTGTTCTGACTCGATTCTTTACAAATTATGATATTTCTATTAAAATGATTAAATCCTTACGAGAAATTGGTTGGATAACTAAATTCACTTCATCAAAGAATGATGGATTAGATAAACATTATTTAAATGCTCGGATTCATCATAATGAAAATGTATTAAGAATCTTTGAACCAGTTAAACAATTACTTAATCGACTTACTTTAGCCAATCAACTGATGGTTAGAACGATGTTTTCAGATTCACAAGTGTTACGATCCATTTGGGCTTGTACATTTAATCCATTAGTTAATCAAGCAGCCACAGAAGTATTTTATCATGTATCTGATATGGGAGTCGGAAGATTAGAAGCTATTCAACAATTACTTGGAACTTATTTAAAGGAGAATATTGATGCTATACAAATTAATATTACTTGTTTAATATCTTTAAGGAATTATGAACCATGTCCTAAAGGTGTAAGGATTATTATGGATATCTTAAAGGCATTAATGGATCCTTCACTTGGAGTTCTTGTAACTAATTCTGAATCAGTTAAATATCAAAAGGAAGTGATTCAATTATGGAAGAATTTCTGGTATTTCCTTCTGATGATCTTTAAAAGAACTTTTGAATGGGCAACTACTTATCATTTAGAAGAATTACTTGAATTCACTCGAGATGTATTAGATTGTAGTCATTTATTATTAGATTCTTATCGATTTATTATTTCCGGTATAGATCAACTGGAATGGGAAGAGTTATTTCAAGTATTTATGGGTTCTGCCAGTAATGCAGTATTTTGGTTAAGATTAGGTGATCCTACTTTACTTAATTCATGTCTTGAACTTATGATTCGAGCCTTTAATTTAGCTAAAGAATTGAAATTTACGGTGGATGATAAATTCATTGAATCATGTACTAAATTCGGGACAAAGTATAAGAAATTCAATAATAAATTGAATGAACAACAGAGAAATGATATCTTATCAGTGACTCGAGCATTTAGTCCTGAAATTGTGGAAAGAATAGAATTGGAAACCAAATTACTGAGATCCAGAACGGCTACACCTCTGCGAGAAGTCATTGAAATGGTGTCTGATGATGAGTCTAAACCATCACAATCACAATCACAATCAACTAAACCAAGAAGTCAACTTAAACAACAGACTTTAGGCAAATTTGTGGAAATGACTAAAGAAGTTCCCGTAGCTCCTGAACCCAAGAAGTTTAAATCGGGTAGTTTAGAAGCCATTCGAAAGGATCTTCAATCGTCCAGAAGTCCTATAATTCCTATTAAGAAACCTATTAGTACAGTTACTCCCGCTCCACCTCGACCCGCCGGATTTAATAGTAAACGACAACAAGTGGCTCCACCCGTAGTGTCAATAGGTCGATCACTTAATAGTTTAAAGCATCGAAATAATAATAATAATAATAATAAATCAGATAGTTCCGATAGTGAATTGGATGTGGATACTTCTGATTTATTCTATACTAAAAAGAAGAAAGTGATTGAAATTGATATGAAGGGTCAACCCGTAGTTAAAGAAAAAGTTAAGATTGATTTGGCTAAGAAAGAAGAAGAAAGAATGAGAGCTAGACTTAATGTAAGTTTAAAGCCTTTATATTCTACTATCCTTCGATGGAATTATACATCCAATGATCAATATCCTACGAGTGATATAAGTATATATCAAGAAACTAAATCAGAATATGATAATGCTAAGGAATATGTTAAGGCTATTGAACCTTTATATATGTTAGAATTATGGCTGCAAATTCAATCGGTAAAGAATACTACGGTAGAAACTCCATTTGAAATACTTGTGGGAAGTAGAACTACAGTAGATGGATTCTTTGATATTTATGCATCGGTAAAGAAATCAATATTGGCGGATAGGAAAGTTGGAGAATCCGATTTACTTGTATTAGGATTTGTTAAGGATTCTCCTAATAAAAATGAATTAGGTAGATACTTAAAGTCTCCTACTTCAAAGACATGTCTTGCCAAAGTTCGAGAAATTAAACTGGCTAATGCAGAATATTTCGATATAACTATAAGAGTATATCCCTCGGGTCCAATGGTAGGAGTATTAACTCCTCAATCCCAAATCCTTGCTATGAAAGTTATGCAAATGATTACGGCAGAAAGAGAGTATACATCCCTTAAGGGTCTTGAATATTATGATTTATATGATGATATTATTCGAGCAGAACCCGGACCAGTGATCCCTATATCTGATACTGAAGCTACTAAGGCAATGAAGACTTATGATTTAAATATGTCTCAAGCTAAAGCTGTACTTGGAACTTATAATTCTCGAGGATTTTCATTAATTCAAGGTCCTCCAGGAACAGGTAAAACCAAGACTATTTTAGGGATTGTGGGATATTCATTAAGTAAATCTTATAAGGAGAATGTAATTAATATTCCTGATTCTAAAGCTCCAGGAACTCCAGCAACTCCAACAAAGATATTGGTGTGTGCTCCAAGTAATGCAGCCGTAGATGAATTAGTATTACGGTTAAGAAGTGGAGTATTTAATGCCGATGGTCAGCATTTTAGTCCTAAAGTTGTAAGACTTGGAAGAAGTGATGTTATCAATGCAGCCGTTCGAGATTTAACCTTAGAAGAACAAACAGATAAAGAATTACAAGCTCGATCATTGGATATAACCATCGATACAAATCTTCGGCCTAATCTTGTGAAATGTTCAGAAGAGATTAAACGGATTGAATTGAAAATGCAAGAAGAAGGTACAGATTTAGGAGAAGCTGAAGTAGCTAAATTAGAAGAAGAGTTTCATACTTTAAGACGTCAAAGAAATCAATTGGCTCGACAATTGGATGAACAAAGAGAGAAATCTTCCAAAGTTCATCGAGCTCGAGAATATGAAAGAAGAGTTATTCAAGCTAAAATTCTTAATGGTGCACAAATCATTTGTGCCACCCTTTCTGGTTCAGCCGTCGAGATGTTGGCTAATTTGGGAATTAAATTCGAACAAGTCATTATTGATGAAGCTTGTCAATGTGTAGAATTATCAGCCATTATCCCCTTACGATATGGATGTAAGAAATGTATTATGGTTGGAGATCCCAATCAATTACCTCCCACGGTCATATCTAAAGCGGCAGCCGATCTTCATTATGATCAATCATTATTTGTAAGAATTCAACAGAATCACCCAAATTCAATTTATCTTTTAGATGTGCAATATAGAATGCATCCCAATATTTCTGCCTTCCCCAGTCGAGAATTTTATAATTCTAAATTACACGATGGAGAAGGAATGTTAGAAAAGAATAATCGTCCATGGCATGAAATTCCTCAACTTTCAGCTTATCAATTATTTAATATTAGTGGGAAACATGAAAGAAACGAATTATCTCGATCATTATTTAATCAAACTGAAGCAAGAGTTACTTTAGAATTAGTTGAGAAATTAATGAATATGATGCCTGAAGGTGAATTTGCTGGTAGAATTGGTATTATATCTCCTTATAAGGAACAAATTAAAGTTATTAAGGATATCTTTGTAAGAAAGTATGGGAAATTAATCTTTTCTCAAATTGATTTTAATACGGTAGATGGATTTCAAGGTCAAGAAAAGGAAATTATTATTATGAGTTGTGTTCGAGCTAGTGAGACAGGGAATGTTGGATTCTTATCGGATATTCGACGGATGAATGTAGCATTAACTAGAGCTAGAACTACACTTTGGATTCTTGGAAATATCGAATCTTTAAGTAGAAATGGAGTATGGAAAAGACTTATCGAAGATGCTAAATCTCGAAGTAGTGTTATTGAAGCTCGACCAGGATTTTTAGCTAGTTTACCTAAGAGAAAGATTGAAGTAGACCAGACAGCCAATAAGAAACATAAGTCAGATAAACAGTCTTCTAAGAAGAAACCAGAACCTAAGAAACCAGAACCTAAGGTTCTGTCAGTATTCAATTATGAGAGACTCCCTGATAAGTCTTATGGTAGGACTGATGGGGTGAGTGCAGGTGCTACTCCTACGCCTACACATACTCCTACTCCTATTGCAGCAACTGCACCAGTGACTAAGATCCTTCCAAAACCCACAACAACATCTCTTGCTCCAAAGCCTACCCCCAATTCTCTCAATAGACCTACACCCAACTCGCTCAAACCAAAGCCTAAACTGAAGGTGTACATTGCCAATGTACCTCCTCAGACTCAGACTCAGTCACAGACTCAGTCTAATGTACCTCGTCCAAGTAAGTCAGGTGTCCTCCCTGGTTCAAGAGTTGGTACTCCTGTGGTGGAAGACAATAGTACTAGTACTAGTACAAGTAATGGTAAAGGTTCACAGCCTACGCCTTCCAACTCCGGCTATTTACCTCTGAATGGTAAGCCCGTAGTTCCTTCTAATTCCGGTACGGTCAGACCTCCTAAACCTTCTTCATCCATCTTTATTCAACGTAAACGTCCTCGTAAATAGTTATCCGTTGCATATATTGATTATATAATACACCTATATTTATTATATACTACACCTATATTATATACTATACTCATACTAACCCTATCAGTTTAAGTTGATTAGTCAATTCGGTTACTTCTCTCTCATACTTATTATCCTTACAAACTAATCGAAGCACTTTAAGTATAGTCTCCAATTCATTATTGACTACTATTTTAAAGGGATTAGTAGTAGTAGTACTACTATCATTTAAGATATTCTTAAACTCTCGTACAACTGTAACAGTCTGATTAATAGTACTGGTTAATGTTTGACAAACATTTGATGCTAAATGATCAGAATTACTTACAGAATTCGATACTTGAAACAGGAAATTCTGTTCTTGAGATTTTAAAATGGCTATTATATCTTTCCAAGCAATACTATATTCATGATATATAGTTGCTTTACGAGATGTAGATAGTAATAAATCATTTAATGCTTCAGATTTATGATGTAATAATTTGAAAATAGGTTCAAGATTAAGCTTTTCTGTAACAGTATTAGATTTATCATCTATAATAGGATTATCATACAGTGGAATTCTTTCTGATGGTACAGTTTCTGGACTATCGGTTCTTGGTAATGATTTTAAGAGAAGTTTAATAACAGAATTTAATTTATTCTTAAGTTTAATTGACAGTTGAGTTCCTTCGGCAAATCCCTTTTCATATGCAGTTGGTCCATGGCCATGGTTCCATTCTGCTTGGGTTTCTTTGGGTATTTTCAGTGGTTGTGGTTGTGGTTCAGGTTCGGGAATTATGAATGGCTGCATTCCTATAGGTTCTGCTTTTGGTTTTGGTGTTGGTTTTGGTTTTGCTTCTGGTTTTGCTTCTGGTTGTGGGGGAGGAGGCGTAGGGGTAAATACCGATTTGGATTCTGATTTATAATTATCTAAAAATGTAACCTTTACAGGAGTAAACTTTAATACAGATTCCAGTTCAGTTTCAGGTATACCATTAGCTTGAAGTAATAATTGTACGGCTTCTCTTCCTTGAACTTCTAAAGATTTAAACATATTAACATATTTAGAAGTTTTACTTTCTAAAACAGAGGTTGTTACTTGAATTTCTTTATTAATAACATTCTTCTTTTGAGTTAAAGAACGTAATTGAGCTTCTAATTGAGATATTTCTTCATCAATTGCATTAGATTCATCTAATAATCCGGCTAATTTAGCTCCATGCTTATTATTAATACTCTTAATATTTTGAATTTTCGATAATATTTTCAATCGATTATTATCCCATTTCTTAAAACTAGAATATAAGGATTCTGTATAAGTTATATCTTTATTATAAATTTCATTTAATGAATAATAATTTTCTGATAATTGTTCAAAATCTTGTCCAATCATATTTCTTATTCGATTAAGATTTTCATCTCCCGTTGATAAATGATTATTATGAATTCTTATATTACTAAATAATTCATTAGTTAAGAATTGATTCTTTTGCGTTAAATATTCTAATGGTGATTCTTCTGTTGATTTCTTAATATTAATATCAAATTCATGAATATTAATAGGGAATCGGCCTAATACAACAGATTGAAGCAATTGCAGTTGATTTAATGATCCCAACAATGGAGATGGAGGTTCATTAAGTAGTTCCGGTAGTAACAATTCATGATAATTATCATTATCATTATCATTATCATTATCATTATCATGTAATGGAGACTTTCGATCACTATCACCAAGTATAGTACTAGTATTCAATATTGAATGTTCATTACTGGTATCTTCACCTCCAATAGTACGGAATTGACGAGGAGAATCAGACGATATGAAGTCAGCAGGATCCAAATCTTCATTATCATCAGATGTTCCTGACAACGAATGCGGGATCGAGTGACTTGACTGAATTGGCTCTAATGAATGCGGTACAGAGATGAACGCTGAGTTCAAGTTAATGGACTCAAATACGTTCTTACTGTCCGACGACATTTGAGCTACAACTATATACTAGTACTGGCACTGGTACTGACACTGGTACTGATAGTGTTACTGATACTACTGTTACCTTACTACAAAGAAAAAAGGCATACCTCTGCTTATCAGTAGCACAATGAGTAAGTGACCTGAGAAATGCTTCACTACAGGAACCACACCAGACTATAGCGCATCACTAACTAACTTCTTACTGACCACTTACTGACCTACTCTATTACTGCTACTCCCAGTATAACTTAGTTTTCAGTTTTTGTCATTGCCATTGCCATTGCCATTGCCGTTTCCATAGATACTGTACTGTATATGGAGAGGGATGGGGATGTCGCAGTAACAGATGTCGTTGTAAACAAACGCGACACGTCCTCTTAGTATGGGGTTCTAAACCTTTTACCAATAATTAGTTACCAGCAGATTAGTTATTAGTAATTGATTGAATATAATGATAATATGAAGATTCTTTGTGTAGCTGAAAAACCTTCCATTGCGAAAGAAGTAAGTAGAATCTTGAGTGGAGGGAATTTCCGTACTAGGAATTCTAAGAATAAGTACATTAAGAATTATGACTTTAAATTTAACTTTCCTAGAAAAGGTCTGTGTGATGTAACTATGACATCAGTAGTGGGACATTTAACTGGAGTAGACTTCCCTCCTGCTTATAAATGGGGGAATTGTATTGCAGGTAAATTATTTGATGCAGAAATAGTTGAAAAAGTTATGAAACAAGATGTATTTGATAATATTGTTAATGAAGCTAGAAATTCAGGTCAATTAATGATTTGGACTGATTGTGATAGAGAAGGTGAATATATAGGTTATGAAATATTTAAGGCAGCATCTAAGGGGAATAATCGACTAGCCATTGAGAATATATGGAGAAGTAGATTTAGTCATTTAGAAAGATCTCATATTATTCAAGCAGCTGCAAATCCAGTAACTCTTGATTTGAAAGCTATTAATGCTGTATCATGTAGAATCGAACTTGACTTGAGAGTTGGAGCTAGTTTTACTCGACTTTTAACGGACGCATTAAAGAATAAACTGGTTATAGATGCAAAGGATGTTGCATCTTACGGAACTTGTCAATTTCCAACTTTAGGATTTGTGGTAGATAGATATAAAAGAGTTAAAAGTTTTACTCCAGAAAAGTTTTGGCATATTCAAGTTGAACTTGCTAAAGATGGAGTTAAAACTAACTTTAATTGGACCAAAGGTCACTTTTTCGATCGTTTATATGTAATGAACTTATATCAAGAATGTTTGAAGCATAAAGATGGAAAAATCATTAAACTAGAACAGAAAAGAAGATCAAATTATCGACCTTTACCATTGACTACTGTAGAATTACAAAAGGATTGTTCTATGTTTTTTAAAATGAGTGCTAAAGCAGCCTTAGAAGCAGCTGAAAAATTATACAATAGAGGATTTTTATCATATCCTAGAACTGAAACAGATACATTTCCGGCCACTTTTGATTTTAAAGGTACTATTGAAAGACAAACATCTGATTCTAGATGGGGTGAATATGCTTCAAGATTACTCACAAATGGAATTGAAAATGCTCGATCTGGTAATAAGAATGATGAAGCGCATCCTCCTATTCATCCTGTGAATTATGTAAATATTAATACATTAACATCTGCCGATGAAAAAAAAGTATATGAATATGTTGTACGAAGATTTCTAGCATGTTGTTCAAAGGATGCTATAGGTCAACAAACTTCAGCCACTTTACTATGGGGAGATGAAACATTTACAAGTTCAGGATTAATGGTTACTGAAAAGAATTATTTAGAAATTTATACTTATAAGAAATGGGAAAGTTCTAAACAATTACCAAAATTTATTCAAGGAGAAGTTTTACCAATTACTGGTGGTATTATAAAGGAAGGTAAGACTACTGCTCCGAATTATATGACAGAAACAGAATTAATTGCATTAATGGATGCTAATGGTATAGGAACTGATGCTACTATTGCTGAACATATTGATAAAATTATTAATAGAGGTTATGTTGTTAAAGAGAAAAAAAAGGGAGAAATAATTGTTCCATCACCATTAGGTATGGGATTAATTGAAGGATTTGATGGTATGGATTTTGATAATATATCATTATCTAAACCATTCTTAAGAAAGAGATTAGAAACATCTTTACAACAAATTGTAGATGGGACGACAACAAAAGATGAAGTGCTCGCTGAACTTAAGGGACTTTATAAGCAGGCCTTTAGTGTGAGCAATCGGAACATAAATCAATTGGTTAATTATTGTAAAACGGTAATAAGCGAAAACTCATAAATTATATAGTTTAATACATCGCATTGGTAAAATTGCGCACAAATTAATTTATTAATTTTCGTATATAAACATTGTTCGGTATACATCAATTTGTTACTATAAGTAAGACTGTAACACTATAAATATGTTTGGGAGTAGTCTGTTTGGACAATCGAACCCATTTGGAAGTGGCACATCCTCGGCGTTTGGGTCCAGTGGATTTGGATCTAGTGCTCAACAGCCTGCTGCCCAGGGTTCCTTTGGCTCGTCGGGATTTGGCAAGAGTGCCTTCGGTACTAGTACTAGTTCTACTTCCAACTCTAATACTTCAGGTGCCTTTGGATCTTCTGGATTTGGATCTTCTGGTTTAAAGACTTCGTCAGGGTCCGCCTTTGGATCTTCTGGATTTGGATCTACAGGCTTTGGTGGATTTGGTGCCTCTACTGGCTCAGCCTTTGGAAACACTTCCACTGCAAGTCCTTCATCAAATACTACAAATACTAATTCTGCATTTGGATCAACTGGATTTGGATCTCAACCTACGGGTTCTGCCTTTGGAAGCTCCAATACTTCAGCATTTGGTAGTGCCAACAAAACCACTTCTCCGTTTGGTACAGTGTCAGCATTTGGATCTCAAGCAGCAAATCCGTTTGCATCAACATCTGCCCCAACTTCAAATCCATTTGGTTCAACTGCGGCCACTAATACATCACCTTTCGGAGCAGCATCTACATTTGGTCAGTCGAACTCCGCATCATCTCCATTTGGTGCTTTAAATAATAATAATCCATCACCGTTTGGTTCTACAACTACAAATCTGAATACCACATCTGCATTTGGTCAACCATCTAATAATAATTCTACATTCGGTCAACCTGCTAATAATAATACCATAAGTTCAAATTCTGTATTCGGTCAACCTGCCAACACTAATTCTACAAATTCTGCATTCGGTCAAAAGCCCGCCTTTGACTTTAAGTCAGGAACAAATACAAATATAGCTTCACCCTTTGGTTCAGCTAATACTACATCTCCATTTGGGAATACCAATGCATCAGCCTTTGGAACTACTGCTTCTACAAATACTACTGCTTCACCATTTGCATCAATCCAGACTGCATCTCAAACTGCATCCGATACTAAGTCGTCCAATATTGTCGTAGACGACTTAGATCCATCCATTGTGGCAGCATTTAATGCCAGCCACTTCGAATTGGGTAAGGTACCTGAAATAGCGCCTCCCAGAATATTCTGGTAACTTTATATATCATTCTATATTTCATTTCTTGTATGTATAACTTTGTATTAGTCAATTTAAATTCGCAGCGTTGGTCGCAGTTGTGTCAACTATCACGTAAATTTTATAACGTCTACCTTATTGTGATCAGAATAAAGGGTAAGTGCTGTTACCAAACGAGTGCTATGCTCTGTATCGAATGTGGAAATCCCACCATCGATTGTTTATATTCCAAATACGAGAGTGATTATATCAAGTTGACTATATGTGATCGATGTGGTAAGATTGCTGATAAGTATATTGAGTATGATAATGTCATCTTGTTCATCGATTTGTTGTTGCTTAAACAACGCGCGTATAGACATTTGGCGTACAATGTTAATGAAACAGATATGCTCAAAGATCCCGCGGTAGGTGTAGTGAGGGCAAAAAACACGAGCGATGCAGTACTGTCACGGTCACGATCAGAAAGTCAGTCACAGCATCTGTTTGTCTGGAGATATAAGAGGATGCTACGATTCATATTGCTTATAATTCTCTTTGAAGTATATTTAAAATGGGCCTATGAAGAGAGGAAATCAGTGCCGACTATTACCATGCACTATATCCTTAATCGGAGTGTACCAATTCAGTACTTGTACTTTATTGCCAATGTGTTAATTGAACAGATAGTACTGAATGTCACTATTCTTATCCTCTTTAGATACTTACTCAATTGGGGACACGTTACCAGTATCAACTTGAAGGATCAGTTCCAGTATGGTTATCAAACATGTGTGCTTTTATCCACAGTATTGACATCCAGTTCTATCAAATTATTCCCCATACTAATGCTCATATGGCCTTATGATACCACATCTATTTCTGCATCTATTATAAATTTGATTGGATATTTGTATACAGTAGAAGCCCTAAGGATTGTAACTAACAAGTCGTACATTTCAATAATATTTATATTGATTGTATCGGTAGTGCTTCAGTTGGGATTGACCAATGGGATTCTATTACTGATTGTATCTAAAGTATCAGGTATTGAATTGACTGATATGCTCCATAGTGATTATGATCAATTTCTACAATTACTTGAACAGTATAGAGTGGTAATCCGAGTGCTTCAGGATAGTCTATAAATATACACAGTAAATAAATAAATAATTAAATAGTAATGAAGTTAATGCCTCAATCCCACTCATCGATAATCTGTGGTTTCCGTATCAAACAACCATCTTTATCAACAATCAATACTTCGTTTCTATCGATAGCAATTATAGGTCCATCCAATTGATCTACTAAATATGGGTACTCATAAGTGGACTGAAACTCTCTTCTCTCATCGAGTGTTTTAGAAGTAGTCAAATCATTATCATCGGAAATAGGACTATTAGTGCTGGCGATTATATCTTCTTCATCACGAGTTCCAAGCAGGTTATTATCAATGGCTCTTAATGCTATAAATACCGATAATGGGATATAATTATTCTGAAAATTCCATAATGAAAATATGGTAAATATTGGTAATGGACCTAAAAAGGTTGCACATATATACGCTTCTTGTAAAAGTAATGTACCCACCATAGTCAATTGGAATATTAATAAGCCTAAAATTGTTCTTCTAAATACTAATGGCCAAACTTTACCAGTAGAATGAGGAGGATGGACACAAGCATATAACAATTGATATTTACATACAAAATATCCCAAGATGAAATAGATTAGTCCTGCTGTTAATATCTTGGTTGACATGATAGAATAAACTATGGTGATAATCAATATTAAAATTGGTTGAGGTAAATGTAAACCAAAGTCAAATACAGGAGGTTTGTATAGATTTAAATAATCTCTAGGAGTTTTACACCACAAGAAGGATTCAAAAGAGAACCGTAACAAATTACCTAGTAATAAAAGTTTTAATGGGAATATAGCTAACCCTTGTAATATGATTAAGTCCACATAGAATAATGAAAGATCTCTTAATGATTGAGCCAATTGATAAGCAAGTTTTACTGTATCACTTAAAAAGGCCGTACCAAATACAGTAAAAATTAAAAATAAATTAACAAATATATAGAAGAAATTCTTGGATACTGATGATAACTCTTCATCACTATGGGATGTAAATCCTTGTCTTGCTGATGCCCATATATATACATATGGAATAATTATATTGAATATTGTAAAGATATAAGTTGGTAACAATCCTGTAACAAATATTTGTAATGTAGCATTGCTTTCTAAAAATTCTCCAAACTTTGGTAATACTTTGGATATAGATTTAATATTCAAAAAATTAGCCAAATATCGAACAGGATAAACCAATAATACACTACAAATCCCAATAAATACAGTAACAGTGAATTGTCGAATTTTCCTCTCATTTCTGGTAAGACATAAGTTATCCCAGATAATATCATGAGGAGCTGGTGCAAGATCAGTTATTAAATGGTTAACTTTTGGATCTAATACTGCTTGAGCTAACATTTGAGCTTGAGCAACAGATTTCATGGTAACAAAAGCTGTTGATGTTGCTGGATATTCTCTAGTTCTAGCCCTAATAATCTCTTTATCTATAATATCTAATTGTTCAGACCAATGATTGATGGCATCTACTTCATATCCAAATAATCCCCACCAACCCTTCTTACATTTGGGTCTAGATTTATTCAACAATTCATCGTTCAAGAAGGAAACCTGACCAAGTGAATTATCGGCCGAGTTACCATTTTGGCTGACTAAATCTTCAATCTGTTCGAGGACATATTCTCTATTTGAAAATTGTGGTGATAGAGGATTATCTTCTTCCCATACATTATCCTGATAAGGAGGGAACTGTTGCTGATCTTGCTGGTCTTGTTGTTGTTGTTCTTGCTGATTCATATTTATCAGATCTCCAAGTTGAGGTCGTAGGTTCGATGATAGCAATTGATTCTTATTAGTAATTCCATTTGATTTGAAATACTCCACCCAGTATACTTCTAACTTTCTTAGAATGTTCTTCCGCAATTTAAATAAATCATTTAACGGTCCCCATTCTTTGACTATGACTATAGAATCTACTTCTCCAATACTCAAGTTTTCAATATGTCTCTTTAAATCGATCTCATCTCTTAAAATCGGAGGGATTCCGGAAATCTTTATGGTTTTATCGGTGATTGAGTTTTGTTTACCCAAATGACTCTGTCTCATATTGATTATTTTGACTGTTTGCTTAAATAAGAAGTATGTGATTATAAATGTGAACACATACGTGAACACGGTATATATCCACAAGAACTTCTGGTAACTGTCATCGTTTGTGTTTGAGTCGGGAATCAGACGTATAACATATCTGGCGACTTTCTTTATTAATCTTTTAGTTGGTTCATCTTCATCATTATTATCCTGATCATCATCGTCATCATCATCAGGATAATCTTGATCAAGCTTCCCCGTATACACATACCGAATAGGTGATATGACAGTCACAGCCAAGATGACACATGTCATTAATGCTTTAATACTCATTTTGAAAAATCCAAGGAATACTACCGCATCTAATCCAGCATGATCTAAAATCTGTTGCTCGTCTATATTGAAAACTATGGGGATCCATTGAAATAAGGAACCGGAAGGTATCTGAGGGAGATTCTGACGAGACGTTGAATGCAAATAATTGAAGTTGGAATTGTTTAAGTTAGCGACGTATATCTTAGGATACTTTCTTCGTAATATGGAGAATGATATGAAAGCTACTAATCCTAAACATGAAGCTATGAGGATTTGATAACTGGCTACTCGAGTCAGTGTTGGTTTATAACGCATGTCTTCACCCGGAATTGGGTTAGTTACGTTTTTAGATACCACGGAGTCATCGTAGAGTAACAATTGTGTTATTACATTCATAGTAGTCATATGGTATATGTCGTGTTTGTGGGTTCGTATAGTGTTTGATAGTATTATACTGGTTATATTAGGGCTTTGTTTCTGTTTTGTGTCAGCCGTTACTGGTCGCGTGCTTAGTATCGTGCCGTTTGTAACGTGCCTGAACCGGACCCTCGGATATAGCCAAAAACTGAGTCCGATCTGGTCGGATCTCAGGATCTGTAGATCTCGAAGTAACATGGAACTAAAAAGCTTAGATTACGGGCACTGCGTTTCTGGGGGGGTTAGGTCGTGGGCGTGGCATGATAGTATCACGACTTCTAGGAATAAGTTGCCATTCATTGATAGTTTTACAGGTTATGCAAGAAATTACATATATATATGCTGCTAGTAATAAAACAATATAGTAAAAGTAATAATACAAATTGATGACTCTAATCTCTAATTAGCGACATACTTTTATTGGTGCTGTTGCTGTTGTTGCAGCTGTTGCGATGGCAGCTGTTGGTGTTGTTGTTGGTGGAGTTGTTGTTGTTGTTGATGTTGTAACAGTGTTTGATGCTGTTGCTGCGAATGTGCGGAGGAACGAACCAGCAGATCTATCGAATGAGACGGATTAGCCTGTATGTTGCTCGAAGTCTGCGAATGCGCGCTTAAGATATCAGATTGCAATCCAGTTGCATGCTGGTGATGATGTTGCTGACCCTCTTGTTGTTCCTGATGATAATGAGTGACTGCAGCATCATTTGTTGCAAGTCCTTCCTTTTTCGCCATTAAATATTCGAAACAATTGTTAATCTTTAAATGTAATGTATCGTTGGCTGTATCTATTTTATTAAATATATCTTTGATCTTGTAGTCTACTTCGTATCGGAATTCCTGAAGTTCTTTCCTGAGATCTTTCACTTGCAGGATATACTCATTCTGTGAAACAACTAGTTGATTGATTAACTCGTTTGGAGGAGCCGCAACCGCAACAGTTTTCAATCGTTTATGTAAAGGTGAATCCTCTGGCTGATGCTGTTGTTGCTGTGATGTGGGTATGGGTGGGTGTATCTGGACTGGAGAATGTAGTTGTTGAGGTTTCTGTAGTTGCTGTTGCTGCTGTTGTTGTTGTTGCTGCTGTAGTTGTGATACTGATCCAAGTGAAGTGTGATGGAGCATAGGATTGTCATAAGAAACTTGTTCTACCTTGACGGGGGGATTCGGTGGGAATTGAAATTGAAATTGTTGTGCCTGGGCATGACTATGTTCTTGAGTCTGAGATAATGCATTACTCATTGCTAAATTGGCTGTGTTGGGTGATACTGGTTGAATAGTTGATGTATTTGGATTTGTTGGATTCAGATACGAATTTCCGATCAATAATCGTTGATGTAAGTGTTGTTGTTGTTGGTGAGCCAATTGTTGTTGAGCATGTAAAGAAGGTGATAATTGAATAAATGATGGAGAAGTTGTGGTAGAAGTTGCAGTAGCATCTATATCCATTGGATCTTGGGAGTTAATAAATGATGTATTTACATTTGATGATGATTCAACTGGTGGAAGACCTGGAGGGGGGTTGGCATTAGTTATTGTAGATGTATCTAAGAACTTATTCTCTGTAGCCTTCTGTTTTAGCATCTCTTTGATATTAAGAAATTCATTCAAACTAACCAATAACTTTTCATTTTCATTGAGATTTAATTCCAGTAAAGGTACTGGTTCATTTATTAATTTATTCTCTAGATTTTTACGAAGAGCTTTAAAACGGTTATTGATTGTTCTGGATTGAATTATATTTGAATGAAACCGTCGGTTGAATTCAGAAAGTACCAATTCCCATGTTTTGATAGTATTTCCTCTAGTAAATATTTCATGTTTGTATCTAAAGATAAGATCTAGTAAGAAATTATCAGCATCATAAGTAAATTGAAAATTGCTTCGCTTAGAAGTAGAATTAGAAACAGTAATTGAACTAGATCTTGGACCAGATAATGAACCAGATCGAGATCCCATAGAAGTACTTGCTGTTGTACCAACTGAACCAGTATTGGTAATTACTGTACTATGTGACGGAGAAGAAGAATTAGAAGATAGAGTTGAACCGAGAGAGACTGAAGCTTGGTTTGCGCCAGAATTTTGATTGGAAGACATGGCTGCGTTCAGATCGGTTACTGATAATTGATTATCAAGACCTGTAGATGATGATGATGCTGGAGGTGGTGGACTTGAAATTGAAGCAATTGAGTGAGAAAGAATTGGATGATAATGCTGTTGGTTGATATAGTTTTGAGATTGAGTTTGAGATTGAGTTTGAGATTCGGCAATTGAACAAGTTGTAGTTGGTTGAGGAGGTGGAGTTGAATGAGGTAAGTTATTATTAGGAATGGTGCTGCTATTTCTGATATTTGGATTACTATTTTTGATTATTTTATTACTAGCCCGAATATTTTTATTCATGCTAGAATGGGTAAAAGTTGCAAACACCTCCTCGGTAACAATTGTTGACGATACGATATGAATGCTGGATGGGCTTAATAAGCTATCACGATAATGAACATTTATAATAAATTTTACTTAAATAGTAGATCAGACACTAAAGATGTTTTATAAAAATAACTAGAAAACCGATTTTCATATAACTTTCTCCAACTATACTTCCGAAAAAGAAACTGAAAATCACTCTGGCAATATCTTAACCTTTTGATCTCAATATAATACTATTCTTTGAATGGAAGTACATACGTACATACTCACATATGTATGCAACTACTTGGTACTGTATATAGCCCAACCCCCAACAATACAAAAAAAATATTTATTAAATTTTATATTTTAAATTTTTTGATTGTCTTAAAATGTTTATTTTTTGATATTATTTTTTTTATAATTTTCGGGCTTTTTTTCCGTTGGGAATTATTTTATTAAGCAAGGATATTCCCTTAATATCAAAAGGAGATATGAGCTACGAATGAGTTAACCTTAATAAAGTTATTGAGTAAAAATTATATAATAATAAAATATCTTAACATAAAATAAAATAAATAAAATATTCATGTAAGGATCTATATGAGTCTAATAGGTTTTATAAAAATTACCAGACGTGGTAAATTAAAAATTTTGGTTATGCAGAGGAAACCTTAATGTAACTGGATTATTGGTAAAACTACGGAACTATGTAATTATTGCTAATGACATGACATAAGGTTAGATGTCGCACAATGGTAGAAAGACACAATAGAAAAGAATACCATACAGTCCACATTAGGCGATTGTAATTGAAACAAACAATTAGCCTGATGCTTTTAAAAACCTTAATCTCGAAAACGCGGAATGGACCTTACATGGCAAATACAATTTCTCGCACGTAAACTCGTAATAGTATTCAAAGAATTTTTACTAGAGGGAAATGTGCCGTAATGACAACTTATGTCGGTTATGGTTATGTTACTTACAAGTACGATGATCACTGCACGGAAGCAACAATTGTGTGATAAATAATCAGCTAACTGTCATTTGTATTGATAAATTGTTGAAAGCAAGCAACAATGTACTCATAACCTACAATGTATATAGAATAATAAAAGGTACATTCATGTCTCTACAAGGCATACTTACATCCCTCTTGCAAATCCAGGTGATCTCCAACTTATGGATATATGTGCGCTAATTCTCCTCATCGGTAATGCTATGGAACCATTCTCTCGATACGTAACATTGTCGACAATAAAATATTTGACTTATTTAGCCGTTGCAACAGGGTTTTAGAACGTTTTAGCAATTGGGAGAGACTCGACCTTAATATAATTTTGAATCCCTTTTTTTGGATTTTTTTAACGGAAAAAAGGGGGGGTATTATGGTCTTACATAAAAGATCAGCATTCTCTTTGGGGTTGAGGCAGCAAGTATAAGAGAATAATACTACGGATATCTGGTGGAAGAAGAAGTTGTTGAAATAAATAGAACTAATTTGTCTTCCATATAGAAATTTTCTTTACATTATACATTTACGTGTACATACATTATTCCAACGTATTGTTTTAGTTTTTCTTTACAGTAGCTTATCCTGAAACAGACAGGCCTTTCCCTTACCTGATATTATCCCCTCCTTTTTAACACTAATTTAAGTTCAAAAAAAAAAAAATATTATTTATATTATTTATATTATTTAATTGAACAAATTAATAAAACTAAACTCATGCTTCCCGAATGAAATGGAAGGGACTAAAGGAGGAGTAGAATCATCGATCAGTTGACTAGCTAAAAATGAGTTGTTCACTACCAGTGTCAAATTTATTTTTTTCACTCAATTAAAAAATAAATTTACGAATTATTGCAACTGCTCGATGAAGTAGTGTGAAATAAATGTAAGACGTTCTTTTAGAAATATATTGTTTTAGTTAGCCCCGTTTTCCGGCAATTTAGAGGAAAAAATACAAGTAAATTACTGTATGGGAGTATCCTTGAAATATGTATGTTTGTGCAACTAGACATATAAGGGGTAGAAATTTGAGACAAAAGCACTCGGGCAGTTGCTAAGAATTAGATGACGAGAATGATGTATTAGATATATAATATAACGGAAACGGATCTAATCTCAGCAATAGAGACTTTTAAACAATTTGACTCCACTTAACCAATTGGTACTTCTAACAGGGAGGACCTTCATTGTTATCCGAGGTTATCTCCGCATATGTTTATTTTATTCTACACTAGTCTTCTCTGAATTTATTTTTCTTTCCTATTCCACCTATTTCACTTCGCTGCGTTAATGGTTATGATCTCTTTGTGTTGACAGAATTTTTATAATTGTTCTACTTTATTATTTAACGGATAAGAATCGGTATTTGTATAGCTCACCTACGATTATAACCGAACATATTGAAAGATACCATAATTCTCCCACACCAGCAACCATTTTAACGGTAGAAAATAAGATGTTTGAACTTTAATTTTTTATGAATGTATGTATAGTAGTATAAATAAAGTTTCTATTATTGTATAGGTAAAACCTTATCGTATGATCAAAAATACGTGCCCCCAATAAGACCAAATATTAATTTGAGACGTACATTTTGGTCTAACCTCAATGTCGCCCTCGCCACCTCCATTGTGCCAAATAATTCTTATGAATTTCCGAGTTAGTCTCTCGTATATTAGAAGTAAGTTTGTGTTATTATTTTAGGTCAGCTATTTTTCTGATCTATGGACACGACTTTAAATCTATAGAGGTATGGATGTTCTATTGCGAGCTAATGTTTATGTTTACCAATAGTCCTATTATATGGGGAACATCATGATGATCTCTTGGTTGCAAATGGTCCTAATAATAGAATGAGTTACACATATTCATATACCAAGCAATTTCTAGAAAGTCAGTATAAGTTGCTCAATAAACCGTTAACTTTAACAGACTCTATTAACGGTATTATAGCAAATGATAAAGATCTTTATCCATATCAGCCATCACTAGATAGAGTCAAATTTTCAAAAATACTAGGTAAGGTAAATGTACAGATACGGAAATATAATAGTCATAATTTCAATTCACAAATATCGAACCAAATCATTCAGCAAGTATTGAAATTAGAGTCATATAAAGCCTCAATTGTTCATGAAAAATTATCAAAGATAAATTCAATCTTAAACCCTTTATTGATATCTTTACAATATATACTGGGTAATCATACTGTAAATAATCATGGCATTTCTAGCAAGTTAGAGGAATTCAAATTGTTGATTGAAGAATTACCTGATTCAAAGTATCTTTTATTAGAAGTAGATGCTTCTTCTGATGAAGAGATAGAGTCAGAAGAAGAAGTTGAAGGAGGTGAAAAAGATAATGAATCTGGTATACTTATACAGGATGATCAACCAGTAATACAATTGGATAAAGTGTCAGTAGGGAAGGGTAAAAGAACTTTGAAACGTCAACTTCTTAATCAAGTGAAGGAACATCAACAGAATAAATTGGAATCTCATCGGGTTTTACTTGAACAATATGATACATTGAGATCAAATCTAACTCAAGCATATGATTCACTTGTCTACAAGTACGAAAAGTTACAATATCTTAAGAATCTCCGAGATAATCTAAGAAATATAATTGGTGACGTTAAAGAAAAGAGGGACATCGATGGTTCTACCAATTCTCGCTTAGGAATTTATGATAGTGATGAAGAGGATAATGGCACCTTACAAATACGAAATCAAACAGATGACATTGAATATAGTAATGAGAGTCTAGTTCATGAGATCAATAAATTTCGTGTGTTGATTGAGAAGACAACTTATAATTTTAATAGGAGTAATGATGATAGTAGTATTACGCTAAATAATCATAACAACGATAATTTAAGACTGGTAATCTCATCAGTAAATAATGAAATAGAGTAATAGTTTAGAACTACATGACAAGCAATTTAATTTTACCTTTTTTAGCCTTTTTTATTTATATGATAGAAGATTATGAAGAATTAATAAATAATTTAAATAATAATACTGTGATAGTTTTATAATTGAAATGTTAAATCCCTGCATGATTTCTCTAATCAAATAAACCGAAACCCATGTCATCATCAGATTCTTCCTTAGCTTCTTCAGCGGCTTCTTCAGCAGCTTCTTCGGCAGCAGCACCAGAAGCAGCAGAAGCACCAGCAGCAGCTGGAGCAGCACCACCAGATGGGACGGAAGCTAACTTGGTGTTACCTTCAGCGATTAATTGGTTGACATCCTTACCTTCTAATTCGGCTAATAAAGTGGAGATTCTGGATTCTTCAGCTTCAACACCAACAGATTCTAATAAAGAAGAAATGTCAGCGGAGGATGGGGCAGCATTACCACCTTGGACTAATAATAAGTAAGCAGCTAAGTATTTCATTATGGTGTCTCTTTAGAATAATCACGATTTAAGCTATAGAATGATTAGCAGACTATTCTTTGATTAACTGAAATATTTCAAAAGAAGAGGTATATTAAACCGATTGGTAAACTAGTCATTTTTGCTGTGAATTTTTTTTCACAAACTTTAGATACGTTCCTGTATACACCGACTCACGTGAGTTTTCCTTAGAAAAAACGCAGTCACTGACTAGGGTTTAGGGCTTCGCAATTTTTCAACTCCTTGACTGTTATGCAGTCCCCATAGTTAACCATTAATTCTCACGGGAGAAAAAGATAAACTATTGCGGCATGAATCTTTTCTAGTAAACCAAGCCTGAGGAAAGGAACAAAAAAAATTTTAAGTAGTAATTGGTTTTTGAAAAATGTTGTTGTAGTCCTTTTAGAGATCTGTATATATCAATAATCTATATCCAATCAATATGGCTGATAGTATGTATTTAAGAGGAATGAAGAAGACTATCTAAGAGCTTAACAACAATCTATCCTTGTTGTATCATTTTGTTGTGTGTATAATAATTAAATGGCATCATCAGTGAAATATGAAAGATCATAGTAAAGACTTTGTACAAATGAATGGAAGAAATCCTTCAATGACTATATGTAGAATATCATCAAGAGAACTGTCAAGTTGTAAAACAGTCATATGTTATTTCAAATCATAACAGTACCTAAAACGATGTACGACCACATTGGATTTAAAGGTTATACCTAAATTTTTCAGTATCACAATAATTATGAAAATAAAGTGCAACACCTAGCTACAACTACTTTATGGATAGACTATGTTTTATTTTTATGAATCATCAAAGTATTCTCAGCATCGAGCAGGATATGCATTATTATTATGAACACCGATAAAATGAACAAGTGATATAATTGATTGTAAAAGACAGCAATAGTCCAATAAGCATTTGATGAAGACAAAAAATACTAACAAATTTTTTAGCTGAACAAAAGAAGAAGAGAACCTTCAGAACCTTCACTTTCAAGGGTGTTGATTTAAAAGATTTAGTTGAATTATCAACTGAAGACTTCACCAAATTATGTTCTGCCAGAGTCAGAAGAAGATTCTCCAGAGGTTTAGGTACCAAGGAAATGGGTTTCATTAACAAATTAAGAGTTGCCAGAGCTAACACTGAACCAAATGAAAAGCCAGCTATTGTCAAGACCCACTTAAGAAATATGGTTGTTGTTCCAGAAATGATTGGTTCCGTCGTTGGTGTTTACAACGGTAAGGTTTTCAACACTGTTGAAATCAGACCAGAAATGGTTGGTCACTACTTAGGTGAATTCTCCATTACTTATACTCCAGTTAGACATGGTAGAGCTGGTAACGCTTCTTCAAGATTCATTCCATTACGTTAAGTTGTTGTATAATATCATACTAATTCTTCATAAAGTTTACCAAAAATATACATAACTATTATTACAAGTGATCGTAGTACTAAGCACAACTTCTACATATATAACGTAAACAAAAGTATGATTTACTGTAGACGTAACAAATCATAACATAAACATAAGCAATACTAATTATGATTATAATTATAATTATGGTTAGTAATATGACTATGACTTCCATAAACATCTCTGGTCTTAGCCAAGGCTGAAAAATTTGCTATCGCATCAGATCGAAAAGCAAATTGCAAAATTTGAAAATTTATTTATTGATACTTGCACATTCTCTAAGCAAACCATTAAAGCATTGTCCATATTGCCCATGTATAGTATATGACATAAGATTGACATTAGATAACATATCATAAATTGTTTTAATCGCATGTCTGAGTCATTTGTATACCAAGATTCTCAAGGATCTTTAGCAAAACCAGACCTCCACAAGAAGCAAAAGCCACAGCAAGATGAGTTACATCCTTTGAAAGAAATCACTTTTGGAGCTGTATCAGGTATGTTTGGGAAGTTGATCGAGTATCCTTTGGACACCATAAAGGTTCGTCTTCAAGCTACTTCCACTTCCAGTTCTCCATCAACTTTGGCTATGATTAGATCCACTTATCATAATGAAGGTATCATTGATGGATTTTATAAAGGATTGAAAGCTCCCTTAATTGGAGCTTGTATGGAAACAGGAATCTTATTTTCATCATATAACTTTGCTCTTTCGAAGATTAGAGATCCCAACTCTAATGATGAACCACATATGGGGTTAAAATGTCTTAGTGGAGGATTTGCTGGTGCTATGGCATCATTTGTATTAACACCTATTGAATTAATAAAATGTCAATTACAAGTATCTAATTTGGCATCCACAGCATCAAGTACTACAAGTGCTACAAGACCTAACTCTTTAAGTTACATTCCTTTAGTTCAAAACATTATTAAAAAGGATGGTGTTACTGGTTTATGGAATGGTTTAACTTCAACATTAATACGTGAAATTGTCGGTACAGCTATATGGTTTGGAACCTACGAGTATGTAAGTGGAATTAACGCGTTAGGAGTTGGTGAAGACATTAACTCTTTAATAAGTGGAGCCATTGCTGGTTTAACATTTAACTTTTCAATTTTCCCCATAGATACTGTAAAGTCCAATATTCAAACCCATGATATTTTAAAGAAAGCATCTGGAAAAGTATCACCGGGTTCATTGGATTTCTTAAGAGTTACTAAACAATTAATCACTAAACAAGGTGGAATTAGAAATTTGTATAATGGCTTAGGTATAACTTTAATAAGATGTGTTCCAGCTAATGCCATTATATTTTATTCATATGAAGTTCTAAAACGAAACTTTTAAATGTACATTCTCCTTACATACATATATATATTAAATCAAACTTTAGAATAGTTCAATTGCTTTTTGTAAATCATCTACATTTAAAAAGTCAGATCCTGCTTCAAAGTAGCTCTTGAGATGAGAATCTCTAATATTTACTGGCCAAGAGACATCTCCCCAGACTCTGGTCTTTAATCCATATGAATGTGCCGTATTTATATAATTTTTGACTGTGTTCTCTTGATCAACGGTGAAGGGTGCTCTAGAAGCAGCCTTGATTGCTGAAACATCACCGTTCAAGAATGCTTGAGCCGCGCAGCTTGCTACTCGAGATAGTTTAGACCATTTTGTTAATTCTTCATCATCACTAGAAGGATTAAACTTGTCCAAGGGTCCATCCAAAAAGAAGTACCTCTTGTCTTGTTCCTGTTGGACCAATTCTGTTGGTAAATTACCTGTAATTGTCAAAGTTAATGGCCCTTCAACATACTTGTCTTGCTTAACATCATAAAAACTTAAATATCCTCGATCTATGAATGGTTGTAAGTATGGCTTTAATGCTTGGTATGTTTCATTAGCACTTGTTTTAAAGTCAAACCAAAGATATAATGTAGTCTCTGGCTCATTATAAAATACTCCATTCAAATTAGTATTCTCCAAGTTGGAGAAGCTTGGGTTTGTAAACTCGAGGAACTCATACAATGGATTCAAATATAAATTATTTAGTGTATTAATTGGTTCAAGGTATATTGAGCTGTGACCCACGTAAATTTCATCATTTCTGAAATATTTCGTAACAGTAGTGTTTACTAATTTGTTAGCAGTTGTTTCTGTAATGGTTCTTTCATTGGAGTATCCAGTACTAAAGTACCATATATCACTTTCAATGCTTTGTGCTCCCGCACTTAAGGCATCAAACAAAGGTCGGGCTCTCCAATAATCATTATGACTGTGAAGTGGCTTGACATAAACATCTCTAGTCAATCCCTCTACCGTGTAATTGAACGGTAAATATGGTGTGGGGGATGTTGATCCATCATAACTATTGATGAAACTGTTTGTAGAAGCACATTGAGCTGGTTTGAAAACACTTATCATCTCTTAAAGGATAATTCCACTGATATATTTCTCTTTACTTCAATAACACTATCGTTTTGAACTTGTCCTTTTCATTTATTGTTTCCAGTTCTTACTTATGATCTGCTTGCCACGACCACGAGGTTCACGTGAATTTTTGAATTCAAAACGTGGACTTAAATACCTTTATCAAGAAAGATTTCTGAATAGTAAACTTCAATGCTATTATGCAAACTATACAAGACAAGCAATGAATATAGAGAATTGTAACAAGCAAGAGATTGATAGGTTGGAGTTCTAGCATATGGTCCTAAAATAATGACGTAGAATGTCGTGTACTGTCGTCTAATGTCGGGATTGCGACATTATTATTTGTCGTACAGACGCTCGGAAAAGCGGTCAATAATTACAATTTCCCGAAAAGAGGGGAGGAATTGAGGGGCAGAGGACGCGCAATATTTTCCTAATTTGATTTTGGTTGCCAAATTATTTGTACTTTTTAGGCTCGCGACGGAGTTTGGATCCGAAGGTATTAGGAAAATTTGAACAATATTTTTTGGGGGATTGTATTGTTCCGAACCATTTTTTTGATTTCGCATATGCATATGTGGAAGAATAGCATTAGTTGAATCTTGCTTATACTTTTAATTATTGATTGTTTTATATGATCGTCTACCCCTTGTTTGACAAAATTGCCTTCGTTTACGAAAACTAAAGTTAAATATAGTTATGAAAATATCAAATTCGAAAATAATCTTTCACAAAGATTATCGATGAGCGATCTTGATTTACAAATACAAATTTAGCAACCTTCAAAATTTTGTGTATTAATTAAATAGGAATACATATATTACAGGAGTTAAGTAGACATGAAGTCATAACTGGAAGAGAAAAAAATTAGAAAAATTATAATTTTAAGAATTAATGCAAATATTAAAGAATGGAATTGGATGTTCAAACCTTTGTTGCTTTAAACTGAACTCACGGATCCAGTTCGTGATATATATTCATTGAAATTTATAATTAACTGATTAAGTAAATTTAAATTCAATTTTTGAATTGGCTCAGCTAAAGTATATGAAGTCTTAGCTCGAATGAACCCTAACATAGTTCGATCCACTAATTGATGTTTGAAATCATTGTAGTTATATTTACAAATATCTCTGATTACATCAGGATCAATTGTAATTTCTGTTGATTTATCTTCATCGATGGTTATAACCAAGGTTGAAGGGTTTTTGTCTTTCTTGCTCAAAGTGACCAATTTCAATATAACGAGAGCATTTAACATTAATGGCATAAATGTATAACTTGTTATTAATGCAAATGTTGGAAGTTTAATCCACGTATGGTAGATACTGGAACTTATATCAGTACCATGTAATATTACTTGAAAATTCTCCTTATCATGAATCTCTATTAATTTAGCAAAATTAATCAATTCTCTAATCATCATTATTATTGAGTACCATGAATGATCTGCTAATTGACCCAATCTCTTTCTTGTCTCTATGAAGGAAAATTTATCGGCTTGAATGTATTTAATTAATGGTATAAATTCCGAACTAGTAGTATTCTGATCGAATTCTAACAATTGATATTTAAACATCTGTAATGGATTCGCTTTTTCATATAATTTCATCACTAATTGTGATTGATAACCCAAATTCACTAGCAACAATTCCAAATTCAAATGAATTGTTCGTTCCAGAAAGTTAATAGATTTATATCTAGAATCAAACTTTAAAGCTCCTGGACGAGCAAACTGATGATACTTTTCTAAACCAGTGAAGTTTAAATTTTGAGCTTCATTAGAAAGAATATTTTCCTGATCATAAAGTGACATTTTGTATAGAAAGATATCAGAAAGGTGAGTATTCACAAGTCCTACCCATCGGTTTTGTCTAACCAAATCTTGAACATCTATAGCATTATAGTGTGTAGCTGCGGCTGCGGCTTCGTATAAAACTTGTAGATCGTCTCTTAAATAATTAAATTTAAACCAATGATATCTCAAAGTAGTGACATGAGATAAAAGATTCAAACATAAGAAACTTGTAAAACTGTTCATTCTCTTCCAATTCAATCTGATGTGTTCAAGCCAAACATCTTCTTCTAGACAAATTCCTAAATTATAGGACTTCGCAATAGGCAAAGTTATTAAAATTATAGCAAACCATATAGAAGTTTGAGCTCTAGGATTGGAAGCATCAAGTAACCCTTGAATATTTGGAGGCAAGACATTTTGAAAGGGATGATAAAATTCATAATAAATTAGAAGAATTTTGTATAGTACCTCCCAAGGTGGTAAACCAATGGCTGATAAATACTGTGGTGTCCACCAGCCAGCATTACTATCTTCATCCAAAGTATAATTACCTATGTATGTCTTTGGTAATGATGGTTTCAACGAAGGGTTTTCAGGATAGTACTTGGTAATCAAATAAATCGGGTTAAAATAGTCGGGAGAATATTTAGGTGGTAATGGATTGAAAGGCTTTAGAGTTATAGGTAAAGGATTACCAACTGCTTCTATCGTCCTCAAGTGAGAAGAGATACCGACTGTGGAAGAAGCTGGTCTATTATTCGGATCCCGCAGTTGGTTGATAGGAGATTTTATGTTTGGGACTGATAATGAAGGCAAGAGAGATCTGATATGTTGCTCTTGAATTTCTGGCCGTGTGTTACTATTGGTGTTGGTGTACCACCATTGATAGTATGTTTTCTGGCTATTGAAAAAAAGAGTTTGTGGGGGTGGTAAAGGGGGTTGTGATGGAGGAGGTGGTGGTGGCTGACCAGGATGCCCAAAAGGCAAGCCAGCTGTTTGAACAGGAAATGGCTGGTGACTTGACAAAGCGGAGACTGGAATTGGTTGTAGTGGAGGTTGATGATGTTGTGGAGGAGGTGGTGGTTGTTTCCAATAAGCATTAGGAATTTGTGGGGGATTATACCCATAAACTGGGTGAGAAATATGTGGTAGTTGATGTGTAGGTGGTGGTAGTGGTGGTTGAGGCACTCTATGCTGTAGTTGATGTTGTTGAGATTGAATATCTGAGGCCATTAAATGCTGGGTTCTTGGACTGGTATCTTCTTCTAGTCTTAATCTCTTATCTTGATCAGTCACTATTACAGGCGTAGTTGCAGTTGGTGATGCAGATCCATCCATTGACCCTCTTTTCTTTCTTCTACCACCTCTATTACTCTGTACAAATACACACTTAATTCCCAAGAATTTACAATTGGAACAAGTTCTTGTAGTTTGAGGAATAATTTTATTGGAGCCATCAAAAGAAACAATTGTTGTTGTAGGTTCACCATCACATTTAATCTTCTTTTCACGACAAGATAGGCATGCCCGACGAGCTACTGGTCTTCTATTAGATGATGAAGTCAGAGACAGCAGCAAGGATGTGAGATTTGTTGATGTTGATGAATTAGATATCCCTGAAGATGAAATGGAAGTTGAAGTTGAAGTAGAAGCTGGTAAATATCCTGTTGTCGGTACATTAGTAGCTGGGTTTTCTTGGTTTTCAGTAGATTCGGTATCATTTATAGTCGGTAAGGGATTTGATTTCAAATCCGGTATTGATCCGGAATCCTTCCTTATGCTACCATCGGCATTGAGAGTTGTATGAAGAGGGGACATGTTCAACGGCTTTACCAGTTGAAATGAATGCAAATTAGTTTTAGAACACCCTCAGAACCTGGAAATAAATTCTGAAATTAAAAGTAATGGTAAAATAGAAATTAAATAACAGTAATAGAGATAATGACAACAAGGAAACGAAAGAATGCAAATTGATAAAGCTTTAACACCAGTGTTCAAGCTATAGATCAAACTAAAAGTAATTTCACAGATGACAAACCATGCAAGAAAGTTTTATTTTGTGAGACTTATTGAGTTGAATAATTGAACTGAATTGAATGGCTTCAATATATATGACAGCCTACTTCTTCTTCAAATAAATCGTGGTCGGTATAAGATATTAACAATATTGAATAGATTTACAAGAACATTCGGAGACTGACTGTTAGACACCAAAAGCGCAAGGAAAAAGAAATTTATATATTCAAACCCGAAGATAAAATTATCAACAAAATAAAATGAAGAAAAGAAAAATAAATATAAAATAATTAGTATTATAATGAAAACTTGTTAAAAAATATTCACAAATATTTTATTGGCTTTGTTATGTACTCAAGAGCATGTATACCAGGAAAAAAAACAAGACCTTTTTTTTAAATTTAGAAAAAAATAAAGCCTTTAAAAAATAAAAACTCAATTAGTATGGCTGATTTTAGGTATAGACTTTCTTAGGGGAATAAGACAGCAAAAAATATTAAAATTATAGAGGTCAAAAATACGAATAGAGTTAACAATAAACGGAATCAATACATTCCAGAAACTTCATTAGAAAGTTTAATATCAAAAACATAATACTACCATTTAGTAAATAAATAACAAATAATGAATCTTCGTTTCAGATTGACCAGACTAAAAGTATAACCCCTTGACTTAGAAATATAAAATTAGGCATATCTTATAAAACCGAAATCTCGCCGCTTTCACAATTATAATTGATACATATGAAACAAGACTTTGAGGGAGAGGAAGCCAAACGTGAAGGAAAAAAAAAAGACCAAAAAAGACGGAAAAAAGATTAATGTGATATTGCCGAGCTAATTAAGCTACAGTAAAATAAACCTAATCAATAAGATATGGACACAGTTATTATTCAATTACACGGCTATTTATGATTGAAGGCTAATCGGGTGCCGTAGGGTGTGTAGCTTAAAAGTTGATATAAGAAATTAGGCTTCGCAATTGCATAGTTATCACAAACACCGCATACACAATATAATTTATGGATAAAATAAAATATGAAAGTGATAAGCACAAGCAAAATTCGAAAACTTAAGTCTAATTATGGCAGCACATAGAATCGAGAAAAAATTATAACTAAATAAACAAAGGAAACCTTCAAATGAATCAGGTAAGTAAGTAAAAGGTAAACAACACTTTGATCGAAAATATTATTAAGTACCATTTGGAATGGCCAAATTGCGTAGTTACCTGGTTCATTTGAAGAAGACACTTACACCTCTATGAAGACGTCATAGATTAAGAAATATTTACTGGAGCTTTACCTTACGCGTGTAATAATGCTACACATTTAAACCGTACAGAAAGCAAACAATAAAATAATAGAATTTATAATAGCAATAATCAAATGTCTTTTAATCAATGTGAGTTGATCCCAAATCCGTACTAAAAGATTACTCCTATGTTGTATTAGTTCATTTGTTTATTAGCCATGGGAATCTACTGGCTTTTCTGATACAATATCCAATTGACAATAGAACGCTTTTGTTCATTTCTCTAATATTTAAGATGTCGGCATTAAGCTAGATTAAAGCCCAAAGAAAAGAAAAAAAAATTAGATCCTCCGTTACGCATATGCATTAAATACTTACATGTGCATTTATTGGATTTTGAAGTTTTGTTCTGTGTTAGTGCTTCACTCAAAAAGACTAAATTGCGTCTTCAATATGCCCCCAATTATGCAGAGGTAAAAAATAACTGTAATGTTGAAAATCAATTTTGTTTGTTGATGCTTTTTCTATTTCTTTCCTCCCTTCGACAGATCTTTTTTAGCTTATTTTTTTATTTGGCTCAATGTACAGCCTAACAAGAGGACGCAATATTCCGTACGTACATACCTCTTGAATATTTCAAGACAAAGTGGTATCAACAAACGAGCAGTAGTTACAAAATCACATACTTAAGTATAATTCGTCCGAACAGCACCATTAGTGTGCAATATTTCCTAACTGGGTAAGGATGTGATGTATAACAAAAATATTTATCAACAATCGGATCAGACAACTTATTTGCCAGCCCTTCGAAAATAACACTTTCTGTTTAAATAATTTTTAATTATTTAGATAGCTATTGTTTTGATCTACTCTAAAAACATCAAAAGGGTTCACTAAAACTAATATGGCTGTCCAGAATATTTAATTGGTATGACAGAGACCTTGACACTGCGATTTGATACAATGAGTTCCCTTTATCTCTACTATAATCTGATCCGCTTAAAGTCCAATCCCCCAAGTTCACCAATAATTTATTTTTAAATTTTTTTGTGAGGGAATTGAAAATAGTACTCCGAAAGAAAAGGGAAAAATGAAACATCAAAAAATTAATTTAAAAATATTACAAAAGGCTTATTTTATTTTCGATCTCCAATATGATCTCCCCACTCTATGTCAAACACAGATAGCTTTCTGGTTGACAGGCGGACACCGCAAAGGTAAATACTCTTGTACGACTTCCTGTGGAAATTGGAATAGAAAATATGAGAAGCTTAGCTAGCTTACAACATACTACAAAAAAATACTGAATTTGTGGTGACGTAATTTTAAAGCACCCCCACTTGTGCGATCTCTATCAACATCTATCCTGCTCACTGAAAGGCTATCAAGTAAACGCGATGAAATGCAGAGCTCGGGTTCTATTGCCTATAGCTGCTGAGATGTATTCCACATATCATGGTGATTAGTATGAATCCCCGAACAAAGAGAGTAGCTTATTTAATAATTTTTCTTTCTGGTTTATTTATTTTCTAGGTCCTTTTACGTTATTTTTATTTTTTATTTTACAATTTCTTCCAACGATTTTTAAATTAATATCTTCAAGCAAGGGCGGATTTTGCACTAGGAATAATCTCCTCCTTTCCGAACGTATGTAAATCGAATAGATAATACTAAATAACTAAATTATTCCCCTTTTCATAATATCCGCTCTCATTCAGAAGTTTAAGCATGAACCAATTCCCGTAATTTCATCTTATTATCTTTATGAATAAAACTTAAAATTAACAAGCCGATTATTTTCTGAAGTCTATATATTGTTCAAAGTTACACTTCTCCACTTCATTCACCGTGCTCAATGATCTTTAGTCTTATTTACTGATAAATCCAGAAATTTTCCGGTGTGTTATCATGCTTCTTGAAATTTATTTTGCGACCTCGTCGGTGGTTAATTTTGCATCTCAGCCTCTTGGCAGATTAAATCGGTTAACCAGTGATTTGTAAGTAGCGCATGTTCATTTTCAAATTTTCAATTAGAGCGCGTAAATAGTGTTTCCCATTATAATAAAAATTCTTTTATACGAAATGTGTGCTCTCGGAGCTAAGAACATACACACACTTGCAGTACATTCCTATCTCCCTTTAGTGCACCTTCACAAAAATTAGTATACACTATAGGAGTTTTGCATTACTTTGCCTAGCATTGTTGTATACGGCTTCTGTTGGTGATAGTAAAAATTAAATGGACTTCGGCAAAAATTATGCAAGTATTATAGATTTTCAAATATTTTGGAATTGACGCTGCAAAGTTGTATCCTCATTTTCATAATCCTTCATTTGCTGTAGTCGGTCGTTTCCTCTATCACCCGAAATTTCAATGCAACATCTTTTTGAAGCATTTGAATTGTTTTCGTTCGTCAAACTATCACCTCAAAATAATCGGTTATAAAGATTTTCAATCCCCTGAATAATTTGCGCCTGAACTTACATAAATATTTTAATGAACTGAGAGATTTGTTTTTGATTACATTATTCTAACTATACATGCATCTAGTGTATTCTAAACATTTTTTATTATTTCTTCTTTCATTTCTTGCCATTATTTTTTAACTTTAACAACTTGAATATCTCTACAAGTCTTACACTACCACTAAGTAATTCCTCTTTGAAGTAAAATAAAAAGGCAGCCGTAGTAATAGATTGTATTAACTTGATAGTAAGGCCTCCATATAAACCTTCAATTCCCTCTTCTCTAACTATAGTTAAGATCTGCTGAACCATGGATTCTTCTTTCTTTCCTTCAATCTCTTGTTTTTCTTTTTCATCCTTTCTTTTAAGGTGCATTCTTGCTTTCAAGGTAATGTAAGGATATGTTAATGATGTAGCAATCAATTTACCAAAAGCACCGATGAAAAAGGCATTTCCTGCCGTGAACTTATTCCCACGCTTGATCAAAACATTCTTGATTTGTTCAAATATGGTATATTGTATAATAGGATTAATCACTAAAACCAATGCTGGAAATACACCAGCAAATAAAGTTCCAACTCCATCGGTTTCCACAATGTGTAATAATGTTGCTAAAGTTGACTTGCTTTCATTGCTTTTGTCTGTCATCATTCTGGTATTGGCAACCCAGAAAGGATTGGAACCTATGCATGTGAAAATACCAGCAATAGCACCAACTATTATTGATTGTATTGTAGTTAAACCACGTTGTTGAGAATGTTTGGGACGACGGCTGATAAAAAATTTAGTACTCCATTCATAAAAATAATAATAAATGAAGTTTGTTAAAGTTATCCCATAAAGAGCACTTTCTAATCCAGAATACAATTTAAGGATTCCATTTTTTTGCACGAACTTAATGATATTAGTGTCATAATTATCGTCTTCGTTAACTGGTTTTCCAGCTGCCTTATCCTTTAATCTTTGCTCTTGTCTCTTTTGCTTTGTCTGAGCTAATGTAGATATTGTGACTAATGGATAGGTAACTATCATTGACAACGCACCTCCACCAGCACCAGCAATCGCGTGAGCCAACTCATCTATTTCAGTATTATTCGCCATTTTAACTTCCTAAACTTGAAAGTAGGATAGATCATTAGTTAGTGGTAAGAGATATTCTATTTTCTATTTATTTACATTTCCCCATACTTTCTCCATAATTTTTCGCTCTGGATATTAACCGCGTATCATAAAAAGCGCCGCTACCTCGGTCCATTTTTTTCTTCACATGTTAGGCATATACATTAAATCCGCTAGAATTTGGGAACAGGGTATTGGTTCTTACTGTTTAAGACATTGTGGAATATGTCGGTTCTTAATTTATTTCTTTGTTTTTAGAAAAATCTGCAAGGTTAATCTTGAAAGCATTATACGACGTAGAAGAAAAATCGGATATATCAATGCAACAATAGAGATATTACGGATTGAAGTCATTTTCTTATTGGCCTTTTGATCATTTTATTAACTTTGGTTAATTCCGTGAGAGACATGAAAAAGGTATTCTTCTTCAATGTGTAATACTGTATCACTCTGTGTTCATTAGTAACATTTTTTCAATATTTTTGACAAATACTCTAAGAACTCAAAATTCAACAATTGCATTAACTTGTCATTCTATTTTCACAATTGAACTGAAATACTCAAGCTCTATAACTCGTATATAAATTTATATGTGGATGTCTTTCTGGAAGTTGGTCCTGCAGTGGTATCATCCCATTGTTCACATTAGGCATATGAACGATAGGCTGTATGTAAGAAATTTTGACACTAATTAATCTTATTTTTAACTCCATTAATAGCTATTGAGATAACCCAATATCAGCTAGTGTAAAACAACATAGGTAAGGTTATGAATCCATTCTTAAAGGGTTGCAAAATCCACCTATTCTTTCAATTTCCGCCAGTCGTGTGAATTGGCCAGATATCAAAGGCCGAAAACTTTTGAGAATAAGACAATAAATTTGTATTAGACTAACTAAACCACTTTTACATAATAATATTACAAATGGAAACTAGAAGAGGTTTATTAACAAAGCTAGGAATATATGGTGGTGTAGCTATATCACTTTTCCTTGTTGGAAAAAAACATATTGAATATTCAAAGAATGAAAGACATAAAAAGGAAACTGATGCAAGAATAGACAGCGAAGTTAAAGAATTCGGTACATTCGGTCAAAGACCAGGATTCCCTAGTAATAACCCTACCATGGACTATACTAATGATCCATCTCGAGTGTCACGTTATGAGGGTAGCGGTAATTCATACTCTAGTAGACGTCCAGGTGATCGTCTAGGGTTCTTCTCGGTATTAAATCCTTGGTCAGCTGATAATAAAGAAGAGGATCAATCTAAATACTATAAACCACCTTCCAGAAGTTAATAGTAAGTCTATTAATTTAAAGTTAACGAAAGTCAATACATGTATATAGTTATACAATTCTAATAATAGTTCGATATATATTACAGTGTATATACGATGCTTATGTTATCAATCATCATTTGGTAAATTGTGCACCAAATCTTCAAATGCCATTTCATAAATCAAATTGGATTTGAGGAAAAACTTCAAGCACCAACCACAAAGATAGTTATCTTGAAGTTCTTGTAAAATCATAATGACGTTGGACTTGATTTGATCGTCTTTATTGAATAAATTTATCAATAATAACTCTATACCTTTGTTTTTATCAAATATTGTTAAATTACCTCCATGCGCAGATGAACTTTGTAAACTAGTTGAGAAATTAGGTGGTATGAGGTAACTGACTAATAGTAATATTTCAAGAGATTTCCCACTAATCAAATATTTCAAAATATTAAACCATATCTCTCTTTCATTTATGACTTTAGTACCTGGTGTATTGCTAGCGTTACTATTATTTAAACTTTGTAATTGATAATGCAAATCAATCATCAAATTCAATTCATTAGCCAAATTTGGTAATTGTAATGTGTAATTAAATTTCTCTTCATATAACAAATCCTGAAATTTCTTCGAAATTAATTGATAAGTAGATATTTCCAAGAGCTTGTTAGTATCATTATTCCAGAAATATCCAATACCTTCCATTAATAGCACCAATTGAGAGGTTTTATCTTTATTATGGCTTGAGTTTGATGATTTATTGACACTTACTGAAAGATTCCTTGAGCTCAACAATATTCGAATAATTTCATTAATATGTCTTCGGAAAATTAATTGGATTGTAGTTAAGTCATCATTATAGTTAAATAAAGATAATTGCAAATTTGATAGGAATTTAGCATCTTCACTTATAATAGAATTCTTAAACCCATATTCATCCTCATCTTTCGCTATTTCTTTTGAAATAATCAATTCGTTGGTGTCTAGATCATATAAAAGATCCCACAATTTATCATTATTCTTAAAGAATGGATTAATAGTTCCCGCAATAAATGAATCACATTCTTCTAATAAATCTATCTTAGAAACATCTATTATAGGGAAAACATTATAATTGGTTAATAATCCAGTTAAAATACCTCCACCAGTCACTAATTTTAATAATAATAAAATATGATCAATTATATAACCTGAACTATTATCATAACTTAAAAATAAAACTCTTTTCCCAGTCAAAATGGCATTAATCAAAACAATAATTGGAGGTGTCTGTAAACCGTACACTGTTAATTCATCATTTAAAGAATCGGATTGTAACTTTGCTTGTAAAAAATTTATTAAATTTGGTTTAAAATTTAAATCAGTTGGATTTAGGTAATCACCAAAGGTATCAGGTAATTGTATCATGGGTATCTTAATTGGAATATTCATATTATTGAAGTTAATAATTGAATTAAAACTGAGATCTTTCCTAATATATAATTCATCATTTATCAAGCTATCCTTATCAATACCTAATATTTTACTTCTAAATAATTCATCATAGTAAATCTTGTCTTGAATTGGTAAGTCAAGAATGGATGTTATCAATAGTTTTTTAACCATAGAAATATTATTCAGAGGAGTTGAAATATCCAATACCTTCCCATTGACAGCTTGATATAATTCCTTTATAATACTTAAATCATTACTTTTAAAATATTTATCTAAAGCAATCAATAATAATGGTTTGAAATTCTTGAAATAAGTTAATTTAGTAATAATTGATAATGATTTAATACTTGAACCACGCTTGAAATTAGTATCTCTAATATTTATAACCACAGTATAAAGGAAATAAGGTTCTGGTTCACATTTTGATTTATTATAAAGATATTGAAATTCTCCAGTATAAGTATTTCTGTATAATAAAAATAAGGTAAAATCTTCATCTCTCTTATGGATTTGATCTGGAAGCATCAATTCAGGTAAGAAATATAAATTGTTTAACCCAGGCAATAAACTTGGATATTGATGGACCAATGAAGGACCCTTATCAATATGAAATTCAGCTGTTAGTATATATTCAATATTCTGCGGCATGGAAGAGTGCAAATTTCTAGATGTGAATTATTACAGAAATCAAAAATATTATAGTTAGAAAACTTTCAAAAACACCAACAGTGTTTAAACTATTTAATAACTCAAATATATATATTCGAACAAGTGGGAGATTGTCAATTGTAAATTGTAAAATTGTAAAATTGTTTCAAATTTTATAATACCTTTAATCCTCCAACAGTGTCGTCAAATTAGGCGTCAGTTTATGCCAATTTGTCGTTTTATCCTATTTGGGCGCGCGCCTGCATACAACCGCCCCAAATTGTTTTTGCAAACTCATTCGATTTCAGTTTACGAGTAATTTAACAAAATAATATATTATATCAAGTAATTTTAAATGACAAACAATTTCAAATACAAATACTACATAAGGGTCTTAAAGACCTACAAGAATTATACAAATAAGAGTAAACCACGCAGAAGATACGAAATGACAAGATTAAGCGAAATATTCAGCCATCTCTTGATCTAATTCTTCAACAGTCTTCTTCTTTGGTTTTTGTTGCTTCTTTTTTGGTTGAGCCTTCTTAGTATTGGCTTTAGCCTTAACAGCAACAGCAGCCTTTTTTGCAACAGCCAATTTCTTTTTACCAGCACCTGCAGTAGCGGCAACTTTATTTGGAGTGATTCTAGAAGTTAATGGTTTCTTGGATGGATCAACAATTAATTCCAACTTTAATTTAGATGATCCATTATCAATGGCAGCTCCATTATATTTTTCAACAGCTTTAGAAGCTAATTTATGATTTCTAAAGATAATGGTAGCAATACCTCTGAATTGACCCTTTTCATTATATGTTAAAGCAACGCTAATAACTCCACCAACTTGTGATTGGAAGAAATCCTAGAAAATTGTTAGTCTCTTACTAATTGTTAATAATAAATAAATGCAAAAAAAAATAAAAATTCAAAAATCAAAAAAGAAAAATAAAGTAAATTTGCGGTCTTTAAACCTTTGAACAGCTTGTAAGTTGTTAGATCTTTTTGGTAGTCTTATGAAGCGCTTTAGGAAACAAAAATCATTTAATCATTGTCCATGGGCTTTTTATATGAATATGGAAAGTGAAAATACTTCGTAAATTGACAACATAACAGAAATCGTTAGTAGGATCCAGTTTTGATGCTTAAGAATAATCATCACCAACTTTAATTAAAAAGTCAGCAAGTATATGAGAAACTAACTCAGAAACAAGTATGAAGGTAGAAATCTATCTATTTATAATGCATAACTTAACACAATCCTTTCCCCCTGGATTTAAATAGACTTCATACTTGATAATCAGTAGTTAGAATTAAACTCAATTCCAAGTTCGAAGATGCAGAATATCAAATTCTCGTTCTTAGGATCAGTGACAACATTGACAGTTAAATGTGATTTGAGATAAACTGAATCCCGTAAAAGAATTAAATTCTGCTATCCCGTGAAGATAAAAGATGGGGGCATCATCGTGCTTCTCAACAACAAAACTTATGATCGAGTTCTGAATTGAAAAGTCACTAGCACTTATAAAAACAGTCCCACCTTTTGTAAAATCATCTTGAAAATGGCAACAAAACTATTGGATACTATTTCTTTCATTCAAATATACCCATAGTGGACTAAATTTACATTTAAGTAAAAGTTAACTTAAATTGAATCAGATCAATTGAAGAAAAATAAATTATGAATAAGTGATTATGAATCAAATGAATCTTAAACACTACTTCATAAGACTTAGAACTAGACTAATAGCTAGCAAGACAATATGTTAAATCAGAAAAACTTGATTTGAACAGTACGTCTTTTAACCAAAAACTCTATAAATCATGAATAGCATGAAGTATGAGGAATGAGATTAAGAAATTTGAAAAAGAAGCTAAATGATGGAAAAGTACTAATGAAATTTTTATTCACTTTCCTTAATATTTCACATCATTATAAGCTGTTTTTCTTTCTATTTTGAATTTTGCGTTTTTATTTCTTATAATCAATGTCCTGGTCAAAATTAATGATTAGACATTTAGTTGACTATTAAAAACATACCTTAACGTTTTCTTGCTTCAAATCTTTTGGTAAGTTGGAAGCAACAACTTTGGTGGCGTAACTAGTATCAATAGCGGCACTTAAAGCAGCAGCAACAGCTGGTTCTGGTTTTTTAAAGATAGCAACAGCTGACTTCTTAGCCTTGGAATTTGGTCCACCAACTTTCTTACCAACTTTGTTGGATTGTTTAGCGACACCTTTACCGAATTTTCTACCAACTCTTCTGGTAGATTTGGAGGATGAGATGATATCATCTAATGATTTATCTAAAGCAGACATTATTAATTTGATAGATTTCTAAACTTAGTAGGGGTAGGGGGAAGGATTACTGTGTTATTTGCAAGATTCTCCTGGACTAATTAGTTAAAACGTAATAATGAAAAAGAAGGATAGATGTGATCACTTCGGCAAAGGAACGAAGTTTTTGTTCATCTTCGTTGGCAAATGCGCTGGCTAAAATCTAAAATTGATCTATCACGTGATTAAAATCACGACATAAAATAAATTGAAATTCAATCATAATAATTGCCTGATTGCTATATATAATTGAAAGAAGAGTGAAGAAATCATAATTTGAAAAAATAGGAAATACGTCATATTTCGAAGGTTAAATAAAATGACTGGCGTGACATTACTTCAGAATGGGCGTCATCAACTCTCATACAATGAATCGAAATACGAATGAGAAATTTCATTATTCGATTATAATTCCAGTAGACAGTTAGTTTTACAAAATATTTAGCGTGTCAAAATGCTCTCGTGTAAAAAGTAAGAGAAGAAATGTCAATTTGATAGATGTTATTCATACCAGTCATCGCCAAGTTATTATTTGAAGTCTTGGCTCTTGTTAGGTTGGATGTCTTCAGGATTAAATATAGGACATGAGAAAACTGCGGGGGTGTTAACAGTCGTAAGAGAATAATCACAGGACCATTTGAAGCTATCCCCGGATAACAGCGACATGAAGTAGAAAAGCTTGCATGCTGCAAATTTCAATTCTCAATCAGTACTGTACTTACTTTCTCCTCAGACTTTTTTTAAATGATTAACGAGTTCGCCTATGTAACTAACTATAAAGTTCCAAGTACACTATTGATTATGACAACTAACCAATTGAGCGGTCTATTCACTTCTATAAAAACTCTTTCATTGTCGATCTTATAATTTAAAGTTTTAGTAACAATGAACCATTTTCAGAACCAGTTTTCAATTTAAAAGACAATAGAGATCGGTCTTATTCATATTTTAAGCCTAATTGGACACGACATTGGTTCTTATCAATAGAATGTCGTGCGGCCGTGCGCGCGGGCTTCCGGTTATGGTCCCGAGGAAAATCAAAAAGTACAAAACAGAACTGCTTTGGGTTTTGTACTTGGACCCTACCTATTATCAAAAGAGAAAGTAAGCTCTATAGTCAATCCACCACCGTACGGTTTCTGTAGCACCACATTTTAGTCGTTTCAAAGGAATTTAATAGTGTCAGAATTGGGTAATTTATACACAGCAGTGGGTCGATACTAACTTACAGTTTTTTAACTTATCTGGAGAGGGTTTAAAAGATTATATCACAAATAAGGTTATTGTAATAAGATTTTAAAGAGAAGGAGGGGAGAGAGAGTCATCTGAGTAAATAAGTTGTGTAGTGCAGTTTAAGATACTTTCATTTGTTAACAATTGGTTAACAATGTTGACATATTATAAATATTAAGTGGATCATTATTCGTTGTCAATTCCAATTACCATTAATATAAATCAATTTGATTGATTGATTCGTCCACTCGTATCAAACTCCAATAAATAGATCATGATTACTCGAATTTTTCACATTATTTTGTAGGGGGTGTAGTTATTCGAATATTTTGGGGGTGTAGCTGTAGTTTAAATGCAAATGTCTTGGCTCTAATTTTATGAATCGTAATTCTATCTGTTTTAGTGTCAAGCCCCGTATGGCTGTATGTAAAAACATATTAAGACATATTTATCACCGATTTTTCACCGAATTTATTAGCTTATGTGGTAAATATGGTTGTAAAGGCAAAGACAAGTCGGAAACTCAGATAAAACATTTTGCATATCAATATGTAATGGAATACTGTAGCTTACCGCCCGAGTCAAGGACAAACCTCCATGCCTCCGTATATTAAAGCCACTTATTTGAAAACTGATTGTGAGTCTACAGAACCATTGTCCATCATGCACTGCAACAGAAAATGTTCATATGTTACATTTTTAAATGTTTTACTGTTTTGGTCTTGTGACCTGCATATATGGTCCATTTTATATACCATTTACAGATTAGATACGTTGTCGCTAATGTTATAAGTCTTTTGTGATTTCGACTAACAAGTGATACCTCTTTGCCTAATCAGTAGAGGAAGGAAATGAAGGAGGCGCTCGGGTTGAATGAAACAATACAACGTATTTTGGTAGATAATGAAGAGATCCTGTTATCTATCTCTGGTTAAGTACCCCGAATTGTCCGATATGTCACTTACTTTCATGCTTGATTTGGAAGGTAACAGAGAGTCCGCTTCTGTTGTATGTTTTAACTTTTGGTCAAGGGGTACAACAGAGAATTTGTTAACGGGCATACCTTGGAACCTGTAAAAATATTATTATTTGTTTGATTTTATGATAATAATAATATTTTTTACAATTGCTATTGATTAAACAGAACCCGAGTGAATTTTGACGAACTGAACCACCATTTGAGAGGTATTCAAATTAAGACCTATTTATAGAATAAGCCATAGTATATAAATGTAATTAATTGAGTGAATGAATGCAATCAAGGCAAAAAGCGTAAGGCAAAAGTTGAAAAAGGTTAGTAGAGCAATTGAAAGATAAAACTGTGGAAACAGAGTCCCGTTGGAAGGTCAGAGGATGATTACTCTATTCGGGATTGTATCCTGTACAAAATGCGGAGACATAGTAGTGTGGTGGCGGACTTATAGCGCAAAAAGATGTCGTTCACTTATTGATATATCTATGATGTACAATCCTCTTCGTTAACTATGGTACGGCACCAATTTTTTTAAAAAAAAGAACAAAATTAAAATTTAAAAAATAATGGATAAAATAAAAAATAAAACAGCCGACGTTTCGAATGAAAAATAAAAATAGATAGAGACAAAGTTACTTAGTTACTTAATTACTTAGGCTGTAGGAGATACCACGAATTGCGCTTATTCAAGGGTTTTGGAATAACCATTGCAATCTAGGACATATTTTGATCGAAGTTGTTGATGGTAGAGGATCTCTAAAGTCATCTGTCTTATTTCGGCATAGTGGCTGATAACTCCAAACAGTTCAAATTTTGTGCGCCGACAGACTACATTGTAAAGTAAATTAAACTTAAAAAAGTATAAACAAAAAAAAGAAATTTTGCAAGAAAGCGACATTTTTTTTTTGGCAATTCTTACATAATAAAAAGATACAGAGATATAGAGATACTGAGATACTGAAATAGAGAGATAATCATTTTTTAACAATTGAATAATTCGATAGAATATGATTTAAGGATTTATTCATTGTTTTAGTTAAATCAAATATGTGCTTATTCTGATTTATATATATTACATCCCCTCCTCCCTTCCACTTAACCTTCAAAAAGTAAATTTCTTATTTTTATTTAATTATTTACTTATATATTTATTTATTTGTTCAGCTTTTTTCAGTTCTTGTTTAGCTTTGATTTTCCCCTTAATTTTAACCAATCATTAGCGGAGGAATAGAAATTCTATATATTATCAAGTTACATAGTTCATAAAATTATTCACTCCCGATCACGAGCCGACTAACCTGAAATTTTTCATATTTATAATATATCTGTTTTATTTTTTAAGTCAGTCAGCTGTGGGTTTAGTCAGTAATTTTTCGTTCCAGAAGGAAAATCCGCACACAAATCTCACTCACCAATTGAAACAAAAAAAGTCTCAAAAGACAGGGAAAATTTTTACCAGTCCCTATTTCTTTTTGTTTATCACAACAATCGACTACGATAAGGAAAGACAATAACTTCTCCATAACCGTAGTAAGATCCTCCAGCAAATACTCGATCAAAATCAGAAATTATCGTATATGTTTCTTCATTTACTTGTAGATTAAAAAGTATCGATCTAATCCTACCAAAAAAAGCAAGCAAGCCTAACTTTTTGTATCTGGAGTGTTCATTTTACTATCTATCTACCACCTATAATTAATATCAGACTATCATAATGTTCGTCTTATCACTTGGCATTACTGCCACAACTTTTTCCACCAATACTAGATCTATGGATCCATTTTCTAAGACCAATAATAATAGCAATAGAAAAACCAAGAATATCATAATCAACAGAAAGACACTAAACGACAAAAATGCTGCCAATATTACTATTACTTCCAAAAACTTATTGGGAATGAAAGTTAATGTTTTCAAGTTTTTGAATGATTTATTATATAGATTACCTCAAGAACAACAAAAATCTAACAAATTATTCCCATCTTTAAAAGATGCTAGTATTGTCAACTTGAATAATTCAAAAAACCAATCAAAATTGCCAATAAATTGTGCCGCTGATGATTTAGATTTAAGTCTTTCTGGTTCTAATGATCAAATTGAATTTTTCACTAATTTCATTTCCACTACTGGTAATGTATATGTTGATTCTAACTCGGTTTCAACCGCTAATTCAGCTGTTTCCTCATTATCTAATAATGGGATTTTAATGGCTCCTCAAGCAAACCAATCTAGTTATCAAGGACAATTTAATTCAAATGTTGGCAATATTCAAAACGTTAAAATGCCTTACTATTACAATAATACACCAAATAGTATTGCTATGAACCCTCATCATGCTAAACCAAACTTGCCTGAATTCGATGACTTCTTAGAAGCTCATCAAAATCAATTCAATGCACGTAATGAACAATTATTACATCACTATCAACAATCTCAACAAATCCATATGAATAATAATAGCAATAATAACGCTCAACAATTTCAATCCCAAATTCAACATGACGATGAATTCTCTGATGGTTACAATTTCAGTAACATGATTGGTTTAAACACTGCAACCAATTCTGCTCCATACTTCAACGATTTCAACCATCAAGTTGATGTTTATTTGTCTTCGTCTGTTTCTTCTAATGAAAGTTATATAAGTCCCTTAGATGATGAATTCTTCAAGAAGTTCAACAACAATAATGGTAGTGCTTCTACTTCAACCAATAATGTTACTCCATTTACTAATTTTGACGCTTTGATTGGTGATGAAGATGACGATATTGAAGATTTCTCTAGAAAGAGAAAATTCGATTCAGTTAGTTCTCAATCATCTAGTAATTTTGAATATTCTTTATCTCAAGAACAATTTATTCCTCCAACAAGTGTTCCAAATACTAGAAAGCCATCTTTATTGGCTTCCCAATCCATCCAAGCTCAAAAGCAAAAACATAAACAACCTAAGATGCCACAATCCCCAAAGAAGTATAAGAAAAAGAAGTCTAACTTGAATGGTGTTGTAAACAGTGCTGATATAAAGATTGAACAAAGTGAATCAAACATTGTTTCAATTAAACAGCAGCCAATGGATTTATCTGAACAACCAATTCAAGAAGCTAAGAAATCTAGTAGATCTAATTCTTTAACCAACAATAATGGTGATGTGTTAAATCATTCTTGCCCTCATTGTTCTGCTGCTTTTAAAGTCAAAGGTTATTTAACCCGTCACTTGAAGAAGCATAATTCTGCCAAGGCATTTGTATGTCCATTTTATCAAGAACCAAGTGATGGTACAAGTGGTACTAAATGTCATCCAACTGGTGGATTTTCAAGAAGAGATACTTATAAGACTCACTTGAAGGCTTTGCATTTCATATATCCACCAGGTACTAAATCAAATGAAAGAAACAGTATCAGCGGTAGATGTGCAGGATGCTTTCAATTCTTTGAAAACAATATTCAATGGTTGGAAACTCATATTGAGACCGGTAGTTGTACAGGAACTGTTGAATGTAAGTTACAAGGACTGCATCAACAAGAAAAATCACCATTAGCATCTAATCAAGATCAAGATCAAGACGAAAAAGTAATTAAAGTTAAGGTTGAAAATGATTTCGATACACAAGAACTTGAGGTTCATGCTTCGCATTACATCAAACAAGAAATTGTTGATTGAAAGATGAGTTTTCAACCTTTTTTTTTTTAAGAATTTCTTCGCTCAAAAGAATACGTTTTTGGTTATGTTAATAAAGTCTACATATTTACAGCTGGTCTGTGTTTCAATTCACTCATAAAGGAGTACATTATCATTATCATCTTTCCCCTCTTAGCATTATCTATTCCATAAGTTGCATTTGTTATTGTAGTTGTTATTTTTTGTTATTATTATTATTATTTTTTTACTACTGTTCTAAGTGGTTGCTGTTTGTCTTTCGATTAGAGGTTTTCCCAGTTTTGTTTCTGGATCGTTATCATATTTATCATTCAAAGTTTTGTTGTAGTCCCATTGGACTTGTCTTAATTACGTTTCCTAATATGGAACAAAAAAACAAAAATTAAATGATGTTATATTTTAGTTCTTTGTAGTAAATATTATTAAATTAGTTTTATTTCACAATATATTTGAGTCTGTTAAGAGTGCTTTGAAGTTGTAGTAGTTTGTAGATGATAATGATAATGTATTTTTTTTATATTTAATTAATTAAAAATAATTAGAAGAATTAAAAATTATATAACAGAATTCAATAAATTTCTCTAGGAATTCTGGCTCCTTATATATTCTTTCCCTGGCATAATACTACATGAAGCTATGCTACCGGAAGCGTGTAATGTTCCTTAACTAACGGCGATTTAAAAGTTATTTTGGAACTGGCATTATTGTTGTTATTCTTCCATTGTTGGTTGCATTTTTCCTTTTCAGATTTATTTTTTCTTTTTTCTTATTTTTGCCGCTTAACATACGGAGTCAAACTTGTCTTTTTTTTTTTCTTAGAGGGTTATTCTTAGTATAAGTCTTGGTAACCATGGTTTGTTTTCTTGTCTATTTGTCTAGACTTCCAATTACAATGGATGGCATCGAGTAGTGCCTCCGGTCAACATGAATCTATTATACAACCTACTTTTCATATGAAAGTACCTTGCTAGTAGCAAGGAATTAGAATGAACCCTCATGGGCACGGCAAAATTTTTCCAGATTTCGAAAGGCGCAAAAACTAAAAAAAAACCATAGAAAATACTGGAACAACTCACAAAACTACTACGGTTTGCTTTTATTTGCTCGTACCATGTGGTAACCATGCTTGTTTGATCATATTATAAGGCTCATGCATGTTGCAGACCCCTTTGGGATGTAATGGAATGCCTTTCGCAAGTGGAACGTTTTTATATGGCCCTTTCATGGTAAGGCAAGGTAAGGCAAACCCGGTAAGGTAAAGGATCATCATGTACCAGGCCACTAAATAGTTTATTTGGTAACCCTTTGAATGATTTAACAAATCGGGACTTAAATCCATTTTTAATTTTTATTACGGATAATTGCAACTACAGTGAATACAAAGGCCTTTGTAATTAAGACAATGCTCATCTATAACAATGTAGATCTGTTTCATGAGGCATTTGTGATTATATTTTGTTCAAAGCGATTGTTATGGCATATGTTGGTGCCTTATAGTCAAAGGTTGAATAACCATAGCAAAGTTGAACTCTGTATTCGTAAGGCACTTGTATGTACTGTATAAAGGAATGTAGCCAAGAATGGTTAGGTCATATCCGTATGGAAGAGAGGACTTCTGTTTATGGTAATGTAATTCAAGGCTATGCTATTGTCTGTTTAGTGTTCATATTGACTGTAACAGAACTTTATAGAATGTATAACCGTATTCGCCTGTACCGGCGGAATCAATGGAACGGGCCAGTATATTTACATAGAGATGAATTCCAGTATAAGCCACTTCACTCTTACAATAAATACGTAAATCGGCCCTACATATTACATCTGTAAATTTAAAGTCGGTGAGCCATTTGGTCGGAGGGAGTCTAAAAATCGAACTACTAAATATTACGTAGAAGTGCATAATTTAAGATTCCAACCATAATAGGAGATCAGTTTAGGGACAGATTCAGAATTAAAAGATGGCATTCTGACCATGGGATTGGCTCCGGTGCTTATGTAATTCTTGTCCTATAATGGTACGGCACTTGCCATAAAGAAGTAAAAGAAGTAACAGGCGACGATGCAATGTGTCAAATTTTTATTGAATGTTGCATTACCCTAATCGAGTATCTCGGCCGAGTCCTGCAATATTGCGCTACTTTAATTTCCTTATACTTTTGTTAGTGGATTTGATAAATGGATGACTGGGGATACATATTTGAATTACTTTATACAGTATCATCTCCGTAAGTTGTAGTACCGTTACAGGTGTTTTTTGTTAAGCGTAATTTGTTCAATAATTTGCTGCGAAATTAGAATTAATCTCAGAGAAATTATATTTATATACTGAGCATTTACTATATTGGCAACTGTAACCTCAATCCAAAAGCCCATATTTGTAGTAAACCAATACTGCAGTAAAGAATGCATGTCATATCCCACTGGTGTATGATAATATCATTCACATAGTAAACACCTGGTTTCTGTTGGTACTAAATTGCACTGCATCACTTTGCTATGATTTCGCTACAAACTACCATTAGCAATAACTAGTGACTGCCACTATAAACATCCTTATATACACTCGTGAACAAACTCCTATATAAACTCCTATATGTAAACCCCTATATAAACTCCTATATAAACTCCTATATAAATTCCTAGAGTTACTCCTAGAAATATGCCTAGAAAAGCTCATAGTCGTAAACCATTAGTACAATCACTACACGACATGATCTGTTTATATTTGTTCCAGAAGTGGTACGACTGCACACACGCCTTTTTTTTTCTCGATTACACGAAGGAAACTATTCACATTCTGTTCTGTTAATCAATATGATCCAACTGTAAAACCAGTTCATATATAAATTCTTTTACCAGTTGTATTGGGAATTTAAGTATTAAAGTCAGTACTTAAACAATACTCAATCCCATGTCCGACGAGAAGTATCAGTCGAATTATCCTAATTCGCATTATTTGGCGAATATCAACAATCCCAACCTGACGAATCAAAAGATCAACTTGAATAGACTCCCTACTCTAGGAGAAATACTAGCTAATAAAACTAAGAAACCAGTTGATTTATATACGTTCTATACGTTTATGCGAGATGTGGAGAACAAATCAGACTATTTGGACTTTTGGTTTGATTTAATAAATCATCTTAATTTATGTAAACATTATGTTCAAGGTTTAAGAGATTCCATTATCCGACAATCAACAGCTGCTGATACAACTACACCTACTCCTGGTGTCAATAGAACGACTAGTACGGCTCGTGACTCGATGCCTATACTGGAAAAGTCAAAGCATAGATCTTTAAGTTCATCTATATTATTGGATTTAATTGTTAGTGATAATATATTGGAAGATAATGATTCTAATAGATTATCACAATTCTTAAGAGGTGATATCAATTTGGATAATGTTGATCCCAAATTGAAAGATTTAATTCAACAATACGAACTGCAGTATCCTAGTCAACATCAACGTCATAGCTCAGGAGGAGATATTTCAGTATCCAAAAGATCAACAAGTCTCAGATATTCACCTAAATTACCATTTGCTCCTCCAATGTCTCCCAATACAGACAAAAGAATAAGTTCCCAATCGGGATTATTGCATGATGATGATAATGAAGGTAACGACACCACGGACTCCCTTGTAGACAACCAATTAGATATTGGAGAAGCAGATCGTGCCATGAGTCCTACCAAATATATTTCCTTACAAGCCAATCAAGCGTTTGGAATAGATGATAGCGATGATAATCGAAGATCAGTATTGAATCCTTCATTATTAGAAAGACTAATTAAAGAATCACCTGCATCAACTGCCAATAACTCATTTATCACTAGAGACAATTTAAGAGAATCAACTCATAATTTATTATTAAAATATTTCGTAGAAGATTCAGAAAAGAATTTGAATTTACCATATAATTTAAATAATCATATCATTAAATCTATCGAAGTAGATGGTAGAGATGATCCAGATATTTTCAATAATGTTAAGAACTTTGTTTTCAGTAAAATTGAAAATGAACATTTACCTAAATTCTTAAACTTTATGGCCATTAGAAATATCAACCATTCTAATTTCTTTCGTATATTTCTTGGATTTATTCTATTATTTGGAGCCTTTTGGATTAGTTATATCTTTGTATTCTTAGACTATAGGAAAACTTTAAGGCCAGTCATTATAGCTCCATATTTTATTGCATTTTATTGTTTAGTATCATCAATTTATTTAATAGATCCAATCTTAGTATGGTTAGGATTTAGTGAATCATTTTCGAATTCAAATAATCGATCATTAATTAAAATAGAAGATAAGTTCATATATAAATTATTGACTAAAAGAAGTTTATGGGTATTATTTTTAATATTATTATTTACGGCCATATGGACAATTGTATTTAGTTTAGTTCCCGGTCATAGACTTTAATTAATTCTAAAATTTTTTTAATACAAATGGATTATTGCTTTATAATTATAACCATATATAATATATAAACAAGAAAATGGAGTAGTTTGAACACATTATTAAATAAATAATAGGAACAAATCTAGTGGTGGGAGATAACTAATATGACAAAAGGAATTTATTATTAATTTATATGATATTATATATTCATAAGTCAACTAAAGAATTTAGTTTTCAGCAAATAAAGCATCTTTCTTTTCGGCAATTCTTTGTTGTCTTCTGGCACGAGCTTCTCTGTTTCTTAATCTTCTAGCTTCAGCTTCTTCCTTAAGAGCCTTTTCACGTAAAGCTTCAGCCTTAGCAGCAATGATGTGTTCGACTAAAGATCTCTTGTGTTTGAAGGTGTTACCCTTAGCGGACTTGTATAAGGAGTGGTATAAGTGCTTATCAATCTTACCAGCATCTCTGTATTTAGCTAATAATCTTCTTAAGACTCTTAATCTTCTCATCCATAAAACTTGAGATGGCATACGAGCATCCTTGGTACCCTTTCTCTTACCGTAACCCATGTGTCTACCAGCTCTCTTAGATTCTAATAAAGCTCTAGCTCTAGATCTAGAGTGGACAGTGTCTGGCTTCTTGACAATGGTACCATTGTTGTATAATTTTCTAATGGCAGCTCTGGAGTTGGCATTAGCAATTTCAGTGGTTTCATTAGGATCTAACCAGATCTTTCTCTTACCAACACCAACAACACTGGCAGCAAGTCTTTTTTGAGTTCTAAGATTAGCCCTATAAAATTAGTTAGTATAAAATTCTTACAATTTAGTGGTTTTATAATTATGATGGATAAAGATATTTCTATTCGATCTAGATTTTGGTTGATTCATTTGAAAATCAGTCTAATGATTAGTTTCATAGATATGTAGTTGAATATAATGGAATGGATTATTTCGAGTCATTAAAGCTCGGTAGTAGATTTGACATCTGATTGAATACTTAGTGAAAACTTTTGGACGAATAGTGAAATTTGACTTGTGATGAACGTATGATTACTACAATTTCCAAGTCTTTGAATTGACTACATCCACTACTTTCATCAATATTCACAGTCTATTAGTTATTTCCTGAACTTTTCTTAATGGTTGGTTTATGGGATCTGAGATGGACTGTTAATGAATAATACTTCTTGACAGACTTCCACACTATCTGTCAATTACTCAAACTTTCAACACTTCATTCCAAACTTCTAGACGAATTTATACACTTTCCAATCATCTTAACATAGTTATAACATACATTTTAACTTAATGTGTTCGATACTATCTGAAGAGAAAAGGTTCCAAATTGAAATTGTTTAAATTTTTTTTAACCAAAGAGAATTTTTTCCTCACTCTGACCGCACACTATTGTTAGTGGGTGAATTTTGGGTGCGGGAAGGATTTTTGTCAAAGTGCGTGGGACGTTAAGTATTGCGGTATAGGTTTGTTTCTCTAACGGACATGCATCATGTGACATAATGTTTATTTCAGGGTACAACCCTAATGAACGGCACGTGAGTCTCACTTTTACTTACAGACAACCGTTAACTATGGGGAGCCCGAGATGAGATATCAAGTGAAAAATTAACTGTCTACCTAATAAAGTAACTTATAGCGTTATCCATAGTACTACTATCGACATATATAATAAACAATGGCCAAATCATTGAGATCCAAGTCTAAGTTAAAGGCTAAGTCAGTCAAGCGTGGAGGTGTTTTTGCCAATTTTGTTGACAACAGAAATGAGAGATTAGCTAAGAAGATGAAGGAACATACTGCAAAGCAAGAAGAAGCTAAGAAGAGTACTGAACAAGAAGATGGTGATGCCATTATTACTACTACTAGTGAAGAATCAGACAAGAAAATTAGTACTTCTGGATGGAGAGATTCTAGAAAGCAAATCTATAAGAAGAAGCAAATCAAGAATAAGAAGAGTAAGACCATGAAGTTTTAGTCTGATCATAAAACTCTATTGCATGTTGCATCATATACATACATACATACTTTGTCACATTCATTCATTCATTGCATTCCTATTTCCAACTATTCCCATTGTATATTAGACTTTCCACATTTTGTTTTTAAAGGGTTCTATTATTATGTTTAGTTCAATTAACCAATTATTTACTAATTATTTACTAATTATTTATTTATCATTCTTTCAAATTGCATTCATTTTCTTAAAAGTACAAGTACTCATAAATACTTATGATTAAATACAAACAACATTATATATATCTATTTCTTTAACTTTGTACTCAAATACTCTTCGTATCCAATATCTTCTAATACTTCAGCTTTATCCAATACTTCATTTTCCATATTGATCATGTAATTTTGCATTTCTTGTAACCATTTAGCATCATAGGCTCCTAGTATTCTAATGGCTAATAATGCAGCATTAGTACTATTATTAATAGCAACAGTTGCTACTGGAATACCTCTAGGCATTTGAACAATAGAATGTAATGAATCAACTCCATCTAATGTTGAACCCTTTACAGGAACTCCAATAACTGGTAATGGAGTCATAGCAGCAACCATACCTGGTAAATGAGCTGCTCCACCTGCACCAGCAATTATAACTTTTAAACCTCTTTTTGCTGCCTCATTAGCATACTGAGACATTCTTTGTGGAGTTCTATGAGCACTAACAATAGTTAATTCAAATGGAACACCAAATTTCTTTAAAATATTAGCACCAACTGACATAACTGGTAAATCAGAATCAGATCCCATAATTATTCCTACTAATGGAGTTTCTACTGGTCTTACTAATTCAATTGGAGGTAATGATTGACCCTTTGATAAATATGATTCATCATTTAAGATATATGCTAATCTAGTTTGACAATCTTCAATGGATGAAGATACAATATTAATATGACCCATTTTTCTATCAGGTCTAGTAGTCTTACCATATAAATAAACTGTAGCATGAGGAGTTTCCAAAGCACGACGACAAATTTGTAATTCAGCATCAGGAACATTTCTATCACCCAAAATATTCAACATAATTGAATTAGTTGAAGTGGTTGAGAATTCCGTAAATCCCTTAGGCATTGGTAAACCAGCAACCGCTCTAACATGAGCTTCAAATTGAGAAGTAATACAAGCATCAATAGTATAATGACCAGAATTATGAGGTCTTGGAGCAATTTCATTAACTAACAATTCATTATTTGGTAATAAGAACATTTCAACCCCAAAGATTCCACAACCTGGGAAAGATTTAACGGCATTTTTAGCTAATAAAGATGCCTTTTCTGCAAGAGTAGGGATGACTCTAGCTGGAGCATATACAAGGTGACAAATATTATTTTGATGAATGGTTTCAACCGTTGGATAACTATAGACTTCACCATCTAAAGATCTAACCACCATTACAGCCAATTCTTTAGTGAATGGACACCATTTTTCTGCATATAAAGGTCGATCCTTTAAGAATTCAAGAGCTTCATCAACATAATCCTTAGTCTTAACCACAAAATTTCCTCTACCATCATAAGCAAGAGTTCTTGATTTTAACATATAAGGATAACCAAACTTTTCTCCAATACTAAGTAACTCATCCTTAGAATTATTGACTAAGGCAACAGACTCAGCCACAGCTATACCGTGTTGTATGAAATGTTCCTTTTGTAAATACTTATCCTGAATTAATTTAATAGTCTCCGGTAATGGATAAATCTCAATATGAGGAAACTTGGCCTTAACTTTCTTTAAAGCTTCTACATCCACATGTTCAATTTCTACGGTTAACACATCGGCCTTTTCTGCCAATTTCACTATGGATTCATACTCGGTGAATGATCCATCCACATGTTGTCCAATAGCATTAATTTGTTTAGCCGGTGAATTGGGCGCATCTAAGATAACCGTGTTAATATTTAATCGGTTGGCGGCTTCAACAACCATACGGCCTAATTGGCCTCCTCCTAAGATTCCAATGGTCTTGCTATCCATATTTGGCTATGTTTACGTGCACGTGTATGTGTATGTGTACCTGGTACTGGTTCTATAAGTACTGAACAACTACTTACTGGTGGATTAGACAGTAGTTAACAGTGATAAGATGAGCATCTCCAGAGTCATCAGATGCGGGTGGTCTAGTGAAAAATAATTATTTTTCAGATATTTTTGACTTCGGCAGTACATGCAGGTTCAACATATATCCATGTCGTATGTCGTATCTGGTATCTGGTATCTGGACGCGCTACCAAACACCAGGTCTACAGTATGATATTAAACAAACAAACAATTTATAAAATGAAACTATATACGAAGTGAATATTAACAAAGTCTATTGATTGCCAAAGTCATGCATATAACCGTCGTGTGCATATCCCGCAAGACTGTACTCCAGTTGGCCGACAGAAGGCGCAGACATCACACCTATGTCTAAATTAATGCTCAGGTTATTGATCATTCCTGGTTGATTTATGTGTTGTGGCTGTTGCTGGGAGCCATAATAAGGGCCTGGGTTCATCGGTCCTCGAGCTGATGTGTTGTTCTGGGGACTTACCACAGAAGTGGGTGTCTGGGAGGGATATTGTACAAAGTGTTGTTGAGGATGTGGGCCTTCAAAGCTGCTGCTAGTGGGATTGGGATTGGCACTGTTATTGGTATTAGTGTTGTTGGTATTGTTACTGTTATTGTTACTGTTGCTGTTGCCACTACCATGTTGCTGTTGTTGCTGCAACTGTTGGAACTTCCTTTGAACATTCATTTGACTCAAATCCACAAAGGAACCACTTGACTGTACACCAGCAGTAGTCGTTGTAGAAGGCGTGGGATACATGTGGGTTGCATTACTACTGTTGACATCAAAGTGGGGATGATCGAAGATCTGCGACGAAGGTTCAGAATACGAAGTTATCAAGGCTGTTGCAGGGCCCTGTTGAGACAAGAATGGTTGATGGGTTGACGACATTGGATAGCCTATGACTTGGCTTACAATGTTATCATTTGAACTTTCAATAGTTGGCAGAGTGGGCAAGATCAATTTGGTGGTAGTAGTTAAAGCTTCCTTAATATCAGTGACATGAGCAAATTCCCAAAGCATTATCAACTTTATTTTCAGTTTAGAGACTTTGTTATTTGTATCGGAACTAAGTTGATTGACTGAATCGTCCGATTCATAAATGATTTGCTTTATAGTCATGCCTTTAAATGCCATATTTATCTCATTCATATCTTTACTATTCAAGTTAGATAAGAAGAACTTCCAGAATTTAGTTAAGAAAGAGTGATCCTCATTGAATTTAAAGTCATCTTCATTGAAGGTTAACACTTGTTTGCCAAATGAATAAATGCTAGTATAAAGAGAATATGAATATGGTCTAACATTTGGAGAGTTAGTAATGTCATCACATTTCAAATTGAAGTTAGCTTTAAATCCCAAGTCATAATTATAATTCGATGATATATTATCGGGATAAACCAACTTGACCATATTGTGGAATATTGGGATATTGGTACAGTTTTGAAATTCCATTAATCCTGGAAATCTAACGGATATATTTGAATTCTGTTTGATCCGTTTAATTTGTTGAGGAATGGATGTACAAGAGGAGATTGGTGATGAAGAGTCTTGTAAAGTGAAGACAATGGGATTTGAATAGAAAGTATCATAGATAGACATGAAGAAGCTTTCAAATTTGATGTCTAATGGTGTTGACATTGACATGGGGAGTCTCTTTCTCTTAAACACTCTTCTACTGGAATCATCATAACTTCTTGATACTTTTTCTCCATTTATGATTACTGAACTATCAGAGACAACAGTGGCATTATCAGTATTATTGAAACCTAATGATTTACTTAAGTTAATGTTAGAAAAGATTTCTTCAAACTTTCTATTACATTCATCTTGTTCAGCAGCAGTTTCAAAGGTAGGACCCTTATTAATCAATTTGATAATATCCAATTTCTGTCCAAGATTCTTTATAACTTGAATATGGGAACTGACTTGTTTCCTTGATCTGAATTTTCCTGTTTTGGTATAAATATAATCACTTATTAATTCATTTCTACCACATGATCTTCCACTTATTTTAATTTTGTTTAGGCCATTCTTGGGGATTATTCGTAATACTTCTTCAAATGCTTGTTCTACATCATCCGACCAAATATCATTGTCCTGAGGGGCCTTTTGTGGGAAATTAGGAGAATTATTATTGTTCGTACTTGAATTACTGAAGCTGTTATTATTACTGTAAGATGCATCTTCAGACTTATAATTAGGATACATAGCTTCACCACCATTATTAAGTGAATTCCCACTAATCATATTATAGTTGGAGATGGCAGATGAGCTGGGAGATATTGTACCTAACGTTCTATGAGTTGGAGTTCGAAGTACATCATGATCGAGTGATGTATCTTCTTCTTTAATAATGAAATCATGATCGGTAGTGCCTGCATAGGATTGAGTTGATTTAGAGGAGGAAGCCGAGAATGTGGTTGACCTAGGCATTTCCTTTCTAACTAACTTGGAAGATTCATGAACTTGATATAATTGATTACCATTATCATCGATAGCAACATCCACTATTAAGGGAAGTTTTTTATTATTATTATTATTGTTATGATGATGATTAAGATTATGATTATGATTATGATGATGACTCATATTGTATATATTTCTTAACGGAGTACTTGCTGGAGTATGCTGTTGAGCCATCATATTTTTAAAAGATGTGAATGGGGTTGACGTCCTTTTTTTTTATTTTTTTATTATGGATCGTACTAATGACTTGGGAGGGTCAAATATGTTTGCAATGGATATAGCAAAGGAGTTGGGGAATTATAATGAGTGGATGGATTGAGTACCGTTAGTAAATCTTCGTCTGCTATACAAATCTATGATAGTAGAACAGTAGCAAGTAAAGGATTGAAGGGAGTATTAACGATTTGTATCAACAATGTTAAAAATTAAATGTAAATAATTTCCGTTTTTTGTCTGCAGGATTCAGGTACCAAAACAAAAAAATAAACAATCAAAAATATTATATATCACAAAATTAAAAGGGGTACTTTTTTTGATGTTTTGGGGATTTGGTTCGAATGGCTCGAATTTAAATGAGGAAGTCGTCGGTGTTATGAGAGACACTAGAACGATCAAGTTAGATTAGCGGGGAATTGACAGGATCGATTTGAATTAAACTGAAACAAATTTGATTGTTTAATGCAAGACTAGGCTGTGTAGTGAGATTAAATGTATTGTATTTTTTAAAGTTTGGTAGTTTGGTAGTATAAATATCACGATAATATTTACACCCTTATACTTTTTTTAATAGTTAGTGGGTTTAAACTACTTTCTTCGACTTGGTCTTTTCCTGTTACTAACTATGATGAGTAAGACTATTTTCTCTGAAGTCTGGACTCTTTCCCTTTATGGAAGTGGAATTCTTTCTCCGAGTTCAGCCGCCGGTGCCGCTTAAAGCAAAAAAATGTCTAGAATGCAGTCACGAGTTAAACGAGTGAAAAAAAGTTGCTTCTATTTGTATGGAGTGAGAATGTATCAGTGTTCTCGCTTCGGGAAGGTCTGTCCTGTACACAGTCTCACCGCAATTAGTTGCTTATTTTGAAAAATTAGTTAGTTAATTAGAATAATTATCAAAACTTCGTTTTCAATGCTTACCAGCGTTATATATATTTCTAACTTGAGTATGAGTGATGCAATTTTCGGCTTTGCTTGCTGGCAATTCTTCAACTATATATTTTCTTGATTTTAGTGTTTTTTTTCTTCTCTGAACTTTTGTATCTCAAACAGCTGCTAATGCAATGGAGTTCCGTTAGAAATGAAATATCGCCTATATGACTCAAAGATACTTCTAATACCCACGGCAGTTTGATTCAAATAACAATGCAATAAAACAGAACCACTTTAACCTTCTTTTACGAGTAATAAAACAGAACCACTTTAACCTTCTTTTGTATTCCTTCGGTTGCGTTATGAGATGTGGAGAAACGCAGATTGAATAAATGAACAAAGGAATAAATGAATAAATGAATAAATTGATTCAAGTCCGAGTAATATGCCGTATGAGGATCAACTTGAATTTGGTGGCTTTGTAGCAATTGAATATGAGTTAGTTTAGTTGAGTAATGCGAATGATACTAATACTAATAGATTACTAACAAGACTTTGTTTGTACTAGTGTCCTATTTATTTATTTGAAAAATGTTATAAAGCTTAACCTTATCTAAAAGGATACTACTTAAAGTTATTGCAAAGGTACGTAATTGAAAAAGAGGGGGATACCAATGCTTTTAAATAGTTTGTAATCAACAGATCTTCAAATGCTTAATTTCTTAAATTTGCTAGCATTTATGTACCTTTATTTATTATTTTCTATTAATGTTATTCTATTTATATTATTCATTTCTGTTCACGATACCGATTCTGATGCTGCAGCTGAAGTATTCTTTCCTGCTTATTCCTTCATGCATCAGACATTTTTCGTCTATTAAAGACGCTCCCTCATTTTCATACAATTATTTCATTTTGTTTGCATACATACGTAAATACCTACATGCATAATTAGTTTGAGATTCCTTGCATCTTTGTTCAATTCTGCCGTCTTTCTGTCTGCCTTATTTTTTTAAATTTTTTGTCTTTCTTAAAAGAGTACCTCAACCCTAGACTGTATGGAGATGCCCCAGAAAACTTATTGTTGCTTCACCTCACCTAAACTATACCAAACAACAATAAAAGTCTCTGCAGCAATTGTTTATTGATTTTCCGTCGAGAATCCGCAGTATGTTCTTAGTAAAACTGATTAATCAATTCGGCCCAAGCCAAATTAAGTAACATCTACGATCAAGAAAATAAACCTTAGAGGGAAGAGAATATTAAAGTGAAATCGGCTCAACTGGAGAATAGAAAGATGGTCTTTGTCAACTTGTTACTCAAAAATAACTCTATTTTCTCAAAAAAATAAATTTAGTATGCGAAATTCATCCATAAACTCTCTCATAGAACCTCCGTGGCGTATTATACCTTTTTTTGGAATATTTATGCTGAATAATGTACTGTCGATTAATTTTACTAAAGCCAAAATTACGTCCTACCTTTTTGCTTATTTGTGGTATGTTTTAAGAAAGGTAGGTGATATCTCGCAGAAGTACGTAACTTCGGATAGACAAGCATTTGAATTCCCCACTCTTTTATAAACTAAAACAAATAATAAAATTAATTGAAAATAACTGAATGGAACAGTTTACTGAAGAGTAATATTTTAACTATATGTTTCCATAAAGGCACTAAGCTCAAATTCTAGCGAGACAACGGTAAAAAATTATTTGAAAATAAAAACCAAGCAGCTAACCTGGAACATCTTTTTTCTTGTCTCAAAATAAGAGATTTTTGTCTGATTTACTCTTAGAAATGTTAAATATTCTAATTTGTCTTGTCCAGTTTTGGTCGTTTCCATACATGCCATTAGTTTCTAATACACGTCATGAAACAATTTACTTCAGTCACTTGACCAATGCAACCTTAGCGACTGCGTAAAAGGATCGACCGCGGAGTCCAGAACTACACTTAATGAGATAGGCCGACATTATTTGAAGCACCTATAACGCCCAACATGAGTCCTGTAACGGTATCTATGCATTATTTTTCTACTTTGTATCACAACAATGTACATATACTTAGCAGTAGACATTTCGAATCCACAGAATTTGATTCTATTGCATCACTTGTTTTCCGTAATTCTAAATGAAACTAAAACTTCTACAGCATCGTATTTATCTATCCTCTAGTCTCTATTTCATGCTTTAGAGATTTAATCTTCTTCAATAGCTATTAGAAAGCCATTGACATGAAAAATGCTTGGAAACCAAATTCTCATATCTCTCTCTTGGTAATTAGATCGTTTGAAAACAGTATTCAGATCAGTTACTCCAAAATCGAAACTACGTCTTCCATGTAACCTTTCTGTCATGGAATAAAACATACGTATTTCAGTAGGTGCATAACTGCATATTTGAACCCTTACGTGTGCTATGTTACCACACAGTTGTATTACGGCTTTTAGATAACTAATTATGAATCTATTTCCAGTTTTATATTTGAATGGACTTTAGACCCTTCTTTTTTTGAATTGTGAACATCATCTTAATACACTGAAGGAAGTATAGCAAAATTAGTAACGACCTCTTGCAACCGTTACGTAAATTTTTGAAAGATGAACTAGAGCAAGTTTTATCTCTTTCTAATACCAATAGTCTAATTATTCAGAATTACACGGCGGTTGCAATTTCAGTCAAACCACACGGCTTTTTAATATTATTTTCTAATGCTATGCGTTTTATTCATTGATCTATTGTTGAAATTGATGGAGTAGAAAATAATCCCAGAATTTCAGATTAATTCTAGATACCATCTCAAAAGTTTAGGTGCAAAACTTATTTTTTGTTTCTCGAGAAAAAAAGGGCTTCGTTACTAATTATTAAAATGATGACTATGAATTTCATAATAGAAGAAGTGAAAACAAAAAAATAAGAATTTTAGTGATATGTTTACATGAAAATAACATGTAGGAACAGTTACTGTTTAAGAACCATAGGAATATAACAGATGCGAGAAATATCAGACATAAGAGATATACATGAATCTAAGTATTTAAGCTTTTGAAGATTTATCTAGCAGCTTCAAACCTGTATACGATTTAACCAAAACATTATCTAATGATGCTTAGTGATATAAGTATGTCTGAGTTGAGACAAAGAGCTCACAGTCCAGTCCAAAATTGCGTCCGAAAATCTACTTATAAAAATAGCGCAGTACATAAAAATATTCGATCGACGTCCCCTTGTCCGTATCATACATAAAAGCGAGCATTACAAACAGACACTAAACTCCTTAAGCGTCATTTTCATAGTGATGCCTATTTCGTAGTGTTAATAGCAATTGTATGTAAATAATGAGTAACCAGTAAATAAATAGCGATCCTAGAGATTCAGAGCTTTTCCAATGATGCATCGAACTTTTTATTTTTCGCTAATTTCAAATTCGGTTATAACTGTGCACTTAATTGTACGAATGAACAACGTAGTATTAAGCATCTATCAATTATTGTTTACCAATTATGGTCATGTCACACTATGAATGTTTTGGGAAATTGTGAGATCATTGTTGTAAGACTCAGGAACAAGTACATTTAACTCCTTTACCTAAGATATGAAATCAAGAAAAGCTAATGCAGGACAATGTTCCCAATTAGAATATTCTAAGCGAAGCAAGGAGGAATATATATTACCCGGGATGCCAAGATGTTTAAAGAACAATGAATTGTTACCTTAAATATTCATTTGAAATTTTTCCATACGGAATAACAGGGTCTAATGTTTCAATATCAGAAGACAAGAGCAACCGAGTATGAAATGTAAACCAATCTAATCGTTATTGATCTTGTACTAGTTGTTTACTTGTTTGCTGTATTCCTTGTTTGTATCCCTGTTCCGTAAACTGAACTTCATGTGGATATATGCAATGCAGAGCCTCTAAAAGAAATTGGACTAAATGCCAAAAAGCTAAAATGCCAAAAAAAAATGCCAAAATATTAAAATCAGACATTTTGTCAGAGAATGCCAATTATGGTCGGTAAATTAAAATCAAATTCCTTACTTCATTTCTTTCTTTCATCGTTAGTCTTATCAAGAGACTTTATTTACCCCTTTTCACGGTATCTCTTAGCCCGACCTTTTTAAATTTACGATTCCTCTAAAGTTACTATAATACATATATTAAATATATAGATGAGTAAACGATCGTGGCTTCCCAATTGAGTCGAGTAAAACTAATGATCATTCAAGTTTACTTATTGTCCTAAAACACTTTTTGTGATGCATCCTATACGTGTTACTCGCCAATCGAATATTTCATCTAGAATATCTATGAATTGTTCCCGATTCTTGGTAATGTTTATTTTCTATATTTGAAACTACTTTAACCAGCAATTACAACGATTCATTTGAATTATTTCAGACAAAATTCTGGCTATTAAAAAAAATGGAAGAATACTGCCACTGCCACTAATTGTTATTATCAAAACTTCAAGAGGGGAGAGTTAAAATAATATCACCCCTCATAGAAACGTGCAATAACTGTCTTCTTCGTATGCAACAAACCGACCTCATCATCTCTATAAAACCTCTAAAAAGTGACTATTGCAGGAATCCAGAAAACATTCTTGCCGATTATACATGAGAAATATGCGCCATGCAACTCCAGTAAAAGTTTAAAATCAAATTAGACGTGCTTAAATTAATGAATTAGATAGTCAAATTAGACGGTTAACCTTTCAAAAATCTTTCAAAGATGAGTTGGTTTTCACTATGATTTGTTAATTCATCTTCAACATCAGTCAAATCTTCAATTTCAATATCTTCATCCTCAATAACAAGTGGTTCATTACCAACAATATTTAAATATTGAAGATTTCTATAATCAACAACTATGTTTTTATTTTGATTACGAGAATTTGATAAATTGCTTCTAGACAAAATTTTATTTTCACATTCAAATAAACTAGGCAAATCTCGGTGAAACTCCTTTATCCATTTTTTCATCACTTTAATAATGGTTGCACCCGGTCTATTATCTATTGTAATCAAATGATACAATTGCTCGATGTCTGCTTCAAATTGTTTTACTGAAGTATATTCGTAAGCGTATATTTTGTGCAAAATTTGACTCATTCCAAGTTTACCTGACATCGGCGAATAAGCACTTTCTTTCAAAATAATGTTTTGCTGGCTACCTACATTATACGCAAGTACGTCGTCTGATTCTTGCATATACTTAGAAAGCTTGTTTTGAACAATAATGCCATCAATATTTTCGTTGTTAGTCTGTCTATTCGTATTCCCCCCTTTGAATTTATAATTCTGAATAATTTTGTTATTATCGAACTTGTCATTGAGGGTAGTCAAGAAAGTTTCAATAATCTTTTTAATTGGGAAATATATAGAATCAATCATTTGAAAATCTACTTCATTAAGATTTTGTAGTAGTTGTTGTCTCTCCAAAGTGTAGTTACTTAAACCAATAATCTTTTGCAAATCTTTGACTAATACTTCGGCAAACGTAATTCTATCTTTTATTTCATTTAATTGTATACCATTGGCTAAATCATGATCAATATTCAGGAAAGAATTGCCATCCAATGTATTGTATAGAATTGAATTGGTTGACAATAAGTTATTATTCTTTCGAATTAATGGAGCTCCATTCTTTTGCTCTCTTTTTAAACACCAATAGCGACAAATTTCATTACAAATTTCTCTCATTTCCTCTCTTGTTTCTTGCTTGGATCTATTAGGTAATCTATTTAATCCCTTTACTTGATTATCATTTTGATCAGGTAAGAATACTTGATTCTCTACCTTTAAATCAATCAAAATATTCAATAGTATATCACTAAATAACTTGGGAGCTATAGGTGTGTTTGCTTCAGTTTTCCATTTGAACACATTCAATTTATTAGCATTCTTTTTATTAATACTGAGTTTATCATTTTCTTCATTAAGAATCTTGGTATCTCGATAAAACATTCTTGTCCTATGAATTCCAGTCAACATATCTGAAGAATCATAATCTGGAGGTCCATGTTTATCACAATAGGTCTTCAAAGTAGTCTTGTTGGCAAGTGCTCCTTGAATTCCTTGAGTCATTTCCATATAAAGTCCAGCTCTTCTAGCACAAGTAGCATGATAAGCTTGAAAACAATTTCTATTAATGCATTGAATACAAGCTCCTACTCGTTGTTTACAAATATAACATGACAATTTCCATCTACTCTTGGGGATTAAATCCATACCTTCAATTGGTTCCATATAGATGGGATTAGCAAAGTACAATTCATTAATCCAAAGACCACAGATAACATGACTCCAGAGACTGTTATCTAATTGTTTAAATGCTCCTGTTTTACTAGGACAGAATACACAATCAGTCTTTCTATTCTTATTTATCATACACTTACGACATAACCATTGACCTTCAGGAATAAAGGCAATCCCATAACATTCTTGATGAACGGCTATATCACATCCATCACAAAATACAATGGCATTTGAATTATCACAATCACTATCATTACATACCGCACATTTCTGATCATAAATAGATCCAGGAATTATCCCATCATCACTGCCATACTTTTCAATATTTCTTTCCAATGATAATAATTTATTAGGATCATCAGAATCCATATCTGCCATACTATTCATTATCGAATTCATTTTATGATCCAATTTATCCCATTCTATTTCCAAAGTTGTCATCATGATTTCAAATACTTCTGGATATATCTTTATGATATTCTTTGAACTTTCATTTCTTGCCTTTAAATAAACATAGTCCTGTTCATCCATATCGTATTCTACCAATCGTTGTTTCTTTTCAAGGAAATTCTCTATAGTTTCTGGCACTATATTCGAAGATACTTGAAAGGGTCGAAGATATGAATCAGTAGAAATAGTTGGTTTAGATTTACTTGGTACTTGATATCCATAATCAGTAATGGCTTTATTAAATTTGATATTAGCCGATGTTGTTGCTGGTAGTTCAAGTTTCTTGAACACGGGCTTTTTCAAATCAATATTGTAACTATAATTTGAGCCTGTATTGTTGATGAGATTGTCGGTATTATTATCCTCTTGATCTCGTAGTACGAATACATTCAATTGACTATGATCATCGAGATCGGGATATATCTCTTTGAAATCCCGCTCTTCTCTGGGCTTGGAATGATTATCAAACACCACTACTGGTGCATGTGCTTGCTTGGCGTCTACAATAGACTTGCTTGCCGTATATGCGTCACTTCCATTCATTAATCCTGAGATCATCTAGTAAGGGTAACCCCAATAAATGCAAATCAGTGCAGGGCACTATCGCGTCTTAATAATATAACTAACTATTCCGTGGAGTTGTTCACCACTTTTTTGTCGGTTACAGCTTTCACAATTCAATCTAGTATCCCGACAATTACTTCACAATAGTTAAGATATCTTTGTCCAGGTCTTATCTGTGTACTCCACCAATGCCTGTTTGCTGATTATTGACCGATTCCTTCGAATACTTTTTGTCTGTTATTTTTATTTTTATTTTTATTTTTATTTTTTTTCTTTTTCTTATCAAATTTTGTGTCATTAGCGTTCGGTGTCGGTGTCGGTGTCTGATCGTAATCCGCACCCTTTCAGTGTGGCATCAATCGCTAAAATATTTTAGAGTTTGCAGCAATCTACATTTTTACAGCAGTAAATCAATAACGTCTATAAATTATTTTATAAATAGAATGTCGGTGCATCGTCATGAGGTGCTATATTTTCAACATGTTCAAATTGGTTGTTTTCTGTTTGATTAAGAAACATCATAAAGTTTTCAACAGAACCGTTTCTAGATCCTGGTGCCGACAGTACTGGTGTACTGAATCGAGAAACTGAATCAGGAGAGAGACAGCGTGCACCTTCAAGTGCTGATTCTACCTCTGAAAAAGATAATGATACAATAGACGATATAGATTTAGACAGGGCACTAGTCATTGTCTTAGTATGTGATAATACAGATGATGAATGAGACAAGCTTCCCTTAGTACTGGTACTTACTCTCATCCCACTAGGATATCTACTGGGGATTTGTAGAAGTTGTGTTTGTGAGGTTGGTTGAGTTCCAATCCGCTGAATATGAGAGTTTAATTTCCTACTCACACCGTCTAATGTTGCACTGGTAGAAACCTTGCTACGAGGCATAGCTGACTTCAAGAATGGCGACTCCAATAATTGAGCTGCTGTTGGACGATTATCTGGATCGACCACGAAACAACTGTCTATAAAATCTTTAGTACTCTGAGATATATGACTCCAATAACTGGCAGGTTCATAACTATAATCACCTTTCTGTATAGCTTCCTTTGTTTCATCATCAGTCTCGCAGTCAAATGGCATATAACCGCAACACATAAAATATACTAGAACTCCAATAGCCCAAACATCAACTGGAAGGCTATGACCTTTATACTTATCAAAATATTCAGGAGCCATATAACTTAAAGTTCCTGCCAACTCATGGATCTTAGAAGTAGGAGGCTCTACTTTCCGAGCGAAACCGAAATCAACAAGCAATAATTTAGATGATATTGATAATGTGAGCTCACGGTTGGGTTGTATAAGGATATTTTCAGCCTTGATATCTCGATGAACAATATTCTTTGAATGTAAATATACGACGGCTGACACCAAAGTATAAGTTATTGCCTTAACTTCATCTTCTTCTAAATGTGATCTTTCGGCAATACGATCGAATAATTCGCCACCTCTGGCTAAATCTGTTATCAAGTACAAGCTTTCAGGAGTTTCAAAGTAATCAACCAAACTAAGGACATTAGGGTGTCCATGTGAAACCTTCTTTAAAGTATCGAACTCATTTTGTAGCATCGATTCATATCCCCATACTGTACGTTTGTTATATAATTTTGCCGCATAATGCTTACCAGTTACCGTACTCTTACATTCATGAACTGACGAAAAAGTTCCATCACCCAACTTACGATTGGAAATCACATACTTGCACGGTATATCGAAGATTTTATTAAAAGCATAAGCTGTAGTTACAGGAAGTGCAGGGGGAGGCCAAACTACTGGCAGTGGATCTGTCGTACGACTTTCACTATCACTAGGTAATAAGATAGAAGCAATCATAATTATATATTAGATTTAACACTTATCATATACTAAATTACTTGTAATCAATAAATTATTAAATATAACGAATACCACGAAAAGTTATGATTTTTAAACCCATTTTAAAACCTTTTACAACAATGAGAAATGTGGTGTGTTTGAAAATTAAGCTTATATCAGGAAAAACGCAATTATCTTCTCCTGCATCACCAGATCCGCAGCATTAGTGTTGGTTGCACAAATAATTTTTCCGAATCTGGTGCTTTTTTTATATTGTGCAGACTACATCTACATATACAGTTTGCGGATAATTTTTAATATAATACGATACGGAATTATAATTATAGCGACATAATAAATATAGAATAAAAAGGGGATATAAGCATTCATTCATGGAGGTTAACAAAGGATGCCGAAACAGTTAACGTCAAATAAAAATAAAAATAAGTACAAGAAAAAGTATATATACATATGCATTTTTTTCAGCATATTTTGAATGTTGAAAATCATAACAACATAATAATTATAATAATAAGAATAAGAATAAGAATAAGAATAATAATAAGAATAATAATAATATCACGGTTTTACTTTTGAGGTGTCTTTTTGACATGATTTTCGTTATCTTTTTAAAACTTAATAAGTTAATTTTAATCTAAACCTAGTCGTCGTCATGATATGAACAGAAAATGAATTGAAAACGAAATAACAAAACGGGAAACAAAATTGAACAGGAGGCATAATACAAATCAAAAAGGCAATATAAAGAATAATTAATAATCAATAATTAATAATTAGTAATTATTTAATTATTTAATTCATTTCAAAAGATCACTAATATTGTTCAAAACTTTCAAAGCTTCTTGAGCATCCTTACCATTGTCCGTAGTTGATACATAATCAACTATAGTTTGTGTGAATTGTTTGATTGAGTCTAACTTTTCTTGTTGAAGTTGTGATTGAGCGAGTGCAACCTTTTTACGATGCCTCTTTATAGAATTTGAAAGATCTACTAAAAGAAGATCATTCAAAGACAGTATTTGATTTTCATAATTTCGTATTGATGTGGAAGCAAGATTAACTAATACTTGCAAAGATTTAGAATAAATACTTAATGGTGACGTAGAATTCAATGATGTTTTTGATGAATCAACTACTGAAGATAATTCAAACATTAATGAATCCAATTTGGAATATACTTCATTTTGATGAGCAGTAACTGAGCTTTGAAATGACAGTTGCAGTTGAAATATGTCTTCAAAGTTAGTGGCTTCAGCTATTTCACGTAAGTTAGAATAGGACAGCTTACGTTCATCCTTAGGAGGAAGATTAACTGGTGTAGGATCTACACTAGTTACAGGACTAGATGATGATGATGGATCTACTGTAACTTGGTCTATTACATTTCTTGATTGATGATCGGAAACGTGTCCCTCATCAACCATATCAGATAAAGATGAAACTCCAATATGTATAGGAGCTGTAGAAGAATGTAATTCCAATCTTCCAGCTTTAAAATTTTCACTCATTTCATGAAGTTCCAATACATATCTTTCTAAATCTGCAAGTGGATGATCAATAGTAACGAAATTAAAACTATAATATTCAGCTGATTTATCAATTGGAGGAGAAATTGTAGAAGATTTAGAATCTCCACGCTTCCCCTGAGCTTTTCGAATGGCAGTTGCCAATTGTCTCTGTAATGTTCTTACTGTAGGAACAGAAATAGGTAAAGGTTGAATTCCAGAAATACTTTTCAATTGACTTTTCATTTCTGAATATTTAGCTTGAACAGCCTCCCATTTTCTCATTTGACTTAATGAACGATCCCCTATATATTTGAAAGGTTTTATTTTAATAATTAGATATAAGACTATCTTAATATCTTCTGCTGATAATTTTGATCTTGTTGGACCATTTGTCATTGTATTGGATCCTCGTGAATTATTATAGTCACGTTTGAGATTATCAGCTGAATGACTTCCAACTTGTTCATCAAGTATATTGGATCCGGGTTGACGTTGGAATCTATCAATTTGTGGGTCAACCAATTCATCACTATCATCATCTTCATCTTCAATATCTTCATCTTCATCTTCGTCTTCATCATGGTCATCTTCAAGTTTTCTTACACCAATATTATTGGCATGAACATTATTATTATTACCACCACTTAAAGCCGAATGGGGTCTTTTCCGAGAAGAAACAGACATGACATGATTATTCAGTATTACTGATGAATTATTAGAAAACGCGCTGAATGATGAATTAGTAGTAGTATTTGTGGTAGGTAATTTGGAATTGGTCAGTGACTCTGAAGCCCATGAAATCAGCTGGGCCAGGACACGTGAAGCTGATGATTGACGAGTAGAATCAGTTGATGTATGAACTGAAGGATTTGAATTTGAATTAGGTTTTGGTTTTGCGACTGAAGTTGAAGTTGCAGTTGCAGGTGACCTTGACACGGAATTGTTTTCTGGTCCGGCAGACGATTTATCAATTGAATGAACCGTCAGCTGTTGGGTCAGATTCGTAGAACTCTCGGCATCTAGCGACATAATTAATCCGACAATGTCTGATGGGAATTAACTGGAAGAATAGTTGTTAGTAACCTGTAAAATTTATTCCTATTTATTGGACTTTATTTTTCGGTCCTTTTTTTTTTGGTGTATTTTTGTTTTGTATGTAAATGGTTTTTGCTTAAGATTATGTAATAGACCTCAAATATCTATAGCAATGAATATATATAAATAAATAAGGGAATTGAAAGCGGGAACAAAATAATGTAAAATAATATAAGCAAACTAAGATGAGTCAATCAGTCCGAAAACACACACTGGGAGATTGATGGTTTGTTTACGTAGTATCGTTTATATGCAATGCCTGTTACAAAAATAGAAGATGAGAGTGAACACAAACCGACAGGTAATTCTTACTTTTGTACTTTGCTAGTGTCTATAACTATTTGCAGGTCTAAACCGAAAATACTTAATGGCTAGATCAAGTTTTAAGCCTAATTACAATTCGACAAAATTAAAATTTAATGGGATTGCAATCTATATAAATAAACATTGAACAAATGACCCATATCAAACTTTAGTACCATTTATAGCAGCCTCTTGACAATGATAGTCTGACCGTTTTGTATTTTTTTGGATGTGATTCAGAATATGTATGTATGTATGTATGTATGTATGCATTTTTCACTAGTCTCAATTGGGAAACGGAGATATCGTAGTTTGTATGCACGGCATGGTATGTCCTTCATTCCCAATTGTGTCTCATCTTCCAGTTTAAAGCTACATGTAGTACTCTCATTGTTTAATCATTTCAGCTTAATTAATAATTCGAATACATATTGCAACACAATAAAGAAATAACGGTTTTTTAGATGTTTTAGGTAATAGTCCCCTTTTTAACGTGGCAATGATGGTCATGCTTTCATGTAACGCATTTTTCATATTTTGTTCTACAAACCCTTCAGCTTAATTCTAGAGTGTTTAATTTTTGTTATAATGTAATTCTCCTAATGACTCCGGAACCGGTTACAAATCACAATTACAATTTCATCTATGAATGTCAACGTTTTTTTAAAAAAAAAACACGACAACGTGATCGGCTTCCCGATTGAGTTATTGACATGGCTGATAAAGTACTAGGATTTAAAAGTCCGTGAGTCAGGCCCTCAAAACTTAGCGCAAAAAAGAACAAAATGAATGACGGTAGCTGCCGCATTCTAGTAAAGTGCTGGCCCAATTGGGAAGTAGATTCCAATATAATCAATGGAATTAATTCCATTTTTGTATATAGGAGTAGACGTATCTATAGCCAAATCAGTTTTTGCCACCTACACAGTTTTTACGCAACCTGATTTGTCAATTCTGATCAAAGGTCATGAATTATTTTTATTTTCTAAACAAATAAATAAATAGACGGAAAGGAAAGGAAATTAGTCAAGTCTAAACTGGCGGCTGCAGTGCCCCACTTCAAACATTACAGAAAAGGAGACCTCGCCATAACTCAATCCCAATTAGTTGAAGATAGTTAGAGTCTAATTTTCTGTCCAGATTCTCCAGTTTTATTCAATCTACACATACTTTCTATTATTAGAATTTTGTTCTTTTCTCCATCTTTCGATCCGACTTTGGCCCGTGAAAATTGTCGCAAAGGTTATGGAACTGTACTGTAACATTTTTCTTACCGCCGCATCCATTACGAATGATACTCGTAAATTAAGCCAGCAATTAATTACTTAGTTTAGTTATCGTCTCCTATATAAATTCTCTTAAATGAATGACGCATGTTATGTCTCAATGGAGATAATATGCATGCATCAACCGCTTGTAACTTTAAAACTTTTAACTATAACTTGGGGGCCAGAACTTCTTTTCTTTTGTACGGATCTTCTGTCCGCTGTGATCTTCCTGCAATCTTATTTGATGATCATTCCTATTGTGCATTTAGTGTTACTGTTAGTAAATTTGTACAGTACGTGGCTTTAACATTGCCCGGAAATATTGTTCATTACTTTCTACAATTCGGCGTACCGGTTCTAGAGTTCGTATTTTACTGCTAATAAAATCTTTGCAATCATATTAAGCTTTACACAATTAAGATACACACACCACACTTAACCGCTTACAAATCATTTAGTTTAATTTAATAACTCTTATATTAATTATGAGAAAAAGAAGGCTACCCATATCATAAAAACAACCCATTAATGAAGGATGTAGTAACACTTTTAATATCATCTTCAATTCTCTTCTGATCTAAATGTCCACTGCGTTGAGATGAAGAACCGTTGTTGTTGTTGCTGTTATTATTATTATTATTATTACTATTATTATTATTATTTTGTTGTAACTTTTGGAAGAAGTTCGACGTGATTGAGAAATTATTTTCATCATACGTATTATTATGTTCATCACCTACTTTACCTAATCTGGGCCATTGACCTCCTTCATCAAGGTGTTCTTGAGTTCGATTACCTGCAATGGTTGAACCTGGCTCATAAGATAATATACTTGCACTATCAAAATCAGTTGAAATTCCACCAATAGTGGATGGAGCAGCAAATGGTTTATAGGATTCTGGTTTACCATTAAGGGATTTATTATTGCCAGATCCACTAAATTTACCTTCAGTTCCACCACTCAATTGAACCATTGACATTTGCAAATTATCTAATGGACCTTCAACTAAAGTTCCACGTTCTCTAAAATGAATTAATAAAAAGTTCCACAACAGATTACGACTTAAAGTTCTAGGATTACCTAAAATAATTAAACCATATTTAGCTCTTGTTAAGGCAACATTCAATCTTCTTGGATCTCTCAAAAACCCAATTTGTTGAGCTTGATTCCCACGAACACAACTTAAAATAATAAAATCCTTTTCACGACCTTGAAATGCATCAACACTGGTTACTTCAACTTCCAGATATTCCTTCTTTTTATCAATTAAAGTACTATTCATTAACATATATTGTACAATATATGCTCTTTGACCTTCATAAGGTGTAATAACTCCAATTTGATCGGGTGAAACTCCATCTTTAAATAATCGAGTAATAATCTTTTCAACATTCATAGCTTCGACTCGATTTAAATATGAACTTCCACTTACACCAATTTCTTCACGACCATAATTAGCCCAAAACATCATTGGAGTTTCAACCACTGGCCAAGGGAATGTTGAATTAATAATTCTTCTATCATCAGCAGTAACCCCATTTTGTAAAGAACCTTCATAAAACATATTGGAAGGAAATTCAGATAATCCTGGATGCATTCTATATTGAACTTCCAATCTAATTGGAACATGACCTAATAATACTAATCTTTCAAACAATGATTGACGTAAACCAGCTTGAGCAGCTCTTTTATCTAAAATTACAGGTCCCAATTGTTGATGATCACCAACCAAAATAACTTGTTTAGCACCTTTTACAATAGGAATTAAAACTTCTGGTTCAGAAGCTTGAGTACTTTCATCAATTAATACAGTTCTGAATTTAAATTGTGATAAACGTTTATCACCGGCTCCAATACATGTACAACAAACAACATCACATTTGTTTAAAATTTTAGATTCTGCATTTCTAATGGATTTAATTAATGTTCTGGAATCTGCACCAGATAATTCACCAATTTCATTTCTTAATCTTAATAATTTCTTTAATTCACCTCTAGCAGTATCATTAACAATATTATGTAATGATAAATGACTAATTGAACTTTCAACATCTTCACGAGATTTGGCAGTTAATCTAACAACTTTTAAACCTAATGAATCTAATTTTGCAGCCAAATGATCGACTGCAACATTAGAAGGTGCACATACCAATATTTTTTCTTTATTTAATTTTGATAAATGATAAATAATTGTGGCTGAAGTAACAGTTTTACCAGTACCTGGAGGACCTTGAATTAATGATAATGGACGTTGTAATACAGCTCTTACAGCATTGGTTTGAGAAAAATTCAATTCGGTTAAATTAGGATGACTTAATCTCTTTGGTAAAGCAATATCAAACTCAACTGGTGCAACAGCATGACCTAATAATTTATGATATATATAACCAGAAACAGATGCTTCATCAACGGCAAAACATTTCATAGCATTTTGCATTCTATCATAAGATGTACCCTTCCAAACAAATTCAGCTGTGAAATCAGTAGTTAAAGTTGTTGGAGGGGTTGTACGATTTGGAATTAATTCAAGAGTAAATTCTTCTTGATGAGAACTTGGTAATCGTATGATATAACCATTACCTTCCCAAGGTTCATTATTTAAACCTGAATACCGTAAAATAATTTCATCACCCACAGCAACTTTTAATTCATTTGTATCAAATGTTGAAAGAGTAAATGAAGCTAAATGACGATCATTTAATCCAATTGCCCATTTAACTTGAATATGTTCTAAAGCTTGAGATTCTTTTAAATTTTTATCATAATCAGCTTCAAGTTGAACTAATGGAGCAAATGATTGTTGATATTGGAATGCATCATTATATCTCATTAATATTGGTAAAATATCTTCTTGAGCATCATCTACTTCTGTTATATCGGAAATAGTAGCATGTCTATTCAATCTCCATTGAGCTTCTAATTTTGTAATTTGTTCACTAGTAACTAATCTAGCTCCAACTTTATCATGTTCAGTTGGATGAGCTGCTACCCATGATAATAATTGACGATCTTCTATTAATGATTGCCATTGAGAAGTATCCCAACTTACATCTTTCATTTGAGCACAGGGTATACGACAAAGAATTACCACTACTGATTCTTGTTTGGCACTTACAAATCCCAAAATAAATACATTTTTATTTCCACAATTATAACATTCTAATACTGAATCTCCTAAATCTGAATCTTCATGAAGAGATATTTGATTATGTCTTGATAAAACTAAATGAGTAACAATATGAGAACCTCCTGAATCTGATTTATCATTACAAAACCATTTATTACAAGTATGACATTTAACAACTGATTCAATATTATGAATTCCACAGTATGCACATGCATGTTCAGGTAATGATTGATCAGGATTTTCCATATCAGTTAATTCATCTTGATTTATATCATTTTCATCATCAATTAAATCATGTAATCTTTGTAAATCTATGGGATGATCATGACCAGTAAAATCTGATTCAGTTTGATAGTCACTGAAATCTTCCTGATTTTCTTGATTATTGTTAAAGTTTTTAATGGTTGATGAGTCATCATCGTCATTGTCATAGACAGAAGCAGAAGATGCATCAATGGCTGAATCTTGATTTTGGAATAAAAGATGGCTCATCTCTCAACACTTTTATTATTATTATTATTATATTATTTTGTATAATATCAACTTTCTATACGGAAGCAAAGTGTGCTGGATATGACTGGAAAATATTTAACTTAACACTTTGACTAACTTCAAAACATATGCAAACAATACAATATGTTCTGCGTATTACTTATTTAATGATTATATTTATATGCTATGCTAGATCGGGACTCGGGATTCGGGTTTCGGACTCTGCACTATTTTGGCTATATAAAAACGGGAAAAATTCTAAAATAAATATCTTATAATGTAAAGTCAGTACATTGGGGAAAATACTGCAATTATTAACTAATTTAAATATATAATTCAGTACTTTAAAGATATCAATTCATGTATGATAAGGTATCTATATATAAAAGCTTATAGTTAGTTATCACTAATGCTAACAAAAATTTTCGGTTTTTTCGTTTGTGAGAGAAAAGTCGTGTGCTTTTCCAAAAAGAGTCCTAGTGCTATCATTTTTCTTTAATGTGTAAAGTTTACGAGCCGATTTTACAGGTTGTTCATATATATCTATATAACCGAACTGGTACACCACATACATATAACAACTGTAACAGTTTTCGAATTCAGATTATTGTGAATTCCAATTTTTCCTTTTCTTTTTTTTATTTTTATTTTGCATAACCGTTATGCCTAAGTAATCGTGGCCAGGACAGGGGTTGCGGTTGAGTTGAGGATGGATCGTCAGTATGGCAAATTTAAGGCGACGAGGGGTATCACATTTCATATTACATATTTCACATTTCACATTTCACATTTCGCATTTCACTTTTTTGCATATATATCTTGTCTGTATTGTGTGTATATAGTACTGTACTGTATAGGTAAATAAATAAATAAATAAATATATATATATGTGTCCGTTATTATGTACAAATGGTAATAATATAAAAAAATGGTATACCCCTTGCGTCCTAAATTTGTGTGGTACGCCAAATGATCCAATGTCATATGTATGAATTTGCCATTATTGTTATATGATACATATACAGTATTGGCATTGATTGATCGGGGCTTGAACTGAGAATTTCTCAACCACTTAAGAAATGGAATTAAAGCTAGATCAGAGAAAAAGTTAATAATATAGTTAATAATATAGTTAGTAACATAGTTAATAAATACATAACACTGTATCGTATTATCGAAAAGTTAATAGTGGCTGACACATAAGAGACAGTTAGACGATGTTACACAAGCAGAAAAAACAATGTGGTCGCTGGATAAAGTTAACCTCAACCGAATACAAAAGACGCGTAGGACTTTTTTTGTTTATTTTATGGATTGATTTTATTTTTTATTTCCAATTTGTTAGTAAATTAATTGCAGAATCAGAATCATTTAATCGGCTTTACGCACAAAATTTTATTTTATGCAAAAAAAAAAATCTATACGTATCTGAACCGAATTTTGGTGATTTATGGCTGGCTCGAAACCGTACTACAACTACAAAACAACGTATACTGACTATTAGTGTTGTCAAGAAGTGTTTTTACTTTTGTATACGTATTACTACACTTACTGTAACTATCATTGAATCATAGTTTGTATCCCAATCCAGTCATATCACCCATATTTGTATTACTATTACTATTATAAAAATAAAATAAATTATTCAGTATATGAGTTATCCATCACCATTTCATAAAATAATTGCTCATAAAAAGGGTTTATTCGAAGGTAGAAACTTTCTTGTATCAACAGATACAATAAATTGGATCCATTCTCATATCTTAACTATTACTGAACATGGTCAATTATATTCATCAGATGAAAATGATAATCATTATCTTTTATTACAATCTTTACAATCTTGTTATGTTCAAATATTTCCAACTTTAGTAACAAATACTGCAGCTTTAACCAATTCAACTTCAAATATAACGAATTCAAATTCAAGAAGATTAAAATTACCAACTACAAGACGTTCTGTATCTGGTTCTTCAGATTCAAGTTCAAATAATTCATCAAATGAATCTCTGGATCCTCCTGTAATATTTATAAGAACTTATGAAAATGATAAATTATATTTAAAAATTGCTTCAAAATCAAATTTCGGAAATTTAATAAGTTGCCTTATAGTTTGGCAATCACTTAAACCTCAAGGTCTTGTAAAAAAATGGTATTGTGAAAATAAAGTTGATATTTCAACAACTAATCTGAAAAATCCTCATGAATTATTAGTTTGTAGATTTAAAATTTATGCTCCAATACCTGCTAAATCAAAAAATTTGAATTTTGTTTATGGTTTAAAGGCTCCTATTTATCAACCTTTAAATATGAATGAAACTAATAATAATAATGATGATTCCTTAAATAATGGTATAAATGAATCTTGGTTTTATGTAATGGGAGTTTTAAAATCAAATGGATTATTAAATTTCATAACTGAAAATGATGGAACTTTAATTTATTCAATAGATATAAAATCAATTTTATCTTCAGAAATTAGACAAATGCATCATTCAATTTTTGATAATTCAAATGTTTTATTTATTGGTCAATTAAAAGAATTAAGAAATCATAATAATCAAATATCTTCTTCAACTCCATTTTTAGTAAGAGATGGGAAATTAATTGCTAATAATTCAAGAATATTAATTGAATTTCCTCTTCATATTGATTTAGAGGATTGGTTTGTGGGATTAAATTATTTCTCTAAACGAGAATATATTGGATGTTATAGTCCCAAACTGAAATTAATTACTCCATCTCGTGAATTACCGCCTCCTTTAGCAAATTATAGTCGTGAACATTTTCGAGTATCTAAAAAGATTACTATTGATATAATAGAAGCTAAATTTGATTCTTTACCAACGAATTCTAAATCAAGTAAAATTTATGCTGAAGTTAGAATGTGGGGTTTACCTTGGTCTCGTACGGCTATAGTAAATCATTCAGCCAATCCATTTTGGAAAGAAGAATTTTCTACTGATTTACCAATTCTGACCCAAATGATTCATATTGTAATAAAGAGATGTTCATTCAATGATTCAACTTATCTGGCAGGTGATAAAGTAATTGGAACAGTATATGTTACTCCAGATATATTAACAAAACAAAGTAGTAATGGTTCTACCACTATAATGCTGGCTTCAACTAATGGTGCCAATACAATATCGGCATCTGGTCCTGGTCATACATTTAATAATAGTATTAGTACTAATAGTAATACTATTAACAACAACATTAATAATAATATTACCAGTACCAATACAACCAGTATTAGTAATAATAATAATGAAATCGTCAGACTAACAATTTATGATACTACTAATGTACCCATTGGGAAATTATTAATTAGTGTCAAATTAAAAGAACATCATATCTTACCTCCACAACATTTTAGAAGCTTTGAGAATATGTTAGTTCATTCTCCAATGAAAGATTTAATTACATTCATTAATAATAATATTACTCCCGGAGCTTTTGATGAGACTGCCATAATGTTATTGGATATTTTCCAAAGTTTAGGAGTTGAAGAAAGATGGTTTAAATCCTTAATGGAATATGAATTAACTGGGGTAGATGTTATAACGAGAAAGAACTTTGCTAAGAGGAATAGTGAGGCAATAACACCATCACCATCAATAGTTCCAAGTACAGTCAATGCAGCAAATACAACTTCAGCAGCTGGTAATTCATCATCACTGAATAATGTATTTAATACATTATTTAGAGGATCCAGTGTGTTTTCCAAATCTTTAGAAAAGTATAATTTAAGAATTGGTCAAGAATATTTAGAAAAAGTATTTGGTAAATTCATTCTTAAAATTGTCGATGAAAAGAGAAATTGTGAAGTTGATCCAAGATATGTACGATTACAAGAAAAGGCTTTAAGAAAGGGTAAATCTATTGATGTATTAGATAATGAAGATAATAATGATAGTGATGATAGTTTAGATGAAGATTCTGAAGATGAAGAAGATCGTGAACAACATGAAGCAGTAGTTAAGAAAATGATTGAAATTAATTATGAAAATTTACTAGGATATGCTGAAGAATTATGGAAACAAATTTATACTACTTCAAATGATTTACCTGATCAAATTAAAACTCAATTAAAAAATTTTAGAATTAAAGTTGAATTAGTATGTGATCCTGATGATAAAGTTACATCATTAAATTGTTTAAGTGCATTTATATTTTTAAGATTCTTTTGTCCAGCAATTTTAAATCCAAAATTATTTTATCTTACAAAGAATCATCAATCAGGATTATCTCAAAGAACTTTAACTTTATTAGCAAAGATTTTATTAAATTTAGCTAATAGACAAGAATTTTCTCCCCATAAAGAACCTCATTTAGGTAGAATGAATGAATTTTTAGCTAAACATCAACCTGAAATTTATGATTATTTCGATAAGATTACTGGTAGAAAGAATGATTTTAATGAAAAAGTCCTTGATTTAAGTCATGATGTAAATCGATTTGATTTAGGTATAAAGAATGATACTAATTCTGCTGAATTACCAACAACTCCTTATTTGATTGATAAATATCTTAGATTGACTCAGTTAATTACGTTACTTGATTATAATCGTCTAAAGCCTTCCAATCCTGGTGGTTCTACACCTAATGGAAGTCCTCGAGCCAATATTACTAACAATACTTCTTCTAATAACATAGCAGGTTCAAGTTCAGGACCGGATACAATATCGATATCAACCATTCCTCGAGAGAGTTCAAGTGCAAATTTAATTGAAAGTTTAACAATTAATGAAGAGAAGAATGTATATCAAATAGGATCACTTGAATTTGAAAAGTCTGAGTTTTTAGATTTAGCTGGTGATAATGAAACTGAAGGATTTATTAAATCTTTGTGCAGAAGCAATGAGAATATATTTTCATTTATTAACTCCAATATTGGATTAAAAGATTTACAAAAACATTGTACTAAATTAATGGGTAAAATCGATAGCTTACAAGTGTTTTTAGAGAATTTTGAATTCCCTACTAATTATTTACCTAATGAATTATTAGATGAAGATGATGTAGATATCAGTGGGAAGACTAGAGGAATATTACTTCTTGATGAAGAAGAAGATGATGGCCAAACTTTAAGTAATGGAATGCAAGCCATTGATATGTTATGGGATTCATTCACTTACTATATTTTAAGTAAATGTTATCTTGATATGTCGACCAATAGTTTGGCATATGTTGATAGAGATAGTCATGTTCCAAATAATTATAAGAAATTAATTGATCAAAATCCATTGTCAACATTAAAATTGAGATTTAGTGATACTAAAAGTAGCAATCATAATGGTAATGGTAATGGACATAAGGGATTGGGAGGTTATAATGAAAGTTATACGTCATCTTCAAGTTCCCTAAATGGAGCTTCAGTCTTAACAACAGGTGGTCCAACCCTGAGATCCGCAAGTATGTCACAATCATTAAGTAATTCTAGTATTCTGAATGTTCTTAAAGCTCCAACTAAGAACCCATTCAAGAAATGGTTAAGTAAGAGTTAAACCAACTTCATTCAGAAAGAGTACATACATAAGATAAAATAAAAATATATCAGCCAATTGTATTATATATTATTTTTAGAATAAAATACCCTTTTATTGGAATTTTAGCAATTGATGCAAAAAAAATAGTAGAGTAGTAAGCACGTGAGGGTAGTGTATAGTGATTAAAAGATAAGACTCTGGCGATCCTTAGCAGCCGAAACTTAGAGGCGACTAAGGTTCTAGTTACCCCTATACGCACTGCACAAACATAGATTGATTGATTGCCGGAAGTCAAATGAAATTCGGAATTAGGTTAACATTTGAACTCAGCCTCCGATGCATCATTTACTCCCCATTACTATAATCAAGTATCAAACTGGAGTTATCTACAATTGTCAACAATTATCAACAATTGCTATAATTTTGCAGTTGTTGGTAGAAGTTTGGATGTTTGCTAGAGCTCATTGCAAAATAAGTTGCTGCGTCACTGCTCCCTTAGTACTGCGTCATGGGTGTCACGGACCCGTCCGTAATTAACCAGATATTATTTCCTGTAATAGCTTACGATGGCCAATTGATTAACCATCTCTTTCGTAATTATTCGAAATCTATAGTTAGTACATAGCCCACTTATGCAGTTCATAACTTTATCTATCCATAATCCCGGATATTTATACTGTAGTCTAATTCTAAATCTAATTAGTCTAGTCGATGGTTCGTGTATTTGTTTGTTTCTTTTCTTTTTCTTTGCCTCTTTTTTGTGACCTATTTTTTTCGGGTTAGAGCCTGTGTGTTCAGAAAAAGTCAACAGTGAGAACATCGAAATATAATCAAGCATAAAGAGTGAGAGATTGGATTCAATTAGGCATTCTTCTTATATAGACATATAAATATCGCATACCCAGAATGAGTACCTTAACTGAAGAAGAATTTTTAGCTTCTTATCCTCAAGTCAATGCACCATCAGATATTACTGGATATACATCTAATTTGACCGATGAACAAAAGACTGTATTAAATCATCTTAGAACTTCTTTAGAAGCTTTAGGTTATAAAGATAGATTAGATGATGCAAGTTTATTAAGATTCTTAAGAGCAAGAAAGTTTGATTTATTTAAAGCTCAAGAAATGTTTGTTAATTGTGAAAAATGGAGAAAAGAATTTGGTACAAATAATATCTTAACTGAATTTCATTATGATGAAAAACCTTTGGTTGCTAGTTTATATCCTCAATATTATCATAAAACTGATAAAGATGGTAGACCCGTATATTATGAAGAATTAGGTAAAGTCGATTTAACTAAAATGTTAACTATTACAACTCAAGATAGAATGTTAAAGAATTTAGCTTGGGAATATGAATCAATGTGTCGTTATAGATTACCTGCTTGTTCAAGAAAAATGGGTCATTTGGTTGAAACATCATGTACAATTATGGATTTAAAAGGAATTTCAATTTCAACTGCTTCTCAAGTAATTGGTTATGTTAGAGAAGCTTCTGTTATTGGTCAAAATTATTATCCTGAAAGAATGGGTAAATTTTTCCTTATCAATGCTCCATTTGGGTTTGCAACTGCGTTCAAATTATTTAAACCATTTTTAGATCCAGTTACAGTTGCTAAAATTAATATATTAGGTTACAGTTATCAAAAGGAATTATTAATACAAATTCCAGCTGAAAATTTACCAACTAAATTTGGTGGTAAATCAGAAATTTCAGATCAAGATTTATATTTGAATGATGTTGGTCCTTGGAGAGAAGCTAAATATATAGGTCCTGAAGGTGAAGCTCCAAAGGCTTTTAGTATTTAGATAATACTATACTACCTTCTCATTGTTCATATATTTCGTCATCTACATATCATATCATACATTCCATATCATATCATATAATATAATATAATACTTTATGATATTCAGGCAAAGAATATTCAAAGGAATTGAATTTCCTATTCATCACAAATTAATATCGTTAGTGCTCAATATAAATATATAATTTTTTATCAATTCTATTTTGTATTTATTGTCTCCATTTCTAGAAGCAACAACTTCGACTTTTCTTGGGTTTGATTTCTACAGTTAATATATTATTTGCCTTTTGTTATCCACCTCTTCTCATCCTAATCTTTTAATTTATTAGTGTCTACATGGCCTTGCATTACTTCGTAGCAAAGAAGGGATTTGCGTAGAATTTAAAGAAAATATCCTGTCGGTAATGAAATTAATTAGATAATTATGCATACTGTTATAATTATTATTACACCAACCGAGTACAATAAGCCGTGGTTCCAAAACTCTCTAATCATACTTACCCATATTCTTTTTATAACTACTCTTTAGTTCGCGGTGCGGCAAGGTCTAAATGCGCATTTTTAAGCAGCCACTTTAGAATTTCTTTTTCAGCCCTGCTTTTTGCAACGCAATAGACAATGCAAAAATATTAGAATGCTTGCGAAAAACTCTACGAACGAGAAAATAAGGGCAAGAAACTGGTTACCCAGGGATAGTTTATGCTAACAGATTTGGATTTGGATTTATTATTTCAAACCAGGCGGGCTTGAAATTTTATAACAATGAATCCCGGGACCTATTACGTAGTTATTTTTAATATAAGTTTTAATATGGAAAGACTCATCAAGTGTTGGGTATCTTAGTTTCCATAACTTAGACACCTTTCCTAATTGAAACTAATTATTATTGAAAAAATATAATTTAAAGAAAGTTTCAAAATATTATTTTTACATAACTCATCTCCCGGTGATATATTAGAAATATTTGTTCAAAGGCAGAATATAAATAGGTAACTTATTCTAATTTTCTTTATGTCGTATCAATAATTATCCCAACTTCAATTCTCTAAGTCAGGTGTTTTACAAATGGAACTGCTGTCAGAAGAATCAATACTTGAGATCAATTTCAAAAATGGTAATAAGGTGAAATCAGGTCAAGTGGAAGCTGAACCAAAAAGTCTGAAGTATCAGATATCCCACCCTTTCATATCAACAAACCCGCCTGAAATTATTCAACAGAGTGATAGCACTAATACAAATAATAGTGATTCTTCTTCAACACCAGGTTCTTCTAATTTGGACTTGGCTCGTAAGATCAAGGGTTATTCTAGATACTTCCTTCCACACACAGATTCTAATCAGCATGTATGTCAAATGGAAGATCCGTACTATTACTTTCATGGATCTCCCAGAGAACAACCCTTATTGAACAATCAAAGTCCAAATCCTTCAAAAGCATCAATACCTAGTACTGTATTATTTACCCATGAAAATTCAAATACGGGTTCCAGAACAGAATCTTCAACTCTGAGTTCAAGCTTAAAGGAAAAATCCAAGAAGGCAATGGAATACAAATTTTTCGAAGAAGAAATCTTTCCATTAACTGGCAATATCAATTTGAATGATTTTGTGATGAATGAGGAAGAAATCAAAAACATAGACCTAGAGTTTGAAAAAGAACCTAAGCCATTTGAATCAAAGTGGGATTATATTAATCCTTTAATATATTTCCGTAATTATAATTGTGGGCAATTCTTAGCAGTAATCATTATATTTGTAGTAATAATATTCGGGTCCCTTGGCTTCTTGATATCAACTGCTAAGAAAGCATACTCGCCCATTCCACCTGAAGTTATCGAGATACTCTCACCTTATAGATATCCTACTTTGGGAGCCATTCGAACAAACTTGGTAGATCCTGATACACCAAATGAATTTCGTTGGAAGAATGGATTTGGGGAAGAAGGAGAACGTTGGAAATTGGTATTTTCAGATGAGTTCAATGCTGAAGGTAGAACATTTTATGATGGAGATGATCAATTCTTTGAAGCTGTTGATCTTCATTATCAAGCAACTCAAGATTTGGAATATTATGTTCCTTTTATGGCCAGGACAAGAAATGGAACATTGCAACTTACTTTAGATGCTTTCAAACTTAATGGTCTCAATTACATATCTTCTATGCTACAATCCTGGAATAAACTCTGTTTCAATAAAAATGCAATAGTCGAAGTTAGTCTTCGTATGCCTTCTTATTCTCAAGCTAGGGGATTATGGCCAGCTGTTTGGAGTTTGGGAAATCTTGCCAGACCAGGTTATATGGCAAGTACAGATGGTCTTTGGCCCTACACGTATAACGAATGTGATTATGGTATCACCCCAAATCAATCTACTCCAGATGGTCTTTCCTTTCTTTCGGGTCAAAGATTAAGTAAATGTACTTGCTATGGAGAAGACCATCCTAATATTGGTACTGGAAGGGGAGCACCAGAGATTGATATTATTGAAGGTACTAGAGGATTATATGATGATTGGGCATTGGGAGCACAAACATTGCAAGTTGCACCATTTGATCCTTGGTGGAGACCCGATTATAGTTATCTATCTATTGAAAATAACAATTTGACTTCCATGAAACCTGATACTGGTACTCCCTTCCAAGAAGCAATTGCGTCGACTACAGTATTAAACAACTCATGGTTTGAAGAATTACGAAATGTCAGCAATCTCGAGCAACATATCCCAGGAGATAGACATTTCCAAAGATATGGGTTTGAATATCGTAGTGGGAAAACCAAAGACAGAGATAGTTATGTTCAATTCTTTATGGCTGATAACAAGACTTTTGGTATAAAAGGTGATGCACTCCATCCTACAGATAATGTTGGTTGGAGAGATATTTCTAAAGAACCTATGTCGTTGGTATTTAATTTAGGATTGTCACCCACCTGGATGAATATTGATTTTGGTTCTTTATCATATCCTGCAACACTAGAAATTGACTACATTCGTATTTATCAGCCAGAAGGGGAAGAAGAAATGACTTGTAATCCTCCGGATTATCCTACAACTGATTATATCAATAAGCATATTAATGCCTATTCCAACTCTAATCTTACAAGTTGGAATGAAGCAGGTTATAAATATCCTAGGAATTCATTCATGCATGGTTGCCAAGCCCCTTCGGCTTAGAAGGTTTGTATTCTAGTTAAATAAAGTATATAGTTAAGAAAAAAGTATATAGTTAAGAAAAAAACTTACTATCACCGCGATGGTAAATTGTACAAAAATTATATTCTCGATCTGACCGTGAAGAGGTGAAGGTTTGAATATAAATTTAATTTGCAAAGAATTAGTTGTTTGATTTGTATTTATTTCTCTTGTACTAGTTGATAGTATTAGAATTAAAATTCTAGAAAAAGATTTGAGTAGATTTCTTATGCATTTTATATATGTCATATGGCTTTTCATCTGGGCTGGGATCATAACAGCAGAAACCCATACTTTCCATTTCAATGTTTCATATGTGACAGCTAATCCAGATGGACTTCTAGATAGGCGAATGATAGGTATTAATAATCATTGGCCAAATCCTACTATACGGGTAAAGAAAAATGATAGAGTTGAGATATATTTAACTAACTTCTTGGAAAATAGAAATACATCTTTACATTTTCATGGATTATTTCAAAAGGATACCAATGCAATGGATGGTCCAGAAATGGTTACTCAATGTCCAATTCCTCCAGGTGAAACCTTTCTTTATAATTTCACAGTTACAGATCAAGTAGGTACTTATTGGTATCACTCCCATTCTGGTTCACAATATGGTGATGGATTAAGAGGGGTCTTCATTATTGAAGATGATGATTATCCATTCGATTTCCAACAAGATTCCGTGTTGACCGTTGGAGAACACTATCATAAAGAAACCCCAGCGATTATGAAATCTTTTATGAGTAGATACAATCCCACTGGAGCGGAGCCAATTCCTCAAAATATTTTGTTCAATGAGACGAATAATGTGACATGGACTTTAAATCCTGGTGAAACGACCCTATTGAGGATCGTTAACGTTGGTTTATTTGTAGCTCATTACATTTATATTGAAGATCATACCTTAACTATTGTTGAAATTGATGGAGGTTATGTTGAACAAGTTGAAGTAGATTCAATTTATATTGCGCCTGGACAACGTTATTCAGTTTTAATTCAGGCTAAGAAGAGCCCACAACAAAATTACAGATTCATATGTGTTTTAGATTATGAGATGTTGGATTTAATTCCTTCTGATTTACAGCTTGTTTCCACTAATTGGGTACAATATACTAATACTAAGGAACTCCCAGGTTCAATTGGGAATGATTATAAGAAAATAATTGAATCCTTACATCCTGCTGAAGAGTTTAATTTGATCCCATTGGAAAAGGTTCCTTTATATCCTGAGCCAGACTATACTATAGAACTTAATTTTACTATGGAAGTTTTAGGTGACGGGATCACCTACGCTCTTTTCAACGGTATATCTTATGTTCCACCAAAAGTTCCTACTTTAATGACTGTATTATCAGGTGGAGAATATAGTACAGTAAAAGAGATTTATGGATCCAACACAAATTCATTCGTACTTCAACCTAATGAAGTAGTTGAAATTATTTTAAATAATATGGATCCTGGAAAGCATCCATTCCATTTACATGGACATACATTTCAAACTATAGTTAAATCTAAATCTGGGGAAAATGAAGATGAACCATTAATCTACAACCCAGAAAATGCCACTTTCCCAGAATATCCTATGATTAGAGATACAGTTCAAACAAACCCTAATGGTCATATAGTAATAAGGTTTAAAGCTGAAAATCCTGGGGTATGGTTTTTTCATTGTCATGTGGATTGGCATTTAGAGCAGGGTTTAGCGATAACATTAATTGAGTCGCCATTAATTACCCAGGAAAAACAAACTTTAATTGACAATCATAAAAATGTCTGCGAATCGGCAAAAATTCCCGTCCAAGGTAATGCGGCAGGTAATTTTGGTAGCTCCAAGAAATCATGGTTAAATTTACATGGTGAAAACGTACAATTCTCACCATTACCTGTCGGATTTACCTTAAAAGGTTACATCGCCATGGCATTATGCACGTTTGTCGCATTATATGGGGTATTTTCAATCTACAAATATGGTATGGAAGATGTTAATAGCGACAATATTGAAAATAAAATTGAAAAATTGCATAAATTATTGGCCGATTGTGGAGAAACCGATGAATCAGCTATGTTCAATCTTAACAGTAACGGTGAGGCGGTCAATCAGTAAATTATTTGTTTTATAAATATTTATTTCTTGACTCATTTAAATAGTTTAATTAATTTTTCAGATATATAAAAGGTACAATTCCTATTTGAAAAATTGCGAATAAACCTTTTTCCCCAGTGTAAAGGAAATGTGTGATTACGTCGTAGTAGGGTATGTATCTATGAAAATGTTTGAGAGTTAGGAAAAACTTTTATACTAATATAAATTCTAGTTCTGGTATTATCGGACTTTATACCTGTTTAGAATTATTAAATAGAAATGTTAAGGCAAGTTCTATTACTGTGATTGCTGAACATTTACCAGGTGATGAATCTATAAATTATGCTTCACCATATGCTGGAGGTGATTTTTCTTGTATTACAGATGATGATCCTGCCACCTTGTATTATGATAAGTATACTTATACTAATTTGAAGAAAATTCAATTGGCTTTGGGTGGTCCACAATTTGGATTGGATAGATATACTTCGACTGAATACTGGGATATCAAACCATCTAAAGAAAAAATTGATTCTTTAGCTTCTTATTTGGAAGAATATAAAGAAATCCCTTCATATGAATTACCTTCCGGAGTAGCTTTTGGTATTACATTCTTATCTTGGAACTTTAACTGTCCTTTCTTCTTAGCCAATGTCAAGGCATATCTCGAAAAAAATGGTGTTAGTTTCCGCAGACAAAAATTAACTCATATTACTCAAGCTTATCTTACATCATCAACTAAAGTGGTGTTCAACTGTACTGGATTAGGATCTCATAAATTAGGAGGTGTTAGTGATTCTAATGTATATCCAACTAGAGGACAAGTTGTAGTTGTTAAAGCCCCTCATATCAAAGAAAATGTTATGAGATGGGGTGAAGATTATGCTACTTACATAATCAAAAGACCTTATTCTAGTGATCAATTGATTTTAGGTGGATACATGCAAAGAGATAATTGGACTGCTGATACTTTTAAAGAAGAAACTGAAGATATTATTAAAAGAACTACTACTTTATATCCTAAGATTCTTGAAAAGAATCCTTTTGGTAATAAATTAGAAATTTTAAGAGTTGTAGCTGGGTTAAGACCAAGTAGACATGGTGGGGTTAGAATTGAGAAAGAACTTGTTGGTCATGATAAATATTTGATTCATAATTACGGAGCCAGCGGTTATGGATACCAAGCTGGTTTAGGTATGGCCTCTGAAGGTGTTAGATTAGCTTTCCTTAATGATAGTAAGATTTAAGTAGTTTAATCTCTCGTGTAGTATATAGTAAAATAAAAAGTACACCCTTATCTACTAACATATATTTTTTGTGTAAGTGCGTGTGAGGGTAAAAGCCTTGATGCTCAGTTAGCAGAAGAGAACAAAACAGGGAGGGACGAAGCTGGTTATTATTACCATAATCCATATTTTATTTAAGGAGCAGTTCAATTATTCAATATGTCACAATTATTTGAATGGGCATTTGGTAAGAAACTTACTCCACAGGAGAGGCTTCGAAAGAATCAAAGAGCTTTGGAGAAGACTCAGAGAGAATTAGGTAGAGAAGTTACAAAGTTACAACAACAAGAGAAGAAATTAATAAGTGATATTAAAAAATCAGCGAAACTGGGACAGATTTCAAGTGCTAAGATTCAAGCCAAAGATTTAATTAGAACTAAAAGTTATATAACCAAATTCAATTCTATGAAAGCCCAATTACAAGCTATTTCATTAAGAATACAATCGGTAAGATCTAATACACAAATGGCCACTTCAATGAGAGATGCTACTAGATTATTAGCAGGAATGAATAGATCAATGAATTTGCCACAGTTGTCTAGAATAGCGCAAGAATTTGCTAAAGAGAATGATTTAATGGATCAAAAGCAAGAATTCATGGATGAGGCCATTGATGATGCTATGGCAGATGATGAAGAATTAGACGAAGATGAACAAGTCGATGAAATCTTGGGTAAGGTTCTTGATGAAATTGGAGTTGACCTTAATTCAAACTTGAAGGATACTCCTACTGCCATTAATGTTCAAACTGAAGAGAATGTATCTAATGGTAGAGTAGCCGAAGCTCTTGGAGGTGCTGGTGGAAGTAGTGGACATACAGATGAGGATGATTTACAAGCAAGATTAGATAGTTTGAAAAAATGATTTTTCTATGCTATAATATACAATTAATGTGCAATGACTATATCAACTTATTTATAAGCTCTAAAATTACAAGAATGTTGATGAAGAAATGAAAGGTATATCTAAATGAATCTAAATGAATTTCTTTTCAATTAAGTATTCAATAATTTGTTCAGCTGAATCTTCAATAGATGCACCAGAATAATTTTTTAAATGAATTTCAGGAGATTCAGGAGCTTCATATGGAGCACTTATACCAGTGAATTCCTTAATGATACCTTCTCTAGCTTTTTTATATAACCCCTTTGGATCTCTTTGTTCAGCAACTTCGATTGGAACATCAACATAAACTTCAACAAATGGTAATCCATCTTTTTCATGTAATTCTCTAGCTAATTGTCTATCTTGCTTATAAGGACTAATGAAAGAAGTTATAGTAATAGTACACGAATCAGTAAATAATTTAGCAACTTCAGAAATTCTTCTAATATTTTCATTTCTATCAGCTTCACTAAATCCCAAATCTTTATTTAATCCAAATCTAATATTATCACCATCTAATCTATAAGCATTTAAATTTCTTGCTAAAATAGATTGTTCTAAAGCACAAGCAATAGTTGATTTACCACTAGCTGATAATCCAGTTAACCAAACAGTGACACCTTTTTGCTTTCTTAAACTAGAACGTTCTTCATGAGTTAAGTTTGGGTGCCAAGTAATGTTAGTAGCCATTTTGTATAGTAATTATGTAATTCTAAAAGTAAAAAAATAGCTGTATTACTACCAGTTATGATTTGGGTGAAAAATTTATGAACCCCAAAGATCTTAGTCAAATAATAGTGGCTACATCATTGCACGTGACCATTGATAAGGAACTTGTCGCAAACCGTTTTCCTAGATGTCATATGATTACGTAACTATACGACAAAAGTGTGTTCTGAACAAAAGCTTCATGAAAAGCAAAAAAAAAGTTTTCAGTGGGTTAAGACCAACAGGTTAAACAAAGAGCTTTGAGTTCATTCCCACTTATAATAGAATAAAGATATAATGTATTACGAATTGTTTGCTATAACCCGTATAGTGGATCCAGTAAATGGAAGTAAAGAAGCACAAAAGATTGTTTCAACTATTGGTAAGTTGATTCTTAATAATAGAGGAATAATTAGAGATATTACTAGTTTAGGTGCAAGACCATTACCAAAGATCATGAGAAAGGAACAAGAAAGATATTTCCAAGGTTATCACTTTTTATTAGGATTTGATGCATCTTCCAATGTACAAGAACAATTATTAAGAACGTTGAGAGCAGATCCAAGAATATTGAGATCTAGTATAAAGAAGATTGATACATCAAAGGCTTTAAATCCAGGTTCAACTCTTCAACAAGCAGCTCTTGGGTTAACCAAGAACTTTTAAGGGATAATATAACTGATTCTACAATATAATGGTTCATTAAATTCTGTACATAGTGTGACATATAACTTTTTTCATTCTGCATTAATATAAGTTCTTGAAGGGCTTCTATAATTTATTTGAAACATGTAGACGTTGTTGGAGACATTGTGATAAAGCAATTTCTATATTATACACGTAAGTTTAATAGCTCTCCATGAATCGGATTTAAGAGAAACGTTACAGGTAAAGTTAGAAGTAGTTTTAATTCTGTTTGAGCGATTGTCAATGGGTCCTATCAGTATCTGATACGAACGAATACATATATGTAACTTCAGAAAAAAGTAAGTTAGACAGTAAATAGCATCCAGTAATTAGAGAATCCTCTATTGCAAGCTAGCAAGTTCACTGGAGTGTCGCCCAATCCTCGATTGGTACGACATTTGTATATCGCTTTTACTCTATTGAAGCCGTCATTGCGAGACAAATGTCGGTCACATAGGACAGATGCGGTACAATATAAATAGGCTCATTCTGAGATTTAAAAGATTACTTATATAGAAGTAAGCAGTTATGCATATAAATCTGTAATACCTATACATAGACTTGTAGAACGGATAGAGCATTTATCTGTTTGAGCGATCGTCAATGATTCTTTCCAGAATGTGATATGAATGAATAGTATGTTAGGCATTATCTAGCATCCAGAAGTTAGTGAATCCTCCATTGTAAGCCAGCTGGAGAATCTCCCAATCAACCATTTATTGCATGTTTAACTATATTGGACAAAGTGTCTCTGTGCTAACATCAAACAGCGCTATCCATTCCATGCTGCCTTCAAACTAAGTTGATTCCTGAAGCAATTGAATACACAGTGATTCCTTCTCCTCATCGTAATCGATTTGTTAGGAGAGTGGTAGCTTACATTGGATAAAGCCAACGTTGGATTTTGAAACCACTAAATTTGCCAATTGTTCCTTCTTCATTAGAATCTTTGGTTGTCTCACTGGTGAGAAGATCTAGTTGCCCGACAGTGAATTACCAAACTGGCTTTGAAAAGCAAACTACAAGTAAGGGTGGATATGGATAATGAGAACAAATGTCATACTGACTTGTTACTTCTGCAATTGCTGCCGCAGATATACGTAGCAAAGAAAATATGTATACAAAATACTGGATTTTCATTTTATCATATATTTTCGAAGCCGTCCACGCAAAAGGTGCAAATCGGTAACGCATTTTTGAGCGCATTTTTTGCTTTATTATTTTGAGGCGCGCAAATGCAGTTAACCTTACAATTTATACTGGAGCCTTCAAAGCTATTTTAGCCATTCACAGGCTATGTCACATTCCTCAATTCCAATATTTAAAAACACTAACTTTCCTTCTGGGAAATAGAGAAAGAAATAGATTTATAACTGAACGGTCTATTCTTTTTGAATGTATATTTATCAATGGGTTACTTTCTTGTTGGCTATTTCCAATCCCTCCTTGGATTACTTCTATGGACAAATATTGTATTAGGTGCACAACTTTATGGGAGAAATATCACGAAAACGGGAGTTACATGTGATATTATACAGGTGTTACCTGAATCTGGAGAAGCATACATTTCAATTAAGGGAATTACAAATTATGATTTAGTAGACTTACCAGTCTTGATATTAAAGTCATCTGATTTTATTAACTTCACTAATATCTTAAACGATACTTACTATAATGATTTATTCACACATAATAGAACCGTTTTGTATGACCAAGTCCTCGATTACGGTAATAATATATTCAATTTATCTGTGGCAAATGGTTTCCAGTTTTATGAAACAAACGTTTATAACGGACTATTAAGTTTGGGGAAAGTGGTCGCTATTCAGAATGAAATTCAGTTCCCAGTTCAAAGAACAGGAACTTATTGTATTTTCATAGCACCTCCTGTTGATGTTTCGCTTAATGATTTATCTCTTTCAACTTCTTTCATTAGTTCATATGGACACTTAGAATATTCAGATTATTTGTTGTATGTACAACTCAGATATTTTATCATTCTAGACATTGTGCTATTTACCTACCTAAATTACATCGCTAATAAAGCTAGATACCAAGATGGTCTTGTCAATTTCGAAGTAGTTTCTAATGCTTCAATATACTATATTTTACTACCTTCCATTCTTGTGGATATATATGAATACTTTTTACTATTTTTGGAGAACAATTACCCATCATTAAAATTAGATGCAATTAGATATTTTGATGGTATTATATCAGAAGCATATAAAGTGGTCATTAGATACTTCATGTTACTATTTGCATTGGGATATGGTTCTCTATATTATCATAATGATTCATTGCAGAACTATAGTAAAATGCCATCGAAAACATTCTTTCGCAGCAATATGCTATTGCTCTTTAATTGCATTATAGGTTTATTATCAAGTTGGAGAAGTTATGGAATATTGAATTTGCTACTTACATTTCTACAATTAAGTTGGTATGTACTAACATTTATTAGTTATTTTAGAACTAAGCGATTAATTAAAACATATCCCGTAGGATCAATTGGTGATACAGCAAAAGCATTTAGTCGGTCAATTTGTATTCTATTTATTCTGCCTCTTGTTAGGCCCTTGGTGTTTGTTTTAGTTATGATTTATGTTATCGTGGATATGATTCTTACCTTAAAGCATTCAAAAGGACATTTATCCTATGATCTTGAAACTGATTTTATAAATAAATTTATAAATTCCATATTATGGCAGGGTCATATAAAGGTTTTACTATTAGTTTCCCTTGCCCACTTCATTTGGTTTAAGAGTAACCGTATTACATCCGGTGGACTTCATAAAGCTGATATTACAAAGAAATTGTCTTAGAATATATAGAAAATATAGAATATTTAATAACTTCTTATTTGATGTAACATGGAATCGAGACGTTATTTTTATGAGTTATGTCCCTATAGGGACAGTGCATAAGATCAGTAAAATAATATATTGATTGATATTACTACTACACATTTAGTTCAATTGGGTTAAACGAGATCGATCGATAGTGTATGGAGCCGCACTGCCTTCCTAATCAGGAAGTAACCAAAACTTTGGTGCAGCTTAGCTACTTTGACATACCATCTCAATTGAATCAATTCCAATTCGCCAGTTTATGGGGAATCATTTCATATCTAGATTGATGTTCCTTTATCGGACTCTGACACATGTCTATTGGGTAAGGTTAGCCAAGAAGCTTATCAACAATTAACGGTTTTGATATTCGCTAGGTTGTATAGTTAATTTATTAATGTCGCCCCACTAATTACAATAATTGCGTCTATGTACATTCTATTGTGATTCAAAAAGATTACTACTCTACACTACTGTGCATTGCAACCCTGAACAACTGTCTACAACTAAGTTACAACTCTGCTCATATACAGTCAAAGCCCGCCATTTCTATACCTTTCTCACTTTCTCGCTTTCTCAATTTCTCACTTTCTCATTCTCCTTCTCTTGCCACTTTCTCTCCGTTCTCTGTAACAGCTAACTTCTTTTGTTTTGGTTTGACACAAACAGCCTTCGCGAACCAAACCAAAAAAAAAAAAAATAGCCCGAGAACGTTGTTTACATTTACTTGGCCAATATAGAAAACTAATTATTTATCCACTAATCAAAATCACTGATAGTATGGACAGTAATTACTATCTGAAGGATGATAAAGGGTTTACATTACTAACACAGAACATTAATGCAGAACTCGACAATACTAAAATTAATTCCATTAATACCAATAAGTCTACATCATCCCCATTAAGATTATATAAAAATTATAATAAATCACCAAGTCCAAGTACAAAAACTTCATTAACTGGATCTCCCATTAGGAAAATGGTAGATAGTGATGAGTTCCGACAATTACAAAGTGAATACAGCAAATTGGAACGTCAATTTGCTGATATTGTCCTTAAAAATAATAGTGTACAAAATGATTTCCTTCAATTAGAATCAGAATTAAACTCAAAGAGTATAACACTACAAGAACAAAATGATAAATTAAAAGAATATGAATCATATATAAAGACCATCCAATCAGATCATGGGAAAGATCATGATTTCTTACAACAAGAAATTCAATTCTATAAACAATATATTGAAGAATTACAAACTAAACTATCAACAACTTTAACTGATTTAAAAAAATCTCAGGATGATTCATCTTCAACAACAACTCTAACAACTACTCCTATAGCAGATCAATCATTTGAGAAATTACAACGAGATTTCCGAGTCTTGGAAAGTAATTATGAAGTAGAAAAGAATTCTAAATTGGTTTTAATGGATCAAATAGAATTCTTAACTAAAGAAAATGAATTACTTAATAATCAATTGGCTCAAACTGAGCAAGTATTTGAAAATTCAATATTAATTCATGAAAATAGTGAAATTAGTCAAATTGTAAATACTATTCATACGATGCATGAGTTAACATCAGATGATGATGATGATGAGCTTGATGATGAAGATTATGTAGAAGATGTTAATAATGACAGTATTTTGTTTCAATCTAATATCAACTACAATAACGATAGCAATAATAATAATGAAACTTACGATAAACCCCTACCATTTGAAGACTTAAACGGTCTCTATTTGGCCGATGAAATACAACATTCATCACCAATTAAACAGCAACAACAAGAATTTAATAGTGAGGAATCAATTGAAGTATCTCAACAATTTCAATTCCCATTACCTCCATCAAATTCGGTATTTCCGCCTTCTCCTGATCCTCAATCAAAAGATAAGAAAAGGCAATCTTTACCATCAAAATTAAAGACAGCTTCACCTGTTTTAAATAATAATGAATTTGTATTATCTCCTTTAAAGCTTGCCAATAGTTCTTTACTTGCATCAAATAATTCTGAAAATAATAATAATGGACAGAGACCAAAATCTCCTACCATTAAACGTTATTCTACATCCAAACCTCATCATACTCGGTATAATAGTCATGATATAGTACCCATAAAAGTTGAATTTGAACAACAACCTTCACTTGAATCTCAATTAAGAAGTGCGACTGTTCCAGAACATGGTCATACATTCAATACAAGTACCTTGATGGAACAAGATCAAAGTAGAGAAAGTGCATTGTCAGCATTAAATGGGAATACATCTGGATTCGAATCCAAAAGACATTCAATAATGACTAATTCATCATCAAAACGTTCATCATTAATAATGTTGGATAATTTCACAAGTGATATGACCAAACAAGAAATAATGAAATTAAAATTCGAATTACAATCCTTGAAATTACATAATGAGAAATTACTTTCATATATTGGATTTGAATTACAAAAACAAAAGAAGAATATTAAGAAATTAACCAAGAAACAAAGTGCAATGTCTTTAAGAAATAAAGCTATTGAATATTCTGATGCTAAATTAATCGAAAGATCTCGAGAATTATTAATTCAAAAGAAGCGAGTATTAAGATCAGTATCCATTAATGCCATTCTATCAAAAAACTATGGTAATTTGAACAAAGAAGAGGCTAAGAATAATGGAAAGATTGGATCTGGTTCTAAGCATGTTAATGGCATGACTGGGGATAGGATTCATGAAGGAGTTATTGGTATTGGAATGGTTCCATTATCAAAACAATTATTTAATATTTATGAGAATAATAATGAAAATGATTTTGATGTTAGCATTAATGAAGATGATTATGGATTTCTTACACATAATGAAAGATATGGAACTAGGATATTTTCTAATGGATTGAATACTTATTTAAACTTTGAAGACATTAATGATATTGATGATGGTGATGAAAAAGATAATGCGGGTTCAAATGATCATCCAAATTCTAAAAATTTAAGGAAACATACCTCGCAAGTGTTTGAAAAGAAGAGATATTCTTCATCTACATTAAGTGAAGATGATGATGAAGATGATGAAGATTATGATAATGAGGATGGGGATGGGGATGGGGATGATGACATAGTCAAGGAAGAGGAATATTCATCAGAAGAAGAACTTTTAACAGGGATGTTTAATCATGTTAAGTATTTAGTGTTGGGAGCTAATTCGGTTAAGAAGAGAAGAAAGAAGAAAGATCTGTTGGTAGATGATGGTCTAAAGTATAAATTTGTTACTATTGCTCTTGGAATTATACTAATTGCCGTTAAATTCTCTCATCAACAGCATTATGCAATTACTACTACAAGTAATTCATAATTAACACACTAGATGCATTTACATATTAAATTAAATATCTCATGCTTTGTAACATTATAATAATAAATACTTATTAGAATTAACGTAAACGAAAATAATAAGTCTAAAACTAACTTTAAATCCGTTTAAGTTAAGTTAATTAAATAATTCTAATACTAACTCTAATTTTTATGGTTAGGAATAAATTGTTGGCTTATTTAAGTAACTCTACGAGTGACTGCGCCCAGTAAAAATTACACATTTGCATTTGCATCCACTCGTCATAAATTTTCTACCTACTAATAACTAATATGCATTCTGATATGGTTCACATGTCGAACAATCAACATGCCCCCACCCTCCCACTGTTTTTATGTAACAATGAATTCCATCCCGTCCCCTCCCTCCACCATTACCTAATTAGGCAGGTGCGGCCCATCGTTGCAAAAAAATTTGCGAGAAAAGTGGAACCATTTTTTTTATTTTGTGATTTGTTACATGTCAATTATAATTACTTTAGGCATAAAGTCAGGCAAATCAATAAAGCCTGCCCATGTCGGTTAGGTGGTCTCATATTAATAATAATAATATATTATATATTGTAGAAATGGACCGATTTTTATTAAAATTTTAATTTTTATTCTTATAACCCGACTGAATTCCTTTCGTTTCCAAGTAATCACCGTATAACCTTTTTTTTAGTGTTTAATGAAGTCTGTTGACTGTCATTATTAACGCATATATATTGCTCAATTTAACTAATAACCGAAACATCATAATCATTCATAGATTACTTATTCATCAGTTGGAGGACGCGTACAGAATATATAAAATCTATAGATCTATACATTTGTTTGTCCTTTAATTATTTCCAATTGCATTATCCTCCGAAGTATATAATATTTATTATTCATTATCATTATGGCATTAAGAAATTACTTATATGCTAAACACGCAGACGGTGTAACTGCAGCCAGAATAAATAAAGTAGATCCAAATGATTCCCGAACTGAACTTATTCAACAAACCATAGAAAGTTTCAATAATCATAACCGTCAATTAAATACCCATCATACTAGTCCAAACCATCGTAATAAATCTCCTGATCATAATAATTCTAAAAAGAAGAAGATTAGAGTGGTGCATGGTCCATCTCAATCTAGAATGAAGAAAACTAATATGCAATTTTATAAATCAAATGAATCTTTAAATGAAGTTGAAAGTGTACCTTCTTCATTTTCAGAAGGAACTGTAACCAAATCAAAGTGTCATAGAAATTCAGACAATATCGAAATGGAAGATGCACCAACTGAAAAGTGTAAAAATTGTCCTGACTGTGAGCTGAAAAAGCATAAACATGAAGATGATGAAGAAGGAACTTCAAGTCCAACTTCTCCTTTATTAGCTGAACAGACTGTACCTAAAGTTGCTGTTGAGTATCATAATTCTGATTATACTACTATGGCACAATTACAATCTCAAATTACAAGTTTAAGTCTTGATAATTCATCATCTAATGAGATCGATTTCACTCATGTTCTATAAAATTCTCCCATCGGGTTTCTTGCATGTTTTCATTAGCATTTATTTATTCAATTTCAGTTCTATCTAATATAGGCATGGGCGTCTGTTTGTAGTGTACCATATATATATTGCTTGTTTTTTATATGCCATATATTTTACATAATTATATAAAAAGGTATAAATGGGATACCAGGTTTTAATTTTTTTTTTATTCTAATAAATATATTTATTTGGATTCTAATCTATGTTGAACCATCAACAATAAATAGTATAAGAAATTTAAATATGGAATATCTTTCTTAATCTCTTCTTCTGAACCTTTAATCTGGTTATAAATTCTAATAATATTTCCTAAAATAATTTCAAGTTCAATTAATCTACCATTTCTTGAATCAACTAACATTGAAGGTTGATAATTCTCTGGAGCATCGAATTTCTCAGTATCTTTAATCATATTAGTAATGTGATCATCTACTATATACTGTTGATATTCTCCATAATCAAATTGCTTTAAATCAAGATTAGCAACATATTGAACTTCCTTCATTAATGGTTGGAATACTTTTTCAATAATTTGTTTGGACTCCTTTAATTCATAAACCTTACCAACATCCAAATCGGTTAAACAGCATACTGTATTGTATGCTGCATTATAAATTAACTTCTTCCATCTAGTAAATCTAGCATTATGATCTAATTTAGTAGAATTGATATCATTAGAATATAAATCAATGAGCTTTTCAAGAGATTTTATAGCCTGTTTATCATGAATTTTATTAATATCAAATAATCCAAGTACTAATGTATCATGAGAATATTGAGTTATATGACCTTTATTATTAGTTGAACTAATATATGATACACCACTAATTAAATTAACACCTTTAACATGAGACCAATTGGATTCAATATCAATTCCATTTTGAACTAATACAATACTGGTTTCAAAATTAGATTTAATTAATTTAGTTCTATTTGCTTCAATTTGATCCCAAACATTGACTGGTGAAGGAACAACTTTAGTAGATATTACTATATAATCGAATGGACCAGAAGTTACATCATCAACACTCTTAAATATATGATCTGGTCTAAATCCTTTGATTGAATCTTCACCTTCTTTACGTCCACCGTAATCAGCACTACTAATGGTGTACCCTTCCTTAACTACTTTATCATAATCTGATCTAATTACGGCTGTAATCTCAACTTCTGATCCATTATTTCTCTTCAAAGTATATGCGGCCATGGCGCCAACACCACCTAATCCAATACAAAGGATCTTAGTCATTTGGTATTGTCTTCACTATACTATATGTATGAACTATACTTTCAAAATTAATATTTGATATAATCTTAAATTTAAGAATATTTATCTCCATTTTATATCTTGGACAGTTTTAGCGGAAATTTCCTAATTGGGTTGGCCGAAAGCGGCTCACAAAATCATTCGCTATCGCTTACCTTATACTGAAAGAAAAATGCTGCAAAAATATATGGACATTTTTGTATTATACTTTACAAACCTATAATAAAATTTACAATAATAATAATAATAATAATAATAATAATACACAATATCTCTAATAGAAGTAAGTAGTAATGGCTGATGCTATAATGTATTAGAATTGAAACGGAAAAGATATACAATACAAATCATGTAGAGCTATCTCATCCAAGACAAAGAGTAGCAAGTGGTATAAGAATTAAATGAGCAAACTTATGTATCTTATAGTAAAATAAACAATTTTTTTATGGTAATCTGCTCTTATTGGATACATGGTTCAATTCATTGGATAATAACGGATTCCTTTGTTGTCTTGAAATTGAACCCGGTAATAAATCTAATGAATTATTAATATGTCTTAAGCGGTGCAGATGAGGATTTTGATGAGCTTGTTGCAGTGGCGGAGCTAGCTGTTGTTGTTGTAGATTAGCTGATGAAGGAGTGCCAGGAATTACGATTGAATTTGGATTCTGATTAGCTGGACCTCGAAGGAATAAGTCATCTATGCTTGACATGGGCGACTGTTGAGGTTGCTGATCTTGATGAATCCCCGAAGATTGCAGATATTGATTCCTAAGATGAAGCTGAGTCAATGGATCCGTGTTAAGAGCCTGTTGTTGAAAGTGTTGCTGAACTCTTTGCTGCAAATGCTGTTGCTGTTGATGTTGAAGATGGTGTTGCAGCTTTGGGGGTTGTTGCAGATGCTGCACTTGTTGTTGCTGCACTTGTTGTTGCTGTTGTTGTTGCTGCACTTGTTGTTGCTGTTGTTGTTGCTGTTGTTGTTGCTGTTGTTGTTGCTGTTGCTGTTGTTGTTGCTGTTGCACTTGTTGCTGCTGTTGCTGTTGTTGCTGCTGTTGCACTTGTTGCTGCTGTTGCACTTGTTGCTGCTGTTGCACTTGTTGCTGCTGTTGCGTCTGCTGTGGTTGTGGCAGTTGTTGTGGTTGCTGTTGCTGTTGTTGATGCTGTTGATGCTGTTGATGCTGTTGATGCTGTTGTTGCTGTTGTTGCTGTTGTTGCTGTTGTTGCTGTTGTTGCTGTTGTTGCTGTTGTTGCTGTTGTTGCTGTTGTTGCTGTTGTTGCTGTTGTTGCTGTTGTTGCTGTTGTTGCTGTTGTTGCTGTTGTTGCTGTTGTTGTTGTTGCAGTTGTTGCAGTTGTTGCTGCTGCTGCTGCTGCTGTTGAATGGTCCTTATCTTGATCATCCTTTCATTAAAAAATGATGTCTTAAACTCTTGAAATATTTTGATGGTTTGAGGATACTCATACTGGTGATCATGAAAGAATCTATCAGCAAACATGTAAATAAATCTCTCGATATCAGCAGCATTAATAGCTTGGGTTTGATCAAGGCTTGTAGAGGTAAGCAATGAAGATGTTGTATCTATATTTTGAGGCGCTGAAGGTGAAGATATTGGTAATATGTTGGCTGCACCATTCAATGGTGAATTCTTATCATTTCCATTAATATTACTTAGTGTGGTACCATTGTTATTATTACTGTTGTTCTTAGAACTTGATCTTGTCGATCTACCTTCAAACTGTTGACGATGAGTTCTTGCTTGTGGATAGTCAAAAGATGCTGTAGAATGCGTATCTGGAGGTTTTGGATAACGAGTTGGCTTTGGATGTAGTGCCAAAGATGTAGTTGAAGGAGTTGTTGATGAAGGTACAGATAATGAAGGTGCTGGTAAGCCATTTTGTTGTTTCTTCTGCTGGTGGTATAAAGCCATTGGGGTCCCATTTGAGAAATTGAGTTGAGGACGAAACTGATTGTTAGAAGCTTGATCATTAACATTAGTTGTTGAAGTCGTAGAAGTGGCTGAAAGTTGAGGATTGAGAAGATCATAAGTATTGGAGGTATTTGAATTTGAATCAACTGAAGCAGTAACGGAAGTTCCATCTGTAGCAGACGTATTATTTACAGTACCATTAGCATTAGATCCATTATTATCATTATCATTAGCCAATATTGGATCATATACATGATCAGTTCCTTGTTGGTTCGATACACGACCACCATTGGTATTACCATTAGTTGGAATAAGTCGAGGAGTAGAATGGATAGATGAGTTGGAAGATGGAGGAGTTGAATTATGATGAGATATAACACTATTACCACCATTATTTTTATTATTAGTAGTATTTGATTTTGTAGAATCACCTGATACATTTGAATCATTAGCCACTGGACTCGATGAGGATCGAACATGCGATCCTGAACGTTTTTTATTAAGACCATGTCTTTTTTTGAATTGGCTTAGCCAACCATGACTAAAGCCCACTAAACGTTTTGGATCATCTACTCCAAATTGATGAGCATATATTGACCAATGTTCTCTTAATATTGGTTCATTAATAGGTTCATTTCTTTCTAATCTCTTCTTAACCAATTGATCCATAGCATGGTTGATTTTTTCATACTTATATTTAACCTTTCTTTTACTGTTTTTAGTAAATCTTGATGATGCTTCAAATCTTTCACGTAAATCATCTTCATTTTTTAACCATTCACTAAATGATGAAGTTGATATTGATATGGTATTTTTATAATGATCAACTGTCTCCAGTTGTGGACGACTAGACTGATGGTAAAAGTCTAATATTTGGATCTTCTGTTCAAGAGTAGCTCTTGGCTTAATAGGAGAGGACATCCTAAGCTAAATTTTTGCTCTTTATTAAAATTAAAAATTATGACTAGATATGAATGATTTTAGTGATTTAATTTAATAAGTATTATTCAACACTAATTTCAATAGTGTTGATAGTAATTTAAACGAATTTTTGAGCACTAGTGATGAAGAATGGTGTTATGATTTAAAACACCAATAGTACAAATATGATGCGTCTTACTATGGAGACATGTACAGTTTAGACTGTCAAGTAATAAAAGGTAACTGAATGAATTTTTAATTAAATAAATAAGCCTTAACTATGCTATAAATAAGTGTAAATATACCAGGATTTGGTTTTCCACTAGTTTTCGGCAAAGTTATAAAGTTTTGAAGTTATACTCCAAATAACCCTCCTTAAAAAGATACTGTCCTGATTGAACAAGTTTTTGTCAAATGCGTTTGGGATGGGCGCACGACTCGCTTAAACTAATCCCTTTCAACTACAAATTAAAAGTTACATATAAAAAACACAATTACACAATATAAATATAATAGTTATTTAGTTAGTTATATATTTATAATGATAAATACAGTTTTACTAGTATAATTGCTTGAAATCAAATCAGTGTTCTTTTTTTTTTCTTTTTTACTTTACTTTATTATCAAACATCAGCTAATTGACTTATAATTGAATTAGTCAATTACTCCTTCGAATGGTCAAATGCTCTAGTGAGATCCAGCACCCTTACTAACTCTTTCTAAAACAGTATCGTAAGCAACTTCTGAAAAATCAGTACCTTGGATATCAGATGCAACCCCATTTAAGGCTCTTCTTAAAGCATCCTTAGAAGAAGCGTAAACCATTTTAGCTCTAATTGGGGCAGTATCTGGAGACCAAGTGAAAAAGACAATCTTTGATCTTTTACCTTCACCACCACCAATTTCATATTCAAAATCGTATACGGCATATTTACATTCATTTTCTGGTAATTTTTCTAAGAATGCATCATAATCAGTGTTGGTTGAAGTTTCTTCAACAACAATTTCGGTTTTACTGTCATTTAAAGAAAAGATAATGAATTTATACTTCTTACCTAATTTTAAATCATTGAAAGCAGTTAAGGATTCGTCAGCGACGGCAACACTATAATATTTCAGTTAGTATATACTTGCCATTACTATAATGTAATGAAAAGATTAAACGTACCCAGATCTTGACTATAAGTTTATTAATGTTAGTATCATTGAATTATATACTGATTACTTAATTCAAATGGTCTATTATGATTGGTGGTGAATTAATGACTTATTTTTGTTAGTGAACTCATGAATAATACCCCCCTTATTCATCAACGTCCACGAACTATATGGCCATATTTACCCTATACATGCTCAGCCTTCCATTAATTCATCCAATCAATCAATCAATCCATTTGTCACGTGCTGCAACTCAATTGTCTGCTACAACACACACGGTGATACATACCATTTTATTATGATAGTTATTACTGTATTATGATGATACTAGTAGTAATTGCCAAAAAGGAACACCCATAATTTATCAACACTTTTCCTGTTTTTCCCACTCGCTCGCATGTCTGTTTTCGTTGATGTCAGAAAATGTCTACGTGCGACATTACTGTATTCGGTTACATACTATTTGGCTGCTACTCCTGATTAAGTACTAGTAATTAAGTGGTCTACATATAGGTTATATCCGAGTGTATATGTATTTTTTGTATACTGTATTCATTTGTGTATCGTTAGAATTATTTTCTTGTCAAATTTTTAAAATTACTTTATGAAACATTTTAGCATAACTTAGCAGAAAAGCTATGTTTTTGCTTAGCAAAATAATTGAACTAATAATCTTCCATCTCATTATTAAACATAAACAATACTTTTGAAATAAAAAGTGCTAATTGCAAATGAACGTAGAGATTTTTGATTCTATTAAAGAACATTCTCAATCAAATGATTGGCTGCAATTTCCTAATTCAAGAGGTGTGTTTGATAATGCCACTAAATATACAGCAAGAACTACTAATTAGGTATAGATCTTTCTCGCAAAAGTTGACCAATTTCAAAAAAAGCTTTTATGTTTTATAATAACATAGATAAATAAATTTATGAAATGCAAAATATCATCCTATCCGGATAATAAAGGTGCATCTCATCGTTATTTTATTCCTTAAAGTACTAAGCATTTCTTATAATGGTTCGAACTAGTTACATGTAAATATAAAGACAATTAAAATACCCACTTTTAGATCTTTTCTATAATAATTATCTATAGCGAGGACACCATAACTAATAATTCCGTAGTACCAACTGATGTTTGACCTAGCAAATTGGTAGCGCTACACAGATTTTTGACAGAACGTGATATTTAGCACATGACTTTCACGTGAAATGCACGTGATATTATGAATCTGTCAGAAACATTTAATGCAATTTTTGAGTAAGATGCGCTTTGTTGGCGTAATGGGAAGGAATTTTATATTCACGCGCAAAAATTTGTGTCGTGTGTTCGATTCCTACTGTTGAAGATACGATGGCCGAGTGGTTAAGGCGGAGGATGCAGGTTCCTCTGGGCTCTGCCCGCGCAGGTTCGAACCCTGCTCGTGTCGTTAAACTTATTTTTTGAATTTTAAATTAATATATAAGTGATGGTAAGTACCTAGACTATATTTTTAAACCTCTTTAATACCAATACTAGTCCACTACATTCACCAGTATGCTAACAAAGTTAACAATAGCTGCGAAGAAATTATTTCCAACGGTCTAACACAAAAGGCACCAAAGCCCAGAAAAAAGATTAGTGTCAGAACAAAAAATATTAGTTAGTGATAGAAGAGGTGTTTGATCAATTAAGTACAAGTACTGTCAAGATGGGTGTAGACTTATATGAAGTTCTAGAAGTGACGTCTAGTGCGACGGATCTTGAGATAAAAAAGGCGTATAGAAAATTAGCTCTTAAATATCATCCTGATAAGGCTACTGAAGAAGAACGAGAAGTAGCAGAGCAAAGATTTAAAGAGATCACTAATGCTTATGAAATACTTAGTGATGAATTAAAACGAGAGAAATATGATATGTATGGTACTGCCGATGGAACAGGACTGAATGGATATGGGAATAATCCATATGATGAATTTTTTGGTGGTAATGGAGGTGCCAGTGCTGACTTTTCAGCAGAAGACTTTTATAATTTCTTTGATGGAATGAATGGCAATGGTCATACTAATGGACATTCTTCTTATGGTCGTGGTGGATCTAAAAGAAAAGAAAAACCTCGTACTGAAGATGCAGTAATTGATGTAGAAGTTACATTAGAGGATCTTTATAAGGGTAAAACTATAAGAACTGGATCAACAAGAAATATAATATGTACATTATGTAAAGGTAGTGGATTTAAAAAGGCTGCTATAGGAAAAAGATGTACTACATGTGATGGAGCTGGAACTGCGGCAAGAATCAGAAGAGTTGGACCAGGATTAGTAACTCAAGAATATGTTGAATGTAAACCATGTAATGGAGTTGGTAAGATTTATCGTCCTAAGGATAAATGTAAAAGATGTTCAGGAACTAAATTAATTGAAGAAACTAAAATTTTAGAATTTGAAATTGTGAAAGGATCTAAAAGTGGAGAAGCTATAGTATTACCTCAAGAATCAGATCAATATCCTGGTAAAGAAACTGGAGATGTTAAATTAATATTTTATTGTAAAGATCATGAAACTTTTATTAGAAAAGGTGATGATTTATATTCAAAATATAAAATTCCATTGGTTGAAGCATTATGTGGATTTTCAAAAGTTTTAGTTAAACATTTAGATGGTAGAGGTATAAAAGTTTCAACACCAAAGGGTAAAGTTGTAAGACCAGGAGATTTTATTAAAATTAAAAATGAAGGTATGCCAATAAAGAGTTCAAATAAATGGTTTGGATCAGGATCTAAAAGAGGAGATTTATATATTGAAATTGAAATTGAATTTCCTACTGATAATTGGTATCTTGAAAAGAATGATATATTAAAAATGAAAAACCTTTTACCTAATGACTTACAAAATAAGTCAGATATTTTAAAACAAACTATAAATAAAGATTCATTACCTGAGGCTAATATAGAAGTTGTAACTGATTTCTTAATTGAAACAATTAATACTTTACCCAAGTATGATACCGAAAGTGAATCAAACACCAAGGGAACTAGAACTTCTTCTCCTCATTATGATGATTTTAATGCATATGATCAATATGATCTGCAACCAGAATGCAGACAACAATAATAAAATAAAAAATTTAATTAATTATAATGAAAATAATAATTATAATATAGATTTTCTCAGTGTATATACCTTTAATCTAATAAATCTTGTAATTCCTTAGCTGATAAACCTAATGGACCATTAGAATTATCTTGTAAATCTGATTCTGAATCAAATGATATATTTTGTTCCATAGTATCAAAACTAAGATTGGAATCTAAATCTAATTCTTCAAAATTTAATGCATCTTCATTTTGTTGGAGTTCAGGATAATCTTGAATGTTTTCTGATGTGACTACTGATCTGGTTGATTTAGAAAAGAATTGTAAATCTTCATTATTTAATGGTTCTAATCCAATTGGATTACTTGGTAAAGGATCTTCCTTAGGAGGTATAGTTTCTATATAATCATAATTATAATTATATCCATGATGAGGTATAGTTGGAATGATTCTTCGACTTCTTTTAATAGGATCAACATTATTATAATTTATATCATGAATAACTTTATTTTTACTATGAAGTTTATCAGTATGAGATGTTATGGTGGATATAAGATTTGGGGTTTGAGTATGAGAGGGGTTTTGATTTTGATTTTGATTCTTTTTAACCAATTCATCGGTAAATGTGGTTCTAACAGCAGGAGGTGCCAATTTAGAATTCAACTTTTTCAATATAACTCTTTCAGATCGTCTAATGGTACTAATAGTTTTAGGTTCAAATGATCGAACCGAGTGCAGGAATCCTAGTGATGAATTAGCCTTAGATAAAAGAGGAGGTTTTGATAAGGGTACAGGTACTCTTCTGGTAATGATATTAGTTCTATGATCTGTATTTGTATTTGTATTTGTACTTGTACTTGTACCTGTATTTGTACTTGTTAAAGAAGAATGTGACTTATCAAGGGTTGGAATAGCTCGGTTATTACTCTTACCTCCTAACGGTACTCTGGCTATCTTAGTCATTTTAGCGACTGGTTTTGTCACAAATGATTTGGGCTCTTTCCCCACTCGTCCCACGGCATTCTCCTTATCGAGGAATGAGATGTTTCTGGACATTGGTATGGTGGTTGTAGTAGTTGTAGTTAAAGAAGAGTGTCGTTTATGGGTTGTAGTGTTATCAAATTCCGTGTTTGTTTACGGATTCCACAAACACGGAAAAGAGAATTTGGGGTGTCCTGAGAGCCATGTGACCAATCACACGCAACTCATGTGACTGCGCATGTGACTCGCGGCACATGCTCCGCACCATAACTAAATCCATCACTATTATTTATTTACTACTACTATCTACTGTCTTTACCATTACTCAACAATTCTACCACCCCCCACTTATATATGGCGTTCCAAACTCAGTTCATTTCGGTCGTCTCGACGTCCACGATGAACAACTCCGGTTGGATCTACTTGGTAGACTGGATATTGGCACTTATCCTTGGTCTAGCATTTGTATTCCATTTTAATCGACTTGTGGGGTATATAATGTCTAAATTACTTAAGGTATTTTTATGGAAAAGGTATAAAATTCGAGTAACAATTGAGTCAATTAAATTTGCACCTTTAGGAGGTAGAATTTTTGCAAAGAATTTAACTATAACTACTACAACAGAAACTATATCAATATTACATTTAAATCTTACTTGGAGATATTGGTTATATAAAGTTAATAGATTATCTGATTATTATTATACTACTGAAAAATTGGCTAATGGTAAAGGTAATCGTATACCGAGACTGCAAAATGAGAAATTACCCTGTCGATTATTATTAATTCTTGATGGATTTGAAATCTTTATGTATAATAGAACTGCAGCTTATGATGCTATATTAAAGAATTTACAACAAGAGGATAAGGCTAATGGAACCAGTCATAATGTTCATTATGAGAAATCTTATCCTTATAAGGAATCCGATAGTAAACTTCATCATCGAGGAGGAGGAGGAGGTAGTCCATCAACTACAGATTATGATGAAACTCTGTCACTGACATCTAAATCAGATACAACCATTGTACCGGCAACTACTTCAACTACTGAAGGAATCTTAGGTATATTATTAAGAATCTTTCCTATGAAAGTTCGAATTAAAAAGGGAGCATTTGTATTAGGAAATTCAACAACTCCTTCACTATTATTAGCATCATTTGATTCAGCTAGTGGAGTTATGGATATTTCAAAACCAACTCATACTATAGATATTTTTAAACTTATGTATGATTTATCATTTGATAAATTTCAATTATGGTTTAAATCCAATATAACTTATGATAAATATCGATATTCGGATGGTGAACATCCTGAATCTTATACATCTGAATTAAATCACTTAAAGAAATATAAACAATGGTATAGATTCCAACGAGCATTAAATACATTCTATAAACTTATTAATCGAGTACGACATGTTAAACCGGTGAAAAATATTGAAGCAGACTTTTTAAGAGATCAATGGAGAGGACTTAAACGTTATGTAGGAGAACATCCAGATGCTAAAGCTCTTATAAATACTGAAGAAGAATATGCTAAATATAGTTTAATTTTAGATTCTGTGGTAACTAGAATCATTTATTATTATGATATACCCGGTATAGTTCCATCTACTATTACTCCGTTATCAAATGATGATAATCCAGAATTCGGAGTAGAAGTAGAATTATCTCTTGCCACTATTCATTATGGTCCATGGGCTGATAGACAACGAGTACCTTTACAAAATATGTTCTTCCCTAGTTTATCAAGAGATTCAGAAATAACTAAGAATCCTATTGCCGGAACTATAAGACAATATTCAGGATTTCAAGCAACAGTTATAGTAAAAGATGAAGTAATACTTCGAATCCCTACTCGAGAACCAAGTAAATTAAAAGAAATTTATAGAAGTCCCACAGCCACTAGAAATAAAGTAACTCCACCATTTGGATGGTTAGAATGTAAATTAGGTGAAGGATCAAATATTTCAAGTTTTACATCATATATAGCTACAAGTACTGGATGGCCCAATACACTTCGAGTTATGTTTAATGGACCAGAAGTAAGAACTTCAGTGAATCATGATATATTATTTATTGCTGATACTCATGAAATTAATGCTGATGTAGGATTCCCTCTCGAATGGAATGGTAAATGTGATTGGAAATTTAATCAAATTAGTCATAATGCTCGAATCTTCTTTTTAAGAGAACATACAATGTTACTTTCCGATCTTTTTGAAGATTTTGCAGCCGGTGAACCGGTTCAATATGAATATTTCCGACCATTTATTTATGGAATTAATTGGAAAATGCATGATTATAAAGTATTTTTAAATGTTAATGATCTGAATATTATTAATAATCCTCTTGATTTTAATAATAATAAATATTTATCATTTCAAGGAGAATTAATTAATATTCAAATTGATATACCACTTAATGGGAAATTTTCAAAATCTACTACAGTTCCATTTAATATTACAACTTCATCATTTGATCTTATATTAGATACTCCAGTATGGCATACCACCAATGCATTTATGAATGAAACAAAAATTATGGGAAATAGTAAAGATTTTACTATAGAAGGATCTTATACATTCTTTAGTATGGTAGAAATTAATACTTCGGATGTAATTGAAATAAAATGTATTGGAGATTATGTTAGTTTAAAATTTTATGGATTCCTTATTCGATATCTCTTTAGTATTCGAGAGAATTATTTTGGTGATACTATACATTTTAAAACTTTTGAAGAGTATACTCAAACATTAGAAGATGATGGAGAAGAGAGAGGATTAAATGTACCTGATGTAGAAGATATTGATTATTGGAATATTGTTAAGACTGATAATGATGTGGATGTATTTTTCTTCTTTCAAGTTCGTCATGGACTCATTATTTTACCGGGGAATATTTATAATAGTACCAATCATATTGGATTAACGTTTGATTCATTAGATATAGATATTCGATTCTGTAATTATTATATGGATTTACAAGCCGATTTAAGTCCTATTGAAGGTGTATTAATTGATTCATCTACGAATTGTTTAGATAATCTATGTAATACTGCAGCCTATAAACAAGCTCATTTTCATGGTAAACCAGATATAAACATTGATGGATTAACTATTCATGCTCATAGAATCTTTGGCTTACCTCCTGAAGAAATTACTTATTTATGTATTTGGGAATTTGCCGTAGATTCATTATTAATTGAAGGGTTCCCCACCGTAGATGCCTTAGGAACATCTATAAGTACAATAATCTTTGGATTTAAAGATGTAGAGAATGCTCTTCATAGTGAATTACCTACTACTTATGATGGAATGACTATTGCCTTTCGATGTGAATCAACTATCATCAATCTAGTGCCTGATTTAAATGATCCATCCACGACAATGAATGTGGATTTAGGATTTATTCAATTCAATCTCTGTGATATCTTTAATAGACGATACTCCAAGAAGATTACGGCATTCATACCTGCTATAGAAATTCAATTAATTGAGAAACTATCCACTAACACTAACAGAATCATTGGTCATATGAAATCATCCCTTGTATTCAATAATATCTGTCAGGATGCAGGGATGCCGCAAAGAAGACAAGATCTAATTGATCATATGAAAAGAAATGATGCTCCCTTCCATCGATGTCCGTTTATGCTTTATCCTGAAGATCGGAATCAGGCCTTTAATGATGCTTATGGATGCTTTCTAACTTCATTAACCTTACCCAAGATCCCTCCTCCCCTTACAGCCGATACGTATATGGAAGATAGTGATGTAAGTGATTCAATTGATTTGGAATCAGATATATCGGACATATCGGATAATGACAATGAGAATGATATATATTATTCTCGAAGTCTGGGGAAATTCTCGCCCACCATCAATTATAATGATGAAGATTTCACTCCTGCCAGTAAATATGATCCCAGTAATGAATATGATAATTTCATATTGGAATTTGATGAAGTGCAACTGTTCTTAACTCCTCGCGGACTACTTAGTCTATCGAAATTAGTAGAAATGAAACAACCCAATATCGATACATTACTTGATAAGTTTCAAGAAGAGATTGTGGGGAAGCTTAAGAAGTACTTAACATCTAAATCTCTAATTACCAATACGAGAGTCGTATGTCCTGAAATAACAATTCGATTAGGAGAATTCGAAGTGAGTGAAGCTCGAGAAGTATTTGCCAAATCACAATTGGTGCCCACTATTAATGTTCAAATAATTGAACCATCAATAGCTCTTTCTAAATCAGTGGTAAAGAAATCAGGTGAAATGCTGGTGGATACTCAAGGAGGTTCAGTAGTGGCCTTACATGTTAAAGAAGTTATAGGTAATGTTCTGAATCCCCAAGGGTTTGTAATGCCTGTCTATATCAGTATGAAAGATATTGAATTATGGATACTGGAAGAGAAGGAGATTGTGGGATCAGTCAATGTGGAAGAGATTGAAGCCGACATTAAAGCCGATCAGATGGAATGGCTCATTAAGTATGCTTTACATCTACAAGATGTATTAGCTCCCACTATAGATCAACTTCATAAACATCATAAGGGAGAGAAAGAAGCTACTGCCGAAATGATATATAGGTTATCTATGGCAGCAGTAGATCATCATATTGATCATGATCCAGGAGTATTAACTAAACCGGCTTATATCCTTAGAGCCAAACGAGATCATGTGAGATACTTTGATATTTGGAAAGTAATGACAAGGATAAGACATATAAAGAATAATCTACCACAGAATTGGTTTACCACCAATCCTCTAGGAGATCTTAATTGGCAATTACCCCCTTCAGCTTATGAGGATGTGTTGGATATCTTCTCTCGATGGAGAAGTTGGGAAGCCAATCAGACGCAAAGAAGCTTTATGTTTAAGAATATCTTTTCTGAAGAAGTGCCAGTAGAAAAGGATATGGAGATGCAGATCGAAGTGGGTAATATCTCGATTAAATTGGCTAATAAGTCAGATGGTTCTGATAGTATAGTAATTGAGAAACTTGGAGGGAACGTTAAGAAACAGGCTCTGAATCAGGTAGGAGTAGTGGTCAATGTGGGATCATATAATAGTCGACTTTCGACTATCAGTATGGATACAATCCATAGTGTGGTCAGAAGTATGAGTGCCAACACTTCTAAAGATGAATCCTTATCTTCTGAAGATGGTTCTTCTTCTTCTAAAGAGCCACTCAGCTTATTCCTTACCCTCACCATTACCGACTTCTACCAACAAGTATCCCTCCCATTCTCATCATTAGAACTCGTAGCTAAGGACATATCTAACTCTGTCAATGTGTTGGAAACTTCTACATTGATTAGTACTGATTTGGCAATGGTAGAAGTAGGCGTATGGGGTAAAGACCATAAGTTCTTGACTACCAAAGTTCATGATATAGGGCTTATCTTTGCCGATACCACGTTCAAACGAATTGATCTAATGATTGGATCGATAACGTCGAAGTCTCAGGATCAACGAGGGTTACTTCCCTTAGCCATAGAGAAGATCATGAGTCAGGATGTAGCGTACATTGAGAATATGATCCCTAAACAGACCACCACCACTTCCACCACCACCACTACAGACTTCTCGTTAGCTGACTTGTGTCTGGTGGTAGTAAGTGTAGAAATCACCGAAGTCAATTGGCTCATGGAGGTGATCCCCCATTTAGCCATTAGAGGTCTTGTTCGAGAGTCTAAATTGGAATTAAGTACCATAGATAATGATCTAAGTATCAATTGGTATACTCAGAAAGCCGATATAGCTGCTTCATTAGATCGATCACAATTGTTTGAAGTTCAAAACTCTCATATTTGGATTAATTGTGATGTGGATATGGCTCGAGATTTGTATCTTGTCAAGTCTTCTGCCAATGTAGGTAATACGAAATTCTTAGTTCCCGAAATCACTCGAACTTCAGAACGGATCCATGCGAGAAAGGATCATATTTTGAATAGTATTAAGAAGTTTGAGGCGATTATGAAGAAAGACGAGAGTGTTAAAGTGGCCACTACTACTGGTACTACCACCACCACCACCACCAACTTACTTGATCGTATAGCCTTTAAATTCCGATTCACTAATGATTATATCGGAGTAGTGACACTTGTATCAGATGCTCGTTACTCATACGAAATGGAAACCGTCAGTTTTGGAATTCAAAATGTAGCCAGTACGTTGGCTATTGATCAAACAATTATTCATACTTTAGTACCCACCTATGGAGAACTTGTTGTAGCCGCAGCGAGAATCTTTATTATTCATAAATCAATTCCTATGACCATATCTAATCTTTTAGATGTGAATGTCGCCATTAAAGTATTTAATGATAATGATAAAGATAAACCGAAAGCTGGTTCGAGATCTCTTCAAGTTGAATCTCAATATTGTCGAGTCTGTTTGGGTCCTTCATCATTGTTTAAGATTATTAATTTTGTAGATGCTATAATGGTTATTATGAATAAGTTTGATAGTGATAGTAATAGTGATAGTGATAGTGAAACATCAACACCTCCTATGGATTATTCAGAAATCACCAAGATCTTAAGTTCAGTCCAGCTATTATCTTATAATTTCTGTTTAGGTTGGTTATTCCCCACTCCTCTGAAGGAATATCCCGGTATCATTCTTGGAGCTGAACGATTCTTTGTAGTGGCCGAAGAAAGATTAGGTAAATTCACATTAATTGATGCTTATTTATCAGTAGCTAATGGTTCAAGTGCTTCTAATTTCTTTAGTTTACTGAGTGAAAAGAATAATTTAAATCGAGCTTTATTACCCAATATGCAATTTGTATATTCGGTAGAGAATAGTGTGGATATTCGAAGGAATATGAGGATCTTAATTACTGGGGATGAATTGGATGTAAAGTTCTTATCCACCTCTATGGTCATAGTCGAACATTTAGGTACTTCTATTAATCATGTTCAACGATTCTTACGATCAAGACAATTGTCTATCATTAAGAAGGATCATCCACCACCTCCAGCTCAACCTCAAACTCAAACTCAGGATTACGTTAGTAGTTTCCAATCAGCCTTTGATTCCGTTGAGTTCCTAGCCACTTTTGCGGGTTCAAATGTCCTTCTATATCGATTGGATACTGATGAAAGTGGTGAAGCTCCTTCATTATTTTTACACTCTCCAGCCGTCAAGATTGCCTTCCAGTATAAACATCATAAATTTGAGAAGGTGAAACATATAATTAAGGGAGAAATCCTAACGTTCCCCTCTGACAATACCGTGTATTCATCATGTGTTCCAGTAATTATAGACATTGTAGAAGGAGTTACTCGAATGATGCAGAACTCCAAGCATCATTCAGATACTCCAAGCAATAATAATGTTAATGTTAATGTATCTGGAGCAGGTGGAGCCATGAACTTTGATAGTGTGTTTGGAGATATGGATATTCATTTTGGACTTAAGATTGATAAACAACAATTATCTTTAAGTTGTGAACCCACTGCTAAAGTGGCTACGGTAGTAGGAATTGAAAGTATTTATATTCAATTAAATTCTACTGAACCAGGTTTAGCCTTAACCATTTTATTTGATTCTATATCTGCATCTTTACAACATATATATTCTCGAGAAATTAGTGGATCTATATCCATTGAAAAAGTCATATTAAGTAGTTGTTTAGATATTTATGATGGACTTCAATTCCGATCGTCTGGATGTTTGGTAGATGTAGATGGATATATTAATGTTAAACAATATCAAGATGTCGAATTATTTAAAGATATTTGGTTTCCTAAGAAACATTTAGATGTTTATTCAAATAATAATGGTCAACCTCATATATCTCAAAGTATGAGTCTTACCAATCGATTTAAAGAAGTATCGAATTCTTATGCTGTTCCATGGGTTGTAACATTCTTTGTTACCAATATTTCTTTAAGAGTTGATTTCGGTCAATCCTTATGTGATACAAGTCTTAATGTAGATATGTTATGGGCCGTATCTAAGAAATCAACTAATTGGTCACAAGATTTAAAACTTGGAGTTAATACTATTAATTTAGAATGTAAGGGAAGACTTGGAGGTAATTTAAAAATTAAAGATATAAATATTCATACAGCCATTAATTGGATGAGTGATGATATAATTCTTGATATTCCTTTAATTTTAGTATCTATTGGTATTGAAAAATTACATTTAAAATTATCATTTGATTATCATGTATTTGCTATTGCCAATATTGAAGATTTTTCTATGAGTATCTTTAATCAAAAGAGTGAATTAAGTAATTTAAAGGATCGATTATTTGTATTATTTAGATTTGAAGCTGCCGAGATTTATATTACTTCATTAACAGCTTCAAATTGTTTGGATATTTATAATACAATATCAAGAATGGTTCAAGATAATCAAAGATCTTATAAAGAAATTCTTCGAGATGGTAAAGGTATGAAACAAAAATCTTCAAGTGATTATGATAAAGAAATGTTAGAAACTATAAAGAAATTAGAAACTCAAATTGAAGTGTTTGCTGGTCATGTATTAATTCATGTTTATCCTACATCATTTAATGATTCTAAAGTATTGGTAGTTAAATTAGATGAATCAAAGGCTAATTTCCAACAGAATGAATATACTAGTGGAGTATCTAATGAATTAGATATTCAATTTAATGATTTAACTGTATCATTATCAGTAACTCAACCAGTACTGGATGAATTCATAACTGATTGTACAGTCAATGATTTTGTTGATTATGCTCATAAGGCTAAAGGAGGACAAATCTTTTTATTCCCATCATTTAAGATTTCAATGAGAACATTTCAAAAGGATAATGAAAATATTATTGAATTCCTTTATCAATCTACTTTTGATGGTACTGTAGATATTCGATGGAACCTTGGATCAGTTAATTTTATTCGAGAGATGTTTTCTATTCATCAAAATGCCGTAGCTTCAAGAACAGTTTATAGAAAAGTCGGTGAACAAGTAGGATTTAAAGAAGATATATTTAAATCTCAAGATGGTCAAGCATCTACAATTATGAGACAACAATTAAATGAAGAAGATCCAACATCCGAAATTGATCAAGCTATTAATAATACAATTCTGAAAGTATCAGAAGAATCTCAATTTCAATATTTACCATTAGCACCACCAATTATTGAAGCTCCACAATTAAAAGAACTTGGAAATGCTACGCCTCCATTAGAATGGTTTGGTTTACATCGGAATAAGTTTCCTAATGTTACCCATCAAATTGGAATTGTCGCATTACAAAAGATTATAAGAGAAGTCGAGATTCGGTACTCCAAGATTCTTGGCCGAGCCTAGTTAATGTATAGTCAATGTATAGTTATATATGTATTGAGATATGTATGTACAGAGTATATAATGAGGATTATATGAGGATTATATGAGGATTATATGAGGATTATAATTTTGAATACAGTATTAGAACAGGAGTATGCATCATTCGTTTTGTCACTACTCAGTGAGTCAAATACCATCTCCCCTTTTCTCTTCTACGAGCCAATAACTTTCTCCCCTCTCTAGTTCTTAATCGAGCAAGAAATCCAAAAGTTCTCTTTCTTTTTAATGTACTGGGTTGATAAGTATTACCTCTTGATTTAAACCTTAATTGTCCTAAACTTGTCATTATCAGACTAAATAAACTAGTAGGTGTTGATATTATAGTATTAGTATTAATATTAGGAATAGTCATTGATTTAGTCATAATTGTATTGGTAGGTCTTGAAATTAATGAGAATGATCGCGTAGTGTATACACTGCGCAATGCAGTTTGTTGAAACATCCTAACCCCAAACATCCTGCCTATGGTTGTGTGTTAGTGTGTTAATTAATGGTGGTGGTAGTGGTAGTTGTAAAAAAATATTGGTGATTTTTCAGTGTCTGGTCGGTACACGCCCTATAATTTTTCTCATCTCAGACTATACAAAGCAAAGAGTACAGTACAGTACAGTTATATACTTTATTACTGGACTACTATATACTGTATTGGACTAGAATATACCATACTACACAACCATGTCTACTTATCGTCCTAGAAGAGCAGTGGCTTCAACTGTTAATACTCCTACATCTATTCATATTAATGGTGTAAGTGCTATAGATAATAGTGAAGCTGAATCCATTATAACTGAATTCATATCTGCCAGTGAAGCTAGTGCAAGTTCTGTTCCAGGATTAACTGATAAGAATTCAGATACTGATAATTCAACAGGAATGTCAAATAATGTCGGAGGTAATGCTGTATTAAGTCAATTACTGAGAGTGCAAAGAGATTTAAGAGGGTTACCACCATTAGTGGCAGAAAATTATGGTAATAATGCTACCACCACTAAACCAACTGAATCCAATACCATTAAGACCGAGGCTGTCAATAAGAAGATTGTATTTGATGATTAAACCATTAATAGACTGTATAATCTGTGTATAATAACCGTAATATATAATTAATTAATTTCGATAAATCCACGTGATACGCAAAACGTGATACGTCACATGCCGCATCACATGACACACACGTCCCCCATATAGATGCATTTGTTTACATTTCAAATATCATCAACTCACAACTATCCACTATAAACTCCACCATAATGCCCGGATTGAGACGGAGACCCACTATCCCCGACGAGGGCGACGACACGACATTCGTCAACAACAGTGATTATATGGAAAGTGAATCAGAAACGAAGAATGTCGTAGAACCACCCAAACAACCATCAGCATCAGCATCACCATCACCATCACCATCACCACCAAAAGAAGTCGATGACAATCCCTTTCTAAGTGACAATGAGAACGAAGTGCAGGACCTCAACATCAAAAGCCGAGTCACCAAACCGACTACAGAAGGCACCTCTCGACAATCAAGTGATAAAGATATGTATGAGTCTAAAGTATTTGATGAACCCCAAGTTCGATCGGGATCATATGAATCCGAAGCCAATACTTCAACACTGTCAAATACCGTAGGAGAAAAGAAAAGTATTAGTCTGAGTTTAAGTTTAAATCTGAGTACTGTACCAATTCTCAGTTATTCTCAACAACAAGCACAAGTATTATCTAATTCACCATCGAAGAGAAGAGATATACTTTTACAAATTAAACCCAGTAGTAATGAACCAAGATTAGTTATTGGGAAATTAGAATTAATTAATTTCAAATCATATGCTGGAACCCAAGTCATTGGACCATTTAATAGTTCATTTTCTGCGGTAGTTGGACCTAATGGAAGTGGGAAATCTAATGTTATAGATTCAATGTTATTTGTATTTGGATTCCGAGCTCTGAAGATGAGACAGGGAAAATTATCAGAATTAATTCATAATTCAAGTGGAGGAGAAAAACTTGATTATTGTCAAGTTAATATATATTTTCATAATGTTTTAGATGATACTGATGAACCAAATAAAGCATCAATAATTCCCAATTCAGAAATCATTGTATCACGTAAAGCATTTAGAAATAATCAATCAAATTATTATATTAATGGGAAATCCAGTAATTATACTGAAGTCACTCTGATGTTAAAGGAGAAAGGAATAGATTTAGATCATAAACGATTTTTAATTTTACAAGGAGAAGTTGAATCAATTGCCCAAATGAAACCTAAAGCAGAAAAGGAAAATGATGATGGATTATTAGAATATTTAGAAGATATTATTGGGACTTCTAAGTATAAGAAATTAATTGAAGAAAATATGACAAAGATTGATGAATTAAATGATGTTTGTGTAGAAAAGGAAAATCGATTTGTATTAGTAGAAAAGGATAAAGAACTGCTTGAAGATCGTAAGAATGAAGCATTAAAATTTCTTGAAGCTGAGAAGGCATGGACTTGTAAAAAGTCTATACAATTTCAAGTTAATATAGTGGAATATACTAAACATCTTGAAGATTCAAAACATCATTATGATGAAATTAAACATGAATTAGATGAAGAAAGACAAGCTAATTCTGAATTAACTAAGGGAATTGAAACATTCACCAAACAACAAGAATCAACTAAATCTCAAATTCTGGTGCTTGATAAAGAATTAGTCAAATTAACTAAAGTTCAAAAGGATACCAATAAACAAAATGTAACTTTAGAAGAAAAGCTTAAGAATTTAACCAGTAAGATTAAAAAGATTGAGAAAACTAAAGAATCTCTGAATCATATCTTATCGTCATCCAATCTGAAATTACAACAGAATAATCAGGCCAATGAACAATTCAAACAAGAAATTCAACAACTTAATAGTAATATGGAGATTGAAAAGGCTAAACTTGATGAAATTAAAGCTAATCTTTCTCAGAAAACTTCTGGATTTAGTAAAGAAATTGATAGTTTAAATACCACTTTACAACCCTGGAATGAGAAATTAAATCATAAAGAAAATGCCATTCAATTATTACAATCTAATATTGAAATCCTTTATAATCAAAGGAATTCTATAACCAATCAATTAGAAGAAGCTAGAAATCGATTAATTAGTATTAAACAAGAAGGGAAACAAAAGGAAGAAGAAGTTCAAGAAGCAGAAGATAAAGTAGAACAAATCATTGAACAAATTAATTTAGGAGAAGAACAATGTTCTATAGAAAAGAGACAATTAGATAGTAAGGGATCTAGTTTATCTACCTTAAGACAAAAGACTCAAGATTCAATTAATTCATTAACTAATTATCAAAATAAGAATAAAGTATTAACTAGTTTATTACGATTAGCAAAATCAGGAAGAATTAATGGATTTCATGGTAGACTTGGAGATTTAGGAGTAATTGATCGACAATATGATATTGCTATATCAACCGTATGTCCAGGATTAGATTCTATGGTGGTTGATAGTGTAGAAACGGCTCAAGCATGTATTGATTATTTAAGAAAGAATAAATTGGGTTATGCCAATTTCATATGTTTAGATAAATTAAGACAATTCAATTTAAATCCTATTCAAACTCCAGGAAATCCAGCGACTATTAAACGATTATTTGATTTAATAAATCCCACTAATCCGAAATTTGCACCTGCCTTTTATAGTAAATTATATAATACATTAGTGGCTCCTGATTTAGCGGAAGCTAAACGAGTTGCTTATGGAGCTAAACGTTGGAAAGTTGTAACTTTAGATGGGAAAGTTGTTGATACTTCAGGAACCATGTCAGGAGGTGGGAATCATTTTGCCAGAGGAGCCATGAGACTTAATGGTGATGAATCTAATTCATTAATGGATATCTCTCCTGAAGATATCGATAAATTAAAACATGACTTACATGAACTTGAACAAGAAGTAGAACAACTTGAAAGTAGTTATCGTCATAAGGAATCTATGCTAATTAAATTAAGAGATTTAAAGCCAGAAACAGAATTCACTGTCTCTCGATTGAAATTAGATATTCAATCCTTAGCATCAGAGAAGAAAGAAGTACTGATAACTTGTAAGAATCTTATTGCAGAAAAGGATAAGATGGAATCAGAGGGGAAGTATGATAAAGATATACGAGCCAAAGAGAAAGAAGTGGAAGAGTTAAAGAACAGTAAACAAGAAATCAAATCCCAAATGAGTGAAACCGAAACCAAAATTAAACAATTGGAAGAGAAAATTATGGAAGCTGGAGGAGTAGAATTACGAGTTCAAACGTCTCGAGTCGATTCCATTAAACAAAAACTTGAAATCATTAATGAAAAGACAGCAGGAGATCGACTTGAGATTCGGAAACTTGAGAATGAAATTAAACGACAAACTAAAGTACTTGCACAAGCAGAAGAAGACTGGCAAACTTGTCAAGTTGAAGTGAATAAGTTTGAGAGTCAGAAATCTGAATTATCCAGTAAACTTGAAGAGATTCAAGTGGAGATCTCTAAAGTTCAACAGAGTAAAGATGAATTAGATGGAGTATTGGAAGGGTTACAAAGTGAATTAGAAGAGTATCAAGAAAAGTGTAATCAATTCCGATCCGTTGAAGTTGAACTTGAGAATAAACTTGAAAAGTATAGTTCAATCATTAAGAAATCTCAACTGAAGATTAAGGAGAATGAAGAGAATTTACAGGCATTAGTACCTCGAGATGCTAGTGCTTATATCTATTGGTTATCAGAAGAAGAGCAAGTTAAGTATAATAGTGGGATACTTGAAGAGATTCCTAGTGATGAATCACAAATTGATGGTGAACAAGTAGATAGAGAAATTGAACAACTTGAAGATTATTTAAACAATGCTAAAGTTGATCTTGAAGTCTTAAAAGAGTATGGAGAAAAGAAGCATGAATTTGAATCCAGACGACAAGATTTAAATGTAGCTGTTACTGAGAGAGATGAAATTAAAAGTTTATGTGAAGATTTAAAGAGAAGAAGATTAGATGAATTTATGGAAGGATTTAATATGATTTCAATGACATTAAAGGATATGTATAGAATGATAACTATGGGAGGTAATGCCGAATTAGAATTAGTAGATAGTTTAGATCCATTCTCTGAAGGAATCTTATTCAGTGTTATGCCACCAAAGAAATCATGGAAGAATATATCTAATTTATCGGGAGGTGAAAAGACTTTAAGTTCATTGGCATTAGTGTTTGCTCTTCATCAATATAAACCTACACCATTATATGTTATGGATGAAATTGATGCTGCATTGGATTTTAGAAATGTATCTATTGTAGCCAATTATATTAAGGAAAGAACTAAGAATGCACAATTCATTGTTATATCATTACGGAATAATATGTTTGAATTGGCTCAACAACTTGTGGGGATATATAAGGTGGATAATAAGACGAAGAGTATATCGTTACAGAATAAGGATTTCTTAGTGGCTGCTTAGAGTGTGTATGTGTATGTATATTAATGTAAAGTATTAACTGCTTATAGTCTGTAGTGTAGACTGTAGTGTAGTCTGTATAGTGTAGTCTATGTATATACACATTGTAGTCACGCACATGCAGTCATATGATCTCCTGTTAAAGAATACATTGTGGTAGATTTGGCTGCACGTACACATAACAATACTTGTACGAGATTGGCTAAGCTTTTCTGGAGATATATATATGAACACTCCTTTAAAATTGCGAGAAAAGAAAACGGATCTGAACTTTAGAGAGTTCAATGACTCCCGAAAACACAATCTAGCGGAACACTATAGGTGGATGTCTCTTCCAAGCGTTCGAGAAACCTGTGATTATATCATATTTTAACATTATATACATTCTTTAGGTCTTACTAACTGTTTATTATAGTTTATCACCATTGTATTTGTCTAAAGTTACGGCGCCCATCTAGGATATACTAAATCAATATATAAACTACGCATATATAATATGGTATTATAGTCTATGTAGAATCTCTATATTACAATATACTACTGCAATATACTATACGACTATAGTTTAGTATAGTGCAATACAGTTTACTTTAGTACCGTTTACTTTAGTACACTTTAATTTAGTACAGTACAGTCTATGTGTATAAGAACTAAGTATAGGTTATGTAGTAGAATATAAGTATAGGTTATATAGTAGAACATACTTGTATATTGAGATAAATCTAACATCTAGAGGAACAATAGGAGATGCAAGTATAAAAGTAGAGGAATTGGGTAACTATATAGTAATTTAGGATCTAATAATGTTCTAGGCAGCTTAGTGATAAGCTTAGTAATGCTGTAGCACACTTATTAGTTTAGAAAAAGATAAGAGATAAAGGGCCCAAACTACCATACGTGATACATCATCAAAACATATCTGTATTTGCAACAACATACATTTTATATGCAGTCATCTGATCTATCTCCCCTCTCTCATATGAAATATGCTGAAAGTTTAGTGAAGTCATTAGATAACAAGCTGATAGCGGATATAAAGCCATGTTATTTGTGAAGTTTAATTACGTCTTTTGAGACCTGTGTGCTAGAGATACACGTCTTGCTTTATTAACTAAATATATACATACTTTAGGTCTTTACTAACTGCTCATTATAGTTCTGTTATTAATTTACCTTCATTGTGGCTTTGCATCGGGCATTGAACGAGTGCAATGGTACTCGTTTTGCTTAATGGATTTTTGATCTAATGTTCGGTATAATCTATGTATTTTAATATATATAGTATTATAGTTTTGTAGAGCCTATGTAGAATCTATGTAGAATCTCTTTATCTTACAATATACTGCTATACACGACTATACTATAGTGCTGTGCAGTCTATCATAGTACAGTACAGTTTAGTATACTACAGTTTAGTATACTACAATTTAGTACAGTACAGTTTACTCTAGTTCAGTTTACTCTAGTACAGTCAGTCTATGTCTATTGTATACATTCTATGTCTATAGTAACTGCCTCCAAACATCTATGTCTAGATATGAGCAGCTGTTTCTCTCTGTAACTTCCAACTAGGCTCAACTTCAACTCCAAACTTATCATCACCTCTACGTCTAAGTATAAAGTGAGAATCAAACCAATCGATTAAATCAATTAAACAAGTGGTTTCATTCATTTCTTTAATATACTTTCTAGGTATAACTTTATCTAACATTTCTGATAAGTGATGTTGAGTAATTCTAAATGGTAATCCATAACTTGTAGCATAATCCCAGAATAATTCTATTGCTGACCAGGGAGTTTGAGTATACCCAGCAAATAATGCTGGATTTGAAAGTACACCTCTAGCCGACATAATTCCATCAACTCCAGTATATTCAGCTATTTTATGAGCATCTTTTAAACTAAAACAATCTCCATTAGCTACTACTGGAACATTTACTGATTGTTTAATTTTTTTAATAGCATCAAAATCACATGGTTGTGACGATCTAGTGGTCTTGGTTCTACCATGAACAGTAATAAAATCAACTCCACTTGCTTCAACTTTTTTAACAAATGTTATGGTTTCATTAATATCTTTATGAATTCGTATTTTGGTTTCAAGACATACTTTATCTCCATACTTTTGTTTAACTGCTTTAACCATTGATGCTACTAAATCTGATTCAGACATAAGTGCTGCACCAATCCCTTCTCGTACTTGTTCCTTTATAGGACATCCACAATTTATTCCGATTCCATCAACATATGGATGTATCATATCTACGAATTTTAATAAATCTTCCACATTATTACATCCAACTTGTACTATAACACTACGATCCTTTTCATTGGTAGTAAAATCAGATGCTCGAGCAATACCATTTCTAACAAATTCTCGAGCTAATATCATAGGTGTATAAGCAATATCAACATCATATTGTCGTACAAGTTCTCGAAATGGTAATTTGGAATATCTTACCATAGGTCCAGCTATAAAAGCTGGTCTTCCCTTTAGTATTCGATTGGTTTTAAGTATATGTAATGGATTATGTCTCTCGAGTCTAGGCCCTAAGAATGATTGTTCTAATGATTCTGACTCATTTAAGTCCACTTTTTCAAGTAATGTCGCTATACCATCATCTGTCATATTGTCCTACAGTTCTTTGTAATTTCTATACTGCTATTACAACTAACTTACAGCCGTCTACTACTTAACTTTTATAGTTTGCAATCAGATAGTGTATCAATTTTTTCACTATCTGCTTCCTGTTTGGGCAACAATACGCGGCAGGTCTTCGAGACTCTCAGCGGATCCTACATCCTAATCGGGACACAGCATACGAAATCAGTTACACTTATAATACAAAATAAGCTATATATACAATTAGATATACATTAAATGAGAGAGAGAGAGAGAGAATGAGAAAGAAAAAGAGTAGAGATAGACGTCACCAGTTAAGATATTTATTATGGTTGGATCACTTTATACAAGATCATAACAAATTTAACTAGCACATAATACTTATAATCTTCTTCCTAATCTTAATCTTCTTAATCTTCTTAATCTCCTTATTCTTCTTCTGAACTTTCTGATGATGCATCATCATCAGAAGATTCGGGCTCATGACCAATATTCATAAATCCATTATTATTAATTGAATTTGATGCATCATCATCAAATAATGCCAATTGACTTCTTAAATGAGCCAATTCATCAATACTATTAGTTGGAAATGATTTCTTCTTTTTCTTTGCTAAATTAGCTGAAGCTTTCTTACCAAATAAGAAATTATATAATTTTAATACAGTACGATCTTCTAATTGATCCATATCTAATTCAACTTCATCTTCATTACTTATTTCAATATCATCTTTAATAATTTTAATAAGTGCTTGTAATTTCTTATCAGAAAGATTAGGAACCATTTCACTAACTTGTTTCTTCATTTCATAAGTAACAACTGGTGCTGATGAAGTTGCAGCTCCTGATCCTGAATGACTAATTGATTTTCTTTTAGATTTTTTAGATGCCTTCTTCTTCTTCTTTTTAGCAGCTTGTTGTTCTTTTAATTTCTTTAAATGTTCCTTCTTTAATTGATCCAATTCCTTCTTCATTCTAATCAATTGATTTTCTAATAATTGAATAGCAGGAATTTCTGAAAGCATGGCTTCATTAATTTCAGGTTCATCTTCTTCATCTCCACTTGATTCTAAATCAGAATCTTCAATTTCTGAATTAGTTGGAGTTGGTTCAGGAATTGGTTTATTGGCCCATTTCTTATCAAATACAGATTCTAATCTATGACCCATCATATTAACATCAGTACCTTCTGGATTAAAAAGATAACAATTTTTAAATACTAATCGAACATCTCGTTCAAATTGATCTCCATTTTCATATTGATTATTAGCTAATTTAGATTGAATTGTACCTAAATCCATTGGTTCTTTAACTACATTATAATAATTTGGAATATTTAATGCAACTGGATCAACAGGTGCAACAAATGGGAAATTATAACTATAATGTTTCTTTGACATTAATTCTTTAACAGTTTGTGCACAAAATCTTAATTCAGCTTGAAACTTCTTTTTACGAGGTCTTACATCATAAGGTAATTCTTTTGATTTAGGTGGATGAATTGTTCTTTTTGGTCGATGACCAGCAACTGATTCTCTTCTGGTTAATTCTGATTCAACAGTTGAAGTTGATCTTCTTTTATTAGAAGCTGCATTATTATTATTGGTAGTACTAGTATTAATAGTTGATTTGGTGGTAGAAACACTACCATTAGATGTTGTTCCAACATTTGGTAAAACTTTAGGAGGAAAATTTAACATATGCTTTTCAAAATGAGCTTGAATATTAACAGCCATTTTTGATATACCTGAATTTTCTCCATTAAATTTTTTACAATTTGAAACCATTAAATTAAAATCATCAATTATTTGATGATAATCTTCATAAGCATTTACATTAATTTTCCGTTCTATAGTACTTAAATCCATTGGTCTTGGAATATAATTATAATATAATGGAATATTTAATTTAACTGTATCAACTGGATGTAAGAATGGTGCTGCATCTTTTAATCGTTTAATGGCTTTAATTGTATTAAGTGCAAATTTTGATTGATGTGGTGGAATTGGATTAGCTGGTAAATTATTCATATCTGGTTCTGCTGGAGGTTTTGGAGCTGGTTCAAGTGGTACAGGTGCAGGTACAGGAGTTTCTTCTATTGGTTTTGATTCAGATTCTTCTTGATTTGATTGTGATTCTGCAATTGGTTCAGCTTCTGCTTCAGCTTCATCCAATTTTATCTTTTTGGATTCTTCTCTATTAATATCTTCTTCGGCATGACGCTTTTCTGGTGTTGGTGATGGATTAGGTGGTGAAAGTGGTTTATCGGTTTCAGATACTCCTAATAATTCTGATTTGGAGAGTTCTTGTGGTTGAGTTGGAGTCTGTATTGATTGTGATTGAGAGCCGCTTTGAGGCGATTGTTCTTGATTATTAATATCGTCAGTATTATTAGAGACTGTCGCAGATTCATCTGATTTATTGAAAAATGTCGCTTCTGATGAAGGTGTCTGTACCGGAGTGTTTGTTTCAGGCACTACTTCCGACATCCTGATTTCTATCTATTTGATATAATATTATATGATAAAGTTCTAATGACTTTATACTTAAGTTATTCTATTACTTTTAGGTGGTAGTTGGATCTTATCAAGGGTCCTGCACACAAACTTAACTTCCTGTATACTGACTTCGAGTTGGGCTGGGTTCTAGTTTTGATTTTCGGGCCTTTGAAGGAAAAGTGTAAAAATCTAGATCTATTTATACAAATTGTAAATTTGAAAATATCAAACTGTAAATTGACGTGTAAACTGTAAATATCTTCAAATTAACAAAAATGAACCAATGACATGGCGCGATTTCCATCGATTTTTTTTTTCTGCAACAAAAAAAATTTTTGATGGAAATTCCCTGAAATTTATATGCCAGTCGCCAGTTTTCAAATTTTTAAATTTTGTTGAGCGCACACACGACTTACTACTTTTTTTTCTTACATTTTATCGTTTTTGTAATAGCCAGCCAGCCAGCATTACGAAACAACAGTTTAATGCTGGATAGGGGGGTATTGTTACAACTAGAGATATCAACCTACTGGGGTTATAATATTGCTTCCACCACATTTACATAACTGTAAATTCATCGGGGTTTGGTTTTTTTCCTTATCTACATGGTATACTTTCAAATGACTGATTTGTACTTTGTAGTTTATAATCAATAAAAAGGGGCAAACCAATTTCAGTATAGTTGCCACAAGAATGGGCCGGGTAACCCCTATGTAGAACATCATCGCAACATTATCAGCGCGGAGTCGTGTGAAACCCACGACATTATACATTTGCGCGATTTTCATAAAGTTTTTTTTTTTTGACACAGTACATGACTGTGTACAGGATGCAACACGAGCTGGCAAAATTGCAAAAATTAAAAATAAAATTAAAGTTACCATATAAAGAATTATCTATTTGACATAATACATACAAAGAAGTGAAACTGGTACATGTTTATTCCCAGTTAGCATAAGAACCAACCAACCAATAAACAAGCTAATTAACTATAAGTGAACTGATAATAAATCATTAACTGAAAACCCCTTATTACATGATGGACAACGTCTTAATCTAGCAGCCAATCTTTCTTGAGTACAATTATGACAAAATACATGACCACAAACAGTTATGGCAGTATCTTTCCAATTCTTAGAACATAAAGAACATTTAGCAATTGATCGAAGAGCTTCTAATTGTTGTTCATCTTCTTGTAAAATTAATGAAGTATTATTTTGTTTATACTTTTGTAATAATGAATCAGTTCCTTTAAGATTCTTTTCAAGTTTATTAACCTTAACTTTATATTGATTATTTTCACTGGTTAAATTATTAATTTCAGAAACTTTTTCTTCAATTGATTTACTAAGTCTTTCAACTTCCTTTTGTAATGATTCTTTAGAATTCTTTAATGATTTAACATTCTCTTGTAATTTAGTATTCTCTCCAAGAGAATTCTCTTTAATTAATTTATAATCACTTAAAGATTTGGTTAATAAATCTATCTTAGTTAAATAATTCTTTTCCAAATCATTCAAGTTTTTAACTAAATCTTGAGTTTTATTGATTTGAGCTTTCATAACTTTATTTTCAGCACTTAGTGAATCTTTAGCTCTCATTGATGCAAAATATTTTTGATCAGCTTTAGTCTTTTCAATAGTTAATTTTCTAACTAAATTCTCTTGATCAATGTTCGATCCAAGCTTCTTCAATGAAATTTCTCTTGTTTCTTTAAATGCTAATTCAATTTCTTTAATTTCATTACTTAATTCTTCAATTCTTGAAATTAAATCTTCTTTACTTAATTCATTCAATTTTTTATCTTCATTTGTAACCTTATCTAATTTTTCTCTTTGTAATTGCTCTATTCTTTGACTCAAAACTTGATTAAGATTAACAAGTTCTTTACTTGCAGGTTGACTTTCAATTTGACTCTTTAAAATAGCTTGCTTTGCAAGTAATTCATCACGTCCAGTTCTAATACGAACTAAGTCACTTTCACTTTTATTTAATTGATCTTTTAATTTCTCATTCTCTTCAACTATCTCTTTTGAAATTACTTCTTTAATATTATTCTGTTGTGACTCTAATTCATTTAATTTAGTTATATTTGAACTATTGATCTTATTAAGATTAACAATTTGATCTTGTAAACTTTGATTATTCTTAATAATTCTCTTATAATGAACATTATCTATTAAATCACTTTCCTCTAAATGATGTAATTTATTATCCAACTGTATGATTTCTTGTTGTGACTTATTATATTTTTCAGTAATTTCCGTGATTTGTTTACTTATTATTTCATTAGAACTTCTTAATTCTTCAACTTCAATCTTTAAAGTTTCAAGTTCTTCTACATTATCTTTTTGATGTTGATTATTAGTACTTCCATTTTCTTGATTCCCATTAGGTAATTCTTCTTTAACTCCATTAGATGTTTGCAATTCATTCTGATCCTTTTCTTGTTTAATCTCGTCTTTATCATCACTCTGTAAACTATCATCAACACGTTTAAGTGTCTTAGAATGTTGTCTTTCCTTCTGTTTAACTATATCCAACAATTGTTGTTGTAAATCATCTAATCTTAATTCTAATTCATTCTTTACATTGGCCAAAGCTTCTGAATTAGCTTTAGCAAGCTTTAATTTTGAATTTAATTCTTTATATTCTTCAGGTAATGCCGAATTTGAACTTGATGAGGAATCATTCTCTAATAATGGAGTTATAACTTCAAGTAGATGTATTCTCTTTTCTTCAAGTAATTCATCGAATTTTTCATCCGGTTTAATTAATAATGCAGTATCAATAGTTTTATTATCCTTTACATTAGGGAATTTGACTCGGAATAATTCAACTATTTGTTCATACCATAAAGAAAGTAATCTTATCTTTGATTCATTATCTTCATACTTTTGTTTGAATATCCTTACATCTTCAGATAAGAGACGTGATTTTTCTTTATATGTAATCATTTGACGCCAAATGGCTTCCTTTTGGAAATAAACAACATCACCTTGAGTTAAAGGACCACTTTCACTCAATTTATGTAATGGTTTAAGTTTCTTAGCTACTCCAGAAGCTTCCGAGGAATCTCCAACCAGCCTCTTTCTGGAGTTCTCCACCTGACTCATAGTTATGAATATGTATAAATAATATATATATATCAATCTACAAGTATATCCAAATTACTTTATCCAATGTGATTATAATAATACTAGACTAGACAAGACAATGAATACAAAAGGTAACAATATAAAAATCTAGAATTTACGTAACCTTTTTAAATCAAATCAAGTCTACTCAAATTCACAATATCTATGCTAAACCACCCAGTATCTGATAGAACAATGTATGATTTTTAGATACTCTGGATATAATACAGAACTTCCTTTATCAATAGTCTTATTAAAACCGTTGGTGTAATCTTTAGAAAAAATTTATAGGATTGGAAAATAAATATAAAAGGTCCAGCACCCGTCCATTTTAGGTCTCACACGACTTCTACTTCTTATTCCTATTCTTAGATTACTTCATACAACTTCAACTTTAGTCATAAGTTATATAGTAAGAAAGTTATGAATCTTAGGTATATGAATCTTAAGGTATGAACAGCATTGAATGTCGAATTTTGTAAATATTAATTTGTAGTGTAATTGTATAGCTTGTCTAGTGTAAGTAAATGAACATGTGAAATCATTCGTGTGGGTTAGATTATACTACGGACTATAGTTGCAGTTGAATGAAGTAGAACAAGAAGATGAACATGAAGGATCAACTAAGTGTTGTGATGATAAGTTGTTAATATATCCTAACTAGAAGTATTTATATTGACTGTATTGGTCAATATTCATAAAATAACTATTGCTCGATCATGAGCTGCAAATTAGTTATATGTGTACCTTACCTTTAATACTGATCTCCCCTCTTTCCTCATAACGTGAAAGCTTATTTCAAAGTTAATAGAAATCAAGTTGATTAACATTTCCTCATTTATTGATCAATATTTGTGTATTCATACTGTCATCTTACAATACTCCATAATACGTCGACATACTGTATAGTGTTGAGACGGTAGAGAAAATTAGCAACTGAATCAAAAATATTAAATTTCCACTAGTTTAACCTGATTGGATATCTCATAAGTATCAATTGCTTGGAATAATAGCGATACCAAAATTCATTCGTGATTAAGTTGTTTGCTGATTAGCTTTCACTTTAATTTAGGATGAAATTCATTCGTCAATTCCATATTATTTTGATCCTAATATGGGCTCCAACATTAGTATTTGGAGTTAAAGAAAGTTTATTTAAGACTTGTGAAAATTCTGGATTTTGTCATAGAAATAAATATTTTGCTGAAAGTATTAAAAATGAAGGTAGTAACTATCAATCAAGATATTCTATAGCTCCTGAATCAATTTTAATTGAATCTAAATTAAATACAAAAATAATTCATGGTCAAATTATAAAGGATATACCTACTTTAGCCGAGGATTTTATACTACCATTTGAATTATCTATATTAGAAGGTAATAATATTAGATTTACAATTAATGAAGAACAAAGACATATTGCTGATATTAAAGCTATAAATATAACTAATTATCGATATAATCAAACTAGTGATTGGGCATTTGTAACATCTGAATTACCTTATTTGGCTGAAAATTTATTCAAAGTTGAAATTGATCAATCAAAGTCTGAAGTTATAGTTCACTATGGAGAATCTAATGAATATAAGGCAATCTTAACATTTAATCCTGTTACTTTAACTGTGTTTTATAATGATATTCCACAAGTTATTGCTAATCATCAAAATTTCTTCAATTTTGAACATTGGAGACCAAAAGAATCAAATTATGAACATCTTACAGTTGAAGAAACTGATTATGGAATGTTTGAAGATCATTTTGTAGATAGTGAAAATGATAAGATTCCATTAGGACCTGAATCAATTGCATTAGATTTTACATTTAAAGGATTTAAGAATCTTTATGGAATTCCGGAACATGCCGATTCATTAAATTTAAAAGATACAACTGATTCAGATCAACCATATAGGCTTTACAATGTAGATATATTTGAATATGAAACAAATTCAAGAATGGCCATGTATGGAGCAATTCCATTATTATTGGCTGTAAAGCCTGAAATATCATTAGGATTATTTTGGATTAATGGAGCTGATACTTTTATAAATGTTGATAAGACATCTAATGAGGAAGATAGTCTGACACATTGGATTTCTGAAAATGGGGTATTGGATTTTATGATTATTATTGATAAAACTCCTGCTAATATTAATTATAATTATGGTTTAATTACTGGATTTACTCAACTTCCTCCTTTATTTTCTCTTGGTTATCATCAATGTAGATGGAATTATAATGATGAAAAGGATGTATTAGATGTAAATCAATTAATGGATAAACATCAATTCCCTTATGATACTATTTGGTTAGATATAGAATATACCGATCAAAAGAAATATTTCACTTGGGATAAACATAAATTCCCATCTCCTAAACAATTATTAAAAAGTTTAGATCATACAGGTAGAAATTTAGTAATAATTATTGATCCTCATCTTAAAACTAATTATTTCTTTAGTGATGAAGTAATTAAAAAGCAAGCATGCATTAATGATTCAAAGAATACTACTTTCTATGGTCATTGTTGGCCAGGTGAATCTGTTTGGATAGATACTTTCAATCCAACATCTCAACCTATTTGGGATTCTCAATTCGAATGGAATAATGAATTCTTTGGTCTTGATTCGTCTAATGTATTTCTTTGGAATGATATGAATGAACCATCAGTTTTTAATGGACCAGAAACTTCAGCTCCAAAAGATAATATTCATTTTGGAGGTTGGGAACATCGATCAGTTCATAATATATATGGATTAACTTATCATGAAGCCACTTATGAATCATTAATAAAGAGAACTAAAGGTAATACCAATAGAACAAGACCATTTATATTAACTAGATCTTATTTTGCTGGATCTCAAAGAACTGCTGCCATGTGGACTGGTGATAATATGTCCAAATGGGAATATTTAAAGATATCTATCCCTATGGTTTTAACTTCAAATATTGTTAATATGCCATTTAGTGGTGCTGATGTTGGAGGTTTCTTTGGAAATCCATCAAAAGAATTATTAACAAGATGGTATCAAGCTGGAATTTGGTATCCATTCTTTAGAGCTCATGCTCATATAGATGCAAGAAGAAGAGAACCTTGGATTGCTGGTGAACCTTATACAAGTATAATGAGAGATGCAGTTTTATTAAGATATGCTCTTCTTCCAACTTTATATACTGCATTTTATGAATCATCTAAAACCGGTATTCCAATATTTAAACCTATATTTTATGAAGCATTAACCAATCCAAAGAGTTATTCTATTGATGATGAATTTTTCTTTGGAAATTCAGGATTATTAGTAAAACCTGTAACTGATGAAGGTGCTGATCGTCATGAAATTTATATTCCTGATACTGAAGTTTATTATGATTATACGAATAGATCATTACCAAGTATTAATGTATATAAATTAGACGAACCAGGATATATTAAAAAGGATATTAGTTTACAAGATATTCCAGCACTTATTAAAGGTGGGCATATTATAAGTTTAAAGGAAAGATATAGAAGATCAACAAGATTAATGGTTAATGATCCATATACTTTAATTATTGCCTTGAATAACAATGGAGTTGCAGAAGGTCAATTATATATTGATGATGGAGAATCCTTTGAATTTGAAAATTCAGGTGAACTTGCATTAGTTAAATTCAGTGCTACTGAGTCAACTATAAATTCTCAAATACTTGAAATTAATGATACATTTAAACAAAAGATATCATCTATTAAGATTGAAAAGATCATTATATTGAATTCTAAATCCAATAAGTCAATTGAATCTATTAGTATTAAACAAGGCGATGAAGAATGGCAAGCTAAATTTGATGGAACAGTCGATAAAAAGACCATAATTCATAATGCAAAGATAAAAGTTAGTGAGTCATGGGATATTCAATTAATTTATGAACCTGATCATGATGAATTATAAAATAAAATAAAATAAAATAAAATAAAATAAACTATATTATTATACATTATAAATTTTAGAATAATATGCAATTCAATCATTTAAACTATCTCTTAAAAGATAACTTCGTAATCTTGTAGCTATTTTAACAACCAGTAACCAATCGAGATCTTCATTACATACAGTACAAGATTTATATTTAGGTATTAGTGAATTATCATTGGTATGTTTCATTGCCATGCAAGTTAAATGGAAAAATGAATTACATTCCAGTTGCATACACGCCCCAATTAGCCTTAAATTACCTTGTTGTCGAAATTCATTAATTTGTTTCTTACTTTTAAAGGAGGGAACTGTTTCAGGAGAATAATCAATTTTACAGCTACAAATGCTGCAAGTTGAAGATTCTTTTAATAGATTTTGTTTAAGGGTCTCGAACATGTTAGATTTAATCAGATTTTTATCATCTAACAAGAATTCTTGTAAGGGTTGTACATCTACATTTATATAATTTGGGATATCTATCTTATACTTATTAATATTCCAAATCTTAATTAAGGATTGGTCATCATTATCATCACATATTAATATTTTTAAATCAAGGGGATTGAAAAAATTACTTGTTAATAGTAATCTAACATTAGCCATAATATTTTGTAATGAAGTAGTACCTTTTTTAATTGTAACTCTATTAATTTCATCTATATGTCTTGTTTGATAAGGATGTTGTAAAGAATGTTCGAATTGTAAGGCAGATATTTTGGATGGGAAATTATAAATTAACATTACAACTTTCCAAGGTCTAAACCCATCTCGTTTAGTCTTATACGCTCCACCTCGTTTTAATTCTCCATTATGTTGTCGCAATCTTCGATTTGGATCTGGGGTTGAACCTATATAAAATGATCGAGGTTTAGGAATAGATTGTAGAACATATACACAATAAAAGGTCGGAACTACATGACATAACAGACTATCATTTACCATGATAGTTTAATATTAAATTATATATTTATATTACTATAATACTTAAGAAAATTCTCTCTAACTAACTATAATTATAGTCAATAATAAGTGGTGTTGTAAACAAAGAATCGGCTGGGCATCCATATTTTTGTGCCCCGGCGCACGACACATAGACCCACTCAGAAAAACTTATTGCGTAATAGATATTCTTCTATATAAAACCATGCATTCATAGTTATAATTGTTAAGAATTAGCCATAATTGAAAGAGTTGGCATATTACAGAAGTTATCCGAGTGTTACTTAAGTGAATAAATCCCGATATTTTATTTACTTACTTTCAGATTTTAATTAAAAACCGAAATATATCGGTAAAATAAACCATTAAATCTTTGACTTATATTAACCAAATTGGTTATAGTTATTAGAGGTTAAAATTTATTTCTGTGAATGATTTTGTATAACAATTGATAATTTTTTGTATAAAGAAAGATGACTCTCAAGGTGGAACAAGAGAACCCCCTTGTGGCCGGTGGTTCGAATCAAAGTGGTTCTAATGATTTTGTTAAGAAATTATTTTTAATGTTACAAGAAGATAGTTATAAGGATGTAGTTCGTTGGACTTTAAATGGTGATAGTTTTGTTGTATTAAATACTAATGAATTTACTAAAGAAATTTTACCTCGACATTTTAAACATAGTAACTTTGCAAGTTTTGTTAGACAATTAAATAAGTATGATTTTCATAAAGTTAAAGTATCTAATGAAGAAAAATTATCATATCCTTATGGTGAAGATGCTTGGGAATTCAAACATCCTGATTTTAAAATCAATGATCGAGAATCTCTTGAAAATATTAAAAGAAAAGGTCCAAGTGTTAAAAAAGTTGTACCTGTAGGTACAAATGGAATTGGAGAAGTTAAAGTAGTTCAAGCTCCAACTTGTAATCATAATTTTTCACAAATTACTAATTCCCAGAATCATATGAAAGAACAAATTGAAAGTTTAAAGGCAGATAATCAAGCATTACATCAAGAACTTAATGTTCTACTGACAAAATATAAGACATTAGTTGAAAATATCGTGGCGATAAATACTACTGAAGAAAGAAATCATCGATCTTTAGGAATATTAATTAATTGTCTTCTTCAAGCAGGAATAAAATTACCTCCATTAGATTTCCCTAATCCTTCTTTAATGAGTCTACAAGCCCCTCCACAATCTGGAAATATTCTATCAACATTACCTCCACCATCATTACAACCTAATCATACTAATAATGGTATACCTCCAATTCCAAGTCCAAAAACGGCTTTATCACTTGTTAATACTCAAATTACTAAACCTCAATTAAAACAATTACCTACAGCTACAAGTTCAACTAGTCCATTTGTTCATCCTATTAATAGGCGAACTCCTCCTAGTACAGACGCAATTTCTCCAAGTCAACCATCACCATTTCCTAATTCAGCATCTGGATCTCCTGGAACTTCAGCTCCTCAAATTTCAACTACAAATTTACCTAATCCAAAATTTCATGTATTATTAGTAGAAGATGATAATGTTTGTATTCAATTATGTCGAAAATTCTTAGTTAAATATGGGTGTCAAGTAACAGTAGTAACTGATGGATTAAATGCTATTTCAACAGTAGAACATACCAAGTATGATCTTGTACTTATGGATATTGTTATGCCAAATCTTGATGGTGCAACTGCTACTAGTGTTATAAGATCATTTGATACTAAGACCCCTATTATTGCCATGACAGGAAATATTGAAGATAATGATTTGGTTACATATTTACAAAATGGTATGTCTGATATATTAGCCAAACCATTTACTAAAGACGATTTATATTCTATTTTATCCAAGCATTTATTAACTGAACCACCTAAAGTTGATACTGATGAAAATGCAGCAGCTGCAATTGGTGCACCAACTCCAGTTGCTCCACCAGCAGAGGTTGTATCTACAGTTCCAGTATCAGTTCCAGTATCAGTTCCAGTATCAGTTCCGGTATCCGTTCCAGTATCAGTTTCAGGACCAGGTTCAGTTCCAACAGGTCCAGTTCCAGTTCCAGGATCAGTTCCTGTGTCGGGAACACTACCTGACCGTAATGGTTTAGGTGAACCTCTAAAAAAGAAATCCAGAATCTAACGGGTATCATTGTATATTTGTGTAGTAGTCTAAATTATTTATACATGTATTATTTATCTATTCATTTATTCCAGAATTAAATGGTATGCCAAATCAGAAAATGCATTACCCCATACTGCATCTTTACTTACTGATTGTTTAAATCTAACTATTTTGCACCCAGAAAAGTATACTGGTACTGTAGTATAATCAATTACTGGTTCTACAAATTTATTTCTATTCTTTCTAGATCGCGATTTTGGAGTTTGAAATGGTACTTCATCTTGCTTTGGCTCTTGCTGTAGTTTAATGGGTGACAGTATTTGATTCAAAAGTTTACTGACTTTTGGGTACTTTTCAAATAATTTCCGTTTAGTAAATCCATCAGTATGTGATACCACATCATTACCAAGCACATAGATAGGAAATTCAGTATCTAATAAAGTTTCCATTAACTCTATTGGAGCATGCGGTAAAAAGTATAAGGTAGATTCGGGTGCGAAATGAGTCGGTATTTGCTCATCTATAGTACTATTAACTATATCAATTAGAAATTTTTCATCATTAGTATTAAAGATTGGGTCATAAAGTGATAGGTTCTTAGTTGGAATGGAAAGTATATCCATAATTTCAAGAATATATGCTAATTGATACATGGCATTAGTCATATCTATAGGAGATCCTAAAGCTAAGCATCGAATGTACTTAATACTTAATTGTCCCAAAATATCTTGTGATTCTTGGAAAAATTTCGACTCTTTAAGCACATTTCGATACTTGACTAATTTGACTTGAGCACTACTGACCAACTGATCCTCCTTCCCACTATCATTATCACTTACCATTATTAACTACTGTTAACTAACTAACTAACTAACTAACTAACTAAGGTCCAGTGAAATATTTCACTTAAATTTATTAAGTATGGGCCTGCACACAGACCCACCCCATCATCGTAAAAAAAATTAATTCAACATGAGCCAATATAATTACTGGAAAATACTACTGCTTCCTTCGGAACGTAATTGGATTACGAACAGTAGAAGTTGTGAAATTATTGAGTCAGTGACTTAGATATCGAAATTTAAATTTGTTTAATATAAACAAATACAAAATTCGAAGTAAATCTATTCACTATTAAATTAGCACGTTGAATTCTGAATTAACTGTATCATCTTCCACCATGAGAAAGTGTAAAATTTTTGTTGGATCTTCACATCCTGAATTAGGTAGATTAGTATGTGATCGATTAGGAGTTGAACCTGCTCCTTGTACATTAAAGAAATTTTCAAATGGTGAAACTTCAGTACAAATTGGAGTATCTATTAGAGATGAAGATGTTTATATTATTCAATCAGGTTCACCACAAATAAATGATCATATTATGGAATTATTAATTTTAATTTCAGCTTGTCGTGGAGGTTCTGCTAATAAAATTACAGCAGTTATACCTCAATTTCCTTATTCAAAACAACTGAAAATGAAAAAGCATAGAGGAGCTATTACTGCTAGAATGCTTGCAAATTTATTAGTTATGGCAGGAGCTGATCATGTTGTATCAATGGATTTACATGCATCTCAAATGCAAGGATTTTTTACTAAACCAGTTGATAATTTATATGGTGCACCAACATTAGCAAGATGGATACGTCATAATATACCTGATTGGGAAAATGCTGTAGTAGTATCAAAAAATCCTGGAGGAACAAAACGTGTTACTGCATTAGCAGATTCTTTAAAAATTAATTTTGCTATGATTCACACCGATAGAAGAAGAACTCAAGATGGATATTCTAAAAAGAAAGCATTAAAAAAATCTACTAGAAAAGTTATTAAAGAACAAGAACAAGATGATGAAGATGAAGAAGATAATATTGTTTCTGAAATTCAAACTGCTAGAGTTGTAGATGGTCATGTTGTAGATGATGATTATCCTACTAATAATGGTACTTCATCTAAACATATTATTAATGGAGATAATTCTAAAAGTCATTTAGAACATCCATCTATTATAGATAGTGATGTATTAGGTGGATCATATGATGCAGCTAATTCAGATGATGAAGATGAACCAGCATCTATATATCAAGAAAAACTTATTACATTAGTTGGAGATGTTAAAGATAAAGTTGCAATTATTTTAGATGATATGATAGATAAACCTGGATCATTTATATCAGCTGCTGAACATATGAGATTAAATTGTGGAGCTAAAGCAGTTTATGTTATTGGAACTCATGGAGTATTTAGTGATTCATGTTTAGAAGATTTAACTGATAGTAAATGTATTGATAAAATAGTGGTGACTAATACTTATCCAATTGGTAAGGAAAGAATAGAAGCTCAAAAGAAGAAACTTACAGTTATTGATGTATCACCAATCTTTGCTGAATGTATTAGAAGAGATCATTTTGGTGAATCTATTTCAGTATTATTTGATTCTTTGGCTGCTATAGAGTAAGTCAAATAAATTTATTTCAATTACTACTACCTTCTTAATATTTCTTTATTAATTGATTGTTTATTTCACGTGGATCTTATTTGTTATTACCTACTTTTACTTTTACTTTTTTACTTTATTCTACTATGAATATAATATTTATTTTAGAGGTTACGATTACTCTGTAACTAAAATCCAACGATGCAATCTTTAGGGTTGCAGGACACAATTGCTTAATTAAAGTTTACTTTAGTTAAGCCAATAATTTCTGGACTAACGGAGCGTTGGAATATTACTGCTTAAACTTTTCATTTCTTTAAGAACACTTTTCAATTCTTAGAGCGGGAATAATTAAGCTACATATGTTGTAGTAAAGTATAATTAATTAATTGACCTTAATTTTAAACTTTTTTTCCTTTGACCACGTCCACGTGCGCGCGATTCACGTGCATGTGCATGTGAGTGGATTGCACGTGCCTCTTCCATCTATCCATCAATAAATTTCATCTATCTCATCTCCCATATAACTCAGTAAAACTCATTAAAACTCAGTAAAACTCAGTCTAACTCAGTAATGTCGGTCCCAATTGATCGTACTGATAGTGACAGTAGTACTGACGCATCATTGGGTAAACTTTCTATTGAAGAAAAAGTTATTAATAGTCTACCAGCTAATCTTCGTAAGAAAGTTGGACAACCCATGTCTCCATTATCACTTGATGATAGTAGTAGTAAACCTCCAACTGCACACACATTATCTTCACCTGCAACCGAAAAGGCCATTGCATCTATTGCTCCTATGTTAGAAGCATTTGCACCTAAAACTTCAGCACAAGATTCAGGTATCCCTACTTCATCATCATTTAATTCAAGTTCTTCATCACCATTAAATTCTAATGTTGGAAGTTATACAAATGATGATTTCCCCTTACAAGATTATAAAAATAATGTATCTAAAGCTAATAGTTCAGATTCAGCCAATGAAGATTTCTTACGTAAAACTATATCAAATACATCATCAGCTTCAAGAAAATCAATTTCAATTCATCGAGATCCGGTTGGACCTCAATTACCAAAAATTGGTAAGATTGGAGTATGTGCAATGGATGCAAAAGTTATGTCAAAGCCATGTAGAAAGATTTTAAATCGACTTATTGAAAATGGAGAATTTGAAACTGTTATATTTGGTGATAAAGTTATACTTGATGAAGCTATTGAAAATTGGCCAACATGTGATTTTCTTATTAGTTTCTTTTCTACAGGATTCCCATTAGATAAAGCAATTGCTTATGTTAATTATAGAAAACCTTATATTATTAATGATTTAGTATTACAAAAATCTTTATGGGATAGAAGATTAGTATTAAGTATATTAAATCATGCTAATGTTCCAACACCTGCTAGATTAGAAATTAGTAGAGATGGTGGACCACATTTAGATAAATTATTATGGTCTAAATTACGAGAAATTGGGATGACAGAAACTCAATTAGAAGAATTAACTAATCAATCTGAACCTGATTGGGAAATGGTTGATGAAGATACACTTCGAGTTAAAGATCAAATTTTAAGAAAACCATTTGTTGAAAAACCCGTTGATGGTGAAGATCATAATGTATATATTTATTATCCAAAGGCTACTGGTGGTGGAGGTAGAAGATTATTTAGAAAAATTGGGAATAAATCTTCAGAATTTGATCCTGAATTATCAACTCCAAGAATTGATGGATCATTTATTTATGAAGAATTTATGGATACTGATAATTTTGAAGATGTTAAAGCTTATACAGTTGGTTCAACTTTCTGTCATGCCGAAACTAGAAAATCTCCAGTAGTTGATGGAATTGTTCGTAGAAATACTCATGGTAAAGAAGTTCGATATGTTACTGAATTAAGTGCACAAGAAACTCTTATGGCCCAAAATGTTAGTGCTACATTTAAACAAACTATTTGTGGATTTGATTTACTTCGAGTTAATGGGAAATCTTATGTTATAGATGTTAATGGATTTTCATTTGTTAAAGATAATCTTGAATATTATGATTCATGTTCAAGAATTCTTCGAAATTTATTTATTGAAGCTAAAAAATCTCGAGATTTAATTAAAGATAAAACTCCTACGGTAACTAAATTACTTAATAAAAGTCAATTTGAAGAAAAAGAACAAAAATGGGTATTTAAAGGTATGGTTTCAGTTATTAGACATGCTGATAGAACTCCTAAACAAAAATTTAAATATTCATTTAGATCTCCATTATTTATATCACTTTTAAAAGGTCATAAAGAAGAAGTTATAATTAGAGCTGTACCTGATTTACAAGTAGTATTAGAAACAGTTAAAATTGCTGAAGAAAAACAATTAGAAGATTTAAAGAAATTAAAACAATTAAGAGGAGCATTAGAAAAGAAGATGAATTTCCCGGGAACTAAAGTTCAATTAAAACCTGCCTTAAATGCCGAGAATCCTGATATAGTTGAAAAAGTTCAATTAATTCTTAAATGGGGAGGAGAACCAACTCATTCAGCCAAACATCAAGCCACAGATGTTGGAGAACAATTAAGACAATATATTAAATTAATTAATAAAGATGCTTTAAAAGATGTTAAAGTATTTACTTCATCTGAAAGAAGAGTTATTGCCAGTGCTAATTTACTGACTGTAGCTTTATTAGGACTTGATAAAGAAGGTGAAACTTTACCAGAAGATTTTTTAATTGTTCGTAAAGATTTATTAGATGATTCTAATGCGGCAAAGGATCTTATGGATAAAGTTAAGAAGAAATTAAAACCATTATTAAGAAAGGGAGCAGAAGCTCCTCCACAATTTACTTGGCCTCCAAAGATGCCTCAACCATTTGTAGTTATTAAAAGAGTATGTGAACTTATGAATTTCCATCATAAGATTATGGAATATAACTTTGAACATAAGAATGTTGATGAATTCCAAACCAATTGGTGTTGTGGAGAAGATCCTTTATTATTTAAAGAACGTTGGGATAAATTATTTCAAGAATTCATTAGTGTAGAAAAGACTCATCCTTCTAAAATATCTGAATTATATGATACTATGAAATATGATGCTTTACATAATCGACAATTTCTTGAAAAGGTATTTTCATTTGATCCTAGTGATGAACGTCTTATGACTGAATTAGGTAAATCATGTGGAGATACAATCAATTCTTCAGGACTTGTTAGTGAATATCCTATAAATATATTAGCCATGAATAATTTTAGAATTCCTGATAATTCAAATAATTCAACGACAATTGCTGGATCAGTTAGTCCACCAAATTCTGATTCAGGACCAAATTCTTCAACCAATTTAACAGCAGCAAATGTTCTGTCAACTTCAGCATCTGCTGGTTCATTAGGTTGGGTATTACAAGCTGCTTCTGCTTCAGGTCAAGATGTTAATGAATCCAAAAAACGTTCAGATAATCCATTTGATCATCCAACTTTTGCTCGATTAAGAGAATTATATCGATTATCTAAAGTGTTATTTGATTTTATATGTCCTCAAGAATATGGAATTAAAGATGATGAAAAATTAGATATTGGATTACTTACTTCATTACCATTAGCTCGATCAATTCTTTCTGATATTCAAGATATGAAGAAACATAATACTGCAGCAGTAGTTAATTATTTTACTAAGGAATCTCATATTTATACTCTACTTAATATTATTTATGGATCACAAATTCCTATGAAGATTGCCAGAAATGCATTACCAGAATTAGATTATTTATCACAAATTGTATTTGAATTATATGAAGCCGAGGATTCTCATAGTCCTGGAGGTAAAAAGCATTCTATTAGATTATCATTATCACCTGGTTGTCATACTCAAGATCCATTAGATATTCAATTGGATGATGATCATTATATTGGATGTATTCCACGACTTAGTTTGACTAGACATTTAGATATGGATTTAGTAACTCAACGATTAAAGTCCCGATTCTCGAGAGTTTCGTTACCGAAGAAGTTTACTCCGGTGAATATTTCGAGTCCATTAGCGTATGGTATATGATGTAAAGTATGTAAAGTAAAGTATGTAAGTATAAAGTATAAAGTATAAAGTATAAAGTATTAGAAGTGCTATAGAAGTAGTAGTGTAGTAGTAGTAGCAGCACTAGCTACAGTTATAATAGTATAGTACTGGGGAAGATACCTGTGGTATTAGCAGTACTAATAGAACTAGTAATAAGAGTAAGACTAAGACTAAGACTGTAAGACTCGTTACTGCTTACAGTTATAATAATATAATAGTACTGGATGTAATGAGTTATAGTAGTAATGTTCAGTAAGTTCAGTCTGTAGTTCAGTAGTGCTGTAGAGTATAGCAATAGTGAACAGTAAGGCAGCAGTATAGTAGTAATTATACTAAAGTGATAGTACAGTATGATAATGGTAGAGTAACAGTAGCGTAATACTACAGTAATACAATTTAGTAGTATAGTGGTATAGTATAGTATAGCATAGCAGCATATAACAAGACTCAGTAACAGAATGCTCATATAGAATAATATGTGTTAGTTAAGTATTATTAGAGTTATTAGTATTTTATTATATAGTCCATTATACTTAGTCCATTATGTTACTGTAGTCCACTACACTATAGTCCATTATGCTACTATACTCCATTATGCTACTATACTCCATTATGCTACTATACTCCATTATGCTACTATACTCCATTATGCTACTATACTCCAATACTATTTGTATATTAAGATTCTAAGTGTAAGTAGTATATACTATAGTAATATCCAAGTGATACTTGAATAATGCTGTAGTACTATAGAATAGTAAAGTCATAGTACTAGTATTAGTATAGCATTACCTTAAGTTACATTGATATTAGTATAGTATCAGTACTACTATTACAGTGTTGCTATTACAGTACTATCATTGTACTATAGTATTACCATACTATTACAGTGTTAACATTATAGTACTATAGCATTTAGTATACTATTACTATAGCATTACACTACCACATTATTAAATTATTAGTATATTAATTAAGACCATCTAGTAGTACCACGTACTAAACAATCACTGTAATAAATATAAATAAACATAGAAAAACAATATATAAACATATAAATAATTTATCAACTATAAACATACCCCACTAATCATTCCTCAACTTAAGCAGACTCATAATGTTCCCATTTATCAAGAATTTCTTTAATCTTTTCTGATTTAGTAAGTTCATAAACTTCTTCAAAATATTCTTTAGTAATTTCAAATGGTTTAGCAGTCAAGTTTGGAATATATTTACCAATTAAATCATCAGGTTTAACTGAAGATTTTGGAATCTTCTTACATAAGAATCTCTTGAATGGTTTAACTCCTGACATTAAGTAGGATGAATGGAATGGAACGGAAATACCCTTTAATGGTATAACAGCAAAACCTCTTTGTAAATCAATTGGTTGAGGTTTAGCAATGGATTGAGCAGATACTTCACTAATAATTTCATTCAAATGTTCTTTAACTTCTTCAATAGTTAAAGTTTGTTGTAATTTAACAATATCAATTTTATTTAATTTAATAACATTCAACACATTAGTTAAAGTATCTAAAGCTCTTAAATCTCCAGCAGCAACATATTGTTGATTTTCAACATTATAATTAACAATTTCTAATAACCATTGAGTTCTTAAGGATACTTCATCAACCACAAATCTTAAAGCAGCATCATCAAAAGTTGCACTAACTCTACTTGGATTAACAGCACACATACCATAATTAGATCTTCCTAATGAATCTCTTGGTACGGCAACTTGCATGGTCATACCTCTATAGAAGACAACATCAACTAATGATTCAATTGGCATAACATTAGCTAAAGATGATAAGGCAGAATATTCACCTAATGAATGACCAGCAAACATAATATCTGAAGGAATTAATCCCTTAGATTTAATATCTTCATAAGCAGCCTTTTCCATTAATGTTAAAGCTGGTTGAGTAAATTGAGTAGCTGATAATAAACCAGTTGGAGATACAAATGTATAAGAAGTTGTAGATTCATCAATATCTTTAAAGATCTTTTCTGATTTAATGGCTCCATCTTCTCCAATAGTTTCAAACATCATTCCAATATAATTATCTCTAATTAATCTACCTTTAGCTCCACCAAAATGAATGGTTAATTCATTTGGATTATTTTGAACAATATTAAGTATGGAGAATCCATAATTATCAACAAAATGTCTATCAGCTCTATCCCAAACATCACGAGCAACTTCGGAAGTTTTATATAAATCCATTCCCATACCTTGTTCTTGAGATCCTTGACCAGTAAATACATAAGTTGTAATTGGTTGATCGATTTCTGCTTCACCAGTTAACACTGGTAAATCAGTTTCAACATTCTTAGTTTCAACCTTAATAATCTTACGTCCATTAATCATTCCAATATGTTCTAAAGTTGTTTGTAAATTATCATTTGGTAACACCATTCCAACAAAAGTACATTTAAATGCTCGAACTCTGGAAGCAACATTATTAGCAGCCCATTCTTCAACTAATGATCTAATTGAAGCTGAAGAATACATACCATGAGTGATTGTTCCTGGTAATTTAGCATAAGATGCAAACACTCTAGAAACATGAATTGGATTATAATCTCCAGAAACTCTAGCATAAGGTTCATTGGTATTTGGAGCCTTAGAGGTTAATTCTTCACCAGAAGAAATTGGAATAACATTTTCAAACTTAACAGCTTCTTCAATAGTCTTACCATTTCTAGTTAAATAATCAGTTACTGGATTACCATAAGATTTACCTGCTTCATATTCAACGGTACCTACTTGAATGATTTCTTTAGTAGGTAATTCCAAATAAACTTGTCCAGTAGTATTAATTGATGAATAGACTTCGGCCGATTTGAATTTATAAGTAGATTCACATCTGAAAGTCAACACTTGATTTAATAATTCAACGTCTTTTTCTAAATGGAACCATTCCTTTGATCTTAATACGGCTAAATCCTTGGCGGATTTAATGGAGATTTGCACTGGAGTCTCAGTAACCTTTTGGAAAGTATTTTCATAATCAGAGTAATCACCTCTGTATAAGAATTGAGAAGTAACTTCCATAACTGGTTGAGAATCTCTATAGATGGTTCCAATAACTTCAACCATTTTACCAGATGGTTGATTCAATACAGCCTTAATATCGGCTTTAGAATAGACAACATCATCCTTCTTTAATGGAGCAGCTCCTGGAATCATTCTATACCCATTCAGTAAATGAACTAATTTCAATAAATCTCCATCCACAGTCTTAGGGAAAATAGCCTTAATAATAGCTCTCCACCCAATAACAATGGCAAAATCCATTGGAGCAAGGGTAACTTTACCAGGTCTAGTAACAAAGGCTTCACATTTATTACCAATAGCATGAGTGAATTCGGAAATATCATCACCAGTAATGGTAATTTCTTCTCCAACAATGGCCTTTTGAGCATCGATATTTAAATCATAAGGAATATCATTTCCAAACCATAATTTCCAGTAGAATTCTTTAATTCGATCATTTCTACCTTCCATGACTTCTAAGATTGGAGCAAATCCATCAGCTGGGTTATAAGTATAAAGGAATGGTAAACTGACTGGTTTGTTATCGGCAGTTCTGTGTTCAATTAATGATAATTGAATGGTGTTTTGTTTAACCAATGAGATTTCAACCACTTGTTTTAATTCTCCCTTAACTAATTCAGATACCACTAATTTAGTCTTGGAAGAATCTTGTGGATAACTAATTTCAACACGAGAATGAGCGACTGGACTTAAGATATCATGAACAGAATTGGTTACATGATTAGACCCTTGAACAATTCTATCTGACGAGATAAACGCTTGTAACCAAGACAACTTATCACCGGCTAATAATTGTAACCAAGCATCCTTTTCTGGTAAAGCCGAACCGTTAATTTCATAAATGATCTTATCACCAGTAGTGGTGGTGGTGGTTTTAACTCCAACTAATTCAGTGGCAACAGCAGGCTTCTTACCTCCAAAGTATTCAACTACTGGAATACTTGATTCATCACCTTGATACTCATCTCTGACTAACTTGGCAATATGACCATCATGAATGGAATTTAAGATATCTCCAATTGGTTCATTGACGGAATTAGTGAATTGCGCAGCAACAGGTCCATGTAAAATACATGTTCTTTGAACATCTTCACCAACAACAGCCTCTAAATCTTCCGATTGCCATAAGGAATCCTTCTTAAAGAAGAATTCTAATCTTTCATCCAATACTGGTACAAAAGGGGCAGGCTTTTGAGTTGGTCTAGAGGCACACATTAAGAAGAAATCACAATCTTCTTCACTAATCAATTGATCCTTAGCCAATGGGAATTGTTCAAAGAAGTTATCAGTAAATTCTTGAGGATTAGAATTTAATTGAGTAAAGTTTTGGACTAAAGAAATACTGCCTGATTTGGAAGTGAATCTTTCTTCAACTCTTCTCAAGTAATCCCCAAAGAAATTACGGAGTGATGCATCAATCCATCGGGTAGATTTCTTAACATACATTAATTCAATTAATCTATTGGCAACTTCTTGATAGGTCATATCTTCTAAATCACATACTCCCTTGGCATTCTTTCCAAACCATGGTTTTTGGAAATCTTTATTTAATTTGTCAATAATATAATCCTTCTTCTTGGTCAAGGCTTCGAGTAATTTATTCTTAGGTAATGAAAAGATGGTATCATCTAATTCTTTCCATAACATAACACCTCTAGTGGCAATCTTATGGATTGGTTCACCCATTTCTGATCTAACAGTAATGATTCCTCCAGTAGGTTTCTTATAAGTTTGTTCCCATTTACTGTCAGATACTCCACTACATTGACTAATCAATTTCTTAGCATCTAATGAAGTTTGAGCTTCCTTAGCAGTCATGACTCTTGAACCAAATAAGATCCCATCAAATGGCATAGGAGGATAATTAAAGTTCTTAGCCCATGACCCAGTTAAATATGGATAAGTATCTTCATCCGATCCAAATCCTGAACCAGCCACTAAAACAATGTTTGAACATCTTCTAATCTTAGAATACATTTGTAAGATTGGTTGATGGAAATCTTCAAATGAATGATGACCTCCACCTCTACCACCAGTCCATTGTAAAACAATAGGGAAATTTGGATGTGCCTTAGCAATGGTAATACATTGATGAATAGCATCAATTGAACCTGGTTTTAAACCTAAATGAGTTAAGCCTAATTCTTCAATATATTCAGTAGCAACTTCAAGGGATGGAACACCAGCTCCAATAGTTAATGATTGAATTGGATATCCACGTTCTCTTAATTCTTTAATTAATGGAATCCCCCATTGTAACATTCTTGGATTAACATAAATTAAATTAATACCAATCCCAAATCCTGGTTTAATATTAGAAATAACATCTTTAATAGCAGCTTCCATACCTCCAGCATGGAAATATCCACCACCAGCTAATTCAATATGATAACCAGCATTAAGTGTAGCAGCAATAATTTCAGGATTAACGGTAGTTGGAGTCATACCAGGAACCATTAATGGAGCTCTACCTAATAATTGAGAGAATTTAGTATTAACAAATGTCTTTCCTGCTTTGGTTTTAACTAAAGTGGGTTTAAATTCATTTAACCAATCAGGAGCCCATTTGATGGACTTGGATGATGAAGCATTAAAGATTTCATGTTTAAATCCATATTCATCATCAATTGGATTAGCATCTAATGCTCCAGCAATAATGATTCTTGAACCAGTACCTTCTTTATTTCTATGAGTTAAGATTCCTAACCCAGAAACTCCTCCTGGACCAAAATCAAGAATATGAGTGGATTGAACATTGGTAGCTAATTCCCAATTAACTCTTAATTGAGTAATACATAATACCACTCTTTCAATAATAGTTTCCTTTGATTCATCAAAAGTTTGGAAATTTTGTCCATTAAATGTATCAAAGACAGGGATTTTAATTAATTCCTTAGGGAAATTAATATTTTCCGAAGCTAAATCTTCAAATACTAAAGCTGAAGCATCAGTTAAAAGATGAGAATGAAATGGAGAAAAGATTGGTAAGAATCTATTAGAAAATTTCAATTTTCTTTCACTAAATGGAACTCTTGATTGATCTAAACCATTAGGAGCCTTTTTATTTCTTAAAGTTAAATTTAATCCATAAAGAGATTCTGGAGGACCAGAAACCACAAGATTTCTTGCTCCATTAATTAAACTAATAGCAATATGTTTTTCTTGAGGTAAATGTTTATTAGTTTGAGCAATGAAATTTTCAACTTGATCAATTGATAAATCTCTAATTGATAACATTGGAGATGGTCTACCTTCACCATTATCTAAAGAATCTTGTAACATGGTTGGAGGTAAAGTTGTTCTTGGATAAGTAATTAAACATCTTGAACCAATAAAAAATAATAAAGATATAGCTTTAATGGAATTTTCAAGAAATGAATCCCAAGAATCAGATGATGCAATAGCAACTGCAGTTACTAACCCTTGAGAATGACCAGTTGTACCACCATTAGTTAAATAATTTCTAAATTCTCCTGGTGTTAAACCCAAGATTTTACAAGTAATTGTATAATGACATAATTGAATAAGACAAATTACTGGACATGATACAGGAACTGATAATAAATAATCTTGATCAGGAGTTAAATCACGATTATTTAACCATTTTAAAATATCAAATCCTTGAGTATAAAGTTTATCAAATGAATTATCCTTTTTAACTAATTGATTTAACTTTTCAGCAATTGGTAAAATTAAATCATCATTAATTAATCCTTTATATAATTTATAAAGATCTCTTAATTCTTCAAAATAATCATCAGTATTACCTTGTCCACCAAAAATTGCAAGTAATTTAGCATCACCTTTTGATGAATGATATAATAAATTAGATTCAATTTTTTCAATTGAAGTATTAGAATTTATTAAAGCATTATAATAATTCTTAACAATATTTTCTTTGATTTTAGTAGCAGTGGTTGGATTAGTTTCATCATTTAATAATTGAACAGCAAATGAATGAATATTTTCATTATTAGAATTTAAAAATCTTGAATTAAAATCTTGTAATGATAATTTTAAAATTTCATCAAATTGTCCTGGTTTTGATGGGTTTACTAATGAAGCAATATATCCTAAGAATGTAGCATATAATTCTGCAGGAGATGAAGGTTCATCATCACCAGCAAATCCTTCCGTTGGAGTTGGTAAAGTTTTAATAAATTGATCCTTTAATTGAGAATAATTAAAGAATAATTCATTAGGAACTAAAAATGTATGTTCAATAGATCCATGAGTCAAAGAAAATGGACGATGAGATGAAGTAGTGGTTGACATTTAGCTAGTGACAGTTAATTGGTAATGAATGTTAGTTAATATAAATTATAAATTATAAATTAATGGTAACAGTTGGATAAATAGCTCTCTTAAATGTGGTACTGAAAGTAAAGATCTCAACAATTATGATATAACGGCACAGGCAGAAGCAGCAACAAAACAAAAAATTAGTGCAAGACTTCAGTGAATAGCTAAGCAATTGAACCAAACAACAACAAGTCAATTCAAAACAAATTTAAAGGAACTAGTGGTTATAAATAATTTAATCCCGTTGGTGAAACTGTTAGGCTGAAAAAAAAAATGTCGTGAAAAAAGTTGGCTATACATGTGTCTGTGTGCAGGCGCGTTTTTTTGATGGGTCAAATTTTGGCACGATGGACTAGTGCGTGTGGTGGTCACTATGTGGTTAGGCCAAGAGTGTTTGGGGAAATGTGGTAGGGGATATGGTAAATGTGTGAATGCTATTGGGTGTGATGGGTGTGAGTTACGGGTTACGGTTTATGGTTTATTGGTTATGGAATAATATGTTTTACTGGGTGGGATTAACTACTGACTACAGTATAACTGTGTGGTACTATGTATTAGCTCATCTATCTTATTATCCTTCGGACTGATTCTTCAACGCGTCCGACACTATATTTGGTCATGTTTTGTATATTTCATAATGGACCGACTGTTTTCTCACTATTCTCTTGTATTATTGACCTCTACCTATACATGGTATACGTAATTCAGTTGAGTTCATTGACTGTACTCTGTATTGCATACATCTCACCCATTTTACTCCGGATCACTTCCGGAATTGTTTGGGGACTCTATTATACTCCTCAGGATATCCCCGATATCATTATCTCCTTTATTCTACCCCTATCTACATGTTGCAACCAACAACTTACTTGAAGTACTTACGGCCGAATCATTTTGCAACAATTTCGTAAACCGTTTTGACACGACACGACCACGGGTTTTTAACTTTTGTGCAACACATGCCCATAACTCCCAACAAATCTCAAATTGTTGGTTAGATTTTTGTTTGGTTGGATGGTTGCATGCAGGTCAATATAAATCAAATATTTTTGGTCACGTTTGCATGTGCACGTGCAATCAAACTACATACTTAACTATACCCTACCCCAGTAAATTTAGTAAATTTAGTAAGTTTAACCTCAACAGTTTATTGAATTCTATTCTAAATCTATGTACATGAACCCAACTCGCATTTAAGATACGTTGTATGACTTTAACCCCGTCATTTACCTTTACCTACCAAGTATGTCTCCGATTACTAATTCATTTCTAATATCATTCATTTTACTTCTTAGGAGCTGGTAAACCGGCAAGATTACTACTGCTATTAATCTTTGAAAAGTCTCTAACGATAATTTCACACTTAACTTCTCTACATAAATCTTTCTTATTATAATATGGAACTTTTTGTAATAAATCTAATCCACTTGATCTTTCTAATGCATCAATTGGTACTTGAAATGTAGTTAATGGTAAATCATTTGAAATCTTTTCATTAGGTAATACAAAGGCTCCAACAGAAATCTTTTCATCTCCATTACTTTCACCAACGATTAATTTAAAGAAATGAGTTGGAACTGCAATATTTGGTGGAGATCCAATAACTTCATAACTAATACGATATTTCCCATCTTCTCCCTTTTTTGGTAAATATAATGGACCAGTCATAATTCTAACACTATCATATTTATTAGTTAATCTTCTACCAAAATCTTCAAAATGGGCCCAATAATCTCGATTAAATCCTTCACCAACTTGTGGTGACATATTAGTTAAATAAAAAGTTTCATCCATAGCTTCTTGACTAAATTTGGCATTAGCAGCTGGAGCTTGATGACCACGATCATATCCACTACGGAAATAATCTCTTAATCTATTTCTAAACTTTAATGGAATAGATTCATCTTCTTTAAATACACTATTCTTTCTATCAACATCTTTATTTTTTTGAATTGAATCCTTGGTAATATGCTCTACTACCCAATATGGATTACGTGTAGCACGATCATAACAACTAACAAATTCTGAACGCGTTTCTAAATCATGTATAGGACCAGGGAACCCATACTTAAAGAAATCTTGTGGTCTAATTAAACTAGCATCGAATGATGATGATGACACTTTGTTTGATCCATTATTGAAAGGACCCGGAACATTACTAGTAGGAGGTTCAACTACAACAGTTGATGAGGGTGATGATGATGATCTACCCCAAAAATATGAGGCTATACCGACTGTACTTATTCCTAAAGTATTAACTACTAACTTACTCATTATAAAGATTCTGGTGTGGAGTGGTTAATCTAGATACAATAGTGAAAAATTGTCTCTGATATTACTTACTATATACTATTTTTTTCGGTTTAATCTCGTCTCATCGCTGCTTATTTTGGTCGTCAGCTTGTAGAAGTGAATGATACTATTGTCCTGACAAAAAGTATAACAAGTTTCATATCCAAATAACTCTGATACGTCATTATATGAAATGTAGATAATAGTAACTAATAACTACAGCAATGTGGAAATTCAATCTGACCCCTATAAGTTTCTGGTTGACATTGGTAAATATTTCGCAACTATTTCTCAAATAATTTTGTTTATGGTTGTTACGGAGAATAAACACATGTCAACCTGTAAAACTTAGGAAATTCACCAATCAACGTCTTTCAACAGGTTCCGTTCCTTATTGGATTGCTTATAGAGATATCAGATAAGTTACATATATCCGTACTTTACAACTCCGTTTATGGATTAGAGATTGTCAATAGTTGGCCTTCCAAAGTCGGCTATTTTTACATCCATTTTAAACAAAGCAATCATCATTGACCGCCTTGCTTGTGCCTTATCGGTAATATTTTTCCAGACTCCTACATGGCAACCTCTTTAACCAGTTGAACTATAGTAGTCAATTATATTATTAAACTATTGATTTCATCAATTACAACATTGTCATCAATATCCTAACCAGTGCGGTTAACTTATCCCCTTAAAGCACGCAAATGAGAATTATTTGCACAGCGAGCAGAAAATGTTAACGGAAAGTGCTGAAGTTTGACGTCACCCCAAAATTCAAATCTTTCCTTTAGATGAATCACACTTAGAGTCAAATTCGGAACAAACTCCTAAGAAAATTCACAGAACAATAGCAGATCTTCCATTCTAACTGTATGGCGTGCAAGATACGTCAACATAAAGCGCTTCTAACATAGTCGGTTTTCAAATAGAGTTCGAATCAAACTGAGATAAGAGACACTTACGTATATGGCACATGCGCAACCTGTCGCCTTGATTGGTCGAAGAAAAGCAGACACCGAATTTCACTTAGTATTAGTTATGAGCCCATCAAGAATATTGTTTCTATGAACCAACTAAGAATGGCCAAGACTTGTATATGTAGGTAACGTTCAAATTATAAAATGTAACTCTAAGAAGATAATATGTTGCAATTTAATTTTATTTACTAAAGAACTTATACCTTTAATTTGGTGCATTGAGCCGTACGAATCCGTATTTACATTATAACTACGATATTATTGTCTTCAGACCAATTGAGGCTAATTTCACAGTATAATTTCAAATGAATTAGATATTTATGCCATTCGTAAAACGGAAAAGCTTTAAATCCCGGTATGGCTTCCCGACGTCGCAGCTGCATATTTTATTTTCTTCGTTTTAAACGCAAAAATTTCCCCTTAAACTTTGCTTATTTGCCTCACTCTTTTTATACGTAATTCATTGTTCTATGATTCTAAGGTCTCCACATAGTCAAGTTCACTTTTGTGATCGGAATCCCCCAAATTTGATCAAACATATCTGTTTATTGCATGAGCAACTGTAAGAACAACAATTCTATTTCTATACACAATTAAACGATAAGATTTCTACACAATAGCCCTTTCTCCTCAACTGACACAAATGGTATAAAGGAAAATCTCTTATAAAATAGTATTAAGGAACAACTATTATAAATGTATCGAATTAATGAGGGACTTTATCATTACAGAGAGAAGAATATCTAATTTTGCAATTATTGCGATCGAATGATGCAATTGAATTCGAATATTTTAGTTCATTAATTAGACTTATTCATGAGGAACCCCTATGCCAGTCTCCTGAAAGGACCAACTTTAAATGAAAAGGAATATTGTTCGGTGAATTATTATGCACTCACTCGTAACCTTTCGGCTATCGTTGCTAATAAGTTTTAACTCCCTACCATATGATTAATGGATTGTATTGCTCCTTGTCGCAACCGATAGATGCGAGACGGTTCATACGGCATCAATTCATTTTTATGCTGTTCAATCGAACAATAGACATATAGCTAATTATAGACTTTTCAACCCATATTGTACTGTAAAAAAAAGAAAAAATAAAAAGAATGTATTTTTGCGCGTTGATTCTTGACGTTTATTCCTCGGGAACTTACATTTGGCGCGCCAAGAAAAATAAGACCACATTCGGCTTGATTTGGATTTGGGTCGATTGTTTGGTACTTCAATTTGCTGCATATTGCTGACTGCAAATCCGGAAGACTGAAAAATTTCATATTCATTCAGTTTCACATTGCAAATGTGATTGTAAAATGCAAGTTTAAATGCGAAAGTAAAAGTTTAACAGCTAGTCATAGGGCTCCATCCTCAACTATGGAATCTCTGTTTTTTTAGTTATGATATTAGGTTTTAATATGTATGTGCTACTTACTTCATCTAGATAATGACCTTGCAACTTGGAATTTATAGGCTATTGTTTAACAATTCCATCTGCCAAATTATATAAATACCCTTCGAATTCCATTTAATTCCAACAAACAGCCTTCTTACATTTATTAACAATCACTATTGTTGTTGCTAATCAATACACGCAGTTGCAAAAAAAAAAATAGAATGGTTTCATTTATCACTTTCACTAAACAAGTTTTCCTTACTCTTACCCTTGCCTTAATGGTCCAAGGTTTAGCAATCCCTATTGGTGATGCTAATGAAGGTGGTGTAGTCAAAAGAGGTGATGGTTACCTTAAAATTGATTTCACTATTGCTAGAGGTTCTGACAGAAACAGTTTGAATATTACCTCCAATAATGGACCTGGATTTTTAGTTCGTAAGGGTAATGTTAAAAGAGGTGAAGAACAAGTTACTTTAATTAATGAAAATACTTACTACGCTACAGATTTAACCATTGGTTCCAACAACCAAGCTGTTACCACTCTTTTAGATACTGGTAGTTCTGATTTATGGGTTGTTGCCAAAGGTGCTACTTGTGAAGACCCTGCTGAAGGCCAAAGTTCTACTTACTGTTATGCTAGTGGAGTTTTTGATGCCTCTACTTCATCAACTTATAAAAATCTCGGTACTTCTTTCTCCATTGAATATGAAGATAACACTTCATCAACTGGTACTTGGGGTACAGAAACTGTCGGTATTACTTCTGCTGGTGTTTCAGTAACTGGTTTACAATTTGGTTATGTTACTAAAACTTCTTCCTCTTTTGGTGTTTTAGGTATTGCCAAAGAAGGTCAAGAAAGTTCTTATACTGAATATCCAAATTTACCTCAACAATTAAAGTCTCAAGGATATATTTCAAAGGCCGCTTATTCATTGTACTTATCTTCTCCAAATGCCTCTTCAGGAACTCTTCTTTTCGGTGGTATTGATGAAGATAAATATACTGGTACTTTAACTACACTTCCAATTGTATCTAATCCATACTTGGCAATTAACTTAGATACTATTACTGTTGGAAGTACCCTGATTAGTGCTAGTGCCCAACCAGTCTTAGATTCAGGTACTACTTACACCTACTTATCAAGTAGTACTGTTAAAAAGATTGGTCAAGCTTTAGGTGGTACTGCCAACTCTGGTGTTGGTTATATTATCGACTGTGACCAACCAACTGATAAATACATCACCTATAAGTTTGATCAAGGTGCTACTATTCAAGTTCCTTACTCAGAATTACCAATTCCATTATACCTTGAAGATGGTTCTTTAGCTGATGAATGTGGTTTAGGTATTCTCAGTACCTCCTCAACCCCAATTTTAGGTGACAACTTCTTGAGAAGTGCTTATGTTGCCTATGATCTTGATGACAATACTATTAGTATTGCTCAAGTTCAATACACTACTTCTGAAAACATTGTTCCATTCAGTTAAATGCCCAAGTTAGTTCTGTAACTACTTTTTCTTGTTTGTCTGGCACGGAATCGTTTAAAAGTAAGTTATAGAAGATTTTGAGATATCTAATTAAATAAGTTTTATTATTGCTGTTTTATAAAAAGATAAAGTTTTTGTTTTAAATTTAATCTATGTAAAATTTTTATTCTGACTTCTCTTTCTTGGCTTTGGAACGATCTTTCTTAATATCAGAAATTAATTTCAAAATTCCGATACTTATGATTGATCCAATTGGTCCAAGTAATGGTAGAAATACTGCTAATTTATGTTCACTAGGGAAATATGCTTGTTGAACCATTTCCTTTTCAAAGAATGCTCTATCAGAATTCTTCAAAGATAATGAAGAATATGTCACTGAGGTTAAATAGTCTTGGTCATTATTCACTTTTTCAATAGCTTTTTTAGCATAATCTAATGATTTATTAACATATTCCTTTGTTAATTCAGGAATTGAAATTTCACTTAAAGAATTTGTAACTTTAATTAATGACGTGAGACTTTCAAGAGATTGCTTTAAATTTTTATAAGTAGAAACTCTTGAAAGTGTATCTATTCTTATTGATGGTGATTTTGGAGAATTTACAAACCCTAATAATTGAAATAATTGTGATGAAAATACTTCTAATACTGGAATAAGTTCATCTTCAGTAAGAGTCACTTTAGAACTTTCAATTAATGGTAATTCCTTATTAAATATATGTACACCACCCCATTGTGGTACTAAGAACGAATTCTTTTTGGAACCTTCAATCTTCCAAGGTTTGTTATCATAATTTGAAGCTGGGAAGAAAATTATAAAGTTTATGGTTGGATTTATATCATGAGTGAATAAATTCCAATCTCCAAAATTTATAAAAGTTGTTAAATCAGATGGTTTTAAAACAAATGCCTGATCTTCTTCATTATATTTAATTTCTTTAGATAATTTCGAATAGTATTGAACTTGAGTAGCAATTGAAAAATTAGCAAAATGACTCAATCTATCTAAAATTGGCGTGAAAAGTTCAATAGATTGTTCTATTTGCCAGTCTATTTCAACTCCATTCTCTACAAATAATGAAAATACAATATTATAATCGGATGAATAAGGCATTACAGTACTGATAGTATCATGATTTTTGTTTGTTGTTAAGCTAAGTAATTGTTGAATCTCTTCTTTAAACACTTGATCTACAAGTACAGAAGCTATGTATTCATCGGCTACAGTCTTGTCTGATACAAATATCTCAATCATTTTACTATATGGTGAGATCTGGAATGAATCTTCTAGAACATTTGCTTTTTTCACAATGACAACATAATCCTTATGAGAATCAACTGTGTTAGAATCAGTCGTGAATTCTACTGACCATAATTGTCCAAGTTCAGGATACGTATAACTGAGTCTGGTATTAAATGCCTGCTGAGTGGAACTCACCGGTACTGGATCCGATACCTGTAAATACACCGGGATTCTGAATTGAATATTATGTTGTAGATTTGTCGTAAGCTGTTGAATCTCTTCATATGGTAAATCAGCTCGGTAAATAGTGGTAGTACCCCAAAATAATGGATACCCCAAGCCAAGAACAAGCGCAGCTATCACCACGACAATCCATCGCCTGACATTGCGGACGCTATGAGATTCTTGTGCCATATCAATTGGAGTTTGTAGTGAGAATGGCTTATTACTTATTGTAAGTACGTGTTGGCTTAACGGTGTTGATACCTTTTTTCTCGCAAAGCTTTTAGGGTACCAAGACTGTTTAATCAGTACAGTGCGCAGAGTTAGCGACAAATTAGTGAGAAAAGTTCGGGAAGAATTACTGTTGCTATCACTACCCATTAGCGAGCATTGAATGAGTACTGCGCAGACAACAAGTGTGTGAGTTTTACCGAACATGTTTAAGAAAGATCCTCAGCCTAAGGCTTCGGCCAACATAAAGTCATCAGAAAGAAGAAAACTTTTAGCAACCATATGTGATGAGTATCTGCTTAGTCAAGACAAGATTCCTAAGGATGACTTAAATAAGATTCTTCCGTTAACTACTAAGCAAGCCAGTTTTAAGAGTTTACAGGGATTCAGTGGGACTCTCTACTATGATGAAAATGAGACTCCTACTTGGTTTAAAACGCGAGATTCACGGATGTATCCTTCACTATTCACAGTATGGAAATGTCCCTATATAGTACCAGTGATCATGACTCATCCTCATGTCATTGAGATTCTTGAAGGTGGAGCAGATTTAATGCTTCCAGGAACAATTCCTCCCTTTGATAAACGGTGTGCGAGAGGCGCAGTTGTAGGAGTAGTTGATAGTGCTAATCCTACTGTAGTTAAAGCCATTGGTCGATGTAATATTGATATGTGGAAGTACGATAGAGTGATAGGAACTCAAGGAGTGGCGGTTGAGGTTCTTCACGTATTTAAGGATGAGTTGTATAAGAAAAATGAACTTGTAGATATTGCTGTGCCTAAGGAGTTAGATTTATCCAGTCCTGTAGAAGAGGAAGTACCTGCTGAAACAGAAGTGGAATCAACTGAGCCGGTTGAAGAAATGAGTGAACGTACACCAGAAGTGTCAGTAGCTTCCTCCAGTACAATTGACGATATTGCTGAAGCCGTATCGACCCTTACGGTAGAAGAAGTTGATCATTTCTATATCAGATCGTTACAACAGACCATAAAGCTCGAAACTATCGAGTTACCTATCATTGCATCCACATTCATGTCGTCGTATATTTATAAGAATTTACCAGTTATAGATAATTCATACTGTAATGTGAAAAAGACATCATGGAAGAAAACCTCTAAATTTCTTAAGGCGATGGTCAAGGAGAAACTATTAGAAGTTAAGGGTAAAGATGATGATCTTTCTATTGTGAAATTAATGGATAAGTCTAATCCATTCATAGAAAACTTTGTCCCTCACAAGACTATTGGATCATTATCCAAACCTAGTGCAGGTCCAACTCCATCTAAGAAAGATGGTGAATCAAGAATAATACACTTGTACAAGCCCACTAACAAGTCAAGAATGTTTTTCAATAAGATCGATAAAAGGCATGATAATTACTTTACTGCTAATGAACTTCGAACCTTTATAACTAATTATACCAAATCTGCTAAACTCACCAATCCTAAGAATCCTAAGGAAATCCTTGTGGATGATATTTTACTGGGAATTGTTGCCTCACCTATCTCCACCAGTATGGCAAGAGATCAACTATTTAAGAAATTCTTAGCTACATTTTCTCCTCATTATCAAATAGTTATGCCCGGACAAGATGAATTTGATGCTGAAGTATATAAGGGAGAACCACCTAAAATTAATATTATTACTGAAATGAGAATCGGTAGAAAAGTTGTAACTCGAGTACTTAATTTTGAAAATTTTGGTATAAAGCCTCATATTCTCTCGGATGAATTAAAAGTTAAGTGTTCTGGTTCCAGTACCGTTGGACCATGTGTTCAAAATCCTAAACTAACTGAAGTTACAGTACAAGGACCTCACGCAAAGATTATCATTGAATTGTTAAAGGAGAAAGGGGTTCCTATTTCCAGTATTGAATTCGAAGATAAGCAGAAGAAGAAGAAGAAGAAGACTACATGAATAGAGGTGTATAAGGAGTTAAAGCAATAATAATACAGAATATATTTGAAAGTAATTTATATGTAAGTGTAAGTAATGTAACAATACTAAATGACGATTTCAATAATGTTTTGAAATGGACCTGCCGTAACAAAGGCAGACTTTGTTTGAGGATTGATATTTAACTTCTGAGCTGGGATTCTTCCTGGATAGATATGAGCATTTTTACATTGACTAATATTAATATAATTCAATGGAGAACATCCACTCAAGAGTGCATCTACACCAGCTCTTGTGACTCTAATACAACCTTTAAGAATTAACTTCTCTAGGTTTCTCATATGAAGAGATATAGCTACTAATGAAGAATCACTAACAGCCGAACCACAGAATGATAAATCTAATTCTCGAATATTTGGACATCCCATACAAAGAACTTCAATGGCAATATCAGTTAATGAACAACAAAAATTCAAATCAAGAATTTCTAAATTAGTAGCAGCATTAGCAATTGAAATAATTGATTTATCAGTCAAGAAAGTACAATCCTTTAAGGATAATTTCTTAAGATTAGGAAATGTTCTATAAGTCCAATATTGGAATCCCTTATCAGTAATGGCAGTACATCTAGTTAAATCCAAACTTTCTAATCTTTTATTAGCATGATTAGCAATATGATGCATGACATTATCAGTCAAATGTTTACAATATCCCACATTCAAAATCTTAAGATTCTTACATCCATAATCATGATCTTCAATATTATTAACTGCCATTAATTGTTGATTAGAATTATCATCACCATCAGATGATTCATCATATCCAATTAATCTTTCAATTACATTATCTCTTACTTTGCGACAATTAGATAAATCAATTTCTTCAAGATATCTTCCAACACTGGGAACTGTAAGATCCATTATTGCCATAGCACTAACATCCCAATTAGATTTCATTTTAATTACTTCAATTCTTCCATTAATTCCAATCTCATTAACCATATAACTATATCCTTCATCAGTAATATGAAAACAATTAGAAATATCAATTCTTGTAGGTCTTGAACCAACAAAATCCGTTATGGAAATTAAAGCATTATCATCAATTGAAGTATTCCATGGAGTTAAATCAAGATTAGTACATAAATTAGGGGCAGCATATAATAATTGACGCCAACGTCTACTAATAACTCGAAGTTTCATTAATTCTGGTAAAGTTAAGAATTCAAATACTTTTAAAAGAAGTTTATCAGGTAAAGGACCATTATTACTTAATACAGATGATCTTCTTCTACTCACACTAGCAAGTCTAATTCTTTTATTATGAGGTAAGTATTGGAATTTATTAACTTGTGATTGACTATTAAAGCTTTGGAAATTATTGAGTGATGATACTACGGGATTTGAAGCAGGTAATGTAAGATTAATATCAGTATGAATGGATTTTCTCTTTCTGAAATTAGGTTGTTGATCATCCATAAACGAAGTATTTCTAGTAGATTCCTTATTTAATACATCAAATGATGAGATTGGTGAGACTGAAGGAGAGATATTGGTGATAGGAGATACTGATCTTGAATATCTAGTGAGTTGTGCTTGATCTGTTGGAGAGGTGATTGGTTTACCAAAAGTAAAAGAATTAGAAAACAATGATGTTGCTGATGATGGTACTCCTGAAGACATTGGAACTGGAGAATGCAAAGATGGAGGAATGGATTGAGGAATTGGGGCATGAAGTTGAGGTGAAGGAGATGAAGGTGATGATGCTAATGAAGATTCCGATTCATCATGTTGATTAATTAAATAGTTAATGGATAATCTTGACTTTATTTCATTTTCATGAATAGAGTTATTGGATTTATTTCTGGCATCAGCTGTCTTTCTCATATCTTCAATTATGAATGGATATCTGGCACAGAGTCTTTCCAATTTATCTGATTTAACCACTAATAATTCTACATTTGAAATAGATCTTATAGATGCACTTCTTCTAGTGGTAGATTCTCCATTTAAAAATGATAAGAATGACATTTCTCCGAAATAACTTCCTGAATTTAAACGTGCCAATGTATGTTCTACTAAATTCCCAAAGTTATTATAAGAATGATCAATAACTTCTACTTCACCATTAATAATAAAGAAAATATCTGAATCAGTATCTTCCTTATGAATAATGTATTCAAAAGGATTAAACTTTAAAGGTTCAATACCCAAAGCAACTTTATGAATGATTTTTGATGGTAAGTTTTGGAAAATAGGTAAATTCTTTATGAAATCTTGGATAGAAAGGGATGCTTCAATATTACTGGTAGAAAGATTCGAGGGTGATGGACTATTTGAGATAGGAGGTAAACTTGGACCAGGGATTATAGATGCTTGAGTAGCTAATACAGAAGCATTTATACCATTCTGAGTTATGGCATGATTTGGTTGATGACTATGATTATGTTTAGCTGGAGCCTGATGAATTGGAGTTAAAATGGGTAATTCATATTTATTACGTTTCTCTTGCATGGCTAAACGTTCTTGAGCTTCATCTCTAATTCTTCTTTCTATTAAAGGATAATGTTTCAATACTGGATTTAAAGCTTCTGAAGTTAATACCCCTACCAATACTCTTGTTCTTGCTACCACCGTGGCAGTTCTCGGACGATTGAAGAGAATCCCGATTTCTCCAAAGAAAGATCCAGAAGCAAGTTCAGCATAGATGGATTCACCATCAGTTGAAGTTACACTCACAGTTCCTTTCAAGATCCAATACATTGATTTAGAAGGATCTCCCTTTTTAATGATATATTCTTGTGGATGATATTGCATAAGGGTTAATTTGGAGGCAACTTTATTAAGAAAAGATTTAGGAGCCTTCTTAAATAATGGAAATGTTTGTAAACGATTGAATAAGTCTGGAGGTATATTTATGTTGGCATTAGAATTGTCATTAGAATCATCATGGTTGGTTTGGTCATTATAATCAAAATCAAAATCAAAATCAAAATCAGAGTCGGACTCATTATCAGTATGAGATAAGTCATCGGATGATATTGATATGGTTGGTTTCTTTTGGTCCATGGACGTAGAAATTGTTGTCGGAGTTTTCGTTGATGTTGTTGGTATTATTGATACATTTGTGGCTGTGGGGCTTATTGGGTCTATATCCGTTTCGGAGTTGTTTATATTAGCACTATTAGTGGTAGATGGGATATCATGTCGTATTTTAGTGAATTTTTTATGTATTATGGAAGAAGGTAATATCAATTTGGGAGACGGAGATATGGCTCGTAAGTCATTATATGAATGCGAATTGTGAACTGTCGATGTTGATGATACTGTGGAAGTCGATGGTACTTGTTGAGATGATGGCGAAGATAATGGTGATGGGTTATTAGGTATAAACTTTGACTTTCGGTTAAGTTGGTGCTGTTTCATCATGAATGTACTAGGGGGACCAATTGCCGTCTTCAATGTTGCTTTATAATACTGCGACAATGAGTTAGCAGTCGGGGGGCACCTGAGTCTGAGTGGTTGTTTCAGCTACTGGAGATTATTGTACTTTACCGAAGTGGTGATGAGCTTGTTGTGAATTTAAGAAAAGTGTGGAAATAAATAACGAGAGGTGTTAAGGTAGTAATATAGTAGAAATAAAAAAAAATTAAAACGTTAAATTCAGGTCGAGATAAAAATTAAAAAAAAAAAAGTAAAAATAAGAATAATAATAAAAAAAAAATTAAGTAAATAAATAAATAATACTATATAGATTCTACTGCGTTCGTATCAGCGTAAGGCACCAGATGACACTTAACCAATATTTCTACTTGCTAACGCCATAGTATCGGTTGTTGAACGTGTATGGTTACCGTTGGCCAATATGGTCTTTAGAGCTCATCAATTGCATTATTCATCATTTGTATCTTAGTATGATAAATAATTAACAGCAAGAGTCATGGACCCAACTGGGCACATTTGAGTATTAGTTGAGTGCATTACGTACATAATAAAAAAGAAATTTAATCTTCTTTAATGTAATTTTTTGACTTTTAAATTTCTTTTTTGGAAGTGAGGAGAACTTCTTTTTTTCCGTGAAGATCCACTTTGTTTTTCTAGAAGCTCATCTGAAATCTTATCTTTAAATTAAAGCAAATAAAAAGAACTTTAAATTAATCATTGTGTTCATTCGCTGTACACAATCTATTAATAGTATGTTGAAATGATTAAGTTTCTAAAGAAGATGAGTAAAGTAAATAGAGGCGATATTGCAAGCATCAATTACGTAAACCTTCTATTATTTCATAATTCAGATGTTCTTTTTCATGCACCATGTGCATTATATACTTTTTTAAATTAATGTCCTTTTCTCCTCTAGGAATGTTTCCATCACATATTTCCATAGAATCATTGTTCGTTTCATTTCCATACTATAGATCACTTTTAGTGACCTTCTACTACATATGTACCTGTTATCCTTACATTCGTAATCATTTCATCTATGCTCAATTATGTTTTAACTATCTTATATCTTTTAACTCAAATTTATCACATGACAATTGAAACTTTTGATTGACTCATATATGTAATGGAATTGAATAGTCCAAAAACTTATTGGACCATATATATGCAATACGTTACTTGCGTTTACATAGTTAAAATTAGTAAGCTGAGGTCATATTCTAGGCGTAAACATGGTAGCAATACTAATTTCATTTTCTTACATCAATTTCAAATCTATTAACTTCAATAGTTAAGTTATTTCAGGTAAATTCAATTTATACTAATTAATAAGGTGATGTGGTGCTTGAAATACAAAAGATTCTCTAAGCGGTGGCTTTACCATAAAAAGAATTTCGCACAACTTTCCTTTTTTCCTTGCCACCTTTTGTAACGTTACAATGAATTTCAGTTGCAAATTTATCACGTAAAATAACACATTTAATAATAATAAGAACTATAAATCACTACAAATCTTGACTCACAACTTCAACTGTTGTGCCATAGTCTTTGGTCTTTTGCATACTGCTATCTTCAGATTGATGCTCAACATCATCTGCATCCTTATATCTAATATCTCCTCTTGGTTGTGGCTTTTTACCCATCATAACCTTAATCAAAGTCATAAACGTAAATCTAGCTTCCCATAATGGTAAAAGAATAACAATAAAGGCCCCTACAAAACCCCAAATAAACATAACCACAATCCAACCTCTGAAAAAGGTCTTACTAAATACATATCCAGATCCATATAATGGTAATGGGAACACGATAAGGAAGAATAAGACAAACACAATAGTAGCAATAAAACCATACTTTCTTTGTCTCATAATCACATCTTGCATTTGTTCAGCCTTATCCAATTCAAATTGTGTGGATTTCTCTTGATTATAAACAATTTGTTTTGAATGATGAGATTCATCAAATTCAACATTATCATCTTGTTTAATTCCAAGTTTCCAAGTTTCCCAATCAAAATTTGCTGGTTTAATCCATACTAAAATAGGCACAATTATCAACGGAACACCAACTGCTACAGTATTTCCAGCTGCCAAAGCTTCATTTGTAGATAAGGTCGTTAAATTTATCGTACCTGATTGATGAACAGTATAACCAAACCAAACAGCTAATGAAATACAAGTTGATAAGATAGTACCAACACTGTAGGCAAAACTACTCATTTTTGTCCAGAATAATGTTGCCATCATAGGTATAACATTAACATTAACAACTATACCTGATACTGTAGTAATAAATGAGACATCAAATCCAGCATGTGCTAAACCAATTCCCATACCAATAGTAACTATACCAAAGCCAATGACAACAGAGTGTGATACTAACACGAGCTTCTTACCACTGGCATTTGGATCAAAGTATCTTTTATATATATCATGAGTGACTAAAGCTGAGACGGCAATTGTTTCTGATGAATAAGCAGCTGTAACTGCCATGAAGATCATAGTAAGAACAGCACCAACACCTCCTTTACCCATTAATGCTGCTGCTGCATATGGCATAACTAATCCATCCCCAATTTGTGCCTCTGACATTAAATTAGGATAAGTTGGAAACACACTCAAAGTTTCGATACCAGCAGCAGCTAAACCAAGAGTAGTGGCCAAACAAAAGGGAATAGTAAACCATGCTAATGAACCTAAAATATAGGATAAGCAAACTTTCTCAGGGGCTGCAGCAATAGCTTTTTGAAATAATTGCGAATCAACAGATGCTGCCCATCCAGCACCAAAAAGTACTAAACCAAAAAGACCACCTTGAACTGAGCTCAAAGTCATTAAACTTCCCTCAGCATTACCTTCAATTGGCCTTCTTTCAGCAGTGGCTGTTAAAAGCTCCCATAATTTTGCTGGTGAACCAATTGTATCATTTGTTGCATATGTATTAAACATAAATGTAAGCAAAATCACAAAAATAATAACTGTATGAGTCCAGTCAGTTAAAAAAGTTGCTTTGATACCTCCTACCAAGGTATAAATAATAACACCTATTGGGAATAAACAAATTGCAGCATCTCTGTTCATTCCGGTGATATTAGAAAACACAGACAGACCATTAATAAGTAAATTTACAGTGTATGTGACCATTTGAATGGCCGAATAACCAAAAGCAATCAAATGGGTATGTGTTGAGTATCTTACAGCAACAATTTCTTGATATGTATGACAATTAGGAGCTTTCCTTTTCATTTCAAGAGCCATACAAGAAAATATAATAATTTGGACACATGCCCCAGCACCATACCAATAAGCAGAACTAACACCATTTTGATAAGCTGATGTTGTAGAAAGTAACAATGTCAGCCCAATTGTCCATGAACTAACTATACTTGAAGCTAATAAACCTGTCAGAGAAATACTTCTTTTAGCAGTCATTAACATTTCTGAATTTTGAATTTCATTGAAGATTTTCTCAAGCAATTTGGATACTATTAACATGATCACCGCAAAAGCAAATCCTAATCCAATTACTAAACCATATCCGGTTCCTTGTGAGAACACCACTGTATTTGGTTCTGATGTTGACATACTGATTTATATTTTTACTTGTACTTTTCTATTTCTAGCAACTTTCTTGGTACAGAGCAAATGTGATTTCTTTCTTCTTATATAATAAATGTTCACCTACTAACTGCAAAATTAGAAATGGTACGTTATAATTTATTGATATCATTTTTAAGCAATCTTTATAAAAATCAGATGAAATCAAATATCTTCATCCTTTAGGTTATATTACCGATAAGTATAATTGCCGCTAAGAGGCCGCGTTATCTTTCTTAAAATTACCTTAATCTTAATCAATGCCCCTCTGATGTTAGTAAAGCCAAAGGTATACAACGGAATTTTCCTAATCGGGGCGGCGCTCTCAACTAGAAAATACAATTATTTTTTATGTTATCTGGTTCAGATAACATACAGGATTTTGCGTCCCATAGGGGAACAAAATTTTTGGTACGGTCGTAATTGCGCAGAAACTAATGCGATTGTGACTCCAAAGAAAAATCTTATTTCCTTGCCGATAGTTTTATATTTCGTTATCTGTCAAGGAAAGAGGTGGGGTGTTATCTAAAAACCTAATATTTTTTAAATACTCTAACATGTATTTGTTTTAGTTTTAGTTTCTAAGCTATACGAAGAAGTACACAAGAATAGTCATATAGAAAAAGCTAAAAAAAGCTTTCAACTTTGTACCATTATCCCCTATTCGGAAACTGCCTCCCTTAATGTATATCCCTTAGCTTTATTTATTTCATCAATGGCAATACGAGCAAATTTCACATTGTCTAATGCATTTGGCATATCTGAATGCAAGCATACAGTGAATGGACTACTTTCAAATTTCAAATTTAATACTACATCTTCAGTATCAACAACCTCATCCTTTAAGCCAGCTCTCAATACAGTTTGTTGGATTAATTCTGGTGTTTTAGTAGCATTTGGACCCGCCATAATTTTAACTAAATTACCTTCTGGCGAGTAACTCAAATCGGGATAAAATTCCTGAATGAATTCAACTCCTTCTTCAGCAGCAACTTCTTCATAATGTTTATTTTTAGCGGCCTTAACTGGTACCTTAAATACTTTAGCAGCTCTAAGAACGGCTCTCATAATTTCTTCATCCCTTTCAATGTAAAAGAAAAGTTCACCATGGGGTTTAATGTACGATAATGGTAACCCTTCTGCTTCTAAAAAGCCTTTAAGTGCACCAGTTTGATAGACTACTTCATTGTAAACATCTTCGGGAGCAAGCTTCCACTGTCTTCTACCAAAACCAAGTTTATCAGGAAGTCCAGGATGTGATCCAACTCTGACATTATATTTTTTTGCTAATCTTACTGTTTCTCTCATAATTTTTGGATCACCAGCATGACCACCACAAGCAATATTGGCTGTATCAATATAAGGCATTATTTCAGCATCGGGTCCCATCTTCCAAGGACCGTAGCCTTCACCCATATCACAATTGATCTCATATCTTGGTAAGATCTTGATATTATCTTTGGCTTCTCCACTAAGTTTCTCAGTTAATTTGGCCATAATCAGCTGCTAATAAAAATTAATAAGTTTAATGATAGTAAATCCTTCGTAACTGTATAAAAAAGTGTCCGACAAGACTTATATGTATTATTCAAATTATTAAATCGTGTAAGAGTTTAAATTCTAAGACGTTTCGGATAGCTACCTAAATGGGAAATTAATGACCATCCCAAATCGTTAGAGCCGCTAAGATGCCAAGCTAAGCGACAATAGACGAAATTAAGTTGAACCAATACTGTTGAATTATATATCGCGTAAAATCACCCTAATTAGGCGGCTTTCCTTATCTTCGATAGTCCCATTTTTTTTTTCAAGTGACAAAAGGTCCGAAATATGGGGTTGCAGCGGTGTTGCTCGATATAATTCTCGTATATATACATTCAAGTAAAACCGTATGAATATAATGCTTAAGTAATTATCAACCATTAACAATGTCTGAGTTTTTAAAGATCAAGAGGGTTTTAGTTGCTAATCGAGGTGAAATTGCATGCCGTATAATCAAATGCTGCAAAGAAAATGATTTGTACACAGTCGCAGTCTTTTCAAAGGAAGACGGTGATGCTAAACACGTTCTCGAAGCTGATGAATCTCATTTATTAGATGGAATAGGAGCTCAAGCTTATATTAATGTGGAAGAAATCGTTCAAGTAGCTAAAGATTATAAAATTGATGCTGTCGTTCCTGGTTACGGATTTTTATCAGAAAATTCTTCTTTTGCCGAAGCCTTATCTAAAGAAGGAATTCTCTTTGTTGGTCCATCAACAGAGTCTATTGAGACTTTCGGTTTGAAGCATAGTGCAAGAAAATTAGCTGAAGAAAATGATGTACCAACAGTTCCAGGTTCTGAATTAATTAACCATTATGATGAAGCTCTTTCTGAAGCTACTAGAATAGGATTTCCAGTTATGCTCAAGTCAACTGCTGGTGGGGGAGGTATGGGACTTAAAGTTTGTTATGGTCCTGATGAACTTAAATCTTCACTCACTGAAGTTATTTCTAGAGGTGAAACATTATTTAAACATTCAGGTGTTTTTCTTGAAAAATATATTTTAAATGGAAGACATATTGAAATTCAAATATTTGGTAACGGTAAAGGAGAAGCAATTGCTTACGGAGAAAGAGAATGTTCAATTCAAAGAAGACATCAAAAAGTCATTGAAGAAGCTCCAAGTCCCTTTGTTGATTCAGTTGCGGATAAAACTCTTAGAAAAAAGCTTAGTAAATGTGCAATAACGCTTGCTTCATCAATTAAATATAAATCTGCTGGTACAATAGAATTCTTAGTTGATGATGATACGGGTTCATTCTACTTTTTGGAGATGAATACAAGACTTCAGGTCGAACATGGAATAACTGAGTTAATTTATGGGGTAGATTTGATGAAATTAATGTTATTACAGGCTGACTATGAATTGAGAGGTGAAACTGGGTTACCTTTCGATACTTTAAACTTACAATATGATGATGATGGATTGCTTGTACCAAATGGTTGGGCTATTGAATGTAGAGTATATGCTGAAAATCCAGTCAAGAACTTCCAACCCAGTCCTGGAATTTTGCATTATGTTGAATTCCCAAACGAAATTGAAGGTTGTAAAATAAGGATTGATCATTGGATTGATACTGGGACAAAGGTTTCACCATACTTTGACCCATTATTGGCAAAGGTAATGGTTTGGAGTGAGACAAGAGAAACTACCAGGCAAGGAATAATTAAATGCCTTCTTGAAAGTAAAGTTCAAGGACCACCAGTCAATATTGATTATTTGGTTAGTGTGTTATCTTCTTCAGAATTTGCTGCTGGAAAGACTCTAACTTCCTTCTTAACAACCTCATTTAAATATGAACCACCATTAGTTGAATTCGTCACTTCTGGATCTTATACAACTATCCAGGATCTCCCAGGTAGATTCAAATATAATGCAGGTATTCCATTGTCTGGCCCTAGTGATCCTTTGAGTTTACAATTGGCTAATCTTATTGTAGGAAATGAAACTACCACTGAAGGTCTTGAAATAACCCACGAAGGTCCAACTCTTAGGTTTCATACTTCAGCAGTTATATGTCTCACTGGTGGTCACTTCCATTTCAAAATTAAAGGAAAGTCGATTCCAATGTTCACTGCAGTAACCATTCCCAAAGATACTGTTGTCAAGATTGGCCATGCTACAGGAATCGGAGCAAAATGTTATTTAGCTATAAGAGGTGGTTTTCCTGATGTGGCATATTACTTGGATTCCAAGAGTTGTACACCTACTTTGAACTTAGGTGGTCATCAAGGAAGAATTGTTATGCAAGGTGACTGCTTAACCATCAAAAAGGGTGATCCAGTAAACAGTATTGAATTAGGGTTTGAACTTCCTAAGAAATCACGTCCAAATTTCGATACCTTGGAAGATGATTTTTGGACAGTTAAATTGATTAGGGGTCCTCATGACTCTAGAGAGATTGTTAGTGATGAAGGTATGAATGAATTCTATAATAATTTCCACTATAAAGTCAATCACAATTCTAATAGAGGAAGTGTTCGCTTAGATGGTCCTAGTGATGTGTTCTCTAGAACTCATGGTGGAGATGGAGGTTCACATCCTTCTAATATTTTAGAATATCCATACCCAACATGTGGTATCAGTGTAGTTGGAAGTGTTATGTTCTTATTTGGTGTAGACGGAAGTACCTTATCTGGATTTGTTTGTATTGCAGTACCAGTCTTGAGTGAATGGTGGAAATTTGGACAAGCTAAAGTCGCTGCAAATATAAGGTTCAAGTTAGTCTCTTATGAAGATTCTTTAAAATTGAACAAACTAAGAACCACCTTTTTGGAGCAGGTTGAAGTTGCAATTAAATCTAAAGATGCTGAAAATTCACCAGTTTTCAAAGATGAATTAGATGAATATTCTGAAATTGAAAAAGAAAGTATTCTATATAATAGGGAACCAACCAAAGATTTACCTCAATTTACGATAAGACAAAGTGGGGAAAGAATGGTATTGATGGACTTTGGAATTGACAAGTTTAATTTGGTCAATAATGGTAGACAAAAGGTCCTTCATGATTCTATAATGAGTGAAATTCCTGAATGTGTAATTAAAATGGAAGCAAATACAGGTAGTTTAGGACTTGTATTTGACCTTGAAAAGATCAGTAGACCTTCTTTAATTGAAAAATTGGTTGAGTTAGAATCTAAAGTCCCACCTCCACATGAATTGAAGGTTAAAAGTAAACAATTTATTCTTCCTTGTTGCTTTGATCATAGTGCTATCACTCATTGTCTTGAAAGATATATGCATTCTCAAAGACCTTATGCAGCCTATTTACCTAGCAATACAGAATATGTCATGAAGATCAATTGTTTAGATCTGATTGAAGAATTTAAAAAGTGTGTAGTTGGACAAACCCAAGTTATTACAGCAGTATCATTTTTATGTGGAAATACTTTAACAGTTAATATGGATCCAAGAACTAGATTTAGAACAGGTAAATATAATCCAGCCAGAACTTTCACACCTAAAGGTGCATTGGGATCTGGTGCTATTGGTCATTCCATTTACTCTATCGATAGTCCTGGTGGATATATGATATGGGGAATGGCCTTACCAGATTTGACTTGGAATACATTCAGCAGATTGAAAAGTTCAGACACTCCTTGGTTCTTCAATAATTTTGATCAAATTGTATACTATGAAGTAACTGAAGATGAATTGACAGAAATGAACAACAAACTTTTGACAGGGAAATTTAAATTTGAAATTAAAGAAGTTGAACTTGATTTTGGAGAATATATTGATTTCTTAGATGGAATTGAAGATGAACTTGAAGAAATGAACAAGAAAAAGGATGAAGCTCTTGCTGTATTAGTTGAAGAAGAAGATATTTTATTTGAAAAATGGCAGAATGAAAAAAATGCTACTAAGAGTTCCAAAGCTACTGATGAGAGTCTTTTGAATGATCCATCCATTTTAAAAGTCACTTCTACAATGGCAGCTAATGTGTTTAAGATTCAAACAAAACTTGGTGCAAAGGTATCAGCCACTGATACTTTAATTATACTTGAAGCCATGAAAATGGAAATTCATGTCAAGGCTATAAATGATGATGATGATGAAAGTGATGAAGACGAAGAAGAAGAAGGAGGAGAATCAGACTCTAAGCGAAATGTTAATACTTCCTATGAAGTGGTAGATATTGCTATCTTAGAGGGTGACGTGGTCGTACCAGGAACACTTCTCTTCCTTTTAAAACCATGCTTAGAATAGTGATTAAAAATTAAAATAATTAAAAAAACTAAGAATTAGTATTTAGAAATTAGAACTTAAAAACTTTGTAATAAATATATTGTATATTCAACCTGACTTACTATGTAACCAAAATGCTGCAAAGTAGACTAAATTTTTTTTGCATGTGGCGTGCACATACCAATTTTCATTTTTTTCAAAAATTTTCATTTTGACTGAAGTCAATCGATTTAAGTCTATTGGATATATTCGATAGTCAAATTCACTACTGAAGAAATGTTCAAGTTTAGTAGGCCTATTATCGGGCCAGCGACCCGGAATGTGTCAATTTCCACATTTCCTATAATACGTTCTTTTTCATCTTCTTCGATTAACTTGAAAGTGGATGATGCTAAAGCGAAGTTGATGAGAGAACAGAAATTGCGAGCAAAACATAGACAAGGACCTGAATCTCATCCTTTATATATGACTGTTCCTCAAGCAATGAGATATTTACGTGCAGCAGAAGTGGGCCGTCCAGTTAAAAGAAGTACTGTATCAATTTCTATGACTATAATACCAGAAAAAGGTTCAACTCCTATATCAGGATCTGTATATCTTCCTAAACCTATCAAAGATAATTTTGTTATGGTATTTAGTTTAGATGAAGAAGTTATTAAGAAAGCAAAAGAAATGGGAGCCACATTAGCCGGAGGTCTTGAATTAATCCAAGGTATAAACGAGGGAACCATAAAGTTTGATAAAATAACACAAGCATTTGCAACTCCAGATATAGTTAAATCTTTAAAGCCTATTGCCAGACAAATTGGTCCAAAGGGTTTAATGCCAACAGAAAAAAGAGGTACTGTTTCCGATGATATTGCAAGTTTAATCTCAGAAAGTGTAGGAGCTTTAGCATTCAAACAAAAGGGTACTGATTTATCAATTGCAATTGGAAGATGTGATTTCAGTGATGAAGAAATTATAAAGAATTTAATAGCAGCTTCTACAGCTATTTATGCAGCTCAACCACCAGGAACTCCCAAACCAAATTTATTTGGTTTAACTCATATATCTTCAACTTTTGGACCTTCTATAGTTATAGATATCAAACCATAGTTAAATCTCTTGTAAATACATAAATATATATATCGTACATATCATAAATATCATATAGATAAATGAATTCTATTGCATTATCATAGTTTGTTTAGGTCACTTGATTAAGCACTGTTTATACTCGCGCGTTATTTATTTTTCATAGTTAAACAATTTATATTTACTATACTACACTATAGCAGAGTATGAAGAAGCAGATATGACCAATGAGATTTCTATAGTATCTAGTAATAAGTTCATGGGCTTAGCCGATGGGAATCTTCTTAATTGGTGTCCTACATTGAATTTAATTACTGTAACTATGAATAAAATGTCAGTATGGGTATATAGATTAAATGGAGAAAGAATATATTCAGTTAATAATAAATCACCAATTACTGCTATAACATTTATGAAAAATGGTTTATATTTTTGTCTAGCAGGTATAGATGGAAAGATTAAAATATTTGATTCGAATAATGGTAAATTAATTAAAATTTTACAATCTGATTTTAATCAAGTTAAATTAATTAATTGGAATTTTCATATATATAAGAGTTATGGAAAATTCGATAATTTATTTAAAGTTGATGTATTGGATTTTCTTCCCTTAATATCTTTAAATGAAGAAATTCCTACTTCTGATATTAATGAAATTAATAATAATTCTAATGATGTTAATTTTCTTATAATTGTTGATTCAAAACGTTTATGTATTACCTTTAATAATTTATTAGTGGTGGATGATATTTCTACTAATCTTAAAGGTATAGAATTTAAACATCATCTTGATAATAATGATTTATTCAATCAATACTTTTTAGTAGAAACAGAAGATCATAAAGATCAATTACTTCAATGGAGTATTCAAGTTAAACATAAGAAATATTTAGTTGATATAATAGTGAAAATTTGTAAAATTATTAATATACTAAGTTATTTAGAATCTCAATTACAATTTTGTCAAACTAAAGTTAAACCATTCATTCAATTATATGATAGATATTTATCAAATTTAAGTGATTGTATAGAAGGAGAAGATTTAACAGTTTACTTATTTGATTTATTATTAACTAATCTTATTCCAGAGAATACAAAGGATTATTGGTTAAATGAATTTGGAGAAAGAGGTTATAAAAGACTTAATAAACTTGGTACAGTAATGTATGATAGTTTAAGAAATGTTATGTTTGTTCAAATAATTGCTTGTTTAGAAAGATTATGTATACTTTTAAATGATTTACATTCTTTATCAAAATGGTTAAAGGATTCTGATCCACAAGAATCTTTTGGATTAAATCCACTAATGATTAATGATTTATTAATAATTACTAAGAATTTTTTAAAGAAAGTTTATAAACTTATTTGGGAAATAAATAAAGAACAAGAGTTATTTAATAATTTTATCGAGTGGATAAAGACAGAAATAATTGAAAAGATTTCAAATGATGAACCAGTTGGTATTCCTATAGTAAAAGAAACTGATATAATTTCATATTTAAATGGTAGTCTTTTTAATAGTAAAATATGGGATTATATAAATTTGGATTTAAGTAATAATGATATTTTAACTAAACAAGAAAATCCTCAATTATTACCAACATTATTAGAACAACTTACGAAAGAATTTAGAATTAAATTATTACAACCAATTTCCACGTTTTTCCGATCAAACCTAAAATTTGATTTAATAAATCTTCCAATTAATTTATCTACAAATAGTAAATTACATTATATTAATGAAAATTTTAGTATAATTACAAGTTTTTCAAAATCTTCACCAACATCATTATCATTATTGAAATTTTCCTATGAAGATCCTACCCAGGCTATTTCAAGTCAACTTGAATTTCAAAATGAAATAATTAACTATCAGGTTTATAAAGATCAAGTAATCACCTTAATAAAAGATGAAAATCAATCATATCAGATTGTAAAGTCAAATTTAACAACTCTTTCATCAAAAATAATACCATTTCCTCAATTATCTAATCCACAAAATATAACTCTAAATGCAGAATATGGATGTGTATTAGATTCAAATCGACAGAATTATATTGTATTTAAATATTAATGGGATTCTCGTTTGCATAGAAATCCCTCATCCAACTCATTTTATATTCATCACCATCCCAATAAAATTGGTTCATGGCATATTGTCGAAAATATCTACGTATATTACGATCATTTGGTATTAGATTAGTTCTTGGATGGGTCTGTTTATACTTGTGGAAATTCTTATTAATCTTTTCAGTACCAGTAGCGAAATTTATAATTTCATATAAATCTTCCTTAGGTATAGGTTTGAATTGTTCAAATAATTGTTTTACTTTTTTTATCTTTTGTATGAATACATCATCACGATTATTTATTGGTAATGGAGCACCGAATTTGTTGGTTTCATAAAAGACTTCTATTGGTTGAATGTTAATATCCCATAATTGTTGATGCTGATATAAAAATTGATATTTCTTATAGATTTCGTTCAATGGTAAAGTGGAGATTCCAATTGAATATTCTCTTGCTAATGGGAAAGAATATTGACTGATATAATTTTTTTGTGTTTTATAAAGGTCAAAATATTGCACCATTGAAATATTTTCATTCATTTGCTCGTTATTAAGTTTGTTATAAACTGATATGGATCTACGTGATGTTGATTGTGATGTTAATTCATGGATTCCATAAATTTGGGGCCAAAATGATTTAAACTGTATTGCTGGAGTAGATTGAAATTTCAGTTCCCATTCGGGAATTTTATTACCTTCTTTAAATATTACATCTAATAATTCATCAAATCGTTCATAATTATCATTTAATATATCATCATATAATTGCAAATGATGATTATACTTTGATTTTAATTTCTTCTTTGGTATCTTTTTTGATAGTTGCTCTTTAGTTTTCTCTTTTAATCTTAAAAGAATATCATCACCTAATGGTAATTTAACGATTCTTCTAAGTAAATTTCTATAACCTATTCGAGCAGAAGTCATTTATTAATTGGCTTACAGTAACAGTACAATTGTTAGTAGAATTTTAAAAAAAAAATAGTTTTTTAGTTTTTTAATTTTTCAGTGAGTGCGTATACTAATTTTTCTGTTGTTGATACGTAATTAACCATACTTAACTAACTAACAAATATCAGTAAAAGGATGGCATTAGCAGAGACAATTAGTCGGAAAATCCATAAATTGGGATTAGTTCCTAAGTTGATTAAGTTATTGCCCATAGTATCGATTTTATTGGCGATTTCAAGTATTTCATGGATATTAATATTACCATTAAATGGTAATTATAGAAATACTTATATATCAGAAAATGCTTTAATGCCATCACAAGTTACATCATTTTTTCGAGAAAGTGAATGGAATATTGTTAGAGGTTATAGAGAAGAAATTAGTAAATTAGAAAATCAATCAATTGAAATTCGAAATAATCAACTTGAAAAATGGGTAAATGATCTTGGTTTAGTTACTGCTTATCATAATAATGGTAAATTTAATGATACTTTATATGCTATTATGCATGCTCCAAGAGGTGATGATACTGAAGCTATGGTATTAGCTATACCTTGGGAAACTTCAGATAATGAATATAATGAAGGTGGAATGGCTTTAGCTATAGCATTAAGTAGATATTTTTCAAAAATGTCTATTTGGTCAAAAAATATTATAATTGTATTTGTTGAAAATAATCAATTCCCATTAAGATCTTGGGTTGAAGCTTATCATACTTCATTAGAAGAAACTGCAGGATCAATTGAAGCAGCCATTGTTCTTGAATATGGAAAAAATGGAGATTATTTTGATTATTATGAATTAATTTATGAAGGTTTAAATGGTCAATTACCCAATTTAGATTTATTAAATACGGTTAATTTAATTGGTTATCATGAAGGATTACATTGTGCTATTCAAGATACTCCATCAACTGAATTAGTTAAAGATACTTATTTTACAAGATTAAGAACATTAATTAGAGGTATAATTGCTTTAACATTAACTGGTATTAAACCAGGTGGAGGATGTGAAGCATTTTCTGGTTGGCAAATTCAAGCATTTACAATAAAGGCAAGAGGAACTAAAGGACCTCATGATGTTACCCAATTTGGTAGATTGGTTGATTCTACATTTAGATCAGTTAATAATTTATTAGAAAAGTTTCATCAATCATTTTTCTTTTATTTAATGTTATCAAAAAATCATTTTGTTTCTATTGGAACTTATTTACCTTCAGCTGTTTTAATGGCAATTGCATTTACTTTTAGTTCTTTAGGTACTATATTAATTAGTGGATTAGAAATCAATTCATTTATAAGTCATTCTGCTAAAATTTTAACTATATTTGTGATTATTGAAATTATATGTTTTATTCTTTCATTAACTTTACCATTAATTAAAGTTGATATATCAATTTTACTTATTATATTATCATTTATACCGTTAGGTTTAAAATCATCATCATCATCATCATTTAAATTGAATAAAACTACATCATTTGGATTAGTTGCTTTATCATTATTCTTTATTTCATTATTAATAACGGCCTTATTAATAGTTCATTTTTCTTTGGCTCTCTTATTAGGGTTATTTACATTACCATTAACATTTTTAGCTCAACCTAAACCGAAATTAAAGACCATCATATGTCTATTAATTTCTAATCCATTCTTTATTATATCAATTGCCGGTCAAGATATATTTCTTGGGCTTGTCACATCTTGGCATGATTTACAATGTTGGACATGGTTTGTGGTTAGTTTAGGATGGTATTCAGCTTGGTTGGGGGTAGCTGTAGGTACACTTTCAGGAGATTTTACTGTACAGGATACTACAAAAAAGCAGCAATAGTTTAGAGCAATAGCCGTATATAAAAATAATATATAATATTTATTTTATACATATATTTATTTTATACGATTAAGGTATGTATACTGTACATTATACATTCACTTATTTAAGCTTTAAATCAATAGTCTCATTGTAGTGCCATACATTTAGCTGTTTTAGGAATGTTTCGCACGCCAAATTTTATAACAGCACGCACAGAAAATAAGACGTGTATTTTTTTCATTTGTGTACCTTTTTTGGACTGTTTCGTCTCCTAATGTATCAACAAAAAAAATGTCTGACTTGATTCACTAAACATTAAATATTAAGCATTTCACTGTGTTGTGTTGTATATAATTTTAATAAATTTATTTAAACTCTATACAAATAAAAGGGGTTGATAAAGTTCATCATGTCTGCCAATTATTCTATGGATCGTAATGCATCTACTTCAGCAGCATTACGTAAACGTAAGACTATGAAGAAATCAATAAATTTTTCTATTATGATAATTGGTGAAAGTGGTTCAGGAAGATCAACTTTAATAAACACTCTTTGTGGAGGTAATTCGATTGTTCCAACTTCATCAACAGTTAAACAAGATCCATTTACAAAAAGATTAACATTAAGACAAGAAAATGTTGAATTAGAAGATAATGAAGGTCATAAAATATCTTTAAATATTATAGATACACCTAATTTTGCTAATCAAATTAATTGTGAAGATGATTTTAAAGTTATTGTAGATTTTATAAGACATCAATATGATGAAGTATTATTAGAAGAATCTCGTGTTAAACGTAATGCCAGATTTAAGGATGGTCGTATTCATGTTTTAATTTATATGATTAATGCTACAGGTCATGGATTATCTGAAATTGATGTTAAATTCTTAAGATATATTAATAATTTAGTTAATATTATACCCGTTATTTCAAAAGCTGATTCATTAACTCCAGAAGAATTAAAATTGAATAAACAATTGATTTTAGAAGATTTAATTTCTTATAATATTAGTTATTATAAATTTAATGAATATGAATATGAACAAGATTATATTGATGAAGAAATTATAGAATATAACAAATATTTAAATTCTTTAGTTCCATTTGCCATTATTGGAGCTAATGAATATAGAGAAAATCCAAATGAAGATGAAGATTTATTAAAATTAAGAGTTCTTAATCCATTAAATACTCAACCAATTAATGTTGAAAATCCTGATATTAATGATTTTACAATTTTAAAAAATGTTTTATTAATAACTCATTTAAATGAATTTAAAGAATTAACTCATGATTTAATTTATGAAAATTACAGAACTGAAGAATTATCAGGTAGAAAATTTGAATATTCTAAACAAGAAAAGAAAGAAACAGATGCACCAGTTGAAGAAGAAGAATCTAATTATTTAATAAAAGAAGAACAAATTAAACTTGAAGAAGAAAGATTGAAAAAATTCGAAGAAAGAGTTCATCAAGAATTAATTGATAAAAGAAATGAATTATTACAACGTGAAAATGAATTAAAAGAAATTGAAAGACGTTTAAGAGATGAGGGGATTAAATTTAATGATGAAGGAGAAGCAATTCAATCTAATTAATCTATTTCATTGTGTCTGTATGTATTTTAACATTGTATAGTTTGCTTTTTGGTTTTGCTATTTTTTATATAGATATAAGAACTATTAAACTTTATACTTAACAACTATTTCATCAAATATTTTATTCTTTTCCTCTAAATCAGTTAATAAAGGATGTTCAGCATCTTGAGATTTTAATTCTTTTAATAATTCATCAACTTTCTCACCTGAATTTGATAAATATTCAAAAGTAATGCTATTAGCTAAAAAATCAGGATTACCCTTTGGATTTAATGCTTTAATTTGAGCTATTATTTCTTTAGCTTCAGGAATATGTTTTAATTGTAATGTTAAAGCAAATAATACATTTAAAATTTTAAATTTACCTTGAGGATCTTCATCAAAATCACTAGATAATAATTCATCATAAAAGTAAAATGCATTATTTATATTATCTGATTCACCTTTAATTGATAATAACCAAGATTCTAATACTTGATATATTATATTATCTCTTGAAGAATCTGGGAAATTTTTAAAATTTAAGAATATTTTATTAGCAGCAATAAAATTACCCTTAACTAAATGTAATTGAACTAAAACTAAGAATGGTTCTAATTCATTAAATTTATTAAATCCTTTAGCTTCATCTATATATTCAGTTAAGATTTTAATAGCTTGATCAATATCTTTTTTTAATTTAACTAAATAAACGGCAGTTAATACAGCTTGAAGTTCAAATTCAGCACTTTTAATTCCTTCAAAATATGGTGAATCATCAACTCCAAATGATTTTAAATCATCCCATGCTCCTAATAATTGAAAGAATTGTTCATTACCAGGAAATTGAGATTTCCCATTTACAATTAATTGTGAAGCATCTTCACCTAATGCAATAATAGATCGAATTTGATATTCAAGTACTTTTAATTGATGTTCTTGTGAAAATTGATCTAAAGCATAAGCTTTAACTTTTTGAAATTGTCCAGTATAAAATTGGTTTCTTATATTATACAATTCTCCAGAATCTCCGAATGCGTCCATTTCGTATAATTTTATTTCTTATTGGTAATAATCAAACTATTACCTGTTTTCATTCATTCATTCTCAATTTTGTTCACTTCATTCGACGTGTTAGATTCTCCTACTAAAATTTGGGTGTGCGGTATGGATGTACTTTTTTTTATTACTATTTACAAGATCTACATAACTTATTTATTGTTTTTACGAATAGCATCCCAAGCAGATGTAGTTTGTTCATGAGAAGTATTGGAAGTAACTTCGTTATCATCAAAATCATTAAATGGATCATCATCATCTGTAGAAATTGATTTTTTACGGTCATCAATTGCAAATCCATTAGAAATACGAATTTTATCCCATTGAGTTAATGGAGTTGTAGAACTCTCATTTTGAGACATGTGTGGTGGGGGACTATAATGAACTTCATGTTGTTTCAGTTTCGAGAATGTTCTGGGATCTTTAGCAATGAATGAACTATCCTTAGCAGTTCGTAAATAATATAAATAAAATAATCCCAATTGATGATAATCCATTGCTCGCCATATCTCTTGATGTTTTAAATCTCTTTGCGCACTCTGATTGAAATAGTATTTACCTGCCAATTGATTTGAAACTAATAAAGTTGTTAATCCAATGAAAAATGATCCAAATGGCTTATATATTTTACCTCCTGCTGGTAACAGTTTTGTTTGACTTATTTTATAAATTGTTGGTGCAAATGCTCCAATTGCTGCTGCTCCATATCCCATAAAATTGGTTCGTAATAATGCACGCCCCAATTCACTGGCTAACTCTTCTCTATCTTCAGGACTAAGCTTTTGATCTGCTTCATAGAAGTGAACACTGGCTTCAAACTGTTGAGGGGAGAGTTTCTCTAATAATGGATTTTCTTCTCTTGATGTCATATTGATCTTGTCAATAAGTAAGTTCTAAGTTTCAGTTTCTTAGTTGTATTTGTGAGTCGGTTTTTTTCTGAGTTTACGTTTTATCGCAATCCTACAAATCCTTTACTTTGTACATGTTTGGTGTGTATTATATATATAATTCGTCTATTGACATCTACAACAGTCATTAAGACTAAGACTAGACAAGTTTGTTATCATTTCTCTTTTCTTCTCTCAAGTTGACTAATTGTTTAATAACTTCATCAACTTTAATCATGGCATTCTTACCTTGTTCTTCTGGAATATCTCTATTTCTAACATTAACACTTTCACTTTGTTCTTCATCTTCACCAACAATGAAAATAAAATTATATTTATACACTTGACCAGTTCTAATCTTCTTTGGTAAAGTATTACCACTGACATCAACATCAACATAAAATTGATATTCATCATTTAATTTCTTTTGAAGTTTCTTACCATAATCATAATATTTAGGTCCAACAGGAACAATCAAAATTTGTCTTGGTGATAACCAGAATGGCCATTTACCCTTGAAATGTTCAATTAAAATACCAGTCATTCTTTCGACTGAACCTAAAATAGCTCTATGAATCATAACTGGTCTGGAAGTAGACAGACCTTTATCATTAGTTTCAGCCTTATATTCTAATTCAAATCTAGCTGGTAATTGGAAATCTAATTGAATAGTAGCACATTGGAATTCTCTCTTCATAGCATCTCTAATCATAATATCAATCTTTGGACCATAAAATGCACCATCAGCTGGATTTAATTCCCAGTTACCTTTACCTTGGAAATCATCTAAAGCCTTTTCTAATTTAGCTTCAGCTAAATCCCAAGTGGCGATATCACCAACAAATTTATCTGGTCTAGTAGATAATTCCATTCTAAATTCAAAACCGAATACACCATAAACTCTTCTTAAGAAATCAAATACACCAGCAAATTCAGTATTAATTTGATCAACAGTACAGAAAATATGAGCATCATCTTGTTGGAAACGTCTAACTCTAGTTAAACCAGATAAAGCTCCAGAAAATTCATTTCTATGTAAAACACCAAAATCAGCAACACGCCAAGGTAATTCACGATAAGATCTTTCTCTTGATTTAAATAAGATACAATGACCAGGACAATTCATTGGTTTTAAACCAAAAGTTTCCTTTTCAACTTCAAATGAAAACATATTTTCCTTATAATTTTGCCAATGACCTGAAGTTTCCCATAATTTAGAATTAAACATATTTGGAGTAATAACTTCATCATAACCTCTTAATTTATATTCAGCTCTAATAAATTCAACTAAAGCATTATAAATTCTAGTACCATGAGGAGTCCAAAAGGCAGAACCTGGAGACATTTCATTAAAGAAAAATAATTCTTGTTCTTTACCAATTTTTCTATGATCTCTTTCAGCAGCTTCCTTTAAGAAATTTAAATGTTCAGTCATTAATTTCTTATCTGGGAAAGAAATACCATAAACTCTTTGTAATGAATCATTAGTAGAATCACCTAAGAAATATGAAGCAGAATTCTTTAAAACTTTAAAAGCTTTAATTCTGCCAGAATGAGGAATATGAGGACCAACACATAAATCAATTAATGGACCACATCTATAAACAGTAGTTGAAGTACCATCTGGGATTTTATCACTAATAAATTTGACCTTATATTTATTATAGTGGAACATCTTTAATAAATCTTCTTTAGTCATTTCTAATCTTTCGAATCTTTGTTTTTCTTTAATAGCTTTAGTAGCAACTTGTTCAAGATTACTAAAGTCACCTTGAGTAACAGCAGTTTCACCATCATTGATAGACATATCATAAAAGAATCCATCATCAGTTGGTGGACCATGAGATAAATGAGATCCAAAGTGACATTCACAAGCTTCACCCAAAATATGGGCAGAAGAATGCCAGAATACAGCTTTACCTTCTGGATGTTCAAAATCTAAAAATTCTAAATTAACATCTTCTTCTAAAGGTCTTGGTAAATCCCATAATTGTTTACCATTGATTCTTGAAATGACTTGTCTTTCAAAAAATGATTTACCAATAGAAGAAGCTATATCAGCTGGAGAAGTTTCATATGCAATCCCTTCTTTAACAGTACCATCTTTTAAAGTAATTTTAATTGGTTTATGTTCACGTTTTTGAATATCTTCGTCATACTTGGCCTTTAATTCATCAAAAAGTCTTATACGTTCTTCAATGAATTCTGGTTGAGGGTCCAAAAACAATGGGGCCTTTGGAGCCTTTTCCTTCTTGTTGTCCTTAACAGACAATTTAGCAACTTGTTCTTCCATAATTGAATGGTTAAATTCGTATTTAACTATGCTTTGACTTCGAGATGTACCAATTTTATATAGGCAAGTAAAAAAAAATTTTGGGGATCGTGTCGTTTTGACAAATTTAATGCGAAATGAGTAATCGCTACTGGAGTAAGTATAAAGAGTTAGAGTGTTAGTTTGTTAGTTGTTAATTCATAATATACATTAAAATATGAAATTGGGTAATATATACATATTTACAAGGAAGGGGACGCTTTAAAATGACTTTGGAGCTAATGAAGCAATTTTTGTGTATTCTAATTCTCTTAATTCTTTAGCAACTACTGAAGAAACTCTAGTACCTAATGGTTCACCATTCTTATTAATTAAGACACAAGCATTATCATCAAAACGTACTACTGAACCATCTGGTCTTCTAAATGGAGCCTTTTGTCTAACAACAACTGCACGACATATATCTCTTCTTTTAACTTTATTCGAACTTTGACCCGTTATATCAGTTTGTAAAGCTCTAGCTTTTTTAACAACTACGGTGATTTCATCACCTATTTTGGCACAATTTCTAGGACCATGACGTAAAACTTTGATACATTCCACTACCAAAGCTCCAGAGTTATCCACAACGTTCAACAAAGTCTTTAAATATATCATTATAACTGTAAAACTAGCTGTACCTTCCGAATTAAACTCTTTCAAAGCTTCAAGTTCAAGATTTTTTCAAAGACCTTCAAGACGATTTTGAAATAATAAATTTCGTAATTTATATGCAGGGATGCGGTATGGATGTTTCTATACCCTACTATATAGCCTTACTATACTTATGTTAACAACTAGTAACTAACATCTACTATAAGTTATATGAATATATATGTATAATACAGGGACAAAGTCAGATAATGGAATCATAACAGAATGGTACGAATCGGATATTGTCACAGATAGAAAATCACGTTTCCAAGGTAGACATGTTACAATAAATCTGGCAGATGAGATACCTAATATACTATCACAACTTCTACAACAAAACAAGAATATTAAAAAGACAGCTAGTCATCCACATATTATAGCTTGGCAAACAGGAACTTTAGTAAATGATAATAAATATATCAATGTTAATCAAGGATTTCAAGATAATGGTGAGAAAGGAGCTGGATCAAGATTATTAAATCAAGTGTTGGTTAATAATAATATATTTAATGTATTGGTAATAATCACAAGATGGTATGGAGGTAATCCAATTGGAAGTCTGAGATTTCGACATGTTGTGAATTGTGGATTAATGAGTTTACGAAAGGCTAATAAAATATGAGTATCATTAGTACTTTAATTAACTAAAGTTTCAGAGATACGAATACATGTATATAGAGTAATAAAAACGAATCTAATTTCTAGTAGATATTAATATCTAAAGATTCTTCTTTTCCAATTCAGAATCAATTTCATCTTCAACTTGTTCAGTAAATTTAATAAGATTATCATATAATGATCTTAAGAATAAGAATTGAGTAAATCCAACTGCAGCCACAATTGAAAATACAACAATTCTCTTTTGTTCAGAATCGACATTTAAGAAAGCATATGGATAAATACCACCCTTCTCTGTATCAATTAGGTATTTCAATAAAGTCCAGTAGCCTGTAGTTAAACCAGCAACAATAAGAAATGCTGTTTCAATACGTATAGTCCATCTAGGCATAAATACAAGGAAATCAATTAATAATGATGAGACAGGTAATAAATGGATACATAAATCAATACTCATTGGAAGATTTAATTCATGATCACCTATAAGTAAACGTAAAAAGAATAATCTTAATGGCCAATAAATGATTGCTACCACACTTTCTAATGCCAACCCAATTGGATGAATATTGTTTTTTAATTCAAACAAAAGTTGTGATTTAGTTAAATGGGCAACAAATCCTATACCGAAAATAATCAATGAGTATACTAAAGAAAGGTTGGTTAAGAATTGCCAAGGGCCAGCATCAGCTAATGCAGGTGGCAATTCAATTGCAAATACAACATAGTAAGCACCAATTGAACCTAAAATAATCGATACAGCATCGATAGCTAAAATGATTGGATTTCCAACAACTCTTCTTGCTGACATTTCGAAACTTATACAATGAGCTTAAAACGATTCTATTTCCAAGAAGAAAGATATTTTTTGAAAATATATAGCAATGTGATTCTTAAGGATTTGCATCCTCTTAAGAAACGTGTGGGGGTAATCCCTGAGAGCAATCTACAGTGCGACTTTTATCATAAGGGTGCCATTGAACCCGATAATATACGGAATCTTGCCCCATTTTGTCAAAAACTCTTAATTCAAAGCCTTTGATCATTGTCGGATGTTATAATTATTATCCGATACAACGTTGAATTTTAAAATGGGCATAATTAAGAGAATTTCAATTGTGGTTTAAACTTTCGTCAAAATTTTAACCAAATTATACGGAAAAGTTGCAAAAACTTTTTTACTTAGCATTTAAATTTTTATTAAAATATCATTACAAGAATCATTAATTAAATTTTCTTTATATATCTACTATTAGTCTATTTATGAGTAAAGAATTTAGATAATCCTCTTGTTCTTGAGGTAGATCTAGATCCTGGTGAGCTTAGCCTATGAGCACTATCTAAACTTTGATTACTTCTACCTCTCTCTTCTGGGGCAAGAGTTGGAATAAGGTGAGGTGGTTGAAGTAATGGCTTTCCTCTATCTGGAACTAAGGCTGCCATATTCGTATAACTTCCAGTTCTTGAAGATGGTTTCTTTGTTCTCTTCTTATTATAAGTATCTGTTACATCAATATTTTTAATCCAATCAGCAAAATAATTGATCGAATCTATTGGTTTTATTAACATTTCTTGATGATGATAATTTGGTTTAACCAAAATTACTGGTACTAATGCACATTCTAAGAAATGTTTTGATATTGGTGATTTTGAAAGTAATGATCGATGATGTTCTTTCCCATCATAATGATGAGAACCAATTATCATCATATTTGGATTATATTCATCGATCGCAGCTTTAAGTAGTTTTTGAGGTTTTCCAATTACTACTTCAAATACTATAGCAATCTTTTTAAATTTAGTATTAAGTCGATCAATACGTTCAAGTGACCTATTAGCTTTTTCTTTATCAATAAATTCAAATTGTTTTTCATCTAAAACTTGTAATATAACAATCGTATCACCATGAATTAACATTTCATCAAATAGCCATTCTATAGCTTTTATAGATTCATGATCGTTATTATATCCAGCTAAAAATGTTTTATTATTTCTTCTAAACTTGAATTGTGGATGCTTGACTTTTAAAGTGATAGACTTTCTATGATTATTTGTTGTAGTATCAAATGATATTGATCTTTCAAAAGATTTCAACCGATTTAATCCGGGTCGGGTTGGTAATGAAGTATTTGATCTTGATGCTGATAAATTTAATGAAGAATTTGATGCTAATAACAAGTCTAATGGAGGTATATTACTATTTCCGGTAAGATTAGGTGTAAGTAATGGAGTTCCATCAGCAGATGTAACAGGACTTATAATTGAATCACTATCATAATCATCATAATATAATCTTCCTAATAAATCAGATGAATTATTCTGTTGTCTATAAAGATCTACTGTATCATTATTCGTATGATATAATAATGCATTCATCTTTGTATTATGCTCAGTTTCATCTTCAACATCTACTAATGATGCCAGATATCTTCTTTGCTTAGTTGTCCCACTTTTATCATTTTGATCTACTTGTAAGTTATTCGAATCTAGTACATCATCTATTGTAGCATTCGACACATTGTTTGAGCTATCATCTTCCTTAACACTTAGCCCAGTCATGTGTACCACACTTTTTTATATACTGTACTACAAAAATTTCTTTCAATACTAATTACAGTTATTTAAACCTAACTCTAATGAGTTCGTTGGCACGGCGCACTTTTTTATTTTGGGTGGCTATATCAAATTTCGCAGATATATATTTACAAGTAATATTTCTTGGTATTAATACATAAAATTAAACAAGAATGTCGTGCAGTGCAGTCCACTCCACTCCTAGTGGGGGAGGGCTCACCTTCCATTATTAATTCCCCTATTATGCTCTAATATACCCCAAATTCTATCCATCTTTAAACCTCCAATATTATCTACTACATAATAATGTCTCTTTTTATTTGATTCAGGATCAATCTCTTCCCAATTTCCATAAGCATTAAGTAAAGGAAATTTTGGTGGATCCAGAACTATTAATGATTTATTACCAGATACTTTTAATAATTCATTATAAGTTCTACCTCCAGAAAAGTTCAACTTTTCCATAATTAAATTCTCATCTTTAACTAAATTTTCTAAAGTTTGAGGTAAATCTTTATTATATAATCGAAATATTCTAGTAACATAATCCTTTGTTTTATATTGAACAAATACTGCTGGTGCTGAACATGAAAAAAATGTTGCTATAGCATAAATATCTTCGAATTGTGCTGAATCATAAAATAATTTGGCTCCATATAATCCAAGAACTGAAAAACTTAATGTTAATCTCTTTAACATAGAAACATATTTAGAACCTGGAGCTTCATATAAAGCTTGATAAGATAATCTATAATTATCTGGAAGTTTAGTATCGAATAATTGTCCTGGTTTTCGTATAGAAACGATATCATTATATAATGTAGGAGACCAAGGATTATTACTCGTTATAATTTCATCACTCTCTATATCGGAATCAGTATTACGAAATCCACCTTCATGACGAACACTATATCTTATAGCCCCTGAAGAAAATGATCTAATACCACTGATCCTTCGAAGCATCTTTGTAATACAATTAATATGGTTATATATATATATTTATATATATATATTTATATATGTTTATATATGTTTATATCCGTTTCAACTGTACAACTTTTTAACCTTCACAGTAGCAATTTTTTTTTTCAATGAAATGAGAAAACAAAAAAAAATTATTACTAGATGATAAAACACCACTTTAAAGTACAGATTGCTTAATTAGCGAGGTATAATCAATCACTAACAGAGAATGGACTCCGGTAATACCAACAGATTTGTTCCCGAACATCGTCGTACCAACTTTAAGAATAAAGGACGTTTCCAAAATGATGAATTAAGAAGAAGAAGAGAAACTCATCAAGTTGATTTAAGAAAACAAAAGAGAGAAGAAGTGTTGGCTAAAAGAAGAAATTATTTGAATGAAGCTAATGATTCTGAAGAAGAAGATGAAGATACCACCAACATTAATAGTGATGAAAATCAATTCTATAGTAAATTACATGAAGATTTACCTCAAATGATGGCAATGATTCAATCAAATGATTTTGATAGTCAATTAAATGCTACGATTAAATTCCGTCAAATTTTATCAAGAGAACATAACCCACCTATTGATTTAGTAATCCATTCAGGAGTTATTCCAATTTTAGTTGAATTTATGAAAGAATCTCATCCTGATATGTTACAATTGGAAGCTGCTTGGGCTTTAACAAATATTGCCTCCGGTAATTCTGAACAAACTAGAGTTGTTGTTGAAGCTGAAGCTGTTCCATTGTTTGTTAAATTATTATATTCACAATCTTTGGAAGTTAAAGAACAAGCTATTTGGGCTTTAGGTAATGTTGCTGGTGATTCAAGTGAAAATAGAGATTATGTTTTAGCTTGTGGAGCAATGGAACCAGTTTTATTATTATTTAATAGTTCTAAAATGTCATTAATTAGAACTGCTACTTGGACTTTATCAAATCTTTGTAGAGGTAAAAATCCTCAACCAGATTGGAATATTGTTCAAGATGCTATTCCAACTTTAGCAAAATTAATATATTCTGTTGATTCTGAAACTTTAGTTGATGCATGTTGGGCTGTTTCTTATTTATCAGATGGAACTACTGAAGCTATCCAAGCCGTTGTTGATGCTCGTATTCCTCACCGTTTAGTTGAATTATTAGGTCATGATTCTACATTAGTTCAAACTCCTGCTTTAAGAGCTATTGGTAATATTGTTACTGGTACTGATTATCAAACTCAAGTTGTTATAAATGCTGGAGTTTTACCAGCTTTAGCTCCTTTATTAAATTCACCAAAGGAAACTATTCGTAAAGAAGCATGTTGGACTATTTCTAATATTACTGCTGGTAACAGTGAACAAATTCAATCTGTTATTGATGCTAATTTAATACCACAAATTATTAGATTATTAGCTCATGGAGATTATAAAACTAAAAAGGAAGCTTGTTGGGCTATTTCTAATGCATCATCCGGTGGATTAAGTAAACCAGAACAAATTCGTTATTTAGTTCAACAAGGATGTATTAAACCTTTATGTGATTTATTATCAGTTGCAGATGCTAAAATTATTGAAGTTACTTTAGATTCATTAGAGAATATTTTAAAGATGGGTCAAATGGATAAAGAAGCTAAAGGATCAAATGTTAATGAAAATGCATTATATATTGAAGAAGCAGGAGGAATGGAAAAGATTTTTGAATGTCAAAGTAATGAGAATGAAAAGATTTACCAAAAGGCTTATAATATAATCGAAAAATACTTTTCAGAAGAAGAAGATCAAATCGATGAAGAAAGTGTTGCACCAGAAGTTTATGGTGATGCATTTGGATTTGGTGTTCAAGGTCAACAACAAAACTTTCAATTTTGATTGAATACGAATTGATTATTGGTCAGATTGATAGATTTTAATTGCAGCCGGTGCAATTGATTTAAATTTCCTTTATTGTTGATTTGATTTACCAATGTCGTTGATTTCCTTAATGTATATTATACAATATTACAGGTGCCATTTCATTATAATTACGTTACGGTTTATCCCATTCTCCCCCTTTAATGTCCTCTATTTAATATTTATCTCTAGCATTTTCTTTCTTTTCTTACCTTACTTTCCCCTACTCATTTATATGTCACAATTTATAAATTCTGAACTCTCTATCTACATATATTTGGTTTACTTTACTTTACTTTAGTTTAGTTTTACTTGTGTTTTACTTATTCTAGTCAAGTTCAGATTACTCAGTCTAGATCAGCTTAGTTAATTTTATTTAACTCAGTTCAGTTCAGTTCAGTTCAGTTTATATTAGTGTCTTCATCATTTCTTTCTTCTCTATACTCTTACTTCTTTTGCATCTCTTATAAATATATAATTAATTTATCGTAATGAATATGAAACATCCATACATCCATAGTAAAAGAGGATGTCGAATATCGCGGGCCGAACATCCTTTTCCGCACTGCGCACGACCTCTAAAAACCGCATTGACCGCAGCCAGCAGACAGACAATGGAGTAGGCTGGGTCAGATCTTGCCGAGAGTGAGCCATAAGAAATAGAGAAATAGAGAGAAATAGAGAGAATTAGAGAGAAATAGAGAAAACTATAGAAGAGTAGGATAATAGTTAGTATTATAAGAAAGAAAAGAATAGTTAATACAATAATAAGCACTATTGGTATAGTATTCATAGTAAACAAAAATTACAATATAACATAAGCTCATGATGCAATTAAGTGTAGGAAAAAATGAAAAACTATACGGTTATCGGAAAGCGATGGATGGAGATACTGTCCCAATTAGGTAAGATAAATAACGAAAAAGAAATAAAACCGTTCCTGCACTTACCCAGCAAATTAAATCCCTCTTAGTAAACACAAACAAAATAAAATTCACTCACTCATCACAAGCGGGAACAGTGAGGAAATAATTATTATTTCGGCTTGTTTGGGTTAACTATTGCAGAATGGATGGAAGTGAGTGAATGAGGTTAATTTTCTCGAGCAGAAAACAAATTAATTCAATTTGTTCAAACTATAACCATCTCTTCTTTTCTTTACTACAATTGAATTAGATCAGGGGTACTGTCCGACAATGAAGTTATCAAATATCATCGTAGGTTTAACTTCTGCTGCTGCCGTTGTTTCGGCTGCTGACGAAGATACTTCAAGAGAAGTCGTCACTGTCACCGTAACTGGTACTACCGAAACTCACAGATGGGGAAGATTCGATCATACCAGTAGACCAAACACTGATGTTACCACCGGTACTCACAGATGGGGTAGATTTGATCACACCAGAAGACCAGATACCGATGTTACTACTGGTACTCACAGATGGGGAAGATTCGACCACACCAGAAGACCAGATACTGATGTTACCACCGGTACTCACAGATGGGGAAGATTCGACCACACCAGAAGACCAGATACTGATGTTACTACTGGTACTCACAGATGGGGAAGATTCGACCATACCAGAAGACCAGACACTGATGTTACTACTGGTACTCACAGATGGGGTAGATTCGACCACACCAAACCACCTTTAACCACTACTGTTTTTGTTCAACCAACCGATGATGTTCAACATATTGTTAACATCAACGCCAGAGATGTTGCTAACATCTCCTCCAACGCTTCAAACTCAAGTAACGCTACTACTACTGCTGCAGGTGGTGCTTCTTCCAACGCTTTCAACTATGGTGTTGCTGGTGCTCTTGCTGCCGGTCTCTTATTAGTTGTTTAATTGTAGTTGATAATGTAATCATCGACAATTTATAATAACTATACCAGGCATTAACATAGTTGTTTTTGTTTTTGCAACTACTTTGGTTCCCTTCTATTTCCAACAATTTGTCATATTTGTTTAATATTGTTTATTCTTTGTTTCTTTTTGTTTCTTTCAATCAATAATAGATTTCAAAAATTGAAAATATAATGAGAACAATTTAAAACTACAATTTTATATACCAAATGAGTCCTTTTAGAGGCTCGAACATTATTTGTTTCCTTCGTAATCATTATCATTTATTTTATTATTATTATTATTATTGTTGTTATTATTTCTATTTAATAAACATAATATGGATTAAATCATTTAAGACTCTTTTGTAAATTACTGTAATTTAAATACAGATTGCATATTCTTTAACTGTTGAAGTTCACTATTAAGCTGATCTTTAAGTTTATCTAATTCTTTAATCTTATCTTGAAGCTCCTTTTCAAGTTTATCGAGATTTGAAGGTTTAGTAGCTTCTGATTTACTTTTAATACTAACTAATTCTACTTGCTCTTCTGTTCCAATAACAAGCAGAGGATCAAGTGGTCCCTTTTTAACCATACTAGTAATTAATTCATATGCTACTTGAGCTCCATTAGTTGCAGTAATTTCAGCAATATCATAAGCTGGTGCTACTTCAACTACATCTCCTCCTACAATTGATAAATCTTCAATTTGTCTTAATATATAAAGTAATTCTCTTGGTAACCATCCACCAGGTTCTTGTGTACCCGTTCCACTAGTAAACCCAGGATCTAATACATCAACATCAACAGAAATATATGTAGGTGTATCCTTTGGAATAGTATTTAATATTTTATCTACAACATATTGAGGACCCTTTATCCAAATATCATCAGCTTCAATACGTTCAAAATGTTGAGAATCATCATCTTCATAATCAGCAATACTTGATAGTTTCGATCTTAATCCAAGATGAATATTATGGTGACTGGTTAAACCTTCATGATGAGCTTTCCAAAGCATTGATCCATGATTAACTTCAGATTGATTAGTATGCCAATATGAAGGATACTTATCAGGGGCCCAAGTATCTAAATGGGCATCGAAATGTATAATATTAAGTTTACCATATATTTTATGTAATGCTCTTAAATGTGGTAATAAAACAGAATGATCACCTCCCAAGGCAACAAATCTAGGTGGAACTTTTGAATTATTAGTTGATTTACGATTGGATAATAATTCTTCAAATCCTTTAGTCATTTGAGTAAATGCTAAAGAATTATCCATTGGTGTAACAGGTATATCACCACAATCAACCACTTGTGCCCATGATGTATATGGATTAAAATTAGCTCGTTGATTATATCCTCTTAAACTAGTTTGACGTTGTGAAGCAGCTCTAATTGATCGAGGTCCAAATCTAGCTCCAGGTCGATAAGATGTTGCAGTATCAAATGGTACTCCAATAAGTGCTACATCAAATGTCTTTTCATTATCAATTAAACATTCATGATGTTCAAGATGTGCAAAAGTATTTATACCTTGAAATGGCCAATAATCTCCCCAGATTTCTTTTAAATTGGTGGGGACTCTATCGTTACTATCCATCAGATCATAAATTAATTCATTTTCATTATACTCATTAAGGTGTAATCTATGGCAATCAGCCAATTTCAAACATGCGGTAGCAAGTAATACCAACGTATCAAACTTCATTGTTATTCTGTTTGACAGTGCTATATATATATATATATTTATCTATTGAAATTGTTGTGAAAAATTAATTTGCGTCTTTGTAGTTATACTTATATCGGTGCATGGAATCTATTACCGCATTAGGAAACTCCGCTATGACAGATATTTCTCCAAATCGATTTGCAACCATTTAAACAACCTTGCAAGTTAAATACTAAGATACTGAAAGGATTTAAGACAAGGAAGAAGAGCTATGGGCCTAGTAGTTCTATTCATGAACAACTTAAGTCATAACATAGTACTCCCAACTCGAAAAGTATTGTAAAACGGCAATTTGGAACATTACCGTTTCGGGACGGAACACAAAAATTTGAGAATTTCAACATTTACTACTTCATGGTTTATTGTTTAATTCAACGAGTTAAGTACAAGATCAAAGAAGCCAGTGAGGATTAATTCGAAATTGCACAGTTATAATGGATATATTTTCAACTCCAATTGATACCAATGGCCCATCATCGGTATTTTCCAAATCGGTACATCACCAATTACCGGTTGGCTGTAGGTATGGACCACAAGATGCACCTATTCAAACCAATAACTTTTATAATAATTTGACTTTAGATAATCAAACTTTCCCCGTATGGACTCTTCCATATTCATTATGGTTGACTACTGAACCTCCACAAGATTATGGGTTAGCATTCAATCATACCGAAGCTTCTCAAAGAGTATTTGGACCTGATCCAGGAGCCAATCCAGCCCAATTTTATTTCAATCCACCCAAGATTAAATCCTTTGTTATTTCAGCAACTGAATTCTCTGGAAATAAACCAAGTCTTCAATTATCAGACCATAATAAAATGTCTGTTACTTCTGCTTTAGTATTGGATAATAATCGATTTATAAGAATTCCCTTAGCTCAAGGAATGGGATATATAACTTCAATTTATCAAAATCTTCAACCGGTAATTGCTTCAGAAGTAGGATTTCAGGAATTTTCATATGTATCTAGTACTAATGGAATCCAGAAATATAGAGTTAAATTGTTTAATCAAGTTATTTGGTCATTCTATGTTTTAGGCAATATGAAATTTTCATTAAAAGATCCTAATCATATAATTGGAGAAGGTGTTGGTAATGTAACTATTCAAATTGCTCGAGGTGAATCTCAAAGTTATGATGTAACAGCAGGTACCTATCCTATCAAAATTGACCTTCAAGGTTCAGCAAATAATGATAATGGTCAATATAAATTTGTATATCAAATGGAAGGTAGATCAAGTTCAGGAGCCGGTTTAGTTTGGTGTTTACCTCATCATATTGAGGCTCTTGATAGTTCTATCGCATCTAAATATGCTGGTTTAGATCTTGATTCTCCTACCAAGGGAATTATGAAATCATACATAACCAATGAATTACTGATGAATGAAAAATTACCAATTGATATTAATTGGGAGCCATGGACATCATTTTCAACTACAGCCAAATATTCTGATTCAGCCAAGGCATTAATCAAACAAGCAGCACAAATTGAAGTTCAAACAGATGTTGTAGGAATGGCTAATGTTGATTCAATGTATACCGCAGGGAAGATTCTTGATAAATTTGCTTATATTGCTTATGTATGTCATTTCATTCTTAATGATGATGATTTAACTAAAGTAATTCTTCCAAAAATCAAACAAGCTATTGAAATCTTTGCTTCAAATAAACAACCTCATCCACTTATTTATGATACTACTTGGAAGGGATTAATCTCTTCTGCCGATCCTGCTGCCGACTTTGGGAATTCAAATTATAATGATCATCATTTCCATTATGGTTATCATATCCATGCTATTGCTCTTGTTGCTAAGATTGATCCAAGTTGGTTACAAGCCAATGGTTCACTTGTTCTTAATTACTGTAATTCATTGGTAAGAGATGTTGCTAGTCCTAAAGCAGATGCATTCTTTCCTCAATATAGATCATTTGATTGGTTTCATGGACATTCATTTGCTCATGGAATTTTCCCTTCTGGTGATGGTAAAGATGAAGAGTCATCTTCAGAAGATTATCATTTTGCTTATGGTATGAAACTTTATGCCAAAGTTATTAATAATCCTCAAATGGAACAAAGAGCCAATTTAATGTTGGCAATTATGAGAAGATCAATGAATATGTATATGCTTTATTCTGATGATAATACCATTCAACCAAAGAATTTTATTAAGAATAAAGTTGCAGGAATATCATTTGAGAATAAAATCGATTTTGCAACTTATTTTGGTAGAGGATCTATTGCAGATGAATGGGTTCATGGAATTCATATGCTTCCAATTACTCCAGTTTCATCGTATATTAGAAAGGAACAATTTGTTAAGGAAGAATGGGAACAAAAATTAGCTGGGATTATTGATAGAATTCCTGATGGATGGAAAGGAATATTAATGCTTAATTTAGCATTATATAATCCCAAAAGACTGTGGAAATGGTTTGCAAGACAAGATTGGGATGATCGATTAATTGACAATGGTATGTCAAGAACTTGGTCACTTGCATTTATTGCCGGAATTGGAGGAACTAATTGAGCTTTATATTTATGAAGAAAACCAAAAGTAAAACTATATACATATATAAATTAAATCACCAAAATATCCGTTACAAAAAGAAATCCCAAAAATCTTCTTTACTAAAAGAAGTCACATCAAATTGTGGTATTGTAAATTCTGTACTTATATCATCTGAAGGATCTGTTGTTGGAGTTTGATTATCAATTGTTGGACTTGCACTATTTGCATTTTCTAATACTCCCATTACATAACTTAAGATATTATTCGTAAAGATAAACATTGTTCGAGATGAGAAACTAGCTACACTTAATTTCAGTAGCATTGATTGTAAATCATTTGTAATAACATTTAACATCCAGAATACATCTCCATATACAATACTAACTTGTTCTGGAGGTGATCGAATAAGTTCTTCTACCGTAGCAAAAGTTAATTCTTTATAAAGTTGTTGTTTAACTGGTACTGAATGTCCAGTACGTTCTACTTGACATAAAACTGAAGGAATTATAAAGAATGAACTTCTAAATAAAGCTTCCTTTATTTCATGATAATATGGAGTTGAACAAAGTGGACTTTCACTATCTCCATGTCCATCAATAACAGTAGAATTCATGAAATGAGTGGCAGCTACAAATAGTAATAAAGAATATTTGAATGCTTCATTTCTATTTGTATCATTCTTTCTCTTTAAATATCTTATTTGATTCATGGCTTGAATATAACTTAATACAATTAATTGAAAATATTTATCTTCATCATTTAACAGACCAAAATCTTCCTTTGATAATAATCCTTCTAAATCATCAAGAATTTCATTAACATTAACATTTCTAGATTGAACATTCAGATTCAATTTATCATTTATATCTCTTAAAACACTTATTTTAAGTTCATATTCATATACTTCATCATCTGGATCACATTTTAATAAATATTCTTTAGCCAATAAAGGTTGTTGACCCTTTTGAAAACTTCGAAGAGTATCTTCAAAATAAACATATATCCATGCATGCTTTAAAGATCTAATAAAATCAGCATCTCCACTTCCATGAACTTTTTCTTCACTTCTACCTAAACCTAATGATGAACCAATAACCACAATATTTGATAATAAAGCTTGATCATGAGAAAGTGCTTCTTCAAAATCTATATTAAAATCATATTTTCTTGCTTCATAAAGTAATATTAATGATAAAAAAGTTGGTAAAGTTGATTTTAAATCTGTATCATATAATAAAGATTTTGAAATTGAAAGTAATTCTAACAGATTAACTTTAAATTTATTATACAGAAATGAAGAAAGGGCAATAATTGATACTATAACACTTAATCTAACTTTTGAAAAAGTTTTCCTAATCATAACTCGTTTAGAAGAAGGATTTCTTTCAAATACTTCATTAAAATATTCTAATACTGTATTCCCATTAAAACATCTAAATAACATACCAGGAGTTTGTAAAAATACACTTAATATTGTTAAACAATCTTTATATGAAGGTAATAAATCTGGTAATTTTCTTAATGCTATATCTATTGAAATTATATTAATAGGTCTATTAATAACAACTTTAGAAAATAATTTAGCAATATCTTCATAAGATTTACTAAATATATCAAAAATTACTGGGAATCCCTTAACTGCTTCTTTAAGAATTGTTTTATAACATGTTGGACCAAATAAAAGTCGGAAATCTCCATTAATTTTAATATATGTAAAGTCATGTATATCAATGGTAGTACCATCTACCTGAGATGTATTTCCTATTCCATCAACCAAACTAAAGTTAACTTCTCTAACTGAAGTTTGCTTTGATGGATTAGGAAATGAATCTTGATAAACACAAAGATGTGCGGGAATTCGATTCTTCAAACATGCCGAACAAATAGGCTTATTACGATCGCATTTAACTTTCCTGGCCTTACAGTTTAGGCATGAGAGAGATTGTCTTCCTTTGTGACGAGCTTGTTTCAGCTGCATTTTGTTATCTAGTGTAATTAGTAGATAAGTATATTCCCTTAACTCATCTTTTCAATGCTTAGTTATATATTTTGTATGGGTTGATCACGTGTGCAATTAGACCGCGAAATTTTATTTATATACACATTAGTTGCAACTATTATCTATATATATAAATACTAATTATATTCTTTAACTACTCTATATGAACCTCAATACTTTGCTTCTGCAATATTTCATGATCTAAATGTAAGAAACCTAAACCCAAAATCAAATCTGCTAAAAGAGTACATCCTCCATTAATAAAGAACCCAACGTATAATAATTGATTAGCTGCTAATTTACCAGTAAATACAGGTCCAATACATCTAGCAAATGTTTTACCAATATTAACAATTCCCATTACTTTAGTTATTTCTTCTTGTGGCATAATGGAAGTTAATAATACTTGACGTGGAACAACATCCATAGATGAGGTTGCATAATAAAATATTAAAAGTATAGCAACAATAGGAAATTTAGTTACTAAACCAATTATTAAGAAGAATACTGCTGAAGGAGCTTGTGTGAATAAAATTGCCTTAACTGGACCCAATAATTTAGATAATAATGCTGAAGGCAAAGTAGTCACACAATTGATTGAATTAGTAATGAAAAAAAGTACTCCTAAAGCACTAGCTGTTAAATCAAATGTTTTCTTAAGATAATAAATTACCCAGGCTGAAGGCATAAATCCATATCCAAGTGAATCTAACATAAATATAACCAATAATCTTGGTAAATAATATAAAGTCTTGGCTGATAATCCTGTAACATTAATAGATACACCTTCTATAGCATCATCATCGTCTATTTCTTCTTCTGAGATCTGATCCAGATGTTCTGCATCAAGTAAATTGCTGGTTTCACCAACAACTTTTATCGAATGATATCCTACTTCACATTTTTCACTTAAGAATAGCATACAAACAAATTTTAATACCCCAATGAATGTATAAACAAGAAAAACGGCTCGATAACACGTCTCAAGATCAGTTTTTAATTGGATATTTAAATAATCTACTAATAATCCACAAGTTAATGAACCTATAGCAGCTCCTATAGTAGCAAATAAACCATAAAATGCAAATATTTCAGGACGATGATTATGAGGAGTCAAATGTGCTATTGATGCCTCTTCAACTGATTTAAAAGGTCCAGTCTCATCACCTGAAGGTGAGATGACTCCAATAGTGGCTGCGATTAATAATATAATAAAATGTGAACTAAAGGTAAAAGTTAATCCAGAAACTACCATCATTAAAGTTCCAATAATCATTACCATTCTTCTACCTATTCTATCAGCATACCAAGTAAGATAATAAGATATAATGGTATCACCAATTAATGTCAATGTCATAAATAATCCAATGTTCAGTTGAGAAATGCCCAATTCTTCAAGATATAATGTCAAAACTTGGTTGGTTAACCCATAACTGGCCATACGGATAAATACAGCAAACCAAAGTATTCTAATATCATGATTAGATTGTTTTAAAGATTTTAGAAGGTGCATGTAGAGACGTGACTTAAATACATTAGATAAGATTATTCACTTGTACGAGTGAGATTTTTTATCGCGATAGTCAGAAAAAACTGTGTAACGAACAGATTGTTCTCACAAACTGATTCAGAAACACTAAGAATGAAATTCTTTTATGTGATTAGAAGATTATCTGTTAGTTAGTAAAAATATATAATTATAGTAGAAACGCATAGAATTGCTTATAAAGATTAGCTTACAAAGAAATTCTAATATAACTTTCTTTTGAATGGCTCTTATTAGGATATCATATTGATCAAATGTACTATGTATCTAAGAATATAATCAGACATGCATGAAGTTGTCAGACTCATGAAACGTTACAAACAGTGTAGGCAACTTTGTTTTCTTGACACTTCCTCGTAAGCTGTAATGGATTTGCTTTACTATGCAAGTGACATATATGGAAGTGATTATGCTTATGACAATACATAAAGTTGGTTACTTTCACTGCTGAATGCTCAAATTCAACGATATAATCTGGACCGAAATGGTTGAATGGTAATTGGGTTGAAATATAATGGACTATGGAATTGAATGCAACCAACTCTAACTCCAGCAATCAATACTGGACTTATCCTTGTGAATTGATTGTTAGCTAATCGCATACATCCAACTGTAGAAATCTGCACAATAACTCCTTGGCTTATTTTAAAGTTTAGAGAGGCAGGTACATGCCCAGAAATAATTGCTTCTCTTATGTCAAGGGTTTTTTATTAATTAAAGCTGTCAATACTTGCCACAATCAATTAAGTTATTTCATTAAGTTATAGAAGCGTTCTGATCTTAATGAATCTACCTGACAAAGTTATACAAACAACAGGTAATTTCAGTGTTCGGGTTTAATGAACTATAAAGTGGGACCGCAAATTTAACACTATTTACATATAGATAAATCCCTAAAATTAAGTAAAACGATATAAAATTTTTTTATAGCACAAATTAGCCAAGCATATATACGATATACCTGTGGGCTCATGCATGGCATGACGTTTAGAACAATAACGAATTCTTTAATTCTTTCGTTTATCCGAATTCCAAGCTTACAAGAAATAATTGATTGTTATAAAAACGAACTAATGTTGAATAAATGAAGCCTTCGTTTAGAGTTAGAATACTTCTTAATGTTGGTTAAATATTTTTGAAATATAAGGGCTCAAATTGATCAGGATTCCAAGAAGGGTCGATAAAGGTCTGGATTTGTTTAATGAGAAATATTTATTAAACAATTTTCAAAATTATTTATTTTCGATATTTTGAATTTCATATAATATTGAAATAGTTCTTGAAATAAATCATTTCGACTACTCCTATAATAGATGGCACAACTTCTTCTGTGGAGTAAGAGTGTGTATTTCATCTCAGGCGGTTTAGAGTGGTTTGCCACACACATGTATTAAATATTAATTGAAGTGGTTGATAATATCCAGATATTATTGATAATTATTAACACTACTACAAATGATTGTTATTAATAGTGATATTAAATATTTTCCGTAGGTACAAATAACACATCTAACATTAATTAATAATTCAACAATCGCAAAAATAATGCGAAAAAAATTAAATCTTACCACAAAAATATTAGACTTCAAATTACGAATTAGTAGATGTAAAGCTTATAATACTTGAACATGTCAGTACCACAAATTAATAAATTCAGAGTAGAAATATTATTAATAAAGCACTATAATGACTATGCGTATTAATAAAAACATCAAATGCTCTATTCAGCATATAGTATTAAAGATATAATAAGTATGAGTTGTAAGCGATTGAAAAATTCATCACTGCATAAAGTAAATCTGAATTAGGACCCTACACTCACGCACATCCCTAATTCTATTTTATTTATTATTTTACACATTTTGGATGAACAGTACGCTTAATTTAATAACATACGAATAAAATACTTTAGAATATTAAATCGTACTTCTTTATAATATCTTTATTGTTGCTGACATTGATGCGGTTCATTTTTTCTTCTGTATATTCATATAAGCGATTGATAAACCATGTTTCATTTGATAACCATCAATCAGTTAGTTCTACAATGTGAAAACATAACTATATAACCATAAGATATTAAGTATATGTTAGATCTCCTAATTAATGAAACTCAAATTAATGATGGCTTATGTAGAATACGAGGTAATGCACTAAAAACGTTGAACTCACACATTTATAGATTACCTGCATCACAACCCTTGAAGGAAGTCTCAATAACTGATTGTGTAAAACTTCTTTTGTGATTTTGTTCTATGTACCTACTGGGCCCTAAAATAAACGAATTGGGTAAACGAAATAATATTATTGAAAAAATCTGAAAAATTCCCCACAATCAAAAGGAAGTGAAAAATCAATATATTTTTGAAGTAGGAAAAGCTTTGTCGTGCATGGCTCATGCTTTAAAAATTATTTTTCTAAAAGGGTCTGGTACACATTAATTACTTCAAAATGGTTATTTTTGTTATTTATATTGTACGACTAAGTTGTGGATGAGACGGATTGGATTCGGTTGCTATGGCATTTAATTATCATTATTATATCCTGCTGATATACAAGTACTACTAATTGAATATTAAAATTATTTTTATGGAATACTGCGGATTAATTTTATCGTATTTTCTAGATGTTTATTAATATTCTAATTCAGTTTTAGTCCATTTCAAATATGTGTTCCGGTCATTTTATGGAGGTAACTTCTCAGAGGTATTCTGACCACCAAGAGGGTTACAATGTGTAGTTATTTCAATCCAATACTTGAAGGCTTATTCACTAAGTTATTCCGTCAATTTGAATTTGTGGTGGTGTTCTGAATGAAATTACTTGAGTTATGCTGTTCTGGTTTTAAGTTAGCTTTAACGCATTTAACCCTTTTTATTTAATAATCACCACAATCATAGTTTAACGTAGTTGGAAGTATAGCTATTGTAAGAGAAGTTGATTATACAGTTTAGTCGATTAGTTTGTTGATTCTAACGAGAAGGGCTTTACATCCAACTTGAAACTCAAGTAGTTGGAAAGTAGGTTAGTGCTTGCAAGTTTAATGAATCAATCAAAATATTTGTGGAACTCCACTTTAAACTAAAGATGTGGGAATACGAGAAATAGATCGTAAGTGGATCACTGTTAATAAACTATCTGAATAATAATTATTATCTCCCTGTTAGATTAGTATTATGCGTATTGTGCATAATTAATACCTACTTTGTTAATTATTTTTCAATTATTATTAGAAACTATTAAAAATATTACTGCTATTCTTAGAGTTAATTCTATTGCAACCAATCCTAATTAAACCTTTAAGTTTGAAATATCAACGTTGTCACCATTCGGAGTGAACTGTCTTTTGATAACTTTTCCCAAAACAAATATTCGTATTCCATTTTTATCAACTTCGTATTTTTAAGTAATCCTAGCGATATTTTTTAAATTTTATGATTATTTTAAAGTGACTATTGTTCCATTATGGTATCAGGCTCGGTATACTTTTACACAATTTCTGCAAATGGTTTGGGTGCAACTCATAGTATTTTAATGAATGTGGTAGTGGGAGTTATCCGCAATTTTTATTTAAGTACTCCATAGTATCCCCTACTTCTCTAGTTTACTAAATGATTTGGCAAATTTTGAAAGGTAGCTTTATCAACATATCTGGAGACAATGATGTTGCCACTAAGATTAGCATCATTGCTACTATTCTTTACTTATGTAGCAGCACAAGTATTCAATCTGATTACATATGAATCAGGTGAGGATCCATTAGGTACTTGGACTGTAAACATTGGATTTGAAGTTGATTCAACATCAGACGCTTCAACTTACACTTTGACGTTCCCTTGTATTTTTGGTTTTGTAAGCCTTCCACCGGGACAAACTATTACAGAAAACGGGCTTGTTGTCACACTTTCTTTTAGTGACTTTAATGGTGATATCAATGCCGGTTATTCTCAGCTTTATGTTACAATTGAAGTCACAGCACCTGGTCCTGTAACTGGAACTGTCAGCGGATCATTTGATCTCTCATTTACTTTGAATACTGGTAGTTCTTATCAAGGCTCTAAATGTGCAAGTATTTTTGGTGATGATGGAGTAACTATATCTTTCAGTGAAGGACCAAATACGTATACTGTTTCACCTCTACCTTCGTATACTGAGTTTTCAGGTACTCCACTTTCAGCAGAAGTCTTTGCTCAATTTATTCCAAGTTATAATCAATTTTTACTTGGTTTGGAAGGAGGCGAAGTACCGGATAACTATGGTACTGGTAATGTGATTATTAGATTATCGGGGGGTTCAAATTTTATATGTCCAGTCACGTCCAATAATTTTTATTATTATGTCAGTGGTCAGAATGGATTGAACATTCCTACTATATGGGAAGTAGCAAATGGTATTTCTGGAATTGCATCATGTGCTTCTGGTGGGATCGAGAACAACCCTGATTTGAGTGGTTTTTATGAGGCAGGCTCGGCTGGTTTTATTCAAGCTTTTGTTCAGAATAACGGAAATCCAATTACAGCCACTTTTCAGAACATTTTTACTCAAACACTTAATGGACATCTTTCTTATTCTACAGGACTTAGTACAACTGTAACGTATGATCCGCCTGCTGATGCTACTAATAATGTTAATTCTGTTGTGGCTACTCGTACAACTACTTCCGGTTCAACTGGGTTTTTTACTATTACCAAAGGTAATAATCAGTTGTATACCCTTGTTGTCAATGAAGCTATTGCAACTGCTTACTCAACTAGTACTTGGTTAGTCGCTAGTTCGGCAATTTCAACACTAGGACCTGCTACTGATCCTACTGTTGTATTTTATGAACCCATTCCAACAGTTACAGTTACTAGTACGTGGAGTTCAACAAATACTGAGACTATTCAAATTGCAGGTTCCCCTGGTGGAAGCGCAACTATCAGCGTTTTTGTTCCTACTCCAACTAGTTATACTACAGTTACTGACCCAACTCAAATAGTGTCAACTACTTCAACCGTCACTATTAGTGGAACTATTATAATTAGTGGAGACCGTCCAATTCCTACTACGACTACTACTGTAACTTGGACTGGTGACTCCACAAGTGATGCATTGATAACTCGTCCTCCTGGTGGCCATGATACACTTAGTGTGTTTGTTCCGATTTCAGTCACGACTATTGTGAGAACTTATTCTGGTTCTGTGGATACGACCTCAACATATAGTCACGGAACAACTAGTACTTGGACTGTACTTATCCAAGTTCCTTCATCAACTTCAACCATTATTACTACATCTGACAATGCAGTTACATCTTTTTCAACTTCTTCACTCTCAGGGACTGTTATAGTTTACGAATATTTGCCCACACCAACAACTACCACTACAGTTACTTGGACAGGATATTCGACATCTTCTACTTTTGGTACAGTAAGTGGTACAATTGTTTGGACTGACTATATTCCAACTCCAAGAACATATATTATTAACACCGAAGCAACACAATCAGTATCATCTACCACCACATTACCTTACACTACTGGTGGTACTGAAACTATTAGTATAGATCGTCCAATTCCAACAACTACTATTGCAACTACTTGGACGGGATCATTTACGACAGTTTATATTCTGGCCAACCCTGGTGGAACAGTAACTGAAAGTATTCTTTCAGCTATTCCTACAAATACTATAATTGTAACTTGGCTTTCATCTTTTACCTCGGAAACATTGGTTCCACAAGTTCCAGGAGGTATAGACCAACTTACCGAGTATGTTCCTATTTCTACCACGACTACTACCTCAACTTGGTCTGGAGATGAAATATATTACGAAACCACCAATTATCATGATACAGCGAGAACCAATGTTGTTGTCGAAGTTATTCCTGTGCCAACTAGTACTTATACTCAGACTTGGGGTGGTGATGATACGTACATAACTACATTCCCAGCAACTCCAGGTGAGGTTGGTCTGGTTGTATATAATGTTCCTATTCCTACGACTACTACCACAACGACTTGGGATGCTAAAACCACTGGACATTCAACGGTCGAGGGAGTTATTGGTGGTGCTGATGCTACTGTTATTGTTGAAGTTCCTATTCCAACCACCTATACTACTGTGAGTGATTCAGTGACAGCACGTACCACCAGTATCTACACCTCCGGTACAGTAGTTGTTGTTAGTGTTGATGCACCTATTTTAACTTATTATACTACTGTGACAAGTGTAGGAGCAACATCCAGCACCGCAGTTATTCCTGCTGGAGCCAATGGTATTCCTACTGTTAGTGTTGTTGTGCCAGTTCCTACTCTGACTGTTACTGATACATGGGGTATTGATTTGACGTACACCACCACTAATTTAGCAGGTCCCGGTACAACTGCCATTGTTGTAATCGACGTGCCTACTCCAACCACAACCACTACTCTGACATGGGGCGGTAGTGACATTTTTATTGAAACCATTCTAGCAACAGCAGGGGGAGTTGCCACTGTTATATATAATGTGCCTGTTCCTACCACCACCACCACAACTACATGGGCTTCTAGAACCACTGGTTATTTAACGATCCCAGGTAGTGCAGGTGTTGATAGTGCTACTGTTATTGTTGAAGTTCCTACTCCAACCACCTATACTACTGTGAGTGATTCAGTGACAGCACGTACCACCAGTATCTACACCTCCGGTACAGTAGTTGTTGTTAGTGTTGATGCACCTATTTTAACTTATTATACTACTGTGACAAGTGTAGGAGCAACATCCACCACCACAGTTATTCCTGCTGGAGCCAATGGTATTCCTACTGTTAGTGTTGTTGTGCCAGTTCCTACTGTTACTGTTGATACTACGTGGTTATTAACTGAAACCAACGTATACACTGAACTGGCTGGCCCTGGAGGAACAGCTACTGTTGTGTCTCAAGTACCTATTCCAACCACGACAATTATAACCACGTCGACTTACCCATTAGACCTTACATACACATTTCCACTAACTCCAGCAAGTCCAGGAGAAACTGTTACTATACTTGAAATTTTAACTATTCCTACTTCTACAACTACTGTGATTTGGACTGGATCGGAAACTGTATTTGTTACTTCGTCAGCTGTTCCTGGTGACATTGCTACTGTATATGTTGAGATTCCAGAGTCTACAACTACCGTCTACACAAGTTGGACTGGAACTGTTACAAGTAGTTTACTTGCAACGGGTTCTGATAGTATTGTTACTGATATAATTGAGACTCCAGTGAGTACATCTTCTTCGACTTCAACTTCCACTTCTGATTCTGATTCTGATTCTGATTCTGACTCCAGCTCTGAAAGTGGATCTACATCTGAATCAGGTTCTACATCTGAAAGTGGATCTGAAAGTGGCTCTACATCTGAATCGGAATCTACTTCTGAAAGTGGTTCTACATCTGAAAGTGGTTCTACATCTGAAAGTGGTTCTACATCTGAAAGTGGCTCTACATCTGAATCGGAACCTACATCTGAAAGTGGTTCTGAAAGTGGCTCTACGTCTGAATCAGGTTCTACTTCTGAAAGTGGTTCTACATCTGAAAGTGGTTCTGAAAGTGGCTCTACATCTGAATCGGAACCTACATCTGAAAGTGGTTCTGAAAGTGGCTCTACGTCTGAATCAGGTTCTACTTCTGAAAGTGGTTCTACATCTGAAAGTGGTTCTGAAAGTGGCTCTACATCTGAATCGGAACCTACATCTGAAAGTGGTTCTGAAAGTGGCTCTACGTCTGAATCAGGTTCTACTTCTGAAAGTGGTTCTACATCTGAAAGTGGTTCTACATCTGAAAGTGGCTCTACATCTGAATCGGAACCTACATCTGAATCAGGTTCTACATCTGAAAGTGGCTCTACATCTGAATCGGAACCTACATCTGAAAGTGGTTCTGAAAGTGGCTCTACGTCTGAATCAGGTTCTACTTCTGAAAGTGGTTCTACATCTATTTCCGGTATATTGACAAGCACTACTACTGTAAGCTCGCAAGGTATTTCGGTAAGTTCAACTCCAACTGAAGGTGCCTTATATGCATATGACCAAAATGGTGATGCATTGTTATTAGGTGTTAATGGTCAAAGTACATTCCGTAAACGTGATGATACTGCTCTTCCAGGTGTCGAATATTTGATAGTCAACCCTAGCTCAACTACTTTATTCTACGTCCAAGATGGGTTCCTTTATGATAATTCTGGAGACACTGCAAATGATGATACCGATGCACCATATATTACTTTCGGTTCCTCTGGTGGTTTGAGTGGATTCTCTGATGCTGCCGGAAGTATCCTGTTCTCTGGAGGTGCATTTTATCTTTGTCCTTTAGTGGAAGATGGTGTAACTTACCAAGCTCTTGCATTGAGTAATTCTGGATCATGTAATTTGACTAGTCTTAATATCGAAATTGGTCCTTCTTCAGGCCCAAGTTCTGGTTCATTGAGCTCCGAGTCTGGTGAATCTACTTCAGCTTCCGGTGAATCTACTTCACCTTCCGGTGAATCTACTTCAGCTTCTGGAGAATCTTCTTCTACATCTGGCGAATCTACTTCTACATCTGGCGAATCTACTTCTACATCTGGAGAATCTACTTCTACATCTGGCGAATCTACTTCTACATCTGGTGAATCTACTTCTACTTCTGGTGAATCTACTTCTACTTCTGGTGAATCTACTTCTACTTCTGGTGAATCTACTTCTACTTCTGGTGAATCTACTTCTACTTCTGGTGAATCTACTTCTACTGGAACAAGTGAGACATCGACTGGAACAAGTGAGACATCGACTGGAACTTCTACTGAAACAAGTGGAACTACTTCATCCACTGGAACTGGTGAAACTACTTCATCTACTGGAACTGGCGAAACTACTTCATCTACTGGAACTGGCGAAACTACTTCATCTACTGGAACTGGCGAAACTACTTCAGGAAGTACTACTACTACTGGTGAAACCTCTACTGGAACTGGTGAATCTTCTTCATCATTAACTTTCCCAACGTTCTCACTTTCATCTCTGACGTTTGAATTGAGTTCATTATCATCTTCATCATCTTTCCACTACTACGCCAATTCCTCAGTTTCATCCACTATATTATCTAGTTCATCTTCAAGTTCTGCTTCTTCTTCATCTTTAAGTACAACACCAATAGAGTCAACATCAGGAGTCACTAGTACTACTTCTTCAAGTTCTTCAAGTTCTTCTAGTTCTTCTTCTAGTTCTTCATCAAGTTCTTCGTCTAGTTCTTCATCAAGTACTACCTCTATTAGTTCTGAGAGCACTAGTCTGTCATCTAGTTCAAGTGAAAGTTCCTCATCAAGTACTACTACATTCACTTTCCAGATTACTGCTGTAGCAGATCCACCTAATACATTTACCCAATATGTTTCTTACCAAAGTGATAATGTTGTATTCGATCCAACCAATGGTCCATACTATGAATTAGTTGTCCCAGGTGGTGAGATTACAGCTAATGGTAATTATTTACATGCAGATCCATCGAGTGGGTTCTTCCTTGGCCCAGAACCATTTGGAGGTTGGCTGTTTATTGGAGATCCAGTCTTAGAATTAGAAGGTGTTGGAAATGAATTCTATTTCTGTCCTGATGAATCTGTTCCATTACAAATTAATCTGATTGCAGCTGATTGTATCCGTGGTCAATTACATGTTTTGGAAGCAGCACCTACTTCTTCGAGTAGTTCAACTACTGGCACAGGTACTACTACTGGTACAGGTACTACTACAGGTACAGGTACTACTACTGGTACAGGTACTACTACTGGTACTGGTGCTACTGCTGGTACTGGTACTGGTGCTACTACTGGTACTGGTACTGGAGCAACTACTGGAAGTGCTAGTACAGGTTCTACTATAACTACTGTAACTACTTCCAATGAGATTGTCACTGTAACAGAATGTCCTTCTTCAGTCACTAACTGTCCTTTGAATTCAATTGTGACTCTTACTATTCCACATACTATAACCACTACTTACTGTCCTGAATCAGGTGCCACTACAGGTACTGGTGCTACTAATGTTGTTCCTCCAATTATAACTTCCACTTATAATTCACTTGAAACTCAAACTTCTGGAGGTGTTACCAACGTTATTACTCATCCAGCAACTACCACTTACCAAGCACCATCAGGAGGATCATATGTTCCAAATACTTATACATCACCTGAAACTGTGCAATACACCAATGGAAATGGTGTTGCTACAAGTGCAGTCATTCCACGTGTTATTACATCTTCTACCTATCAATATCCTTCTTCTGCAACTGTTGCTCCAGGTACAGCCGCAGGTGCAGCAGGTGCTCCAGGTGCAGCAGGTGCTCCAGGTACAGCCGCAGGTGCAGCAGGAGCTACAGGTACAGCCGCAGGAGCAGCAGGAGCTACAGGTACAGCCGCAGGTCCAACTGTACCGGGTGTTCAACCAACAGTAACTTCTGTTCCTGTTCCAGCTGTTCAACCATCACTTGCTCCATCAGGAGTTCCTTCAGTTCCACTTGCACCAAGTAGTGGTAACAGATTACTGGTTGCCTTTAGTTCTATAATCATGGCTATTGTTCTTGCCATTTTTGTTTAGTTGCTTTTAATCGTTATACCCTAATTCCGTTAAATATCTTGTTCGGAGGTTAACCAACTTATTTTATTGTTCAAGCGTTAAAATGTACATTGATTGTACATATTTCTAATTCTATGTGATTTACTGTTCTGTTATAGGTTCTATTACGTTTCTGTGAAATTTAGTTTAATGTTCTAGTTTCCATGCTTTATTGTACGCAATTCTTTTATCGTTATTATTGTAGAGATTAATAGTATTTACGTGTGAGTTGAGGTTAATAAGAATCTAAATTTTTTATAAGTAAGAGAAATAGGAAGAGAGCATTTAGTAGGAGAATTATAATAATATAGAATTGGTTATTATTAATTCTAGAATGGAGATCGGCAACTTCTGTATTCTTTCAAAGGTTGACTACTTCTGATTTTGTCATTACAATCGGGTAATGGTTCTGGGCCACGGGTGTATTCAGAAAGTTGAAGATTGCATTTATTATATTGGTTGGGTCTTACAACCTATATTCTCTCTCAAGCCAATTTAATTAACGATGTTCAGTAAGTAACTGGAGATAATTGACAAGACCTTTATATGGAGGTGTATTTGGACAAATATAGGTGTTGGTAAATTAAATTTCAAACTCTTCACCAGAAGTATCCAACATTTAAACATCCACACAATGAGTGTAACTGACGAACTTATACAAAGTGCAGGTAATTTCTGTGCTCGGGTTTAATGAACTATAAATTGGGACCGCAAATTTGTTACTATTTACAAATAGACAAATCAAATTCATCTGTAAAATTAAATAATAAGTTATAAAACATTTTTATAGATACCACACATTAGCCAAGCATATATACGATATTCCTGTGGGCTCATGCATGGCATAACGTTTAGAACAATAACTAATTCTTTATTTCTTTCGTTTATCCGAATTCCAAGCTTGCAAGAAATAATCGATTGTTATAATAACGAACTAATGTTGAATAAATGAAGCCTTCGTTTAGAGTTAGAATACTTATTATATGTTAGTTAAATATTTTTGAAATATAAAGGCTCAAGTTGATCAGAATTCCAAGAAGGGTCGATAAAGGTCTGGATTTGTTTAATAAGAAATATTTATTAAACAATTTTCAAAATTATTTATTTTTGATATTTTGAATTTCATATAATATTGAAATGGTTATTGAAATAAATCATTTGAACTACTCCTATAATAGATGGCACAACTTCTTCTTATTACTCTATATACAATTTTATACGGAAAAAAAAAACTTCTTCTGTGGAGTAAAAGTGTGATATATTTCATCTCAGGCGGCTTAGAGTAGTTTACCACACACATGTATTAAATATTAATTGAAGTGGTTGATAATATCCAGATATTATGGATAATTATTAACACTACTGCAGATGATTGTTATTAATAGTGATATTGTTATAGGTATGATACATTACACAATACAAAGCGCATGTTTCATAACTGTTTCAGAATCCCAGTAAGAAAGGTATAAAAGCTCTCTCATTTCTCCCTAAAATCTATCCTCTTTAAGTACTATACAATATACAATATTTTATAGTACAACGCGGCATTTAATAGAGTATAACTGTTATAGGTATGATACATTACACAATATAAAGCGCATGTTTCATAACTGTTTCAGAATCCTAGTAAGAAAGGTATAAAAGCTCTCTCTTTTCTCCCTAAAATCTATCCTCTTTAATTCTTACACAATATACAATATTTTATAGTACAACGCGGCATTTAATAGAGTATAACAATAACAGATATTAATATTTTCCGGTAAAAATAACACATCTAACATTAATTAATAATTGAATAATTAGCGCGAAAAAATTAGATCTTACCACAAAAATATTAGACTTCAAATTACGAATTAGTAGATTTAAAGTTGATAATACTTCAACTTGCAAGTTCCACAATAGTTAATAAATTGTCAGAGTAGAAATATTATTAATAAACAATAATAACTATGCGTATTAATAAAAACATCAAATGCTCTTTTCAATATAGTATCAAAAATATAATAAGCATAAGTTGTAAGCGATTGAAAAATTCATCACTGCATAAAGTTAATCTGAATTAGGACCCTAAACTTACCGACCCCCCTACACTCACGCACATCCCTAATTCTATTTATTTATTATTTGACACCTTTTGGATGTGCTTATCAATGAACGCTTAGAAATCGTATTTCTTTATACTGTCTTTATTGTTGCTGACATTGATGCGGTTCATTTTTTCTTCTGTATATTCATATAAGCGTTTGATAAGCCATGTTTCATTTGATATCCATCAATCAGTTAGTTCTAAAATGTGAAGACAGAACTATATAACTATAATATATTAAGTTTATGTTAGATCTTCTAATTAATGAAAATTAAATTAATGATGGCTTAAGTAGAATACGATGTAATGCACTAAAAACGTTGAAACTCCTACATTTATAGATTACTTGCATCACAACCCTTGAAGGACGTCTTAATAACTGATTATGTAAAACTTCTTTTGTGATTTTGTTTTATGTACCTACTGGGCCCTAAAATAAACGAATTGGGTAAACCAAGTAATATTATTGAAAAAATCTGAAAAATTCCCCACAATCAAAAGGAAGTGAAAAATTAACAGTATATTTTTGAAGTAGCCAAATATTCTTTTAAAAAATATTTTTCTGTCTTATAACCTCAAATTAGATGCAATTTAGTACCTATTGAAAATTACTTCAAAATGGTTATTTTTGTTATTTATATTGCATGACTCCATGGTGGATAAGACTGGTCGAATTCAGTTGTTATATCACACTGATATACAGGGTACTACTCCTCAAATACTAAAAATATTTTTATGGAATGCCACGGAATAATTTTATCGTATTTTCTAGATATTTTTAAATTGTCCAATTCAATTTCAGCTCATTTTAAATATGTGTCCCGGTCATTTATGGAGTTAATTGCAATAAGTTATTCCGACACTTCACAATTTCCGTGGTGTTATGAATGAAATTACTTGAGTTATATTGTTCGGGGTTTAAGTTAGCTTTAACACATTTAACCCTTTTTATTTAATTCTCACCACAAAATTAGTTTCACGAAGTTAATTATACAGTTTAGTCGATTGGTCAGTGGATGCTTGGCTAAGGAAAAGATCCATCTTGGTACTCACGCTATTTGGAAGTAGGTTACAAAATGAAGGAATTATTTAAATATGATATGTACAAGATGTGGTATTAGGAGATCGTAAGTGGGCCACTGTGAATAAACCTAGTTGAATAATAATAATTATTAACATCTTTTGGATTCGTATTATGCGAATTATGCATAATTAATACTTGCTTTGTTAATTATTTTTCAATAATAATTTTGAAACTTTTAAAAATATGCTTCTATTCTTAGCGTTGATTCTGTTGCAGCAAATCCTGATTGAACCTTTGAATTTAAATTCAAGACATCAACGTAGTCACAAATGTTATCAAAGCCTATCCCTAAACTAACACTCGTATTCCATTTCTATCCTATTTTATTTTAAATAAACTAAGTCTATTTTCAAGCTTATGATTACTTTTTAGGAAATAATGGATTTATTTTGGAGCTACACTTACGTATTCTATATTTTAAGCCATTTAGAAATAGTTTGGTTACAACGTACTGAATGTTTGTAAATGTGGTAATTAGAGACTCCTAGAATTATATTTAAGTAGTCCCGGGATGCCTACTACCCCTAATTTTAATTAAATTTCGGTATTTGAAAAGAAAGGTTATCGTGTCACATTCAGAGATAATGATGATAGCAATAAGATTAGCATCATTGCTACTAATCTCTACGTATGTTGCAGCAGATGTTTATGGAGTTTTTAACCTGATTGTGTGGGTATCAGGTAGTGATCCTTCGTCTCCTTGGACAGTAAACATTGGTTATGAAATAACGACTGATGTCACCACTTCGGACACATTTACCTTAACATTTCCTTGTGTTTTCGGATTTGTTGACACCGCACCTTTTGTGATTAATGAGGGACTCGAGCTTGATTTCACTTATTTCAATGGTGATATTGCCACAGATTATTCTCAACTTTATATTTCAGTCAAAAGTTTACCTACTATATCTACTGGAGGAACTTTCAGTGGATCATTTTCCCTTTCATTTGATTTGAGTACAATTGGAACATGTGCTGGCAATTTTGAAAGTGGTAATGTAATTATAGGCTTTATTGACGGTCCAGATATAATCACTACTACTACTACTTATGAGCCACCAGCAATTTCCCCTCATGATACATATTATTTCGCAGAATTCATTCCAAGTTATGATCAATATTTGCTAGGGATCTCAGGTATTTCATATGCAAATGCAGCTGCAATTGTTGTGAACTCAGATTATTTAGTATATCTCTTAGGTGGGACTTTACTGATTCTGATAAATTCAGGAGCAGTTTTCATATGTCCCCCTGAAGGAAATGCAGTAACAGGTTCGAATTCATGGAATGCTCCTACCATGTTTGATCCAACTCCATTAGCTGGTGTTAGTTGTGAAACAAATCCAGAAAGCATAGTTTACAATTATCCTGTTAATGGTCCGTATGTTGATGAGAATGTTGATGAGAATGTGTATCCGTTCATTAAAGCTTTTGTTCAGAATGAGGAACTTCCAGTCACTGTGACCTATATGAATTTCTTCATCTATTCTACTTCCGGTGGCGATGTTTCATTGACTAATATACTTTCTACAACTACAACAATACAACCTACGGGTTCTACTAATACTGCATTTTTAACTGTTGTTACAAGTACCACTGGTTCAGTTGCTTCTTTAGCTACCATTACTGACGATGATGGATCGGTGACCCTTTATGTTTATGTACCTCCATCAACTGCTTACTCCACTGCTACTTGGACAGGCAGTACTGTTTCAACCACAACCACACCAGCCAATGCGGATACACCTGCTACTGTTATTTTCTATGAGCCTATTCCTACATCCACCACATATTCCACATGGTTAAGCTCGTTCACTCTGACAGTTGGAGAAGTAGGAGCTAATCCAGGTGGTGAAGCCGTGGTCACTGTGGCTGTGCCTGTACCAACTACTACTTCCACCTTTACTGTTAATACAGTAGATTCAGCTACTACATCATTTTATCCAGCGGGGCCAGGAGGTGTTGCTCTTTATAGTGTTGACGTTCCAACTCCAACTACGACAATCACTGTCACTTGGTCAAGTCTGACACCAAGTGCGCAGTTAATACCTGCTACCGTTGGTGGTACAGCTACTCTTAGTACCTTCGTCCCTATTTCTACTACCACTTCTACTGTGATTTGGACTGGATCAGAAACATCGTTGAGTACTCTCTCGGCTATTCCTGGTGATACTGCTGTTGTATATGTTGAAATTCCAGAATCTACAACTACTGTCTATACAAGTTGGACTGGAACTGTTACGAGTAGTTTACTTGCAACGGGTTCTGATAGTATTGTTACTGATATAATTGAGACTCCAGCTGGTTCTACTTCTGAAAGTGGTTCTACATCTGAATCGGAACCTACTTCTGATTCAGATTCAGATTCTGACTCCAGCTCTGAAAGTGGCTCTACATCTGAATCGGAACCTACTTCTGAATCAGGCTCTACATCTGAAAGTGGATCTGAAAGTGGCTCTACAACTGAATCAGGTTCTACTTCTGAAAGTGGTTCTACATCTGAATCGGAACCTACTTCTGAATCAGGTTCTACGTCTGAAAGTGGTTCGACTTCTATTTCCGGTCTGTTAATATTGACAAGCACTACTACTGTAAGCTCGCAAGGTATTTCGGTAAGTTCAACTCCAACTGAAGGTGCCTTATATGCATATGACCAAAATGGTGATGCATTGTTATTAGGTGTTAATGGTCAAAGTACATTCCGTAAACGTGATGATACTGCTGTTCCAGGAGTCGAATATTTGATAGTCAATCCTAGTTCAACTACTTTATTCTACGTACTAGATGGGTTCCTTCATGATAGTGCTGGAGACACCGCAAATGATGATACTGATGCACCATATCTTACTTTCGGTTCCTCTGGTGGTTTGAATGGATTCAGTGATACTTCTGGAAGTATTCTGTTCTCTGGCGGTGCATTTTATCTTTGTCCATTAGTAGAAGATGGTGTAACTTACCAAGCTCTTGCATTGAGTAATTCTGGTTCATGTAATTTGACTAGTCTTAATATTGAACTTGGTCCTTCTTCAGGCCCAAGTTCTGGTTCATTGAGCTCCGAGTCTGGTGAATCTACTTCTACATCTGGTGAATCTACTTCAGCTTCTGGCGAATCTACTTCTGCTTCTGGTGAATCTACTTCTACATCTGGAGAATCTACTTCTACATCTGGAGAATCTACTTCTACATCTGGTGAATCTACTTCTACATCTGGAGAATCTACTTCTACATCTGGCGAATCTACTTCTACATCTGGTGAATCTACTTCTACATCTGGCGAATCTACTTCTACTGGAACAAGTGAGACCTCGACGGGAACAAGTGAGACCTCGAGTGGAACTTCTACTGAAACAAGTGGAACTACTTCATCTACTGGAACTGGCGAAACTACTTCAGGAAGTACTACTACTACTGGTGAAACCTCTACTGGAACTGGTGAATCTTCTTCATCATTAACTTTTCCAACGTTCTCACTTTCATCGCTGACGTTTGAATTGAGCTCATTATCATCTTCATCATCTTTCCACTACTACGCCAATTCCTCAGTTTCATCCACTACATTATCTAGTTCATCTTCAAGTTCTGCTTCTTCTTCATCTTTAAGTACAACACCAATAGAGTCAACATCAGGAGTCACTAGTACTACTTCTTCTAGTTCTTCTAGTTCTTCTAGTTCTTCTTCTAGTTCTTCTAGTTCTTCATCAAGTTCTTCATCAAGTACTGCCTCAATTAGTTCTGAAAGCACTAGTCTGTCATCTAGTTCAAGTGAAAGTTCCTCATCAAGTACTACTACATTCACTTTCCAGATTACTGCTGTAGCAGATCCACCTAATACATTCACACAATATGTTTCATACCAAAGTGATAGTGTTGTATTCGATCCAACTAATGGTCCATACTATGAATTAGTTGTCCCAGGTGGTGAGATTACAGCTAATGGTAATTATTTACATGCAGATCCATCGAGTGGGTTCTTCCTTGGTCCAGAACCATTTGGAGGTTGGCTGTTTATTGGAGATCCAGTCTTAGAATTAGAGGGTGTTGGAAATGAATTCTATTTCTGTCCTGATGAATCTGTTCCATTACAAATTAATCTGATTGCTGCTGATTGTATCCGTGGTCAATTACATGTTTTGGAAGCAGCACCTACTTCTTCGAGCAGTTCAACTACTGGCACAGGTACTACTACTGGTACTGGTGCTACTACTGGTACTGGTGCTACTACTGGTACTGGTACAGGTACTGGAACAACTACTGGAAGTGCTAGTACAGGTTCTACTATAACTACTGTAACTACTTCCAATGAGATTGTGACAGTAACCGAATGTCCTTCTTCAGTAACTAACTGTCCTTTGAATTCAATTGTGACTCTCACTATTCCACATACTATAACTACTACTTATTGTCCTGAATCAGGTGCCACTACAGGTACTGGTGCTAGTAATGTTGTTCCTCCAATTATAACTTCCACTTATAATTCACTTGAAACTCAAACTTCAGGAGGTGTTACCAACGTTATTACTCATCCAGCAACCACCACTTACCAAGCACCATCAGGAGGGTCATATGTTCCAAATACTTATACATCACCTGAGACTGTGCAATACACCAATGGAAATGGTGTTGCTACAAGTGCAGTCATTCCACGTGTTATTACATCTTCCACCTATCAATATCCTTCTTCTGCAACTGTTGCTCCAGGTGAAGCAGGTGCTCCAGGTCCAGCCGCAGGTGCAGCAGGTGCTCCAGGTCCAGCCGCAGGTGCAGCAGGTGCTCCAGGTACAGCCGCAGGTCCAACTGTACCGGGTGTTCAACCAACAGTAACTTCTGTTCCTGTTCCAGCTGTTCAACCATCACTTGCTCCATCAGGAGTTCCTTCAGTTCCACTTGCACCAAGTAGTGGTAACAGATTACTGGTTGCCTTTAGTTCTATAATCATGGCTATTATTCTTTCCATTTTTGTTTAGTTGCTTTTAACTGTTATACCCTAATTCCGTTAAATATCTTGTTCGGAGCTTAACCAACTTATTTTATTGTTCAAGCGTTAAAATGTACATTGATTGTACATATTTCCAATTCTATTTGATTTACTGTTCTGTTATACGTTGTATTACGTTTCTGTGAAATTTAGTTTCCATGCTTTATTGTACGCAGTTCTTATATCATTATTAGTGAAGAGATTAATAGTATTTACGTGTGAGTTGAGGTTAATAAGAATCTAAATGCTTTATGAGTAAGAGAAATAGGAAGAGAACATTTAGCAGGAGAATTACAATAATATAGAATTGATTATGATTAATTCTGGAATGGAGATTGGCAACTTGTGTATGCTTTCAAAGCTTGACTACTTTTGGTTTTGTCATTACAATCGGGTAATGGTTCTGGGCAACGGGTGTATTCAGAAAGTTGAAGATTGCATTTATTATATTGGTTGGGTCTTACAACGTATATTCTCTCTCAAGCCAATTTAATTAACAATGTTGAGTTATAACTGCATTTCAACTATCATGCTATCTCATTACATTGTATAAGCTTTAATGAGCATAAAATAGATCTGAACTCTTATAATATGCTACAAGCGACTGTATTTAAGTACGTCTTTTAAAAAGCATTTCTATATACCCTAGAATTAGTGGCCTAGAGCCCTACACAAATGATTATATCTAATAACTCTAGCAGCAGAGATTCGAAGTGAACCAAGTCAAGTCTTGAATTAAGTATGTTCCTTTGTCTCATGCAGTATATTAAGAAATGAACCAGCTTTGTTGAATTAAACAGAATTAATAATTCGAGTTTGATCAGTTAGTTCAAAATCGATCGACTTATTTTTAATACCATTTATAGAAATATAACAAATCTGCATTAATAGAGGAAGTTGCCTGGCCTAGGGGATATGAGTTATCGGAAAATTTCTCATTAGAAAAAAAATATTTTTTACGGACACAAAGAATCCTTTTGCATTAGTTATAAACTAAGAATCTTAATAAATAAGGTCAAATCACAAAATGATAATTTAATGACTTCAGAAAGAACTTAAAATCTTTCATAACTACGTTGAAAGTAGCTGAAAAATCAAATATAATAATAAATTAACAGAACAGAAGCTATATGAGTAGCAAATGAAGTAACGCGAAATTACTTAACAGGTGGGGATCCAGAACCATCAAAAGTAACAGTGGCATCATAAGTAACTGGAGGATAATTGACAAGACCATTATGTGGAGGTGCATTTGGACAAATATAGGTGTTGGTAAAATAAATTTCAAACTCTTCACCAGAAGTATGGGCATCAATTGCAATAAATGGCCTGTAATTATCCTTTAAGAAGGGATAATTTACTGTGATAGCTGTCTTAGTACAGGTAATAGAAATTCCCTCTTGTTCCAAGGAGGAAATTGGGAAATACCAATCATTAAGATCTTTAGTTACTTGAACTTGATAACTTGAGCAATCAAGATTTCCACTTGGACTCAGAATGCCCAAAGTACCCAATGCCCCAGCTGTAACACCATTATCATCATTACACAGACCACCTAATACATAAATCGAATCATAATTAGCCCATGGAACTGGTCTATCAGCGTAGACCAAATGGTTTGGATTCTCTGATATTGAAGGAGACCCTTTAACAAAGGTAACATCATAGGGTAAATTATTTACACCATCTGAAAACAGAAGATGGTTAAGGGCACCAACTATAGACTTTGCAGCTTGTAAATCTGGGTTATTTATGGACCCCCCTGCATTAAACACAAACTCGAGTGTAAATGATCCACTAACATCGATACCAGAAGCAATGGCATTTGTTCCCACACATTGAAGCTCTGCCACTGAAACAATTGTTGCTGGAATCAATTCACAAGTAGCATAAACAGTACCATCAGGTCCAGCTAATGAAACAGTTTGTGTTGTATCACGTTTAACATATGTGCTTCCTGGGGTATACACGGCGAATAAATTAGTTAAAGACAAGGAAAATGTATCTCCACTTTGAATAGAAGGGTAAGAAATTGTCCAATCAAAGACAATCAGCCAAAATGGAGCAAAAGGGTAACGTAAGTCCCAGCTTCCACCGTCACTCCAAGTTGGAGCCGTTACACCCGTGAATACACCATACACTGGACCTCTTTTCTCAACATTCACAAGATTAGTTGATGGAATTAATACAGCAACAGCAAGAGCATGTATAGCATATAAGGAAATAGAAAGGCAAAATCCAACCAACATTTTTATACATGAAATACGAAAGGAAGTAGATTATGGTTTGTAATTATTTTGAAGAAATAAGCTTGACAACTCTTATTGAAGTTGAGACTTATAAATAGTGTTCAAGATAAATTAGATTATTAATGAAAATTGGAATTATTCTAATGACTTTTATAGGGTTTTATTTTTATTTTTTTGATTTTATTATAAAGAATAATTAAAGTTGGTAAGGATAGAAGTAAAGCTTAATTAAAATACAAACTGTAGTATTTAATATATTAAGTTACGAACTACAGTGTTTAATAATTTAATCCTTTTAACCAATTCAAATCATTAAGCAAAATATTTTGTTTATTTATTAATGCAAATTCTGAAATAAGCATGTTTTATATGTGGGTTATTTCAACCCGCCTCGAATAAGTCATATGAATGATTCATTTAAACTAAGTATCCGACTGCCTAGATTCCTAACATTAAAACCGTGCTCTGATTATATATGTGTAGTAATTTAATTTAAAATATTAATTTTCAAATGTGTGAAAGTCACTAATATTATATATATTATGTTCAATTGCAATATAATATTTAGAGTTCAAGTCTGTAAATAAGTTGAGTGGGGTTCTTATATGCGTTTATGGTTATAGATTCTCTATTATTCTATTTCCTTCAATAAAATTGTATACTATAGGGAAGAGATGTATTTGCTGGAAAGATAAGAATAGTATAGTCTTTATGATCATAAGAAGAAAAATTTAGTTTTATATATATTTAGTATTAATCTCCAATTATTAAACATAAATTAATTAAGTCTGTCCATTAATAATTTACGAAAAAAAGAGGCTTAACGTAACACAAATGTCTTAAAAAATTCATCTCACTCCACTATGAAGCTTTACGAGGTTACTTAGCAGATGTTATTTTAAATTTTGTTGACCTAAAGAGCCAGCAACTTTAACTCATTTATTGTTGTGGAAATACAAACCTTTTTGATGTTAGTTATCGGAGAAGTATTTAGGATTGCAAATTTTGTGGCTAGTAATGGATATTTCTTGAGAAACCGCAGGGGTACAACTTGGATCAATGCACTACCTTTATTAAAATATTAGAGGATAAGTTGTCAATAAAAAAGATCCACTTTTAATTTAACTGCTATTAACTTGTACAATTTATACTTTCAAAGTAAATAAATTCTACCTTTATTATTTTAGTATGGAACTAAATTTGGTAAAAGTTAGTTTAATCAAATTTTTATCTCTATATTTCTATTTCATATAAAAACATTTTGAGCTATATAAACCATCCCTCACTTGTAGGTAAAACTGGTGGAACTACCCTTCACTTCAAATATAGAATTGCCAAATTCGTCTAATTGATACAATTTAGCATTTCCGTTAATGGTAACATCCTTCTTATTCAATAATTTAATATAGTAATTAGATGATCCTTTTACTTCAACTGTGATTGTGCCATCAACATCTTTACTCTTGATAAAAGTTGTAAATTCGCCTTTTGAATTTGGAATTTTGGTCTCAATTTCAGCAACATTGAAGATGTTAATCATAAATTGATTATTCCAGTCATATACTGGATCATCATTCTTTGCGTTGGGACCCGAAGTTACAATAATTGAATTGGATTTAACTAACAATGGTAATGATTTAAAATCATGAATTTCATTGAACCATTCACCAGTGGAGCTTCTAACTTTACCATCTAATAACCCATACCATTCACCTTTAGGTAAATAATACTCAATATCACCCTCTGCATTGAATACTGGAGCAACAAGCAATGAATCACCTAACATATACTCGGTATCTACCACAATAGCATTTGGATCCGATGGGAATTCTAATAAGAAAGCACGCATAACTGGAATACCACTATTATGTGCATCAATTGCAAATCTATAAATATATGGCATTAAGGATAGCTTTAATTTTGTGAATTTGGCCAAAACAACACTAGACTCATCATCAAAGTTCCAAGGAACTCTATATGATCCACTACCATGTAATCTTGAATGAGAACTTAATAAACCAAAAGCGCACCATCTTTTATAAACAGAAGGTAATGGCTGTCCTTCAAATCCTCCAATATCGTGAGACCAATATCCATAGCCACATAATGTTAAACTTAAACCACCTCTCAATGAATCTGCCATGGCTTCAAAAGAAGATTCACAATCTCCTCCCCAATGAACAGGGTATTTTTGGCCACCAACAGTAGCAGATCTAGCAAATAAGCAAGCTTTATGAACTCCTAATTTTTTTTCAAGAATTTCAAATACGCATTTGTTATATAATAAAGTATAATAATTATGCATTGCAATAGGATCAGATCCATCATAATATTCAATATCTTTAACAGGAATTCTTTCTCCAAAATCAGTTTTAAAACAATCTACACCAATATCAATTAACAGTGCGAGCTTATCTTGATACCATCTAACTGCATTAGGATTTGTGAAATCAACAATGCCCATACCAGCTTGCCATAAGTCTGTTTGATATGATCCACCACCATTGACTGTTGACTTGTATCTAATCAAGTAATGATTCTCATCGGCTTCTTTGAACAATTTTGATTCTTGACCTATATATGAATTAATCCAAACACATATCTTAATGTTATATTTTTCTTTTAATTGTTTTAACATTTTGGTTGCATTTGGGAAATATTCTGGGTCAAATTCAAAGTCACACCATTGAAAGCCTTTCATCCAGAAGCAATCGAAATGGAATGTAGATAATGGAATATCTCTTTCTTTCATTCCATCTAAGAATGAACTAACAGTATCAATATCATAGTTGGTAGTAAATGATGTAGTTAACCAAAGTCCAAATGTCCATGCAGGTGGTAATGATGGACGACCAGTTAATTGTGTAAATCTGTTCAAAATTGTTTTAGGATCTGGTCCTTTAATTATATAAAACCTAACACCTTCACCTGGAACAGCAATATTAACTCTATTCGTTCTTTCGGACTGTAATTCAAATATAACATTAGAAACCAGATCAACATAGATCCCGTATCCCCTAGAAGAGATATAAAATGGAATATTTTTATATGTCCATTCACTAGAAGTACCACCATCTTCATTCCACATTTGAACTCTTTGCCCATTTTTCAAAAATGGTCCAAATCTTTCACCTAATCCAAACAATTTCTCTCCAACTGATAAATGTAATTGAAAAGTCATATACGTAACTGCTTTCTCGGCTTGAGAATTAACGTTGAGATATCTTCTATCTTCAACCCATCCAAGTGAATTTCTACCTAATTTAGTCAACAATTTATCTTCACCTAAAAATTCCACTGAAAAGGGATTTTTTTCTAATTTTGCAACCGCACCATCACCTGCATTTAGATTCGAAAAATCATCGTCATTCACTACTTTTGGTGAATATGAATCTTTATTCAATTTAATTTCTGGTTCCTTACTGTTTTTATAAGTTGATATATGATGATATGCTTCAAATCCAATAATACCTTCACTAGGTGAAGTCAATTTTATAGTGATTGTAGGAACATTCAATGTATCTCCACGCAGATAAATCTTAGACGTTGAAGCAACATTATAAATTGAATTACCATCCTGAATTTCACTTTTCACAACTTCTGTGGCCCATTTAATTTTAACACCATGTTTCAACTCCCACATTCCTCTAGAAAATCTAGTATCTGAATCAATATGGCGGTCAAGTGAATAATGTTCCATTTTGTGTCTAAGCATTAGTTTAAATTTGGTAGAAAAATAATATTTTAAGGTGAAAATAATATTTGAGGTTGATGATTTATTGCAACAATTTAAATAAAGAATAAATTTTCGTTAACTTTTATATTAATTATATCAATTAAATCCTCTGAAATGCTTGAGATTTTCGGAAAGATACCACATGGTACCATTCAGTTCATTGGAAGCTCCTTCCATCTTGCAATACACTATCAAATATTTCATCAATATATATATCGTAATATCAAAAATAGACATTTGTGGGGTGCAATTGCTAAGCAAAGCTATTGGGGGACTCTCGGTAAAATACTAAATGTTGACAATGAAAAAATTACAAGTTCTTTCCATCTTACATGATACCATCAATCTTTACAACTGGAAAATAATATAGGCGATAAAATTAAACATTTTGTGGGGAAGATCCTTTTAGTGAGGCTGTTGGGAATGTATCTCGGAAAGATACATCAATTTGCCATTTAATTAATTGGTAGCTCCATCCTTCTTAATCTCTTCTAACTAACCAAGACTTGATATTTGTAGTTTTGATTGATTATTGGAAACCCCATGTGCCATACACGTTGAGTGCATTTACAACTATAAAGGTCACTTCTGTGATAATTACTATTCCCCTCCCCCAAAATTCTCTCCACTTTATTTGCGTAGTGAACCGACAATTAATAATCAGAGCTCTTTTAAGTCAAATTAGTTATGTAATTATAATTGAGTGTAGTTCATCATGAATCGGGCTATGGGTTTTAAAAATAATTTTTGATTGGTTGCAGTTATCGATCTTTTACAATTATGGGACGTGGTCCACCTTCTACTTTTTATCTTCTGTTAAATAAGTTTTATTTGCTCTTTCGTAATGAAAAGAAAAGGTGGGGACAACAAACGTACCTTGTACAATGTAACAAGGGTTCTAAAAGCCTTGAATTTCTCTTTTTTTGATTAGCAAATACAACTATATAAAATAGTAAAACCCTATGTTTTTAATATTTTTAATGAGTTATCAATATTCTCTTAGAAGAAACAAAGATAAACAAAATGAGTGGAAGTACAACTGACAAGACAAAACCAGTAATTGAACATTTGGAACTTGTTGCTTCAGATGGTTCATCTGTGAAATATGATGTTACCACAGGTATCGCTGATGTCGAAGGTCATGGTGAAATTAATATTTATGAGCAAGCTAGGTTAGGTTCTGAACAAGAGCACGCTTTAACCTTTAAGGAAGCTATACGTGATCATAAACCGGCCATATTTTGGGCTATTGTAATGGCAGCAACAATTGTTATGGAAGGTTATGATAACATTTTGACGACTTCTTTCTTTGCTTATCCAGAATTTAATAAAGCTTATGGAGATAGAATAGTGGGTGCTGACGGTACAGTTACTTATGAATTAGCTGGTAAATGGCAACTGGCTCTTGGAAGTGCTTCTTCTGTGGGTACAATTATAGGAGTATTTGCTAACGGTTACTTGGCTGAACGATTCGGCCATAGATTGGTCATTAATGTTAGTTTGGTATTTATGGCAGCTTTTATTTTTATTGTTTTCTTTGCAAGAACAATTGAAGTTCTTTTGGCCGGCCAAATATTATGTGGGATTCCATGGGGTGTATTTGCGACTATTGGTATTTCATACGCTTCCGAAATAGTTCCCCTTCAATTGAGAGGATATTTAACAGCTATTATCAACTTATATTGGGCAACTGGACAATTTGTTGCTGCTGGAGTATTACAGGGTCTAGTTAATACTCAAACTAAATATTCTTACAAGATTCCTTACGCATTACAATGGATGTGGGTAGTGCCTTTATTTATATTGACTCTCTTCGCTCCTGATTCTCCTTATTATTTAATTAGAAAAGGGAGATTTGAAGACGCTGAAAAATCAATTAGAAGATTAAGCTCCAAGAGAATTGCTCATACCGCAAAGGATAGACTTGCATTAATGATTTATACTAATAGTCTTGAAAGAGAACACGATAGAATAAATAACGAAGAAAGTGGTGGTTGGAAAGGTTATATTCAATGTTTCAAAGGAGTTAATTTAAGGAGAACTGAAATCATGTGCCTTTCACTTGCTGGTCAAGTACTAGCAGGCTCTACATTTGCTTATTCTCCAAGTTATTTCTTCTCACAAGCCGGTCTTAATAGTAAAAATACATATAAATTAAATCTTGGAACTACTGGCATTGCTTGGTCAGGGACAGTTTGTTCTTGGTTCTTATTATCAAGATTTGGCAGAAGAACTATTTATGTAACTGGATACTTTTTCTTAGTGTTATTCTTATTCTTAATTGGGATTTTAGCAAGACCCGCTGAAAATAACTCAGCAGTGAAATGGGCTCAAGCTGCGATTACAATGTTATGGGTTAGCACTTATGCTTTGACAATCGGTCCTCTTGCTTTTACAATAACAGCAGAGACTTCTGCTACTAGAATTAGATCACAGTCAATTGCACTTGCTAGAAATGCTTATAATATAGCTTCATTGGTTTCAAATGTTGTTGAACCATATCTCTTGAATCCTAATGAGGCTGATCTAAAAGGAAAAACTGCATTTATTTGGTTCGCTACTGCTTTTCCTACATTGATTTGGTGTTATTTTAGATTACCCGAAACAAAAGACAGAACTTACGAAGAATTAGATTTGTTATTTGAAAAGAAGATCCCTGCAAGACAATTTGCTTCATACGATCTTGATTCAGATATGAAAAATAAAAATAATAAACTCTAATTTAAAATGTACAAGAAAATAGTTACGTGTGTTATTGAATCGATAACTGTTAATTAAAATAAGGGCTCACTTAGAATAAATTAATATATAATTACTAAATAGTTTAAGTATAAATTTGTTTTTGATAGCATATTAATTAGAACGTGATTATAGCAGGAATAGGTTATGAAAAGTTTGGTATAGAATAAATGAATTTCAAATTTAAGTTAAGATAATAAATATTTATTAAAGTGTTAGAAATGAGATGTGTAAAATTGGCACTACCAGAAGTCCATTACTGATGATATAAGAAAATCAAGAATCCAGTTAGATGTCGCTCAGAAAGATGTATATGAAAGATGCTTTACTTATTTTAAATTGGTTTGAAATCACTTTCATAAGAATTGTAGGAAATTGTAGAGTTTCGCATTGGTCTACGCACACTATGAATGTTTGCAGAATGATATTATAATTTTGGGAATTAAGGAATTGGTGTAGACCCTCATTTCTGTAAATTAGTAAATGAAGTATTGGTGAGGCTTCGGTTTACCATCTTGATTATGGGGAAAATATATTCTATTCCAGAACTGAACAGTGAAGAGACTCAACCACAACGTATTCAGACATAAACAAATATCGAATGATTTAGAAATATTGAAAATATAAGTATAAAGTCTTAGCATAGTCATAATGTTGTCCACGATTTGTGTGAATGTTCACGAATTGTGTGAGTTTTCGAGTGTTGATAAGCTTTCTTCAACTGAGCTATATTTAAAAATTTTGTGAATAAAATCTTTGGTATGGGAACCTCCGCCGAAGGCGAGGTTCCCATACAAAAAGGTCAAACGTAGAGTTTTTACACTGGAGCGCTTATTATTAATCGGATATAGCTATAGTAGTATTGGCAGATGCCCACGAGAATGTAGTACTTGTCGAACTTGGTTACGTGATGATAGCTGAAAGGGTTTGAGAGCTAGAGTGGATTATGTTGTTATAATAGTGTTTTTATTGATATCTTATTGATCATACTAAAATCATGTTTTTTCGGAGGTGATTTTTATGTTTGGGAAAGTATGCTTTTTGTAAACAAACAAATGTAAACAAACACCAAAATGTAAACAAACCCCAAAATGTAAACAAATAAGAAAATGTAAACAAATAAGAAAATATTGATCTAGAGAAATCATTGCCCATTATCTATTTATACTTAGATTACGATTTCATGAAAATTTTGTAATATATTAAAGCATATATAAATTAAATGTCATATAAGATCCTAGATTAGTTAACTCAATCGCTGTCTCTTTTCTTGGTGTTCATCTGTTGTTGAATTAGTGGGACTTTCGTATGATCGGCCTAATAGCTTTCTCATTAGCATTAACGGATCTGTGGTATCACCCAAATCTATAGTATGTTCTCTATCTAGATCCAATATAATATCAAGGTATCCACTATTACTGCATTTATTTAACACCAAACAATAATCCAATTCAGACCTTACATAGTATGCTATAATGTAATGTTTTAAATGGGCCAAATCAATGTCTGCAGCATCAGTGACTACAACATTTAATTCATTGTTGATGATCTTCGAAATAATAATCTCTTTTGCATCGTCAGGCATAAAGGTATATAGTTGGCCCACTTTGAATTCTCTTGTAAGATGGTTACATAATTGATGTCCTAGACGTGAATTTGGTACAACAATAACTATCGTTTCTTCTGTGTTGTGTCTCAAAGTATCTGTAATAGTCTGTTCAACTGATCCTACTGATCCAGATAAATAGTTAACAGTAACTGTAGGAGTTGGCCAGGTTTCAATTTTCAATGTCAGTATCTTTTCTCGTCCAATCATCTGCTCAATCTCCCAGCTCCTTGGTATCACTGATGAAGATATAACTAATGGTGTTGACTTTATGTCTCTAAACATTTCATAAATTTTTGGTTCATGAACATCTTGAATAATAAGTCGGTTAACTTTATAATTAGAAGCATTTATTATGCTAATTAAGCCTTTCAATTTATGAATTTTGGATATAGGAAATATTATTACATCCAGATCTAAAAGACTATTCAATGCATCATACATTTTCCATGATATCTCATATTTTTCCAATTTCTTTAGTAATTCAGACGCTTGATATCCAATGATTATAATATTTACGTCAATAGTTTTTTGCAATTTAATGCTAAGAGCTATTGATTGTATTCTTTGCTCGTATGGTATATCTAAAAATATATCCATCCCACTTGTTAATTCTCGTATACACCTCTCGTCAATTTGATTAATTGGTCCATTTGCATATTTCTTATAAATATTTTCAATATCGTTAAATGTGACACTTGAATTTGGTGGAATAGTTGGATCCTTTTCTATTATATTTGGTCCTCCTACAGTCAAAAGGTTGTGCCAATGAGAGCAGATCTCTAACATCAACAACTGGTCATTGGCATTGATTCCAGTGATAGGATCTCTACCATACCAATTTGTTGATGTTTGATCGCTGTGATCAGCCATCCTGTTTAATAAGCTACTATAATGTTCCAAATTATTTGATCTTAAGGGTAGAGTGTGTACAAAAAAATGCAAGGATTGTCGAAGCTTCCTCTGTCCAAACTGCTCTACTTCTATCTTTTCAAATATTGATTTTATATTGGATAACACCAGTGACATTTTTATATTGCCAGTGAGACTCACAAATAGTCTATATCTATATGCTATAGTTAAGTCCGAGTATCCTTCTGGTTGTTGGCCTGCAAGCACACTATTTGGGATGTCGATAATTTCGTCATCTATCTCTTCTTCAATTTCATCATTCATCTGATCGTCAATATCATCTTCTGTTGGCGGAGTGCTTTGCAATTGAACTGCCAAGTGATACATTAAGCCTCTGGTGTAATGTAAATATGCATAAATTAGCTGACTTGATTTCTGAGGCATTAACTTGGTGATTCTTTTCACTCTTCCTTTATAATGCATTGTTTTGGAATATGATGTTATAAACATCAATGAGCCGTCATGGAGCATCACATTTGATGGCAGATTTGTGTAGTTTCGTATACGCATTGTCAATACTTCGGAGCCTCTGTATGGTACGCCGACTCCTATGAGGATCAACACAAATATATAAAATTGAACATTATATAACTCATTAAATACCTTAAGCATCCCTTTTTTATCATAGGGCTGTTGTCTTCTTTTAAATATATTACGAATATTACGAATATTATACACTCTATTGTAAGTAGCGATACCATACTCACTTCTCTCAGTATTTGGTCGAAACTTTGTAATTGTCTCAGTGAATGTATTCGCAATATCCAAGTATGAAGCATCAAAATAGTTGTTTAATACTCCATATATTTCCTCTTCACAAATATCTTTAACTTGGTTTAGCTGCTGAATCAGAATATTTGAACCACCTACGCTTATATGATCCTTCAGATTATTTAGCATTAACACCGGTGTAGACCATCTAGGAGACTTCTTTATATGTATTTTGTGCAACATTAAAAATTTAAAGAAAGACATAAAGTTTGATTCATAAGTAGATCTATACTGCCACTTCCAAACATTTAATTTCAGGCTGTGAGGACCAATTCTATCGACTACTAGACACGAGAGAAAATATTTAAATCCCTTTAAAATACTTTCTCTTATGGAACTTGTAGTTAAATGCGTTCCTTCAACACACATGCTTAGAAGAACATAATCTATAAGATTATATTCTTCTAAGGGATTGTGCTTGTGAACCACATATTTGATAAAGAAAGTTTCAATAATTGAAGGAAATGAATCAGCTGTAATTTGTAAATTATTGTATTCTGCATACACCGCTAGAACCATACAAGCGTATTTACTATACTTTTTTTGTGTTTCAATTTGTATTCCACAATTAAAAAAAGATGTCATTTGCTCATTAACTACAGCACTTAATGCATATCTGTCAGCAGTGATAACATTTAAAACAAGTGGAAATAGTATTGGTGACCAATATTCGAAATCAGTATTACCCTTAAATTTGCTTAATGCTAGCTGTACTTCTGGAATGCTTAAGAATGCATCCTTATTTGGCTCGTTTACAAGATTATCAGTAGTGCTTGTTTTATTTAAGTCTATTACTTCATCTGACTGTATTATTCCCGTTATGCGAAAATTATCCTTGACTTTGAACGTTTTCTCTTCTGTAACTTCAACAGTATTGATTCTATGTTCACTGTGCATATGTGATCTAACATATTTGTATTTTGAAAATGTTGCAGGACAAATTTCGCAATTTATCAAATCTTCAGGAATTATTCTTGGGTCTTTAATTTTGGCCATCAATCTTCCTGTTGAATCTCTTTGTAATGGTGGGTATTTATTTAAAATACTATTAAATAGGGACATCATTTTCACAAAGGTATAAGCTTCCAATGTTCTAATTTTTCGACTGATTATTCCTAGAGTCGGCCTATAGAAAATAAGATCTTTGGCATCGTAAATGAATGGTATATTTTCCACAATAAATACTCCATTCAATTCAAGAACATCCATAAACAGTTCTTCTTCAGAAGTATAATTATATAATTTCTGGTATATAGGTTCTGTTCGATTTAGATCAACAAGGGTTTCTTCTGGAGTACTGTTAATATACAAATCATTCAATTCTTTGTCTATGCCATTGGTATCAGTCAGTTCATACTCTGTGAATTCAGGATCTTGGTTCAACTCATTATACATCTCATTGACTTCGTCATTTATGGCATTTAACTCAATGCTATCATTGAAACTTGAGTATTGAGTTTGTGTCTGTTCTGGATCATAAGGGTTGGTTTCATTGACAGTTAATTGATCAGGTTGAGTATCTTGAGTTGCTTCTGGATCATTAGTATTTCTATCAACATCAGTAGTTTGAGTTTGTTCAGGTTCATTAGTATTTCTATCAACATCAGTAGTTTGAGTTTCATTAGGATGTACAGCATTAGTTTGACTATATTCTTTAGTATTTTGTAGAACTTCGACGTTTTCTCTATTTCTGTTTACCTCATCATCATTTAAATGAATATGTTCTTCCTCGATATGATTTTCTTGCCCGAGAATTAAGTGGGTATCAGTATTAGAATTTTGTTTGTACATGCCAACATGGTGTAGCTTAACAGTGGGATCATCTGCTAAAGCTGATTCACCTTCTAAAGTTGTATCAACTACGGAAGTGATTTCTTCATGGTGTTGGATATTATTACCTTCAGTTGAATATTCATTACAGTCATCATTATCTTCTTCCGATTCCGATGATGATATCAAGTCTATGACTTCACCAGGATGTCTAATAATAGACTCGTTTTTGAATATTATATTCTCCAACTCCAGATCGGAGTCGAAAGGTGATGACATTTTTGTTACTTGTAAAAGATATTGTAAAAGTAAATTAAATTGGATATATTCGTGCTCTTTAATATAGTATACAATGAGAATGTTGATATCGCGCTTTTTGGCCGAACGCGAAAAGTTTTAGACGGTCTAAGGGAATGATAACAAAGGTCCCATTTATATGATATTCAGTAGTGAGGAGAATGAAAATGTGAACAGTACGTCTATAAGTTTCTTCTGAGCCCAGCGATATATTTTCTATAAAGAATTTGAAAAGCATTTATTCGCCTTTTGTATAAATTGGCCAATCATATTTCTGGGTTTATATGATTGAGCAGGTTGATAGTCTAAACTTTCGTAGTCCTGTTCAATCAATTAAGGTTAAATATGCTGCTGGCGGTTGACGCTGCGAAGCATTATCTACATATATATAATAGTTTTGTATACATGATCTACAATTAATTATAGTATTCGAACTGTTAATTCTAGTATTGGGTACTAATCTACTTGTTTGTAATTTTCAATTTTTTTTCCGACGATCATCATATACAGTACAAGAGAAAAAATAGGATAACTTTATTACCGGATATGGCTCCACCCGAGCTCTTCTTATCTAATGCACGTCATATTCTTTCCTAATACGGACGTAATTGCAAATCTAGAAACTGATCTCAAGGGTCCGATTAAAGAGAAATGTTAACATATGTAGTACTAGAAGATAGTATAAAACTAGAAGAGTCTAACTATATCAATTTTATGTATGATGTGACATAATAATTTATTTAGTAATTTTGATATATTTCATTTTTGTAGGGAAATATTGGTAGTTATTCATCGAATTTTGGAAATAATAAGAATATTGATGATTTTCGTAGAATTGTATACTTAGCACTCTTAAAGATAGATTATGTAAGTAGTAAATCAAAGGAATGTTCCCGTAGAGTTTGATGAAGTTTGAATGAGCACAAGTGGTATAATGAGCATATTTAGAATAGCTAGTATTCCCGATTAGGAAGTCAGAGAAAGGTCGTGAAAAGTGAGAATTTTTCGAAGCACCTGAAATCTAGAACATGTGATTTTGGGGACGTGATTTAGGGGACGATATTTGGGGGATGAGATTTGGGGAACGAGATTTGGAGGACGAGATTTGGGGAACGAGATTCGGGGGTCGTGACTTTGGGGTCGTGATTTAGGGCTCGTGATCTTGCGGTCGTGAGATTTGGCGATTTCAGATTTGTGTCAGAATACGATATGCAGGATAATTGGGAGAGCATTGGGATATCCGACAATTGAACCGTTGAGCAAAGTGAGTGTAAATTTGGAAATCGCACGACGTCCGAGGGTCGCACGTGAAAATGGAGGGATTTTCGGGATTTTTGGACCGAGATTCGCATGTCAGATAAGTCGCGCAATTAAATGTCGCACGAGGTGCATGACGCATGCAGCAGAAAATAAGGTTGTGCATTGCATATAATATTTCGCAGAATTAGGGGATTAATGTGTATATTAAAATAAGTTTGTGGAAGTATTTTGAGTAAGTAAGAGTAGAAAATATGTAAGAAAGTTAGTAGATAAAACCAGAATTGGGTAAATTTGTAAAATAATGTGGAGAAGTAAAATTGGAGTATGAAAGTTGAGTTAAAGCGTAGTTATAGCGTTAGAAGTGTAAGTGAATCGCATGGGTATCGCAAGTAAATAAGTAGAAGGCAGTAAAATATAGTATGAGAAAGAAGTGGTAGTAACTTATAAGTAGTTATAGGCTATAGTTAGTTAAAGTAAAGAATAAGAATAGTTAGAGATTAGAAGATAAGTAGAAGTATAGTAAGAATGAATAGTTGAAGTATTAGTGAGATAAGTAAGAAGAAGAGATGAAGTAAGAAGGACGGTTTAAATATGTAAAAGGTATGTTAAAGTAGAAGTAGAGTTAAGAAGGAAGTGCAGTAGATTAAAAGAATAGAAAGGGAGGTATAGTAATATGATATAGAAGGTAAAGTAATAATAAAAGAGTTGGTTTAAAGTTAAGTAAGTAAGAAAAGTAATTGAGAAGTAGTAAAAGTAAGAATGGAGAGTGTTAAGGAGAAGAAAGTTAAGGTAGTGTAGAAAGGGTAGTAAATGTTGGAGAGAGAATGAAAGTAAGAAAGGGTAGAGGGAGTAAAAGGTGTGGGAGTAGAAAGGTAGTGTATTAGTGTGAAGAGTATGAAAAGTGGAAAATGAAGAGTAGTAGAGTAGGAGAAAGTAATGGTAGAAGGAGTAAAAGGAGGTGTGGGAGTAGAAAGGTAGTGTATTAGTGTGAAGAGTATGAAAAGTGGAAAATGAAGAGTAGGAGAAAGTAATGGTAGAAGGAGTAAAAGGAGGAGAGGGAGTAGTATTGGTAAAAGAGTAGTATAAGTAGTAAGGGAAGTGTATTAGGGAAAAGAGTAGTAAAAGTAGTAAAGGTAGTTGAGGAGTAGTAAAAGTAGTAAGGGTAGTTGAGGAGTAGTTAGAAAAGGTAGTGTAGTGTGAAGAGTAGTAAAAGTAGGAGAAAGTAATGGTAGAGGAAAAGGGTAGTAAAAGTAGTAAAAGTAAAGGAAGAAGTAAAGGAAGGGGTGTGTGGAAGTAGTTGTGTTAATGGTAGTAGAAGTAAATGAGGAAGAAGGAGTAGAGTATGTAAGAAAGGTTAGTGAAGTAAGTAAGGTTAGTGAAGTAAGTAAGAAAGGATAGTAAAGTAAGAAAGGATAGTAAAGTAAGTAAAGGGAGGTGTGGTAGAGTAAGGTAGAAGGTAAGAAGAGAGTGTGATAGTAGTAAAGTAGTTAAGATAGGAAAGTAGTAGTAAGGGAAAGAAATGGATGAAGTTAAGTAGGTAATTAAAAAGTAAAAGAAGAAGTAAAGGAAAAGTAAATGGTAGAGAAGGTAGTGTGGAAGTAGTAAAGTAGTAAAGTAGATAAGTAATGATAAGAAAGTAGTAAAGGAAAGAAGAAAGGTTTAAGAAGTAAGGAAGAAGTTAAAAGGAAGTGTGGTAGTAGTAAAGTAAAGTAGAAGGTAAGAAGTAAGGAAGAAGTTAAAAGGAAGTGTGGTAGTAGTAAAGTGATAAATAAAGAGGGGTAGAAGTAATGGTATAGTAAGAGTAGGTAAAGAAGTAGAAGGAAGTAAAGTAGAAGTTAAGAAGGGAGATGGGTAGTAGTGATAAGTAAAGTAGAAGTTAAGGAGGGAAATGTAAAAAGTAAAGATGAGGAAAGGTAGTAATGGTAGTTAAAGAGGTAGAAAAGGTAGAGTATTGGTGAAAGAGTACAATTTAGATAGTGGGGATCCAATTTAGATAGTGGGGATCATTTAATTTTTCAGCTAGTATAGATATTAGCCTGTGTGCAGGAGAGCAGATTTACTATGTAAAAAATCAATTTTCACCTCGCAGGACAGAACTTGGGTGCATTTTGATTTTCCCATAGTTAAGGGTGCAAGTTGAGTCGTTTATATGCCGTACTAAAAAAATAGTCTAGTATAATTTAGATTGACCAGAAATTTTTATGAAGTGAGCTATGTAAATGTTTATTAACAACATAAGTAAACTACACTATTATTGATATGCAACATTTTAATGGTTTTTAAAGTACATATGTTATTTTGGTTATAGTTTCACCACGATCCATTTGAGTATGACTTTCAATTGTTACGGATTCACTAATTAGACATCATTGTATTTCTCATTATGATTAATATATTAATTACTATAATGTTATACAGCCATTGCAATTCAATGACTTTTAAGCTGGTTTTGATAAGATTCGTTTAGTATGGACTTGGGTCACTAGGTACACTTGTTTCAGAAGGTGATTTATTACTATTTGTGGAGCAGTAGTTTAATGGTCAAGAGTTATAAAGTAATTAGTGTAATATTATCCAGATAAGGCAATTCAATGACTTTTAAGCTGGTTTTGGTAAGGTTCGGTAGCTATTGCTTTTGGTCACTAGGTGCACTTGTTTAAGGTGATTTATTACTATTTGTGGATCAGTAATATAATAATCAAGAGTTTTAAAGTAATTACTATAATATTGTCCAGTCAAGGCAATTCAATGACTTTTAAGCTGGTTTTGGTAAGGTTAGGTAGCTATTGAGTTTGGTCACTCGGTGCACTTGTTTAGCACTCTAAGTTTTAATGGTATAGTTTGCTGGTGTTGATTGTTGGTAAATTTGGTATTTTTGTATATTAAGGGTTGTATTTAATATAGAAAGATCATCTTTTTCTTTGGAAGTTATTTCAAAAGATGTAGAATGTAATTAGATAAGTTATATATGTATAATTATTTTAATAAATGATTTGGTTCACATTTTATGCTCTTCTCTAGTTTGTAATAAATTTATGATTAATGTAGATTTGAATTTTTGGTCGTGCGTAGAAATTGTTAGCTGTAATTTTTTAGTGAGCAGAAAATTAAATTTATATTTTAAAGTATAGTAATTAGAGTTAGATAAGTGGCACTATGTACAATTGCTAAAGTAGTAACATTGGAACGTAATGTAGTTTAGATATTAGTTTGGAACATAATGTAATTTAGACATTAGTTTGGAACTTAATGCGCTTTAGAAGTAAGTTTGGAACATAATGTAGTTTAGATATTAGTTTGGAACATAATGTAATTTAGACATTAGTTTGGAACTTAATGCGCTTTAGAAGTTAGTTTGGAACATAATGTAGTTTAGATGTTAATTTGAAATTATTTAGATAGAACTAATACAATTTAGAATTAAGTAGTAGAATTTACTAGAAATTTAACAATAGCAAGTCAAGCTAAGTTAGCACTGAAGATAGAATTGGTTTAAATAGTAGTAATTAATGAGTGTTGTTAAATGTAGTAGTAACATAAGTAATCTTGTTCTAACTATCGGAAAGCTAATAGAATTTAATAAATATAGATATTGTTGTCACATAATAGTTGTATTTAAGGTGACTTTAATTAAAGTAAAGGAACTGTAGGATGGAAGGTAGAACAAATTAATTAGAAATATCATCATATGGAAATAGTAATTAAGTAATTAAAGAGTAATATAGAATGTCTATTAGATATTATAAGTATAGTTTTAGAGGTTATACTGAAG